CCCTAACCCTAACCCTAACCCTAACCCTAACCCTAACCCTAACCCTAACCCTAACCCTAACCCTAACCCTAACCCTAACCCTAACCCTAACCCTAACCCTAACCCTAACCCTAACCCGCATTTCTGCTCTAAGCGGTCGTTTTACGGGTTACCACTTTCACCCCCTTCCTGCTCGCTACGGGTTCGCCTGCGGCACTACTACACCTGCTCTGCCACTCTCGGGGCTTGCTAAGCGTCGATACGGCTCAAACATTGTACGGATACGCTACGCGAACTCGTAAGCGTAGTCCGTACTGCGACGAAGGTAGGCGGTATTGCCCGATAACGGAAACTAGCAGTGGTATACTAGGACGAACTGGGACGAAAGGGATGCAGTAAGAGCGAGACCGCAGCAGCGAAGCGGTGTCGTACCTGCACTCGTAGTCGGAAGCGGGAGGTAGAAGCGAGTAGCGAATGCAAGTGGATTGAAGCCAGTAGCGGAACAACGGTGTCGCGGGAATGGATGATATCGCTAGGTGTCCTGCTTTTGTTCTTCCGCTTTCTTCTGCTGTCTTGCGTTGCGCGTCTCGTTTGCGCCAAGCCTGCGATATTTCTGACCACCGTTACTACTTAATACCCAGCCATGCTGCTTCTAATGCGAGCGGCTTGCGAGGGTTCGTATGCCGCCGCCGTATTTGGTCGGCACTGCTTGCATTTCGATCAAAGCGGGATGTTTGTTCGCCTCCGCGTAGTGACGACCTTCTTTACGTCAATCCTCGGTGTTCGTGCGGGTGGCGCGGTGTAACGGCCTGTTAGCGTTGAAGAACTACCGTCCGCCCGCAGCCTAGCCAACAGCTTCTAGCGCAGTTTGTTCGCTAGGGAGCAGAAAACGCTTGACTTCGAACTTGTAGCGAGGCCTACAAGTGCAGCTATCAGTCTATGTGCGTTGATTTGCTTGACCTCCTAACACGCGGGCAACATACCCTCAGATCTGTGCGACTGGTGGTCAGTCCGCACTCGTCCGTTGGCTTCTCTGCTTGTCGGCAGACAGGTCTGCAAGCCAGCCGGGCTGCAATCAAGCAAAACCGCCGTTGAACGCGGCGAAGGCCTGCTTGGCTCGAGATAGTTCAGGGACAAGCAGCGTCCTGAAGCATGCCTGGTAAGTGCACGGTTGCGCGGTTTACGTAAAGCGTAGATCTTGGCATACGATATGTCCGCGGCTGCGCAGAACTGGCGATAGTGTTGTGTTTTATGGCTACATCTCTGGTAAGCTACTTTGGTTCCCTCGACCCTTGTCCACTAGGTCAGAACACATGAGGTCCAGTAGTGTCCGCAGGCTGAATGATCCGGGCGGAGATCAGCCTGTAGATGTAGAGTCAGCGTTCCTAGCAGCGCATCAAACATCTCCTTACAGCACCGCCTGAAGCTCTGCTGTATGTCCGTGATGTTATGACTTCCGAAGAACTACCGTCGCCAGAGTTGAGCGTGCCGGCCGTAACTGTAGTAAGGTCGCAAATGCTATCTAATAGCTCCCGGACAGGCGGTGTAACTTTGGTAGACTGGAAAGAGGCTCTGTACGAAGTGCGCGGAATATGCGGTTGAAGTTGGGTATGTCCTACTATAGTCGGTGTTTGGCTGGAGGCGTTGTACTACGGCATCGCCAGTGACCGTGCTACTGCAGATACTGTCGGAAGTTCCTGAGAGCGAGCGGATAGACTCGAAGGCTCTACGCGATGCTCAGTACGAAGACCGAGAACTATGCGGTAACAACCAAAGATGTCCCGGGCGATCGATGTTGGCTGGCGGCGGTGTACTGCGGAGGTACTGCGACCACACCGCCAGCACCCGCAATCCCCAGCTTGCCGAAGTTGGTCAGTAATGTCAGGATACTCTATGCGATGCTTAGTACGAAGACCGGAAAGCGTATGGTGACGACTGTAGATGTCCCGAGCGGTCCATGTCTGGCGAGCTGTGGTATACAACAGAAGTGTTGCGATTACACTGCTAAAGCCCGCCACCGCCAACTTGTCGAAATAGGTCAGTAATGTCAGGATACTCTACGCACTGCTCAGTGCGATGACTGGGGAATAATGCGACGTCAATTGAGTCTGTCGTGCCGCAATATGTCAGGAACACTTCGCTTGGCGTACGGTACCCATGATGACACACTACCGAAGGAGGCTACTGGAGATTTTCGTATGGAGCAGGTGACTTCAAAGGCCCTAAGCGACGCTACATATGCAGTCACAAGGCTATCCGCTCAACGCTGGACTATCGCCATGCACTCGAAGCGCAGTGTATAAGCATAATCGTGGGGCTGCCAGCGCTGCCGTCCCCACGCCACCGGCAAACCTCAAGACTAACTACGATTTATGGTAACGGACGACGAAGGCGTGAGTCTCCGTTATGTCGGGTACACGAACGTGCATGGATCTCGTTCAACAGTGCTAGGCAAGTCTTCGGGGACTGGGCGACGATTGTGTCAACGCCATGCACTTCCTCGCCATGTGGCCGCAAGCTGTTTCATCCCCGTATTTCTACTGCCGGGAGCCTCGTAAGCATATGTATAGTACTGCCCAGCGTGTACAGAGATTGGCTCACTCCTCGTACGTGAACTGGAGTATGTTGTCGGATGTTGCACTTGCAGACAGAGTACGGCATGCATGTAAAGGAAGTAGAACTAGGAGGCGCGCGAAAGTGACGCGCGCCTTCCCGCAGATGCGAAGCCTGCTTTCGAACACCTTCCACAGTATAGACCATGCCTAGAATCACACCAGGCCCACTCTCTCTAGCCGCTGACTTGTCAGCGCTAGAAGAGACAATCATCGCGCATGAATCCATATTGGTCGAAAGCCTGGCTTCCACCTAGTGAGCCACAATCATCCAGTAACATGTGATGCTTGAAGCTGGCCGTATCGCAAGGAGAGCTTGAAAATCGTGAAGGCAAGTCGTGCTCAGATAGCGCCGCAGGCTCACGATGTGGTAGAAGAGAGAGGCAGCACGGCAGGATTGAGTGACTGACGCAATGAAGCAGCAGCGGCTGACCTGGGCTGCTATTGGTGTACCTTGCATACGCAACTCGAGCTTGAGCTTGAGCTACAGCTCACAAGACCAACAACTTACAAAGCGACGATGTCGGTACATATGAAGACCTACTCCATAGCTACATCTTGGTGCCAGCTCATCCAAGCAGTGCCCAGCCCTCTCCCTTCTGACTCAAATCAAAACCATACATCATGGAAGAATCCCAATCCCGCCCCCAGAGGCTCCCCTTCGCTGACCGCCTGAACGACACTGCCCGCAACCACTTCGTAGCGTGCTGCGGCGAGTTCATTGGCACTTTCTTCTTCCTCTTCTTCGCTCTGTCTGGGACACAAGTCGCCAATACATCGCCAAACCACCAGGGTGAGAACGAGCTGAACAGGTTGACATTCATTGCCTTATCATTCGGCATCAGCTTGGCCGTCAATGCTTGGGTCTGGTTTCGCGTTAGTGGAGGGTTGTTCAACCCTGCTGTAAGTTGAACATTACCTTCATCGACACCGCATGAAGCTGATGCTACCCCAAGGTCACCCTAGGAATGTACCTAGCAGGCGCTGTCCCACTGATCCGCAGCATCCTAATAGCTGTGTCGCAACTTCTCGGCGGAATTGCAGCTTCCGCTGTAGTCCTTGCTATCTTCCCGGGCAAGCTCGCCGTAACGACCTCACTAAGCGCAGGAACCTCCCTCCTCCAAGGCTTCTTGATAGAAATGTTCCTGACTTTCGAGCTTCTCGTAACAATCATGATGTTAGCAGGAGAGAAACACGCTGCGACACCTTTGGCACCCATAGGTATTGGGCTCAGTCTGTTCATCGCTGAACTCAGTGGGGTCAGTTTCACAGGCGGGAGTCTGAACCCCGCGAGGTCTTTCGGTCCTGCGGTCGTTCTTGGGAAGTTCGGAGATGAGCACTGGATTTACTGGGCTGCTCCTGCTGTAGGCGCGGTGGCGGCGGCGGGCTTGTACAAATTCCTCAAGATCCTAGATTACGAGCGCGCGAACCCTGGGCAGGATGCTGCGAAGCCCGGTATCATGCCTGGTGAGCATGGGGATGGGAGGATACGGTTGTTGGACGAAGAATGAGATGGAGGGCTGTCAGCCATGCTTGCGGAAATGGTTACCTTTTGTGCTCGCTGTCATAGCGCTCGAGGCTGGTTGATAGACTATATGGCTCAACCGATTGTCGTTGGCATAGCGCGGGAAGCGGGCAATGGGTCAGTAGAGGGAAGTGTGATAGGGCGCGTTGCGGAGCATTGCACAGTCGAATGTGTCGAGCAGTACATTTTCAATCCCATGCCGGTGCGTCCCCAGACCGCAATCTTAATCGCGCTATGACAAGAGCTAGCTCCAATCCCTCGCTGCTCTCAGTCATGTCTTGTAGTACGCCGGTATCCAATTTGCTCTCTCTCTTCACCGGCTGCTACCACTGATAGTCTCACGTCAAGCTATCAGTAGCGCCGAGTCAGCAAGCTCTTCTTTCGCATTGGCGCTTGGCTGATTTCCCTTGCTTAGATTGATGCTGCTGCGGCTTCCCAACGTGTTTGTGCAAAAATCTCGGCCGCAGACGGTTGCGCCGAGCAGTCCATGTCAGTAAGGGTTTACATGAGCTAGTATTGTTCAGGATTGCAGTCGCCGGAATCGATGAGAGTGCACATCCAAGCGAGGAAGTGGCCGCGTATCGCAACGTCACTGAACGCCGTGCGAGGCGAACAACCATCAGCTCTTTGTTATGTAACCCCGCAAAGTCTACAGTACAGGCAGTTACTGTTTCCGCTTGTACACGAGCACTCACACCCTTCGCAATCGGCAGCCGTAGTACCCGCGAGCATATGCGGCTTCGGTCATACTACGTCTTGCTGGATTATGCATGGAGGAAGAGGAAGGTCGCCTCCGCTTGGCACGCCCTGGTGCTTCCCACCTGGAAGACCTGAGCCTCGGCATTTCCCGACATCGGCCCTGTCGTCTTGAGATAGACACACATATCCCCCGGCCACGGTGTGAACAGCACTATGTCTTCTAAAACGTCTTCATGGATGTCTCGAATGCCGAGAAAGTCACCTCAACTTCGACATCCCAAATTCTTGACTGGACGAATGCCAGCGACCCAGACAACCCACGCAACTTTCCACCATGGAGACGGTACTACTCCATAAGCGCAGTCACACTGTTGGCTTTTGTTACGACGTTCGCCGCCTCGATATACAGTCCTGGCAGCTCCGAGGTTGCAGCACAGTTCGGTGTCTCCCCTGAAGTGGCCATCCTACCGCTCGCCATCTATAATCTTGGACTGTCCTGTGGACCTGTCATAGGTGCTCCTTTGAGCGAGACGCTAGGACGCAAGGCCGTTATACTGACGACTACCCCAATCTTCGCGCTGTTCACACTCGGGTCTGGTTTCTCAGACAGTGTCGCAGCCCTTGTGGTATGCAGATTCCTCGCTGGGGTCTTCGCAGCTCCCGCAGTTAGCAACGCCTCAGCCACTTTAACGGACTACACAACTGGCCGTGATCGAGCTGTTGCGTTTGCCTTTTACTATGCGACTCCGACTTTCGGGGCGATGCTAGGACCGCTGGTTGGTGGCTTTGTCGTTCAAACAAAAGGCTGGCGATGGACATCATGGACTACCATCCTTGCCATCATAGCTTTCTACGTGCCGATACTTTTCACGAGAGAGTCTTACAAGAAAACGATACTGCAGCGACGCGCGAGGAAGCTGAATGTGGAGGGCCCACCAGCTGTCAAGCGCTCACTAAGCGGCAATATACACTACTTCGCAACGACGTTGCTCTTCCGACCTATCCACATGCTTCTGACGGAACCCATTGTCACGCTTGTATGCATGTATAATGGCTTCCTGTTCGGTCTCATGTACGCCTACGTGGTCGCATCGCCGTGGGTATATGAGCATTATTACGGCTTCGACGTTACCGGCCAGAGTTTATCATTTCTCGGCTTGATCACGGGGACCGCAATAGCCCCAGTTCCGCTGATAGTGATGGATTGGTTCTGGTACCAACCTAGACTCAGACACTTTCGTGAAGTCAAGTCGGATGAAGAACGCTTTCCACCAGAATACCGTCTCTTCCCAGCACTCGTGGCATCTTTCATGCTGCCGGCATGCTTGTTTATCTTCGCATGGACTGCACGACCTTCCATCCACTACATAATTCCGATCGTCTTCCAAGGCCTAGCAAACCTAGCAAGTTTGCTGATCTACGCATCGGCAAACCTTTTTATGATGGATGCGTAAGTCAAGCCTCACACATGATCTCTATTGGTCCGGCATGTGGCTAACACTCCCAGATACGGACCCGCATTTGGAGCCTCCGCAGCTGGGGCAGCAATGCTGACACGATACGCCTTCTCTACGGCCTTCCCGCTATTCAGTCTCCGCATGTACAAAGCGTTGGGTGTGGGATGGGCCACAAGCCTATTGGCATTCTTAACACTGGCAATGGCACCGATTCCATGGCTGTTTTGGAGATGTGGAGATAGGCTTCGGCAGCGTTCCAAGTACGAGACCGGTGCTTAGTATGTCTACGTCTGAGCTCGGGGCGGAGCTGCTGCTCATTTGCCTCGGCGAGATAATGCGTAGCAGGGCAAGAACCACAATCTAAACTTCCAAGCGGTGGAGGCCAGCTTGGGATGTCGGAAAGAGCGACTGCCGCCGTAAGACCGCCAGCCAAGGCGCACCTGCCCGCTGCTTACGCTACCTTGAGCGCTTGATGTGTGTTATTGTGGTTCACGCCATATCCTACCCTATGTATCCAGCAGCTTGGCAGTTTTCGCTAATAGCACGTCGACCAGTAGAATTGCCCGGAAATCCCAGCCGTGCATGCTGCTGCATACGCTACCCTGCACGTGCATATGGGCAGCCAGCCTCTTCGGCGGCACCTCCGCATAGCAGTGCGAACTCTACAGGCGCCCGCCCTTGCGCCTTCGGACCACCACCAAAAGCTAGAACGTACCGTAAGCAGTACAGTAGTCTGGCCAGCGCTTGCTGAGCCATGGGCTCAGCCAGTCAGACATGTCTGGTCCCGCGCACGCAGAGTCTAGGTACGAACTGGCAACATATCAAGGGCCAGCCGCCCCAAATCCAGCATTGGACGGACACTATACTCTCTGTCCACTAACGAAGCGGTTGCCGATACACCATCACCACTGGGGGATTCCACTGCCATAGGTCGATCATGGCCAAAGGACATTCGTATTCCAGCACTCTCTTTGATGCCTACGCCGCCGTAAAAGCCAGCAGCTTTGACCAGGTTGTAGAACATCCAACAAAAGTACCAACTATCACTGTCGCAGAAGTTTATCTATCAGACGAGTCCAGCGATTCCGAGATCGACGGATCTTCCGTGACGAACGGCGACGTACCCCAGCGTACCTACCATACTGATCAAACCTCGCAGTATGTCCTGCCCAACGACGCGCCAGAGCATGATCGTTTGGAGGTGCAAGCTCGCGTACTGTCCGGAGTCATGAATGGCAACATTATACACGCGCCCGTCCACGCACCCGCAGTAAGAAGAGTGTTAGACGTCGGTTGCGGTACAGGACCGGTGACAGGTTACCTTGGCCGCAAATACCCACATGCGGACGTTGTCGGACTCGATATCAGCGTTGTACCTCAATGCAGGGCCTGGCCTCCAAACGTGCGCTTTCTGCAAGGCAACGTCTTGACGATGTCACCAAGTGCGTGGCTTCCAAATGCGGAGCCGACAGACACTGGACGTGCGCCTTTGCCAAACCAGCAAGCTTTCGATCTGGTGTTTTCGCGCCTCCTAATTGGTGGTATGAGTGAATGGCAACGCTTCGTCAAAGCTGAATATCTGCTGTTACGCCCCGGAGGGTGGGTCGAGCTGCACGACCTTGACTGGACATGGTACGACAAACACGGGCGAGTAATCTCCGATGACTGGCCATGGCTTCGGGCAGTCACCGCCGCGGGGAAAGTACGAGGTCTCGATTTCAACTGTGGTCGGCGAGCGCAACAGTGGATGCGGGATGCTGGATTCGACAATGTCAAAGCCCATCCCTATCGATGCAATCAAGGCGGAGCTTGGGAGACCGATCAGGCATGGCGGGCCTTTGGCGAATACGTTGCTACGGCAATGGTGGAAGTCATTGGCCTGATCATGCGAAAGCTGCTGCCAGCTCAGCCAGGTGCAACCGAAGAGGTGCTGGAGCAAATGGTGGCTGATATGGAGCGTGACTTATCGCCGGAGCAAGGCAAGTATTGCAATCTGTACGTGACATATGGACAGAAGCGAAAGTAGCCGCATACCACTTCGGTCGATCGCGCGGAGGGTTGCACCGTGGCGGACGACAGCTGGATTAAGTAGGTCGGGTACCGGATCGCTGGGGTCCAGGAGCACGTTACGAGTGCGGTATGTTCCACGAGGGCCATCAGATGTACTGGGTATTGCCAGTCGCAGCATCGACTGGGCTGCATTACCGGGTTACGCATTGCATGCCTCGGCCGCCTGTAGGCACAGCTAGCGCCGAAAACAATGATAGGTAACTGTCTCACCTTCTCGTGCCATTCACACCACTCTTGCCTTGTCCCAATTGACTAGCCACAACCGTAGCCTCCCTCACAGCCTTTGCGATGGTACCCCTCACACCACCCTCTTCAAGGACCAATAATCCACCAATCGTGCAACCTCCGGGCGTGCTCACCTTGTCCCGAAGAATGGCCGGATGCTCACCCGCAAGTAAAAGACCAGTCGTGCCCCGCATAGTCTGTGCAGCCATGAGATATGCCTCATCCCTCGGGATACCCATCGCTATCGCGCCGGCAGCTAGAGACTCGGCCATGACTGCTACGAAGCCCGGACCCGATCCGCAAAGGGCAGTACACGCATCCATAGTGTTGGACGGAAGGTGGACTACGCGACCGATGCGGGTAAATATCCAAGCTATGAGAACGTCGGTCTCCTCAGACAATGGTGGGTTTGAGGTAGCAATGACGGTCATGCTCTCGCGCACAGCAGCGGCGGTATTTGGCATTACGCGGACGACCGTGCATCCAGATGCACCGATTTCAGCCAGATAGCTTTCAATCTGTTGCTCCGTGACACCGGCACAAATGCTGATCAGTACTTTCCCGGTAAGCGCTTCGCGCATGCCTTCAGCATGTAAAATCCCGGCAACCATTTGTGGCTTGCAACCAAGTAGTACAACGTCTGCTGCTTGAGTCGCAATTAGGTTCTCTTTCTCGCGGATCGTGACATGCTGGAAGGCTGAATAGTGGCCCAGTTCCTTGCGAATACGCTTCGCACTCTCCGGCCGTCTCACACAAGCGTTAAACCTGGATGGCAATCTCCGTGGTGTTGGCACCGCCGTCGATGTGCTTGATGCTGTAGCCGAGGCAGTTTCTTGGGAGCCTGTCGATAGCGAATCAAGAATGCCACCTAGGATTGCTATTCCCATCGTGCCGCAACCGAGAAAGGTGAGCGTAAGCCCAGACGAATCGGCTTTCCCGCCATTGGTGTCTCGACCATTAACGAAAGACATGATGGCTTGCTTCTGCACACTGAGAGTCTCATTCAAGATCCAGTCCGGAGTCAGGTCACGCTCCATGCCGTCCCAAGCCTGCACTGTGGATGTTCGCCAGCCAGACTGACAACCGAAAACGGTGTGGTTCTGTGGCAATTTCGCCCGATAGGGATGCTGTTCGTTGTGGAGCCGGTGTCCCGATGACTCGGATCGAGATCAGCCGAGCGGTCGAGGAGCTGTATCACGATCTCCCTCCAATAACTTATGCCTTCCTCGTGCCTTTTCCGCACCACCATACGTCCTACCTACCCCATGTAATACGCGAGTAAATCCGTTATGAAGACCACAGGAGAGATGCGGCCGCTGCTACAAGAGAGCAGCTTGGCCAACAGATGGCCCCATACCCGGAGGAGGCAGCCTCTTCAACCACGCGTCGAAGCCTACCCTAGACGGCCGCCTTATGAAGCTGTTTGCGGTGATAATCGTATATGTCGCACTTGCACTCCATGTGCGCGCTATCAGCGACCGTCTCACCGACCTTATGACCTGGGATGAGTATAGCCTGCTTGTCAATGGCTCGAGAGTCTACATCTTCTCGGGCGAGATGTGCGTCCACCTTGATCTTCCCCCAGCCATTTGAAGTGCTAATTTTGTTAAGTCATTGCGAACGAGTACCTGTACCAGCATTGTGGCGAGATGTCCTAGAAAAGTACAAAGCCAACGGTCTCAATGCCGTTAGCATTTACTACTTCTGGTCTTACCACTCGGCTCGTCAGGGTCAATTCGACTTCACCGGCCCTGGCAAGAGCGTTCAGGAGCTACTAGACATAGCTAAAGACGTTGGACTGTACGTCATTGCAAGACCCGGACCATATGACAGCGCCGAAACCAACGGAGAAGGTTTGGCGCTGTGGGGTTCCGACGGCAGCCTTGGTGGCGTCAGGACATCAGATGAGAAATACCATCAAGCGTGGCTGCCTTATATCACTGAGATCAGCACTGTTCTGGCTGCGAACCAAATCACGCATGGCGGTGATGTCATATTGCAACAGATTGAGAACGAGCTGCAAGAGACTACGCACGACCCAAATAACACGCTCGTGGTCTATATGGAGCAGATTGAGAATGCCACACGCAGTGCTGGTATTGTCATACCATTCACACCCTAACGAAAAAGGTGAACGCAGTGGGAGCTGGTCTACCGACTACGAAAACGTCGGTGGCGCGGTGAACGTCTACGGGCTGGACTCCCACCCCGGCGGTCTGAGCTGCACGAATATCAACAGCGGCTTCCAAGTCGTGCGCAACTATTACCAGTGGTTCCAGAACTACTCATACACGCAGCCGGAGTTCTTGCCCGAGTTTGAAGCCGGAAACTTACTTGGCTGGGGCACGTATTTCTACGATCAGTGCCTAGCTGAACATGATCCGGCGTTTGATGCAGACGGCAAATACATCCCACAGATCGGCCCGCAAACAAGGTTCCCTTTTCCGCCAGGCGTCATCAACAACAACGGGGCCAACACCATCAGCATTGCACTGTGGGCGCAGACGGATGCAGGGGCACGTCTCAGCAACTGCATGTTGTTTACATACGGGCAGTATCAGACGGGCTTCGACTTCAATCAAGACTGGAGTGCACTGCAGCCGATGTGGACGGCGGATAGGCTGCACTATGTGTGGTGCGGCGTTGCTGCGTGCCCGATGCATCTTAGCGCGGCCTGGTGTAAGCGACTGCAAATGCGTATCAATATGAGGTTTTCATCGTCAGCCTACAGTGTCCCAACTCGAGCCTCAAAGCGTCGGTCTTTGGCACCTCGCATGATTTCGCCTTGTTCAACGCCTAGCTCTCTCCGGGATCTTCTGACACCCGACTGGCTGTCTCAGTGCGCTCGTCCAAGCGTCCGGACTTCAGCGAGCAACAAGCCATACCACGCTCCGATACCGCCAGACTGTCAAGCCATTTAGCTGGACCGAGCCAACAAGCCCAGAAAGCCGTGTACTAACCTCGACGGCGTGAGCACGCTCGTCCCATTATGTGCCTAGTCGAGTGGCATAGAATATCAGAACAGATATACAGGGTTGATCTCAAACATGCCGACTTCCAGGACACCTGCGCTTAATTACATACAATCTGCTCTTACGTCTCAATCCCTCCGTTACTTAACGGGAGTGGCCACTCAAACAATACTCCCATTCGCATAGTGGCTGTTCCTGCCTTGACCATTGCTGCCGTGAACGTTACTGCTGTGGGTGTTACTGCCCCGACTGTTCTTGTCTTGACCACTAATCTCGTCCCACGCTCCCTTCGCATCCCATGGCACCAGCTTCCCGTTGTGGTCTCGTGCTTTGGGCACTGGATGTATCAGCGCGTCGGATCCTGGCATCGTCTCCCTGGACGCACGCATGGGCAGAGGATCTTGTAGTTGTCCAGTATAAGCGATCTCATTGTTCACTTTGAGTTTATCAAGTTGGTCTTTCACCTCGAGCAGCCATCTGTCCCACGCAATAGTCCTGGGCAGTGCAGGCTCGCCTAGTGTCGTCCAATCCCCGGAGCCGGCAAGCACAATTGCCTTCAGGAGAGCTTGGGTGAAGTTTCTACTGTCAGGTCCGCCTTCGATGCCTTCCTCGTCCACGATGTAGCTTGTCAGGTCCCAATGCTTTCTTGGCGGAAGGGCAGCGACGACCCAATAAGCAGCGTTGATGAGTATGTATGCCCCTGCCCAAGCGACTTGGAGCTCTAACCTGGCATTCGCTAGAGCGATGACCCCAAACATCAGAAGCAACGTTCCTACCAGAGAAATCAGACGGTACTTTGCATGACTCTTAATCCAGTACTCCATTTCTTCTGGTGCAAAGAAGAGCTCACGCGCCACTTCCTCCTCACACTTCACTACCAAATAGCTTCCATTGGGGTACCGGATCACGGTGTCGCCAGGCGGCTTGAAACCTTTTTTCACCACCTGCGGTAGGTGCAAGGTCCAGTAGTTGACGATGCCTGCCAATGTCGACAGAACTGATAGGCATATGGTGGCCAGGAGGGAGCAACCATCGCCGCAGACGATTGACATGGTGAAGAGTACCAAAGACAGTATAAAACCGAGCAGAGTCACTGCTGTCAGTGGTCCAATTGCTTCAGCCGCAGGTCCTTCGATGACTGGCAGTTCGGGATGCCCATCCATGTCTTTCATCTCGAGAGCCGGGGTACTGGCAGGCCGACCGCGCAGGGTTCGATCTCTCCATGAGGGTTCGTACTGATTGGCCGCCTTCCTCTTCTTCACCCGGACGCAGCGGACAGTGAAGTTCTTCATCTCGTAATCGCTCGAATGTTCTCAGTAGAAGCTCACAAGTCTGGTCACGATGACTTACAGTAACACACCAGCAACGTGATGTAAATGGCGCTTGGCCATGCCTGAATACACAGCGGTCACATTAGCTGGCAATGCGGGAAGCGCTTCGGGTCTCCTCGTATAGAATAGTGCCTGGGGGGCCGGAATCAGCCTGGGGATGAGGAACAAGCGCGACAAGGCAGCGACCTGGGCATAGGCAGTCACGGAGCCTTCGCCGAGGATCGCGAGGAAGCCGACGATGTCAAGCTGGACGTCGTTGACGGAGGTGGGCCATAGCATCTTCCAGCCCTCCCCCCAAGCAGGGCCCGGCATAGAGATTGTGACATTGTTGCTACCACTCATGGCTATGACGACTATACGCCAGCGGTGACGACTTGGGGCCGGTCAATGTTTGAAGGAGAGACAGGCTTGAAGGGGAGCCGCATGCTCCTACTATATTTCTCACAGAAAAGAATGAGCTCCTAGGTTGCTGGAGCCGAACGGCAGAAAGGAGGAGAAGGAGATTGAAACGGCGAATGCGATCTGTAGGCAAGACGGGTTTCATGCAGCGCGCAGCCTCGTCGAGGGTTCATCGGTAGTACAGGGTTGGAGGCGCTGGAGGCGCTGTCTCGTAAGGCTGTGTTTGGGGGCGGCCTCGCCACCTTGTCACGATTCCGTGAAACGTCTGGCACCATGTCGCTGACCTTGTAATGATGATTCTAGTCTTCATAGTGAAGGCTTCACTGCCGCCGCGATCGAAGCTGGAAGCTCCCCGCGGTTGTATTGTACACAAGTTAGGGAAACGACGGAGCGACGTGGAGCGGACATTCGCAACATTGTCGCTGAAACAGGCCGAACGCCTTGGTGGGGAAAATGGGGCCATATGTCGCAGCTTGTCACTGGCAGCAGCCTTCAACATCCCGCTCGAGCCGAAAGCTCGCGGCAAAGCGCTAGCACTACCCTAGCTCATGAAGGAGTGTTGCAGGCTCGTGTGGTGGTTCGACGTTCGCAGGATGTGCCGTGCATGAGATACGCCTACATGCATGGGCTCGTCTTGTGAGGCGCAGCTATGCAGGCGCCCAGCTGAGCCTCCTCCTCGTTTCACGTGAACAACATGAAAGAACACTCGCAAACGGCGCCTTAACTTTACGGTCTGCGATCAGGTTTCAAGTTGTCCTCGTACACTTCGCACAGGTCACGGGCTTGATGGCAGGCACGTTGACGACAAGCCGTGGATACAGCACCGCAGCAGCACGATCTAGCTCTCCCCTTGGGGCCGCCCGGACCCAACACTGAATGCAGTTCAACATAAGAGCGACCAACAAACCCCGTTGGCGAGTAGCCGTTGCCTTCGTGCACGCATTGTGAAGCTGCAAGTGTCGGCGCCACGCTGCAATTGTCGAAGCGGCAGCAGCTCGCAATATCTCATTCAGGTCTTTCTTCGTCGAAGTGTTATGCTCAGGAAGAAGGTGAGATTGTGAACTGGCAACAAGCGGCTTCGATCGGCCACTGTAACCGTACCCGAAGCTGGTCTTGTGGCTTTCTAACAGGCACGTTGGCTTGAGCAGCGGAAGCAGAACGCAGCCTTGAGCGGTGCCGTTGCGCAAGGGTTTGCTGCGGCTTCCCATCACTTTCCATCGTTCGCCGCCGGACGCCGCAAAAGTGCGAATCACAATCTCAACCAGCACCAGTCGAGGAGGCTTTCAACATGGCAAGCACAGAACAAGCCAAGACCCTTCTCGATCAGAACTTTAGGACTGCGGAAACCTCACGTACATACCGAGAAAGCCGCCTACAGCTCCTAAATGAGGAGCAGCATACTGCGTGGGATGCGGACGCCAAGTCAACCGCATCTCAAATCGAGATCAAGGCGCAGAAGATTGTATTGAAGATCCGAGAGAACGAGCGCATTAACCCTGAGCTGTTCGGCAACCTTCCGAGTGAAGCTGTGCCAGATGCGCGGACCCGTGACATGGGAGGCCGCTTCCTTCCCAACAAGCGGCGGATAGAGCAGAGTAAGATCTTTGAGATTGCACGGAAGATGCCAAAAGGTTGCCATCTTCACGTCCACTTCAACTCCGAGATTCCGCCAGAGCAATTGTTTCCCCTTGTAAGAACGCCGGAGATGGAGAAGACCTTTTACATACGTACCACGCGGCCTTTACTGAGTGCCTTTGACTACACAGAGACCGAAATTGTGTTCAATGTATTCGCGGCAGATAAGCCAAAAGCGGACTGCTACTCAGAGAGCTACGACCCGGTTGTTAAAGACAATTGGCCTTGGATGCTATGGAGTGACTTTCGTAAACGCTTCCCAAGCGAAGGAGTCCAGCACGAAGAGACACCAGCAGGCCTCGACAACGCGGAAAGGTGGGCCAGGGAGAAGATGATCCTCACTGCCGCAAAGGTGTACAACGTCGAGCAGACCACCAACGGCGCTTGGGCATGCTTTAACCAAGGCACTCGCGCCTTCAAGGGTTTACTAAATTACGAAAGCGCTTATCGGTGGTATATCGGCAACGCGATGGACAGCATGATCAGAGATAAGGTGATGTACGCAGAGATGCGGCCTATGCTCATGGACAAGACTATCCCATCCGACGATGGCTTACGACAGCTTGATCACACTGATCAGATGGAAATCCTTCTTCAGGAAGTGGCCAAGAAGAAGGCACAGCTGGAGAAAGCTGGGGAGCTCGACAAGTTCCCCTTTGGCCTCAAGATCATCTACTGCACGCCAAGAAGCATACCGCGGCCGCGCATGCAGACGGAACTACTCGACTGCATTAAGCTTAAGCTACAGTTTCCAGATTTACTTTGCGGTTTCGATCTTGTAGGTGCTGAAGACCGCCCAAATTCCATCGGTTTCTATGCGGACCTGCTTGTAGGGTTCACGGAGGCTTGCAAGGAGCTCAAAATTAGCATACCCTTCATGTTCCACGCTGGTGAGACACTGCTCGACACTGGCGGCTCGTTCAACCCCGATAACAGCAATCTGTATGACTCCCTGTTGTTGAACGCGAAGCGTATCGGCCACGGGTACGCATTGCTCAAGCACCCGCTGCTGGTCGAGAAGTACAAGAAGCAAAACATCTGCCTCGAGCTGTGTCCGGTATCGAATGAGCTTCTGCACCTGTGTGGCAATATCAGGGAGCATCCTTTTCCATCGCTGCTTGCAGCAGGTCTACACTGCACGCTGAACGCGGACAACCCTGGACTCTTCAGGTAAGCCAGTGAGACTTTGAATTCATTGCGTGGTGTCGTTGACAACGTCTGCAGAGGAGCCACCACAGACAGTTCATCGCTATCCTACGAATTCTACCAAGTCATGGTTGGAGACACCCGCATGACCATCCACGGCTGGAAGCAGCTTGCTCATTGGAGCATTGAACACAGCTGCCTTAACATCCAAGAGAAGGAGCGCGCAATGTCGATCTTCAGATCCGATTGGGAGGCATTCTGCGACGATGTGGTGCAAACGTACGGTCAGCTTGCCAACCAGATCAAGGAGCCGGACCTGTCATGATTTCACGGCGCTCAAGCAGATTATGACTGCAATAGAATAGAAAGAGGCGCTGACTTAATCAAGCGACCTCATGACACCCTCGAATGCTACCAGTGCCGCTCCATTCGCTGGAAATGCTCGCAGGAAACATGGCAGAAAGCCTCTCCAGAACCCTTTCACTCCGCCTTCCCTCCACACTGCTTGCGCAGCATCCCGCCATCTTGCGTACTTCCGCCGACCTGGGTCAAGCGAGTCGGTCATTATACGTTGCTTCACGACGTCCGAAGGGTAGGAAGTCAGCCAGAAGATTTGTGCGCTCAGCCCACCTGCCCAGAAGTTGATCGCTGGTGTGCTCATCGTGGTGTGCTGCTGAAACCATCGCGTGAACACGTCGTAACTACCCCACCAGAAGAAGAAGAAGGTACGAAACAGCAGCGTAGCGCTCAAGCCATGCCAAAGACCCTGCACGCCATGCGCTTTTAGCAGCCTCTTCGTGCAGTCGACGGGACCGGAGTATAGACGGTCATGCTTTGATGCTTGATATTGTATCTGAAGACGGGCTTTGACGTGCTCCACAGGCGCAGCGATGAACGAAACGGTCCAGCCTGCGAACATGCCGGCAATGCCGTGGCCAACTGTGGGTAGCCGCTTGCTCTCGTCGTCTGATGTCCCACCGTGGGAACTAGTTGGACGCGCACGTAATGGTTGAAAGACCTGCTCGTTCAGTAGACGACGATAGAGGGTCAGTGAGCCGAGCATGAGTGAGTCCATACACATCCAGCCAAGGAGTGGTGGCGTTGCGCCCTTGTAGAAGCCAACGATGCCTTCATAGCGGACTGTCTGCAGGACACAGTCGAGTGGTCCTCGGAACTGTGATCTGGGAGCTGTTTGCAGGCGGACCTTGATCGTGTCGAATGGGTGCCTTTAGAAGCGAGTTAGCTTAATGTGCATGAGTCTGGGCTTCGGTAAATATACCCAACGCTCAATTTCGCAATGCCAGAGAAGACACCGGCGACAAACCCTTTGTAACTGCCGCCTTGAGTAGATTTCGGCGGAATCAATGGTACATTTTCGCTTTCCACAATGCTGCTGCTGGTTGAGGCGGCGGTAGGCCTTACCGTACCTGACATCTAAGTGCTCGACGAAGATCCAACCTCTGCACGTGCATGCTGTGAAGGCAGATGGACCACAAGCAATCAGTGTGTACACCTTGTCAGAGATGGGTCTAACTCCGAAGTCTCACTATCCGATGGTCTAGACGGAGTTGAAGAATGCGATCTCGCCGAAGCATCGGCTCGGCAATGACGTGCTGCATCCGCCGGCATGGATCGCCTGCAGCCCGGTGCGTTTGGTGAACTTTTGGTTAGATTTCCAAGCGACTCCGGCGTAACGCTTTCGATATAAGCGAACCATCATGTAGGAGCTTGACCTCGTCACGACCTTGATGGTCGGTAGCACATTACACCTATTACACTCGATCTACGAACATGACAACGTCCCAGGAACGCGTTGATGGCGAGAATGCACCAACAGGCGCCAGTGCTGTTAATCCACGGCCGGAGAGGGTGGTGGATAGCGACAAAGTCTGGACGACATTAATCACGAACACCAAATACCTCTCCGGGCTACTCACATTGGACGCGTCGCTCAAATATGTTGGATCGAAGTACCCGCTTGTGGCACTCTATACGGACACCTTCCCACCAGAAGGCCATGCTGCTTTAGACCGAAGAGGGATACCGAAAAAGCATACTCCGTATCTTCTCCCCAAGACACACAAGGACTTCACGAACGATCCGCGCTTTTATGACTGCTGGAGCAAGCTTACACCGTTTAGCTTGGTCGAATATGAACGGGTCGTGCAGCTTGACAGCGACATGCTTGTGCTGCAAAAGATGGACGAGCTGATGGAAATCGAACTCGACGGCGCAGACATGAAGGGCAAGGGACGAAGAGTGTTCGCGGCGAGCCATGCATGCGTGTGCAATCCCCTCAACAAGCCGCACTATCCACGGGACTGGATACCTGAGAACTGCGCCTTCACGACGCAGCACGACACCCCGGACAAAGCGCAGGTCGAGGGTGCACCGCCTACAGCCGGCCTAGCTATGCCAAATGGTGGGCTGCAAGTCGTCGTGCCCAGTGCAGATGTCTATGACCTCATTCTTTCCGCGTTGCAGGGCGACAAGACAATCAACTACGACTTTGCCGACCAAAGCATTTTGAGCGATCTTTTTCCGGGTCGTTGGGTGGCCTTGCCGTACATTTACAATGCGTTAAAGACGCTGAGGTGGAAGGGCGTACACGATGCCATATGGCGGGATGACAAGGTGAAGAACATGCACTATCTGCTCAGTCCGAAGCCATGGGATGAGAGCCCGGACGAAGGTAAGAGAAAGGAGGGCCGTAACGAGCGCAATGAGGCCAACGATTGGTGGTGGGATGTACATGAGCGGAGATTGAAGGAGGAGAAGGCGAGAGGTATTGATGATGGATTTTAGCTGTAGCCGAGTACAAATTCCAGGTCGTCCTCCACCTCTCGGTGCTCCAATATGTCTACTGAACAATATGCGCTGCGCATATCCACAGTGATGTGCCATCCCAGCAATAGCCTTTCGGTAAGCGGTTGCTGGCGCTTGTCTCCGCTGCTCAAACGCCCATGCAGCGATCCTGCAGTAGATTGGCAGGCGCTTGGGCCAATCTGTAGATTCCAATGTAGCTTCAAGGGGCGCAAGTGGCATACATCACACTTGCGACTCCTCGGAGCAGTAGCTATATTCAAAAACTCTCCCTCTGACAGCTGCTGATCGAATCACACAGACATCGCAACTCAAAGTCTCACACGAGCGAAGAAAGGCGGGAAGCAACACCGGCAGTGGAGCACACGCGACACGAACATTGATCGCGTCTTTCGCGGAACCAGGAGCGATATCGCCCTTGTATAGAGCAAGGCTCTAGCAGTGTTGCTGCGGGGCCGCGACCATAAGTTGAGCGTCGCAGCTATGGGCGCCTCCATCAGCAAGATGATGGCCAAGATCTTCGGATCCAAGGAGATGCGGCTGTTGATGCTGGGCTTAGACGCGGCAGGCAAGACGAGTATGTGGCAGTTGACAGTTCTTTCGGTATCATAGCTAACGTAGGTGTAGCCATACTCTACAAGCTCAAGCTTGATACAGACGTTACGACAATTCCCACAGTAGGCTTCAATGTCGAAACGGTGACGTACAAGAACACCAAGTTCAATGTGTGGGATGTTGGAGGACAGGACAAGATCCGGCCGTTATGGCGGCACTACTTCTCCGGCACGCAGGGGTTGATCTTCGTGATAGACAGCAATGATCGAGACCGAATGGATGAGGCGAAGAAGGAGCTAGAGCGGATCATCCAGGATCGGGAGATGAAGGATGCGCTGTTGTTGGTGTTCGCGAACAAGCAAGATATCAGAGGAGGTGAGTTGGCCTCGATGCAGGCATGGGAGCTGGACTTTCACTGACTGCTTGCAGCCATGTCGCCGAAGGAGGTCTCCAATGAGCTAGAGCTTGACCGGACAGCGAAAGGTCATGTCTGGAAAGTTGAGCCTAGCTGTGCGACGACCGGAGAAGGTATCTTTGAAGGCTTGGCTTGGTTGAGCAATAACGTCAAGTTACCGCCAAAGTAAGCAGGACGAGCCAACAATATCAGGAGCAAACAATACGCGTACACAGACGTTCAAAAGTAGTGCCGCCGAGCTTTACTGTTGCGGCCGCTACTCAGGCCGCAGCTTGGATGTGCAAGCTCAACTCGGGACAAGCGTGCCACGGCCTGTGGTAAGCGCTACACATCGACTTGAGAAGCGAAGATACCCCGGACGCTGGCGTGTTCCAACATAGCATACCGGCAGAAAGTATGACGCGAAGATGGCAGCGGCGTTGCTAGGTTGTTGCTCGGGAGGGGCGCCGTCTTGGTCACCGCGCATACTACAGCCTTTAGAGCTGAACGCAGCACTGCGGCAATACGATCTGCCCGCAAGAGTGCCCATGGGCTTCGCTGCCCGTCCAAATGATAGACTTCCGCAAAGGTACGCATCCAACCAATCTCTGCCTTAATGCCTACTTAGGTCTCATTGCCCTATTACAAGCCAGACAGCAACCCGCAGTAGCAAAGCTCCCATGTCTCAACAGAACATCTTCCATGATTGTTTCCGTGCGATCGAACATGGCCTCTAGCGCCGCCTCCACCGTGGCATGCGGCTCGCTCTTCATCAGAATGGTGATCTCGGTCTCCTTCGGCCTTCTTACCACAAGAAAAGCGTAGTGCTGCTCCATCGCTAGCTCTTCGGCTGAAGCTTGTGGAACTTTACGTTTAGCGAGGATGACTTCGACGGGATCTGCACAGCCGCGCGGTTTCAGGATTTCTGCGTTGCCGAGTATGAGTGCTCGTAGGTCTTGTATTGAACGCTTCGGGGTGCTGCCTGTTGTGGGAATGGTCACTGAGCCAGATGACGGCTGGACAGTGTATGCTGGCGGATCCATGATCTGTCTGGTCTGTGCCTATGAACTGGCTATAAGCAAGGTTACATTTGAGAATGGGAGCCGAACAGCGATGACATGGCTAAGTTTGAGGCTGTGTCAGGTGGACGTTGTCATGTCATGTACTAGTCCGCTCCGTGACTGTAGGCAGTGCGCAACACCTTCGACTGTCGCAGTTTCACAAAAGCTCAGGCAGGCTTGACAACTCCCATCAATGCGGTTGATGTTCATGTATAAGGTACCTTCGATGTGTGGCGGACTGCGGGGCGTTGCCGTGTGAAGAGAACACCGACACTACGCCAGAAAGGGAAGCTACGGCGATAGCGGCAACGCAACGAGAAGACTTGCAGCGGTCAGCAGCTTTCTCGGCCAACCGTCGATATCGGATACAGTCCCTGCAAGTAAATAGAGAGGCAAGTTACGTCTCAATGTTTCTTCTGCCCCTTAAACTGGTCCTTCTTTTGCACTGACTGCTAAGATGGCATCGTATGAAACCTCACGAAAAGTCTCAGTGGCAACAACTGTTGAACCTACTGAAACATCACCATTGCTGGACAGGAAACTTTCCAGAGCGTCAGTAATATGGCAGAAGTCTACAATATACCGAGTCTTGTTCTGTGGGTTTCTGGTCTCCCTTACATTCGGTGTTACACAAGTGCCGATTATCTACGTTTTCGGTCTTATGAACTGCGAGGAGTACTACCGCCACCACCCGTCACCGCCGTCGGCCTTGGATCGATGTAAAGTTCACGAGATTGAAGCAGGAACTGCCCGACAGGTGGCGCTGCTTGGTGCTGGTACTACGCTCTTCGGCGTGGTAAACCTGTTCTTCACCGGCTGGACCATCAAAGCTTTCGGGATCAAGAAGTCTTTGCTGCTTACGGTCTTTCTCCCAGCTATCAGACTGGCAATCCAAAACATTGGCGTTGAGCTTGGTGCCGGGGTTGGCATCCTAATCGTGCAGCTCTCACAGATCATCACGGTAGTCGGCGGGCCCGTCGGGTATATGCTCTCATTGAACTCCTTGGCCACCGAAGTCGTTGAGCCCGTTGAACGGACAGCCACTCTCGGACGTCTTTCCGGCTGCGCGATGTTCGGCACCGCCCTGGGCTTTCTCGCTGGCGGTCTGATTGGAGATGCTTTCGGTATCATTTGGCCATTCCGCGTGACGGTGGGGCTGTTCATCATCAGCTGTCTCTACGTTCAGCTATGCCTGCCGGACGTGCACAATCCTGATATCGAGTCCAAGGCGTCGAAGTCGCTATCATCCTTCTTCGACCCAGTCAAGATGTTTGCGCCGCAGAAATGGCAGCTCAGCAATGGCAAGGTGCAAATCGAATACGGTGTCCTTCTGCTCGGTCTTGGTACGTTTCTCGGTGTACTCTCGACCAGCTATATCGGCACCCTGCTGCAAATGTATGCCACCGACATCTTCGACTTCGGTACGTCCGAGAACGGTCTGCTCATCTTTGTCAACTCGCTTGTACGCGGCTTATTCTTGACCTTCGTATTTCCTATCATCATTTCCGCCGGCCGCGAGTGGCTCGACAAGCGCAATCAAGTCTCAGAGAGCGCTAAAATTAGTGCCTCGGAGTCTGGCATACCTGATATACCCGTCAGTCCAGCCGAGATTGCGGCAGACGCCAGGCCGATGGAGGGCGGCAGGGAGCCTGTAGAGCCTCTCAAGCCAGCCGGTGCCAAGGCGGGCAATAAAGCAGAACGTCAATCCTTTCGTTTCGACTTGCTCTTCACCAAGTACTCGCTGATAGCGGATGGCTTGCTCACCGGTCTAGCAACCTTCACCACGGCTGGCTGGCAACTCTATGTTATCGCCGTCATCCTACCACTTGCTTCTGGTACTGGTCCAGCCGCCAAAGGAACAATTTTACAAATGTGTCCGCCGGAGCAACGAACCGATGCGTTGTCCGCGATCAGCCTCGTGGAACTGGTAGCTAGACTGAGTAGTCTGAGTGTCTTTGGTCTGGTTTTCGCTGCCTTCGCGGAAACCGGCCAGCCAAACTTGACATTTACATGCAATGCCGGCATCGCCGTGGTTGGATTCGCGATTCTGATGTTTGCGCGCTTCCCACCAGACGGTAGCCGGCGGCTAACCAAGGATGATGAGGACGATTGAAAGGCTGTGACGGACGCGAGAAAGTGTCACAGCCTTAGCTGGTGACAAGCCGTTTGCGGCAAGGTCGAATAATGATCCATAGCCAGCTCTTCCCGTTGAGTCACATACTGTCAGATGTGACCTTGTGTGGCAGATGTACTCAGCGTCAACAAGAATATCTCAGGGCTGCTTGTTGCGTTTGGAGTCGAGGTAGCGCGAGACGGAAGGTGTCCCGTCTGCGACGGTACGGGTTTCTTTCTTTGGCTGTTTCTTACCAGGTTCCAAGGCTGATCTACTGTGTGCAGACAACCACAGAAGGTGAGTCGGTCGCTATGGCTGACTGCTAATTTCATGGTTGCAACGAGGAGAGCAACGGACTGTGGCGCATGCATTGTACGATGAGCATGCAAAGCCTGGCGCTCGCATATTCTCCGAACCTAACGGGAGGACTTGGTAAACATGCGCACTTTTTGGGCCTCGCTTGCAGAATAATGCCTATACTGCAAATTGGACATACCTCGCCGACCCGAAACCTCTCACACATCTCCGGCAACGTGACTCGCCTCTTCAGTCTCGTTCGCAGCAAGTTCGGTGCCAGGTTCCATGATGTTTATAACATGCTCAGAGACTTCGACCCTACTTCGAACTCGTTCCACAGCAGATCGTGCTCGTCAAGCGCGACGTAAGCGAGATACTTGTAATGCTTGTCAAACTGCGCGACGCGCTAGGGGAACATCATGTCGTCGAGATACATGACCGACTCACCAAATCGCCTTCTCGATCACTGCCGCCGCTCCGTAGAAGATCCTCCTTCGAGGTGGCAGCAACCTTCTCGCGTGGGTTCTAGTTCCGGCTTAGTTGGAAGATACTGGTGATCCGCACGGGAAACTGGTAACCGAACAAGACCGTTGGGTGATTCCGCGCAGCGGTCCATTGCAGCTTGTATAGACCATCCGCCAGCGGTCCAGCACGCTCGTTCCGCTGCTTGGCTTGGAAGAGGTTGACGGATTCACTAATGGCCTCCTAGACAAGCCACCGCCCATAGATCGCACGAGCGAGCAAGTGCGAGCACCTCTCCGCCTTGCTATCGTCGGATCTGTCTTTCTTGCGGTACCGAATAGCGCTGAATGAGGAAGTAGAAACGGTCCGAGAGTCGAAGTTAAAGCACGCCCGTGACTTCGACGGCTGAATCTGCGTGAGGTCGCGATTCAACGTCAGCACTCTGTTGCCCGCCCTATTCCGCTGGCGGTATTGCTAAAGCCCTCCGATGCTTTGTTGTCCAAGCGGGAAATGTTGAGCAGTTGTATTAAAACGAACGTTGTGCGGCACACCCAGGAACTGGCCGCACCCGGCTGGCTTCCGCGACCAGCATGCGCCTCAGGACGTACAGATGTAGAGCACACTGTATCCACCCAGAAGCGCGGTGTTGTCCAGTCAGAGCACCGCGTCGCGCACCTCGGGAGGCTTGCCCACGCTCATCGAGACAAGAGACAGAGCGCAACAGCAGTAGAGCTCAAGGATCCCCATATTTAGAAAAACATCCCAGCCCCCTCCTCACCGTCTGCCCAACAAGCAACCAAACCGCACCTCTCCCATCCCCTAAGTCCCTCCTCCTCCAGTCCATCAAACATATACTCTCCCTCGCCAAGCCCTCAAATCCATCATACGGCAGCCCACTCACCCTCAACGTCATCCACGCGGCCCCGCTCGTCGCATCTTCCGATACATGCGCCGTCGTATTGACGACTTCGATGCGCCAGCTGGGGTGCGATGTCGCCATCGAGTGCAGCATGTTCACAAGTTCGGCCGAGGTGTGCGTTTCGGGGTAGTCGTCGAAGTCGCCGTGGACGGTTGGGTCGATGAGGTTCAGGGCTACCGGGGAGGTGGTGAGGGTGCGGGTGTTGAAGAAGTCAAAGAGTTGGCGGGAGGCGGCTTCAAGGTATGTTGCGGTTTCGCCGAGATCTAGTCGAATGGGTGCTGCGGTGGCCAGATCATGGGAAGGCGCTGATTCTGTTACTGATGCTGCGGATGTGGTCACTCTGAGTGCTTCGTTGGGAAAGTACTCCTCCTGGCCGGAAGCTCTATCGTACTCCGGAAGGAGCTGTCGGAGCGCTGTCCAGCTTATCGTTCCATCAATCAGCGTGCTGATTCTGTCCCTATGGCGGCTGTACTGCCATTCGACCAGCAGTTCGCGTGGGTTCAATTTCGTGTACTCCATAACCGGTTCCGCTGTTGTGAAGTGAACAGGTAGTCTCCTCTTTACGCGAATTGAAACATTGAAATATGTGGATATGCTACTCTAGCAGGTATGGAGACATTTGGACGTAACATCGATTACAAAAGAGCGCTTTTACCTTGAGGTATTGAGGTTATGTCATGCCATGCACCCTGTTGTTACTTACATGGAACATGACAAGCACTCATGCACGCAGAACCAAGTTAAGATGTGGCCATGAAGGTTGGAGGTCGGATGTAACGTACGGTTAGCGGCTTTAAAGTCGATGCCCGACAATGTCTCCGGGTTGGCTGTCGGCTTCTGGCCCCTACTCCCTTATTGGGCGATATGATCAACATAGGGCTGCAGCAGCTTGGCAAGAGCAGAGCCACTCACCTCACATGTGGATTCGTAAGCGTTGTATATACGCACCATGTCAAACCTCTACGCCAACTTCATCATCGTACCAAGCTGTAACTCGCTTTTCAGATCTTCCCATTCACGCCATCCGCGTACGCATGAGCCCCGCCCCCGGTCGTCGCCTGCCCATGTCCCAACTCACAAAACGCCTTGAACGTCACCAACGGTTCCTCCCCTACACTTTCTAGCACCAACTCAGCAGTAGCGCCCACAAAGTACACGTAACCCTCTTTGAAATCTTCCGTTTTCGGGCCGACGGAGATCTTGCCGCTTCCTTGCGTGCAGATGAGGATGGAAGGGCCGTCGATAGGCTCGAACGTGACTTTGCTGCCACTGCTGTTTAGTGCCGTCCGCACAACCGCGAACTCCTCGATTGGTGGGTCGTACAGAGTCGCTACGCTGGAGCTGTTGTAGGCGGCTGTGTTAAACTTGCAGAAATGGTAGTCGCTGGGATGCATCTTCTGCTCCTCAATCGGGGCGTAACTGTATGTCAACATCGAGGTGAGCGTATCGACATCCTTGAATTTGGGCGTGAAGCCGGCGCGCACGACGTTGTCGGAGGAGGCCATGCACTCGATGATATCGCCGCTGAGGTACGCATGGATATCGTCAGCTTGCAGGAACATGGCTTCTCCGACGGTGAGCTTGACGTAGTTGAGGAAGAAGGTAACGAAGAGGCCGATATCGTTAGGGAACTCCTTATTCAGGCGGATCATGAGGTCGGAGAGTTCTTTGCCGGAAGTGGCAGAGACGCCGCTGCCGGCGAATTTGCTGCCTTCGGTTTCGGCTTGCTTGATGAGCTCGGGTGCGGCTTTCTCGACGTCTTCAGGTTTTGACTCCATCAGGCCCTTGAAGGCGGCTTGGAGCGCTTTCTTGTTCTCGGCTGCTTTGCTCTTGTCCTCAGTCGTCTCCTGACCTTTGACCGTCTGCTCAAACTTCTTCGCTTGCTCTTCGCCGACGAGCTGGCGCAGCGATGGCACGTGTTGTAAGAAGTGTGCGATCTCGCCTAGTGGTCGGAAGCCGCATAGTCCGTCAAAGGGTGTGATAGCGATAGTCATCTCCGGCTTGTGGTTGTCATCCTTGTAGTTCTTCGGATCCCGCTGATGCAGTTGCTCGGCGAGTTTCTTGTTGGGGTGTGCCTGGATGCTCAGCGCCTTGTTGATTGAGAGGACCTTGAATAGGAACGGCAGCTTCTCCTCGTACTTCTTCGCAATAGCCTCGCCCATCAGCGCCTGGTTGTCCTGTACCAGGTCGAGCAGCGTTCGGCCTGTCTCGAGATCCTTTGAAGGGTTGGAGGGGTGCGTGCCCATCCATAGTTCGGCATATGGCTTGTCGGACTGGATGGAGAAGTCATCGCGGGGTGTGACGGAGGCATAGCGAGCGGCGGCGCTACTTTCGCCAATCTTGCCTGTGTAGAATGAGCTGCCGGTATCAATCAATGCGTTGGCTCATGCTCACCCCATTCGTAGCTGTTGCACCCTTCGCTGCGGATCAGCTTGACTGCTGTCAACTAATCGACCTGACTCGGGCGTGCTTACCGCATTGCAGGCGTAGAAGAGGAACTTGGACCATCGCGCTTACTCTTTCCAATGCAGCACAGTCTTGCTGTTGCGTTCAGTGCAATTGATCCGGGAAGCGATCAGGAGAGAGATCTGCATACGAGAGCAAGTGCACACCGCAACGCTGTCAAGAAAAGAGCAGAGCCTCATCCCAATGTTACGGACCTTCCCCAGGTTGCATGCAGGGACAGGAAGCGGTTGTGGCGCCGACATCCGCAACGGCCCATGTCTCCAATCAGAGACAATTAAAGGTCATATGCCCGAGTCAAGAGTATATCATCGAGCACTGAGATATCTGCTTGTTGCGTGCCTATACCATGTGTGACCGCCGGTAACCCCGTATTGTTCTTTGTTGCTCTACCTTTCGCCACCACCATGACATCCCGCGGCAGAAGTCGAGGCACCTCGAACCAGGATGCCGACGAGGAGCGGCGATTATGGAAGGAGATCAAAGACAAGGCGAGAGAGCTTGACGCTATGGTGGTATGTTCAATGTGTTTTTATGCATGATCCTTCACTGCATAACATATAACGAGCAAGTACGCCTTCACGAAACACTGTCCGTGGATGACGATTTCGGGTGTTGAGGAGCATAAATCGATCGTGCAACATCTTTGACGTGGGCTGACCGTAGCGCAGACACGATCAAACGAGATTGGGACGGAGATTATCGACGTTGAATCACAACAAGCAGCTTTGATCGATGCGGGCAAGCTACCCTCTGCCGCCCTGGACGAGCGGTTAGAGAAGCTGTATAGAGAAAATGTCAAGATATGCGAGGAGTTCCAGCACATCTCCGTAAGTTTGCAAGACTCCCAAAGATGCTCCGGGTATGAGAATTGCATAGCTGAACACCACACCACGCTCTTTAGGAAGGCCAGTCTAACGGCATGAACCTTCTGGACAGCATCAAGGTTCTCGCAGGTCTTAGAGAGGCCTCCGAAGGCGATCTTGCAGCAGCACAAATGCAAGCCAGTCAAAGCCAAACCGGTCGGACTGCAAATGGCAAGCTTGCTCGACCGAAGAAGGGCGCGAATGCCAAAGCTGCTCCTTCTGCGGTGACCGTCGCCACCAACAGCGCCGTCGAGGAAACCGAGCACGAAGTTTCTGCCGCCCCGAGCCCTAAGATCATCCTCGGCTCCGCCGCCAGCAGGCTCAATGCCAAAGACAAAGGCTCCCGGGCAGCAAGCGTCTCCCTGTCCGCCACCCGTGAAGCCAGTGTCAAAGTGGAAGACGGCGCGGAGTCCGTAGCCAGTAGCACGGATGCACCCTCCACGACCACCGGAGGAGCAACAGGAAGCAAAGCCTCCAACTCCGCAAATCGGCCCAGCAATCGCTTAGTGTTGAGGATGGGCGAGATAGTCTTCTGCCGGCACGACGCTAGGAACGTCAAGCCCGGCGGCGAACCTCTCGAGGGCGAAGGGATACTATGTCGTGTGACCAACGTTATTGGCGAGGGCAAACAGCGACGATATGAGGTTCAGGACGCCGACACCTCGAGTCCGGAGCCTGCGACGCCGTATCGGGCGAGCGTGGCGCAGTTGATCCAGATTCCGGCGAGCAATAAAGGACTCAGCGATCTAACGAAGGGGAAGAGTGTGTTAGCGCAATATCCAGATACGACGACCTTTTACAAGGCGGAGGTTTCGGAGCCGTGGAAGGGTGTAAAGCTGGGAGCGGACGCTGAGCCGGGTCTGGTTATCTTGCAGTTCCAAGACGACGAGGCACATAGGGATGTGGAGCGGCGGTTCGTCTTGACTGAGAAGTAGGCGGTCGAGGGACAGACGAGGGCGCCGTATCTGCTGAGGCAGAGGGTCCATTTGTAGCGATGTGAATGGGGTGGAAGAACAAGATTTGGACGAAACCTGATCGTTGTTGGGAAGTGTCGGCGCTACTCTTCGATTGAGAGTTGAGCTTCATCATATGAGTTTGCGTCTACCATGCTTTCCAATACCTGGTATACGCTTGCCTACGTGGAAGTGGAGCTCACTCACGCCTGCGTTTCGCAGAACGTAGCGAGGAGATTGCAGCCATACGTCGCGCAGCTTCCATCAGCAAATGTGGCAAGCAAACGTGCCCTCACGCCTCAGTAGGAACGATGAAGCTACTTTCTGTACCTGGCTACCTCACGGAACCACCAACATACCTTGACCATTGAGAACAGCAGATGAGCTAGGATTACATTGTCAGAAAAGTTCTCAGAGCATCAAATGGTCATTGTCTGGACTTCATCTTTCCCATGCGCGGCATCCTAGTCCAACACACCTTGACGTGCAACAAGCAGTGCTTGCTAGTCTAAGTCAGCATTCATCATGGACATTGTCATGCTACCCATTCTCTGCAACTCGCAGGCTAGAGACCGCGAGGAGATCGTCCAGCCGCCCGTCCGCAGAGACACGCCGGCTCAGAACGAAGCCTTGCCTTGCGCAGTCGAGCATGAGGAACTCAAGGCACGAAGAACTGAGAGCGTGGATCCAGATGCTCATGCAGCCTGTTGCGGCATGGATGTTGATTGGCTTCAAGCAGAGGCGGAAGCATGCAGCTTGTGGCAGGAAGAGAAAGAGGCTGGTACGACGACATCTCCCGACCATTTGGTACGCGGCAAGAGCTTCAGTGAGTCTGACCGAAACGGGATCATTTGCACTGAGCGAGCGCCTTCACCAGAAAAGGAAGCGCACGGTAATACGCACAGCTTGTGGGAATGGCTGCTTGAAGAGTTCGCTGTGACCTCGCCAGGTTGGCCGATTAGAGCAGCAAAGGACCGCACGGATCGCGCTCGGAGTGTCTCGCCATTCATTCTAGGTCCGAACAGCTTGCCTGAAGACGAGCATGCGAGTACGAATGAGGCGAACAGCGACTCACTGGAGCATTCGCCTACGCCACCTCCTCCAGCTTTGCCTTCTACGCCGACAGTGGGCAGCAATAGCGGCTACAGATTCGTGAGCTTCGGCCTCCCAGAACCAGCGACCGAGCAGTCGGTGCTGGCAATGCTGTCTCGTCAGCAGACGCCGCAGCACACGTTTCAAAAACGCGATCATTTTCGCAGCCCACTACTCGCAACTACTGCACTGGTTGCACGCTTGCCAAGCGAGCAAAACCCCAATCCCTTACTAACAACACCATTCAGTCTGCTCCAGCACCTGCAACTGAGCAGCTGCCATGCAGAGATGCGAGCACATCCCTTTCCGCCACTGCCACCGAAGCATGAGATGCCGCCGGAAGAGTTTCAGGTGGCTTTGATGAGTGAAGAGAAGCGGGACACCGTAGGTCAAGATATCGAAGAGGGGCTGCTGAGAAGCATGGGCTGGTCATCCGATGGTCCGATTGACCAGCAGTCTACGCCGCAGACACATTGTCGCACTCTGATGCGTGCCAGGGTCGAGAGTCAGCCGTTTGCTTTTACTGGCAATGCGGCGAGCATTCAATTTGGTTCAGCGCCGAAGGTCAGCAATGAGATCACGTCCCTGCACTTGTCTCCTTCCTGCTCCATTGATCGGTACCACTTGGAGTTTCCGTCGTCTCGTCCGTGGCAGCATGCCCACGAAACTGTGAACCCTGCTCTTGAGGATGAAGGGGTTCAGGTGTCAGATACCCCTTCGCGCCTAAGGAGTTTTGGTGCCATCGATCAACATCCTATCGACTGGGCGCTATACGGCCTGCGGCAAGACCAAGAGGGCAACACACAAGTCGCTGAAGAAGGCGTTGCTGTTTCACCACGGTCAGTATCAGTGGAAAGTAGCCCTTCACACCGTTCACCATGCGCCTCCAGTGTTGGTCCGGCTTGGACAGGCTCACTACAAGACGACCAAGCAGCCGATGCAAGTGTCGCTGTCCTCCCGGGCGATACATTCGGCAGTGCGCCAATGATCCGCTTTGGGGCGACGCCGTCACGTTCATCGCTATCGTCCACTCCAAAGCACTACATGGACCGGCCCTTAGACGGCCCCGTCAGAGATGCTCTGGGCAATGTCCATGCCACCGATGAGGGCATCCTCATCACTACCACGACTCACACCAGCACCACTACCTCTTCACCATCCCCGCACCGCCCAAACACAATCTTCCGCTTCGGCAGCGACAACCCCGACAATCGCCGCTTATTTAAGTCTGACCATTCTCGTTCCCGTTGTCGCTCGCACTCGCGAGGTCGCCAACTAGACAACCAATGTACCGACAAAGCCTCGTGTAAATGGTCCGGCTATGATGGACGCGCGCACTCGCCCAACCCACCCGCCCCGCCTCGCTCCGCCTCCGCGGACCCACTACCGGCTGTAGCAGAATTGGCGCTGGTCATCGATCCGATTGAGCCAGTGGTGCAGAAATTCAAGGAGCTGGCTTAGCAGGCCAAGCAATTAGTAAGGGAGGGAAAGAAGACGACTGCTGCGTTCGCTGCTGCTGGTCTGCATGGAGACGGGCCGGTTCTGGAGCCGGCAGTACATAGAGGGGATCATAACTTGCCAGTTCCCGATCCGCAAACACAGACGGCAGATGATGGTGCGTCCATCGAGACGAGCTCATCTTCGGGATCATCGTCGAACAAAAAGAGCCTGAGAGGCATCCTAAAACACAAATCCTCTGCATCGAGCATAACCTGGAGCCCAGAGCATGACAAGGCTGGCGCGAGCATCAGCATGAACGGTGCTGAAACGCCAGTATGGAAGGCCAGTATCGCCATCCGGGCCAAACCTTCTGTCGTCAACCGGGAACCCAGACCTAGCCGCAGTCTGTCCAGAGTTGCGAAAGCGGCGAGGCGAGCGGCTGATCGAAGTTCGTCCACGAAGCGTCAGGCAGCGCTACCTCCGGAGCTGAAGATGACGAAGCTTGAGCGTGCGCCAGCCAATCTTGTAGAGAGTCCGCACGAGCAGGAGGAGGCCGCAAAGGAGAGGAAGGATAGTCGGAGGGAGTCCGGTCCAATGGAGGAGGGAGAGCACGGAAAAGCTCAATGTGTGATTTTCACCGACGGAGAAGATGCCGGCACTTCCGGTGACCGCCGTCCTGATGTCTCCCGTATACCAACCAGTATTTGCAAAGGCAAGCAGCCAGCGAGCACCGCCAGAACGCCAGTCAGTCCTCGCGGGTTCCAAGAGCCATCATTTCCACCCTCACCTTCGGATGAGGGACGTTCGCAAGGACAGAGGACGAGAACCAGTCCGGACAGAAAGGCGGAACACATCAGAGAACTCGGCTTCGAGCCCACGGAGACCGAAGGCGTATACCTCCGCGCCTCACCCGAGAAGCCTGACCATTCGGTGGAGAGGCCTTCCGTTAGCGAGATGCAGCGCAGAATGAGGGAGTATATGATCGCTCATAGTCGACAGATTGTGGAGAAGGAGCCCGATGGAAGACGTCGAGCCTCACTCATTCCAGCCGGGTGTGAGACTGCTCCCTCGCCAAAGGGAGAGGAGGACCATGGGAAGCTAGCCATAACGTTGACAGGGGCCAGATATCCGCCCGATATAGGAAGTGCTCCTAATGGCCTTCCGCCACCGAACGAGGATAGTCGCAACGTCAGCGCCGGCTCCGATGGCGGGTTCACGGGACGTTCGGCGGGCAAGATCCTGCCAGGAGAGTCCTGCCGCTCGCCTGAACACGCGGCATCCTCCCAACGGCGTGGGAGTGGCAGAGCGGGCTATGAAAACTTCACGCCATTCTGCGCAGGTAATGAGATTGGTATGTCGGTATCGTCAGGCAAGCCAATAGCTGCTGCAGTACCGCCTCAAGTGCCGCCAAGACCGAAGCGGGAAGGCGGGAGTGGTGAAGTAAGGGTGAATATGGGTGCGGCGGAGCAGGGTGCGTGAACTTATTTCCTCCTAGACCCCTAAATTAACCTGCAATGCTCTCCATACTCCCACTCCCACCCCTTCCACATCATCACCACCGCACACCCTTCCCATTCTCATAGTTCTTTTCCCACCGCATATTTCGCTCGCAGAGTAGCTCATCGCAGCACCACCACGTTGGGAAGATGGCCGGCCGGCTGATTTTTGACCGTATTCTAGACGCGCTGCACCACGACGACGGCACGGTTGTGCAGTTGGTGGAGGGGCGGCGGACGGAGCAAGGTGAGTCGGAGCGCGTGCTTGTCGTGACCCCGGGCAGGCAGGGCAGTCAGGCCTTCGGCTTGGCGCCCGGTAGCGGGCGGCAGGAGTACCGCTTTCCTGGCGCTCCCAGCGGCGTTGTCGGCGGAGAGAGGGCGGTGGGTGGGACGGCAGCGGATGGACGTGGCGATGGCGTTGGGAGTGTGGGCGCGGCAGTGAGTAAAGAGGAGGAAGTTCTGCGTGTGCCGCCACCAAGTCCGACACTCCCACCTCGGGAGCTTGGAGAAGAGGTTGAGGAGATGGCGATGATGATGCTTTCGCGGCATGAGAGGCGGGAGCGTAGGCGGGAAAGGTGGGGAAGGAGCGAGGAGAGGGAAGGCTCGAGGGACCGTCACCGCCAGACTCGCAGCCGCAGTCGTAGCAAGACTCCAAAGCCACCGAAGAATAGGATTCCGACGCCCATGCCGCGAGCACTCCCCAGCACCGCGATGGCCAGACCAGTAGCAGAAGAGGGAGAGGAAGAGGAAGAGATGGCGGATAGAACCTACATCCGAGACTACGCGGAGAACACCAGCGATGCCTTCTACACCACCAACGACATGCTGAGGGCGAAGGTCTTCTTACCCATGCCGAGAGCGACGCGCGACATGGCTAGTGCGGCACGTCGTCAAGCTCGCCTGGACAAGTACGGAGACGTAGCATGGGAGGCTCGTGCGGTCTTGCCAGACGGTAGTGGCTATCCAGCTATGCAGAGGCATCTGGATGAGAAGCAGATCAAGGCGTACAAGGAGAGCGTGGAGAAGAGGCAGCAGGAGAACGTGAAGAAGTATGGCGGATACCTCGTCTACGGCCCGGCTGGTGGCGTCGTCAGAGTCACCGAGGAAGGGCAGCGCGTTGGTGGCGAGCTGTTGGTGAAGGCGGAAGAGGAGAAAGAGCGTGAGGGTGAGTGAGTGAAGTGAGGTTGGCGTGAAGTTCCCACGTCAGGTGATGGCGCGACTTCCGCCGCCTCGGCCCGCTTACATGGTCAGAGCTTGTCACGCTAACGCATCGGCATCGCAGAAGCGAGGAAGAACGTCGAAGCGATTGCCGCATTGGACGCTATCGACTACAACAGCGACACGGACACTGACGAGTTGCTGGCCAAGATCAAGGCTGCGTCGTTGATCGATCCCAACTCTACCTTACTCAGCCCGGACCGGGAAATCTACGACCCTGTTAACGCGGAGGCGGAGAAGAAGAAGGACGAAGACGCCAAAGTCCGTCTCGAGACACTCGGTAACACCGACGAATTGTCAATCGACGAACTGCTGGCTAAGATCAGGGAGGCGTCGCTCGACAGTCCGCGCTCTGACAGCCCGGTGTCCGCGATTTACGACCCTGCCGGTGCCGAGGCGAAGAAGCAGTGAAGCGAAGAGCAACCATGGCACAACAGAATGGCGGCGGAATGAACCCCAATGCAGCAGCAATGTACGGTAACAGTGCTGTGATGCCCTCAGCAGGACATTATGCGGACATGCAAACGGTGATGCAGCATATGGAGACTCTGGCGGGCTGGCTGCAGCAGAACCGTGAGGAATGGGCAGGTTTGCAAGAAAGCATTGCAAGGCAGGAGCGGATGGGAGTACTGCAGCACGTGAGTGTTCACGGCACAAAGTTATGTAACGACGGACGTGGTATTGATTGTTGCCATGATTCACAGCAGCAGGATCGTTCCTTACCCGCGCACAGTGAGCGGGCGCTGTTGACGAATGGAGATAGTGAGGGTATGCCTTCTCCTCGCCTGTGACCCCACTCTCCCTGTATAGCGTTCCTGCCTCGTCTAGATCATTGACGCGAAGGCCTTACAGCACCACCGCACCCCGCAGACGACCCCACCCTGCCCACCGTCACCTCCCTGCAATCCGCCCTCAGCACCGCCCATCGCCGCCTCGCCGCCCTCGAAACGCAATCGCGCGAGCACGAAAAGCTACAGACACTCTACGAGTCCACCCTCGCCGAAGCCACCGACCGCATACGCCAATACTGCTTCGAGCAACAAAACCACATCATAGCCCTACACCAACATTACGACGACCTCATTCGCCAAAGCCGAGAAGAAACACTCGAAGCGCATATAACACACCAACGATGGCAAGAAAGCCTTTCCCGCCTCAGCGGGCAACTGCGCGAAGCGTTCAAGAGTCGAGAGCAAGAGAGACGGCCGTGGGTGGGCAAATTGAGGGCCATGAGGGAGGAGAACAAAGTGTTGAGGCGGATGGCGGGATGGGAGCCGTTACCACCTGATAGTGAGGAAGAGGATGAAGAGGAGGGAGGAGGGCGGCCGGTGATAGGGCCACAAAGCGAGAGGGTTGGGAGTATGGAGAGGGTGGTGGGTGGTGAGAGGGTTGAGGCGGGAGGCGGAGGGGTGGGTGAGGGGAGGGAGGGGGTGGGGCGGTGATTGCTGGGTTGGCACGGGCTTTTTGCAGGCAATCAGGTGTCTGAAGTACGGGAGACCGGTCGAAAAAGTCCTTGCTGAGCCCTAACGCGCCTCACACTCTGTCAAAGACGGAAGCATTGTCGATGAAAGCATTGTCGCCGAGCTCTTGTCGTCGTATTGCGGCCACGCGCATTACAATGCCTGCTTTTCATGCAGGCTGCAAGAGGTACGTATGACCGTCCTGCGACAACGTGAGCAAACCACTGATTTAGCGTTAGAGCGTACCGAAAGGCTCGTTTAAACACAAACTATCCGCTCAATACGAGCACACGCCATTGTCTTCACTCACGTTGCAGCATCCGCAATTACAACTCCTACGCTGTGAGCTGCGTGATACGTTTGTCAACAGGCCTATCTGCAGCTACGATGCGTGCGTCCGCAAACACATTTTGTATTGAGGCAGAACGCTGCCCGAACGTCAAGCAAGCGCGTGGAGTCTGACAGACGTTGGTGAGTCTTCTACTTCCGTACATATCATCCGGCGTTACAGCCTGTCTCTTCTACTTCATTCTCATTGCACACTGCCTTCATGACGTCAATCTTCTTGCCATGTTCAACAGAGGAGATTTCGGCAGAGGAAGCTCTGGTAGAGGTCGAGAAGATGAGAAGGATGACAGTGTGGGCAGCGGAAGTAGCAGGGGTAGTCGTTGGGGGAGAGCCAGAGGCAGAGGCAGAGGCAGAGGCAGCAGCGGATCTGGGAATCCGGAAGATACTAACAACCCGCCCGTCGCCAGCCCGGCGACTTTCACCTTCCCCAATCCGAGTGCCCCATCCTTCACTCCGTCTCACACCTTCGGTGGTGAACCAACAGCCACGTTCACCCAGAATCTTCCGACACATTTGCGAGGACCAGAGATCACGACCGAAGCAGTCCCATTCGACTCTCAGCAAGTCTTCGACAACATCAACGAGCATGTGAAGCCTACCCGGCCGGGCAAGACGTTGAGCGATGCTGATGTGGACAACGTCAAGAAGGATCTCGGCTTGCGTGTTGCTTTCGCTAAGCCCTCACCCGGCCACAGAGAGATCAAGGTTGCGACCAACTACTTCAAGCTTAACGTCCCGGAGCGACTTTATGTTTACGTGGTTGAGATGTTCCGTGACTTCACGCTGACATATTCGTCCATCATGGTGTAGAAGAGGGTCGACAGAGAGGCGATCATGTCAGTCCTTAGACTATACGAACCGGAACTTTGCGAGAGCAAGACATGGGTATCCGACGGCGATTTGATCTGGTCCACCGAGGAGTTGTGGAAGGGCCAGAAGGTAGTACGAATCCTTGATCTGGAGCTCACGCAGAAGTATGCGGCAACGGTCGAGAGACGTGGCATCCCACCGCCTTGGCCACGCAATTGCCCTCTGGACTATCGCAATGAGTGCAACGACCTGCTCCCTGTTCAGCGGATCGACATCAAACTTCTGCATGTCATTGAGTGCCGAAAGTCAATTGGAGAATTGGTGCAGATACCGAAGAACAACAACTACAAGAAGAGCGAAGTGGCAATCATGGTCCGCGGTCTGAATGCCATGCTCAGCAACGACGCTCGCAAGAATCGCCGCTTGGCCCTGACTTTCAAAGGTGGCAACAAATACTTCAACAACGCCGTGCGTGCCAGTCTTGGAGATCAGTATGACCTTGCTCAAGTGTTGAGCGGATACTTCTTGTCCACTCGTCCAGGCATGGAGCAGCTCTTACTCAACATTAACACTGCTCATTCACCCTTCTGGATGCCAGTCACCGTCGAGGAGGTCATCACTAGGAACGAAGGAATGAGTGCCGATGCTCTCAAGGCACTTCTGAAGGGCATCAGAGTCCGCGTCAACAACAGGGCTCCTCATCATGAAAAAGTTTCCACTGGCGACATTCGCTTCATCGTCACATACGACGGGTTCGGCCACGACATTCCGCTGCATACCGGTTCCCAGCAGCACCCTGATCCACTTACTATTGTCAGTTTGCCGGCCGCCGCGTTGACGATCGTTGAATTCCAGCCATACGGTGGCGATCTCGCTCCCGGTCAAGTCACCGGCATGATCCAACATTCGCGCCGTGACCCCAAGGTCAATGCTGATTCCATCGCGGATGGTGGACTGGAGATGTTTGGTCTCGAGTCACCTGACCAAACCGAGCTGTCTCCCTTTAGCGGTCTAAGCACCGGTCAGCACTTGCTAGGCGTGCAAGCGATGTACTTGGAAACCCCGAAGATCATGTACCATTCCAGCGGTACGGTCACGGAAGCTGCAGTCGACGCAGCAAGCTGGGACCTGCAGAACGTTCGTTTCGCTGTCACACCAGGCGTTTCCAAGCTCCGATTCGTGAACCTATCAAAGGGAGAAGTGACCGAGCCACAGTCCATCACTACCCCAACCACTGCTAAGGGACGTCAACTGAAAGAGACTTACCTTGACTACGCATTCCGCTTGGTCCGCACGGCCTTGCAGCTCCACAATGTGGGTCGGTTGAAGACCGCTGATGGCGCTGATGCTGTGTGGGAATCGGCGGGAACCAAACTCTTCTACAACAACATCGATCTCCGTCAGAGAGCGCAACACAACCCAGCTTACGAGCTAGCTCTCAATCAAGTGCTCAAGCGAGCTTCGGGATCCCACGACCCAGTTCTAATTCTGCTGCAGGGCAAACACCAAGACACGTATGCATACATCAAGCGTGTGGCCGAAATGCCGCTCGGGCTTCACACCATCATGCTCGTTGCCGTAGAAAAGAAGCTGGAGCGATTCGGCTCACAGACTGCCTCCAACATCGCCCTGAAGTACAATATGCGCGCGCTTGGAACTAACCATCACTTCACCCAGGCTAACATGGAGCCTTTGACACGCATGGACCCGTGGACACAGAAACAACGCACCACCATTGTCATTGGTGCAGATGTTACGCATCCTGGTGTTACTTCGGCAGAAGGCACGCCGTCCATTGCCGCCGTCGTTGGCAGCGTTGACGACCAGTTCACGCAGTTTCCGGGCTCTACGCGTTTGCAGCGCAGCCGCAAGGAAGAGATCGTTGAGTTGGGTGATATGGTCAAAGAGTGTCTCATCGACTGGGCAGTAAAGCACGAGGACAAGCTACCCACCCATGTCCTCTTCTACCGTGATGGCGTCTCCGAGTCGCAATATGAGGCGCTGCGCAATTACGAGATTCCACAGATCAAGCAGGCTTTCAAGTGGGCGCAGGAGTATCTCGAATCGAAGCGGAAGCCAGAAAGGAAGCCTTCTGACGTGATCGATGCGGACAGGAACCCGTTGCCAAAGCCGAAGGATGCAAACGCCAACAATCCTGCGTTCGAGATCAAAGGCGACGTCAACAAGCTCAAGCATGACTTCAAGTTGATTTACGTGGTCGTTGGCAAGAGGCACAACACGCGCTTCTACCGGCTGAACGAAGAGGACAAGATTCGCGGAAGGAAGAACAACCCGAACTTGAAGCCTGGTTTTGTCGTCGACACCGTCATCACTCACTCACACAGTTTCGACTTCTACCTGCAGTCTCACAACCCCATTGTCGGCACTGGCAGGGCGGCTCACTACTTCGTCCTGAAGAACAACATGGACTTGACTGACAAGGAGTTGCAGCAGGTGGTGAGTCTTCGACCTTCATTCCTTGACTTCACGCTTGATGCTCATCTACTGACTGCGTTTGCTAACACAGACGCACAACTTCTGCTATGCCTACTCTCGTGCGACCAAAGGCGTCTCGTACTGCGCCCCCGCTTACTACGCCGACCGGCTCTGCGATCGCGGGCGTGCCTACCTTCGTCACTGGCTCAAGCGTAGGTAGGACAGCAATCGGTCCTCTGGATACCGCCATACCCGGGATCGCAGGATCAGAGGCGACAATTACGAGAAGCCACAGGATTACAACACGGAGGTTGCGGCATCCTTGCGCGATCAAGCGTACTGGCGCCCTCAAGTCGTCAACGCTCCCGTGAACGCCAAGCCAACCAAGTACGGCTTCCTTCGCCGCAACCCGTGGCATGAGAACATGGACGAGGCCATGTTCTACCTTTGAGCTCGCTCTTGCGGCTCGTTCTGTCTTTACCGGAGCTTTGCAGGGTGTCTTGGCGTACCAGTCCGGCTGGCTGCCATTCGGAAGTTGTGTACGCGGTATGTTCTTACTGTACAGTACGCGTAATAGAATGCGAGCTTGGCGTTGCCGACATTGACATGGCGACAGGCGAGATGACATGAACAGGTGGTATAACAGTTCGGCTGACTGCCAAAACTACATCCGTATTCTAGCCATCAGGCGAAGCACATTCTGTGCGACCTCATAGCACTCCCTTCACTTCTTGTGCTTATTAACCCGGTTTGCTCGAGCGTGACTCCAGTTTCCGCGGCTTCTTGCGCTCTTCCTTCTGCGTTGTTGGAACCTTCTGTTGACCGGGCGCTGGAGTCTTGCTCGCCGGATTTCGTGGTTCCAGCTTTCTTGGGCTCCGTTTTCCGGAAGACACACTGCCTGATGCGCTCTTTGTACCTGATGGCGTTCCTGTCTTTGCTGGCTCAGGAGCTGAGGGTCTGCTGGGCGGTGTCCGAGCACCACCGCTGGTCGTCGGTTGAGGTCTCAGCTTCTCGGAACTCACGCTGCTGGTGGTGCTCTTTGTAGCTGGCAGGGACGCCGTCTTCGATGGCGCTGACGCCGACTTGTCATCGGGCTGCTTTTCGGTACCACTGACCTTGGGCTGAAGCTTGCGCGGCTTGCGCTTCACTGAAGCCTCAGACGAGCCGTCCTTCTGTCCGGGTTCTGATGGTTTCTGCGGTGCACCCTTCGTCTCACTTTCCGTTTCCTTCGCTTGCTTTGCAAGAGTTGGCTGTGATGCTGGAGGCTTGTTCCTGTTGGGCACTGACTTCGACCGCTCACCGTCTTGCTTCTGCGCATTCGATGCTTGTTGGGGCGGCGATGAGCTCTTGGTCTCGGTATTCAGCCTGGTCGTCTGCTGCTTCTGCGTTGACGGTGGAGCTGCCGTCTTGCTCCGGCTTTGTTCTAGCTTTGGTGGCTCACGGTCTTGCTGTTGCATATTCGTCGCTTTCTGGGCCTGCTGCGAAGTCTTGGTCGCCATCTTCCGCTGAATCGCCTGTTGCTTCTGCACCGATGATGGTGCTGCAGTCCTGTTCAGGCTCGGCTCTGACTTCGGCTGTGCCCCGTTTTGCCGCTGTCCTTCTGTCCGTGTTGGCGGCTGTGTCGGGCGCTTCGTCTCAGCTTGCGGCTGCTTTGCCTGCTTCTGGTTTGTCGATGATGCAACTGGGGCATTGCTTTGGCTCGGCTTTGGCTTGACTTGCTTGCCATCTCGAAAGTCTGAAGGTCTGTTGGGCTTACTCCGTTCATCGCTCGACGACGCCTGCATTTGTGACGAGCGTTCCGGTCCAGACTGTACCTTCTTGGCCTGTTCCCTCTGCGGTGGGGAGGGATCTGATGCTTTGCTTTGGCTTGGCTTCGGTTTCGACGTCTCTCCGCGCTTGACTTCTGTTGACTCGACGGGCTGGACATCACGGCTTGCGGATTCCTGCTCATCTTGCTTGGCTTTTCCCGTTGTAATCGTGTGGCCACGGCCTTTGTCGTTCGCTTGGTCGGTACTTTTGCGACCGTGGTGTTCATCTTCGAGCTCCTCGATACTAGGCTTTTGTACATCTTGGTCACGCGGACTTTGATGGATATCGTTCTGCTGTTCTTCGTTCTCCAGATCAGCCTCTTCCCCTTTTCCAACTTCTTCGTTCGGTTCCTCACGAGCCTCCTCAACACTCTCGCCGTCGGCATCTACATCTGCTTCGTCACCGGGCTCCTTGTCCATTTCTTCATCTGCCCCATCCCCCTTCGCGTCGTCACCAATCGGTCCGGCCTCGTTTGCTGCTTTGTCATGTTCGTCGGCTCGTCCTTCAGGCTCACCGGCGTCATGAGCTTCGTCTCCCGCAGCCACGTCCTTACTTCGCTCCTCGGTCTGTAACGGCGCCTCGCCTTGATAGTCGTTCCGTTTATCAGCTTCTCCAAACCCCTCCGCATCATCGACCCGTTGCTTGACCTGATCAACACTCTGATCGTTGACCGCCTTCTTCGCTGCCTCCGTCACGTCTGCCTGTGCGCCGTGAACCTTGTCGTCTGGCGTTCCTGCATCTTCACGCCCTTCATCGACATACCCTTCTACCTTCTCCGCGGCTTTACGCCGTTCTTCTTTGGCCGCTTTCCCCTCAGCTTTATCGTCGCTTTCCTCATCAACATTAGGTGCGTTCTTCTTGTTATCCTCTGCGGAACTGCCGTCTTCGTGCTGCTCCTTGTCTTCTTGCGTCTTCGAGCTCCACGTAGGCATTGACGGCAGGTATGACGATGCACTGCTAGCCCAGGACCTTCCCTCCTCCTCGCCGTTTTTGGCATTCTGAGGCTTGTCCTCATGCTCGTTAGGGTCATCATCTTGCTTCTCAGAGGCATCGTTGTCCGCATCCTTTGGCTTCCCGGATCCATGTTCCTGCTCGTCAGGCCTAACCTTATGTTTGTCCGAGGTGTCTCCCGGTTGCTTCTGACTCTCCTGTTCCTCCTGCTCACCACTATTTTGCTTGTTGCCGTCTTGCTTGTTGCCGTCTTGCTTGTTGCCGTCTTGCTTGTTGCCGTCTTGCTTGTTGCCGTCTTGCTTGTTGCCGTCTTGCTTGTTGCCGTCCTGCTTGTTGCCGTCCTGCTTGTTGCCGTCTTGCTTGTTGCCGTCTTGCTTGTTGCCGTCTTGCTTGTTGCCGTCTTGCTTGTTGCCGTCTCGCTCGTTGCCGCTTCCCATATGCGTCTCTTCGTCCTTTTTTGGCTTCGCGCCTTCGCCTTCATCGTGAAGGTCTGTATTCTTTCCATTGGCATCTCCAGCCTGATGCGACTCCTCCTTGGCCTGCTTTTTCCCAGCATCTGGTTGCGCCTTCTTCTTGCTGGGAGTCTCCGCCTTGTGACTGCCGCTCGATGACACGAATGACGAAGCGTACTGTGTCCAACTCCGCTTGTGCCCGTCACTCTCATGAGCGCCTTTACCAGCACCTCCGCCGACAGCGACACCTGCGCCGGAGCTGAGTTTGCCCAGCTCCTCATCATTCGGCATCTCCGTGTCCTTCACGCCGTTCAACATCTTTTCCAGCGTGCCCTTCTGCTGCTCAGTAGCCTCCCATCCCGGGATATTACCCGTAACCTTCTGAATGCCACTGCCAGCAATATCGCCCAGTTTAATGAACGGTCCATTCAGCGCTCCCACACCTGTCCCTACTGCGCCTCCAACTCCACCAGTGAGAATGCTCGTCAAGCCTCCGACAAGCGTGCCTGTGATCGTGCCCAGCGTTGCACCAGTGCCTACACCCAGACCTGAGCCCGCCAGCAGACCTTGAACAGTGCCGGATTGCAAGTATTTGGCAACCTTGCCGAAAGACTCGGCCTCCACCTGCTTGTTCAGCGAATCCTTCAGTAGCTTCTGCCGTTCCTCCGGGTCGACAGCACCTGCCGCGGCCTGCGAGAGGTCTTTGGACTGCTTCTGCAGCTCTTGCGCTTTCTGCGCGGCCTTGGAAGACTCTTGTTTGCATTCTTGGTCAGATGGTCCGCCAGACTCGGCGTCCTTCTTTTGGCCAGCCATTACGAAGCATCAAGGGGAGTGCAGTGTACAGAGCTACGAGATGAGGAAAACTGATACAAGCTACTGTACGAGGGAGGGGTGCTGTGCGCGTCAATGTCGAGCGAGCAGAAAGGTACTATACCTGTTAAATATTTCACGTCGTACCTCGCTGTAAGAGACGCGTTACTCAGTCGCTGGATAATGTTGGTACTGTTCATCACGCGAGCGCATAAAGCAGGTGACGTGACGTAGGAGGCAGGAGAGTTCGACATAGAGTTCAGACTGTGCTTGATGAAGCCGTCTTGCAACTGCTGTTACTGAATAGTTTCATAGCCGCAAGTTATCGTGATGCTACAGATGGCATTGTGCCTTCAGTATCGACAGTAAAAACGCGTCCGCCGTTCGACAAGAACTTGCGGCTGCCTGTCAATCACTTTGCCGAGATCGCAAGCGTATATGCGGCGATTGGGATAGCGAACATCCTTCGCCAACTCGTCATGAAATTTAGACCCGAAATGAGTATTCTAATCGCATGCCAACTTGCACTGCTTCCAAATCTCGCCATTCTTAACCCAGCAGTTGAGTGGGATGACACAATCGAGGTATCGTGTTCCATGACTTTGTAGGCCTCGATCTTCAGTTCCATACCCCTGTTAGTGGCTGTGAATGTGAAGGCGGGTTGCACCTCGATATCCAAAAGCTCCTGAGGAGCAATCGAGAACTCCATATCACTGTAATCCACTACGGCTCCGGAGTGAGCAAAGTCCTGAGGCGAGGTTGCCAAAACGCCGAAACCCCAGCAACGTTCATGAGAAACTGCCCGGCAAGGCCAATCTGTTTTCTGCGCTCGCCATGCAAAGATAGATTGATCGTCACTCTGCTTGACAACCTCCAAATGCAGGCGTGTGAATGCCTTTTCACCCTCTCCGTAAAGCAGTGGGATGTTGATCTGCAAAAGTCCCATCAGACTGTACGCTATATCTTCCACCCATGTTGCCGTCCGAGGTGCGGCCCAACTCATCTTTTGTGCAACGCTTGCACCCGTCGCGACTTCGGCCCCACGAAATATGTTACAGTCGATGCCTGTAATGGCTTGGAGTTCGGCGATCCAATGCTCAGTAGGGTTTACGGACAGGGAGCTATTGTCTTGATGCTTCGCATGCAAACAAAAGAGCTTGTCTAGTAGTCGCACTGTTTCCCATTCGCTGTTGCAGAATTCTAATACATAGGGAGCGAGTAACTCCTGCAAAATCCAAGATCGGGTGAACCAAGTGCTTTGTCGAAGCTGGTGTCTTAGTAGCTGGTTGTCATCGTGAAATCCTGCCGGCATGTCCACCGGGTAGACGCAGCACACTTTTTACTGTTCGTACCAATCCCGAATTGAGTTAATCGCCTCCGAAAGTTCAGCACTGCTCCGCTTGTCGATGCAGCAGGTAGCATTCCAGGCCTTTCGGTGACCACGTAGGCGTGCCCAAGCACAGAATTCCAAGATCTTCCGGTAGCCCGACTTCTCTCGAGTTTGACCTACGCGGTAAGCTTCACACACTGTGAGCATCTCCCGCGGTCGGAGGGTCAACTCATACTCCTCGTAAGACACCTCGTCCGCCTGCCAATGGTGTGAAAGTATGGCATACTCGGAGCCTTGCACGTCGAATGTCTCCACGAATTGCAGAGTTTCGGTATCGATGAGTCTCATAGAGAGTCGGCTGGAGCGTGAGTCTGTGATACACCCGCGTTACGCCTTATGCTGAAGATCAGTGCGGATGTAGTGCGGACGGAAGTGGGCAGCCTCAAGCATGGTAGCAAGGCTGAGCTAGCGCCACGCTGCTTGTTCGACCAATCAATGACTGCCTGAAGGCTTCTGGGTATCGCCGCAGTACATACCATGTCAGAAGTAGCATTTTAGTCAGATCGTTCCCAGGTTGGTGCTGCATATCTTTCAAAAGCCGGCGGCAGCAAAGCTGGACGACGATACAGCTAAGCAGTCATCCTGTGATTGCGAACCATATGCCCAGCATGACCAAGTAGAAAGATCGTAGATCGTGAACTCCTGTAAGCCGGCATTATCGTCCCATATCTATCTGTGTTGGCGTTCGAACAAGCGCGGATAATATCAAACCTCTTCCCATGCTCCTCGGCCTACCTTGAGTGAATACGCGGTGCAAGTGAACAGGCAGCAGAAGCTAGACGGCGAGCTGACATTCTGACGGAAGGGAAGATGATGTCGGATCAAGCAGAGAGCGAGACTGTCCGAATGATCGAGCAGAACAGAACAACGAGAGCTGTGACTCAGGACATTGGGTTGTGCACACTACGAGCTCCTCGCGGGTTAGGCTGAGGTGAGTCCACGGCTTGTAGCATGTTGTTGCTAACCACCTTGGCCCTGGGTGTATGCATCATGCTGCGAGAAAGAAGAGGAGTTCGTTGTTGGGCGTGAGAAGGGATGTGCTTCCCGACATGAGGTACGTCACGCTGTGGCGGGAACAGCCGCGTCGCGGTTTCGCAATGCTCCCCAGCAACCTCGCGGCCTTGGGGGAGGAGGCTCGATAGAAAGCTGCATACAAGCATTGGCACGACTGTGTCGTTGTTCTACTTCGGCAAAATCACAACATGTGGGACGACGAAGACAACAACCCTTACGGCTCGTTCCATCGCCGCGACTCCGAGACTTCAGACGTACCTGAGCGTGAGTAGAACACCCTAGCTCGTCTTGTAGGGAAGTAGAGCTCATATATTCGCTATAGAATACCGAGCATCAACACCTCCCTCCGGTCACTCTTCACCCGATCAGCCAGCTTTCATATCCCGACCGAGCGATCTTAGTGACGAGGAGTTCGATGACGACCGACACCATGCACCAAAGGTCCAGCCCAAGGAAGGCGGTTATGACAGTCGCATAGAGCAGATACTTTACGAACACCCGGACCTGGAGATACAGATCATACATGCAGGTAAGAACTCCGAGGGCGGCGGCAATTTCATCACGTACACCATTCGCACGGGCGAAATCGAGGTCAGGCGACGGTACAGCGAGTTTGCTTCCTTGCGGCAGACGTTGGTGAACTTGCATCCTACTTTAGTCATCCCACCCATACCTGAGAAGCACAGTATAGCAGACTATGCAGCGAAGCCGACGAAGGCGAAGGAGGATGCAGGTGTCATTGAGTTGCGGAAGCGAATGCTGGCAACCTTCCTCAACAGGTGCAAGAGGATGAAGGAGGTGCGAGAGGACGGCGTGTGGTGGCGCTTCTTGGATCCTAATGTGAGCTGGAGTGAGGTGCTGCACTCGCACCCGGCGGCCAGTATACCGAAGAACAATCTCAAAGCACCACCACTCGACCCAGCCAATCCGACACCGGCGCACGCTTGGCTACCAGTACCCTCCCAAAGCGCGAAGCTACGATCGACGTCTACATCTTCTGGCACGCCTTCAGGACCGCCTCCGCAGTCAACCCTCCCTTCAGCAGCAGCACATTCGCAACCCGAGATCCAGTATGCTCGCTTTCCATCTTCGAGTCAAGGTCTTAGTGAGGACCATCTTGACCCGTTCTTCTCTTCATATGAAAACTCATCGAAAGAGTTGGAGACATTACTTACCGGCAGCATGGAGAAAGTGAATCAGAGACTGTTACGCCACTTGTACAGTCTTGGTGACGATCTGATGGACCTCGGGGCGCGCTACAATGCCTTCTCGCTTAGTGAGCAGAATGCCTCCGTTGCACATGCGATCGAAAAGACTGGTCAAGCATGCGACTTCACCTATATCCAGAGTAGAGATCTGAGTAGCGGGCTGAGCGCAGGCTTTGCCGAGCCGATGCGAGAGAGTGCGCAGTTTGCAGGTGTCGTACGTAGCGTTCTGCGGTATCGTGTGCTCAAGCGCGTACAAGAAGAGATGACGCGCGACGAGCTGGAGAAGAAACGATCGAGTCTCGACGCGCTTGAGCGAAGCGAGGCCGAGGCGAAGAGGATCGAACAGTACATGACCAGTTCAGGCATGTACACACAGCAAGGTCCTCCGCCCAGACGCAGCGCAAGCACCGGCAGCAACCGTGACCGGCAGCCACCATCGGAGGAGGCGACGGACAACACATCCGTAGACAGCGACTTCCCACCAGGCATGCACGGCGGTCAGGTACCAAGCGCGCAGCAAGGTGGACCGCAACATGATCAGTCATATGCCAGCCCGCCCAACTCGCCACCCAATGGCGCCAACAAACGGGCGAGCGGTATTGGGAACAAGCTTTTCGGCCGAATCTCAGGCTTCACGCATGCGATCCAGGGTGTGACCGATCAGGACCCGGAGCGGGCGAGACGAGATGCATTGGGCAAGACGAAAGAATCTCTCACGCAGCTGGAGCAGGCATTGGAAGTGGCGCAGAAGGACGTCAAGGATGCCTCTAGCGGCGTGCTCGAAGACCTAAAGAGGTTCCAGTCGCAGAAGGAAGATGATCTGCGCATGTACATGGTGAGTGCAATCATTTTGCGGCTTCAATAACGATGGAGTGCTGACATGGCGTGTAGCTAAACTTCGCCAAATGCCATGTCGAGTGGTCCAAGCGGAGCCTTGACGAGTGGCAAAAGGCCAAGGTTGAGATCAACAAGCTCAGCATCGAAGGCTAATGGTCGGAATATCTTGCACCACAACAGTAATGATAACAGTCGGCATAGCGAGCGAATCATTTTTGGTTTACCAAACCGTACCATCGAAAGCGCTAAGCAGTCAACTGATCCCACTTCATCGCCAACACCAACTCCGCCTCCACCCTCTTCCCCTCCACCTCCACCGACCTCTCCGTACTCCTAATCTTCCCCGTCTCAAACCCCGCAGACTCGAGCACATCACTCAGACTCTGCACTCTACCTTTGCTCTGCTTGACAATCCGATCTCTCAAGTCCGTCTCCTCGGCCCCAGCATCGCCCTGCTTCTTCAGCGCGATCACGACAGCGATACCTTTAGGCTGCAGAGCATACTTGGCCCACTTCATAATCTCCATGCACGATCTACCGTCTTCGGCGCTGACGTCCGTGATGGCGTGAGAGAAGTAGTCCATCTTCGCCATCAGGCCGTCCATGGGTTCTGATGTGATGTTGGGGCCAAGTTCCGAGGTTTGCGAGTCTTTCGAGACGACTGTGAACTTCGGTCCGTAGGGCGTTGAGATGTCTTTGACTTGCTCTGCGACATGTTTGGCTACGGTGGCGGAGGTGCAGAGGATTTTGGAGCTGCCGTCTATGCTTATGCGGTCACGGTATTCGGAAAGCACGTCGGCTAGAATGGCGAGGCCGGTGGCTTCGTTACTCGTCATGATTGGTGTTGCTATAGCTTACAGTCTTCTCCGAGCGCGATAGGTAAAATATCGCCGTGTGTTCCTGGTCCTCTTACCAAGCGATCGACGAGGGTTCGATGATTGCACAGACGGTTGTGAGGAACGCTCCGCTGGACCGAGAAGCTACATGTACGTTGGTTTCGCCATAATAACCATCACATAGGTATGAGAGTTTGTTCGACAGAATGATGGAAGATACCATGGTTGATCGATGATGTTCATGAAGAGCTACGAGAAGCCGCATGCTATTGTGGCATCGGACGACATAGTGCACCCTCCACCCTACGAAAGCAATTCACCCATCGACGCTACAACCAAGATCTAGCATATACATACATGAGTCGCCAGCCATTGGAAGCGAACCCAGCTTGCAATCACCGAACATCGAAGCTTCCGCCTGACAAAGCTTCTCTAGCCTGGCTCATGCATGCGGCCTCCATTGGCGTGTCTGCTCGTTCTCCCTCGAACCAAGCCTGCACTGCCTCCCTATCCCATTCCACTCACAGTGCGATAGATCTAACTTATCGAAAACGTACTCCACGACACAGAGTCCCGAATCCAACGATCTCCACTTCTCACCCGCTCTGCAAGAACATTGAGCATGACCGCGTAAGCCTGTCTTGCGGGCTCCCAGAGCCGCTCATGCCACACCACAACGCCATCCTGCTTCCTCTTCTCCATCATCGCGCGCATCGCCTTGCAATGCGCCTCAGACTTGAGCTCGCGTACATTGCATACATCAGTAACTTCGTACGACCATTTGCCACGTTCGAGCGTGTAGCTGTCCTGAAAGCCCGCCACTCGCGCCCGCCAATCTCTTGTCATGTCTGTCATCTTGGGCTGCAGATGGGACCAGGGAATATCAGTGAGGTAGTTGGTAAGTCTGTGAATCGACCGTGTTGCCGGTAAATGGATTGTTCTGTGACGACCGTGACGGCAAACGTTGGGTGCTCCTTGTCGTAAACGATCGGTTGCGCTCTTCGAAGTACTAGAACTTTCTTGGAGAGTTCGTTGGCTTCGTATCCTGCGTTCTGGTACTTGGGGTTTAAGCTGTGGGTGCTCTTCGCTCAGACGAGCGTGCGCAATGTCCTTGGCAGGTGCTTCTTCTAGCGCCTTAATGCGTGTGACAAAGTTATTGCTGCCTTCATCGAACTCATCCAGGTGCTGCTGTAAGCTAATCGCCGAGCAGGTTGCGAGAGAAGGCGGGAGATCATCCTCGGCCAGGGGAGGTGCGAAAATTTCTGCTGTGATAGGGCGGCTAACGAAGAAAATGCCTTTGCATGCCAGCAGATTCTCATGCAGCGCGCGGTGAGCCCGTCCGCTTGATGAGCTGCAGTCGCCATGACCGCGGATTCCTTGTAGGTGAATGCTGCGGCGAAGGTGGACGTTCGTCGTGCAACCGCTAACAAGATGATGTTGGTGACAACTCGTTGTCATGACAGCATAGATGGTCCTGTCCGGGAGGCACGAACTCGTCACATGGTCGAACAGGGATGGCAGGTACAGTACATTCACACAGAGCGTCAATCTCTCGTACATGAAGCGGAGTGTTACTTTACATGTTTGCCAAATAACACGCCATCCCCATGCTTTGCAGGTCTATCGTGTTGTTTACAGAACGCCAAAGATTGCCGCACGATCGCTACCTTTCCAGTACTATCTTGCGAAGAAGCTATAGTTCAGTCAGCACGAGTGGTTCGATTGAGTCATTGCCAAATGTGAAGAACTTACCGCCCACGAACCGGCCGCACCCGCCACCAACCCACTGGATATGAGCATCGGTCTCAAACCTCCCGTACTCTTGAAGATGGCGCCTGATATCGCGCCCGCCGCCACGCTGCCAAATGTATCATGCTTGCCCCTGTAATAGCCAATTGTACTGTTGATTCCGTTGTACATCATCGCAATCACACCCGCCGAGTTACCCAGGAACGGCCCTCGCCTTGTGATAGCATTGAGCGCGCTGTTCAACCGCAGCTTTGGCGGCGCTGTGCTCGGCAATCGGGTTAGCCCCTCCGCAAGACCCCATGCGCCGCCTATTGAAAGTGCGCTGAGGTATGTGACTCCAGTACCGTAGCAAAGGTCATCTGACCAGCCGCGCGAGGGTAGGATGGAGCGGGAGCCAGGGAGCTCAGAAAGGGCGGAGTCGTCGAGAGATAGGTAGTCGAGTGTATCTTGGTTGAGACCTGCAAGTGGGTGCAGGGCAGCAGGGTCGAAGGCGCCGGGGTTATGAAGGAAAGAAGAGACGTCTTCCGATGAAGGTGGTTGGTCGAAGGTTACTGTAACGGGTGCTGGGTCTTTGAGGGTGTCTGATGATTGTGGTGAAGATGAGGGTTGTGAGGTTGCGGTTTGCGTCTTCTTGCCGGTAAATGCATCCCAGACACCCATGTTTGCCTCGAGCACGTCGTTGTGAATGCGCAAGCTTGCCGTTGATGGTCAAGGTGCGATGGCAAGTGATCGTCGTAAATTCCTGGCCATGCTCGGGGGTTCGATGAGCCGCATAACGGCCGGATTCCGTCAGGGTTAGGGTTGACCAAATATGTACTACCTCGTTGGTAACCCATAGATGTTTTCATCATTATGGCAATGTCACAGCGGTTATACACATCGAACAATCATGGAGGACAATGCTGGTCTCACTTGGCAGCCCTATCCACTGCTCAACGAAGAGGAGCTTCGACAGCTCTCACGCCGCGTCCAAGATCTGGTGCCGAAGAACGCACTTCATTCCCACGATGAGTTAAAGTAAGGATGACAGCGAAGGCAGCTCAACTATGGGTGAGTTGCGCGCCTGCTTGCACTCGACGCATCTGACTGATCTCACAATAGTCTCATAAGGCGCACGTACGACCAGATTTACGACACTGCATCCGCTGTAACACTTGACTCATCCCACCGTGTTGCAGCATGGAACGCACTTTGTGCCCTCGTTGACCGCTGCAGCACGTCCCACAATGCCTCGGTTTCTCGGTTGATTTGGAAGGCTGGCTGGTGGCGTCAAGTGTTCGATCTGTATCTGAAACAAGCGAACCTTGCCCGGCCAAAGTCTTCTAGACAACTTCTGGTGACCTTGACCACTGTCCTGCGTACCGCCAGCGAAATCGACACGCACGCAACCAAAGGCGACCTTGTTGCTTCGCTTGTTCGACCTCTTGTTGAGCAAGGCGACCCTGGCGTGGTCAAGGCCGCTGTATTGGCGTTGGCTCACTTCCTAAGCAAAGGCGTCTTGCAAGTGGAAAACCTGTTTGAATATCAACGTGGCAACTCGACAAGCGATCAAAAGCTTGACGAGATCAACAGTATCGACGACCTGCTCTATACACTCTTCGTTTGGGTGGGCAGAGCTGACTTCAGTTCCGCCATCTGCCAACTTTTAGGCGTAATACTCAACCTAGCGGCTCCAACCATTCATAACAAACGTTGCCTCCGCCCTTCTGTTCAGTCCATTTGGTCAGCACCGTTACTCCGAGCGTTCCAAGACGGCCGGGTTGACGGCTCCAGCTTGCGTGACTATGTGCTTCCGCTCATGTGCAGTCGGAATGCCTCTGAGTTCGCGCATTTTATACAAAGCATTGGCGTGCAGAAGCTCTTTGATCACCAGCTGGCTCCCCTACCTCGGAGCAATGGACTGGACGAGCAGAGCATCGAGTTGATCTGTGCTGCCCTGCAGGCTGGGAAGGATGCTGACCTGATCAGTTCAACATCAGACCCTCGCGTCATCGTTGACAGTGACAGTTTAGTGCTGCCTATACGAGGAATCAAGCGTCTCATGATATCCCGATCACGGATCGTCCGACTAACGGGCCTGCACCTGCTCACTGTCTCGAGTGTTTCTACACGACCAATGGAGCCTTGGACGTTAGCAGGCCTCAAGCGGCATCTAAGCCATTACTTCGCAGATACCGATGCAAACTTTCGAAGCGAGGTTTTCGGTCTTCTTCGACGACTCGTGGATCGAATCAGGGCTGTGACAGCGGCTGCCGCAAGGTCCACAAAGCTTCCATCTCGGGATACAGATGTGCTATGTTCGAGTATTCTACGCTCCCATCAAGCATTCCTCAAGTGGCTTTTGCTCTCACTACCATGGGAGCTGAGATCAACAGCAAGCTACCAACGCCACATCTCTGCACTCAAGATCATTGGTATCCTTGCTAGGTCTGGACTCGACAACCGGGTAGATACCGGCCTTTTGTCGAAAACGGCGCTTGGGGAGACCAAGTGGGCATTCCATGTACCAGTGCTGACCAACGATCTGCGAAGACTTCTTCTCGATCTGGTAATTGACCCATTTGACGACGTTCGACAAAATGCAGTGTCAATACTGTCTATGTATCCAGCTAGTGACATCGCTACAAGAAGAGACATCGCAACAGCACTGAGTCGTGGGGAAGCCTTGATGATGGCCACCGGCCGAGCTGACCAGGCCAATGGCGTCGCTCATATGCATGCACTACTGTACAGCTTTTCGCCTGGTGAGGGCACGATATTGTCAGGCATGGCTGAAGCTCTAGAACGTATGTTGGCGATCGCACAAGAAGACCTTGCTGTAGCAGTGAACAAGCAGCCAGTACATGGCCTACTAGAAGGCGTTCGACTCATTGTGCAGAAGCACGGCACGCCGATACTGCAGGAGGATTATCTCGTTGATCGTCTGATCAATTGTCTGTACACCATTTGGGACGTGGTCAAGCCGACTTTGTGCAACGACGCGCCTGAAGGCTACCTTCCTGAAGAAATGGAAGAAGCAGCGGAAATCTCCACCAAGGACACATTGAGTTACTGCTGGCGCGCGCTGAAGGAAGCCAGCCTCCTCCTCGGGGCAATTTTCGGAATACTGCCCGCAGAAACCGCCTCAGATAGGGAGCGTCTGGCCGAGCTGTGCTTCATTCAGCTAGCGGAGCTGCGGCACCGCGGCGCTTTCTCGACAGTAGCCCAGACCTGGACTATGTGCTGTCTCAGAACTGCCGCCTGCTCCAGCTTAAGCGACCAGAGCATGCTGCAGACGTGGTATCTCCGGGTTGTTGAGATGCTATGCAACAACACGACAATCAACACCAGGCGCTCAGCTGGCCTACCAGCCCTTCTGTGTGGAGTACTGGTAGCATTCGCGTCGAAGCACAGCGTCGACCGAGCCTTTACCGACCTCGAAGCGGTCGCTCGCGAATCGGTTGACCCAGCTCGCGCGCAGGAAGGTAGCCTCCCGCAAGTGCACGCCATTAATTGCATAAGAGAAGTCCTGAAGAACAGCAGACTAGGTGAGGCATCTGAGCATTGCGTGCCAGCTGCCACCGAGCTCGCGGCGTTTGCACTGCAGTCTGAAGCATGGGCGGTTCGCAACTGCGGCTTGATGTTGTTCCGTGCTGCCATTGATCGTCTTTTGGGCACCAGCGATGCGTACTTGGAGGACGACTTGGCCGTACGTAAGAGGCTATCTACTGAGCAGTCACTGCGTCTCCTGCCGGTAGTGCTGAAGCTTCTAAACTCCGAGGAACCACCCATGTCGGATGTTATGCGAAGCGAACAGCGGCTCGAAGGCGTCTTCCCTGCACTCCAGCTGCTCCCACGGCTGTCGGTGACTGACGAGCAGCATGCGATCCTTCTTCAGTTGGTTCGGAAATTGATGGCCAGCCCGGTGTGGCACGTACGGGACAAGGCTGCGCGGGCTTTTGCATCTCTTGTACCACGCGAACATGTCGTACAATCCGTACGTGACCTGTTGCAGACCACCATCGCATCGCAGAATGCTCTGCATGGATCTCTGTTAGGCGCGAAGTACCTTGTTCACAGCTTCTCCGGAGGCACAACTCGCTCAAACTTGGCAAGGGAGGGCTCTTTTACATCCCCTCAGTGCGACCGATACGAGTGCTGGGCGATCATAAATGCAGCGAAGACGGTGTATGTGGACAACCCGTGTTCAGTCACAAAAGCCGCCTATGTGGATCTTTCTACGGAGTGCGCTCTAGCCTTGCGGTTGGCGTCGGATCAACACGTCGGGCTGCCTACCGACTGCTCGCCTGGGTCGCAACGTCAGTGTAACGAGCTTCTGAAGACCGACAGGGCAGACGATTCATGCATCTCTGACATCGCAAGCATAGTGCTCGAGCTGAAGCGTAGGCTCTCTTTTACTGGCGCTGACGCTATGCTCCGGTGCTCCCTCGCTCGAGCCTTGATACTCCCGCTTTTGACAAGCCTGGATTCTTCAAGGAAGGAGTTTACAAGTGTCACTGAAGTCCTGTCGGAGACGTCGAGAATGGACGCCGATGCCTGTATCGCGTTCATGGCACAAGCGAAGACTTTCATAACGACAACAGCGGGTGTTGCACAGAATGCCCTAAACACCTTAGTTGCCGTGTGCCAGCGCCTCCTTGCGATCACAGATGTTAACACGCGGCTTCTGTGCGATGCAGAAGAGCTTTTGCTGGTTATCGCTTCAGCAAACAGGCAGACCGGGCAATCCTGGAGTGCCTTGACAGACTTTTCAGCTGACCACTTGAGGAGCCTGCCACTCACGTCGCGGAATGCTAATCAGCGGTTTGCGGACCTCGATCTGCAACTAGCGGCGGCTTGCCTTGAGCACCTAGCATGCAGTTCGACCTCACCCACCGTGGAAGCCATCGCGGCGATTAAGCAGTGGCAAATTATATGCGAGCGCAGCATCAACGGTCTCGGTCTGTGTACGGTGGAAGCTGTTGCACGGGCAGTCAACCTTTTGAACGTCGTCTGGCTGCAGATTGCGACCGAGGCCCAGCTCGTGAACGTCTTCCGCAATATGTGCGTGATGGTCTACGACCTGCTCGACGACGACGACGAAGACGTGCGAGACCTAGCTTCCCAATCGGCGGGTCGGATACTCGACACCCAGGGCGGCAGGAGTATCAGGCACGAGCTCAATCCGATTGTTGCAAGCCAGAAGCTTCTAGGCTTCATGAGCCGAAAGTGGGCAAGTGACTCTGCGTTCGTTCAAATCACCCTCTCTCGGGCTTTTGGACCATCGGATGCGTTAGGCATCACAGAGCGCATGCGCAGATGTCTCACCAAGGACACAGCCCTGTTCATGGAAGAGAAGCAAAACTTATACATCGACGAGACACGGGAGGTTCGGGCGTGGTCACAGGTCGCCATGCGTCTGTCACCAGCAGCTGTCTCAAAGGCCGCACTTGCCCAGCTCTGCACACGGGTAGAAGAAGGTCTCGCGGCGCTCACGCTTGAGCTTCGTACTACACCTGATGGTCCACTTGGCTGGACGACTAAGCCGGAGTTGTTCACTCTTGGGCTGCAGATCGTTTACGGCGCTGAATGGCTGTTATATATGGTCGGACAAGGCGTGCGGATCCCGGTCAGGCCGTCCGGCTTGCGGAGACAGCTGGTTAACCTTTTCGCCTCCGCAGTTGAGAGCAATGCCAATTGTCTATGGCGCGGAGAACTGGAGCGCATTCTCGCGCGAGCGATACTGCACAGGCATACCTGTGAGTACAGACGTGTCACCCTAACGGATGGCATCTTGGGCGGAGGAGATGGCTAGTTCTGTAACGTCAATATCGCCCCAGGAAAGTCTGTCGTCGAGTGTACGTCTCCTCTTGACCATTGAACGCCGTTATTACGAGTCACAGTTGACAGGACCGTCGAAGCTGCAGAGACCACAAAATGCCAGCAGGATCAGGTGAATCAAAAGAATGAGGTCCAAGTTCCACGAAACTACATTGAAGACAGTAAATTGTATGGTGATCGGCATTCGGCAAGCGGTTCGTATCAGAGTTCGCTGACTCGCGTGGCTTGCAATGCAAAATGACGTGGGATTTGGCTCGATTGATTAGAGCTTCACGCGTGGGTTGCGGCACGATAGCGGTGCAGGTGGTTGGTAGTTGGTAGCGTGCGTCAACGTCAACGGATCCTCCGGGTACTGTCTGCACTCAAGTCAAGCTCTTCCTAAGCACGTCTTACCCTCGCTCGCCTTGGTATTACTACTTCGTTCCAACCCTGTCCTTCCGCCCTCGCCCGCTGTCGTCTCGTGGTAGATCGTTGGTACGGCAAGGTGCTGAGGAAGAGCAGACACAATGGCATCCAAATCTGCCAACCCCGGCGGACCCCAAGCGCCAGGCGCAGTAACACCGCAGAAGAAGATAGAGCTCTTCTCCGCGACCTACTTTGGCGCATGCACATTGGGCGGCATCATTGGTATACCACCACCACCACCACCACCACCCTCCCCTCCCACGTGCCACCTCCACTACCCGTACTGATTCTGTTATGTTCCAGCCTGCGGACCCACCCACACCGCCGTGACCCCCCTCGACCTCGTAAAATGCCGCCGCCAAGTCGATCCGAAAATCTACAGCAGCAACCTGCAAGCCTGGTCCACCATCTACCGCTCCGAAGGCATCCGCGGCGTCTTCTTCGGCTGGGCGCCCACCTTTGTCGGCTACAGCTTTCAAGGCGCAGGCAAATACGGCTTCTACGAGGTCTTCAAATACTACTACGGCGAGAAGCTGTTCCCCAACACGCCCAAGACGATCGTCTACCTCGGCGCCTCCGCCAGCGCAGAGTTCCTGGCCGATATCTTCCTCTGCCCCTTCGAAGCGATCAAAGTGCGCATGCAAACCACCCTCCCCCCATACGCGAGTACTTTGACAGAAGGCTGGAACAAGATCGTCTCGCAAGAAGGCTACGCGGGGCTATACAAGGGTCTCTACCCCCTCTGGGCCCGACAGATCCCCTACACGATGGTGAAGTTCGCCACCTTCGAGTCCGCCGTGAACCAAATCTACGCCACCCTCGGCAAGCCGAAGGAGACCTACAACACGCTGCAGCAAACCGGCGTCTCCTTCCTCGGCGGCTACATCGCCGGAGTCGGGTGTGCCGTGGTCTCCCATCCCGCGGACGTGATGGTGAGTAAACTGAATGCGGACCGGAAGGCGGGCGAGAGCGCCGGGAAAGCGATAAGCAGGATTTACGGGAATATCGGGTTCGCCGGGTTGTGGAATGGGTTGGGGGTGAGGATTGCCATGATTGGGACTTTGACGGCGTTCCAATGGTTGATCTACGATTCGTTCAAGGTGTATCTTGGGGTAAGTCGTGCTGACGTTTGAGGGAGGGACCGAGGAGATTGGTTCGCTGACGCATGGATTTAGCTACCAACTACGGGCGGCCATTGAGCAGGTGATGACAAGCAAGTCGGAGAAGGAAACCTTGCGACGGAGCAACTTGGGCGATCTGCGAGATGGCGTTTCGGCGAACGGGAGTGTAACAAGCACGATACAAACGCTCGAGCTCGGGGCTGTACAATGCGATTGCGATAAAGCGCGGTGACGTCCAAACCGAGGCGGAGCGAGTATAGGACGCCAGTGACAGTAAAACGAGCGTAACGAGATACTTCATGGCCTTTTCTACCAAATCACGACAATGTCCCTCACATTCGCCAAAATGCTTTGCACCCCATGGCGGCGCTATGCCGTTCGTCAAACAGCAGACCCGGCAGCGAGGACGACGCCGCAACTCCGCGCAAGAAAGTCCAAAGGTATCATCCTGCACTCACTCTTCATGGAAGTGCTGTCTGCGTCCATACCTGAGGCACGCACGTATCACATGCGGATCGGCCTTACAGCCAGCATGAGTGCTCATATGTCCCCTTTGCCATGCATTCCCGCATCGAAAGACACATCCCTCCCTCCTTATTTGGTGCCGTACTCAATCATCCTCTTCCCCCCTTACACCGGGAACATGCATACCCTCCCCTCCTCCTCCTTCCCCTCCTCCCGCCGTCCCCATCTCCGTCCCCATCTCCCCATAAACATCTGTCATAATCTCGTCCTGCTGCCGATCCAACTCCAGCTCCTCGCGCATCAACTCCTGCGCCCGTCTCCGCTCACCCATACCATCGTAAATAGGAAGTCCTTGTGCGCGCTCATGTTCGTGGTCGAGTCCGTTATCGCGGGCGTCAAACTGCGAGTCGCGATACGGGAGAGGAAGAGGCGTGATGACGGGACTCGAGCTGCTGCTGCGGAAGGACGGGGTGTCCACTGCGGCGGCGGCGGAGGAGGAGGAGGGGGAGGAGGAGAGGGTCGGCATGCCTGACATTGCGGCGTCGGGGGGTGGGGCGAAAGACCATACCTGTAAACAACACCGCACCAGTCAGCATCATCATCATCATCACCCACTCACACACGCACTCGGAATGTCAGAGTTGGGACGTACCTCCATAACCGTCTTCCCCCCACGACTAGCAAGCACCACCGCCTTCTCCTCCTCAAACACCACCCTCCACACCGCTTCCGCCGGACTGCCCAACTCCCTGACCAACCCACCGCGCTGCAGATCCCACACCTTAACCCGTCCATCACTGCCCCCACTCACAATCCGACCCTCATCGAACTGCAAGCTAGTAACACTGTTATCATGAGCAGCCAACCGGTGAATAGCAGAGTAAGTCTGCAGACTCCACACCCTCACGCTCCCATCACTCCCACCCGTGACGAGCGTATCGTTCCGGAGTTGCAGTTGCCCAACGAGAGAAGTATGCCCCTGTAGTTGAGCCAGACACCGCCCCGTCTGCGGATCCCAAACCCGGACACTCGTATCCAAACTCCCCGTCGCCACCCGTCGGCCATCAAACGCCACCGCATAAATCTGGCTGAAATGGCCCTGCAGCGTCCTCAAACACCTCCCCTCGGAGATACTCCATATCCTCGCCGTGGTATCATAACTCCCACTCACGACCAAATCGCCATGGATCTCCAAACAGCGCACGCTGGCCTGATGGCCGATGAGGACGTGTTTGCAGATGCCCTTGCGGATGTCCCAGACGCGGAGGGTGGTGTCGCGGGAGCCGGAGATGGCGATGTCGCGGCCGCTCATCTTGAGGCAGCGGACGGTGGAGGTGTGGCCGCGGAGCATATGCACCGCCATCCCCGTCCCGAGATCCCAGACGCGGACGTCGCGGTCACAGCCTCCGGACACGAGGGTCTCGCCTTGCGGGACCATGGCCCACACGCCCATGACGTGGCCTTGCAGGCAGCGGAGGTGTCTCCCTTCCGTGTCGAAGACGTGGATTTTCGCGTTGTCGAGGGCGACGATGATGTAGTTGGATGTTAAGTGGAGGGATGTGACGACACCCTGGTCGGGCGTGATTTGGCGGGTGGTGACGTGGCCGCCGTGCCGCCAGGCCGTTTCGACTTGGTAGCGCTGTTTGAAGTGGGAGCGGTAGGAGATGGCTTTCGGACGGGAGCCGGAGGTGGGAGTGGGCGTGCGGCGGGGGGTGGAAGAGGGTGCGCGAGGGGCTAAGGCGGTGGTGATGCTGGTTCGGCGGGTGAGGTCGGGGGCGCTGGAGGAGAGGCCTGCGAGGAGGGGTTGGGGGTAGGGTTGTTGTTGTTGTTGGGCGTAGCCGTATGGGTGGTTGTAGGTTTGTGTTGTGCTGGAGCTGCTCGCGTGGGAGGTGGGGATCGGTCGTGGATTGGACGAGGGCGGGTCGTCGGATAGCCGGCGGTAAGCGTGGCGTTCGCAGAGGCTCTTCCATGCCATGTCGTCGTTGACTAGCTCGCGCCATCTTCGACTGACCTGCGAACTTCGTGCTAGCGTCGGTGCGTCTTCGATGAATGTCAGGATGCGCAGACACAGCTCGTTGGGTAGGACGGAGAAAGGATCCCTCTTCAGCCTCGGACCGACAAAGTTCGCCACGAAGCCTAACAATTTGCCGTCGCACATGTTGAGTAATTCAGCTAACATGCGCTGTCGCTCGTCATTGTCCATATCGGCGAACATGGCACGCATGTGACGATACCCAAACCCATAACCCCTTGCCGAGCTGGCAGTCGACGTCCGATCCGACCTTTGTGGACCCTCCAAATCCAGATCGCCAATGTCCTCGTTCGGGTCAGCGGTACTCCAATCCGGCGCTCTTTGTCCGGGGGTAGGGGATGGAGCGGGCGTGGGCGGGCTCGCCGGCGCCGAGGGTAGTGTGTTGCCCGGGATGACATTTGGGTTGGCGGGTATGGGAATAGGTATCGGCATCGTAGGCACACTGTTCATGGAGCTGGTGGGGGTGGTGATGGGCCGGGGTCGCTGATGGTGCGATGCGCTCGCTTTCCCATGACGGGAGGGGTAGAAGCGGTTGTTGTGTGATTGGGAAGTAATCCGCGCGAGAGTCGGGTGGCTACTCTCGCTGTCGTCCATCGGAGCGGAGGTATAGTCCATGAGGTTCGAGGTCGGCCTTCGCGAGGGCCAGTCTTCCTCCATAATGATCTTCCTTCGGCGCAGGCTATGCGCTGGCACCGGCAAGGAAATACGTCGAAGCGAGGCGGTGCGCGCGCGAGACAGCCTCGTACGCCTTCACCCGCGTGACGGGGTTGTTTGTCGTGCGCTCGATTCGGTAATGCCGCCACCCGAGTCCACCTGAGCGCTGCAGGAAGTGCTCGTCTTTCAACGCCGGTATGTACTAATCCCACGCTTCAAGTCGTAGCCGAAGTCACCAACAGACCCTTATACCGCAACACCCTCCAACTCGATGTTACCACATCTCCTCACACACACACCCGAGTACCCGGAACTGCGGCTTTGCTTTGCTTTGACTCTGACGCTCTGGATCGCCCGCCAAATGTGATACCGCAGCAGTCAACTTTGCGAGAACGTCCCTTCGGGTCCAGAACCTCCTTTGTTCCTCGCGCGGATCGTTGCCGCTTTCTATTTCCCTTTCGCTTGACGCAGTGGATCTAGTCGAAGACCACGCGAAACCAAAGGTTTGCAAAGCAACGGATATCAAAGTAGTGCGAACAGTGGGCTGTTGTTGGTGTACAACTTCCAACTCGCCCTCCCTCCCTCTCTCAGCCCGCGCCGATCACTCGATGTCCCTAAGTCCTGGTCTCGCTTGGAGAAGCCGAAGATCTGCCACCCACTTTCGATGGTGCTGACCAATGTTTTACAACGGCGTGGCGAGAGAAAACGGCAGAACAGATGACCACGATCAACCATGCCTTAACGAGAAACACTGAGGTTGTATGGCGGACTATAGTATTTGTACATGGTGAGTGTGAGAAGTCCACCACCGCCGCCCGCTCCAGCCGCCAGCACTTCGACAGCTCACATGCATCTTTCGTCAAGCTGCATCACGGCATTTGCTGACCCTGGGCTTTTGCCCTGCATACACTCCAGTCACCATACCTACGCGCTCAGATCTGCACCGAGATGGGATTATACCAATTCATTCTTGATCAATCAATCGCACGCTGGTACGAAGTACATATGGAGAAAAGCACGCTTGTCAGATTGTACAATGCAGCCCACTTTTGACGCCTCGCTGTCGCCGGTAGCATTCCTACGCCATCGCTCTCCCCTGCCTGCCTGCCTGTCTGCCAGCCTTCCAAATCGCAGTGATGAATGTGCAGCGCTGCGAACTACACACAAGACCGTGGTGTTGTTATGCCGCTTATGCCGATTGTGCTGGGGATTTGGGCACCTGGGAACTTCAGTCAGCACCATACATTTCCCCGCGAAGGATTTGTCAAAACAGCCTCACCTGAACCGGTCGCTCCGGGTAGTAAAAGTTCTCCTCCGGAACGCGTCCCCTCATGAACGCCGGCTCACTGCCCCGGACATAGATATCCTCGAACAGCACCTCCGGCGTCGGCTCCGGCGGCGCCATGGCTTCAGCGGCAGCCACCTCCTCATCCACATCCTGCCGCGCCTGCTTATCGATCCCCTTCAACTCCTCCTCGCTCGTAACCTCCCAATCCAACAACTTCTGCTTCAACCCGGCAATGGGATCATTCGTGCTCCTCATGCGCTGGATCTCCTCTCGTGTGCGGTACGTAGTACCCGGGTCGGACATGGAGTGGCCTCCATACCGGTACGTGACGTATTCGTAGACGAGCGGACCTTTGCCGGAGCGGCAGTACTCCTTGCCGTATTGCACGGCGGCCTTGACGGCGAGGACGTCCATGCCGTTGATCTTGAGACCCGGGATGTATTGCCCGCGCTTGTAGTAGTCCGTTAGGGCTGCGGCACGGTTGGCGGCGGTACCCATGCCGTATTTGTTGTCTTCAGAACATATTAGCACACGTCCACGCAGAGTTGGCGGTAGGGTAGATGGTGACGACTCACTCTCACACCCAAAGATAACCGGCAGATTCCACAACTTGGCCATATTGAACGCCTCAAACACCTGCCCCTGATTGCTGGCTCCGTCACCATACAACGCCAACGTCACATTCTCCTTCCCCTCGTACATATTCGCAAACGCAATGCCCGCACCCACCGGCACCTGCGCGCCGACAATGCCATTCCCGCCATAGAACCCGGTAGCAAACATATGCATGCTACCACCCTTACCATACGCAATCCCTTCTCTGCGTCCCAACAACTCACCAATAATACTCCTCACAGTGCCACCCCTCATCATTGCGAACCCGTGACACCGGTACGCAGTGATGACATGATCGCTCTTCTCGATCGCGTGCTCGATGCCCACCGCCACGGCTTCTTGGCCGGTGGATAGATGGCAGAAGCCGCGGATCTTCTTCTCCTTGTACAGACGGTCCGCGGCCATTTCCATGCGGCGCACGGCGACCATGTCGTAGTAGATTTGCTTGAGCTCGCGTTTGGTCGTGTTAAGGGTGTAGGGGGGCGGGTCGAGCTCATAGGTTTCGAAGGATTCGTCGGAGAGTTTCACTTGGAAGGGTTTGTCGTCTTCCTATGCAATGTAACAAGCACTCGGTCAGTAAAGGGACGGGAGGGGAGGGTCTCATCTGCGAGGTGGAATGGGAAGGGTCGTACAGCAGGAACATCCGCCTTCTCGGCATGACTGCTCGCGGCATCGGTGGTGACTGATCGTCTTGCTACCGCTACCGCTGGGCTGACGGCGGCTTTGAAGGGGGTTGCGGTTGCGGCGGCGTTGAATCGTGCTGGTGCCGCGAAGGCGCGCGGTACGAATTTAGACAACATCCTCGATTCGCCGCAATGAAGGTTAATGAAAGGAAGGTGATGAAGCGAAGGGCGGTCGCGTGGGAGATGAATGCGATGTGTAAGATGGATTTCCCGTGATCTGAGCTTCTGGTTGAGCTCCTTCCCTACGAAGCTCCGAAGATCAAGGGTCTGTGCTAGAAGAGTGTGCCGGGCCGATTGCACCGGTTTCCGAATTTAGCTGCGCTTAGACTTGCACCTCTTCTGACCTCACTTCACGCTGCATTTGGTCGATCTATCATCCTCGCCGCCAACATCGACGCTGCGCATACACATTCTTCCACTAAAGCGTGATGTAGCCTGTAGGGTGCGTACCTTGGCTGTCTAACGGGCGAAGTGATCCATGAGCGAAGGGTTGCTACAGGCTTGTAGGACGGTAGATTGCTGCTTCCTGGATAGATCGCTCTTTGATTGTCGCTAAGCAGCGGCTGTATAGCCGTACTCTCTACGAGTATCCTCGATGGCGAGCTCGAGAAGCAATGGGTCAAACCTCTCGCCTTATCTCCGCATGTCCAATCAGCTTGTCAAAGAGCGAGATGTTGGTGTCGGCTACTGCTCGAACACGTAGACGTTGCGGTCGATTGATTTGCTATTTGACCGACTGTGAGGAGATGCGCAGCAGACTTGCGATGCTGCAACACATTGAGGGCTGCGTCGCCAGCCACTCGGAAGTGCTGCGAGAATGGAAGTGCAGAGGGGATCTCCTCGCCTGCGGGTTGCAGAAGGTTAGTGAGGAACCGCATCCGCAATTTTTCCTTCAAGCTGATGGGAAGCACCTGTTCCAACCCTTAGTAGGTGCGATAATGCGATCTGAGTGGCTTTTCCGACAAATGTTAGATGTTAAGATCGTGACACCGACCTTGCTAGGGGAGAGGTCGGCTTATGGCAAGTCGGTAAGTACTGCATGGGTGTAAAAAAGTGATGCTGAAACTCAGCTTGCGACAAGAGCACGAAGGAGGCGACATGCATGCCCAGCAATGAGGAAAAAAGGAGCAAAACCTCAGATCATACACCGAAGTGTACTTTGCTCAGGGGGAAGCCTCCGCCGCGGAACGCAGACACGACTTTCATTACCCGGCAGTCCCAACCGAGCTACAATGCAAGATGCTATATGCGTCGTCCAGGCCCATCTTACGACAGGTCCATCAGCAAGAACATTCGCACGCAACTCCCGCCCGTCGTCATGACTCTGGTAGCTTATCAATATACGTGCGGTTAACCCCCAGAAAGTGCGATGCGACCAACATTCAGACCGACACGTGATGCATCACATGTGGCAGTAGCCGGTAAACTGGCCAGTCTTTTTTACGCACCGATATTCGATTGCAAACAAGTTTATATCCTTATTGCTAATGGCTGCCGAAGTGTAGCCGGGGGCGTGAATGACTGCTGCCTACGTAAGCGCGCACATGATGCCGACAGAGGTCGTGTGGCACACCCAATTCAACCCACGTTCACCCACACTTCATATCCATAACTATGAGTTGAAGCTCGCACCGCTCACCACACTCGCACACGCTGCCACAATGGAGCTACCGTATCGCACACGCGTTGAGAGGTGGATGCAAGATCAGCCGCCACCCGCCGTCGAGGCGTCGCAAGCACAAGCGGGACAACCTGAAGCTCAAGAAGCGGCTTTCGATAATGGGAGTGAGGCTGACACTGTTAAAGCGCCGTCGGAGGGTACATCCGCATCCTACACACCCCAGTTCACCCATGATGATGGAGAAGGAACCACGGAAAGCATAGCGTCCTGCACTGCAGACCACGTCTCTGATCGAAGTTCCGATGAGGAAAGCGAGTTCGACGGTTTCGGTGAAGTAGAAAATGATGAGGATCCAGTGGTAGGCAGTGATTTCAGTAAGCTTGTATACCGTGTTTGAATTTTATGGAAGCGCCCTGACGGAGATATCTAGGTCACTACACTGCGGAGCCCACCACAGACCCTGCCGATGATGATTATGCGGATGACAAGCCCATTCGTACTAAGTTTGGAGACAAGCTTCACCGCATGATGAACTTGCACAAGGCTGTCGGAGGTGAGCTTAGCGATCTTCTGGAGCGTCGCTTGCAGCCAAAGGCGATCGTAAGAGGTGTGTGGCAGACCAAGGACCTCTCCTCATGGGGCAACCATCTCCTGCGCGCCTACTGCCTTCTGTTCGCGCTGGACGTCACTGTCAAGGAGGTCAACGGGGTCTTGGGGTCGATCTTCGACAGACGCATGCTTAATACTAAAGGCGATCCTTCCCGCGAGGCCGCAACCAAGGCAGAGGTTCGCGAGGCATTCGAAACGTTCAGGCATATGGGCAGGAACTTTGTGGAGAAGCCAGAGCCGGCTGCTCAGGGGTTGTATTGGGCCAACTAACTGCTTCCCGTTACTTACAGGTGGAAAGGCTATACGACTGGACGTGGCCGATGTTCAGGAGGATGGATAAGACATTCGCGAGCACGTTCTGGTGGCAACTTGCAGGTGCTAGGAGCAGTCACGTGGGAAGGTGAGCGGATTGAGTCTGCGGTCGCAATACCGCTTGGCAAGTGGATGTAGGCGTTTACGTAGCCATGCCGAGCAATTCTCTGTCTACAGGGTGCGCAGTACTTCCAACGGCAAACTGTACCTACGTTTGCACCATAGTAAGCGACCCAGATGAGGCGATGCCAGTGTAGTATACTACGTACGGAAGGTTTGCTCGTATTCGCAACTCTGCCGCTTCATTGCCTGCCTTGATCGAAGAGCGAGACAGCGCAGCAGTGATCTGGAGGCACGTTCACTGGTTGGTTTCCAACCGTGTGCATCATCAACCTTGAAACTGGAACCAGATGTTGCTGGTTTGGACCGAACCGTCATCGATCTCGTGACCGAATTCGAACGTCTTCAACCGGAACTAAACCACTACCACTGAACCTGGAGCTGCGGAAAACAAGAAGACTTTGGCAAAAGACAACAACATACACCGATTCACTAGTTAAGGTATTTCTATGCCAGGTTCGCCGTAAGCATGCGTCTTTCCGCGACCATTACGTGCCGCAGAAGGTGACTGCACGTTCGCGATCGCAGAACAACATGAAGACACAACGCATCCATCATACGAACAAATTCATCGCAGGGTTGTCATGCATTTATTTCCACCCCGAACGCCATGCTAAACCCTATCCATCAAAATCAATCAACACCATGCAGCTCCAGCCTGTACGCTTCAAGCGGTGCAAGAGATCGCGCGTGCGAAGCTGGCGAGAGGACACTACGTCTGCCGTGGCCTCTTAGACGCACCGCCGCCGCCGTGCCCCGCCGTTCCATTCGCACGACCTACTGCCATCTCTTCGTCCTCATCCTCCCCATCATCCTCCTCATCAATGACCTTCCGCTTCTTCTTCTTCTTCTTCTGCTGTCCCTTGGCTGCCCTCAGCCCAACCTCATCATCCTCTCCCCCACCCACCTCCCCCTCCCCCCTCTCTCCCTCCACCATCTCATCCCTCCCCAGCTTCTCCAACATCCTCGCATACCCCTCCACAACCCCCTCAACCGCCGCCTCCAACCTCTCCACCCGCTCCCCCCGCTCCACCTGCACCAACACCTCGCGATTAAACACGTACAACCGCTCCTTCACGTACAGCCTCCAAAAGTAATACGCCCGATCCCGTTCATTCTTACTCTTCTCTTTCCGCGTGATACGATTTCGCGACCGGTGCGGGGGTGGGATGAGGGAGAGGGTGTGCATTTCCACCAGTCGATCGAACTGTCGTTTCTCGAGCTTCGTTTGCGCGCGGATGCCGTCGAGTGTGGTGGGGGCGGGAGGGGTGATGATGAGGTGTGTGGGTATTGGTTCGGTTGGTAGGAGGCGGTCGGCGGGGATGTCGGTGTTGATGCGGAGGTTGAGGAATTCCGGGACCGTGGAGCGAAGGCGGAGTAAGTCGCAGCGGTCGCGTAGGTCGTCGAAGGCTTCGTTGGGGTCTTCGACGGTGAATTCGCGGATGTTGGGGGAGGAGGTGAGGTGGGTGTAGATTGTGTTGTAGAGGTGCTTGCCGTGGTCGTTGCCTTGGAACGGGGGTAGGATGAGGAATTGAGATAGGCGTTCGCGGCTTGGTAAGTCGAGGGGGCTTTGTCGGTCGGTCATGCTTTGGTCTGGCTGGTTTGATTGGTGGAGGAGTGTGTCGAGTGGAACATCGTCTAGTAAGCGCTTCTCGCTTTCGCTGGGGTGGTTTCGGTCGGGTAGGGTGAAGACGCGGTAGGATGTCCCGAAGCCGACGAGAGTGTAGGGTGAGGTGTTTGGTGCTGGCTTGCTGTCGGTGCGGTAGAGGAGGAAGATCTTCCATCGCTGCGTCGACCAGTCTTGCTCGAGCTGTAGCACACTGCCTCCTTCGATGAACATGGGCACTAGGATTTGCATGTTCTCCAGCACCCTCCTCGCCTCTGGGTCGGCTAAGCTGGCGCATCGGATCTCATACCTCTCCCCATCCTTGACATACGCGTGTATCTCCTCGCCCGGCGGCGTCCAGTCCGCTCCCGTCCCCTCCCTCAGCAGCTTCGCATTCCGCCCATCGAGCGCCTCATCAGGCAAGTAACCCCTCAATGCCGCCTTGATATCCGTGGGTCGTATACTCTCGCTCTGCGCCGGAAACACTTTGCCATGGTGTATGCTGAGGCTCGGTCGCATATCATGTGCCGCAAATAACAGATCGATGGAGAGGTCATGGTAGCCAAAGATGGCCTCTTCCTCGCCGAAGAACTCGTAAGTGAACTCTGGAAGGAAGGTGGCGATGTTGCGATCGCCCTTGCGGATGTGGAGAGTGAAGCAGTCTTTGCTGTTGGCCGACCACTCTTCCACTTGGGCTTGGATCTCGGCGGTGAGCTCGTCGTCGCCGTCCATCGCGAAGCAGAGCAAGATAGCAGGCAGCCAACGGTTGAGTATTGTTTGGTTCACGCAGTATATTGACAATGTTGGCCTTAATGCGTGGATGGGCGGCTAATCAACGATGAGTAAGACGAAAGGTGCACACATACATTGAACGCGACTGAGACGCGACGACGGCTGGTCTGTGCGGAAGAGGCTTGTGTCCAGCTCAAGCCTCAGCCAGCCAAACGCCCAGGGGAAGGAGCACAGGGTCCCGTCTCCCGAGGGGTTTGCTTCCAAGGGGTCCCGATAAGGCTGAAGATTATAAGCTTCCACCTCCCAAGCTTTCAACTGCTTCGCTTCGCTTCGAACTCTGCTACTCTGATTATATTTATTATCGAACGGTGTGGTGGGGATGTTGGTCAACGCTCGGTGATGGCCCGTGACAGCTGGAGCAGACGACGACGACGACGACGTGAAGACATTCACTACAACCCTCGCACATAGCGGCTGAGGAGCAACTACTCGCCCACGATGGAGGAGGGAGTCTTCACTCTGGTGTTGCTATGTGTTGTAATGGCATGCGCGTAAGTTGCTTCGCTCCTTCCCACTCTAACCACGCTCTTTCTAATTCTTATGGCAGCTCCTTCCTCGCCGGTGCACTCCCACTCTCCTTCTCCCTCACATCACGACAACTCCGCCTCATGACCGCTCTTGGCACGGGAGTGCTGGTGGGAACGGCTCTGATCGTCATCATCCCCGAAGGCATCGAGACGCTCTACAGTGCGGATGGCAGCACACACAGCCACAGCCACAGCCGCATGAAACGATCACTCACAACGGGCGGACCGGTCGTCTGGACGCCCGACATTCGAATCACCCACAAATTCACCGACTGGCAGAGATTCGGCCCGCCGGTCGCGGATGCCACGGGGAACCGTCTCGACGTCCACGCCGTCAACCCCACACGCGAAGACGACGTCTCCGCTCCCGACTCGATACCGAACAACGAAGGCACGACCCCCGATCAGAACACCTACTCACCCCCCCGCAGCGACCCGCACGCCTGGGTGGGCATCTCCCTCATCACCGGCTTCATCCTGATGTACCTCATCGACACTCTCCCCCGCCACATCACCACCCACTCCCCCTCCCCACCCCGCCGCTTCTCCATCAGCCTCAACTCCTTCAGCTTCAACCGCCCCCGCACCTCCACCTCCGACACCGCCTCCCTCTCCACCCCCACAACCGACACCTTCTCCTCCAGCGATCCGCATCCGCACCCGCACCCACACCACCACGCCAACACCCAAGCGTCTTCGACCACCGTCGGCCTAGTAATCCACGCCGTGGCCGACGGAATCGCCCTCGGAGCCTCGACCACCACCACCACCACCTCTAATACCCAAAACCTAACCTTCATCATCTTCCTCGCCCTCATGATCCACAAAGCCCCCGCCGCCTTCGGCCTCACCGCCGTCCTGCTCAAACAAGGCCTTTCAAAGCGGATGGCCCGCTTCCACCTCCTCATCTTCTCCTGCGCCGCTCCCGCCGGCGCTGTACTCACCTGGACACTCATCCGACTCGGCGGGTACTCCCCCGCCGTGTTAGGAGAAAGCGCGAGCGCGGAGTTCGCAACGGGCGTGTTGTTGCTGTTTAGCGCGGGCACGTTTTTGTATGTTGCGGTGCACACGATGCAAGAGAGCGGGTCGGGGCATGAGCATGTGCACGTTGCGGGGAATGGGTACTTGGGGGTGCCGGGGACGGAGATGGGGATGGATGGGATGGAGGCTGGGATGTATGGACAACCGGTTCTGCCGGTGAAGCGAGAAGGGCCGGAGTTGGTGGAGACGCTTGTTACGGTGGGAGGGATGTTGTTACCGCTTCTGACGCAGTGGGGGCATGCGCATTAACATTACCATTACAATTTGCACTTTGGCCAGTCTTCTGCAGTGCGTTCAAGCGGTTACATTTGAATCCCACACCAATATGCACGTCCACCTTTCCATACTCCCCCAGTACCTCTAACACCCCTCAAGTAGCATCGCCGTGCCCATTACAGCGTCACGACCAACTTCCCCGCACTAACCCTCCCCTCCTTCAACCTCTCACAAGCCGTCTGCACAAACTCCAAACCCCTGCCCACCACCACCGGATCAGGCTTACACGCAAACCTCCCCTCCGCCAAGGCCTTTGGCAAGAAGTCCTCGAACATCGCCTTCCCGACTCCATGATCGCCCGCTTTGACGAGGGTGAAACGGTGGGTGATGCCGTGGCGGAGTCTGAGAAGGAGAAAGAGAGAGAGTCAGCTGGCTATACACTGAGTATGATAGGAGGGGAGGAAGGGCGTTGAATTGTACAGTGCCGGTCTGCTCACCCTTTGATTGCCATGGCCGAATTCCAATAAATCATCCAAGCTATAAACCGCGGGAAGACGAAACTCTTCGGCATCGGCGTGGGAAAGGTGAAGGAGACCATGGCGATGAACCTCTTCCTGTTCGCCTTCATCTTCACTTGGTCGGTGCGGGCGAGGACGTCCATGCACCTGTCCACGCCTCCGTTCCCGATCGCCACCGCGCCCGCGCAGAGTTTGCCTTGGAAGGCTTTGGCGATATCGGCGACGCAGGTGGGGGAGTTGTAGTCGAAGCACGCTCCCGCTCCGAGGGATTGGCAGTAAGAGTTGTTGCGCGGCGAGCAAGTGGTGATGACGTCGTAGCCCGCCGCGGTGGCGAGTTGGATGGCGTTGGAGCCTACGCTTGTGCTGCCGCCCCAGATCAACAAGGTTTCGTTCTTCTTCTTCTTCTCCTCCGCTTGAGCGCCGTTGGAGGGTGGATAGGGGAGGGCGAGTTGGTCTTTTTGGAATAAAGCTGCTGCGGCGGTGGAGAGACCGAGGGGGATGACGGCCGCTTGTTCGTAGGACAGACTATCCGGGATCGGACTCGTATGCTCCGCCATAGTAACAACGTACTCCTGAAACCCGCCCTCCGCATTCCGATTCCGCTCCTTGTCAGCCCCGAACGCACACCCCACCACCCGATCCCCGACGTGAAACCGCGTCACTCCCTTCCCTACTTCGACGACTTCACCACTCACGTCGAAGCCGAAGACGGCCGGGTATTTGATGTGGGTGAACATGAAGGTGCCGAAGTCCGGGAGCATGTGGTCGACCGGGTTGACGGCGAGGGCGTGGGTGCGGATGACGAGTTCGCCGGCGCAAGGTTGGGTGTAGGGGGCGGGGGAGACGGTGAAGGGGAGGTGTTTGCCTGGGGCTGGACAGAAGGCTGCGTGGTTTGTCGATGGGGCCATTATTGTTGGGGTGTGCAAGAGAAGAGAAATGGAGAAGAGCTTCAGAAAGACAAGGAGGTGGTGAGATGTGGTGTTTTTCAGTGTTCAGGTTGTGATTCTTGGTCCTTTCCAACTTCTTCTTGCTCGACCGGATGTGTATGAGGTCAAACGTGTGGTACGAGAGAAAAGCGACATGAGCGGAGGGATGGATATATATGAAGAGTACTACACCTAGTACTCTACTTACCATTCTCGCATATGGGCAGTGTTACATATCTACTGTCACGGCGGCATATTGCACCGAACGCGTTCTGGTATGTGGCTTGGATGCGATACCAGCTGGGAATTGATTGCGAAGTGTAGCGCGTGGATCGAAGCTTGGGCCACTTTTCTGCGCAATCGTGCAGCCAGTCTAACCTGATCTCGTACTCACTGCTCCAAACGTTCCTCCGCTTCGCCTGCGAACACCGGCTTACATACACAATGTCCGGTGCTCTGCCTGTACCGCTCACATAGTTGGTAACAGCCCGCCCCGAAGACGGCCGTATAGCAACAATATTCATTACTGATCACTCCCACGGTGACCTTCTCCTCAGCAACCTCACCGTCCGAAAACTGTCAGCCACACATGCCAACGGCCTTCGACAACTACGCCGCAAAGTCGCGAAATCCATCTTCGCCGACTCGGCAACACTCTGCCTCAATCTGCCCACCACCACAACGTTGCCTACCATTCGTCCACTGTCGCACCAGCCCATCGTACCAGACATTGCTAAATCCTCGCCGTCCGCCTAAAACGTCGTCTGCGCCAACCTCGAAGCGGCGTTCCTAGCATCCACCCGATCGGCATCATCGTCCTCCTCAACCTTCGTCAAACTACTGACACTACTCGTACCCCTCTTCCGCCCCTTCACCGCACCCTCCGCCCCACCCTCTTCCGCCTCCTCCTCGCCTTCTTCAGGTACCGTCTGCCCCGCGACGAAACTCCCGGAGATGCTTCGGTTGAGCCCGTCCGGCCGTCTGGGTACGCCGGACCAGGCGTCGCCTTTTGGTCCCTGCGAGGACGCCATGCTAGTGCGTCTTACGACTGGATGAGCTTCCCTTCCGAGTCGGCTCAGACCACCCGAGGCGTCAATGTTGCGGACATCATGGCGGACTTGCTCCAAAGTGGCGAGGGTGCGGCGCTCGGCCTCGATCTCACGAATCACGTACTCGCGGATGCTGGCACGCATGTCGGCGGCCGTGCGGGCGAACCATTTCCGCTTCTCCACTAGTAGGTTAGCAGTCACGCGCTGCGTCTTCTGCATCAGGTAGGATTCGTGACTGCGTGCTTCGTCCAGGGCGGAGATGGCCTCGTCGACTTTGTCACGCTTGACGCTGGATGAGGCTTTGAGGCGGTCCGCGGCGGCCAGCTTGGCGCGAGTGGACTGTTGGGCTTGGATAAGCTCGCGCAGAAGGATGTGCCGATTCGTGAGCGTCTCCTTCACGATCAAGGCGTCGCTGCTGTGGTACGCGAGGGGGTCGGAAAGCGTCGCCGCTTCCGCCGTCCCTTGCGCGGCATGAAAGTCGCCGGTCGATTGGATGACCCTGCCCAGCTTGCGGTAAGCATTGCCAAGTCCAGGATGCGTCTCTTGTGCCGTGAGTGAAGCCAGTTTGATGCCTAGATCCGACTCCGCAACGCCAAGTGAGCGCCTATGCCGGACAACCTTGTCCAGTTTCTGCTGGCTGTCCATCGCGCCGAGGTAGAACGCTTTCACGATCGGCCTGCTCTCAAGCAGCTCCGGCGTGTCGTCTGGCGGCGGCGCGAACTGCTTGAGCATCTTTCGCCGTACACCCGTCGCCGGCTGCCGTTTCCGCACAACCGGCGAGTAGCCGAAGTCGGACTCGACGAAGAACACCATCTCCTCGTCTCGCATGAGCACGTCGTTACTGCAGACTACGTTTAGCCATCTCTGCATCGCAGCTTTAGTGCGTGCTTCATCTTCGTCCGTTCCCATTCCGGCGCTCGAAGACGGTGGTGGCACAGCGGGAACCAAAGCTTCTGGGTTGGAGGCCACGAGATGATTGGCAAGTTTCTCGAACTCGGAGTGCGTGCGGCGGATGTCTCGGAACTGGGTGGTCCTGAACTTGGGCAGGTTGGTCTGGTGGTCAATGTCAGCCAAGACTTTCGCAGCTTACTTACATTCATGAGGTCGTAGATCTTGCATACGTAGACATCGAAGCGCAGAATCGGGTCCTTCTTCCCCGTCCTCTCCAGCCCTGTGATCTTGGCCTGGAGTTTGTACTGCGGCACGTGCTGCTGCCGTGTCTGTTGTTGGTGCGGTGGCATGTTGTGGTAGCGAGTCGAGTGTGGACGTCTGCCCTCTTCGGCAGCCATCCGGTCTTGGCCCGGGCCGTATTGCTGCTGCTGCTGCTGCTGCTGTTGCTGGTAATGCCACTGCTGTTGCTGCTCGGGCGACCACGACCCAGGCTGTTGCTGCTGCTGATACGCATGCCCCTGTTGCTGGGCCTGTGCTTGAGTGCCATTGGCACCATGCTCCTCCCGCTGATGCTCCGGCATGGCAGGCCCAGGTAGATCATGTCGCGGACCGCTCCCACCAGGCCCGTCGCCAAAGCTCGTCCTGTTCGCCTCCGGGCTACTGGCCCACGGACTCTGCCCTCCTCCCGTACTATAATCCATGGTAGGCTGATTGGGGTCTCTCAAGGCACCCTCATAGAAAGCGCGCTCGGACTGGCGTCGCTGGAAGCGGAGGTTGGACGGTGTGCGTGCAACTGGTGCTTTACTATTAGTACTCGATCCCGCTTCGTCACGTGTGTAGGGATGGGTCATGGCGGAAGAGGCATGATGAGGGAGGTGGAAGGGTACGGTAGTGTCGCTGCTGCAGCTTGGCTTTGGGCTGCCCGCACCGTTGTCCATGATCCCCGAAAAGCGTAAAGACTCACCTCTATCTTTATTCCTTTGCCTGTCGATAGCACTGCGCATTCGATGAATTGCTGGTGAGGGACTGTTCAGCTGTTCATGGGATGATCTTGAGATGGGCGCGGCAACGATACGCACGAAGGATCACTCAAGGCGAATGCTCTTGGCCGCGTAGGCTTCTTTCAACCTCATCTCGAAGCCATGCGCCACTTCAGCGGCAAGATGCGGCGAAAGCTGCCCTGGACAGAACAAGAAACATTGGAATCATAGCACACATCGATGCCGTATGTTTCAGATTCCGAAGGTAGCGACTACATGCTCACCTCGACGGCGTCCAGGGCAAAACCACCACGACAGAGCGTATGCTGTATTACAGTGGCTATACTAGGCGAATAGGAGGTACTGTATGAACCCGTTGTTTCCTTCTCACTCCCATGAACTGCTGCTTCACGGCAATCTTTAGTCTTGACTGACCGCTTTCAGATGTCGACGAAGGCAGCACCGTCACTGACTTCTTGCCTGCTGAACGCGCACGAGGAATAACGATTCAGTCCGCTGCAATCTCGTTCTCCTGGCCACCGTCCCCGCACCATCGATGGATCCCGGACAGCACTCCAGAGAAGGCTCAGCAGCCACGACACTTGACACCCCACAACGTTAACCTTATCGACACGCCTGGACATGCCGACTTTACGTTCGAAGTCCTGCGTTCACTCCGAGTGCTTGACGGCGCGGTCTGCATCCTTGACGGCGTAGCGGGCGTGGAAGCGCAAACCGAAAAGGTGTGGTCGCAAGCTTCCGCCTACCAGATTCCCAGGCTTGTCTATGTCAACAAACTCGACCGAGATGGTGCAGCTTTCGGTAAGACCGTCAAGGAGGTTGGGGTTAGGCTTAACGTCTGGCCGGCTGTCTGTTCGATCCCATGGTGGAGCAGTGAAGGCTCCCTGAGGGGGCTGGGCGATGTGATCAATCTTCGAGGCCTTAGTTATGCTTCGGGCGGAGACGGTAAGCAAGTCGATGTGTTTGCTCTCGAGCAGTTAAGTGCGGTTGACGCTGAGCTAGCCAAGGAGTTGAGCAAGGCGAGGATTGCGCTTGTCGAGCTACTTGCCGAACATGATGAGGAAATGGTGGAGAAGTACCTCGAAGTAGACGAGGATCATCTCGCGATCCCTCCTACGCACATTGTTGCAAGCTTACGGAGATGCATCCTTCATCATCCACAGCAGGTCACTCCTGTCTTTGCCGGAGCTAGTTTCCGCAATGTTGGCGTGCAGCCGCTGTTAGACGCTGTCGTTGACCTGCTACCATCACCGCACGAGCGACCAGATCCAGAAATCAGTCTTGGGCACGGTGTGAGAGGCGGCCTCTCAGCTTTCCTCTCCGGTGATCTAGTAGCAGCAGCGAGCCCAGACCGCTCTCAGACCGCTTCAAAAGCTATCAGCAAAACCAAAGCCACCTATGCCTTACAAAGCGTTGAGTCATGCGCACTCGCGTTCAAAGTGGTCGCCGATCCCAAACGTGGCGTCCTCGTCTACGTGCGCGTCTACTCCGGAGCGATTAACAGAAACGCACCGCTATGGAATACCAGTCTCAGTACGACAGAGCGAGCGCAGAAGCTACTGAAGATGTACGCCAACGATGCCATGGACATCGACTCTATCCCCACGGGTCAGATCGGCGTCATCCCGGGCCTCAAATTTGCACGCACTGGCGACACCCTCGTTTCTTACACCGGCGCCAATCCGAAGACCGGCCCTCCGGCTCCAATTAACAACCTACAGCTCCGTCCGATCAATGTGCCCCCGCCCGTGTTCTTCGTGAGTGTCGAGCCGCAGAGTCTGGCTGAGGAGAAACACATCAAGGAAAGCCTGGCGTTACTGCTTCGCGAAGACCCTAGCTTGCATGTCAGCCAAGACGAAGAGAGCGGGCAGACGCATTTGGCAGGCATGGGTGAGCTACACCTCGAGATCGCGCGGGATCGACTTGTCGCGGATCTGAAAGCGAAGGCGAGGATTGGCAGCATTGAGATTGGATATCGCGAGGCTATCACTGCGGCCAGTGGCGAGCTGACCGAAGTCTTCGACCGCGACGTCGGCGGTAGGAGCTCGAAAGCTGCTTGTACCGCTTCCGTCGAGCCCGCCGCTGAGGGAACGCTAGAAGCAAAAGTCGAGCAGATTCGTATCTACGAGCTGGCAGACAACAATCGCTTGGTGGTTTCCACACCAACGCTCGGGGCGGATGGCTCGTCAGTTGTGGAAGAGCAGCCAGGTCTCCCAGAGCAGTTACCCTTGTCGGCAATACTGCAGGCTATACAGAACGGAACGTCTGCCGCCTTCGCCCGCGGCCCAGCTCATGGTTATCCGATGCACTCGACACAGGTCAACATAACGTTCGACCCGGCGAAGCATGTCTTCGCAAACACTACGGCTGCGGCGATCTCTTCTGCTGCTCGCCTTACGATTCAGCAAGCACTCAAGGACAGTTCAAAGCGGTCAGAGACCGTGATGATGGAGCCGGTGATGCTCGTCACCATCAGTGTAGATGAGGACACGCTAGGCTCAGTGGTCCACGACATCTCGAGTGCCCGAGGTGGGAATGTGGTCTCTCTTGGTTCGGAGACGGCAGACCCATCGTCGCAAGCGTTAACAGTGATTGACATCAATAAGATCTATGCTCCACCAGATCCATTTGCAGGCGGACATGCGAGCGGAAATGCTAATGCAGCGATTGGAGACGCCAAGCAGATCGTGGCTCGTGTGCCGCTGAAGGAGATGGTTGGATATCTGAAGCATTTACGCTCGCTGACGGGCGGAAGAGGCACCTTTACCATGGTTGTGGATCGCTTTGAGAGGATGAGTGCGCAGAGGATGAGGGCTGTGCTGAACGAGCTGAGAGGGGATCATGACTGAGATGTGCATCGACCACGCTCGCCTCCGCGGGCTACGGTGTCCAGGTTCGGTAGCCACGCGATGGGAAGCTCTGGAAACTCTTCGCCGGAGCCGAATGGCAACCAGGACGAATAGCGGTCTAATGCAGAGCGACGGCCAGCGTCTGCCGAAACCCCGCATTTGATGGACGCCGGCTTCAACGAACAATCTAAATAAGTTATTGATATAACCTCCTGTCACACCTCGAATGGTCGGGCTGCGATAATGACTACGCGTCTGCCGTCGCCGGAGGAGCTTGACAAGCTTTCAAACATCGACCAGGAGATTGCGGAGAAGCTACAATTCATCCCACAGTTGTGGCAGCCCAGCGCAGACCAGGACCCGGCAGAGGTCATTCGATCAATTCGCGCTCAGAGAGAGGCCTTACCACACGTACCTGCTCCAAAAGGCGTCCTGGAAACACAAGCCACCTACAAAGCGCGAGATGGCACAACCCTGCGGATGTGCGTTTATAGTCCTGCAAGCTCCGTCAACAAGCCTAGGCCGCTGTTTGTCTGGTACTTCGGCGGAGGAGGCTGCATTGGCGTCCCGGAGCACCAGATCATCTGTCGGAATGCTGTTCTGGATCATGGCTGCATTGCCGTTGCTCCACAGTACCGGTTGGCGCCAGAGTACAAGTACCCTTACCAGGTCAACGACAGCTGGGATGCCTTGAAGCACATTACGGCACACGCTGGTGACTTCAGCGCCGATCCGTCAGCAGGCTTTGTGCTGGGTGGGGAGAGTGCGGGTGCAGTCATAGCGGCGCCTTTGGCGCTCAAGGCTCGCGATGAGGCGCTGCAGCCGCCTTTGACCGGCATCTTCCTGACAGTGGGATCGTACTTCGACCCGAACAGTGTTCCGGATCAGTACAAGTCGACTTACCGCTCTCGATACGATGAGGCGTGTTTGAACGCGCCCCTGCTTAGCAAGACAATGAAAGCCATCTTTGATACGTGCCTACAGGGTGACTTCAGCTCGCCCATGTTCAAGGCAGCATTGTGGCCCAGTGGACATGCGCGGCTGCCGAAGACATATCTGCAAAGTTGTGGGATGGACATTAACCGAGACGAAGGTATCTGCTACAACGACGTTCTGTCAAAGGCGGGTGTTGAGACGAAGCTCGATGTGTATCCGGGATGCCCGCACTGCTTCTGGTATCTGTTTCCCAACATAACACAAGGCGTGAAGTGGAAGGAAGATACCCGGAAGGGCCTTGGGTGGCTGTTTGAGAGGCAAATGTAGTAAGTTCGTAAAGACAAAAAGTCTCCGCTCAATGTGTGTACAAGTCCACTCGATTTATGATTGGTGTGCCTGAGAGCGAAACTAGCGGCTGTCTCCGTATGCCAAACTCCGGTGAGCTTCGTCGATGTCTCAGTGGTGTGTCTTCCGGCACGTATGTGGTCTTCGTCGCGAGGTCGGGTCTGCAGAACAAAGTACGGCTATGCTGTACGAGCTGACTCTCTCGCATTCGCTTACTGACACGTCATGTTGACCAGACGATAATGCCTTACAGTATCGGCCTTGGCCCGCGGGTAGACGGCGTTGAGCAGTCTACACGTCACATGTTTGCACTTTCACATGTTGAGCAGGCGCACGCCGGCGACGAACTTTCTTCTTGCTTAGCTTCATTGTTTACCTTGCACTTTCAATCCAAACCTTGTGGCGTACCAGTTGCGCTTGGTGTAAGCCCGCGTACGGCGACACTGCTCAACCATGCCGCCTAGGCAGTCGTACTACGACATTCTCGTCGCGTCGGCACCGGACAGACATGATGGCGACGTAAATGCGACTGTCAAGAGTAGGCAGCTCGTAAAGGAGTATGGCAAGGCGGTCAATGACTACCCGTTGGACAAGCCGTGGGTCTTTGCGAAAGCTATGTATCTGGATGGGATGCTCACGCGTGGAGTAGATACTCGGTGTGCATCGACGCGTGTCCCATGACTATCGAGCGCGTTCCATACGCTCCCAGCAAGCAAGACCGTCTCATCGACCCCGGCACCGCCCGCGCGACCATTGCCGCCACCAACGACGCACCGGACGGGACGCAGCAGGACAACTGGGCCGAGCGACACCGCCATCTCACCGTTGTGCAGCAGCACTGCAGCTATTGGGACAAGGACGGCGACGGCGTCATCTGGCCGTCCGACTCATGGCTTGGCGTGCGAGCTTGGGGGTGGAATCTCTTCCTCTCCGCCTTAGCTGTCGTCATCATACACGGCGCGCTGTCGTATCCCACCGCCCCAGCAATCATCCTACCAGATCCCTTCTTCCGCATCTGGATAAAGCACGTACACAAGTGCAAGCATGGGAGTGACAGTATGAGCTACGATACAGAGGGACGCTTCCAGCCGCAGAACTTTGAGAACTTGTTCACGAAGTACGATAGTGACAACAAGGGTGGGCTGGATTTGTATGACCTGGCGCGGGCGTTAAAAGGGCAGAGATTCGCATTCGACTTTTTCGGCTGGGGCGCGGCGTTATTCGAGTGTGAGTGCCGCCGAGGTGTTCATGCTGGTAGGGTCGCTAACGTCTTGCAGGGTTGGCGGTGTACCTACTTCTCTGGCCCGATGATGGTATCATGCGCAAGGAAGACGTCCGGCGCGTGTTTGACGGTAGCATATTCCAGGAGAAGGCTGATGAGTACGCTCGGAAAATGAAGAGGCAAGGGAAGACAAAGATGGCAATAGCGTACAGTCAATCTGCGTATTGAGTCGCTTTCTCCAGCATACGCCATGACCTGCTCGCTCGGCAGGACAGACAGCATTGCGGTGATGCTCAGATCAGATGGACCGGTAATGCGCACTGCATGCGAGCAGTCTGCCGAGGCAATTGCTTGCTCAGGTACGAGGAGTTAGCTGCTATGCCACGTGCGGTAAGTGCAAACTCTAGCCTTTCATTACCTGTCAAGGTTTGGAGCATGGCATTCCCCGTCCAAGCAGGAACACGGCTCACTCTGCCGATCTAGATGTAGCATGGCCTGCGCTGTAAATGTGTCTGCGGTACGTAGCGTGCTCCTTCCCCGCTTCACCCATCAAGCCACGCGAGGACTTTCCATCTCACTTCACCGAGAGATGCGAGGTGAACAGTTCATGTCACTTCGTACCTACCTCGGTACAAGGTAACTTCCTGTCCGTCTCTATGGTCGGACGACTCAGCCAGGAACAGGGACGTCATGCCTCTACCGGTCTGTGGCCTCGGGATCTCGCCCGCTCCTTCGCATCTACTCCTCACCAAATGCATGCGCACAGGTACACTGTTGTGGCCGCTGTCCGCGGCGGTATAAGTAGGCGTTACGCTGGACATGGTAGGTCACGTCCTGTGTTTCTTTCCCAATCCACGAAGCAAGGATGACTCGTCTCTTTGCACTTGCTGCGCTGCTCTGCGGCTCCTCGCTTGCAAACATCATCCCTTTTTGGCATGGCTCTGATACTGGATCTAACCAACCTTGGGGCCCTTGGCAATGGTCTACAGGTGTTGCGGCCGCTAGTGTCGGCGCAACAACTACTGCAGCAGTCAGCGTTGCAGCGAGCAGTACTTCAGCAGTCACTGGTGTAGCGGGCAGTACTTCAGCAGTCACTGGTGTAGCGGGCAGTACACCAGCAGCCAGCGCTGCAACGGGCAGCACGTCAGCTGCCAGTGTTGTAACGAGCCGTACATCGGCTGTGAGTGGTGCAACAAGCGGTACATCTGCGGCCAGTGGCTCGTCAGCCCGAGCTAGCACATCCAGCAGTGCAGCGGCTGCCAGCGTGTCGTGCGGCTATCCCGGAGGAGGCCCAACAGCGACCATTGACGTCGGCGTTGTGATCGGAACGACTACTTCCCTTCCCGCTGCAAGCGCAAGTGTGAACAAGTTTCTCGGCGTCCCTTTCGCACAGAGCCCCCCACTCCGCTTCGCACCGGCTGTGCCGCCAGCAGCATTCAGCGCACCCATCAACGCCACTGCGTGGAAACCGGCGTGCATCCAGCAGTTCAACTATCCGCTGGCGGCGCAACAGTTGACCCAGATGCTGTACAATACGCCTGCGCCAGTCGAGAGCGAAGACTGTAAGCCCTCACGTCTAGCGTGAATGTTAGTGAGAGCTTTTTATTGATATAAGCAGGCCTCTACCTGAACGTCTACGCGCCTTCCACGCCAGCGCCTGCTGACGGCCGTGCGGTCTTGTTCTGGATTTACGGTGGATCGCTTCAGTTCGGTAACGCGGGTCAGGCTGCCTATGACGGCAGCGCGTTCGCCAGCTACGAGGATGTCATTATCGTCACGACCAACTATCGTACCAACGGTGAGCCGTACAACCCTGCACGTTTCTGTACATGTCGCTGACAGCTGGTTTCCGTTCAGTCTTTGGCTTTCCAGGTTCACCAGAGCTTCCACGTACTGGCCACAACTTGGGCTTTCTGGACCAACGTCTGGCTCTGGACTGGGTTCAGAGGAACATTGCAGCCTTCGGCGGGTCTCCGAAGAAAGTCACAATCTTCGGCGAAAGCGCTGGTGCATTCTCGGTAGACGCCTTGCTTACTTCGTTCCCGGCTGGATCCAGCCCACCGTTCCGCGGCGCAATTCTCGAGTCAGGCCAGTACAGCTATCGTGGATCTCCTTTGGCAAACTCTGTGCAATCGTGGAACCAGCTGAGCGCCGCCTTGGGCTGTCCTGGAACCTACTCGTCGAACCTGACTTGCTTGCGAGCCGCTAACGCCACCGCGATCCAGCAAGTCATCGATCAGCGGTCACTTGTCTCCTCACCGATACCGGACAACGTTACACTGGTCTCCAATCCCGCGCAGATGAGGCTGAGCGGAAACATTGCGAAGATTCCAGTCATGGGAGGCACCAACTCGCAGGAAGGACGGTACGCAACCACGTTGCTCTTTGCAAGCTAAGGCCCATTGCTGACGGTTCGATAGTGTTTTCACGATCGGGCAAAACAACACACTAGCTTACCTCCAAGCCACTTTCGCCAACAATACGGCCCTCATCTCTGCCATCCAAGCACTCTACCCGCAAGGCCAAGGCGGGCTGAACACACCTTACGACGTGATCGCGCAGATCTTCACGGAGTGGATCTTCCAGTGTGGTCAAGGCCAGTGGGCGAACGACTCCGCTTCCATCGGCATACCAACCTGGCGGTACTACTTCAACGCCACCTTTGCCAACACGCAGGCGTACCCGGGTTTGGGAGCGTATCACTCGGAGGAGATCGCACTCGTGTTCTCCACCTTCTCGCAAGCGAACGTCACGACACAGGAGAATGCGCTTACGACCTCTATGCGCGGTGCCTGGGCTCGCTTTGCGAAGAACCCAATGGGTGGACCGGGTTGGAACGCTGTGGGAACTGGTGCCGTTGGGCCGGTGTTGATTGGTGCCACGGGTGTCTCGATTGACGGGCTCTATACCGCACCGAATGGGACGGTGCTAAGAGGTGCTTTTGATCTGGGTTTGTTCGGTGATAGGTACAACGCGCGGGGTGGGGGTGTCACGGTAATCAATCAGTATGAGGTGGATTATCGCTGCCCACTGTGGTCGCAGGTCTATGCTGCGGTGCAGGCGACCGATAGGACTACTGCGGCTTTGGAGGCTGCTGCGGGTGCCTGAGGAGTTGACCATGGTACTCCCGGGTTGGGGTAGCCTCCGTCGGACTAGGTTATTGACTTACCGACCTCTACCTTAGTAGCGCTCTCGCGCGGCTCCCGATATCCCAAAAGCATATCAATTAGTATTAGCGAACTATGCCGACGCTAGGGGCACTGAACAACCCCTTCGGCTGGGAAGTGCACCGGCACAAGGTTGTGACATTGTACCCGCAAGGTCGTAGACTACAGGTAACTTTGATCTCGGGATCGGTCCAGAGCTGGAGCTGCAGCCGGGACCTTATTCAGCAATGCGTAAGGTGATAAAGCTGCCGCAGAATCCGTTGTCGGCTGGGGGAAGGTCATACATTTGAGTGATCGTTGTGTCCTCCTGAATCTTGCTTGCGTACCGAAATCGCCAGCCGGTAAGGTTTCAGCCATAGAGCGAAGACTGTCTTCTCGAAGGACAGACACATTTACCCGGTGGACTCGTGGTAAATCAGCGAAGGCCGACACCGACACCGACCGCCCACTGCATTCATCCCACCTTGGCTGCCCCACCTTCAACCGAAACGTCACAGCCACTCAAAGCTTCATTCACAGCATTGAACTTTTTCCGCGCTGCTGTCAACAATCCTCCTCTCTCATCAAAATCATCCCACAAGCACCGCAAAGATGGGTTACGACAAGGTAGACGAACTCGCCATCAACACCATCCGGACGTTGGCCGTAAGTACACCAGACAGAGCTTCATCGTCGAGTCTATGCCGCAACGATATAAAGTATATGGAGCTCATACAATCCTCCGTCGCAGGTCGATGCCACGTTCAAGGCCAACTCCGGCCACCCTGGTGCGCCCATGGGTATGGCGCCGGTGGCGCACATCCTCTTCAACAAGTTCATGACCTTCAACCCCAAGAACCCGGATTGGCTTAACAGGGATCGATTCGTTCTTTCGTAGGTATCCCAGTGGCGATCGGTTCGATATGAAAGGCGGCAACATAAAGAGCGATCCGAATACAGACGGTCAGACTGACAGACCAATAGCAACGGCCACGGCTGCATGCTCCAGTATGCCATCCTGCACCTTTTCGGCTACGGAGTGAGCATGGAGGACTTGAAGGCGTTCCGTCAAGTGGACAGCATCTGCCCGGGTCATCCGGAGGCGCACGACACACCCGGTATCGAGGTGACGACGGGTCCGCTCGGCCAAGGCTTTAGCAACGCCGTCGGTCTTGCAGTGGCTCAAGCCCACACTGGGGCCGTCTTCAACAAGCCCGGTTTCGACTTGTGCACCAACTACACCTACTGCTTCTTCGGTGATGGGTGTGCCATGGAAGGTGTTGCCAGCGAAGCCGCCTCTGCTGCCGGTCATTTGCAGCTCGGCAACCTGATCTGCATCTGGGACGACAACCACATCTCCATCGGTAAGAGTGGCGCTCCGCATAAGTTGAACTTGCACTGACCTTTTACAGACGGCGACACCAAGTGTGCCTTCACCGAGGACGTCTCGAAGCGCTTCGAGGCCTACGGCTGGCACGTGCAGCACGTCAAGGATGGCGACCACGATTACGAGGGCATTGAGGCTGCCATCAAGAAGGCCCAGGAAGTCAAGGACAAGCCTTCCATGATCCAGCTTACCACCACCATTGGCTTCGGCTCCAAACTCCAGGGCACCGGTGGCGTCCACGGCAACCCGCTGAAGGAGGATGACTGCAAGCAGGTGAAGGAGAAGTTCGGCTTTGACCCCAACAAGAGCTTCGTCGTGCCGCAAGAGGTCTACGACATGTACCACAAGCACGCTTCGGAAGGAGCTGCTGCCGAGCAAGAGTGGAACCAGCTGTTCGAGAAGTACCAGAGCGAGCACAAGGAGCTTGGCGCAGACCTTAAGCGCCGCCTCACAGGCAAGCTGCAAGAGGGCTGGCAAAACAAGCTTCCGGTCTACAAGACTTCGGACAAGGCTGTCGGCTCGCGCAAGCTTTCTGAGGCTGTGCTCGAAGCCATCCACGACGTTGTGCCAGAGCTCATCTCCGGCTCTGCCGACTTGACTGGCTCGAACAACACCCGATGGAAGAGCGCCGTCGATTTCCAACCGAAGAGCACCGGCATCGGTGAGTACAGCGGTCGCTACATGCGCTACGGTGTGCGTGAGCACGCCATGGCGGCCATGATGAACGGCATGTCCGCCTACGGCACCATCATCCCCGCCGGCGGTACCTTCCTGAACTTCGTCTCGTACGCTGCCGGCGCCGTCCGTCTCTCGTCGCTCTCCCACCAGCGCGTCATCTACATCGCCACCCACGACTCGATCGGTCTCGGCGAAGACGGCCCAACTCACCAGCCTATCGAGACCCTCGCCCACTTCCGCGCGCTGCCCAACATGATGGTCTGGCGTCCGGCCGATGGCAACGAGACCTCCGCCGCCTACTACGTCGCTCTCACCTCGCAGAACACCCCATCCATCATGGCACTCACCCGCCAGAACCTGCCGCAGCTCGAGGGCAGCACGATCGAGCACGGTATCAAGGGTGGCTACGTCTTACTCGAGAACAAGGACGCGAACATCACGCTCGTCTCCACTGGCTCTGAAGTCGCGATCTGCTTGGAGGCGGCCAAGTACCTCAAGGAGAACAACAACCTCCAGGCTCGTGTTGTCTCGATGCCTTGCGTGGAAGTCTTCGATGCGCAGTCGAAGGACTACAGGTTGTCTTGCATTCCGGATGGCATCCCGGCTATGTCGGTTGAGGTCATGTCTACACTTGGATGGGAGAAGTACTCGCATGAGCAGTTCGGCCTGAACCGCTTTGGTGCTTCGGGTCCGTACTTGGACGTTTACAAGGTAAGCCAAACACAATCCGTCATATAGTTACAATGTTGGTCGTACACGACGCTGACAACGAGACAGAAATTCGAGTTCACGCCCGAAGGCATCGCCAAGCGTGCTGCCGCCACCGTGGACTTCTACAAGGACGTCAAACCGCTGCGCTCGCCCATCAACCGTGCCTTCTTGCAACTCATCTAAGCTGCTGTATGCGCACGGAGGAGGATCATGCGGGTGACCTCTGCGACAAATATGCTGCGTGTATAGTGCGCTTGTGATAGACGCGATGAAACGACTGTTTAACGTCTCCGATTCCCGCTTGTACATTCAGTTGCAGTGAGTGCTCTAGACTTCGGCAATTATCGTTGTATGCGAAGTCACCTGAGCTTCTCGGTCTTGCTACGGACAGCAACCGTCCGCTTGTCCTGCGGACGCATATTGCACAGTGAGTATCCGAGCGGCTCTATCACTGGTGCGCTCTCACCTATGGAAGTGCAGATCTTTCTCTGCCCATCAGTCACAGCACGCATTGCACAGACCGCCAGGTCGCTAAGCGTGTCATATGTGCTGCCAGTGGCTTTGAGGAGAATCAAAGACTAGTGATTAGAGTCCCTCTAAGAACCCGGTGAATGCTCACCTGCAGACCTCTTCTGCGGTCAAATCACTGTGCCATGTTTTGTAGGAGATGCTCCCTATGCTCCATATGCTCTCGTCGTCCGTCCCGCCTGCAGAGATTATGCTTGATCGTAGCCAGCTCACTCTGATATCGCTCTCCCGGACCTTTGGAACCTCGTGCGCACTCAGATAGAGTCGCCAAAGCATCTCCACACCAGATAATCTGGATCCTCTGCTCCAGTGATACCGTCGGTGCTCGAGAGGAACTCGATGACCATGTTGTTCTTCACTCGCTCGATCTGGCCGCTAAGATGCCATTCGATGTCCCTGATATCACCAAGTGCTTCATTTTCGCCCGTGCTGAACTGGGCCTCTATGTCCCGGACGCGAGTCAGGACCCTTTTGAACTTCTTCAAGGTCCCCTCGGCTCCAATGTTCTGTGTCTAGCTCAAGCACATAGAGTCGCTCGATGCGTTGCATGACGGGCTCGCGCTCGCAGTACTTGAGCCAAGACACCAAGTCCTTGCTGGCCAGCTTCGAGTCTGTGTCGAGTTCGACTGTCACGGTCAGCGTACGCTTATGCGCACACCCGGGACGGACGTGACGGAAGACGATAGAAAAGCTTGGAGTTGACGGAAGTCGTAGCCGTAGACGTCGTGGCTGAAGGCTTTCGCTCTATACTTGATATAGTTCTGGAAGTCTGAGAGAATCTCTTGTTTGAGCTCAGGGTAGGCCAGGGCGTGCTCCGCAGTCGGGCGTGAGACTTTGCCGTTGTTCTGGATTTTGATCTCCGGCACTGAGTCTGCAACCGATTCGTAGACTTCCCTGCGCAGCTCCCGTGGGAGCTTGAGAAACCGGCACTCGCTTGATGCTGTACGCTTGGATGCTGGTTGAGCCGCCATTGGTCAATCGGATGGATATCTTGAGGTGGAGTAACTGGTGTTGTCAGGCAAAGTAGCTTGTGAGGGAGTGTTGATGATAGTATTGTCCCCAACAGCGACGAAGTTGAACATATATGCCACGTCGAGAGCACAAGCTCGGACCACGGAGTGGGAGAGACGGGAAGTGAATGCTTCAAGTGAACTATACTGACTGGCCTTGAGGCGTGGGGTAAGATCTGTCAAATTTACATTCGCTTGCTGCGTGTCGTGAAGATGAAGATCGTGAGCAGTGAAGCAGTGATACCGGCAGTGAGTGAGACATACTGAGCGATGAGCCCTGGCAAGTGAGGCTTGAAGAACGCAAGACATTCCTCTCCGCAAGTCAAAGTGACGGCTGATGTGCTGGTGGAGACGCAATCAGCGGCACGGGGCAGGTTGAGTGCAGGGTAGGGTGAACGCACCATGTGGACACAGCGAATCTGCTGTGAAGACGGCAAGGTGCTTCGTATGACCCTTTACTCCATACTCTACGACAAGCATGCAGTAAGTCGGGGCTTCGTCTTGCCAAAATCGTAGTTACTGCGGGCATTCATGCCACGCTCCACGCTGAAGGTCGAGAAGGCTAGGTTCACCGTCTTAGCGCGTCGCAAACACTCGGTCGTCTGTGATTGCCTAATCGTTTTTCGCTCTGCCTACCGAGCGCGACCAACCTTTAGAGCGCTTGAAAAGTTCGGTAGTGCCGTGTTGCTCTGAGATGAGCCTCCTAACACCCGTTAGCAAGGACTCCAGATCTTCAGGGTGTAGTCATGGCCGAGCTCTCGAGATTTAGGTCTTTCTCAACGTGCAATCGTTCTTGATGCGAGTCAGGTGTGAATGAAATGCGTCAACCAATATCGCTCGCCGCGCTCATGCCCGGAAGAAGATCCACTCGTACATCACAACCGTTACAGGACACATCAGATCTTCCATTACCGCCCCAAAATACCTCATACTCACACAACACTCAATGAAGTCAATGCCCACCCAAACTCGCCCCCAACAACGCTGTAGAGCCTTCTCATCGCGACCAGTCCCTATCCGCATTCATCCTGGCCTTCATATGACTTTCCCTGAACTGCTCCCACCCCTCCGGATCCATCTCCTGCAACTTCCTCAAATCTTCATAGTTACCGCCAATCTTCTTCAACGCTTCCTTCCAACCCAAACTCTCCACCAGCCCTTTCAGCTCAGTACCGCTTGTGCTTTCAATCTTGTCTTGTAGAGCACGAATACGCTCATCCTCCGGCTCGGCAGGCAGGTCGGCCGTCGCTGTAGTGGGCGAATCAATAATCTCACGCCGCATCCGTTGACCGAGACGATGCAGATTGCCTTCTTCGAGCGACAAAGCGCGAGCGGCGAGCGAGACTTGCGAGCCATGGCGCTTGATGGGCCTCTTGATCGCGCCCACATCGTCGAGATCCTCATCCTCGGAGCCATTGCCGGTGTACTCAGTGACCTGGGTGTTGAGGCTGAGGTCTGTTCTGCGGTCGCTCTCTGTAGCGGAGCTTGCTGGGCTGGCCGGAACTTTCGGACTGCCCGGCGGCTGCACGCGCGTCTCGGGATACTCTTCCTCAAAGCGCTGGATGATGGACTGCAGCGTTTGGTCAAGGAACAGTAGCCGACGGTACGCCAGTTCGTCTCCAGCAGTTGCCTCCTTCAGAAGTGCAGGCTGCAGCCTCATGCGTACTTTCCGCGCACTGTCCAGCAGGTTCTTACTCATCTTTTTCGCCTTACCTCTTTGCTCTTCTGTAGGTGGCAGACCGGCTGAAGAGCCAGGCCTGGCGTTCCTGGGCACCGTACCGCCAGAAACAGGTGTCCCCGGTACAGACGTACGGCGGAGATCCGCAGCCTTCTCGCCAAGCACGTACTGCAGGGCTTTCACCACACCAGTACCGCCGACAATGTAGTCGCCATCTGGAGCTGGCGGGTCATTGTCGTGGTTCTCATGGTTGCCCTCTACGTGACCGACAAGGTGCATGAGCACGTCGGGGACCGTGATCTCCTTGACTTTGCGCTCGCCACCATGCGGTTCGGTAAGCTTGGCAGTCGCGTTTGCTGTTGGTATACCTGTAGCTTCCGCGATGGCAAACTGTTCCATGTTGCGCAGAGAGTAAGCCACAACCTGTTTAGCTAGAGCCTTGACAACTTCGCTGTTATCCTGGCTTGGAACCTGCACAGCACTGTTAGCTCACAGTCGAATAACAGTGGCGTCAAAGGATGGGTACCCACATCAATATCGATGCAAATCAGCGTGCTCGACACCCTCACAGCCGCCATTAAGCTGGCATACAGTGCGCAAGCCTCCTCCTGCGAAGCCTCATCTTTGGCATGTGCGAGCGCACTCAGCATGGGGTTCTCGAGCAGATTCAGATGCGCCAAGCGCGGTCCGTCCGGTAAGCAATCCGCCAACGCAATGGCTTGTTGTGGGCTCATACCAACATCCGCAAGATGTACGCGTTTCAGCTCTTTAAACTGACTCATGTATCGCCGGAAGAGGGAGACGGTGCCGTTGTCTCGGAAGCAGAGCTCCCTGTTGTGCGACAGATCCAGGAATCGGAAATCCGGCAATTTGACAAGAGCCGGGAATAGCACTTTCAGATCCGCCGTGACAAGGTTGCAGCCCGCCAAGCTGAGTCCCCAGCACGGTATGTGACGCTTGTTGTTGATTGCGTCCGCAATGTGACCCAGTTTGCCGCGAAGGTCGTTCCCGCCCAGGTCCAGACCATGGCAGACACTCGACCGTAGGTAATGAATGACATGACCTAGCCCTTCGTCGTCGAGATGGTTGCCAGCAAGTCCCAGTCTGCTGATCCCGCACACGATAGCGCCATCTACGACCTTCCGGATCTGATCGGAATTGAGACCACATTCGCTTACGATCAACTCTTCCATCTTCGACCCACCTAAGCGCTCACTTAGACACTTGTAGAAAATTGCCGCGGCGTCCGTGTCCTTCGCATCGCCTTTCGGCGCGTTAGATGGACTCTTAGTCGGTGTCGCGTGCGTCGAAGCTGGAAAAGTCTCGGGGAATTGGTTCATGGAGAGGTCGATGGCTTTGAGGGAACGACACATGTATATGAAGAGGGAGATGTGTTTCCAGCCAAGACGCGTAATGCGTGGATTGTGCTTCAATGTGAGCTTCTCGATGACTCCGGAGCGTTCGGTGTAAGACCTGGCCGGCATGCCCTGTCTGTGACGCGGCTGCACCGACCGTCGCTTCGTAGGCTCTGGTCTTTTGGCGGCGAGAAGCCCGGCAAGGATGCAACGCAGACCTTCATCGTTCAGGTCTGCATCTTCCAGCCGCAGATTCTTGACCGGTACGACGGCTAGCCAGTCACCCAGTGTGACCATGTCTGCAAGCTGGAGACGGGAGCCAGTAAGATCTAAGCAGCTCACAACGCCAGGCTCAAACGGTGCAACACAGTCAGGCTTCATCAGCTGTTCTGTGATGCGTTTGAGAATCGGCGTTTCTCTGAGTTGGCAGCATCGCCTATATATCCGCACAGGGTCGGTCGTCGGTTTATCCTGCCTTGCTGCTGGTCCTTGGGGGTTGGTCGCGGTCTGCGCAGGCGGATCTGGTCGCAATCCTAATCCAATAGGTGGCGGCTGATCAGCCTCCTTTCTCGTAGGCCGAACTTCAGGCGCAGTCTCTGAGTCCGGAGACACGTCTCCATCCTCTCCCATTGGGAGCTCGACCGGTATCGAGCCATTCTCCACGGCTCGCATTCTTCGCTTCTCTTTGCGGTCCTTCCGCTCTTCCTCGGACTTCTTCTTTTTCTCCTTCTTGCGGTTGAGACCGTCGATGTCAGCTCCTGGCGGGCAGCTTGAGCTCTGTCCTAGCCCATCTGCATCATCGTCCCCACCCTGGCTGACTGAAGGCTTTGAGCTATGCAAGACCTTGGTGCTCCTCGCATCGAGCTTTATCTCGCCCTCCTTCTCCTTCTCGTCTTCCAGTGATCGCGGTCTCTTCAAAGCTTCACCTTCCGCACGCTCCTTCATCTTCACGTCCTTCTTCTTCGCCATCATCTCGCGCTCCTCGTCCTCTTCCAAGTACCTTGGTCCGCCAGCAATCTCCACGTCAACGCAGAAGCTGACCTTACGCAATCTGTTCGGGTCCATCTCCGGTACGAGTACTCTTTGACGGTTAGGATCTACGTTTAGCACTTTGCGCGAGCATAAGCCTCCGCTGCCGGCCTGATACCGCGGTGCGCTGCTCGTGCTTGCGGAGCTCAAACGGCGAGTGAGATTGGAGAAGAAGCTGGGCTCCTTGGCCTTTGTCGGCGTAGCTTCCACCTCCTCAGCCTCTTCCATGGGCGGGAGTGCGGTCTGACCGTTAGCCGCGACCGGCGCAGGCGACCCGTTAGCGTTTGCTTGCTTGGCCGGCTGTGCGGGAGGGGGCGCAGGCCGCTCTGGTACGGTCTGCTGAGATGAGGAGGACGAGAACTTGGAGCTGATGTTGTTGAGCCATGAAGTACGCCGCGAGCTCTCCCTATTACCGGACCTTTCTGAGCTTGCCCGATGTAAAAGGCCGGGTCGTTTTTGCTGCGCTTTCGTCGCGGCTACAGCGCCATTGCCGGGTAATGTTGCAGTCGCAGAGGCCGCAACTGGCGCAGTGTCCCTGCTGGGTTGCGCTGGCGTCGCTGGGGTGATCGACGTCGGCGCGGCGGACGCATTGGCGGAGTTGCCATTGCTCGCTTGCGGGGGGCGTAAACTCGACGTTCGTGGCGGTAGAGGAGACGCCTCCGCCGGAGGCGAAGGTGATCCTACCGGTTTGCGATTAATGTTGTGCTTCGGTGGTGCGGGAGCGTTCTTTCGAGGATGCTCTTTTTGGTGCGATCAGCATAACCGCCGCAGTCGCGCCTTCCTCATACAGATGGTGAGACATACCCTTTCCCGGATGATGCAGCCAGCTAACATCAACGCCGTGAACCTATCATACCATAAGTGTCAGCCAACAACTCTCCGCAGGAAGCCTTCGTCGGTCCCGATCTCACCTCCTCCATGCTGCGCTGTCTTATCGCCGCTAAACCCTTGTGGTTGGCGAAGTAGTCATCCTGTTTCCGTCTGAATCTCGCCGCTGCGCCGGTAGGGTATATCGATGAAAGAGGGTCGCTTGATGGGCCACGGGAGAATGAGGGATCATGATGCACTTCTTGCAACATGCACCCGCCCTCGTGAGCACAAGGATTCAGGATGCCAAGCATTATGCAAGCCTGCAGCGGAGGTGGAGTTGACGGCTACTGCTCGGCTCTTCTACGCTTTCTACGGGTCTGAGTTTCGATGATCACCTTGAGTGTGAGAGGACAACGACGAGACGAAACACTCAGGACATCCAGTACCTACCTATATCGACAGCTTCAAGCGTCTTTGATCATTTCAGATAGTGCTGAAACGATCTGTGTACCCACTTACTCACCTTCTTCTCCTTGCCTCGTCTCCCTCAAGCCACCACCAAAACTTATCGAAGAGGGTTGTCCAAATTTGGAAACGGTCGCGGTCCTCTCCTTAACCGCTTCCGAGGGCAGGCGTCCGTGCTTCGTGGTGCTCACAATACACCATCGTTCAGCTTACCGACTTTCTCCGGTAGCAGACGCACTGTAAAGCGAACCAGTGCCGGACTCATCCACGGACACGACTACATCGGCTCTGATGCTTCCGCGCGCAGTAGGGCAATGTTCGGAGGTCTGACTACTCGCCCGTATGTGATGCACGCCATGAGATGCCGAACGCCATCAAAACGTTCCCCAACATTCCTTCGTTGCTTTGACCTCAATTACGCTTCTGGCGGCATCTTGTGGCGTTGCGGCGTACGACAATGCGCGAGCTTGTGCAAGCATATGTGCCTGACTGCAGGATGCACATTTGCAGGCTCCGATGCAAGTAGAATACTCTGCTTACCAGGCGGTCTGTCAGCGGTTCAATTGATTAAAAGATGCTGACAGAGACGCACATGTGCCTCACACGGCGCTAGCGTTGGTCGCAGTCTGAACACCTGCAACAAGATAGCATCGGTGACAATTCGGATGTCCCTCTGCAGTGCCAGTCTGATGCTGCCATATGCTATCCGGTGGTACAACGCGGTTGCTAGAGGACAAAGTTATATTTCCAATCTGATGTAAAGATCACGCCGTTCGCCTCGGATACGAGTAATGCCTGCAGTATGACCCGGAGCACTTCCAAAAGCCATATGCTTTATTGCATCTCACCCGCCAAATGCCAGAAACTCATCACAGCAAAGAGGCGCCAAGAAGCGTGCTGAGAAGCACAACCACACCGCAGACAAAAGGTCCAACTCCCATATCACCCTGGACAAGAGACCGAGCCGCACTCGAGGCCGAAGCAAGTTGAGCCCTCGAGGTAGCAGTCACCGCACCACTGCCCGGCGTAGCGGTCCCGGAACTAGCACCACCAGCAGTCTGCGACCCGGTTCCAGTAAGACCTGGACCCGTGCCGGCGCCCTTCGACATGTACTGCACGGCGCCAGAGGGGATCGCTGGCAACATCTCGCCAGTAAAACCCGTGACCTCCCAAGTTGAGCTCGTGTTGGGGCAAACGCTGGGCGCACCGCTAGATCTGTACCCGCCGTCGCCGCTGGGAACATTCTGGCTTAGCTGAGTCTCAAGCGCCGTGAAGTCGGAATGCTCGGTAACGGTGTTGCCGTTGATGGTGACAAGGCCGAAACCGTTGCCCTCCTCGGAGTACTCGTAGACAAGGCCGCCGGAATAGACGGAAGTCATCTGTGAACCGTAAAGAGACGAGACTTCCTGGAAAGCCCGCTGATTCGTAATGCAGCCGTACTCAGAAAGGCTGATGCTTGTTAGCAGATGACACGTCCTTCGAACTCGACACGAGTACTCACAACAACGGGATACTGTAGTTGCCGTATTGCACCACCTTCTTGTCCCAGCCCGACTGCGTGAACGAAGACGGATCACACCAGGAATAGTCGTTGAAAGCGAAGAAGTCGCTGCGCTGGTCACTTGGCCCGCAGTTCATATAGGTCGCCATTTCGTACCGATTACTCTCCACATCCGCCGCCGAATACCCGACAGGGATTGAACGGTACCCGCGACTCCCAATGTATTGCTTCATATCCCTGGTCACGGCCTTCACATACGGCGCACAGTTGGTCGTGTCGTCCGAGTTGATGACTTCGTTGCCGGAGAAGAACAGAAGCGTATTGGTGTAGTGGGCGAAAGCATCGATCGTTGCGAAGATGTTCTGAAGGTACGCCGCATTGTACGACGGGGCGGGATCGCCTCGGTTGATCGAGTATTTAGGCGTATTGACGTCCAGTGCGAGGTAAATGCCTGCTGCTGCGAGGGCGTTCATGCAGGTGTCGTGGTTCGCGGTATTGTCCACGGTGTATACGCGGATGGTATTTATGCCTAGCTTCTTGAACTCGACAATGTCACGCTGGCAACCATTCGTGTCTGCGATGGGGTCGGAAACATTGGATGAACCGCCGGGTTGGTAGTCAACTCCTCGAATGTAGAAGCGGTTGTTGCCGGCAAAGAACGCATTGCCCTTCACTGTCACAGTTGGTAGGGTGGCAGAGCCGGTAGAGGAGGCGGATGCTCTGGCTTCGATCCTTGCTGGAGATGCAGCGGCGTTTGCCAGAGCCACCGCGGCGGCTGCTAGAATTATAGAACACTTCATGGTCCTTTCTGTAAGGCCGTTCCTTTACCCAGTTCCGAAAGCCCAAGTTTGACGGTGATCGCGTGCTCGAAAGAATGCAATCGACAAGCCTGTCGTTCCCCGATGTACAAACGAACGAAATGAGGTTGCCGCAGGAATCCAAGGCTAAGAACGTTAACAGAAGAGGAGAAACGACAGTGGAGCACAGTTGGCAAGGAAAACAAGAGAAAGTGCAATGTAATATGTATTTGGAGACAGCAAGAGGCCAGTTCCAAACATTCAATGCTGAATCCCTTTATTTAGCGTAAGCACCCCACGAGCTTGCGACGCCTCCTGCACCAGCGGGAGTGCCGAGAGCCAGTCAAGGAGCTAGACAAGACGGCTGCCTCCGTATTGCATGGCGCGAGCTGGGCCTATAGCGCTATAGGCCAGCCTCTTATTGCGTTTGAAAAGCGAAGATTAATCCACAACGATGCGTTTCACAAGGGAGACTGCCAAGGTGAGAGTGTACGTAGTGCAAGTCTTGGTCAGAAAAAGTCTCGATATCAAGTCATTATGTGACAGCATCCGTGTCCATATCGCATACCCTTCAATTAATATGATAAGACCACTCAAATAACTTGATGAAGTGTGAGTCGCGTTGCAAATGCCAGCGAGCATATGGAAGCATGCACCCGCCTACCTTGATCATCAATTGCATCCCAATCCACCATCAGAGGTCGGAAGACCTCAAGTCATCACTACCCGCTTGAGACACCGGTAACGCCTCGCTTTCCGAAAATCCATCCAAGCCACATGCTGTGTCTCATGGCCCAAACTCCACACTTGATGTGGAAGCAGCAAGAAAAATGCGGAACGCTCGTCAAATAAAGATGCATCCGGTCTGCAACGGACCAGGTGGATAGACTGATGTCGCGCGGGAGGATTCGCCCGGCATGAGCAGAATATGCAAATATTCGTCCTATCAGCGCGTAACGTCACTCGCGCAGGGACTGCTTGCTCTTCGATCGCCAGAACATCAGCTTCTTGAGCCGATGCTCCTTCTTCTTCGGTGCTACCGGTGTGAGAGCATCGCCAGCAGTTTGCGGTCTTGCGCTTTCGCTGGTCTTCGACTTAGCACTGAACGAAGCGCCAACGAGCTGAGAAAAGCTGGCAATGCTAGCGCGCTTTCGTCGGCGCTCAGCAGCGACAGCGGGGTCCACGGCGCGAGACGCTGGTGGCAGTGTTCGTTCAGTGCCTCCCACATCAACTCGCGATGCATTATGGTTCATTGTACTCATCATCGTCGATCGACTACTGGTTAAAGATGGAACATCGTCGACAGAGACTCGGTTGTCGTGGTGTTGATCGCCGTTGCTGGAGCTCAGTGTCCGGCTGTCGGTGACAGAGGATGCCGCGGTCCCAAGGCGCGAAGTGTCGAAAGAGCCCTGGCGACGTGCAAAGTCTGGCGATGAGAAGGTCGACGTCTGGTAGGTGTCAGGCGTCATGAGCGACTGTGAACCGTCCGGCAGGCCGAGGTTTCCTGCCTGCGACGTAATCAGAGTAGGCGTTTCGCTCGAGTCGGAAGACTTGGTTACGGATGACGATCTAGGCTCCTCGTGTGCTTCCACAACATCGATGTCGATCGGACTCGACTCTTCAGGGATGGTCTCTTCCATGATGGACATTGACCGTCGTTCCAGGCTCGGTGTTGACAGCCGTGAAGTGAGGTTACCGTACGACGTTGATGGCCGCTCCGGCTCCCAATCAGCAGTGCTGATCCGCAGCCCATCGCCAAGACGCCAGTCAAGCCCTGACCTCTCCTCCAAGTATTCGTTTGCCACATCAACGATCTGGATGCCGACCCCAGCATCAACACTTGAGCTCAGCATTGCGCTTTTGGGTCGCTGTAGAGTTTGGGGCTGCTCGTACTCGTCCTCGTCGTCACCCTCGAACACATCCGGCAACGAGCTGCAGGACGCTACACTGCCTCTCGACCAAGGCATCAAGTCTGGTGCACTCTGCGTACGCCCATGATAGTGCATTGCCGGACCGGACGGATAGGTAGTGCTACGACTGCTGTGCATCTGCATCGGATGCCTCGGTCTGTGCGTTCCTAATGGAGGGGTCTTGAACGGTCCTAGAGCGGCATCTAGATCAAGGATTGGGCTCGAGTCGCTGAGATCCCACGCACTAGACTGTGGCACGTTTTGCCCTGACACGGTGCTCTCCATGCGTGATTGTAGTGGCAAGGACGGTGTGTCCACAGGGCTCTCAGTGTCTGCCATCCCGAATACAGCGTCTAGATCCGTTTCGGCAGTGGAGTGTTCGAGAGGTGCTTTCTCGACCAAAGCTAGAGGGTCGCACGAACTCTGCGGCCTCACAGCCTGCGTTGCTTCCCCTGTTGTTTCTCCTCTGCCAGCATGAGCCTTCTTTGAGAACTTGAACAGTGTCCAGTCTTTTATCTTTCGTGTCGCAGCTTTGCCTTCAGCTTCGTGTGCAGTGGGCAAAGCGTTCGACGGCTTCACAGTATCTTGCAGTGAAGTGGTAGAAGATCGAGATGCCTGATTTCCGCTGGTCGATATTGCCGGTTCACTTCGACGTCGGTCAAGCCTAAGCGCCTGCGAAAGGGAGTGTCTCTTCGCATGGCGGGTGGGTTCTGCGCGATCCCGATTTAGTATTGGAGCCGTCGTTAGATTGGGTGCCGATGCCATGTCTAGAGATGACCTCTGCTCGCTTTGGAACGACTTGCGGCTCAACCATTCGCCCTCTTCGTCGATGCGATTCCGCAGTTCGAGAGACAATTTGGCGCGACTTCTTGCTTCGTCTTCGCTGAACGAGCGGCGGCCGTATCGTGTCGACGGTGGGCTAGGTGTACCAAGGCTGAGCACCGAGGAGATGCTGTTGTTGACGGAGTGCATCCTTGCCGTTGACACCGAGCTTTCAGTCTCAGACGATATCGTCGACAGTGGCCGTGGGATGTACTCCACCGTTTCAGATATCTTGACGTGCCGTGACGAGGACGATGGTGGTCTGTTTTCGGTGTCATTGGCTGGGGTGCCGAAAGGGTCGGTGAGAGAAAAGGCCGCGTAAGGTGCTGCTACAGCTCGATGTGTCATGGCCGTTTCAGGCTGATCAAGCAAAGTGGCAGTCATAGTAGGACTGTCACCTGCTTGGCTGGTCGTTGGTTGCATCACACTCATCGTGCTTACACTCGACTGAAACCGTCTGTGTCTGTAGGCAGCCCCTTCCCGCGAAGACGGTTGAAGCACAGGCGGCACGAACATCATGCCCTTCGTAGGACTTGAGCTCATGGCGCAGTCCATGCCCAGCCTTGAATCACCACCAATAAGCTCGCTCGTTTGCCGCTTGTGGCCATGTCTGACTGAAGGAGTGAGACAAGCACTTTCCTCGTCACCGTCCGGCGTGAGGGGAGGTGTGAGCGTGTCCTTTAGTCCGGTTGCGTCGGCAGCGTTGAACGAGAAGCTGGGTAGGTCCGAGCGAGCCCTTCGGTGAGCCTTTGGCTTGGCAGTGGCCGGCGGAGACTCCGAGTGTACCGAAACTGGTCGCCTCGAAACATCTGCAGAGGATGGATGGAGGCTCGACAGACGTGCTCGCGGTGACGTAGCAGGAAACGAGAAGTCGGTGTTGCGGACCATCTCTATTTCGGGCGCTCCACGAACCATAGGCGGCGCCGCGAAATGTGCAAAGCCACTGGCATCGTTATAACGACCAGGGACAGCGACCTCGGCCATAGCGGTGCTACGGTGAAGCAGCGTTTAGTCAATTGTGTCCGGGTTGTGCATGGTAAGGCGTGACCCGCCGTAGACACCCTTCGCAGGTTATGTAGCAAGTGTTGTGTGCCGCAGTGAGCGGTAAATGAGGCGTGGGCGGCGCGGAATTGGTGATAGGAGGTGAGTAAATGTGTTGCTATTATCTGTGGCATGATCAGTATGAATTTTGGGTAGCGCTGCCGCCATATACATCGGCATACAAGATCTGACTGCCTTGCTACCAGAGCATCAATGAGGCCACAGTCTGCGGATAGTACGCGTGCTGCCTGAAAACTGAACGAACAAGAATAAGCGGGTAACGAACGGACGGCAACAATTGCAGATACAGCACTGATCACGGTACCGTATCGCAGCTTGAGCCAGCAACGAGGGACAAAGGCACTTCGGCGACAGCGAGGTGTGTGGGTGGTGTATGTGAAGGAGGAGCACAACCAATTCTGGGCGGTGGATGGATCGTCCGCACCGCTATGCACAGGCCTTGGAGCATAATCTGTGCTAGCCTGTTCCTGTCCTAGATCCCGCTGCAACCAAGCGAACGCTGCAAAGACATCCTTGCTCACGAGATCATCCTCGAATTGCCCCTGGCTGCTTGCCTATAACAAAGACCCGCTCAATCTCTGCCTGGAAATCTTTGCTTTGTGTACAAAAACAAGTCGACGTCTTTGGTGATCAAGATAGCTGTTTTGAATGCTGTGTAGCCGAACACACTCCCTCTATCTCGCATGATCGGCGATGTTCGAAACCGTACACTATCGAAATCCTGCATTACAGCCCTGCTCTCCTACAGCTTGGCAGTCATGCGCACCAAGTCCTCCGGTACGAGCACCCAGAAACCAGCTAGCTGACCGTTGCTATGGACAAGCTTGCGCGAGTGGCAGCGTCATCTGCTCATGCCCGCGGCGGGCGACATTGTAAGCGTCTGGCCAAGCCTCTGCATTGACTGGCTGGCTGAGAGCCGTGGCCTCCTAAGTGCTGCCGGTAAAGCCGTATTTTGCCCCATAATCTTTATCTCACGCAATCACTCTGCGCGCCACCATTGGCCAGAGCAGGGCAGTACATAGATATCCGCATGCCATGCTGCCGCCATCGCAGAGCTTTCATCCATAGCAGTGGCGTTAGCTTAAAGGTGGATTGGTTTTCATGATGCGGTTGCACAATAGTGTCCGCATTGGGAGTTTGCCAATGCTCGGGCGAGCTATTTGGCGGGGCTCGTATTATTGGCACGGGGCGGCGTCCAAGTGATCTCGCACCGTTTCGCCTTTGTGCTGCCTCAGCGAAACACGATCATCTACGAAGGCACAACTGCGGTCAAGGCAACCGAGAGGCTTCACGGTCCTGAGCACCTCCCAACGCTTGCAAGACAAAGTGACCGACGTGTCAGCAGCATGCCTATGATTCCGAGGGCTGACATACCGGCAGACGCATGAGCGTTCTTTTGCTGCAGGGGCCGGTCTGATCGACAGGCACATCCTCATCAAAGCAAGCGAAAGGCGAGACAGATCTTTGCGGAACTACGGGCGCTACTACTATCTCTCCGCGATGTTGTGGAGCAGCAATGATTTGCAGATCGAACGAAGTAGCCCAAAATTAGCGGGGATGAATACCGCATGGCAATGCATACGAGATGAAATCTCACATGCCACTCTGAAAGCTGTCATCTAGAGCCGAGTGATTTCTGCTAGGTTTGAAAGTATGTCTTGCTCACGTGGCGCTTGGGAGCGAGTGTGGCCGACGGTGGTGTAGACTAGGTACCGACAAAGTTCTGGTGGGCACATGCATATGCAGCGCGTGAAGCGATGAGCTGCATCGCGCCGCTGTGCTGCCAACACACTGCAACCGCTCCACTGCAATCAAACCCAGCAAGCAGACGGTTTGCCTTTGGACTTGCAGTTGCTGCGGTGGAACGTCTATCAGCGAGTAATCGTGATGCTAAGCAATTACGACCCACCGGAGCAGCTTATCGGTGGACAATGAAAGTCGACATGAGCTGACTCCCAGGTCGTACTACCACCAGACCTAATGCATTGCCTCGTTGTGTTGTTGCTCGCACGGTGGAGTAGCTGGGCATTGCAACTACTCCAATAGCCGCTGCAGTAGCGTGTCACGAAAGGCTGCCGCTTTCTTTTTAAGGTTTGCCCGCGAAGAGAGACAGCCAGAACTATAGCACACCGCACCAGTACCTCAGCCCTTGGACGTCTAAGGTACCGCACTTTCCGCCTTGGTGATGGTGACTACACTTCTTGTCCCGGAGCTCTGGTATGCTTTCCACCATTCTCATTCATGGATCTAACCCTCACTCTGCCTGAGTGAGCCTAGATCGGGTATTCCGGCTGGCTTGAGAGAGGAATGTAGCCTTGGTGCAGCTGTTCGCACTGTCGGGTTGGCAAAAGTGCTCAGCATGCTTACGACTGACGTGTGTTACGGCTATAGCTGACCTCTAGGGCTGCCCTGTAAAGTCTACAATGCGATGAGGGCAGATTGTCAGACTGTCTCGGTTTCCGCCGACAGTTTCGGAAACCCCTACGGTCTCAACTTTAACAAGCATGTATGTCTGGACACAACCTAGTCGGAGGTCTCTTGCCGGCCAACCGCTGACGGGAGTCGGTATGGTCCGGTGACGGCGGCATCGAGTGCACCTTCGATAGGAGACAACTATTGCTTAGTGCTGGGTGCAGCGTGCTTCCCCGTTGCCCGACTTATGCTTTACACGAATGCCCAGCCTACAAGGACAACGGTCGACGAACAACGTCCGGTCAGCCCTGGTGGCCGCACAGACACCTATGTTCAGTGCTCAATGCCATGTGGTCTCGCGGGTTGTCGAATTCATGCTTCGCACTAACATACAATCTTCAAGGACAAAGACCATCGAACGACGTCCGGTCAGCCCCGGTGGCCGTACTGTTCCACAGAAGCGACATGACCTCAGTCACAAAGCATACTCCTTCGTGGCCCGGTACGACGTTCATCCTTACACTACACGATTGCGGCAATCAGCGATAGTAGCCTGAGCAGCCGCGTCAGACGAGCGGCCAGTGCTGGGGAGGGAAGATGCGAGATAGGAGTGGTCAGGTAGGGTTCCGCCCTGAGGCGCCGTCAAGTAGACGGTGTGTATCATCACCATCGCTGTCCCCAACGACAAATAAGTACACCACCATAGCACTTGTTAAAATCATACCACTTCCATCTACTTCGCACTCTTAACAGGGTCATCCCACTGCAGCCCAGCATGTCACTCATCATCATGAGGCTGGCGAGCGCCATCGCTTCGTCGAGCCTACTCGCCGCAACTTGGGCCTTACCCACTGCGGAAAGGTCCATAACGTACACTGCTGGTCCTGGTGGAAGCGGGACGATGTTCTGGTTGTCGAGTATCTCTCAAACCATCCTCGGCGAAGACGCTACCGACTTCGACCACTTCCTTTACCCCTCTTCGGATATGGCAATCGAAGCTATGGACACCTACTCTGCCACTTTCGATTATGGCAGCGAAGATGAGCTGGTGGTGGCCTTCCTCAACACGACCATGGCCGGCACGATGACGGCTGAGCAAGCCGCAGACACCGATTCGAAGTGTCAAGAACTCAGCGGCAACATGGCATCCCTAGTGACCGCTTGTTCGAACAACTCGCTCCCGATTAGCTACAAACGTTCGACGATCGAAGAGCGCAGTCGCTGGAGATGGATCGAGTCGGGTGCCCACGTCACAAGCACCGTCGCAGTCAACGTTCTTTACAGCGCTCTCGGACAAGCTGTGTACGAGAACTTCCCAACCTCGCCACGGTCGTGGTGCAACAGCGCCAACGGAGAAAATGCATGCATTTCGTGGTCGGAAGCTGAGAGCTTCCAACACTATTTCGCGGAGCAACTGATCTCGGACGCTCTGAGTGTCGTTGATTTCACTCGTTGGAGCGCTCAGGCCAATGGCGCCATCTCTGGGGCAGACGCTTGTATCAGCAATCGCGCAACGGGTTGCACCTGAGACTGAGCTTCGACGAAACCCCATCAGTATGCAGACGGCAGGAGACTCTTGGAATGAACGGACCGGGGCGTTGTAGTGGGGGGTCTTCGCAATAGCTTACTTTGCTGGTGTTGCCTTGGAGATGTAGCATCCCCGAGAACGGAAGAAAAGATGAACTTGCGCAATTGGAACGCCTACCTGAATGAGATCACATCTTGCAGTTACGCCGGTAATCGTCCACGCGATGTCAATGACTACACATTGCTTCCGTGCTTTGTGCTTCTCGTGCCCTGATCCAGGAGGATACGCTTTCGCGGAAACTTGGGGCTGATGTGGACCAACTGCATCGTTTCGCCGGTCTTCACACGTTCGCAAAGCAAGGTTGGACTTAGTTGTCACGTTACAAGTCATTCCCATCAACAGATGAACTGTGCTGCCAGACGCCCTTCGAGTCTGGCGGCAGCATGGGCATTGGTGTAAGTGTAGGGTTCAGCGAAGGATGGGGGGTAAGGAGTCAAGGCCATTTAAGTATGGAAAAGAGCTACCTCTCAGCCGGCCGAATACTGTTGCATCAACTTATCAACAAGTCAGATGACCGACGTACGCGATCAGTCCTCCCTACTCCTGTCCTTCTTGCGTCCCCACACCTCCTCAGCATCACGCTTGCCAAGCGTCTCCGGAACCCACCATGCCGTGAACGCGCCAAACACAAGCGCAAACGCTGCGAAGATGAAGTACACCTGGCCTTTGCCCAGTTTCTCATTGACAATGGGAAAGAACTGTGCCACGATGAACGTAGCGATCCAATTAGCAGCAAGCGCCCAAGATTGCGTGGCACCCACTGCTTCCGCGCCCACCAGCTCTGAGGACAAGATGAAGGGCACCGGACCGAGGCCAAGTCCGAAAGATGCCACGAAGAGCAGTACGGCAATGGCGGACAAGATGGATATCGATTTCATGATACCGATGGCCAGAAGGACACTATTGATACCCATACCAGCAATGGATATCAGTAGGCAGGTTTTGCGGCCAAGTTTGTCGACCAGGGGTGCAGCTGAGGTGGTGACTATGACGTTCAGCGCAGCCACCAAGACGTTCAAGAGCGCCGCGTTTGCCTCTAGGAGATCTGAGAGGAGCGACACGCCGTACATGACAATGCTGTTAATGCCGCAAAGCTGTTGCGCCACCATGACGGTTACAACAGCGATGACAGCGGGTCGAACGTCCGCGTTCTGCAGCACGGCGAGGAAGCCCAGTGTCTCGGCACCACGTTTTGCTGCGTTGCCTGCTTGGGCTGTCTTTGACTGATCATCACCCTGCCCGTCTTGACCGACATCGGGATGAGCACCTTCTGAATCAGCTGGGTGGTCATGCATGTGGTCTTCGTTAGCTAACAACGTCTCCTCTTCGTCCTCCATGTCGCGCTCAGACTCCAAGCCCCAGCCTGACACCTCCTCGTCAATGTTCGCCTCATGCCCGCGGATCTTGCGAAGTACACGCTTGGCGCGGGCAGGCTTGCCGTTGTCGGCCAGCCACTTTGGGCTCTCTTGGCCCGCCATGAACAGTGCTACGGCCTGAAGCGCTGCAATGCCACCGCCGACACCCAGAATGATCCGCCACAGCTGCCCTTTGGACAAGAAGAGGCCAAGTAACTGGGTGATCAGGATGCCCACATTGATCATAACTTGCGTCGCTGCGCCGAACAACCCTTTTTGATGCGGAGGTGCAATCTCCGAGATGTAGATGGGAACAATGACAGTTGCGGCTCCAGCACCTAATCCTGCAATGAAGCGGCCAATGATGAAGAGCGTAAGGTTGGTAGCCAGCGCCTCGAAGACTGGACCTATCGCGGCCAGAATGGCGGCGACAATCATGCTAATCAACCGGCCATACTTGGTCGTGATTGGCCCGCCGGACAAGGCGCCTATCAGCCCACCGAGGGTGAAGAAGGAGGTCACAAGGCCAAACTCCAGACTTGACATAGGAATGCATTGCGGAAATGGCCCGGCGTTCGCTGCTCGGGCGGCAGCGACGAAACCATTAGTTGTTGCAGTGGACTTGGCGGCAGCGCAGGTAATGACCTCCTGCGGCTCATTGAGTTCGGCCAGATGGTATCCGAAGAGCAACGGACCGATAGTAGCAGCAAGAAGTAGGAAGAAGAAGCTTGGGGTGAGGTCGCGGAAGGCTGAAGTCTGAGACATGGTGATCCCGGGCGCGACACGCTTGGCTTGGGTCTACCACGAAAACTGTGCAGTGAACAACGCGCGTGTCGCTAATGGCCTGTCGTTCGCATCCTCCGTCAACACGCAAAATTAAACTTTCAGTGGAGGTGTCAAACGGAGCAAAGCATGGTGAAGTTTCGCAGAAACTCATTGAGCTGTCCGAGCTTGAACGCCACCAGCCCCACCTTCGCATCAGTATTACAGTGGAATTGCTTTGCTGATTGCAGCCGCACATTTGGTACGTAGCGCATGGTGAAATGACTACAAGCTCCCATGTGAATGCTGATGTAAGTAAAGCTTGACACGTGACTCATTGTAGTGCACATCGTAGTGGGAGTTGCGCGACGACGGTATCGTTTTCATCGCTCCCTTGAGTTTACAGTGGCTCTGACGTGGACGTGCAGGTGGGCAGGTAACGTGTCAGCCGTATCCCACCGTTATCGACGTTGTCAAATATCTTTGAGATAGAGCTTGTACGGTAGATTCCTCCAAGCGAAGAGTAAAGTACTGTTGGCCGCCATCTTGCTGTAAGTAGCTGATAACGACACTGACGCGTGTTCCGTGCTAGCCTGGCTTGGGGGCGAGACGGTGCTTACCATACGCTCCGAGGAAACAAGAGCCGCCGTCATACGCGCGGCCGGCCTGTCACACCGATATCGCGAGCATTAATCCGCCTCGAACATCTTTCCGTTACTCACACATACCTCGCAGAGATAGCGTCAGCTGCACGTCGCCATATCGGCCCGGTGCGACCACGCGAAAGTTAGCGCGCTCACGTACGCAGCTCGTCCGAGCAGTCCACTCGGGTGTTACTGGCGACGTTAGGTCAAGGCTAGCAGCATCGCCGGCATCGTCAATCTTACACTCTGCCTAGACGGCAATAGTCGGCTGTTGCTCGCCAGGCTTGAACCATGGCAGTTTCAACCCCACCGTCTGCCATCCAGGCCAAAATCATCTCGGCCGCGGCGAGCGCGCCTGCCCAGCATCAGAGTCTCAAAAGGACGGCGCAGGAAGCATTCGAGGGTACGCTTTCCGCCATGTCTCATTATTTTCGTATGAGAAGCCATCACTCAGTTACTCTAAACATGTCCGCTTCAATCGACACGCGTAGTTATCATGCTGCGGTTACGGTTGTTCAGTTTTGAGTGTGTGCGCATCCATGAAATTTTTGTCGTCCTTGGTACTCACGACTGAATGTAGAGGCGCCTGCAACGCCACCACTGGTCAAGATGCAAGGAACACCATATGCGCCGCAACGACACATCAACGACCATTATGACATCGTGGGTTTCATCAGCAGCGGCACCTATGGCCGCGTCTACAAAGCGGTCTCCAAACGAAACACTGCTCAGCCTGCTCAGCCGGTCAAGCATCCCTTGAGCGGTCGAACAATCGAAGCTTTCGCTATAAAAAAGTTCAAGCCCGATAAAGAAGGTGCCGAATTGCAATACACCGGCATATCGCAATCTGCCATTCGTGAAATGGCATTGTGTACGGAGCTTTCTCATCAAGCCCTCATTCACCTGGTCGAGATCATTTTGGAAAGCAAGTGCATCTTCATGGTCTTCGAATACGCCGAGCATGATCTGTTGCAGCTCATTCATCACCACAGCCTGCTCCCTCGCACACCTATTCCGGCCGTTACACTCCGCTCCTGTATGTACCAATTGCTCTCTGGCCTGCTTTATCTTCACCAGAACTGGGTCATACATCGTGATCTCAAACCCGCAAACATCATGGTCACCTCCTCCGGCGCCATTAAAATCGGAGACCTTGGATTAGCTCGCCTATTCTACAAGCCTCTACAGGCCTTATTCAGCGGCGACAAGGTCGTCGTGACTATATGGTACCGTGCACCGGAGCTGCTACTGGGTAGCAGGCATTACACGCCTGCCATTGACCTTTGGGCTGTCGGATGCATCTTCGCCGAACTGTTGAGCCTGCGACCGATCTTCAAGGGCGAAGAGGCTAAGCAAGACAGCAAGAAGGCCGTTCCGTTTCAGCGTAACCAGATGGGCAAGATTGGCGAAGTACTCGGCCTACCCAAACGCCAAGAATGGCCTCTTTTGCAAAGTATGCCCGAATACAGCAGCCTCGCCAGTGTGAGCCTGCATAATCCTGCCGTTAATCGCCCACTTACGCTGGAGAAGTGGTACAGAAACACGGTCCAGAACAATAATTACAGCGGCCACAACTCCTCACCACCGGACGAGTCTGCGCTGGACTTGCTTAGGAAGTTGCTGGAGTACGACCCGCTGAAGCGCTTGACCGCTGAACAAGCGCTCAAGCATCCTTACTTCCTTGGCCCAGATAGCAATGGCAAGCCACCAAGCTGGAACTGCTTCGAAGGGCTAGAGACGAAGTATCCAGCGCGGAAAGTGAGTACTGAGGCCCATGAGATTGGGACGGGCAGTCTGCCTGGTACTAAACGAAGCGTGCTACCGGACGACAGCCTCCTTAGACCTCCGCCGAAGAAGATGAGGGATGGATGAGCATTCTACACAAAAGCGCTTGCATTATGTACTGAGTACCAGCGCTAATGTGGCAAAAAGATATGCATGCGCCGAGTCTCTCGATGACAGCGTCAGATGTTCTGGAAGGTTGCGCACCTTGCCCGGCACCCTCAGCCGAGCACGTCCGAAGTCCTCGCAAAGATTTTTACCACGCAAGGAGGGCGGATCCAGCGTACTATTTGCGTCAGCTCGGCGTTGTTGCTTCCTAAGCAAGCTACGTGGTGAGTTGGATGCACTGTTCACCATCGGCAGCAGGTAGCTGGCTTTGCCGCCTATGATGATGAGTAAAGCAAGTGGCTAGTGACTGCAGCTACGCGATGGATAAGTGCGAGAGGGTGGCCTGTTCATTTCCGGGGAACGCGATACACTTTATGGTGGCACGGAATGCGAGGCTGGGTCGCCGGAGGTGGCAGATATAAGCTTCTGAAGACCATGCACGAGACCATTAGCAAGCTTTCGACCTTGTGGCCATGAAGATTGCCCGTCGTAACTGCCTGGAGACTGATCAAGACTGCGACCACCAAAGTACGCTCTGACGCCGCTTCTCCGTCAATGTCGGCCAAGCAATAGGCTTGCTGCCGAACTTCATGTGCTGATGATCTTGTCGCCCCTTCCGGGCCGGGCAGCTTCGCCAAGCTACTTTCCCGCGAACAAAGTCCGATAGCAAGGCTTGCCTGCCTCTACATGCTTGTGGTAAGCACACGGCTCGTCAGCGCGAGCGAAGGTGGCGCAGAAGGCGCGCCAGCTGTCTTCGGCTTTTCAGCGCAACGCAAAGATGACGAAGAAACCTTTTGCTTGTCAAGCTGCCAAGCGTCTCCATTTCCGACGCGCTCCAGCGAAATACTGCAATGTCAACAAGGAGCCTTTGGAAGTTGCTACGGGTTGCTGGGCTTTCGTAGACCGGCTCGCGTACGCCAAATTTCACATGGACCTCCTGCTCGGCTTTCTCACGAGGGCATCAGCGATAGCGTCCTTGAACGCCTCACTTCCGACATACTCACCAAGCAGCCAAGCGTTGGAGAGCCAAGACCATTCACCATCGGACTGCACGTGGCTTTCCTGATCGCTAGATCTGCTGCCTTCTTCCCTGGAGTGGATCCTGCCCGTGTTAGTGAACTCTAGGGGCATTTGGAACGCCGTAGGCTCTTGATCCTGCGTCTGGTACTGCATATCTCGCATCGAGGGCTGCGTTACAACCGGCGTCTGGCGAAACAGTCGTGCATACCGCGTGAGCTTCTCCTTCGCACAGTGAAGCTCTGCTTCTACTAAGACTTGCCAAGCATGATTGTAACGACAGCTAAGTCCGCCCTCCAGGTCTGTCAGCGATCATACTGCTTAGTGAAGACGCAAAAACTCACGGAGGTGGCTCTGAAGTGAGCCACCTGATCTTGGTAGGCCGCTCGCTCTCGTCATTAGGAACGGCACGCTTTGGCGGAGTAACGGTAGGCTTTGTAGCCTTGGCCTTACTTGAATTCCGCATAGGCCCTACTATGCGTGCGATGCACGGTCGTTGTACTGAAAGTGCTGGGGGCGCTCCGCGTTTCGCGAGAGCTTGTTGGTAGTAACGATTGACGTGAGCGTGTCGGCCATATCACATAAGTCCCTCGGACGTCTGCTGAGCCTTTGCCAGCGCTGCGACGATTTTATTCTTCGGTAGTGTGTTCAATAGGCCGGCCTCCGCCAACACCGTCGTTTTTTCGATTATCGTGCGAAGGGCGTTGCCCTTCTCGAGGTCCTCCTTCATTGCATGTTGGACATTGCCGGACCTCTGGTCTGCGTTACATGACTTCACTGCCCGCAAATCGCTGCCTGACAGTGCAATATAGTTTCTCGAAGCCGCAGTACACAGATCGTGTAACACACGCCCGCCTAAACCTGCAGGCGATCTATCAAAGTTCGTTTGAGCTCGCGAGCGTTTCGCTTGACGCTCTGAAGTGAGATCGCCGCTGTCACCGCGAACGCACTTCATGTGGCCGGCGCCAGAGAATTACAGGCACAACTCCTGCTGTTCGTCGGCCAAGCTTGTACGCGGGAGACTGCTGCTATGACCACAGAGCTTGTGAGTAGTCGAGGAACTGTCTCTTGGTGAAGACGACTTTCATAAAGTCCCGCTGCTTGGTGGAAACATACCTTGTGATCGAGTTCCGGCTACGAGATTAGTCACATGCAGACACGCCGTGAGTGCTTGAGTGAGCCTGCACGGCACAGAACTGAAAGGACGCACTCCGCCAATAAGTGATAACATGTGGGAGTAGACCATGTTTTTCATGTAGTAGACCCCGTGAAGCTAGGCGGCTGCAGCCACGCAGGAACCGTCTCAGTACTGAACAGGGCTTCATAGCTTGCATCAGCCGCCATGCCCTTCAGTATGGGATCGTCCCAATCGAAGTCGGTGAAGCCGTCAAGTGCAGGTGCCGCTCCATTTGCATCGCTTGTCTGATCTGGGTTTGTAGCATCACCATAAATCGTGACGTTGTAATTGCTCAGCCACTCATAGAGTCTAGCCATTGATGCTAGCATGACGGCTGGTGCGGCTCTACTGTCTGCCTGCCTCAGCATACTGGCAACGGCAATTAACTTAGAAAGATAGTGCTCGACTTGTATGTCTGCAGGGCTGATAACAGCTCCATAAGTGTTGCCTGGAGCAGTCGCGGCGATATAAAGTTTCATCAGTACGTAGGTTGCGTAGAGTATTCGGCCAGTGTACATCAAGCCAGGCGAGGTTACATGCGTGTTGGTGTCGAGCGAACAGAAGGTGTCTAGGAGACCATGGCAGGCCGCAGCTAGCGCATGCGTGGAAGTGATATGCTGAGAGCAGATGTTCGGTGCTGGAAAGTCTGTGACGGAAAGCCGCTCGGCAACGAAGGGCGCCGTAAACGAGGGTTTGTTCGTGGGGGTGTGTAGTACTGGCTCGTGGAGATACATTGTGGCCACACGGTGCCAGAAAGTGAGTGCTGGGCCACGCAAAAACGTTGGTATTTGGGCTTGCCAGTCAGTGATCTTATTTTGCAAATTCCTCATTGCTAGTTGTGTGCTACTCTCGGAGACATCACGAAATGAGGTCATATCGTAGAATTGTAGCTCGGCTGCAATCGTGTCGCACAGGCGCTCTCCTCTAACATGCTGACAAAGTAGTCGGTCACCCATGGCATTGAGTGGCGAGTACTCCAGAAGGGCAAGGCAGTCGTCATGGTACTTTGACCAAGGCATTGAGTTGGGTCGACGCAGATAGAACGTGACGTTGGCCCAGAGCATGTAGCAGGCAACCCATGCCCTCCAAGCATCGATACTGCGTATATCTTCATCCTTCGTATGAGACCCGGGCTGAGGAGCGCAATTCGGACCCGACAAGCCTAGGGTGATGGCGGCCTCACCTATGACCTCAACCACTTCGTATGCCGCAATGTGCTTGTGGTGTTTTGGTACCCAATACCAGATAGTCGATATTTGCAGGGCTTGAACAAGCTCGAGAGACTTCTCGCTTGCCTCGATCTTGGCCTTAGTGTCATCGCTGAGCAGGAGGAGAGCGACCTTATTCTGGTCCTCTGCAGACAAGACGCCCGGGCATGCTGCGAAAGTGATAGCTTGGAGTAGCAGAGGCCTCTCCGATCGTAGCTTGTCTAAGGTATCATCGTCGCTCAATGGCACGAGGGGGAGCTGTGGCACCATGTCCTGCCTGTACTTCCGCAGGATCCGAGCTTGGACATGGGGCGGTACGATGCGGTCCAAATCAGCGGCTGTAGTGTTGTCAAACGAAGCGCGACTAAGCGAGGACAAGTCTTCGGTGGCGGTGTCAAGATCGTTGCCGTCACGTCTTCGCTTCTTCGACGACGCGCTTGAGGGTCCACTTTGCGGCGCGGCCTCTTCGCTTCCTGAGCCTTCATCATCATCTGGTGACGTTGAAGAAAGACCTTGTGCTTCGAGTAGTCGCGTAAGAGCCTGCACTTGAGCTTCGAGCTCGGCAACGCGGTCTTTCTGGCGTTTTGGTGGCGTTATAATGCAGTCCTTCCGGAGCCGTATACATCTCTCGCAGGGCGGCTGACCACCACTAGACCCTAGTTCACATTTGATCTTGATTGCATGACAAGCATCACACGCCCTCGCACGCTTTGATGTCGCCATCGCAGACATAGAATGTTGCTCATGGGCCGACAATGGAGATGTATCGTGGACGTCATGGAAATGATTATAGATGGAGATGTTGGGGCTGCGAAACCTTCGCGTCTTCGCTTTCGCGCCATGGTCAGCTCAGGCAACGCCTCGACAAACGTGGACTTCAGTACATTGAACAGGCTGTTTGAGACAGAGCTGGTAACGTTCAGTAAGAGCCACCACAATAACTACAGGTCTTAACGACTCCATGATCATATCGCGACTAGTGGTCGGCTTAGGCGAAGTTCGAAGGTTAGCACAAGAATTAGGAGGAACCTGTGGCCAGTCCGAATAGTTGAAGGCACGCTACAGAGACATAGTACACTAAGTAGCTTTCAAGGGTGGAAACATCAACGATGCTACCATGGAAACTCGAAGCCATCACGATGCCAGAACATACCCGTTTCCTCCAGGCCTTTGCTCATGAATACCTTCCACAACTTGCTTGCCGCCTCTTCTGGCTCTACAGCTCCAGGGATATTCATATCGCTCAATAAGTTGGTACGCGTTATGCCTGGGTGCAGAAGACTGACAACGACACCCCGGTCTTTGAGATCGCAGGACATGCTCTTGCCGATGCTGTTGACAGCCGCCTTTGATGAGCGGTAAGCGTACCTTGTACTCGTGGTGTTGTCTGCTATACTGCCAACCCTGCTGCTCACAATCCCTATTCGTGGCGGTTGTGCCTGGCTGGCAAATATGTTGGGTAATACAGCCTGAGTCAGCAGCAACGGACCAAATGTGTTGACTTCGAACGTCTGCCGCAACACGGCCATGTTTACCGTCTCGAGGGTGTCCTGTTGTACTGGTGCTTCAACTCCTGCAACGTTAAGCAGAACGTCCACCGGCTTTCCAGATAGTTGCTCCGCGAATGAGGATATGGACTCTGGTGCGCGGACATCGAGCCGGTGGAGCCGAGCTGCTGTTAGAGATTGTAGTTTCTCGCCTATCTGTAGGTCGCAGGCATGAACCTCCCATCCCTTCAAAGCGTCAGCTGCGTCACGGCCCTCTACTTGCCCAAGAGGAATACCTCGCGGATGAGGATATGGGCAAAGGCATGTCCAATGCCACTGTTAGCTCCAGTCACGATCGCCGTCGGCATAGTAGGGAAGTCTTTTTGCTCGGAATTGTGTCTTCTTGACTTCGAGCTTAGCCGACCACAAATGGGGTCTACCTGTAAGGACAAGAGCGCTACTCCGGATGACGTCGATTTTTTGACATCGGGCGTACAATGGCAGAGTATTTCTATCCTACCGCATCACGGCCGTAGCTGCGCAGTATCCTTCGTGTGTATCTCGTGAGCTTTTAGCATAGGCATGTCAGGGATGGATCAATGATGAATACACTAAGGGAAGCCGGAGTCGACGCCCTGTGGCTTGGCGGGGAGATGGCTAAAGCGTACGGCATCAGAGGCACAAATGCATTCTAGTATCTCTACAACCCATGCATGTTTTGGGCGTGGTTGATATGTTCTCAGCCCGGTCTGTAGTGATGAGGCTTGTAAGGCAGTGAGTCCGATGTTGGCTAAGCTTCGTAGCAACCCAAAATCAGGCATGGATTGATAGCTGTATTGTCGGTCGCTATGACGGATAGGCAACAATATGTAGACGCGTACAGCATTGCCGCTTCGTCAGCACTTACCAAGAGGGAAGGTGAGATGCCCAGTGATAAGGAAGCCTGTAGACGAATATAATAGTAAGGAGTATGAATGGCAGCGCAGGGAGCATCGTAACCCTGCCACTTCTAGCCACGTCCCAATGGCCGCAATCGATGTGTTGACACTTACGGCGACGGAAGCACAACGGATGCTCAAGAATAACGAGACGACTTCTGTATCCATGGTGGAGGCCTATTTGGAGCAAATCAACAAACACAACACCGCAGGACTTCAGCTTCGTGCTCTGATTGCAGTCACGCCGAAACAGATAGTCTTGGATACTGCACGCCATCTGGACCAAGAGCGTCGTGACGGCAACACTCGGGGCCCGCTCCATGGCATTCCGTTCATCGTCAAAGATGTTTTCCTCACGGACGCTACGCTCGGGTTGCCGACGACAGCGGGCGCGCCATGTTTTGCAAACGCTAAGGCAAAGCGTACCTCACCCCTGATACAATGTCTTCTGGACCAAGGCATGATCTTACTCGGTAAAGCCAATCTTACTGAGTTCTGCGGTCTGAAGATCAAGGATGGCCTCACCCCTGGATGGTCCGCAATGGGTGGCCAAACTCAGAGCCCGTACATCTTTGGTGGACTTGAGGAAGGTGAGGCGCTCATAGGTCATTCTTCTGCGGGCGGCAGCTCCTCTGGCAGCGCGAGTGGCGTAGCGGCTGGCTTCGCACCGCTCAGCATTGGAACGGAATGCGTTGGTTCGTTGATCACGCCAGCCAACCGAGCGGCATTGTATGCGCTGAAGTGCGGCCTCGGAGCTGTCGACGGTAGGACTATGTTCAAGTATACTGACTGCATAGACTGCATTGGCGGCATGGCAAAGAGTACTGCCGATCTCAGCACCTTCATCGCAGCCATGATGCATAGAAGCGAGCCTTTCAATACCACAGGCGGTTTCGGCGGCCTGCGTGTCGCTTTCACCAACGTGAAGGAGTGGCGGTTGCCAGAGGGATACTGCCGTTGGCCTGGTGATACCCGTGAACAGATGGTCAGTCAACTGCAGGCGTTTGAGCTACGCCCTCTCTAAGGCTGACGCACAAGCAGGAGAAAGAATACTTTCATGCCATCGAAACTGTCAAAGAGCTGGGAGCAGTAGTCCATGAGCGCGTAGAGCTATCGACAGATGGAAAGCTCTTTCAAGTTCAGGATAAGTCGATCTTCTACGAAGTAGCCTGTCCGTCGAGACCGAGCAAGAACCGTCCAAGCGGTGCTGACATACGTTGCCAGTATACCAACTACAAACGAGGTTCCTGCAAGCATTCATCGACGAGTTCGTCGACAGCGCAATCCGGTCTCTGGAGGATATCATCGCGTACAACGAAGCCAACAAAGACCAGTGCTTGCCCTCAAGCCATCCGGCCCAAGATGAGCTGTACGACCTTCTGAACCATAGAAGGGATGCTGCTTTAGTCGACGAAATGATACCAGAGCTTCGAAGACGTGGCAAGAGCGCGCTGGACAACATCTTCCAAGACAATGATATCCTGGTGGCCCTGGCTGACAGTCCAATGGTGATGCACAGTGCCGCAGCAGGTATGTCTGTACCTGTTTCGCACGCCACATGCATTTCGCATCGCATTGCGTCCCATTCAGCCGGTAAATTTGATCCACTGACCCACGGTTAACAGGCTATCCCATTGCTTGCGTCCCGCTTGGAACAGTCAAGTACAGTGAGCAAAACGAGCGGCCCTTCGGACTCTGCATGGTCGCTAAGCAAGGAGGAGAAGAAGTGTTGCTAAGGTTCATGGCTGCGTTCGAGTCTAGCTTTCCGCGACGGCCTCTGCCAAGGCCATTGTTGTAGGTGTCAATGTGTCACTGGCGTTTGTCCGATGGTGCTAAGGTATCACGTGTTGGTGCACAACATTGATGTCCTGCACGAATCAACAAGCAAGGCACGGAATGCGGAGTGCATCAACGCTGTTCGTCGCAGGCATAGGTCGGTAAGCTACGAGGCAGGTAAGCCATTCTCTCTCGCAGGTCTGTAGGTGGTGACAACGCAGTGATTTTCGTTGTTTGCGCTTGGTATGACGCCTACCGATTGGCCGTCAGTAGGTTGAAGTGGCAACGGTACAATCAACATTCCGCGGAGGTTACTAGCATTTGAGGAAGCGGTCAAAGATATGCTGCAGACAGGCTCCTCTGATGCACTGCACCATCACTGTGCAAGCAAGCTGGCACACCGCTGGGCCAGGGCTCCATTGGGAAGTCATCTGATCATGGCAACAGCTCCAAGACGGGCGGAACCCTCCAGCTATAGGCCCGTAGCGGTTCCCGTGAAGTGGCGCAGTGCGTTCATTCATTCAGATGCAGGTGGTGTCCATTCGTCTTGCCGTGTAATCCGAACCAGAGCTGCACACGTTCCGTGCCTTGCTTCCTTCCTCGGAGCGTTTACGACGATCAATCTATTTGCGCTCGCGCCGAGCCAGGTGGAAGGAGTCCTCGGCCTTGGCTACTGTTTCGCGTTGTCAATACAGCGACTTGGCGCGGCCTACGGAGAAGACACGATGAACTACACTGGGTAACGCCGTAAAGACATGCCCGCGAACACCAAAAAGGATGCCTAGTGAAGATGGGCATTGGTAACTCAATTGTTACTCGTCTCGTGCAATTCGCCATGTAAGTTTGCAAGTCTCTCATGGCGTTACGGCTAAGCGGCGTCTGCTGCGCCATTGACAAGGTGTGAGATCATCCGATGTGGTAAATCATGGGTGTGAAGACCTACGGTTGCGACGTTTAGACCGAGCATTGAACAGGCATCCCAGTCATTGAGGGGTTTGTCCTAGAATATAGAAACGCCGATGTGACAAGTTTCACGCGCCTGGATTAACCATGCCTGACAGTCACTTCGAAGGTCAGACTGTGCGATTATTGGTTCGCATCGCGACATTCCCGGTTTCTCGGTTCCCTGTCGGCTGTCATCGCGAGCAAGGTTCCCTGCAGCTCCGCTTTCGGTCAACGGCTTCTGCGCCGTAGCGCGTGACCTTTCGAATCCGCCACACCTTGCATGCTGCGGCGGAGTTGAGGAGTTGCTCAAGATGGCAGCACGTTGTGCCCTCTTCGCGCCAACGCGACAACGTGGAACACATACGGACGCGTAGTGTTGCGTACGTAGCATACTACGGATCTGCCCTGCGAGGCGCATAAAAGTGGGGTCTATGCCCTGCCGGCAGTCAAACGCCCCGTGAACTCTCTGACGTAGGGCTTCAGGTTTGACACGGCTGCGATCTCCACGCATGGCTGCGCACCGCCTCTCTTGACAACGGCAGCTAGGCGAAAGCTAGTCCTCGTACCTGAGTCTAATGACGGACCGCTTGATGTTCGCTGATAGCGCCCTCTCTGCCATGGAATCGATGTCTCGTGAGCACTTTCCACAACACCAACATCTTTTGTCGAGAAGCCGAACGCGAGTGCCAGTGTCACGAATTCGCAAGCCGGTGGCATCCGTGCGCTGGATGAGACACGCCTGGCCTTACTCTTATTAGCGGCTCCAGAAACTGCACCCCCACAAAGATCGCCACAAAAATATCAGGACTGACTTACCTTTCTCCTTTTGATCAGGCCGTTTCCGATCTCGACGCACCGTCGCCCGAAGTCGTGTGCGGGAACTGTCTCTTTTACTCACCTCAGTCGCTCCTTACAGCCAGCTCTTGCATCAATAACACAACAACCGCGCTTGCCACCTCTTACGCTCCTTCGGTATTTCGAGCCTTACCCCACGCTGCAAGTCATCGGCATTGCAGGAGACTTGACGCATTCTGGACCACTTTCACGGTAGCTGCATATACCAACATTGCGAGTTCTGGTAAAGGCGTAGCTGCGGCACCGCTGCCTGGCGCAGCGTTCAAGGATAGAAGCGAGGTGACTGCGTTACTTGCTGCTCGCTGCAGAGCCCTGAGGCTGGCCCTCACGGCAACGCGTCGCGTGCATCATAGTTTCCAGACAGACAATAAGGCAGCATCTCTTTACATTCCGCCGGCTGAGTGACTGGCGCAACAAGACTTCAGCACCTCTGCAAAAGCCTGTTTTCGACGAGTCGAAGGATCTAGGTTTCGAAGCTCGGCGGTGGAAGTCTTAGGCCTGCGCGACGGTCCAACGCTAAAGTGCAGGCTGGCGGTCAGTATGCGCAGGCGTTACGGCACGGCGTAGTTCCTTCAAATTGAAACTCAGCAACGCAATGAACCTGCCGACCAGCATACCCTCAACTTTGGACCCCAGTCAGGATGGAGCAACGGGCACCGCAGATGACACAACGCCTAAAGCAATTGTTTACCGGAGTCGTTCCAGACCTTTCCTTGGCCCTGATTCGCCTATGAACAGTCCAGCTGTTACTGCATCTGGAAATGCTACTCCGAGTCGTTCGTCGTCGGTCCACCCACTCCGTGTCAGCACAAGGCAGCACGGCAGCGCGGAAGCAGATACCACTAGATTCCCGCAAGACTATGCCTTACCGTCAGCTCTGTCACGCTCCGCTATTTCGGACCGCCTTGTCACGGATAGCATGACACAGCGCTCGCCATCGCCACAGACTCGAGCGCCTCCTGCTGGCGCCATGGCTGAGGCAATGGCGCAGAGCCGAAGTCCTGGTGCCCTCATCCGCAGGCTGTCCAGAGGCGCCAGCAACAAGCTTCGCCGTCGAGCCTCTACCCAGCACGGCCTGCGGTTGGCGCGCGATGGCAGTGCCGGTCCGCTCCTCACCCGACGTCGTAGCGACAGCAATGGCGGATTGGAGCTTGGCCACGATGTCTCGGATCTCGAGTTGGACAGTACTACTGATGATTTGCCGGAAGAGCCATCCTTTCTGCAGCCATCTTCCTTTCGGCAAAATGGTTTAGGCATTAGTCTATCTCGGCCAAGTGATGCATCTGCGCATTTTGAAGGAGGATTGGCGGCAGCCGACTCATCGACCCTACAAGTGGGCACTGACTTGATCAAACTAACGGCAAAACGCAAGAAGAAGGTTAGATTTTGGCTTGACTCTACGACGGCAAGAGTGTGTTGGTACGGCAAGGCTACCACCAAGTCATTCGGTCTTGACGATGTGCTTGAGGTACGCAAAGGCATTGACTCCCGAAACGCCCGGGACGATGTGCAGGTGTCGCATGACGATGAGCAGCGCCTGGTAACGATGGTGTATGCCGATGATCGGACCAAAGGCCGAAGCACGAAAACATTGCACCTCCTTGTGCCTGACAGGCATATCATGGATCTATGGGTGAATGCGGTCAACCAGGTCGCTGCAGAGCGCACAGCTTGCATGAAAGCATTATCGATCTCCACCGAGAAGAGTGAGAAGGGTATGAGCCTACTATGGCGTCAAGCGATGCAACTCAAGGCGCAGGATGCTGAAGAAGCATTCACCTTAGAAGACGCTAGGCGCTTTTGTAAGCAACTTCAGATAAACTGCACCAGCCGTACAGTGGAGTCGCACTTTCACAAGGCGGACGCGGATCGCAAAGGCGCGCTTAGCTACGCGCAGTACCGCACCTTTGTGCAGTCTTTCAAAGACCGCAAAGACATCGAGCGCCTCCACAAGAACCTCAAGCATGGCTTGGAATCCGACCTGGAGCTTGATGAGTTCCTGGACTTTTTGCGGATCGATCAGATGGTCGACGTTGATCATGATCGCGCCTGTTGGGAAGGCATCTTTGACAGATACGCACGCCCAGCGCAGACCCGCCCTGTCCTACCGGATGCTGAGCCCAGCCCTTATTCGAAGACTATGAGCGCGCAAGGCCTCCAAAACTTTCTGACATCGTCGCATAATCCTGCGCTTGTACCGAGCAAAGCTGAAGCGACGCTCGATCAGCCACTCAACAACTACTTCATCTCCAGCAGCCACAACACATACCTCCTCGGCAACCAAGTCCGGGGGACGTCGAGCGTGGAAGGCTACATTGACGCACTTATTGGCGGTTGCCGCTGTGTCGAGATTGACTGCTGGGATGGTGAAAACGGCCGGCCAATGGTCACTCACGGCCGTACCATGACAACGAAGGTGCCGTTCGAGGACTGCATCTCTGTCATCGCTAAATACGCCTTTCACAGCTCACCATATCCACTCATTATATCACTTGAAGTTCACTGCAACGCAGAACAGCAGTCAGCAATGGTGGACATGATGGAGAGCTACTTCCAAGATGTGATGGTGACCGAGCCAATCATGCCGAACACTACGAGCCTGCCGTCTCCGGAGGAGCTCAAGGGCAGGATTCTGATCAAGGTCAAGGCTTCTGATGATGAGAACCAGGCGCAGTTCATGAACGACGCGTCGAATGGTCGCAGCCGCGCTCGTAGCCTGAGTTCGGCTCTTTACCGCGCGCCCTCGATGGAGAAGTTCAACTCACCCTCAGTTGTCTCGAGTCCGAGCGCAAGAAGCCCATCTGAAGGCGGCGTGGCCTCAGTATCAACGCCACGCGGCTCAACAACCTCTGGTCCTTCTATGACGCCGACCAGCTCGGCGGAGGAAAGTGATGAGGGTTCTGTGTCGGCGCCGAAAAGTGCGCCGTCACGCACCAGCAAGATCGTCCCCAGACTTGGTCGCCTTGGCATATATACTCAGGGAATGAGCTTCCCAAAGCCATGGGGTTTCGACGACCCAAAGCTGAGGGCGTACAACCACATCCTCTCCTTCTCCGAGGACACTTTCCAGACGCACTGCAAGAAGGAAGCTGGAGAGAAGCAAGCTCTTGCGAAGCACAACGTCAACTATCTTATGCGTGTCTATCCAGGGAGGCTGCGAATCTGGTCAACCAACTTCAACCCTCTTTCAGCATGGCGTCGCGGTGTGCAAATGGCGGCTCTGAACTGGCAAACATACGACGTACATCAACAAGTCAATCGTGCAATGTTTTCTGCTGGCACCGATTGTCTCGGATACGTGCTAAAGCCGGAGGAGCTCCGCCACCCTAAGCACTTGCCCATCGCGGACACAATGGCGGAAGCTCAGGGAAAGAAGGACAAGAAGAACAAGAAGCTGGTGCGCTTCGGCGTGGAAATCATTTCTGCGCAAAGACTGCCGCGTCCGCGTGATGCCAACCTTGATGCGGGCATGAACCCGTATATCGAGTTCGAACTGTACGCTGCCGACGACAAAGCACAGGGCAACGCAATCGGCAAGGGTGGTACGGATGCTTCAGCGCCAGATGGCAGCTCCGGCGTCGGTCAGCCTCTGCGTAAGCGAACCAAGATAGTCATGGGCAATGGCTTCGATCCTTCTTTTGATGAGCCAATGACCATGTCCGTCGTTACGAAGCATCCCAGCCTCATCTTCGTGCGCTGGACGGTTTGGCACCAGTCTGAGGGCCGCAAGCCCGCATCACCGAGTAACGTCCAGCTTGCCACCTTCACCGCCAAGCTTAGCTCGCTCCAGCAGGGCTATCGACATCTTCCACTGTACAACCCTCAGGGTGAAAAGTATCAGGAGGCCAAACTATTCGTTAAAATAAAAAAGATGGCTCCGGTATCGGCGCACGACGACAATGGTGCTTACGGTCTTATGGATCCTGCCGCTTCACCACGCCCTCAGCCAGCGAGATCGAAAGACTCTTGGCCTCGGAAGCTCTTCACCCGAACGTCCAGTGATAGCAGCAGAAGGAAGAAAGAGAACGACGGCGACAGGTCTGAACAGCAGAGCATGCTGAGCCGGACTTCAAGCATGGAACGGGAGTCGACACGCTGATTTCTCACTCCCTTGTGTCGAATCTTTCTATACCATATAATGCATTCACGGCGATTGGCGTTTGCGATGAGATCCCGAAAAGGGCAATTTGAGGTGTTCAAGGACGGCGTTCCGATTCGTGCATTCAACATATACCCACTGTGGCGACACCAGGGCTCGGCTTACTGAATTTCATTGATTAAGTGTAACTGTACGAATTCGCCTTGGTTGACGACGGGTGATGAGATGCTCCGTCCGGCTTAAAGCGCACCACATATGTACAATAGCTTGCACATTTGGTGTAATTGTCAGACGCTAAAAGAGGCGCATATTGGGCCACTCTGCTGGACAGGGCCGAGTGTATGCAGTCACCGAGTGTCCAGAAGACATCACCCTATCTGAAGCAGCGTCATACATTCTATAGACGTCTTTCCCGGCCAGTCATGCCGCGCTATCGCGGCTGTACGGAGGGCAGCCTAACCAACTCCAGCCATTTAACGGTCTCCGTGAGTACGCTGGCCGCTTAGTCCATTATCACGCAAACCGCGAAGCTGTCGTATACTCATCAAGTGTTCTCTTTAAACCTGCGCAGCCGCAAGTTCCGCACCTCAGGACCAGGCTCAAGCAAATCTTACCCGTTGTTGGTTAATTTTGTCGTCCATACCGTCAACCACAACATTGCCAAAGTTCATGGTCCCGAGTACTCCTCTCGGTTCTACTCCTGGGTGCGCAGCGGAGAGTAATGAAGTTTCGGTTGCCACAACTTGTCTGAGAGGATGTGCAATGAGTGTCCTAGCATGGATGGGCAGGTCCACACAAGAATTAGAAAGCCATCTACGCTACCGCGGCCGAGACTGTACTGGAGGAGTCTCGCAACCGATCTTACTACAGCACGTACGGAGTCCGGCTGTCATGGGGCTTTGCACCCTTGCATTTCACGAGAAACCCGCTTGCGTTGTACTCAGCAGTGCAGTCTGTGGTCCAGTCCGTGAACTGCTTGTCATTTCGGGATACCCAGACCCAAAGTAGCATCCACTCGCACCTTTTCTCTCTGGCACAAGTCGCCCCGACTCTCCGCCAGCGTGCAATCATAAAGACTTCGTATACGACAATGGCGACCCGGATCAGATTTTTGATTGCAGGACGTACCCATGGCGGCTGCCTTGTGAAAGTTTGTCGAGCTCCCTCTTGTGCATAACTTCAAGGAGGGCGTTGTAAGTTGTCTATTTGCTACGATGTAGTCTCGTCTTTGAGTCCTTTGCCTGGCTCACAAATGTCGATCATTCGGGTTGGCTCCTCTTCCGAACCGGGGCAAACGACCAGCAAACGACCGTCTAGACATAAGTGCGGTAAGTGACAGCGAAATGATTCCCTCACTGGTCAGACAAACCACACATGAACAATCAGCGGCGTCACGACGGTAGCAGCAGTCAGCGCGGCAAGAAGCAGAAGTCTCCAGTCCAAGCCCCTTGTTCGAGCGACACTGGTCAGATCACTACGGCGAGCAGTGGCACAGCGCAAGAAACTGGCACAAGCTCCGCACACCAGTTGCCCAGTCAACATCGGAGCGAAGCACCTAGGAGCACTTCTTCAGACACCGCAATAACGCCTCCAACCCAACATGAACACGCAGCAGCCGAGAGCACCTCTTCGAGCCCAGGCGCAAGGCGGCATTCATCTACTGCAAGAGGCGATCGTCTACTATCGGCAGATCTGTCAGAGTTCGCCAAAGTACAACAAGCACTCCAAGAAGGATCAACCTCCGACAGCGAGGTCGCATCGATGAGGACCAACACAGAATTTGAACGCATAGGGCACAGCGACGTAGCTGAACACGATGTTGTCATTGCTGCCGCTGGTGCGGCCGCTGAAGCCGTCGAAGATGCGACTTGGGTTCGTGACATCCCAGAAGATGTTCCGGAGGCGGACACTGCTGGAAGTGGCGTGAGGCCGGCGATGGGCAGAAGCAGGGATGATAGCGATGGTAGCTGAGTAAGGGAGCCAATAGAGGGTTGTTATAGCGAAGGTCGCGGGCTGGGGAAATGTTTGAAGCGTGGTGACGACTGCGAAGTTGTGCGATATAGTGGCCGTAGGTACGAACGGCTTATGCCCTAGAGCAAATGATCACAACAAGTCGATGCAGCCGGGTAGAAAGCAATCCCTGTCGTAATGTATCGGGATATTACCATGATCAGACTGCTCCGTCAGATCTTGATTCTCTGCATTAGATAAGTTCATGACTCCCTTCTTCCTTAATTCAGAGATAAGATTTTCAGGCCTAGCGCCCCGGGGTAGGCTGAAGGTGCTCAGACCCGGCCTTAAAAGGTGTGGACGTGAACTACGATGCAGCCCAGCCGAGTGCGGCTCAATGGATAATGTTAATGACCGACACGACGTAGAGCAAAAGGTTCATGAATCTCCAGAACTTCAGCCCCGGCGCAACTTCTTCCCAATTACGGATGGTGGCCGCTGCTGAGGCGAAAGCACAGCCTCATCGCTTTCAATGTCAACTCTGACGCGAGTAAGATATGCTCTCTTCTGGATCGACACTCAGCCGCAACTCTTTAATGGCTTTGCGGGGCCTTCTTGACCTGCTTCCAATGCTAGCAACCGCGAAGGATACCTCATCGGGCCTTTGCTGGTCTATTGGAGCCAGGAGAAATATCGTCCTGCCGAGTTCGTTCCTCTCGGGTCGACCGAGAAGATCTGGATCGCACTGTAGTACAGCGAGAGGAATTCTGGCGCGTCTTGTAGGTCAACTTCGCGCTCAGCATACTGTCATGGTTATAGTGCGTCCGATTGCGAGAAGACAGGTGCGCGCTCACGATGTGGCTCAGCACCCACTTCCTGGGTGCAAAAAGTGTGTACGTATGTGTACGAGCAGTCTACAATATAATGCACAGGACGCCCTCAAAGCAGCGGCATGTGGCGTAGAACTCTCTGTGCAGAGAAGAACGGCAGGTCTGTATCAGAACCGTTGTGAACGCAGCATGACCGGCAGTATTGGATCTGGAGCCCAACACACCGTGACATCAGGCTTCTTCACCAGCCTCCACTGAGACATGGTTTACACAGGCAAGCCGAGTCTTGGTTGCGAGGAATGCAGGTATGGACATGTCAGCACAGCATCTTGACCATAATCGTCCGGCACCTGACACTGTTGCGCTGGCTACAGCGCTTACATATGTTGTTCTCTTAAACTCCACAGCCGGCTAACAACAGCGTAGAAGAGCGAAGAAAAAGTGTGACCAAGCACTCCCATCATGCGGGCGTTGCGTGAGACTTGACAAGATTTGTGGAGGCTACCGCGATCTCAATGAGCTGATGTTCCGGGATCAGAGCTCGAGCGTTGCGCGACGAGCTAGTCAACAGAGCGAAGCTGGACCATCTACGCGGCATCCGAGTCCAAAAAAAGAGGCCACAGCTCGAGACTTCTTCTTCAACCACTTCGTGACCGCAACGCACCTTTCCTTCCTGGAGAAGATGAGCCTTGACGATCATCTGTTGAAACCCATCCTCGCATGTGGAACCTTAGCTCTCGCAAACCGGAACAGCGATCAACCGGCCAGGGAGAAAGCTCGACGGTATTACATCGAAGCAATAACCACCATTAATGCGGCTCTGCGGCACGTGAGGCGAGTCAGAGAGGACGCTACCTTGGCGGCTGTCCTACTCCTCGGTATCTTTGAATGGCTCAACTGGGAACCAGGCGGATCATCCCAAGACTCCTGGAGGCATCATGTTCAAGGGTCGTCCCAGGTTCTGCAAATGCGAGGCCGCAATCAGTTGAGGAGTGCTCAGGGCAGAGCGATGTTCCGGGAGGTGCGGTCTAGCATTGTGAGTTTCACAGCTCAGGGAGTTGACGGCCTGCAAAGCTGACAGTCTGCTAAGATACACAACGCCTTAACATCGGAGATAGAGGTGCCGGAGTATGTCATTCAGTGGACGCAGAGTCTGGACGATGAGCCAATCGGCGCCACCATAGATTCACTGACATTGCTTGCATGCCGGATGGCTTCCATCAGGACTGCATTCCGGACGGGTAGCGTGACCGATGAAGAGCTCGCCGAACGCACTGCGGAGTTAGAGCAGGACCTCCTCAGCTGGTCTGAGGACACTCTATCAGGTAAGCCGAATCTCAGCGCACAATCTCAGCAGCAGGTCACGACGTGGCCTCGTACGATAGATCCCACAGAGTACCATATTAACAGATACATCGCGCAGCCGGCTCGATCTGTTCCTTCCATAACATCACCGACCTAGATGCTCCGTCAGCATGGAACGGCACTCGGCACGAGTACGGCATACCGCAAGCTCACAGATTCTGGAACACGTGGCGAAGTCTACGCATCCTTTTAAGCCGAACCAGAGAGGCTGTGTTCAGACGATCCTGGCCGCGACTCTCCCAACCACCTCCGTCTCCCGGACAGTACAGGACACTTCGCAATCGTATGGTGGCCGACATATGCATAGCAGCTGCCTACGCATTCGGGAATGACAGTACTGCTGAGCCGCCGAAAGGGTCCGTTTCCAGCGGGTATCTACTCATCATGCCGCTCTGCTTGGCCGGGCTGTCTCTGCTGGAGCAGCTCGCTGAACCCATCACCAGTCCTGGCGGAAGCCGTATGATACTTGTCGACTCACCACTTCATATGGACCCGTTCAACCAGATGTCAACTCAGCTGGCCTGGGTCATTGCGAGAGTGGAGTAGTGAGTCTGACCACCGTACACGATGCCTGCTTGCCCGCTGACATCGGCTTGTGCAGTATTGCGGAGAGGATCGGCATCCGATATGCACGAGAAGTAGCACGTTATTTGAGGGGGGAGACAAAGTTGTACTATGACCTGAACAGATCGTAAGGCAAGCTGGATTGTGATGAGTGAAAGAAGCGTGCTCTAACTGCAGTGCAGCCGGATCGTCACAGAGGTGGAACTTGGTAATCTTTTCTTGAATGAGGCCCTTGACCTCACGAGCCTAAGTACTATGTATAGAGAAGGCGCATGATGCTCGGAGAACGCATCAATAGCGCCGCGCTGCAATGATAGCTTGTCCCTACCGATTCCCCAAGAAGTGTATATCTAGCATACATTTAGCAGCCTGCCCAAGATACAAGATAATACTACAATGCCTCAGCAGGCTGGTATCGGCCACGTGTGGTGGTAGAACGAAAATCATCAGCACCTCGCATGCATGGCGACGTGATATGCATTACTGCGGCGCCTGCGCTTTCTTTGGGAAGTTGCTCTCCTTCTCAATCCAGGTCTGTAGGTCCATGAGTCCTGGGTGGAGCTTTCTCAGCTCGGGAACGTTGGCCTTGTATCCATCGCTGCCGAACCAGTTGATCATGGTCCCAAGCTCTGCGACCATGAACTTGAGGAAGCTTCCCAAGAACCAGAAAGTTCCGTCCATCGCCTCGCCAGTCGCGTTCAGGAAAGCTTTGCTAAGCTGGTCTTGAGTGAGCTCGTCGCCAGCCAAGCCCATGGCCTTGTGATTGAACTTCTCTGAGTCCTCGAAAGCAATCTTCGCAAAGACGCCAATATCCTTTGTCGCGATCCATTGGTTCGGCTTGGGGCCAAGAGTGTCGCGTAATGCGGCCATGAATACCTTGGTCGGGAAGCCAGGCTGGAGGTTGTCCATGAAAGCCACTGTCTCATGTTAGCTAGGTCTTGGTTAACTTGATTGAGAGAGCTTACCAGGTCTCAGGATGGTCCAGCCCATCTGCCCAGCATTATCCCGCAGGTGATGCTCGATTTCGTACTTTGACTGGAAATGCGGAATAGGAGTGCCATTGTTCCAACTCTCCTCATCACCGCCGCGCTCGACACTGCTGTAGACAAAATGCTTGACACCTGCCTTGACAGCCTCATCAATCATAGCCTTGCCTTGCTTGATCTCGCCATCGTGTGTCACACCCTTGCCTTGTGAGATCTGTACACTGTACACACCCCAAATGGGCTCCTTGGCGACTTCTTGGGCGGCTTGGAAGAGTGCGGGGACGTCGTCTTGGTCACCCTGGACAACCTTTATATTGGAGGCTTTTGCTTCGAGCTTCTGTGCCCCGCTACCACTTGCATTGCGAGTCTGGGCAAGAAGGATGAAGTTAGGGTTGTTAGCTAGAGCATCGATGACTGCTCCGCCCTGCTTGCCAGTGGCACCGGTAACCAGTATATGCTTGGCCATGTCTTGGAAGTTCAGTACAACGTAGCTGGAGGGAAGTGATGAGAAGAGAGACAGGCTTTCGACACAAGAAAGGCTATAGGAGTCAAGCAAGGCCGCCAACGCAAGGCCTCCCTTCTTCAAGACACGAGAGCATTCTAATTCCGATCTGTCACCCTCCGGGTACGAACATCACCGTGATTCTGAGCGGCGCCGGTGCGCAAAGACCACGCAATTTGCACGACGTGATGGTTCAGGGACCCGCAAGGGAGGATAGGCACTATGATGCGCGTAATCTTAGGTAAACGGGGAGAGCGAGACATCATAAACCGAAGTCTGAACGCTGGAGCCACCCACGTTTCTGGTTAGCGTGAGATACGCGCTCCAGCAGCATCGAAGTGACAGAAGTCGTCGCTACTGTGGCTGGTGGGATCTGGTACCTGCACCGTCCGGGCGCAAATGTACGGGTCGAAGATCTCATCCTCGCCGTCATCGATCTTACGCTATGTCGTCGGTGGTACGGTAGCCATCATGGAGGAGCCTCGTTCACAGAGGTGATGATACATCTCTTCTCAATTCTTTCAGTTACGTGAATATCCACCCAAACCATTGATATCGTTAGGAGCAAATTCTCAGGGGCAACACTTGCTTCCAGAGCAGTTTCAAGCGGTGCCATGTGAATGCAGATCGAGCCTGTTCCTGATGAACGCTGTCGCCTCAGAGTGGAACAAATGGCTATTTGCAGCTCAACGCCTAAAGGCTCGTACCATGGCAACACAATCGCAACCGCAACCGACTCCACACCGATCACGGCCGGCTTCAGGATTGGTGGCACCGTGCCGCTGCAAGTCGCAAAGGCGGACCTGCGGTAGTTGTGGAGTTTATCCGCTACTCAGATCTTGGCGACGGCTGTTCGATCCTAGTAGATCGGCTCCGCACTGTCCGGACGTCAGCGTCAGGGTGAAGTCTGCTCGCTGTTGTGGTCGAGGGGTCGATGCTCGCCGCACAGTTGGTGGATCGTTAGGTGAGAGGTAGACACGCTTGTTGTTCGTGGTGTCCTTATTCTGTGTCTGCCGCATAGGCCCATTGCTTGCTCAAGGACAGAATGTGCGACAAGGCGAGCAGCAGAGGAGAAGCATGTAGAAGAAAGTCGCTTGAAACCATTTTCGGACGAGAAAGTAGCATTAACGGTTGGTAGGCACGTGATAACTCAGTTTTTCATGCCACGCGAATCTGTAGGAGGGTTGCTTAACGTTAATTAAGGGCGCTTGAAGGTGTTGTGCATCTCGAAAGTGTTCATTATATCTGCTAAGACCTAATCTTGCAATATACAAATGTGCAGAAGACACTCCTCGCTCAACGCATAAAGCACGTAAATCAGGTCCCAAGTCCCAAGCGCGCAGACTGACCAGGTCTATCCTAATGGAACAGCGCTTTCGCCCAGATTATTACATTATGCCGCGACCTCAAGGGCTGGGGCGACGTACGCCTTCTCAGCAGCCTCTGCGAATGCCTTGCGTTCGGCGATGTCATTCGCGTTGGACTCCTCCCACTGGCTGATGATCTCCTGTCGCCGGCTTTCGCTACGCGGCTCGAAGGCCATCTCATATGGGTCTGGCTTGACGATGAGAAGCGAGTTTGACTTGTGAATAGAGGGCTCGATGAGCTTGCCGTCCGGTCCCTTCTTGCGAACCAGGTTGTAGGCCCACAGGAGACCGCCGCAAGCAACGAATGTCTCGTCACGGGTCAGGGATTGACCAAGGCAAGCACGCTGGCCCCAGCCGAAAGAGGTCATGCCCATGATAGTCGGGTATTGGCTCAAAGGTTCCTGGTAGGTGGGCCAGCTCTGTTCGAGCCATCGTTCAGGGCGGAAGTTCTCTGGGTCTGGGTACTTCTTCTCGTTGCGGAGGAAGGCGCTGCATGTTGTTAGTAACCGTTCGCAATACAAACATTCAGCGGCATAACTCACTAGTCGAGGGGTAGGATACGTGTGCCCTTGGGAATGAAGTAGCCGTTGTAGAAATCATCCTCCATGAGCTCGTGCGCCACACCAGTCGGCACGTTTGGTCGCCAGCGCATCGTCTCCTTGATGCATGCGCGGAGCACAGGAAGGTTTGGCATGTCAGTAAGCTCAGGCATACGGCCCTTGCACTGCTCGTCAATCTCCTCCTGGACCCTCTTCTGCCACTCAGGGTGCACCACCATGGCCAGCAGGAAGTAGTAAAGGGGGCCAGCGACGGTGAAGATAGCAACAAGCGCCATCATGCCGATGGCGGACGATGCCTCGTAGTCGCCGGAAAGACCACCGGTCTTCTCGCCCTCAAGGTAAGTGCGGGTGAAAGAAGGGCGAGCCTGACCCTTGGCCATCTGTGCCCGCACAGAAAGTAGACGCTCCATCCACCAGGCCTGCTGCTCGTCATGTCGCTTGCGCTCCGCGATCTTCCACGGGTTGATTGGGAAGGGCAAGTGCCAGAGAGGAGTAACGACGTTAGTGATGGGGCCAGCCGGAGACATCTGGGTCAGGAGACCCCAGGCGCTCTTGGTGCAGTACTCGCTCAGGTTCGGGTCATCCCAGGTAAGTTGGCATGCAACTTTCGACGAGAAGTCCTCGAGGTAGAAAGCAAAGTTGTCCGGGTCAGTCAGGAGGCGCATGTTCCAGCGCTTAGCCTCGTGGTAGACAGTGCCGTAATAGCGAGCATTCGTAGCCTCCATCAAGTAGGCATGAGTGAACTTCCGCTGGCGTGCCCAGTACTCTGCGCAAGTCAGTGACTGTTACTTCTCTGCTGGCTTTAAAGCTAGACGTACCGTTCTTGCCCATAAGCGGAAGGTACTCCATTGAGCCATTCGTGCTCTTGGGGTCGAAAAGGGACCGGATCTGAGGGCGATCGGAGTAGATCTTGCCACGCTTGACCAGCAAGTCTTCGGCGACCTTTTCGTCGGCAATGATGATGAAGTAGTCACCAAGCATCTGTGTTCGGTACAGGGGACCGTACACGTCGGACCACTCCTTGAACTTGGTCCACATGTACTCGACTGGCAGGTCGTGAATGCGTCCGATCCACGGCACAAGAGCTGGCCCTGGAGGCTCGCTCGCCTTGTTCTTGTGCCATGCCTGTCGTCGTTGAAGAGCGTTGAAGAGAGAAAGCAGACCGAAGCCAACAAGGGCGACGGCCGCGACAACGAGCGTCAAGGGCTGCATGGCAACGACGTCGAGGTGTAAAATGTGGACTGGAAGGCTTGGTCAATGGAAGAAAGACAAGAAAGCCTGAAGGTTGAAGGCAAGACCAGAATACATACCCGTGCCGCTGGATGTGCAGGACCACGTTGCTTGGCAAATGTATGATAAGAATAACTGGATCCATGGTAGTAATCTGCATCAGCGTTTGCCATGTTCCGACGTCCTGCCAAATCATCGCGATCGTCAGTGCTCCGAACGCCATGGAGACAAGCGTCCGTTAGCGTCAATGCAACTTGTGTGGGTTAGATTCAATGCAAGGGGTGCCCAGATGAGGCTTTCACCTTGGATGGTCCGGACTGTTCTACACATCGATTGCAATAGTTAACGGTAGCAGTTGCATAACAACGATCGTTGGCGTCGTTCTCAAACTCTGCACACCCTGAAGGACACAGAGGGGCAGGGGCCCAGTCACCGAGAGAGTGTCACCTTGGACATGTTGAGTAACAAGCGTCCCAAAAGGGGAAAGGTAGATCCGGCAGAGAGGGTTGTACAACCTTGTCCATTCATGCCTCAGCTCCGAGATCGACACGTCAAGCATGTCAAGCATCACGCAAACCACACAACAATTCTCCATAAGGCAATATCGGCGCGTAAAGTCGCCGACCGTTCAAGTTTCGTGCCGCAGAGATAAGAACTTGTAGGCCTCTTTTCGCCGACTCCGATATTGATTCCAACGCGGCACCGTTGTGTAGTCCTGCCAGCCTTCAGGCGTCCTACCGTGCCAAATTGGCGCCTGTACATTGGCAAGCCTCGTATCTCGCCCCTGTTTCCGGGAGCGGACGTGAGCGTATCGCTCCAGAGAAGAATCCCTACGCATGCCAAATGGGCTTACAGTACAACCCTCTCATCTCCTCGGCAGGAATTAAGCCGCTTGTGACGTGAAGCTTGACTCCTGGAACGAACCACCGTATGCAGCTTGTGTTACGGGGCGCCGCAGAACAATCGTCCAGACATCGTGCTCATCAGCAGTGGCAACACCACTTCGCTTCTCCTCACAGCGCTGCCCGTATAGGGACCACATACTGGAGTTGCGTCTGGCAGGCGTCGGGGACTAGTGTTCCATGTTTCAAGTCTGTACCGTGATGTCATATGTGGCTGCTGACACCAAGACGTGCATTTAAGCTCTGACATACTAATTCCTTCGGCGGCGAGATCGGTGTCTGACCGGCAGCACGGGGAGCCGTCCGTTCGCACGCAGCACGGCTGGGGAGATTTCGCGCGCCGTCAGCGCCATCTCTTATCTGGGCTAAGTGTGGCTGAACTCCACTAAGATCTGGTCAAAAGTCGTGACGCGAGCCGACCCCACCTTCAGCGATGGCGACGATCACTGAGTTTGTGTGGTGAACAGTGCTGCTGACCACGGAGAGCCGCACGGCGACATGTCCATCGTTATAGTCGGCGCCTGGCCTTTCCGTCACCATGGGCTTGATCGGCGTGTTTACCCAGCCGAATGCCGTACCACTGTAGCGTGCAAGATAACGTTCAGACCTGCATATGAGCTCGACCAGGTGCATGCGGTGAGAGCAGATTTTCATTCACCGTAACATTCCCAGCTCTGCTCTCTTTCATCAAGTATTCATCAACAAAGAACGCGATCATGACTGTCCACGGTATCGAGTCTGAGCCAGTTGGCACATTCCCTCCCTCCGGCATTGATGTGATTGTTGTCGGTACTGGTCTTGCTGGTCTCACCGCTGCCATCGAGTGTATCCGCAAAGGCCACAATGTCCGCGTGCTCGAGCGCAATGCCTCCATTAACACCCTTGGTAAGTCTCAATCTCAAGCTGGACGCTGGACAGTATCAGCAGCTGATGTTGAGTAGGTGACATGTACTTCATGGGTCTCCCAGCAACCCGCTTCTTCAAGCACTGGCCGGAGATGAAGGACGAGTACGACTCCATTGGCCTGCACAATGCCTGGATCGAGACCTTCAAGCACTCTGGAGAGCTCATTGTCAAGCCTCTTTACGTCGCCGAGCGCCTGAAGGCTGCTGGTTTGGACCCGAAGACGCCACCCGGCACTTTCCAGCTTCGTCCGCTCATCTACCGCATGTTCGTCAAGCAGGTCGAACGTCTAGGTGTAAAGATCGAGTTCAACAGCCGTGTCGTCGATTATTACGAGGACAAGGAGAAGGGCAAGGGTGGCTGCATTACGCAGGACGGCAAGAAGTACGAGGCTGATATTGTGATCGCGGCTGATGGCGTGGGCTCGAAGTCGCAGCGCCTCGTTGGTGGTCAGGTCCGGGCTAGGTCAAGTGGGCGTGCTATGTGGCGTGCTGCTTTCCCGGTTGAGAACCTTGACAAGGACCCAGAGGTCAAGAAGCACTACACCATGATTGGCCCGGACAACAGCGAGCCCATTGTGCGGACCTACCTTGGTCCAGGCACCTACGCCATGACCTTGACTCGCCCGGAGACCATGATCTGGATCATCAACCATAACGTGAGTTTTCGCCACCTAAGGGCGGTTGGAGGGGAAACCTCGTGCTAACGTACATGTAGGCCACCGGCTCATCCGCCGAGAACTGGAGCAACACAATCGAGCCGCAGGAGGTCCTTGATGAGATGGACAAAGGCGTTGGTCCCAAGCCATGGTCGGAGATGATGAAGCGTCTGATCGCTTGTACTCCTGAGAAGACCATTGTTAACTTTGAGCTACTGTGGCGTGACCCTCAGCCGAGCTGGAAGTCGCCCGACTGCCGTGTCGTCCAGATTGGTGACGCTGCACACAGCTTCTTGCCCGCCTCGGGTAATGGTGCCACTCAGGCCATTGAGGACGCTGTCTCCATCGCTTCCTGCATCCACCTTTGCGGTGGCAAGGAGAACATTCCGGAGGCCGTTGATGCGCACATTCGATTCCGGTACGTATCCCGCATCTGTCACTCTTATTCTTATATAGACTGACTGTTCGCTGCAGCTTTATCCGAAACGCTTGCGCCCAGAAAGTCGGCTTCACCAACGCCGAGCTTCTGCAAGACACCGACTGGGACAAGGTCAAGATTGACCCGCGCCGTGCGCAGCCACGGCACCCGAAATGGGTGTGGGAGCACGACCCAGAGCCGTACACGTACGAGAACTACGCCAAGAATGTGGAGGCGATGAAGAAGGGCATCAGCTTTGATGAGTCTGATGTTCCCCCGAACTACCCTCCGGGCTACAAGTTCAAGCCTTGGACCATTGATGAGATTATGGAGACGATGAAGGCTGGCAAGCCGGTCGAGCTTGGGCCCGGTAACTGGGACTAAGCGTCGTATGATCGGCGAACGGAGGGACGAGCGTGGCGCTATGAGGTGTGATGAAGGGATAATGGACGTGCTTGACTTGCGTGTGATACCGTACGAATGATTGGGATATTCAGGCATAGCGAAGAATTATAACCGAGATACACAACTCCGCTTCAGGATCTATTGACATGAGCCTTTCCGCCATTGTATAGCATGTCTGACGTCTGCTCCGTTTCGATGCCCCGAATTTGCCTGTGAAAGTCATGGTTCGCTTCGTGTCATCGGCATCTATTGGGCGACGCCAAAAAAGCGCCAACAATCCCACTATGGCCACCCCTTTAGCCACAGTTACAAGACTGAGTAGATTGAATCATCAGAGCGGCCGGAATCGAACCGAACATGGACTCCAGTCACAGCCATTCCCCGAAGGGCGGACTAATATCATGGTGCTTTAACCTTTAAGCTACACTCTGTCGGCCGACCCCATAAACGAAGCAAGATAACTGGGACCGAATAGGCTCGGTATGATTTATTTCCATTGTGCGGCTAGCCGAGATTGTTCCGGTGTATGTGGTTGCTGTTGCTTTTGTTCGTGCAGAAGGTGGGGTGGCATGCAGGTAGTGCCTGCCCTTTCAGAACTGGCCGGCAACTGCCGCCTCGGCATTCGCACGATAGTCGTTGCGAAACTCTGAAGTGCGGGCAGGGACGATGATACATTGAGGCTGACCAAATGTACCGCGAAATAGACGTCCCATAAGATCGGCCGCATGTGTCGCTGCTCGACGACTGCATCGGTCATGGAAAAGATTGGCTGGCCCAAAAAGAAGGATGGACGATACCGGGACCTATAGCTTCAGTTAGCTGCTGTAGGTTCACCAGGCAAATGGGGGTTAGGCTCGCTCGAACCCGGGCCAACCGTGGTAAGAGACGTTTATCCTAACCGCCAGACTATATCGCCTGTGTGATCGTTCAACCCGCAGGGCACTTACCTCATAAGCCTCTGCGATCCGGTTCCCGGATTCCGCCGTCCGTCGGGGCAACACTATGTAGGCAGGCTTAAGCACTTACCATGAGCTTGCAGCGGTATGGTCCATGATGATGCTGTGATGGTACTCTCAAATCTGTCGTATTGTCATGATAGCTTCACTTTCAGCCTTTGCCATCAGCCTGCCTCGATGTTATTGACTCTGCGATAAAGATGCAACTGATACCGCATATTCTCCAGCTCGATCGGATACTCCAGGCCTGGTGGGAGACGGAACCATCTGCTACCATCACTGACGACCTTCTCCCATTGCGGACCTGCCGGCTTGGCCTCACCACCCAGAAGCAGATGATCGAGCAACCAGAGCATCGGGTACCGTTTCTCCGTGCTGTTGAAAGAGACCGTGCTGTAGCTTCCGGGGCTGTCTACAACCAGCAAACACGAGTCTGCCGGCATGGCGTCCGTCAACCGAGAAAGCAGTTGCTGCGTCTTGGCGAGGCTGGTGGAGTACAGCTCGTTAAGCGTGAACAAAAGCGTCACTAGCCTGGTGTCTGGAGTTACGATACTTCTGAGCTCACTATCCGGCCAGTCTAGCACGTCTTGTTGGTGAAACGCGCAGAAAAAGGCACCACCTTGGACTAGTGGCTTGTTCGCTTCTCGAGCAGCGGCTGAAGCGTACTTGGAAAGCTGGGGAGCGGTAATGGCTTGGTGATGTAGGTCGGAGACTACAACATTCCAGCTTGCGACATCCACGAAGTGAGCATGTAGCATCGAGCCTACGTCCTCCTCGAACAACATGCTCAGCCAGCCCGCAAGCGCGACAACTTCTGACCCAGCGCCGCCACCAAGGCACACAACCCGCATGCATTCATTTCCAGCCTTCGAACCATCGCCATGCGCCACAAGCTGTGCCTGCAACCCATGCAGTACATCCAGATAACCCAAAGCGCGAGCTGGACTCCATCGCCCAGCGTACACTCTCAAGTACTCATCCTTCGCAAAAGCAGCGGCGAAGTCACGGTTGTACAAGTGACCTTTAACCTCCTGCACGATCGAGCTATCCCCGATACCAGGCTCAAAGGCGTCACGGAAGATGTTCAAGCATCTCTGTTGCAAGTCCAAGGGCAAAGAGGGCTTGCCGTCGACTGACCTCACAAACCTGGAGTCTCCAGTCTTCGAAGCAGTCCGGAGAGGCTGTTTTGGTCCGCTTGACTTTCGCGATGCGGCGCCTTTCACCATCTCGACATGACCATCACCGCGACAGCTCACGTCTACGTGGGGTTTGTAGTAGAGATGGTGTGTTTCACTTCTAATTCGTGCAGTGGAAGCGCTTGGATGCTGATCTGGAGACATAGTCAATATGCCAAGGCGGCTGCAGCCGAAGAGGCGGTGTTTCTCTACAGAAGAATAGCAGCTACTCTATACACATCAATGCGTACAGACAGGTCTAGCAAGCCTTCGAAACCGCCATGACAGTCACACGCTCACGTTTCATAATCTCATGCGCGCAGCCGTGTCCGTCGGAGACTTGTGGCACCAGCGAGACATTCTGCGTGCAGCCGTGCATTCACATTAGGTGCAAACACTGAAGGCGAATGCACGTTCACCGTTCACGTGAATATGTAAATGGAAGCACTACGTCCTCTCCATACTACCTACCGTTCCCTCTCGATCAGAGACCTGCATTACCGTAATCGCTCTTCTACGAGACAATGTCAACTCACTTCCATACCGAGTCTGACTGCGATGTGCTGGAGCCTGACAACGGCCAGCGTATCTTCGATATTGACACGTACGGCGGTCCAAACGAGATCGAAACCACCTACCGGAGCGAATGGTGGACCGTCCTCGCCTGTCCAAAAACCTCCTCTGACGAGGCGCACATTGACACCGTGATCATTGCAGTAGACGGCGCATGCCGCAACAACGGCCGCCCAAACGCAGAGTCTGGTGTCGGCATCTTCTTCCATGAAGACAACTACCAGTGGAACGAGGTCGTGAAGCTCGAGACTGACAATCACACAAGCCAGCGCGCAGAGCTTTACGCCGGTCTCTATGCCTTGCGTGCCGCCAGGAGTCTCCGCAGATTAAATACCAGCAGGACTGGCAAGCATCGTCGACCAGGCCCAATGAGGTCGCTCAGACGTGTCGTCATCAAGGCCGACTCGGAGTATCTAGTCAAAGGCATGACGGTATGGATCGAGAAGTGGCGGGCTAACGGCTTCATCAATGCCAGGGGCCTGCCGGTTGTCAATGAAGACTTGTTCAGGGAGCTTGATGATCTGGTTCAGCAGCTGAATGACAGGAGTGTAGAGGTGCAGTTCTGGCAGGTACCGAGAGCCCAGAATGAGCCCGCTGACTGTCTGGCGAACGCAGCGCTGGATGGAGAGTCGGCGGAGGAGGCGCTGGATCGGTATTTCAGAAGGGACAGCACCGATTCCAGCAGCGGCGATGAGTACTGTTGAGGAGGTACAAGTTTCCGGTGTCAACATTGGCCAGGCACATGAGCGGAGAAGATCGGTGTTGGCTTGGTTGAACCTCGGAAGACATTCCTACATTGGCAGAGGTCGATGGAGAAGCTGTAAGACGGCTGACACGACGAACGCGAACATGTCCCAGAAGATGGCATATCCGGAGGCTTGGTCTTTGAGCATCGGTGCGAGACCGAAGGGTGCTGCTGCCGGCGTGCTCGTGCTATGGGAAAATTGCGTTGCGTTCACCGCTTGAGGTTTGTGGGTATAACCGTTCATCGTCTGAGTACAGCGCGGGTATGGTCGTGGGCATGACGGGAGATGCAAGAAGTAGAAGTAGAAACAAAAACATGAAGAGGACGGAGCACCTTTAACTAACGGTAGTGGCAATACTGAGACCCATTGATGCGCTGCGCCGCGGAGGCTACGCCGTTACGCCTTGGCTACTATATGCACTTCTCCCCCGAAGACATTCGTAGGGCCGTCTCCTTGCACAAGCCTGGAATGGTATGTTTTAGAGAATGGCAAGGCGCCGTATTGAGTTGCATCGAGGATGTGTTACGATGTTGTTTTCGGCTGGCAGACTCGGAGTGGAGTGCGCATCTGGTCAAGCTGCTGCCCAGCTCAATTAAACAACCCGGGAGCTTTGATGTTAACTTTAGCGGCTACTAATCAATGTACCACCTCCAACCCTTTCCTCTCATCTCACACATACTGTACCCACAGCTATTCAGCAAACCACCTCAAGCAACGCCATCCTTCCATACAAGCCCCATCTCTTGAACATGGACCCCTTCGCCACCGACTCTGAACTCCTCAACATCCATACCGCCTTCACACAATCTCAATACTCCACCGTCCTCTCCGACTTCTCCCCCGCCGACTTCTCCCCCTCCAACCGCCTTCCCGCCCAAATTCTACAGTACCGCGCCCAATGCGCCCTTGGCCAGTCCTCGGAGGTCCTATCCTCCATCTCCGAGTCTGACGCCCGCGCCACGCCCGATCTGGCCGCAATGCGAGCTTTCGCACGTTTCTGCCAGAACCCTGAAAGAAGTGAAGACGCGGTCACGGAAGCCGAGAGACTGGCGGAACGGTACGGGGGTGAGAATCTACATGTGCAGCTATTATGTGGCATAATCCTTGCCCGCACACCAGGGAAGTCAGACGCGGCGTTGCAACTCCTCTCGAAGCACCAAGGCAGCCTCGACGCAGTGGCACTAATGGTGCAAATTCACCTCACCCAGAACCGCACCGACCTGGCGGTCAAAGAGGCGCAATCCGCGCGCTCGTTCGCCCAAGATGCACTCCTTGTCAACCTAGCCGAAAGTTGGATCGGGATGCGCAAGGGCGGACAAGACGAGTACCAGAAAGCCTTTTACGTGTTTGAGGAACTCGCGCAGGCGCCCGGGTCAAGGAGTGTGGGGAGTCTTGTTGCGCAGGCGGTCAGCGAGATCCATTTGGGACGGTTGGAGGAGGCGGAGGTGGGTTTAGAGGCTGCTGTGGGGATGGAGGGGCAGGGGGAGGAGGTATTGGCGGAGGCGTGGGCGAATAAGGCCGTGCTGGATGCGGCGCTGGGGAGGACTACGGGTGAGAGCGTGGCGAAGCTGAAGAGTCTGAAGGCGGGACACGAGTTGTTGGCTGATATGGATGCGAAGAGGGAGGCTTTCAGGGCGGCCGCGGCGAAGTATAGTGCTAGGTCATGATCGATGCGCTCATGTATGAGAGGTGACAGTAGAATTTAGCATGGCGTTACGGCGTATGCTAGAGGGAATGCTGGAAAAGAGGATGATCAGGCATGGTCGCATTCTGCTCGAAAGGAGCTAAAACCGATGGGTATCATAGAGTTGAACGGCTAGAAGCGAAGCTTCGGCCTGCAAGGCGAGATGAGAAACGTCAGCAATAGCTTCAAATATCGAGCAAGGCATATGTCCTTGAAGTACGCACCCAATGAAGACGAGAAGGAAGCAGGCCAACCACAACCCGCCGATGAACCCATAAAGCTTCACCCGCCCCCACCACCCCTGTCCCTCACTCATGCGCCTCAACATGCCCAACTTCCGCTCCGCAGCATCCATACCTTTGGCACTACTATCCAGCCCTCCCTCCGCCCGCGCGAGGACTTCTTTCTCCGCCTCCAGGCTCGACGCGAAATGTTGCGAGGACTGCTTCAGCGATTGCGCTAGCGCGATGAGGGAGGTGGTCAGGGTTTCTTGTTCGGTGCGATTGTGCGACAACATGGCCTCGGTGTGTTTGAGGTCGGTGTTCGTTTCGGCAGGTGTGGGTTGGGTGGGACGGCCGGCGAAGAGGGCGTCGCGCGCGGTTGTGGTGGCAGCGGAGCGGTTGTCGGATGCTTGGAGTGGACGTCGGGAGCGGAGTTCTTGCGCTTGTGCTTGTGCTTGTGCTTGTGCTTGTGCATGTGTGCGAGGATTGGATGGTTCGCCGGTGTCGAGGCCGGATTGTGTGTCTGTCCTTGCGGGGCCGTAAGTGGGATGTTGGGGTTGCTCGCTTTGAGCGTCTGCTATGTCCTCGCCTTCGTTTTCGTCATCGTCCTCGTCATCGTCGTCGTCGTCGTCTTGGTTTATCTGATTCAACTCCTCAAGCCGTGCCTGTAACTGCCTGATGACATCTCGCTTTGTTTGGAGGTCTGCTTGGAGCGCTTGCCGTTGACTCTGTACTCTTACTGTTGCCGACTGCTTCTCCAGCGTCAATAGCAACGTGCGGGCATGTTCGATGTTGGCGTTGATGCGACTGCGCTCGTATGGTGACCTCAGCTTGGGATCACTCGAGCTGGCCGGATTAAGCAGAGTATGGGAGAGTTTGGTGACAAGGCGGGTGAGGGTAGTCTGCTTCGCTGCGTCGGCGTTGGCCATTGTCCGTTCTAGTATTTGGTCTTGCTAAGCTGTGCTCACGTGCTCCTGATACACCTTTGGCTCTTTCACATGCGAGTCTGGCTCCTCGGCCGCACTCCGGCACGAAGTGTGTTGTACGCTTGACCTATTCGGGCGTACGAGGGCGATCCCCAGATTACTCCTACGATGGCATAAATACTCTTCGCTACCTCCTTCAATCGTCCTGATAAGGTCAACGTTGCAGCTGATGACTGAATTTGACAGGCTTCTCAACTCTGCCTGTGCTGATCGCATGTGTTCGCTACCCTTGTCATCGGCTGCTTTACTGTCCCACTACGGCTGCTTGAGCCGACAGACTTGACAAGCAACTCATGGTCCCCTAGAGATTCACGGAAGGCTGCGGCTGAGGAGCCAGATGCGACAGAACGGTAATGTGCCGCCATGTCTACTACCATACCAATCCGTCCTCTCACTGTTGTGCTTGCCACTTGAGCCTTTGAACGCACCTGCCATATCTGCAACCTTCCACCTAGTCCGACCGGTCCATCCTCCTCATCACCTGCCCCAGTGGCAATCAAGCCCAGCGTCTCATCCCTCTTCTCTATAACTACAATCCTTTGAAGCTTCGTCTCGCCGCCCACTCACAATCCCCGACCAGGAGCTCAAACCGCACTATTCGGACGCCCGAAGTAGTTGCCACCAACCTCACCTCTCCACACGCCTGCGTCGAGCCTGTTGAGGACGTGACATAAATTTTCATCGTCCCCCTTGGCTTCCACAGCCACGATCCCGAAATCGGCTGCAAGCTTGTCGACGCCGCCGGGATCGAATCCCAAAGTTTCGGGAACGTTTTCAAGCACTTTCTCCTTCCGTCCATCCTCGGCACGCAGCATTACAATCCCGTACAGCAGGATTGCAAATCCAGGCCGAAGAGCGACTATCGTTCTTCGGGACGCCGCACTGGACGATCGTCATACCCACCGGCTCCATGAACGCCTAGCCCGTCACTTGACTGCCGGCATGGATAAGCCCACAATGCATGAATTGTGGGATCCAGTCGATGCGGGCAACCCCGGCATCACCCTCACCGATCTCGCGGATGCAGCGGCTAAGGCCGTGCCGGAAGGTGAAGTCGACAATGCCCATGACCGAACGCCATGTCCGCGACGAGAGCGGCCAGCAGATCGGGCGCCCGCTTATGAGAAGGGGGTGCAGACTGCGCTGGAGTATCTTTTCAACGGACGGGATATAGACGCGAGGGGGCCAGAGAGGGGCAGTGCGCTTGCTGCTGACGGCGACTTGCGGCCAGATGTCGCGAGAGACAAGGCGAAGAGGATGAATCTGTTCCATAATCGCAGAGGGCTGAGGGGAGTTCGAATGTTAATACGTGATTGTTGCGAGGGAGTCGATCACGATTGAGAGGTGGGTGAAGGGGGAGATTGGAGAGAGGAGAGGGGCGTGGAAGTGGTGGGCAGAATGGGAGGTAATGGCTCGTAATGAGAGGAGATGGTGGCACTTCCTGCTCGCCGGCATATCTCCTCCAATCGGTCGTGGTGATTAAGGATCATGACCGCGCATAGGACCTCATGGCATTGTACCGCAATTTTATAGATTAGAGAGTCTTCAGTCGCCTCAATTCCATCAGCGAGACAACTACGGGACGATGCACAAGAGCAAAGTACGGAAGCCCGACTGACTTCACGCAATTGCAGCGAGCGTGTGAGGCGAAGCTTTGACCTGCTTGCTGAGTCATGAATTTGTCTGCATATCGCAAGCTTCATCATTCGCCTTCGCTTTCATCTACACCTTTGATATCCTCCCATCGAAATACCGCCATGTCACACATCGCTCCAACAGCGGCGCGACAAGCGCTGCGACAATGCAGTCGCCGCCTCTCCACCACCACCGCCACCACCTTCGCCACCCAAGCGTCACGATCCTGCGTTGCCTCCCATGGCCGACGACATTACGTTTCCGAGTCGGCGCCTAAGCAAGCGACCGTCAACATCGAGACAGCCATCCGCCAGGACCAGAAAGCGTTTCTTGCCCAAACAGGAACAAGGCCTCAGGATGCACAGATGCCAACGACAGGCATGTCCGCCGACGCCATGATGTCCCCAGCAGCCGGCATATTGAAACAAGCCACGGTCATGGACGAGGGCACCCGTCCTATCTACCTGGACATGCAAGCCACTACCCCAACCGACCCGCGAGTCCTAGACGCCATGCTGCCATTCTACACCGGCCTCTACGGCAACCCACACTCGCGCACGCACGCCTACGGCTGGGAGACGGAGAAAGCAGTCGAAGCAGCACGGAAGCACATCGCCGACCTCATCGGCGCCGATCCGAAAGAGATCATCTTCACGAGTGGCGCGACGGAAAGCAACAATATGAGCATCAAGGGTGTGGCACGCTTCTTCAAGAAGAGCGGCAAGAAGAACCACATCATCACCTGTCAGACTGAGCACAAATGTGTGTTGGACAGCTGCCGGCATTTGCAAGATGAAGGCTTCGAAGTCACCTACTTGCCCGTGCAAGAGAACGGACTCGTGAATATGGAGGAGCTGGAGCGATCGATTAGGCCCGAGACCTGTCTCGTCAGCATCATGACGGTCAACAACGAGATTGGCGTGGTGCAGCCCGTCGACGAGATTGGTCGACTATGTCGGAGCAAGAAGGTCTTCTTCCACACAGATGGTGCGCAGGCAGTGGGTAAAATTCCCATTGACGTGAACAAGATGAATGTGGACCTCATGTCTATCTCCGCGCACAAGATCTACGGACCGAAGGGTATCGGAGCATGTTACGTGCGAAGACGGCCGAGGGTGAGAATCGACCCTATCATTTCCGGCGGTGGTCAGGAGCGAGGACTGCGGTCCGGAACGATTGCGCCGCCGCTGGTCATTGGGTTCGGTGAGGCGGCTAGGATAGCGAAGGAGGAGATGGAGGTAAGCGCTCACACTCTTCTCCTCCCCTAAACCGTTCTTCGATGATTATCCGCTTTTACACATGCATGGCTTGCTGAGTCGGCGCCTTGACCGGCGCATTCTGCGTGCTGAGCGTAGCAACGCTTATGACCCAGCCTATCCTTCAAACCATTCCGCAACTGTACAGACATCCCGGTATTAGTATGCTAACTGTACGGCAGTACGACACCGCCCGCATCTCCGCACTCTCCCACACACTCTCCTCCTCCCTCCTCTCCCTCGACCACACCCATCTCAACGGCGACCCCTCCGCCCACTACCCAGGCTGCGTCAACATCTCCTTCGCCTACGTCGAAGGAGAGTCTCTCTTGATGGCCCTCAAAGACATCGCACTCTCCTCCGGCTCCGCTTGCACCTCCGCTTCTCTCGAACCGAGCTACGTCTTGCGAGCGTTGGGCAATTCGGATGAAAGCGCGCATTCCTCCATCAGGTTTGGAATAGGCCGGTTTACGACCGACGCGGAGATTGAGTACGTAGTCAAGGCTGTTACGGAGAGGGTTGGGTTCTTGAGGGAGTTGAGTCCGTTGTGGGAGTTGGTGCAGGAGGGCGTGGATTTGGATACTATTGAGTGGAGCCAACATTGAGCGTCACTTGGCAGGTTCGAGGCGAGCTTGGCATGTACACGAGGCTTGTAATCTTTGTGCAGGTTCATTTATACTATGTAGCTATACACAATAAGCCACCCTCCGGAGACTATACATTCTTCCGTTGGGTATACTTTCGCCATCAACGCCCCCATCAACCATTCCTCGCTGTCCCTGCCGCACCTTGTTTTCGCGTAAAGCATGCATTTCTGTCAATGAGCGTGAGGCCATGAGGCATTAGTCGTATCGTATCCCGTCCATCTCCTTCGACAGGCCATCGTAACGAGCGTGAGCAACATATGCTGCGTGATATACTTCAAAAAATGTAGAAAAGAAGGGAATCGCATCTGCATCCGCGCCTGCATCTAAAGTCTATAGTGCAGCGGCGAAGAACACGGCCATGGCAGCCAAGCCGGCAGCACCCGTCTTCAGCGTGCTGGCGCCACCAGTGTACGACGGTGCAGCTGTGGTCGTTGCTGAGGTGCGAGACGCCGAAGACGGTGAAGAGGTAGTCGACGTCGAGGCGCGCGATGCTGACGACGAGGTCGATGACAACACGGCATTCACCGTAGGCGTCGACGAAGTAGAAGTCACGACGCTCGTGAGCGTTGACCGCAAGGTCGTTGATGTGATAACAGTTGTCGGGACACTGCTGGACCCGGAGCGGGAGCTCGATGTCGGCAGCGTTGAGCCCGAAGATACTACAGGCGTCGCCGAGTTAGTTGAGCAACCTGCTTGGATTTGGCCGTCGATGATCTGGCAGACCGGCGAGGCTGTCGAGGTTATGGCGGAGGAAGAGGTGGTGACTGGTGCGAACGACGTTCCGGTGACGAGTGGGACGGAAGACGTGGTAACCGGCACGATTGGTGTTGTGGAGTTGGTGAAGCTGGGTAGCACGACCGGTATGCTCGTCAATGGCGAGGCCGTCGAGGTCCAGCTGTAGGTGCTGTTCGACGGCGATGATGTAGTAACTGGGAGCACGCTGGGTGATGACGTGCCAGTGCTGCCAACTGGTGCCGTTGTCGTGATGATGGATGACGAGGTCACGGTACCCGATGCCACCGGCGTTGAAGCATTGCCGTATCCTGTCGACGAACCAGTTGGCGTTACAGCAGGTGTCGGGTTAGGGAATGGCCAAGGGTTCGACGGGCCGTATGAGTGACCGCCTCCTGGTGAAGGGACGACGGAGCATGAAGACGGATAGACCATGTTGGTCCATGTCGATGTCACGGCATCGTTGTCCCAACTTGAAGAGCCTTGCGCCGGAGAACCTTGCGCTTGAGAGCCGTGTCCTTGAGAGCCTTGAGCTGGAGAGCTTTGCTGTGGGGAGCCTTGCGCCGGAGAGCCTTGACCGGAGTGGTCCATCTGTGCGCGTACTGTTGCAGCAGCGACTGCGACAAGCGTCGCGAGGAGTGTGGTAGAGTGCATGGTCGGATATCGGGTTCGTCGCACAGTGTGGGTGTGAACTCGTGCTTCCAATGGTTAGGTAGCGACTGCGTTTCAAGCGAGTGTTGCACAGTCAAGCGAGAGGACAGCGAGCGGTGACAAGAGGACGTAAGACGGTAAGAGAAAGAGACTTTAGGCGCGCGATTGCACAGCAACAAACCTGTTATACCAGGCCTATTCCCCTCGTACCCGCCAGGAACAAACCTGAAACCACAGCCTGTCAAAAGCCTGCGCTCGCAACCTTGCTAGCCATCTGCTATCCACATTATGCAGAGAGCAGCAGACAGCGCACGCTAGTTCCGGCCTTATCAGCCCGGCTGGCGAATGAGGTCGCGTACGTTTCACCAACCATGCTTTCGCTAGCGTGGTTCCTGCCAGAGTAAGCCTTACTTGCGTTAACAGCTTGGGGTAACGGAGCGATGTTCTGTTTTGGTGTGATGGTGGTGGCGGGCGTAAGACCGAGCTTGCGGTTTGACCCTCCCAGCCACCCTCGTTGGCGGCGTTGCCGCGCGACGCTGTTCGCGATCTGTGCGCTGTTTAGAGTGGGAGCGACGACCGTTTGGTGGCGGCAGGGCTGAGCCAAGTCAAGATGCGCAACGATCGGCCCGGTAAATGATGATGCGCGTCGCGATCGTGATATGGTAGTGAAGCCAAAGTGACTGTCGTTTCGTGTGTGCTCATCAGGAGCCACTTGTGTTCCTGCAGTGGTCTCATGCGAGATTGGACGGACCGTCACCTGCAGCAGGATGATCCATCATGGGCCCCCGCAGCGGCGGCTTGCAGGGGTGGTCCGTGTGAAAATACTGCCGAAGTGGCTGGATGACGCAGGTCTCGGATGGCTGGAAGAGGTCCACTTGGTGTTCTGCAATGCTTGTATGTAGCGTGGCAGGTTATACAAAATAGCAACATTACACACAGGCTGGGCTGACAGAGGGCGGATACCAGCCCGGAGTGTTTCCTGCGCAAGCCTTGTCGTTGCCAAGCGTTACCAGGCTACAGTGGATCGAGCGATGGTTTACCAGTCGACAATCCAGTTCACGCTGGATACCATCTGCCCATGGTACCGACATCGAGCACCTTTCGTAGTAGCAGTCGCCAGCTGAATCAGTGGCAGGACGTACCTGGCAAAGCGTCGCCTCGAGAAAGCGCTTTCACAGCTTCCGCCTGAGTCCTCGGCAGCGTTCACGGTAAGATACATGCCGTATCAGCTGTATCCGGACGCATCGCAAGAAGGAGAATCGAAGTTTGATTGGTATAAAGAGTCTCGATACGGTGACTCAGACGAGAAGATGAAGATGTACACTACCTTGATGTCGGCATATGGTGTCGCGGAGGGCATCCAGTACAAGTTCGGCGGTGAAGTTGCTAACACGCTCCAAGCGCACAGAGTGATCCAGCATTACCAGGAGGCGAAAGGTCCGGAGACGGCCGATAAGATCATTAACTCACTGTACATGCAATACTTCGAAGAGGAGAAGCATCCGAGTAGTCCTGATACGCTGTTGAGAGCGACGAGCGAGGCGGGAATACCAGAGAGTGATGCCAAGGCTTTCATAGAAGGCAAAGATGAAGGGTTGATGGATGTCAAAATGTTGATCCGGGAGCAAGCTGGCAATGGTATCGATGCCGTGCCTTATATTGTGCTTGAGGGCAAGAGGAGGGATATTACGCTTGAAGGCTGTCGAGAGGTCGAGGAATATGTTAAGAACCTTAAGCAGATTATCAAGGAAAGCAGTTGATGTAGATGTGGCTCGCACAATGATCTTATTTCGTGAAGACCTGATAATATACTAGCGAAACTTTCCTTGCCTGCGACCTTTACCGGCCAGCACATCTCGCTGTTGCTAGTTGAAGTTTCTAGTTTCTGTCGGCATGTTGTGCAAAAGAGCCAGCGGACGGCGGTAGACTCAGAGCTGAAAGAGTTGGGCACAGTCTTCGTAAATAGCCTTCTTTGAACGCTGTAGGTATACGAGTATGTCTACATTCCACTGGAATGTTGATAAATATGCTCGGTGAAAGCTCGGATGTCAATTTTGAACCAATATGAGTCCACAGATTCATTCATGTTTCTGCTGCACACTGTAAAGAATGTGCCGACCTTGGGCAAGATGGCCGAGTGGTTATGGCGTGTGACTCAAGGCTTCTGCCTTATCCAATCCAATTGGAGAGCATTCTCATGGGCTTTGCCCGCGGGGGTTCGAAGTATGTCTATGGATTAATTGTCCTCTTGCGAGTATTCACTAATAACATTACAGTCCCCCTCTTGTCAAACCTTGAACCTTGTTTTTGCTGGCCGTCGACGGCGGTAATGGAGTGAAAGGGACTGCAACTTTTGAGCAGTACCTGAACATGCAAACCTATCCCCAAGCTTCACCGGGACTTTAGGCCTTGCACTAGCATTCAATATCATCTAGAAAGCTCCTCACGGACCGCCGTCCGACAAAAAGCAGCATGAGCGATCTCAAGCTCCGACCTCGCTGTTCGCCATGCTTCTGGACTCCTTCCGCCCAGCCGTCAAAAACTCTGTCGGAGACGCGGCGTTTGGCGGACTTGACAAAGCGGAGCCATGCGAGGACTTACACCCTGGCCCTGTCACTAAATGCGTTGATTTTTCAGCAGGGAGCGGCATCTTCTGCAATAAGAGTACTGTTTCGCGCGCGAAAGCAGAGGGGGCGAACGGATCATAGAAAGCACCTCTGCTGCCATTCGGATCTACAACCGAGCCCCACTTTGATCTCATCAGATCAACATCCGGATCTCAGACTGGAACGTCTTGCAACATTCGTTCCGTACGCCTCCGAAGCACCTTGGAGACCCGAACGACCTCCCAGACCTGTAGAGCTGTGCGTCCAGCTACAACGAGATTGACCATTTGGGTGATATTTACCTTCCCATTTAGCCGGACAAGAGACATCATTGAAGACGAGCACGTGTCCGAATTCACGACTGCGAATAATTAATCGACAAGACACTGCTCCCTTGTAGCTGTCAATTCCCCCAACGGACTCGTACGGCTGGGCTTGCAACGTTGCGTGAAGACTCTCGTCTCCCACGTCGCAAGCCTGCGTCTGGTATCAAACGAGATGATTCCATTACCGAGACCTGAAGACTACGATGTCTCGCCGGAGCATGGCTTCCTGTCTGCAGATCTACCGCTTGAGGGGCTTCCTGACAGCTACTACCAACCGTGGGAGTTCGTGGTGAAGAATTTGCAGGGCTTAATCCTAAGCAAGAGGCTGCATGAGGTTGTTGACCGGATGCCGGTGCTGTCGACGGACAGACTGCACGGCGAGCAACAATGGCGAAGAGCGTACAGTGTGCTTGCCTTCATTGCCCACTCATATATATGGGGTGGAGAGCGGCCAATGGAGTGGGTGCCGCCACCAGTCACAGTTCCGTTCATGCGAATATGCAATGAGCTGCAACTGCCTCCCGTTGCCACATACGCTGGTCTGGTGTTGTGGAACTGGAAGCCAATATTCGCCTCCGAGCGGATAGATACACTCGCCAACCTTGACATGATTGATACCTTCACTGGTTCACTCGACGAAAAATGGTTCTACCTCATCAGCGTGGCGATTGAAGCACGTGGCGCGCCGCTCATTCCACTAATGCTACGTGCTATTGATGCTGCACGCAGTGGTGACCGATCCACTGTCACAGAGTGCCTTTGCACTTTTGCAGAGCGACTGGACGAGCTTGGTGCCATGCTACAGCGTATGTACGACAACTGCGATCCGCATGTCTTCTATCACCGCATCCGACCTTTTCTTGCGGGAAGCAAGAACATGGCCGACGCAGGCCTGCCTAACGGCGTTATCTTCGACAATGGCGGGCCGATCAACAAGCAACGCTACGTGAAGTATAGCGGCGGTAGCAACGCGCAGTCGAGCCTGATCCAGTTCTTCGATGTCGTGCTAAGCGTAGAGCATCGACCTACGGGCCAGAAGGCGCACAACGTCCATCCTGAGTTCGGCAAGAAGAAGCCGTCAGCACCAGAACCCAGCTTCATCCACGAGATGCGGAAGTACATGCCAGGCCCGCATGCACGGTTCTTGGAGGCGGTGGGTCGTGTCGCGAACATTCGCGAGTTTGTCCAACAGCATCGCTACGACCGATCGCTGAGCGTAGCTTTCGACGCATGTTTGGCCATGCTCAGTGCCTTCCGTGACAAGCACATCCAAATGGTGAGCCGCTACATCATCATCAAAAGCCGGGAAGCCAAGAAGGAGCAGCCCGAGGCGAAGAAGCCGAAGGGTGAAACGCTAGCGACCATGGAGCTTCCCGTCCGGCCCAAGAGTGCCGCGGGTGGCAGGCCCGAGGAGAAGGACCGCAAGAACTTGCGAGGTACTGGTGGAACGTCCCTGATTCCCTTCTTGCGGCAAGCGAGAGACGAGACGGGTGAGCCGGCTGTTGACGCTTGGGCTCGGAGAGTGCTCAGTAAAGGCCGTGATAACGGGCACGAAGAGCGTAGGAAGAGTCAGATCGATAAGTGTCAGGGCTTGGCGAGTGTCTGGCATATCGATGACAGTGATGGTGGGCTGTGTCTGTATTAGACGGCCTGTGCCTGCAAAAGCCTTTGTACATACTGCCACGTTGTCGGCTATAATGAATATCATGCAGCAGCGATTTTCCGATTGACCATCCATGCATTGTGCTTGCCACTTGCTTTCCCATGCGTGCGTATCCCTGCTTCCTGCTGTCGAGTGCGTGGGTCGTGGTCTACTCTGGTACAGACGTAGATCAGACAAAACTCGGAAATAGTACGATTACGAATTCAGCTGCTTTACGCGCGGAGCAGATCAAGCTTAGGGGCAGAGTGGTCTTCAAAGGTACTTAGGCTTGCACAGATGGAACCACTACCAACGAGGCCAGCCAAGACAAGCTCAGGCACCTTACACCGCAGCCCCAGGGTGCTGTGCAGGTCGTTTTCAGCCGCCGCAACTATTACCGTAACCTGGACTCATCGCCGTCGGGCGAACCGCTTCGCGCGCTTAGGGAGCGTGAGAGGCACTGTGCCCGTCCTCGTGATGGGCTTTGTTGCCGCCAAAGTGCTCAGTGAACCAGTTGTGCTTCGTGGCGTGGTGCTCGTCGTGGCGCTCGACGGGATGCTCAACGTGATGCTCATCGTGCTTGGGCGCATTTTCGCCGGTCGAGGTGGCTCCATGCGCTGCTGTACGGGTGGTTGTGGCGGCAGTTGTGCTCGTACCAGTACTGGACTCCGTACCCGAGTCGACAGGTCTGCCGCTGGTCGTGGCACCACTGGAAGTCCGCTGTACAGCACCGAACTGGCATTTGCCCTGATCGAAGATGGCGTAGATGTTGCACAAGAAGCGGTCACCCAAGATGTCGAAGGGGAAGTTGCTGCCGCGCGACTGGCAACTGCCGTACGTGTAGCCGTTGCCAAGGTCTGCGAAGCCGAAGTATTCGGGTTCGATGGTGAAGTAGTTGCTGCCGACGGCGATCTCAAGCTTTGGGATCGAGGTGATTGGTGTATCGGTCGGGTAGACCCATCCTTGGACCGAGTGATCGATTTTCGCTCCGGGTAAGGCGCCGTAGAGAGCTGCGAGGAGAGAGTCTTCGAGGAGGCAGAGGGAGGTGCCTACAATCATCATCAGCGCTTAATGCATCACGGGGCGACGTGCAGTCGAAAGTCTAGGAGTGACGTACCAGTGTCCACAATGGCGGTGTTTCCGCTTCGACTTACAGCCTTGCCGTTGATACAAGCCGTCTCCGACTTCACTTCCCAGAACCCCTGCGAGCTATCGACGGGCGAGTACGCAGGTGTCGCACCGCCGCACGCATCATGGTCAATGTAGCCCGTGGTGAAGTAGCTGTTGCCACTCTGTCCGCTGAAGTAACAGGTGAAGAGCTCCGAGTCCTTGGGAATGTCGGATTGGCTGATCATGTTCACCATTGGCGTCTGCGCTCGAGTCGGCTTGACTGTGTTAAGGGGCTGTCTCATGCATCAGCATCCTCTGAGCAGGCCAATATGGATGCGCAAGCCTTACCGGAAAGGCCAGCCCACACAAGCCGCTTTCGGATCCTGACAAGAATTGGGAGCTGGCGGTATCTGCGAGCTCGATGATTTGGTTCTTAATGGTAATTCCACCGATGTTGATGTTGTCGGTGCCGCAGTTGCCGGAGGCTCCGCTACCATCCCCGTAGGTGATACTCCAGGTGCCATGGGTTCTCTGGAAGGTCGAGCTCTTGGAGGGATCGAAGATGCTGTTGCCGGCCGACTGTACACCTTGTTGCTGATCTGCCGGCATCTCGCTGCTGAAGACCCAGAGGTCAGACGAGCCGCTGTCGAATTGGAGATTCATCGTCTGGCCTGGCGAGCCGATCGTCACTGGTGCGAGATATTCCGCGTCGCTGACGTCTTGAGCCTAGACGAACGGTCAGCTGAAAATCAACTCGCACTGTTGGGAACTGGATGAACGTACAGTGACCTGCCCAGTCTGCCCGGTAGCAAGGTTGTGCTTGACGAGGGTGTGGCTCTTGACGGCGTAGCCCTTCTTCTTGAGGCCGACGGTCTCGAGAACGGTCTGAGCGCCTTGCTGCTCGATTTGTTGGACGACCTTGAGTGGACCTTCAATTGAGGGAATGATGCAAACTGTCGGGTCACGTCAGCGTTGGGTCTCACAGCAGAGCTGGCGAACACTTACACTTGCTCAGCACTTTGGCGTACGCATTGAGAGGAGTGGCCTTGAACGACGGGTTCTTGATAAAGGTCGTCCGTCCGAGGGTGTTGAGGTTGGTCGCCACAGTGCTGGCCATTGTAGAGTTTGTTGGAATAGGTCAAAGATGCTGTATTACTTTGAGGTATATTATGCTGGAAGCGGTGTTGGACGAAGAAGATGCGAGTGTTGGATTGTGGTGTTGAGTTGCGAGAGAAAGATGGGCAAATGCAAGATGAGAGAGAAGAGTTTGTGAAGGCAAGCAAAGCTGAGCAGCAGGGCTATTACAGGGGGATGAGTAGAGGCAGCCATGCTTGTGTGAGGTGTGATTGCTTATGCGTGCAGGCGGCAGGCTGGACAGTGGAGGTAAGGCTATGCCAGAAAGTACCTGATGCTCTCCAAGGGGCGCATGCCACTCGAATGCGCTGGATGATACTTCCTTCGATGTTGTTGAACAAAATCACGACGTTGCTTTGCCTTCGGATGAGTCGCAATTCCTATCTGAGCTGCTTAGGACTGGCGCCTTCCGTGCAAAGAACAGACTTGCAAGAACAACCGGGCAGAATGGTCGATTATAGGGCGGGAAGCTACGCCTGAGTGGGACCGATGGTTTCACAGTATGCCAAGCAGCAATCAATCGCACGAACATGCACGTAATCGAGCCTGATACCATCGGCCAATCTCTCGAGCAATGGTGTTGTCGTACATTGATAGACACGCCTGGAGGGGATCTCTGGTGATTATGTGCTTGAATAGGTTAGAACCTTCTGGTTACTGCTATTGAACATCGCTGCCTCCAGTTAGCATTCGTATGCTGCCAAGACTGCGCCACCCTGTTGTTACAATGCCACCCGCAATGCAGTTGACCGAATGAGCTCATGCGCCCTTTCCACCTCTCTCATCTTGCATGCCTATCACGACATCGGGTGCTTCCGGGTGATCTTTCTTCGCTCGAGCAGTGCTGTTGCGCTCGTCCGCCTGCCTCACAGCCTGTCCACCGGTATCTTCTGCCTTCGCGCTGCGAATAGCGTCAGCGTACGTCCAATCCTTGGGATCAATGTCGGGACCGAAGGCCTCACGACCCGTCCGCAGGTTGAGGTAATAGGTAGGGTGGTCAACATACTCTCTAGCGCGAGTGGCCTCGTATGACTGAAGATTTGGGTCTTTCTTGTTGCCCTTGTCAACAGCATGCTCTCTGCTGGCGCCCTCTCCCTCACCGGCCCCAGTGTCATGCTGAGTGCCGCTGTCGGTCACGGCGTTTGGGTTTGATGTGCTTGCTCGTTGAATACTCGAGACCGCGAATTGTCTCCTTGGCAGCTGTGCAAGTTTCCGATGGCGAAGACACTGCGTTGCTGTCAGGCGGCGGTAGAACGTCAAGAACTCGGACGGTGATGGAGAAGTCATGACTATGGTGATCGAGACTAGAGTGCGTGGAGTTTGTATGGATGATGTGTAGGAACTGGCAGAGAGCGAGTTTGAGCTGTTAAGCGTGGTGAAAGCACAGTACCGTTGCTCATGCAAACTTGACGCATGCTGATGATCAATGCCATCATTGAGCGCCTTGCCTCGGCGGCGGAGGAGGTGGCTTGTGGAGGCGGCATTACCCGCTCGGCAGATTTGCCAGATCAGATGTGAGAACGGCATCCACAAGACTACAATCGAGCAATGTAGAGATCGAAGACGCTTGAGCATGGCGACCATCGATCCTGACTTCCCGTGTTCACTGTATGCCACTTAATGCGGCGCTTTAAGCATAGATGAGTCTCTGACAAACGCACGGTAGGGTCATTCATATCCCCTTCCCAACCCGTCGTCTTGCCGAAGCTGCTCTACGCTCGCTGGCTGTTGATGAGGAACTTTCGCCGCTTGTCAAACGCTCTTTCAGCCTCACAACTGTCAACCAAGATAGCGCAGCAGACGCAATAAAGGACTTGACCATCTCCAGCAGCAGCGGCTCTAGTGACTCCAAGCAACTGGATGCAGCAACCACATCGAAGAGCGCCAACTCCGGCACCTTCGGCGACTTCACCGACGACGAGTCGAGGAGAGTCCTCCGTGTAGACTACAAAGCTTCCACAAATCGCATGCTCCGCGTCGCGGTCAATGGCTTCTTCGAGTCACTTGGCGTCATCATCCAGGTTATGGAGGAGCTCGACACCGATGTCTTGCACGAGAAGGGCCTCGAAAGCCTTGAGGGTGCCCAAGGCATCGAGCAAGGCATGACTGGAGTTGCCGTGGCTGGAGTGTGAGCCAACTAGGGCTAAGACACCTGCTTTTCGAAAGCACGTAATCTGGCTCATAACGTTGCACAATCGAAGCGATAACATTCAATGGGCGGCGATCCATGTGATCACTGAAGTCCGTCTGCATTTATTGGTACACCGGGGACTACACCGTCAAAGTGGCTGCAGTCACAGTGGTCATGCTGCACTTCTTCACTGCCTAAATCATGCACACAGTGATAGCTCGCCCGACACGAGCATCAGAGGGGCTGTTTCTGGATACCGCCGGTTGTTCTTCTACTCTACTCTGCTACACCGGCGCTCTATCGCCTTCGTCAGCCGCTCTGGGCAAGCTGTCCTTACTGGCTTGGCACACACTCGGCATATCCCACATTTGACTCCAATACCCCATTGTTCAGACTTTGACCATGTGTCAATGGATGGCGTACGTCTTGTTAATGCCGTGAAGCTCCGATGGATCGGTTTGCTATCCACCCGAGGCCTGCAGTGCGGTCGCGGCTGACAATACCCAGGGCAACCAGGCATGCTTGCGGCCATCCGCGAACCCGGCAGAACGTTGCCCGATGTCAGCGGGCTGAGCAGACACAACGCAACTGTCCAGCACCGACACCGATCGCATACGAGACGAGATGCCAAGCATGCAAGCTGTTAAGGCCGCAGCTTGGTAGCTGCATGGTCACCGAAAAGGTGATAGCACTGCCCATTCGTCCAAGCCTGCAGAACTTTATGAGGCATCTCAGCGAGTCCGCTGTAGTGACTTTGGAGCAGGAATCGAACATCGATGCTGAGAAGCGAAAGTCCAGCGCTGAGGTCGAGAAGGTGGAGCATGTCGGTACTCTAGTGGCGAAGTCTGCACAGTCAAGCACAGAGACTGGAACACAGACCAAGCATAACCCAACACTGGCATAGCTGAGATCCTGTTGCCGTGCCAATAGGTTGTGAGACGCATGTCTGATTGGCGTTCGGGGCATGGTAGCGGTAATGGTATTGACGATAATGACCACAAAATGGATGATGTTTCTCATACCGACCAGCTGTGATCTCCCGCCTTCTTTGCTGGCGCCATGCTCAGTTTCGGATCGTTAAGATCGACGAGCGCGCACTTGCAGTGGTGGCCAACACAGCACCTCATGAAGTATTGATGCTTTGCGGATGCATACGCTCAATCGGTGACTTCCGCCACAGCAAAGTAGCCCTTATTCTCCACTACGCCTCGATTCTTAACCACAGCCGTATATTTTACCACCCATTGCGGCTGCACTTCGCCAGTAATGCCAGAACTTTGCACTTCGCCATCCTTGCTCTCCTCGCCATGCAGACTTTTCCGCTTGTCGCCAGTCTTCGTCGGCTCCGCAAGCACACTCGCCCCGTGCTCGCCCGAGCCCAACAAATCCCGCACCGTCCCTCGTGGCAGGATGTTCGAGCAGTCATTGTGCACGAGCAACTCCACGCCGCGGCTCTTAGCCAACGCCATGAGATCTTTAGGCACAGAACAGCAATCCCGGAGGTTGATCTGGTCCACAGACGGTTTGATGCGAGTCCGGTCAAGCAGAGCAAGTAATCTGTCGTGCCCGAACTCCGCTATGCCCAGTTTCTTGACCAAGCCTTCGTCGTGCAGTTCCTCGAGTGTCTTCCAGGCTTTAATCTGTGCTTCCAGGCGCTCGGGCTCGGCTTCAATAGGACCACGGGTAGAAAGCTTGTCGGGACAATCCTCTTGTTCATCAAAGTAAATACCTGGAAAAGAGACGATGAGCAAATCCACGGATGGCATGTGAAGCTCCTGCAAAACGAGATCTAAAGCTTCTCGGGTTTGCAGGGCACGGTTCCCGGTCGATGCGCCGGGTAGATAGAACAGCTTAAGGGTGATGTCGTACTGCTCACGCTCCTCCTGTAACGCGGAATATGTGAAGTCTAGAGCAGGCACCTCCAAAACATCGCCTTTCTGTCGAGTCCAGGTCTTGTAGCTTGGCTTAGTCGGTGGAGGTGCCTTCACGCTTCCATTCGGATGTCCATTGGCTGGCAAGATTGCATAGCTCGCTTCGAAGTTGGACCGGAGCGAAGCAACCACCTCCGCATTGCTTTTGGACTTGGTCGGGCGATGGATGGACGAGCCGGCGCCCATGATATTAGAAGTACACAATAATAGCTTCATGGTGACTGATCACTTTTCTTCGCAAGTACGGATGCAAGTTGAGTACGCAAGAAGCCGACCCTCTTTCTCTATCCTCACTGCAGGGCAGGCATGGTCAGTATGCTATATACATGAAGGCAAGGAAGTGAGTGTGAAAACTGGATGAGGGACATCTTCTAACAAAGCATGTGCGTACTGGTTATGCAGACGAGATGCAGTGATGAAATGCACGATGCGATGCCGCTCCGCTCGGCACTTTTGATTGAAGTGGGGCGGCTTTTTTGTCCTTGGGGTTTCTCTTTGGCGTCGAGGCTTCACGCAGTTCTCTTGCCTGGAATAGTCGCACAAAGATGGCCATCAGGTACCACATCTACTCCCTTGTGTAGCAAAGCGGCATGGCTAACACAGTGAAGATACATCATCCTGCTCTCACGGCAGGGGAAAGTTGTAGGTTCCACCAGAATGCTCACTACTACCGGGCCAAGGCACAGGCTGATGAGCACACGACCAACAGCGCCTGGCCAAATGGTTCACTACACTCTCGCCGAAGGACAAGGCAAAGATCATCAAGGATGTCTCGCAGCTCGTGCTGGCACGTAGGACCCGAATGTGCAACTTCCTCGAATACAAAGGTAGGCTCGGTCACCCACCCAAATGTTCCCCTAGTGTGCTTTCTTATGTCCAAATTGTTGCACCTCTCCCAACGTCTCGGTTGTGCTGCTTCAGTCTAACATCCCGTGCAGACACCAAAGTAGTCTACCGCCGCTATGCCTCCCTCTTCTTCATCGCCGCGACGGACCCGACGGACAATGAGCTCATCACGCTTGAGATTGTGCACCGCTATGTCGAGCAGATGGACAAGTACTACGGCAACGTCTGCGAGCTCGACATCATCTTTAACTTTCAGAAGGCGTACTTCATCCTTGACGAATTGCTGCTGGCTGGCGAGCTGCAGGAGAGCAGCAGGAAAAACGTACTGCGGGTGATTGGTGCCCAGGACAGCCTCGAAGATATGGAGGTAAGCGTTTCAGTCACACTGGTTCCCTGGATTGTTGACGTGCATTCTACATCTTACATCTTGCCGTGGTTCTCTTATTGTACCATCATTGCTGATGCCCTCGCCTTGTATTTCTAGGTTGAGGACGATTCTGTTACGAAGATTGGCTGAGAGATGCACACTCGATCTATTGGACCTACTCGTGATTGCCCGCCTGGCCTGCGAGCTAGACCGTGCTAACCAGATCATCCACATCTTGCAGGGTACCGAAGAACTCGAAAAGTCACTTCGCGATTCGGGAATGCTTTGATTGAGGCTGCCTAGTACCTAGCTAAGAGGGAAGAGTATGCTCGCCATCGTATAGCGCTTGCATTATGTTGCATCGGCGTTGATGGCGTTCAATGGGTTATACCCACGCGGCAAGCATGATGAATGGCTGTTGTTTTCGAAGCTCGCCGCCTGCAATGTATGGTATGATCGAAGCCCTCGCTTCACGCAGGGCGGACGCTTAGATGCGTCCTTTAAACGTTCGACAAACACTTCGACGTTGTTTCCGCGCTCCCAGGGGGCCGCACTCCCATCCTGAGCGGTCACTTTGGTCGTGCCTTCCTTTTACGTGAAGCACAACTCGATGTAAGTTCCTTCGTGCTTTTACTCGTTGCGAAGGTGCTGAATATTGTCTTGTCATAGCAACTAATAAGTGTTGACTTTCGCTCTGGTACATCCCTCTGCCATTGTCACATTCACACGATCACGAGACAAGGGCGGCTCAGAGACAAGCAATCATCCGTGGGAGGCGTGCTACGAACACAAACAGGTGTTGGCTGAAGCTCTCAACAGCTGCCATCAGCACGAGCCAGCTTATCTTTCCCCTATTGGACGCTGATTGATGCGAACAGCTGCAGCTCCCACGTGATACAGGGTCCACGCCAAGCAGCCGGCCAGACTCCGCGCCCGGCGCATCCCCCATCTGAGCTTGGAAGCCAACCTCAGCGGGATCGCTGGCGGAGTTCGTCATCACAACAACTCACCATCCTTACTGCACCACTGTCGCCATCAACGCACAACGTACTCGAAACCGATTATGTCCGCACAGACAATCTTCTGAGCCTGCTAGGCGCGCGCAAGCAGCGTCTAGTAAACACGGTCTTCGCGACTCACATCGGCTTCCGACGGAGGGAAGTATAACCAGGCAACCTGCGAACATATCAGCCGGGAGGAGGCACGACGAGCGCGAAAGCGCCCGTCATCGTGGAAATCGCGACAGATAGGGTCTGTTGCTGGTCAAGACGCGAGTGCGACCGACGGAACTGCGAGTTCCGGGCATCGTTTCGCTAGATTTGTGCGGAAATACTTCAAGTACGGACGAGATCTTTCCCGAGCGTGTGCGAATGATATTGCGAGCGTCGAGATGAAGGTACATTAGACGCCCTAGGCGTGCTACAGTGGCCGCGCGTGGAGAAGGGGCGCTTGGCAAGCTCGGTGAGATCCGTTGAGAGCTTGCCGCGTCTCAGACTCGTGATACGCATCAGGTTCCATCACAGGAGTCTCCACGCGCGGCTACTTTGGCATGCAGCCTCCTGACAGCGCGCAGATACTGACAGTCTCGCAGTATTTACCACTTCGCGATACCGACATTATCTCAAACGCCCTTAACTTCTCCACGTCCGACTGTCATGTAATTGGAGGATGTGATATCTACACTACCAAGGCTGCCGGAAGCGACAAGAAGCTCTACAAGAACATCGAGAACGATCTCGAGTCGCAATATGCTACGCTTGTCCGACTGTCGGCTTCGCTCAGTCCGCCATATCGCTCGGCCGGTAGCGACGATGGCAAGAACGGCGGGAAGGACCGTCGAAGCAAGCGCAGCCGAACCGCAGAGGCGCCGGAGATTGATCTCTCGAGGGACTCACCCTTCGGTAGCCTAAGCCAGATTACTGCTCGCCGCACCTTCGCCTACTTGATTGCCACCCTGAATGCATCGCACCCGGACTACGATTTCTCGCACTTCCTGCGGCCCTCAGACTTCCGCAAAGAGCTTAGCCTTAAGAGCGTTATGCGCGTAGTGGACAGCACGCTGCAGAATCTGCGCCCGAACAAGCCTGCTTTCTACCTTGCGCCGCCCGTACTGTCGCGCTCCGCACCGGTCATCGCTAACAGTGTTGGCAACGAGCTGTGGAGTCCGCGTATGTGGGAGCTGCTTGACAAGGAGATGGGTTTGCGCGCGTGCGAACGGTACAGCTATGTACCTGACGATGATCCTTTCGAAGGCGAGACAGGCGGCAGTCTATGGGCTATGCATTACTTCTTCTTCAACAAGGAGCGAAAGCGGGTGTGCTACCTTCATTTGCGAGGTCTGAGTGTGATCAGTCACTCGCCGGTGCATGCGCCCGTAATCACTCGCTCGAAGAAGCTGGGTGTCGAAAGGAAGGTCTCGAGTGTTTCTGTCGGCGACGGCGCGGGCAAGCGCGCTAGTTATTGGCTTGGAAATAAGGTGCTGCAAGATGACATTGACACTTCCGGCTATGGCGACGATGACGATGACGAGATGTTGATTGCTGAGCCGGGTGACGATGAGGTAGAAGAGGTTCCGCATATGGACTTAGATGAAATTCGCAGTGACCTTGTGGATGGGTACTACTCGTACGACGCGAATGATGCGGACGAAGATGGTTACGATGACTACGATGACTCTTATGCGTACTCCGCAGATCAAGTGCGCCGCATGAGCGAAGAAATTGGGGAGGCAATGGAGATGTGAGATGTTGCAAGCATCACGGCGGAAGAAGAGCATGCAGGCGAAGACGTTTTCTGAGCGCCTGTATAGGGTGCCGAGCGATTACGAGATGAATGTGCTAGTGGGCTCACGGCGTTGTGGGAAGAACGGAAGACTGCTCAAACTTGGATTGAGATGACCTGTTGGAGACTGCTCGGTTAGCAGCCTGACATGCGCGCTGAGCGGCTGGTGGCGCAGCTCGCTCGGCGTTTGCGTGCCCTTTTCGTACCCTATGTATAATGATACCCGGGAATGCATGTGTTCAAGTCCTGCTATGACTACAACCTCCTCGCTCAGTGAGTGCTTCATAATGGTACATAGCCGCTGTCCCCAGCGCCCTGCAGTACCCAGCCAGGTTGAAGCGTAGCCTTCGTACGGTCTGCCCGGCCTTCAAGCTTGACATTCTCCAGCCCGTTCACACCGCTCTCCACCAGATGCAAGCAGTCGAAGGTTGTGAGCATCGTGAAGATAACTCCACAACGCCCCAGTCAACCCGCCCTATCTCGCTCGTTCCCACGGCCAGCCCGTTGTTGATCGCTTGCTATCATTGCAGAGGAGATCACATACCAAGCTGCTCCAACATGTTCCCGAAACGACCCCGAGGCGCCAGCGCGTTCTCCCTCCCGTCCATCGCCTCGTCAACAATGGCCTCGCAGTCGAACACGTTGAGCGCCGTCCAATCAGGCCCAATACTCAGGTTCTCGATAACCAATCCTTCCAGCCTCGGAAGAGCCTTGCATGCCTCCACCAGCTCCTCCCACATCGAGCAGGACACCGTCTCTTCCTCCGGATTGAGTCCCACAGACGCAACATCCGCCATAACCAACCCCACGGCACCCATTCCGCCGAGATTCAAACCGTACAGCTGCACCGTCTCAAGCGTGTCGGCGTGCCGACACAGGAAAGCCGACAGCTCCGAGACCTCCAGCCACAGATCCCGCAAGGTGAGGTTGCGAAGACGATCGAAATGCGCCTCTGGACCGACAGCTTTGGCCAGGGAGATGACGGCACGCCAGTGGTAGGGCTCGTCAAAGTTCCTGACGGCGAAATCTTGAACGCGAGCCTCGATGCGCAGGTCGAGCGTCTCGAGGCCTTTCAACAAACCAAGGTAGGCGGGCAGGCCGTTGCACCTCGCGACGAAGTCCGACAAGTTCGAGGTTCCAAGGGTCGCACAGCGAAGGGTGTCACTCATGTCAAGCTTGACCTCCTTGACGTTCTGGAGCGCGCTGCCTGCTTTGGCCTTGATGGTGTCGCCGCCAGCCTCAACAAGACCATCCCAGCTGAGGAGGATGCCCGGTATAGGGTACCAGTACAAGAGCGGTTCCGTGCACAGATTGGTCGTAGTCTCGACGCGGAAGGATTCAATTTGGCGGCCGCTCTGCATCAACGCGAAGAAGATGGTGCGTAGGGCGAAGTTGTTACGCTGTACAGTGATCTCACTAGGCGCGTAAGGGTAAAGCGAAAGCGCTGCAATTGGAGGCGGCATTACATTCGTGGTCTTGAGGCCGAGGCAAGCGTCTCCGTCCCAAAGCGCCCTGTGCTTCTCCGCAAATCTGGTGATAGCGATGTGCCGCAGGCGAGGAAAGGCCTCGAAGCCAGCTGTGACTTGCTTGCAGAGCGCAAGAAACGAGCCGTCATTTTCGTCGCCGATAATGGCCATCTCGTCCGCTTGGAGAGCGAGGTATCTCTTCATAGCCGTCGCTGCACTAGAACTGCCTCCTAGTTGCATCAGAGTCTGTTCACCGGCATCGCTATATCCGAGCCACTCGGCGCAGCTGCGGAGTTCGGTTTCTATTGCGCAAGTGCCACCGATGCCACCAGACGGATCGATTGTGTAGTGAAGCGTCTCCCATACAAACTCTGTCACACCTTTGGCAAACTTCGGGGTCTCCGCGACACGCTTCAGGCGACGTAGATAGCGCTTGCGAAGACCGACGGTAAGAGAGCGGAAGAGATGCGGCGACGCGTTCTCCTCGAAGTAGTAGTTGATGAGACGAAGACTTTGGATGGCAGGAGTATTGAGGTGCGGAAGGATGCAATCGAGTAGGTCGGGGTTGAGGAGGACTTGATGGGACGCGGACGGGAACATGGGGTTGGCCATGGTGGAAGTTGTGAGCTTGGTGATGTTGTTGTTGGAAGGTGAGTTACTGATTGATTTCGAGGCCTAATCGGTGTATGTGACTGCGACTGTGCTGGGGCAAGAGGCTGGATGCGGCTGTTGGTGATTGGAAACTTGTAGTTACTGCGACGTCTGATTGAGTTCTGGATGATAGGAGTAGAGACTGAGACGCATCGCAAATTATAAGCAACTCGGGCAACATTAGCATTGTGTTCTCTCGCTGCGGTCAATACTTGCACTCTGTTCCTACATTGTGGTCAACAAAGAACGTTCCCCGTTGACAATTCTCAAGGGCGAATAAAGAAAGCGCAATAGCGTTATGGGTTCCAAGTCAGCATTCACCGATGGGTGTTACGGTCCAGACTCGGTCGGGATGAAGCGTAGATTGTACAGTACCTGCAGCGGTCAATTACTCCATGCTATGCTCTTTCCCACGAAACGCCCAACATGTTCATACAGACCGCTTTCACTCATGATCTCAGACCGAGCAGGAAATTGCCACCCTGTCCGCTCTTGCCGTCTCCATGACCTGCTCCGCCACCAGGCAGATACGTCACGTTCGCATTCTGTGCCAACAGCTGCGCGACATCCTTCTGCGTCTCGATGCGTCGAATCTGGATCAAGCCGTCTCCAGACTTCTCCACAGCTCTGCTAATTACCTCGGCGGCCTCGCTCTCTCCCTCCGCGCGGATGACGTTTGCTTGCCTCTCCTGCTCCGCCTTCTCGACTACGAATCTCGCCCGCTCCGCTTCTTGCTGCGCAATTTGCTTGTCCTCGACGGCTTTCGTGAATTCGCGGCCGAAGGTCATGTGAGTGATGCTGACATCTTCCAAGGCAATATTGAAGTCGTTGGCGCGCTTGAGAAGGTCGGCACGGATGCGGTTGCTGACGGCTTCACGCTGGGTGATGAGCTCGGCGGCGTCGAATTGGGCGACGACGGATTTGAGGACTTCGTTGCCGATGGAAGGCAGGACACGCTCGTCGTAGTCTTGGCCGAGATTCTAGTCATGCCTGCATTAGCTGCGAACGATCGCCGGCGGACGGAGAAGTTGTACTTGATAGATCTTGGGCAGCATGCCCACTTCTGGTCGATGCAGTACTCGAAGCGTCAAGCTGACCATCTGCAAATCCTTGCTGCCAGTGGTGGTGCTGATGCTGCGGGGCTTTGTCCGGACATCGTACATAATCGCTCGTTGTAGCCATGGAATGAGGAAGTGCGTGCCTTCGTTGATGACTTGGTCGTTGACTCCTCGTACGCGATCGAAGATGACCTGCAATGCAATTAGTACCCGACCAACAGCAGACGTCTTTCATGTTCATACTGCTCGCTGGCCACCCTTCACATCGTACAGTGAGGCGCTGGCAAGGGAGAGTCCAATGGCGCCAGGGATGGCCCAACGATAGAGCTGTGTCAGCGCGTTCGCCGCCATGTCGTCGCCGTGATATGCTTGTCGGGAATACTGAGATGGCGACCACACGCAGTGACGATGTCTTCGCTATGCGCGAGCTTCATCCGCGGCATCTTCCGTCCGCCGACATGCCGCTCGCTAGCGTCACAACTTCACAGCTCCCGTCCAGCACGAAGAAGCATTGCAACCACTCATTGACCGTTTCACCTCACCGCAAGGCCATCAAATACACTCCGTCAACACGATGAGGCCATCCCAGATCCTCCGCGCCGGCGGGGCAGACCGGAAACCAGGCCGTACGTCGCACACCACCCCTACCGCACCGCTTCACCTCCCCATCATCCACTAACACAATGACCACTCTATAGAATACCTCGGCCCATGGGGTGCGCTCGGCAGCATGCCACAGAAAGGAATCGTCCACTACGGCATCTCCATGTACCGACAAAACGCCTTCGCCGGCTCCTCAGCAGCGGCCGTCTTCAACACTTTCCGCCGCACGCGCAACCAGATCTTGTACTGGTCGATACCCCTCTTGGTCGCGTACGAGACGATGCAGTGGGCTATTGAGAGGTAAACACAGAAGCAGAACAGTGGGAGTACTAGGCTGCTCACGCTAACGTGATTGCAGGAATGAGTTCCTCAACTCGAAGGAAGGTCGTGCTATGTACGGCGACTAGGCGAGACAGTTTCGAGTGGACCAGTAGCATTGAGCGACATGGGACAATAGATTGTGACTACTAGCGAAAGCCGATGTACAACTGACCCAAGCTTTTTATATCGCTCCGTCTCAATTGCTATGCCTGCTCCTCATTGCACTTTCTGCACATGGCCGTGGTAGTTTCATATGTGCTCCCAAACTACCACCCTCGTGCCATGGCTGACTCGGACGCACTGAGCGCAATGGATGGCTGTCTTGGAGCGGTGAAGTCTTCGCTACCCGTCCACGCCGAACTCTGCGCAGTATGGTCGCGCTGAACCAAAGCCTTTACGGTGCAACGGCTGAAGCATAGACTCACCCGTTGAAGGGCCTTTGCTTCGCCCTCGCCCAGGATGCATTTCTTCATCGTTACCTCGCACCCAACTTTTCCAACGCCCTCGAACCCTGCTCCATCCACTCCTGCTTACTAACCCACATATTCTCCTTATCCGCCATAATATTCGCTAACACCGCGCCGCCCAAAAACACCATGTGCCGTCTCCGCGGGGGATCCTCTATCCTAACTTTGAACTTACTCAACCGCTCCGGATTGCCACCAAGCACCTTCGTGAGCCACAACTGCTTGATCTCCTTCTCCATCCGAGACGGTAGGCCAGGATACATGCTGCTTCCGCCCGAAAGCACAATGGCGCGGTAGAGCGAGGATCGGATGTCGACGTCCGCAGATTGAATCGTGTTGAACAGGAATTCGGCAATGCCTGGTTGTTCGACATCGACGAGGTGGGGTTGGAAGAGACATTCGGGTGCCTCGAAGCGTTCGCTGCCTACGCGGATTACGCGGCCGTCTGGGAGGGTGTAGCTTTCTACCAGTACTGTCGTTTCTTCACTGAGCTTCTGATCTAATGCGAGGTCGTAGGAGACGTAGCAGAGCTTCTCCTTTATTGCGCGCACTGTCTCGAAATCCGCTGTTCGATTGAGCGCGTACCCTCTTCGTAGGAGAAGCGAAATGAGATTGCGCGTTACATCTCGTCCAGCGACATCCAAACGGCGGGTCAGATGGTTGAGCACTGTACTCTCGTAAACGGGCACGATATGCGTGACACCATCCCCCGAGTCCACAACCACGCCCGAGCTCAGCCCTTGCGCGTACAGTGCCAGCACTGCTTGAATAGCAACGTATACGCCACCGAAGTTATACCGCTCGAACATGACTTCGCACATTTGTTCCCGGTTCTTCAGAGGGTTCATCGGTGGTTCTGTGAGTAAGATCTTGCGTCCTGTGGGGTCTAGATGCATCTTCTCGAAGAAAGTGTAATCCCAGAGTTGTTGCATATCGTCCCATCGTTTCACTATGCCGTTCTCCATTGGGTACGTGATTTGCAGCATTGATCGTGCGGCTGCGGCTTCATCACCGCACATAATATCTTTGAGCTTGATATCGCTGTAGGCTTGCTCTTCGGTTCGTAGTATGGGCCGGCCGACTATAGAAGGGTATTGGTGGTCTGGAAAGTTCTGTACGGCCGGGAATCAGTAAGCTTTTGTGCTCGGTGGTTGCTGTTGCCACTGACCTGGCCAGCGTACCCGGCTTTGAGAAAGCCGGTGCCTCCATCGAGGACTGCGTATATATGTTAGCGTTGGCGTGGTCGTGGGATGTAGTAGGCTCCATACCAATGGGAACCTCTGCCATGCTGCCCATCTTTTCTCCTGCTCGAAGTTTGGTGACCTCTTGTTACCGTCTTACGATCATGCTTCTTCCGATGTAAACGGCCGTTAATTCATGCGACAGGCGCACGCTTCCATTAGGTGTGGGGGAATGTCTCTCGCGAGCGCTGTCGTCACCCCTTAGGCACCAAGTCTTAGTCAGCTCACATCCCCTCAATTTTCTATCTCTCCAGGTTCGCAGCCTGACCTGCTTCCCTCTTTATCCGGGTGGTATGTGTCCATATCATGTCCTACACTTCATCATAGCATACTAATGAACAACAATAGCACGGGCATTACGCATATCAATGAGGATTCGTCCGAGATTGCGTTTTTGCTAGTTGAAAACTATTTAACTGACCGCTCCTGTTGGTGTTCGGATCGGCAGGGAATCTTTGGAAACCCACAAACATCTACCATCGTGATTGACCTTTTCATCGGTTTTCTCTGCCTCGAAGAGGCTGGAGTCTGGAGTAGAACGTGCAACATATGGTAACGCAGCAGTGGAGCGTGGCATTCGAGCGCACTGTGATGATGTATCTGCTGGCGGGCTGATTAATGCCTCCTGGCTGTTTCCATTACGTTCAGTCATACATACGGAAGTGGCGCTGTGTAATCCTATAATGGCCTGCCAGCTTGCTGATTCATTAAACCATTGGCCTGATGACAAACGGCGCTTTGCTTCATCACGAAACGCCGTGGAGTGACAGGCAGCGCTTGACAGCGACGCGTATCCATCAGAACTACGCGCACAACGTGACAGCAATGGCGTTCTATATTCCATCACATTTGTACCTCCACTTCCGCTGATTGGCGTACGCGACGTATGCTGGAATTGCTAGGACAAGCGTGTGCCCAAGCAGTAAAGGATAACTGCAGAAGAACGTTGGCGCCTGGAAGTATTGTGAGTACTCGCGAAGCTGTGGTGCTTTATGGAAATATCTACGGCGCTGGCCTTACTGAGCCGTGCTATGTCAGACTTTACACGACTGGTTCGGGGCCAAGAGGCTACCTCGGCAGCACCGGAGAGCCCGTATCGGATGCGCGAGAAGGGAGTGGAATGCATGCTTCTATTGCAACAACGCTCGTAGTAAATGTGCAACACATGGACAGACAGTGATATCGCAGTATACAGCGGTGTTCGGATGTTGAGCGCGAGATTCCATAGTAGTGTTTAGTACTGTGCATATATCTTGCCGCGCGCTATGTCGTGAATTGCTGCTCGTGCGCCATCTCCACAGCGGATGGCTCAAGCTTACCGCGCGAAATTACACCGTGCAGCGCATCGTGGTATTTCGATCGATGACAGCATGCGATAAGACGTTCAGCGAATGTGTGCGATGAGATCATTGGACATGCTCGTGTTTCGCAAACAGATGTTTGTTTCCCACCATTAATAGGAATGCAGCAGTCTCGGCAGGCATTTGTCGGCCCCTTCCTAAAACTACCAATGCCTCGACAACGCTACTGCAGGTACGACCGAGCATCGCAGGGATCAGCTGCGCGCCGTTGACGTGCGCGTCCTAACTTTGGCTTCACTCTCCTCAATCACATCAGCATCACCACGCGATATCGTAAAGAGGCATGGCACATTTATTAGCCAGCCTTCGCATCATCAGGAGAAGCTTGGCGCAGCGAGTGCCGAGCTTACGGCGGGTAAAAGGCACACATGGCTCTCATTGTACTTCTCCTAATTCTGAGTTGAAACGGTATGATGCTTAGCACGAACGGCGACGACACGCTGCGCGTCGTGAAACTGCTTTCATGCAGCCGTATCCGATGCGTGATGCTTGGCGCTTCTTGAGGGTACTGGCTGTGGAAGGCTGTATCAATTCCGTTGACGCCGTGCTTCATCTTGCAGCATTGCTTGGACAATAGAGACAATAGGCAAGTGTGAAGAAAGTCATTCTGGTGACTTGAGATCGGACAATTTCACGATGTGGCCAGTGCATGGGAGGGTGTCCATCCAGGCCTATCCCGGCCATCCATTGGCGCCTTAGCCGAAATTACGTTCTGCTCCCTCTTGTTGCTCGCATCTCCCATTCCCGGCCTCATGCGTTGCGAAACAACACCACCTATGCTGTGAATGCCAGACACCTAGCAGCATTACCACCTGCGACGCAGACCCCAAAGCAATTCCACCCGGAGACGCTTCTATCGCGCTCCTATTCACTCCTTTCGGAATCAACCAGCACCACACGCGACAGACAAAGCCCACATTCCTTACTTGCACTTCTGCACATACACCTTCCAGCCACTGCTGCAACGAAGATCTAGACGCACATCGACGCACCATTTTGACCGTCAGCGCAGTCACGAGACAGCATACAGCAACGCTTGCATTGCGCCGTCTAGCACGGGGTCCATTTCTTGACGGTGACGCTTGAGCTCATCTGGCCGCCGTATCACCAACCTTGCTGGATAGACGCGAAACGCCAGACCGCGCATATTCTTATCGTGGCTTCAGTGTTACGCAAAGGAACCGTTCACCGCACCTTCCTTCCGAGCTAACACCTACTTTCAACGTCGACCGGATTCGGACAGCCTTTGTTGAGCAATGAGGATAGCGACATCATTGCTTTCTGCGGCGGTAGTCGTGGCCGCCGCGCAGCCCCATGGACACAGCCACCAGCACGCACATCTGGAGGAGCGCCAATTCCACCCAGATAACACCGCGGACGTTATTGTTGTTCCTGGTCCCACCGAGGTCGCGTACGTGCTTAATGGGCACGCCATCTCGGAGCAGGAGGTCGAAGAGGGTGTGCGCAATGGCACTTTAGTCTTCGCGCAAGACGGCGCCGTCTCTTCCGCTTCGTCATCGGCCTCATCATCCGTTGCTGCGTACACGCCGCCGCCGTCAACAACCAGCTCATCGGTATACGTTGCGCCTACGACGAGCTCGAGCAGCTCTTCAAGCAGCTCGACGCCAGTCTACGTGGCACCGTCTTCATCATCATCTTCAAGCTCAGTCTACCAGGCACCGCCGTCGTCAGCAGCGGCGCCAACCACTTCAAGCACTACGTACGCGGCACCCGCCACATCCTCCAGCGCTCCGGCGTACTCCGCACCGGGGTCGAGCTCTTCCAGCACCAGCAGCAGCGGCAGTGGTTCGAATTCCAACAGTGCTAGCACGAGTGGCGTAAACACGCCCTTCCCTGACGGTCAACTCAGCTGCTCGACCTTCCCATCGCAGTATGGAGCTGTATCTGTCGACTGGATCGGACTCGGTGGTTGGACCGGCATCCAATCACCAGGTAGCAACAACGGTGGCTACAGCGACATCATGACTCAGGACAAGAACACTTGCCCGAGCGGAACGAACTGCTGCCAGGAAGGTATGTTCTGTTCATACGCGTGCCCTGCCGGCTATCAGAAGTCGCAGTGGCCGAGTACTCAGGGCAAGACCGGCCAGTCTGTAGGCGGCCTGCTGTGCTCTGGCGGCAAGCTCCACCTTACCAACCCCAGCTTGACCGGCAACCTTTGCATGACTGGTGCCTCCGAAGTTACCGTGTTGATCAATAATACTCTGTCCAGCAATGTCGCAGTCTGCCGCACTGATTACCCAGGTACCGAGGGCGAGACGGTGCCGGTCAACACTCAGCCCAACTCAGTCAGCAACCTTACCTGCCCGGACGCAAGCAACTACTACACCTGGGAAGGCGGATTCACATCGGCACAGTACTACGTCAACCCGTATGGAGTTCCAGTTGCGGATGCTTGCCAATGGGGCTCCTCTGCCAACCCAACCGGCAATTGGGCACCTCTCAACCTTGGCGTTGGTTATACCGGCGGAAACGCCTGGCTTTCGATCTTCCAGAATCTACCTACAACGTCTGAGTTGTTGAACTTTACCGTGGAGGTGGTTGGCGACAACTTAGCAGGCAAATGCAGGTATTCCAACGGCCAGTACTGCGGCGGTGAGAATTACCAGACTTGCAGTTCGACGACTGGTTGCACGGTAAGTCAAGCGCTCAAAAGCGACAGCCACCAATTATTCTATGCTGACATTCCACACAGGTCTCGATGTCTTCGGGCACTGCGACCTTTGTCTTCTCCTACTCGTAGTCAGCGCCGCCGGCGAAGGGGAGTGCGGCACCATGCAGGCCGGCCGCGCCACACCATCACCACATTAACGCAGCACGCCGCCGACTCGAACATAACTTTTTTTCACATCATTACCAGCGCCTACGAATGTGCGCCAGCGGCACCAACAGCGACGGCAGTCTGGCAGGCTCACATGTGCATGACACCCTTGCTTCAATTCGTGTGGGACAAGCAGTCCTTTGGCGCCGACTGGTTCGTCGCCTGCTGGAACCGAGTTTCACGCAGTGCACATACTCTTCAATTCATTATGTCTACTGTTTTACCAAAGCAATTACCCACTGTGTTCGGGTGACGCAACGCATGCTGTGGGTGTGGCGGAGGGTGGTTGGCGACGGCTTTCGCAAGGTGTGATGGCGTCCTCTCCTCACGAGACGTCTTCTTGACTTGCATTGTGTGGCGGGCGTGCATATGCGTTGCGAATCTTTTCCTGATGTTTAGCAATAACCAGCTTCAGCTTGCCTTCACGTGGCGGCTGTGATTCATGAGACGACTGTGTGCCGTGCGAGCAATGGCCGGCATTGCCGAAGCTGTCTGCGAGGAAGGAGCGACGACTGTCTGCCGGTAGTGACGATCGTCTGTTGATGCCTTCCTTTTCAATAATTCAGATAGGGAGGGTGCACTGCTAATTGTAAATAATGTCTTTCAAGTTAATATTGAATCTTCTCTTGTGCTCCGCTTGAACGACTCTGTCTCGGAACGGTTTAGGTGTCCGAAGCCCGTAGCACCGAAGCTTTCCAAGGATCTCTATAGTGTGCAACGTCGGTTTCAGAGGCGCTTGAAAGAAGTCTACAGGCTTCATCACAAGAGACGCAGCCAATGAGTTGGGCGGCCCTATCACAGACCGTCTGTCCTTACAGCAAGCACTTATCCAACTTGAAATCCAGGGCTCGGCATCCTGATGCGACTCAGAACGAAGCCTCGCTGTGTCAGGCTTCTCCACGACGCTAGCAAACTTCAGGGCTATTATGCAAGCTAATGTAGAATTCGCTTCCTCCTAGGATTGGTTACTCCCGCTTCGTGTCACTTCTACGATGTTGCCAGCTCCAGGGGCTTTCCTGGACTTTCTTGGCAACGATTGCGTTGGCATCCTGCCCGGTCGGCGGGCGCAATCAGAGGGTAGGCTGTCGGCTGGAACCATGCGGAGGCAAGTCGATTATCATGAGATGCGATGCCAATGATACAGGCAATGCGGCGACACTTGGATCTACATAACCACGCATATCTTGATCCCACAGCATTTGATACCGTCGTCTTGTTGCTGCCCCGGCGGACCTTGCATCTGCATTTGCTGCTGAGGTTGACCGGCATATGCATTGGACGCGCCGTACTGCATCTGCTGTTGCTGCTGCGCGCCGGGGTACCGTCCGCCTGCAGCTTGTGCATAGCTGTATGACGGGTTACCACCCATTGGGTAGGCCGTCTGATAATGCGGCTGGCCGTAGTTCGGATGCTGCGGTTGTTGATGTTGCTGGTAGTCGTAGTGCGACATCTGAGGTTGTCCATGTCCAGCGCCAGGCTGCAATTGCACGTAAATGCGGCCTTCGTTGTGCTCAGTGTTGTACTGTAAGCCTAGCTCCTGACATACCTTCTCGACGCGAGGCTTGATCTTTTGAATGTGACCCGGGCTATGGTTGCCCTTGCCGACAATGACATGAAGGTGAGTCTGCCCGGTTTGCTGAGCGTAGCGGATTCGCTGTTCCAGGATCTCCTCCGCTTCTTCCACAAACTGCCCGTGCAAGTCAATCGTGTCCGACGCTACTTTTCCAACTGCATTGTTTTCGCGGAATATGAACTCGGAAGCCTGCTTGTTGTATGCATCGGCTTGCGCTGCATGCTGCTTAGACAGCTCACTGAATTGATGCGCACCGGCACCATCCCCCGCGTTGTAAGCTTCACTTGCCTTGGCCGCAAAGTGTTGATGTTGGCCTTGCTCCTTCCGCGCCAGATCCCGCAAGCGATCGTATTCTGCTTCCGAAGACGAAGATGGACCGTGATTGAAGGCTGGACGTAGCAGTTAGCAGGAATCAGAACCGCGGTTTCGAGGACATTACCTCCACCACCAAGCCGTGTCTGAGGATAAGACATACTCAGTCAATTAACAGTATGTAGCGAAGATGTTGGCAAGATCAATGGGGAGTAGAAGGGAGGAGTGCGGAGTACATGTATGAACTCCTCGACCAACCAGAAGGCTGGCGCAAGTTGCCTGATAGGGAATAGCGCGCCGTCAACTCCACCAACCTAGCCACAGTTGGCAGCCTCGATCACTACATGTACCCTCACCTTTAGCGGACAGCATTGAGCAAACTAGCGCTCCACGGTTTCTATGGCATCGCTAACTCAGCTCCCGGTAGAGCTTATCGAACAAATTATCAGCGTCTGCGACTTTGGTGGACTCAAGGCGCTCAGACTGGTCAACAAGCCGCTAAGTAACCTGGCTACGCCTCTTGTCTTCAAACACCTCTACCTTGGCTTCTTTCAGCGACACCTTGTCCATCTCGTTCATCTCGTGGCCAGCCCGTTGGCTAAGTACGTAAAGAAGGTTACATTATTCTCAGATGTAATACCTTCCTGGTCTTACGATCAATGGCTCCCACATATCGACTACCGACCCGGCTATCGCGAGTGGTGCATAGACGTTGGGCTCAGTCCCGATGACCGCATTGGAGTTCACGATCCGCTTGAAAGGTACAACAACCTTCCACGCCATAATTTTACTGACGACGACCTCGCAGCAGGCTGGACGGCATACCAAGCTCTGCACCAAGAGCAGCAGAGTTGGCGTCATGCTACAGAGAGCAGAGTGTTCCAAGCCGCTTTTGCTCTGCTACCTAACGTGGAGCAGGCAGCGCTAAAGTGCGCTGTTCCCTTCGAAGGGAGGACGAACCTTTGGCCCGTCTGGAAAACGTTACGACGGGAGACGCTCGTGGGGCCTGACGATTGGATGTTCACCCACGCTGCACACGACAGTCTGATTGACACACCTGAGTCCGACTACAAGCATGGTGGAGCTGCTCTCTGCCTGCTTCAAGCGATCGGATATCGAGGGCAATTCTCGGGTACTCACCATATCACCGAGCTCGAAATGCATATCACCCACAAGCGAGCCTATAGACAGATCCTAAGCGATAGTCTTGTGCCGGATCCGCGAGCGACGCTACACATAATCGATGCGGCATTTCTTCATTTGACCAAGCTAAGACTAGTACGACCTCATGCAGCCGACAGTGAGCTTGTCAGCGACGGCACTGCAGCGCTGGAAACAAAAGACCAACTTCTGTTTGCGAGGAATCTTAAACGTTTGGATCTCACCTTCAATGATGCCACTACTGTGTCCGCGGACCGCACTGGCACGATTGCTCCGCTACATCATATTTTCAATGTTCTCGGTGGTGGCCCGTATTGGTCCGGGCTTGCCCAACTCAACCTATCCACTAATGTCGAACCCAAGGCATTCATCGCCTTCCTCAATAGTCACGCGGATACACTGAAGTATCTGGAGTTAAGAGACATGGCTGTCAACGATGTCCCGGCAGTGCTTACGGCCATCCCCGCAATCCTTGCACTGAAACGTGTCTATTTAGAATGTGTGTGGCACTGGAATGAGGAGACTGACTCCATGACATGCCTTTTTGAACAAGGAAGCGATGTGTCTGCAGAGTTCGAGCGCAGTACCAGGGCCTGGCTGCTCAGGGAGCAGAACTTGCGACCAGATTTTGAGGCCAACCTCTTCCACGAGGACGCGGCTGGTGACGACGGCCAAACTACTGGGGGTGTCGTTGACGATGATTAGAAGGGTAGTAGCGATGAGGTCGCATGAATCGCTAGGGAACGGAGCCTTCATAGCGGTTACATGTGCCGGTTAGAGGTCATGATCGCTAAGGTGGAACAGTCTTGTCTCAGCGACTGCGCGAGCTCGACGTGCCACTCGACCTCAACATTCACAAGGCAAGTAATGCTCAGGCGTACCCGACGCTACCTTGATGTGTAGAAAGGAGTGCAACCTCCGGAGTTATTATACTAGCTGAGTTCATCGGGGATCACATCACAGCATATGGTCAACAGAACACCAGAAAGCTTATACACTGTACCACTAGGGACTAAGCTATGCAAAAGCTAACACCAGAAGTAGGGCACCTGCGTTCAGCCACAGTAGGGAACAGTTCCGACGCAGAGGTGCGCTCGACTTCTCTGATGTCGTTGCAGGTTTGCCGGCAGCGGTCGTGCTTGGCTGCGCTATGGTTGCAGGCAACGTCCTGCTTGCCCACGCGAGCGACGAGATGCCGGCGTCGATCGTTGCCATGGCAGTGCTGGTCTGATCAGTTGTGCTGCTGCTGTCATCAGATGACGCTGGCCCAACCGAAGCTAGGACGTGCGTAGTCGAAGAAAATGGAGCATAGCCGCCTCCAGCGAGAGTCGTGCTGTGGCTGCTGTCCTGGATGAACAGCCTATTGGATCCTTCTGTCAGGGTGGCTTCGCCAAGGACGAATGCAGAGCCACCTACACTGACGGTCTGACCGCTCACGATGACAACCCCGGGTTGGCCACCTGGACCATATCCTGTTAACATGTTAGAAGCAAGTGTCAGGGTAACCTGAGTGACCGGCTGAGTATGTCCAGTCCCAACCATATTAAACGTAGAGCTTCCCACGACAAGGACGTCGCCAACCGAAGGCTGCGATACGGCAACGCCAGCCACTGTGACCGCTTGACCCGGGATCAGCGTAGTGACAGCGACAAAATAATCATTACCAGCCTTCGATATCACTAGAGCTTGTGACAAGATAATAGGAGTTGTCGGCTGAATACTGGATGCTGTAAGCGGACTGTTACTGCCAGTGCCCATGGAAGACGTTACATCGTCGCTTGCAATCCCAAGGGCGTTGTGGTCGGCACTATTTGCAGCCACAATGATTGTTGTGGCGGCCGGGGGCTCCTGCGTTGCTATGCTCAACCATCCTCCCGTAATAACAGCGTTGCCGGCCACCGGCACTGCAAACACGGATTGCCTACTGGAGTCTACAGTCTGTGAGCCCTTTGCGCTAACAGCGACAGATGTTGAGCCCCCAAGCTTGACCGTCTGGTCCGAGGAGCCAATACTCGTAACTGTGTTTCCTCCACCCGGGCTTGATTGTGATAATGTTGGATCGAGTGCTGCAGAAAGAATACCAACTGCATTCACGTTTGGCAGCTCGGTTGAGGCGCGCGTTTCCGCATTGACAGGCTTGTCTGCTGGAACTGCTTCAGTGCCTGGAGTAGAGTTTATACTGGAGGTCCCTTGGGCTTTGGCATCAGCGCTTGCGTCAATCGCAACGCCTGCGTGCTGTGCCTCAGATAGTATGGTCACAGCATTCAACGCGATCGAGCTTGTTACCACAATAGCTTCGCTGCTCTGAGACGAAGCCGTGAGCGAAGCACGCTTGGGCGTTGTCGGCGTTGCCGGGTCGTTGCCCGACACAGCGCCCTCTGCTAGATTGGTGCTTGCTGTTTCGCCTGACCTCGCACCACTACTGCTTGCACCGATCGATGTATGGTCGTGCGTGCTTCTGGCGGCTGTACCATCCATTACGGGATCATCTGAGCTAACTGGAGTAGGAACGTTGGTACTTTGCGAATCAGAGGCCGCTGGAGTCATTACTGGACCGCTTCTGGCTGTCTGATGTGCATTGCTCGCTGGTGTCGTCGGACTACTGCTTGCGGGAACGGTGGGTAACGCTTCGGCGGTCGCTGGAGTCAGAGCCACGGGCGGATCGAAAAGAATGTCGCCGTACAGCGTCAGAGCGTCGAACCAGCATGATTTCCATTCTGTTTGCACGTTTGTGACAGCCGTAGGGTAGGCAAGTGCTGGAGCGTAATCATCCCATATGGTCGGGCAGAATGAGGTAGCCCATTGGTAGAATCCGTAGTCGCACCTCTGCTGACAAGAGTACACCGAAAGCGGAATCGGTGGGTTCAGATGCGCGAAGTTGATCTGAGTTGGCAACGGTCCGTACTCCAGCATTCCGTACTCACCACATACGGTGCTGACCTCGGCGGAGCGCAAGGGAATGATAACATTAGACAACGGTGTACCTGTGTAAGTGCCGCAACGGTCTTTGGCAGCCAGACTCGCAAAGGAGATGTATGCCGTGCCGTCAGTAAATGTGGTACCTTCCGCCACGACTGTGCTCGGTACCGAAGTGCTGGCATTGACCGTGGTGTAATTGTTGCCGCACACCGCATTGCCTGCCGTTGTGACGGGGAAATACATTAGCCTTACGGGACCTCCCTCGAACTGCGACATCACCCAGTCAGCTGGGGTGGACCAGGCCGATCTTTGCTGCCAACTTACCGTGCATACAGGGTGATCTGGCCAATGCCATTGGGATGGGTCGCCAGCAGCGCAGCCTGTGCTGTTGGCAGATATTAACGTGGTGCTGTGGCCTACAACTGGAGATGGGCAGGCTGGAGCAGATCCATCGATGCCGCTAACTGGTCCGTATGCGCTTGAGTAGCTTTTGTACGAAGACCATAGCATCGAGCAACCAGCAGAGTCGATACGGCACGAAGGCGCCGGCGGTTTCGCTGCGCTCCACACTGCTGTAATAGTGGGCACTGATTTCGTCGAGTGGAATGTCTGGGTAACATAGCTTGGTGATCCAGATGCGCGAGGGTAACGATCACATAGCGTGAATGTAGAAATGTTGGCCGGATAACTTGTGCTAACATTCCAGAACGTGCTGGTATAGTTGTAGTACGACGTCGTTGTGTAGCGATAATGCTGTGTATACAACAGCGACTCAAGGTTGCACGATGATGCCGATGCCCACGTACCATTAGACAGTCCTCCGGAGACCGTGCGATTCGTTGGATAATTGGGCACACCAGCGCTGACGCTTTCCGAAGATGTGTTGTTTGGTGGACTTGGGGCTAATGCAAGTGTGAGCTCCTTGATGAACGTCTGCGTGCTTGTTGATCCCGAATGACTACTCTGTGGTGATGGCGATACGAAACTGAGAAGCGCCGGTGCGGACTGGTTGACGGACTCTGAAAAATCGCGGATGCTTGCTTGCTGACGTTGTGAAGATTTAGAGGCTAATAACATCGGGCTGGGAAGTAAAGGCAGATCAGCGACCGCTACTTGGCCGATGGAAGTTCTCGATGTTCTGTTTTGCAAGGCAGACACGCTGAGTAGGACAAGGAGCACCGGAGCCAGAACGCTTGAAGGATGCATTCTTGTAACAAAAGTGATCAAAGTTCAAGTATCCCCAAGATATCAAACAAACAAACCAAAGAGAAATTGTAGGAAGTGGACGTAGCATATGCCGAGTTGACAACGAACGGACGATGATGGGAGGTATGGTGCATGTTGTACAAACGTAACGCAGTAGTCCTGATCCGATGACAGTGCGAATAGGCGTCTAGCGCCATCACAAGCTGGTTTGCGACCTTGACCTGTTGCTACAACGTGTATGCTCCCTGACGGCGAAGCGCGAAACCGGAGCGCTCTGATTGGCTGAGAGACCACTAAGCGCCATGTTGAAAGCCCGCTGTTTGAAGGTGCAGCCACGGGCGCTGATCTTGCAGTTGTACATACGCGGGTTGATACCGTCCTATTCGAACCGGTCCGGAAGCGTGCTGCGTATGCACAATCCTGTCCCTCTGCAGGTACCAAGAAGCGTGCGGTTGCTCGGCAAAACTCCGATGATACTCTCCGTTCGCTCTCGAGTGGCGAACAATCCGCACTTTAGGGCGCTTGCCACTTGTCGAATATAGTACTTGTCATTCATTGTTGCAGTGTTCCCAATCGGTCCGAGCCCGTCAACTCCCATGGTGGCGGGAGGGAGATGCGACGGTCCGAAGTTTGAGCGTCACCGCGTGGCGCACCTCACTACCAGAAACAGTCAAGATGTTGCCGTTGGCTTCTCAGCTCATTCGCCAATTACTGTTCGGAGAACGTTTACTGTTGTAAAGCGGTCTTCCACCAGGCATGTTTGCTGTCGATAGGGTCGATGTGGATAATCATGTTACTCTGCAGCCGAGAGTGACCGCACATTTGAGCCATGTTATACCAAGAACGGAGACGAGCCAGCTCTCGAAGTCGCAAAGCACACCTCGGCATGTTGGCGACCTCATTGCCCTTCATAGCCTGAGCTCCGCTGGCGCCACTTCACCCCACGTCAGATCAGCAAGTAAGCTCGGAAAGCCTAGAAATCCGCCTCACTTACGTGCTCCTCGATCCGAACAACCTCCCTGCCCGAAGCTTTGAACCTGCCGAGTGCCCGAAACACTTCGGCCGTCGTGGCAGAATCAGGATCTTCTTCATCCTGGCCCAACCGCTCATTCATCATCTCCAGCAGCATGTCATGACTTCCTCAGTGGTGACGTTGAGCATGATGAGATAACAGTAAGCCCGCAGGAGCTTCTTGCGCCAATCCTTGGGAGGCTTTCGGATCAAACTGCGATGGAGCTCGAGCCTCGAGCCAGAATCACCCTCACTACACAGGTGCTTCACGCTGAACCGTCCATGCGGGGCCGTCTCCCACCGCAGAACTGCGGATTGCCCACGTTAGGTGTAGAACCCCGTCCTCTACACGGAAGCTTTGCGGCGGACGGGGAGTGCCTAAATAGCGCCTTTACCAGGCCACGTGGACGAAGCGTGAAGCAGATCTTGCTCGGCACGGACTCGAATGCCGCACGTAATCCTGCTCGCCGGCCGCTCCAACGTTTCGCCTAGTCATGTCCATCTTGAACATTCTTTAAGAAACGAATGCTACCACGATGCGCAACATTCACTCGTTCTGCGCAACTCAGAGGTAATCCTTCTTCTTGCTCGTCCGGGTATACTGCGTCAGCGCCCATTCCACATCACCCTCCTTATTCTCCGCCGTCCCTTGCCTGATCTCAAACAAGCGCATCGTCATCCGCGGACCAACCTCCGCCAGCTCCACGCTCTGATAGCCCGTCTTCACAAAGACATGATGCCGCACTTCAATGGAATCCTCGATGTTCTTGAACGTCACCACCCGACTACCCAGCTTTGTCCCACCTTCTCGTGGTGGGAAGAGGTGCTGCAGGATCTTGACAACACGCTTCCCGAGTGCGGTGGTGAAGTTCTCAAAGATTAAATGCGGGTATGATTCGGATACGGTGCCGCGAGCGGAGTTGGGAATGTCGGCGCGAAGCACCACGTTGTGAAGGGAGAAGGATGCTGTCGGACCATGTGGGAGATGTGAGATGGTCATTGCGGTTGGAGTACCTCGATGCTCATGGAGTAGGATAACGTCACTAAGACCGCTGCTCTTTGCGCTTGAGACAAGGTTTGGCAAGACAAGATTGCCTCTATTGAGCCGGATCGCGGTGGGTAGCAGTAATCGTATCTCCTTTGCGAAGCTGCCGAGTCGACTGCTGGGATCCCGTGATGTGGTGACGAGCACTCTGGGATCGACGACGCCGGAGAGGTGAGCATACTCGTCGTCTAGTTCGAGCTCTTCTTCCGTGGTTCGATCGGCGCGGGACTCGTCGTATTTGTAGTCTTGCCGTAACCTCTTGTCATTGGCGATCTTGGGATCGAGCGGTTTGCCGGTGGCGAGGGAGGCTTTCAGTCTCGCACGCTTTTCTGCTATCTCGGCATCGCGAAGTGTTAGTGCGCGGCGGTAGAGGTCTGATTATGGTTCTGTTAGCACATGACTACATCTTGTATGGCGCTTTCTTGGTTGTACATACAATCGCGCCTCTGTCTTGCCTGTCGTCGTATCATCGTTGCATCGTAAAGATCATGTCTATACGAGAGGGAAAGGAAGGCACGAGATCATCGAAGTGAATGTTCGTTTATTTCACGCCTCTTCCCCACACGTCCGTGCGCCACAAGATCCCTGCCGTTTGCGCCACATCGATATGCACACTGTCGCGCCTTCTTGCAGCAACCATAACCGCCGCAAGAGGCTGGCTGCTCTCGCGATCGCCAACACAGTCAGACAGCCATACCATTGACGAGAAGGTGTATTGGCTGCGATCACACGACTGGGCGGGTTGGGTAAGCAGCAGGAGAGGTAGAGGAGGAGTCGAAGGCGGCTCAACCCCCGCCGCACACGCTATACCTTAGCGCAAATACCACCTTCGACCACCATCACCCAGCGAGGAGAGGACGCATGGCAGGCGCCTTTACGCATGTGGCCAACCATCTCGTCGGGGACTCCGCTTCCGCTATCAACGAAGGCGACGACATCTCCACGCTCGATGCCGGCGAGAGTGCGCTGGACGGCGAATATGGCCGCGGGAATCTGAACGGTGGCCCGCGTCGGAGACGGGTTGGCGACGATGATGAGACAGATGTATACGATGACGATGACCTGGAGTCACTGGCAAGTCACGCGGTGAACGGTGCGAATGGGCGAGCGGGACAGCAGCCAGCAGAGGAAGAAGTTGAGCTTCCGCCTCACGCGTGCGCATACTGCGGCATACACAACCCGGGCTCGGTGGTAAAGTGCTTGACGTGCTCCAAGTGGTTCTGCTCTGCTCGCGGGAACACGAGTAGCAGTCACATTGTCAACCACCTTGTCCGCGCGCGGCATAAGGAAGTCCAGCTCCATCCTTCCTCACCACTCGGAGATACAACGCTGGAATGCTACAACTGCGGCACGAAGAATGTATTTTTGCTTGGTTTCATCCCGGCCAAGAGCGACACGGTGGTCGTGTTGCTATGCCGGCAACCTTGCGCTGCCATGCCGAGCAGCAAGGACATGAACTGGGATACCTCCAAGTGGCAACCGCTGATCGAGGATCGCTCGTTCTTGCCCTGGCTTGTAACCACGCCAACCGACCAGGAGCAAATGCGTGCGAGACATCTCATGCCGCAGGTCATTGCGAAGCTGGAGGAGATGTGGAAAGAGAACACCAACGCAACCATTCAGGATCTGGAGAAGAATGCCGGAATGGACGATGAGCCTGCGCCGGTGTTGCTACGCTACGACGATGCCTACCAGTATCAGAACGTCTTCGGCCCATTGGTCAAGATCGAAGCGGACTACGATAAGAAACTGAAGGAGGCGCAGTCGCAAGACAACCTTATCGTACGGTGGGACTTCGGCTTGAACAACAAGCACCTCGCTTCATTCGTACTGCCTAAGCTTGAGCTTGGTGACGTTAAATTGGCCGTCGGCGATGAAATGCGCATCCGCTACATCGGCGAGCTTCGCGCGCATTGGGAAGGTGTCGGCTATGTTATAAAAATACCGAACAATGTCTCCGACGAGGTTACCATTGAGCTGCGATCGCGCGGCGATCACAAATCGGTACCTACAGAATGCACGCACAACTTCACAGCCGATTACGTCTGGAAGGCCACCTCCTTCGACCGCATGCAGCACGCCATGAAGACTTTCGCCATCGACGAGATGAGTGTGAGTGGCTATATCTTTCACCGTCTGCTCGGCCACGAGGTCGCAGCCGCGCCCATGAAGGTCAACATGCCGCGCAAGTTCAGCGTGCCCAACCTTCCAGATCTCAATGGCAGTCAGATCAATGCTGTGAAATCTGTGTTGACGAAACCGCTAAGCTTGATTCAAGGTCCGCCTGGTACCGGCAAGACAGTCACATCCGCCACGGTCATCTACCATTTGAGCAAGATCAATGGCGGTCAAGTCCTCGTTTGCGCGCCTTCCAACGTCGCAGTCGACCAGCTCTGTGAGCGTATCCACAAAACCGGCTTGAAATGTGTACGCGTGACGGCGAAGTCGCGCGAAGATGTCGACAGCCCTGTCTCCTTCCTCAGCCTGCACCGACAGGTCCAAATGAACGATACCAACGTCGAGCTCAACAAACTTCAGCAGCTCAAAGCCGAGCTCGGCGAGCTTTCTTCGCAGGACGAGAAGAAGTTTAAAACTTTGACTCGCGCCGCTGAGCGTGAGATTCTGAGCAACGCGGATGTCATCTGCTGCACCTGCGTTGGCGCCGGTGACCCACGGCTTGCGAAGTTCAAATTTCGCACGGTCCTGATCGACGAGAGCACGCAATCTGCAGAGCCGGAGTGCATGATCCCGCTTGTCCTGGGCTGCAAGCAAGTTGTTCTCGTAGGCGACCACCAGCAGCTGGGCCCCGTCATCATGAACAAGAAAGCCGCCAAAGCTGGTCTTAACCAGAGCTTGTTTGAGCGCCTGGTCATCCTCGGCTGTGCGCCCATCCGTCTGCAAGTCCAATATCGCATGCACCCTTGCCTCTCCGAGTTCCCATCCAACATGTTCTACGAAGGCAGCCTGCAGAACGGCATCACCATGCAAGAGCGCCTTCTCCGTAATGTTGACTTCCCCTGGCCCGTCGCAGACGCGCCGATGATGTTCTGGAGTAACCTAGGCAACGAGGAGATCTCTGCTTCCGGAACCAGTTACTTGAACAGAACCGAAGCTTCAAACGTGGAGAAGATAGTTACGCGCTTCTTCAAGGCGGGCGTGAAGCCGGAAAGCATCGGTATTATAACGCCGTACGAGGGCCAGAGAAGCTACGTGGTGCAGAGTATGCAGCAAACCGGCACCTTCCGCAAGGAGATCTACAAAGAGGTCGAAGTGGCAAGCGTCGATGCTTTTCAAGGACGTGAGAAGGACTTCATCGTGCTTTCCTGCGTGCGCTCGAACGACCATCAAGGCATAGGCTTCTTGTCCGATCCAAGACGGTTGAACGTCGCACTCACGCGTGCGAAGTATGGGCTTGTTATTCTGGGCAACCCGAAAGTCCTGGCCAAGCATCCGCTATGGCATTACCTGCTCCTGCACTTTAAAGAGCGCAATTGCTTGGTGGAAGGTCCGCTGAGCAATTTACAGACTAGCCTGCTGCAGTTCGGCAAGCCAAAGATGTCTTACCGCGGACCGCAACGGTACCAGATGGCGTGGCAGCAGGCGAGCCAGATGGCGACGGGGCCGAGAGTTAACGGCGCTGGCGGGCCGCCTGCAGGCAGAGGTGCTCCTGGTGCTGATGCAGGCAGCGTGGTGGGGTATATTCCGGATGATGTCTCAAGTGTGCAATCGAGCGCACTCGGCGGTGGTGCTGCACTTCCCACCGGCCAGTACCCGCCCGTCTTCCAGGGCTTCCAAGATACGTGGCCGACATTACCGGCTATGCAGCGCAATGGTCTCGCACCACCTGGACCCGGCACCCCTCACGCTGGTGGAGCGCAAAAGCATGCTCCGGCGAGCGTTGCAGGCGAGAGCGTTGCTGCGTCTGAGCTGACTGACGCTACGTCCGCCGCCAATGGTGTTGTGGGACAGGGCGGGGTGAGTCTGGCAGGTCTGTCAATCAACGATCTGAACAAGCAGGCTAGTCTCAGTCAGAGCGACAAGCTGCGGAGGTATGTGGAAGGTCAAGCGCCGCAGCAATTAGGACCAATTGGGGCGGGCAGGCACACGGTCAATCGGTCTGCGCTTGGCAACGGCGACGAAGACGCTAGGAGCGTGAGTACGGCGTTTGCCAGCCAAATGGGTGGGACGGGAGGGTACGACTGATTGAGGGGCACTTGATGAGGGGAGATGGATATGCGTATTGCGCACGATCTCAGTTCTGATCAGTCGCTGCAGTGCTCTTATGCGAAAAGTAATGCGAAAGAAGAAAGGGTATGGTTTGCCGACATAGGAACGCCACACAAGCGAGCGGCGATGGAAGGTGGCGTGCCTCCTGCAGAATTGCGGCAAGGGTCTCAACGACAGCTATCGCCGACGTTGAGACGCTGCGCCAACCTTCGCGACACATACCAGACCTCGGACCGCTGTCACGCACGATGCCCTGCTACGGTTGCCTCCCGGGATCGCCGTCCAGCTTAGAGCGTCATCACAACCCGCACCGGATCTGAACGTCCCAGCGTCACTCCTGCGCATGGTGTCCGACGACCATCCGCTACAATTTCATGGCAATTTCACCATCTGGCGTGCACGTATGGTATGGAGAGGGCCGCTGAGAAAATCAAGATTGCTTATGCGTTGTCGTTTTGTGCTGCGTTCTTACTATGTTTCCGTGTGGAGAGGCGAAAGAAGCTCAGTCACTCATTCAAACATCAGAGCTTGTGTTAGCAGAAGACGTCAGTCGTAGTTGAGTCACGCTCATTCAGATAGGATCAAGAAAACTTGTCACTCGTTCACAGCCGATTTTACCGCTTGCTTCAGCTTTATCCCCGCTACGGCAACCGTCAATTGCGGTTTGGGACATTCGTGTGTTTGGACGGCTCGAGAGGGTTTTGGCAGGGTTTATTTGCTTGCTTTAGCTTCTCTCTTCCGCGACTGGTGGTTGTTCGGGACCACACGAAGGGCATGCCCTACGAGCTAACGAGCAGGCTCTCCCGTCTCGCTGTCACCCGCGGAGGGACTGCTCGTCTGTTCCTCCGCAGATCATGGGTATGCACGTCGTGACCGGACTGCCTGCACGCGCGCACGCACACACGCACGCAGGACAAGCGCATCGCAACTATCCTCGTCGCAGTCGTTGTTCATCATTCTCGCGCTACGCCCGTCCAACCTTGAACGACAAGATCTGCACGCATCACACACCGGGTCAGCACAAAACACTTCTGGACCCCCCTTCCCCACCCAACACGAAAGCGTGGCAAGGAAAAGAGAGAAGAAAGGCTTACATCATTCCTCCCAACCCCCACCTCATCCTCCTCCCCCACCCGCACCCCGCCCACCGTCTCCACAAACGCCAACGGCGCATCCCCCATGACCTTGCGATACACATCCCCGACCGTACTCCCCTTCCTCACCAACACGCAATCGCGAAAGACGGCCGCGCGACTCTCCGCCCCCGTGCCCGCCTCCCCAGACCCAAACGTGGCGATATTCCGGACGGGGAACACGGGGACCAAGCCCAACATCTCCGCGGCGCGCGAGAGCACCTGATTCACCCCCGTCGAGCCAAAGCGGAAGAGCACCAGATCCCTCAAATTCTCGATGCGCGTGCGCAACTTGTCGTCCAACTCCTTCAACCCGCCCCCATCCCTCTCCCCCGCCGCCACCAAATCCTCCCGCGTCTCCACGAATTCGCCGCCGGGTTGATACCGGATGTATCCCTGCTTCGCGAGGCGGCGCAGGAAGACTTCGCTGATGGCGGAGCAGAGGACGAGGCGGTCCGCCGCCGCCTTCTCCATGCGCGCGATCTTGGCGACGTTCTTGTCGGCGTCCGGGTGGTCGATTTTGTTGAGGGCGAGGACGGTGGGGAATTTGGTGTCGACGAAGGCGTTCACCACCCGCTCCACCATCGCGTCGTCCCATTCTTGGAGGGGGAGTTTGGTGTTCACGCGGTCGAGCGTGCGGATCACAATGGCTTTTGTCGCCCCGTACCCGCTGAACTGGCCCTGGAGTGTTTCGACGGCGCTGGCTTTGACGGCGATGTGGCGTCTTTTCACCCCGCCCCATTTGGTCATCAGGTTTCTGAGGACCCAGCTGACGATCTCGGAGCGCAACCAGACGATGTCGACGCTCGGGTCGTACCCTCGTGTCGCTTTGCCTTCGGCGTCGGTCGTCCCGCTCACGTCGACGACGTGGATGAGCGCGTCGGCGTGACGCAGGTCGTCGAGGAATTTGTTACCCAAGCCTTTCCCTTGATGCGCGCCGGGGACCAGACCGGCGACGTCGAGCAATTCTATGGGGACGGATCGCGTGCCTGACATGCAGGCGCCGTGGTTGGGTCTACATCGTTTTTGGAGCGGGGGTGGCTCGCCGGGTGCTGGGGGTTGGTTGGAGGGGAGGGCGGGGCGGGAGCAGGCGCAGGGGATGTGCAGGTAGCCGATGGCGCGGTTGGGGTCGATGGTGGTGAAGGGGAAGTTGCCTATAACACACACACGTGCACCGTGGTGAGTATGTTTCGGAGGGGGTGTGGGGGGGTGGATGATGGAGGAATGGGCGCACCTACTTTGGCGGTGGTGTCGGTGAGGCTGTTGAGGGTGGTGGATTTGCCGGAGGAGGGTTTGCCGACGAGGGCGATGAGGGGGTCACGTGGCATGGTTTGATCATCACCGAGGGGGAGTGGGATGTGGTTAAGCACTGGTTGAGATGGATGGATAGCAGTATTCGATATTGAACACATTCATTATTCGATGAACGATATGCAATGCGGCTCCTTCCCGTTGCGCTTGTGAAACAGCGGGAGCATCATGGCTGGCGGCGGGCAGACGGGAAGCTTAAGCAGTCTCCGTCACAGATGCAGATGCGGATGCAGGTGCAGGGGTGATGGCCGGGAGAGCGTGGGATTGGATTGGACAGAGTTGGAAGGGTCGCTGCAACGAACGAATGCGGTGAATCCTTCCTGTTCCGTGCGTTTGCGAAGGAGAAGACAGCTTCCCCAATAACAATAATACTCCTTCTTCCTCGTCTCCCATCTGTCAGTGTGTGTGTGTGTGTGCGTGTGAGTGAGACATTGATCGCTGGCCCGCTGTTCCGTCCGGCGACAACAAGACTGAGAGAGAAACTTGCCGGCTTCCGAAAGTGAAGGGGCAAGGGAGGGCACGAGGCGAGGAGGTGAACGTGCTCACGGCGGCACTCTTGTTGCCGGTCTGTGCTCTACATCAAGACTGCAACGAACGACCCTGGGAGGATCTGGAGGGCAAGAGCGAGACGTGTGAGTGTCCGTGACCGAACGCCACGATTTTCCAACGTTCTCCCCACACAACATCCGTCCCCAGCCCACCGTTCGGCATCGTTCCTGCCCCCATTGAAGGGTACATCTCCGCCGAGAAAGCAGTGACGGCAAGGGAGGAACGTGTGGGAAGTGCGGCCTCGCCATTGAATTAACGACCGGTCGTGATGGAGGGGAGATGGTGAAATATGCCCCGGGTGGCTCTTTCCTCAATTCAGCACCGTAACCAATTAGCATATCTGGCGGAGTGGTGGAAGAGGGGTGTGTGAAAGTGAGACATGGACATCGCAACGCGGTACCAGCCTCGGGTCCGGGCTCAGTCATTCCTCGACCGGGAGAGGAACGCGATGCCGGATGATGCGGTGGACGAGCGTACGTCTCTCCCCAACACCACATCACCCACCACCACCACCACCACCACTACTACCACCACCCTTCGAGCATGTGTTGACACGCTCCATGATGCAGCCTCCGAGCATAGCACCCGCCGCAAATTCCAGCGAACAGCGGCCCATGCCGACACCGATGCCACCTTCCGCAAGCCTTCCCTCCCAGCCTCCGCCACGAGACCGGCAGCGGGTTTGGAGCACCGGCCCAGTTTCAGCAGCAGACGGAAGAGCACGCTGCGGGAGAATGTGAGGGTGCCGTCGGGGCCGCGGGAGTATCCCAGTCCGGGCAAGAGGTGCGTTTGCCCATCGGCCACATGCAGTAGCCATGTCTCGCGATCACGCACTCGGTGACTGATGTGCAAGTCTAGGCTGGCAAGCACCTCCTCCTCCTCAACCGCCGCCCCTTCTCCAAACGAGTCCAACCATAGCAACACCACCACCCGCCGCCCCTTCCCTTCATCCACCTCCTCCGAGCCCTTCTTCACCAACACGCAGGCGCATCCCGCCAACGCCGACCTCCCCGCCTTCTCCTTCCCCAACAGCAACAGCAACAGCATCGGCAACATGCACGCCTCCTCCAACGAAGACACCGACTCACCCACCACCCCTGCCGAACGTGGTCCTGATGGATTCGGGATTATCCCCACCATGAGCTTTGACGACTTGCAAAACAGCCTTACGGATCCGAACTGGGCGAGCCCGTTGTTGGCCGATTTTCCGTCGGTGAGTGGCGGACGGGCTTTGCCGAAGGAGCAGTTGCCACGGGACAGGCTGAATGATACGATGGCCATGGCGCGGAGTAATGGGTTTGCGGGTACGATGGTGAGGGCGGAGGAGAGAGGTGGGGTGGAGAGGGTGTCGAGTTTCCATCGCAGGAGGATCAGTCATGCTCCGGCGAAGATCAACAACAACAACGTACAGCCTACGTCTGGCATGACGGCAAACCAAGGCTCTGCTGCTATGGCTCAGCCTGAGATGTCGATGAGGACAAGGAGGCACGGCAGCACGCAGCAGACTGCAATGAATCCTGCTCCTACACAACCATCGACCACTGGACCCGCATCACGACCGTCCAGAAAGTCCGTAGCACCACCGACCCTCGACGCACCAGCCCCTCTCAAACCCGCCCTGAGCCGCACAAGCAGCCTCAGCAGCAAAGCCCGACGCACCACAATCCTCCCCAGCGCCTCAGCCGGCGACGTGCCACGCTTAAGCACCATCAACAACCCCAGCTCCACCACCACCACCACGACACAAACCCGAGCGAACAAAGTCAAAAGCCTGCAACCCCCACCCCGCCAGCACACAGACCCGGACACACCCACCCAAACCCCAACCAACCCCCGCCACGTCTCGCGCGAACGGCAACACCGCGCCAACACGCCCTCATCCTCGGGCAACAAACGGCAATCCGGCGCCGCGTCGGGCCTGGGCGCGCGAACGATCTCTCCCACGGATGCGAGAAGGTTGAAGCGGATGTCGATGATGCAGGCCCCGCCCATGCCCACCAACTTCCCGCCACCACCGCTGTCAAAGGGACCGCCGACGCCGCAGGACGAGATCGAAACGAATCCCTGGGTCCAACCCGAACTCCCGCGCCTGGCGCAGCAATCGCCTAGTCTCATCCCCTTGCGGAGGGTGGAGTTCCCGGTTCCGGTTCCGAGTTCGGGTTCGAGGTCGACGTCGACGTCGACGCCCAATTCCGCTCGTACGAGTCCGGAAAGGCCGTTTTATAACGCTTCGAGCAATTTGAATCACTTTGCCTCTTTCACGCCGGGAACCGGGTTACCGCTGTCCCTGTCGTTGAGCGCGAAGAGTAGCTATCAATCCCTTGCCAGCGCTGCGTCGGCGTCGGCGTTAGTGACGGGGTTGGTGTCCGGGTCCGGGTCCGGGTCCGGGTCGTCTTCGCGGCTGCCGACGCCGAAACCTAGGGGTGGGAACGGTACTACTACACAACCACTGCAGAAAACACCAGTGGATGAAGGAGTTCGAGAGTTCGTCCCGCCCGTACCGGCGATCCCGAAGGCGTATGAGTCCCCGCGAGAGCAGTTGGAACAGCATCAGGCTTTTGATTTCGGGGAGGGTTTTCGTGGCCATGAGTCCTCGGCTTATACCGATCCCGCCATGGAAGGGCTGGATTTCGAGCTCGGTCCGCCTGCGCAGATGGCGCAGACGGGGTTCACGCCGCCGAGGGGCAGTCTGGATGTCCCGAGGCCTTCTGAGACGATCAGGAAGCGGTCGGGTGAGCTTGCTCGCGTTCGTGGGCATGGGAGTGGGAGTGGGAATGGGCATGGCCATCAGCATAAACGCAGCGTCACGGTTGCGACGGGGAATCCTTCTACAGCTACAACGGCGGACGACGCGACTCGCGCGCAGACGCAGCAGCAGCAGCACCAAAACGACGACACGGGCACGACTACGAATACGGGCCTGCGCAATCGCAACGCTAATCCTCAACTCCAACCCCTGCGCCTACCGCCATTTAATCTACAGCCGATTAACACGCCGACGGCGAACAGAACCTCGCACGCGTTTCCCCGGCCGAGCCAGGAGGTGGAGGAGGGGCGGGATAGGGATGGCGATGACAACTGGTTCGGGGCCGGGGGAGGTGAGGGTGGGAGTGATGTAAGAACGCCGGAACCTTCACGCCGCATGGCCAGGACGCCGGGGACGCCGATGACGGCTAGTAAAGCTACTTTCTTCTCGCGCGCGCAGCAGCTGCAGGGTGGGAAGGGGTGGGGAGGGGAGAAGGGTGTGGGACTGAGGAGTGCGAGTAGTCATTATGCTCTCCGCGATCTCGGTACCGGCGGTGGGGGAGACGGTGGGTACGATTTGGGTTCCGCGGGCGCGAGGAGTACCTTTTTCGACGACAGTGACCTGGACATGGGCATGCCGATCCCGATGAGCAAGCAGCGCCAACAGCAGCAGCAACAGCAACAGCAGGAGAGGTCGGCGATTACGCCTTTCGCGTCGGGCTCGCTGCCGAAGGGGTCCGGGGAGTTTGTGCGCGCCGGGTTGAGGAATGGAGGCGAGTATGCGTACGCGGATGAGTATGACCTCATGCTGCGGGATGGGTATGAGAATATGGTCCTGCATCCCGCTGCGAAGCCGTCGGGTCCGAGGCCAAGGACTAGCGGCGGCACGACGGGGACGAGTGGGAGTGGTGGGAAGAAGGTTGGGCCGGGGCCGGGGACGGAGACGCCGAGTAGTTCTCTCGAAAGCCCGGTCGTGGAGAGAGGGGCCGAGGGGCAGCTGCAGCCGAAGAAGGAGAAGGAGAGTACCGGCGCCGGGTTGAGGAGGAAGTTGAGTTTGGGGTGGAGGAGGAGTTCGAGCAAGGCTGCTAATAGTCATGTGGAGAGTACGAAAGAGAAGGGGAGTCCGTTGCAGGGTGGTGAGGCGAACGGGGAGGCGCATCGGAAGGAGGGCGCGAAGGTGGGGAAGAGGGGGAGTGAAATGCCGCCGCCTAGGCTGCCCGCGAGTGCGACGTGGAGTTCGTTTGCGAGTGGGGGTGGAGTGGAGCAGGCGAACGGCACGGCAGCGACGGCGGTGGGTACGAGACCGAGTCTGGATGGTTCTGCTAGTACTGGTCACGGCAGACGGAAGAGCAGCATGCCATTGTTGCAGCAACAGAGCAATGGATACGGCGATCCCAGCGAACCTTCCGTCCCGACAGCGACAGCGAAGACCCGGGCGATACATTCCGAGCAGCCGCTGCCTGCCGCTGGTACTAGGAGTAGCAGCTTCGGCCCCTTGACCACCAACGGAGTCAACTCCTCTCGTGCGGCCGCCGTAGGCCCGATCGGCAAACCCAGCATCCTTTCCGGCGGGAGACAGAAGTTTACGCCCGCGACTCTATCGGCTTTGGTGAAGGATAAAGACGATCTTGCCGCGGACGAGGAGATGCGGAAGCTGAGTCAGAAGAGGAAGGACGTTGATTCCGCTGCGCGGGAGAGCGAGGAGTTGAGGAAGAGGGCTGTACCGCGTGTGGGGATGGGTGTGGAGGATGTGTTGAGTGGGCGGGTCAGTGCGGTGGGGGGCAGCGCGCTGAATATCTTTGAGCGGGGGGAGGTGGTCGACTACGCTCGCGAATCTGGCGATGGGGGTGCTGATGGCGGGATCTATTTCACCGGCACCAAGGCCGCGAAGAAGATTATCGGCTCGCTGACCCCTTCTCCCACCGCGTCGTCCGCTTCGATCTCGATGAAGGAGGCGGCGAGTCGAGGCAATAATTACGGTTATGATGATGAGAGGGGTGATTATAACCTAGTCATGGGCGACCACTTGGCGTATCGGTATGAAGTCGTGGATGTGTTGGGGAAAGGCAGTTTTGGTCAGGTGGTGCGGTGTGTGGATCACAAGGAGGGTGGGGTTGTGGCGGTGAAGATTATCCGGAACAAGAAGAGGTTTCATCAGCAGGCTTTAGTGGAGGTGGGGATTCTGGGGCGGTTGGGGGAGTGGGTGAGTCAACTTCACCGCATTCAGAATATATGTGATGGGACTGCGACTGACTTGAGTGTGAACATGTAGGACCCCGACGGCGCCCACGCCACCCTCTCCCTAATCAGCTCCTTCTACTTCCGCTCCCACCTCTGCATCGTCACCCCCTGCCTCTCCATCAACCTCTACGAGCTCATCCGCGCCCACAACTTCACCGGCTTCCCCCTCCCGCTCATCCGCCGCTTCGCGCGCCAACTCCTCGCCTGCCTCCTCCTCCTCCAATCCAAACGCATCATCCACTGCGACCTCAAGCCCGAGAACATCCTGCTGTGCGAAGCGCGCAAGGCCGACGTCCGCGTCATTGACTTCGGCAGCAGTTGCCGCGAGGAGGAGAAGGTGTACACGTACATCCAGAGTCGCTTCTACCGCTCCCCCGAGGTGATTCTGGGCAGTGTGTACGGTTTGGGGATCGATATGTGGAGTTTTGGGTGTATTCTCGCGGAGTTGCTGACGGGGTATCCCATCTTCCCCGGGGAGAACGAGCAGGAGCAGTTGGCGTGTATTATGGAGATTTTTGGCCCGCCGGACCGGCATTTGGTGGAGCGGTGCACGCGGAAGAAACTCTTCTTCGATTCGGTCGGTAAGCCGCGCGTTACCGTTTCTTCGAAGGGGAGGAGGCGTCGGCCGAGTTCGAAGACGTTGCAGCAGGCGCTCAAGTGCGAGGACGAGGCGTTCGTGGATTTCGTGGCGCGGTGTCTGCGCTGGGATCCCGAGCGGAGGATGAAGCCGAGTGAGGCGGTGGGCCATCCGTTCATTACGGGCACGCCGTGGCATTTGCGCAGCCATGCGCAGGGAATCCCGGAGGAGGCGAGGAGGCCTGCGACGAGGGTCAAGAGTTCCGGGGTAGTGCCGGTTACTACCAACGGAGCGAGTAACACTAGTCCGGTGAAGAGGGCTGCGACGGTCGGGAACGCGTTCGCGCAGCAGCATCACCAGCTGCAGCAAACGCCGGCGAGGGACCGGACACGCGCGCCAGAGACGCCGCAGACGGCTGTCCGGAATGGCAGCTCCACTACGACTACGACGTCTGTTTCGACTACCACGACGCTGCAAGGCTCCCCGTCCAAGCTCAATGCGGCACACCGGAGACATAGCACCATTGCTTCTGCTGGCAGTGCGGCGGCCGTGGCGGGCAGCAAGAGGGCTAGCAATGCCGTTACGCTGGGTAGTGTTGGTGTCACGGCTGCGGCGGCACAGAGGATGGGTTCGGTTGCCAATCTGGCGACGATGGCGGCTAGGGAGAGTATGGGCGGCGGTGGCGGCGGTGGGCAGAGTGCTGTTGCTGCGCGGTGGCGGAGTTGATGCTCGAGCCTCTCAAGCGACTTCGATTCGCAGTCGGAGGGTCTGCATTTGCGTTGTACTTGCATTTTGACACGGGCAGGTTGCTTGCGCTGGGCGCAAACTCATTGCATCATGACCAACGGCCGTTTCGCCGATGGCGAAATCGGTTATTTGCGGACAAGCATGGCGGAACTACTGGGTATGCGCATGTGGGCTGCCTGCCTCTTGAGGCTGGCTGAGATGAGAGGTATGTAGAATTAAGGTACCCGACACGCTAGGTCCGTTGCATTGTGCAACGCTGTACGATCTACCTGCTGCCCAGATTTGGCATCTGACGTGCATTTGCATGCTTGCATTGAGTCACCGCGAGAAGGGTCCTCTCGTCGGGCTGGACGGTGGGAACGGGCAACATCCCCTCCGACCCACTGCGAACGTTGTTAGCCGTCCTAGTATGCTACGATCGAGCCTAATGGTCTTTAGTCCGTCAGAAGAACGAGCGCCTTCACAAGTCAAACATATGTCTCAAAAGAACTGCAGTAACTTGTCAAGCGAGACTTTCGCCATCGCTGTCGAGCAGATCATATATGTCTCGCTCCTTCCGCGCTTTGACCTTCCTAGATGGGTTTGTTGGATACTTGAACGTGCCGTCACCGTGTTTCGTTGTTGCATAGCTGGTCTGACGCCGCTTAGAAGTAGAAATGGGATAAGCTCCTTTCTCGGCGTGGATATTCTTGAGCGTAGCATCGCTCGTTGCAGGCGGTTCACTGTCTGGTACCGGTTCGCGACCGCTCCCTGTGTCAGCTTCAGCCCTCAGTGAGAGCTGCGGGCGGTCGAGATGGTTGTTGCTGTTCGCCATCAACGCAGACTTGCGTCCACCGAGTATAGTGAGCTGCTCACTCAACGTACTCGGGGTGAGTCCTGCACTGTCGGCGTGTGTGGCATTTGCGGATGTGCCGAGCCCGCTCGTAAGGTTCCCCGAGAACTCCGTCGTAGCGACGTCTTCTGGCCTCTCGTAGGCCATTCGTGAGGCGTTCGGACGGCTCTGCGACAGTCGGACGCTCGAGTCGTCGCCACTGCCGATTATGAACTCCTTCCAGAGAGCGTCGTCGTCCTCGTTTACTGCGGGCTTTTCACGAGGTCTACTTGGTATTGTTCCCTCCGCTAAATGCATGATATGCTTCAGAGATGCTGAAGGCGGTTGCGTCTCTGTCAAGGAGCTGGGCTGGGTGGTTGCGATGAAGCCTGGTGGTTGCCCCTGCGTGCCTACGCCTCGTGGGGTTGACATATATTGCTCGTCCTGTTCTTCACTCTCCGGGAAATGAGGAAGCACTTTGATATGTTGCCTGCTAGCGTCGCTAAGATGCTGGCTTGAAGATTTGACTGCTGCCAATGAAGCATGGCTTGAACTCTGCTGCGGAATGTTCAGGAGGCGCCGCCACACGTCGTCCTCGTTACTGTCGTTTTCCTCATGACCGGCGTTAGGTGTTGGGGCTACTGGAGGGTCGTGAGCGTTGTAACAATTACTGTGGTTCATGGGCAGATTTTTCGACCCTGCCAAGTGTGAGTTTGCATGTACTACACCGAATTGCCTCACCGTAGTAACCGGGCCAAGTTGAGACTCTGCCGCCCGGTCTCGGGTGTCCGCGGCGTGAAGATGGTCAAGCGGTCCGTGGTGTTTGCTGAGGATTGAAAGATCACTACAGCGTACGTTGTCGCTCCGCATGACCTGAACAAGTGAGCTGGGACTTGCATCCTCAGACGAGCCCAATCCAGGTAGACTCGGAGTAGCATGAAAAGAGAGTGCGTCCACTTTGTCCCATACACGCAACGGAAGCTGCTCGGTGGCAGTGACATTCGCCATGGAGTATGCGCGCTCCGCAATATCGCACTGCGCCATTTCATCTTCGTGAGCGTCCAAGAGCATGGATTCCTCCGACAAGGAACCACATTCCGTAGAGAGATGTCGCATGCTCGTATTTACGGGCGTCCGCGAGCGTTTTGAAGCCTGAGTCTGGCTTGCTAGAGCCGCGCTTCCGATTTTGATTTCTACATTCTGAGGCGGCAGCGCACCACTCATCATATAGTCTGGTCCGATCAAGCGCTTCTCGAAAAGCGGACTCAGCAAACGCTGCTGAGCTTGTTTTGGCCGCGCACTCTTGTCGAGCTTGCGACGCTTACCCACGCGGTCTTTGTCTAGGATGGAAGTGAACTGCATGTGCAACGGACGGACCAGAGACAAGCCTAGCCAGTCACCTTGAGCGAGGAGCCTATGCCGACCATTCTCTAGCCGCTGGTCCTCAGTCTGTACAGCTTGCTGAATGGGTGACCTTACGTGCGGTAGACGGCTGTGCGGTAAACGGCAGTGCGGTTCGCGGATATGAGAGCGTCCTTCGCGAGCATACGGTACGGTCGGGGAGTGGGCTGTCACAGCTGACGTTCTATAATGTCGACCAGTGTGCTGAGTGGCTGCCGACGGCTTGCTACGATTATGAGATCCGCTCGCACCATAGTCAGCAGAGGGCCTTCGAGTGCCTGACCTCGAAGCCCAGGCTTGACCTGCTACGTCCCGGAGGCCGTTATTCGGTGGTAGCATCACATCGTCCAGATAATTTGGACGAAACATACGCTGAGAGTTCGGGATCTGCTGGGGCTCTGCGCACACTTTTGCGAAGTACGCTTTCTGCTTCTGCACCGTCGCATTGTTCTTGTCGGCAGTGAAGCGTTTGCGTGCGCCACCGGTCCAGTCCATGAGCAGCAGAAGGACCTTGCAGATCATAAGCCAGCGTTCGGGAATACCTGCGTAGTGTTATGAGAGATCTCCTCGTTATGCAGCCATGATATGCCATAAAATCTACATCGATAAGCAGAAGCAGCAGAAGGTGATGGCAGTAAAGTAGGCTTTTGATGAGGTTGCGTTACGCGAAGGTAGCCGTTCCACGAACGGCAGGCACGGCCATCGCGGTTGCACTCCGTCTGGTGAGGTTCAACATCACCTTCAGACCTACTCTTGATATCTCTTTCTCTTCCAGTCGAGAATATGTGGACGCATTTGAAATACTACACCCAGCGACGGTGGAGTTGACACCCTTGACAGAAGCTGCGCCAGGATGACAGACGACTTCGCTGGGCTGCTTGTTACTGCTCGGTCACTTTCACCAGAGGCATGTGTACATGTATTACCAAGACAATGTGTTCTACGAGCAGTCTCGCTCTATGCTCCTATGAGGGCGTGGCCGTGCGTCGCCATGCGTGGTAAGCAGCGTGCCAGCCTTGCCAGGCTACGTTATCGACGACTCCGGGGGAAGGGAGGAATATGTTGCCGCGGCATTTTGGATTCGCAACGTCGATTGACCGATTGACAAGCGAGACAATATCGTGCCGGATGCACGATGAGATCAAGGGTACATGAACGATACATTTGCGCAAGGCGCGCCATGACGGAAAGTCTGACATTATTCGGGTAACACAGAGCCGACCCCACTGTAGTAGGCGCAAAGCCCTGATCGCTAAAGGAAGTAGACCCGATCTCATTTAGGTCATTCCATGACTTACAGGGTTCGTTCAGCATCCATGCGATGTAAGATGGAGCAGGGCAGAACATGATGAGAACATTTAGAAGACGTTGCGTTCAAGGCTGTCTGACCTCTCCGGCGGAGAGACTGCAGAATTTGTGCCGAACGATGTGAATGGTGGTGAGTCTCATCTCAAACTCTCCATTCGCTGTCATTCGTCCGAACCTTCCCTTGAGCCGCAGAAAATCTGCCGAAGCCACCCGAATCGTCGAAACACCACAACGAACGCGTTGTCTAGCTCAGGCATGGCATATCGCTGCATCCCAAGGTGGTCGTCGCACGGTTCCTGAGTAACTGCTGCCAATTAGCGATCTCATTCTCGTGGCTGTGGCAGCTGGACATAACGCAGATTACTAGCTAATAACCGCGCTAGAGTGTCGTCAAGGACGCCAGCGGCTGGAGACACGAATAAGGTGGCGCTCTCACTGGTTCCTTTCCGCGCTTGACACTTCGCGAGCCCTCGATTCAACTGCGAATACAGTTGATGGAGAGGCACGTTTAGTCCCGAACTGCGACCAGTGGACAAGCATGCCAGTCAACTCTGCAGCTGAGAAGATAAGCTCCTGCTAGGCACCCGTAATCTTTCGAGCTTAGTGGGGCCTTTTGTTTGGAGGGGCTTATTAGGAATCAAGTTGAGAGATGAGGCGCTGGCAGTTCGACGCGGTTGAGCCGTGGTTTTCGCTCGATGGATGATGATGCCTTTGAATCGAGGTGCCTGGATGGCGCTATGTCCGTCTCCGCGGTGTGTATATGATCACTTAGCTGACCTTTCTCTATTTCGCGCAGCGCATCTCGATTGGCTTGGACCTTAATCGCACCGTCTCTCCGGTCTCACACCTTATTTGCTTTCCAGTCTTTCTTTGCCACGCGCTCTCCATCGCACTTCCTCCCTTTTACCATCCATAGCAGAAACCCTTTCATCTGTCTACCTAGCAGTACAATCACACCGCAACCATGTCCACGCCCCTCCCGGCCTCGCGGCCGCGCACTATGCGGCGATTGAGCTCCCAGGATGCCACAGCGGCGGAGCTCAATCTGCGCTCGCCCACTGTGGTGGTGCCGCCGAAGCATCTCATGGCTCCGAGTGATGCCCACGAGGTGGCTGCCGCCATGGAGATGGCAAGACTTGAGCTCGAGGACGTTTCCTCGCCTCTGTCTTCGCCAGAGACGCCACCCGAGACTTCGATCACCGACAAGTACGCATTCGCCTTTGATATTGACGGTGTGCTCATTCGCGGCGGGCGGCCTATCCCCGAGGCTATTGAGGCCATGAAGGTACTCAACGGCAAGAACGCGTATGGAGTCAAGGTGTAAGTAATGATAACGATCAGCGCGAGGGTCGCTACTAACCCTACATAGCCCGTATATCTTCGTGACAAATGGTGGCGGCAAGACCGAGCAGGAGCGCTGTATCCAGTTGAGCAAGCAGCTGGAGATCGAAGTGTCTCCCGGACAATTCATTTGCGGCCACACACCCATGCGGGAAATGGCCGCAAAGTACCACACCGTTCTAGTTGTGGGCGGCGAGGGTGAGAAGTGCAGGCAGGTGGCCGAAGGCTATGGCTTCAAAGACGTTGTGACCCCCGGCGACATCATCAAGGACAATCCAGACACGACGCCGTTCCGTAAGCTCACTGAGCAAGAGATCCAGAACTCACGTTCTCGTGACTTCTCAAAGACGAAGATTGAGGCCATCTTCGTCTTTGCTGACAGCAGAGATTGGGCGGGTGATCAGCAGATCATCCTGGATCTACTGATGTCGAAAGGAGGATATTTGGGCACCCGATCGGCGACTTTTGACGAGGGCCCACCACTTTTCTTCTCGCATAACGACGTTGTCTGGTCCGCTTCCCACGACCTGACTCGCCTTGGTATGGGAGCTCTTCGCCTGTCGCTCGAAGCCATGTACAAGGCTGTGACTGGTAAAGAGCTCAACACAACCGCCTTTGGCAAGCCGCAAATCGGCACCTTCCAGTTCGCCACACGTCTACTGAAGCAGTGGCGGAAAGACACGCACGGTATCAATGCGCCCCCAGAGACTGTGTACTTCGTTGGGGATACTCCAGAGTCCGACATTCGTGGCACGAACGAGTTCAACAAGCATTCGGAAAATACATGGTACTCCATCCTGGTCCGGACTGGTGTGTTCCAGGAAGGCACGAAGCCCAAGTTCACGCCCAAGGCGACATGCGACCACGTCCTAGACGCAGTCTTGCACGGTATGGAGCGTGAGCAAAGGAAGTCGTTGCGGGAAGACCTCAATTCCATGCAGGAGAAGCTGCAGGGTACCGCGATTGAGGAAGTGGACTCAACCGAACCCACGCCCGTCACCTCCCCACCGCCTGCCGCGGCAGCATAGACACGCACGCACACCTAAGACATTGGCGATGATTCTGCGGCGTTGAGCAGCATTTCCACGGCGTTCCAAAGACTTCAAATGATACCAAGCCAGACATGGTGGAATGAACCTGGGAAAGCATTTGTCGAGATGCTCTTCACATACACATAAAAGGCTACAAACTAGAAGCTACAGCGTTAGAGCTACATTTTGATTTCATGGCAGTTTAGTGCCAAAACATGAATTACGGTCAGAATCCCATCAAGCATGCTGCATATCGTTTAGATACCCGATTGTTGTAGTTGTGTATGCTCAACCGAAGGATCAATATCAATGGGCTACCTACCCAAGTACACATTTGAGGTGTCCCATGCTACAGCGCAGATGCATAGTCCGCTCTGTGAGATGTTACTGGGACAGCGATCGAGCTCCAGCGCTGCATGAGGCTTCGTTTCGGAAGAAGGGACCGTCATCGATTAGCCTTAGGCATCCAAGCTTGACGCGAGACATTCGCGTCGTGTTGGCGCACTCTCCAGCTTCGTTCACATGCTATTGACATAACGTGTCTACCTCGTACTGTGAGATGAGCATCCAATGTTTGCGTGCCTTCCTATCTCAGCGCGGTGAAAGCTGGGTTCTCACTCGAATGTATTCGGCCACGAGCTAAGCTATCCATTGAAGTGAGCCGTCACTGTAGTCATATACCACGCAAGCGATAACTGCAAGTATGCCCTCCATCTAGCGACTCAGGCTCCTTACACGCGCGCATGCAACAGCTCATGTTTAGCATTCACTTGCGGCAATGCTCTAGATCGTTTAATTCTGAGCTCACAGGCGAGTCCATTCCACACCTTACTCCATCACAGGTTGCGGAAGCCCACGATATACGGCGTTCAGCACCTCCACTGCTCGCTCATCACGTCAACAAGACTGAACTTACCCTTATTCAAGCATTAGAACTATGGGCAACGTACAATCTTCCGAGGCAGATATAGCCGCGAAGCAGGCAGAATACGACATTGAGATTGAAGCACGGCGAATCAAGCAGACCGCGGTGTACAACGGAAACATAGCCAATCGCGAAAAGGGCAAGGTACTTGCTGCGCAGCCGAGCACTATCAGCAGCTCAACGGAGAATGCTAGTGAAGCAGTCACAGAGACGAAGCAGCATCCGCGACCATTTCACACGATAGCCGTGGATGATGAAGATAATATTGACAACGTGACAACTCCTGAGACTTCTGGCGGACAGTCTGGAGGCGCCCTGGATATTTGGCAGCCTCGTAAGGAGCGTCTTGTGGTGCATGATGAAACTACGAGGCGGGATGGCATCACCGTCGAACCTGTCAGTGCGTATGGCACCCGGCAAACTGGGTCGCAACCGTCTGCACCGTATCTGTCAGGTCCTAAGTTTAATGTGGCGAGGGACCCTCCCTTAGCAAGTTCTACTGCGAAGAGATCCGCAAGCGCTATCGCTGATGAACGTCGCCTAAGCGTCGGCGTCGGCAAGATACCAAAGCACACCGCAGTCGCATCGCCGCAGTCGCCGGAACGAAGGGTCACTCAGGAACTTAATAAACGTTCAAAGCAGCCGGCAACGGACAAGGTCAGAGCCGCTAACTCAGCGGCGTCAGCTACTACGTCAATTGAAGAGAGGCCGCCGGCTTGGTACAAGGAGATCAAACCGAAAGGCATCCGCAATTCCGCTGAAACCGATGCACTCACACTCATAGGTCAATCGAAAGACGTCCTGAAGAAGTGCAAGGAGGTCACAGCAGTCACACAGCCTCAGTGCACTAAAATCGGCGGATGGCTACATAAGCTGGCATTTCAGCGCGTTTCTGGTCAGCTGCTTCGAAACACGAACATGCTCGATAATAACCTCGGCTTGCCTCGAATCTTCGATAGAGCATACAACGAAGGCGTCTTGTATCCCTGGGACATCCGTGCTGATGCTGAAGAACTTTACAACCGATGGTGTTGCCGGGATTTCGAGACCGATCTGTTACGCGGCATCATTCGTGGCAAGCCCGCCACTAAAGGACGCGACAAGACCGTCGACATGCTCGACAAGAATTACAATGCGAAGATGTCTGCGAGGTACCACGGCAATGGCCTGCTACTGAACGGTCAATGGTGGCCTACGCAACTCACTACAATGCGGGACGGCGCACACGGCGCCTCGATCCAAGGAATCTATGGAGGCGACGGCGAAGGAGCGTACTCCTGCATCATGTCTGGCGGCCACGACTATCCAGACGAAGACCACGGGGACTGGGTATTATACTGCGGTACCGATAGCTCCAACGGCTCGGTAACAGAGCCTACGCAACGTATGCTAGAAAGCGTCAAGAATGGCAAGCCTGTCCGTCTCATACGCTCACACAACCTTGAAAGCCCATTCGCACCGGAAATAGGATTTCGGTACGATGGCTTGTACAAGGTGGTGAGCCAGGAGCGTTTGGACGCCGTGAAGTCGCAGCGGCAGAGGCATCGCTTCCGACTCGTGCGTCTACCTGGTCAAGATCCGATTAGAGGAGGCGATGGACCTGAGAAACGTCCAACGGCGGAGGAAATGCAGGCCCACACGAAGGATAAGCGCTTGCGCGGCTACACTTAGAGTGGTACCAAGCAGAAAAGTACTGTCAACTGGTCCCCAGGAGCACGATGCTGGGCCTCATATCGTCCGGCAGACAGTATGCCTCAGCTCCTGCTTGCACCCATGTGCCAGCCGACTGTGACAAGGAATGCGAAGAAGCCGAAATGACCAGCTGTGGTGAGCGTTACAAGCGATGATTTTCGGAGCTAGCTCGAAATCACACTGTCCAGGACTTTGACGAAGCTGCCAACCTCGTCCTCTGAACCTATCATTAGCGGTGCCAGTCACACACTGCACTCCGTAATGCTTACCTGTATTGTAGTGAACCAAGCTCACCCTTACAACTCCGTCGACTGGATCAAGACCCATCACCTCCTCGCACAACCGATTTGAATACAACGTTCCCCAACGCAGACCGAAGTCAGACTTCGCTTCGATAGCTTCTACTACATCCTTGCTGCTGCGACCTTTCACCGTGAAGCTGATCACCGGCACTCTCTTCGCCTTGTCCGCTGAGGGTTCGCCGTAGATTTGGAATACCTCCGGCTTACTCAGCAGGTAGTCGATCAGCATGCGCTGCAATCGCTCTTCGTGCTCTGCAATCTGATCCCACGGCACGCTTTGAAGGTACTTGCATACAGTCGGAATACTCGCGGTCAGCTCGTAGTTCGCAGCTGCTAGACCGAGCAGATTCTCCAGGGTATCTGTAGTTTTGAAGAAGTGCCCAAGGGTTTGCATATGCTTCTGTGCCGACTTGGAAGCGTACAAACTGGCGATGTGTGGACCGTACACTTTGTACCAGGAGAAGGAGTAGAAGTCGACACCCATGTCTCGAACATCGACTGCACGATGTGGCGCATACGCTACGGCGTCAACGCACAACAGCGCTCCTGGGACCTCATGTACGGTTTTCGCGATTGCTTTCACGTTGTTGATGGTACCAAGCACGTTGCTTGTGTGCGTACAAGTGACAAGCTTCGTCTTCTCCGTCATCAGACTCCGTAGGCGGTCACAATCTAGCGTTGGGTTGGTCTTGTCTGGTGAGTCCCACCATTTGACAGTACATCCTCGCCATTCGGCAAGCTGTACCCATGGGGCAATGTTGGCTTCGTGGTCGAGCTTCGAGATGATGATTTCACTATCCGGAGTTATGTAGTTGTACAGCGACAGTGACAGGTTGCGAAAGAGCTGCGTTGTTGACGGACCTAGTACGACCTCCTCTGGCGAGGCATTCACATACCTTGCCGTGGCGGCGCAGCCTTCTCCGAACAGCTTCGTAGAAGTCTGCGATGTTGCGTAACTAGCGCCGAGCTGAACATTGTTCGAGAGTAAATAGTCGGTAATACTGTGGCGATATCAGCACTATCTGGAAGAACCTTGCATCACTTTCCATATTTCGTACGCATCGACAACCTCTTTCAATATCTGACTACCGCCGGCATTCTCAAAGTACACTTGTTTGTGGGACAAGGCAGGGAAGTGCTTGCGGACGGCGGCGACATCAAACGTGGCAGCCATTCCCGACACTAAGATCGAACAATGTTAACGATATGAGCAGCAATTCAATCTGACCTTTTATGAAACTGCACAGTCTGGATAAAGCTATCCTTGCCGTCATTGGCTGGTTACACCTCTACCTGCCTAGTTGGGTATAGCCTGGTACGAAAGGCTTGGTGAACTCTTGGAGTTGAGACCATAGCAACCATTCGAGAAACACTGAGATGAGAGTCGGTGAAAGCGTCCGCTTCGTCGTCATTATCTTCCGGCCTTTCCTCGCGACGGTGCAGGACCGCCTGCTTTGCCCTTCGCAGACCCTTCGCCGCCCCCAAACAGCGAACCACTCCATGTCCTCTGCTGCGACCGTACGCCCTTCTTAGACCGAGCCTGATTTGTGTGCTTTCGCTGGAAAATGTCATACAACTCCACGAAGCCAATATAGTCCTGTTCGTACTTCGAACTGTGATCCCGGACAGCATTCAAATACAACGAAGTTCCGGCTTCTCTAGTCAACAAGCGCTGCTTTCCCCATTGAAGGTGAACAATGGCTTTGCAAAGGACCCTGGTACGGAAGCCTTCGTATCCGCTGTAGTTACCGTCCCTCGTCTGCTGCACCAGCCGCACATCAGGCGGCGCATTGTTAGTCTGACGCCTCTCCCATCGAAGCTGTTCTTGCGCAAGCTCCCCGCCTCCCTTTCGATAGGCGATCAAGCCTGGAAAGCACATTATGCGCACAATCGCATCGCTCTGATCCTCGCTGCCTGGTCGCAGTTTCGGACGCTGTCTTTCTCCCGAATCCTGCTTTACAAACGGACTGTGTCGGTACATGTTGGCCAAGTTCAAGCACTCCATCCGTGCAGGCTCAAAGGTCTCGTCCTTGAATGTAGGCGGCCAGAAGTACACTATGTCTTCAGTACACCGCATGACGTGGCTTAGATCCACCGCATGCGACACGATCGCAACAAGCTTCCTACGTACGTCACCGAGTAGTGAGTTCTGCAGGCGTTGAGGGAAAGGTACAAAAACGAGCCATAGCGGAGCGAGGAGATTCTCAAGCTGAATCACCAGCCTACATTTCATGCTGGTCAGGCGCCTGTCGGTCTGTAATCCATGCCTTGCGGCGAATTTGGCACACAGCTTGGCGCGCTCCGCTGTACGGTGGAGTCCTGTTACACCAAAGTCAGATACAAGGAACGCACACAAGCCTCAGCAAGTCTTACCATCAAGATCCAACAAGCGCCGCTCCTGGTCTTGTAGCTCCTTCTCCTCTGCCTCGGATGCTCCGAACCATAGAGCGTCGAAGACGTGCTCTTTCAGCGAATGGCTGGTGATAGCCCATACCAACGATCGTCTACACTCATCGCTCGCAATCAGGGCTTCCCAGCTTGTCCTGCCATTTGGACCACCTAATGCTAAATACCCGATGTAGCGTACAAGTTGCTGATGGCTCTTAGCCGCAAGAAGCTCATTGAATGCGAAATCTCTTGCTTCTGGGAGCAGGATAGGGAGGTCAGCAGCTAGATCGTATATAAGTCTTTGCAGCTTATTCAACTGCTCGCAGACTCGTGGATCCTGATCAGAAATGGGGGAACGCCGGGGGCTCTCAGTGGATGTACGCAAAGGACTGCCGTTTGGACGGGTCTCCGAAAAGGCATCGACGAGCTCAGACGCTTGGATACCATTGACCTCGTTCGCATCCTGGACATACTCCAGCAGTCCATCTAGCAGTTGATTGGAGGGCCCTGAATCATCTATCATTTCCAGGATTGTTCTTCTATCCTCATCATCCAGGTCGGTGTCTGGCATGTCGGTCACACTGTGATGATCAGTCTCATGCCGCAGAGCGGATCGCTTGGGACTTTGATTGCGGTGGTCTGCGGTGCTGATCGACGGGCCACGCTCGAGCCGCCTACCAAAATGCACATTCCGAGCTGGAGAGACCTGACGCTCACCCAAGGATGCCGTATCCGCGGAGGCTAGAAGACCATTGCTTGTCCGCCGCTTGGCCGATGCTGCGTCCTGTCGAGCGTCTTCGCTCTGTTGGCGCTTGCGGGACGGTGGAACATGTGGATTGGAACTCGGCCCTGCGCGCTGACGTGTCATTGTGTTAGCTCTGGAATATGTGATGATGAAGGGCTGGCGCTTAATCATAGCAGTTGTATGAATGATGACAGACTGTTGTGGTACGCAAACTTCAGCAATTGTTTGCTTTTTGCTACTGTAGGCATAGTCTACATTCCGGACCTGAGCCACTGCAGCGTTACAACTTCACCACGTCTTCAGGCGTAATAGGAAATAGCTTGTTGAACATATTCGTCGGGTCATACTTCGCCTTGAGCTGCTGAAGTGCGGGATAATTGTCGCCGAATATGTCGCGTGAGATCTCGTTGTATTGCTGCGAGCCATTAGTGCCATCTTGTTGCTGTCAGCGCATTGCATCACTACTGACATCGTAATTGCCGTAGAGCAAGACAGCACCCCTTCTGCCCTTGACACTTGCGCCTCCCTCGCTGCCCTCGCTAGTCCGTTGACCGTGCAGTTCGAGCTCCTTCTTGAATTCTAGGCTCATGTCACGTGCAAACTGGCGACACGTCATATCGCTCTCTGTCTCTGACCATAACGGCATGATTAGAGAGTTCAAGTGGTATCCACGATTCGCAAAGCAACCCTTCTCGCTCGTTACTACAGCCGTGGGATCGCAGACCTCCCAGGCCACCAAGCTTCCCGCAGCATCAGTCTCAGCGTCCATGAACGTGTCGAACTTTCGCAACATATGCATGAAGAACTCATAACGTATAGGCAACACAAAGGCGGCACCCTTCATGCTACTGCGGAAGCCTGAAACTGTGGGCACCTGCTTATTCACCGCCTACCCAGCGAGGTATGGAACCGTCAGCGATTTTCACAGAGCGCAAGCAAGGCTTGTAACCGTGGAATACGTACCGGATAAGGTCCCATCTGTAGAGTGTTGACTACCGGGCCAAGATCAAGGACAGGTTGCAGTAACTGCTTGCAGTCTTCACCCGAGCCATCGTAGGCCATAATCAGAAGAACCATGGTTTTGTGCTGTGCTTCTGGAGGCCGGGCAAGGCCAAGAAGCAAGCTGAGCCTTCCTTGCGTCTTCGAGTACTGGCCCGGAGTCGGTACATGATAAAGGTCGTTCATGGTCGCAATAATCTTACTGATCACCCCTGGAGCAGGTGGGAGGACTAGCGTACCTTGATAGACCTCGTTCTGTGGGTACGCTCGTAACTCAAATTCTGTTACGACTCCAAAGTTTTGGCCGGCTCCTAGCAGACCCCAGAACAGTGCATCGTTATCGGTTTCGCTTGCGTGCACAATATCTCCGTTTGAGAGCACAACGGTAGCACCCACCATATTGTCAGTGACCAGACCGCGTCGTCCCGAAAGCACACCGTAGCCTCCTCCAAGTGTGAGCCCGCCGACGCCAGTGTCTGCGACCGTGCCTCCTACCTTGATAGGGTCGGCCATAAACGTCAGTCTTATCTCGGACAAAACTTACGCTGCTTAAGGGTTTGCCTACGGTCGCGAGACGGTGCTCCCAAGCAGCTTCGTCAACGTCAGCCTAAAGGCACCCACCTTCTACGTAGAGAATCTGTTTGTCCTTATCTACTCTCACCGTTTTCATACCGCCAAGATCGATGAGCAAGCCGCCGTTGGTACTGCTTGCGCCCGCTGTAGAATGACCACCGCCTTTGACAGCAACGTCAAGGTTGTTATCCAAAGCATATTTGACAGCGGCAGCGACGTGGGAAGCTGCACTTGGCACAACGGCGACTCCAGCAGGTTTCTCTGCAGCGCGCGACCAGCGGTGGATCGAAACTTCATAACCGGAGTCATATGGCGACAGCACTTTCGCTTTAGTTCCGGAAAGCAGCGCCCGGAGGCTGTCAATGTCAGCACTGCGGATTTTCCGGCCCTTGATACTCATCGTGACAGTGTCGCCAAGTCGAAGAAACGGGATACAGTACGCAAATAAAGCTAGAGTATGTGGGAAGAGATGGTTTTGGGTACCGCTCTACTCAACATGATCCTTCGCCGCCTAGGAGCTCAGCTGAACTCAATGTTGTCAGCGCCAATTTGGCTTATTCTGGAGTATGTTGCGAAGCGTGACAACAAATCCGCCTCGGTCCCCGCAGCTGATGGGAATCTCGACGCCGACGAAATCAAAGGTCTCTATCATTAGGGAGAGCAATGAGCAGGGGCGTTATGCCTCCCTTTCGAGGCGCTCGGACTGTTGCTGAAGCCGGGGACTCAAGCCGTCGACTCAAGCCGTGCCCCAAGCTGTCAACTCCTTTGTACAACAGACGCTGTCAAGCAGAGAAGACTGACGCTGCAAAGGACCTTGTAGTCTTCTTTCGCCTAAGACCATCCAGAAGTGTTGTATACGCATGTCACGTCTTCTCGCTAATGCATGTTATACCCTCAAGCACTTGCAGCTTTAAGTCTGCGACCAAGACGCGAGACACCGCTGTGCTGACACCCAAACACCTTCGCTTAACCACAACTTTTCACTCAAACATCCGTCAGACCGCCCGACTCCTACGTGGTTTGTATAGCCCACGCCCTGCAACGCCGCCGAAATGCCAAAGTCATACAACATCAAACAACATCAAATCAAAGATAAACGGCTTGATCATGTCGTTGAAAGTGGCGATACCGGCCGCTATTCTCCGGTATCCGTCCGTTCTAGTGACGCTCCGTCGTTGCGGGCCGGATGCTTTTCACTGTTTGGGACCGCCTTATGATCGGCCTCACCCTCCTGAACAGGTGGATTCACCATTACAATTGTTGTATTCCGACTCCCAGAGCCTCTATTGGATGCCATCTCCGGTGGCGTGACTTCTTCGTTCTCCTCTGGAATAGGTGCGCAGTACTCCTTGAGTACTTTCTTCAGCTGCGGTCGACGGATGGGTTTGGAACTAGGGAGTTGTCAGCAGGTGCATCGAAATAATTATCGTCGTCGACTTACAGAAAGTAGTTCATGCCAGACTCATAGCAGTCTTTGATATTACTCTCTTCCGCAAACGCCGTCAAAGCCACAATTGGCGCTTGATACCCAATCTCCCGGATCAGCCGGGTGCTCGTCAAGCCATCGACATTCGGCATTTGAACATCCATGAAAATCAGATTGTAGGGCTGTCCATTCGGACCATCCATTGATTCGCGTACTCTGTCAAGCGCCTCCTGCCCGTCCTTGGCGACGGTAACATCATAGATGTCCTCAAGCTTCAGCATGCGAAGAACGACCTCCTGGTTGACCTTGTTGTCCTCTGCCACGAGTACACGAATCTTGCCGCCTCGTGTCGCTTCTGCTGTGATCTTCTCCATCGCGCCTGGCTGAGATCCTGGTGACTCCATAGGTTGACTAGCGGCGAAGAATGGCTGACTAAGGCCTATCAGTCGAGGTTGTGAATCGCTTCCTAGACTAGGTGTCGGCGGACCACTGGTGTTGATGGCGCTTTCCTTCTGCAATGCGTCATGGTCGGTTACGAGATGTCTGCTATGCCGTGCTGGTGTTCGGTCACCGTCCTCAAGTGAATAACTCGATCGCATACCCGCAACATCGCCTTGGAGATCAACGGACGAGCTCGTGCTGTCCGCGCGTGACTGTATATGCCGGATCGGAATCTTCATAGTAAACGTGCTACCCTGTCCGACCGTACTCCGCACACCAATCGTCCCGCGCATCAAGCTCGCAAGCTGCGAACAAATACTCAGCCCCAACCCAGTGCCACCGTACTTCTTGCTGAGCCCAAGATCTCCCTGTACGAAAGGCTCGAAAATCTTCTGCTGCGAGTTCTCCGGTATGCCTGGTCCTGTGTCTTGGACCTCAAACTCGAAGTACAAGTACCTGCCAGGTGGTGGCGACGGTGCACGCTCGTGTATAGCGGGATGCATCCGATCCTTGGAGAAATTCACCAAAGCTGTGTCGACTTTACCGACTGCGAGGCTGGCATCGGAACCTTTATGTCGGGAAGAGTGCTGCCGCGACTGGCGCGACTGTCGGCTTAGGGTAGAGCCCTTCCTGCTTTGCATGTCCGGTATCTCAGGTAGACATCGAATGATCACTACTACAGACCCACCGGCTGGCGTGAACTTTAGCGCATTCGACACCAGATTGATGACAACCTGCAATATGCGGTGAATATCACCCCACAGCACCATATTCTTCACTTTGCCTGTGCCAGCCGGTCCATACTCAATCCCATCCTGTGCGGTATTGTCGGTCTCGAGCCCGTGCACGCCCTCGAATTTGACCCGGAGGTCGATTTGCCCTTCCTTCGCCTGTTTGTCGAAGATCGCTAACACTTGCGAGCTGACATCGCGGAGCCTGAACTCCTTCTCGTCGAGTGAGATGTGCTGTCCTACCTGATTCTTGCTGAAGGTGAGCAAGTCAGTAAGTAGATTCAGTAGTAGATCTCCGCTCTTGTATATTATGCCAAGCGAGCGCTTTAGTCGCACGGGGTCCTCCTCTTGCATACACACAGCACACATGCCAAGGATGCCGTTCAAAGGCGTCTTCAGCTCGTGCGAGATGTTGGCAATGAACAGCGTCTTGCTTTCGTTCGCTGCTTCTGCCGCCTTCTTGCTCAGCTCCAGTTCCGCGGTCCGCTGTTGTACTCGCTCCTCCAGCCTCTCGTACTGCATCATGAGCTCGTCCGACATCTCATTGAATGTCGATGTGAGATCCGTGAGTTCGTCCTTGATGCACGTCTTGCGCTCCTTCACCTTGCCAGGAATCTTGAAGGCGCGTTTCCTTCTCGCTTCGCGCTTGGCTTCCCGTTTTGTCTCACGGTCCTCAAGCCGACTTTTCCGCCACCTGGCTACAGGGTTGGTCATTCCTTCCTTTCGCGCCAGCACGGGGTCAACGTCTCCGCCGTTCGCAATTTCTTCCGAAACTTCTTCCGAAACTTCTTCCGAGTCCCCTGCATGTCCATCAAGTTCAGACCGGATAGAGTTGAAGCTTGACCTGCTCGGCGTGGCGCCAGGAGGCTCAATCGAGCGTGCGGTAGCTTCGCGCAGTCTGCGGATCGGAAGGCTGAAGATGTGGGCAAGCGGGAAGGCAATGAGCGCCATAAGCGCAGCTGTAGCAAAGACACATGCCAGAAGGATGTCGCGCAGACGATAGATTGGCTGCCAAACCTCGCTTGGGGCTTGCTCCACCAGTATGGCCCATTGCACGATGCTTTGCTGAGGTAAGGCGTATCCGACCGAGACCTTCTGACCCGCCTCGTTCCTCGTCTGGATTAAGGCGCCAGAGTTGTCCGGTTGGCCGTCAGCCCTAGTGAATACTCTTTCGACAGCAGGATACCGACTTGCGTTGAAGGTAGGATTGGATGTTGCGTTGAAACCTGGATGGCGTACGTGGGCCGAAGAGTTCACTGGCAGAATGTAATGGACTGCAAAATTTCCGGACGCACTGCTGTTGTCGACAATGTTGCTTTGGAAGACGTTCGACTTGCTCGCAGGTCCAACAAGTAGCGTTTGGCCGGTCTCGCCAAGACCGGTATCGGAGCTCAGCACCTGCTGTATAAGCGTGGCATTCATAATGCAAGTCAACCAGGCGAGTACGTCAACTGCACTGGTGTTGTTGATAATGGGCATGGTGAGCGAAACCAGCGACGTCCATTGGTCGGCACGCCAGGGACCAATCAGTAGGGCGGAACCAACCCCAAGTGTGTCTCCCATGTATGTCGCGTTAGAGATGTCGTATGTGCTGTTATAGTGTTGTTGTATGTAGGTAAGATTCGGGTAAAGGGGTGCTGGATAGCCAAGGTTCATGTCGCCACACTGTCCGTCGCCCAGATATACCGCAGATCCATCCGGACATAGATAGGGCAGCAAGACAGTATTGTTGATTGTACTGCTGGTTGTGTTCAGTAACGATGCGCCTCTTGATGGTCCAGTCGCATTCTTAGGAAAAACCATGCTTTGCAGCAGCAGCGTCTGACCTACACTCCCGCCTCCGCTGAGTGCATCCTGCATGTCCATCGCAGCATTATACCAGTTCTGCGATGAGTTGTTGCCTTGGTCGTTGAAGCGTTGCAATGCATTTTGTATCACAATCCTGTTGCTTATGAAGTTTGCCGAGGTCTGCATGAGGTTGAGGTTGGAGGCAAGCTGTGCGGCCTTGAGCGAAGCAGTTAGGGATAACCGGCTCGAGCGGATGCTCAGGACGAAATTGTGGTTCGAGATCCATGTTGCTACTGAGACCACGGCAAGGCCAATGAGCGATGACAGCAGGATGAGCAGACCAAGCTGTTCACGAATGGGTATCCTCATCATCGACTGTCTCCGCTGCCTGCGCACAGCTACTGTAGCCCAAGCCGCCCGCTTTCAGCCCTTCAGATACTACTATAGCTTATGCTGCAGTCGGAGCAGTGTAGTATCAGCCGGTCAGCTGTCTGTCACAGCCACTTCGACTGCCGACACCAAGGCTCTTGAAGAAAGCCCGCTGTTCGGGCTGTGTGACCGGCCAGAGTACGCTTCGAGTCCCATTCCATGCGGTCCTGCTATCTTTGACACATTCCAGTGAACGCTTGCGAAGGGAATCTTGGTCGCCTGACTTTTACGAAGCACTGGGAGTACTGGGGAGGGGGCAGCACGATGTGCTCAATCCAGACTAGGAACGATTGCTTCGTATAGGGCTAAGCATGCAGCCACAACCGCTCAAGGCCGCTCAACTGGAATCGTCGGCTCTTCGCAAGTCGGCACTCCTTAGACTGCGAGCAAAGAGTAGAGGCCGCAAGTGAGCGTATGGACAAGATACATGTCGAGTATTTCTCGGTATGATGGGAGCACGGCACGATCTGGGTGCAAATCTGTCGCAGTCTGGATCTGGCATTCCTCGCTCGTGGCTCCGAACCACGCTTACGTTGCCCGATCGCCGATGCACGCTATTTTTCGTACCGGCATCATACGGATTCGTTCTCCTGCCTAGGAACGAGCGAAGCGAAGATCTCACGAACTTGCTCTCGCGACATCCGGGATGGACTATAGCCGCCTGGCATGGCGAGAGACTTTGATGCTTTAGACTCATGCTTTCTACCACACGCTTTGACAAGCCCCGCTATCCCGCATTTCGCGAACAGAGTTCGCGCTGTCGCTCTCGTGCCTGTACAACTTTGCCCCTTCGGAAAGGCTGCCTTAGCCGAGAGGCGTCAGGCTTCCATCGGTCTGCTCGTGGCTGAAAGGCAATTTCTTCAGTCAGCAAAGAGGGCCGCTCACCAGTCGTAGGGGTCTAGTACAGAGTGCATGATCTTGGCTCATTTCTTCGACGGCACAATCGACATACATTGTACAAGGGCGGACCGGCAACCCGATACGAACCTCATGGACTGCTACCGGCTCAGCACGTTACGTGTTGCTTGAAGTGGCCGCACTCACTGAGATGCCGTGGCGGCAGTGAAGATATGTGAAGACTACTGGTAGATACAATCTTATTCCCAACTGAGGGCCCCGTGAGACCGCTCGCTAGCATTCACAACACCTACACGTTTCTGCAACGTTCTGTGTGGCGTCAACCGGACTCAACGCAGAGCTCACGCGTGAGCAACCTGGGGCACAATTCAGACGCGGTGCAACATGTTAAAGCTTGCATGAGAACGTTTCCAACGCGCGAATGCACGTTGCACGACAGTAGAAGAAATGTTACACGTAGGTTCGGCACGGAGTCGGCACCGAGGCAAAATTCGAACATTGTCGCCCCGTCTCGGCAGAGACCGCCGTGTGCAAATGCCGTGCTCGTTATTGGAACGGGTACTCGCAAAGGCGATATCACAACAACACAACAACTTCGCGACACAGCGCGCCTTGTAGAAGTGCACGCGACTTCCAGAACTCGGATCTGCGGGCTTCTCGTCCTCTGCCAAGGTCTTCTAGTAGAACCCTGTCTGCGTCCGTTTGCATAAGCGCACGCTTGTAACCAATGGTTATGCCGCCGCCATCGCACTACCTCTGCGACTGCAGTTCTGAAACGCAGGTGGTTTTGACCGGTCAACAACCCCACCCCAGCCTCTTCCGACCGCGAGGTCCGTTCCGCCATACATAGAGCTGCTAACGTCCTACTTTCGTGTATAGCGTGTTGCTTTCGCGACTTCAATCGCTTCAGCGACGCTTCTAGCTCGGCACGGTATGCAACATCCACCGGCGATTCTGCTTTATCGTATCCACTGAAGTCCCGAACGTGAGTCACAGACCTACTGGTGGCCCTGAACCTTGCATTGGCAGCATTCGAACTTGCATTTCGCCACTGTTGTGGCCGTTTGGTGTCCCATGTGGGTAAAAGGTTGGCCGCGCGATCGTGATGTCTCAGTTCTCTCCTCTGTCCCCATCTCTTCTCAATCGTTACGATCGCGATCTTGGGGCGCATTTGCGGTTGGCATTGGGCATTATCGATGTGGCTAAACTTTCGTAATGGGGAGCAGACAGGACAGACCTTCACCATTTGTCCTGGGTAACAAACCCTCCTCCTCCTTCTCCAGTATCTCTTCAGCGGGGTCGGCCACGTCAGCTGCGACATCTCGAAGTGGAGGCAGCAAGCTACTGTTCGGAGAGATTGATCAGAGCAGCGATAGGTGTAAGTGTATGCTTTTCATGCACACTACACCGCCTACTAACAACGGCATATAGCATCCGAAAGCTTCGCTTCTGTTTGCAGCTTCGTCCTTTGCGACAGTGGGACCTTCTTGAAGTTCTGGCTCGACGACATTTGCAGGGACCGGTTCCTCTCCTACGTCCCTCGAGCCGACCTAGCGAATATACGTCTTTCGTGCCATGACTTCAGCGTGCGGGCTGCGCCCGCGCTCTTCTCGGACCTCAGCATCACCTTCAGGACTGGCACGTTCACCAAACCGGCGACGGTCGCGGCACTGGATAGAGTAGGCTGTTATGTGAACAGGTTGACCTTCAATGTCCCTCATACACTGGAGACGTTCCTACCTCCATTAATTGAGCCGGATACTGGAGAGGAACTCAGCTTCACATACACGCCACAGATACAGATACCGTCAGCGACGCGGCCGAAGTACGGCGACGCAGGTACCACGGAAGTTCTGACCAGGCAATGGCCAGCTCTATTTCACGCGGCAACGAATGTACCAGCTTTCGTTCGAGTCTTCTCTGCCCTGATCAACCTGAACAGCCTACAAATCAGCTGTCCTGGCTACGAACCTTCGATGCGGCGCAGACGGAGTGTCGTTGACTTCGTGCTTATATCTCTTCGCATCGCAGTTGAGCAAAACTGCCTCAACGCGCTCAACACTCTTGCACTAGCGCCAATACATCCCGGCGCCTTGTTGTACCTTCTTCCAACAGTCGGCTATGGTGCTACACCTCGGTCGCTTAGAGCATGGTCGCGCATCCGGCACCTTCGAACAGCTGTGGAAGCTACAGCAGCGTCTGGTCAAGCGGTGCTGGCGGACGACAGGAATCTTCTGCAAGCATATATTGCGCACTTTCAGGCTAATCTTGAAAGCATCGACTTCCTTTGGCACGGCCAGAAGGGCGCCTGGCCTTTTCCACACGCCTTAGTACCTAATTCAGATACGCATCCAGCCCTGAGAATGGCCCCAGCGGTCAATCTACCGACGCACTCGTCCTCCAAACCTGCGAGACCGCTGTACTTTCAGCAACTGAGAAACATCAAAGTGGCAAATACCACCGCCTCGGCCTCCGATATTCAATCGTTCGTTGAGACGCACCGATGTACTCTCGAGGATGTCGATCTCGAAGACGTCGAGCTTGGAGGCGGAACTTGGGATGACGCCCTTGCTCCATTGACGCGACAGGATAGACACCGGACAAACTACGCCGATATTCCGATCATGCTTTCGCCTACTGCTGCGATGCCTACCATCCCAGCGTTGGCCGACAGTACTGGCTCGGTTACAATGCCTGAGGACAGGCGGAGCTCACGCGTCCCCGGGTGGCTGTCTTCAAGGCGAAGCAAGCCGCTAGCGGTTCGTAAAGTCAGAGAAGGCCTGCACGGCTGTGAAGAGGGGCTGAAGAAGATGCTTGCCGGCGTCCTGCCTTGGAAGTAGATGAGTGCTCTTCTTTGCTTCCATATCACATGAGATGTTCACGGCAGTTACGTAGCTACGCACGATTGATGACGGCACGATGTATATACGTGACACGAAGCTACAACGCGACCAGTCGGTGTAACGTCTGTGGAAATGCTGCGGTCTTCTCTCCGTCTCAATGGCATCTCGGCATGTTATAACCGTTTATTGGGCCCTGCGTGACCAATGGCGGCCATGTGGGACCGGAATCCTGCCAACTTCTACTAAGGTGTAATCCTGCGCCTCCGCAGATCGTCACGCCATTTGATGTCGGCACTCTAAAGCCTACTCTGTACCTGCATTGCATATGTCATCAGCACTATGCGATATATTGCGTGCGGTGATTGACAGTGTTGATGTGAAACTAGTGAGAAGAACTCGAGCCGGACTATACTGGAAGCATTAACTGGACGGACACAAGGCAGCATAGGCTATGGGCCGCATACAGACACCGCTGATTATATGTGTGTACCTCCAAACAGTTCCTTGCCCAAGTACTGCTCTGCGCAGAGTATGACCACTCGGAGAGCTGGGGTTGTGTCAACGTACCCACCAACGTTACAACATCGAGCCGCCATGCCTGTCATGCCATCATGTCCTGCAAGGGAAGGTGGTCTTGACGCCTAGGAAGGAGCTTCGAATACTTCCCAGCAGACTGCGCGCCAGCCATGTTGCCGGGTGGGTGTACGTAATAGTAGACTCCAACGAATGGACTGTGCTTGGACAGGATCCGGGGCAATCCGTTGGCTATTGTTCGTGGCCTCTCCAATGCATGCTACAGTGGGCACGCTTCCCAGCTCAACTAGGGTATGATGCTGATCAGCGAGCATTCTGACACACGCCTACGTTGCCAGTGGCGAGTAGTATTGCGATCAGCGACACCGCTTGATGCTTTGTCCTTGCTGATGTGTTCATCGAAGCTTAGCTCGTATCGCAAGGTCATTGCGGTATAAGAGGCGCCCTCCGACGACAGACCCATTGCGTTCATCCGCATCTTGACTATCCAGCAGCAATCGAACAGTACCCAGCACCTACATCGCAATGAAGCCGTCGTTCCTCTCCCTCGCGGCTCTACCAGCCTTCTTTCTCAGTGGAATCGCCGCCCCCACTGGCCCATCGGAGCATGGTCTGATCGCAAAGCGCCAGACTGCGGACGCCTACAGCATCGTCGAAGCGCTCTACAACGACGTCCAGCAGTACACCGGAGCAATCAGTAAGCCTCCCAGACGTCTTGACTCCGTGCAGGAGCTGATATCGCCCCAGATGAGACCGCTGCCGGCATTAATGCAGACTCCACTGCAGCACAAAACGCCTCTGCGGCCACAACATTCGTCACCAACGTAGACGCTATTACAGCAGCGGTTGAGGCTGCCGTTGCGCAGGTCTCTTTGCTTCCAGCTACGAGTTTGAGGCTCGCACCTCGCCAGACAGAGGCTGCTCTGGCTACTCTGGTCGAAGACCTCTTGCTGGAGGTCAGCGGTGCGCTCAATAACATCGTCGGCACGCTTGGACTTAGTACGTGTCCTTCAGATATGCGCGCCATCGCAAATGCTAACACATCATAGCGTCTCTCCTTGGCTCGCTGAACCCACTTGTCTCTTCTCTCTCCGGCTTGCTACTAAGCTTGGAGGCGGTAGTCAACAACCTGCTTGCTGTGGTCCAAGAGCTCCTCGACGGACTATTGACCGGTTTGAGTGTGGGTCTGGCTGGTCTCAGCTTGTAATGGCAGCTCTCCGACAATATCCAGACAAAAGGTGAAGGGAATGCTCAAGGCTGTGGATAACAGGCAGGTAAACTATTAGCACATCTTAGCGTAGCACGGGGCAATGACCACTACGTAGACACGCTCCTTTCGGGAGCCGGGAGTTGTATATTGCTTTCCTGGTGCCTTTGTGGGCTGCCACCTGCGCTACAATGAACCGCGAGATGCTGTCGTCCATCATGCTCAGTCGTCATCGTCACCATCAAGCATTACAAGCTCACGCCCCGCTGTCGGCATTATTGGCTTTGCTTTGAAAGCTGCCAGAGCATTTTTGGCATCATCTTCTTCATCATCATCTTCATCATTGTCCATGCTCAAAGCAGCCCTTCGGCTCGTCGTCCCTTCCGGATAAGGGAGCCGGGCCTCCTTTCCGCCGTCCACTGCCTCTTCCACATCGTTACCCAAGTCGTCATCGACATCCATTCCATCTTCAGCTTCGGTACTCTGCTGCCACGCAACCTGCACACTGCCAGCCACTAAGCCCGAGCTGCTGCCGCCAAGATGATACGCCAGGTTGATCTGCTTCCCCTGTTTCTCCTGCCTTACCGCCTGGTACTCCTCCATGCCGCCTTTGCGACCGTCCAGTGCCCTTAGAGCTTTGCGCCAATCTGCAAGTTGCTCTTTGCTGCGCGTATGGTCTCTCACGCCTACAGAGTGACCATTGACTTCGTGCAGGTCGAGCTGCTCCTCTCTGGTATCAGCCCAGAACCAAGTCTTGCCGGTATGCTTGTCGATGCGGACGTCGTGCGATTCGCTGTACTTGCGCCCGTCCAGGACGCCCGCCAAGCCGTGCGAGAGGACGTTCATCGCGACGTCTGAGCCGTTGAGCTTGATCCGCGGCTTCGTTGCATTGACAGCTTGAAAGCTCGACGGCCGTGGCATAGTAGTGGATGATGTGAACCACGCCCTCATCGCGTCGCTTCCGTAGCAGCGTCCAATAACGCGTTGAAAGGGCACCTCAGTACGCAGCTTAGGCTTCTTCGGATCTGTTCCATGGTACCAGGTGCTCAGATTCTGTATGCTAGGGGGTAGTGCATCTGAGCGCGTGGTGATAGGGAGCTTGCCAACACCGTCGTAGCTGTGAAGCGGATCTTGTGTGCACATGCGACCACTGATATGAATGCATGTCAGATACGGTCGGCCTTCGTCGTAGTCGTCGTCGCTTGCTTCGTCGAGATTGACGAGCTTTATCCGGATTGCCGTAACGATCATGACATCCATGACCGTCTTGGCATCAGTTCTGCCGCTGAAGTGTCGACTGTAGAGACGCACGGTATCGCCAAGAGCAATCAGTTCGTGGCCCAGGAAGATGCCCTGAGCGAAGATCGTGGCTTCCGGCCAGGTACCTTTGAAGTGGTATTTTCCGAGGACACAGAAGCTGTTGGTCACAGTAAGAGCGTGCCATATCGTAGGATGCCAGTCTTCCTCGGGCACGGTACGTAAGCAATCTTTCCAGAAGCTGAATGGTCTGATGGCGTGAAGCGGCACGTACTTGTGCTGCTTCTGATAATTCTTAGTGGCACTGTTCGGATCAGACAGAGGTTCGACGCGGAAGCCGGCATCAACAACGCTACTCTGCTTCCCAGCTGGCACAGTTTCAAGATCGTCTGCAGTGACTTGCTCAACCGGCATCTGCGTTACTACACCGGCTTCCCAGTAAGGCTTGCCAAGCCAAGTACTGACGCCGACATTCATAGTACGCCAGGTCTGCGTCTCTTCATCCCAGCCCAAGCGTTCGTGATCCTTGAGGCGAGTAAAGAGAACAACCTCACCGGTTCGAGGAACATAGCTTGGCAAGGTAACATACTCTAGGAGTGACCTCAACAGCATCGCATGTCCGGTCCGCCAGTCCGGAGAGCTGCTCTCTACCAGCCGCTCGTCAACACTACCTTCCGTACCAGCGGCCTTCAGCTTGTCAAGAAGCGCCCGAATAGCGTCAGGCGTACCCTCTGCATCGATGGGTGCATCATCTGCGTTGACCTGTCTTCTCCGAGCTTGCGGTTCGACGCCTGGTTGAGCGGTGCGGTTTAAATCGTTTCTTGGCCTCCCTACTGGTCTGGTAGCAGGTATAGCTGCATCACGACTAAGTCTTGCTGCCTGTGATTGTGGCGGTGCAAAGAACGGCGACTGATCCGCAAGGCTGCCATTGGCGGCATGCACGACCCGCGCCCGCTGATCGACCCCATTGCTTTGCGCCTTCGTACCGCCCGTACATAGCTTGCATGGGCAGCCGTGTGCGTTGCCGTTGTCCATCAAGTGCTTGAAGTGAGGGTAGAACTCAACGCTTGACCGGAAAATACCTTTCGGGTGGCCATAGACGTATCGGTCAACATGCTTCGAGTCGTTGTTGCGAGACTTTTCGTAGCCACCGTAGCCATCGGGCAGCTTGTCCAGCTTGTAGGTGTACCCTGGCACCAGTTGGCCAAGGTCCTTGACCCATTTGTCGGTAGCGATTCGTTCAAGCCAATACTCGTCGTTACGAACATAGTCCCCGGTTTTCGGTCGTCGACGCCCGTCTCCGTCAGAGCCAGGATTGATGTGCAATGTAATAACCGGCATCGCCACGATCCCAAATGCTTTGGCGAATATTCGTTCGGCCTCGTTCCGGGAGCGTCAGAGCTGGAGAAGCTGTTACTAGGTATTGAAGACCGTGTCGCCTAACAACACCGAAACTCCTCACATTCAACCCTGTGGAGACATGACTTCAATCTGCGTGATAAACGGACGTGGCGGCATAAATGTTCGGTTCATCGCATTGCCAGCTACTCGAGCATGTGGTTGAGTGTTTTAAATTGTGAAACACATGGCACTGGATGACGTTGCTGCCTAAACACGATCACGGGAACGTGGTTGCCATCGACTTCCTGGGATCGTATGTGGCCCTTCGGACTTATGTTATGGCTGCTGGTGTGTCAGGCTGTTGCTCGGCACAAGTGAGGGTTGGATTGAAGCAGGCGTTTGAGATCTGGGGAAGATCGACCGGCTCCTGCCGCTGGCGCTCGGTAGCCGCTACGATTGGCAGGGTCCAGGACAGCCAATGGCCTTTCGGCCCAGACTGTTGACGAACACTCTGCTCGTCATCATAAACCATCGATGCGCAACGCTCATGCATGGAAGATCCTCATCTGGTAAGTGAATTCGTTTGTTATCTTGTCTCGCGTATCGTTCTTCAGTTATTGTCGATTACTCCAAAATTCATGTACGCGAGTGGAAGACATGCTAGAGTGGTACACTTCTAGTCCGCATACTGCGCCGCTAAAACGACGAGCACTGTCAAGTCATAAACAACAGCGTGATCTTCTCGTCACTTATACAATAGGCATAATATGGCTATTTTCAAAAGTACGCCAGCATCTCAAGAGTCTGACTCGGCCCTTCGCCTACCAGCGCAAAAGCGCACATCGCCGCCCGCATCCTACCGCCTGTCGACCATTACCGAATCATCAAATGCAGGAAACCCGTCAACCAGCCAACCGAAAAGTATCTTGCGTAACTCCGGTGGTGCACGGCCGAGCCCTCTTAGACAACATTTCGAAGCCGGCAGTAAGCGGCCAAGCCAAGATACTACGCGTACCGCGCCACCATCATACACATGGGTGCCAGAGTCTGTCGACGGATATGAGGACCTGACTGCGCCTGTAGAGGGCGAGAAGCTGGCGGAATTGCGGAGGAACGGAGGTTACGAGTCACCGAAGCGCCGGAAATTGGAACGAGGTGGATGGGGACGACTGGCGCTTATTGTCCTCATAGTGCTTGCAGTGATCGGGCTAGGGGTCGGCTTGGGCGTAGGCTTGACCGTAGGAAGAAGACATAGTGGCGACATCAGCAGCAGTGGCGGCTCGTCGAACCAACCGCCCGGGACTACGCCAAACATAGACCAGATCCAGCAATTTCCGCTCGGCGAGTACAGTATGATCACGGCGCTACGCATGGTGCAGACCAACTGCACCTCAAATCCTGCAACATGGCGCTGCTACCCGTACAGCGTTTTCAGCGCTACCGATAGTGGTACCAACACGAGCAGTCTTGCGACATTCAACTGGATAGTTAGCAACACGTCGATGGTGTACCCGACAAACTCCACAACCCGGACCACATCCGACCAAGGCATCCCATCCAACCTCACGATCAGCTCAACAAACAACCCGTTCAGTATAAGCTTCACGAATCGATCTCTGACCTACTTCGCTGCGTCGAATAACGTCACCTCTCCACGTCTGTCGTTCAACTTCACAATGAGCAAGTCAGTCATTCCGAGCGCAGCCATCACTTCCTCGAATGTAGCGACGGAATGCTTCTTCAACAATACCGTCTTTACAGGGACGCTGTACTTGTCTGCGCAACGCACATTTCCAAGCGGAGCTTTGGCGAACTCTACTGGCATAGGCGGCTACACACCGTGGCCGTACGCCCTTGAAGTCACGCAGACCAGTGCGGGAGAACAGGATGTGCCGGCGTGCTATGAGCTTGCAAACGGCGCGGCAGGCACGAGGTTGACGGATGTTACGACCCCTGAGTCGGCGCAGGAGCTGTGTTTGTGCGATTACAGGAACTATTGATCTGCGTGTAACTGAGGCTTACAATCTCAGCCTCGTTGGAACGGACAAGCGCGCGACGCACTTATGGGGCGTGACTCGCGGGCTATGCTACATACACGCCAGCCTTTCCCGTCAGCCCGACCCATAGACCGCAAGGCTGACCAACGAGAGACGACTTGAACCGCCAAAAGAGCCTTGTAGCGTAGCTATGCTGGAACCTTCTTCTCCTCCAGATCCAGTGCTGTGAAGCATATACTCTAAAAGGATTGAAAGTACAGCGCTGCATCTTCTACGAAGCAAGGCTAAGATGTCGGAGAAGTCGATTGATAAAGCTCTTTTGGGAATCAAGACCGCCATCACAGCTGCTAGTGAGTTCACTGGTCCTAGCGAGCAGCATGAATGTAAAGTCACCGTTAACGACACACCTGCGGACACCAAGGCCTGCGAGGACAGTTCGGGAGCGGACCTCGATGCAATCAACTCAGCACTACAAGATATAAGCCTTCATGCACCGTCCGTTTCGCCGGAGAAAGTGCCGTGTGAGTCCTTCTGCCTTGCAGGCCAACCGCACGATGGTTTGGAGGTGCATGTCCACAGCGATAAACCTTATGATGTTACGACTGGCGAGAGGGACTGTCAAAACGATCCGCTGCTGGGTCGTGTAGCCGTGGAGGGTCAACTGGTCGCAATTATCCTTAAAGATTGGAGGGTAGAACAGCGGTTGTACGCGAACGGCGCTTCGCTTGATGCAGAGTTTGTGCGGAGAATTCAACTTTCAGCTCAGAATATCCCGATGTCCAAGAACGGCTACAAGACCTACAAGACCGTGGCTTTGGCTATTCAACATCAAGGGCTGGAACCTATTATAACGATGAGCGGCTGGAAACCCCATGCTTTGCCAGCAAGTTGCGGCGTTCAGGCATCTGACGTTTTGCGACCCTTAGTCTTCGAGCTGGCCAAAAAGGTACACCACGCGTTCGACCCTGAGCCAGTCAAGGACGGGGGCCTGCGTGGTAGCTTCCATGCTTGCCATGCTGAGAAACAAGTACTTACCAAGTTTATTGACGAGCAAGCACCTGGTTTCATACTGGGCCCCGCCGGCTCGAACGACGCACTCACGCCTGATCTATCCCAGTCTTATATCCATATTTGTATCTATCAACAACACTCGAAGAACCCGATCTACTGCGACGATTGTCTCTTGTTCATTCGGAGGGTATGTGAGGCCACGAAGTTATATGTGACGTTGTGGTCTTCTACACCCGGATCCGGCTCAGCTGAAGTGGGAGCACGTTACTGCCGCTCGTTCCCGGGATATGCTCGAGTGAAGACGACGCCAGGAGCTGTTGGAAGCCTACCGAGGCCTCCCAAACGGAGAGTTCGCACGATTAAGATGTGAAGAGAGGCGATGGCCACTGGAGGTCCGTCTCCAATATCTGGCAGTCGATATCGCTACAGATTACGAACATTGCGCGCACACTATAGTGGAAACATTTAGATGGATGTGTAGAACGATATATGGTAACAGTAGTTATGTTATACAAGAAGTAAATCGGAGGCGCGCATGTTTTTCCATAACGCCACCTAGTCAGACCCTTCACGGCCATCTTGGGCACAGACTTTCCCCATTTCGCCTGAACACCTTGCACAAGCCCTTCAGTTCTGGTTCATCATCTCGTGAATCAGCTCGGTCATTCCCGGGTGGGATGGCTGCCTTAAAACAAGAAGGCAGTGTAGACCGCGCCAGCAACCACGATCCACCACCCGCTCATCTCGAGCAACCCTTGCTTCAGGCTACCAGCAGCATTCGCGCTCTCCGTACCTCCAGAAGCAGTTGTGCCATTGTCCAGCGTGCCGTTGATAACGAGCGTCTGGGTGCCATTGACATCAGCGACCCGCGAGACAGTGTTGTTATTCGCGATGGTGTTGATATAGTCGGTGTCGTTGTTGCTGTCGCATCCGCACTCGGCATTGCCTCCGCAAAGACACTCGACCGGAAGCGTCTGGTTCTGATTCGAGGTGTTGTTGTGGTAGGTATACGGGTGCGGGTAGGCGTACGCATACGCGCCGTAGAGCCAGATGCCTGGGAAGAAAGCCAAAGCGGAACCGGCTAAGAAGTACGGTGCAATGCCACCTGGTGACCTGCTGCCGGAGGTGTATGGCGTCGCGGCGCCACCGCCGTAGTAGCGGCCCCCAGCGCCATACGCGGGCCTGACGCCGGAGCCTGTGGTGGTAGAGCCGCCTGTATTCGAGCCGGTGGAACCGCGGCTTCCAGTGCCTGTCGAGCCAGAAGAGCCAGAACTACCAGTTGAGCCACTGCTGCCGCTCGAACCGCTGCTGCTACCGCCGCCTCTGCCTCCGCCACCCTTGCGCTTCCATAGCGCTTGCGATGCGGTTGCGGCGTCGCTGAAATATGAAGGTAGCGCGAGCGCGTGGATGGTCGTGATGAATGCGAGGAGGAAGTAGATGGTTTGACCGATCTTCATCGTTTGTGGTTCCAGTCGTTATAGGTATTGTAATCAGGATGCAGCTGAGGATTTGGTATTGAGCAGTATGCGATGCAGCGAGGGAGAACTTGTACGCTGGTGTAGTCAAGTCGTGCGCAAAGGGTGTCAAGAATGCAACAGTTGAAAGTCGTCTGTAGGAAAGTGGCAGAGGTGGATGAATTGGAGAGAGAGCGCATATGTCATATAGTAGCATTTACGCTCGTCGATCCATTACCACAGCCAAGGCCGCCTCTCCCGAGCAAGCAACCTGTAAGCAACAGAGAACGAGAGCGAAAGCGGCAGGTGCTGCTCGCAAGGCTGTGCTAAGCTGAACCCCTCGTGGCGCAAGCGGCCCCAGTCAATCTTGCATGTCATTGTGGGGACGGAGACCTTCGGCTACGGTCACGTGGAAGGCTGTGCACGGATCTTGTACCTTCCGTTACAGAAGACATTGCCACCATGTCCGTTCTCATGGCACATTGATGCGAGCGGCAAAGCAAACAATCGAGGGCTTGCAGCATACCTCCATAGGCTACGGAGATTGGTGGGCAGAGGCAATGTCGGTCATTGCTGAGATTGCCCAAAAGCTGCACTGAAGACTTCGTCTGTAATAAGATATAGGCTTCGAGAAAGACCACCCTTTCCCATGCTATAGTGTACAGGGGTCTCACGACGTGATGGGCGAGGCTCGGCTACCACCCTCGATGTAAGAAGCGTCGTCATCCAAAGCTATTGGCGCACGGGGTGCCCGTGGTCCGCCGAGCTCTTTCTCAAGCCCATCTGGAAACCTCCTTGGCGTCGCGGGCTATGTAGAGGTTAGCTAGTTCAGGAAGCAGCACACGTGGGTGTGAGGATTTTGTAGAAGCATACCACGTCCGGATAGTATCTGTACACGACAGCGCAGAGAGTAAGGAAAGTGGCAGCAGCGCAGCCCTGGCACCGGTCAGTACTTGTCTGACCGATCAATGTCTGCATATGAGTGATTGTGTACGCACCCATAGAACGCCACCCCAAGCAGGTGTGAAGTGTGTGTACTCGTCTGGCGAGAAGATGCCGAGCATGTCATTGTCCTCGTGTACTGGCTCGCCGTAGTTGCGACGTTCCTGCGGATCCCACCTTCAATGATTCTGGTTAGCAACTGACTCTATGCAGTTTCGAGCGTCTATGGCGAGAAAAACATACCAGTCTCCGTAGGGGTCACGGTGCTGCCGCTTCACTGGCAGAGCTGAGGTGAGGCTAGGGTCTGGGTAGTTGCCGTTCTGGTCCCACAAGCATCAGCAATGCTCGTCTGGACTGCAAGCCATCTTCAAGCGAAGAGCGAGAGGTTTTCCAAAATGGAGCTAGACAACCAAGACTCCAATGCCTCCCTTCTGCACATATTAACGTACCAAGTTCGGGTCCGCTAGATCTTCTTGTCCCTGCTCTACTTCTTCGGCAGCCTTCTCATCCGTCGCCGGTCTCGGCTGCTTCGCCGGCGTAGCATAGCTTCGTTGTGATGGTGCTGTCAAGATACGGGAGCTGGTTGCCGGGCGGATGAACTGCGCTCGAGGTGCCAGCCGGAGCGCAGACCGAAGAGCTGCCATAGTTCGATTTGGGAAGGCACCGAGGCCTCACGTGGATCTTGTTGCGTGCAATGAAGCCTGCCTTTGTTCCGTCTTCTATGTAACAATGCTGTCGCTGAAGGTCGAGGCATTGGCGGCGCCTTGGCGGCCCGTGATGTGCGTCAAAGCGCCGGTCAAGCACGCTAATCTCTTACTGTCACCGAGGGGCCTCGCAAAAACACGCAACCTCAACCAGCGACAAACTTCAAACCGCTATAATTCGCGCTACAAGCGAGCCGGGAAGCTCAAGCTTCGTCAGCGCCATCCTCAACACCATATCTACCGATTGATGTACATCACAGTGATACAGGTTGCGGGTTGATGATGAAAGAGGGGTGCCGCGTTGTTAGAGAGGGCTTGTCAAGCTGGGATGAGCGCGACGCATGCTCCTGAGTCGGGGCAAACAACTCCGCTGCAACACAGCATCCAAGACGCACAGCAACACGCGAGTGCTTCACAATCATTACTGGACAGCACGAGCGCAGTCGATGCATGTCTTGGTGACGACGATAAGGCCGCAATTGATGACTCCTACATCAAGATTGAAGAAGGCATAAGCGAGCATCAGCAGGATGATGACGATACAACCACGACCTCACTACGACCGGACCCACAGCCGAGTACAAAGAGGCGAGAGTCCGCAGCAGCAGACATAACGCCATCTTCCGATCTCCATGCTAAGAACAAAAAGCGCAAGCGTGGCGCATCCCCACCATGGCAGTTCGGTACGGTCGAGAAGAGCGCGGTGAAGACGGCAGATGGTCGGCGCATCTCTGCACGCGTCAATGTTGGAACACCGTTGGTGAGTGAAGCAGAGAGTCAGGGTCGGAGCGGGAGCCAGTCGGCGACGCGGTCAAGGCCGCCGAGTCCGCCATGGAAGAAGTTCGAGGCAGAGGGTCCGACGTCAGTCAACGTCGATGGCGTGCGTAAGAGCGGCCGCGTGAACAAGGAGTTGACACAGCAACCCAAGCCAATCCGAACCAGTCCACGGCAGAAAAAGCAGGTTGACAAGGCGGCTGAGCATGAGCGGGTCGCTGCAGTGCCAAGACCTGTCTCACGTGGCAAAGCTTCGCGGCCAGACAAGGAAGGTGCGACGGTGGTGGTTAGGGATGATGTCCGAAGGTCGCAGAGCCCAGCTAGCAAGATTGCTGAACTAAAGGCGAAGATTGCGGCCTTGCAACCCAGTCGTTCGTTTGACTCCTCTCCAGAGGAGGAGACGAAGCCTGCAAGCGGCATTCACAAGCGCAAACGGAGCGATGACGCTATCCGAGACCGCAAATCATCGTCACCGAGAATTACTCGCAGGGCCCTGCAGCCAGGACGTCCTTCAGCTTCACCTATGGTCACGCGACCATCACCAAGGCTCAAGCTGAAGTTCAGCGGTGCAAAGAAAGTCATTGCACCACCGCACCCGCAGTCTACGCCACGAGCTCCAGCAAGGCCGCCACTGTTGAGCTTGTCGCAAGTCATCGAACCGCACGAACTTCGCGAGCTGCAGCAGCCGTACATGGAGAATGAGCGAGGTCCGCCTGGTGTGCAATTCTTCCGCACTAAGAATGAGCGACTTGCATTTGAGGAGGGCGAGATGCGGAAGAAACTTGTTGAAGCAGCTAAGCCTGGTGGCGCCCTCAGCGTTGAAGCGTGCAGTATCTACGAGATTGATGACGGACAAGAGGAGCCCCCACAACCGAACACACACGCTGATGCCCTTGCCAAGCATGCTGTCTTCTTCCGCAACGACTACCAGAAGTGGCGGGCGGACTGCACCAAAAGGCTTAAGAAGATCGCCTATGAAGCACAAGAGCTTTGGAAGAAATGGCAAGGTCCGACAGAAGAAGACATTCGTGCCGAGCAGGATCGCATCTTCCGCTTGATTCACAAGCAAGTTGTCTCCGATATGCGCGCCAAGTGGGATATGGTTGGCTCGTACGTGCAGCAATTGCGTAAGGAGCGGTGGGAGGCCGAGGAGGATGCAAGGAGGCAGGAGCGGTTGCAGAGACAGCTCGAGCAGGCACAAGCTATGGTGTCGAAGCAGAGAGGTGACGAGGACGACGATAGTGATGTTAAAATGGAAGATGACACCGCCAGCGATGTCGACGATGGCGAGTCTGAAGGCGATGCGGAGGAGGAAGGCGACTACAACCTCAGCGAGTCGGCAAGTGATGATGATGAAGATGAAGGAGAGATGACCGGAGATGCTCTGGAGGCGTATCTGGCAGCTAATCCGAGGGCTGATCCGCCTGACAAAGATCCTGTCGACGAGGAGCAAGACACTGACCCTGACGCCACAGCGAGCCATCATCCTACCGATCTGCCGTTACCGCTGCTGCTGCCGAACGATTCGACTGCTGACCGGACACTGGAGAAGTTCGCTAACCTTGATTCTGCCTTCGCAGGGTCTCCGGATGAAGAGCACGTCGATGGCCTTGCTGCACTCCTTCAGCCGCAAGACGAAGACGAAGATGAGCACGACCAAGAAGACCAGGACCAGTACTTGCCCGACGTTGAATTCGTCGAAGAAGCCGAGCAAAACGCCCTGAATGTTGCTGCGACCGACCGTACTTCGAAATTGCGCTCTTCGCCCGCTGCTGCCGATATCGCTCCAAACCGAGCTGACCCCGACGATGCTGACATTGATCTCTCAGATGACGAGTCAGTCGACATGGAAGACTCCGATGAAGATATGAGTAGCACGGGCGATGAAGATGAAGCTGCCGGGTCTGATGACGATAGAAGCTCTGTGGACGCTCAGGTTGAGGAGGCCGGACTGTCGACGGTGGGCCTCCTTTTCGGCAGAAAGCAGTTGACGACTGTATTGGGCTTGCCAACTCCGACGACCAGTGCTGAGGGCGATGCCGCGAGGGACAGGACAGCGGAGCCAGTGTCCGCGGACGAGCATGGCGATGCTGCTGACTTGCAGGCGAAGGCTTGGATCGCAGATGCTGAATGCGTGGAGGATCCTGCTCCGACAGTAGAAATTGACGCTTCTATGCAGGATGCCGACGCCCTAAATGATGGACATGACGACGAGCAACCAGCGGCAGAGCCAATGGACGGTGTGACGACCGTCACAGCACCGCGCAGTCCAAGTCCGGAGGCTGCGCTTGCGCTAAAGCAGCTGGTGCCGGTACCGACGTTAATTCGAGGTACTCTTCGCTCGTATCAACACACTGGGCTCGATTGGCTAGCTTCCCTTCACCGCAACGGCATCAACGGCATCCTGGCCGACGAAATGGGTCTCGGCAAGACCATTCAAACGATAGCACTGCTTGGGCATCTTGCCGAGCATTGTGGCATTTGGGAGCCGCACTTGATCATTGTACCCACTTCGGTCATACTCAACTGGGTCGCTGAGTTTCAGAAATTCCTGCCTGGCTTTCGCGTCCTGGCCTACTACGGCACTGCGGAGGAGCGCGCGTTTAAGCGCCAAGGCTGGGTCAACGACCCGCACCTTGAGGATAGGAACAAGCGAGGCTACAATGTCATCATCACGTCTTATCAAATAGCGATGGCGGATCGAAATGCCATCCGCAACGTACAATGGCATTATCTGGTGCTGGATGAGGCGCACACGATTCGTAACTTCAACAGCCAGCGCTGGCAGACGCTCATTCGTCTAAAGACTAAGGCGAGGCTCTTATTGACTGGAACGCCGTTGCAGAACTCGCTTACTGAGCTGTGGTCGCTACTGACTTTCTTAACTGCTGGAGATGACGATCCTGCCCATGGCGACCTGGAAGAGTTTCTCTCGCACTGGAAAGAGCCCGTCAAGGAGATCTTTGACCGCGGCGTTCAGACTCTGTCTCAACAAGCGCAGAAGGTCGTCGATCAGCTACACGTTTCACTGCGTCCCTTCTTGCTCCGCCGCTTGAAGTCCGAGGTTGAGAAACAACTGCCGAAGAAGACGGAGAAGGTCATTGTCTGCAAACTCAGCAAGAGACAACGGCAACTCTATCAGGAGTACATGGGCTTGGCTTCGACGAGGGAGAGCTTAATGAAAGGCAATGCGATATCTGCAGGCAAGGTGTTGATGAGCTTGCGGAAAGTATGCAATCATCCTGATCAGTTTGATCCTAGACCTATCCAGACGAGCTATGCCATGGAGGTAGCCGCTGCGGAGCCATTTGCTGTCAAAGAGCGCGCCATCCGGAAATTGCTGGGCGACGAGACGCAGATCCCGCATTTTTTGATGCTTGCCGCACTAGAAGGCAAGAGAAAGGGCATGCTTAAGAGGAGCAGGGAGCTTGACGCTACAAAGGTCCTGCGGCATCAAGTGCGCGAAATGGAGGCGCAGCAAGCACCGACGGCTGAGCTTTCAACACCTGCCGGCTGCCTTGTCCTATCTCGGCTGCGAAAGCGTAACAGGAAGTTACAGCATTTGCGAGACAGCATACAAGCTACGCAGGCGTCCATAAGCGATTCGCCAGTCTTCGGCTCGGACCTGAGAGAACTGGTTTCACTGCGCAGAAGCAGCCCGTATACCGCCAGATCGCGGCGCGTGCAGCCTCAAAGCTACGTCCGCTCGTTGCGCACCTGGCCTGCCCTCGGTCACCGACCCTTAGCGCTCGAGCATCGCTCTGACTGGCTCCTCTCGCAGACAACGAACCTTCAGCAAGATATTTGGAGCCTTGACCGCATGGCGGAGAATCTGCACGACACCATCTTTCGCTTCGCTTTCTGTACACCTGTGGCTACGGCGCCTGTCCTTGACAACGTCATCCCAATACGGAGCCAGAAACTGCTTCGAGCAATAGACGCATATCCAAATGGCCACGACTTCGCCCAAGAAGCGCGAGTCCGCACGTCGATCGCCTTCCCAGACTCTCGCTTACTGATCTACGATTCCGGCAAGCTGCAGCGCCTTAGCATGCTTCTTCGCGAGCAATTAGCGAAAGGCTCACGCAGTCTCATCTTCACGCAGATGTCACTGACTCTCAACATCCTCGAGTCCTTCCTCAATCTCCTCGGTCTGCCATACCTACGCCTCGATGGTAGTACGAGCCCAGAGCGGCGTATGCTCTACTCATCTGAGTTCAATCGGCCGGATTCGAAGTACGCTTGTATGATCCTGTCTTCTCGCGCTGGTGGTGTGGGTCTCAACCTTACCGGCGCGAGTACCGTTATCTTCTACGACTTGGACTGGAACCCGCAGATGGATCGTCAATGCATGGATCGTGCGCACCGAATCGGTCAAGTGCGGGATGTGGAAGTGTTCAAGATGGTCAGCGAAAAGACGGTGGAAGAAAATATCTTGCGGCGGGCTAATCAGAAGAGTCTCTTGGATCAGACTGTCATTCAGGAAGGGCACTTTACGACTGAGTATCAGCAGCCTTCAGCGCCACAGGATATTGCGCATGGCGAAGTTGGCGATGAGGATGAAGACGACATCCAGGCTGCTATTGAGCGTGTCTTTGGTAATGACAAGACGGCTGCGCAGGCTATAGCGTCTGTCGAAGACCAGGAGGATGTTCAGGCAGCAGAGAAGGCGTGGAAGGAGGAGAACGCGGACGCTGATGAGTTCAACGAGCGCGCTTCTAGCAAAGGCCGCTCGGTGGCGCCTACTCCGGGTCCTTCAGGCACGATCATGGATGGTGATGAGCTGGACGAGGATGCGAAGGGGCATCTGGATGGGTGGATGATCTCGACGATGGAGTGGATACTGAAGGATGTGCCGTTTGTGCCGCCAGTGGTGAGGAAGGTGGACAAGCATGGTAGGGATCCGAGTCATCGGCCGAAGAGGAGGAGATGAATATGCTCGCCAACGTCGTAATCCACTTGGGATCATTGACCAGAACAAGCGAAGCTGCAGATGCATTAGCGCCATGCTCGCTGTGTACCTTTATGTGAGAATAGTCGAGCATACAGAGAACAAGAAATCATTCGAAGCGTTACAGAGGCGCGCTCTCTCCACCAGCATCTCTGGCTACTGTGGCGTTGCTTGTGAAGGTTCGTAACCTATCCTCCTTCCCTGTATGCACCTGCTGTCGTCAGCTCCTGCCTGTCGCAACGGTGTTACAAGCTTATTGTCGTGAACGCAGCATCGTCGACAGTGGACTGCTTGCGTAGGTCTGAGCACGCTTAGGGAACGCCATGGTTCTGGCCTTTCCCCACTTCATGAACCATTCCTCCATCGTTTCCGTGACTTCAAGTTCAATTCAACTGATCAAGCGTGCGGTGCTGGTGCTGTAGCGGCCATGGCAACGCTGGCAGAGTGCCAGAATGCTGATCCGCAAAGCCAGGCACCGTCAACGCCAACCACGTATCCAAATTTAGAATATACCGCCAGCGCCGCCCAGAGCCTGCTGGATTACCGATGTGAGCCTCCGTCACCGAAGCAAACTGATGCAAGGCCTTCGTCACCGGAGATGCAAGCGAGACGGTCACCGTCGCAAGCACAAGCCCCACAGTCACCACCACAGAACCAAGCAGGACCGGCGCCGCAGCCACCCACAACCACAGCAGTCAAGCGATCCTTCGCTGAGTACCAGACCGGCTATCGCAGACCGTACCGCACGCTGGCACCTGCTCCGCCACCCAAGAAACCATGCCTCGAGCCAAAGCAGACCAGCTTCTTCGACTTGCCAGCCGAACTCCGCATCCACATCTACGAGCTGGTCCTGGTCAACGTGCGCATTCAGATCCTGCCACTCGAGTCCAAAGACCACCGGACGCCCCACGCTCTCATTCTGGCGAGCCGGCAAGTCCGCAACGAAGTTCTGCCCATCATCCACAGCAAATGTCGCATCCGCGCTAACGTCACGGACTTCAATTTCTCTGGGCTGGTGGCGTGGATGGACCGCATCCCGTCGGGTCAACAGGCCATGCTGTGTAAAAACGAGCAACTCGAAATCAATCTCTGCACCTCGCTCAAGCCGGATTCCCGGAGTTTTGCGGTCGGATTGAGGAAGTGGTTGGAGATGCGGAAGGATCCGCACCGCTCGCAGCCGAACTGGCAGTATTCAGGCCCGACGCCGAAGAAGGGCGTGGCGAGCGATCTCCGGCGGCGTGCGAAGAGGATGAACCCGCCGGAGAAGCGCGGGGAGTTTCTCGCGATGCTTGATGCGATTGGAGTGGTTGTTTAGATACTTCGAGCGTTGCAAGGCCTTCTCAACCGGGACTGGCTATAGGCGTTCAGGAAAAGATGGCTTGTCATTAACTGCTTACGGTACGGCATGACTCCGTTACAGGGTAATGGAGAAGCGCGCGATCGCTTCGAGTTTCTGCATCTCGCGTCACTGGACAGAAGGCAGACTTCTACATGGTTAACTGTAGCCATTAGTCACTAATGGAAAAGTGGTGGAAAATTGGATGATTACTCGGGGCGTATCTTCCCTCTCCGCCGTCTCATCTCCTCCACCCTTCGTCTATCCTCCTCAAACCCTTTCACTAGCTTACCTGCCTCCGCCTTCCGTCTCTCTCGATTTTGGAAGCGATAGAAGTCCTCGTTGACTTTACTCTTCTCCCGCTTCCGTAGATCCTCTTCCTTCATCTTGACATCTTCATCCCGTGCAAGGCCTACTCTGGCCCCTCTCGTCACAGTTATAAAGCCATCTGCATCCGGTACAGAGTGCTGTCGAGCAAGCGCTTTGGCTTTTGCAGCTTCCTGGGCAGCGAATGCTGTCATGAACTCGTCGACGCTGTTTTGAAGCGTGGCGTGGTCCGGGTAGCTGAGCTTGTGGTGCGCAAGGTAACGAGCAGAACCTAAAGGAGGGAGTTTGCCTTCTATGCCTGCACCCCAGATGATGTTGCGCTTCTCCCTGATTGCCCGTCGTGCCTCCCTTAGTGCTAGGTCGGCGGAGGCCTTGTCCACAAACGTCACGACTGCTGTCCCGCCACTACGGTGTAGCTCTCTGTCCCAAACATCAGGCAGCAGGCCAACTTCCTTCCCTGCATCCTCGCCGTTTTCGATTTGACTTCGCTTGCGCTTCTTGCCGCGTGACGGCGCAACAGGCGCAGTGATGCCTTTGCCCACTCTTGCGCCTTCAAAGTCTACTCGCTCAATCCTGGCACCACCTAACTGGTCGGCGAACAGCGAGCGAATGTGCGTCTCGGTTGCATCGATAGGTACATTGACCAGAAACACTTCTCGCGGTGTGTCATCCGTAGGCACCTTCGGTGCGTTAGCGCGGAGGTAGAGGTGATGCGTTGCAGTCTGCGTATATGATGGAGTGGCCGGGTACTGCAGCGGCAAGACTATAAAGTCGTTGACAGCTGGCGGCACCGCCGTCTTCTTGTTACCTGGCATCGGAACCATCGTGGTGCGATCCAATATTGGTCCCGAACACCACATGCAGCGTACTCAAATTCGAAGCCTAGCGGATACGTGCTTGCCTGGTTTGGTTAGCGTGGAACTCTCGCTGCAAACTTTCATGTATGCCACTCCTTTGATGCTATGCTACCTTTCTACGTGTCTCCGAAGCTCACTATGCTCCGCATATACTGGACTTGGGATATAGTACATGATGGGGTGTTCTTGTCACAGCCATTGTGGCTAGATTCGAGCATTACCTCCACCGCACTGTCATCAATGATGCCCCGTAGCTAGGACGCCTGAAGGCTTCCACCATGCGCCACGTGATGGAACTCGGAAGAATTCACAGATCCTCGCCGCAACATGGAGCATCACACTGTGCAACGGAGCTCTACGGGAGATTGCACTAAACGAGATGGACAATCATCTTTTGTTTCACATCAACTGCATCGACTATGAAGCTCGAACGATACAGAGAACATAACAAGGGAACAGTATGCTAGTATTCAAGCTCTTTCCTCGGCGTTCAGCGTGCTGTCGAAGGCGGACCACTCACTTTGTTGATCGTACACCCGGCCCATACGTCCCTTGCTGTATGCGAGGCTGCAATTGGCCTTGTCAGCTATCTGTCGATCGAACGAGAATAAACTTGAGCTTACCGTCCCTTGCCCTTCACAAGCGTGTTAAGCCAAACCTCATTTCCATCAACCGTCGTGGCGGCTTTGGTCACTCTACCGAGACCCGTAGGCGCGTAGTTGGCCTGAGAGAAGCGTTAGCTGCCAAGGCTGGACTCCGAGCATACTACTCTGAACTCACGTAGATGCCTTCCCATGATTTCTTCGGCGCAGCATAAACCTCATGCATAATGCTGATGTGTGCCAGCTTGTCAAGGTCGCGACGCCACCATTCCATAGTTTCAGTATGTAGCGGACCATGAGCGAATTGATGCATGTAGTCCTCATTCTCGAAGTAGACCATAACCATGTACTCGGATTGAACGCCACGATCAGCCACCGACAGCCATGGCGACGCACCGAGGTAGCCCCATTGTTTCGACTCCGCGTCGAGCTGTTCCATCATGCGTCTGAAGTAGTCGCCTACTGTGTTGTAGCCTGGACCGAACACGCCCAGAGGATGATTCGAGCGCACCGCTAGCATGATGGCGCAAAGCGAGCTTCCGGCAGGCTCTTCATGGGTGCCTTTCTCGGATGGAAACACAACCGCCGTCCGACCAGGGATCACATTATTCATGTACGGGTTGTGAGTTATGCCGAAAGCCTTGAGTAGCGTGGTAACGATTTCGTAGCCGAGAAATAGAAAAGCTGGTGCCACAAGCGCAATGTTGCGGTACGGCAGTAGACAGATTAAGCCTTGGATTACAGCGCCAACTGTCGAGTATCAGTATTGAAAGTCTTCTGAAGGGCACCCCTTTGGAGTCCCACCCTATTTGAGGAGACACTCGTTAGCAATCGAGACACTATGGCCGCTGATGGCGCTTACCAAAAGCCACACATGGAGACTGTAGTTGTCCTTGACCAGCTGTAGCACTCTGTCAGTCTAGAGTCGGTCTGGACAGGGCGGGAGATACGCACAGAGAGCAACATATATGGATTCGAAAAGTACTGCGACTTAGGTCGTGCCGCAAAGGGCTTGAAGATGGGCTCGTACGCCATGGCTATACTGGAAATATCGGTGACACTCGACAGTAGGAAGACGGGAGGCGCGAGAGGAAGCAGACGAGAGACGTTCACTCTGTCTTATCAATTGACCATCGCCTACCGTCTCAGCCCAGTAAGCGCACTCAGGTCGCCCGACGCAAGCCACATTCTCGTTGGTATACTTTGACAAGGTCCTCAGCTACAGAGGTACATGGTGCTGATCTGCCCGGCGCAGCGTGCTCCAGAACCTTAAGGGTGAGGGACAGCACTAGATGCGCAGGACGTGGGACTTCCCCCGCTGCTCCCGAAAGCCAGAGACCGGGGTGGCCGGAGCAGGCATCGAACTTCGCTTACCTGTCACTTTGCGCATGCGCTGAGCGACGGCAAGTGGCATAGTCGACCGCGCTTTACGCCCAGTAATGCTCGTACTCAGTAACATAGCTCATCAACAGTAAGTTTGAATAGTTCAGCTTGAAGATGGTAATACTGGACGGAGGAAACTGCCGACAGCAAGCGCACCTTGGCCGTTTGATGTAAGCGTGGCAGTGCGGGAAAGACAAAAGATGGTTCTGCGGTGCGGCTGCTCATCTGCATTACAACCACGTTCCCGAGGCTTGGCATCACGCGGTCGAGATCGTTGCGGAAGCAAGCTTCACTGTTCAGTATTAGCCTGGGCATTGAGCCGTCTTCGCTACACACATTGCACTAATAGCCCGTCTCGGTAAGGTCTGGCCGTTGGAAACGCGAGCTTCTGCCTAGCTGAGCCATGTTCGGGTTTTAGCGTTGCGCTAATACTTCTCAGCTTCCGTCAGACGACACAAGACAAGAAGGTGTGGATAGTTTAGCGACACAGACCATGTCGGTCGTAGCTTGCTTTCAAGCACAAATTCCGTCCGCTAACATCCACATTCGATGCGGGAAGAGCAGAAGAACACCCTCCATCGCAGCCTCACGTATTGGGCGCCTGGGTCGCTCATAACTCGAATGCGAGTGAAAGGTGCTCGATGCCATATAGCAATGGAGCAAACCTGCTAAATGCTCATGCCTTCTCCGGGTCATTGATGCCACCACTAGTGATAACGTAAGTCGCTTCGCGCTCAGGGCAGTCCGTGGAACATGTCAGCGGACTACTTCATTATCGTGAGATTTTGTGAGCTCACCTGGAGAGTCTTGGACCTTCGCCACTCTTTCCTCACCCCTGCCCTTCCTCAAGAGGATGCGTGTGGTACTGGCGTGCGCGACAACATGTCCTCCGAGAGGTTTCCTGCCGTCAGCACCAGCGAACAGTGTCGAGGCACCTGGATCGCTCTGGACTTGGTTCGTCATGAAGACGACAATGTTGAACTCGTCGGCAGTGGTCGCCAGCGCCCGAAGGAACAGGCCTAACTTCTGCTGACGCTCTGACAGTTCGCCACGCCCAATGTAATCAGTACGGAAGAGTGCCATCAGGCTGTCGATAACCAGCAAACGATATTCTCCAGTGACAAACTGTTCTTGTAGTGTCATGAGGAGTTCGTGCTGGCCCTCGCTGTTGGGCGCATGAGCTTGGATGATGTTTTCGTTCGCAGTGTCCGGGTCGATACCGAAGCGCTCGGCGATCTGGACGATACGCTCGGGACGAAACGTGTTCTCGGTGTCTGCGAGACGACTTAGCTGATAACCGCGGTGGTGGCATGCCCAGTGTTCGGACTTACCAATCCACGCGACTTTGCCTTCGCCTCCGCCCTGAGACTTGGGCAACTGCGCTATAACAGAGAGCGTGTGGGCAAGCTGCGTCTTTCTACAACGGTACTCGCCAAACACCTCGTTGATGCTACCGGATTGGAAGCCGCCAGCAAGGATGGAGTCCCACTGCTTGCTGCCGGTCGATAGACGGAAGCAGCGCTGGCGAAGCACAAGCGTTTCTGCTGCAGTGATGAAGCCGCCAGCGTTAGGCTGTTAACACGTCAGTACTTGCGTAAGCCGTGAGGGCGACCAAGGCTTACCAGGCATTTACGAGCCGCTTCCTTGATCTTCTCTACTTTGATCTCGGAGAAGCCTCGAATCTTCAGGAGAGTCTTTGACATGGTCGAATGCACAGACTATGCGCTGTTGATCAGATGCTGCCTGCTGCAGATAACAAGGGCAAGACTCACGGCGACTGTGTGGAGACTAGCACCCTTCAGCTTGATGATGTCCGCTTGCCCAATGCCTGCGTTAGGACTTAGCGATCGGTATGCGACGAAGACTGTGTTAGTCTACTCACCATGATTCTGCAGCTGCTCAATGTCGACGATGAAACTCTCGCACTGCACAGCGCCGTTAGCGAAGTCATGAAGAGCGTACGGTTCGCTCACCTCGCCGTCATCGCTACTGGCTACCGAGGCAGGCATGTTGAATGCTGTCTACGCTGATGTACACTCGAACAAGCTGATCTGCGATATAATGTAGCAGCAAGTGCGAACCGATCAGTGCACATGAAGCGTAGATGGTGCGAGATGGTAGGAGATAGTGGAAGTGAAGGCGGGTAAGAAAAGGTGACGAGATATTCTGCTTGACAACATGAGGTGAGGTCGCCATTAATTCGAACTGCTAACGACAACCATGTTCGTGAGGCAGGTAGTTGTGCGCGCTTTCCCAAGCAAAGCTGGTGTGGTCGTCCTGAAGTCGACCTCACCTCTTGGCGCCTTTGCGATCACGGGGTGAAGAACTGACAATGCTGTTTTTTTTGCGCAACATTGGATGTAAATGAGAAGGCCAAACAGAGTATGATGAAGGTAGAGTCATAGAAAAGGGTAAGAAATACTTTTTACGCTTGCAGACAAGGTGTGCGCTTCCATTGTGCACCATGGCCATGCGATAATTCAACTGAGACTTGTGTATAAACACACAATGCTGCCTTCTCCATCTCCCATCACGCTTTCACGCGCTCCTGATCCTGATCCTCATCTGCTTGTCAACCTCCCTCACGCGCTGCTTCAAGCACATCCACAATGCAGGCGCGCCGGATTTATGCTTCGTACTAAGGTGCAGGTATATGCGGGGTATTCATAATGATCGTTAAGTATTGCCTGTATGTCCTCGGAGTCATGATCGTGACATCGTGCGGAGGAATCAGAGTGAAAAGGCTCGTCGAAGAGACCCGGATGATCGTCAATGAAGAGCCTCTGCGAAAACAAGAATGAAGGGTCAGGTTCGAGAGCAAGTGTCAGGCGTGTACCGCAAGCGATGCTCCCTAAGCAGCCACTGAAGTTGGCGCAACAGTAGCCTCGGCGGGTCCACCTGCGCTCGGCGCCTCGTCACCGTTCACAGCAGCAGGAGTCGTGCCGTTCTGGGCGACGTTCTGCGGGCAATCTCTGCTGATATGACCAGCCTCGCCGCACTTGTAGCATGTCTTGCTGGCAGCATTCGCGTTCGCGGTGCCATTTGGAGCGTTGCAGTCCCGTGAGATGTGGCCCAGCTTGCCGCAAGCGTAGCACTTGACAGTGGACTGAGCTTGGCAGTCGCGAGCAAAGTGGTTCGGACCACCACACTTGTAGCAAGTTGCGGCTTGGTTGTTTCGCACACCAGCATAGCCGCCGCGGTAGCCACCTCGTGCTGGACCGCCAGCGCCACGGCCTACGGGGGCTGTTGGAGTTGCGGGGCCGGTGGGAGGCTGCGAAGTCGCATTCGTATTTGGAGTTGGGCAGTTACGCTGAACGAGGGTCAGCAGGGCGAAACGACGGAGCGTAGCAAGGATGGACATACAGCCAAGTGGCCTGTCTGTCCGCATGAATAGCAGCGTGCGCCTCCAGCGCCGCCGCTCAGACGCAAGGTCGGGCAATCAGCCTGCACATGACCGAGCCCTTGGCAATGATAGCATTGCTTTGCTGGATCCATGTGTTAGTATTGAGGATATGTTACTCAAGTCTGTGCGGAGAGACATACTCTCAGTCGTTCTGGGCTGTGGGCAGGCATTGCTCTCATGTCCTATGGGCGGTCAGCAATTCTGCAATGAGCCGCGCTTTCCGATCTATTGTCTCGTTCTTACCCGGCTCCTTGCAGTTGTAGCACAAGCGCTCACTGCTCGTGCACACCTCCGCATAGTGGCCAACGTTGCCGCATTTGTAGCAAGCACGGCGGGAAAGAGATGCCATCTCCTCCACTACGCGTCTCCTCTACCTGATCTTAGTTCCTGCTACCTGTCAAACAGTACGTCAGCAGCCATCAACATCGACCAAGGATACCTTTGCGCAGCTTCCCGAGACAAACAGGCTCTTATCGCTAATCGCGCAAGCCGTGCCGCATGAGGAAGACGAGAGAAGCATACCTTCTGCTTGAACCTACCACACTCGACACTCCTTCTCTCCGTACAGACCACCTCTCCTTCTGCCCTCGCCCAACGACAGCGATTCCACTCTGCTCAGTGCGACGTTGAAGGTTGCTATGCGAGGAAGAAGAAACGAAGACCTTTCTGCGACTTGCAAACAGAAATTACTGACACTAGTGCCGCGGGAAGCAGATCGCTTCCCGTGGCCTTGATTGCGGGCTTGCGGACTTCTGATTGGACGTGCCACTTTGGGTCAGGTGCCGACCAAGATGGCGCACAAACATGCCAGCGGCTCTACGAAGACGGACGCCACCGCATCAGGCTGAAAACAGAGTGAAAGCACCGTCTCGATCTTTGATCATATCTATCGTCCTGCGCTCGTGAAAAGCTCATCTCACCGACCCCATCATAACAACGCTCATTCAGAATACTTGGACCACCTAGTCCTCCTTCTCTATCACAGCTGGTGCTTTGATCTGTCTTCCCTTCAAGAACTCCAGACCTTCACCAGCATAGCTGATCAGCGGACTGACCTCGACACCTGCGTCCTCGCCTTCGCTGACCACGATAGCCCCAGCGTCCTCCAGGAACTTGCGGCCGAGCTGCATAATGTCGCGCCTTGACGTCTGCGGTTCGTCTTCACCCGTGCCGGGTGCGTTCTTCAGTGCTGAGAACTCCTCTTCGCGTTTGACCTCCTGGCAAGCGAACTTGTCCATCGACAAGAAGGGGAAGCAGTCGAACACAAATTGTTCAAGCTTGATACCGTTCGGCTTGTCGGGTTTCACCTGCTCGCCGGTCTTCGAGTCTAGAGGAATGGAAGGTATCTTCTTCTTAGCCACGTGATGCGGTAGTTGATGTGCCCACTCAGGGATGCTTTGCAGGAAGCGGAAACTGTAGTAATGATTTACAATGTTGGCGGCGCGGAACTTGAGGAGACTGCTGTCTTTCGGGTCTTTTGCTTCAGCTGTCGCAGCGTCGATTTCAGAGTACTCCACGACGTCTGGCTTGCCGTTCTTCTGCAGGATAAGACCGACAGACTCCTTAGCGTCCCGCTTGCGGACAACTTTCGTCGCGATGTCAACGTCCTTCTCTGCGCTAAATCCGATGAATGTAGGATCAGCAACGCGTACAAGGCAGTTGTCGACGCCAAACATATGGATGTGCTGGACGCCACGCTTCTCCATATCTTGCACCACGCCGCTAGCGATCAAGGCAGCGTAAAGACCGCCGTTGCCGTCAGGAGCGACAGCAACCTTCCCTTTCGTCTCCAACAGAATCTTGCCGTTCATGCTCAGACATGGTAGCACACCTTGTTCGAAGATGACGACATTGTTGCGATCGAGGCCGAAGTATTTGTGCTCCTCGAAGAATTGCTCCGTAGGCTTGCGCGTTGGGCCAGAAGTCATGATGTACCACGGTACAACCGCATCCGTGCTGTGATGCTTCTTTGCCAGGTACTGTAGCTTGCGGATCCGCTCTGCCTGCAGTTGGAACAGTGATTTCTTGCTCGGGAGACCGATGTCGTAGCAACCCTTGGGCGCCGAGCTGCCCAGCCTCGTACCTTGCCCACCTGCCATGAGCACAACCGCAACCTGGTTCTGCGAGATCGACTCTAGACCGGACTTGTACCATTTCTCCAGATCGCCTTGCTTACTGTCGATGGTGGAAGTCGTCGCAGACTCCGGTAATTGCTCGAGTACGGGCTTCTCATCTTCGCTAGTCGGCTTCGGAGGGTTGAGCGCCTTGTCGGCGATCTTGTTAATGTGCTCCGGGTCAATGGGTTGCAGCTGCTGAAACAACTGTCCCTTCTCATGCGGTTTCAGATCATCCCAATATGTGAACACCTGTCCCTGACCAGCCTTCTCGTACTTCTCTCGTAGCTCTTTCAGATCAGCATCAGCAGGAGGCTCCGCCTGCGGCTCGCTTTCCTGCTTCTTTCCTCCCAGATTGAGGGCTGACAGCATGCTGTTGAGCGCGTTGTTGATCGTGGACGTCATATTTGCAAGAGTCACCAAGAAATCGGGAAGATGAAGGAAAAGCGGAGTCTGGATGAAAGAGAGCGGTCGACAGCGTTTACTACATACAGGCTGAGCTGAAGCTGCACATGTCAGCCTTGCTGATCCCTCTCTGCAAACAACGTTGCCCCGCAAACAGTCCGACGTCAATGGATGCAACACACTATTCCATGACTCGTAAGCAGACATGAGATGTGCATTTCGAGTTGTTGTCTTGGTGCCATACGGATATACAAACTTCGCATAGGCTACAAACATATCAACTTCGAACGCTATTGACTTGGAACAGACTTGACCGTGCAGACCGTTGGAGCTTGGGCGAATAACCGCATAAATCGAGAGTTGCTCGCGTCTTAAACCTGCATTATAAGCTATGTTACGGGAATCTAAATCCAATCGTGAAGCTCGTCGAGATGCATTAATTGATAGCACTGCACATTATGGGCCATCCAGATCGTCCACAATCGTTCCATCCTCTCATGGCATGCCCATGAACAGTGAGAGCAGCGCAGGGTAGTTCGGCGTCCCTACAGTCATAGAGTCAGCATGGGTCTGGATTGGATACGGTCACTCAGAGCTCCACTCACCCAGTCCTGTTACTGGGTCCCAGCCCTTAGCCGCGAAGAACCCTGAAGTCCCGCACCCGCTGTTGTTGCCGACAGTGATATCATGCAAGACTTGGGGATTGGAATAGAGCGTTGGGTTGATGAATCCGACGGTCGACTTGCCGGCTGCCAGCCGTTGAGCGTTGACGCGCGTCATGATGGCTCCCCAGGCCGGCGACGAGGCAGATGTGCCTCCAATCAGTGTCGGAGCGCCGGCATTAAAAATAAGAACATTGTCGCCGATTGCGCTGACGTCTGGGTACCCTCTGCCAGCCCGGTTGTATATCCTGATTGATGGGCAGAAGAGTCAGCTTGTCAGTCTCGGAAATTCGTGGGATGATCTATTCTGCGCTCTGCTTACCCGCCATTAGTGTAACACGAGGATGAGTTGTACGTGCAGCTGTAGTAAGGGTATGGTGGATTGGACGTTGCGAAGTAGTTCGCTACCGCGGAAGATTGGTAGTCGGGGATGGGGTAGATGTTGCTAAAACCTTCGAGCACGCATAGCCGGTCAGCACACGTTAGGGCTTACGACAACGTCGGCACGCTTACCTCCACCGGATGGGAAGCGCGTGACAGCTACTTCCTGGTCCTTCTGTGCACTGGCTCCAGGAGGAAGATAGGTCGCTCCGACAGTGGTGAGGTATGGGCAGGTCGCTGGGAAGTCGGGGCTAAAGATCGTTCCGCCAGGGCCTAAGCAGCCATCTGGGTTGTCGTCACCAGCCGGACCGGAAACACCAGAGTCGCCAGAAGATACGAAGACTGAGACACCTTGCATTCCCAATTTCATGAACTCATTGCACTGACGTTGCTGGTAGCTCGCTGGCAGGTCAGCTTCTTGGCCTCCGTAGCTGATTGATATTACATTGGTAGGCTTGTAGACACCACACTGCAGAGACCCTTTATAGCCGCCGGCTGCAGGATCCGGATAAGGCGGGTCTAGCGGGCTATTGCCAGTCTCGTTAAATGCCGAGTAGGTGCAGTAAGAGCCATCAATGGCGTCAAGGAAGTTGTTCAGGAAGCCTTCGTAGGTATAGTTGGACTCATATACCGGGTCGTCAGTCTGGAAAAGGATCGAGTTTTGCGGCCAGATGATAGGATATGAGATCTGAAAGTCAAGGTCTGACTCTGGACCAGCATTGAGTAGGTTTGTAGTCGGTGCCACGGCACCGTCAATACCGTCCAGCTTCGGGTGGGTCCCTTGCGGTATGTAAGGTGCCAGTGTTGCGAAGAAGAGGTTGAGGTCCGTCTGGGAGTAATAGTCACCGAGGTCTTCGAATATGCCAAGTTCGTTTCCTGGCTGCGCCGTCGTGCTGTTCGTGATGTTGTACATGGCCATGATGCAATTTGGTGTTATCACTACGTCGCAGAGAGCAAGACCAAGGCTTCCCAGTGCTGGCAGGCCCGGAGGCATGGGCTTCGTTGGCGGTGGCTTGGGCTTGCGATTGGGAGCGATCGCAGTGCGCTTTGCGATGTCCGACTCTGCAGCCTTTGGTGCGCGATTTGCATAGAGCTTGATTCCGGGCGTGACATAGTCGATGTGCTGCTTGATATGCGCCGGGACATGGTACCTGGTGCGTGTAAGCTCGATGCGCAGTCAATGCTGCACTGATCCAGATCATGCTTACTCGTCGCAAGCGATGCTGGTTGCACCTAAGCCGGCGTGCTCATAGAAGTGGTAGTTGGTCTGAAATAGCTCCTCAGCCTCGGAGGTCTTTGCATCAAATTGCAGCCACTGCTTGTTCGCCGATTGCGAAACACGACTCGCATGGATGCCTGCAGACTCGAGCCATGCTTTGACGGCTTCAACAGCATCATTTGCCGGCGCGAAGATGTCAATCACCTCTTCAGCCGAGAAATGCTTGCCATAGTTCGGAGATTCGGGATGAGACACAGACATAAGCATGCTGTGTCCCTTGTCGAGGTTGCTCTGAGTGAGGCCTATCCGCATGGGAAGCTTGACGTCCTCATACAATCTCTCGCGCTTGACCCACAATGAGCCTGGTGTACGCTTCTCGTGGAGGACATGACCGGAGTTTTTTGGCGTGGGTGCAGCCCAAGCGAAAGTGGCGCAGAACGCCATGAGGGGAAGAGTGTGGAAACGCATGATGAGAACTGCCTACCGGATCTCTGAAGCTGAAGAGGAAGCAATATGCTCGTTGCGACTTGGGCAAAGCTCACTATATGCGTTCCGCCCCCTCTCGGGCTTGAATTATCGCCGGCGGTGGCAATGCTATATATTAGACTTGCAGGAGGATCACGTAGACGGCATTGGAAGGCGCGCATCTATCGTTTGCGATGCCTGTGTCTGAGTGGGTGGTTTGGAAATTGCCTCGGACGATCAATCTGCGCGTCCCATAGTAGATGAAGAGATAATGCCCAGAGAGATCTTCAAGCCAACCAGAGAAGACGAAGAGTTGCCTTTGCGAAACGCGGGCATCGGGTGACTGCTAGATAAGGCAGGAGCTCACGCCGTAGAACCTCGGTGGGTGGACTACAAAGAATGGTCGACAGAGTAGCGTGGAAACCTCACGGTAGGTTGGTATTGGGCCTTCCTTTTACGGTGGTTGATCGACGCCTAGTGAATCTTAGCATACGGATAAGCTTGCAACATGACTCCACACTTTCTTGTCCGTCGATTGTACCCCTTGGTCATTTGACCGGCCTCCAAACGATAGATGCAACGGTGCGCATATCGCTGAAGTTCCGTGACCAGGCGCAACACTCTACGGTGCAAGGGTCAGTTCAAGTAAAGATTGGTGCCCTTCCTACCGCCTCCGAGCAGCACATGCAGTTCCGAAGAAGACCTTCGCGTTTCTTCGGCGGTATAGCTATGAAGACCCCGGTGACGGAAACCTCAGACGGGTGGAAAGGTTTGGCTCCAGACTCGAAGGGCCGGTCAAAAGCTCCTGAGTATCGCACGTGTGAAGCCGAGCAATTGAACTGCAGCTGTTTTGCTGGTGTTGCTACAACGGCGGGGGAGGCTGCTATTTGTCCGGGGTGGTTCACGATCAGTGGACCGGACCGAAGCGCACCTTGGATGAGCGCGACTGGGAAGACCTTGAAACGGACAACTTCCAATCGCTATTCGTCAATACTCCTATGCTTGCCTGAACTCCAACCCAGTTACCGGCTAGGCCGCACAAGCTCAGAATGAAGTCTTAGCTGTGTATCTGGACCCACTCTCTCACTCATGCCCAGGATATCTTGTTCGTGTTACTAACCCGGGATGCCTTTTCAATTTCGACTCCTTGCAGACACCTAAACTCGCATGGCGAACAGTGAGTTCGGATACGTTCGCAACTTCGAGCAACGGGACGCACTGCCGCCTTCGAACTGGATCGTTGTCCGCATTGACGGCCGTGGGTTTACCAAGTTGTGCAAGAAGTACGACTTTGAAAAGCCCAACGACTTCCGAGCGTTGAAATTGATGAATGACGCTGCAGTTGAGGTGTTACGCTCGTTTGTTGACGTTGTCATTGCCTACGGGCAAAGCGATGAGTACAGTTTCGTCTTTTACGAATCCACAACGCTCTTCGAGCGACGTGCAGCTAAGCTGGCTACGAGCATTGCCACCGCTTTCACAGCCGAATACTGCATGCAGTGGCCCAATCACTTCCCCGACAAGCCACTGACCAGGCCGTTTCCGACGTTTGATGGACGATGCGTATGTTATCCGAAGCGTAAGGTACTGCGGGATTATCTGAGCTGGCGGCAAGCGGATTGCCACATTAACAATCTTTACAATACTACCTTCTGGAGTCTTGTGCTTAAAGGCGGCCTGACAGCTACAGAAGCTGAACAGGAACTGAAAGGTACCGTCTCCAGTGACAAGAATGAGCTTCTCTTCTCACGTTTCGGCATCAATTACAACAAGGAGCCGCAGATCTATCGGAAGGGAACCGTTGTTCACCGGTCGCAGGAACCAAGCAGCTGCACAACTGGGGGTACCAATGGTTCGATGGAAGCAATCAAAATGCCAATTCCGGTCAGCAAAACACAGCTGGAGAAGGAGCGTAAGCGCAAACAGAAGGCCACAATCGTTGTGGAGAATGTCGACATCATAGGCGACGCTTTCTGGGAAACACATCCTGATATCCTGGCCAGCAAGCGCAATCAAGACTTCGGAGAATGAGAATTCCACAGAATACAAGCCTGCTCCCCCGGTGGAGTAGGTACGGCATACAGTGTCAGAAGCAGAAACCCTATTTGGCCTACCGATGGCGAACGTTACCGGGCAGTGCCACCACCAGATCTGATGGTGTCGTGCTACCTTGCCTTCATGACCGATTCTGGCGTACAGACAAACGCGTGGAGCTGTCCGCGAGTGAAGGCTAGATGACTGAGCAGACCTCCGCAAAGCAGGACCAAGTCATCAATGAATAAGTCTGCTTCGACCTACAAGGTGTTGTGCCTCGGCACACAATCAGTATATCTTGGGGCTTGCGAACCTCCGAAAAAGTTCAGACATGGTGTAATTTTCGGCTCGATAGATAAAGCGGTTTGCAAGATAGTGCAGTCGGTCGGAGAGGCGGAGAATGTGCCTGTAGCGCGCGGAAACAGCCGCACTCGCAGCTCGCTCCGCCAAAATTTGAACGAAATCTTGGCGCGCTCTTTCTCCAAGTCTACTGCGCATTCATTGATTCTATCGCAGTCCAGCTGCATGGACACTGGTGCCTACCTTCGCAAGCAAGGTTGGCTTGGTGACGGTCATTCACTTGATCATACGGGTAAAGGCATCAAAAGGCCTTTGCTCGTCAGCAAGAAGGTCGACGTACTTGGAGTCGGCCTGAACAAGCATACAGCTGTCTCGGATCAGTGGTGGCTGCGCGCCTTCGATCAAGGTCTCAAGGCATTGGGCACGGGCCAAGAGAGTGTATTGAGTCAAGTACAAAAGCACGGAGTGAGTCGAGGCGGCCTGTACGGACGGTTCGTGAAGGGAGATGGTGTGCCGGGCACTATTGGATCAAGTCCAGCCAAGTCCACACCTATAGAGCCAAGCACTCCGGCCGAGCTTATATCGGAGTCTACAACCACGATGGCAATCGATATACCACCTCCAGACAAGCTGGAGCGAGTCGTGGGCCAGCATGCAGACGCAAATGCTAAAGCGGCCCAGATGCATGTGCTGCAGAATCCACAAGACGCACCTAGCGGCATGCTTAAAATGCTCGACAGGAAGCGAAAGCGAGCGGAGAGACCCGTGGAGAAGCGCGCACGACGGAAAACCGAGAGGCAGGAGCGATCAATTCAGCATGCAGCAGACGCAAGGCAGCAAGCCATCGAGGATGGCACATTCGATGCAGAAAGAGAGGCAGAGCGAAGACGAGAAGCCGAGGTGAATAAGCAAGCCAGTGCATTCGTGCTAGAGGCACAGCGGGCGGGCATTATTCCAGTCGGTCCGAACGAGATTCGCAAAGGCCTCGTTCCTACTGGCGCCAATGCAGTAATGAAGCCGCTGGACGCGAATGGACTGCTCGCTGCCCTTATTGCGCAGACAGGCTTGGCGGACAGGACAGAGCAGGCTAAGAAAGGCTCGATCAAGGCGCAGAAGTACGCCCGAGAGAAGATGAAGCGTGAGCTCAAGCGAGCTGCGAAGGCGTTCCTGACTGGCGAGAAGCCGCCTTCCGAAATGACACTCGAGGAGAGGAAGGCTAGGAAGGAAAAGAAAAGGCTTCAACGGGCTGCGAAGGAGAAGGTGGTGAAGGAGACTCTCGCTGAGCGCACGGCGAGACGTGAGGAGACGGCTCGCAGAAAGCGAGACGCTCGAGCCAATAGGGCTCAGGAGAAGGCGGAGATTGAGAAGATCATCAAGCTTCGCGATGCGGCTGCAGCAGCCGGCAAAACCGTGGAGGAATATGAAGCCGAGCTCGCGGCTAACGTCAGGGCTACCGACGAAGCCAGCAATGAGTTCGATGCTGGCGTTGATGAGGTCAGACTCGGCGTGAACAGTAAAGGTGGCCAGAGGAAGATCCCAGGCGTCGGTGCGGTTGATCGTTACCCCACCAAAGGCGAGAAGAAGCTGAAAAAGATCAAAGCCATGGCCATCGAGCAGAACAAATCAATTGAGCAAATCCACCAAGTTCTTGCCGCTGAGCGCAGACATAAGGAGATTGAGGAGAAGGAGAAAGTCGACCGCTACCGCGCAATGAAGCACGGTATGACGTTGCTGGAGTACAGGCATGCCCTAGCTAAGGGCGATGTGCACGTGCCGAAGGTTGAGAAGAAAGATTACCCGCAGGAGAAGCTGGACGAGTATATGAAAAGGGCGCAGGAGAAAGGTGTGAGCCTTGAAACATACATCAAGCGGCGAGAGGAGAAGTATGCCGCGAAACAGGTGGAGAAGCTGGGCAATCCTTATTAAGCGGATCTTCATAATGCTGCTACAAGCGGTGCCGACATCATTATGGCTGACGACAAACCAATGAGAAACGGTCATGCAGACCAGGGCGCATCACTTGGCTTCGTGGTAGACACTGCTGGCGACGCTACCCTCGGACAACTCGCACCGTCCCTGAGCAAGAAGGTTAGGAAACAAGGCGAACCTGATCCGCTCTTCACCGGAGCCGTGTCACATATTGTCGACAAGAAGCCGCTCGCCATCGTTGACACCGAAGGCAACGAGACATTCCGCTGGGAACCGCACATGCCTGTCCCTATGGACCCCCGTCTCTGGCAAGGCGTTGTCGTCAAAGAGCTTCCGAAAGCCGTCCGGAAAGTCCGCCGTGACTGGATGGCTGCCCGTCGCGCGGAGAAGAAGAGTCGCGAATCACAAGGCAGCAAAGCACCGCTCCAGAAGAAGAGTAAAGGTCAGCGCAAGGTCGAGGCTCGTGAGGATTTCGTCAAGAAGGTTTTGCACGAGAGCCGTCAAGCCGTCAAGAATGCTCCCGATGGTGTGCGGCCGGCCGAAATTTATGTCAGCATCGATGGCATCAACGACGTGCCGTTGGTGAAGGTGGAGTCATTGTACGGACCGTTCAAGAAGGGCGAGTTGGCCTTGGCACGAACGGTGGCCCGGCGGGTGTTGAGGAATGTGAAGCGGGCGCTCAAGGCGGAGAAGGGGAAGGGGAAGGGGAAGGGGTGGAAGAAGAGGGAGCGGGCTGCGAAGGATGCAGCGACGAATGCGGGGATCAGTGGGTTTGTAGATCGTGCCAGGATAGACGTCAAGGCTGGGAGTGCGGTCAAGGATCTGTTGCTGTAAGCCAGACTATGATGTCGGAATAGCGCCGCTTTCGTTCACTATCAATCGCTGAGCGCAGTAAAAAAGTTGGCAATCTACGGAGTCGACGTGGGTATGTTGGCATGCTCTCGAAGACATACTTGCTATGCCGAACTCTCCTCAGAAAGTACTCCACTCGGAAGCTTCTCGCTGCTGACAACATTCACCCGTCAAGACATATCCACTGCTGCGACTCAATGACCCGACCGTCCGCCATCTGCGAGACTGTGTAAGCCTAGCCCTCCGTATCACCGGTGCCGATCTCATGGACTCACGACCACGACAGCGGCTTGTCAGAACCCGCTGGATTCCTTGGCCTTAACCACACTCACCGGTCAGATTTCCTTCTTGTCACCACTCGAAAGTGGATGTGTGGGAGTGTGCTTTGCCCTGAAAATTACCCGACAAGGCTCAGCACCTCAATGGATACATTACACGCTACATGCCGCATGAGCGTATTGTTTGCTCCACACGTATTCCAGAACACCGCGATCTTCACTGGAGTAAGTCTACAATCACCGTCACGCCGTCCCTACTTTCACAACTGGGAACCTAAGAATACACGAAAGCTCAGGTTGTACTCGTTGTTAGTGGCGTTCGGACTTCCAGGACGGTGCCAAGTGTAAGTAGGCTTTGATCTCGCTGCCGTCGTCTTCGATTTGAGGTGGGTGAGAAGGGTGGAGCGGAATGTGTCGGGGTACTTCTTCGTAATGCATGCCTGATACGATTTACCATCTTATTCAGTCTCCTCGGCCACATGTTGACTTTCCATTCCCAATTCTTGTCGTATCGGTATCCGCCAAGTTGATCGCCCCTGAGATGGAACCTGCCGTTGTAGCGGAGCGTCGTGACGCACAATAAACCTGAGCAACAGCATAGGATTCGTGGCTGCGTATATAGGTCTACGTCTCCGTACGGAGAGTATTCATCGAGACGCATACGGGCGTGACCAACGCAGAACGCGGCCTTTGTGGTCAAACTTCCCCTTGGCTACAGTACCCATGCGGATGACTAGACAGCTCCTTCACCACCTTGATCAGTATTACAGCGTGCGAGCACAGTACACGACCCGATGCATCAGCATTCACATCTTCATCGTCGAATTTAAGGAGAGAAACCCGCGTTCGCTGTGGTACTGACTACTGAAACAGTGGAGTCGAAGGTCCAAGTCAAGCCGGAACCAAACCCCACCAAATGGAAGGATTCCATTTCCTGCAATCAGGCTAAGAGTATTTCACCACGCTTGCCTACCACAACAGCAACAATGAAGTATATAACATAAGAAACCCCCCTCCCTCCAACCCAACCAGAAACCCGACGAAAAATGACCACCCGCCCTCGCCGCCGAAAATGGGCCCTCATCACCGGCGTCTCCCCGTCCGGACTTGGCTCTGCACTAACCCAAGAACTCCTCCGGCGCAGCATAAACGTGATCGCCACCACCCCGGACGCCTCCCTCCAGCCCCTAGCACACCTCTCCTCGCCCACACCCACTTACACGAAACTAGCAACGCTCCACCTGGACGTCACATCCGCTCCCTCCATCTCCACAGCCGTCTCCCAAACCTCGGAATTCACGGGCGGGAGACTGGATTATTTGTTCAATAATGCCGGGTACGGGTACATGTCCCCCCTCCTCTCCGCGGACTTGGACGCCGTGCGGCGAAATTTCGAGGTGAACGTTTTTGGGTTGTTGGCCGTGACGCAGGCTTTCTTCCCTCTGCTGCGGGAGGCGAGGGGGGTGGTGGTGTGCGCGGGGAGTATTGCCGGGCTGTCGGGTTGCTATCAGCCGTTTATCGGCAGTTATTCCGCGTCCAAGGCGGCGGTGGGGAAGGTGGGGGATACGTTGAGAGTCGAGTTGGCGCCGTTTGGGGTGAAGGTGAGTTTCTGTAACCCCCTCGCTCTGCTTGTCCCGACACTTTCTGGAGCTCTGATTGTGGCGATAGGTCGTCACGCTAGTGACAGGCGACGTGCGTACGCAGTTCTGGGAGAACGCTCGAGCGGCTTCGCCTCGTCTCGCCCCGGACTCGCCGTACGAGCCGATTCGTGCGAAGGCCGAGGCGATGATGGCGGGGAAGACGAACCCGGCTGGCCAGCATGAGGCGGAGAGGTGGGCGAAGGAGGTGCTGAATCAGGTACTCGCGCCATCGCCGCCAGGTCATGTGCGGAAAGGGTTCTTGGCGTGGGCGATGTGGATTGTCAGCTTGTTGCTGCCGTACTGGTTGCTTGATTGGCTGTATGCGCGGACTTCCGGGTTGGGAGAGCTCAGAGGGCACGTCATAAAGGCGAGATCGGTGAAGAAGACGCAATGATAGTGACTACACCTCAAACCTCACCGCCTCATCTTCTTCTCCAACCTCCTCCTCTTCACCTCAAACGCACCCCCCATCCCACTATCCCTCGGCCCGTCCGCCACACTCCCACTCCCTCGCTTCCGACTCCGATCCAACACACTCTCTCTTCCCCCTTTCCGCCTCGTCACCTCCCCAATCCGATCCGCCGCATCCCCCAACCCCCTCCACTCCTCCCCTCCAAAGCCACCCGCCACCTCATCCCTTCTCGGTCCACGATCCTTCTTCGCCTGCTTCGGCAAACGCACCAGATTCATCTCTTCGTACTCCCGCCTTTCCGCATCCTCCGCCATTTGCTTGGCGTTCTTCGTCCGACGTCCGGCCAGCGCGATGGTGCTGCCTATACTCGGTTCGGCTATGGGTGCGTCGGCGAGTTCGGTGGAGATGTATTCGTCCACGATGCGTGAGCGAGTTGGTCTCCTGCTATTCTCTTTTTGCTCGCGGGACTCGGGGGTGGGCATGGCGGTGGCGGAGATGCGGGGCGGGCGGTAGACGCCGTCTTTGCGACTCTTTCCCGGGCTGGCCGCTACGGGATCATCCCTTGTGCCGGCTGGCTTGGCGAGGAAGGCGGTGTTGGGGCGGTACGTGTTTTCGTCTCCTCCTCCTGCCGCATCGCTTTCGCTGTCGGAGTCTGAATCGTCTTCGCCCTCATCCCGCACCTTCCCGTTCGTCGCAGTAAGAGCGTGAGCAGCCTGCTGAGCGGCAAGTCGCTCCTGATCATCTGCCGCCTTGACCGCTCTGTCAACCTGGTACTTGATTCTCTGCTCCAGCGGCCTCACACCTCGCTCCAGGTACACGCGGTGCTCAACCAGCTTCTTAGTAATCTCCTCGTTTACGTCCTGCACAGTCGACAGCTCCGCTCCTTCCTTAACACTTCGGATGACGCTCAAGTTGCGCAAGGCAAGCGCCTGTAGATACGCCAGGAAGAGGTCGGTCTTCGTGTCGAGCAGCGTGATGCCATTCTCCGGCGGCAGCAGCGACTCGAGTGCGGGTAGGGCTTGAGTCGCGGCTTCCGTGGCCGCGGTAAAGCTGGACAACACCTCCGTCAAGCCCGTCTCGACCGCCATCGCGAAGTTCCGCCTTGGTCGAGTCCTGGGCGAATGAAGACTTTCACGTGCAAATTGCGCCTCGAACAAATTCTGGTGCACGGATCATCTGCAAGCGGAATCGCTCCGCTTGAAACATCAGTGTCGAGCGTGCCTTCCATCTTAAATGAATGCACTGCGCTCTTTCCCTACCATATATCGTCAACAATGGCGAAACTGTTGAAGAAACCGCTCAAGCTCGCGCTAATCCAACTCTCGACCGGCTCCGACAAGTCTGCCAACCTCGCCCGCGCCCGCTCCAAAGTGCTCGAAGCGACCTCCGCCGGCGCAAACCTCGTCGTCCTCCCGGAATGCTTCAACTCCCCGTACGGCGTGAAGTACTTCGCCAAATACGCCGAACAACTCCTTCCCTCCCCGCCCACCAAAGACCAATCCCCCTCCTTCCACGCCTTATCCGACTTGGCCAAGGAAGCCAAGACCTATCTCGTTGGAGGCAGTATCCCGGAATACTGGCCGGAGACGAAGAAACACTACAACACCTCTCTCACCTTCGATCCGGAGGGTAAGCTGATAGCGACGCATCGGAAAGTGCACCTCTTCGACATCGACATCCCCGGCAAAATCACCTTCCATGAATCCGAAGTACTATCGCCAGGCAACAAAGTCACCATTGTAGACTTACCGGAGTACGGCAAAGTCGCAATAGCAATCTGCTACGACGTCCGCTTCCCCGAACTCGCCATGATCGCCGCCCGCAAAGGCGCATTCCTCCTCCTCTACCCGGGCGCTTTCAACCTCACCACCGGCGCTCTGCACTGGGAGTTGCAAGCCCGCGCTCGCGCGATGGACAATCAGGTTTACGTCGGGTTATGTAGTCCCGCACGGGATATGGAGGCCGAGTATAATGCGTGGGGGCATAGTATGGTTGTTGACCCCAATGCGGGGATTGTGGAGCAGTTGGATGAGAAGGAGGGGATTGCTTATGCGGAGTTGCGGAATGAGAAGATTGAGGAGACGAGGAGGGGGATTCCTATATACACGCAGCGGCGGTTTGACGTGTATCCGGATGTTAGTGAGGGAAAGGTGAAGTACGAGGAGTGAGGAGGAGGTTGTTGGGTCTGGTGGGGTGGAGTAGGAGCGAAGCGATGCAACCATTGGCGGAAGTTACGAACGTCCACAGCGTGAAAAGGGAAGGCTCGCGAACTTCGCCGAGGCTAAACGTGGGAGCTGCTGCATATCTAACGTAGCTGCCGCGAAACATTGCAAAGTCCACGCGAATCCGGTACACAACCTCCTCTTTGGCCTCACACACATTCCTCCGGTCTCAAACACCGTCCGAGTCATGTCACATCCTGCCGCACACACCTATCCTTAGAGTCTAGCGCTGGCCGCTGACGCTGTCGATACCCTCGAACGGATTCCGGCCGTACCGCCCAAGGAGCACTCGGCCATCACGCTCGCTTCAAATATCTAAATATTGAACGGTGTGCCATTACGAGTTCTGGCCGACACAACACTTCGCACTCCTATCAATGCCCGGCCTAAGCTTCACACATTGTCCCGAGCACGGCGGGAATGGCGTCAGCACTAAATGGCAGGACACCAAGCAGAGCGATGAAGGCGCTTCATGATGCCGCAGGCGCCGTTGACCGTTCACTAACGAACGTCGAACTCACGAGTGTACCACGCGACCGCCGACTGGGAAGTGGTGAGAGACGGCTCGACGCGCATAAAGCGGCGTTCGAGGATGGCACGTTAGAAAAATCTATGACTGCACAGCAAACGAACCAAGGCTGGATCACTCGCAAGAAGCTTCCGTGGCTTGATGGGCCGCAGTCGAGCAAGCCGGGTGAGGTACCTGGAGCATGGCAGTCAAGTCTCGAGCTCGCCACTGCGCCGGCGGACGCTGACGTTACAGTACCCGGCTTCGTTGCAGTAGCTCCCTCCCCGTCAAAGAGGGAGAAAGCTCGTGCCTCTATCAGCTCAGTAGGCGGTCACCCATCGCTCCGCGCCATCGGTTCATCGGCCTCTCTCCGTAATCGACCGAAGAGCGTCCAGCGACCACGAACGCTGTCGCTGAACTCCGACCCACGACCGGGCGTCCGAGCCGCTGTCTCGACCAAGCACCAGGCCAAGCGCGCATTGGGTATTGTCAGCGAGCAGTCGACTAGGATCGAGGATTATACGCCTTCTGAATACAGCACCACGATCTCTTCTGACGCTGATCACGCCCCAATGACTGAGCTGGAGCCTATGCCTTCCACCTTGCCTAAGCGAGACCCGTCATCATACGAACGGCTGGTGCAACAGCCATCTGCGAAAGTGCAGCGCGGACGACCGAAGCGAGGTATCTCACCGCAAAAGGTCGATCGAGCACTAGACTTTCCTTTCAACGAAGTGGCGCCGCTGTCCATGAAGCGAAAGTGCGAAGACGACTGCAGCAGTTGTCGACACTGTGACTCGCCTATATTGGAGCGAAAACAAAGCGAGCTGCGGTCTCCATTGAAAACTGCCATGTCGCCTTCAGGGCGGTCAGATATGCCGCCTTACCTACCGCCGAAGAAGCAAACGACAATGCCCAAGCCTATCGTAAAGCGGGAGACGCTGCACGCGCTGCCCTCCCACCTCATGGCGCCTTCTTCCTCGACCTCATCAAGTCTTCCCTCCCACCTCAGAGTAACAAGCCCAGACATCTCCTCTCCGCCGTCGCGAACAAACACAAAGCTGCCGCCGCCCACTAAGCGAGAGCGGCATGACGATCAGCCTTCGCCGAAGGAAATCCTGCAAGGCCCCGCACCTGCTGTGATCAAGCATCGCAACCTCCGTCGCGAGAACCGCTCACTAAACAGCGCGGTCACCGGGCTAGAGGACCTGCTGGAGCAAGCGCTGGACGTGGCCAGAGATGCGGCGAGCTCTGGTCGGAAGGATGAGGTGGCGCAGATACTGAGCTCGGCGACTGCGGCTTTGCGGCAGGCTAGTAACGCTTTGCCTATGGATCAAAGTCTTGGGCGGAGCATGACCGACTACCGTGCACGTATTGAGCCTTATCCGCGTGGTGACGATGCGTCTAGCTCTGGCAGCGAGACACCCACTAACCCCTCCACGCTACACACTCGCGCCGACTCAGCAGGTACAGCCCCAACCATCTTCACCCGCAGCGCAAAATCCAGCGCCCAGCCTCTCGTCTCCGAGAAGTACAGAAAAGACGGCAAATCCCTCACCTCCCTACGAGCCGCACGAGTCTCATCTTCGAGCGAACCCTCAATGACGAATACCCCACCCCGACTCTACCAGCCTGCCTCCGCCGACTCCATCGTGCGTGATTTCGCTTACGCTGGCCGCCGACTCACACGCGCACAAGCACGGTCGCTGGATCTCCGGGCCACGTATGGCGCTGCGGCGGACTTCTATGGTGATCATGGGGAGTCTGTTGCTGCTCAGCCGGGGGTTAGACGGAGTGTTGTTGTTGAACGGGTGTTGGAGAAGCCGAAGCCGAAGCGGAAGAGGGGACGGGTGGGTGAGGGGGCTAAGGATGGGTTTGAGGTGCGACCAGCGCCGCTGCCTTTGAAGGATAGAAGCGCGACCGGGAGTGATCTGACGCCACTTCCACAAGCGCGTATGGATGCTGTTCCGTCGAGAATGATGGAGGCGCGGGATGCGAAGGGAGCGACTTTGCCGCAGCGGAGCAGGAAAGCTGTAGCGGATGGCCTCTTCGAGCCAGCGTATGCGGTCCCCTGATGCGTTGGTGACAGATTGTGACTGACCTATCTCCAGCTACTTCCGCGTCCCTGACGCTTCCCACCCTGCCGCCCAAGTCTCAACCCTCACGAACACAAGGGCAGCACCTCCTACCACAGACTCTCAGACAACACCGCCAGCAAACCTCAAGCTGAGTCCAAGGTCAGTACTACAACACCCTACATATGCACCTCAGCTGATGGACAATCATGTTGACAGGCGGCATATTAGCCTGAAAGGAGGCCAGGGGTTTTCTCTCGGCCGCTATCACAGACGCCAGCCGATTGCGAGGGAGTGGCATACACTTCGCAAGCGCATCACGGCGGCTGTTGCGTGCGCGAACACGGTGTTCATTGGGTTGATCGCGGGCATCTACGTATGTATGCGTCGTTGGTACGTTGGAAGAGGAGTTGCTGACAGCGTAGGACAGGCCGGCGAGGTACCCCGGATCCAGTATCAGATCCAGGATCTGAACCACGAGGTTATCTTGGGCAATGTGCTGTGAGTAACCCCAATCATGCATCGTTCCATCTCAACCGTATAAGGCTAACAACGACCAGCCTCTTCCTCGGCCTGGGTCTTTCAACCTTAATCTTCTGGCCCTTACCTCTCCTCCATGGCCGCAAACCCTATACCCTCCTCGCTTTCGCCTGCATGCTGCCTTTGCAATTCCCGCAAGCACTCGTAGTCGCCGGCTTTCGCGACCCGAATAATTCGCTTTACCGCTGTGGCCTGCTCATCCCGCGCGCCTTCACCGGCTTCGCCCTGGGCTTTGCGAATGTAAACCAGCTTCCCACGCTGTTCGATCTCTTTGGCTGTTCCTTGATGTCTGAAGCGCCGCATCAGGAGATCGTGATGCAGGATGATGTTCGCAGACAGGGTGGCGGTGTGGGCATTTGGCTAGGTTTATGGTCTTTCTGCTTCGTCGGCTCGCTGTCGATCGGTTTCTGCATCGGGGCTTGCATCATCTCCGGTCTGGATCCGAGCTGGGGCTTTTACATTGTCGTCATCATGCTGGCGGTGGTGTTGTTGGTCAACGTCATTGCGCCCGAGACGCGAAGGGCACCGTACCGCCGTTCGATTGCCCACTTTATCGACAACGACGAGAACCTGAGGCGCAGAGTGGCGAGAGGCGAGGTGAAGCTACACATATCCAATGAAGGTCCCAGGTGGTGGTGGCAGGAAGTATTGGCCGGCGTCATCCTATCTACGCGCATGACGCTGCAACCCGGCTTCTTCGTCCTGGCGTGGTACATTGCCTGGATCTACGCGCAGGTCACGCTCGTCATCTTGGTGAGCCTACCACACCACACCACTTCCCTCACACATTCTTCAACCTGCTAACCATCCCCAGCTGCTCGGCGCACTCCTCTCCCGTGACTACCGCTAGAAGCCGCAGTACGTGGGCCTCGCCACCCTCTCCCTCGCCCTCGGCGCCATCCTCGCCATCCCCCTCGCCAAAGCCTCCATCTTCTCCCGCGCCCGCTACAAACCCCAACGCACGGACAGCATGACCATGCGCTCTCCTCGCTTCACCTGGTCCTCCCACCTCATTCGCCGCTGCACCTTCACCCTGCTCCTCCCTTTCGCGGCCCTAGGCTACACCCTCACCGCGCCCGGCCCGAGCATCAACTGGTCCGGCCCCACAATCTTCGCCGCACTCATCGGCTTCTTGTCCAACCTCGCCGTGGCGGAGACGGTGGGTCTGATCATGGAGACGTTCGACACGTGCGACCTCCAACCGGGCAGTAACCAAAAGCACCGCTTACAGTCCATGGCGGAAACGACACGGCGACGACGAACAAACTACTCCTCCTTCCCTCGCGTTTGCGCGGGTTTCTTCGCAGCGCAATCCCTCGGCTTCTTCCTCGCCGCCGTCGCGACAGCTGTCAGTGGCGAGCTGACGCGCGCCTTGGGCGCACAGATCGCCATCTCCACCGTCGCGGCTATACTGCTCGTCATCACCGTCCTTTTCATCCTGGTGATGGTGCGGTGGAAGGAGGTGCAAGTCATACCGAACAGTGTCTTTGAGCGCGCCACGAAGAAGGGGAGTGTCGCCTGGGGCGCAGATGATCCGGAGTGGAGGCCCGTCATCATTGGCAATCCGTCGGGCAAGATGCGGAGGGTGAATTTGCTGGAGTTGGGGAGTCAGAGTCGGTGGACGGAGCTAAGGCAGTTGAATAAGCTGATCAAAGAGTGAGAGCGATGAACGTGGTGAAGGCGAAGGCGTGCTATGAGTTGCTACCTAAGCTCCTGAACTATCTGTATAACAGACTACGCCGGCTGCTGCGTACCTGCAGCTGCCACGTTGACCTCTGCTACCGCCCACTGTGCCAGCAGAACCATTGGGGTATCTATACTTTTCATCAACCGTACCGACGCCACGCTAAACATGCAGAGCCATCGTAAGTGGTACCATTATCATCATCATGCTTTCCAGCCTTCACCTCTTCTCTCCACATTCTCAACGGTCCGCCCGCTGCGGCACATAGTTAACCCTCTGTTCCGGCCTCGCGGTGACACCGAACAGATACGCCAGCTCCTGCACCCCAAGCCTCGCAATATTCTTACTCGCATTCTCATCCAGCGCCGTACTGATTAGCTCCCTCTTCCGTTCCTGGATCTCGATAATGCGATCCTCCACCGTCTCCTTAATCAACATCCGATGCACCGTAACCGGGTGCTCCTGCCCGAGGCGGTGCGCACGATCAATCGCTTGCTCCTCGATGTAGGGGTTCCAGAACGGATCGAGGATGATGACTTGGCTAGCCATGTTGAGGTTGAGCCCAGCATTGCCCGCCTTTAGCGAAACGAGCATGATGCGGAGATCTGGGTCGGTCCTGAAGTCATCGACGGCATCGGCACGTTCGCGGGCGTTCATGCTGCCGTCGTAGCGGCGGTAGCCCCAGCCTTCGCTGTCGACTGGGATCTCGAGGAGGTCGAGCAGAGAGGTCCACTGAGAGAAGATGAGGACCTTCTCGCCCCGCTTCACTTTCATGATCTCGTGGAGCGTCTCCATGGTCTTGTCGATCTTGGCGGAGGAGACCCAGTTCTCACGAAGCTTGCGAAGATAGGTTTTGCGGGCTTTCATGCTGCGGGTGCCGAGCTTGCGCAGGTCGGCCAAGGTGATGGGCTTAGTGTCCTTCTTCTTCTTCGACTTCTTCTTCTCCTTACCCTTGCCTTTGCCCTGCTTCGACTTCTGAGCCTTCTTCGACTTGCGCATCTTTGCTTGAGAACCGTCTGCGCGAGTCGGCTGCGCTGAAGCTGCCTCGTAGTCGAAGAGATCATCGTGCTCCGCTGCCTCGGACTCAGTCTCGCTGTGGGGCTCGGCCTCTGGATCTTGGTCGTCATTAACAATGAAGCCCTTCAGATTGCCCTTCGCATCGACATCATCCTTCGGCCGGCGAAAGTGCGTGTTCAGGTCTTCCTCATCTGACTCCGTCTCGCTATCTTCATCGTCATCGTCCTCATCCTTAATCTCCTCATCATTCTCTCCGTCGTCATTACCATCATTATCATCATCAGTCTCACCCTCTTCCGGTTCCAGCTCTCTAAGCTCCTCTGGCGTCAGCAGCTCACGCTGGTGCACCTTCTTGAAGCTGTCAAAGTCCGTGATTTGCTTCGAGTCAATCGGTCCACGGCAGATGGGGCACTTCGCCTTCGTGCCACCATTCTCATCGCCAGCCGCAATAGCATTTGCCGGGTCCGTAATCCGCGCAAAGTCTTCAGCGCAGCAATCGTGACCGCAAGGTATGAAGATGGCTGGGTTGGGCGTAGCATCCATGCAGATGTTGCACTCGAAGGCACCGTTCTTCACACGAATGCGCTCAACGACATCCGGCGCGAGCTGCTTCGCCATCTCTATGAGGTCGTTGGGCTGCACGCCGGCCACCGCAGCGATGGCGTAGTCCTTGATGAGGTGAGGGTGGCAGCAGGCTTGACGTAAACGGAGCAGAAGCACGAGCACCTCCGTATACTGCCTCCCCACCGTGCCAGCCTGCAGGTACTTGTTGAACGTCACTTGCGCCTTCCCCTCAAGGCTCTTGTAGATCGTCATTTCGTCTTCGGAGAACTCAGGGTTGTCGACCTCCGTTGAGCGTTCCGGCAGGATCAGAATAGGTCTGCCTTCGAAAGTGCTCTTCTTGGTGCGTCTCAGCATGATGGCTTTGCAAAGAGCTTGGAATCTCTGCATGGCTGCATCCTGGAAGTAGTCCTTGCAACTCTTGAGGGGTGTCGAGAAATCGATCTTGAACTTCTGCCAATCGCAGTACGGCCTGACACGCAAGAAGTGGACGAGCGAGTAGAACTCGTCAACGTTGTTCATCATTGGGGTGCCGGTGACGCAGAAACGATACTTCGCGCGCAACTGATATGCAGCTTTGGCGCTCTGGGTGCTTTTGTTCTTGATGCATTGAGCTTCGTCGAGTACGACACGGTACCACATCGCATCAGGATCGAGAAGCGCGCATCTCTCGTGCGGATAGGGACGTGCATTTGCGTCATGTCGCTTGCGGAGCGTGTATTGCTCCAGTCTCTTCAGCTCCGAGGCCAGACTGCCGTATGTCGTGATGACAACGTCGTAAGTCTGCAGCTCACGGAAGTCCTTCTTCTTGGACTGCTGATGGTGGATGAAGACGGTCAGCTTATGGCGGCCCGGCTTGACCTTGGTTTCGATCTCCTGTTTCCACTGCCGCAGTAGTGCCACAGGTGCTACGATGAGCGTCGTCTTGCACCTTGGGTCCTCCGAACGACGAGTGACGAACAGCGAGATCATCTGAATGGTCTTGCCGAGACCCATGTCATCGGCAAGGATGCCGCCCTTGTTCGAGCCTTCCTCACATTGCTTGAGCCAGGTGAGACCCATCTCCTGATACTTATGGAGAGTGATGGTGAGCGACTCAGGCGTCTGGATGCGAAGATGTGCCGGCAGCTCCTCGTCAGGTCGAATGTTCTCGAGCAATTTGTTGATCTCCTCACGTGTGCGAGTGGGGTCCGTATTCTGGATCGTGTCGTACCGCTGACGAAACAGGTCCTCTTGCCCGGCATACGGGTTAAAGGCATCATCATTCGAGTAGTCACTGCTGGAATAGCCGTTGATGAGGTGGCCGAGCTCGGCTAGTGGGTGTGGCTGGCTCGAGAAGCCTCCAGCAGCACGCTTCGCCATCTGCCATGCTTGCTGCGCGGCGGAGAGTGGGCCAGGCGGTAGTGGCATCACAGGAGGCGCGTAGCCGTTGGGCGGGGTGTAAGTCGGCAGCGGAGGATATTGCTGCGGCAGCGGCCAAGCTCCTGGGGCTCGCTGATGCGGCTGCTGCTGCCGCTGCTGCTGCTGCACTGGGGTCGCTCGACTTTCGGTCTTGATGGAGGTCAACGCCCGCTTACTTGGTGTGAACTGGTTGGGTGCAATTTCGCTTACATCATCCTCACTGTCGTCATCACTTTCGCTCCAGGTCAAGTCCACTACGCCTGTGGTCGAAGGACGGTGCCTTTGGACAAGTTGTTGGGTTGATGAGCTCGGCTCTGGCTTGATTTGCTGCCTGTATGCTGCCGGGGTACCGTTGTAGGACGCATGCACTTGTTGGCTCAATGGGCCCGGTTCCGGCTTGACGTAGTGATGATAGCCTGGCGGTGGCATATTGTAGACTGAACTGTAGACAGACGAGGGCTGCGGTTCCGGATCCTGTGAAGGCGGTGGGCGGTGGTACGAGCCAGTGTGATCCAGAGTGGTTTGAACACTCGGCCTGGACGATGAAGCGACCGCAGAAGACGGTCGGCTGTGCTGCTGGCTCAGTCGACGTGCAAAGTTTGCATCTGCTTGAGCTTGCTCTGTGCGCCTCTTGAAAGCCGCTTCAGCAGCCAACTGGCTCCGCCGTGCTCGCTCAGTGATGTTGCTTTGCGATGAGTAGGCTGAGAAGGTCGTAATAGCTCCATGATTTGCAGGATCCGGCGTCAGCCGCTTTGACCGGTGCGCGTCTGTGTCTGGAGAGTGGCCGTTCGTATACGGCCGCTTCACGCCGTTTCCGTGATCATTGAAACCCCCGTTCATGCTGGAACCATTGTTGTTTGTCTGGCCATACATGGAATCCGACCATGCCGAGGCAGGTTGCTCGTCATATGCACTGTCCATGCCTTGCATCGACGACTCCGGTTCTGGCTCCAAAGCCTCAAGTCTCTGTTCGAGCTCCCGCTTGATCGCCTCCAGCTCCTTTGCGCGAGAGACGTAGTCGTCAGCACCTCGGTCGAGGGAGTCCAGCAGAACGGTAGTGAAAGAGAGCTCATCTTCAACCTCATCGCGGGTAGCGTTGGCTGATAAGGTGGCCATGGCTGCGCGATATCGAAGGAGGTAGTGGTCGTACAGGCGGCGTGGCAGTGCTACTAGGCGTGCGTTGTTCTCAAGATTGCCGGCTCGCTGCTGTGTAGCTCTCAATAAAGCTGGCCCATGGCGGCCTCGAAGGTTGCCGTTTCAGCCTCTGAGGCCACTCAGAAGGCTGCGGGTGGTGCTGCCGTCGATTGTGCGGCAATGTTGAGCATTTGTCGGTAGGCTCGAGTAGAGATGTGCAGCGGGTCTATTCGAAAAGGTTCGAAGTGAAGTGTCGTATCCGTGGTTTGGTATGACAAGGCTGCCATCCTCGCTGGCTGTCGCATTCACTTTCGCGCTTGAGTCTTTCACGCGTCGACGCCACCGGAGCCTGCCGCTGCGGTCTCAAAGCGGACTAGCGTGACTCTCCCATACGTCTTGGTCTCTTTACGCCTTCGTCTCTCGATATCTTCCATGTGACCCTTACTGGGACAAATGATATTAGCGACATGCTGAACCATGTGCCGGGAGCGATCAGCTACAAGAATGAAAAGTCTATGTGCCAAGTCAAGCAGGGTTATCGTCAGATACTCTCAAGCCTGTTTGATCGTACTAACGCCCAAGCCATATCCATAGTATTCCTGTGGTTACAAGACCTTGAGATAACCGCCTGCACGCCATGCGTCTTTCGGATCGCTGGTGCTTGCGGATTACACCGATCAAACGGTAGGCTGAGCGCGGTATCGCGCCGAGGACGCCACTCGGAGTCTTGACTACCTATACTGCGAGCGGATGATACGTTCAGCAAACTCGCGACAACTCTGGCTATAGCACCGTCGCCGGTAATATCGTGCCGAAACTGATGGGATAGCGTAGATGCATCTCTCTGCTTGCCCGAGCTGCCTATTCCCAGTCAGTGCTGGATGGCGGCAGATTCGAGACTATCGGTAGACAAGCGGGCTTCAACTGACTCCACGTACACGGCAGTGAAAGCGAGAGTCGAACAATGAAAGTCTGGCCATAATCAAACCGTACGCAGACGCGGGAAAGGCTTACAATGCACTCATAATTCCTCTGGTCGTTGAAGCCAATCATACCTCTGTTGAACGGTTTAAGTGGTGAAGACGGGCTTAAGTGGTGAAGACGGGTTTAAGTGGTGAAGACGGCATTCTGTGAAGCTGAAGGATGTATACAAGCCCCAGCAAAGAGCACTCGATCTCACGTGCTCTGCAGGGGGCGACTGCGTACCGTGGCCTTGTACAGCGGCGTCCGATGGCAACAAGGCTCGAGTCATGATTGAGAAGGCGAGGTACTGGACGAACATCAAGGCCGCCTTGCGACACCGGCTACTTAGACAATGTTCATCACGCGCTTTGGGCAGGAAGACGATGGTATTTGCGATAAGCACGAGGCTGATGACGGGCACAACAAGGACTTGTACGGTGGCGAATTATCTTAGATTATACTTCTAAGGTTATGGAAAATGTTGAAAGTTATGTTAGTCCTCTCAACAGCTATCATGAAACAATGATAGTTTCCCATCACGTTTGCGTGATCATTTCTACGTTACTGCTCTGTTATGGGCGCCTGCCGTCGTTGACACTACCAAAACCCCCCTACCGAACGAAATGTTTATAGAATCAGGGCTGCAGTGTGGTACTAAGGCACGATTTGTTCGATCCCGCAATTTACAACTAATGTAGAAAGACACATATCGCCTTCCATCAATACAGGACAAGAGGCCTTCGTCGGCGCTCATTGCCCCCCACGCTTCGCACTTTCCTCGGCTGCATCCAACTTAGTATATGAAGTTATTTGTTCTTATTTGCCCTGTATGCACTGCTTCTATGGGTACGAAAATTCTTGCACCTCTCTCCCAATCAATAATTGACATTCCCACAGTCTAGTGGTATGACGCATCCTTCACAGGAGTCCAACCCTCTTCATTGAGGTCGGATGAGGTCCCGGGTTCGATCCCCGGTGGAAGTAATGGTATCTTATGAGATTCTATTGACAACATCTCCAATATTTTTTTGCCTGTTGGACGTTGCAGCAGTGGGAATGGGTTGGTTTGGCTGGCAACGTTGATCCTTCATTGCGGCGCTATTTTCGCGTGGCACAACACGACAATGTGTGATGAGCATGTTCTGTCTGGAGAATATAGAGTTGGGAATGTGGGTAGGAATTTTGTTCTTTGAGACTCGGAAGATTTGGAGTAGCAAATGGTATCGTACGCCGCAACACAAAGTCAAAGGAGCAACGCTCAGAACGCTCATTCGCCGATCGCCTTGCCACATAAACGCAGTAGTGGGCTGGTCGTCGTCCAAAGCCAAACATGCACCCTCGGGAAGCGTCCCGGTCACAGCCCGATATCGCCTAAGTCCCTCGTCAAACACGCCATTTGCGCTCGTTTTGCCGCCTCCGCCACCAGGTTGAAGTCCTGCAAATAGGGCGCCGTCTCGGGCGCACCGCCACCAGCACCTCTCTGTCCCAGATACGCTCCGGGCACTAACTGTTGGCCGTATTGTTGTGATCTTTGCTGCGCTGGATGTGACATAGACGCCTGCGCTTTCGCTATCGAACCGAAATACGCTGTCGGTTGACTGCTCGACGGCGAAGGTAGTGGCGCTGATGACCCAAATGGCATCTGTGGTTGTAGCATGCTCGGCGACTGTTGTGGTAGACCGCCGATAGGCGAGCCAGCCGATGACAGTGAGTCCAGACTACTCGAGCTCTGGAACACTGACGAAGTCGCTGACGATATCGACGATTGCGTGCTGACCTGTGGGTATGGCGGTCTTTGTGGGTATGCCTTTCTTTGCGACCTTGTTTCAACCATCGCTACTCTTCTTCTATCTGCGCCAACCGTCTGTTAGAGACTAGACCAAGCAGCGACCCGAGGCAGCCCTTCCTTAGAGTGTGAGGACTCGCGGAGGCAGCAGTCGTTGCAGGGTCTCAGTTGCTTGGATGGCGATTGCAAGTTTCTGTAAACTTCTGTCTAACGTAGAAAGCCTGCTTGACAGCTGTCGTTGGCTCGTCTTGATCAAGGAGCAGTGTCAGCCGAGGTGTTAGTCACTGATTGTAAGTTCTCGAATAGTGGCAGACGCAGATTGTATTAACCCGAGCGATTGCGCGTGGGTGGTTACAGCTGGTGACGCCGAGGCTACCAAGGTACACGGTACTTCTTCGATTCAGCCAGTCACCGGTGATCCTCAGGACATCGACCGATGTTTACGTGGGATGAATGATGCTCGGGAAATCTCGCCCCCAGATTCTGCAAGGCGTCTTTGCGTCCTACCCACGGCAGATGCGGGCGATTGCGTCGTTGGACGGAATGGCGGACCGGCAGTGTTGAAGATGCAAGGCGCGCTGACCCTTCGTTGTTTGCTGTCGAATACATGGTCGAGCAAGCTGGTGAGCGGTGCAAGGCGTGCCGGGGAGCAGGCAACTGCGATGCTTTAGGCACTTGAGGGGCCTGCTGGACACAAGCCGAGGCAGGCTTGCGATGCACCCCGGAACTGAGTGTAGGGTTTGTACGGCCTTCGGAACGACTGACGAAGGATGGAGAAACGCGCTGCAGTTTCGGGTAAGCCGTCCTCTGCTTATCCGGGGTGGCTTGGAGTGGAAGTGGGAGGGAGAGCATTGATCTCATCCGGCGGCAGAATAGTAACGGTAGTAGCGGCATGCTTTTTGTTCGAGCCATCTCGCGATGTGGGGGGAATGGCGCTCCACTTCGCGCTCCCCAGATCTCTCGCAATTTTACCGGTAGCCGAGCGACCTCCGGGCGAGACCCGGACGGCCGGTGACGCGAGACGAGGTGTATCCTCTTCGGAGCGGAAAACGGAGATCCTCAAGCATGAATAGAAGCATTCTGGAACAATACTGAAACCTCAGTGTTGCGAGTTAGCCATGCCAGTACGTTGTAGAACATTACAAGGGTTCGTGGCTGCGGTTGATAAATTCATGCTAGCTCGTCCTGATATCTGGCTTTCCGTCAAGTGGCAAGACGTACCGTAGCCAGCAGCTCTGTGAATCCTTCCAACGGAAAATTCAAGAATCCCATCAGCCAAAGGTTAAGCGGCTCACAGTCCTTCACATTGATGATCAAGGTCTAGGTTTATCGCGAGATGTCTACGCTTCAGCTCGGCTGGAAAAGGATGCTCGGGCAACGTTCTCCTCCGCTCTCAAGCGCTCGCTCAGCAGAGACGTGATCGTCGTCGCTGATGGCATGAACTACATCAAAGGCTTCCGATACCAGCTCTACTGCGAGGCCAAAGCGGTGCAGACTCCTCACTGTGTCATCCACATTGGTACACCGGTCAGCAAGTGCCGCGAACTCAATGAGGCAGCGTTAAAGGCTGGTAATGGAGGCTACGAGCTTGAGATCTTTGAAAACTTAGTGTTCCGTTACGAAGAGCCAAACGGTATGAACAGATGGGATGCGCCTTTGTTCACCATCGCAGCCGATGATGTCGAGCCGCCTTGCGATGCTATCTGGGAAGCTATCGTGGGCTCTGATGGCAAGGCGAAGGTTGTACGCCCCAATGCCGCCACGGTAGTGAAGCCGGCATCAGAGCAAGACTACTTGTATGATCTCGACAAGACCACTTCCGACGTTGTTGCTGCGATATCAACGTGGCTTTCAGACCATTCTGGTGAGGGTGGCAGTCAAGTTCTAATACCTGGCTCAGAGCAAGAGATTACGCTGCCCCTTTCTGCGCCGTCTGTGCCTCAGTTGCAGAGGCTCCGGAGACAGTTCATCGGTTTGAATCGCCAGCACTCACTCACCAAGAGCAGGATACGCGGCCTCTTCATTGACTACCTGAATGACGTATTCCAGCGATGAGGCTGCTGGGTCGTGAGGTTATGTTTGCCTTCACTGATCAACTTGCTTTGATCACCAGCGGAGGCTGTACCCAAAAACAGTTCGTCGCAGAAGCTCGTCCTGCGAGATGTCAGTTTCCATTCCACCCGAGCGAGGAGAAGGATGCTCTTGCCCCACGGTCTTCCTCGAACATGACCCTATCCATGACATGCTCAAGGATCTTGTCGACCACGAAACCAGCCTCCCTGGCAAGCTCGAAGAATGCCAGATCCTTCTCCAGCAGCCACGGGCGATACGGCGTGAAGAAGACAAGCGCACAGGCAGTCGAGGTTTCCTTGAGCGTCTGCTGCACTGACGCAACCAGCTTGGCATGCTCAGAGTGATTGAACAGCAGATCCGCAAGGATAATCAGATCAAAGCCCAACGTGCGGTCACTCTCCGGGAGAGACTGCAGTAACGCTGCAGGTGAAGCGCCCCAGAGGTAACCTTCAACGTGCACGTCCCGGCCAATGCAGTTTTGCTCGATGTTGAGCCGGAGGTTCTCCACCAGCTCAGCCTCAGGATAGTCAGAAACGACGACAGTAGTCGCACCCTGCAGGGCGCTGATGATAGAGGGCAGACCTGCGCCAGCACCCAATTCAAGCACAGTTCTTCCTCTAATCAGAGTTTCACCGTTCTGCTCGAGGTAGTCCGCTACTGTTCTTCCTGCGTTCCATAGCAAGTGACCCTTTCCACCGCATTAGAGAACGAATGAGAAGTGAAGCAAAGTGAACTCCCACACCTACCCACAGCGGACTGTGTCCGACAAGCCGGAGACTAATCGTTTGCCCGCTCAATGTATGATAGGAAACTGTTTTCGCCTCCTTCTCCGGCTGATAGTAGCCTTCTGGCTCCTGAAAGAGGCCATTCGTCCCGTCAGCGTCTTCATCGTCAGCCATGGCAAAGTCCTGAGAGGGCAAACAGGTGTGTCGACGTTTCGCTCTCGGCTTGAATGCGGGCCACTGAGCAAGGCGGGCTTGGCGAGCTCCACCCCTTCAACTTCGCACCTTTTAGACATCATCTTCGCATCCATGAGCGACCGGTGTGCAGCGTCACTTAAGTCGAGCATCGCAGTCTCCTGTGAACTCTGCTTCACCACGCACTCTCCGCCCATGCGACTCCGACCCGTCCGTCATTGACCGGCATTCCTGGTGCATTCACAGTCGCGGCCCTTGCCGAAAACTTGCTCATTCTGCCGAGCAAGTCAGCGCTTGCCTCACAACCGGAACCTTCATTATCGTGCAGTCTCTAGCAGCTTAGCAGGATGTTGGGGGTGTCGGAAGGTCTTACTAAGGAGTCGAGTTCTGTTGCGTTGCAGAAGTCACTCAGTGAAGGCAGGCTTGCGCTTCCGTCCTCTTCCAAAGCACGTGCCTCGACTACACCACGCATTCAATACTCGGCATACCGGTAACCTTGATGGCAGCACCCGAGCCGGTGTCAAATTGTAGTGCAGCTGATTGGTGTCACTTTACTCCCAAAAACGCAGCATGGACCAGGAACGACCCTTCAAGACCATTGAGGTCATTGACGCCCAGACAAACCAGGCATGCAAGATAGCGTGCATGTCCTGCATTCGAGGCCACCGGACCACATCATGCGGCAACCACGTATGTCGAAGGAAAGTCCTGTGGACGGTGAAGCGACCAGGACGACCTTCGAACTCGTGCAACTGCCAGTATGGTGCCAATGGTGGCTGCAAATGTGTCATTACGAGAACGACGTGCCCGCACAAGCCTAAGAAAGGCGAGAAGCGGTCCATTGAGTGCCGCTGTGACGAGAAGGGCCGCTACTGCTGCTTGCTCCAGTCAGAAGACTGGCATACGCTTATGTCACGACAAAAACCCACCGTCGAGTTCTATCCTACAAAAGAAGTGCTAGAGGCGAAGTTTGCACGACCCGCGACCGTGCCAAGACCTGTCAGCATGACACCCATGACGCCAGCACTGAGCATTAACAGCCCGACGGTTTTCGGCAGTGTGCCAAGCACACCGGGTCAGGGTGGCCAAACACTTGATTTCCAGCCTGTCACCACCCCCTTTCCAGGTTATCAATCGCCGCCGGCTAGCCAGCGAGTTGCACGGTTTGGCATGATGGGTGTTGGTGCCCCTCAAGGCAACCCTGGTCACATCACAACGGATGTACTGTTGTGGCAGGGCGAAGCACCGCAAGCGCCTCGGGCGCTCGTAAATCCTTCTCCATACTATCCACCGATCCAGCAAGAGCAGAGTTCGTGCTGTCTAGGACCGGTGAACTCTTCGCAGAGCACGATTCTTGGACATTGTCAGCACGCCAATGAGGTGACGATTGACACGGGACTCTTCCCACCGTCGGCCTTTCCACCCTTCGGCGTCGTTAATAACGAGGTGGCCTTTCCTCAGGACAAAACACCGACAGAGCTGGGCTTCGACTTCGACAAGCTCACGCGCGACTACTTCAATTACCAGTTTCCGTCCGCGATATGCCAGACTTGCGGACTCAACGGCTGCACGTGCAGAATGTGCCCGCCCGTCATGCAGTCCAACGACGGAAGTTGGGCGCAGTGCTGTGGAAGAAAGCATGCCCGCATAGCGGCCTACGTGCCACCAATTGCAGAGCACGCCTACATCGAGTCGGCTTTGCCGTTGTCAACGTACGAGCTGCAACACAGGGCCCAGACATCCTTACCTACGACGACAGCTCAAACCTCATCATGTCCCGAAGCCACAATATTTGCAGAGACTGATCCACCGTTTAGTGAGCCACCTCGATACTCAGACACGCAGACTCTGGACCCTGAACTACTCGAATCATTGCCACCACTTTCGTTACAAAGTACGGGAAGCTTTCCAGCTCTCGGAGAAGGCACAGACATGGATTTGAGCGATCTACTCATGTCGGAGTTGGATCGGCGTACGCGGCAACAGGAAGAATGTTGTTGCATTCATGACTGAAAGACGCGAGCAAGGTGGGACAGCAAGGTGGAAAAGCATTTTATTGAGCGTTCAAGCAGTATTGCAGAGTGGCATAAGTGGGAAAAGATACATGAGAAACGAACCCACACGGCGCGATACCGAAATGAGACTAGCGGTTAATACGCTTACTATGAGTATGCATCTCTTTCCTTCTCGCCCTCCTGTGTGCTTACTTCCTTTTCTTTATCTTCTGGGAGCAGAGAGTCGCCATGGACCTCAGCGGCATTGAATATGTAGAAGCTCAGCCCGAAGATGTTACCTCCCTATCGACACTCGTTGCCCGCTCGTTCCATCCCGTTAACCCGTATATTCGAAAGTGCTTCCCGGACACACCAGCAATGCGGCGCTGGTGGCGCGGCAACTTTAACGAACAGATCGCGAGGCCAACTTGTCACGTCCTAATTGCGAAGGACCGCATGAGTGGGGAGTCACTTGGTGTTCTGTGCCTACGGCTTATGAACCCTTTTGATCCGGAACCTGGCATCTTCACCGTGGACAACCTCACCCCAGATCACGATGTGGAGGCATATAGACCAATGATCGAGAGCATGTCTCACTACAACAAGCGGCTTATGCATGGTAAAGTTCATTTCATGGTTGAGCTTTTCGGAGTCGACTATGCGTACAAAGGCCGCCACATTGGCACGAGGTTGTTCCAGCAGGCTTGTGCAATCAGTGACGCTGCTGGTTACGAAACATTTGTTCAAGCCAACGCAAATGCCCGATCATTCTATCTCAAGCAAGGATTCGAGGTTAAGGATATGACTGTAATGCCTGGGAAGGATGAGTACGAGGAGTACTTCCTCGTCCGGCCATGCTCCCAGTGACGGACCTGGTTCTGTGAGCCGACCTTGGTGCAACTCATTGACATTATTCTCAAGACACGAACATGCTCTAGATCCGTGGTCTCGGTTCCCTCTCTTCCTCTCGTGCTTGCACTGAGGGGACGTCTTTTCTTGGCATACTGCACTTCGGTCACTCCTTAAGCGAGTCCGTAGGCTACTGGAATTTGATACTGAGGGACACCATCGAGAGTTCACTGAGTATTTCCAAAGTTTGTTCTCAATGGGGCAAGTTAGATGTAGCCTACGAATCGGTGGCGTATAGCGCTGGTAACAAGCGCATAATTGGTCGCTCGACATTATCTTGCATATCCACCTCTTCTGTTCAGCTTAACCTCAGCGACTGACACAGTACATCCTATACGCCGTGGTTGATCGTCGATAGATTGAGCATTATTGAGTCTGTCGAAACGAGGCATTGTCAATATCTTACTTACAGGACCTTGGCGACGACTCAGCGTGCGGCGCTCTTCCGTGCCAACCTTACCCAATGCAGCTCATGCTGCGAAAGCACCAGTCACGCACCGATCAGGCCTACTTCGACAATTACTACATTCGTGACAATACGGTCCGAAGCGTTCCGTAGGTGCAATCATGACAAACATAGGACGTGACGAGCTGTATGCTGCTTCCGTCGGCACAACTTTCAGCCCTGGGGTCGAGCGAAGCCGCTCCACTGAAGACGTGATGGTAACCCAAAGCAGATCATCCTGCGGTTCCAGCTTTATAATAGGCGCCGTCCTTAGGCAGACGCCGGACATGTCCGATATGTTCCCCTGTGCAGCCATACATATATGCCCCCCAGCCGCGCCAGCACATGCCTTCCTTCCAACCGGTACCACTTTCCTCTTCGTTTGCACTGAGAACCACCTCTGCCACCCTACAACCATCCTCGTCGATCTTTCACCATGTCGCCTGCACTCTCCACGATCCCCAACCCGTACGCCGACGCACATAAGTCTCCCGAAGGGCCAGGTGACGCTCGGCCCACTACTGCCCAGATCCTGGCGGACAACGATGCCATTGGCAAGTTTGTTGACAAGACCTTCTTGGTGACCGGCGGGACCGACGGGCTGGGCCTCGAGACTGTGCGCAGCCTACTCAAGACTGGAGCACATGTCTGGTTTAGTGCCCGCAACGAAGGTAAGGCGGAGAAGGTGAAGAAGGAACTCTTGCAGCAAGATACCAGCGCGAGGCTGGACTGGATCAAGATAGACAATGCGAGCCTTGAGAGCGTGCAATTGGGAGCGGAAGACTTCCTGCGGCGGAGCAAGAACTTGAACGTGCTAATCTGCAATGCTGGTAAGCGACCAAAGCACCATTATGAACCAATAACATTGATCACATACTTAGGTATCGGCAACGTCCCTCACAGCCTGACCAAAGAAGGTCACGAAATCCAATTCGGCGTCAACCACCTCGCCCATTTCTATCTCTTTCAGCTCCTGAGGCCGCTCCTGCTCGCATCCTCCACCCCCTCCTTCAACAGCCGCGTGGTCACCGTCTCGAGCCTTGCCCATAGCTTCGCCACGGTCCAGGTGGGCAACTATAACCTTGAGAAGCCGCTAGAAGTAGGCAAGGACTACGCAGAGTTGGTAGACCTTGGGCCCGGGTACAACCCGCTCGTCGCGTACGGCCAAAGCAAGACCGCCAATATCTGGATGACGAACGAGATCGAGCGTCGTTATGGGGCGCACGGCATTCACGGTATTGCCGTTCATCCTGGCAATATCCAGACGGCGGCGTTCCTCACCTTCGACCAACGCGCGATGGAGAAGCTGGCTCCAATATTTCAAAAGGAAGAGTTCCAGAAGGCGTTCCTGAGTGTAGAGCAAGGGGCGGCTAATCAGGTGCTTGCCGCAATCGGCAGGGATTTTGAAGGCAAAGGAGGCTTCTACATGAATGAATGTGGGGTCGCGCAGATATGGCCGGACAATGTGGAGATGCAGAGTAATGGGTATCTGCCGTGGGCGTACAATCCGGAGGGTGAGAAGCGCTTGTGGGCTGATTCATTGGAAATGGTGGGGTTGAAGGATGAGCAGTAGACTTGGACGCCTGCAGGTTAGAGTAAGATGTGAGGTAAGCGGCTATGTAGTCGCTTCGGCGGCTGCTGATTAGCTAGAACTGGATTTGATGAATGAACACAGACTATCAGCATGGTAGTCGTGATTGTTTGATTACCATGTGTTCAAGATCCGCGAGTGGCGTCCCAGCTCAGCCTCGAGCACGGAAAGTAGGATGCCGGCTTCGTAGCTACCCTTGACACCGGTGTCGTTGAGTCCCAGAACGGTCCCTAACATTACACGAAGGGCTGCAGGTGCCGCGCGGCTAACATCTGGATCTGCGGTGGCGAGGGTTTCGAAGCGTTTCGTCACGAGCTCGAGTGTCCGCGAACGCTCGTTCATCAGGTCCTTTTCTGACAACCCAGCAGGCAATGCCGTGGGTATATTATTGGACAGACGGACGAAACGGTTGTTGAGGCCCAGTAGCACCGTATTAGTGATTATTGAGAAGAAACCGATGGCGGCATATGCGGCCGTCGCCATTGCGTCACACATGTCAAGACGACCCAAAACTGTTCGCCCACCTTCGAGCTGACGATTAAGCTGCTCACGCAGGCGTAGTGTGTTCTCCAGTGCCGAGCAGATCATTCTTTGCATGTGCTGAACAGGCGTATTAGGAGCCAATGAGCATTGACGGACAAGCTCGTCACAAAGATCGTCGATGCCTGGAAAGCGCGCACCATCGACCGTCATGCGCATGAATTTGTCTAGATGCCCGTTGGGTGCCGTGGACGGCATCAGTATGCCATACCACGAGGGGTGATCGAGGAAGCTTTCGACGCCGATGGCCAGAGCGGACATGAAGACGTTGCCGGCTTGAGCTTCCAGTATCGCCTTTTCAATGGCATCAGAAATGTTGACGACTCCGCGGTATCGCAACATCTTCACCACGCCTTGCGCGTGGATGATCCAGTTGTGACTCGGTTGATCGGCATATTGCTCGTACATTTCGAGTATGGCCGCTGCTGTCAGAGTCTCTGGCATACAAAGCTGAACTGGGTCGCCTAGAGCTATGCGAAGACTTCGCAATGCCTTCACGTATAACGCTCGACCCTGGAGACTGTTCACGGCCGAAGTATCGGGCGATTGCTGAACGATACAGCTTGCTGCATCATCTAGAGCTCTACTCTGACCAATTCTCTGGGGGACATGCTTTAGGACGTGAGTTGTTGGCATCATTGGTAGCCGGGCAGCGAGTAAGTTGGCTTCCAACTTCCAGATGAACTCCATTCGAAGCAGGTCCGCATTTGAGCTGATCATCCATCGAGGAGATAACTCCGCGTACCCGTTAAGACGTTGTGGTTTGTGAACTGTCTTCATCCCATCTTTCTTATCATGTCCGACTCGAGCCAAAACGAAGCGGTCAGGATAACCGGGACACCTCCAGCCGGCCTTAACACATCCATAGCATTCCGGCTCTGCTCGATCACACTAAGGAGGCGGCGTCAGGCTCTTGTACCTATCTCGCCGAACTTCGCAGACTTGCCTTCACTTTCCGCTTCCTGCAGGTTGCGCAGCCTCGACTGGTAACTCTCCCTACCATATAGACATGCTGCACCTTGATGCGCCTCCCACCAATGGTCGAGAGCACACTAGCTTTGGGAGCCTGGATCGGCGTTGCGAAAATTGAAACATCCAAGGAGATATATCAAGTGTAAGGCGAGCTTCCCGAAGTTGGATGAATTTGGCGTTGGCTTTGTCAGCCAAAGCACCATCTCCGGCTCACTTACAAGGTTGAATCTCATCATGGTTCATCGTTCCTCCCGTCCCGCCTTTCACTTCGTATCAAAGACGTTTACGACATACAGTTATGGCTACGATTATTTGACCTGAATTCAATTGCTCCGGATGAGAGATTTGTTGTTGATAGTAGCGGAAGCGAAGGATTGCGCCTACTTTAGCATGGAGTAACCTCCTAGACCGGCTGCTTGGAATGTTCCCCACAGGATGAGGATTGATTTCCGACAGAGAAGATGAACTTGCAAGAAAAGACCATCAATGGTGTGCCCGTAGAAGCCATTCTTAATCCCACCGAGGACAAACCTGAGCTCGTCGAACGAGTTGCCAAACGAAAAGTCAAGCCTCCAGAGCTTACCATCGTCGAGCCAGATTCTCAATGGATTGATCACTTCGAGACATTTAAAGCACGTATTACCGCTGCCTTCGGGCGGCGTGGACCAAACAATGAAGTTCTTCTGCGAGAGGATGGTAGCAACGCCACTGAGGTCGTCATCCTGTCAATCAACCACGTCGGGTCAACCTCAGTTCCTGATCTTCCCGCCAAAGCAGTTATCGACATTGATCTCGTTTTGTCTTCCAACACTTTGTCGTCCGAACCCTTTTACGTGCCGCGTCTCGAGGCAGCGGGATTTCAATTTCTCCTTCGTGAGCCCGCGTGGCACGAGCATCGCTTCTTCTACGCCTGGGAGCCTATGTTGTGCAATCTGCACGTCTGGGGACCGCAGTGTCCCGAGGTGGAGAGGCACCGTATCTTTAGGGACTGGTTGAGGAATCAGGAGAGCGACAGGGTGCTATACGCGGCAACGAAGAGGGAGTGTGCGGCATTGTCAAGGGAGAAAGGGGAGGGGATGATGAATTACACTATGAGAAAGAATGAGGTTATCGGAGACATACTGACGAGGGCTTTTAAGGAGCTAGGGCTACTGTCTGATTGATATTTCTCGAGGGTTGAGCTAGCAGAATGGTTCAAAGGCTTGCGCTGTGCTAGCCTTTCTTGTCCGTGACGCCGCATCCGTCGCAGAAACGACGACAGCGACGTCGCTTTTGGCGTGTGCACTCGATCGTATGCTATAAAGCTACAATCTGGCACGTAGCGTCTTGTGCGTTTGTTCTATGACAAGCCCAGGTGGCCACGGCATCTGAGTCTACTGTCACAACACAGAATATGATAACGTCATTGGGCCCTCATCGAAGCCTTGCCGTACTCGGCTCAGCGCTCTGTGCAGCCATCTCCGCTTCCAATGCTTTGCACGGATTCCAGGCAGCATGCGCATATTTGACTAGCGCTTTCCTCTGGTACCTCGACACTGCAGCGTACTCATCAACGCTGACGAACGTTCAGCGTCGCCATCGCAGGCCGAACTATCGAGTTGACGATGCTGTTTGAGCAGCAAGCATTAACCTGTCATTTAAGGTGAACCAGGTGTCGACCGCGTTGTAGATGGCCTGGGCGTTGATGCTGTTTGGTGAGCTGGGTTATGTGCACTGGTGTCAGCGACGGTCCATAAGATGATGAGGTCCTCTGACTTGTCGCCAGAGCGGGCACAAATAGGTGGAGATAGGGTTGCACGAAACCGGACTCGAATTTGCCGTGTGAGATGTCGACGAGGGAATTGGTCAAGTCGGTAATGGCGGTTCTGCTGGTCAGGCTTGACACTTCTGTGCTTTCCAATGTGTAAAATATGGTCGTGCTTCTTGCCACATTGTTGCTCAGGTCGTCGGCTTGCTGATCTTGTCGACCTCCTTCGTCGCTCGGAAACCAATGTTGCCCTCTTCGTTCAATCCCCATTTGTTGACCTCCTGGCCAGTAATCACTCTCCTTACCAGACTGATCTCGACGGCTTTCCTGCCCTTCCTCCTACTCTTGAGCCCATCATCGTCCATATCGAAATACAAAGCCCACTCTCCGCCTGGCTCCTCTTCCACGGCCACGAAGCCTTCGAACTCATCAAACGTTATTTTGGAGCCATTATCTTCGCTTGTCCAATCGAAGCTGCCTACGTGATGCTGGATACTGCCACTACGGCTTGCATACTTCAGCTCGTACGTATCTTTGTCAATGTATATCCAGTTCAGCATTGGTGGATCCACGGAGATGGTGCTCACGAGACCACGCGTAAATGGTCGGTTGTCGTCCGGATACGCTATGTAGAAGCCTGTGAAAGGATGATGAAGATCGTTCTCTGGCCATCCTGTTTTCCTATCTTGTGCTTCTATCCACACTTTGTCGTTATACAACGTTACAATGTTGTTATGCAACGCGGCGCCCTTGCCTTTGCGTTGCTTGGAGTCAACCCAGACATCGACGTGAAACTTGAGCATTCGGGTTTGGTTGGTGGCATCAGCATTCTGCTTCTTCTGCTCACTGACACCCTGCGCGACGCCGGTAGTCACCGATATGCCCGGTGCGGCGGCGAGTGGGAGGGAGAGGCCCAACCCAAGAATGGCATCTATCAATACCATGGTTGCTGATATTTATGGTACGAGAAGACAAGGAACAATAACTTACGCTTGACAGTCTACTGGGTTCGGCGCGCTGCAAATGTTAGGTTTACGCTTGGCCTGCGTTCTCTATGGCGAGCTGGGCGAAGGAGCAGGGAGTTGTCTGGTGAGGTTGTCGTCATCGCACCGGCGTGCGGCCGAGAGAGAGGGTTAGGGTTGTGGCTCCTCCACTCCTTACTTTCCCTTGCCATGACTACGCTTTCGGATGGTAGCCAAGGCTCGTGACCTTTCGTCGACCGCACCTATACGCAACCCCGATGTCGGTTGATGCTTTTGGCAGCATTGATGGAAAGCCTTAGGAGCATCTACTCCCAGCCACTCTCCACGGCACTGCTGTACTCAATGCCAGCGCGTCTTCGTAGGCATCCAGCTTACTGTAATCCGGACATACCGGCGGTCGCAGCGTATATGGTGTTGAACAAATCGTCGACCTTTCCAGCATAGCAGTAAACGACAGTTTCACATAGATTGCAGGCGCACCTCCCTGGTACCACGTGAGATGCCAATTAGGCTAATTGAGCAAGCTCACGATGGGTGCTGGTGACACTGATGCCACCCCTTTCGTCGCTTGTGTTGACCATCGCCATATTGATATACATTGAGACGAGGAGCTGACACTCCTTCCAGCGGCAGCTCCGATGGCTAACCAAGCAGCTTACGAGAAGCTTGCTTCGCATGACAACAGCGCGCACGATCAATGCTACGGAGCACCAAGCGAGAAGCCAGCTCGAAGGCTGGATAACTGGCGAATATGGGGTCGTCTTGCATTCGAGGTTGCAATGCTTATCACTATCGTGTCCATGGTGCTCAGGCTTGCCTTTATAAGCAGAAAAGGAACTCATGGTCGAAACGAGCCGCGACAGACATGTAGGAAGGAGCTAAGCCCCGCTCATTGCTTGGTGACCATGTCTGATCTTGAGGGCAGTCGGCTCCGTAGACAAAGTCTTTATGAACGATAGCGTCTACGCCAACGAGAATGCTTTCACTGACATGGAGACCTTAATACGGACTCTGCAGCACTGGACGCCACTTTCTTCAAGTAAGCTAGCCGAGATAGATCCACCAGCAAGCTGATATGTTGATTGTTTGAGCAGAAGGGAGAGGCTACGTCGGTATCCCGCCATCAGAGAGAACTGGAATGGATGGTCCACCGTACAATATTGACCCGTTACTGAAGCATCAGACTAGAGACGCGTACATGCTCTCGGGCTTCCACCAGCTGCATTGCCTGGCCACTATCATGCATTCATACGCTCGGCTGCGTTTTGGCGAAGACGAGAGTGAGAAAGGGTACCATATTGCGCACTGTTTTGACTATCTCCGCCAAGGTATACTATGCGCTGGCGATATGACATTGGAGGGCAACAATTCGGCGACGTATCCGGGGGTTGAGATTCCGTGGGGAACCGCACATCGATGTGTTAATTGGGACGGACTGCGTAATTGGGCTGATGCAAGGACTGTGTGGCCTTTCCCAGATGTAATTGGGATATGGTAATTGACAGACTAGCAGCCTGTATCGATTGGGAAGTCTGGAGAGTGTCGGTCACGCTCCTAAGATTCCTAGCCTACGTCCTGCTACATTGTCTATTCATTGGTAGTTGTAGGATGTCTGCATCTTGGGATCGTATACTCGATCCACGAGAGTACAAGCTGCATGTACTTGTACCTGCCGAATGTGCGACACAAAGCTGGGGCCCACAATCTTAGTCATACGTGTAGATGTTAACCGCCATCAGATCGACTTCATCGAATTTGACAACTATAGCACCGAAACAGATATGTAAGCTCATGTTTTATGCCTCGCACAGGTCACAAAAAAGTGAAGACCGGCTGCCTGCGCTGCAAGGAGCGTAAAGTCAAGGTCAGCGACGAGCTAGATGTCCGCCACATCGCACCAAGACTGACGCCGGCGCCAGTGTAGTGAAAGCAGGCCGAAGTGCACAGCCTGTGAGCGACAAGCTGTAGAGTGCGTGTACAAGACGCCGGTTCCCAGGCGGACCGCAACAGAAGACGATCCAGGGGTGCAGCGAACATCAGAGCCGGTACACCGCAGCGCAGAATCCACACCTGTTATCCCAAGCGTTGATCCACTTGAACATGCCAATGAGCTCCGACTCATGCACGAATGGACCGCTTACACGAGTCGAGCGTTCTCCCCATCATGGGAGTACTGGAGCCACCAAGTCCCCATCCTCGCCGTTGAACACCGCAGTCTCCTGGACGCTCTGTTTGCCTTCGCGGCAATGGGGAAGTACCGGCGAATCAATGCTGGTACGGCTTCCGGGTGTGAGCCATCAGTTTCGGAACCAGACCTACTGGTGCAAGCACGAGCGTACTTCAACCGCTCACTTGAAAGGTTTCGCCCACCGACGGGCGATGACACAGTACCCGCGGACACGGCGGAAGCGCTGTACGCCACCTCCATCCTTCTCTCCCTCCTCACGCTCTCGGAGATGAAGCGATATAGCGAGGATAGCGAGGAGAACAGTCCTTCCAAACGGTTTGAAATGTGGCTCAAATTCTCAACCGTAACCCGCGAATCCTACAACAAGTGCCAGTCGGCCCTCAGTCCCGACCGCCTTAATATTCTAGACTCCTTTTGTGGCGCAAGATGCACCACCGAAGAAGACGAGCTATTCCGCATCGAACAAGGCACACCTTTCTCACACCTCCTTACCTTCGCGTCGGAATACGAGAACATCACCGCCGAAGACCAAGCCGCTTACGAGAAGCTACTGGGCTGCGTTGTATTTCTCTTCAAAGCCGCGAGTAGTGGAGAGTATACGTGCTTACAGCTTTGCCAGCGGCTGATCGCACTGCCTTCACGTCTCCCGCAACGCGCTGTAGATCTCATCTCGCGGAAAACGCCACGTGCCCTGGTGATGCTTGCACATGCGTTTGCCGTGATGCGTCTCATCGAGAACGAGATCTTGTGGCTGAAAGGTGTCTCGGACGCGCAACTGGACCTGATCGATGCGAATGTTCCACGGGGCTGGAAAGAGCGCATGGGATGGCCGATGCTGGTCAAAGAAGGAAGGTGCCAGACGCTGCCACCAGCAAATCATTTCGGAGTGCCACTTTCGTTCGCTGTTGCACTTCCAAAATTCAACACAGATACCTGCGTCGCAGCACGCTCGCTCTGAGCGCAGGGGTTGCGCAATTATCCCAGGCCTCAGCGGCTATAGAATATTGGTTTGTTCCGTATCTTCGAGCAAAGACTAGAGCTGTATCAGCCGTGCTCTGCGTCGCAGCATTGGGAATGGCTACACATCTCTGCGCGCACGTTCCGGCACTTCATTGCGAAGCACGGTCGGCAAGACCTCTAGACGTCCAAGCCGCCGCCACATTCTTCGCGCATGCTCCCGTCATGGTACGCTTGTCGATAGAGCCATATGCTCCAAGACTTTTATACCCTTGTGCCAAACCCTTACGGCCTTTTCGAATGCCAAGCTCATGCGTGACAGCTAGAGAGCTACCAAGGTCATCCGCCTGAATTTTGCAGTTTTCGTTACGTATTGTTGGTAGCGGCCCTCAGTCCAAAGATGCGGCTCTGCTAGCTCTCGCTCTGTTTCTGATTACCTCCTTGCCAGCCTTCCGCATCTGACTAAGACTGCTCGGTGCTTGAACGGCAGCTTCAGCATTGTACCGTTGAAGCGCCTCCTCGCTCACTTCGTCCAGTAAGAAGCGTCCAAGATGACCACTGCGCCATCTCTGTACCATCCAAAGTGCGGCTCCTTCCGTGTCGGACTCGCCGCCTTTCTGCAGTCGGCCGGTCTTGCGCGCGACAGCGTCCAGAAGTTCCATGACATCGTTCGTTGGAGTATGATACTGTGAGTATAGCTCCGGGGATTTGAGGTTGACATGATACAGTAAGTAATCGGCCAGCGTGAACGGCGGGATAATGTTGTCTTTCACGCTACCGCAAAGTGCAAGTTTCAGCATGGCTTCTGCGTCAGGCACGTACGGAATGAAGACACCGGGTGTGTCGAGTAGGTAGACGCCTCCGCCGCCATCTTCGGGCTCGATGATCTTTACGCTGGTGCCAATTTTGCGGGTGATGCCGGGTTGTGCGCCAGTGCGAGCAGCTTTACCTTTGTGTAGGCTCACGGAGCGGAGAGCGTTTAGTAAGGATGACTTGCCTACGTTGGGCATGCCAGCCACCATCAGGTGGGAGCCCGTCAGACTGCCACGGGACTTGACGATCGTTTTGATGTAAGTAAGGACTTGCCGAATATCATGAGAAGATTGATGGTCACAGAACAAGACCGGAGAAGGATGATGGAAGTGGCGAAGGAGAGTGTGGCGCTACACTTACCTTAGCTTGCACCTATGCCCTCTGCTGAAGAACCTACCTTTCTATCCGCACCGTTCGTACCATCTGAGCCCAGATCCCTTTTCGTATACACGACCAGCCGTTCTCGCTCCTTGAGCGTCTCCTCGAACAGTGGGTTACGGCTGGTCAATGGGATACGATAGTCGCGACACTCTATGATGAGGTCAATCTGAGAGACCATAGATCGTATCTTCGAGAGGGCGGCGGCATGGTGTCCAAGGTAGTACGACCGGGGCAAGGAGTCGAGCGCTGGGAAAGCCGCGCGAGGTATGAACGCCATACTATTGCGGGGAGCGTCTCCTTCAGCCTCTTGACGGACACATTGTGTTTGACGACCTCCACGCTGTTGTCGGGTTTTTCGTTGTGTATATACCAAGGGGAAACATTGTCTCTGTTCGATTTCAACATAACTTATAGAGACATGGTCCAAGCGCCTCGCCCAATGACGCTCCCTTGAGCTCACCAGCGCAGCAAAGCCGCTGCCTCCATGCCAGCATCGCTTTTGGTCGCGTGCAATCAACCAGCCTCGCGCTGAAGTCGCATCAACCTTGCGACTTATTCTGGACATGGCCTCACTATGCCGTTCATACGCGCACAGCGAGAAGAGGCGCCGACGACCAGACTCGAACACCTAACATTGGACGGTCATCTTGGAGAGACTGGGCAAGCTAACTCTTGGGTACTCAACTTAATGCCTCTTGGTCACGATGGCAGAAGACCATATGTCGTCTCCGCAGACGTTGCAGGGCGACTCGCAAAGGACCGAGTCACCATCACCGCAAACACTCGATCTCAGCCAGCTCCCGCCAATATTCGTTTCTGCAACTCATTTCGAAACTAGTGATCTACACATGCTTGAAGAGGACCTGGTAGACTGTGGCGCAACACTCACGTACGATCTTGGAGAGGCAAAGGTTGTACTCAGCAAGGTGCAGAAGAAGCGCCGGATTGCTTTCGATCTTAGAGCGAAAGGGTTGTGGACGGAAGAGGTGACCACAACGCGGAGTGATGTGGACGTCGTCAGAGAAGCAGACGGTCTTCCCTCGAAGCGGCGAAAGCTAGCGAATGCGGAAGCCGTGGCAGGGCAGGTTGGGAAGTCTCAAGCTGAGGCAATTATCATTGATGACGAGAGTACTGCATCCGAGGCAGAGAGTGCTGCAAGACAGAAGCCTGACACTGGAATCGCTCGACGGATCAAAGAAGGCAACGGTGTGCGAGCACCGGCCGTCCAGACGCCGCCTCCGACCGAGCCGCTTGTCAGCGTTGTCGATGTCACCTGGTTCACTGAGTCGAGAAAAGCTGGCACTCCTTTACCATTGCATGCATTCGTCACATATCAATGCCGGCAAGTAAAGCCGCCGCCTGAAGAGCCGTCTCTAAAGCAAACGCCGACCGTTTCTGTTAACACGCGGAAACCAAATGAGTCCAAGACCGCAGCAGTCATAGCGGACAAGCCTGGCGCAGATATCCTCGAACGTGCAAACGAGGATGCTGAGCATGCTCCCAAGTCTTTTGACCGCTTCGGCAAACGCAAATTTGGCTACCATATGCGATCTGGAGGCGACGCAAGCTGGGCCGCCGGCTCCGGTAAACCCAAAGAATACGCTCATCTCCTCCACAAGACAACGACCGAAGACGAGCAAGGCTACTCAAGCGATCTACCGGAGATGCCGGACTGGGTCAAGCAAGGCGTTAAGTACGCTTGCCAGCGCTCAACGCCCGGCAACTCACCGAACGAACGCTTCATTGACCTGCTCAAGAAGATCAAGCTTGCGCGTCTGCTCACGAATGATGAGATTGGCGTGCGTGCGTATAGTACTAGTATTGCCAGCTTGGCTGCGTACCCGTATAAGATTGTCAGTCCGAGGGAGATCATGGCTTTGCCTGGGTGCGACCAGAAGATCGCAAATCTGTTCGTGGAGTGGGCTAATACCGGCACGATTAAGGCGGTCGAGGATGTGGATGCGGACGACGACCTGAAAGTCTTGAGGCTCTTTTGGGAGATCTGGGGTGTTGGTGCCACGACGGCGAGAGAGTTCTACTTTGACCGTGGCTGGCGAGACTTGGATGACATTGTCGAGTTTGGCTGGAGCACTTTGACGCGCGTGCAGCAGATTGGCGTTAAGTACTACGAAGAATTTCTCGACCCTATCCCACGTGCCGAAGTCGAGGAGATTGGTCGCATCATCCATCGCCACGCGGTCAAGGTCCGCGATGATGGCGTGCAGAGCCTGATCGTTGGCGGGTATCGCCGAGGCAAGCAAGCGTGCGGAGACGTCGACATGATCGTCTCGCATATTGATGAGGGTCAGACGTTGAATATCGTCAACGACATCGTTGCAAGCCTGGAGGAGGAAGGGTGGATCACGCACACGCTGCTATTGTCGCTGAACAACAGTAACCGCGATCAGCAGACACTGCCATTTCGAGCGGAAGGCGGTGGACATGGCTTTGACAGCCTTGATAAAGCGCTTGTCGTCTGGCAAGATCCCGATTGGCCCACAAAAGATGCAGATCTTGCTTCTAATCCAAAATCGAAGAACCCGAATATTCATCGCCGAGTCGACATCATCATTAGTCCGTGGCGCACCGTGGGCTGCGCGGTAACGGGATGGTCTGGTGGAACGACATTTCAGCGCGACTTACGGAGGTATGCGAAGCACGCGCATCGTTGGAAGTTCGATAGCAGTGGCGTAAGGGATCGGGGAAATGGGGAGGTTGTGGATGTGGAAGGATATTATGGGTATAGCGGACGGATTGGGTCTGGTAGGGCGAAGACGATGGTGGAGGCAGAGAAACGCGTATTCGAGGGTATGGGACTCGTCTACCGTGAGCCCTCAGAGCGATGTACTGGATAATCGAGCCGCTTGGAAACCGTTGGCTGCGAGAGCTAGCTCGCCTGCTGTTCTTGGGTCACGTGCGCGATTCCGGATCGGTTTCGGCCGCGGAAGCTTTGCCGATCGCTGTACCTCGCGCTCGAACACTGCGACTACTTCACCTTCCTCGAACATCAACTTTCCTGACAATGTTAAAGATGTAAATCGCAGTGCTGCTACACCAAGCGAAACATACTGACTGAAGTCTGACAGCGGAACGGCCGCGCCACCAACGATGGCCGACCCAGATGTCGAGCGGCCCTCGAGCGCGAGTGGTCTGAAGCGGAAGCAGAGTGAAGAGCCGGAGCAGGAGAGCAAGAGGCAGCGTGTATCTCCTGGTAAGAGCTCACCACAAGATAGCATACAAGGGGTGCAGAGCGATGCAAGAACAGAACGAAGTGACCGTGCGAGAACCAAGGACCAAGAGCCTGACCAGCACACCGAGCAGCAAATTCGAGCGGAAGAGCTGAAGCCACAGCGCAGAAAGAACAGTGTGATTGATGAGAAGCAGCGTAGCAAGCGGCTATTTGGCGCTTTACTAGGCAATTTAAACCAGCCCAGAGATAGAACCTCGACAAGACGGCAGGAGATCGAAGCTCGAAGAAAGGCTGAGCTCCAGCGACAGGATGACGAGCGACTCGAAGACAAGCAACGACGGCTCGAAAGCCTTGCAGAACATAGACGGCGGAAGCAGTGGGATGTCGACGAGGACAATGTACGCTCGTTGCACCTCATTGTGCCAGGCGCGCACCCCGCTGACCGTGATGGTGATAGATGCGCTTTCGACATAAGAGCATGCTTGACGCAGCCAACTTTTTTATGACTAGCGCCGAGCCGAAGATTGTGGGTAGATTTCTTATGCTCGTGGGGAAAGCGCGTTGGTGGTCGAGGCTGACAGATAACAGATGTACCGACCATGGGAGCTCCGACCGGACGAAGAAGATCGCGTTGAACAACAGCTCGAGGAAGCGCAGAAACAGGTCGACGAAGAAGTTGATTTGTTCGAGGCTAGACGTCGACACTTCTTCGAAAGTGATGAATTGAATGGAGCGGATGGTAAGCCAAATCCACTTAGCGACGTACGACTCTGCTAACCCCGTTTGTAGATAAGTCACTACCAACAGAGGCCAACGGCGGCGTCGAGTCTGGAAAAAATGGCGACGTGCATCACGACGAATCCGACAGGGTGGTGCGGCCTGCGACAGATCGAGCTAACTCGGCGGAAGCACGTCACGAGGTTGCAGAGACTCGGGAAGACAGCAAGCCGGTCGAAAGCTCTGTGTCAAATGGCGACCAGAAGGGCCACGACTCTACCCATGCTGAGCTCGATGACTTGGGGACTGAAAAGCCTCAGGTGCCGCAAATCGAGGACGAGGAGCATCATGTCGTCGAAGGCGAGGAGGATACGGTTATCTACTAGCAGCCGAAGCATTGTGCACATGACCCGTTCGCAAAAGTATTAGGCCACGCAATGGTTTTCAGCCTGTCGGCAGCACTCGTGTGATATATTGTACGATATCCATCGCAATGGCTTGCTCAACGAGCGCCATGTGGTGTTGGCCGCATCTTAAGCAAGGCTGAGCTGACCGCTCGAGCTTCGGAACCATGGTTGTGCTAAGCTGCGCCAACAACTTGACATCTCTCGACAGCATTGTTCGGTATCCGAATGCTTACAAAGCTAATGCAGCTGATGGGCGGAGCAACAACAGCGCCCATGTGTTTGTAAGCGCTGTCGTGTAATCTTCATTCCCATACCCGAGGTTTCGAGCCTTCTAAGCTTCCAGCTCTCGCCCCTCGGGTAAGCATACATTAAGAATAGAAGTCAGAATTAGGCTTTAATCTCCCTTCCTACTGTGACTTTTCTGGTCGCTTTAATATTGAGCGTGGTTACTACTCTCTAAATATTGTTATAGCCATGGCAGCAGGCGTTGACAAGATCGTCCCGGGGGACCGGCAGGTGAAGTGGGAGGAATATGCAGAGGTCAATGGGCGGCGATGGCGTAAGAGACACTAGGACTATACGCATCCTAATGTCGATTGAAAGCAACAGATATACTGACGAGACAACAGACTACCTCGATGCGAATGCAACTACAACTGAACGTGGACTCTGCGTACTCGTGCATGGCTTTCCAGACCTTAGTCTCGCCTGGCGCTACCAAATCCCAATGCTTACGTCTCTCGGTCTCCGTTGCATTGCGTTGGACTGCATGGGCTACGGTCTCACTGGCACCTCCGATGACCTAAAAGATTTCAGCTTCAAGGCTCACGCCGACGCGATCGCTGGGATTGCGTCTCAGCTCGGCTACTCCAGGATCATCATTGGAGGCCACGACTGGGGAGGTGCCGTGGTCTACAGAGTTGCACAATGGTATCCGAAGCTTATCAGCCATGTGTTCAGTGTGGCAACACCTTACTGGAGTCCGATGGAGAAGTTCGTGAGCACCGAGGAGTTAGTCAGGGGCCCGTTACCGCAGTACGGGTATCAGCTCCAGCTTGGTAGCGAAGACCGAGTGATAGAGCGGACGGTACAGGGCGCAGAGGGTATCCGTAAATGGTTGACAGGCATGTACGGCGGCAAGCCGAAGAGCGGGAAGGCTTTCTTCACGCCGCAGCGTGGACTCGACGTTCAGGTGTTTGAGACAGACGAGTTGGCGATGACGCCTCTGCTGGACCATGCCGTAAGTATTGAAGCTTTTCTTTTCCATTGTACACTTCTGACGGTATGTCGGCAGGAGCTCGACTACTACGTACGAGAATTTGCTCGCAATGGCGTCAACGGACCATGCAATTGGTATCGTACACGCAAAGTGAATTGGGAGCAGGAGCTCTCCATGCCGTCTGAATGCCGCCGAGGCTTGCAACAGCCTGTGCTCTTCGTCCAGGCATTGCGGGATGATATCCTGCGACCGGAAATGAGCAAGAACATGGAGAAAGCCATCCCAAACCTCACGCGAGGCGAGGTGGATGCTAGTCATTGGGCGCTGTGGCATACGCCAAAACAAACTAATGCGATTATCTGCGAGTGGGTTGAAGGTGTTGTGTTCGGTGGGAAGAGTAAGCTATGAGCGGTGGGTCTGGTGTCAGCTTATCAGACTAAGTCCACCTTCGCAGTTTGCGCCCATCTTGTTTCGTTGTTGACGCATTCTTGTCGGATGCGGTACAGCTCGTCGATGAAGGCAGGTACGAAGGTACCCGGGCCCTTCACTTCTTCGCGCACGCCTGCGCGTTCGGCCGCAATCTCATACATTAGAATGCCAGTCAAGGCCGCGAGCAGCTTGTCTTCCCTCTCTGCCGCCATCATGCTTGCGATGGTAGTCCCAAGGGTGCAGCCACTGCCCGTGATTTCGCCAAGGTACGGGTGACCGTTGTTGATGGTGAATGTTCGCTCGCCGTCCGAGATGACATCCGTGCTGCCTGTCATGAGGATAATGTTTCGCTCGCGCGCAGCTGTGCCCTTGACAAGCCGAATTCTATCCTCAAGACTAAGCTGCGAGGCTCCACTGTCAACGCCGTGCTGCTTGACACCCTGTGCTCCGGACACAGTACGTATCTCGCCTTCGTTCCCTTTTATGACGTCGAAGAAGCCACCTGCCATGAGCGCCTTGACACCTTCTCGCCTGTGCGCCGTTGCACCTGCACCGACAGGATCCAAGAGCGTCGGACTTCCAACGGCGTTGTACGCTGCGAGCGCCCTAAGATGATTCTCGCGCATCTCGGGGGTTGTGGTACCCATGTTGATGACGAGACTTCCGCCTAATGCTGCAAGGTCGGCAGCCTCAAGGCCATTGTTGGACATGATGGGCGAGGAGCCGACTGCTAAAGCCACGTTCGCCGCAAAGTTCTGTACCACCAGATTGGTCATGTTGTGGCAAAGAGGCTTCGCTTGGGCCATGCGTTTCACGATCACAGGTGCTTTTGCCACAAGCTCGTCGCGAGTGAGCTTACCTCTCGATACAGGAGTAACGAACGGAGGCGGCTGGCTGATCAGCTTACAAAGGTGTTGCGTCGCGTCTTTCGGATCATCTGAGGCCATAATAGCGCTGACTACTGCAACGCCATCGAGCTTCTTCTCGGGAGATGCACATTGGTACATGATGCGTTGAACATTCCGGGCGTTGATCCCCCCGATTGCGACAGTCTTCACTTCATCATGGCCAGCGGAAGCCAGAGCGGTCAGTATCTGCTGGACGCCTGCTGCGCCGATGATGGATTTCGTGTTCTCTTTGGTAGGGGTGGCGTAGACGGTACCAATACCTAAGTAGTCGGCACCATCTCTGGCCGCCTCGAGCGCTTCCTCGAGAGTGTTCGCCGTGATGCCGATGATGGCATCAGGACCCAGAATTCGGCGGGTGGTCTTGAGGTCGAGGTCATCCTGGCCCACGTGCACGCCCTCCACTCCAGCAGCGAGTGCCACGTCTACGCGGTCATTGATAAGAAGCGGCACACCAGCTCGCTTCGTAATTTGGTGTAGCTGCTTCGCCACTTGCACTAGCTCGGCCGTTTCGGAGGTCTTGTCGCGATATTGTACGATTGTGGCGCCTAGTTAGAGTGAGCGGTTAGGATGTTCAAAACATCGGATGGCACGGATATACCTCCTTCGACCGCTGCTTTCACGACAGCCACCAGGTCTTTATCGCCCAGGATGGCAGGCGTACTGTCCGTAACGAGATAACACGAGTAATCCACATCTTTCGATGGCATGATATACTAGCGTTATTTTGAGGGTAGAAGGCGCGCTGGAAGAGTCAACCTACAGTGAGAATATGCTTTGACGGTATGTGATGTAAGTCTCAACAGTCTGTGTACTGGAGCTCAGATCAACTGCGTGAAGGCTTCGTAGTCAAAAGAATGTTCAAACGCTTCTGTATGCAGACCTGAGTATCCAACACGGCAATTTTGGCTCAATGTCACAGGCATGGAGCTTGTAATTTGCAGTTTCACACACGGACCGAACACGAGCGGCACTATGCCGGCTCACAACGCGTAACAATATGTAGTATGCGGGTACTCCCGCTTGAGTTGAGTTGGGAAGTTTGCTGCTCGCGAACTTGTTAAAATCATCAACAAGGCTGCGGTGGCCGAGTGGTCTAAGGCGGTAGATTTAAGTCAACCATGGCTAGAAAACTCTACTGGGGAGACCCGCGCGCGTTCGAACCGCGTCCGCAGCAACATGCATTTTTGGTTCTAACTTCTCACCATGCGGAAAAATTTCCCGTCACCACTGTCACTACGCTTCACATGTTTTTCATCTCGCCTCTCTTCACTTCAACGCTTCGACTGCCGTCCTCCTCAAATGCTATTTTTCCGTCTCCAGGATCTCCACACGCTAACCCCACCCATGATGCACCTTCTATCACCCGCATGATCTTGAACAAGTCAGCTCAGCAAAACCCACAAGTAACACTGCTTCTATCATGCCAAGATTAGCCTGAATTGCTCGTCGTGGATGTAGAACTCTTGCCTGACCTACTAGCTGAGGTAGTTAGGCATGAGGCTCTCCGCATGCGAGTCGGCACCATGACGCAGTATAGGCATTTCCCCAGTGCTATAAAGTATGAAGGATCGCTTAATGAGCATCACGTCTCATCCATCGCACAGTAAGCCACTTGCCATGCTGCGTTTTTCCTTCCTCTCGCTCCTCACCGGACTTGCCGCCGCAGAGAGCGGCCTCAATGCCTGGCTACGATATGCACCCTACGCAGGCTCGGTCTTTGACCAATCTAAGGTGCCTTTGCATATTGTAGCATTGAATACGTCGACCGCCAGTCCGGTCTACGTGGCTGGACAGGAGCTCCAGACGGGCATTGATAGCATCTTCGGCCAGCAATGCAACGTCCACCACAGCCACTGGGGCCCCTCCGCAACTATCGTAGTAGGCACGATAGATGAATATACCAGCGTCTATGGCGAGCTTAGCAGCACTCCGGAGCTGATTGAAGACGGCTTCTGGCTCAACACCACGGGCAACAGTGTTCAGATTCTAGGCCAAAATGAGCGCGGAGCTCTCTACGGCGCGTTTGAGTATCTGTCCATGCTCGCTCAAGCCAACTTCACGCCTGTCGCCTACGCTGCAAACCCCGCCGCACCGATCAGATGGACGAACGAATGGGACAACCTGGACGGCAGCATTGAGCGTGGGTTTGCCGGGAACTCGATCTTCTTTGCTAACGGTGTTATTGTGAGCAATCTTACTCGTGCTGCGGAGTATGCTCGTATCTTAGCCTCCATCCGCATCAACGCAGTGGTTGTTAATAACGTCAATGCCAACGCTTCGCTGCTTACGCCTGATAACATCGCCGGACTCGGCCGCATCGCAGACGCTATGAGACCCTATGGTGTTCAGGTTGGCATCTCGCTATTCTTCGCATCACCTACGAGCGCTGTCCAAGGCCAGGCCAACCTTACGACATTCGATCCGCTTGATCCCGGGGTTGTGAACTGGTGGACTAACGTCACTAACCAGATATATGCGAAGGTGCCGGATATGGCAGGATACTTGGTGAAGGCGAACTCCGAGGTAAGAGTCGAAACCGTGCCATCTACGCAGCCAACTGACGTGCTGTAGGGTCAACCGGGCCCTCTGACCTACAACAGAACCTTGGCAGAAGGTGCAAATCTGTTCGCTAAAGCTTTGCAGCCGTATGGCGGCGTGGTGATGTTCCGCGCATTCGTCTACAACCTAGTGAATGAGTCCATCTGGACGCAAGACCGCGCTGTTGAAGCCGTTCAGTTCTTCCAGCCACTTGACGGACAATTTGACGAGAACGTTGTCATTCAGATAAAGTACGGACCGATCGACTTTCAAGTGCGAGAGCCAGCCTCACCTCTGTTCGCCAACATTCCTAATACCAACACCGCTATTGAGCTTCAAGTGACGCAAGAGTACCTCGGCCAGCAATGCCACTTAGTCTACCTCCCACCACTCTGGCAGACAGTCCTCGATTTCGATCTCCGAGTGGACAATAAAACGAGCCTCGTTCGAGACGTAATCACTGGGCAGCGCTTCAACCGCACCCTTGGCGGCTCGGCAGGTGTCGTCAACGTTGGCTTGAACGAAACGTGGCTAGGCTCGCATTTATCGCTCTCCAACCTTTATGCATACGGTCGCCTCGCTTGGAACCCTGCCGATGACCCCACAAGCATGGTTCAAGATTGGATCCGACTAACGTTCGGCCTGGATCAGTCCGTCATTGACGCCATCACCCAGATGTCTTTGGAGTCATGGCCAGCCTATGAGAACTACAGCGGTAATCTCGGCGAACAGACTTTAACCGACATCCTTTACACGCATTATGGCCCCAATCCGCAGTCTCAGGAGAACAACGGCTATGGCCAATGGACTCGCTCGGATCACCTCACCGTCGGTATGGACCGTACTGTCAGCAACGGCACTGGCTTCTCGGGGCAGTACCCACCAGAAGTCTTCCAAATGTTCGAAAACATCAGTACAACGCCCGACAATCTGCTCCTCTGGTTCCATCACGTCAACTACACCCAGATGCTGAAGTCAGGAGTGACAGTAATTCAAGACTTTTATGATCAGCACTATGCTGGTGCTGCTACCGCGCAGACTTTCGTCAGCACCTGGCAATCAATTCAAGGGTTGATCGACGCCGAGCGCTATTCCGACCAGCTCTTCCGTCTCGTCTACCAAGCTGGTCATTCGCTGGTTTGGCGCGATGCAATTGTGAACTTCTACAACAATATCTCCGGCATCCCGGACGAAGCCGGCCGCGTCGGCAATCACCCGTACCGCATCGAAGCGGAAAGCATGACCTTGTCTGGCTATCGGTTATACTATTACGCGCCCAACAACGCCACGACGCCTTTCGAGACTCTCAGCAACTACACCGCTATTGTCACTACCAACAACAAGACTACAGGTACCGCGTACACCGCCCTCAACTACCCGACCGGTAGGTATGATATCTCCGTGAACTATTATGACCAGTATGGTGGCGCCTCGAACTTCAGCGTCTACCTCAACAACAATATGATCGGGCAGTGGACCGCCAACCTTCGGCCATGGATTGGCAGCGCAGAGGGTCCGAGAGTTTTGGGACATACTCCATCAATCTACATTGACGGGGAGTCGGCGACGCGCATTACGTTCAGTAACGTCAGTGTAGCGCATGGCGATGTGTTGACCATCACTGGCATCCCAGATGCCAATGAATTAGCGCCACTGGACTATGTGAGCGTCCTACCGCTTGGATACGCGGATTGAAGAAGCTAAGACTCAACGCCTATAACATTACCATAATGCTGTAACGAACAAAGCGACAGAGAAAATCGCGCATCGGCGCATTATTACTTTGGCACACTACTCATCTTCACTGTCTCACCTTTTCCCACTCGTTAATGAGAAGTTCAGCAGTCGCCACAGCGGCATCGCAATTGAAAGGTTTCAGCATGCATCTTATCCTTACCTTGCGCAGTAATCGAGCTTCAGCCGAAACGACCATGGCCAAGGGTGTGTTGAACCACGGCAAGCACATGAAGCAGTGAGTTCACAAGAAAGGGCGTGGTAGAGCTTGACAGCCCTCGTTGACGAATGAAAGACCATGCAAGGTCAGACTATAAGCCGGTATATGTACACTGCGCCTTCCGGTTCTGTTCACGGTTTGAGCCAGTTTTTGTCCCATGCGGCGAAGCTTGCTGGTAGTCTAACGTCGCTATTAGTTTGGTATGGTGCGTAGAGACAGGCTAGAAACTGCAGGCGGTCTACGAAGGTCGTAGAACCCGAAGACCGTCTCTGGAGGGCGCGGTTGCGCGTTTGAAACTCTGCAGGCGGCGTCAGCAGCTGTTCGCTTGCATTTGTCACTCATTCCTTTGTCTGGCGATTGCCGCAAACATTGCACGGTATTCACTGTACGCAGAAATTTCGTCGTCGCTCCCATGTTGTATGATCAGCTTACCGAATCGCACTCTTCCCATGCCCTACCCGCACCAAAGCCCAGGCCTGTGAATACCGGCCATGCTCTCCGTCTGAACAGTAGCACAGAGAAAATCACGCCAAACCCTGCGCCGAGTGTGCTTCGTATGAGGAGAGTGCTGAGGCAGTGGTCCCACTACGTTCATCGTCAGCCTACGCTCTCAAAACCGCTCTGTTGCCGTAGTGACAGCCACAACCCGAGGATCGCTTGTCCTTCGTAATCAGGACGCTGGGCTATACCGTACCTTTTCGTTCAATAAAGCTTCACTCATTGGCCTGCCAGGTCGGTTTGGCGGTGGGACAAGCGGCGGGACAGGCGTAGCGGAGATGCTGGAGTCGGCCATTGCGGGTTACAAGGAGTACAGCTCTGCTTTAGCAACCGACCCGAGGTATGATACAGTGACTTGCAGGCAAGAAGCGCTGGTTAGAAGCTCAACAACATTGAAGGGGAGAGCTTCAGAGCTGTTCCTGGCGGCGGCAGTGGCCGCGAGGCTTGCAGCTTTCGGCGCTTAGGCCATCTTAGTATCAAAATCGTCAAAGGCAAGTCCAGGCTCAGGCTCCCAAGACTCTTGATACGACGTGCTTCAGCTGGGGCTCAGGGCTCCAACAGACTACTATGGCGCCTTCAGAGGGTACCATGAAGGGACAATCTTCCCTACACCGCCTGAAAGCACTTGACCAGCTCCCAAACGTACAATCGCGGCTTGATGAAGCAAGAAGTCTCTGTACCCATACGGCCAGAGCCGACATGATTTTGAGATGGACCGTCGAAAAAGTTAAGAGTGACGAGGACTATCGATCATGCGTCTCCACGTGGAACCTTTTTGCTGCAACATGCAGACTCTTACCCCTCGAAAGATTGGCTGCGATACTCGCTTCAGCCGACTTCCTCAGGCTTGCCAGCACCGCGATAAACGCCGAAACGACCAGCTTCGAGGTCGTTAGCGCCATAGCGGATTGCATGAACCTGCTTCACGCCTTATCGCAGGACCCCTCTGGAGCTCCACTGAGAGCGTTGCTTACTGCAGATGGGGCAAATGCGGTCACTTTCACCGGCCATTGGTATGCAGCATGTGCTCGAGTGCTTCAAAGCTGCGACAGAGCGGATCTCGAGTCAAGATGCGGCGCGCTTCTCAACTCGGCCTTCTCCGTCTGGAATTTGCGTAGACGCTCCCCAGCCGAGGACGAACTGTTCGCGAAGCAATGTCTGGTCCCGTGCACAGCCGTACTGGCTGCACTGCCCGCGAGTACTGCGAGACCTAAACGGAAACGGGGCACCAATAGCACGTTTCCCATGGGAGACACACGACAGACACTCGAATCCATGCTTGCCAGGCACGTCTTCCTACCTGCTCGCGATGTGTTCTTTGATGCGCAGTCTGCACACGACCACAATCCCAGAGATGGGAACTCAGGGAATAGCGTCCTAGATCTGCCGCAACGGCTTCAGGCATTTAGCGGGGCTATCACATCTAAGCAGCTGTCTCCGGGAACTGCGCCGGCTTTGTTAGGCATTGCGCTTCGATGCATCCCAATGACGACGCAGAAACAGCGGGTTCGAGAGCGACCTTGGGTCGAAGCGATCTTTGCTGCCTTGCTTGATTGTGTAGTGCTGAACGGAGAGCCCGTCGGTGATAACACCCTCGTCGACATGCTTGTTGTTGTAGGCAACAAAGCATCGTTATCCGTTGACACGCTGTCCCACCTCATAACTAGATATGGAAGTTGCGGCGCAAATAGCGACCGAATGGCACAATTGGATTTCTTTGCACAGATCGTACGCCTGGATCCGAACGTCTTCGTCAGACCACAGATGGCGAGCTGGCTGTTTGAGGTCGTTGAAGCGGCTGGTAAACATCTGGTGTCGTCTGCCGAAGAGCAAGTTGCAGATTCGAGGGCTCTTAGGGATCAGCTGCGAGACTCTATCCTTACGCCAGTCATGGAGGCGTTCGCAAGAAACCGTAAACTGCCAGCCTTCATTGAGCGTTGGCATCAGACATTACTCGAGCTACCGCTGTCGCAGAAGTGCTCAATCTGGCTCGAGCTGCGCCAACCGCTGAGCTTCCTTATCGAGGCGAACATGACCGGCGACAGCGTAACGGAGCTCGTTTCACATTATCGTGGCGCGTTGGCCAGAAATGCTGATTATTCTTACACGGGGCACACGGCAAGCATGATTGTCTTACAAGGGCTGTTGGGCGGCGTGCGCGACGCTGAACTCCTGGACGAACTTCATTCCCACCTGCATACACTCTATGGTGCGCTTATGTCCTTAGCCGACCAAGCGAAGAATCTCCGCGGATACTGGACGTTTGTGATCACTGTCTTCGAGAGATGGTGGCCCTCGTACCTTGCTCTGAACCGAGACCCGGCATCGCTGGCCTCTCTGGCTGACCAAGTGGTGGGTAGCAACGCTGTGCGCGTGGGCACGAGTTACCTTGATTCGCTCGATCTTCAGAAAGACGAGGATTCCTCTATTCTCGATGTAGAAACGGCAGAAGCGGTGCAATTTTTGTGCTGTGTTGCGCACCACCTTTCCGACCTTGATATGGAGGAGTCAAGGCTTCCCTTCATGAAACGAGTCATGAAGCATGTCCAGCGTGGCGACCTGGAGGGTATTATCAGATACCCAAAATGCCTCGATCTCTTCGAGATAAAGGCAGCTTTTCTTTTTGAGCCAGCAGCCAGGGCAGTTCTAGACGGACAAGACGTAGAGGTGGCTACCGAGAGCCTCCGCGCTCTTACAGCGAGCATAGTGGACAACGGTTTAACGGAGATGTTTGTAGACCTGGTCCTTACCGGTACGGCTTCTGGAGAGGGAGACTCTGCGGATCCTCAGCCTATGGTGCTGGCGAGCGCCGCAACCGTGGTCAAGTTTCGAGTACTTGCAGACGTTGCCCCATCAATATTCTCTGCTTCGCATAGACAACGCGTACTGGACTGGCTCGCCTACCCGAAGCTCGACGTATGGGGCAGCTCGCATGCTCCACAGCAGCGTCTGGCGCTTATGGTACGACTGCTCAAGCTGCCGTGTCCTAACGCTCGCATGTTGATCGACGCTAAAGCGCTGTGGCAGCTCAAAGATAAGTCGCGGGACACCGGACCGAGTTCTGAATCTTGCAGGAAGGCTGATGTTAATGAGTCCACCGCCTCCATGCTCGAGCAGGTAGCCAATGCGATCTTCCTGCGGGTTCGCCATGATCTTAGTCGCGATATGGCACGATCTGTAATGCGTGCTCACTGGCAGAACGCGAATGCTTTTGTGACGACGCTGCAGCTTGAGCCGAGCTTTGACGGGATGCTTGATGGCGTTGCAACAGTCAAGGCACTTCTGTCGAGTGCCGATAATGCGAACAGTGACGATGGCACTGACGCTGATCTCAAAGCCAACACCTTGAACTCATGGATCTCCACTCTGTCAGACCATGTCGAGAGAGCTGGAAAGCCACCGATGCAGTCCGCCACGATTTTAGCTTCACTTGACGCACTGGCGCACTTACCGAACTCTTCGCTGACATCGACGCTGTTCGAAGAGTCAGCTGAGACAGCCCGACTCGTGCGTATAATCAAGGGGGTCCTGGATAGCGCGCAGCAATCGCTACATGATCAAAGGGATGAGACTGTCCAACAGACAATCGCTGTGCGCTGTTTTGAGCTTATCTGTCGGTTCAGGCTGCATCCTGGCATTAACGAGCACCAGCCGAGCAGCTTGGCATTGCAGCTTCTGGAAACAGGCTTGACTGCGAGAGAGCACGCGGCAACCTTGACAGCATTCTCAAACTTTAGCGTGACGGCGAATGCACAGGATCGCTCGGATCTGCTGCAAAAAGTCCTTCCAGCAAATGCAACTCCGTCACCACAGCAGATGCTGCTTGCGAAGGTGCTTCTTTCCACTCTCGGCAAAGACGACCTCAATAACAAAGAGGCGGCATCACCTCAACGTATACTGGAGCGGATCTTGCGAGTTACACGTGAGACTACTGAGCTACTTACCATCCGTAGAGCCTGCGCGTGCGTTTCTATGATCCTCAAAGAGAAGCTTTTCATGGTCAATCAATACACCATCGAAATGACGCTTGATCTATGGCAGGCGTTTGAGCAAAGCCATGATCACGACGCTCTACGGCTGCTCTACCTCGACTTTTGCCGCATCTTCACCGTCTTGCTGCAGCAACACCGCTCCAGACTGCGGGACCGCATGCACATGGTCATTGTGCTTCTGCAAGCGCTTTTGACTCGCCTGTTCCGGATCAAGGCTAAGGGCTCGATCATTGCAGGACTGTCGCCACGTCACGCCGGCGTTCTGGCTCGTATTGTGCAATCGCTCTGCAATCCTCCGCTGTTGCGTGGCAATGCCAAAGGCTCGGACCTCGTAGATCAGGCACGCAAGGCGCAGGCGCATGTTGGACAGTACGTGCCGTTACTGCTACACCATTACTGTGTGCAGATCTTGGCAGGCACGCTCGCTGAGGGTGTGAGAGAAGCGCTATTGCCAGGCCTATGGGCCGTGATCAAGGCTGTCGAAGTGAGTGATACGGATGGGATGAGGTCATTAAGTGCGGCAATGAATAATAGCGAGAGGGCAGTGTTACGGAGTCTGTACGAAGACTACAAGCTATTCGGCAAGTAAAAGGCAATGAGCAGGCGCTATGCAGAGGCCTTGCTCCGGAGCTCAAGAACTCTCTTTTCCAACGCAAACTTTTCCACTTTGGCCGTTCGGTTGATTGGGAAAGCCTTCAGCCCGAGATCCGCGAGCGAAGCGGCACCAGCAAGCGAGCATTCTGTGCCAAACATCTCAACTACATGCGCCTTGAACGCCTCTTCCGCCTTACATGTCTGTCTTTCAAGCACAGCGAAAGGTTCTTGTCCAAGCTGTGAAGATGGCGATGCAATCAACACTGTCTTTACTCCTGTGAGGCTACCGATGCTGGCCTCAACCGCCGAAGGGCTGATGGAGAAGCCGGCCCGCTTGATGATATCCTTCATGCGGCCTTTGATGAAGAGCACGCCGTTCTGGTCCACGAAAGCAAGGTCGCCGGTGCGGAACCATTCCCTGCCACTCTCGCCGGAGAAGAAGCTCTCTGACTTCACGTTGTCGAGGTACTTGCGCGCCGCAATACCGCAATCGAAGGACAGTTCGCCCATCTCCCCTCTGTGGACAACTCGTTTGCGGCCTTCGTCCCAAATGCGTAATCGAACACCAGCCGCAGGGACGCCAACCGGACATACATCGTGGCTGTATGGAAGTTTATCGAGGAACCGGTCAAAGAAGGGCCATCTGGTCACACAACCGACTTCGGTCATGCCATAGGCAACGCCTGTTCGGCAATGATTGAATGCCTTCCTGAGCGTGAAGAGGTCTTTCTTAGTGATGAGATCGGCCCCAAGATAGACAACGTTAAGTGAGCTTAGATCTCTGGCCGCAAAGGATGACTCCGCAAGCATGAGATGCATAAAGACCGGAATGAGCACCATCATCGTAACATTGTGTTGCTCAACAGCGTCCAGCATGCCGGTGGTATTACTTGTACCTGGCACAGGTGGAGGCGACGGTACGACAAGCGCGCCACCCGCCTTCCAGGTCATCATCGTGACTGTCGGGCAAATCACGCGATAGTTCGGTGTTGACAGTAACAAACGCTCTCGATCGTTACCCTGGGCCTTCAAGTTCCAGGGATTGGCTTCCATCCCAAGCGAGGGCGCATCCACACGCCGAGGGCAGCCCTTTGGTGCACCGGATGTGGTGCCGGATGTGAAATAAATAAGAGCAATACGCGCAGGGTCATCTCTGCGGGCATGCTCGAGAACGTCCTCCTCGCTGAACGGCCCATCGATACCGTCGGAAGCCAAGCTGAGGAGTGTCTTCCAACCTTCGTGTTCAGGATCGTCTAATATGATCTTGACCTGCGGGAAGTGTATCTTGGGATCAAACTGCAACGCGTCCATCGTGCAGGCACCGTCACTGCCTTGTACCATCACAACGCTTGGCTTTAGTTTGCGCACATGGGTGGACAGCTCTGCACTTCTTGCTGCTCCAAGCACAGCGGGGTCAATGGCGACCAGAGTCAGTCGCGAAACGGAAGTACTCGATTCGGTTCGGCATGAAGGTCATAACGGTCGCTCCGCTTGGTAGGCCCTTTGCCATCAGTCCTCTCGTCACACGTAGCGCTGCTTGATGTAGTGCCTTGAACGCCCAGTTCAATCCTTGGCGATCATGACTGAGTACCGTAGGCACCAATTGAAATAGGTGATCTGATGCTTGCCACATGACGATCACGGCTGCCCCATCTGGACTGGTTCTCATTCAATCTTCGAACTGTGCGAACAGCGTCGGCGGAGCCATTAACGGTCCGTCATACATCTCAGCACTGGTGGTCTCACCGTTGGCAGCCATGACCGTTCTTGTGCCTTAACTCAAGATGCAGCGTATACCAACCGAGGAACATCATGGACTTTATATCTTCAAAATGTCATGCTGACGACGCGTGCCGATTACTTGCTCCTCTGCACAAAGCCATCCTTGACGAGTGAGCGGCGGGACGCTCAAGATCATTTTACGATGCAACTAAATGATGTTCTTAGTCACCGGCATACTGAATGGGTGGCCTGAAGTGCTGATGCAAGCACTTGCAGCCCGTCTCGGCCGTAAATCCTACCCGGCGAGGAGCCATTAGATCGTCCGCGAGTATCTCCTTCCGCCACCTCCTTGAGCTTATGAGATGGTTTTCGGTTGACACTGCGTAGCAGTGTTCCGGTATCCTGAACATTGTACAGAGACGGCATGCTTACTTACTGGCAGTTGGATAGAGTTACCGCGAAGACGACGTCGCGAAGAAGTGAGTCTTGAACAGAGACCTCACTGCACTTGACACTTCGTAATGGTGTATACGAACGCATCAGAGCGTATGTGAGGTTTAACAAGTCGAGAGCTATGTTTCGGCCCCGGTTTCGGCCCGCTGCATAACAGCCTTCCGTGGCAGCACCGATCCTTCGAAGCTAGAGTTGCAACCATCCGGCGTACCAATAGAGCCAGAACCGGTGAGTCCATGTTGCTTAGATCGTTACACCAGTGCGCTGTAACGTGCCTGACAGCACTTCATCGGTCGCCATTCGTATCATGATTATATCAGGTTGCAATGTATGGAGCCATATTCTTAGTCACCATCGCTAGCCTTACTCAAGCCACAGTGAACAATATACAGACATATATGCGACCTACTCAGTCCGAAACAATGGTCAAGCTCCACATTAGCTTTCACATTTGCGATGCGCAGCTTGTGCTGGAGAAGACCGCCTTGGACATTGCAAGCCCTTCGCATGCTTTATACCAGCAAAGACCGAAAGACCAAAGCTACGATGCAGGGCTGCTGTGTCCGACTGCCAAAACACAGGCACGGTACATGAGACCGACCTAAGTCGCTGAACGAAGCTCTCTGACAATGTGCGGCGGGATGGAACAGTTAGGGTCGTCGTAAGTTTACAATCATGCAAGCCAGAATCAAGCAATCTCACTTCCTCCTCCCACTCCCGTTCAACACCCTTCCAAGGGCTCGCAACGCGTCCATGGCATCCACACCATTGCCCCGTGCTTTCTCCTGGTGCTCCAGCACGTCAGCTGTATCCGCCAGAGTCCTCTCGGACAGCCTGTCCGCCGTCTCTCGCGCGACGGACAAAGCGTGGACGCCATGGGCGAATTGATCGACCGTGAACTCCAGATTGGCGGAAATGTGCTGCAGTCGGTCTTTAATCGCTGCCGGCTCGACTGGTGCTTGATGGCGCGAAGATGGGGCCTGGAGTTCTTCTAGGATGGCTCGTTGTGGACTGTCGAGTAACTCTGGGTGGAGCGGCGAGAGTGGTTGTTCGTCTTCTGCTCCACCATCTATGGGAGGTGATGGTGGTACGGCGGACTGGACTAGAGCCTCCCAGTCCGCTCGATCTTGTTTTAGTCTGCCGGAAAATCATGCAATCAGCAAAGACCCAACCTGAGATTTGGAGTGATCAATACCTCTCAAGCTCTCCTTCTAACTCCTGGACCTTCGCCGCATTTGCAAGGTTCCTGGGATTGGCTTTCTTGCGCAGCGGTATTGCTGGCACAACTTCGTCATCGCGGGAGAACCAGTCACTTAGCGTGCCTTTAGTGATGAGGTCTTGCGCGAGCTCTGCTTGTACTACCAGAGCTATCACTGGATCAGCACAATGTTTCATAACATTTCCGTCGGAAAGAGGTGCGTACCTGCTTGCAGCGCTTGGAATTCCAAGCTTGACGCCGCGCTCGCGTTCTTTGGTGCTTCAGGCTTATCTGGTAGAGCCCGCTGTCCGCACCAGCTCAGCAGACACCGCATTCGTCGCGGTTCGGTAAGGTCGGCGGAGATATGCTTGTAGAACTCCGCGGTCGGCACCTCAGCGTGAGGCAAGGCTGTATCCAGAACAGTCAGCACAGGCGCAAACCGTGGAAGCTCTTGCAGACCCTCTACCACAACCAAAAGCATCGTACATACCATTGCCCTTGCCCTCTTCGATCAGACTACTCGCCCTCCTGCCCCTCATACCTGAGCTACTCCGCCTGGTCCCACCTAGACCATCCGCGCTACTTTTCCGCATTTCTCGATTACGCCGAATCACTGGCGTATCGGCAAAGGGCAAAGCAATTCGCATGATCTTCTCCTCCTCTTCGGCGCCATTCGCGACGCGCTTTCGCTTTCTTTCGACCGTTACGGGACGAGCTTTGTCCGGACTGGGCGAGCGGTCACGTTTCGCATGCGATTTGGCGTGAGACGGTCTGAATGGCGAAGCTTGTGCTTCGAGGGATGGATTGCCGTCGGTGGAGATACGCTTGCTTCGACGGACGGGCTCACGGTCCGGTGTTGTTGGCAGTCTACGGCGCGTTTTCCGGGGCGGAGCTTTTGGTGCTGAATCCTCGGTTCGTGGAGGCAAAGGCGCTGCTACAGGCGCAGGAGGATTCACCGCAGTCTCACCTGACGGCGGAAGTGCAGCAGGCATAGTCTGTTCATCCGCCGAGTTGCGCACAGCCGGCTGCTTCCCTTCCTTGCCCTTCCGCCCACCCTTACTGAACGCGAAGCCATCAACCTTCTCATCATACGCCTTCCGCGACCGTCGTTTCGACAACGCGTTCGCGTCGCCATCCTGATCTTTGGTGCTCACCGTCGTTGTCGTCTGCGCGCCGTTGGCCTTCGACTTCTTGGCAGGTGGTTCGTTGTCTTCCGCGCCGTCATGTGACAATCGCGCACTTCTGCGCTTTTGCATGCCCGCCCCATTCATCCCGATCGGTTCCAGAGGTGAGCGCGTGAGTACCATTGACATCGCTGGGTGCTGGTGTGGAGCTACCCGAGTCGGAAAGCGCGAAGGACACGCGCAGGGGAAGAGATCAAGGTTTGCCGCGCAAGCGCTTGGGTATCATTACACGACTTTCCCGAACGCAGTGATCGTTTTGTCGCGTCGCAATGGCCGTCGTCGCGTAGTAATGATGTTGCATCGGGCTGAAGAACGACTTGTACACTGTTCTATGTGGGCTTTCCATTTGTTTACACCGGATATTCCCGCTAAGCTCTGCCGAGGCCGCTAGCCGCTTTCGAACACGTATATCTCGTGGATGCAACTCAACTTCCATTTCAACTCTATTCATCCACGACTTGCTCGATTGACCAACAATGTCGCTACTTGCGTGCAGTGAGGGACGGGGAGATGTCTATGCCAACGGCGCCAGCTGCGGTATCGCCCTCTCCGCGGCGGCCAGCACGCTCCAAGGCGGGATGCGTAACATGCTTGAGGAGGAAGGTACGCTGCGATGAGCTACATCCGCAGTGTACGCACTGTAGTCGCCTCAAGCTTCAATGCGAGTGGCGCACGCCTTCAGCGAGTGTGCATCCGAGTCTCGCCAGCCGACCTTCTGGCACTGCGGCGGAGGTAGTGGCGATAGATCGCGGCATCAGCCAGAACCCAGCGCCGACTGACTTGGACAGCGGCATCCTGGAGAGCTTCGACTTCAACAGCAGTATCTGGCATGATGCATCCACGCTTGATCCAGGAGCTTTTGACTGGTTCTCGAGCGATCCTGGCTTTACAGTTAACGGAGTCACCACGCTAAGTGGCAATGCACCGGCACCGAATATGAGCACGACAGGTGTCGAGACACTTGGTACTCAGATGGGCTCGAGCCTCGCTCTTGAAACGTCGCCTGCATCGTCAACCGGTGCTGGCGGACACGCGCTTGTGGAGCACTTCTTAGCCTCCAGCGTCCCCCCTATCCTGACGTCTATTGAAGTCGGGCCACGTTGGACAACCACGAAAATGCTGCTTGCCTCCCTTGCAGCGTCATCGCCTATGGTTCGGTATGCAATGATGACATTCTCCGCAATAGAACTGGGCGAGAGTGAAGGACTGCGCCCAAACCACCAAGCGTTGTATGACAAGGCTGCGAAGCAGCTGTCTGACCATGTTACCAGAGTACAGAGGGGTGATGTGGATGTGACAGCAGGCCTGCAGTTTGCACTTACTGCTGCGTTCTTTCTAGCCTACTCCGATCTGTTAGCAAAGCGTCTCGGCGGTGCACAACAGATCCTTCGAGATGCTGTCAGCTTAATACGCAGCCACCGGAAGAAGCATCTTTCGGCCATCGAGAGACGGTTGGTGGCATGGCTGCGCTTGGTCGACGGTCGTGCGTCTTCCGCAGGTGGAGACGGCGCGTTCCTTGACGAGACTGATGACACTCCACAAGAAGAGCATCTTCGTTCATCTGTGCCCGTTGATGGAAGTAGCGGCCCGGCCGATGCTGAGCACGCTATTGAAATTGTACTCTTCGACGTGCTATACTCACCAGGCTTAGCCTTCTACCAGCGCGTTCAAAGCATCATGGCACGTGTAACCAGGCTTGACCCTTGGCACCGCTCTCGCGGGACTGTGACAGACGAGACAGAGGTTATGGCGTCTGCTGCTATGATCAACCACGATTTGCACATCCTGGAAACAGAGCGCCCTGCATTGATGGACCATGCTGTTGCCGGCTCACTCACTGGCCGCTATCTTGCACCAGACATCGCGAACGCCATTACGAAGAGCTATCGTACCTATTGGGCGAACTATTCTGCTGGCTACATCCATCTTCACCGCGTAGCGTATAAGCACCTACCGGCGAATACCGACGTGCTAGATGCAAGGACTGCGATCAAACGGATTGCAAGATTCTTCGAGACAGAACATGAGCCCATGCCAACGAACATGATCTGGCCTCTACTTATGGCATGTTGTGAAGAAGATGGTCTTGAAGACCGTAAGTGGATGATCCAAACAATCCGCGACATGCACGGCAGTGCCACAAATGCCAAGCCCATTGCCGATGTCCTTGAAGAAGTCCACCGGCGTCAGGACGCTAACAAACAGCGCGCTGATGTTCGCCAAACCTCCATGGATCTCTTCAACATGTCATTTGCAGTCGTGTGAAAGCCATTCGCCGTGCAAGAGTATTATTACTGCTTGCCTATCTTCTTTAGTCTGATCTCTTCAGCCTCCAGAACCGAGACCTGATCAAGTATCCACCGCTGCTTCGCTGGGTCATTGAACTTGGGGTACGGTCTCCGACAGTGGCGTGCCTCCGCAGGGTATCCCAGAAGTTCGCTCACGACCCATTTCGTGCCGTTGATGCCACCGTCACCGAAGCCTAGCTCTGGTACCGCAAGCTGATATTGAAGCTTCTGTGCTTCTTCGATATTGCCGACGTTGTACAGATCATAGACGGCGATGCAGCACTTGGGGTATAGGTTGCCAACCCCTGTAATGCAGCCCGTGCTTCCAACCGACATTGCGGGTATGAGCCAGTCAGACTGACCGGCAAGAGCGGAGAACTGTGTCTGGGGGTAGGATGCGGTCAGGCGGGTGATCTTCGCAATACCGCCGCAGGTGAGCTACAGCTTGGCTGTTAGCAGCGAACAGCAATTGCGTTTTGCGTCTTTCAATTCATTTTACCTTCACCGCAACGATGTTCGGATGCTTCGCCAACCGATCCAGCATCGTCGAGTCCAGATTCAGCCCTGCCGCAACGTTTGGAAAATTGTACAAGATCATTGGAATAGGACTGACGTCTGCAACCTCTTCGAAGCATTCGCAGATCGCATCTTTGGTCATCGCGAAGTGAAAGAAGCTCGGCACAAGGACGAGCGCAAAGTCAGCGCCTGCCTCCTTTGCGACATGGCAATCATGGATTACATCGCGCGTTGATGTCCCGCTAGTGCCAAGGGTAATGGGCAGTTCAGGCCGGCCCTCCTCCCGCGCAATCTTCCGTGTCAGCCGAACGAGCTCGGCCTTTTCTTGCCTGGTGAGAGCGATCGCCTCGCCGTTTGTGCCTGCAAGGACGATGCCGTGGATGCCGGAACGGACGAGGAAGGCAATGTGCGCGCTTTGCGTGGTCCAATCGATCTCTTGGCGGACCGTGGAGTCGAAGAAGGTGAGACACGGGACGTGGATGCCTGGAGGATATGGTCGTGCTGATGCTGGGGAAGCGTGAGCAACGCCGACACCGTTTTCGTTAGAAGGCATACTGAACGAGCCGACTGCGCTATAAGGACGGGAAGAAAGTGCAAAAGGAAGATGGAGCAAACAAAGAGTGTACAACTTACCGCTCAACTTCCTACTTTACGGTCTCCGGCGGGTTGCTCCACACGCCGAGCTTGCTGCATGAGCGACCAACACGCGACTGGTGCCAGGCCACTGTCTACGGTATTGTATGCGACTCGCGATGGTCGACCTCGCGTCGGCGAAAAACATCGTCGGCAGAGCGATGTTCTCGTCGGCAACGCTAAATTTTCGTCGGCTGAAGCCAGAAGCCGCTCGGCAAGACCAAATGCGGATTGAGACGCGGCCTTGGCACGTCCTATTGCATCGGATTTGCCTGGGTTAAGTGAATGACTTCGACCGCGTCCCGACTCTACCGAAGCGGAACCACCATGTGGCGGTCGGCAGAACTCGCTTCGACGAGATGCGACTCGTGTACTGGCAAGTTGTGTCTTTTCATTGGCGCCCCGCTTTCCGTCTCCGCGGCTGCCCGCTACTCCAGCTCTATATCCTTACCACCTCGTGACATCCCCACACTCTGCTCGACACGAGCCTGGAGATCCGGACCAGTATGTAGGTATCGGACCCGACCAGGCACGACTTGTTTATATTAGCTTGGCATGCTCAGCATATCCTGTTGTCCTACTACGTCTTTCTTCTCCTTCAGCTTTCTTACTGCCCCGAATCTCATCCACAATGACAGGTTTCGCAAGGGCAAAAGAGGACCGCCCAACACCTCCTGAGGTGTACAATTGGCGCGTCTATGTCTCAGCCCTCATTATCTCGCTCGGCGTCATGGCCTACGGTTACGACTCTGCCTTCATTGGAACGACTATCACCCAGAAGTCGTTCAAGCGCGACTTCGGGCTCGCAACTATGACCAAAGCGGAGCAGAACGCGGTTAGCAGCAACTTGACCAGTATCTACTCCGCGGGTGGGTTTTTCGGCGCCTTCTTCATGTTCTTCTCCCTCGAGCTTCTGGGCCGACGAGCCACAGTCATCATTTCGGACATTGTCTTCCTCATCGGCGGCGTCCTATGCACCGTACCGACTCACCAGCTTGGACTCATCTATGCGGGCCGCCTTCTGACTGGTCTCGGAGTTGGTGGTATTGCTGCTGTGTGCCCAATATACGTCGCAGAGATTTCCCCACCGGCCATTCGAGGTCGGTTGACTGGTTTCTTCGAGTCCTCTTATCAGATCGGTGCTGTCATAGGATTCTGGATCAACGTAAGTCCCAACATATGCCCCCGAACCGGTCGTGCAGTCTCACTGAACGCGAGATGATCAGTATGGCATCGTCCACAACGTCGCAGGCACGAAGTCTGTTGCGTGGCGGATCCCGATGGCTGTCCAGCTCATACCGGCCGGCCTACTCGCCATCGGTATTCCTTTTCTTCGCGAGTCGCCGCTTTGGCTGCTCAAGCAGGGCCGCGATACGGAGGCGATCAGCGTCTATAGCTATTACCGTAATCTGCCCGCCGATCACCACTACATCGCGGAAGATGTCATGTTCGTCAAAGGACAGATCGCACACGAAAGGGCAGTAACAACGGGCGACAGGCCTACATTCGCTGCTTTCCTGAGGGGTGCCGGCAAGGAGGCGATCATGAAGGGTATGCGCAATAGGTTCGCTTCGGTATTTCTTATGTTCATGTGGCAAGCCTGGTCTGGCGCTGCCGCCATCAATTACTGTAGGGAAAGCATCCGTTCCTCTGTCAAGACGATTTCGTGCTAACAAGCTTTGCAGACTCGCCAACCATCTTTACCAGCATCGGCCTAACCGACACTACTCTCTGGACCGGTGTCTACGGTCTTATCAAGGCCGCCGGCTCTGTCATCTTCTTCACCTTCTTCGTTGATAGCTTCGGCCGAAAGATTCCATGGATTGTCTCGTCGCTTGCGTGCGCCGTATGCCAGTACTACCTCGCCGGATACATTGCCGTGGCTCACCCAACTACGACCGTACAGCACGGGCCTTCCACGATCGCCGGCGGCAAGGCGGCGACAGCAGCGATCATGATCTTCGGCGCCACGTGGTCTTTCGGTGCGAACGGTTTGCCGTGGATCATCTCCGCCGAAATATTCCCGTCTTCGCTTCGCAGCATCTCAGGCCCGTGGGCGGCTATGTCTGTGTGGTTGTGGACCTACGTCGTCACTAAGGCATTGCCATCAATGTATACAAGCATGGGTAAGTTGCTTTCAGAGACATGCCTGGATTATCGCTGACGATGGTGCTTCGCAGGATACGGTGTGTATATCTTCTTCGCTTCCATGCTCGTGTGCGCCAGTATCTACGCATGGTTCTTCATTCACGAGACGAAGGGTCTTCGCATGGATCAGATGGACGAGCTGTTTGGTTTCGTCAGGCCAGGCACCGATTACATGGCAAAGGCTGTGAACGAAGGGATGGACATGGACGGTACGGAGAAGTATGAGAAGAACATTGCTGCGAGAGTAGAGCAGGTCTAAGGAGTGCAATGTATGAACGCACCCGTCCTGGTGTTTCGTCACTATGGAAGCAATGTCTGATCTCGACCGCATCATGTGGACGGCTTCATATGTCGCAGCAGCTTCACCGAGCACATCTCTCGTGGCGCTGGTCGGAAAGAACATAAAAGTGACCGGCAACTGCCCCGAAACAGTGCCGTTGTGTACGTTGCCCAGACACCGTAATATGCTGTCGCGCATCCTCCTTACCATCTCACAGGGCTACGGTCCAGCCAATTTTCACGAACTCCGGCATAACTGGCATGGTCAGAAGGACCAAGCAAACCTGCAAGAACTGTGGAAGTCATGTAAGACGTCTTATGTGTTAAGCCTGCTCTAGCGGTACTTCACCCCTGCTCGGCGATAATAGGTGCGCTAGTACTTAGTGGAAGACATATCGCATATTGGTAGCTTGAGCTTGGTAGAGCAAAACTCTTCCGAATAGAAAGCCTGACTCACCTGAAGTAAAATAATTGTGGTGAGTGCGCTTCAGCAATGCGCGTAACTCATGCACAGCCTAGACTCGTCCAAGATAGACTAGCGATAGCCTTGATGGCTAAATATACAGCAAGCTTTGGTTGCGATCCATCGGCCCTGGGCCTACTTCGATGCATCATCCACCTTTACAAACGTATCTTTACCCAGATAGTCGAAAGCCGAAATGGGCACGCCCAAGTGGCGAAGGATGCAGTACGCCGTGGAGTAGTGGAAGTGAAAGTTGGCCATTGCGTATCCCACCACGTACTTCTCGCCTGTTTCAAAACGGTACGTCCCCATTGACTTGGTAGGCATAAGGATCGGTTGCTTCTCCTTACCCTCCATGGCGGGCCTGACCTTCGGATCCTGGACAATCTCTATCGTTTTCCCGATGCGATCTTGTAGCTCCGCGAAAGTCTTCTCGTCATCCGGAAAATGTGTCTTCTCGATACCTGCAAGACGAGGGAGGAGAAATTCCACTGTGTTGCAAGCTGCTTGGACTTGGTATGTCAACTGATCTAGCTTGTCAGTGCCACTGAATATAATGAATGACCGAAGTAATATCATACGCCTCTCATGTCTTCAATGAGGCGGAAATTGAGAATTTCATCATGAGCTTTGCCCTTCCCATCCGCAAAGGCTCTGCCCTTTTCCAGTATTGCGGAGAGGTTTTTGAGGTATTTGACGCTTGGAACCACACTCTGATCGTACAGCGAAGTCATTGCCGTGGAGTTATGGTACGGACGTAGCGGTGGTGAAGTGGCGAGCTTCAGGTGTCGAAGTCTTCGGTGGATTGACATGCGTGAGCATCAAGGAAAATACGCAGGCTTATGAAGTAGGAGTATGTGAAAGGAGCTTCCCTCGTGAACTAGGGTTGCCCAGGAAGCGGTCACCCACTTAGGGCCGGGCTGCCGTAAGATGCTGCACATTAGTCAGCATATGCCGACGGGATGCCTTGCAGAGCGTGGGACAAGCTGTACTCACTGCAAGTGGGAGCACGGACGTCTCCTGGACTCACAGTCTTGCTGGGTGGGCAGCAGCATTCTCTCTGCGACCGCTACCGTACCGCTTTGACGTGTCATTTCATACGCCGCTCTTGCTCTTTACACGCTGTCCGGGTATCTTTCGCTCACAATAGTTTTACAATATGCGCATTAAAGTCGTATCAGTCGTCGAACCAACTCTTGTTACTCGTCGCAAATGCCGGCGGAGGTCGCGGAGGCCTCCACTCATCTTCCAGGACGGCGTTCGCGGACATCGGAGGATTATTGTGTACGCTCACGCCTTCCCTCTTCGCCACATCAACCAAGCCTATGTCGCTTCCGGCGCTCTTGCGTCCCTTGACCCATAGGTGCTTGGAGATGATGCCACCTTGGTGATTCGCATCCCGTTCTTGCTTCTTACTGGTACTTCTTCTTGAGTCGGTGGGAGATGATGCGGAGGCATCGTAATAGCCGCCTCTGCTACCTTCATGATCAGGCCAAATTGGCCGCTCGTTTGCAAGGTCTTCAAGCGTTCTTCGTTTCGTTTCGGGTATTAACAAGGTAGTGAAGATGCCGAGTAGCATTGGAAGCGCGAAGATCTGGATTACGTGGTTCAGCCACGGCGATGGGTTCATCCTTGTCGCTCCACGGGTGCGGAGAGGCCCAATCACGCATTGTGCCACTATCGAGCCGACTTTGCCAGCAGCTGCTGATATACCATGCGAGGTACTGCGATAGCGCGTGGGAAAGCATTCGCCAGGTACAATGAACGTCGTTGCGTTTGGTCCTGTACCGTACGGGTTAGCCAAGGTTGCCAAGAAGGGACGAAACGGTGGTACCAAAGTTGAAGAAGAACTGTGCGATAATGTAGCACGCAAGTAGGCCGTCGTTCCCGATCGCATGATAGCCGAATCCCATCACGCACAGCATTGCGAACACCATCACGAAGCCCATCAGCTGAATTGGTTTCCGCCCGATCGTATCGACTGTGGCAACCGTGACCCAGTACCCGGGAATGGCACCAGCGCAAACGATGATCAGGCTCCCGACGGCTGCCCTGCTGAAAACTTGATATAGATTCTTACCATGGGCATAGCCGATCTCGGACAAGAATGTTGCATTGTTCAGGGTAACGCCGTAGAAGGCGACGTCTACGCAGTGTCAGACTGATGTGAAGAAAACCCTTGTGGGAGCTTAGAGCCATGCTTACCCAGGAAGAACCACGAGCCAGCCGTGCCCAGAAGCACCTTCCCATGCTTCCATTGCAAGTTGTAGCGCCAAAAGTCTCGCCAAGACCCTTTTGGCGCGACCAGGCCTCGCATGCTATCGCGCATACCCTTCGCCCGCTCAATACCGTCTGGCAGACCTCTCGGGAACCCGGTCAAGAAGGCGCGAATATCGGAGCCGGCTTGAACAATGTCCTGCTTGATGTCAAACGTATAACGCGGCGTTTCTGGGATGGTCAAGCGGTAGTAAAGTGCCAAGCAACCCGGTATTGCAGCGAAACCAATAATGATGCGCCAGATCTTGTCGAGCGCAATTGTGCATCCCACATCGCATTGCGCCGCAGTGGCTGCCGATGAGAGATGTTTCCGGTACGCTGAGACAGTGATCAAGCTTACAATGGCGGCACCAAATTGGCCCAGACCTTGCATGGCGAAGACGCTTCCGACGATTGCTCCTCGCCACTTTGTGGATGCGAACCTGCACTCACTATCAGCGGATGCGCAGTCGCCGTCAGGAAGCAATGCCTACTCTGTGCAGATCACGGCCGATAGGGGGTAGTCGCCTCCTATACCTACTCCCATTGCTACTCTCCAAAAGATGATGACGCCGACAATCGAGAGGCCCTCCGAATGCGAAGATAATGCATTGGCAAGTGTTGACCAGATGATGATGAGCAACTCAATACCATACATGCGCTTGCGACCAATTATATCTGCCAACAGACCAAAGGTGATTTGGCCAACGACATTGCCCGCGCCAGTCGCGACTTTGATAGCAGTGTCGGCTGCAGCGGGCATTGCCATTTTCCGGAAATATACAACCGCGAGCATATTCGTTACGAGGCCAATCGCGAAGATGTCGTAGCAGTCTGTGAAGAAGCCCATTCCCGTAACAACGATACTCCGGACGTGGCTCCCTAAAAAGACTTAGAAAGTGCTCTGATGTTATCTTGAGAGTGCAGATGGGCGAAGAGTATATAACACAACAGACTTTTCATCGAGACACAGCCGTAGGTGCGCAAGCGATCGTGCAAGCACAGGAAACGAACGGGATCATCTCAAGGGTTTGACCTACATCCGAAAGGCGCCTGGTCAATCTCATTGAGCGCCAGGCGACGGCGCTCGTTTGGGTCGGCAATATACAGATAGTCATTATGGAAGTTCCGGAAGGCCGCGTTTCCACCAGCGGTCCTCGAAGCCATCGTTCATGTGGATTTGCGGTGCCAGTCGGCTCAATTCTGCCAGCGAACCCTGGACTTATCTCAGCGTCAGCGCCAGCGTACGGCCGGGTTGACAGGCGGCAGTGCAGCTTACCGGTCGAGGACCAGGCGGGTTGCCGAGACGTTGTGCTACCCGAAGGATGGAGTCGGTGCTACCGAGCATCCATACCGGGACTCCCGCTGGCGCTCGTTTGGAGGTCGCGACCTTTGATGTCGTGGAGCGAAGCGACAATGATGCGCAGAACTTGCTATCATCTGGAGTTGAGAAGGCAATGCATTGTGGGCTTGGCAAGAAGCGTCAGCGGGGAGGTAACCCGCCCAGTGATAGAGGCCACAGGGCCAGTGTGCGTCGTGCATCCTTGGCCTACCATGCACATGAGAGGCTTTACCGCACGTGGAGGTGGACATCGTTCGCAGTGGATTCTGCTGGCGCGCATTCGGCTTGTCGCCGCGCAATTGGCGTGGGGTGGTCCTCGACTACGTGACAGCGGTCCGCTCCCGTACCCAATCAACGCCTATCATCAGTCATCGCCTCCACACAGCCAACCTCTTTGGATAATCGAGTATGCTTCATTAACAGCTGCCCGCAGGTCCCTCGGGTTAACAATGTGTCAATGCAAACGGACATCGCTTTGAAGAGGGATGGTAGAACTCGATGGTTCGTAAGACCCGACCTTGTACTCATGCCATGAAGTCTTGGCCAGGCGCGGCAATGCAGGAAATCCAAAATATCCAAGCGCACCGAAAACGAGATGGCGAAGCGACCCTTCTTTCCGTCTTACCTCTTCCGTCGTGCCGACTTCCGAATGTATGGGAGAAGAAGCAACGACAACCAGTCTGTGCAGCGCCAGTGGAGCAGATTGGGATCACTTCCCTTCTGCGAAATGGACGGGTTGTGTATCGTGATCAATCTCCGCGACCTTTCAGCGTGAGGACCAACCAAATGCTCCTTGAAGCCGTGTGATGCAGCCTAAGAAGCTCTTATTGCTTGCCGCCAAGCTGTGGGCGCGGGTTGATGCAAGCTGCGGACTGTGCGGAATTCTAGAACTCTGTATCCCTATACCACGTAATGTGTAGAGGTATACGATAGGCTGGGCAAATGCTGATTTTGGAGTAAGGGACTAACGCTGACAATGGTTTGCGACACCAGCGCGAACAGTGACTACAGAATCATGCACTTTTGTCATTAATACAATACGGTGGAAACGAATCCAGTTTACGACTCGGTATATGCGGCGACACGATCTATCAATACGCTAATCTCCCCAAGACATGCTAGAATGGACACTGCATGCTCGACTCACCTAAGTCGAACCTTTCTTACTCTCATGCATGTGATTTGCTCGTCGCGGTGCTGCAGACCGAACGAAAGCATGCAGGTTGTGAGAAAGTCGTCCGTACGGGTAAAAGTAGGCTTCATTGACTTGGTGGTGGTGCACTGCGCAGAAGATCGCATGGCAGATTCTAGCCCCCAATAAGAATCTCGTCTTTTTGGCAGTCCCACTTCCTGTCGAGCAGAAATCTGGCCCGGACGAAACCGACACCAGCAGTAGTGGCGATCGTGCCTGCCTCATCTGCATGCCATGCTAGAGGACTCAGCCGGCCTTGTATGCCCATCGACCTGGCAAATGCGGCTAGAATGAAGACATCCTGGAACAGTATGCTAAGTTGCAGCACCCGCCAAAGACCAAGATCGTCCGGCCGCATGCGGAGAACGACAACCTGAAGCAGCAGCGTGGCCGCGTAGAAGCCAGCTAGCATAATTAGCAAACTTGAGGTCTCTAATGCCGGTGGCAGCGCGGCAATTGGCGAGTAAGGCTTCAGGAGCGCACTAGGATAGAAGAGCGCCGTCAACACTCCAGTCGCCGCCAATAATGGATCAAGTGTGGTGAAGAAGACCCGGTAGATCCTTGGAATCTGGGGCGTCATTTTCAGGGCGCTATTGGATTAGGGTGAAACAATGCTTTCGCTTCGGTGCCTAAGACGACCCAGTTGTGCTCCTGTGTGAGTACAAAGGCTGACCAAAAGGAGATTGCGGTCGCTCTCTTGGTCGAGAAAGTGTATCTCACCTAAGGGCGGGGTGCACATGCACAAAGCCGCGCCTCAGCTACGCCCCGTACATGTCAACCTTACGTGTCATCCTTGAAGGGTAGCTTAAGTCCGGTCCAGGCACTGACAACTGTCGACTGACACTCTGCGTCCCAGCATGCCACTCAAGAGACTGGGACAGTGCAGTGCGACCTTGAACTCAGAGCAATCGAAGATAGCTCCCCACATGCGCTCGAGAGTGTAACCGAAGCCGGCAGTGCTGCGGGGGTATTCTCTTCCGTTTTCGGAAGTTACGGTCGACGACATTGCCATTTTCCTCCCTGCCTCTGATGCAAGCAGCCATTGACGAAGGCTGTCGTACATATTCTTATCGTTCGCATGGATGCGGGCCGCCGAGACAATGAATTGTCCTCTATACGTCAAGACGAGGTTCTCACTAACCGAGCTTGCGTTAGTCATGGAGTCGACGCGCTCCAGAACAGCGGCGCTTTCCTCCCAATCACCGGTATCGTGGCAGTCACGGCCACGAGGGCATGTCTTACCAGGGTATGCGAGAGAGAGGAAGCCGGTGTCTGGTACAAGGAAGTCCTGAACACGGCGTAGAGCTTGCCACTGATCGTGCACATGAGCCTGGGTGAAAAGGGTGTGGTGAGCAAGATTCTCCCATCGACTGGTGATGTGATGGAGGTAGCTCTCACCCTCAAAGCCTACGTTAGTCCGATGGAACAGCTCGTACTCGAGCGATGGATGCAAGAGCGTGCGAAATTCGGCAGCGAAGTCTGAAGTGCCAATACTTTTCTCGCTCTTGTCGTACACGTATATGCGAGGACACATAGAGACCGTGACGTTCGATGTGACCAGTGCGTTGAGGAAAGGGGCCACACTCTGTGCTGTTTCGTTGTATCGGTTGATGACGATGTCTACTGCCCAGCACTCATCCACTGTAGTGGCTGCTGGATGAACTCCACTCGTGCTTGTGCTGAATGGCGGAAAATACATGTACCCGAGACACAGCGGCAGGCTCCATGTGATTAATGCAGTCCCAATGTATGTAATGGCAGCGAACACATCCGTTCGGCAGACTCGTGAAGTCCCTTTGTTTCGCATTGCGGGCGCACCGTGTTGCTTGTACGGGATCGGCTCCTGGTGGGTCAGCAATAGCATTACAACAGGCGACTGAAGGTGCGATGCACAGGTGGTTGTCTGGAGATCTGAGCAGAGTTGCAAGAGGAAGTGCAATGATATTGTGAACATATAAGCACATAGCTGGAGCCCTGATATTTGCAAGAACGGTCCGATGATTGCGGAACCAGCCATGACTGCTCCCGTGAAGGTTGCGGAAAGGAGCGTCGGTCTCCATTTCGAACGGTACAGTGGAGTGTCGCAAGCACCAGTACGGCCAACGTACCAGGCCGCCGAATTGCGAGAATAACACGGGATAGAGTCAAGCACCACCGCGCTCGAGCAGACATTCAAGACTAGGAGAGCGAGGCTGCCGATACCAGGAAGGCGGTAAGACGCTTCCTGTTTCAAGAACGCGGCGGGCAATGATACCACCAGTGCGGAAGCGAGCGCAAATGTACCAGCTAACGTCGCTCTATCCGATCTTCCGTGCTGAGCTGGATCGCGAGCAGAGCTGATCCCCGAATAGTAGGAAAGGCTTGCAACTCCACCAAAGAGACAAATGAGTAGCAAGTGAATTATGCCAACCAAGTCCATACGGTCGTCTAAAAGTTGAACTCCTACGGCGCCAAAGACGACCGGCGCTAAGCGCAATGCAGTCCACAGTCTGGAGGCCCGGAGATCAGCCTGTGCTGAGCTGCTGACGATGTTGCAAACCAGCCCTAAGAAGGACAGGATGGCGGACAGTGTGAACGTTGTCTCGACGGTTCGCATGGCTAGGTAGGTGAACAGGATGGTCGCGCCTGTGGAGACGATCTGGATCATCCCGAAAATGGTGATTCGAGGATGTTTGCTTAGAGACTCCTTGATTGGAACGCCATCGCGAAGTGCCCGGAACAGTAAGACGGACGAAAGATGGCTTGACAGAAATGCCATCGGGAAGGGCATGCGGCCTTCCAAGATGAGATGCCTTGAAGTGGTAATACTCACTGCTGCGGCAAGTAGCCACACCGCAGATCGATCCAGAAACATTTCGCAAGTGCCTCTCAGGGCTTTAAATCCAATGAACGCAAATCGCCTAGCAAGGAGAATGTACGGGACCCGAATCTAACGGATAAGCATCAAACAAAGAGAGTACACCTTTGGGCATGAAGATCTGTACCCAGGTGAGGAGAGAGTGGCATACTTTGCCATTGACACAGTGACTTAGGCAGCCACATTATAAGGTTAACCGACGGCATTTGGTCGTGCAGTGCCGCACGTACTTGTTAGTGTGCCTGTTGCGTGCTTTAACACTGTCCTTGTGCGAGCCCGCGCCAGTCTGCGCGTGGTTAGATAACGACTGCTGCTTGATAACTAATGGCTGCGTCTCCCAATTAGCACTTTCACAAGCTAACGCCACGGATCGCCTGGTTGAAATCAGCCTGCTACGAAAAGAGCGCAGTCTCAACGGCTATATAAAGCAGCAAGCACGCTTAGCAAAGATTGGCTACTCTCGCCTTTCGAGGCGATCTTACGTCTTCATTATTGACGTGCGATACTTCCTTTGGTCCTGGCGTAAAAGGCAAGCAGAGAAGGTTGGGGCCGTGCCGAAGCTCATTGTCGTGGCAGCCCTTACTTCTTATTGTCAGTGTCACTGCAGCATTTGCATTTGCCGAGATTGAGATGTGCTTGTGGAGGGGTGCATGGTACTGAAGTCTGCTCAAACTTTGAAGAGCCAAGTCGCCGACTCCAATGCAAGCCCTCCGGCAAACCGGCAAGCGTTTGTAAGCGAAGTTTGTCGCATTCAGCCTGCTTCACCGTTTGCAATCTGACATATATGTAGCACAAACTGCACCCACTTCCCTTACTCCACGCTAACCCGAAACTCCCGCTGAAACGTAGCGAATGAAACAAAGGTAATGTAGAGTATGTAACACATCTCTGCTCACCGTCTCCCCAATGTCTGGTGACCATAAAAGCCTGGACTGACAATGCCCGGACTCGCTACCCCAACCTCAAGCATTAAGTCCTCTCCCCGCCGAGTCGGCGTCAGCTTCGGCTCCCAGAGTGGACTTCTTACCATGACCTGCTCCGACGCAGCGTCTCCTCTAACATAGCGCGCGATCTGCGGACCTGGGGTAGTGCCCAACCCGGCCTTCTCTTCCGCCAAATCGCTGTCAGTGGTCGTACGGCTTGGGCGGCCCAATGCCGCGGTAGCCACACGCCCGTACCCTTTCAGTGGCGACTCCTGTCTGCCAGAGCCGCTGGCAGGGCTCTTCCTCGGCCCCTGTGGCAGTGGCCGGCTCCCAGCGCGTGAATGTGAGGTGTCAATGACAAGCCGCTTCTGCAGTCCGCTGATGGCGCTATCACCACCCTGCCTTTCCACGGCAGTCCAGCCGGAGAGTGTCAAAGAACCTGTGTCTTGCTCCTCTGGCGTCTTCGGCGTCCTGGGTGACCTTCGCTTGCGCTGTGTCTGGTAAGCGTGACTGGGTAACGTGGCTCGATCGTCGGTTTGCAGCTGCTGCTGTCTCGGTGACTTGGGGCTAGGCAGATGCATTGGTGGACTGCGAGGCACGCTTTGATTAGAGCTCCGAGGAATCTTGGGGTATTTGATGGTCGCAATCGGACTTTCTGCCACTGGGCTGAGTTGTTTGTCCTCTTCGGGCGGTGTAGGCTCGTCTGGATCGGTACTCTCGAAGCTGGTCTCGCTCCGACACGTATCTGACGACGGCCTTCTCACAGCTCTGGGAGGATAGGTAGGCCTGGTCACTACGATCGCCCCAGGCAGTGGCTTCATACGGCGCTGAGGCTCGAGCGATATAGGCGTAAATGGTGTGCCGGGTGGATCGCTTGAGACTTCGAGAGCTGGCAGGTTGGAGTAGTAGTCAAGCAGACTGGCTCCACCTGCACTTGACACATCTGACCTGGCCTGTGAACCTCTGCTTGTTCGATCGCCGGACATTCGTATTGACTTCACCGGCGGCGGTGGAGCAATGATGATTGGCGAGGGTATCTTAATAGCTGCCCTTGAAGCTCTTTTTGGCGGCTGGAGGGATAGTGTCGGCTGGGGTATCTGCTCTGGAGAACCAGTGTACTGAGCCGCGAACTCCGGACCTTGGCTACGGCGTGCCTCTCGCAGCTTGGAGTATGTCGGCACAGGCGGAGTGGGCTGGAGAGTCGGCCGTACGCCTTTCGCTCTGGGAGTCATATGCTCCTCGAACACTGTCTGAGGTGACATACCCATCTGAGGTGGAGGTCGAAATGCGGACCTTGGCGGTCGAGGTGGTGTAGAGCCAGGCTTCTCCGGCAGCAATTGAGACACAGTCCTCCGTGTGCTGCTGCTGCGAAGACTGTCAGGCGAAGCCCCACCAACGGCATTGAGCCCGAGTGCATCGAGCCGTAGCTTGGAGTGTTGCTTCCCCATCTGGTTCTGGTACTGCTGCGTATCCGTGTGAATCGTTTCCGGAACTCTGATGTGCCTGTCCGTGATGTTAGGGTAAGGACCTCTCGAACCAGTAGTGCCCAAGTAAAAAGGCTCCAAGCGTGAAGGCGCTTCGTCGATGAAGTCGTAGGAGCTGTGCCTGGATCGTGGAGACTTGGCAATGGCTTTGCGTCGACGCAGACAGGCACAGAGCCAGATCATTGCAACAATAATCGCCAATGCACCGAAGCAAGCTACGCTCACACCGACAGCTTGTGCGCTGGTAAGGTTCGTAGCGTTTGGGGACGATCCAGTCGTTGGCGAAGCTATACCTGCCGGGGTAGATGACACAGTGGAGACCGCAGTAGATGTTGGCGTACTAGCCAGTAGATGACTGGATGACCCGCTTCCCGTGGTTTGGGAACTGCCTTGAGAAGTGGAGCTTATCTGCTGCGCAAGAGCTGTGGCGGAAGGTGTAGCTGCGGAGCTTGTCCATTGTGCAGTTGAGACCGTTGCCGGTATAGTAAGTAAGGTATGCGTCACCGGCACCGCGGTGGATACAGCCGTACAAAGATAATAGACGTCTTGCTGCACAGCGTTGGGCGTCGGCGGGCATTCTTTGTCCACGCAGATGAGAGCTTGTTCGCCGAGAGTGTTGCCCGCTGTGCTGTACCGTGAGCAGAGGCAAGCAAGATCATCCCGAGCACAATTCGGGAAATCGTTTTGCAGATAGTAGGTAAGGCATGGCAGCGCGCAAACCGGCACCGTTGCCTCAAGTGGTGAGCGCGACCGAAGTGAGGGTGTTTTCGACGCAAGGAGTTCGCTTGTCCATAGCACGGCCTCGCCGGGAATGAATCGTCGCCGCATGGGTATTGCAGAAGTACTGTAGACTGTACCATTATCCAAATATGGAATAGAATGACTAGTCAAGTCTATCGAATCAAATGCAAGATATCATTACCGCTAAGCCAGCAGCAGAGAAGTGAGTAATGATCGACAGAGGAAAGTAAAGCGCAGAGTACTCAGGCGAGACAATGGAACAACACAAGGAGAATCGTGACGCGTCGCAATCGGTGGCAGAACGAAATGAGGCCCAGATGGCGCTTCATGTTCTACAAGTACCTCGTGGCCCTTCAGAGGCCACATGCTGATGTGTTGGCGCCAGCCCCATCGTCATCGCACCATTGGATTGCTCAAGATGGCTCTGTAGCCGCCGCGAGAGCGGAAACAATGCATATATTGAGAGAAATTACAGATGTCGCTCCGGGTTGGATCGAAAGAAGGAAGGAAGCGAAACCTGACAAGGAAGCCGGCGCTTAGGCTTGTCACGTGAGGCCCCGCTCGTCTGAATAGTATACTCTTAGCCTTTCTGGCGGTATTACTCCTCAGTGTCCTTCTTGATTTTACCTTCGTCTCAAATACGCACAGCATCTCTTTGCTGAGGAGCGTGAATGAATTACTTTCCCCTGAAGAGGACAGAGCTTGCGTGCCGAAGGCTTGACGTGAAGTTTGTGGGACAGCCACAAGGCAGGTGTTTCTTCCTACGAACAAAGAGCTTGCACTGCAATTCTCCTTCGCACGCCTCCCCCACGGATATCAATTCTCTCCAACTCAACCCGCAGGCTGCGATCTTGAGAACATATCGGCCGACGTCTCACCCAGGCCTGGCGTCAGGCCGCAAATACATGGCAACTAATCAACAGTCTCACCACCAGTCGACGATCATCGATTTCTTCGATCCGGCCGTAGAAGGACCGCTTCCTGCTAGCCAGGCCACACTTTCCAAAGTTGTTGGCTGGTCCGACGAGAAGCTCGAATACGTACACAATTTCATCCAGTGGCTGTTTCCTCTCCCCGAATCGTCCGCCTTCAGCTCAAGCGCCGAGACACTGACCAAGGCGGACTACGACGCCTTCCATTCCCGCCCTGAACTCCAAGCACGTCTACGGGACGGATTGCGGCGTATGTGCGGTTTTTACGGGCTCGACTTGCTGGACCTGCCCAATGAGGAAGGTATGTTGGTGGTCAAAGGGAAAGCCTTTGACCGCAAGGCTAAGTATACTTGGCTTTGCCGCAACAATCACAACCATAACCGCATAAGCAGAGTGAGTCGAGAACCATCAATGAATAGGTTCCGCTGACGGGTAGACGAGATTATTCGTTCACTACGCATACTCGGCCTGCCCAATGAGGCGCTGTCTTTTGCGCTAGCGCTTTTTGAAGCCGACACTAAAGCAATTGTGAATGATACAGCTCGAGCTTACTGGTGCCGTGCGGCTCTTTGGCCGCTTGAAGAAGCTCCTGATGGCAAGAACCGCTGCACCTGGCTGGCTAATGTGAGTGATGGAGCGACGAACGATGCGATGAAGACCAAGCTACAGCAGCAAAGCAACGGGGCCGGAGCTACTTGAGTAATACCGAGAACCTGCTGAATAAAACATTGCCGTCGGCGCTTGAGTGTAGTGCAGATTAGCGGAAATACATGCCCCCTTGGAGAGCGTGCGCTGCAAACAGAGCGTTATAGCAGGTGCAGTGGTGTCCGGCACAGCAGATCTCGCTCGTTGCAGGCCGTTACTACAGCAGACAGGTGATGGATCTTGACCCATCGTTGCAGGCCGTCACTATAGCAGACCGGTGACGGATCTTGACCCATCGACGCTCGAGACGGCTTTGTGTTGTGTCTGCCGAATGTGTGCCACGGGAAGGATGCTAGATATCGAAGGTCTGCCGATGGTACCATAGCGGTAGCAGTAGACGTCTAACCCTCATCTGTCAAGCGCAGTCAATTACTCCTAAACGCACGCATGGCAGACTGGACTTATCATTGCTGTCGTCTTCTTCTTCTTTCTCTGATACATTCTCTGGGCAGCTGCGCAGCCACCCGGGCAAGTATAGCAGCGTGCCCATGGCGACGCATCGCAGCAGCAGCAGCAGCAGCAGCAGCAGCAGCAGTAAAGGCGGAGCAATGTGCGGGTTGTGATTTCAGTCGGACTCAGAAGGTCATTGTTTCGAGGAGTACGTACTAGCAGCCATTGAAAAGTAGCAAGATCGGTGACAGTCGGGGCTGGATCGAAGTGTTAGAAGGATGTGGAGGGACCAGAGGCGGGAGGGAGTAGCATCGATCGAGCCGTGGGGTTCGGATTCGGGTACAAGTCTCTCCGCAGGTTTGATAATCTCGGAGCAGCCTTGCCTCCTCTACTCTCCACAGTAGAGCGATCTCTGTTCCCAATGTCGCTTCTACTGCTACAAACATTGAAGCTACGGCGGTCATAGAGCTGTACTTGTCCGGGCTAGTGATGCCAGGGACCATTCGAAGGTAACGTAGTTTCATGAAGTCAACATATTTATACCTTGACTCCTCCACCCCGTGAGACATACCACTGCCATTTCATACACTTTCCTCACCTTCAGACGCGTGTACTGTCTTGTTATATCCGCACCACGACTGCACACATTAGCACCACAATGACCGAAACCGTACTCGTCGTGGGCGCCACCGGCAACATTGGCGTGGCCACCGTCATCGGTGCCTTGCGTTCAGGACGGCATGTCATCGCCATAGTCCGCAATCAGAGCTCCGCCGACAAGCTCTTCAAGCATGTCGGTTCGAAAGAAGGTATCAAGACGGTTGAGGCCGACGTCGCTGCCCCGGACGGTGTTCAGAGGGTGGTTTCCAAGGTACAGAAGGGCGAGTTGCCCGCCTTTCAGCATGTATACACCTGCGGTACGACCATATGTTCAAGTAAGTCGCTACAGGGCCATGACTGATACCGTCCGCAGTTGGCGGACCTTACTCGGACACGCCGCTGCAAGAAATTTCGGACGAGGAGCTCCGACTGAACTTCAGCCTCAGCTTCGAGGCCAACTTCTGTACGTCATTCGCAAGGTGAGTGTACCGTACAAGGCACGGCGACCTGACGGTATATTCAGTCGCATACCGCGCCACGATACCCTACCTACTCTCCCAAAAAGGCACCGATACCACCTTCACCATGTGCACCGGCTCCCAAGGCGACGCGGGTCAGCGGCCTCCGCCCGCCATGACGCAGGGTGCCCTGTTCAGCATGGCGAACTGTGCCGCCCTCGCCAATCGCGACAATAACGTCCGCTTCAATGAGTGCTACCTTACGTTTCGCGTGGAAGTGGATGAGGACGCCGAACAGCACGGCGTCTCCAAGTCAAGCGACTTTGCAGCAGTTTACGAAGGGATACTATCGCAAAAGAACATCCGAAGCTCTAGAGTCAGCGTCTTCAGCCCGGAGGACTTCACGAACTTGAGGGTGAAGAGCATCCCACAAGTACCGACTGCTTAAGCGGATGCTCGGAATACGTAGCCAAACCCAACCATCAGCGACACTCACCGACAACTCGACCTCCCTACAGCGGGCACCTCCCACTCCACCGCCTCCGTAATGACATAAGCCTCAAAGGGCACCCCCCTCCTCTTCTTCTTGAACAACATCCCACCCCGATAATCAACCTGCACTTGCTCCCCATCCTCCCAAACCTGCGGCTCAAACCCCTGCACCCTCGCCCACCCCCTCGCCAGCGCGCGCCAATAACACGCCTCCGCCGCAGGAGTGAGATACCGATTCCGAAACGTCCCCCGCGCATTATCCGTAATCGCTTCAATCATCTCCCGCGAAGAAGGCAGGAGCAACGACTCCATCTTCTCCGGCAGATCCGCAAAATCCGGCTCAACCCGAACATAATTCTGCCCCGGCCCCGGTCCGGGATCGAGCAAATGGTGGAAATGCTCGATCCAGTGTAACTCATGACTCAGCAGCACACTATGACAATTAAGCAGATACTTCAGTCGACCCGAATACGTATCCCCCTCCGTATGCGCCGCGAACATATACCCGCAGTGCTCCGCCATCGTGATGAGCTTGTGCGAGACATCCGTCCTGTTCGCCCAATCGATCATCTCGACCGCGCTCCAGGACTGGCCGGTACTGTGCTTCAGCAGCCCTTCGCGAGCGTGGCCGCCGAAACCGGCCTTCGTCCCGCCGCGCCAGACGATCTGGGGGGCTTTGTCGAGGAGATGTTCCTCCGTCTCGTCCAAGTTCGCTTGGAGTTCGCTGTAGCTCCTCATCCCGTATTCCGGCCACGCCCAGAAACCGAAGTCAGGCATGAGCCAGAGGGACTCTTGGTTCGCTAGGCGTGAGTAGGCCCACGTGGTGTGATTGTCGTCGTCGTCTAGAAGCGCGGTATCGTGGTCAACAAAGGTGAACTCGATATCCGGGAGTGGCTCGACAGAGGCGGTGACGGCACGATTGATGGCGTGTAGTGTTGCCATCGTGCGGGGCCGGTGGTTGTGGTCGCATACCCCGTGCGCGTCGATGATGTAGAGTTGGTTGTCGTGGATCATGCCTCGAAGTACGCCGTCGGCTCGCCATGAGACGTCAAGCTCATCGAGTGTGATCTTGCCTACGGCATTGCGGTACTCGACCGCGCGGTCGATCTCTTTGTACAAGTCTGGGAAGTAGGCTTGGCAATCCTGCTCGCTGAGCCCGTAGTTGCGGGATTGTGTTGCCTGCATAGCCTCCCACGCAAGATCGCCAGGAGATTGGCCAAGGCTGTGGGAGATGGGCGGTCCGAATGGTGCTTGTGCTGGCTTGTGGTGAGGTCGACGCTGCAGTCGCCGTAGAGCTTCCGAGGCATAACGTGAGCCGCCTTGCGTGGTGAGGAGCAGGGCGGCGCCGATGGTGACGGCGACAGCGGTGCCGTAGAGCGCTAGTGTTCGCATAGCGTAGCGAGGTGTGGAACTCGGTTACAATAAGTCAAGAGCTTCAGATGCTGAGCGAAGAGACCAGCGTGGTAAGATGGACAGAGAAATTGGGCGCCTTGCTTCCTCACATCTCATTCCTTGCTTCTCCGTTCGTTCCCGTTAAACGTCGCAACTCCACATATGTTCTAGTGGATGTAGGTGCTATCAGCTCTCATCCGTCCCGAGCATGAGGGTCATGGCGTCCATCTTTATGGTGGACCGCCTCCAGCCCATACCACCCACAACGCCGCCCTCCCCAGCCTACAAACCCCTTGCTAATCACGTTCGCCACATCACCATTCATCCTTACTGATCGTCGCCTCCACTCGCTCCGTCCTCATCGTCCTCAACCGCCTTCGACTTGCCACCCTCCACCCCACCCCCCTTCGTACCCTCCAGCCCCTTACTCGTCACGTACAGAAAGTAACCCTCCTTAAAGTTATCCACATGCGCAAAAAACCGCCCAAACTCATTCCTCTCCTCCTCCTCCCGGAAAATGCGCTGATAAATCTCCCGCTGCTTAAACTCCTCCATCTCCCGCTCAAACTTCCCAAACAGCAACGGTGGCCGATCATGCTTCGCAGCCTGGATATTGTTATAACTGTCAAACACCGGCCGCTCCAACAACAGCCCCAGTCCGGGGACTTTGGGGATGGAGTACTTATCCTCCCCGAACGAATGCGAAAGGGTGTCGAGGTTGCTGCCGCAGCGGACGAGGAGGGTGACCATACCGATCATTTTTCGGATTTGATGCATCATGAAACTCTGTCCGTGGACTTTTAAGCTCAACCACTCGGATTTGTCCGCTTCATCATCCCCCTCCCCAATCAGGATTGGTTTCGGATTGACGACGAAAGACTTAATATGCCGTTTCGCGCTCGGGTCGCGGTACGTCTTTTGCACGGTGTAGTTGTGGTAGTTGTGCGTTCCGACGAATTTGTCGAGGGCGGCTTGGATGCGGGCGATGCGTTGGGTGGGGATGCGGTAGCGGCGTTTGGCGGTTATGTAGGCGGCGCGGAGGGATTTTGTGGCTGCGCGGAGGCGGGTTTGGCGGTCGTGAGATGCTGGGGCTAGTGTTGGTTGGTCGGCTTTGGCGGAGTCGTTTGGCTCGATTGCGGATGTAGGAGGCTGTTGAGGTGGTAAGGAGATAGCGGAGTCGACCATGGTGTCTGGCATTGGCTCCGCATCTCCAGCCCGCGCAGTGGCATTGCCGGCTTCGGCAGTCTTCGACGCGTCTGTCACAGCGTCGTCTGGCTGGTTCTGTGCAGCCGGCGCATTGATGATGATAGCCGCCTCCTCCGTCCGTTCCTCAGCTCCGACATCCGCATCATTCGCATCGCTCTCTGTCACTGCAGCCTTGACCACTCTCTGCTCACCCTCTTCCACATCCGCCGCGCCAGTGGTCGCAACAGCCTCATCCTCCCCCTGCAACGCCTTAACAACCTCCGCTCGAATATCCTCATCAATGGTCTGCAAAACCCGGCTGATCTCATCAGCATCCACTCGCTCCCAGAAGCGCTTCACCTCCTCCTGCCTGCCTTCATACGCCTCTCTATCCCCCACCTCATCCGCATGTTCCTCCAACTTCCGCCCCAACCACGACCCCGGATGCGGCGGCAAGAACGCATGACTCGGAATCAGATACTCATACCACCTCGAATCACAAGCCTGATAACAACTGAAACTCCCCACCGTCCTCTCCACCCCCCACACCCGAATCTGCGGACTTAATTCCTTATTAATGCGTTCCACAATATCCTCATCCTCCACAATCAATTTCAAACTGATCATATTCCCCGCCGCATGGACACCTTTATCCGTCCGCGCACAGCGGACGAGTGAGACCTTTTTGGGGTCCTCGGCGTTGGCTTTGCTGATTGCGCCGGCGCGGATGAAGGCGGCGAAGAGGTCGCCTTCGATGGTGCGCTCGGAGGGGGTGATTTGCATGCCCTTGTAGCCCGTGCCGGAGTAGCCGATCAGGACGGCGACTTTACGCTTGGGTCGGCGGCTCTCGGCATCGATCTCCTCCTTGGAGAAGGTGGCGCCGTAGTTGGGGTTGTTGCGTGTCTCGCCGTTCGCCATCCGTTTCTCACGTGACTCGTTGGTTTTGGCGCGTTTGTCTGGGTTGTCGCGGCTGAGTGTTAGACTGTCAGTTGAGCTGGACTGTGTGGTGGGGTTCATGTGCGTTTAACGTACAAATATTCTCCGCGTCCCAGATCTCCCTTCTTATGTCGCTTATTGTCATCATGTCCGCCTTTACTTCCGTATTGTTGCCTTGCGTCTGGGTAGTCGGCTTTGCGTTTACGGCGACTGTAATTGTTCTGGCGGCCCTCATCGCCGTCGTGGGCAGCTTCATTGCTTGTGGGCTTCGAAGGCTGCTCGCCAGCGTCAACGGTGGGCCTTGCTGGCTCGCCACCTGCATTCTCGACCACCTTGCGAGCATCTTCCAGTATCGCTGTGGAGTGGTCCATCTCGACACGGTAGCGCTCATTGATTGAAGCTAATGAATTGAAGATTAACGAACAATTTCGAGACTCGAGATGCAAGCTGCACGCTGAGTCAGCTCATGCAAGTCATGCCGAAGTGCAGCGGATGCAGCCGGCGCTATTATCCCAGGTATGTGCCTGCCTCGCCTGACGGTCGACAACGTTCCTTCTCTTTTCAGCAATGCTTGATTGCACTTGCCCATCCCTCGCTATCTTCATCGTCACTTCTGCGTCCGGCGAACAGCTCACCAGATTGGATCGAAGAATGCTTCGACGCGGGGAGTCGTAGCATCACTGCCACAGACAACACTACATGTAAACAGGCGGAAACGATCAATCCTCCTCAAGTGGGGGACTACCATCATGGCGAACTTGGCGACGGACCTCCTCCGCACCACCACGCGCGCCTTCTACCCCACCGAGCACATCCTCGTCATCGACGCCCTCATCCGCCACTCCACCCTGCCGGACATCGACCTCGCGCACCTCCTCAGCATGCAGCCCAAGTACCTGCGCAAACTCTGCGGCCGCCTGCGCGAAGACGGCCTCCTCTCCGTTCAGACCCGACAAGAAAAGCGGACGGACGGCAGCGGCAGCTTCTTCCCCTCCACCTTCCCCAGCAGCCAGCAAGGGAAAGAACGCATGACGAACCGGGACTGGTACTACATCAACTACCACCACGCCATCGACAGCATCAAGTACCGCATGCACAAGATGTTGCGCCATTTTTCCGCTTTGGGGATGCCGACGACCGAGAAGAAAGACCACAGTTGTCCGCAATGCAAAGGCCAATGGACCGACTTGGAGGTCGCATTTCGCGGGTTCATGTGTCCCCGCTGCGGCCACCCCGTCGACCCAATCGAGGAAGACGAGCGCGTGACCGAGAACGAAAGTGTGCGCCGCCTCAACTCCCAACTCGAGTCCATCCGCAGATTGATGGAGCAAATCGACAGCACGACCGTCCCCGAAAACGACTTCCAATCCGCACTGACCCGCCAACTCCCCATCCAACGCACCGATGCCGCCCCAGCACAACGCACAGAAGTCGTCGATCTACCCAACAAAAATCTACAAAGTAGCCGCGGCCTCGACCTCAAGCCGGAGAAAATCGCCGTCTCCCTCTCCACAGACGAGGACGCGGCGAAGAAAGCTGCCCTCGATGCGGGCGAGCGAGCGAGGAAAGAGAAAGAAGCGGAGCAGAATGCTTTGCCGGATTGGATTGCGAAATCAACGGTCTCAGGTGATATCACGGCGGTGGGGGCGAAGGAGGAGCGGTTGAGGTTGGAACGGGAGGTGTTGCTTACGGGGAGAGCTGCGGCTCTTATTAAGTCTGAGGAGGAAGGGGAGAAGAAGCCGGCGGTAGGTACGGCTGGGGATGTGGATCTGGCGGCGTATTGGGCCGAGTTGGAGCTGGCGCAGAAGAGGGAGGCGGATGAGCGGGCTGCGGAGGATGCGGAGGAGGAAGAGGATGAAGAGGAGGAGGAGGATGATGATTTCGAAGATGTAGTGGGTGTGGGCGGAGTGAAGGCGGCGCCTGTGATGGCTACTAATGGTACGAATGCGAATGCGAATGTGAATGGTTCTGCCGTTGGTATCGTACCACCTTCGACCACCACTACTACCACTACGGGGCGCAGTACGCCGGCTGTCGAGAGCAGCGCGACGACGGAGGACGAGCGGGAGGCGAAGAGGGCGAGGCTTGACCCTACAGTGGCACGGAGTAGCGGTGTCAACAGCTCTGCTGCGGTGGAGAAGGCTGCTGCGGCGCAGGATACGCCGGCGGCGAGCGACGAAGATGAGGATGAGGATGAGCTTGAGTTTCAGGATGTTTGAGCGACGAAGCTTTTCAAGTGGTCCAACGGTTTATGAAAGTTAGCATGGAGTTCTGGCGAATGTCATATCCCTTCAACTGCGGCAGGAGAACGGTACAAGACACGGTACGGGAAATGATCGAACTCGTACATCATAACGAATCCTACTTCGACACACGTTGAACAAGACACTGCCGAGCCAGCCTGGGCTGCCACGCTAATACGTCAACGAATTCCACCAATACTGCCCAAACGCATCATCCGCCAACAGCTCATCCAGCCCCAGCAGCGTCGCGCTCTCCGGAAACGGCTGTACACTCCGCATCGCCGGCTCGCCGCCAGGCAGGTACTCTCCCCGACCTCCCATCACGCCATCCGAGCCGACTGGCCCACCGGATTTCGACGCCTGCACGATCCCCCAGTGGCGGCACAGACCTGCCCCAAACGGTGCGAAGAACTCCAACTCCCGTGGCGAAAGCTTCAGCACGTCAATCCTCGGCTGCGTAACAATACCGCTACCGCCACCCTGACTCTGCTGCTGCAACGACAACTGCGTAATAGCCTTGACCACCCTCTCCTTCCCATAAGCGCTCGCGAACCGCTTCTTCAGCTCCTCCAACGTTGTCTCCACCACGCCCCGTTCTTGCGCCGCGTCCGCCGCCGATGCGAGACAGGGGAATCGGTGCGAGGATAGTAAGGCCAGGGACGCGGTGAAAAGGTAGAAGATGCACGCCGGACTGACGAAAGCCGTGTCGCCCCAATTGAGGTACTCTTCCACAATGCCTAAGATGAAGCTGGCGGCGACCAAGCTCGGCATAGTCGGTGGCACGTCAGCGGAGGGGTTCTGTTTTTGTTTCTGATGGAAGAGGATGGTCAAGGTGGCGAAGTAGGCGAGATGGAGGTTGCGGGAGGCGAAGTTGTAAGCTCTCAATACTCTGGTCTCTCGGTCGAAAAGTTGGAGGGTTGGTGGCAGGTCTGCGAGCCAGCGGAGTAGCCGTTCTTCGAGCTGGACGCGGGCGTGAGCGGTTAGGTCGCCGCGGAGGGACCGCTCGGTCAAGTCGCCGAGGAGGAGGGTGATCTGGACGAAGGGGATGAAACGGTCGGCGTCCGAGGCTGAGTCGAAGTCAGTGGGTGTCAGGGGTCGCACGTCGGAGTCTAGGAGATTGATGGCGCGGGGGCGGCCGTGACTGGTTGCTATTTGGCTGTCTCGGGACTGAGATTCCATTAGCCATCACATCCGGCGGCCGATCTCAAGACGCAAGAGGGAGCTCAGAAGCACCTAGACGGCCTGTTGCGCGCGTCTGACAACGGCCAACGAGGTTAGGGATGTCAAACACAACAAGCTCGCATCCCTGGATGCTTGCTTGGTGATCCGCCTCTGGAAAGCAGCGGCATCATCGATGGAGCATCAGGAATGGAAATGAATGGCTATGACAAAAGCAACTCACCACAAGCGTCCACCAAATACGACGCCGCAAACTCCGATCGTCCTTACTAGGCTCCTTATGCAGGCCGGTCTGATGAGCCAGCGCAACGCCAATGCGCAACCAGAAGCTACTGTTGTTCGTTGACACATGCTCCGGCCCGGAACCATTCCACCACTGCAGAAAGATGACGGCCATAATGTTGCGGATGGGATCAACTTCCGTCTCGGCATAGAAGAGCCACTTGGCTCGTCGATAGCATTCAGCGCCCACTTCGGACGCTCGTGGGGACGTTGACGTGCGGCTGCCGGCTACGTAGATGGCCGTCATTAGGAGGCCGTCCGGTTCTTCTGCCATGAGCCGCCTGCGACCAATGAGTGGCATGGTCAGCTATCGTCCCAGGCCCGACCACCGACGAGTGGATGTACGCATGGTTCTGCTCAGCTTACCAGATCTCAGCCTCAGCCATAAGAGGCATCCATGGCCGACAATGAGCAACGAACGAGCTTACGAGACTCTGTCGGATCGACTGCGGCAGCTCTACGGTCCGCTTCCCATCTTCATGTGCGCTCGAAGGCGTGTGATGGATGTTGTGGTAGCGCGAGGCATCCTCCTCATCGATGGGAATGTGCGCTGGCACGTACTCGGCGCGGCCTAAGTAGCTGGATTGTGGCGAGATGCCGATCGGAGGTTCAATTGACACGCGTTTTGCCGGCCGACCGTCTGTTTGTGGCTGTTGTTCGACGCGGACGAGATAGCTGGATTGCGGCGAGATCTCAATAGGATGGTCGGCTGATATGCGCTTCACATGGCGATGATCTGTTGGCGGCGGTTGTTGCTTATGCTGGGATTCATGGATGAGATCCAGGTCTCTCTTGCGCTTACGTACGTGCGGGCTAGAGCACAGGTCAGTGTCCGCAGCGGAGGATTATAGTATGTGCTGGATGTCCCAAAACAACGTGACAAGTTCGGAATCACCTTGAAGTATTCGCAATACCTTACGCTCTGAGCCTGCTGTGAGAGAGCGGCAATACAGTACTTACATGCACTCGGCGCCGGCCTTGGAGCAGTTGCTGCATATCGGTCCGACAACACCAATATCACATCTAACCTTGCGACTATGACATGTCGAACAAGCTTTTGCCGAAACGGTGGTGCGATCCGTTGTCTTCGACATGGTCGACATCTTTGCTACTGGTGATGCCTGCAGGTGGGGTCGGCGACTGGACGGTGGCGGAACGCCGAGGAGGGGGTTTCCGATTCACTTCACCTCGGCAAAGCGGCTTTTTGCGAGTCAGGACCATTTGAAGCATATGTTGTCAGAGTGAATGTAGATTGTGCCACACGGGTCGCATACACGCACTGGTGAAGTCGGCAATGGTATCCGTAGTCGACGTGCTGACTGGACGCACTGCAACAACAGTGGTACTACGGGCTTCACTTCGAGAACATTGTGCTTCTATACAGCTAGCTGTCTAAACAATGCACTGTCGCTAACAACAACAATAACAACACCAACATGCTTACAGCACGTAGCGGAAGTTCTTGTTTTGGAACTCGGTTTCATCCAGCATACCTGCCTCGTCGCTCGCAGCCTTGTCCGCCGGGCCGTACTTGCGCTCTCGGTAACGGTTCATCAAGAACATGTAAGCTGCCGGTCTGTCAGCAAGGTATACTGCCATGAGAAGCGTTCAGAAGCACTTACCCAGCAATCCGAGATGGCAGCCGAGCTTGATCGCGTATCCAACTAGGAGACCGATAGTTGCGCCTTCGTACCGTGGTGCTTGCGATGGCTTGACGACAAACGGTCCAGCAAAGTTACCCCAGCAATAAGCGGTGAAGACCATGGCACTGGCAATCGCACGGTGAGTGTATCCGCCCATATTCGATGAGATGGTGACGAGCGAGATCGTGAAGCCGACGCTCTGCGCATTCACGAGCCAGAAGCTGACCAGCCGACCCCACGTGTTTGCGCGTGGAAGGTACGCCATGCATGCCGCAGCCACAGTACAGAGAGTGTTGGCTGCCGTCGCTGTGAGCAGACGGGAGTTAGGGACGTTAAGCGTGATAGCTCCGCCGATGAACAGAGCGATGACTTGCACAGCATCGCCAACGGACTTAAGCTCGGTCGTCTTCGTTGTCGAGAAGCCCATGTCCTTGATGATGATTGTGGAGAATGAGTTGACGACGCCGTTAGGTATCGCAGCCGCAAAGACTGAAACGAAGAGTAGCATCATCTTCGGGTCGACCAGTGCCACCTTCGCCTGCTCCCAGTTGAAGGCCTTGTTCTTGATTCCCGTCTCGTTACCGGCAACGCGCTTGACGGCAATGATGCGCTCGTGGCTGTTCAGGAAGCGAGCGTTCGATGGAGCGTCCGGCAGGCAGAAATAGATGACGAAGGCCCAGACGCAGGTCACGCCACCTAGGATGAAGAAGATGAGCTCCCAGCGTTCCGGCTTCATCGTGGCGGGTAGCGTAGAGACTCCCATCGCAATGTACGAGCCCACGATGCCGCCAAGCCCAAGCGCGGAGTACCAGATACATTGTCGCAGAGGGATCTCATTCCTCGTATACCAGAACCCGGTCATCAGCGTGAGGCCTGGCGTGACAGCAGCCTCGAACAAGCCCATCAAGAATCTCACGCCCATTGCGCTGCTGAAAGTGCGGCATTGGGTCAGTATGAGCACGCATACTCCCCATGACAAACAGCTGATCGCAAGGATCCTCTGAGCCGGAAAGCGACCGATCAGCCAACCGCAAGGGTACTGGCCGAAGAAGTAGCCGCAATAGACCATCGCGGATAGGTAGTTGAATTGGAGGCCTTTCAGACCAAGTGCTTTCTGGTAACCGAACAGGTTGGCATAGTTTAATGCAGTCTTGTCCATGAACTGCAGGGCTTGGGTGATGAGGAAGATTGGTAGGATGATGAGGTCAATCTTCCATCGGACACGGCGGTTCTGTAAATAAGCTTGTCAGTGAGGAGGGAGCAATGCATCCGATTTATCAACCTGCCTCTGCGTTCGTCACCTCAAGGCCGAGACCTTCGACATATTCTCTGTAGCCGACGGCTTGTTCCTGGGTGTTCCATCAGCATGGTCGTGGCGCAGACATCTATTTGTTTGACATACCTCTTGGACGGCATCGAGCTGATGGAGATGTTTCTTCTCCTCTTGCGGGTTGTTGACGTTCGATGTATCGGACTGCCTTGTGGATACATGGTGCAACTCGCTTTTGGCCACCATTGTAGTACGTAGCTAGCCAATGGGCAGCCGATGCTAAGCAATACAGAGATACGTGAGCAGAACATTGAAGGTGCAGATCCGGTACTTATCAATTGACCGCCCGCACAACGGCCACGAGACCCCACGCTGTCTGGGGTCCGGGGCTAGTTCCATAGTATATGCTCCACCTTGAAACCACCGACTGCGAAGAGGGTTTGAAGGAGTGCATTCGCCGACGCTAGTCAAAGTGGCCCCTCTATGAGCGAGTTAGGTGCTGATTGACCTACTCAGGAATGCATTCGGTTTGATGTAATAACGAGTGGTTCCACTCATCTGGTGAACAATCCATACCACTTCCGCCGACCGATCCAGTGCGATTCATTTACTCGCAATGACAGACGCAAACGGTTACTTGGCGAAGCCGTCCGGAGACTGCTGCATTGAAGGCAACATACACACAGGCAAGCCACGAGGCAGCTATACAACGATTGCTGGTGTCGAGACGTACATCGCACAGCCACCGGACGGTAAAGCGAATGGCAACATCGTCCTATACTTCCCGGACGTTTGGGGCTTCTTCACAAACGGCCTCCTTATCGTTGATGCGTTTGCGGATGCCGGTTACTTGACGCTGGCTCTTGACTACTTCCGCGGCGATCCAGTGTGGAAGCACCGCAAAGACCGGCATGACAAAACCACAGATCCCAACTTCGATTATGAGGCGTGGAAGGTCAAGCACACCACCTTCGCTAACGACGCCACGCCAAAGTGGGTGCAGGAGGTTCGATCGAAGTACGGTGGCGAGAAGACCAAGTACGCTTGCGTAGGGTATGTGCCGGGCGCTGCCACTTCGAAGCGATGCTAATCCAAGCAGATACTGCTTTGGCGCACCTTATGTCTGCAATGAACTGGCGGGAGACGCAGTAGCTGCCGGCGCCTTTGCGCATCCGGCATTCTTGAAGGAACATCATTTCGAGAATGTCAACAGTAGGCTATCGTTGCTGCCTTGTGTGATGAACTTGCTGACGCGGCTACTTCTAGAACCACTATTTCTTTCGTGTTCTGAGATAGATCACACGTTCGAGAAGCCTGCACGGCGGAGAGCCATCGACATTCTGGAGAGTCAGAAGAAGACCTACCATTTACAACTGTTCGCCAAAGTGCAGCACGGCTTTGCGTTGCGTGGTAATATGGACGATCCATATGAAAGTAAGGCAATTTATGTTGTTTGACGTCGATACGCCGTTGACACTGTCTCCAGGGTATGTCAAGGAACAATCGTTAAGAGGCATCGTCGCATGGTTCGACCTTTGGCTTCCGCAGTGAGACAAGGTCATGCAGCACCGTTGTCTGGGCCTGTAGCTCGCTTTGCTCCGACAATATGGTGCTAGGTAATCTCAAGTCATTGTCGTATAATTTTCTCGGACTAGGGCAGTTCGTCTTTGTTAGGGTGTCTTGCTGCCGACCAGACAGCCTCCTCAGCCTAGGCTGAAATGCGCAGAGCCATACGCCGCTTTACGCAGGCCCAAATGAGTTTAGATTGTGTCAGTCCACGGCACATAGCGTCAGGTCGTAAGCCGCTGACAGAAGCACTTTGACTTTCTACCGATAAGATGATGGAGGTGAGAAGAGCGCCGAGCGATGGAATTCGCCGAGTGGTCTCCACGCTTTCGCTCTTGACAGGATCCGACCTCGGTGCGCGGTAAGGTGCAGATCAAAGTCCTTAACAGTCTGAGCCTGCGTAAAAAGTGCATCAAGCTTCGCATATTCGTTCGCATCAGGCTCCCATACCACTAACCGTTATCAGAAGGACCGTACCGTCTTGCAGCGCCGGAACCGCATAACCATTGAGCTTCTGCATACTGGCAGCCATGACGGGCTCAGCGGCTCCACCTACTGCTTTCGACCTCCACGGCGAAGTTGCTCTCGTAACTGGAGCCGGCTCCCGAATGTCAGGTGAGTTACCCCGGACTGGACACAGCATCCCAACATGGTGCTATATCGATAAGCTGTTGCTAGCACCGTGAATTCATGTCAACGTGCTATGCGACCGAGGACACAGTTGCAGCTTGTTGTAAAGCTAACAATTCGGCAGGCGAGGTCGGCAATGGGAGAGCGACAGCTATTGTGCTCGCTCGACAAGGCGCTAAGATCGCTCTCGTCGATTACAATATCGAATGGGCCGAGGAGACGAAGCGCATGATTGATGCTGAAGGTGGCGTTTCCGAAGTTATCCAGGCTGACGTGACGGATGAAGAGTCCTGTCGGAACGCTGTTGCAAAGACTGTCGCCTTGTGGGGTGCTCTGAATATTCTTGTAAACATCGGTACGATTGCTCTTATCACTGCTTCAGATGGCGGTCGTTGCATGGTGCGCATGAATCTCCGTCGACACCGCGTCCGGTAGAATACTTCGGGAAACGCGGCTCCATGCCATATCTTGCGTTGGAAAGGTTGCTGACCGGTGCTGTATAGTCGGGGTTGGAGGCGCAATGGGCGACGCCACGAAAGTCGATATGGACGCTTGGGATCGCGATATACGGATCAACCTCACAAGCATGGTGCTGATGGCTCGACACGCAATTCCCGAAATGCGCAAGCAAGGGTACGGAAGAATAGTGAACCTGTCATCCGTAAGCGGTCGTAAGTGAAGTCGCCGTGACTGATTTGATCCTGTCGCTGACGGTCCCAGTGCTCGGTGGCAATCCAAGCTTGCTATACCCCACCACCAAGGGCGCGATTATCCAAATGACTCGAGCCATGGCTGCCCAGCATGGCCCAGAAGGCATTAACGTGAACTGCGTGGCGCCGGGGATGGTGTATACGCCCATGGTCCGAGGCCGAGGTATGACGGAGGAGCTTCGCCAGGCGAGGATTAACCAGAACCTGCTAAAGCAGGAAGGTACTGCATGGGATGTCGGTTACGGTAGGCAATTCGATTCCCGAGCTATGACACTTGTCACAAGTGCCGATGGCTTTGCAAAGCGTGCTCCGACGAGTTCTGCGCTGACAGTGACATCGCGTAACAGCAATTCTCTTCCTGTGCACGAAAGAAGCTCGCTGGATCACGGGTGTGATCCTACCCGTAGATGCAGGAGTAAGTAGCTCACGAAGGAATCGGACGATCTGAGAGCTGACGAAGTGGGTAGACCACAGCAGGCAAAGCAGATCGACCAGCACTGAAGGCGGACACGCTGGCTCAGAGCATGACCGGTGTGCCAAACAGAGTCACAAACGGACATTGACGGCCACGTAACCTGCGGGAACGATCTTAATCTAGCAGCATGAGGTGGCGTTTCTGAAGCATTTACATGAGTGCATGTGGGCAGGACGCTGTAAGAGTACACCTAACGCAGGTGGGGGTAGTGATCTAGAAACGCTGTTGTTAGCACTCATTGATGTTCGTAGGCAGAGGTTGACGCCCCCTCGAAGTCTTGCCTTCGCTGCTTCCATGGCATGCTTTGATGCTCGAACAGTCAGTGCAATAGCACAGCATGCCGCAACATGGTGCGAAAGAAGAATGTGAGAGTTCTATGAGTTGAACGGGTATCTGCTTGTTCGCCTCCAGCGCCGTGCTATGCGAAAGGTCCTTAATTGGTAAATCAACGAACTCAATAAAGGCACCTCGAATGCAAAGGACACGCATAGAAGACCAGCGCTGCTATGTGTACCACCCTCGTTGGCCCAACTGCGTAGGCTGTTCGTCCTCCCGATGGGGAATCATCGGTTCCGATATCTCGAAGGCATGGGTCAGCTCCTTCCACGTAGAATAATCTAGAGCGAACACAGCTTGATGGTTGCTGATCTTCCGCTCACGCTTCTCTTCTAGCGATGTAGGGTTTGATGCATCTGTAGCCGACTGTCAGCTACTATATGAGCAGGTAGGTGTCGGGTGGGCTTACTGAGCGTGGGCAAGCCATTCTCGTCATGCGCGATGCCGACACTGCCCTCTTTGATCAAAAAGCTGATGTAGAAGAGGTTCTCGACCGTCTGGCCAAAGCTTCGTGGATTGAGAACAAAGTCGAAGAGTGGCACACACCCGTTCGTGGCAAGACGATGCTTTTTCAGCATCGCACGGCCACGCTCGGTCGCCATGTCCTCCTTCGTGAAGCCAGCTCGTGCGATGCTCGCTTCGGCCTGTCTGATATGGTTGTGTAGCTGTCTTCGAATGCGTGTGCAGATTGCGGTTAGCGCATTTGCGTCTGATTGTTGCAGGTCATCTTTTGATAATGCTTCTGGGCGAGCTTCGCGACCTGCAGTATCCTTCCGCTGTTTCGCGCGCCGCTGAGTTTGCGTGCGCTGCTTCTTCTCGACTGAAAGTGGGCCCAGCAGGAATGTAGGTACCGGAGGGCGCGAGATGTAAGGAAAGCAAGCATTCCGGCCGAAGAACTCCCAGTCCATTGCATCTCCAGCGGTGGCGTCCTCATCGTCGCTGTCATGAGGATCACGCGTGCGCCGCCGTCTTGAGTTGCTTGGACCGGGTTCAGCCTGCGTGCTCGCGGGACCACCATTGCGCATGTATGTGATGCACTTCGAGAGAAACTCGTCGACATCGACACCGGCGCTGCTGTCTCCGAGCACAAGGTGCGCGGTCTTCTTCTGCGCCAAGTCTGACACACTGACAAGTAAGCGAGAGTCGACTGTCGCATCACTCGTCTGCTTGACAGTTTCAAAGATCTTATTTGCGCGGTTAATAGTGGTGGTGAGCGCGTCCGCACGGCCGCGCAAAAGCTCGTCCCGGCTTTCTGGGAGACTGTTAGCTTGGTCTGACCATGTTTGAGTGCCTCAAGATACGCACCGTTGAACTCGCGTTCCAATGCTCTACTCTTCCGTTTGAGCTGCCTTCGGGACTCTGCGTCCTGATTGGGTTCGTAGTACTTCTTGAACCGACCACCGTCCGAATCTGCGTCGTCTTCTTCGTCATCTTGCGTTGCGTCTGTTCGCAGCTCTATCCGCTTGCGCTTCTGTCCGCGGTGGTCGATGCTGTCATCTGAGTTTGGTGTGGGAAGACTGTTGCGTGAAGGTGGTGGTGGCATTGCGCGAGCCTTGCCCTTCGGCCGCGCATTCGCTGCGGGATCCTGGTTCTCTTGGTCGGAGTTGTTGCCGGAAGCTGGCGTCGCTGAGGCATAACGCGATGACAGAGCAGACGACGGCCTGTTATTGCGACGCGCCATGTCTCATGACGCTACCTTGCGGCGCAGTCAGGCTTTCTGAGGTGTTTGCGATGCTTTACGGCGCGTAGCTCAACGTCGGTCACTTGCAAAACGCTGGTGACGACAACTTTGGGTGGTATGTACAGTTGGGACGGATGTTGCGTCCTTCATGTATCTATCCCGTTTGCCTGAAGAATACCATCGCAAACGCAGCCTTCACTGTATTGCAAGGTTGTGAGGTAAAGTGAGCTTCCCTGATTCGCGTCATAAGCGCGTGTCGCGCTCAAGCCGCAGTCACATGACCGTCACTGAGGCAGCCTCGGACGGCGGGCATCTACACTTCAGCAGAGACTGCAAACCAGGCATGCTTCAGACACATTCCGGGGAATGCGAGTTGATCTGATGACGAGACCGATGTCTCAGAAACATAGAAGCTGTCCTGGCAATACTTGTCGAACGTACCATACATAGGATGGATCCGTTCACTTTCGCGTGCTCATCCGAACTGAATCTACCACTCGCCGTGAAGGTGTGGGTTTAGCTCACTTAAGTGAAGTCTACAAGCTCCCCTGTACTGACGTAACGTCGATAGTACCCGCCTCGAAGGTTATGAGAAGCCACTGCCATACTCCACGCTGCTCAAGCGGCCAGATCTACGGCACCGTGGGAGCAATCTCAGCCCCAACTCCGAGCTTTATGTGACTGTCCAACCATTTGCGCATTCGAAGCCTCTGACTGTGCCCTCTCAGACGCCATACAAGCACTTTAAGAATGGCCGAGTCTGGAATCAGTGGCTTACGCTGCCTGTCAGCTACAGCACGCTTCCCGCTAACACTCAGCTTGCCATCACTCTCTGGGATCTAAGTCCGATTAATCCTAAAGGCGGAGACCGGAACCACCACATCCCTTTCGGAGGCACGACAATACCACTGTTCAACGAGGAAGCTACGCTCAGGACAGGCCGGCAGAAATGCCGGATCTGGCGGCACAAAGCTGCGGATGGCTTCTCCGACACGACCACGCCATGGCAGGAGCGCAAAGGTCGGCTTCGAAAAGGGTTAGACGAGCCTACTGTAGTCGTTGATGAAAAGCAGAGTCGGCGTGAGGCTGAGCTCGATCGGCTTGTAGGCTTAATGAAGCAGCAGGAAATGGGCGAAATTCCAGAGTCTAAGTGGCTCGATAGCATGGTGTTCAGGCAGATTGAAAAGCTTGAGCGTCAATCTGTACGCGATACTCTGCGGCCAAAGCAGCCAATCCAACCCAATGGTACAGCGATCAAGCCAAGCGAAGACGGCGAGCCGAAAGTGACGCTATGCGCTGAAGGCGATCCAGATCATATTGACGGTGCCTTCTTCTTGTACATCGAACTTCCACGCTTTGACCACCCAATCGTCTTTACAGACCACGAATATCCGCCTCCGCCCGCCTCGAGCATCCATTTGCCTCTGTTACCAAACGCCTCCGGGGTCAACTTCAAGCCGCCACCTGAAGTACACTTCGGCCCTGGCATAAATTCTGACGCCGCCAACACTAGCGATACAGACGGTGGAGGCAGGCTCATCCGCATTTACGACCCCGAAGTGGGCTACGCTGACAACCCTGCCGAGACGAAGCATCGCCGCCTCATTCGGGGCCAGCGGAATGCGCTTGATCGCGACCTCAAGCCGAATCCGAAGATGCGCGACTTCCTGAATCGCGTAATGCTTTACGGACCGACGGTAGAGTTGAGCGACAAGGAGAAGGATGAGGTGTGGCGGTTTCGGCATCATCTGACACGAGACAAGAGAGCTTTAACCAAGCTTGTCAAGTCTGTCAATTGGAACGAGCAAGCTGAGAGCCGTCAAGCCATTGCTCTGCTACCCAAATGGGCGGAGATTGACGTAGATGATGCGCTCGAACTGCTCGGTCCAAGCGTGCAGAATCCAGCAGTGCGCGCCTACGCGGTCGACCGTCTCCGCAAGGCCGATGACGAGGAACTCTTACTGTACCTGCTGCAACTAGTACAAGCGCTCAAGTTTGAGCCGCAGCATACAAGGGACGATGAGACGGACTCGTCGCTCGCTTCCTTTGTCATTGCTCGATCTGCGGGCAACCTTAAGCTTGGCAACTTCCTCTACTGGTATCTCATGGTCGAGCTCGACGACGAAGCACCTACGCACTCTGCGGAGAACAAGAAGCTGTTCGCTCGTGTCAGCTTCGACTTCATGAAAGAACTCGAGGCGACGCCGCAGGGCCAAGCTCGACGGAAAGTGCTTCTCCGACAGGGTGAGTTGATTACAGTGCTCAGCAAGATTAGCAAAGACATTCGCAGTTCACGCGGCGACCGTATTCGGAAGATCGAGCAGCTCAAGAAGATGCTCGCTGACCCAAAGAACGAGCTCCTTGACTTCGATCCGCCTTTACCGCTTCCATTGGACCCAGATGTGAAGATCACCGGTGTAATACCAGAAGAAGGCAATGTCTTCAAATCCTCTCTATTGCCGCTTTACCTCAGCTTCACCACCTCCACCAACTCCGCGTACGGCGTGATCTTCAAGACTGGCGACGACCTTCGGCAAGACCAACTCGTCATCCAAATCATCGCTCTAATGGACAGGCTTCTACTGAAGGAGAACCTCGACTTGAAACTGACACCTTACCGTATTCTCGCCACTTCCACTCTGGCAGGCGCCGTGCAATTCGTCCCATCCACCGCCGTCTCCGCCATACTCAACAACTCCAAATACAAGGGCTCTATACTCGGCTACCTTCGTTTCCACAACCCTGCTTCGTCTGACACACCCTCGGTTCTCGGGGTACGGAAAGAGGTGATGGACACGTACGTCAAGTCCGTGGCTGGATACTGCGTCATCACCTATCTTCTAGGCGTCGGGGACCGTCACCTGGACAACTTGCTCATGACACCCGATGGACACTTCTTCCACATCGATTTCGGTTATATTCTAGGTCGGGACCCGAAGCCCATGGCCCCGCTTATGAAACTGAGCAAAGAAATGGTGGAAGGGATGGGCGGCGTGGCTGCAGGCACCGAGTCGCAGTTTGAAGCCTTCCGACAGTACTGCTTCACGGCTTACACTACGCTACGACGCAGCTCGAATCTGATACTCAATCTGTTTGCGTTGATGCAGGAGGCCAATATTCCCGGGCTGGCGATCATGGGAGCTGGCGATGCGGCTGTTAGGAAGGTGGAAGAGAGGTTTAAGCTGGATGTTAGTGAGGACGAGGCATTAGGGTTCTTTGCACAGCTGATTGAGAGGGAGATGGGCGCTTGGGCACCGGTGTTGATTGACCGTCTGCATGGACTGGCTCAGGGGTGGAGGGCATGATGAACATTGTGGGTCAGTATGAATGGTTATTGTCGCCAGTCGTACTGTACTCGGCGACCTATTTGCATATAGACTCTACTGCCTTCTCGGTTGCCTTCAAATCGAGATCTCCAAGGCCTCGGTCGAGGAAGTCCTAAGCGATTGCAGTATTGATCAGGCGATCCAACGAAGTCGATGGAAACTTCTAAGCTGTACTGTCTCCAACACCTAACACGTTACTGACAGCGAGTTTTGACAGCTGCAGCACTCCTCCTTGACGGCTGCCTTCCTGTGCAGCCAGACCAATTCACTGCGGCTCGTTGTCTTCACCAGGTCACGACGTTCATACATCGGCTACCGAAGGAAAACCGGCCTGTTTGAGCGCTTGTTGGCGTCTATAGATTGGAAGAAGATTCCTGTAACTGTATCATACAGTATCGGTCTCGCGACGAAGAACGGACAACAGCAAGGTTTCGAGTTATATTCGTATTGTAAACGGTATGTAAAGTACGTAGTCGTGGTGGTTTTGGAGAGAAGACCTGCGCCACTTTCCGCGTCATCCCACCCCGGCACAAAAGGTCGACGATATCGAGGTTGACACAAAAAGCCGCTCCATATAGGCCCACATTACCGACATTGTGCAGTACATATGCAGAGTTTCAGGTCCCTGCCGGACCTAGGTTGAAAACAGATCGTGTAGTCGCGTTGTTCCAGAAAGCGAAGGATGGAAAGCGAAAATAACCGCATCTTTGGAAGCAGACGAAGAGGCAAAAGTTCTCACTATGGAGCAGCAGAAGCGCCTCATCGATCAAGTCAAGAACAATTGGCGCACGCATGATATCCAGCTTCCGGACGATGATATGGAAACGAGCACGCATGAGCTCCGCCTCCGCGAAGTTGAAGACGAAGACGGCTGTTTTAGCCGCACTCGCAACGCTTCGCGGTACCACCGAACGCGCAAGGTGTGTGGCATCTTAGCCGCGCTAAGCTTGCTACTCATACTGGTGAATGGCTGGTACTCCAAGTCCAAGCGGGAGCATGCGGCTCTACTTGACGGAGGCTCCACAACGATGCAAAGAAACGGCACCTACGGCCTGGCTCAAGCTGGGGACTTCGACGGCACCCGCTTTCGTGGTCTTGCTCCAAGTCTTCTGCCGGGCGGTGTATCTGATCCTAATGGTGAGCGCCGGCTTGTCTTCGTGGGAGACATCCATGGCTGCAAGGGGGAGCTATCGGCTCTGTTGAGGGCAGTCGGCTTCGATACACGAAGAGACCATCTCATCGCTACCGGTGATGTGGTATCGAAAGGACCCGACAGCCTCGGCGTGTTGGACTTACTCATCCAGCTGGGCGCAGAAAGCGTGCGCGGCAACCATGAGGATCGTCTGCTCGAAACTTACAAAACCCTGCGGAAGTCTTCAGAGACGCTACCTGACACTGCTTCTCAAGTTGAGTCGGCGGCCACCACAAGTCATGGCTACCACAAAGACGCAGTTCTACTCAGGCAGATGAAGCCGGCACATCTTAAGTACTTGCGTGAAATGCCGCTGATGCTGCGCATACCCTCACTGCCGCAGGTAGCAGCCTCGACCAGCGAATATGTCAACCACGCGGTCCTTGTTGCTCACGCTGGCATAGTACCCCACGTATCTTTGGAAAGACAAGACCCATACTTTGTGATGAATATGCGCACAATCGATCGCGAGACGCACCTTCCTTGCTCTCAGCCAGTTGAGGGGCCTAAAGATACAAAGGTTAGATGGTTCATACTGTGGGACACGTACCAAACCCGCCTTCTCAATGGTGCCTCTTTGAAGGACTCTCCCAGCAACGCTTACTCGCGGGAACTCGATGCATCGACAGTCCCTTCATACCGAGGATCCTCCGGCTGGCAAGCGAACAACATCAACGTACCACTGGTCGAGCCGATGGTCGTGGTCTATGGGCATGACAGCAAGCAGGGTTTGCAGCTCCATCAGTGGAGTCGAGGGCTAGACTCAGCTTGTGTGGCTGGAGGGCGGTTGACAGCCATGGTTTTGGACGCGAAAGGGAAGGAGGACATGTTTTCCGTACCTTGCCAAGAGTATAAAGTATAGAAATACTGGCCTGCTGTTTGAACGTGTTCTGAGCGAGGCGTTAGTGGTATACAATCATGAGTATCTTCCACAAAGACTGTATATATATACATCGTAGACTTGAAACACGCTAAGATAGAGGACCTTTATGCCGCTATTCTACGACTTCCAGCCAACTCGCTTGGGGCTGCACAGAGTGAATGTGGCCTTTCGGTGTTTGAATGAACACAGGTTCCACGGCCGTTGCTCTTGTACGGCAGTAGGCACTCCCGCTTGCTGCAGCCAGGGTGCCGTTTCGCGGCGAGTCTTGTCTTGCCACCATCGTGCCTTGACTCTATCATTCAACCGGAAACTTGAAGAGCCTGCAGGGTATGCTTACGAACTCGCTGTCACGGCATATCGGAGGGGCAGTGCGGTCGCCGCCACATGTTGGCAGGAGTGACCCAGTTATGTATACACTCCTCCCTTACCCAGCTCACTTGCGAGCCGCACCGAGTCCAATGTTACCCCATCTTCGAGAGCAATTCACTTCTTAACAGTACCAGCAGATTACGGCGCCTTGGTCTTTAACTGGACTCCATGCCAGTTCTTGATCTCCTCGCCAAGGATTTTGTTGACCAGCCGGTGCTGCTTGATAACAGGCAGGCCCTTGAAGCTCTCAGACACAATGTCTAAAGCGTACATCGAACCACAACCGCCGGAAATGTCTTGCACCTGTGCGTGATATGAGCATGGGACATTGAAGGCGTTCATGGAGAATGGTACCTCGAGCTTCGTGGGCTTGAGCTCTTGCTTGACAGTATCAAATATCTTGCGCTCTCGCTCGTCTAGGTAGTCCGGTGGTTCTACCGCTGCGCTCTCCGTTACATACTGTCGCTTAGCCGAGGAATACCCAAGAGCTGGCCTTGGGAAGTAGGTCGACCTCCCCGTGCGAGTAACACATCTTGGTGCTGATGAAGCATTACACGCAATTCTCAGGCTTTGCGATACTCTCACTGGAATATGTAAGGAAGAAGACATTGTGATGCCTATAATGCTCTGACCCCGACAATTGTGATGCCGTACATACCTCGACTGACTCGCGCTGGTTTCGGTGGCGTCAGCGACGACGGCAGCAGCCAGCAGAGCCGCATCAAGCCGCCCGGCCATAGAGAAACCGTACTCCGACTGATGATCTTTTACTGATGAGCAACGTCGCTTACAAACTCTCAACGTGCTCAGACAGGCCTAGAACCCAGGAACAGACGGCGACGATCTTCCGTACCAAAGTACGCATGTACCTGGATGTACCTCCGATGTCTCTTTAGCACCCTCACGGTATGCCAAATATCGTCAAGGTCCACTTGGCTCCTCCGGACATTGCAACCCCACGGTGTACATTACGCCCCACAGCGGCCAGCCAGCGATCCACCTCAGTCTCCTCAGTGTATGGTTCTACCTCAGGCGCCAGCGACGACGTTGGGCCTAACGCCAGTAGATGCAGGTACGTATCGGCTCGATCTTCGCGAGCACGTCTTCAAGCCGTCTATCGCGCTTCCCTGCATGCACTCAGCCGCCAACGCGACTGCTATTTTGCGGTTTCGCGAGACCCTGATCCCCATCTGCCGTGCGCGATCCCCAACTATACCCTGCGTCGCAGCGGGTCGTTGAACGGTTTCACATGCTCGTGCTACGACCCTGCAGAACGCCGCTGAGCAGTGTCGAGCCGGTAAGGTTAAAGAATCGCTCACCGCATCAATTTACCCTTCGTGGAACTCGCGATGGCTTGAGGGCTAGTATTCGATTGACAATGCCAAACGGTCGTTACTGGCAGTTTTATGCTCCACCGCTGCATATCGTCTTCTTTCGAGACCTAGCGTCGTTCGCTCAATCATGCCAAGCGTCCAGACATGGGGTTGTGTCCAAGACACTGCACTCCACACGAGGTCGCGGTCAAAGTACGCGTGTCTGAACACGACAAAGACGTTGTTGCCGATCGCGGTAGTGCTTGCAGGTTGGGCACCTGTCGTAAACTCACCGGACGTCCTCCCAAGCTCTACATGACACGCGTGGGAACATTAAGCATCCCAACCATTAGCCACCTGCGCAATCGAGCTCTTGAGTGCGTGAACTAATCGGCCATGCTGGCAGTTTGCCAAACGTCGAGAGATGCCAACTGCGACGTCATTGCCGTCATCGAAGATCAAACACCAGATCAACCACGACATGTGTTGCGCTGGAACCCTCTGGAAAGGAATCTGCAGCAGAGACCAGAGGGTCAGACTGATTGTTGGGCGCCTGGGCTGACGAACAGTAATCGGTCCGAACAGCGGAGGAAGCTGCATATCATCGTCTCGATATAATGGCTGCTGTGCTTACAAAGATTGGATGTGAACAATCGTCAATAGCAGCAGTCGATCCTCACGTCAACGACGATCTGCTCATGGTCAACAACAAGCTGTTGAAAAGCAGTATACATGTTCATCACTCATTGGGGGTGTTGAGGTGTCGGACACCGCAGGCCTGCCGCTACACTGCACGGACGCCGTGTACTGGGACTTAACCCTTCGTGACGCGACGCGATCTCGTACATCAGTGACATGGTCCTATTTCTTCTCACAGAAGGATGTCATTGAGTTCGCTTGCAAGCCGCTCTCAACAGTCACTATCGATTCATACTCGTTCTAGGTGGGCACTGCTACTGTGTGTGGAGTCTCCAGATCCACTGGTACCTCATCACAACAACAGGTAGGATTTTGCGGAGGCGGTGGGGTCTGTAGTTGCAGCTTGTGGAGCATTCGCCAGCTCTTGTGTACTGGATACTTTGATACACAAATGTCTAGACGTGAATGGCCAGGTGCAGGGCGGCGGGGCGAAAGCGGCGGTGCATTACCCCTCGTAAACACAACAAAAGCTCTATGGTAAAGCGTAAAGAGGTAGAACCGTGTCCTACTACGGGTATGCCACCGAGTCTGAGTGCAATACCCGCTAGCTGCATCGCGCAACCTGCAGGTCACTCCTGGCCGTGGTCTGGCTTAATGCAATGGAGACACTTGACAAGGCCTATGTAATCGAAATACGCGTTTGTAGAGAAGGCAGTATATACTAAAATTCCCTCAACAAGCCTCGGCGCTCACATATAGACTGGTTGAGTGTAGGACGATGGACTAACACGGCGTTAGACCACATTAGCCGCACTTTCGCACATTCCTACTAGCAGAGGTCTTGGTGTGCTGGTTGACTACACCTTAGGTATGTCGCTGTTCGACCTGGGATGTGTTGCTACGTAGATGTGGCAAAGCGGAGAACAACAGTGCAGCTTGGCTGCCACGTTGCGTGGCGCGTAGCACCTTCCCCTCTGAGACGGTAGCATAAAGTCACTGTACCATATACTCCTCTTTCTCGCCTCGCGCCGCGGGCCAAGCGTCGGACAGCATAACCAATATTGACCGGACTTGGCAGCGTATACTATCGTGTACTTCTGCAATCTGTAACCCTCTGGAACTTCAAATATGTCTGTCTTTCGGAGTGGGTTACCTCGCCGAGGTGGGCTGACGAAGGAGGAAGGGCACTTGGATGTACTGTAGGTAGATACGTTGGCACCAAGCCTGCGGTACTAACAAGGCTTCCGGGACTGCCGGATGCAAGAAAGCAGCCAATAACGGGCTTCCGGTTCATATCGAGACTCCCAAGATTTCGCGCTGCGGGAAGCCGGCACTCAATCTTGGTCTCTCGCGTGGCAGCCAGCTTCTTCAGGACAAGTCGCCCATGGTAACCGGTTGCATCGATGATTCTTCAAGAGGAGTAAATCACGTAAGCAAATCGTGACAGCAACATCCGACTTCGGATCTTGGCAGTTTGGCGCGTGAGCATGACATGGACAGTCGAAAGGGAGGGCCAGCCCAAGGGGGGCAATGAAAGACGTGACACGTTCCGCTCGGCGCGATAACACCTGCGGGTCGATAACATCACGCAAAGACGAGTTGGGTATGTACCGGGATAAGTAGTTTATTTCAAACAGCGGACCTCGCCGACGATGCCGAAGACAGAATGGGAGGTTTGGGTCGGCCCCAGAATGGATCAAGTTTCCCGTTGTGGGCTTTCAGAACCACCCACTTCTCCAAGTGAACATAGGTACCTTCTCCGCGCTGGAGAGCGTCGCGGATGCAAGCGCAAAATTTTCATGGTTGCAAGGTATTTTGGAGGATGCAGAAGAACGGTACCTCAGTGCCGCGCGGCGGAGATTGCAGCCAATCAATTGCACTCGCCAGCTTCCAAGTTTGTAGACCGCTTACTGGCTGCACGTCGCCCCACGAAAGCGTTACCGTCAAGCGAGTATTGACGTCTTGACTCGGCCAAGACAAGCGAAATGCATTGTGCGAGAGTGCACAGTATGGCGTGAGTGACGCAGCGTGGGATCGCTCGACGGTTGCGACTGCTCCCACCATCAGCTGGCGTGCCGGTCGTCAGCGTGAAGAGAAAACTTCGTCAACGCTCTGGTGAGCTGGTTCTTCCGTGCCAAGAGATTTCCTGTGGTTCGCTCGAACAAAGCTTGGTCTCGTCTAGCTCCAGTGGCGCATTCGCGCTTTGTTCACGCTTCCTCGTTGGAGTTAGCCCGCGAAAGATACATCATCGATGTACCATTTCTGGCGTTGCGTGAAAACAGGAAGTCAATGATGATGGCATTTGCGAGACCGTGGTCAGATAGACGAGCGGGTCGAGCATGTTCAATGTGAGCCTGTTTCAGGTGAGCATGGAAGTGGGAATGCTCAGTGCAGGGCAAGGTGTCAGGACCGGAGGTTTATGTACGGTAGATCTCGCAGAACAGAGTGTGGCGGACGGCGGAGATAGCTTAGTGGTAACTCTGAAGTACCTTGGTCGGGGGTGGGATGCTAGTTAGCGGGTGTACGCTGCATCTCTTCTCAACAGCGCTTCGCTGTGCCCGCAGTGCTTCAACCCTCTCTCCACGCCCAACATTCTAGGCCACATTCCCTCACCACTCCAGTGCCGTGTGGGTGAGAAAGGGTCGTGTTTGCGTTATCGCTCCTAATTTTGTTGGTTGGAGCAGGCGCTGAGTGGCTTCTCGCGGATTACTTTCGCGTGCACACGCCCACCTCGGCCTTCACCACAGCAGGCGCAATTGGGCTTCTTTCTTGGCCTTGCCTTCCACCTTCATTACCGCAGTGAGAGTGTGCGATTAGTCTATCCCCGACTATTCAGCACCTTGCACTTGCGTGGCCGGCTTTGAATAGCTGTGCTCGGCTTCAACCTGTTTCTGGACTTCATTGTCCTCGATCCTAACAGGCCGCCATTCTTCTCAGCGTCACTGTGTTTGGGCGCTGCTACTTGCTTGCGGTATCTTTCTGTAAGTCACACCACCACATCATTATCTACCATAACGGAGTCTGTATGGTAGTCTCGAACAAAGGCTGACAGCTTTTCACGCGACAAGGTGTTAATACTTCGTGCGCCGGCTTGATGCGGAAGCGAGCATAGACTCGCCCATACCTATCCTACTGGCACCTCTTTGTCCGCCGACAACATGCCTTACACCCCGCCATCACAACAATCCCCAGCTTCATCAAAGACGAGCAGTCCGGCCATCAGCCGGTCGTCATCATACAGCGAAGATGTGCCGCGATCGCCGGTGACGGGTAGGCCTCAGCCCCCGCGATCACACTCGGCTTCATATCTACACAAGCACAGGCGTTCGCCGTCCTTCACATCACAGGCGGCAGAAGCACCGCCTACGCCTACGGCAGAAGGACCTGACGCCCCGTCTGAGATGACCGACTATGCACGTAGCAGCAGCGTCCGGCAATCTCCGCCTCCAGTCAACAACTTGATAATACCCACCGGCATGGTTATTTCACCACCGGATTCCTCGGAGAATTCTGATGGAGACGACCCTGCGAATGATCAGCGAGGCAGAGAGCTGGAGAAAAGCTGGGACCAGCTTAAGGAGGCGGTCCATGCTATCAACCAGAAGCGCGAAGGCTCGCCCAATAGTGCCGGAGTCCCGCTACAGGAGACTGTATCAGAGCCTGTCTCGCAGATAGTCTCCCCAACGGCCCTGACGCCTGAGGCACGCAAGATCGCGCATTCAAGATCAACCACCGAGACTGCTATTGTAATACCAAGAACGCCAACCTTCGAGTCGCCGGCGCAAACATCCGACGATAGTGACGAGGACCAAGGTCCGCTCTCGAAGCCTTCACTGGTGCGAAAAAAGTCTGGTGAGCTAGTGAAGCCAGCTCTGAGACCGTCGTCCCGGCGGCGTTATTCGAGCATGCCGGGTACTCCGACGTACTCGAAGTCGGTTCACTTCAATGACAGCGACAACCAAACGAGGCACTTCCTGCAGGTCGACAAGCCCATGGCCGTCAGCGCCGGTTCTTCTCCCGTTGAGACATACGAGAGTGAATCCGAGTTTCCTTTTGACGGCGAAGGCGAAACCGTAGACGAACGTGATATCAAGCTTGCCAACTTCCCAGTGGATACCTTCGAAAGGAGGTCTAAGCCAGTGCGAGTGGAGCGCATCTTCCTGTCCCCGGACAAGCAGACACTCATCGGTGTGTGCGCTGTTCAAAACATCCATTTCCATAAGCAGGTTGTCGTCCGCTTCACTCTCGATTACTGGAAGACCACATCCGAGGTCGGCGCTGAGTTCAACAACGACCCACGCAGCCCGCCCACTGACGGCTGCGACCGCTTCAACTTCCACATCAAGCTGTCGGATCAGGCTAACATTGATAACAAAACACTGTTGCTATGCGTGCGGTATAACGTTGGCGGTCAAGAATACTGGGATAATAATGACAACACTAACTACCAAATCGACTTCACCAAGACCGTGGCGGCTAAGAAGCCCAGCAAGCCTACCGTGACAATGAGTCCGCTCGGTGCCCGGCCAGTCAGCGCCATTCCTCGAAGCCGACATACTCCTCCCACGTCACGTGGTCGCCAAGAGTCCGTCGACGACGACTTTGCTCGACTCGACACGAGTCCGGCTTACCACTTCGGTGTTGCGGACAAAGTGCTTGGCGAGTCTCCAGTCGCCATCAAAATGAAGCCCCGTAGCAAGCGTGGCAGCGTCTTCACTGCCGCTCCCGTCGCCACTAATGGTCTTGGTGGTCGATACGACTTTGGCGCCTCACTATCGGCCGCTTTGTCAAACGCACAAGATAAGCTTGGGCGCCAGAGTGGCCTCATGTTACCCCGGCCAGGCCAGGTGAAGCCAACAGAGAGCAGCGGCAGCTACTTTGGGCCGCTTGACCGCAAGGAGGGCCCAGCCAAGACCGACGAGCGGCCAGACGCCCTGACTACCGACAGGCCTGCAATGGGATCGGACCAGTACAGAGACTTGGTCCAGAAGTTCTGCTACGTAGGTTCAGCCAACAGAAGCCCTCCCTCCGCCAAGGCTTAGAAGGCCGGACGAACGAAGAGCTGACCAATATGATGGCAGTTCACGCCTGCTGCCGGAAAGGCCGTTGGCTCACCGCCACCTGCAAACGCTGCTAAACCCACTGTCTCCAAGACTGATGGTGCCAATGACAGCGGGTCGGCCACTGCCGCCTCCTCCTCAGGCCAGACATCAGGCACCAGCTCGCCCTCAACGCTGCTTGATGGCAATAATGACCGCACGACACAGGTCACCATGAGCCCGTTCATCTCTCGTTCTGGCTCGCCAGCACCGTCTGCTGGCCACTTTGGCGGCCGTGCTTCGCCCATGGGCTTCGGTTACCCGTATCATACAAATACCCGCGACGGCTACCTCACCGACTCCCCCGCACCTACGGCGATTCACGGCTGAGCGAGCCTACTATCGATCGCTTTCCTCTTCCACATCACACCTTGGACCGAAGCACGCATTGACGTCGCTTACGATCACGGTATTATGATATACGACGGCGGTACCTGCTTTCGCGTGCTCCAATGTCCCCACTGAAACCCGCCAAGGCCAAGCGAAGGATTTAGCCACTGCATATCCTGATGGTCTCTGGCTAGCTCACACGGCCGGGAGAGACACGCACTTGTCTTACTGCTACTTTGTGTGCGATTGCGTTATTGCAGGGCGTTTTCTGGAAATAGAGGGTGGCAAACGGTTTTCTGGGGTATGCGTGCCCGGTGCTGCACGTTGGTTTGACTGGCGTTTCTGTGTGGTGTGAAAAGTTGACTGCTGTCGAGATTTCTTTAGGCAGACGACGCCATATGCTTCTTCATAGCATACGTTGCAGCCGTGGAGATAGGCCCGCTCGACTCAACACTTGGGCTTTGTGGATGGCTTGTGCATAGTCGGCCGTTGGGACCTGAGACTCGATTGATATGGGGTTGAAGCTGAGATCGACGTTTCTTGATAGTGGATTCGTTGTACTAGCTGATGTTGCCTGTCGCTGCGCGGCTTGGTGAATCACGGCCGAGTAGATACCAGTTCAACGAGAGTGTCTCTACGTTTCCGCTGCTCGCGTGTCCCATGCAGTCGACTGCACCTCGGCCTGCATAATGTATGTAGGCTGCCTCATGGGAAGCCACCACCGCCACACCCTCTCCACCTCCACAACCTTTATGATTCCGTGCGTCTGGAGTAGATCTTCACTCCGCTTTCTGCGGTGCATCCTACACCGACATCGGCACAATCCGTCGACGGTCACGGATACCGGCACGAGGGTAGGTCTGGCATTCTATGTTTCATATAAGCACTCAATATCCGTAAGAAGCAATTCGTGCTCACTTCCTCGGCATCTACTACCTTTCCAAGTCGAATCCCGAGATCTTGATGGAGTAGAATACCGCAATGCAGCAAACTAAACTTCTAGAGCAGCCCTGGGATGTGGTTGTCGTTGGTTCAGGCGCAGCAGCACTTTCTTCTGCCATATCTGCCGCAGAATCAAGCAATCCATCACCCCGAGTCCTGCTTGTGGACAAAGCTCCGGAGACCTGGGCAGGCGGCAACGGCTACTTCACCGCAGGCGCATACCGCACACGGCACAATGGCCTTGAAGACATCCTGCCTATGGTTTCCAACGTACCTGACGGGTTGAGAGGCAAGATTGACCTCCCGGCGTACACAGCAGATGATTTCAGTAACGACCTACAACGAGTGACCGGTGGCCGAAGTAGCAAACACCTAAGCGACTACCTTGTAAGGGAGAGTTTGGACGTGGTGAAATGGCTCAAGGGTCACGGTGTTGACTGGTGGCTCAGCTTCAGACGGCAGGCTTACGAAGTAGACGGCCGGTGGGTGTTTTGGGGTGGCCTGCACTTGACGGTGAAGGATGGTGGCAAAGGGTTGATTAAGAACTTGACCGATGCCGCGAAGCAGAGGGGTTGCACTATATTGCACGACACTTCGACCACCAAGCTACTAACCAACAATAAGGGCGGCGTGTATGGTATCGAGGTAGAGAGGGCAGCAAGGAAGTATCAACTCAAGGCTCCTAGCATTATACTATGTGCTGGTGGCTTCGAAGCGAACCCAGAGCTGCGGAAACGCTATCTCGGTCCTGGGTGGGAGCGAGCGCATACGCGAGGGACCCCGTACAATCGTGGTGACATGCTATCCGCCGCCATCGCCATCGGCGCGAAGACGGTGGGTGACTTCAGCTCTGGAGGCTGCCATAGTGTAGCGTGGGACGCTTATTCGCCGAAGGACGGTGGCGACCGGGAAAAGACGAATGAATTCACGAAGTCTGGGTATCCACTTGGACTGATGCTTAACGCAGAAGGCAGACGCTTTGTTGACGAAGGGGTGGACTTGCGCAATTACACCTATGCGAAATTTGGACGCGCGATTCTGGAGCAGCCGAATGGCATTGCGTTTCAGATTTGGGACAAAGATGGCCAAGCGTGGCTGAGAGACGAGGAGTATAGGGACGAAATCGTGCATAAGATCCGTGCGGACAGCATCGAGGAGCTCGCAAGGAAGTGTGCTGACGAAGGCCTTGCGGGTTCGGAACAGTTCGTCAAGACGGTGGAGGAGTACAATGCAGCCGTTGCCGCGCACAGAGAGGAGCACCCGGACGCAAAGCTAAATCCGGCAGTGAGAGACGGCCTCTCCACGCACTCATCGAAGAAGTCGCTCCCTCTGGCGAAGTCGAACTGGGCAATACCGGTTGTCAGACCGCCTTTCCTAGCTGTCAAAGTCACTTCGGGCATTACGTTCACATTCGGTGGACTTGCTATCAATCCGGAGAATGCTGCTGTGTTGCGTGAGGATGGATCGGAGATTGAGGGCTTGTTCTGCGCTGGTGAGATGGTCGGTGGGCTGTTCTATGGAAACTACCCGGGCGGCAGTGGTCTAACAGCTGGTGCCGTGTTTGGCAGAAGGGCTGGTCGGGCCGCAGCTGAGAGAGCGAAGGGCACGCGTAGGCTGGAGAAGTTATGAGCTGCGATGCTTGAAGCATGTTCTTCTCACGGCTCGCTCTGACTGTTTGTCTGTGTAACCATTGGGTAGGCATTATCGAAGCACACACCAAAAAGCTTTGGGTATCTGCCGCTCATCAGTATCAGGAAGTTCTGATGTTGCCCTCGCGCTCCGAAGTCGGCTAGGCCTTTTAGCGCTGGTTCACGCGGAAGGGCAGCTTGCCGTCCGGAAGCTTGCAATGTCTCGCGAGCCGTTACTCTAGCAGAGGTCTGCAGTGAAGTAAGACAATAGACATTGTGCGATGCATGAAGGAGTCATTGTGGCTTGCAGTTGACAACGTGTGTGCGATCCAGCTTGTCTCGTGCACGAGGGTACAGAGGACGACGGCTTCCGCTGTGATTGGCTGAGGCCTGCAATCTCCGTGCGCTGAGAGTGCACAAGCCACTGCCGCCGAACTGGACCACCTCCCGTCGCTGGGCGGAGGTCAAGCTTGAGTGACCGAATCTAATCACTACACAGACCGCACGCGTCTGCGTATACCATTACTTACTTCACCCCTTCCCTCTCAGGCATCTCGACGGGTTGCGCCTACCGACGCATTGGGGCTGTGCGTTAACACGAAGACATATTCGCACGTCAAGCGCGAGCGCGCACAGCGCACAGTTACTGAGCGTTCCCTCCCCAAACCGCGGCCAGCAGCAATCTACACACCACACCATACACCACGGCGGCCCTTGTGCCTACCACATACCATCCCACACGTTTGCCGACGTCATTGCGCACCACATTCGCTGCGGCGGGCGCTAAATTGACCGTGAGCAGCGGAAAAGTCGGTAAGCCAATGCTTGGTCGGCATTGAGCGCATCTCATGAGTACTTCGAGCGCACCGCCCGTTACAGGAGGGCTACAAGGTAAGTTGCAATGGCGTTGCGGCAGGTGGATCGCGGCACAAGAGCGGACAGGCGGACAGGCGTAGCTTTTGAGTGTGTTAGTTTGATGCATCCAGCGGCAGTGCAAGGGGCAGCTTGGGTGTCAGAAGTGAAATGTCATTGACTGTGGTTTTGCATAGGTCCATCATCAACGTCACAAACACTGAACCCGCCTTTGCGAACCTCGTCACGTGAGCCTGCGCTAAACGAAGAAGCCAGCAGCGCGCAGCTGCCCGACCAAAGCAGAGCACAGGATGCGGCTTTGGGCCCGGCAAACAACGCACTCGGTGCTTCGGACCCGGTAGCGGATACGGCAGAGAATCAGCGAAGAGGCTCGAAGCGTACCCGAGCTGAAGCTGCGAATACACCGAACGCTCAGACGAGCAACGCGACTGACGTCAAGCCAACAATGCCAACAGCAGCTGGCACGACTCAGCCGACTTCGCAACCAAAGCCGAAGAAGAGGTCCGGCCTCATGGCCTTGTTATGCTGCAGTTCTGCGTCTGACCGAGAGGACGTCGAGATGCAGGACCAAGCGCCGAAACCGGTTAACAAGCCTCAAACACAGCGCGTGCCGCAGCAAGTCTCCCCACGACAGCAGCCGGACGTCGCTGTGCCCAATGTGGGCGCAAACGACATCAGAGAAACATCTAACGAGAAGGCGCCGCAGTTACCGCCCGTCGGTATAGAGCAAGTGGCAAAGCCGCAGACATCGGAAAGGCTACCGCCTGGTGATTCTTCGCTTGACAAACCTGTACCAGCGCTTCCCATGAATTCATTCACTACACACGCCAATCCAGAGATTCAACCGCTTTCAGATGCCAAACAATCATCGGCGCCAATCGAGCCGATTACTGGACTGCCATTGAACGCGTCGCTCCCTAATATGACAACTGAGAACAACCCTCATCAGCAGTTTCAACCGTCCACGCCAGTCGTGCCGCAAACCCAAGAGGAGCAGCTTATTTCGGATCAGACCCCGCATCAGCGGGCAACGGACGAAGACATTGAGATGGGGGAGGCCAATTCGCCGTCGGTGCCACTAACCGGAGGTGAGGCTGCGGCACTTGCCGGTGTCGGAGCCGGAGCCGTGGGCACAGGCTTGCTTGCACATGAGCAACAGCAGAGTAGCGAGCAGCGAAGGGAGCAAGAACTACCGACCACCCTTCCGCCACCGCCAGGACCTCCGCCGCAAGCAGAACAGTCACAGCCAGAAGCGGAGAAAGATTATCACGGTACGCTACCGAGCCACCAGACGGTCAACTCTATTGCGCCTATCGAGGACAAGAAGTGGCTTCTACCGCCACTGCGACAGGATCTGCGTGGACGCAAATGCCTTGTACTGGACTTGGATGAGACTCTAGTGCACAGTAGCTTCAAGGTATAACTAGTACCGGCTGGTTTGCAGCACACAGAACGCTGACGCAACGCAGATCTTACATCAAGCAGACTTCACCATACCCGTCGAGATCGAAGGCCAATACCACAACGTATACGTCATCAAACGGCCAGGTGCCGACGCCTTCCTCAAGCGTGTGGGCGAGATATACGAAGTCGTGGTCTTCACGGCCTCCGTGTCCAAGTACGGTGATCCTGTGCTCGACAATCTCGACATCCATCATGCGGTCCATCACCGGCTGTTCCGTGAGAGCTGCTTCAACCACCAAGGCAACTACGTCAAGGATCTGAGCATGATGGGCCGCGACCTGCGAGACACGATCATCATCGACAATTCACCGACGAGCTACATCTTCCACCCACAGCACGCTCTGCCTATCAGTAGCTGGTTCAGCGATGCGCATGACAACGAGCTGCTCGACCTGATACCCGTACTGGAAGACCTTGCCGGGCCGCAGGTGAGCGACGTCAGTCTCGTGCTGGATGTTGCTCTATAGCATTGGCCATCCTAATGCTTTTCACGGCGGCGACTCTATCTTCGAGCGCGGATAGCGTCTGTACAGTGATGTACTATTCTTGATGATGGCACGCGATATTACTGCGACCACTGAGATACCCACTTCGTTTCTGGACTACGAGCTTTAGATTGTAAAGTTTACCGTTGACTCAGCATGGTTCGAATCGCCTGGAGGCAGAAGGCGAGGAGATGTCAGCGGAGAATATGGCGTACCGGTACCGGCTTGTATATGTTATCGTCCGTCAACGAACCACCACAAGATCAGAGACTGAGCTCCGGGTTCTCGCCCGGCCCCCAATCATCGATTACTCCGAGTACTGAGCATCTTCGACCAAAATACTACTCCCACGTGGCGTACTGAGCGAGCGCTTCTGACATTATTTGAGTGCATGGGCTGGGCTAGTGCATTCACATCCGCGAGCAAAAGCAGCAAAGGCAGAATTTTTCTTTGTTAGAGTATCTGTGTTCTTAAGCGACATTGCGTTCATATCAGGCGGTCGGTGAGAAGATACCACCGTTCTGAGCGAAAACTGCGCGTATTGGATTACGGCGCAGACGTGCTCGGACCGAACGTGTAGCGGGCGGGTAGCGAATGCAGTAGCCTTGGAAGTGAGATGCGAGTGGGTGAAAGGGAGCACTATATCGTTGTTGTCAAGCGTGTGAGCAGTGTAAGAGGGCAGAGCGCAAGGCGGGTGGAAGGTGATTGTGGAGCTGGCTGGCATAGCTTTAGTATAATTTGTAGTCTCACCCATGACTCAAGGCCGATATCTCATAGTAGCATTTCAACTCAACGTGTACAGGATAGACGTAGATGAGAGAGCCTTCAGGACTTTCCAACACGGGAAGAGCGTGCCGCCGCACCAACTCAACATGGTATCGTTGAGTCCGCCGTGCCCAAAGTGAACTGGCTTACTGTGATCGAAGTGCACGTGGTAACGAGCGCAAGATCAGGAGACTAGAGAGCATAGGTCATCCTTGCATCAGAGTGCCGATCCGCGACTACTCAGTCTGTCGCGACGGTTCTACAACAGTACTATCAAATAGAAACGAGCTCTACATCACCACTCCGCCTTCATCCCACTGTGACCGTCCGCGCTCCCTTGAAGCCGTGTGAACACGCCCGGTTCGCACTCCGCCCAGACGGGCAGGCAGAGTGGTATCTGTGGGCAGGGAAACAATGTTGTTAGCTAACGTCACAGGTAATGCAGAAAGATGTCCAAGTCGACTCACAAAAACTTCGTCCAAATCCTGTTGCAACCCAGGCCAACCAACATCTCTGCAAACCACCTTCTCCAATCTCGGCACATTCCGCTCCGAGATTCGGAAAGTCGCCAGCTGAGCAGTAAGACTCTGATAAATACTCACCAACTCGGACCAGCAATCCTGCATGTCTGCCTTTCCAATCCTTGCAGGGTCATCCAGAATTTTCGATCCCAATGAAGGCGCGAGCTGCAGATCCAGCTCCTGCAGTTGCGGCAGAAGATCCCGTAACTGCAGATGTGTCGCGAAGGGGAAGATGGCAATGTACGAAAGTTTCCTTAGTCCCGCTAAAGGAGCGTCTGAGATTCGACGCATATCCGCGCCGTAGGTGGGTCGCGGCGTGAAGCAGTCAAGGATGCTGTAGATGAGTGAAGGTGGGCCGCGCTCAAAGTATTCGTATGTACCGTAGGCTTTCAGGAAGCAACCTTCGTTAACCGTAAGGTGGTGCCAGGGGCGGAGCTTGAGGATGCTCGAGGGTGCAATGCCTGGAAAGCGGCGGACGGAGGAGTTGAGCTGCTTGTAGTCGACCGCTTGACCCAGCAAAGGCGAGGAACTGCGAGAATGACCGCTGTCTAGACGCAAGTCGAGAATGTGGAAACTCATGTCGCTGAAAGCCCACTCGTCTGGTTGTTTGGTTAGCGGTCTGGCGGATGTATTGGCAACCTTTTGGACCACTAGTAGCTTACCGAAAGTGTTGATTGCACAGTTCGTCAACCTTGCCATATCCGTCGGAGGTGCCACGATGACCACCCGTGACAAGTCCAACACAGACAGAAGATGCTGCCAAAAGGCCGCGGCTGCACGGTAACACCAATCAGATTCCAAATCAGCAGTCACACTTTCCGGTGTGACGGAACACATGCTGTCCGTTGACAACACGAAGCTTTGGATATCCGTATCCAGTGCGTTGCGCTTAATGAACCGGAGGAAGTCGTTAAGGCTATGATAGAAGCGGGACAACCAGCGGAGCGACTGGTGATCGAAAGAGTCATGAGCCGCAGTGCACTCTTCGGCCATCTCAACATGGTACTGGTCGACATTGCTCAATTCTGTGCTTAACTTTACCGATCCTATTGGACCACGAACGGTGCCACTGTTGCAGACCCGGCAGTCGGCCCATTGTCGCCGTGGCGAGGTGTCAAGACGGAGGCAAGCATGTTGGAAGAGTAGTGGAAGCGTTAGACGTCGCCATCGCTTTGAAAGCAGGGACACTTCCTTAAGTGTCTGGTTATCGGAGATGGTTAGTTGCAGTGACGGCTCTTCTCGGATCTTGGTCTCTGATGGCGGCGCTGCATCGAGGTAGTGGAGGATCTGAACCAGGAGCTCTTCTGGTAGGCTTCCAATCAACGAGATCTTTGAAGACGACATTGTTGCCATGATCAGCCTTTACGAGCAAGCTGTTGGTGTTGCCAATCAGCGAGTCGTTGCTCACGTGCGACTCGGGTCACTGTCGTCGTTGCGCGATGCACGGACCAGCCACTTGAGTTCGGCCCGTGTTGCCGCAAATCCAATCGCGAACTCTCCATGTGGACAGCATGCGGTATGGAGACTCTTCAACCAACCCTACCCAGAGGCGACAAGCCGCGACATGTACGAAGTAAGCGGAGAATGGTCAGACCCAGTGTCCGTTGCCATATCCCGGGCCTGGAAAAGCCATCACTCGGCTCACCTCAGACCACACGTCACAGAAGCCATGAGTGGGGTTGGAGGCCCTAAGTGGCCTCGGTATTGTTCAAGTCATCAGGCGAAGTAGCGATCATTTCTCAGCTCTGCTTGGTGCTCGGGAGACCTGCTCTCCTATCCGTCACCTTCACCCTTAAGCCAAGTATTGATACACATAGCCATGACATCGCAAAGTACGGCTACCTACCAGGGCTCCAAGCCGGCGGTGACACTCATTGACAAGCTCACTCTCGTACCAATTTTACTTCGTGCTGTCTCGTCTGCGTTGCTTCGTCTCGTAACCCGGCCTTTGACCAGCGGCGCCAAGCAGAATACCCTCTTCCGGGACGTACTCTTTGCCTTACTTCGGACGCAACTATCGAGCATCAACACAGCACAAGAGCAATGGTCCCAATCCACGACCGAGAAAGAATACAATGCATTCATGAAGAAGCGGAAGCTCGAGCCTGCAACAGAGGTCACTCAGGGTGGAGTTCGAGTGCATTGGCTTGGCAACAAGAACGCGAAGATGACCATCCTCTTCTACCATGGCGGAGGCTTCAACCTTGCTGCGACGCCAGGACACTTCGAATGGTTGTGGGAGCTGCAAAGCGATCTCAACAAGCAAGGCCGTAGTGTGAATGTCCTGGTTGTGAGCTATACGCTGGCGCCAGCAGCACGGTATCCTACCCAGATGAGGCAAGCGGTGGATGCATTTAACTGGCTCCTGCACACCAAGTCTCAGAGTTCAGAAGATGTAGGCTCCCTGTAGACAGATTCAATTGCTCCGGATTGCTAACAAGATGTATAGATCGTCTTGATGGGAGACTCCGCGGGTGCCAATCTCGTTACGTCCATCTTCTCACACATAATGCACCCACATCCCGAAGCGCCCGCTATCCATCTCAAAGGTGCAATGCCTGCCGCTGTGTTGATCGCCCCATGGGTCAAATTTGCCACGGATGACGGTAGCGTCAAACGCAATGAATCAGCAGACATGGTAACCCCAGAAGCCGCTCATCGGTGGTCATCAGAATACCTAGGTAAGTCACATCAGAATGTTTCTGATGATACCGCAAACTTACGCTGTATCTCCAGGTTCCGCGAAATTAGACAACTACAACCAAGCCAGCATAGCCGACAAGGAATGGTTCTCCGGTCTTCAAGACGTCGTCAAGGAGATTCTGGTTTATGGCGGAGGCGCCGAGGTGCTCATTGACAGCATCGAAGCGCTTGCCAAGAAGTTGCAGCATGTGCATCCCAAAGTCAAGCTGGTCGTCATGCCTGGTGAAGGTCATGATGCTCTTATCTTGGACAAGTTATTTGGATATGCCGGAAAGTCTGACGGGACTAGGGTTGTTGAGAGTTGGCTTAGCGAGTGCCTGTCGTCCTAGGTTGCATGAAGGTGGTGAACTTTGGATGCTGGTTGAGACTTCTTCATGGGATATACAGGCTCTATAGGCCAATTTAGCAGACACAGTCGCCTAATCTCCGTCGCAGAGCGCCGATGCCGATTACTCGAACTTGCTGTTGCACATCTAAGGTCCTACGGCATCAGATGCAACAGCGCGACGCTTGCACGATATGGCCCCAGAGCTTTCATAATGGTAATTATGCCTCAATGGACCGAGGCAGTGGAAGCAAGACTCTCCGAAAGACATTGCATCTAGTCGCGAAGAAGTGATTCGAAGGACGCTACAATCGAATGAGCTAGCACAAGTTCAACATGACCCTAGCCTCATCTTTGCGACACTCGCCATCATCCTCCTCGACCTTGCTCGGTATAGGCACATTCGCTAATGGCGTCAAGCGAAATGCATGTCTGCGGTCACCGGCTGCGTAGTCGAGCGTCTGCGAGTGTTGCGTGATACGCTGATCCCACACAACCACCGTGCCGGGCTCGTACCGTACACGGCACGAAAAGTCATGGCCGCGGTTGATGTGATCGAAAAGGAACTTCAGCATGTAATCTGTAGTACTGTGAGTTCTTGAAGCTTTCACGCGACCTTTCTGAGAGGTTTAGGGCTTACCTGATTCTTCGTCATCCCAGCCGACGATACTTTGAGTATACGATGAGTTGACGAACAGTGCCTTTTGCCCCGTCACGGGATGCAGCGTGACCACAGGATGTATTGACTTCGTGATGGGTCGCCTCAGCACAGCATTGTCGCCATTGTCACGGATCTCCCGTAGGATCGGATTGGCCGTGGTATGGACAGCCTTCAGCCCCTCCAGCCGTTTCCGAAAGGATGGAGACAGTCTCTCAAACGCGCGGGCCATATTCGATATGATGGTGTCACCACCCGCACCCGGTGGGCTCTCGAGCATGCAGAAGAAGGTCAATCCCGGCGGCTGCGACTCCGGAGATTGATCGACATGGAATTGGATCGGCGACTTCCTTGCCCACGATCTGCGGATTCGCAGGTCGTCTTTCGAGTCGTAGACGATCACGAACTCCACGGGTCCTTGTTGCGGATGCGGCATCCAGCCATGCTTGTGTAGTGGGCCGAAGTGGGAGGCAATGCGTTTCTGCTCATCGAAGCCGATGTCGATGTACTTCTGATCGCGGAAGACGACACATCCACGCTGAGCGGTCAGTAGGGCGAGTTCGTCAAGACCGGCGGTGGAAAGCTCAGAAACCTGGACACCTTGCAGTTCGGTGCCGCAATGAGGGCTTAGTTCGAAGGCGGTAGTGGCATTTTTCAGCAGATTGGGAAAGGCTGGGTCTGCGCGGTGGCCTGGTTCATCATGTTCGAATGGTCCGACGGGCTCGACTTTCTCCAAAGGGTCATAGAAGGGAAGGTAGTCGGGGTAAAGTGGCTGGCTTTTGTCTACCTTGACAACTTTCGGAGCAAGTTGTTCGATTGCGACAGTCATGCTGCCGAAGAATAGAGTGGATGTCTTGAAAACGTGGTAATCTAGTAAGAATGAGAAATGCAAACGGTATGCCAACCTCGACTTTGAGTGTTTTGCAGACGGGCCACACAAAGGCGCATATTGGATTTGATCAAGCCGACACTACACTGTGATTTCAACACCGACGTGTCGTCGCCGGTATCTAGAAGCTTGAATCAGCTCTATCTCGGCCGCATGTAAGCAAGAGGAGTGTCGTGGAGCATTGAGCGTTGGCTTGCCAAGAGATACGTGCTTGTGGTTCAAATTTGGCCTATCTCATTGGTTGCAGTCGCCGTATCGCCGAAGTCTCGGCAACATCTATGCTTCGGCGATGTGACCCAAGCCTTGAGAATGTTTCCAGGCACAGATTGACCAGAGTCTGGGTACTCAAGTCGTCTCGTGCGAGGCGATAAGCTGAACCCGATGTGGCTGCAATATGGCCAAGAGCTGATAGGCATTGATAGCATAAAGATGAGTTGATCAACCCACAACTCGTCGTGAAGGTAAAGTAACACTATTCTCCTCCTTCCGCGACCCTCGTGCTTTCTTAGTTATGGCCAAAGAAGAGATCATTGTCGCTCCGGCAGAGGTGAGCGGGCACACCCTCACTGGCAGGGCAGCTGCCAAGGCTGTGGAAGCCGGCCACGCAAAGGATGTGGACATTGCCGCTCAGATCATTGCCGAGCATGGCGATACCGTCGACGGCGACACCTGGCCTGCGGAGGAGGAGCGGAAGCTCATGCGCAGAGTCGACTGGCGCTTGATCCCTATCGTAAGCTTCTCAAACGCATCGCTTGGGCACATGTTCTGGAGGCTGATGTGTATAGCTCTTCGTCTGCGCGACGATGTCAGGACTTGACAAGACAGCCATCTCTGGCGCGGCCATCTATGGCCTCAAGAAGGATCTCCACCTGACCGGCCAGCAATATTCGTGGTGCGGCTCCGCTCCGTTCTTTGGTGGTCTGTTGTTTATGGGTCCTGCGGCTTACTGCTTACGACGCCTGCCGACCATCACCTTCTTCGCCATCAACGTGCTGTTCTGGGGAATCACCGAGATGTGCATGGCGGCCTGCACCAGCTTCGGAGGGCTCTTTGTCTGCCGCTTTTTGCTCGGTGGCTTCGAGGCTTTGCTAATTCCAGCTATCACGCTCGTCGTTGCAATGTGGTATCGACCCGACGAGCAGCCTCAGCGAAACAGCATCATTCTCAATGTCGTTGCTCCGATTTTGAACGGATTCATGGCTTGGCTGGTCGGATACTACAAGGGTCCTTTCGAAAAGTGGAGGATCATCTTCCTTACGCTGGGCGCATTCACTATCCTGTGGGCTGCCGTCGTGTACTTCTTTCTGCCGAACAATCCACTGGACGCTAAATTCCTCTCCGGTCGCGAAAAGTACATCGTCATCCAACGCAAAGCGGCCGACAACACCGGGGTGGAGTCCAAGACTTTCAAGAAGGGCCAGTTCTTCGAGGCCTTCACGGACTTTAAGACCTGGCTGATCTGGTTCGCCATCATCGCGCTGCAAGTGCCGAATGGTGGGCTCACTACCTTCAACACTCTCATAATCTCCGGCCTCGGCTTCGACTCGCTCAAGACTTCGCTGCTCGCCATGCCTCCTGGAGCAATGAGCACCTTATCGGGAATCGGACTGTCATATATCGCAAGTCGAACCCGCAGGTACCGGACACCACTGATTGCTGGATCCATCCTACTTCCGTTGTTGGGTGCATTGCTTTGCTACGCTCTACCACGCACCAATTTGGCTGGTCAGCTCGTGGGCTTGTACATTTTGTACACTTACTGGGCGCCGTATGTGACGCTCGTCTCAGTCTATCAAGCGAACGTAGCCGGACACACTAAGAAGACCACATTGTTTGCGTGGTATTATGTGTCTTGGGCGACTGGTAACATCATTGGTGAGCAAGCGCCTGCCGATACGAGTTCTCAGAGCATGCTGACAGCTTGCCATAGGTCCGCAGACGTTCAGAGCGGACCAAGCTCCAGTATACACGGGCGGGACGGTTGCAATGATCGTTTGCTACGTGATTGCCATTCTCTGCATTCTTGCCTACGGTGCTGCGTGCCATATTAGCAATAAGAGGAGAGCTGAGGAGATCGCTGCAGGCTCGGATCAAGACTGGCTAGACCTGTCAGACAAAGAGAACCGCAGCTTTGTCTATACCACTTGACGAGAGCCTGCGGGGTGAAGAACTAGCTAATACAATGAATGGCCGTACGGATGTTCCTTATCGATCATTGCATGCATGGCTCCCTGCAGCACGTTTCAGTTGTCTGCATCCGCGAGTAAGGTGAAACGCTGCAGCAGCCGTTCAATCATGCTTACCACACAGTCGGGAAAGTGGGACGAAATGCAGCAGCGTGGCCCAGGCTAGTGATGTTGGTGATATGGGTCGCTGGAGCGTATGGTTGCTTCTCGATGCTCGCGTGCTCTTCTCGACCGCTGAAATTATTGATGGACGTTGCATAAGCGTTGCGCGCTACCGTAAACGGCCTTGGCGGCTGTTACTTTGTTTTGCCGAACGAACTGGGCTTGACGATCTTTCATGCAACAACAGTTCTGTACAACCCGTGAACAGCGACTTGGTGGTGGTTCGGACGCCATACAGTAGTGCCTGAGGCGTAGTACAGACATGTAGAAGCAAGCTTGCTATTGACGAAGCGGGCGAAGTGCATCACGGCACGAACACAAGAATAGGATGGTTAGTCCAGAGAAGATACGCCGGCAACGGTGAGATGAGCGCCTTCATTGGCCGATGAAGCATGCGGGAGGCGCTGTCAACCCTGGCTCATGCAGCGCCAAGGTTGCGGCGCGCAGCCAATTGAACGGGCAAAGCCTCCTGTCTTGCTTTGTGCTTCGTCCTGCACTTTCTTCTCCCGTTCCATCATCACATACCACCTCCCGACCGCTTGCTTGCCTACCTCTTTATCGTTACTCGACCCGCTGCGTCCGCCATCGCATCTCTCGTCCATCATTCCTTCTTTCATCGTCGCCCATTCGGATACAATCACCAACCAGCGCACCTGCTATCGCTTTCGTCCATATTGCGACGTATTCCCCTTTTGCAGCGTGCCTGTCGCTGCTCGCCCGTTTCATCCCAGCAGCCCGCTTCGCAACGTGTAGACATCACTTGAGCAAGTCTCAGAAGCAGTTACACCACGTGTACACGATACTCATTCGAGACATTGGCACCGCCCACCGTCACGCCAACGCTCGACGTCTATACCACGCGGTCATAGCTAGCTCTAGCCGGCGACCTTACCCTCAAGCCTTGCTCGGACAAAGAGCACCTTCAATACATACATCATTCGGACACTTCCCAACAAAGAAGTCGCCATTGCCCGACGATTGAGCTTCCTTGCTTAAAGGACTATCTTTTTGTAATCCTTCAGCTCTACCCTACGCCAACCCGCTGCTTCCTTTGACAGAGCAGCCTAATTCTGGTGCCTGGCTCTGCACCGAGGGCGACATTACATCATTGCCATTTCGACACGCGGTCCGATAGCACCACTAATCAGCAGTCTTGCTTCACGATAACGTTCTGCTTCACCAGCTGCTCCTGCACACTCTGAGCGGCTCATTTTCGCTGATCAGCTTTTTGTGACGACTTATCCCCAGCTTCACGCCTTTTCACATTTGACGAACATCTCAACATGAGCATGGACGCTGGCGGTCTTGCTCACATGACTTATAACAACAGTCCTAATGGCTTCCCAGCCGGTGGCCTTGGCGTGCCCGGCGCAGGCTTCGGTAACCGCTCTCGCCTCAGCAATAAGAGGCTGAGCGTCGCCTTGCCTCCAAGGGTCAACCCGATCCAGGAGAATCTGGTCGACAATCCGACTCCGCGCACCAGCCGCTCACACCTGCTTGCAGGTCTTCGTACGCAGCCGAAGCAGACGAACGTTCCGGCTTCCGCTCCTTATCATCAGACCGAGCACCAGGTGCAAGGTCTGGGTGCTTCCCGATGGGCTAATCCAGCCTACAATAATGGATATGGCCAGAATGTCCCGCAGACTGCCACAGGCACTGGCTTCAACCTGGCCAACCAGTATGCCATGAGCGCTGGTCAGCAGATGTATGCACTGCCCGAGCAAGTTATGGCACCGCCGAATTTGTACGATCAGATGGAGGATGTTGATCCTGCTGTACTCCAGCAGATGCAAATGACCAGCTTATACCTCGCTCAGCGTAAAGAGCAGCTCCAGCAGCAGCTCGCCAGCCTTACCGCTGCAACGCAGGGAATAAGTCTGAATACCAACATGCAGCATGCCAGCTTTCAGGCTCCCATGACGCCGCAGACGCCCACGAACTACTACCCGCAGCAGCAGCAGCAGCAGCTTATGTCGCCAATCGAAGTTCAGCCTGGCTTGTTCCTCATGTATAACCCGGCCATCCAGGGCTACAGCTATGTCATGGATCAGTCTGCTCAGCAGCAGCAGATGCAGACGTCTATGTCACCAATCCAGCATGGTCAGGCAACTGCCTTTTCTCCAGCTGCTTACGAGCCGCCAACTCCAAGCGTGCAGATCTCTCCGCCGGGTACTGAGAGATCTACACCCACGAACGGGCGCTCCTTCACCCCACCCAAAAAGGCACCTTCTCCACCTTCCACGCTTGAGCACGTCGAGCCGCTTCCGCCGCCATCTGCCAACGCTTTCCGCCGCGGACACAAGAAGGCCGTTTCCTCGCTCTCTATCAATCCAAATGGTATCGTCACGGACGGGCCAAAGACGGCTTCCGCTGCGATGTTCGGCGCTCAGCGAGGCATCTACCCGCCTACGCCGGCCACAGGCACCTTTGGCCCTGGCGCTGCACGTGCCGGTGAGCACCCATTGCGTCAACCTCGTGGCCCACCGCCGCTCGAGCAGCTCACCGTTGCCCCGACGAGCAAGCATGAGGGAAGCAAGAATTTTGCCACCCGTCAGCGCCGCCGCGCTCTTGACAGCCTGATGAAGGCTGGCACGAGCCGCCGTGCTGTCTCTCGCTCCTCAAACGGCACCCCGCTTAGCGAGAGCGACTTTAATCTTTCCGTCGCTGAAGACGTTGAAGACATCATCTCCGTCAGTAGCGCTGGCAGCAGAAAGATGAGCCCGATCGGCTCGGAGATGAAGGAGAAGCGTGGCTCTCAAGGCTCTGCCGATGGCTACTTTGGTCTGACTTGCAGCTCTGCTAGCAGCAGCGAGAGCGAGGAGATGGGTGCCTTCAAGCAGCCTTTGACCCCGGTTACACCCGGCGACCGCAAGCAGATGATGCTTGGCGTCCTTTCCGCGGCTGAGAAGAGGAAGAGCTTCGTCTTCTAAGTGTGCATTGACGTGCTCTCCGAACGTACGCTCTAGCTTATCAACATCATACTATTGCTACGATATGCGATGTGGGATCTGAGATGGTTGGGTTATGACGCTCCGTGCAATGCTAGAAGCGGATCACGACAACAAAAGAGCGTAGCGAGCGCGGCGCATCACCTGACAGTTGCAGCGCACTATGCATGCGGCTGGTGCTCGATACACTGTGCATATTGATTTGTTTCTTGGCGAGCCTGTATTCTTGCTAGCTAGCTTGCAGATAACGGCCGATGATGAACCACCGTCACTCCTTCGATAATGTCTATCTCATAAACCATCTAAGTTTTCATTCTTCTTCGTGTGGATCATGCAGATGGTGAAATACACCGTGAAAGTTGGGCTTGCTGTGCGCCTCAATGGTCCTCCACCACGCAACGCGGAAAATCTTGGCGAACTTATGGCCCCACCCACAACCAATTCGATCAAGCTCTTCAGAATCTTTGCTTCACTGACATCTCGCTTGAAGGCCAGCCAGCACTGACAACATGCCTTTCGTAAGTCTCTTCAGAGCCCTTGACGGCTTGCCATGGCTTGTTGAGCCAGAGTGAGAGTCGCTGCAAGATGCTTCGGTGATGGACTGAAGCGCAAATTGCTGACTCGTGGATTGTTCCATAGACCAAGCAGACCAAGAACTCCTCGTACTTCAGGTATGATACATTAGTACCCTATCACAAGGACTACCACTGACAGCATACATCAGCCGCTACCAGGTGAAGTACAAGCGCCGTCGCGCGGGTAAGACCGACTACTACGCCCGCAAGCGCCTCACCACCCAAGCGAAGAACAAGTACAATGCACCCAAGTACCGCCTTGTCGTCCGCTTCACCAACAAGGACATCATCTGCCAGATCATCAAGTCCGAGATCGTAGGTGACAAGGTCTTTGTCGCCGCCTACGCCCACGAGCTCAAGCGTTATGGCGTCTCCCACGGCCTGACCAACTGGGCCGCTGCCTACTGCACCGGCCTTCTCATCGCCCGCCGCGCCCTCTCCAAGCTTGAGCTCGACGAGTCCTTCACTGGCGTGGAGGAGCCGGATGGAGAGTACAAGCTCACCGAAGCTGCCGAAGTTGACGGCGAAGAGCGTCGCCCGTTCAAGTGCTTCCTCGATGTTGGTCTTACCAGGACCAGCACCGGCGCGCGCGTCTTCGGTGCCATGAAGGGAGCCTCCGACGGCGGCCTCTACGTCCCTCATAGCGAGAAGCGATTCCCTGGCTACGACATGGAATCCAAAGAGCTCGACGCGGAGACGCTGCGCAAGTACATCTTTGCCGGACACGTGGCGGAGTACATGGAGACGCTCGCCGACGACGACGAGGAGCGCTACAAGAGTCAGTTCTCCGGCTACATTGACGATGAGATTGAGGCAGATGGTCTGGAGGAGCTTTATGCCGAGGCCCACAGCCAGATCCGCGAGGACCCGTGGAAGAAGGATGAGGATGAGGAAGGCGAGAAGAAGACGAAGGAGGAGTGGAAGGAGGAGAGCAAGAAGCATCGCACGAAGAAGATGAGCTATGATGAGAAGAGACAGCGCGTGCAGGAGAAGATCAAGGCGATGACCGGCGAGTCTTGAGCTCATCGCCGGTTGTAGCCGCGTGAGGTTCGTTGATGGCGTTCACGGCGAAACATTGTTATCACAATGCGATTATTGGTGCCGCCAACACTGTAGTGCTTGAGAGTGGAGCGTAGCCACTTAAACCGTAGCGTCTCCATGAATGTCATCACTCGATGCTATCACTCTACACGTTATTAAGTAGAAACTCTCGCGATAGCACATGAGTATCACGCTTGGCTGACTTAGTCAAAGACTGTTGGTGCATGTGGTTGCCGCCATGAGGCGTCGCACGAGCTTTTTGTGACATCTAATCCTGGAGACTTGCGCCACTCACCAGATCGAAGGATTTGGAGAAGGCGGCAATCGGTATGGTGTTGCACTCGATGAAGATCGTATGTAATAAGCAACTTGACACAGAGATGTGCCTCATCGACATGTACAGCTCGTTGGGTTCGTCAACAACGAGTCCCTGCCTGTACACTACCTACAAGTGCTCACAAAGGCTGTGGAATAATTGCTATCCCTTCGAAGGGGTTTCGTGCTGTCGTCGATGATCGATTGTCGGCGGTCGGGCACTTCTCCTGTGAAGACGCGACGTTAGAAGGCGTCGAATTTGATCGGCAGCCTCGGCAGGTCTCAATCTGAAGCAGAATTGTAGAAGGAACATCGCGGGCCTCTAGGACGGAATTAGGTCACCCCTGTGTGACGAACATAACGCTTCGAACTATGAGATAGAATGCTCTGCCTCCGCGCTGATCAATGCCAACGTTCGTACCCCACCATAGTGGTGAATTGCCGGTTCTGTATTATGAGGAGCGCGGAGCTTTTCGCCCGATGGAGTAGGTGGATTCGGCAGGCGACGCTTGTGGTGTTGCGGTCCGCAGGGCAGGGGCTCGTGCAGACTGCACGTCTTCCCGTCTTCTCTGCTTCAGCAGTGGGGAGATTGTCTTCAAGACGCTGGCAGACGGACGAGAAGCATTCATATGCGCACGACTCGCAATGGTATTAGACGTTATCAAATCAGATGGTGTGTGAATTTCTCTCGTCCACTTATTCTAAGCAAAACATTCGAGCCACAAAGGCACGTGAAGCTCCAAGCCAGGGGGCGTTGCGCATGGATCAACTTCATTTCCTAAGCGCAATGTCTCGGGACCATCCACATTACAGTTCGAACTCTGCGGCCGCGATGCTCAAGCGCTCGGCGGTCAAAGGGTTTGACGTTCATACATTGTCTCCTGATGAGGCGGCAAAATCGAGTGGTGTTGGAAGGTTGAACCTATTGTGTGCGTTGCGTCTGCCATCTCAGGAAACCGGCAATCTACGGCGTATGTTTTCTTGACGGCCATTGTTGTTTTTCACTCTGCATTGCGTGGATATATCTTGAACACGGCCTCTTGTCTTGCACCGTTTCACGACCGTCACGGCTGTCTCAGCAAGAGCTCCGAAACACAAGACAGCAGCGATGCCCTAGAAGCCTTCGACGAACACGGCTTTACGCGACTTGGATACGTTGGTAAACGATGCTGGTGCATCGGAAAGTGTAAATCTAGGGTTGAAGAGCACTTTACTCCTCCGACTGAAGTAATATGTCAACGACAGCGACCCTGAGTGCTCTCCGCACACGACCGGAAAGCTTTCTACCGGCGATCAAATGCTCTAGCTGCGGTGATGAGGTGGACATAGCTGCTTTGGGCGACCATGTGTGCGGCAAGACCGCATCGACCTCAGCAGTAGGAAGTCAATCTGCCGGCAATCCATACATTGGGCGGCAGATCAATCCTTACGGGCACACGCCTCATGCACCATCACCACTGCATCAGCAGAGCCAGCCAACAACACCCGTACCACAGACCAGGGTACGAGCACCAACACTGAGTTCCAGCTCGATACACACGTCGAAGTCTGCCCGACCGCCTGTTCCGCGCATCAACCCGAATGTCGCTAATCTACCCTTTCTTATGGCTGCACCAGGGCCCGCGTCACCAGTGTCGCCAGCCATGAGCGTAAGATCTGGTGACAGCAACGGCAGCCGACCACCTCCACAGCGGAAAATGAGCTGTCCAGGCCCACGGTTGTTCGACCCAAGGCCTCCTAGCCCCGAGTTGTCTGCGAACATGGACTGCGCGTTTCCTCCCTTCCCCATCACAAGGCCAGGTAGCTCAGGGAGTGGTGGCAGACCGAGTTCGTCGAATGGCAGGAACACACCGCCTTCGAGAGGTGGCTCGCGGCAGAGTCCTCGGCTGGGCGAAAGGAAAGCATCAAATCTCGGGCCGAAAAGCCCAATGAGCAATGCGGGAGAACATGTGTTGGCCAGAATGAACACCCTGAAAAGCGGCCCATTCGATCCAAGCAGGAGGAGGCCAAGCGAACATGGCGATACATCCTCGCCGCTGGATCGACGCCGCCCCAGTCTGTCAAGCTTGAAGCTCAGCAATGAGCCACCGCATGTACCGAGTGAGCCAGTCCCTCGACCATCCACTTCACATACGAACCAGTCACAGTTGTCTCGACCACTGCCAGATAGTTCTTGCAGTACTGCGACCCGCGAGCTTCATCCAATGCAAGCCAAGGAGCAACCTAAGAGCACAGACCGGACCACACAGGACCTGCTATTACCTGGCTTGCTAGAGCAGATCAGTGCGGGGCCGTTCGTAGAGTTGCCATCAATCTTCTCACCGTCACAGCCGCCAGTCCCTTCACGGAGCGTAGAGCGGAGTCAGACGTTCCCACTTCAAAATGATGGCGGTGACGCCGCAGCCATGGAGACACGACACGCACTAAACAAGACGCCGAGCGAGCCGCAGCTTCGTGGTCGTCAGCGTAGACCAACTCTTACCACCTCCCAGTCCGAGCCGTCGCAAGTACCACAAGCTCGGCAGCGAAGTCTAAGCAGGAGTGGCCCACGGATCGATCACCGACTTCGAGATGCTCCACCCGTACCTAAACCTGTCCTGTACTACCGAAAAGAGAGGATGCACTCGCCATCCGGATCCGGGTCGTCCACCGCATCCTCCTTGGGCTCACTCGCAGCATCTGGCAGCAGTAATGGCCCAAGTCCGGTAGGTAGCGAGGCAAGCAGCATTGACACGTTCTCGCCCCTGAGCTACGAATCCAGCCAGTACGTGGAAGAGGCAAGCATGCAGGTGCCGAGTCTCAAGGTCAGAGACCAGCAGAAGCCGGGCATGCGTGCTGAACAGCCTATTGACCGATCAACGCCGCGTAACTTCGCACGACTTTCGCCGCCTAAGCATATCGCCTTACCTCAGCGTGCACCAGTCATCGGAGCCGTGTTCAGCTCGCCATTTGAGTCGCCGATGGCTCCGGCGTTGCAGCCTGCGGAATTGTCTGGAACGTCCTCCTCATCGCTTGCACCTGAAGGCCGCCCTTCGCTGGCACGGACAAGCACGATGCCGAACCCTGCACAGCGTCAAGGTACCCCAGCGTTTCCAGCGGCCGAACCATCTCATCCCGCAGTGACGGCTCGCTCGGTGGAGTACGACCCCTACCGAACATCGCCTCAGTCTTCGCCCCGATCGAGCACAAGAGCTCGGTCGAAGTCGGTTGTTGGCATATCGGGCGCTTCTCTGAGGGCACGCTCGCCCCAGCCGGTGCCTCCACCGATGCCGCAACAGACCTCACGGTCCGTCTCTCCTCAATACAAACCTTTCGACCCTGGCACGTCTCGATCCCTTTCACCTCAAGACGCCACGACCCCGTCTTCGTCACAAGGTAGGACGATAACAGGGGCCAAGCCAACGTGTCGCGGCTGCAGCACCTCTATCACAGGTAAATCCGTCAAAGCTGCCGACGGCCGCCTTACTGGCCGCTGGCACAAATCTTGCTTCACGTGCACCACCTGCGCCCAACCATTTACCACCGCCGACTTCTACGTTATCGCCAACCAGCCCTACTGCGAACAACACTACCACGAAGCGAACAATTCGCTCTGCCACGGCTGTCACCGCGGTATCGAAGGTCAGTACCTTGAGACGACAAGTAGTAGTACGAATGGGAGTGTGGAGAAGAAGTTCCATCCGAAGTGCTTTACTTGCTGTGAGTGTCGGCAGGTGCTTGCGGAGGACTATTTCGAATTTGGTGGAAGGACTTACTGTGAAAGGCATGCTTTGGCGGCTATGAGAGGCCAGGCGAAGGTGGTGGTGGCAGGATTGGGTGTGCCGGATAGGAGGGCGATGACGGCTGAGAGGAGGACTACGAGGTTGATGGTCATGAGCTGAGGTGAGCGATCGTGTCGTGCACGGGATTGGGGTCCTTTTTCGTCTTGCATAGCGTTGCGTCTTCGGGTTGGAAGGAGGCAGGACGGCGCCATCACATGTTGGCTTACGGCCTGAGCGTTATTCACTGATACCCTCGTATTTTCAATGTATTTACATATACTAGCTCTACAGCAGCTCGCGAGCAACCTTGCAGATAGACCTGAGGTGCGACTCCAGCCTTTAATGTTTTACTTGAGCATCAGATCAGTTCGGTTGTCCCACAAACCCCAGCATTCGCTCGGCAAGCTTCTCGATGTCTCACCGGAGCGTAAGTGGCGATGTCAAGCTACGCCGCATGTACAACATCACCTACCTGAAGCGGACAATGTCTCGGACTCTAAACTTCTCTCTGGGCCGCACCTTACCAGAAGCTCACCGGTGCGAGCGCGAGCGCTGCGTTCACGATCTGCGTTGCATCTACGTTCCCCACTGGTCTGCTGCACCAGCCGAACTGCTGGTTGTGATGCTGCTCCGGGACGCTCCACCACAGCTCCAGTGACCTAGTGTATGGGAATACAGTATCCGAGAACCTTGGTTCGGGTACGCACCGCTTTGATGCAGCTCGCTGAAGCAAGAGGTGCACAAGTTGAGCTTTTTGTGGTGTTACGTCCCTTGCACAGAACCATTGCTGCTTCTTCGACGACCGTTTCTGCAACATCAAGCGTGGAACAAGGCGTGTCATTGTATTTTATCACATTGCTGTAGCTGGTGCTCTGAAGGCAAATATCCAGCCAGACGACAGCAGTCGACGGACTTCCAGCCGTCGCCGCCGCCGCCTCTACTACTGCTGCACCCTGCAGTTACCCGGTGTTGGCGTGCATTCGTGCTGCAACTGGCGCAGCAAGCGAGCATTGATCTTCGTCACTCTTAAACATACCCGTCTGGTCGAGCCAAGTGTCTAAGAACTATCACCTCAAAGTAGGGTGGTAAGGGTGCTGCAGCTGCTCGTGCCATCCTTCGTGGGTAAATGCACAGCTCGTAGGGGTCCTGTCACATCATCTGTCAGCCTGCAGCAGCCGGGAGATCTGCTGCTCGGCAGTCTCCGAGATCCTGCGAATGCGGTTAGACTGGTGCAACGGTCCTCGGCACATCGTTGTCGAATGGCGCCAGTTTGCCGTTATTTTGGCGGAATCCTTTGAATACCAGCACCGCCAGAGTCCAGAACGTGCGTTCTAGTCATTATCAGAACTCGTAGATAGTTCATGAGCCTGTAGAATTACGATGGTCCTGGGTAAGTAGTTATGGCAACGTACGTTACCCCCTTGACACGAGCAGTAGTACATAACCGCGGGGCCCGAGAGGATGGTTCAGGCTGCTGTCTGGGAACAATCAAGCAAAGAACATCTCAGCTTGACGATGATGATACGATTTCCATATCGCCGGCCCATGTCCAACAAAATCAATTGGTGGATAGCAGCTTCGAAATGGTGTTTCAAGCCCTTACAAGGGCCTGAATAAATTGTGCATCTTAACCCTGCAATTCATCTCCAGAGCTGCCTGTCTAGCCTGGCCACCTGGCTACGGCCGCTACGCTCGGTGTCGTACAATGTCTCTCATAGCGCCAGCCTCCCGTTTCGACGGTAATCACCAGCACAGTGTCAACAGCCTGATTGTTCTTCGTAATCGTAGTCTCTTCTCTGGTTGAGACGAAGCATAGAGGTTGATAGACTTATATCGGCACTGGCACGGGCACTCTAATTAATTGACTGTAATTGGGTGTGGCAGAGTCTATGCTTTAGCGGGCTCGAATTTGACGACGGCAAGATCGCTCGCAGTCGGCTTCTCCACTCGCGCCTCGCCGCGAAAGTCTAAATTCAAGGGGATCCTGCTGGGCCGGCCATTGCTGCTTTACCAATCAAAGCTTCCACACAACCTCCTCTGTTGCCCACCGACCTCACCCATTCCGAATAATCGACAAACAGTGCGACACTCTTCGGCGGTCGTGACGAAGGCGCGCAGATATTAATCCTGCGCCGCAAGTGAGGGACAGACGTACGACTGAGAGTACTGTTTGCCGTCGGGAAGGGGCCGGTAAGGGCAATCACTTCAGCGTGTGGGAGACAAAAGGTATCGAGACGGTCGAAACTCATACGCACATATATACAAGAGGTAAGTTCGATCTCGATACCATGCGAATGTGCTCGCAGATCGCTGCTGCCACTCAGCGCTCCCCGGCATCAAGGACTGGGATGTCGCAACAACCTTGCAGCAGTACTGCCGCATAAACGCAGATGCGCCGCCTCGAGGCTGTTCACTGACAACGTACACCCAATGTGTCATGCGCATTGAGCATCGTCAACACAGCGCTTTCCAAACGTCCGCCGCATGTGAGGGGCAATCACAAGGCTAACACTGTCCTGCTAGACGTTCCAACCCCTTCGCAGCCGTAGGGACCAACCACAGTACGCTCAGCGCAAGCATTGAATCTGAGTGCGATTCATTCCTGCCATCGTCGGCGGCCGCTAGCGCAACAAACAGGACGTACCCTGCCGCTTGCGCATAGCAAGCACCTCCGCACAAGATGGGTTGCGGTCAAAGTACGGAGTCCAAGGAGGGCAAGCAGAGAAACGAGGAGATTGAGAACCAGTTGAAGAAGGACAGGATGAATCTGCGAAATGAGATTAAAATGTTGTTGCTCGGTGCCGGTGAATCTGGCAAGTCGACCATACTCAAGCAAATGAAGCTTATCCACGAAGGTGGCTACTCAAGAGACGAGCGAGAAAGCTTCAGAGAAGTACGCACTGCCGCTCCGTAAGCTTGACAGCCTTGTTACTAACACCGTGCTCAGATCATCTTTTCCAATACCGTGCAATCCATGCGCGTCATTCTCGAAGCAATGGAAAGCCTAGAATTACCTCTCGACGACCAAAGGGCAGAGTACCACGTCCAAACCATCTTCATGCAACCCGCACAGATCGAAGGCGATGTCCTACCCCCCGAAGTCGGCAATGCCATCAAAACACTGTGGTCAGATGCCGGCGTACAACAAGCCTTTCAGCGCAGCCGGGAATACCAACTCAACGACAGCGCAAAGTATTACTTTGATGCCATCGATCGCATTATGGCACCCGCCTACGTGCCCTCAGATCAAGATGTACTCCGCTCGCGTGTCAAGACCACTGGTATCACTGAGACGACCTTCATCATTGGCGACTTGACGTACCGAATGTTCGACGTTGGCGGTCAGCGGTCGGAACGTAAGAAGTGGATCCACTGCTTCGAGAACGTGACTACCATTCTCTTCCTCGTTGCCATTTCGGAGTACGACCAACTGCTCTTTGAGGACGAGACGGTGAATCGCATGCAGGAGGCGTTGACACTGTTCGACTCCATTTGCAACAGCCGGTGGTTCACGAAGACGAGCATCATTCTTTTTTTGAACAAGATCGATCGGTTCAAGGAGAAGTTGCCCGTGAGTCCAATGAAGAACTACTTCCCGGATTATGAGGGTGGCCAGGACTACGGCGCGGCATGTGATTACATTCTCAACCGCTTCGTATCGTGAGTATTCTCATCACTGGAAACATTGTTCACCCGACAGAGTGCTGACAGTGCTATCATCAACTAGGCTGAACCAACATCCGACCAAGCAGATCTACACGCATTTCACCTGTGCAACGGACACGATGCAGATACGCTTCGTGATGGCGGCAGTGAACGACATCATTATTCAGGAGAATTTGAGGATGTGCGGCTTGATATAACCCGCCCCCTTATCCCTTCCTTGAACCGCATGCAATCGTACTTTGAGCGCGTGCTAAACAATCGGATGCTTACAGGTCGTATCGAGTGTGAGCGGAACGGTACTGGCGTACCCGCAGCAGGCTTTGACAGTATATGGAGCGGGCGCGAAAAAGATGGCGGGCAGTGTACGGATGTAAGGTTGCGACTGAAGCGAGAGGGGCGGTTGAGCGACACATCCTCGCTCACCGACGTGTGATAGAGCATTGATCTGAACAGATACCACGGATTCCCTATGGGGGGGGGACTTGGGGCGTTGATGGTGAATAGGCTGGCTGGTTGGCTGGCTGCCCACAGTACGTACGTTGTGGCTCTGAGTCTTAGTAGGAAATTGGCGTTCCATGTATGGCTCTCAAGAACCTGCTATACTGTTTCGATGGTATCGTAGATGTTCTGGAGAGTGATTAGCCTTGGTGTGGACAACAAAAGGTACTCGATACGCGGAATTGCACCGCGTTACAGCAGCTCACACTTCTTGGTGACACAAGTCATTTAAAAGCTATCATATCCTCCACTACTCACGTGCTCGATCTTCATCATGTCGTGCGGTACCCGCTCCTTTCGTACTATGGGGTAGCATGGAGCTAACTGAACAAATACCTGCTGTCCATTGAGGGTAATAGTGTGCGGCCTCGGTACCAATGGCTCAAGTATCAGAGAAGGTGCTGTCGTGGCTATACAGCGTGCTTCATGTGCGTCGACCTGCTACCTCGGCGCGGACATTTGCTGAATTCATGTAGGAATACAATGACCCTCAGCGCACCTACTCCGACGCTGCACGCATCCTCTCTGCCTACACCTCTATCAGTCCTCGCACTGAAGTCTATACATACGACAATGGCACCTCTGCTCTTCTACTCACACTCTCCGGCACCCTACCGGTCGACTTTCGAGGCACAACATATCGCTTTCCAATCAAACTCTGGATCCCACAAGCCTACCCCCAGGAAGCGCCCATAGCATACGTCAACCCGGGCATTGACATGCTGATCCGGCCAGGCCAGCATGTAGGTGTAGACGGAAGGGTATATCACCCGTACCTGCGAGACTGGGAACGCATGTGGGATCGCGCGAGCGTGGCGGAGTTCCTTGGGTTCTTGCAGCAGGTGTTTGCGAAGGAGCCGCCGGTGATCAGTAAAGCGCACCAGCAGCAGTACTATCAACGGCAAAGTGCGGTTCGACCAACGGGTCATGGTGCAAGCCCAGCGCCACCCAGGTTGCCTCCAAAACAGAGAGTAGGCGATGCTGATTTGACGGAGATGTCACCGATGAGCACGCCGGGTCCACCTGCACGGCCACCGAAGCCGGGAGAAGAACGTGTGGATTCGTACCCTCAGCGGACGTCTTCGCGGAATGTTGCGAGAGACGGTCCCCCTCTTCCACCTCTGCCTCACAACCAGAGAGAGGGTGAATCAGCTACATTAAGATCACATCAGAATCACAACGCTTCCGCTGGGCATATGTATCAATCGAGCTATCAGAATGGGCGACCGCCTGGTCCGCAAGTGCCACCACTACCTGCGCACTCCGAACGGCATCATGAGCACCTGAGATCACAGCACAACCGTAGCCCGGTCTCCCCAGTCTCTCCCGTCAACGGCTTCGCAAAGCCGGCAGATTACAGGTACTCACACCTCCCTCCCCCGCCGCCACCGCATTATGCTCAACAGCAGCCGCATTACCAACCTTCTGGACAACCTGCACCGCCACTAGATCAACGCTTATCGCAGCAGCAAGGCCAGTTCCACGCACAACAGCAGCGGTATTCGCAAGCTTACCAACATCCACCGAGCCAACCTAGGCCGTATCAAGCACAGCAGACACCAGCAAAGCAACCGCAGAAGGTACCGGCACCGGACCTGCTTTCCGATCCTTTTGACGTAGCACTACCTGGCCCTGGTGTTACCGGTCCGCCAGCACCAGCGCCGCCCATACCGCCGAACCCGGAGAAAGAACACTTGCTACATGCCATCTCCACCTCGCTAGTTCAACAGGCCCAAGCCAAAGTCAACCAGAATCTATCCGCTCTCGCACCATTGCAAGCTCAGCACGCCGCTCTCCGCTCAGCCTACCAAAACCTCCAGAACGAAATCCGGACCATGGAAGCGCTTTCCCAGACTCTCAACATCAACGAGCAGATACTGCGCCGGAACATCACAGACTGCGATCGCACAATCGCCACTGCCAAGACTAAGCCGCAGCCAAATATCGACGAAGTGCTGGTCGCTCCTACAGTCGTCGCGCAGCAGCTCTGGAACGCCTGCGCGGATGTGGCGGCCGCAAAGGAAGCGATGTACGTGCTGCAGAAAGCGGTTGATCAAGGACGGATCAGCGGGCAGGACTTTGTGCGGCAGATGAGAGCGCTGGGAAGGGAGGTGTTTGCTAGGATGGTGCTGGCGAGGAAGTGTGCCAGAGGTTTGGGCTTGGAAATGTGAAGGTTGTAGCTTGGCTTCAAAGCTTTCCTGGCCCCGGCGTCTCGAAAACGTCCATACCATGGCTATTGCCTACACGAAGCAAAAGCCGCCGTCCTGCGTCGCCCAGCACCCAACCTGAAAGTCCTTACTACTCACCCCATCAATCTTCTCCGCGCTCTCACTAAACGCCCAATAAACCTTCTCCCATGTTCTCTGCTCGCTCTCGCTCCGGTGAAAACGATATTGCTTCGCCAACCTCGCGAAGTTGATCCGCCAGGCCCGCAGATTGAAGTCCGCGGCTTCAAAGCTACACTGATATTCGATCCGTGCCGCCAACTTGGGAGGCACAGCCGGCTCCTGCATCTCCTTCACAAAAGCTTCCAGATTCGGTAGTTGCATCGCATTGGTCATTCGGATCCTGAAAGTAATCTTGCGCTCCAGGTCTGGAGCTGGAACAGGAATGTGTTGCAGGCTGTGGATCAAAGACCATATGTTGAAGTTTTCGTTGCAGATGATTATCTGTGTGGCATACGCTAGGGAGAGTGTGGTGAAGATTGAATTGAACTCCAGCTGGGTACGGTGGCAGACAAGGCTAATGGGTGCTGGCACGGTGACAATCTGGTGGGGTGAGAGAACGATGACTGTCTTAGAGGTGTAGGCCAGGTACGCGTAGATTTGGTTGCGGATCTCGCCGGGCAGCGCGAAGAAGGGAGAGTCCGCCTGGTGAGCCATGTTATGGTAGGGATTGTTTTCGAAAGGCGGATCCGTCCTTGGAGGCGACAAAGACGCCTTCGAGATTTCGATGGCAGCCGGCAGGGCCTTAGATATTGCCAGTGCCAAAGCCATAGTAACTGGGGGTTGGAAGGCTGACGAGAGAGAGTAGAGGAAATAAGATGGGACAACAGTAGGGCTGAGTGAGACTGTTCGTGAGAAGACGTCTGATACGGAATTACCATACCTCGCTCTATCTGACCACTCTTCGCTACATTGATGGATGGTGCAGCCGTGCGAGCATAAGTCTAGGCATGTTGCGTATGCCGGCGCCGTCGCCTGCATCACGGTTGGGCACTGCTCCGCAGCCCATCCGTAGCAGACCACAGCCATAGCCATAGCCGACCGGTCCACGACCCTCACGTAAGCTTACGGGGATGTGGTGGTCTTTGCGATTAGCCGACCGGGGCAATCCTACGTCCGAAAGAGGAAACCGCTCGTCCGTGCCCGTGTTTAGCGAGGCACTTAGTCAGAACTCTAGATGCGGTCTCCTTTACGACAAGCAGGTAGGTGCGCTTTCGCTTCGCGAGAAGATAGCTGCTAACTTGAAAAGGCTCGTCGAATGCGGACATCAAAGGTGTCGCGTGAGACGCAGCGTGTTACGTCCGCATTGACCTCAATCAAGCGTGCCGGCAGTGGTACAGGACATGCTCGTAAACGAGTTGAGGTGGGCGATGGACTTACTGGTGATGGAACGAACACTACTCGATCAAACGATTGGTCAATATCTGGCCTAAAGGACCGCTTGTCGGAAACGCAAGCATCGTCTACAGTCTTACCTTCAACTACACTCGGGAAGCGGAAACGGGAGGGCACTTCAACCTTAGCGACAGCGAACATTCAGACGGACGTCACCAATGCAACAGCACCCCGCAGGTCACCTCGCAAAGCAGCGCAATCCGCGGACCATTATGCTCACACCGACACAACTGGTAAAGCCCGTCGTCAGCCCGCTAAGCGCGTTAAAGGCCCCAAGGGCGAGATCGCCGTCGAACCGCCGCCAAACTGGGAGCGTGTCTACGATGTTACGGCAGCAATGCGGAAGCGAGTGCTCGCTCCAGTCGACACGATGGGTTGCGAATCCCTAGCAGAGGACCACAAGCCGCCCCGTGACCGACGTCTGCAAACGTTGGTGTCGCTCATGCTGAGTAGCCAAACAAAGGACACTGTTACCGCCGTCGCCATGCGGAACCTTCAGCAGAACCTACCCGGTGGCTTCTGCCTCGAAAGTCTCCTGAAAGTTGAGCCCGAGCAGCTTAACGAGCTCATCGGAAAGGTTGGCTTTCACAATAACAAGACCACCTTTATCAAGAAAGTGGCCGTCATTCTCCGGGACCAGTACGACGGGGACATCCCTGATACGATCGAGGGTCTGGTGTCACTTCCTGGTGTCGGACCGAAGATGGCTTATCTCTGCATGTCAGCAGCCTGGGGTCGGGATGAAGGCATTGGTGTTGACGTCCATGTTCATCGGATCACTAATCTGTGGGGCTGGCACAAGACCAGCACGCCAGAACAAACGAGGGCTGAGCTCGAGGCCTGGTTGCCGAGAGATAAATGGCACGATATCAATCATTTACTCGTTGGCTTCGGACAGACGATCTGTGTGCCTGTAGGACGGCGATGTGGAGAGTGCGACCTTGCCAAGGAGGGTTTATGCCCGAGTGCAGTGGCAAGCAACCCAGTCAAGCGAAAGGCGAGAACGAAGATCGAAGTCAACGTCGATGAAAGTGAGGCAAATGTCGTAAAAGTAGAGAAGGTCAAGGTGGAGCAAGATGAGATTGCCGTTAAGGTGGAGGCTGTCGTCGGAGATGGATCTACGCTGGAAGACGTGCGTACATTTACCGAGGATGCCGAGCGGCCAGGTACAAATTGAAGGCTTGATAGTGACTAGCTTGTCTTGACACCTTTCCTCAAAGACATCCGCATCCGTAGCTTTGTGATACAGTTCACGATGGAGTCGTATCCGGCTCGAGTTGCCGTTTTGACACCTTAGGCAACCAAATGTGCCTTCCGCTTTCGCCAAATTAACACTTCACGCCGCGGCTGTTGCTTTTAGGTGAGTACGACGGTCTGTAACAGTACCTGATGTAGTACCGCGAAAACGTCACCCGCCCGCTTAGTTGTGTCAGCCTAGCATGCCTTCATCGGAGTATTCGAACGCCATCGGTGGCGGTCTCAAGCTGAAAGGCGCGAAAGATGCGGGCGTGAAGAAGCCGAAGAAGAAGTCCTCGATCAAGCCAGTAGAGACGCAGAAGCCAAGCGATGCCGAAGAAACGGGCACTTCCCTACAGAAAGCGCTCGCGGAAGAGGAACAGCAGGGTCACGAAGATGGCGCGGTGAAGAAGGAGCGAGAAGCCGAGGTGAAACGGTATGGCAAAACGGAGGCCCAGCGTCGATACGAGGAGAGAAGGCGGAAGAGACTCGACGAGCGCTTGAAGCGAGAGGGTATCAAGACGCACAAAGAGCGGGTGGAGGAGCTCAACAAGTACCTCTCCGGCCTCAGCGAGCACCACGATATGCCGAGGATTGGGCCTGGTTAATGACACCCCACATACTATCCAAAGGTCTATCAACAAGCCCGTGCTCCACTAGTCAGTAGTGGAAGCGAAGCCGTATGTCCAAACACCAGGGACGGAAAGTTCAACTTGCTGCGCCGTCGTGAGCGGCATACGCGCGGTCGGCATCCTGCCGGCCGCGAAGCTGCTCAGAGTACGCCACGCGGATTCAAGCCTGCCATGGAGCGAAGTCATGGTTCGATGGAGAACAGACCCAAGTCTGTCGCTATCGCAACTGTAGAGGAGCGGAGAATACCTGACGCAACCCCTAGTCACACGATACAGCATTGGGAGACGGCCATTCTGAGCCCGAGGCGAAGATGAATGCTCAGCGCAAAAGCTTGATGCACTACGTGTGCCATGTCTGCGCTATGCTAAGCGTCTCATCAGATTACAATTAAAGCGTACGCCCATCCCAAATAACGCCTCAACAGATCAACCATCTATGCCTGTGTGAACCAGTGCTCGTAAGTAAACCTGCACTCACATCGCCATAATGCCTGCTTTCCGCGCGTCTGGCTGCCCTTCGTTCGATACTGCTGCCTTTGCTCTTCACTTCGGAAGCCTGGGATTCCGCGACTGTCTGCAGCGCTCACGGCAGGCCAGGAGGACCTGTTTCCACCAATGTACACTCCACCATATAGGCCTCCCGTTGACCAGTTGGCGGCACCGAGACTGACTCCTAGCCAGATCTGACACTGTATGTTCGGTCGACCAGCATGCCAATCTTGAGCCGCTGCATCTCCAAATCATCGTCAACCCCCGCGCCACGCATCATCATATCGTTGCTATGCGATGGGTTTCTGGTGGTGGTCTGGCGACCGCTGTTCCCACCATACGGCACATGATCATCATAGTCGTCTCCGATAAGCGTGTCAAGCGTGTCCGACGCCTTTGCACTGCGCGCTTTAGTTACGGAGAAGTCTGTTGCGCCAACTGGGACGGCGCGATGAAAGCGCTGATCAGCCCGGCCCATCTTCTCGTTGTTCGTTTGAGCGCTTGCCCACATGCCGGAGAGGGGCAGGAAAGTGGCGACAACGGTGGGGACCATGCTTCCAATTTGCGAGCCGCGGGAGGCGTAGAAGCTGACGATAACAAAGATCACTACAGGCCACTGTCAGCGATGTGATGATGGCTGTCTTATGATTAATGTGCACTTACAGGGTATCAGCATGGTTTGGCAGCCCATAATGAAGATGATCTGGATGGCGCCAAAGTTCTTGAGGTTCAGCGTGCGTCTCGTGTGGATGGCGACGCCGAGCTTAGCGACGAAGATCGACGAGAAGAATGCAATCGCCACCACTGTCAAGATGTCGCTAACCCGTTTGAGGTGGACGATGAGGTTAAATTGTGGTTCGGTCAGAGTGTTGATGCCGAAGATGGAGTACTTGATGTTGACGACAGCCAGTGCGAAGCGAACTGCAACTGCCGCCAAGCCGACGGCCGCAGAGCTGAGGAGGGCGCTGGTCCTGACTAGCGTGTGAATAGTGCAGCAGACAATGTGAACCTGCACGACAAGCGAGCTGAAGATGGCCACATCGATCGGGATATTGAGGACTTCCGTGGCCGCAGAAAGATCCATAGCGCGCGACAAGGCTGGCGACTCGGGATACCAGTGCAGCTCCCAGTTGTAGAAGTTGTAAAAGATCGTGGTCAGCTGGACGCAGGACAAGACGTTGCGGGCGAAGATGAGCAGCAATGACAGCGAATTGAGGATGAAGACGAGGCTGCGGCGCTTGTCGGGCTTGGTCATGATGAGCAGGATCAGCAGAAGCAACCCGGAGATGCCGACTTGCGTGCCGTAGATGATGCCCTGAGTAACCGAAACAGTGTTCAGTGCAAGTACATCGCCGAGAAGAGCCGGGAAAGGAGTGAGGCCATCTGGCTGCAGAAGTACGAAGGTCTGCGCATACGGATCGAAAGTGGCGTTATTCTGCCAGCCGTTTGAAGCCATTGCAAAGCGTCAGTGGGGAAGAGATTCTGCTGATGTTGGCTCGCGTGAGGTCACCGCGTAGGGAACGCTTGCTTGTGGCAACGGACCTGCTCAGTGGCGTCAGACAGTCTACCTCGCCCAGTGGGGTAGCGATGAGGTTGGTATTGGCAAGTTGAGCTCAGGCAAAGATGATATGGACAGTCAACGGATGAGCATTGTCGCAGGTGCAGTCTGACTGGTCCTCTTGTAGTCCTTCAGACAATTGATCGGAGCACAATACTTGGGTAGTATTGTGACGGGATATTGCTCCTGCGAAGCTTCAGTACCTAGAGGCGTGAAGGGGTGCACAATCCCAAGCAAACAATATGAATCCTCAGCAGCGATGAGCGTGATGCGAAAAGAGAGAAGGAAGTCACATGAAGGGTTCGCAAGCGACAGTGATATCATGCCAGTAAGCATGACGGAAAGGAAGGTGCAATGGAAGAAAGAAGTAGTGAACAACCGACACTGCATGGACCACAACCCCCATGTCTTTGATGTTCCCCTGCAACATATCGCACTGCGTTGGGCCAGCCAAGAGTGAGGTGTTCGCCGTCGCTATGGCAGTTTCACTTAGTATTGTTCTTAGCCGAAGCATGTGGAAAGCCGAGCTTCGACAGGGATGAGTTGGCAGGATCTGTCTCTGCAGTGCACACTTTCGGACAACACCATCGGGTATACCTAGCGCACGGAGTGCCATAGTCAGAGCATTGATGAGAGGGACAAAGATGCATTCACCGATGAATTCGCGAGAGGGAAGGGGCAGGTGCAGGTGCAGACCTGCCCGCCAAGCCCAGGTTTACGCGCGCCTGCTGTCTCACAAGCGCAGCTTCCCACTCAACCTCACTTCACGCTCAACGATGTGCCATTCAGCAAATTCATGTTGTCATGTGAGGCTAGCTTTAGACTTTCGATGTCCATGCCCGGCGCGGCAGACGAGGTGAAGGAGAAGATTGTTCTTCGTTGTATGGGTGCTGTCGGACGGATCTTCGAGCACTCTTTTCCAGTCGGTTTTGAAGACATCGTCACCCATTTCGTTCGGGTAGGCGCCGAAGTCGAGATTCACGGCGCTTTCACATCCGCGTCGCTCGCGCGTGACGTTTTAGCGCGCCTTTGTGAGTGATCCCGAATGACATCCACCAAGTCCTCGTTAACGGGCGATAAGTCTTTCAACCTCCCAACCAACTCCTGCTTCAGCCGTTCGTGGAAGGCTGTTCTGTCGAGTCGCCACCCTCTGGGTCCTTTGCGTCCTCTTTCAGCCACGGTGAGAGTCTGGTCATATCGCGCAGCTTCGAGCGGGAATTTTGCGGCATCTTCTTGAGACCTGGTGACACGGTCAGCTTCACGCAACCGCACTTCAGCTGCCTCGTTCAGCGTGCCGCTATCATGCCGCCTCCACTTCTCCAGATTAAGGCCGGTAGCGGCTCTTATGATGCTGATGTCGAGTCAAGAGATCCAACTATGCAGCCAAAGTCTACAGTCCAAGGCGGTCAGGCTGCGCGCTCCTTGTTTAGTCCGCACGACGAGCTTGAAGCACATGATGAGCCTGAGGACCAGGACGCGCCCGAAGACTCTGGCACGGACGAAGAAGATGATGCGACCAATAACTCATCTACCATTTCCACAGGTGGGAACCCCGGCAAGTATGGTACCCCAGGTACCACCACCACGACTTTGGACGTGAGTACTCGCACGATCTGGGAGACGCCTGGAGTTAAGGACAGCTTTCCGGGAGTTGAGCGGAATGGCCATCCTACCACGTCCGAACATTCGGAAGGCGCCACACCAACGAGTAATGACGGCGCGGCAAAACACTTACACAATAGCCCATCCGTCGCCAAACATAACCGCGGCTCGCAACAGAACAACACTCAGACTGGGGCGGGTACTCTTGCAAGGAACGTGGACGTTATTTCAGCTTCGCCTTCTGCAGCCGATGACAAGTCGTCGCAACCGAACAGTCCAGCCTGCCACTCTCCCGCCGGGGAGACGACGACTGGCGGCGAATCTGGAGCCGAGGACGCCGCTTTGCTGACCACAGAAGAGAGAGCGGACTTTACCCATGTTGTCGAAGATAGCCAGAACATTGTCGTGGCGAGCAAGTCCGCTATTTCCCACGAGGCAGATATGCATCTAGAGCATACAACAATGACTTCCGAATCTCCTACTGAGCACGGTACGGCTCATGAGGCAGCAAAACGCTCTGTGCAGCAGAAAAACCTCAAGCGTGCGCGTAAAGCAGCAGACAAGCTTGACACCGCCCGCTCAGGCAAGCGTCAGCGAACGCGAAGGGCAGCCCCCGCGCTTGGAGAACCTGACAGTGACGCAGCGTCAGTTGACAAAGGTCCACGCAGGTCAGGCAGAGCCGCACCGAAGCGCCGGAAACCGAGTAAGACCACGGCCACTGCAGACGTATGTGATGAGCTAGACACCGCGACAGCGAAGAGAGGTAACAAGCGTACGGGTAAATCGGCACCACCTGCTCAAATCACTGCTCCACCGGATTCACCGGGTGCTACACCCACTTCATCTGCGACGCCGACAGCTCAAGGGAAGTTGGCAAGAGTCCTTCTCAGCCAGACAGCAGTCAAGAACGACAGCAAAGCCATCAAGTGGCTGAAGTCAATGCTTACCGTGACCGAGGAGGTTCCGACAAGACGCTCCAACTTTGCTTGTGTAGTAGGCAGATCATTGCCAACTACGGCGAAGGTCTTGCGTACAATTGCGCTCGGCAAACCCGTCATTACCGAGAACTGGGTAAGCCAATCTCAGATTGCCAAGGAGCTCCTGGACCCCACTGACTATCTTCATCCTGGCGTGAGGGACACAGCAGGTGATGATAGAAGCTTGCTGTTCCAGGGCAAGACACTTTTCTTCACAAATGCGTTGCATGCCGAGTACGGCGAGGGCTGGTCCAACATCAAGGCTCTGGCGAACGAGTGTGGTGCCTCGCGTGTTGAGAAAGGTACCGCCGGCAAAGCAAGCGAGGTCACGCCACGCAGCGAGGTCATTATCTTCGGTCGAAAGGAGAACGACGAGTCTGTCCTGCGGCTGACGATGGATGGACGAACAGTCTACCAAAAGGACTTGCTGACGCAAAGCGTTCTTCGCAATGCGCTAGATCTTGAGAGCGATGAGTTCATGCTAACTGGTCATGGCGGAAAGGCAGATGGTAAGCGGAAGAAGTGACCATGCAAAGACCTGATTCGGAGGACGTGCGCATTCGAATGCGGAGCGTGGGGTGTCGCTGGCATAGTCAAAGGTCGCATTGCTTAGCATGGCGTTGGCGGTTGCTCATCTGGCGTTCAGTGATTGCCACCAGATGGGGTACAAGCGCAACGTTTCCGTAACGATTACCCAGCTATGTTCGTGACGCCGGGCTGTTCATAGATCTCCAACTGCCTCCTGCCCTTACGCAGCATGAACTCGATCGTGCCAAAGTCCTTCTTGTCCATCTTGACGTGCTTCTCAAACTCACGACGAGCGAATGCCGCAAAGTTCGGCCGCGTGCCTGCAGGTTTGGTGCGAGTGGCACGGAGGCAGCTGCGGTACAGGCTCAAGACGTCTTTCTGGAGGCCTGAGAGCTTGTTGGGCATACCGATGGGTTCGACGATAGGATGGCCGGTTTGCAAGCAAGAACGAATTGATGGTCGCTACGCAAGTCAAGGCACGAATGAAGCGGAAAATTCCGCCTCCTTGTCTGCATGCGCCTCGCGTCTTAACATGGGTTTCATCTCGGTTCACCAATACCATTGTTCCCTGTATCGCTACAGCTGCTATTATGGATGGTCAATTATTGCGGTGCTACCTGCTCGAGCTCCCAATCGAACTTCGTGAACAGATCTACGAGACTGTATTCGCTTTGGACGGTCAGCGCACGTCAGATCGCCTCGATCCACTAAGCCTGGCGCGAGAGCCAAACATTACTCGTGTTAGCGAAGCTGTTCGCAGCGAAACTCTGCCAGTCTACTATGGCATGCGGGTGCTTGACGTGTACACGCTCGTCAAGTGCGATTCCAATAGCATCGTATGGCTGACTACGCGGAAATGGTATCACAATATCCCCAATCGCATACGCTTGGTTCGAACGCTGGTGCTTCGCTTTGCCTTCGTAGAACGATACTTCGGCGAACCGGTCGAGGTTCAGTTCATGATCCGCCTGAACAAGGGTGAGAACAGCTTTACAATGAAGCATTCGTTCGCCCACGGATGGTGGTCAGATGCTCATCGTAAAGGTGATCCCGCAGACTGCGAGGAGGTTGTCCAAGCTATCAGGGGCCATATCATGAGTACGCTCACTGCTGCCATCGGAGATCATGGAGTCGGCAACCTCACTTGCGAAGACATTGACTGTATGGCCGCTGTTGACCCGAAGAAGCTTCCTATCTGAGTCGTATGTGGCAGGTCCTCGTCATGCGGCTGATCAAGTGGGCGTAATAACGTATCCACACTCCTGCATTCGGCTCCAATGGCCATGAGCAGGCTACACACTCTGATCTTTGCCATCAAACAACAGCTCCGCGTTATCTACCAGAACCTGCTGCAATGGCACGCCCTCCGCTTCTATACAGTCGCAGATAGCCTCGAGATAAGGCGCCACATCAAGGCCATCGAACCTCGTATGTGGCCAATCAGTGGCGAAGACACATCTATCTGGTCTCAGTTTGAGGACCTCGCGCATTAGGCTGCTGACAAGCGGATGCCGCGGGTCTTGACTTATGCGATACGTGCCTGAGAGCTTGACCCAAGTCTGGCCTTGCTTGAGCAGCCTCGCAACGGAGTGGGATCCCGGCATAGCTTCAGCGTCCCGTGCAGCATCAAGGGATGTCGCAGACGGGTGCCCAAGGTGAGCAATGCAGACTTTGACTTCTCCGAGCTCTGCCATGGCAGCCTCAAGAAGCGGGATGTCTTCAATAGCGATATACAAGTCGAGTACCCAGCCGAGTGGGCGGACGACATCCGCATACTTCTGCAGTTCGGCAATGAGCGACGTTTGCTCAAGTTTTGCGCCGACTGACTTGAAGTTCAGCCGCACGCCTCGTACGCCAAGATCGTGCCATTCCCGCAGCTGGGCGGCTGAGGTCGTCTCGGGATCGAACTGAACCACCGCTCGACCGTGAGTAAGCCCAAGAGTACGGAGACCGTCGAGAGTGCAGCCATTGTCGTTGCCATAGATGCTGGGCTGGACAATGATCATCCGTTCGATACCGAGCTGGCTCAGAAACGCTTTCGCTTGATCGAGCGTATGTGGCTGCGCTTGATATTGAGCATTCTTGGCCAAGCGAAATGTTCGAGGATCCACGACGTGCATATGAGTGTCCCATGTCCTTTTCGGGATGCGAGCAGCCAGTTGAGCAACACGAGAGGAGGTTGAGTGCTCGCATGCCATGAATCGCAGCGTGTGGCTGCACGAGCGAGATGCTCCCGCTATGGCTCTTGACAGTACTGTGGATGCTCGGGGAGTGGTGCTCATGTTGTCACCTTCGTCAATTCCGAAACGACGATCCTGACGTTGCAATATCGGTAGAGCTGAGCTGTGGAAAGTTCATGCTGCATTACGGGCGGATCAGGAAAGGCTCCAGCACAGATGCACTACGCGACACGTTCGTTTTGACGACGCACTGAGTTCATAGACCACGGAAAAAGCAGATGCGCCGGTCACGAATGCAAGTTCTTTTGGATTAGAGTGTCAATTGAAGCTTACCGGGGTAGCAAGCCTGCTTACTAATGGACACTTTCTAGCAAAGACAAAAGGTATGGTGAATTTCCGCAGTGGCATCGATTCTACCAAGCCACCAATTAGACTTTGAAACGCCCGGTAGACGACTATACGAAGCTCAATAGCTTCGCCCGTTGATAGCTGTCATTGATGGAGCGGATCTCAACCTGCTGAATATCATTCCACCCACGGCCGCAGCGCTTGACTCCGTAGTGTCTTTTTCGGAATGTTCAGGACATTTATTGGGAACAAGCTGGCCCTGTGATTCAAGGAAGAACTCAGACACCTCGAACTCATGGTGCGGACCAAGCTCAACGCAAATACGAGAGTTTGTGGACGATGCGAGCTGTGGCCAGCAGCTATTGCACCAATGATGGCCTAGAAACTTGTCCGACTCCTGAGCCTCGGACAGGCGTATGATACTCCGGCAAAGGTTGTTGGAGCAGCACACAGTCGGGTCCATGACCGGCCACTGCTCCCGGAAGTCCATCTTCCCGGAGATGAGCATCTCGGCATTGCTCTGAAGAGACAATTTGCGGCAAACATCATTGCATTTGTGCGTTGCGAAGAAGAACTTGAAGCCCTCCTCGTTGAGATTGGTATCATTGAGCTTAAATCTTTCGGGATCCTTTGTCTGAATGGCAGGGTCGGTCAGCAGATGGCCTGATCCTTGAAGATCGGTGACGAGGAAATGTCCCCATGAGCGTTCGAAAGTGAAATGCGAAAAGGCTTGTGCCATCTGGTTAAAAGGATCATCCCCCAACTCTTCGTTGACATAAGCGGAGTTGGTGTTGTACTTCACGTAGTCCCCCTCGATGAAGGGCTCGAGCGACAGGTACGCTGCATTTCTACTCCCAGCTGTGTTCGGCGCATGCTGTAAGCAGGAAGTGACAATAAAGTCCAGAGGAGGGTCCACCTTCAGGAGACCGTTGAACTCTAGTGCGAATGCTTTGCACAATGCTTGGATCCGCATGTCTTCTGCCGCTTCGGCCAGACCTTTCCCATGCTTCTTGAATGACTTCATCACGTACCGGCCGCTGGAGGCAGCCGTACCAGCGTAGGCAGCTACCCGAACCGAGCCTTCAGCGAAAGGTTTAGAGCGAGCGTACAGAGTCAACCTCGTAACATTGAGCTTGATGTTCTTGTCGTCCGCCATCATGTCGCTCAAGGTATTGGCGTTGTGAACAACAATGGCTGGACAGAATCCGTCCACCTGAAGACGAAGGTCGAGCCATCCTGGAGTGGTCCATTGCGGCGGGAGGTTCTCGAGTGTCACACTTCCCTCACTGCTGTCATTACGCCGGCCAACATGGTCGTCCTCTTCATGGATGGCGGCGAGGTCCTCGATGGTGGATGGATTGACCGATCTGATGGCCCTCGACACCGCCATTGAAAGTCGGCCCGCCGTTCGGGAGGCTGAGCTGGTTACAGTCTTCACTACCAGATGCCGAAGCTGACTGTATGTTATACCAAGTTGTAGCTCCTCAAACTGCGGCGCGGTTGCAGCGCCAGAGCTGCGCTGACTGTTAGTCATGGATTCAAAGCTTGCGTCAAGTATACCATGATATTTGTTGTTCGCATGCAGCTTCGCGTTGCCCCGCCCATAGCTGCGGGCGAACACGAGGCCCATGCGGTCCGTATGTGTAGTGATACGGAGTAAGGCGTAGTTGATGTTCAAACGTATGAGCTTTCGCAGCAGCGGCCCGTGCGTCAAGCCACAAGGCTCGCTCTCAGTATGATAGTACCGATCGTCCGATTCCTGGCCGTCATGTAACGTGCGCCCATGCGGCGGTGAATCTCCGATGTGAACAATGCAGCGTGTCTGGTGTTTCCACGATGCATTTACTGCTTGCTGAAGACCGCCGAGGACATCTTCCGGCCAGTCCCTACCCCAATCCAGGCACAGACAGTCTAAAAATTCGCGTACCTGATCCGCAGAGGAAGTGAAGTCCAGAAATTCAATGTTCGGCGTCACTCCGTAGTCCTTGTAGCTGACGACCGCAACGCGTACCTCCGCCTCGTCAAGAAAGGCTTTCTTTACATCGGCAACGATGGCCTTGACTTGCTCCTTCGCAGCTTCGATATACGGACCCATGGAGTTAGTGGCATCCACGAGGAACAGCAGATCGGTGGAGCATGCCGCTCTGAATAACCCTTTCGTATCCTTTGGCGGTAAGCGCGCGTTGGCCCGATCTATTTCTTGTTGTAGCTGGTGTTTGCGAGATTTTTCCGAGTTCTCTTTGGTACGAGAAGAGGCCTCCGGCGCAAAATACACGGCGGATCGCTTGCTGCGGTAACTCGGTGGCGGAGATCTGCTCGAACCCACTGAAGCCATCAGGGACGGAAGTGGAGTACCATCGAGGGTGCGTGTTAGAGAGGTGCGCAACATGGCGTCTGCCATTGCTCGCATTTCATCTCGCGATGTTTTGGCCCGAGAAATGGCGGCCGGGGACTTGTGAATAGGTTTCGCAGCCATCATGGAATGGGACCTAAATTGCACTGTAAAACGGGAGGCGTTCGAAGCCTCACAAGATGCCGATGCAGATGCAGATATAGAGTCCCCTACACGAGTTTGCGGAAAAAGGACGGGAAAGCGAAAGCACTACCAACAACCGCAGTGACAAGTGATATGAGCGCATGCGTGAAGCTGCAGAAAGGCTGCGAGCTATGACATGTCATGTAGCTGCTGCAGGCAGTGGAAGGGTCACTACCATCATCGAAAAGAGGCCGCCCTACCGTAGCCCCATGCTCATAGCATGCATGGGCCTCCAAGAGGCGCCTGAGGTGCTTTCTACACATAGCCCTGTCCGAGGCTAGGTCGTGTTCTCGTTTCGGTCTGGCTTCGACGTCGTCTGTGGCGAAATGAATGACCTTCCAGCTTCATTACGCATTGACTCAATCAGCGATCAAGAGCTCTGCAGGTAGTTCTAGAGTATCGGTGCTGCCAAGAGGCAGGCTCGGAGCAAAGCACAGAGTATTGTCTGTCGGTGAAGTGTTGCTGTGCTGAAGTTGCCTCGCTAGTGCCATGGCGGCCCCACGAGATGCACCGCACGGACTACGGCGCGGCATACTCTTTGAGCCAGGGTATACACTTCCACTGATTGTTTCGTATGGCGAAAGCCCAAGCATGCCCAAGATAGCTGCAGTGGAAATGCTTCGCTACTGCATGTTCCTCGATGGTCCTATCGTGCCTTGTATTAGCAACCTCGAGGCTGGGGTGTGTCGTACTGCCCCAACATGGCAATCAGGCTGTAATGGAGCTCTTCCCTGGGCGACCTCAGCATGGTCCAGGCTGCGTGTGTGCGTGCCAACACCGTTGTGGTGCAGGCGCAGTATGTCAGGCGTCCAAGATCGTAGCCTGCGCCTCGCGCTCAACGATTGGGTTTTCAATGTGCTTGGTGCGATCCGTCGAGACGGGCATCTGTGCAAGTGGGCGAGATCCGTGTTTCACTTTCAATCTACGCTCCGGCAGTGCTCCGAGAGCTGCAATCCGCCGCCGAGACCTCGAGTCTGCAATTGCGGATATCTGCACCCTCTGATATGTGCCTCTGCCATTGTTGGTAGTGAGTGTCCAGTATACCTCCGCTCACGATAAATAAAGCTTCATGTGTGGACAGCGAAACATTCGCTGAAATGCGTACTTCTAACCAGACAGCCGCCAGTCTCCTTCGCCGCTCTGGGATAGCTCCGCCAGAGCCAATACCGGGTCTCACTCAACGACCGGCTCTTGCTCTGCGGCCCATTCAGCTCAGTGACAGCGATGAAGCACGATCATTGCTTGTCCAGCAACGTATCATTGAGCCTGGCTACAGGCCACCCGAGCTACGACTCCGCAATCGTTTCAAGTCAAAACGTCGTCGAGCAGAATTGTCGGATCACTCCAACTGGAAGTTTGACGAGTACGAAGTTGCGGAAGCACTCGATACATTACTGAGTAGTACGCCGCTCCCACGGTCTGGTACTGTCCAGGAGCTCCTGTCCCATGCGTCTCCCACCAGCTCCTTGGATGGTCTCTATTGCAAACTCCATCGAAAGAGAGGTAAACGGCATCCGCGCTTTCTGAGAAGCAAAGACACACCCAACAACACCCCGATGACGTGGCTCGACACAGCTACCTGCGAGGATCGATCAGACTACGTCCTTCTGTTATGCCAAGCGCGAGTAGCACAGTCCACGCTTGACCGGGCTCTCGGCATTGCTCTAATGGGCTCTTCAATCGACGTGATCGAGGTGCTGCTAAGCTATGGAGCAGTTGCGTCTGCCTTCAGATACCAGATCCGCGAAAGGTTCAGGCAGGACGACGTTCCCTTAGCTAGACTGTTACTCTCAGCACCCAAAGCCATGGACACTGATGCCTGGCGATTTTGTATTGACCCAGGGTCCGAACGTTACCCCCTTGGGGTTCTGATCGTATGCGTCACTCACCGCTCGGATATCAGCTGTACAGAGCTGATTTTGCAAGCTCTGAGGTCCCACGACGTACTGAGCACAGCTGTTATACTCGCCTGGGCTCAACCGGGTGAAGATTTAAGCGGCTTGTGCCATGCTGCATGCCAAATTGTGTCAGCACTCGAAGACCATGCGATGAGGCTTGACATGCTCGCCATGCTTGCCGATGCTGGACTGGTCACGGACAGTCTCATACTCCGCAATGAGCTACTGAGAGACGTGAAGCTACGACACATGCCACTTATATCACTCTTGACTGACGCCGGCGTCAATCTGAACTACCAGCCGGATAGCGCCTTATATTGGGCCGTGTCACACCTAGACTTCGAGATCTTGGGAATACTAATGCGCGGCGTGATAACATCGCGAGTTTCGCGAGCATTAGAGATCGTGCCTGACGAGACTTCAGCGGCGGACATCCTGCAACTTCTGAGTCTTCTCGCTCCCAGGAGCCTCAGTACGAAAGACCTGGACCCCTATCTGGTTCGTGCTGTTCCGAAAGGGTCTCCAAATCTAGTCAGCGTGTTGATCTCCTACGGCGCATCGGTGGAGCACGACAGGGCTGCGGCGATTCGTAGCGCATTAAGGACCGTCAAATTGGAAATTCTCGACGTCCTACTCCAGCAAAAATGCTCCTCTGACGTCCTGTTGGCTGCCATACCCGATGCAATCAACATCATGCCGAAGCGCGACAGACTGAACGCGGTCAAAGCTCTTCTTCAGAAAGGCGTGCCGCACCAAGGTCTTGGCTTCGCGCTACAGACACTTGTGTCCGAAGAGGGCGACATGGATGTCGATCTCATTCGGGTTCTCCTCCAGTACGGAGCGCCTGTAGATGGCTCGAGCATCGGCGCTGACAGTCCTGTAGTTGTGGCCGCTCGTAGAGGCAACTTAACGGTGCTTCGCATGCTCTGCAAGGCGTCTCCTCGATGTGAGACTCTATCCGAAGCTGTACCCATCGCATATGGTGCGATGGCCTACTGCGATGAACCTGTAGGGTTGGCAATGATAAGGGTACTTCTCGAGAATGGGGCAAGCGGCGCATATGTCCACCAGACACTGCTTGCAGCCGTCAGGCACGACCATCAGTTGGATAGCGTGCGCCTTCTGCTGGAGTACGGCGCGGATGCGAACGAGGCCATGGGTGCTCCCTTTGCAGTCGCGCTACAGAATGCGAATTTTGAGATGCTTCAAATCTTGTGCGCCAAATCCGCACCGAGCCACCTGAACCTACAGACGCTATTGGCTCGGGCAGTCGAGCCATCAACCTTCCGTATGGAGGTCCTGGACACCTTGCTTGGCTTCACTACGTCGCCAGCTGCTGCTTTGAACTCGTTTTTGAATACTGGGGGCTTTGAAGGTAACCCTAACACAGTTGCCATCCTACTATGCTTCCTTCAACACGGCCTTGATGTAGATATCGGAGATGGATGGTTGTTCCGCTTCGCCGTCCGAGACCAGCACGTAGCCTTGCTCCGTAGGTTGCTCTCCGCGAAACCCAGCCAGGCTTCACTGTCCGCCGCCTTCGACTCCACAGCTAGTGTACGGGGCAGAAGTGTTCAACTCCTATCCATGAGTCTTCTTCTCGAACAAGCAGAGTCTGCTGAGATCGGACAATCTACGGCCTTACTGAGGGAGATTGAAGCTTCTGTGGCTGGTGACATGGAGGGACTCAAGCTCCTTCTGCGTCACAAAGCAAACATCGATCATGACGACGGCAGAGCTCTGCAAATAGCCGCCTGCTAAAAGTTTTGGTCCAGCTGTTGCGTTCTAAGCCCGAAAGCCTTTCTATTCACAAGGCTTGTCTCGCGGCTGCATCATCCTGCGTCTCGGCGAAGCAGAGGGACCGTGTCTTAAAGCACCTCATTCTGGCTAACGGTGGCGTTGTGGGAGCAGCTGCCTCAAAGCTACTGGCAGACTCTGTCGCCAATTTTCCGGAGAGTCCACGGTTGTCAGAGATGCTCTTGGAGCGAGGCATCAGACCAGATCTTGCGACTCTCAAGAGGGCGATAGAGGTGTCACCCCGCCATCTTTTCGAAATATTGGCAAGCACTATGAATCGTCCGAGTTCCAATAATACACGTAGAGCACTTTTCGCGCATGCTCGAGTGACTGCTGCGGAGCCAGCTCGGAGAGCATGGATCTACCAGTGCTTGTTAGACGCAGACATACCCAATGACGATCTTTCACAGGCCCTCATTGAGCATCTGGAGACGGGTAACCTCGGCGACTTGTCCGTTGTGAAACTGCTGCTACAGAGTGGCGCTGATGTTGGATACAATCGAGTAGAAGCGTTGCGACTCGCGCAGTCTGGCAAGTTTGTCAGAGCCTTTCAGCTCATGAGTCAATACGTGGTCGATGATACCGTGGCTACGGCTGCATTCAATCTTGCGCGCCAGCTTGCTGTGGATCACCCGGGACAGCGACTAAATCTTTATCGGCGCCTTTTGCGACCTAACGTCGGTATCCTGTCGATATACAACGCCTTGTTAGACAGTCTTAAGGACGTTCGTCAAGACCTCCCAGTGGTACAGCTTCTTCTCGCCAGGGGTGCCGACCCGAACGATGACAAGGCGCGCTGCTTCGTCTTGGCTTCAACGTCAGGCGCAGAGGCCAAGTTCCGAGCACTGAGTGGACGGGCGAGGTTGAACACCGTACTTTCGGCGCTTTTTGCCAACTTCTCAGCCGAGCACGATGTGGCGCGATGGTTCAAGATATGTCTCGAAGAACAGCCTCATGCAGGCCAGGCTCTCCAAGACAACCTACTGTTCCGCTGTCTCCGCCAATACCCCAACGGGACTCTGCTGCTAAAAGTCCTCCTCGAGCATGGCGTCTCCCCTTCAGCAATGGTCACTGATGACATCAACGGCGAGCCAGAAACATGTACAGCCTTGATCTGGAGCCTCTTCGCGAAGCCAAGAATTGGAAACGATGCCATCCTCGCTATTGTTGCGAGAGGAGAGGGAGGTGCGTTGGCCGTGCGGCACATCCGTCAACCATATAGCTCATGCTAATTGAGTCGTATAGCACTGCCTGCCTACTGCACGCCGAAGTCCAAGGTATCAGCAGCATATGGCTGCTTGCGGGACAACACCCGATATCCGGTCTTCAAGGCATTGTATGACTCCGACAGTGGTTCGATTCTATCTGAAAGGACACCCGAGTCCTCATTCTCCGGGCCGGCCTCTTCAGCAAGCGGAGGTACTTGTGACTCGGAGCAGTCCAGTGTCCCCGGCGGGCTCGACTTGCGCTCAGCCGCGATGCAACTGGGTAACATTGACGTCTTCCGGCTTTTGGACGCCGGTAATTCGCCAGACGACGGTTCGCTCCACACCGCAGCCTTCTACGCACTGCCAGAATTCGTTGAATGGCTGGTCCGAACCCACGATCCAGACCTTGCAATAGAAGAGTTTGACTGGCTGATCCCCCTCGCCATAGTCTGCGAAGCAAAGACACCGGAGTGGTGTTATATGGCCAACGAGACGTCCGATCTCAATACGAGACGAGCAGAGACCATGCAAATCTTGGCTGCAAAGACTGATCTCAGCTGGCGATGGAAACGCAAGACTGTGCTGCATTACGCACTCGATTTCGGAGCTGAGACAACTAAGTCCATGATCAAAGCCTTGAGGTTTGTGCAGGGACCGGCAGGCTATGAACAGCATGTCTACACAGGCCGTGACGCGAAGACGTACTTACCTCACGAGTATGTTACCAACATCCTGACATGCAGCGACGAGGAGAAGGCAATTTTGAACGCCTGCCTCTCGTTACATTGGCGGAGGTGACACCTTTCAGCTCCGATCTCTGAATGCTTTCGAGCGTCGTTCGCACACGCCCCCATCACGGGCTCACGACTGGACCAGAGCTACTACCAGCGCCGGATAGGCCTCGTTTGCAGCAGCACCTTGGAGCTCCGGCAAATACTACGTTCACCAAAGAGCATCGATGCAGCGGTGATACAAGCTACGCCAGCTGCTGCCTCATGGGCTCCTCGCGCGATCAAGCGAATCAAGTGCGTAGGATGGTCACGGCCTGGAGAGCTCCCACCAGGGAACTAGTTGCGCGATTCTGACAACCATCGGGCGCAAATTGCGGCTCATGATATGCACTGTCACCGAAATCGAAACCTTTGAGGTCTCTGTATTGCAGTTACTTGCTGTAAATCTGCTTTGCAACCACCAGTCCCAATGAGCCAAAGGGATACCATGCCATTCACCCTCATTATTCGGTATCGTGGCATCACTGGTCGTCTATCATTTATCGCATTTGTCGAATAACCCGCATGGAGTGGTGTCGTACTAGTACAGCGGTCGTGCTGCCATCGACCCAAACGTCACCGCCATCCCAAGTGCAAGATGCACCTCCGAAAGCAAACCGCCCGGAACGCCTTGCAAGGAATGATCAGGTGCTATGCGCTGCCTCTACGCGCTGGCGTTGCTGATCTTAAAGTTGCCGAGCGTGAACTGGAAGAAGTTCGAAGGACTGCACGAGTTGAATTAGTACGAGTCGCAAGTTGCCCTCACAAATGTCACTCACAGCTTCGCTTTCACTGCTGCAGCGCTAACATCTGGCGCGCCAAATTCGGCAGCGGCCAGCGCATTCTTCGTGAAGTCGCCCGGTTGCCTGAAACTGTAGCTAGCGCCAGCGCCGACCAGGGCGAGTGCGCCGAAGACGGGTGCGAGTCTGAGTGCGGCAGACATTTCGTAGGTATTGTATGTTGGTATGGGTGGCGGTTGGCTTTGGCTTGGCTTTGGGACTGGGAATGACGTTGATGGAGGGAAGGCACGGATGTTGTATGGAGCGAGTGTGTTTGTTTGTGAAGATGAAGTTAGGCACGGAATAGAGGAGGATGGGAGGAGATATAATGGCAATTGCGTAAGGAGAGAACGCTTATTTTAGAGACTTTCAGCCACTTAATCCTGGGGCAGTGAAACAAGGATCACGCCGGCCAACGTCTCCTTGCGACCCCTTCACCGCCGTCGCCGTGCGCCATCTTCCGTCAGTGCGGCCCATTTGCCATCCCAACGACGTCTTGCGGTGACCGTGCAACGCGCAGAACTCGCGAAAGCGTATCGCGAAAGTCCGCTGTTGGGCGCGCTAGAATCTTGATCGTCTTTAGCCTTGCAGTGCAGATCCATAACGGACGAGCGGGCCGTTCAGGAACAGGCAATCCGTCCGCATCGGTGGAGTCCTCGTTGCGCCATCCTCTCCACCGGGCCGGAAGTCCACCGGGCCAACGCCACTTCACCATGAGCTGGAACAGCTGGAAGTCTAGGGAATCGTGCAGTGCACGCCCAGTTGTGGCGTGATGGTTGTCTTATTTTCTCCATCGCCGGGACTGATCCATCGAACCGCTCCTCCTTCGCGTATAGGAGCTTCACGCGCCACCGCAAGCGTACAGGCTGACCGCGACGACTCTACTGCATCTTCCCTTCCATGCGAAACCGTTGCAGGCTTCTCCAGTATGGCCACGATGTCCAGCTGATCTATTCGCTTCAGAGCATCCTCGCTGCGGTGGCGGAAAACGCCGACTCTGACGGTGACGTATCGTGAACCGATGAAGACGACCATGAACTTGAGGCGTATCAATGAAGCAGGCCTTTTCGCCACCCTGATTGTCGGAGTAGTGAATTATCACTCACCGCAAGTGCATAGATACCATTGCGCACGGTTTCCGTCGACGTCGCTGCATCGGCGGGTTACGGAGGATTTCCACCAGACGGCCCGGTTTGTAAGAGTTATAGAGCGCATTGCGTGCTTTGACCGCGTTGTGAGCGCCGGGCTGCATAACTGGATGGGTCCGTATCTGATGTAGCTGTCTAGGAGGGAAGAAATGGCTGAGGTCACAAGCTTCACACATGTAGGGTCTACAGTTTGTGGATCATGAGCCTCCATGTCTAAAGGAGGGAAATGTGTAACAAGACCGCCTGGCATTGTACTTCTGCTAACCTCGACCTCTATGCTGTGAACGAGCAGACCAGAGTAGCATTCATAATCGGAATATGAGTCATCTGTGCACGCACTGTCTGTCAGTCAGTCGTGCTCCAAATTGCTATAAAACTTGCGACTCGCATATCGTTCGTCAGCTACGACGTCGACGGCAGTATGGCTACCGCAATGCGCTCACCATTAGTCGAACTCTCAGGCGAGCCCCGGAACGCTATCTACGAATATGTGGCTCTCTCCAGCACTACCACCGTAACGATGGTGGATGGCGATTACCGAAAGCCATCATGCCATCTTGCTGCCACCTGCCATCAGAGCTGTAAAGAATATCTTCCCATTCTCCGCGACTATATCTGGCATGCAAGCAAGATCCAGACCACAGTCACCAACTGGAGATTCTTGCGCTTTCCCTACGTTGTTGATACGCTCATGCAAGCGACTCCTAATGTGAAGAAGTCTCTCACCATCACACTCTCTTTCGCCCATATGCACATAGAACTTGCGAGGCTGGCGCTAAATGACTGGATGGCATTCTGCATCGCCTCCCGTGCCAAGCTGGACATCCCGTACCTTCCGACTACAGACCATCTTCGAACAGTCCAAGCACTGGGCAGCCGTTTAATCTGGATCGCGGTAAACGCTGTTGCAAATGTCAAGCTGTCGTGAATGATGCAACAGTATGACGGTGATGAGGAGCTGAGCGAGGTTCTCCGGGCGGAATGCAGGAAGGTCGGTTTGGTCTTGAGCAAATTCGAGGCTAGGCGTGCAAATACTCGCTCCAAGCTTCGCCCGAAGCTCTGCCCGAAGAGACGCTTAGGCGGAAGATCAAGGATCGCAGTGAAATAGAGGTCATTCTAGCAAGCTGGAGGCTCGGCGCCATCGGGGCCAGCGGATCGCAGATCCTCCGTTGCGGCAGACATGTTGTATCGATGCGCAGGGCGAACGACGGTCGGTGCCCTGAGGCATCCCAGACGGTCAGGAACTCAGGACTGGTACTGCCTGGTGTATTCGCGCGGAGAGGCGAAGGAGCACTTCTCAATAGCCGGAATCGTAGAGCTGTTAAGAAGGGTAGGACCACATAACCTGTGGCATAGCACGTGACAGTTGTGAGAAGACAAGGTGAGCTTGCAGTGCCGCATTCCTGCACGTTTCACATGCCTGCCAGTTGCCACCATCGCCCCTGGTAGAAGTCGGCGATCTCTCCATTGCCCTCACGCACATCATCATTCCATGATCACGGCCAGGGTTGACATAGCCGCCTACTGTTGGCACTACGAGCTCGAGATGGAGTCTCCCTTGCTCAAGCTTCCGAGAGAACTGCGCGACGCATCTACGAACACGTCGCCCACTCTTCAACAGATGTCCACTTCGTGGACACCCTCCTCAAGGTACCGTCACCCAGTCTTACGGCAACATGTCGACAAGTCCGCCCCGAGTACCTTCCTCTTCTCCAATATTACTTCGACAACTACGCCAACAACATTCAACAACAATTTTCGACCTCAACTTCAATTTCTACGTGGGTTGGTTTGCGCCCTTAGCAAATAGTGGGAAGAGGTCTATGAAGATTCGCATCGCATTCAGCCACCTACCTCGGGCGGGACGGCCGTTTAACCAAGGGGACTGCATCAAGCGTTGCGTTCTCACACACGAAGCATTCAAGGTGACATGCATTCCATGCACCGATATCCTGCGTAGGGTCGCCGCGGAGGTCCGCAAGTTTGCCATGTGTAAGATCGCATTCCTGATGTGTCAAGCTGTGCTCCTTCAGAAGGCCATCGAGGCGAATTGAGTAAAACAGACGGCCTTTTCTGGCAGAATCAAAGATGCTCCGGAAAGAGAACGGGAGCCGAAGTTCGCGATTAACTGAAACGAGAGCTTTCTGAAGAACCGGAAGGCATGGCATTGGACAGGGGCGAAGGCGTGGCGCTGAAGAGGAGGCGGTACGCTGGTCTGCTTGGGCCATAAGGGACATGACCAGCGGGCACGAAGGGCTGCGGTGGCTGCTGTAATACAGCTTGAAGGGGACAACGAGACCAGAAGTGTCTAGACACGGTGGCGTCTGGAGTTCAAATGCGGGCAGTGGAAGAGTCCAAGGCTGTAATTTCACGTAGAAAGTCCAAAAGGAGTCAGATGAAATCAAAATGGGTAGCGACGGGAATAGGTATTGATAAACCTTGCGATGAGGCGTCGTTAGACGAGGCTTTGTCCCAGCGCATTGGGTTCTGCCATCCACTCGAGCCTTGATCTTGACAGCGGCTCGGTCGTTGCCGGAGCGCCGGATATTGATCGCCATTGCGTAAGGCCCGACTGGGTGCATGCATGATCTACCTACCTTGCATATTACATTTCGACACATCATGCCCGCTCCGGGGGCTCGTGACCATGATCTTGGTCGCGTGGGGTTTGTAGACTCAGACGTGATATAGCAGCCTTCTAGGTACTCAGACTACCAATTATACCTTTGTCATCGCCAACGAGACAGATCTGTACATCTTGAGCTGCTCCAAGCTATCCCCGGCCCGATCCTGTAAGGCAGCACCGCGCACTCGCATCGCTTCAGCACCCAATGCCAGCTCATAGAGTCGCGCCGGCGTTGTCGTATACATACAGCACACTGTCTGGCCCACCGCGCATAGACACACCCGACGGCGGCGACTTCGATCTTGGATATGACCCCAGTCGCTTCGAGATACATCATTCGCGGCCTACGACAGCGGATGGGAAGCGAAGTCCTGATTCACCCACGTTAGGGAGCGCGCATCCGTCGCCCATGCTGTCAGCGACGGCGGAGGAAGAGGAAGAGGTGGAGGTGGGAGGGAGCAGGTCCAGCAGATTTGTGGAAGATCTAGCGGTTCAGCCTACATCTTCTTCGTCGGCGCGGAGAGGATTGACGGATGGCGAGGCTCAGGCGACAGCTGGCGCAAGCAGTTCTGGCTCGCCGGAGAGGGGCTCCAGCAAGCGGGATAGCTATGTTGTCAACCCAGCAACAATACCGATACGGACAAGCTCGAGTAATGCGGTAGCGAACGGCGAGCGACCACGGGACAGTTACCATAGCTCTCCCAAACAAAGTCCGAAAAAGCACAAGAGCTTGAGCTCGGTGTCAGAAAGACCAGACCGATCTTACTCCAAACGAGCGGTGTCCAGCATCCATCCAGCTGAAAGGCATTGGGCGTCAGATGGACCACGGCAAGCGAACGGAACGGCTCCTAATCGAACGCTGAGTTCCGGCAGTCGCGAACCACCGCACAGATATGCTTCGCCAGCGTTCTCGCAGCAATCCACACTTTACCAATCGCAGTCACAACAGCCCTTGCCGTCTCCCCTGACACGAGGCACCGGCGGCGACCTGACCTCTCACGATCGCTCTCCCAATTGGAGCGATGAGAAGGAGAACATACTAAAAGGACCCTTCGATTATCTCGAGGCGCATCCGGGCAAGGACATCCGCGCACAACTCATGTCCGCCTTCAATGCCTGGTTACGTGTGCCCGAGCCTTCCCTCGCCATCATCACACGAGTCGTTGCGATGCTGCATACCGCCTCACTTCTCATCGATGACGTAGAAGACAGCAGCTTACTCCGGCGAGGCGTGCCCGCTGCGCACCACATCTTCGGCGCGGCGCAGACGATCAACAGCGCGAATTATGTCTACTTTTGCGCGCTGCAAGAAACGCTCACTCTGAACAACCCGGAATGCATACGTATATATACCGAAGAGTTACTGAATCTGCACAGAGGGCAGGGTATGGATCTCTTCTGGCGCGACACCCTAACCTGTCCCTCGGAAGACGACTACCTCGAAATGGTCGGCAACAAGACCGGCGGCCTCTTCCGACTCGCCATTAAACTCATGTGCGCCGAGAGTCCGAGCCATAACTTCCAACCCGGTAGCAGCGACATGAGCGGAGCCGACAGCCAGGGACACACGGACTACATACCGCTAGTTAACACTGTCGGCCTGCTCTTCCAGATCTTGGACGACTACCGCAATCTCAGCGATACGACATATACGGCGAACAAAGGGCTCTGCGAAGACTTGACAGAAGGCAAATTCTCTTTTCCGATCATCCATGCGATACGGAGTGATCCGAGTAATCTCGTGCTTATCAACATCTTGAAGCAGAAGACAAAGGATGATGAGGTCAAGAAATTCGCGGTACAGTATATGGAGAAGACTGGCTCGTTCGCTTATACACGACGAGTACTCCGAGGTTTGACGAAAAAGGCGTTAGGGTTGGTTGAGGAAGTGGACGCAAGGGTGGAGGGCGGTGGGGCTGGTGGAATGGGCGGCAAGGGTGGGGACTTGGTCAAGGGCATACTGGAGAAGTTGCGGGTTGAGAAGGCTGGAGCTGGGGCTAGGAGTAGTCACTCGGGTTGAGAGGGGAATGACTGGACGTTCACGGCGATGGCGCTTGGAGGCGAGGCAATCTCAAAATATGGGACCGGACTAAGCCTTGATGTGTATGTCAATGTACAGTAATGTGTCTACAGATGAGTTGAAGCGACGTTCCGCGGCGCTCTTGTGCCTTTTGTGTTCATACGAATGCATCTTCCCGTCCTGTTGGACTGCGAGCACCACAGCACATAGCATCGAGCGCGTTGACGTGTTTGCATACTTGCACACGTTCAGTCGACAAGCATGCACATGAAGAGCCTAAACCTTGACGTTCTGACCCAACTTAACAGCAAGCTTGTTCAGCTCCCCGTACGTCTCCTCCCACTCCTTCTCTCCACCGTCTCCACCCTCCTCCTTCGCACCCTTGCCTACCCTCGGCATCAACATGACCACGCTCGTCGGCCGCTTCGTCGCTCCCGCCGCGCCGAGCTCCGCTCTCGAAGGCACATACAGATAGGGGATGTTGTGGTCTTCGCAGAGGACAGGGATATGCGATATCACGTCCATGGGGGAGATGTCGGCGGCCAAAATAACGATGCCGGATGGGAGGTTGGAGGGGTTGTAGGTGTTTGGATTTGCGGGAGGCGATTTGCGGATGGACTTGACGCATTCTTTTACACCGCGTTTGAGAGCTTTCGATTTCGCGGCTGTATGTCAGAAAGAGAAGGGTTAGCGATAGTCCTCGAAGGTGATAGTGGGTTGATATACCTTTCTTCACAGATTTCAGCACTTTCTTCTGCGCCTTTTCGTCGCAAAGCGGATTCGCAAACGGCACCAGTGCCGCAAGTGGCACTTCAATCTTGACCTTGACGTTCTTCTTGTTCTCCTTCTCGTCGTCCTCTTCCTTTACCTGCACTGCAGCGTCGCCATCCGCGATCACGACATCTCCGTCCGCATCCACCGCCACAGAGCCCGGCTTGTCCTGCTCAGCTGTGGTCAAGTCTACGGTAGTAGCGCTCTTGCGCTTCTTCTCCTTCTTCTCCTTCTTTTCTTTCTTTGCGGGCTTCTCTTCTGAGACTGTCGCAACGGTAGTATCGCCGTCAGCCTCCACCTCGGAGTGCTTACGCTTCTTGTCTTTCTTCTCCTTCTTCTCTTTGCGCGCTTTGACCTCTTCCACGCCGTCTGCCATAATATACAATAATCTGCGGGAGTATATGTCAATTCACTAATTGAAGGTGAAAGTCACTGACTTTTCGAAAACGCCAAGCTCAGAGCTTGGACACCGTTCGGGCGTGTTCCGGGAGGCAGCGTGCAATTTGATGAACTTCAATCGACTTTCGACTAAAGTTTCATGCAAACCTTCATGCAAAGTGGGGAGATCTGAGTTTCGGGCGGATTACCCCGAGGTGCGCAGAAAGGAAGGTGCTCGTGTGACCTCCAGGCTTCGACATTCTGAGCTGTTTTCGCATCTCATACGACACCTGGCGGTACTTCGAAGAGCGTCACTGCAGCAGTGACAATGCACCTGACATTGGCGTCGCTACTGGCGTTGCCATTCGGCCTGCTCCAAGTCGTGCTTGCCGTCCCAGCGCCCGCGGACTACGCTCAGCAACACCCTTTGGATGTCGCAGCCTTGCCCAAACAAGCCACATGGAAACGGCTGTCAGACCGTATCATAGAGTCCATATGGAAAGATGGAGCCCACGAAACTGACAAGGACCTGCCTGATCCATTTGCGTTTCGGGGATACGATCGAGAAGTGGTAATAAGATTCAATGTCAGCACAGCAGAGGAAGCCCGAAGCTTAGCAGAGGCATCAGAGACGCTTCTTCTGGATATCTGGGGCTTTTCGCAAGAATGGGTCGACATCCGAATACCCAAGGATATTGTGAAGCCAATGCTTGGCCTTCTGCCCTCGAGTCTACAGCGGTCTTACATCCCGCTGCTGCGTGAGAGAGAACTATCGGAGGCCGTCCGCGCCACATACTTGACCGCTAGAAACCGTGGACCAGCTATCAAAGCGAAAGACTCGTTAGACAGTGGCAGCCACATTCATATCGATCAAATGGATAAGGTTGGCGCAACCGAAGAAGACCTGTTCTTCTCTCAGTATCGGCCACTTTCCGTTCTTCACCCGTGGATGCGTTTCCTTGCCTCAATTTATCCTGGACATGTCCAAAAGATTAACATTGGCATTTCTGCTCAGGGACGGGGCATACCTGCTTTGCGGGTCGGTAATTCGAAGCGGCCAAACCGTGAAACGGTGCTCATCGTGGGCGGCTTGCATGCTCGCGAATGGATCAGTACCAGCACAGTCAGTTACGTGGCCTACCATTTCGTCACATGCTACGGCAACTCTGCGCGCATAACCGCACTTATGGATCAGCTGGACTTCGTCTTCGTCCCGACTCTGAACCCTGACGGATATGCGTATACGTGGGAGACGGACCGTTTATGGCGCAAGAACAGACAGCGGACAGGTCTACGCTTCTGCCAAGGCATTGACCTCGATCGGGCATTCAGCTTCCAATGGGACGGTGACAGTACCACGTCCGGCAACCCTTGCTCAGAGTCATTTGCGGGTGAACAGCCATTCGAGGCTGTGGAGGCAAAAGCTTTGGCCGACTGGGCCAAGAATGAAACGACGCACAACAATGTCACTTTCGTTGGTTTCCTTGACATGCACAGCTACGCACAGGAGATACTGTACCCTTATAGCTTCTCCTGTGACGAGAAACCGCCGGGTCTGGAGAATCTGGAGGAGCTAGCGATAGGTATCGAGAAGGCCATCCGCTCCACGCATGGTCACAAGTACGAGATTATGCCCGCTTGTGAAGGAAACGTCGCCGTCAACAACGGGTTTCGGCAGTCCCTTTCGCCACGGATGGAAGCCTCTGGTGGCTCGATCTTGGACTGGTTCTACCATGAGATGCACGTGAGATACGCCTATCAACTTAAGCTGCGCGATAAGGGCCTATACGGTTTCTTACTGCCAGCGGAGAATATCATACCAACCGGTGAGGAGATACTGGAGGCTGTTCTTTATTTTGCGGAATTCTTGGGCGATGTGTACGGCAGTGGGATGGACGTCAAAGAATCCACTGCGAATGGCAAGGTCCAGAACGATCAGGGTGTGCCAAAAGACAAAGACTTCGCTTTCAGCGCTGATGATATTGGGGACGACTGGGTCGTGATTGACGGCCAAGCGGAATTGAGTATGTCCGATCTGATGCTTAGTGAGAGTTTAAGGCAACGGCAGGATTGACGAACGCCATGTACTTGCACATGTTTGTTATGTTATACATACATACATGTTTCTAGCCTTGTTGTGCAGACTCCACGACTTGTTTTTTTCCAGACATGCACTTTCTCAAGCAAGACGTCGTAGCTGTAAATCAACCTCATCAATCAGTGGTCAATGAATATATGCCGGCTACTTGAACTTAGTCTGCCTCGGCATCGCAAGGGTTCATCGAATAGCGTCGAGCTGCAATTTGTGTCGTGATTGCTTCCTTCGACTCACCAGTGCAACTGGTCCAGCATGAGCGTCGAGTTGAGGCGTTACTCTTCCGACACTGCCATCTCGTAGAACTTGCAACATGCCGGCGGAGGTACGCAATGGCGTCCCATCGACGGCCAATGGCACCAAATACAGTCCGTCTACTAAGAACCTCTTTCCATCAGATATGCGTACTGACTCGTCTCTAGGGCGCATAACGCCTCGAGATCAGCCGGAAAACCCTTTCATCAAACTCATTCCTGATCAATCGATTGCCGTCATACCCAGCTTCGAGCTCGAATCGGGAGTCGTGCTGCATAATGTCCACATCGCTTACAAGACATACGGCACGCTGTCGCCGGAAGGAGACAATGCCATGGTCATATGTCACGCTCTGACGGGTAGTGCAGATGTGGGAGACTGGTGGGGACCTCTACTGGGTGGACCCGGGGAAGAGGGTAAGGAAGCCAGAGCGTTTGATCAGTCACGGTTCTTTGTGGTTTGCATGAACAGCCTAGGAAGTCCTTATGGGAGTGCTAGTCCTGTGACTGCGAAGGATGGTGATCCGGACAACGAGCATTACGGACCCGAATTCCCTTTGACTACGATCAGAGATGATGTGAATATCTTCAAGTTGTTACTGGATGATCTTGGCGTGAAACGGATCGCTACAGTCATTGGTGGCTCGATGGGCGGTATGCTGGTACTGGAGTTTGCGTACTTCGGCAAGGACTACGTGCGGACTATCATACCTATTGCGACTTCCGCGAGATATAGCGCTTGGGGCATAAGCTGGGGCGAGGCGCAACGGCAGAGCATCTATAGCGACCCGAAGTACGACGATGGCTACTACCCGTTCGATGACCCGCCCTCGACTGGACTGGGAGCGGCACGCATGTCTGCACTGCTAACGTACCGCAGTCGAGACTCGTTTGAGACACGCTTTGGCCGTAACATCCCGGATGCCTCGCGCAAGCAGAACATCAACGGTAATCCACGTCCGCAGACGCCGACAAACGAACACTTCGCGATACACAACGAAGGACACCGCCACGCTGGCTCGCCACGACCGGGGAAGAGCGGCGACATGACATCGTCGGTCGAGTCGCTCGAGGCCCCAATCGCCACGGTCACGGACCCGCAGTTCCATGGAGCTACACCATTGCCCGGCCCTCCGCCGAACAAGAGGCGCATCACCACCTACTACTCCGCTCAATCCTACCTCCGCTACCAGGGCGAGAAGTTCATCAAGCGCTTCGACGCTAACTGCTATATTGCCATCACACGCAAACTCGACACTCACGATGTCTCGCGCGGCCGAACAGACAACTCCGGCTCACCTTCACAGGAAGAAGTGAATGCTGCGCTAGCCATGATCGAGCAGCCCACGCTTATCCTGGGCATACAATCGGACGGCTTATTCACGTACGCCGAACAGCAGGAGCTGGCGGCCGCGATCCCGAATTGCGAGCTGAAGACCATTGACAGTCCGGACGGTCACGACGCGTTTCTACTGGAGTTTCGGCAGGTCAATGCGCTTTTGCTGGATTTCTTGAAACGCGAGTTACCGGACATCATGTCGCGGGAGCCTGTCAACTGGCCGCCGAAGCAGGAGCAGCCGAAGGAGGCGAAGGCGAGTACATTTGGAGAGGCGGAGGTCGAGGATATTACCGCTTGGTGAGCGAGCATACACATGCTTTGGAAGACTCGAGGTCCGCCTCTGCGCAGCCATGGTACGCTGCTTGATAAGGTCGATCAATGTGGAGAAACGCAGCAAGGCAGCCCTTCTACCCCGAGGTGTTCGGCTTTCCACCAATGAGAACCTTCCGCGACTCTACAACCGCTTACTCCTCTCATGCTACTCTCGTTGACAATGACAGCCTGCATGTAAGTACAAGAGCACATCACTCCGTCAAGGTAGGTGTGAGACAAAATTTCCCGCCATTGTCGTTCGCTCCGTACGGTCGCAATGCTTCCATTTCCCGCGCTGATCATCAGCGCTTCCATTCTCGCCACGACTATCGCCCACCCAGCACTGCACCGGAGTCCGTTCAGTTGGGCAGGCACTAAGTATCTGATCGCGTTCGGAGACTCGTATACCTACGTTCAAGGCACCTCTGGACGTCAGAACTACTCATTCGTAAGCACGCCGCTCGCCACCACAAGAATCCCAAGCATAAGGCCACGTTAACCGCTAGACCTGAACAGATAGGCGACGCCTTCGACTTGACCTTCACCGCCCAAGACCTCCTCACCAACCGCATCGTCCAGAATCAAACCGCAACGGCGGAAGGCGGGCCAAACTGGGTCGAAGTCAGTCGTCCCTACCTGCCCACCACCCCCATTCCCATCCTGAAAAAGCCACCCCCGGTCACTAACCAGAAGCAACCGGACCAAAAAGTTCCTAACCAACTGCGCCCTTCAACCCGGCCTCACCGATCCCCAAACCTGCGACAAGCAACTCTGGGACTTCGCCTTCGCGGGTGCGGACATTAGTACCGCCTACACCCCGCTCCACCACAACTTCACCGTCTCCCTCGTCAACCAGACGCTCCAATTCCAGCGCTACGCCGACCCAGTCCTATCAACCTTCATCGACAAAACCAAATCCCTCGTCGTGTTCTGGATCGGGATAAACGACATGGGCGATTCGGATATGTACAACGTCTCCTTCCCGGTCTTCTACGACGAGCTTGTCACGACGATGTTTCAGTCCGTCGAGCAAATCTATGATCTGGGATATAGCGAGTTCTTGGTGATGAAGTTGCCGCCGTTGGATCGTACGCCGCCGAATTTGAGCCGCGCGGCGGGGCCGTTGCCGAACGCGACGATGGTGGAGTGGTATGGTGATGCGCTGGCGCGGCACGCGGTGGCGTTTGAGCAGAGTCATGAGGGGAGTGAGGTGATGGTGTTTGAGACTACGACGTTCTTGAACTATGTCTTAGACAATCCGGCGGAGTACGGGATCACGAATACGACGGGTTATTGTGCTGCTTACGATCAGCCGGACATTGACACGGATCCGGGGATGTACGGGTGCTTGCCGTTGGATCAGTATTTGTGAGTCCGTAAATGCGACCGCGGTTGCAATCCGCGACTGCAAGGTTGAAGTGGGAACGGCATAGATGTTCATGCTGACGTGGTGAAGCTGGTTCAATACAGGGCATATGACGAGTCACACGCATCGGATTCTGGCGGCGGAGGTGGAGAGGTTCTTGGAAGCGCAAGGTAGCGGCAGCGGCGGCATTGGTAGTGGACCGGCACGTGGTGGACCAGGACGCGGTGGACCGTCCTCTGGGCACTGGTAGAGTGGTAGGTTAGATCGCCGTTCGCAACCGGCCTCCTTTGTGCTTTTCAGCGTTCGTGCACATTGATCTGTGGGTAAGGATGTTGAAGCATGCATTGACATCATACCACATTCCCTACCGACTCGAGTCGCTTAGCCCGCTAGAGATGATAGATCTGGCCTAGGAAAATGTTCCGCGCATACGCATCACTCGTGTGTCAACCTGCCCAGCCTGCCCGGTTATCGCCCCCGAAACGCTTCATCATGCTCAACACTATCATCTAGGTCGCTCCGTGGGCCAGCCGTACCTTTTGTCGCTCGCGTGCGCGGCGCCACAGCATGTCGAATATTTGCCAGCCGTCGCGGTTACTTCTGCATCATGAGCTGTACGAACTCGTTGTCTGCCAGGTATGTTAGCACAACCATCCGCTACCCACCACAACTGCTGCACAGGATGATGGTAACACTCACAATCAATCCTCCCGTCCCCATCCTGATCCGCCTCCCGAATCATCTCATCCACCTCATCATCCGTCAACTTCTCGCCAATGCTCGTCATGACATGCCTCAACTCGGCGGCGGAGATGAAGCCGTTGTTATCACGGTCAAAGACCTTGAACGCCTCGCGGATCTCTTCCTCGGAGTCGGTGTCCTTCATCTTGCGCGCCATCATGGTGAGGAATTCGGGGAAGTCGATGGTGCCGTTGTTGTCGGCGTCGACCTCGTTGATCATGTCCTGCAGCTCGGACTCGGAGGGATTTTGGCCGAGGGAGCGCATGACGGTGCCGAGTTCTTTGGTGGTGATTTGTCCTAGAACATCGTGTCAGAGGTGGGAAAGGAGGGGATGTTTCGGGGTGGGGTGGGGTGGGGTGTACCATCGCCGTCCTTGTCCTGTTTCGCTCGTCAGCCTTGTTTGGTGCGCGTGGAGGAGCTTCTGGTGTGAAGGTGGGACTTACGAAGAGGGAGAAGGCTTCCTTGAACTCGCTCACTTGCTCCTCGCTCAACTCGTTCTTCGCCAAAACGTCAGCCTACGGTCTTCATAGTGTTCCACACACGCTGCCCGTTGTGTTGTTTCTGCTCCAATGCGCGAGGTGGGGCATGTGGAGGAAGCGTACCGCCATTGTGGAGGAGGTGTGTTTGGCCCCAAAGTGTTCCCAAGAATAGGTGCGGGCGGGTGTGGGTATGTCTGCTGTGTCTTCTCGCAGTGTCGGTGTAGGAGCGGTGGTGCAGGTGGTGGGTGTTTGGTAGTAAATACGGGATCGCGGGTGCCTCACAAGAAGTTGGGCAGAGCTGGCCAGGGCTGAATGGCCGATGCGCAAATGAGGGTCCGCGGGCGGTTGAAGCCGCTGCCACAACAAGCATTCGCTAGAACATCAACGCTCTCCTTTCCCTACCACGACTTCTGCCCCTTATACTCGCACTCGCACTCGCACTCGCGGCCTCATTGGGGCTCCTTTGAGGACACCGAGCATCATTCCCCTTCAGCTTGCATCTTCACGCACGCACGGCAGACTACGAGATGGATCGCATGACAGTATCACTGGATGTGGTATGGCACCAGCGATGACGCCCGTGAGCACCGCCAGCGACCAGCATGTCCACCACCGCCGCCGCCGCCAACCTCGGCGCCTGGCGCGATAGGACCAACCTCTACATCTCCTACCGCCAATCCTACACCCGCCCCTCCAAGCGACCCCGCCACGACCACCCCACCAACCATGCTACCCACTCCGACCCCGAGCGGGCGGGCCTCATGTCCGACCTCGACGCCGCCGACGGCGACGCAGTCATCGAAATGGACCTCCTCCCACCCCGTTGGCTCGACATTCAGGACGAGATCTCCACCTACCTGGGCGACATCGCGGACAAATTGAAGAAACTCGACCAATTGCACGCCAAGCACGTCCTGCCGGGCTTCGATGATGAAAGCGTGAAAGCGCGAGAAGAGCGGGAGATTGAGGCGTTGACGCAGGAAATCACGCGCGGGTTTACGCGATGTCAGACTCAAATCCGCAGGATCGACGCGCTGGTTCGAGAGCAACAACAGCAAAGCGGGGGTCACATCTCGCAGGCGGATGAGAAGATGGCGCAGAATCTCAAGATCTCGCTGGCCGCGCGGGTGGGCGAGGTGAGCACGCTGTTCCGGAAGAAACAGGCCGCGTACCTCAAGAAGATGCGGTCGTTGGGTGGGATGAACACGCCCATCGACCGCGCCGGTACCCCGCTCGCGCAGAACCCCTACACCGACCCGGCGATGATCGAGTCCGAAACCGACCGGTCCGCGGCACAAACTACACTCTTACAAACGGCGCAGATGCGACGAAGAACCGGGATGAATGATTCCGCCATCGAACAGCGCGAGCGGGAGATCGAGAAGATCGCGCAAGGCGTCATCGATCTGCACGATGTGTTTTTGGAGTTGAACAGTATGGTGATTGATCAGGGCACGGTGCTGGATCGGGTGGATTACAATGTGGAGCGCACGGCGGAGCATATGAAGGAGGCGGAGAAGGAGTTGAAGGTGGCGACGCGGTATCAGAAGAATAGTACGCGGAGGAAGATTTTGTTGTTGCTGGTGTTGTTGGTGGTGGGGATGGTGGTGCTGTTGGTGATCAAGCCGAAGAGGAGGGGTGGTGGTGGTAGGGGTGGGGCGAGTGAGACGGTGCCGGGTGAGGTGCTGCCGCCGGGTGAGGCCGGCGCTGCTCTTCCGCCAGCCATATTAAGAAGAGCGCTAGATTCCGGCGTTAGCGCGCGCGGGCAGGGTGCAGTGCGGAGATACGCAGAGTGGAAGCAGCGGAGACGGCGTGTACCCGACCCTCTATCGCTGACGCTTCTATAATACCAGCGCCTTCGCTTCTGCAAATTCCCATCTACCGCTCTCAGCACTCCTCCGAACTCCACCCCGCCACTTCGTCCGTGCATTTCACTCCTTCCGCCTCAACCCGTCAGCCTCCTGCGCACACTCCCTCGCCATCTCACTCTGCTCATCCGTCTGGCACACCAACACCCCATGCTTGAACCCCTGCCTGCCCACATCCACCACCAACTGCTCCCCGGGCTTCTCATTCACCTCCTCATCCAACCCAAACCCCAAACACCCCGCCTTCTCCACCACCGCCTTCCGCAACGCAGCCCCTTTCTCCCCAATCCCGCCCGCGAACACCAATGCGTCAACCTCACCTTTCAGCTTGACGTAGTACGCCCCCACGAAGTCCGAGATGCGGTCGACGAAGATATCGAAAGCGAGTTGGCACTCTTCATTCCCCTCCCCTGCTTTCGAGCTAATCACGCCAAAGTCCGTCGTCCCCGTCAACGCCTTCCACCCGGACTTCTTGTTCAAAATATCCTCCGCCTGCGTGATATGCATATCCGTCGTACTACTCCGACTCGGTTTCCCGGCGTCATGCGTGAAGTGGAAGATGAGACTCGGATCCACGTCTCCACTGCGTGTCGCTCCGGGCAGGCCGGCGAGGGGTGTGAGACCCATGGTTGTGTCGATACTTTTCCCGGCTTGGATGCAGCAGGCGCTCGCTCCCGAGCCGAGGTGCAGGGCGATGATGTTGAGTTTCTCCACCGGTTTCTGCAAGTGTGAGGCCACGGCGCGGGTGATGAAGGCGTATGACAGTCCGTGGAACCCGTATTTCCGCAGTTTATTCCGCTTTGCTACCTTCTGATCTATCGCGTACGTCCTTGCGGCGAGAGGGAGGGTTTGGTGGAAGGCATTGTCGAAGAAGGCCACGTTGGTCGCTTTGGGGCATTTGGCGTGTACCGCTTTCACGATGTCCAGCGCGCCGGCGTTGTGCAGCGGTGCGAGGTCGGAGAGTTCTTCCAGATGGTGGAGGGTATCTCTGTCGATCCGGGTGGGTTTGTCGTAGTCCCCGCCGTGGACGACGCGGTGGCAGGCGAACTCGATGTCGTCTGCATGCTTCAGTTCCGGTAGGCCGTCGTCTGAGGTGAGGTGGTTGAGGATGTATTCGTATGCGCTTTCCGAGCCGTTGATGTCGGACAGCTCCTTGTTCTTAATGTGTTGGTCGCCGCGGTCGTATTTGAGGGTTGCGGGCGGGGCGGTGAGGCCGGCGACTTGGATCACGGCGAGTTCCTGCGGGTCGGCGGTCGGGGTGGTGTAGGTGAAGACGGAGACTTTGACGGAGGAGGAGCCGGCGTTGATGGCGAGGATGATCTTGTTGGGCATGTTGGAAGAGTAAGAAGGGGGATATGAGAGTGTCCTTTACCTACGGTATATGTGCGTTTGTTCTACGGGGGACGTGGGAGCTGGACTTGGTGTGTACAGTATTGCAGCAGATAGCACTGCTTGTGACGTAGAAGTGAAGCTTGAAGCTTCCGTGCCTGCCGAAACCCTCCGCGCAGCCTGAGTCAGCAAACCTTCCTGAGTCAGCAGAATATATCGCTGATGCATTTACCCCATTCATTTGAGCAACTGGATATGAGTGACTGACTCAGCGCAGCAATACGATGGCAGACGACGATGCATCTTCGAGCACGTCGGCAAGCTCGGATGGCGAAGACATTGAGACAACAGGCTTGATCGCGACTCGTGCCAAGCGTTCAACGGCGGGCAACCTTTACGCTGTCATTCGCAACAACCTCGACGATGAGGACGTGCGAAAGGAGCTGTTGGCCGAGGATGAGACCGAAGAAGATGCGCGAGAGTATGAAGGCTCAGAGCCGGACGAAGACGACGAAGACGCACTAGAGTCATCGAGTGAGGATGAAGACGCGGGCCCGCCGCAGGAAGGCGAGCCAGAGGACTTGGCTGGCGAGAAGGAGGTGCGGAAGGCGGAGCGCGTGGAGCAGAGCAAGAAGCGCAAGGTGCAAGACGCTAGGCTGAAGTTGCCGTCATGGCAGCGCAAGACGAAGAGGGTCAAGCTGGCGGATGATGTCAAGACGGAAGATGGCGAGACACTCCCTGCGAAGCCGAAGAGTAAGAAGAAGAGCGAACGCGCCAACTGGCTCCCCACAGACGCCGACGCACCGCTCCGCCAGTCCGGGCGCGCGTTAGCGGTCGCAAGCAGAGAAGTCACGCACGCAAACCTGAAGCAGTCGTACGAGCGGTCCGAGAAACAGCGCAAAGTGATGAAGGATGCGGCTCAGCGGGAGAATCTCAAAAAGCGAAAAGATATGTCGCAGGAGGACCGGATGGCGCAGTGCGCTAAGATCGCGCTGAAGACGGATAAGGAGTTCGGGCGGTGGGAGAGGGAGGAGGCGGAGAAGCAGCGGTTACGGGATGAGGCGTTGGCCGCGAAGCGGAGGAGGGGCGTTGAGGGTCCGTTTCTGAGGCATTGGAGTGGGAGTGTGATTTGGCGGGGGAGCAGGATCGAGGAGCAGAGGGTGAGGCATGGGAGTGTGAAGGTGGACGATGTGGGAGAAGGTCCGAGTCATGACAAATTAGGTGGAGGAGGTATGGTGGCAGACGTCTCGAGCGCAGTGCAAACATCACCAACCGGCCAGCCGGACGCTACTGCGGTTCCGCCGAACGACAGTACTTTGCTTTCTGGGATCCACGATTACGCCGCAAAAGCAACAGAACCGCCAAACGACCAAGCATCCATAGCACAAGTAGGCGTGCCTCAAGCTGGGATCACGAACCCTGCAGCTCCCGTGGCGCCTTTGTACCAACAGCCACAACCCACCGCACCACTCACCCAACCACCACCGGCACTTACCACCTTCCAACACGCCTACACCGGCTGGCCACCCAGCAGCCACCCCACTGTAGGCCCGCCACCTCCAGCACCCTTACTCCGCGAGCAAGCCCAACGCTCCCTCATCATGCTCGAACAATTCCCCAACCTCGACCCCACCACCACAACCACCAAACGGTCCACCAAAGCATCAGCCTCAACAACCCCCGGCCTCACCCCAACAGAAACAACCTCCATCCTCCTCCCCACCGCCTACCCGCCCTTCACCTCCGACCAACTCCGCTACCTCCTCGCCAAACACTCCGCCCGCCGCCGCACAATCGCCAACACGGACAACATGCCCCCTCCGCCCGAAAAGGCGAAATGCGCAATCATACCCAACCAAGACGCCGCGTACCGTGACCCGAAGACCGGGTTGCCGTATCTGGATTTACAGTGTTACAAGATTATCCAGAGGGTTTTGGGCGGAGGGTGTATGTGGTCGGGGTTGTTGGGGGCGTGGGTGGGTCCCAGTCTGCTGATGGGACGGCCGGCGAGGGGGGTGCCGGAGGGGTTTGCTACGGGGGTTGGCGCAGGGGAGGGGAAGGTGAAGGGAGAGGTGGGGTAAGACGTCGTGGCTGTTAACCCCATCGCATCAAGGTGGTGTTCGAACGCTAGAGTAGATCATCCGACAATAGCATTTCGTCGCCTGTGGTTTGCCACTCATCGAACAGTCCTTCGACTCTGCGAGCATGCAACTGTGTCAGACGAAGCAAACCATTTCCAAGCACGCACCGAACTCCTACGCTAAGCTCAGCAACATTGGCGGCATTATCGTCATCATCAGAGAGTTAGGTACTCTTCTCAATCAACCTCCATCTTCGTCTCGAACCACCCAATGACAGCTTCGATGATGTCAGCCTTCTTCGTCAGCCCTTTTCCTAGGCCACCCTTTCCAGCCATCCATTCCTTCAGCTGTGCCACCGTAAACTTGTTCACGGCATTCTTCGCATACGCCGCCCTCAGTTCATCATCCGTAAGCCCACCGCCACCCTCCTCAGCCTCTCTCTTTACCTTCTTCGTTAACCCAGCCGACGAGGGTGGAGCAGCGCCGCCAGACCGCTTCGTCGACCCGTTAGTCATAGTCTTGGGTCCGCGGTCATTCTCTCGTTGCCATAAGCGGTAATGTTCTTCTAATAGCCGACCCCAGTCCACGACATACTGACCGGCTCGCTTGTGGATCTGTTTCCAGCGCGGTAACGTTTTGTCTTCTGCTTGCTCCGGCAAGTCCTCTTCCAGCGCCAGAGCCTGCAAGATGCGGTAGAACCACTGCAGAGCCGGATTGGGATATTTACGTGGGTCATAGATCGCTTTGGGGAGCTGAAGCTGTTGTATTACAACACGCATGGCGTCTATGAGCGGATCCGGTGCCTTTACCACCTCCGTCTGCGGCGGCTCACGAATGTCGTCTGCGAAGGGAAGATGCTTGATCCAGATACCGGGCGGCAAAGTTTGCTCGCCTTCCTCACTCCGGTGCTCGCGCCCGGGAATGAGAGCAACTAAGGCTGGCGTAGAGTTGCGCCGCGGTATAAACCACGCGATTCCGATTCTCTGGTCTTTCAGCAGCTTCTGATGCAACGCTGAAAAGACACGAGTCGAGCCTACGTAATCTTCCTCAGACGGGTAGATGAAGTAGTTTTGCTTCACGTGCGCCCAAATAGGTAGCATGTCGAGCGGCTTGAATCCGATAATGCGAAGGACAGGGTCGCCAAAATGCTTGATTTTGGCAAGCTCCTCTTCACTGAAGCTAATAGTTTCGCCACCGAACTTGAACGCCCGTCTAACCTCCGCCTTCTCGACCGTTCTGGCTGTGTCGTCTGCTACTAGCGTGCCGTGGCTGCTCACAATCTGGGGCTTGTCGGTGTCGGGAGGCAGATAGATGTAAGCGGTTCGCTTGGGTTCCTGGCGCCGTACCAGGATGTAGCCCTTCACACTGATTTTGAAGCCTGGCCCGATCTCGAACGGCATGTTACTGAACTGCGCTCTCCGCATTGCGGACCGTGACTGAACAGACGACAATAGAGACTGCAACAAGCTTATACCATCCTTAGCGGTAGAGCTTGCAGCCTTGATGTCCGCGGTCAATGGAGCGGGCGCATCCGGGTCCGAAGGCATGGACGAGTAAACAATGTCGTTGTAGAACTTGCTACGATCGAAGGTGTAGCCGCGGTTTGGGTGAGAGATAGGAAAAAGCTCGATTGTAACACCAAGATCGTAGAGATCCTTTGCACGCACGGCAGCACTGTTTCGAGCATCTCTGTTTGATGCGTGCGGGTAGTCATTGTCCGTGACGAGGAAGAGACGCCTTGATGAGAAGTTGGGGGCTTTCGTGGTGAAGATCTGGTTGGCGCAGAACAGAACGTTGGCCATGCTGACTTCCTCCTTGCTCGCCACAAGCAAGTCGCTGGACTCTGCCTCATCCTCTACCAGACTTCGCAGTTGCTTCACGTCCGCTGCCGCAGGCACATCCAGATCGGTTAGCAGGTAGCAGTGCGGATATTGGAGTCCGCCACGCCCCGATTCATCGCCATCCTGGAACTTGCTTTTCTCTGTGCCGAACAGCAAGATGCCCATCATGTCGTTCGGATTGCTAATGATACGCTGTTGCATGAGCGCATATGCGCACTTCAAGGCCGCCAGAGTTGGTGATAATGTAGTATCTGGCTTCTTCGGGTCACCCTCGGCAGGCTTGCGCAGCATACTCTCGCTGACATCGATCGCAAAGAGTACGGCATCTTTGACAGTCTTGTAGCCGCTCTCCTCGACTTCCTCTTCCTCTTCGTCCTCCTCATCCGAGCCTCCGCGGCCGTACTTGCTTAGATCGGCCATATGCTCTTCGCAACCTTATCACCTGTCCGCTGCTATACGTCGCCAGTACGCGCACGACGTCTGTACTCGTGCGCCTCTTCCACCTCCATCGTCGACGTTCGTGACTGTAACGTAAATGCCACCGACGTCGACCCTGTATGCACCTAAGGCTGCCTGAACGCGAATGTAACGCGGGTCAGCGTGACTTTTGCCTCGGCAGCTGCCCCTTTGGGGAAAGCGAGAGCGAACCTCGTCATGGACCTCTTGAAGGTTTCCAGTTGAGGAGACATACTCTACAACTACAATTGCATTCTGCACACTGGACGTTAGGCTTGCAGGGAGATCTACCAGTACAGCGAACGGATAAAGGCACATCGGACACGACATGAGCCTCCAAAGACCACTGCAGGCGCTCACCAAGCGCTCACTTCCATCCCAATACCTTCAACACCGCCCACGGATATGGCAGCCCCAGCGATGTATGGCAACGGTAGTCCCACCGGTAACGCAGGACTCGACCGGCTCCAAAGGACCTACAGCAATGGTGTTCATGAACATGGGCGGGCCAGCGACTACAGATGAAGTGGGCGACTTTCTGTCCCGCCTCTTCGCAGATGCAGACCTCATCCCGCTAGGACCTCTACAGTCATACCTTGGACCCTTAATTAGCAGAAGACGAACACCCAAGATCAAGCGACAGTATGCGGATATTGGTGGGGGTAGTCCGATCAGGAAGTGGAGCGAGTACCAAGCGAGCGAGATGTGCAAGCTGCTGGATAAGACCAACCCAGAGACGGCTCCACATAAGCCTTACGTTGCTTTCCGATATGCGAAGCCTTTGACGGAGGACATGTACCTGCAATTACTGGAAGACGGCTTCGGTAAGGGCCGAGGAGGCAGGGCAGTAGCCTTCACGCAGTACCCGCAGTACTCATGTAGCACAACTGGCTCATCGTTGAACGAATTATGGAAGTTGCGGCAGCGACTCGAATCACCCAGACGTAACCAGAACCTCTCTGCGGCCGAAGCAGAGGGTAGCATCAAATGGTCCGTCATCGACCGCTGGCCAACGCACCCAGGACTGGTCGAAGCGTTTGCCGAGAACATCACCAAAACATTGGAGACATATCCAGAGGACATCCGGGATAGTGTCGTGCTGCTATACAGCGCGCACAGCCTTCCAATGAGCGTAGTTAACCGGGGCGACCCGTATCCCGCCGAAGTAGCCGCAACTGTCTGGGCTGTCCAGCAACGACTCGGACACCGCAACGCATACCGTCTTTGTTGGCAATCGCAAGTCGGGCCGTCAGCGTGGCTCGGCGCGCAAACGAGCGATACTGTTAAAAATTTCGTCAAGAAGGGCCAGAAGGACCTCATACTGATACCGATTGCGTTTACGTCCGATCATATCGAGACGCTATTCGAGATCGATCAAGAGGTAATCCACGAAGCCGATCAACTTGGCGCAGAAGGCAGAACGCGGCGCGCGGAAAGCCTGAATGGCAGCCCAACATTCATCAAGGCTCTAGCAGACCTTGCCGGAAGCCACTTGAGGAACGACGAAGTGTGTAGCCGGCAGATGGGCCTGCGGTGTCCGGGCTGCAAGAGCGAGCGATGTTTGGAGCAGAAGCGATTCTTCATGGGGCAGGGAGTTCAGGCTAATGCTGCTGTAACGCTCTAAAAGTACTATTGTGTAATATATGAGCTAGACCATCCGATCCACCATATCGTAGGATTTCACTATTACTGCTTTGTTGCAGCTTGGTCCCGTTCGAGGGCCGCAAGAGCACCGCTGGTTCTCTCAGCGTTAGTACCCCGGGGCAGATCCTTAAGCTTTCTTGCGGGATTGCCAGCAACCACCGTATACGGCGGCACGTCCTGCAATCGTCAGTTGTTTGGAACTGAGCAAACCGAGATAACTTACGATACCTTCGTTACGATGCTACCAGCTCCGACAACACTGCCCTTACCAATCGTTACACCAGGCAGAACAACCACCTGACCGCCAATCCAACAGTCCTCTTCAATGTGGATCTCGCCACCCATCTCCGGACCCTGGGTACCGTTTCTCACTTCAGGATCTAACGGATGAGTACCAGAGTACAGCTGCACGTTGGGGCCAAATAGCGTTCTATCACCGATGGTAACTTGACAAGTGTCAAGGATCACGCAGCCAAAGTTGATGAAGACATTCTTCCCCAGTTTGACATTAGTCCCGTAGTCAATACGGACGGGAGGCTCTACCCACGCTTCGTCGGCCAGCAGAACGTCTTCTTCGTCCTCAGTGGCGACAGGTGGCGGGAGAGGTGTGTTGTCACCCATGATGCTGATCTTAGCGTCAGACACCGGGTAGTGATGATTGTACAATTGAACAGAGGTCGCATTACTCTCGCCAGATTTCTAGCCGTTTCCGCCTGGAGACCTCACCGCAGTTGTTGTACCGATCGCAGGCTTTCGTGCAGCGTCGACGTGCGGCCACTAGCTCGGGTGTGAAAGCATAGTATAGCTCACCTCGCAAGGCTCGAGCCTTGTTCTCTGACATTGCTGTCGCCATCTCTTGGACAGCCTTTTGGCGGAAGTAAATGAGTACTAAAAGGCAGTAGTTCCGGGAGGAGAGCGTCAATTGCCTAAGGCCGGCAATGTAGGTCTATTGATGGGGAGTCGCGATATACGAAGTCACGATAGTGAAATAGACGTGAACCGTGGGAGCGCGGGCGAGAGGGCTCTGGGACGGCACGGCGCGAACACCGTGATGCTTTCCAGCTCTCCTTAGTTTACGGATATGAGCCTTGCGACTCATCAATTATCCCATACTGGTCGTGCAACGCTACGATGTGGTTATCATTGCCGCTCTATGAGGAGCGTGGGCTGACTCCTATGCGTAGTCGATACGCTTTAAGGTCCACGGTCGTGAACAAGTCCACGACAAGAAGACCCTGCATGAGTTGAAGAGCTCATGCCCTGCTGGTGGAGAGCGACTCCGTCTATCTATTCCGATAGGCTGGCAAACCTTGTCGCCGCAGACAGTCCAAACCCTTTCCGACTGCAAGCGACTTCGACGTTCTCGGTACTCCAGTCGTCCTTCGGCACAGCTCCAGCAACTCACCAGGTTCCATTGTGCTCCAACACGTAATTCAGAGTTCACGCGTATACACTTTATCACCAAGTCGAAGTCAAACAGGTGACTGACGTTCAAAGGAGCTCACAGATACCCAAGAACATGTTAGTCGCATATAGAGAAGCACTACTGTGACAATGACGCCTCCCGTAGGATCTTGGGAGCTGCAAGGTTGCGCGCGAGGCTGTGAAATGGCACTTGCAGCATCCTCTCGCCATTCAGGTTCCTTGTCTCGTGCCATCCTTAAGATCTCTCACTTCACCGTATGCGCGCGTGCCTTGGGCCATCATAATGGCATCCTCTTACAGCCTCCCTGATTTTGAGTTTCATGAGTTCTCCATTTCACCTCTGGCGAACCCATTGTCGTCCAAGGAAGCAACAAGCTGCAACGAAGATGGCGGCGGGCAACGCTTTGTGCATGCGCGTGGCGGTCGGAGTGCGCAGAGCGAGGAATGGGCCCAACATCGTACTTTCGAACCTGGGTCCGATGCCTTAACACGGGACGGACCTCAATACGACGAGGATGGCACTGACCGTTATGGGAGAGACATGCCCTCAGAGTCCACCTCAGGGTCGGGCCAGCTTCACGGCCACCAGATGGACCGTGTAGGCAAGGTTGGTCACCGCGCCGCAGGTCTCACATGGCAGGGTGCCACTGGAGCCTCAGAGTCTCATCAGTCGCATAGTGCCATGAGCCAAGAATCGGGCGAAGGAGTAGGTGTGGCACTGCACGAAAAGTTTCGCGACGGAAGTGGGAACGAGGAGGACTGGGAAGGAAGCAACGTCAGGATAATTTCCACAGCACAACATGGAGACCCTAGATCGCAACCGTCGAACTTTCAGCCAACTGCGGATCACTTTGGTGGACATTCAGGCATGGCTGAACCTACACATTTCGGCATCCCGGGCTTCGGTGTGTCATCACGGGCAACAATCTTTCCCGGCCCCCATGGAGCGGATGCGCCTGAACGAAGCATCCCGACGCAAGATGACGAGGATGAAGTAATCAAGCAAGCAATGGAGTTGTCAAAGTACACCGCGGCGCAAGAGGAAATGCAACGCGCAGCTTATGCCGCACAACAGCAATCCATAGTTCGAAAGCCGCCTATAGCTCGATACCCTTTAGCTACAGCTGATACAGCGCATACAGCGCCCGCCATTGTCCAGTGCCCACCAAATGACATCCTACCAGAGTATTCAGAAGTACCAAAGCACTCCGCGAACCATGACCACACAAGCATAACAACGCGCACTACCGAAGATGGGAGATTCCTGCACGAACAAGAGGCTCGAAACACTGCAGCAGTTGGATATATGCAAAATGGTGCCCATGGTTTCCACGTAGTGGGACGGTCGAATGGTCCTGCGGCGCAAAATCAGCGCACCACTGTGGCCCCTTCCAGTACACATAACCGGTCAACGGATCGCGCGGACACATCTGACTCCGTGGCCTTCGATACTTGCCCGCCTTCCGCCGAAGATCCTCCGCCCCGGAACCCCGTGAGGCCAAGAACGAACATTGTCCCGCATGCTCCGAAGTCTGCTAATTCTAGTGTGGCATCGACGGCGGCCGTCCGATATTCATCCCAGAGGCCGAGTACGAGTGCCACTACCTTTCTTGATCCACAGGACGATAGGGTAGAGCGTGCGACCACCGTGGGTAGCTCACCATCGTTGCAGACTGCGGAGAACAGAGTGTCACGGTCTTCCTTGAATGCTTACAATCCTGTAAGGATTCCGATCTCGTCGAGTCCACCACCATCGGAGCGCGGTTCTTCTTCGCCCCAGATGCTACAATATCCTGACAATCAGAGAGCCAGACCGCAGTTTGTTATTCGGGAGTCTTCCCGAACGCGCAATCGAACCCAGAGCATATCTTCCGCTGGCGGCTCGGGTGAACTGTGTGAAAACTGCAGGACAATTGGACCTCATCGGTGGTATTGCAACGTATGCGGCATTGTATACTGCGGTATCTGCTGGGATAAGCCACTCTTCCACCAGGAGAATCACTTGGCTATTGGATCCATCCCACACGAAAGGACACTACGCAACATCGCAATGAAAGTAGCGAACGTTCTGACGCCAAAGCTCACAGATGCGGCGAGAGAGCAGCTGCACTTGGCTGACATTGATACGACCTGGTTTGGCGTAGTACGGGAGGGCCATGAGCGACCGCTTTTCCGAGATTATGGGCGCTACGCAAACCTCATGGCAAGTGCAAGGGACCTCAGACTTGAGTCTGCCGAGGCTACATCTGCGACCACCGCCGAGCTGAATCGCGATATCTTGTATCCTAGCCTGGTCTCGTTCGTGGGCGAGACTGGAGCGGGCAAGAGCACCTTGATAAAACTGCTGATTGACCTCCATTCCGAAGAGCATGAGACTTTCGCCACGCCAGTGGTTGGCGCACCAGGTCATGATATCTCCACGTCGGAGGATGTCCACCTCTACCTCGATCCACACACTTCAGAGTCTCAGGCTCCAATCCTGTTCGCAGACTGCGAGGGCTTGGAAGGCGGCGAAAGAGATCCGACTGGAGCAAGGTTGAAGAAAGAGGCAGAAAGGCGACACAACGCAGCGCTTGCTGCTGGCAACCGCCGTCGACCAAGACTCAAGCATACATCCGAGCGCGAACTTCTCTGGGCAGACAGTCCGCACACTCAGAGCCGCACATTCGCTGTCGCCCACCTCTACCCACGACTCCTCTACACTTTCTCTGATGTAATCGTCTTTGTCCTCAAGAATCACAGGTAAGGCGTATGCGTTTCTTGTCGTGCTCTGAGTGGCCTAACGTGTGCCAGAGCAATCGAAAGAGTGCTCGAGCGCCTCGTCGACTGGGCTCAGGCTGCCTTGGAAAAGTCATCAAATCAACCGGTACTACCGCACGCCATTATCGCTCTTAATGCGTGTGAGAACGACATACCTGTGGAGCTATGGGATGTCGATACTGCTACCTCGCGTCTGCTTGCAGACATGTCTCGAACTGTACATCAGAACGCCACCTTCAAAAAGCACGCCGAATTCTGGCGGGTCCGAGACCGCCAGATCGATAGCGTACAAGATCTACTTCACGCTTATTACCGCTCAGTACGAGTGGTTCGGATTCCGACTAACGGGAGACCGAAGCTTATCGACGAACAGGTCATGAAGTTCTCAGAGGGAATCCAGCAAGCCAGCAATGAAGCAAGAGACAAGAAAGCTGAACTGCGTATGTTGTTTGATGCCGATGAATTTCAGCCTTACCTACAGGAAGCCTTCGATCACTTTGCGAAGGATTTGAACACCCCGTTCGACTTCGTGCAAGCTTCTCTAAAGAACAGCCCTATACCAAGCGATTTCGGTGGGAACATACTCAAGCTTGCTTTACAAATCATGCACCGGTGGAAGAACTTGGCAAAAGGTGACACAATCTTCGAAGAAATGAGCTACGTTGTGGCTTCTTGCATCATGCTTGATGCCGCTCGCACCGGGAAGCTAGGTAACCCGCTAGAGATATTTCCGAACTACCTTGAACATCTGGACAACGCGCTAGAAAATTTCTGCCTCCATCACTGGCCATGCGAGTATATCAGCAACAAGGCGGGCAGATGTGGAAACGTGCGCAGCGGCCATGATGCGAAGGGGCATCAGTTGAGCTCGGGCAAACTTCTCGCAGCCGGAGCCTATCAATCCAAGTTCTTCTTCGAGGGATACCAACACTCCTTCAGAGACAATACGTTCCACCTGCTGGTCGCGCTGCAGCGGAGGGTTCGAGCTTTAGAGCAAGATGGAATGTCGGAAGAGATGGCTGCTGCAGAGGTACACAAGAACCACGTACTACCTCTGTTTCTCGAACACGCTTCCCGAGCCGAGCCTAGAGAATTCGTCAGCCACACGGTCTGCTTCTGCTGCTTGTTCGACCCTCCGGAGCATGCGCTGCCTTGCGGACATATAATCTGTACGCGGTGCCTGACTTTGTATGGCCATGTGCACAGCAAGCGATTCGTTGAGATCCACGAATGTCCTATGGAGCGGCGAGCACGTCGGTTCCGGAATGTGTGGCAGATCGAACTGTTCCCTCCTAGTTGTGGCGTGAGAATATTAACACTCGACGGTGGTGGAGTACGCGGCATCGTTGAGCTTGAGATTCTTCGTCACCTCTTCCAAGAGCTTGGTTGCATCAACATCCAGAACTTTTTTGACCTAATAGTTGGCACTAGCACAGGCGGCTTGATTGCGCTGGGATTGACCTCGCGCAACTGGACGGTCGAAGAATGCATTGAGCAATTCACCACCTTCTGTAAGCAGGCTTTCACACTCCGCAGGGGAATCGGAGTTCCAGTAATTGGCCAGCTCGTTTCCCATTACAACCACTCACGGTACGAGACCCAGCCGCTCGAAGATGCGCTGAAGACAGCCTTCACCCATGAGCAATATTTGTTTGGCGGCCGCCGCGCTGATCCCGGAAGTACAAGTACCAAGGTTGCCGTGACCGCGACAGCTGCTGCCGGACAAAGTGTTGTCCTGTCTAATTACAACCGACTGTGCACTAGGAAATGTAAGCATACTGAGGCTTTCTATGCGCAGTACTGATATGTATACGCACTCACAGTACCCTATCATTTCCAACGACCAGACAACCTCGACACCGAACTCAAGACATGGGAAGCGTAAGTGACCCCAAGCGGCTTAGACTGCTCGCCTTACGCTGACATCTGGGCAGCGCTCGTGCGACTTCCGCTGCGCCAACGTACTTCAAGCCGCTTTGCCATGAGCCTTCAAAGATGGTCTATTCGGACGGCGGCGTGTATCACAACAACCCGATCGTTATCGCAGACTACGAGCGCAAACTGATTTGGCCGCACCAACAAGACGTAGAACCAGACATCATAGTATCAATCGGTACTCTGTACAGCGACAAGACGAAAGATAAAAGGGCCCTGAGCCAGAAGTGGACCTCGTCACCACGGGGAGTAGTGTCTCATGGGAAGTTCCTTCAGAAGATGGCCACCGATCATCTTCACACGTCGCTGGACTCAGAACGTGCGTGGAACATGTGGCTGAACGCTCGAGATCCTACCGGCGCAGACAAAGCCCGGTATGTTCGACTCAATCCAAAACTCGAAGACCACCCCCCAAAGCTCGATGAGGTTAGTGAACTTCGCCATCTTCAAGAGCTCACTTGGAGGTGCATCAAAGACGATCGCCAGTACGGATTACTTGCACTACGCCTTGTTGCTACTTGCTTTTATTTCGACGTCTCGGGCGACGTTAGAGAGGACTATGTCAAGGATGTCTTTGAAGTATCTGGTATGACTACCATGGCCCAAACCCCACTTTGACATGTACACAGACTAAGTTGTGGTCAGGCTACTTACAGTGCCGACTCAGGACCGGCGTTGAAATCGAGGAGCTTGGCCGGTTTATCAAGCGAAAAGCGACAGCCGGACACGATGCCCATTTCCTCATCCAGGAGGAGGGCAACGAGACCACCATCCCCGTAGAAGTTCGCCTTGACTCCAAAATAATTGATCGAATGATCGATCGTCGGACCTTCAGACTGGATCAGAGAGTGGACATCCGTCAAAGTAACAAGTCATCGCGGACGCAAATTTCACTTTGCTATACCAGAGACACTTCGTATCCCATCAGCGGTTTTCCGCGTCAATTACATTCCAGCAAAGCCTACTTTGCGACGAGCCGCCACGGTCTGAGTTACACGAGTTCCTTTAGATGGGTCGCAAGGAGCGACAGTCAGCATCAACGCCGCTTTGACTGGAAGCCACAAACTCTGGCCGCTCCCATCAACGCTGAAGACTTGATTGAGCGTTATGCCGATGCCACGCACCTGCTTGGGAATGCGATGCAAAGTGACCTCATGGACGGCAAGGGCGGCAAGGGGTGTGAATATCCCGGCGCACTACTATCTCCGTACGCATTCGCAGCACACAGCGTTGGTTCACACGTCCAGCCTGTCGTGGCCGAGCTCGCCGCCACGCCGGTGGTCCAACAATACCACGAGCTGCCCACGTTCTCCGAGCGAGTAACGGATCGGTCACTGTACTTTGAGGCCAAGGATGATTGGGTGGCTTTCGGCAAAGAGTACCTAGATTTGATGAAAGGCGACCTCGTGAAAGTCTCGGAGAAGCTAGAAACCGGTAAGTACTTCAATGACGGTTGAATGGCAGATATAGATCACTCATGGGTGTGCGCAGGGTGGTGGCGCGCCCAGAAGCCGGGTGACAGCCAACCACGATTCGTTCCACCCTCGTGGCTGCGGCCAGCTGGACCGGATGGACATTCCAGATTCTCGCGCCACCCTCAGGAGCTGTCGACAATACGTGAGCAACGCTCTGATGCATCGCTCGCATCAAGCAATCCCGAGATATAAACGCCGATCGCCTGGTACACTCTCATGCCTTGTTGAACAGCGGCAACGCTCCGGCTGGACGGGCGGTATCCGGAGGCTTTGTGCAAGAACTCTCGGATGCGCCTTCCTCCCGCTTTCTCATCAAGCGCGAACGCAACACATATATGCCAACAACTGATGCAATGAAGGATACTGTGATCCCTACGTAGGCACCAAACAGCTTCCCGCCTTCCATGAACTGGAACTCCTGCACACCAAAGATAGACTGAGGTGTGTTAGCCCTTCGTGCATCTACATGTCTGATTACGACCATGCGCTCACCGCGATCAACCCTGCTGGAAGGAACACTGAACCCAGAAGTGCAAGGAACTTCATGTCTTCGCTGTCACGTTGGGACGCCCTTGCGATCTCCAGTTGAATGCGACTGTCGCGTTGATGGATAAGATTGTACAGCTGGAAGTCATTAACGAAACCCAAGCTGCGCCATATCGGACGGTGTAAACGAGCTACACTGGGTGCTTACCGTATTGGAGACGTTGTCGACGCGCGAGACGTGATCAACATCACGCGCTATCAAGCTCTCCAATCGCCGCCAGCTCAGTGCCGTCCAGTCCTGCAGTTCACAGTGTGCCTTCAGGAATACGGGCTGAGGTACGTGATCTAGAGCCTTCTCGGCGTAGGCGAAGCCTACCTGTATCGCGTTGTGAACGGAGGTCCAAAGGTGATACCGCCCCTCACGGCTGATTTGCTCGCTTCTGCAGCTGTTCAGGAGTTTGATCAGATGTTCAATGTCTTGCAATCCACTCGTGCTAACGGTTCGATTGTGTGACCACGGCGAAGTGGACATGGTGAGTCTTCCGACGGTCTCTTCGAGTATAGCAATCTTCTTCTTGATTGCGCGACGTCGCTCAAGGGCAACGCGTAGGAGCTCATTGAACATAATGCATGGCGCAAGGACGGGATGGAAGGCGAACTCCTTGAGGTGCTCCAGATTCTGCGTAATCGAACGAACATTGACACGATTATCTACGCTCCAAAAGAGCGACGTGCACTTTCTCGTCCGATCGTGGCTCAATGCCATCGCCCAATCGCCACGCTTGAAAGTACAGTGCGCGATGAACGTATATTTCGTGGTCCGTTTTGAGCCGTCGGTTGTGGTTTGTGCGTGCGCAACACCTAACGAGCCGTCGGCTATCTGCAGGTAAGACAGTGGCAGGTCGAAGTCGCGAAAGAATGATTGTAAACTGTGTTTGTCACGGAAAGGCAGCGAGTCGGAGCGGCCGCTGACGTGCTCTGGTCTGCTTCCCTGGAAAAGACATCTGAAGAGACCAGTCCGTGCTGGCGAGCTCGTCGCCACAACATGTGGACCTGGAGGTCTTGTAGGTAGGCGCTCTGAGAAGGTCGCGGCAAGTGAACTGCGTCCCACCTTCTCAGGTTCTTCGGTGCATATCTGATAGCATGCTTGGCCATGCTGCTCAACGCTTGTTCAGCGGCGCGACAACGCTGAGTGGCTGGGTTGCTTACTTCGAATGTCTCTATGGAGTGGTAGGTGCATGGGACGCTTTCGAACCTACCCTCTTGTTCGGCTTCGGAGAGACAAGCTACGTGCAATGCTTCCATGACCGAGTAAAAGCGCAATTATGTTGTTACAGAAGGTCTGAAAGGAACACCCCATCGGTCACCCTGAAGGAGCGCCCTCGGATGGCTTTGCACTCAGCCAAGGCTGGCGAAGCATTGCTGGTTTGGCGGCGGCGCTCACACCTGGTTGCTTCTACAGAGCAGCAATGTCATCTCGGCCAGGGGAGCGATGCATCCACAAGCACAAGTGATCGCTCGATTGAAAATACGTCGAGTACTACAGCTGGACTCGAGCTGAGCTCCAGCGGGATTTGACAGTCGTGCTTAAAGATGAAAGAATGAATCGGGCACCCTGCGCTTCGCCAAGCCTGCGTCTCCCCGCCGTGCGTGCTCCGCGCCGCAATATCTCCGTTCTATAAGTCCAACATGTCGCTCAAATATGGCCTGAATGTAAAGAAGGCTGCTGCTGCACCGACGCGACGACCAATATTAGATGAGTTTGAAGACGAGGAAGACCCTGTGGAAGATGTTGGGCTGCCAGGTAAAGGCGCGCCCAAGCGCAATGAGCGACTTTCAGACCAGCCAAAGGCGGACTTGTCGTCGCTGGGGGCATCGCGAAAGCAGGTCAAAGCAGCCGAAGAGCTAGACTCAAGCATCTTCGATTATGACTCCTTCCATGACGCTAAGTCTACCGTCAGCGAAGCGAAGAAGGCTGCCGCTAAGCAGGAAGCTATCGAGCGGAAGCCGAAGTACATCAACAACTTGCTCGATGCTGCAAGCAGAAGGAAGCAGGATCAGTTGATCGCTAAGGAGAAGTTGCTGCAGAAGGAGCGTGAAGCGGAGGGTGACGAGTTTGCGGACAAAGAGAAGTTCGTCACGGGCGCGTACAAGCAGCAGCAGGAAGAGGCGAGACGACTGGAAGAAGAGGAAAAGAAGCGGCTGGAGGAGGATGAGAAGCGCAAGAGACAGATGGGTGGCGGTATGCAGGGTTTCTATCGGAACATGATGGATCAGACTGAGCGGCAGCATCAAGAGGCCGTGGAAGCGGCTGCCAAAGTGGAGAAGGAAGGTGGGGTGAAGGTGTCCGATCAGAGAACGCAAAAGAGCGACGCGGATTTAGCAGCTGAACTCAAAGCGAAGGGTGTCAACGTGCATATCAACGAAGAAGGTCAGGTCACGGACAAACGGGAGCTCCTCTCCGCAGGCCTCAATGTTGCTCCAGCAGGCCGAGGCGGCGACAAGGTCAGTGGTGCTGATCATCTGCGGACGTCGAAAATGGCAGCACAGGGAGCATATGAGAGGAAAGATGCAGGCAGCCAGCAAGCTCAGCGTGAGAGGCAGAGCAGGATGATGGAGGAGCAGCTTGCGGCGCAGGTTAAGCGACAGCGGGATGAGGAAGAAGAGGAGAGAGAAAAGCTTGAGAACGCTGCCAAGAGTCAGAAGACCGATGTCAGTGATGCAAAGGCGAGGTACCTCGCCAGAAAGGCGGCGAAGGAGAGAGGTGAGGGTTGAGCTTAGAAGCCTAGAGCGACCGCTCAACACAACAACGCTCTGCAGTGTAGTGGATCTGTAATGGCGCCAAGGGAGGATTTTCTCGATCAGTGTGAGTCTTGACTTTTCTACATCACTAATGGGCTGCCTTACAGGACGGCGAGCTTGACTTCCGTCGCCATGACTTGCTCGTATCAATTTAATGCCCAAGATGGATGGTCTTGCCAGCGTGCGGACCGCGGTACCACGTCATATTTTGCAGCGCTCTCGGATCACTCGTTGCGATGCTCAAAGCTGGGTGCTGACATATTCCATAGCGATCCAATTCAAATCGTACGCTCAGGAAGCCACCCTTGAGCCGCCGACAGGTTGGGAGTATCAGATATTTGCTTCTTGGAGCTACTAATTGCGACTGTTCGCGGGCTATCGAATGCCATGCTGTTTACTGTCGCCATCAGCGATGCAATACTCCGACCTTTCCCCGGAATTCAGTCGGCGCAACTACGAGCGCTACGGCCTTAACATGCACAACACCTCCACAATTGCGCGCAAGTCCACTTCCGAAGAGTGCTCGCAATCGTGGATTCGTGCGTTGCGGGCTTGGTAAAGCTGCTGAGCAAGACTTTATGACTGCAAATGGCATGCACTGCGAAAGATTCGGACGTAGACGGTGATGCAGTAGAGACCAGTCAAAACAATAAATAGGGCACTCATCGGCCTGAGTATCTCGTCCTTCTCCATCACACTTCATCACTCCTCACTAACCATTGTGCACCCACTGCAGCGTTTCAGTGAAAAACTACACGCAAGAACAAGGAACATGGACACCACGTTGGCAGCCAAGCTCACCTCGATCTCGACCTCATTCATCTTGGCTGGCTACATGCTCTCACCATCGCAAAACACCCTGCCGCTGCTATACCCACAGCCAGCATCAGTCAGCACACCACTTTTCAATGGCGTCTACCACCGTGGAGCGGCCCTTGTCATCCCAGCCACGTTACTTTCAACAGCAGCGAGCGGCTATCTCGCTTACGCGACTCCTTCGCAAAGGACAACATACGCTATGTCTGGCGCAATCGTATTCGCGATGCTGCCGATGACGAGATTGGTAATGATGCCGGGTATCAAGCGCCTCATCCAACTTTCGAAGGCGGAGACGGGCATGCAGGAGAAAGCGGCGGCAAGTGGGGAGGTGCTGCGCTTGCTGAAGGCTTGGACGGCGCAGAACTGGGTCAGAGTGGGCATGAGCGCTGTTGGTGGGCTCGCTGCACTCTACGCTGTTGCGCAGTAACGATCCCGAAGGCGGTAGACGATCAGTATGGAGCTGTAGGATAGTCTTTGGTAATAGGAAGCATTGATTTTTCCTTCGCCGATGCTGGTTTCATCGCGACCTCAAGCCTCGAGCCAAGTCTCCCTCCTTGGTAGACTCCATCCCTTGGTCTCTGGTATTGTAAGCATACGATGCCAATGAACAAGGCGGCAAATGCGGCCTTGGCGCGGAAGCTGAACGGAGGAGCGGTTAATATCACCATGGAGTTCTCCTCTGCGCATCCCTACACGTGCTCGAATGTTCTTGAGCAGATATCCAGGTGAGATATACAAGCCGTCGCGCTGTAACCGGAGAGACGGTATCGAGCGGACGAGAGCTTCTAACGACGTAAGGCTGAGCTTACAATTCGACTATAGCGTCATCAACTCCATTGAAAAGTGCAAGGGGACATGACGCGCTCAGACAACGTCCTCGGCACATGCTGTCGTTTCTGCCACTACCATTGGAAAACCTGAGCAAATAGTCGCATTTCTAAGCAATTGATAGTGGCAATGGTGGACTCGCGAAACAGCTAGGCTTGATATATTTCCATATTCCCACATCTTCATACAAACTGTGTACCACTCACCATTTCTTGCCGTCCACCTATCAAGAGACTCGATTTTTGATACTTGCTACTCTGACCTCCCACTCTTAGCCAAGCTTAGCAACCAACAATGGCATCAGGAGACCGCTATGCTTCGGAGGACGCCAGCCCGGCGCCTCTGGGCCAACCACTGAAGTTCGAGTTCAGCGGCAAGACCGCCAACAACCGCTTTCTCAAAGGCGCAATGACCGAACGCTTGTCGTCATGGGACCCGAAGAACTTCGAAGCCCGTGGCATTCCCAGCAAGAGCCTTATTAACGTCTACCGTATATGGGGCGAAGGTGGGATTGGTAACATACTGACTGGCAACATCATGATCGAGTATGACCATCTCGAGGCTGCCGGCAACGCCATTATTCCACGCGGAGCACCGTTCTCTGGTGAACGTTTCGAGGCCTTCAAAGAGATGGCTGCGGCAGGTAAGAAAGAGGGCAGCCTGATGGTTGGACAGGTGTCACATCCGGGACGGCAGGTGCAGGACAAGATCCAGCCGCATCCGATCTCAGCTAGCGATGTGCAGCTAGAGGGCGATATTATGGGCATGACGTTCGCAAAGCCTAGAGCAGCGACTGAGGAGGACATCAAGCATGTCATTGAAGGCTTTGCGCATGCCGCTGAGTATATGGAGAAGGCCGGCTACGATGGCATTGAGCTTCACGGCGTGAGTTTTACGTGTCTTGAGAGTTTGTTCGATCTAGACTAACATTGCACAGGCTCACGGCTACTTGTTAGCCCAGTTCTTGTCGCCCACTACTAACAAAAGGACGGACAAGTACGGTGGTAGTCTCGAGAACCGCGCGCGGCTCATCCTCGAGATCGCTCAGGAAATCCGCAAGCGTACCTCACCATCATTTATCATGTCGATCAAGCTCAACAGTGTCGAATTCCAAGAAAAAGGCTTCCAGCCCGAAGAAGCCAAGAAGCTTTGCTCGCTCCTCGAGGAGAACCGCTTCGATTTCGTTGAGCTTAGCGGCGGCACCTACGAACAGCTCGCCTTCGAACACAAGCGCGAGTCGACGAAGAAGCGGGAGGCGTTCTTCATGGATTTTGCGGACATGATCGCTCCCGTGCTCACCAAGACTAAAGTCTACGTCACAGGCGGTTTCAAGACCGTCGGTGCCATGGCGCACGCCCTGCAGACGGTGGACGGTGTTGGACTTGCCCGTCCGGTCTGCGCTGAGCCACGCTTGTGCAAGAGCATTCTTTCTGGCAAAGTGAAGGGCGCCCTCAAGCAGCATATCGACGAGAACAACTTCGGTACGTATATAAGTTCTTATCGTTGCTGCTGTCGGAGACATAGCTAACGGTAAACCAGGCCTCACAAACGTGCTTGCGGGTACGCAGATCCGGCAGATGGGCAAGGATCAGGAGCCGATCGACCTCAGCCGCGATGAGAATGTCGAGGCGTTCATGAAGGATATGGGCGCGTGGATGGAGAAGATGCAGAAAGATAGCGAGGGTTCCAATTACGGCTACATTGACATCATGAGCGCGAAGCCTGTTCCGTACGGTGGGCCGTCTGTATAAGGTCGTTAGCGAGGCATCATCATTGCACTAGAGAAGCTAGACATAGATGAAATCAAAGAGTGATTCCACTACAGTATTCGTCACGCTGCCATTGTCACGGTCATATCAAGACTGGAAATATGCAGGTGACATGGCATCTCATAAGGATCTTGTCTTTCGCTGAACTGATCAAAGGCGGCCGGAATGGCTAAGAAGTGAACTTATACCGGGAAATGGTATCATGAGCAGCATGCGCCTCCTTGAGTCAGATATACTGATGGGGTTGAGTATAGCATAACCAGTTTAAGCAGAATGAAAGGCACCTGGAGGCTTTGGAGAAGCTTTTTCTGACGCGGAGCCAAGTCCGCTCGCAACCTTCATAAATTCTATCATACCGCACAGACTTAGAACTCACATCTGATACTACCAGACGGAATTATGGGCCGCGAAATACAGAAGAGGAAGAACCGCTCTGGCATCGCCAAAGCACGCCGGAAGCCAAAAACGAAGAAGAGTCTGCTTCAACACCCCATCATTGCCGCAAACTGGGACAAGTCGCAGACGCTTGAGCAGAATTATCAACGACTAGGCTTGGCTTCGAAGCTCAACAAGCACACAGGCGGTCGCGAGAAGAAGTTGGAGGATGTTCACAGACTGCGCACTGCGCGTGACGAGGATGTAGGGTTGGAGAGGAAGCAGGATGCGCTGGCCATCGCTTCGCTAAGAAGGCCGGAACAGCTGAATGTGGCCGAGGCGAAAGTTGAGCGCGACCCGAAGACAGGACGGATTATGAAGATTGTAGACTCAGCAGAAGGGCCGATCAAGGCGAACCCTCTCAACGACCCGCTGAACGATATTGACAGCGACGTAGAAGACGAGACTCTAGGCCAGCACGCCGATACCATGGGTGTTGCCGAGTCAGCACAGGGCGAGACGCGCTCCGAGGTAGTGGCAAGGTTGGAACAGGAGGCTCGACGGCCGGCAAAGAAGTATAAGCCGAAGTCAAGTGACAACGAGCGTGCTTTTATCGCCGAGTTAGTTGGGAAGTACGGCGAGGACTACGCAGCGATGGCACGGGACCTGAAAATCAACTATATGCAGCGCAGCGAAGGTGACCTGAAACGGAGGATCAAGAAGTGGCGGGAAAGCGGTGGCGAAGTTGGTTGAGTACCGCCTCTTTCGGTGTTCGGAACAACTCATAGAACGGCCCTTTATGGTCGACCTGGATGACATTCAAGACACTGGCGAGTATATCTTGAAGTTGCTTCGATCGTCGGACGATGCGCCACTGAGATGATCTGCGTCATCTCGACACTATCAGTCTTGTCAAATTGAAGGCGTGTTGTGTCTGTGCGGGATACGCCGCTCTCTAGTTGGGACGCTGTTGACGCGCAATTCCGAGTAAGCAACCGCAGCGACCTTTGTTCTAGGTTGGAGAGCGTCGTAGGTCTTGACGAGACCTCTGACACAACGAGTCGCTTCGTGTCTACGTCCTACAGTGCCGCCATCTTCATCACCGGTGCTGCTAGGACATCTCCTCTTCCGCGGACGCTGGCGACGGTCCTACAGCAGGACTTTGCAGCAAATAAAAACGAACAGGCGACTTGTCAGTTCTCGGGTGGCGCTGTCCTGAGGGTCGGCTGGAAGCAGGAACTGGATCACGTGGTCACTCTGATTCACTATCTCACCTGACCCTTCGGTGGCCTCAAAACTGGTATCGTGCAAGACAGTCTATCACCAGAACCACAACACCAGCTGCGTACGATCAAATTCCGGCGCAGTAGTCTGCTGCTATCTGCACATGCAGCTTCCAATAGCACAAACAAAATGGCGCTTTGTCGCATACCCTCAACCGTGCCTATTTCACCTCCATTTCTCTACCGTTTCTTTTGTACGCTAAGACAGACATTACGCTTGTTGAAACTTTCTCTTTCAACATGTCAACACAAGCCGAAGATGTCGGACGCCAAGTCCACTTCACGGACACCTTCGCTCCATCCGCCCTCAGTCTCCGTCTGAAACTCGGTCCGCGAGAAGCACCCTCGATGGTGTTAAGGATCAGCGTGTATTTCGAACATGGACGACTGCCGCGGATCAAAGTGAAGACGAAGAAGCCACGAGAGATGCGAAGGAGGAGCCAGCCGGGCATGGAAGAGGATCGTAGCTTCGTCCCATAACGACATGCGTACCGGAAACGGTCGCCAGCGAAGGCCGTCCGCCCTACGCCAAATCGCCTGCGAGGTGGTCTGTTGCACGCGTTCACGCCAGAAGGACATCGTTATACCATTTGGGGAACTCGTTACCGACCGGTAATGCCATCGGCCCGTGAATCTCCGCCTCCGTTCGCAGGCTCGTCGCTGGTCCCTCCAGAAAGGTAATCCTTGCTTTCGGCTTCCTCGTACTCGTTAATCAAATCCATGACGACCTGCGGAGAACAGTCAGCAAGCAGATCTGGATTGATGCTCGGCAGTTGGGGCCGACCTACCTCTCTGGCTTCATCGAACTCGCCCAATCCATCACGGAAAGGCTCCTCTCGCTTATACTGCTCCAAGAAGGCGTTTCGCTTCCTGAACGCATCATACTGGGACACGATACGCTTGAAAAGCGTTGCGATGCCGGTATGGTTTGCAAGCATTAAGCCGCTAACTCTTGGCGGGTTGTGGTCAGTGTACGGTGGTTGCAGATACGGCGACGTGCGGGTCAAGGCAACTTGGATGCTGGCTGGACCCCACGGGATGAAGTTTGCGAGGTTGCGTTCTCGGATGCGAAGTAGCGATTTGTGCACCTGGGAAGTGTCAGCAACGGGGGATTACGGTGCGGGTTGCTCAACGTACATCTGTCGGATCAGCTTCGCCCATGATGATGTTGAGAATGGAAATGTAGCAGCTATTCTTGCTAGGCTTAGTAGACACCATCTGATTCTTCGGCTGAAGTAACCGCCTCATCACATCCAGCACGGTCGTCTTGCGCACAGTCTTGGCTGCTTCCACGCTGTCGCCGGTGAAGGGCGTATAGGCAGTCTGCAGGAAGTGGCAGCGCGGTGTCGGTATCAGACTTGCCATAATGCCGACTAAATCATTATGCATGTAGCCCGGATATCGCAACGTCGTTGTGGATGCAGACATTACCGTGCTTACGAGCTGGTTGGTTTGCTCAAATGAGGGTTGCTGTATGTGTAGTGTATCTGCCGCAATGCGTGCGAGTGCTCCATTGTCAAGCACCACAACCGAGTCCGCGTTCTGCGTCAGTCTCCGGAGCGCGAGAAGTGAGTTGTACGGCTGCACCACAACATCTCCTCGACCTTGCGTGTCCGGGAAGACTGAGTAAGTCTGGATGACTTTCTTCGGAAAGCGGTCGTTCAGCCGCTCCAGCAGAAACGACCCAAGACCTGATCCAGTACCGCCAGCGATCGAGTGCAGTAGCATGAAGCCCTCCAGACTGTCACTTCCGTCTGCTTCTCGGTCTATCATCTCCATGACTTCCTCCTCAACCTCACTTCCTCGGGAATAGCCGGCGGCCCAGTTATTGCCCGCCCCAGTACCCTCCTTGAGCACGTAGAAGTTCTCCGGGTTGTAGATGCCGCCGTAGCCTCCAGTTCGTATGCCATTGATGACTCGTGGCTCCAGATCCAGCAGGATGGCCCTGGGGATGTAGCGCGTGTCGTCGGACTGGTAGAAGAAGACATCCTTGCGGTCACCGCCTTCCGTTGCATAAGGGTGGAGGTTGCCGGTGGGATCGATACCGTGTTCGAGACATAGTTGCTGCCAGAATTGGCTGCCCACTGCGCATTGTGCTCGTCAGCGGGTAGTGCTTGTGATGGGATGCGGTTGTCTGTGACGCACCGCTGTTACCGCACTGCCCAGCCTGGAGTGTGATGATCTCACTAAAGCGCTATGTCAGACGACACTGGGCCATATGCCCCAGCATGACTACGTACCGTGGCATTGTCACTCATCGTTCCGCGCTGTGCACATGGGAAGATATCTTGGAAGAGCGAGACGCGAGAGTGGGGCACGCGTCAAAGGTCGCGTTTGTACAGGCGTATCACATGTCAGCCATTTATTAACAAATGTTACCACGTGATGCTAAACTATAACTGTGGCAGGTCGAGGTTGACGATGATGGAATTTGGGTATCTTGGTTACCTATGGGTTCTGACCGCGCTTGACCATACCTTTGCTCGCGACAGGCATGAACTGCTTATTCCAAAACCGGAAAACAAAAGTGATCCACACCCACCACCTATACACGTCCAGTAGACCACCCAAGCTTATCGGCAGCCACCCCTCCCTCTTCGTGTCATCGTAGGCTTGGCACACCTTCACGTACTTCTCCACGTCGTCCGTAATTACTCCGTCGAGCTGCCGTCGGATGCACCACGTCATCCTGTCCTCTTCATTGACTGTCCATGCAATGACTTGTCGATGCTGCTTCTGCCGTGCATCACGTAAGAAGCTCTTCCCGCCTGGTGCGATGAGTATGGGGAGAAGCATGTTGAAGCCGACCTTTGGGATTGCGAAGAAGTGTCGCGCATACCAGGTGGAGAAGCCAATGTGCATCACCGGAAAGGTTGGTAGGTGTGCCTGACAGAGTGGCAGGTACTTGGCCGCCCAGATGCCCAGCACAACCCGCTGATCCCACGGTTTGCCGGTCGCCGCAGTTGGTGTAGAGGACATTGTCGAAGCGAGCAATCGCATCAGAGTTTCAGCGTCGACGTCGAGCTTAATGTCCAGCAGTACCCACAGCTCCTCAAGTCCCGGCTGCGCAAGGTATTCCAAAAGATCTTTCAGTCGCGGCATCGTTTCGTGTGGCTCGGCAGTGGTTCGCAAGTCTTTTATCTCATCCCACGTCTTATCGATGATCTTCTCATCTCGGTCAAAACACCGCTTCAGGCTGCCGTCATGGCTAAGCACCACAACGTCGTCCTTCGTGATATGCACGTCGGTTTCGATAGCATGTGTGCCGGCGGCGACCGCCCCTTTGAAGGCGGCCATGGTATTCTCGGGATACTTTGCCTTGTACCCGCGGTGGCCGATACACTGCGGCATGCGCTGCTTTCGTTCGTCCAGCCGAGCTTGAGCGAATGTGGGAGCTGGGAAGACGTCGTCCTCGGCCATGGTGTGTGTGCGAAGGAGCGGCTGCCGTTCGCCCTCTGGCATGCCTGCCTTTCCGTAAGATACTGCTCGGCAAATGGCGTAGCAGACCGGTAGTGGTTGCGAACGGCGCCAATGAGCGAGAGATATCGGGAATGGTAGATGTCTGGTAGACGGGAACACTACGAAAGGAAACAATGAGGAAATAGTGGGATGCATCAAAAGGAAATAATCTCCTCCAGCCTCCTGCCGCTGGAAAGCGCAGTCAAGCCAGTTCGCTTTGCGAATCGCGTGACAGTCGCATTCAACACTGACGGCAACCTGTCGTTCCGATGATCCTAACTCCGCCTCTGTGCATTGGAGCGAGCAGGCTGCATGTTGACCTGCCCGCTCGTGGCTAGGCTGGAGTGGATGCGCATGCGAGTCGCATGGAACGGGAAGAATTCCCTTCGCTCCCGCCTCGATTGAGACAATCGAAGCTTGGGCCTCTTCCTAGCGTCAGTCTTAGAGTTATGGTTGTATTGAAGCGTAACGTGCTTCGCTAGCGCAATATGAGCAGCAGCGATACTGAAGTGCAGCGATGAACGGCCGATTTCTGCGCTAACAACTCGTACTGTGAGAATGAGATGGTGATTCTATCACAGCACAGACTATGTTGGGTTGCGAAGGACAGGAGACGCGGTTCTTCCCCGTTTGCTTGGGATTGTCATGAGACACATCCTCTCCTCGTACATCCTGTCATGCTGAATCCTAGGGCAGGCTATTTGCTATTGAAAGGATTAAACATATAAAACCATGGCGGACCAAGTTGGTAATCAGCCACAATCAAGAAGAACAAGATTGCTTTCCTTTGGTCATCCCTACTATCTCTCACATAGATGCCGTGTTCAATCTGGCTGCCAGCAGGAGATTTCGTCCTTCTACCACCCGAACTGCTCCATCAAATCATATCACACCTGCCACTCTCCGCTGCCATCGCGCTCAAGCTCGTCAACAAAGCTCTATTCCGAGCAGTCCGCCTTCCGAGCGACACTCTCAGCAGAGACTCTCGTTACAAGCTTCCGTACTGCGAGCAAGATGCCATCCGCCGCAACATCAATGAGTACTGGGTTATGAAGAGCTGCAGGCGTAGGTGCGCGGTCTGCGACAGTGTCCAGCATCTGCGTGACTTTCCGGAGAGCAGCGCCGCTTGCCATTTCCACGACGAGCGCTTGACGATGGGAGTTGAGGAGCACTTCTCGAAGCCGTGGGACGAGCTGCTGGCGACAGCCGAAGGCTCCATGGTAGTCTCGAAGCGTCCGTTCTGTATGCACAAACGTGAACTCGTGCCGCAAGATGCGAGTAATTGCTCGTGCGGATGCCCTAGTTGCGCACATCCAGAGGTAGTCTGCTTCTCCCGAGCAGGAGATCTCGCATTCGTTTGAACACGCAGACTTCTTCCGCAAATTAGTTGCGGAAGCTGCTTGTATTGCGAGGGCTGGCGGCCACCCTTTTACGCTGGGTCATACTACCGCCAATTCGATCGTCTGCGAATTTACGCATCGGTAATGCACCCATGGCTGGCGTCCATCACATTCTTCGCGTACTTGTACAGGGTACCTCTCTGGTACTTCAGCGGCGGCGCCTTGAACTCTAGCTTGCGTCTTTGCAACTCCTCGTCGCTTTGATCAACGATGTCGATGACACGCTTATCAGCGTCTATGCAGATCGTGTCGCCGTCACGCACCAAACCAATCGGCCCACCCGCCTGCGCTTCCGGAGTGACGTGACCGATCAAGAAGCCGTGCGACCCGCCACTGAATCGACCATCCGTGATGAGCGCAATGTCATTACCGAGACCAGCGCCCATAATGGCGGAGGAGGGTTTGAGCATCTCCGGCATACCGGGACCGCCTCGTGGACCTTCATAGCGGATAATGACGACCGTTTTCTCACCCTTCTGGAAAGTGTTCGCTTCAAGAGCGGTAATGAAGTCATCTTCCGCGTCGAAGCAGCGCGCTTTGCCGGTAAAGACGGTGCCTTCTTTGCCAGTGATCTTTCCAACAGAGCCTTCAGGAGCCAGCGAGCCGCGCAGGATCTGAATATGGCCGGTCTGTTTGATTGGGTTTGAAATTGGTCGAATGATGTCCTGGTCAGAAGGGAAGTCTGGTGCATTCTCCACGTTCTGCGCGAGCGTCTTGCCGGTGACCGTCATGCCTGACCCGTCCAACACGCCTTCCTTCAGGAGGTACTTGATGAGTGAGGGTGTACCGCCGATATTGTACAGGTCTTCGAAGACGTACTTTCCGGATGGCTTGAGGTCGGCAAGGAAGGGTGTCCGATCAGAGACAGCTTGGAAGTCATCGATAGTCAAGGTGACACCGACACTGTGAGCAATGGCGAGCAGATGTAGGACGGCGTTGGTACTGCCACCAGTAATGTTCACGAGGATCATGGCATTCTCGAAGGCTCTTCGGGTAAGGATGTCGGACGGCCTGATGTCTTCCTTCAGCAAGTTCCGAATGGCTGCGCCTGCGGCTAAGCACTCCAGTTGCTTGGCCTTGCTGTTAGCTGGATTAGAAGAGGAGCCAGGCAAGCTCAGACCCATGACCTCTATCACAGACGCCATAGTGTTGGCTGTATACATGCCGCCGCAGGCACCACAGCCTGGGATGGCGTTGCGAATCACGTCCGATCGTTCTTCCTCCGTTATTTCCTTCGAGAGGAACTGCCCGTATGCCTGGAAGGCCGAGACAATATCAAGCTTGTTGTTGCGTGGTTGCACACCGCATCCTGCTGATACTGTACCACCATACACCATGATGGAGGGACGGTTCACTCGTCCCATTGCCATCACAACTCCGGGCATGTTCTTGTCGCAGCCTGGAATACTGATGTTCGCATCGTACCACTGTCCACCCATTACAGTTTCTATGCTGTCTGCAATGATATCTCGTGACTGCAGACTGTACCTCATGCCTTTCGTGCCCATACTGATGCCGTCGCTCACGCCGATGGTGTTGAACTGCATGCCTACCAGGCCAGCCTTCTGCACGCCTTCCTTGACTTTGTGGTTGAGCTGCAGTAGGTGCATATTGCAGGGATTTCCAGAGTACCATACTGACGAGATGCCGACCTGCGGCTTCTGTAGGTCTGTTTCCGTGAGACCGGTGGCGTATAGCATGGCTTGAGAGGCGCCTTGCGCGATCGGCTGGGTGATGTGTTTCGAGACCGCATTGAGGCCTTTGAGATCGTCGTCCACGGGGGTCGCGCGGCAACGAGTGGTCGTATGCGAGAAAGCTCGTCTACCGAGATGGTTAGTCAAGCCAACCCTTTTCGACACGGATCGATATGCGGCATACACCCATTCTGCCCGCGAGCACCACGCTGGGCGCAGCGTGACAGAGGGTATCCTTCTGGCAAGCATGATTTCTTGTGCTACCCTAACAACCTCACCGTTCCCTGAATTCCAGACTGGCAGCAACAGGGCGATTTTGAAGCTTCGTAGGCCGAGGCCGTGTCAAAAATGGTTCCCTAAATTTACGGCTGGCTGTACAGTGCAGAACGTCTTGAGTCGGCTCACGAATTAGGTATCTTATGTATGAAAATGTGCTATTTGTTCTAGAACACCTTACTACTCCTATGCAAACGCCTCGCTAAACGTGATGACCGCCGCTTGTACACCGAAAACATTCGAGCATCCTTCACTATATTACCAGATTAGTCTGAAGATGAAGAACCAGGCATATACGAGTGGCGTCGCAATCCATATCCCCAACCCGATTTCGTCCTTTAGAATGTTGAGCAGGTACCCCTCGATACCAAACCGGGGGCTGCCCGGTGTCAGAAACATCATTTGAAGGCTATTGTAGGTCGTCTGTTGCGTCTTGGCTGACCGTACAAACATCTCAACCTCGAACGCTTGGACATTGGAGTCGAGCAGCTCGCTGATTGAATCCGTCTCCAATAATGAAGCAGCAGACAGGATGGCGCGAGAAAGGTCCAAAGTGTCTGCGAATGCGAGATTGACCCCTTCGCCGGCGAACTACAGAGTCAATCAGCCAAGCTGGTCATCCACCACGTCATGAGTGTACACTTACCGGAGTCATGAGATGTGCAGCATCACCTATCAGTGTTACACCGGGAACATGCTTCCATTTGTGCCCGATTGGGAGCATGAACAAGTCTCGGGGAACGACATTGTCCTCGCCTATCTGCGTGAACTCCCTCAATGTGTGGTTCCAGTCCGCGTAGTCTTTTCGACAGGCCTCTTTGACCGCTGCAGCATCGTGGACATCGTAGCCGCAAGTCTTCTGCCAATCGGCCGGTCGTAAACTCCAAGTCGCGACATTGATGCAGCCTTCACCCATAAACTGAGCAAAAATGCCTTTTCCATCTGACCAAGAGAATAGGGAGCCCCGGTTGACAGCTTTATATAGCTCCGGCACCGAATTCTGCGCATCGGGGATAATGAAGCTGTGCCCGCCAATGCCAGAAAAATACGGTTTGACGTCCGTGACCAGTGGTCTTACTCGAGACCACGCCCCATCTGCGCCCACCACAAGATCGAAGCGCGGCTCGACAGTGCCGTCTGCAAAGTGAAGAGTAAGATCATCGTCGACTTTCGTCAGCTTCTTGCCCCAGCGAATACAATTAGGAGGCAGGCTGTCAGCGAGCATCTTCCGCAGCACTGGTCGATCAATCTCCGGTCTTCCCGTCGATGAAGTGCTACTTGGCTTCGCGCCTCCCATGTTGACATAGCAAACGAAGTTCTTATCGGCAAGCTTGATAGCTTCACCATCGTAACGCGCGTACTTTTGAAATTCCTCCCAGAGTCCGGCTTCTCTCAGAGCAAGTTGACCAGTCTTGACATGAAGGTCCAATGTGCCGCCTTGTGAGCGGAAGTCTAAGCTCTCCTCGCCTTCGAAGATCATAACGGATACCTTCTGGTCAAGCGGCGTAGTGGCAGGCTGTTTATGGTGAAGTAGTCGGGCGAGCATGCAGCCCGCCGGGCCCGCTCCTATGATGGCTACCTTGATCGCCATGCTGCGTTTCTAGTTGTATGAAAGGGTAGGGTTCTGGTAGTGATGGGATTACGCGTTTGCGGGAGTTATATGCTTCTGGAAGATGTATTACCGCAAGCAACAAGGCATCAATATATACTGAGCAGCTTCGGCCTGTCGGCCATCTCTATGACCTTCGTCGAGCTGCTCGTACACTTCACATAGCCGTCACTTACCTTGTACCAGGCGACGCTGGCTTCGTAGCTGTATACCGGCCGACGGGCTGACTTGTCGGCGCAGGCGGGGTTTTGCTTGAAGGATCTTGCATGTGCAGAATCGGCGTGCCAGAAAGCTGCCGCCGACTGCTCGGCCGTCACGGTCCTGTCAACAAAGCTTAAGGGCCGAAACACGCAAGGGACCGGCCAGCAGTGTCATTGTGCATCTGGATCCTTCCGTATACCACGTTAATTCACCTGACTTCTTTGCGATGTCTTCCGCGGAAGGCACTGTTTAATCTCCTCTTCCACCCCAGATTCTGTTCGACTTGGTGAGCTTAGCGACTCTGGCTGACACCTCAAGCTGTCGGCAGACTGACGACCCGAGCCGACTTTAGAGACCACCTTGGCAAGGATGACGATGCTATGCTTGAGGTCGTCCGTATCGCGACTGTTCTGGGAAGGCACTCCGTGAATTAAGCCTCGGTTAAGAGGCGAGTCTGTATGACAATCCGATGCGAGTATCTTCTCGCTGTCTGAGTCTTCCAATTGGTTCGATCTCCTTCTGCGTTCGCTCATCCATTTCATCGACCTACCCGAAATCATTCTCCTCAGTGCAGCCGCGCTTGGATAGACATCGCCAACTAGCAACGATGGCATCGGCAACGACATTCTACGATTTCACCCCTAAAGACAAGAAGGGCAACTCTTACCCCTTGACCAATCTCAAAGGCAAGGTTGTGCTCGTGGTCAATACGGCGTCCAAGTGCGGATTTACGCCGCAATTTGAAGGCCTGGAGAAGCTATACAAAGGTTGGTTCCGCTTGAGTGGTTTGTAACAACGACTGACTGGTGAGCTCTCCTGTAGAAATCAAGCCCAATCATCCAGACTTCGAAATAATCGGCTTCCCCTGTAATCAGTTTGGTAACCAGGATCCTGGCTCCAACGACGAGATTCAGTCATTCTGCCAAGTCAATTATGGGGTCACATTCCCTGTGCTCGGCAAGACGGACGTCAACGGCGACAAGGTTGAGCCGGTCTGGAAGTGGATGAAGGATACCAAGCCAGGCATTCTCGGCTTAACAAGAATCAAGTGGAACTTTGAGAAGTTCTTGATTGACAGAGAGGGCCATGTTGTGAGCAGGTATGCGAGCACTACGGCACCGGCTTCACTCAAGGGTCCCATTGAAGAGCAGCTCAAGAAGCCCAAAGGTACAAGCGGAGCATCGGGCAAAGCCGAGCTTTAACATGGTTACGGAGTCCAACATAAAATAATAGGTATTGCACCTGTTGAATAGTAGGTCGCAACCACTGTCACGGCGTCATGTTATTTCCGACTTCAGGCCTCAGCTACTGGTTCATACGGAAGACACAACCTTGGACACGAGAGTGGACATGCACGACACTGTTATAGCGCAAGTGGACCATGGCAATATGTACTTTTGGAGTATTCAATCAACACTAAGGCAGCAGCAGCACGCCAGCATACCCGGCCAGCCTCCCGCATCGCTAGGCACACACTCGGCCACTAGTGGAGTCGTCTCCATCAGTTGCTACAGCGTATGGTCACCGCTGATTCCGGACATCAACGCGCTTCTCCCGTAGGTGTTGAGCTCGCGGAACGCAATGAGTCGTAAGAATCGACACAGTCAAGCTAGGAAGCGACCGAAAGCTTGCAGCCATGCGAAGCGCACCAAAGATGCTAGAATAGTAGTATACAATAGCAAGACACAGCCTTTCCGTGCGCGGTCTGCACACCTCCGTAAAATACATTCTGTATGAGCAAACGGGAGTAGCCGCCCCACGATGTACTGACTTCGACGGCTGCGTTTGGCGACCATTCGGTACTTTGGAACCTGATATCAGATCCAAGCCTCCAGCGTCTCCAGCCGGTCCAGAAAACACCGCCTTTACTGTTGGATAAACGCTTTCATCGATAGGAGACGAGAATAGTACCGAGGAAAGGCCAGCAACACTAGAAGTATGAGATCTGGTAGCCATCGCGTACCATTAATATCCTTGCCACTTGACTTTCTTGATGCTTCGCTAGTGACCTACAGTTGTGAACATTGCATTGTCGGATTTTATGTTGATCAGCCCCTCCGCATATACTTAATGGACGTTGAGGCTTGGAATCAATGCAGCCTGCATGATGTTTTGTGTACAGGAATGGTAATAAGCCACCGCAGTCTCGTGGCTGGCTGTAAGCTTCCAAGCACCGCCAGCCGTCAGGGCAGGTGATGGGTCTCGTCTTGGTCAGCTTAGTCCGTCGAAACAGCCTGATCGTGTTGAATGCGTTAACAACCACGAAGATCAGCAAGGCGAAGTCAGTCAGCGAATTTAGCCGGCACGCTCGCTGACCGGCCGTCCCACAAAAGATGATCACCACCATGACTACGGAGACGTTGTGTACTCGGCCGAGCTGCCACTGAATCGTAGACCGGGTCGTCGGATGTGAGATCTTCGGGGGATGTTCTTCAACCACGATATAGATGCTACGAGAGACTCATTCTAGCCCTGCAGGTCAACGCGTGCTTCCGATCGCGGTAATTGGATCACCGCGGCAATCAATGGACGAGCAGTCGGCGAAGTGCATCGTGCCCCGTCTTGCAGCAGGCCAACTCCCGACAAGCGATGCATGTACGGTAGTTCTTGCGCGGTTCTGGACCGATTGGACGTCAGAGGCACACCTTCTGCGAGACGTAACATGTGCTTTGGTGGAAGCTCTGACGTGGCACACTCCTTAAACAAGGAAGCTGTCCGTTTATCACGCACTAGCGAGGTCGCACGAATCAACCTCGGTCTCTACCCCTGCCAATCTGTACGTTGATCGTGTAGTCACCTCACCGTCTCTGACTTGCGTATGAGGGCGTCGAGTCAGGTCGAGCTCTGCTAACTGCAGTCCCCACTTGTCCTCGCTGGCGCGCGCAAGCTTGCTGAGCTGGCTGCTGCAACCATATCAGGTGCATCGCCCACCCGGAATATTTTCCTTTCGCTTTGCAACTTCTCGTGCTGTTTTCATGCCCTATGGGCGTCTGTTACTACTACAATCAGCTACAGTGAACCACTTTTCCACAGGCAAAAGGAGTCGACCCAGGATACAGTCCGGACACAGCCCATATACAGCCCTTGGAAGTTTTGGCTCTACGCAGATTGGATTTGACAGCCCATTGGAGAGCTTCTGTCCGAAGCTGGATCAGCCCAGGATTCTCCCAGGATGACAACCCGGAACCAGGAGGATTATTTGGCCGTCAGGTACCACTTTCTGAACTGTTTTGTTATTCGCACTGTTGTCTGTATTCTACGAGTGATTGTTGTTTCTTATGGTTTGCTGCTTGCCGCTACTTGCCAGCATTGACCGGGATTGGAGCAAAGACACCAGTCTCGGACCAGCCATGGACGGCCAACAACAACTGTAGACATGCGGGTCACCAAGAGCGTAAAGCTGTGACAGCTGATGGGTACTCCTATTTGAGGCCCAGAGGCGCATAAGCCGTAGCTCCTCGCTTTCGGAGAGTCGTCATCCACGGACCATACGGGACTCCAGACCAGCGACCTTCCGTGTATGCTAACTCCATCGCGGTCATCATCCAGAGATGGCCATGTCCTTTAGCGACCTTGGAGCCATGCGAGTCCCGCCCTCGATGCGAGATCGGATCACCAGTCATGCCCGGCATTGGTGGACAGTGCACTCGAACAGTCCTCCGGTATATCCGGCCTGGCCAGATGTCTCAACCAGCTTGGAAGCATCGACTTATCGGTCCTATGCTTTCCTGGTGCCCAAATCTGTCCGTATACCTCGTCCGGATCAGCAACATCTCCTACATTGAGTCTGTCCTTGCTATGAGCTATGGCATGCGATTCGTTGGCCATTGAGTTCTTGCTGGAAGATCTCTTGTTGTTATGCTTTATCTTTATGCGTTGAGATTGAACTGTGGTATGAATGGAAGGGAACTGACTCATCGGCATCTAGCAGAAACTTTCCTTACCATCATCAGACCGGCTCTTTTCTCTTCTCTCACCAGGCGGAGGTTGAAGATTGGTGCCAGTCTATTCCTGTTGAGTTGCCACTTACACCCCCGGACTCAGTTTCGGAGTGTGCCATTTCGGACTACCAGGACATGGCCAATCCAGGATGGAGCAGCCAAGCCTCCCTGCCGGATGAATTATGGATGCCGAGTAATGCACCTTCGGACAACAGCGCGTTCGTGCCAGTGTCTACTGGCCGCGGCTGGCATGGTCAGCATTATGTATCTGCGCAACGAGCCGCTGTTAACGCCGGGGAGCACCACACTCTGGATATGTCTGCACGGTGGATGAATGTGACCCCAGGCCCGCTTGTAGATTTTGGGTTGTCGCCCGTTCTGAGCCATGAGAGCCAGAGCTCGCATACCCTCACTTCCCTTCCTGAGCCGGACTTGTCCGTGATGCCACCAGACCTTGGCCTCCCTTTCACTACTACCGACCCGTCGTGGAGCATGCCAGGACCCGCCTTGTACAATGGCCACAGTGTCCCCGCAGCATCCTCCCCTTCATTCGTACCGCCAGCGACCGACCATGTCGGCTACGGATACTATGCAAACCACCCGGTGACCGCTGGATCTACTCCGCAGAATATGAGATATATGCATCAACCGATGCGGTACCAGCAGAGTCTATATCCGGTTCCTCCCCCGCACGTGATGTCGTACCAGGCTCCACCGCCAAGACGTCCATTGCTTCCTAGGACTGAAGGATACCTTCTGGCTGCACAGCCCGTATACGGACCGCAGCAGCGTCGCTTGCGCCCTTATGTGCCAGGATCGCAGAGTTCCCAGTCCGGTGTCTCAAACGTAAGTAGCCTGCCATCGCAACCGCACGGACTCCCTAGTATTGCGACTCAATTGCAGGCTGTTGTGCAGACCGCACCTTCTCCGGCTCAGAACATGGCAATGCCCGTTGGGCCAACGGTACCGCAGCCCTTGCCGGAATTTCATCCCCGTGTTCCTATACAGTCCATGCCCGTAGGACCCGTAGGCTACCCGGCGGATCACAGCGAGGACTGGAGTTCGTTCATCCACTTCGAGCAGGAAGAGCCATCTTCACCTTCTCGGACTTTGAGGTTAGACAAGTCTGGACAATGGCCCCGGGAAACAGGTGCTAACCAACAACATAGTTACTCGAACGGACATGGTAATACTCCGGTCATCGTGCCCAAGGCGCCTTCCGCAACCTTGGACCTAGTGGAGGCGAAGCCTGACCAGGACTCACTCCTTACCTCCGAAGCACCTTCTGCTAGAGGCACGCCACAGGCCGGAGAAAGTGATGAAGGCCGCCACCGGACTCATCACTTCTACACTGCTGTAGCCCAAGTTGACGGACTATATCACTGCCCATACGAGGAGGAGGAGACTTGCCAGCACAAACCGACCAAATTGAAGTGTAATTACGAGTACGAGCGCACCAACCAGGCTACTTGAAATGTATGGACTGATCATGTGTTTTACAGCAAATTCATTGATTCACATGTCAAACCCTTCCGATGCAAGGTCGAATCGTGCGCGACCCAACCCTTTTCTTCCACTGCCTGTCTCCTGCGGCACGAAAGAGAAGCACATGGAATGCATGGACATGGAGATCGACCGCACCTCTGCTTCTATCACGGCTGTGAGCGCCGTATACCTGGTAACGGATTTCCGCGCAGGTACAACTTGTTCGACCACATGAAGCGAGTACACGATCACAAGGATGATCCTTCAACGTCGCTGGACAGTCCGACTATGACCACGCACCCTGGTATTCAGCGACGGACCGCGGGGCGAAAACGAAAGGCGTCTGATGCCGGTGCCGGAGAACCAGCGCCTCAGCGGCAGAAGCCCAGCCCTAGCCCGGCCAATGGAACCATGTCTAACATTACTCCGTTACAGTCCATGCCATTGCCACATGGTCAGAAGGAAGCTTCTCCGTTTGCACGTGGTTCCTATTCGCTTAGGAAGACTCCGGAAGAGGTTGAGCATTTGCAGGCTCAGTGGGCTAACCAGCGTGATCTTCTTGTCCGGCAGATGGACTCCGTCCAGAGCCCTAATGATGAGGCCAACCTCCATCGATTGAGCCGGAATATTGCTGAGTTGCGGCGACTGTCAGAAGAAGCTCGGCGCGGCTGAAAATTTGTGCCTTGACGGCTAGGTAAAGGTAGGTCTTTATGCCAGTAGGTCACATCATTCTCAGGTGGAAACTCATGCAGGATTAGCACTTGCCGTACGAACCCACAATCCACACATCGGATCCTGACCGGATTGGACAGCCGTTGCCAGCTTGGACTTTGGATTTCGACATGGCCTCCTACTACGAAGTAGATTGCCGTACTGTCTCCATCTACCACATTCGGACTGCACTCATAGCTCTAAGACTCCATGCTTGTATGGAGCCGAGGTTTAAGCCGTGTGATCAAGCCATGGAATGGAAGCAAGCCACGAGCTTACCCATGGGAACACCACATCTACAGCAAGGTCCACTCCGCCGGGCGCTTGATTAGCAACCGCTAGCGGCTTGGAGTAAGCAAGGTAACAGCTTGAGGAGCAGACTGCTATCTCAGGTCGAATCTATAGAATCAGCCGCACAGGAAACAGGTCGACCACTATGACCTCATGCCACCAGACGGACTGACTCTTGTGAGGATCCACTTCCACACAGTGCGCATGGTCATGGACAACATACGATGTAGACTCTACACCCCGGTTATGCCTTGGAGACTGGTTGTTCTGCCATGACGGACCATTTCGCTGTTGGCGAAATTAGAAACTAGTTTAGACCAGCGCATCATTGCCATTGGTATTGTAGCTTTGTACATCTTCACTTTGGATGGTTACCCTGCTCGGCGCGCTGATGCTCGTCGGGTGACACACCCGAGTAGTCCTGTGTTCTAGTACTCCTTCTGTGGCATGGTCGTATTCCTAACCATATCCTCTCGATCATCAACATCTTGACCGTGGATGATGTGCTCGACGTTGATTTTGGGTCCCTTGAACCATTTCCGTGCATCAATAGCGTACCAAAGCAAGGCGAACAACATGACGCCGCCGTAGATTAGGCATGTATACTGCGTTACAATGTCAGCACCAAATCTCGCGCCACCCTTCGCAGACAAGGCTGGGAGATCTGAAACGTACATTCATGGTGAGATCGTTAAGATCGCCACCCTTGACCGATGGGAAACACAAAACTGGGATGATGAATACCACCCACGTGCAGGCAATGTACCCGCATGGCTTTGACCAACGACCGAGGTTCCACGGACCTGCAGATTGTCGAGTTAGCTTTAGAAGCAGAACGGCAAACTGAGCAGCAACGGAACAGTGCACATGGTGAGAACAGCGTAAACTCACCAGGCCGGAACTTGTTGCTCGCCGCTGTCAACCGCAGGGCTATGGGGATCGTGAAGGCTGTGTACTGGGCAATTGCGCCAATAGAGAAGACCGCGCCGATTGCCACGGGCGATGCGAACATGAGTAGGCCGAGCAGGGCATTTATGCTCAGGTCGAACCAGAGGGCATTGACCGGGGTCATGGTGTGCTTGTTAACCTGCTTCCACCACCGACTGCCCGGAAGCGCGTCATCCCGGGAGTAGGCATAGATGACGCGGCTGCCGGCGATGATACAGCCTAGCTCTACGGCCCACTGCGCTACCATGTTGATGGCGAACATTGCCAGGCCGGCTTTCGTGCCCAATACTTGCAGGCATAATGCACCGAATGGCTGACCCAGTTCGCTGGCGACAACATCCTCGACACTGGTCACCGTGTATGCGATGGCAATGATGACGGGAAAGCCGAGATAGAAGCCAAGTTGGGAGGTCATAACGATAGCGCGCGGTGCAGCGACATTAGCATTGCTGCACTCTTCGGACAGGTGGAATGGCGCATCGTAACCTAGACGACAGTCAGTATTGCTTGGGAATGAGTGTAGTCTTTATACCGTTGGCATACCTGACATGGTCCAGATGACGCTCAGGAAGCCCATAATGAAGGCTAGAGATTCGGTCAGTCACATGTACAAGCGATCCTGTCATTCCAGCAACGCACCAAAGCCGGTGGGCCATTCTGTCCCGTTCTCAATACCCGCTGCCGTCCACACCCTCCAGTTTGGGTTTGTTTTCGGGGTGTTGACGGACCCGACGGGCATCCATATGACGAAGATGATCAGCGCAACGAGATTCACCCAGACACCGACCACATTAATGTAGCCGATGATCTTGGTAGATTGCATGGTGATCAGCCCAGAGACGATGAGAACCAGGAGCAGTGTGAGGTAGATATGCCATGTCTGGATCACGTAGTCTGGGTTGCCAATGGCGGCCGCGGTCAAGATCATGTCTAACAGCATTGATCGGAGCGTCAGCGCTGTTCAAAACAGCAAACGAGGCTTGTGACCGAGAGTTCACGTACACGACAGAGCGTACCCGACAGAGACCGGACCGGTCAGTTGGCCCAGGAAGTTCGACCAACCCGTCACCCACGCTGCAAAGGGTCCCTAGCGCCAACACCACCGAGATTAGTAGGATCTTACAGCGCATCATCTCATGGTCTGTATGCTTACCCAGCCTTCCGGGGCCAGCACTGCGCTCGCATAATACAGTCCACCCGCGGTAGGCATGCTACTGCACAACTCCGCCATCGACAGCGCCACGAACTGGATAAGCACACTCGCCACGATCCATCCCCAGATGCTCCCCGCGGGGCCAGAGTACGCTAGGTTGTACGCCAGCGTACTCGCGATCGACGGTAGAATCCCAAGGATGGAGAAGCTGACGCTGAAGCAAGTCCAGATGCTGAAGTCTCGCTTGAACTCTTGCTTGTAGCCCAACGCGACCAAGATTTTCTCGTCTTCGTCTAGCTCGTGGTCCACTACGGCATGCTCATTGCGTTTCGCAAGGACGGAGGTCACGCCGAGCGCGGACTCGTCAATGGTGTGGCGACGACCGCCTGGAGCGCTTGAGACGGACATGCCAGGAGCGGTGACGGGGTTGGTATGCGAATGAGTGGTTCGTCTGGACTGCAGTTCCGCAGAACAGAATATGGAGAGCAGGGGAGAAGTGAAAGTGTATTAGGAGAAGTGAAAGCATACTATACTTGAACTTGCAGCTGCGCGCGATAGCACCACTTACGGTTAGCTAGAGTACATGCGCATCTCGTGCTGAAGCCACAGTCGCACCAAGAGAGCCTCAGCTATCGTGATAGGCTTGCCCTTGCACATGCAGCCCTGCACAATGCTGCACCGGCATAAACCTACCATATGGCCTCCCTTATCTGTACAAGCGAAGGAGTTGGGCCCCGAGCGAGTATTGGCAACATTTCGCACGGTTCGTTGACCGCTCCCACGTAGCAGGTACACGAATTCGCGATGAACACCGAGGCTAGACTCCATATGAGGAAGCTACTCTGCATGCTGTCCGTGAAGGACGCGAGGGAGTGATAAGGGCTGCGCTATGTGGACAGGAGCGTTTTGCGGGGTTGCAAGGGCCGTATCTGAACTGATAAGCGCATTAGTTGGCGTGACAAAGCAGATATGCAGCGGCGGTGCAAAGGGGTGGTCAGAATTGTTTCTTTTGCTCGGTAAAGGTCAGAGTCTCGGTGTAAGAACAAAATGTTAGTAAGTGGAGGGTAGGAGCATTGGCTGTATGCTGAGAACCCATATTCAGCGTCCCATGCTCTGACTGGTGACAGCTTCGGGCGGGACCCTTGAGAAACCAAAGTTGTGACGTAGGCCCCATCGCCCACGGTTCTTCTAATCAGCACTGACAGCGCAATGCACGCCTAATGACCGGCAGCCCCAACAGCCTTCTGGCGCTCTATAGCAGCCTTCGTCGCATCATCTAGCTCCTCCCTCGGCAAGCCTAGCACGTCATTTTGCAGACCCTGATGCTCGAAGTCGCCACTCCCATCAGCATAGAACACACGAGAGTAGAGAAAATTCGCCTTGGGCCAGCCGCCAGCCTTCATCTGCTCCATTCCGGTCTTGTAAACTTCCGGCGCAGGCTCCTTCGTGATAATCCAGTCTTCCTCCTTCGTATCAGTGACGCGAAGAGTAGAGGTTAACATGTCCTTCTGGCTGATGGTGAAGGAGTTGACGTAGATGACCTTGTTACGGTACGCACCTAAGGAGGCGGAGGTCTTGAACACGTCTTCGGCTTTGACCGGGAGACTGAGGATGCTGGCAACTGCGCGGCCAACTTGAGGCCAGGTGGAGGTGCAGATTTTGGTCTCTCCTTCGTCGAAGTACCGGATCTTGCGATCGGCGAAGTAGAAACCGTAATTGTTGGCCCCGGCTAGACTGTACTCGTACCTTACGGTATGGCGTATTGCGTTAGTACTGATTGTTTAGTTTCACCTTGCGAGTGGATGTACTGACCAGAACCCGGTGCAGAGAGCGATATAGGAGCTCTTACCAAGCTGCTCGATGAGATTACGTGTGGCAACTGTCGGCCCATCAACATGGAGTCAGAACAAGCTGTGCTCGAACGTTGGATGCACAGCACATGCGAACCTTTGGGACCGAAGATGATCGCAAGGTCCTCCAGGTAGCCTTCATTGGTGGAGTCTGGCGACCACTCGTTCGGCAGACTGCTCTAAGCGTCAGCAGTGGCCCCTTGTGGAGCCAAACATCCTACTCACATCCATGGAACCTCGGCGTCGGCAGCAGCCCTGACGAGTTTCTCTTCGGTCTCCTTGATGCCCGAACGAGCACCAAGGGTGATAACCAGTGCTTCCAGGCCACGCAGAGCTTCGACGATCGACTCATGCTTGCTATAATCGATTGTCTTCTGCTCGACACCGTCCGGAAGGTTGCTCTGGCTGTCCGCTCGGGTGATGGCCGTGACGCTGTGCTTGCCGGTCTTGAGCAAGGCTTCGGTAATGTAGCGTCCTACGTTGCCGCCGGCCTGGATACTGTGTCAGCTGGTGCTGATGTGCTTCGAGCTAAGGTCGACATACACCGACGACGGCGACCTTGCTGATGTGATTCGCAGCCATGGTAGGGTTGCCGCGGGTACGTGAGGGAAAGAAGGATGCTGAGATTGCAATGAGACGATGACTGTGTTGAAGCAGTCTAGTGAGCATGCCAACAGTGGCGGGTGAAAGGAAGACTACGAGACAGGAAACGGAGGCTTCTTATACATCGTTGATCCATACACTCTGACGTGCAAAAGCACCGGGCTCGTGCATTCGCTGCCATTGTCATGACCTTGTGGAGATGCATCTGTAGGTGCGTTGCGATCCAACTGGTACGGACATATTTCACCGTACCCGAACACGTGCATATTGAGGATGGAAGCTAACCTCCGCTCGCTCGGGTAGATGCGTCCGCTGGGTGCTAACACGAACTCGAACTCGCTCGGGAAGATCCGGCCTTCTCTGCCACAAGCGCGCCAAGGCCACGAACGAAATCCGAATCGAGGTTTTGCGACAGGTCTTGAATCTTCAGCGACAAGACGCAGGATATCCATTTCTTTGCGTGGACAACAGCAACAACCTCGCCGCCTCATCTGAAATCCACAATCATGGTTGCCGGAACAGTACGTATCTCGCTTTGCTGCCCGCCGACGCCATGATCGAGTCCTTCACTGGGTCTTCGATCACTGAGCGGTCAATGGCAATGGAGCAGTAGGCTTGAGAGCAAGTACTAAAACAATCCTTGTTATGTAGAAGAAACCTACCGCCGGCGGTGGCGGCGTGAAGGGTACGCCGAAGAAGGGTCAGAAGGTCACGAAGAAGGTACTGCTGCACAATATCCCCATCCTCTTCTGTCCCATCTATCATCTGCGATGCTAACATCCAGCACAGTACATCATCAACGCGACTCAACCAACCAACGACCGCATCTTCGACCCCTCCGCCTTCGCCACATTCCTGCAACAGCGCATCAAGGTCGAGGGTCGCACGGGCAACCTCGGCGACGCCATCACCGTCTCCAACCTTGGCGATGGCCGCATCGAAATCGTGTCGCATCAAGAGTTCAGCGGACGGTATCTGAAGTACCTGACGAAGAAGTTCCTCAAGAAGCAGCAACTGCGGGATTGGCTGCGGGTGGTGGCTACGGCCAAGGGCGAGTACAGCTTGAAGTTCTTCAACGTTGTGGGCGATGAGGGCGAGGAGGATGAGGATTAGAACAGCGTCTATGTATGATGGGCATTGAGAGACCTACGCAAGGCCGACCTGGCTAAGAGGCAGCTCTAAATATCCAATCTTGTCATCACGTGCAACCTAGATCATCCGCCCACATCCCATGCTTCTCGCACTTGTAAACCTCATTTGATATGGGGGCGGGGCAATCTCCCAGGTATAGAAATTTATGATGTTTTCTGAGCCCAGTTTGCATGTTTCGATCAATGCTCCGATTCATTTGATGGACTTCTCAATCAAATTCCGTAGATCGCGCGGGACGGGTGAGGTTGATGGCCGGCCTTTGATCGATAGCCATTACCATCTAACAACTTCTCGACATGATAATGGTCAAACCTCATCGTCATGCCCCGCTTAGACACATCAACACCATCTCAGTAATTTAAGCGATCGAGGGATCAAAGGACCTCGAGGATATCGTGAGACAAGAAGCCCAATCATGGCCGAACTCACCACCACCAAACTCGACCCGGACACGCACCTCATCCTCGACCAACCCCTCCTCCGCCTCCCGCACGAGCTCCTCCGCAAGAACTTGAAATCCGCCCAGAGACAAATCGAATTGGCCAACAAGTCCATCACCACCAGCATCACCGCATCCGCAACCGCCCACTCCACCCCCGCCGAAACCCTCGCGAGCCTCGACGCCACGCTCGCCAAAGCGCAGAATCTCAAGCGCAAGCTCGAAGCTCTCCACGCGGAGGAGCGGACGCTGCACCGGCAGCAGAAAGCGCGGATCCGGCATTTGCAGGATTTGCACGAGATACCCAGCTTGGCGGATGTCAAGTACGATGTGTGGTCTCACGTGCGGTTGGATAGACTGTTAGTTGATTACCTGCTCCGGCAAGGGTACGTGGAGAGCGCGCGGCAGTTGGCGGCTGGCAAGGGGGTGGAGGAGTTGGTGGACATCGCCGTGTTCGAGGAGTGCGGCAAGATCGACGCAGCGCTCCGGGGTGGGGATGTGAGGGAGGCGTTGGCGTGGTGTGGGGAGAACAAGCAGGCGTTGAAGAAGATCAACAGTAACCTTGAGCTTGAGCTACGGCTACAACAGTTCATCGAGTTGGCGCGGACGGGGGAGATGGGGAAACTTATGGACGCCATCATCCACGCGCGCAAACATCTGGCCGGCGGTGCGGATACGGAGTTTGGACTCCGGGCGGGAGGACTACTGGCCCATCCTCCTGATACGCTGGTGGAGCCGTACAGAGGGATGTACAGCCGGCAACGCTACACGACCCTCGCTTCGCTGTTCTTGCAAACCCACCACACGCTATTCTCACTCCCCGCGCAGCCATTACTGCATATTGCGTTGTCGGCGGGGCTGTCCGCGTTGAAGACGCCGACGTGCCATAGTGTGCACAACCACAATATCGGCACGAGTAGTGCTGGTCACTTCAACAGCAATGCGGCGAGTCTGACCGGAACGCCGCTGTGTCCAATTTGTAGTACGGAGTTGAACGAGTTGGCGAGGGCAGTGCCGTATGCGCATCATACGAAGAGTTTCATGGAGGAGGACCCGGTCGTGCTGCCGAACGGGAGGGTGTATGGGCGGGAGAGGCTGAGGGGGTTGAATGAGAAGTTGGGGACGGGGAAGGGGAGGGTGAGGGATCCGGTGGAGGGGTTGGGTGGGCTGGAGTGGAGGGAGGAGGAGGTTAAGAAGGTGTTTATTTCGTGATGTGGTTAAGCTAGCTGGCGAAGCGGTTCGGTACCGTCTACGCAATGCTAGAAAATGTAGAGCCTGCCACCGAAGCTACGGGCTTGGTGTGGCTACTCTTCGCTTGTGCTCGACACACTGCGGACCTCACGCAAAGATAGTTCATTTCCTCAAACTCATATCTCACGCACTCGTCTCATCGAGATTCGAGAACTGCCCATCCCCGGTCACTTTCTGATCTCTCGCCCCCGCACCACCCGACGGCGCCGCATCCCTCGCCTCCATCGCGCCCAACGCCGCCCGTCCCGGGTCGTTCTTCCCGCCAATATCCGTATCGAAACTCGCGTTCGGGTCGTCCGAGCTGAATCCACCCTCCTTCAAGTTCGCACCCTTGGGCTTGAAACTGTCTCCCATTGATGGGGCGGGGTTATCATAGTATCCCGGCGCCTTCGCACCTTGTCCTGAGCCAGACGAGTAGTTCCCACCACCACCACTCCCGCTTGAGCCGCCAGCAGCTTCATTATAGGTCGGTCCAATCCCTGCATCCTTTCCGCCAAGCTTATCTCCCGCTTTCACGGCCGCCGTCTCGCTCCAACCCTCCTGCGCTTGTCTTGCTTCCGCGTCCGGGGCTGCATTAAGTGTCCTCGCGCCGGAGGTGTCGGTGTTGTTTGTGTTGGTGCCGGCGGAGGATTGGCCCATGGGGCCTCGGGCGTCGGAGTTGGCGGCGAAGGAGCCACCCGACTGGATTGACTCGCCGGCGAGGGAGTCGGAGGTCACGACGCCTGGGTTCTCATTCTTGGGGTCGTTGAGGGCGGAGGGATCTTTAGTGACCTGTAATCATTGATTAGCATTTGTGTTGATCGCTGTGATGCGGTGGTGGGATTACCTTGGTGCCTTGTGAGGACGACATGTTGACTTGTGTGATATGATGAAGTCTTGTTTGGCTGGTGGGAATTCGGTACAATGGTATGTGAGTGTGTCTTGTGATCGATCAAATGAAAGAGTTGTTTGAGGCTTCACTTCATGCAGGTACCGCGAACGATTACGGCCTATGATCTCACATGCTGCACTTCTTGGTGGCTTGACGTAGACGTGGGGCGTGAATTGCCCCGCCGAAAGCAGAAGGCACACATTCCGATCGATTTGCTGTACGGCAACACAGCCCGATGGTTCACGACTCACACGGTCCCACACATATTCCGTTGTGGAGGCGTGTTGAACACCGTCACCAATATACCGTGTATGTTACTCACCCTCGTCCAAGCCGATTACGGGCCACCGAGCTGCCACATGTACAGGTCACACGAGCAGCTGTAAAAGTGCAATCTGTAGCTTCAATGGCTATAGCGATTCACTTATACGGTTTTGCCGAATCTGCGGTATGCACTTTGGCCTGTTTACCGGTCTGATGAGGCTCCGGGGGCGCGTGCCCATGAAGACCCTTCTACGTCTCAGCGCTCAAGGCAGCTTGCTCGTGTCCGCCGGGTCGCTCTTTTGCGGATAGCCTGAAGCCAAAATGTTAGCAATTGACACATGATCTATGGAAGACGCCCGCGGAGGCGTCTGGATCATGAACTCACCATAGTCCTTCCCCGTCGTATCCTTCAACCCCGCCTTATCCTTCGAACCCCTCGCGACAGCATCACTAGGGATGCCACTCTCCAGACCTTCCCTTCCCACCCCCTGTCCTAGCGTGTTCGCCCCAGTCACATTGCCATCTGTCCTTACCGCGCTATCACCCGTTGCCGGCCCTCTCAGTGCATCGTTGCCCTTCGAGAAGGTATCTGAGACACCCCCTGAACCCACGTTTACCGTGCTGCCATCCGCGGAATTGAAGTCCGATGCGACAGGTGGTTGTTCGGGGAGTGGGAGGTTTGCTTTGCGCTCCTCGATGATCTGCGCCTTGCTCTTGTCCTGGGACATTTCGGGTGGTTTGTAAAAGTGTGTTTGGTTGTATACCTGAACTCTTCCGTAGGCGTTGTAGAGTGTGGCTGTGTTGGTCGTGTGATGTGCTGTTCAATGTCTCCTCAAGCGTGGTACGAGTTGGTTCCTGACCTGCACAGTCGAGCTTCTAGAGCTTCTTCCAGAAAATGTGCAAGCTCGTGTGCTCCCATGACGCACCATGACGCTATGAGGCTCGGCGGCAGCGCTTAGAATACCGCGTTCTGCGGTTGAACGTCGGCTTTACTGACCAGGTAAACAGACTCTGGATGAAGGGTAGAGGTCATATGTTCGCAATCGAAACTCATCGCGGTAGATATGCGCTGTGTGACGCTGTTCACTCCCCAAACAGCCGCAGCACCTCCCGCACCTCCGTCACCACCCGCCTCTCCAACTCGCTCCCATACTCCCCTTTAGCACCACCCGTTGCCCACAATGCCTCCCGCTCATTCGTCGCCACCAAACTACCCGCCCAACTCCTCTGCGGTCTCGCCAGCTTCTGCATCTCCGCCTTCGCATTTTCCACATCATACCTCAGCGGCTGTACATCCGCAGCATCCAACCCTTCTGCAGCCGCCCGTGCAACGTCCGATTGTATGGTAAGCCCCACAAGCACAAGCGCGTGCAGCTCCTTCACCATGCCGAGGGAGACCTCGCCGCTATGTATCCGACGAGCGTCCATTTGAAACGCCTTCTCCGCTCTCGCCAACTGCTCCGGGAATGAGTTCAAGAACGCCGCGACTTCTCCTGCAAGCGCCGGGCCAACAGCGTCCAGCAAGTTCAAGCACAATGGCAGAAACCCATCGGTCCATATCCCGTACATGCGGGCCGGCTCGTCCCACTGACCTTTTCCACCAGGTTTGCGGAAGTAGTTGCTCAGATTCGCGTTCGAAAGCTGCAGAAGCACCCCTTCGAGTGCCATCTGCTCAGCCACCTGCGGGATGCTGGATAAGGTGACTAGCGCACTGACGGCAATCTCACCGTATACGGGATCATTGTCCATAACCTCCGCAAGCTGATCGGACCAGCTGTACAGGCTTAGCGCGCCGCGCACCATCCCGGAGTTCGTGGTGGCGTCGGAGATGGGTATGTGAGGGATTTGCACGCCTCGTATGGATAGAATAGCCTGCAGAGTAGCGGTGATGAGTGCGAAGTCGGTAGGTTGTGCAAGCGACATGCTGGTTTGCAAATCACCACCACCGTGAAGATTCCCGCATAGAGCCCGAAAAGCAGGCCCGACGAGTCTGGCGACGATCTCGACTGCCATGCTGGCAATGTTGGCGGAGAGTGAAGGCAGGATCTTCGCGTTGCCCGAGCCGCTTGACTGTGGCGCAGACCGCTTGACGGGTTCCAGCGGACTGTATATGTGCGGTCGTATAGCCAGGAACAGAATCTGAAGTAACGTGCGGTACTGGACCAGATCCTCCGGCGCAGTCGCAATGCTGTAGTCCGCCGGGCTTTTGACGACCAGAGCCCACACCCCCGACAGTACGTTCTTCATCCCAGCCTTCCCGCACTTGACGTCCACGAGCTTCGATAGCACAACAAAAGCGAGCTCGGCACGGATCTGCGCCGCCTCAATCATTCCTGGCTCCTCCAGGTTCGCAATCTCATTCGCTCGTAAGCTCGCCTCAACCGTGTGAATAAGTGGTTCCTGCACGCCTTGATCCGCTTTAACACACTGGCCTAGCGTCATTGCGAGCGTCTTCCACGATCTGAGCAGGTTGATCTGCGCGTCCAGCAAACTAAGGTTAACATTCGCGCGGATGACTTCGGCAGCGTAGCCTTGCGCCTTCGTCTCATTCACGCTGCCCCACGCCATGCTCTGATGCTGCAACACACGGTCTGCGAAGTCGAAATCATAGGCAAAGTCTCGGCCGTGTTCGGTAGGACTCGCTTCCGTCTTCTTAAAGTCGGCTAGAATGACACCGCCAAATCTGCGGCCCATGTTTTCCGCCAGGTTGCGATGGAGACTGCGGTTGTACGCATCCACGGCGCAAGCATGCTTCGACAGGAAGGCCAGCTTTGGGACGAGCAGCTTCAGTACGTCCTGATTGCCCGTTTCGAGCGAAGCGTGCAGATTGACGGCCAGGATCTCGCAAAGGTACGCTGCAGCCTGATGCTCGCTGGCGCTTACGAGAGAGTCGTGCTCTTTCGCGCCACCTCTTTGCGGCGGCTGCAGCTCGTCTAGCCATGCCAGTGCGTTCTTAAGGAAGTCGGGATGTTGGCGAACAGAAACCGTTGACCACACCCACACGCTCTGCGCCGCGGCGACGAAACGCAGCATAGCCTTGGCGCGCGCAGGTACCAGCTGAGTTATGCGTGACAGCTCGTCTAGCGCATATGCAAGTAGTGGCCTGGCTCTGGTGTCCTCTGTTACTCTTGTGGTACTCTTGAGCTTATCCTTCGGCAGTGTGCCAGTAAGCAGATACATCGAAAACCACTGTTGTCTGCTCTCGAGCACGGCGGTCAGGAAGCGCCAGACCTCGCATTCGGTGTCCAGGTCAGCGACCGGACGGTCCAGCTGCGCGACAATGATGAGAAAAGCTTTAGCCGCCTCCGTGCTAAGACCGCTGAGCAGAGAAGGCGGGTTCTCCGTGGTACAGTCGAGCGACAGAACTAGCTCGGTAAGGTATGTCGCAATATCCAGCTTCCAGATACGCGAGGTCGCAATCAGCATCGCAACGGTGGGCACAGTCTTGAGCAGCTCGGTGGCCAAACGGTACGCACGCGGAGCATCGACGAACCTAGCTGTTCGGAGGACTCTGCATAGGAAAGAGCAAAGAGACTGAATGTGCTCGATCATTGCTCCTCGCTCCGGCACAGGAATGCTCTCATCCTCGACCGTGAGCGCGTCGGCGAAAGTGGCAGTCAGGGGCTCTTGCAAAGTGCTGCCTGCGGCGTCATTGGACGGCGCGTAAGCATTGAGCACCACCTCCGCGGCCGGCACCAGCAGTGCAGAGATCCTGTCTCTCTGCTTCGCCAGCACATCCAACGACGTAGCGGGCTTGTCAAGACCGTACGTCCACCGTAACAGCATGCCGAAGCCGTCTAACAGTGATGAGCTCACCTCCCCCTTTTGCTGTGCGTTTGCGAAACGCCAAGTATTGAAGTTCTGGCAAGCATCCAGTGCCACTCTTGTAAACTTGTTGAGCACAGATCCGATTGTACGTTCCGGTGTCGTGTCAGAGCCCATCATGGGTGAGTCAAAGCGACTGCTATTCGCTCGCGCAGGCCGACTCTTCCGCTTCACAAGGCCGGCAACAGCATCTTGCAGACACTCGTTGTATAACTTCGAGACAGCGGCCAGGAAGCGGAAACAGTTGATGTGAGCCTCCGTGCCTCCGACCACTGCAGCCAATGCACTTGTCCCGCCAATTGCGCCTAGGAGGCTACTCCGGGCCAGCAATGACCACACGCGTTCAGGCGAGATCCATGTCAATTTGGTAAAGAACTCGGCGCAAGCGACACAGAGCTCCAAGGACCCTGGCTGAGCCGCCTGATCCAGGTGTGAGAGGAGCTCGAGCTCAAAAAGCTCGCCGATGACGGCGGCGATGTCTGTCTCGTCATGCAGAGCGAATCCTACACGGCCAAGGATGAATCGTGCATCTTCACCGCTCTCGTCTTGCTTGAGCGAAGCTGTGAGGAGAGCAGTAATGAGCGCGACGATGTCCGCTGCAGTTTGCCGATCCATCTCCTCGGTCAGGTGGGCTGGTACAATGTCACTGCCAGGCAAGAGTGTGGAGAGCAGGAGACCAACATATTCCAAAGCGGAGTGAGGATGTTTCAGCGCCAGCACCATTGGCCGGTCCTCTTTTGCCACGATGCCAGAGGCGCCAGCTGGGACGACCATGACATTACGCGGTCCTTCTTCCTCCGCTTCCGCCATGGCTCGGTCCATAATAAGTCGCCGCTCGCCAGCAAAGCTCTCCTGGCGCGGGGCGAAGATGGGTAAGTCTGCGGTAAGCGCCATACCGTTCGCGTTTTCGTCTTCGTTCTCCAGCGTGTAAGAGCGGAAGTGCTCCGGTACCATGAGTGTTACCGTCTTGACGTTCTCCAGCACTTGCACAATGGTGGGCGATCCATCCGCATAGTCATGTTCGCCAGCGGCAAGAATTGTGCAGAGTTGTAACAGCGGAGTCAGCTCGTACGGGTACCTGGCGAGAGCTTCGTCGAGTACTGCAGGTCGAAAGCGCTCATCGTCCGCCATGAATTTGGTTGATAATGCCGTGAAGTGGTCGAGGCTCTGATGAGGCATACCTGGCGTCAACACAGCAAGTGTCGCATCGAAGGATATGGACTCGTAGCCCACCGCGTCCAGGCCTTGTCGGAGAAGGTCATACAGATGCCCACGGGTCATGAGTGCGGTAGGCAATGTAGGTTCCGAGCCGTACGCCGCAGTGATCACACTGCTTGTCCACGAAACGGCACCATAAGCGTTCAACCTATCGACTGCTGCCACCATGAAGAAGCGCGCCGGATCCGGTCCTACTTCCTCTAGATCGGGATTAAGGAACCAGTCCCAAAGCAGCCTGATCTCGCTGTCAGCGGGCGCCCTCGAGCCGCGCCTGGTTGCAGTCGTAGCGCGCTCAGCGTCACTGGAGCTGTCCACGAGTCGAAGCTCGCGCGCCTCACGCTTGTTGTTCTCCATGGCAATGAGATTCCTAATCTGCGTCGCGATGAGAGCCCAGGCATACATTACGGGCGCTGCAATGGTGTTGTTGCCTCTTGCGGCGTTGTACATGGCTTTAGTAACTGTGCGAGCGCAATCAGCGCTGCAGAGGGAACCGCTCTCCTTCGTAAGTGCAGGGTACTGTACGCCGTCACGAGGCTGGTCTGTCACCATCTGATCGACATGTTGAACTGCCTGCGGTAGCTGTACCACTGCAAGCGATACCATTCCGGCAAGGCACTGCGGTATCTCCGCGTTTAACGACGGTACAGGAGCGCCCAAATACCCAATGAAGTTGGCGTCGTCCATCAACTTAAACCACGACTGCACAGTTTCGGCATCCGTCAACTCGTGCCGTATGCTCAACCACCTCACCCGGGCCAGTATGTGTCGTAATAGATCCGTTAACCTCCAATATGTGGCTGTTGCATAGATGGTTTCGCTCTCTGGCACTTTCGTGAAAACGGTAGGCCATTTCCTACGGTCGTCTATATGTTCCAGACACTGCCGCACCGCTGCGATTGCGTTACGAATGGTGCTGTTGTGGGCTTTGTTCGGCGTCACAGTGGAGGAGTCACCGGCCGCAACGCGCTTCGCCAGCCTATCGATCCACAGTCCATTGATTTCGTCCACGTTCTGCTCGTCGCAAACGTGCCGCCCAATGAGCTCGGCTGCCAGCTTCAGGATAGCATGTCGCTCATCCAAGTACGCTTGCAGTAGGCTCAACTGCCGTACTTCGTCGTCGCCGAAGTCGGGGGATGAGGTTGGCGTCCCGTTTGCGCTGGCCGCCAGAGCCGCAGTACTTCGCGCGAACATTGACACACCAAATTCGTTGCTCTCAGCCACGTCGACCTGTGACTGCCCGCCGAACGTTAAGAGCTGTTGGATGGGTCTTTGCTGCGATTCCACAATTGCAATCCTCAGCGCGGCTTCTTCCTCGATCTGCACCTGCTCCGAGAGCCACAGAGCATCCTTCTTCAGCTGCTCCAGGTCTTTTGCGCCATTACCTTGTGTAACATGTATGGGCGCGGTCTTGGTCTCGAACCTGGCCTTGCTTTCAGGTGATCGCGTTCCAAATGGTTCGAACGGATTTTCGATGGCTTTGAGCGCTTCGGGCGTATTGAGGAAGTACTCGAGGGTGTACGATCGCACGGCCACGGGAAGGTCGCAGAGCACGTTATAAGCAGTCGTCCATGGCATGAGCAGGTCGTCGCCGGCAAGACACTTGTCTAGCGACGGGAAGTATGCTGGTTCAGCCATCGGCGCTTCTGATCGTGTAGGTTGCCGAAGACTGTGCTGTTTCGTAGCTGGTTGATCGCAGAGGACGATAGAGCGAGGGACTATGAGTATGCGAGCGAATCACTGGAAGGACAACGACATCTCTGGTTGCACCAGCAATGTCGAGCTTGGCGCGTGCATTCTCACATTGACGCGCAGACGTCCGTTTGGAGCTCTAAGGAACAAACAGCCGACCGTGCCGACCTGCATTCAGTTATTGGCCGGGCGAGCCTGAACGCTAGTGACCGTCCATCCTGCCATTCACTTTCCCGTGCGCACAGGCTAACGGAATCGCGAACAAGCGGCTACGCCGGCGGTAGGTAAGGGCCGCCCAGACGGGCAGAGCCGTAGACTTGCCGTGCACAGTGTGGCTTAAGTAACAAGGCCAGAAGTCTGTGTCAGCAAACTTTCGGTATGAGCTGCGTGCTTTGAGAAGGCTAAAGGAAGTTTGCACAGCATGCTTTCTCCTTTCAGGGCACATCTCAACGGCTGACAGCAGGAGCCAGGCACTAGGTGTCATAACGCCTCGTGGGTCCAGAGCGGAAGAGGAATATGGTTGGTCTCACCACAGAATGAGGACTTCCCGCAATAGCGCCGGCGACGTTCACTGGCTGCAGTGCTGACGGCTGGGTTCGCAAATTGGTGTTATGAGACTTCAAGACACCAACGTAGTGGCTTCTCCACTCGAACATTGTAGCCGTGAAGGATGCTTTGTCGACAACTCTTCATACCTCACGGGCTGCATGGTGTGGTGAGCTGTCAAGCATGTCCAAACAGCTATGTATGGTATCGTGTCAATATATTAGACAGCTGGGGGTATTGGCAGCACCCAAAGTCACTGACTCTAAGGCCTGCGCGCGAAATTCGGCCTCTTCGCAAATTGCTCGGAGAAGACCGCGAGCTCATTCCATAGCTGTCTATCTATCGCCACTACGTCAGGAAAACGTCGTTTCTTTGGCGGGCCGGTGCGGTATCAATGCGGTCTTGAAGGCGCAAAGTCCCAATCGTATCGCACGTGTAGACATGATATAAGGTAGCTGTAGCGCAGTTTCTAGGTAAGTCCTTTTCAGTCTCAGTCGACCTCAATATCTCTTCGACATTCCACAGTGTCAATCCTCAACCAGACAGCAGCCATGGCGACAGAACAAGTCGTTCTGCCCTCCGAGGTACACTCATCACAGAAAAGCTACCCCAGCAGCCTCGACGACCACGATGTTGAGAAAGGGGTGGAAGACTCGCCGGCTCCAGTACCACAAGATGAAGCAGACATTGTCAACCTGCCATACCGCACCCTCACCGAGCAAGCGCGAATGGGCGAGTATACGGAGGAGACAGAGACCGGCCTGAAGACAGTCCAGTCGCGGAAGTCCGGCCGCCAAGAGCAATACGAGCTCGTCACCTTCAAACCTGGTGACAAGGAAAATCCGAAGAACTGGAGCACGCCGTACAAATGGTACTGCACCATGACCGTCGCCATCACCTGCTTTGCAGTCGCCTTCAACTCCGCCGTCATCACTGCCGATCTGGAAGGGGTTGCGAGGACGTTCCACGTCGGCGAGGAAGTGGCCCTGTTGACCATCACGCTCTTCGTTGTCGGTTTCGGCGTGGGACCCATGTTGTTCGCACCTTTGAGCGAGATCTGCGGACGGAGACCGATCTATGCGGTCACGCTGCTCGTGGCCGTCATCTTCGTCATCCCCTGCGCGGTCGCGAAGAACATCGGCACTCTGCTCGTCTGCCGCGCAATCGACGGAATCGCTTTCTCGGCCCCCATGACAATCATTGGCGGCACGCTCGCAGACATGTGGAAACCCGAAGAGCGCGGCGTACCCATGGCCGCCTTCTCCGCAGCACCCTTCATCGGTCCCGCAATCGGTCCCTTAGTCGGCGGCTTCCTCTCCGACGCGCTGGGCTGGCGTTGGCTCTACTGGATTCAACTAATCCTCTCCGGCTTCTGCTACGTCCTCATCACCTTCACCGTCCCCGAAACCTACGCGCCAACCCTGCTCGCGCGCCGCGCAAAGAAACTCCGTAAAGAGCTCAACTCCGACCGCTACGTGACGGAACAAGACCTTGACATGCGGCCTCTCACGGAACGCCTAGCCATCTTCCTCATCCGACCCTTCCAACTCCTCTTCATGGAACCCATCGTCCTCTTCGTCTCGATCTACATGAGCGTGTTGTACGGCTTGCTGTACATGTTCTTCATCGCCTATCCGATCGTGTACCAAGAAGGCAAAGGGTACAACGCCGGCACGACAGGGCTAATGTTCATCCCCATCGCCGTGGGAGTCCTCGCATCAGCGTGTTGCGCTCCGTTCATCAACAAGCACTACCTCAGCCTGGTCAAGAAACACAACGGCAAACCTCCCGCGGAAGCCCGACTGATCCCCATGATGTTCTCCTGCTGGTTCATCCCCATCGGTCTCTTCATCTTCGCATGGACCTCATACCCACGGCTGAACTGGGTGGGACCGGCATTGGGAGGCTTCCCCGTCGGCTTCGGCTTCATCTTCCTCTACAACAGCGCCAACAACTATCTCGTGGATTCGTACCAGCACCAAGCCGCTTCCGCTCTCGCCGCCAAGACGTTCTTGCGCTCGTTCTGGGGTGCGAGTGTGGTGCTGTTTACAATCCAGATGTACCACACGCTCGGCTATCAGTGGGCTTCTACACTGTTAGCGTTCATTGCGCTAGCTTGCTGCGCGATTCCGTATGTGTTTTATTTCTATGGCGCGCAGATTAGGAAGAGAAGCCGTTTCGCGTACGCGGGTGATGAAGAGGATGCTCGGAAGGGTCCGCAATAGATATAGACGGCAGTGAGCGAGTGATGTAATCTAATATGTTCATTCAAAGCACATTCGATCCAAAATCCTCGATTCTTCTAGCTTTCAGTCAAAAGGCACCCTCCGCAACTCGCTCGCTTGACCATGCTTAAGCGCCTCCTGCTTCGCACCAACAGCAGAGGGTACCTTAATCCCACAGCAATCACCCCAACTATTAGGGTTATGCTTATGCTTCATGCCATCAACAGTGACTTCCACTTCGCCAACGTCCTCCTCGCCGACCGCCGACTCAGCGTCTTCGCTCATACCCGGCGCGGCGGGAAGCAGACTTCCAAACAGAAAGTGCTGCGCCACGGGCAACTTGCCGAGCACTTCTGCGAGAAACATCCGCCGCATGCCGGCCTCGACTTTGGCCCAGGACTTGGCGGAGGAGATGTCATCGAGCATGGGGGAATGCCATCGCAGACCTTGTACGGTCTTGGTGGCGTTGACCCACTTGATCTGATCCAGGTACAAGAAGTCCTTGCTGCACTCTTCGATGATCAGCTCGTTGTGGATGCTGAGTGGTCGAATGTGTTTGTGGTTCAGCAGTTGAGAGGCGCCAAAGAGGAACGGCAGGAATTGGTAGTCGTCCAACCCCCAGACTCCATGGGAACCGGCGGGCTCGAGGTAGTATGTGCTTTGGACTTCGCGGATGAGCTGTAAGTAGCGTGGGAAGACAATGAGTGTTAGAGCGGGGAAGGTTGAGTCGGAGAGAATGGAGAGTTGGCGCAGGCAGAGGAGCCAGAGGATGAAGTTGAGTTCGTGGCCGGAGCCGTAGTCGATGCGGGAGCCGTTGCCGAAGGCGTGAGATAGATAGGCAGAGGTCTCGGCGATTGCGTCGGTATCCTGCAGACCGAGCTTTGAGTGCCACCCAACTAAAGACCCATCGAGTCGTTTTAGGAAGTCACGGAAGGCTGGGTTGCCAAATCTCGAGCCTGTGTCGACGGGCGGCGACTGCTTCAGACATTCTTCCGCCTCGTCCAAGACAGCTAGCAGGGCGACAATGGCTGGGTCGGAGGCTTCGGGAGAGCTTTTGACGTCCGATATCGTGCGGTCCCGCACGGAGTCTGAAAGGTTGAATACGAAGCTGACGATAAGATCATGCGTGCTGGAAGCGGCGAACAGTTGATGGTCACGCTCAGAAAGGATGCGGCGGGTTGGTACTTTGTACGAGCCGGCCGCAACAGTTGGTGGCGGAGCCAGAAGTGGTGTCGGTGGCGGCGGGTTTGATAACTCTCGCTCGGCCTGCGGACGTCTACGTGGGGTGAGCTTGGGGATTTTCTTGGACACGTCCGGGGAGGGCAGGTGATCCGTCACATATTGATCTGCTATTGCAGCAGGCATGATGAGCCTCCTTCGTGTATGGCACTCGATGCTGACTTCGACAGGGGAGACCCAACATCCTCAAGAGTCGTCCGAATGTCTCTTTGGGTTCATGGCGCTCGGACTATGTGCCATGACGGGCTCGGCGAGCGGCGTGAGGCGGCGACGCAGGGTCTGAAGTCTAAGCGAGCATTGACCTCCATACAGTAGTCGATGTTTGTTGATGGAGAGGTTGCGCTTGACAACCCAAGTCTCTATGGAGAACCTCCTGTTCCACTTTGCACCCGTCGCATAAGCATATACTAGTAGCACATCTCACCAGCCGTTGTTGACGGGAAAACGGCTTTTGCATCCATAGCGATAAGTGTGGCGCGCTGCATACAACATTGATATCAACAAGCCAAACGACTTCGACGACTTGACCGCGATCGCAACTGCCAGAGCTAGAGTTTGAGGGCACGCGATCAAGTAGCGCTTGCCGTCTGCAGCTTCCGACAACCTCACGTTGGCTTTGCAAAGGCAGCACATCATCATCGCTACTGAGGTTGCTTGAGAGTGAGAGAGAGAGGCTGCAATGCCTCATTCTGCCCGCGCTGCGACGGCGGACGAGGCGCCAGTGCCGTCATCCATAACCAGCTATGGCCAAGTCATCGAGTATATTGCAGGTACACAACCACCACCACTATACAGTCATGAGGACACTAGCTTAACACACTCTCGCAGACCGGCTGTACCTCGCATCCTACACACACCAACCCGACGACAACACGCCGTTTCCCTACCCCGCCAAACAGACATCGCGATCACCGAGCAAACGGTCAGCAAGGGCACAGGCAGGTCCTCAGGCCGTGCATAGTGCCGAACAGACGATGCCACCATGCTATTTCTCCGTCGAGCAGAACCTACTGTACAATGCCTTCCATGCAGACTTCGGACCGCTTCATATCGGACACCTCTACCGCTTCGCAATAGCATTGCATGATGTATTGGCACAGCCGGAGAACGAGAACCGACCAGTGGTGTTCTGGAGTGGACCCGATCCGAGAAGTATGTTGAGCATACAGCTTGACTAGGCAGACATATTGCTGACGGTGTCGTTAGGTCGCGCGAATGCTGCATGCATTCTGGCGGTCTATATGGTGTTGATACAGCACTGGCCGCCACACCTTGCGCTCGCACCTATCTCACAAATGGACCCGCCATGCATGCCGTTCCGTGATGCCGGCTACAGCCAGGCAGACTATGCTCTGACCATCCAGGACGTCGTGTACGGTGTGTGGAAGGCGAAGGAAGAGGGCCTGTGCGGCTTCAAAGACTTCTGCTTGGAAGAGTACGAGCGCTTCGAGCGTGTCGATCAAGGCGACTTCAACTGGATCACGCCCAGCTTTCTCGCCTTCGCAAGCCCACAGCACCAGCCAACGCATGTCATCCATTCGACGGACCCTCTCTACAACCAGCTGCCTCGGTCACTGTCAGCATTGAGCAGGAACACTACACTACCAACGCCCTTTAAGAATGTACTCAGCCACTTCGCCGAACGTGGTATTGGACTCGTCGTGCGTCTGAACTCCGAACTCTACTCACCCAGCTACTTCACCGCGCTTGGCATCAAGCATCTCGACATGATCTTCGACGACGGCACATGTCCTCCACTGAACCTCGTCCGCAAATTCATCGCCCTCGCCCACAGCATGATCAATGACAAGCGAAGAGGCATTGCCGTGCACTGCAAGGCAGGCCTGGGTCGTACCGGATGCCTCATCGGCGCCTACCTCATCTACCGCCACGGCTTCACCGCAAACGAGGTTATCGCCTTCATGCGCTTCATGCGGCCCGGAATGGTCGTCGGTCCGCAGCAGCACTGGCTGCACCTCAACCAGGGCACGTTCCGGGAGTGGTGGTTCGAAGACACCATGAAGGAGAAGATCTTGGCGAGCATGCAGCCCAGCACGCCGACTAGACTGCATCACTCGAGCAGCAGAAGGTTGGCGAGCAACGGCCAGACCTTCACGCCGCCGAATGCCGACCGGCATGCGGCCAGTCCTCGACGTGCAGCATTAGGCGAGATTACGAACAACGAGCAAGCAGCCCCGTCGTCGCGCTACACGTCATCTGAAGACCTCAAGGGTAGCTTAGGTGTCGCGGACGAGAACCTGCCAGCCCCGACTCCAGGCCAGCCGCGCAAGACCAACAAACTCTACGGCAGCGCCCGTCGCGTTATGACGGAGAACCAGCATCCTTTCGACATCAAGCCAGACAGCGAGATCATCACGATGCAGCGATCAACGTTGGCAGTAGACGCCAGCGAAAGCGAGTCAGATGCCAACGCCCTCCGTAGCGTGCTGTCGCGCAAAGCCTCCCAGTCACCCGCTACGCGTAGCAGTGGGCACAAGCGACGAGCAGTTTCGTGCACCACAACAACAACAACCACGACGAAATGGGATCTCCCGACCGACACTAGCGATGTCGAGAACCGGCCCGGTTTGATCGAAGAGCTAGACTTACCAATGGATGACCGGACCTCCAGCCCCTCCCGGCCGAAGACTCCGGGAACAATTAAAAGCGGTAACGGGATGGGTAGTTTGAGTGTTGGCAAGCGGTCGTCGCCTAGTCGACGCAGCACTGAGGGCAAGACCAGCGTGCGCAAGACTAGTGGACGGGTTGGCAGTGTCGGTACGCAGGGGGTTAGGGGGCACAAGGTGTCCTAAGGTACCGCCTGCTAGGGTATGTACATGACCGGTTCTGTGTGACGGCTTGAGGCGTTGCTTCTTGAGGTGGCGGGCGTGGGTTTCTGGGCTTCGGGTTCCTCTCGCATTCTTGGGTGTCAAGGCCTTGCATCGCATGGCGCTGCAAGCATAGCGCTTCTCGTATTGTTTCGTTACATGTAAGGTGCACAGCTAGGCACTTCGACCTGCGACGGCATTCTTCCGTCAATAGCATGGCACACGCAACTAATCAATCAAATATCACATCTCAGCCCTTCGAGATGTCGAATTGTGTGCTGTGACCAAGAACCATCGTTTCGGCGTCTCGCATTTACCCATTGGGACGGCGGCTGCAACCTTCTCCACTCCCGCTCGCTCGGCATCGGCTCTCGAAGTATGCGAAGGGTAATCAACAATGACGGTCACTAAGCCGCCTTCTCCCTATATCCACCACGCTTCATGGCTCCATCGAACTTGATGCTTTACCAGCGCGACCATTCCACATCATCCAGCGCATCCCCGCCGGCAATCGATCCACGAGCGGCTTACCCCCAGTCACGACGATCTCCGATAAGGCCGTCCACCATCCCACAACCACTAGCGAGCGTTACGCTCCTGTCTCACCTCCCAACGCCCTCACAACCGCAATGACAAGAACAATGGACGGCGAACTCCCTCGCACCTCCCCCTCCACCCCCAACCGCACCTCCTCCACCCACCACCACCACCGCGCCGGCGGCGCCATGGCCGAAGCCGTCTCCCGCACCCCGATCCGTCGCGACTCCTTCGACCGCCCCAACGGCTTCCCCATGCTCGACAACACGCCGCGCCGCTTCAGCACCGGCGCAAACGCAATCCCCATGCCGCAGGTCTTTACCGCGCTCGCCAATGCCGCCGAGGCGGAGCTGTTGGAGGACCAACGGATGTCCGCGCGCACGCCGAAGGATATGCATGAGCTTGAGGCGGCGGTGCATCAGTTCAAGTTTCGCAGTGAGACGCCTTCGATTGCCCGACTCGCAGCGTTGACGAGTCCGTGTTACTTTCATAAGAGGTTTGGGGATGCGGTGGATATTGATAAGGTGCTTGAGGAGATCAAGGGGGATGATCAACTCAGTCACAGTCGTTTGATGCAGACGGCGGCGTCGGTGCGGGAGGTGAGTCGGCAGTTACAGCGGAGGCCGTTGAAGAGGGCGGTCAGGAATGTGATGGTTGTTACGAAGGCGAGGGATAATGCGTTGGTGAGGTTGACGAGGGAGTTGACGGAGTGGCTTGTGGCTACGCCGAGGTATGGGAGGGAGGTCGGGGTGAATGTGTGGGTGGATTCGAAGTTGAGGAAGAGTCGGCGATTCGGGGCGGAGGGGCTGGTGGAGAAGGAGGGGGGAAGGTATAGGGAGATGTTGCGGTTTTGGACGCCGGCGTTGTGTTTGGAGCAACCGGAGTTGTTTGATTTGGTTATCACGTTAGGAGGGGATGGCACGGTGTTGTTCACCTCTTGGCTCTTCCAGCGCATCGTCCCACCCGTGCTGGCCTTCTCCCTCGGCTCGCTAGGATTCTTAACAAACTTCGACTTCGACACCTACAAAGCCCACCTCGACCGCATCATGGGCGACAGCGGGATGCGGATCAACATGCGCATGCGCTTCACCTGCACGGTCTACCGCTCCGCCGCCTCCTCCATTAGCACCGCGGCCAACTCCGCCGCCGCCTCCACAGCCAGTCTAGCCGCAATAACAACCACTCAAACCAACAGCCCCACCACCACCTCCGCCCCGGACCCAACCCAATCCACCAAGATCGAAGGCGAAACCCACGAAGTCCTCAACGAAATCGTCATCGACCGTGGTCCAAGCTCTTACATCTCCTCGCTCGACCTCTACGCCAACGATGAACTTCTCACCCGCATAAGCGCCGACGGCATCATCCTCTCCACGCCCACAGGCAGCACAGCCTACTCCCTCTCCGCCGGCGGCTCGCTCGTCCACCCAGACATCCCCGCCATCCTCCTCACCCCCATCTGCCCGCACACCCTCTCCTTTCGCCCCATGCTGCTGAACGACGACATGGCGCTCAAAGTCGCCATCCCCGCTTCCGGGCGCGGCGGTGCCTTCGTCTCCTTCGACGGCAAAGGCCGCGTCGAATTAGGCAGAGGGGACGAGGTAGTTGTGCGAGCGAGTCAGTATCCGTTCCCCACCGTCATGGGCCAGCCATTGGAGTGGTTCGATAGTATCTCCCGGACTCTACGCTGGAACACGCGCGCGGCGGAGCAGAAGGGGTGGGCGGGTGGTGCGGCGGGGCATGGGGAGGGCGACGGCGCGGATATTACGGAGGGGGAGGAGAAGTTGAGGGATGCGGAGCAGGAGCCAGAGCCGGAATTTGATATTGATTTTGCGGAGGAGGAAGAGGAGACGACGGTGGCGGGGAGTCGGGATAGTGGGTATGGGGGTACGAACTCAGATGAGGGCGGGTCTGGGGCGAAGGCGGCGAGGAGGGCAGGGACGTGGCAGTAGCGATGATGTTGTTGTTGCTTGAGATTGTGCCGAGCGTTGGTGTCTGGCGCTTTTGGATTCACTTGATCGAGGCACGCTCGCTTGTCCGGCATTGCGATCTGGCGTTTGGTCTGCCGGTGGCGGGTACATTTGGCTGTCTTCGCGGACGCTGCCAATGGGGTGCGGGTGATACACGTAGAGACAGTGGACAGAAACACAATAAGCCGCTTTCAGAAAGTGCGCAACTTGCGCGAAAACGCTGTATATAAGCACGGCAGTGCGTTGGGGTATCATGAAACGACGTTTAACCCACCAACTCCAGAACGACCACCCGCTCGCTTAAAAGCTAAACAATCCACTCCTCTTCTTGCCAAACGGATACACCACAATTGCGCTCAAGAATAAGCCCACCGTAATCCCAATCGCTACCTGAATAACCGAATAGCTCACGTTAAACGCAATACTGTTCAGTCCGCTCGTATCCAGCCCCAGTGTCGTAGAGTTCACCACCGTCGTCCCGTTGGTCGCGTTGCCAGCGATCTGGTTCGCAGACGCTAAGCCAGAGACCAATGAGCCGGAAACGGCGAGTCCGGAAGGGACTTGGACGAAGATGGCGGGTAGCATCGCCGCGGCCGCAAGACCGTAGCCGACGCGGCGCGTCTGGCGCACGAAGAGGGACGCTGCTTCTCCGTCCGAGGAGGCGTGGGAACTACCCTCTTCCAGCGACTTTGGCGTAGCCTTCTTGTGCCGGTTACGGATATGGAGCACGCGACGCTTGAACTGTTTCCAGCGCGGCCGTAGCCGGTCTTCCCATAAATCCAGAAGCCAATTCTCCGCCCGACCGCCAATGCGTGAGTACAGGTTCGCAAGGACACCGATCATGAGAGCGCCAAGAGTACTGCTGACTTGCGTGTTGCCCGCGAAGCGTTTCGCCGAGTAATAGCTGACGAGGTAGCCCGCGAAGGCAATGACTATCATGACAGGCGCTTGTTTCCACTTCGCTTGGTTGATGACGATGAGCGTGAAGGCGAAGGCGGGGACGAAGGGGAAGAAGTACGGTTCGGCTATGGCGCCGTCGCAGGTCGTAGCGGAGGTAGCGTTGTGATCCATGATGCCATAGATGGCGGTGCCGATAGTGATGCCGAAGCCGAGGAAGAGCGAGTAGATGATGGCGTAGACCATGCGGATGCTGCCGGCCACGATGGCGCGGCTCTGCAGTTCGAGCGAGGCGCAGAGGACGATGTAGCCCGGCAGGATGAGCGCGATGGAGGACTGTGCGAGGGCGGAGAAGCAGAAGAGGCGGCCGCCGTGGCCGTTGGGTATGCTGCCGAATGCGCGAGCGAGGAATGAGGTGATTACTGTCGCGGCGATCTCGAAGACATTGGCGTAGAGATCCGACTTGGGTGAGACGACTAGCTGCAGTACGCCGAGGATGCAGCCTAGCAAAAATGCAATTGGCAGGTCGATGAGCCTGGCACCGAAAGCGAATGGTCCAACGCACGCTGCTGCGAGTCCGTAGACTGGAATCCGAAGCCATCGACTGTGCTTCGGCGGCTTGCCCATGACCTCCTTAAGGCGAGCAGTAGCCTCTTCCACTCCTATGCGGTCATGCACAACTTCCTTGTACACTTCATGGACGTCTCGAAGCTTACCCAGATCCAGGCCTTGTGTGACTCGGACGAGCTTCACCTCAGTGGTATGCGTAGATGGGTCGTCAAAGCTCATGATCATCGAACCTGGAATGTACAGAAACTGCGCTTGGATCTCCAAGACCCGTGCGGACATGTTCATGTACTCCTCCAGCCTGTGTGTCGGAGCGCCATACTCCATCAGCGCCCGGCAAAGCTTCAAAAGGTACTTCTGTCGCGCGAGGTACTCGGCAATGTGAACGGTGATCCTAATCTCGTCTTCAAGTTTGGGTCTGCTCAAGCGGTTGATGGCTGCGATCACATCACTGCTGCGACTTCTCTTGCCGATGCCGGGTCGATTGGCCTTCTCTTGTTCACGCTGCTCCCTCAGCCGTTCTGCAACCTGTTCGCCAAGCCCAGATACTGCAGGCGAGCTAAGACTGGCCGAAGACCCGATAAGCTTAGCAAGAGAAGAGCTGGAGTGGTTCTTCGATTTGCGTGAGAACCAGTTGCTGCCGTTGGGAGTCACGGTGCCAGAGTCTGGAGGTGATTGCGTCGGTGTGGTTGCGCCGCTAAGGTCGCCACTGAAGGCCCGGCGATGATGAGGCTGTCTGCTTGAAGAGCGCCCATTACTGGAATGTTGCTGTTGCTGGTTGTACAGCTTTAACAGAGAGGACAGGATGCCGCCATGATATTCCTGTGGCCGTGGTCGATACTCTTCGTACTCGTGTATATCTTCCGTCGGTGTTACGGCTCCGGAAGGCAAGCCTGGCGAAGGGGGCGTCTCCGCCGATCTTAATCCGCCATGGGCAACTGTATGCTTGCGGACAAGGTCCAGTGCTTCCGCCGTCGACGCCTTCCGTGCCCTACCCACTCTGGGTATGTGAATGCCGGCGTCTGAATCTGAGTCTCCAGCATCATCGAGCTTGACCTTGAAATCGTCCAGCTCAATCTCTGGGACAAGCGATCTCCTCGACCCGGTCACGGCTCTTCGCTCAGGCGAATTGAAACGTGAATTAGGTAACGATCGTCGCTCATCCGTCTCGAGTCTCTTGGCACGCTCGTAAGCATCCCGTGCTCGCATGGCGCGATGTACGCGTTCCGGGTCATCATGCGTGCCATCAATGTCGACCTCCACGAGGGAGGGAGGAAGTGTGTTCGACGGCGTTCTCCGGATAGCGGGCCTGGGCCGTGGTAGCTGTAGAGTCTGCCCAAAAGCCGCATGAATCTCCCGCGTCTGCTGTGGCGAGAGCTCAGGCAAATGTGACCTGCTGGTATCCTCCGGTCGTACAAACTCGCCGCTCGTCTGTCGAGACTGGATCGGAGTGTTGAGCGCACTAGCATCCGGAGAGGCTTGTGGCGGAGTAACATGAGGGGGTGATAGTGGCGTTTGACTGGATGATGACGGGCCATCTGCTCGCACCAGCCTTGGACTGAGCTCGCCCGAGTCCGCTCCGCCCGTGAAGCCTACCCTCTTCTTCTCCCTACGCCTTCCTCCCGCGCTACCGGGCTGACTGGCCTCAGCACTTGAGACCACGCCCGTGCTGACGTCATGCGACTGCTCCAGCGAAGGCTGCATGCTTCCTGGAGACATCACACTAGGATCATCGAATGGGTTCGCCAGCATATCCACCGGAGTCGACATGATGTCTGGGTGGCCGCGGCCGCCAAGGGCCGCGTAACCAAGACAAAGGCCTTACAATGCCTGTGATTTGCGCCGATTGTACCGGATCCGGTAATCTGTTTGGCAAAGAGCCCTGGTGCGTGCCAAGAATAGTAGCACACCGAAACACAGGGTACTGTGGAATGTGTAAGTTCGTTGTGGTAGCGACCGTGAAGAACGTCGACTTTGTACAGACGGTGCGATATCCGCTCGAGCCAGTATGGAGTAGCAATAGCAGGAGCAGTGGCGTCCGGATGGGTATTAAGATTCGTTCACAAGGCTCTGTCAGCGTGAGCAGACTGGTACCTTGCTACTTCAATGGAAAGCCAACGAACTCTGCTTTCTCAGCCGGAGAACGCCTGTGAACCTCTGCAATGTAACGGCAGAGCCTCGCTTGGATATCTATGTTGGATTGGTGCAGCGCAAAGACGCGTGGTGTATGAGAACATATCATGAGAGATTACGGAACAAAACGATAAGCAGAACGTGAAGTCGCCTCACTAAGAGACCGGTCTTGCGCACGAAACAGGATGACGAAGCGTGTCGCGGTTACCGTACGAAGGGCAAGACCCATCTTTTCCGATAATCCGTATCAGTAACGACCCACAAGTCTCCTCCGTAGCGGAGACTGAGAGAGCTGCAGCAGCAAAGCACGTTGCTGTAGCCATGAATGCGATGAGCTGAAAGTGCTCCGCGGTTCGCTCGGTTCCACTTGGCGCTTGCTTGAACGATCCGTCTATCGCGCGCATCGACCCCATTTGCTCTTCTACGCCGAAGCACCAGAAGACAGGCTCCACTGTATAAGCGACTCTCGAATATGCGGTGGCACGGTCTGGGAAGCTGTCTGCTGCCGCCATCCTCTATCCTTCCGTGAAAGGCCCCCCTCGAACAGTCGGCACTCGCGTGGCGAAGCGGTAAAAGGCTGCGAAGCACCATCGAGGAATTGCAACCCAACCAATCGGGCGTGCCTACAATGCTAAGCTTAGACACCTAGCTAGACAAGAGATAGAAATGTGGACTGCCGTGGGCCGTAGACGCGCAATAGTTCGGCCCTTCAAGAACCCAAATAGCACGAAAGAGTTGACTGCGAGCAAACGGTGTGAGTCGTGAGCGAAGCATTTGTGGCGTAACAGCCCCTGCATCGGCTTGCCCCCTTCGAGTTCGGTTGGGCACGAAAACTTCGGGCTCAGCTGTCTCAACGTTGCTCGCGGTGCTCTTCACATGCTGCAGTGCTAAGCTTAGTAAAATGTCGCCTGACACCGATCTCTCCTGATAGAAGGGAACGAAGGTACAAGGGTAAAGCGGCGGATGGGTGGAGTTCTGCGTTGCGGATGATCTGCAGAGGAAGGTGGATCCGAATATGCACGAGTCAGTATGGTAAAGATAGGTCTAGGGTTGTTCCGACTTCCATTCCCACTTGCAAGTCACTGCGTGGTACCTACATCAACCAGCAACTTTCGCAGGTACCCTGACTCTTGACATACCCTTACTGGAGAGCACGACGGCTTGTGCCCGATGGTTGACGAGCTGTACGCTTCCACGACTTATCCAGAAACTGGCGATTGAATATGATCGCTGAGGGCAGAAGCGCCGGCTGGTTGCGCATCCCAAGCGAAGCGATACTGCCATGGGCCACACTTAATGACGTCTCATTCACTGCCACCGTTCCCGGAGTAGTTGCAGGCAGGGGAGCTGCACTCATCGCCAAGCATCCTATTCCGGCGAACCAGAACGGTGAGCTACAGACTCTGCTGACAGTGCCGCGAGATCTCATCCTTTCTCTCGAGCGCGTTCAGGACCACGCCAAGGTAGATCGGGACTATCGCGAAGTCCTCGAATGTCTCGGCGACTTCGGACGGGTAGGTATCCTTTTCTCACTTATGCCGTTCCTCTGACCTGTAGGGTCATTGACCGGACGCAGCGCAATACGCTCGGCCACAAAGTAAGCTGGTAGGGGTATCATCAGCGCAACAGCTGACGGTAGGTCAGACACCACGCGGTGCCATCCTCTCCTTCCTGCTCGTGCAAGCTTCTGTCTCGTGTCCTGGTCTCAGCGAGCGCGTTGGCGTTCATAGTCCGTTTACTGAGTATGTCCACCACCTTCTCTCCTAGCCTTGCAGCTCTTCTATTCCCAGAACGTACTGAGTCTAGCAGCTACGTGAAATCGCTACCTAGCGAGCTACTGCCGACGTTCTGGACGCCTGCAGAGCTGGAGCTGCTAGTTGGCACGACCCTTGCGCCAGCCATGTCCTCGAAGCTAAGAAGTCTCCGCCGCGAGTATGACCTCCTCTGTGAGCGCGGGGCCAACACGCGGTGGTATGGACTTGTAGAAGATCAGCTCACCTTCGACGACTGGCTGCAAGTGGACGCCATGTATCGTTCCCGTGCCCTTGACTACCCAGCTATTGGCCATTGCATGGTCCCCTGCCTCGACCTTGCAAACCATGCCGCGGGCGAGGAGACTGTAGCAATCTACGACAAGGACGCTGACGGCAACGCTACGCTCCTCATCCGTAACGACAAAACGCTTAAGGAAGGCGATGAAGTCACCATCTCTTACGGCGACGAGAAGGGCGCATGCGAGATGCTCTTTTCATACGGCTTCCTGGAGGCGGATAGGAAGTCTGCGGAAACGCTGTTTCTTAGCTTGAGCATCCCTAATAACGACTCTTACCGGTTACCGAAGATAAAGGTCGCTGAATGCGCGCCTGGCTTCAAGCTTATAGACGCAGGCGACGGCGAGATTGATTGGAAGGGTGACTTCATCTGGCTAATGTGCGTCAATGCGGAAGAAGACGGCTTGCGGTTCGAGCTCGCCAGGACAGTTGATGGTTCGGATGAGGAGATGCGGGCTTTCTTTCGAGATGAAGAACTCGTTGGTGGTGCGGCGCAATTGTACATCTTACTGGGCAAAAGCAAGCTTTGGGATGTCTATCGTCTGCGTGCTGTCGCTCTTCTCCAGCAAAGAGTGTTTGATCAGCTGCAGCTGTTGTACAATACGCAGGACGGAGTTGAAGCCGTTAGGCATTGCGAGGGCGCAGATGTGAGGCGGAAGTGTTATGAGCAAGCCATGCAACTCAGGAAGCTGGAATTTGAACTGCTCGAAAGGGCGTATGAGGACTTTGAGAAGCAGGCAAGTCTTGACCTTGGCTACACCTTTTGACTTGTGCTAACGCTGCCTAGAAGCTGGAGCTTGCGGAGAGCGAGGTAGTGAGGGACTATCTGACAGCGATGAATCAGCGAGAAACAGAGTCAGACAAGGCAGACCAGTTGCCAGACGAGGACTATTCTTGATTCAAGGACATGCAAGATCCGGTTTGAGACAACCGAGCAATATTCGACGGGACAGAGATAATCTCAACACCTTGGACGAGCCAATCGCAGCTCGACGGGCCAACGTCGATGGCCGACGCTCATTACTTCCCAAGCTCCCCAGCTCCAAGTCCCCAGGTGGTCGGAAACGCTACGGAGGTGACGAAGTCTAATCACCTAGTGGACTACGCTACACCACCCGGACCACCAATATACGAATAGCTGTCATGACCCCACCATGAGCAGATGGGTCAGTCAGCAACGTGCGATCGCACCTTGTCTGCTCACACGACCACCTGATATCAGTACAGGGTGACGTACGCAGTCTTAGCGGCACACACTCTACAGGTGGTACGACCAAGCCTTCTACCGTTGCAACTGACAAATGCTACTGCCTCTTTGAGAGCTCCAGCTCCGCGCTTTGCACCGCACGCACCCCACAAACAGTGCAGCGTTTTATAGTTCGTGCTTGGTGAAGTGTTGCGTCGATCATCCACCCGGTTTCACTTCGTATCGCTAAAGGCTGCTTCTGTGTGCCGTTCTGCGATGGTTCTTCGAGATCGCGCGTCTCGAGCAAGAGCGCTAGAAGCTCGTCAGCAGGCCCGTTCCATAGTATCGGCAGACTGGAGATTCACAAAAGGTCCATCCGGTTCATTGTCGCGAGAGCATGCGACCTCCCCGCCTTGACATTTCTTGCACTTGCAGAGCTGCGCTGTGAGCCTAACCTGCGTTCAGCTCATTGGATTGGCTGAAACTTACGCCAAGTCGACCGATCACGCTCCACACCAAGAGCCGAGCTTACTCTCTTCCCCAGTGCGGCCAGAAGGGTGGCGCGTTCATTTTCTCCAGATTGCGGGTTACGGCGGGCTGTTCCGGTTTCCCCTTCCATCTCGTCGGTTTTCAATTCACCGTTTCGCGTTGCAAGTACGCTGCTGCATGAAACATTGCAACATTATTCAGAGCTACCCAGGGACAACTGGAGAGTCTGGACTGCGCAACATTGGCAGCAGTGTTCAAGCAATTGAAGTCTATTTGGATCCCATAATTGTGCGCATGACGACCACGGACCTCCCCACACAAAGCTTCTCCCCAGCCCAGAGGTTATCGACATTGTCGCCAACTCTCCGCCACGGACCACGGTATAGGAGTCAGTGATCCTGGCCCCAACTTCTGCCCATCATGCCGGGCATTCTACCCATGAAGGTCATCAAGGTGGGCGCGAATGCGCAGACGAGGATCGCGCAGGCTTGTGACAGGTAAGGGCGGTGACACCGGAGCGGTTCGCCGCATACGCTGGGATGACCGATCTAACTCGAGTGCCAACAGATGCCGTAGTAAGAAGATCAGATGTGATGGCATTCGGCCGTGCTGCACACAATGTGCGAACGTGAGCTTCGAATGTAAGACCAGCGATAAGCTGAGTCGCCGTGCGTTTCCGAGAGGTTACACGGAATCATTGGAGGAGAGAGTGCGCAGCCTGGAATCCGAAGTCAGAGAACTGAAGGAGCTGCTGGACGAGAAGGACGAGAAGATTGACTTGCTTTCCAGGCTGCATTCGCAGTCTTCTCGGCCACTACAGCTGCCCTCACCTCGACGCACATCAGCAGCGTCAGAAGAATCGAAAGACGGCAAGGATGACAATGGAGAAAAGGATGAAGTCTTCAAAGTGCATCAATCGCCAAACCTGCTTGCTGGGGCCGGTGATGGCGCCGATTCGTACTTCACCGGCACATCCAGCGGACGGACGTTTATTGAAGCATTCAAGCACAGAGTGCAAGAAGGCGGCCGCTCAACTGCGGACATCAACACTAACCTTCTCTTAGCGAGCAGTGTGCGCAAGCTGACCGACTCGCTGCCGACACCTCCATCTCCGGTGGTCTTCAAGGCACCACCGCGTCTCGTGTCGGACCAACTCATCAATATCTTCTTTCAGGAGTGGGCGCCGCTATTTCCGGTGCTTCATCGTCCGACATTCTTAGCATTGTACGAGAAGTATGTAGCGGATGCTGAAGCCGTCACGGACAAGACTGCCATTGCGCAGCTCAATCTTGTGTTCGGCATTGCTACTCTGTCCAATGGCACACGTACGTCACCGGATCTGGAGAGCTTCCAAAGTCAGTGGAAGGCTGCGATCGATGAAACGTTGACGGAGAACACTATGGGCACGTTGCAAGCGCTTGTGCTTGCGCAGATCTATTGCGTGCAGCAGGGTGATTTGACTAGGCTGCTGACGTACAAAGGCTTGTCCACAACCTTGTCCGCTCGCCTCGGTCTGCATCAGTCACAGAAACGTTTTGCACTTGGCACGTTGACTTGCGAGACAAGGAAGAAGGTGTTCTGGACTTTGTACACTGTCGACAGGTAAGCGCAATTCCGAAGATCGATGCATGGCGCTAACAAAGTACAGCTTCACCGCTGTCGTTCTTGGCCTCCCCAAGCAGCTCAAGGACGACGATGTTCAGTGCGAGTACCCCGTCGATGCCGACGACGAGTACGTGACTGAGCGCGGCTTTCAGCCCACCTTGCCGGGCGAGTCGACGAAGCTGTCGAGTGCGCTTGCCCTCTTCCGTGCATCCCGCATTCTCTCGAAAGTGCTCGAGGAGGTGTTCCCAGCTAAGACATCTTACGAACTGTCCCTCAAGAAGCTCGCCGATCTTTCTGACGAACTTGACGCATGGCAGAAAGCTCTGCCACCCCATCTGAGGTTGCAGTTTGCGCAAGACAAGCCAAGCACAGGTACCATTAGCAGCCGTTCACCTCTACTTTCAATGACGTACCACTACGTCCGCGCCCTTATCCAGCGACCTGCTGTCTGCGCATTGCTTGGAAGCGCCTCTTCCTCTTCGATGCTGACCCTGGCCAGCTCATGCAAGCATATGCTTCAGATCGTATTGCTTCTGGAAGAGCGCGGCATGCGCTTTACCTTCTGTCTCAACCGAGATGAGATGCTCGTCCTCTCCGGTTTCGGACTTCTCTTCCAAGGCCTGAACCTCGAGCCCACGTCGAAGATTCTTAAGGACAACCAGAAAACGATCAAGAGCATCATCAGCATTCTGGACAAGTCGAAGGCACCATGTGCGCCCGAGTTCAGCCGTGTGGCGCGATCCTTCCTTCCGACCTTGTCTCCTGCACCGCTACCAGCACCGAAGGCTCCGCAGTCGGCGCCACCAACTGTAAAGCCCTTACCGAAGCCAACCGTACCGGAGATGTCGCGCCACAACTCTGACATCGCCGTCACAATCAATCCACACCCGAGCTTGCCAGCATCTACCCGGAAACAGCTCAAGGCTATTGCCGCTCGCTTCACGAACAACAATGCCACCCTGAAGCCGCCTAGGCTCGGTGTAACAGCTGACCATCGAAGGGCGACCGTACACAACATCAGCTTGCACCCTTACGGCGTGCCCTCTCAAAGCCAGCCATCTCTGCAACCTACGGTCTCAGCCGACGTGGCGTTGTACAATCCTGCGTCAACATCCCGTTCTGAGCCCTCCCGCAGCCCGGGCCAGGCTAACTTGTACCCCCGGCCGGCCAGTGCTGTCGTCCGGCCCTCGGCGCCACCTCAGCCTCAAGCGTCACAGCGTCTCAAGTCCAAGCCAAGAGTCGAGGACAGGAGGCTCCCGAACCTCGACTACCTCTCCTTTGCCAACGACAATGAAGGTCAGCCCGCAGATGCTCAAAGTTCTCGACCTGTCAAGGCTGAGCCTCAGCCTACCGACTGGGAGAAGCTGCTCGGGAGCCTTGACAACGGCACAACGAACATATACGACGCTTGCTACGGCGGCCAACCTGTAGAAGCACTGCTCGACTCACCGGCACTGGGGATGCAACAGTACAACCATTCGACAACCGCTGTCAGCGATACATCATCAAACTCACAGAACCTATGGACCAACGCTGCAGCTACTGCGGATCTCTGGGCGTTGTGTCAGACAGAGACGAACACGAGCAGCGCAACGTCAGGCGGATTCACTACAAGTACGGGCCAGGCGGACAGCATATTCTCTTTCACCTCGGATGAAGGGCATACGAGTTCCGACGATCTGACCGCGACGGAGCTGGGTGCCGAGTGGGCCGCTACTGACGGAAACGACAACGGCTCGAATGATTGTTTCAAAGGGATTGTAATGCCGGCCGACATTGGTTCGGGCGATGACTGGGAATTTGGAAATACTTGGCTGTTGAAATGAGTCTGTAACATTATGGCATGAAAGATCTGGATCACCACACCTTTGGGAAGGAAGTTTAGGATGTCTGGGAACATTGGACATTGATACCTAGGTGCAGGACTGTATGTACGTCGAAGCCGTCGATTAATATGCCACTGATCGTTCCAGCGCCATGGTCGCTTCCTATTCCCTTCTCTTAACTAATGTGCGACCATGATGAGGCCATTGGGTTCTGGACGCCGATGAAGGCTAACATGGTGGGGCACGCTTGCCTTGTCATTCCAAGTTTGGTAGACAACACGTGCCGTATGACGTAGGGTACTGCATATTTGTGAGTGAATAAAGAAGCTGACCTGGCAACGTAGCAGCTAAGCAAGTGCAAACGCGCAACACCTTGCATACGTGGCCTTTCTGTTTGCAACAAGTTTTCTCACCTTCGCACCACACAAAGTGAGCACTATCAAGCACACTAAGCTCAACACCACTACCTCGTCCAACGACCAAGTTCGACCTACCGATACCGCCAAGATGTCTGACAAGAACACGAGCACCCTCCAGTCCTACGTCGATCAGGTATGCTAGGGCTACTAACATCACTGATACTCCCGCCACTGACCCATACCTAGGCCTCTGGCGCGATGCAATCTGCTCTTGGCTCCATCACCGGCAACAACGCCGACAAGTCTCAAGGTGAGAACCGCAAGGCCGCCGCCGACGCCAAGGACGACCTGTCGCACACCGGCGGCACCCTAGGCGGCTTGTCCTTCTCCAGCACTGGCGTGGCGGCAAACGACCCCAACCGCACTACTGGCTCCTACAACCAGACCATGGGCTCCGCCAAGGAAGCCATCGGCAGTCTCACCGGCATGGAGAGCATGAGGTCCGCAGGCGAGCGTCAGAACCAGGAGGGCAAAGGGCAGGAGGCTCAGGGCCAGCTCTCCGACCTCGGTGGTGGCATGGCGGACCGTGCGAAAGGCGCTGTCGGTGGCGCTTTCCACAGCTTGACCGGTGATGAGGAGGGCAAGGCGCGTGCGGAGCGTCAGCACGACCAGGGCAAGACGTTGCAGCGCGGAGTCGAGAGCGAGCTCGACAAGAAGGCTGATGCTCAGAGGTACTAAGCGATTCCTTGCGGCCGAGGTGCGGGCATTATGCTTAGCATGAGTGAGGAGTTGACGGCCAAAGGGGTTGCGAACAGCATTATGATACCCCAGCGTGAGATGGTTAGGGCCTAGTGCCCAGCTCAGCCAAAATGAAGCATCCAGCCAGCCTGGCTTTTACAATTCAAGTGTAGTGTTCATCGATCAGAACGTCGCTCAGATTCCGCAGTAGAACGTTCATGGCATGTATCGATCGTGTAATGTGCGCTGTCCAACTTGCCAGCTAGCCCTTCCCATATACCTGTTTCATTCGTCGTCAGGAGCCGCACGGCGCTGCCTCTCAACATTATTAGAAGTATCCACCATTTGGGCATTTGTAACGTCAAACACCCCATCGTTGCTATTCGGCTCATCATGATAAGCAAGTTCTGAACGATGATGAGTCGGTGGTGAGCTCACGAGCAGACGATGACGGTGGGAACGAAGTCAATAGGGACAAAATCCAGTGCCCAACGATCTAAGGTAGGACATGCGCTCGCTGAAAGAGCCTATTTAGTCGTTCATTGAGTCCTTGAAGGATCGGACATTGCAGACCCCCTTCGAGAACCTGTTAGGGCGAATTTCTCTTAGTAGGACTGTGAAATGAAAAGGTTGAAGGTCAGCTGGGCGACGATGACGGTAATGGGTATCTTCACTGTATGCTTGATATCTGCCATCGCCATTGTGATAGTGTTCGCGTAGCCAAGTGGTTCTTGTGCGTAACAAACTGGCTCTTGTCGCGTACAGTGTGGTGAGCGCGCGTGAGTCGAGAAATCCATGGGACACCACATAAGGTGCCAAATATCATGGCATGGCTTGGTCTATGCCCATACCCACCCCTTGATTAGAGAATTGCTTGCTCATATATCTGCATTCAAGTCTGACTGCAGGTAAGATCCACTTGCTGAAATGGCCGACGAAGACAAAGCGAAGGCTGAAAAGCTTGCGGCGGCGAAGAAACGAGTACGATCCGCCCTTCCCTGGCACACAAGCTCACACTATTGACTCTGGCTATAGTTCGAGCAGTTGAAGAAGGAACAGGCAAAGAAGGGGAAGAAAGCTGGAACAAAGAAGCAGGACGAGAAGTCTGCAGAGTCGGGGACCAAGGTCGAAGATGCAGCAGAGTCACATGCCACAGCAGAGCCAAGTGAAAGGGCTGCGGTGGAGGAGGAGAAGCAGGAGGATGAAAGTGCCGTAGACGGACAGGAGAGTGCTCGCCCGCTGCCCGAGAGGCAGCCGTCTTTGTCTCAGCAGTCAAAACAGCGATCAGAATCCTTCAGACAGGGTGCAGTCGGCGTTTTGTCACCCGTGTCTACGGATCCTGCCTCTGGAACCGGTCCGATAAATGCCGGTATGGAGGTTCAAGAATTGTATAAGAAGCAAACTGCTCGTATTGAGGAGCTTGAGAAGGAGAATGACGCGTTCAAGGAGCAGCAAACAGAAGGTGCTGCGCGGTTGGCAAAGGCAGAGGAGGAGTTGGAGAGTCTGCGAGAAGGCAGCAGCGATATGGCCGAGCTTAGAAGCAAAGCCAAAGAGGCTGACCGACTAAGCGTAGAGCTGGCTGCTGCACAAAGGCAGCTGGCTCAAGCGCAGCAGGCCGCGAAAAGTAACAACCGCAGGATCTCCGGCGCCGGTCCAGACCTAACCCAGGAACTTGCGAGCAAGACGTCGACCATTGAGTCTCTAGAGATGGCGCTGAGTGTGCTAAGACATCAAATGAACGGACTCCAGGCCAGTATGTCGGAGCGAGACGTGTCAGTCAAGGAGATCGAGGAACGGGCCAAGGCAGCAGAGACCGCCACAGCATCGTATAGACAGGAGCTTGATCAATTGAAAGTAGCCATGGCCTTTCCGAGCGAGGAGACCCAGGCTGCGAATGAGGATCCTGAGCAGCTCACCAAGCGCATCACTGTCCTCGAGTCCGACCTGCGTACTGCCAATTCGAACCTTGAGGCTGCCGAGCACCGAGCAAAAAGCCTTGAGCAGAAAGTCGAGGCTTTAACGAAGCTGCATCGCGATGCTACTACCGCCAATGTGACGAAGGAAAAAGAACTTGCTGACCTCCGGCAACAGCTGAAACGGCGCGATCGTCCTTCCCATGTACGTGAGGTTGGTGAGTTCGAACTTGGCGACGACGAAACAGAGACTGGAGCTTTGCACGCTCGCATTCGCGGTTTGGAAGCTGAGAACTTCGATCTGCGGCGCGGCGTGTGGCGTGACAAGCGAGCAGAAATGCAGCCAGGTATGAATGACTATATGGGCGCCGGGGGGTCTCCCGAGTACGAAGATGTTGATCTTAATGCCGGACCGTACAGTCCGCGGCTTCGTGGTCCCAACGGCAGCATTCCTAGGCAGAGCAGTACTTTCCAGGATGTTATTACATCTGGTATTAGCGCTTTTACCGGCAGGCCGAGAGAGCCTCCTGCTAGAGCAGCTCATGCAGCAAGCCCGCAACAGCGCAACAGGGCACCGAGTCTTGGTCTGCTAAGCGATGAGGGTGGCTTTGATGAAGAAGCGTTCCGGCTGGCGCAGGAAGAGGAGGGCAAGCGGCGCGTTGAGCGCGTCAAGGAGGTCAAGCGTGGGCTTGACAAGTGGAAGGGTTGGCGTGTCGATCTTGTCGAGCTTAGGCAGCAAGGTCAGGTTGGCGGTCGCGAAGTCGGGCCTGTGTTCGAGGTCTGAGGTAGATCTTCCGGTCTCGCAAGGTCTGTCCGAACCAGGAAGGAGCGCTTACCGGTCATACCAAAAGCTGAATCGGTCTCGCGCACTCCCTCTAGGGAGGAGCGCGTGATACATGCAGTGAAAATGTCCGCCGTACGATGCCAGGCTACAGTCAAAGTCCACCACATCGCATCTATCAACGAGCGGGTAGTCCTGCGTCGACTGCACATCCTTCCCAGCTATCACTCGGCGCTTATGGCCACATAGCGCTACCTACCAAGGAGCAACGCAATCGCGTGCACCAGTACCGGTCTGCAGAGCTACTCCGCTGGGACGCTCTGTTACTACTCGATTCACTGTTTTCGCCAACGTTCTTTCCTCTTTTGAGTGACACAGCCAGACTACAACCCCTCTCGCTCCCTAGCGGGCTTACCTACCACACGTACTCAACATCAACATCCTTGGATATGCATCGTCTTCATTGAGGAATCTTGCAACAACGCGTTAGCCATCCAGCATCTGTCACATTCAGCGAGCGCCTCCAATGGAGACCAGCAGTCCGTTGCTCAAGCTCCCTCCAGAGATCCGCAACCAGATCTACGAGTGCGTCAAGCCTGACTCTGGACCCAAAGAGCTGGTAGTCATTGATGGAGTACCACTCGTCAGCGCATTAACGCGCACCTGTCGCACGATCCGCCAGGAGTCACTGGATATGATCTGCCGCCTTGATTACACCACGGTCGATGCCATACAAGCCCACGTCCTCAACTTCAATTTCGACGGCTTGTACAGATTCTGCAGAGACAACCTTGTCCGTCAACGACGCTGGGTGAACGTTACTATTCATCTTTCGAAGCCGGGTGCGCAAAATCTGAGAGCGCTGCGTTTGTGGCTGCACGTATGTGAGTCGATTTACTTCCAGTCAGTCCGCGACACCAATTACCGTGTGCTCTTCGATTGGAATGTCTACAGCGTCGAGATGGCGCAGAAAATGTGCGATCAGCTCAATCTGTACGATGGGTGCAGCGCAGGGGATTGTACTACTCGGCTCAGACTCAGGTCAGCGGAATGAAGCGGAGCATGAAGTGCTTGGAGAAGCGGCGCGGGATGCTAGGGCCTATGGGGAGCGCATTCTAGTAGTAACATGCATATGGGTTGCTGTTAGCCAGGAGAGCTGTGTTGTGGCTGGCGGACAGTAGGGATCAGGAAAGTGGATGGTCGTCTACCGTTGATTGGAGCAGCTCTTCAGCCCGCCTCACCATTAGGCTGCAGTGTTGGGTCACTCAGACTCGGCCAATTTCTGGGATACTTGGACAACATTCATCGTTCTCCAAGGGCAGATCGTGCTGCAGCGTTTTAACTTTGGTTTCCGACATCTCCGAAGGCAGTGTCATGAAGGCTGATCGATGTATATCAGGCCTGCGAGGATCGAGATACAACAACAACGATACTGCCAATCGATCATTTCTGACATTTAAGAGCATGAGCACACAATCTGCGAGCAAAGTATCGCTCTTAACCCAACTTGGGACAGCCATAGCCATTCCTCACGCAGTACTGTCCAACCTTAATTTCTCCGGTTCCCAGCTCATACCGTCGTAGGCATGGCGCATACCTGGGATGAAGCGATAGAAACCCATCAGAGGCGTGTTGATTGGACTCTCTCCGGTGAACAAGAGCAAGTCGTACAGAAAGCCTCCGAACGTGCATCCGAGGATTGGCGCCACAATAGGCACCTCGCGTTGAATTAGCAATGCATCTGTTCATCGCAACCAGCAGACTTACCCAGAAGTAGTGCATCCCAGCTGTCCATACGTGATGGCCGTATCCGAGGAGTTGAGTCATCAAACGGGGGCCGAAGTCTCGAGCAGGGTTGATGGCGAATCCAGTCTCCCATCCGAAACAAGAAGCTATTCCGAACAGTATGAAGAACAGGGCGAGTGGTGTCAACGAGCCAGCACCGAGATTTCCGTCGTCCTTGACAGCGTAGATGCTGAACATGAGCAGCGCACTAGCGAGGAACTCGCTGAAGAACCTGCCCGTTGTTGTCATGAAAGATGCAGGATAGGTGGCGAAGATTGCCGCCGTCGCATTTTCCGCATAGCCTGGCACTGTTCTGACATCGGGTCCTCCCTCGAACACATGGATAGCTGACTTGTAATTGCCGTAAACCACTCCAGCTGCGCAGAACGCGCCTGAAATCTGAGCCAGCACATAGATCGGGAACTTCTTCCAAGAAAATTTGCGCAAGACGCAATTGGCAAAGGTGACTGCTGGATTGATGTGTCCGCCGCTAATTCCAGACGTATAGACGCCGAGCATAATGCCGATACCCCTTCGAAGTGTCAATTCAAGGGTGCGGCGTGCGGGTCATACGTCGCCTTACCATCCCCATGCAAGCGATTGGTAGCTACCCTTATGGTCGTTGCTTAGGATTACCTGCGCCATTGCACCGTCGCCAAACAAAACCAATATGAAGGTTCCTAGGAACTCACTGAAGGGTTCGCGAAATAGTCGCCGAATGCGTGGCCAGCGAAGACCAGCATTGGCAGGTCGTTTCAGCTGGGCTGTTCGACTAGCGAGCAAGCTTGTGTGAGCATCGCGACTTCTAGAGTCCCATACGGATGACCTACCTGCGGTCTATTGGTGCCCCATGCTCGGCGTATGGTGTCTGCTCCATCATCTCCAGTGGCTCCGAGCCTAGTCGCTTGTGCTCGCGGTGAGACTTGTGTATACTCGCAGCAGAAGGCGTAACGTTAGAGCAAATCTTCTTGGCGTCGTTCAAGTCGACTCTCAAGTCTACCATGATCGAGGAAGAATATATGCTTCGGCCTGGCGAGCTCACAAATCTGGTACGATGATGGGTGCTGGCACAGCTCAATCTTTCTTCACGCCCAACGTGCGATGGTAGGACCCGGTTCGTCGTGACTTGGCGTTTGAAGTCGGCGTGCTGAACTGTTGAACCGCGCAGTATGGCTGGGCTCAGACAATTACAGGGTCAATAAAACGGCCTGCAAACCATTTATGGTGTCAGATACTTACATCCGCTGGGAACGGAGACATGATTGAGGGACGAGGTCCGGATTGGAAAATTACGACATGAGGTTGTGCTTCAAACAAGTGGAACCGCTTTCGTTGGCCGACTGCGTTCATTTCTTTATCCGCCCTTACAGTGGGAAAAGCCGAGTCGTACAGCTCGGGATACAAGCTGTCACAACGCCTGGAATGCTGCATGCTTGTAACAAAGGGATGTCAATATACCGTACCGCGTTCGACCAGTGTGCGCACGATACTGATTGTGGTCGTGGAGAGTAGCCACTACCAGGCTTGAGGGCATTACCACAGTCACTTGATATTGGTTCGTCTGAGGAGGCTTCAGCAAAGGGAGGGACGTCATGTGGAGACTGTGAAGCCACGTACCGCTCTACAGTGAATGACATCTATGGTCAGCCAAGTGTAGAGGCATGTTGAGACTTAGTCGCCTGCAGTTGTGCTTTCTCAAAGGTTTCGAGTTCGCTATGAGCAGTCCTCGTAATACATGATCAACTTCCCTGGTGACGATCGTGTCAGCCTACCACATTTAGACCGCTCCGTGCAGCGATGCTTGGTGCTCGTTGGATGCCCCTTATGCTCCCTACTGACGAGAAGAGCTCAGGATCCAAGTATTGCACTCTCCTAACCTACAACCTCTCCTGCATCTTTCGCTTTCGTCGCTAAAGTGCGTCTCCACCAGCCGATCATCCCACGCCTCCGCATGCTGCTGCGGACAAGCGGAGATGGGATGGGGATGGCCAGAGCGCCGGCCAACTACCGTCTTGAGATGGTTGCAATTTCGCCCTGCTGGCTTCATCCATCTCAAGGATCAGAGACACGCAATGGCGGACTTGAAATAATCCAATCATCTACAGGCGGCAGTGGAACAACCGGCATTGTAATAACCCAAAAGAGGCTACCGGAGCGACAGAGCGGCACGCAAGCTAGGTCACGGCTAACAGCCGCCATGCGCACATCCTTCCTATGATCACATGCTCCCGTGGAGGCGCGCATCTTCTCCGCCAACGGAGCTCCGCTGCTCGTTATGGCGCTGTCTTCTTACAGGCTGTATCCACACAGCGCCGCGCAAGATGCCATAATGGACATCTCTCTGCGGCTATACAGCGCACTACACGAAGTATATTCACCTTGGGCAGGCTAGCTACTACGCGAGCACTTTTCGCAGCATCAGCGCCTCTAGCCGAGCTTGTAGGTCGCACGGGATCAGACCTTGCAGCTCGACGGGCCTTTACGAAGATGGCGACGAAGGATAAGGTCTTTGTGGGAAGCATCGACCAAGGCACAACCAGTTCCCGCTTCTTGATCTTCGACGAGCAAGGAGTGCCTGTAGCGATACACCAAGAAGAGTTCAGCCAGATATATCCTCATCCTGGATGGCACGAGCACGACGCCGAGGAGATAGTCCGGTCTGTTGAGAGCTGTATCGAGGGTGGCCTGAAGGCTTTCGAGAAAGATGGCCACTCCAAGGACAGCATCAAAGCAATTGGGATCACCAACCAACGTGAGACTACTGTAGTGTGGGACATCACAACCGGCAAGCCGATCTACAACGCCATCGTCTGGACAGATACACGGACGTCGTCCCTTGTGCGTGAGCTCAAGGATCGCCCAAACAGTGACGGCTTGCAAGAAATCTGTGGCGAAGCCATTTCCACCTACCCTTCCGTCTCCAAGCTCTTGTGGCTGCTGAAAAGTCAAGACAAGGTCCGGGAGGTGTACGAAGCAGGCAATCTAGCGTTTGGTACCATCGATGCCTGGTTAGTATGGAAGCTCAACGGCGGGCCGGAAACGAACGTCTTCGTTACCGAACCAACCAACGCCAGCCGGACAATGTTCATGGACATACGTACGATGAAGTACAGTGACAAGCTGCTCGACTTCTTCTCTTATGAGTTTGATCTACGGAAGATACACATGCCCCAAATCGTCCGATCTGCGGATACGAAAGCGTATGGCCAGTTACGCTCAGGGCCGCTTGCCGGCTTTCCTATCACTGGATGTCTTGGAGATCAATCTGCTGCACTAGTCGGCCAGAAAGGGTTCGAGGCAGGTATCGCTAAGAATACGTACGGGACGGGCTGCTTCTTGTTGCTCAACACGGGCACTACACCAGTCATCTCAACACATGGTTTGATGACAACCGTTGTGTATGACTTCGATGGAACGCCTGTGTACGCGCTTGAAGGTAGCATTGCTGTCGCCGGTTCAGGCGTGAAGTTTTTGATGAACAACCTCGGCTTTTCTTCTCAGTCTCACAAGATCACAGAGCTGGCAGAGACCGTTCCTGATAACGGTGGGTTAGTGTTCGTCACGGCATTCAGTGGTCTTTTCGCGCCGTATTGGATCGATGATGCGCATGGCACAATGTGTACGATCTATTGCAACTTCTGATGCGATGACTACGCTGACCCTCATTGCAGTTGGTATAACGCACCACACAGAGCGTGGCCACATCGCGCGCGCGACGCTTGAAGCAGTATGCTTTCAGACGAAAGCCATCCTCGATGCCATGGAGAAGGACTCCGGCCAGAAGCTCTCTGAACTAAGAGTCGATGGTGGCATGTCCAATTCCGACCTTTGCATGCAGACTCAGGCAGACCTTGTGGGCATCCCACTGATGCGGCCGAAGATGCGGGAGACTACCGCTCTCGGGGCTGCCATTGCCGCAGGCTTCGCTTCGGGCGTATGGAAGAACTTTGACGAGCTCAAAGAGGTTAATGTGACGGGTCAAACTGTCTTCGAGCCGAAGATGGATGCTGCTGCTAGCAGGAAGATGTTTAGGCGATGGGAGAAGGCTGTGATGATGTGCCGGGGCTGGCTCGCGGAAGAGGCTGCTGAGGAGGGAAATGCCGATGCTGCGAACGATCTGAAGGAAGGGTTGGGTAGAGAACAGGACGAGGGGCTTGAGAAAGTGGACTCGAAGCTTACCGCATGAGCATTTCTCATCGTTTGCAGTAGCGTTGAAGGACATATTTCATGCTGTTCATCAATGTACCATGTGCATGATCGGTTTGTCGTACTTTGGCGCATTCGACTTTTTTGTCGGCGTCCCAGCTGCCATCTAGCTCATGCAGTCATGTCAGGAGACCATACCTGGGACTGTATATGATCCGGGAAGTGGGAAGTTGATATGGTAGCAATGTGGGCTGGAGCATACACATACGTTCAGTGAAGTCATGCGGATCGCCCGAGCTTCGGCGAAATTCTTTTTCAGACTCCACTGCGTTTTGCGTGCCCGACAGATTGCAAGCTCAGTACTGCATCTTCCCCAACACAAACACACCGAGCGCCAATACAACACCTCAACTGCAGAGCTGTAGCTCTTCAAACCACCCCTACATATCAGAGACTGCGTTACTCGCCGTTCTGATGACTTTTGCGCCCACAACCTTCACCTCGCAAGACTACATCTCCGACCATTTGTGGAAAGCAAACGTTAATTAAGCCGCGTACCAGCAATCGGCACAAATACCTTAAACCATGGCGACTCCTATTCTCGCTAGGTTTACTACGGTCTCTACCATCAGGCCTACATTTGGCAAATTCGCGAATGTGTCCATCAAGCCGGCCTTCCAGTTCAGAGGCAGAGCTTCAGTGGTGGACGGCACACCGCGTTCTCCGCCGCCGACCTCTGTCCGCTCGACCAAACCCTCTTTCGAGCGCGCTACCTTCACGATCCGAGACGGACCGATTTTCCACGGCAAGAGCTTTGGTGCAAGGGCGAACGTGAGCGGTGAAGCTGTCTTCACTACCTCGCTTGTGGGTTATCCAGAATCTATGACGGACCCATCGTACCGTGGACAGATCTTGGTGTTCACGCAGCCGCTGATTGGAAACTATGGCGTACCGTCGGCGGTTAGAGACGAGTATGGGTTGTTAAGGTATTTCGAAAGCCCTAACATCCAGGCTTGCGGCATCGTGGTGGCGGACGTGGCGCTGCAGTACTCACATTGGACTGCTGTAGAGAGCTTGGCGGACTGGTGCGCGCGAGAGGGTGTGCCCGCGATTTCTGGTGTGGATACGCGGGCAATCGTCACGCATCTGCGAGAGCAGGGTTCTTCGCTTGGGAAGATCACGATCGGCGAAGAGTACGACGCGGACGAGGATGAAGCGTATGAGGACCCGGGCCAGATCAACTTGGTCAAGCGAGTATCTACCAAGCAACCTTTCCACGTACCCTCGCCGGTTGGCGACGCACATATTGCTCTCATTGACTGCGGCGTCAAGGAGAACATCATCCGCTCGATCGTGTCGCGAGGCGCGTCCGTGACCTGCCTCCCGTTCGACTACCCGATACACAAGCTGGCTCGCCACTTCGACGGTGTCTTCATCTCGAATGGGCCTGGCGACCCAACCCACTGCCGCGCCACCTCGGACAACCTACGGAAGCTGATGGAAACCAGCCAGATCCCCATTATGGGTATCTGCCTTGGCCACCAACTTCTCGCCATCGCCGTAGGCGCTGGTACTACAAAGATGAAGTACGGCAACCGCGCGCACAATATCCCGGCCCTCGACGAGACGACCGGTAAATGCCACATCACATCTCAGAACCACGGGTACGCCGTTGATCCGGATACGCTACCATCGGACTTCAAGGTCTATTTCACGAACTTGAACGACAAGACTAATGAGGGCATGATTCACAAATCAAGGCCGATCTTCAGTACGCAGTTCCATCCGGAAGCGAAGGGCGGGCCGCAGGATTCGAGCTATCTGTTCGATTTGTATCTGCAGGAGGTCAAGCGGTATAAATCTGAGCAGGATCGCGTGAGTGGGCGGAGCAGAGACAGCAAGCCTAGCGGTCTGCTGGTTGATCTCTTAGCGAAAGAGCGAGTCGGTGTCAAGCCGGGCATTCCGTACGAAGCTTAAGCAATGAGGCGGTGGTGACTTTTACGAATTTCTTTTCGATAGTGGCGTTCCTGCTTAAGCGATGGATATGCGACGTTTTTGATATGCTACTTAGTACTGTACAAATCGGTTAACACCAAGTCCTGTTCGCCGCGTTCCAACGAATGAATGGTAAATTTTCATGTCTCATCCATGCTCTTGTCAAGCATTCGAACCTGGATTCACGTCAAGCGGGGGTCTCGGCGAGAAGCTTTTCCGCCCGAAAACCTTCGCTCTAAACGACATCAGCCAGTTTATTGTTCCCGTCGTTACAAGTCTGCGAAAGCCGCGCTGTTGCTGGACATGGCCACCACTATTTCCCTGGTTGATCCGGCTAGGAGTAATAAGTTGACGCAGGTCAAGACAAATGGATATAGCAAACCTGAAAAGCGCAAGCGAAGCGAAGCGCATCCGGATGCAGCTTCGGAGAACCCAAGCGAACACCTTAAGAAGAAGGCCAAGAAGAAGGTACTGAAGACGGATCAAAACGGCTCAGCAGATGCAGACCATGTACCGGCCCCAAGTGCTGCGACTGTGCAGGCCGCATCTGCGAAGGCGTCTCAGTCACGGCCCGCAGAAACCGACAGTAAGGTGAACGGCGACTCCACGCTCAAGAGAAGTAAGAAGATGCGAAATCACGAGAGCGGGGAGAACGACGACCCAGTCACCGTTGAGCCTTCAGAAAAGAAAGTAAAGCCGAGCAGGAGCGAGACCGTTCGAGTGGAGGAGAAGCCCACAGCCACAGCACTGTTAGAAAAGCCCAAGAAGAAACGGAAGAAAGAAATAAACACCACCCTTGATGTTGGGCCCGCTACTGCGCAAATTCCGGACGAGACTGTGGTGCAGGATTGGAGCGCGACTCAGCCGAAAGGCACTGATGGTCTTGCGCACCGCCAATTAGGGTTCAGCGATGAAATTCTGGCAATGAAGTCCCCGTTTGAACATGTGACGGCGAGTCTATACCTCGCACTATCACCGTGTGCGAATGACTTCCCAGTCGAAGGACTACTGGCGGAGCACCTATCACCGCTGCTTCTTACCTACTACCCGCCGCTCAAGGGTGTCGTACTGTCGTACACCAACGCACGGATATCGAACGGACCAAATGGAGCAGGAGACGGCATTGCGCTCGGCCAGTCCATCGACGAGTACGCTGTTACATTTCTGTGGCTTACGGCAGACTTTCTACTCTTTAAGCCGAGTAGAGATGCTTACCTTGAAGGCTGCGTCAACTTGCAGAATGAGAGCTTGTTGGGCTTAATTTGCTATAACTATTTCAATGCTGGCATTGACCGCTCGCGACTACCCACGGACTGGAGTTGGAAAGACAACGATGATGTGGAAGGGGTTGCGAAGTGGGGAAGACAGCCAACCAATGGGCATTGGGTTGATGGTGATGGTGTGAAGGTGGAGGGGAGGCTAGCATTTCGTGTAAGGGATTTCGAAGCTGTCGGTGGAAGTGAGCTTGGTGCCGGCAGCGTCAACATCTTAGGGACGTTATTGTCTGATGATGAGGACGGGAAACTGGATGATGAGGAAAGGCAGCAGGGTTTGGTCACCCGTCGGTCACGGTGATCCAACATTCACCACGTGCGTAGCCGAAATGCGCCCTGCCTAGAACCAAGGTGTGATACAGAAGGCATAATGCGAAATCTTTCTTGCACTCGATGCATACCTAGTATCATATGGCTTTTTAGTGAATGTGTAAACACATGAGCAGGTGAGGTAGCCACGGCATGAACGACTGCACGGTGCGCCGGAAGTTGCCGTCGTGCCTTCCCCGCGTCAAACGCGAACTCCATGATAATTTGACATGATATTGTGATCAGCTAACGACACAGACTCCTCATGCGTGGTACACATCTCCTGCGCCACGAGCTATGCGGCTTCGTCTGCGCATCCAGCGCAACCAACTGCCAACCGTCACTGCTCTTTGGCCTGTCACCGAAACGCAGCTGAAGCATACGATATCCCAGCTACTCGAACAGATCAATCAGACCTTCCCACTCGAGTCTGGCACTTGGGGCCTGGAAGACTATGCCGTTCTTGTCGCTGGATTCGAGTGCCTACATTACCATGAAGTCGGCGCAGTCTGCAAGGATGAGGACGAAGTGCTCGTGAGACCTTTACTGTATGCCGAGACAAGGGCACGAACACTGGCGGGCAGACATCAGATTACTGGCGATGGGCGCCATTTGGTGGACGGACTTCCGTTCGGTCGGCCATTGTTGAGAGTCTTGCCACGACCGGAGGTGAATATTCCGCCAGCGGAGAAGAGGAGGGTTGAAGATGACGAGTCGAGCATGCCAGTAGCGGTCTGGAATGCGGACGAGGAGCTGCCCCATGTTGACGGCCGAATAGAGGACGAGGAGGATGACGAGGACTTTGTTGTTGACGGGGACGTAGAAGAGGATGAAGATGAGCAAGACGTGCGCTCAGAAGAACCAAGCAGTGAGGAAGACAGCGACAGCGACAGCGACAGCTCTGATGATGACAGTGAAAGCGAGGAAGTTGACACCTCAACTAGTGAGGTGGACGAAGACAAGCTGGTCAGTGAAGAGAAATGGGACGGCTTTTCAGAGGCTCCGTCCTCTTCGGCAAGCAGGGCAACTGTGCTCGAGCCGCATACTGGCCCTTCTATGGAAACAAGCATGCAGAATGTCTATCCTCTTGATCGTGAAATGACACCAGTGGATGAATCATCTCGTAAGCGCAAAGCAACCGATGCCGACCTTGCAGCGGAGACGCCCGCCGATCTGTCAAAGAAACTCAAGTTGGCGAATGTTCCACCAGGTGAAGGTCTTCAAAAAACTCAGCAGCGTAATGCTCGCAAGCGTTCATCGAAGCGGTTGGCCCATCTTAAGAGGATGGGCGTGCTGCATCAAGACGCAACTTTGCAGGATCTTCATGCATGGCAAGCGAACAATGAGGAGCCAAAGTATAACACACATAATGCACGGCAACAAGCAGTGATACGTAAGGCGTTATCACAGACTCATCGGTCTGAGATAGATGATCCTGCAGCTGGCGAAGCCGCTATGGCCATTGTCACTGACGAAGGGGTGGTCAACAGCGGTAGAAATGCACATGATAGACGTGGCAACATGCAGACAGACGATCAGGTACGTTCAAAGAGCGACAAGAATGTTTTTCGGGTCAACGGCATGCCGCACAATTATGTCAATGGCGTTCCTGCCGTCACCATGCAAACTTCAAGCACGGGTTTAGAGGAGCTCGCCGATGCAGACGAGGATCGCGACGATGATGGCCCAGACGAACTGAGCGCAAAGCAGGCTGTATCCGAAGGCTTCCACGCACCCAGCCCGGTGGACGACGATGTTGCAGTGACCGAAGGTGTTGCGGAAGCCGTCTCGGCTGCTGCTCTGCACAAGCCCAGTACCATGGTGCCGCCCTCTGTCATGCGCCGCTCGAAGCTGGACTTGGCAAGCTCTCAGCGCCTTGTCTTCGGCTCACTTGGACTTCGTGTCCCGAAGAGTTCACAAGAGAGAGATGTCTTACAGCAGAAGCTGGCTGAAAAGGCAAAGCAAAGCAACGCGCCGCCATCGGCTGTGGCTGAATCTAAGGAGGCTGAAGTTGCTGACCCGAAAACAGCGGACGCTGAGACAGGGATCGAAGATACAGAAGCTTGGCGCGACAGGATCGAGCTCACTGCTGTCGAGTGCTGCGAGGAGGGCATTACGCTGAGCACTCCGCTATTCCCATTTGTTCAGCGTTGGGACCCGCAACAGCGCAGAAAGAAGTCTAAGACGAAAGGAGCCAAGCCGTATCAGCAGCCAAGGAAGAGGGCGAAGACTAATGGAGTCGCTCAGTCTGAGTTCGTTGAAAGCTACGACAAGTACAATACAGACGGCACTGGTGATGCGCTAGAATATGACGACCCCGAGGAGGAAGAATACTGGGAAGAAGGTGCGTTGCTCGACGAAGGCTACGAAGACGAGCATGGTGAGGAGACAGCGAACAAGCAGCTTCTAGACAAGATTGCCAGAGACGCTGCGGAAGACGATTACCCACCGCTACCATCCGATGTCTCCGCGCTGCCCCAACTTTCGGAGAAGGAAGCACAGGAAGCTGACTTTGTCGCCTATTCCGAGTTAGTATGCGCACCAGCGACCGGCTGGCAGCCGAAGATGATGCCTCGTACGGCGCAACTTCAGTCCAAAACGCCCAATGGCGACTGGGTTGCACGACTTGCATTGCGCGACGTGTCACAGAAGACCTTCGACGATGACGGTAATCGTGTCTATCAGAAGTTCGAGATGGAGGGTCTGAGTGACGATGATGACGATGGCGACGAGCGCTTGGTCACCCTCAATTGGGCCGACATAAGTGAACCAAGGCTGCTCAAGCGCATCACGACGAAGCAGGTGAACGGCACTGCATAGCGGTAGATTGGTAACAACCATTTGACTCGAGATTTAGGACTCCAATGTGGTCACAAAACAGCTATCTAAATGCTATTATGCCTGTACATTCCGCTGTCGTTGTCGTGCTTTTCTAATGCTGCCGCCCGTCCATACTGCAGTTGGGACGGCAGTAACCAAACTCACTATCCCCAGCACAAGAGTCGTGGTGCCCCAACCAGCTCGCTCCTTGATCAAGCCGCCGAGTAAAGGTCCTACGAAGCATCCAGCTGCCCAGGCCATGTTGAACAGACTGTACGCCTGCGCATACGCTCCGTTCTTGCCAAAGAAGCCAGGCTTATGTCGCTGCGCTTTAGCATCGACAGCGTACGCGATCTCAGCCATCATGGGCGTCAGCACAAGCGTAAGGGTAAGGCCGATCAGCGCAAGTAGAGCACAAAGTAGGACTTTCTGGCTGAGCGTGTTGTAGCGCACCAGCCGGAGAAGGATGAGGAGCGGACACGCGGCGATGAAACCAGCGGTAGCGAACCAGCGCGGTCCAATCTTGTCGGTCGCCCATCCAATGACTGGACCAAGGAAGGAGACAATGACAATAGGTAAAAAGATAAGCCCGGCGCCTATAGAGTTCCAGTGGAAGGTGTCGCGGACGTATAGTGGGAGTAGCGAATCGAAAGCCGTGTAGAGTGAGGCTTGGATTAGGCAGGCCCACAAGGCGGAGACGACGCGGCGCGAAGAGAAGAGGTAGATGACGGCGGGCAGGCGATCTACGAGACGCTTGATCGGTGTCGGTGCGTCCGTCGGTAATGTGTCTGCAGCGGCTGTTGCGAGCTCGTCGTGCTCTCTCTGCTTATCGTCTTTATGCTGCGCTGGACTTGGTCTTGGTTGCATCTCAACGTCGTCCGTTGAGCGCGGTGCTGCGGCGAGCTCCGCTTCCTTGCCTTTGCTTCTACCTTCCTCCACCTGCTCAATAGTGGTCGGATCCGCAGGCAGCCACTTAACCGCCACTTTCTTCTCGATCAAAGCCAAGCGCATGATGATGTCCAGTACAATCAAGCCAAAAGCCATGGCGAAGACTGCATAATACCCGGAAGCAGCAAACACCACACCGCCTAACAGCGGGCCAAGCATCAATGCCAGGCTCAAACTCAGCCCAACATAGCCCATAGCGGACCCGACGCCCTCTGCGCCCACGGTGTCTACCAGTAATGCCAAGCCGACAACCCAAACAACCGCTGAGCTCGCGCCTTGGAGGAGCCTGCCGGCCGCCAGTAGCCCAATGCTGTTACCGACGCAGAGCATGACCGTCGACCCACCTAAAGCCAGTAGACCGAAGACCAGTGGGGCTCGGCGGTTGGAAGAACGGTCGGCTAACCATCCACAGATCGGTGCCACGACGAGCAGCGTTGCGCCGTAGAGAGCCAGGAAGACGGAGATCCATGTTTGTATGGAATCAGCCTTGATGCCAGAGCGAGTAGTCAGGGCGAAAGGAAGCACAGGTACTATTATCGCGTACGTAAAGATATCTGTGAACACGGCCGTCGCAACCGTAACAATGATGAATGTGCTCGAACTCCTGAATCTCAGTAATACTGGTGGCCTTGTTGACGAGCCAACCAGCCATGCAAACATGATGGACAATGATGCTCGTCGGTCACTCGAAAGAGACACTAGGTAAGATCGCGTGGCAGTAGCCTCGTACTAAGATTGGTGAAGAAAGACATTGTATACAGACCATCGCCATGTGATAGAGAGCACGTTTGTTCCGTGCAGTGATCACTATGGCGCCACGCTAGAGAACGGCAAAGCACATGCATTATATCACGATAAAGGTGCGTCATGCGTGTGAGATGAAGCGAAAGAGGCGAAATATCCTTACGGCCAAGCGGCAGCTTAAGGCACCGCGGTTAAAGTTACTCTTATCGTTATAGCGTCTGCAAGTGTTGCTGGGGCCTCGTGGGCTTTTCCAACTCCGAACACCATCGACCACCTTCAATTTCTCCAGTCAAGCGGAAATTCTATTCTATAGTATGCATGTCGTTCACAATAAGAGTTTCTACACTAGCGGTGACGGACGTCGTAGTCTCCAAATTCACGGGCGAGGCGGGTTTGCAGGCGTGGAAGAGAAGACCATGTTTCCGGTGCCGTGCCACGTGAACAATTGGTAAAGTTGTAAACATTTCGACGTCTACTGCCATCCTTGTCCTTCCCCAGATTACTCCCATCAGAGGATTCTCTCTCAGCTTGTGGCATCGTCGATATCACTTCGTGACGGCTTCGTGACGAGAATGTTGGCACATGCGACGTGGCCCAGAGTCGGAAGGGTCGTCAACCTTGCTTCGATATCGCGGCTTTTGCGTACTGCAAGTAATTCCTCCCGTTACGGTCCACATTGGGCAAGGCTTCCGATCCGTCCCAGAGCATCAGACCTCCAGCATTGTCGAGCTTCAGTTGCCTCGCCACCTCAATCGAGCTATGCAACTCCGAGCCCGCAACATAGCCGATGCCTCCGCCGTGAAACGCGAGTACGCCGATGTACAGACGTGGCGTGGCCGATGCGGTGTTGTTCGAGGATAAGGCACCCGACCAAGCTTTGTAGGCCGGAAGAAACCCCGTGCTGTTGAGATTGCACGGGGGGTTGTTATAGAATTGCACCCATACGAAATCCGCCTGTCTCATAAGGCCAAGCGGAATCGAGGCGTCGGGTATGGGACACTGTGGTGCAGCCGAGAGGTAGTACCGCTTCCTGCTGTCAGCGGTCATTAACTGACGTAGCCTTGTCGTGAAGGTAATGTGAGACGTCGGGTCTTTGCTTTCATTGTCAATGTCGAAACCGTCAAGGATGATATTAGGGCCGAAGGGGCGGATGTGCAGGTAGTCTTGGCCGCCACCGAATAAGTTCCGTATTACTGATGCGAAGTTTGACGCCTGAGCGTTAGAGGTGAAAGTGCTAACAGCCCCATAGCCGCCGAGACTGACAAGCACAACTTTCCCGTTGGCTTGACACCGCCTAATGGCTGGAGCGAGTGCGGTACAGTCAGGTAGATTGGGGACGAGGGAAGCCAGCTTGGCGTTGGCTGGAGTGCCTGCTGGCCCGAACCAGGCGCTTGGATATACTCCGCCTGCGGAAAAGTTGTTAACAAAAGCCAGAATGACGATGTCGACATTTTGGCTTCCGCAAAGCTTGGTGAGGTCACCAGCTTTCGTGTTCGGTGATGAGCCATAGTACACTGCCACGTTCTGGAAGGATCTGGTCGGAAGGTGTGTGTCGAAGTCGCAATGGACGTCAGGGTGGTTGTTGGGAAGATCGCTGCACGGGGGAGGTGTTTATGTAGAAGCTCCTGGTGGTTGTGCCGACACTGCACGCTTGGAATGTACAGAAGTAGTACTGATGTACGTATAGCAAGCTGTAGACGGCACATGGTTCTAGTCTAGCAGCTATATCCTAGAACCGGTTCACGTCAGTACCGGATCGAACTTACCTACCTTCCATAGGAGCTCGACGGCATGACTATGTCCGCGGTCTGCATTGATTGATAATAGTGCGATGGCTGGGGCAGCCACCTGAGGTTGCATACACCCGCATTCCTCGACTGACCGGGTCGGCGTCCAGAGACATCGTCGGCACACTTTAGGGGCAGGCAGTAGCCCGGCCATTAACATTGTGAGCTCGGGTTACTCTAGCGAGCAGGATTAGATGGAACAGAACAGATGTGGCTGGATTCCAAAATCCTTCACCTCAAGCAGACGGAAGACTCAGTGGTCACGTGGACTGCACACGCTTTACGCGTCGACGCGCGACATGTACCAGGCAATGCGTTCGCCCGCCATGGGTTGGGTTGAATTGAAGGTCATGATGTATTTGGTCATTGTACGTTGTCGGCGTGTCTCCACTGAAATAGTCTCTCATCTCAAAGCGCTCCAAGACGATAGGTCGATGGAGACACGTCCTCAGTGCTGTGGGCGAAGGCTCAGCACGCAAGGTGGTGAGAGGGGCGCGTAAGATAGCAACGATGGACGCCAGGACTCGACTCGTGGATTCATACGTCCTAGCGGGTCGTTGGAGGGTGTAGAATGCTGTATCATGCGTCAAGCAACATGCAGGAGAAGAAGGAGGGCTAAGCGGTGATGGATCGGTACTAGCACATCCGAAGGCGGGATCTTCCGCCCTTCTGGGTTGTGCCTTTTGCTTGTCGAAGGCCAATACGCTCAGCAAGCCGCGATGCCCGAGCGCGAGTTTCAGGGAAACGATGGAGGGCTCGATGATGTTGTTGCGGCGAAATGGCAAGCCTATTCTAAGAGCAAGCCTGCCACGAGGCGCCTCGTCTACCTATTTTCCCGTAAAACCATGCTTCCACTGTCACGACCCATCATCACTGCCTCACGCGAAATGTAAAGAGGAACATTCCATAGACCGGAGGCCCGCCCCCCAGCCAGACAAGAAACCGCTTACCGTCGCAATCTAGCTTTGTGCTCAAGCCCTCCTTACCCTCCATCACCCACACCATACACTCATTCTACAGTGTTAGACGACATCTCCCACCATGTCGACATCGGCGGCCACTAGCAAGTCGTCATCAAAGACGCCCAGGAAGAGCCTCAAAGTGCGCTTAAGACTCTCTCCTAAAATCCTCGCCAAGTTCCCATCCGACATCACGCCCAAGCCATCAATAGCGACACCTGCCATCGAGCCACTGTCGTCAGCACAATTACACGATGCCACCGACAAGACGTCAGACTCGAATGGCACGCCCATGCCGGCGCCCAGCAACGAGACCGGAGATGGCAATACTCTAGCACCACCAAAGGTTGACAGGCGCAGAAGAGGTGGCGCGGGCATCAGCAGTGGACGGAAGCGAGCACCACCCTCCATCGACCCAAATGGGCCCATGAGGGAACGTGGACGGCCTGGTCCAAAGAAGAAACCACGATTGTAAGTTCTCCTCGCACGCAAGCCAACGCAATACGACGATGCTCTCCTCCTATCAGCTTGTTCCTCTCTCTACCCATCTTGGAGACAACTCATCTGACTTGCGTTAACATCATCAGTAGACCAGACGGCACGATTGACCGCTCCAATGATGGTACTAGGCCCGCGCCCGTCACAGCACCTTCCCGTCTTGGACCCAAGGCAAATACGGGCAACATCAACGCCAATCTCCGCGCTCTGGACCGCTCTGGCAAACCGTGCCGGCGGTGGGAACGTAAGCCGCTGCATATCAAGTCATTTACCGGCGTCATGTGGGGTATGCCATCTTGGAAAGCGCCCCAACGCGACAACGGCTTCGCTGGCGACGTTAAAAGCGACAGTACCGGGTCCAGTGACCTCAAGCGCAACGACAGCAGCGCTGTTGGCAGTGACAGGAGCCACAGTGGGATGGATGTCGGCGATACGACTATGATGAATGGGATTGAGAGCTCACCGGCGCCTCCTGTTCCAGCCTGAGTGTCGAACACAACTTCTGCTCTGTAATTTTGTGTTTTCTGATCTCGCCGCCTTGTAGGCTGGCTCTAGCGACGGAGTTTGGGAGGGCGAGCGAAAGCTACGCAAGTGTAGCAATGAATGTATTAGGGACAGGGAGAAGACTCTTCACGTCGTACGTGCTACTTCAGCGTCACGTCCTATCAACACTAGGACCACGATTGGCAACATGTTGAAAGACGGCGGCAGCGCTGTTTGGCCCGAGCTCTTCAGGTTCGATGGCGCGTGTTGTTCCTCATGTTCATATCATAGGTGGCAACAAGGTGATCGTACGACTTACTCGGACCAATAATCACTGAAACTGAGGCTCTTACGCATGGTTATCTGTCCACTCCGCCTATCGTTGGTCGGGCGAATGCGGAGTTGGGCAGCTGTCATGCAGAAGCCGAGCTCATTGACCTGAAGCTCACACTGCTCACACGTCAAGCCTTCATCTTGACTCTCGTTCTGTCCCTTCTAGCGCCTCTGACACACCCTGCTATTTGTGAAGATCCTACAGCGCTGACATGCTGGACACCGTGCTTCGTAACGAGGACCGCCATCGGCCTCGGTAGAACAAGCTCTCGAGCACTGCATCACTGACGCCCGAAGCGCTCATCGTCTCATTCGAGCCACCTTACCTGCACAACAAGTGCTTGCTGTTGTGTTCTGAATACTACAATCGACTTGAGAACGCGCATTGCTTTCCTAGCAATTGCCAGTTTCACGTGCTTGCTGTTTTCCCGCGGCGCTTGCTGTCTGGGACAGCAGGCAGCATGACCAACCCATATAGCGGGAGCGGCGGGCCAGGCTCGTTTCCTTCTGCCTCCACAATTGCTCCAGGATCGATCCGGCGACCCTCATACGCTACCGTTGCGGCAGGAGCAGCCGGACTGCGATCAACCACCGCACTCATCGAACAGGCTCGCTCGTCCGGCGCAAGCCTTCAGGCAAGAGGCGAGCAGCAACCTCAGGCGGTCAATATGGGATCAAGACCGCATTCAAGGAGCATGAATATGGACGTGGATGCACATGATAGCCGAAGCGCTGCGGCTAGCGCGTGGAGGAGAGCACATCATAAGGATTACCCACCCTTCTTTATACCCTCGTATCTACGACATTCGCGGCACGTGGAGCGATTACACCGTGCACACGACGAGCATATTGCCGAACTGCAAGAGCAGGCTAGACTGAACCCACCGAACCCGGCACCGTCATTATCTACAAGCTCGAGCAATAACAACCTGCATAAACTTCATGCTTCACACGTACATCATCGACCAGCAGCAGTTCAAGATGTTATCGAGAGGTTACCTCCGCTGGCAGATGAGGACCAAACGCACCCTTTACCAAGCCGATGGAGCGAGAGCGACAAGATGGGTGGGCTGGAGATTCTTACAGACGGCACGGAGGTACGGTTTGGCGGAGTGACGAAGACGTCGGACGAGGCGGCATCGATACGATCAGACCACCATATGCCAAGGGAATGCGGGTTATATTATTATGAAGTGACGATACTGTCGCGAGGCAAGGATGGGTTGATTGGGATAGGCTTCTCATCTAAGCGAGCTGGTCTGAACAGATTACCGGGCTGGGAGCAGGAGTCGTGGGCTTACCATGGAGACGATGGGTATAGCTTTGCGTGCACTGCCAGCGGCAAGGCGTACGGACCTCGCTTCTCAAGTGGCGATGTAATTGGGTGTGGCGTCAACTTCCGGACGGGCAGTGCGTTCTTCACCAAGAACGGCGTATACCTTGGTAGGCTAAGCTGGGCGGATGTGGTATCGCTACGGTACGCTGACATGTGAGCAGGAGTGGCGTTTAACGACATCAAGCAAGATGGGTTGTACCCTTCCGTGGGCATGAAGAAGCCTGGCGAGCACTTGCGCATCAACTTTGGCCACACTCCTTTCGTCTTCGACATTAACGGCATGATGGAGGAAGAACGACATTCGATCATAGACAGCATCAGAAGGGCTGACGTCTCCACCCTGAGGCCACCTGATGACGAAAGTACCCTCGTTCACAAGCTGATCAGTCAGTACCTCGCGCACGAAGGCTATGTTGAGACAGCCAAAGCTTTTGCACAAGACGTTCATCAGAAGGAACAATCGTTATCAAGCAATCCGGAGCCTTTTCAACCACCCGACTCAGAAGATGACATTCATGCCATCAGCCGTCAGAAGATCCGCAAGTCCATTCTTGATGGAGACATAGACCAGGCACTGAAGTACACTAGCTCCTTCTACCCGCATGTTTTGGAGGAGGAGCGCAACCGAGACATCTACTTCCGCCTGAAGTGCCGCAAGTTTATAGAGATGATGCGCCGTTATACCGAGCTTGTGACCGCTACCACTTCGCCTGCAACCGTGACCAAGTCGATAGACTCACTCGGCAGCAACGGCCACCCTGATCTACATGAGCACTCCGCTCTCGCAGATACAGCCGCTAATGGCGACGCTGACGGGGATGAAGATGAGGATGGAGAGCCTGACACGCAGATGGAGCTGGACGATCAGCTACATCGCGAGGCGTCCAAGTCCCTCGAGCCGCCAACAGATGACGTTGACATGGATGCATCACAAGAGCTGCCACCCAAGACTTCATACATGAAGAAGGATGACCTGCAAGCCGCAGCGCTGAGGTATGGTCGTGAGCTCATGCATGAATTCGGTGGTGATCCGCGACCTTCTGTAAAGAAACAGTTGGAGGATATCTTTGCCATCGTCGCGTATGAGAACCCGGCTGATAGTCCGATCGGTGCGCTGCTGGACGCGAAGGGAAGGGTGGGCATTGCGGAGGAGGTCAACGGGGCGATACTTGGTACGTTTATTTTCTCTTCCACCCCTCCGCTGTCATACCGTTGCTGACATTGCCGTAGTATCACTCGGTAAACCCTCCTCCGCAGCGCTGGAGAAGCTGTGCGCGCAGACAGAAGCAATGCTGGACGACACCGCTGCTAGGGGCGGCGGCGCAGCAGCCTTCGTGAATGTAGGAAAGGATTTTCTGGAAGACTAGAGTCTGCATGATCGAGTCATTTGGGACCGTCTTGCGCTTTTGTTCAGAATGGTATATTAATACTGCATGCAAGCGTGGCGAATGGGAAGGGTAGGGTAGGTGCAGGCGACCATGGACGCAGGTAGCACCTCGCTCAGTATGTACGTACTTATATAGCCGGTCCAGCTCTTCACTGTGCTCACAACAGTCTCCTGCACATTGACGGCCACCTCCAATCACCACATCGATTTTCAGGACACGGCGCATCTTTGGTGGAAGGCACGATCGCTGCCTTGGCGCCTGATTTTCAGCCAGTTTCGCGCCACCTCTTGTTTGATGGTGAAGTCGCAGTTTGCGCCGGATGGCGTAGCACAACAACGATGCTCTCCACGGACCTGATACTCGAGAAGGCGGCGGTCGACGGTTCGATAGACATGTAAGACACGACAATGGGGCAGGGTGATATCAGTTACTGACGTGCTCCAGTGCAGAATGGCCTCGCGTGCTCGAAAGCGTACTTCAGAAGCTGCATGATGTATGCTCTCCAACTCCTTTCTTGGATGCAAACATGTTCACCAGGGGGTACAGATTGTGTATAGCGACTTCCCAATACCCTCGATACCGCTTCCTGCGCCCCTACGGCCTGTAATTGACCCGGAAGTGGTTGCCTCTACGCCGCCACCAGCCAACGTCCAGGGAGGGGCAGGTGATCATGAAGAGCTTCCAGATGCCAGTATCGAAGAGCACGACCTACCTACGAACAGTCAGAGTAGCACAAAGGAGAACGATGCGCCAGTGGACATTGTTGGGAACCGAGGGCCGGTGCCAGGCTTTCAGGTCGACCGTACCCATTACGCTGTTCAGCCGCCGGACAGCATAGAACCACAGGCAGGGACCTTGCCGCCGGACTTGTTAAGCATGTATCAAAGTTCTACGCGCCTACTGGAAAGAGACTTCTCGCACACCCCACCCTACACCATCCAGCGATTAGCCGAGCTCGTCATATACCCGAAGAAGCATTACCGGTTTTTGCCCGCCTACCTACGCGCTCTCGATCGTATAGTTTCCGTCACGTCACCTGTCTCGGAGTTTCCTTTACCAGCCATGATCTCAAACGTGAACGGCGGCTTTCTGACCAACGGAGACGCGACTACCAATAGCATCACGGAGCGAGAAGGCTTAGGAAGCGATGAGAGCCTTGGCGGAGCTCTACTGACCCCTATCCCATGGCTGCGCAACAACAATACCGCCTTCGCCAGTCAAGCTGCGCCAGGCAGCCAAGACGGCGAACTACGTAGCGAAGGCACAGAGACCGTCGAGGGACCGAATGGCGCAGGCAGTGTCGAGACTGTCTCCGTCACGGTCAACGGTGTGCCTAGCGCTTCTAGTGTGGCGCATACGTCTCCAGCTGTCTCGCCCACGCTTTCTGAACAGTCAGACGCGAGCACTAATAGCTCCGCAAGCGAGTCTACGGAGGCTCAGCTACGGCAACAAGGCGGTGTCACTCAAGGTGAACTGCTACGACAGGAACAGGAAGCCGGCGTCGTGCCTGTCTCCCAGTCAACGGCGCGGCGGTCAATGTTTCCTGGTGGTCCTGCAGCAGCAGGCCGAGAGCTTGCAATTGGTGGAGAGGAGGTCAGTATGGAGGAAGGCCCGCCAGAGGAGACCCCACATGCCCGGGGTCCGGACTTGATAGGTATGGAGGATATGGGACCTCAGCCACGTCCTATTGGGCAAGGATTTGACATCGAGGCTGCCATGGGTAGAGCCAGATCGCCGCCATCACAGCCGGCGCAGGTAGGCTCGCCGCCACCGATGTCTACTCAGCAGCAAGTGGCCGCAGTACAGCCCGCGCCTCAGGCGGAGGTGCAGGCGGAAGAAGCTGAGCAGGATCAGGCCGGCGCCCCTGCTAAAGGTGCAGCCGATGTAGCAAAGGAGAACGAGAAGATGAAGGAAGAAATGATTGCTGAAAAGCATGAAGAAGCTAAGGATGCGAATGGTGATGTGGTCGTGGCGGATGCGGATGGCAGGCCTGTGGGCGAAGTCGAGAAAGGCGAGACAACTGATGACTTGAAGGCGCCTGACGCCACCAAGGCTATGATTCGGTAAGCCTGGAGCATATTGTAGTACGATGATGCATTGCGATAAGAGAAAGGATATTACCGCTGGTGGTCGTTCAAGACCGTGCAACCCCTTGGGACGAACACATCACGTAGGCGCCTCGCTACCGATGCGTAGCGTTCCGCCTATGCTGCATTATCTCGGCTAGGAACGGAGCCATGAAGAGGGTAGCCATGGGAGCACGCGGTTCGCGCCTTCCTTGAGAACTCCCTCACGGTCCAGTGCCTTCCAATCCTGCGACTTTGAAACACTGTCTTGGCGATGGCAACAGAAATTTCTGCAAACGAGTTGCACGTTTTCGCGTCCTTCACACCCGACACTGTGTACAACACCCAACTCTAAACCGATCCGCTGCTGCTGCTGGCGGACAACACTAACTTGCACGTTCACGTGGCGGAACTAACACTTCACAATCTGCAGATTGCATTCGACCTTACGACATGACGTCCGTCAGCAGTGAAACCTCTGATGCAAGCTTCGAAGACAGTAGTCCACGCAGCCTCCTCGCACACGCTTTCAACAACGGGACCTCTGAAGACGTGCCAATCAAGTGGGTTTACGTGGGTGAGCAAGACACCACCCCAACTATCGAAGAGATGCGTCAGATATACTTCAGAGAAGACGTTAGGGACCAAGACACCGAAGGCCTCATCGAACATCCGGATGGGTTGCCGGCGAAGGCTGAAGTCGAGGACGCTGCTTATGTTCGTGGGACCCGCGAGACGATGAAGTGCTGTGTCAAGAAGACGTTCCCTTGGGTGGTTGTTTTCGTTCTCGGCATGCTAAGCTTGTTTCTCATGCAAACCGTGAACATTGCCCTCACGCCAGTCTCTAACAGGACCGACATCGGTAAGTCAATCTACCTGCCACATTTGCAAAAGGCTGTACGCTGACTGTTTATCTATAAGCCTACCTCAAGTCCTTCATCAAGCTCGAGCAGACTCGTTTCAATGGTGCTATCCGCGCCACTGCCGATGGCAACGCCATGCATATTCCAGAGCCTGCTCTCGACTCCCAATGCCGTCCATTCGTCGGACCACCATCTCCCGCCATCGACGCAGCGTGGTTTGACCTCATCTTCGGTCGTTACGTCATCTTTAACAATGAGGAGGTTGAATGGCTGAACGGCGATGACGGTGTCCCAGCCTTGACTCCAATCAACTACACGACCTCTCACATTCCCCAGCAAGGCTACTACGGCGGTCCGGACATGCTCCACAGTCTTCACTGCCTTAACGGATTACGCAAGCACCTCGACATAGAGTACTACAAGGACGAGATGAGCGTGCCGGAAGAGTACCGTCGTATGCACATCGAGCACTGTATTGAGCAGCTCAGGCAGGCTGTATTATGTCATGCAGATTTGACGCCCGTCACGCTCAAGCCTGTTCGCAACTCGAAGGGAGAAGTGGTCGCGTTGCTGGGTGAGACAGAGAGAATGCACACTTGCCGCAATGGAGTCATGCTCGCGAAGAAGTGGCAGGAGCGGGGTGCAGAGACGGCGAGAGTGGAGTACGAGTGATCTGAGTACGATAAAGCCCATGAAACGAGCTCGCTCTATCGTGAGCGAATGTGAGGATAAACGATGTCTGCAACAGACCTCTACGGAAAGATTGCATATCACGTTGACGGCGTCCTGCCTCGTGATGGATATGCATGTCAAATGAAACCAAGGTGCGATCTTGGCCCTCGCGGCGCATGGGAAGCCTTTCACGGTTGCAGCCTAATCAATGCAATCCGCAACGTCGCAGCTTCTGTTTCTTTCCATCTGTTCCACTTTCCAGGACCTGTTGGGAGCAACTGAATAGTGGACAATGTAAAATCATGATTGCCCATGCACAATGACGCAAACAAACGCACAGATCGCGTGTGACATCGGAGTGTGCCGTCCCTAGCACGCGACCACCTACTGTAGCTTTTGTACCTGCATAACGAGCTCTAGGTGTGCATCATTCGTCGTCTTGAATCCATCAATCGCACTCGGATACTTGCAACACAGTTTACCAAAGCCAAAAAGTCTTAACAATGCCGCGCGGAAACGATCCCCAGACCAAGATCCACTACAAGGGCAAGAACGAGGACTTCATCATCTTCGCCGATTCGGCGCAGGCAGTCAAAGACTGGAAGGCCGACAAGAGTGTGCCTCTAGCGCAGGTAGTGAGTGGCTGGAAGGTCTTCATTACGCACAAGTAAGCTGGCATTCAAGCCCATGGCCAGAGTGCAAACAGCGCGCATTGCAGATACTGACAATGAGTTCTGCGCAGGCACGGCAACCAGGGTGTATTGGACGGTGCTTCGAAGGGTCAGCTTGAAGACGAATTTGGCACGAGCAGAGATGATGATGTTGTAACGAAGATTCTCGAGGGTGGTTCGATCATCGAATCTGAGGTACGAGAATATGATGCCGCAGGCAGTGCGCAAGAACCATTTCTGATTAACTGGTTCTTTAGGAGAAGGGTCGTATGGGTGACCGGAACATCACGGAGGGTGGAAGGGTGGCTCACTGAGAAGGCAAGCGGGCACACTTCGGCCATAACGAGCACACGATGACCACTACGATGAAAACGGCTTGTAGCCGAGATTGCGGCCAGGTTGGATCACAGCCTTCGGACTCGCCCTGCACACGAGAGATCAAACGGATATAGGAACGACTGGTTCAGATGGTTAGCCACCCGCAAACAAAGAACGAAGAAACTCAGCGGGAATGAGTACCGTGCACACTTTCATTTCATTTACACGCAAGTCGTTACTTATCCGCACTGTCATTTGCTGTATAAATGATCACCTCACTGTATCCGGTTAGTGCAATCTACAGGCAGCAGTGTGTGCCTTCCCGTCACGGAAAGTTTGCTGCAAACTGCGGTGAGGTCAATTAAGACACTTCGGGACATCACTTGCTGGACTTTGCCAGCTGTTGTCAGCATGCTATCTATCCCTTGCTATTACTCTCGAAAGAGTCCACCACTAATCTGGTCTTCACCATCATGGCATCTGGGTACCATAACGGTATGCGACTGTACAGATCGAAATACACAATGCTTGTGATATGTTGCTAACGAGCTGTGCCTGTAAGCGTCAGATACGCCATGCGCCGTTTCAGTGTCGAAGCTGCTGCAATGTGTTTGTATACGGAACAGAAAAGCGCAGCTCCCTCTGGAGATTACGGCCAAGATCATAGAGCACTCAGGCTTGAGACCTTCGCCTCTCCCGAGCTTACAGTTACCGATAATCGATCGATGCAGCTCGTCATGGTCAATGAACGGCGGTCCAACAGCTCTGCCTCCATCAGCTAGGTGTTGCTGCATCATGGAACTTCCTAGTGAGCTCCGGCGCGCCATCTTCGCCAAAGAATTTACGGAGACGGATGTGGTTTTCATTCCAAATGCATGAGAGATGGAGCCAAGGCTGCCGTTAACTCCAATGTCCAAGATGGCAAGGTTACTTCTCCCGTCCACAACCGCATCTCGGACCTTATGACACTCCACAGAAAGATATGCTCTGAGATTGCGGAGGCGGTCTACGAAGAGCGCTTGTTCCACACCCACGTTTAAGAGGGCGTCAAGTTCGGTGGCGTAGAGTTTCTGAACTGCGGCCGCCAGAAGCTCCAGTATGCAGACGACATCATGGAAGAAACGCGCTTCGCTGGATTCAGCCATGGCGATGTCTTCGGCTTTGATCAATTGAAGAAGATCAAGATCACCGTCTCTCCGCCGAGCGTTGAGGAGCCGTTTTGGGCTACGAAACATGTATGCCTGAACACCTTCTTCATGAATTGGACACTATGTCAGCTATTAGACCGAAGCGGCGGAGAGGGGAAGAACCGGATCAGCCATCTTGACATCGAGTTTGCGAAACTGCAAGACGTCGACAAAGGCATGGTTGCAGGCCGGCGTGCCATCGTCGCCGCTGAGCACTACCTTTGCGAACACTCTTCGCAAACAGCCAACATCGACTTCGATCCACAACCTTTCTGATGTCGAAGTGATCTTGCTTCCATTTTCGATCCTTCGCAGCCACAAGGTCGACATTCGATTACCGACCGTCTTTGGAGGGCACTCGAACACTGACAACTTCGTCGACAGCCTCAGAACGGACGCCTGCCCCCACACCAGCCAGAAGAATACCGGGCAGCTGGGCTTTATGGACCACGAGGCTGTGCTTCACATTCGTGGACTTTATCACGATCTTGCGCGCTTTATGATGGCCGGACTCTATGGCGCTGCGCGGCCCGACAACAGCTTCATCTTTCCGAACCTTAGTGCAGAAGATATGATAGAGGACGAAGAAAGCGTTCGACAAGTTCTATTTACGGCGTCGCTCGAACGCACGAGTAGCGGCAAGCGGCGCAAAACGATGAGAGTCGGTGATGGACACGTCGGCGAGAAGGTTGCAACTAGATGCGACGAGGAGAACGACATGCAGTATGCCGTCGCCGCCCCTCTGCCGACCGCTACGACGGCCACCAGGAAGGATCGCTACGATCAAGCCACTTCAGATGCGACGGACAGTGCGGCAAATGGCACGTTGGGCGTAAAACGCCAGGACAGCATGGGAAGAGGGGAGTAATCGAGCCTGCATGCAAAGCTCGGAAAGTGTGCTTCACGGAGCCAGCAGCGCAAGCCCGCATAATGCACCTTTGCACGGCAAGTAAGCCGCAGCCGTCAACTGTCGGTAGGTTGTCAGAACAGAACATGGAGAATACGTAAATGGAAATGACTTCCCGTGCGGGAAAAGCAGGCCAAAAATCTCGCGAAGCAGCCCCGAAGCTGCAGCTTCTACTTGGGTAGAACAACTGTTACCAGTATCACTCAACCATACCAGCCTTTCTCAATATGTGCTAAAGAGGTTGCCTTGTACCAGAGTGCCTAGACCAGTGCCCCCAATACGCACGAGAACGTAGAGCTTCCGTGAAACTTGTAGCTGCGTTGTACGCGTTTCACATCAGAGGAGGCACGAAGGTTACGCGGAACCGTTGGCTCGCATGGCATCCGCGCCGGGAAACCGCGCTAGCATGAGCTGCATGACATATCTGTTTACTGCTATTGCGGCCATGGCAACGGGTGAATTGGGTATCGCTGGTCAATAAGCGACCTTTCACAAGCTCAGGAATCATCAATGAGTGCGTAGGTCGGTCTGGAAACCAAACAAAAGCATCCTTCCAGTGCACTGTCCGAGCTGCCCACGACACTCGCATCCTAAGCAATCGCATCGCACCTTCGCTGTCTAGGGACTAAACCTCCGATCACGCGACCCTACGAACGTAACATGTCCAACCGCTTCAGCACCATGCACCAAAATGCATCTTCCACAACATCATCCAGCCAGAGTGCTAAGAGCACAGCAAGCGCAGCAAGAACCACAGGGAACGGCAACGTCGTGAAGCGGTACAATCATGACTACATCCGCAAGGCGCGGACAGAGGACATACTAATAGGTTATAAAGGCTACAATCCGAGTTGATGAGTCTCATGACCTCGCCAACACCCGGCCTTTCCGCCTTCCCGTCCAGCACCGACATCACAAAATGGAACGCCACCATCTCCGGCCCATCTGACACGCCATATGCGAACCTCACCTTCAAGCTCACGCTGTCATACCCGTCGAACTACCCATATGCGCCACCGGAAGTGCTCTTCAAGACGCCAGTGTACCACCCGAACGTGGACATGAGCGGGCGGATATGTCTGGACATTCTGAAGCCGGGCGGCCAAGGCAAGGAAGGTGCTTGGAGTGCCGTGCTGAATACGAGCAGCGTGCTGTTGAGCATCCAAAGTCTGCTTGGCGAGCCGAATAAGTACGCTGCCAGACTCAATCAGAACGCTGGGCCACCATTACTGACGAATGCATAGTGCTTCTCCCTTAAACGGTGAAGCAGCGCTTTTATGGGACCGAGACCAGACCGAGTACAAGAAAAAGGTGCTCGCTCGGCACCAAGAGCCGGCGCAGATGGAGGAGAACGGACTTTTGACTGGCTTCTAAGTGATACTGTCATGCTGGCAAAAGGTTGTCGATGTGACGTGTCCAGCTTTCTGGTGATCTGGCATTCTGCATAGCGGTGGCGTTAAAACCTGGCATCGCGGATTGCATAGCGTGTTGCGTTGGAATACGGCCTGTCGAACGCTCTTAGCTACTCTGCGACCATACACTTCATGCAAGAAAGCTCACCTGCAGGAACTGCTAAATCCAGTTGGCGGAGTTCCATCGCCTCAAAAGCTATTGTGTCATTCATTCAGTGCGGGCCGCGGTAGCGACCTAAGGCTTCAAGTCCATTTCCACACGCGCACGTGCCCGTCCTCTCCGCAGCTGTACGCTCTGTCTCCGGTCAGAAGCATATCCCGAACCACCTCCCCACCGTGAGCGCCAGGGAGCTGCAAACTCTGACCAAATGCCCATGATGCTGGCTTTCCGAGTTGGGTCAGTGTCAACGTCTGCCGCTCGTTGTGGCCATGCGCAACCACCGGCTGACCATCTGCTTGCTTGAGCAGATCTATTACGTACATGCAATCCAGCTTCGATCGCACGTCGCCAAAGTCTATCGCTTGAGCGGTAGCATCACCGTTTACTGCTGCCTCAGCAAGCGAGTAAATGCTGAATTGCTCGTCTGTCGTCAGGATATAGACCTCATCTGGAGATAGAAAGCCAGCGCAATGCACTGCTGAGCGGGGATTGAGAACTTGCTGCAGTGCATCTTCTTCCTCGGCCATACCAAGGTCGAACAGTGAGACTAGGCCATCGGTGCTTCCAGAGAGCAGGCCGTTCGGATGTACTGGATGAAAAGCAAGCTGTGTAATGGAGTCGGTATGCGACTCTGCGTAGTTTCTCATCGGCACTGCTGGGTTGCGGAGATCGTACAGGAGAACGCTGACATCCCCGAGACCTTCCTTCGTACTCTCCGTCCCGGCGGCAACCAGATGCTCCCGGCACGCAAGGGCGGAGATGGATCGGCCTTGGGGCTCGCTCACTTGTGAGACTTGCTTTGCGCGACTGTCGCACCTTCGAACGATGCCATCACGGCCTGCGGTCAGGACTGTGTTATTATCATACGTCTCCAGACATGCCAGACCGGCGTTGCGTGGCTGTGTGACTGCGAGCTGCCTCAACGAAGCATCGAAAATGCGTAGCGAGTCATCGGAAGCAATGGTAGCAAAGTAGTCTCCAACATGTGCCAACGCGTACATGTAAGTGTCTGGGCCAGTGCTAAGATTTGATGCGGCGACCTGTTTCGCCATTGCCTAGGTTGCGGTAATCTTCGAACAGAAATGTGCTGGCAGAAGATGAGAGCTCGCTTAGGGAAGGCTTGGCCACTTAGCTTTGGTACGTTGATTGAGTCAGTGTAGCTATCACACTGTCTAGTGCTGTCACCGGTCTCGGATTCGCAGGAGTTCGATATCGTGGATCGAGAGGTGGATTGGTAGGCCGACGTGAAGTGAGGTTGAAGAGGGTTGAATTTCCTTCCAAGGCTGCTCGCTTGAATGACCAATCACAGGCGTTGTTCCCAGACCTCCTGCACCAAACGCGTCCTTCATGCGAGCAATTTGCCAGCAACAACCGCGCTCGACGTGCATGCTATGCATGGTGAAATTGGACCCTGCACCCTGGGGTAACGTGCAGGTGTGGTGGGTCAAAGGCGGCGACAAGGTCAAGCACGGAAGACGGCAGCCCTAAGCGGTGTGACAACGAATCGCCAAGGCGACGTTGAGTTCGCTATGTCGTAGAGCAAACCTACATTCAAGGTGCGCAAATACAGCCGAAAGAGCCAACCCTAGGCATGCTCGTCTGACTGTGCCGACCTGTGCCCGTCATGCTGACAGGTACAGTAGGGTGTCGTCCTCGTGGCGGTAATAATGGTTAGAAAACATGGTACGGCTCATATGCACGCGAGACCGGATGAGCTAGCTCATGTGCCGATCCACCCTCGCCCCGTAGTTGTTCATCTGGCTTTTTTGACTTCCGAATACTGCGGTACGGTAAGCAGCCAGCCCAGACTTCGCTCTCGCCCGCTCTCGTCTCGCTTGTTAACTTTCGCAACTGGTCCGAAACCCACGTATATCTGCCGAATGTACGGGTGATATGCTCGCCGCCAGTGTCATGCAAACTGCACCATACACAAGCATCCAAATTCTCGCCTGACGCCTTATGTAGGTGCGGTCGGCTGTTGAGGTGAGAGATGCATGGGGCACCCGTTACACACTTGTTGGCGTTGGCGGCGTTGGCGGCTGGCTGCGGCAACGTGGTCAAGTCACGACGCGCTGGCTGGCGGCTTCCTTCCCGAACAAGTGTGATACATTCATCGCACCCGGGCCTTTTGACTTTCTTCTACCGGAGCCCTGCCTTGCGCACGCACCGCACCGCGCGGGAGAGAAACCCTGCGTCAAGCCAGGTAGAGACTGAGATGTAGAGTAAGTCGGGCATTCACGCCTGCCAACTCTTCTCCTTCCCTTGCACATCCACGCCCACCTCCGTCACAACACCCTCTCCTCCTCCCTCCGCACCACCCAACTCATACCTCGTCGTTGTCACTGCTTCTTGTGCCAAGTCGACGTGCCGCTGCGCCTCCCTCATCCCTTGCAGCAACACATTCGACTCGCCACTCATAGAGGCGCTTGCACGTTTCCTCCGTCAGCCAAGGAGCACTCATTACCCTCACGTTACTCTGCGCGGTGGAAGAACAACCCCGGGCGCCCATACGTGATCTCGCAGTCCGCAACATCCTTCGGAGTTACGCTACCGCTGCTTCACCGCTGCGGTTCGCTGCGTTTGTCAGTCCGCCTGCAGTACGACCACCGCCTGGCACAGCAGCAATGCGTCGCCAAACACCCATTGCTCACGTCCTCTACGCCTACCTCTTCCCACACCCGACTCAAAACGACCCACCATCCTTCTCAGCCCACCTGGCCCGTAACCTGGTGCCAGAAGTCCGAATCGAAGTAGCCACCTTCTACGGCGACCTCAACAGTGTCGAAGCTCGCTATCCAGGACTGAACTACTGCCACTCGCCTCACCGCATGCGACTAAGCCGCTTTAAGCACCATAAACGCTTGTTCGATGCCTTCGATAAACTTGGCCTTACTTACAATGAGATTCAGGAGTTTTGCTGCTGGGAAGGGACCAAGTGGGCGAGAGAGCGGTATGAGAAGGACGAGGGTACGATAGTGAAGGATACTACAGGCGACGAGATCGGGCCATACGTCGACCGGAGAGAGCTGAGGGCCGCAGAGCGTGAGTTGAGGAGGAAGAGTATCACAAGGCAGACAGAGATTGAAGTTATCGTGGAAGAGGCAGATGGCGCTCTGAGCAGTCATCCGGCTGAGGCGGACGACGAAGAAGATGAGGAGATGAGCGACGCAGACGACGGTGCTGACGTCGAAGGTGCAGACAGCGAGACTGTGCATGAGCCGCCTGTCGAAGCTGCGGCACGAGAGGAACACGTTGCAGAGCTCAACCGACGCCGCGATCAAGCCATCACACAACGTATCATCAGCGCCTGGCAAGACGGCCTGTCCTTACCACCCGAAATCGAGCAGTATCTCAAAGAGCAGCAAGAGCGCGGTCACGATCTTCGCTCGACGGTCAACCTGCGTGATTTGATGAATCAGTCCAACGCCAGGCATGGCTATGCTCTGCTGCCCGCACCAGGAAATGCACCTGCCGCCGCCTCTGCTGCTGCTGTCGGCACCAGAGCGGCCGCTTAGCGCGTTGACTCAGCTCATTTTGCCTCGCCGGACAATAATTGTATTTCTGCGACCACTCAGATCGGTGCTCTTCGGTCCAACCCAAGCATGGAAGCGAATATCATCTCTCAAGACCATCAGCAAGCGTACAAAAGATCGAGTAGCATTTACGGGTTCTTTCGGCTGATGTTGTACGGATTAGCATGGAGTAAAGGTCAATCGGAGTGCGCTGATAACCAGTACCTATCATTCATCTATTCAGCGATCAAGCGAGCTTAGGCATGTCGAATTCAATATGCTGTTGCACTCAGCTTTCCCAGTATCACGCAACACGGGCCTAAGTGTACGACCGCCACCCGTAGCAGAGTAAGGGCGCAGCCGTTGAGAACGCTTTGTGACTCAAGCCTACGGCAATAGAACCAATTTCGAGAAGAGGCTCATTGAGCCGCATCGAGTTGAGTCTACATGACTAGTCTCACCATGGCTAACTCGCTCCGTCGCCCTGTTCAGCCTGCTGCTTCGCCAACTGTATCACATCCACGAAATTTGCCGGTCTCAGTCTCCCGCCTTCATACACATCGTGCAAGTACCGCTCACAATCGTACCCAAACGCGATCAGCTCGTCCTCAGAGCACCACTCCGCCATTCCCTGCAGACCAATCGGTATCCGACCCTTCGTACCCTTCACAGGCGCGACATAGCCAACTGGTACCGAGATAGCGGGACATCCGACGAAGTTCGCCAGGTAGGCGTACTCCATGTTGCGTAGCTGCATGTTTCCGTCGCTACATCCGTAGCGGAGGTCTTGCGGACTGAAATGCCAGCCTGCGTTAGGCGTGGTCGGCGTTACGATGATCATGCCTGGGTGTTGGTCGAAGAGGTGAGCCAGATGCTGCATCAAGAGGTTGCGCAGCTTCTGTGCCTGCAGGAAATCTACGCTGGGCGTCTTCGTGCCGCATGAGAGGAGCACTTTGTTGGGCGCGGTAAGTTGGGAGATGGAGGATGTTGGGACGCCAGCGCCGATTTCCGTCAAGATGGTCATGCCATGCGCTACCTGGGCATCGTGGAGCAAGGGGAGAGTGATCGGAACGACGGTATAGCCGTGCTTGGAGGTCAGGTAATCTATGGTCGCTTGACAAGCGTCTTTGACAGGAGCGTCAGCCCGGGCGAACCATTCGTTGAATACACCTAAGACCTTTGTGCGTTTGGAGAGTCTCGCAGCGCTTTGTGGCGGCGAAAAGAGCTTGGAGTCTCGGTCGAGCGCATCCGGCTGGGCCATGACCCGGTACGCAATCTCAAGGTCCACCATGTTTGCCGCAAGCGGTCCTGGTGTGCCATTACTCCTCGCCAGGTTCATGGTTGGCCGGATGCTGATGCGTCCCTGACTCGGCTTGAGGCCATAGAGCCCGCAGTAAGCAGACGGTATGCGTACGCTACCGCCACCGTCGTTGCCCATTGTGACTGGCATCAGTCCTGCGGAGACGGTGTAGGCGCTGCCTCCGGATGAGCCGCCGCAGTAGTACGTCTCATTATGCGGGTTCACGGGCGTGCCGTAGTTCGGATTGTTGTTTGTCCTATGAGGATTAAACACGACCATCAGTGTTATCTCAGACACAAGGGCAACTTTATTATTTTAGTCAACATACGTGTCCATGCCCAATTCATGCATATTAGTCTTCCCTAGCAAAACGGCTCCAGCATCCAGCCATAGCTGGACGCAATGACTGGTAGCGTTGTCTTTACGGGTGTAGTCGAGCTTTGACCCCAGACACTTTCTGTATCCTGTAACATCTTCTTCGTCCTTGACAGCGACCGGGATTCCATCGAGCGGACCAAGAGGCCGGCCTTCTCCATATCGCTTGGTGCTCTCCTCGGCAGCGGCGAGAACCAGGTCCACGTTAGAAAGCAAAAAGGCTGTCGAGTGCTTTGTGGCCGCTTTGAGGTCTCGTCTCACCAGCGGAAGAAGCGCCTTGGCGACTGCTGTAGGTGTGAGCTTTCCAGCCTTGTATGCTTCGTGGTAGTCCAGTACGGAATGGTACACGCTATCGGACAGCCTGCGAGCGGACCACTCTTCGTCGGATAGGCTTTGAACGTTGGATTCGCCGTCGGCTTGTACGACAATGGGCTCATATCTTGGGTCAATGTCCTCCAGTTCAGGGCGGTTACGTAGCTTATCAAATCCGGCATTGGCCCACAGTAGGTTCTGAATGAAGCTTGAACTTGAGATCCTGGCGAACAATGAGCCTTGCTAGTACTCCTGTGAACGTATGGAACCCTTACAGCATAGCTCCATAGTGCAAAGCAAGACCTCTCACTACGGGGTTTTTAGGCTCAGGTGGTGGCTGGTAAGTCAGATCGAAAGCTCGCGGTTCCGGACGGTTGATCCATTGTGACGTTGCCATATCGGTTCCTCCGTTAGCATAACTAACAGTCATGGTAAACAATTACATGCTATGTCCTGGAGTGTGGAGTTTGAGGGAGTATCTGTTATGGTTGCAAACGTGGCGGCTTACGGATGACATGAGGAACTAGTGTGTTGTGATTCACCGTCTTTCTTATCCTGAAACCGCAAAGATGCTAGCTACCAGGTCACTGTTGACCTACTGCAGCAAACAACGTGCGTGGTAGTGAGCAACCATGCCAACGCTGATCGTGGTTGAGACTCGAAATATGAGACGGACGTGGAACCCTCACAGTTGCAGTACAACAACACAACAAGCTCCTACTTTTGTGACACTCTATCAGCCGTCTCAATAATCTGGCGTGCTACTTCGTACAATCATGCTTGTATATTCTCGCCGCCAACAAAGAAGGCGAGCTCTAGACGACAAGCCATCCTGCGCTCAGACTAGCGTTCAGGTTAGGCCAGCCGACCTCCCAAGAGCTCCGCCTTGTGTACTGAAGTGGGTATCGTAGAACGACAGCGCGCGTAGACATGTATCCCCTCCGAGTCTGCACCTGCATCGCGAAGAAGAATATCATCCCAAGCCTCCTAAACGCCTCGCTAAATGAACCCAACACAAATAATCATAACATTTGCGACAAAGCGATCCGCTGCAGTCCACAACGCCGGTGCCAGCTGCTCCCTGAGAAGCACGTTGAGGTGTCATAATGACAAGAATCAGCGCGGAGACGGGCAAGTAAGCGACGAAAGTGACGGAACTAGTGCGAGCAATAGCCGGAGTTCTCTCCAGGTTAGGCTCCGTAAGCTTTAGCCCGACATGAGGGGAACCGCGTACGAGTCAGTTTTACCCAGCTGAATGAGGCTGAACTCAATGAAGATCCAGCAGGAGAGGCTCGCAGGTACTCGTTCGTTGTACCATGCCGCGAACCTCAGAGTCGTATACCGCGCTTCAATAGCCGCCCATAGACTCAGTCATGTTTACCAGTCCAGCTCCAGCGACGTTAACTCCCATGCCTTGATTATTGGCTAGGCCTTGGAGATTGGTTGCGTTCAGCTTCAATTCGGGATTGCATGGCGGACTGTGTTGTCGGTGGTACTTGAGGCCGTTCAAGTTCTTGTAACGCTTGCCGCAAACCTCGCAGCGGTAGGGTTTCTCCTTCTCCATTCCGACCGTTCCTGGATACGGAATACTAGTCGTTGGATCCACGATGGAGAATGTGCCGTCCGGGTTCTCCTTGAGCTGCTGGTTCTGGTGACCGTGCTGCTTGTGATACTTCAAGCCATTCTGGTTCTTGTAGGCCTTCTCGCAGCCAATGACGGGACACTTGAAGGGCTTGATCTCTTCGCCAACAAAACCACCGACGCCGGCTAGACCGTTCAGCAGCTGACTTTCGCGCAGTCGCTTCGCAAGTTCGCTGTTGCTGCTGTTCAACAGGACCGAGTTCGGGATGCCTTTGTTTCCGTAGCCTTGTTTGCTTAGCAGACGCTTCGCAGGATCATCGATCGTGCCAGACCCACCAGTATTGAAACTGCCTAAAGTGCTGAAGTCTATGTTGGAGTTTTGCAGGAGCTGATTGTAGTCATAGTTGCTCAGGTTCAAGTTTCCGAAAGATGTGTAATCGAGATCCGCAGGCTCGGCAGGCGTGCCTGGCATACTAGAGTCAGGCGTGGCGGTCTGTTGAGACGCGGTCTGCGTGCTTAAAGTAGGCGTGTTTACCGAAGAAACTGTTGGATTATGCGGCAGACCCATCCCTTGTTGGCCAGGCCGTGGCGTCGTAGGTGTCTGCAGGCCCTGGCCTTGGAAAGCATTGGCGATATTGACGTTGACGGATGGTCCTCTGGGCTGTTGCCGGCCAAATTGGGGTTGAGGCTGGAAGTTGATATCCTGAGTCGGTGTCATGCTGTTTCCAATGTCCATGCTGTCAAGGTTATCAAACTCGATTTGATCGGATGACTGACCGCTGAAAAGTGGCGACGTCTGGAAGTTCGGGTTCTGCTCACTATGCTGGGGCTGTGTTTGAGGTGGCAAAGAAGGCGGGTTAGCTTGAGCTTGCTGCTGGACAGCCTGTGCGGCGCTGGTTGCATTTGCGGCGCGCGTGCTCGGATACTGTTGATCTTTGGGCGTTCTACCCATCGTCTGAGTCGGTTGTTGAGCATGCGACTCCTCGTAATGCTGGAGAAGCTCATGCATTGAATCGAGATGGATATCGCAACAAACGTAATCCTTCATGTAGTTCGCTTCCATCTTTGGCAAATACGACGATGAATGGAATGATGGTGATTGGAACTGATAGGGCGAGGTGCCGGTCATCAGTATGCTTACTGTTGTCAGCACAACCTCCAAGGAACGGTCAGTAATCATAGTCAGACGTACTCGTCTCGGATATAGCTTCCTACAGAGATGCCGCCCCAGCTCATGCCGTTCATAAGGCTCCCCGAGAGTGCGTTGCTTTCTCGTCGGTAGCCATCTCTGACCGGTATAGACCGCGCGCCGTAGGGCGTGGTGCCGAGCATGCCTACAGACTCTTGCCTGCCGCGATACTGCGATTCGGTGGGATTAACGGCTTCCATATCGTCCCTTGCGTGGTGGATGTCGATCTTGGGATGTCTGGATTGGGGTGGCGCGTTCGCTTGCTGGTTGCGCGGCGACTGTGAGTCTTGTCGGATGTCTATCGGAGAAGCCGAGCCCGCTGCCATCGGCAGCACGTGAAGATGCGGTGTCGCTGCTGGGAAGAGGGGCAACCTCTCGCCGTCGTTTTGGTGGGAGAAGATGAGGTCGTCGTTGCTAAACTCTTCTGTCGGGTGAGAGCCGGGTCGACCATACACACTCCAGCGGCGTTGCTCCGGCTTCGAAGGCGACGACGCCGGAAAGCTATGGGTCGCAGTCGAGGATGGTGTTCGTGGTGAGTTGCTATCAAAGCTCCCCTCTCGTATGCTGGGAGAATGAAGGCTGGGAGGCGACTGTGAGGAAGCCACTTTGACGGTCGTGTGAGGTGCAAGTGAGTTGTTTATGGGCTGTGGATCTCGTGGATCTCCGGTAGCGTCGCGGATGATGTGGCGCCGAGGGCGAGTCTAAGGATTCGAGATGCGAGTGCTCTATAACTGAACGCGCTGCCTATGTGATACTATTGTCCAATACTCGGCTGGATCCACCGAACGGAGGACGAGAGCGCGCGGACAGGCGACTGGAGTGGATACATATTGTAATGGCGGTTCTAGCGAGTAGCATCATATTCGACCGCTATGACAGACCGGCTGCGCCTGCATGACTGGGCTACCCTGGAAGCCGCTTAGCCATTTGAGGGAACGGTGCGCTTGGGAGAAGGTTATACGACGGCCTCAACCCCTGCTGCACCAGATCGAAGCCGTCTCTCGCCTTGCCCGGAGATGCTCTTCCGGTCGTGCGGGAACGAGGAGAGCGTGTGAATACGCCCACACCCTTGTTACTGCCCTTGGTCGTCAGAAGCATGCATGCGGCGTGCTTGCATAACACAAACGCCCAAGTTCTCACAGGGTTAATGCACTCCCGGGGGGAGGAGCCATCGCCGACGCATTGCTCCAATCAAAGCATGCGTCTCTGTCTGTCTCGCCGGTCTCACGTCGCTGCTAGCGGCGGACAGGGGTGGCGGTTTTCTGGAAGGCATGCATGGAAGCCCATGCCCGTTTCGGCCTACTGCGCCGGTGATGTGGAACGAGGGTTGACCATCACAAAAGGTCAAGTGAAATGATCGTGTGCTTGATCTTTCCATCAGGAATCCACTCGTGCTCCCAACAAAGGTTGCGACCGAAGTCGTCACAGTCTGCGAACCCGCGATGCTGCGCGTCCCCAAGACTTGACCTTGAGCGGCATAGCAACCAAGCGAGACAGTAGGAAGCGCCCTGCCTGAAACGTCATAGAGCCGGTCAGCCCATGCAGGTCGCTGTCACATATCGGCGCGACTTTACGTCGAAACTGGCTCTTCCACCTGCTCATTCCGTACACCACTATATGGAGTGCAAGGCGGTGGGCATCTGAAGGGAAGTCATTCTCCATCAGATGCCAGAGGGTACGGCCGCCGGTGCTTCGGTGGCGATGCGCTGCCGAAAGTCAGCTGCCGAGGGTGTGTCCAAGCGTACAAGCTTTACGCCATTGTCATGTCTCCAGTGTTCGCGCAACCACTCGGCTGCACTGATGCATGTGGAACAGGGTCTCATCTTTCGGACATCGTTCGCAAGATGAGAGGGTTCAGGCATCGCTTACCATTGCTCTGCGGTTCCTTCCCCTCCCGATGGCTGATGCATCGTAACGATGCGTGCATTTCGACCCCCCGACAAGACGCTCAACCCTACCTTGACAATCTGATCGCACTTCTGTGCGCGATCATGCTGCTTGCAGAGCAATCCTGTAACGCATATACTGTGTACCATTTGAAGAGATTTGCAGCCTCCAAAGAGCGCTGCCTGCTTGACAACACCAACACAGATCAGAATAATCGCACGCGTTACTCTGCGGACCAACTCCCATGTAGGCACACTGTAGCAGACAACTCGGGTTCAATCTCCAGAATGTACGATCGCGCAAAGCTCCACAGAACACGTTGCATCTCCAAACATCGATCGATATTGTTCCGGAAGTAGCAATGCTCGAGGTGAGCATGGCTTGTGCGGAGCAAACGTGACATTTACGCCATGCTTCGGTGCCTATCCCAATCCAGGAGCATACATAACAGTGGCTGGGGATTTATAGATCGAGGTTAACATCCAGCGTCACGTGTGTTCATTACCATCGATCAGGCCGACACACGGCAACCCCAGCGAGTGACTCGTTCTTCTAGGAGCGTAGGAGCAGTTCATACTGTTTATGTCATCATATCGCTGCCTAGACTGTACGATGGTAATTCCAGAGTCACTGCTGCGGACTGTAGCCCGTTGACATGCGACTTGCCGGATACCCCAAACGGCGCTGTGACACTGGCGTAGCGAGGATACTGACGGCTTTGCTCCATGGAACTGCCCAAGCTTGTCTACTGAATGTTCTGTGTCCATACAAGACCACGCAGATTAACGAGACAATACCACTGTTGAAAGAGGAGCGCTTAGGTATGTGCGTCACCGCGCAGCTGCATGCGGGCCACTCCACGCGACCTTTCAGCGTGAGGGCACATTAACAAACACTATGCGTGTGACACAAGGTTTGCTTATGTTCGCCTCACTGTCATGATCTTGACCAACCCTTAGCCTTCGGACTGCGGTGGGCATTTCACGTCATTGAGGTCGTGAGCACAATATCGCCGTAGCGCCCAAAACTGCATGCGTAAGTGGTTCCACGGTCGAAACCTGCAGCGTGATGACGCGAACGCGACGCGCACGGCCAGACTTGACGGAATCTTGGGACGATGTCAACGATGATTACGCCGAAGAGGAAACCATCTACAGCAAAGACGACGAGCGCTCGGAACTGCGAGACTCTTACAGGTCGGATCAAGCGAGAGGTGACGAGACGCCGCGCTCAAGGAGGGACATGCGTGGGACTAGAGATGATCATCTAAGAGCTGCGGGCGAGCGACCTAGGCGCAGCACAAGGCTCTCTGTACAGCCAGAGTTTATCATGCCGTCTTCGCCCGACGCGGGTGAATCGAGCGGTATGGCAAACAAGCGAACGTCGACGCCGCATTTCCGGCTGAAGGAAAGATCTATGACGAGTGATGCCGGGAAACTGAATGGTCAAGCCAAGATGCGCGCTTCGACGCCGCATTTTCGATTGAACCAGCGCTCAATGACCAGCGATGCCGGAAGGTTTGGGTCACGGTTGCAGGAGGAGGTCGAGCAGGATGGAGATCATGAGGAGGGCGTTGGATCGAGCTCTAGTGCAATGTGGGTGCGTGTATTGCGGCCAATTCTTGGTTATCTGGGAGATATTGTTGGCATAGCCCTGCAGAACGCCAAACCACTGCTGGGCTATGCACTTCTGCTTTATGCGCTGGTTGGCGCGGTTATCTTCGGCACGGGCTTCCTAACGAACAGCATCAACAACGCACTGACGCCAATATGCCGGATACCTGGCGTCTCGTGGCTGCACTTACCGTTTTGTCCCTCTCCGCAAGTTGCGGAGTTGCAAGGCCCAGCCGAGTTCGACAAGCTAGTCCAGGCGCAATCGCAGTTTGAGGACGTGCTAGCCAGCACACAAGTCGGCGCGAATCTGCCAATGGACATGAAGCGGTCCGAAGCCAGTATTCGCGATCTGAAGCATGTAGTACAGTACAGCAGTCTCCCGTCTCGTAACGAGCTGGTCTTCGAATTTGGTGGCTTCATCGAGACGGCGAGGCAAGCGAGTCAAGATCTTAGTCGCTTTAACTCGCGCATTGGCCGTGCTGTGGATCACATACTTAGCACGAATCGCTGGACTCTGTCCGTTATTGACGGGGTCAGCGCGTCAGAAGCCGGTCGAGGAGCAGTGTCGAGGTGGTTGGGAGAGAACCTTAACATATTCGCGCCGTTTCAGCCAGTCTCTCTGTCTCGCGATGTACTGCTTGACCAGTACCTGCGCCACACTGGCGCGGTTGAGGAGCAGATCATGACGTTGATTTCTGAAGCGCAGGCTTTGCTCAACATCCTCGATAACCTGGATGGCCGTCTCGACGTTATCGCAGCAATAGCGACACGTGACGGCATCAAAGCGCAGGACAACAAGGAGGAGCTGTTCGCCATGTTGTGGACCAAGCTCGGCGGCAACCGCAACAGCGTCGCGAAGCTTGAGCAGCAGCTTCAGCTACTCAAGGAGGTCGGTGCGTACAGGCGCCTGGCGTGGGCGCACGTCAGCACGACTATCGTAAAGTTGCAAGCCATTCGAGACCAGCTTGAGGACCTTCGCGAGCGCGTCGCCTTGCCAGAGACCGTTGGAGAGAAGGTACCGTTGGAGGTTCACATCAACAGCATCAATCTTGGCATTGAGCGCCTGGAGCAGCAACGGGATGCGAGTAGGAAGCTTGAACAGGAAGGCTACGCTAGGGTGTTCAGTAGAGCGGAAGAAGGCGATAGGCGGTTGCTTGGAAGCAAGGAACTATGACGAGCAATCAGCTGAGTGTGGAGATCCCTCTGCGGATTGCAGAGGCGGGAAAGGCTCGAATGCCGCAATATGATACCCCATGATACCCCATGACATTCATCAGCATTGGCAGGCTGGGATCGCCACGTGTCCCTTTGCATAGCCGTCATACAGTCGAGCACAAAATACGAACATTAGCATTGCTACACCCGCGTGTGCATTGAACCATGACATTTATGAGCTCCATTAGTGACTGCACGATGCAGGAGACGTCGATCTTCAAGCCGGCACACGACGCTTACTTAACACCTACCCCAATAGGTGTAGCGAGCCTGACGCTCCTTGCTTCACGCAGCGCTCTGGATCTAGTAATCCTTCGTCAAACCAACCGCGTCGTAGCTAAGGGCCCACAGACGCTCCTCGGCCTCTTCATTGTAGGCATGTGGCGCGTACTCAGGGCCGCCTCGACTCGTGTCGGGCGTTTGCGGACCGGACTCACCCACGTCAGCCAAGTACCGTCCGCCATTCTGCTTTTCGAAGTACGGCGCCACCGCAGCCCAAACTTGCGTTGCGGCTCCCTGCTCCATACTTTTCGCGATAGGTCGAAAGACGGAAAGATCACCGAAGCTCTCCCACTGCTGAGGCGTCATGTGCCGCGTGAGCTCTGTTGTAAGAATGGCACCTGGGTGGACGGACCAGGCCAGTATGTTTTGGGCCGCACAGTGGCGCGTGATGCTATTGGCTAGGTATACATTCGCAGTCTTCGACTGGCCGTATCCGAGAAAGGCATTGTAGCTGCTAGGGTCCTTGTCCCAGTGCATATCATCGAATCTTATCCCGCTGTTGCGGTGTCCGGCCGATGAGACAACGATCACGCGAGAGCAAGTACCAGAGTCTTTGGCGGCTTTGGCGAGCTGAGCCTTGAGCTCCTGGAAAAGCAGGAACTCGGCGAAATGGTTGACGCCCATGTGCGTTTCGAAGCCATCTGCTGTCTTGCCGTATGGTACTGCCATAATGCCAGCATTCAAGATCAGGATGTTGACCTTGTCAGTCTTAGCCTTAATGGCTTCTGCGCCATTGCGAACGCTTTCGAGGGAGCTAAGATCCATCTCAACAGCTTCTGGACGTAATCCTGATTTGTTGTACTGAGCATTCGCTTGGATGTCGTCTATGACCTTTCGAATCTTTTCAGGGCCGCGAGCGGGGAGGATTAGCTCTGCTCCAGCCTCATAAAGTGCTCGTGCCGTTTCGATGCCAATACCGGCTGAAGCGCCCGTAATGACTGCCACCTTGCCTGCAAGCTTACCCATCATGCCGCAGTCCTTGGTCACTTGCAGAGCAGTCGGGCGACCGTCACCGGCCCCTTGCGGGTCCTCGTGGACGTCGGCATAAGGTTGGAACGGCACGCCTGGAGCAGGCATAGTTGACGTTGAGAGACTTGGAACTTGCTTCCGTGCACCCTGACAGACACAAAACTTCGCTGGAAGGGGTTGAATACCAATGTAGCGTAAGTCTTGGCTGGAAGGGATGTCAGAGAGGACTTGTGTAGACATGCATGGGCGTGGACAGAGGTTAGCTTTTATATTAGCCATCGGACTTTACAGCTTTGGGAGCTTATTACATGTATGGCGTGTTTACGAGCTGTGACTGGTCTTAATCCATCGCCATTGCTCCCTGCACGAATGCTCTTACACATGATACTGGTGGTCAATCAGGTGCATATGACATTGCTTACCCCGACATTGAAGAGTAAATGAAGTCACTGGCTGGCTTTGACGCACAGCACGGACCAGTCCGCGGTTAAAGCGAAACTCCGGCCTCTGATTCCGAGTATCTCACTTCGTCCTCTGGACAAACTGAAGGGATACGAGTCATGACGTTCCAATTCGGCTTCGCGAGCAGTGGCGAGGAGGATACGCCATCGACCACGACCAGGGATGCAATATTATCCAGCCCTGCCAATCCTCAAGGCTTGGCCGACCCTAGTGTACCGGTCAAGGAGCACTCGCTTGAGGACTTGGTAGGTAAGACGCTGCCCTTCCATCTTTAAGACCGTGTCCTCTCCTCGAATGATGCTGATATTGGTGGCAAGCTGTTATCGCTACCTGAGCACATTAGCTATAGCACAGTACGCATAGAGTCACCCACTGGCCGTGTTCTGTTCCTGCCAAAGCGCGACCTTTACGATGTCCGTGTCCAGCTTCTTCAGGAAAGTGCAAGCAACGACGTAGTGATCGACCAGCTCGACAAATCTGACATACAAAGTGGCGTTTACGAAGGCGGTTTCAAGACTTGGGAATGCTCGCTTGATCTGGCGAGCTTACTACTGGACCGTGGCCCGCGTAAGGATATCGACGAACTGATCCGATGCGATCAGATTATCGAGGTGCGCGTTGTACCTATACTGCACCAACCATCGCGGTCTAACATGCTCTAGCTCGGCGCGGGATCGGCATTACCAACTCTGGTCTTATTTCAGCATGCCCTGCAGAATGCCATACCGCTGGCGTTCACACTGGCCGATTATAATGACATGGTGCTACGCCTCGTTACACTACCGAACATGATATTGACGTGGGCAGCAAACACCGAACATATCGACTTACCTACACCGGAGTTGAACGAGACGAGCAGTGGCGACTTTGAATTGACACCTGGGGTGTTGGAACGCTTCACGGCTGAGATGAAGTGCAAGCATGTTTCCTTTCGCTTTCTGTCCGGCCCCTGGTCACCTTCTCTAGCGAGTCTCATACCCCCTTCCGCGCCAGAAATGGGCACTGTGATTCTCGCAGCGGAGACGATATACAGTGAGGCGGCCACCGAAGCGTTTGTTGAGCTTGTTTGCCACCTCTTGCAACGAGTCAAGATGTCAAAAGCGATGGTCGCCGCGAAGCGCATATATTTTGGCGTTGGCGGGAGCGTCGACGGGCTGAAAGCTGCATGCAGAGAACGAGGAGCCGTCGCTTACGAGATCGAAAACCATGGCGTACCCGGAATGGACAGTGGAGTAGGCAGGGCTTTGATAGAGATTCAAATGTATTAGCGCGACCGTCAAGCAGTACTTCAGTTACGATTCACGGGACACGGCGATTGCAACCGACTCCGGAACACGAGCAGTCTTCACAAATAACAAGTGACATGCACGCAGCTCACCTGCAATACCGATACACGGTCATTGCCCTCCGGACCTATCACTAGGATCTCCTGGGGAAATATTCCATGTCAGAGTGTCTTCGTCCGGATTATATTCTGTGTCTGAGCCAGACAGATTCACGGTCCCACAACTCATACTACTTTCCCATGGTTCAAACATCAACATCTGGTGGCACTTTCTCATCACAGCCATACCCATGACGATCCTTCGCTACACCGACAGTCGCCTCACTTCTGCGCGAAAGCGCCGCCGTTTTGTTAAAGTTGGGGACGGCGAGGACAATGGCGGCACGTCATACGACAAAGCCACGATGGAGACCTCCGAGCACGCAAGAGAGGTTCGATCTGATAGTGCTGTGGCGGTTAAGGCACCGGCGATGCCGCTAACGAGGAAAGATATGAATGCACCACGGCAGCTCGTCATGCTCTCTGTCAAGGTAGCCCCAAAGACAGACGTCAAGCTCGCACTCGATGAAACAGTTATTGAGCAGATTGAAACCTATGCAGACAAACTCAACGAAGCGAAGTGCTCGGCCAGGTCTAGCGACCGTCTGCGCATCAACGACGAGAAAATCCGGAATGAGGAGATCATTAACCCAGGACGTCGAGTACCTCGTGGGTAGCTTTCTGAAGCCCCTGCTTGACAATGATGCCCAGGCAAACTCAATCATCATGTCGGGCCTGCTCTCGCTCTTCGAAATGAGCATCAACCTTGGCATCCAAGTTCTGGAGGACGACACCATTGAACATATCAGCAAGTGCGAATTTGATCCGCTGTACCTTGTGATGGTTTGCAGCAGAATGCTATGAGGAGACCAAAGACGGACCTAGAGTGCCACCTGCGAGCTCTCTTGGTCAGTTCGTTAGGTCGAAGCTGGTTGAAGCGGTGCCGTTCCTCGCAGAGGGCACTGCAGCCAAGTACCGTAGAGCGGGAATCGGTCTCACACTTAGTCAACAGATCATTGAGGTCTTTCAAGACCATATCTTCGCGCAAAAGGAAGGTGTTCAGCAGACGGTGTCCAGCAGCGTCAAGACAAACAGTAGGTGATCAAGCGCTTGAAGAGTCAAATTAGCGTGACGAATGCGGCTTACGAAATTAGTGGCCAGGACAGAATATGTGGTTTGAGACTCTCGGGCTGTGCAGAGCTCAAGTGGGAAAGGCGTGGAGAGAGCGGTGCTTTGGACTGATCACTCTGGATGGAGTTGTCGAGCCTTAGCTAAAAGCGAAGATAATGTAGCTCCGAATCAATGTGCTTCGTTTGTAGGACTCCGGCTTCCACCTGCCAAGTTGTGACGCAGCTAGTAGAATGTGTTCGGCCGTGTTGCCGCGAAGACCTTCTTGCCCTTCTTCGGCGGCACACGATGCGGCAGCGGGAACTTCAGGTCCTTGCTCAATAACTGCTTGATGTACGGTCTGCGGATGTCGTCTGCCTTCTCCACCTCTACGACCTTGAGAATGTGAATACTCCTAAAGCGAGCGCGGTGACGCGCCGCCATGTCCTGATACATGGACTCCACGGCTTCGCAGCGGGACATCTCGCGGTACTCTTTGTACATGTTGTGTGTGCCGGAACGTGAGTCGTAGCGGATCCACACACCAAAGTTCTTGACTTTGAGAGGGTGCTTCTCATGAATCTACGACAAGCGCGATCAGTATGACAGCATTACCAAAGCCGCGTGGCTTCCAAGTGGCCACAGAGGATCTTGTCGTAAACACGCACCTTGTTCAAGCTTACAATCTCGCCGTTTGCCTTCTTGACCTTCTTCAGCTTGGCGAGGAAGTACCAGAAGCGGGACTTGGCGATCACATCGTTCGGCGCGAAGATGCGCATGCGGTAGAGCTTCGGAGTCGGATTGGAGTCGGTGGGCAGATGGCGCCCAATGACTTGGTACTCCTGCAGGCGACCTGTTCACGTAGAACAGATATCAGCGCTGTCTTATGGACAGTTTATGTTGTCCGAGTGCGGTATTGCTAGCCATTGCAAGCGTTCCTGGCTCGTACAGTCCTTTGGACACTGCCAGCCAACGCGGCGAGAGGAGGCGGTTGCTGCTTACCCATCTGTCCACTGGGTCAGCTAAGCGCAAATGAACAGCATCTGAATTACGTACTATGCTTTAAGTGCTGTTCGAAATTATTATTGTTGTCGCTGTTGATGCCGCTTAACTCTCGGAAAATCTGATATTGAGGTCTGGCTTGTGCGCGGGACTTCCCGGAGTGCCAAGATTCGTGAGGTCCGGACTTCAGCCCTTCCACTGCTACACACTTGTAAAACACTCCCACCTGGCGCAGTGTCCGTCATTGCGCAACTACTTTATCTCGCACGGCGGTTGTACCGACCAAGCTCACGGTCGGCCCGCTATGAAGGCTGGAGAATCTACCTATAGGTGCACCCTTTGGACAACCCGGAAGGACCATGTTACGGCCTGGACATGCGGTACTTCATAGAACGCTTGGATGCGGATCCTTACCTCAGGTCGTTATCGACCCCTCGTGGGTGAGGCTATCAAAGCTAACCAACTAATGCGCGAGTGGAGTCGGCCAGGAGATTTTTGCTGTGCATATCAGATTCTAACTCACTGAAACGGGGTCTGCGCTTCCAGTGCGACTGAGCTAGTCTTCCCGCTTGGGCGAGGCTTACGCCTTCCCATCCTAGGAGTGAGGCCGCCGCAGCGTTATGAGCAACGTGGTTTTCGAGCATCTCAAACGGATTGCCCCTCGTGCAGCAGTCGACGGTATTGTCGTGTTAAGTGTTGTACGTGTGTTGGCTTGGTGTCAGTGGGCTACAGGTCTGGTGTACGACGTAGATATATGGCGATTACTGCATATGAAGCGTTCGTCCGAGATTGGAGTTTACCCACTCGTCCCGTCTTCTTGCCGCCCACCACTGCCACGCTGCTAATGGACGTGCTTGCCTGACGTCCTGTGGAGAAGCTCTTTACGGGGATCGGACCGTCCATATCGTGGTGAACGACCTCTGTCCAGTAAGGGCAGCCTTCCACTTATTCACTCACCACCTCAGGCAACAACAGCGTTACGACATGCACAACTACGTCACCAGCACCCGCTATCGATAAAGCATCAAGCTTCCATCTCCCACTTCCCGCGCCGTTGTGTCCCTGCATCAGCGCCACGCCAAAGTCCCTCTAAACTCAGGACGCGGTTCACGACGCGTATAAAGAGCGGTTGGTGAAAGTAGCAAGCTGTGCAGCAGTACGTGGCGTTCAAGGTGTTTGGGTTTCAAGGATATAATCGACATCGTCGCGTTTAGTGAATGCGTTGCTGCTGCCTAAGCTTGGTGACAACCTTGCAGCTTTCAAACGCAGTCGAGCCTGCATATTGAATGTAGCAAACCGAAATAGAGTGCCAACTGTGCACTTGCTGCCGGTCACTGCTCCGAAACATACATGTCAGGAGCTCCTGTCCGATGGCGTATACAGAGTCGTTACGGAACGAGGCTGCGGACACCAACCTTGACGTCGCTCGAAAGCGCGCAAGGCTGAGCAACTCTCCAGCCTGCGACGACGAACCGGAGATTGAAGCACTCGCTCCTGAGGATATCGGCGGTGATCCGGTTCGGGCGATTCAGGTAGAGGACGAGTATACAGCGATGGCTCACTACAGTGACAGCTTTCAGGTTTGGTCCGACCTGGATGCCGTCAAGCAGATCCGCTTCGCACGGAGGAATCTCACCGGCCAGAACTACCTTGGGATGTCAGCATTCTTGCGGATCGAGAACTGGATAACCGAGCACCTCGACGACACACTGGACCACTCAAGCGAAAAGCTTCGCGAGAAATACCAAGAAGACGATGTATTCTTTGCCGAGCTTGGTTGTTTCGCCGTCGATTTGCTGCTTAACCCTGACTTCTGCCCGCGCGAGGAGTTGATCGGCTGGGATGATTCAGGTGATGACATACAGCGTTTCTTCGCCAGTCTTGTTCGACTCAGTGTGCGACATGTACTTCTACTGCCGGACAAGACCAAGGAAACCTTGGCCAGGCGAGATTCGGCGCAGCACACCCCGATGTCCAACTCTGGCCAGCAGACCATTCCCGCCCTAGCTTTCGTACATTTTCTTGGTCATCTTCTTGGGACCTCCGGAAAGACGGCAGGCTTCTTCCGCGAAATGTTCGGCGTGGATTGGAAACGACTCAAGGACAATTGTCGATTCATTGTCCAGGAAGAACATGACCTATGCGGGTCACTTGTCGTCGTGCTTAGTGATTTGGTAGTGAATGCTAACCAAATCACGGATGGCTGGTACGCAATCAAAAGTATTTTGTCGGTTGTGCGCTTTGACAACGCGCATGCCGGTGACTCCGCAGAAGATATAGTCAACCTTATCAACACTGGTGTGATGCCATTGATCTGTGAGAAGCATCCCCGCGCGTTGCCTGAGGGATTTCATGCTCACGTGGTAAGTGTTTGCGCTGAGGCGATCCATGTGCGCGCCACTTCTTCCGCGAACAGACCTGAGGATTGCTACCGACTGTACGAACGAGTTGTGCACAGTGACGACGCTGCTCTACTTGGAGAAGGATTTCCCAGCGAGAGCACGCTGGAGAGGTTGTGTGACAGTAATGGGGCGGTACGTGCCGACTTGCTGAGGGCGGCATGGCTCCTGTGCGCCTGCAAGTCGTTCATATTCAGCAGCATCATGGACATCCGCAGCTGTGGCATTGCTATGCTTCGGCGTGAGCTCTGCACGTGGCTCAAAACCACGCAGTGCCCTGCCGAGGAGTCTGCGGTGCTGCAGTACGCCGCACGCTTCCTCCGACAAAATGAACTTACGAGATACATCTTCAGCCCCGACTCGCACGCCAGCATCATCGGTCATAGTGCAAGCATTGTGAACTTCCTAGCTGTCACATCTCACTACACGGATCAGGAAAGCGACGTCATATGGCAGGCTTGCATGACCAGTGTCGAGGCCGGGTTCGTAAAAGCCTCCTTCGCCGTGATGCAGGATGTCTGCAGAGATCTCGACTTCGACCGACTCTTATACGTTACTCAGAAATTCACTACAGCATCCGTTGACCGGATTACGAGTGGTACAGCCGTGGACTTGCTTGGTACTTTACTCCGCTACGCGCACGGAGCTGCTTTGAACACTGGAAACGATGAACACATGTTGTCTCTCACGCAGACAACCTTCAAGATCCTCTCCAGACTGCACGCAGAGAAACCCTCAACGGCTTTGTCGCGTTTGCAAGAAGCGTGCATGATTGAAATTCAGACAGCATCAACGGAGGGGTCCTCTGTCCGCTCGTATCTGTACGGCCTGTGTGCATCGGAGGTCGCTGCGCAATCGGAGCTTGCCTCAGTGAGCGTTACCGTTGTAGCTGCTATCCTGCAATACAATGGGCAAGTTGACCCCAAGCGGTTGCTTGACGCTTTGCCGCTCAACGACTTTGTTAGCGAGTTGTGCGCGTATGTACGGAAAGCTAAAGGCTACAATCTACCGACGACGACGAAGACCACGGGGGAGCTTCGTGAGCGCATCAGTATCGTTTTGCGGTTGCTGTCGTTCAGGGACCCGGTGGAAGCTGGTGATATGGACGAACGCATTTGTCGCGTGCTTCTGCACGAAGACGCGATTGACAACTCCATGCGTGAGGTGGCATGGATAGCGCTGCGAGCCTACATGACATCACAGAACCGGTCGGTGGCAGCTGTGGCACACAGGCTGCGTGACTGCTTCTTCGCAACGCTGCTTGCTTCTCTCGATGCCGCGAACGCCACGCCCGCATTGATTCATCTAGCGCTCGAACGCCTGAAGTCCGAAGCGAATGAGTCTCTACTCCAAGGTCAGTTGATGCAAATGCTGGACGCTCCGGCGTGGAACAAGCTATTCCAGATCGCTATAGACAGTTCCGACGCGGCCATTGCGCAGGGCGCCGCAAATGCTCTTTGCGTTTTGTTATTTTCCTGGCCGCAAGATACCAACATCAACGAAAGCATTGCAGATTGTCAGATACGCTTCGTTGGAAAGTTTACCGACTGGCTTTGTGCCGAGTTCTCACAAATGTCCGAAGAAGATGCGCAGTTACGGAGGTTTACCCAGGCTATAAACGTGCTGGGGACCGTACTGGAGGCGAGCAGAAAGCAGCCATCCCGCCACCAGCTTCGTACATCAATGGAGACATTAACTTTAGAGGGTAGCGACGTGGATCCGCAAGCATTTACCTGCTCGTTGCAGATCTACTCGCCCCAAGATGGCCGTATTGTGAGGACTGTGCAAGCGATGGCAACAAGTACAGTCTCTGAACTCTCTGGACTTCTTTCAAGAGTCTCGGGCACGAAGCATAACCGTGTTGTCGTCGGCGGTAGGCTTGTTAACCTTGAGCGAGAGGCTACACAGAAGCTGTCGGATGTCGGAATCGAAGCTTCAGGTGTGATCATGATCTGTCCAGTGTACACGGCAGAATGTGAACTTGACACAGTGTTAACAAAACTAGGTCCACTTGAGCGAGAAATGCTGGCGCAGTATGATCGCTTCGAAGTATTCTTAGATGGACCGGTGACGATTGCCAGACGCACGTTCGATCTGCTCCGCTCGGTCAGACCATCGGCATCCACACGCTTCAGAATCTGCTCCTCAGACATGGACGTGGAGACGCTATTACCGTCGCACTCACCATACAGGACCATTTCCACCGCACACGTCTTGGCTACCAACCTGGCAGACTTCGCACGCGTTGGGGTGGCCAACGGAGTTTTCATTGCCCGAGGCGTGCGTCTACTCACGGCTTGTCTGATGGATCACACTAGACCTTTCGAAGCTACGATCCTGGAGCCCATTGTGACCTGCATGTGTAGCTTTTTACAAGGTACGTCGCTAGCTCGTCGTAAGCGAAGCACAATTCTGACCCTGTACAGAGCGGCCCCCAGAAGCAACGTCTTACCCATACTTCGAAGATGCGACCAGCCTTGCAAGGCGCCTCATTGGACTCCTGGAGCTGACGATGCAGATGCCCAACAACAGTGCTACCGGACCGTCGCCCTATCGAACACGGCTAGCTTCAGCTTTGTACAGCCTGGTCCTGGAAGCGTCGCGGATTGATGGCTGTGTGTGGCGCAGCTTCACACGAGACGATCGCTTTAACGACTTACACGCCTGTGTGCTGCTCGACAGAGAGCTACTTCATGCTGGAAACATCGTGAACCTGGTCAACAGTTTCTGCTTCGAGGAGACCACCCCAGAAGGTGCCTTGGCATCTTATTGGCAAGCGATCATCGCAACCATCCCTTTGGCCATGAAGAGCGCGTTCGGTACGACGGCTTTCTTCAATCTTGCAAATGACGTGCTCAGCCGGCTTGACGAGAACGAAAAGACAGAGCAGCATCTCCGTGATGTTATTCAGACTATGTGGCAGCACCTACGAACCTATAGGCACGCAGAGTGTGTGGAGAGTCCATTCTCCGACGAGACCATTGGCGGATTGCTAAGGCTGCTCGAGGCCGCTGTAAATGCGTTGAAGAGCTTCAAGAAGCCACTACACCTCCACGGACTGGCGGTAGATCTCATGGATAGCCTTCTGTTCCCGGAGCCTGCACGCGAACCACGAACACCGCCATTACTGCATGAGCACTCCAGATCGCTGGTCTATACCCTCCTCAGAGCAACGAGCGAGACGGTGTCAGATTACAATGCGCTGGCCAACAAGGCTGCAGACTCAATGGACGCCTTACCATCTGCAATGTTTCCAGGCTTCGTTGGGTGGATGCGGCAGCCCAATGTCTGTGCGGGACTCGTCAATCTGGGAATGACCTGCTACATGAACTCTTTGTTGCAGCAACTCTTCGCCAATCTTGCATTCCGCCGCTTTCTGTTCGACACGCCTGTGTCGGATCCAGTGAAGCAGAACTTCCTGTCGCTCGTCCAAGAGCTCTTTCTCGAAATGCAGGACTCTCTGCTGCCGTGGATCAACCCATCCGCCTTGGCCACCGCTCTCAACGTACACGTCGACAGTCAGGAGGACGTGCACGGATTCTATTCCACGTTTCTGGAGGTCTTGCAGACAAGCATGCCGGATAGCGAGCACGTTAAAGCACTAGCGAGCTTCTATGGCGGAAAACTGATTTCTCAGGTTAAAGGTGAGTGCGGTCATGTCTCCTCGCAGACCGAAGCTTTCACCGAGCTTGCAATTACCGTCAAGAACAAGGCGAGCCTGCGCGAAAGCCTCGATGAGTTTGTGCAAGGGGAGCCAATGCAAGGCTCTAACAAGTACCGATGCCAGTCCTGCGACCCCACTGAGGGTGGGCGGCTTGTGGATGCAATGAAGCGGACATGTCTTGACGAAACGCCAGACAACTTGACGTTCTGCCTCAAGCGCTTTACCTTTGAAGCCATGATGGGTCTGGAGGGAAAGGTCAACGATCGGTTTGACTTCCCAAGCGAGATCGACATGGCACGGTATCAACGCACGCACCTCGAAAATCCGTCCGCTGAGGTTGTGCCTGATATGTTTGACCTTGTGGGTGTCATTGTGCATCAAGGCTCCCTGGAGTATGGGCATTACTGGTCTTACGTACGCCTGGCAGCTTCCGGGGAGCCGGCAATCTGGGTTCAACTCGAGGACAAGAATGTGAGACCCTGCAGGAACGTTCAGGAGGTTACGGAGCAATGTGCGGGCGGCCTGCTCCATCCGAACGGCATGCCTAGGGCCGACAGTGCCTATGTCCTGTTCTACAGAAGGCGCAAAGCTCACGAGATACAAGTTGAGCTGACACAAGAGCCCCAAGCCTCGCCGTATGACGTGCGACTTACGCCACCTCGCGTTCAGGCACCGCTCGAGGCAGCGCAAAGCCTCCTAGCGGACAATTACTGGCGTTGGCGGATCACTCATCTCTTCGGCCAGCAATTCTCCGACTTCATGACGTGGCTGCTGAGCACAAGGCCGGGAGGCGTCCAGCTGGAAAGCCCAAACATCGACAGCCCAAACATCGACAGCCCCATGGAAACTACCATGAACGCTGTCACTTCCGGTCTGGTACATGCCGCCTCCCGCTACCTCCTTCGTATCGTTGGGTCTGAAGCCGAGCCCGCACGGAAGACAAGAGCCTTCTTCAAGACCATAACGGATGTGCAGTCTTGCGACATGCCACACTCCGTCTTCCAGAAGGAGTTCGTTGTACACGCGGTCAATGATTCGCTCGCTCATCTGGCTCAGCTCTGGAGGCATGAGGACCGAACCTACCGGGCCATCGTCTCTCAGTATGTTGCGCAATGCCTTCAGGAACTTGCGACAAGCCAAGACTCACGATATGCGACGGTGTTCGAAACCGTCCTAAAGCTACATGCCTCGTACTTACCTGAGCTCGATGAGATCAATCAAGTTTGGCACGAGTATCTTGGCTTCGTTACATCTATGGCTACGCTAGGTCCCAGGGAGACTTTACGTGTACTGATGGAAGGTTACTTGGAAGCGGCTTGGCTGCTGATGTACCAGCAGCGGAGTCCCGGGAGTGCGAAGCGGTCTAACATAAGCACCGAGATCTCGATCAGCACCAACGAGTTCAGCCTTACGGTCATCTTCGAGCTGATTGTCGGCTTGTTGAACAAGCACGTTAACCACAACTATGTTACCTTCAAGCAGGAGGATGACGAGCCCTATTCGTTCGAGAATGGCAAAGTCCATCTTCGCCCGCGCGATATTCGCATGCTCACGCTGGAACAAAACGGAGAGTGGTGCCTTGCTAATGTTGCGCTGCATCGCTGTGGCTTTGCAAAGAAAGAAAGCTGGCTAGACTGGGCGCCTAGCAGACTGCTTCGTGTACTCGCAGAGTGTGGCTCTCAGGACTTTCGCGCCCTGGTCGAGCGAACTTTGTTGATGCGTTGCGACCAAGAACAGTATTACGTGGAGCCCGTACTGCGATTGGCACTCAGCTACTGCACTGCCACGAAGCATCAGAGCGCCAACTTCATCAAGGCTTTCAGCCAACCTCTATCTGGCTGGAAGGATCATTCCGACCTGGAGATGGTCCAGTGGTGGACCGGTGTTGCTGCAATCGTGCGGAGACCAGCTATTGACAGTGCCATCGACTGGGCTTCGAACGGTCTCAAAATCAAAGAGCCCGTCAGAAAGCTGACGATAGGCTTTCTTTCGGCACACGTCTTCGCTGACGCGCACCCCAAGGCTGTTGAGACCGCTTCGCGTATTAGGGTGTCAAGGGTGCTGGCTGATCAATGCCTACCGGAACTGAAGCAAGCTTACAATCAGGAGCATACGTGGCCATATCTGGCGGACATGCTCCAGGTTATGATGATGGAAGCAGAGTGGCTGAAGAATGTTCATGAGAAGATACGGTTGGTAGAGGAGGCCGGCCAAACCACCGTTCTTGGGCGCGAAGTGACGACTGAGTACGCAGAGTCGAAACGTACGCTTGTCGCTTTGACACAGACACTTGAGGATCTGAAAGACTGGGAGGTAGGTGCAATGGTGACCATGTCAGCTGTCGACCGATCTGGCTCCGTGGTGATTCGCATGGCTCATGAGGGTCTTGATGATGCCGATCCCGAAAGCGATACAAGCTTGACGGGCGGCTACGATGAAGATGATTATGTGTGATGGGAAACGAGGCGATAATGAATGCATGAGCGTGGTAGCTGCGACAAGGACAGCGACATACAGCGAGGCGCGCAGATCAATGCTGGCCTATGTAGGTATTGATGACGGGAATGTACATCGGTACAGCTTGCAATATCGTAGCCTTAGATGCGAACGGTAGTGCGGCAAGAGTAGTACAGCCTCGATTATCTGTGGTTCTAAAACTATGAACGTTTCGATGTCTCCGCGTCATTGAAAACCGAGTTCACATTCGGCAAGGTGATGGACCGGCTCTCAATTCCCAACCCTCACGTGCCAGGCCTTTTGATAGGTTTATATCTCCAGCGTATACATCAATGCCTAACCCCCGAATCATAGTCGTCACAGGCGCAGTAAGTCAAAGCTGCAGCAGGCGATGGTTGCATCGATCCGCCACTGAAGTTCAGCTCTGACAGTTGCCGTCAGAACCGCGGCATTGGCGAAGGCATTTGCAAGCTTATACTGTCGCGACCTGGCATCGAGCCATTGAAGCTATTCGCTGCTTCACGATCCGGGGCTCACCTTGGCTTCAAGTCGTCTGACGAGAGCCGTCAAGTGCTCTATCCAAAGCTCGACATTGCGGACAAGAGCAGCATCACCGCGCTCGCGACGGAAGTGAGGCAACATGGTCCCGTAGATGTGCTCATCAATAACGCCGGTATCAACCTTGACAACGAGTATGGTTACGACAATGCGAAGAAGACGCTTGAGGTGAACTACCAAGGCACGTTGGAGGTATGGTCTGTACCGCAAACAAGCCCACCGCCGAACGGCTGACGAAGCGACGGAACGTTAGATGTGCCGTGCCTTCATCCCTCTGCTCTCGCCGCAAGGTCGCATAGTGAACCTTTCGTCCGTTGGGTCAACCTTAAAACCGTACAGCGAAGACGTCAAGGCGCGTTTTCGCAACGCCGATAACACCGTCGATGATCTGGACCGTATCGCTGCAGAGTACATGGTAAGCACCTCATTTTGCACTTGCAAGCCAGCCTAGAGACCACGTTGGTGACATGGTGTCATGCAGCAAACCGTCCAAAACTCCACCGAAACCAACTCCGGCTTCGGCGGCCCCGGACGCAGCTACAGCGTCTCCAAAGCCCTTGTCAACGCCCTCACCAGCCTTCTGGCCCGTAATAACCCAGATGTCACGGTAAACTGCTGCTGTCCGGGCTGGATCGCAACAGACATGGGTCGTCTCGTAGCGAGCAGGCAAACGCAGCCGCCCAAGACCGCGGAGCAAGGCGCCGTGATCCCCGTGCGGCTGGCGCTGGACGATTTGGGAGGGGTGAGTGGGAGATATTGGGCTAATGCTAGTATTCGGAGTAAGGATGCTGGGGAGGTGCAGGATTGGTAGTACTCTGCGCTGCTTGCCCTAGCGCGGACTTGACAGCTTGGTGAAGGGTGAGTGACGAAATGTATTTGTACAGGGTATCATCTATGTATTTCTATATCAAGGCTTGGCCCTTGAACATGCCATCCCTCACCTCTCTTACAATATCCTTGCGGTCGTTCTTACCGACAAGCACAACACCGCGCCCTCTGCGACCCATCCGACCGACTCTGCCTAGGCGGTGGATGAAGTCGATGCTCGTATGCGGTACGTCGTATAGGATGACAGTTCTGACCAGCAATGTGTCGATGCCGCGGGAGCCAAGATCGGTCATGACTAGCACGCGGACATTCTTCAACTGCTTGCCGCTTGAGCCTGTGGTTTGTTTCTCGTCGCGCATCATCGGCAGGTCCGCTGGGCTAATTGCCACAACGTCATCTGTAGCTGCTTGCTCTGCAGCCTTCTTTTGCTTCATATTCGCGGGTAGTAGTGCGGCGCCGGTGAACGACGCTAACACCTCGGCCTGCTTCCTCTCGTCGCTGTCCCTGCTCAAAGCAGTGGCGTCAATGCCCTTTGAGCGTAGATACTCAGCCAACTCACTGGCTTTCTCACGCTCGTTCACGAAAACAACGAGCTTCTTCTCCCGTTCCTCGCCAGTCTCGGCAGCTTCCTTGCCAATGTCATAGATAGTTTGAGCGCATGCGAGATCGCGGTTGCCTTGGTAAGGAATCTTATCGATATCTACGACGCTCAACTGCACGCGGCGCGGAATGGCGTGGAGATTGGGCGTGACAAGCCGTCTGACATCCGGGAAGCGCTTGTGAAGGAAAGAGTCCAGACTTCGCGGGATCGTTGCTGAGCAAAGAACGATCTGCTGCAGTGACGGCGTTGCGCGATCAATGATGGCAGATGTGATGGGCGAGAAGGAGCGGTCGAGTAGGCTGTCCGCTTCGTCGATGACCAGGTGCGTGACGCGAGACAGGATGTTCGGATCATCTTCCGCTATGCTCGAGAGCAGATGAGGCGTGGAAATGACTATATCAATGCCATTGGGGGAGAACATGCGGTTCTGGATCACAGTCCTGCTGAACTGCGCACTAATCAGAGCGGACCGAAACTTGACGACATGCGACAGGCTCTTCACGACGGAGCCGACTTGGGCCACAAGCTCAGAAGTAGGGAGGAGGACTATGGCGCGAGGTCTTCCAGCAGTCGAATGTGGTTCGCCAACATCAGGCGGTTCAAGGTCGAACCGCTTCGACTGCTGCCTCTCAGCGTTCTCCCGCGCCCTTCGCGCCGTCTCTATCCGCTCCAACTCTGCATCCGCCTTCTCCGCTCGCTTGATAGCGTCGAGCACTGGCAGCACGTAGGCCAGCGTTTTACCAGAGCCGGTCTCTGCAGCGAGTAGGAACTGCTGCATCTGCTTCTTCTGTACAGCCTCGACTCCAGGTTTGTGCTTCGTTCGTCGTTTGCCATCTTCAGTACCAAGTAGAGCTGGTATGGCCAGCCTCTGGATCGGCGTCGGAGACACATCCGCAAGCCCACCCAAAGCCATTGGACCAATTGATTCCTTAATCACCGGCAGCAGGTCGAACTCGCCAAAGCTGTCTCTCTCTGACAGCGCCTGCTTCACACGGCCACGCTTCTCGTAAGAGACGTTCGCCAGCGCTCGCTGCATCTTGAGCGCCTTCATTGGCTCCTTCCTTTCCCTCTCCGGCTTGTCGTTCCCATAGCGGCTGGCTCGCTTGAGCTCTGCAGACGATGCCTTTCGTTGCGGCGCCTGCAGCTGACGAGGCACTTCAGTCACGTTCATTCCGCCGAACGGAGTGTTGCGACTCTTCCTGACGGGCTTGCCGCTCGGTGCGGTCTTGGGTGGTGGTCGTCCGACGTTGGCCGACAACACCATACGCGGAGGCCGGCGCTTCTGAAGGGTCGCCACTCCTCTCGTACTCTGCCATTGTGTCGCAGTCGTCCTGAACAAGGCTTTGGCTTCACAGAAAGGGCAGACGGTGGATGAGAGGCGGAACATTCTGTGTCGATGCGGCACCTGCTTCCTCTCACAGGAAAAGATGCGCCTTGCTCTCCACGCCCGATCTGAGAAGGCAAGTAAGCCGATGGAAGTTTGCCTGGAGTGGCATAGCGCGATGGTTGCCAGTGGCGACCGGGCCGAAGGAGCCTCGGGGCTTGACAGTTTGGGGGGCCAGTTCGTTGACACTCTATGCGTAACAAGAGACATAATACATTGCTACTCGAGGAGCTTCTACGTTTCTGCACCTTCGTTGGGACGTGAGTATGCTATCATAGGCGCTTGGTCACTCATACATATTGTTCGCTTCAAGCCACCTCGGCGCCGCATCTGCTCGTGAGAGCAAGCGCGCATTCCACGCGAACTTCTCTGCTTCTCGGCGACCAAGCTCGATCGCATTGTTGCGTCGCATACCCTTCTGGACAGCTTCGCTTAGACGATGGACTCAGTGAGCACTGCTTGATACAAACTCCCACAGTGAGCATCGTGTGCTTACCGCCATGGTTCGCCAGGTTCAGCCTTTGCGCATCTCCAAGAACACTCCTTCCTCGTCACCCAACAAGATGGCTGCTTCGAAGCCTCTTGCCGAGATTGGCTCGACCAGCCAGCGGAGGAACTCGCCGAGCTACAATCAGGCGACGAAGGTAAGCATGCGCGCCATTTCCCTCTTGCCGCTGGTCTCAGTGTTTGTTGACACAGACCGCTTTCCGTAGAAGATGATCGTTTCTCGCGAATCCTCGCCATACGCCGAGAACTCGTCACCTTTCAGCACGAAACTCGCGTCTCCTCGCGAGCTAAAGGATAGGATGTCGCCGTTTCGCTACGATGAAAACACTCCGGAATGTTCACCATCGCCTTCTGTCTCCCCCACGCGCCGTTCCAGCATTGAGCGCTTGAAGCAGTCCGGCCGCGTCAAGAACAGCAACATCTTTGCGCTGGAGACGAGAGATGCTTACGACCCGACGTCGTTGCCGATCGTGGAGAGACCATCAGCCAACAGACCACTTAGCCAGCAGTTCGCGAATAACAGCTTCACGCGCTACGACAGCCTTCGAAAGGAGAACAACCCGCTGCTGAGTCCGCAGAGGTCGGGTCACAAGAGGTCAGAGACCGAGATCAATGTTCCGAAGCTCAGTCCGACCAAGGAAGCTGCTGCGATCGCGTTGCCGGTCAGCCCAGAAAAGCAAGGCAGCCCATCACCGACAAAATCGTCCCTGGCGCGAACGAGTATGTTCGGCACATCACAGCAAAGCTTCTTTGACCCACAGAATGGCACATGGTCGGAGGACGAGCGTGCACCAACCCCTCGTGGGCTCTACAAGCACCAGAAAAGTGTAACCTTCCACGCCGAGCCGCCAGTCATCCAGGAGTACGAGCAGCAAACGCCCGAGCCGTCTGTGTCTGTCTGCTCACGCGAAGGGAGCTGGGACTCAGATGCCATTGACGTCTCAGACTACAGCTTCGAGCGTGGCAGCTCTGCTGAGCAACAGGAGCGTGAGGACAGCTTCGACGCCGACTTGGAGAATGCGGACAAGACTCCTGTTGTCCTTCCTGAATACTGGTCTCGCATGTCGCCTGAGGAGGCTCGTACGGACCTCGTAAACAACGAGGACGATGTTTTCGATGGCTCGAGCCCAGCGCGTCCGGTCCTTGGCCGGTCCGAGAGTGTGACGTCTGACGGCGAATCAAGGCCGTTGCCACCTTTGCCCGGCTTCCTGGGTAAGCATGCGCCCCTGCACACGGAGAAAAATCTTGCTTCTGCCGGAGCAGAGCACGGCACGCCCGAGGAGCTGCCCGTCACCAACCTAGACACGGGCGAAAAGATGGATGTGCAAGTCCGCGTGGCAGAGGCTCCGGTCATGGAAGACTTGATTGTTACGGACCTAGCTGAATTCGCTAGCGCTCCGCCTCGAATCTCGCGTGAGAGCATTCTGCGCAAGGTTAGGAACACGAAGTACGATTTCGAGGATGAGAGCGATATCGAGGAGTCCATCTTAGAAGCGGACCACCAGGTGCCGCGCATGTCGTATGCAGAGCTTGCGCAATTGGATCCTGACCAGCCGATTCCGTCTCGCGAGAACAGCAGAGAGACGAGCGAGACGCATCTTGGGCAACATGTGGAAGAGCAGCCGATTGAGCTGTTGGACGAGGTCAAGATCAAAGCCGAGCCGACTGACGAGGACGATGTCGACCTGGCCGCCATTCCTGCCATCGACGAGCAAATAGCTCAGTCGCCGCGCTCACCCTCGCGCATGGACGAGTACGACCGCCAGTCCTCGGTGCTGCGCCACCCTGCAGAGCCCGAGAGCGCGGACGAAGAGGACGATACGAGCCGATACTCTTCTGCGGAGCCGGAGGCCGAGAGCACTATTCTGTACAACGAAAGCAATGAGCCTGCCGACGACGGAAAGGAGAGCCTGCAGGATGCCATGCAGCTGCTCACCGTGAAGGACTACTCCGAGCCAGCATCTGTAAGCAAGCCAACTATGACGGGCGAGTTCTTGGGCTTGCCTACATACCTGAGCGCGGATGACTACGACTTTGGCATGAAGCAGTACATAACGCCCTCTCCGCCGACGTCCAATGAGACCACCAGGCAGCTTGACCTGAGTGATGTGCCGAAGCCTGAGCCCCTTGACTTCAGCCATCAAGTTCCGGATGCCATTAGTGAGATATACGGTGGAACTGAGATCTCACCGCCAGGTACTCCAAACTCTGTCGGAGAGCACCGCACAAGTGATGTCAGCTCGATGCACGAGCAGGTCGAGATTGCACGGTATGAGATTGTGCCAGAGCCGCAAATTCAGTCAGAGCCAGAGCCGGAGCCAGAGATCGTCATCCCGGAGCGCAGGGCCACCATCAAGACCGGCGGCAGGCTCAAGGCTCGACCTTCTGCCTCCCAAGCAGACTTTGAGGCCATGGCCGAACAGCGAAGACTCGTTAGTGGCGAGCATCCTGTTCCTGCTATCCCAACTGGGTACCGTACGGAGCCCGAGAGCACAACTCACGACGAGACAGATGAGCGATCGCATTGCGAAGACGAACGGCCAACTAGCCACCAAAGCCAGAGGCCGCAGCTTGATGTCTCCATTCCCGAGATTGCAACCAACGAAGCCGACGATCTGGCAACGGGCTTAGATGCCGAGTTTGATCGCTTGCTTGAGACCCAAAAGGTACATTCACCTTTCCCTGCACCACTCTTCGCGCGCTTCGACGCTGCCACGCAGCAACCGAGTGTCGCACGCAGTACCGCAGAAGCATCAATGCCCCAAACCCCTTACACTCCCCACTCTTGCAGTGCTGGTGCTAACGGAAGCTCTTTACATCCACAGAAAGGCTACCTCATGCGCCAGAACACGAAAGTGGTCGTGGCTTCTAACAGGAACTTCTCGAATGACAGCAACGGCTCGCACCTGCCAGCCGTCACCGAACTTGCACCGCCGACGTCGCCAACGGTGGAAGGTAGGTCAAGCTCCGCGACGCGTGGGAGCCGATCATCGCCGCGAAAGCCGAGCGTGGAGCAGTACTTCAAAACTGAGCCGTGGAACGGCAAGACGAGGCGCAAAAGTATGCGTAATGCTTCGGCGCAGGGTGCCGCCTGTGTCCGGGAGCCGGCGCCGCCGTTGCCAGGGAAGGAGAGTGCGCTGGGTGTCGTTAACGAGGATTATGCGGCTGGGACTGCTAATCTGGATGATGAAGTCGCTGAAGGTGTCGAGCGTGGAAGGTTGTTCGTCAAGGTTGTTGGCGTCAAGCACCTCGACCTGCCAATGCCCAAGCATGACCGTCTGGATTTCCAGCTGACGCTCGACAACGGCCTACATTGCGTCACCACAGCGAACCTCGAGCTGGGCAAGTCTGCACCCATTGGCCAAGAGTTCGAGCTGGTGGTGCAGGACGATCTTGAATTCCAGCTCACGCTCACGACCAAGCTGCCACCTCCGCCAAAACCACCGGCGACGCCTACGTTGAGCAGCCCAACGAAGAGCGTCAAGAGCCAGAAGACTGGTGGCTTCGCGTCAAGGTTTTTGTCAAGTCCGAGGAAGCGCGCTGAGCGCGAGAGGGCAGAGCGCGAGGCTGCGGAGGCCGAGGAGCGGAGATTGCAGGCGGAAGCGCAGAGGAAGCGTGCTTCTGCGCAACCGACAACGTGGGATCTGCTCCACGAGCTTGTCAACGCCGCCGACGGCTCTTTCGCACGCGCCTACATCAACCTTAAGGCGCACGAAAAGCAGTGTTTTGGCCGCCAACTCACCGTTGACGTTCCTTGCTACAATGAGTGGGCGCTGGAGAAGGACAGCCATGTCGTCAACAGTGTCCGCTCGAAGCGTGGTGCGCACACCGGACCGATTCGCAGACCGCCGTATGTGGTTGGTCAGCTCGAGCTGCAGCTGCTCTACGTGCCGAAGCCGACAGGTGCGACGGATGAGGACATGCCGAAGAGCATGGGTTCGGCGATTCGAGAGATGAACAAGGCAGGTGAGGTGAAGGAGGTGGTGCACGAAGGCCACTTGAGCCAGCAGGGCGGTGATTGCACGGTATGTTCTGTGAAGCCGAAAGGAATGTCGTTCAGTCACTGACCATTCGCAGCACTGGCGCCGCCGCTTCTTCCGTCTCCAGTCTTCTCGCCTGACAGCCTACCACGAGCACACCCACCAAAAGCGTGCCGTCATCAATCTCAGCAAGGCATCCCGGCTGGTCGACGATAAGACGACCCTCGTCGCCAATCCAGCATCCTCCGCGCCCGGCAGCAAGGGCAGGAGAAAGTCTGCTTTTGCCGAAGAAGACGAAGGCTACCAGTACGTGGAAGAAGGCTTCCGCATCCGCTTCGCCAACGGCGAAACCATTGACTTCTACGCCGACTCCCGCGCGGCCAAGGACCAGTGGATGGAGGTACTTAGCCAAGTTGTCGGCAAGCCGGACGTTGTCAAGAAGGCGGCTCGATGGACAGATTTGGTGCTTGCACGAGAGCGCGCTGAGGCCGAGGCGTCTTCATCGCCGACTAAGCCCTCGCCGCCGCAGGGAACGGAAGTGCATGACTTCACCAAGCCAGTAGCGAGGAAGTCGATGCCGACCAAGAGTGCAGCTAGCAGTCCGGTCAAGGGGCCTCCAGCGCAGAGGCCACCACCAGCGCCTCGGACGGGCACTGGCGGGAGTGAGAGGGAGAGGGCGAGGACGCCGCCAATGGCTCCCAGATCTGCGCATAGAAGTCGGGAGGCGGTCAAAAGTATGATCTTCTAGGGGTGGAATGCGAAGTGAGCATGCTTCTACTGTAGGTGGCAGATCGGGACCATGGCCTCAAGAAGGGCGGTGGTCTTGCATTTTTTTCTTGAAAAGCTTTGTACATTGGCTGGACGTCATCGCGGCGTACGGAGCCTTGTGCGGAGTGGGTGTCGCTCGCTTTGGCGGAGTGTAAGGATCGGACGGTGTTAATGATACATACGCATAATGCTCGTCCATTAAGCCCGACTTGACTTTCCAATGCAAGTTGTCCTTAACCAGAGTATAAAATCCCAATGCTACTGACGCCGTCGGTATGCTTGCCCGACACCACCTATGGTGAACTCCGAGCTCAAGAGTGCTCTTACAGATGCATCGGCGCCAAACTCAATATCTTACTCCACCCCTTCTCCCGAATCTCCTTCCCTACGATTCCGCTCAACCTCGTGCCAATCGGCTCGCCACCCTTATTTATCAGCACGCAAGCGTTGTCGTCGAATCTCACCACGCTGCCGTCGGGCCGCTGGTACTTCTTCGCCGTGCGCACCACGACCGCGTGCCGGATGTCGCCTCGTCGGACCTTGTTGGCGGCAGAGACTGATACTGAGCCTCCTCCGCCCGTCTCCGGACCGAAGTTGCGTTGCTTTTGTACTACTACTATTATCCGGTCGCCTAACAAGAAGAGTCAGCAGGGTGACGGCGGAATTGAGGATGTGAGTGCTACCGATTTTGGCGTGTCGCTTCATCTTCAGTACTTTGACGCATTCTGCTACTGCGGCTCCAGAGTTGTCGATCACATTGACCATGGTCTAGTATTCCATCGGTCAGTATAGTCCTTCGTACACCATAGTCGTGACTGCCTTATTGGGAGTATTTGCGCCAGAATATCTCCGCTCGCAGCGGGTGGTGTGAATTTGGTACCTTTAGTTGGATCATCTTCGCGACGTCTGCGGCCTCTGCGGGCCCTCCTCCTATGATACCCTCTTTCCTCCTCACTTCGAACGAATATCTTCTGTGCTAGAGTATGCCGGTCGTCGGCAACCTTTACCACACCCTCGGGGCCGTCCGAAATGCTCCGCAAAAAGCAGCCGCGCGCCAGACCTGAAATGGATGTGCCTATGCATGTGGCTGGGATGGTCGGAGTGGAATAGCCAATAGCGCATGGCTACACGCGACCGCACTCAACCCTCTACCGAAAGGCGCATTCACCCTTATTATAACACAATGAATGACATGCTATCGTTTAAGCGCGGCTGCAGTGAAGGAGCGGCAGTGGAAGAAGAGGTGCTGTTCGAGCGGTAGGCGAAAAGAGGGAGCAAACGTAAGGCGGACGTGCTTGCTGGCTGGCGGAGGAATGGGAATGGGGCTGTAATACGAACAATAAGTCGCGCTCCTTTCAGCCGCATGCAAGAGAACAACTTCAGCAATCTGGATGTTGGACATACAATAGCTATAGTCACTTGTAGCGCTCAGCGTACAGAGCCAAGATGCCGCGGCAAGCCGCCGACTTGGAGGAGGCATTGAAGAAGAAGGGAGGCTTGACGTTGTCGCAATTGGCAAACTACGATGACCTGATTACCGATGCGCTTGTGGATCGCGTGAGTGCGATGTTGCTGGCGGCGTGGTTGAGTGGGCGCTAACACGGCTTCAGGTGTATTTCTGGTCCACCATCCGCAAGTTGAAGGCCACGTACCACCCGTGCCGTGGCGTTGCCGAGGAGGAAGTCTGCAGCATTCTCCAAAAGCGAGTCATCATCCAGAAAGAACCTACTGTGGCCCATGAAGAGCTTCTCCGTCTGCCGGGCATACAGAAGTTTTACCGCGGTCTCGGCACGGAAGATGAAAAGGAGCACTTTGAGCGCCACGTTCGCAAGTATATCAACATCTACCTACCGGACTGCCCCTTTGATGTGGGCACAACGAATCGCTACACCGTCATGACCGCCGAGGCGGCGATTTACGCGCGCAAAGCGATCCGTAAAGGCGAACCCATCAAGTACTTGTCGGGCATTCAGGTGGAGATGACGGAGCAGGAAGAGAAGGAGCTCTGCAGTCGGACGGACTTCTCCATAGTTCTCTCTTCGCGCCGCAAGCGACCGAGTCTGTTCCTGGGACCAGCACGTTTCGCGAACCATGACTGCGACTCGAATGCTCGATTGAATACGAGCGGACCTCATGGCATTCATATCGTGGCTTGTAAAGACATTGCCGTCGGCGATGAGATCACTGTTACGTACGGCGAAGATTATTTCGGATTAGAGAACTGCGAGTGCTTGTGCGCTACCTGCGAAAACAATGTACGGAATGGCTGGGATCCGAGGGGTCCCTTGCTGAAGGACGACAGCAGTGAGGATGACGAGAGCGAGGCAGAGGAGGAACCGCGACCTCATAGGGTACCTCAACGACCAATGCTGGGGAAGCGGAAACGTGACGAGTCGCAATCAGATGCGCTCTTGCAAGGTGAACCGTCTCCGAAAAGACGAGGTCCCGGTCGACCGAGGAAGTACCCACTGCCTCCAGGTGAAACGATGAGCGCCTACAAGAAGAAGCGAGCGGTTGCCGACGCTAGAGAGCGTAGTGAGCTCTCTACAACGGAGGCCCAGGCCCGGATGAAGGCGATCCGCAAGCCGACGAACATTGAACGACATAACGAAGCCAGGAAAGCACAGCTTGGTCACGGTCGATGGCAGTCTACAAAGCAAAGAAGAAAGCATGGAAAGGCGCGAGTAGTGCGAATGCAACCGCAGCTCAAGCAGCCGGAGGATAGCAGCATGAGCTCGGAAGAGCGAGCCGATTCCGAAGCTACTGCTGTACTCGACAGAATTCGTGCCATGCTGTGCAACATTGGAGATCTCGTGCTAAGCAAGCGACAAGCTGCGGAAGAACCTCAAGATATGTTAGAGAAGTCGCCAGAGATCGCCGAGACAGACTCGGAGCAGCAACGAACACCTGAGAGTAGGAATGTGCGAGGTGGCGCGGACGACCAGGAGGACTGGGACGAGGCTTACGCCACGCATGAAAGCGCAGAGTGGCCGCGAGACGGAGCTGGTCGCTTTGTGCCGCGCAGTATGAGAGCTATGCTCGAAGAGCGGAGGGCTAGGCTTTTGGAAGACCGATCAATGTCTTGCGATTACGCCACAACCGTTGACAACCCTCATGGTGATGCACGGACGCCTTCATCTGCTAGCCAGTCTGGCAGGCGGGGTGCAGTTGATGGTAAGCCGAGTCTTTCGTCAGGCAAGCGATCGAGGTTCGCTGTCGTAGAGAATGCAGCATCCGACATCTGGAGCGTCCCAGCTTCGCCAGATCCGGCGTTGGAAGAGCCGCGTGGACCTTCTGGCCATGCATTGTGCGAGCGAGCAGAGCCAGCGGGCGTCGCGTCGACCGGTAGCACCAGCCCAAGCTCCAACGGCATGGCCGACAGCAGCTCTAACGGAACCGCGGCCTCAAGTGCAACTTCGCTTCAAAGTGCGCCTCGTCCGCAGATAAGGAAAGAGTTTCTGGGTCCCAATATCGCGTTCGACATCGTGGAGATGCTGACGAAGCCACCGCCTGAAGACGAAGATGATGCTATGGAGCTTGTAGAGGGCAGCAAGGCACATGCTAGTGCGTCTCAACTTATCTCTGCGAATTTCGTGATCGAGCATGACAGAGCAGAAGAAGAAGAGGAAGCAGAAGAAGAAGTAGAGGGAGGCGAGGGTTCTGTGCAGCCTCGGCGCGGCAGGACAGTGACCCGCGATGCGCGGCAACAAACTTTTAAGATGCAGAAGGAACCCGAGCAGTCTCGGGCACCAATCCGGAGCATCGAGACGGAAGACGACGCAGAGGCAGAAGCCGAGTCATCCAACTCAGAAGAACGACGCGGCGAGCCACGCACACCCGGCGACTACCACCTGTGCCGGGCCCTGCTTGCCACGACATACCACCGCTGGGTCGAGTGTCGCAACTGCGACAAGCACTTTGTGCAAAGTGAGGCATATCTTACGCGCATTGCATGCCCGCGCTGCGAGCGCCATAGCAAGCTGTACGGATATTACTGGCCCAAGACGGATAGGGAAGGCAGGTTCGACACGGAAGAGCGTGTGCTGGATCACCGAACTATTCATCGGTTTATCGAGCCCGAGGAGGAGCGAAGCGAAAAGAAAGGCCGGAAGACACTGGCGGAGATGGTGAGAGAGCGGGAGAAAGAGGCTCTGGAAAGCTCGAGAGAGGGCTCGGAAGAGAGTGAGGGTTGGACGAAAGCGGATCGAGGGAAGAGGTTGAGGGGCAGTCCGAGGAGAGGTGCCGTTCCCGTGCCAGAGAGGGAGCCCTCGACAGTGAGAGCGGCGGTCGAACGAAGCGGTGGCCCGAGAAGATCCAGAAGGACGATGTAAGCTGCCTAGCCTCAAGAGACGTCAAGCAGCTTCAATACAATATTTATGTACTATATGCCGACGCCTGCAATAGGCCCCTCTTCCACTAAGCGCCTTCATGGGCTAGCTTTGTGTGGCACGAACGCACATGACCGTGGTATGTGTCACAAGAAGGGACTCGTCGGGTAGCTGCATGAGACAAGGCGGGTCTCGAATTGCTTGCTTCCTGTATCGCTCAGCTCCTTTTTGTTTGTAAGTGCTTTGTGCCGCTTCTGCTCACTTGCCTGAAGACTTGACCGCTTGGGCTGGCGATCGACTACGCGCTGTTTGCTATGTCGTACGGCTTGACTGCGTCGGCTTGCTCACCGTCTTTTCACCACATCTTCGCGCTGGCCGAGGGTCAAGCAGGTTCGCCGCTCCTCGCTACTTCTCGATGACTTTGCTCGTCGACAGTAAGGCACCCAACGATCTCTGCCTTCTGGCTGCACTGTCCTACACCATTCTGGTGAAGATGGGAGTAGATTGTTCCCGCCCTTCGCAGCACTACAGCGAGGTCTACCTTCCATCCGACACCTTACGGGTCTGCTCGAACGACCCATGTCGCTGCCCAGGGGGCGCGCATGGCACTAGAAATAGGCGGTATACGTACGTCGAGCGTGGCGGAGATGGACGAGAGCGGTATTATGATCCGATAGACTACGTACCGCAATTCTTGATGGGCGGAGGCGGTTGGCCGATGCCATGGCGCGATGCCAAAGAGTGGACGATGAGGGATTATGATCGTTTGGGTGAGATATTGACCGAGTATTATGACCGCGAGAGAGGACGGAGAGGTTATCGCGGAGGTGGTGGGGGCGGTGGCGGGCCGTGTGGCCTTGGTGGGTTTGGCGGGTTTGGAGGAGGCTTTCCGATGGGACTTGGTGGCTTGGGGATGGGTGGTATGCCATTCATGGCGGGTTGGATGCCGTCGATTATAGGCCCGGATAGGTTCGGGGGCAGCAGTGATTCACACTCGTCTTCGTCCGGAAAACGTCACCGTCGACATCCTACCATGAGCGACTTCGAGCGCATGCAAGACCGCATTGATGAGCGCTTGCAGAGGATGGCGGCGGAGTACCAGAAAGCGATGACGGAGCGAGACGCTCTCCTGTTTGGCTCAGAGGCGGAGATTAGGCAGGAACAGTATAAGGAGCATATGCTGAAGATGCTTCGTGAGGCGCTGCCACAATTTTCTCAGCTTTTCCCGCAAGGTCAGCAGCCTTCAATGCATGCAGGTGCCGCTATGGGAAGCATGGCAGGAATTAATCCGATGCAGCAAGCGGCTCAAACACCGTTCATGGGCGGCATGGGCGCTATGGGAGGAATGGGAGGCATGGGAATGAGCGGGCTTGGAGGTATGGGGGCGATGAATCCCATGATGAACCCGGTGATGGCCGGGATGGCCGGAATGAACCCATATGCTTCGGCATGGCCTGCCGCGCCGCCTCCCGATTACGGAACGCCACCGGGTTCCAGAAGTGGCGGAGGACGTCGGTCTCGAAGCCGGATCGACTTTGGCGACATTGATGACGACGATGAGTATGATCGACCCCAGCGCCGGCGACCGCGAGGTGGCGGGAGGAGACGGTGGGATGACGACGAGGAAGGTTTCGGTTTTCTGGGTAGTTCGCGGGGTGAGTAAGTACGCTCCAGCGTTTACTTCGACGGAGTATCGAGCTAACAATTGCGAGATCCCCGTTCGCCTAGAGGAGGTCCATCAAGACGGCCAGACCGAGGCGATGGGCCGTTCGGAGGAGGTGGCAGTGCTAGTAGCTCCTCGTACACACCAAGTTGGTTGCGTAATGAAGCGCCTATACCGCGCATGCGATCTGATGCCGACGATCCGCTTCTCCGAAGCGCAGGGCCTACGACCGGCTCACCTCCGAGACAACCCAGTACTGTGCCCATACGCGTGCCCACACCCACTCCCTCGGTCCGAACGAATGCACCTTCCACGACCACGTCACTCTTCGCTGAGCCTGGCTCCTCACCACCAGTTATACCTGGAAGACCGCTTCCGGCAGAAGTGTCGGGTCCGTCCAACACACCATATTCTCGTGCGTCTGACTTCGATCTCTTTACAGATCCACAACTGCGATCGGCTTATCAACCGTACCGTCCAGGCCCCGAAGGAAATCCTGCTGCAGGTCTCATGCCGCCCTATGGCCCAGGACCGTACATCGGCGAGCAACAGGGCCTACGCTCTGCCATGCGTGCCCCAGCCCCGAATGTGCACTTTAACGAGGAAGCTAAGCTATCGCGAAGCAGAGACGATGAGAAGCTACGAGGAGAAGCACAAGCTGGAGCCGAGCCAGGCCCGAGAGACGCAAAGTAGGGGTGATCGCCTCCATAGCATGGTTCGGTCACGATCGGACCTGAGGAAAACCCGCGCAGTTCGTGGTTGACCCAACGGAACAGTGAGATAGCAAGCGTGTATAGACGAAGCTGACGTTTCGATCCTGCATTTGTGTAAGAGTGCCTTTGCACAAGCTTCTGAAGAGTTCGCGCCAGACTCCTCGCTAAAACAAGACACGCGCCATGCCGCATATCGATAACTGCTTGACGGAATCGCGGTGCTTCAAGTGATGTCGCTGCGCGTCCATCCCTCTATTTAATGCGGTCGAGGGTCGACCAACAATGATTGCAATTCACGCAAACGAAGAAAAGCGCCTGGTTTTGATGGTCAGTCTGTGTATCGGAGCTGTTATCCATGCAGTGCCTCACCATGCCCGTCTCTCTCGTTCGCTGCTGACTCTGGAAGAACACCGCGTCTCGTTCGCCGCACTGTGCACATTGTTCATCTTCCGTATGTGGGAGCTGTAACAACCATGTCTGTCAGCATGGGTTGCTGCAGAGCACAAGGGCGCACAATGTGACGACAATAGACACTCCAACTCTGCCTCCCGTCTTCTTCATGACTCAGCTACACCGGCGCTCGACAGGGTGCGTTCTCTGCGCTCAGCCTCCACCTTGGCTCGCTCGTCCTCGGCATCTTCCGATGCGCCCGGATCTTCCGTCTCCAGCAAGATGCCGTTGGAGCTCGGACGCCCACAGAAGGGACATAATATCTCCTGCCCGCAGAGCGTACACAGGTCAGGGATCGTCTCCTCACCGTACACGTCCGGCTCATCCGTTTCCATGGCTGAATCATGACCATAATACATTTTGTCTTCGTCAACATTTGCGAGATCACAATCACCCACCGTAGGATCCTCCGCTACCTCCTTGTAGTTGCCTGGCGTCTCCGCAATCTCGTCTCTCAGAGCGTTGCGGAACACACACGTCGTTTCCGCCTTCTCGCTGTAGGCACACATACGGCACGAGAACATAAGTTCATGGCTGATCTTGTCCTCGGCTGGGTACAGCATGTTTGAGCTAGACCCACCGTCAGCGGATGGTTCACATCGATTACGGCGACTCTTCAAGCAATCACTCACCACTCGCGACAAAAGCGGAAGCTGATCTTGACTTTGTCCTTATCCTGCTGGCCGACAGCCTCGCTGTCCATGTCGTAGGAGGTCATGCTGGGTGTGTAGTCCTGATGACTGTGGATGAGCGTTGTATTGATACACCCCCGAGTCAGAGAACGAAACGCTGGTGGATCCAAAGCAGCTTAGTGAGTCGCGCGTGGCGCTGGATTATTACATTCCGCGCCACGGATCGTAGCCGAAGGTGACGTTTACCGGTCTGTGCGGGGCTTTGGTCTCGTGCTCGTAGTAACAGCAACAGGTAAGCGAGGCAAACAACCGAGCGAATCCTCGATCTCTCTTCAAAGTTGCGTGTCGTGATAGCGGTGCATATCACGAAGTAGGAATTGAAGCCAGGAGTCTGGGGAAAACAGCGCCCTCACGCCCGCATTGCTCGCTAGCTGGCCTTACCCCAGACCCGCACACATGGTACGTCCACTCGCTCGCCGCGAACGGAGAACCTGATTATGCACGAGCAGTGCGAGAGAAAGCATACTCACGCTAAATGCAGGCGACGGGATTGCCAGCCGGCTGGGAGGTCCGGCACTCGAACAGCAAGAACCTCCCGTATTACTTCAACCCGCAAACCAAGGAATCGCGATGGGAGCCGCCACAGGAGACTGATAGCGAAACGCTGAAGCATTACATGGGCCAGTATCATACGGCCAACCTCCGACAGGACGGCGTCGCCGCCCAGCAAAGCCTTGACGGCAAGATCCGATGCGCACATCTGCTTGTCAAACATAGAGACTCGCGGCGACCAAGCTCGTGGCGTGAAGCTCAGATTACCAGGTCCAAGGACGACGCTATGGTGATTATCCGCAATCACGAAAGCAGGATCAAAAGCGGTGCGACAAGCCTTGGCGAACTGGCGACCACAGAGAGCGATTGCAGCTCCGCCAGAAAGCGAGGTGATCTGTAAGTCTGCTGTTTATGCAATACTTCCGTTATTCGAGCGAAGACAATCGTCCGCTTCCGAGCCATTACACTCGCACAAGACGGGCCTAGCACGCCCTTATGCAAGCATTACACTACACAGCAGCTGATTTAGTCTGATCATTAGAGGTTTCTTCGGTAAAGGCGACATGCAGAAGGAGTTCGAGGAAGCATCGTTCGGCTTAAGGCCTGGCGAGGTATCACCAGTCATCCAGACTGCCTCTGGGCTGCATCTTATTGAGAGGTGAGTTGTATGTTGTGCGAGCTACATCGGACATGGTATACCTCTTATTCATGATCGTCAGCACGCATGTGGCAGAATCCGCTCGCTCGTGGCCGGAAGCGGCTTCTTTGTACGACAAGCTCGCGCAGCTACTTGTCACATCATTGTTGTGCTGACAAGCATTGTTCAGGCTCGAGTAACCTCACTCAAACTTGGTCGAATACAAGAAGGCGGCCGAGACAGAGTCGCATAAAGGTTATCATCTGCATGGTCCATGGCTTTGTGGGGTGCATGTTAGGAGCGCTCCCTTGAGCGTATGGTCTTGTGGAGATAAAGCAAGCATAGTAGGTCAAAGAAGACGATGTCTCTCCGTATTGAATCAATTGTTCGCCGGCTGCGGCTCGGCGGTATGCACCGCATCCTCTGCACAAAGCCGCGCAGGTGCTTCTCTCCGCCATTGAAACTCGAGTAAGGCTCCTGTTCTAGCACGCTCTCTCAACATTTATGGATAGTTACTATTTGAGTACTGAATATCTAGCTTGGTGACCTGATGAGGAACACACCACCGCGCGTTCAGAGGTACAAGGATCCGAAAGCTCGCCTGCATTACACAAACATTCCAACAGAGCAGGTTGCACCCGATTGCCACCTATGAGCTTGCCAGACGGGGGCTCAAGTAGCGAGTATACCACTCACTGGCGAACAGCCACATACTCAAGGCGCAAACGACGTGTTCACAGTATAAAACAGAGCTAGGGGGTCATTCACAGCCACGACCCAGCTCGGCTTGGCCTTCACGTGACGACCGCTCCACAAGTCACGCGACGAGGATCGGGTGTTACGGGAGAGCTTCATGAGGAAGGAGCAACATTCGCAGACAGCACCTGCTTGAAACGTCACAAGTTGCAGCCGAGTCTCGCAGCTTTCAGCGGTCGATCAGAAACTTCGAACATACGAACTCTGACTTTCAACACGACAACCACTTCAACGCTCACTCCGCGCAACAGCAACAACTCACTCGCCGGAAACACCACCATACCTATGCACCACGCCTAACTATCGAGACCTACTAGACGTATGCGGCGCATCAAGCGAACCATCTAAAGTGCAGGTGCTAACATAAATACAGCCTGCGGTTCTTCGTGTACGGGCTGTTTCTGGACACGTCGTACATCGGCATGGCCTCATTCACGTCTGCTGGCAACGTGAAGCGTCGCACCAGTAGTGCGGCCAGCCACCGGCGGCCCTTCTGGGCCAAGACGGAAAAGTCTCTCAAGCTGTACATCGAGAACCCGCGGGGCAGCGAGTCTTCGGCCAAGGCGCACTCACTCAAGGTAGTTGACTATGGCATCGACAACTTCTCGTACGATCCGGACCAGCTCGCAGCTTTCGTGATGCCGGCAAACCTTCCTGAGCGCATTCCGCATGAGCTTCTTGACAAGACTATCGACTGGCAGAAGGCGGGCGCGGCACTCTGCACTACGCTGAATCGCATTAGCTTGTCATACAACAACGCCGTGAACTCGGCCTTCCCGCACCGGTCAAAGAGTGTCTCGTTCGGAACGAGTTCCGACGAACAGGCGACCTCGGGCGCTGCAGTCTCGTCGCCTCCAGAATCTCCACTGTCACCGAGTCCGATCAAGGCCCTAACACTCCATCAGCTGGAGAAGCTGACAACGACTGCACGCTCCGAGGTCACACTTCCCATGGGAATGGAGTCGCCACCCTACACTCCGTTCGATGCTTCCAGCTACGGCTCACCTGTCAGTTTCGAGAAGGGCAAAGAAGCGGCTAATCTGATTCCCGATCTTGCACTCGTTGACAACCAGCTGTCACCTCTGCCGTCTCTCGAACTGATGTCATCCGCCTACAGCCCAATCTCGTGGGAGTACTTTACTAAGCAGTACGACGAGCAGCTGAGGGACTGCAAGATCGCATACCAGCGTGTCCGTGGCTACGGTCGAACCATCGACATCATGCTTATTGAGCTCAGCCGAGTCATGAAGCCAGAGATCAAGCTCGCCACCATTGACTACCGTAAATGGTGGGAGTCGTTGCAGCTCAAGGTCAGCGAGCTCCGCAAGGTTGTCGAGACTCTCAAGAGGCCAACCCTGGACAATGTGACACAGGCCTGAGAGACTATACTCGAAGGGTCTCCGTGATCGTGCTTTGGGTCACAAGCCACAGAGGTCGGCGACTTGATCGTCGCTCCTTCGCGCATAATGCACTGCACCTGCGAACAGCACTTCAGGACACGTTGAATATTACAGGCTGGTCCTTCATGGCGCGGGCCGCATTCTTCTGCGGGCAATGTCATAGTTACTTGCGGAGGACCAGATCAGCTTCTGATGCTATATCATATTGTTGATTGCACACGGATTGCTTAGACGATAGATCTACCCGAAGAAGACACCATCAGACGATAATGAGACCGAGACACTCACACGATATCTTTTCTAGCGCAGGCGTTGGGGATGTGAGTATTTAGCGCAGGGCGCTCACTAAGGATTGCTGCAGCGGATAGAGTTCGTATAGTCGTCCCAAACATTTCCCTCATCATCACAGTGCGCCTAATCTCCAACCTTGGCCTTGAGCTGCGCAACTTCGCTTGTCAGTTGTTCGATCTGCCTGCCCTGTGCCTGAAGCATCCCTCTGATCTCCTGCAACACATCCCTTAAGCCACCAGCTGCCGCTGACATGGATGAAGGCGCTGCAGGCGGCGCGCTGTCCCCAGTAGGCTTATCCTGCGATTGCTTCAGCTCACTTGGAGGTTGCGTAGTAGCACTAGGCGGGCTCGTCACAGTCTCGCCGGAGACTGACGCGCTATTTGATGCAGCATGAGCGGAAGCTCCATTCACAGGTTCCGGTTCGGGTTTAACACTGGTTCGTGAGGCTTCTTTAGTCTTCTCGTCACTGACGCCAACTTTCGCCTCTTGCCTTGCAGCGAGGGCAGCGCCGGGCCGTTCAACCGGCTTCTGGACGACCTCAAAGGAGTCGGCCCCTCCGTCCTCACCCTCTTCGTCATCTTCTCGATCGGCAAACTTAGATGCCATGTCGGACATTGACTTCTTGTTGTCCTGCATGGAAGGCGTTTCCCGTGGCGCAATGGACGGTGCTGGTGTTGCTTCAGGCTTCTCGTCCCGTGAAATGGTCGCTTTCGCGGGTGCAGATGCAGGCGCTGGAGTCGGTGCGGCTGCTGTTCGCGCCGGCGCTGGTTTTGGCGCGTCTTCGGCCGCAAACTCCTGGAGATTCTCCTTACCATCGTACATGTCCTCCATAGAGAACTTCGGCGGTAATGCAGACTTTCCATCTAGCCACTCGGAGCTGGTCATTGCGGGCTTAAGGCTAACAGTAGGCGGGTAAATGTCGTCCTGGAAGGTCTCCGATCGCCGCGGCACGATGAACGATATCGGCTCGATGAAACGATCGTCCACCGTCTTGAAGGCTCTCATGATCTCATTCTCGTGCATATTGACGCCACGTTTGGGAATGAAGGCCAGCCCGCGCTGCGGGTCCGATGACTTATATTCAGACAGATCCTCGAACTTGTCATTTTCGTACTCGTAGTAGCGGATATTGCCGTCACCTTTACCAGCCACAAAAAGGATCTGGGTTCCATCGTCCCAAAATGGCATCGCAACGCCTGAGCTGGAGTCTATGAATTGTGGCTGTCCGCCCACTGGTTTGCTCGGATCGCGAAGGTCCCAAAGCCCCAGTTGACGTTCGCTCATTTTCGAGAACCCGGTTGTCGCCACGCGATCATGGTCGCCTAACCAGACGCATCGACTGCTCTTCGCACCTTCATGCCCTTGAACGACATGCGCCGGCTTCTCCTGCCGTACATCCCAGAATCTGAGCTTCTTGTCCCGTGAGGTGGTTACGAGGGTGCTCCCGTTCGCACTCCAGGACAAGCTTTGCACAATGTCACCATGCTTCAATGTTAACTTACTCTTCCCATCCTCCAGATCCCAAATCTTCACCGTGTAATCACCGGAGCTAGAAGCAAGGATGTTTTGCGCCGATGGATTGAATAACACGTGGCCGACCTTTCTTGAATGGCCACTGAGCTTGCCTACAGGCTTAACGTCTGCCGGCTCCTCTGCATCTGTGTGCAGCGAGAAGTCTTCCGGCACTTTCCATAGGAACACCTTTCCATCATCCGATGCAGAGGCGACAATGTCGTCGTCGAATGGACTCCAATCTGTGTCTAACACTGTCGCCGTGTGGCCTCTGAACAATGGGATCTGTTCAGGCAGCTTGCCCTTCTCATCCAGCGGTATCACCGCGAACGCACCGCCTCCGCTCGCATCCCAATTAACTGCCAAGTATTTGGGGTTCGCTTTCACAAGGTTGGTATCCCATGCGTTCTTGCTTATTCGCAGATTATCATAGCAAGCTTCGCGCTTTGTAGGCCTACCGAATACGTGCCCTTGGAACGCTGGGGTTAGCAGGTTATGGATGCGGCTGCGAAGCAGACCTTAGCTTACTGTATTTCGAGGCTCGAACAAAACGACCTGACATTGGCGCAATTAGTACTCGAACAGACGTCGATGAGCCTGTACACGTAGCAAGGTTGGGCTAGATTTCATGCCGCAAAGTTTGGGCGGCTGTCTATGTATGTCTCACTCAGCCATTGGAATTCATAATCCCCAAGCCTCAAAGTCCGTAGAGCTGACGCTTACGCAGGGTCCCAGCATTTAGCCATGTCACGTGCGCGGTGCGGCTCCATAAATGCTCAGATACGGCTTAGCTCACGCGCGAGTTACTGGGAAGCTCTCGTGTCCCCCTCGATTACCGCCATAAAAGCTTCAACGACTATCTTCGAACTATTGATGCCTAGCTGCAGGTTCGACACCCTATCTTCGCTTTCATCATTCTCCCAGGCGTGGGAAGATCGACAATACTTTGTCGTTCACAACATCGTGTAATGCTTCTCTGACTGCAAGATTGAAGCAACGTCGTCCGCGGCGACGATCTCCATCGATGCTGAGCTGCGCCCTTTCCAGCCAGTCCGGTAGAGTGCAACGGTCCAGTGAGGGTGCGAACTCTGTTACTACTCGATCACTTGCTGCACTTTCTTGCCGTCCGACCATTCCTTGCTCTCACGTTGTCGCGACAGCCGATCTCACCATGCTTGGATCGTGCCTTCCCTCATTCTGGCGCGGACACTGGTATTACGCAAAAGTTGGCCAGCACCAGTAGTGGTAGGCACAGAAAGACACTGCTGCTCCCCAAGGTGTTTGAAGGTTTCTGCGTGGCATGCGTACCGTCCGCCTCAATCCAACGTGTTTATGTCTTGATCCGCGCCATACTCTAGCACAACCCATTGGCAGAACTTCTCGAAGTCGCGTGCCCACTCCTTCACGCGGTCTGCCTTTATGCCGTCTCCAAAAGCTCCAGCTTTGATCTCTTGCTGCCACTCTCTCGACGAGCAGTCTTCGAAAGCAGCCCAGCGCACGCTATTCTCCGCTAGGCTTGCCAGACCTTCCAGGCCAAGATTTTCCCAGCCCTGCAGCGCTTGCCAGAAGTCGTGCGTCATGCCGCTCTTGCCTTGACCAAGAATCGCCGGGTCGTCGTTGCAGAGTGAGCAGGGCACGCCACGAGCGAGTAGGGCTGGGAGAGGGTGCGACATGATGCTACTTGTTAGGCGGAGTACCTCGTTCGAGACCGGGCAGCTCTCTATTAGAATCTTCTTATCCTTTATCATTTCGATGAGGAGAGGATGCTTGAAGAGCGAGAATCCATGTCCGATGCGGCGTGTACCGAGCAAGACAGCATCGAAAAGATTCTCATCCGTGGTGTCACCGTCGCCAAGCGTTTCACCAGCGTGAAAGAAGAACGGAATTTCGACGCCTTCTTCAGCACATCGCTTTCTAAACCAGAACAGCTCAGGTGTAAGTTCCACTAGTGGACGACCGAGGTCTTCTTGTCCGACGAGGTCATAGCCGGCAATGAGGTCTGGGAAAAGCAACTTCATCTCTATGCAGGACTTCATGTCCTCTATGATAGCACGACTGTTTTGCGAACGGATTGTTGTCCAGATCAGTCGAGCGCCCCAGAAGCCTTGAGCTTCTTCCGATTGCTTAAAGGCCTCGATCTCCTCCTGCAGCGCTGACAGCAGGCCTTCGCAGTCATCGTCCGGCTTCGTAGCGCCGGTTCTCGTTAGAGTTGCTGTCAGGATGGTACGCATATCGACCCAACGCACACCATCCTCGACCAGTTCTAGCAAAACATTACGGACGAACTTGCGGAAGATTGGCTCGTAAAGCTGTAAGGAGCCTAGAATTGGGAAGCAAGACGTGAACTTTCGCCATATTGCATTCGGGCCGAGCTGATGTTGAATTGACTCGTCCCGTGACACAGACACTCTGGACTTCAACCAGTCAATGAAGGGTTGCTTGCCACCCGGGAAGGCTTCGGCAGCCTGAGCAATGGGTATGGGCAACGGGCTTTGATAGGTTTCGCTCCACAGCGAGCTATGGCTATCAGCAGTAGGGTTGTTGACATACTTGAACATGAAGGGTGCTTCTTCGCGTGCAATCGACGAAGCAAGTGGGGCTGTTGCGCTGAGACAGATCCCTTCCGTCTGAAATGCTTCGTTGATTAGCCAGTCAAGATCGCCCATGGCTCCCAGATGGCAATGTAGAAGAGCGCCTTTGGGCATCTTCTTCACTATCTTCCATAGCTTGGACGACTCCATACGCTCTTTAGCAAGGTTGAACATCATTCCAGGATGCACTTCTAGCGGCTCGCCCTTAGCAAGATTGTCCTCAAACTGCGGGTTCCACAGAGTTTGTTGCTCTTCAAAGCGAATCGCGGACACTATCGCAGCCGCTTCGGCTGCCATGGGGGAGAGTGTTTCTCTGAAAGCATGGTCACTTCGCTGGCGCTTCTCTTGCGCCACCAGTGCATCACGGCCGTCAAGGTACTTTGCAAGAAAAGGTTGGTCCAAGGTCGGCACTCCCTCCTCTTGAAGCCAACGTTCATCCTCGCTCAGCTGTGCTTCCGACGGGTCATACATGACGCCGCTGTGGTCGGAGCAAGAGTAGTCCGGAACGCGCAAACGGAGGGTATAGATGTGGATGTTCGGCAGTAACCCTTTTCATCCAAGCGTTTCGGCTATCAATTGGTCGGTGCGAGCGAGGCTCTGTGACTTTGAACGTCGTCGCCTTTTCCAACGGCGTGGCATGCTACAACTGTCTGAGCAAGACCATTTGCCAGCAATGACGGGACGGGTCTCGTTTCAGACTAATGAGTGAGAGCCAGCTTCTGCGACTATGTCTTCTCAAAGCTGCGCTATAGGAATGGGAAGCCAGGCGTCAGTGATCATAGTTACTAACTCTCGAAGAGTTGTCAACTTTACTTTATACAGGAGTAACCATGATGCCGCCTGGCAAGCCATCTGTCATCTATTCTTGTATTCGCGGTCCACCGTATAAAAGACGCATAAGACCTGAAGGAACTTTCGCTTCCAACAGAATCTGAGTTGGAGAACAATCAACAAAGCTTACCGAATGGAGACATCAGTTCGTGTAGCGAGGCCCTCGCGCTTCTCTCGCTCGATCTCCGCTCACGGCCGTCTACCTGCGCCGGACCCGTGCTTCAGCATGTTCCTGCTAGTTCCACTTACCCCGTAACGCGTTGGATCTCCTTGTACGTCGAAGGCTGTGTCATCGTCTCGTGCTCAACTCAACGGCAGAAACAATAGACAGCCTACAAAACGGACTTAGCAAGGCTCGTCCGGTGATCCGGACATATATGAAGTCTGCCGTCTTAGGTCATTGATCGCTCCAGCATCATTTGTAGCTCCTAGCGTCTCGTCAGCAACTTTCCAAGTCTTTCCATTGCAATCGGAGAAAGCACGATGGCAGCCTCTCTCTTGCTGAGAAACGGCACGGTACTGCTACACGACGAGAACGACCACGTCAAGCCTACCGTTACCGACGTGCTAGTTCAGGGTAATCTGATCAAATCGATAGGAACGGACCTGCCATCCAGCGGCGTCGAAATCATCGACTGCACTAACAAGATCGTGAGCCCTGGCTTCGTCGACACCCACCATCATGTCTGGCAGTCGCAGCTGCGAGGCCGTCACGCCGACGAGACTTTGATTCAATACCTGCCTACAGGCAATTTCACCTCATCGCTTTATACAGCGCAAGATATGGCTTGGGGACAGCTCGGCGGCTGCCTGGAGATGTTAAACTGCGGGACCACAACCGTGATTGACTTTGCGCATCTGAACTACTCGCCAGACAATAGTAGGTCCAGAACTCAGCTGTGTGGGAAGGACAACATTACTGACAAAGTTGAGACTGGGCTGCGATCGCCGCAACAGTCTCCTCTGGCATTCGTTCAAATTACGGCTACTGTCCGAACCCGCGCCTGGCATCGTGGGAACCGTTTACGGTGAACCCCAACGGTCTGGCAGGCCATGCAATGCCGACGCTCTACGAGTTAGCCAAAGCGTCTCCTTGGGCTAACGGAAGAGTCACACTTGGCTTCGCCTTTGATGGCTGGCCATACCTGCCAGCAGAGTATCTCGATAAGCTTATGTCTCAGCTGCGAGATCTAAACGTCTCGGTACTACAGTTTCACTATACACCGAGCATGTTCCCGGGCAGCACCAACATTCCGCAATTCCTGGAGGACAAGAACTACCTAGACAGTCGGTGGCTGGTCGCTCATGCGAACGATATGCCAACAGAGAACGTTGATCTATTTCGCAAGCGAGGCGTACACTTGTCCACTACTCCGTCCACAGAGCTACAAATGGGGATGGGTCTGCCTGTGCCGGCGTTTCGGGACGATTATGGATGTCCAGTAGATATCTGCTCGCTTGGTGTGGACTGCCATAGTGCTGCGTGCGCGTACCTGCCAGGAGAAGCCAGACTGGCGTTGCAAAGCGCCCGAGCTGCTCGTCACAACGTAAGTCTTGACTCGAATTTGCTTTCCGTACACTAACTAGTATATCATAACATAGCGCTTCACAGCACAAAGCAAAGTCGCACTCTCGGTCAAGTACACCGTCGAGGAAGCTTTCAACCAGGCCACCATTCGCGGAGCTCGCGCCGCGAAGATGGGAAATAGAATTGGGAGCATTGCAGAGGGGAACTTGGCTGACCTGGTCATCTTCAACACCGAAACGCCTTCCATGGTCTGCGCGGCGGCCCACGATCCCGTGGCAGCGATCATCCTGCACAGCAGCCCTGCGGACATTGACTGCGTCATCGTGGATGGCATTGTGCGCAAAGAGTGCGGCAGATTAGTTTCTGTCCATGTGTCACCTGAAGATGCGAAGTGGTTCGGTGACAACACTGAATTGACGTGGAAGGAAGTCTCCAAGCAGCTGCTCAGCAGCCGGGCAGCTCTGCAGAAGAAGGTGGACGGATTACACATGAAGAAGGCAGAGAAAGGTGTAATGGAGGCGTTCCATCTCAACGATGCGAATTACGCCGACGTAGTTTGAGGCCATCACTAGCATTTTAAGCGACAAGCGTGTGCTTCTAGCCCTCTTCTTCAGCTTCGGTGCTGAACTTCTTCCGTCCAGCGCCAGTCAGTTTCTGCAGAGCCATCTTGTTCACCTGCGCTCCAACCTTCGCCTGCATTCTCTCAATTTCCGCTTCCGCATCCTCCGCATCCCCTTCGGCGAAGTCCAGTACCAGCCGTCTCCCGAGCAAATGAGTGTTGCGAAGAGCCTCCATCGCGCTCTCAGCCTCCTTCGGCGTTGTGAAGTCTGCGAAGGCAAAGCCACGCGCCGCACGATCCATCTTTTTGGGCACACGGACCGACCGCAGCTGCCCGAAAGCGCCAAACAGAGCTCGGACGTCCTTCTTCGTAGCCTCGAAGGGAAGGTTCTTGATTATGATCTTTGTTTTTGTGCCCCTCTTTGCTGCGTCAGCATGGCGGCGCTCCTCGGCGGCGTCGGCGCCTTTGTGACTGGCTCGTATTTGCAGCCTATGTCCGTCCAGAGTGTAGCCATCCATCGCCTGCAGTGCGGCTTGCGCTTGTTGTGCAGTGCGGAATTCGAGGAAGCCAAATCCCATGCTGAGTATCTGTCCTGGCTTTTTCGCATCTGTCTTGGTCTTCACACGAGCTGACAAGAAGCCAGAGAGAGGGCTGAACGTCTCGGTAAGGTGCTGAGTCGTGGTACTGAAGTTGAGATTGCGGACGAAGAGTGTAGCAGTGGTCGCCGAGTCGGCTACAGCAACCTTGGCGGAGTCTTTGAGATCAGACGCGGATGTCTTGGTGACCCCTTCAGCGCCGCCATTCGTATCCTCGGAAGTAGCGGGCTTGGCATTGAACAAGTCCTGGGGTGCCTTTTCGAGAAACAGGATTGAGCTCTTCACCCTGCGGTAGGCAAGCGCCCCGTAGGCTGCTCTGCACTGTTCAGCATTGGCAAACTCTACGATCGCAATCGCGCCGCTTGGCGGCATAAGGAATTTCTTGACCTCGCCATGTTCCTCGAAGCGACGCTTGAGCTCGTCTTTGCTGAAGTCGAATGGAATGTTCTTCGCCAGTATAGCAGTGTCGCCGCGCTTGCTCGTCTTGAACGAGTCGAGATCCACACCATGCTGCTTAAAGTAGGCCTTGGTCTCTTGAATCACATGCGTTTCTGCGTGCGCTTGTTTCACTGCTGCGTCACTGCTGGTGGGATCAAGCACAGCCGACTTGGCTATACCAAGACGTTCCGCAACGCTCGAAACCACGGCATCCGCGTTCATGTAAAGCGCGTTCCAGTTGAATGTCTTGCTTGAAGCCTCCCGTCTTCGCTTGATTTCTTGCTGCTTTTTAAGTGGTAGCTTGCTAAGCTCAAAATCATCAAGCTTATCTTCGCGCTTGGCTTTGCCGGGCAGAATGTGCAGCAGCCTTCCCTGGAATGTTTGGCCATCCTTCTCTCGTAGTGCCCGCTCGGCGGCATCGGCATCACTGTACTGGATGAAGGCGAACCCTTTGGCCGACCCTGTCTTTTTGCTCATCGACACATGTACCTGAGATATGTTAGTCTGCAGTTCCGATAAGGCGTGCGGGAATAGAAAAGCTTGATGGTCTGTCATCAGAAGTGAGAAGCATCTACTAAAATACACTCCCTGGTTCACATCAAATACCGTAGTATCAGTTGTCCCTATCTGAGGGTTCATCGTGGTAGTAAAGAACTTATGAGATTCGCTGACTTACCGCTGCTAGATTGCCAAAAGGCTCAAACTCGGCCTCCAGATCTTCTTTCGTTGCGCTGTACGGCAGATTTCGTACGAACAATCGCATGCTCGAGCGTACCGCATCGACATCAGAGGCACTGTCTAGGATCCTCGTCGTCTCTGTACCGAGGGTTTGACTATCTGCCGGTGGTGATGGCAGCGAATTAGCCGGGTCCTCAACCGCTGGGCGTACGTTCTTGTTGCCTTTCGCGGGTACATCTGCATAACTCTCGTCGTCAATCCGTGGCTGACGCTCGCTCCCAGCCAGAGTCTCTTCTTCATCGTCATCAAGAAGCCCTAGGAGCCTGCTGGTTCGCGAACGGGTCCAGTCTGCGTCTGACACTGTTGGCGCAGGGTCTACTGGTTCCGCGTGGGATACAGTCTCCACAATCCCGCCCCAAACCTCATCATCACCACCAACAGGCTCGGGATGCGGCATAGCGGGTGCGACCGCAGCGTCAGTCTTTACGTCCTTTTGTAGAACCTCATATTCGTCGTCGCTCGCTTTTTCCGCAGAAGCTGTATGCTCAACGGGCGCTTCTTGCGGCACTTCCTCACCTTCCCAACCCTTCTGCTTCTTGGTCTTCGGCTTCATGACGTCCATGAACTCTTTGAGCTTAGGATCGTCATCGTCTACCGCCTCCCTCTTGCGTTGGGAATGGATCTCATTTGTGGGTAGCCCGCCTTCTCGTCGTTGTGCGGGCGGTGATGGTTGTTGTTGCTCATGGCTTCCGGGCTCCTTGGCAGGCCTGGCAAGTTCTACGGAAATCCTTGACATGCGAATGAAAGATTTATTGTGGTACTTGACCGCCTTCTGCGCATCTTCCGGCTTACTGTAGCCGACATAGCCTATGCGACGGTTGGGGAAGATTCTAACGTCGGTGACGTTTCCTGGGAAATGTTTGCGCAGCTCTTCCTCCGAGAAGGTGGGTGGAAGTCCCTTGATGAAGATCCTGGACGCCATCGTGAACGATCCGGTCGTTGTTCGCTTGTTCATGCTCGAGCCTCAAATTTCCTAGTAGAATCGCGAAATCTTGGCATACGGGCCTGTGCGCACTGGGCCGAGACCGCGTCGTAAAGCCTCCGCTCTTCCACACCTCCCATCAACAGCAACAACAACAACAACGAACACACATAGCCGGACAGGGGTTTCGCGGAGGCGGCTTGTCACGAAATATTACGCCTTAATTTGATCAACGAGGCTGTGCGCAATTTCGTGGCGGCGCGATCACCATGGCTGATATCAAAGACATGAGTATCAATGACAAACCCGAGAAGCTCGAGGGTATGCAACTTGCAACCCGTCCGATTGACGAGAACCACCTTGTTGACATCTCGCCATGCAGCGCAAATTAAGTCGGCGGACATGGTACACTCTCTTTCACGATTTCTTTGTGCTCCGCGTAGGGCGGCTAATTCCGGCCCAGAGTGAAGACATGCAACAAGAAGCCGTCGAAGTCGGTACGTTGTGTCTTCTCATCCGTCGAAGGTTGTAGTATCCTGACGTGCCCTGCAGCGCAGGAAGCCATGGACAAGTACAACATCGAGAAGGTGAGCTTCACCACCTCAAGTGGGGAGTATCATGAATCGCTGAAGCAACTCAAGGAAATCGCACACCACATCAAGAAGGAGGCGAGTCCGACTTCCGCAAAAAACCGATAGGTCATACCACTAACCCTCCCTTAGTTCGACGCACGAAAGGGCGCGACATGGCATTGTATTGTGGGAAGGAATTTCGGTAGTTTTGTCACGCATGGTACGGTGTAATGCACCACGTTTAGCGTAGAGTGCACTGACATCCTGCAGAGACCAAGCATTTCATATACTTCTACCTCGGTCATTGTGCGATATTGCTATTCAAGACGCAATGAGCACGGCATTGCACCAATGTTTCCAGCGTTAGGCGCCTGACTTATGTATGTATGATACGGCAGTTACACCCATCTATACATTGCAAGGCGCCACCAAATATCACGATTTCGATCTCCGAGCCAGCGTGACCAGCGAAGTCGGGTGAGAGGGCCGACAGATGAGCCTCGCGACTCGATGAGCTTTACCGCGGAACAACATACCACAGCGGTGACAACTACCCTTGAATGAGACGCCAGCTCCGCTCAGTGCGACCCCTCGAACCATCCCGCAAATCCCGCATTGATTCACAAAATGCTGACCATGATAGTCGCATTTTACGAGCCTGGTAAATTCGGTTCGTACTCACACGAGACGTATTCGATCCCATCCTCTTCCCTCCACCTTCATTCTGTCTATCACCTCACCGTACATCATGCCTCTAACATACACCTCACCTATCAGAGTCCAGTGGTCATACGCTGCACGCCTGATCAAAAATGGCACCCTTGTCCTGTCGGCTATGATGCACAGCCGGTCTCCAACTTGCGCAGCCAGGCACGCGAGCCCAAATGTGCCGTCGTTAAACAACACGGTGCGTCGGCCGTTCATGGTTCTGGCCATGGTCAGTGAGCAGAAGTTTGTCTCCGTAACTGCAAGATCGTGCAGCTTGGCCGAACGTCGTCCACAGGCTTCTTCGATATCGGAGAGGCTAGGCACGGCGCAAGAGTCGTCAAGTTCGCTCAAGCGTTGCTGCATGGACCTGTTCTTAATGGTCTTTTCGGAGCGGACTCCGAGCAATAGACCATGTCTCACAGCACGCACGGAGGCAATCAGCAGTTGATGATAGAACTGTGCTCGAAGCTCGTCCGAAGACGTCTCCTGCCCGTACACGCTGGAGCTTGTGATACCGCAGAGCATGGTTTCGTAAAGCTCCCTAATCCTCTGACCAACAGGCCCCGCTTGCGCGTTGAGACTGGAAAGCGCAAGCTCGGCGGTACGTTCGAATGAAAAAGGCGGCACTGACATCATCTCATCCAAGGTCTCTCCGACGCTGACAACGGTGCCTAGCAACATAGCGCCACAGTTCAGTACTCGCCCATTGACCGCAAATCCAGCTCGCGCCCCACCACAAGCATCGAACATGTGGCTCACGGGGTCTTTCAGATTCTGCAGACGATGCAGAGCCACCAGTGTTACTGGTTGGTCGGCGGAGTAGTCTGGCACCCAAGAAGGCAAACCTTCGACTGCTTTCTTCGCACTATTTCCGACTCGTGACAAAAGCGTAAGTGAGTTGGTGTCGTTGATGATAGATGTTGCAGTAACCACGAAAAGCTCGGAAGAAGATATGGAATAGTCCGCAACAAGTGGGAAGCCTCGCCATTCAGACTGTTTCAGGGCGTGGCGGGACGTTCGGGTCGAGTCACCCGAGAGAGGCCTCAATTGCTTGAAGACCCCAGCCAAGCCGTAGATCTTGTCCCTGAGGTCCTGGGCGTCAAAGCCTCGGCCAAACTCCAGTAACAGATCAAGTGTTGCGCCAGCGCCAGCGACCACAGCTTCGGTGGGCCAGATGTTGGCGTCCCTCCACAGCGTCCGAAATTCAGCATCGCCGCCATGTAGGATATGACGGATGTGTGCGTGCCGCGAAGCCCAGAAGAAGATATGCTTAAACGTAAAATGCGTCTTGCTCAGCGATAGGAGAGCACTGATGAGCGGCGTCATGCCGAGAACAGCTATGGCTTTGGTCACAGCGTCCCAGGAAATGCGCAAGTCGCCGCATACAACATAAACCACCTTTGCCAGAGCAACTTCTTGCAAGGTCCAGACGCGTCGGAACCACCGCCGTTAATAGAAGGCCACAAAGTCGAGCCAGTCATCCCGTTGAGGCTTTTCAAGTCCTAAATGCTTCATCTGGTCCGCATCAAGTAGGTCCGTGAGATACTGTCCAGTGTTAGCAGCAGGTGTCAAGACTCTGTCCGCGGCCTCAGCAAGCCTCGTGATCATATCGACTGCCCGGCTCACACCAGTTGTTGAGGTGCCAAGCCAAACGACAACGCATTGGGCACAGGAGTAGACGCGATCCATTTGCATGACCTGGACGGCTTTCTCAATGCGGTCACTTTGGTTGATACATAGGGCGTCAATCCAGATATGAAGGCTCGCATAGTTGGCACTGTCCACGTGTGCTTCGTAGTGGCGGAAGAAGTCGTTCAGATTAGCTGTGACTTGTACTGTGCTGCCGTTGACAATTACGGTACAGGGTTTGGGAGGCTCGTCGTGCTTAAGCTGTGCTGCATTGCGGCGAGCGAACTCCGACTCCTCTGCAGGCCCCCAAGTATACGAGAGGGCCAAGTATGGCGGCGCATCTGCCAGTAGAAAAGCCTCTAAGGCAAAGTACAATGTGTGGTCACGGGCGATCTCGAACTTCAGCAGACGTATGCTTCCGCGCGTCAGTCGTGTGGAACAGTCGTCTGCACCGGATGAGATGGCCATCTTCCCTTCCGGACAGGACCGCTGCGTACCCTCACAGTCCACATAGTCCCCGTATTCCACCGTTTGGGATGTTTGCATGGCATCGAGCGCAACATGCTGGCGTAAGAGCAGCGACTTTGCGGTCGCCTGTGGTGCTCTACGCTCCGAGCGTACTCTTCCCTGAGGGAAGCCGGCACGGACATCGTCGAGGGTAGAGTCCGGTTGACACCATGTTCGCTTCGGCTTGCTTGGGCAATATACTGTGCAATAGCCACGATTTGGCGTGTCTTATTTCTGGTGTAGCCTGATTCGATGGACGTGCAGAGTGTAAGCCCTCGGCCCTCATTGTCCCGAGCTCGCCGAATCGCATACGAAGGCCGACAACTCGCTGCTGTAACAATGACACCGCTGTCGGCGAATGCTCGTAGCTGTGTCGAGAGGTAGGTAACACCCGTCTGTAACCATTTCGTTCTTTTACCCATCTTCATCTACGCAAGATCTACAACATCATATCTCGGAAGCAATCTGCTCGAGCTTTCCTGTCTACCATGTCTACAAATGGCGTGAACCGCAGCAGAGGCGCTCAAGCGTCACCACCACCCAAAGGAATTTACGTTCCCGTACCTACCTTCTTTGCTGCAGAGGGGACAGAAGCATACGACTCCGTCACCCCTCCGCTAGACCTGAAGACACAATCGGAGCACTCGCTCTTCCTTGTGAGCGGTGGTATCCAAGGGCTCGTCATATTGGGCAGCACCGGCGAAGCCATCTTCTTGAGGAAAGAAGAACGCGTAGAATTGATTAAAAGTCAACGGAAGACGCTGGACGACGCTGGCTACAAGGATAGACCAATCATTGCCGGCACAGCGACACAGCAAATCGATGACACACTGGAGTTGATCAAGGAGAGCAAAGAGGCCGGCGCAGAGTACGCCATGGTCCTCGGCCCGGGCTACTTTGCACCAAGCACAAGTCAACAGGGCATTCAGAAATGGTTCGAGGCCGTGGCCGATCGATCAGTCTTGCCGGTAATGATCTACCATTACCCTGGTGTCACGAACAACCTCTTCATCGCACCCAAGACTTTCGAGCTGCTTGCCGCGCATCCCAACATAGTTGGCACCAAACTCTCCCATGGCATCATCGACGACCAAACACTCATAGCCGCAAACCCGAAGATTGACCATGAGCACTTCTACGTCTTCACTGGCCTTGGGCAGAACCTCTTGCCTGTACTTACGATAGGCGGCGTAGCAGCCATCGACGGTCTGGCAGGCATCTTCCCACGGCTCGTGGTAAGGCTGTTCCGCTTATACAATGATAGCGCAGCGAAGGGCACCACGAAGAAGGATATTGAGGAGATGCGACTGTTGCAGTACAGAATATGTGAAGGTGAGAAGTTGGTCGCGAAATGGGGTGTCGTAGGCATCAAAGAAGCTATTGCCCGGATGTGGGGCATTGGTAGCAAGACTGGTGGACGGCTGCCGCTGGCTGGCGGGTTTGAGGATGGTGAGAAGGAGTGGAGTAAGTGGGCGGAGGTCTATGAGGGCCTGAAGAAGCTGGAGGAGGAATTCAAAGCGGAGGGCAAGGAGGGTTGAGCGTGGTACAGGATCGTATCACCATGTCTCTTGCTTGTAACGTCCGGCCTTTTCCAGCCTTTCGAGGTACGCTACAGCTTCCTCTTCCCCCATGTCGCTGTGTTCGGCCAGCACATCTGTAAGAGCCTCTCGCACACCTTTCGGCATATTGCCCGACGATCCACAAACGTAGACTTTCCCATCCAACTCCATGAGCATTTGACGGATTCTTGGGCCTTCCTCGCGGATCTTATCCTGTACGTATTGCTTAGGATGCAGCTTGTCTCGTGAGAAAGCAGTGCGGACCGTCAGGCCTTCCGTATCTGCCAATCGTTGCCACTCATCTCTGAAGAAGTGGTCGCTATTGTCGCAACGACAACCAAAGATGAGCATATCGCTTTCCAAGCGTTTGCCTGCGGGTCGTTCGCCATTGTCAGTCACCCACGCTAGCCGCTGATAGATCATAGACCGCATGGGGGCCACGCCGGTACCCGGTCCAACCATGAGCACGGGAACATCGACTTCGCTTGGCTGGACATCAAGATAGCCGGGCTGTAGTCCGATGTTCATATGCTGTCCACCTTGCAATGCTGTTACGTATCTAGTACATACTCCGTATCGCCGCTTGTACTTGATGATGGGACTTGGAGGATCGGCGATTGCAATCAACAGTTCAACTCTAGTGTTGCCAGAATGGTCGTACCTGAGAGGGCCGCCACTCGCGATGCTAAATTGTCTACCTTTCATTATAGGCAAAACAGTAAGCGCGTACTGCCAAGGAATTCTGATGGTCGTAAAGTCACTCATAACCTCGATGATAGTACGCTTCGGCCGTGTTGTGTAATCCCAGAGTTCATCAATAAGCTCCGGATTAGCCAGCTCGAGTAATCGTTCCTTTTGGTAGCGTTCATCTTCGGTCGCTGTGCCCGCAAAGTGGGCTAATGAAGCAAAGAAGGATCGGCGAGGGATCGACATGATATCGAGCACGTTCTCGAGCAGCCATCTCATTGTAAGCCGAACGGTTGCAAGATCCAAATGGCGCAGCGGAGATGGTGAGCCGAGTACACTTGCCGTGCTGCGATACGACGGAATGATATTAATGGGTATGTCTGCGACGCTCTCCCATTGCATCAAGTCAATGAAGGCTTGCACATCGTTGGGGAAATTCTTCGGAAAGATCGTCGCCACAGCGCCTGGCCGGTACTCGTAGGTGCCCGCGGCCCGCAGTTCGAGCAGACGAACATCCTGAAAGTGGTCTGGCGCCGTCACACGCTCGTTTCTTACAATGAGAGCAGTATGGGATGCCCTCACCGGAAGTAGGTGCGTAGACGGTGCATCCATGGCGTTGCGATTCAGCTGTTTGTCCGGCTTCCCAGGCAGTTTGCTGACTACTTTGTCAGTATCGGCGCAACCATTATCGCCATGTGGTAGTGATCCACTGAGCTCAAGCTTCCACTTGGGCTCCAAAAATGCATCATCCGGTATAGGCGGCTCATCTGGCGGTAACGGAAAGGATGCGAATAGGCTCGCCTTCAACGCTACGATCCATTCCCTTAACCCGGCACTATGACCTTCCGGATGCTGTTCGTTGCCCTCACCTCTGTCACAGAATGACTTCGCACCCAAATGCAGCAACCTGCCATGCAGTAACCGGTGCACCACATTGTACTGTGGGTACGAGCTGTCCCCGAGGCCGAAAGAAGCAAACCTGACTTTTCGGAGCAGGCCTGGCTTCAAAGCACTGCTGAGCAAAGCTTTCCAAAACTTCCGGGCATTTTGTGGGAAGTCGCCTTGACCGGTCGTCGAAACGGCAAAAATAACTATGGTAGGCTTGACGAGGTCACGTAGCTGAATCGAGTCCAAGTCCAGTACAGAAGTGTTGAATCGCAGTCGTTCGATCAATTGGCCGACTTCTTCAGCTACATCTTGGGCGTTGCCAGTCTCAGATCCGTAGAGAACCAAAGCCGTGCGAGGTGTCTCACTCTTGTTGATCAGTCTAAGGTTTGGTTTTCAGTACAGTACTCTGTATCGTGCCTATCCGCAACGATGCCACATGGCGTAAGAAGCAACCTATCCGGATGGCAAGCACTTACTGGCGTTGATGGCTTCCATCGACCAGTGGCGGCTCCTGGCCTCCCTTTTCCATTGACTGTGTCGCGATTTCTGGAGCGTAGTACGTACATTAGGCGGATTGATCTCACTGACCCGACTCATAGACGAAGATGTATGGTCATGTTCAAGCACGCCTTACCATGTAAATGCGAGAGCACGCACGATCATTCACTTCTCGAGTGGTGTCGTGTGCTCTTTCACGCTTCGCCACGCTACTCACGGCCGCAGAACCAATCACAGCGCGCCTTCCTTCACCCTGTCGCTCTTGGCAGCTAGAATTTCTGGGTGGCTTGAGAGTTTGCGAAAGCTCCTCCCTTTTCTTGCGTTCACCATCAACACACTTGTCAACCAGATCAACTCCTCGCAAGCTCAAAGTCAACCGGCCACGAAGCTAGCCATCACCCAACTCTCCGTATGTTGGCTGCCACCTTGTGATCCTGAAGCGGCGGCGATGGTGCTAACGGCACGAGTAGCTCTTCAACCAGTTTCCACCAGCAAAGGCGGTCTCACATCCACTGTTTCCCTTAATACTACACGAAGTACTTCAGTCAAGCCACCGAAGTACTCCATCAAATCCATCAAGTACACTTCGTGTCATCAACTTTAGTAAACGACAAGAAACACCATGTCCGTCGACGCTGCCACTAGCCAAATGGCCAACACTACTCTCAACGGGCCTACCGGCACTGCCGAAGGCGCGAGCGTCGGTGCTGGCGGTGACAAACCGATCAACGCCTCTCAGAACGAGGCTGTCATCGCCAGCGCTGCCGAGGGTAGGAGACTGTATATTGGAAACCTCGCCTATGCGACCACTGAGGGAGAGTTGAAGGAATTCTTCAAGGACTACCTTGTGTATGTTCGCCCACGATGCATTCAAATGGCATGAAGGATGAGGCTTGTACTGACTGGCGGCATTCAGCGAAACGACATCCATCCCAACCAACCCACGCACCACCCGTCCTGTCGGCTACGCCTTCGTTGATGTCTCCACGCCTTCTGAGGCCGAGCGTGCCATCAACGAGCTGAACGGCAAGACCATCCTCGACCGCAAGGTGTCCGTGCAACTTGCCCGCAAGCCGGAACCGGCTGGTACCACTGAGGGAGCTGATGGCGGCGAAGGCGAGCAGCGTCGTCGCCCATCAACTCGTGGCCGTGGAGGACCACGCGCCCGCGGACGTGGCGGTCGTGCTGGGCGTGGCGGACGTGGCGGGCGTAGGGAGGGTGAGGCTCTTCTCAACGGCGAGGGTGAAGAGGAAGCCACCACCAACGGCGTGCCCACCAACGTGCCGGGCCAAGCTGCTCCGCTCACCTCCACCACCAACGAGGCTCTCACCGCCGAGCAAGGAACTCCTGGTACCCTCGATATCGACGCCACGAAGACCGGTCGTTCTAGCGCACCCCGCCCGCGCAAGCAGCGTGGCCCGCCAGAAGATGGTGTTGCCAGCAAGACCAAGGTCATGGTGGCCAACCTTCCTTACGACCTTCGCGAGGAGAAGCTTCTCGAGCTTTTCGCCCACTACAACCCGACCTCAGCCAAGATCGCACTCCGTCCCATCCCCAAGTACATGATCCGCAAGCTGCAGGCCCGCAACGAGCCACGCAAGGGCCGTGGGTTCGGATTCGTTACGCTCTCTAGTGAAGAGTTGCAGCAGAAGGCCTGCTCGGAGATGAACGGCAAGCAGATTGAGGGAAGAGAGATTGCCGTTAAGGTCGCGATCGACAGCCCCGGCAAGGAGGACGAAGACCCCAACGGACTCTTAGAAGGGGAGACCGACGTTGACGCTCAGCCGAGCACAGCGGAAGGCTCTGCGAACGTCAACACTGCTACGGCTGCTTAGGCTTGCTGGGCCTCGGTCGGCAACTCAGTTGTACTGTCCTTTTGCGAAGCCTCGAGGCAGCTTACCCAATATGAGCAGGCAAGCAGGTTTTGCGTGTAACATGGGCCACCGGAAAAGGGAAGCGCGTCGAGTATGATTGCTGACATCTATCGGGCATGTCGTAGTATAATCTTATTCCGACACAGTGTATTCGATGTACTTTAGATTCAAAACTGAGCGATCATGTGGCAAGCATCATGGGTCAAGGAAGCCTAGCGACTTGCCCACCGAGTCAGTGCGTACGAGTCTCTGTTCAATGTTGTTCGCACACCCTCGCGTATCGCAATGGCACTCGAGTGTCGCGTGCGTATGGTTCTGCACCATCATCATGTGAAGATCTTGCCGAGGTGCATCTTGCGCCGATCCCGACCACCATGTCCGAGCTCGCTATGAGCACAAGACATTGGAAGTTACTGCACCTTCTGTACATCCTCTCCACGTAAGAGACAGCAACATGTCAGGCCTACGGATACTGGTGCCTGTGAAGCGAGTAGTCGACTATGCGGTATGCGGAAATCTCTGTGTCGTTGATGCGACGAACGAAGCAATGGCTGACCATCGAAAACAGGTCAAGCCGCGAGTCAACAAGGCGCAAACCGCCGTGGAGACGTCGGGTGTGAAACACAGTATGAATCCGTTTGATGAGCTATCAATAGAGGAAGCTGTACGGTTACGAGAGCGTAAAATGCCTGTCGAAGACATCCTCGCCTTCTCTGCCGGTCCCGCAAAAAGTCAAGATGTACTCCGAACAGCAATGGCGATGGGCGCAGATAGAGGCATCCTCGTAGTCGAGGAGAAGACTGAGCTAGAGCCGTTAGGCGTCGCGAAACTGTTGGCAAAGGTTGTCGAGGACGAGAAACGGAATCTGGTCATCCTCGGCAAGCAGAGTATCGACGATGATGCGAACCAGACGGGCCAAATGCTGGCGGGACTACTGAACTGGCCCCAAGCGACGCAAGCGTCGAAGGTTGATGTGGAGGGTGATACGTGTACGGTGGTGCGGGAAGTGGATGGCGGTGTTGAGACGCTTCGGGCGAAGCTGCCCATGATCATAACGGTGGATCTCCGGCTGAACGAGCCTCGGTATGCGAGTTTGCCGAATATTATGAAGGCGAAGAAGAAGCCTTTGGAGAAGAAGACGCTGGCGGACTATGGCATCGATGCGAACAAGCGGTTAAAGACTGTGAAGGTCACGGAACCTCCGCCACGGCAAGGCGGTGGCAAGGTTGAGGATGTCGATGGCATGATCAGCAAGCTCAAGGAGCTGGGCGCGATATAGGGCTGTATGTGCTTCCAAGGGCGAGCTATCAACTGACTGTGTACTTGAAAGACACACCATTGTCGCGTGTTCCAGTCCGAGGATCGAGGCAGTAGCGAGCTCCGGTGCCTTCCTTATTCGAGGTTTGTCCTTACGATGCCCCTTAGGAATCTGCTTTGGTGACACAGAAAGGTAATCCCGAAGTGATAGCGGCTGTGTTGGTGCCTAGCGTGGCGTTAATATCACACAGATTCCTGCTGAGGAGAGACACTTTGTTCATTTACCTATGCGACTCTCTCACTGGCTGGAGTCACCGAACGCCCGCTCCGCTACCTGCTGTTGCCAGCCGCCGCTCACTGACATTACTGCTTTGAAGCACATCGTACTGACCAGAGATAGCTATCACCAGCTCACTACCGCCGTGGGACACCACCCAGCACAGCACCGCCCGCTGTGACGGCAAGCCATGTCCCGAATCAAGCTCCCACGTTCAGCTGCTGACGAAGTGATAGCAGCATATACGCAACATAACGCTGTTGAGAAGCCCGCCACAATTCCCAAAGTATTTCGAGGACGCGAGTATCATTCCGAAACGCACACTCCCGCCATACGCTGCTAATTACACCTTCAGTTGGGTATAGGCAGGTACATCGTTGTGGAACTTGCGCAATATCTGAGTAAGTGCATCCATGACTGCGGGTCTACTCCCACTTCACTTCGCCAGCTACAGCTACTGATATGAGCCACAGCATCTTACACATAGGAAAACGCCGCTGGGATGGCGGCTGCGGCGGACATGCTGTCCTTCTTGTCCGAGGAGCATGCGGCAGTTCTTGGTGACGTCAAGGCTGGCGACTTCATCCAGTTTATCAAGGCCCCTGAAAGCAACGACTCGGGCGCCGGCAGTGATGGCGTTAGTGAGAGCGGCAGCGGCAGCAACTCCTCGGAGAGCGCCACCGACTCCATTCCTGAAGTGGCGCTCTTCCACGTTGAGACCGTCATTCCCAACGGAGAGGGCGCCATGAGGGATCTGAAGCTCCTTCAGCTGCACTATGTCTACGAATTGCAGACGGATGATGAGCTCCGAGACGCTATGGGCAAGCACACCTACCAGCTGTACGGCGAGGAGATTGAGCATAAGCATGCTGCGCATACCGCAGACTGCGATTACATGAGGACACTCAGCCAGCTGAACGAAGAGTACGACCTGTCTGGCTATACGATTAGCGTCAACCCGAACGGCGACAATCTGCGTCCGCTCGTCCGCCCTGGCCATCACTGTCCTGCTGGATGCGATGACGGCATGCTCGACAGTCTCACTCGCATGTGGGAGCTTGTCGATGCTGATGTGTATCTTACACCGGCCGATGATGAACACGAGGTGCGTGAAGGAGGAGCATAAACCTTGCTCGCTGTGTGAAACAACACTAACGGACTTGCGCTCCTCATTCTAGCCAGTCTGCCCGGTCTGTATGGGGCTTGCTTTGCTGAGAGAGCAAGGAGTCCTCCGATCCACACTAGAGCTCCAGCACTACGTCGACTTCGGCGAGTGCGTCGAGTGGCACGGAAGGTTAAACCTGCGTCGCACTGAACTGGGCTACGATCTCAAGCAATTTGATGAGCGCGAGTGGAATATGTACTTCGACGACATGCAGTCTGAGGATGGCGACGGCAACCACCAGTACCAAGACTTCCCTGACGCGCTGAATACTCAGAATGATGTCCAGACTCGCCCGGCATCCGATGCCACCATTACCAGCTTGCCAAAGAAAATTTACGCTGACGTCAAGGACATCCCAGGCCAGAATGAGATGTGCCTCGTCTGCCAGACCGGCTTCGAGGACACCGACCAGGTGACTCAGTTACCATGTGAGCATGTCTACTGCGCCGAAGGCTGCATCCAGACGTGGTTGAAGCAGTATAGCAACTGCCCGAAATGCCGTGCAACGGTTCCGGCAGTCCAGCAGACCGGAGAGAAGTCAAAGAGCAGTCGCGTTGACAGCATGGAGATCGACGACGGTAAAGACGAGGAGGAGGTTGAGAGCGAAGTAGACTCTCAGCAAGACGGCTAGGTGGCCTGCGAGTACTTTAGAACTGCGCGGCTAACGAACGAGGTGGCGACGAAAGCGCTCTGAGGGAGATGCGCACAGCTGCATGATTGAGATGAGGTACGAATGACGGAGTTACGCGCCCTAGCAGAAACGCTTCGCTCATAGCGAATGCGACGCGTGTGCTTAGTTACAGGAATGGCCTCAGTGTAGCGACAGACCATGACTCCATAGGCAAGGGCTTGGTGGCCGAGCATCTATTCAGCCGTAGCGATTAAGCATGTAGACAGTGATGGTCGACGCGAACTACATCTGTCTTCGTGTGCGCTAAGTCACTTGTCATGTATAGATCGAGAGGCTCCCCTGCTGCAACGCTCTGTTGCCTTGCTTTCCCAAAGCTCCACCGCATGTGACTGACCACAGGGCTCGAACTGAATACAAGACGATCAACAGCTCACAAGCTATCACGACACCTGCGTTAGTTGACCATGCTGACTCGGTGAACGCACGAATCTCCAATCTGCGGATCTATCACCTTGATGATCACGCTGCCGCCGCCATGAACCACTTCATGTCCTTGCGCCACCTCTTCCACACGCCTATGATCGCTTTCGCAACGGTCGCAAGGTCTCCCACGGTAGTGGCACGAAGCGTTCGAACACCATTCAGCCGCCAGATTTACCAGAACGCGTTCCGCACAAGCTTCGAGCGCAGCATAGCAGGCAGCCGACGAGGCTTCCAGAGCTCCGCCCGAACTCGTCGCCAAGCTTTCAACTACAACAGATTCCAAGGAGCACAGAACATATTCTACCGCTGGGCAGCGAGGCCCACCTTCTACTATGAAGTCGGCGGCGGCACTTTCGCGGTTGCCGGAATCTACGTATACAACCTCGAACCTGTACCGGTCTCCAACCGCTACCGCTTCCGAATCATACCATACTCATGGGAGGCGTGGATGGGCCAGAGCATGTATCAGCAGACGATGCAGCAGTTTGGACGACAGCTCATGCCGAGCTCGTCACGAGAACATCGGATGGTGCAGAGGGTACTCGACAGACTCATTCCTCACTCAGGACTGGCAGGGGAAGAGTGGGAGGTACATGTCATCAACGACCCCATGAAGAACGCTTTTGTAATACCCGGAGGCAAAGTGTTCGTGTTCCGTGGCATATTGGACGTTGCGCAAGGAGAGGATGGTCTGGCAGCTGTACTGGGGCATGAGATAGCCCATAACGTCGCCCATCACGCAGCAGAACGCATGTCCCAAGGCATACCGCTTATGGTACTTACCGGCGTACTTGCGGTTCTTGGCCTCGACTTATACATCGGCAACCAGATCGTTGGCCTTGCCTTCTCCTTACCAGGCTCGAGAAAGCAGGAGGCGGAGGCAGACTATATCGGCTTGATGATGATGGCGGAAAGCTGCTACGACCCTCATGCTGCTATGGGCTTGTGGGCACGTATGGAGCAGGAGGAGAAAGGACGTGTCCCGCCACAGTTCATGTCAACGCATCCTTCGAGTCACAACAGGCTGGAGAAGATCCGGGAGTGGCTTCCGAAGGCAGAAGAGAAGCAGGAGAGTAATTGCGGGTATTTGACAGGCTATGGTATGGGTGCTTCTGCTACTGACCTAACTTTGACCGCTGCTGACAATTCGTCGTAGCGAGTGACTTCCGCAGCCAGATCGCTTCTCAACGCTGGTAACAGATCGGTTCACAATTCACTACCAACGACCAAACGACTCCGCTCATGGCGCTCGACGAAGATTACGGATATATCTGGAACGAAGTACATTATCCCACTGCTTTGGTAATTCACTGGAAGCGCGATGCCGAAGAGGCACCATATCACCCGTATCGGTATGCTTGGCACACTCACCTTCCGTTATAGGCAAGCTGTAGGCGCTAATGCAGGTTCGCATCAAGCTGCATCCTTCGAACTCCGAGCTCTTCGATCGGTCCCTATTGCCTGTCCTCCAATTCTAAGTGTGAACCACTCAAACTCCGCTCACCACCAGTTTGATTCGCTCTGCATTGGACTGGCTCACCGTCTTGGCCGAGCAGCAGTCCCATCCCTCAAACGTGGCGCCGCCATGGTCATGAAACCAACACCGGAGCCCAACACCTTCGACGTCCATACCGACCTCCTGTTCAACCCCAAAACGAAGACCTGGTTAACAGACACTTCCATCACCATCTCACCCACAAGTGGCCTCATCACCGCTGTCTACCAACGCAAGCGTGCGCTCCCAACCGTCGTTCCAAACTCAGACATCGACCTACGAGGCCAATGCGTCCTTCCCGGCCTCGTAGACGCCCACACACACATCTTCTTACACGCGTACTCCCAAACCCCCGCTCTCAACCAAATGCGCGACGAAAGCCTTGTCGAACGCATCATCCGCGCCACCAACCACTGCCGCGCCGCCCTGCTAGCTGGCTACACAACTTACCGTGACCTTGGCACCGAAGGCGCCTTCGACGCGGACATCCATGTCCGTGATGCCGTCAACCGCGGCATCATCCCCGGCCCGCGCATCTTCTGCGTGGGCGAAGCGCTTGCCTCCTCCGGCGGCTACGAGACCCGAATCGAGAACCGCATCGGTGGCGTCACGGTCCCACGTATCTCAGATCCCTGCGATGGACCCATGGGGGTGCGTGCGGGTGTCCGAAGACGACTAGGCGCTGGAGCGGATCTGATCAAATTCTACGCCGACTACCGCAAACGGCAACTCCGCTTCCCCTCGCCGCAATGGCCAGGTTGTCCAGAGATCCAGTTCCCGCCCGCCAGTGGTAGTGCTATAGACGCAGCCCGCAATCCGAACTTACTACTCTGGCAACAAGACGAAATGGACGCCATCGTCGCGGAAGCGAAGCTCTCCCGCTCCCCTGTCGCGGCGCATGCGGGTAGTGCGCTAGCCGTCACCATGGCGGCGAAAGCGGGCGTGACGACGGTGGAGCATGGGTTTGAGCCTATGCACGGCACGGAGGCTATGGAGGCGATGCGGGAGAACAGGACGATTTTCGTCCCCACCCTAGCAGTCGTCGAATTGTACCTCGATGAAAACGAAATGAAGCCTATCCTCGCTCAAACAAAAGCTGCATTCGATTCCGGGATCAAGCTAGCTTGTGGTGGCGATACAGGTGCGTTCGATCACGGCGAGAACGCGCGCGAACTCGAACTTTTCCTCAAAGCGGGAATGCCGTTGGACGATGTGCTTGTGGCTGCTACGATGCATGGATGGGAGGCTTGTGGTGGGGAGTGGTGTGGGAGGAAGTTCGGGTGGGTTGAGGAGGGTGTGGCGGCGGATTTCGTGGGGTTGGATGGGGATGTCAGGAGGGATCCTGGGGCGTTAAGGAGGGTTGGGTTTGTGATGAAGGATGGACGGGTGTGGAAGAGGGAGGGAAAGGCCGTTGGGATGGTTTAGGCAAAGTGTATTGTACGTCGCAGACCTGGAATAGTGCATCCGTGTATATATTGACATGATGGATCTGTGGCAGTTCCACCCCTCTATGATACGTTCTTCCGGCATCATGTCAGCTTCGCCTTCTTTATCGTACATCCGTAACCCCAGTTTCACCTGGGACTAATTCCATGCGTACCTTATGCGACGAAGGTGTAAAGTGAAGTGGGTCTTTCTTGGAAGCCAAGAAGTATTGTGACTGCGGCTAGCCGCTTGTGGGCGTCCGTTGCAGTGCCAGCTCGGTCTAAGTTGGCTATCTCCTCCCCCTAGACGATAACCACATCCTGTACCCTCTATCGTCGCTTACCGGCACGTAGAAATGGCGCGTGTCTCATTCGGTTCACGAGCGGGCATCGCTAATGACTTTACTGCTAACGGCGCCCTCGGGCTGCGTCAGTCGAGGGTCAGCGGCGTTTACGGATCGCTTCCAGATCTCACATTCGCATTGAAGAAAGAGATTGCGGCATGTACAGAGAGCGAGCTTCCGGAGCTTACAACATGCGAACTATCGATTGAGGAAAACGCGACTCTCCCACTGTTACGGCCGACCATTGGACCTTATGCTGACGGCGGCGAGCACGACCTACCAGAGGAGTACAAGGAGGTTTGGACGGATGGCAGCGAGGAGTTTCCAGGCTTGACGGCCACGCTTCCCAAGGCTTCCATAACGAGCATTCTCGGTGTGCCAAAGGGCCAACCGCGCCAGATAGTCCAGCGCGCTGCTTCGCGAGCAATTGTACAAGCGATCGAATCTGCCGATGGCTTCAGGTACAGCTTCAACAATGCGTGGGCGGCCAAAGACGAAGGCGGGCTTCGCTATTCCTACATTTGCCAGGATAGCATGCAGAATAAAGATAGACACGCCAATGGCTTCACCAAGACGCAGAAGCACTTGAAGGGTGAGGGAGAACGCGGGCCGAGGAAGGCAACGTATGATTGCAAAGGCAGCATCAGCGTGAAGTTTAGTGGAAGTCGAAGGCGCGTTGATGTGTACTATCGCCATTATGCTATTCATTCAACGGTTGCCGAGCAAAAGAGTCTGCCCCGACCTCTGCCACAAAGGTATCCTGTCATTGCAAATCCCGCTGCCAGCTCCTATCCCGCCACTGCACCATCTCGGTCAACTGGCGGCTTGTATGGCCACTTGCAGACCGAGAACGCGGCCCACGGCGAGCTACCCAGCACGCTACCTCCATCGGCGCCCGTACGGTCTGAGTCTTTGAGTGGGCGGCCTAGTAAGCGCAAGCGGTATGAGGACGGATCGGTTGATCCGAGCAGGCCTCTGTCGCTCTCTGAGTTACTTCAACAGAGTGATACGGCCAAGGCCTCCATAGACCACACAGAGCCAGAGCATGCTCAACACGCTAGCGGTGTGCCTCCACCAGTCCAGTATAACCTACCGTCATGGCAAGCACCTCCGTCAGCACCACCTCCACCGAAACCAGGACCACCTCAGCAGCGTACACAGTACAACAACGTCAGCGGCGTGGCGTATCCGCTGCCATATCAGCCTCAGCATTATTCACAAGCGCAGCAATATCCGCAGAACCCGCAAATGCCCGTTGCGAAACAATCGAGGCAAAACTCAACTGCCCAAGCCCCGGGTCTTTTCAGCACGCTGAAACCAGTCAGCCAAAAGAAGTCATCATCTGGCACTCACCCGTCACAATTCATCATGTACCAATCGTATCGGGCGAAGACTAGCTGTAACAACTGCCGATCGATCAAGAAGAAGGTGCGGGACACCACCTCTCCCACCATAAACTCAATGCTGACGTTGTTCAGTGTGATGAAGTACGCCCGGTCTGCGGTGGTTGTGCAAGGGTTGGTAAGGTGCAGTGTGTTTACGACAGCGCTCCAACTACTGCACCGATGTACAATACGAACTACAACGGCCTGCCAAATGCACAAACGCCATCACAGCCAGCAGCGCCTACGCAGCTGCAGCTGCCAAGAAGCAACGCCACGATTCAAACCTACCAGCATTCCTATCCAATGCAGGGCTACGACGCGGCATCGCAGAGTCCAGCTACATCGTACTCGCAGACACCGATTGTGTCGTATCCGCAGGCTGCTGCGGTGCTGCAGACTCCTCAGCCGCAGACGGTATCCGAAAGGGAAGACAGTCCGGATCCATGGTTTCCCCGAAGGTGATTAGATACGGACGCTACGTGTCGTCCCTCAGAAGTATCATGTGGCCGATGCAGGTACTCGAGCATGTCGCTTTCGGCGTGGCATGGACGTCCAGCTCACCACCGTACGACTAACGCCCATGTGGTACACTACTATGACATACCCTCAGCCAGCATCTTGTGAACCTGCTTCTTACCTTTAAGTGGGCGTGATTGTCATGCTCAGCAGCAGGCACAGCTTAGTAGTCTATCCTGCCGCCTCATAAGTGAGCTGACCGTGGAGTAGCAGACACTTGCAAGCTCTTTCGCCTACTTACATCTTGTCCCCAATGAGGAAGCGCGCTGTTCATGTGCCATGTGCGACTGTAGATGAAGAGCATGTCGAAGGTGCCTACGCTCACCGGTGTCATTACCACTCTCCAGCATTGCAAGCACATGGGTGAAGCGCGAGCGAGCGGCTTCCGTCTGAATACTTCTTATTCTAGCAGCCGAGGACAGTGACAAGCACTCTTCTACCACTCGTTCTCAGATATGCCCGCTAAAACCTGCCTTGAGCCGCTGGTGCTTGCGGAGCTACCAAGGTGCGACTGCACGAAAGCAGCACATGCTCTCTAAACTCGGGATCGGTAAGTGCTTCGCATATTTCGCGGCTTCCACTCTAGCTGCACCCGCACCCGCACCGCGATGCTATGCTACTTCCCAACATGGCCTGTCAACAGTGGGCCGTGCATGGCAGTGCCCTCAAAGCTCTCTCTCTTCCTCTCATCTTGTTCCCTTTCTCCCCTCACGCATCCCGCAAAGCAACATTCTCCCAGCAAGCATCTCAACAGCAAAGCATCTTCTACTGCTCACCAACCCTCCTCTCCGCAAAGCACCTTCAGCAACCCGGCTTCTTGGTATCCCGCCGTCGACCCATATCCTCAGTAAGTCACTGCCCTGCCCTGCTCACTTCCAACTGCTGATATGACCACCAGACCGAAGCAACACCGCTGAAGCACTCATCCACACCCAAACACGACCATGTCTTCCATCATGAAGCTCACCGCGGTGGCCATGACCATCATCTCCCTGGCCAACGGTGCACCGAACGACGCCAACGCGAAGACACTGAGGGTCACCTTCCGCCGTTTCTCCCAACCCGGTTGCACCGAGCATTACCACATCGCCAAGGACACGCATCTCAAGGCCGGCCACTGCAAGACCTTTGGCAAGGACGAGCCGCCGTTCGAGAGCTTCAAGGTCGAGGGCCCGGAGAAGGGCAACTGGCATAACAAGAAGTGCAGCGCCATTGCCTACGACCAGCCGAAGTGCGTTGGCAATGCCTTCACGATGGATGGTGAGGTCCCCTTCATCATTGCATCTTGTCCGTTGACCGACATTCAAACTGACACGCCCTCTTCTCCCACAGACTTCGAGCAATCCGCCGGCGCCTGCGGCAACTGGCAAGCCCCCGGCGGCCGCAGCGTCTTCATCAGATGCGAGGACCGCCCCAAGCCAGCCCCCCTCCCGGTCGTCATCTCCACCATCCAAGTCATCCCCACACCTTTCACAACAATCACCAGCCAACCCAACGACGTCACGACCGTGACCAGCACCGTCCCGCACACCACCTCCACCTCCTCCAGCTCCTCGCGCTCTCCGCCCAAAACCCACACCGTCCTCGTCCACGCCGCTCCCGCTCCCGCCAGCTCGAGGACCATGAGCACCGTCACCAAGGCCATCACGCCATTGACGACCATCACCATGATGCCCGCCCCGGCCCCGACGTCGTCGGTTCATTACCCGCACTGCTCGCTCAAGTGCGCTGGGGACGATGAGGTGTCGAGCGATGATATGGCGGCGGTGTTGTCGTCTTACCTGGGGAGGAATGGGTACTAAGTCTCTCATCGACGGGGTGGTTGACCAGCATGATGCGGCGTAATCCTGTCGGACGGGTTCCTCACTTTCTGGACGTTGCAGTTTAGCATTGGAGCTTTCGTGGTCGGACGATAAAGGTGATGGCGGCGATGCTGTTGCTTTGCTCTTGAATTTCTGTTGGCGCTGTTCCCGCCTTCGGTGGTGGAGGTTGGTGTTGTTGTGGCGTTGTACTTGTTGCTGGCTTGCTTGTTCTTGGGTTGGTCGTTCATCTGTAGTTGGTCGAAGCTTTTTGCTGCACTTGCCTTTGGTGTTTTCCATTACACTGCCATTCGCTACGTGTTGCTTCGTCCTCGCCGCTGCCTCCTCGCCGCTGCCGTCACGCCGCTGCCCTAGCCCCACTCCCACCCTACAGATCCCCTCCCGATCATCTCACTCCCGCTCTGCTCTGCCATGCCACCACCGACCCATAACCCACACTCTAGCTCGTGCAAGCCCGACACCCACCATCACCGAAGACTTCACTCAGTCGCCACACAAGTTTCAAGCACGAGGTTGTGGACCGCAGCTCTCACAGGAAAAAGAATAAGACAAGGGTGAAAGTAGTTTTCAGCATATCATATGCAAGCTTTTTCCGACTTCGTATGCGGACAGTGAGACTATCCTGTGTCTGTGTCTGTTGTGCACGTATTTGTTGTACAAGTGATCGACAATCAAGCGATCCAGAATTCATGTCAGCCGAACCGCCTCCTCCCTCCTCCCTTCTTCTCCGCCTTCTCCCCTCTCCCTCCCACCTCACCGTCGCACCTCACCAAACAAGCTCACCGCCTATACCTGTCCCCACCCACAAACCCCCCACCCCCAAAATCCCCCCCACCTCCCCCTCCACCCCTCCCCCTCCCACCTCTATACCCACCCCCACCCCCACCACCCCTCCTCATCCCCCCCGTCGACGCCCCAAAGTTGCCCCTATCCACCCCATTATCCACCAACCTGTCCCCATCCTCAAACGTATACCTCCTCAACTGCTGTGCCCCTCCCCCCGCCTCAAAGTCCTCGGCCCGTCCGCCATCCCAGTCCCGACTCGTTTCGTTGCGGAGGGCTTCGAGGCGCGCGGCGGCGAGGGCGGCGGGTTGGGGGAGGTAGTAGAGTTTTGGTTTGGTGGTGGTGGAGGTGAAGCGTTGGTCGAGGAGGGAGAAGGAGGTTGGTTCGGCTGGCTCGGTTTCTGCCTCAAACTCGGGTTCGGCGGGGGCGGGGGCAGGGGTGGGTTTGCTGTGCTCGTCCGTGTGCGGTGGCGGTTGCTCGGAGGGACGAGTAGTATTGTTCCGAGGTGCTTGAGGCGTGGCGGAGGCGGGTTGAGTAGGCGCCTGGTTCAAACTCCCCTGTCTCCCCACCACTCCACCAGCTCCCCCGACCTCCTCAAACGATACCCTCACTCCTCCGTCCGCAGTATCATCGACATCATACACAACCTCCCACCTCTTAGCATCCCTCCTACTGCCCCCCTCCCTCAACTCCACCTCCATCCACTCCCCCGCCTTCTCCGCGGGCACGAAATCGACCCACAAAGGCTTCCGCGTCGGCTCGTCGGGGAACACGGTCCCGTGCAAAGCCGCTCGGACGCGGACGGCGTCGGAGACGGAGGTGAAGAGGGCGAAGGCGTGGGTTCTTAGTACATCGAGGTGGAAGTTTTCGAGCGCGGCGGGGGAGGTGGAGAGGGTGGCGAGGTGGTCGCGGAGTTGGGTGGGTTGCAGAGGGCGGATGAGGTCGCGGATGTAGAGGGCGCGGGTGGCGGGGTGCAGGGCGCCGTCGGGGGGTTCGGCGGGGTGGGTGGTTGTGTTGTCGTGCATCGTCACGTCTGTTGCTTCTGCGGGCTCTCCGTGTGCGGGATGGCTTACTGGCATGACGTCGTCGCTGCTGCCGTAGGATTGGATCTTCTCCTCGCCTTCCATCGTAGCGTCTGTCGTCGGTTCAAGCGGTACCGGTGCTTCTGCTACTATTTCGTCCTCCGGCAGCTTCACCGGCTCCTCCTCGGCCGCCTTCAGCTTCTTACTGACTGACTCCTCGGTGAGCGGGGGGGTGGGACTGCGTCGCTTCCGCTTCTTCGTGTCGGAGGAAGCGTCTTCAGGCACGAGTGAGCTCTGCTGCGGTGTTGCTAACTGTGAAGGTTCCTGCGATATCGGCTCGTTTGCCTTCCCCACGGCGGTCTGCTGCTGTGTTGTTGCAGACGGGGGTGCAGCATCGTCCTGCATCTCGCCGGTCATGTCATCGTCCTCGCCGACTGTGTTCGTCTCTGCGACCGCGGCCTCCACCTTCTCCGCCTCCAGCCCCGTTTCCGCCTCGGCGGCACCGGCGTCTTCATTCTGCACCGCCGTGTCCGCCCCATCGCCTTCTGCTACCAACGGCCCCTCACCAAGAGACTTCTGGTCTGCCACCTGCAGCGCATCGATATACTGCTGCTTCCGCGACAGCCCCGTCGCCGTAATGCCACGTTCCTTGACCAGATTCTTCAGGTCCGCGACCTTGAGCGCGTTGTAGTCAATGTCCATGGCGGTATGAGTTATCAGTATCAGCAGTGTTATGAGCAATGCAAGAGGAGTGATGGCAGCATCCTTTGGCCTGCTAGAGTACGTGTGGTGGTTAGTGAGGGTTTGCTCGCGTGCCGAGACGCCGAGCGTCCAATATCAAAGTCCATCGCTTCATATGGCCGGCGGTGGGGGGACACGAAACAGCAACACCAGCCATACACCAGCCCATTGGAAGCAAAGCAGAGAAGCGCTTGCTGGGCGCCAGTCGTCTATTACTCTTCACTCACCAACACCACCGCCCGTAGAGTACAGACAAGACAAGATGAGTACGAAGATGTGGGAAGTCGACCCGGAGACGAGGAGCAAGTTGTTGGAGATCCAGAAGACCAACGAGAACAACAAATGCGTCGATTGCGCCGCTCCCTCTCCCCAATGGGTCGGTATCTTCCCCCCTTACCACTACACCATCCTCCTACTAATAGTGATGGTATAGATAAGTCCGAAATTCGGCATCTTCTTCTGCCTCGCCTGTTCCGGCATCCACCGCAGCCTCGGCGTGCACATCTCCTTCGTCCGCTCCGCCACCATGGACGCCCTCAAGACCGGCGAAGTCCGGCGCATGGAGCTCGGCGGGAACAAGCCGTGGAAGAGCTTCTTCAACGCCCACGCCTCCAACAAACTCACCGGCCGCGACTTCGAGTCTTGCACGATTGCGGAACGTTACGACAGTGAAGCGGGCGAGGAGTGGAAGGAACGGCTCACGGCCAAGGTGGAGGGGACGGAGTATGTCCCGGGTGCTTCGAAGCCAGCACGGACGGTACCAAAGCCAGCGACGGTAGAGGATAGCAATACCCCCACCGGTTCCGGCAGGAACACGCCCTTATCCCGCCCAACCCAACGCCCCGTGAGCCCCTCCCAAAAATCCCGCAATGAAGCCTACTTCGCCCGCATGGGCGCCGACAACGCCAACCGCCCGGACAACCTCGCCCCGAACCAAGGAGGGAAGTACTCCGGCTTCGGCTCCGCACCACCACCCCCCACCACCTCCAACTCCTCCTCCTCCTCCAACGTACCGGCGCTGGACGACTTCCAAAAAGACCCCGTCGCCGCGCTGACAAAGGGTTTCGGCTGGCTCTCCAGCACCGTCTCCAAACAAGCCGCCAGCGTGAATAAAGCGTACATTCAGCCCGGGGTCAAGAGTCTGCAGGAGGGGGAGTTGGCGGCGCAGGCGCAGAGGTTGGGCCAGCAGGGGTGGAGTAGTGTGCAGCAGGGGACCAAGGGATTGGGGGAGCAGCTGAATCGGTTTGTGGACCCCGAGGCGGCGGGGGCGGGGGGGAAGGGTGGTGCGGCGTCTGGTGTGGGTGTGGGTGCTGGGAGAGGAGGAGGGAGGGTACAGCCAGAGCAGAGGGATTTTTGGGATAGTTTTGGGCAGGCGCCTGCGGGGCCGCCAAAGGAGAAGAAGGAGTTTTGGGATGATTTTGCCGGGGCGGCGGAGACGGCGCAGCAGAGTAAGACTTCCGCTTCGAAGCCGTCGGCGATTGGGACGAGTGCTATGAAGACTGGTAGTCCCGGCGGTGGAGGAGGCGGGAGCGGTGGTGGTGCCAGTGGGAAGAAGGAAGACGGCGATGCCGGGTGGAAGGATTGGTGAGTTTGGGGAATCGAATCGGGTGGAATGGCCGTTGTGTTTACGAGCGAGGTGCCTGGCGTTCGGGCGAGTCCACACCAGCCACTGAAGAGATTACGGGTGTTGCTATGACTGTCTACAAATCTACATGGCGCATCAGGAATGGTTCGCCGCGTCACTTTTCGTGTGCACGAATTACGCGAAGGCCTGGGCGCGGGAAAAGGCTCCCTTGAGAGGACCATTTCCTGCCCGTTTAGCCTGAGTCGGCGTCTGCTCCTGTTGTTGGAGGACTCCTGATTGCGATCAGAGAATTGCGGCGGCTGTGAAACATGACCCTGTATGTCAGGGCATCCAACGACGCGGAATAGCTGGCGAAATTCCCCTGAGTAATGTCTCTCAGACGCACCGCACAGCAAGCGCGCCATCCATTGTACACTGTGGCATCGGCAGTCCCGAGGGCGCCTGCGCGCAACACTCGGTATTGCGCGTATGGCTGCATGAACCATAGAGCAGCGCAAGGCAGCAACGGGAACAAAGCATATACGCTCCTGCTCTGTGAGAAACGCCTTTCGCCGGCGAATACCTCAGGCTCCGGCGGTGTATCAACATGAGCCTGTGAGCGCCATGAGCGAAACTGGCCGAGCGAGGAAGCAGTATATCGTCTTTTTGCGGCCCACGCTACGTCCCAGCAGATCTTCCTCGTCCGTGAGGAGGGATGCAGAAAGTCCTACAGGTATCGCTCTCGTTCAGACATTTGCCAGAGGAACGCAAGAAATCTTGACAGATGGCAACGTATTGCGATCTTTTGAACGGGGCATGAGGGGACACTGTTCATCAGATCTTGCTCGTCCGTTTACCACTCTTTACCCCCTCTACCACCGCGCCGGAAAGGAGGAAGTCAGGATACTTCATCGCCGCACCGCCCATGTTCGCCCCACTCGTCCGCCACTGTCCGCCGTCCACCACCAGCACGTTGCCATTGACATAGCTCCCAGCCTCCGAGAACAGGTAAACGGTCGCATCGGCTATTTCCTTCACTTCACCCCAACGCCCTACCGGAATCTGTCGCTTGCTCTCCGTAACGGTATGCTCATCGCTGCGAGACAGCCTCTCCATCCCTTCGGTCCCGGCAATGGGGCCAGGCGTAATAACATTGCTAGTAACACCATACGGGCCAAACTCGATCGCCACCGAATGCGCGATCTGATCCACCGCCGCTTTCGCAGCCATGACGTGAGCTTGAAGCGGCATGCCCCTAAAATGAAACGATGCGGAAATGAAGATAATCCGACCACCGGTACCCGTGGGTTGCGCTTTACCGGTGTTGCCGTGCTTCTTCACGCTCTCGACCAGGTACGGCATGACCGCTTTAGCCGTATTGTACGAGCCAATCGCGTCAATATCAATAACAGTTTTAAACGCATTCGGACTCAACTGCGCCATCGGCGCCAGGAAATTCCCCGCCGCGCCCGCGATCGCAAAGTCGATCCCGCCTAATTCTCGCGCACAGCGATCCGCAGCCGCCTGTAAAGCCTTGGGATCCCGCACGTCGACTGCCCCGATGCCCAGGACTTTCGCGCCGGCACGGACGGTGGCGATGTCAGCCGCGCCCTTTTCGGTCTTCTCGACGTTGCGGCCGATGATGCACGCGTTGCCGCCGAGCGCTACGAAGGCGCGCACTTGCATGCTGCAGATTGTGCCCGCGCCGCCGGTGCAGAAGAGGACTTTGTCGGTGAAGATGCCATCGCGCCAGACGTTGGAGAGGTAGCGCTCGCGCGGGACGGACATCGTTGAGTGATACTTCGGGTTTGATTCTGATTACAGTAGTCGCCCGTCAATGTGGGAACGCACTGTCCGGAGGCTACGACGTTGTTGCGTCGGATTCCGTGTCTCACGGCCCTTGCGTGATCTTGAGCATTCAATAGGACTGTTTCACACGTCTGCGGCTTCCAACGTCTATTGTATGTCTGCAGTCTCGGCCGTAGTAAGCTCACTAAGCAATCCTCCAACCAACGCGTGCCGAGGTACACTGTTCGCTGATGCCGGAGTGATAGCGGCAGGAATGGCTGCGATCTATAACCCCTACAAGGTGTGACGCAGCGTACAAATGTTTGTGAGTAGGAGATCAAGGTGCGATTCGGTGGAAGTGGTGTGGCATAACGGTGGTCGGGTAAATACTGGGCCTTTGATCTTGAACCTTCTGTATGGGGTAGTTGTGTGGGGTTCGGAGACAGGGATTGGGATGCACGAGCCAAGTGGCTCGCCTCTACGTCAGTGAATGTGCAGGTGGTGAAGCTCTCGGTCTTCATCAGGTACCACAGCTGCTCAAGAGCAGTACAAAAGTGACAGCCTCATGTCGACCTCATATCGCGCAAGAAGCACAATGCCGACGGCAATCGCGCTCTGCAAGTTCGTCGGCACGGTCAGCTTGGGCTTATTGACGGTAAGCGCCCCCTCTGCGACAGCAAGATCAAGGACCGCCCACTAACAACATACGTCGCTGCATCACAGGGCGTATCCTACACCCTCTCAACGCAGTCCCTACCCTCCCTTCTCACCCTCCCGAGCGCCAAACCAGCAGCATACACCCTCAACCAAACCACGCGCCTAGCAACCCTGCACATCTCCGCCTTGAGCGCCCTTTCGTCCGTCTCGCTGCTCCTGGCCTTCTGGCTGTCACCCCCTCGCTTAAGGCATCCCTATCTGCTATGGACTTCGCTTGCCGCGGCGTCGGGTGGAGCTCTGAATTTCGCCATGGACAAGAGTATGCGGCAGAGAGTTGTTAAGCATGAGGTTGGCGAGGTGAATGGAGAGCAAGTGGAGAAGAAGGCGCGGGATCAGCAGTGGCTGGAGTTCGTTCGGGCGGGAGTTAGCGGTGTTGGATTTGTGATGGGTGTTGTGGGAATTTGGGGGGATGGTGCGTGAAGGGCGGCGACGAAGGTCATGATCACGACGGGACGAGGACGAGGACCGTTGGCTGGCGTGTAGTCACGGTGGTTTGTTGCACTCAATTTAGAGCGAGTATGAAGAGAACTCAGCTCCCGTTGCATTCTTCATTGATATGTGCACAGTAATGCCATCAAGATTCCAGCTCTAGGCGATCGGCCGTTACAGGTCATCTACAAACGTGCTTTCTAACCGCTCGTACCCGACCGATAATAGCAATACTTCTTAAAGCAAGCATTGCACCCAGCAGGCAGACTCGCGCCATCCTTATTCTTAACCGCGCAGGCCAGGCAAAAGGGCCAGCCAGCGGTCCCGTTCTGCGTCGCAATCGCATTCCCGTTCGCAATCATCGCATCGGTTTCCGGAATCGTATACTCGATCTTGAAAGTCGATTGCCCAGAATTGTAAGTATACCCTACATTGGGCAGGAACACAATAAACGTCGTCCCGGTCTCGTTGCAGCCGAAGAAGGTGGCTCGCGTATTCAGACCCTGGGAGATGAAGACATCCACGGTGGGAATGAATGGCATCTTCGTCAGACCCGCGGCTTGCGCGTTGAGGTATGTCTGTCGGATTTCCGTGCCGTTGGGGTAGTTGTTGGTGGTGTCGGCGCTGTTGTCGTTTACGATGAGGACGTCGACTGTGCGGGCCGGTTGGATGAAGGGCCAGATCTGCTAGTCGTTAGATGGCTTTCACCTTGTATGCAAGGCGGCTGGGGCTTTGTGTGGTGATGTCTTACCGGATTGTTCTGGTTGCTAGCGCCCCCGTCCTCCATGTAGAGGTTGGCATCGTACTGGACCTTGGAAGAGCGCGAGTACTTGTAGAACGGATTTGGGAAGATACCGAACAGATCCGAGTACAGCGGCGTGTGCGTCGTGCTGACAAGAGCTTCGAGGACGTTGTCGAGATCATTGGCATCCGTGCTGAGGGCGGGCGGAATGACCGCGCAAGCCGCATAGAACACATCACTGCTGGTTCCGAAGACGTAACCGAGGTTGTCGTAATGGATGGTGCAGCTGTTTGGTTTTGTCGGTAGCCCGTTGGTTAAATTGGAGCCCATGTCTATATGGAGATTCGGTCATCACTTAGCGCTCGTCGATCGTGTGTCGTGTGCATGACTTACAAGTGCTCACAGCGAAAGCAGAAACACCACTGTCCCACGAACCGTACTCGTAAGGGTGGAACTCGTACATTGTTGCGTTGAGCGGGGCGACACACTGGCCAGCAGTAGCGTTGACTCCCGTGGTGGTTATGATGGGGTAGGGTACATTGTGGGAGGTGAAGTTGCTGAGCGTTGGTAGACTAGAAAGACGTGTGGCAACGCCTCCGTCTGGTCCTTGGAGCAGCTGGTACGATAGCAGTCGGCCGTACGGGTCCACAATGGTTACTTGGTAGCCCGCCGCTTGTTTGGCGGCGATGTCAGCCGTTACGGCAGCGTACTCGGTCAGACCGGAGACCGACAGGAGGTTTGCCGGCAGCAATGCACTGTTCTGGAAGGCCTGACGCCAGAGATTGTTGCGCAGATACGTAACGGTTGGCCAATTGTTCCCGGCGAGAGATGAAAGGAACCATGCTCCGCCAGATAGACCGGATTCGTACGTCAAGCCCTGGTACACACCGCTCGTGTTGAATTGGGAGTCGCGGCTGTCGAAGGCTTGTACAACGCCGGCCGTTTCTAAGAGCGCCCGAAGACCTCCACCGCTAGAGGTGAAGCCGACGGTAGGCAGGGGAGACGAGCTGAAATTGCCCTGCTTCTTCAACCACGCGTTGAGTCCCGCGTTGGCGCTGGTCTTCCGCGCAGCCACATAGCTGGACTCGCTAGGGTTCAGACCGGTAGCTGGACGGACGAGCGAGCTGCTTGGGCAGGTTGTCTGGGTCGGCGCATATTGGTTCGGTAGTGCCTGTCGAATCTCGAGTTCTGCGGGCCGTGGAGCTGCGACTGCTCCGCCGCAGAAAACAAGCAGGACTATTGTGGCCAGCGACGGGAGCATATTGTTCTGATTAAACTAAACAGACGAAGAGAAAGGCGCCCCGAGCGCTACTGTGTAGAGACGAGAAGAAATCGCGCCTTACCATGGGAATAAACTGTAGTCAACGAGCTTCAATACTTGAAGTCATCCTGCTGCGCCTACTGGTCTTGGTATGGCCGTACTACGGCAGTAGTGGATACCCCAGACAAATCAGCGCTCTTGCTTTTACCACGACCTTAGTCGACAAAGACTTTCCATCGCGGTGGCGGAAAGGCTGCGAGACGTCGATCACACCCCACGAGAGGCGCGGCTCATGCACAGGCGTAGCGAACCGCGCGCAACCAGTCGAGAGCGCGCTCTTCCGTGCGAGCCAATGATGAGCTTTGCGTAGCGAAGACAAGTGCTTCCACTCGCGAGAAAGAATGATTGAGCCTATTGTCGATGACGTGAATGTGGTTATCATGAAACTCTAGGCGCATGCACGGCCAAAGGAATTGATGTCGGGCGATGACGGAATGGTGTCAGATTCTGGTCCAAGCGCCTGAGGCTTTGCAAACGAGATCGAGTCATGCAGAACTTGGGAGAGATGGTCGAGCCGTGTGTTTGTTGGACCTTCACTTCATGTCTCCCGTAGCAGAAGGGTGTTGAGGTGGTTGTCGGCGACCATTCCAGACTTACTGTGAGTCCGCAGAAGCAGACATATCCGCCCCCCATATCGTTCTACTGCTTGTCTTACTCGCCCAACTCCCCCGCCTATTCTTAGCACATATGCAACGTTAACAATTACGACTAAGCTGTCCATCGGCAAGTAAGCTTCTTGCAGATGTCTCTCAAGCCTTTCCTCCCATATCCATTTCAATAGTCGGACTTTGGGTTCGAAGGACTTCTCACAGCACGCTTATGTGGCAAGAATTCGATAGGGCAAGCGCCAAGGCAAGCAAAGGCTGTCAGGTCCAATCACCACATATGCTTTGGGAACCATGACAGACGTCCAACATCGTAACGAGAGCTTCCTAGAACTTGAGAAAGAATTGACATGCGCGATCTGTACCGAAGTTCTATTCCAGCCTCTAACTCTTCTCGACTGCTTACACACATTCTGCGGCGCTTGCCTCAAGGAATGGTTCGAGTTCCAAGCTAAAGCAGCATCTACCAGCCGGCGAACCACGCGACCGTTCACGTGCCCGTCATGTCGTGAAGCCGTGCGCGAGACCAAGGAGGACTGGCGCTTGACTACGCTCCTGGAAGGGTTTCTCAAGGCGAACCCAGAGAAGGCGAAGAGCAGTGCAGAGCAGGATGAGCTGCGGCGGGCTTACCGGCGAGGCGAGCGTGTGATTCCGCAGCTTGATGTAAGGAGCGCGAGCGGTGAAGACGAGGATGAGCAACTTGTGCAGCAGGTCAGGGAGCTGAGCCTGGCTCATGTGAATGCGGAAGGTGTACGACGTCCAGACGCACGGTATCACAGCCATGAGCGCGTTGTAAGAGATCGGGTGAGCGCGCACCCCGCCAGTAACCGCGCGGACGGCTCACATGTGACGGGCGCGAGGTCGGGGCAACCCACACAGCTGTCGGAACAGGCGCTGCAACAGCACGTTGCGAGCGAGTCACATATTGAACACCAGCCGTCACTGCGTAGTCTATTGAGTGCCTCACCGATCGCGTCGCATGACGTTCAGCAAGAAATCCTGCAGTCCATCATCGCAGAAGGGCTTCTGGAGGGCATGGACGTAGACAACCTAACACCCGAGCAAGAGGATCAGCTTAGCGAGCGCATAGCAGAAGCATATAGGCGGCGTCAGCGGCGCCGAGATCGATCACGCACACGAGAAGTCGTACATCAGCGCGGCCAGTCACCGCAGCGCAGCCGAGCAAGCACTGAGCACGAGGTAAGACTGCACGCACGCCCTGACAACGCATCAACGCAGCAATCACGCCCCAGGCCGCCGATATCGCGACCTCATTTATTCGAGACAGCAAGCCATCCGGAGAGTGGGACAAGGCAGAGGAGATCTGTCAGTGCCACCAGCCACCGCAGCACTCGTTCGACTGGCCGCTCCGAGTCTCATATAGCAGTTACGCCTGCTGCAAGATCCGCGACTGATCTTACGGAGCAGGTTCGGACCGAAGAGACTCAACGCCATAACGACAGACTGGTCGCGAATAGCGCAAGAAGCTTCACTGATCCAGCCGATCACCGAGAGCAGGTTCACGGGATGCGCTCCCCCTCCGATCATCATCACGAAGTTAGGAACAACATCCCTAGCATTGATTACCCCGTCCATTCCCAAGCGCAGGCAGGCAACGCTGAGAATGATGCCATGGAAGCCTCAATGGAATCTGCACAGCCTCCCTCTACCGCGCCCATGCACACCGTTCGACCCGCAACCTCCATGGCCGCCTTCGCTCCTGAGCCCGTGTCAGCTCCATCTCTTACACTGGAGGCGCCTTCCATCGCCTGCAACCGGTGTAGAAAGCCGAACATTCAGCATGACCTGCATTACAACTGTGCCTGGTGTCTCCACGGATCCTACAATATATGCCTGTCATGCTACCGTAACGGTCAAGGGTGCGATCACTGGTACGGCTTTGGATACGTAGCATCGGAGCGTTGGCGCCGTCAGGCTCCTCCTGAGGGCTACCCAGCGAAGTACGAGCGGCCTCATGTTCTATCACCTCGGCGATACGTCCAAGCGGAGACGAGTCGAACTCCAAACCTCGAAGAAGGTGCCTTCTGCGAGTCATGTTTGACGAACGCGAACGGATGCTATTGGTACTGCTACTATTGCCTCGATGGCGCCTGGGGCTTCTGTGACGCCTGCGTGCACCAAGGAAAACACTGCACGCATCTGCTTTTGCCCGTCGCACATCTCACCACGCTACGCCAAACACACCACGATCCGTCTCAGGCGTTGATGGTACCAATGCCGCACTTGAAGCAGGATAGCTATCTATTCCACCCGGAAGCGACGGACTGCGACATCTGCCGCAGGCAGATCGCGTCCAAAAGTACCCGCTTCCACTGCTATCAATGCAGCAACGGCGACTACGACATCTGCACGGATTGCTATTACGATCTCGTTGACACGGGCAAGATCAGCCTAGCGAACGGTCCGAATGGGTGGAGGCGATGTCTTCGCGGTCACCGCATGGCGATTGTCGGGTACCACGCGGAAAACGCTCAGTCAGGCGGCCAGCAGCGGTTTACGATACACGGGCCTGTTGGTGGGTGGAGGCACAAGGATGATGGAGGGACGAGTGGTGGTACGTTGCGACCGCCTGCTGACGGTACTCTAGGTGCGAGAGGTATTGCTGCGTGGAGCTACTTCGGCACTGCCGAAGACGAACTGTCATTCCCCAGGAATGCTGAGGTGACGGAGATCGAAGCACTGAATGAAGAGTGGAGCGTGGGTGTGTATGCCGGTCAGGTGGGCTTATTCCCAAGTCGTTATGTGATGCGACGATGATATCGCAGCATACCCGTGCGGAGATGTGGCGGTTTATCTGGTGAGAGAGTCCATTGGTCTGCAGGAAGACTACGGCGATATTATGTACAGTAACTACTTGAAGACGACGCCACGCTTGAACGCTTCTCACTAGCTTTGCAGCTCAGAGAAAATGTATGGCATGATGACAACACAGGCTTTCCAGAACACGCCAGCGCTGCCGAGCAGCCGCAACGGCATGATGGCCAAGCTCGCAGACGTTACATAGATCCACATGGCGTATAGCGCCACTGCGAAGAAGTGGTAGAAGAGCACAAACGGGCGGCGAATGATGCCGGCGAGCAATCCTACCGGACCGTCGATGCAATTGCCACCAAGCTTGAAGTAATGGAAACAACCCATCTGCAGAGCCTTCAGCTGCGCATCGTCTGCCGCAAATAGCGAGTACAGCGCTTGCGCCAATATGTTGATGACGCTGGTAAGGCCTTTCCGTCGCCAGTGGAAGACGCGCATCTTCTTCAGCACTGCGTGGGCATCCGCCAGATCTGGTACACTTTCTGGGCTGAGTAGTTCGGAAAGGAGTACTGCATCGTTGAAGGCGACCGTCATCCCGCCACCAGTAAGTGGATGGCGCATGTTCATCGCGTCGCCGAGCAGTATTAAACCTGATGATTTGTTGGTGGTGGGTGGTAGCCACGAGTTCGGCATCGAGCGTAATCGGTCGCGGTCAATGGCGGCCTCGAAAGACGGCCTGACTTCTGCGGGTAGGGAAGGTAATACTACCTTCTTGAGGTGACCTTTCACGCCTCCGGCCTCGACCGCCGCGGAAGGCAGGTTCTGTGGTATATCGATCAAAGCTCTCGTCTCATGTGTCCCGATCTGGTACAGCAGCACCGGTGCCCCATCCCCTAGTATCACGTGGCCGTGATTGGGCATGGGTAGCTTGGCGTCGATGAGTTCCAGACCCCAAAACTTCGATTTCGCGACCGGCAGGTCCTTCCTGAACTCTTTACGGAACTTGCTGGCATAGCCGTCTGCAATAATGGTAAGGTCGCCGAAGAAGGCATCCTCACGGCCACTCACGGTAGCCTCAACCCCGACAATACGGTCAGTGAAGCCGCAGCGTACAAGCTCTGTCGCCGCAGCCTCAACGACGGTAACGTTCGGAGTCTCCATGGCTCTTTGTCGAAGCCTTTGAATGAAGCGGCCATGGTGGAACGAGCGGCCTTCGGGGCGTTTGCGCTTGGTGCCTCTCATCTCGTCCGTTTGCGACTTCTGGACAGGCTCCTCACCGTCCTCCCTAGCGTTCCCCGGATACGATATGCGGACCTCCTCTCCATAGTAGATGACATCGTAGCCGAAAACTTTGACCGCATCAATCTCTTCCAAGCAATCTCGCAACCCAAGCTTTTCGAGCGCTGCCACGCCGCCGGGCTGGAGTAGCTCGCCAACTATCCGATCGGGCTCTCGGAGAGACTTCTCGAGCAGTATAACACTACGACCTTGGTTCCCAAGGGCGACAGCAACCGCACAACCCAGTATGCCGGCGCCAACGATGACAACATCCGCTTCGTGGTAAAGGCTCCGGCGCTGCTCTGCTTTCGCGCGTCGCTCCGCTATAGGCATGTAATCATCGGAATGTTGACCCATGGTGCGCACCAGCCGTTCGTTGTGATGCGAGAAACTGCTCCGAAGATGACTTGTTTTCGTCGAAGAAATCAAATACAATACTGTGGTCAAGACATTGTCGAACCACTTTTCTAATGCGGACACCTCGAGGGTTCAGGGACTTCCCGAGTGGCGGTGCGGCTTCGGTGCGCTGTGGCGTCTAGCTCTACGTATCGACATGGAGTCTACAGACGCATGCATTCCAGTTCAGGTTCACGTTCATGTTCGCTCTTCCATACCGTTGAAGTACATGTTTGTTCGCTTCGATAACGCGCGTCGATGATCACTTCGTCTCAAGTCGGAGGCTCTTAACTCTGTCGCTAACGTTCCATGACCTCTAGCGTCACGTGATTCTCTTATGACCAGATACCCAGCGGACGACGTCACGTCGATCTCTACGAGCGTGCTCTCGTATGCAGCTTGCAGTTTGCAGCTTACGAAGATCCACGCAGAGAGCCAGGCTCCTGCGCATTACCATTTACAGCGCACCCCAACGTGGACCAATACCGGCAGAGATTGACCCCAGTCGATTCTCCGCAGTTGGTTTGCTCTGCTAGCCTTGTGCGACGAACCTGTCAAAAGGGCGCCTGCATAAGCTTGCGTTTGCTGATCGCCTGCGCGCTGCTCATCTGGTCCTTTTCATGCGGAATATGACAGATTGCAACACTAAGACCACTGCATGCTCGCTTTCGCGTCCGCATACATACACGCATAAATGGCCCACACGCGGTACAGGTATGGCTTGCGATTCTCTGAGGTGTTGAAACGACTGTGGATGAGCAGTGTAGACTAGGTAGTCTCATGTTCGGCGAACACACGTAAATCTAACACGGTTCGATGCCGCTCAATGTAGCTTGACAGGTGAGGAACCGCTGCGGGAGCGAGTGGGCCTCGATGTACGACCGTTGAACCTTAACGGAGGCTCGTTCACTGTGACACATCGCTGTCCGAAGTTCCCGAGCTTGTTTGATGAACGTCCTCCTGTCTGACTTGCATCAATGCTCACGGTAATCTATTGCTGGGAGACGTGATTGGGAGTACTCATTCACGTAACATCATGTCGATCATGCGTGGATCCACCGTTTGCGATTATTGGCGAAATGGTGCGTCTCAATCACTCCGTTACTGCGTTGGCAGGATTGCTTTATATGCGTTTCAGTAGCCTCGGTTGCTAACCGACAGATCTCGCCATTGAACCGGCTCCGAAACGAACTGTGATAGTCCGGCCGAGATCAAGTAACAGTCTTTGCTGATAGCCCAACAATCTCCGGCTCAGGAAGGATATTGACTCGCAGGCATAGATCGGGGTTTACGGCGTCTTCGGCTTTCGCACCGCTTCTGAGGCCCTACAATGCCGTGTCCCGACCAAGGTATGGACGTTCTTCATAACCAAAAGCTTGTGAGGAGAACATTTCATCTCAAACCGACTAGGATGCTGTCAGTCAGACCTTGTCGTGTGCTAGCAACAAGTGGCAGCGTCTAACGTTTCGGAGAAACTAGGCTTATGGCCTTGTGCGCCTGCAACGGGTCCTATAGGGTATTGAAGCAGTGGGACTTTGGTCGTTGTTGGTTAGGCTTCGACGAAGACAACTATCATCGGAGATTGGATCCATGAGGATGATGTGGACCGAACCTCTCACCGATCTTCGAACACGGGTGCATAGCAATCGAAGACTAGATCCAGGGCCAAGCACGGCTGAATGCATCGCGTGCGAAGTCCGAGCCCAAGTCGTTCATGATGGACCGTACGTTCGCACAACTGCTATGTCAAGTGCGCAGAGTATGACTTTGCCACACTTGTGCGCCGTCTACGGGCAGGAAGGGATGTCAAGGGTGCGTCCATTCGGCACAGACCAGGCTCGGCTTGCAGTACTTCAGAGCTACTGCATGTCTCTGCAGCTCCCTTCCCGACCGTTTGGGACACTATATGTCCTTCACAGGACCTTCGATCTGGACTGAAGCATTGATTGTGCCTGACCTTAGCTCGATTCCCTGTCACCACCTGCCCAAGTCGGCATGGCTCCACGCCTGCACCTTCACCGTGATGGCCCCGGAACAACTCGGACTACGACTGTAGAGTTGCACTGCAGGGAAAAGTTGTGTTAGCGGCCCACGATCTGTCGAGTGAGATTAGTGCGTGCGAGCCGCGACTGCTCCTCCGCTGAACGCCACGCACTTCTGCTTGCAGTGCTCAGTAAGCCTGGAAACCACGTCCAGCAACCCAAGGGGCCGCCGCTATTGGAATCCTACATGCGCGGTGTCAGCGATTCGAGTCGCGGAGATTATCGTAGCTCCTGGGTGTCGATCTGCTCCGGCGCTCAACCGCATATACCCGGCCTACCCAGATTGTAGGTTTTGCGTCCTGCGCGGGTTGGCGTATAGTATCGCAGGTCGGGAACTATGAACCACTGCTACTTTCTTCTTCCCTCGCAAGAGCTAAGCGCAGAGAAGCTTCCACATCCATTCAGCATCTTGCTCCACCCAAGCGACCACTCACTGGTACAGAACAGGCGCATGTCAGCTACGTGTGTACTGGGTGAGTCGAGCCGTACGGGCATCTGCTTTTCAAGTGCTCACACTGGCCCTGGATGAACATGCCCACCGCCAAGCAATGTAAATCCTTACTTGATGAGTATATAGAGCTCGGCTACTGTTCGATCATTTCCATGCTTCTGGTCTTCCTTCACTGCCATGACGTCGTACATCGTATACCACACTCGACATGTTCAATGCGGCGCCAGCTCATCAGCTGACGGTACGTGTGCACGACTCGCCCAGTAAGACAGCGGCCAGCGTGCCGTCCCAACCCGACAACCCGGAAAGTTGACCCTAGAGCTAACCACGGCAGCGGTGTGGACGCATTTTGCGACCCGCGTTGTCGCCCTGCTCATCACAATCTGCGTAAGTGCAAACAATCCCCCGAAGCAGACGAAGGGGTACACGACGACCTGGATGGATGCCCCCTTGCCACACAGTAGATTGCTACGAGCCCCATGACATTCAATGTTGACCAGGTTGCTCGGAACAAAGCTTCGGTTCTGCAAGTCGGTCAGCGCTTCTACCGCGGTCTTTGGCTGAGTGCCCCTGCTCTGGGCGCCATACTCGATTCGCTACCAGAAATCACACCCACCTTGAGCGCAACCCTGCATCCAGCGCTACCCTATAGCTAGGTTCCTCACTTACTGCAATGTTTAACGGAAACAGCTGGTGTGTCGCACTTTCCTCGGCCGCTCTTACTTTATCTTTCCTTATGGCTTCTTCGCCTCATTGTTGCAGTACTTGGATAACCGTGGCTGGCACCGTGCATTGCTCTGATTGCTAGTGTCTCGCACAACATACCTACGTTCGATCTTACTACACAGCCAACCACCGGACTCTTGTTGCGACCTGCTGCGCGACAAAGCGGTACCGAAATTGCAGATACAGTGCAACGTTGTATGCCTCGTCTGTACTCTGACCATCTTGGTGCAGCCGCCAGCTTCTCGCATCCACATGCAAGATACTCTTCGCTCCTCATGTCCGTAGTTCAGATCATGCAGCTTGTTCCGGAGACCTCGACCCAAGCTTCCCGGTCTTGGTGAGCTCGCTCGTCGCTCATCCGGCATACGACTACACCTCATATCCCTGCTGATTTATGATACTGGATCCTTCTCTCTGCGGCCTCGCGATTGAATGCAGCGCCGTTGATGAGTTGTGTTTCCGGCCAGGCCTTATGTCAGGATCGCAGCGGCCAGCGCCCCTTCAACCGCCGCTCATAACTGGCACTCAAAAGGACATGGCGCAGGTGCAGCACCCTCTTCCCTTGCCAGCATCCGAGTTCATTGGCCGACCAGAACCTCGCCGCGCCCAGGATTTCACTTTACCAAGCATAAGGTCGGGGCCATCGAATGCATCTGAAAGGCCGATTCTGCCTCCTATCCATCTGCCCTCTTTGCTACCTACGTCTGTGGGAGCGGAGTCTAACGAGCTAAGCTCCAGAGGTACCTTCCGCATCCAAGACCTCCTATCAGGTCGGCCTGCGCCGCCGGACGAGGTTGATCGTCTGAAAAACACTCACGCGGGATGGACCGACCGTGAGCACGCGCATACTCGTTCACGTGACGATTCTAGTCCTCAGCCAAGCCCTCCAAATGCCACACCGGTCCGGCAAACGCAGCGGCAACCCTCTAGACCAGTCTACGATGAGAACAATCTCCAGAAGTCGAGTCGCTCCAGCCGGGCCTCACTTAGCAACTCTGCGCATCACAGCCCAACGGTCACCAGTCACTCACGATCACCCAGTATCTACGGCTCTTCAGCGGTCTCACCGCGCACTTCGGTGCCGCCGGTACTGGCTACTCAGCCTTCGTATCTGCGGTATAGGCTAATAATCCGTCAGCAGCCTGTTGCTGCGCGTGCGTGCGGCTTCGGCGAGCGGGATCGCAGAGTCATCGATCCTCCACCAATTCTACAGCTCGAGATCATCAATGCTGAGACCGGCCAGCCAGAGCAAGATTACAACGCTTTGCTGGCGTTGCATTGTACCCTCATGGCTCCGGATACCGAGCGTGATGATACGGAGGTGCAGCCGACCACGGCGGACTCTCAAGCGACACGCCGGCTGATGGGTACGTTGGTGGCATCCCCGTACCCGGCTAAAGACGAGCACGGTACCGCTGGCACATTCTTCGTCTTTCCAGATCTCAGCTGTCGCTCGCCGGGCAACTACCGGCTCCGTTTCAACCTTCTGCGCATCGATCCTATGGCCATGTTACCTGGCGTATCTTCTCCGAGGGTCGCCGTCGTCACCACCGACATCTTCACCGTCTACACGGCCAAAGACTTTCCAGGTATGCGTGCCAGTAGTGCGTTGCTGAAGGCACTGCGGAGACAGGGCTTGAATGTAGGGGTCAAGAAGGGCTCGGAGGCGCGTAAAGGGAAAGGCAAAGCAAAGAAAGGCGATCCTGCGTCTGACGACGAGAGCAGTAGTGACTCCACAGAGGACGACGAAGCGAGTCCACGATCGAAGCCTAAGAAGAAGGGAAAAAGAAAAAGACGGGACTGTTAGTGCGTGACCGCTTAAAAAGCTACCCACTCACAGTAGCTCTCCCATTCCACCTACCGACGCAGTGCGTGGACAACACATACAGGCCAGCCCATTGTCTGGCGGCGATACAGCAGACTCCTGCATTGTGTAAGGTTACACCGCAGACTTCTCAGCCCACTCACTCTGCTTCTAGCATCAGATCACCTTCCGGACGACGAATGATACCGCTGTCGCGATTCCAGCATAGAGTAAGAGACACGGTACCCATGCATGCTCTACTGCACCATTGCGTTGCGGTTGCAGCGCGTGGGTCGGCGGGAATCTGGAGGAGGCGGCTTTCTGTGTTTGCCTGTCTGGGAAGGCATTTTGGGCGTGCCTGCTCTGCATTCGGTTCGCTACGTCAACATCACTGGTGAGGTTGTATGAGCATATTCGTCACGACTCTCCAACTTGTTCATGACAAACTTCTATGGTAACAACCCATGGAAGATGACCTTTCGGCTGTGGCTCTTTGCGAGCTTGGTTATGGATGCTAGTGCTGTCGAGCTGCCCCACGATTTGGCGGTTGTTGTGCTTTTAGCTTTGAGGATCAGAGGATAAGATGGAATGATACCCCTTCGCGAGTGGCATGCATGTGCAAGCATTAGTAGTATTCGAAGATAGCACGAGTTGACAGACATAATGCTGAGTCAGTCAGAACACTATGTCTCAAGCATTACTTTGTACACGATCAGCTGACTGCTATACGCGTTGGAGCTCTGAACTCAAGTGCGAACTGGCAAAGACCGCTGGTACTCCAATCGCTCGTCTTATTCTCGTCGTCAGAGGAGGAGCAGTGCCCGGCCTGCCAACACCTACCCGCGAAGATTAGGGCCGTAGGTTCAGTACTGACAATAGACACTATTGGCAGCGCTCTTGCCTTATCAGGCCGCCGTACTGATCACGATTCTGCCTTCCGTCTTGCGACAAAGCTTACTCATGCAGCTCATGCTTGCCTTTGGAATCCTCCAATCCCACATACAGATCAACCTTCCATGCCTTTGCAGGGTTGTTGTAGCGATGGTGCGCCTTACCAAGCGCATCGATCTTCGCAAGATCCTTCTTCTTCAGCTCGCACTTGAGGCTTCCGAAGTTCTCTAGAATGCGCTCCTTGTTCTGACTCTTAGGTATGACGGAAGTCCCTCTGGCCATGCCCCAAGCGAGCGCAACCTGGGCTGGCGTACAACCACGCTTGGAAGCGATCTTTGTGATGACTGTGTTGTTGAGAAGCTGGACTGGGTTCCCGGGATCGTATGTCGGGTTTGAGCCCGCCAGCGGAGAGTAAGCGGTTACATGGATACCGTGCTTTTGATGAAGCCCGAGCCACTCATTCTGTTGCAGATAAGGATGCATCTCCATCTGGTGCACACTTGGGGGGTGGCTTGTGTGGTTCAGAAGATCCTTAAGCTGCTCTGGATCGAAGTTGGACACCCCAATGTGCCGAGTCTTGCCTTTCTCGAGCAGAAGGCCCATAGCAGCCCATGTATCGCGGTATTCGACGGAGCGCGAGCCAAGGCTCGACTGAGTGACTGGCCAATGCATGTGGTAGAGGTCGAGATAGCCGACACCGAGCTTCTGGAGTGTTGTGTCGATGGCACTTTCGGGGGCGTTCAAGCCGTGACTAGATAGATCAGCTTCAATGCAGCAAGAGCTGATCTAGGCAGCGTACTGATCATTCCACAACTTGCTCGTCACCCACAGATCCTCCCGACTAAGGCCAGTCTGTGCCAACCCATCAGCAATACCGCGGCCCACCTTGTCTTCGTTGCCATAGGCGGCTGCACAGTCGATGTGTCGGTAGCCAGCTTGGATGGCCCACGAGACCGCTTCGGACACGTTGTCTCCTTTCAGATTCCATGTGCCGTAACCGAGTAGAGGGATATTGTCGAGGGTCAATGGCTCGGCGGTCAGCGCTGTGCTGGGCTCCAAAGGTACCTGAGCCGCAGGATGTTCTTTTGCAAGCACAAAGGCCGCCAATGGCAGCACCTGGATCATCAACTTCATCGTGGATGTTGCGGTAGGAGAGGTGCGGAGAGAGGAGAAATAGATGGAGCGGCACAAGACTTACATGTTGCTACCCGCTACGGTGATGCAATCGATCTGCAGTTGACTGGGGGAGAGGGCAAAGCCACTTCGCGGTTATTGTTCGCCTATGAACTTGAAGCTAATGGGATTCGGTAGCCTGGTCCAGCATTTGCTTAGCGACGCAGACGTGCTTGTCATGTCGAACCTGGTACGTCCGTCAAGCGTGTACAGGGTGAACACTGGAGGCTCGAGGGTTGAAAGGAGCAGCAGAAGGGTACATGTAGCGGGTGAAAGCTGACGCCACAGATGTCGCGCCTATTGTGGCGCTCGCGCTAGTAAACGCGCTGTCGCGCTTTGTTCAGATTTCGAGAGCCGACGGGATTTTATCTTTCCCTCCTTCCCGACCTTTGACCAGGCGTGGGCCACCCCAAAGGTGCAGCAAACAGCATGAAGTACGTTCTCGTATCCGGTGGTGTCATCTCCGGCGTGGGAAAGGGCATCATAGCCTCCTCCGCCGGACTTCTGCTGAAGACCTTGGGTGTCAAAGTCACGAGCATCAAAATCGATCCCTACATCAACGTTGATGCCGGGTTGATGAACCCAAAGGAACATGGCGAGGTCTATGTTCTCGACGACGGGGGAGAGGTTGATCTGGACCTGGGCAACTACGAGCGGTACCTCAACATTACGCTTACCCGAGAGAATAACATCACTCTTGGCAAGGTTTTCATGCAGGTGATTCAGCAGGAGAGGAAGGGTCGTTATCTAGGCAAGACCGTTCAAGTTGTACCTCATGTCACTGGCTGCATCGAAGACTGGATTGAGCGCGTTGCCAAAGTCCCCGTCGATGACACGGGAGTTGAGCCTGATGTATGCATCATCGAACTTGGTGGAACAATCGGCGACATCGAAGGCATGGCCTTTGTTGAAGCCTTAGCCGAGCTGCGACGAAATTGCCCGAGGGACGACTTCATGCAGATTCACGTGTCATATATCCCAGTGGTGCACGGCGAGCAGAAGACAAAGCCAACACAAATGGCAATCAAGGCCGTCAGATCCGCTGGTCTGATTCCAGACTTGATCGCGTGTCGTTGCGAACATCCACTGGAACAAAGCACCATCGACAAGGTTGCTCGGTTCTGCCAAGTCCCCAATCAGTCCGTTCTTGCGGTCCGAGACATGCCTTCTACGTATCAGGTCCCAATTCTACTCGCTGAGCAGCAACTTGTGTCATTGATGACCTCGTACCTACGACTTGATGGACTCAACATCTCACCAGACTTACAGAAGCGAGGAGCACAGGTTTGGGACACGTGGAGGAGCTTAACTCATGACGTCCACCGTCTCATGGAGACCGTCACGATTGTGCTTGTTGGCAAGTACTTAGAGCAACCGGACTCGTACTTATCCGTCATTCGATCTCTCGAGCACGCTGCCATGCGATGCCGGCGAAAGCTGGTGATTAAGTACGTTGATTCTGAGGCACTGGAGCGCAGAGATCAGAAGACAGAGCGGAAGGACATCGAGGAGTGGGATCCTGTCAAATACCACAAGGCTTGGCACGACGTCTGCACTGCAGCTGGAATTCTAGTGCCTGGAGGTTTCGGCAAGCGAGGTATCGAGGGCATGATTGCTGCCGCCAACTGGGCGCGGGAGAACAAGGTTCCCTATCTTGGCATTTGCCTGGGCATGCAAATTGCGGTCGTGGAGTTTGCACGGTCGGTATGCGGTATCCCACTGCCTCAGGCTGCTTCCTCTGAGGTCGAGAAGACCGAGGACGAGGATGAGAACGCAGATGATGACCGAGACAGAGTCATCATCCGCATGCCTGAGCACCATGGGAGCGAAATGGGCGGTACCATGCGCCTCGGGCTTCGCAGCACTGTCTGGCAACCAGACACGGAATGGAGCAAGCTTCGCGCCCTGTACGGCCTGGAGAACGAGTCCATTAACGAGCGGCACCGCCATAGATACGAGGTCAACCCAGCATACATCGAGCAGCTGCAGCGAAAGGGCCTCACCTTCATCGGCAAGGACGAAACAGGTGTTCGGATGGAAGTCATCGAGCTCCGGGACCACCCATGGTTCGTTGGCGTTCAGTTTCATCCCGAGTACCTCAGCCGAGTGCTGCACCCTTCAAAGCCATATCTTGGCTTCATCGCGAGCGCGGCTCGCATGTTGGCTGATATCACATGCGGCGAGAACGGTGCGCCCGTTTCAGCGATATACGAAGAACTCAATGGACACAGGACGAATGGGTTGGTCAACGGCGAGAAAGCGGCGTTTTAACCTCGATATGCTTCCTCGCAACAGGATTATGGCTGGCGTCGGAAGGAGGGAGGCTGATACCACGCGGCGCATTGGATCAAGCTGCGGACTTGGTGTGGCCATTTTCTAAGCATGGAGTTTGCGCTGTGTGTTATTGCGCAGAGGCAGACGATGCCCACGGAGGGGTGGATCTGGAAAGGAGTTGCACGTATAGATCGCCAGCCTTACAGCTTGGTATGTTATGATGAACCTTTGTCAAGCTCATTGTTCACGCAAGGCTCGGGGTAGGAGAAAGGGTGTAAGAGTCAGCAAGTGTGAGATTCAATGGCATAAAGCTCCACGTCACACTCATCGTTCATTTGAAGCCGCCCCACTTCGATAACATGTTGCCGCATGAACCTTCCTTAATGAGCGCACGATCCTCCAGGCCTTATCTTCGCCTCGTTGTGACTAAGTACAGCAGCACTAAAGGTAGGCTACATCATGTCTCGCATGAGACTCTCAGAGAGCTCCTCCAGTTCTTTTTGTGCAATCTGCCAGCGAACATGGAGTCCAGAAGTCGATTGTGGATGACTCTTTCATCAGTCCTGCTGCTGACTGGGCTTCTCGCTTTCTTACTACTCCCCAACCAAGAACAGGTTGTATCATCTATTCGACCTTCCCGGCAAAAGCTGGGCTTTGCCGCCCCGAAGAGTAATGTGTGGGCTGAGATCACAGAAAGTGAAGCGTCAGCCGTCAACGACTTCATCCACGACCGATTCGCTCATCTGAACCTCACCAAGCGGCCCAAAAGCGCCCAGGACAATTTCGTCTTCGTCGTCGAAACCCTCAAGCCAAACAAGACTGATGCTGTAGCGTACTTGTATGACGACGGGCCGGCAGCGCCTGAGAGGTGGGCTAAAGTAGCCATCTCTCAGAACCTTGACGATGGCCCGTACATGGTGTACTATATGGTCGGACCACTTCCGATAAATGAAGATAGCCAGATTCTACCATTAGAGTACGTCTTCAACTCTGGTCGCAACTATGTGCGTAATCCGATCCAGAACTTCGCGGCCATCCAAGACTTCACGATGGCTATGGCGGAAAATGTGTCGGACATTACCCAGGAGCTCCTCGGCGCCACTGTCAATCGAGATGATCCGCAAGATCCTCATGGGCTTATGGCTTTCCCAAGAGGGTCGCGTGTGGATACCGGTGGCCTGGTTCTGTGGATGCAGTTCTACCGACCAGGTATGGGCTCTGGAGCTCGCACTATTCTGCCACAGGGCATTTATGCCAAGGTGGACGCGAGGAGTACTGTCATCGACGACTGGACAGTTGGTGAATGGTACTACAATGGCGTTCTCTACGCAAACGAGAGCGAGTTCCGTGCAGCGCTTGAAGAGCCTGATTTCCAGAGAACGCCGCCTAATATCGACGGCTCATGGTAAGCGATTTGATGTGCAGATCCCCCTCGAGACATAGCTGACCCTCCTACCCAACGGGCTATAGGACAGACACCGAAGACTTTGGCGACTACCCTGACCGTGACCTTCCGCCTCCCGTCTCGGTACAGCCCTACGGTCCGCGCTACAAGCTTGACCGGGAGGAGAACTACGTCTCCTGGTTTGGGTTCGAGTTTTACCTAACGACTGCACAAGCCACCGGAGTAAGCCTCTTTGACATCCGTTTCAATGGACAACGAGTGATGTACGAGCTGGGCTTGCAAGAAGCTATGGCTCATTATGCTGGCGACGATCCAATGCAAGGCGGCTTGGAATTCCTCGACTCGTTCTTCGGCATGGGCAAGAACGCTTTCGAGCTGGTGCCCGGTTACGACTGTCCTGCATATGCTGACTACATCGACAACGAGTATCATCAGGCGTACAAGACGCATCACATCCCCAACAGTGTCTGCATCTTCGAATTCACGGCTGACTACCTGCTCTCCCGGCATACAGCGCAGTACTCCGTCACCGCTTCTCGCAATACGTTCCTGGTTGTAAGATGGGTTTCCACGGTCGGCAATTACGACTACACGATTGAATACAATCTGTTCATGGATGGCACCATTGAGACCAAAGTTCGCGCATCTGGCTTCATCTTCGGAGCCTTCTACACTGCGAACAACACCAAGAGCGAGGACGAGTATGGCCACCGCATTCACGATGCTCTGTCCAGCAGTATGCACGATCATGTCATCAACTTCAAGGCCGATCTCGATGTCGCAGGCGCTACGAATGACATGGTCCGTCTTGCACTGCAGCCGATGACGAGGAAGTACGAGTGGGACCAGCCAGAGCAGCCGGTACGCAACACCATGCATTTGGTAGAGTATCCCGTATGGGAGGAAGCAGGCATCGACTGGCCAAAGAACTCTGGCGAGTTCTACATCGTCTACAGCTCGGAAAGAAATGCTTGGGGCGAGCGCAAAGGCTACAGAATTACATCTGGTACAGGCATGGGCTCTACGCCACATCTCACAATCCTCAACTCCACCACCCTAGGTGATAGCGCACGATGGGCGGAGCATGACTTATGGGTGCTCCAGCGTAAGGACACCGAGCCGAGATCTGCCGACCCTCTCAACTACTTCGCTCCGCACGATCCCCTTATTGACTTTACGAAGATGGCGGATCACGAGAGTCTTGAGCATGGCGCTTCCGATACGGACTATGATGGTGACTTGGTGATCTACTTCAACGTTGGAGCGCACCACGTCCCGCACAGCGGTGACATTCCGAACACGCTCATGCATACTAGCTCGAGCAGTGTCATGTTCGTCCCGCACAACTTCGCTGATCGCGACCCGAGCAGAAAGAGCGTGCAAGGCGTACGCTTGCAATTGAAGGGTAAGACGAGCGGTGGCTTCGCCGGCGAGGTGAGTTTACCCGATAACGACTTGCGGAGTCGCGGAGAAGACGGCAAGACTAAAGCATACTACTTCGGCGCTACGTATGATAAGGGTATCAAGCTGCCGTTGGAAGCCTTCGAGCCCAACATGGCGGGATATGTGAGCAAGGAGCATGCAGTCAGCGATCTCAATTTCAATGGGACTGCCGCCGGGGCGTGGCATAGAGAGGAAGCCTTTGGTGGTTGAGCAAAGACAACAAAGCAAGGCAGGTGGCGATGCATGCTCCCCGATATGAGGGCGGTAACGCTGAACTGGGGCTTGCGAAGCTGAATTCTCATAGTTGGCGTAGCTGTAACCGGACATGGCACGTTGAATGATTCTCCTCAGAGCATGACTTGTCTGTCTCCGAATTCAAGAATTTTACAGACCGTCATTCTGTCACTAGAAAGTAGGTTTGACGTGGATTGGACCTCCCGTGGAAGCTCGGCTGCGGGTTTGTGAGACGAGCTGGTAATATGGTGATAGCCGACAATGGACTCGATGACCGTTGTGTGCTAACCATTGCTGGGGCCGAGGTGTGCAGCCGGTGCGAATAGGTGCACAGATCAGCGCATAGTCGCTCTTGCTGGCGCCGTACAGTCTGCCATAGAGCATCCGGTACCAGGCTTGTGGAATCTCGGCGTTGTTCGGCGATAGAAGCCGCCGCTTCCACAGCAGTGTATTCGAACAAGGACTGCTATCGCTTGATCGATTGACTCTTCAGATGGAAGTCATTACTCGCAGTCAGGAAGGTCCAAGCAACATTCGCGGCCATAAGGTCCAGGTCATGCGTCAAGCCCATGACGGGTCGCGTTGACATATGGGTCGCTTTTGTGACGATTGCTTGAGGCCTACAGAGTATGGAAAGAAGTTATCACAGAATGCGTCGCAGAAGCGCACTGATGTGATGACTGGCAAGTTATGTGCGCCAGAAGCTTCGGCCGGCGTCTGTATATCGTGAGAGTCAAATACAGGCAGACCCAGTATCGGATCGAATCTACGCGCATCGATCTCCAGATGCCGAAACATATTTTGTCACTCATAGCCTCCTGTCGCGGTCTGAGCAGTACAAAGAAGACATTGCGAGAAGCCGTAGTGCATGGACAGAGTTCAGGTTCTGTCTCGATATAATGCTGGTATATGCCTATATACACAGCTAGTAAGCGCTTGGAGAAATCGCAAGCAAACGCTCTTCGGTACTTTGATTAAGGACGATGGAGTCACTCGACTGCTTGTGAGCTGTTTGCAACGAGCGTAGAGGTCAGCAGCAACAAGCTCGTTGTGTTCAAGCACAACCCCGAATCCTCGAGATATCGTAACTCGGCTCGGCTCCGAAAAGCTGTTCCTGCAGCATGCATTAGCGTCGGTCTTAGCTTATACTAGGCAAGGAGGTTGCTGTCTGTCGTGGACTGGTTGCCTTTGATGATGCAGCTGACTACGATACACGCGCACCGTATACCACAACAGCAACGAGGCTCGATGGTAGGATCAGTCAGATGGTGCGCAAGCCTCCTCGCAATGGTACGACGCAAAGCCTTCAGGCTCCCGTGTGCCGCGTTTGTCTGCTCATCACAGCCCTAGAACCATCCATCACCGCATTCAGCATAGCTCGTTCTCCGTAGGACAGCATGGACCTTACATCCGCCCTTCCGCGCTCCTGGAATCAAGCCAGACTACGAGGCCGCCCTCTCTGGACCCCGTCTTGCCCTCTCCTGGCTTTGAGTCAAACACTGGCCCGTCAGGTGATATCGGGTTTCTAGCGCGATCTTCGCATGCAACCACTTTACGCCGCCAATGAGCGCGTCGCGTCCGCCAACGCTACCGCACTATCGCCGCTTTCCTCTCTGACTGATTACTTCCCGTTCGCCTCGCGTTGTCTGGGCTGCCGAGGCGATGCAAAGTCTACCTGCATGACCAGGGTACATGGCTGCCGGTGCTACCCTCCTCGTTCCTATGTGTGATATGGATCGCTGCCTCGGGGCCGTGCGGGTGAATTATAAGTATCCTCTGTCTCCTTCACCTTCTTGACCGTGCCTTTACCGGTGTTGCAATATCCGCCGTGTCATCGCTTTTTATACCACAAAGTGTGGACAGTATGTTCACTACTACCAGCGGCCGAAACAAGTCATACAGGGACAGCTTCTCGCAGCGTGTCAACAAGCCGTTGAATAAGAGACAGCGGTCATTCAAGGAGTACGCTCAAACGAGGAAGATTAACACCCAGCAAGCATCTCCGGCATCGAGCTCGCCAACGAAGAGTCAGGCCACCTCGCCAGTATCCCCGTAAGTACATCGTCTTGCCCATATACTCGGGTCTGGCTGACCCACATGTCCCAGCAACCTCAATTCAGCCATAGTCACGATATGCGTGGGTCCATCACACCGTCTCTTCGCAGCGCATGAAGACGTACTCTCCCGAGCACCGTACTTCGCTCAAGCGTGCCGAGCGCAATTCTTCGAAGCGTCAGGCAAGCGCATCGACCTACCGAATGAGGAGCCTGAAGTCTTCTCCGCAGTGCTAGAATATCTCTACAAAGGCGACTACACCCCAAAGCTCATCTACGACAAAAAGCGGGCAAGCTGGATGCTTGATGATGGTGAAGGTACTGGTGCCGTCAACGCGGAAAGCACGATTTATTGCAACGGCATCGGTGGCTCTGTGCTGAAAGACACCGCGATATATGTACGCTCGCCCTCTCACAACCCTTCTAAATCTCCACAACGTGCTAACACATCACGCAGTGCTCCGCTCACCGATACTCACTGCCAGAGCTCCAACGCCTCGCCCTGAAGAAGCAAGGCCTGCAGTCTGGCGTACAATGCAGCACCATCCTGTCCTCAGCACGCTACGCTTACGCAAACACACCTGCCTCTGACTCGAAGCTACGAGCGCACTACCTCGCCCTCATCATCAGGTCGCGTAACACCTTCAAGCGAAGCGGCACCATGCAGATGGAGATGGAAGCCGGAGGCACGCCGCTGTTCTTCGATCTTTTTGTGGCGATGGTCAATCACCTTGTGAGTTACCACCACTTAGCCCCGTTCGTATTACCAGACCCGCTGACACGGCGTTACGCCTATAGGATGACATCTCTGGTGCCCGCTCGCGCTAGGGAGTTGCCTACCACGTTGCAACGCCTATCCGACAACGGCTGCGCTGGCTCCGCAGCCTGCATTACGTCTCATTTCTGCTCTCAGTCCACTCTCCTACGGATACCCTTCTTGTAAAAGTACTTTCATTGGCTCTTCACTGTCGAATGCAGCACGGCGTTGAGGCGCAGGACGATGGCACTGTATCTCTATCACGCTGGACTGGCGCACACCAGGATACATCACTGCACGTTGTCGATTCTAGTAGACTGTATGTGCGATACCACATGATCTGATTTGGGGAACAAATTGCATGGCACGAACTTTGACGGTCTAGCTACTTGTGGTGATTGCGCGGAGAAGGAAGATCATGCCCTCGTGGTCTTATGGCAGACTGTAGCTGTAGCAGACGAAGACAGTGTTCGACTGCTGGCTTTTACTCATCTTCATCCATCGCTACCATTGTATGTCAAACTGTTTTTGCTGTCGCCTTGGAACGCTATTTTGGCGTCTCTCATGTGATTCCGTAATATGTAGCATATGCTTCGCTCGTTCGCAATCGAAACAGTCGGTGCCATTTGCAAAGGATGTCACACGGTATCTAGCATCTCCTTCCGATGTTGCTATACCATACGAAACGAGGTGCCGTGTATGAGTCACACATGGCTGCAGTGCCTCATAAGCAAGGGTCTCCACAGGGTGTGCGCCCACCTGGCATGTTGGGTACGGCTTGCCATCCGCCACCGGGCATTACAGAGGCCAAGCCAATAAAGCAAGGCAGGCGTGCCGCCGTCTGTGTCGATTGTCGGCATCTGAATTGTGCACGGTGATGGGGTGGAAAGGTCGAAAATACAGTGTCCTCAGGCACTCTTCAGACGCCTGTTCCAGGGAAAGCGCCTGCTTTGCTCAGCACGACGATGCCACGCTCGCGAGCAATGTAGCCCTTGACGAAGTTCTGTTCAATGTCAGCCCTGCACAAAACCTCCAATTAGGACAAGAAAAAGGGGCATGGACCGTGGCGAATGCTGGGGCCTGCCGCGGAAGGCAGCACGACGTAACTAGACAGATGGACGGTTCCGTGCAGCAAGATGCTCTAGCAAGCCGGCAAGACGCACCTTGTAAATCGAGTTGGCGATAAGGCACTCAACCTCATCGTAATCAATACCGCCTGCACCGTCGTCCACTTCCGCGCCCGCCAGCTGCAGCGCTGCCGCAAACTCACGGACCTGAATCCTGGTTCGGCGTCCGGGTGGACCTGCCTCGTTCTCTTTTTGCGGCTCATACCCACCGGCAAGGAAGACTTTGCGAAATAGATTGCGCATGAGGATATCTCTGCCCCGCTCCAGAGTAAGGTAGATCCTCCGCTTCACAAACTCGTCCTCACCTTGGTCCATCGCGGTGGTGAAGGCACGCAGATCTGCCCGTTTGATCGCTACGCAGATGGGAGCGAACAGTCTTCCCAGTGCAGGAGACTGCTGTAGCAGTTCCTGCGTAGGTAGTTGGTGCGAAGTAAGCATTTTAGTTGGGACGAGGTATGTCAGTATGAGATCGATGTTTCGCGTTGCAGATCTCGAGCACATAGCGTATGCACTTGTCAAGAACTCCTCAGCTGCAGCGTAGTCCTCCTCAAGGAATGCGATGACACCCGAATAGTACTTGAACGTGACCTGATGGGCTCGCGGGAAAGCTGACAGCGGAGGCATGTCCGCCGAAGATGCCTTGAGTGAGCGCAGGATGTTCTTCGACAGGGAAATGGAGTTCAGTTTGAAGTACGTTTTGAATAGAAGGTTGGCAATGTAGTAGAGGGCCCACTTGCGTGATTCTTCAATCGGAGAGCTGTGAAAAGACCTACCTTAGCCGAGTCCCACATTATACGTATGGTGCTAACATTAGTACACCTACCGGTCTCCGAGGCAGAGGGCAAATATACGGTTAATCTGGCGCGCAGCGTCTTCGAGCCTCTCGTTTTTACTGGTAGCGCTGAACGCGTCCTCTTCTTGCAACTCGCCAAAAGCAAGCCCACTGTCGCGATGAGAAACCGTACTTTCGTCTGCTTTGATGGCGAATATGCGCAGGTATTTGCCCACGACATACAGACAGGGGATGGTCCAGCTGTCCAGTATGTTATTCGAGTAGCCACGATAGACCGCGTTCAACACTTCCTTCCAGCTGTCATAAACGGCATTCCAGTCGGCGTCCTCTCCTTTGGCGGCATTCTGCGCTTCCTCGGCGGCCAGCAATCTGCCGACGAAGCTGTAGTAAGCGGTGAAAACATCGATCCAGGTGCTTGCCTCCTTCTTATCAAGGCGCAAATCAGGGTTGTACTGGAGCTGGTACCTCAGATCGGTCTGCACGCTATGAGCATTCGTCCATCTTTGGAAGTTATACAGTCTTGCTGAATCAGACGTGGGTGCCTCCGGTGAGATGGTGGAGGCGAGCAGATAGCCATCGAACTTCTGCTGAGCGACGGTGAAGTCGCGCCACAGCGAGTCTACGTTCGTCATGGGCGCGAACAAGCGTCTATACTATGCGAATGCGGATGCGGACATCGACTTCCGGGGTTTTCGACCCGAGTCAGTGTGCACGAAGGAGGTGGTACCGCGGTATGAAACATTGGAAGAAAGCCCCTCAAGCCCTGGCTGAAAGCGGAACCTGTCATTCATCCCAGGGTCTTGGCACCAACCTCCATCCCTCAACAGCGCATGAAGCTTGCAAACTAAAGTGGTAGAGGCCCCCAGCTGTACAACGACGCCTGCTTTCCAAAGCCAGACCACCAACATCACAAATACATGAGGCCACGGACAGGCGAACACTTCTGCACTGCATTCGCGTAGAGCCCCCCGAAGCCGACCACTGGATAGGATATAGGGAGCATCAATGTCATGACATGAGCGCGAGTGAGCAGGATCCCATGATCAGGATATGAGTTGGAACTTGTTGGAGCGTTTCATCGAGTCTGAGCACTTCAACAAGGATCCTTCACTCACTGTAGCATACCTTGCGTGAGCATACCCTTGCCGGCAAGGCGCAAAGGCCCAGTTGTACTGATGCTTGCGCAGTCGGTACGCCGACCATGTCGGCATTCACTACGTCCTCTGCTCGAAGCTACGACAGTTTAGCTATGAGGAGATCGAGTTCTTCCTCCCGCAACTATGCCACCTCCTCATATCCATCGACAACGAGTCGATGGCGCTGGAAGAGTTCATCATAGACTTGTGTGAAGAGTCAGTAAATGGAGCACTGTTGGTACGGCTTCTCGTCCACTGGTGTTTCACACCTTGCGTGACTGACGGCGAGCTTGCTAGACCTTCTGGCTCTTCCAAACCTACCTCCACGACCTCGCAGCTCAGCCCGCGGCCAATGTCTTTCAAACCTGCCGTAGGGTCTACAATAGGGTGCAAAGGATAGTGTTTGGAGGTGGGGAGCCATTGCGAAGAGAGAAGATCCAGGAGAATGTACTGCCAGTGACTGTACTCTCAAGCCTCGTGCTGGCCAGTGTAGGTCTTCCTCTACTACCACACCATGCCGGACCGCTGGCAATAGCTCAGGCGAGGAGGCCGCGGCCAATTGAGGAAATCATATCTGAGGCCGCTCCAGAAACGCAAACGCTCGGCCGAAGTGCCACAGTTACTGGGAGCACGAGCACCGTGAGGAACGTGCGACCGAGCTCCAGCGGGTCGAAAGACCCAAGACCACGACGAGCAAAGCGGCCGTCAGCGGTCAACACCAATGGCATTGAGACATCACGTACGCAGCCAAGCTCGCCACGCACGGAAGGTAGAAAGGTTTCGTCAAGTCGGCAGTCGTTAGCTGTGACTCGGAACCATGAAGCTTTCGTTAGCTCATCGTCACTACCAGATCAGCGCACACCGAGCACACCTGTTCAGAATGTGCCTCCATCGCCGGGCGTGCCTCGACGACCGCCTGAGATGGCACGTCGGCACTCGCACGCCCTGCGGCCTACAACGCCTTCAGCCATGACTAAATCGCAAAAGGTGCGCATGTTGCGGCAGAATTACTTCAGGAGTCAGACACAGCTTTTAGCCGCGCTCGAAGGCATTTCTTCACGCCTTGTCTCAGTTCCGAAGCCCGCAAGACTAAGCGCATTGAGAGCAGAGCTGGCGCTTATAGCTCAGGACATACCGGCCGAAGTGGACATCCCACTTATCTGCCCAGCGACTCTGGTAGACGGCATACCAAGTCGGAGTCGGCATCACCGCATCGTCAGGCTGAATCCAGCAGAAGCCACGAGTCTTAACAGTGCGCAGAAGGTGCCATACCTGCTCATGCTGGAAGTGCTGCGTGAGGACTTTGACTTCGATCCCGAAAGTGAGCAGAACCTGCAGCTGCTGTCGAACTTACTTGCAGAGAAAGGCAAGCCTAGGCGGCGACTCTTCGACACCTCGGACGCAGCCCGACAAGCTGCCATGCAGTCACGGTTATCCGAGGCACCCAGCGACAGTGTGCTTGAGCCTTCAAATGGCGACTTGTCCAGCCCAGCGTTGCTTCAAGATGTCGACGGCGAGCCTTCCAAATCGACCGGTAGTCCGAACATACCAGCCATCAAGGAGCCTCCTCGACTATCTAGCGGTGTCAGTACGCTGTCATCTATGGCTAGTCTACCGACACCACGCACCTCAGAAGGCCCGATCAGTCGCTCTGGAAGTCCCAGTCTGCGAGGCTCGCCATATATGAAGCCACAGAACCCGACGCAGCCCGACATATCTGCCTTGGCAGACCACATGCGCACAGCCTCGCAGATGTTGAATCAGCTCGAGCTCAGCACGTCCAAGCGACCAAAGACTGAAGTAGCGGCCATCAAAGCTAAGATCATTGCCAGTATGCAGTCTCTCGAGGAGCAGAGCTTCCTCAACGAAGACGTTCTAGGTGCACCGAGCTTCGACACCATCATGGCACGCGCCAGTGCCGCAGCAGCCCGCACCGAAGCTGAAGACATTGAGAGCGAGGATGTACAGGCTCCGACAGACCCAGACATCAACACTGGCAAAGGTGCCGCCCGCATGGAGAACGATGCTATGACTGGCGGCATTCAGCGTAAAGTCGGTGACCGAGATGACCCGTCCGCCGCAACCTTTGGCGAGGCTTGGGAAGTCAAGAAGGAGCGCATCCGCCGCTCTTCGCCCTACGGTTGGGTCAAGAACTGGGATCTCATCTCCGTAATCGTGAAAACCGGCGACGACCTACGGCAAGAGGCATTCGCATGCCAGCTGATCGCCGTCTGCTCCAAGATCTTCGCCGAGCACAATGTCGAAGTGTGGGTGAAGAACATGCGCATGCTAGTCACGGGCGAGACATCCGGCCTCATCGAAACCATCACCAACGCCGTCTCGCTCCACTCCCTCAAGCGCTCCATCACCCTCGCCACCATCGCCGCAGGCACGAACCCCAAAAAGCGCATCGCCACGCTGTCCGACCACTACACCAAAACCTTCGGCGCCGTTGACTCACCCGCCTACCAAAAAGCCATCGACTGCTTCACCCGCAGTCTGGCCGCTTACAGCATCATCTCGTACATCCTGCAGCTAAAGGACCGGCATAATGGCAACATTCTAATCGACTCCGACGGGCACTGCATCCACATCGACTTCGGCTTCATGCTCTCCAATTCCCCCGGCAACATGGGTTTCGAGGCCGCGCCATTCAAGCTCACGCTCGAGTACGTCGAGTTACTCGGCGGGCCGGAGGGAGTGCATTATGCACGGTTTAAAGAATTGTTGAAGGATGCGTTTCAGGCGCTACGAAGAGAAGCGGAACGGATCGTCACGCTCGTTGAGCTTATGGGAAGGGAAAGCAAGATGCCATGTTATGGCGGCGGGTTGGTGAATGTGGTGGCCGCGCTGCGGGCGAGGTTTGTGTTGGAGAAGAGCAAGGAGGAGGCGAGGGAGTGGGTGGAGGATTTGGTGACGAAGAGTTTCGGGTCGTATTACACGCGGCTTTACGATACTTATCAGTATCGCACGCAGGGGATTTATTAGACGCGGTAGAGCGGGTGGCGTATGCTGGCGTTTGGAAAGGCGCGAAAATTGTGGCCCTTCGATAGATCGAGTCCAGGCGAAGTGCTTGGTTATAGGGTAGAATTGACTGCGAGGGCACGATCCTGCTTCGCGCGTCGACTTCAACGCTTCGAACACTCCTATCATCGCTACAACAGTCGGTCACACCTCCACATAATTAGCAGGAAAACTTCCCACCCGCCCCCTCAACTCCCCCTCCCACCAATCATCCACGCTATCCGTCTTCTTGACCACTTTAATCCGATCCCCCTCCCTAAACGCCAAATCGCCCTCATTCTGCCCCTCGAAATCATACACGGCAGTCACGTACGTCGCCTGACTACTCTGTATCCGTTTGATCGGGATAGGCGGTGCGGGTTTCTTTTTGCCTGCACCGACCGCTGCCGCGGCCGAGGCGAGACTGGATTGCGAGAAGCTTCGGTTCTGCTCCGGGCGAGAAGAGGTTGCTGCGAAGTAATCTGGTGCGGGGGAGGTGGTGGTGGTGGTCGTGGTGGGAGAGTTGCCGTTGACGGGGGTGGCGTAGCGGGAGGGTGGGGAGATGTTGCCGGGGGATTGGTCGTAGGCGGGTGGTGGAGGTGGATTGTTGGGCCAGGATGGGGTGAGGGCGGTTGGGTTTTGGTCGTAGGGCGCTAGGTTTGGCGAGGTGACGGAGGGGATGCGTGGTTTGTGGGCGGGGATGGTCGGACTGGTTGCGGTTCCCGGTCGGGGTGGTTTCGGCGGCGCCATTTCTTCCGGCTCGTCGTGGAGACCGTTGAACGTCAGAGATTTGCCGCTCATGCCGGACGGCGTTCTTGCGCCGATGGTTGGTTTCGTGGTCGGCACGGCCGGCGCGCTGCCTTTCCGTCCCATCGCTGCCAGGCCGCCGACCTTACCTCTGAGGCCCAGTCCGGTCACGGTACTCTTTTCCGGTGGTAGCGCCATACCCATCTGCACCGCCTTACCGCTGGCGATGATGCTGATACCTTGCTCTAATTCCTGTCGAAAGCCGTCGAACTCCTGTTGCCACACCCGCACAATCTCCGCGTCACTTGGGGCTGGATTCGGCATGTGGTGCGCTCGTGTATACTTGTCCAAGACGGTGTACACTTGTCCGGAGAGTGTCGTTTGTAACATTAGCTGGTTGGTGAGCAGGTACGGCACCAGACTCAGTATCGCGGCCGTGATGGGTGGGAAGGCCTCCTTGACCTGCTCGTCGGCGGTCTCATAGTCGATCTGGGCCTGCGCGAGGTTCTGCTCGTGGGCAGCAAGCGCCGCCTCCTCCTTCACCGTCCGCGTCTCCTTCCTCCGCGCGTGCTCGGTGCGACTCAAGTAGCGTTCGTAGTCGAGCTTGGTGTTTTCGCGATGCTTGAGCGTCTTGTGCAGCTGCTTGGTGCTTTGCTTCGCCTGTTCGGCGGGACGGAGCAGCTTGTTGTCGATCATTGTAATTTCCTGTTGTAAGTCGGTCTTGAGCTCCGAATAGAGCTTCTGCAAACCGAGACATTTCTGCATGTAGTTGCTCGGGGTGACGGCGGGTTGGTGGTGCATGTCGGGTGAGGATGTGGGTTCGATGGGCTTGTAGAGCGATGCGAATGCCTCGGAGCAGTCATACTGCAGCTTCAGTACATCCTCCCAGCCGTTGCGCCACGATTTGATGTCTTGTATGAGCTAGCGATCGTGTCAGTCGTCGTCGTGTTGTGCATGGTAAACCGCCTGACTAAGGGAGGCGCACTCTGTCCAACATGTCGTCCGCTGCCTTGAACTCGGCCAGTACCGTTCCAACGTCTGCCTGGTCCTCCGAGCGCTTCATCAACCCTCCAAACTTCCGTTGCATTGACTTCATCTTGGCGGACTATCTCTCGTTTATCCGGCTATGTGATGTTGCAAATTTATACTCGGGCAAGCAGAAGGAGTAGCTGATGCTTGGCTCTTGACGGACAGATGGAGCAGCAATAGAGTAAGGAAGGGGAGAGATTCAGGAAGTGGTATACTTTGGCCAATTAGTGTTGCCATATCTCATATATATGTATATATATGTACGAGACGTGGTGGAGTCCAATTGATGCATCGCAGCAGCAGCAGCAGCAGCAGTCGAGGCGGGGCTAAATGGCTGTAACCGTAACACGTGCGAGCTAACAAACGTAACGCGGCGTCTTCGGCTCGGCTTCCGCTGTGCTAGGGCACCTTTACATGTACCGTAGTTCTGCTTGGAAGCTTCATACATGTAGTTGTAGCAGCAAGTACTCCCTCCGTACATGTAGCTGCCATTGCCATTGCCAGTGCGTGTTGTGATGATGGAGGGACTTTGATCTGGGAGACACACTCGCACAAGGGATCCATCCGAGGACGGTTACGGGTCGTCATGGCAGAGACCACGCCCCTCCTGCCCACACACTCGCAAGATCGAGCCATCAAACCCCCCAGACCTTCACGCAGCGTCACCTTCAACCCTCAGGTATCTACTTCCAGCCCACCGAAGCGGAATCGGCCAGCGTTTCCAACAGCCACCGCCCAGTCTACGGGCTCAATAGCAGGGGCCGGGACGGTGTCGAACCCGCCCCGAGATGGCACGCAACCCATGCTGTCGGCCCTCAACAGCAAGCTTCGACGACGGAACAGTAGTGGTGCACCTTTGCAGCTACCCGCTCAACTTCCGGCGAACAAGATCGGCCCGCAAAGAACGACGAGGACTGCGCAGAAGCTCAAGCTGTTGCCTAATCCAGAGCATGGCGACGAAGGACCGGATGAGGAGAGCGGGCGGGATGTGTATAGTCAATTCACCCGCATTAAGGACCCCACCGCTCGACGAGATGCTGCGAGGCTGGGCAAGGATGACCGAGCGAAGCTGCCGCGCGTGACGGCTTACTGCACGGCGAGCAGCTACAAAATGGACGATCTCATGCGCTTCCTGAAAGGCAGAGCGAACACGAGGGGCGCGGCACCGAAGCTATTCGACGAATGCATATATTCCCCTTACCGGTACAGGCAGGAAGGAAGCGAGTCGGACCACCGGAGAAGCAGCGGCTTCGCAGAGCAAGAGGATGCGGATCCCGTTGAGGTGCGCAGTCAGCCCGTTCGGCGCTTTTCTGACTCGGCGCTGGAGGTGGAGGAGAATGCGGAGCGAAGACGGGAGGATCTGATCGACATGCAAGAAGACACTCAAGTGTCTTCGGGGCATGCGCTGGAGCGAACGGACTCCGACTTACAGCCACAACCGAGCCACGTAGCCTCGACGGACGATGTACCTCTAGCGGTCGGGCACGAAACGACCATGACCAGACCAATAACACCCGACTTCGACACCACCGTCCACATCCCCGAGACCTTCCTGTTCGAGTACGGCGTCGTGGTGATCTGGGGCATGACGTTCAAAGAAGAACAGCGCTTCCTCAAAGACATTGCCAAGTTCGAGCAGGAGAAGCTGGGCAAGGACGACATCCAAACGGAAGAATTCAACTTCTACTACACCCGCGAGTACCAAGCGCGGATCTACAACGACTTTATCAGCCTGAAGGTCAAGCGGGATTACATGACGAAACTCGCCATCAGCCACGCGTTGGCGCAGAGTACGAAAGTAAGTCACTCCGCACGACCCATCCAATATCGATGTTATCTACTGACGATGTTGCACAGACCAGCCTCTACGAAGACCTGCTAGACGCCACCATCAGCACCACGCAAACCATCCCCGCCACCATCGCCCGCACCGGCCGCATCAACCTCACGCGCAAGCAAATCAACATGCAGATCGGCGAGCTCTTCATCCTGCGCATCAACATCCACCTCCAGGGCTCCGTGCTGGACGCGCCCGAGTTGATGTGGGCGGAGCCGCAGTTGGAGCCGGTGTACAATGCCGTGCGCAGCTATCTGGAGATGGATCAGCGGGTGGAGTTGATGCAGGAGCGGGTGAGTGTGGTCGGGGATTTGTTGGCGGTGTTGAAGGATCAGTTGAGTCACACGCATGGTGAGTCCCCTCGCTTTTCGCTTTTCGCTTTCCGTTCGTCCTGGATGGGTCTTCGCTGTTTGATGAGGGGAGTGGGTGCTAATGAGTTCGCAGGCGAATACCTGGAGTGGATCGTCATTGTCCTCATTGCCGCCGAGATCCTCGTTGCGGCAATCAATATCGTCGTGGATCTTTACGCTGAGGGTGATTGAATGGGAAAGCTCGATAGTGTACAGTAACATTGTCGGGCAATATGAGCGATGGCGCTGGTGGCGTTTACGTGGTTTGGTATATACCTCCTCTATCGCATGGAATACCAAGTGGATCCTGGATCCCGCCGGTATGAAAGTCAAATTTTCCCGGCCATCGCATAAGTTGCAACAACCGGACTTCTCCACAAGACGCGTATGGTTACAAGACCTCTACCAAGCCAATGGTAAGTACACTGTCCAGCATATACAAGAGGTAGCTGCCTTGCCTCGCCTCCCAACGCCATGCTTCCGTGCTGTCGTTGCACATCGCGCAGAGAATAGAAAGGGGAAATCAAACAATAGCACTCCGCTCAGTCAAAGCCACCGGGCATACGACCGCTCTCTTCACTCGTGCGCTTGCGGATCTGCTCCACTCTCGCCCAAGGATTTCGCAAGTCGTTGTCATCGTCATCGTCGTCATTCAGTTTTACATCATCCATTTGCGACTTCACGGCGTCTATATGTGCAGTGGGGGTGGTTGGTCTGGTTTCTTCTTGGGTGCTGTGTTCAGGCTCCGGAAGTGCGGTCGCAGCCGGCTGGGGAACGACCTCCGTTACCACGTTGACGACGGTGTGGTCGGCCGTGGTCTCAGCAACGTGCTCCGTGGCGGTCTCAGTGGCGTGCTCCGTCGTGATCTCAGAGATGGGCTTAGCCTCGCTAGTGGTGCCTGTAGAGGCATCGATGACCAGTGGTCCCGACCTTCCTGGGTTCCGCGGCGGTAGCATGGGCGGTGGCCCACGCTTCGGCACCGTGACTAGTCGTGCTTTCGAGACCGCTTGCGGCGATGTAGGCTGTATCGCTTGAATGGTCTGGATGGAGTGCACAACGGGCTCTTCAATATGCGCATCTTCCTCGTGTTCGTCCTCACGCGAGTCCTCCTCCGGCAAAGCAGGAGGAGTATGCGGCGGCGTCGTGTAACCGATCGCGCGCGCGGTCTCTGCCCTGGCCTTGCGGCTCGGTGAAGTGTCGAGGATGTCGTTCTCTGGCACCTCCTGCATGTGCGCGTGATGGCCGTTGGCGAAGCTCGTGCGGCTGCTTCGTCTGCTCATTTCGCTGCGTGCATCCCATCTGACGGGACTTGACGGTTCGCCGAAGTCGGTCTGTGTGGACATGTCGCTCATGAGCCCGGACTTCGAAGTCGGCGTATCCACACTATTGCGCAAACTGCTGGGCGTCTTCGGCTCGTTCGAGAAAGCGCTTGTCCGCCAGCTGTTGTGTCTGCTTACGGAAGTCGTTGCGTCCTGACTGTGGCGATTGTAGATTTGATGCACCGGGCTGGTCGGTGCCGGATTGAAGCTGAACTGTTCCCAGCTCGCGCGCTTGTGGGTACCTGCTTCTTTTAAGCCCATGCCTTCTTTCTCGAGGGCTAGAACACCGTACGGATCCGGGTCCTCCTTGTCCGGCACGCCGAACACGGTACCGTCTTCGACCTCGAAGTCACCCGGCGGCGGTTCCGTGGGTAGAGCGGTGGAGTCGAAGTCACGATCGCCTTGTGCAGCCTTGATGGTCTGCCACAACGTTCTGAGCTCGTACGGCGGGTGTCTGACTTTGCCGGCCAGGATGTCCTTGACAGGGTACTTGTACCCGTAAAAGCGCTCGTTCTCGTCCATCCGCTCAAGGATGATCGTCCCGTCGATCTGGACGCCTGCATAGAAGCCTCGGCTCTTCATGTAGGTGAAGATCGGGGCTTGTCGCTTGTGGAGCTCTGTGTCGAGGATGCCACCTGCGCCAATCGGTCCTGCCGCGACGCTGATCTCGCTGCCCAGGGTGCACCGCAGCCTTGTGAAGCCCTCCATCGCTTGCTCGGTATTGATGACTACGACGCAATCGTAGATATCGATACCGACCAGGAAACCTAGACCTGCGGTATGCAGCAGGATGCCTGAAGGTGGACTCCATGATCCATCTGGCAGGCGCGCGATGATGATACCAGACCCACCAGCTCCTGACATCCATAGACCTGAGCGCATGGTGGTGAAGATGGCCAAACCTTTTGCATTTTGGATCACCTTTGCGGGAATTTTCTTAAGCACCTTTTGCTTCTGCTTCGGTCCATCCACGGGCTGCCGCTCCTCTTCGGCGTAGAAGCCATCCGCTACACAACATTAGCCTCTGTAGCAGTCGTACGGGGGTTGCGACGGCCGACGTACTGCAGAAACTCTTCAATATCCGTGCTGCCTTGTCGCTCTCCTTGTCCAACGTCGTCGGCCAGAACGCTTCGCTTCCTACGATATTGGAACGACGGTCAGTAGTCGTTCGTGCAGCGAAGTAATGCTTCATGCTCACCAAGCTTGTTCGTCAGCTTATTCACCGGCGCTCCGACCTTGTCTACAACCTTCCAAGTCGCATCTCCCACCACTTTCCCGCCAGCCTTGACCTTCTCCCACCAAGATGACTGAGACATTGTCGCAGGACCCCTTGCGTCCTCACATCAGCCTTGTCGCATCAACACCCGCTGGAACGGTGTTTCTGAAGTGGAGCTGAGGGAAGTCAGGCCGTTCAACGCATGTATGATCGACACGAGCTTAGCGCGTGTACCTGACAGCGGTGGAGGTATTTAAGACTCCCTTCACTCCACCGTGAGGCGGCGCGCCGGCAGCCTGCGGCTCGTCTGCTTCGCAAGCAATTGCAGATCGCTAACGACGCCGAAGCGTGACGCAATTGGCTGACTGAGAAACAAGGTGTTTTCTTCAGCGTTACGCGCAGCCCGACTGTATACGACCTTTGCCGTGCATCTCTGTCACGTCAAGCGTTCTTGACTTCCCTGGCTGACATTGCAACAACAGCACACTTACTCACTATCGTCACAGCACCGCCCTACTGACGCTCAGGTTTCAGCTGAAGGATGCGCCGGTGAAAGTTCGCCCCATGTGGCTTGCGCCGAGAGGAGCCGGGGGGACCGAATACGCGTTCATACTTTGTCCGCGTCCGATGAGTCTATCAGGACATCCGAGTGCCATTACCGCGTGCAATGTCTCAGCAAAAACTCCGCTGGATTGGCCATTGAACGGCTCCGTGGAGCACGTGTCACTACATAGGCTTCTTCTTCTATCTCGGGTGTTGACGCCATGACTAGTCGAGGATAAGAATGGCAAGCCTGGACGTTAGGGTTGTGTCCGGCCACTCGTTGCCAACTCACCCTTGGTGGCTTGATCTACACCAAACCATCATTACCGCCTACAAACGGAAAGACATCCAGGCTTTCCCATTGTCGTGGACTAGGCTCCCTTCCAACCCTGCGCACGGAGCGGAAGGTCTCGCTACAGAGCTCGGTCCTCACGGTGACATCGTTGTCGTCTTTGAGGATGGTAAGCCGATAGCGTGTAGTGGAGTTCTGCCCTTTCGCGGCGAGAACTGGATGAGCGGCGTCGATGACAGGGACAGCGAAGCGGCAGTGGCTAAGGGGGAGATCACCAAGCCGACCTTGGAGCCACAGCCCAAGTAAGTCTGTCCATGGTCTCATCGAAGACTGGGAGATATGCTGTTTCTGCGTACATCCATCTCAACGTGGCCGCGGTCTTGCTGGTTTACTCGTGGCCAGACTCATCGCTCATATCAAGCCTGAAGGCGGCAAGAGGCTAATAGCGAACTACTCGATCGAGGAAACGGGTAACTTCTGGCCAAAGATGGGTTTTACCGTACCTGTCGGATCTGGTAGTGTCCTTAAGAAAGGTTTCACGCACACCCCTGGTACAGAGGGGTTGAAGGAAGACCTACACTTCCGCATGGGAGCCAAAGTTTGGGGTTGACTAATGTCGTCGCGCTGTCTGCTGATTGCGGAAGTCTTTGCGTAGCACTGCATCATGTGGTTTTACCCTTCCCAAAGGTAAGCGGACGCAAGATCCCTCTTCCACCTGTACACCTTGATGACTCAAGCTGGGGCCATCTTATTGCTCAGCCGTACCCTGGTTCAGCATGATTACAAGCCAGCCATCTTTACTCTTCTCCATCCCATCTGACACATACTGTTCTAACCCTCCGTGTTGCGACTGCCCACGGCCGGAAACTGTACTAACCGCGCTTGGCGACTTGATAGCAACTTTCGTGTATCGCAGAACGCTTACCACAGGCTGAACCAATGCACCAACGAGCCAAGCAAGCGGACTTCAGGACGGAATCGGACAGTCTGGCAGGCAGAGCGCCGAGTTAGCCGGAAGGTCAGTCTGCGCAGACTTTCTGACACCCATTTTGGCGAGCGGGCTATTCAACTGCGGATATGGTGTTGTCAGCGGTCAGCCATTAATGACGATGGCCTAAGCCTGCGTTTTAACCCACTACATTATCCCAGTCGTGGAACATCTGGACCATCGATTCGGAAATCTGTACTTCTCGAAGCCCACGTGGCCGCATCTCTTCATCATAAGCATTCACCGCGGCTTGCCAAGCTTGAGGGCACTGCTCTGCATTCGACAGTAGCTGCGTCAACAATGCGGCATCCTCAAACGCCGCGTTAAGACCTAAAGCTCGATGGGTGAGAGGATCAGCTGCGCTCAAAACGATCGCGGAGGACTTATACGTCGCTCTGCTTACCCTGGCCTCGGTGGGGTGACATCGCGTGTGCAGCGTCTCCAGCAAGTGTCACTCTGCCGGCTAACGATGAGTCGGACCATCTGATCGGCTTCCAGATCGAGACTGTGTCAATGTCGAGATTGGCATTCTCTGGTAGGCTCTTAAAAACGGTCTTCCATGGCTCTGCAAAAGCATCTGCTTGGCTTCTGAAGTATGATGACCTCAGCTCTTGTGTCTTAAGATCACTGGGTGTCGGTGCGCCTCTCCAAACCAGCAAATTTTGAAAGGTCCAGGTTTCAGGCCGTTCCAGATCCGGTACTTCCTGTGTGCTAAGCCAGAAGAAGGAGCGGTTAGGGTGGACACTGTTAAAGAAGACCGGATGATTCTCCCAGAGCATACGTGCCGTGTCGGCATCGTACCGCGCTATGAAATTGAACATGTAGACGTCAAGCAGCTTCGCCGTAGCCGCTTCCTCGCCCAGCAGCTGAGCACGCACTCGGGAGTGAGCTCCATCGCAGCCGACAATCAGGTCAGCCTCGATGTGATCGCCGTCTTCGAAACTAGCAACGACATTTGAATCGGTCTTCACTATCGACCTAAGCAATTTGCCAAACTATGCTCCATCAGCGTCGCATATACGCAGCACAGATTGGAGTACAAACTCTGATGTCTATACCCTCGCTAAGCAGCATTCGCAACTTCCGCCTGCTTACCCGTACAGCATCCGTCACGGGCGTCCTGAACAGGACTTCGCCCGTGTGACCGGCATAGTGTACAAGTTCTTCCGAGTCCCGCCCGCGATGAGGATTGCAGACTGCCTCGTGTATGCGTTGACGCAGGTCCGGCGACAGCATCTGGCGGAGAAGCTTGTGGCCCCAATGGAGCGTCATGCCCCAGTCTCGCGGTCGGCCATGGTACCGCTCATGGCTGTCTCGTTCGCATACAGTGACTCTGATACCGGCCTTTCAATTTGTTAGGTGACCGTTTGCGGGAAGAAGAGGACTACGTACCTGCTTCAGACCTTGCGCTAGGAGCAGACCTGTAGAGCCCGCACCTATTATCAGGACGTTCATCATGTTGCGAAGTGAGAAAAGAGAGGAACCAACAGCGATAGTATGTTTGACAAATTTGCACTTTTGATGATAAATATCTACCTGCTGCTCGGTTACATGAAGGCTCGCTTTTTGAACCCTAAGCTGTTTACCAGGCAGGTCCATTCTTTGATCCCGCAGTCGAAAGTACCGTCGCTAGCGAGAGAATCCACATCTAACCGAGCATGCAGGACGGTATGTAGTGAAAGTTGGGTTCCACAAGCTCGAGCTGCAAGCCACCTGCGTCGTTCTTGGGCAGCTGCATCTTCAATGGCACACATTGGGTGTCCATGATATTGCTGGTTGTCAAACTCACATGCGTTAGAAGTGTCACTGAGAGACTCCTGGAACTATATGAGCACTGGTTTCAGTGGGACTGTATTGCTAACGAGTTACGTCTTGGATGACACAAGTCCGCCTGATCCTCACATCGAACGTAGCAGACTCTGCGTCACTGCTGATAGACACCACATGGGCGAACATCATCAGTGAGACTTTGTAAACTCATGTCGCATCCTTGTTAGAGATGCGTCACAGCTTCGATATCCGCTCCCTCTCACCCACCGCTTGCTCTCGCAGCACGCGCTTCAAGATCTTGCCGCTGGCTGTCTTGGGTATGACATCCACGAACCTTACACCGCCCACAAGTCGCTTGTACGGCGCCAGCCTCTCCTCCATCCACCCACGAACGTGAGACTCGCTCAAGTCCTTGCCTTCTCGCAGAACAACGTACGCCCGTGGGAGCTCGGACGCACCATCGTTCGATTTCACGCCGATGACTGCGGTGTCCAGTATGGCGGGATGTGACAGCAACACGCCCTGTGGGATGGTACGGCAGTCAGCAATATTCTGGACGGCTCGAGACGGCAATGTCCGCCCGCGACGTACCTCCAGCTCGTTCGGCGCAACTTGGAAGCCTCGAACCTTGATAAGCTCTTTCTTCCGGTCTACAATGTACCACAGACCAGTAGATCCATTACAGTATAGTATGTCGCCGGTATGGAAGTAGCCGTCCTTGTCCCAGTCACGGCTATTGGCTTCAGGGTTGTCAAGGTATCCTCTGATCACGGTAGGCCCGCGAATGCACAGCTCGCCTCGGACATCGTACGTCGGCAACTCTTTGTCTGGATTCTCTGGGTCGACGAGTTTGACGTCTAGATTCGGCAAGAACCGGCCTACACTTCCCGTGTCGTCGTCCTCGGGTGGGATGAAAAGGCAAGCCAAACAGGACGTCTCACTCATTGCCCACCCCTGAATGCAGGTCGCACCGGGCGGAAGGTAGGCTCGAAGTTCGTTCTGCGTGTTCTTGTCTAGCGGCGCAGCACCAGTGCCAATTGTACGGACACTCCTCAGGGCCTGCCTTACCTCGTTTCCGTGTGTCTTGGCGTAGTTGAGGAGAGCGCTGAAGATGGGCGGGACAAGGATTTGCCAAGTCACTGCGAACCGTTCCATCGAAGTCAGAAAAAGTGACAAGTCGAATCGTCGCATCACGTAAGACGGAAATCCGGACCGTAGCGTGGTGGTGTGGACATAGGTCGCATTTGCCGCGTGAAAGAAGGGCAGACAGGTGATCATGCTGACCGGAAAAGGCCAGGGCCTGAACAGATTCTCGTAGAGGATGGTGTGTTGTGCGATGAGGTTGTAGTGAGACACTTGAGCGGCCTTGGGGAGGCCAGTGGTTCCTTTACAACAGTAAGATGTCATCGCCGGCGCCATCTCGCACAGTATGCGATCTTCAATCACGACCGTGTCACGTACCTGACGAGAAAAGCAGCATAGCTGTAGTGCTCTTGGCTGTAGCCATGTCGTCGAAAGACACCCAGTATGCCTCTCCATGATTGAGCAGAGTTTCCCAGTGCGGCAATTCCGGAACGCGGCGGCCGCTTTGCGCATCAAAGAGGAAGACGTTTCTCACTCCAAGGTCGGTAGCGGGATCCCTGATGGTCGCAAGGAGCTCGGGCTCTGCGATGACGAATCTGGCTTTGGATAACTTGAGCGTATGGTGCAACTCGAACGAGGTGTAGCTAGGGTTGGTGCCGACCCAAACGCCACCTGCGCCAATGATGCCTTGGACGAGGATAGGATAGTAGAGCTGCGGACGGGTCGGTCAGCCCATGGCGCGACAGCCTTGCAGGAAGAGGACGAAAGATTTGCATTATTGAAAGCATGTATGCAAACGCAATCGCCTGGCTGTAGTCCTGCATGCTGGAATCCTGCTACAAGCTTGCGGATGAGACTCCACGCCTCAGCAGCAGAAATTCTGCGGTCTGGATTGGTACAGTCGACATAGATCTACTCTGTTGTAAGCACTTGCCCCTCATGTCGGTTCGCTGCTACCAACATACTGGCCTATCTTGATTGTAGGCGTGGCGATTATTCCAGGACCACGTCAAGAGGTCCGTCGTCGGTATGGTTGCGTGCTGGGTCGCTAATAGAGGCATTCTGAAAGACTGCACACGGAACACGAAAGTGGACAGTAGAGAAGTGGAAGGAGCATGCACACTGAAGCTAAGTAGAAGATGGCATATACCTGCCTTGCCTATTTGATTACTTTGCTTCAAGGATTGGCTGGTCTGACGCTGCGGTTGATCGGGAAGGCAAAGTTTCGAGTACAATCTTAGACGCACCGAAGAGCCTGATTCTGGTACGGCGGGACCGCTTTCATCAGCAAGCCAACGAAGTGGTTACCCTTTATGCGAGCCTTATCGTCAGATGCTTAAGCGTCTGAGGCTAGACGATTCCGTATAATGCTGGCGTGCAGAGCACGGAGGGGCCGGGTTGGTGTACGTAAGTGTGGAGGTGTATTAACGGCAACGCGGAAGAGATCACGTTTCATCACTCGCAGGTCCCACTGTATTCGCAAGGTGTGTTGTTGCTGTTGGATGTTCGGTCTCGGGAACGGCGTCCTTATACGACAGTGCACGGTCGTAATGGTTGTATGGACGGGGAACGCCGCGTCCCACGTGCACCTCGCGCTAGCGGCGCGTCAAAGCTTCGATCGCAAGTGAATGAAGCTTTGGCAGTAGTGGTGTGGTGGTAGTGCTGCCATCAACAGACTGCAATCTCGCCATACCTACAGAAAGGTTCGCGTAAGCCCGCGTCAGCATGTCATTACGCTTCAAGAGTACCAGAGACAGTCCTAGCACGCCCAACCGCAAGGCGAACCGTTCGCTCGCGACGCAACCATCCACCACCCCTGCTGGTCCTCCTCCGACATGGTTAACCAACCAATCCACCACACCAGGCGACCCCCCACCACGCAAGTTGTTCGGCAGCTCCTTCAACCCTGCAAACAACACATTCGGCCCGCGAGGCAACACCCCTGCCCGTAGAGGCTTTACTGTACCTGAGAGTAGCCCCCTACAGGACGGAGATGAAGATGAAGGTGAGGATGCAGAGGGCGAGGATGCCGAGGAAATGGACGGAGTACAAGATCAGTCTCGCCTGATACCTCCGCCAACCGAGCAAAGCGCGTTTCTTAGCTCCTTCATGAGCAGTCCCCGCGGCTTGAAACGGAGCAGGAACGGACAAGTCAGGGAGCAGAGGCCGGAAAGCGACTACCCTGCAATCGCAAGAGGCATCACGAGTCATGCTCGGCTGGCAGTGCTATCCGAATCCGACGATCTGCTTCTGTCGGAGGAGGAAGTGTTGTCGGAAATGATGGCACGTCGAGACAACCTTTCTTCCGCGCAGGAAGGTGCAACACGGCTTGCAAAGCTATGGGCCAAGCACAGCGATTCGACGACTCGCGAAGGCAAAATCGGCCCAGCAGTTGACGATCCAATAACGAAGGCCAACTATCTTGCCGCCCTTCTATTACAACTGCACCACCCGCACACGGTAGGGCAAGCAAAGCCACCAGGCGCTCAGTCTTGGGATGCATTGTCCAGAAAACCTGCGAGTAGCGCATGCTCTGTGCCACGTGCGCTTCTGGACTGGCTCGACCTGTACCACAACCCCTTTCCGGACGACTTCAGGACGGTGCTCGACCATCAGCCTAATCCCTCGCATCACGAGCGCTTCTGGGATACGATCTATGTCTGTCTCACTCGCGGCAGGTTTCAGCAAGCCATCCAGCTTCTACGAGAAGCGGGCTGGGAGAACGCAGCGACCGCCGAGGAGGATGGACGGCCCGATGGGTACAGTGACAGGCAGCTTGATAATATCGAGGAAGTCGCTGAGCGATTCGCACGAGTCTTACAGGCTTCGCCAGCTGTTCAATATGACGACTGGGATGTTAAGGGCAATGACTGGCAAGTTTATAGGCAGAGTGTTTTTACGGCAGTGAAAGACTTGGAGCAGTTTGCTGGAGACGAAAATGACGAGGCTGGAGCTCTTACCAAATCCGGCCGCAACCTCTTCAGCGTTTCTGCCGCTAGCAAAATAGCGGAAAGCAGGATTCCATGGAGCGTCTACACCAATATCAAGCTGAGCTACGACATCCTGCTAGGGCGAGCCGAGGAAATCATGGACGCCTCCCAGGACTGGCTGGAGGCAAGCATCTACATTACTGCATGGTGGGACGGTGACAGTAGTGAAGCGGGCAGTCTTGGGCTCAGCCGCGCTAGCCTTCGCAGAAGCTTGACCGCAAGCCAGAAAGCGCGCGAAGTCGATGTTACACCGACAGCCGCGTATCGGAAGCACTTGGCTGATGCTTTCACGTACGTAACGGACACCGAGGATCCGCTCTTTTTGCCGGATCCTATGGATGATATTCACGTGGGGTTGGGGTGTATCATGGCTGGCGACGTTGAGAGCGTCCTCGGGCTCCTTCGGACGTGGAGCTTACCAGTCACTGTGGGCGTGCTAGACGTTGCATCGAACGGGGACTGGCTATCAAAACGAGGACGGCACAGTCAAGCTCTGCTTGATCAGGGCTTTAGCAGCGAAGATCTCATGGTGCTCAGTCATGGGCCCGACAGGCAGCTTCACCAGATGCCAAGTCAAGTTGACAGGGATGAGGTGCTGATTGAGTATGCTGATCATCTTGCGAGGAAGGATGTGCTTCGGAGCAGCAATGGTGTTGAGCGTGAGGGCTGGGAGCTGGCGGTCTCTGTCCTTGGACGCATGCCTAACGAAGAGGCCGCGCAACATAAGGTTGGTGAAATACTTCAGAAACTGGAGGTTAAGGAAGACGCCAGGGTCGATAAGATATTGCGAGCATGTCTAGATCTGGGTCTCGCGGAAGAGGCTCGGGCTATTTCAGAGGTCAGTCAGAATTGCGGACGTGCAGAGCTTTACTCACTAACCTGACGAACAGCGATATGCTGACTCACTTACCAACTCGACCCAATCCTACGGCTCAGCGTTGATCTACTATGCTCGAGCTAACGCCACCGACAAGCTGAAGAATACGCTCGCGCTCCTGACATCTTTGTGCCTCCTGCACTCGGCCGCGGTACCTTCCAAAGCAGATCTGGATCCACAGCTCGCTTCCCTGCTTAGTAATGACCGCTCCGCTCTTATTACCCTCGGACAGACGGACGGCGAGGCGGTGAGTACCTTGCAGGCACATCTTAGCGGCTACGCGCTCCTGCGGACCTTCTACGATGTTCGCGATCAGATTGCGACTGGAACGACTCTCAAGCGACCCCTTGAACGCATGCGAAAAGCGGCCGAAGCGCTCATCTGTGTTCTCGAAAGCGCGTCATCCTGCATCCATGGTGGCCTTTTCGACCCAGAGATAGAGTCTGTAGTGCCAGTCGATGGCGTGCTGGCACTGCTCGGCGAAGCTCTTCCGTTACTAGGGCAACCCAAACGCCTGTTTAAGAAGGACCAGGTCTTCACCCTTCTACGCATTGCAGAGGATTTCTCGACCGTCTCTGGTCGAATACGGGAGAATGCCGAAAGCTTGTTAAAAGCGTCTGTCTCGACATATCGAGGCGATTCGCCTGAGTCGTCTTGGTCTATGCTTAAGAAGTCCAAAAGTGACCTGGGCAGTGCTAGCGGTCCTGGAGGACTAGGCGGGAGCAGTTGGGATTTGCTTGCTGAGTCTGTCATGCGACCAAGGGAAGAGAGCGATGCAAACGGCAAGAGCGCATCGGGCGTGCAAAGAGGGTGGGATTGGAGGCAAGGTCTTGATGGCATTGAAAGTGGTGCGGATGTTGGCGCAAAGGAGGTGCTAATGCTGGTGAGGGTCGCCTTGGCAAAAGAGGTGGCACGAGGCTGGACCGGCGAGATCAGGTGGGCGATTGATTAGGACGCCATGCAACCAACATGGAGGTCCAGCCACACAGAGCGGCGTGGAAGGCTCGGCCTGCCTGCTGATGTGATGGGATAGAGGTTCTGCATCGATCTGCCAAGCATAGCACTAACAGTGGGATGACGGCCTCGACACCAAGCGATGGCCTTATGCTGAACATCTCTGCTTCATTAGGTCCCGGAGCGATCTTTCGTTCGCTTCCAGACCAACAAACATTCGTGGCGCATATAAAGTACCGTGATGATCTGTAGCCACCATCTTTCGCGAAAACAGAACGAAACCCGGTCGCAACGGAAGCACAAACCGGGAACGTTGCCTCAACCTCCACTGAAGTTGACAGCGACATCCTCTCGCTGCACCAGGCTGGCCAAAGGATTGAAGCGAGCCATGAAGCTCAGAAGCAGATAGGCGAAGCTTTGCGAACAAGAATCTCAACCACATTCGTCACTAATTTCGGCGTTCGCTCTGTTGCGCAAGAACTCTGCAATGTTGACGATGAGGCGACAGAGCGGTTCCACCTTTTGTGCGATGGCCTGAAGATGAACGAGTACAATCACGTGAGCATCGCCTTCCTCGTGAGAGACGTTGCAGGACTCTGGATGAAATGGTTCGCCGCCACCGGCGTGGTCCGCTTTCTAGACAAGCTGGCAGCCGAGCTGGAGTAGGCCGTGAATAAGAGTGGTGGTGTTGGTCTGAAGTGAGATGGTGTTGAAGGAGATGCACGGATTCATGCATATGCTGGGTCGACCGACGAGCGTCTGCAAGACACAGGTGCGGGTTGTGAAAGAAGGGTTGAATCCGCAGCAGTCAAGGCGTTGGTACTCTTGCAACAACAGAGCTTTCAGTCTCAGTATAACCGTGCTTGTGCGTTGTTTCAGACTACCGATGTCTCTCGCGCAGACGCAATACTTGAACAATGAAGGCTTTGAGCGGTATGTTGAGATGTTTCGCAAGCAAACTACCATGAGTGATCATAAGAAGCGCGCTGTAACCCACCCAAGACTGGAGTACTACTCAGCGCAAACAACATTCTCTCACACGAATGGCTTCCCAGAAAGCGAGCGTAGTACAATGTCCAGTGCCGGGTTGTCCCACCCAGAAAGCCGAGCGCAAGAAAATCATCCAGCATATGCGCCACGGCCATGGCATCGAGCTTGACACCACCAAGGGCGGCAATCTCAGCCACCAACGAACTGTGGTGCACGCCAATCAATTTGCCGCTTGGCTTCGTGCAAACGGACTTAAGGAGGATATTAGCTTTTTCACGCATGTAGATGACGGGCTTGCAACCCCGGAGACAAGGCGAAAGGCCAGGCATGCATCGACATTCGATCCAGATGACCAGACAGACAATCGCACAGATTCCAGCGACTCCAGCGGGCTTCGGGAGCAAGAGGATGACGACTTTGCGACACAAGAGGCAGCAGACCAAGCTCGCGTCTTTGATGAAGACTTCCCGGTCATGCCAGACAATACCGGCGACAGCGTATACCCTGCAGAGCGCTTGCTGAGAGCCGTACGTGTGGTCGGCTCAGGCGGGCACATTCAAATCTTCCCACCTGTCGAACAGCCAACACTTTCTGTTCGAGAGAGGGCGGAGTCGACCAGAAGAGTGAACGAGCTTCGAAGAAACCTGCGAGATGTGCCCTCGGACTTCAGACTCACCGCGGACATCGCACGGTGCATTTGTGACGAAGGCAACCCCGAAATTGCTCGCTTTGCCCTGTTTTGCGAGCGATTCGCGGAGGTTGAGTATGATGGTAGAGACATGGCTGCGTTTATTCGTGATGTCGCGCGCATGTACACGTCGTGGTTCTGCAACAACGGTAGGATAAGCTTTCTGAAAAAGCTGGAGGATGAGCTGGTGGACGCACGAAGAGATGGTAGCATTGTGCCGTTGCGTCGTGGTGGAAGTCAGGGCTCTTTACATCGGCCCGCACTTAAGAGTAGCGATAAGCCATGCCTGGCGCAAATCCCAGCACTCTCACTGGGCAGCACTGCATGATAGTCAACACCAAGAGCAGCCAATGGATTGAATTTGAGAAATTTGTCACTGCCATAAAAGCATTAGTCCTCTGGTGGCGGCTCCCAGCGTCCATCACGCTGTATCTGCCTCACCGTCCGACTCCACTCTGCCTCGTCCCTTTCCGCCTCCTCGTCCACATCCGCCCAGCCACGTTCGTTCTTGACCTTGAGCCTGTGTCTGCCCTTAGCTCCTGTCCCGCCGAAACTCGTGAAGTCAAGAGTCCAGTCCAACCGTAGCATACCCTTTGGAGCGCCATCACGCGAATCTTCCGCATCGGACGAAACCCAGCTGTAGCCAGGCTTTAGGATAACGCCTGCAACGATAGTGAAATAGCCCCAGCCGATCCTGCTCAGCTCGTAGGGTGGACGCTGTCTGATGATACGTGAAGGCCTAAAAGTAGGATGTAGAAAGATTTGAACTTCATCGATGATATCATTCCGAGATGGGCGTACAAAGAACGTCCACCTATGTATATTGTGGCTTTCCTGCTCCGCGGGCTGGATGAGCTCATGAGAGTTACCGATATAAACGGTGATGGTCTGAATGCTGTCATGTTGATCACCGTCATCGGCTTCTTCAGAGCCACGCTCGCCGTACACCGCCGGGTAGGTTGATTGCAGCCTGTCGGCTAGAGGATGGTCCAGGGACGCCGTGGTGTAGGTACGGCACATCGGACATCTCGCTTCAAGGCCAGTAGCAGCATCGAAGTCCTGGGGTTCTTCGTCGACCCGGACGATAGTCATCGGTGCTGAAATGGAAACTTCTGCCCATCGTGCCATACAAGTCCTGCAAAGACTGTGGTTACAACCGGTTGTCACTGGTTGAAAGAGTAGGAGTCGGCAAACTGGGCACAGATCATCCTCTGCGATGGCGTCCTCGGCGTTTGGGGACACATCTACTGAACTACTGCCACTCTGCTCTGTTTCACGACGCCGCCGTCGAGTGGCAATTTCTCGGCTTCGGTGCGCTGCTCGTCGGCCAGGCATGGATAGCAAGCAGCTTGGCAGTCGACATAGCAACCTTGTCACGTTCGCAATGTGCTGGTTCAGAATGTGAGAGCCAAGATGCTTGCCCTGTTGATGCTCGGTAGACTCTCAACCGTGGTAGGCAGCAGGGCACATGACGCTAACCCCGATTCGGAAGGGGAGGCGTCAATGCTACAACTTATGACATTGAAACGGACAATGCGAGTCGACGGCTTGAAAGCCTCTATACAAAGCGCTGATTCTCGTGCCATACATGGTCTCTTCGCGGGGCCTAAAGCTTCGACTGTCCATCTTGCGGCACCTTGACAACGACCTTGCCCCAAGTGTCCCGCTCACCCAGAGCCTTCAGCGCCTCTGGTACGGTTTCCAAGCCGACATATTCCCTGTCAGTATAGTTCGTCCCGACAACCTTCCTACTCTCAAACAATTTGAACAGATCATCCCACACCTCTCCTATCTTCTGCGGCTCGTTGAGCGCATATGCGCCCCAATGCAAGCCCACCACACTGATATTCTTGAGTAAGATCTTGTTGGTTGCCATCTTCTCAATCGGACCCCCCGCGAAACCAATCACCAACAGCCGACCATTCCACGCAATGCACTTTGTGCTCTTATCGATCAGTCCGACCGGATCGTAGACGATATCTACCCCTCGCTTGTTGGGCGTCAGCTCCTTCACGCGTAGAGGCCAGCTGTCATCCCTGTAATCTACTGTGTAGTCTGCGCCAAATCGCTTCGCGATAGAAAGCTTATGGGCTGTTCCCGCCGTTGCAATAACCGTCGCGCCTAGCGCCTTCGCGATCTGTACTGCTGCAAGGCCAACGCCTCCCGCAGCAGCATGCACGAGCACCCAGTCGCCAGCTTTGAGATTACACCGCGTCACCAACCCAGCATAAGATGTGGGCATAGTTACGAAGAGACCAGCCGCTTCGAAGCAGGACCACCCCTTCGGCACGGGTCTCAGCTGCTCTTCCCGAGCGCAGACCTTGGTCGCATAACCGCCTTGCGCCGCACCGAAGACCTTGTCACCCACTTTAAACTTCCGTGACTTGCCAGATGACGGTACTGCTAGAATCACACCGCTGAACTCGCTGCCGGATATCCATGGTAGGGGCGGTTGATGTTGGTATTTCCCGCGAATCTGTAGGAGGTCGAAGAAGTTTGTTGCCGTGGCATGGATGGCAATGGTGTATTGGTCTGGACCTGGGGTAGGCTCTGGAAGGTCAGATACGGCGAGGTCCAGTGGTCCGGAGACGTATTGCTTGACCTGAATGCCGCGCATGATGATCCAGCAGTGAGTTGAGCCTAGTAGAGAGGGGAGGAGATAGGGTAGAGAATAGTGTATAAGAAAAGGTCTGAATCAGAAGAGGTCTGTTGGCTTGTCAGATCTACATACCTACATGGTCAAGCATGATTCCCCTTCGCTGCTCGGTACGAGATGATGTGAGAAGCCTCGGTAAACGGCGGGGAGGTAAGACCAAGGCCGACGATCTCACGTGCCTGTATACATGCGTGCAAGAGTGCCTAGTGGCTTGACCGCACGCCACAAAGCGGCTCATTTCGTCACCTCCGCCGCCGGCGCAGCTGCATGTGATGTGTGTGTATCAAGTGCATCCACCACCTTCCAACACTTTCCGCTTGCCCTTCTGGACAGCTTACACTTCAATGGTACCCTTTCTCTTGTTCCACATCGGATTGACGCATTAGCGAACACACTCCGTCGATCAGTCTAGATCAGCGCCTCTACCCGTGAAGCCTTAACGCCCGAGCCTTACAGTGAATAGAGCCCCCAAGCCAGTACCGGACCTGGACGTTTGAACGTCCCCTCAGTCTCGCCTGGCATAGCACGGGTAGAGGAGTCTCTAATCAGCTGGAAAATATTCCATTGTGACGTGGCCATCATGGCCGACAGCACCACCGCAACCGCTGGTGATGAGGACGAGCAACAGATCACCTTCAACATCAAGTCGTCCGCAGATGCCAAGTATGTTGTTACGCTGCCTGTCTCGGCGACAGTAGGCGATCTTAAGCAGAAGCTTTCCACATCAGAATACGCCAATCTTCCTCCAGAGCGGCAGCGTTTAATATACAGTGGGCGAGTGCTCAAGGATCCAGATACGATAGGCAGTTGCAAGATCAAGGATGGCAACACCGTCCATCTTGTCCGAGGCGCAGAGAGCAACCAGCGGCAGAACCCAGCGAATCAAGGAGGTGCTGCTGTGCCATCTGCAGCAGGTCAGCCACCAAGCAATGTACCCACAAACATCGCTGCTGGTCCGGGTGCGGCGAACCCACTTGCACAGTTGACTGGCGCACGTTATGCTGGCTTTCATGGCCTACCAGGCATGGACATGTTTGGCGCAGACGGCGGCATGGGCGCCCCTCCAAATGCAGATCAGATGCTTAGAATGCTCGAAGATCCGAACTTTGCGACACAGATGAATGAGGCTATGAACAACCCTGCAGTACTAGACATGCTACGGAACAATCCAATGATAAGAGACAATCCGATGGCGAGAGCGGCGATCGAGAATCCAGAGTTCAGGCGCATGATGCTCAACCCTGATATGATTCGCATGCAAATGCAGATGCAGCAGGCGATGGGTGGTGGTGCTGGAGCAGGTGCGTTTCCAATGCCAGGTGCGACCGACACAACGCAGGCGGCGGAGGGCATGGACGCACCGTCGACAGCTGGCAGTAACACCACTGGCGGCGCAGCAACAAACGCGCAGGCCCCAGCGAATCCTTTCGCAGCCCTGTTCCCTGGCGCAGGAGCACTAGGACAAGGAGCAGGTGCCACTGGCGCCCAAGCAAATCAGCAGAATCCTTTCGGTAGTCTCTTCGGTGCACCACAAGGCGATCAACAGAACAACCCGATAGCCTCCATGACGCAGCAAATGATGCAAAACCCGCAACTCATGCAGCAAATGATGGGGATGATGGGCGGCGGTGCAGGCGGTGCAGGCGCTGGTCAAGGTGGGTTCAATCCGTGGGCAGCTATGGGCGGCGCTGGCAGCCCTGAGCCTCCACAACCGGCTGACGACCGACCGCCGGAGGTGCGCTATGAGAGCCAGCTACGGCAGCTGAATGACATGGGCTTTTACGAGTTTGAGCGGAACGTACAGGCTTTGAGGCGGAGCGGTGGAAGCGTACAGGGTGCCGTGGAGCACCTGCTAAGCAACCCTTGAGCATAAGCGAGCCCAGTACCGGTTCGTTGTGCAAAGCATACGATTAGACTAGTATCGCGCGTAGTTGTGCGCGCACGCATACGCCTCATACGAAGCCACGAGAGCATAACGAGCGGTACAAACACATGACTCGCCGACGACACTGTCGTGGTTTTTGTTCAAGATGCGCCACTCTGGTCTCTATAAGCTCTTTGTACTGGGAGCTTCGTGCTCAAGACAAGGTCTCAGAGGCTTCATTGTGCCTCTAACTTCTGGCGACGCTTACACGCTGACTCAGAAGGCGTGACTACTCCAGAAGTGTGAAACACCATCTCATCCACTTGGACATAGTATACGCAGCTGTCATTGTAGCGGAGCAGAAGCCATCCATATCACATTTTCTTTGTCGAGACCAGATCTACTTGCACTCATAAGCCAAGTCGTCCAGCAGATGTCAGCATGCTAGGCGTATGGTATACATGTGCACGACTACCACGAAGCCGTAAGAGAGAGAATCGTCTAAGCGTAGCACCTATTGACCAAGCCAATAGGATACGTTCCGCAGAGTAGCGAACTAACAACGGCATGACCACGAGAAACCGGGAAACCAAGCGTGAGGGAGCGCCATCACGAAACGGCTCGAGCCAGGGTCAAGCCGGTCCTGTTTCTAAGGTTAGTGCATTGAGCAAGCGGTGAAGACGTCAGCGGTGAACACATCCCAGCCCTTCGCAATTTGCGCGTAATGTAAATACTTCGTCTCCGCACGAACCATCGTTAGTAGGGTGTCCCGTGGTGTGTTTGCAGGTTTGGAGAGGGACAAGTGAAGGAGAAGTCGTCGTCGCCGCGGCCAAGCCACCAATCGCATTGGCCAGACTGAGAGATAGGAGCGCACGGCCAGACCGTCGATTGACACAACTTCTGCGAACGTAGCGACTTCTTCCACACGTGGTTTCCGGAATGCCGGTTCGTCGAGCTTGGGGACTGAGAGAGAATCTCTGGTGACCGACATTTATTTCAGCTCAATCGGTGTCGATAGACCCTGTGTTGCCTTCACAGATCCCATCAACAACCCAACGGACGATTAGACGCCGACGCAGCGGCGTTATGATGAGGCAAATCAAATCAGCGTTGCTGGCAAGCTACCACACTCCGTTGTACCTGGAGCGACCGAGTTTGGTTCATCGAGCAGGAACCTGAAGTCACGGAGAATGAAACCGGACCAAGTCGATCGGCTCGTCCAGGCATTGGCCAGTAGTCCTCTACTGCAAATTCACATCTCGCGGCGCTGGTGGGATGGGGCCGCGGACGATACGACGATGGCATCTGAGGCCACGCCGTCGCTTACAGATGGGTCATCCTCATCGCCAACGACGCTGTTCTCGCATGCGGACGAAGCGCTCGGAAGCGAGCAGCGTTCGCCAGGTAAAGTCCGTCTATCGTTGGAAGAGGGATTTGCACGAACTCGTCTTGAGGAAGGCAGATCCAAAGTGCTTGTCTCTCCGCTATCAACGAGCTTTGGCGGTATCGCTCTCGTTGACCCGAAAGTTTATGGTTCTCCCATTTGTCTCGTGTCGAGAGACTATCGGCTGGGTGCCAGGGTTCTCGAGCATGGCGCCTGCTCCTATCACACCCTCGCTTACGGAACGACTGTGCAAAGCAACTTGCGGATCGAGCCACCTTCGAGCCGGAGCGCCAACTGTCGGGTTCTGTTGCAGGTTCTCAACCAAACTTTGGAGCGCCGGACCGGCGAGAAGAGTCACTTGCTCTTAGCTGAACTCGATGTTACTGAGAGCTTCACCAGGGCGGCTTTGGCTGAGCTCTCCGTACACGCAGGAATCTCGCTTTGGGATATCCAGCAAATGGCGTCGAGCCCAAGGGCTGAAGAGAAAGGAGAGTCCTTCAACTGGTGCGCGCTTGCTGACGAGCTCTCAAATGCTAAGGCCGTAGGCGAGATGATCGAGGCCGCTGCATCTGCATTCGCCAACCTGACGGCTGAAACGTGCACTATGCAGACGCTCACTATGATGTCTGAGCTTGAGCGTCTCAAGACTCAGCATCAAGACTTCCTCGTTCTCCGCTCGACTGGCCGTCACGCAAACGGGATGGTATCGGGTCTCCATGTCCCGTACGTTTCACAGCACCTTGATCGCCTGCTGTACACTGTCAGTCCCAGCAACAAACGAGGCGAAGCGTCCAGAGCCGCACGGCTACTGCGTGATCGAGTTGTCGCTGCCGTGGCAGGGAATTGTCGGCGCGAGTCTGCCTTCGATGTCCGGATCTGGTGGGGTGATCAGATGCGTCAGGTTCACTGCGTACCGTTGCACGAAGATACTGGAGGCGAGCCAACCGCCTGGGCCGCGTTCCTCAGTGGTGAGTCCGAGTTCGTCGCTTTCACGTCTGTGTTGAGCTGATCATGAAGACCTTGGGAGGTACCCTGGCTGCTTGTATCAAGCGTTCCGACTTAGCTATCTATCATAATTACTTCGTGGACTTTTCGACGTCTGCGCCACCTGCCATAACCTGCAGATACGCTTCGCGATCTTCATCGTCAGGCTATTTCTCTCCGTCTTCCATACTTTGTATCATGACCTTGATGCCCCCTTGCTTGGCGTCTGCGGCTACCTTGAACGCTTCCACGGCCTCTTCCAGCTTGAACCGATGCGTTACGAGCTTGCTAAGGTCAATCACACCACCTTTCAGCAGTCGAATTGCTCTGGGCCAGGTATTGGCGTATCGATATTGAAATTGCAAGTCAACCTCTCGAGTACTCAAGCGCATGAAAGGGATTTTGATCTCTGGCCGTCCAACACCGATAACGAAAACCTTGCCACCAAACTTTGCGGCATGGATTGCGCCGGAGATGGACGACTCGACACCTGTGCATTCCATGACCACGGCTGGCTCAACGCCATCAGCTTTCTCTACCACCAGTTTCGCAAAGTCTTCCGGTGAATGAGAGAACTCGACCTTGTGCGTCCGAACAGACGGGCAAAACTCCTTTGCGAACTTTAAGCGGCCTTCATCAATGTCCGTGATCACGATGGGCTCTGCGCCTGCAGCCTTCACACATGCAAGCGTTACCAGACCGATGGGACCAGCACCGCATACCAACACACTGTCACCGAGCGTGATGTTCGCCCTCTGCATGCCTGCTAGTGCCACGGACAGAGGCTCGAGTAGCGCGCCATCCTCGTAACTCATGTTCCCGATCTTGTGGCACCATACAGCTGGATGGTTGACATACCTTCTCAGCAAGCCTGGGATAGGTGGCGTTGAGCGAAACTCGACTTTATCGCAGCCATTGTATCGACCCGTCAAGCACGGTTCACACTCGCCGCAAATAATGTTGGGTTCCACAGCCACGCGGTCGCCGACGTTGTGCGTGGTGACTGAAGGATGCTTCGCAACAACGATACCTGCAGACTCATGTCCAAGGATGTGCGTATCCTCCACGATCATTGGCCCTATACGGCCGGCATGCCAGAAGTGAACATCGGACCTGGCCTCGCCAAGTCAGCGACTGAGCCCTCACCACCTCATTGACGGTACTCACCCGCAAATGCCCGTGCTCTTGATGGCTATTGTGATCTCGCCAGGGTTCAAGCTCTCGCCCTTCTCGACTTCTTCCTTTGTCGGCGATGCATCACCAACCCAGAGGTCGTGCGCTGGATTGGTGTAGACGCCAATGTTGGCCTTGGACGGCGCGATGGTGGTGGTGGTGGTCGACATGGCTTCGTACAGCAGCCTGCAGCAAGCGTTACACAGCCGGACACTAAGGTGGCTTGGTAGACAGCTCGAACTCTACCAACGAAACTGAGGGACTGCGCTACGTTCACTGACAACAGGTCGTCCGAAGGGGTCTGCTGAGGCTTCTGTTGCACGTTTTCAATCTCCAAGCAGCGGTGCTTTAGTGCACCATCCAGTGACCGTGGCCCACATCACGGTGAAAGCCACCGAGCCGGTGGCTACAGCCATTCTTTACCAACGAGTGGTCATTCGCGCCAGTCCAGGTGCCCCTCTCACCCCTCCATGGGCTGTTCACCGGCATCGGTCAACCCAAAGTGGGGCGTCCCGATGTGGGCGCTCTTTTCCTTCCCTGGCTGAAGTTGGCAATGCAGCACAATCAATTACTGAAGCTGCCACGGTTGTGGGACGCCGCGTCGAATGGCAGGCTGCGTTTGACGGAATTCGTTTAACACCAGTGATCTACCAGAACAACATCCTATGGAACGATTGATGCGCCTTCACCAGGCATCCACCGGAAACCTCGTACCACTCCTCTTCCTAACGCCATCCATAATGCTCAACACTCTCAGCGTTTCAGCCCAAGGCATAGTCTGGTTCTGCTTCCTACCAGCCTGCAGATCTTGTGCAACAGCGTCCGCTTCCCACCAGAACCCCTTACCTGGCTTTTCGAACTCATAACGCTCCTCCTTGCCACCGTCTTTGGGATAGAACGTGAAACTCCTCGGACTAGACGGGGTGGAGCCGTCTACCAGTATCCGACCTTCACTGCCCTCTAGACGTGCGAACGGGTGCATGCATTCGAAAGTCGTAGTTGACGTGCAGATGCCCTGACGACCTGTGCTGCGGAAATGGAGCAGCACTTGGCTCGCGACATCCACCCCATCAATGACTGTCTGTGTACTACTGACATCTGGCTGTTCCGCATTGTCGCCTGTCTCGGGGGAAAGTGTCATCAATCCCCATGTGATCGAGTATATCCCAATGTCCAGGAGGCTCCCGGCACCTAACGCTGGATCTTTGTAACGACTCGTCTCCGGTAAGCTGGAGATATCGATGTCAAGACCGAAGTCGCAGAAGGTCCGGTAGATCGTCCCGAGCTTCCTCTCCTCGTGAAGAAGTCTCTGAAGTGTCTTGATTAGCGGGTAGAACCTCGTCCAGAACGCTTCCATGACGAAAACGCCCTTTTCCTTGGCCGCTGCAAACACCTCTTCGGCCTCCGTAGCGTTCAACGCAAAAGGCTTCTCACACAAGATGTTCTTGCCCGCTTCAATGGCGTCGAGACAGTTCCGCTTATGGAAACTGTGCGGCGTCCCTATGTAGACGCAGTCAACGTTCTTGTCATCATATACCTCCTGATAAGAGCCATAGAGGGCCGGCTGGACGGCAGGTTTTGCGGGAGTAACGCAGGTTGCAGCGAAGCTCTTACACTTCTCGAGTGACGAGGAGCCAATCGCCTGGATGATATGGTTGGCCTTCTTCTCGGGCCAGTCTGACATGAGCAGGTCCCTCACGAATTGCTCAGAGATGCCGCCGGTTGCAACAATACCCCAACGGCAGATGGGCATTTCCGCCATGGCGGGGCGTGAAGTTTCCGACACAAGTCGGATATATCACGAAGAGAGTGTGCTAATACAAAGCAGACTGACGAATGCTGGACAACACTTTCAGCGTAACCGACAAGCGAGACTGCAAGTGCAAGATGGACCGCAAAGATTTTGATGCTGGCGCACCACGTCAACACCGTTCTGCGATATCTACTCACACTAATAGACGCTCTTTAATAAGTGCCTTTGCTTATGGCACCTGTCGATATGAACCCCCAAAAGCTTATTCATTGTGTATGTCGAGTCCTGCATTCGTGAGGGTGAAGGTGGCTTGTTCGCCAAGCTCACTCTGGCCTGCTCAATGACGTCCGGGTACATTTTCAGGTTTCGTCGGACAGGACTTGTCATGGAAAGCAACCGTCTCACCAGGATATGCAGTGGGTGTGTAGACGTAGCAAGTAAGGTATTTCTAACATCTCGGCCATCAAAGGATACATCTCGTCTCACCATCTAAACCAAGCAAATGTCTTACCCCACGTTGCGTCCCTAACAAGCACCTCGATATCATGAAGGACTTCATATACCGCATCTGCCTCATGGTCATCAATGTCTTCTTCCCTCCCCTGTCGGTCGCAATGCTGTGCGGGTTGGACTGGGACTGCATACTGAACTGCATCCTGCTGGTATGCGCGATATTACCGAGCCATGTTCACGCCTTCTACGTCTCATGCATATACTTCCACCGGCGGCGAAAGGTTAGTAAAGCTCACAGGAGAGTCGAGAGTCAAGGCTGACACCAGCAAGGTCAAAAAGGGTCGCTATCCAGGTGGACCAAAGCCTTTCATCCACTCGAGTAACGTGTTGAATGGCGGCGCAAGCGATAGGGAGGTGGATCGACTATGGCGAAAAGAAAACGGGCTTGAGCGCAGGAGTAGTCACCGAGCCAGCAGCATGCAACGCTCCCCAGCCCGCGTAGGGAGGACGAGTGCAAGACAGCGTAATCAAAGTGATCCGACGCAGGTGGCGCAGAGACAAGGAAGCCGACGGGGACGTTCGGGTAATTAGGCAGCTGTCCATACCAGTGGTACAGACGACTCCGTCACGGCCCATGACAGAGAAGTCCTCCACGGATCGCATACAGCTGCCTCTATACTGCCTAGATCCGGGTTGAGGCTTGAGAATGCTCTCTGTGCTCTCCCGCAATAAGCTGAAGCTGCCAAGGGACTATGGAGAAGCTCAACGAGCGCGTAATGAGGCTAGCAAACTGCCGCTAGATGTGAGGCAGGAGCATCACCGTCTCGTGGCTTCTCCGAGCTTTCTCCTTGGACACGCGGCAGTGTAACGCTACTCTTCCGCGGAAAGCCTCCGTGTTGTACTTCACATCGATCGGTCGAGCACGAGTGGAGCCGATGTGAGACTGTCGCAAGCCTAAGCCGACCAAGCCTTACAACTCGCCCGGATGGGCTGTCAGTCTTCAGAACGGCACGGCGCGGGTGAGACCGATGCAATTGAATAGATCTATCTTCATATCGGCACCGGTGCTATATCCACATTGTTGCCAGCGATATTCGAACAGACATACGCAGCATCCGGGAGGCTCGTGTGGCAGTCCGTGCTAGGCAAGCCGGAAACCGTTCGTAGTCGTCTTCTAGAACACTTCGACGCCCATGCAGAACAAGCCGCGTGGTGTCCGTGCAGCGACCGATCTTACCGGCGCCCACGTTGATTCGTGCGATTATCCCGTAAAATCGCCGCCACGGAGGGGACAGTCTCGAACAACCGACGATCCCTTTGCAAGACATCCTGCCCAGCGCTTGGCCGCGTAGCATTGGTGAGGTTGAACCGTGCTGCTGTAAGGGCACGATAACCTCAGCCAGGTCTCGTTGTGCTCTTCGTTGGGTAAGCGGCTAGGGCTCCTAATCTCTGCGCTGGCGCACATGCTTCTGTCTCACTGTACGCTTGGTTGTCTTCACGGCCCGACTCGTGTCTCTCTTCCCATTCTTCGACCACTCTGGCCCCAACCACCAATATCGCTCACTGGACCACAGCTATCCGCCACCATCATGGTGGGAAACTCACCTTGACTCTGCCTTAGTTCTGTGGCGGCATCCGGGTGTTGCTCCACTGTCTCATCTTGCGTCTCTATTACTTGCAGCGGCCCGTCACCTTCATAGAGGAGGGGTGCGCTCATGCACCGCGTCATTCCCACCTTGTTGAGTGTGTGCTTGAGCTCTAATAGCATTGAAAGGGTCCGCTTGCCTTCTTGTGCGGAGGATTATCCGTTGTCATCAGCGAGGACAGTACACTATGTTTGACGAGAACTTCACCTTCGACACACCAAGGTCGCCGTCCCTGGACTCCAGTAACTCTCCGTCCACGCGGGCTCCGTCTCGATCAGTATCACCCTGCTCGCCAACGACACCCTTCCCAGCTCCAAGCTTCTCAGTAACCGATCTCGCGGCGCAATTTGGAAACTCTCGGATCGAGCGAAGGGCACAGATATGCTACGACTCGTGCGCTGCATATGCGGCGTGCGATGACGATGCTGGGTGGTACGTCGGACCGTCTATTGATGACGACAACCTGGACAAGGCTCCGACTTCATACTCAAGGCGCGATTCATTACGCCCAGCAAGACCGCACTCTCCGACACAACGCTCACGGCGACAATGCAATGCTCGACTACTGTGCTCAGCGTCACATCACCGCGATATCGCTGCGCTCGTTGCGCGCATGGTCGATTCGGGAGAGCAATGCTCAGTGTCCGCGTCGAGCAACGTAGCTATGGATGCGGAAGACGAAGGGTACGACAGCAGCAGTCAAAGTTTGACGCCTGCGCAGTCGCGCCGGTCAAGCCTCGCGATAACGGGCAAGAAGCAAGACGGCAGACGGCTTTCTAGGGACACAAAGAGCGCAGGCGCCTGCGTCAGCAAGACCGCACGTCTTCGGCGGGACAGGAACTCGCTTTCGCGGCAAAAGAGTGCGTGACGGAGTCAGATGATGTATAGATAAGAAAGATGATACCCACGAAAGGCGGAGGCCTAGACGGTCATGGCCATTGTCATTGTATAGCGAGGCGCTTTGGCATTTGAGCTGGTGGTGGTATCCGCGAGCAAGGCCGAGAAGTCCTTGGTCTGCGTTGCGTAAAGCTGTTCAGTGGCAACTACGAAACTTCGCCCTCACCGCATCGAAGCAGTGAGTCGCTGCACTGTCAAGCGTACATAGTCTGAGAGCTATGACCGCACATTTGGAACATGGGACAAGTACGACAACTTCGGTTAATCGTGAAGACGTGCTATTACTATTGCATTAAATATTTATGTTCCAGTCTCGCTATGCACTTTCCATGCAACCTCAAGCACCTTTTGCGCGTAACCCTAGCGCCGCCCGCTAATGTATCGTAAGGTATCGTCTCACCAAAGATATCGTTAAAGGATCGTCAGAACCGTACATCATGTACAAGTCAAATCGTCTATTACATCTCGACATCGTCGTTCGAAGGTCGTAGCAAAAAAGGGACGGTGGCGTCAATCTCGCAGTGTTTACCAGCCTCCCCAAGGTCCCCAAGCGGCTGTTGTCGACCAGCCACTGCTCGGGGACGCCGATGAGCTGGGGCTGCTGATGCTGCCGGTGGGTACCAGAGTCCTGGAGCTCGTGCTCACGCTGCCAGACGGTACGAAGCTGCTGGCGCTCATGCTCACGCTGCCGGAAGGCCTGAAACCAGAGCTGCTACCTGGCGCGGTCGGAGCAGAGTTCGGCTTCGACGAGCTGCCACTTGTGATCGGGTAGGGCGGGAGTGTGCTGCTGCTAGTGGTAGCCGGTGTGGTTGGTCGGGCTGAGGAGGTTGATGGGCTAGTTTTAGGTGTGGTTGGTGCCGCGGAGGAGCTGGACGCGGTGGTCGAGTAGCTGACGGTCACGCTGGTCGTGTGGCCATTGCCGAGCGTGATCGTCACCGTTTCAGTGGTGTGTGAGACTGCCGGAGACGTCGATGGCGCTGGTGGCATGTTGGTGTAGACAGTCTGGATCACGGTCATGGTCGCCTGGGTAGGACAAGCGCATTGGCCGATGGAGGTGACGGTCTGGACTGCAGCGCACGAGCCTTGAGAGCCAGTCACTGGCGATACAGTCGTGCTTCCCGGTACCGCTGGCGTCGGGGTGGACACGACATACGTGACCGTAGCGGTCGTAACGTATGTACTCGTGATGTGAGTCGACGTGAGCGAGGTCGAGAAGTAAGTGATGCCTGAGCTGGTTCCGACAGGCGAGCTGCACGGGACGAAAGAAGTGAGGGTGGTGGTAGCTGTGTAGGTCGTAGTCTGCACGATTGGTGGGAAAGTCAAGCTTGTGGTAGGCGAGGTTACTGGCTGGGTGGAACTTGTAATCGGACTTGTGCTCTGACCTCCAGTGGGCATGGACGTGGTGATGTTGACGCTGCGCGATGCCAGGGTCGAACTTGAGCTTGTCACCGGCGAGATTGGCGAGGTCGACTTCGAGCTCGAGCTGACCGGCACTGTCGTCGTGCCGTTCCTGCTCTGCGTGGTTGGTCCGGAAGGCGTGCTGGATCGTGTGCTTGAGGTAACTGGCACGCTTGGGGTTGTGCTGGATTGAGTGCTTGAGGTTATCGGCACGCCTGGTGTCGTGCTGGACCGTGTGCTTGATGTTATTGGCACGCTTGAAGTCGTGTTTGCACTGCGGCTCGGAGACATGCTCGCTGAGCTGGAGGAGCTGGTTATTGGGGTGATGGGCGCGGAGACTGTCTCAGTGGTTACTGTGCCGCCGACAGTGCAGGTGCTATTTGTCAAGTCAGTACATCGTCTCACGGAAGCACAGCTTTCGGTGACTTACGTGACAAATGTTGTGTAGCTCGTCTCAATCGTGGTGGTCCGCCGAGTAGTCGTGGTCGGCAAGCTCGAAGAGGCGGGGCGCGAGGATGAGGGAGATGCCGACGTCGTGTTGCTTCGTGGGCTGCTTGAAGACGGGAAGCCTGAGGACGCGGGCCGCGATGAGGAAGGGGGCGCCGTCGTCGAGTTCGTGGAGACGCTGCTTGTTACTGGGGGGCTTGATGATGCAGGCCGGGAAGATGTTGGAGGCACCGTTGTCGAATTGGATGATGTACTGCTTGTGACTGGGAGGCTTGACGAAGCGGGCCGCGAAGACGTCGGAGGCACCGTCGTCGAGTTGATCGATGTACTGCTCGTCACGGGGAAGCCTGATGAAGCCGGTCGGCTTGTGAGGCTGGAAGGTATGCTCAAGCTCGGTGAGCTTGAAGCGCCGGTTGTTGTGGTGATCGGCGCGGACACGGTCTCTACAGTCCATGTTCCACTGACAAGGCAGGTGCTGTTCATCGAGTCAGCATGATCTAAATAATCTTTGATCGGCTAAGTACTCACGTAACGAAGGTGGTATATAACGTCTCGTGCTGGTACGCCGGTGTAATAGGATTGCTCGTCGACGGTAGGCTTGATGATGAGGCAATTACGCTTGCGTTGGAGGGTAAAGCACGCTCTAGAACACCTGGGCGAGCCGTGGCACCCCCAAACAGCGCGAGAAGCAAGAGCTCGGCGTACATGGTCGCGTATTTGTTGTTGGCTTCAAGGATTGGTATTACTGGACTTGGCAGACCGGAGTAAAGCAGATGCGATCCCACAAAGCGAGTGTTCGTTCAAGATCGTAGCGAGTGGCGATCTTGAAGCAGCAGAGAAACGCAAAGCAAACGCGGTGGAGTCGTGTGTACAGACGGTACGAATAACAAGGTGATGAGATTAGAAGAAGTACGCTCAGCTGGGTCCTCCTACCTCATATACACCCTTGTCACCTCGTCCATCCTCCGCCGCCGCCCACTCGTAGTGGCGTCAAGAGTCAGTCATGAGTTTCTAATCAAGGCTGCCGTACGAAGTAACATGTGGAGGGTAGCATGGAAGAGACGGCCGCCCAGCGACGCCGCAAAGAGACTGAACACGAGAGCCGCTAGCCATCGCGAGAGCTACCCTGGTTTGCGGCGGCCCTTAATCGCGTGCTGTTCCTGAAAGGTCGTGTGCCCTGGTGCAACCGACCACTCACAGCTGAGAATGAGCAATAGAGCCTAGCGGACGGTGGATTAAGCTCGTAGGCGCAGCGAATGCGATCGCAGCGCTGAGCGGTAGGGCCGGAGGGCAGTGTATCACTTCAGCGAGCCTCATGCAACCTCAAAGTGTCAAGCGAGGTCGTGGCGGATAGAGCTGCCGAACCCCAGCTAGTCTGCCAAGTGTCAGCTTGCTAGCCCTCATCAGGATAGTGTCGGACGAGCCCGCTTCTATTGCTGGCACCGCCCCCGGATGAGGGAGGGTGACATTTTCATCGCAGTGGAGGAAACAACGGCCATCGCGACGCTTGTCAAGCTTCAAAACTATTGAATAATCCTGCGCATGAGCAACGCAGGGTTTTCTCACCAATAGCGAAGTCATGCGAGAACCATCGCCGCGCACTATGAGGATGACAATATAGATCATCAACCAGAGACATCATAATTCACGAAGCGGAGAATGTCCTGTCGCTCTGGACACAGACTCCCCAACTTGGCGTTGTTCGTCGAGCTGCCGCTGCTTCGTATTGAGCTATTAGACGTTCGTACGCTGAGAACGGAACAGGCAAGACGAGACTTTACCTCGAGTCGCTTCAACCTTAAGTGACGGTGTGCAGCACTCGAAAGGCAGTTGTGTGGAGCCATCGAGTGGTCGCGTGATACCGCTCTGGGAGGGTAGCGTGGCTGACCCACATCGGCATATCACCTCAAAATGGGCCGAACAGTAGAACATCCTTGCGGTATCCACGAGCGAGAAGTTCACTTATCATCGTGATGAGGTGTTCTGCCGGCGGCACAACGACTGAACGACTTTCCTGTCAGAATTCACAGAGATCTACGGCTAGTCTACGATAAGGACCCTGTCACTGCTTTTGGATTTCCAATCCTTCCATATATGTGGCAACCTGCTTGCACGCTGTCCGGTGTCGAGCTCGTCACTGCTTTTCAGTCTACACGTAGAAGCTGAGCAGTGACTTCGCAGGTACGTCCGCAACGATGTTTCCTCTCCGACCGGCGTGGACAACACTCAACGTGAGATTGTTGGCCTGGTTTGTCAACCACGTCTGGACTGGCCTTGGGCAGTAAAGACCTTCCAAGGTTACCGTCTCGGTGGTATTACCGTTGTTGATGACTTGAATGGCCGTCGAACCGTCAGTGTTTGCGAACGCAGAAACATTGAGTGCGTTTGTCGAATCGCCGGTCACAGTCGCGCCGATACGCGACGCACCTTGTCGGATGAAACGGCTGCCGAAGTGCGCATGGGCCCTAAGAGTGTCGAAACCGTCAGCTTTGTCTTGTACGCAATCAAGGCTTACAGACAAGGGTTTGCATACCAGAGTCGCTTCGTCACACTAACTTCGTTGGTGCCGTTAATGAAGATCAGCGGTTCATTGTCCGTCGCATTCGCCGCGCCCCACCAGTAGAGGAAGCCCGTCACCTAATCACAATCAGCGATCATCTTTCCTCCGGACTGCTGGACTTTTGAGCACATCTTTGCAAAACTTACGTTCGAGACGGTGAAGGTCTGCTGGATATGGTTCGCCCAGGTAAGGCCTTCGCTCTGGGAGCCTCTGACATACCAGTTGTAGTTGAGGTTATCGAATGTGGACCACTCTGTCTGCCAAACTTTCTTGGGCGTCGCAAATGGCGCACCCGGCGCCGAGCTGTAGCCATGCGCCGTAACCAACCCGAGCGTGTATTCGGCACCGGCCGCTTGGATGCCGGTCAGGCGTTCACGGTTCTCTTCCCAGCCGCTGCCATCACAGCAAGCGATCTGCGTCGAGATGCCAGCTTGTTGAAGGGTCGGGTAAAGGACCGTTAAGAAGTCTGCAGCTTGTTGGCCGTCCGATTGCATGGAGGCATACGGTGTGCTAAACTCCTGTTAGCAGACCGAACTGCAAAGCTCGAAGACGACCGTCTCACCTAAGGTCGGGCTCGTTTAGGAAGCCAACATAATCAATCTTGATTCCGTAGGCCTGGTAGTCCTGGATGTAGCGGGTGATCTTGTTGGCGTACGCCTGTCGCCTAAGGATATTGATAGCAGCGATCAGCCTTGACTCAGACAGGAAGGAAGGCTGTGCTCAGTGGCCTGCTCACCAGTCTCCCGTGGCACAGCTCGTATTTGTCACGCCGCAAAGATAACCACCGTTGGTCTCATTGTTGTTCGTCTTCATGTAGTAGTCGGCGCTCCATGCATCGGCATAGATATACTTGACACCACGCGCGAGAGCTTGCTGCGAGAGCCACACCTGGTACTGGTCGTCGCGCGGGAGTGGGATGAAATCCAGCTTCGCGAAAGCTCTGTGTCAGTCACCTTCGAACTTGGAGCAGAGAGGAAGGCGGGATTTCCTACCTGGCTGGTGTTCAAATTCGGAGTCGGAGGAGAAGGAGCGATGCTCTGCATGTGATCCCATCCTTGGTCTGGTGAAGAGCCCAGGCCGTTTCGCAGGATGGTCTACGGTTACGCAAGCATAAGAATCAGCTGACATCCAATATGGCCGCCCGTCAACGCTGGAGGCCTACCATGCCTGCACCTTTCTCGCTACTGAACAGATAGTCCAGAACGAGATTCTGGGATGGAGTATCGAGTTGGTGGAGGACCAGCGACCGCTGGAAGGCTTCAGAAATGCCAATGCCATCGAAACCTTGATACTTCGTATTAGGGGCGACGTGGATCACTGGACCCGAAGGCTGCTGGTGGCCTGCAGGTGGCCAAGCATTGGAGAAGCGCGCGAGCACAACGCTCGCAGCTGCGAAACGGGACAACATGATTGCTCTGTATGTCACAAGCGAGGATTAGGCGATGGCGACAGGAAACTTGCATTCGAGGAGAAATCGCTGGCTCTTATACTTGCCTCTGACCTACGCTTGTGAACCTTTGTGATGCACTCACCCCTCACGCCCAGATCTGGTCACTGTTGTCGGTGAGATAGGTGGCGTCTGAACTATCAGCCTGTTACTTCCGATCGCATCTTGCGCGACTTGGAGTGATGCAACTCGCTGGCTTGGCTTGTACATGCAGTTACCGCCAACGTTCATCGCCCAGTGGTTCGAGCGAGGGGAAGTGCTGCTAGCGTAGCTGCAAGGCACCCCGTGGGCATGGCCCAGTCCGCAAACTTACCATGCTTGGACGAAGTGTACCAGGAGCGGGCTGTTAGCTGCACGTATGCGCGGAGGAGAGAGGAGAAGTTATGCGAGGTATATAGCCGGTACTGTATACCAATGCTGGCCCCACTTATAAGCAGGCATCGTGGCATTTAGCCTGCCATGATACACTGCCCGCGAGTCCGGGGCACCACACCACGACCTGGACATGATGGGTTAAGCATGGAGAAAGTCACACAACCCCCGCGTCGTGTTGGCCAGTTGCCGCCCAGGCAGATGCTAAAGGCGCATGAAGATCAAGCAACCGAGTCACGAACTCATGGCGAACATGTGCCGCCGCCTGAATACAGACTACTACCTCGCGCGGTAGATATCCATTGTGTACACTGTATACGCTTTTGTTACGTTGCGCCCCATCGCCATCCACATGCAGTGTGTTCATATGGGCTCCTCTCGGGGCTCGATTAGTATCTCGTTCACAGCGACGTGCTCCGGTTGCTTCAGCGCATAGACGATCGAGTTCGCGACATCCTCAGCGTCCAAGATCTTGGCGCCGGTGGGCTCACCATACTGCTTTACCGCTTCTGCATCTGTTGACATGCCTAAGAGATCGGTCGACGTATTGCCGGGCTGCACGCTTGTGACACGCAGGCCCTTCCCTGCTGTCTCTAATCGCAGGCTCTGAAGAGTGGCTTCAGTGAAAAACTTCGATGCTGAGTAAACCCCAAGGCCTGGGAAGACCTTGCGGCCAGCGTCTGATGATATAGCGACAATATGTCCGCCACTGCGGGAAAGCATCGATGGCACAACAGCCGCCAAGCAGTGGAGCAGGCCTTTGCAGTTGACATCCACCGTGCGGTCCCATTCTTCCGTACGCACGTTCGCCATCATGGTGAAGTACATAACCCCGGCGCAAGACACTAGGATGTCGACAGGTCCAAGCTGGTTCTCCGCGGCTTGCACCAGCCCTTCAACTTGTTTGCGATCGGTAACATCGGTCTGGCGGACAATGACCTTGCCCTGTCGTACGGCGAGTCTGCGTTTGACGGACTCAAGAGCGTCCATCCGTCTTGCGCCGAGCATCAAATGGCAGCCTTCCTTCGCCAGTGCAGCTGCAACTGCAGCACCAATACCGCTCGAGGCCCCCGTGACCACTGCCACACGTCCAGTAAGAATACTTCTCCGCATGGAATGTGCTGCTCCGCCGACGGCAAGCTGGCGCGATGGTGGTCTGGGAAGCCAGCCTCGAGCGTACCAATGCCGAGCATATGTCTCCAGCAAGACAATGTCGACTTTGGGCCGCTCGACCATTGCGCGGAGCGGCCGCGTCTGAGCGTTGTTTAGCACGACGATGCCGTTAAGGTATTCTATGCTGGGCATGCCGCTCCGGAGTATGTCGACAGTAAACTGTCCATCGCCTCCTCTGAGCGAGCCACGCTTTTCTGTCCAAATTGCCACCCATTCGTCCCAAACCAGAGGCTGCGTTGGGTAGCCGAGTTCTGCAAGATCGTTGAAGACTTGCTTCGCATCTACCGGATCAGGGTCACCCAAGTGAAACACTAGCTGTTTCGCATGCGACTGGCATGCGAGGTGCACAATCGATTTGCTCACGAAATCCACTGGCGTCATCTCCGCGCGCCAACCCTCCACGTCTGGAGCGTATCCGAGCTGCATTGATTCCACAAATAGCGCTGTAAGAAGATCATAAGCGTTTGCCGCACCTGTCGCGCTGTGGCCGGCGATGGTGCCAGCGCGGTGTATACGGACTGGGAGTCCGCGTCGTCCAGCTTCCAGCACAAGCTGCTCAGCTGCCCATTTCGTCTGCCCGTACCCGTCGAGTAACTTCTCGGGAACAGAGTCAACGTAAAGCATGGAGTCTTCCGGCCATCCGAAACCAGACGGAGAAGGTGGTAGAACTCCGTTCGTCGAAACGTATTGCACCGTAGCCCCGTTCACGCTGGCCAGCCGAAGGACTTCCCGAGTGCCACCAACGTTAGCAGCCCTCAGCGCGGCGTAAGGATACACAAGATTAACGGTTGCAGCTGCATGGACCACGGCCTGCACACGAGACGCAACGCTCTGGAAATCATCCGGCGAAAGGCCGAACCTTTCGCGCTCAAGATTGCCGGGAAGAATCTCAACACGCTCCATTATCGAATCTCGCCACAGGCCAAGATCAATCAGGTTCTTCCTCATCCTTGCAATGCCCGCCGGGATGTCACTGGCGGAAGGATCCACGAAGCGGACGAGGCAGATAATATGAGCTGACGTGTCCTCAAGCAAGTCATTAAGGAGGAAGGCCCCGAGAAACCCGGTCGCACCGGTTAGGAAGACCGTGTTGACTTCCTTCAATGACACCATCTTAGTCCTCGGTGGCTTGATCATAGGGTCAAGAACTGTGTCATCTCGCAGTGCCGCGGGCAGATCGGCTTGAACTGCCGCAATCTGTCCATCCCGTATTGCTCGCAACGTCGATACATGCCCTTTCAACGTCGTCGGATCTGCAAGGCGAACCACAGGGACGCGGAAGCCGAAGTTTCGTGAAAGTCGTGCTGCAAGCTCTGCAAGGCTCAAGCTATGTCCGCCCAAGTCGAAGAAGCTGTGCTCGGCTGCAATGCTTTTCTTTGAAACATGAAGCGTTTCCGCCCACAGTTCTGCGACGGTATCTACGTTAATAGGATCCTTGTCTACGTTGAGCTTGTTCGGCAAAGCCTTTGCTGTTGGAGAAGGTAGAGCTTTAAGATCGATCTTTCCAGACACTTCGTGTGTAGGCAGCGCTTCAAGCTCAATCCACAAAGCTGGAAGCATGTACTGAGCGAGGGCTGCCGATAGTGCTTTTCGTGCCGATGGACTGCGCGCTTGATCGTCAATTTCGATGGCTGGCCGCTCATCGGAAACTTCATCAGCTGAATCCCGCACCAGGTAGGCTACTAATTGCCGATCCAGCCCTTCGCCGTGCGCTACCACCACGCAGTCTTTAACAGCTAGGCGCCTGACAATTGCATCTTGTACTTTGCCCGGTACTACGCTGTATCCCCGCAGTTTGATCATGCTGCCTACTCGCCCAGTGATCTCCAACAGACCCGATGGAAGCAGTCGTGCCAGGTCACCAGTCTTATACATTCGTGCACCTTCGACAGGATTGAAGCGGTCCGGTTGGAAGGCTTCTGCAGTGGTCTCGGGTCGGTTGATGTAGCCTCTAGCAAGCATAAGGCCACCAACGTAGAGCTCGCCACTCGTGCCCGGCTCAACAAGTTCACCAGACTCGTCCACAACATAGGTATGCTTTGGATCAATGGGTGGCCCAACGGGACTGTATGAGGAATCTTCCTGCAACATGTCCTTCACATCTCCACAGGCAATCTCGTGTGTTTCACAGGCGCTGTAAACATTGAGCAAGCGCACATTCGGCATTGCCTTGAGCGCTCTTCGAGCTAAGTCGGCCGTGACCACTTCGCCATTGAGCCACAGGGTGCGAAGGTCCGTCAGGCGAGAAGCGAGATCTGAGTGTCGGGATAACACCGTGGCTAGTAGAGTAGGAGTCATGAGCGTTTCGGTGATGCGCTTGGAGCTGAGGAACTCAACCAAGGCGACCGGGTCATAACTGGTCTCGTCTGGGACGGCGACTGTCGTAGCACCTCTAAGCAGAGGTCGAATGATTTCCCAGATAAAGAACACATTGCACGCGACGCGGTCGCCAGGTTGCAAATCTGAAAGGCGAAATCGTAGCTCGTACGAAAGCACTGGCGCACGATGCGGATTTGCAATGCCCTTCGGTTTACCCGTAGTGCCCGAACTGTACGCCACGAAGGAAAGCTTGTCCAGGTCGTGGTCGTCTGGTGCTGACACCTCGCCGTTGGTTTCAGTTCCGTTCCGAGTGGAACTTTCAGCGCCGCCATTGGCGGTGGCGGGAGGTTCCTCGTCCAGGGCAATGAGCGGGACACCTTCCTTGACTTTACCAATTTCCGCTCGATACGTGATCACCACAGCCGGATTAGCATCCTCAATCACGTCCGCGAGTAGTTCTGGCGGGTATGCCAGCTCCAGCACGAGGAAGGCACCATCAGCACGGAGCGCAGCTAGGCATGCAATTACGTAGTCTGCGCTACGAGGGAGAAGAACGCCGACCAGGCTGTCGCGCTTCACTCCATGTCGACTCAGCCGAGCCGCGAGGTCCTCAACCTTACCGTCAAGCTCTGCGTAAGTATACGTTGTCGTCTCGTCCTCTAGCGCCACCGCATCTGGTGATGCTCTGACCTGCTCCCGGAACAGCGCAGAGAGATCCAGGGTCACATCGAGGAGCGGCTTCTGCTCTGTAGCAGCCATACCGGTATATTAGGAAAGATGTCACGCTCTAAGCAGATGGGCAGGAAGCCAGTTCGAACAGAGTCAGCTCGACATGCTGCAATAAACAAGAACACACGTGATAGACAAGTCTAGACTATACCCATTTTGACTTTGCAAAACTCTCACCTATGCCTCAGAACGGGATGATGGGAGGCTTGGAGTCGGCCGGCATCTCGGGCAAATGACGTTCGGATCTGCCGTTAAGGATGTCGCCATCCATGCGACTGGCGAAGCAGCTTCGATGCTTTACGGGTCGTTGACCACTTAACGAAGGTTGTCAAGGCCACTATTCCAAGGTGAGAGGCTTAGGTACTGACGCCATCGGGGTAGCGGCGGCTGTATCCGCAACGGTTTGGCAGGTGTCAAGACGCGCTCATTGTGCTGGTACACGAGCCGCTCGTGCTGGCTTTCGTTACTGCAAGGTAGGGGAGATGGTCTCACGCAATGCCACTGAATTAGCACGGACTGAAGTGCCGGTGCCAGCGGCAGAGCGTGGCCTCAAGCCGCCTGCACCTGGTCCGGAAGCTGGTTTTACCCGAGGCACAACCGTTTCGGGGAAGAATGAGTGACGTTACAACCAGCTACTGTGGCTACGAGAAAACAAAAGTTACGCCTTCCACCCAGTATAGCGCTGCCAACGTACGAAAAGCGCCTGGCAGGTTCACCATCATTAGTGCTTAGAACCAGCGCCTACGCATGCTCCCACTTGTCACCTTCGCACCTCTTACCGGATCGTAGTAGCCTTCGTCAACCCAGCCTTTACAGTTGCGCCGCCCACGCCCGCCAGGTTCGGTGTGCCTGCCTTCTTTTCAAACACCTTCCAGAATTTCAAGCTCTCATCTGCCGCGGCCGTAGCGAGCATCTGGCCATCGGGACTCAGCGCGCTATGCAGTACACGCGACTCGTGCGCCGGAATCTCGATGTTCTTGACAAGCGTAGGGTAGGACCAGATGGAAAGGCTGTTGTCTGGGAAGCCCGACGAGGAAACGAGTTCCTTGTAAGCGAGCGACCAGCGCAGCGAGGTGACTTGGCTGCCGGTGTCAATGCTGTTGACGCGAGCGCCGGAGGTTGTGTTCCAGAAGTGGATGTTCCTGTCGTGAGAGCCGCCGCCGGTGGCGAGGAGGTTATTTTGCCAGGGGCACCAAGCGAGAGCCTTGATGGCTGCCTTGTGGTTTGTCTTCTGGAATTTGGGCGCGGTAAGTACGCGCGCATCCCAGATGCTGACGAGGTTGTCGTTGCCACCGGTCGCTAGCTGTGCGCCGTCGGCACGCCACTCGAGGCCGCAGACTTCGGAAGTATGAGAGACTAGCTCTGCGACCTTGTGCTGAGCGATCCGTACGTCGTGGTTGAAGACCAAGCCTGAGCGGGCGCCGGTTGAGAGGATGTGCTTGTTCCAGCCCATGACTGAGACGCGGGTGTCGTGACCGTACATTGAGCGTAGCTTCGTGCCTTCCTCGACATCCCAGATTTGGACTTCGCCTGAGCCGAGACCGGCAGCGACATAGGCACCATCGCCGGACCACTTGACAGAGGCAATGTAGGTGTCGGAAGGACATTCAAGTAGGCTAGAGACAGAGCCAGACTCCGCGGACCACACGTAGACGTTGCGCTCTAGACCGATGGCAACTTGGTTGCCGGACGACCAATCCAGGAGGTTGAGGTAGTAGTCGTCCACGAGCCCTGGTGCGTCAAGTACGCGTTCGGGGGCTGTAAGTACGCGACGACGGAATTGAGATGCTGACGCTGCCGCAGGCTTGAGAGGTCGGTTGTACTGTGAGCGAAGATCGATCGGACGCGAAGACTCAGGTGCTGCTGGCTTGAAGGCTAGGATGCGTTGCTTGATGCTGACACCACACGCCTCAGCCACTGACTGCTGGTACGCAACGGTGTTCGGGCTGGCCTTTATCTTTGGTGCCTCATCTTCGTCGTCCTCTTGATGGTCGTTCAAGCTCAAGCCCTCAAGTGAGAATGTCGAGGTACTGTCGGATGAAGAAGAATGTGGACGACCAAGGCCGAAAGCGCTGGCAGCACCTGCAGCAAGTACTGCCGACCCATCGCTTGCGCTTGACCTTGGTCGCCGTCCAGGGGTAGGCTCGTTTGAATCGAGCTTGGCTGCTGCACCGGAAGAGGAGATGCCTTCGCTGGCGTTGCGGTTCGGTATGAAACGATCCGCCACCGTGTAGTTGACCTTGCTCTGGGTTCGCTTTGGCGTCCGATGCACTGAGCCTGACCTCCCACTCCGAGAGCGAGAAGGTGTATTCTTGGCTGACGTGGCTGTGCTAGGTCTGGGACCAGTGCCATTTAGAGTGTGGTCGCTTATGCCAAGATCGAGCCTTCTCGGCGAGTCCTTTGATGGGCGGCTGACGATGTTTGACTTGGGCGAGTCTCTGACATTGGTCTTGGACACGGACCTCGAGAAGCGGGCGAGCAAGTTGACGTTGCCGTGGTGGATGCTTTCAGTCTGCACGCTGGCCTCCTGGATCACCTGCGTTCGGGGCGTCTGGGACGGGGGCGTGAGAGGTGCACGGCCGCCAGCAAGGCGAGTAGAGAAGATTCCATCATGACGGTGTTTCGATGGGGTGAGTAAGCTTGTCATGTCTGCTGTTGCTGTTTGGTGTACTGCAATACACAGTTAGTAACCGTGTTGTCATGTCCTCCGGGATGCAAATGCTTACGACTCCAACTGAATGGGTCCGCTGTTAGTATTCCTGTGTTAGTGTGTGCAGACAAATGGACCGTCGATGCGGAGAAGATGCTTTGGTAGAGCCTAATGGCTGGAGTATGCTTTGCTATGTGTGTGCGATGGTGCTGAGCGAAGTTCTCCAGTTGAAGTTGAAGCTTTTATTTACCTGTCGCCAAGCCGTTGCCATGTGCCTTTAGCGTTGGTGGTTGGCTGACGGGGGGTTCCGCATTCGCACCTTCTCCATACGTCGAGCCGTTAGATGATCAGTAACATGCTCTCGGTCCATTTCATGCCACCTTCAAGCCTTTAGGCGGACATACACGCACGAGCTGTGCCACACAAAGTGAACCTCGACCATATGCGAATCCCTCAGCAGCCCTATACAAATAGCTGAACTATCATCGTCTTGGCGCAGCAGGCCTCCGATGTCGCCCAATCAGAGGGCCCTCCCAGTACCTCCGACTACCCAAGTGCTCGCCTTCTCAGTATGAGTCTAGGCAGCACTTTCGTGCTGAGCGGCTCGCCTCAGCGCGGCGGTAGGCGGCGAACTGGCGAGCCGTACATGCCCAAGATCATCACCACAGTCGGGCAACGACCCGCATGCTTAGTCAATGCTTCCGTAACGTACGTCGGCAACGACTTGATTTATGCGTTCGGCGGCTTTGATCAATACACCGACGAAGTGTACAACCACGTGCTCAAACTCAACCTCGCGGCGAAGCAATGGAGCTTGGTAGACAACTACGGTGACATTCCGGGAGTGCGTATGGGGCATACGTCGTGCTTATGGCAGGGTGACAAGCTGTTGGTCTTCGGCGGCGAGAACGAACACCGGATACATCTGTCCGACGTGGTCATCTTCGACATTAAGACTGCTCACTGGACGCAACCCGACATCAACGGCCCGATCCCGCGCGGTAGAGCGAGACATTCAGCTGTCATTCATGATGACAAGCTGTTCATCTGCGGTGGTATGAGCGGTAGCGAGAACGGTGTGTTGGACGACATCTGCTTCCTGGATCTCAAGACGTGGACGTGGAGTCGGACATGGCGGTTTGTGCCACGGTATGACCACTCAAGCTGGGTTTGGGGCGGGAAGATCTGGGTCAGCGGAGGCATGGGTGAAGAGATGGAACGTACGAACGAGGTCTGGTGGCTCGACTTCAGGGGTGCTCCAGCCTTCGAAGGCGGCCCGTCGTACGGCTCCATAGCTGCCGACGATGCAAGGCCGCTCAATGAGCAGTACCAAGGCTGGAGCTACCAAGCGACCGGAGGTGCTCCTGCGATGGGTCCGTCTGGCTATGCCTCTAACACAAGCGCTGTGCAGTCCAACTCTGCAACGCAGCTCCAGCGAAGTCCACCGGTAGCGCCTGGCGCGATCAGCAGCGTCAAGTTTATATCCTCGCCGAATCTGCCAATGCAAAACGTTGGCTCCCATTTCCATGTGTTCAGCTCAGGCTGCATGCTCGACTTCGTTACTCCCGCGACGAACATGCCGCTCGAGACTTCTCTTTCTGCGCTCGACCTCGACACCCTACGCTGGCAGAAGCTAGCAGATGGCAAGGACCTGTTTTCTCCATTGTATCGATGGCATTATTGCTGCCTAGATGCTGATGGCACGCACGCCTGGCTTCTTGGCTGTCCACGTGAAGTGCGCAACAACAATGGCAATGGCGAGGCCGAGGAGTACCTGAGCGATGTGTTGCCTATTGACCTTCGCAAGTTCGGGCTGTTGGGCAACAAAATGAGCCAAGAGGCTCGACTTGAGCAACGTATCCCACTATCGGATACGAACAGCTCGTCGCACTTGTCGGCAATTGGGGCGGATCTGGCGCGGACATTCAACCAACCTCCGGAGACCGCCTCTGGAACCGACTTTGTAGTCACTGCGCTGCGCGACGATGATTATCAGCTCGAAGAGCTATCGGAGGATGGCTCGCCGGCAGTCAGCCACTCCATATCGGCGAACGTGCCGTCTGCGCCGCCCTCTGCGGATGGCTCAACGACAAGTACAAACACTTCTCAACCAATCCACGTTCACCGCTTAATTCTTAGCGCACGATGGCCACATTTCGCACGGCTGTACAACGCACAAATGTCCGAATTCCACACCCGCCGCATGCACATCCCAGAACCCTACCCAGCCGTCAAAGCCTTCCTCTACTATCTGTACACCGACAGCATATCCACCCCTCATACCGCCGCCGCCGACGTTGCATTCGAACCTTCCGCCGCAAGCCCCACGCTCGAGGACGTCGCGAATATGCTTGTAATGAGCAATATTTACGACATGCCCCGCCTTCGCCACCTATGCGTCAACCGTCTCGTGCGTGATCTCGATGTGCAGCATGCGGCGCTGATCTTCGACCGCGCTTCCACGGCACAAGAAGACTGGCTCAAGCGGAGGGCGGCAAGTTTCTGCATGACGCATTGGGGTCGTGTAGTGCGGACTTCCGCTTTCAGGAACCTGAAGCGGAGCGCCATGCTTGAGCTTTGCGAAGGAGTGGACGCCGAAGGCCGGGTGGTCGGTGGCGATGAGCTTGAAGCTGTCGGTGGACTTGGTGGGGCTAGGTTGGGCAGCGGCATGTTGGGGGGACTGTGGGGCGGTGGCCGGAAGCGAGGGCGGCTCGGTAGTGCTGGTGCCGCGACGCTTGACGGGGAGATGGACGAGGACGGTGGGTCGGCGGTTGATGACGAAGGCATGGAGATGACATGATGCTATTATGCTGTGATGCTTATGGCGTGGTTTGTCGTCCTGCGTTACTGCGAGGAGCTTACGGAGTCTATGTTACTCGTTTGTTCGCATCCTCGAGCGAACCGACATGTTCTCTAAGGCATGGGGTGAAGTGAAATGAACACCAAAACCGAACACCACCGTGTGCACAAACCCTCGATGCTGTCAATGCGATACTCAGCTCGAGCAAGTACTCACTCTTCTCTCTTGGTCGACGAATCCTGACCAGTGGACTTGGAGACAGTCAGTGGGTTGCACGCACAGACAGAGACAGCTCCATTGCAGTCACTAAAGCACAATCGATCCTTCAAGCAGCTAAGTCTTCAAATCCCCCAACCCCAACGGCCACTCCGGCCGATTATGCGTGCCAAACTTGGCCTGCCACGCGAAAAAGTAGAAAATCGCCGCCAACGGCTGCCCGAAGAAGCAGAACGTGATCCAAAAGATCAAATTCCCCGCCAAGCGCCCATTATGCCCCTTCATCCTCGACAGCGGATCCGTCAGATAGATCAGCGGAATCTGCGCCACCATGCCCATAAACGCCACGCCCAGGATGTTATGCGTTGGCACGCCGACCAACATCTCGTGCAAGATCCCGCTGAAGAGGAAGGTGATGAGCTGCGCGTAAACGGGATTCATCCCCCTCCCCACCATCGGCGCGTAGATGTGGCGTTTCATGAAGTGCGTGACGGGTTTGTTCCAGCTGGTCCAGTACGTGCGCAAATCGGAGCTGTTCCACCAGTCGCTGTAGAACTCGCGGTCGCCGAAGCGGGTGAGCTCGGCGAGGAGGTTGAGGAAGGATTGGAAGAGGGCGAAGAAGCCGGCGAGCCAGCAGACGAGGGAGATGGTGGAAAGTTTGAGCACGCGTTCAAGGATGCCGATGAGGTTGAGTTTCGAGATGTCGTCGAGGCTGTTTTGGAGCAGGGGGACAGCGTATTGCGCGCATGCGACCCAGATGACGATGGAGAGGAGAAGGAGCTCGGAGAGGCGGCGGACGATGAAGTCCCAGCGGCGGGTGGGGGAGCGGGGGTAGACGGGTTGGTAGACCTAATCATAGCGTTTTAGTAGTGTGTAGGAATTATGCTCAGCTGAGGGCGAAAGCATACCAGAGTCGGCGCCCACCAGAAGTAGCTGAGGTTCTTCAATGTGATGTTGTTCGGATAAGCGCAGGACTTGTACAGCGCGGGGATCGCAGCGCCGTCCGCTGGGTCTGCATTGACGTATGCGTGCCTCATGTCTCTATTGGTGAAGGCATACGAACAAACCTTGAGCCATACAATCACCGCGTGAAGTTCGGCAACAGTCGCCAAGCCGGGATTGTGGATGTAGTGGTACACCACATACGTCGAGATGACCAGCATGAGCGTGGCGTTACTGCCATGGCAGAGCGCAATCACCCTCCACGTGGAGAAGAGGTGGCGCTTGTGCTTCTCCGCTTGCTGCCCGTCCTTCCGCTCTTCCGCCCTCTTGCGTTCGGCAACTTTGCCTTTCGCGTATTGGGCGGCCATAGCCTCGATCATATACGCGACGAAGAGGAAACAGGGCGTCAAAGCGTATAAGATGCCGAAGTTCCGCCAGTCGCCCGGCTGTAGTTTGGCGCCGGATAGGGTGACGAGCAGGCCGTACTTCTTGAAGTTCTCGACCATCAAGCGAAGGTTGGAGGCGACCAATACCAGCCCCATGAGGTTGCGGAAGCCGAAGTACGAGGGCGCGACTTGCGCGTCGTAGCTGAGGCATGACGTGCGGTTTTCGGCGTGGACGGCAAAGGTGTGCTTGTAGCGATTTGACGATCTCACGTCCTTTTGCACTTGGCCTGGTGTGCCATTGGTGAGTGTAGCGCTGCTGCCGGGAGTTGGGTGGCCGTTTGGCTGGCTGGTAGACGTGGTCTCGGTGGCTTGTGAGACGGCCGCCATAGCCACTACCTATGTGGAGTGAAGGTGTTGCTATGGGTGAAGAATGAGAGCTGTTACACGCCTACCTCCTCATCATTATTGTGTGATGCTGCTGAGAGCTTACTCGCATAACTGAATGCCATGCCCCTCGCCTGTCTGCTAAGGAAGGAATGACGGCAACGCTGCTGGCTGCCGTTGAGCAAATGTTGGGGTGCGGAGACGGAGGCATCCGAGCATGCCCGCCACGTGCTTGACAGCTCCTTGATTATTCTTTGTATGTCATCAATGTTTGCCGGATCAGAGATCATGCATCCGGTGCCACAGATTGCGAACTCCTCATTGTCCTCCCTCGAAGGTGACAAAGCTGATACCGGAGAGAATTCAAACATGCCGAAAACCCGAAAGCCTACACCACGCACACCATGCAGGCTCTAAATCTCTGGCCCAGGAACTGTTAGGCCACCAGCAAGGAGCGGCCGTTGACTTTCATGCTGGAAATTCGAGACGTGGTGGTCTCGAAACCTACAGGTCATGCTGAATGGCATTCCCCACGGTAGGCCTTTGCATTTCAGTTACTCCTTGCTCGGTTCACGTTCTGCAGACTCGTCTACTTTCAGTCATTATCCCCCATGTTGAGATCGTGATGGCTAAACCTGTCCTACTGACTCCCGGCGCTGACCCGGGCACCGGCGCAGCGGTTGCGACCAAGTTCGCTGCGAATACCTACCGTCTCGCCTCGGCCACCCGAAGCCTGCAACATGATCTGACTGATATAAATCGCCTAGAGCTGTATGCCGACCTGAGCAAGTCAGACACCGTATCAGCCATCTCCGGAAAGGTCAAAGAGCGACTCGAAGTGCCGAACAGTCGTGCTTAACAGCGGTGTGGTCTGAAAGGCCTTGCGCGCCGGTCGACAGCATACAACAGCGTATAGCGGCCGGGCGGACGCCTATAGACGGCAGCGACCCGTTGTCGACCGTATACGTGAACGATTCCATCGAGGCTTCGCCACTAACGTGACTAGCAGAGTGATGGCCGCCACGGGCGGTCACGAAGTGCATCAAATATCTGCCGGACTCTGCGTCCCGAACTCGTTCACATACGCGGGCAACAAGCTCAATAATCTATGCATGCCAGCTGTGCTCCCGTTCGGAACTTCAAAAGCAGCAGTGGCACACACGAGTTGGGGCTGTGTCGACCCTGCCAGCATTTGGATTACAAGTGATCAACCACTGACAAGCTCGCACAAGTGAGATGGAGCTAATGTTACCAGCCAGGTTCCACTTTGCTGTCGATAACCTCGCAGACGGTCGTCCAGCAATGCTTAGAAGGAGTTCCGAGGAGCACGCCAGCCTGTACGTCCAGTTGGCGGGAGGGTCCCAAGGACCGTGGCATTATACCCTCGTGAGCGGCACAGGTTGCGTTGACTTCAAGCGTAGGCAAGCCATGGGATATTGACTTCGAGGCTCAAGCGCGCCAACCGGAACCTGCCATAAGGGCGTCGTGATGGCCTTAGGCCAGAAGATCTGCGGCTTTGCGGCGCGTCTCCCAACCGCGCTTCCATTCGCTCGCTTTCTGTTCGCCGAGCTTCACTTGTGACATTGCGACAGGCTCACACACTCTTCGCTGCTTTGATACCACGCTACAACAACAATTGGCGGCACAAGCGCCTGCGTTAGCTGACAAGCGCAGTCACATACAAGTACTCCTCATCCACCACTATAATAACCAGCATCAGCACAGCGAACCCACCATGCAGCTAATCCAGCTCCCGGGCTTGGAAGTAAATCTGTGCTGTGAGGGCAAGACACTTCCCGAGTACGATGATGAAAGCTTCACTCCGCAAGCGAACAAGAACACCAAATATGTCGAAGTTGTCAATGGAGCCACTTTCTCAGTCGAATTCCGTTTCCTCCCAAACTTCCCTTACATCACGGAAGACACGCAGATACAGGTGAAGTTGGACGGCAAGTTTGGAAGAGCAAATCTGCTCTCCCCGTCGCAAATGGTTGCGTACAGGAGCAATCAGATAGATAGTATCCCAAGCTACAACAAGGGCTCGTGGACGAAGCAGATGTTCAAGTTCGCAGACCTCAGTACTGGCAAGTTTCGCCCCAGACTTTGGCTCGACTGAGCTTCGCTGAACTTGTCTCAGATGATCACGCGGTCAAGGCCTCGCAGATGAACGTGAAGAAAGCGCTAGCGTTGGGGACAGTGACAGCAGAGGTCATTTGCGTGAAAGTGGGCGCACCTGCCCACTGTCAACCCGCCAATACGTTCGCCTCGGAAGGAAAGATTCCAGAAAAGGCTTTGAAGGGGCGTGCTATGTCCATCCAGGCAGAGTAACAGGCTTTCGCTTCCACGGCTTGACATTCGCTGATTGAATCCCAGGCTGTCGAAGGCGGTGGCTTGTGAGGCCGCCACCTACGCGGACGTCACGTATCCGTACGGTCATGATCCTATCGCCACCTTTACTTTCAAGTATCGATCTCGCAGTAAGTGGCCGGCCACAAACCGCACAGTCGGTGTGCTGCAAACACGGCAAGCGCTAAATCTTGACAGGAGACCTCCAGATCGAAGGTATCATCCCACGGAGTCCGTCACCAGTACCGCTAGAAGACCGTGATCCAGACAGCCTGAGCGCCGAAGAGGCACGTGAGCTTGTGCGCAGACTACGCGCTCAAAGGGAGGATCTTGTCCGGGTCAAGCGCGAAGGTGCGAAGCGACAGCGGTCCGCCACCGTTACGGAGAACCATGATGACGATGATGGAGACGATGTAACGATCTCAGAAACCCGTAGTCGGAAGCGCAGTCGGCCTTCTGCGGACTCTGGCGTCGAGCTCGTCGACTTGACTGGGGATTGAGCTATGTGGTAAGCGGCGCACCGCTCGAAAGAGGCAGCTTCAGCGGGAGGACGGCTCCCTATTGAAGCCTGCGGTAAGAGCTTCATGCCATGGACGCATTGTATGCCTGGCGTGTGAGCATATGCCGGCCTTCTGCAGCGGCGCTATCGCCGTTGCGATCTTCATGAACTTTCATCTATACTTGGCGATACCCATGTATTAATAGCATTGACCAAAAGACCGAAAGGACGGATGGAGGGTGGCTTCTCTGGAGCTCAGTCGGAAAACTTGTACGCAAGCGTGGCACAAGAGGATGCTTAGATGCCACTACACTTCATCACACAAGCTGCTAAATTGTGAAGTATGCCTGCGCTGCTTTACATTGACTCTGCTGTTCGCAGTCCAGCCATCATAGTCCTTTGCGCTGCATCAATGTCATTGAGAACAAGGGGTTCGCTGACGACAACAACTTTCCCTAGCAAACGGCGATTTAGCGAGACGCGTCTCGCACCTACGCGACTACCGTGTGCATGACGTAGTGTGTCTGTACTGTGCTGAGCATATCCTATTTCGGAACGAAGATCGTGCAGTGAAGCAGAAGAAAGTCAGCCACAAAGGTGTCAATCCCGTCTGAAAGGATTGGTCTAGGAAGTACAGTTCTTTTAGTTGTAATCTATCTCGTGCAGACGGAGCATGAGCGCCTTCTCATGATCTATACAGCCTACTATGTTTGCATCTGCAGGCCTTTCTGAACTGTCATCTAGACAACGACGCTGTGCGGGGCTTCCTTCTCCTCTGGCGCGTTGAAGATGTTGACGGGCCATCTCGGCTTGTCTGCACGAAGTGGTAAGCATTCCACACTCTCGATCGGTTTGCAAATCAACTTACTCGCGATGTATGGGATGTTATATCGTCTTGCCCGACTTCCAAGTCCATTGATCGCTTCAATATCGCTTGGCGATAGCTCAACCTCTTGGAAATTCTCTCGGATGCGTTGCGGAGTGACTGATTTCGGAATCACGCTGTGACCCCCAACCTGGGACCATGCGAGGCTTGTGTGTTCTTGCGTCAGTGAAGCCACGTGAAGAGGGCGCGCGACGTGCACGCTTGATGGAACTTACACAACTTGAGCTGGAGTAGCGTTCAGCCGTTCGGCGACTTTCTTCACCTCCGGATAGGTTATCACCAGCGGTTCACCGAACATGTTGTTGCCGAAGCCCGAGTATGCGGTGATGTGGATGCCCTTGCCAGCGCAGTAGCTGACAAGCTCCGGCTGCGGTAGCAATGGATGGCGCTCCACCTGGTTGGCTGCGGGAGTGACGCCAGACGCGTTGATGACGGACTCGAGATGCTGGGGGGTGAAGTTTGACACGCCGACTGCACGGGCCTTTGTTTTGTCGAGCTTCGTCATAGCTTTCCAGGTGTCCCGGATAGAGATCTCGTCACTGATCTTGACGTCACCGTCGTCGCGCAGAGGGAAGAGGTCTTGGTGAGGGTTTGCTGAGGACGTGTCGTCGAATGCAACCGGGAAATGCATGAGATAGAGATCTAGGTAGTCCAGTTCCAGCTCCTTCAGACAATCGTCCAAAGCTGCAGCGACGTGCGTCGGACGGTGCTGCGTGTTCCATAGCTTGGAGGTGATGAAGAGATCCTCACGCTTCAGGCCGGGCACTTCGCTAAAGGCCTTCTTGATGCCTTGCGCAACTTCCTTCTGGTTACCGTAGACTTTCGCTAGATCCAGATGGCGATAGCCGGCCTTGATCGCCTCGTGAACTGCAGCTCCCACCTGGCCCGGTTCGCTTTGCCATGTTCCGAAACCGAGCAGAGGGATCTTCGCACCAGTGTTAAGGACTGCTGTTCTTCCTAAAGACATGTTGTTGATAGATTGAGACAAGGGTTTGAGTTGGGCAAAGCTGCAGGCGGCAGCATGCTTTATGCCTTTAAAGCATGGAAAACCCTTTCCCGGTACTGTGACATCTTCTGCAGGTAAGATGTGGGCAGCGGTTTTCGCGCCAATCACGACGGTGCATCATCCACGGTAGGGCAAAGAGAGTAATCCGAGAGCGACACCTGTCCACATCGGCAGATTGTGTAGTTGCGCAAAATCAAGCAGAAGAGCCGACATTGGTAAACCGTAGTGAACACCGGCTCGCTCGATCGTGTTCCGGTGGCTGCAGGTGAATCGGCATCTGAATGCACGCTTGGACCATGCGTGGTTAGTCAGGGCAGCTAGCAGCTGCAACGCCGTAGCGACAGGACGCGCTAAGGAGCAACGGGCAGCCTTGTTTGAGCGGGTGGATCAGCCGCACACTCCTTGACCATGCTGCACGTCACATAGGCATGAGCGGAGTCTCGGTGCCTGACCCTATGGTCGGCGGGGCGGAGACTCAGGCTCAGACGGATGAGAAGCGAACAATGCACGAAGGTGGGGGTAAACACTTGAGGGCGGGAGACGGCGGGGAAGGTTCATTGGTGCAGGACAGACAGGATGGTAAGCAGATTCGCGACGAGCAGAGCAGTCAGCAGGAAATACAACGCGCCGTGAGTGTCAGTGAAGCAGCACTGAACAACCACCATGCCATCGCGCAGAATATCCAGGCCAGCAGCGCAGCATTACCCTCCATCAACACGGCTCTGGCTCCCGCTCACGCTTCCCTGCCGCATAGAAGTCCGTACCACCTCTCGCCGCCATCCGCAGGACTACGCCTCCAACCCATCCATGACGCGCGAAGGTCGTCGATAGACGACAGTCCGTCAGATGTGGTACTTCAAAAGCTGCAAAAGTATCCGACGATATACGAGACGTCTGCGACTAATGAGTTTCCGCTCGGTCAAAACCTTACCTCTCCTATCCAAATTCCAGGCTTCGGCTCGGCTTTGCGAAGTACCCTTTCGACGGCGAGTCTGACTTCGTCCGTGTCCAGTAGCACGCTACCATCACCGTATCTGGCGGCCATGACCGATCTTACACCTCTTCCTTCTCCGCTCGGAGGTGTCGACTTTCCGGGACCTAATTGGCGAAGAGCATTGGCCGGTGCACGATCGCGCCAGAGCTCTTTGACAGACGACTCGACTCCCATAAGCGGTAGGCCATCAAGCCTGCCGACTTCGCCAGAATCACCTCCAGGGAAACGCAAAAAGCCGTACGGCAACCTTGCGCAAGAGGCTGTGTTCGCGAACGCAGTGGCTGCTCAGGACCACCAGCAACAAGTGAGCGTATTCACAACACGTCATGGGCGAAACCGCAGCATTTCCGATTTCGTCCCGGAAGCACTACACAATTTACGACCGCGACACGTGACATTTGGACCGGGCGATGTCGCCACCCTCGAAGCGCAGGAATATCGCATGCATCGCGAAGAGTATCTTGCCGCCCAACGAGGTTTAATTGCGGCAGACTGCGCGGAGAAGCGACTACCTACGCCGCCACCTAGTACGGGCAGCATAGCTGAAAGCGACGAAGCTGACGACGAGCGACCATATCTCGAAGACGGCACCGAGACCGAATACCTCGAGATTCACTGCGGCATTCATAACAAACGAAGGAAATTCAGGCAGTTACGACAGCTCGGCCAAGGCACTTTCTCCACAGTCATGCTCGCGACTACAGAGCGGGTACCAGCTCATCCCACGCCGGAGATTGAGGATATGCTTGACCCGCATAAGCTGGTGGCCGTGAAGGTTGTCGGCTACGGCCCAGCTGGTGGCGCGGACGAAGAGCGGATCGAGACGAGTCTTAAGCGCGAAGTGGAGATGCTCAAATGCGTCTCTCACCCTTCGCTCATACATCTCAAGGCATGCGAATACCAGTCGACGCGAGCGTTGCTGGTCTTGACATACTGTCCGGGTGGCGATCTGTTCGAGCTAGCGAGTCAAAAGCGGGAATTTCTGACTCCGCCTATGGTCCAGCGGATGTTCGCAGAGCTTGTCGGTGCTGTACGCTATTTGCATACCCACTGGATCGTGCATCGGGACATCAAGTTGGAAAATGTACTTGTCAACATGCCGACACCCGCGCTGCAGGAGATAGACGATCCGTTGACTTTCCCGACACCGATAGTGACCCTTACCGATCTCGGACTAAGCAGACGCGTACCACAGCCACCGGAGAGCCCGTTGCTCAGCACACGCTGCGGAAGCGAAGATTACGCTGCTCCGGAGATCTTGCTTGGCCAACCGTATGATGGCCGGCAGACCGATGCATGGGCGTTGGGTGTGTTGCTGTACGCGCTGATGGAAGGTCGACTGCCGTTCGACGCTCCGCCGGGCAAGCCCGATCGAAGCCGAAATACGCACCGAATCGCGCGCTGTGACTGGATCTGGTGCCGATTTGGCGATGAGGACGGCGAGTGGGATAGCACGCATGCGCAAGGATTCGAAGGCGCGAGACCCTGTGTCGAAGGGCTGCTGAAGAAGGTACGAATGGGGAGGAAGCCGCTGGAAGACATCGAGAAGATGCCGTACGTGCATGAAGGAATCCGGGTGGAAGGTGGGCTGCAGATGCGGGAGAGTGAAGATGATGACATGCTGTAACCGGGGCTTCGGTGGTTTTACGGGTAAGTGATTAGATGCTATTTGAGCGAATCGGTGCTGTCGGGGCAGGCGATCTGGCGGACTTTGTACGAGATACCACGGGCCGCGCATTTGGATAGGTACGCAATAGTCACACTGAGGGAGTGTGAGTGACTGATACGCGCAACCAACGGTGCGGGTGGCGGGTGACTTTGTTCGGTGCAAGCTTCTGGAATACCCTTTGTCTTGCTCTCGTAGATCTCCCCGACTCCGCATCAACGTATATCCTTGTATACCTGCCGTTCGTCTTCAGGCGTCTGAGTGTTCCTGTCCATTGACTTCGCGACACTGAGCTCGTCAACGCCAAGGCATCTGATAAGATGGCTGCCGTCGGTGCGCGTTGATAGGGGCGTAGAGACCATGACGCCGCTGACTCGCTCACCGTTGGCACTCAAGATGTATGCTTGACACTGGCTATGCTTCGCTAGAACCTATAGTTTGGTGAGTGTGTGTCTCTAAAGCTACGATGCCCGAGGTGAGTGCCGATATCGTGCCAAGCATCCCGGGCGGCATCGGCGGTTCATAGCACGCTGCAGTGTGGTACGTTGTCCTGCTTTATCTAGACCTTACTTCCGAGGCCCATATCATCTTGCTGCACCCAGACCGTAGTATTATTATTCGACAGCGGCGGCCTTCTATGGCCAACGACGACCGCTATGGCACGTTCAGTGATGCACCTTCTAACAGCGCTGCAGATGCCGCGGAGCCAACACCGGCACTTGCACCTGCCCAACGTAGCACAGGCGGAGCGCACGAGAAACGGACAGCTACAGCGATGAGTGACGCAAACGATGTCCACGACCCGCTGCGGCCACGAACAGCGTCCAGTCAGTCCTCGGCGCAGGCGGGCGTCAAGCGACTGGAAGCCATCGCCTCCACATGGTCGAGGACAGCGTTGTACATCGCTTATCTCGGCATTGGTCTGACAGCGTTTGCAACATCGCTGGAGAGCCAAACGACCATCAACCTTGCCGTCTATGCGACTAGTGCCTTCTCAGCGCACTCTCTAGTTTCTACCGTACTGGTTGTGCAAGGCGTCGTGTTATCCGTGGTCAAGCCGCCCATGTCCAAAATCGCGGACGTCTTTGGTCGCTTTGAGGGCTTCACGTTATCCGTATTCATCTATGTCATTGGCTACATCCAGCAAGCGGCAGCAAACAACGTCAAGACGTACGCAGCGGCGCAGATATTCTACTCGGCCGGGCAAACGGGGTTACAAATCCTGATCCAGATATTCATTGCCGACACCAGCGATCTACTTAACAGGGCTTTCGTTGCAACGCTGCCGGATACGCCATTCTTGATCAATGTCTGGATCGGTCCTACGCTTGCGGATGCGATTTTGACGAATCTGAACTGGCGATGGGGCTACGGGATCTGGGCTGTGGTGCTCCCGGTGGCATTCTTGCCGTTGGCACTTGCGCTATATCTCAACCAGCGTAAAGCAGCTAAACGAGGAATGCTACCAGCCTCACCACTCGAAGGCAAAGACTGGTGGGAGACGGCGAAGAGTCTCTGGTTCGAGCTCGACGCAGTGGGGTTACTGCTAATCTGCGTTGGCTTCTCACTCATACTGATACCATTGACTGTCGGTGCCGAGAGTTCTTGGAAAGATCCTAGCATCCTGGCTATGCTGGTGGTTGGAAGTGTTTGTGTCATTGTCTTCCCATTTTGGGAGCGGAGCAAGACCCTGGCGCCGCGGCCATGCATGCCTAGAGCTTTGATGAAGAACCGGACGTTTTTATCTGGGTTGGCATTTGCGTTCTTTTATTTCTGTGAGTGTTCGAAACGTCAAGCGTTTGAGCCTGAGCTAACCATTGGCAGCGGCCTTCTACCTATCTGTGCTGCCCTACTTTCAGTCCTACCTTCTCGTAGTACACGGCCTGTCAGTCGCCGAAGCGGGGCGGATCATACAGACCTTCACCTTCGTGGCGACGATAACGGCTTTGTTGGTATCTCTGGTCATAAAGTACACAGGCCGCTACCGTATCATGGTTACAGTCGGCTCTTGCATCTACGTGTCCGGATTAATTCTCATGTTGGTGTTCCGCACCGAGCACTCTCGCATTAGTGCCATCGTTGGCGCTCAAGTTCTTATCGGCATCGGCGGCGGAATGTGTCACTTCCCTGCACAGCTTGGCGTACAAGCTTCGGCAAGCCACTCAGAAGTCGGCGCTGCAACCGCAGCTTTTCTCACCCTCCTAGAGATTGGAGGCGCTGTCGGCTCAGCAATATCCGGCTCCATATGGAGCAGCAACATTCTGCCGAAGTTGCAGGCTTATTTGCCGCCTGAGACCAAGGACCGCGCGACAGACATCTTTGGAAGCATCGATTTGGCGGCGAACGGCTGGCCAATGGGTAGTCCAACTCGCGATGCCATCAACTTGGCGTATCAGGAAACCATAACTCGTATAGTGTTCATCGCGGTCTGCATGGCTACGCCGTGTATACTCCTAAGCTTCCTCATGGAGAACTACAAGCTCGATGAGATGGATCAACATGTCAAAGGCACGGTGATCGGCAAAGCTCGACAGGCTTCAAGAGACTTCGAAGCAGGACCTTCGAGTGGGCAGTGTGTGAACTTGCTACACCATGATGACGGCCACGTCGATGGCGATGATGACGAAGACGACAATGATGACAGCAACCTTGACGCGAAAATGCAACCTTTGTTGAGGAAGCAGGGGAAGGCTGTGTGATTGCGATGTAGTACCCTTGGATCATTGCGGTGGTGTTTGTTCGATTTGTTGTGTTCGGAGGATACCCCTGTGCAAGCGAGCAATCTAGCTGCGACGAAGACATGACCTTATTTATCCTACGGGCGCAGCCTCGGCTTAAGTGCGATACAACTCAAAGGCTTCGGCCATCTTCACGTGATTGTGCCTTAGGCGCCAAACTTGACATGTTGGGGTAGAGTACAAGCGGCCTCGAACCTGCAGCAACATCGCTTGAGCTTATTTAGGCGGCGCATCTGCAGCTACTGCACGCCTCTGCCACTACCGAGACCGCTCGTTACAGCTTACTGTCCCCTGGCTGAAAGTCACCTTCAGCAGTCGCATGCATTGCTCTCACCACTTCGATCAAATCACTTTCAGATTCGGAGCCGCGTAGACGTAGGTACGTACGGCAAAGGCAGGCGGGCAGTGAGAGGAGGAACACGCGAGGAGGTAGGAGTGACGCCTCGCTGGCTACGTTGTGTGCCGGCGCGCATACGCACAAGCGGCAAGACCCTGCGCGCGACCAAGGCTGAGCAGTGAAGCTCGCATTCACGAACGGTAATGCGTCTCTCGTGCAGGAATAATTATGGTACTGCGCACATGCTAAGCCTCATAGACAACCACCACCCTCGAAAACGAGCCGGTCACTCCTCCCTTGCAATCTTGCAACGATATCGTCTTGGAGTCCACGTGATATCCACGCAGGGCGAGACCGAGCGCAGGCAAGACGAAGTGCTCAAGCAGACATACTTGGGGTGTTCTAAGAGCCGAGGACAATGGTGGTCGCTACGATAAAGTATGGAATCCCGATCCTCATCCTCGAACCCTCTCTGCTTACCGCAGAACCTCTTCTTGCCTAAAACTGGCCTGTTGCGCACACCTTCTGTTCTGAGCGTCAAAGCAAAACTGTTCGACAGCAGTCACGATGTGCGGAGATGGAATAAGTTGGAACGCGCAGCCGACTTGAGGCCCCTTGCTAATGTGGATATCTGTGCAGGTGTGTGGTCGTCGGTGACGGTGCCGTCGGTAAGACATGTCTACTGATCAGCTACACGACGAACAAATTCCCATCGGAGTACGTGCCGACGGTCTTTGACAATTATGCCGTCACTGTCATGTAGGTGCTTGTTTGCTCCTGAACGCCGGACATATCGCTGATCTTAAGGTCACAGGATCGGTGACGAGCCTTACACGCTGGGCCTTTTCGATACCGCCGGACAAGAGGACTATGACCGCCTTCGTCCGCTCTCGTACCCGCAAACCGACGTCTTTCTTGTGTGCTTCTCAGTCACCTCACCAGCGTCCTTCGAGAACGTCAGAGAGAAGTGGTTTCCCGAAGTGCACCATCATTGTCCTGGCGTTCCATGCCTCATCGTGGGCACACAGACAGATTTGCGAGACGATCCACAGGTGCGCGATAAGCTCGCGAAGCAGAAGATGCAGCCAGTTCGGAGGGAAGACGGTGAACGGATGGCGAAGGACCTGGGTGCGGTTAAGTATGTCGAGTGCTCAGCTTTGACGCAGTACAAGCTCAAGGATGTGTTCGACGAAGCTATCGTTGCGGCGCTGGAACCGCCAGTAGCGAAGACAGGAAAGAAGCGTAAGCTAAAGAACCTGGCTGCATGTCTCACCCATCACTAACAACCGCTCAGGGAAAGGCAAGGGCTGCGTCGTGCTATAACCGATCTTACGTCGCATGAATATCAGTTCTTCTTCGTAGATGTACTTCCGACGGCAAGGCGTGCGGCGTTCAACGGTGCGGATGGGGGACACGGATGGCGCTCGTAGCCTGTGATAGTAGCTCGGCCTGTATGTGCATGCTCACCCACCCTCTATGTGCTAATCGACCGAACGTGCATGTTTGAAGCGTTAAGCTTGGAAATCTGGGAAGGTGCGCTCTGTGAATACGCGTACCTTCCATGTTTGGCTTGAATACATGTTTGTTGACAGACGCAGGTTTGCCCTCACGACTGACGCGGAATTCTAGCGCGAATAACATTCACAAACGAGCTTTCAGCGTGTGCAGAGTTGTTATTCTCAACCACCTCCGCTATTGTTGGGGCTTATAAGAGTAGCAATGATCTTGGATTAGCTGGATGAGTCCCGTTACTGTCATGCAGATCAAAGACTATCAAGCGACCTTGGACTCGCTATTTGCGTCTCCAACCGAGCGAGCTGTGGTCATCGGCAAGATGTCAGAAGCACGACCAGGACCCAATGCATTTGCGCAGCAGGCAGCGAGGGCGGAACGCCACCGGCTCGCAGGAAACGCATTTTATCAGCAGGAGATGGAGAGGCGCAGAGTCACCCCGCCAGGTGCAGTACATCCTGCTCTACGCTCCCACTCCGCCCTGGGCATTGACATGCCGGGTCCGCGTGAGTCGACCGTCACGACTATGCCGCCCTTCCTTAATTCAGGTAGGGAGCCTTCGCCGCCGTTGAAGCTGGTACCTGGCATCGAAGCGGGCATTCTGCCGACAAGGCGCGGTGTCATTGAGGAGCGCCGCGAGCAGATGTTGCATGAAGCGTCTGGCGTGGGCGAGGGGCGCACTCCGGTCTATCAGACATTCGCACCTACACCCAAACCGCTTAGTTCCGAGTTTGCTCAGTCAGGCAAGCCAGCAACTCCGCACAAATCACGTCTTTCTCTGCCGAAGAAAGGCACAACTGCAGGCAACAATGACCAGCTGCCGAAGAGCCCAAAGCGTAACTTCTTCGACAAACTGCGCATGACGAAGCTCAATGGGAGCACCCCTTCCCCGTCAATGTCTACATTGGGTAGCACAGAGGGTCTCCGTGTTGAGCAAGACATGCCGGTCAAAGCCCAGGCGGTGCTTGGTGCCTCGCATTCAAAGGCCAACCTTACTCGCTCACCGTCTAAGCAGAAGAAGGGCATCTTCGCTGCGCGCAAGAACACACAAATGCCCAATGTCAATACTTCAGGTTTCGTGAGTGGTGGCAGACCCTCTTCGGCAAAGAGTGAAGGTGCACCGCAAAGTGCCAGTACTGTAACCAAGACGCCGCAGACTGCTTACTCCGACCCTGCACACTACAGTTTCCAAGGTGGCAAGCATGTTACCTCTCACACTCTCTCCCAGATCAGCACACGCTCTGAGAACGAAGTCAGAAAGTGCGCCGTGCAGCGCACGCAAAGCTTGAAGTATTTCGATTGTGTCGTCCCTCCCACACCGCCCGCGAAGAACACACCGCCCAGTCAGAAAGCTCAGGAGACGGCAGCCGCTGGTTCGAAGTCAACCCGCGTACCTTTCCACCAAACGATGGAGTCAGAAGGCGTGGTCAGCACCAGCGCGCGTCTCAGCCCAACCAAATTCGGCAGCTACGGTCGCAAGGAAACACCTGCTCTTGTCACCAGGCCTAGTATCTACTCAATGCATGCTTCCGTCATCCCTGAGGTGATGGAGGCTAGCGCTTTCGAAGACATGAAGTCTCGTCTCGACGGCTTGGGTCTGGAAGGGTTCAGCATGCCGGGCGAGACGCATCATCGCCACCCAGAAATGGAATACTCGCCAAGTGTGTACTCCGGTGACTGGACAAACAGATCGAGTGTGGTATGGACACCACGTCAGCGACAGCGCTTCTCTATGAATGAGTTGCCGAGTGTGGCAGAGACGCCTGCGTCGAATGGGCACGCTGGTCATCAGGCGAAGGAGAGCACCTCGAGCGGCGAGAGTAAGGAGAGCAAGAAAACGATCGAAGTGTTCTATCCAGACCTGCTCAAGGACACATCGATGCAGCATCCGAGGCCGGAAAGCGTCCTCGAAGCTGGGGATGCCCGCAATCGGGAGTTTCGAGCGGATACCACACTCCACGGTCGAACTCATTCTCGTGATTACAGCAGCAGTCCTAGGCAATCTACCGACGCGAGCTTGTTTGCCATGCCTGTCGACCCGTCCCCAGCTTCGTTCAGCCATCATAGTGCAATGCCGTCTCCACTGCATTACCTACCAGCCACCGTCTACACACCACCTCCGAAGGCAAGTCGCAAGCACAACACTACCGCTACCAAAAAGCGTTCGGACTCTGTGTCTCCGTCTCGTGGCGAGAGCCTGCTACAAAATGCACCGCTATTGCAAGCTACCTCGAAGGCTATTATGAGACCCATCTTCAGGACAGCCGCAGGTAGACTCCCTGAAGGAGCGGAGAACGTGGATCCTGCAAAATCTGGTATCAGGCATAGCAACTCCGACAAGCAAGAACAAATCGTCGAGATGCTTAACACCCTCATCGCTCGCAACACTGACATGGCTGCTATGCGTGAGGAGCTGCGGGCGGCAAATGCTCGGCTCGACGCTCGGCTCGCGGCTGTCGAGACTATGCATCGATCGTCGCCGTCCCCGAATGCTTCATGCATTGAGCTCGACGGCCCTGAGCATGGTGTGGATATCATCAATCGCGACAGTCAGATACGCGTACCTACGGACACGGCGCATGCGTTCTACAAGCTCGGTCAATCTTCCGACACACCCTCGTCGCCGCCGGCAAGCCTTGCTGGAGCCGGCTCGGATGAGCTTGCGCAGACAGAAGCGAAGAAGATCATGGTGTTGGAGAAGGAGAATCGGCAGCTTCAGGAACTGATGGCGCGATTTGCGGCGGATATGGAGCAGATGAAGAGGATGCTCGCTGATAGGCAGTAACTTTAGCAGGATGGTCCTAGACAGAGTGATTGTCTAGGAGGGGCACGCGTTCGTATTGGTCTTCAATAGTACAGCAATTCTCTACTCGTGTCAGGAGACCTGTTCACATCGTTGTCGCTGCCTAAAAGCCTTATGCGCATGACTAAGCGTATCGCTCGTTCTCGACTTCAACCTAGATATCACGTGCCACTTCCATCGTTGCAACAACATCCACAAAGGACACTTAAATATGGATCAATCGCGCGCTCTCACGGCCCTGGAGCCATACCTCGCCCTTGCCAAGTCGGCCACGTCGCCGCGAGCAGCTGCCGACCTGATCACACAAGCGACCTCCTCAGCCAACACATACGTCTTCGCCGAGCTCTTACAGCAACCGAACGTACAGGCTCTCGCAGGCAATGAGCAGTATGGCGGTCATCACGAGCTATTGAGGATCTTCGCTTGGGGCACTTGGGAGAGCTACAAAGGTGCCAACCCAAAGCCAGCTATAACAATCCAAGCTAATGCATATCACACAGCAACACCCACCCTCCCACCGCTCTCCGATGCCCAAACCCTCAAGCTCCGCCTCCTCAGCCTCCTCACCCTCGCCGCCCGAAAGCCAACGGCCTCCGGGCCCTCCAACCTCAGCTACACAACCCTCTGCGCCCGCCTCGACCTCCCCTCCCCCGCCGACCTCGAACAGCTAGTCACGCAGGCAATCTACGCCGACCTGCTCACTGCAACCCTAAACCCCGCCGCACAAATCGTCGTCATCACCTCCGTCGCTCCACTCCGCGATCTGGGCCCGGGGAGCATCCACGCCATGATCGCCGAGCTCGCCGCCTGGTCTGGACGCTGCGATTCCGTGCTTGGCGAGTTAGAGGCGGAGATCGCTAAGGTCAGGGCTGATGCGAAGAAGCGGAGTGTCCGGGAGGCGAAGGCGAGGAGGCAGATTGAGGCGGTTACGGATGAGGGTGAGCAGGGGAAGAAGGGAGGTGTGTTGGGCGACGGTAGGGCTGCGACTAGGAATGCGGGCAGGAGTGGTGGGGCTAAGACGGCACAGGGAGAGGATGAGGATGATGACCCGATGGAGGTGGATGGTGGTATGAGTGGCGGCGGAGGCGGAGGGTTGGGCGGTGGTGCAGGCAAGAAGAGGAGTGCGGGTGGCGGCGGCAGCGGCGGGGCTTTTGCAGGGATGATGGGGAAGTTCAGCAGTAGGAGTAGCAGGGGGTGACGAAATATTTACGAGTTGGACGAAGTTCATGTGCGGTAGCAGCAGTTGTAGTCTGCCAGATACGGCATCTGACCGGGCTGTTCATGTAGCGGCAGAGGCATCGTGCTGCCATAGCCTCTATCGAGTGCAGTTGATAGCCAACTACCATGAATGAAAGCAAGCAGGGCGCCTATCCAGCAGCCCATCATCTCGCCGAACGCCACGCTAAATTCCTGATTAACTGCCATCCCGATCACTCCAGCGTCTCTGCGGGGCGCCCGACGGAACGGATCCACAGAGAAGACATTGCTCTCAAACCGCCATCTCCCCTCTCCCCCTACTCATCGTCCTAGCAATCCTAATCCTTCCATCCTCTTCCTCAGCCCTCCACGTCTCCTCCCCAGGCAGCAGCACGGCCCGATCGATCGCAACCGGCAAACCCCTATGCCTGCCCCGCAACATGACCGCACACAGGATCAACTTACTCAATGTATGCCAGCTCCCGCAGAAACTGTAAGCCGCCCATGGCAAGCCCACTGAGATGCCCACGCAGCCTACGACACGGACAAGGTCAGCTGATATTGCGGGAACTGTGAGAAGGGTGCGCTTCTGCTGACTTACCGTAAGCGCTAACGATCTCGAAAAGGAAGTTGAAAACGCTGAAGACGGATGGGTTTTCAACAAAGAGTGGGTTTTCGATGATCATGATGAGGATGAGAGCGAGCACGATCCACCACGCGTCGTGAGCGAGTTGGGCGCGGAGCTGGTGGCGCACGAAGTGACTATTGCTTTCTCCAGGTTTGGTGGGGAGGATGGTGGAGCGGATGGTCTTGGCGCGGCGGAGGAAGAAGCCGTCGCTGTTTGCCGTACCTGTAGCCATGACGTTACCAGTCTCCGACTTCGCGCCGTCCTTGTCCTCGTCATCGTCTTCTTGATCTTCAGCGTAGATGCCCAGCGAGCGTTCCTCGTAGACGTTGCTGTTGCGCATGGTGATGACGACGGGGTAGACGGAGATGTACATCATTACGACGTAGAGGGCTTGTAGGCTGATGCGCACGCTGGGAATAGCGACGACGTAGAAGCCGCCGCTTCGGACGGCAAAGGCTTGGAAGAGGCCGTCGATGACGCGGATGTTGGTCGGTAGACCCGAGTTGAGCTGGCTGTTGCCTATATTAAGCACCTCGAACGCAGCCCAGTCGATCCCGTTTAGCATAACGAGGGCGAAGAGCAGCCACCAAGTGTGCTGTGCGGGGAATAGGTTGGTGTAGCAGCGGCGGGGATGGTCGAGTAGAAAGCGGAGAGTCTGGGCTCGTTCGTCCCACTCTTCGCCTTTGAACAGACCGGAGGTTACAAACTTCCACATGCACCATATGATAAGACGCAGGAAGATGGGGTAGCACGTGTTGCCGGCCAGGATGAGCATGGACATGGTGATGAGCATGTAGTAGCTGCGCTGGAATGCCGTCATGTTGGCGTCGAGAAGGCTCATGCCGGAGTTGTTGAACGCGGAGACGGCATTGAAGGCACCCACCCACCATGGATTGAGTCCGTTCATGCGTGCGGTGCTCGCGGCGTTGTGAGCAACCCACGCGGCGCATCCGATGGCACCGAGGAATTGCCACAGTACAAAGTACACCGGTACAAGCCAAGAAAGCAGGGAGATGGCGCGGTACTCGCAGCCGCCGAGCTTCTCGCGCTCCTTCTCCGACAGGCCGTGGAACTGACTGTTTCTCGCAATCCAGCCGGTGGCAGATTCGAAGTATTGGCTGATGTCGCCCAGGCTCCTGCCGTGCGGTTGAGCGGGCATGTTAGCAGGTTGTCCAGCGGTCGATGTCGGCTGGCTTGGGGTGGTCGGACTCAGGTTAGCATCGGGCCGTGCGCCAACACCTTGGAAGTTGAAGATGTTGCTGTTGCGACGACGACGAGGCTGCAACATGCCGTCTTGGATAGGAGAAGTTGGCCCAAATCGAGTGTCGCCCGCAAACGTTATTCCAGGGGTGGGCCCGCGATTGGATGACGCGTTGTCTCCTGGCAGAGTTTCTTCCTCGCCATCAGACACTGCGTTGTCGTTCATTTCCGCCCCGCCTCTGCGCGCAGGAGGAGTCATGTCGCGTCCTCTTCCCTCAGCGTCAACAATTCCGTCTAAAGCGCTGTATTGCCTAGGTATCTGTCCGGTCTCGTTGCCGGTAATGGACTGGTTTTCGGTCGCAGGTTCCAAGTGATCCTTCTCCTCCAACGCCTTGCCAGCCTCGACGCCTCTCGTTGCTGATCCCGACCTGCGCCTCGACCATGTTCTTGCCCTTACCCTTGACCTGCTCCTGCTCCGCTCCCGCCGCCTGCGCTGCGCCGCAAGGAAATCACGAAACTTACGCTCAAACGTGACCTTACGTACCTGTACTATCCACGCTGAGACGAAGATGGCCGAGCCTAGAATGATCAAGAAGAACAAGATGAACTGCTGGAACGTGTTGAGCTCCGACAGATTGACAGTGTCTAATGTACATCGGTGGGGGGTCAGCTATCAAAGATCGGCGGGGACTACACATCGCTGCACTTACTGAGACCAGCCTCGGTCATTGCCGAGACGGATAAGAAGAGGCTGTCGGTGAAGGTGACCTTGGTTTCGGTGTTGCTGACGTAGAAGATCCAGGCCGCATTGAGGCATACAATGCAAAAGTAGGCCCAATGTACGCTGATGAAGTTGAGGGGTGGGAGTTGACGGCCCATCCAGCGCAGCGGTTTGTTGAGCGGCCCAAGATTGGGCGCCTTCAGCTGTAGCATCCTCGCCATGTCCTGACTCTACACTGTTCTAGCGAGCTTCTCTACTACTATATGCTCGTTGCATCTATCGCATGGTGATTGTATGTTACTTCAATGGTTGTCGGTCGGATGGTGTTGTGGTCTACCAGTAACGCTGCTCACTGCAGCCCTTTTGCCCGGCTGCCACGAGGGTGTAGCATCCTCGCGGCGTCACCAACGAGCGTTCCAGATGCCCCGCCAGTGTTGGGAGTGAAGCGTGAAGCTCACCGAGCTGACAATGTGAAGTGAGGGCAAAGGGAGGCTCGCGGTATCCTTGGCGCTTTGGGCTGAAACGGGAACCGAGGCGGACTAGTGACGCAAGAGGAACGCAAACGACTCTGAGAGCTTGCTTGCCCTCTGCCTTCGAAGCTCCGTTACTCTTCGCGCCCGTCTCAATGCAGCTCGGCATCCATCCACAAACGATGTCAAGCTCGACTCCCATTGCCAAGTACGCCATCTCTTGGCCATTCGCAACCGCCACAGTTCTCGCCAGCACAGCCACTGCTGCTGTACGTCACAGCACCCCTCCACCACATGCGACTGCCATGTGCTCAGTTGCAGGTGTGAGAAGCAGGTTGTTATTAGTGTAGGTTATGTATTCACAACTCGTCTCGTCTCAGTCCTTCTTCCTCTACGTCTTCTGAAGCTCTATACCTCGTCCTGCTTTCCTCCTACATAACAACTCCTGCTACCCCTCGTTATACTGTGGGTGACGCCGGCGGGTTGCTCGCAACTTATCTAGGACTTCCAACTACCTCCCCAACAATCATGGCTGGTCACAAGGAGCCAAAGCTTCTCTATACCATCCCCGGCATCAAAGCCTACCACATCCAAAATGGCGAGGAGCAATCACTCACACCGTCTGGCCCGCAGACTCTGAGCTTGTTGATGGTGCCGACGAGCTCACCCTTTTCCGGACTAAGCACGACGATACCACAGAACGAAGCGCCGGATGAAGACTTCTACCTCCATCTCAACCTACCTCCGGAGCTTGATCTGCCTCTACCCGCAACAACGCAGATCTACCACCAGCCACCCAACTCTTACTTGATACCACGCTGGGATTTAGGACCTGACTCTGGTGCATTTACCCGCATAGAGTTTCCGCGGATCGGCTACGGCGTGACCCAGGAGGATAAAGACACCTTCGAGACCATCCTCGCACAGTGTACGGCCTTCCTTGAGCGCGCCAAGCCGCCGCTTCCTTCTCGTCCGGGCGAGAAGAGCGCCTACCACCCAGCAGACTACGCACCGGGTGGCAAGTATGCGTCCAACGAGAAAGGTCAGCCACATGCCGGCCAGATTGTCCTTATCGATGAGGATAACGGCTCCGTAGTTGGCGAGCTCGGCGGCGACGCCAAGATCTTCGAAGATGCTAAGCTCAAGCCTGGCTCCAAAGACCCTGTCGAGGTGCAAGTGAGTGAAGATGGCAAGCGCATCGAAGTGCGGCCGGTGTCAGAAGACTATCTCCGCATGGCCAAACATCCGGCATACAAGGATTCCAGCCTCGTCAAGAACGCAGCCACTGCATCGCGGCTCATCGTTACGGGCAGCTCATACATCGGCAATATGCTATCATCTTCCGCGGACAACTTCACGCAAAAAACGAAGCCTCTCCCGAAGCCGCTGGAATTCACAGAAGCCACGCACGCCAGAGCAAGGAAAATCAACACCTTCACCCAGGGAGCGGCAGGCTTGTCGTCAAAGACCGTCGGCCAAGCGACGAACATTGTCCAGAACCTGGCTGCAGGCATGTCCGGGCACAAGAAGCATAGGCCGCTCAAAGGTTACGACGAGAAGGGCCGGCCTCTCGGACCCGACGACGGCTACAAGCCTGGGTTACTCAACAAAAGCATGATCGCCTTCTCCACCATCGCAGACGGCATCGCCTATTCGGGCAAGAATCTGCTCACAAGCTCCGGTGCTGCCGCGACGGCGGTGGTAGGCCACCGATACGGACCCGAGGCTGGCGCCATCGCGGCAGATATCGCTGGTGGCGTCAAGAACGTCGGTCTGGTGTACATTGACGTTACGGGTGTGTCGCGTCGGGCCGTGATCAAGTCTGTGGCTAAGGGCATGGTTGTTGGTCGTGTGAGGGGGGGTGGTGAGGTTGTGGTTGGTGGAGGCGATGGAGGCGTTATTCCGGAGGAGGACCGGAGGAAGATGGAGGGTAAGGAGGGCGTGCAGAATGAGAATACGCATGGAGCGGGTACTGCGTATGGGCCGACTGGAGGAGAGTACCATCCGGTTGGATTCGGAAATGCTGCCCCTCCTGTCTACCAGGAGTTCGGACAGAAGAGGTAGATCTGCACGAGCAGTTACCTGAGCGAGCCCTCCCCTGTTTCTTCTACCGCCTGAATCGATGCTAGCCTTAGCACATTGAGTAATCGGCCACTACGAGTATATAGTGAGTATGACCTAACTCACCGCCTCTGACGAGGATAACCATTTGCCAGTAGTCCACAACGCATGTACGTCCGACCCGCTTGCGCAAAGCGGTGCAACTTGGGAGTTCGTGGAAGGTGTGCATGCAAGGCTTGCGTATTCGCCAGTCGCCTGAAAGCTCGCTAAGGGGTGGTGGCTGTGCTCCACGAAGCCTTGTCCAAGCCCAGAAGCAGGACAAGCACGCTTTCGCGGTGATCTTGCTTTGAACTCTCTTCTGCTTCTGCTTTCTGGCGACATACGATCTAAAACTGCCCACCTCATCACTTTTTCGTGCGCGCAGTGTGAAGTCAGAAACCGCGATGGATGGGGTAGCGAGCGTCCTGACTTTCCTCGACGCCGTTCGCAAGGGTGTAAAGCTTGCGAAGAAGGTCTACGATGCTCCACGAGAACTGGAGGAGCTTCAGGTGGAAGTTGAAACGTTCACAAGTGTACTGCACGATGTATCGGGAGATGCTTGCGAGTTGCGGCGAGCAAGTCGCTCCTTCGATACGTCTCTAAGCATGACACAAGCTTGCCTAGTCAGCATACAGCAGCTTATCGAGTACCAGCTCGTCAAGGAAGTTCCGGAAGGAAAAAAGACGAGACGTACCGCATGGCTCCGTGAAGTCGGGCACGTACACCAGCTTCTTCAAAAGCTCAGTGAGTGCCGAGCTGGTGTCGTCCTGGCTCTGAGCTGCGAGTCTGCCGTCACGGTCCGAAGATCTGAGACCACGATTCGAGAATTGCAGCGAATCGTCCACGAGAAGAGCGCAGATCTCAGTCGCACTCTTCTCGAGTCGCGAGACGAGTCTCATCAGGCAAATAACCAGCTCATAAAGCGACTTGATGCTGCGTTCGAGCAAAGTTGGGAAATACACAGAGCTTCGCTTGAAGCAACAAAGACCCAATTTGAGCAGCTGGAAACGAAACTTGCTCGACTGTTAAGCTACGGGCATGGTTCCACCCTCCTCCCTGCTGTGGGCCAGGAGCGCATTGAATGGTCCGCGACTGACACCTCGCTTGGAAGTTACACTGCTCTTGGAGCTCGAGAATTTACGCACATCAGGAGGAACACTGGTTGCAGTGGGATGGTTAGCCACTCTATCGAACGTAGTCCTGTGGGCACCGTGAATGAAGGGCACAGTTTACCTCGGGATAGCTTCCCGTGTGCAGCCGTCCTGCGGGTACTTGACGCCTGCGCTGCTGGACATCTCGGTTGCTCGTCGGCAGTGGATGAAGTTAAGACGGAATTGCCCACACGAGTCGTCGAAGTTGGTGTCGAGGGCGACGAAGTACGATGTCCAAGACTGGGAAGCAGAGTCAGGGCAGATGCACCTTGTATATGGGCAAGCAGCCCTCAACGTTTCAGCTGGCTCGTCTCCAGATCCGACTTCTGGACTACTCCGGGGCGCTGGTATGCCACAATCCGTGGGTGATCCGATCAAGAGCGAGGAAGCTGACGGTGATACAGTTTGGCGCGAATCGAAAAGTGCGGAGCATGCTTTGGTCAGGGTGATAATGGCATCTCACATTAACACTCGAGGGTGGATTATGCAAGAAACTTTACTGTCCAGGCATACTCTTCATTTCACGCGCCGAGGAGTCATTTTCGAGTGTCGAGAGGGTATCTGCCAGCTTCCGAAGCAGGTACTGCCTGGCCACTTGAACTTCCTGCCACACTCGCGGAAGGCATTACGGCGGCTCTGTACGAAGACGGAGATTGGGCGAGTCAACATTTCCGAGGTCTCCAAGACGTGGTGGCGGTTGGTTGATGAATACACTCAACGCGAGTTGACATTCTCTTCCGGCGAGCTGGTTGCCCTGTCCGGTCTTTCGAACCAGTTCCACGAACGACTTGGACCATATGGAGCAGGGTTGTGGCCTGAACATGCTTTCATCAGTGGCCTTACTTGGCGACCAGTAAGTACGTGCCGTCGTACTTCGTCCTACACTGCGCCGTCCTGGTCATGGCCGTCGCTGGACGGTGCCATCGACGTGGCTCAAATTTGGAGAGGCGACAGCAGCGGCGCTGCTGCTTCGCTGGAGTGCTATGCCAATCGGTAACAATGCGTTCGGCGCGCTTGCAAGCGCCTCAATCACACTGAAGGGGAGGGCACTGCGGGTCACCGTGCTTGCTGTCCGTGACACTGACAGCCAATGTCTGCTCAGTCTGGCATTAGGGAATCGAAGCCTAGTTGTCAAGGCGGATACCCATGAGGAGCTTGAGCCTGGTACTGCTCTTGGGTGCATCAAGCTTGCAATGAGTCCTGGCGGTGATGCTATCTGCCTTGTGTTATGTCCAGTGGAGGATGGCTATTGGCGCAGAGTGGGCGTAGCGCAGATGTTCCGGCGTCGCGGCGAGGTCTAGTGGTTCGAAGAGGCGTCCGAAGCAGAGTTCACGATTGTTTGAGCTGTTCTTAATCTTAGCCATGAAGAAGCGCCTCCAGGGAGCTTGAGTAGGAGGTGAGAAAGAACTTCCCAATGTGTTCTCCTTCGGTTCATGTGCACGCCGGTCATTGAAGCTACGCGCATACCACTAGTAATGACAAGAAAGACCGGCAAAGTCTCAGTCACCCCGTCGCCGCTTACTTCCCGCATGCTCAACCACTTCCTCAGCACGCCCATTCGCCACTGCGTCTTCACCGTCAAGAAAGTCGCCGTCGTCTTGCGCAATGCTTTTACGCCGGAACTGCCCAGTCCCGATAGCCACAATCTCATCCTCGCTGTCACTTTCACCCATATCGAGCAACACCGGCATCCGGAACTCTTCACCTTTACCTCCTTTGCCACCCTCCCGCTCCAGCTGCTGGTCATCCACCGTCAGCACATCGACTTCTTCATCCTCCTGATCCAACCTCCGCTTCTGCAGTTCTTCGACCGGATGAATGTCGAACTCATCTTCCTTCTCAATGTACTCCACATTCTCCTCCACCTCCGCAAAGTCAGGCGCCAGCGCAGACCATCGCTGTGGTGTATTGATGCCCCAGAGGTAGACCCGGCCGCTTTCGACACCTGTTGCGGCAACAAATGGACGGCTTGGGTGCCACTCTACCGCGCCTAGCTCTTCTTTCGGACCCTCGAGAATCTTGACTAGTGAGCCGTGGCCGCGCTCCCAAATGTAGATGTCGTGGTTCATGAGCGTGCTGGCCATGACGTAGTCCGCGTTACTGGAGAATGCGACATGATTCCACGACAGCCGGTTCACGACATCTTGGAATTTGTGCTCGACGTCTAAGCGGATGTTGTCGGCTGCCAGGTCGGGCAAGGAGAGGTCCGGAAGCTTGATGGTGCGGATGATGGTGTCGGATGCATTTACCAGTAAGTCTCGACCTGAGCTGCTTAGCCTGATCAGGAGGATGGGCTTGGAGCATAATCGCGTGCTGTAGATCGTCTCCCGCGTGGCGACATCGATGACATTCAGCCAGCCTTTTGTGGTACCAGTGACCACGTGTGAGCCTGTGGGTGTGAAGGCGGCGACAGTGGTGAAGTGCTTAGCGTCAGCCTTCTCCGGATTCGCGTCCATTTCGTGCGGTGCTCGTTTCGGTAGGTTGGGTAGCGCGTACTGCTTGACTCTGCTGTCGCTAAGATCGGCCAATACTGGACGGTACTCATACAGTGCTGCCACACACTGCAGGTGGTTTTGCGGATGCAGCTCGGCAATGTAGACAGGTGCGCCTAGGCTCACTGAGCGCACCCTGCTGCCATCGTGGAGATCCCATAGTATGACTTTCCAGTCTATACTGCTACTGAGAAGGTAACGGCCACTTCTCTCCCAGCTCAAGCTCTGGACCGTACGACCGGCGGTGTGGCCCTTAAGCTTGCGCGCTACGCCATTCGTCTCGAGATCAAAGATGGCGATGGTGCCTTTGGCGGTGCCGGAGGCAAGAAGGTCGCCTTTGTGGCTAAAGCGCAGACATACTGCTTGACCAGACGAGCGGAGTCGGGCGACTAGTGTCTCGGGTATGTCTTGTGCCAGCAAGACTGGGTCAGTGAGTGGGAGGTTCATGGCATAATCATAGGGAGACTCTTGCTCCCTAGCGCTGCTCTACCCAAATGTGTCTCAAGCCCTCCTTATCACCGCCGGTGTGACATATGATGTTGCTGCGTTTCTGACTGGTCCCCGAAAGGTAGCATGCTTGCTTGTTGCAGCAGTACGAGCAATACTGATGTCGCAACTCTATATTATGCGGACCGAGTTATAAACGGCGACTCGAAGCGATGCCTCATCAATCACACAATGTACACAATTGTTGCGAGAGACGAAACACTGTCTACAGCACAAAGTGATCGCGTGCTTTTGACATGCAAGACCGTTGTTGCGGCTCTGCGCACTAACGCAATACGGCCTGACTCGTGTGACTCTTTCCCCGTGGGTCTGTGCGCGGATGGTTCCGGTCAAAGAATCGGCCGCTGATGCGTCGCCTCGCAACATCTTCCCACTCCTCCATCCCCAACCAACCCATCAGTAATCGTCCGGATACTCGCGATAACTGCCAAACTCACACGGTAGAGTGCTGAGAGACATCACACGGTCCTTCTGATCGCCCGCCGGTCGCGCGATTCAGCCTCCGGGCGCACTGTCTGAACGGCTATTCATACTGCTACCAACGCGCGCAGCGCGCATCAAATCCATCACATTAGATCGGAAACAGTATCTCTACTGAGTGCGACAAGTGAGACGACGGCAGCGAGGGGCCAATTAGGCGGAGGCGGTCCTCCCTGAGGGCGCGCGGTAGAAAGGGGTGGGTGCGTGGTGACGCGGGTGGCAAGCAGCGGAGTGAATCGACAGTGAACGCGCAAAGTCGTAATCCGCAAGTCCGGCGCGATACAATATACTCGACGGCGACGAAGCCACAGTTGACATCCAACCTGAAGTATTCGCACGCCCACGACAATCAGCAAAATGTCGAACTACACTTTCCCGCACTCCGATGCGCCTCTCAAGACGGTGCAGGAGATCCAGTTCGGCCTGTTCTCACCCGAAGAGATCAAGAACATGAGTGTCTGTCATATCGAATACCCTGAGACAATGGACGAGCAGCGCCACCGGCCACGCGAAAAGGGCTTAAATGACCCAAAACTTGGTTCCATCGACCGCGGTACGCAGTGTGCCACCTGTAAGGAGGTACCCGAAATCTGCCCGGGTCACTTTGGTCATATCGAGCTCGCGCAGCCGGTCTTCCACGTCGGTTCGTGCAAACACAGACTCTTGCGTCTCCTGACCCTGCATGCTAACGTCACATGATCAGGCTTCATCATCAAGATTAAGAAGATCCTGGAGTCGGTGTGCCATAATTGCGGCAAGATTCTGGCTGATGAGGTAAGTCTTGTTTCCTTTTCTCGCAGGTAGGTCACATTCTCTGTTATATCACTTTGCTTACACGCTCTCAAAGAGCAACCCCGCATTTGCTCAGGCCATTCGCCTCCGCGATCCCAAGCGCCGCTTCGAAGCCGTCCATAAGATTTGCAAAGGCATCAGCATTTGTCAGGTCGACGCGCCTCCCGAAGACGATGGTGGCTACGGTCCAGACCCGAAGGCGGCGCTAAAGGTCAAAGGCCACGGTGGCTGTGGCAATGCTCAGCCTATCATTCGTAAAGAGCAGCTTCGTTTGAACGGCACCATCAAAGTCGCGAAGAGTGATGAAGACGAGAAAGGCTCAAAGGCCGAGTCGGAAAAGATTCCGATCACGCCGCAGTATGCGCTTAACGTCTTCCGCGCGATCTCGGACGAGGAACTGGCTCGCCTAGGCTTGAACGCCGATTACGCTAGGCCAGAGTGGATGGTCCTCACCGTGCTGCCTGTCCCACCTCCTGCAGTACGTCCTTCGATCTCCGTCGACGGTACGAGCCAGGGTATGCGCTCCGAAGACGACTTGACCTACAAGCTCTCAGACATCATCCGCGCAAACTCCAACGTTCGTCGCTGCGAGATGGAGGGCTCGCCTCAACACGTCACTGAGGAGTTCGTCCAGCTGCTACAGTTCCATGTGGCAACGTACATGGATAACGACATTGCTGGCGTACCGAGGGCACTACAAAAGAGCGGAAGGCCTGTCAAGTCCATTCGCGCTCGTCTTAAGTCAAAGGAGGGCCGTCTGCGAGGCAATCTCATGGGCAAGCGTGTCGACTTCTCCGCGCGTACCGTTATCACTGGTGATCCAAACCTTGATCTTGACCAAGTCGGCGTGCCTCGCTCAATCGCCAAGACGTTGACATTCCCGGAAACGGTGAATGCTTACAACATCCAGAAGCTGCAGGAGCTCGTTCGTAATGGACCTAACGAGCACCCTGGCGCCCGCTACGTCATTCGAGGCGAAGGCGAGCGTATTGACCTGCGGCGTGCGAAGAATGATGTTCAGCTACAATACGGCTGGAAGGTCGAGCGGCACATTGTCGACGGCGACTACATCATCTTCAACCGCCAGCCGTCGCTGCACAAGGAGTCTATGATGGGGCACCGTGTCAAAGTTATGCCCTACTCGACTTTCCGATTGAACCTGTCGGTCACCTCACCGTACAACGCCGACTTTGATGGCGATGAGATGAATTTGCACGTTCCGCAATCGCACGAGACTCGTGCGGAAGTAAGCGAGCTTTGCGCCGTGCCGAAGAATATTGTGTCGCCCCAGAAGAACGGTCCACTGATGGGTATTGTGCAAGACACTATGGCCGGTATCTACATGATGACCCGGCGTGACGTGATGATCGACTACGAGAATGTCATGAACATTCTCTTGTGGCTGCCGAACTGGGACGGAGTGGTACCTCAACCCGCCATCCTCAGGCCAAAGCCTATGTGGACCGGCAAGCAGATAATATCGCTTGCGCTTCCGGCAGGGCTCAACCTCCAGCGCATGGACGACGAGAATACACCGCATATCCCGCTCAAGGAGAAAAAGGGATTGCTTGTACAGAACGGCGACCTAGTGCTGGGTCGCTTCGTTAAGAAGATCGTTGGTGCTTCGCAAGGTGGTGTTGTACACTACATCTTCAACGATAATGGCAGTGAGGGTCCGAAAGCGGCCGTTGAGTTCTTCAACGCCGCGCAGCGTGTTGTCTGCTACTGGCTACTGCACAATGGTTTCAGTGTTGGCATTGGCGACACCGTTCCCAATCAGGACATGGCAAACAAGATTGAGGCGGCTGTCCAGAAGGAGAAAGATCAGCTACTCGAGCTTGTCAAGACGGTGGAAAATAACGAGCTGGAGACCTTGCCCGGCATGACGATCCGAGAGACGTTTGAATCGAAAGCTAAATCGTTCCTGGACAACGCCCGCAACAACGCCGGCGACATCGCATTCAACGGTATGAGAGCTTGCAACAATGTCGGCACCATGGTGCAGTCTGGTTCGAAGGGTTCGTCCACGAATGTCTCTCAGATGACGGCAGCTGTGGGTCAGCAGTCACTGGAGGGCAAGCGCTTGCCGTTCGGGTTCAAATACCGCACCCTTCCGCACTTCCCGAAGGATGACTACTCCCCAGCATCAAGAGGCTTCGTTGAAAACTCCTACTTGCGTGGCTTGACACCACATGAATTCTTCTTCCACGCGATGGGTGGTCGTGAAGGTCTCATCGACACAGCTGTCAAGACTGCCGAGACCGGTTACATTCAGCGTCGTCTGGTCAAAGCTCTCGAAGAGGTCATGGTCAAGTACGATGGCACTGTCCGCAACTCCATGGGTGACATTGTGCAGTTCATCTACGGCGAAGACGGTCTTGATGCAATGTGCATTGAGCCTCAGACGCTCGACATCATCACGGCGAGCGCTGCTGCCTTTGACAAGAAATACAAGATTGACATTATCAACCCAGCGTCGAAAGATCTCATGCTCACTAACGACATGCTGGAGATGGCTGATGAGATTCGTGGCGATGTCGATGTGCAGCGGCTCTTCGATGAGGAGTTTGAACAAATCTCCAACGACCGTGACAAGATTCGTAAAGGCCTGGGTCCAGACGAGGCGGATCAGAGCAGGCAGTTGCCACTCAACGTTGACCGTATGATCCGAAACGCAAAGGATCGCTTTAAAATCAAAGATGGCGCCCGCAGCAACCTTGATCCGAGGTACGCTGTGCCGAAGATTAAGGAGATGCTTGACAGGCTCATCATCGTGCGCGGCGACGACCCGCTGTCGATCGAGGCCGATCTTAACGCAACGCTGCTGTGCAAGGCAAACTTCCGATCAAGGCTGGCATTCAAGCGTATCGTTAAGGATGATTCGCTTAACCGGGATGCGCTTGACAACATCCTTGGTGACATTGAAAGTCGCTTCTCACGCGCCTTGGCCAGTCCTGGCGAGATGGTGGGTGTGCTTGCAGCGCAGTCCATCGGTGAGCCGGCCACTCAGATGACTTTGAACACATTCCACTTGGCTGGTGTGACTGCAAAGACCACCACCAAGGGTGTGCCTCGGCTGAAGGAGATTCTCAATGTGGCAGAGAACCTCAAAACGCCGCAGATGAAGGTGTACCAGCTGCCAGAGGACAAGCTGAGCCAAGAGAAATGCAAGGAGCTTCGATCGAAGGTGGAGCATACGTCGCTTAGGAACGTGACGGATGAGACTCAGATTCACTACGATCCGGATATCACCTCTACGACCGTCGAAGAGGACCGTGACATGGTTGAATCCTACTTCATCATCCCCGAAGACTCCGCCGAGCCGATCGAGCTTCAAAGCAAGTGGGTTCTGCGCATCGTTCTCGGGCGCCGTCAGCTACTTGATAAGGGCCTCACCGTTACCGACGTTGGCCATGCGATTAAAGAGCACTTCGGCCAAGACACTGCTGTCGTCTTCTCCGATGACAATGCTGACGAGCAAGTTGTCCGTGTACGCCTGTTGCAGAGAGGGGCCGGGAAGATGGACGAGGATGAGGATGTCGACGAATCACCCGAAGACATGCTCCGGCGCCTGGAGAGCCACATGCTTGACTCGGTGGCCTTGCGTGGTGTTAAGAACGTCAAGCGTTGCTTCGTCAGCTCCGAGACTGTCATGCGTGAGAAGCCTGATGGCTCGCTCGTGAAGAGCAAGAGCGACGATCTCTGCAAAGAGTGGCTTTTGGATACCGATGGCTTCAACCTTAAGGAGACCCTCTCAGTGACGGGTGTGGACCCGACCCGCACGACCTGCAACCACTTCGGCGAGATCTTCAGGTGCTTCGGCATCGAAGCTACACGCGCGGCGCTTATGAGAGAGCTCAGCGCCGTGCTGACAGGTGACGGCTCGTACGTCAATTACCGTCACATGGCCATATTGTGCGATGTCATGTGTGCTAGAGGCACGCTGATGGCTGTCACGAGGCATGGTATCAATCGTGCGGATACGGGTGCGCTGATGCGGTGCTCCTTCGAAGAGACTGTAGAGATCCTGTTCGAAGCTGCTTCTTCTGGCGAGTTGGACGACTGCAGGGGTGTCTCTGAAAACATCATCTTGGGTCAGTTGGCACCTTCTGGTACTGGTGAATTTGACATCCTGCTTGATCAAGAGATGCTCAAGACCGTCGTTTCGGCTCAGCGGCCTATTGGGGCTGCGGCTATGGGTGCAGCAAGCCCGATGGACGGTGCCGCTACGCCATACGATATGGGTTCTCCGCTTGCCGAGGGCGGCTATGCGGGTGGACCGGATTACAGCGCCAGCTTCTCGCCCATCATTGATGCTGGCCAGGCGGACTCTGGGGGCCTTACTGGTTATGGTGGTGGCTTTGGCGGTGCCAGCCCTTACTCTGGCGGTATGAGTCCAGGCTATGCGCCCACGAGTCCATTCAGCAGCGGCATGAGTCCGACGTCGCCTGGCTATGGCTACTCGCCTACCTCACCGGCCGGCTACTCACCAACTTCGCCTGGCTTCGACGGCGCGACTAGCCCGGTGTATCACGTCACGAGCCCACGCTTTTCCCCAGCAAGTCCTGCATACACGCCGACCTCGCCGACCTATTCGCCGACCTCACCTGTCTACCATGGTGGCAACAAAGTGTCCCCGACGTCTCCATCTTACTCCCCTACGTCGCCTTCATATTCTCCGACCTCGCCGAACTACAGCCCGACGTCACCGAACTACTCACCGACTTCGCCCGCACACCAGCCTGGCTCGGCCACGTCCCCGAAGTACTCGCCGACTTCGCCGCAGTACTCGCCAACATCGCCGCAGTACAGCCCTACATCACCGCAGTACTCACCCACATCGCCTACATATTCACCCACGAGCCCGAAGTACGGGAGTGGTGTAGGCCCTTCTGGCACGTCACCTACGTCGCCAAATTACAGTCCGACCAGCCCGGTGTACAGCCCGACAAGTCCAGCGGTGAATGGCTACTCGCCAACATCACCGGGTCATAGTGGGAACAATCCGAAGTACTCGCCGACTAGCCCACAGTACTCTCCGACGTACGTTGCCATTCTCTCACTCTGATATAGGACATCGTGCTAACATCGCTGTAGCTCTCCCCGCGATGAGTCATGATTGCTTCATTTTCGTCTACGGCGACCGGCAGCCAGCCCTGCAGCCAAGCGTTCTCTTCGCTGAGCCCACGCTTTACTGCCGTTGCAAGTCTTGCTGTCATTCCGTCAGATTTCGTTGTACATCATCATCATTATCGAAAACTGCTTGTTAGCGTTCTAGTTGGTACTGCATGCTTCCATTTGCACTGGGGCACCGGCGTTCGTCCTTCGCTTGTCCACCAACGGCAAGATCGAATTGGTATAGAGCAAGACCAAACCAAGAAAAACAATTGGCGCATGTGCGAAAATGCGCCCGGAGTCGATGGGAAGCGATAGGTCTAAAGACCTCCCCCAGAATGGACAGGGAGGCAATTGCGGGTTTTAAAAGTCGAGGCTGGGCTTTGGCCGAATGCGCACAGATTGATACCAGATGATTGCAGTGGTTTGTGGATTAGTGGTAGCGGAGGAGAGGGTGATTGTCATGGGGACAAGCGGATTAGGGGTCAGAACAGCGCCTGATGCGGTGACAATAGAGCTCGAGAAACGCAGAGAAATGGCACAAAACGGTATCAACCGCCTTATGTGCATTTCTCCACCACAACTTCATCTTTCACTTGTGTATTTTGTCTGCGCCAAGCCTTTCCATTATGCTGAGTTGGACAATTGGGGACCTTAGAACGCAGTACTTCACTCGATCACGTTAACAGTGTCTTCGCACTACAGATCCCCTGTGCTAGGTGCATAAACGCCATGCATACCTCTATGCTGCTGTGTAAGTACCCTGGCACCTCATTTCCACGCCAAGGTCGCTCCATCGACCGCAATAAATCTACTCTCCCCCTTTCCCGCCCACTCTTCCCAGGCTTTCTCATACCCGTGCATCTCCTCTTCAGTCGCCATCCCATATTCGATAGCCCTTTCCGTGAGCAAACGCTTCCACCCAGACACCCACGCGCTCCTGGACTTCGCCGTCGACATCTCCCATGCCCAGCTGCTGACTTCAATCTTGTCCTTGTGAAAGCCGGCCTCGTGCGCAACTATGTGACTTTCGCTACCAAAGGATTCTGATCGGCCAGTCTTCTCGACCACTTGAGGGAAGAGGATGCGCCATCCCTTCAGCTGGGGTGGAGAAGGACTCACCAGCCAAGTGTGGAGGTCGCGCGTACTGAAGATGCCGTTGGGTTTGAGCACCCGACGCATTTCCCTGATCGCGCGTACCTGCTCGGGGACGTGGTAAAGCAGCTGGTGGGCGTGCACAATGTCGAAAGTGTCGTCTGCGAATTGGTGGAGATTGGTGGCATCGGCGACCTCGAAAGTAACGTTCGTTACTCCCTGTCGCTTTGCAAGCTCCCGGCTTTGACCCAACCAATCTGCATCATCGTCCATTGGTTAGATGTGAAAAAGCAAAGGACTGTAAGCTACGGCGAAGGTACCTGAGCTGATATCGGCAGCAACTACACTACCGTCTGGCACGAGGCGTGCCAAGTCCATGGTGATCGACCCGGGACCGGAGCCCAAGTCAAGGATGAAGTGGTCTGGTTTGATAAGAGGAAGCAGATGGGCTGCGTAAGTAGCAGCCTTTCGCTCAGCAAATACTTCAAGCAGTCCGTCGTATAGCCTCTCATTTTCTTCTTTGTAGGGCACTCCGGGCTTGTAGTCGGCGTTGGTAGCCATGATTCGTTCGCGGCGTATGTGAAGGCCGAATGAAACAGATTGAAAACGGATGGTTACAGGGGAGAATTGTTGCAAGAAAGTAGGAAGTGGCTACGCGATTCATCCGCAAAAGTAGTAAAGAGCAATGAGATGTCACGGGATGTGAGCATGTTGTCAGCAGCTTACGCCAATCAGTATAGCTCACCCAGCGGACGCGATGACTACAAGTCGCTACTCTGAGCATGCCCTAAAGAAAGGCGGCGAGATAAACATCGTGTGAGAGGCTCGAGGAGGACTCGCCGCGCAGAACCTACGATGCGATGAGTGGCATGCACTGCGGAAGGATGGAAAGGCTGGCTTGTTGTTAGTTAGGTGGGGCTATCAAGGGCACGTAGGGCTGGACAGGATGTAAGGATCGCCGTTCACGTCGTGCCTCCGGGCGATGATGGGGCGTGAGAGAGATCAGGGCGCTTGACACGGGTGGTATTAAGTCGTCATCTCCAGAACACGAAGGGATGCGTATGATTGGGGTATACCCGTTAGTGTGGGGTGCTGGTAGGGATGAAGATGCTCATCCGAACTCACGTTTGCGCTCGGCGTATGCCGGCCGTATGCGGCCGCCCTCCCGCTCCCTCTACATGCACGTCTTCCTTCGGTGCGCATGTGACCTTCCAGTCTTTCGCGGCACGAACAGCACACAGCTCGCCTCTCACTACAATGGCACGTAACGCAGAGAAAGCGCAGTCTATGCTGTTTCGCTTCCGCGCGCAACAAGCATCCGACTTGGGCATCCTCGACATCAACAAGACCCGCAGACCGAAGGCCATCAGCCAACAAGAACACATCCCCACTTGTGAACGATGGCGGGGCCAGGTACTCAAGGAGATCTCCCGCAAGATCACCAAGATTCAAGACCCAGCGCTCTCCGACTACCAAGTCCGAGATCTGAACGATGAGCTGAACAAGCTGTTCCGCGAGAAATGGCAGTGGGAGGTGCGGATACGAGAGCTCGGCGGGCCAAACTACATGCGCGGTGGTGGGCGGGTGACGGATGAGGAAGGCAGGGTCATCGAGGGTGGTGGGAAGGGATATCGGTACTTTGGGCGCGCGCGGGAGCTGCCGGGTGTGAAGGAATTGTTTGAGGCTGCGACGAAGAAGAGTCCGGAGGAGGAGCGGAAGAAGGAATCGAGGCAAGAGCTGCGCATGAGAGTGAATGCGGGTTACTATGGGTATAACCTGGACGAAGAGGACGGGAGCCTACTCGCGTATGAGGCGAAGAAGGAGAAGGAGGCGTATGAGGCGCTGATGGTGGTGGGCGAGGAGCAGGCACTCGATGGAGCGTGGGAGCCGTTACCGGGTGACGTGGGTGACGGTGTGATATGGAAGCTGCCAACGGCGGAGGAAGTGGAAACTGAGCTGTTGGAAAGACGAAAGAGGAAGCTGTTGGAAAAGCTGTGAAGTGGTTCAACTGGGTGGGTCGTTCTTTACGTGCCATGCGTCGTGGGTTGAGAAGAGAGCCACCGTTTAGCGGGCATTGAGTGTCCAATCTCAATGGCAGCAATGACTCCTACTAAAGCTCGGAGGAGTGGAACGTTGCAAGCAATCTAGCTTGACCGGTTCGCGCTCGGGAACCGGTGCGTTTCCTAAAGGGAAGCAGCAGCCAACAGGCTGTCGAGATGCATATGCGGTCGTCACACCTGCGACGGGTATGGGAAGATGCACCTAATTGCGTACAAGAAGAAGTACGACAACGAGGCGAATGAAGACATGGCAAGCAGGAATGACGGATAGCGTAGGGAGTTCGAAGACAAGCAGTACGCTTGAGCCTTCTACTGATGAGCTACGATTGAGCTACAATACTTTTATCGTGAATCATAATACCGCCAGCCCGAGCTTCCTCTACGCATGCGGGATTTGTTGCTGTTCGAGGGGCCACTTCTGCACCGTCGCGGCATTGCCCGTCAACGTGAAATTGTACCTGATACTCGCCTCATTGTTCAGCATGAGTGAGTACGATCCCGGGTAAACGACCAAATTGCCGTTCGCATCTGCACGCGCGAGCGCCCCGACCGGCACCTTGATGGTCACCGAGGCGAGTCCGCCAGGCACGATGATGGCCTCGCGGTCAATGCCTACGAGCCATTTGATCGGCCGTGGGGTAGGACCCGAGGTGGTGGACGCAAAGAGCATGCCACTCCAGTCAGATGCGGTCCTGCCGGTGTTGTTGACGATGAAGTTGAAGTCCATGATTGGTACCTCCTCAACGAACTCGTAACCGGGGTGCGGCGCCGCGAAGATGCTGGTGAGGTTGTAGGTTGTCACGGGACCCATGGTGGACGTGGTCGTGAAGTTGGTGTAGAAGAGGCCGTGGCCGAACGGATATACGGGCGTGCCGGTGTACCACATATATGTCTGACCGAGACTGCCATTGACAGGCGCCATGTTCATGTTGAGTTGGTTGAATGAGGTAGCATAACTGGCTGGGTATTGCGTAGTGACCAGACGGCCGGCGGGGGCGCGGTTGCCCATGATAATGTCGAACAGCGCCTGGCCGCCAGACTGGCCTGGGTATCCACCCCAGACGAGCGCGTTGACCTTGCTGTTGTTCTTGAGTGCGCTGCTGTCGACTTGTCCACCACCCATTTGAAGGACGACGAGCGGCTTGCCGACCTGGCTGAGTTGGTAGATCAAATCGAGCTGATTACCTGGCCAGGTAATGTTCTGCCTGTCCAGACCCTCAGCTTCGATGGAGTTGTCAATGCCACCCGCATAGATGATAACGTCGGATTGTTGAGCCAAGGTGATCGCCTCAGCAAACCCGGATGTGTTGGTGGAGGAGATCGTAGTTCCATTGACAAAATTCACGGTCATGCCAGATGCCCGGAATGCTTGCAGGGGGCTGATAAGGTAAGGTGCTGCGGCGTAGTAGTTGCCTTGCAACTGAAGCGTGGCGTTCGCCCAGGGGCCAATGAGCGCGACTGATCTGGTCGACTTGCTCAACGGAAGCGTGCCGTCATTCTTCAGTAGTGTAATGCCTTCAACAGCGGCCTCATAAGAGATGTTCCAAGCGTCAGTCGTCAGGACGTCGTTCCAGCCCAAGTTGCGGTACAAGCTGCTGTTGCCGTCGAAGTAGCCTTGCATGACCAACCCGCTGTAGTAGCGCGTAAGGGCAAGCTCAATGTCATTGCGGGAAACCAAGCCAGCGTTGAAGGCAGGAACCAGGTAGAAGGGATAGCTTGTTCCGCAGTCGATGTCCGTGCCGGCACGGAGAGAGTCCGCTACAGCACCAGTGGTGTTCGCTGCGTAGCCATGCGGGTTGTAGACATTGTAGACGGCGTCACAGTCGGACGACACGAAACCATTGCCAAACCCCCAGGTATCGCGAGCAAGCGTCTGTAGAAAGAACGAATTGGAGCAGCTGGGCACGCCATTGACCTATTGACGCATTAGCTTAGGAACTCATACTGACCATACTCTGGTTTCGCACTTACTGCGTTGTAAGAGCACATCAAGCCAAGCGCCTTCGCATTTTGAATCGCAGACCGGAACTGCGGAGTATAGTACCCCGCAAGATCCTGTTGTGTGATGTTGACATCAAGACCCAGGCGGCTGTTGTTGTTCCACTGCAGAAAGATCAGCCACCCTCCGTACAGCACACACGCACTTCGGCGACTTACGTTCTCAATATCATAGCCAGCAAAGTGCTTTGGGACAGCGACAAGCTTCGGGACTGCCGGAGCTTTGCCACCTTGCATGCCCGTGATGTACTCATAGGCGTAGAGGGAGCTCAAGAAGAACGCATCCTCACCAGGGGTCTCTTGACCACGACCCCAAACGGGTGAGCGAAAGCCATTGATGTTCGGAGCGTAGCTGTCAAGTCCATATCGCCCCGCGTTGGAGAAGGCGCGGCCTTGCGTTGATATAATGTCGCCGATCTGATTGATCAAAGTCCTGTTCATCGACGCCATGGAAAGGATAGGAGATGGGAAGGAGGTGGCCCAGCTCCACGTGCCGTTGGTGGCGAAGTGTCCATGGGAGATGCCGTGGAGAGCTTCATTCCATACCTCATATGCAGGCAGACCAAGGCGAGGCACGCCAGGAGCCGTATTTCCAGTGTTATTCGCAAGTTCTTCGAGCGTGAAGAGTTGGACGAGGGCATGCGCTCGGTCCCATGCGGAAAGAGATCTGTTGCAGACTGGCGTAGTGCTGAGGGTGGAGTTCACACAGCTTGGGAAGGTTGTCATGAGCGTTGCTAACGTGCGCGAATCAAGGTTGGGTTGAGGGTTGGTAGTGTAGTCTACGGGTCTGGTTTGTGCTTGAGCGCATACCACAGACACGAGGGCCGCTAGGCCTGCAACCGGCGCAAGCATCATCATGGTGGAAATAGGAGCAAAGTGGCAAGGGATGCGTTTGGAAAAGTACTACCTTCTCACACTCGGACATCGCTCCTTTTTGTACCGCAGTGACGGTGGGGTCGCCATCATGTTGGTCGGCCTTTGCATGCCTTTGAGTGCAAAAACGCACCAAGACGAAAGGTCATCGGATGTGCAAAAGTCATGTGGAGACTTGGTGGACCGCAGAAACCTACGAGAGGAGCCGGTACGCTGCTATAGGCTCTGACATGGTGGTAGAGCAGCAAAGTCGTAGAATTTGCGTTGCGGTTGTCGTGGTCGGGCGTTAGCGTAAGGTCGATGGTGCCGATCATTGCTCGGCCACGGCAGTAACCCGCCGTGCAATTCAGGCTAATATTGCGTCCCCACGGGTTCTAAGAGCGAAGTGTGGAGTTTGTCCGGTCCGTCGCTTTGTAAACCAGTGGCTTGAAGCATTAATCATTGCCCGTTGTACCAAGCTCTTCAGACGCCGCTATCGGTCATCGTGTTGAACTCAAGAGTCATTATCCACCGTTGCCGGTACTGGTCAGCTGTTGCTCCGAATGACTGAGGCTTTAAAAAGCACCACAATCGAGCATTTGATCGACGACGGACACAAAGAACGAGGATTGCCCGACTGAGGCCATCCGAAGTCAATGTCAATATCCGTTTAGGAGGCATAGTGATCATATACCCGTCCGACATTTTGCCGTCCCTGCTGGGTGCCTCAGACGTAGTGAATGGTGTAGGCAATGTCTCGCAGCTTTTATGTCCCAATCCAACACGAGCAAACCTAACGGAGGGTACTTCGAATGATCGGCTGGCCCCCAGCCTTTTGCAGCGAAGTACGGCTCGTCTTTGCAGCTGGCAGACAGCCCCGTATCAGCAATCGAGTAGCATACCATGCAAACCGATATCCAGCCAGTGTTTGCGGAAGACTCCAGCTTGTGCATCTTATAGCTCGCGCGGGCTGCTTTCCTCGTGAAGGTCTGCGATACAAGTGACTGTGTGTGATTGCGAACATGAACGAACAGGAAGCGGGCGTCGAGCAACGTTCCCAGCTAACGCAGACCGTCTCACTCGTTGTGTACATAGTACTCACAAGAAAACCATCCTTGCTTGCCATTCCGGATCCGACGAGCGGCATGATCGTCCGCTCAGTCCATTTCAACTTGCTTGAGGCGCGCAGCGGCGTGCGCAAGCATTTTTGCCGCAAGACGGGCACAGTCTCGACTGCTTCGAGAAGTTCCAGACCATCCATGGCGAAAACGGATGGTGACCACTCCCTGCGGCCACTCATTACAGCCACTCAGGCCCAAGTGTGTTACGCTTGGCTCGCAGTATCTCGCATCCAAGTAGGGTTGTTAATGGAAACCCGGGTGCAGATACCAAGGAGATATGTGGCGGGTTAGGATTTGCATAAGGTAATCCATCATACTACGTCGGATCTGGTTTGTTTAGTGTCGAGGGTGGCTCGACTGTGTAGCGTGTAGCTTTAGATTAGCATAGGATTCTCCTGTGGCTTCGGAGCGATGCTGAGCGGTACAGACGTAGGAGGTAGCTTCAGCACCGTATATCTTGTCTGTGAAATCCGAGAATGGTAGCATCGCCGGCATTCACTCAAGCTACGTACGTGTTCAATGTCAGGCATGGTCAGGAGAGATGTCAGCTTAGTAACTCGGTCATCCGTCAGCATCCGACCTCGTTTTCGACCCCCAATCGAAGCGACCAATCTCTTTGTACAACCTTAAGTGCCTTCAAGCTTCGCACCGTTTACAGCTGCTTCAAACAGTAGGAACCGGAGCCGGACAAGATGCCCGCTGGAGGTGTGTGGGATCTATCTTCGCCCAGCAACCTAACAGAGGCTTTGCCTTTCTGGGGTACTCCTACTGCGGCAGTCAAGTGCGTGCACATTACTTCTGCTGTATTATATGTTGACTAACTTCACTCCAGTTTCTGCGAAGAGGTACTGCTACACATCCCAGCCTTCTACCTCAGACAGACAACAACCTAACCAGCTCGTAGGACTATGTCATCACCAAATTCGTCGCCGAATTCTTTAACACTCTGACAAGCCTCGCGTACATCGCATATGGCATTCACGGTATACGGCGATACAAACGCCAGGATGTCTCCCTCTTCTCAACCCCCAACCTCTCCTACTGGGCCCTAATCTGCGTCGGCATCTTCTCCGGCCTGTACCATACGACCCTCAAATACCACACCCAGATGTCTGATGAGCTGTCCATGCATCTTGCGATGGGCAGTGTCCTTCTCCAAATCTTCACATTCAACGAACCACCGGCCATTCAACGGCGCAACACAGCCATTATCCTAGGGGTACTGATTCCCTTTGTGATCTACCATTGCCTGACAGATGAGTTCGTCGCGCACGTGGTGCTGTTCTTCTGCATGTGCTGGATCGTAGGCTTCCGAACGCGTTGGATCATCAAGACCCGAATTCGCAACGAACAGCATCGGAAGAAAGTGGGCGGGATGCTGACGAGGGCAACTTGGACCGCGTTGGTTGGGTACGGGATCTGGAATATCGATGTCAACTTCTGCCCCGCTGTTACCAGGCTGAAACAGCAGGTCGGCATGCCGTGGGCTGTGCTCCTAGAATTGCATGGGTACTGGCATATATTGACGGCTATCGCGGCGTATATGTTCATGGCTATTATCGAGTTCTTACTGAGTCCCGAGGAGGTTGAAAGCCGTGGTGTGGGATTCGCTTGGCCGGCGAGGAAGGTGTTGCGGGACATTGCGCCACCGAAGGTTGCTGAGAAGCTTGCAAATGGCGACGCGAACGGTCACGTCAAGACGCAATGAGCTGCGGATGCTGGTCAAAACACTAGCCAGTTGTAGTTGGTGTAAGAATTGATGACGGCTCTTACAGGGTTTCTCAAGTGACCCTTCTCAAGCATGACCGTCATACCCGCAAACGCGCTTGTACACAGTGGACCATCCTCATCGCAAGCTTTTCCCGCTCGCTTTAGCCCCATGAGCGCCTTGCTAACATATGCTTGTGTGAAATCCCATACCCACCCATGTCATTCGACGTTGGCCGATCATGACCGCCCACGACAAACGCCTGAAACGCGCCGCTAATAGCTGCAGAGAAACGAACAATGACCTAGTCCTAGTCGGCCATAGCCTCCTCCTTCGCCAACCCGAGCGCCTCGTCGTTCCGCTTGTTCTTCATAATGGCCTTGAGCTTCCGCTCCACCTCGTCCCAATCGTCCGTCTCCAGCTTAGTAGGCTCGACCTTGAAGTGCTCGCAGATGGCCATGAGGTTGGCCCATGACTTCTTGTCATGCACGAAGCTCAGCGCCGCGCCCGTCCGGCCAAAGCGACCTGTACGGCCGATACGGTGGAGGTAGGTCTCAAAGTCTGGCTTGCCGCCGTAGGTCTCCGGGATGTCATAGTTGATCACAAGGGTGACGGTCTGAATGTCAATGCCACGAGACAAAACATTGGTCGTGATGAGGACCTTCTTCAAGCCAGTGCGGAACTCATTGAAGACACGGTCACGCTCCTGGCCCTCGAGCGCACCGCTTAGCATGGCGACCTTATGTCCTTCGGCGGTCATGCGGCGCTCGATCTCAGCAGCGGTGTCGCGGCGGTGGCAGAAGATGATTGAAGAAGCGATCGTCATCAGGCCGTAGAATTTGACAAGCGCATTGTACTTCTCCTCGTCTGTGCTACAGTCGAGGTACATCTGCTTTATGCCCTTGACGGTAAGTTGCTCGACCTCGAGGGTGATCTGATTAGCGTGCGGAGCGAAGAAGTCGGCGAACTCCAGGACCTTTGGTGGAAAAGTAGCGGAGAACAAAACAACCTGGATGGTCTTCGGAAGAAGATTCTTCACACGCTTACACTGATCGCCCATGCCTTGCATATCAAGCATGTTGTCGGCCTCATCAAGGGTAAGCACCTTCATGGCGCGTACATCGAGCTGTCTCCGCTTGATCATGTCCATCGTGGTGCCCGGTGTGCCCACGACAACTTGACCTTCCAGTTGGGCGCCTCTCGGAACTGACTGCGGAATGGCTTCCGCAATTCGAAGGCCTTTCTCGAGAAGGAAGGTGCCCATGATGGTTGCCACACCAGCAATCTGCTTGGCAAGCTCACGGGTCGGTGCTAAGACTAAACATTGCGGAGCTTTGTTGTTGAGATCAACGCGAGAGAGCATATTGAGCACGAAGGCAGCGGTTTTGCCCGTGCCCGACTGTGACTGGCCAATCAGGTTTTGTGGCGGGTTCTTGAGCAGAAGAGGTAATGCACGCTCCTGGATCTTGCTGGGTTTGCGGAAGTTCATGGTGGCGAGGCCGCGTATCAGCTCGTCGCGTCTACAGTAGAGTTAGTGAAAGTGAAGGGATCAGGCACGGCACATTCTTGCTCACAGATTCAGGTCATCGAAGCTCTTGGCGGAATAGAGAGGGTTGTTGGGATCATCTTGAAGATCGGCAAGCTTCACGTTTACATCAAATTCGGGCTCATCGAGTCCTTGCGTGCCACCCATCCACTGCGTCGCGCCATCTTGCTGCGCTTCTTCCAGTGAGCCGTTTTCTTTCGAGCCGTTTTCTTTCGTTTCGGCGACTGGCGTTGACATTTCGTCGGCCCAGTTGAGTTTGCCTTCGCCCGGTGTGAAAGCGGGAGTCTGAGCATTAAGCCCGCTCTTCTGCGGCGTCTGATCGCTCATTGTGGCCGTGCTTGATTTTGATAGGTTGAAATGTCGATGTTGTACGCTTGAAGGGGCATTTCTTGTAACTGTAGTCATGCAAGCCTTAGGCTTCTATGCGTAAGAGGTGCGTGTGCGGCTGTATCCGTCGACAAGCTAGCCTCCTTTGAGTGGCGGGGTAAGCGTATTGACTGGATAACCGATTTACCCTACTATAAAGCCGGAACGACAGGCCAAGGCCGCGGGACAGATTCGCAATGTCTTTCAATCGTAATGTATAGGGAAGATCGCGAGTACTGCTAATGCCGAACAACGTCTCGACTCGCTATGGCAGAAGTGGACATCGCGCCCAACTTTGGGGCGGAGCTGAAGGACGGCTTCAAGCCAGTCAATGCTTGGGTGAGCAATGGTATCGCCTGGCTCGACGACATCCAGCAGTTCTACCGCGAGCGCAGCGCCATTGAGAAAGAGTACAGCCAGAAGCTCAGCGCGCTGGCCAAGAAATACTTCGAGAAGAAAACGAAAAAACAGAGTAGTCTCAGCGTTGGAGACACGCCGACGGTGACACCAGGCTCACTGGAAAGTGCTAGCATGACTACTTGGACGGTTCAATTGTCCACGTTAGAGCAAAGGGCAGCCGAGCATGAACGATATTCAGCGCAGTTAATCAATAACCTTGCACAGCCTTTGCAGGCTCTGGCGCAGCAGTACGAAGACCTGCGCAAGCAGCATGCGGAGTATGCGGCCAAGCTGGAGAAGGAGAGAGATGGAGTGTATGGCGAGCTGCGGAAGACCAAGGGCAAGTACGACAGTGTATGCCAAGAAGTGGAGAACCGGCGGAAGAAGATCGAGAACAGCTTCGATCACGGCAAGACGAAGGCCCAAGGCGCATATCAGCAGCAACAAAACGATATGCGGAACACTAAGGTAGGCGGAGCCAGCTCAAAAGCTTGAGCTGCATCCCGTACTTACCTGGTCGCAGAACACTTATCTAATCGCCATCAATGTAACGAACAAGCAGAAGGAGAGATACTATCATGAGTATGTCCCCGAGCTCCTTGACGTAAGGCTTCCGTCTCTGATACCACGTTCTTCGTATACTATGGTTGCCTTGCGCTGACAGTAGTGGTCGACAGTCTCTCCAGACGTTGTCAGAAGCGAAGACAGGCGCGTTGAACAAGCTTTGGATGACGGCCGCGAGTCTGGAAACGGACACTCTGCAGCGATCACTGAGGCTCCTCGAACATTTATCCGGAGAAATACCACGAAACAACCCAGTCTTAGACAGCATGATGTTCGTACGGCACAATGCATCACAATGGCAGGATCCGCCGGACTTTGCTTTTGAACCTTCACCAGTTTGGCTAGACGACGATGTAATGGCAAGCGATCCGGCAAGCAAGACCTTCCTTATGAACATCTTGTCCAAGTCGAAGGCATCAGTAGGCGAGCTGAAGCGAGAATGTGATGCGAAGCGGAGGGAAGTCGAAGGCGCAAAACGAGTACGTCAGGCCATCCGCGAAGGACGCGACAAGCGCGACGAGCTTCAAGTCGTCCGTTCGCAGTTTTACCATCAGGAAGCATTGCACGAGGCAGAGCGGAAGATGATTACTGCGGAGATCGAGGTCAGCACCATTCTATCCTCCGTAGGCGACGTTACTGTCGGAGCGCGGAAGCACGCGTTCAGGAATGAGACGTTCCGGTTACCGACCAACTGCGATTTGTGCGGTGATCGCATATGGGGCTTGAGCGCGAAGGGGCTAATCTGTAACGACTGCGGGTTCACGTGTCACCTAAAGTGTGAGCTGAAAGTTCCGGCAGACTGCCCGGGCGAGCTGGACAAGGAAGCGAGGAAGAAGATGAAAGCTGAGCGGCAAGCATCAGCTCAAGCGCAGGCTGCGACACTCGAGCCTCCTACGAGCAATGGTGCGAGCAGTCCAAACGGTACCGGCCATCGCGGCAGTATGCCAAGTCTCCAGCGCAGCGATACGTTAGGCTCGATGAACACACTGAGCTCCGGCTACGCCGCCAGTGCGCAACGCAGCGTCTCCGCTTTGACGGTGAAGTCCACAGCGGACAACGAGACCCAGCAGCCTACAGGTCGTCACAGAATCGTCGCGCCGCCTCCCGCAACCTACGCGAACGGTGCTGACGCCACTGCGGAAGATGAGCAGCACGGCAAAATGCTATATGCCTACCAAGCGACCGGCGACGGCGAGATCAGCGTCTCCGAAGGCCAAAGCTTTACGCTCATGGAACCTGACGACGGATCCGGCTGGATCAAGATCAAACCATCATCATTCGGCGCCTCTCCTGGTCTGGTACCGGCATCATATGCAGAGATTGTACCTCAGTCTCCATTTGCTGACCGGCCCATGTCCACCGCTGCTTCCGCGTCGACCGTCTCGCTCGCAGGTTCAGATTCGGGAAGCGTCAAGCAGAAGAGAGTCGGACCCGCTGTCGCGCCACGGCGAGGAGGCGCGAAGAAAGCTGCCACTCCCGCGAAGAAGCAGGTGGAGGCTCTGTATACGTACAATGCTAACGGGCCTGGAGAGGTGGACATGGAGGAAGGAGAGAGGATGGTGCTGGTGAGTGCAGATCAGGGAGACGGCTGGTGCGAGGTTGAGGCTAGGGCTGGGAAGGGTGTTGTGCCTGCCACTTGGGTGAAGGAGGTTTAAGTGGTTGTGCGAGAGCCTCGTCTTGCACAGGGAGACGCAACCTTGCATGGATGGATGTGAACGAACGAAGGGAATGATGGACATGTTTGGGTCTCGCTCGATCGGAGACATCGATGGTCCATCCTGAGTAGGCCGGAGCATGTGCACCGTCGTATGAGCCTTGCCACTCCCCTTGAAGCTTGTCCAGCACGCCTTCAATCAAACCGTCTCCTCTAGATCTACGCCCGAAGCATGGCGTAGACTATAAGATGAGTACCACTCCGACAGCGTCACCATCGATACACGAGGACTTGAAGCGCGAATTTCTGAATGTCGATTACTGACGAGGATACCGACTGAAACGGTCCTCTACCGAGGCACCTCGCTACTGCCATGCTCAGCCTCGGAGTTACTGGGCGCTCAAACGGTTCGACGAGACACTCAAGAGATGATCGTCCGATTGCAAGAGATCAATCCGGTTTTGCTGTTCGGTCGAGGCTCCTGTAATCTATGGTCGACTCTGAGAGCAGTGTGCTATACGAGTAGTGTTGAGGCTTTTGTGATATTTGCGAGCAGGATGGCTTTGCTCTCAGATACGCAGTCATGCGTGTTTTCCTTATTGGGAGAAGATCATTGTGGGCTATCTGCATGGCCGCTGGTGGCGCAAAGCGGGCCTTCTGAATAGCTGTGAGATCTCGGAGGATCTCGCAGTCTTCACAGTGCATTGGCAAGCTTCGACAGTTTACCGAGGCCTTGCTTTCGTGATCGGTTAGCATAATCGCAAGAGGTTTAGTGAAACAGTTGCGGTAGAGAGTGTGTTGACTTCAAACCCTGCCAAGGCGGTACGACTGCTACAACATATTGCCATGAAAGTCCCGTGATTCGGCGAACAAGGAGCCGTCCAGATTGATGGAAAATGAGAAATCGTGACAAGACGTGCAAGAACGGTCCAGACAAGCTCGGTTGGAAGATGTCAGCCAAATTCCTCAATGTGCTCTAGGGTTGGAATGGATGGGATGATGATTAAGGCGCACTGTTGCAGGCGGAACAACGTGCTCCATATTATGGTGCATCGACTAAGAGGGATGTTGACTCGCTGCAGGTACCAGACCGTTACGCAGATGCGGCAGAACCGCACGCCGATTCCCGGGATGTAGGCGAAAAAGTCGCGGAGCTAGAAACTCCACCACTGACGGCAGGTAGATAGACGCATTCCCCTGAGCCTTCAGGATGTTGTGGTCGCCTTCGCCCATGTTGTGTCGCTTGTAGGCAGAACGTGCTCATCACACGCTAAGGTTATCTTCTGTGCGCACTTCAGGTCTTTTCCAGTTCGCAGCCTGCGTTTTGGCTGATGTCGGCAACTGAAAGTTCGACGGCATTATTTCGTTCTCTGCATGCGGGAACCGAGGATGGCGCCAGTGGCTGCTTGGTGCACTCGATCTCTACATCCTCGGCGGCGTGGCTGAAGGTTAATTAGACTACGTGCACGGTAGGTCACACGCCGGTGTATGTGCTACTCCAATGCGCAAGCGAGCTACAGGGCCAGACACGTGAAGTAGGGAATCGTGCGCGTCGATCGGAAACAGTGTATCAGTGCGGGTCCATCACGCAAGTCAACCACGCCCACCGCGCAAGGTGCAACCCGACATATTGGTATCGTCGTCGAGGTCTCCGAAGCACATGCCGACTGGGCCGAGTGACTCGATCTGATTGTGACTGCGAAGCAAACAACCTTTCCTTGCCGTCATTAGCGGCTGCCAGATAGTTGCCCAGAAGCTAGAAGCAAGCACTCGGCCTCGGCCTACTAAGTCAAACGAGGAGCAGACCATTGAAAGTGGCGTGCTTTAGAGAGATAAGGCCGTGAGCTCACCACGTTAGGGCCATCCGCTCCCTCGTTCGTTGAGTGCGGGCCTTTGTCCGCGGGTGTTAGCTCACGGACGGTGCGATCCAACGTCCATGCGCGGTGAACTATCGGTAGTTTGCAGCACGGGATAGGAGGAAAGAAGGGTCCATTCTCCACCCCTCGACTCACTTCTCCAAAGGTGATCGGCGCGCATCCGCCCTTCCTGTGCTTCGGCTCCTGTGCGCTTGACGTTGGTACTTTTCCCTCCGCTATCCTCTCTTACTTCTGCAACGGCTGCACCACGATCGGCTCGCGAGCTTATTAGCTATCGCGCGTGATTGTGCCTGAAGGCTTGCATCTTCATCTTGCAACTTCATATAGTCCTGCGACGGTGCCGCACAATCCCGACCCTGCGCCGCGAGAGCCCAATCCACCTCGCACCCTCACTTCATATCTGGAGGGTACCCGCGGGAGCATAAGCTACTAATTCCTGGAAACCGGCAATCTATACTTCTATCCTGACCACAGTACATGCGACATCAATAACTGCGCTCGTCGCACATCCATTGCGCCCACAGGCCAACGAAAACCCGCACCGCCGCAGCAATGTCGGGTACTCCCATCCAAAACTCCCATGTCTGGGCAACAGATGTGCCAAACCGCTCTCCAGCTTTCGTGATCGTATCAATAGTCTTCATCTGCGTGACGACCGGCTTCTTCGCCTTCCGGCAAGGCTGGCGCTGGGCTCACCGGCAGCGCGGATGGGACGATGCCATGGCCGCCTGCGCCTATATCGTCCTCCTCATTGAAACCGTGCTCGGCGGCGTTTCGGCCCACTACGGATTCGGAAAGCACCTCAAAAACATCAAGGCGACGTACATGGATGCACTGTTTTACTTCTACCTTTACCAGATCTTTTACAAACTCCTCGGCGGCTTCACCAAGCTCACCTTCTGCTTCCTCTACCTGCGCATCTTCAATCAGAAGAGCTTCCACTGGCTGGTAATAACCGTAGCCGCCATTTCCGGCGCTGGATCGATCGCATTCGCCCTGGGTACCGTTTTCCAGTGCACTCCAGTCAACCGCGCGTGGGACAGGACGATACCTGGACACTGTACCAGCAACACCGAGTTCTGGTACACTCACGCGGCCTTCAACATCCTGTTCGATATAGTGGTATGTACAAATCACGAGCGAGCCGTGATCATGTATACTGACGGCTGGCACAGATATTTATCCTACCAATTCCGCTCATTCAGGGCCTCAAGATGGCTCGCGGTCAGAAGACTGGATTGATCTCCATTTTCTGTCTTGGTGCCTTCGTCATTGCGGCCGCCACGGTTCGCATGGTCATGCTGCGCGCCAGTGCCGGCAGCACCGACCCGACATGGGGCTCAACCATCGCTTTGATCTGGACCGAGATCGAAGCCAACACTTCGGTCATTGTGTGCTGTCTACCCGCCCTGCGCGTTCCATTCTTGCGTTTGTGGCAGAGGGCGCGAGGCCAGCATACTGGTGACTCTCTCGAACTCAGCGACAAGCCGAACACGCACATCTACGACGACGCCTGGGACCGCACGCGCAAGCACCACAACGGCGCTGTCGCTACCCGCGGCCTGACGAAGCCGCAAAACAGCTACAAGACGAAGGAGTTGCACAGCCAAAACCAGTCTGACTCCACCGAGACCCAATCCAACAACAAGAGCGAGGGCTGGTATGACCGTGTCCTCCGAGGCTTGGAGAAGGATCACAAAGACAGTGACAACTCCAGCCAAGACGGACTTGTTCACAGCGGCGCCGGCAGCGCGGCGCCAACGCCGTTCGGAGGCATCTTCAAGACCACCGAGATGCGTGTGAGCACGCAGGATGTGGACGGACAGGAGTCCCGCCGTTCGGACCCCGAGGACCGGCGGCAAGTGAGCTTAAAGGACGTGTTGAACGAGCGATGAGTGGGTTACATTACAGATACCAATTGTGCCATGTACAGTAACGCTTGCGGATCTTGCGACTAGAGGAGGCTTGGATTGAGAGGCGTCTGGCGCTAATTGGCGCAGCCAGCTGCGGTTGGTGGACGAGCATGTTTCTACGATCTCCAGGGTTATGTACGCCTAGTAGATGGAGCAGACTTGCTTATGTAGCTTGATTGAAAGGATGTTGACGGTGAAAGAACTTGGGGCGGTTGCAGGCTGCAGCACCGTTGACTCTCGTGCTGCTAAGCGGTGGTGCGTTGAGTGTCTATGTACAAGCTCGATGTCATTGTCAAACAGCACGCGAGCTCAGCACGAATAAGGCCGGTTCAAACGAGCATTGCTTAGACGCATCGAGGGCTGGTGAAGCGAATCTGCCAAAGCATATATTTATGCCCATCGCATCGCAGCAGTCTAAGGAACAGATCGTCAAAGGATTTGACACGGCTACTCCATTCACAAGCGAGCAGTCTAAACCGGCCAACGAATCGTGAGGAGTGCACATCTCGTGCAGTAGGTAGCTGCATGTGTGGAGGGAAGCATGACTCGAGAACTCAAAGCCGCAGATGGCGTCAGCGCAGATCGGTTAATGTTTTCGAGCCGAAGCATGGAAAGCATTGCAGTGCTTTGAAATCAGCCTTCGAGGTGGCGGAGTAAGATGCAGTGTTGACAACGACTCTGTGGGCTGGTAGAGAATCATCGGAATCATGAAGTCGTCAATAAGCGCAGCCAGCGTGCTGGTAAGAGCCGTGCGAGCGTCACCGAGGACGAGCTTGTGGCACCGTTGTGTACCGTTACCATCATGCCAGACACCTCGCGGCATACGGACCGAAAGCAGACGTACTGCGCAAGTAGCAACGGCTCCCGCGCCTGAACAGGATCTTCCGCCATTGTCAAACCCGCAGCTGGCCTTCCCATGCCTGGACAACGTGGAGCAGCGGACAGAGAGGCTCAGCAGGCGGTCTATGTCCGGACCCGAACCCTCGTATACGACTGGCAAGCATGAGACGTTCCACTCGGACGAGCCCATACTATTAGACTGGGGAGGAGTGTTACCGAGCTTCGACATAGCGTACGAGACATGGGGTACGCTGAATGCAGACCAGAGCAATGCGATCCTTCTGCATACGGGTCTCTCAGCGAGTAGTCATGCACACAGTACGGCAGCGAACCCCAAGGCAGGCTGGTGGGAGAGGTTCATTGGACCTGGCGCACCGCTAGATACGGACAAGTACTTTGTCATTTGCACGAACGTTCTCGGAGGCTGCTACGGTAGCACAGGCCCAAGCAGCATTGATCCGGTCAGCCAGCAGCCGTATGCGACCCGCTTCCCCATCCTGACGATGCACGACATGGTGCGAGCGCAGTTTAGACTGCTAGACAGTCTGAACATCCGCAAGCTTTACGCTAGTGTTGGGTGCAGTATGGGTGGCATGCAGTCGCTCGCAGCAGGCATACTGGAGAACGATCGTGTCGGACGCGTTGCCTCAGTATCGGGCTGCGCGCGAAGCCATCCTTACAGTATCGCCATGCGCCATACGCAGCGTCAAGTCCTCATGAGCGATCCGGCTTGGGCACAAACCCGCGGTAACTACTACAACACAGTTCCTCCGCACCAGGGCATGAAGCTTGCACGTCAAATAGCGACAGTCACCTATCGCTCAGGACCGGAGTGGGAGAAGCGGTTCGGCAGACAACGTGCGGATTCTAGCAAACCGCCCGCCCTATGTCCAGACTTTCTGATAGAAACGTACCTTGACCATGCTGGCGAGAAGTGGTGCCTCGAGTACGATGCAAACAGTCTGCTCTATGTTAGCAAGGCTATGGATCTGTTCGATCTCGGCAAACAAACGCAGGAAGCCACCGCCAAGCGTAGGCAGGACAATGCCGGCAGACTTCAGGGTATCATGAGTCAGCAGAAACCGAATGATGTGTGCAGTCTGGCTCTGCCGGAGGAGCCATACGAGGAGACAGAATCATCAGCCGATATCATGGCCTCTGAAACGCCGTCTTCAGCGCATCTTAAATCTGCAGACAACGATCTGGTCCGCGGCATGGCGCCTCTGCGCGACACGCCAACGCTAGTCTTGGGTGTCGCATCGGACATCCTCTTCCCGGCTTTCCAACAGCGAGAGATTGCTGAGACGTTACGGAAGGTGGGCAATCGCAGTGTGACGCATATCGAGCTCGGCGAAGACAAATCGATGTTTGGTCACGATACCTTCTTGCTGGATCTGGAAGGCGTGGGTGGTGAAATCAGACGATTCCTAGGATGACACCGGATCTGAAGATCATGCTCAACATCTAGCAAGCACTGCTAAGGCACCATGCGTTGTCAATGTGTCAAGCGGGGCGCTGATAGGAACACAATAGTCTACATACTCTCCGCGGACTACCATATCTTCAGCACCGTCTCTGCAATACTTGTGGGGATCCCCGCGATATCGCTTTCTTCGAGATGCTGTTACCCCTGCAAGACGTCACACGGCGGTGAACAGTCGCCTCCCAGCCTCTTCATCATTGTACTCGGCTAGCGGGCCCAGTAAGGCGCCAGGAGATCTGTGACGCCATCAGATCAAGGACGAGGTGCTGGCAGCGCCCAAAGAGGTTGAGCTCAGCAGGCAGACGCCACGGGCGACGGAAAACAAGCAGATTGAGGTGGGGGTGTGGCCGTTGGGAAAGAGCGCGAGTGAGCAAGCGCTTGTTACTGTTCTAGGTTCACACTGATGAAAGACACGTCACTACAAGGCTTGTGGTCCTGCGCCTGGAGGATGGCCTGACCATTTGCAACCATGCCATCACTGGTCGAAGGTGTTGGCAGGACTCAAACTAGCCTTAGAGCTGCGCACTCGGCCCCAGTTACGGTGGATTAGCTACTCTCGACGCAAAAGGTTAAGGTGATGACTGTGCGACTTGCTAGACACACAGCTTGTGCTTACTACTGCCGGTGGAAGAAGGCCGCGAACACTTCGCTTTTTGCCAGCCAACCGGATTCTCTAACAGATAGATCAGTATGGTCGACGCAAAGCCTCAATATGATACGGGTGCAGTAAACGACAAGCCTACTAAGCTGCTCGTCTCTCGCCGTGAACGCCGTCCCAGTGTGGTGCACAGAGGTAGGTGGAGACCTACTCCATCTTTTTGTGCCCATCCTCCGCTTCGAGACGAATGTCATGCGCTGGCGGGCTCTCCGCGTCGGCGTTCTCCACATGAGAGACTTCGGCATCATAGGCATTCGCATGAAGCTCATCGAAATTCGATGGCTCACTGGGCCGCTCATTCGCGTTCGAATACATGCCGTGATCGTCGTAGAAGTCGTGTTCTTGCTCGATACTTTCCAGTGGCGGCGGGCTTCGCATGTCATAGTCATCGTCGCGCCCTAGCAACGGGTTCATGTCCGGGCCGTAGACTGGATCTTCTTCCATCGAAGATCTGAAACCGCTGTCATCGCCTCCCATGGCAGAGTCGTGTTCCGCAGTTGTGCTCAGGTTGTCCTCATCGTCATAAGCGTGCCCGGTTTGATTCAGCAGCGCAGTACTGGGCTCCGCATCAAGCCCGGTATCCGGCACCTCGTCAAGACCCTGGAAGCCCCAGTCACCGCCTTGGCTGCCAAACTGTCTAGGCACGTTAGAGCCGTCGCTACTATTCGCCAGGCTCGTCTTCGTTGTCAGACTGCTGTCGGCTCTGGCTCCAGCCCCACCACCGCCGTGGCTGAGATGGATCCCGTTCGTGCCGGCTCCTGCTGCGTGTAAAGCGCTCGACGACCCATGCAGTGAGGAGGTTGGGCCGCCGAGCTTGGCTTCCCCCGACTCGTCCTCGTCGTCGTCTTCGGCGGTCACATCGGTCGGTTGTGGATTACGAGCGTCCATAATCAGATTCTGTAGGTACTGGGGCCCGAGAGGCTTGTCGGAGCGGCGGCGGTAAAAGAGCAGGTAGGCTGCGGCAGAGCGCAGCTTGGCATCGCCTGCTTTGGAGCATATCGAGTCTACGTCGCGCTGTTAGCAATGATCCGCAGTATCGGCAGCGAAGCGGTACTCACCGTTATAGTCGTACCACTGCCCATCGTAAAAGTTCTTAGCCAGGGCAGTGTAGTGGCCACCACCGAGGCCGCCGTAGTGGTTGTCGACCGCAAACAAATCATAGATATACTCCTTGCCGTCCTCTTTCAAACCGATCTTCTCCGTCATGTCTAGACCATCAATAGGGTAGTCGACCATGACATCGATCTTGTCACGGAAGCTTCGGTTGCCACCAAAGCGCTTCAGATGCACAATCAGTATATCCGGAATCGTCCAGATCTCAAGCGTCTTGGCCGCCTGCCGCATCTCCTTGCAACGGTTGCAGTACCAAGCGTTGTCCTCAGACAAGATCTCACGTTTCCCAGTCTCGACGAAGCAGTCCTCGAGAGTGACGCCATGTTTTCTGCGCTCAGCGCGCTGCTGCTTCTTTGCTTGCAGAACAGGGTCAGGTACAAAGTCGAGATCCCTGCCATCTCGTGAAGACAGCCAGTACCCACGCTTCTGGTTCTCCGCCTCCGGATCACCACCGAACAGGTCGTTGAGCCCATCTGGGTACCAGTCCAGCACAATGGCTTCGCCCAGCTTGATGTAGTACTGCTCATCGTCATTGTCTGCATGCCCGTTCAACGTGCCCTTGGACTGCGTTGACGTCAGCGAGCCGCTACTGTCCGGCCTGTTCTGGGTGTTTCGACGGTCTGCGCGGCCATACGTCTTCTGCCTAGGCTTCCGCTTGCGCCGGAATTTATCCTGCTTGCCCTGAACACGGCGCCGCCCACCTCGACCCTCGATTGGGTCGTCCGGCAGAAAGTCGCTACCACTGTCGGGATTAGCGCTTGTCGGCGTGGGCATGTGCAAGGCATCTTCTTGACCAATAACGATATCTGGCTTGTCGTTATCGTCGTCGGCATCGCTTTCCTCAACCTCGCATTCCGCATGCCCGGCAGCCACGCTCGTGGTCGACTCCTCGGACGTTGACTGCACGCTGGGCCGTCGTGGAGGCTGCTTCACGCGGCTATACATATTGGACACGGTCTTCTCGACAAAGCTTTGCATGCTCGCGCACGACATTCCGCCATCGCTCTTAGCATAATTGACAGCGAAGAGGTGATTCCGCAGCTCTTCCGCAATGCTGTAATCGCGGCTCATAAAATGCGCCGGAATAGGAGTAGCCTTGGGTGGAGGCTCAGGTGCACTGGTAACCTGCTCGGACTGTCCGTCTTCCCTTGCGTTGTCAAGCGATACTTCAACATAGCCGTCTTCAGATGGCACAGAGCGGTCGCTGACCTGCGCAACGTCCTCGCCGGCCGACTCCTCCTTCTCGGACTCGCCATTGACCGTAGGCTCACCAACTTGGTCACTGTCGTCGAACTCTGTAAGAATAGGCCTGCTGGTCTGCTTCGACACAGCAATCAGCAACTTTTTCAGTATAACCTCGAAGTCCTTCGCCTCTTCTCTTGTGAGCAGGATATACAGCGGGTGCAGTGTAATCTCCCACGTATTGCCGAAACGACTGCGCTGCCGAGAGAAGACCGGCACCGCCATGCGCTCCGCTTTCGGGTCATCCATGTCCGGTATCTTGTCGCTACCGTGTGAGAAGGCTTTCCTCGGCGCACGATCTGAGATGTTCGTCGGCACGTCTTCCAACTCAAAAGCAAAGATGTAATCGTGCCCTTGAATGCTGAGCTCCGCCAGCGTCTGATGGTTCTCGAAGACCTTATAGATTCGCTGACCATAAACTTCAGCCATCCACAGACGATCAGCGGAAACGCCAGAATGCTTGCTTGCGATGCTCTGCTTCAGGGCCTTGATAGTGGAGTTCCTGTCCGTATCTATGGCGTGGTTGACTGGAGGACCATTGAGCGGCACAAAGGTCACTGTATGCTGGAAGGAGCTCTCGATCGGCAGTTGTACCGTCACAAGGGAGTACGGATCAAACGTGATGCTGACCTTCTCGCAGACAGGACACTCCATAGTGTTCTTGTAAAAGCCGCTGAAGAGATCCATGCAGACTGAATCATTGCGTGCTCGGTGGTTCTTACGGTAAACCTCGCCAAGCTCGATGATGGCTTGCGGATCACGCACAGTCTTGTCATCCGAGTCTGGATTCTCGGTGTACGGCTTCTTCTGAATGCGATTGAGGTCCTCGTGGAGCGCATCCACCAGAAAGCTTAGGAATTCCTGAGAGTCCTGTTGACCGTAGCCGGAGAACAGTGGTTGGAGCGAGCCCAATGTCCGCTTGAAGTCACTTGGAGAGAATGTACTGCTGGAATTGTCGCCGTAGATGCCATTCAAGACGCCAGCGTACTTTTTGGCCATCACGCCACCATGACCAAGTGGGTTGTTAGAGTTGATCTCGGCCTTGTATCTGTCAGCAAGGAAATAGATGGCCAACTCCTCAACACTACGAATGCACTGCAGCGCAGAGTTCATGTAGCAGGTATTGCCGAGATTACTAAGCCCGACTGTTCCTCGAGTTCTGCCGTCCCGCCGCGCACGACCTCTCGTGATCATGCCACCGGGCTGAGGGCTTGCGCGACCGGAAGCGGGTGCTGATCCAGGCCGCGAGCTATTGCTGTTGAGCAACGAGAACTTCGTACGCTTCTTGTTATCAGACTGGAATTCACCACCCGCCGGGCCGCCTATCTGCTCCTCGAGAAGTAAGACCGTATCTTCATGCAGTCCGTAGATGTCGACAGTGCTATTGCCGTTGTACTTGTTGTTCATGGTTTGATCCTTGACATCGACATGCTCAAGGTCGCGACCGACCTCCATCGCCTTGAAATCGGCTTCGGGCAGGACTAACACGTTCTTGGTGTCTCGAGCAGACTTACTTGCAGAGATGTCTGGCGATCGCGGCGGCGAAAGTACGCCCGCTTCGTGATGATCCGGCGCCTCTACTGCAACTTTCTGAGCGTTGAGCAGGCGCCATACTCTCACCTGGGTGTTTCTTGGGATACCGGCAGCTTCCTTTGCACGCACCAGAAAGTCTTGCATCTTGCTGGAACGTGCGGTTACCAGCTTGGGTGCATCACTCTCCGAACGCTGACCTTGCCGCTGCATTTGTTGTCTTCTCGCCGCCTTCTCGGCATTGGATTTGTCTGGTGTCGCAGCCTGCTGCTCTTCCTGAGTGGGCTGTGGTACTTTTCGAATGGTGATTGTAGGCGGATACATCTCATATTGAATGTTGGTGGTGGCCGCATCTTGTCCGGCTGTATTTTTCGCGTAACGGTTGATCTGCTTCTGGCCGGGTGCCATACCGTAGCAGCTGACCACGTAGCCCCAGCTAGAGTCCGGCAGTACTTGATAATCCTGATCCATTGACAGCCCAGGTTTGAGTGGTATGAAGTTGCCTTTAGGGTCCTCCGGGTCAGCAAGGAACGGTGGATCAAAGGCCCCTTCGGGCACAATGTCAGAATTATCAATGAGACCAATCGGACCTTCTCGCATCCCTTTCGTAAAGTCGTTGCTCCTTAGGCCGTCACTGGTGCGGGACAGAACACGACCGAGCCACCTGCACGAGACGACCACGCCTTTCTCGCCAACATCCGGACCTTTACTCCAAGCTTCTCGTACTTTGCCAACCTGCGCATCAATCTCCGCGGTAGTGTACTGCGTGTCCTTACGGACGGCGTTACTCTCTTCGTAAGGCGGAGGAGCATCAGAATGCGAGCTCGCAGCAGAGGTATTGGTGGTCAAAGTGCCCAGCTGAGTAGGGGCAGTGCTATTCGCAGCCGTTTCATCTGTGTCCGTATGCATCGCAGGCGTCATCCCAGCCATAGGCTCATCCAAATCCGTCGATGCCGCATCCCGCGTCGGTGCGAAGCCCACATTCGCCGGAGCAGGTTGTTGCGTCTGCTCACGTGCCCTACTCGCATCTAATCTGATGTCCTCCATATCCGCCGCACTCCGCTTTGCCGGCGATGCAGATCTCACGCCGTACACATGATCCGGACTCTTCACGTCCCTCCGCTCATTGCTGTTGCCGCCATGTTCACTACCGGACATACTCCCACTATCGATATGCACCGCCGCAAACTGCCCGCTCGGACTCGACCCACCGTCACTCGCCACAGCAAACTCCTTGCTCTGCAGCACCTCGTCCTGTATGTGCGGCGGGAAGGCACGTGGCGGGGTGGTGGTCCGTGTGGTGGTGGAGGAAGTGGGTGAAGGCGCCTGGCTGTTGCTGTCGGAGTTGGTTGTTGGAGAAGGCGGCTTCGGCGAGCTGGAAGGCGAAGAGTTCGCGTGGGATTTGAAGCGTAGGGTGTCGAAGGGAGCCTCTACCGACGAGTCTGATGCTGAGTCGAAAGGTGCCAGGCGTCGCTTTTTAGCGAAAGGCGAGGCCGTCGTGACGTGAGCTGCTCTGCCGCGAGCAGCTCCGAGGTTATGCCTTTTCTGGTGTCGCCCAGCGGCAAGAAGGACACCGCCCCCTGTAAATACTGGTCTTGTACGTGGTATACCAAGATTTGCCGCAGGCGAAGAGTGAAGGGGCTGAGTGCCAGGCTGAGCCAGACGCGAATTGCCCGTTTGCTGGTTGACCTTTGTAAAGAACAGTAAAATGCCTAAGGCATCAGGGCTGTTCGATGAGCGTGTGGCGGCGACGGCTCAAGTCAGGAGAACAAGAAATGTCGTGAAGAACAAAATATGATGAGAGTGTTTACCTTGGAACGATACGATTGCGAGGGTGAGATTGGGTGTAAAGAGCTTCAACGTCAGAGGATGTCGACGGATACCATGGAAAGGCTGAGTTTGGTGGCCGGAGGAACTCCGAAGCCCACATTCACATTCACACTTCACATGCACGTTGACAATGTTGACCGCCCAAGAGCCTAGGCAACAATAGCCGCGTATCGCATACACTATGCTAGCGTACAAGATGTCCTTCGGGGAAGCGCCAAGTCGTACACGTTAGCCTCTTTGCTCGACAAGGTCCATTCACTTCGATCCATTCCCGCCGCCAGAGTTCAACCAAGAGAAAGCCGAACCGCCTCCTATCGGGTTGGCTTTCGTCTTGGGCGCCGCAGCGACAGCCGCAGCGGACGCTGGCGTAGTCGCAGTCGCTGCACCCGGACTAACCGCCGCAGCGAGAGGTTGTTGTTCCCTCTTACCATCTACGAGCGCAGACTTCTGCACAGCGTTCGCATGATCCGGCCCACTGCGCCGCCGACCTTCGTCGAAGAAGCGACTTTTGCCGTCTCCCGGACTGGAGGTGGTAGCCGCGGGCGTGGAAGCAGTAGAGAAGGTGCGACTCGCGCTTTTGGGCTTGAGAACCTTGATCCCGCTCTCTTTCCGCTGATACTGCGCGTCGCGCGTCTTGCCTGCACTTGCCCAATCGAGTCCGGGTGCCTGAGACGGCGTTGTGACGGGCGTTGATCCTTCGCGCCGCCAATTGCCCCAGATTGCGGGACTACCGCCTGATCGTAAGGGTGTAGTTTGCGATGCGGTATCGGAGGGACCCTGCTCCGGTAGGTCTGACGAAGTGTTGATCAGAGCTAGAGACGGCCTCGAAGAGGTGGAAGCACGACTCGCAGGCCTTGGGTCGCTCGTGTCAGAGCCGGGGGTGCCGGCTTTCGCGGACTCGAGGTTATTCGCTTCGGCGGCGATAGCACCAGGTGGGCGATACTTGCCTGGCGGCGGACTCGCTGCCGCTGAGGAGACGGATACTGCAGATCCACCCTGTCCAAAGCCATTCAGGTAAGGCTGCTCTTTCACCGCAATAACCGCTTCTGCAGAAGCAGAGGGAGTGTGCGGTTTGCCACTACCGACGTACAGGCTGTTGAACGCACCCTCGTCCTCAGGCCGCACCAGCGGTATGCTAAGCTTACTCCGATCGTCGTCGAACAGAGTTATACTACTTGACGAGAAGAGAATATCCGCATTGTGCGCTCGAAGCACATCGCTGCCGATGAAGATTTGGATGGCCTTGCTGTGATGGTCGGACACTTGCTCCACCACCTGGAAGTTGACTGTGAGTGTCGGTAATTGCGGCGCTGGACTGCTCGATCGCGATGATGCTGGGTGCGGTACAGCTTCTGGGAAGTATACCGGCAGCTCGACCGTCTGTGTGCTGTCGCTCTCCGTAGTCCGAATGCTGGTCTCGAACCCCAGCTTCTGAATCAGCCGCACATCCAAGTATGACTTGTACGAGCCCGTACAGACAGCCGCATATAGCAAAGCATCATGCTTGAAGTTCGTATTCATCCAACAACGGATAATAGCCGGCACAGATCCGAGCAGTAGCAGACCAGGCGCAAGTGCCGGCGTATCAAGAGGTGAGCGATTCGAGTCGCCATGCCCATACGCCGTGTCGAGGTTGAGACTATTAGCCCGGCCCGAAGCAGCAGAGCGCATCGAATGCGCCGAGCTAGCGCGCCCGTCGGACTTGTGCGAAGAAGAGCGCTCGCTCATCTGCAAACCAGCACCGAAACCACTGCTGGTGCGAGACGCCAAGTCCATCGAAGGCCTCGACGAATGCGAGAAGTGGTTCTGATTAGCAGACTCATCGAAGCGGACGCTGTTGGCACGCGAGTTGGCGCCCATACCTCTTCGCGGCTCGTCCTCGGCATCGAGGTGCAAGCTGCTCATGAGGGTGTTTGCCTCGTCGTCGAAGCCGCGGAAAGCGTCAGAAGGCGGCTGTTGCAGGGGTGCTGGCAGAACGTAAGCTCACAGTCTCCTTCCCAGGGTGAGAAAGTACGGGCAAACTCACCCTGCTGCGGCGTCCCACTAAGCACGCTTGGGAATGGCGAGCTGCTACCCCATACACTCTTGACCCGCGCGTCCTCGTCTTGCCTCCGCTCAAGGCGTGCTATGCGCTCGGAGTGCTCGGCTTGCACCTGCTGTATCCGCGCCACATCGGTCTGCAGCCGCCACGTGTCGTTGTTGCTACTGTACGGAGTGAAAGATTGGCTCTGCGGGTCCATCATTCGACTCCTGCATTACCACACCACGCGCCCTACACTGCAGGGTTGTGCAGCCCAGACCAGCAGGTTGCGCTGCTTTCTGCCGTTCACAACTCCAATTGTTCCTCTCCCACACCACCTTCTCCTCCAAGCGTTACCTGCGGCGCAAGCCGCAGACTAGTGCCTTCCTTAAGCCAGGTTGTCTCGTGATGTGTTGGCCGTGGAAATGCTTGCGATGATTGACAGGTTATGGAACGGCCGAGAGCGTTACGCTGGATTGGCACGATGCTTTCCAACTGGCGACTTGGTACAGTCCGCTGGTATCAGTAAAGCAAGGACAGGGTAGCTTAACGACGAAATAATCTCCCGTTGGCGAGAGTGCAGCACTCAATAGTAGTATTATGTGATAGATCGTATGCGGTTTCGTAAGGCAAGGAAGGGGCAAAAGCGGCCCTGCAATATGGCGCTGCTCCAGGGAAGTTGTCGGACTTTTTCGCTATAGTCGATGGAACTCGGTGTGGTGCGAAGCCTCAATGGACCGTTGGTAGAGGGGGAACGTTGAATGATGGATTTGGTTCTCTACTTTCTGAAGGTGGTGATCGCTAGCGCTTCGCTTAGACATGCCGTGCCGTAGGGCTGCGGGCTGTAGTGGCGTTCTCCGCGCATGGGAAGCACGTGAGAATGTCGAACCATGTGATAGTGTCTCGGATATGAATGGGGAATCTCCCACGTAGGGAACATGCTATCGGAGCCATATGCACACATTGTCAACAAACCCCTTTCCCATACTGTCACTTCCGGAGGACCAGCGCCAGCGCTATGCGTAGGTAAAAGACATCAAGCATCGCTCTGCATCGTAAATCTTGTACATCGTCGTAGCAAACCATTTACGCTGTTGAGTTGCGCTTCTCGATGCTGTACATCCTCGACGGTCTCTCAAGCATAGCCCATCTTCCAAACGCCAGCTGCAACCGCGGTGGCAACACCCAGCACAGCGAGCCTGTCACTTATGTTAGCATCACCCCAAGCATGAGCTCACGAACATCAAGACTTACAGGACCATTGGGTGCAGGAGAACAGAAGGCGCCGGCTTCGCGGTATCAGCCTGCTTCGTGGACCCTGGCAAAGTGGCCTCCTGAGTCTCATCCTTCTCGGTTTGCTCGCCCGTAGCCTGCGCTACAGTCTCCTCGACAGCCTTTCCAACGATTGCAAGCTCCACAATCTCCTCGGCGACGCGCTCGGTCTCCGTCTCGATCTCTTTGGGGGTCATCGGCGGAGTCATCGGCGCTCTTGGTCGAGGCTCCTGCGGCTTCGTTACCATCACGACTGGCACTTCTGACGCCACTGGGCCGACTTGTTCGCCGGCGGTCTCTTTCGTGGCCGCTGGTCCCCCTTGCTCTCGCACTTGGTCAGGATCATCGTCTTCATCGTCTTCTTGCACGCTCGGTAGCGATTGGGTGCGCGATGAAGGCGAGTTGACTCTGGCGTGGTCTTTCTCGCCTTCATCAGCGTCGAGTTCAGTGCAAGACCGCTGTATGTGCTGGTAGATGCCAGCTTGGTCTGTCGGAAACTTCTCGAGGGATGGGTCGTTTGGATCTGCTTCTTCGGCCACAAGGTTTTCCTCGCTTGACCGCGTGTAATGATTCGGCTCATCGAGGTGTTCGCCTATGGCAGACGACTTGTGTCGCATGAGTGGTGCTTGTGTCTGCTCGATGGCATCTGGAGTCATAGATTCGTGTCGCAGAAGAGGACTGTCAAGATGGACATCGTCGTCATCATCCCCCTCCTCCTCCTCCTCCTCCTCCTCCTCCTCCTCCTTCTCTTCTTGCTTCTCCTGCTGGGCTTGCCTCGCGCCAGGCAGTCTATCCTCCTTGACCGGGTGCTCGGTAACTTTCGCGCTCTGGGCCGCATGTTTCAGATCCTCGTCGCCATGATCGACGTCCCACTCGTCCTGATCATCCTGGTCTCTACCCGCGGACTGTGGAAAGAAAGACTCATGCTTCATCAGCGGTGCAGGAGCAGGTGTCACCGGTCCTTGTTGCGCAAGTGTGGACGAGGTGGTCACGGTCACATCTGGCACTCTGATGAACTTCGGAGGCTCGCCAGCGGATGCCGAAGCTTCTTCGTGTGGCATGAGCGGTGCAGGTGCAGGAGTAGCCACAGTCTCCGGCTGCGCCACCGCTGTCGGTAGCTGGATGGCAGTAGGACGATCTGCCTTTGGTTGTGCATCCTGTTTTGGTGGTTCAACATCTGGCTGTGATAGATTGGCCAGTCTGGGAGTCTCTACCGGTGCTTGTGCGGGTGTTGGTGCAGCTGGCGCAGACTGCTCGAAATTTCGAGGCAACGTTACCGGTGCAGTGGCTTCGGGTTGCACAGTTGCCGGCGCCTTCAGTCGGTCATTCGGCCCTGTGCCCTTCTCGGCCAGAGCTGCTTGGACGGGTGCCGGCGCTTTCACTGTCAATAAATTGTTCTTATTGCCCATGCCGTCGTCCACGCTAGGCTTGGTATCATCCAAAGCCCACCAATCGCCCGGTCCAAGCCTGAACTTATATTGATACTCGCCTTCTTCGGCTGCAAAGGTCTGAGAGAAGCGGTACTCGCCGTCGTCCTTTTTCTCCTGTTCCATTTCCACTTCGCTCCATTGCGGGTCGCTGAGACTCGTGAAGACATAGACGGGCGGCTGCAGGCCTGGTGAGGCATACTCTACGGTAACGGGTTGCTTCATGGCCGGCACACCCGGGGTCACCGGACGGTCAGGTCGGGGTGGACCAATCCAGGAAGGACGTGTTGCGAAGTTCGGCCGTGCCGGGACAGGTGTATTAACGGCAGGTGTTGGGCTCAGTGCCGGAGGAGTAGGCTGTAGGGGAGCGGCGCTGGTAGGATCAGGTGCTGACTGTGTTGGCTTGGCAAGGTCGAGGACAGCGTCGATGGAGATCTTGGGTGCTTGGGCCTTGTACGAAGCCATCTTGTTAGTCACCGGAATAGCGTCTTGTGTAGGAGGTCTTGGTGGAAGGATAGGGAAGAGCGAGGTTTTGCTCTTGGCCTCGAATGCAGCCCTCAAGTCCTGGACCGTGAAGGTGTTCTTGGGCATGGACATTCAAGGCAAAGCAAGAATGAATGGGCAGTGAGGTGTAGGTGAACGCATGCGCGTGTTGAAGAGTGAAGCTTACCTGGGCTCAATATACGCGTGTGTATGCGTGCTCATCCGCCGCACTGGAAGGAAGGTGCTGGTCGCTGTCAAGCTACGTTCCTACCTGCTGTAAGATGAAGAGAGATCGTTAGGGAACAAAGTAAGGTATAGGAACGGGATCAGAAAGAGACAAGCATCGTGGGGTGAGAGGCAGGAATGATGGGGGTGGCAGAGTGACTGTACCTTCCCAGGCGAACCCGGGCACGAACCGAGTTCCGCAAAAGCAGGTATGCCCATGCCACGTTCGGCGAGACGGTGTGGGCGTTGAGCGCACGGCGAAGCGGTCTACAGTCATTACTCCGTCATCTCGTGCAAGATGGTCTATGGCGCAAGCGTCAAAAGACTGGTGCTGCTGCTGAAGGAGCATATTCGAATATGCTTATGCAGTCGCCATGTCGTACAAATGCCGTGCTATCGTACATGAATGTTTCCTTGCCTAAGGTATAGCACGGTCTCCAGGCGAAGGAAACCCAAGTACTTGGCGTGCTGAACGCGGCGGCTGCCGAGTTCCGGCGCATCCCGAATTCTCAACGTCCGGGACGCTCTTCTGCCCTCTCGTACCTAAGGTATGCTGCCCCTGATTCCACCCTCAATACGGCAATGAACTCGTCAATCATGCACTGTTGTTGTGAGACGCCCGGTGCAAGCTCTACAGACCAGTGTTTGTGTAGATCCCATTGCCTGGCTTACAGCTGGGACGTGGAGGGGAGACTAGCCCGTGAATGTGGTGTGATTACAGAGCTTCGAAAACTGTACGGCGTGCGTGCAGTAATGTGTGCGAAGCCAGCAAAGTATGTGCTCGTAGCTCAACGTACACACGAACGACAACGATCATATTTCTAGCGAGTGGACGCATACATATCCGGCCTCCTTATGTGTGACGAGTTTAGAGCATGAAGCAGATTCCGTAAAGCATCTAGTACCAACTAGGTCCGCCAGAACGAGGCTCGACTTTCTATTCACATACATGTCACTCCAGCCGTCAATGCCGAACCACGCCGATACCACTAAACCGCGAGGCGGTCTGTCTCATCACCGCTCCAAGACGTGCTAAAGCATTCCGCCGACCTTTCCAACATCATGACCTGACAAGGTACCGAATACCTCTCCTTGGCTTTAGCACAGGCGCTTCCTCCTCTTCCCAGTCATCCTGCACAGTCCCGGCTCGGCGAGCTGGCATCGACCTCGCTATGGCGTCCTTCACCCGCGTCAGGAGGCCTAGCTGATTCATCCGTTTCCGTTGTTGTTCCCGCCAACGACTTCGTTCCCGCATCGTGCGCTCATCAGTGGTGAACTGAAACTCGTCGACGTCCACCTCCCGGTCGCGATTGACGGCCCATGCCGGCGACGCTTCTCGTATGTGGTGCGTTGCGTGTATCTGAGCCTGTCAGACGAGCATGTCAGCACCAGGTCCACACTTTATCACAGCGCAGTCTACAAGAAATGACTTATAAGACTGCTTTCCGCTCCAGAGCGAGGACAACGCATACCCTCCGGACCAAGTCCTGGATCCAGGCGGAGACGTAGCAGCTTAGTGCTGTTACCAAACTACATACCTCTGACTGGCCTTGTGACCATCGACGCTCAACTTCAAAGAAGTTGGCCGGAAGAGGCTTGGCCTGAATGTTACTGGTAAAGATCGTGGCCAGCAGCAGTACGCCGATGCTGAGTTGCATGTTTGTAGAGTATGTTGGCTAGTCTTATGCGAGAATGGCGGTAATGATCCAAATTCTTGATACTGTAGTGATGACCAGGCGGTAACTAAAGAAGTGGACTGGGCTGGTGGGAGATGGTGTAGCGAGTGCAGAGACCATGGTGGCATACTTATTGCAGAACTAACGTGTTCGCCGTATGCGAGGGACTCCTGCCACACCTATCAGCACCATAGTATTGGGCCGGTTGTGTGAGGTGCAGATAGAGTCCAGAGTGCGTACTACATCCTACCTGCATACAGCGGAGCACAAGTTGGCCACTCAACGTTGGACCTAGGCTTGAAACCAGTCAGGAGAGGCTGAATGGCACGCGCGCTGGAGGTATGTGGTAGTGCATGCATATAGTGCTTGCATGAAGAATGTACAGTGGAATCGATCGAAGCAAGGGACATAGGCGGATATAGGCAGCTTCGCCGAAAGAGTAGTGAACCGACCGGAGGAGTCCTCCAGTGACATCCAATTGTCCAGCTAGTACGTATCTATGAGTGTGTGTGACTACGCGGCTCGCCGGCCAACAATGGGGTATCTCTGACGCTATTCGTTCCTGCCGCGTGTGCGCCTTCGTACACCCCACCTGCCAGACCACGAGTTTTGATGCTCCTTACTCCTGCTGCAAAGTAAGGTAATGTCAATTCATAGACCTCAATATACTCCCTCAAGACAGCTTCCGCCCACCAAAGCTGCCAAGCTGACCGAACGGCGCGCCAAAGTTGACGCTTGGCTTCTTCTTCAACCTCACGCCATTCACTTCATGTGATGGTGGAGGCGGCGCGGGGGCTCCTGTCGGTGACACGGCAGCCGATGCTGTCAAGCTTCCTGGTTGCGATGAGCTTTCCTTGAGCGACTCTTGCGTCGTTAGCTCTACGGTAGGCGACACCATGCCCGGACTTGGCTGGGCGAAAATGGTAGGCCTGCAGTCTTCCGGACTTTGGGCCACTTGTTCGAGCCTCTTAGACAACACTTCTAGTGTAAAGTTGCCATCTTCCGGCTTGTTTGGCAGCTCTGGCATGCTCAGGGGTCCTGTAAGCGGGACGTCTTCCTCCTCGTCATTACTCTGGACGAGGTAGGTGTTGATATGTGTGTTATGCCGCGTGGGCGTGTCCTCCATGCCGTCCATCAACATGCTTTGCGGTGGTGGAGTCGGTGGCCTGGGTGCTTTGAGCGGAGTGTGACCAGCCAACACAAGATTGCTCGCTGGAGGCGGTGACAGTACTTTCGAAGTACTAGGTGGCGAGATTGGAATCTCTTCGACTTTAATGTCATCGTCGAAGGATATGTTGCTCTCTCTTTGCGATCTGCTTGACCGCTCTGGGTTTGGCACGGCTGGGCGGCCTGGCAAATCGATGGAAGATGGTGCGCCGTCACGCCTAGTTGACAGCGGCGGTAGGTTTTCATCCTCCGCAATGACGGGCAGTCGTGAAGCATTGCTCACAGCTCTGGCTTGTGGAGAAATGATGTGGCTGCTCGTACTTGCTCCGCTCAATGGTGACAGAATGGGTGATTTGGCAGGGCTGTGGCGCAAGTCAGCGGGTTGGCCTGACACCATAGTTCTCACGACTTGCGTACCTATAGTGATCTCTGGTTTTTAACAACAACTTCTCCAGGCTTGCAATGCGTTGATACAGTCGATCTTTCTCCAGGCTCCATACCTGCCGCTCCGCTGCGAAAGCCTCGTGGAGCAACTGGATAGCATTGCTCTGCTGGTCGACAATCACCTGAAGACCTTGCTCGCTATCCGGGGCTTGAGGACTTGTCAGACCCATCGTCAATCGTGCTGGTTGTGGACCGTGGTTGTCGTGTGCGCGTGACGGCAGATATAGAGGAGCGAGAGAATCATTAGAGGACTGGGCGAACGCAAGAGGTGGACTCTTCCGCCGTTGGGCCGACGCAGGCGGAGAGACCATGATCTCGGAGGAGAAGGAGAAGGCGTCCATTGTTGGCAAACGCAAACCGCAGGAGAGAGTTGCTACCGACGTTGCTGCCCGGAAGAAGGGGCTGCATCTGCAGCGAGGGATGAGAGGTTGTCAGCGCAGGTGGAGAAGAAACCGTGGAAAGCCCGCACAGCACCAGTGAAACCCGAACGAATCATCGTCATCTTGGATCGGTCAAGGGGTTACAAGGGGGATCCTTGTAACGGGCACCTTGCGAGAGCCAGAGCCTCGGGCCGCCGCCACAAAGATCGGCAGGAACGGAGCATCCACAGAAACGGGTGTAACGCTCGGGAAGCTTTCTGGAAGGAGAGGGGATGGAAGTCATTCGGATAGCAATCGTTGTGACCCTAACCCGGACAGATGGTATCGGTGTATACAATTCAGATATAAGACACTTTAACGGCCATGCCCGCCGTCTTCTTAACCTTCACCCAACCTTGCTCCAACGCTCGCTGGACCCTCAATCGCAAGTCGCGCCGAGAGATTAGGATGATGAAGGCCGCCATAAACATCAGCGTGCGGAATAAAGCGAATGAGCTACCGGTCATGCTTCGACTCGCCTGCAGCACCATCTGCTGCAAGCTGTTTAGAGCTGAAGACGCTCGGCGGTAAAGGCCTGGTGGCGGTGACGGCGCCTTCCTCGGCGCTTTTGCGGCAGCCCGAGAGGCGGACTTGGTGTGCTGGCCGTTCGCTGTTGGCTTTGCGGTCGTGCTGCTTGTTGCCGAGTTTGCCTTCGACTTCTCGTTGTCTGTGAGTGTCGCTTTAGTCCGCTCGCTTTCCTGAGCCTTCCGCTTCTCTTCTTGCTGGCGAGCCTCCTCCGCCTTTCGCGCATCCTCCTCTTGTCTCTGTTCTTCCATTTCCCGCTCGCGCTGCTCGGACAAATCACGCTCTCTTTGCGCTGTTCCGTCTTTCTCTTCTCTCAGGCTCTGCAGGGCGGTTAAGAATGCCTCCCTCCGCTCATCGTCAAGCGAGTCACTCATCTCAATAAACTCCTTCGCATAGCTCCACTCGCCGTTTGCAGGCAGGACATGTAGCGCATACAGCTCCAAGAGCTTTAGCCTGGTAGCAAGGCCTTTGGGTGTCGAGGAAGCACCGTTGGGTACGGGACTCTTCGTCCCATCTGCGAAACTGACGTGCGATCCGGGGCCAACGGCGTCGCAGGTAGCGAGCCATGACTCCAAACGCTGCTGGTTCAGCTTCTGCGTCGCCATGTGTCCAAGTAGCAGTGTTGCCAAGTTGAGGACGACGTCTGCGTCTACCTCACCCTCCACACCACCATAACCAGCTTGCACAATCTCCTCCCAAACACTGCCTTCCCTAGCTTTGTTCGCAAGCTCACGCCATCTCGTCGAGCCGAAAGTGAGCTTGCCCTCTTCCGGACCCAGCTCAATGATCGCGTGTAGCAAACTCAGATAGAAGACCCACACTTTCGTCCTCGTGCCCTTAGAGCTTTGCGCTACAGGCGCAGCTGCTTGCCCGTTCTGCTGTGCTTCGCCATTGCCGTCGCCACTACGATGCGAGAGTGATGGGATGCTAATGATCAGTTCGAGCGTTTCTAATGCCTCCTTAAAGCGCTTGGTGAGATACAGCTGTGTAGCTTCCTTATATGTCCGGACGATGAGCGAATTGGTGGACCGGGAGCGGGAGAGGCTGGAGAGTGACGAGGACAGATATTGGCTGTCGAGCGCATCCTGGTAGGTCAAGGTCTCCGTTGCGGCAGCCATGGCAGTAAGGGTTCACGACCATGTAAGTAGGGATGAAGACCGCAGGCTGCTGGTTGATGGCTGGGATCGTACGGTCAATGCCGAGGTTCGCCGCGTGATCGGGCTGCATGCACTATGCCGATGACGAGCAGCACGCGACGCAACGTTCGCTACGCATCAGCAACGCCTTTGCAAACGGCTTCCCAGAGCACTCCTATCCATTGGAGAAGAGCGAGTGCTACCAGCTTGCGGCCTCGTCGTTGCAAAGCCCGATGCAGTGGCGGCATTAAACCCTCGGATGCCTACTGCTTCACGATCTGCTCACCAGAGGCGACTACTACATACTCCTTTGTATGGCACACGTGTGTCACGGCTAGCAGCACACAGGAAAATTCTGCAGCGTTGCGTTGGTCAGGTGAGGCAGGTCCACATCTCTTCACTTGGTCCTTCTCTTTCCACACTCGTGCAGGTTCTACCTACTTTTCTCCGGAGCTTCTTCAAACCAACACCAGCACCGTCTTCTCACGCGGTGGGCCGGCGAAGTGTTAATGGGCGCAACATGGATGTGCACAACGTCTCCTTCTATCCGCTCCTGCTTGATATTCTGACCGACATATCCGAAGCTCATTTTGTGGCCGTTGACCTCGAGCTCTCCGGTGTGCCTACGAAGCGAGTACGCAGGGAAGTTGGCAAGCCGAGCCTGCAAGAGCGCTACCTAGAGACCAAAGAGGCTGCCGAGCGGTACCAGATACTGCAGTTCGGTTTCACCTGCGTCCATCAGGATGTGGCGAACAACAAGTACATCCTCAAACCGTACAACGTCGATCTCAGCCCCCTCATCCAAGAGCGTGGTCTGGAAGTCGAGCGCATCTTCTCCTTCCAATCTGGGGCCGTAGACTTCCTGCTCAAAGTCGGCTTCGACATAAGCCGACCATTTTACCACGGCGTGCCTTATATCTCTCGCGATGAGTCACGGGAGGCTCGCGAGATGCACGCTAAGCGGCAAGATAAGTCTGCAATGGCTGACATTCAGATCAAGCCTACTGAAACCGAGTCGCTGGCCTTCCTAGACCGCGTCAGGTCGGAAATCAACGGCTGGCTGCAGTCTAGCAACACTGCGAAAGACGACTACATCAATATCAACCCAATAGGTGCCGAAGGAGGTAACGAAGACGGCGCTGCTTCCGACGGGCTTAGTCGGTTTGAGAAGCGCCTCGTCCATCAATTGGTACGCGCAGAATATCCGGACCTCGTATCTCTGGGCAAAGCCGGCTTCGTCCAGGTCGTACGCTTCAACAAAGAGCGCGAAGACAAGGTCGCGGCAGATCGAAAACGCGAGCTTAACGAGCGGATCAACCGTCAGAAAGGCTTCCGGTGGGTTGTCGAGGCTCTTTTGGGCAGCGACATTACGCGATTAGATCTCCGCGAATGCGCTAGGGATCCAGTCACTGGCGAGCAGGTCTTCGCCGACATGGACGAGTTCTCCGCTCAGTTCCACCGCGCTCAGACTCTTCTGCGTGGCAATCCGCGCGTCATTGTAGGCCACAACTGCTTTCTCGACCTGGTATACATCTATCGCACCTTCATCGGACAGTTACCTGACAGCGTTGAGGCTTTTCAGCGTAAATTGCACGGTCTCTGGCCTACCATCATCGACACGAAGTACATGTCTACCCACAATTGCGGCGATATCAGCCCAGTCTCATCGCTCGAGCAGATCGCTGCTCAGCTTAGCGCAGAGAGCGTACCGAAGATCGAAGTTGATCCACAGCACGACAAGTACGAAGCCGTAGAAGCATTCCATGAGGCCGGCTATGACAGCTTTCTGACCGCTCAGATCGCTGTAAAGTTGTCAAGCAAGCTTGAGCGCGAAGGTGCGTACGTGGAAGTGCCAGAGATGGCATCGAAAACGGCATCCCAACCTGCTGTGCGTTCAGGAGGCTTCAAATCGAACGGTCACTCGCCAAGAAAAGGCACTTCAGCATATATCATGGACAAGCTCAAGTCCCTGAACGTAACGATGCCCACGGAGTCAACCGATACTGCGTCGAAGGTTGTGAACGGCGTAGATAGCGTCGTAGATACCGGCGATCAAGAGGCCGGCTTCACACCGTCTATCGTTGGCGCAGCATGGAAGCGGCGTGGCGATCCAACGGTCGCAACCAAGAGCGATCCGACGAACCCGTTCACGTACGACCCCACGAATCTGAAGCACAGATACCACGACCCAGCGTCCGATTTGACGGTTGCGGGCGGCGTGCCAAGTTTTCAGAGCGATTTCTGGCGCGTCCACGGCAACAAGCTGAGAGTCTTCGGAACGGAAGAAAGCGTTTGTAAACTGGACGGAGGCGATGGTCGATTTGGCAGCGATGAAGAAGGCGAAGGGCAGGGTGGCGTGGAGGTTGGGTGTCCGTGAGCGACCGTACCTCTACCACAAGGGTCTGCGGTTGAGGTTGGTCAGCTTGCCGAGTGCCCGGTAAGCATGGTAAGAAGACGTGGCAGGCCTATAGATGAGCGGGTGAAAGCCATCCTGCCATCCCAGTCGGGACAAAGAGCGTCCTCTTCAAATGGTCTAGAAAGTTTCTATGTCTATGCTACATTGCCCCAAGGTTGTGAATGAGGACTGCCAACACCACAATGGGAACCCTTTATCGCTCTATCATCTATTCGCTCGTGACGCAGCAGAAAGACATCGTCTGGTCTCAATAAGTGTCGGCAAATCTGCTCTTTGCTCGCAGTGTCGGACCGTAGTGCCACAGCGCGACGAGCGGGATTAAGCAGCCTGCGCATATCCCTCCTACAACACTGACGCCACGCCCAATACCCAGGTTCGCGTAGAGCGGTAGGGACCAATGGATTGCGCAGCACGCGATGACGCTACGGAGGAGATCTGGGTCGACATCAGTAGGTGGATTTGGTGAACATACAGTATGCAATGCTTACTGTTACCAGCAAAGATGCTCGCGGCATATCGCGGATAGCTTGTAGGAAGGTAGACAAAGATCACTTGGATGAGCTACGACACAGTTAGACTGCGTTTGATGTTGTAAATGGAAGCCGAACTTACGACGAAAGATGTTGATGCGAAAATCAAGACGCCAAGCGTAGGTACAGCCCAGTTGATGCCTGGGCGGGCAGTCTGATCAGAGTAGTCAGTATCGCAGTATTCGTCGCATGGACTTTCTTTCCTTACCCAGCCGAACAAGAACAGCCCAATGGGCAGCAGCGAGGCCGAAACAAGGCCCGGTACGAGACGGTATTCTGGATGTCCGATTCCGTTCTTTTTGGTGTATGGTTCGTAAATGAAGTAGACGAGCGCAATGTACAAGAAAGCTGCAAGAGCGGCTCCTACAAGGCGGATAGTGGAAACGTTAGCGAGGTCTTGACAGCAGTGAGGCTCATGCGCATCAATCACGCACCAATGCCGATGGTCAGGAAGACAATGCTCATGGACTGTATGGAGAAGCCGTAGACTTCGAGATAAGCAACCGGGAATGCTTCGAAGAACGAGTACTGTTAACAAAGTCAGCCACTAAGCACATCTCACGCATGCTGCTGAACCTTACATAAATGCCGTAAATTAAGCCAATGTAAAGATGGATAAAGCCTACAAAGCCGTCAGTAACAGTATCAGTAGCCACTAACGCCACTGACGCTCCACTTACCGATGGCGGGATCAAGCAGTGGGATCTTGAACGGCATGATGATGTACTTATTGCTGATAAGTTGCCACGTCAAGTGACCGTCGCGCTTCTCCGTCTCTGACAGTAAATCATCGCGGCCCGTAATTCTTCGCAGACGTTGAGCTCGTCGAAGCAGGATTGTTTCGGGATTCGTCTCCGGCAAGAGGAAGAACATCAAGATGAACGTAACTCCAGAGATGATGAGAGTCTCATACATGGACCATCGCCACGTGCGCTCCTCGATAGCGAAAACGCTCATCACCGGACCAAGAGCCGGTCCGCTGTCTGCACCGCTGTCAGTATAACTTTGTGGACGTAGCCGGATGTAGTAGACTTACAGCCAGCACATGCCCACATCGCCATGCCATAGGGCACCGCCCAGAAGTGGAAGATGTCACCAGCTGATGCTCCTCCTGTAGCCAGCACGGGCCCGCCAAAGAAGCCTTGGAAAAAGCGACAGACCACCAGCCCCGGATAGTTCGTTACAGTCGCGCAAGGAATGGTCATGATGAAAAACATCGCGAAGGAGACGATGTACGGCGTGTTTCTACCCAGCATAGGTACCTCGCTGAGAGGTGCAAATATCATGGGTCCACAACCATATCCGAGGACATACTGGCAGCTTGTCAGCAGACAGTCAGCCAGAAGAAGCCCGCTGTATCACTACCATTGACAGGACCAGTAACGAGGCTTGTGGTGAGACACCCCATTGTGTTCGGAAGGTGAACTCTGCTGGGGTAATGATCGAGGAGCAGCTGTAGACTTGACTTTATCAGTGACAGAACGGTCGACGTTCGATGTCGAACGCACTTACTGGCGAAGGTTAGGAGACAGATGAGAAGGAACGAAGAAGCTTTGCGTTGTGTCGTCCAGTTCTGAGGGTTCTCAGGGTCGGTGTCGCTGTACCACGTCACTGTGTCGGCCTTTAGAGACTCTCCATCATGATGATGATGTGCAGATGCTACAGCAGTCGAGTCTGGCAAAACATCGTCGATGTTGCTCCCTTTTTCTACATCTGTTGGATCCTTCTCCAGGTCTTCTTGGTCAAGATCAATTTGACTTTGATTCGTGCTAACAGCTCCGGAGGGAGCTGTGTTGCGTAGATGTTTGGAGACGTCAAAGTTCGGTTCCTCCTCGGGATACTTCAATATCGAGTCACCTGTGAAGTAGCGGAGCGCCTGCCCAAACGGCGTATCACGCAAGATAGCAGACATTATGGGATTTCGATGTTGTAAATGGGAAATGCAACGGCGAACGATCGAAAGCGGTGCTTCGTGTAACGACAGTGCTATCGTAAACATATAGGGGAGTTTCGGTGTTAAGAGTAAGCCCGATGTGGAAGCTTAGCCCGTCGTTGAGAGAGTTGTGTTTCTAAGCTATTGTACGAGGTGACTGCATGAGGAATGGCACCTACGTGAGTCATGGATGTAATCTTCAATACTCCATGCGACCAAAAGGTACGTCCAAGCATGCCTGCGCGCCCTTCGCCAGTCCAGTGCGAAATGTGCTGATGGCTGAGAGTGCATCACATCATCTGTCGAACGATCTAGATCCGGTGTTAAGGCTGTGGGATGCCGTGGGATGCCGTAGGGTGTTGGTGACTGTGAAGGCCACAAGAGCCAAGCGATCAGCACGTCCGTGAATCCTCATCGTGATTTGCAAGCAGCCGCCCCTGATCCACGATGACTCGTTGAGGATGATCGCAGCAACGGCATGTCAAGAACGTCTGATGCCCGACGGAGTCAGCTCCGCATCGGGCGGGGACGACTTTTGTCCGACTGTAACTCGCTGACACGAGTAAGTGCACCTTTCCTGATCGCATAAGCTGCTATGACTCTGCCGGATATCTACCGAACTACCACGGCCCACACAGTACGCTCAAGATGCTCGCATGCGGACTCGCGCAGCATAGACCCAGACGCGCACTTCAGCCCGAAGGGTCCGGATGGCCCACAAGACACATCTTACCGGACCTCATTCACAACCACACAGCTGTGGCCGCTTTGACGACTGCGCCGTCATCCGTCTTTCCAAGATTGAGCCTTGACACCTCCTTTATCTCCTTGCCATCGAAGCCCAGCATAAAAACCCAGCCTTCCTCACTGTCGGTCATCGCCAGGTACTCCATTTCGCCTTCCCTCTGGCCTGCCTGCCACGGCGCGGGCTCAATGGCGTTAGCGATGCCGCCACTGGTCGGAGTTTCCCAGATGCAGATCGCTTGCTCACTGTCGAGTGTTCCGTCTGTTCTGAGCTTGAAGACCGCCACATAACCCTTTGTTGAGGCCGTGAGTCCACGAGTCGAGGCGTACATATATATTGGTTGTCGCTTTTCAGGGCCGGCAGACAAACGGACTTCGTCCGCCCAGTAATCCTTCGGATCTCTGTCAGTAGGAATGATCTTCACGCCCGTGATATGCTGCAGTGTTACGCCGTCTTCATGTACAGCAAACAGATCGACGATACTGGTGTGCTCTTGAAGGCTGTACAACACTCTGCCATTGGGATGCGGCCATGTATGTCGAGGCCCATCGTGTGGTCTGGGTGACATATGTTTCATTGCCAACTTCAACGGCGGCTCCATGATACCTCGTCCAGACGCAGTACTAGGGTCTATCGAGAAAGTCCAGATACAATTCCGACCAATATCCGCCACGTACAAACTCCGCCCGTCGGGTGACAGATCTACACTATGAGCACCATGCCTCAAGCCGCCAAAATCGCCGTGTGGCACGGCACCTCGCTGCTCTGACACATTCACGCCTTCCGGCTCGATGAAACTGAGCTCCTGAACCAATTCGCCTATCGAGCCATCGGCGGCAATTCGGAAGGCCTCCCCTGTAGGCCCACCCACGGAGTAAACGTGGGTTGCGGAACAGCATACGTAGCCGCTCAGTGCATTGATGTGTTTCGCGTTTAGAAAGTGGATCTCACGGCCAGAGCGATCGATACGGTAGGCAGCTATCGATGGCCGTGGCTTGGTCCAAGCGGTGCAATAGAGGAAGTCCTTCTTGGCCGAGAGAGAGAGCCAAGAGTGGCCTCCAATGGCTGGTGTCTGGCGGAGTATAGAGAGCTTGTGAGTTGATCGTTCGAAGTGGAGAGTGTAGAGGTCGTGATTAAAGGAGCCTACTATGAAGTCCATTATATCCGAGAACGCTCTTGTTCGTTTAGGCGAACCTCGGCGAGGCGTTTCTCACGTGAAATAGAGTCACCTCGCTCTCTTGTAAGATTAGGTCAATGGAAGTAAGCGGAAGGAAGAGCAGTTTGAGGAGAGGAGCTGGTCTTGATGATCTACCTCGGAGAGATGGAATGCTGTTTAGAGGAGGACGAATTGATAATTCTAACTCTCATAAAACGAGACGCACGAGAGCCAAACTTAGAACACGTGCGACTGCGCGTAGCTTAAGCTCACCTTGCTGTCAGCTGAGCACAATATCTAGCGAACGTCTAGTTGAAATGGAGAAGCGTCTCTGCTCTTCGGCAAGCCGAGTTTCGGCATCTCATTGCATCAGAGCCCGAAGGCACACCAACCTCAACTGGTCATAGCAAACATGCAATCCGGTATCACTGCTTCACAAGAGCTACATAATGCCTTCAACGCGCTCGTCTCTTCATCACAACAACGAGCTATTGTGGCAGGTATCGAGAAAGAACGACTGGTGCCCATCATCACCGTCTCCGCCAAGAGCTCAACATTTGACGATGATCTCGATCATCTACAAAGTCACCTGACCCCCACACAAGCAGCATATGTGCTGCTGAAGACACATCCTGATGCAGCAGATGGCTACGCGGCGATCACATATGTCCCTAATGCCGCGCCAGTACGGCAGAAGATGCTCTTTGCGTCAACAAGACTCACACTTGTAAGAGAATTAGGCCTGGAGCGTTTCCGACAGCAGATCTTTACCACGGAGAAAGAAGAGCTCACCAAGGAGGGCTGGGCCAAGCATGAAGCCCACACTGCGCTTGATGCGCCTCTGACAGAGGAGGAGAGCGGACTGAAAGGCGTCAAGGATGCTGAAGCTGCTGAAAGCATGGGCACCGCGGGGAGGAGAGGGCACGTTAGTAGTAGGATGGACGTGAAGACTGGCGAAGGCGTCATCGGAGCCTTGGCATCCCTAAAAGGAGCCGAGTGCAAAGGTACGCTTGTGCAGCTAAAGTACGAGCTGCCAAACGAGGTGCTTACGCTGGAATCAACCACCGAATCACTCTCTCCGGAAGACGTGAGCAAGACCATCACGGCAAGCGAGCCACGATACAGCTTTTACTCTACAATGTCAGGGAGTCGAGCAGAACTGCACATTCTGTTCATCTATACTTGCCCTTCCAGCTCGAAGATCAAGGAGCGCATGGTCTATTCCACAGGCAAGTCGTGGACGAGGATAGTAGCCGAGCGCGACGCCGGCCTCACTATCGCACGGTCACTAGAGGCTACAGAGCCGAGCGAGCTTACACCAGACGTTTTAGGTGGCGAGCAGGCCGCGGCAGCACAAGACGAGGGCGCAACGGAAAGCAAAGCGAGTGGCGGCTTTTCAAGACCAAAGCGTCCTGGCAGGCGGTGATCATGGTTGCCTCTGATGCCACGGTGATTGCATGAAAGTATTGTATGCCACAGTCAATGATGATTAACCGTGCCATACGTCCGCATGCGGGCCTGGTCGCCTCTAGCAGATGGATAAAGCAGGAGCTAAAGTTTCGTTCACATTATTTGCGAACATTCCAGCGGTCTACTCCGGCTTAGGCTGCTCGGTCTCCTCATTACTCTTGTCAGCAGCGTCTCTGGCCTTCTGTCTCGATTTAGCGCTTTTCACCAACTTCTCATAGCTCGAGCTCCACTTCTTCAGCTCCCTTGACTGCTTTTTGATTTCCTCTTGCAGCTTTTCCCTTTCCTCCGCTCCTGTCTCAAGCTGGTGCTCCAGCTGGCGCATTCTCTCAGCAGTGGCCGCGTCCGGTGCAAGAGTCGGTTGTTTCAGGTTAGCCATACTCTGTGTAAGCGCGGCCATTGATGCATCTTGCGCGTGGGCTTCGAAGTTCGCCAGGCGCACTGCCAGCTGTTCTAGCGTATGCTTCAGCGTGCTGTTCTCAAGCTCAAGTTCTTCGTGCGTTCGTGCCTTGCCAAAGGCGCCACGAGCGGCTTGTATTGATCGAGTCAGATTAGGTGACGGAGGTCCTACCGCTTCTCGCGCGTCAACAAAGTCTTCTTCGTCATCATCGTCACCGCCACGCCTTCGCGCCATCTCGGCGAAAGACGTTGTCATGCCGGTTGGGGGTACGACGTAGAAGCTCTCTGCAGGATTAAAGCCACGACCAAAAGTGCCACGTTGACGGTGTTGCTCTTCGATCGCGTTCAATGCTGCGGGGGAGAAGATTTGCTTAACGTCGGGTTCGTGAGTTGCTGTGACTGTCTGTTTCTTCAACTTAGTTGCTTCCGGGCTGAGCTCGTCGGCATTCAGGGGTAAGCCGGCATACGCGAGGGCAGAAGACAGCTTGGACATTGTGCCTGTCGTAAGATTGCTGTAAAACTTCGCAAAAGCATCATCATCGGCAGCCTTGTTTGCCCTCTTGGCTTGCTCTCGGGCTACTTGGCTGTCTACGATCGATGGAGGTATCTTAGTCCCCGCATTACTTCGTGATGAACGACGCGACTCGGGCGAAAGCTGTCCGGCGCGTGCCTGAGCTGCCGCTGAAGGTTGGTTTCGGCTCTGTTGCGGGATACCGCGCCGAGACGCTATCTCACGGGCCAGTGATGGAGAGGCATCCCTAGCGCGGCTGTCGAACCGAGCAGTCGCAAGTGCGGAAGTGGTTGATCCTGGCCTACTCCGGGCAGCGATTGGGGAAGATGAGGTCGTGACTTCATGTTTGAGTAACCTGGACGATGCGTTGGCGGCTGGTGAATCGTGTACAACCGTCTCTATCACGTCGGGCTTGTCTTGGGATCGAAGGATCTGTGCGAGCTTTTGATGCTGTGCTTCTAGTAGTCGTAATACGCGCAAGGCCTTCGCCACAGCATTAGACAGTGCCCGGGCATAGCGTTACTGCGGCATACTTCGCCATCACTCGTCGTCCGTGCGGCTCGCGAGAAGTCTACAGCTGCGCTCTGATGCTCGTCTGCCGCTACAGCCCAATGGACTTGTTCGGTCTCCTCGGCTGCCTTGCGAGCGTGGGCGTGAGCCTAAGCATCGTGTTAGCAACTACCCTTGCACCTGAGTCGTGAGCAAAGTACGGACGGCAGTCAAAGGTGCTGTTTCGGCCATACTATATGTCGTCTACACAATAATTGCGACTACGGACACCGGTACAACGCGCGAAGGCGACGAAATCACCACAAATCACGTGTCAATCTCGGCAAGCTCCAGTTGGAGGGAAGGGACGGTCCGCCTCCAAGGTTTCACACGAAGCTCTCTCCACGCCGAACCATGTGGCTGTCACCGCGTGACGTACTTTACATGCATTGCGCAGCTGACGACAACAACCCGACCGTCATTGAGTTTGGTACGAGAAGAAAGAAAACTGGCCATGACCGCAACTGAATAGAGCCAATCTTCGGTCGTCCCAAAATCTAATTGCTGATGGCGCGGCGCTACTAGCCTACGAACTCTCTCCTTTCCCCCAAACAACGGTCATTGATAAGCTTTAAGAGCCACATGGCATACTATCGGTCCATGAGCGCTTAAGCCACTTGGATCGTGGCAGCGGCACTGCTTACATCGGATGTTGCTAGGCTTGAACTGACGTACCAGCAAATGGCCGCCGCGGACACCGGAACGTCTTCGCCACGCGGTCCCCTCGCCCGTCTAAGGCGCAATAAAGGCACAGCCAGCTCCTCAACCAACTCTACCAGCAACGGCTCTGCAGACGACGACGATGCGCTGGAGGAGACTGGTGGCGGCCTGCGTGCATCAGTGGAGGGCGTCATTGACAAATTAAAGGACCGAACGCGACGTGTCTCTGTTGATGCTGGCCGCTCTGATGCTGACGAACCCGGCACCAAACGACTAGCGAACCTTATTCCGCGCAAGAAGCGAGGATCCAGACAGGAGTCTACAGGTCCTCAGCGCAGCGGTAGTGCCATATCTGGCGGCTCTGCCGATGATAGCCTTGGCATGACTGGCAACCGTTCCGAAACCTCATTGGTGAGCGCCAGTGGGCACAGCAGTCTTCTGACTGATGACAACTCGGATGTTGAAGGGTGAGTCTCCTTTTACTACATATCTCAGTCGGCCACTTATGCTTTGGTTACACCTGCTGCTTGAGGAGTGTGCAATGACGGGACGAGCCGCAAGGTGCATGCGTGGGCTGTTGCGCCAACTTTCCGCTCGGACACCCTGGCCTGACATCAGCCTCGCTTTGCGTTGTACATTCTGCGGCTGTCCGCCATTGTGCGACGCTGTCCGGCAGTAAAGTCTTGGTCTATAACAGCTCGTTCATGCTGTCGTACATCTAACTTCAATTCTTCTTACCGCCGAACTCTGGAAAGCATTGTTGACTTGAGGAATTTACGACTAGGCAACCAGTTCGCCCTACGCTCTCACCGCATCAATCCCACCTTGGATATCTCACCCTGTCGTCACCGGAATTAAATCCACAAACGCAATCTGTCGCTTCCGTTGACAACGTACTGCACTCACAAGAACACGGAGACGCTCCCGATCCTGCTATTAGTATACCTTCGATCGTCGAGCCTACCGATACCGAGCCCTTCCCGCAGCTTACCAACGACGTCAGTCGTACAGCGTCTCCTGCTAGCAAGATAAGAGAAGCGTTCAAGATTCCGCGGAAGCAAGCAGCCGGGGACTTAGACGCTACAAAAGGTCCCGGGAGCAGTCCTGGCGGACTGGGAGGTCTCTTTCGCCCTAAGAGTAGGAGAAGCAGCGTCAGTTCGCAGAATCCAGACACTGTGCCCGCTGTCACAAAGAACGTACCTCCTCCTCCTTCAGAAGGGCCTGGACCGGAGCAAGCTCCTGCCCCAGAAGCTGCCTCTGAGCCAAGCCAGGTCCAAGACGCCACACTTGACGAGCGTCCGGAAACGCCAAAGCAGAAGGCTCGCGGCCGAATCAACACCGACTCTCTACCTGCTACACCGCCAAACCTTGTAGACACACCTACTACAACCGTCACACCACCCACACCTACAGACCCTTACGCAGATGCTTCCACGTTCCCTAACAGAAAGCCTGTTACCTTAGCGGGCCAGGCTACTCTACCAGACCGACCACTCAGTTCAGTTGAGAGCATAAGGCGACGTCGAGCTCAATCCGGGAATGCCCCAAGCAAACTCTCTAATGCCATCCCAGCACCGCTGACGCCCACCCTCGAGGAGGCCAAAACGCCAGGCGGTACACTGACACAGCCGACGAGCGCATCAGGCTTCTTCAGCTCGTTTTTCACTGCTGCGAAGACTGCCGCAGATCAGCTTAGCAACAACATCAACGCACCAAATAAGAGCAAGCCTGGCACACAAGCAGTGCATGAGGCTGACGGTGAAGAAGTGATACCGGGCGCAGAAAGTAAGCCCGACGAGGCAGATAGCACGCAAAAGCAGCTAGCTGTTGACACGCTTGGCACCGGCGACCTCAACTTCAGCCATCTCGGCATTGCGGACAACAAAGATATCAGCCCAATGACGTCTACTGTCGATGTGTCGCAGCAGAATGCGCCCACGCAGAATGGAGAGTCTAACCAGAAGGCGGAAGAGGAGGCAGCCGCACGTGCAGTATCCGTGGCGTATGAGAAACCCTTGCAGAATGTGATAAGCCAGGCTACAGGCCGGCCTCTCTCAATCGCTTCGAACGATCGTCTGGCACTTGGCGAAGGCTCGCCACCTCGGTCAGGCAACGAAGTGGATAGTTTGAAGCGATCTGGTAGTGTGAAGAGTAAATTCAGTGGTCGAGGGCGCAGACATCGAGCTAGCTCTGCCACCACTGGGACTGCCAACACGCAGGCAACTGGCAACACGATAGCAGCGGCTATCCAGGCTTCGTCTGCAGCGCTTTCCAATCCGGGCGCAAACGGGCCAGGACACCGATTGACCGGGTTCGCCGTAGCCAGTAGTAAGCGCAACAAGGACTTTCACCAGTTGTTTCGAAGCGTACCTGAGGACGACTACCTGATCGAAGACTACAGCGCAGCCTTGCAAAGGGATATCTTGGTTCACGGCAGGCTTTACGTCTCCGAAGGTCACATATGCTTTTCAAGCAACATTTTCGGATGGGTGACGAACCTCGTCATGAGCTTCGATGAGATTGTCTCCGTGGAGAAGAGGAGCACAGCCGTCATCTTCCCGAATGCAATTTCAATCCAGACTCTGCATGCGCGCAACACATTCGCAAGCTTTGTAGCACGAGATTCGACGTACGAGCTCATTATTGGGATCTGGAAGATTAACCATCCAAACCTGAAGAGCTCTTTGAACGGTGTCGCCCTGGATGATGCTGGCACTGGCGATAAGACCGAGGTGATAGATCCAGATGCGTCCCACGACGATGATGACGAGTCAGGAGACGGCTCGGAAGACGAAGTGTACGACGAGGACGACGATGATGGCGAGACACAAAGTTTCGTCGACGGAGGCGTTGCGGCAAGCACTGCCGGCAGTGACATTGGCGATGTACCCTTGAGCAGAAAGACATCGGCTCAGCCTGTGAGTGGCATTCCCGTGGTCAATGGCGCCCCGCCCAAAGCATCTGAAGCCACGGACGCTGCGGTCGCTGGTGCTGTGATAACTTCTGACTTTCTCGGCCCGGCCACGCATGCGCCAACCGAGTGCAGCGACGGTGCGGAGCACTACGACAAGCCCCTCACTGACACTACAATACCGGCCCCACTCGGCAAGGTCTACTCGTTGATGTTCGGTCCTGGGTCGAGCGCCTTCATGCGGAAGTGGCTCGTTGAGGACCAGAAATCGAGAGAGCTTAACCTTCCGGATGACAAAGTCGGGTTAGACAATGACCACAAAAGTATCACCTTCGACTACATTAAGCCGTTAAATGCACCTGTTGGACCGAAGCAGACCAAATGCATTACGACGAACACCCTGCTAGCGTTTGACATGGAGAAGGCTGTGACGATTGACTGCAGCACGCAGACACCGGATGTGCCAAGCGGCAATGTGTTCTCTACGAAGACTCGCTACTGCCTTATGTGGGGTCCGGGCAACTCTACAAGGCTTGTGGCAACTTGCACGGTCGAATGGACCGGCAAGAGCTGGCTCAAGGGTATGATCTGACACTAGCAACATCACTGTATACATGCTAACAATCTGCAGGGCCAATTGAGGCGGGTGCCAACTCCGGCCAGATTGAGTACTGCAAGTCTCTCGTTGCTGCTTTGAAGGCCGCCCTATCTCTGAAGTCTGTCGCCAAAGTCGTCGCTAAGAAAGGCAAGCGGAAAGGCAGGAAGGAGACGTCGGATGGCGACGCCGCGAACACACCCCGCGAGAGCGCGGTGACAGCCGACCAGAAAGCAGCAGACTGGGGCATGCTTGAGCCCTTGCACAAGCTCCTGGGCCCCTTCATCGCCATTGTGCGACCGTTCGTTACCTCGCAGGTCATCATCGCAGTGCTCTTTGTGCTGCTGGTGTATACTTGGATTCTGCCTCCTTATCCGCGGGGCGGCACAGGTGTTGGCTTCCCAGGTTCCGGTTCTCCCGCGAGAATTGCGGCTTACGAGGAGATCTGGCGGCGGGAAGAGAGCGAGCTGTGGGATTGGCTGGAAGATCGAGCCGGGCTCGATCATCTGTACGCACCCTCTGCTGAGCAGCGTGATCGGCAGAGGACCTCGAATGCGCGGAAGATGGTGCGAAAGCTTGAGGATGAGAGAATGACCGAACGACAAATGGACGATGCGGTCAAAGTCACAGAAGAGCGCTTAGAGGCGTTGAAGAAAGCAATTGCGAGGAGTAAGGTCAAGCATACTGCCACACAGAAGCCGACTGAACAGCAATAGAGCTTTGTGGACGTCCTATGTACGGCTGTCTGCCTACTGCGTCATGTGAGAGCGTTCTCGTTTGTAGCGTTTGTACGATTGGTTGTCCAAAGAGTCTTTCACTTCGCCTGTCGCTACTCTGTGCTGTAGCGTCAGCGCTGTACACCGTCACTCTGTCAGCTCGTAGCTCTCAGACCATCTGCCGAGGATACTGCTGCTCTAGACCGCTTGGACTTGGCTCTCTTGATCGTGTCAATGGCTGATATTCAGTCTCGGTACCGAGGTTGGTCGATCTGTACATCCGATTTCCTGCTGACGGCGAAGGGTCTCGTGCGGCTGGAGGCACAGCCGGCGCGTACACGTTTGGTCCGTTAAACCCGGTCTCCTCGGGGGGAGTGAGCTGATCATCAAAGTCCGACACATTGCTGTACCCGCGCACCTTAGTGCGGTGCGAGAGCGGCTCCATGCTTGCGCCGCCGTCTACAGCCTTCTCACGTCGTGGTCCGGAACGGGCACCGTACCGGCTTGATACGCGAATGAAAAGGAGCTGAAAGGCCACGACTGTGCCGGCGATGATGTCCGAGAGATTGAGCGCGTCTAAGATAGCTTTCCAGGTCCGAGTCCGCTGAGCTGGTCCTTGTCCGTAGCGGTCCGATCGCTGCGCGTATTCTCTTGAACGGAAGGTCCACTGGAAGATGAGCGAGAAGATGACGGCTTCGACGCACGTCAGGAAGGCGGGAATGCCGAAGTTGATGTCATTATAGGTGGCTTTTGGTGAAGGACTGAACAGCTTTCCATTCAGGATGCCAAAGACGATCCGATTGAAAGTCAGCGTGAGCATCGGGCCTCGTGACTATGTGACTCAGCTAGACTTACGCCTTGCAGAATCTGAAAGAGGATGATGCCCAGGAAAGAATACACTTTCCACCTGCCACCGTGTATAGGATCAACTGCTTTCTCCTTTGCCAGTCGCCTGCAAAAGTTGATGGTGGCGCCCAGCGCTCCGCCGACGAACAAGAAATCGAGCAGGGCGAGCCACAAATGGGCATGCTTCGGACTGAAGCTGTTCTCGCAGTAGACGCCAAAGTACTGAGTGATAATTTGGACGACAATGAGCAGGAACTTGCTCAGCGGATACTGTAGAACGCTGCTCCAGGTTCGCTGCATCATGCATGTCAGTGTCAATAGGTAAATCTCGTATGGGAGTAGACCCACTTGAAACCACTGCAAGCTCCCTCCGGGGAGAGTGTTGCCTTTCTTGTCCTGATTCGGAAGTTTGTTGAAGTAGGCCTCCCGGTCTGTGCCGTCCGGACACGCATACTCAAGCATGAGTAAGAAAAGCGCGGCGACTGCGAAGCCTTCGTAGACTTCGGAAATTGGCGCGATATAGAAGTAATCCTGGTAGAAGCAGAGGGCGAGGAAGTGGAAAATGGCGTACGCAGCGGGAAGATTGACGATGCGTAGGATTTGCCGCTGCTCCTGTGGTGCCGTGTACCGATGAAGGTGTTTCCAGCTAAGGAACACGGTGCTGAGGATCGTCAGGCCTAGGCAGGGTGCTGCAATCAGAATCATGAGCTGGTGGAGGGTTAAGGTCCCACCCTGCGTGAGAGGTTCGCCCACAAGTCCAGACTGAGGCCGAGCACACGTTATGTTGCTGGTGTCCGCGAAACCCAATGCACGAGCGTGCAGCAGGGCCAGGTGTAGATTGGGTGCCATTGTCAATGGTGACGGTGCGGATGAGAATTGCAACGCGGTGTACAAGCTATGAAGAGCGAGAGTAATGACGGAAAGGCAATCAGCGGATGGACTTCTCCCACCTTATATTCTTAGTAGCATGAGGGGAACGTATGCCGACTGGGTGGGGGAGAGGGTAGAATGGCTGTGCCAGCATACCCAGCTCAAGCGTACCAACGTTTCGCAGATGGCGCATCTACGACGAATTACGTGAAGCACAGGCAAGACCCGACATACCTTCGCACGCGGGCCCCGCTGGGCACGTTGGCTACTAGATGCTTGTTCGAGTAAGGAGCAACAGCATCGCCCTGGTTTCGACTCCAATTGATCCTTCGCCACTAAACCGAAGCTGGCAAAACTTGCGCCGTGTCCACGGAGAAGGATACGGGCTTCTGTTAGTGCAACCATGAGTAAGCTCAGACGGTGCTAGTGACCAGGAACATACGCCAGATATACCAGCAGAGCTCCACAGCCTCAAGCATCTGTAAAGATAACTGTGTTTGGTATCGGAACGTCCGCGACTCGGGCCAATCTTGACCGAGGAGTGAATGTCGGTGGTGCATGTCAAGCTTTGGCTCGCGTGGCTTGGCGGAGCTTCGAGGTGATTGGCGCTCCGTCGGCTGTTGACACCACCTTCTTCCACCAACGTTTGCCGCCAAAACTTTGTGGAGCCGATACTCTCTGAGCGCTGCGGTCGGCGGCCTGCAAGACACACTCTATACGGCAAGAGACATACTCTGACGATAAGTTGTCTGCCATGTTGGCACCACGTCAAGTACGCATAAAGCGGAAGAGGACCGAAGCACCGCCAGACGAGCTCGTCGTAGAGCACAGTAACAGTCACAACCTCACCTTCAATCAGCGAGCCAATCAAGTCCTATATAGGCTTGGTGCGGTGAAGCATGCGTCTCGAACGGAGGGCAAGCCTGCAAATCTCCGGTCAACTGCTAGCAGTGCCTTGCCACCAGATGAAGCCAACAAGGGGCACCACGACCCGGCTGCGACAGATGCAAGTGACTCTCCGCGCAAGCGACAGAAGCGTGTCTACCACCTGTCTCATAAGGATGCGATCACCATAACTAGGAGCGAGACGACTGTGGGTCAGCGGCTAGATGATGGCGCAACCAAGCTTACACAGCTCGCCACCTTTGAGCAGCTACCCGTCGCTTCAGTTGACCGGCAGCCACAACTGGCTGTACCCGCGGACGCAGAGTCTGCCACTACGCCGCTACCAACGGAAATGCAGCCTCTCAAGCGACCAAGCAAGGGCTTAGCAGTCTCTGGCGCTCAACCAAAGTTCACCGCAAACCAGGATGCCAAAGATGGCGCGACTCAGGAGGATCTACATAAGATTGCAACAAACCTCCAGTCTTTTGCGCTTCACGAGTTGCCAAAGGTGACCAGGCCGACGGTGACTGTGGTTCCAAGGTTCGCTGGTCGAAGGCGAGATATGACTCATGCGATAGCCTCTAATCCTGAGCCCCGGATCCGGGATGATGAAATTATGGATGTAGACTCACATGCCGACTTCGTCTTCGACACGTATACTTTGGCACCAGATGGGGATGTCAGCAGCATTATCAACTTGGACAATGGCAATGTCGGCTACCTCGTCATCACCGACGAAGACCAGGCTGTCTGGGAACAGTACATCGACGAGCAGATCAGTGATGCAGAATATGATACTGACGATGCTGACTCCAACGCTGAGGACTTTTACGGCGCCGACTACCCTGACGACGAGCTAGCGAGTGACGATGAGCACGACAGGGGAGCTTATGGGTACCGTGCTCACGGCGCTAGCGACGACGAAGAATGGAACTCAGACACTGGAGCATACAGCGACGATGAGTGGAATAAGTTATACCCATGGAGGAAGTAGGGTGCGCTGCACGAATGTGCTGGAGAGGTCAATCGTTCTGTCGCCAGTAACCGAAACTTACAGGGATGCGCAAGCGAAAGCGACGAAGTAGGAAGCGCATGCGCGATCAGGACCTGGCGGTTCGGCGAAAGCGGTACACTATCCAAGTACCGATGACAAAACGAGTTGTGTGCAGGACGACGTGTAAGCTCCACAGCAACTGGGCGCAGACCAGGTAGGCCGGCATGGTGAGTATTGCCGAGTTGCTAAACGTGGTAAAACATCGAAGTGCGAAGGTTTGAAGTCCAATCAGTTGTTCAGCCTCAAATTGATATGCCTGTAGCAAGCTCAAGCTTCACGAACGGATGCAGCCAAGTACGACACTTGGTGTGCCGTGAACCATTCCCGGGGCTATGTCCATGTCACTCTGTTCCTTGACTGCATCATGCCATACATTCCTGGTCAGATCTCGGCCATTTGTAAGCAGCTGAGCGCACGGCGTGAGGCTGCTGCTTAGGCACCTTCGTAACGAACGCCACACGTCAGTGGAGATTGTTCGACCCGCCGTGGTCCAGCGGACGTTTGATCGACCACTGGAAGTGGCGATCTGTGGCTGTGTTCTACGAATGCATACATGATCTGCAGGCACATGTGAAGCGAAACGCGGTGAATGTGGCGCAGCAAGCAGCAGCGCGCGTCTGCCGTCCTGCGTGTAGAGCTATGCCTTTGCTGAAACCGGTGCATCATGTGGCCAGCATCGTTAGGAAAGGTTGGAGGAGAGGCTTGCGAAACGTTCTTTCCAGCAAGCCAATGATAGCCCATCTAACTCTGTGCTAAGTCCACGGAGGCGTCTGTGTGACCAGCGTCGCAGCCAAGGAAAGGAAGGCTTAGCGGTTTACGTCACTTTGCCGGGGAAACCGCATTCATAAACGTTTGACTTGCCCTGCCCAAGTTCGCAGTTTTGAGACGCAAATAACACGCCAGTCACCATCTGCAAGCAATTGACAGTAGTCCACAAAGTCCCATATCGATACACAAGGCTCGCATCCACTTTCCAATCCAGATACCGCAACCATGCCTTTCACCGGAAGGTAAGCAATCCATCCTTCCTCCCTCTCAGCGCAACAATGCCCTTCTCGGGAGTCTGCGGTAGAACCGCAGACATCTCGTTACATGCGCGCCCCTGGTTGACCAGCAGCTAACGAAGACTGCAGCGACATCATCAAGATCATCGTCGCCATCCTCCTCCCACCTCTCGGCGTCTTCCTCGAGCGTGGCTGCGGCGCCGACCTCCTCATCAACATCCTCTTGACGATTCTGGGTTACATCCCAGGTGTAAGCACAATAAACAACTCAGGTGCTCATTTGGCGCGTACTGACGCGTCTCCAGATCATCCATGCCCTCTACATCATTCTCAAGTATTAAGCGCCCGGTTAGCGGCGCTCAGAAGACGCGGCGATGAACAGGAGCACTACCTAGCGATACCCACATACCTTCTTCGACCTGCTTGCAAAATCACGCTCAGGATGCGTTTGGGCACCTGGCGAGATACGTGGCGGACAAAATTCTGATGATTGGCCGCAAGTGACTTGGCGCAAGCGGGTACAGGGTGTATGCGATGAGCTGTAATGTTTGTACCATAGCTGGCTGAAGCACCTTTACAAGCAGATATTTTCTCCATCCCGTGATGGTAGCCCCGAAGGCTGACTGCTTTTGCTCGGTTCAGTATGAACTCTAACCATGCCTATCCTTCCGCAACGCCACGCTGGGTATCCTTACTTTTAGACTCTACCAAATGCCGCATGCTCGCCAGAGGACCCGGTTCACCGCAACGCCTTCTCTGCAAATTTCGGCAACACGAAGGCCGCCTCATGCACCTGCTTGCTGTAGTACTTGAACTGCTGGTCTTCCTCCTCCGGACTGAGCGACCGCAACGGCTTCTTCACGTTTCGGCTGGCGTCCTTGCAGCAAATCATAAAGCCAATTTGTCCAGACGGATACGTTGGAATCGTCGTCCACGCATACTCAGCAACCGGGAAGACTTCCTTGCAGGACTTCTTCAACTCCGTAATCAACTTCATGTGTAGCCACGGGTTCTCAGCTAGAACTTGAGTCAGCATATCAATCATGGAGCCAACCGTAACATTGTACAGCGGGCTTCAGAGAGGGCTTACAACCTTGCGTGGTGATGACACCGCCTTCCCTCAACGCGCCATGCAGCAGTTGGAAGTACGGCTTCTGAAACAGACTCTCCGCCGGTCCCTCCGGATCCGACGAGTCGGTGATGATGACGTCGAAGGTGTCCTTCTTGTCCTCCAAAAACTTGAAGCCATCACCCACATGCACCTTGACATTCGGGTGCTGGAAGCCGACACTCATGCCTGGCAGATACTTCTTGCTCAGCCGAATCACCGCCTCGTCGATATCGCACAACACAGCCTCCTCGACGCACTCATGCTTCACCACCTCCCGCAGCACTCCGCCGTCCCCACCGCCGATTACAAGTACGCGCTTAGGGTTCGGGTGCGCAAACATGCCTAAATGGGCGATCATCTCCTGGTAAGAGAATTCGTCGCGCTCGGTGCATTGGATCACGTTGTCAAGGACTAGAACCATGCCGTAGTCGCTTGATTCGAAGATGAGGACGTCTTGGTACTGGCTCTTCTCGTGGTGAATGATTTGGTTGACTTTGAGGGTCATGGCTTGGCCAGGCCACATGTCGCTGATTTCCCGGAACCAGCCGTCTTGAATCGTTGGGTGGGTGATGTCGGCCATGGTGTATTGACAGTAGTATTGTCTTGAGGTGAGTGGATGTTTTCTGCTTCTAGTAATGCACCGCAGAGAGAGTGAGTGTTTGGATGTAAGGAAAGCTCGTGCTCGGTTTGCATATCGCATGCGGAAAACTTTCAATCCTCGAAAACAGTCTGCGGGAACGGAGCTTGATACGTCAATCGCGTGGGGCAGTGATGCCTTACGGCCTTGCTGCCTCGTTCCCACATCTCACCAATCTGTGTTGGATGGATTGGTCGCATTCACTGATGGTGAGCACTACGTCAACTGCACTGTCTGCGTTGGGGGGCAACTGCGGATAAACCTCGTCCTCGGGCGAATATGGTTCTGCCTCAGAGCGACACTATGGGCGCGCCTGTATACATGGGAATCTCCCTAGGAAATCTGGTCCAATGGAGCTATATCACTTCAGTTCGCCGGCAAAACACATGGTGATCGGAGACGGTCGAAGGTTATGCTGCTCACGTGAAGCCTTCGACACCAACTTGTCAGCCACCGCATTCCTTCCAAGCCGGAACTTGTGGAACCAAACTGTGAAACATTAGAATCCTTATGGAGGCGTCGTGAAGCCGCGCGACACAACATCTCAGCAGAAGGGCCTCGCAGCAAGACTGCCTGCCCCGTAATGGAAAACACGCTCGTTCCTCCATTACCAGCAGTGGAAGAAAGCCTCATTGATCTGGAACGGTAGCGACCCTCAGCGAACCATCATGCACGTTCCCACACGTACTATGCGCAACCTGCGCAATGTAGGTAGGAGAGACGGATGTCCAGTTTGTACACGAAGGATCGTTTTGCTTTGTGGTCGTCCTTGCGAGCGTACGATGCTCCATTCGTCGATCGAAAACCGGCAGACAAGTGCTTCGGCCGAGCGCCGGCCTCGGCCGATGCTGCCACACTCTTCGTCAACTGAACCGTTTAACCTTGTCGCCATGCCCTCTGATCAATCATAATATACAGAAAATCTTTCCCTTCAAAGACTGACGCAACACTGCTCCTTATTAGCCATGGCCAGTGGCGAGCTCATTATTGACCAAGACTTCAAGATCAGCGAGGACTCTCGGGACACTCTGTTAAAGTACACCAAAATACCACCAGATGAACTCGAGACTCATGTTCGAACCATTGTACGCTAGCATATACTGAAGCGGGAGATTAAAGAGCTGACTGATAAATCGCAGAGAGACAAGGCTTTCGCCGTCCATCCATATCCCTGTATAGGCTTGTGGCGCTTCCTAGACTTCGGCATTGCGAAGCATAAGCTCTACAAACCTGAGATCCTCCCACGCATGCTCACTGGCGAGCAAACATACCTCGATCTGGGCTGCGCCTTCGCACAAGATATCCGCAAACTCGTCTCTGACGGTGTCGATAGCAAACACTGCTACGGCTCCGATCTGCGTCTGGACTTCCTAGAGCTTGGCTATGACCTTTTTAGAGACCGACAAACGCTGAAGAGTACCTTTATCGCTGCCGACATTTTCGCCTCGGAAAGTCAGCTGTTCAAGGAGCTGTCGGGTAAGGTTGACATCATTGACGCCAGCTCCTTCTTTCATCTGTTCGCGAGGGACGAACAGAAAGCCGTCGCGCGGCAAGTTGTTCGGTTGATGAAGCCACAGAAAGACGCGCTGCTTGTTGGCCGTCAGATAGGCAGCACCAACCCTGGCGAGGTTGCTCGCCGGTCTGGGAATGGCACAAGGTTCCGTCATAATATCGACAGCTGGCGGCAGATGTGGGATGAGGTCGGTGAGGAAGTGGGACTCAGGTTCGAGGTTGATGGGAGGACCTGGGGACGGGAAGTCTTAACGCAGGTATCTGCTGTGTACTTCACAGATGAGACGTTGACGTTCATGGAGTTCAGCGTGCGCCGAGTGTAATAGATGAACTACCCGATGTTTCTACGAAATCGCTTGCATATAGATTGTAGCCGAACTCAGCGAGGAAAGACATTTCAGATTGAGCAGTGTCAGCGTATCAAACCCATGACGGTGAATCAATTGGCACTGCTCCGTATCTGGTGGGTGTTCTCCTCGTTCATAATCGTGGAAGTCTGCCGTTTGCACCAACTTACTGCCTGGTTGCACGACGACGAAGCGCGGATTCGACGCGTGCTGAATTTGGCAAGTCGAAGCGCAAAAAACTCCGCTAACGTCACCCGTAGCATTGCGTTGTGAAGCACGCGATCATCCATGCTGCCAAGCATATTCAACACCATGCGACGATCATACGGGATAGCCATTCTGCTTGTTGTTGCGCTCGCTTTGCTTGGCAGCGTTGTCGCAGAGGTGGTACCTAAAGTTACCGAGTCGCACGTTGGCTCTCTGAGCACCCAGGAGATCGAGGAGCAATTGCAGGTATGGATACTAGGCGAGCTTTGTCGCCGACCCATATTGTTGAGCCAACAATAAATCCAATGCTAATAGCCTGCAAGCAATGTCCAATACTCGAATCTCTTGCCGCTCACAATGCCGCAACAAAGCCTGTCGGTTCCTCTCCGCTACAGCAAGCCTTCCGTCTGCTCTTTCCCTTCACTAGCCCGGCGCTGAACTCAATGATGGGCACCCTATACATCTCCGGTCCTCCCAACTTCCTCTTAGCGTTATGCCCAACCAACATCGATCCCAGCAGTCTGAATGTCATGGTAGCCTTCGCAGTTGGTGGACTGCTCGGCGACACTCTGTTCCACCTCTTACCAGAGATCTTCCTTGGCGAGGTGCCTCAAGGAGAGGTGAGAGCTGTGCTGGTGGAGCCCAACAAGAACTTACTGCTTGGCGTTGCGATCATGGTAGGCTTCGTCACGTTTGTGGCGATGGACAAGGGCTTACGGATCGCTACGGGTGGTGAAGGTCACGGTCATGATCATGGACACGGACATAGCAATGGCAGTATCTCGACCGAGAAGCCTACTGCGTCTGGCCGTACTTTGCAGAACGAGCAAAGCGACGCCACTCTGCGACAGCGAAAGCCGGATACGAAGGATTCCAGCAAGGCCACTGCTGTTCAGCAGGCTAAGGACAAGCCTTCGGTTAAGCTCTCGGCCTATCTGAATATCGTTGCAGACTTCACGCACAACATTACGGACGGTCTGGCACTCTCATCATCGTTCTACGCTTCACCCACGATTGGCGCTACCACGACGCTTGCCGTGTTCTGCCATGAGATTCCGCACGAAGTCGGAGACTTTGCGCTTCTCATTCAGGGCGGCATGAGCAAGAAGGTTGCCATGGGTCTGCAGTTCGTCACTGCTCTGGGCGCTGTCCTGGGTACCATCATTGGTATCACCGTGCAGGAACTTGGCGGTAACAGCGCTTCAGCTGAGGCGGCGAAAGGCGTGGGCAATGTAGGCTTGCTTGGTACGAGTCTATCATGGGGCGACCTGCTCCTACCTTTCACGGCAGGGACGTTCCTGTATGTGGGAACAGTTGGCGTAATACCGGAGATATTAGAAACTGGACCGGACCGGTGGAAAGAGCTAAGAAGCACCGGTTTGCAATTTCTAGCTATGGCTGCTGGTGCTTCGATCATGATTGGGTGAGTCTTCCAATCGTCCCAACAACGATGTGTGCTGACCTACCATCTAGCATCTCCTGGACTTAGATCATCTTGCGCTGGTCGTGAGTAATACTGTAGACATAGATCGCTAACGACGTTTCCGCCACATCACGCCACATAGCTCACCCTCTCATGGCTCTTTAACAGCCCGCTAAGGAAGAGCACGGTCTTACTCTTGGTGCTCCGGTTGCCGCAACACCTAGCTCGCAACGTCTCCGGGTCCATGATGAGGCCTGCCGTCAACTGACTTGGCAGCGAACTTGCGTTCACTCGGTATGGTTCAGGCCTCCGCTGCTTGGACGGCCACTTTGGAAACGGCGTGCACGGCGCGACATTGATAACGACGCCCGCAGTAAGCTCCATGCCGTCTCTAAGAGGGTTCAGAGTCTGTGTGGGCAGGCTGTAGAGGAAACCGCCTAGGTATGCGAAGTGCTCAATTAGGCTACCGCCCGCCGCAATAACGAGCTTCTTGCAAGCAATTTCAATGCGCTTGTGGTTAGAGCCGCTGGTGGCGTGAATGTCGCACTGTAGGTCCGTCAGCCTTGTACAAGTATTAGCGAGTGTCGTCGGAACTTACTCTATAGCTTGCGGTGCCCTTTGCAGATACGACTCTGGAACTATCTTGAGATGCGCTGGACTCCGCCCGCCTTACGAGCTTGTTCCGCTGGTGGTCACCGCTGCCGACCCGGTGCAGGCTCCGGTCTTTCGAGATACTATATTCTGGCTCGGTGTGGCTTGAAGTGGAAGCGGTCGAAGTGTGCGTTGATGTTGAGTTACCAGCCGTCATGCTCTCTGCGACCGTGCTCGCATCACGAACGCTTCCACTCAAATTCGTGTCATCACTGACGGCGCTGTCTCCGTCACTGGGTACCGAAGCCTGCTCATTCCTGGTGGTGACGAAGGAGTTCTGCGAGTGTGAGAAGTCGAGTGGCGGGATATACATCGCCATGGCGAAGGCCTGGCACGTTAATGTGTATATGACAGGGTTAACAAGAGTCGTCATTACTAGCCAGGCAAATGTCATTCTCGTGGGCTGCTCCCTGGGTGAAGTGACGTTGAGTGGGTAGCTGTGCTCCGAGGTGAGATATATGAGCTTCGACCACCTCATCCACAGCACGCTCCCGTGGGTTCATAGCACCTAGATTTGAATTGGCTAAAGTCGCATGACTCGCCTTCGCGGTACCCGAACGACAGGCTCATCATTGCAGCAGTGAGCAGAAACGCGCCTTGAGTCTCTCCGGACAACATTAAGAGGCGCCGAATCCATACTCGAGCCTTCCTGACAAAGTCCTGCTAGGACTCATCTAGCGACAAATATGGCGGACGGGCCGCACGAGCTTATCTCCCTTCCACTCGAGTTGCGCAAGGACATCTACGAGCTCGTACTCGTCGTGAAGGAGGACATTAGAGTGCTGGCTACCGGAGACACCTCAGTACGCAGCAACTTAACAAGACCACCATACCAACAACCGTCAATCATGCGAGTAAGCCGCCAGATTCGCGAAGAAACTTTACCGATCTACTACGGCCAGAATGTCTTCCATTTCGAGCTGCAACTCTCTATTCCATTGGTGGACGAATCCCAGGACTTCACACGTTACCCTGAACACTTTGCCGCCAACTCTGAGATGCTGAAGGTTGTCAAGCTGTCGTGCGGATCATTGTGCGCGCACGGCGGTCACTTCTGCCTTGACTTTCGCGAAGGGTTCGGTGCACAAGATCGCATAGTCGCGTACGCATTTGGAGTTGGAACAGCCGGAGAGGGGTGCCCGTATCGAGGTCTGGAACAATATACCAGAGGCAGTCTGGACGATATCATGGAGGGCCAAAAGCAGCGTAGCAACACCCGAACGCAAATGGCTACAATACATTGTCTAGCTTTCAAGCTTCTGACGCCTGAGTTCCGTTGGGCAGAGTTTAACTATATCCTAGATTCATAAGCGTGCAGAAGGCCCGCAAGAAGGACCCACCTGTCGCAGGACAGCCATGGCAGTGTTCTTACATGGGAGTGAAAGTCTGGGCAAAGGTCAAGCTCACACATACGGCGCAGGGCGATAACAAAGGCTTGGCCACGAAGTCGGTCAAGGTCCTTACTTTGGTGGCTTGCGTCCAGTAGTGTTGGGCAGTAGTATCGAGTTGAGCGCGAGCACGGGGAAGCCGGCAGAGATTGCTTAGAACAGCTGCCATAACGCCCTGCTTCACATTCGGTGAGTATACGCAGAACGACTGCTGTCCTGTGAACTCAACCACGCTGTTCCATATCTCGTTTCGTTCTTTACGCACGGAGAGACAGCCCGTGGTCCGGTCGGAGCCCTCCCTTCAATGAGCGGCCATTCATATATTGTCAACAGCTGTGTTTAACCAGCAAACTTGGTGCGGCACAAGCCTTGTTTGTAACCAGGTCTGTCCTCAAGGCCCCGTTTGCGTGCCTGCCGTTTTCATGTGACACGTGCAAACCTCTGCCGTAGCGTTGGGGAGCATGAACCTCAACCAATAAACGTTAGTGTACGGGATTCTTGTCAACGGCATTACCAGTAGAACAATGTATGATTGGGCGAAGTTGAAGGCTGTCTTTATGAGTAGGCCATCGACCTAGGATGGTAAAAAGCTGAGCTGTCCAATGTTCATATTGTGCGAAGAAGTGCATCACGATGCCTGGCGAGCCCATTGCGGGATCCTTCGTTCAGTCATACCGCGTCCTCACCGATGAAGCAGCGCTGCAAGACTCAGCTATTCTCTCGACGTATGCCACCTCGCATCTTCGCCTCCCCGCAGCCAGTCGCTTGAGAAGCTTATTCACCGTGCAGTCTGTCGTACCCAGCAAGACTGATATGTTTGCTAGCTCGTTGCATCGCAGACTAGCCTTCGGCGAAGATCTGTTGTGCACGTAACCTGCGAGGGGCGGCTACTTACCGTGCTCTTATCCGTGTGCTAATCATACGGTTAATCCTGATCAATATGTGGAACGAAGTTGATGTACAGTGAGGTAGGAGAGCCTCCGTGACCGGCATGAGGGGCCCGCCTCGCCGGGCCATGACTGGCTGCACAACCGAGGCCGTTCGACAAATATGTAGTGATTATCAACTTCTTACGCTCTTGGCTGTTGTGGGCGACAAGCCCGCCACACCCTCACCAACCACCATGCCGGACTTTCCAGCCCATGCCTCACCGGCCATCACACCTCTCGAGGCTCCGCGACCGCAATACCGAGACCGAACTGTCTCCGATCTCAAGCTCAACCATGAAGATGGCAATGCGCCTCCACCACTAATCAGTCCCGCTTTCACCCCACCACGAACACCCTCCGCAGACACCGACCAACGACATGACAGACAGCCAAGGAGTATACCGGTGGCGCCGCCGTCGGAGGACGAAGGACAACAGCCGAGGCTTCTCCAGAGGCTACCGAATGTGTGGTGCGAAGTCCGTGCTCGCATACCCACCACTACGGGGCAGGAGATGTTCTTGCACCTCTACCACAACGATGCGGACGATAAAGAGCATCTCGCCATCGTCTTCGGTCCGCACATCCGCAGTAAGAGCCTCGATGCGCCACGACCGGGCGAGACGGAGAGGGATCGCATGATCAGAGGAGCGTATGTCGGCACACTCTTTCCGGGCAGGACAAACAGTCGGGTACAGCAGATACGGCAGGATGCGGGTGTGGCAAGCCGACCATCCGCTAGCTACCTGAGTGCACTCAATGTTCCTGAGCAGACTCCGCCGAGTGCAGCGTCACAACATTCTAGCGACCACTCAGAGGCAACGGAGATCGACTCATCGTATCCGCTCGAGCTCGGCCCGCCTCTTGTTCGAATACACAGCGAATGCTATACAGGTGAGACCGTCTGGTCAGCGCGTTGCGACTGCGGAGAACAACTTGACGAGGCAGCACGCTTGATGAGCTTGCCGGCACCGACACCAGCATCAACACCTGGCAGCGAAGTAGGAGAACATCAGATACCATCCGCGAAACTCCCATCTTGCGGCGGTGTCATTATCTATCTTCGACAAGAAGGCCGCGGCATCGGCCTCAAGGAGAAGCTCAAAGCCTACAATCTTCAGGATCTCGGGCACGATACTATGGAAGCCAATCTTCTCCTACGACATCCAGGTGACGCTCGATCATACGGCTTGGCGACGGCAATGTTACTGGACCTTGGGCTTGGTGGCGAAAGAGGTATCAAGCTGCTGACGAACAATCCGGAAAAGGTTCGGGCTGTTGAGGGACCGAATAGGGAGATCAGGGTTGTGGAAAGGGTACCCATGATCCCGCTCGCTTGGAAGACGGGCGGCAAGATGGGTGTTCATGGACCTGAGGTGGAGAGGTATCTTGCGACGAAGATAGAAAAGTTCAAGCATATGCTTAGTGGCTGAACAGTCATTGTTGAAGAAGTATGGAAGCTCAGTGGCTTTCAGCACGCATCGCGAGACGACAGCGCACGCCCACGCAGCGCAAATGCTGCCAACAAGGACGGGTAGCAATGTCGCTACATGCCAACCGAGCCAGACAACAAACACGCTACCGAGCGCGTTGCTGTGAGGTACGCAGGGAGTACCAAAATCATCAGCGAGTTCATCTCGGCTGGTCTGGTGGCTGAGAACACTCGTCTTCAGGTTTGGCGGGCCATGCTATCTCGCGGAGAGTTCGAGGTCGACAAGTTCGTTCATGGACAAGGTGTCTTGTACCGCTCGTAAGCCGGTCAGCCTCTGACTGGATCGACATCTCCTCTGAAGCGACTTTCGCAAGCCTTGGCTGCACATCGCACTTAGTCCATCTCAGAATATCAACGACGGCGCCACAGTGGAACGATAATGCGGCAGGCTTGGCGAACGTTGTCAGCAGCTGTATGCGGGTTATCCTCTGGACTGATCGCAGGCTTTTCTGTACATGGTGGCGACGGTCAAGCGTGGTGCCCGTTGTCTCCAGCCTGGTCGATGACAGCAGGATGGTTGTGTGGATTCCCAGTGGAGGCTCCGGGTGTGGCCTAACTACCTCTAATGAGCGGATGACGCGTTGATGGAGTGTCACCCGCACTTCGTTGGCCCGCACCGTTGACTGAGCCTTCTAGATCGGTAACAGCTCAGAAAACCACAGTACGGTGGCCATTCAGGAACACGCGCCTCTCAGACCACCACTTGACAGCCGCCGCAAGACACTGGCTCTCGAGGTTACTGCCCTCATCCACCAACTCCTTGGGAGACATGCTGTGGTCAACACGGGCCGTTCTCTGCTCTATGATCGGGCCCTCGTCCAGATCTGCTGTGACGAAGTGAGCCGACGCGCCAATAATCTTGACTCCACGGTCGTAGGCTTGATGATACGGCTTCGCTCCCTTGAAAGAAGGCAGGAAGGAGTGGTCTGAAAGTATCGATCATTAAAGTTAGCGTTGTATGCGGCTACCATTCTTTTCAGAGGCTCTACGTACGAATATTAATGATTTTGCCCGACATCGCTTCGCATAGTTTTGGGGACAAGACCTGCATATACCGAGCGAGAACGATAAGGTCGACATTATGTTGCTTGACCAGATCGAGGATTTGTCCTTCCTGCTCCGCTTTCGAGTCCTTGGTGACCGGCAAATGGTGGAAGGCAATGCCGTAGCTTTTAGCAAGTGATTCAAATTCCGGATGATTGGATACAATAAGTGGAATATCGATCTGCAATTGTTGCGATTTCTGGCGATAGAGTAGATCATTCAGGCAATGTCCAATCTTCGACACCATAATCAAGACTTTGGGTTTGTGCGACTTCGGCACGATCTCGTAGTCCATCTTGAGGTCCTGCGCCAGCTCCTGAAACGGCGCGTCGAGGTGTCTCGTGTCATCTGCGTGGCCGAAATGTACTCGCATGAAGAACTTCGAAAGGTCCGGATCCGAGAATTGCTGCAGATCCAGCACTGTCATATCGTTCTGAGCCAGGACTCCGGTTACGGCGTGGACGATGCCTCTCCGGTCCGGGCATGAAAGGGTAAGGATGTGATCCTTGGACATCTTGGCCGACAATAGATTCGTACTTGAGAATAATCGTAATCTCTGAACGGTAGTGCTGGACTTGAACAGGTTGGCTCCTATGCTTGGTATCGAGCGGTTGAACATGCGTTGAGAGAAGCAGGACGCTGCCATGGGACAGGAAATTAGCGAATGACTTGTTGCACGACGAATTCAAGACTGCGTGTGCAACGACGGAGGTCATTTTTTGCGAGGTCGGCGCGCACAGACCGCGCCATCAAACGAACGGTTAACGGTGACAGTTTTGCCTGGTGACATTCAGGTGGACAGTTCAATGAGTGTTGCAGTGGCAGGACATGAGGACAGGTCTCGAGGTGCCTTTCACCGCTCTACAGGTATTGTGAGGAGTAGGGTTGTTGCTACCAATCTATCTTCACGCAACTAAGCTGAATCTGGCCCGCACAAGGAAAACTTGCCAAAGCGGAGTATTTGACAGACGCCGGAACGCAGGCAGACAAGAACGACACAATCACCCTTTGACTCTTCCGGCTGCCGTCGTCTCGACAACAAGAGTAGTACAAGCTCACCACTATTCCTCATCCTCCTCGTCGTCATCATCTTCCTCCGCATTCTCTAGCCAGTCTAAGAACGTATGCGCCTGCTTCTTGATTTTCTTGCTCGTCGCCGCATCAACATACTTCTTGCTGACCTTGGTACCCCAAGCCTTGAGCGTCTCTTCACTCACAATCTCATTCTCGTAGACCTTCAACAAGATCGGGCTGACCTGGTTGATGAGGTTGGGCCTGTCAATACCAACGAAGCGCTCGATACCGCCCAGAAAGGCTTTCTCGTGCTTCTCGCCTATGGAGGTCATCTTGCGGAGCATTGAAGCGCGACCCTCGATCTGCTTGACAACGCCGTCGTCGAAAATGCACTGGGCGAGCACGGCGGGCGTGCGATGCTTGCTCTCAATGCCGAGCTCTTTGGCCTTAAGGTAGATGTCGACGTCCTTGACTTTGCCGACGCCGCCCTCCTCCTTAGCCTTCTCCTCAATCCACTTGCCGAGCTCGTCATAAGCGCTGGGGCCGCTGTCTTCGGCGTCATCGTCGATGGCCAAGCTCTGCTTGAGGTCGTCCGGCAAGGCTTGAGCACGGGCTCGGATGGCCTCCTCGGACATGTCGGTCTTCCATTCAACCTCTTTGTTTGTGGAAGGCTCGTTAGGCAGTTCCTTAGCTTCAGCGTTGATCTTGCGCGTGAGCTCGTCATCGCTGCCAGCATCGTTGCCAACATCACCGTTCTCGTCGGCATGATCAGAGCCACTTTCGCCAGGGCTTGGGTGACCATTTCCGTTAGCCTCATCGTCGTCGTCATCATGGGCCGTACCGTTACGCTCGGCCTCTTTCTTCGCGCGGCGATCAGCTTTCTTGGTGGACTTGTCTTTCTTGCCCTTCTTCGGTTGATTCTTGAGGATGAAGGAAGACAGCTTGTTGCGCAAGTCTACATTGGTCTGCTGACCGCAGGCCTTGCAGTCAAGGATGATATTGCCGTTCTTGATGTTGACAACCGTCTCCGGATTCTCGCAAGCCCTACACAAGACGAACTTCTTGATGAAGCCGTCAAGGTAATCTTGTAACTTGGAAGCGTCGTGAGCTCCGTTGATGATCCAACGGTCATCCTTCGGGTCGATGTTGGTCTGCGCACCAAGTTCGAAACCGAAATACTTGATGACATAGCTCGGCGGGCGAGCAAGCTGCTGGGCGACGTTGCTTAGATTGACAACGACCGTCTTGATGCCATTGCCTTTGCCTTCAACCTTGGACTGCAGGCGTTCCATCTTGTAGCGGTAGAAAGGATCGGTGACATCCCGACGAATGTTTACGTTCGCCATGATTGCAGTACTCTGCTCGGCGGTTATTGGTGACGAGTTCGACTATTGGGCGCGGATAGTGGGCGGATGAGCAAAAGCGAGGAGCTTGCTGACGGTGGCGAAGACAGACATACACGTCAGACACAAAGGCCAGTGTTTGCCGTATGTTCAAGCATGTAGGATGCTGCTCTGTACAGAAAGCCTAATATGCTTTCTTCTGGAAACGCTCGTTCAGGCTCTTCTTTCAGCCGTTGTTACGCTCGTGGCCACTACTGCGCGGTCTTCGCAATAGCCGAAATGGTTGCTGCTGCACCGGCGGCGGTTCGACTTCGAAAGCGTGCGCGCGGGACGAATACATAAACCCTGTCGCGTGGTCGAGTACAGCGTTGTGGTGTGTATAGGTGTCCACAGAGGGATGTAGGGATGGTAGGTGAAAGTGCGGGCGACACTGCCTGGTGAAAGAGCCTTTTGTGTGCGCCGTGCTTGCTGAGCTTGGCGGTGCCGATGGCGTTTGCTCGCACGGGTCCGTGGTGTGATGGAGAGCAGGTCGATGCCGATGGTGAGTAAAGCAGAGGGAGGCAGCAGAAAGAATCATCACTGAGTATAACCCGTGCGTTGCGTAGCGGGACCGCCTCGGACACGGGAAGTTTAAGGCGTGGGCCCTTGCCACTTGCACGTGCCTACCGAATCCGAGGACTTGCCGTAGTCATCTTCACTGTTCACTCACACCCGGTCGGCTGGTAACTGCTGTTGAGGATGATGAAGGCAGTTAAGCATTGGCGTGAGTGTCAGCTGCGAGTGACGGCAACTGCTACACATGATGCTCGTCGGCCTAGCTGCCACTGCCCGCAACCAACGCGCATGTTCATGCAAGTTGGCGCCTAAGGCACTCCGTGTTGGAGAGAGTTTATGCTCAAACATTCCGGAGCATCTTGGTAAGGTAACAGTGCGTAGGCTGACTGGACAAGGCACTGGTGACGACGCCACCACGATACAGGACATGTTACGTACCACACGCAGTCATGGGTCCCGAGATTAATCACCATCCTCTCTCACGCGCAGATGGATCCGTCAGCTTTTCAAACAACCTCTACACCATCCTCGCAGCCGTCAATGGTCCAGTCGAAGTACAGCGGCGCGATGAGCTGCCCGAAGAGGCCGCTATTGAAGTCAATATCAGACCAGTTGCAGGTGTGGGAGGGCCAAGAGAGCGATGGCTTGAAAGCGTGGTGACTGCGGTGCTCAGAAGTGTACTTCTTGTGCACATGCACCCGAGGACGCTCATACAGATCACCTTACAGATTACCAAGCTGCCGACGCAGAAGTTGCGAGGTGCTTGGAAAGACGTCTCAGTGCTACCGGCTCTGGTCAATGCAGCGTTCCTCGCGCTTGCTGATGGCGGCTTGCCTATGCAGAGCACCGTAACTGCCGAGCTCTTCACAATTTCTGAGGACGGCGAGATCCATGCCAGCTCAGCCGAAGGGGACCTTTCCGCGTGCACTGGGGCTTTCGCTCTTGCGTACAATCAACACGGCGAGATGCTGATGAATGAGTCTGCGGGCAACTTCTCTCTTGAGGCTTGGGAGAAAGCCGGCGATACCGCGGCGAAGTTCTGCTTAGCAGCGATGGTACCACTCGGGGAGGACGAACATATGGCGAATGGCGCAGCTGACGGCGACCCATGGCTGCGTAAAGAGCTGGAGAGCCAAGCGAGAGCCGGTGTCGCATGGCGTGAGGCTACTTGAACCCGGTGCTTCTTCGCCGCACACGAAAAAGGCTCAATTACTAAACTGCGAGTGGGGACCCTGCAATGACTTGATCATACAAGCGTGCGACAGTGATGTGCGCATGCCTGCCTCTGGGTGCTCTCCTTTCGGCACGCCCATGTCGGCCTTGGACTCTTGGAACGCTACGCATTGTTGCAGCATCTGCCGACACAATTGGGGTACAGACTATGCTTATGCGACTCAGGTTACGCCACGGGGCAGACCGTAGGGATGCAAGATACGACCGTTTGATGGGCGTGGCGCGTCGTGTGGCGCTTACACCGCAAAAGAAAAGCCCCAGTATGCGACGCTGCGAAGTGCATAGAAGCAAATGTAAATGCCACACGTCGAAGCGAGAGCGACAGGCATGCGGTCCGTAAGTGGTAACACTCAAGTTCAGTGGGTTCAACCGCACCTTCTCTTTCCGGCGCGAAGCCATACCACACTTCATGTCGTCCATGGCTGTTCTCACACTTCACTTCATTCCACGGCTTTCCGTTCGAGTGCAATGATCCTACCTCTGTTTCGCATGTATCAATCATGCCTTCTGCACGCAGCGGTGATGCCCCCATACAAGCATTCTTTCCTCCTACTCCCCAACAGTCTCCTAACATGATCTCGGCAAGCAAGGCCGACAGTTCGTTACCGAGCTCGACTTTGCCTGTTGGCGACGGCTTCACCGCGGACGAACTGGCTGATGCGCTCCGACCGAAGCCTGCCGAGCCGTGGCACCCGGCCGTTGACTATGATGAGTGCGATATCCGTGACCTGAATCCCGGACCCAAGGCGGTAACATTCATGGGTCGTGTTGCCAACATCGTCGACGTACTCAATACGCCAAAGACGCCGCGTTCGGCGAAAGGTTGCGTGAAACTGTGCATCAAAGATGATACTGGGGCGATCACTGTGTGTCGGACAAGTCTCCCACGCTATCCGTCAGCTAACCCTTGCAGGTGCGACTGTGGTACGCAGTCAAGCCGTTGAATCTGCGGCTTGGCTCGCTAGTATCGGTTTGGACTAATCACAGTGTGTTGGCTGCAGCGCTTACTTAGTCCTCCTACTGACGTCTGGGACAGTCAGTAATGGCGAGAATGGAACGCTCTCCAGCACGAGTGCACCGCTCTTTGCCTCCTTGTTCCCGGAACGTGACCGTAGCTGTCATGCGATGATACACGAGAACAGCGACGATGGCACCCTTTGCAAGCGACCCCTCGGCTATCGGACAGCACAGCCTCTAAGTGGCCTGATGACTCTGCAGAACTTCATCGACGGCGGGTACGATGTCGTCGACGCGAAGATTCTCGTGGTGGTGAAGAGTATAGGTGGCGGCCGGCGCAGTAAGCGTGTCGATCTCCTTACAAAAGCGGGTTGATCGGTTGCTAAGGTACCCACAGTCACTCGAAAGGACGAGACTGTCACGGAGAATGTGAATCTTACGGTCCAAGACGATACCGCAGAAGCGAAACTTGGGTTATGGGGCACTGCAGCATCATCGCCGATCGAGCATGCAGTTGACAGGCCGACTGCCAATCCTGATACAGCCATCGCCACCCACGCATGGAGGCCAGGGGAGACCGTACTTCTTATGCAGGCGCCAGGCTGGAAGTTCGGGCGCTCAGTAAGTGAGTCCAGATAGCATTGCATAGATAGTGCTGACCGTCATAGACGTATTTGAGCACCACGTCAGCGTCTATCATAGACGTCAACCCACACATCCCGGACGCCGACTGGCTGCGTCGGTTCGCCCTCCGCCAGAAGAACAGAGAAGCCGTCAACCCGCCATTCCCCGAAGATCTTTTCGACCTTTATTCCATCAAATATGGCCCTCTCCGCTGCTTGTTCACCATCGCAGACCTGGACGAGTTCGCTCGTGCTGCACCCAACGAAACGTTCCAAGGCTATCTAAGCGTGCTGATTACGGAAGTCAAGCTGTACGAGTATGTCAAACGCCAGATGCTCTTTTCCGGTGAATGCTGCAACAGGCCTTTGTATGCGAGTGCGGTGGCCGCGAAGTGCAAAGGGTGCAATAGTATGACAGATCTGAGGATCAGCCCAAAGCTCATCGGTCAGGTTATGGATGAAACAGCCGTGATCGGCCCTGGCAAGCTGCTTTTCAGTGATGCTGCTTGGGAACAGCTGCTCGGTCGCAAGCCTCTAGATCTGCTGAGACTCAGCTCTCAAGAGATTAAATATCTGGCAGACCGCTTGTTGTTCTGTCGCGTTACTTTATTGTTTGGCTGGAGTGGCGAAGAGAGCAAAGCTGGCGGGAGGGTCTGTGTGTTGGGTGTGATGGGTTGAACAACTTGCTGCCGGCCTAGTGGTTGTCACGGTATCCCTTGTGCGCAGCATGGCTGCAAGCCGAATTTATGCATGGCAGTATAAGGCAAGATGGGATGCAGATATACGCTGAATGTGGTTGGCAGATCTTTAGTTACAACGTCACTATATGCGGCTACTCTGTGCCCACAGTGTCCTGGCAGACCCGTGCCATTTCGGACCTCCCTTCATCTGGCCCTGCATGAAGGGCTTATGCCGTGTACGCCTCAACCAACGCCTCCGCTATGTGTGCCCGGAACACTACAAGCCAATCTCATCGCTATGCATCATTCGTAACAACAACTTTTGTGCTGAAGCAGTCAAGTATAGGGCCCCCAAAGAGGATCGCAGCGTCACTCCCGCGCTCGAGGACGAGTACCGGGACTTAGGCTCGTTCGGTCCCGCCGTCGCCGAGCCTCCTCCCGAATCAACTTCTCCACCACCTCCTCCGAGGACGGACCCTCTTCACTAGCGCTCCGTACTCCAGCCATCAGATACCCATCCTCACCTTCGAGTTCTAGTGGTGTCACCGGGCCTGGACTTCCCAGCGGCTCTAGTCGCGGACTATCAGGCTTGTCCGTTCGGTTCGGAGAGGCGTTACGATGGGCAGCCGTCACTGACTCGCGCTGGTAGTTGTATAGTTGCTTCTGCGCATCGCTGAGCATGCGCTGATGGGTCCGTGGTGACATGGGACCCATGGGCGAAGGCCTTTCTGAAGGTGTGTTTTGCAAGCTGCTTTGCGCTGAAGGGAAGTTGGCTGGATGGAACCGCGGTAGAGATGGAAGCTTCAGTGAGTTGTCTCGTGCTCTCCGGGTGTTGTTGCTTGCTGCTCTGGCGTGCATGCTCCGCGGCGAAGGCGGCTGTAGCGAGTCCATATGCAGGTTGCCATAGCCTGGTGATAATGGTGAACTGGGCCGCATGGCAGGTGAGCCCCGCGGCGATGGCATTCGGTTCAACGAAGAGAGCGGTGCGCCAGCTGGCGATATGCCTCTTGAGGGCGCCGTCCTGGTGGTCGTCTGCTTTGTCGTGCCGGAAAGGATGGTTGCCGTAGCTGTGGTGTTCATTCGAATGTGCCGCCAGGAACTTTGTTCAAGAGTGGAAGGCGAGATATCAGTACGTATTCGGACGACTCCCAGCAGTTGCGGTTGTGAAAGACTGGCTTAAGCTTGTGGGAGCGAAGAGGCAGTAATCATGCGTGAAGTGGGGCCTGCACTTTCTGGTGGCAGACGACGTGGAGCGTACGGCAACAAGTCGTGGCACGTTCTATGAGTCTTGCCCAGATTGACGACTCTTGGCTGTTGTGGGCCAGGGATGAAACAGACCGGGCCGAATCAGCAACGACTCCGATGTAATTAATCAGGCGTCGTTGCAGTACGCAGTTGTTGATTCGCAGTGAAGACGTTCGGCTTCTCAGACCCTGCGCTGACAATCCAGGTGCCGAGACCCCTCGGAGGTAACGGCTCGGAGGCTGACGGCGTTGTGGAGCTTGTTTCGCAAGGTACCGGCAATCCGTAGCCGGCGGCGTGTGTCAATCGTTGCGGCTGTCTGTGTGCGTAGAGTCTGTACCAAGATCAGTGAACACATGAAGCAGAGACCGACCAGGAACTGCTCCCTCTCAGCGCTTGCGGCTGGAGCCCCGAGTTTGTCCTTCGAGTTGCGCCACCGCCTCACGGTCCACCAGATATCGTCATTCTGGTCGGCGACGTCACTGCAATATCGTGGGCATTCGCGCTTGGACTCATCTAGTGTGGCGCGCCGTTGTGCCAAAGCTTAATCTACGTATGCAGGTTCACTGACGAGAGGCTGCGGGGTTCGTCTGCTGGTCTCATGACATACTGCGAGGATGTGATCGCTGTAGTATTACTGGAGCCGCTGAGGACCGACGACCACGGGCAAGCTTGCTTATTCCGGCGCCGTATAGGCGAAGTGGTGTTCTCTGGTCTCTCGCCGAGCAAGCCAAGACCGCCAACAGCATCCGGCATCCGATGAGTACAGCAAGACAATCCTGGCTGAAGGTATGTTTACGTGTTGCCGTGTGGCATAGTCACGCCTTGCACTGGGTTACCCTGCCATGAGCTTGTCGGCCCCCATAGCCGCGTCCTCTTTGCGATGCCCCATTTGCAATACCAACCACACTTCCTTGCAGGTAGAGGCGGCGGCACGGCCACACCTCAAGCTGCTAGGACGTGGCGGTCTGAGGGTCTAACGACACTCCAAGTACTCCGTGGGCTTGAGAAGCATATTGATCCTGCCCACCACTGAACCTTCGTCTTGCAGGATGACAATCTATCAGGCTAGTCAAATTTACTCGTCACTGTGCATGCACAGCAAGTGAAGCTAAGCAACGCCTCCTCTGCGTAGTGCACTAGGATACATGCAATCAACATGTCGACACTGCTCTAAGCCTTCATCTGCGACCTGGCAAAGCCCAGAAATCCTATAAAATTTCCCCTATGCCTGGGAGAGTGTCAATGGCGCCGATGTGTTGCTATCAGATGCGGAGGAGCCTGCTGCATTTGAGTGGCTTTATGCGCAGTTCACTGGCTATCGAGGTTCGCTCAATCATTACTTTGGGCCTCGTCCCACTGACTCGCACTGCCTCGATCTGCAAGCGCGACTCTCCACGGTTCGCTAAGTCCTAATCGCACACGCGAGCGAGATTGAAATACGGTAACTTGTGTACGCTTAATTAGCTACTTATGTGACCACGGCCTCTGAGGCTCGGGTGCCGCCGGAGTCGAAGCCATTGTGGCTTGTTTGTCGTGTCTGCCGATCAAACAGTGACCATGCGATCTTACTGTTTGCTCCCGAGTAGATGACAGCGGTACTCGACGGGCGGATCGTTACGGCATTCACGCTCTTTCAGTGTCCCGAAGCCTACAGTAAGGAGCATAGTACGCGGTTGCATGGTATGTTATTTCGGACCCTGGCCCGTAGAGCTGCAACTATCCGCTAAACACCACACCACTCTACTGCAACTTGATTGGTAAGGCGACTTTTCGGTGCTTACACCTGTATACTCCCATTACGAGCACTCAATGAAGGACTTGCGCTGTTGTGAGAGCCCAGCAGCTCGAGCCTCGGCATCTGTCTCCGCATTCTCTAAGTTCTCCCAGGCTCACCACATCCGAGGGATCTCGTTGGCTTTGTTATGATGCGACACAGCTACGATGGCTCTTTGTATCAACACGTGAGTTGCCGTTCACTCCAATACTGAAGCTCTGGGATCAACACAGCATGGCCCATGCATCTAGTGCCGCTGACTTGACAGCCTCGAACCTTTTCAACTTCAAGGACCATGTTGTCCTCGTGACTGGTGGCGCAACGGGCTTGGGCGAGATGGCGGCCCAGGCCTTCGTACAGAACGGTGCAAAAGTGTTCATCGCCAGCCGGAAACAGAGCGAGTTGGAGAAGACTTCTCAGCGCCTCAACCAGCTTGGACCCGGACAATGCGACTACGTCGTCGCAGACCTCAAAGACAAAGCAGGGTGCCTGGATCTGTGCAGCAAAGTCAAGCAGAAGACTGATCGTTTGACCGTCCTCGTGAACAACTCCGGAGCCACCTGGTAAGTACTGACCATAGTTCGTGCCGGGTTATTGCACCTTCAACAAGCCGGTAGCGACACTATCTTGCCGTCCTCCACTGACACCCTGCAGGGGCGCACCATACGATGACTTCCCAGAATCAGGTTGGGACAAGATCTACGCTCTCAACGTCAAGTCCATGTTTTATACGACAGCACATCTGCACGACCTCCTGACCAAGGGTGCCACGGCCGACAACCCAAGTAGAGTCATCAACATCGCCTCCATGGCTGGCATCATGACTACAGATGTCACGGCTGGTTCGGAAGGGGGGCTTTCAGCTCCTGGCCACGGCACCTTTTCGTATGGCCCGTCGAAAGCAGGGTGTATCCACCTGTCGAGGATGCAGGCTAGCAAGCTTATGCCGCATCATGTTACCGTCAATTGCATCTGCCCTGGCGTCTTCCCATCGCGCATGACGCAGTACGGTATGGACGAGTTCTTGGACACGCTCGTGGCTGGACAGCCATCCGGCCGTGTTGGTAAGCCTGAAGACTTTGGCGGACTTGTGCTGTTCCTGAGCAGCAAAGGCTCTGCGCACATGACTGGCAATGTGATTGAGCTGGATGGTGGAAGCACCAGGAGCGGTTTCAGAAGTAAGAAGAAGAATGAAGCTCGTCTGTAGATTTGTCTCTCGTCAGACGTGTAGCATTCCCTGTGCAAGGACTTTTCGCCATGTAATCTGATGGATCTTCCCTCTATAACTGTCGCATAACGTTACACGCATATGGAGTTGGTAACGCGTGTGACCTAGTAACCTGAACACTGAATCGAAGCCCTAATCTTACAGTGGGCAGCTGGCAGTTCGCCAGGGGCCGCCGAAGCCGCTATGCCCGAGGCGGGGTCGCTCTTGAGGAGTCATTCGTACAGCAGCATTGCAATATTGGACATGGTCAGTATGACTATAAAGCTTTGTAGACTGTGCTGCAAGAGAGTCCTGTCCCAATCACCTTTGACTTCGACCACGTACGGACGCACTACTCGATCCCACCGCACTTTCACCACCTCGACAACCACAACCATGCGTCTCCCATACATCCCCGACGACCCAGAGATGGAGTCTGCCGAGGACGAAGCCGTAGTGCAGCGCGTGAAAACACGTAGAGGGGGAAAGCTGATCGCACTGGACAAGGCACTGCTTCACGCTCCGCCTGTCGCAGATGGCTGGAACAGCTTCCTCGGTGCCATCCGTACCAAGACCACATTACCGGACAGCATTAGGGAGCTCGCAATTAGTAGAGTGGCGGCCTTGAACCAAGCCTGGTATGAGTGGGACGCGCACAGTCCACTGCTGCGGAAAGCTGGCGTGCTGTCTGACGAAGTCATCGAGCGCATCAAGGATAAGAGCTATGAAGGGGAGGGACTCGACGAGAAGCATCTTGCCGTCCTCGAGTATACCAATGCAATGACAATCGGATGCATAGTCAAGCAGGCGAATTTCGACAAGTTGAAAAGCCTCTTTAGCGAAAGGGAGGTGGTGGAGTTGACTGCCACGGTAGGCGCGTACAATTGCGTCTCTCGCTTCTTGGTGGCCTTGGATGTTGGTGAGATGGCGGAGAAGTACAATGTAGACATGAAGTAGAGCTTCTCCTGAAGAGTGAAGACGTTCGATCGTGCATACAAGCACGACCAAGATCTACAATAGCGCACTGTTGCGCGACTAAAGCCGCAGGGACTATTGAAAGATGTTGCAGTGTGGTTCGATATGATGACCGCGTCCCAATCGCATCAGGCCCGAACACGCTGCTGATGTTCCTCCAGCATGGTTACAGGTGTAAAAGAATCAAAGTGAGATCATTGGCAACCGGGGCCATGTGTTCGGAAACTCCTGTATTGTTCCAACAACGGCTTCGTGCGCGAACATGCTCGTTTCGGTTTTGTAGACCATCCGTGCGCCTAGCCCTCGGTTGCCATTGGAGACGGCCAGGCTGGAGTCGTAAACAGAGCAAGCTTCGATCGATGCTCCACTACGTCGTGGATCCGCTGTATGTCAGACTATCAGCAGGCATCGTTGAAGATCAAGATGGAGTCACTACTCTCCCTGTCGTTCAGCAATCTCTCTGCGCGCGACACGAGTAAGATCAGAAAGGGATTAAGGCAGATTGAAGGCCTTCTCGCACAGATATGCCTCTCATCGAACCGACTGTCGCCGCAAAAGCGAAAGACGTCGGCTAGCTCAGAAGAAGTACGAGGGGTGTGCAAACTGTTGGGGGACTTGAGGAAGGACGCGGCGTTTCGCGAATTCTTCAGACTACAGGAAGGCTTCCGTTGGAATGGTAAGCACGAGCATTGATTGCTTGCTGGCGACGGACTAATGCTCTGCCTACAGTTGCCAGCAGACTGATTGCCGTGCTTGAGAGACTGATGGGCATGCATTCTGCATCCTCCACAAACCTGCTGATACTATCGACACTCGACCTCTTGCAAGGCATTCTTCTCCTACATCCGCCTTCGCGAACGCTCTTTAACCGAGAGGATTATATGAACCTACTGCTCGATCTGCTTGACGCAACCAACCCACCATCAGTACAATCACAAGCATTATTGGTTCTGGTAACGGCATTGTTGGACTGTCCGGCCAACGCAAGAGCCTTCGAAGCCATCGACGGCTTGTTGACGGTGACGAGCCTTTTCCGAAGTCGAAGCACGGCGCAAGAAGTCAAGATGCGAACCCTTGAATTCTTGTACTTCTATCTGATGCCGGAAGCGCAACCGAAGACAGCTCACGGTGCACTAAATACAACGGCGTCACCAACAAGGCTGGAAGATGGGGCAGGCCACTCGCAAACCCATTCCGGCGACAGTGGAGGGCCGATGGACATCGATGAGGAGGAAGACAGGGTCACTAAGAACACGGAGGAAAAGCAGAAATTGCTTGGCGAGCATCTCAGCAACGTGGCGGAGCTGGTGCGCGACCTGCGTGAGCACGCGTTGTTCTCCACCGTAGCTGCGGAATCAGGAGGTTGAGAACATCAGGTTTGCGATGCAAGCAATCCGCTCGAGGTCCATATTTCACGACAGCCAGGTCTTAGCATCTGACCATCCACTTTGCAAGAGGGTACACGGCGTACTTGTTGTCCGTCTGACTTAGCCTAAAGCATGTTGCTAGCACTATCCCTTGGCAGAGCTTTCATGCACTGCCGTCTCTGGGGAGATTAGGCACGGGTTGTACTTCACCACGTCTCCGCCAACATCTACTACACCTAATCCGGTTTCACGCTAATGTGCGTCTCGCGCTATCTGGTGAGCTTGTTAATGATTGATAATGGACAAGCCTGCTGACTGTACGCCGCATTCGATGTTTCAGGATAGGGTTCAATAATCAACTGTGCTTGCAGTATTGCAACTTCGAGATAGGATGTTGTCATGCTGCGCCATAGTTGATGTTGTTCCGTGCCTACGTTAATGCACTCGTCACGCTGCACACTTGGCGCAATGAGTAACCGTATCACGACCGGACCGGTGCACTCAGCGACGGTTTCCCTTCCCTGTGGTCTGTGTGATCACTTCCATCAGTGGGACCTAAATATACCTTGGCATCGTGCATGACTCTTGTCTGCCTTCCTTGCTACAGATTGCTGAGCTGGCTTGCATGCATTAGTGCTCTTACGAATGAGGCATGGCACGCTGGGCGACCACGCCACGAACCAGACTCCACGTTACAATTCGGCCATGTTGGCAATGACAGATGCGCCCGCGCTACAGCCAACAACCCATGCTCTGGGACCGTGAGGCATTCATAAAGATGTGAAGCTTCCCTTCAAGCAAAGATTGTTGCCGCCAGGTCCCAGTGCAACCCAGGACACCCTCTCAAGCGTGTGGTCCAGTTTGCCATGCTCAAAGCGTTAAGGCATCATTCGGGCAAAAACAACGCCATGTCGTCCCTTGCAGACAAAGGTTTGTGGACAATCTCCATCACGTTGCACTGCTCGCTGACGTCCGAGTCTCTTTCTAGTGGTCTTGGTAAGGATCCGGAGGAGAGTAAGGGGCAAGCACAAGATACTAACATTGCCGCGACAGATCACAGGTGGCAGCAAGGGCATCGGCGCAGCAACCGCTACAGCATTTGTGAACGCTGGCGCTCGAGTTGCCGTGAACTATGGTCGTGACACTACCCAAGCCGAAAAGTTCGTCAATGAACTCGGTCCCAAGCATGCATTCGCGGTCCAGGCGGACGCAGGCAGTATTGCAGGAGCAGAGAAGATGGTGAAAGAGACCGTCGAAAAGTACGGAACCATCGATGTTCTTATTCTCAATGCTGGTACGTTACCCGGATCTTTCATGCGCGCCTTCCGTGTCCGTGTAAAGCGACTTCCGCTTCCCACGTTGCTTTTCTGCCACTGTCGGTAGCGGGTGAAATGGTACCGAAAGTCGGGAGCCGTTGTTGCACTTATCTCTGCGCGACATGCTGACCGACGTACCTTGGCCGAAAGGCGTGCTGCCCATGAAGACCGTCGAGACAACATCTGAGCAAGACTTCGACAGTACATTCGCTCTCAACGTCAAAGGACCCTATTTCCTCGTCCAGAAGGCGCTTCCGCATCTCAAGCCCGGCTCCCGCATCATCTTCGTATCGACTAGCGTCATGCATGCTTCGACGCTCTCGCCGCCGTACACTCTCTACGCAAGCACGAAGGGTGCTATCGAGCAGATGACCCATGCGATGGCGAAGGATCTCGCGTCCAAGGGCATCAACGTCAATGCGGTTGCTCCGGGTCCTACTGCCACTGAACTCCTTCTGAAGGGAAAAAGCGAACAGATGATCAACACAATTGCAGGATTCTCACCCTTTCACAAGCTTGGCGAACCGGCGGAGCTTGCAGATGTGTTCGTCTTTCTGGCTAGTGAAGGCAGCAGGTGGATCTCTGGGCAGGTCATCCTGGTCAACGGTGCATTTTCGTTTCAATGAATGATCAGCAGGTCAGAGCATTGTCCAGGAGTCACCCCATTGCCGTTCCCGTTTCCGATTGCACTGCGATTGACGGTCCATCTCGCTTATCAGGAACGCGGGGCTAGAGGCTTGTCGTGCACAAACTCCGATAGCATTGATCAAAGCAGGAAGCCTGCCCACTTAAGAGCGTCTCCCTTCGCGGTGACGCCTCCAGGTGGATTGGTATCCATCTATTAGTTGTCAGAGCTGATGCATTCAGTGGTGCCTGCATGCAGCATACTTACGCAAGCCAGTACAGTTGCTTGTCCGAGGCCAAGGTTCTCACCAATCCATAGGAGGATACTCCTAATGTTACGCCTGACGTCTGATGAGACAATATCAAGGATTGATGCAGTGAACTGCGAATGAAATATTTGACAGTCAGCGGATGTGTAAATATTGGAAGTTTCTTCCTAGATGCACACGAACCAATGTCCACTGGAGGTCCAGTCCACCAAGAAGCATGGGGGGCCGAGCATGATTCCAAAGGGAGCCTTCCGGCCTGCTTCCGCGTATCTGCTCACCGACCAGCATGAAGGGAATGGCTGCGTACATGTCATCGACAAGATCTTGGACCTCGCGTTGCAATTTGGCATGCTCTCTACTTCTATCGTAGGCTTCGGGATCTTTGCTGAGGGTTCTACTGATTCGACACAGGAGGTTCGTCAAGTGCAGTTGACACTGGCGGTAAGACATCCACATCCCGGCCACGAAGTCTAACACGATGTCAGTGGGATGCTACTATGACAAGTGTGCAGACAGCCTCTTCACCTACAATCAGCATATGTATCAGCACGTGTGATCGGACATAGGAGGTCTTCGACCGCTGGGAATCGCAAGGTGTACGCCTGAGTGAATCGTACGGCTGTTGTTGGTTTCATAGCTTCGGGCTGCCACGATGACCACGTACGAAGCTCAGCCTTGAAGGCCAGGATTTCGCTCATGAGCCGTCTCAACGTCGACTCGTATTGGATACTATCCGGTTGCAAGATCGAAGCCGACCGTTTGAACAGACTTTGGACCCTCGGCAGGATGGCCCAGAGATCATTGACCCGGTCAGATAAGGGCTGCGAAGCGATCGAGCAGTTGTTAACGGGCGGCGATGCGGTCAGGTCGTCACTGTTAGCTTGTCAACTCTCCTTGTTCCGCTGCTAACTTTCAGCTAGACTTAACGATGATCGTACGCATTTGGCAGCTCGTCTGCGACAAGTACAAGTAGGCGGACGTCAAGAGCCGGTGCCTCACCGTAGTGAAAGAATGTTCTCATCACTGCGATCATTCCATGAAAGTGCTGCAGCCAGTTGTGGTCCGCGCTGGAATCTGCACGGATCATCTGATCAATTAACCACAACGCGATCAGCGAGAGCGTACAGTGCAAGTTTGCGTTCGAACCTACGGACCTCGTAAATGCTGAGTAGCAGGATAGACGCAATCATGGCCCGTGACTTTCGCTTTGAGTTCAGACATGTTGTGCGTAGTCGACGTACTGCTACCGTATATCGGCGAGCAGCTTCCAGATGCACATCTGCATAACCTAAGCGACTCGCCAGAGAAGCTAGCGCTGCAGCTTCCAGTGCGGCCGGTAACGCGTTTGTCCCGCGATCCGAGGCTTCGATGAGATGAATTAGATCAGTGAAGTGACCCCTGGATGATGATCCTGCAGAGGCATGCATGACCGTGTCCGATAGGAAGAGATGAATAGCCTGGCACACTAATGGGTTTGTAATATTGCGCGGCAAGGTCAAGGGCTGACTAGCTGATCGCTCGAACGTAGGGCGCCGGTACGCTTGAGGCTTATGTAGTGCAGACGGCCGCACTGGTTCGACTGCTTCCTCCTCGTCCACAGCATATCGAAGGATGTTCGAACATGGTGATCCCAACGGCACTAACGGCTCTTCGAACATACGGATGTCCATATGACGGATAGCTAGTAAGGTAAGTTGAGTCAACCTGTCACGGTCGACCACGGGTAACCTCAACAACTGAACACGTTGGATATGGGCGGTCCAGCATGTGAGATCCGGAAGGACTCACAGGCATTGCAGCGCTTTCGTTCATGACATGCTTACGTACTGGCCTCGTGGAAGACTCCTATCTTTGAAATGCCTGCTACCAATCATGCGACTTCTGTTTAGCGACAATGACAATGGCACGAAGGTCCAAAGCTGTTTCGTAGAGCAAGCTAGCCAAGCGTCCGGGTGTAATGGCCGTCTCGGCCGTGCCGAAGCCGGAGGGTCCGGAACTTGGCGTGGAGTCACACGCACCATACCGCTACTGCAAGCAGCATAGGAGCCATGTCCGGCCTAAGGCGTCGTGGTGTACGTATAGTTTGGTAGATGGCAGGCGCCATCAATCGCGTTGCCACTGACGAGCTGTAAGGCTTGACCATTCGCGCCGAAGCGCGCAATCTGACCGCCGCTGTCACTACTGTCCAGAAGGTAAGGCGGCCAGCCATTCCCAGGCAGTGACGCAGGATTGGCGACGAAGTTGTAGAGTAGATCTTGCATGATCTGCGATGTCTGGACTTCGAGGTCCGGATATGGAGGGGATGTGATGAGGTAGGTCCTGAAAATTGATGGGTGAGATCATTAGCCGTGCGTGAGACAATCACGAGAGATTCCTCCAGATCGTCCTACTTACCCAAAGAACATGTACAAATCGGCATAATGATACGCCCCAAGCCACGATGCTCCATCAGCAAGATTCGTGAAGTTCGCAGCGTACTCGTAACGGTATGTTGTCAGAAGGTCTTGCTGACGGTATACGGAAGTGTTATAGGCGGTGCAGACCCATGCTTGGGTCAAGGCTGTAATGAGCTGATTCGAAGGACCCGCACTTGCATTGTTCACCGGGTAGGGGAGTAGGGCGGAGAACTCGCGAGCAGTAGTGCCGATCATCTTCGCTAAAAGTGCCCACCACAGATGTTAGCACGGTGATAGACAGAAAGTAAGATTTATAGTCAAGATTCGCGTACGTATTTGCGCAAGGGTGTCGGCTTGATAGAGCCTGACGTAGTCGGCTTGCGAGAAGACAAACTTGTTGTCGATTTGACGACTGAAAGATATCGCACGCTGCGAAGTATTCACCAAGGAGCTATTATCCTGATACTGGCCCACGAAGTTGACGATGCGAGGCATGGGTACGCGCCTCATGCACTGGAGCTCGAAAGCAGGATCGGTGAAGTTGCAGCCCATTGCTTGGGCAACGAAGGTAAAGTTCGTGCCCGCATAGTCAACGTTGGTTGGATATCCAATGGCGAGTGACGAGCTGGAGATGGATGCGCGGACGATAGGGTCGCTTGGCCAAGCGAAGAGATATTCGTCTGTCAGTCCAGCGCCCGCGGACTGGCCCCCTACACCGCATAGTCAACATCAGGAGTCATAATAGACAAGCGACGCCACACTTACACAACGTCAATCTTGCCGGATCGCCGCCAAACGCAGCAATGTTTTCCGATACCCACTCGACTGCAGCTCGCTGGTCCTGGATTGCGAAGTTCGTGCTTCCATTGAGGCCTCTCGCGTTCGGGTACCCGAAAATGTTGACACGGTAGTTGATCGTTACCACAATGTGCTTCTGTGATCGATGCACCCAGTTGGCCGGTATCTGGGTTGGGATGTTGATACCACCGGTTTGATCGCCGCCGCCGGTTGTGAAGATGATGACGGGCAGGCTGGAATTGCCTGTGGCATTTGCCGGTGTCCAGATGGCAAGCGAAAGACAGTCTTCCGCGCTATTTTGGGCCACAAGGCCGGCTGTCAGGCTCTCACCGTAGTTCACGATGAGGTTGCCAGTGATGTTGAGAGACCTGGATTCGGGTTGGATGACGCATACCGGAAGCTTCACGAAGACGCTCACTCACCATACCGCCGGTACAGCAGACACGAACTGGGAGCACGCTGGTCCGAAAGTCGTCGACTCGTAAACGGTGCTATCGTTGACCAGCGGTCGTGGTGGTGTCCAGCGTAGATTGCCAACGGGCGGCTACTCGAGCGATCAGTCAACGCGCAATGGTCATGGATGACTTGCCTTTGTCGTACTTGTGCATAAGGAACCCACTTGAAGTGTCGAACGTCAGGGTAAGTTTCGTTTAATCCGCCAATGAAGGTGCCTGTGCGTGTCGTGACAGTCAATTCCACGGCGGCGGCGAAAGCCGCGAACACCAGTGTGAGGCACAACATCGTTCAATTCACAATGTTAAGTCTAGTCTTGATGCTGGCGACTGCACCTGACAGACATCGCTTTATACTTTGTACGTCCGTTACCGATGACGGCTATTGCAGGCGTCTTTGTGCGGGGCAAAGAGGAGAAAGCTAGAGTCATGGGCATAGCAACCATCACCGATGATCTATGCTATTTGCCTCTGACAAGTCTTGGAAAGCAATGGGCCAAGTGAACTTGAGTGAATGACCCCGCCGTGTATGGACCCCATACCCGCTGACTGCCCATCATGCCCCATGCCAGTGCCATAGATACCGTCTCCGAGGTGAAATATACGTGTGCAAAAAGGCTCCGGCTCTTCTGCAGCCTAAGGCCGTTCGCTGTGTTGATTGCTGTGCTCGATAAGCGACATAGCAGACGAGACCCTACCTGCTGGAGGTATGGTCCTCACAAATGTTCCTTGGGCACGACCGGCTGTTGAGGCTCTCAAACGGTATTCTGCCACTTGCTAATGCTGTCGGTACCACTGTTTACGGGACTGCTCGCTTTCCGTTTCGATGGCATTGGCACCGCCTTGATGATCTCAAAAATCCTGTAGTGTACTCCGTCGAAGAGGGGACTCCTAATTATCAGCGGCTGCACACACTCATGCGGACACAAATCGCGACACCTACCCTTCTGGTGGTTCCTCTGGTCCTACCATCTTGCTTTCATGGTCCACTAGTTCCGGCGTTCCTGTGCTCCCTAGGACGATGGGTGGAGCTGTAAGGTCCTGCTTGGTGGCTGCCGCGTACGACGTGATGCACTCTGACAACGGCTTCTCGACGTGGTCATTGTAGCATTGGGTTTGGTATCCAGATTGATAGATGAAAACATGCAGTCCATCGGCCTTGTATAGCTCAGCAGGCTTCGATGTGAGTTGCTCATTTGCTTTGTTCTTCGCTTTGCTTTGCTAGGCGAACTTGTCGACCTCATCCTGCCTACTCTTGAGCATCTTCGCGAAGACGACCCCGTGCAGATGACTGATGCCGCTGAGAGCGTCTGACGCGTTGCCTTCAGTGGCTTCCTCCATGGCCGCCCGAAGTGCGTCAGACGCCACTTGCAAAATTATGCTGACCACGGTGCTGCTCGTCGGCTTGAGGGGATGTCTCTCCAGAAGTCTGCACTATTATAAGCCTTGAGTGTGGAACTCTGCTGATTACAGAGATGCCAGGCAATGGCGGAGTGCTTCGGGACACAGAGATCGTATGTGTGTCGAGAGTCCAAGAAGTGGAATTGAGGTGAAGGACATAAGCAGTGAGCTGGTGAATTGGTATTGCTGTATCCGGAATCAAGGCGGGTCGACTTCGACCGAAGCCCTTCTTCGCTCACCGCACATACTTATCCATAAACCTCCGATGGAAGTCACTCCGCAGCAGATCGTTCACAAACCGCTTTTCCTTCCCCCTCTCTTCAGTGCCTCGCGCCTGGTTCTTGAAGACCACATCATCGTCCCACCGCCGCTTCACTCCATACTCCTCCGTTCTCGCATTAAGGAGCGGATTACCCAAAGCTATATCCTTCTCCCGCTGCTCCTCGTCCTTTCTCGCCTGTTCAGCGGCGGCCTTAGCAGCAGCTTCAGCCCGTTCGGCCTTGATCTTTGCGAGCTCAGCCATAAGTGCGGCTGACTCGTCCTCCTCATCTTCTGAGTCATCCTCGTCGTCATCCTTATCGTCTTCCGACGATGCAGAGTCGGCGTCAATATCACGGGTTGCTTCCAATACGCGCCGTTTCTTGGCTTCGTAGTCTTCGTCCGGATCGCCATCTAAACCACCTCCACCTCCGCCATCGCCACTGAGTTCGCCGAGCTTCCTCTTGACACCACCAGTAGCCTCACTGTCGTCCGCATCTTCTATCCGTAGTCGCTCCTTCTCGCTAATAACCTTCGATACGCCATCATCGTCTTCATCCTCGGGCAGTGTTCGACCTTCCTTCTGCGCGTAGTGCTTCGCCTCGCTTTGCAACAGCTCAGCTCGTAGATCTCTCCGCGCTTGCTCATCGGGTGCGCCCTGTGCTGCTTGCCGGTACTTGAGAGATTTGTGAGCAGGAAGTAGGCGCTGATGATATGCTTCGCCGCGAGCGGCGTCTTTGCCTCGGGCTGGATCAAAGGTGGGACGATGGGCTGTCGTCATGGTCAGCTCGTGTCAGGCTGTTGTCTTCGGTCTGCTCAGAGTTCCAGTTTAATCGGATGTAAAGGCAGGGCAGATATTCATTGGAGGTGGACGTAGGAATCCAGACTCGCTTAAATTAGGGCTGAGTCAGCCATATCAGAAGTTGACTTTACACAAACGAGTTGCGAATCGCGGGAACAAGCCTGTATCAAGTGGCACATCCCTCCAAAATGCCGCGTGAGCTAGATCCATCTAACAATGAGCGGGACTTCCTCCTCTCTGCGCTCCGCCAAAATGTTCGTCTCGATGGCCGGCCACTGGACGCCTACCGGCCCATTTCTCTCGCCTTCCCCACCCATCCGGACGTCTACGGTCAAGCAGAAGTACGAATAGGCAAGACGAGAGTGCTATGCAACGTCAGCTGCGAAGTCGTCACGCCGTATCCGGATCGGAAGTTTGATGGCGTCTTCACGATCAGTTGCGAGCTAGGCCCAATGGCCAGTCCGGCCTTCGAAGTCGGACGGTAAGACTGCAAGCGCATGTTAGGTCAAGAATGCACTGACTAATAGACTAGACCAGACCAGACTGAGATGCTGATCTCACGAATACTGGAGAAGACCATTCGCAGATCTGGCGCACTCGACACAGAGAGCTTATGTATAGTGGCGGGACAGAAGTGCTTCCATGTTCGTGCCGATATCCATGTGCTTGACCACGACGGTAACCTGCTGGATGCTGCTTGTATTGCGCTCATGGCTGCGCTACTGCACTTTCGCCGCCCGGACTTTGAGGTGCATGGCGAAGACGTCACAGTCTTCTCCGTCCGTGAGCGAGAGCCGGTGAAGCTCACAGTGCAGCACCATCCTTTCTGTATTACCACTTCCTACTATGACAGCGGGCAGATCATGCTTACCGATGCGACACTACTCGAGGAGCAATGCCGAGAAGGCGAGGTCATTGTGAGCATGAACCGCTTCGGCGAAGTGTGCCAGGTAGCGAAATACGGTGGAGCAGCTGTGGACGGGCTGTCCATGCTGACGTGCGTTAACTCAGCGCTGGACAAAGTGAAGGCGCTAGATAAGTTGGTCAAGGCGAAGCTGGCCGAAGATGAGAAGCGCAGAGACAACGGCGGGCTAATGGCTGAGCTGAGTGCAGAAAACGAGCGCTGAGACTAGCCGGTCATCAATACACGGTGATCACAGTGCACCGAGCTGGTCTGCGGGTTCGCATGCCCATCACCAAATACTCTCGCCAGAGTTAAGACGGAAGCGACGGTGTATGCTGTGGTTCACTGGCGACATGCAACCCAAAGTGTGTAGCCCAAAGATATGGCAAGCATATGAAAGGGCGCTAACGGCGGCAGCGTGCCTTCCGAGTTCGATCGCCACACATAGAAGCCGACGGCGCGGATTAACTTCTTGTTCTGCAATACACCACCACCACCATAACGACCATTCATGAGCGGGATTATCAGTCATCACTGTGTTGACGAGAGTGTCTGGTAACACATGCATCTTCCGAGACACTTGGCCATACTGTAGCTTGCGGTCTGACGGAGGATCACACTTCGATTAGAGCCATAAAGGGTCTGCGGTTCACTTTACCGCTATCACCTACTTACGCATTTGATCTTTCGCAAGATCAACACTCTGCGAAACTCTCTGTGGGCAGGTCTATTCGAGCGTCATTTCACCACTCCAGCCTCGCTGAGGATATCCTGAGTCTGACGAGCGGCATTCATTCGCGCGCATCCACCCTCAAGCACCACTAATCCTCCGAGGCGCTTCACCTTTGGGGAATGAGTGACATGGGCACAATGGTGGCACAGCCCTATCACTCTTGGAGTGATATGACCAACGGAGGCTGGAAATGGCTATCTGGTCTAGATGACGATATCGGTGACAACATCATAGTGGCGCATAAGCCATCCTCAATATCTGAGACGCCGTCAAAGGCTCACTCTCCGGCTACTTCTGGCAGCGGCTTCGTGGCTCCGGCAACTGCTCATTCTCCAGCCACACCCACTAGCAACCACATAACCCGCGCCTTCAAGCGCAATATGGAAGACCATAATGTGGACTTTCTCCCAGACCAGGTCGAGGAGGCAGAGCACTACGAGTCGGCGGCAAAGAAGGTCAAGCTGGAAGACGTCGACGAGAAGCCGGCGATTGGGCGCTTGTGGTGTTTGAGCGGACGGCCATTGCCAAAATCTCAGTATATACGATCGAAGCCCATCCTGATTGTAATCGACGACAGCGACGATGAAGGGGAGAGGCCGGAAAGGCACTCACCTAGACCGCTGGCCGAAATCGAACCAGCTCATGACTTCATGCCGGCGCCAACAGCACTCACGAATGAGCAAAAGGAAAATCAGCGCCTGATATCCCAGCGACTTCGCGAAGAGGCGCTGGCTCGGCGTATTTCCGCCCACGCAACCAACCATGGCGCGGATGCTGCTGCAGAGCCGGTAGACCTGACGCAAGATGACGGAAATGAGGTAGAAAGGCGTGCATCTCACGAGAAGCAACTCAAGATGGCGTTCGCCGAACCGGAGGCAACAACGACCTCAAAAAGACCACTCACGGCAAACCTGGACGGAGGAGCTCGAGCAGCGCGGCAGCAAGATGCATTTATATTACGCGAGGCATTCGGGACTGCAGAGACGTCGTTTAGCTCAGCTGTATCGACCAACTCGGCGGTCCTGCACCCGCAGATGACTCGAGGCACCCGCGAGCGACGGCGCGACGAGCCTGCCGAATCCACCTTTACACCTCCTAACAAAGTCCAGCCCGCCGAGCAAAGCGAAGCACCGGCAAATCGGGCTTTGAATACACGTGGTGGATTTGCGGATACTACAAGCAGCTATGCAGACCGCTATAACAAACAGAGACAGCAGGAGGCGGCAGTCGCTTCGAAGCGTAGGCGTCAGGAAGTGACTCACAAGACGGAGGTCGTGAGGCAATTAACTGGGAAGCGCTATCTAGAAGCTGAAAGCAAGCGTCAAACAGCTGCCGAGCACCGACCTGAACATCCGAACCTGGAGAGACCGCAACAGGGGCTAAAACTGCGCAAAGAAGAGCAGCGACCGAGTGCGGAGGCGACGGGCAGCCGGAAGGAGAGGCTTGAACGGTACCTGGATGTAGAGCGTCGTCAGGATGATGAACGTCGTCAAGCCCTTGATACAAAGCGTAGACTTTCCGAGCTCGATCAGCCAAGGACTAAGGACCAGCCTGTTATTTCTAGCAAGCAGGCCACGTTACCGAGAGGCGCGCAGACCCAGGAGCAACATCCCAATCATGGAACGACGGCAAAGCACTTGCCTGTCGCAGCCGAAGCTCTGGCTGCTGCTGTGAACTCTTCGCCAACGTCAACACCAGAGGAGTCAGACTCAGCGGCCAAAGCTCGGCAGCAGCGGATTCAAGCCATGAAGGAGCGGAACACTCGCAACAAACAACATGTCGACAAAGACTCAGACCAAGCACTCGAAGAAGGCGTCGACCGTCCACCTCCGGTTAGTCTTAACAGCTTAGCCGGCCGTGCAGCTATCTCCACAATGCTTTCAGAGCCTCGAGCGATAGCAGGTGAGCTAAGAGAGCATAGGGCTGCCCATCGTGGTAGCGGCTCGCCGCATCAAGCTCCTTTCTGTTCTGCGAAGACAGAGCAGAGGCGGCCACTTAGCCTCAGTAATCCTGCGGGTCAGGCGGCCGTGTCTGAAGGTCTGCCACGTACCAGGATCCAAGCGGATTGTCATCCAAGTCAGCGGGCTTTCATGACTGGATCGGAGAACAAATCAATGCTAGAATCCATTCATCGCGCCGTTCCTACTCACAGAGCTGCCAAGTTCGTGTCTAATGCTCGGAGAGCTGGACGTATCTTGCCAGAGGACATACATTTGATTCGTTGGCGCAGCGGCGGAGTTCACTGGCCTGAGGTCACGGACCATTATGAAGACATGGCCGGCAAAAGACGAAGCACAGATACGCTTCGAAGCCGACTCAGGCTTGTCTCTGGAGTCCTAGAGGAATTGTCGTTCGACGAAGAGATTCTGACTCGCGCCGCGCAGGGTCGAGAGGAGGCTGTCGATACACTCAACAACGCCGTGAAAGAAGCGGTGAACACAGCCATCGTCTACGCGCCTGTCCAGTCCTCAGCCTACTCTTCAGCCAAGGACTGCCAAAGGCCTGCTTCGAGCACTAATCCAACGAAGAAGGCACCGACAAGCGAACGAGCTGACTCCCTAACGGACTGCGCAGGGCCAGCCCCGCAACATCACGCGGTTGATCTCGCAACTGCCTACCGACCCGCAAGTCCGGAAATTGAGGTTCGGCAAGATGGTCGTCCTAACACTGGTGGGAAGACGCTGAATGCGCAGACTTTCCACTACTTCATGGATCAATGGGCTAAAGCTCAAGCACAAACCTACGCTTCCAGTGAGGCAGAGGACGAAGATGATAGCGAGGATTTCGACGATCCATACCACTTCGTTTACCAAGTTCAACGACGCGAGCTCTCCCAGGCAGAGGCGGACGAAGAAGGAGGCCTTCAGATTCAGGACATGACCTGGATCGATTATAGTAGCCCGTGCGCAAACCATAGCGCCGCTAATACCGAAGCATGCCGGCAAGCCCTTATCTCGAACAACCCGGCGATGCACGCGGCTCTCATCCTTGGTGGCAACCTGGCTCGCAAACTTGACGACAACGGCTGCTTTTCTGCCACCCACCAATGTTCAGCCGGTACTCTGGAAGTCCGGGTGGAAAGACGGCTTCAGACTGTCACCTCTGGCTGCCGCCCAGATTTCGGCGCAGGCGGACATTTGTCCCGCAACCTGTATGTAGTAAAAGAAAGGAGCACCATCAATACTCGACAGACTTCGACAACAGAAGGAAGCACACTAGATGCCGACCTCTTCGGCGAAGAGCCCGAGAACACGGTCGCCCGTGAAATCATCGCTGACGATGTCGTCTATTCTGCACTTGAGCTAGCCAATGACCAGGCGATCAGGCATTTTGTCGAGAAGACGGTCAGACCGACCTTGAATCTGACGGCCTGGAACTGCGCCAAGACAGGGGAGCGGAATCGGTTGTCAGAGCTTCTGGCAGAGCAGGGCGAAGACGCCATGTTCAGACAGGTTGGCGAAAGTATTGGCGCTGAGGGCGGGCTGACAGTGAAGACGGAGACGGAGGTGTGGGTGGAGAGGGTGTGGTTGAGAGGACCACGGAACATGTAACTTTCGGGACAGCTTTCGAGATCGCTTCTGCTTCTCGAGGTTAGTGTGCCTCATAGAAGGCCAGTTGTGGCCACTCAATCGGATGCTGAACGTCGAACATAGCGTCGGCTGACGATGCTGGCTTAATCCAGATGCACGGTGCAGACGACATGAATGAATACCTTGGCAGTTCACTGTTCGGAAGTAACAGAACAACAAATCGTAGATTACACCAGGTAGCCCGTCATACTGGCGAACACGTCGTTGGACAAGTGCATCGACCTAGCTCAAGCACTTCCTCCACATACCTGCCCAACCAGGATCTACGCTTGACGGTATTGGCCATATTGTGTCCTTCAAACAGCCTAGCCGGCATCCTCAGCACTCTTGAGACTCATACACAATTACTGGTCGTACACAAGGTTGAGACTTGGCTATACCTCCAGGCTTCTTGGGACTTTCCTGGGATACGACTGCGACCATGTTATTGCCACAGAGGTGTGGAAGCAGACCAGAGTGATACTGACTGACTGGGACTGGGAGTGGGACGCTTGTCGAAGCTAATTTAGCGGCAGCCATATCAGGATGTAGTTTCTCCAGAGCCATGATATTGCACTTCGCTGGGACCGTTGTTGATAGACTCTTCTCGGTTGTCCGAATTCTGATGAAACCGCACTTAGCTTTACGCTACCTTTTCGCACTTCAGGCCGTCCTCGTGGCAATGGTACTCGCAGAGATCAAGCTTGGCGATTGCATCTTTGTTTAGCGTGGTTGCCCTTCCGTTACGCCACATCTCATACGATGCTCGGAAAACATCCCACAGCGCATCCTTCACCCAGAATTCTTTGTGTTCGTCCTTAAGACTGCTCCGGAGGCCTACCTGAGCCATAAGGTGGATCCAGAAACGACGCAGCTGTGCACCCGGGGCGGTGTTTTCCCATATCAAACCGAGAGACATTCTTGGCAGTATCCACCGTTTGACGAGAACATCCCTCATTGCGTCGATGGTAACGTTCATGAGTAGCGGGATTTGGCGTTTGTCGCCTAGGATCCATAGCTTAATCAGACCATTGTACTCAGCCGTATAGTCATCGCTGTTGCCAGGCAGCACACGCGTGTACAGCCAACCAACAAAGTGCTCGAAGGTCTCGACTTCTTCGTCCGGTAGCTCGATTCGCTTGCTCTGACCCTCTTGGAAGGTGTTTTCTTTGAGCGCAGCCTGGAAGTAGCCGGAGTAGTAGGACACGACTCCCTTGTGCAGGCTGAAGGTCTTGAATGGTTTGAGTTCCTTGCCCACTGTCACAATGATAATCTCGTCGAACAGATTCCTGTAATATTGTCAGCTACGGCTCTTGGTGGGTGATGTCCAAATCCTCAAGCTCCTTACGCTGTCGGCAACTTCTCTGGAGTGCTTGGCGGCGACATGTTGTTAGCGCTATGGTGGCAGGTTTCGGACGATTGCTGCTAGAAAGTTGTGCGCAGGGGTCAGGTTGTTACAGACACTCCTCTCTTGAGGCGGGCCTAAATGGGTCCCCCAGTGGGTCGTGCCTGCCTTGTCCAGGTCTCCATGCACAGCAGGCGCAAGTGAGCCAAGCACGATTGTGGTGAGAGATTGTGATGGACAAATCACTGGGAGATAGGCGGTGCCGTCCTCAAAGTACGTCTTACGGCACTCACTCAATCTCTTCGATATATGCCTAAACCCCAGCATAGTCGTAACAAAGCCAAGCCAACCGCCATCCCAATGCTGTCTTTCACTACGTTCAGCTTGCTTCCCATGACCTCCTTCCACCCAATCGGCACCTCTAACACAGGAATGTCGGCGCTCTCGGCCAGCATCAGCATTTCCACGTCGAAGATCCAACCCTCGGAATGCATGAACGGCACGATGTATGGTAAAGATGGTCGAGTGAATAGCTTGAAGCCGCATTGTGTGTCCTTGATCTTAGCCGTCCGGGGTGTAGTGAGGGTGCGAATCAGGAGATGGAAGGCACGCATGAGCAAATTGCGGAGGAAGGAGCGCTGCACGCCATGTCAGCGAAAACGCACAAAGATCATGCCAGCAGCGTAACACACCTTCACGACTGCCTCCGTGCCAACCATATGCGCCCGAGAGCCTACACTGACGGCACGCCCTTGCTTGTCCTTCGCTTGCTCGCAGCTCACCACGAGCTTGCCAAGGTCACTGAACTTGCTCGCTCCGTCTGCGTCCGCGAAGACGACGTAAGTGCCTCTTGCATGCCGCATGCCATGGGTCACCGCACCACCTTTCCCACGGTTCTGCTCCAACCGCACCACTCGTATCGTCCCAGGCAAGATGTTTGTCGGCCTTGTCGAACCGTTCCATGGACCTTTCGGCGTTGGCGCAGGCTTGTTCAGCATATGCGTCTTCGCAAAGTACAATGCCGTCTCCACCGTTTGGTCGGTGCTGCCGTCGCTTACAATGATGATCTCCCAGCCTCGTCTGGGATCAGCTTGTCGTCCACTGGCTTGCAAGGAACCGTTACTGCTGCTTTTGCTCTTCGTGCCGTGATGACCGTACTGCTCCTCCAAGTACTCCACAGCCTCCTCCAGCATGCCGCTAAGCCGTTGCTCCTCGTTATAAGCAGGCACGACGAGACTCATGAACACTTCTGCCTCGCCGATTTGGTAGGCTTCTTCGGCCGGTATCTGCTTTTGTCGCACCATCTCCTTGAGTGCGACATAGTTGTCGTACCAACAAGGAAGGGCTTGTGGTTGTGTTGCCTTGCCATTGGAGCCCACGGTAATGTATTGCTTCTCTGAAGCTCTAGGCGGTCTTGGTGTGGGCGCCAACAGAAGTAACAAGATATAAGGCTGGTCATACACGGTCAGTATGGCACTCAGTCATCATAACACGACACAATGGGTAGCATGTCTTTTGCTTATGAAACACGGCAGAAAGGAAATACCAAGACAATAGTACCGAATGCGCCAATGACCGCACCGAGTGCCCAAGCCCATATGGGTATTTGAGCAAGCATGTCCAGAGCTGACCATGCAGTCTCCGGTATAGACTCTGCCGAGTCCATGATGATGGATAGAAGACTTCAGCAGTAAGGGCAGCTACCTATAAGACCGGAGCAAATTGATCGCAAACGCCATTGCCGGAAAATGGACACAAGGTTAAGAAAGTTGGAGGATGGGCAACAGAGGTAGCGTTGCAGTCAGCATTGGGTCTGCCGTTAGAGCCAAGTTGCTATTCCATTAGCGGCGAGGAAGAGGGACGTGCCTAAGGCAGATTCCTCAGTCTTAAGTAATGCGAGCAGATAGATGGACACTCAGCGACAATCAAAGTCATCTTCTTCCTCCTTTCTCACTTGCACTTTAGATGCCCAGATATGTACTCATCTAGGCAAACTCTTGGGTAGCGACCACTTCGACTTCTGGTATCGCATTACGATCCCACGTTGATGTGCAGCCGTCACTGCCATTGAGGAGCCACAGACTCTTACCATACCCTAACCGCTCGTTCGTCGTGACAAACGACCTGCGGTGTCTGATTGTTAGGTCACCATGCTTGCTGGCCAGGCAGCATTGGCACCACTGCGGGCTGTACGCGGCGATATACGTACCTAGGTAGGTAGGCACGCGGTAGGACCTTCCCCGCATGCAGCTCCGGCAACATGGCTTTGGTCTCGTTGTGCACTTGAACGGCGACGGTAGGTCTCTTATTTTCCTCCTTCGCGATTACTTTCTGTCAAACCAAGAGGTACTTGATCTGTTGCACAAACGCAGTCCCATCGACGCATCTCAAACCCCTGCTCATACTCTCTCGCCATCATGGTATCGCAGAAGAAGACATTGAATGATGTCAAGAACAAGAAGCTTTTACCGCACAAAGGCTTGATCAATGGCGAATGGGTCGACTCGGCTTCTGGAAAGTCGACCTTCGATGTGGTCGACCCAGCAACACTGGACAAGCTCGCCACTCTCCCGGAGATGGACAAGCAGGATACGGCGACAGCCATTGATGCTGCCCATGAAGCCTTCAAGACATGGAAGAAGACGACTGCACGCCAGCGCGCGAGGATGCTGAGGAAGTGGTCTGACCTCTGCCACGAGAATGCCGACGATCTCGCTTTGATCATGACGCTTGAGAACGGCAAGACGTTGACAGAGGCTAAGGGCGAGGTTGTGTATGGCGCCAGTTTCCTTGAGTGGTTCGCAACCCAAGCCGAGATGACGCATGGTGAGGTCGTGCCGCCCGCAAACCTGAACCAGCGCATCGTCACTTTCAAGCAACCCGTAGGCGTGGCGGCCTGCCTGGCACCTTGGAACTTCCCAGTTGCCATGATCACGCGTAAATGTGGCGCTGCGCTTGCGGCAGGTTGTACGACTGTGTGGAAGCCTGCTGGTGAGACACCACTCTCTGCTCTGGCCCAGGCTGTGCTCGCCGAGGAAGCCGGCTTTCCCAAAGGCAGCATCAACGTCATTACATCACTCACTACTGTCGCGGAGGTGGGCGAGGAGCTTTGCCGAAACCCAAAGGTTCACAAGCTGTCTTTCACAGGCAGTACGCGTGTGGGCAAGCTGCTCATGCAACAATGTGCGCCGACTCTGAAAAAGCTGAGTCTCGAGCTCGGTGGCAACAGTCCGTTCATTGTCTTCGATGATGCGAAGATAAGCACTGCGCTAGACGCTGTCATTCTGGCAAAGTTTCGCAACTCCGGCCAGACTTGCGTCACGGCAAATCGTATCTTCGTCCAGAGTGGAATCTACGACGAGTTTGCGATGCAGCTGACGGAACGCATCAAGTCGCTCAAAGTTGGTGCTGGAACGGAGGATGGCGTGTTCGTTGGTCCGTTGACTCATGAGCGTGCAGTCGAGAAAGCAATGAACCATATTGAAGACGCCAAGAAGCACGGTGGTCAGGTGATGTATGGTGGCAAGCCGATGGAAGGAATGGGATCCGGCTACTTCTTGCAGCCGACGCTCATTACCGGCATGACCACGGAGATGCTGACTACCCGAGAGGAGACCTTCGCGCCGGTATTAGGGCTCTACAAGTTCGAGAAAGAGGAAGAGGTGATCGAGTTGGCCAACGATTGCGATGTCGGTCTTGGCAGCTTCGTAATCACTGAAAATATGGCTCGCAGCTGGCGAGTGGCGGAAGCGCTGGAGGTAGGTATGGTGGGTATTAATCTGGGTATGCTGAGTGCATGCGAGTCGCCGTTCGGTGGTGTCAAGGGAAGTGGCTTTGGGAGGGAGGGTGGCACGCAGGGAATCCATGAGTATTTGATTACAAAGTCAATGTTGATCAACGTAGCGAATTAAAGAGTGGTTGTACCGGCCAGCGAACATCCACCCTCCTCAGGTGTATGAAGTATGTAGTAATGTTGGTCCGGAGGAGCGAATAGTGGCGCTGATTCTCATCCTTTCCTTGATCTCCTCGTCACGGCCTAGAAGTGCTTTGCTAGCAGTAGATGGCCTGGTAAGACATTGGTTGCCGCCGTTGTCCACGCGTGCGGCATGGCATTGCACGGTCGGTGTCACTCGAAGGTCCAGAAGGGCGTGTCAATTGCGCTCAGAGTCGGACGAAGGACCACTCCCGTCTACCGCATCTGGCCTACTCTCGGCCAGGATGTAGTGTATGTCATGCTCGAGGGAAGATGAAAGATTATGATAGCATCCTCACTCTTTCGCCTTCCCTCTTCTGGTCTTCTTCGGCTTCGCGTCCTCCGAGTCGCTGCCAGCTTCCTTCTTCGCTTTACTGGGCGCATCGGGCACTTTATTCACAGTATCCTGCAGCCAGTCTCTGAACGTCTCTCCCTCCAATATAGCTTTCTTCATGTGCTGCACGAGAATCTTTTTCCCCGATTTGCTCCCTCCGCCGCCACCGCCGGCGGCTCTGGCTTGCTCCGCTGAGGCTGAAATAAGATCGATCATGAACAGCTCCAACGCGCGACTAACGACGTGGGGCGTCACCTGCGCTACTTTGCCGACATCTTCATCTGCTTGCATTATGCGCTTTATCCTTGCGACCGGAAACGAGGTTCTTAGTTCCACACCTCGGGTCGGGTTGCTTGAGGTTGGTTGATGTTGATGCTGCGGTTCTGCCTTTATGCTCTGTGTTGGTCCTTTCCGTGGCCTCTTACTCGTGGGAGCGTCAGGCATATATTCGTCTTCCTTCATTACGCTTTGCTTCGATCGCCGTCCTACCGCGGCCGCCATACCCGATTGCTGGTGATGAATGTGGTACTGTTCCGGCTGTTGCGGTATTGAAGTAGGCGGCGCGTGGCCGAGAGGCCCACCGAAGCCACCGCCACCGAAGGCACCTCCGAACCTGTCCTGAGGATAGTGTTGGCCGAACGCACTCCCAAACTGTGGTATGGGTATACCAGTATACTCCGTGGTTTGTGGCTTTAACCCAGAGAGGTCAGGCGATTGTGGAGCATACGATGACAGATCTGGCGATTGAGGTCTGTAGCTCGAGTCCATCCCCAAGAAGATTTGTGATGAGTACAACGGGATTCTGAGCGTGGTATGTTACACCGTCGCCGGTCACCCTTGGGGTGGGCGGCTGCCCGTCACTGTGGACAGACGCAAACAAACCGTGGTTCGCGGCTTCCTCAAGCTGCGCCTGCCCCTCACTTCGATCTCGAAGCGCGACTTAACGCGATAAGGTGGAAGTCACGTGGTGATAAGCGAATTCCGGCCTGGCTGAAGATGATGAGCTGTGGAAGCGATTTAGGCGGGGGAGCAGCGGAAGGTCACTTTATGCGCAAAGCAGTCCTGCTGTTTTTCGCTGCGTACTAGATCTGGTTAGTCCCGACACTATCGCGGACCGAGAGAGCATTCACAATTTCTGAACGACCATCTTCCTACGCTCTGCTTCCTTATCATTGCTAAACGTCCGGTCCACGTCTACTTGCACGTACGGACGCGCGTGATCGAGATCGATGATATCGCGTCGTCTAATTGTCCAACTCGTCAGGGTTAAAGCATGCGTAACGATAGGCTAGTGAATCGCGCCATTTCAAAGCTCAAGCCATTCCAGAAGACCAGGCGATTTATGGAGTTTCATCTTCTCACCCAGCTCGCCGGAGCAATATGGCAGAGCAGGCCCCCATAACGTTTGACACAGACGGACATCTACGATACAATGCACGTTCGAAGTCAGACTTCTTGTCTGCACACCAGGTCAAGCAACTCTACCTGGCAAGCTCGATTCACTCCACCTGCCGCATCGAGGTGTTGCAATCGAGTGTATCAAGCTTCGGCTAAAGGCGCACGAAGAGTCTCGGTCTCGCGCTGGACTGTCATAGCCACTTGTCGTTGGACGAAAGCGTCTCGAGAGTGAAGGCGAGAACTCTAGGATTGCTGCGCCGCGCTACTCGTCACGTCACAGTGCAGATCGTGTGTGACGTAGCCACACTGCTGGGAGGCGCACATAAGCTCAGATTTCTACCACGGTGGTGGTAAATACCGGCTCTATTCATGGGATCAAGTATTCGTAAGCCATATATCAACTTTACTGATAGGATGCCTCTCGATAACAAGGATCAAGGCGCGGAAGGGGCCGCGAAGGGTGTAACCTCCACCGTATGCGCTGAACGTGATAAGGCTCGAGGAACAGTGATAGACTGACAGTGCGCGAACAGCTCGGCAATGCAGCCGGCGGCGTCTCGCGTACGGTGGGCGGCGGTCTTGGTGCTCTAGGTCGTGGTCTGGGTGACACTGTCAACAACACCACCGGTGCGCAGTCGCAGTACCTAGCTGTCAGTTACCGTGGAGTGAACGCTAATGGAACCACCCCCTTCCACGTAGGAACGAAACAGGCCGGTGATGGACTGAAATCCGTGACCGACGGCATCGAGGATGCAGGCAACCAAGCAGGCAAGGGCGTGGAGGACGCAGGGAAGTGGAAGAAATGAGCCATGAAAGCATAACTGCGTCGGTTCAGGCTGGCCTTTGAATAAGATACTGACGATGCGCAAATGGCCTGGAAAAGAGGACTTCCAGAATAAGTGACTACTCGGTAGATACCAAGAGATGACGTGTAAATGTAGTCCACTCATTCACCGCATTCACTTGACCTTTTTCGTGCTTTCGTCTACTCTCCGTTTCTGATCGCTATCTCTCAATATGGGTGCACTCTGCCGAACGAAGAGCGCATTGTTTGAAATCCGCTGATACGCTTCCCATAGGATCCAGAGCGGTATCCACACCCAGAGAGTGTTGAAGAAGAACAGATAAACCCATAGGTACATGAAATTGGTGGTGTTAAGATTCGGATTTCCTGCAAGCCATTCCGGCGCGAAAGTCATGAAGCCGCCATAAAGCTCTCCGGTGGCGAGCACGACCATCCAGAACCAGGAGTCGGGGCGCTGTGTCCGTAAAGAATTACAGATCCACAACGCCATTGGTCCAGCAATGAAAACAGTCAGGAGCTCGAGGCTGATGACTGTAAGATCACTGCCGCCCCATCTCCGGTCCGCTTTGGCGTACTCCCTCCACAGTGCGCTGAATGGTGAGGAGCCGTAGTCTGCGCCGTATATGCGGTCGGCACGCCCAAGGAAGTACACATTGGGTGGCAGGTAGGGGGACACGAACGGTTTATTTGGCTGCCAGAGACCGGAGGTGTTCGTAGTGTATGAGAAGAAGCAGTTCCACAAGTAGCTGGCTTCGAGTATGAGATGGATGAGCGCGTCAAAAGCGTGCCAGACGAATAGGATGCGGATCTTTGTGCCTGCGGTCTTCGGCAAAAGGCTCACGGAAGCACCGTACGCTGCTGCCAGGATTGCCACTGTTGAGAGTAGTGACAGTACGGTGGTGGCGCTGATTATCTGCGGTGTCTCTGTCCGGCCGTCCATGATGGTGGTTATAAGTTCGTCTGTCCAACTACTACTGTACGATCATTGGCCGCGTGAACAATAAGGTAATCACCACTCAGCGAACTGCGCGCTGTTGTGGCTTTACATGTGATTTTGCGACAAAACACGCACACGCTCCCCCAGGAGTACGCGCTTATCCAGCTCGTGGCGAATCTGAAGTGGCACAGCCTCGCTCGATAAGCGATGAGATCGTGAACAAAAAGGAAAACGAAAACGAAAACGAAGACCAAGAAGCCACACACAACTCGAGCTACTACTCTCATCGCAAGGTATTCTGACAGCGAGCGTCAGTGTCGGTCTGATCGCCCGGCGCGTGGTTTTCTGGAGCCGACCGTGGAGCCTCGGCTTCACCAGAGCACGACTTCACCCGATCTGTAACAGGTTGCTTGCAGACGCTCATTTATCTGAGACCACCATGTTGGTATAACGTGTCTAGGTAATCTGTATTGGTGTCCGACATTGTCCTCGATAACGGCATGTCCGCCAACCGCTTGCTAGGCACCCTACTGCGTTCCCTGCAGAGCTACTCTGAACAGCAAGATACCCCAAGGTATATGTCGAACATCTGATCATTTGCGTCGCGGTAAGGCTGACGAGACCGTTCTACAGGCTACTCGGAACTGCGTCCTCACTACTGACGACTTTGAATAATCCTCTCAATGTCACACTACTAACAAGCCAGCTTCTCTCGTCGCCGGCAGTATGGGCAGACCCACAAGGACTCCGAACCTGCACGCAATGCTTGAGCGCATTTCACTCTGCAGCACAGACACTGACCCGGCACGAGAGAGCGCTGCGTGAACAGGGTACCCCTCCTAGGTCTTCTGAGCCGCTGGAGGCCACACTGTCCAAGGACGACTGGATTCGAGCTGTCGTTAGCGGAGCAGACGAGCATTCACCACGATGGAGGCATCTAATTGTTATTGGTGGCCTTCTACTGGGCTTTGACGCCGTCGAGGACGCCACCCTGCCACGCAGCGCAAGGCGTACGCTCGAGCATGGATTGATCGTTGCTGTAAATGCAGCCTTAGAGGACATGACGCAGGATGACGAGCTCGGTCAGCAGACTCTGACGATGGTTCTGAACCATTGCTTCCCAATCATAGCGGATTATGAAAAATCAACACTGGATTACGACAGGTTACTACCCGTACTCATGCGCTCAACCTTCCACGCCAGTGAAGGGCTGCGCTCTGCCTACTTTCTCGGCACGGTGGATGCAGATGTCATGGCTGTATCACAGACTCAGTTCGGGTGGCGGGAACGCTCGCCATCGTTTCAACGAATCCAGACGGCCTTAAGGAGTCCGCTTGTTGCGTCACTGGGTCCGCTGTCTAGACTAATTGGTCACGTGGTGGAGCACATCCGAGAGTCATGGCTTCTTACAGCCGTGCTTGATGATCTTGAAGGGTTTGCCAGGACGTTGTACATGCAGTGGCGGCATATCAAGCTCTCGGAGATCGATCCCTCGGAAGAGCATGTTTACCTGGATACGGAGACGTTAAGCACAACAACGCCAGCTTTGTGGAGATTACTTAAGTCTATCTTATTCGCAACGGTCATCATCATGCGCAGCATACTCAGCCGAGGACTAAGTGAGAATCCTTTTGGAGGAGTTACAAGTCAGCCCTGCTTACCTTCACTACTGCTATGCACTTTGACTAACAGCACTGGTAGTGGCACCCAAAGTCGCGGCACAGGCGCTGCACGTCCTCCGCTATACGTACTTCATCACATCACGACAAAGCTCCGCGACATTCCCTCAATACGTCTTTGTGCAGTTGACGGCCATCGACATCCTGGCCGCATATCCGCGCGAAGCATTGACTTTTGTACAAACAATCAAGCCGGCGGAGTTGGGACGAGTCCCAGCTCATCCGGTTGACCGTTCGCTGGACTTATTCTTCCTTGGCGTAGCCGAGCATTTCACCCTACTGATACCTCAGCATGTAGCCGAGGAGGTTTTTGTCGCCTCTGCGGCACCATATCTCACCTCAGGCGGCAACAACAACCTACTTCCGATCTTTGAAGCCGCACACAGCTTAATGCTCGCCACGTTTTCAGCACCCCAGAACCTTGATATTACGGTCAAGGGGCTGCCATCCTATATGAGCACCCTATTCGCGGTGTTTCCTCACAACTTGTCGACGCGCCAGTTTCGATTTGCCTTCAAGATGCTTATGCAACTGGCAACACCACCATCTCAACTCGCGGCAATGCAGCCGATGCTGGTGACAGTGATGCTCGAGCTGCTACATGAGCGAGCATTGCATGCCTCAACCATGCCGCTTCCTCAACAGCGTCTTGTCCACGATGCGAAGGCTCCGTCTGACGCAACAGCTGACCTTTCCGAGCAAGCTGTATTCATACTTGCCATTGTCGACGCACTGCCGCAATTGCCCCTAGACTTGCTTGACGAGTGGTTACCCTTAGCTGCAGTGCTCGTCAATAGAGTGGTGGAGCCTTCAATGAGAATGCGCTGCAGGGAGCATTACTGGCAGGTCCTCATCAGCGGCGAGATGGACGCTGACCGATCGCAACTTTGTGCTGCATGGTGGAATACAGCCGGAGGGCGGGAAGCAGTTCTTAACGAGGATGAAACATCCAGCCAATCGATCCTCGAGATGAGTGGAGCTTTACCAGACACCAGCAGCAAACAAGCGAGCAAGCTATGAGCGTCCCGGCCGAAGACAGCAGGAACTATATGCGAACATGATTCATCCGTCCTGTCTCCGCACTGTACTCCTCCTCTACAGGCTGTTGACATCTACAAACTAAAGCGGCTCCCACAGCCAACATATGCTTGGCTGAATTACCTGCATAACGAAGAGGTCGCTGGCAGTGGCTTGCGATGCCGACGGGTGTGTTTCATCTCCTGGAATACGCTCTCAACACACTCGGTTTCACGATTTAACCATTAACAGTCTCGACCAGCCGCGCTCTTCAGCCGCTTCGTCACTAGTGCTAACAAAGTGACTGCCCCAAAGGGAAGGAGCGTACTGAACCGAGGACGGGACGACGGGCTGTTTCCCGCCTCCAACCCCGCAGTGTGGCCCCAGCTCAACTTGCATGTGGCTGCGAGTATGACTTCGTCATTCTCACTTTTTGTGTTGATCTCCGCAGTTACCAGCCCTTTAGGAAGACGGCACGCTTGCAACATGCTGCACGCCTGCATGAGCAATGCAGACAGCCTCCTCTATTGCGGTCATCGACCACGGTCGATCATGACTTTCTTTACCTGAAGCTCTTTTTCATTGATCGCGATTCGCTGCGGTTCGCCGCTTCGGTGGTGGGGTGCCTGGCTAAGCATGCACATCAGACGTAGTTCTAAGGGCAACGATACCAGTCTACAAAGTATATCGAAAACGTGCCGAGGGCATGTCGAACATGGTTGGTCTGTGGTCTTACTACTGCTCGCCATGCTGTTATGGCTATATACGTAAGTAGTCCATGATCCTTCTCACCACTGCAGTCTTTCGCTTTCTCTCTTCACCTCTCTACTTCCTTGTAACAACCTCGAGACACTCAGAATGCGGTGCACGTTGCTTGCACCATTGCTGGCCGTCGTTGGCGGTGCAGTTGCTCAACATGGCCATTTCCGCATTCCAGAAGTGGAAGGATATGTACACTCCATGCTGTCCCAGTTCCAGCCGTAAGCAGCTATTCTATCGCCCAACTAGGGCTCAAAGCTTACAGCGTTCAGGTATACACGATACCAAGGTCCAAGTCGAACACCTTATCAAAGCCCTCTTACACCAACGACGAGCTCTGTGGCATCCTCGACCACTGCGACCACAGAAACCTCCACGGGAACCACGGTTACCACGGGGAGCACGCTTACGACGGAGAGCACGATTGCCACGGCAAGCACGAGTACTACGGGAAGCACGGTTACAACGGGAAGCACGGTTACGATGGGGAGCACGATTACAACGGGAAGCACAATTGGCACGGCAAGCACGGTTACCACGAATACCACGAGAACCATAGGAAGCACGATTACTACGTTCACTACGGTCACTGCGAATGCCACGAGAACTGCGGGAAGCACGATTACTACGATCACTACGGTTACCGCGAATACCACGAGAACTACGGGGACCACGAACACTACCGGAAGCACGATGACCACGGGAACTACAGGAACTACTGGAACCTGCGACTACTGGCTCGCCGACATAAAGCACCAGGGCATTGCCGCTTTCAACCCGAGCCCAGATACTTATCAAGTATTCAGGAATGTCAAAGACTTTGGTGCGGTAGGAGACGGAGTTACGGATGACACTGCAGCCATCAACAATGCCATTTCCAGTGGTGGCAGGCTTAGTCCGGCCCAGGGCGGCGCCACGACCGTGACTCCAGCGATCGTGTACTTCCCACCTGGTGTTTACGCCATCAGCGCGAGCATCATCGATTACTACTACACCCAGCTCATTGGCAACCCCAATTGCTTGCCTACTATCCGTGCACTGCCCAACTTTGCAGGCGGACTTGGCATGATTGACGGCGACCAGTACGTGGCAGGTGGTAACCTTGGATTTGGTTCAACCAATGTGTTCTGGAGACAGATCCGTAACTTCATAATTGTTAGACGAAACCGGTGACAGTAATAAAGAGCTTGACTGACAACGCTGGTGTAGGACATGACGCTTGTCCCAGCCTCTAGTGCAATCACTGGAATACACTGGCCGACTGCACAGGCAACCAGCATACAAAATGTGGTCTTCCAGATGAGTACTGCCACTGGCACACAGCACCAGGGTATCTTCATTGAGAGCGGCAGCGGCGGCTTCATGAATGACCTCATCTTTAACGGTGGCCTCAATGGTGCGGTCTTCGGCAACCAGCAGTTTACCATGCGCAACCTCACCTTCAACAACGCCGTAACGGCTATAGATCAGATCTGGGACTGGGGCTGGACTTACAAAAGCGTACGCGAGTTCCTAACCATGAACCTAAGTCTCTGATTGAAGCAACGCTGACGGTCACGGTTCGTACTTTTAGATCAGCATCAACAACTGCAGCATTGGCCTCAATATGGCGTCGGGCGGTTCGACGGCCCAGAGCGTAGGCAGTGTAACATTCATCGATTCACAGATCTCGAACACCGTGACAGGCATCCTAACAGCGCATGGTCCAGCCTCTCAACCACCTGCTGCTGGCTCGTTGATCCTGGAGAACGTTGTTTTCAGCAACGTTGAATACGCCGTTGCTGGAGCCAACAACGCCACAAACTTGGCCGGCGGAAGCTTCACAGTCGCTGCCTGGGGTGAGGGTCACCAGTACACGCCGACCGGTCCTACCAACTTCCAAGGACCCATCACGCCCAATGCCCGACCTGCATCGCTATTGCAACCTGGCGGTAAGTACTACGAGCGTTCAAAGCCGCAATACCAGCAGTACGGCGTCTCGAGCTTTCTTTCCGCACGCGATGCAGGTGCGACCGGAAACGGACGCACGGATGACACCGCTGCACTGCAGGCTGCCATCGTCTCTGCAAGGACTCAAAACAAGATCTTGTTTGTCGACCAAGGCGACTATCTTGTTTCATCTACGATATATATACCGGCCGGATCTCGTATCGTTGGCGAGTCGTACAGCGTCATCCTGTCATCCGGAGCCTTCTTCAACAATATTAACTCTCCGCAACCCGTTGTGAGGATTGGTAACTCCGGCGAGAGCGGCTCGATCGAGTGGAGCGACATGATTGTCAGTACGCAAGGCCAGCAACAAGGTGCTATCCTTTTCGAATACAACCTTAATTCTCCATCAAGCTCGCCATCGGGTATTTGGGACGTCCACTCTCGGGTAGGTGGCTTTGCCGGCTCGAACCTGCAGCTCGCCCAATGTCCGACAACGCCAAACACTACCGTCACTTCGGCAAACCTCAACCAGCAGTGCATTGCTGCATTCATGACGATGCATCTCACCCAGTCATCTTCGGGACTCTACCTCGAGAACGTCTGGTTGTGGGTCGCAGATCACGACGTCGAAGACCCGCAGCAGCGCCAAATCACCATCTACGCTGGCCGTGGTTTGCTCGACCAAAGCACTGCGGGCACGTTCTGGCTTGTCGGCACGGCTGTTGAGCATCACACCTTGTACCAGTACCAGTTCGCCAACACCCAGAACGTTTTCGCGGGCCAGATTCAGACCGAAACTCCCTACTACCAGCCCAACCCATCCGCTCCGATCCCATGGCCATATCAGGCACAGTACAGCGACCCACAGTTCCCCACTGCCACGGTCACTGCTGATGGTCTGGTGATTCCGGACGCTGATGCGTGGGGTCTCCGCATTGTCGGCTCATCCACCATTCTCGTCTACGGCGCCGGTCTTTACAGCTTCTTCAACAATTACTCTACGACTTGCTCGAACCAAGGCAATGGCGAACAATGTCAATACCGTATCTTTGAGGTGTTGAACAGCACTGGGATCAGTGTTTACAATCTGAATACCGTGGGTACGCATGAGATGATCGAGCAGGACGGCACAAATCTGGCGTACTACGGAGACAATCTAGATGGGTTTGTCGATACCGTGGCCTTGTACAGGAGCGGGTAAGACTTAGTTTAAATCAATGAGTTATGTAACCACCAAAAGTATGCTTGTGATGAAGCAGCATATGCCACTATGGCAACCCATGTTACAGCGAACTTTCCGCAGCATCACAGAGTGGCCCGTCCTGCTGGTCGACTTATCGCAAGTCTTCTCGCCCTCGGTCGGCCTGGCAGCGCGTTTATTCAAACTATGCACACGCGTAAAGGCAAAGCTTGGTCGGATTCAGCCACGTCTTCCCTTACCAGGTCCATGAGTGCTTCGTTCGGCTACCCATGGTAGAACTTGGTTCCTCCCTTAGGAATTGTAGCTGACAGCAGGTGATCATACATCTCTGACCACTTGAACTGCGTCAATGTTAGCTGCAAATGGCAAGAAGCCCGAGATCTGAGCGCAAATGTGTGCAGTCGCAGAGGGTTACTCAGTGATGTCTTTCCTTCATGCCACTTTGTTCACGCTCTTGTGCCAAAAATAGACTCAGCATGACGTGCGTTCAGCGTTTGGGCCTCTAGACGTTCTCCTGCATATCGGGAGATCGGAGTGTTAAAAAGCATGCGGGAGTGCTAATACAACTAACTCATACCGTGAGACGTGCTGTGGTGTTCATGCAGAGGTCCCATACATATTGGAAGAGCAGGGTTTACCGCCGCCCCTTCCAACAGGCTGCGCCTACTGTCGAGCAGAGAAAAGCTTCGAAGCGACACGCGACCGCCGAAACGCCCATCAAATTGCGTCACCCGCTAAGGTAGCACTGACCCGCCGCGATACTTCGCGCTGAACCTCACTACACCGTCACGGCACACGCGACAACAGTCGCGTCATATAGTCGAGCACATCAATACTCAACAGCAGCACTCCGGCCGAGCGCGCAGCACCGGCAGTCACCCAACCATCCCATCGAGCCCTTAGCGCCATCACCGCTCCGACTCGGCCCGGCATTGTATCACCGCGCGCATCAGCAGCACCAGTGCATCACGTTTGCGCGCACATCGACATCGCGCGTGCCTTCCTCGTCGGGCGGAAACCGTCGATGGGCCCACCGAGGCGGTAGGCAGCAGTGCGCAACGTGCCTCCCACCGCCTGTGACGGCGCATAGGACGTGGGAGGATGGCACTGTCGCAGTCGTCACTGCAGCAAGAGCGCAAGCGCGTCAAAGTGTATGAGCTAAAGAATAACGACTGGTACGACCGTGGCACCGGCTTCTGTTCGGGACAGATCTTTCAGACGCCGACGTCGACGCAAGACAATCCTGACGGCCGCATTATTGTGGTGAGCGAGGATGAGCCGGATCGAGTACTGCTGGAGACGCATATTACCAAGGACGATGGCTACCAAAAGCAGCAGGACACTCTCATCGTTTGGACTGAAACCAATGGCGTTGATATGGCGCTCAGTTTCCAGGAGGCGGAAGGTTGCGCTGGCATATGGGACTTCGTCAGCGACATTCAACAGCGGTTGTCCACGCTGGCGCCGGATGACGGTCTCTCCGATGACCTGCCAGACCCTGTCCATGCAGTGATCCTTCCACAGCCCGAGCTTGGCAGGCTGGACGAAGTTGACAACGCAATTAGAGGTGCGTCTACTTCACCGGCTGGCCGGGACGCACTGGTCAAGTTCGTCATGAGCCCGGAGCAGATGTATATATTAAAACTTGCGCCACTGGTGGAAGAGGCAGAACGGCGGGAGTCGGTCTCTGATCTGCATCGCTTGTGCAACATCGTGAAGCATCTGATTCTGCTCAACGACACGTCGATCATCGAGTTCGTGGTTACGGATCAAGCAATTATGGGCGTCGTTGGCGCACTAGAGTGTAAGTTAGACGTTGCGCTTTCCTGTTCGCTGGTGTACATGCTAACTTCACGCTTCCAGACGATCCAGACTTTCCGTCACATCGCGCCAATCACCGGCAATATCTCTCCGACTCGTCCAAATTCAAAGAAGTCGTACCTATCGCGCATCCCGAGATACGCAAGAAGATCCATTACACGTATCGCTTGTTGTACCTCAAGGACGTTGTACTTGCACGGATACTGGACGACCCAACGTTCAGCGTTCTCAACAGTCTCATATTTTTCCACCAAGTCGATATTGTCAATCACCTTCAGGCGAATCAGTCGTTCTTGGACGACCTTTTCAACATCTTTGCTGACAGTTCAGATGAGTTCAGACTGAGCAAGCGGAAGGAAGCTGTACTGTTTATACAGAATTGCTGCGCCGTCAGTAAGAACATACAAGCACAGAGTCGGGCGCAGCTGTATCAGAACTTCATACATCACGGACTCTTCGCGGTCATCACTTTCGCATTACGGCATCACGATGCTGCAGTGAGAGTGGCCGGCACGGACATCTTAGTAGCTCTGATTGACCACGACCCGCACATGGTCCGCAACCACATATTCAACTCCATGAAGGAGAAGGTGACACCACTCACCGACACTCTCATTGAGCTGCTACTGGTGGAGGTAGACTTGGGCGTGAAAAGCCAAATGGCGGATGCGATCAAGATTCTACTGGATCCGACGAGCACAAACGGCTTGGAGATGATGCGCGCCGGTCAAGCTAACAGCGAGATCATGGCGAAGCGAGGAGGGGCGATGAACGGTGTGGGTGGCAACGGACCGCAAGTTTCGCCACAGACTGAGGCCTTCATCGAGAAGTTCTACAAGGAATCCGCCCTGAGGTTGTTCAAGCCGCTAAAGGACCTCGAATTCAGACCTACAGTGAGGGACTTGAGCGTGCAGGAGACGAGCTTGATGACGCATCTGGTGGAGGTGCTGAGCTTCTTCGTGCGACAACATACGTACCGCAGTAAGCTCTTCATCTTGAGCGAGAATCTGCATGCGCGGATCGCGCAACTGCTGGGCTGTTCGCACAAGTACATGAAGCTCACGGCGCTGAAGTGGTTTCGGACATGCGTCGGTTTGAACGATGAGTTTCACAATCGCCAATTGATCCAGCATCGCCTCTTCGAACCGATACTGGGCATTGTGTACGAGACGATGCCAAGAAACAATCTGCTCAACTCAGCGTGTCTGGAAATCTTCGAGTACATCAGGCAGGGAAGCGGTATCAAGCAGCTGATAGTGCACTTAGTAGAGCAGTACCGGACTCGTTTGATGGAGATCACTTACGTCAATACCTTCAATGCGCTGGTACAGAAATATGATGCGATGCAAGAAGCGATGCAACAGGGTTACGTGCCTTCTTCCAACGGCACCGAAGACGTGAGCTACAGTCAGGAAGGTACGCCTGCTCAGATGGTGAACGGGCAGCGATTTGCAGGTCTCAAGGAGATGGACAATGATGAAGAAGCTTACTTCAACGCTGAAGATGACGCGGAGGACGACGAGGTTCTGGGTCTCCCTACTGCGGCGAAGGCCGGCTTGCCAAACGGAGCTAGTCCAGTGCGGCCGCTTGTGGACTACCCTGACGACGAAGACGAAGGTATGTACGGCCTGGATCCAACAGACATGCTTGCTTCAAGTCCGGACCGGGATATGCAGGTCGCGAAGAAGGACAAGGGCAGTAGCTCCTCGGATACTGATGTTGGGCTCGACGCGATGGAGACGGAGCCCACGAACGAAGAACAGACGAGCCCGGATACACACGAACGCGGCCGGGATAGAAGGCCGGTGCCAATCGAGGGCTCACCGGGCCGGCAGCATAGTCCGCCCGAACCTGTCCCAATGAAGCGGAGACGGGAAGATGATGACGAGGATGTGCTGGGTACCTTGATGGGTGGCACGAAACGCAGGAACTCGTCCGCTTCTATTACAAGCCAGTCGCGGAATCTTCAGCTTGATGGCACTCCGGACGCGCATGCATCCCCTGTCCGATTGGGAGCGCAGGCGGATGACCTGCCTCCAGCGCGAGGACCCATGCCAAGTCAGACGCTGAAACGAAAGGGCAGTTTGAGGTCCAAGAATGAGAGCGGCGCGGGACGGTTCGCGATCAAGCATGTCAGCATTGCCGCGGCGAAGCATGATGCTGGGGCGACGGAGAACGGCAACGGTGCGGGAGGCGATGGAGGCAACGGCTAGAGGGCGAAGCTGAGCTTTAAACGTAGCCTCGGGCGCTTACCTCTGCGGACGTCTCGCCCGCATCCATCGATCGGTGGATTAACTTTCGACGCCGTCGACAGCGCAGTTGACAGTACCGTCGCAGAGACTGTGGAAGCGCACAAACTTGACCACCATGCTATGATTAAGAAGAAGTCAAGTCTTGATCGGCTACGAGGGCTCTTCTCTCCTCCGCGCAACAAGGCAGCGAGAAAGCATGACGAGGGCAAAAGGCATATTTGAGCATCCTGCTGGACGTATCGACGGCCATCGCCCGACATTCACAACCACCGCCATGCCAAGAAAGGGACGCCTCGCTTTCTGATGGCGCCCGTTATTGGCCCTGTGCTGAGCGTACCTCAGCCAGCAGGAGACCGGAAAGGTATTATTGTAAGAAAAGTGTAGCATAAGATATCCTTGCTATCAACAATAGGAGGCATACAGCTTGCTGAAGCTGCTTTGCTCATGACCGCAGAACGCACCTGTTCGCTGCCCATGTCTGAAAGTCACAGCTTGTTGAAGGTCTGCTGTGATCAAGCATAGCCCCTGAACTCTCACAGCGCCGTGCTCCTGTGTATTGACTGTCAAGTCGCTCCTGACGCCTATAGTTGACAGCGCCGGGGCGCTTATTTTCTGACCATGTCCCTTACTATTGCGGCGGTGCAGGTGCCTTCACATGCTTGATGCGTTTTCCTGTGCAGATATTACACGTGTCGCAATGGATTTACAACCCATGGGCGTATAAGCGCGAGATAAGGCACGCGATAGGGGGAGTGTGGAATGGCAGCCTGCAGCAAATAAGCTGCATATGGCAGGTCGCACTACATGAACACGAACCTTGCATGCTATATTCCTGACCTTTCGCCGGCCAGGTCACCCGACTTGGCAGTCACACCTGGTAGCAGTACCCAAATGGGTAGATTTGAGCTAGAAGAGCGGAGGGAGGACGACAGGACGAACCTTGAAGCAGAGAGGGTTCCGCCCACTGGGGTTCCGGACACGGTAAAGTTACCATGCCGCACCCTATGTTGATTCCGCCAAGCTTAAACATGATCTCGGACGCTTATCATTCGTTGAGTCTTGGTGGCGTGGACACATCACCGAAACGGTAGCAAGCATCATGAGTCGTGTCCATGGAATTTTAGGAGACTCACCGGCCAACATTCATTCACCTTACCTGCAGCGTCGGGCTAGAGCTTGGACGCGGACGAAACCCTCTCTCACACATCGCATCAACAATTCCGAGGTGACGAGTCGCAGATCATGCTTGGCGGGTACTGGCAGCCTGCAGGGCAGAGTGCTACGCAACCATGGACACGGATGAAGCTTCCATTCTCCTGCGGCAGGCTATTTTTGTATATGTTCAGGCTACGTTCGACTCATCTCAAAGAAAGCAGATCGAGGACAGTCTTATCCCAGCCTTCTCGTTCGTTGGGCTCGGCCAGCCAGTGAATTGCACAATAATGCGAGAGATATTGAAACAGACGCCGGTGATGGAAATGGAGCGGAGGGCCATCGGCGGCCACAGAGGCCAAGGTCAATGGCTTCCGCTTCCGAACGCCACAAGACTTAGAGAACCGCGCTTCGTCGGAAAGCTTCTGGTTCAACGTTCGGGACGACGGACCAGAAGCAGGTCGAACCGCGATGCTATTCAAGCCTTATCAGCTTTGTGTTATTGCCTGCCTGCCTGCCAAGCTGCTCTAACGAGATCGACTCAAACGGTTGCGGAGCTGGCGGATCAAGTAGCTCATCAGTGATCACTGCAGCCTTTCCCACGGCCTCCACCTCGGCCAGGGTTTGCATCTCGTATCCCTCTTTTTTGCATTGCGATGTTTCTGTAGCGTTTCTTTGGGCTTACAACTGCGTTATTATCTCTTGTGCCGTCTGAATAAACTCCCTTCTAATAGTGTCCCCTGATTTGGAATGAGCAGCCATTGCGCGTAGTTCCCAAACATGTCGATCTTCGGCAAGAAGAAGAACAAGGACAAGGCTGAAAAGGGAAAGGCGAAGAAGGATGGCAAGAAGCCTGCTACAAGCGAGCCGCCTGCGCAGACGCAATACAAACATGTGCCTACGCACGCTGCGGCGGATGCCGCGCCCAAAGCTGCCGTCAACGGACAGCAGCTATCCAAGCAGGCGACTAATTATGCTCAGGGTGTTGCCAACTTTCAGCATCCGTTGATGAGCAGTGCCAATCACCCCTTCGCACGGTCAAGCTCACCGAGCATCCCGTCTGCACGCTCCACTCCCTTACCGCACCAGAAAGGCTTGAACGCGGATTTCGACACCTTGCAAAGAAACAACAGCGCTGAAGTGTTCACCACCGATCCAGACGCACCGCCCTTACCAACATCAAACATCACCCAGGCTCAGGCGCAGGCGCAGGCGCAGGCTCAGAATGCGGCTTCTCACCGAGATGGCATCTCCCGCAATGCTGATGGGTTCTTCATCCAGCAGCAAGGCAATGCTGCACCCTCCTTTGACAGCCAGTATCTTGGCAACCCCAAGATGCAAGCTGCCGCTCGCGACCGCGGCTACATCAACCCACAACCGTCGACAGATTCTGGTTACGGCTCGGTAGCACACTCGCTTGCACCGAGTGACACTCCGATATGGCATGATGGCGCGCGACCTCAGCTACTGCCGAGCAAAAGCGATTTCTTGCCCGAGCTGACTTTGAGCGAAGAGCTTGCGCGCGAGCCTGCTTTCTCCGAGGCGTCTTTCGCTGGTAGTGATACTCCAGAGACAACGCCAGTAATGAAGCAGACAAACGAGGCCTGGTTCAAGAGTGGACACAACCAGCCCTTGCAACCGAACCCAGCCCCGGACAACATACCCGCCAAGCCGACCAAGCCCAATAGAAGCTCAAAGCAACCAAGGAGCACACGGACAGATCTGACACAGTCGTCCCAGCCAGCTGCAGGAGATAGTAATCCGGACGAACGTGACTTTGTGGAACCAAAGAGTATCTGGACAGGCCAGGCACAGCCGGTCGTAAGGACTGTACAACCGGAAGAGCGCGATGTGCAGCAAGTTCAGAAGGCTAGGATAGAGCAGACACGGTCGGCTGAAGGCTTTCGCCGTACAGAGGAGCGTGACACGCAGTACCCCTACCAGCAACAGTATGTCGTCCCGCCTCCGTCGCAGCAGCAGCAGCAAAACTATCAGCACAACCACGCACCGGAACTGGCAAGGACGGTCCAGTCTGAGCCCTTGAATGCTCCACAAACGCACTTTAGCCAACCTTATCGGAGCGCAACACCACCTCTGCAGCACCTCGAGGAGCCTAGAGCGACCTTCGCTGAACCCATGAGAGTTTCCACTCCGCCGCCTGAACGCTCGATGGTGCGTGAGTCACAGCCTCCTCTATCCCACGACCTGTCACACTCCCAATCTGCACATGAGCCAGAGCAGCCCAGACCGTTCGTGCGCTACTCATCACCTCCACCGCAGGAAAACAATGCGAACTCTCTGGAGCGCATGGTGTCCATGAGCCAACGGAGCACACTCGCTCCTGTAGGTCGTCTGGACGGCTGCAAGGTGAACAAACGCGGCAAGATCCTGGATGAAGAGGGAGAGATCATCGCTGAGCTTGCCGAGGGCGACATCATGGACTGTGTACGGCAGCGTTGCAACGCTTACGGCGAGGTTGTTGACGATTACGGCAGGGTCGTTGGAAGAGTACATCTTGTGGAAAGCAAGATGGAGTCGCCGGTGATGCGCTTTGCGCAGCCTGTGCAGACGCCGCATTCACAGCCATCATACTATTCTCAAGAGCCACAATCGCAGGCCCACCAAGATTTCTTCTCGCCGCCACCCGTCTCACCATCCTCAAGACACCAGAATCGGGCTTCTGCACAGCCAGATGTGTTCACACCGGCGTGGCAGCGGCAATCGCACTCAATCCATACAGGTTTTGCGCGTGAGCTGCGCGATCACTTAGCTGCCGCAAGTCCGAGCTCGAATCAGACAGGTGGACCGGTCAATTTTACGGGTAACGTGGCGCCTGTGGAACTTGATGCAACGGAAACAATCTACGAACAGGACGAGGAGGAAGACGAGGCGCTACCCATCTTCGACCATAGCGAGGTTTTTATGCCTCCGCCGGTGGTACCCGTACGCTCTTCCAGGCGATCGGAAACGCCATCGCCACCGGCCGAGAAAGCGCGGCGCGGTGAGCGAGACCGGTCGCGCGTACGATCGAAAGAGCCAACATCCGCACCGCACGCCCACTCGAACGTTACAGCTGCACCAACGCCGTCGCAGCACGATCACACCGACCGCGATGAAACCGGAGCTGAACCGTCCGAGTCAGCGCAGGAGGTTGTTGAGCCACAAGATACGTCCCCCACTCCTGTCAAGGCACCAATCCCAGTGCATGCTTCTGTGTTGGCCGCGGAAGAGGCAGCGGCCGAGGCCCAGAACGCACAATCTGCGGAGCCTCCTGCTTTTCCGTTCACGCTGCGCCAATATGAGCCGAAGAACCAGTCGGACAGGTTCTCGCCATTTCAGACCAGGTCCATAGATCGCTCATGGGCTGGCCCGCCGGTGCCTCGTAGCGAGGAGACTCACCAAGAGCCGGCCCTGGGCACTGCAAAAGAGTCGCAGCCCCAGCCGTCAGCGCCACAGCATCCACAGCCGCAGCAACCACAGCCGCAGCAACTGCAGCAACCAAACCAGCAACCAAACCAGCAACAACAGCAGACGAACCGTCGTAGCCCTTCCACCCCACTGATCCGAAACAGCATAGACGGCAGTCCCGTAGATTCTTCAAAGTCATACATCAAGCCTAGCATGAGCCCTGTGCCAGAGAACGAACGACCGGCTGCTGAAAAGAAGAGCCCGAACCTTTTCTCATATCAAGGCGAGATCCCTGCTGCAGATGGCCCTGTCTCCAATGCAAACCTTGCGCCCGCTCGTGCAAAGTCACCACCCTTGCCAAGCTTTCCAAGACAAGCATTTACTGGAGGTGCGCCCAGTGCCAGTCCTTTTGCACCCATGAACAGCGCACAATTCTCTTCCGCGGGCGGATTGGGTCCAAGAGGAACAGGTCCGCGACAGTTCACTACCGGCGTGCCGGGTCCGAGACCTATCTTGAACGGGAAGAACTCGTTCCATCAGCCTCTGAAGAGAAGTCCACTGAGCAGTCAAGGTACGTTCCATAGAAGCAATGCAACTCTCGAACCCGACGCTGACGCTTTACCAGAAACCACTCCACCACAGAGCGAGTTTGGAGGTGGTGAAGGTGACAGTATCGCGGGACCATCGTACACGCGCCAGCCTTCCGTACGGACGCTTGCCGGGATGCAAGCGTTGAATGCGCAGACGAACAGCAAGCCGCGCACTTACTTCACTCACGCTGGACGTGTGTCAGTCGAGGCTGGACAGCCACCACCTTCGCAGGCCGACGGCTCGGCAACGCCAGCTGAGCCAGCCACCGCTCCCTCCCCGTCCTCACCGCCCGCCGTAAACTCGGCCCCGCAGAAGGATACCACGACGAAGAAAAAGAGCAGATTCAGTATGGGTTTTGGGAAGAAGAGCCAGCCTGTGGCGGCGTAGAGACATGTTTTTTTTTTATCTGTCGGACTATGCAGACCACATCGGAACGGACCGTATGGGAGTACCGTCCATCTATTAGCGTTGAGCGGAAACTGGCCATCTGTAAAAATATTTGAGTGTGCAATATGTGCGTCTATAGCAAATACGGTATACTCGAACATATTCCTCTTTCGTAATAAGCCGGACAGTACTACGCTGGTTGCACTTCGCGCAAGCATCTAATCCGCCAAGACCATGCCAACTTCGTGGAGGACCGGACTCCGATTTCCTGTGTTGCAGTTCTTCGGAGCCGCTTCTAGAACTGGGATCAACGCTTTAGTGGCGTCTTAACGCTCCACGTGTGGCCGCTTCTCAGCTCGGGCCCACCACCATCCATCGAAGCTTGAAGCGAAATAATTCTCTTGCGCCTCATTGCATTTGTATCACATACCTCATTTTCTGCTTTACGGCAGATCTACCGACGGGCGACTTCTGGAGTCTTTGCGCTCGTCTTGTATACACAAAGCTCCCGTCTCTGCACCTCGGTGACTCCACACCGTAATCCAGCAATATTCAGCATTGTCACCATGTCGAAGGTTACGCATATCAACGAGGACCGCGCTCCGGTTGCAGATGACTTCGAGGTCTCACCCGCCACGCCTGTAGAGCGTGTCACTGTCCGTCCCAAAGGTAGCGCCTACTCCTCGCCCGGCGGTTCCAGTGGCGCATCTGCTTCCCATAGCAGGCATGGTGATGTCGAGCTGGTGGGCGGTCCTGCACCCGAGGAGCAACCGCCGATACAGACCACTGCGCAGGAGCTTGAGCGCAAGAAGGGTGGCAGGTTTGCCTTCCTCAAGCGTCCTCAATTCTACGTCGTCTTGTTGCTGTCTCAGGCGCTCGCCGTCACGCAAACCGGAACCAACACGCTTACTACGCTGCTGGCCATGGCCGGAACGTCGATCCCAGCATTCCAGTCACTCTTTAATTATATATTGTTAGCCCTGATTTACACTTCGATCACCGTCTACAAGTACGGCTTCAAGGGCTGGCTCCGTATGATCATCAAAGACGGATGGAAGTACTTCATTTTGGCCTTCCTTGACGTTCAGGGCAATTACTTCACGGTACTGGCTTACCGCTACACTACTATCCTCTCAGCGCAATTGATCAACTTCTGGGCTATTGCGGTCGTCGTGGTGATCTCATTAGTCTTCCTGAAGGTCCGCTATCACATCGCGCAGTACGCCGGTATTCTCGTCGCTTGTGCCGGTCTAGGCCTGCTTGTTGCTTCGGACCACATCACCGGCTCCAATGGTGGCCCAGCGCTGAACGCGGTCAAGGGTGACTTATTTGCACTTGTTGGCGCGACTTGCTATGGATTTTCGAACGTTGCTGAGGAGTTTCTTGTCAGCAAGCGACCAATGTACGAGGTCATTGGCCAACTCGGTTTCTGGGGCATGTTCATCAACGGCGTTCAGGCTGCTATCTTCGATCGGTCATCCTTCCGCTCTGCTACATGGAATGGACAGATCGCGGGTTATCTTGTCGGATACACCTTGCTCCTGACGTGGTTCTACACAGCAGCACCCATCATCTTCCGCATGGCTTCTGCCGCTTTCTTCAATATTGGGTTGCTGACTGGCAACTTTTGGGGTGTCATCGTCGGGCTTAAGATCTTCCATTTGCATATCCATTAGTAAGTTCTGCTCTCCACCGGTTACAGTACTACGGCTAATCATGCAATCCAGCCTGTATCCCATCGCATTTGTGCTTATCATTGGCGGACACTTCGTCTACTACGGAACCGAGGGCGTTCTTGGCGAAGCGAAGAAGCCTTGGTTGGGTGAAAACCAGGAGGGCGGTGACGACGGCCTTGGTACGGCGAGAAGGCAGCTTGAGAACCCTAATGTGATTGTTTAGCCGCATAGCGTTGGCGCTTGATTTGCACATACCTAATGTTGTAACAGCCTCCCTTCGCAGTACATATGCACAAACACATCCTTTCTACCGGTCACACCCAATGTATCCCCCACTGCCTGGTTAGTGCTGCGCAGACCGAGCGTTCTCCCGAAATGGTTCGGTCTAGCCTGGATGCTCTCAGAGTCCTCCCTGTATGGCGAAGGATGATAGTACCAGGACAAGCGTGTTAATAATGCCCCAAGAGAGCGGTATCCATGTCGACATGCGGAAGTAGCCAACGGAGTAGACACCACTGAGTCTGCATCATGGTTAGTTACCTGCGCATCGCGTGTGCAGGTCACAACAACACGATGTTCACTTACAGGCCCCCAACGACATTGCCCGCGATGACTGCTTCGATGCCTCCAACGACGACGTAGATAATGGGCACGACCCAGACTATTTTCCAGTTCTTCCACTGCATGGCTACCGCGTAGCTCGCGGCAATGATGTGGATCCCGACGACACATATGAGCGTCCAGTACAGAGTAAAGAGCCACATGGACCGGGCATCATAGAGATACTGTGTTTGCGTACCGTACACCGGAAACGGCCAGTACAGTGCCGGAAACTGCGGTGGCGTGTATGACAGTGGGCGAGTATCAACTACAGTCTTCAAGAAGTTGCTGAGCCAGCTTCAGTCAGCGCTAGATGCCACAGAGCACGATCGCTTCACAAATGAGAGCCTACCTCATCGTAGCGGCATGGATATAGCCAATGCCTTGCGACAATTTTGAAGCAGGGGTGAGCGCATGTGTCTGCACACTTCGAGCTACGGCGCCGAGATGGCAGAAGACCTCTCGCGGTAACGTCACCTAAACGCCACAGATGTTTACTGGTAGTCTCGAGTCATGTCTTGCATTAGATTAGAGGCTTCTTCATCAAGGACTATGTTACAGCTACCTAGGTGGGATGTATGATACCTCGAGAGCATGGCGTTCCTTTTGACACGTTCAGTCCGCCGGAAAGGGCGCCAAATGACTGCATGTGTGGGAATTGGAGAGACGGTTTGTCCTCTCCCAGATATCGCTTACTAATACGCGACGAGTGCTTAAGCCTCATCAAAGACAGGATGTAACTCTCTTCAATCGTGTGAAGTAGATCTCTTGCGTTGCAGCGGCAGGATGTTGTACAAGGCACACACAAGGTCATGGAGATTTCTCATTCAGCTTGAAGCCGCTTTCGCATTTGCATTTCGCGACGCTTCTGCTGCTTCGCAGTCTCCACAGGAACATCCTATTTCGCTGTTCTGTACCTGCCCTGTCTCATCTCTGCCTGCAGACTCTCCGCTTGACTAGGCAGCGGCGCTCGTCTCCTGCCACTGCCACCCGTGCCGTTCGTCGGTGTTGGCGACTGAGCGGTCCATGGCAGGGTGGGCATTGGGAAGCCTGGTGGGGGGACGAATCCAGGCGGCAGCTGCGGTGGAGCCCCGTTCGCAAAGTTGGGCATTGGTAGCAAAGAACCGTTCGGCGGCGGAAAGGGTGGCTGCGGGAGTTGACCGCCGAATGCCTTCTTGAGTGCTTCGAGATCCATTCCTGGAGATGGAGCAGGTACGCCTCCATTCGGCATTTGGAAGGGCAATGACGCTCCGTTTGAGAAGTCTGGCAGACCCATCGACTGCGCACCGCCTGTGCTCGTGCCGTCCGGGAATGATGGCTTCGCCAAGCCAGGGAGTCCTGACAATCCTGGCAAACCAGGCAAGAAAGGTCTAACAGGCATCTGCTGATCGTCAATACCTTCCGCCTCATCATCCGCTTCGTCCTCCTGCTCTCGCCTCTGAGCCTCCGACTTCTTCCAAGTACCTTGAGCCTCAGCCGCTTCCTGACCGATGTGCCAGCGATCATTGACGTAGCTGTCGTCGCCAGGCCTCGGTCTGGTCCAGAATCGGGTAGCGCGATCGTTAGACCCTGAAGCTAGAATGTGGCCGAGTGGATGCCAGTCCATGTTCCAGATCGCATACTCATGCGCATGCTCCACTCTATGAGCAGGATCAACTGTCTGTGCGGTAGAGTCTGCTGGGTTTGGCGCATCGTAAGGGGACACCGTCAAAGCTGTGCCAGCAGGCGCATTCTGCTCATCGAGCAGATAGTGCATCATCGAGCCTTCATTCCCGCCGGTACTAAGCATGTTCGAGTGTATCGGATGCCACACCATAGAGCTAATCTCTTTGTTGTGGCCTTTGAGCAGGAAGACATCACGCATCATACGAATGTCAAATACCCGCGCAGTCTGTTCTCGAGCACAAGATGCAAGAAGCACACCGTTGTTCGGCTCGAACCTTGTCATCGTAAGAGTGTTCTTGTGACCGTGCAGTACCGTCAAACACCGCCCTGACCGTGGATCCCACAGTCTGACCGTGTGGTCCTTCGAGCCTGACACAATCAAGCCCTTGGTCGGATGCCAGTCTGCGCACTTGACGTCCCATTGATGCCCATCCAGTGTGGACTGCAGCTCACCAGAGGCAAAGTCCCAGATCTTGATCGTTTGGTCGTCGGAAGCACTTACAAACTTCGCGTCTGTTGGCGCGAAAGCCACGTCTCTAACCGGATACTCATGGGCCCGTATCTGCTGCACGTTGTTGAAGTTGGGTTGCCAGTACTTGATTACACCGTCTTGGTCTGCGGAAAGCAGCCACTCGTCGTTATGTGAGTAGCACAGCGTTCTTATGGCGACATCGTGTGCCTGCATGATTGTTTCGAAATTGAAGCCTGTGCCATTCCAGAGTGTGAACTCGCCGCTAGTGGATCCGGTAAGGAGACGTCTGCCTTCTGGAGTCCATTTCACGGCATTCACCGGTTGTCGTACTTTGTTCAGCGAAGAGTGCACGTGCTTGGCTGGTAAAGAGTCGGCTGCGTGACCTTTCCGAGCGGCAGGTGGCAGCATGTCGACGATGAAGTCGGAGTCCGGTCGCTCGACCTCAAAGCCTCGTATTCGCCGTCCGGTAGGTCTACGATTCCGCATCCAGTGTACATATGTCGTCCCAATGTCAGTCGCATTGCGGCGGTTCACCCGGCCTCGCCGTTCAAAGCTACCATGCTCGCCATGGTAGCCGCCGTCCATGGCGGTTGGACACGCACCACCCTAGCTCCGCTATCCACTCCCGGTGGCAAAATATTATGCTGTACTTATTACAAAGAATTATCCAGTACGTTCGCGTCAAGTCTGAAGACACGAGACTTGACTTGGACAGCCAGGAGACTTGCCTGCAATTTGGACCCGATTGTGCCGCAACAATGTCACCACAGGCCTATGCAAAACAGCCTTCTTGCGTCTGAGTCGATAAGATAGCACGATTGCTTTGTCGTCAATGGCATCAATCTGAGCGACAATGTGATGGACATCCCAAGACGTGCATCGTTTCAGCCCTAGCCGCTTATTGGCCGAGATCAGCGACACGCTAGCAGATGCCCTATCTAGTTATGGAACAACAAGTATTACAGTGATCACTAATTCCAGACTAACTAATTGCGACACAGGCTCATTCTACATCAAGGGAGCTTGCGCATCCCAGATAAGTGGCGCATACGGATTTGAATAATAGCATCATGCACATCACGACATCGGTAGACTTCGTGCTGCCCCCAGCAACGGCTACTGGCCCCGTCTACTCCACCTTCATTGCTGTGCTCCCGACCGTCCGGTGGCATGGCATGAAGCGATCTCTGCTCGTTGACGCCAGGCTCGGCACCCGTTTTGCAAGCGCAACCTACCAGTAGCTCACCCAGCAGTAGCATGACAATACCTTCCGCTCAGCCGTCGGGTGGCTTGTCCGTAGGCGTCGAAGCTGGCTTTTGCGGCAGGCGGCGGTATGCTCGCTTTGGCTTTTTTCCTCGGCTTCGGGTACTGGCTTTTTCAAAGGCGGACGCGCCGCACTTATGGCATTCGCAAGCTTTAGACGAAACAGAAGACTTTGTGAGCGAGGAGCTTCCTATACGAATTAGATGTGAAGATACCATACGTGCATGCTGAGCTAGGCGAAGGAGGCAAGCTCTCGGAAATGCCAACGGGGGGTGAACCTCGTCGTGGCAATGATGCAGTTCAGGTCCGATATAAGCTTGAGGGTGATTTCAGAGCCGTAGAAATCGGCGCTTCCGTGACATCGGTAGGCGCATCCTGAAGAAGCAAGCTGGTCCTAAGCAATAGCATTTGATTATTGGTTTTGCGTTCAATTGTGCCGTTACACCCACATTTTCGCAGCCCGTTTGAGGCCTTTATGGCAAGTCGCGGGTAGAAGCCACGGCCTCTTTCTTAAAAACCAACGCCTTCATCAGAGCTCGGCGTACATAGAGCAACACCGTCAGACTCGCAATGATCGTGAAGTAATTGGCAACGGCTTCCATTGGGCTAACAAAAAAGGCTACCCGTCTTCCCCCCGACCATCTCCATGTCCATCCGCGTCAGCGCCGTCATGATCACCCATGAGCCCTCGCTCGTCCTCCCCACCATCCGTCCTCTCCTCCCGCAACACACCGGTTCCCAAGCCACCAGCTCTACCCACCTCACCCTCATTGAGCACATACCACAGATCCTTCTTCGTCAGCAAGCCGGTCAATGATCCTCTGTCCGTGAAGATGATGTAACGCAGGCCGAGCTTCTCAAACATATCCTTCACCAGCCCGAAGCTGCTTCGTGAGGACAACGTGATGGGTGTTTGATCCATCCATGGCCTCAGGTCCAGAGTGACGGTAGGGTCTGCGAGCGGTTGATGCTGGAAGTAGCATTCTGTGGTTGACGGCATTGCGCGGCTGGTGCTAGCGGTTTCGAGTGCGAAGGTGAGCTCAGTACGGGATATGTAGCCTAACAGCACGCTCTCTCGCAGCTCGTTGATCACTGGAAAGCCGCGGAAACGGTGCTCTCCTAGCAGCTCCCGCAAGCTCGTTGTCGTGTGGCCTGTAGCGGTGATGCAGACAAGGTCGTCGTACCTTGTCATTATCTGGCTAACGGGCACATCAGGCACCGGCGTATCGTCCTTGTTGTCCAGGAAAGGATAGCCGTTGAAGTGTATCCAAGACTCGTAAATCCCACGCTTCCCAAACGCATCGCCAACCCACTTCGAAAGCATAACAGCAATCATGATTGGCAATACATATGTCAATGCGCCGGTAAGCTCGAACATGATAACCACAATGCTGACGGTCATCCTTGTAGCCCCAGCTAATGCGGAAGCTGCGCCTATGACGGCGTAAGTGCCTGGTGTGACACACGGTATGTCGGGCTCACAGGACCGGAAGGCGATGAAGTTCGGATGCTCGCGTTGCCAGACCTCTACTATCAGTCCGATCACGCGACCATACAGCGCTCCGACTGCCATCGAGGGGAGCAGAATGCCTGCCGGTATCTGCAGGCCGAATGTAACCGTGGCGAGCAAGAAGCCAATGAGTGCCGAGATAAGAAGGATGAAGATAACACCGGTGTTGGCGATACCAGCCTTGCACAGACCAAGATAGTCGTCGCTGATGTCTCGGCACTCAGCGAACAGGTACTCAACCAGTTCGCTTGACTGCGCTCGCAAGAAGGATACTGGGAAGCTGACCAGAGCGGTGATCAAGGCCACAATTATCACCTCAAGCACAGGCCGGGTCAGGAATGGGTTGTGTTTCGAAGTCCGCCATCTGTTGACCAGCATGTTGAGCTTAATAAACATTGCACCGTAAAGCCCGCCAATAATACCAATGAGAGCAAAGGGAACGAGCTCGAAGAGATGCCAACCGCTGTGGTAAGTCACTTGGTAGAGCACCAGCTTGCCCGTCCGGAAAGGGTCGAATGCTTGTAATGTGACCGCTGCGACCATTGCGCAGACGAAAGAAGCCCACATCGTCTTGTCCGGGAAGTAATAGCTCAGCTGCTCCAGGCTGAACAGCACACCACCAATGGGCGATCCGAAGGCGACTGATATCCCAGATGCGGCCGCAGCAGACAGCGTCTCGCGCTTGCGAGCCTCATTGCCGTTGATCCCATCGAACAGTTTCATGAAGACATTTGCACAGCAACATGCGACATGGACAAGCGGCCCTTCTTTGCCCAGCCACATGCCAGAAGCAACGGCCAGACACAAGCCGAGCGACTTGACGACCAGAGTCCAAGCACCCAAGAATCTCCGAATGACGAAGCCACCAAGAACAGTCTTAATCTCCGGTATACCACTCTGTTTGGCGTACGGAGAGTATCTGTTGACGAGCAGGCTGGCGCATGTCGCGAACAGCACGGACAAGCACACGAAGAAGATGTACTCGATCACGTAACTGCCAAACAGATTACTCACGCCAAGCATGGTGCTCCACGTGCGCCAGTCAGCGCATTCGGCGTAGCTGTTTGTGCCCCAGCAACAGAACGGTCGGCTAAGGTAGAACTTCCCGCCGTCTTCTACATTGCTGCAGGCGCCTTGCTTTAGATCGCCCATCCAGTCGCTTACGACGTCGATACTTGCCGCTATGCCACCGACTGCGATGCCGGTGGCTACAAGGATCCACCATATCTGGCTGGCGTCTGCGACCTGTTTCAGTTGGCCGAGCAGTCCGGGCGCGTTTGATACAAGTTGGCGTAGGCGCGTACGTTCCTTGCTATATTCGTAGATCCAGTCGATTGCGGTCAAGTCATCGTAGCCTACCCTTCGCCCCGGTCCCTCGACGTACCAGTCCAGGCTCACGGCATCCTTGCTGTCTGGAATGCCGGCAGAAGGGTCGGTCGGTAGATTCAAGTAGGAGAGAATGTTTCCCGTTGTTGGTTGCACACCATGTCCACTACGCACGCCATGCGAGGGTGTGGGTGTAGATGTGCGACTACTTTGGAAAGGTGAGGGTAGGAAGCGCGATGCAAAGGATGGCCTGGCAGCCTTCTGCGCTCGTTTGAAGGACACACTATCACATATCAGCGATACATCACCGTACCGGCTGCCGCAGCCTCGTACCCGCCATTTAAATGTCCATTGCCATGTAAAGGGTCTTCGGTCAGCAGCTCGTCTGCCGGATCCTCGACTCCATCATCGAAGTCCTCGTCTTCCTGGGCCGGCGAGCCTCGGCTGGATGAAGCTACGGCGGGCGCATAGTCGTTGTCATGCGGCGAATTACTCGACATAGGGTGCAAAGGCTCATCGAAGCATGATTGCCATTTATCTATACCGAGAGAGCCACAGCCCCATTGAGCGCATATGAAGCTCCCAAAGCAGAGCGCCGCATTGGGTTAAGCATTGATTGATTGATTACTCAGCGTCAACGGTACATGCAAGCCTCACGCGACTGCAAATCGATGTTTTGTTCAATACATAACACTTCCTCTTCTCACCTCGACAACCCTCTCAGCCTGTGCCAGCAAAGATGGCAGATCCGTTCGAGGTTCGCATGCGCTTCACTTCGCTCCTCCACCACCTGAATGCTAGCACATCCTCCGCCATCAAGACCGCCAACTACGCCGTCAAGTACTCAGAATTCTCGGACGATCTACATTCGTGTATCCTAGAGCAGTTGGAGCGCAACAACATGAACAACCGCGCGAATATCATGTACTTCCTGCCCAGTCTCTGCGAGGTTGCCCGGGAAAAGGGCGAAGTCGGCTACGGCAGGATGATGGAGCGTGACATTCTCAGGATAGTTGACGCTGTCGCACCGGATGATGGCAGCGGAGCGGCGAATGTGAAGGTGGTTCGCAAGGTGTTGAAGCAGTTGGAGGGGAAGAGCTTTCTACAGCCGCAAACGGTGGTGGAGCTAGAAGAGTGCATTGTTGGGCGCGACCAGCTCGATGGCGCTGTCACGTCGCCCACCAAGCCTGATGTCACGGTGGACGTCATGATGCGTGATGCGACTTTACCTTCTGCGACTGTACGGTCGACACCGCACTCCAGTACGCGAGATGCCTATGCGAGCAGCAACGGAATACGGCTAGACAAGCGACAGATTGAGCAACGCATAGAGGAGGATCGAGAACGGCACAAGCGGGCGCGCGAAACTATCTGGGCCGTGCCGCAGGAAGGGTCTACGTTGAAGGACGATGCGGAGTTCGACAAGACATGGGACGGCGCGAGCGAGGTTAATGACGATGACTGGCAGTTGACCGCAGAAGGCGCGGAGGAGAGAGCGGTAGGGCTTGAGTACGAGGACACGTGACGCTCTTCAGAGGAGTCATGTTTGGCGATCTTTTCTGGTTTAGCGAGGTGTTTTAGGCGTTCTTATACCCTTGTTGTAGTGACCGCAGTGGTCCTGTAGCTTGTAGCGCGATCATACATTGCTCGACGTTCGTACACCATAATCTCGAGCCTCAAGCGCCACTCAAATGCATCCCATGACACCCACGCGAACCGACGCATACAACAATTACTCCATCTTTACCACTGCGCCTAGTGCTTTCATTGTCTCAATCATCTTCTCCGCCTCCTCCTTCGGCACACCCTCCTTCATCACCTTCGGCGCACTCTCCACAAATTTCTTACTGTCCACCAAGCTCAAGCCGAGCATGCTCTTGATTTCCTTAATGACCTTCGGCTTCGCTCCGGCATCAAAAGACTCCAACTTCAAGTTGAAGAGCGTCTTCTCCTCCTTCGCTGGCGCTGCTTCTTCAGGTTCCTCCGCCGCCGCTGCCGCTGCCGCGGGCGCTGCTGGACCTGCAGCGAACGATCCCATGGGTATGTCAGGGATGTTTAGCCGGGACTATAACGGTGCGATTAATTGGGATCCTCTGGATAGTGCAGGCTGTTTGGTGCACTCTACCTTCAAACTTGATACCAGATCAGCCGTTTCTAGTAGCGTTAATTGTCCAATCTGGTCGACGATGTTGGCTATCTTCGGGCTCATCGATGCTGCTGCGTCTGTGGACTGCCATCGCCGAGTCTCCTGCCGTCTCCTTCGAGCCGTTATTGCTACTGTGCATCTTGCTGTTTGTGGTGTGGATGGCCGAAGCGTTCGGGCGCATTGCCTCGCAGCAAATCGACATGGCATAGACATGATGACGGTGGTCTGCAATAGTTGTGAAATATTAGTTGCAATGCCTGGTTGATCTCGTGCCCTTCACTCCGATATAGCGGACAGTTTCCCCTAATGGCTAGCGTGCTGCCGCATGGAGCCGAAACTCATGGCTTGGCAAGCTGCATGGAAAACTTCACGCCGCGCTCGAAGGTGATCGCCAACAATGCCCGACGCATCGCCTTGCTTCAACTCTCATCATTAGTCCACGGTCATCAAGCACAATGGAGTGCTTGTGGGACAATGCGCTTCTCCAAAGTTCGCAGGAGATGCCGCCGGAGTTGCTGGACATGATACAGCACGGCAGTAATGTGCAGTATCTGGAAGCACTAACCAGGGCTTCGCTGGACGCACGATACACCGACCTTCTCTTTGCGCATTGTGAACACGTCTTTGCGCATATCAGCGCATCGTTGCGACAGTATGGCTCTCTGGCAGCCACAATTGCCACCATGGGCCGCATTGTGCCCTTTGCACCGTATCTATCAACCTACGCCACCAGACTGTTACGCGACGAACGGCACGCTTTAGGCGTCTCAGGGGACCAAGATGAGATCCTGCTATATTTACTCGGGCTTTACCGCCTCCTTCGATTTGAGCCTCGAACGTACAAGCAGCATGTTGATTTAGTACAACTCCAAGAAATGCTCCGGAGTCCTTGCAGAGCCATCGTCTACATGGCGATCCGGATCTTCCAGATCTGCCTCAATGGCGCCGATCACTGGTTTGAGAAGACGCTAGAAGAGTGCCTTGGCGAAGATACACCCGACGGTGCAATTAATGGCCAGTGGGACGATAAGACGATCGACTACCGTTTCTTGACGCTCTGGGAAGAAGATCGTTACGAGAAGCTCACGAAGTTGATCGACAATGGCCGCAACGGAAACGCAGAAGTGCCCCCTTCGCTTCGTTCTCTCGATCCCGCCTGCTTTCACCCAAGCACTGCATTAGTGGGTGGCGTCCTGTTTCCGAGGGCAGACCTCTCTAGTGCCTCTACAGAGCGGGCTTTGGCATCTGGTGGCCAGCTTGTTGACACGCACACGGTCGCAAGTAATCTGAAAGCGCTAGGCGTTGCGTTCAAGTCACCCAAGCCAGTCTTGCTTGCCGGTTTAGCTGGCTCAGGCAAGACACTCGTTGCTCGCCACGCTGCGCAATTGCTTGGCAAGCTTGACAATATGGTAACGCTCCATCTTAATGAGCAGAGCGATGCAAAACTGTTGGTCGGCATATACACCACAGGCGAGACACCAGGCTCGTTTTCTTGGAAATCCGGTGTCCTTACTACTGCGGTTCAAGAAGGCAGGTGGGTGCTTATCGAAGACTTGGATCGAGCGCCACACGAAATAATTGGCATGCTGCTACCTCTTATCGAAAAGCGAGAGCTCCAGATACCGAATCGGAAGCAGACTATCTACGCCGCCGAGGGCTTCAGGATCTTAGCTACGGTACGCAGTTCGGTCAATGCTCAGGGCAGAGAGACTAATCCTCTCTCGCATATGCTTGGCGCACGACACTGGCAGAAGGTCACTGTACACATGCCACCCTCTAACGAGCAGAGATTTATTGCACAGAAGCTCTACCCTTCCTTAGCGCAGCTTCTGCCACAACTAACCTCCGTGTATGACCGGCTTGTACTGATTAGCCAGCAAGTGCAGCTTACCGGTCGCACGAAGACTGGTATGCCACGGTCCTTAGCCCCACAGGATCTATTGAAGTGGTGCAAGCGCGTTAAGAACTTGTTGAGCGGTCGGCCATCATTCACCACCAGCGACATCGACAACATCTTCATGGAGGGTATTGACTGCTTTGTTGGCGCATTGCCAGAAGGATCAGCTAGATCAGATATTGTGTCCATTCTTGCTCGAGAGCTGAGAATCGACCCTCGGAGGCGTGACTATCTGCTCGGTGAGCGCGAGATCCGGTACGGTGACGGGAAAGCGCACATTTCAATCGGTCGCTACACTTTACATCATGAGAGTAGCCGCCGTTTGGCAACTTCAACAGCGTCTCCCATCGCGTTGAACGCGCATACAGTTCGAATGCTCGAACGCGTGACGGCCGCTGTCGTCAATCGTGAGCCACTTCTTCTGGTTGGCGAGACGGGCGTCGGCAAGACGACCGCTGTGCAACACCTCGCAAAGCATTTGGGAAAGAAGCTTGAAGCTTTCAACTTGTCTCAGCAGAGCGAAGCCAGTGACTTATTGGGCGGCTTCAAGCCCGTCAGCGTGCGCAGCCTGGTCATTCCGATGAAGGACGAGTTTGACGAGCTGTTTGCAGCCGGGTTTAGCATAAGCAAAAATCGACAATTCTTGGACCTGCTCGGCAAGCAGATGGCGAAGAGCAATTGGAAGGCTGTCTGCAAACTCTGGCGCCAGGCTCTGAAGATGGTCAGCCACCAAGAGCCCTATCTCTTCGGCGCGGAAGGAGAGGGTCCCAGCAAGAAGCGGAAACTTGATTCGAAGCAGACTATTGATCGTGCTCGTTGGCGCTCATTCAGCGCCAAGGTCGAGGATCTTGAGAAGAGGCTGTCTGCTGGTAGCGAGGCGTTTGCTTTCAGCTTCGTTGAGGGCAACATTGTCAAGGCGGTGCGGAACGGAGACTGGGTGCTATTAGACGAGATTAACCTCGCGACTCCGGATACACTTGAGTCAATCGTGGACTTATTCAGCCCAGTCACGCCTTCACTTCTCCTTACTGAGGCCGGAAACATCGAGCGTATCGAGGCGCACCCAGACTTCCGTGTGTTCGCGGCTATGAACCCTGCCACCGACATTGGGAAGAAGGACTTACCACCCGGCATCAGGTCTCGCTTTACCGAGCTTTATGTTGAAGGTCCTGACAAGGACCTGAAGAGCTTGCAAAACATCGTGCAGTCGTACTTACGCCCCGATGTGACCGCGGATCCTGCCGTTGCCCTGGACGTTGGCACGCTTTATCAAAAGATCATAGCCCTCGCCGAACACAACAGACTCGTTGATGGCGCTGGTCAGAAGCCGCACTTTAGTCTGCGGACTTTCACGCGCACTTTGAGCTATGCGAAGCATATCACACCACAGTGCAATCTGCGCCGTGCTCTATACGAGGGTTTTCACATGAGCTTCTTAACCTTCCTCAATGCTGAATCAGCTGCACTGATCGCGCCGCTCGTTGAGCAGCATCTCTTTGGGAAGCGTATCAACACTCGGGCCGAGTCGCAAAAAGCATTGCATAAGCCTAATGACGGGAAACAGTATGTTCAAGGTTACCCCGGTAGTAAACACTGGGTTCATCAAGGCCGCAACGAGCTCGAGGAGCAAGCGCACTATATTCTGACACCCTTCATCAAGAGCAATCTTGAAAATCTCGTTCGAGCGGCGAGCACTCGTCAATTCCCAGTCCTCATTCAGGGCCCCACGTCAAGCGGCAAAACCAGCATGATCGAGTACCTTGCCAAGCGCACCGGACATACATTTGTCCGCATCAACAACCACGAGCACACTGATTTGCAAGAGTACCTTGGTACTTACGTATCAGGTACGGATGGCAGACTACAGTTTCAGGAAGGCATTCTGGTGCGAGCGCTGCGCGAAGGTCATTGGGTTGTGCTTGATGAGCTGAATCTGGCGCCAACGGATGTTCTCGAGGCTCTGAATAGGCTTCTTGACGACAACCGTGAGCTTCTGATACCTGAGACGCAGGAAACTGTTCGGCCGCACGAGGACTTTATGCTCTTCGCGACGCAGAATCCCGCTGGTCTCTACGGCGGCCGTAAAACGCTCTCTCGAGCTTTCCGCAATCGTTTCCTGGAGTTGCACTTCGACGACATCCCGATTGACGAATTACAAGAGATCCTGCATCGGCGAACTCAGCTCCCAGAGTCGAGGTGTAAACGCATCGTGACGGTCTACCGAGAGTTGTCCATCTTGCGGCAGCAAAGTCGGATGTTCGAGCAAAAGAGCTTCGCTACGCTGCGTGACCTTTTCCGGTGGGCTATGAGGCCGAATGAGACAATAGACCAGCTAGCTGCCAACGGTTACATGCTTCTTGCGGAACGGGTGCGAAAGGTCGAGGAGCGAGCAGCTGTGAAACAAGTCATTGAGAAAGTCTTGAGCCTCAACGGACCGCGAGTTACAATCGACGAAGGTGCATTGTACGCTCACGACAATGTAGAGCTGCGCAATCAGGAAGGCAAACTTCACTCCTCTGGTGTTGTGTGGACGAAAGCAATGCGCAGACTCTACACTTTGGTGGCCCGAGCGATCGCGAATGATGAGCCTGTTCTACTAGTGGGTGAAACCGGATGCGGTAAGACCACAGTCTGCCAGATGCTCGCGTTGGCGTTGGGAAAAGCGCTTTATACTGTCAACGCCCACCAGAATACCGAGACAGGCGATCTTATTGGCTCTCAACGACCAGTCAGAGACAGGGCTAGCGTTGAAGCCACACTTCGCCACCGGCTGCTCGCTTCGCCGCCTTTACAGGAGCTTGACACCGCTGCAGCACACTCTAGTGAGTCGCTGCTGATTGCGTATGATTGCGCAGTTGCGAGCATGCCGCTCGTTGAGAAGCAGCAGTACTGCGCCTCCGATGCCTATCAGGAGGCTCAATTGTTGCGTGCTAGATTCAAGGCCCTTTTCGAGTGGGCAGATGGAGCCCTTGTTCAAGCCATGAAAAGCGGCGCCTTTTTCCTACTTGACGAGATCTCACTGGCCGACGACTCAGTTCTGGAACGCATTAACAGCGTACTTGAACCTCAGCGTTCCATACTGCTAGCTGAGAAAGGTAGCATAGACGCCTCAGTGACTGCTTTGCAAGGCTTTCAGTTCTTCGCTACTATGAATCCGGGTGGCGACTATGGCAAGCGCGAGCTGTCGCCAGCGCTGCGAAACAGGTTTACAGAGATCTGGGTTCCTGCAATGTCCGAGACGGAGGATGTCGCTCAGATCATGTCATCAAAGCTCGTGCCGAGCGCGACACGCTACGCAGGCGCTATGGTTGCGTTTGCACAGTGGTTCAAGCAACGGTTTGATACGACGGCAAGCTCTTCAGTGTCCGTCCGTGACGCTCTTGCCTGGGTGGAGTTCGTCAATACGTGTGTGGAGATGGACACCATTACAGCCATTGTACACGGGGCTGCTATGGTGTATATTGACACTCTGGGAGCCAATCCAGCCGGTCTTATGACGCTCAGCAGTCACAATCTGGCGGAGGAGCGGAGCAGCTGTCTCGCCGAGCTCGGACGACTCATCCATGCGGACACCTTTGCCATTTACGGAAATCCCGTTGAGGTTGTAGATCAAGCCGAATTTTTCAGTATCGGTCCGTTCGCTGTCCGTCGAAGAGCTTCGTCTAGCGTCGCTGTCAATGTGTTCACCTTTGGCGCTACGACAACACGAAACAATGCGATGCGTGTCCTAAGGGCCATGCGGATTCCCAAACCAGTCCTACTAGAGGGAAGTCCCGGTGTCGGGAAGACAGCTCTGATTACAGCGATTAGCGATTTGACTGCTGTGCCGTTGACACGCATTAACCTCTCGGAGCAAACCGACCTTTTAGATCTTTTCGGCTCGGATGTACCGGTCGAAGGCACCCTAGAGTGTAACTTTGCATGGCGGGAGGCACCTTTCCTTCGCGCCATGAGATGTGGCGAGTGGGTGCTGCTGGACGAGATGAACCTGGCCTCGCAGTCGGTACTCGAAGGTCTCAACGCCTGCTTGGATCACCGTGGCGAGGTTTTCGTGCCTGAGCTGGGTCTGACTTTTACCAAGCACCCTGAATTTCGCCTCTTCGCTGCACAGAACCCGCACAGTCAGGGCGGCGGCCGCAAAGGATTGCCTGCATCATTCGTCAATCGCTTCACCGTGGTATATGCCGACGCTTTCCAAGCAGACGATCTTGCGCTCATCTGTCGGAGAGGCTTCCCATCCGTTGGCGAATCTATATTGAAGCGCGCTATAACTTTCCTGACGCAGCTTGACCGTGAGGTCGTACAACGACGTCGCTTTGGCTCGATCGGCAGTCCTTGGGAATTCAACCTCCGCGATCTTTCACGCTGGCTTTCACTGCACGCCTCAGATGAAGGCCTAATAAAGGCAGGCAACGCACGGGATTTCGTTTCCTTCCTGTTTTGCCATCGATTTCGGTCAGCGGCTGATCGAGCATTAGTCGACAGCTTGTTTGACTCCGTGTTCGAAGATGCGCTCTACGCGACTGACATATCTAGCAGTATCTCTTACAGCCGTTTGCAACTGGGACTTGCACTTTTGCCAAGAGATACGTACTCTGCTCAAGTCACCGATGCTAGCCCGCTTGTATGGACATCAGATCGTCTGAGGATACTGGAGTCCCTTATGCTCTCCGTACAACAAAGCTGGCCCGTTCTGCTTGTAGGATCGTCAGGAAACGGCAAAACAACATTAATAGAAAAGCTGGCTTGCACCATTGGAGCCTCTGTATCAACCATATCACTCAATGCGGAGACGGACGCCATGGATTTAATTGGCGGCTATGAGCAGGCCGACTCGATGCGTCAGAACCATGCAGCACTTGCTGACCTCCGACTGCGTATCGCGGAAATGGCACTCTCGACTGCTCTGCGTGCTGTGGCGGCGCAGTTTCTTGACGCCTTCCACCAGCTAAGTAATGACGACCGACCCGCATCAGAGCGTTTGGCCGAGCTTCGGCGCATAGTTTCCTGCTGGAACAGCCCCGACCTCTGCGAACTTTTTGACGAGGCTACCTCGAGCGCTACTGACGTTGACAGAGCCCGCTTTGAATGGCATGACGGGCCTCTTATTGAAGCCTTAAAACACGGCAAGTGGCTGATCCTTGACAACGCTAACCTCTGTAGTTCGTCTGTGCTTGACCGTTTGAACTCTTTGCTCGAAGCAGATGGAGCCCTGATCGTCAATGAGCACGTTGAAGCAGACGGCTCGCCGCGTATTATCCGGCCACATGCAAATTTCAGGATCTTCCTGACCGCCGATCCACGGTATGGCGAGCTCTCTCGCGCAATGCGCAATCGAACTGTCGAGCTATTCCTGCCCCCGATAGATGGCGCGGTTGCGCGCACCCAACCGCTGTATTCCGAGTCAGCCATCGCACGCCTTCGGCAAATTCGATTGCTAGACCATCTCCCCGCTGATAACGGCATGCTCGATCGCAGCCTCAGTCTGGCGCAGGATCATACAGGACTGAGCGATCGAGCCTTGCTCTCTCGTTTTGCTGCACAGCTAAGCGCTGGTCTGTACAGCGACAGCGCTAAGACCCGCGCTTTCAACATAGCGGTGTCGGCTCCCAATGAGCATCATTATACTGCGGGGCTGTACAGCTCCGCAAGTGTCACATATGCCAAGGCTACCGCTGACTTTGCAAGTGTACAGGTCAGTGTTCCGGCATAGTCCCCAGTAAGTACTCCGATACTGATGGTAAGACTGTTTCTTAGACTATTCATCCTCTCAATAATCAAGCACTCGTCTCCCAAAACCCAGCTCTCTCTCAGCGTGCATTGATGCTTACTTTCGTGTACGATGTCCAGCGGTTGTTCACTCCGTTACTCAACCGTACACGGCGATTAAAGTCGGACGCGGCGGTTACGCGTCAATTTGACAGTCTTGCCCGTGTAATGCGCCGCAGTGCAAACGCAAATCGTTCGGAAGACGGACTGCTTGCATTTCTGGAGCACGTTGAGATTGCGGTCCTGCAGTGGCTGCAAGAGCTTGCCGAGGTGTCGGATGCGTATGCTGGGCAGACTGATGCAAGCACGGATATACAGAAGCATATCCACGTCGACACACGGTTTGAGCTTCGCGACGCCCCATCGAGAATTGTACGGCTGCTGGCTTCGAGCGTTCAGTCTTTCTTGGACATGGCAGCATGCAGTGAGCTGGACGCAGTCACAACAAACGCCTGGCTGCTTGTGCTTAAAGAGACACTCTTGACGCCTGTCATTGCAACTTCGATCACTGGCCCGTCGTCAACACACGCCATTCCAATGTCAATCGGAGAAGCATTGAGCCATCAGCTGTCTCTGTGGCAACTTCAAGACTTTCGAGGGTCTGCCTGCACATCATTGTGGAAGGCATTGAGACCGCTCTCACCGCCCACGATGGCCCATCTCCAGCAAGTCGAGTGTCTTAAGACTCTTATGGACCGCTTCGATAAACTAGTCCAACGATTTGATGCGCCCCTCGCCCAATTGCTTAAGATGCGGGCCGCATTCGCGGAAGCATGGCGAATGGCCCTAACGACGAAAGCGGATACCGCAGCACTGCAGCAACAACTCGAAGCACTGATGCCGGCCCCACAGGAAGATGTTGACGATCATGAACATGGCGAGAAGCCTCACTTTCACGATGTGTTTCAGGATCTTTGTGGCAAGTTAGCTATCCGGTCTATGTCAGAGCCTGCAGCAAGTATTACCGCCAACGCCAGGGTTGTCGAGATGCTAGCACTACGGCCTACCTACGATAGTGCCAGCACTCTTCACGATATGTACCGTACGCCGGACTGGCACGCTGACCTTGCGCTGCTTGCCGCCGAGCTTGCGTCAGCTCAGTCCAGCGACCCCATGCTTGGGAACCAACCGTTTCACTACAGATTCTTCCAGTTGGAAGCCTCCATCGACAATGTCAGCCTACAGCGATTTGCGCTACTGGAAAACGAAGTCGGTGCCCTGGGCTTCGCTATATCCGCCAATGCTGCAGCTTTCTGCGAGGATGACCTTCTGCCACTGAATCAGTGCCTCAGAAAGATGCTGAAAGCTGTGCTCAATGCTCTTGCCGTAGGCAACAGCCTAAATGTTGATTCGGCTTGGTTTGCCGAGCTCCTAGGCTCCACTGATGACAGCCATCATCCTCTCTTCGTAGATGCCGACATGTCCAAGGCATTGGGACCTGATCCACAAGGCGTAGAAGCGTGGGTCAAAACAGCGCTTCAGCACGTTTTTCTGTACCTCAACGATGCAATGGGCGCTGGTGAGCCATCGCGCAATCGCGCAGCCAACGCCTGGGCTCTCCTTGGAGCAAGCTGTCTGACGCTCTACATTCCTCGACAGCCGTTTGACCCTGCCCTGATGTCGACTCTTGAAAGCGACGTCTACCAGCAAAGCCGCAAGGAACTCGAGCAAGACTATCATGCGCTCACGAGCTTCGATACATTGCTCACTGGAACGCCACATACACTTCGATCGCGATGCGTTATGATGGCTCTTAACTCTTTGGGCCCAGCACCCGTGGTTGAGCAGGTGTGCAGACCTGCCGTATCTGAGATGGATCGATTAACCGCCGAGCTCGAAGGCCTGCTTCGCCTTGCGGAGTCTCTACGCCTGCATGCGTTTTCACACGTCGCAGCAGACGAAGTGATGTGGACGAACCTGGCACGTCTCCGACTCCGACTTCAGCAGCAGTATCGCGCATATGCAGACTTTACGGGCCCAATTATTGGATTTGTCGACTGTCTTCGGATGGCACGTCGGCTGCTTCAAACTCCCAAGGTGTCCGCAGAGACGGCGTCTTTCACCACGATCGCAGCTATAACACCCTTCAGCACAGCTTCATGGACTACTTGGTTGTCAGATGAGGCCTTCATACACGCCTTGTCAGCGACCCAGACGCAGCAGGAGACACTCTATGTTTTACATGTCCTTGCCACAAGAAGCTTTCTAGCACCAATCCGATATCAGTCCTTGGCTCTACTTGACAAGGTCGACCTCCAATTCATCAGATTCTACGATCGTTGGAAAGCGACGCTTGACGAGGACCAACGGCGCAATACTGCGAAGTCCAGCCTTTACCGTTACCAGGGTGGTCAAGAGATGGAGGCCGAAATATTAACGGAAGAGCTTGCGCAGCTCTTTCCAGATGGCGATGACGGTACTGGGACCTCGCAAACGTCTGGTAGTCGCGCAAATCAGATGCGAGACACTGCATATGCGGTATCACGGCTTCACCACTCCCTCTTTACTCCGAAGGACGGCGATTTACACGACATGGTCGACCTATTACGGCAGTATGCGCGTATCCTTGCCCAAAGTCAGGACCCTTCATCATTGGCGTCTTGCATTCCAGCAATGCTATGGAACTTACGCGCCCTTACTGATAGCATATCGAAACCCACCCTACTTCCGGCATCGTACAATATCTACACGGATGGCAACGTTGGCGAAGTCAAGAAGCTGGTCCACCTGGTAACGAGAGTCCGAGTACGCTTCGATGATCTCCATCTGGCCTGGCCTGAGCATGCTACACCGCTGGATGTTGTGCAACGATGTAGCCTGATCTTCCAACTACCTCACAACAAGCCTCTGACAAGCTTGATGGTGCATTTGGAGAAGCTCTACGCTACAGTGGCGCAGTGGCAGCAGGTAGCCAGCCGCGAATACAGCGCTGGGGACCTACTCGACGCGATCACTAACATGATTATTAGTTGGCGACAACTGGAGTTAGCAAGCTGGGCGGGACTACTACAGAGAGAGGACGACAATTGCAAAAGAGATGCAAGCTCATGGTGGTTCATCGCCTTTGAGAACATCATCCTGGCATTTCGGGGCTCTCAAGGCTTGTCACATGAAGCTCGTCAGCAGATACAGAGCGTTTTGCAGACTCTCGAGGATTTCATCGCAAACTGCGGCCTTGGCGAATTTGATACCAGACTTGCTATGTTGCGGGATTTCGCCAACCATGTGGAGCTTCTGGGTAAGGATCACGCGTCTTTCGCCCTAATGCATCAAGCACTGGCAAACTTCATTGCGTATTTCAGTCGCTTTGAATATGTTGTGGCAGAGACACTGCGCGTAGGACGGTCACGCCTGGAGAAAGACATTCGAAATGTTATGCAGGTTGCCAGCTGGAAAGACCGCAATGTCGATGTCTTGAGGCAGAGCGCAAAGTCTTCCCACGGAAAGTTGCTGAGGCAGGTGCGGAAATACCGTGCTTTGCTCTCACAGCCTGTCCGTCCACTGCTCCAAGGTGAGATGGCGCTGAATGCGAAGTTGCAGCGATGGAACGGTAATACCGGTAGCAGCGACACTGCCCATGACCTAGCTTCGAGGGAAGTGTTGATCGATATTGCACTTGAGACCTGGCAAAGGCGCCCGGCGCGCTTTATCAATGTGACATCAACCGTCTCTCTCATGCGCGCGAGGACTGATACACTTGCGCTACGAAACGACTCCTCGAAGCAGATTAGCACTTTCGCCGCAGAGGTGCAGAACGATATTCTTGACCTGCAGAGGAAGACACCTTCTACACTTACAGACCACAACAAGGCGTTTGTGCAGCATCTGAAAACGCAAAAGCGGCGTCTTCTTGCCGACGTGCTGAAGACTGTTCGCTTGATGGGATTCCAAGCGAATCTCAGCGACGAGGCGCTTTCGCGTCAAGCTACCTTGCACGTTGTGCTTGCGATTGCACCTGCTCTGGACGTGCTGGGCAAGCATGAGGGAGGCGCTAAAGCCGAACTCTCGTTTCACAGCCTGCTCAGCCTGATGCCGAACGTGCGCGAAAGCGCACGAAAGCACTCCGAAGATCTAACCGGAAGTGAGGCCAACCGCTGTTTGATGCTGCTCGAAAGTATGCTGCAGACGTGCATCGCTGAGCGCAGTCGGTTAGTTGAAAACGCGCGGTTTGCTAGCGAACTGGAAGCTGTAATGCAGCGTTTTAATGCCTTCGCCTTCTGCGACAGGCCGACCAAGGAGGGCGCCAATAGAGATCAGAGCCACCTGATGGCTCGACTGAGGTGTTTGAAACCCATACTTGAGACGTGCACCCAGCTCGTTGACGCACAGGCGAGCCTTGCGGAGCGCGATTATACCCACATTTCTCAAGCCATTCGAACAATGGCTGGGAAGGCATCGATGCTCGAAGACGAGTTCGGTGCTCTACCGCCTCTGCTACCTGGCATCTCTAATACGGCGTTTGAAGCTTGGCAATTGCGTGTCGACGCTCTTGGTCATGAGATTGACGGCGCCGCAAGCTCCCTTGTGGCACAGTATCCAGAGACAGAGCCCATTCTGTGCCACCTTACACGATGGACCGTGACTGGACATTCCGTGCCGCTGTCAGCGAATGGATATCTAGAGATTGATGCCGAACAGTGGACGAGCGACTTACTGGCTGCACTTGATGTCATATTGAGCGGCATGCAGTCAATCGGTCAAGGCAGCCAGCCATTGCCCAGTAACGTCGTCGAGGAGAGTTGGCTTACACAAGCACAGAAGTCCATCCATGCGGACTTTGAAGCTCTGAAGGTAAAGGCGATAGTGCGGCATGTCACCTCCGCAGTTGCTGGTCTGTCTCATGTGGCTGGTAACATTCTGCCACAGATCGCCGCCATCTGTCGTATTGTTCTTCCGATCGTCTCCAGCTATAACGAAGCCTGTCGGCGACTCCTCGATCAGTCATGTACTTTGCAGGTTGAGACAACAAGGCTGGCGTGTCAGCTTGCTAGATCTTTCCTCCAACTGGCCCAACGCGGCTTTTGCACCCCGCCGGAGAAGGCACCCCGTGATGAGCAGAAAGGTGGCGACGTCGAAAGCGGCACAGGTCTTGGTGAGGGCGAGGGCGCGGGAGCGGAAGATGTGAGCAAAGACATCGCGGACAACGAGGACTTGTCGGAGTTGGCGCAAGAGCCCACAACGAGTCGCGAAGACGGCACCATCGAAGATGAGAAGGATGCAGTGGATATGGCTGACGAGGAAATGGAAGGCGAATTTGGCGAGGATGAGGCAAATGCGGAGGATGAAGAGGGTGCAGCCGATGCTGAGGCTGACCGGCACCTGGATGAGGAAGCTGGCAGCATGGACGATGAGGAAGATGTCACAGTTGATGAAAAGATGTGGGATGATGGTCCGAATGGGGATATCGCGGAGAAGGAAACGAACAAAGCTCAAGGCACTATGATTGGAGATGACCGGACAGCTGGGCAAACCAAGGACAGCGGCTCCGACAGCGAGGTGAAGCAGCGCGATGCTGTTCCGGAAGAAGAGACCGTACCTGACGAGGAGGAGCATGTGCAACAAGCAACCAACGAGCAGGTCGATCCTCACGCGCAGGATCAGTCTACGTTAGAGAACCTAGAGGATGTTGATGTGGATGGTCAACCCCATGAAAGTGATACACTATCCGAAATGGACGATGTGTCTGACGGTGCAGAGGGGGAGCAAGAAGCGGACGCCGAGCTTGGGCAAGAGGCTTCGTTGGAAGACTCTGGCGATCACAACGATGCAGAAGCGAACGATATTGCTGCCGATGCTGTGGAAGCCGCCAAGGCGGAAGCGGATGGCCAACTAGATGGCGAGGAGGAAGCAGATGAGCAACTGGATGGGGAGGAGGAAGCGGGTGGCGAGCTTGATGGCGAGGTCCAGCCCGACGTACTGATGGCAGAGCGTGAAGCGCCAGCTGAGCAGCACAGTGACACCATGTTCGGTGAGAGTGGCGAAGGTGCCGATCAAGACAATAGTCACACAGAGCGAGCAGCAGGAGTCTCCGCAGCTCAGGATGAGACTACAGAAGGCGAACCGACCGAACGGCCGCAGAATTCAGACGCTGGCTCTACTGGTGTTGAGCGAGGCAGAGCCACCCAAGATGTAACGACCGCCGCGCATAAGGCAAGCGAGGAGAAGTCAAAGGTACCGTATAAGCAGATTGGCGACATTCTGGACGAGTGGTATAAACAGCAACGGCAAATCCAAGCAGCAGAGCACCATGATGAGGATGGCACAGAACGGAACCAGGACGTGGACATGGCTGATGCGAACTTCGAACACTTGCCAGATTCAGAGGCTGCGGCGGATACACAGGCGCTTGGCACCGCTTCGGCAGAGCAGTCACGAGCAATAGATGAGGACAGAGGCTTACCCGTGAATGAGCAGGAAGATGCAACAATGCCGCCCACCGAGGAGGAAGAGGGGCGAAAGAAAAAGGAGGATGCCGACACGCTCGACTTGGAGCAGCTGATGCAACCAAGCGACGCTCTTCGACTTGAGCAGCAGCCCAAGGCTTTCGTCGGAGAGCCGAAGCACGACGGTCGCGAGCGGAATCGACTCCACGAAAGCTTTGCGGATGAGGAGCAACATGTACAGGAAGTGGATCAGCAACTCACGAAAACGCATCTTGACCCACAGGAGACCACCGAAGGGTCTACGCTGCAAGAAGCACGCTCGACGTGGTCGCAGCACGAAAACAGCACGCGCAACCTCGCCCTCATCTTCACCGAACACCTTCGGCTCGTCCTACATCCCACCCAAGCCACCAAGATGCGCGGCGACTTCCGCACAGGCAAGCGGTTGAACATCAAGCGCATCATCCCATACATCGCGTCTTCGTACAAGCGCGACAAGATCTGGATGAGGCGGTCAGTGCCTACGAAGCGCTCATACCAGGTCATGCTGGCCATCGACGACTCCAAATCGATGGCGGAAAGCGGAAGCAAGGAGATCGCCTTCGACACCGTGGCGCTGCTTGCGAAGGCCCTGTCCATGCTGGAAGTGGGAGAGCTCAGCGTGGTAGGCTTCGGTGAAAACGTCACAGTCGCACATGACTTTGGCATGCCGTTCACCTCCGAAGCTGGCGCGCAAGTGGTGAGGCAGTTCGGCTTCACCCAGACCAGGACAGACCTTCGCAAGCTTTTGGCGGAGAGCATCGAGCTGTTCAGATCCGCGCGGCTTAAAGCAACGGGCTCGGCGAGCGAGCTGTGGCAGTTACAACTCATCGTCTCAGACGGCATCTGCGAGGACCATCCTTCCATTCGCCAGCTTGTACGCCGGGCGCATGGAGAGCGAATCATGGTAGTCTTCATCGTGGTAGACGCTGAAGCGCAGACGACGCAGGCTTCGAAGCAGAGTATCCTCGATCTGCAGACCGCGGAGTTTACCAAGGATGAGAAGGGAGAAATGCAGTTGAAGATGGTGAAATACCTGGACACGTTCCCGTTCAGGTACTATCTGATTGTTAGGGACGTGCAGGAGATGCCGGCGGTGTTGGCGGGGGCGTTGAGGCAGTGGTTTGCGGAGGTGGTTGAAACTGCTGGCGCGTAGGTAGGTGTTCAAAAGCAAAGCGTAATTGTATACATTCGTACAACAACTTTCATCAAAGTCAACACCGACAACACATGACCTTGAGGTTTTCATAAAGAGATACACGGCTCGAGATGGTCATAGTCTGCACACCGCATGGTCAAATGTGGCGGACATTGCCAAGGGTTCAATCAAACTCAAAGTGGTCGATGCTCCTTCGATTGAACGGCGGGTTAGGCGTACACGTGCTTCTAGGCAAATTTGGTTGAGGAATTGGCCAATGGCACGCTGGCGCAGACGGCAAGGCGTTGCGCACGCCTCAGGCCACTGGAGATCCGCCAGCTCCGCCAGAAGGAACTCAGCTCCCACAGTGTAACCACTCCTCCATCACCGTAGCGGCGCACTCGTTGCGCGCTCCCCACCGGCAGCATGACCTACAATCAGTATCAGCGCTATTCAGGCAACCCGTACGAGGAGCAGGGTGGAGGGGGAGGGGGATATGGCAGCTCCAATCCCTACGCCAGCGATGCGGGCAATCCCTATGGCGGCGATGCGGGCAATCCCTACGGCGGCGCATACGGCCTGACAGTATGCCCTCTCACCCAACTCGCTGCGCCGAGGCCCGCACTCTAGAGCATAGCGGTGTGTGGATGGCTGATATTTATATGGGGCTGACGAGGTGCATAGCAACACCAGCAACCCGGCAGCGGCTTACAGCCTCCGCACGTCCAACACCAGACCAGCAATTACTCCACCGCCGACTCGGACTACAGCCAAGCCCCTGGCGGCGCACCGATGGGTGGCGCGACAATGGGCGGCACCGCGTATGAGCAACAACCCATGCACGGTCAGAACGTGCAATACGTCCAGCCCTCGCCCACTCTCCTCTCCAACCAAGACTTCCTCTCGCGCGTCGAAGCCGTCAAAGCGGACATCCGCACCCTTACCACTCACGTCGGTCAAATCGCCTCTATGCATCAGCGCACTCTCTCCTCCCCCGACAGCAGCTCCTCCGCCCAACTCGAGTCCATGATCACGCAGACGCAAGTACTCAACACCTCCATCAAAGACCAGATCAAGTTCCTCGAGACCGACGCGGCGCGATCGAAGGACAACCAGGTCAAGAACACGCAGGTTGGGCAGCTGAAGAGCAGCTTCACAAAGCAACTGCAGGAGTACAGGGTGGAGGAGGCGAACTACGAGAAGAGATACCGAGAGCAGATTGCGCGGCAGTACAGGATCGTCAACCCGGACGCGAGCGATGCCGAGGTGCAGGAGGCGGCGGACGCGGATTGGGGTAACGAGGGTGTTTTCCAGACTGCTGTATGCGCCGAACGTCCCAGCCTACATACAAACATGCCCACTAACTGCCGTTCTCGCAGCTCAAAACCAACCGCTCAGCAACCGCCAACAGCGTCCTCGGCGCCGTGCGCGCACGCCACAACGACATCCAGAAGATCGAGCGCACCCTCATCGAGCTCAACCAGCTAATGGAAGACCTCGCGACGGCCATCGTGCTGCAAGAGGCGCCCATCCAACAGGTCGAGCAGCACACCGAGAACGTGAAGAAGGACACGGAAGCCGGCAACCAACAACTCGACAAGGGTATCGAGCATGCGAAGCGCGCGAGGAGGCTCAAGTGGTGGGTTTTCTGGATCGTCGTCATCATTATCTGTATCTTGGCGCTTGTTTTGGGCCTGTGGTTTGGTTTGCCGAAGGCGACGACTGGTCGGACGTAATTGCGAGATTCATTGGAGGAGCGCACCGGCGACGCGCGCAGAACGGGCATTCCGTTCGGAATGTGCCGGCTTGAACGACGAACACAATACCCTTCGCTTATTTGTACAGAAAGAAAGGTGCTCTTCCGAGCACAAGCGGCTGGCAGAGGAATCACAGCTTTTGGATAGCGAATGGCAAGGCAAGAAAGGGGCCGTGGTAATGGCAGGGACCGAAGTGAAAGTGTAGCTTTAGCTGCGGTATGCAGCCAAAATCGAATGGCGTTCAAGCGTGCAGCTTCTCCGGCGCCGTCTCGATGCTTCGTGCGTGGAATGCTATCTAGAAGTATGTGTCTAACACCCGATTGCGATGTCGGACCAAGTTATCGAGCGCTTTCAGTTTCTGACCTAGTCTGTTCTCGGACCAGTTGAGGGTGTCGTCCAGAAGTAATTGCGTGTAAGCGAAGACGCTGGCGTCGAATAAGCCGGGCTTGGCTTGCGAGAAGAAGCATTGATCGTTTGCTAGTAATGAAGACAGCGCCTCAAAGGCTTCGCCGGCATCGCGATAGACGTCGTCTTCTAAGATGATATTGGCAGGCGCTGACGCGGGCCGTGCTTTTAGGATCTCTGCCTCAGCTGCTTGGCGGAGTTGGTACGCGATGGTCATTTGGACCAGAGGGTTGGATGAGCATGGCGCGATGTAAAGACGATGCACTAGGCCAGTGTTCGCGGGCTCTAGGTATAGCTGGTATAGCTGTGCATACTGTTAGTAAGTCGCGTGCCTGGTAGCGAACAGAATGCCTACCCAAGCGTTCCGTATCCGGATCTCGAGTAGGGAGGCGTATGCTTCGTAGCGCACATCTGCAGGTTCCTCCGGCTTTTCTGCTTGTTGCTGGTTCGCAACCCATCGTTTCAGTCTGTTACTCGGGATGGTGCTCTGCGTTTTCGCTGCTTCGTCTGTAAAGCTGCTGGGGATGAGGAAGGGAAGCGCTCCTGACGGCGAAGCATGGTTGCTGGAGGGCACTGTGCGGAATGATATGGAGGTGAACTTCAGGTATGCCTATGATTGCCTTGTTCAGTATGCATAATGATGCGCGTTGAAGGGAGGATGTAGGAAACGAACCTGCCATTTTAAGCATGCGGGATTGTAGCTTGGACGGCCATGCTGCGAACCCTCCTCGCTTGTGAAGACGTGCAACACATGCTCTTCTCTTCCCCTCGGCGCTCGCAGTGGGAGCGCATTCGTTTCGTATGTGATGAGTGGGAACTTGTCGAAGATGCGCTTCACCGGTGGCGGAACGGAGAAGAGACGGTTGATGCTTGTCTTTGCGCGCGCCTGCACGCTTTCGGATGCTTGAGGTGTGGCATCCCCCTTCACGCCATCGGTAGCGACGGCATTCGAAGTATCATCGGCTGGCATTGCCATCCATCTTCTTAATTTATACGCCGTTATATCCACAGAGTAGAGGTGCAGCGGTACTCCAGCGTCGCTATGGCGGCCCGTGCCTGCCGGATCGGGAATGAGTGCTTTGAACCGTTAAAGGTGGTGCACATCGTCTCGAGAAACACACGGAAGTTGGCAATTACACAATGCATCACGGGGCCGGCGCATAGCCGAAAGTCTTCACTTGTCTGCATTGCTTGAATATCGATACCAAAGCATGCAAGAACTCGTTATGCAGTAAGGTTCGCTATACATATATGCTGCGCTCATGCAACGCTCGGGACGCTCCCCACCAAATCTTCAGAGGTCAACACCTGCTCCCGTGCTAGGGGCCAGGCTACCCTCTATTCTACGCTTGGCCTCCTGTTTCTCTTCAAGCGTGAGGTGGTCTTTCTTCGGATACGGTCTATGCTGCTCGACATGCGGAGAATGGCCAATCGACATGCCGACTTGTACCTGTGAGGAGTCAGCTACGCAGATTCTCGAATATGGAAAAGCTGCACCCTTGATCTTACCAGCGTCTCCAAAGCGCCATTGCTGTTGCCAACCAAGTCATCGTCGAAACGCATGACCCCGGGCTCGAATAGCAGTAGTAGCGTCGACCCACCGAACTTGAAGTATCCAAGCTCTTCCGCACGTTTAACCTTATCGCCCGTCTGCCGCGTGATGACTGTAGAGCCAACCATCATCGCGCCAACGCAGACCACCATCACCCGTCCATGGCACTCGGAGTCGATGGGCACGCAGACCCGAACATTCTCGCCATACACATCCAATGCTGATCGGATAGCCATGGGGTTGACCGTGTAGTATTCACCTTCGATTAGTTTAGGCTCGCCCATGGTGCCATCCACGGGTATATGGAAACGGTGGTAGTCCTGCGGCGCGAGTCGCATGATACCCAGCGCGCCGTTCCTATACCGCTTGGCGTCGTCAGGGTACGCTTGACCGAGCAGCTTCTCAATGCTGAAGTCTCGTCCCTTCACCCAGATCTTCTGCGCTTCTTCCATGCGGTTGAACACCACGCTCCTACAGTCGGATGGGGAGACAATGATATGCGGGTTGTCCGGGGCGCAGCAAGGCCTTGCATCTGGCTTGAGCTCGCGGTAGAAGAACTCGTTGAAAGTCTTGAATTCTTCTAGTGGCCGAAGTACTTCGGTAAGGTTGAGTTGATGGAAGTTGACGAAGCCCGGAATCTGCGCCGCGGAGGCCGGATCGTCGTATTTGCGGCCCTGCTTGAAGGAAAGGGATCGAAGAAGCTTGCGGATCCTCTTCTTCTCCATCTCTTTGCTTTTGAGACCCTTGTACAACAGTCGTATGCCAAGCCTGACATAGACACTCATACGCTCCTCATTGATCAAGCCGGTCAAGCGATCTTGAACGAGAATGTTTGCGGAGTTTGCGCCGAGACGGTACCCACCATAGCCGACCTTGGTAAGCACCTTCGTGTACCACTTCCGCTGCGCCTGACTGCTCGAGACGAAGCCCGCCATCACCAAATTGTTGACCGCTCGCCAGTCACTGCTCGCACAAGTCGCTATATGTGTGATGATATCTGCATCGGTTGTCCTTCTGCCTCTTGATAACCGTGGAAGGTGGCAAATAGGACACTCGTGGATCTCAACGACATGCTCCTCGTTGGAAGTGGCGTCGAATTCATCCGCATCCTGTGCCATGAGATCCGGCGACGCCATGGGATTCAAGTCCGGTGACGAGCCTTGTGTAGCATTGGCATCAGCTAAGTCATTGCCCGGTAATCTGTCACCTCTTTCACCGGCTTCACTAAGGTCAGAGACTTCCAACGTAGGTATCTGGCTGGTGCTGGTGGAGAAGTTGCTCGGTGTCCTGTCGAGACCGGCCAAGTATGGTGTACCACCCGGAGGCGATGTCTCCGGCGAGCTGCCGTCAAGCATTCCGAAGCGTGCAGACGAAGTGCGCGGGTCGCTTCCAGAATGCTTCCTCCACTGTGGTGAACTCATGTAGCTGTGATGATGCGATGTCTTCCTCAGCTGCTCCTCTAAGCATAGCACGGCTTGATCCATTGTTAGAATCTCCTCGCCGCCGTTCTCACTCCTGAAGCGCTTGAAGAAGCCGTCGATCGTACTGTTGTGTAGAGTGCTACCGAGAGTGTCTAGCATTGTCACGAGTTCGACTCTGTCAATCTTGCCACTTTCATCTGCATCGTACTGTCGCAGCATCACACGCCAGAACTGCTGCCGAAGCGCGTTGTATGGTAGGTACTTGGCGCGAATCTGCAAGACAGGGTTGTGCTTATCCTCCCACCGTGACTTGTTCTTCAGCTCTAGTGGTAAGTCATAGGTGTAAAGGCCGGTCTCATCACCAGTCCCGCTATCGGCGTTGTCGTGAGCGGAGCCCGTCCCGTTCGCTTTTACACTCGGTGCCTGGGAGGGGTAGCTTGTCGGTGCTGGACGCTGCTGTCTCTCTATGGTATCGCCGTCGCTGCTGCCCTGCCTACGCAGACTCGGCTTGTTCGGGGAGACACCGGCGGCGACGGCCATGTTGCTGAGGCTCGTGTTGGACGTTGTCCTCGTAAGCTTGTTTAGGTTCGTCCCAGAGTTATTTCGACTAAGCCGACCAATGTTGGTCTGCGACGTGCTCCTTGACATTGACACACGCCATTTGCGACGCCTGGTCTCCGCATCCGTTACTGCGTCCGGATCTGGCAGCTTGTATAGCCCGGTCTGCTCGTCCGCTACAGGCGCAAGCGAGCGCACCTTCTCTACCGGGAACATGGCTGTGCCGACAAAGTCGTTGCCAGTGAACTTGTCACGATCTACAACAGCAAATGAGAGACTGTAATTCAGCTCGTGCTTCGAGACCTGGAACACCAGCTTCTCGTCGTATACCGGGTTAAGATTATGGTTGACAACTCGCGTGCGGTAGGTCTTCTTACCGAGCGAGGTTACCACGAATGGGTCCATATCGAAGCCTGTACGGGTCATGTTGCGCTCAGGTGGCAAGTCCGTGATACGATTGATCTCGAGGAACAGAACGCCAGCGACATCAGAGCCTCCTGTGAACTCATACGTTTTGAGCTTGCTCTTCCGCTTGAGCTTGATTTTCTCCATCCGCCGCCGCTTCTGCTTCTCAGCCGATTCAATGGTCTGGCGATCGCCCGGTGTTCGTACGCCATCGTCAGCCGTCTCATCCAGCGCATCCTGGTCGTCAGCATTTGCTTCCTCCTCGTACACGTCGTCGAGATCTCGGCTGTTGAGCTTGTTGAGAAGCTCGTCGTCGTTGTCATCATCTTCATCCTCGCCATCAATGCCAGTGTCTGCTATGACGCCGTGGAACTTTTGTAGCACGTGCTGCGGAGTTGCTGCGGTGTTGAGAGGATCGAAGAGCGTGAACTTGAGTTGAACCTCGCCGGTGACATTGTCATCCTTCTTTTTGCGGCGTCCACTTCTTCGGCTTTCGAGCTTGAACCATCTCGCATCAGGCGTAGTATTGCCAGAACTGAAGATGTCGTCCAACATGACATCGAACTCGCCCATGTAGTCCTTCTTGAAGCGATCCTTGTCCCAGCACACCGCTTCAAGCAACGCACTATCCGCCTCAGTCACTGGAAACTCGAACGTCTGGTTCCACTCGGGGTTCAATGTCTTGCTGATCACACTCGTTGCCTCCTTCGCCTCCCCTAGGGTGAGGACAAGGAAAGGGTCCGAGGTACCACTCTTGTCCTTGGGCGCCAGATTGCGGGCTCGCATGACATGGACTCTGCAGCTCAAACCCATACCTTTATGGTCACCTCGCTCATTACTACTTACCGGAGCCGGCGCATCTTTTCGCCTGGCCATGTTGTCCTTCTCTACGCCGGTGAGACTTCGTGTCGGACTGACATTCCTGCTGCGTGTGGGTGGCGTCGATGGAGCCGAGCTGGGCTGCACATTGGAATGGTAACTATCACTCTTCACGCGGTGCAATGACAAGTGGTGAGGGATGTGTGGGCGAGGCATTGTGTTATGGCTTGCAGTGCCAATGCCGCTGCCCAGCACGCCGAATGACGGGGGTGGCCAAGAAGCGCTGTCCAAGAAGCAGGACAAAGGCCAAGTGGGAGCTTGATTCTCCAACTACTAATGCGCCATGCCACGCGGTCTCCGCGCCGTGGCGGACCTTTGCGGTTGGATATGAGCAAGCTGTCATGCATTGCGGGGCACTCATTACGCAATGAGGGCTGGCAGCGTGGTCGTTCAGGTGTTGAACCCTCTATCATATCATCGTTTGAACGTCGTGCAACAATGCAATCACTGACAACCGTAACATTGCCCTCTTGGCACCGGCTTACCCGGGTCAATCTGCAAATAAGAGTTCCCATAGATTGAACACACAGCTGAGAGCGTCCACAGTGCTCCTGGGAACCGGAACAGAAATGGTCTGTTCAGAAGCACGATGCACGAGATTTTAGCCGAACGTGCTACGAAACCCTCTGCGCTAGTCTGAGACTTGGGACAGCAATAATATTAGGAAGAAGTCGGCCCTCTCTGCATAGCAATCACGGTACTGCCTGAGTCCTCCGCTCGGGAGCTGTCATTCAGATTTGCTCATAGTGTGCTTTGGCAAGTTCGAAAGCCTGCTGAAACACACGCCACTTGCAAACGGCCTTGACCGTTCCGAGGCCTCTAAGCCGCATCTGCGTCTTTGCGAAGTATTGCTCCGCGAAATGCACATCGAACGCCTGCGGATCGAAGCTCATCCGGAAGCCAGCAAAGGCCGGACCCAGCTGTTCACCTGGTCCGTCAAGACCACTGTAGCCACCTACCAGTTTCTTGACTTGAGTCTGCTCGAAGTAATTGTCCAGGTGGAGATGTATGATGAACTTCCGATGGACACCTGCCGCAGGGGATGGTAAGAGCGTGCTTATTGCATTTACCACGTAGTCTCCTTCGAAGTTCCTAATGTGAATGGAGACGGTATCTGCTCGCAAAGGTGCTTCTTCCAGCCACACACTGACGTACTCCCGCTGGACCTGGCGACAGGTCTGCATCAATGGCGGCTGATATATCCGCAATTGTCGTGGAGTCACAGCACAGACGGCAAGCTCATGACGCTGTGCGATGTAGCTGTAGATGACATTTCGCAACTCGGGCGGCATAGCCAGAAAGCCTGTGGCTTGCGGCTGCACAAATGGGTCAAACGGTACAGCCGGCTTCACTACGTCCATGTCTGACGGTTTCGCTGACTGCCAGACTGCCGTCAATGAGGGCATCCGTCGTATCTCCTCTGGCCAGTCTGGAGATGTGCCGTTTGGTTGGCCGCTCAGATCCCACGGCGTCTGCGCGCTCCAATATGCCACAAGCGACAGCGTGCATCGGCGTACATATCGCAAAACGCTCCTACATATTCTGTTTCGGATCGCTTACGCAACACGTCCAAGCTTGCCAGTGTGGTTTCAATAACAATGGCATGCTGCTCGGCTGAATGTGAACCTTCCGGCGCACGGACTTGTCTCTCCTCCGCGCCAATGCAGGCACCCCAGGTCGGCCCTTTCAGCCTCAGCGGACATGGAAAGTTGTCCCTTGATACGTCTCACGTGGGCCACTGTCTCTGGCCTTAAGGTTCAATGATTCCGCGATAACAGTAATATCAACTCAGCGACATGACGTCGCACATGAACGGGTTTGCCGACAAAGGTCTGGACGAGGGCAACTTTGGCGAAAACCAGGCCATCAAGGCTGTCCGGGCGTTTGATGCATTCCCAAAGACAAAGCCATCGTATACTCAAAAGACGAACAATGGCGGCATTTGGACAGTAGTGCTGGTATGCGCGAGTTTGTGGCTAGCATGGACGGAAGTGATGAGGTGGTGGTGGGGTCACACTACGCATGAGTTCTCCGTCGAGCAGGGAGTCGGCCACGACCTGCAGATCAACCTTGATGTTGTGGTAAAGATGAGGTGCGATGATCTGCACGTCAACGTTCAAGATGCCTCGGGAGATCGCATACTTGCAGGCGAGACACTGCAGAGAGATGCAACTCTCTGGTCGCAGTGGGGTGCGAACCGCAAGCTTCATACATTGGGCGCGACACGGGATGAACGCCTAGAAATGACTGGGTACTCAAGCTATGGCGACGCCAGGGAGTACGCAGAGGACGATGTGCATGACTATTTGGGTGCCGCAAGCAGTACGAAGAAGTTCAAGAAGACTCCTAGGGTGCCGAAAAGCAAGGAAGCGGACAGCTGTAGGATCTACGGAAGCATGCATGGGAATAAGGTGCAGGGTGACTTTCATATAACGGCGCGAGGGCATGGCTATATGGAGTTTGGGCAGCATTTGGAACATAGCTGTAAGTTCACACACACGCGGACGATTGCAGATCGAATTGGCTGACTAGGAGATGAAAGCCTTCAATTTCTCGCATCACATCAACGAGCTTTCCTTCGGGCCGTTTTATCCTTCGCTGACCAACCCTCTCGACAATACATTGGCGGCTACTGAGTTTAACTTCTTCAAGTTCCAGTATTATCTCTCCGTCGTGCCCACCATCTACACAACCAATGCCAAGGCGCTCCGCAAGATAACGAAAGCTCAGCAGGGTGAGTCGCCATCCTCTGGGTCCGATGGACTTGATGCACATCCGCATCGCCACAGCAAGAGCACGGTCTTCACGAACCAGTACGCTGTAACCGAGCAGTCGCGTCCAGTGCCTGAAAACCAGGTCCCTGGCGTCTTCGTAAAGTACGATATCGAGCCAATTTTGCTCATGATCGCGGAAGAGCGGAACAGCTTCCCTGCGTTGTTCATCAGACTGGTGAACGTTATTAGCGGTGTGCTTGTAGCAGGCGGCTGGTGTTTTCAGATCAGTGAGTGGGCTAGGGAAGTGTATGGACGGAGAAGAGGTGGTAGGCAAGATAGCTTCGGCATGCTGACGCCGATGGACGAGAAGAAGGGTTCGCTTTGAACCACCATCCGACCGCTTTGACAGCATCCCTTGTCAGACTTCGCTTCCACAGGACATGTTGTTATTCCCAAGGGTGCCGTCCGTCCATGAACCGCTCCTTCCATTCCGGGATGCTTGCGCCTTCCGCTTTCGTTTCGCTGCCTAACTGGTGGCAACAATCAAATCTCGCCAAGTTTGCACGGCTCACTAGGTGTCAAGAAGTCGCGTAGAGGATGTACATCTTCTGGACTGATAAGATTTGCTGAAGTGTAAACCGCTGTATGGGCAACACCTCCTCGACAGCAATGTCGACCAGTTCGTCTAGCGCGTCCAGCATGCAGCCTCCAAGGAGCAAGGGTATGACTGTCACGGTTAATCCCAACATATCTCCGGAGCATTACTTGCAGGCCAAGATCGAAGATCACGACGAGGAAGGAGAGTATCCTAGTACTCCCGATGATAAGAAAGAAGGACTAGCTGCGCCTGTCGACATCTCCCAGTGCGCGGTGAAAGGGCAAGCCGCCAACGATGTGGAGGCCTGGATGAGCCAGCTTGAGAACCATGGCGTCGTGAAGCCAGTGCTCTCTGCCGCGAGACATACACCCTCGCCGCTTAATATACAGCCTGGAAAGAATCTTGTGGCGCACCCACCACGGAGCCCAACACGATACATATCCAAAGAAGCTCCACATAGACATACAGCAAGTCATGATGACTTGCACAATTCAATCAGCGAGTCCGTTGCCTACAATGGGGCGTCAGGTACGGTTGAGCCCTGGGTTCCGCCTTCTAAGCTTGATGACATTTTGCACTACGATATTCGTGCTCGGGCCGTCTTCTGGATGAATCGCGCCCTTACCGCAGACAAGTTCACCATGGTATTCCAGTCGGATTTGTATACCGTTTACTCGACGTCCTTCGCCAAGCACATGAGTTCTGTCATGGCAAAATCCGAACTGCTTGACCTGGTCGTGAAGATGTTCAAAGGCGCTATCGCGCACTCGGAAGGTGCAGACAATGACGCTCCGGTAATTCGTAACATCGCATGGCGCGGCCAGCCAACGTGCGAAGACCACATTAAGGCACGCGTCGAGTGCGAACGGCAGGGATCTGTGCAACGGCATCCGTTAGATGCTGCCCAGATGACGCCGAACGAGATGCAGGGCTTCATCGCTGCTTTGGACGATGATTACCGACCTAGCAACAAACTCATAACGAAAGCTCTCCTTCGCAAAGGGCGGCGCTTATTCCATGTCGCGGAGCCGGTGCGTACGAGGCTCTGGCTTCGCATGCTTTTTGAAACAGGGCACAACGAGAAGGTCTTGGAGAGCTCAGTCTGGGAAATCTACAAGCAGACATTTGGACCGTACTGCGTAGATCATCCGTATTTGGACGCCACGAACTTCTTGAAGGCCATCAGCCGAGTTTTTCCGCAAAGCGAAGATGTGGAAGTGGCACCGGAAGAGCGTGTCATCTGGGGCATTCGGCCTCGCGAAGTCTTGGGCAGAGTGTCAGATGTGCTGAAGAGGTACCACCAACATCAAGTTGCGAGGCGCTACGACGAGCTAAGCGGCGTTATGCTAGAAGCGGTCAAGAACGGCGAGTTTGTCATACCCGACCCTCTGAAGAAGGGTGCTGCGTCCAATAAGTTTCAGCAAGCACTGCTGCTCGACCCATTGTTCCCACTTCCTGCGTCACAAGAGTCACCATGGATGTTGCGTCTTCGTCGACGCGCTAACGGAGAACCCCTAGGTGACCAGCAAACTGGCTTTCCAGAAGTAAGCATGAAGCAGCTGAGCCGGAAGATCGCACGGGATCTGAAGTACGCAGCCCGGACGTTGGTGAATAGTGCTAGCGGTCGAGACCTTGATGGTGCTTGTATGACCGGCTCAGTGCGCGCGCCGTTGCGGAGTTCGGCAGGTGCTACACATTCGGAGGGACAAAAGAAGGTGTTGGATGGACATGGGTCAAGCCCGGCATCGTCAGCTGGAGTATCCGTCACGGAAGCGACAGAAGCTTCTCAACGCCTACAGGAAGCGAGGAAGACCGTCACTGAAGCTGTAAAGACCGTCAAGGAAGTCGGCAATGTCGGCTAAGCATCCAATGAGCAAGACTAACGAAGCAAAGATCATAGTGAGTTGGACGTGTCATTGTGACAATCTTTGCCGAGAGCTCCGATTGTATCGCGCCGACTTGGCAGAAGACGGTGGGCGTCTTCCATGAAGGATTGTGCTATTTTTTAACGGCGTCCGACGAGAGCCACCATAGGTAAAAGCGCAAAAGACAATGTCAATGGAACTTGAGGTCCGACCGTTCACCCGTCTCTGTCTTCCTCCTTGCTTCGCGCTTCGTTATCGCGCAGAGCATATGCATCAAGTATCCGGTGCGCCACACTCTCGCCACTCCAGTACGCTCCAGTGCTGGTACCAAGTGCGATGAACGGCGCTGTATGTTCTCCGGCAAACCAGATGCCGCGCTCAGGCATGCCGTACGTCATAGTTTCGATATCTTCGTCGCCCTTCTCCAGGCCAACCTGGAAGTTCGAATAGCTACCGTATCCGGCGTATTCATCATTTGCCCATGCCGTAGCAAGTACAGCTTTGGGCTTGCAAGCTGCGTTCGAGGCATTGTAGTTTGGAAGCAGTGTGTAGTATGGCTCAAAGAAGGCAAGCAGCCTGCTATCACGCTCTGGGTGATCACTCGATGAAGCAACGATGTTGGCAATATGCTTGCTACATTCCCCGTAGATATAGAAAAGGAGTGTTGGGTGAGCACATTCTGGTGGCAATGCCGCGAGATTCATTCCCTGCGGATCCCAACGTGAAGGATTTGTATTCGGTGCATATGCGGGCGACAGCCAGTGCGTAAAGCCGGCGTAGTGTTGTCGCCCATTTTCTTCACCATCCAGTGGCTGATGGATTGCTGTCGAAGTCGCAGTGATGTTGGGTGTCTTGCTATTCGGGTCGACACCATTGGGATGAGTGTTACGCGACGACGAAGGCGTATCCCAGAAGGCGGATGAAAAGGTGATGTAGACCTTGTCAAGCGTGCCATACCCTATGTTGGCAATCGCTTGGGACAGTCGGGACGGCAAAGGAGGGTCGAACACCCGCTCATGGTTCAGTTTGAGCCAACCGAGAGGTGCTGTAATGACAATCTCGTCGAAGTCGTGCAGTGTCCCGTCCTTGGTCCGTAGCTGTGGCCTATTGCGACGGTCGTCTTGAGCATTAGAGATGATCCTGTCGACCACCTTGTTGAATTCTATGTCTGCGCCGCTCCTCGCTGGTTGCGCCACGGTTTCCAGGACTCCGGCATAGGTTCCAGCTACAAAAGGATTCTTACCTTCGATGCATTCCTCAAGCCAGAAGAACTTCAGACTTTGCCTTTGCACTGGCTCGCCAACGTATGCTCCCCACATGCTGGTGAGCATGAGTAACGTCTCGCGCTTCCGCTTGGCAACATTTAGTGGTTCGTTCAGAAAGAGTTTCTCGGCCTTCTCAACGAAGAAGTCATAAAGGCTTGCCAGGGGATCGATACGATCATGATGCTCATTGCTGTAACGGAAAGCATCTGCTACCAGTCCATCGTCCCAGAGAATCGACGTGAGCTCCTCGGCTTCTTGCGAGTCGATAGGCTTGCCAAAAGGATCGATAATGGCTTCTTCTTCGCTTAGGCCATGCAGCCGCGTTCCGTTGTGTTGAGCTATCCGCAAGATGGGATTGTTCTCAGTCCCGTGAATCCAATTCGGGCCACTGTCTACTTCTTTAGCACTGATGTGTGTTGGTGCTCGCCCGCGTCGTGCTGACCTACAGGTCCACAAGATGGCCGAGATGATTGCTCTGCGCGACTCGGCCTCCAAGCCTGTTGCGCGCTTCAAGAATCGTCACACGGCAACCGTGCTGCAACAGCATGTCCGCGCATCTCAAGCCTGCAAACCCGGCACCCACAATGCCTATATGTGGACAAATATGATCGGCTCCGATGGGCTGCTGTTTAGACCTAGGGTTCATTGTCTTTGACGGCGCTGTACGCAATTCAAGGTCTTTACGCATGCGCGACACGCCATTGCAATCGGCATAGGCGCTATTGCCGTTGCTTTCCATACTCTGCTCGGAGCGCGTGCATAAGAAGCTACGGAGCATGCGATGACGGAGACTGCATGTTAATGACTTACAGATTCATACAGACGCCCAGTGTCGTGCAGGAGCGTATCCGGGAGCCGGACGATGTTTGCTCGTGTAGCGTTGCTAAGCTCATGAAAGTGGAAATGGAAGGGAAGGAAGTGAAGTAAGATATAGCGCATAAGATCCCGCTTGGAAAAGTGAAGAGGGAGGAAACAGTCGCGCATGTCACTGACACGGTCGACCCTGCTTCAGTGTATGCATTGAGTGCACACAAAGACTACTCATGCCCCGTCCTGCCTTGACAGTGGGTTGTCGAGGGATACACGTAATCAAAAGAAGAATCTCATGCTAATGCAACCGAAAGCTCGCGGGTAGTGCGGTCTGACCGTTTGCCATGAACATTTGAGTCCGATTGCACGCCAGTACTGCACAAGTGAAGTGAAATTCATCAGACCGGGTTCTGCATCTAACGGGCTTGACCGCCCGTCGCAATCAGAGACAAGAAGAACACTTCATCTCCAGTTACCCTGACTTAGCGAGAGCAGACCCTGAATGCAGTCCAGGTCGTCTTCTGACGACGTGCTCTGATTTTGCTGCTTATCGGACACAGTGCCTGCCGTAGGAGCCCCAGCTTCTGGCTCAACGTTCTCTTGTCCAAAATCGTGCTGCAAAGCAGACTTGTGCAACCCGGTGCGAGCGTCCTCGCGCAAGGTCGTCATCTGTGACACTCGGCCTCCTTGTGGAGCGGCGTACGAATACTCCGGACTAGAACGAGCGTTGGCCCCATCGATTAGACTGCCATCCTGGTCACGTTCAGACGGCGACCAGTTCTCCTTGTCCGAGTCGTTGCCGGGAACGTGCGCGGATAGAGTCGAATCATAACCTTTCAGCTTCGGCATGACCTTTTCGCTGCCATCCAGGCGACTCTGTAGTCGTCCGAGGGTTGTGTTGGCTCGCTGCAGGCATCCTCTTCTCCGCTCTAGCTTGGTACGATGCACGCCCTTTGCCCGTTGCGCTAACTTCGAGTTTATTGTTGCCGGCACAGAGCCTAGAATGCGTCTACCAGAAGCGGATCGTAGAAGCCCGATAGCATCCGCGGCGGAGCCACTGACATCGTCGACCGCCTTTTGCTCCAGCTCGCTGCGTGCATCTTTGTCGCACCAGAACTGCCAGGCTCGAGAGTCCCGCGATCGACCGCTCGATGACCGTGATGTACGCCTAACGCCGTCACTGCCGGTTACAGCGCTGGTATTTCCGGTAACACTCAGAGCCGCATTGAAATCCATGGGTGGGATGAGCATTGAGGCAGCGCGTGGTGGAGACGGTGAGGAGCCATTCTTGGTCGTAACGCACGCCTTACCGTCCGATGACATGGACAGACGTACGAACGACTGCGACTTCTTGCCACGTGGAGCTGCATATGCACTCTGGGTCGACGGCAGACCAGTGGCTGGCTGCTGTCGAATGGTGTTATTGACAAGGGCAATAGCCTTGTATCCGCATGCCGACGAGCCATTAGAGTCTTGGACAGCTGCATACGAGACGTTCGGAGCGCCTGCAAGCTGGGCGTCTGCTCGATAGAAGGTTGACGGCGCTGCCATGGCAATGCTTGCGGCGGTAACCACGTTGGAGCTGCTGTCGGCTGCCTCTCGCCCGTATTGGCCCGCCGCTGCCACACACACAGTGGAGGCATGCTGCGGTAGCGAGTCGGAGGCGCTGATACGGTGGGAAGGCCGCATTTGGCCAACGAGCGGGCTGGGTGGCAATACGGCAGCTTGGATGTCGGGCGCAATATGCGCGTGACGAGCCAGCTGATACTGCACGATTTCGTGTGGTAGTAGGGGCCGAGATCTGCGCCTTGAGCTTTGCCGTCTGTTCTGGAACCATATCTGAAGCACATCGTCAGTATTCGAGTTGCGGTAAGTGGGAGGCCGTGAAGCATGACATACTTGCACTTCTTTCTCACTGAGCGCGACTTGCTTCACAAGCTCAAGACGTGCTGTCTTGTCCGGCTTCGAATCCAGTTGATAAGCTGCCTCTAGAGTTGCCTGGTCGTCCGGACTTGTTCTTTTCCTTTTCTGCGGGACGGACTTTGAGTTGATATCTACCCTGTCTGAAGAGGAATTATCGTCCGATGAGAGGAGCGAGGACAGACGAAGTTCCTCATGGTGACCAGCATTTGCCACATCACTCGCCATGCGCTCAATGTCGTCGACTAGTGAAACCGAAGACAAACGATGAGCGGCACATAGAGCTTTCAAGAGAGTGGAGGGAGACCGAGGGGACGTGACGTGACGCGACGCGTGAGCTCGGACCTTAAAACTACCTGATGAGACAACACTTTCACATTCTTCACGCAGGCAATGTTCGACGTAGCTACACACACGTAGCACCTGCCTTATCAGTGTGTTCTGTCACGACACTGCGAGCTCAATGTTACGTTGGCTGATGACAACAACCAAGTAGCGCGACAGTAGACTTAAGCTGCGTGGTAAGCATCGTCTCTCCTACAACGCGTGAAACAATCCAAGTCCCGTGATCAGGAAATGGTGCGGACGATGACCGCGCCGAACCATCCTTGATGCACACGGCAAGCCACAACCGTCGAAAGACCATGAACCCGGAACATGCGGCCCCAATACGCACTCGACATGCAGCCCTACGATTTCGCAACCCTATTGACTTGCATCGCCTGCCGTTGCCTGTCGTGGTATAGCTGGCCTCAAACCCTTGGCCAACTTCGTGTTCGCCACAGGAGCTTGGGTGCGGCTGTTAGACCATATGTATGCAACGCCAGGGCTGCGCTTTTGGGGCCAACATCGTTAATACTTCCCCCTTTGTAACGGAAGCCGGCTCCTGGTGACTCTTGGTACAGCGCAGCGGCATGCCAGCGCCGACGATCTGCCCCGCGATGCCATTGCGCAAATATTTGAGTTCATCGGATCTGCATTGTCCATCCGCAGAACGTTCCAAGCGTTCTATCTGCTCCATCCGGAGACACCGAAGAGCTACGAGAAGCAGCCATAAGCGACGACTTGCCATGTCCTCACATCTGTGGCTGCCTTCTGACGATCTTCACAGCCAGATGGATTTCACTCGCCGACCTTGTCACCGTAATGATGGACCTTACTCCTATCACCACTAACTGATGGCCTTCGTACTGCTATGCATTGTGGCGATGTTCAGGAGTACTACCAACAGCAACATTGCGCATTTTATTGCGGTCTCAGAATACCAATCAGGTGGCAGCTCGAGGTAACGCTTGAGGCGGGACGTTCGCTTGAAAGTGCATTGTTCTCGCCACTGGGGCCAAATGCACGCTTACGCTAAATGAGCAACATAGTATCGGCCACGATACCACTAACCTCGAAAACGCACCAGGCTCCCTCACTCAGTTAGGACTGACGGCAAGTCCAGGAAGATCAAGCGGGATCGGCGGGCAAATCCGGCGACCACCGAGCACATCTCCCGCATATATCGTAACCTAGACGGCATGACTGTCACTAACAATGGTCTCTCACATCTGTGATTCATGCTGGGAAGCTTATCAAACCACGGTTTTAGAATGTACCGATTACCGAACCTGATGAGTACTGAACAATACCTCGACATGCGTAGCTCGGTGCGGCTGAATAGGGCACGTGGAGTCCGTACGACACTACGCCCAGAGCCGAGCGATCCCACAAGTTTGCCTGCGAGGTTAACAACGTGTTACAAAGTACGGCAATATCTAAGCGCATCACGACTTCTTTCGGTCCTTGGTTCTAGCGTGCTTCGCGTTAAGGAGCCACTGCGAATCTTTGCTGTGTCTTTCGTCTTCCAGTAATACATCTCCCGCCGCGTGCCTGCAAGAAATAGAACATCTCTTTGCTCATCATCTCAGCTTTGGCGGCTTGGTCAATGAGCCACATTCCTACCTTGACGCCGACACTGCGATTCTAGTCTGGATAACAACAAGACTCCGGTAAGGTGTCGAGTGGACCAAGTACAGCCCACTTCTGGCTGAGTAGTGGCATCGTCCTCACGACCAAACCACTACCGAACCATATGGCAGAGCTGCCACGTTCTCTAGCCAACGTGGGGCGGGCCGGTCGAAGCTGATACCGACTTGTGCATTAGGCACCTTCGACAAACCCCCGGTTTATTCGTGCAAGTATTGCTTTCTCATCCGACCCAAGGCAATCGTCCTATCTGATTGGCTGCCGTGGCTTAGCCATTCCACTCCCATCAAACACGGTCTACCGTCCCGACGCTTCAAAGCCTTGTTAGGCACGCATCCTACACTCTGCACTCCAACATACCAACGCTCTCGGTAGTCTTAGCTCGATTCTCGTACGCCTTTTCCGCCTTGCCGTTGGCGGGACTCTCCCAAGGCCTTGTCACCACCTTCAAGTTCCGCCAAACATGACAGTGACCAGGAGGCAACAGTCACAGCGTCGAAGAAAGGAGCCCCCATCGTCTAGCTTGACGGTCACTGCCTGACTGCGACCTGTGAGCTACGTGCGCACGGAGCAGCAGAGACAGGCTGCTTGTATCAGATGTGTCGTGCCGCTAGTATAATGGGATCCGGTCGTAAGCATGTCTCAGATCTGCCGGCCTACGAAGAAGAGTCAGCAGTAACTGAACGCGACATGTCGATGATGAGAGTCGCAGTCGCTGGGACATGCGGACTAGCACGCCTTATCGCGTACTTCATACAACAGGACACAGGCCATCAGGTGGTCTTGTTGTCGAGGCAGGTATGTCAATGGTTGCAAATCGCTGTCGCTGTTGTGCGCTAATAGCTTACAGGAGCGGCCAGAGCTTAGCCAAGATGTGCGTATAGCAGCGCAGATACCTCCCTCAACGACTTGCGCTAATCTTGCCGGCTTGAACAGTATCAAGTGAGCGTTGTCGACTACAGTAGCCTGCAGTCTCTGCAGTTCGCACTGCGAGGCATTGATACTGTCATCTCCACCGTCACAGGTCAAAATCAGATCGAGCTGATCAGAGCCGCGGTCTCCGTCCGAGTTCGTCGCTTCGCACCCGCGGAGTTTGAAGGTCTACCGGAACTCCGACCGGCCAATGATCCACTGGACCGTGGCCGGACGCTTGCCCAGCAATGGCTACATTACTATGCTCAACACATGCAATCCACCACATTCGTTTGCGGCATCCTGTATGAGCGATTTCAGCCTGGCGGCCTCCTGGAAGCAAAGATAAATCGCACGCCAGGCTTCGCTTACGAAGGCGACTATATGCTAGATTGCCGCGCCATGTCTGGCCGAGCTCCTGCGTACAATGCTGCCAACGCGCCGGACGTTACGATCTGCATGACCGCGGCGCAAGATGTCGGCAAATTTGTCACCAAGGCTATCGACATGCCGCAATGGCCTCGCCAGCTGAAAATGTGTGGACAGCGCATTACGGTGAAGAATCTGGTACGCCTGATCCAGCGTACAAAAGGTACCCACCTACACACCTACACTATGACGCGCAGCCTGCCACTTTCGCTGACCAGTGCACAGGCCAGGTGTTTGATCCGCTTGTTTGGCACGGTCCAGGCTCTCTGCACTCGGCACTTCAGCTTGCTACAGCAGCGGGCAATGCAGCAGAGCAGATACGCTTGCACACATTGATAGCGACTGCGGAGGGTCGTTACGACTTTACGCAGCCGGACCTGAACAACAGGTTTCCGGAAGTACAGACAATCCCGTTTCGGACATGGTTCATTATGATGTGGAGGATCCAAGGCTGAAGGTGTTGGTTCGATTCCGCATGGACACCAAAGCTCACGCGGAATCTTCGCCTTGGCTGATTGGCCGGAGCCTGACAACAGGAATACTCAGCAGCCAAGCGTTCTTCTCAGGATTCGCTGTAACGCTATGTCGGTGGGAGTGGGCGCTGCAAGAGAGCGGGTCTTGGATTGATTCCAAGCCTCGGTAGATGCCTTCCATTAACGGCAAACCTGCCTAGTTATGCGCGAGTCGGATCTTATATTCACGCGTAGTTTGAATAACTACAATAGCTAGTCTACTGCCTTTGCTTTTCTTCCCGCTCATCCGTACATCGCGTCTTCGCGCACAAGATTCTAATCCTCCTCTCCAACTCATTTACCACCAAACCAATGATGAAGTGAGGTCAAGCCTGACTGGCCCGAAAGGCAGGAAAGCTGATCTTAGCGCGCCCCAGGCACTGCCTCGTGGCGGATCCTAGAGCTCCGGTGCATTCATGTCATTCCAACCATTTGCCTATATCTCGTTAGTTCCAAGCAACTAGCACGTTATGCAATGCACTTGTGGCAAATGGCCGGCATCTGCATAGCGAAGGAAGGCCGCAGTATATGCCATCAGCCTCCGCGATTGGACCGACCAAGAGTTGCAATGTTGAAATGCTCTGGGCTGTGCAAGGTGTGAACAACCAGCCACATCATATACATGGCGCACCAGTCTTGAGTTGCACCTCTTCATTCACGTTGTTGAGTTGGGATCGTCACCGCCGTGGGTACGAAGGGCGTCTCGGCGCTGCTCGCCTGTAGAGTCGCAGCGTGCCGTCCACTCTGCCAGCATTGTCCATCTCATATTGTTTATGTTATGTACGTTCCCATTGTTCTGTGTAGATCAAACATCACACTTCGTGGTAATGGCCTCCGGAGGGGAAAGCTCCGTATCATCGTTTTCTAGTTCGTGACAACACTTCCGCATTCCGAACCTCATATCGCTGACCTTCAACGTACAATGACTGCAAATGAAAACAGCATGATTCCGCCCGGAGTTTTCGAGAGTCTGCAGCGCAAGATCGACGACGACAGCGCTGTGAAAGATGTAGGTAGAAGAAGTTAAATCCATCCGTAATTGCTACGCTGACGTCGCATTATCAGGCTCTGAGAGAGATTGTTCAAGAGCTCGAGAAGCAAGGTCAACATCAGCACTTCTCGGAGCTCCCCGTAACGACAGAGACGTCTGACTTTTCCAGATCGGTCCACGCAAGCAACGTTGTCACGAGCGCACTCAACAACGTCCGCAGACTGTAAGGTATATCGCAGATCTCGTCAAGCGTTTCAGACTAATCGGTGACAGTACCTCGCGTTGTGTCAAGCGCCCAGGCCAACATCGAGCAAGAGGTACAGACTATCCACAAGCTGTCGGAGGTGGCATCTAAACACCCCTATTACAAGTACAACTACGCCTGGACACGACATGTTCAAGATGTGGCAAGTGTGATCGTCAATTGTTATGAATACGCCATTCTCATCTTCTACAGTGCTACTCAATCTTGCTGTGCGGTTGGCTGGGTGGTTTCGGGAAGTCTGAAGTGGGTCAACTGCTCTCTATGGAGGATGTGGGCGGCATAATGGGCGGTAAGACCGACGGCACCTACCAGACTCGGGACAGGAACTTAGGGACTGAAATGTCGCGTAGTGCCGGTGAACGTCAAAGACCGCGACGTCTTCCACCTGACCATCGAAGAATACTTACTGGCTCTCACCTCGCTGCTGGACGAGCTGGTAAGGCATTCTTTGACCAGTGCAAGCCTGTGTTGACCGCTACTAGGCCCGCCTTGCGCGCAACTCAGTAACGCTAGGCGACTACCGCCGCCCGCTGCAGATCGCGCAGTTCACTAAGGATGTCCATGCAGGGTTCCAAGTGCTCAACCTGAAGAACGATGCGCTCAGGAAGCGCAGTGATGGCATCAAGTACCGTGTCAAGGAGGTGGAGGATGTGGTCTACGACCTGAGCTTGCGCGGCCTGTTGCCGAAAGAGTAATACTTCATCGAGTTCTCGCGGTCTGCAGCTGGTCGCTGCCGCGTGGGTATGTGTGGTGCACCTGGCAGCCGTCGCAGCTGTGTGAAGTCGCCGCGGTTGTTCAGTGGTGCCTCGAACAGAGAGTACCGATGAAAGCGCTTTGTGCTGTATGTGAGTAGAGTTGTTCGAACGCCCAGCGATGGCGGGGGTGCACCACTGTGTCCGGTGCCTCTACGTGTTGTAATGCTCGAACGCCATGCAATGCTAAGCCCAACACCTGAGGGCGAGCACAAGGCGCGACTTAATCTCTCACATATGCCCTTGCAACAGAAACCCGAGTCCGCCCTGTACGCCATGGATGCACCTAATGTACAATGGCAGGTTGCAAAGCTCATCTCCCCACGCCCATGCCACCTTGCTGTGCCATCTGAGCATTCTGCTCCTGGAAACGCTCCCCTAGCCGTTCCGAGCTCTTGAGTAATTTGTCAACGCATCGCATTACGCAGCCTTCTTCTTTGCTCTGCAGGCTCTTTGACGTGAAGTCGTTCACGCAATCGTTGAAACATCTCTGCACTAGGTTGGAATACATCTGAGTGGAAGCATTAGCTCATGGATGATCACGTCGCCTTCTGCGGCACTACCTACATTCATGAAGTCTTTCATTTGTTTCCGTTCCATACGGCTTTGCAGCTCGCGCTGCTCAGCGGGCGTCAACCTGCTAAGTTGTCAGTGATGGGCTGGACGAAGAGAGTATTGCTCGTGTGACCCTACGCACATATCCATGCCGCTCATTGTGGCGGACTTTAAGCCTCGGAGCTTGACTGTGACAATATGCTAATGGCGAAAGATGCAGTACAAACTCTTCCACACCCGTTTCACCTTGCTTGTATCTACTGTGATCCGCATAACCTTTGCGAGCTGTTTGAGAAGCACCTGTACGATCAACGGGTGCTGCCACTAGCGTACTTCTCCCCCTTCATGCGACCTGTATGTCAATGCGGCCCACGCAAGACTGGCAAAGTTCATAGTGCATAAACCTGGTGATCGTGGTTCATGTCAGATCTGCACTCATAGTTACGCCCATCTACAACACCTGCAACAGCCTATATGTGACCCAACGTTGGAAGAGAGCCTACTGTTGCGAAAGACACGTCATTGGTCCTCCTTAAAATAGATCCAGCCTTGCCCTGAGGGAAAAGAAGTGTGTGTGCAGTGTGTCTCATGGTCTCATGGCCCATGTATCGAACAGTGACCCACACCTCTTGTGTTACATCATAGTCAACCCTCGGGACATCTTGTACGGCTACTTACAGTCCTGTCTGTTCACCACGCATTGCTCCCAGACACGAAAGCCTGCCAAAGTTCAATGCGCTTGTTGTCCTCGCGCTGACTGGCCCTCGGGCCGCCAAGGGGGCGCGCGACATCGATACCTCTGTACACCATCTCCACAAGGCATCTGTCTATCTTTACCCGCGAAAATCGCTTGCTGGTCATCTGCGCAGGTGATCGACATACACGACTCGGATCGACAATATCAGGCAACGCGCATTTCGTACTACTCAGCAATACGACTGCAGCCTTGTCGTATCTCACGGTGACGGCGCATGCGCAGAACAGACTCGTGCATCGAGCCGCATAACACGAGTTGCGCACACGAACTTCTTACGACAGTTTCGCTGCACAATCACGAGGTGTGCGGAGCTTTCTGGATGTCGTAGGGACGGCCTGCAATCCCGGCGAGGATCTCACGGTCAGGAATGGCAAACGGCGGTCCTGTCACTACCCAGCAAGGTGGCGGTCTACCAAGGCCAGTTGCCTCTGGAGTACACAGTGATATGGCGCAGCAGAGAGCTGGAGGCGATCTGGCGAAGTGGTGGAGGAACTTCACAAGAGTCGATAAGAGGCCGCATGAGCAACCAGGTACGCAGGACCGCCGGCGGGGTTCGGTGACCGTTGCATGCTTTGCTTGAACATGCACCGCACCGCGCATCGTCCGATTAGGTCAACGCACCACGCTCTTCGTGCGATGCTGGCGCATCAATAGAGATGGCATTTGCTGACGTGTTGCGTGGTACAGCCCCTAATGGCATCTTTGGTGTGCCGCTTCAGACTTCGATCAGATACGCAAACGTCGCGATATCCTTGTTCAATGATGAAGGCCAGAGCTACATCTACGGCTATGTGCCTATTGTCGTGGCAAAGTGCGGCGTGTTTCTGAAGGAGAAAGGTGAGGTCCAAACAAGCACGACCGTTTCTGTACGACACGTCTGACTTTCATCTCAGCGACCGATGTGGAGGGCATCTTCCGCTTGGCAGGCAGCGAGAAGCGCATCAAAGAGCTCAAGGTAGCATTCGACTCGCCCGACAGATACGGCAAAGGCTTGGACTGGTCCGGCTATACGGTCCACGACGCTGCTAACATCCTCCGGCGATACTTCAATCAATTACCAGAGCCCATCATCCCCTTGGACTTCTACGAGCGCTTTCGGAACCCGTTACGCAACCATCAGGCGCAAGCAGTGGGGCCCAGTGAAGCACAGAGTCCAAGCGTTGGTGACTTCGATGACAAGTCGGCCATCAAGGCGTACCAAAACCTGATAACCGAGCTACCGCCACTGAATCGCCAGCTGCTACTGTACATACTCGACCTACTAGCGGTGTTTGCAAGCAAATCAGATCTCAACAAGATGACCACTGCCAACCTCTCTGCTATTTTCCAGCCCGGCATTCTAAGCCACCCCCACCACGACATGGCCCCTCAGGAGTATCGCTTGAGCCAGGATGTTCTGATCTTTCTCATTGAGAACCAGGACAGCTTCCTGATTGGCATGCAAGGCACTGAAGCCGATCCAGAAACAGTTCGCGACGTGCAAAGCGGCACGCCGGTCCAACAGCCGGCCACGCCGACAACGCCGAGTAGATCGAAGACTGTAGTTAATCGTTCCGGCTCGACAGCCAGTGCCGCTGCGGAGAGCGTTCGGAAATGGGGTAGTATCCGTCGCAACGTCTCCGTATCAAGCAGGCACAGTAAACGGTCAGAGGGCGGGCCCATGCCGGTGACTCCAGGTATTGCGACTCCGGCTACGCCGACCAGCGGTGTGCATAGGAGCAATACTGTGCCTTCTCGGCGAACAGGTAGTGCTGCGCCTTCACCACGTTTCTCGAGAGACAAGACTTCGGACCCATCGACACCGACGCCCAGGCAAGAGTTGGTCGAAGAAGCAACGGTGAGCCGTCACCAGTCCATACAGAGTACTCCAGTTGCTACGACCGCACCGTCCTTTCCGCCGGTCCATCCTCCAGAATTACATTCACCATCTTCGAGCGAGGCGACCACGCCCATGGCCACTGTTGGAAGCGACACGACATCTACCATACGGAGCGATTACATCACACCCAAGAAAGACACAACACCTTTACTCGCCCCACCAGGAGGTACGGCGGACAGTCATGCTGATCGGTCACCGTCTAACACACCTTCAGCGTCATCTGGACGAGGTTGGCGCGACATGCTGAAGCAGTCGCCCACCAGTGACGGTGATGGTCGTAAGCCAAACAAGCTGCAGAAGAAGCGCATTCCGGGTTCAGCCCTATCAAGCGCCCAATCCTCGAGTCAGTCGCTGCAGGAAGAGACACCGGGCGGTGCGGTTCAACGTTCACCGGTTCCTTCAGGCTTCGCGCAATCATCCGATGAACTACAAGGCAGCGAAAGCGCGGTCGATGACCCGACCTACACCACAGCAGTCAGTACGCCTGTGCAACCAACACCTCAGCGAAATCCGACAGACGCTACGCTCCGCCCAACCACATCACCGAGCCACTCCTTCCGCTCAACCGATGCGTCAGATGCTGATATGGTCGGCGATGATATGCCTGCAGCACCCACGGGAGAGTCGACACAGGAGAAGAAACGGCGACGTTGGCGGTTCTCCAAATCACATAGTAAAGTCGAACAGCCTTCGGCGCCAACCGGAGCTAATCCACTTGGCACGATGACGGCAAAGGCTCAGGCAGCCTCGCAATCAACAGTAGGCAGCAGTACGGGAGGACTCCCCCGGAGAAGCTTTCAGGAACCGCCACCATCGGCGACGTCCACAACCGAGCCGGCTTCTGGTCCGCTGCTGCCTGGTCAAGGGGTACAGTCAGCGTCCACGGATCCTTTGTTTTCGGACTCGGAGCGAGAAAGGAAAGGCCTGGTACCGTGGATAAGGGGCAAACTGCAGGAGAGGAAGGAAAAGGAAGCAGAAAAGCGAGCAAAGACGCCAGAACGGACGCGTTTCGCCAACGAAAGCAAGCAGGACTTGCGCCTACCTCCCGAAGCCACGCCGGTGCGTGGAAAGTCGTTGGAAACGGCTGCCCTCACAGCAAGCGCTGGTGCTGCTCCAAAGCCAATGAATGCAGGGCAGGCTCCTACGAGCGCAGCAGCAGCCAGTGCAGCACCGGCACCGTCGGCAAACGAGCAGCGACGGGAGCATTGATAAGCAGAGTAGTCAGCATTTCATATGTAAACAAATAAAATGCCAGATCGCAATCTTAACGCCCGCGTGCAGTCGAGAACAAATTGAGTGTGCCAACTCCGAGCGCAACGTCCTTTCGCGTTGCAGGCGTTCCCAGAAATCATGACTATGAATGTCAAGTGGCGACTCCGGGCGTTGTGTTGTAATATTGTGTACACGTTGCGATCCACACGTCTGTGAACCACTCCACAGTCAAGCCGTGGCCGTATGTGTTGTATAGGCAGAGGCTCTGCGGTATGGACGGCGAATGCCCGCTTCTCATTGGTCCGGAAGTATCAGTCACGCCAGCCGAGGCGGTAACAAAAATAGTAGGTTGCGTCGCATCGAGAACAAGGGAGCTCGCTGTTGTGCCTGCAGCAGAAGCTCTTGCTTGCATCCTGCAGGGTCAGCAGGAAGCTCTTCGAGTGGCGGATATTCTTGGTCCTTGAGCTGCTCGAGGTTGGCAACACATTGTAAGGAAATCGTTGCCAGTAAGGCTTGTCAACACAACGGACTGCGAACGTGTCCTGAGGTAAATCGAGGCGATGACGAGGTGATGTGGAGACGGGTGTTTGAGAGAAACGCGGGATACTCCTCGCCTGCCACCCGATTTAGTGCCAAGACACATGCTAGAGATTGCTTCTTTATATTTCCTTAGCCGGGCGCTCATTATTGGCGTGAGGTTTTGACTTCGGTGCCACAGCAGTAGCATTGCAGCACGCTGCAACAGTTAGAAGCTTGCAACAATAAGGTACTCACTGCATTCCGCGAAAATGCACACCACGTGCACGCAGCAGGTGTCGCTCAACTGCCTAAAGGATGCTGCCCAGAACGGCCGAAGACGCACCTACCGGCAGACCTATACCGATATTGGTGTTAGTGACACATCTTTACCGATCGTCCCGAGCCAAGGCTCGTGTTCTGCAGCGGAGCCTGTTCGTTTCGCCTCCACTATGGCTGCTCGGCGTTGAGCATTTCCTTGTAACTCTGTACTGTTTCGCATTTCCGTATCGTTTCGCTTTGGCTGTTGAAGTCCGAGACATATTGGAGAACCAACTGAAGGCGGAGAAGAGAGGAAAGAAGAAGACGGGACGGAGATTGGCGCCTAGCCCTTGTCCATTGCCAACGGTGCTTTTCAACGGTGGAAACCGCCCGATTCAGCCACGCGCGCTCCCGACGATTGACAGGTGAGACCATTCTTCACCAGGACCTGGACGAGGTCCGTCCACGATGGTGGCAGCACGCGAGCTGACGTGACGCTGTGGCAGTCTGTCTGTCTTTGGTGCTCTTGAGCACTTCCACGAACCGCTCTTTTGTCGATATTAAACCCGCGAGCTGCATGGGAGCAGCGCCGACAGCATGATTAGCCTCCGGAGAATATGTCTGCTTGCGCTACCCTTACTTGCGTTCGCGCAGGAGAACCCGCAAGACGACCGGAGCGAGTTACAAAAGCTGCTTGATGGTGTACCGAAAGAAGCAATAGACGCCGCGCTCCGCGAACACCTTGCGCCCAAGTATCAAGACGGTGTCTTCGAGGATGCACCCCGTGGTATTGAGGCGCTGCACCACGATGACCCCGAGCTTGCGACGCAGCTGGTACATGTTGCGGTGCACGAGGCCGCGGTCAGGAACCATTTGCAGCGCAAGCGGCAAGTCAGCAATGTCACTGCTGTCATCACCAGTCCAGTCGTGATTACGGACTCCAGCACTACGGCCCTTAGCTTCACGACCGAGACATCGACGGGCCAGACGACCTTGGGTGTTGCGGGCGCAAGTACTACGCAATCGCAGTCAACGGCACAAGGTAGGCTTACGCCATTAAAGGGCTGCATTCACAGCACTGAACACTCTTCGTCTTGCTGGCAACTATCTGGTATACGAGGAGGTGGGCTGACCATGTAATAGGCAGCACCACGAACGGTGAAACTACTATTGCCATCACCACGACGAATGCAGCCGGTAGCACCGTGGTGTCATCCCAAGTTGCTGCAGTGGTGGCCGCAAGCACTCCTTCGCCCGTGACGACGACTAATGCCGCTGGAAGTACCATTGTGAGCACACCCGCCGCGATCACTGCTGCAACAGTCAGTGCTCAGGCCTCTGGCAGCACGCTAAGCGGTGTGCTTGTCCCGGTCGTTGTATCATCGACAAATTCTGCTGGGAGCGTTGTTGTACAGACTACGTCTGCTTTTGAGACATCCGCTCCGACAAGCGTCACTCAGGCCATCACGACCACCAACTCTCAGGGCAGCACCTTCACCACCTCCACCGTTGTCCCGGCTGCTGTTATCACGGAAACGAACTCGAACGGCCAGACCATCACGACCACTTCGCCATTGGCAAGTGTCGAAGTCGCTCCGGGTGGAAGCATCGTAACCTCCGCGCCAGCTGTGGGAGCATCCTCAAACGCGGATAGCTCATCGTCGCTCTCCGCTATCACCACCACTGATCAGTTTGGTCAATCCGTCGTGCTATCTGGGTCGCACCAAGGTCAGGTCATCACCACAACAGACGCTGGTGGGCGCACAGTCGTCCTCACGTACACGCCCGGCGGCGGTCAAGTAAGCCAGCTTGTGCTCCGAACGACGCAGTTACCAAACGGCCAGCTGTCGACCATCACTTCCTACGCAGTGGTCGGCGGTGCTGCAACGATAACATCAACCCCATCGAACGCCGCAGCAAGACAGACGAGCAGCTCATCACACGGCTTGCAGTCAGGTATCGCTGCGCCGACGGGTCGCTACGTTGGTGAGGTGGCGGCGATGGTTGGTGGCGCGATCGGCATGGCCGCTGTGCTCTTATAATGACTGTGGCCAAATTTGAAAGATCTAAGAGGGGAGGAGGGCGTGTACATATGTTGTATGTCTGGGACGATAATGACCCTCGTTCATCATACTGAATTGCATAGCGGACACGGCGTTGAATGTGGCAATCTGGTGACATACCGACCGCTTTAGCGTGGCTATAATGATACCACTCGAGAGCACTTGCAGCTGCGGGAAATTACGAGGTTCGACCAGAGCTTTCTATTTCCCTATTGCGTTGGCCACGTGCAGTCTCGTCCACTTAGGCATAGACGACCCGGGCCATCACCGGTCGCTGGGGTTGGTCTCGGTGAACAACACGCTTATCACCGCAAGTTCGCTGTTTGGCAGACTGTGATGTTACGAGGAGCATGAGCAGGAGGCGGGATTGTCGCGTTTGCTCAGTAATTAGTGTATGGACTTGCTGACTTCGAAGTCCAACTGCGTCACGATAGCTTGATCTTCCAGCCTTTGAACACATAGCCTCCTGCAATCTTACCTACTACAGCGCCGATGTACAACCCCGTCACGACGGTTACAGGCCACCGTTGCCAGTCGCGATCCCAGTCAAGGGGAATGGGTATTGCACCTAGCCACGCTCCAACACAAGCACCCAAACTCATGCCATACGTTTCATCTATCGGCACTTGCAAGCTCGCGATTTGTAGCCACGTGGTGGGATCGAGACCGTGTACGTAGTACAGCTGCGGTGTCGTGAGCAGCGCGAGGTGTAGTGCGAGTAGGAAGGTATGCGGGTGGTGGCTGACAAGCGGTGCGCCGAAAAGGACGACTACAATGTAGAGAACTGGCGCGGAAAGTGTTGTGGTAAGGACGGTGGACACAAATGCAGGCTAACAACGCAAGTCAGCACATATCTTTGTCTTGAGTGAGGCCATGCGCACTGTTATCTTCGCCCAAAGATGTTGACCAGCCTTCTGTGCCTTCCTTTTCTGGCCGGGCTTATGCGCTTGGGTCGGAGCTTGACCGCTCGAGGGGAGGCATACAACGCAGTAAATGGCCTGTACGAGTGCGAGCGGCGGTGCAAGGCCGGTCAATGTGCTGACTGGATCCTTTACCAATGTCTTGAAGCTTAGGAAAATGGTGGATAACAGCAGGACCGGCTGGAGGTTCGCGTAGAAGACGGACGCTTGGGTGGTGAGGATGTCAACCGGCTTTGATGCCCCTGAACCTTCAAAAGGCTTTGCACTGGTGCTCTCAGCCTCCATCGGGAGTGTGCGTTGATTGCAAGTGTCTCAGTAGTGGTGTATGCTGTATATCAAAGACATAATGGGAAAAGGCGGCTTTGGCCCAAGCACGTGTCAAGGCGGCAGTCTATCGACCATTCACCGAACATTGCACAGAACCTGAGCGAACAAGACTACGACCATATATTGAGGCTGGATGTAAAACGGAGCGTTGATCTTCCACGGCTACCACGGTAGACTTCGTTTGGATGGACGATTGAACGATGGAACATCAACCGCCCACTCCTGGGGAGACATGAGCGTTCCCAAGTACGCTCATAAGAAGTACAGTATCTTCTGCTTGTTGTAGTAGATACTTAGCTCCGCTAAAATCACCGAAAAAAATGCAGTATCCGATGCATCCTTCGACTCTTCGGCAACCAGAATCTCTAGCTTTCGGAGTAAGATCTGAGCATCTTCCTCTATGGTCCCTGGTTTTCGTACGACAGTGACCCACCTCCACTCCTGATCTACCTCCCATTGCCCAGTGGTGGTGGGCCTTCGCAAAGACACTGCTAAGGCACCTTGAGATTGTGCTCGATTGCCACGAGGCGCAAGGTATCGAATCCAGAACGACACGTGCCTGAGCTTGGGGAGATGCTGAACATTGCAAGCCAACCATGAACAAGCGTCTCTGCACTTGTTACCCTCGGTGTGCAGCACATAACTGTTTCGGCCGTAGAATATTGGCAGTGTTTCCCGCCGTACCCGTCTGCTGACCCGTGTGAGTGCTGGCTGAGTCGCTTGATTGTAGCTCTCCCGCTGGTAGGCATCCAAACGGAACGTCACAACAGTCTTGTCCGATGTGAGAGCGTATTCGTAAATGAGGTCCCGAAGCTCGGTAGGTAAACCCAGAAGTAGGCAATGTGTCTTCGATAGCGGTGCGTCTTGCGACGGAGCCCACTCCATTCCTCACAACCACAGCCTGTCAGGCCACGAATGGCAGCCAAAAACACATAGGATATCCTCAACAGGTCAAGAGCAGCCAGATGGTTTAGATCAATGAACATGCGAAGGTTGCCACCAGCATTATCTGACGAGCGCCATTACGGTATGATACAAGAACTCCATGCTTGCCTGTAGCTCTCGGCGTGGATGTGTGTAATCAACTCAACAGTGGTCAACTTGGAACCCCATGTATTGACCCGGAGAAGAGTTCACATGAAATAGATGCTGATGTGAATAGATGTGCTAGGACCCACAATCGACGCTAAGCCGAAACTGCTCTGGTTGCACAACTGCCCACCTACACTTCTACCAGATGCTGTCGCTGCACCCTCGCATTTCTTGTGGCTGGATGTAGTGTCGATGGCAAGAGGTAGTGACATATCTGCGTTCGCTTCGAGTCAGCTCTTGCTCCTTGACGCTGAGTTGCAAGCAGAGCTCACTGAGACCCAGCTCCTCACGTCAAGTCATGCGCCGGCGATTCTCCAGCGAGCTGGCCTGGCGTTGCTCAACCTCACCTTATCTTCTCAGCGTACCGGTTTTGGTGGTAAGAGCCTGCTAGAGCTGAGCTTAGATCCAGCAGTGGGCGTTGGCGATCTTCCCGAACATGGTCTCAGAGTTGGCGACATCTGTGCAGTGGCAGAGCAGCCTAAAGGCGCCGAAAGAAAGAAAGAACGAGCCAGTATAGAGAAGCGAGCTGTCGAAGGCGTCGTGACCAAGGTTCAGAAGCAGGCCGTCACGGTAGCGCTTGATAAGGAGGAAGTGGAAGTTCCAAATGGGAAGCTCTGGCTGTGCGTGCAGTTTCAACAACTGTATCCGTAGATCGAGCGGCTGACGGTCTTTCAATATCAGTATCAAATTGGCTAACGATGTAACATATAAGCGCCTGAGCCAGACGATGAGCAAGCTGGAGAAGATGCAGCCTTCTGAACATAGCATTCTAACTCAAGTTTTATTCGGCAAGTCTTCGCCGACGTCACTCAGCGATGCAGAGATCCAGAAGGACTTGGAGTGGCATGACAAAACCATGAACGACAGCCAGAAGGAAGCCGTTCGCTTCGCGTTGGCCAGCCGCGACGTCGCGCTTATTCATGGTCCCCCAGGCACCGGCAAAACGCACACTCTGATCGAACTGATACTTCAATTCCTCGACCGCGGCCAACGAGCTCTCGTCTGCGGGCCCAGCAACATCAGCGTGGACAACATTGTAGAAAGGCTTACGTCGCATAAGGTGTCTATGGTCCGCCTCGGGCACCCTGCGCGTCTACTTCCAAGCGTATTGGATCACAGCTTAGACGTCTTGAGTAAGACGAGTGACGCAGCATCCATCGTGACCGACATTCGTGCAGAGATGGACGTGAAGCAATCTTCGATTCGCAAGACCCGAAACGGCCGTGAGCGGCGTGCAATCTACGGCGAGCTCAAGGAGCTACGTAAAGAATACAGGCAGCGTGAAGGTAGAGTCGTGAGCGACCTGCTGAAGCAGAGTAGGGTGGTCCTCAGTACGCTTCACGGCGCTGGCGGCTTCCACTTGCGCGACGAGAAGTTCGATGTCGTGATCATTGATGAGGCAAGCCAGGCTTTGGAGGCGCAATGTTGGATCCCTGTGCTTGCGACTGGAACATCGAAGCTGGTACTTGCGGGCGACCATCTGCAATTGCCGCCGACGATCAAATCGCTCAACTCCCAAGCTTCGACGCCGATTAAGGTTGCCGATGGCTCCAATGGGACGAATAACGATATGTCTCGTTCGTCGGTTGACGATGACTCGGCTACAGTAGGGCAGAAGAAGATCAAGGACGATGATGCGACGCTGGAGACCACCTTGTTCGACCGCCTGCTGAAACTCCACGGGAGCAGCATCAAGCGCATGTTAACGATACAGTATCGAATGCACGAGAAGATCATGGCTTTTCCGTCCGTGGCACTTTACGAAAAGAAGCTGATCGCAGCAGATTCTGTCAAGGACAGACTGCTGAAGGATTTGCCGTACGGAGTCCACGACACGGATGACACCCGCGAGCCTCTGGTTTTCTGGGATACACAAGGAGGCGACTACCCTGAGAAGACAGAGGAAGACGATATTGGCGTGAAAGGCCGAAGCGGTTTGCTTGCCGAAAGCAAAGTCAATGAGAATGAAGCGGCCGTTGTGCGCTTACACGTGCAGCGACTTGTTGAGGGCGGTACTAAGCCAGAAGATATCGCCGTTGTTACGCCTTATAATGGCCAGCTTGCACTTCTGTCAGGGCTGCTGAAGGACCGCTTTCCAGGACTTGAGCTTGGCAGTGTCGATGGCTTTCAAGGTCGTGAAAAGGAGGCAGTCATTGTAAGCTTAGTCCGCAGTAACTCTGACCGCGAGGTCGGCTTTCTAAGCGAGAAACGGCGTTTAAACGGTAAGCCTTTGCGTAGTCCTGCATACCGTTTCTCATTCAACCAGTGATTTCGATGCGAGATTGTGCTTACGCAAAAAGAGACACCTGCCACTGCGGATGTGGATGCCAGCTGTTTCAGACTGTTTACTGCGCGAAGGTCTGAGGTGGTACACGGGCTAACGGTTTATTACAGTTGCAATGACCAGACCGAAAAGGCACTTGTGTGTCGTAGGCGATTCAGAGACAGTAGGGAAGTACGTCGTTCGTCCATTTCCTTTTGAAACCATCTCAGAATCGTTTCAGCCTTGCGCTGCACAAGACGGCCACCTCGCACGAGCAGTGGACACCTTCCCAGTCCTATGGTTGAACGAAGCGTGCATTGTGGCACCGCATGCTGCACGGCGGAGATGAGCGCGTGTAACAATGGCTGACACCGATCGTCCGCAGAGGCTCCAAATTCCTGAGATCTTGGATGCAACACCTCGAGGAGCATGCAGACCTACGATACCCCGATCAGGCGGAAGTTCTGGAGGATGTCTGATGGGAGACAAAGCCGTAAAACGCCACGAGACAATGCGCGATCATCCTCCCATACCTTTAAGCTTCCTATTCTTGACTTTGCTGAAAACTGGTGACTGCGCCTTTATCAATGCAATCCGTGGAACAGTCAACCTTCGTGCCTGCTGGCCAGACTAACCCGTTTTTGCGCCCCTGCAGGCGCAGTGCAGGAAGGAACTCAGCATAGGCTTGGCGTTTTAATCGAAGCGGATGTTCTTCATAGCAAACGCCGTATAGACAAATGATGGCCATAGAGCGATATGATTTGCGGAGGATACGTTGCTTGCTTGCGGCAGGCGATGGCTGATAAGTCTGCGTTCATCGAACACCAAGCTAGGCCAGTAGGCTGCAGATCACATCAAGCGAATCATATCACAGGAAGGATGTGCTGTGCCAGGATGCTCTCACTATCAGCTGTCACTCAGCTGCACCTTGTCAGATGGTATCACTCGCGATGCCGGCAACCCTTTGCACAGGTTGCTTTCTTCGACATGATCGCCATTGGGATGTACACTTTGCCGTCGACTCACATAAGCAGACGATGGTAACGGCCAATAGCGGGCATGATCGGTTACCGTACAGCATCCTGCGACCTAGCCTTTTCGCGATGACTGACTGTCGAGGGAGCCGAGCCCACTTCGTATGGCGGCCCGTGGGACCTCGAAAGCGCGTTCTTTGCTAAGTATAGCGCGGCTGCTCACACTGGCGTTTGTCTTTGGGGTCTTTAGACATCGCTCGATCCAAACATGTCGGTAGGCAGTATCAGAGTTCGCAGGGTGTCACACGAAGGTGGCCAGGTGCGACGGGCCATTTGTTTCAACCATCCAACGCTACTACTGTACCATACCATGCTCTGCAGAGCCTAATGCACCCTTGAAATTGGTTGCGTGTGACAAGAGCCACCAATCAGGCTAACCTCAATCTCTTAACTTCCTGGCGGGGCCGAAGCGTACCGCCAATGGCGCCACCATCAACCGGCGAGGGGCTGCACCTTTCCACACGCAGAGCCGCGACGGACATCTTCTACGCCGAAACGGTACCTACTTCCATGTCCGGTCACGTTGTCGCCTCGAGGATAGGTAAGTGCTCGCGGCTATGGCGCATCGTTATGCGCACAGCGCGCCGTTGCGGCTCCGCATGGTCCCTTTCGCCATACTGCTTGTCCCCGTGCACCAGGTGATACTCATCGTACTCCGCTACCCGGTCTTCCCCCTTCCTTCATTCTCGGCCGCCTATCTTTCCTTGCTGTGGCTTGCTATCTTAATACCTTTCATTATGACCTGAATCAGCAGCGCCAAGTCCTGGACAACACCATTTGCCTTTCGACCAGTAACGCTCCTTCCCGAGTCCTCTCGTCGACTTGTCTGGAGAGTGATCCTGGCCATATGCGTGGAGTCGTGAAGGTTAAGGTTACAACGTCGCCTTGACCCCGGTTGCGACTGTTCGCGCTGTACGATCCGCAAAGCCTTGGGACACCATTAGCGCGACTCGCGGTCATTGAACCACGTTGGTTTCTTGCCAACAAGGACTTGCTCGTTACTGTTGCCGTCATTCATATCGACAGTCCCTACCGGCATACAGCCAGCGAAGCCACTGGCTCTCTCTGATCCATCCAATAATATAGGCCTGCATGGCTCCACGTTGGACATCCAATGGAGGGTTCGAATCATGGAGCCTATGGTAGAACGCAGAATATACCGAGTGGGAGAGCACTGGAGGGCAGAGCAAGTGTAGAATCACCGAGGTTGCAGCACAAGCGGTCTATGCCGACCGTTCGCAATGCTAGTCAGCCACTGTCCAGCATGGCAATGGCGGATCGTAGACTAGGCAACATGGGCGGCAGCAGCAGGGGTGCAGGAGATGGTGGCCAGGCAAGGAAAGGCTCCCTACGCAACGTCGTGCGCAGGATCTTCGGTAGGAGGTCTAATGAAGTAGAACCGCAGCCGCAAGTGAGAAGTCCGCCACGACATGCTTATCACGCCTCCGAACCTCCAAAGCTTGCAACACAGGCCGAAGAGGCGTCCCTGTCATCAAAGGAGCACAGTATGCCGCAGAGGACGTGGTCTGTCCCAATGGACGTTCTGCCGTCCCCCACCTTCGAACGTACAAGGTCTCCGTACGCGGTCGAATTCCCACAAAGTGCGAAGCTGAAGCCGATCAAGCTGGGCGATCCGTTCAATGCTCCTGGAAGTAAATTGCGCCGGCGGAAGACGCTACCGAGCGTACTGCTCAATGAAGCTGAGGCAGCCGCTGTGAGAGCAGTGGTAGATGAGCCACCGATGCCGGAGGGCAGCGGAGAAACACCCTCTCCTGATCTCTCTCGGAAGTTCAGTGTCCGCAATGCTAAAAGGAAGTCCAGAAGTGCGGGTGATCTCAAGGGCGTTCCGATCACGATGAGCCCGGCGCGCAACAGAAGCGACGAAATTCGATACTGGCGCGAGAGCTTTCAAGGCGCCGCGTTTCGAACAAGCGTGGTGCGCACAAGCGGTTTCACCGCGAAGGACTTTTCGGGTACACGTTACGAAGGTGGTGCGGCAGAAAGGATGCCACTGGCACACGTTACTGATGACCCTTTCCGTCCACAGAGTTCAACATCCCCAGGCATCGCGAGCGGCTCCCCCATGCTTCATGGGGCTTCAGTGAGCGACGCAGACGTACTCTCAGCAGCAGCTTATGGTACCGAGCTTTCAGGCGACCTCGAAGATCGCGTGGCAAGGCTGGAGACAGGATTGCGAAGCTTTCAGCAGGCCATAAGCCGCCTCACCGCAGATCGAAACCGCCGCACAGTGCTCGTAGGTAGCGCACCGCAGCGGCGATCGTCAACAGATGCAAGGACGCCGAGCATGCTCGCCGATACATTGGCCGGGCCGCTCATGGAGGCTACATGGCACTTTGGCTACCCAGAGCCTGAGCGACCTTCCACCTCGCCACCGCCGCCGATGACGCCCGTGCACGGGGCTACTCGTCGACGGCCGGCACCTGCGGCTCAAGCAGAACATTTAAGCGGCGGCTTTCACACGCCGTCCCCGCCACTGGCAGTCCAGCAGCAGCCCGCCCAAGCGTCAAGCACTGCCGGTACTCAACCGCAGCCGTACACCTTCCGCTCGCTGTATGAGATGCTAGCGGACGAACGCTCAGCCCGACGACAATTGGAACGGCAGATCCGAAGCAACGATGCCCAGATCCGCAATATGCGCCAGGAGATCACGGATCTACAATACCAGGTGTCTATCGGCTCGCAGGTTCAAAGCCATCGGAGCAGTTATACTCCACTAGATCCAACAATAGGTTCGAGTCGGCTGCGCGAGCTTCTGCGCGGTACCGAAGCCTCGCCACCGGGTACTGCTGAGGGTCGCCTACAGCAGGGTGGTCGACAGCAACGAGACTCGAACATGACCGGTCAGACTGGACATTCTGTCAGCGCGAACCCGGGTATGGTCAGTCGATTTAGCGCTTCCGAAAGTGAAATGGGCGTGCCCAACGACTCCGCGGAGGAACTCGCGACTCCGTATCATGCGTACCATACACCAACGGAAGATCGTAGCAGGTTTCCGCTTGTGACGACAGGTGGCTTACGGCAGAGTGAAGGTGAGATGTTCTGACTCTGCTCGAAGTGATGAGCGACGGCTGAAAATCTCTTACGAGTCCTCTTCGTTGTATTTGTACTGTGATACCCCAAATGTACTGTATGTAATCTAGTTGGTGGCAGAATTTTGTAGGGAAAGGTAGTGGCAGTGTACTTATCTGCGGTAATGCCGCATTGCTTGATAGAGGTATCTATCGTTTGCGTGGCTCTCGGGAGAGAATGCGTTGCATATACCGCTCGTTGAACAAAGGGTACGTTTGTCATGCACTTAAGCTGTATTAAGACATCGGATTGAGATGCGCGTGCGCCTGACCATCACTCATGCTATAACGCTTGCATTTGCCATGTTGACCTACTTGTTCTCGTGCACTCGTTCCGATGCAGGCATTTCCTGCACCTCAGAGCCAGGCATTTCGTATATGTGCGACTGACTGCCTGGAGCCTCGTGCGCAAAGCCTTTGCCAGGGCCGAAATACTCGCCTCCATCCGCCTCGCTGTAGCCCACCAGGTTGGGATCTAGCTTGTGCGGACTGTCCAACTCCTGTGCGAACGGCTTGTGCGGTGCGGTAAGCTCATGAACCTCAGCACCCGCTAGCTCGCCGCCGATCGGGTGGCTAATCATAGGTTTGCCTTCGCTGTCCTGACTATCCTTCGCATCCGGCCCATGCTTGGCTTCCAACTCTGCAAGACGGCGCTTCTCGCCTTGCTTTCTGCGGCGGAGCCACCAAAGGAGCACTCCTAGTATGGCTATGATGGCCACAATCGCAATAACTATACCAACGATGGCGCCTACAGATATGTTACCTCCACCGCTGTTGAGCTTTGTCGATGGGCTAATAATGGTCTTGATGTCAGCCTTGTTCACCGCATTGGCATCCCAGGTACAGGGCGCCACGGTAAAGTTTTGGCGCTCATAGTCCGCAATAAGGTACGCCTCCTGTAGGAATGCGCGACCAAGAGTGTACTGCGTGTCATTCGTTGCTCTCTGCAGCGGGAAGTAGTAACTCGAGTTCGGATTTTCGATGTACGGAAAGTCAATCTGCAAGTCGAAAGCCGCAAAAGGCATCACTATCTCGACCATTTCCGTGGTAGCTGTCTGGTTCGGGCTTATGCTGAAGGTAACACTCGGATTGCTGTTTTGGAGATTCGTCCGTTGAGTGCTGTTTAGAAGGTAAAAGTTGACATTCGGATCGTATGTCAGTCCAAATGCTTTTTCAAATGCCTGGCATGCATCAAGTGGCAGATAGATCCACGGCACTGTTGAATCGATGAAGATCGAGATCGTGCCGCTCGGTAACAGGTTTGTCGAACCGCTCGTGACGCCTCTAAGATACACCAGAAGATCTCGACTAATATCCTCGTAAAATGGGAAACTCACGTTCGTCGCAGCGAACCGATTCTGGTCATATCCGCCGAGCGTCAATGAGCCAAACACCTTGTTCAGACGGTATTGGTTGCCGGCTGTGTAGCCGTAAGATAGCGAAGGGATGGAGTTGTTGTTCTTGAGCTGTGTTAAGAACGACGGTTGCGGATCGTTAAGGTTAGTGAAGTTTGTTGACCGTGGATTGAGGCCGAATTGACCCATCCAGTACTGACTGTCGGCAATGTTGAAGATGGTTGAATGCTTGACATTGGGTCCACCTGCACCTTGCCAGCCCAGTGTCAGAGTGTCGAAGCCCACCGGACCAGTCGTGTCCTTTCCCAGGTTGTCTTCCAGCTCGAAAGAGAAGATGCTGTTTGGCACCCATGTTAGGGACTGATTCGGGTTGAACACAAAGCCGCGACTGTTAACACAGTCCGGCACGTAGTTTGTTGGACAGCCAGCCGCGCCAATTGTCCAGGTGAACTCGGATGCCGTCGAGATCAAGGTACGCACGTTTTGCACCGGTGTGCCAACTTGCAGTGCGAATGATGACCAAGGCCCATCTACAAACGATTATCAATGCTGCTGCAGACCTAACTCACGCTCTTGCTCGACGCACCATTGCCATCCCAGTATTGACTCGGCGACACTACTATCGGCGCCGGGATCGTTGTTGTGTTCGCTCTCTTTCTCAAATCTCGTGCGCTTATGCTCGGCCACGATAATGAAAGAGCATTGGTAAGACATGCGATGAACAGGGTAAGCGTGGTGAGTTCGGCGAGAGAGCGGAAGCCCGCCAGGGACCTCATGATTGCGCGATCAACAAGCAGGAAGGTATATTACAATTCAACGAAAGGCTAGACTTGCAGGAAGACGATGATAACATGGAAGGATGATGTGCTATAGCATTGTAACGAGTGTGTGAGAGGCTTACCGCGCGAAGGATCACCCGCAGAGCGCCTGGACGTTCATCTCAGCGTCTAGCTCGGGAGGGACATCGCTTGCAAGGGCAGAGGGCCTCAGCTGAACGTTTTCCTGATTGGGCAGTCCCTCCAGCTGAAACAGCCGGGCGGTCACGTGGCGTATATTGCGACGATGCCAACTCCATCATTACGCGCTGCGGCCACGGGTGTCGAAACCGCACGAAGCTCTGTATTGATGTATGACTTTAGTTGTCGATCGTGATGTACAGAAATAACAGGATGTTCGGATCAAAATTGTGCCTCTGGAGGATTTGAAGATTGCGCTATGTTCTGGCGAGGCATGGCGTGCGGGAGGACACGAAGGTGGAGAACCCGCCGCCAAAGCCATTCTCCGATAACACTAAGCAGTGCTATTTCTAGCAGTGGTAATTGCTCGTCTCGACGCTGCTACTGCTTAGTCCTCGTTGACCGCATTCACAGCATGGGCCGGTGTCAAGGGCATGGAAGACTGGGAAAGAGATGACGTTCGTCGACATTGTTCTTGTTCCGCCTATGGACAGCTTATGTATGTTGATGTGCGGCCATCTCCACGACAACCTGGCCAGACTGACGAAACCCATGCTATGAGTTCAGCTGCACATAGTTGCCTGCCATCATGAGTTAGCACACAGCCAGAATGATGAAGCACTGATCACAGCACTGCTTACCTGGAAATTGTCCTTGCCGCGCACCTATCTTACCCACCCACCACTCATTCGTATTGTTCGTTCGAGTCACGACTTCGATAACCTCACCCGCACTGAAGCTTAGATCGCCTTCCGCCTGCGCTTCATAATCGTACAATGCCGTGACAGTCTCCACGCCATTCGCTCTCAGAGCGCCAGGCTTAGGCTTCGGAGGCGGAGGCGCCGCCTTCGCCTTCGCAGCGCTCTTCCAGTCGCTGCCCGTCGATGCTGAACGGCCTAGGTCGGAGTCGATGCGAGTGAGTGCGTTTGACATTGATGCACCTGGAGAATAAGGTGGAGGGGTGTCGACCGAATCCATGGTCAGTCTCCGGTTCGGACTGGAGCCGGTGGAGCTCGATCGGCCGCCATTCTCGATCGCCAGACGGCTGGAGTATTTGCTCATGGGTCTTCGTGCTCCGCCCGTGGTCTTAAACTTTGTCATCGGCAGCGCTTCGATTTGCTGCTGAACGTCGCCGCGCTTCGCTTCAAAGGCCTCTTCGATGCCGAGCGTGAGGTTGAAATAGCCGATGTCTATGCTTTGCATCTTCTCGTGCAAGGTGTAGAAGACGTTAAGCTGCATATAGTAAAAGCTTTGGAACAATGGTAGAATGAACTCCTTCTCCAGCCGGAACAGATGCGGCAGCTCCTCCTTCAAGAGGTTGTTGAAGTATGCGTAGTCTTGCGTCGCAGCTTCCATGTCGGCCTCGGCCTTGTAAAGCGCCTTCTCATCCTTCAAAGTCTTGTCCTTCTTCTCCTCGAGCTTCTTCAGGGCATTCTTGTGCCGGTCATAGTCCAGCTGTTTGTGGTCTCTTTTCGTCGCCGTCTTCCGCACCATCTTGATGATCTCCATCAGCTCGTCTGCCGGCTTCACCACTCGACTCTCGATCATCTCCAGTTCGGGCTGTAACGACGCCTTCAGTTCGTGGACGATCTGCTCGTACTCCTCGCATGCGCGGATGCCCTCAGGATTGCCATCTATTACGTAGCTATCCGGATCGCTCATTCGTCCAGAGATGGGCTTGTAGATCTCCGCGCATGCTCTGGAGAACTCGATCTGATGATCCAACATCCCGTTGATAGCGTCGAAGTACTTCTTTGATTCATCGTGTAATTTCTTGGTTTCCTTCTCCAGCTCGGCGAAGCGGCGCTCAGCGTCGATATAGATGGCGTCTTTCGTTATGTCACCCATATTGAAGCGCTGTTTGAATTGCTGGGGCGCCTGCGACACATATCTCAGTTAATGTTGCTCATCTGCAATGTGCCAGGCAATATCACTGCGTACCCGCGTCGCGGCCTTCGAAATTCCTTTCCAACTCATCTTGCCGGTATTGCTGCGCAGCGAACCACCGCGGGAAGAGGTTCACTTGGGTGGTGGAGTCTTAGAAGGCCAGTAATCAGATCGTGTGCCTAATGGTGTACGCGGTTCCGCAATGCGCGGATATGCTCGCTTCCGGATAAGCCGTGAGATACGATGGATTACGGGCTTCGCTTCCTAGCAGACGTCGAGGTACAATAGCGATTGGTGTTGGCTTGTGCCCAGGTCGTTTATAGGCACGCTGGTGTTAGACGTCCGCGCACTAAGTGACTGCCTTGATGTTTCTCACGAAAAGCATTAAGTCTTGTCGGCAAGCATAAGCCGCAGCGCTGCTGACGTAGGCTGTCTTGGCACTCATAGTGGGGGACATATCGTGTACATAAACAGAAGGCAGCGAGAACAGGAGAGGTCTCGGTGTTGTTCAACTGGGTTAACACGCACATTACCGCTGTGTTCCCACCGCCACGCAGCCCTGATGGCGTGGTATAGGATCTCTGGGCTACGTTGTCGTACGAGGCGGGCAGAGATTGTGTATTGATGATAACTTCACATCACAGGCAAAATGGAACTGTATGATTCGGGGCTGATCATGTCATTAAGTCGTAGCTATGGCGTGGATGCTGCTGTTTTCCTCGCTTCCCACGAGACATGCCACGTGAAATGGCACAGCAGAACCATCCGCAGTCTGTCGCACCGCTTCAAGCTTAGTAGTCATCATCTCCAGCGTTCATGCCACGCTTCTCAGCTCCCTTGGAGGCGAGCTTATCATTGCCCATCATGTCGCCGGCCTTTTGCATCATCTTACCCATCATCGAATCCTTCTGCTGGCCGTGACGTCCACTGGAGCTGGTGTTGTCGTAGTCGTCACTGCCTTGACTCGTCTTGTTTCCGAATCCAGCGCCCGAAGTGGTTCTAAAGGCATTTGTTAGATGCGTCAGGCGTGAAACTACGATGCAATGAGCTTACCCAGAACCGTAGCCGGTGCTGCCGCTGTACGAGTCTGTGTTGCCGCCGCTACCAAAGCGAGTGCTCGAGCTGTCGTAGTTGTCATCACCGGAAGTCTTGTTGCCAAACCCTGCTCCGCCAGTCGTGCTGTTTGGAGCTCGTCAGCTTTGTAGAACATAGTGAGATGGTGGGACAACGGGCCAACTCACCCAGATCCGTACTCGCGTCCTCCGGAGTAGGGATCAGTGTTGCCACTGCTACCGAAGCGAGTGCTCGAGGTGTCGTAATCATCGCCGGACGAAGTTTTGTTGCCAAAACCGGCGCCGCTAGTCGTTCCCGATCCGTACGTGTCACTTGTAGTGTCGGCGTCACGACCCGTGCGCTGCACGGCTGTTAATAAGCTGCTTTAAGGAAGAGCAAGATGTATGCCACCCCGTTCGTGACTCGTGTGACTTACACCGTACGTAGACTCTCCAGAAGTAGTACCAAAGTTGTCACCAGTAGAGCGGCCGATACCGCTTGTGCCAGAGCCGTAGTTGTCTGAAGACGACATAGTGTCACGACCTCCACGGCCGCCCGCTCCGGACGAGTAGTCGTCGTCGCCCAGTCCAGAACGGCCCATGCCGCTCGTGCTGGAGCCGTAGTTGTCGGTGTCACGGCCACCAAGACCGCCCGCTCCCGAGGAGTAGCTGTCATCGCCCATACCGGAACGGCCCATACCACCTGTCGAGCTGTAGGAATCATCCCCCATGCCGGAGCGGCCAGTCCTGTCGGAGCTCTGCGAATGGTGAGCGAGTGATCTGTGAGTGCGCAACACGCCATGCGGTAGGAACACTCACGCCGTAGCCGCCCTGACGTCCGCTGTCGCCGTAGCCGCCTAGGTGCAGTTAGCTTCCAGAAGCTCGCGTTCACTATCATGGCGATTGAGTTTGAAGCTCACTCGAGGTGTTATCGTCGTAGCCAGACATGTTGGTTTGTGGTTGAAATTGTGAGGTTTGGTGTTGGTTGTGAGAGGTTTGTGGGTGTGTTCAGTGTATGGGGAGTGGAGGTTGGAGTCTCAGAAGGGCCTTTAAAGGTCATGTAAGTCTCACTCACAGCCTGTTTTGATTTACTGAAGCTGTTCATCACACCTACATGGAGCTCCAAGCTCCCACTTCCCATGCAAGGTACGTCACTGCCGCGCTGCACAAGGGTAGCAGGCACCACGTGCTACGCAGGGCATACTATTCCGGCAAGCACGAAGGTGGGAACTTGGCAGTAGCTGGCTTGCGTGCAGACGGGAACCTGCTGAAGCCGCGTTCTAGAGCTTCCAACGAACTGGGCTGTGATCCTTTGGCAGCCGACAGATCGCAACACGCCATGGCATGTCCCGCCAATCGCAGCAAATGCAGACAGTAGCACCGTTTCAGCCACCGCCATGGCTATCAGATAGGCAAGCTGCCGAGCTGATCAATAGGGAGAAAGCAGGTTGGAGAGGAAGTGGAGTGGACAGGGTCCAGCTGATAGCGTGACATTGGTCGGAAAGGTCCGCTCTAATGCCTAAGGCACAACAAGCCAGTTGAAGCTCGCGAGCATCAGTGCCCTAAGTCGATGTTACGTGACATCCGCATAAGTCCCGGCGACCAGAGTATGCTCTCTCTTTACCGTTTAGTCTTGCAACATTCTACTCGGCATTGAAGGCGGGATGTTCGTCACGTAGCTGACCTTGTTGAAACATGTCAGGATGTCCTTTCGCATGAGGTGGTTAACTGTCCCCGGGGAGTTGACGAGTAATAGGTGATCGTGTGAAGCAAGGCCACAGCTGATCTTTACTGGTCTTCGCCATGCTTCCCATATGGCTCGCGTGAAAAACACAGCTTCTTATGGTAGACGGCCTGATATAAGGAGGTGAATTGCAACCTACAAGAAGCTTGTCAGTCTTGTTGCCATTGATGAGGGCTGCAATACTACGGCACACGATTGCGATCGGCAATGACGATTTCTAAGCTACCCATTGCCGATGGCGTTGTTATACCCACTTACCCCAACAGTTGCAGATGGATATATTGCGGTGGAAATTCACTCTTGCCAGCGCTGCTAAAAATTGCAAGGCAATCCATTTAGGTCGATCAGAGACCACATCGATTTGGTGCCCGGAACATTGTACCAAGAAGACACTCTGATCATAATCATAGCTTGGCTGCGATGAAGGAAGCCATCGTACACGCAGGGCCGAGAGTTGAGATCATCGACTCACCAATCCCGCAACCGCAAGCTGGCCAAGTAGTCATCAAGGTCGCCTTCAGCGGCAGCAACCCAAAGGATTGGAAGGTGCCCGAATGGATGACACAAACCCCACCATTGAACCAAGGCGATGATATCGCTGGTACCATCCATGCAGTCGGCGACGGTGTCACAGAGTTCAAGCCCGGAGACAGAGTGGCAGCGTTCCACGAGATGCTCTCTCCGCACGGCAGTTACGCCGAATACGCGGTAGCGTGGGCTCATACGACCTTCTTTCTACCGCAGAAGACAAGCTTTGAGGAAGGTGCCGCCCTCCCGTTGGCAGCTCTGACTGCTGCCGTTGGTCTATACGCCAGTAATCGCCTTGGCCTCCCACAGCCATGGAGTCCTGCAACCAAGCCAATACCATTGGTGATATACGGAGCGTCTTCGGCAGTGGGCACCTACACCCTGCAACTGGCGCTCCGGTCAAATATCCATCCATTAATTTGCATCGCTGGTCGTGCTCAACAGCACGTCGAGAACATGATCGACCGTTCGAAAGGCGACACTATCGTCGACTACCGTAAAGGTGATGAAGCAATCGTACAAGGTATCAAGGACGCACTCAACGGCAAGAAGCTGGAGTATGCTTATGATGCTGTAAGCGAGAAGGGCTCAGTCCAAAACCTCGGCAGAGTTCTCGATGCCCAGAGCGGTACGGTCACCTGCGTGCTACCACCACCCGGGGGTGATTGGTCCGCGAAATGGCCAGGCGTGCCGGAGTCTATAGGCCAAACGTCAACAAACGTCGGAGATGTGCACAAGAGTGTGAAGGACCTTGGCTACGTGTATTCACGGTACTTCACTCGCGGCTTGGAAGAAGGCTGGTTCAAAGCGCAGCCGCAGGAGGTGGTCCCGGGTGGGCTCAATGGCATCCAGAGCGCATTGGAGAGGCTCAAGGACGGTACCGCCAGCGCGGTCAAGTACGTCTTCAAGATTAGCGAAACTCCAGGGGCTGGCAGTGGTAGCTAGATCGAATGTAAGGCCTTGCTAATCCAGCTCGGGCATGGTCAACGTGATCACATCAGATACTGTTACAGAATGTCTAAGTCGGTACTACAGACCAGACCACAACCGCCACGACAGAGCGGCTTTTGCACCCGACCGATCCGATTGAGCGCTTCCGCAACGCCAATGCTGATAGATCAACCTCTCCCTCTGAACACCGTTTTGATATCTAGCGGATGGACACGCCCGACCGATCCGTGAACATCCGCGTAGCAACGTTCATCGCCGCCAACTCCTGAAACAGTAGTTTGGCCGCATAAGGAATGATAACCTGCGCAATCCGATTCTTGTTCCTGCACTGTCTGCACTCTATCGTCTTCTCCTTGAGCTTCGCAATCGGCGTCATCAAGCCGCAGATCTCGCAGATGTGCACTCGGAACGCGTCGCTGACATCTAGCAACCTCTCCTTGAGGAACGCGGAGGCACCGTGCGCAATCATGCAATCACGCTCCATCTCTCCGAAACGTAGACCACCGTCTCGCGCACGACCTTCGACGGGTTGCCGAGTGAGGATCTGGAGTGGACCACGGGCGCGGGCGTGGATCTTGTCGTCGACCATATGCCGTAAGCGCTGGTAGTAGGTCGGACCAAGGAAGACTTGAGCGTTAAGTTTCTTGCCGGTATGCCCGTTGTACATGACTTCGAAGCCACGTCTTTGAAATCCATGTTCCTCAAGGAGAGTCGAGATCGAGGTGAGCGTGACGTCGGTAAAGGGTGTGGCGTCGCCTTCCTGGCCGGTCAAGGCGCCGACTTTGGACAGTAGACACTCGATCAAGTGCGCAATCGTCATGCGAGATGGAATAGCGTGCGGGTTGATGATGATGTCTGGCGTGAGTCCATCCGCGGTAAAAGGCATATCTTCTTGGCGATAAGTGATACCGATCGTACCCTTCTGACCATGCCGCGAGGCGAACTTGTCACCAATCTGCGGCACCTTCGTCGTCCTTGTTCGGACCTTCACAAACTTTAGGCCTTCCGTATTGGTCGTAAGCAACACTTGGTCAACGATGCCATTCTCTGTGCTTCTTAATGGCGTGCTGACGTCGCGCTTGACGTGCAATTTCGTCCGCTGGCCCAGCTCTTCCGCGTCAGGCGCGATCGGAGCCGTCTTGCCGATAATGATGTCTTCTCCAGACACTCGAGAGCCAGGGCTGATGATACCGTCATCATCAAGCTTGTCATACGTGCCGCCCTTCATCTTCAGCGTATCGCTCCGGACGGGCTTCTCGAACTGCTCTACGACGCTCATGCCGACCCGCTTCTCCTGATCCATATATGCGCGGTAAAATAACGAGCGGAACAAGCCACGGTCGATCGACGATTGGTTCATGATGACGGAGTCTTCTTGGTTGTAGCCCGAGTAACAAGCAATTGCTACGATAGCATTCTGCCCAGCCGGCAGATCGCGGAACTTCAGGAACTCCATCGAACGCGTCGTCGCCAGTGGTTTTTGCGGGTAGTAAAGGACATTAGCCATCGTATCCATACGAATGCCGAAGTTTGTGAGTGTGACGCCCATTGCCTGCTTACCCATGGCGGATTGATAGGTGTTTCGCGGACTTTGGTTGTGGTCCGGGAATGGAATGATACTAGCGCAGATGCCCAAGATCATCGCAGGATGAATCTCGCAGTGCGTCCACATGCGAACTTGCTTGTTCGGCTTGGCCTTGATCCGTCTGTGCGGATCCTCTTTGGCCTCGACCCAATCCTCGCCGAGACGCGCAAGCTTGTGCTCTTCGAGGTCGTCCGGTGTCATCATGATCATGGCAGTCTCCTCTTCTTCAGCGTCAAGATATTCGATGACGCCGTTCTTGACAAGGCCATGCCAGCCGAACGTCAACTCTGCCTTCTGTTGCTCACTGACAGACTGGCCTTCCAAAGAACCGATGATCTTCTGATCATTTGACAGTTTTTCAACTTGCTCTCGACTCAGCACCAAATTGCCGCGGTTTGGCGAGTTCGGATTGTTATCTATGACAAACAGGGGTCGCATTACGCGTCCAGCATCTGTGAAGACCTTGATCTCGCGCTCGCGTACGTCACGAATGATGGTCACCTCGAAGCCGATGACTTCCTTCCGTCTAAGCTCCTTCAAAGCCTCTGTGAGCTGATGTCCACTCGAGTGCACACCGACCCAAGTACCGTTTAAGAAGACCTTCGTGGCATTGGGATTCATCACCGCATCGTACTCTTCGAGCAGCTCCATGCCGCGGTGGCGCATGTACTCTATCAACGGCGTGCCCGGCGTACCGACGGAGACGTAGCACATCAACGCCAGGTTCTTCACCAGACCGCAAGCTTGTCCTTCCGGCGTTTCCGCCGGACATACAAGGCCCCAGTGGGTGTTGTGCAGCTGCCGTGGCTTGGCGATCTTGCCATCACGACCGATCGGTGTGTTTGTTCGCCGAAGATGTGATAGCGTGGAAGCATAGGTATAGCGGTTGAGCACTTGGCTAACGCCGGCCTTGGAAGAAGCAGCCTTTTTCTGGTCACCCCAGTTACCTGTGGCCAACGAATACCGCAGTCCGGAAGTGATGATATTGCTCTTCACTGCCAGATTGATATTGAACTCTCGGCCTTGCTCGACGCAGCGATGTAGGTAATTTCTGATATCCTTCACGAGCTGCGAAAACTTCAAGCGGAAGACTTGCGCCATTAGTGGACCTGCAAGATCAAGACGCTTCTTGCCGAAGTGGTCTCTGTCGTCCTCCTCGACACGGCCAAGCTGGACCTGCAGTAGTCGATTGACCATGTAGCCAAGGAAGAAGGCTTTCCTAGTCTCGCTACCCTCTTCCTGGGAGATGTGCGGGAGGAACTCCTTCTGCATGACGTCGCGAGCGAACTTGATACGCTTTTCCCGTGTACCGGCGAAGTTGCCTCTGCGGCCGATAAAGTCGAGAGCCTGCTCTCGCTCCTGAATCGCAGCTGCCTCTTCTAAGCAGGGCTTCAGCATTTCCAGCATCTGGGTGTCGTCGCGCTTGCAGATGTGCAGCAAGATATCTTCATCAGATACGATACCCAGTGCGCGAAATACAGCCACAAGCGGGATATCAGACTTAATGTATGGTAAGGTCGCCTTCACCGTCTTGCCCAAGTTTGTGCCGCTGGTACGCTCATACAGCTTCACCATCATGGTGCTGATCAGCCGGCTGCCTTTCTCGATCGCGCTGCGAATCTCAGCGACCACCGGTGTAGGTGAACCTCTCTTCTTAAACACCTGCACAATGTTCGCCGCACTTCGCTCCTGCGCAATGAGGACTTTCTCACTGCCATTGATGATGAAGTACCCGCCCTGATCGAAAGGACATTCTTGGAAAGCGTACAACTCCTGCTCTGATCGATTCCGTAACGTGCAGATCTTCGACTTCAGCATGACGGGTAGCTTGCCGATGAAGACCTTTGTCGCAGTGTCTGCGTCCGGACTGGCTTCATCTTCCGGATCACGCTGCCAGAACGTCTCGTATTCCTGGCCATCCCATTCTTCAGGTGCCTCCCACCGCTCCTGTTCTTCATCCCAGTATGAACCTGCCGGCTTTTCTTTGGCGATCATGACGCGCTTCTTCATCTCCAAGTAAATGGGTGAAGCGTACGTCAGGTTTCGCAAGCGCGCCTCGTGCGGGAACAGTGCTCGCGTGACACCATCACCCTCAGTCATGGCTGCTTGCGAGATAGTAGCCTTGCCGAATTCGATCTGCCACCGCTTCTTGACAATCGTCGCGCCATGCCCGTCGTCCTCTGGTGACAGGTTACGGTCTACGGCTATCGTCTCAGTTTCGCTTATGATCTCCTGCATAGTGGTGGCCGCAAACTCGTCGAACGAGTCGAGCTGCTGCGACACTAGGCCTTTCGACTCGAAGAATGACTGAATGACCGTCCAGCAATCCTCAGAGGTGATGACGCTGGAGTCGTAGTCCTCTTCCTCCACGCCCGCCATCATCGCGTCCCCGTTCGCGTACGCCATCTTCGTACTTCAACCCACACCTCACTTCTACCACTACCTGCCCACCGATCGCGCCGCTGCCGCCTCGCTCTGAACGTCACTCCGCTTTGCTAGCGACGCTGACGCCAGTGGAGGCGCGGTGGCGCAAACCACAGCGCAGACTGCGCGTGGTGGCAGAACCTTCGCTGTTGCGCAGGGATCGGCCGAAAGCGTGAAATGAGGGCAAACAAGACGGTAAGGTGTAGGCGAAAGGTTGAGATGGGTGTGGGAGGTGTGTGAGGGAGTAGGTTCGGTTATATCGAATGAAAGGAGGGCTGCCGTCTTTGAGCGACCCTACACTTCGAAGACGGAAACTGCCGGCGCTAGTGCAGCCGCAGATTCATGTGCCTTCGCAACATGAAGCTCATGTGCGTCTACTTGGCTACCGGTCCTACTCAAGCAGCTCCTAAACCAACATCTTGATAGGAGAGCCCCCTCTGTTAAGCACATTCATCGCTCAGATCCCAGCATGACACCTGGTCGTAGAGTAGACCGCTATAGCCTCGGAATGCCTGACTGTCGGAAGGCAAGGACGCAGTATAGGTCAACATGCAACTATAACTGATGTTTGAAGATGGAGACGACCACGGAGACAGCAGGATCATTCACCACACTCGTGCGAGAGTTGATAGCCTAGCTACGCAGACTGCCAAGCCAGCCGCTTCTCCGTCCCAATCGCGCCATTTGCATTCCCACTGTTGGTACACCTCAAATATCGCATCACGGTCGCCCCTACGGCCGAGAGTATGTCGTATCGTGTACCTTCGCCTCGCTCGCAAAAAGAAACTTTTCGAATGAACTGCATTTGAGCCGCCCTTCCCAACCCGCTGTGAATGCTTGCATTACATCCCTGTCCGACTGATCAGCCGAGCAAGAGATGCTGGTCATAGTCGGTCGTGCGTGAACGCTGAGTCGTGTCGGTAAGACCTAATGTTGAAGCATGCACCGCGTAGATGTCGATCGTATTGAAAGCACCCCGTTGAGAACCGTGGACCAACTCCCGCTAAAGCGCTTATCACTCTCAAGGGAGGAAAAGACGAAGAAGGCGCTTACTGCATGACGTGTCAGTAAAACTGGAGGCATTGCCTAGACCCGCTTCCGAATGACTGACCTTCATCGGCGCAGTCGGCTTAATGCTGCGGAGCAAAGTTGCCGTAATGCTGCGGACCCATGCCTGGCATTCCACCGCCCATACCACCACCCATGCTGCCGCCCATACCAGGGTAGACAGGCGGTGGCGGAGCGGGACGGTATGGTGTGCCTGCCGGACCGGAATTATTCTGGCTGCGTCCCCAGCTCAAACGCACACGAGAGTTACCGATAGGGTAGCCTTGCATTTGGTTGATGGCCATCTCCGCCGCATGACGGTGAACGAACTGGACGAAGCCGCAGCCCTTGCCTGGTGGAATCTTGACGTAGGTGATTTCGCCGAAGCCCTGGAAGAATGATCTAAGCTCATCCTCGGTGACGTAGCCGGAGAGACCGCCGACGAAGACAGTAGTGTTGTTCGGGTCGGTGAACTGGTTCATCGGCTGCTGTTGAGGGTAGTAGCCGCCGCCGCCGCCGCCGCCGCTCATTGGAGGCTGACCCATGCCGTACATGCCAGGCTGCATGCCGCCAGGCATGCCGCCCATGCCCGGCCCACCGCCACCGCTCTTATTCTTCGGTGTCGCGGTCGAGATACGCATCGGTCGGTTGCCGCAGTAGACGCCTTGCATCTCATGGAGCGCCTTCTGCTGGTCTTGCTCATCGGAGAAGCGGACGAAGCCGTAGCCACGTGACATGCCACTGATGGGATCTGACATAATCTTTGCCGACTTGCAGGAGTTGTACTTGCCTTGGAAGAGGGACATGAGAACGTACTCATTGACCTCCGGGCCGAGGTCGCCGACGAAGATAGAATATTCCGGACCACGGTCGTCGCGGCTGCGGTCAGCAAGACCGCCACCGGATGCCCAGTTGAGCTTGAACTGACGGTTCGAGTTCGGGATCATCTGCCCATTAAGCTGAAGAGCGCGACCGGCGGAGTCCGTGTTCTCAAAGTCGACGAAGCAGTAGCCGGCATTGCTGCCTGAGAACTTGTCGCGTATCATCTTGACATTCACCTGATAGCCCATGCCAAACCAGACACTGCGCACGAAGTTCTCATCGATCCATGGCTCAAGCTCGCCCATCCTATGCCGCCATTAGTGCGCCGATCGGCATGTAAAAGGCAGGAGACCTACCAGAGCGTAGTCTTCGAGTCACCACCAGGCTGCGGACCGCCAGCGCCAGGCGGGCCTGCCTGCTGCGCATTTGGAAATTGGCCTTGGTTCTGTGACGGGTCCATCTGCTGGCCCATTTGATTCTGCTGTTGACCTCCACCCGGCGCACCGAAACCGCCCTGCTCGCCGAAACCACCTTGCTCGCCGAAGGCTTGCTCTTCTGGTGGGTTCTGAGGCTGTGCGCCGCCTTCACCGAAGTTTGGGAAGCTCATGTTGATATTGAGAGAGGCTCTCTTACCGACTGAGCTGAGATAGTAGGTGCGGCGTTCGGCTAAACAAGGTACAAACGTTTGCTATTGTCCAAGTCAGCGGTCCATTGCCGGATGATGAGTTAATGCATGAGACAAGCGCTAGGCTGCAGCGCGTGTGCTGACATGCGGATGTGAACGTGCGGGGAGACTCACCTGAGAAAGGTAGTATGCTCCCTTGCTCGGCCGTTAATCGTAAGACTCGCTCGCCGAAGAGACTGAATGCAACAGAGCAGTTGCAGATGGCACTCAATCGGTCTGTGTAGGAAGTTGGTCGCAAAGTGCGCACGACCGGTTTCGGAATGACAAATTGATGCTGGTCCGAAGAGAAGTTGGCTGTTGAGAGAGAAGTGTCAGACACGCGGAATTTCTAAACACACACAGAGCGCACAATGCGACAGTACAGGCAAGGCACAGTATTCGTGGTGCGCGAAAGGAGGGGTCTTGGTTGTGTGGTCCGAAACACCCGCTTTCGCCAGACCGCACCAAGGCGCCCTGCCGCGGAGGTTCGAGCAGGTGAGGTCGCCCAAGCAGTCAGGTGACGTTACCAGCTACGGGTAGCCAGAAAAGCGTCGAGTGCTCGGCATGATGGGTGCAAGCGTCGATGAGGTGACGCGACGGTGCCAGCAAGGATCAGAGACCCAAGGGACCCTCTTGTCCGGTACGCCGTTCGGATGTTGCGGATGGCACCGCCTCAGCGCGCGCGAGAAGGGAAGGGCTAGACTTACCAGTATCGCAGAAGAGCACCAATGGAATGCAGCAAGTGGCGACGAGAAGGAGGACGTAAAGCAACAGAACGCCTGCTTTGCACGTACTGAACGAAACTCCCGAGTCACAGCGACGCTTCGATGTGTAAAGAAGTGTAAGGCAAGGTTAAGGTAGAGAATTACACAATCGCGTAATGAAGGATCTGCGGGGCGAGTCACGAGACACGACTTCAGCACGGTTATTTGGCTGTGAATGTCAAGATACGGGTGTGCTGCCTGTGTTGCTATCGCTGCCGCGGCGGTTCGCATGAGCCGGCCGCTTCACCTCTCAGCAGAAACGGTACGAATGCTCGCAATATGCACGGTCGGGGCTGTAGCAGGTCTTCATCAGCGCGAAACGCAGCTCTGAAAATCCCCATGTGCGCGGCAAGGGGCCGCATTTCCCCAATCAGGCACGCTGAATAGTAGGACTTGACCCATTGGGATATCCTAATATACGGAATCATGGATGCTCTTAAAGAACACGCTACCGATCAGTGTAGCTTTACTTTGGGTTCAAAAGCTTTCGCCTGTTTTTGGTCTGTCTGTAGGCTCCACAGGGCCAACAGCGCAACCGCAATCATGGCCTCATCCACCAACCAATTGCTTTGTAGTATCGGCTGCTTTCGGCTAGGGTTGATGTAAAGTATGATGACTACGCTCATCTTTCCTCTGCCAGTAGAGTCCACACGGTAGTAAAAGGAATGCTACGCCTGTACCGCGACCGCTTCGCTGCTCGCCACCGGCTCAACGCTGCCGTAACTCATGTAGTCGTAGGGTAGTCGAGGCGCGAAAGCCTACTGCGCAGGCTTTGCCTCCTCACCAGTAGGCGCATCCGACGTGTCCTTGCTCTCGTGCTCGCCTGGTGCAGCGCTGGCAGCAGCCGCCTCACCGCTTGGCTCCGCCTCAGAAGAAGTCCAGAGAGTCTAAAGCGCGCAATGTCAGTATTGAACTAGATCGCTTTAAGTGATCAAAGACACACCAAATTGTCACGGAGCAATTGCATGATGAGCGTGGAGTCCTTGTAGCTCTCCTCGGAGAGGGTGTCAAGCTCAGCGATGGCCTCGTCGAAGGAAGTTTTGGCCATCTGGCAAGCTTTGTCCGGGCTGTTCAAGATCTCGTAGTAGAAGACCGAGAAGTTGAGGGCGAGACCGAGACGGATAGGGTGCGTTGGTGCAAGATCCGTGGCAGCGACCTCGGTGGCGGCCTGGTAGGCTTCGAGTGACTTGTCCGCGGACTGCTTGCGCTTGTCGCCGATGGCGAACTCGGCGAGGTAGCGGTGGTAGTCACCCATCCTGCATGATGTTGTCAGCCTCGGATCTGCCATGCTTTATGACGGCCCCGTGGGATTACACACATCTTGTGGTAGAAGACCTTGGACTCGCCGCTCTGCGCAGAAGGAATCAAGTGCTTCTCCAAGACCTCAAGAATGTCCTCGCAGATCTTGGCAAGCTCGGCCTCGATCTTCTGGCGGTACTCCTTGATAAGATGGACCTGCTGCTCGTTGCCCTTGCTCTCTTCCTTCTGCTCGATGGAGGTGACGATGCGCCACGACGCGCGGCGGGCGCCAATGACGTTCTTGTAGGCGACAGACAGCAGATTCCGCTCCTCGACGGAGAGCTCTTGATCTGCGGAGGCCACGGTCTTCATGTTCTCGACCATCTCTGCTCACTGTTATTGGCTGCTCGTAAGCTCCAGAAGTTTGGCACGGCACATACCCTCATAGCGCTCCGCTTGCTCAGCAAGCTTCGCGAGGTATACGGAGTCTTCGTAGCCCATCTTGATGGCGTGTAACGGGTTTCAAATGGTCTGTACAACAAGTAGGGTCAGCGCTCAAGGGATCACAGTGCTGCGCGACAAGTGGTAGGGTGTGTGGAGGACGAGCTTTCAGTCGACAGCATAGACACGCCCAAGTCTTTGTACCGGCCAAGCGTAGTGGCAGTGCCGTGAAAGTGATTGCTTGATTGTGCCCTTGCGTAGCTTGCGTGTACGCAATGAGTGGGATGCTGGACGTTGTTGACTGCGTCCGGACCCTCGAATCTGCGACTGGCGGCAGTGCCTTGTGCAAATGCATATAACTACGCGCCATCACGCTGCATTCTAAAAGCGAGTCACAGCTCGTGCAGCCATTGGTCACTGGTGCCGAAGCAGGAAGGCACTGGTCCGGCGTGCTGTTGGTGATGAAGGTCGCAGACTCGCTTGGTTGTCTCATATCCCGTGACTGAAGGATTTGCTGTGTGCGGCCCAGGGGAAAAGCTTACCTGGGGTGTGGTAGGGTCAAGCGAGCGGCTTTGATGCGAGTGCACAACAGTAGCTGGTATTGACGGTCAATGTTGTCAACGAGCAAAGGATTTTGATGGATTCACAGAGGAGGGAGTTTCCGGCCGGTGTAGATCGTAGTTATGTCACCAATTTTTGGACCCTCCGCTGCTGACCGCTAACAAGGCTGATCACGTGCGGTGCGCTGCTCCTACTCCCGTCCCCACTCATTCGCGAATGATGGTGGTTCTATAAGCCCATGATCGCACAATCACTGACGGACTCAGCAGTTTTGACAGCAGTGTACGGCGCTGTTGCTGCTGCGGTTGCCATCCTTCCGTCAATCAGAAACAGATTGACGTTTGCGCAACAACATGGTCTGAAACGACGCTGATATATTGTATATGGTATAGAAGTAAGACACCAACGGGCATCACAGGTTGCTTACTGTACCCTGGACCTTAAGTTGTGCCTCGCAAGACGCTCACGCTTAGCTTGCTCGTCAGCCAAATGTCGAATCGCCGCGGACACATGAACGCACACGACATCTGGTACGCTCGGACGAAGATAGTCCATGTACTGCGGCGGCTCCTTAGCCAGGTTCTTCGTGCCTTTCAGGCACGGAAGAATCTCGCGCAGTATCGTCTCGATCTCCCGTTCCCAATCCAACTCATCATCTACAGCCCGTGGGCGCTCCGCTAATGTCTCACATTGCTCATCTTTGTGGGGAATCAGTCGGAGTGTCCACCGCCCCAATTGCGCAGCAAACAGTTCATCCGCAAGCCTTCGGCGACGCTTCGCCGGTCTCTCGTCCTGCTCGTCCATGAAGTTGTCGTCTCTTCGCGCTTTGTACGTTGCGCAAAAGTTCGTCAGCATTTGCGGGATGGTGCCACCCCTCGGTATGCCTTCCAACCTCGCTGTGACTTCATGGAGACAGGCACTATGCTTGTCAACGACCTCGAACAGCGCCATGGTGTAGTTTGCACTGGTACTTCGACCGAGACTGACGGCGAAGCGGTAGGTTAAGCGATCAAACAACCGAAGGCGTCCGCCGCCTCGAAAACAACCTTCGCCCATTTGGCGCTTCGCATTCCAGAGGCTCTTCCGTGCACTCAAGCTTCGCTGTTGGTATTGACTGCCTCCAATCTCACCGGCAATCTGATGGCAGACGGCGCGAAGAGTGTAGCTGGGCAGGCTTCGATAGTTCTCGCCTGTTGTTAGGTGTTCGATGAAGACATCGTCGAGAACGTTTTCGTAGATCTGGTCACGCAGCTCCTGAGGGATGGTGAGGAAGGTGGGTGGCTGTCGTTGGGCCGATTTGCCTACCATTGCGGCTCCGGTGCAGGCGTCGGTAGATGTTCTATGGTTAAGAGAGTTGCGATGAAAGAGCGTAAGGAACACAGCAAGCTGCAGGATGAGGGCGCCTTATGTATGTCTCGTGCTGGCTAGTGGTGCTTTAACTCACGAGGCCCAGGTGCTGAACTACGAGGCCCATCGCAGCACCATGGGAAACGAGTGTGTGTAGTTGGGTTTGGTAAGCTTGGTTTTTATCCAGAAAAGGGTTGGCTTGAGGAGACAGATAATCCAATACCACTATCTCCGATTACTCCTTGGCTTCCACATCTGGCCTTCGTCCTGTCAGCACATAAAAATGGCCAAAGGCGGCAAGATGTAGACTCACCCTGATTGAGCAGCTCCAATACATAAGCTTGCCCTCATCTGTCCCTAGCATTCGCAACTCGATTCAGTTTACCACCACTCGATACCCAGCCAACAGGAGACTCACCACAACAATATCGGCGTCACGAATCGTCAATCGAACAGTCCCAGAGACTTGGGCATTGGGCAGATCCCTCGCGCCAGGCTCTGCATGCCCCAACCCTTCCCACTCAAGCTGATAGACGAAGGGTACGATCCGACCACCGCCGGCCGCCTCATTCATTTGGCCGACAGATCTAACTGCGACTCGGACTGGACGGGCATCAACACCTACCTGCATGCGGACAACAACCCCTCCCGTATTGGTCCATGAACGGGTAAACTGGGTCAGATGAGGCTACACCGCACCCTCGTTTCCTGGATCATGGAAAACTTCCCAGCGGAAGTTCAGGTAGCGGACCAAGTGTTGAGGAAAGTGAGAAAGCATCCGGCCATGATCGAGGGACTGGTAGTGGCTCGACTCGGCAAACTCAAGGTGAAGCGGGGAATGAGCGCCTTGTTGGAGAAGTGGCCGAGGAAGAAGAGGCGGGAACGGAAATTCTTTGCGCCACTGGAGCGGTAGACGGTGCACCAGATCCTCGTCAAGAAGGCGGAGCTGATGGCGCCGCCCGCGCTGTCTCAGCGCCAGAGGCGGCTGCAGAAGCTATTGTCGGCGCTACCGCCGTTGCATACTTCTGGTCATGCAAATGGGTCTGGGAAGCGTCGTCACCGTGGTCGACGTGGCGAGTAATCAGGGCAGCTTTTCACCCGCGACGGGTGGTCGGTCGTCAAAGGTCATCCCGCCGAAGCGTACTAGCACGGGTCAACGGTTGTGGGATCTTGCATTACTTTGTCAGGCAGAGTGCATGACACTTCTGCTCGGGGGTTGGGTAGCCGCCTTTTGATAGAGCTTTGAAGGTTCATACAAGTATTTGCGAACACCGGCGTGTCGTCTCAGCTATACTTCCACTTGACCACAGTCATCGCACGAGACTGTGTACATGTTCGCTGAGTGGCATTTCTGGATGTGGTGCAGAAGCCGACATTTTAGCTTAGAAGCCTTCGTGCATCCAGGGAAGGCACTGTTCCACGGCCGGCCATTTTAATGTGTGTGCAGCATATGATGGTTAATTGTATGTAAGTCCCAAACATCTGTGGACAATGCAGAAAGGCACATTGCCAAGTCGGCTCGGATTCAGGGAGGTTCTGCTTCAGAGGGATATCATGGTTTATCTTCATGGTCGTCAGACAAGCGTCGTTGAAGCTAAGGTCGGTACAATCGTCCTGGTAATCAGCGATCTTCCAGCGAACCGTGTTCCGGCAATTGTCCATAATCATCAAGTCCATGCCAAAGATTACTGCAGTCCACATGCTTGCGTGTTTTTGCCTATAATCGTGGCTGGCTTTGAGTAGGCTGTAACATCGATAGGTAGGTGCAGCACGTCAGTGGTGCTGGGTTGGTAGAGCATTTACCCCGATCTCGACATCCGTCGGATCTCTTACTGCTGCATTGTTGCCCACACCCGTGGATGGCTCTGAATTGGCTGTGACGGCTATAGGTAGCTAGCGCACGTCAACAATGTTGGGATTGAATACAATCTACCCACCTCTCCGTCCCTTGACGAAGCCCACCAGATTCTCAATCACGCCCTCCAACGCCTCCTTCTCCTTGACACTCTCATCTTTCCGTTGCAGCCAGTACTCCAGCACGCCACTTGCCTTCCGGTTGAGCACGCCGAGCGTGAATACATGCTCTCGCAACTCCTTGTCGCTGTACACCGTTAATGCTTGCTCTGTAGTACTGCACAGCAGACTGGCGGCATTCGTGTCAAAGTCCGGAGGGGGAGGCGGACCTTTGGCGACAGCGGTCCGCTTCTTCTTGGGAGCACCGGTCTTAGAGTCAAGCGAAGTCGCCGAGGCGTTCCCAGATGTTTCTCTGAGCCGTTCAATGGAAGTTGCTGACGGCCTTGTCTCGGAAGACAGGTTGATGTTGGGTAGCACCAGCCGTTTCTGTTTGCTCGGTGGTAGGATCTCATCCAGGTCGACCGGCACACCCAACGAGACGAGGAAGAGACGGCGTATCCGGCTTCGTGTCCAATTGGGCGGTTGCATGGGCGGAGGGTTCTTGAGCTGGGTCCAGAGGGCGTAGGAGCGATCGGAGAGGAAAGGGGAGGTTGATGCTGGGTCAATGGGCGGAAGGTCTCGCAGTGATGGTAGTGGTTGCGAGTTCGGAAAGATGGTGTCAATGTACGGTCGGACTGCCTCTTCTGTCTGAGTACGGTCAAGGCCTGAGAGATTGAGTGGTGGCTAGCATTGACCGTCGTCAGTGGATTAAGGCATTGAGTTGAAACGGAAAGCTGTAGACTACTTACCAAACCCGCTAGTATGTCAGGCGGCGCTGGCTGTGTAGCAGGATACGTCTCTTGCTGCGGTGTCGCGTCCTCTGCTTCATCAAAGTCTCCAAAGTCGTCTCCGTCGCCCTCATTGAAATCGTCAAAGTCGGCGCCAAGATCATCATCTTCTTGCGGCTGAGTTTCCGCAAGTGCTTCCCCCTTCCCGCCTTCCCACATCGAACGAAACCAAGCTTGCTGTGCTTCAGGGTCTACTGGTTGATTGTCTTCTCTGCACCACAATCAGCTGCTCGTCACAAGTTACACCGCAGCCCCGACTCACCTACCCTCATCAATCGCCCCGCTCCGCGCCACCTCTGGCGCCCGCCGTACTTCATCCGGCTCTGCATCTGCCATCCGCATCTCCTTTGCTAGCGTGCCATCCACCTCGCCATGCGCAGGTTTGTCATCCACCCGCTCCACAATAGTCTTCGGGATCGGCGTTCCACCTGGCGTCTGTGGTCTAGAGCTCTCACCAAGACCGCTCAAGGCACGTGTGCGCGTGCCACTCCGGCTGCGTTGGCCATCAGGGATGATCTCGACCTCGTCGGGTACGGCATCTCTGGTGCGCATGGCATAGGCTGCCGTGCCCGGAACCTCGCCATGAGCGGGCCGATCGTCCACTCGCTCAACACGAGTTATAGGTGTGGAAGGCGTAGTATCATTGTTCGACAGACGATGGCCGTCGTTGCCTTCACTGGCGGACGAAAAGTGGTCGCTATCGGCATCTGAGAGCTCGTGTGCGCCGGGATCCTGCGTTTGGATTCTCGGTGGTTGCAACGCTGACGGCATAGTGAGTGTCGACTATGTTGTGGGGCGTAGCAGAGACAGCAAGAGGATGGGGACTCAATCTAAGTAGCGCAGTGGGCACGACAAGGGTATTGCAATATAGGAAGTGTTCTGTGGCTTCCCTCACCGTCATGCCATAAGCCAAGGGAAACGCTAAGCGATGGCTCCTGTTATGTAAGCATGTCTTGCACGGTTTATGTACAGCACCGTGCTTTTGTCGTTCCGCCTCGCCTGCTCTCACTCTAGAACGCATCGTCCTCGCCATGTGCGTGACTAATGTCGCAGCCGTAGCATCAAAGATCTCTTCCGACTGCGCTTTAGTTGCACCTCACCCTCTGTGGCTTCACTCCTCGTCTCCTTCGCCTTTGATGGCGACATCCTCCGCAGCCGCTGGAACGGTTAGCATGTGTACCTCCGGAACTGGTAACGAAATGGCATCTTACCTTCATCGACCTCCTCCGCCGTCTCTTCGGACACCTTGGCTTTCTTCCCGCCCTTACGGCCACCCTCACCCTTCGCAGCGCTCACTCCACCGTCTGCAGCTTCCGTCTTGCGCTTCTTCCCGCCTCCACCTCGCTTCAGTGCTTGCTTCTCTGCTTCCCCCTCCGCTGCCTCGTCGTCATTGGCCAGACCTTTCTCGGCTGCATCCTTGACCTTCTTGCTGATGTTTCTCAGTTGCCTGGAGTAGCTCTCGGGCTTGCAGTTTCCGCCGAACTGGTTGGCTGCTTCAGCGTAGACGGCCTGTCAATCCGGAGTCAGTCGTGGATGTTTGAGATACAGTGTCGGATATTGCAACTCGCCTGTTCGATGCTTCCGCTGTTGATGCACGCCATAGCTAGGCACGCCAGACGGTCAACGTCGCCCTCGGAGATAATGTTCTTCACTTCTGGCCAGGTAAGCTTCGCCATGACGCTTGGTTTGTGGAGGATCGTGAGGCGTAGTGGTATTGGAGACAGGAGGTTTTGCTTGCTTGACTGGTGTCGGGATTGCTCAGGGCTTGGTGGTACAGAGAAGGGGTGTAGTCAAGTGAGAGTGAACTTGTTCTGCAGTGGCGGACGCTGGCTGCCGCGTGACCCGATAGGTTTCACTGATGCAACACTATTTGCAGCACGTGCGCGAAAGGACACAAGTGAGTTTGCAGGTGACGGTCGACGAGGCCTTTTACAACCTCCTTTGTCTGACACGAAGCCTGCCCTACAATACCGCGAGGGTTCCCTGATAGACACAAGAACGGTGCTGCTACAGGGCAGGTGCCCATGCTCAAAATCCATACACTGCCTTAAGCCCTTCAATCTGCGAGCTGTCGAACTCTGCAGTAGCCACGTCTGCGCGCCGGACTTGCTGTTCCGCACGATCTTGCGACTCTCGGGTCTGGCCGAAGGTTATACAGACGAGGCCCGACCATATACGCCACCGGCAGACTCTGGTTGTCCGCGAATAGTCCCGTCCCAAAGACAACCTGCTGGTCAAGCGCAAGGCTGAAACAAGCACACCTGTACCGTAAGGGATGAGGTGTTTTAGAGCTTTTGACTCATTCGTACCGCATATAAGGCACGTTTTGATTCATATACCGCAGCAATCTCGAGCGTGATCGATGGTGCTTAGAAGACTCCAGAGAAGTAAAGACGTGAGGGCCAAGCAGTGGTATATATTCGTCTGCTCTTACTGTTAAGCCTAGAATGGCGACATTTCTAGGAGCACCGTCGCATTTAGCTTGAGGGGAAGAAGAACGAACGTGTGTAGCAGGAAGTGGAAGAAGAGATAAGATCTGATAGAACCGTGCCGTGGCCTTGTACGCCTCGGCTCAGAACGGACGAATGTTGTACACACAAATACGTACTGGCGAAGCTGTCGGCCGCCGATGTGTTGTCCAGCTGCGCCATTGCTCGCTTGAAAGTTTTTCGAATTGCAGACCGTAAGGTTACCATACAATGCCGTCGAATGTTGTTGATCCGATATGTACTGACAGGCTGCCATCACAAGAAGTGTTCAGGGGCAGCAGTCACTCCAATACCGTTACCGCGGACGTCAATGTGATCATTCTCCGGAGACGAAATTACCATCCGATGGCAAAGTCAAGAAGAGGACTGACGAAACAGCCGATGAGGTGCTCAACATGTCAACATTTCGGCAACTCTCCGCCCGCGGCTGCATGCCGGGAATAACAACATGAAGGCGGCGATGGATTGCAGCTCTCCTTTTGCCGTCAAATAGTGCGTGTCAATGTGCTCGAGTATCTCTCGAAAATGCAATGTAGGTGATTAAGGTAGGTCTACTGCTTTCTCTGTCCTCCACGACACACTTGGCGATCCTCGCAGATACGATCACTGTAGCCGTCGACACGTAGAGACTAAGGCAGCCATTCAAATGGCACAACATGACGGTGTCAACGAAATCAACGGCGTCAACGGCCACCTATCAAACGGCCACCATGACGGGGGAATACCCGCAACCCAAGCACTTGCTCACTTCGCAACGAGCGCAAGAACATCCGCGCTCACGCCCGCTCTCGAGGAGAAAGTCAAAGAAGTCCTCCTTGACTTTATAGGCGTAACCGTGGGAGCCATTCAACATGCCGACTCCACGACACCCATTGTCAATGCCATATCAGCCCTCCAAGGCCCGACCGTAACCAAGTCAAGCCCAGGCGTCTGCACCGTCCTCGGACAAGGCGAGCCTCACTTCCTACCTCAATATGCCGGCCTGCTCAACGCCGCTCTTGCCCACAGTCTGGACTTCGACGATACATATGCCGCCGGCACTCTCCACGCAGGCGTGACTTCGATCTCGGCCGCGCTGGCGCAGACGGAAGCACTCGCGCAGAGCGGTAACGCGCCGACTCCGGACGAGCTCATGCTAGCCATAGCCGTCGGATACGAGGTGACGTGTCGTCTCGGCCGGGAGCTGGGCTACGAAGCGTACAGTCGAGGATTTCATAACACCAGCACGGCCGGCATCTTCGGCTCCATAGCCGCAATGGCGGTGCTGAAGCGCTCGACGGTACAGACGGTCGAGATGGCCTTCGGTCTAGCTGGATCGAAGGCTGCAGGTTCCATGCAGTACCTCGATAATGGATCATGGAATAAGCGACTACATCCCGGCTTTGCTGTGCATGATGCCTTCATGTGCATGGCTCTGGCCGAAGCAGGCGTGATTGGAGCAACCCGCATTATCGAAGGCAAGAACGGCTTCCTCAAAGCATACTCTCCGAATGCGGATGTCTCGCTCCACCGGCTAGTGGACAGTCTAGGCACTGAATGGGAGTTCCTCGCCTCGTCTCTCAAACCCTATCCAGCCTGCCGCATGACACACGCCTTCATTGAGCCGGCCGGCAACCTACACGAGGAGAGATCGAAAGCTGCAGGCGCTTCAAGCGCTGACGAGAAGGACATCGAGTCAGTCGTCCTCTACATGTCTCCCGCGAACTTCATCCTCGTGGGCGATCCAACGCCCAACAAGCGTCACCCGAGCAACGTCATCGACGCGCAGTTCTCCGCGTACTTCCAGGTCGCCAACGCCTTGCTATACGGAGCGAAAACGGGTGACATGTCGCCGTACTCTCGGTTGCAAGATCCGGCAATACATCGGCTGACTGACAAGATCAGCGTAGAGGTTGACGACAGCATGTCCGGGTTTGCCGCCAAGATGGCCGTCAAGTGGGCGGGTGGTCAAACTGTGCGGGCTGAGCAGCAGTATCCGCTTGGTGAGGTGCAACATCCCCTCACGCGGGACAAGGTGGAGGAGAAGTTCCTTGCGCTTGCTGTGCCGGTATACGGGGAGAAGCGGGCGGCGGAGGTTGTGAGGCAAGTCAGCCAGTTGGAGCAGGTCGACTTGACGCACTTCATGCAGCTGTTGCGGTAACACATGAATTCCTCATGATTCACCCCTCACCCCAGCATGCTCTTCTTCCGCCCTCGCATCCTCACGTCTTCCAGCTTGCGAAGCACGAGTTTGCCCAGCTTACCCTTCATCCCGCTTCCCTCCGCCTCAGCATAAGCCTTCAGCACCTCCGGAAACAGCCCTTCCTCCCTCGGATGCGTAGAGCCAAACGCCCGCTCGAGCACATACAAATCCACCGCTCGGTCCTCGTCCGATACCGTTTGCGTAGCCAACCCGAAGTCGATGAGCACGATCTCGCCTTCCAAACTCTCCTTCTCCACAACTCCTTCCAGTCCTCCCTCGCTACTCTCGGATGTAAAGGAAGGGCGTAACATCATATTACTCGTAGTCAAATCCCCGTGCACCACCCCCGCCGCATGCAAGCGGCCCAACACCACCCCAATCCTCCGCAACAACCCTTTCAACTCCTCCACCTTCTCCTCACCCTCACCCGCACCCTCCCTACCCCGCGCCTTCTTCGTGTCATAAACCGCCTGCTTCACAGTCCGTCCAGCAATCCACTCCGTAACCAACCACCCCCTCTCCCAATCCAGCGCCAACACGGCAGGGACCACACCCCTTAGACTCCCAACCCCTTCACTACCCTTCCCTTCCTTCTTCGGATCTTTGACCTTCCTGCCTCCGGAGCCAGATACTATACCCTCCCCACTCAACTTGACAAGCACCCTTGCCTCAGCAAGGATGCGCGCGCGCGTGAGTCGCTTGTCAAGGGTTGGATGCCGCCATGCCTTTTGCGGACGGTACTTGAGCGCTGCGGGCCGGGTCGGGGAGAGGAAGGTGGTGCGGAAGAGGAGGGATTCGGCGCCTTGTGCTATCAGCGTTAGAGGGACGGTGGAGGTGTTGAACGGGGGTGGGAGGAGGGATTGTGGGTTGCTGCGGTCGGGGGTAGCCATTGTGGCCGGGCAGTGTTGGTGCTACGGCATGATCGTACGACAATATGTTAATATTCAGAGCGGGCAGTTTGAAGTGATAATTGATGCACAGAGGCTTATCGGCTATCAGCACGTGACGGAGACGCCGACAAGATGTAGACATTTCATGGACAGTCTCTCAGTAAGCTACTTGGGACAGTCACCATCGTCGCAGAGGTCACGCAGTAACGGCGCTCTCGAGAAGCGTAGGTCATTCCATCGTAAAGATACGTTCAATCCTCCCAAATCGTCTCCAAATCCAGATCCGCCCTCCTCTCCCCACCACAAACACTCCACCGCTTCCTCTCCCTCCCTACCCTCCCGAACCCACTCCTCGGACCATCTAAACTGCCTCGCCTCGTCAACCCGCCCACCGTCTCCGCCTCCTCACCATCCACATCCTCGCCCCTTTCGATCCGCTCCTGCCTCTCCGCCGCCAACTTCAACCGCTCAATGCGCTCGTCTTCAATCGCTTCGCTTTCCAGGTCAGGCGTGTCCTCGATCGTGTCTAAGGAGGAGATGGAGGGTGAGCGTGAGCGAGCTGATGTGGGTGTTGAGGGCATGCTGGAGAAGGAGGAGGTGCTGGCGTAGTGGTGGAGGCTGGGATAGGCTTCGTTGTAGCGTTCCGGTCGTTGTGGGCCGAGTGAGGGGCTGGAGCTCCCCGAGGAGGCCGCTGTTACGTTCGACTCCGTGATGATTGCTGGAAAGCTGGTTGGTTGGTGTGTTGGTGCGTTGGTGAGACTGTGAAGTGGACTTGCTGGCCGGCGACGTAGGGAGCCTGAGCGGGAGAAGGACGCCATGGCTGTGGGCTGCGGCATGGTATTGACGGTGACGGGTGTGCTTCGTGGGGTAAGGTCCAGCTCGCTGTCCTCCTGTATGCTCTCGATCGCGCCTCCACTGGCATAGCTGGGTGACCGCGGCGCCGGCCCGTCTTCCTGCTTGAAGGGTGACCTGACGCGAGCAGGGGATTTCATGGGACTGTGTGAGCCCGGACTAAGCGAGCCGCTCGTTGGGGTGCCCGGTACGGTAGTTTCTGGCGTACGGGGAAGGTGCGGGTTGGGCAGGCTGTGCGCGCGGGTCATGACAGGCGCAGTAAGCAGTGCGGAAGCCGAGCTTCGGGATCGCAGGTGGGAGCGGCTGTAGGGCGAGCGGTTCCGATGGCTGCTGCTCGGTCGCTGATGCGTGTTGGAGAAGTAGCCTTGCAGCAGCGACGCTGGTGACGGGTCGGTGGAGGAGCGAGCGGTGAGCTCCGGCCTCACGAGCTTGAGGAATTTGGGCGGTGGTAGTGCTTCCACCACGTCGCCCATTTCCTCCTCAATGTTCAACTTGGCGAAGCTTTCGATGGGAGACTCGAGCTCGTCGTCCGCTGGCGGTGGGTGAGTGTTGATCTGGAGCCTGGTCGTTGGCGTGGCCGCGAAGGGCGGCATGTTGGGCGTTGCTCGTATCCAAAAAAATCTGCCTGACGCGAACTCGGTGTTGTATGTTTGATCACACTTCCTTTTTAACAGCTCACGCACCCTCCGCACCTCATAGGCCGTATGACCGGATGGTGGAGGAGGATGTGCAAGTGGGTCAAACGCCGGCGCTGTTGATCCTTCTTGTGGGAGGCGAAGCACGCAGGGACTCGCTGACTCGTATGAAAGTTACCTTCTGCCAATTTACGCTTTTTCCAACGCCCACTAAGGTACGTTGAAATCTTCAAACAATGGAGTAGGTATTCAGCTATCCTGCTATACAGAGTGTGAGTGAGGCTCGTGGCGGGTATGAGCAATGATATTGTAACGCTGCTAATAGGGTTTGGGTATTTGACGGCGTTTGCGTGCAAGGTCCTGCGGATTGCGGAGTAGATGCAATGCAAGGTCGCTTGCGCACGAAGGGTATCCCCCCGCCTGACTGGACAGGCAGCTCGTCGCGTAGATGCCTGCCGTAGATCACCGGCCAGCCTGTATGCGGGCGTAGAAGCCGGCCCGGTTCACTTTCAGCCGGAAAGGTCCACAGAGGCGCTGCGGTAACAGATCGCAGCCGAGACATCGTACGCTTGACACGGCTCAACGCGCCGCAAGGCTGGCGACAAACATGACGTTAGTGCTCATTGTCCACGACTCACGCCTCGCCGCGACCCCATTCGGTATGCAAAATGGCATCCTCCGAATCCCAGCGACTTTCAATCTCGACGCACACTGAGCTGAAGCCCAACGAGACGGACCTGGAAGAAGCTCCCGAAGGGGGACCATGCGCCAACACGATACAAGCACGCATCTACCGCTACATCGTTCTGGTTCACACAGTAGTCGGGCTGGCATTTGGCGTATACTTTATAATTCGCAGGTATGGCGGCCGACACTGACCGCGGCGCCACCGTTGGATATGGACGATATGGGGAGGGCGCGAGTGAATCGTGACTGTCGAGTTGTTGCAGCTTTGGCATCGCAACCATATTGTTAAGCTACTAGGTACGCTCGATGAGTAGCGGTCCAATCATCCTACTAGTGATTGTTGTGCGCATGAGGTGTGAGGTTGATCGAGGTGTTCCATTTTGCAGCGTAAAGGAAGGTTGTTGAGCGGACCACGAATTATGAAGCGGCTTTAGCCCGTTGTACTGACGACAGCGCGTCTAGCGGTCACAATTCGGCAACATTATCATGAGCCGACCTTGCGACTACCAAGCGACGGCATGATGTTGTTGCGATCCCGGTCTGCAGGGCGCCTGTTACAATCGCGCGAGATCTGGTGCGACCGTTCTTTCTTCATACCAGGCGCGTCTTGAATATGTGATGGTCCGGGGCAGCATGTTGGGTTCAAACAATAAGCGCGCCTTGAGAGTAGAGATTAATCGTATAATCGAAGTCTTGTTCGCATTGCCTCTCATCCGCCACCAGCAGCACAGATACAGAAGCCGCACTTTTGGCGTGCTAGGTCATAAGCCGTCTGGAGGGGCACAGTCTCTACGTCGCCGGCGTCCCAAGGTCTGGGTTCGCCATAAGACTCTAGCATCTCAGCTCTCGTCGTCCGTCTCATTCCGCGCGTCATTCACACTATCGCTACTCTTCTTCCGCTTCTTCGCAACAACCCCACCATCCAGCACCCTCTCAGCCAAGCCACCGTCACCCTTCGGCGGTAGCGGCAACGGCGGCACAAGCTCCCCCTCTACAAACTTCCACCCCGCCATCTTCAACATCTTCCACTTCTCGCCCACCTTCACCCTCACCAAATCCCCTGTCGCGCGCGCATCCTCCAGCGAGTCGTGTCCCTTGTCGCCACCCAGCTGGATACCGCGGTTGAGGTATTTGCTGCTCAGCATCCTCAACGCGTAGCGCATGGGCAGGCCGCGCGGGTGCGGGTACAGCATGATGGTGTCGATGATGGTTGGGTGGCAGAGGCGGACGACGTTGAGGTCGTTGTCGATCGCGTGACCGATGAGGGGAGTGGTGGGCGTGATGAAGGAGCACAATAAGTCCCGTGCTGCGGAAGGGCTGTTGACGATTGGTAGCGCCGGTGGTGGAGGCGAGTCGTCGAGCGTGTTCTTGAGCTGTGGTGCCGGTATGGCATCGTGATGGTGAGTATACGGTACGGCATTGGCCATGCTCTCCAGTGAGACGCCACTGAAACGAGAGTTGAGGTCCAGCACGATGCCCAGCGGCCGCACCAGCACGTCGATCAACTTTTCGCCTTCCGGGAAAGAGACCGCCGTCAAGCGGATGAGCTCGAAACCTAGCGTCGTGTAACCCATTTCGCAGTCCAACGCTACCGCTTTCGCTACGTTTCCGTGTGCGTCTTTCGCCGGGCTCTCATTCTCCGGCGTGAAGATGAAGGGCATGACAGCCGCGAGCCGCGCCGGACTGCTAGCTTTGAATACATGGTGCTCCTCCACCGTACATCCTGCCCTCCCGACCGGTTCGTTACAACACGGATAGAAGGCCTCTTTCGGTCCAGTGTCGGCCTTCGACCTCTGCGGATAGACCTTCCGCATCGGATGATGTCGACATTTGCCATTAGATGTTAGTAGACCTTCTTCGTTGCGCTGAGGGAATACTTGGAAGCGAGCCATGCAGCGATCGCATTCCTCGTAGTTTTTGCTAGCTTCGACTGCCGCCGCTGCTTCGGCTGCTTGATCTGAGGTTGGCGGAGTAGGTATGTAACCGAATTTGTCCAATGCTTTCTGATTCTTGATGGTTAATTGTGGAAGGATGGATGCTTCCTCATCTGGAGTAAGACCAGTCTCGATTACAATGGGCGCATCCAAGCCCACTTTCGGCTTGGCAAGGGTTTGCTGCTTCTGCTTGAAGAGCGACGTGCTCATGACATGCATGATCCACGCATCGACCCTCATCTTCTTGTATGCTCCAATACGCAGCTTGATTACGTTGGCGTAAACGTTACCTTGCTCCCTCGCCAGCTTCTCCTCTTCGTCTAGGGCAAGACGGATAAGCTCCGTCTCAGACAACATGAGCCCGTTCTTGTATTGAACTTGCTTTCGATCCCGCAGTTCTTCATTCAAGCGTACCATCTCGCCATGGAGATGTTTTAAATACAACATCCGTTTCGCATGTCCAGCGGGATCGTTAGGTATAAGACGAGGGTTGAGTGCGACTTTCTCCTCGCGAACATAACCATGTGTCGTCTTCGGTTTGTCACTAGAGATGTTTGTCGCATTTGCCACGGGTGAAGTCGCCTTGGAGCTTGCTTTGGCGGGTGGCGACACCGATCTTTTTAGGCTAGTTGGTGTCACAGGCTTCACGTTCGTGAATGTCGTGTCTGAGCCGTTGAGTGCCTTACGCTCCTGGAGAAGCTGAGTCCTGATCAGGTCTGCTTGGCTTGGTGGCTTATCTTCCGGCTTTTCGTAAGTCAGGCGCCTCCGTTTCGGTGCTGGGTCAGCGGGTGCCTCTAATTCATACTGCTGCTGAGTCGCTTCGCTGGTTGTCCTGGTTAACTCTGCCGAAGCCTTGGGCCGGAGATTGTGGGCAAAGATGCAGTTGGTTAATTTACAGCGTTCGCCTTCAGGGCAAGGAATGCCTTTGAAGAGGTTGGTGGTCGAAAAGACCATGGTTGATATCGTGCAAAAGGTGCCAGATCCCCAGGTGATAGTAGTGGTAGCAAGTGGTCTATTCCCGTCAGAGGTGTGACCGATTGTAAGCTTGCGGGGTCATACGATATTGGGATGGCGGACATAATTGGTGCAATGCATCATCATTGGGCGGATGCTCTGAGATCGTGCAGTAGCAGCTTGAACATGCTGAAATACGAGAAGGCTCTCTGCTTAGGTGGTGGGCATTTGGTGATGAAGTTGGGGAGAAGGAGAGACGGCAAGCTTCAACTTACCGTAACCCTCATCGATCAAGAAGACCGCTTCTACCAGGGAGTGAATGTCCGCACACTCGAAGTTCATGTCATCCGCAGAACCACGATCCTACGGCATAGATGCTGAGGTGATGAGGCGGGATGATGGATGTTGTGTGCGAGTTACAGCCACGATGTTCGATGTTCGGCTGCAAGATCGTTCCGCTCCGGCGCCAGATGTACGATCTCCGGAGCGCCTCAGCAACGTCATTAAACTCACGTACAACGGCGCGTGTCCTGGCGTCGGATCTATTGTAGGCCGTGGTAAGCACCTTTTCACTGTCTTCGCGCATATAGCCATTCCCCTGGTTCGAAGAGTGCCTCTCTTCTACAGCTTTCGCTTCGCTCCCTCCCCGAATATCCCAGCACAGCACGATGGCCGCAGAAATACCACAGGATGCCGGCAAGGCCGAGCATCTGGTAGTGATGATACATGGCCTATGGGGTAATCCTGTACATCTCAGCCATCTCCGAGATACTCTCGTCACACAGCATGCTGAGGAAGGACTCTATATACTCATACCAAAGAGTAATCGGGACAACTTCACCTACGACGGCATCGAGGTCGGAGCTGAGAGGATCACACATGAAATTGAGGAAAAGATCAAGTCGATCACGGAGGCAGGAGGCAAACTGAGCAAGATCAGCGTAGCAGGATATAGTCTGGGCGGTCTCATTGCCCGATATGTGGTCGGCCTGTTATACACGAATGGCGTCTTCGATGAGTTGCGACCGATGAACTTCACGACCTTCGCCACACCGCATTTGGGAGTTCGAACACCAAGGCTAGGCTACCGAGCGCAGACCTGGAACTTCTTGGGAAGTCGCACCTTGAGCACGAGCGGACAGCAAATGTTCCTCGTGGACAACTTTCGAAATACCGGCAAGCCACTACTTAGCGTTCTGGCAGAGCCAAACAGCATCTTCGTCCGCGGACTAAACATGTTCCAGCGGAAGAGTATCTACGCGAACACAATCAACGACCGCAGCGTGCCTTTCTATACTAGCGGTATCAGCCGGGTAGACCCATACGTTGACTTGGATGCGGTGGAACTGCATCCACTGCCGGACCAAGACCAGCCAGTCGTGCTTGATCCGGACAATCCAGTCACGCCTCGCAAAACTCCGACCACCAAAGCGCTGACGTTACGAGAACGGTACGATAAAGCGCGAGAAGCACTACCTTTCTACGCCTTCCTCTTCACCTTCATACCCATCGCGATCCCACTCTTCATGGTGAATGCTGGCTACCAAACATATCAAAGTTCGCGCAGGGTCGCGCTTCACGAGAAGGGCGGCCTGATAGACCTGAAACGCTATCGCATCCCTCTCCTAGAAGAAGCACAAGCAGTACAAGATAAAGTCATCGAGCGACTAGCTGGCGAGGAAACGCATATGAATGAAGTGAACCAGACCGGCTACCTTCCTACGCCGCCTCCCGAGCCTGCAGTCTCGCATTCTACGAGCACGAGTAAGCTCGCGCAGACGCAGCAGGAGAGCGGTGTATCGCCTTGGCCGTCCCTGGCTTTGACAGACGAGCAGTTCGCTATGATCGATAATCTTGATGCGCATGTCGGGTTGGTAAAGTATCCAGTGCATATCCAGAAGGTACGGCACACGCATGCAGCGATCGTGATGCGGATACAGAAGGAGCAATTCGATGAGGGGAGGGCGGTTAGTGCGCATTGGGCGAAACATTTCGTAACATGATGTTGAGCAGAGCTTTGTTGTTCAGCAGCGTGGGTGAGGAGTTATTGCATGCCGAGCATTTGAAGCGTGATGTGCAGATAGTGGGTAGTCAGGATGTAAAAACCTACGGCTGCGAGCGTTGGGCGATCAATTACTGCCTTACCTTATGACTGAGTCCGAAACGACGGGACGACCACCACGAAGCCGCGAAGGTGGCCCACCCTGACGGAACATTGTGTTCATCGTTAGACCATGTGCGAGCTCAACTGATCCACGGTGCGTACAGGCCAAAGCAACTGTTTCAAACACGCATTATCATCTTTCACACCGTCTACATTACGACAGTAGTAGAGGCTGCTTCACAATAAGACTTTGCCAATACCGCTAGCAAGCTCAGCATTGAAGCGTGAAAGGCTGGTCCGTGGAGCTGAAGATGCGACTTCCGAGCTACCTGCAGCCACAGTGTTGCAAACGTGCAGTTTCCAGCATGCCACGCGTACATCAAGCGGACGGACAGACCTCGGCCGCGGAACACCGCTTGCCACCAGCAACTTCCCTGCAAGGTTGTATGCGGCATAAGGTGCTCTCAAGCCTTCGGCGCCGTACAGAGATTGCGAGGCATTGGGGAAGCGCGGTCGTATGCTCTGACCTCGCCACTTGCACTTGCGCCGCGCGTAGCAGCGACAAGGCGAGGGTAACACACAGAAGGAGAATATGCCAGACCCATTGCGGCCTTTCGTCGTCTCTCTGGTCTCCACTGATAGGGTATCGGATGCGTGCAGGCTTGGCTCACATAGCGCTGCGAGGGTGGTAACAAGACGAAAGGCCGCCATGGACGCTACTATCTGGCCAAGCTCCGGCGAAGCACTAATGTGCGCTTCTTGACTGTGCCGCCACTATGCTTGATCGACTAGAAAGCTTTCGAACTGCCAGTCCTGGCACAGCGATGGAGATAACATCATTTTGTGGCGTTTGGATACGATAGAACTACGATGCATGCATGCGAGGTTACCTAGATTGCCGAAGCGTCTTATCTCTTCTCACAACCTTACTGGTCGAGAAGTTGCATGTCAGCTACGCAGGGAAGGTGTGCGGGATGTCTTCTCTCCATCGGTCTCTTGGTATATGCTATGCCAAGATGGTTGCATGGTCGATTGCTACGTCGGGATATCCGAGTGCACAAGTTCCCGTGTATGTTGCGCCCTTCCAGTCCGGCTTAAGGACCGTCGCGACCGCTCGTCACTCCCTCCTCAACTCCAACAATTGCGAATATGTGTACGTATGACCTACGAATCATGGCATAAACGATATTGACGGCACCGCAGCTGGAGCGGGAGGAGGAGAGCTCATCACAGATATTATTTCGACGAGAGTTCCGGGTGAAGTGGCGCGACCGCATGGAAAGAACCCCTTTGCCGTCGAAGATGGCGCAGCTACTCAGGACCCGGACTTCGCGAGGCGCGCAAGTGCCGTCGATGTGGAGAGGACTGGCGAGCGGAGTGCCAGCGTCGTGGAAAGAGAGCAGTACCCCCCGCCCACAGAAGAAGAAGCACGCACTCTGCGAAAAGTCACCGATAGCATCCCAACGACGGCATACATGCTCTGTATCGTAGAGTTCGCTGAGCGCGCATCCTACTACGGCGTGCAGACCATTTTCGCCAACTTCATGCAGTTTCCACTTCCGCCAGGTAAGATTGAAACTCTCTCCTCCTTGCCCGAGAAACAAATGCTGATGCGTCACAGGCGGAAGCGGATCTGGTGCAGTTCCCAACACTGCAGAAGGCCGCGAAGAGACCGCAGGCGCTCTCGGCAAAGGCCTGCAATTCTCCGTGGCCTTGGGCCTGCTTTTCTCATTCCTAGCTTATACCATACCGATACCTGCGGCCTACTTAGCCGACGTCTACACAGGGCGCTACAAGATGATTTTGATCGGCGTTTTGATCTGCGGCGTCGCGCATATTATCATGGTACGGTATTCTCCTCCGTCGTCATGATGGTGCTATTAGCTAACCGTACCAAAGATCTGTGGTGCGATCCCTTCTGTACTAATCGCTGGTCACGGCATCGCGCCCTTCATGATCTCACTCTTTTTGTTGGCCATAGGCGCCGGTGCGTGCACCGTCTCGGTAACCAATCCCCATATCTGCTGACGCTCTACAGGTGCCTTCAAGCCCAACGTTGCGCCGACGGTTCTCGATCAATATCAGCACCAGAAGCCGTATATTCGGGTCCTCAAGAGCGGCGAAAGGGTGGTCGTAGACCCTGAGACGACAATCCAAACGATCATGCTGATTTTCTACGCCTTAATAAACGTTGGCGCCTTTTTCGCGATCGCAACCACGTACTCTGAGAAGTATGTTGGGTATTGGTTGGCATTCCTCCTGCCTGGCATTGTATACTTTCTACTTCCGGCACTTCTCTGGTATTTGAACAACAAGCTCATCAAGTATCCACCCAACGGAAGCGTTTTGACAAAGGTCCCTGGTATCATCTTGCTGGCACTGAGACGCAACAAGTTCGTTGTTTGGAAGAAGAACTTCTGGGAAGCCGCAAAGCCGTCTGAGCTCGCCAAGGATGGGATTACCTCGTTCCGAAACAAACAAATCACATGGACGGACAAGGACGTTGACGATGTTGCCCGCACGTTGACTGCTTGCATGGTCTTCCTTTACTTTCCGATCTACAGTAAGATCTCAACAAGACCAGTCGGTTGATGTGACCCGCTAATCAGAAGTGCAGACTGCAACGACGGCGGCATAGGTTCCGTCTCATCGTCGCAAGGCTCAACCATGACCTCCCACGGAGCTCCCAACGACTTGCTGAACAACTTCAATCCACTCACCATCATCGTAGCCGTTCCAATCCTCTCGTATGTGGTGTATCCAACGCTTCGCCGCTTCAACATAAAGTTTGGAAGAATCTCTCGCATCACCCTAGGCTTCTCGATAGCCTCAGTGAGCGGCGTCATTGCCGCCATTGTGCAATGGAGGATCTACGAGACATCTCCGTGCGGCTACTATGCGACTGCCTGCGGAAGTGACGGCGAGGTGTCACCAATCTCGATTTGGTGGCAACTACCCAACTATGCATTGGGGGCACTCTCAGAATGGTACGTTCATCACATAGACTATGCATCTGTATCGTGGCGTGCACTGACAGTCGTTTAGCTTTTGCAACGTGACCGCGTACGAACTGGCATATGCCAGGTCGCCACCCGGTAAGCAGAGCGATCTCCTGATCCCCTCGCAGCCCTCTGGTACATAGCTGACTCTCGTGCCCCTCTGCATTCAGGTATGAAGTCTCTCGTAATGGCGGCGTTCTTGTTCAATCAGGCTCTATCTTACGCACTCGGTGAGATACTTACACCAGCTATCGCTGATCCTCATCTTATCTGGATTTGGGCTGGTCCTGCTATAGCTCTGGCTGTGCAAACGGTCATCTTCTGGATCCGCTACCGGAAGCTTAACGACGATGAGTTTATGACTTATGAAAGCGATGCTCGCTATCAGGCGAACGAAAGGGATGCGCCGCTCGAGGGAGTCGCAGTGCCCGAGACAACAACCGAGAAAGAACCAAAAAAGTCCGGTTGAATCATCGGAATGAGGTTCATGAGTGACACGAAGAGGTTCAGTGTGGCAGCTCCAGGAGCTATTGTCGTTGAGGGTTCAATCGCTCATCCATGCGACCATGCAGCCGCAGAGCGTAGACTACTTCATCGTTGGCACATATAACTCTCCAAAAACTACATTATCAACCCGCGCACAGTCCTACGCTCGTGTCTATCCTTCGGTGACATTCGACGCCCGCGGTAGAACTACATGTACAGAACACTGCTACAGCCAGTGAACTGAGTTCTTGATAGACCCTGGATGGCACTGCTCGCTGTTGATTGGCCGCAATTCTGGACGTCACAGAATCTTTGCCATTGGCTCGAGCCTCTCTAACAAGCTACGGTGTACGAGGTTCTCGACATATAACGCCTCCTCAAGGGCGGATCTTCATATTTGCTTCATTACGATTCTTCACCATACAATACTGCAAAGCTCACAACATGAACACCGTTGAAAGAGGTGTTGCCAACGATCCCAAACCAGACGCCGGGCTTGGAAGGTTTGCCACTGCGGGCGAGTCGTCGCCGAGTTTCAACGGCAAGCCTACGGAGGGCTTCAATGTAAAGGATGGTGATGTTGAAGCGGCATATACAAGAGGTCAAGGTAACAATTTCAACGCAGCTCACGCAACGAACAGGCAATGAGCTGACATCAACAACAACAACAGAAGCGATCACCGTTTCGAGCGATGAGACTCCTCTCCCACCTCCTTTCAAAGGTCTTTCGATCCTCGACCGCCTACTCGTCCTATGGATCCTCCTCTCCATGGCTCTTGGCATAATTCTGGGTAACTTGGTCCCCTCGGTCGGTCCAGCGCTGCAACGCGGTACATTCGTCGGCGTTTCCGGACCCATAGCCGTTGGTTTACTGGTCATGATGTACCCAATTCTTTGCAAGGTCCGCTTCGAGACGTTACACCTCCTGGCAAAATCAAAGGAGCTGTGGCGACAGATTGGAATCTCGTTCCTCCTAAATTGGATCATAGCGCCGCTGTTCATGACCGCTCTGGCATGGGCTTTCCTACCGGATCGACAAGCGCTCAGAGATGGGTTGATCTTCGTTGGTGTGGCAAGATGCATCGCCATGGTGCTGATCTGGACGGACCTTGCAGGCGGCGATGGCGACTATTGCGCAGTACTGGTGGCTTTCAACAGTATCCTGCAAATTGTGCTGTTTGCACCCATGGCCGTCTTCTACATCCGAGTCGTCTCGCATGATCCAGCGGACTTTGACGGTTACCTCTATCAAGATGCGGCCACCTCCGTCGCGGTGTTCTTGGGCATCCCATTGGCCGCAGCCATCATTACCCGCTTGGCACTGCGGGCCCTGCTCGGCGAAGAGAAATACCAGAAGTACTTCATTCGCTTCATTGCGCCGTTGTCGCTGATTGGATTGCTTTACACCATCATCGTCTTATTTGCAAGTCAAGGATTACACGTTGTTCAGCAGATCACCTCAGTGTTACGCGTGTGCGCTCCACTGGTGGTTTACTTCTTGGTCATCTTCCCGCTCACGGCGATCATGATGTGGCGCGCTGGCTTCGGCTACAAGATCGGGTGCACGCAGGCCTTCACAGCAGCGTCCAACAACTTTGAGTTGGCTATTGCCGTGGTCGTCTCCGTATATGGCGCAGGAAGCGAGGAGGCTCTGGCATCGACTGTGGGACCTCTCATTGAGGTGCCAGTCTTGGTTGCCCTGGTGTATGTGATCAGATGGTTCAAGAACCGGTATGGTTGGAAAGAGCCAGTACGCAAATAGCACGGGTAAAAACACAAGCGTTGCATTCAGTCTGTGCCATTCATCTCATTTGCCAAAGCCCACATGTTCCACAGCTTTGTTGGACTCTCAGATGGCGCGAACACTGGTTCATGGTCCAGCTCATAGTTCTTAAGTAGAGGAACCATGCCGGTTGCTTCTATCGCCTCGGGCTCCGGCTCGGGGAATAGAGCTCGTTCAGCATGATCCACGGTGACGTTCTGCATCGCGGAAGCAGCGCTAAGCTGTGATACTAACTCGTCGCAAGCGACCTGATTAACCCGTGCGACGGGCGAGGCAGCGTCTTCCGGGGTGAGAACGAAGAAAGAACCCGGTTCAGAGCGCGACGGTTGGTCTGCCAGAATCGGTATCGTTGTCCTTGCGACAGCGTGCAAGTACCCAACGCTGCGTTGCCATGAGTCTGCAAGGACACCGCCGGGAATTTCAACAATATCCTTTGCGCTTACGCTTGCGTTCTCGTGCGCCACGCCGCAAAGCACGCTTCTCACATTGCCGTCGCTCTTCATGGCCCGGTCCACAACAGCAAAAACTTCGCTCTCACTTGGCGCAGAAAGAGTGTACATTTGCACGGCCATCTCTCTGCCCAGCTTTCCGACCAAGCCGTATAAATCCATTTTTAACTGCTTCAGAGGGCTTTCATGCTCGTGACTCCCAATTATAGCGACTCCAGAGTATCGCTTCTGCTTGATGAGGATCTCGACGTAGTACATAGTCTTGCGATGTATCTCACTTGCGAAGAAGAGCAACAGCAGACCAGACGACCTGTAGGGAGCAGACTTTAGGTCAACGGCATCCACTAGTGATGTGGTGGGAACGTCTTTCCTTGGGATATCCTTCGGTTGACTCGATAGTGATACCGACGACGCGCCGTTGGCATGATTCATGTATGACGGGCGATAGCTGCCTTGCCGTGAATGGTTTGGTGATTGCGGGATAGGCGTGAGTGCTTGTGGGCCAGTCGCACCGGTTGCTTGAGAAGACAGGGAGCTTATCGATTCGACGTACTCCTTGGCGGTATTGGATGCCATCGAAGATCCTGGTCGACTGTTGCTCTCCAGACTGATTCGGTAGTTGAGGTATGTCGGCTTGCGACTAGGATCGGTAGAGTATACACTGCTTCCTCTGCTAAGGTCCATCCTGGCTCTTCCTGTCGGCGCGTTCAAAAGTATTGTGTCCAGGATTGTTCAGAGTCGGTCCATGTTATCTGAAGTCATAATCCTACGTGATTGGGATGTAGGCAGCTGTTTGTGTATTGATGCAAGGTATCTGTGTAACAGGCGGATGCAGGACCACGATGTGGTGTCTTCTACAAAAAGGAAGCTCCGCGCAACGCAGCGCTTGTTGATCACTTCGACGCCGCCAGCGTCATCAACCCGACAATCATTTAGTGTTGTGCGAACCTCGGTCACAGTACACGGCGATGGTCAGGAATGCTGAACATCAATCGCCATTGCCATCTCAAGGTTGTTCACTCAACTCGGTGCTAAGCTATGGCCTGTGGAGCGTGCTGCAGCATTAACCATCCACCTGGGATTGTCCACCGTCTCGACGTTCTTTCTCAAGACCAGTATTGGAACTAGCTGTCGCTCCGAGCTACGGGCTGCCAAATGGCGATGCTCGTTGACGCTGCCGCCCGCGGGGGAGTAATCCTTGGACGGAACACGAACGGAATGATTACCTGCTTGCACAAGACCACACTGTTACCAAGAAAGGCAAACGATGAAGCTCGGCGCGCTTACTGTAGCAGATGCACAGCTCGAGACGGGTGCATGCCTGAATATGCATCCAAGATCTCTCCATTACACCTCACTCTATGTCTATCCACTCAACCTCCATTGCTATGCAGAACGTCTAATGACACCGCCACGCTTGACGTATCAATCTACGACCTACATAGCCTGCCAGTCCCGTTTGCTTGGGGTGTCCAGTACTCCGAACCTACCGCAGTCGTTGCGTAAAACATATGCTTAGGATCGTATCTGTTCTTGATGGCAAGAAGCTTCGGGTAGTTTGAACCATAGAAGACGTCCTGGAAGTCTGGCTGTCTAAAGTCGCCCTCGTTGAGATAGCATGAGCCATTGGGCGTCAAGGCCGCAAGTTTCGGAACGAGAACATCGGTCATAAGCTGCTGATTGGCGAGCATCTGGGTCCAAGGCGCAGTGAAGTCCCAAGGTCTGTGGCAAGAAGCGTCAGCTGTTTTGAGACCACAAGGACAACGCGGATAAACTTACGTTGTGAGCACAGTGTCAATCAGCGCTGTCCGCCAGCCAGGATTCACCGCGTTGTACGGATTCCCTGCATTGGCCATGCTGACATTAACTCCAACGCCGATAAACTGACCGCCAAGGTTGTTTATCTCGCGGTACGCTTGTATAAGAGCCGAGTTGTTATGCTGCACAACCGAGCGGGGGATTAAGCGACCGCCGTATTGAGCGATGCCAACTTCAATTGGTCCTTGCATGGCATTGTACTCCTTGAGATAGCCGGAAAATTGGCCGTAGTAGCTTGTGTATGAGATGTTCAGCTGCTGCAGCTTCGTCTCGAGCGGTGACATCAACACCTTGAGCTGAGGTACAGAGATGTTAGGGCCGGTGATCGGAGAGATGGCGAAGGATTGGTTCGTGAAATACCACACGCTCATCGCACCCGAGTCAACGATAGCGGGCAGGCTGGCGTGGAATGTTTCAATGGCACTGTAGTAGTTGTCCTGCGTGGTGCCGGCACTCAAGAAAGTGAGATTCATCGCGGAAGTTGGCGTGTCTGGGTGAGCTTTGGCAGTCATCGACAGCGTCACGCCGTATGTGCCGCCACCGCCACCGGAAAGCGCCCAGAACAGATCGGAGTTTTGATGGCGGTTTGCGATAAGATATTGGCCGGTGCCAGTAATGACTTCCCATTCAAGCACTTGATCAGCGGCAAGACCGTGTTTGGAGGCGAGCGCAGAATGACCGCCACCCTGCGTATAGCCGCCAGCAATGCCAACTGTCGGACACTCTCCGCCAACGACCTGTAGACCTTGGGCATCGGCAGCTTCGTAGGCTTCGATGGCCTGCACGCCTGCTCCCAACTTGATGGCAGTACCGTTATAATATTGATCGGACCACTGCGAGAAGCTGATGTTCTTAAGATGATGCATCCACAAGCCAAGGGCGCCGGCACCAGTGCTCTTGCCGTTGTAGTCATGGCCGGTATTGCGGATGACAAGACGGATGTTGAACAGGGTTGCGAAAGCGATCCCAGCAATCACATCTGCGGGACTAGAAACGTTTACTGTTTTCGTCAGTATCACGCTTGTCGATGGATGAGGCCACGATGCTTACCTGCATACTGAACGTAGGTACCAATAACGCATTGAGCCGATGGAGGCGTGAAAGGGTCGCAGCTCTGGTTAGCGAAGAAGGGTGCCATTATGGATGAGGAGGAGTCATAGCTGTATAGTCAGTATGCACATTGAGTAATTAGATAAGAGGAGGTACGGTCTCCCTTACTGCTGTTGCGGCCAAAGCCAGTTGGCTTGCAAGTTTGCACAAGTGTCGTTGCTGTACGGTGCGTACTGATCGTAATGGCAAGGTGCTGCTAGAGGGACCGTGGCCACCAAGCGACCTCCTACTGTGAAGTTGAAGGCATCCCATATTGCTTCAGAAGGCCAACAGAGATCTCCAGGGAAGCATCTGCATGAGGATGTCGGTAGGAAACCTCGAGGGGATAGTGTGTCCGGGAGAGAGCGCTCAGGAAGCATCCATGCCCTGGCGATCGCCGGTGAGAGGAGCGCGAGAAACGTAGTAGACAGCATGACGGCCTGCAGACTGAGCGCAGGTGATGAGGAAGTGACAGGAAGCAATGGCTGCTTGTTGGCTGAAACAACAGAGAACTTCCGCCGACCTACCTTGGGAGCAATATAAACCACTATGCAACGTCAACGAGGGATGCCGAGGTGCCTGTTCCGTTCTCGATTGCTTCCATGCATCTCATGGCCGTTGTGCCCTGGGTCGGCTGCAGCCTGCAGGCCTTGTTTAGTGGAAATGCCGGTGGACGGCACCATCCTGCAGGGTCTGGACATTATCTCCCGTGATTGGCGTCGACTATAAAGTGAGAGGGATCAGTAGGATGCGGGAACTGGCGCATGCCAAGGTTTGATAGCGCGCGGTACACGCCGTTGTGCGAAGCGGTGCGGTGCCGTTGTGGGCTTGAAGCCGGCTTCCTCGGGATGTGTGAGCAGCGCCATGCTGCGGCCCTTGCAGTGCGGCACCCGGGCCTGGACATCTCTACTTCTGCCGAGACCTTCCCAGTACCGAGTTGCATTTCGACCGATCTATGCTGTCAATGAGTATTTCAAAATGTCCTGACGCTGTGCTGTCACACAATGCCTAACTTACTTGGTAGTGAATACTGCCGTTCGGAGGGTCGAAAGCACGGTAGCCTGGGATATCACAAGCTCTGCAATTCCAGCACCCTGCGTAGCCAAGCTACCGGGGAGCAAGCGGCACCCAATGCAATGGTGGGCTGTATGATCTAGCGACAGCCACATCGTAAGCGCATCCTCGCGTAGCTCCCTGGTAAATGATCGTGCAGTTTCGGCCGCACGTTCCTTAATGCCGATGCCTCTTGAATGCCTCCGGGCTGAGCTCGACACCGACTATGCTGCAGGAACGCATGGGTATCAAGGGTGCTGCCATGCTAGGCTCGCAGCAAGGACTCCTTGAGCAGGGTCCGAGTCTCAACGACTCAGCACCCTAGCGAGCCCGGCCTGGAAGATCACAACATCCCCTTCTCGGTCGCAGACTGTGCACGCTCCATCCAATGCGTTAAGTCTGGGGAACGAAGCCAGTCACAGGAGACGGATGATGCCGCGAACCTCGGATGAGCATTGGAACTATCGAAGTCCCACGCGATGATCTAGCATGGGGTGTACGCTTGCGTCGATGTAGTCGGGCTGCACATGGCCAGCCACCTGAGGGTGTGATTTAGCCAGCCTCAAGTGTCGGCTCTGTCCTGTTGTCTCCTTCGCTTCGTTGCACGAATCTTGCAGAAATGCCCATCTTTGCAGCCGGTTGGGTATATAACCTCGAAACCGCTCCTAGCCATTCCGATGCTGGGAAAATCATCGCCATCGCTTCTGTGTTCTCAGGTATTGCCATACTCGCCGTGGCCATCCGCTTCACTCAGAGGGTGACGGTAGTCAAGACCCTTGGACTGGATGATTATTCCGCTTTGGCAGGCGCACTCCTCGGCATCGGGTACAGCACCATCGCAATCTATCAGACGAGATGGGGTTTGGGTCTCAACGCCGTCGACTTCCCTCTGACCAACGCGGTCCCGTTCAGTAGAGTACAATATGCGGGCGGGCCGATCTACTGCCTTGCTCTTCTGGGTTTCAAAGGCTCCCTATTGACGTCGTACCTGCGTTTGGCAGGCTTTAATTCGACGTACAGACGCATTCTGTATGCTGTGCTCGGACTGGTCGTCGCTAATCAGCTGATTTACACGTTCCTGCTGTCCTTCGCTTGTCGACCGGTTGCAAAACAATGGGATCCGACACTGCCTGGCACCTGCATCGATCAGCTTGCGTCATACTTCGGTTGGCTCCCTCCTTTGACTCTGAAGCTTGCGAGACGCTGACATGCAACTTATTCAGGTCTCGGTGGATCCAGCCTTGGCTTCGACATCCTGATTATCCTTCTACCGTTCCCTATCCTTCAGCGGCTGCAGCTCAGTCTCGGTAAGAAGCTGGCGGTGGGGGGACTCTTTGCACTTGGCTTCTTCGTGTCCATCATCCAGATCATCCGCATGCGTACCATCGCTAAGCTGGTGCACTACACCGACTCCCAATCGATCATTATCTGGTCGATCGTGGAGATCAACCTTGGCGTATTCATCTCCTGCGTTCCAACCTTCGCGCCCTTGCTCAAGCGCTTTGGAGAGAGGGTAAGCTCAGGTTACCGATCCCAAAGCGGTCGGCCATCCAAGCGAGGTGTTAGTGGCAATGACGGTTCGGAGCTTCAGAACCCGTCTGCGAAGAGGGCAAGCAAAGCGTACGCATTCGGATCTGTCAAGGGAGCAGACACGGTCGCCGAAGACGACGAGATTGCTTTATGGTCGAATATCAAGCGGTGGCCGCACGAAGCCCACATCTGGAGCGGAGACAACAACGGCCAATCCATGACCACTTCGGAGGGTGGGGAGTCTGCTTCCCATGGGAGTGCTAACGTCGATCGAGCCCACCGAGCAGAAGACAGAGAGCATAAAACAGACATCATGGTAGTCAGAGAGATTAGCGTACAGAGACAAGACCAGGAGTGAAGCAAGACTTCTGAAGAGAGTGGGCAGGGGATGTGCGCAATCAGCACAACCTGATGTCGAGGCACGAACAGCATTTCTTCGCAACGCTTTCTACGCGTCTGTTGCCTACTGCAAGTGCAGGACGCAGCGAGGCTCTTAGATACGAATGCAGCTCGGCCTCGGTGCGGGATAAACGGAACTGTGATCGCCCACGAACATGATGTCTGGTGTCAACATACGCTTCGACAGCATGAATCACCAAGGCACCTTGCATGATAAGTCAGCGTGGCTTCGGGCAGCAAACGTAGCTGCGGTAGTAGATCATCTGTTGCCTGGAGGTAGATTGACCGTTTGCAGACCAAGGCTCGGCAGGCTCTGGCGTTGTTGAGCTGTCACAGCCGGGATTGACCTGGAGTTCCGTTAGCATATAGCCCAAACGGTGTTACACCCCGGCACGTTCGGACATGAAGTGGGATTTTGGTCTGTGGTGTTACGACATGAAATTGGTGGAGGGATCGTGAGCATTCTGCACAGCAAACTCCACTCGAGTCCGACACGATGCTTTTGCCTGGTGGACACCTCGACTTTGCGCCATTCGTTCACTTGTCGTTGTAGCTATCCCTTTTAGTGCAGATGGAACCCTGAAAGTGGCGAAGAGGATGTGTCAGCAAGCAATAACCAGTTGCAGCCAGCAGACTTCCCTCTTCCATTCGCGGTCTTCGGTGTCGGGTTGGGAGTGAGTCCGTCGCCTTCTCTTCACCGCAATGACCCGGAAGCCCGAACGGCTTGGGTGAGTGACACGCGCACAATCAACGCGCCTGTGTCCCTGCAGGTCTCCAGTGACGTAGCGTGCCACGCGCATCTAGATGTCTTGCTTGTTGCGAGTAAATACGTGCACTCTTCGCGCAGGAGTCTCCCACGACGCTTGGCTGTTCACGTCGATCACAAACCATATCGTAGTAAAGACGGCATAAGTCTTATCATCTAGGTCTTATCACAAGTTTTGGCGGATTCCTGATCAGATGCTGACCTTGTAGGCTGCCATCGCCGAAAGCATGGCCTCTGGCGACGAAGATGGGAAGAAGGCCGGCAAGGACCCGAGCGTACCCCAAATCATGGTGGAACAGGCCGGAGCGGCAGTGACGAGCGAGGACGCCAACACCAAAGGCCGCGATTTGCCCACGGCGTCGGGTGAGGGTGCAGCTTCCGACAACGAGACGAGTGCGCCTCCACCTCCTGCATATGGGGGCCATTATGGTGAAGTACAGAGCGAGCAGGATGGCTTTGGGACAAAGGCACAAGTCACGGATGACGGACGGGTGGATATTCGAATCAAGCAGAGTGGCCGTAAGCTGTCAAGCCTGCTGCAACCGGCTCTACGACGGCAGCAAGACCAAACGGAAAAGGAGCCGACGCCTCCAGCTCCATACATTCCGGAGAGCTTGGGAGGTGATGGCGAGAAATTACCTCCGCCGCCCATGAATGTTGTCATACAAGTGGTCGGCTCGAGAGGCGATGTCCAACCATTCATCGCACTGGGCAAGGTGCTAAAAGATACCTACGGTCACCGTGTACGCTTGGCGACGCATCCCAACTTCAAGGAATTTGTGCGAGAGCATGGCCTTGAGTTCTTCAGCATAGGTGGCGATCCAGCGCAGCTTATGGCGTTCATGGTGAAGAATCCGGGCCTTATGCCAAGCTTCGACGCGCTCCGAGCAGGTGACGTTGGGAAGCGGCGGAAGGAGGTCGGGGAGTACTTGAAAGGCTGTTGGCGGTCGTGCTTTGAAGCGGGTGACGGTCTGGGTCCGGAGGCCACGAATGAAACAATCGAAGACTGGACGGCAAGCCATCCCACCGACAGCGATGCGGAGCCAGGCAACAGACCTTTTGTCGCGGACTGTATCGTTGCCAACCCACCCTCGTTCGCTCATATCCACTGCGCGGAGAAGATGGGTCTTCCGCTCCACATTATGTTCACGATGCCTTACTCGCCCACGCAAGCATTCCCACATCCACTGGCAAACATTCAGTCCTCTAATGCCGATCCAAACCTGACGAACTACATCACATACACGCTCATTGAAATGCTGACATGGCAGGGCCTGGGAGATGTTATCAACAGATTTCGCCAGAACAGTCTTGGCCTTGAGCCGATCAGCCTTGTATGGGCACCAGGAATGCTCCAACGCCTTCAAATCCCGCATACGTATTGCTGGTCACCGGCACTGATACCAAAGCCGAAGGACTGGGGTCAGAACATAGCCATATCTGGTTTCTTCTTCCTCAACCTGGCATCCAACTACACACCTGCACCGGATCTGAAGGCCTTTCTGGATGCTGGCCCGCCACCTGTGTATATTGGCTTCGGCTCAATTGTGCTTGATGATCCGAATGAGATGACTAAGCTGCTGTTCGACGCTGTCAGGATCACCGGTCAGCGTGCGCTCATCTCCAAAGGTTGGGGTGGCATGGGTGCTGACGAGCTGGGCAAGCCTGATGGAGTTTTCATGCTTGGCAACGTCCCGCATGACTGGCTGTTCAAGCATGTAAGCTGCGTCGTCCATCACGGAGGCGCAGGTACCACCGCAGCCGGCATTACGGCCGGACGACCTACCGTGGTTGTGCCCTTCTTCGGTGATCAACCGTTCTGGGGCAGTATGGTGGCAAGAGCTGGTGCTGGGCCGCAACCGATTCCGCACAAGCAGCTTACGGCTGAAAACTTGGCTGAAGCGATCGAGTACTGTCTCAGACCGGAAAGTCAGCAAAGGGCGCAGGAGCTCGCGGACAAGATTGCAAGCGAGCGAGGGAGCGATATTGGTGCACAGTCGTTTCATCAGTTCCTCGATGTCGACAAACTGCGATGCAACGTGTCACCGAGTCGCGCTGCGGTATGGCGCTTGAAGCGCACGCAAGTACGACTTAGTGCTATGGCCGCTTGCACGCTTGCGAACGAGGGGCTTCTTGATTTCAACGACATCAAGCTATACCGGCCACGGGAGTATGAGACTGACGACGGCCCATGGGACCCTATCAGTGGCGGCGCAACGGCGATAGTGAGCACCATGAGCACCATGATGATGGGTGTTGCAGATATGCCGATCGATACACTGAAGGCGCTCCACATACATCCAGACACGGCAAAGAAGCGAAAGTCTGTCGATGGCGGCGACGCCACTCCAAGCCATTCAACAGAATCAACCACCACTGCAAGCTCCACCGCCAACGATAGAAGCGCGAGCACTAGTCAGTCAGGTGCCGTATCAGGTAGTGGCAGTGATACTGCCGTCACCAGCGGCATGACTACGCCAACAAGTGATCGCAGTAACTCAGCGTTCAATCTGCAAGAGTCTCTTGCGAAGCTACAGGCGTCCTCATCACGCTCAAGCACCGATACAGGGCAGCTGTCGCCACCCATTCGCGGCAGCATACCAGCTTCGATGGCGGATGCCCTTCGTGGCCAACTTGCAAGCAGCACGCGTACGCGTTCTCGTTCGGGTAGCCGGTCTCGTGGTGCCTCGGTGTCTGGTAATGGAGGCAACAACGGTGAGTCTACCGTAGAGACAGTGATTGATACCAGTAAGGGCATCCGCAAGATCGTCGGTGCTGGCTTCTCATCGCCGATGGACTTTACGCACAGTCTTGCCACTGGCTTCCACAATGCGCCGAGACTGTACGGCGACGATACAGTGCGTAAGAGGGAGCAGATCACAGACTTCAAATCGGGTCTAAAGGCTGCGACAAAAGAGTTTGGCTATGGCATGTTCGACGGCATCACTGGCCTCGTCACGCAACCCATGCGTGGCGCTGCGAAGGAAGGTCCGGCAGGCTTTTTCAAGGGCATTGGGAAAGGCATTGGTGGTATCGCTCTCAAGCCCGGAGCAGCCATATTCGGCATCCCTGGCTATACCATGAAAGGTGTCTACAAGGAGATGCAGAAGATCTGGGGCAGCTCTGTGCAGAACTACATCATCGCAGCACGCACAGCACAAGGCTACGAGGAGTGGACGGCCAGCACCGAAGAAGAACGCGGAAGCATTGTACGAAGGTGGCAAGAACTGATCAAGACTGTCAAGAAGAAGCGGAACCCCGACGAGATTGTCGCGGCAATCCTCGAGGATCAGAGGCGCAAGAAGCACGAGCTGATGGATCGGCTGAGGGAGAAAGCCGACCACCTACCGAACGTTACTGGACGAAGCCGAGCTTCGAGTGCCAGTAGAGCGTTTGAGAAGAGTGACGATTATCCCGGAGCGACGCACGGCGATCCCGAAAGCGCAATGCTGCGCATGGGAGCGCAAGAGGCAAGTTTGCAACATGCGCGTACCTCCGAAGGCCCGAGTGTTCTCGAGGAAGGCGAGCTGAGGGAAGCTATCCGCCTCTCCGTGCAAGAAACATCGAGAGGCAACGCGGATGAAGACGCAGATATAGAGAAGGCAATCCAAGCTTCACTGGATGACATGCAGAGGGAGCGCTCTATGCGAGCTGACGCCGACAAACAATATGACAAGCACCCAAGGCAAGCCGGCAAGGCGTTGGCAGTGGAGACGACGGAGCATTCCCAGTCCACCACATTGCATGACGATGAGCTTGAGCGAGCAATTGCTGAGAGCCTCAAAGTACAAAGGCAGAAGAGGGAAGACGACGAAGCGAAAGAGGGAGAGCCAAGCGCGGATCCGCCTAGCTACACTGCCAGTCAAAGCTCGGTCAGCCCAAAGGCCAATGAGTCCGCGCTTCAGCAGCATGCGATGGGAGGCAAGGAGAAGACGCAGCAGGAGAAGACCGAAGAAGAAATTGTGATGGAGTACGTCAAGAAGCAGAGCTTACTCGAGCAACATCGACGGAAATATGGCTCAGATGACTTTGGCGACGCGGACTTGGAGCGCGCTATGAAGGCGAGTATGGACACAACTTGACTAAGTCGGTCAAGATGAAGTATGATATCTTCCGGCAAGCATCAGTGGATTGCGTTCGTTCAACGGTCTTCGCATGCAGTCAACGCTCTTCTACGATACCCTTGAGCGTGCTTTTGCCAGAAGCGTCCGTAATTAGTCAGCTCTCACATATGATTGTCCACCTTGTGGCAGCAGATCCTGTCCGTCATATCAATGCATTTGTGCAGTTTCGCCAACAAGTCTGCAGCCACCTGATCCAACGCCGCCGCTCATTTCAACCCAGATCTACAAGGACACGTCTAAGCTCACTCTGCCGCAGGGTGCAGCCCTAGGACATCGGCGTCACTATGACACTGCCCATATACGTCGCAGAAGCATTGCCAGGCGTTCGGACAATGTACAGCTTCTTGCCCAAACATTATGTGCCACATATACTCCAATACACGGCCAATGTGGGCGTCACTGTACGATGTAAATTCCAGATATCGTCTCCAGCGTTCATATTCGTGCTTCGTATGCTTTAAAATCTGCTCCTTGCTAACAGCAAATTGTGCGCAGCAAGGCGTCGCTACGACGGAAACTTCGTCCTTCGCCTGAGCAAAGGTGCGGTTGAAGAACTCAGCGTAAACGAACGGAAAGATGTGCTCAGGTAGCTTTTCAGGATCTGCAGGAGAGCGCCAAGGTAGGATCTCGACCGGACACCCTGGGCTCTCGGTGCAGCGCAGATTGACATAGCCACGTTCCATTACAACACCGAGGCGCAGTTTCCGAAGCATGTCCACAGCGTCATGGTTGTTCGCATCGGTGTGCCACGCCGTCGGGTAGCCTTTGCGATGGGCGTGGATGAAGGCCATGACATCCGGAAAGTCAGGGTAGGTGTCGATTATGTACGTCAAATAGGGCATGGCTTCTCTTGCCTTGTTGATCTTCGTTCTCCGGCCTGTCGGCGAGCTTGCGTTATCAGGCAGGTTGACGACATAAATTGCGCTTTGCCAGTCAGAGAGTTCCTTGGACACCCAATCCGTGTCTTCCGTGTTCAACCTGCCCATGACGATGGCCTTGCTAATCTCGGTGCTATTGGGCTGGGCTGCGCTTTCGCTGATAGTGCTTGCTGCTGCAGTCGGCTGCTCGAGCTGACTGGTTTCGCTACTGGAAGACAGCAGCACACTTTGGATGGTCGGATCTGCTGTTTCGGATAGCAGCTGGTCGAGACTGGGTTCCTTCTCCCATCCAGTTGGTGGTCGGTCACCGACAAGTTCTGATGGTTGAGTGTTCTCGACATACGGGGTTGTTGCCGTCGATTGCGTAGGTACACCCTCGCCAGCCGTTGTAGTGTCAGCGGTCGCAGCCGTAGATTCGTATGGCGAGTTCATGACAGTCTCCGGCTTGGGCTGAAGTTCATCCTGCGGGCGGTGCGGTAGGCTCTGTTTGTAATCTCCGTATGCCTGCTGGAAGGTATTCGGCGGTGGCGGGCCAAGCCGAAGATTCCTGAAGGTGGAAAGCACGACAACGAAGACGAAGAGCACCCCCGCCGCAGTACCTATGCGCTGCCATTGTCGCGGCATCGCCGAACAGATTTCGATGCAGGCTTGCTACGGACAATCGAGGGCAGGGTGGATCGATCGGGTGAGGCTTTCGCTCATCACTTCTGTGAGAGCGTTCGCATGGATGCTACAGTAGAGTAAGACGTTGGCTGTGCGTTTGTCAATCCATCTCCCTCCAACGCCGTGATGTGTTTCTATGTACAGTACCGCGATCAGGGGTGAGTTCACGCTCGAGGCACTTGACCGCGTGGCTCACTGATAAGCTATGCCCGGAAAGGACTTAGGGCGCGTGTTTCCTGTCCTTGCTCCACTGCGAGGAGTGTGCCGTGCAACCTACAATCCAGACCTAACTGGAGATCTCTACAATGGCAGCCTACGAAAGGTTGAGCTGACATTAAGAATCACAAGATGAATACAGAGTAGCGTTCCAAGAGAGTTCTACTTCAGAGCCTACTAGATTCAATCCATGGACGCCGGCGAGCTTGGCGAGCGTTCGATAAAAGCTTGTACCTCCACTTGCAGCATGCTTAATGAGTCCTTCCGTGCATATTCTTGGAGGCCAACATCGAAAGAGTCTAATCTGCCGCACACAAGTCACGGCTTTACAGCGATCGGGAACGCCGCGTAATGTCATCCATATATCGCATGCCTCTGACACGGTGCGACTACATGTCCCGCCATGCCGCCATGACTCTGGCGTTATACTACGATAAATCTCATGCCCACCACCACGGCTTCCTCCCTGAACTCCCCATTTCTCGCCTTGCCCACTTGTCTCTGCACTCCATCACCAGCGTAGGTAATCGCGCAACCTCTACTCAGATCGGGCACACTGAACTCGTCCATCGCTTGCTGTGGAGTTTTCTCCGTCGGGTTCCAGGCATGCCGTGTCCTGTTCGCGCCGCGACCGGATCGATGCGGTGCATTCAGCACCGGATCTATTGGAATAGGAGAGCCCACACGAGGGACATACATGCTACGCTGCAGATTCGGAGTCTGCGCCGCTTTGCTCCTTGGCGATTCTTTGACGGGCGTGGCACACGGTGAGTTGGCCAAGGACGATGCACGCGTTGCTTTCTGTGGTAGACGCTGTGGAGGGGCCGAAGCGATGTGGCGGAGCAGGGGACCCGCGAAAGCAGCTCCGGCATGAAGCGCCATGTCGATACGATTTTGTGTGAGTAGTGCATCCGGATCTGCCGCCACCGGAGGCTGCACCGCTGGTGCAGAAGCGCCGATGAACAGAAGCTTCCTGGGATCGATGGTCGCTTCAGTGGGACCAACAGCGGCAGCCGCTAACATCTCAAGCGCAGAATTGCCGTCGCAACTCAGGCGAGCTCTCTTGAATGGCGAAGGCTGCGTAGCCGCACTTTCAACGTCCATGATTGCTTCGGCGTTGCGTAATGCACCGGTAATGTTCAGCTCCTCGCGAAGTAATGTCAGGTGCTTCTCCTTGTTGTTCGAGTTCATCAGGCTGATGTCGTTGAGCCGTTGCCGTAAGTTGCGGCGTTTGCCGCTCATGCCCCGAGAATTCTCGTACGGCGAGGTTGCCATGTCCAAGTCCACGCCTTCCAACCCAACCTCCAATGCAAAGTCTGCAACGCGCTTGCGGCGTGGAGGTGTGACGGGTGGGGCAGGCTGTACTCCATCGTTGACAGCAACTGCAGGGCGTTGCTCAATAAATGGAACATCTAGTGGGGTCTCGGTGATGGTATTGACGGCAGGTGCGGATAGTCGGCACCGATCTGCGTCAGGCTGGGACAAGTCGTGCGTTGCTTTGTTTCCTGCAAGAGGATCCGACGGCGAGCTTTTCGATACGTAATTAGGCTCCTTCATGCGAGAAGGCTCCGTGATATAGCCCGCTTCAGGGCCGTACTTCTTCCCGCTGCCTGCAGTTATGACTAAGTCAATGACAGCTAGCTGATGCTTTTGACGTAGGCGGTCAGGCAAGTGCATTTGCGACAGTGCATTCAGCAGCTGCGCCGAAGGTGGAGAGTCTCCCCAGTTATTATGACCTCGCATGCGCGCTTCAGTCCCGAGTGCTTCGCCGGTAGCTTGCCAGCGCTGCTCCGATGTGGAGTACGCCGGGTCACCAGCCTGACCAACGTAGACCCATGGCTTTTCAAGCTGACGGTGAAGCCTCGTCCCGGCAAAGCGCACTCTGTCGTTTCGAAGCTCGACGGCGGAGCCGCGCGTATTGACGAAGCTACTGCCCACGAGCTCGCCGTTAATGAAAACTTCTAGCTTCAGGTCCTTGTTGGTCACGCGGACGGTGCTGCCTCGCTGCTGTGGTAGGAAGGACTTATTCACCAGATCTACGGTGAGACAAAGCGCTTGCGGCTCGTTGACGTTGTCAAGATAGCCTTGTACGCGCTCGAAACTAGACACACTGCGCTGGAGAGCGTCTACTGGGCTCGACTTAGTCTGCTTGTCGCGGGCCTTGCGTGCTTTTTTCGTCTTCTTGGAAGAAGGCCCGCATTCACCTTGCAGCGCTGCCTTGGCGGAAGGCTGAATGGAAAACCCTTTGGTGAGCGCTAGGCCGGGAGATGTCACTCCATGGTCAATTTCGTGCAGAGTCGAGGTTGCGATAGGCTGCAAAGCTGATGCGTGCGAAGAGAATAGCGCTTGAGCATCGTCCTTCTGTTTCACAAGCGATTTGAGTCCTTGCGCGCCCAGCAACGTCCCGCCAGCCTCAACTACGAGCAGCGGAACATCCTCGTTAATGCCAACAAACTGCAGAACACCTTTTTCGCCACCATCTTCGCCAACTGGCTTCTCCACCAGAAGCTGCCCGCCAGCGAACACCTTCTCGATACGCTCAGCGTCGGCACGCTGCTCTGTGCCCATTCGGAGGTCAAAGACATTCGAACATGAAGCCTGCAGATTGGCTATTGAGAGCGTCGCAGTGATCCCTACGGCGTTATACTTCGGCATTCTCGGCCTAGGTGCGATGCTGTGCGATGAGTTCTCAAGCAATCCAATAACGGCGGCGTTATCCAGAAGTGAGAGACGAGTAACCTCCTTCCTTGGTAGCTAAGGGCAATAAAACCCGTGTGTGTGCGAGCTGGGACGCGGCTGCCAAAGGAGACATCGAGTCACGGTTGTTCCCGCTGTCTGTGAATCTTCCGCGTAGGGAAGGCACGGCGGGTTGCGCCTGCTGCGCAGCTCCATTCACGCGCCAAAGCCAACAATGGAATCATCGCTTAGTACGACACAATCCAGGCATCTTCAAGCTTTAACAAGCACTCCGATAGCGGCATGTAAACTGCCAGATAGCCAGACTTCATCCACGCTTCTCCGTTATAATGCCAATACCAGGCGCTTCGAGACTATCTCCGAGCTCCTGTATGGTGCGGTCGTACACTCGTGCAATCTGCATGTCATTGCTGTCTTCACCGTCATCACCCATCTCATCAACATCCCCGCCTTCAAGCATCAACTCGCCTTCCCCATGCTCTGTCCCCGGATCTTCGTACTCAAATTCGCCCTTTTTGAATGACTCCACGACCTCCACCCTTGTTCTCTCCACCAAACTTCTCACCCTCACCTTCTCCGTCCCACTAACGCCTTTATGTCCGGCAAAGCCAGGCAGAGATTCTCCCGTCTCGACATCTCTCCCCTGAATCAAGCTTGCGAAGCAGTAGTCCAGCTTGGCCAACACTCTGAAAAGGCTTCGCGGCGTAGGCGGCATCGCCGGTATCACCGTGCTCAGCAGTAATGCCAAATTGATCAAATACGGGACCTGCAGGCTGGGTGTCCCGCTCACCCAGACCACATCAACCAAGTTCTCGATTTCCCGGCAAGCTTCACGCATGCTGCTGTAGCCTGCGACATCGCCCCAATCATCAGCTTTCTCGCGGTCCGTATCCGCGAGCGTAGGTGCGGAAGGTGAGGTCCGTTTGGCGAAGCGGCGCTGTATGTGCAGTATCCGCTGATCTACATAGCGAATGAACGCAGACTCTTTACTGCCACCCGCTCTTAGCGGTGTGCCGCGTGGGTGTGGCAAGGTCGAAGTCGCGTGGCTCGTAGTCGAAGCTAATGACTGAGGTGGAGAAAGGGTGAATCCGCCATTGGTGTGCTCCGACGCCATGACTAAACACTTCCTGTACTCATGCTGGACAAGGACAACATCGCTCGAGTGTGCCCGTCAGTGACAATACAGAACTACGTGCGGTGATGTGGACACGAAGGACGAAGTGACGGAGCGCAAGCGAGCTAAAGCGGAGACTGCAGCTACAGCTCAGCTGAATTAGCATTCTAGGTATGCTTGCAGTTGATTATACATTGACATGTCTTCGTCGCTTCTACAAACCCATGCACATCACCAGCTCAATCATGTCTTGTTATATATGGTCGTTCACCACGCGGAGCTGCTTAACATCATCACGCCCACCTCTGCGCATCCTTGTCATAACCGATCACGGCAAGCTCAATATTGAGCGAGCGGAGCATCATATCCATCGTAAATGTCTGCACAAGAGTCAGCAATCGTGCCGTATAATGCTCATACCGACACCCACATCATCATCTTTGTCACCCTCCTGCCACACCTTCGACACTCCACCTCCCGTATCCATCTTCGGCTTCTCTGGCAAATCCGCCGCGTCCATAACCTCCTGCCTCAATCTCCGCTTCTCCTTCTTCCTACTCAACGCTTCCTCCTCCGGCAACTCCTCGCCTTGGCTATCGAACTCGCAGTCCGCGTCGTTGTCCACCGGCTCCTCCTCCAGCGCAAACTCACCGAGTCCATTAGCTCGCTCGAACTTGCGCTTCTCGCTCTCCCGCCACGCAGCCACGCCGCCCATTCGGTACACGCGCTCCTTGACGGTACCAAAGATCTCCTCAGCCGCTTGCTGAGAAGCGAGACGCCATCTCTCCGTCAACACCTCGAGCTCCGCGTCCGTTGTTGATGTCGTGATGTGCTGAGCCTGAGCGAAGACATCAAGGTCGTTCTTCAGCGCTCTGATCTGTAGCTCGAGCGACGTTAGAGCTCTTTGGGCTGCGATTTCGGCTGCGTCGGGACGCTTTATGGAGATGGTAGAGCAACGCTGTTTGGGCACAGGCGCGAGTAAGGTAGGCTTAGAAGCTGATTTCGAGGCATCGATAGTCTTTGCAGTGGCGTCATAATCTGCCTTGACGGTGTGCGCAAGCGTGCTAGGTACATATGGGACATTGCCCGCCACATTGTTCTCTCTTAGTGGCTTTCGGTCGGCTTTGGCGCTGCGCAGTGGCGACACAAAAGGTTTGGAGAGTGTATGCGCCGCTTCTTTGAGCTTTCGTCGCTTCGCTGACACCGGTGAGGACATGGTTGTGCCTATACCAACTGCTTTGGATGGGGTATCCTAGAAGTCGACGTTCTGGACGCGTCGGTTGACGCGTTCCGCGTAAACCTGCACTGACGTAACCCCTGTTTGTCAAACCGCATGTTCCAGCAGCCATTATAGGATTTTCGGTCACTATCGTGCTCGACACAGTTTGTATCGTAGCTCGATCTCCAATTGCTACTCCATGGTTTCCGACATACTACGCTCGCCACGGTTAACACAATTCCATGAGCGCACACATGCGGCTTTTCGACCGGAAACAATGCGTAAAAGATTCAGTTGGGAATTCTTGCGATCAAGTTGAACTCAAAGCGACAAGAGCTATATGCTAACGTTGCTGAAATGTGAATGACTATCATGCATCACTCCGGCTGCCCTTCGCAACGTCAAGACCATCAGTAACCTCCGCTTCATGCTGACTCCAAACCGCTTTGTACAACACCGTCCAAATGATGCTTACTGCCGCTGCCCCAAAAGTGCAACCTGCGCAAACAAGCAGTCCATGAGTATATCTTGGAGCGTCGGCCGCTTTGAACAGGTTCGCACCGACGAAAGAAGCAAGCTGGATCGACATGACATAGCATCCCAGCACTATTGGCCGCTGCCGCTCCTGAACGTTCTCGCTCAGCCACGCAGCATTGATGCCCTGCACACTGCCCATGCCGGCTTCAGTGACTATGACACCAGCGTAAAGTATACCGCGGCTTACGGTGTTGGGAGGCAGAGCCAGCCAGAGCAGGCCGACGGCAGAGATTATGAAGCCTGTGAGCACGAAGAGTCCTCTGTGCCGCGTGCGATCGGAGAAGTAGGCTAGCGGTAGCGCCACGAGTAGGTTGCATGCTGATCCCACAGCATTCATGCCATTGGCAGAGTACCCACGGTAGCCCAATGCTTTAATGATGGACGGCGCATAGGTGTTGATCGGGCTGAACATCACTGACGAGAGAAAGGCCATGACGAGATGGCCGTAGATTCGGTGGTCAAGCAGTATGTCGAAGTCGCGGATCGTTACGCGGCGAAGGTTGTTTTTCTTGCTCGGATCGTCCTGCATTGCACGTCGCTGAAGCATTGCGCCTTGGTCAGGCTTGAGGATCGTCCATCGGCTTCCCATCACACGGTGCCGCTTAGAAGCATCGATGGGACTCTGAGGTAGGTGGAGTGCCATCAAAACTGCGACGAAGCATGTAAGGGCGCCTTCAATGGCAAACAAATACTGCCAGCCGTGGACTCCATGCTTTCCGCTCAAGCTTAGCAGCCCGAGCGCTAAGACACCCCCGAGGGCTCCGGCTACGCTGTTTGCAGCCCATAGCAAAGCATAGCGGAAGGCCAGTTCCCGACGTGTGACAAACTGTCCGAGATAGAAGGCCGCACCCGGGATGAAGCCGGCTTCGAATGTAGCCAGGAGGAAGCGTGTTGTAAGGAAACCACGCCGCGACGTGATGAACGTCTGACTCCAGGTGACGGTACCCCAGCAAAACATCAGGAGTGGAAGCCATCGATGAGCGCCGACGCGCTTGATGATGACGTTGCTGGGAAGCTCCCACAATACGATGCCCAAGGTGAACAGAGTTTGGCCGAGATTGATATCAGCTTGCGTGAGGTGGGCGTCTTTGCGAAGGGTGTCTGTCAAAGCGTTGCCAAGATTGGTTCGGTCGAATTGCAAGAAAACGAACATGAACACCAACGGTAGCAGAACGAGGCCATCGACGCGTCGCAAGGCTTTGCGTATTTCCGAAATGTCTTCATGACTGTGACCGACCTCGACATCCTGAGATGAGACGGTGTCGTGAGGAGCCGTATGTGCGCTGGGTGCCGTCTTCTCCATGGTGTTTGCGATGCTGTTTGGATGACTTCTCCGACATCAGACCTGGCTTTATACCTGCCATGTTCTCAGACAGTCGATGTCGTTATCTTGTTCCAATGTTGCGTTATCTTCGTGATGATAGGAAAGGTCCAATGGTGATGGATGGAGATGGCCGAGATCCTCTTCTGTCCTCGGAGTGGCGTTCGGACAGCTTCGGACACCTTCGGTGCACCGAATACTGTGGTTCCACGATAGGTACTCCGAACAGGTTCGGTGGACAGCTCCGAGGCAGTTGCAGATATAAGGCATCCTGGTATGGAAACCAATCCACGACCACGACACGCTCATCCGTTACTGCCATAACACGGAACTGTTAGGAAAATCTACGACAATGCAGATTCCATCACCCCCAGCTTCGCCCTCCAATAAGGTCCAGGGCAAGGTCGATCAAAACACCATCAGGCGACGAGGTGTTGGTCTAATAGCCTCAGATCCGGAACGCGTGACACGCGGCTACCTGCTCGTCGCACCCTTGACCAGCAATTGCGTCTACCTAATTGACACAAATGGTGACGTCGCACATAAGTGGACGTTACCATATCGCACCGGCAGACATGCACGCATCCTACCGAACGGCAATCTCGCAATTAACAGTATCGACCCGAATGGTCCTCGACCTTTCTTCTTCTTCTGGAAGTACGGTGGTGGCATCATGTCTGAGCTGAGCCATGACGGAAGCATCGTACGACAGCATCGTGATCCGTATGCCCACCACGACGCTTATCATTATGGAGATGGTCGCATCTTATATACCCGGATGGAGCAGCTTTCCGAAGCAGACTCGGCAGCCGTTCAGGGTGGGGTTCCGGGAACCGAAGCGGACGATGGACGGGTGTGGGCAGACGTTGCTCGTGAGGTGGATGCCGACGGGCGAGTGACTTGGGAGTGGAAAGTCAACGACCACCTCGACAAGCATCGGTTTGCGGTACAGCCACATTACCCAAGAGAGCACTGGCCGCTCATCAACTCGATTTATCCGTTGAAGGATGGCAACATCCTGATGTCGATGCGCTCCATCTCCGCGGTCATCATAGTCCACCGTGCAACCGGAGAAGTGATTTGGCATCTCGACAGCACAGTAGTAGCTCAACAGCACAACGCCACCGAACTACCGAATGGCAACATCTTGCTTTTCGACAACGGGGCGTTCCGATACCGGGAATCATTCCAGTTCTCCCGCGTCATTGAGGTCGACCGGCAGACGAAGGAGATCGTCTGGCAGTGGCGTGATCAGGCGCCGGAGCGCTTCTATTCTCCATTCATGGGCAGCGCACAACGGCTCGAGTCCTCTGGTCACACGCTGGTATGTGAGAGTGCTTTCGGTCGGGTTTTCGAGATTGATGAAGCCGGCGAGGTATGCTGGGAGTGGATCAACCCCTTCTTCCAACGGTACTCCGAGCGCCCGCTGCTGGACGTCTTCGGGTCTGAGTCCAATGCTATGTTTAGAGCGTACAAGTACATGCCGGAAGAGATTCCATGGCTGCGATGATTCTGGGGTAGTAGGTTGGGTTGACGTTAGCTATCGCCGAAACCATTTGCGAAACCATTCATTGTGTCGAGGAGTCCAAAGTCAACGTCGTCTGGGCCGTTGGCGAGTGAAGAGAGTAGGTCGTCCCAGTCAGGTCCAGCCCATTCAAATTCGTGAAGGTCTATGTGTTCAGTAGCTGCAGACGCAAAGTCTCCGCCGTGTGGGCCTTGCACTACCGAGGTGGGACGACCGCTAAGTTCAGTCTCAGGCAACTGGGGGAGTTCATCGGCGGGGCACGTTTTTCGTCGTTTCTGGACACGTTCATCGGTTCCGTCGGTGACGACTGTCGACCACTGCTCTGCCTGCCCTTGGAGCGATTTGAGCACGTTCACAGCTCTCGCAGCCGGAACACTGTGATTAGCTGCCAGTGTCAACAGTCTGATCGCACGTGTAACTTGACCGGCTCTTTCCTGACGTAAGTCGTCTTCAGGATGGCCGCGGCTGTGTTCGTGATGTATCATGTAATCGTAATCAATGCAGAAGACAATGCCAGCTGTGAATATGTGTATCAACACTACCCACCACCGCATGCCAGGGAACTCAATTTGCGCGCCATGTTCACCAAGCTCGAGGCATGCAGCTGCCGAGCCAACAGTTGCTCGACGGGAGTGCAACATTGAAGTGTCACTATATCCACGCGCCATGAACGGGCGATGCAGCCTGAGAACGCGGTTGTGCACGGTGAAAGCAAGGAAGAGTCGCTGCCACTCGAGCTGCTTCGGCTGTGCATGTCTACTCGCGGGGATGGTAGGTAAGCCTACTGGTGGGCTTCGCCACTTGAAGTAGTCGGGAAGAGCAGCATAGTATGTCCACAGCATGCTTTCCAGGTCAAGGACTGCGTCATACGATAGCTGGTCGTCATTATAGAGATCCACCATTGCTTTTGCCACTCGTGCAAACGGGATCTTGACGAGCTGGTAAGTCGATGCTGTTGCGCAGTCGTCTATGGACAAGCACCGCACAGCGCCCATCGGGTTGTTCGTTAGCTGCTCGTCGTCCACGTTCGCAAAGAGAAGGGTCTTGGATTGCTTAGGGTGGATGAAGTATGTGAAATTACAAGACGATGCAGTATAGAAGTCCTGGCAAACGAGGGACCACCAAATGCGGCGCTGAAGCTCGTGTCGAATCTGTAGGTCAGCCACTTCATCGGATGATTGTCGGTCGATAGATTTAGCGAAGAAGGCTGCATCGTCGGCCGCGAAGGCGGCTCCGCTTTTGACGTCTAGCTTATTGATGCCTAGGTTCGCAGCCATCTTGATGGCGAGAGCAAGCTGTGCATGATGGGTGTCGCTCAAACCACGATTGTTAAGCCAGAGGCCCATACAGATCAGAGTCTGTATAACAGTAATACTGTGATTCGCAAGGAACTTAGAGAGCGTAAGCAGTTCGTGAGAAGCGTCGTACAATTTCTCCTCCAAGTCCGTGTTCGCATTAGTCTCATGAAAATGGCTGCCAAGGCACAGAATAATCATGAGTAGTGCAAGCCATTGCAGGTCCGGTACGCTTCGACTCTCTAAAGGGAAACTGCGGGCTTGCCAAAAGGCGTCGTACTCGGCCTTGAAAGTTGGTACATGCAGTGGATGATGGATCCACTCTACACGCAGCAGATAGCTTTCGAGCAGGTCATCGCTCTTGAGACGATGAGGGAGCGCAATGTCAAGGATATGTAAGGCCCGTAACGTTTCCGCCGATGGTCTGGCTGACGACGTCGGGCTGCATCCATTCCTGGTTTGCTTACGACGGCTGAGAGGAGAGGTCGTGATGATCTGATGATCGAAGTCGTCGTGTGTGTTTACATCCGAGTGCAGCGTGTTTTCCGGCGACACGCCTGTAAGCTGCTCGATACGGACAACATGTTCGTTCTCAGCCGTTCGAGGTGACGGGACGCTAACCTGGGCGCGAGGCGATCCTACGGGCAGTAGCAGCCCATTGTGCTGCAGGATGGCCTCAACATGCTCGATACGCGCCTGTAGCTGGGTTACTGTTGGGGATTGGCCGCTATCAGCTGACTCGGTTGCCTGAGGGCGGCTACTGATGAGCCAAGTACATTGCTCTCCACGACGCACACAGTGGTCACATGGATCACCCCGACCGCAGCGAACCTTGCGACGCCGGCATTGCTCGCAGGACCATGCGCTTCGGGCGTTAGGAGTTGGCATGATGGTGAGGACAAGGAGCAGTGTTGAGTGGAGAGCTCGTGCCACCTTACGTAAGGAGCATGCGGCCGCGTTGCCGCCATCCCGAGCGACGACTGCGCGGTGGTGGAGATCTGAGATCAATAGACGAAGTGGAGTATGCGGAGAGCGCACCTTTCCTCCTTCACGTGTCGCGCTTGGAATGCACCGTTTCTATTGGCTTACTCATCGATAGACACTCCCGTCTCATGAAGCAATGCTCCGTACATTGCGGTCTCTTCACGCCACATCAGTAATACTACAACGATTACCGGACATGTCGAACTCGATTCCCTGCATGCGCGTGACGTCCGACAGTGGTTGCGCTGTCTGGGGCGTATGATGAACCGGAGCCAGGAAGTCCCGCCCTCAATCTTCACCAAGCCTGCAGAGACGACACCACCCCGACTCTTGCCATCGCCGCAGACAGCTTCGTCACTCCGGCGGCAGAGTACACCGGACTGGCTGGAGCAGAACGCTGTAAAGGCGGCTGCCACTGACGCAGCTGCTGCGCCAGTCACTACCGCTTCAAACACATCTGCCGTTGCTAATAACTCGACGGGCACGCACGATTTTGCGCCTGGCAAAGCCGAGAGGAACGGACCGGCTCCGGCAACACTCCATACAGCGAATAGGCCAGCCGTTCCGGCGGCATGGCCTTCTAACTCAGCACCGCGAGGCAGAAGCGCGAGCGTGAGCCAAGCACCCACAAGCCTAAGAACGCCGCCAGGCAAGCTCCCGCTGCCTCCTCCACCTCAACTAGGCTTGAACACTCCAGGCTCGGCGGACGTACCAAAGAGGAAGCGGGAGGCTTCACCCACAAGACCACCAAGTGTCTTAACGAGCTCTGAGCCGTCGCTCAAGCGTCTGAGGCTGAGAGCGCCTAAGAGCAAGCATACGTTAGACGGGTTCACCTTCGGTCCGACTGTCTTCAATCAGCCTGCACTACAACCACCCAGTCCGCTGTTCTTCAGCAATTCACCACGACCTCGACCAGTGCTGCCGGCTCGGTTCTCATCATCTGAGGCAGGTGCCAAAATGCTGAGCAAGGCGCGAACTGAAGACAGCCATATCAAGACCGTCAGTCTGGCGCGTGGCACTGTGCCCACCCCGGGGTTTGCGCCAACGAGCGCACCTCGGGAAGCTCTGAGTGCAAGGCGGAGTCTGGAGAGAAGCTCAACCGGACGTAGTAGTAGTCCGGACATCACCAGCAATGGCGAAATCGGGTTGCTTAGCTCCATAGGGGTGGTCGAGCTTCTGGAGCAAGATGAAAGGCCTACGTTCATCGTGGACTTAGCCAACAGCGCAAATTATGGTCCTGGATCGCTGCACTTGCTGTTTGCGAATACATCGTTGCGTAGCTATCAGGGCCTGCAGGAGTTGATTACCGGTCCGGGATCGGACGACGCGAGCCCCGGTATTAAGACCTACCTTCAATTCAAGTCTTGGCTGCTCAGCGCTTCGATCGATGGACAGAGCTTGGACGTCTGCCTACCGTCATTCGTATATGCGGGCATGACATGGTCGTGCTCGACTCTACGGAAGAGGCTGCGCATTATTGGCGGAGCATTTACGGCGTCGCCTCAAGAATCTGCCGCTGGAGCAAGAGAGAGCCTTCCACCTGCTGCAAAAGTCGCAGAGGCTATTGCAGCTTCGGGACCAGCCCAGGCAGGAGACGCCGCACTCGAGCCGTCCGACTACTTCGCAGGCGCCGTACCGCAACCTGCACCGTCAAACGCGACACCAAGCTCTAGGTCTGACATAGTGCCCACAATTGAGAACACGGCTGGATTGGAGAACGGTATCGTCAATCTTCCGCCACGACCTGATCTCTCTGGCGCAACTGACTTGTTGCCATCCGAATCAATGTATGTACCCTCGCATGACTCGCACGAGCATGCATCGGATGGCGGTTCGGTCCATCGTGTTCCTACGGGCAGTACTGTTGACTCGGCGTACAGTCAGATCACGCTTGCGCAACCGGACGCACCCTCATTCGATTGGACCAGGCTACCTGTCGGAGACACAATGCCAAAACACATCCAGTTTGCAAGGAGCATCGACTGGGCTTCAACCGCACTTGGACCAATTGAGCTTTGGCCAAGCGACTTGCGTCAAATGTGCAATCTCATCATGGCATCACCGCACCCTGCCGCTATGTACTGGGGAGAAGAATTGATTGCGATATACAATGAAGCATATATCTTGCTGGCAGGCCAGAAGCATCCTACGCTCATGGGTCAGAGCTATAGTAAGGCATGGGCTGAGATATGGGACGATGTGAAGGATGTGTTTGCGTCTGCGAAGGTGACTGGTGAAGCGACCATGAAGGATGACGACTGCTTATTCATCAAACGCAACAACTATCTGGAGGAGACATACTTTAGCTGGTCCATCATACCCATGGTCGGGCGTGATGGAAGTGTGATGGGTCTGTACAATCCGGCTTTCGAGAAGACGAGACGGAAAATTGCTGAGCGACGAATGCTTACGCTGCGCGAGGTGGGCGAGCGGACGGCCGGTGCACGGGATGTGAAGAGCTTCTGGACGCAGGTGCTAGGCTCGTTTGAGTTCAATACACATGACAGCCCTTTCCTGCTGCTGTATTCAGTCGCAGACGAAGCGGATTCCGATGCAAGCAGTATTCACTCAAATTCTGTCTTCGGAACTCGGCAATGCTGGCTTGAAGGATCACTTGGCGTGCCGGAGGGTCACATTGCAGCTCCCGATCAGATGGATCTCAAGAGCGGTATGGAAGGCTTCGGCCCAGTGTTCAGGGAGGTCATGAAGACGGACAAGCCTGTGCTGCTCGAAGTTGGCGGTCGCGAACTACCAGCAGAATTGCTTGAAGGGCTGGAGTGGAGAGGCTTCGGCGATCCTGTCAGAGCGGTGGTCATATGTCCCATACATCCCACAACGGGCGAGAACATCCTTGGCTTTCTGGTGCTTGGTGTGAATCCCCGGCGGCCATACGATGACGACTACAGCCTCTTTGTGCAGTTACTTAGCAGACAACTCGCGACCAGTCTGGCGTCCGTCGTACTCTTCGAAGAGGAGATTCGACGAGGTCAGAGGGCAGCCAAGCTTGCGGCCCTGGACCGCATCGAGCTCTCGGAGCAGTTGGCTGCGCGAACGCAAGAAGCCATCGATAGCGAGACGAAGTTCACACGCATGGCTGAATTCGCCCCGGTTGGTATGTTCATAGCCGATCACACCGGGCGCATCATCTTTGCCAACGACACATGGTATGATATTGGACGCGTGCCAAAGTCGGCAATGGTGGGTGTGCATGCCAGCACCGACACCTGGATCGAGTCTGTGAAAGACGAAGATCAAGCTCTTGTGCGCAGGTTATGGAAGGAACTGGTCATCGACACGAAGCCTGTAAGCGAGGAGTTCAGGTTCAAGGCCCAATGGGAAGATCGGAACCGGAATAGAGGCGATACATGGGTGCTTTTCAGCGCTTACCCAGAAACATACGAAGATGGCAGGCTTAAAAGCGTCTTCGGCTCCGTCACCAATATCAGTTCGCAGAAATGGGCGGAGGGCATACAGACGAGGAAGATGGAGGAAGCTGTTGAGCTCAAACGGCAGCAAGAGAACTTCATTGACATCACTTCCCATGAGATGCGCAACCCCCTCTCCGCGATCTTGCAGTGCTCTGACGAGATCGCTACGAGTCTTACGAAATTTAGGCAGTCCGGCGGGCGAGAGCTTCCGGACGAGCTTGTTACGAGCTGTTTGGACGCTGCGCAGATCATCAGTCTCTGCTCGCAACATCAGAAACGAATCGTGGATGACATTCTGACACTCAGCAAGCTTGACTCGCAACTGCTTCTCGTCACGCCAGTGGATGCGCAGCCATTGACAGTGGTTCAGCGGGCGCTCAAGATGCACGAAGGCGAGCTTTCGGCGGCCGATATCCAGATGAAGTTCATGGTGGATCAGTCATATCGAGATCTTCAGTTGGATTGGGTACGGCTCGATCCAAGCAGGGTCCTCCAGGTGCTGATAAACCTGACAACCAACGCCATTAAGTTCACGGGGACGGAAAGTAAGCGCACAATCACTGTCACCGTGTCCGCCAGTAAAGTCCGACCGAGTCAACTGCCTGACCCGCCTGTACAATACTTTCCAACGCGCAGCAAGCGGAAGGACGCCTTGTCGGAGCGCGACTGGGGCGACGGTGAGGTCGTCTACATCCACTTCGCAGTCGCAGATACCGGCCGAGGACTGAACAAGGAAGAGAAGAAGATGCTGTTCATGCGTTTCTCGCAGGCTTCGCCACGCACGCATGTGCAGTATGGTGGCTCTGGCTTGGGCTTGTTCATTAGTCGTGAGCTTACCGAGCTCCAAGGCGGCGAGATCGGCGTCGAGAGTGAGGCGGGCAAAGGCAGCACGTTCGCGTTCTACGTCGCTGCTCGGAGAAGCACAGCACCGCCAGATACGGACGGTGGCACTGGTATGAAGAAGACGGATACCCGTGCCCGAACCGTGCGTTCGTCTGCAACGAAGGCTTCGCGAGCACTCGAGTCTGGCGGTGTCGCCTCCGCCGGTGATGTCGAAGCAACGCGTGAGCCTTTGCAGCGCAAAGTGTTGATAGTCGAGGACAATCTTGTCAACCAGCGGGTGCTACAGAAGCAGCTGAAGAATCTGGGTACGGAAGTACATCTGGCCAATCACGGTGGCGAAGCGCTTGAGAAGCTGCGGCAGTCGACCTACTGGGCCGGAGACGGCGGACCCGGCAAACTTGAGCTTGGCGTGGTCTTGATGGACCAAGAGATGCCGGTGATGGATGGGCTCACGTGTACTAAGAAGATCCGAGAGTTGGAACAGGAAGGCAAACTGACTGGGCATGTGCCGATTATTGCTGTCACTGCAAATGCACGACCAGAGCAGGTCCAGACGGCCCTGAAGGCTGGAATGGTAAGTCTGGCTACAATGAAGTCTCGCCATAGGATTGGAGAAGATGCTAAGCTTTGTTACAGGACGATGTGGTTTCGAAGCCATTCCGCATACCAGAGCTGGTTCCCAAAATCGAGGAGCTTATGGAGCGTTATCCAATGCCGCGTGCATTGCACTGAAAGCTTGCGAATGTCTGAGCGTAATCTGAGCATAGCGAATTTGGAGCACGATTGGAGAGTTTTGGGAGGCGGCCTCATGGTCTCCTAAATAAGGATGAGCTAATGATGATACAAACGCCGTGGCTTGATGCATGGTATGGTCGCCCTGAGAGCCTGTGGAGGCACAGCTATGTAAGGTCACGTTGACGTCGTCACGTTAACTTGTACGCAACGCCGAGTAAGATGCCGAAGGCTGTCGATGGTGGAGTAGACAAGGGAATATTCCACACACTTTGCCGCTGACGCTTCACATTATTGTAGGGGTATGAGTGAAGAGCCCAGGTCATCGAAAGTCGCTCGCAGGACTGTGACGCGGATACCTCGATTGTGGTGGGGGGGGTCCTCGTCTGTGTTGCGAGAGCAAAATCTCCGAAGGACGCGGGCTTTTGGGAACGTGAAGTTCGGCATGCTTTGCCGGCTTGTGCACAAGGGGAGCTCGTGATACAGCTCTAGGATCCGGTTACTGGATTCCACGCAGCAGCTACAAGGATCGATGCAGTGAAGGTGCGAAGCAAGATCATTGCTCGACTCGAGACCTGCCAGTCGCTTGTGCGTCTGCCTAACCGATTGTTGGCCGGTCATCTCTTACAAGGTGCAGCTTGAAAGTTAAGCGATTTCTCCCGCGGCGCCAGCTGGTACAGGAATGTAATGAAGGCTTGCGAATAGTGCCCCTTGCTTCGCGGAGATGCCTGACGTTGCACAACATGGACCTGGTTCAGTCTCTCACGGTACTTGTGTCTTCTTGCCCGTACGGGAGACAATGTGAGATGCGCTCACCGTCGTTATTCAGACATACACGCCACTGTGCCCTCGAGTGATTGCGGTTCGTCCATAATGCTCGTGAGAGAATTGGTATGCTGCCACAGACTGCCCCCAGCGTGTCGCAGAGCGGGGAGTGAATACCGCAGTCTTGGTTCACACGACGCTGCAGTGACGCAGAAGCTCACGAATGTTCGGGGACGCTTCCCTTAGATGCAGTTCTCTTCTAGTGATCCGCTCCGTTACGGTACATAACCTTGTCCTGCAATCAGCCAAAACCATGTACACATCGCTGTCGGTGTCAGCTAATCTCCGATTGGGCAGCAGCATGCTCTCCAATCCAAGCTTGCGCAACGAACGCTCCATCAGCCCTCAGTAGCAGAGGCTTTCCATTCTTATTCCTGATCCCGACCCTCGTCAGCCGAAGTTCCCCGCTTTCGGAGCTATCCAGGAACGTGGACTCGGACTCGGTGGCGTTCACCGTACCAAGCGTGCATGTGAGCAGGGGTGCAGCCCTCATATCGAGGGTAGTACGGCCTGCTTCCTCGAAGACGCTACCCTTCCTTGACATGTTGCGATGTAATCAGTGACGGTGAACATGACCGATCATGGCCCCAGTCACATGAACAAGAAGGGCAGCACCTCGCGACGCGTGTACGCTCACGCTCACTGTCCCGTCCCGATAGCGCGGTACCTGTACCATGCACTTGGGTCGACGGACCCAACAAGAGCCCCCGCTGGCTTGGATTTCCCGTTTCACTTTCCATTAGCTTGCATCCTCGCATCTAGACAACACTCGGCAAACCATTTCCACATTGGAGCTGTTTCCGCACCCTTATGCAAAAGCACTATAGATATAATAAGTCTCGAAAGCGCCTCGAGCTATAGCTCGCATGGTTTGGCGTAGTTGGACTTTCTGGGTGGCTTGCGGTGCTTTTGTTACATGTGCGTGGCGACACACCTAGACTTGGATGAGGGAGGATTCGGTGATGGCCGCTACAGGGTGAGGGCACGCAGACGATGTTTACAGTACCTGGACCTCCCTCTAACTAGTCGCAGTGCGGCACCAATATCATCGTTACTCAATGTCATGAGCGAGCAGTCACAGCCGTCAACCAGTCGTGCTGCCCAGCCAACAATCCTCCACCAGCAAAGAATTGCACGCAATGGCCGCATGTATTACAGCCAGTGGTATCGCACTTATCCCTTTCCGTGCGATGATGTACGTCTGGAGTGCTCAATCATACTCGCCGCCACTGATCGTTGCGTACAGACTGAGCAACACCGTCTCGATGTGATGCACAGAGCCTGGTTCGAGGCGATGGGACAACGGCTACACCTTGCCACCCTAAGAGACTCTCCAATGCGGATTCTTGATGTTGGCTACGGGACTGGCATATGGGCGCTTGACATGGCTGAGACGTACCCTAATGCAGAGATTGTGGCGATCGACATTGGCGAGGACCACCCCGTACTGCGTGGGTTCGACAATGTCGATTTTCGTCCCAACGTCGACTTTACCACCAACGATTGGGGAGTGGAAACGGCGTCCTTCGACTTCATTCACTGTGCAATGCTGTGCGGAAGCGTCCCGGACTGGCGACGCTTCGTCGAGCGTATTTCGAGGTATGGCTTACAATCATGCGTACATAGGCGGTCAATGACGGGAGCAACGCAGCCTTCTCAAGCCCGGTGGACAGGCCGAGTTTGTTGAGCTTGACTGGACTCCCCGGTGCGACGAACAGTCCCTGCCGCCTGGTTCGCCCGTCTCTCGGTGGTGGCAAGCCATGCAGGACGCGAGCATAGTCAATACCAAGCCGATTACCTATCCTGATGATCTCGAAGCGTTTCTAGAGGAGGCAAGGTGTCCTGCATCCAGCCACCACACTATCGAAGTCAATACGTCTGAAAACTATCGGGAATACCACGAGGACGAGCAGCGGAATGTGGTCGCACGATGGTTTAAGCTCTTCATGTTTGATACCAACTTCCAGAGCTTCACTGGCATGAGTATGGGCTTACTCACAACCCACCTTGGCTGGGCTCCGGAAGAGGTGGTCGCTCTGTGCGAGAATGTTCGCGATATTCTGAAAGACACCTATTCTCCGGTGTATTACAAACTGTAAGAGTGCCAAGCCGTCCGGGTTCAGAGGCTTTTGGCAACTGACGCTGATCTGGTCCCAGGCACGTTGTTACCGCGCGCAAGAGAGGCGGTCGAGTGTCCAGTCTGTGACGCTAGGCCGCGAACGAGCCCCAGGGCTTACGAACAGGCAACATGAACATGGCTCATTGCAGCGATCAGACCATCAGACAGTGGATCTAATTCCAGACCGCACACGAGAGCCTGCCGGCTAGCAGCAACGTTGTTGTGAGGCAGTGTCCCCAAAAGACGGCATCTCGCTACAACGTCCCGTGCGCTGTTCGACTGGCACCCACCCGTAGTTGCATATTCCAGCTTCTAAAGAGGATGGAACCATCGTGGGCCGAGCGCCGACTCACACGTGCTTGAGCTCTGAGGATCTAGTAGCCAAGCCAGCAGATCGGATACGAACGCCCGAAAAGGAGTGACGAGACCATGAGACGGCGTCATTTGGAAGTACTTGTTGAGATTTACTGTATGATAGATAACAATGTAATATCAATATGCATCAAGCTGCTGCAGTCCAGTATCGTTGGGGTAGACTAACTTGTCGTACTGCAGAGTCGAGCACAGACGGGTCCGCGTGAGACGGGACGATGGGTAGTTCCATAAGATCGGTAATACTGCAAGCTCCGTCCTAACCGACGGGCTCGTGCTCGCGGTAACGATCCAGACCCAGTGCGCTGGTTCCCACAACTGTTGCTGTCCGTAGTGCGCAAAACCAATGCATCCGGCGCGCTCGGCTGCCGAGGAAGCAGAAATCGAAGAAGCGGTGAAGACAGCACGAGATACAGGTCGCTTGCCTCTGCATCTGTCGCGTAGAATTGTTTGCGCAGGCTCCTCTTCATGGCATAGCGTATGTTGCAATCAACTCCAACCACAGTGTCGGGTCGAGCTAGTAGCCGCTAAATGCGCTACCCACAGCCTCGGAACTCACCTGCACGATTGCATTTCGATCCGATGCATTGGGAGCAGTCACATAGGCTTCCGGCGAGCAGTGCAATGGGTTGTCCGCTTCACGAATTTGACGGAGATTGGTAATTCGGTGTATGCAATGCTGGCTGACAGTTGAAAGAGCCGGCCTGAGACGTAGTCCTGCCATATACTTCGGAAGCGAAAATGACTCGGAGTGTGCAAGCCGCAAGCTATCATGCAATGTCTCGCTAGGCGATTGTGTGTGACTTTTCTCGCACCATATGGAATGCTTCGCATGCACTTTGGAGCGAAGAGATGTTGGCTGAGGATATGCTTCTGCAGCCTTGCAATCTGACACCTTTCGAACCACGACTCATCCATGCCAAAGGTGCCACAGTTCTATGGATGCACTTGCACGACCAATGGACGTAGATACTTCACAGCTTTCCGTGGGAATTAACCTTATCCCTGCGATGAGGTTGCTATCCCACATCCCCCTTCAAGACACATCAGCAATCTGACACATGGGCAGGGCGAGGCAGAGCGACTAAGCCTTCTTAAACACCCTTATAAGCGGGAGGGTGTTGGCCAAACGGTTCCCGTTGCGCTCCCCGTTTGAGACGCAGCGACCCAGAGTACTTGATGTCGGCCGCGATACCGATTGGTGGGCACTGGAGGTGGGGGAGCAGCCCCCGAATGCAAAGGTCGTGGGCTTCGACATATCGCCGCTGTATGATGCTTCTGTCGGACCGAACGACAGATGTCTCAACGTGCAGTTTCTTGCTCCGGTTGACTTCACAGCCGCAGTAGCCTCTTGTGGGGGAGTCTTTTAACATTGTGCATGTGTCGTTGTTATGCGGTGCTGTTGCCGGCTGGCCAGCCTTGTACTGGAAATCCATCGTGTACCTGCTGCCAGGAGTCCGTCGAGATCGATTGGCAGTCGTGGTGGGTCGAAGCTAGCGCTTACGCCCATTCTGAAGACATTGCCGCATGTCAGGAGTGGTGGACCAACATTAGCGCGGCAAGCGTGGAGCTCGGTAAGCCTTTGGCTTATCGGGCAGACACTGCGCAGCTTCTTCAACAAGCTGATTATACGCAAGTGGAGCAGTCGGGAGGGACGCCCGTGGGCGTCCCGTGCTCCGCTGCCGACTCCGTGGGCGGCTCGATTCACACCGCCGGATACGGGCAGGCGAAAGGCCGGGAAAATCGGTTTCGGACATGCATGGGCTCAATCGAAGATGTCGAACGGCATGCCTCCTATGGAGCCGTGGAGTGCAGTGAGCATGGGATTGCTGACCAGATATCGTAGCTACACCAGAGAGCGCGCGGAAGAGCTTGAGACCAGATTCATGACTGCTGTGAATCGGCCGCGAAGTCCGGTTTATTTCCAATCGTAAGTGTGTGTGACCGAGATGGATGCGTCAGTGCAGTCGTTGTCCCTATTTCTTCCAGACACGTTTGGACCGCTTGCAAGCCTGCGGCCTAGCTGGACCCACGCCTTGGTACTCCCGTTCGCTTCGTACTTTGTTCGAACTGGTACGCACCTCGACTTGATCGATCATGGGGTCCAACGCGGCGCATGGCAGTTATGGGCTGTCTCTTGTTCCTTGAGCAACGATAACATAGTAGTCTCGGTATCAGTATGGGTGCTGGGTAATCACCACTCCTGTACTTCGCCCGGCTTCGGTCGCTGCACGCGGACAATCTTATCGCAATTTAGCAAACACAACGGATCAAACGATTGCTTCATCTAGACCGAGCATTGTCAGCATTCGCGTCTGCCCAAAGTTGAGTGGATTGTTGCACGTACCTTCCTCATCAAATCAACCGCTCCTTCTCCAATTTCATGCGGTAAGTAATCCCTCTTCACCAACCCCACCCCATGCTCTCCCGTCGCCGTGCCCTCCATCTCAATCGCCCTCTTGACCATTCGATGCACTAGCGCATCCGCAATGTCGTGCTCCTTATCGTTATACAAGAGTATGGTATGGAAGTTCCCGTCACCAACGTGTCCCACAATTGCGCCCGTGAGCCCGGACTTGCCAATATCGTCCTTCGTCTCCTCGATAATATCTGGTAAGCGTGAGATCGGTACTGCGACGTCGGTAGTCCAGACATGGTCGCTGTCGCTCTTGCGCTGCGCCATCACGGACCACAAGGCTTCTTTTCGCGCGGACCAGAGCTCGTCGCCTTCTTCTTTGTTGCGAGCGAATTCGAAGGTCTGACTGCCAGAGCTCTTAGCCAGCTTTTGTACGATAGAGATGTGCTCTTTGACCGATGTCGGGGTGCCACTGAACTTGAAGAAGAGCGTGGGTGCCTCTTTCCACGTACGGCTCGTGCTGCCAACTTCGTTTATACAGCGCATCTGGACATCGTCGAGGATCTCAATCGCGGCGATCGGGACGCCTTCCCCAACGACGCGGAACACGCAGTCGGCGGCCTTACGAATACTCGGGAACGTGCAGACGGCTACACTGGTGTTTTGTGGTTTGGGCGTGACCTTGAGCGTCGCTTCGGTAACGAGACCGAGAGTGCCTTCTGAACCGATAAAGGTGCGAGTGAGATCATAGCCAGCGCTAGACTTGCGTGGGCGTTGCTTTGTTTTGATGATAGTACCGTCTGCCAGCACGACGGTGAGGGAGAGCACCCAATCTTTCATCGTGCCGTAGCGGTAGGCATTTGTACCTGAGCAGCCAGTGCCTATCATGCCACCGATCATTGCGCCTGGACCAGGGTCGGGGGGAAAGAAGAGGTTGTGCTCCGCAAGTTCTTCATTCAGTGTTTCCCAGCCTACCGCAGGCTGTACAACGACATCCAGATCATCTTTGTGCAACGTTAGGATCTTGTCCATACGACTGAAGTCGATGCAAATGCCACCTCGGGTTGCAGCGAAATGGCCCTCGAGTGAGGTGCCTCCGCTGTACGCCGTGACCGGTATCCTTCTGCGGTGGCAGACCTTCATAACTCTCGAGACCTCTTCCGTACTGCCAGGACTGAGGATGGCGAACGGTACGTCGCCTGGTAACGTTGGGTAAGAGCTCCATTCGCTACCAGAGTGTTGTTTGAGATCAGCTTCCGTCGTGGAGATGTTCTCCTCACCAACGATAGCTTTGAAGTCCGCCCATGCTGCTTCCAACGTCTTGGGTGCTGTGTCGTGCTGAGGTGGGATCGCGTGCGATAATGGTAACGTGGACGATGCCACTCTCGTTGGGTCTGATGCCGTTTGCGTGCCATAATACCAACCTCCGCCTGCCGCAAGTACGAGGCCTGTCGCCGTCAGCATCATCTACACTCAATAGTAACTAAGGTCGCCTATCGATCGTACCGACTGTCACGAGCCATGTTGGCGAGCCTCTACTGCTCGCCCTCTGTGCCTGCCGGATCTCTGCAAATCGAGCTTGCTCTGCCCTCTCTCTCTGCACTCTCTCGTTCGTGCTCTGGTACAGCTGGCCTTTGAAACTCTCCCGCTCATCCTTGTCCTGAGTGGCGTAGCATCGACAGCCAGATCGGTAGGAAGAATTGATGGTCGATTTTGGTGACGCAGCATCGAGCAGCTGCCGCCGTGCCAGTCTCCGGGATACTGGCGCGAGAGACATATTGGAACAAAGCACCCTCTACAGTTACACAGCGAATGGGCACGGTGGTTGTGGTCAACAGTAGCAGCGCGACATCAAACGCAAGAGACTCTCCGCATCGTGAGCTTTCTCCGCACAGTACTCGATGGCGTCGGCTCTGCAGCTGCGGGAGTGCTCCGCAGCGCCGAGGGCTTGCACGAGGGACAATGATTTTTTGGGGGCGATCGTTGTGTGAGGCCGAATGCAACGATCGCAGGATTGAACAGCTGTCTTCGCTCCTAGTAGCGATCTTCAGCAATCAGGCGTAGCAAATGTCGGACGAGACATCGTTCACCTCGTCGTTGGGGTGTTCGGAAGACGAGACGGCCCGGCATCGGCGATGTCGTCAGAGCTATGACCTTGTGAAGCAGAAAGCATTGGAACGAGCTCTGTTAGCTCTCACCGGAGCCATACAGCTTGCCGTTTCAAGCAGCATTACAAGATGTTCGCCAGCAGACTCTTCCGGCCGGCACAGCAGCTGTCGAGCGTACGTTCAGCACCGTCAGGTTGTTCACGATAGCAGCTAAACATGGCATACAGCACGTGCGCCGGTACGCAACCGAGCCCCCCAAAAGCGGCGGCAACAACACCCTCCTCTACTCAGCCCTTGCCGTAGCAGCCGTGGGCGGAGGTGGAGGCTACTATTACTACACCCAACAGCCGACCGGTGCTTCTCCGAGGAAGGAACAACATGGCGAGGGTCACGAGTCGGGTGCCCACGGCCAACCCGCCAGCAAGACCGAAGAGCGCAACATCCCTGCAACGACGGGCGGTGAGATCAAGGGGGTGAAGTGCTTTCAGGGCGGGGAGCAAGGCTTCGTGAGCCTGGTGTTGGATCACATTGAGAACGTCAACCACAACACGAAGAAGTTGCGCTTCAAGCTGGACGACGACGACTCGACGAGCGGGCTGAATGTGGCGAGCGCGCTGCTCACCAAGTACAAGGGCCCGGAGATGGAGAAGCCTGTCGTCAGGCCGTACACGCCCACAAGCGATGAAGGTGAGTAAGAACAAGCTCTATCGTTCCGGCACTTGGTTCGCCTGACATTATCGATGCGTTATAGACGCCAAAGGCTTTCTCGACCTTGTTGTGAAGAAGTACCCGAACGGACCCATGTCCACTCATCTCCACGACATGAGCGTCGGCCAACGCCTTGACTTCAAAGGCCCAATCCCAAAATACCCGTGGTCGCCCAACAAGCACGACCACATCGCCCTCGTCGCCGGTGGCACAGGCATAACGCCCATGTACCAGCTCGCCCGCGCCATCTTCAAGAACCCGGAGGACAAGACCAAAGTCACGCTCGTCTTCGGCAACGTCAGCGAGGAGGACATCCTGCTCAAGCACGAGTTCGAGGAGCTGGAGAACAACTACCCGCAGCGATTCCGGGCGTTTTATGTCCTCGACAAGCCGCCGGAGGGGTGGCAGCAGGGCAAGGGCTTTGTGACAAAGGAGTTGTTGCAAACGGTTCTGCCCGGACCGAAGGATGCGAACGTCAAAGTGTTTGTGTGCGGGCCGCCGGGAATGTACAAGGCCATCTCGGGCCCGAAGAAGTCGCCGAGTGATCAGGGCGATTTGGGCGGGTATCTGGCGGAGCTTGGATACACGAAGGAGCAAGTGTACAAATTCTAGAGTTGTGCCAGAGTGTGATGGGTGGCAAAGGCAATGTAAGATGGTATAGAGGAAGCCAACATCCGTTCGGAAGCGAGAACGTTCTTAGCATTCCCATCTCGTCTACTAGCCCTTGTGTTCTAAGCAGCCGATACTGAGCCGTGACGTGTGTTCACACCATCGTCGCTCGAGGTGTGGCAATCACGAAGCTTGAAACAATGGCAAGACATACAAGTCACCGACCCACGTCTTGATGTACTTGTCCTGCACACAATCGCAGTCGACATAGCCGTCATCACTGCCTCCCTCACATTCCACTGAGTCCAGGTAGCCTGAAGCCTCCGGTCTTGCGCCGGTAAGCTCCACCACGGGCCTGTTTAGGATCAACCGGATCCAGTGCCAGATACTCGCCTTCGCCGTCATGCTCATGTTCCAGCCGAACCCTATGCTCAGCAGCCCTTTCTTTCATCTGCGCAAGCTCTGTTGCCGCTCCCAGATTGTTTTGCCGAGCATCAAAGCCGTGTAACAGCGCCGGTAGTAGACCGTCTTTCCACGGCGTTCGACCACTTCTCCACGTGTCCCATATCGCGCACACAAGCATGACCAACACTAGCACAATCAGAACGAAAGGGAAGATGAGCCAAGGCCACCGAATCTGGAACCTGACCTCGGCGTAGCACGCTTGGCCGATGGCTTGAGACGGCTGGTAGGGGAGCTGACGAAGGGCTTGTGTGAGGCTTGCGGCTAGGTTGTCCATGACGTCTGGGAAGCCGTTGTACGAGCTGTTCATCGCGTTTGCCAGCACTGACATTTGCGTTGTTGAGTAATAGGGCGTTGCCTGGCCGTTCGTCGCGCCGCTGCTGCTCCGCGTCACTGATCCATTGCCAATGGCAAGGAATCCTGCGAGCCAGCTCGACAGGGCAGATGATGACATCTGCGTGACCGTGTAGTTGACTGCGGGCTTCTCGTGCTGCATGCTCGCAGGGAGTGTGATTTCGTATCCATCAGTGCCGATGCCAGTGGCGGACTGGTCCGTATACGTGGATTCGACGATTTCATTCCATGTCCCGTTGAAGTTGGCGGTGATGTTGCGCACGCAATACTGCAGCAGACACTCATGTGCTACCGGCTTCGCGTTCGTCCAGCCGTTCTGGAGGAAGGAGATGGATCCATTTGGTTGCGCGGGTAGCCCATCCGGCGTAAGACCTATCGCAACGACGCCGAGTAGGACCGATCCATTGTTAGTAAAAGCCTCGGCGCTCTTGTTCAGTGTATAGTAGACCTGAGGGAGCATGAATTGAGCCGGGCCGCGAGTGAGGGTGACATTGAGCGTCGGACGCCAAAGCTCGAGGTCTTTATCGTCCAGGGTGGGTATCTGATAGTCGCCACTCAGCTCAAAGCCGCTTGGGAGAGAGTATACATAGGTCGACTTCTTCTCATAGTTGCCTGGGAGACCGTAAGTCATTGTCTCGGTGGACCGCTTGAGTTGCGACGTGAGGTTGGCACAGGTGTTGCAGACTGCAAGCGTCTGAAACGGTGGCCATGAACAGTTTCCGCTGGGGCATGCACCAGCTACGCCAAACGTTGCGTTCGTCGGGCTATATATGCCCGTGTAGGCTGCTGCCATCATAGAAGCGTCCAATCCCCAGGAACTAAGGTCTGGCTCGTCGGGGAGTTGGTAGAGTCCCGTAGAATTGAGCGTCCTGGCAATTGGAATGCGGGCTGTCGCTTCGCACGGATAAAACGTAGGTGTCTTGACCGTTTGTTGGACAAAGGTGCCGGAGACGAGCGCAAGAACAGTGATAATTGCGCCATACGAGGCCAATGTCCTTTAGTTTGGTATCAGCTCGTCTGTTCGTGCTGCGATACCCGTAACGTCGACATGAGGAGGGACGGCGAACGATATACGTACCCAGCACCGCCACTGAATAGAAGTTCGACACTGCCTTTTGCACCTCGACTTGCTGCATCAAGTGCACAGATTTCTTCTAACGGCCGCCAGGTCCGACTCCTTATCCATCTCGTCTGTCCAAGCACCGAGCCGACCGGGGCAATCAAAAAGACATCCCCGAAAGTACCAAGCAAATTGATAATGGCACTGAGCTGGATATCATATGGCCAACTGGGCACACTCTGCTTGTCGAACCGCCGGAGAACGACGATGATGGCGATGTAGAAACATAAGCCAAGAACCCAGCTGGCAATTTGCGCGACCCAGGCCGTGACAGCGCGCCACAAACTCATGGGCACCGGATCACGAGCGTGCTCCACGCCTCGGGTATTGACATTCGTCGTTGACTTCCGCAAGCCAGGTGGTGTTGCTCCAACACTCACGGTCCCGCTGGCTGGTGCATTTGACCGCTCATTGGTGCCAGAAGCATGTTGCAAGAGTCGGTCGGCGGGAGACTCTGCAGGGTCGAATTGGTGCATTTCGATTCCGTGATGGATATCTTGCGATGAGCCTGAGCCATGCTCTCTAACCGAAGGCGCAAACGACATTCCCGGGAAACTTAGCTATGCTTCTGTCGGTGCAGAAAGCAGTTCAGATCAGGCAGAGCTGTTACGCAACACAAAACGCAGTTCAAGAAAGTGGCCAGCGTCTTTCGTGGGCGCTCTAGCAGCGGAGGGTCAAGACTCTTGTCCAAGAAGTGTTCATTGTGAAAGTAGCACACGCCAACCTAGACTCTTTCAGCTATGGCAAAGCGGATGACGGGGAAATGTGATTTCGAATTGCCTTCGCGCTCGAAGGGTGTGCATCCTGGCTAGGCCAATGCATTCGGTGATGTCAATGCGTGATTCGTACAGCATAGATCTCTGCCCTTATTGGACCCATTATGGCAGGATCAGGATTAGGATGGGTGCAGCACTACATGCGGCAGGACGCCTTACGCCTGCAGCCTTCAGCCGGGGCCTTCGGGAGCAGAAGGTTTCCCTTAAGTGGTCGGATCCAGAGCGACGACGATCCGGTACTGCGTGCGTCCAGTTCGGCATCTCGATGACTGTGTATACCGAACCATGTCAGCCTAGTTGGTCTTACTGTGCAACCGACTCTCACCAGAATGTGAGGCTTTGGAACATGTGGCTGGGCCTCGCTAATTTGTGGGCTCGCGGGGTGATCGCGGGCGACGGCGCCAACTCACAGTCCACAACACCGCTCTCGTGACACCAGTCGAAACACTCTGCCAGTACAGCCTACACTACACTACACTACACAACATCTCCCTAAGGAAGCATGCTCACAACACAACACAGTACGTTCGTGGAGCGGCGCTTATCATTCTCAGACAATGGCCTCGGAGGTGATCCAATCATTCCTCGCCGCCTACGAACAAAGTGCGCCCGTTGAAACGGACGATCCCACCAGCATTCCTGCGCAGCCGTTGACATGTTGTTGCGGTAACGAAGCTTGCGCCTATTCCAGGCAGAATCGGGACGCCGTTGAGATATTGGAAAGGGATGTCAGGACGGCAGCTCGACTAGGGCAGGTAAGCCAACCTGGTCCTCGTCCTCGTGTTCCATGTTAAAGGGCAGCGCGTCTCCCTGCTACGCGTTGCTTCACCGTGTTCATGCTCTCATGGACGCTGCAAGCGTATACGTCACGACACCGCAAGCGGACATTCACTCACTATGCGCAACGATGACGGCGACCCTTTCACGCGACTCGCTTGACGGCACGAGCCCGCTAATGTTCTCATTACAGGCACTGTTGTTGCGACATGAGACATACATCGCCGACACGGAACGCGAGCGTAAGATTATGGCTGCGCGCATCGACGATTTGGAGTCGGAGAAGCAAGTGCTTGAGCGGGAGAATGCCAGCGTCATACAAGAAAACCGCAACCTCTTAGACGAGTTGGAGGGTTTGAACAGTGCGGTCAGTGATGCCGACGCGCACGTCATCAGTTTGCAGGCGACGCTGCAGTCTACGCAGCAGGAGATGCAGAGGCTGGAGCGGTTGGCGGCTAGGACGGAAACGCTGGAGCAACAGTTGCAGGCTTTTGAGCAGGAGCAAGCGGACTGGCAGACCACTTTCGAGGAGAAAGAGGAAGGGGAGAAGGCGGCGTTGAGGAGGTGGCAAGAGAGCGAGCGCGCGTTGGCGCTGCTGCAAGAGCAAGTGGAGTTGATTGAGCGCGATGCGAAGGCGGAGAGGGAGAGGCACGTTGAGGTAGTGGGGCGGCTGGAGAAGAGACGGGCGGTGGAGAGGGAATTGGAGAGTGCCACGGGAAGGTTGAAGGGCGCGGCGGCCGCGAAGACCGAGGGTGGGACTAATGTGGTGTCGCACTTTGTTAAGGACATCTTGCAGGACAACGCGAATCTACAGATGGGCATTGTGGAGTTGCGGGAGATGTTGCAGAACAGCAACGATGAGGTGGACAGTCTCCGGAAGCAGATCATGGAGCAGCAACCGACTATGGCCGAGGAGGCACCATCAACTGAGGAGAATGTCCGCACCAAGGACCTAAGGGAAGAGCTGCTGCGTGCAAACTCACAAGAACTCCACGTCCATCACCACTATCACGCGCCGCCATCATCCGCACGCCAAACGCCAACCTTGAAGCGCCCAAAGAAGAAACGCTACGGCGCACTAACACCGGGCCACTTCACACCACCCTCGTCCGGAAGGACCACGCCGCGCTCTTCAATCTCCTACGACACACCGTCTTCAATGGCCACTATACTACAGCAAACAGCAGTCAGTATACCACAGAACGTTTCATTCAGCAAACGCTTCTCCAGCCAGTCAACCTCGACCTACCACTCAGCACTCTCCATCTCTGGGCCTGGCTCGCCCCAGTCAACAAATTACCGCACTTCTTCCATATTTGATCGCGTCTTCAGCGACGCTGGACACGAGTCGTCAAGGCCTACGACACCGGATACGGATGAGCCTGGCTCGCCTCTGATTCTGCCTACTAATGGCAAGGGCGCGGCGGGAAACTTTCACCGGAGTAGCAGCGCTCCTCTGCAGCGTAGACGTGGGACCGGCTCTGGCGCTGGGCAGGCATCGATTGACTCCGTGCTCGGCATCAACGTGGGTGAAGCACTGCAGCCTACCGAGCACACGCACCGCCATAACGTGATTCTGGAAGAAGATGAGGCGAGCTGGGAGAACACAAGCTCGCCGCCCGGTGAGAGCATCTCAAGCACCAGCTCAGCTCTCTCAGACGACCTCGTCGAGCCACTTCACCACCGAAGCTTCCACAAGCAGTCGCTACGTCGCGCAGCGTCGCACGAATCGCTCCTTTCGGTGGCTGGCATGGACATGCCAACGCTGCAGGCGCGACCGTCACAGCTTCTGATCAGTACGGGCGGTACAACCTTCACGCCGCAAGCCACACTCGCTCATGCGACGAGAACAGCGGCCACCTTCGCCAAACCCTCGAGCAGCGGGCACACTCTGCTAAGCGGTATGGCCGCTGACCAGCGAGGACCCAGTAGACCTTCGCTGGGACGATGGGTGTTTGGCCGATGGGGTACCACTCCGATTCCTACCTCAGCTACTGATACTACGAACGTCGCCGCTGTTCCTGCTCCTGCGAAGCCACCGAGCCGTTCGTCTGATACAGAGAGAGCGCCCGCATTCGATCCGCTAGCGACGCCCAAGAAGCCCAAGTCACGACCACGCGGTATCAATCAGTTGGGCCCGATTCCCGGCTTGGGACCTGAGTTGAGGGCGCCGGTGCAGGTTCCGGTGTTACGGACGTTTGATGAGGAGGGGTTGAGGTTGGCGTTGCAGGGGTCGTGAGACGATGAAGTGTACGCTTCGTGTAGGATTTGGATAGTGCGGGTGCATTGATGGATTATGATACCCCATGTAGCGATACGGAATGATGTCTCGGGCACTTGCGGACTCATATGCACATCATCACCATCGTACAGTGGAAGTGCGGACTGACGGCTCGGATACCCCGTCACCTTGCACTGCCGTTATGGGTATGTACCTTTTGAGTACTGTCATGCCGTCGGAGACGGTCCGCTTCCACGACTTCCATAGAAGCAGCTTCATGGCGTGTGCTCAAGCCCATACCTTCCGTACGCCACATCGTGTCACCCTCACTGATCTGCGCTTCCTAACGCCTGCCAAGCTGAAAAACTGGGACTGACAGCAGCGCGCTTGAGCCGCCGAATCGTGCACTGTTAAAGTGTCGAGACTGCTCGCTCGTCAGTGTTTGGCATACATGGATCGTTAGGTGATATCAAGGCCTGTGAGCGGTGGACCCTCGTTGACTGATGAGATAAGGTCACCTCGAACGAGAACATCGCTTTTGACAATGTAAACGTTGGCCCCCAGTAGAGTACATAATGTACATATACCACCGAGCTTGGCCAGCGCGTTTGCCCGGCGAAAGACCAAGTCAATCATCCCGACGGACTACTCTCGTGCCACTTCATTAGAATGGTAGCCATGAGCGTACATTGTGGACGCCAGTACCCGATGGCCTAGACATCCATATCTCGCCCACTTCGAGGTCGTCGTTGATGCTGCACTCATCATTCACCGCCTGCCCAAGTAACTCCGCCCAAAAGCCTCCAAGCCTTCTTCACGCCTCATCTGGCCGAGCGTCCCTGTCCTCTCATCAAGCGTCCTCGCTTCACGCTGCGCAGCGGCAACTTTGCTCTGCAGCGACGATGCGCCAGCATCGATAACCTGCAACTGCGACAGATGACCGTTCAGCACCCGCACGATGTCCGCCAAAGGATCGTCAGCGGCCTTGCCCTTCGTAGCGGTGTTGAGACTCGACGATGACGAGTTGATCTCTTCAATCATATCGGTGAGGCTGTGATGCATCTCCGTCAAGCGGGTGGTGCACGATTCTGCGGCCTTGTATCTATTTCGCACAGTCAGCACTCTTGCCGCACGCGGCAGCGACATTATATGAAGCACGTACGTCCGCTCTCGCTCGCCATCAACACCACCAACGACGCCCATGCCACCATCTCCCAGGCCTGCACTCTCCATCATGCGGTCCACTTCGCCCTCGTACTTGTCCAGTAGAGCCTCAAGCTCCATCTGGCCGTGCTCGACATGTGTCAGCTGTCTCTCAACCTCGCTACAGTCACGCTCGGCTTGGAAGCAGCGGCCATATAGTGTGCTGATCTTGCTCGAGTTCTCCACAAGCACGCGGTCCCAAGATGCCACGCGCTGTGCGAGCTGTTGAAATGTCTTCTGGTGCGTTGCAAGTGAAGTGGACCACATGGTCAGAATTTCATCCATAGTTTTATTGGCCAGGCGTGAGTGCTGCGGTGCGGCTGGGCCGGAGGTGGAGGCCGGTGCTGCCGGGGCGGGCGCGGTAGTGGAGGCACCGCCAAAAAGCCCGCCACCGGTGGCGGTGGTTGCGGCAGGAGCCGGAGCAGAGGTGGCTGTGGCTGATGGTCCGCTAGTGGCTGCGGCAGCTTGTTGTTGTGGCGCAGACGTCGTGTTCGGGTTTGCGAATAAACTTGTTGATGGTGCTGACGCTTGTTGTGGTGCCGACGTTGTGTTGAGGTTGGCAAACAAGCCTATCGATGGCGCAGCGCTCGAGGCCGGTGCGGACGGCGTACTCAGGTTGCCAAACAGGTTGCTTGTGGGGCCAGCGGTCGTGGTCGCGTTAGTGGAACCGCTAGAGGTAGTCGTGCTTGACTGCTGGGTTGGCTTCGCTCCAAACAAGCTGCTGCCGCTTGCCTGTTGCGGTGCAGAGGCTGTGGCGCTACCAAAGAGGTTGCTGGAGGGAGCAGCAGTCGCTGACGGAGTGGGCATGGATCCAAAGAGATTTGAAGGGGGCGCCGATGTCGACGGCGCAGCTGGGGCAGCGCCGCCAAACAGGCCACCTGACGAGGCGGTATTTGGTTGCTGCTGTGGTGCAGCTGGTTTTGCGCCAAATAAGGAAGGAGCGCTTTGAGCTGGTGTTGCTGAGCCGCCGAAGAGGTTGCTCGATGGCGCAGAAGTTGAGGGTGTGGAGCTCGTGTTGACCGCACCAAAGAGACCGCCAGACGAAGCATTCGTAGTAGCTGTGCTCGCTTGCGGCATAGATGAGGGCTTTGCGCCAAACAGACTGCCTGCTGAAGTGCCGCTGGATTGTTGTGGCGCGGACGTTGCGCTTGCTGCGCCGAAGATGTTGCTGGGTGGCGCATTGCTCGGTGTTGCAGTGGCGGGTGTCGAAGTGCTACCGAAGAGCCCGCCGGTCGGCGCCGCAGATGCAGGCTTGGCACCAAATAGACCCGTCGACGCTGTGTTGCCTGACTGTGCTGCGGGCGTGGTACTCGCTCCAAACGGATTTGTATTGTTATTTGACTGAGCTGAAGGAGTAGAGCCAAACAGGCTGCTCGAGGTGTTGCTCGGCTGTGACGCAGGAGTTGCGCCAAAAAGCCCGCTTGGCTGTGTGGTATTGGTAGATGTGGGATTTGAGCCGAACAAGCCACCGGCGGATTTGTTGTTGTTGTTGTTGTTCGTCGCAGAGCCGAACAAGTTACTCGACTGAGTGTTGCTTGAAGGCGTTGTGCTTGAGCCGAATATACCAGTGGTTGGTGTGTTGCTCGCCGGTGGCGCGTTATTTGCTTTCGGGGCGAAAATGCTGGGTGCTGTCGAACCTGTGGTGGAGCCAAACAACGTGGTGGATGGTGCTGAGCTTCCTGTCTGCGCTGAGGATGTGTTTGAGCTCCCGAATAGGCCCGATGACTGTGGTGCCGAGCTCGCCGCGCTTAAACTGGGGAAGTTGAACATGCCCTGTCCCGAGGGTTGGCTCTGCGCCTGCTGATTGCCGCTCTGGTTCGTCATATTCTGGAAGAGATTGGTGGTGGGCGGCTGACCAAAGGGAGTCGTGCTTGGTTGCGAGTTGTTGGGCTGTGTCTTGTTTGCTTGCGGCGTAGTGCTACCACCGAAGCTGAACTTCGGCGGCTCGCCTGACATCTCGGCGTCTTCCTCGTTGACTGTATCGTTCGGTGGCTCGTTGGCGGTGCTCTGCATAGAAGTACGTCAGTCGGCTTCGCTATAGCTTCTGTTTCTTTGGTGTATGTGGTTTGCCATTGTTGAAAGGACGAAGGGGTTTCGCGGGTGACTTTGGGCCGGCGCGGAGGCATGATTGAGGAAACGAGTACTGCTTGCGATAATGTATCGTGAAGATGGACGGAAACATACTTACAGTCTGGTCGTCCTTTTCAATGCTGGAGACGCGGAGCGACAATGATCGATGCTGCTATTGTCGAGAAAGTGGACTTTGCGGTAGTGTACGCGTTCGGAGGACGTGAAGCTCACTTTCACCCGCAAAGTAAGCTATTAAGACGTGGGACAGGCCTCGGACCCTCCCGCCCGTGCTCATGAGCCTCACACTAAACGTTACATCGCACAGACATGCGAGTCGTGTTAGTAAGCCCGACGGAGCACGACGTCTGTGAACTGTAGAAGGCATGGACCAAGCCTGAACACCATTGAGTGCAGTGAACGATGCTTCACAAGTTTGAAAAGGAAGCTCACGAGCCTTCGGGGTCGGTTTGATTGCAGGGTTATGTATGGAAACGATGGGGCCAATGAGTCCCATATCTTATCACTTCCTTGCCTCCTTTATATTGGCTTCCATCTTTCCAACCATCTCCCTCACCTTCGGATCAAAGTGCATCTTCAGTACCTCACCCTCCCAAATTGTAGCTGCGAACGGGTTGCTGCTTTCTACCTCCTCACTCAGCGCATCAAACACCCCGTCCCCTCTCCTCTCCTCCGTACACCACAAACTGGCCACTTTTCCGCAATGTACCTTTGTTATCTGCTGCAGCAACGCTAAGATTGCAGCTGCAGACTTGGCAGGGAGATGGAGGGCCGCAGTCATGAGCTGTTTCGTGTGTGCTGCAAGGCGGACTGGTGGGACGGATTTGGTTGCTGTCGGAGGTAGTAGGACGGATTGCAGAGACCGGAGAAGGAGTACGGTAGTTGTGGCGACGTTGACCTTGGCGCCTTGCGCCAATGGGGTGGCGAGGCCATTGGGGTCCTGCAGATGGGCCGTCTTCGCACTAAGTTCGATGTCCGGGTCCAGACCGATGGGTAGAATCGTGCGATATAGCTGTGTGATGAAGAAGTTCAGGTCTAGATGCAAGCTGCTCGCTGACTTTGCTACATCGAGCTGTCCTTGCAGAAGCGCGAAGGCAGTGATAATGCAAAGCAGTGTTTCTCGCTGAATGTTCCGCCGAGTTGCAGTATTAGCCAGCTCCTCGTTGTCGTCCTCCTCACCGGCTTCGAGCGATATACGAGCTTCCGTGATGAGGTCTCGTAGCACTTCTAGGATATCGCCGAAGAGATCTTGATTGATGAGATGGCTGTACTTCGCCAAGCCTTCCAGCACGGCACCCATCAGATGCTGCACCCTTGCCTTCAGAATGCGAAAGTAGGCCACAAACACCAACTTCAGCGTTTCGGCCTGATTCTTATCACGCTCCTCGTACGACACAACCGCATCGGCCTCCTTCATCTCCTTCTCCACCTGTTTGCGCTCCTTTACTAGCTTCCGCTCACGCTTCGTTCGAAACTCGCGGTCTTTCTTGCTTAGTTTCTTGGGCATCTGAGATGGCTCCTCATCCTTATCGACACCAGTCGTGGAAGCCTTGTGTATAAATTCCGATAACAACCGTAAGTGCAAGAACACATTTAGCACGCTTTCGTGGATGTGATAGTCCTTTCCCTTCATCATTTTAGTAAGCTGGCTGACCACCTCAAGTGATGCATGACCCTCTTCATCTTCCTGAAAAAGCTGTTCCAGAGCAGACAGACATCTGGGTGCCTCAGGTGCGAGTGTTCGCGAGCCGAGCTTCTGCACAATAACAGCAATCAGATCATTCCGGCAGTTGAAATGCGGTAAGCTCGTCAACAGCGTCGCTACACAGTTGATTGCCACACCGGATAAATGCTGGTTCCCGCACAGTTTCGATAGGACATGTACGTAGTCCTTGTAGCCCGCTAGTAGCGTCTGCTCAAACGTCCGTAACTGCTTGACGTCCTTTGAGACCTTTGCCTGCAAATCATCCTTACTCAACGGTCTTATGCGGTACCCAGGTACAATGTCCTTGAACACAGCAAGCTGCGTACCCATCGCTAACTTCGTGATTGTAACATTTTCGCTCTCCCCGATCTGTGCCAGTTGGCGTAGCTGCGCAATATTTTCTTCCGGACTTTCACTGATATGGCCTGCTATTCGCGCGAGATCCTCCTTCGCCAGCCGGATCTGCTCTTTGAGCGGTAATGCAGGCTTCTCGGAGATAGCAGGATGTTGTAGGTCTGCCACGCCGCTATCCTCATCGTCTCCGCTGGCTAACATGCTGTCCTCGTCATCTTGTGGACTCGCGTTACGAGCATGAGACTCATTCAGTCGCTCATGCTCTTCCCAGCCCTTCTCTGTCCGGACGAGCAGCTTGTCATTCTTACTCTTCTCCTTCTTCTGCCGCCGTTGTTGGTACTCCTGCTCTAAGTCCCATTTTGCGAAGCCCGGCACAGGACCATTACCCTCTTTGGACGGACTGAGTCGCCGCCGCTTACTGGCTGGTTCGACAGCCATGGCAGCTCGGCTATCCAAATGAAGGATTGCGCGGAAAAGTAGAGGGTTGGCAGCAGAAACGAAACTTTGGCCGCAGATCTCGAAATCTTGGCACGCTTTTTGCGGGGCAATTTTTCTGTGCCTTCTCGTTTCAGTCTCACTACCGTCACTAAATTCGAGCAAAGACGAGCATTTCTACCGGACTACGTTAGTGAGGAGTCAGCAACCGCAGTGGTCGAGCACATAAAGTAGCAACGATGCGTCCTCTCACCGACACGGAGACGAAAACATTATTCGAGAAGCTGGCCAACTATACCGGCCGCTCACTCAACAATCTACTTACAGACACTCTTCCAAATCCAAGTTCCAAGCAACCCGATCGCTACGTCTTCCGCATCCAGAACTCGCGCGTATACTACGTCCGGGAGGCTCTGGCCAACCTCGCCACCAGCGTTGCTCGGGACAACCTACTCTCGCTCGGCACATGTCTTGGCAAATTCACCAAGACCGGCAAGTTCAGACTGCACATCACTGCACTCGATGTGATCGCCCCGCATGCGAGGTACAAGGTGTGGGTGAAGCCTAATGGCGAGATGCCCTTTCTGTACGGCGGTCACGTTGTCAAGGCGCACGTGGGGCGGTGGAGCGAGGATTGTCCCGAGCATCAGGGTGTGATTGTGATGAGTATGAACGACACGCCGCTGGTATGTCGTCTGAACCGTTAGATGTCCAACAGTTGTATATGCTGATATTTGCAGGGTTTTGGGGTCACAGCCCGCTCAACAGCAGAAGCACGTAGACTGGATCCGACAGGTATTGTGACGTTTAGGCAGGCTGATGCCGGCGAGTACCTGCGTGAAGAAGACACCCTCTTCACCACCTGAGACGCAGACTGGGCGTCTGCTACTTCTTCTGAACAGGGACTTTGGCGACCGCACAAGTCCGTCATCTCCGATTGGGGCGCGCGAATATAGCTTAGTTGCTCGTGTTGAGCAAGCCACAAGGCACGAGAGCATGGCGAAGGCCGCATACTGACGTGTCCGGATTCTGCCAATCGCCAGAGGATGCCAGCATGCTGTACTGCTGCACATGGCAAGCGCAGCAATGACGGTCCGCTATTCCGGTTAAAGCGATGCATCTTTTAGCCGCATGCCGACACCCGTCATACCATGTCAGGGACAAGTACCGGTCACCCACCAGATACCCCGCCACAATCGCCGAAATACAGCTATCGACCACACATATACTGGACGCATTTTCGCCGCCCTTCTTAGAGCTTTCTTCTATTTGCTATCCACGCTTTGCCATCCATCATGCCCGTCTGGTGTCTCACTGGCGCCAACAGAGGCTTAGGCCTGGAGTTCGTCCGGCAGCTCTCGCAATCACACGACAACATCTTGCTAGCCTGTGTGCGATCAACCTCTTCCGACTTGACAGATCTGAACAAGGTGTATGAGCCTAACAAAGCGAACACCCACGTCCTGACTTGTGACACCGGCGACCTTTCTTCGATCAAGAATTTCGCCACAGAAGCGAAGAAAGTGCTCAATGGCAAGAAGATCGACTACCTTCTCAACAACGCTGGCATAAACAGTAAACCTGAACAGACCAGCCTTACCATTGGCCCAGAAGACCTTGATGAGCAGATCCGCGTCAACGTGCTCGGCCCGGCCAAGACTGTTGAGTATCTCATGGATGAATCGCTTCTTGCCCCAAACGCAAGGATCATGAACATGACCTCTGGGTTGGGCTCGGTGACCCGCTCATTACAGATTACGCCTCGCAAGTGCGCCACGTACAGCATCTCCAAGGCCGGCGTCAACTCATTGACCGCACAGCAAAGTGGCGACTTGAGAGAGAAATTGGGCAAGGAGTGTGTCGTGATATGTATGGATCCAGGTTGGGTGAAGACGAGAATGGGTGGCGAAGGCGCGATCCTGGAGCCGGAAGAGAGTATCGGTGGCATGCTAAAATGCATCAACGGCTTGAAGACGGAGGACAATGGAAAGTTCTATACCTACACCGGCGAGGAGGTGCCGTGGTAGACCTAGTATTAGATACATTTTCAACGTGCCTGGCGCAAGTCTTTGATTAGCTGTAACCCTCGAGCAGAACAGTGAAAAGCAGAGCGCTTCGAGACCATACCTCTTCGCATAGCATCTCCGCCTTGGAAACGTTACGCTTCCTAAACCTCGCAGACAGATGCTTCGTTCCATGCCTACTTAATTTGCCTGGAGCGTGCCGTTGGGGCCTACGGAGAGCTCACGAGAGCACCGTGCATCGCTGATATCACCTTCGCCTTCTGCCGAGAATGCCCTGTTTCGACGTCGACCAGGCTGTTGGCCCAATTGCGAACGCCGTTGCCTAGGTGAGGGTAAAAACGTCGCAACGGTTTCCGAATGTTGGCGACAGAGCTATGCTGTCGTAAAGGCGACTAGTGGCTGACGACCAGAACTTTCAGTATCTGGCTAATGGCGCCAGCAAAGCTGCCTTATGCCAGCAAGTCCACGGTTTGATCCAAGCCTATCATTGGAAGGGTGGGGACGACCTAAATGAGTCGCGGAGAAAGAGTGCGAAGCGGGTCATGAAGGTGGAAAGTCCTGCTAATCCAATTTTAACGGCTCTATCCTCTCCCTGGTAAAGCGCACCATGGGTCGCAGGCCGCTTAGGCGCTCTTCTTGATCGTTGCACAGGAACAGCTTAACCACAGGCCAAGCATGGATCCAGCCCTTCTCCTCAAGCACTTCGACCTGAGCGCCGGTTTCCCTCAGCAACTTCACCATCTCCTTAGCAACAGGTGCGAAGACTTCTTCTGCGCCATAAACGAAGAACCAGCCGAGTGTTGGGCTCGCCCTCCGCCACCGCGCCACGTCCTTACAATGGCCTGGTGACACCAAGGGATCCTCTGGCGACGCTTTGGTACCAATATATTGGCTGCCGTAAAGCTGCAGACTGTCCTCGTCCAGGTAGTCGGACGGAGTGTTCTTATTCTTCGAGCTGATGATGGCGGCCCAAGGGCTGATTGGGATTGCGATACCAGGCAGCTTGTTCCGCATCCCCGCGAAGTCGGACAAGCAAAGCAGCAGGCTCAGTATCAAGGTAGCTCCGGCTGAATCACCACTAACGCATACTCTCTTCGGGTCATCGCTAGCCATGTACAAGCAATACTTGTAGCCTGCAAGCGTCTGTTGCACCTGCGTCGGATACGTCTTCTCTGGCACCAGAGTGTACTCCAAAGCGAACAGTGCTGGGTTGCTGTAACCGGCCTCTTTCAATAAAGTGACCCAAGCGAGTAGGAACTCCATGTAGAAGTACGACGAGCCCATACTGAAGCCGCCGCCATGGCAATAGTACACTACCACATCAGGTCGACGAGTTTCATCGTCTATTATGTAAATGCCTTGGAAATTGTTACGCTTGACCTCACGCCAGTAGATGGGACACTTCCAGATCCCGTGGCGAAGCATTCGGAAGCGCATGAACGGTAGGGCCACATTCTTGGAAAAGAACACCTTGCCGATTATGGCTGGTATGTTCGCGAACGCATATCGGACGCATCGGATGACGACATCCTGAAACAGAGTTGCGTGTTGTACAAAGGGTGATTGCTGGTCCTTCTGTGTGAAATAGCGTTCCTTCACAAGCTGAAACGGCAACACAAAGACTTACAGCGCGTCAGCTTCGGACTACGCCACGCCATTAGTGTTACTCAGATACACATACGAAGGTGCGGCAATGCCTTGGAAGCGCATATTGCGGTGTCAAGTACGCCAACATGGAGTAGGAGTTGCGGCGCGAGCAGTATTAGGAATACAAAGCAGTCCACCCAAGCGATCTGATCAAGGATCATGGTAGCGACAGAAAGGAACGTAAGATCGACAATGCTGGTAAAAAACAGATGTAGACAGTCGGAAGATATGGATGGAAGTACAACCGACTTCTCCACTGCCCAGCAATGACTGGACGATCTTTAGTAGAAACAGATCAGATTGATGATGAGGTTCAACGACCGCCTTGATGCGGCGAAGGCACCTTAAGGCAAAGCGATGCGCTAGTGACGCACGTGACGTTGGTATCTCGGCAAAGCTTCCGCGCTTTCGAGCAAACCGACAATCTTTCGCGAGACTGAGTAAGGCACGCGACACTCAACCACTACCACCTTCAAATCCTCCGTCAGACCATATCGCATCCTCGCAGAGCTTTATTCTCCCAAATCCTCTCAGTACTTTGATACGCGGCCCGAACGACATCATCCTCCTCCCACCAACTCTGTGTTATGGGCGGAGACCACCTATAGCAAGGGCGTCTCAGGCATCCGCAACGCACCCTTCGACATGGCGCTACTCGATGCTACCGCAATTGAGGTGGCGAGGTAAGGTCCGGCATGGGTGTGTTTTCCGCACCTATACTAAAAGGACTCTTCCAGGTCGCTCACGATCGAGTCGATCCCGCCAAAGCTACGCTGCGGTGTCTGCAACAAGCTTGCAATAGATGCCGTAAAGCTGCCGTGCTGCGACACATCACTGTGTTTGACCTGTAAGTCAAATTTGTCACGATGTTAGCCTCACGCGCCTGCTAATCCTCCAAATCAGGCTCCCGCGACTTGGGCGAGACGTGTCCGATCTGCACCCATTCTCCAATAACACCCGATGACTGCACGCCAGTGAAGAATCTACGTACGACTATCAACGCGTACATCAAGACCGAGCAGAAGAAGCGGAGCAAGCTTGCTGGCGTGCCTTCTACACCAGCCGTGAATGAAGCGGCAGTTCCCGCCCTGGCTCCGGCGGCGGACCTCATTTCACAGGAAACTGCCGCTACCGAGGATGCTGTCAAGGAGCAAACACCGCTTGTAGAGCCTACTAACAGCGCTCAGAGCGATGATGCTGTTGTGGAGGAGGTGAGACTCCTTCTGGATTCCGCACTTCCGTGATGCTAACTGATGACAGACCGGTGGTCAACTCGAAGCCACCAATGGCAATGACGCGCAAGACGATAATGACGAAGCAGAGGACTACGAGGACGAGGATGACATGGTGAAGATTATAACACACAAGGAGGAGACTGACAATGCGGCACAACCACCCAAGTACGAGCACCAGAACAACGAGGCAGCCGCCACCGAAGAGCAGCAACAAGGATACGACGGTGTGGACCAAGCTGGTGCGGATCAACATCAAGGATACGGAGACTTCGCTCAGCATAATCAGCAAAACGGCTTCGGTAATGGAGGGGCCATGGACTTCAGCAATATGAGTGCGGGATTCAACCCGATGATGGCGGGCATGAATATGAGTGGATTCGGCGGCATGGGTATGCCGAACATGATGGGTAAGTCTCCTTCCAATTTTCTTCCACGCCGCTCTCGGCGTTCCGTATCTCATCGCGACGGGCTAAGGCGTCGACGGGTAGGCATGCCGGGCATGATGGATCCTTCGATGATGTTCGGTGCTGGTGGGTTCGGTGGTATGGGCGACATGAGCATGATGGGCATGAACATGGGTGGGCCGATGGGCATGGCCGGCTTTGGTGGAATGATGAATGGTGGCGGATTTGGTGGGCCTGGCAACTTCAACGGACCGCATGGTTATAATAACCAAAACTTCGGACCTCACATCAACCAACAGCAGTTTCGTAATGATCGTGGTTTCGGTGGCCGCCCATACGGTCGCGGCTATAACCGCGGCCGTGGCTACAACCAGTATAATCGCGGGCGCGGTGGGTATGGGTACCAGAACTTCAATCAACAGAACAACAACTTCGGTCGCAACCAAGGATACGCGAACCAAGCGCCACAGCAATATGCCGAAGAAGAATCGGCTGAGCCTCCAAGACCGTCTGGCCGCCGCCCTTCGCCCAGCTATGCGCCGATGAACGGCGCCGGACCAAGCGACAGACAGACATCACGTGATGCCCAAACTCACGACCCAGAGACCGTTGATGACACTAACCCCGCAGAATCTGCTAACATCGCAGCTATCAATGACGACTCAAAGGATGCCGTGGCAAGTATTGAGGAGCATGCCGCCGGCGAAATTGTAGATCAGGGAGATGGTAAGTACAACCGGAGCTTCTCCTCTTTACGAGGCATAGCTGAACCTATCACCAGATCCGGCAAACCAGGACGAAGTGGACTTGCAAAACATCAATCAAACTAGTGCTATCAACGAAGACCAGGAAGGCCAAGCCACTGCGCAAGGTGCCGATACGACTGCATTCGATGCCCAAGACGCCTTGGATCAAGAGCCACAACCGTACAATGATGTGCAAGCACATAATCTTGCACCACGCGGCCGCGGTGGCTTCCGTGGCGGTAGAGGTAACTTCGTGTCAGGCCGCGGCGCCTATGGCCCAAATGGCATGCAAAGTGATGCCACCGACCTTACACCAACGCCAGCACCACCGATCAACGCACCGTCTGGTCCCAAGGCAATGCGCGAGGGCAAGCCTAATACCGGGTGGTACAGCCGTATCCAGCCGACTCCACCCGTCCAGCCTCGCGCACCACCACCAGCCACTCCGACACCGCGCCCGGACGACAGTCGGTCAGTGGTAACTGATCGCGAAGGACGTGACCACGATCGCGATCACGATGATGGTGCGAGGTCGGACTCCCGTCATCGCTCTCGGAAGCGTCATCACCGTGACGAAGAGGATGGCTACGAGAGTGAAGAATCCCGTCGCTACCGCAAGGAGAAGGAGCGAAAACACCGCGATAGGAAGGACAGGTCTAGCAAATACGACGAAGAAGACGACGACCGTTCAAGTCGCAAGAACCGCTCACGCGAAGAATCTCGAGATGCGGATCATGATCGTCGTGGGTCACGCTCGCACCGTGAGCGCAGCAAGGAGAGGCGCAAGCACCGTCGCCGTTCCCGCTCACCAGATCGCGAGAGCAACGTCGACGGCGAGGAGAAGTCTAGGCGCAAAAGCAAGTCGGATCGCAAATACGACGATGACTATAGCCGTGGCAAAGACCGCAGCAAGCGCCATCGTGACGACAAGTATGAAGACGACGATCGCTCGCACCGCCATCGCCGCACTTCCCGCGACGATGGCAAGGAGCGTGATCGTGCCGGCGAGCGTGAGGTAGTGAAGCCAGCCATCGAGCCAGAATCTGACGATGTCGGCTTCAGAATTAAGGGCAGCAAGTCCGCCGCCATCAACCCGGGTGGTATGGGTCCACCACTGCGCCGTCCGTCGGACCGCCATGAGCGCCGCTCCAGCATGGCCGAGTCCGCACCTCAGACTCCATCCACCCCGACTAGCACGAACGTCTACGACGAGGAGCGCAAGCGCCGTCAAGCCGATCGCGTTGCGAAAGAGCAGCAGCGTCGTCAGTCTACTACTCTTGGCAAGCGAATGTCGAGGGACGAAGAGGAGGTGGAGGGGCAGGCGCCTACGGAGCCGAAGACGGATACGGGGAGGAAAAAGAGTAAGAAGGAGAGGCGTGTGAGCGTGCGGTATGAGGATGAGCTGGAGATGGGTGGAGGGGGTGGGCGTTGGAGGTAGGGACATAGGAATGGAGCAGGAGATAGCAGGTGTGACTGCCATGGAAACACATGGATCTTTGCGTGAACTGATTGTTTAAGCTGATGGAGGAGAAGAGGGAAAGGGCCCGATGCTGGCTCGAGGAGCCTTTCCAATGCAGTGCAGCCATCGGGAGCTCACGCCGGCGGAGAGGAAGGGCAGGGCGCGCGCTCTTAGAGCGCCTCAAACGCAATGCAGCAATCGAGCAATGGTGAGCTCAAACCCCCAGATGGAACCGGCACGTTCCTCGCTCTCAGAGCGCCTTCAACCCAATGCAGCAATAATAGCAAGCTATCGCGGCTCTTGTCGCTGCTGCCCAACTCCACTCAGCGTTTGCAGCCAGTGCGAAGGCATTGAGCACCTGGGTGTTACCCACCATTGCTCTCTCGGCGTAGCTACTAGCTGGTCTGTCAACGAACGCAATGGACAAAGACTCTACACCATTCGTCTGAACAAAGAAGTGATGGTGCGCTTCGCTAATCGAGACCATCGCCGCGAGTGAAGCACAACAAAGCCTGTGTGTGAAAGCCCACACGCACAATAGCCTTGACGAAACCTCGCCCACAATGTCCTTGTGCGCACACCGTGAAGCGGTGATGGTGTCGCCATTAAGTAGAACTCCGCACACGACGTCCAAGATGATTCCAGATCTCGTTGGATACCGCTCTCGCCTCGAAGGACACCGTACTGGAACCGTTGTTACATCGTGTGATGAAATCTGCCAGCCCATCGGACATCGTGTTAACCAGGGAAAGTGTCCTCGACCTAATGCGAGTCGGAGCACCAGTGCCAGTGCCAGGCCCAATTGAAATCGCCGTGTCCCTCCCACCAACAACAACATCCTTCTCAACCAAACGGCCCACAGGAGTCACGAACTCCCTCCCCGACCGAGCCAACTTCGCCATGAGAAGCCACAACACCCCCCGACCCTCCTTCGAAACCTTGACGAGCGAGTACTCCGTCGCGACGATGCAAGCGATCAATCGCGAGGAGCGTCCGTACCATCTTAGCGAGGATATCGCGGCGTTACGGGTTCTGCGGGAGACGGCGGAGCGGCGGCAGCAGCAGCAGGGGCCAAAGATGTCCCTCTCTACCCAAGGAGGAACGTCGTCGTCGTCAGCTCGTGTGCCGTTCCGGAGTGAGAGCGTGAGTGTGAGACACCATCCCGGTGCGGAGAGGAAGATGTCGCTGACGACTGGTGCTTCGACGACAGGCAGTCAGCAGCAGGGGTGGCGGGCGGATGTGCTCGACGCCATCTGCGTGACGCCGTCGGATGCTCGGAACCGGCAGAGAGCGCTACGGGCGTTGGATGGGCGGTCGCGGAGCAGTCGGGGTACGGCGAGAGCTCAGCAGCACCCGACTCGGAGTAGCAGTCAACGTACGCAGCGACGTGGGAGCGTGGGGCCTCCTCCTTTGCCTGCGGCGCCGAAGGATTACGAGCTGATTCGATCGCAGGCTCTTCGTGAGACGCAGCAGGAGCGGGCAGAGGCTGCAGCGGCGACAGCGGCGTACAACCCGTATGTCGGTAACATCGCGGTCGTACGTTCGACTCCCCCTGCTTCCTCGTCCGCCGGAGGTGCTCACCAGAGAAGGCCATCCATCAGCAGATGCGTATCCGACAGTTTCAAGAAGATGGGTCGTCGTCTAAGCGATGCCGTACGTCGGCCTTCCCCTGCAGAGACGCTAGACGTCAAGCACGTCCAGGGCAGCGCGTGCTACGACGCGCGGAGTGATCCGCCGAAATCCTTCCATAACCTCATCTCGCTTGAAGAAGCGCAGAGGAAGTTTGGCGCGGGCGCGAGCGCGATGGGGGTAGATCAGCGCTTGTACTCGCAACCGGCCCTGTCTCGCAGCTCTGGTGATCGCTACCCAAATGCACTGCCACGCAGAGGAAAGTCGTTGAGGCATGAGAAGAGGTCGGTTGCTCCGGTACAAGCGCAGCCGCAAGCGAAGCGGGAGGAAGTCGGTGCCCCGACTCGGCGATTGGAGCGGGATACGACTTTCAGTGGTATGATCGATGCTGCGACCAGGCGCGAGTCGCAGTGGAAGCCGGCTGGATCGAAGGCCCGACCGCCGTCTTGGGAGGAGACGGATACGATCACCGTGGGGTATTCGCCCACGTGGCCGGGTGTGGAGTACCTCGACGCGTCGGAGGCGAGCCTGCTGTCGGTCGATTCAGCTGTCGACAACGAACCGATCAGACGCAAGTCAGTACTCAGAGCTGATTCAGGTGTCATGAAGGATTTGCCTCTGCTGCCCAGCACGACGTATGCGTCGCCCCAAACGGTGAAGTATGGCAAGATGCCAACGTACGCCTACGAAGCCTTCGACAATAACGACCAAAGTGAAAGCTGCTCCATCTCCGACCTCGCCACCCAAATGCGCAACTCCAACCTCACCACCTCGCAAATCCACGACGCCTACGCCGAAGTGCATCGCCTGCACGAGCGTCTGGACCAACCGGCAGCAGCATCTGCACCAGTTCCAGGAGCATGGGACGGAATGGACAGCATGGAAGACATCCACCCCCGCACCATCATCGACACCGTACCGAGAGACGGACACACGAGCTGGATGGTGACGGATCGGAGTGGGAAGGATGCGATTCAGTCGTGGCATGCGCGGGTGCCGGATCGTGATCCTGCGGCGGCGTTGATGAGAAGGCTGGAGCAGGAGAGGAGTGGGTTGGTGCTGTCGGGGCAGGGTTCGGGGAGGGTGGCTAGGCGGTCCTCAATACGACGGGCACCGAGTGAGCGTGGGCGTCAAGGGTGGTTGTAGCGAAGAATGATGCGCATTGAACCGGAACGTTTCGCAGCTTGGCGTTCTGTGCTTAGGATTTGACTACTACTTGGGAGGTGATGTGTAGGAGTACCAGTAAATGAATCAATATCATGCCTACCATACCCATATACGCGCCGCCACCATTACCGTGCAGATACATTCCTCTACACATCAGCCAAGTCATACCATCCGTATTCACAACTGCTACTACCATATGAGAAGTGTTGAGAGAGGGTTTATGTGGTAACTGCTGCCCGCTTCTTTACTCTATGGAAGGTTATTGTTAATGCAGGGTTCACCGGCTTGGCGTTCTCGTGTCCGTGAGAATTGCTGATAGTCGGGCAGAAGCTTCGGCGCGATTATGGTGAAACAGCATCGGACTTTCCCCTTCCGCACCTTAGCGTCACGCCTCCCCTGCGCCTCTCCCACTTGACGTTCGCTTAACGGCCGATCAGTCAGCGGCCGCAGCTACAGTCCTGTACTTGCTCCACCCACCACCCACCACCCGACCACTCACTTCTCCCACCTTGTCTCTCGTCTGTTTCGTCAGGTGATTAGGACTTGAGTACTACACCCGCGCGTGTTCTATTCTTCGCATACGCCCGGCCGATTACTGGCGACCTGGTAACAACACGACGAGGTCGGCCAATTACGTTCGCTATCGCAGGGATTCGGGTGGGAAAGACGAAGGAGTTGAGGGGAGGATTGGGTGGTGTTACGAGGCTGCGTCAGCTTCCCAACGTGAGAGCTTCGTCGGAGGCTACAGCTGTCAGCACGCGATTACTCTTGTGCGACGACTTTAGCGATAACTGTATTCGATTCGAGGTCGTGGTACTTCGTAACGACGCTTTCCTTGCTGCATACGCTCCGCCAAAAGGGAAGGCACGCGAGGTTGCTCTGGCTCGACTGTCCACTCCACATGGCGGCCGAGTACCGGATTGGGCGGGCGAGCCTCCGGACGTGTCTTCTGCTGTGTCTACCACTCGCTCATGCTTTCTACATCCCCGGCTGGTCGATCAAGTCATACGCCAACGGCGAACCAATCCCACTGTTCGTGAACAAAGTGTACAGCGACAACACCCAAATACAATATGCATACTCGGAGCTGCCCTTTGTATGTCCGCCGTCAGGACGGTCGCGACCGGGTACCGGTTTGATATCCGGCTCGAATGTCGCATTGAATCTGGGAGAGGTGCTGCGCGGAGACCGGATCATGGTGTCAGATTACGAGTTGGAGATGAACAATGACGACGAGGTGCACTACCTCTGCTCGCAAAAGGTGGATGAGGCAGGCTTGAAGAAGGCGATTGAGGTGGTCAAGCATGGCTACGTCGCCGAGTGGATTGTCGACAACCTGCCGGGCGCGACGAGCTTCGTTACCGTGGACAAGAGCCGGAAGTACTACGCTTCGGGCTTCAAGATGGGCTATGAGGAGACCTCGCTTACCACGGGACAGTCCAAGTACTTTCTCAACAACCACGTCACGCTCATGATTCGGTATCATCGCGCGCCGGGCAAGGACGGACAGCGTGGCAGGAAGGTGATTGTGGGGTTTGAGGTCTACCCCAAGTCGATCGAGGCGGAGAACCGCGATGCAAACGGTATTCCCGCCGACCTGCACAACCCACGAAATGGACTGGAGCTCACCATGTTCCGGAATGCTACCAACAGCACGCTAGGACTCTCCTCAGCTGTCGTTGCGTTGGATACGGAGATCGAGCAGTCCACCTTGACCATCCCATACACGTACAGCGTGTATTGGCGCGAAGAGGATAAGCTCGGATGGGGCAATCGGTGGGACCTCTACTTCGTCGACCAGGAAGACAGCACCAAGATCCACTGGCTCGCCATTGTCAACTCGCTCGTCATCTCCGGCTTACTAACAGCAGTCGTCACTGTCATTCTTGCTCGCACCATCCGTGGCGACATCAAAGGCCACAAGGACGGCATTCTCGAAGACGGCAAGATCAAACTCAGCAAGCGCTCCAAAGGCTCGCGCAAAAACAGCAGCGAGAAACTCCCCGGCCTCCTCGATCAACTCGACAACGACACCACCCTACCCGCCGCCGCCGCCTCCTCAGACATCGACTCCGACGACGATATCCCCGAAGACATCACCGGCTGGAAACTGGTCCACGGCGACGTCTTCCGCCCCCCACCCTACGGCCACTACCTCGCCCCGCTCATCGGCTCCGGCACCCAACTCCTCCTCATGTCCCTCGGCCTCATCACCCTCTCCTGCCTCGGCCTCCTCAACCCCTCCTACCGCGGCGGCTTCATCACCGTCGGCATCATCCTCTTCCTCCTCGCCGGCGCCCTCTCCGGCCACTTCTCCGCGCGCATCTACCGCACCTTCGGCGGCACGAACTGGAAGCACAACGCCATCCTCACCGCCACCCTCTTCCCGGGCCTCTTCTTCGCCACCATCTTCCTCCTGAACCTCTTCGTCTGGGCCCAGGCCTCCTCCACCGCCATCCCCTTCGGCACCCTCCTCGCCCTCCTCGCCCTCTGGCTCCTCATCCAACTCCCCCTCGTCTACATCGGCTCCTGGCACGGCTACCTTCGCTCGGGACCCTACCCGCACCCCATCAGCGCCACCGCCCTCCCGCGCCAAATCCCGCACCCCCAACCCTGGTACACCCGGCCCCTCCCCTCCGTCGCCCTCGCCGGCAGCATCCCCTTCGCCATCCTCTTCATCGAACTCCTCTTCGTCTTCAAATCCCTCTGGCAGGACAAGAGCGGGTATTACTACCTCTTCGGCTACCTCGCCGTCATCACCACCATCACCCTCGTATCCGTCATGCAAACCACCGTCATCGCGGTGTACATCCTCCTCTGCCATGAAAACTACCACTGGTGGTGGCGCAGTTTCGCGGTCGGCGCGTCGAGTGGCGCGTGGGTGTTTGCGTATTGTGGGTATTATTTCGTGCATCATCTCCGGGTGGTGGGGTGGGGGTCCGGAGTGTTGTTCTTCGCGTATAGTGCGCTCGCGTGTCTGGTGTATGCGTTGTTGATGGGGACGGTGGGGTTTTTGACGGGGTATGCGTTTGTCCGGCGGATTTATGGGGCGGTCAAGGTGGATTGAAGAAGATTGAACGGGGTGGAAGTATGGTTCGGACGCATAGATTGCGCTGCAATTGCCGGCACCGACAGGGCTCTGTACCGCATACGTCGAGGCACGCAGAGATTGACGGAAAACGGTGGCGCATCGTTCTGCTTTGAGCGAGCGGTATAATCCTCATGAAGGATTGACGGGGTGTGAGCTGGGCCGAGATCTTACCCGATATAGGCGTTGTTGGGGGCCCTGATCCGAAAGGCATATCACTATCGCATCGACATGGCATAGCGAGGAGACAGGCCGTGGTCGGATCCAACACTTTATTACAACGTTTTTGAGAAGAGGAGCAGTGGATTGAAGGCATGGCTTGCTTGCCGGACTTTGAGCGTTATCGCCAATCAGCGGGCTGCTGCTGCTCTTGTGAGAGTAAGCCCGACTTAGCTTTGTATGGCGCTTTGGCGTTTATGAATGGGTGGATTGCGATAGATGAGCGAAGGGCCCGCCGTAGCGCACAGACGGGCCTTGGGCTGGACTCGGGACTCGGGCGCTCGTGTTATATAGACGTACACTTAATGAAGAACCTTTCGCGATGCAAACTCACCGTTGTCGACACCGACATGCATTCAAGTCAACGTGACACGATGGAGTAGTTTCTGAACAACCTTCCCTCCTACCGAAATCTGCTAGATTTACGAGGTCAGGCTGCTGCTGCTGCTACTGCTACTGCTGCTACTCCCAGCCCGCCAAATCCGCTTAATGCCCTCCGTCAACCCGACATCATTCGTCTCGAATTCGTAGTAACCCCATCCGACGACGAAGACGGCGAGCACGTTGCCCCATTCCAGGATGCGGCGGGTGATGGGGACGCGCCATTTGGGGAGGTAGTCGGTTATGATGGACCTATATCACATATCAGATGAATGATGGATCATGGATGTATGGAGTTATGCGAGGGAGGGCGGGGGAGGGTTTAGAGGCATACTCAAACCCAATGTAACTGTGAACGATGATCATGCCGATCAAGGCGCCGTCCAGCACCGGGCTGAGCGAGCCGGCGGCGAAGGGGGCGAGGGTTATGGGGATTAGACCGGCGGAGAGTATCCTACGAGATAACACTCTTCGTCAGCAAAGACTATCCAGTAGGTTGTCCGTGTCGGTGATGGTTGGTTACCTCTCAAACGTCCAATGATAGCTCCCATGCGTCGGATCGGCATCCCTCACGGTAACCGGGTCGTTGACGGTCCCCCTGATCACTTGGGGTAGGGCGGGGAGGATGGCTCGTTTGGTGGAGGTCTGGAAGGTTGCTCGTTGGAGGGCGAGTGGTGATCGTTGTGCGAGGTGGTGCGCTCTGAAGGCGGGGAGGGCGGAGGTGGTGAGGGCGCGGGTGGAGGCGGGTGCGCCCAGGGCGTGGCGGAGGATGGCGGGGCGGAGTGCGGAGGCCATTGTTATGAAACCTTAGTGCAGAGAGAGTTGTAGATGGTGGTGGTGGTGGTGATGCTCTGCTCTGCTTGATGCTTGCCGGATCCCGCCGTCCTCGGCTCGTTTGCGAAGCGTGCCATTGGTTGAAGCGGAAGTAGCCGCCAGTGCTTTCGAGCTCTTCTCTCGCGGAAACATCCATCGAGACGAGTAGTGTGATATACGCTCTGTTGTCCCTCTCCTCCTCCTCCTCCCCTCTTCAGCAGCACAGCCGGTGATGGCATCACGAAGGATCGCGGCGAGTCTGCATCAAGGCTTGCGCGCACAACGGGCCATCAATGCTGTACGGTCGAAGCCAGGCCTCATCCGAAGCCTGGCGACTCCTGTCAGCAGCCATGGCAGCACCACCGAGAGCACCACCTTGAGCAATGGCTTCACTGTATGCCACCGCCACCACCATCATCACCCACTCCCGGGCGGGGAGTACATCCACATACACATACTAATGGGGTATATGACAGATTGCAACGGAACACTCCCCCTACGCCCAGACGAGCACCGTCGGGGTCTGGATCGACGCAGGCTCGCGCGCTGAGACGGACCGCACCAATGGCACCGCCCACTTCCTCGAACATCTCGCCTTCAAGGGCACGCAGAAGCGCTCACAATCGCAGCTCGAGCTGGAAATTGAGAACATGGGCGGGCACCTGAACGCCTACACTTCCCGCGAAAACACCGTCTACTACGCCAAAGCCTTCAACTCCGACGTCCCCGCCACCGTCGACATCCTCGCCGACATCCTCCAAAACAGCAAGCTCGAGGCCTCCGCCATCGAGCGGGAGCGCGACGTCATCCTGCGCGAGCAGGAAGAGGTCGACAAGCAGCTGGAGGAAGTCGTCTTCGACCACCTCCACGCCACCGCCTTCCAGAACCAACCCCTCGGCCGCACCATCCTCGGACCGAAAGAGAACATTCAATCCATCTCCCGCGATGACCTGGTCTCCTACATCAAAACCAACTACACCGCCGACCGCATGGTCCTCGTCGGCTCGGGCGGCATCCCGCACTCGCAACTCGTCGACCTCGCCGAGAAATACTTTGCCTCCATGCCCGCGCACAACCCCAATCAACAACCCTCCGCCTCCCTGCGCGGGCTCGAAGTCACCCCCGACTTCGTCGGCTCCGAAGTCCGCATCCGCGACGACACCCTCCCCACCGCCAACATCGCCATCGCGGTCGAGGGCGTGAGCTGGAAGGACGACGATTACTTCACCGCCCTCGTCACGCAAGCCATCGTCGGCAACTGGGACCGCGCCATGGGCAATTCCCCTTACTTGGGCAGCAAACTCAGCACCTTCATCCACGAGCACAAACTCGCCAACAGCTTCATGTCCTTCTCCACCTCGTACTCCGACACGGGCTTGTGGGGTATTTACATGGTCACCGAAGCCTTCACGCGGATTGACGACCTCGTCCACTTCACCCTCCGCGAGTGGAGTCGTCTCTCCTTCCAAGTCAGCGAGGCCGAAACCGAGCGCGCCAAGGCACAGCTCAAGGCTTCGATCCTGCTGTCGTTGGATGGCACAACGGCGATTGCGGAGGACATCGGTCGACAGATCATCACGACGGGCCGACGACTGACTCCCGAAGAAGTGGAGAAGCAGGTCGATGCTGTCACGGCGGGCGACGTGAAGAGTTTTGCGCAGAGGAAGTTGTGGGATCGCGATATCGCTATCAGTGCGGTCGGGCAGATTGAAGGGTTGTTGGATTATGCGCGGATTCGGGGGGATATGGCTAGGATGTTGTCGTAGGAGAAGAGAAACAAGGGGAATGTGGGGGTAGGTGTGATTCGTTGATGGAGGAGGTGGAGGCAGAGGAAGTGGAGGGGTCCAAATCCGTGTCATAGAAAAGCTCACTCCTGCTCTGCGCCCCTCCGGGAGCGGATGTAGAACGGTAGGAGTTGGTAGTGAGGAGTAACTGTACATTTAGCGTCCGCCTCCCTCACCCACCCCACCCCACCCTTCACCTCCAGCCATTACCTTTGTACCTTCGCGTGTTTACACCCTCGCCTCCTACACCTTCGCCTTCCGCTGCCCCTGCCCCTGCTGCGACTGCATACTCAACCCTTCAAAAACCTTCGGACTAGCTCCCCCCATCGCATCCCTCCACTCCATCCCCGGATCCCCCCTCTCCATCGCCCGCACGTACCCCTCCCTGCCCCCAATTCGGCGCAAATACCCCAGTATCCCCTCAAACCCACTCAAATCCACCGGTCCAAACCTCCGGATCGTCGTCAAAGAAAACACAATCATCACATCTGCCGCCGTGAACTTGCTCCCCACAATCCACGCCCCGGTTTTCTGGAGTTGTGCGTCGACGAAGGAGAGGTTGGAGTACATTTTCGCTTTGACCCGGGCGACGGTCGGGTCGTTGTTCTCGTCTGCGTGGGCCCAGAGGAGGGTGAGGTAGCGGCCGATGGAGGGCTGGAGGGTGCCGTTGGGGAAGTGCAGCCAGTAGACGTATTCTGCGTAGTCCTTCTCGCCCGGTTTGATGACGAGGTTGGGGCTGGTGGGGTGGAGTTGGGTGGTGAGGATGTATTCGACGATTGCGCCGCTTTCGGCTAGAGTGAGGGTGGGGGTGTTGTTGGGGAGGGAGGAGTCGGTGATTGTGATGACCGGTGCTGCGCCGATGGGGTGGAGGGCTTTGTATTCGGGTCCTGCGAGGAGGGGCCTGCGGGGGTAGAGTTTGAGGTCGTAGGGGAGGTGGAGTTCTTCGCAGAGGAAGAGGATGCGTTCGGATTGGGAGACTTGGAGGTGGTGGATTGTTAGGGGCATGGTGGGTGAGTGTTCTGGAAGTTCGAGGGTGGTCGGCAATTGCACGGGTGGCGATGAGGCAATGGTGGAGGTGAGGATGAGAAAGATGAGAGACGCAGAGGAGCTATGAGATTATATTGTACTTGACCTTGAGAGCGGGGAGGTTATAACGATATGCGCATTTGGTTCGTGAGAGTCTGTCGAGCATTTGTTATGGTTACAGCAGCCATGGAAGTGGATGTGTGGTTCGCCGAGGTGCATTGAGAAGCTTCTCCGCAGCTTGTCCGGGGTTAAGCAGAACTTACATCTGGTCAAGTGCAATAACCTCCCATCGGCGCAGAAACTGTGAAGGAAAGCAAGCCATGGGAAGTATCGGTCTTACTCACTATCCGTGTCCTCATCACCCGTTTCATCCGGCTCACCCTCACCCTCCACCAACGGTACGAGGCGAAAGTCCACGAACGCCACAGCGCCCGAGCCAGCATCGACTTCAACCAGGAACTGCATACTCAGTACACCCTCCGAATCCAGTCGCAGCGACACCTTCGTCGCAGCACTCATGGCTCGTTGTGCAGCCTTGATGCTCGCAAATCGGAAGCTCGCGCTTGTCTTGTTCGGGCAGTAGAAAGTCTCCAAAACCGGCGTCTCGGACGGTGTGATTGTTGTGAAATCCACATTGGCTGACCCGAACGGCCCAGTCGCCGAAAGCGAGATATTGGCACCGAGACGCGAGGGTGGGGCTGCAATAATGTTGATGACCGTGGGGTTCATGGAGCTGAGCTCGGACAGCGCGTCCAGCAGGTAGCTCGAGCGCATGATAGTCTTCAGAGCCAAGTCGTCGCGGTTGAATGGTATTTCTTCAGTGCTGTCTGCTTCGTAAGTTGTAAGGTCGCACGTGGTAGTAACGCCTGACTCCGACATGTGGATGCTGAGTGGACTGCCTTCGCCGTCGTAGGCGAACCTGCAGACGCCGGTGACTCCCATCGCATGGTTGGAAAAAGCGTTGATGCCTGAATGTCTGTTTAAGCGGTGTGCGGCGAAATCGTCGTAACCGCCAGGCTTTTTGCTTGCATTGGGATCGGACAGGCCGAAGATGTTGAGGGTTTCGAGGAGGGCAACCATGTTGATCTCGAAGATGGGCGGCGGTGGTGGGTCATCTTGAGATGATGGTGGTGGTGGCGCATTGTAAGTGTAGGATGTGAAGAGTGCTCTCTCGAGGAAGACAAAGGCTTCCATAGCACTGCCTTCATCACAGCTGAAGCGTAGGCCTTCGGCTGAGACTCGGACAAGTGCTTTCTTAGCGAAAGAGATGCAGCGGAGTAAAAGCAATAGCTGACGTGCCGAAGATGAAACGGCGGAGAAGAGGGGAGGGGTCGGTGCCATTGCGGTGTGGAATCAGGCTTGAACCGCCTGGAGTAGATGGTATGTAAGATTATGGACAATGAAGAAGGCTGCCACACCACAGCTCAAGATGACGAGAGTCGAAGTGACCGGGTGGAAGGTTCGGTAGCGCTGGCGTTTGACCATGCTTTGCGGAAGGCTGCACTGCGAGGTGCCGAGTCGCTGTCGTAAGGAGCTGTCTGGGATGCGCGTGAAGCCGCCAATAGCACTCATACGTAGACGCCGACGGCACAGATCATATATACCGCACCGAAGCTGCTCAAAGTCAGCAATCGCACACCGTGCTGGTGATGCTTTAGTTTACCCAAAAGCCAGAGATGCAGGAAGGCCATAGATTGCAACGTTCTTCAAGGAGTTGTCTGGGCAATGTGAGTTCACACATTCGCCACAACCTTATGTATTGCGGCACTTACTGAGGCCAAACAGCCCGCTGAAGACGAGGGCAGTGAATAAAAGCACGAAGCCGACAGTAAACTGCGTGTTCTTGCCGATGGTGGGCTGGAAAGGCTGGCTTGCGGAAGCCTCCCACAGGTCAAGGAGTGGCGATGCAGACATCGATTGGTGGTGGAACAGGTGAGTGGATGCTGGCTAGAAGGCGAAGTTCACCGTGAGGACGGAGGTGGACAGCTGGAAGTCGGTCGGTTGCATGACTCGCGCGTGCCAGGTATCAGCACGTGAGAGCGACAGCCGTGGCGTTCAGCACCGGCTCTCCGCGTTCATCTTCGCCATCGCAGCTGCACGTGCATGCGCATCACGACCGGTGCAAGCTGCCTTCCTTCACTAGGCGACCATGGCGCAGGATATTACTATGGAAGATGGTAAGCACTCCTATACCTCCTCTTCCACCACCTCACAATGCATGTATAAATATGGCCGACGTATCCATTCCCTCGCGCTGTTCCGCATGCACAGAGAGGAGCAACTCCAGTTGCGATCGCAAGCTACCATGCGGGACGTGTACTCGATGCCATCGCACGTGCACCTACAATCCAGCAGCCGTCCAGATGGCGCGAGATCGGTCCCTCGCCTATCAGAGAGCTAGTAACCGGACCCGCAGGAAGGAACGCCGTCTTCCGCAAACCAGCAGTGATGGAGTGTGCAAGTTCGCCTGCGCTCGGTGTTTCGTCTTCGATCCGCCATGCGACAAAGTACTGCCGGCTTGTGGCAGATGCCAGCGGGGTGGTTATAAGTGCCTGTATTCGCAAGATGTCATGGAAGCCGCACCAAAGTTTGGCTTTCAGATACCACGACTAGCTGCCTCTACGCATACCGATCCAAATGACACCACCGTTGACGTGGATCCGCTCCGCAATGATTACAAGGCCCGCCCTACGGTCATGGAGGGCACGCACCAGCTTAGGGCGGTCGATAATCGACCTACGGCGGACGATGATTGCACGGACTCGCTTTCAATACTTCGGGAGAGACATGCTAACATTAGTCTGTAACAGCACCTAAGCGGAGAGTCGAGGAGACCAACGGGGACGTCAATGGTCACCAATCCAAGCGCTTCAAGGTCTCAGTCTCGCCCGAACCTGAGCTTGAGGAAGCACCTGCAGTAAATGGCACACATGCGCCTGTTGACGAGGCCGAGCCGCCCAAGAGTATATCGCTATTCCCGTTGAAGCCAGCAGTATTGGAAGAACGAAATAGCGACATTTCTTTCCAAGTCGTGAATAACGACGGCGAACCAAGATCATCATTCATCCTTAGCGGCCTGAAATGTATCTTCCAGAAACAGCTGCCCAAGATGCCCAAAGACTATATCGCAAGACTAGTCTACGATCGAACTCACTTGAGCATAGCAATAGTCAAGCGGCCGCCACCAGGAAGCCACGCCGAATCATCAGGCCTGCCTGGTGAGGTGGTGGGCGGCATTACCTACCGCCCCTTCCAAGGCCGAGAGTTCGCCGAGATTGTCTTCTGCGCCATCAGCAGCGACCAGCAAGTCAAGGGCTATGGTGCTCACCTCATGAACCATCTCAAAGACTACGTCCGTGCCACGAGCGACGTCAAGCACTTCCTCACCTACGCCGACAACTACGCTATTGGCTACTTCAAGAAGCAAGGGTTCACCAAAGAGATCACGCTCGACAAGACGAAGTGGATGGGCTACATCAAGGACTACGAAGGTGGCACCATCATGCAGTGCACCATGCTGCCCAAGATCCGCTACCTCGAAGCCAGCCGCATGCTCCTCAAGCAGAAAGCCGCCGTGCACGCCAAGATCCGCGCCATCACGAAGGCACATGAGGTCCATCAACCACCAGCCGCCTGGCGTAACTGCAAGCCAGGAGAACCCCTCCCCGCCATCGACCCGCTCAGCATCCCCGCCATTCGCGCCACCGGTTGGTCTCCGGAAATGGATTCTCTCGCGCGTCAACCTCGCCGTAACCAGTCCCACTCCCTCCTGCTATCCCTCCTCTCAGCCCTCCAGACTTCCTCCTCCGCATGGCCATTCCTGCAACCCGTCAACGGCGACGAGGTCACGGACTACTACGACACCATCAAAGAACCCATGGATCTCGGCACCATGGAGAGTAAGCTAGACAAGGATCAATACGAGACTGTCGACGATTTCGTGAGGGATGTGCTGTTGATCGTGAGGAACTGTAAGCGGTACAACTTGGAGAACACGCCGTATGCGAAGGCGGCGACGAAGTTGGAGAAGGAGATGTGGAAGAAGGTTAGGGAGGTGCCGGAGTGGAGTTATCTGGAGCCGGAGAACTTTCCGACGACTAATAAGGAGGAGTCGTGAGTGTTTCTCCTTGTTGTTGTTATCCTTAGCGTGGTGTTGGTGGGCAGTTTTGGATTAAGATACCCTTGGGCTGGTGAAGGGCCATGAACTTGCTTGGTTACAGTCTTTCCTGTTCCTCGCACTAGGCGAAATTGCTCACTAAATCAATCTGACCGGACCAAGCGTCTCTGTATGCCAGCTGGAAATGAAAGGTATGTAACATAGAAGCCGATCCGTATCAGATGACGCAGGCCTGGAGCTTTGGCCACGCTCGTACCTGCTTTCTTGAGAGCTTGCTCCCACGTGCTTGGCTTGATGTGAAGCATTTGACCCAACTCTTGCGCACACTGCAACCGCTTGTTTGAGTGCTAGAACATGTCCTAGATCTAGATCTCTACATTGACCATTACCGACACCTGTACACCCCGACAATGTCCGTAGCAGGTCCTCGAGGCCCTCCCAAGCGAGCCTCCGTGCTTGTCACGGATACCCGCGAACAACGACCTCAAGCCCGACCGACACCGCAACGAACTGGCACAGCGCGTATCATCTCCGTTGATAACGTGCTGCAATATGCCTCAGACATCCCCTCTGCGCAGCGCCGCGCACCGCCCGGACCACGACCGCAAGTGCACACTCGCACACCATCGGGCAGGCATCCATTGGACCCAAAGTTGCGGGGCGTGGGCGTACCATTAGCCAGTGGAGGCGGTGGTGTGCACTTGCCTGCCCGCAGCAGCAAGACCAGCGAGAAACTCGTCCTCCTCCCCGAAACGAGCGAAGAGCATGCGGAGGAGAAGGAAGGCTTCGAGGAGGAAGACGATGAAGCACCGCCGTCTGATGAAGCGCTGTCACGGCGGCGAGCAGGTAGCGGGCATGGTAAAAGCGATGCCGAGCGCCTACCCAAGTCCCAGCGTACCGCCGAAGCTCAGCTTGCACGCGTAACGGCCTACTGTACCGCGCAAAGCTATAAGCTGCGGAGCACGGCGCAATTTGTACGCGACCAGCATGGAGCGAGGACGAAGATCTACGATGAGTGTTTGTATTGTGTCTACCAACTGCCACTACTGGGTGGGAGCGATGGCTATCGGGTGAGGAGTAGTCCGGTGGTGAAGAATCCAGGTGGGAGGAGTGTGTTGGACGAGCAAATTGAGGCGAACGAGCGGAGACAGTACAGGGAGGGCTGGCAGGGCGAGAGCGATGAGTACTCGGTGCCGGCGAATGAGAGTGCAGGTTATGGCAGGCAATCAGGCGAAGGCAGAGAACACGACGGCACTCTGGAGATGGATCATGATGGACAGCAATCTCAAGAGCAGACGAACGACCAGTCGGCCGACGAAGGAGAGTACGACAATGGTGGCCAGCGTCGCGAAAGCGAGTCCTCCACCATCCTCAACTACCCCTCCCCGCAACCCGCCATCTCCCCCAACGCCTACACAGTAGCCGAACTCTTCATCTTCTCCTACGGCGTCGCCGTGCTCTGGAACTTCACGCCCAATCAAGAAAAGGACCTCCTCGCCGACCTCACCTTCAGCAGCTCCTCCAACCAATCACCCGCCACGACTACCAACAACAGCAAAACCCTCTCCCTCAAGACCGCGCCCTTACCGACCGCTCACATCCCGCTCATGACCCGCCCTCTGGACGAAGACGACTTTGAGACCGAAGAGTTCCACTTCCAGTACGATCCTTCCGCCGAGAAACCGCGCATCTACAACGACATGATCACATTGCGGACAAGCGATCACATGATCAAACTCGCCATGTCCCACGCCATAGCACAGAGTACGAAGCTGTCTTTCTTCGAGGAAAGAATGCAACGGACGATGAGCGAGGCGCAGTATGTGCCTCGCCGGCTTGCGCTCGAGGGACGGCTGGGTATGGACCGGAAGGAGATCGTTGCGCTTGTGGGGCGGCTGTTTGAGGGACGGGTGGACGTGAATCTGTGTAAGCCCCTCCTCTTGCAATGTTTGTTTATTTGGGGGTTCCACTGACGTGCTCTCCTAGCATCCAATATGCTAGACACACCCACCTTCTTCTGGGACTCGGAACCGACTCTCCATCCGCTCTACGGCGCCGTGCGCGAGTACCTCGAGATCAAACCCCGCATTCAGGTCCTTAACGAACGGTGCCGCGTCTTCCTCGACCTCGCCGAGATCCTGTCGGACTCTATTGCGGACGTGAAGATGACGCGGATCACGTGGATCATCATCGTCTTGATCGTGCTTAGTATCCTTGTAACGTGCACGGAAGTTTTCTTGCGTTTCGGCATCTTGGCCAAGGAGAAGTTGGGTAGAACCGGTGGCGCTGCGGTGGTCAGAGGCTTGGGGGTGAGCGGGTTGGTCGGCCGTGGTTTGAGGGCGGTGTCTGAACTCTGACGTGACTTGGTGCTCTTTTATTCCATGCTCTGCAAGCGAGGAGTTTCGGCGCTGGGACTTGGAGACATCAACAGTTACGTACAAATCATTAGCTACTCGACATGCGCACGCTGCTTATGCTCTCCTCCTTATGGCCTTCCTCACAATGCCCGCATTACCTTCCTTCGCCGGTTATCGTACAACCCTGTGCTATTCGTGCATTCAAGCCGAAAGGTCAACGCACAGTCCCCCGAGTGCCAGCAGACGTAACGCTTAACTATTGTACAAAGGCCTAATGCGCCTGCATTATCAGACAGTGGCGGCTGTCTCTCAAGCCTGACAGACATTCTAGTTGTCAAGAAGCGCACAATATGCCAGCAAGTTGCAAGCCAAACGCCTTCGCGGCTCCGATGTAGTGCTCAACAAGAAGGTGCAGCTCGTCGTTATATGGTATCGGGCTGTTTTCTCGCTTCCTTGATACCTTCCTTGGCGTCCTGATGTTTGATGGAGTCTGACATGACGACGGAGCCGGTACAGCGAAAGGACGAAACGCTAAGGGTACATGATGCCAGTTCTTCAAAGAACGAAACGCAGGTGCTGTGGTTCCACCGCCGCAGTTGGGGTCATGCACTTGCAAAGCACAGACCGCGCTGTTCAGTATTGGGCATTAATGTTGTTCATCGACATACGGTGTGTGTGCGTCGAGGCCGACTGCTGCTCGAAGCTTGGCTGGCGGACCATTGCTTCTTCGCTTGCCACGTGGTGGAGATTCGACTGCCGGGGAAAGGGAATGTGCTGTTGGGTGGTGTCACTTACGATCGCGGTGCAACCGGAAGCTTGTTCGCTGTCAGCAATAGCTGCTGTTTCCGAGCTTTCCAAGCCGAAACTGTACAGGCTTGGGCCTGGCGCGTCAGCTGTCATGGGCCGCTCGGCTGCTGTGACGGACGGGGCCTGCTGAGACTGAGGACCGGTATAACCGAAATGGCTCGGAGGCGGCATAGAAGCTGTTGAAGACGTAGTAGACGCTGTGCTAGGGTTGGTGTCGGAGAGTGTTGGTCCTGACGATGGAGAGACCTCGGGCGAGCCGCTAGGCGCTGTGTGATTAGTCCTGAAGCTGAACTGATAGCCAAGCACAGTGCTATCAAATGCTGGCGTACTATTGCCGGGGTGAGGCTGGTGCTGGTGATGGTGGTGGTGGTTGTGCTGTTGCTGCAACTGCGGCATGACATTATACGTCGGTACGCCGTGCGAGCTGGTGCTTGCTGCTGTACGCGTTACAGCTGCGGCGCTGTCTGCGGGCCACGGCATCGCTTGCCGGCCATGGTATACTTCGTTCATAGGCATGCGCGACTCAGTAAAAGATCCAAGCGGCCGCACCTCTGGAACCGGGACGGAAGGGTACTGGTTCTGCGGCGGATATTGAACAGTGTATGGCGCTGGCAGGCGGCGCTCCTGCACCGTCTGTAAAGGGAGGGATGAGTGTAGAGAGCCCATGTTGAGGGGTGAAACAATCTCTCCGCTGACACTTGGCAGGCGACCCGACGTTGATGTTGGATGAGCCGGTGCATGAAGGCTTCCGAAGCTGTAGGATTGCGGCTGCTCGAAGCAACTGGCTGGTACTGGAGCAGAGATGGAGCCCGTCGTACTCCATGACCGATAGCTTTCCAACGAGCCGTAGGAGCTGGCGTAAGAGTCTTGACGAGGTACAGCAGACGAAGCATAGGTGTACGCGTCAACATGAGAGCTGTCATACTGGTCATAGTTGTCCATCCACGAGCTGCGTGTATGCAAAGTCGGCAGTGATGGACGCGCATGGAGGCTGTGGTTCCAGCCTGTATTATTCGGTGGATCAGGTCCGTAGGAGGCTGACTGCGGAGCGCTGCTGGCTTGCGGATAAGGCTCGATGCCCGCATTGCCCGCTCTTGATAATTCGTACGCGCCAACTCTGATGAAAGTGCAAGTGGAAGTATCGCTGGTCGCCGTCCTGCAAGCTTGACATCCGCTGCCGTCGCCGGGATCACCGGAGCACTTTATCTTGCGTCTGCGGCACCGCGAGCACTGCCTTGTAGTTAGCGTGATGCGCGCTTGACTAGAACTACTATGCCTACCGCAACCGCAATGCGTCGACGCGAATTGCCATTAGCTCCGGGGACAAATTCAGTTTCCGGCGCACTGATCATTGCTCGCGTTACCGGCCGGCCCACGTGCTCCATGCGTAGTTCTTGTCGCATCGGCTCATGGTAGGCGTAGGGCGTTTGCCGATCATAGTAAGCTGCCGTGGACATTGGTCGGTAAGGTGCTGGGCGATGGTAAGAGTACTGAAAGGAGGTCTGCTCGGCGTTGCCGCCATAGTACGACGGCGTAGCCATCATCGTGTTGCGAGTCATTGCAAGCAGGTGTTCGCACACGCATTGATGATCACCGCCCAGCAAAAAGCCACGCAGCAGGAACGTAAGAAGTCGTCAAGGAGCAAATGTTAAGGAAAGGAACGATGCGTGGGTTTGAGCAAAGCATGCGAAGAACGCAAGCAACACCTCCCGAGAGAGACGACAAAACGCGTTCAAAATCAATGTCAGACCGACGAAGGGGAGTCGAAATCTGAAGCGTTGGCTTCAAGACAGCAAACACTTCGCTCCAGGGGGCGAGCCGTAAGCGTTTGAAGTTTCACAAGCCTCTGCCAGCAGAAGTGATGTTTTCTAGCCCGGCGTAGAGCTTCTGTTTGAGCACTGAAGGTACGTCTAGCAAATCACCACATTCAACGCTTTGGGAAGATGTCTGCTTGGCTGTTACAGGTAGTTGGGACATTGCCGCGCTCGCGCTGCTCACCTAACGGTTGCTGTCTCTGCTTCGGCAAACGGCTGCGCACGCTAACGACGGGTACTCGCAGAAAGCGCTCGAGCACAGCCAGGTCGAGCGGTGCACGGCAGAGGTCATCTTGCCATCGTTGTGAGGGCTGTAGCTGTCGCTCTGCTCCACTTGCGGTTGCACTTGCTGCTGTCGTATGCAGTGCGGCAAGCTCATATCGCTCGCTGCAACTGGGGCTGCAAGTTGGCCGTGCTGGCATCATAAGCTTAGTTCGCAACCAGACAAGGTGAGTGACAGGTTCCAGCGCCTCCGACACATCTGCGATTGGGCAGGTGGTGATGAGGTGCGTCAAAAAGCAGCGGCGCCATAGATTATGCGTCAGCCTGGAGGTGGTTAGAAGGCAGGATTGAACCTGCAAAAGGTGCGCAATCCCATGCTACTTGTTAACCCTTCCTGGATTTGGTAGCATATACGTACATTGGCTCTTCTTTGGCGTACGCTTGCCGTGCGTATGAGACGTATGCGGAGTGGATCGTCTGCGTTGACGCGGCAGGTGAGCTCGATCGTAAGATTACAGGTCACACGCAAAGGCTAGGTTCAGGGCGTGATAAGGCAAACATCATTCCCCAGCTCGCCGTTTCACGAATTTCCTAGCTGAGCATATGCTAGCCTGACGACTTGGTTGTCGTGGAAGAGCTTCGATTTCATCCATTGCGGAATAGTCGGCAGCGTACTTCGGGAGAAAGCAAGAAGCAGGGTCGCGACGGACCTGTACATCGCCAATGTGCTCGAGCAGTTCCGGTCACACAGGGAAGCGTCGTAGCGGTCGGGACCTGGCATGGGCCGGCGATCCACTTAACGGACATCCTGTGTTCCGGCATCGTGGAGAGGGATGGCGCACTTGCCACAGGTCAGCTGCGAGATCTAGTATGGTCTGACTACTAGGTGGGGTGCTTTTTTGAAGCTCCAAGTGACTGCATGAGGTCAGAAGCATTGACATGTTGCAGGACTATCAGTAGTTGTTGATGAATTTCGGAGCAGTGAATTGCTGTGCATATTCGAGTCATGGTCGTTCCCGGTCTCGTACATTCGACATGAATCCTTGAGCAGCCAAAGTAAGCGCGTGACTGGTTGGAGCCAAGAGCAACAGAGTCTCAAGGTCAATTGTTGTGCTTAGCCTTCAAGCCATCCTTCTTAGCGATCGCGTGAGTGCCGAAAGTGATCCCGCCTCAGTCACCAGTATGCCAGCGCAGACTATCTAGACCCTAGGACTTAATGCAAGCCACTAGTCCGGTACCACACAATACAGGTCGTGCTCGGTGGTTGCGATGGCTGCGGCGCGCTGATAGTGCTGCAAGCGAGACACAGCAGCAGCCATATCGTCCTTCCAATGCTCGTCCAAATCCGATTTATCGTTATCCCTTTGGCACATCCGTTACTGCATCGCCATTGACGGGATCATGAATACATCCCCGCGGTATGTTCGCTGCAGTGTCTCTGCACATGCAGATTTTACCGGCGCGTGCGCCTTCTCGGCGCCCGCCACAGCGGCTACTCCCACAGACCCACTTGTGAGGGTTCTTGTGCAACGTTCGTCGCTCTGGCCTTCGCTCGCGTGCCAGAGGATTCCGCCCTGTACAAGTCTATACAATCGTCCTCCACTTCCCGTTGCAAGACGTGGCGCTACTGAGGTCGGAATTGACGATCAGGATGTCCGTACTTTTGGAGACGTCCGCAGGCGACATCACAATCGATCTGTTTGTACATGACGCTCCCAAGTGCTGCGAGAAGTGAGTAGAGAATCTACAACCTCCGTACTCCAGCTGATAAGCGTACTAAGTCATGGACATCGGCTCACAGCTTCCTGAAACTCTGCAAGATCAAGTACTACAATTACTCACCCATCTACAATGTTCAGCCCAACTTCTCCTTCCAGACTGGTGACCCTATCGGGCCGGAGTCGAAGGGCAGTGATGGAGGCGCGTCGATCTGGAGCCTGCCAGATGGTGTTACCAAGCGCGTTTCTCATCCTGAGAGGAGAGTCTTTAAGCCTGAGTTCTCCAAGAAGCGAAAACACGCTCGGCGCGGTACCGTCAGCATGGCGACAAGTCAATCTAAGTTAAATCCTGATGACCGGCTAGCCAGCAGCCAATTCCTGATCACGCTCGGCGACAATATTGAGGATCTGGACGGCAAAGCTGCAGTCTTTGGTGAAGTGGCGGAGGGTTTTGATGCTCTGGAAAAGATCAACTCTGCGTTCATTGACCAGTCCGGCCGCCCACTGCAGGACATCCGCATATTGCATACTCATGTCCTAGACGACCCGTACGACGATCCTCCAGGTCTTGTAGAGCCGCCTTCAAGTCCTGTACCGTCCGCTGAGCAACGTGCAACCGTTCGGATCGCCTATGATGAAGTGCTCGAGCAGAAAGACGATCCCGAGCAGATGGAGAAACTCCGACGAGAGCGTGAAGCCCGTGCTCAAGCGCTTACACTTGAACTGATTGGTGACTTACCATTTGCGGACGTTACGCCCCCCGAGCAGATTCTCTTCGTGTGCAAGCTGAATCCGGTCACCCGAGACGAGGATCTGGAGCTCATATTTTCGCGCTTTGGGAAGATCCTGTCGTGCGAAGTCATTAGAGATCGCAAAACTGGCGATAGCTTACAGTATGCGTTCATCGAGTTTGCGAAGAAGGAAGACTGTGAGCGTGCCTACTTCAAAATGCAGGGCGTGCTTATCGATGACCACCGCATACACGTAGACTTCTCTCAAAGCGTTTCAAAGCTTTCGAAAGAATGGCGGAGCACGACTAACTCGAAGACTGCGCGCTCGCGAGGTGGCTTTGGCGGTATTGACAGTCTAGAGAAGCGCCGACAATACCGTGGCGTGGATGGCGGACGAGACGTGGATGACGAGTATGACTACATCTTCGATAATGACGAGCGACGACGCGCTAGGAATCGAATGGACACGGACAGCAAAGACACGTCACGGCGGCCAAGATCTAGGAGCCGCAGTCCCAAACGCTACGAGCGCAATGAGCGCACAAGGGATGTCCAAGACAAGAATAGCGACAGAAGGCGCGAAGAGGGTCGGCGGCATGGAGACCGTGACCGGTACCGTGACAATAACGAGTATCGCGACCGCCGCTCACGCTAGCATGGTGTTCGACTCGGCAGCAGTACGTTACCTCTCTCGCCACCATCCGATGCCACGATAGCCTTCCAGTAGTCTCGAAACGTGGGGACACTCCTTTCCTCAAACCTTCGACCAGCTGGAAAGGTAGAAATGGTTGTGGGAGATCGCTGCATGATATTTCGGCTCTGACCACAAAGACACGCATCTTCCATCTGAAATGGAAACCGTACCAGCATGGATTTATGGCAATCGGCATCCGTATTGCAACAGGATGCCATTTTCTTATCTTACTGAGGCACTGTCTTTGCCACGCGACGAGAAAATTCGATATCCCGCAGTGTGTCTGAAGATGTGGTGAATGGCATGGCTTCAATCAAAGCTGATGCGATAAGGCAGTGTTGTTGGTCTTTCTGTCGAATGTTCGGCGGAGGCTTTGGTTGGAGTGCTTCAATGTGAATAGGCAATACGGTGATGGCGCACTCGATTACACCAAGCGTGCACGCACGGGCCCTTCAATCAAGGAGGGCGTTCGTCAGGGTTAAAAGCTATCCCCGCACACACCTCGCTTGATTTAAAATTTGCTCCATGGGCTCTCCTTTTCGCACGTTTTACTACCGCTTCATCCATTGAAAGCGGTTGAGCTTTCAATCATGCAGCACAATCCCGCGCAGTACGGTATGGCAATGAAGACCATATAACATCTGCATACTCTGAGAGCTTGCTGACAGTCGCACAGACGCGCCGTCGTTCATGCAGGACGGTTTCGAAGGCTATAACGGATTCCAGGGTGGCAACATGGCGCCGCAAGGAGAGCGACGCGTAGTGCAGATAGATGTTGGTGAATTCGTTCGGACGCGCGACGCGGTATGCGACCATGACATTGCTGTAACTTGTCGCGAAATATCGATGCTGACGTGAATACTAAGCTATCGTCGGCTTACATGAGCCTTTCATCATCCATCGATAAAGCAGTCAAGGCGTACATCGACCACACTAATGTTGTACTCGCCGGAGACAGCACGCTCAATGTCTCCTACCTCACCCAGCCATTCGACCAGCTCGCGCACACAGCTCAGATTGCGCAGCAGGCGATGCTGCATGGTCTTGCCCTGCCGAATGGCGGCGCTGGGCCTGCTGGTGCTGGACCTGCTGCCGCCGGGTCTGCGACGAAAGACGAGCAATCCGAAGGCCAGAGCAAGCGCAAGAAGCGCAAGTACACGCCACGCGATCCGAACGCGCCAAAGCGCCCGTTGACTGCGTACTTCCGCTATCTCCAAGAGCAGCGAATTCCACTGGGCAAAGAGCTCGCGGACAAGGCTCAAGGCCAGCCTCAGAAACCAGGCGATCTGTCGAGGGAGGCTACGCGTCGTTGGAAGGCTTTGGAGGATTCCGAAAGGCAGCCGTACCGTGACGCGTACCGACGCGCTTTAAAGGACTATGACAAAGAATGTCAGGTCTACAAGGCCAAAGGTGGCAAGCTTAGCGCTGCAGACGAGAAGCTCCTGACGCAAGAAGGTGAAGACACCGAGCTTGGCGCTGGCGGCGAAGATGTGAAGGATGAGGACGAGGACGAGGACGCTGAAGGGGAGAACGTTGAAGCAGATGAACCAAGCAAAGGACGGCAAGGTGCGGATGATGACGACGATGAAGATGATGACGAGGATGAGGATGACGATGAAGACGACGACGACGACGATGATGATGAGGAGGAGGACGACGAGGATGAGGAAGACGAACCTGTTCCTCCGCCTCCGCCGCCGCCGAAAGCCACTCCAAAGTCTGCCTTGAAGAAGGGTAAGCAGCAAACCGCCGCGCCGACTCCGCAGTTCAGCAGCATCAACCCACAAGCTGCCACCGCCGGTCCCTCAAGTCCAGAGCGCAAGCGCAAGGCTCCAGCTACGACCGCAGAAAGCGAATTGAAGACGAAGCGTGGCCGTAAGTCCACCGCCGAGCCTGCTTCGGAGCCTACTGCCGCATCGGCCCCGGCGCCTGCCCCGACTGCGCAGATGACGAGCTCGGAACCGACTGATGGACCGCCGAAGAAGAAGTCCAAGAAGAAGTCGATGGGTACATAAGGGTTTCAATCCTACCGTTCGGCTTAGGCTGCGTACCGCGAGGTCGCAATATCTTTTCTATGGTAGCTGGGTGTTGTTATTTCTTCCAGGTTTCATCCAGGTTGAGAGGCCTACACCAGTTCATTTGGTCGAGTCGAATTATTTCCACAGGATGCGGGATACCCTTAGTGTGTTACTGCTAGATTGATGAATTGTACAGAACAAGCTCAACATTTTTCCACAACGGTCCACGGCGCCCTCCGAGGATGTCTGGGCCTCCAGCTCCCCGCGATCAAGCCCCGCCTCGTTCCAATGAAGCTTTTGTCTCTCTGTTTATCTTCTTACCTAACTGTTTCCATGCGCACAGCCTGATAGACAACAAGGACTCACCATGCAGTTGGCACCGAAAGAGGTCAGTAAGGCTGCCTTCTGGAGGAAGCACAAGCCCACTCACTTCGGATACAGCTCGATAAGCTTGTCATTAGCCAGCTTGGCTCGCTGGCACAGCGGCGGCTTGCGCGTGGTGTCCGACTGAACCACACTGAAGCCCTCGCCCTTATCGCCAGTGTACTGCATGAGCTCATACGAGATGGCGACCACTCTGTCGCTGACCTCATGGCGCTGGGCGCAACACTGCTTGGCAGAAAGCACGTTCTGCCTAGCGTACCGCACACCTTGACAGAACTCCAAGTCGAAGGCACCTTTCGAATGGGCACGTACCTCGTAACCGTGCACAACCCGATTGCCGGCGATGACGGCAACCTTGAGCGGGCGTTATATGGCAGCTTTCTGCCTGTGCCCAGCCCGAATAAGTTCCCTTGGCCGCCCGAGGAAGGATTGGAAGCTTATGCGCCGGAGAAGATGCCTGGTGCTGTAATTGCCGTCAAGGGCGATAAGGGCAGGATCGTACTCAATGAGGGGCGCAAGCGCATCAAGCTCAAGGTGACCAGCAAAGGAGATAGGCCTATCCAAGTTGGCAGCCACTATCACTTTGTCGAGACGAATCCGAGATTGGAATTTGACCGAGTAAGAAGCGTCGGGTACAGGCTGGACATCGCCGCAGGGACCAGCGTAAGATTTGAGCCTGGTGACAGCAAGACGGTTACACTTGTGCAGATTGCGGGCAAGCAAGTAATTAAAGGTGGGAATGGGCTGGCAACCGGTCATATACACGACGAAAGTGTCACTCGAGGATTGTTGCAGAGGATGCAAGAAGGTGGCTTCCTGCACAAGGAGGAGCCAGATGCAGACCAACGTTTAAACCCGGCCAGCATGTCAAGGGAAGACTACATTGCCATATTTGGCGCAACGACCGGCGATAGGATCAGACTAGGCAGCACCGACCTTTGGATTAAGATCGAGAAGGACTTTTCAGCCTATGGCGACGAGTGCTCGTTTGGCGGCGGCAAGTCCATCAGAGACGGCATGGGTTCTGCTTCTGGCGTTCCGGACAAGGAATGCCTTGACACTGTAATCACCAACGCAGTCATCGTCGATTGGAGTGGCATCTACAAGGCCGATATTGGTATCACTAACGGCCTAATTTCCGGAATCGGCAAGGCTGGCAACCCGGACGTGATGCACGGCGTGCATCCAGACTTGGTTGTAGGCGCAAACACAGATGTTATTGCGGGTGAAGGCAAGATCGTCACTGCTGGTGGGTTCGACAGTCACATCCACTTCATCTGTCCGCAACAGGCTTACGAAGCCATTGCGAGCGGTATCACGACGTTTCTAGGCGGCGGTACTGGGCCGAGTACTGGCACAAACGCAACAACGTGTACACCTTCTGCAGATCTGATTAAGGGCATGCTCCAAGCCTGCGACAGTCTACCGCTGAATGTTGGTATAACAGGTAAAGGCAATGACGCTGAAGTCCAGCCGCTCAAAGAGCAGGCGGAGGCTGGTGTCTGTGGTCTGAAGCTGCACGAAGATTGGGGCACGACGCCAATTGCGATCGACACTTGCCTGAAAGTGTGCGAGGAGGAGGACATCCAATGCCTGATCCATACCGACACTTTGAATGAGAGCGGCTTCGTAGAGACGACTGTCAAAGCTTTTAAGAACCGAACCATCCACACTTACCACACTGAAGGCGCTGGTGGCGGTCACGCACCTGACATTATCAGTGTAGTCGAGCACGAGAACGTGCTGCCTTCGTCCACCAACCCGACACGTCCGTACACTGGCAATACGCTCGACGAACATCTAGACATGCTGATGGTATGCCACCACCTTTCCCGTAACATACCTGAAGACGTGGCATTCGCCGAATCTCGCATTCGCGCAGAGACGATCGCTGCAGAAGACGTGCTGCATGACTTGGGTGCCATCAGCATGATGAGCTCTGATTCACAGGCCATGGGTCGGTGTGGCGAGGTCATCCTGCGGACTTGGAACACTGCGCACAAGAACAAAGTCCAGCGCGGTCCGCTGCCGGAAGATAAGGACACCGATGCGGACAATTTCCGTGTGAAGCGTTACGTGAGCAAGTACACCATCAACCCGGCGATTGCGCAGGGCATGTCGCACCTAATTGGATCGATCGAAGTGGGTAAGCTCGCGGATCTTGTCCTCTGGTCACCGTCCTCGTTCGGCGCGAAGCCAGCGCAGATCGTGAAGGGAGGCATGATCGCGTGGAGTCAGATGGGAGACCCGAACGCGAGTATCCCAACAGTCGAACCGGTCATCATGAGGCCAATGTTTGGTGCCATGGAGCCGAGCAGAAGCATCTGCTGGGTGAGCAAGAGTAGCCTGGAGAAGGGTGCCATCAAGAACTATGCGCTTCGTAAGCGAGTTGAGGCTGTCAAGAATTGTCGCAAAATTGGGAAGAAGGACATGAAGTGGAACGATGCGATGCCGAAGATGAAGGTTGATCCGGAACGATATGTGAGTATTCGACGTGAACAGAAATGAATTGGTTACTGACCGTTGCTGCAGACTGTGGAAGCTGATGGACAGCTTATGACCGCTGAACCAGCGACAGAGTTACCACTTGCTCAGACGTATTTCGTTTTCTAGTTCCGGCCGGGACGCTCAGATACCCTTCATATCAGTTCTCTCAACATATCGACCAAAGGAGCATCACGTAGCGTTCTTCCGCTTACTGTCGCGCTCTTCTCATGCTTGTCTGCTTCGTTCAACGTCAAGCAGAAGCTGCAGCACCTCGCGGCAGCAGAGCTCCTTAGCCTTCTTCTTACCGTAGACTCGTTCGACCTTGCCAATCGGCCCTGCGAGTCTGGGTTCTGCTTTCACATCCCGCTCCGCAAAATGAGCAGCCATACTGACGAAGGCACCAGGGTTTTCGTTAGAGGTGATTACCGTAGGAGGCTCTGATGAGTGCGCTACAAAGGATGGCTGATGGAGACCCAGGGATGCTACAAGATTGTGCACCTGCTGTGTCATGGGCAAGTCTGACCCGCCATTCAAGTCGACCTTCGCCAAGCTTTGGGTGCCGCCGGTGTGGCCGGGCTCAGGCTCTGCTGGTATGGTCATGGTTCGCTTCGCCGACGCCGCTTGCGGATCGGTGACGACCTCACCCTGGCTTCTCAGCCAGAGAACAGCCTCTCGTGCTGCTGCTCTTCGTGCGTCCGTCAGACATGGATAAAGCCTCTCCTTGAAGCCGAAGGGAGGTGCGGCAAGTGAACATCCTGTCAAGGCTAACGTGCATGAAAAGAGCGTCGGATTGCTTGTTGTTCGTGACTCGCTATAGGTCGGGGCGAGGAGCTTACGCTGCTGTGAATAATCTGGCAGCGGATTAGCATGAGCGAGGGTAGCATTGATTGGATGGCATACTGTTTAGCATGCCCACCCAGTTCTCAGCCCGTAATACGGCGTTTTCCGTTGCATCCGAGTCGGAACTCTTGCGCTTCTTATCATTACGCTTGAGCGCCTCGAGCAACGGAATGGCCTCTCTACAAACGGCTTCTTTGGCCAGCTTCTTCGAGGCACAGGCGGAATCTCCCTCCAGATTGTGGTTGCCGAACGTCACGGTCGCTTTGAACACCTGTCCGGAGAGTGCTTGATACGCAAACGACGGGACAATCCCATGTTCCTGGCAGAGGTCGTGGAACCGTATTGCGTGCAAAGGGTTCGGCTTGACCTTCGCGATTGGGATGAGCTTTGGCTGCTGCGCTGAAAGATGTCGTGTTTCGAAGTCCTCAATGCTAAGGAGGTTCTTGTAGAAGTCGTCTCTCTCTATGTCAGGCTGAGTTCGAGCTTGAGCAGAGCTTGGGATATGTTGAACGTTTGTCGAACCGTGCTCGTAGGTGGTGCTGTTGGAACCGCTCGCCATCGCCGCCCTGCTTCGTGGCACTGGACCACAAGGTGCATTTAAGGGCGACGATGCTGGCAGCAGCGACCCATCAGACTGCGGTATGAGCAGTGAAGCCATCAGACTGTTCATTGTACGTATTGCAGAAGACGCTAGGCCAAGTTAAGCGTACGTGTAGCGCGTCGCGCCGCAGTTTTCATTCACTTACTGCTTCTCAGGGAATAGAAGGGATGGGTTATCTTGAGGTACACGACGAGATCACTTGATCGATGGATCACCGTTCATGTACTCGGTACGCAAGATACGGGCGCGCTGCAGTATTGTCCCTTCTTCGGCAGATCAGCACCTCGTTGGGGCTTGCACACGTGACATTAACCACATTCACATCAAGGCACCTCACTGAGCGACTGCTGCTTCATCATACATGAAGCGTCCGCTAACGCTGCCAGGGCATCGTCATTGAAGCCATCCGGTCCCGCCCCGCCGTACGCTTGTTGCTCTTGCATCGGTGCTGCGTAGATTTGCTCATCGTACTGCGCAGCGTAGCCAGCCCCAAGTGCTTGACTGCCACCAACGTCGACTTGTGTTCCTGCACCGAAACTGGTGTCTGCGGTTACGGCACTCAGCGCAGCTTGTTCGGCCTCCAAGTCATCCGCGTAGCCTTCGATCCATTGTTGCGGATATGCATCAAGTGACGGATCATATGCAGCTTCAGTATTCGTCGTAGTGAAGCTGTCAAGGTTGAAGGTTGAGCTGTCAAAGTTGCCGTCGAAAAAGCTGAAGTCCAGCGGGTCATAGTTGAGGTTGATGTTGCCGCCGTTGAAGTCAAAGCTGTTGTCTGCGGCAAGGCTGCCAATGTTGGCTGCCTGTGCACTGCTGACACTGCCTTCGCTGAAGGACGTCGGCCAGGTGGCGGAGGACAGCGCTGATCCTGAACTGCTTTCGTACTCGAATGGCGATTGCAAAGCCGGCGGTTGCTGCAGCTGGGATGCGGCAGGGATCTCCACATATTGCGTGCTCGTAGCGTAATCATACAGCGAGTCAGTACGCTCGGGCTTCGCAGGCTCTTGATACTGGGTGGCGGTCTGGCTGGGCACATTGATGCGTCTCCAGCTTGCGCGTCCAGTGGCGACACTAGATTTGCGGAAAGTCCAGCACATCACAAGGATCCTTTCATGGTCGTGCTGAGGGGACACGACTATAACCTCAAGTATCGCAGTGATACCGCTCAGTACATCGCGGACTTCTTCGCTTGCGTCTCCGTCCCCTTCGACTGCTTCCTTCTGAAGACGGTGAGAAAGGCTATGCAACAGACGAGCCCAGAAACTGCTGCCGAACTTCAACGAGGTGGTGACGTATTGGTGAGCCGGTTCAGAGAGCTGTATCGGTGCATCGTGATCCTCTTCCGCAACTCGCTGGCCCTTGCGATAGAAAGAGTAGCGGTATCGCACCCGCGCGTTCGGCGAAAGATGATGGCTTGTGCAGACGAAAGATATGCCGAGTTCAATGTGTGGCTGATCCTTGAAGCTTTCGGTAGGAAAGCCAACGGACGCATCTGCCGCAATCACGTTGCAATCAAGCGGTTTCTGCGTGGCCATTGCGGCCAACAACGGGTATTCTTGAGCAAAGCTTGACCAGTCGTTGAAGTGCAGATCACCACCGAGCGGACTCTCGACAGCCTGAGTGTATGTGTGCAACCGGTCTTCTTGCTGCTCGCCGGTCGGGAGCTTGTACTTCTGCTGGACGAACATCTCAAAGTTTACCGGCTCAAAGATGTCAAGATTGTGCTTCAGTCGTCGTACCGCCTCCATTTCGGCTTGAGGTTGAGCGGCATGTGTGCTTCGCGTCGCATATGGTATCGCCGCTGCTGGGTAAGCTGACATGCGGCGGCCTGTCATGTAGCCAGATCCATGAACCGCGCTGTAATGGCGATTCTGCCCAGCAGCGAGATCTTCCTTCGACAAGAACTTCATGATGAAAGGATCACTCTCGACGAATGGCTTGAGCACCTGAATGTGGCTCGAGACTTGTTTCCTGGTGCGGCTTTCGGCTGTGAGCTCCTGAATGTGATCGGCTATAAGCTCGTTGCGGCCACGCTGCTTCTCCTTGTGCATCTGCTTGCGTCGACCCATGGGCGGGTACTTTACCAGAGCTGTATGCGCGCATCAAGAGTCAGTGTCTTGCACGCACAAGTCAGCATCGTGGATACCCACCTCGGAAGAACGCCTCCTCGAGGTGATCGGGCCATTTCTGATCTGGGCTGCCCTTGTCGTCCTTGTGCTGTCTTTGACGGTACTTCGAGTAACCGTCACACTTCTGGAAACGCTCGTAGAGCTTCCTGGCCTTGTACGTAATAGCCTCCTCACTCTCACCAGTATGGTAGTATCCGCTGTAATGACGACCAGGGCCTAAGGTAGGGTATGCCGGTACAGCATATCGAGGTTGCGCCTGATACGGATGCTGTGGTTGCTGTTGCTGCTGCTGGTATGACTGGAACGTTGGCCAAGCATTCTCTGATTGCGTGGACAATGCATACTTTGGCTGGCTGACATCGTTGGCCAGCGAGTAATTATGCTGCTGACGGTTGCCCGATTGTTCTTGTAAAACACGGGATGCTTGTTGGACGCCATCATGAACGTCTTGCAATGGAGGAGCGTTGGACGGCAAGACATGGAAGGCGGGCTGGACCATCTTAAGTGCTGGTGACACTCCACGCCTGATGGCTGGAACGTAGTCGAAGAATGCTCAGGCTAAGAATGTTAGAGGACCTTCCACTTCCAGCGCTTACGCCGTAATTCGTCAAAGAGTGTAGATAGGAAATAGTAAGGAACGTAAACAGGAACGGATAGAGGAAAGCGCCGGCAAAGAGTGAGCGGCAACGAGCTTCTGAATGCCAGTGGTCGTACAGCAACAGATCGAAGATGTTTATACAACATGACGGTCGCAGCACACAGACGGCTGACTTATCCTTGTGTCTCCTTCGCTCCCACCTGCAATCTCGGCGGTCGTAAGTCTTCGAAGTACGAATCAGGTAGGAAGGTGGGTCGCCGGTGGTGTGGGTTGCATGCTCAGTGTGGCCAGACAAGCGAAGCTTGGACCGCTCAAGAGCAGAGTTAGGTAGGCTCATCAAAGAAGTGCAAGGGCGAGAGCAGGGTGACGTTGGTAGCCTACCAAAGGGACCTGGCAGGTCGAAGAAGATACAGTGAGAGAATTCATCGAGGGAGGGATGTCGACTGCTTGGCGTGTTGGCAATCTCTCTCGACACAATAAACGTATGGGTCGGAATGTAGTTGTACTGCTGGAATGCTTGCATTGTTGTCGCTTGTGATAGAGCTTCCACATAGGCATTAACAGAGTGGTCGTGGATATGAAGAGTTCAGAAAAGCTGCTGCAAAGTAAGTCATGTCCTTCAAGCAACCGCCAGAAGATATTTGGTAGTACAGCCTCAGGTCGCAGAAAGCGGCCGCGCAGGTACCATGCAAGGGCTCAAGCTCGACCGAACAAGGTAGGATAGCGCACGTGATTCATGACTGCATTTCATTAGGTGCTGCCATGATTGAATGATGTTGTATCGTTCCAGTGTCGTCCAACAATAATCGATCGTAATATCACAGACAGATACGGAGTATCAACGCCTCAACGCCATGCTCGAACACGAGAGTGCTGCTACTTGTACACAGGCTGGCCTGGCGGAGGAGGTGGTGCCGGGCGACCATTCCATCCCTGATTGCCGCCTTGGTTCTGCATTGGTATGTTCTGTCCGCCGTTGTTCTGCTGCTGCACGTCCGGTCGGTATTTGACATCCTGATGAAAGTTGCAGATGTGACAGAAGACCTCATGCCATGGCTTCAGAGAGAAAGGGATCAGAGGCACGAAACACAGCGTGAACCACTCCCTAGATGAGAAGAGGCGTCAGTTTACCGTAGTCGTCTGTGAGTGGTAGGAGCGCGGCAGACGATGGAGGCGGAGGGCTGTGTCGAGGGGCGAAACGCTTGTGGTGACCTACCATCTCTTAACAACTCGTCCAGAAAAGTTACCGCAGTTCTGACATTGAACCGTAACATTCTCATAGCCTTGTAAGAGCGATTGGAAAGCTGCAGGCCGATCAGCCTCATCGGATTGTACATTGATGGCGCATGTGGCTTACTATGGGTTCCGCATGTTAGGAAGAACGCCATCGTCCCCGTTCCGTTGCAAGTAGACGATGCTGTTGAGGGATACCAATGGACGTTAAGCCTCTGGTAGGTTATGAAGACACCGTCGACCGTATCTGCGTCTGCAGAGACCGCGTGGCTGTGGGCTCGGCGCGACAGCATCACCTCATGCATGCTCGAGCTAACGTGTGGGGACGGGCCGAGGCTTTCACGTGGATTCGTGTGGCGGCGCGTCTCCACCGGTCGATCAATTACATGTATGTGGCGTTTCTGCCTTGACGGCCAACATGAACGTCGCACATCAGCGGAGATGCGATTCACCATCTGCAGTGCATCGTTCACAACATCAAGTGGAAGCAGTGTGAAGTTGACATTGCTTAGTTGAATCTGACCACCTCCTAAATTGTGTCTGTCATTATGATCTCCGACAGTACTCTCTAAGCTTCGACCACCCTCCTTCCCAAGCCATATTCGCCGTGACGACTAGTCGAGCTCATCATACAGGCGCACTGCCAAGATGGCTTCCATCGACAAGCTCTCCATTCTCGGCGTTCGCTCCTTCGACAACCAGGTGTCCGAGACCATCGCTTTCCACAAGCCGCTGACTCTGATCGTTGGTTCAAATGGCTCGGGCAAAACCACCATCATCGAGTGTTTGCGCTACGCCACGACTGGCAAGCTGCCACCAGGTGCTGCCTCGGGTGGTGCATTCATCCATGATGCCAAGCTATGTAATGAAAAGGAAGTCCTCGCCCAAGTTAAGCTGGCTTTCAGGGACACTGGGGGTGTCAAGATGATTTGTACTCGTAACATGCAACTTACAGTGAAGAAGACCACTCGGAGCCAGAAAGAACTCGAGGGTAACCTTTTCTACGTGCGCGCCGGCGAGCGAGCTTCGCTCAGCACACGCCAAGCCGATCTTAACGCTCTTGTGCCACACTATCTGGGTGTCTCGGAAGCTGTCCTGTCCGACGTGATCTTTTGCCACCAGGAGGAGTCTCTCTGGCCCATGTCAACCCCCTCTAAACTCAAGGAGTATTTCGACAATCTCTTCGAAGCGAATAAGTACACCAAGGCTATCGACAATATAAAATCCATGGAGAAAAAGTACAAAGAGGATCTCAAGACACTCCACGTCACCGCAGACTATCTCAGGGCTAACAAGGACAAAGGCAAGAAAATGGAGAAGCAGGCTCAGAAGTTGAGCGCGGAGTGCGACGCGCTGCGCACCCAGCACGAGGACTACGAGGATCGCATCAAGCAAGCAGCCCGCAATGCGGAGAATTCGTGGCAAAAAGAGCATGATGCCGGCGCGATCGTGGGTGAGCTGACCGGCAAGCGCATCGAAGAGAGCACGAAGAAGGAGAGCGTGGAAAGCTTGCGGGAGAACCTCGTTGAGATGTCTGACTCTGATGAGGAGCTCCAGAGCATGCTTGAGCAGTACGAAGAGCGCGTGAAGCACTATGACGATGATTTACAGCATCGCAAGGAGCACTACCAGGAGCTCCACGGTGAAATTGAACGTACTCGTGGCCAAGTGAGTGGTAAGGAGCGAGAGTGCGGCTCGTACGAGGCTCAGGCGCAGAGTTACGAGCGTCAGACCCTGCACCGAGAGAAGCTGATCAGGGAGACCGCTCGAAGCCACAATATCCGCGGCTTTGACCTGGATCTGGATGATGAGCAGGTCAGCGCCTTCATGGACCGCATCGCAAACATGGCCCGCGAGCAGAACAGGATGCTTGAGCGTGCGAGGCGGGAGACTCAGGAAGAGCTGCAAGGCAAGCAGCAGGCCATCAATGGAATTAACGAGCAGAAGTCTGCGATCAACTCTCGCAAGGAGAGCGCGAGGCAGACAATCAACACCAACGATCGCAAAATCAATTCCCTTCAGGCTGACCTCAACCGCATAGTCATTGACGAGGGTGGCAAGACCGCTATGGAGCTGAGCATGCAGGAGACGAAGGCAAAGCTTGAGAGCGCGAAGGCCGATGCGAAGAAGGCGGACTGGGACCAGCAGGCGCAAGCAGCTGAAGGCGAGCTTAGAAAGCTTGACGACCAGAAGGAGAAGCTTGACGCCGAGCTGATAGAGGGCACCCGGCAAGCGGGAGAGTCTGCGCGTTTGGACTATGTACAGAAAGAGCTGAAGGCTCGTCAGAGGCAGCTCGATACCATGAAAGGCGCACATAGTGACAAGATCAATTCACTCATTGGCCATGACTGGACTCCCGCCACGGTCGAGGATGACTTCCAGCGCACCGTGGAACAGAGTGCCGCACAGCTGATCGAGGCGGAGAAGCAGCGCGACGGTATAAGTCGAGCTAAGGAGAAATTGGACGACCAGCTCAATGTTTGCCGCAGAGATTTAAAAGCGAAGCAGCAGGCGCTCAAAAAAGCAGCGGACCGTATCAAGAATGACTGCGGATTCGAGCCTGATGAGTACGTAGAGGAGGTTCGCAAGATGGAGGAGGGGCGTGAAACGCTCAAGACCGATACCGACTCCGCGGCTCGCATGAAAGAGTACTTCGAATCATGTATCAAGCTCGCAACCGGCAATCAGCCAGGGTGTCGGACGTGCAAGCGCAGTCTCAAGCCTAAGGAAGTCGATATCCTCGTCGCCACAATGAAGGAGGAGATCAAGAAGCTCGAGAGCCAGCTTGGCAATGCTCCTGATGAACTTCATGAGGTGGAGGAGTTATTGGACGCTGCGAAGGCAGTTGCATCCGATCATCAGGCTTGGGAGAGACTAAGTACTACTGATATTCCCGAACTGGACAAGCAACTAGTCGAACTCAACAAGAAGCGGGATGGTCTCATTGGCGAGCTCGAAGCCAAGGACGCCATCGTCAGCGAGCGTCAAGACGCGAAGCGGGATGTTGATGCCGTGTCTCGTACGGTGCAAAGCATTTCAAAGCTTCACTCCGAGGTCAAGAACTTTGAGGCGCAGATCGAAGAATTGTCCGCCAAGCAGATTTCGGCTGGGATGTCACGCGGCCTTGAGCAAATCCAAGAGGATCTGAACAAGGTGAACATAGACTCTCGATCGCTGAAAGCTCGCCTCAACAATATCCGCACAGACCGTGAGCGTGCTCGCAGCTCTGTGAGCAACCTCGAATTAGAGGTGCGCGACATACAGAGCAAGCTCAGCACGGCCGAATACCAACTCAAGGAGAAGAAGTCGCTGGACGCTCAGGTGGAAGAGCTGAAGTCGCTGAACAACCAGCAGCGTGAAGCCATCAAATCGCTGGACAGTGAGCTGCAAGATCTAGTTCCGCGACTTGCGCAGGCGCAAGCGAAGTACGATGATGCGGCTCGCCGTGGCGGCGACAAAGACCGTCAGCTTCAAGCGGATGCAAGCAAGCTCAACAATAGCGTCGAGAAGTTGAAGCTCGCCAACCAGGAGATCGAATCATATCTCGCCCGTGGCGGCCCAGAGCAACTAAAGCGCGGCAAGCGTGAAGTCGACAATCTAAAGAACGAAGTCACTCGCTTGGAGCAGGAGCAAGTCCAGACTGTTCGTGAGGTCAAGGCACTCGAGGATCAGGTGCGCAGTGTCTCAGAGACGAGGCGTAGCATCGCCGACAACCAGCGTTACCGGCGTGACCTCCGCCAGCTCCAGCGTGTACGTGATGAGATTGCCGAGCTGGCGAAGCACAATGCAGAAGAGGAGAAGGCGCGGCACGAGAGCGAAGGTCTGCGCTGGCAGCGCGAACGCAACAAGCTTGCTGCCGAGCAAGCCACGGTGATCGGCTCGCTCAAGTCGAAGGACGAGACGCTCGTTAGCCTTCTCGCAGACTACGATACGGAGTACAAGGACTCAGCGAGAAAGTACAAGGAAGCACATATCAAGGTCGAGACCACCAAGGCCTGCGTGGAGGACCTCGGACGCTTTAGTGGGGCGCTCGACAAGGCCATCATGAGCTACCATTCACTCAAGATGGAGGAGATCAATCGTATCGTCGACGAGCTATGGCGCCGCACTTACCAGGGTACCGACGTGGACACCATCATGATTCGCAGCGAGAGCGAGGGTGGGAGAAGTACCAAGTCATACAATTATCGCGTTGCAATGGTCAAGCAAGACGCGGAGATGGACATGCGGGGCCGGTGCTCTGCGGGTCAGAAGGTACTGGCCTGTATCATCATCCGCCTTGCGCTTGCAGAATGCTTCGGCATCAACTGCGGTCTCATCACGCTTGACGAGCCCACCACCAACCTGGATCACGACAACATTCGTGCGTTGGCGGCGAGTCTGTCGGAGATCATCAAGGTGCGCCGCCAGCAGCGCAACTTCCAACTGGTCGTCATCACGCACGACGAAGAGTTCTTGCGGTATATGGGGTGCAGCGATTTCGCCGATGTGTACTATCGGGTCGCTCGCAATGAGTCGCAGAAGAGCCAGATCGAGAGAAACAACATTGCTGAGATACTCTAAGTGATGATGGCTCGTCGTCGGATACCGAGGGAAGTGCGGCCGAAGCGGTCAATATCTGGGGCATTAGCGTGCTGCAAGCATATCTTGACCCTCGGTCGATGTGGGACGGGGAAAGTGTTCAACTCATGCCGAGGGATCGAACGATATCTGTTCCCGCAGCGAGAACACAACCAAATTGCAGTGAGATGAAGTAAAGAACCCCTGATAGAAGTTAAGGGGCTGTAGCTATGGTATAGATAGGACAGACAAGCACTGCCACCTCAACTGTCTTGCGAAGACGTTGGCGGAGCTCAGACACGCAAGCGATCGTGCAGCCTCAGGCACAGTTTGCAGGCTTCCCACGTTTTCCACCTGTTGCCGCATTCGTGAGTCGTGCTGATCCACTGGCAAGCCAGCCGCTGCACCATAGCTTGCCGAGCTGTCGTATCTGAAAAGCAAAAGGGAACTCCGAAGCGGCTCGCAGCGCAGCCCACAAGCCCACCCACAAGGGAGGTCATCGTCACGGAGAATGTTTGCTCCAATGACATCCGGCGTAACAGCACGCACGAGCAGAGGACACAGACTTTAACCGGCCTGTTGCCCGAGCGAACTGAGAAAATGCTGTGCCTGGTGATCTGTATTCGCAATCGAAAGCTTAGCCCAACCGCTTATTTCGATGGAGGCTCTCCTGACCACCCATCCCAACTACTCCGTGTCGGCAACGCTGGGTGACTGAAGCTTGACCCTGTCTCACATCGGAGGTGGCAACGTGCTTCTTATGCGCTCGTCGCTGGGCAGGAGTGGCTGGGCGACGGGTAAATATAGGGTGGATCGCCAGCAGTTACGGAACGCCACTCAAAGCCGGACGTTTGAGACCCAGCGTACCCAACCATTTGCGTCGCTCGCCGTTCCCTTCCATCTGTCCAAGACAGACAGTTGCTAGGGGTCTGAAGGGGTCTGAAACTTTTCAGCGGACGCGGATATGGAGGTGTACGATGCTTTTCTGCCTCGGTCAGATGATTGTGCTCCGTTTAACAAAAGAGCTACGTCGACGTGCACGAGGGGAGGCGCACCTGATTGCATGTGATCGACGCTACCCTAAAAAGCGCTCATTCGGTACAGGGATCGACGGAGGCAGGCCGAGAGTGGCTTAAGCCTCAACCTTAAGCAAGAATTGCCAACTCGCTACGCCTGCAAGTGGCTAGAGGCATGGCGAGGAGCGCCAGGAACCGATTGCTTGCCATGCCAAGTCATCATCACTCTGCAGCGCATTCGCTGCTCTCCACCCGCCCACCGGCGCACCAGTCTCGCTGTGCGATTGATCCACCAGCCTGCCTTAGCAACAGAAGCTTTGATCGTCTCCTCGATGCTGCAGCTATTACTACTCGACAGCTAAGGTACCTCTGTAGCTCGAACTCCTTCCTCCCTCCAAGAAAGCCATTCGCGTCGCGTGTGTTCTGTGTCAAAGGCATCGCTTGCGTTGAGCCTCCCTGTCCCGACCTTCCGCTAGCCATACCCGCCGTCTCCATACTACCGTGCCCTCTCAGCAAGCCGCCACTCGCCAAGTTTGCTGCCTGGCCCACCCTGTGAAAATAGGAGTGCCGCCGTAAAAGCACGACTCGCTCCTCCAGAACTTCAGCGGCACACAGATTGCGAGGCTTCACTATCGGCGTGCCGATATTGACTATTGCCCGGGTTCGCAGCAGATTGCAGGACGCACCCCAGCATTCCGCCACAGACACTCATTCCACAAAACCAACTTTAGCAGCTTCGGTTGTTGATCTGTTGGTCTTCGACTGCACTCTTCAATCCATTCACTTGCATTTCTCCGCCGAGGTTGTGAGCTTGCAACGTCGACGACAAGGACGACCACCCACCCGACCACCTCTATCATCATGAAGTCCACTAGCATCCTGGCGCTATGCGCTGCCACACTCGCAGCTGCGACACCGTACGTTGAACACGGCAGTCATTGGAGGTTGCGGCGCTAACGTATTACCAGTGTGAAGAGACAATCAGGCCCTTCAGGCTGGAACTGGAGCGGCGAAACGATGCGAGGTGTCAACCTGGGCGGCTGGCTGGTGCTTGAGCCGTGGATCACACCCAGCATCTTCCAGGCGTACCCGAACTCACAAGGCATCGTGGATGAGTACACCCTCTGCCAATCCCTCGGCACCCAGGCCTGCCACGACAACGTGCTGAAGCCACATTGGGACTCATGGGTGCAGCTCGCCGACTTCCAAAAGATCGCCAACTCCGGCTTCAACCTTGTCCGTATCCCTGTAGGTTACTGGGCGTACGACAACAGCAACTCGCCCTACGCCAGCGGTGCGGCACCGTACATTGACCAAGCCATTACGTGGGCCCGTCAGGTTGGCGTCAAAGTCATCATTGACCTCCACGGCGCTCCTGGCTCCCAGAACGGCTTCGACAACAGCGGTCAGCGCCTTGGTGTGCCCGGCAGCGTCCCGGGCTCTCCCCAGTGGCAGAACGGCAACAACGTCCAGATGACGCTCAACGTCCTCCAAACCATCTCCCAGAAGTACGGCGCCTCTTCGTACAACGATGTCATCGCCGGTATTGAATTCCTCAACGAGCCGCTACTGTCCGACCTCAGCTTCTCCGAATACGAGGACTTCGTCCGAAACGCATTCAACCAGCTTCGTGAGACATCCCAGACCGTGACCGCCATTGTCCAGGACGGCTTCGACTCGCCCGCTGCCTACAACGGCTTCCTCACCCCCTCGGACAACAACTCCCAGTGGGTTGCCATCGACCACCACGAATACCAGGTCTTCACCAACGAGCTCGTCTCCATGGTGCCGTGGCAACACCGACAGTACACTTGCAACAACGTCGGCAGCTACACCGGCGCGGACAAGTGGTCGTTCATCGGCGAGTGGAGTGCGGCCATGACTGACTGTGCTGCCGCGTTGAACGGTTACCTCATCGGCGCGCGTTACGACGGCACCTACCCGGGCTCCTCGTACGTCGGATCCTGCGCCAACATCAACTTCATGGAGACATGGAGCGCGGACATGATCTCCGACACCCGCGCATACATCGAGGCGCAGATGGAGGTGTACGAGCACTACACCAACGGATGGTACGGCTCATCCCACAAACCGATGAAGTCTATTCGTCGTCATGCTAACATTAACCCCCTCACAGGATCTTCTGGAACTTCAAGACCGAGGCCTCGCCCGAATGGGACGCCTTCCGCCTGATCGACGCCGGCATCTTCCCGCAACCACTCACCAGCCGCCAGTTCGGCCAGATCTGCACCTACTGATCTACATCCCATCAGATCAAACAATAGCTCGCACAACACATATGTGCGGAACGGCCGAGCGAAACAGCATTGACGACGAGACGGAAATCAACACATTTGCATCATAGACAACCGCGGTCTTGGGTTGGAATAAAATGGGGCGCATTTAAGCAAAAAAGATGAGGGGGGAACCACACACACACACCACATTGCATTCGACAGAGGTGTTCGCTAGAGTAACGAGACGATCGGAGGAGAACTGCGTTCAAACTGTAGACACTTGGCTTTGTCGATATACCCCGAGTCTCGTTCAGACTCCGCGAGATGCCTTGTATGGGAGCGGCTTGACGCGAGTTAACCTAATCACAGCGGTAGTACTAGTGTGTACAAATTGGAATCGATCTTGGTGACGATTTCTCGAGGCTCAGTATCCTTCGCCATCTGTTTGACCGCACCGCGCGGTGAGTAATGGTATACCTTCCTTGGCATGTATTACATAACGTCCTCTCGTTACCATAAGCTCTGGCTGCCTTTACGGCCTCCATCTGAAAGCAGGATGCTTCCAGTCCAGATCCGCGACAACGGCCGCATTCTTCCCAGCCAACTCCGCATCGATATCCTTCTTGTCCCTCTTCTTGTTATCCCACTGCATCCACAGCAGCAACAGCGTCGACAAGAGTAGTATCGTGGTGCTCGTGGCCAAGTTCAACCCATTCCCAATATGGTAATTGGGCGCGTCGAACGGCAAGAACGCCCACGTACTGACCAAGCCACCGAGATTGCCGAACATGACATTCGTGCCTATCGCGGCCGCGCGAGCCGTATCCGTCACCACGTTCGCGGAGACCTGGGCGTTGCACAGCGCGCCGAAGCTGAAGGCACCGCTCGTGATGATGAAGGTGGCGCCGTAGCGGACCTGCGGGTTCGTCGAGGCGAGGAAGAGGATGTAGCCGATCATGATCAGGGGTGCGGAGATGATGAAGAAGATCTGGCGGCGGTCGGTTTTCCAGGAGAGGAAGGGGAAGAGGATTGTAAAGAATCCGCCGACAATATAAGGAGGGACAGTCCTTAGTTGTTGGAAGATGACCGCCTTTTTGGGGTAGATGGTGGCGATGATCCTGGGCAGGAAGAAGGCGAGGCCTTGCACGGTGATGTTGTTGAGGAGGAAGATGCAGGCGGTGCCGAGGGTGACAGGGTTGAAGATGCCGCGCATGATCTTCTTGCTGTCCATCTTGTCGAGGACTTCGGTGGTGCCGACGCGCTCGGCCTTGACGCGGGCGATGGCTAGGTCTTTTTCTTCTTGGCTGAGCCAACGGGCGACTGCCGGGCGGTCGGTCAGGGTGAAGAAGGAGATGAGTGCCAGGCCGCAGGTGATTATGCCTTCAACGAGGAAGATCATACGCCAGGTGTGCAGGTGGCCGATGTGAGGCAGTTTCAGGATACCAGAGGCTAGGAGGCCTCCGAAAGCGCCAGCCAAGGGTGCCATGACAATGTAGAGAGCGAGGCGGAAGGCAAGCTCACTGCGTCGGTACCATCGAGAGAGATAGTATGCGATACCAGGCATCATGCCGGCTTCGAAGATGCCGAGCAAGAACCGCACACCACATACCTGGGCACGAGTATGCACGAAGGCCGTGCCAAAGGAGCATACGCCGAAGAGTAGGGTGCAAGTTGGGATGAACAGACCCGGGCCCATTTTCTTGCAGAGGATGTTGGATGGGATCTCGAACAGGACGTAGGAGATGTAGAAAACGGAGAGGATCATGTTGTAGTCGTAGCCCTGGAGGTGGAGGTCCTTCTGAAAGCCGGCGATGTTGGCATTGCCTGAAAACCGCGCTGTTAGCACCTGCTCGGCCCACATTCCATGAGCGGGTGAAGCGACGAACCGATGTTGGCGCGGTCGATGAAGCAGAATAAATAGAGGAGTGACACGGTAGGCACGACCATCAAGTCGATCTTCATGCGCAGCTTCCGCTCAGCGACAGGGTCGATGTGAACCAGAGCATGTCCGTACCTATCGTTTCACTGTCAGCTCGTCGCCACCCACACGCCGACGTTGGGAAGAGAAACGTACTGATCCGTAGCAGCCTTTCCCCGCTCAGCGGCTTCATGTGTCGTCTCCTCGACATACAACTCGGCCGCCTTGTCGTTCGCCATGTCCTTCGAGCCAATTGGTGAGTGCTCCATCGTGGGATGAGGTGGGAGCGAGGTGAAAGGGGGATAGAGCAAGACCGTATCGAAAGCTCAGCCAAGGCCTACGACCACGAAGGAAGTCGAAGTGGAGGAAGAGGCAGATGAGGCTGCAAACCTTACTTTATGTCGCACCGCTGCATTCGTCCCGTGCAGACAGTGCAGCTTACCGACTCGACCTACCGTCGAGTGTCTGCCGACCGTTTGCGGGGGGACTCCAGACCTCCACGCGTAATGACAAGGCTCGAACAGCACATGGCCTGATGTATATCTCACCTCCTGCCACTCACAACGAGCGCCGAGCCAGACTTGCTGACTGGGCGCGCTTGGATTTGCTTGGAACTGGGGCGACTTGGGGCAAGCGGGCGGAAGCCGAAGGGGGAATGCGGGGTCTGGACCGACGCCTTTTGCGACTTCCTGGGCGTTGCAAGCGAGGGCTCATACCGGAGAGAGCCGGGGCAGGTGCTTGGCAGCTATAGTCAGCTACACCCGAGGTGGACTTGGCGACGGCAGCCGTAGACTCGAACGCTCTGGATTGCCAAGATGCCTCTTTCTTCTTCGCGTTCGTTGGCGTCTCGTCTGCCGTCCAAAGAGCGAATCCCGCATTCGAGTACCGACATCCAAATAACATGCGCGCATAGTGATGACATGCACGCTTGGTAAGGGAAGTGTTTCCAAGAGCAACGCCATTGTCGGAACGGGCATCCCTCACTCACCCTCACCCTCTCCCACCTCCGCCTCCCTCTCCCCTCTCTCACACCGCCTCAAGCTCTCCTCATCAAACACCGTCTCTCCCTCCCCCAGAATGCCCGCCCTGCCATACTTCACCACCGGCCCAACCATCTCAATCCAATCCCTCCGCTTCTGCATCAGCGCCCTCACCCCATCGCTCACACCCCTTTGCCCCACCATCCCGACGCCCGCAACGCCCCTCTGACCCGCCTTATTAGCACCCTTCTTCGACGGCTTACTCGCCAATGAACGATTACGCTTGAGATACGCGGCATTGACTTGATTGTCGAGGTCGTCGGCAATGTTGGAATACTCCTGCATCGCCATGCGCTCTTCCGTCAGCTCCAGCACGCGCGCCTTGCGGATGTTGTTCAGACGCGCGACGCGGCGGAGTTCGGCTTGTAAAGTGCGCAGGCGAGCGGCCACTTCGTCATCGGCGTGGGCGTCGTAGTTGGGTTGTTCGGTGGGTCCTATGAGCCCCGCGTAGCGTAGTTCTTGCATCAGGCGCTGATCTAAGGTTTCGAAGTCAGGCATTGGCGGGGCGTTGGGAAGACGAGGCGCCTCGGGCGGGAGACATGTTGCGGGCGCCTGTTTCTCCTCGGTTGCTCCGGCGGTGGTAGGAACGTCCTGTGTGTCGTCGCCGTTGCCCATCGTCGTGTCGCCGTCGGCGTCTTCTTCCTTCTTCGTGTTGCCACTGGGCGCGGCTCGGAGAAGCGCCATGAGGCGTTCCGTCGCAGGACCTAGGCTGACTTCGTCTGTTTCAGCCGTATTGTCGTCCATGTCGTCCATGCTACCTCTCGCTTCGTTGGCGCTCAGTTCCAGCTTGGCCGGAGGCTCTATCCCCGTCAAGCCGTCCTCCGCCGCCCAAACATCCTTGTAGCTTTTCGTGCCGCGGTTAGGGATGATGTAGGGCGTCACCCTGTCGCCGCGTTCCTTCAAAAAACTCACATCCTCCTCGGTGAACGGACGGATGAAAGGCTCCACATACGTTTGGAAAGTGCTGAACGCGACCTGGTTGGTTGGCTTCGCATTGCTCAAATCCAGATCGGGTGGGTCTCCAGCTGTGAGATCCTTCAAGTCGCTTTTGGGCCAGTGGAGCACGTTCACGATATCGCGCACATCGTCGTCGCTCATGTTTGGGGTAATGGGGCGGATGTCATAGATGGTTGGATCGTCGGAGTTGGTTGGGTCTTTACCAAACATGCGTTCATACAGAGGAACTGTAGGTGGGTCCGTATCGGGAGAATCTGCGTCCGCTGGTGATGCTGCGGTGTCCATGGGATCAATGATAGCTATGCCAGGCTGGACAGGTGGAGATGGAGGTGGTGGTGCACCTGCAGGACGTTGATTTAGCTTCAGTACGAGACAAGGCGACATTTTGCGAGACGAGAAGGATGGTGCTGCCACACTGGCACAAAGCTCGGCCATCTCAAGATGCGCCTCACGATAGTGCATGAGAGGCAAGCAGACGTGCAAGTGAATGCGACATTTCCTCATACCGCCCAGAAAGAGAGACACGAAACTCACCTTCATGCACTCCGACCCCATCTTGCCTTGCCAATCCATGCGCACCCACACTCGGCAAGCTCTCCTTCTCCTTCGCCTTCTGCTCCTTCGAGTCCAGCTCCATCTCATCATGCGACCGCTTCCGACTCACGGCCTTCTCCACCTTGATCGCCTTCTTCTTCTTCTCTTCCTGCTCCTTCTTCACCAATTCCCTCTCCTCTTCCTCCCTCTCCAATTGCAGCCGCTCCTTCCGCTTCACCGCCAACTGCCGCATCCCGCGATCGCAGACTTCATTCCGCTTGCCCATGAACTTGTTCACGCCATCACGAATGCGGTCGTGGACGCCGTGGAGTTCCTTAGCGGAGGGCGGCTCGGCGCCCTTTGCGCTCGTGCCGGTGAGGAGCTGTTCGATGCTTGGGTCGCCCGCAACCAGAGCCGAGGTGATGATGTGGAGGTACGCGGACTCCTTGGGAGCAACCGGGACGGCGGTGGTGGGTGTCGCAGTCAGTGGGGTTGGTGGGGCGGTGTTGTCGGTAAGGGAGGAGACGGGTGTGCTGTGGCGAGAGGAAGAGCGACGGTCGCGAGGGGCAGCTCTGGGTGCAGTGCCCTTCTTGGATGCGGACGGCGGCATGTTGCTAGCAATAGCACCGGTGTGCTTCGGTGAATGTTCGATTCGCGGCTCGAAATAGTGAATCTACCGCCACATGGTCTCGAACGAGGGATGAAGTACTCTACTCAGTAGCTGCCACTGCCTGAACGATCTATCCCCACCAAAGGTCCCGCCTTTGCTGAATCGTCGATACGCGCTGTTGGAAGATACTTTGTTGATTCCCTACGCTTGCTCATTGTCCCCTCGCGCATACGCCAGCTTGATCGCCAAGCTCGCCAAGCATCTTCTACTCCGCCTCCGCAATGCTTAGCTTATAGGAGTGCACGTGATCGATCGATCGACATGATGAGTCGTGTTAGACGAGAAGACAGAAAGAAGCAACCTCACGGGTTGTACTCCTGACAAGATGCATAGATCTCTTACTTGCGTGTACCGATGGCTGTAGAACAGTTGCAAAGCGCAGAACGTCCGAGTCACGTTGAAGGCCAGGCCAGGCCAAGCTTTGTGGGCGCGGGAGTGGCGTGTGATGTCCCGCCCAGCGCCCGCTGTGACCGCGCAATGCATGCCACTCTCTCGTCCTCATCCTTGTCCTCATCCTCACCACCTCCACCACCTCCTCTCTCTCCTGCTTCGCTCGCGCTACTCCGCGTGGACACTATATGAACGTTGTTCGTAGAGGGAGGCGATGCCTCTGCGATTCCTGAATACTGTATTTATCAACCTGCACTGAGCCTCGCTGGGGTGGCGTAACTCACTGCCCACTTGTTTTGGTCGCCCAGGAACGGTAAATACGATGTGTATGTCCACTCCCGACTTGGCATACTCCAAGCGCTGCTACAATGGCAGCGTCATTTGACCAATCAGACAACCTCACTGACGTACTCAGCCGCCCAATCCCTCCAAGTCGTCACCTTCGACTTCCCCAACCCTGACTACACCTCCTCGCTTCCTCAGACGAGCCACCGCATCAACGCCAGCATCTCCTTCACCTACCTGACCTCCTTCAACCTGCGCACCCTCTCAAGCAACGCCGCCTCCCCCGGCGACGACGTCAGTGGTCTCCTCTATGTCCCAGACTTGGACCCCACCTCAGCCTGTAACAACGCAAGTGCGCAGTACATCCCGCAGAACGTGACACGACGGGCGAATCTGCCGAATCAGAACTACTATCTCATTGCCATCGCGCCATGGCTGAGCCCGGAATGCGTGGGGGAGTACTTTGCGGCAGCACGACAAAGTCCTGTGAGAGGTTTTCTGACGTTCTTACCGGAGGATACGAGTAGTAACATCCCGCCGGAGGTGTCGAGTAGTGTTTGGGGTATTGGAGATGGTGGAAGTTGGAAACGGCAGAATGCCTACCCAGTCTATGCCATCCCGGGCGCCAGCGCGAGAGCGCTACTCAACGCGAGCGCGGACTACAGCGGCAACATGACGAGCGTACCTTTCGGACACACGTTGACCGAGATCTACGATCCGCGAGACTACGTCCGGCTGTTCGCGGCAATCGACACGAGCGGAGCGTCTTCGTTACCTAGTCTGTGGGTGTTTTTGCTGGTGGTACTGGGCATCTTGATGGCTATCATCGGGCTCACGAGCTTCACCATGCATTTCCTCCAACGACGAAGACGGCAGGCGTTGAGACGACGCGTAGCGAACGGAGAGGTTGACTTGGAGGCCTTGGGTATCAAGCGCTTGACTGTGCCGCAAGAGGTGTTGGATGGGATGCCGCTATATACATACGGCTCTGGCGCACCCGTGGCGGCGAAAGAAGTCGCCGTAGCCGACAAATTGGCCTCAGCATCAAGCAGCCGACCAACCTCACCGACCTGGACGACCCGACCATCACCGGCGAAAAGGACGGGTAGTTTCCACCCCACAGCCCTCCAACAACCCACCTGCGCTATCTGTCTCGATGACTTCGTACCAGCTTCTACAACTCCCGAAGACCGCGAGGCGGAAGCTTCGATTGTGCGCGAACTCCCGTGCCACCATATTTTCCACCCGGACTGTGTGGACACCTTCCTGCGGGACTCGAGCAGTTTGTGTCCGATGTGCAAGAAGACGGTCTTGCCAAAGGGTTACTGTCCGCAGGTGGTTACCAACGCGATGGTAAGGAGAGAGCGGATGATAAGACGAATACGGGAGAGGGTTGTTCTTGAGCCCGATGTCGAAGACGAAGGACTGCCGGGAAGGAGAGGGGTAAGGGCGTCAAGGACCTTCTCCGGCCTCCCACTTCTGCGCGGAAGCCGAAGAGTGTCATCCGCGCCTGTGCAGGCCTTGACGGAAATGTCGCCCGTTCCTGCTCCCGAAGCCTCGCATGTACCCGCCGATGACGGTCGCGCTCGGACGCCTCAAGGTCAACCACCTTCCACTCCCAGCCGGAGAGAGTGGGCCCGGCAACGAGCGATTGCTATGTTGGGCCGTCGGACAGCACCCGCTGATCCGGATGCTGAAGAGCGGCGGAGTACGCCTGGGTGGCGGAAGGCGCTGAGGGTAGTGTTCCCTATGGCTTCTGCACGGTAGCGTTAGTATCGCATGATCTTTGCTAGTATGAGCGAAATTTGTGGAAGCGTTAATGAAAGTCGTGGGCATGACGGGGAATGAAAGCACGTAGTGATGATTTAGCGAAGGCGTCCCTGGGTGTGTTGTGGGATAATATATATATCTATCCTGCCTAATTGCATTGCGCTCTGCAAGCTCACCTTACCCTTGCACTTGTCTCGGCTATGTTCGGTTAGCAACGTGCTCAACAACAAGATAACAACGCGTAGTAACTGGGCAGTTTGAGTTGACAGCTGGCAGCGCCTGCCATGCTGATATCGTTCGCTCGAGTTACTGTGTCCGGGTCGAGACACTGCTCCCTAGCGCCCATCTTATCCTAGTCACCCACCTATCCTCGCGGGGCCATCCATGGGTCTATAATTTGAACAGCCAATCTTGCTTGCGGAACCTGACCTCAAACTCCACAGCTCCAAAGCAGCCCACAGCAGCAAGCAAGTCATGCTTCCCCTCAAGCCCATACACATTCCCCTCCGTGGCATCTCTGTCCCGCTCTTCGTGCAGGTCCCACGCCCCGTCCCTCTTACCATTCCGCGTAAAGAAGACATCAACCCGAGGCGTGCCACCCTGATACACCGGCGGCGAGAACGTCATTCCAATGCCAACCACATCGCCCTTTCGGAACGCTTGCGTGAAATCCTTCCCGCCAAGCGTGTTGTTGACGTACCGTCTCCCGTCGTCTCCGTGAACGGCAAGCGACGCGCGATGCCATCCCGGAAGACGCCACGAGGGGTATGGTGGCGCCAGGAAGCCTAGAGCGATGCCTGCGTCTGCCTCGCCCGTGCGGGATATATGGCCCATGGAGAGTACTTTGAGCTCGTAGTAGATTGTCGTGGGACTGTGCGTGGTAGCGGTGTAGACTGGCAAGTCGGATAGGAAGATTGTGTCGCCGCAGGCGGCCGTGGTCTTGACATGTGTCCTGCCAAAGCCAGGTTCGTAAGACGCGACATTCTTCGTTCTGGGTGGCGTTGTTAAACGAAGGTCGCCGTTTGCAATGCGTTGGAGCGTTTGCGGGGGTTGGCTGGTCGGACGCCACAGCGGGTTCTTAGCACACCAGGCATGGCCTCGTTCGGCATCGTCTGCCGTAGCGTTGGCCGTGGGACTACGATCATCTTGGAAAGACGGCGGCGGTGGCAGGAAGCTGCTGTCCGGTACTGCTAGCCAGGGATCGTATGGCGGTGGTTCTTGCTCCTTTTCGCTGTGCGAGGGCGGTGGACCCGGTGGAGGAGCGTAATCGTCGGCTGCTGCTTGATAACCAGGCGGAGGTCCGGAGGGCGGCTCGTAATCTGCTCTTTGGAGCGACTGTTGCTGGGAATCTTTCCAGGTAGGAGGCGGGCCCGGTGGGGGTGCGTATTTCTCACTCATCGCTCGCTGGTTGCCACTGCCGGCGCTGTTTTAGTAGACTTGAAGCTAGATTTAGGCCTTAGGACGAGTTGCCCGCGCGAGAGTCGATCTGGGTATTGTATGCTTTGCCTTCGCGGTATGACGATTCTAGGCTTGACATTAGTGGTCGATGACTATGTGTTGGAGGTCAGGCTTGAGCCCTGGGAGTGTGAGAATGTAAAGTTGGACCACTGAAAGATCACTTTCCGTCTATGTTGATATCTAGGAGAGCATATGCAGGCCATGTATATGCGGACATGGGGCTTCCGGTCAGTCTTCTCGAGAATGGTGTGCATGCACTGCCTCAACCCCGTCAGCCAAGGAAGGCACGGCGACCCCACTTGGCGCTGAGCCTACCGGATGGGCCGTGCCGTGCTTGTGAATGGTGACGCTTTGTTTACTGTTACGATTGCGAGCATTCGCATTCGATGCGACTCGCGATGGCAGCGCACTGGGGATGGCGCATGACGAACCTTCTGCACAGTTGCATCTCGAGCTACGAGAAGCCGTTCAGGCCGCCCTAGCTACTCATCGTCCCATCCTACACCACCTCAACGCTGATACAAGCTGGTTGTTGCAGCTTCCACGACCAGACAGTGCGGTTCGCAATGGCGGGCGCCTATACTACAATATCCTGATCGATCCATGGTTGGGCGGCTACCAGATCGACTTCGCTTCCTGGGTAAGTTCTTCTGCTCGTCAGACTCGCCTGTTCGATTGCGATGATATGAGACTAACGACAACCAATAGTTCTCTCAGCAATGGCACCGAGAGCCGTGCGCGGTGGGCAGTATCGCAGCAGTTGAAGAGCTTGCGCAGGAAATAGAAATACTAGCGTCGGGACTTCGAATTGGGGCTGGCAGGAAAAGCAGTAAGAATGCCGAGCTCGAGGATGGCAACCTAGAGACGTTCATTGATGCGCTCGCTATATCCCACGAGTTTACCGATCACTGTCACCAAGAGACATTACTCCAGTTACATCCGGACGTGCCGGTCTTTGCAGTCAAGGAGGCTGTCAAGGTGATCCGTGGCTGGCAACACTTCCGGACGATTACCAAGATTGACGAATTTGGTCCGGCTGACGATGTGGACTGGCGAAGCACAAGTGTGCCACCTCTACCGGAGTGGGTTGGAATCGGCAGACTGGTGCAGCATTCAGATGTTGGCAACCTTCATTCAGCGTTGATGATTACATTCAACAATCAGCATGCTCGAACGAGACTAAGCCACCCTAATGGTCACAGCCATGCTCGGAAGCGACATGCCACCATCGGGCCGGATGAGAGTGAAGAGTCTGCGGAAGCGGTGATCTACACTCCACACGGCATTGCGGCGCAAGAGCTTTCCATGGTGACCAGAGCGTCACCGACCATCAGAACGCTTGCGCTTGTGCACGGCTTGCAGAACGTCCGCCTCAAGCCGACGAAAGGTATCACAGCATTGCAGATCAACCGTGGTGGTCTGAACGGTCTGGAGGCTCAACGAGCGCTGAACGCTCGCTATTGGGTCTCTACTCACGACGAGATTAAGAGAGGTCGTGGTTTGATCGGGTGGTTACTTCAGCAGCAAACCATCACGCCGAAGGAAGCCTCATCTCAGTTGCAGAGAAGCGCAGGAGATCGTGCCGAGGCAGGCACGAACGGGCGAGGAGACGCTTCAGACGACACGCACTGGGTCAGCGTAGGGAACGGCGAGAGCAAGATTCTGGAGTGAAGTGTTTTGGAAGCCACCACGAGAGTTAGCTTGATCTTGGGTGGCGCCCATACGCCTAGAGACGAGCGCAACCGACGCAAGCGTAAAGAATGATCGAGGCCGTGTGTCACGCTACCAGACCACCGAAACTCTCGCTGAAATCTCGGCCTTTATCTGTATCGGTGTAGCGCGGAGCTATGGACCTTGAGACGCTTAACAATACCTGCATCAAGAGTATAGTGGATACGACCACTTCCATCCTGGAATTGTAGAGTCTTGAGTTATGAGCGCATGGCTGCTACGTTTCGAATTCGAACTTACTTCCGAGACTTGTTCTACGTTAAGTCAATCTCCAGCTTCCCACCTACAGGCTTGATCGCGAAGTAGTCGATGAAGTCCATGCTCTCCGACGTCACCGAGTCTGCAAGTTTGGCGTCTGGGCACTCGCGGAAGAAGGTCGAGACCGCGTGGACGATTTCTAGTCGAGCAATGTTCTGGCCAACACAGGCTGCCACTAATCAGCGTTGCTCAACAAACTCCTAATCAACGCTACTGACTCCTTGCATTGCCGCCAAATGGGAAGAACGAATCCTTCATTTCCTGGGTGACATGGTTCCATCGATCAGGGTTAAAGCTGTGACAATCGGTCAGCTTTAAGATGCATAGCGCTCGGTCAGGAGGTTGTCGTACTTATCTGGATCCTCCCAAACATCGGGGTTGTGGTGCATTGTATAAGCCTGCGTTTCCACGACTGTCTCGCCCGGAATAGCGTAACCAGCCAGGACTGCGCCGCCTGCGGGCGTTTGACGGAATAGCGGCCCAGGAATAGGTGGCATCCAACGGAGTGTCTCCGCAATGACATTCTGCATATATGTTTGCGCTTGGAGAATCTCCCAGTCTGGAGCTTGAGGACAGGAATCTAACTCGTCGAGCAGTCTTCGCTTGACGCTGGGGTTCTTCAGTACAGCGTAGACAAGCCAGGTTAGCAACGTTGCAGTTGTGTCTGGTATCAGAAATCGGATCAGCAAGAGCTCACGGCCAACGACGAAACGGTAGGCTATCACAAACAATCTGTGCTTACCCGTCCCAGCTACAATCACGTTTGCGCTCTCTATAGCTACGAGAAAGTCCGGCAGCGGTGCTTCACCTTCCTCGGGCACCATCTTCGAGAAAAGTGTCTTGATACCGCCCTTCGCTGCGGCTTTCGAATTCTGCACGGCCTTCTGCCCGTTCGAGACATATCGCTTGAGCATATCCGCCGGACGACCTACTGGAGGTAGCGGAATATATTGAAAAGCATTCATAATCCAGGGCAGCTCCAACCTCAGCCCCACGTACAGCGTGCTTGCCTCAACGTTCTCTATGAACTCCGATTTCTTTAAGCCATGGCCGATCGTCAGCTTCTTAATATCAAAGTGATCGGACTACTTCGCGACGACTTACCTGACCCTTTTCGACAAGCCGAAAAGGCTCGCCGAAGGCCAGTGTGCCCACGACGTCCGCTGCCATCAGTTGCCACCACTTCATAAGGTCAACAACTCCTTGACGGCCTTCTTGCTTGATCTCTTGCACAGTCTGCTTGATTATGTCGACGATCAACGGCTCCCATTCGAGGACCGTGGTCAATGAACCTGCCATCTGGAAGAGCTTCCTCCGTGCAATCGCCTTTTTCGGGTCTCGAACACCGAACACGCCGGTAAGCTCGTCTGAATGCTGGCCTGGCATCTGGTTCTGGTACTGTTCGCCCAATGTGGTATGTCAGTGACAGGGAGAAGGGTGAACCGGGCCATTGGCAGAACGCACCCATGGAGCTTTGATAAACTGCGTCCCAACCTTATGGATCTCACGATGAGCCCTCATATCGGAAAAAGAGACCTCGAAGGGCGCTATCCGCACGACTGGGCCTACAATATGCTTCAGCTTGACGGACGCTTGGGAGACGAGTTAACAAGCCTACCATAGATCTTGTGGAGTGCATGAATATAATGTGTCCGTCTCCCAGACAAGACTCGAAGCTTCAGCGGAAGCGTGGTGAACCTGTTCAGTACCGGGCCTGGAATGCGACGGAGATCGCTGTTATACGCCCGTGCTATGACCTGCTTCAGTCAGCCTTTTCGGTAGCCTGGCATGGCTATGAGTATCGTGCCTGAGCCAAGTGTACAAGCGTCGCAAGTGCGAGAGCTGCGAGAGCCGATTGTATGAGCCTGTCCATAGTAATATTATGTGTGTTTTCGCTTCCGGAAAGGATGAGAGGGTCTCCAACAATAGTCAAGACGCATAAGAGCGAGGGACAGTAGTGCTAAAGGATGCCACTGAGGTTCCTGAACTCAGCCTTACATGAGTTTGTTTGAGCAATCCTCCCAACCGAAGGAACAGTGCACAATCATCCTACCTGCACAATGTGCTCACCGCAGGAGTAGAAGCCAAGGGAATAAAGGCCGGCGTGGCAGAGCACGTAGCTGAATAGCCAATGTCGCTATCCAACTCCAGCTGCAATGCAGGTTCCCTCCTCAGCCCTAAATGCTGACAGATCGTGTGCAGACAAGGCTTCCCGCAATGACACAGACATGGGTGCATCCGCTCGTTGATCGTCTTCGTATGGTGAAGGATGTCAACCTAACCAGTATGTGCAGTTGTATTATATCTCACTGGCTGGTCAATAGGTCCTCTCAGTGTTTGCCCGTCCCAGCCGGAAGCCACAATGAGCGGGGTTCCCCCAGAATGCACCAAACCTAATCTACGTCAGTGGCGATCATGCATGTGTGTGATTTGAGAATAGCTCGACCCTGAAAGAGGCGACGCTTCAAGCTTCAATGCAAACAGTCCACAAGTACGCCTGGTATATCCTCGTGATAGGAGGCATCATCAGCACACTGAGCTCGGCACTGCACAATCCATTCGGCAACGCTCAGCATCAGCATCACCAGCAACAACAACTCTTCGCCATGTCCAAGTCACTCAATGGTACGTCTGAATACTTCAAATCAGTGACACATATGTTGACACCCTCCTTCAGTCTTCAAGAAGCCACTCGCGCTGCACTCTACAAATCCCATGACTGGCTATCTTCGTAATGGCTACTGCGAAGTCCCCGCGAGCGACTTCGGCAACCACTCAGTCGCCGCAGAAGTCACCGAGGAGTTTCTCGACTTCACAGCAAAGCAAGGCAACGACCTACGACCAGTAGGTCTCAAAGGCGGCTGTAAGTGGTGTCTTTGTGCTTCAAGGTGGCTGGAAGCATTTGACGCAAGAGAACGAGAACCGGCCGGCGAGAAGATCGTACCGAAGATCTTTCTGAATGCCACGAACGAGAAGGCGTTGGGAAAGATTGAACTTGAGATCTTGAAGAAGTATGCAGCTGACAAGGAGGCGTAACACACCTAGTTACTGAACGTATCCTTGGTTGTCAGGTTGTCTTCTTTCCCTGCATTCTAATGCATTTGTTGGGCAGACGGCGCAGTGATCTTACTGCAAGCCTATTTATCAACACAGCATTATGCAAAATGAACCGCAAACCCTCAGTTTCCAGTCTGGTCCGGACGCCGCTCGCTACAGCTTACGGTCCTCTACCCAATCGCACGAAGGCATAGTGCTCCGACCCAATGCGCCGTTTCGAATGTCGAGCTGGTTTGACTCATCGACGCCGCTGTGATTCAGTCGAAATTTTCGACTTGAAGGGCGCAGCGAACGCTTCACCACTCGAACTCTCCCATGCCCTTATGGAAGACCCACTCCTTGCCGCTTATGCTCATCACGCCATCCTTCAGCGTGCACTTCCACTTGTTCTTCACCCGCTGCACCTTGTCGTAGGTGCAAAGGATGGTATCGCCGAGGTCGTCTTCTTCGTCACCAATGTTACCTGTAGGGTCTTCATCCGAATCAAGGTCTGAGTTGATGGCGTCTTCGTCATCTTCGTCTTTGATCTTAGCCTCATCGTCATCGAAGTCGTTGTCTCCGTCGAGTTGAGAAATCGAAGGCTGTGATTGGGCTTTCGAGCCACTCGCGATCGGAGCAGTTCCGCGACGCTTTCGGTCATACAAGCCCGGCTGCTCGCCGAGAGGCAACATCAAGCCACTCTGTAGGTCTGCCGAAGATTGCAGGACTTGATCCCGCATCATACGATCAGCACGCCGGGTTTGCTCGGCCGTGACTGCGCGTCTTTGTGCAAGCTGAGACTGCCATTGCTGAAGCGCATCATCTGCGCCATCAGTCTGCGCATATGTCGCAGTTGGCGGCCGAGGTTGTTGAGTATAAGAGCCTTGGTTCACTTGAGGGGTTTCATTTTCGACCTTGATCCGAGGCTGGGCTTGCTGTTGCTGCAATGCTTGCTGCTGACGTTGCATGTTGTACTGCTGCTGTTGTTGCGCATACTGCTGTGCACTTTGCGTGGGCATCTGCAAGCCTTGCGGACGCTGGCCGGGAAGCGCGAGCCCACGTTGCGCCTGCTGTTGCTGTACAAGTTGCTGCGCCCGGGCAAATCCGCCTTGGGTGGGTGGTGGTTCACGCGAATAGCCGTTTGAAAGTCCATGATACTGTGCCTCCGCTCCGGGCTCAGCTTTGATATAAGTACTACCGTTGACGGCACCGGCTTGACCGTCGTAAGGATACGACGGCAGACCATTTGCTGCAGACGGTAGCGGCGAAGCAGTTGTAGCTTGTGCCTGTGGCGGTGCAGCTTTAGGATCCCATGGCATGACTGCTACATTGCGTGCAGAGAGCTTGGTTCTCCATTCCTGCAATGCTGTTAGCGTGCAGACCAATCATGCAATACCGCAGAGCAAGAAAGGGTATGGCGCTGAACGCGGCGTCACATGACGTGCGAGCTACCGAAAGCGGTCAAGCGGCGGTTGAGCGTGACCGGGGTCGGTGGGTCAAATCCGTATAAAACTGTGACTGTAAAGGAGCGCCGCCCTCCGATCTCTGAGACCTTGAAGCCCCGCTTCTTGCCCGCTCTGCGCCCATCATCCAAATCCTGCTCCTGCTGCGCCGCCTAGGAGGCAGTCAAGATGCAGATGTTATACGGATACTAGGAGATTTTTGCCAATGACGAAAGAGTGAGATGTGAATTGCAGATTCGCAAGCCCAGAGGACTTCTGGGCTTCACTCGGGTACTGCTTGGGATGAAGATGGGAAAAGTGCATCACTCACTTTCGCCAAATCTTCCAACACAGATGCGCTTACGCCGCTCTCCTCGAACTGATCTTTCGAACCGGCAACGACTTCCTCAATGATCTTCTTGTAGATCTCGCCCTGCGAAACGTGTTAGCCTGCAATCGTTGTAGCCTTGTCCATCACCAAGGCCTTCACTGGACCTGAGCGTACCACAAGCTGGTTCGTCATCCCGAAGTTGGTGAAGAAGGTTCGCCAAGGGTATCACGAGTAGGAGGAAACACTGTTGAGCTGATCGCGCGCCGTAGTCGCCGTCGCTATGCTTGAATGTGAGTCGTTGCAGAGGCGGAGGTGTTCGGCTGCGCAGCTTTCACCGTGCGGGAGAAGGTAGCTATTTGTCTGTTGCACTCTTCGTTTTTTGGTTTCATAATCATGGCATACTACAAGCCTTTCGCAACTGATCTACAGGCTCCGGAGCACACTTCGATTGTGTGCGCCAATGTTTGTATCCGTTTAAGAGCGTTTTGGGCTGACGAACGCGGAGGTTAATATACTGCCTTAGCGGCTGCTCCCGCGTTCACGTGACATGACTCAGTGAGCTGGCCCTAGGCAAGTGAACTTATCAATTATACCTACTATCGCTGGTTATCTGCCACTCAGTGCTGCGTCAGGCTCATTCCACACCCAACGAGGATAGAGTCGATCTATTCATTAATCCACCCAGCCCTTCTTCTCATCTCCCCTGAGCATAACATCATTGGTGGTTGGAGGAGGCGCATATTCTGGCCGAGGCGCATCAACAGGTGGCAGATGACTTGCAATGGCGTCTTCATAGCTCGGCGGCGCATCACTATACATTGGCGGCTGCTGCGACTCTGGAGCTGAGACGGTTCCCGGCCGAGCAGGCAGCTCTGGCGGTGCAGACGGCCGTACCGTTTCTGCGTCCACGGGTGTTGGTGGGACGTGGTTTGCGGCTGTCGAAGGCTTACGGCCGTCAGTCTTGAGCTTCTCGGAAGCTGCATCAGCTACAAGAGAAGGTCGGCGAATGTTGGCTTTCGCCTGCGCCATTGCTTCCAAAAGCTGAGGCGGCGGTGTAATGCCGGAGTACACCTGACAGTCCAGCCGCAAAGGCAGCGCAATGTTCTGTGGCTGTGAGTGTTGTCAGTCTTGCACCAGACTTGATGGTACTTGCGTTCTCATTGTTCGTACAATACGTGGAATGACATCTTTGCGTACCTTGTGCCCACTCTGCTGAGTGCCTGCATAGCTTAACCCTATCCTTACGTCCAGCTGGTAAGTTCGCGATATGTTACACGTCTCAAAGGAAGGAGCGACCGTGTTTGGCAGCTTCTGATCGTTCCACATGCGGTCATCGAGCACAGTCTCTGTGTCGACGGCATCGGTGGGTAAGCCGATGGGAATAGCAAGGTTACTCCTGCTCATGATTACCCAGCTGTTGGTCTCTGTGCGGTGAACTCCGTGCGCTCTCACGTTGGTATATCCCAGCAGAGAGATCTGTAACGACTGAAGCATGACCGTCTCCGCGTGGCTGCTTAACTTCTTCGCAATTAGTCGAAGCGGTATTGCTTGATTGCAAGTCAAGATGGCAGGCTCCGGTAGACGAACGTCAATGCTTATTGTTGGAGGCGCTGACGCGGTAGGTAATGGCGCTCCCTTCTTCATGCCGAAGATGCCCTTGCCTTTCACCTTTGGCACTTCGCCGCCAGCGTAAGCGCTGAACGTGTGCCTTTGCCGTGCGAAAACCTCCGAGCCATGCATTGGCGGTCTGGGTGGCTCGATAGGGAAGAAGTTGAACGGCGTATACGCTCTCACGCTGCCTTTGAAGAAGGATTGCCGCGCTACCGTAGCCTTGACGAAGTATCTGATTTCGGCCTCGCCTGGGAAGCCACTGAGCGTTGGAGGTAGCGTCCTCTTCACGTGCCGTGATGCCGGTTTTGCAACCTCGAGACCTATACTGGACACACTCACACTGGGCATGGTGCTTCTGTCCGTCGCACATGAGTTGTTGAATGGTATCTTGAAACGGAAAGGAAATTCATGTTCACCTGGAGGCATGGTGGACGAGGACTTTACAGAATTGGACCAGGTTCGTGATTCCAGTACTGCGGTTTGCGGAAAGGCCATTTGTACCCTGTAGAGGATCTTGTGGTACTCTATCTGTGGTGTCGGCTTCTCGTCATTTGGTCCACCTCCAGGAGAGAGCAGGCGAGTACGGCTTTCTCCTTCCAGCTTCACAAGTATGCTCTGTATGTCGACGCTTTTCGAACAGTGCAGAATCACTTTGCCACTGATCTCGTCAAGATTGGTGAAGGCGATATTGTGACCGCCGCTGTCGAGGACGATGGCAGCGTTCATGGTGGAGGAAACCCATTGTGGAATGTGCGGTTGCTCGTTGATGTTATAATGCACCATACGCCTCAGTCGCACCTGCTTCCGCTCAACAATTGCCGCAGCATTCAGTGTGCGGTGTCATTGCACTATACTGACTGAGCCTGCGATCGGACTTGCATTTACAGCACCGCGGACGGAGTTGAGTTTTGACGCCATCCGCAAGCTTGCGAAGCCCGGTGGCTAAGCCACCGTGTGGAAAGTCACGCGGTATTAAGCACGCCGTAACCACTATGGGTGCGATGCAATGCCAGTCATCCGAGCAGAGCGAAGAGCACCACGCACATCTGTCAAACTGTTGGACAACGAGGATCGAACGAGCATGACGCGTGGCGAAGACGCATTACTAGACGTATGCAGCAGCGAGCTATGTGAGCCTTTGCAGAAGATACTGTCATGTCTCCAAAATATTTGACATTGCCAGGCTATGTCATCCCAGCAATCATTTCCTGCGTCTCTTCTTTACTGTAAAGCTCCCGCCACTCCTTGTCTAACATACTCAGCATAACCAAATCCCAGTATCTCCCGCCAAACCAGAAAAACTCCCGTTTGACCCCCTGTTTGACAAAGCCCAGACGCTGGTACAAACGAATAGCCCCCGGGTTCCACTCGAAAGCATTGATGGCGATGTGATGCAGATTGCAGAATTTGAAACCCCAGCGGAGAACCCATTTGATAGCCTCACCACCGTAACCCTTGCCCTGAAACTCCTCTAACAGACTGATCGCTATTTCCGAATGCCTATGCTGAGCGTTGTTAGGTGACATATCCTCGAGGCGAACATGACCGATAGGATTTGGCTTCTCGCCTGCAGCGGACACCGCTTCGCTGGGAGGGGCGTCTTCCGCAGGCACTGGCAGACATATGACCACCTCAATCAGAGACTTGTCATGGAGCCACTCCCGCGTGCCCTTGACCCACTCTTTCGATAAAGGTTTCGGGGTGAAAGGCGCGGTGTTGAGGTGCGACTTCGCCTGCGCCTGTATGCGGGCCAAGAAGGGTTCGTCCTCTACCTCTACGGCACGATATACCAACCTCTCGGAGCGCCAGAGGTCATACATAGTATGCTTGATGGGCGTCTGTTAAGGCAGAGCTGTTCGGCATAGGAACGCTCAATATTGAAGGTAACGATCTCCCGGGTGATAAAAGTATGTTTGGCAAAGCATCCACAAAGTGAATATCTGTCCTACCCATTAATGGCAGCCTACGGGAGTGCAAAGCGACGGAGCTGTCTACTCACCAATGCCCGCGATTTGCAATAGGCGGCATTTGTGATTTTTTACCTTCCAAGTCTGGACACCGCTGTTGTTGATCAGGGCGGATGATATTTCATTAGATTAGTATTATAAGCTGCGCTGAGAATTTCCGGCAAACGCATCAGTAATACTGTTAGCATCTTGATATTAGCACCGCATAACAGAGAATATATGTTGTACATTATACACAGAGTGAAGACAGGGTTGATCAAGCGCTGGGAGTGGTTTGCATGTAGCAAGTAATGGTCGCTAATTAACGCCCACTCGGTCAGCTTTGCTTGATGTCTGTAGGGAAAGACTAGCCGCTGCATCCCAAGCGACTAGTCGCTTTTTGGGTTCATTGTTGCTGCTATGCAAGACTCACCCTTTACTGGCACCTGAGACAAACACATTGTCCGGTGCAGGCTAAACGATGGCCCTGGTGTCATATTCTGACAGTGAAACATCCGACACTGAGACTACTGTTGCTCCCCAAGCGGCAACTTTTCACAACCCTTCTGGCTCTGCGAAGCCCGCTGTCTTCCAGAAGACGGAGGCGCGCAAGATCAAGGTTGACCTACCAAGTCTGAGGCCCGAGGTCGCTGAGCAGGACATTGATGGACCGCAACAGCCGCCAGTCAAGCGTGCGAGGACGGCCGGCGCATTTGAAGGCTTCAACAGCCTGCTCCCAGCGCCGAAGAAGCCAGCTACGCAGCAGCCGACCGGCTTAAAGAAAGGCGTAAGTCTCAAAACCAGTTCAGAAGCAGCCTTTAGCCGTGTGCCTCCTCCGAGAACGGAATATGCCCAAGACGCGTTACAGGACGATGACTACGACGACTACGGCAACCGAGCACCGTCCTTGCCGCAACGGACGCAGACACCAGCAGTCACTGGCGGAGAAGCGCCCGACGTGAAGGTCTTAGGCAGAGCAACGAGATTCAAGCCGTTAAGTGTTGCGAACAACAAGAAGAAAAAAGTTGTTCCGAAGAAGGCTGTCCCTATACCACAGGAACTAGCAGACGAGCAATTAGGCACAGGTGGGCGGGCGTTGGTGTCTGGTCAGGCGCCGGGAGAGCCACTCGCCAGGGCGCCGCCGTCGAAGAAGAGTCTTTTCTCGATTGCGCAGGACGACGATATGCCCTCAGATGCCGTCACGGAAAGCTACGGTGCAACAAACGGTATACAAATCGAAGGCCTGGACGAGCAGCAACACTCCGTACCGCATGAGATAAGATCACCATTTACTACAGAATTGGCTCCCAACTCGCTCGAAGCAGTTGCCGCAGACTTGAATCTCACGCCTGCGCAACGACGACAGCTTTTCGGACGAAGCGCAAAGAACGTGCCAGCTAACGCCACTCACTTCAACATGGATGCCGAGTATGCTGCGAACGAAGAGATACGTCAGTCCGGCGAGACGCTCGAGCACAAGGCTGTCAAGACTGTAGCGCCGGGCAAGCATAGCTTGCAGCAACTTGTGAACAATGCTCGCAGCAACCAGGAGAGCATCGAGGACAAATGGGCGGAAGGTCGCAGAAACCGTGGAGAAGGCGGCTCAAAGTATGGATGGGGTCATGGATAGGTCGACTGGCGCCGGCAAAAGCGAGCCGAACGCAGAATGCATCGTACCGATATGTTCGTCGTGCCGCCTGCTTTCACCACCATGACACCGTGCCGACCGCTCAACCACGGACAGACATGCAAAGCACACCTGCAATAACGAACTTCGTCGACACCACGTGACGGGCGCTCACTTTTCCAACATTGTACGTCCGTGTTAGGAAGTAAGGTGGGGTAGAGGTGTTCGCTGCGGGGAAGGTCCTTGATTTGACTGATCTAACCTCATGCCACCACTCTACGCTCACTGCAGTACAAAGCGAAAGCCTAAAGATTGACAGCGCTCATGCTGCTCCCGTCCGCCCGGTGTGGATGGCTCCCTCGCCAGTTGTTAAGCTCTGCTCATGGCTGATGTTCTAGATTCCGAGCTCGCGGGAATAATAAGGTAAGATCGGCCTCATAGGCGCAACATAAAGCTACAGCAGCAAATGTTGGGGCCTTCTCTTTCACCTCATATTTTTCATTCGTGGTACTGCGTCCATTTTGCTTGGAAACTAAGAGCCTGTTGATCTGCGTTTCTGCAATAGTCAGCCTTCACGCGAGATCGCGGTTATGGCGCCTAAAATGGAGGTCTATCTTGACCCATGCACGATTAACTGCCGCAAAGTCCTCGCCGGCCTTGACTTGATGGACTTTCCATTCGAGCTGAAGTTCATCGACTACTTCGCGGACGGCCAAAAGGACCCCTCATACACGAAGATCAATCCTTGCGCAACTGTACCAGCTGCCAAGGATGGCGACATTGTAATCACCGAATCCAACGCCATCATGCAGTACGCCGCCGACCACGATGATGGCAAGGGCGAGAAATACTATCCTAAAGATCTGAAGCAGCGAGCAGAGGTGAATAAGTGGCTCTTGTGGGAGGCATCCGCCTGGTTCGCGTCATGCTATGCCTACTTGGTGGAGTACGTGGTGAAGCCACTGCTCGACTCGCAGCCAGACCAGTCAATCATTGACGCTCAGGCACCGCGATGGAAGCAGTTGGCCAAGATTCTCGATGACCAACTGGCGAAGACGAAGTTTCTTTGCGGTGAGGGTGTGACTATTGCAGACATTGCTGTTGCGTCTCCGATGCACCTGCATGAGGCATCGAAGCTGCCAATGGCCGAGTACAAGAACCTGTCGCGCTGGATGAAGGACATCGAAGCTTTGCCGTGCTGGCAAAAAACCCAGCCCGCGGTCGAGAAGGCTTTGCTTCCGGAGAAGTACAAGCGTGATCATGGCGAACAGAGTGCCAATGGCGTAAACGGCTCGCACAGTAAGCAGAATGGTGATGCTCCCAAGACTGTGAAAGCTTCGCTGAACTATACCAAGGCGCCTAGCGACGGCAGCCTAACCGAGCTGTATTTCTACGAGGATGCGGAAGGGAAGTACAAGCACATTCATGAGCCTGGAAACGATGCAGAGGAGATGACTTTCTATGATGGATGGGATCGCGCCAAGGAGTTCGATTTGGATAAGCATGGTTTCTCGGTGAAGGGTTTCAGCCCATCGTACAAGGGGAGTTGGGAGGACGAGCAAAGTGTGAGAGAAAAGTTCTACCCGGAGGTCGTTCAATTTCTAAAGAAAGAGGTCGGTGCCAAGGATGTTCTAGTCTTCGATCACACCATCCGGACGAGGAAAAATGCTGCGAAGAAGCTCACTCAGGAGACAAACACTACTCAGCGCACCCCAGTCCCTCTAGTGCATTGCGACTACACTCATGAATCGGCTCCGGTCCGGGTCCGCCAACTGCTGCCGGAAGAGGCTGACAAGCTACTCACTCGTCGCGTCGCATTCCTGAACGTGTGGAAGCCTCTTGCCAAGGTCGAAGAGATGCCGCTAGCAATGTGCGACGTCACAACTTCACCCATGGATGACTTCTTCAAACTGTATCTCCGCTATCGGGAACGCACGGGTGAAAACTACGTCATGAAGTATTCTCCCGACCACAAATGGTGGTACTTCCCAGAGATGACACCTGATAAAGTCATCCTACTGAAGACGTACGACAGCGAGACAGATGGCAGGGCACGCTTCGTGGGCCACAGCGCGTTTGTGGACCCAACTTCGAAGCCGGATGCGCCATTCCGTGAAAGCGTTGAGATCAGAACGATTGCGTTCTTCTGAAAGCGGCACTCTGATCGGGTTTGGCACTTTCACATACCATTAGCTGTAGCGACTTACTTCTTCCCTTTGGCTTTCTTCTTCTTCGCCCCTCCACTGCCGACAGGCTGCTTGCCTTTCACCACCTCCCCAGCCGGTGTGCCCGGTGTCGCTGGCCTTGAGCCGTCGCTGTCTACAGCAGGCGCCGCGCCCTGGCTGAACAGATTTTGCTTCGCTTTACCCTTCTTTCCCTTCGGCCGGTAAGTGCTCCTGTCTCGTAGCGGTAGCCACCGCTCCGGATCTGGCTTCTTATTCGGGTCGTAGTCTTTCGGTAGTCGTGACTTGCGTAGCCGCTTCGGCTTCTTTGGCTTGATGTCCTCACCCAGTCTCTTCCGGGCGTTGAGTGCAGCAGCATCAGCGGACAAGGGTGCCTGAGCTATCCCAGCAGATTCCAGCGCATCAATATCCACGCCTGCAATAAGTCGCTCGACTGGTTGCAACGAGGACAACTGTCCAGGGGATGCAGTATCGGGCAACGCAGCGAGCAGACCAGCAGCTGCGTAGCGATCGTTGTTGTCTAGGTGGTGCAGCGCGGTGAGGATCTCTTTCGCAAGGTGCCGATGCTCCGCTTCCGGTGACTCAAGGAGAGCACCTCCGGCTGCCTTCAAAAGATGTACAACACCCGTTGGTCGCTCTTTCGATTTGCGTCGCCAATGCTGTGCGGCTTTTGCATACTCTACCCTCACTGGCTCCCTCCTGCCACTGCTTCCATATACACTTACCATGGTACCCACTAGTCCTGGTGCAAAGCGTACATCCATGTCAGCTGCACTACTCGACTGTTCGAGCCGGTCTAGGAAGCTTTGCAGCAATGTGATTGCTGAGCCAGAGTTGCCAGTGGTTACATACAGCTGAACAATTGTGAGTATCAGGCCCACGTCATTCGGACGCTTCTCCAATACGGGTAGAATGTGCTTGAGTGCTTCCTTGCCAGCCTGGGCCTTGGCATGCGCGGCAGCATTGGCCACGGCCAGAGTGTTAGTGTATGCATCAAGCGTTGGCGCCGGGTGCTTTGCAATGACTGCAGCCGCTGACTCTGCCACGCCTGCAAACTTGAGCGACTGCAGGTCAATGGCGTACTTGTTCAGGCCAAGAGCACTGGTCTGGAAAGTGAACGGCTTGTCGGCTCTGAGTACTCCAGCGTCTCTGGACAGGAGCCGCTGTGCCAAGAAAGGATTTGCCGGCGTCGACGATGCTGCGATTTGGTTGACATGTGCAATATAGCGTGTGCTCGAATCTGGTATCAGATTCACATCAATACTCTTCGCCAGCCCCTCAGCTTCGGTCGTCCGCCCTTGTCTGGTAAGTACGTATGTGTGCTGTACAGTGATTGGTAAAAGCTCTATCCGCTTTTCCTCCTCGCTTAGGTCCGTTAGTGCGTTACAGAGATCTTTGGCTCGCTTCAATAAGACTTCTCCTTGTCCTAGCTCTCCTCTAGCTATGCTTCCGCAGGCGGCGTTGTACGCTGTTTCGAAAGCCTCAAGGTCTTCCCTTGCAGGCTTCTTATTCCGGACAAGTTCTCCCTGGTGCGACCACTCGAGCTGTGCATCCGCTGCACCGGCATTAATCCGTAGGTCGGCGATCGCATCGTTGTCACGTGTTGTTGTCAAATCTTGATACAACTCGGCTGCTCGCTTGAAGTCTTCGGTACGGTAGCTTGCTTGCGCCGCAACGTGTCTATGACCCCTTTCTGCGCTTTCGTGTACAAGCTGTGCCGCTTCCAATGGCTTACCAGCCTTGTACAGCGCGTATGCATACTCTAACCGTGCCTTCTCCTTCAATACATCCCCACCCGTCTCGAACGCACGGATCGCATCGTCGAAGCGGTCAAGTTTGAGTAGCGCTACAATCCTGGCATGCAGCGCATCGACGTCTGCCTTGTTCTGCTTGATTGCGGCGTCGGCGGCCCTCAACACTTCCTCGTGGTCCTCGATATCGGCCCGTTTGAGTAGCGAAGTGAGAGATGGTACGGAAGTTGACATTGTTGGTCCGGGTTGGATAGGACGAGCAAGCCGCGCATCATCTACGACCACCAGCTCTCATCTGACGTTCACTTGAGCCTTCAGCAAATGGTCGTATGCTCATTGCATTTCGTGGCACCGGCTTGGCTCTTGGCGGGGGTTTGATGTTCGATCTTCACCCCACATTTTCAATGTGGAGTGCGTGTTCGAACGCCGAAGCAGCCCTAGCCGTGGCCGAGGAGATAAGTGGTGGGTCAGAGCGAACAATGGACGAGGTTATACTCTACAGCGAACATACTACCCCTTGCGACCAATAGAACCGTTCTCAAACCCTCCTATCTGCGCTACCCAGCCAAAGTCGCACTTCATCTCGACGCTCAACATCGTCACCATTGTCAAGCTGACTGCCGGGACGAGGATCGTTTGCCTTGACGGCAGCAAGACGCCTGGCCACCTCATTGGCTTCATTGAGCGATACCAGCTTCCTCGTCACCTTGCCAGCACCACTCAGTCTGTCCTTCACGGTTCTAACCAGGGCCCAGATTTTCTCCCGGTTGTTCCGCCTATCAGTCTCGATAGGCTCAACAAAACTTTTCGGATCGCGGTTCGCGACATCAAACATCCAGCCGTTGGACAAGCCGTATCTACGACCCTTCCGCTGCATGTATGTCAAAACATCAGAAGGCATGGGTGGCGGATCAGCACAGATCACAACGATGGCCGCATCCTCCGCCATCTCGTACGCGGTGCGACCAGTTGCGTTCTCGCGGTTAAGCAACGTCGGATCGTGTTCGAGAATGATGTTCGCCACGATGTAGTTGTTGTTTCGCACAGCCACATGGAGGGGTGTATCTCCTTCTCCGTTAATGAAGCCGAGCTCTCTCCCTTCGCTATAGCGTAGCAGCAGTCGCAAGGTTTCCGCGGCGTATTCATCAGACCGGTGTAGGCCACCAATGACATCTCGCAGCCATTTCGCTAAGGGAGTGAGCGAGCCTGGATGAGCCGCTGACCGCTCGAGGAATAAGCTTGGAAGAAGTCGACTGTCGAGTGACTCGAGCATGACCGGCAGCTTCTTGATGTACTTTCCATCGTCGATATAACGTCCGAGCAATCGGTGCAACATATTGTTGCCTGTCTTGTCACGGGCGGTCTGGTCAGCGCCAGTGTCGATCAGCATCTTGACGGCGAGGTGATCATAGAGCTCCATAGCGATGTGAAGGGGCGTTAGTCCGTCGGTAGACTTGGCATCGATTGCAGATGGCAGCGCCGCCATCAAGTACCTCAGCATCTTGCCGTCGTCGTCAGCAGTCTGGTTACCCATAAGATAGCAGTGGATAGTCAGATCCCAGCGAGCATTGAGGAACTTTTGCGTCAATGTCTCGAAGCCGCCCTCCGCTTGTGCCAAGCGCTGTAGCCGTTCGTCACTTTTGTGTGCCTCCGCGAAGTCGAGGTAGGCCCGCATAGGCGCATCGCTCATAGCCCACTCAACACACTTCAGCGAACCTTCATACGCTGCTTGAAGCAACAGCGGCTGTTGTTCTTCTAGCGGCTCATGTCTCGTATGTCCACGACTGGCATCTGCCCAGTCCTTCCTCTTCCGACCACGAACGGACAGCCCCTGGTACGCCCTTGACTTCTCTCCGAGCTCGACGCCGCTCTTTCGCATGAAGCTGTCTAGAGAAATGCCAGCACCGGTCCGTGTGATCATCATTTCCAGAAGATGTGGCCGATCCACTTGGATGCCATACGTGAAGTCAGCAGTATCCAGCGCGAAGAACGTAGACTTGTCGTCGTCGCCTGCGGCTTGGGAGCGCTGGAGGTATTCCTCACGCTTGTTCAACAGCCATTCCAGCTGCTCCTGGTCATCTCTGTACAGCGCGAGCTGAAGAAGGTTGCTTGGTGAAGACACCTCCCAAATTCGCTCAGAGATTCCCTGGGGCGGGCTAGGCGGCGTTGTTTTAGCGATGACTGTATGCATGCCGACAGATCTTGCAGGCTTCCTTGGTCCGAAGAAGGTGAAGCCTCTATTCGCACTCGGCGCCTCTGTTGATACCGTCCTTTCTGAGAGACTCAAGGCTGGGCAGGACCAAGCAAGCAGGTTGAGTGCAGTGACGCGGCTCTTCACCTGCAGCGAAAGCTCACCAATAGTCTCGACAGTAAACTGATCGTCCACAATCTCCGAGGAAATGGGTATCACAGCCTCGTCCTCGTCCTCTCTTGCTTCGTCACCGCTATCGACATCGCTAGTGTTGCCTTCCAGCTTGAAACGTCTCTGCTTTGGTGCGTCAGGTGCTTCGTACTGCGCATCCGCAATCTCCAGGATTGCATTCGCAAGTTCAACATGATGCTTGGCGACCGCGATCGAAAGTGGCGAGGCATCGTGTTGGTCTATGATCGCAATCTGAGTGGGGGCATGGTCTTCGCCTTCTGAGTCCTTCCATGGCATCAGTGTGAGCTGCTTCACGGTCTGGATATCTCCGTGCCAGACGGCTTCGAAAAGTCGCAGGTATCGATCCTTCGTCTCATTGGTAAGGTCGCCAAGCCTAAAGCTGAAGTCAATAGCGAAAGGAGGTTGTTTGTTGTGCTCGTGCCTGTAAGCGCCTCCCCTGTTTTGATCCGGTTCCTGAATGTCCGGATATAGTTCTGCGAATGTCTTCGATCCCGCATCTAGCAGTGCAGTCTCCAATTGCTGAAAGTCATTTGCCATCTTCGAAACGGCATTCCGTTGTTCCTCGATGCCTTCAATGCTCTCCCTCTGTCGTACCTGCTCCTCGTACCTTTTCCGGGCTTCCTTGTAGCTGTGCTTAGCAGAGTCGAGCTGCATGTGCGCAGACCATCGAGCATAGGAACCCTCCGTATAGCTGCCGAGGTAATGTTCGTCGTCTTTCAAAGCCTCAGGCGCCTGAAGCTGGTTTTTGTTGGGCTGCCATTCCGCAAGCGTCTGTGACTTCTTCTGGACAAGGTCCAGTAAGCTCTCGCCTTTGGTGTATCGACGGCTGTACTCCTGGTTCACAACCTGGTAACCGCTCGTCGTAAGTGTATTTGGATCAGCGCCATATTTCGTGACAAGCGTGGCGCATACCAAAGGCAGCTCGCACTCAACGGCTAATATGACGGGCTGCTTCTGATTCTGCTCGAAGTTGCGGCGGTTTTGTTTGGAATCATTAAGAAGTTCATGCTTGGTCTGATATGCTTTGGCGTAATCACCAAACGCAATCTGCGCTTTCGCACCGTCTGCGAGCAGAGCCAGTGCTGTGTCACCGTCTCTAGCCTGGATTGCAGTCAGAAGTGGGCTAGAAAGTCGCACATTCCAGTTCGCTCCAGAAACCGACAGGTGGTTGATCGCGCGGCGTAGACCCGTCTGATCTGCAGCGCGGATAGTCTGCAATTCGTCAGGTCTGTCGGCAACACAATACTGCAGGGCTGTCCTCTGGTCAACGTCCGCTTGCGCTGCGGTAGCACCTAGTTGCAGTAGCGTTCTGACCATCTCTGCCACTTTCTCTGACGGGAGTTGCAAGCCCAACACTAACGTTAGGATGGCAGCTCGAGCAGACTTGTCATGCTCGTTGAAAAGCTTTATGGGCAGTAAGACGTCCGCGCCGAAATCCTGCACAAGACTCTTGACGACATCAAGATGCCCATGGATGATGGCGAGATGCAGAGGCGAGTTAGCAGTATCCCAGGCCACAACGTTGATGTCGTACACATCGGGCTCGTCGTCCTTGTCGTCAGTCAATGATGGCTCATGTGGCTGTGCCGTCGCTCCTTTAACCTTGACCATAGAGCCTTCGGTGGTTGCATCAATATCAGCGTCGTCTCTAGCATCGTCCATCATGTCAATATCCTGATCGGCTTCGGAAGACTCGTTCTTCGCGGCGTCTGGCATAGGGACATTGTTCATGCCAATACGAGCAGTCTCCAACGCTCCTCGAACAGCGCGCTTCAAGCTGAGCTTCTTCTCCACAACTTCCTCGTTAGCCTCGCTTCTTCGCATCAGAGCCGAAATGATGCCAACGTCTCCACGCATTGCAGCGAGATGCAAGGCGGTCCTTCCATCGGCGAGGCGGGCCACCAAGCGAGCACCGTGATCGATGAGAAGCTGTACGACCTCCACCGACGCGTTAGCGGCAGCGAGATGCAACGGTGTCCTGCCGGTCCAGTCACGTGCGTTCGGATCATTTCCTTCCTGCTGAGGCCAAGATCGGACGTATTGCGTGTCGCCATCAACGATGGCTTGACAGAGCATAGCAGTGTTGCTGATATAGGCCATCTTTGTCCAGTCGTCAGCAGTCAAAGGGTTGAAACTGCCTATGGCTTGTCGGCCTGGGTCGTCCTTGATGAACCTAACATCTCCGCTTACGTAGATCTTGTCCTCTTCCTCTGCGAGTTCCTCTTCTTCGACCGTGACAGGTTTCGGGCATTGTCCGCAGCAGTCATGAATGGCGTACTCTGCAGAGCCGAAAAAGGCAGGGTGACGGTGCAGATTGATCTCTTTGCGATCCTTCGGCTTGTTCCACTCCGCGTTGAGCAACATGTCTTTGGTATACAGTAGCCGTTCTATTTTGCGCGCGGTGAACTTTGGGCCATAAGGGATGGTGAATGTATGGTATGAGGCAACTTCGTCCGTGTCGACCCATTCAGCTACCTCGTCCTCGAAATCGTTCTTCACGTTGCCTGCTACCAACCGCTTGCGTATCCGCAAGCGGTTGATTGGAGGCCGGCCTCGTTCCGCTCTCCGCTGATCCAGGTACGCTTCTCGATCCTTGTTCCGGGGCAGCTTTTCCAGAATGAGCAGTCGAGCCAGGCCTTCCGTACGTCCAAAGCTTCGCTCGAAGATGGTTGGGTCGACTTTCGAGCGGTCCAGGTTCGGCCAGTATATCTCGAAACCTCGCTTGGCATACTTCGACAGGCGGTTTTCGTAGCTAGGCGAGCGGCGTGTGAGGTCGATGGTGTTGATTTGCGTCATGTACGAGATCAGCGCCCGTGGAGACGCCCAAACTTGCTCACCATCGTACGCTGCACAGCTGCAATCGACGTCAAAGCCAGTCAGGATTTCAGAGATAGACTTGTAGATACGAAGAACAATCTGAACGTGCCGAGTCGGGTAGTGAGAGACAATGGTGATAGCGTTCTTGGTTCTCACTGTTGTGGTCTCGACAAGCAATGCGTCGCGCACCTGACGCTCAATCTGCTTAATCTTATCGATAGCCTGCTCTTCTGTCAGTCCGTACAGGAAGACATCAACATCCGACGCAGGAGCAAGCTTTTCGTGGTAGTAGGCTCGTAGGGCACGTTTCGACTCTGCATACTCTTTGGGCACCGACAGAAGAGACGTTACGACCGCAGATCCGGCGACGACAACGTTCGACCAATCAAGATCGGCGAGTGAGCTCTCAGAGAAGACGGCGAAGTTGGTTCTGAACTCTTGCAGCGATTGAACAATAGCTGGCGAGCCATCGGCCTTGCGGGCATCGTCGGAAAGTGGCATTATATAGGAGTCCTTGTCCTGCGGAGACTCGGCGGCCAGGTCACGAGCCTTGATCTTCACACTAACTTCATGACCTGCGAACACCGGAACCACATTTGGATGATGGTTCGCTGGATGCTCCGGGTGCTGAGCAAAGATCTTCCGCAGTTCTGCATCGTACTGCTTGTAAGGTTCGAGTACTTCGAGCAAGGGCTTCTGCGGATAAGTCGCCAGATACTCCAGGAATCGATCGTGAGCGGCAGGCAGAGTTGGGAGCTTGACGTCTGCCATGGCTGTGGACAAATGTCGGCGGAGTCACCGACTGCTGCTGCCCAAGGTAGAACTTGATGCTACGTTAGTTCTATAGGTTCTTGTCAACGAATATGGCGGGCTCGATGCAGATGAAGTAGGGGTGCGCCGGAGAAAAAGAGAGTACTTCAGACCACGCACAGCGCATCTTATGCTGCGATACCTCAAGAGATACATTTCATGAGCCTTGATCACAGAATAATAGCGTCAGCCAGCAGCGCAGCTTTGGCCAGTCACGTCAGTTATAAGCGGGCAAGGTTGCCTGAAGGGGCTGAAAGGATCGCCACTGTAGGCAACCGGAGTGCCGAAGAGCTTCCGACTGTACTGGTTGCCATTGCGCCGAGCGTAGTACTCGCATCTACCCTTAACCTAGGTACGTGTACGGGGCGAAGGACTGCTTGTGGAACTTGACGTCGAATCGACTTCGTGAGGTGATAGACACGAGCTGCATCGCAGAATGTGTTGCTCACACGCCAAGGCGGCAGTTTCCGGTGGTGCAAACCACAGCTACGCGAAGAAGGCATGTACGAGAACCGGAGAATGTTGGTGCAATACCATTTGGTCTGGTTTCACTCGCAGATCTATTGTGATTCACTTCCTGCTCTGTCGGCCTTTCTCCCATGCTTGCAAGAACTTCGCCTTTTCCTCCACACCCAGGCTAACCCTCTTGACCCTGCCTAGCCGCGCAAGATCGTCCGCTACGGCATCCAAAGCTCTCTTCTCGGTTGCAGAGATACCGTCGTCATCATCCGTCTCGCTCTCTCCAGAGACCTTTTGCGCAGACGTAGCCTGCAGTGTGTCGAAGAAGTTAGCCTCGAAGCTGCCACGCCCAACGCTGGCTCGGTCTGCAGTTGCTCGTAGCTTGGCCTTGCTAGCTGGAGACCCATCTTCTAGCGAGTCAAAGGTGGAAGGTGTGGAGATCGTCAAAGCTTTGCCAATCCGGACCCGGATACAGTGGGACGGCCGGCTGTTAAGACGCCAAATGAAACGGAAGGCCTCAAGCCAGCCTGGGATCGGCGTGACAACGTCTGATGGCGTATAGCGGAGGGAAATCGGGAAGATCTTGATGTCTTTCGCCGCTGACAGCAGAGATGGTGAGAGGTTGAGTATACCTCGTCCATTGCTTGTTGTTGCCTCGGGAAAGACGACAATAATCCGACCTGGGTTGCGCCTTACGAGCATCTCGAGTTCGAAAGTCTCCAGCTCTGTACCGAGAGCGAGAGGGTTTGTCACGCTGAAGCAGTTGGCGAGCGCGGTCTCTTGTGAAATGGGTCGCACCTGCTTGCTGTTGCGGTAGCTTTCCGTGAAAACAGGGTCGAAGATGGCTGCGAGATACAGAACGTCCAACGGCGAGGTGTGAGAGGACGCTATAATCGTGCCGGGATACGGTAAGCGGCCTCCTGGAGTCTGTGCCAGCGAGCCTCTCCGGACACCGTCAACCTGAATGTCGATCCACCAGACACCCGGGATCCCGAGCAGGCACCACTGGTTCGCCTTCCGCAGAGCGCTTCCCGCTGGCAGCCATTGGATGAGGCAGAGCCAGACCAGCCAAGCGAAGGTGAGGAGGGGAATGCGGATGCAGACCAGGAAGACGTGCCATGGCAGTAGAAGTGGGCTGCTGGGTGGCGGCGAGATTGGGAAGAAGGGAGCAATACCAGACCCTGGCCATATTTAGTTCAATCTGCACACACCCAGGTACTTTCGAGAAGTACTCACCTCTATCTCGGTATTGGCCGTACTTCTCCATGTCCGGAGCACATGGCAGACGGCGAGGATTAAAAGTCGGCAGCTCACAAGACGGATTGTAACTGCGCGGCGATGGATTACTGCTGGCGCATAATGAGCATCAAGTGTCTTGCACAGGGCACGACTCTTTGAACGCCGAATAGTAAGCGGATGTGCGATCACATCATCATTGCGAGGAAGCAACTGACGGCAGTTTCGCATGTGAACGCGACGCACAGACTCCGGTCGAGCGGGCAGATCCGCCGCTCGGCGCGCATTGGCCCGCCGCCATGTTTACTCACCCTAAACATTGCGTCGTCAAGCGAAGACCATATGGACGGATTTCTCTATACCAATTCTTTCTTTTGGATTGCTGGATGCAGGATGCAGAACAAGCTTGATGTCAGCGCAGATCAACAAGTCCATTGCCACTATGGAACGTCCCCCTTCTCAACTCGAGAACGCTCGAACAAGCGGCCTGAAACAACCCACCCGACTGCCAGCAGCGATATCGAATGCTGGCAGATTACTACTCGAGACCAGCCAAAGCGACCTCAACACGCGCAATGGGACCGCTGCAACAACTATGGGCCCGCCAGCCATTCCCACCAAGCATAAGATGTTCGGCCTCCCAGAGCCACCAATGAAGCGCAAAACGTTGATTGAGCGCGGAGGCGAACCTCTTCAGCCTTTACGATCGCATATGCCACAATCCATCAAGCATGGCATCGCACGGCCGCTCTCTGCCGTCCAGAGTGGCCGCAGCGGATCATCATTGGCGTCATCCTTCCCCACCACGAATGGTTCGCGCTTTGACACGCGCCAAAGCCGCGAGACAATGACGGACGACCAAGACAATGATGCCGAGACAGGTGTCATGAGCAAGCGAAAAGGTACACCTATCCTGTCCCTCCGCTCTATATCCATCCGCAAGACACGTACCCACGGAAACCTACGACAAGCCTACCAACGCAAGCGAAGTGACGCCGAGGGCAGCAGCTCAGCAACCGAGCCGATATCCTCTCGTCACGCCTCTGACAGCTCAACCAGATCAGAGAGCACGTACAACCAACCCCAACGCACTATATCAATCACATCGGTTTTTGCCGAGCTTTCTCTTTCTCCCAAGCCCCGTCTACCGTCAGCAAACAAGCATCGGCCCTCCCTTGAGCGAATCAAGGAGGAGATGTCACCTTCTAAAATTCCCAGGTTCTCCTGCACCCCTACCCTTCGCAAAGCACAGTCCTCACGCACTCTACATACACCCTCCCCCGTCAAGCACAAATCTTCTGTTAATGGTTTGCACACGCCTCATACGAGCGCAAGACCGCGAGAGGCGATGCCTGTGTTTTTGACGAAAGAATCGCTTACACCTGTGCTACCAGCTTGGGACACGAAAGGCAGGCTCGAGGACATGGAGCAGTATTTCATAGCGCTTAAGTCCGAGGTCCAAGCCGCTCAATCTTCGAAAACTTCGCTGGACGAGTCCTTGGCGCTGTACAAGAGCAGATGTACGTACTTCCGCGCATCGATCAGTGCACACCTCAGCTGACATCTAGCACAGTGCAAGAGGTTACTGCGGAGAACCAGGAGCTCTCGGCACGCAACCGCACCTTAACCGCTGATGTCGAGCGAGCACGTAACGACCTTCACACCACAACGACCGACTTTACCCATGCACGTCGCGACCATGAGCGTGCCATCCAGGATCTAGAGACACGTCATGACCGAGAGCTTGCAAGCGTCTCGCAGAAACTTGAAAAGGAGGTGGAGCTCGTAAGTAGAGAGCGCGAAAGGGATGCGGATCGCTTCAGGCGGGAGATGGATGAGGCGAAGCAGCAGTGGAGGCGGCAGAAAGATGATGAGACGGCTGGCTTGACGACGGCACATTGGGATGAGTTAGCGCAGTTGAAAGCAGACCACGGAACGGAGACTGCGGCATTGCAAAGACAGGTGGACGAACTACGACTGGCTGGAGAAAGCCGCGCGACGGAGTCAGCGGGTGAGGTTCAAAATCTACGTGATACGATTATGAATCTCGAAAATCAGCTTCAGTCAGCCAATGTTGTGGCGGAAAGTCTGCGTACGCGCATTGCTGCCGACGAAGCTAGATATGCAGCCCTGGAGCAGGAGAAGGCAGCCCTCGTCTCGAAAACGCACTTTCTGGAAGGCAATCAGGAAGCGCAGAGTCTGGAGTTCACGACCATGAGCCAGAAGCTGCAGGACGCCATAGATGCCAAAGACGCTACGCTAACTACACTCCGCAAGGAGGAAATGCTGCGACGGAAGCTGAACGCTACGATCTTGGAACTTCGAGGCAATATAAGAGTGTTTGCGCGCACTCGGCCGCTTCTTCAGGGAGAAGAGGAGCCGGCAAAGGTGGACTATCCGGATGTGGATGCGCTTGACGGAGGCAAGGAGATGGTGGTTCACGCACCGACGACGCTGTCTGCGACTGGCAAAGAGCGTAACGAGAAGCACAACTATGCCTTCGACCGCGTATTCGGACCTTGCTCGGCCAACGATCAAGTCTTTGCGGACTGCCGCGATTTGATCCAGAGCGTTGTGGACGGCTACAACGTTTCCATCTTGTCATACGGACAAACCGGAAGTGGCAAGACGTACGGAATGTCTGGACCGGATGGCATTATACCCTCTTCCATTGCACTGCTGTTGTCGGAAATGCAGCGCTTACTGGAGAAGGGATGGGAGTATGCGGTTGAAGCGTCGTTCGTGGAAGTGTACAATGAGACGATTAACGACCTGCTTGGAGATGCAAAGTCTTGGGATGAAGGGGAAGATCTCGGCGCCAGCATAAGAGGGAAGAGGAAGGAGAAGCACGAGATTCACCACGATGCCATCACTGGCAGAACGACGGTCACCAACCTGTCTTCAGTCATGCTGTGGCCGCCGCCAGAGAATGACGGGCAATGGCCTCCTGCTGCACCAACAGGCTCGCAGCCGGCCGATCTGGGGACCTCTTACACTGAGAAAGCTGTGCAGCAGCTGCTCGATACGGCGGCCAAGAATCGCCGCGTCGCAGCCACCAAGTCGAATGAACGCAGCTCGCGTTCGCACAGTATCTTCATGCTAACACTGCATGGCCGCTGTGCAGCAACAAACGCGAGCAGCGAGGGCGTGCTCAACCTCGTGGACTTGGCCGGCAGTGAGCGCTTGAAGCAGTCCGGCGCAGAGGGCAGTCGTGCAAAGGAGACAGCTGCGATCAACAAGTCACTTTCTTCTCTTGGAGATGTCATTGCCGCTTTGGGTAATAAGAAGGGTGATGACAGTCACGTTCCGTATCGGAATAGCAAGGTATGTAACCCCAGAGCTAAGCGAAGAGGAGAAGCTGACTGATGGTATGTGTAGTTGACTTACCTGCTGCAATCTTCTCTTGGCGGTACTGCGGCGAACGGCAAGAGCAGCCGAACACTGATGTTGTTGCACCTGTCGCCCTTGCAGGCGCATTGGCAAGAGAGCAGGAGTAGCCTGCTGTTTGGAAGCAAAGTGCAGGGCACACACATTGGTGCGGCAAAGAAGCGGTAGACCAGCTCTTTGCCCATCCAGGGGCGACGACAATGACAACCAGGTCGCCTGGTCTTGCTCGTTGGAGAGTATGTACAGACTATGTACGAGTTGGCATCCGTTGCAACCCTCAAACTTCTTCGAAGAAGGCAAAAGCGTGCAATCGGTAGAAGAGGCAGGTAACATGCATTGCTTCGTGCTCGGTGCTTGACGAGAAGCCATGTCACACATGCCTCGAACCAAGTGCTGCCTGAAGTCGCCGCGCGTTCCAGAACCTTCACGTGATCCGGGAGCGGCCGGGCAAACGGGCGCGAAGCCATCAACTACTGCACCACTTTCGACAAACATAGACAATGACAATGATTGAACCGCGAGCACAGCACGGCAGCTCGCTTCACAGATTTGCACGTCACATTCTTAACGACCGCTCCGAAGCATGTTCGCAGATCCCCTCCCTGCAAAGTATTGATGGCCACGACCAGGAAACATAGCGCTCTCGGCCAGCACACATGGCTCGGCACCAGGGTTGGAGTCGAGAACGAGTAACGCGTCAACAGGACTCCATTCTCAAGCCGTATAGTAGCGAACACTCCCGTGCTTCACGCGGCAGATGAATTACAGATCATCTTCGTCGAGCCGTACTACGAACAATGCATAGTGATGCTGCTCGCTTGCCTCAGCCCTAGGCGGCACTGCTACCGCTGCCTCGTCTCTATCAGGCTGCTTGTGGTAAGGTGATGCGATGCGCAGTGTGCTGACCGCACAAGTACCTCAGCTCTGTGTACATTGTGCTGAAGCTGTGCCATTGGCGGCGGCGCACGATCCTGACATGCATGGGCACGCCAAGGCCGCAGAAGCTGCAGCGTGTGCTTGACCGGTTCACACAGCCAACACAGCTGCGTGGAGTGCTGCAACAAAATACAAAGGTACAATGGCGGTATGCCCGGATGTTAACTTCGCCGCATGTGTAAGTAAGCACGGCCTTTTTCTGTCACGACTATACTTTGCTTCTTCGATCCGCATCCGCATCCGCATTGTTCCTCGCTTGCCAGGTGCCATCCAGACGTTTATAGAAAAGCTTGCGGACATGGAACTTGATCAAATTGTTCTCGAGCGTGTCGTAACAGCCAATGCGACCTTGACCGCTTACAAGACCTTCGATCGACACTATGACAAGGAAGCCATTACATTCACCATCGTAGCTGCGATCACGGTATACAATGTCTCGGAACCTATTCTGCTGATCCTGACGACCTTCAAACGCTTCCGTGGACTCTACTTTTGTGTCTATGGCGCCCGAAACGTCCGGTGTCTTCTTCTACGCCCTCGGCAGCATGATCAGCTACTATGAGTTCGCTTCGAAGCTAACCGGCTTGATGCTCAAGTCTCTGGCTGGCCGCTATGATCATCGGATAAAGCCTTGTGTTGCACTCGAGACTCGGCGTGCTCTTTGGAGGAGAGTATGGCAGGATCAAGGATGGCATGTGGTGGATGATCGTTATTGATGCGATCGTGAACCATCCATTAACTATCAGTAAGCTTTAGATTGTGCATCAGAGACGCACTAATGACTGACCGCTGATGTTACGATCCTGAGTTTCGGCAATGCATACGCCTCACCGCGCCATACTTGGAACCGCGCTTCCAACATTCAGCATGAGTTCGGCCGCGCCTAGTCCGCTGAACAGAAGTGTATCTTATCTGGCCTCTCCATCTGGAGGGTGTCGGCTTTCTTGAAGTATTACGTGATCCTCAATGACAAGAGACGCCTCCTATTGGTGATGTGGCAGCTGATTGCTATCTACTTGGTGATTGAAGGCTTGGCTGTTCATGTGCTTCACGCTGAATTTTACGCCGCGGTACGTCTATGGTAGGGATGATATCTTGCAGATCGCAGCTAACAAGTCATAGCACGCGGTCCGACAAATGGTCAAGGACGCGGTCTATAGCTTTTTGCTTAAGCTTGAATTCGCGCCACTCAGCCGGCTTTTGTGACGTAACTTCTGGGAGCCGAAGCACCGCAAGTTCATACGCGAAGAAGAGTCACTTGAAAGCTGCTGTGGACGGTCAAGAGCCTGCGGCAAAGCAGTGCAAGCTTTCCAGTCCGATCAAAGCCAAGGACCACTCTGAGGCCAGCTCGCGCGATGTAGAGTGAGGTCGAGAATCAGAGGTCACTATCGCGACGGCTGCAGAAACGTAAGCAACGAAGAATGCCAGAGAAGCCCAAGAAGTTAGCGTAACCAGCTGGAGGATGATTCGTACGCAGGTGCACTGAGCAAGGCCACCCAATAAGCATGGTAGCGGAGGTTGCTAAGGCTGTTGGCTGAGCTGGGTGTGAGAAGTGGGTCAACAAGACCGTCGTAGCGCCCGAGGAGAATATTACAGCTGTCCGTTGTTGTCAATATGGTATATGGCGGAGCGTAACTTGACAACCAGCAGCAAGCTTGCTGGACTGGAAGTACACCGAAGGCACACCTCGGGAGGCTGCGCTCGTTGACTATGCTGAGACCCTCTTAGGAGCTGGTGGCCGTGGCCCTTCAACAAACAACAGACGGGCCAGCCGCCGTCCATTGCTCATGTCCCGCCTCGGAGGACACGGCGATGGGTCTCGAGAGGCGGGTGGAGGGTGAAAGACACAGCGGTTGGCATGAGAAGGATAGAGCTGGACGCTCAGCGCGTCGGAGAGCGTCTTCTTCAACCAGCAAACCCAAGCAGTCGTGTCGAAGGGGATGAAGGTCTATCAAACGTCACGTTGATCCTTTACGTAGCAATCAACTAAATTGCATATGAGAGATCGAGACATCACCTCACTCACGATGCCTTCCGAATGCCTGTTAAGCGGAAAAGTCCGGTGCCGAGCAATGGCGATGGTTTAAGCGGGGTTCAGTGCGTGGGTGGCTGCTGGATAGCGGAGCAAGCTAAGCTGCAGCAGCCGCTTGCTTGTCTCTGCCGCATATGCGTTGCGTTGCGTATGGCTGTCGGGCCTTTTGCGACAGCAACCATGCTTTGTCCTTTCGCATCTCATATCTTATGAACCTCCTTGTCCTACGCAGCGAGCTGTCACGACGACCTGACCAAAGATTGAGCCTGAGTATCTAGGGTGGGTGCTTACGAGCTAGCAGACCGACCAACAGCATTCCACACTCATCCTCGGAGCAACGCCCTTTTTAGCAGCATCGCACGCCGCCTCTCAGAAGCCGAGAAGTTGAAGGGATCCAACAGAAGCCTGCTACAGCAGCAACGTGTGATACTACACCAGCCTTGAATAAGCTTTATCCGCTGACCATTGCCCTGGATCGGCCGAGTGGTTGGGCAGGTCGCATCGCCATTGTTTGGCACCTCACAAACCCGCATAGCGTGATCACGAGCGTGGTCTGAGAAACGCAAGGGTGGAGATCAGCTCCTTCGGCACACCTCAGAGTCACCGCGTAGCAAACGAAGAGCAACCCGGAAGGCGTAGCATATTGCGTCACACTATCAAGACGAGAAGCATCCCCTCAAATTCGCTCTTAGATTACCCTTCCAGCAACTCCACACGCTTACAGATCTCGCTCTCCGTGACATCGCTCCTAGCTTGCGCCTGCTAGCAACACCCACTTCACCAGCGATCAGCAAGCACTGCGTTGCCCAGCATTCCTCGGAGCTACACGCCCGCCAACTTGCTCCCAGTGAAGCGCCACCTCTCACCAGATCTCTCCATGCCGACCCTCGGCTTCCTCAAGAAGAAACGTACAAAGGACTCGCAAGGGTCCGACTCCGCAGCGCCCACCTCGCCCGTCGCGGACAAGGCACAGCACGCTGCGGGCTCACCTCTCACACCAACCATCTCAAAAGGTAGCACTCTGTTTACCGAGCCAGAGTCCACGTTCAACGCCAAGTCTACACCTGCAAACTCCGCGCCGTCAAGTTCTGGCGGCGACGCGAGCAAACAGCAGCAGCAGCAGCAGGACACGCCAACGGGTATGAACGCTCAAGCGGCCGGACAGCTGCAAGGGCAGAACCCGACCGCGAACACGCAGAATGTACCCTCGATCCAGCACCTGATAAATCAGCCGCAGTATGGCGGCAACTCACAACCGCACGACTCCGGCTACTCCAGCACCACCGACGGCAGTACCGGTCAGAACGTGCCCATGCTTAACCTACCTCAGCAGAAGCCAGTCGGAAATGCAGTGAGAGAGACGAAAGGAAAGTATACACTCAGTGACTTTCAGATCAGCCGCACGCTAGGCACTGGATCTTTCGGTAGAGTGCATCTAGTGCAGAGCAAGCACAACCAGCGGTACTATGCCGTGAAGGTGCTCAAGAAGGCGCAGGTTGTGAAGATGAAGCAGGTCGAGCACACGAACGACGAACGGCGAATGCTTCAACGATGTAAGCATCCGTTCCTGATTACGCTATGGGGTACATGGCAAGACAGCAAGAACTTGTATATGGTCATGGACTTCATTGAGGGTGGCGAGCTGTTCAGTCTGCTGCGTAAAAGTCAGGTGTGTTCGCTTTCTCCCTCTAACAAGTAGTTACCACTCTGATGAAGCGGCAGCGCTTTCCAAATCCAGTAGCCAAGTTTTATGCTGCCGAAGTCACACTAGCGCTGGACTACCTACACAGCATGAATATCATATACCGCGATCTCAAGCCAGAGAATCTGTTACTTGACCGACACGGACATCTCAAGATCACCGACTTCGGCTTCGCGAAGGAGGTACCCGACATCACCTGGACTCTCTGCGGTACACCCGACTACCTCGCGCCAGAAGTCGTAAGCAGCAAAGGCTACAATAAATCGGTCGACTGGTGGAGTCTTGGTATCCTCATCTTCGAGATGTTGGCTGGCTTCACACCCTTCTGGGATTCCGGCTCGCCACTCAAGATCTACGAGAACATCTTGAAAGGGCGCGTGAAGTACCCACCGTACATTCATCCAGATGCACAGGATCTGCTCAGCAAGCTCATCACGTCCGACTTGACGAAGCGACTGGGTAACTTGCATGGCGGCAGCAAGGACGTCATGACGCACCCTTGGTTCGCGGAGGTGACGTGGGATCGGTTGGCGAAGAAGGATATTGATGCACCGTATGTGCCGCCGGTGAGGGCTGGCGTCGGTGATGCGAGTTTGTTTGACAAGTATCCGGAGGAAACGGAGGCTTACGGTGCGGCTGGTGACGATGCGTAAGTGATTGCCTGTGCTGGATGATGCGGTGTCACATACTGACAATATTGTCGCAGATACGGCAAGCTGTTCCCAGATTTCTAGGGAGCACTGGTCCACAATGAAGGCGTTCGTCTATGCCTGTCCTTCAATCGGGATACTGGATTGCACGATTCAACGCCGGAGGAAGTGCCTGGAGGCGACACGGAGCGCATGTTAGAGAGGCAGAGATGTGATGGGCAACCAGTCGACCTGGGCCGTGGAGGACGTTGCATTTGCAAAAAGCGAATAGGTAACCTGTGTGGGGCAAGCGTTGGGTAGCGTACTGTATTGGCAGGATCCGTACATCTACGTCTTACTATGCCGAAGTAGTATCGTATGCACGCTTGTACGAATGCCTTTACCAAGATCAACTGACTCGACCAGATTCCGCCTTTTTTGCAACCATGTCAAAGGACATATCCAATGGGGGCCAAACGTAGTATACAAGAGAAGATAAGTCAACACTGGACTTCGTCGGTATTGTGCGTGGTCCGCAGTTCGTGTCAGCCTGACAAATGTCTTGCTTATCTCGCCGGTTACACTGGCAGCTGCACAGCGTCAGCCGAGGACTTATACGGGACCCAAGGCAGCATACCAACAGTGCAGCCTTGCAGTCACGCAACGTCCAGAGGCAATGGATCACCAGCATCCTTATTCCAGGCCTTCAGAGTGCCACGCAATTCAGTATGCAACATCGTAGATATCATGCAAGCCATGATTCAACCTCCCAGCCTGGATGCTCTGTCGATGTCACATCGACAATTGACCAGCAAGATATGCAGAACCAGCTGCTTATCCTTTACAAGGGCGATCCGAGTGCGACAGGGACCAGACCAGCGTTATAGCTTGCCATTCGTTGTCGTATCTGTTGAAGCGTCCGGTGTGCTTGATCTGATATACATGGGCAACCAACTCAACGAGGTGTCAAACACAACCGAGCGCATCTCAGCAACCGTGACGGCACATGCACCCTGTCACCCGTTTACATGGTGCCGGTGGTGCTGCCAGATTGGTGTAGATTTGTGATAAACTATTGGAACAGGGCACAGAACAGGGTGGATCAGCAGACAGAACTGGATTGGTTTAGAAGCCTTGTCATGCCGGTCTTACTGCATACGGTGGACCGTCAGAGCATTCAGCATGAGGCCGAATCTTGAACTGGCGTGAAAATGGTGGCGTAGGACGGACAGGCATGTGGCCACAGATATTTCGCCTGCAACCCCGGTGGTTGCACGCTACTCATAGTAAGCTTTGAAATTGGAATGGGATATTAAGGATCCGTACCATGTGCGCTATCGCTTGTTGAGAGTGTGCAAAGCCCTCCCCCTCCTCGATGTCCCCGGAGTGCGCTGACGCGCATGCACAGCTCCTCTTCTTCCACTCATGCTCTCCATGCTTCCAACTCCCGACAGAAGATAGCTGGCATGTAGCTTGTAGGCTTGATACACTGCGTATTATGAGTGGAAAGACAAGCTGCGACGCAAGTTGCGCGCAGTGATTATCGGCGCACGTTGCCCACATAATCTTTGTTCCGGCAGCAAATGGATGATGTTTCATTGCTGGCCTTTCAATGCTGTTGATTCCTGAAGTTCTTCTTCTGGTAAAACAGATCCGTCCTCGAACTTCCCAGATTGATAATCTTAGGACATCCGTCCCTGTCCTTCTCTAATCGGGTACATTCGAAGCAATAGAATGCGTCACTGATGCCCTCCCCACCGCAGACGACGCACTTGTTTTGATAGTTGCCGAACGAGCATTCGTCGCAGATGCGCACCAGAGTCGTAGGGCGCACATATGAGTCGCAGACGGGGCATTTACCATCGCACTTGTCGCATAGCCGGCCGATGGCAATGCCGGACGTCTTGCGGCACATCACAAGATCGGGGTGATGGCGGGACATGTTGCCAATTTACTTGACTTGTATTATGTGCCTCTTCACCCAGCACTGCAGTCGCGAGTGTTGTACGGCTTCGACTGAACAAGGCATGACTAATGAGAGCCTTGAAACTGCGCTTTGGTTGGAAAATCCAGGAAGCCTGAGGTTGCACGTAGAAGCTGCGGATTACAAATTGTGGCGCACGGTTTCACGTGCACGTGACTTGTGTCCATAAATGTTTGGTTTCTGTCACTACAACTTCGACCGCATCTCTTTCGCCGCCCTTTCTCTCAACACGCGCTTAAGGATCTTGCCAGACGCATTCTTTGGTACCATATCAACGAAGACGATGCCGCCCTCCAACATCTTATAGCTTGCCAATAAACCTCGCATGTAGTTGTGTACCTCCTGCTCGCTCGGCCTATCGCCAGATCGGCGGACGAGGTATGCCCGAGGTAGTTCTGAGCCATGGCGGAGCGGATCGGGAACGCCAATGACTGCAGCATCGATGATATTGGGGTGCTCGAGCAGGACACCTTCCAGCTCTGGGGGCGTCACTTGGTTGGCGCGAACTTTGATGAGCTCCTAATGTCGTTGTCAGCGAAGTTAACAGAATATTCTTTCACATCACGTATACCTTTTTCCGGTCGACAATGTACCACAGCTTCGTCTTTCCATCACAGTAAGCGATATCGCCAGTATGGAAGTAGCCTTCGCTATCCCAATCCCTCCGATTTGCCTCCTCGTTCTCAAAGTACCCTCTGATGATAGTCGGTCCTCTAACACACAACTCACCACGCACATCGTAATCAGTGATATCCCGCCCGTCGTCATCGACCAGTTTTGCGTCAAGATTCGATAGAAACCTTCCGACACTGCCGGTGGTATCCGTCTCCGGGTAAGCGAAGCTGCACAACAGTCAGCTGATTCCAGTACAAGCTCATGAAAAAATGTACTTGCCGTGTTGCTATGCAAGATGTCTCAGTCATGCCCCAAACTTGCGTCAATGGCGCGTCAGAGCCAATGATCGCCTGCATTCGTGCCTGCGTCTTCTTGTCTAGCGGCGCGGCACCGACATTAGCAATGCGAACATATCTCATGCTGTACTTGTCCTTCAGTGGCGAGTTAATGGCCATGACCGCTACCGGCGGCACGAGCACCGCGTCCGTGATTTGGTAGTGCTCGTGCGCCCAGAACCACTTCTCAAGGTCGAACCGAGGCAGCACGTACGCAGCCTCGCCTGCGCGCAATGGCGTAGTGAAGGCAACCGGCGTAGTGGCAGCGTGAAACATCGGCAAGGCTACAAGACGGCGTGCACGAAAAGGCCGAGGCGTCGCTTCGTAAACCAGGGTGTGCTCAGCGATGAAGTTGTAGTGGCTCAAGGAAGCAGCCTTCGGCAATCCTGTAGTTCCAGATGAGAAAAGACGTGCCGCTTCCGTGTCTTTCGCCGTCTCCAGGTCGTTAAAGCGAACCCAGTCCAGCTCGCCATGTTGTAAGAGGTCGGACCACTGCATACCGACACCCGCCGGGACTTTCTCACCGTGCGGATTGAAGATAATAAGCCGGTCGTCACCAAGTCGAGCATCCTTCATGGCCTTCTTCACCGCGTCAAGTAATGCTTCCTCAGGCTGTACGAAGACCCACTGGACCTTGGCTGTGCGAAGGGTGTGCGCCAGCTCAAACGGCGTGTATGCGGGATTTGTCCCGGCAAAGATTCCGCCTGCTGCAATGACGCCTAAAAAGAACAGCGGATAATATACAGTGTTGAAGCTGTGGATGCACACACAATCTCCCTTACGTAGACCGAGCGCACGGAACCCGGAAGCAAGTTGACGGACTAACGACTTGGCTTGCCGGGCAGAGACAGAGTGTTGTTGAGGCTCCAGAGCGGAGATGTAGATGGGCGCATCCCAGTCATGCTTGTAGTCATCGAATGTCCAGGAAAGGATATCCTTTGTAGATATTGGATAATGTTCCTGGGCAAGGAAAGGCATCGTGACGCTTATAAACCAGGCACGACCGAACTCGCGGCAGGAAACAGACTTGTAGTGATTCACAGTCCGACGTGTTGGTGAGCCGACGTCCCCTTGGTAGGTGCGTTGCACAAGTACCGACAAACAGCTGATGATCGAGCACGGAAGCTGAATGTCGAAGCTCCGGCTATTTTAAATAGACACAGCTGGCGGAAGTAGTCTTCATCAGGTGTGAACTTCTTGTATGTCAAAGGATATGACGGCGCAGGCTTTGTATACAGATACCGCGGGATTGACACGCTTAGTGCTGACATTGTTATCGGTTCAGCTGCGGCGCGTCTGTTACCCCTACGAGCTGGGAAGGATCCCCGGCATGGTCGGGTATGCCGCGGGGATTGCCCACTGGCCCCCACAAACCCTGCAAGCTTTACGGAGTTGTGTGGAGGCTGAACCTCAGGCGAAAGCGGTCCACTCTGCCATGCGACGGTAAGGCATGCTTGATTGCTAGAGAGCCTTACAGACCTCTGCTATCGTGCGCGCTTGTGTTTGATCTCCATATGCGATGGGCTTCCGTAAGATCAGTACCGTACCGCTTTCGGAAACCGTTAGGTAGCCTCCAGTAGAGCGTCCTCTCCATGGACAAGAGCAGGCGGGCGTTGTCCACATATGCTCCAAATTACAGCCGCAAGAACCGAGTATAAGGAATTTTAAGGCATCATTCTCACTTCAGTCTTCACGCCAGCCTTCTTTAGCCGGTCAAGATACGGTGCACCTAGCGTTGCCGGCGTCAAGAAGCCACCGCCGAGCTGATGCGCCAGAGTCTTATCGCGCGCGATGGTGATAGCGGCCTCAGCAACACATATCCCTGTAAGAGCATACATGCTACCCTCGAAACGCATGCGACACATTGCGCGCCTTGGGTCGTTTGGGTCCGAGGTGTCAGCGTAAGCGATAGCGCGCCATTCAATGCAGTCGTGCTTGGAAGCCCTACATGTGGTCAGCCCAGATCTGCAAACCAACAATCTCAGCATTGCAACTTACTCCTTGCTTGGACCCTCACCAGGCTGATACACAAAGAGCATGAGTAGCCACCGAACTGGTGGGACGGCGAGTGCGAGCAAGCCCAAGGCCATTGCTAGATGTATGCCAAACCCATACAAAGCATTTCCGATACGCTGGTAAGCATTGAATTGGAATTTAGAACCGTACAATTTCCCCTTATCATGCAAACCCCAAGAACGATGTACAATTGGCGTGTCGGAAGGACCTTGCAAGCTGTCTGTTAAGGTGCCAAGATCCGGGATATCTCGTACACCAGTAATCCTCTCTATCAGCGGCCTCGACCGCATTTGTAACGCTGATGGTTGCACCGGAGACATAGACCATGGGTTGCCAGTCTTCGCAAGGTGATTCAGACTATAGGAGTCGAACAGCGTCAGCACTGTGGCCAGAGTACCACCGCTCGGTACAGCATTGAGCTCCCACGTCGTTTGAACAAGCTCTGCGACGCCAACGTTGAGCGCTTGCCTTACATGCGTAACGAGACTCCAAGCCATCAGGTCACTAGGAGCGCTTTCGACCCCGTTCTGTGGGATGATGATAGCACCAGTCTGCCTTGCCACACTACTGTACTTCTGGATCATGTCATAGACCCACGGTATCTCGCCTGTGACGTCGAGGTAGTGTGTCCCTGTGGTTGCACAGGCTTCTATCACCACCTCGCCATACTTGTGGTACGGTCCTACGGTAGTAATGAGGACTTTGGTCTTGTTCGCAAGAGCGACCAGATTATCCTTCTCAAGGCTAGCGGTCTCGATGGCTGGTGGCGGCCTATCCGGATTCAGATGTTTGAGATCAGCAACGAGCCGTTGAAGTTTGGTTTCAGATCTCCCAGCCACCGCCCACCTGAAGTCAGTTGGTAGAGAGGACTGGATATGCTCGCATGTGTATCTTCCAGTGTATCCCGTAGCCCCGAAGACAATGCATTCATACTGCTGCGTGGATTGATGGTCCATGGTGGCCAAGGTCCGAGCATCAGGAGGATCTTGGCGAGGATCGTCCGGTTTCTCCAATGAGAAGGCCTACTTACCTACCTTTCCATGTCTCGCCTTACCACAGTGCTATCCTTTGACAGACTACAAGTCTGGTTATTGTTGCTCTAATTTAGCCTCGGTTCGTGGTTGGCCATGTAATCTGGTGGTGACAATTTTCAGCGGCCTAAGGCACCCAGCAGAGTGCGCCAAGCCGCTAAATTTGGAAGCACGACCGAATGTCGATTTTGCGACAACGACATCAAGCGTCCGATTCAAACACTCATCGCACTCTCCCGATCCAGCAGGCACCATGACGAAGAGAACGAAGAAGGTCGGCATCACCGGTAAGCTTGGTTCAGCAATCAAGGAAGCGATATAAGCTAGCTAATAACACTTAGGCAAATACGGCACCAGGTTCGCTCTTTCATGCACCTCATCGCTTGTTGCAAGGCATGGCGCACGATGAGTGAACGATCCTAACCCCGTCCTAGATATGGTGCTTCGTTGCGAAAGCAAGTCAAGAAGATTGAAATTCAGCAACATTCCAAGTACACATGCACATTCTGCGGCAAGGTGACCGTGAAGAGACACTCTACCGGTATATGGAACTGTCGGTCATGTGGGAAGACGGTACATCAGGAGTTGAGCATATGTTGGCACTCGCGGGAATACTGACGAGTCTGGCAGATCGCGGGAGGAGCATACACCGTGTCGACCCCAGCCGCCGCAGCGACGAGATCGACCATCAGGCGTCTGCGTGAGATCGCGGAGGTCTAAAGAGGTGATTTCAAATGTTAAGGGGGAATGAGTTGCATGGCGTTTCGGTAGCCGGATAACCACTTCGGTGGCTGGACTCATGCAGTTAGTGAAGGCATGCAGGCCATATGAATGAGGATGCGCTTTCACCAAGGTGCCTAGCACTACATACGGCTCTCAATCTCTAGCATGCGAGCCTCGTGTGCTCCGACTATGCCCGCTAAGCTTCATGGGGTACCCCGACCCGGTCGTTTCCAGGCGTTTAATAAACCTCGCTTGCACGAAGTCCATTGTCCGCGATGATACATTGCCTTCAATGCAGTCATTCAAGACTTGGGGGCGTCAATGTCGCTCGACGCAATCGGCTCGCGAAGGCATGTTAACGGCGTACATTCCATCCACTGGTGCACCAGCTCATCAAGATGACGGGCCCGCGGTGCAAATGTTCGTAGGCGACTCAGCGATTCAAAGACGCACAATGGAGATGTGAATCGTGGCCTCTTGAAGCCATCAACCTGCAGCCTGTTCATCAACCTCGTGGCGAATCACGTGGAGGCTACTGCTGCACGCTTAGGCCAGCGCTTGGCGAAACCCTTAAAGCGGGATTCTCCCCACAGTTTGCGACTCTCCCTCCTTCCGTCACACTCGAGTCCAAGATCACTCTTCCTCATGTTCGTCCAACCAAGGACAGCTTCAAGACCACTTGTAGCACACTTACAGCATGGCGGAAACATGCATCGTTTGTTTAGGAGATCTTCGCGCCGATGTTGCCGAAGACCCACCACCGGAAGCTCCCGCAGCTGCGGCGGCCGTTGATGCCAGCAAGGGCGGTGCCAAGAGCTGTACGAGAGCGAGCTCGAAAAGGTATACTACTTGACCCACGATGATCGATGCAAGACCTCCTGTATTTCGCCTGTAACGGCGATCATGTTGTCCTGCCATGCTGGAGGCCTCTTATGGCCCGCCCACCATCACGCTACCGAATCGGTACCGGCTTCCATTCTCTTGGACGGCTTGAAGATCATTCTTGATATTCGCCGATTGAGCTTGGGAGGTGAGGGTCTCCCCTTGCCATGCGTGCAATGTGGAGCTTCTGGAGCCTCCAGTATATGCGCGTTGTCACGAAAATGTTTAGCTAACGTTAATGTGCACAGTATCGATGCCGATGAAGAAAGCATAGCCCATCTCTTACCTTGCGGACACGATCTGCACAATGCGTGCCTCAAGCCTTGGGTCGAGCGCGCCAACAGCTGCCCGATATGTCGTGCAACCTTCAACATGGTCGAGCTCAGCCGCGCACTTGGCGGCCCTGTCGTCGACTCGTATGCGGTGCAGGACAAAGTCCAGGAGGCAGAATTAGACCCCACCATGGTAGTAGAGGATGAGCTCTTCGCCGTCGAAACATGGGACTCCTGCATAGTGTGCGGTGCAGCTGATGAGACGCACGAACTCATGTACTGTGACGGATGCGACAAAGCTGTCCATGTTTTCTGCGCCGGATACGAAGAGACACCGGATGTTTGGTACTGCGAGACCTGCTTAGGAGACCTGGAAACTGATGTGGGTTTGCCAGGTATGGCGAACGCAATGCGTCGTCAGCCTCGACGGCGTGCAAGAATGCCAACTGCCCCAGCTCGTCGCCGACAGCGCGACAATGATGCAATATGGGCGAGGGTCTGGCAAGAAGTGTCGCGTCGCTTGGACCTGGACTTAGATTTTCCGTTTGACGAAGAGGCGCTCGATCAGCGCACGCCGCAGCAGCGGAGAGAACTCGCGCACTGGCAAAGGCGCATGGAGGTCGCTCACCAACAAGGGGCTGCAACAGATCGAATACGAGATATTGCCTCCTCTCGGCTACAGCAGGCTCAGCCAAGGTCACAGCCGGAGCCAGAATCGCAGGATGAAATTCGTGCTTGGAACGCTTTCGACAAGGCGAGAGAGTCTCAGGATGCTCCACTATCTGTGAGGCGCCGGAAGCGCAAAGCCACAGCTTCGCCGGCGTCGCCACACGAGCCAGATCGTTCAGCGCAGCCTCAGCTAAAGCGTCCTAGGCTGCGAGCTCGGCCTGAAACGGCAGCGTCCAGCATTGCGGCAGAGTCATCGCACGCAGCTGCGCAACGCAACAATGATGATCGCTCAACGTTTTTATCGTCTTTGCTGAAGGACGTTGGAAACAAACCCATCTCAGCTGGCTCGCCTGGCGCCTCTGACCAGCACCCGGGTCAATGGTCACCACGCAACTCATCACCTATGAGGTCTCCGGTATCGTCTGGCCACGCTACGCCAAGAGCCCTCTCGCCCACCCCACCACCGCAAGACCCACTTTCGCCGCCTCTGTTAGCTTCCGTTGTGTCGTCATCGTCACCAGTGGCTGCTGTGTTCTCGCCGTTCTCGCCTACCACTGTGTCGCCCGATCATGCTCAAGCAAACGGTGTGTACCACCGTGGTCGACAGCGTGAAGTTAGTCTTAGACGGGGAGATAACGACAGCGATACGGGTCATCGCGCATCGTCCGGTTCACCTTTAGGCAATCTATCATATTCGGCCAAAAAGGAAATACAACGGATGGTGAAGCTTGCTCTCGCTCCACGTTATCGCGACAAAGAGATCAGCAAAGAGCACTACACAGACATCAATCGCGACGTTTCGCGCAAAATGTACGAGTTGGTGGGCGATGCATCAGCATTGACTGACCAAGCGGAAAGGGAAAGGTGGCAGAGTGTCGCAGATAACGAAGTCAAGAAGGCTATCTCGACCTTGCATTTTGGGTCATGAAAGCCTTCTGTGAGAGAAGGCGGCACGATTGATAGCGTTTGGCCGACAGCCAACTTAGCGATGTAGATACCCATTTGTACGTCTTTTTGGGCACTGACAGACTGTATGCCACTTAATCTTTCATGGTCTAAGTATCGCAAGGCTATATGCGGCGGTTGTATCTGGATCGCAGACGGCGGCGAAGAGGACGCTCTGCGGTGTCCGCCTTCGTGGCCGGTCTCGGCCAACCTACATTCTGTTGCAAATACTCCCATGCTTCGACGACTCTCCGCTCTATGTATACCATGTCTAAGTAACTATAATGCCAGTCGATGCTCATATTCTCGTCCTCGGCGCCGGCGTCACTGGCCTCACCAGCGCCATGCTACTTGCAGAAGCCGGCTATGAAGTTACAATTATCGCAGCACACGTACCCGGCGACAGCAGCATTGAATACACATCACCTTGGTGAGTATGGGGCATTCGATACCGGTCCATTGACCAATGTGCTCTGCTCGGGCGGACGTTGACACGACCAAGGGCCGGTGCCCACTGGCGAACACATGCGTCATCTGAAGAACCTATGCTCTGCGACTGGGACATCCAAACATATGAGTACTGGTCTGCATTGCTAGATACAGAAAACAAAGACCTGCAACTACACCGGTCTGGGATCAAGGTCGGCCATCGAACGCACGAGCTCTGTAAGCTCTGAGCTAAACGCTAGACAGATGTACGAGTCCTATGATTACTGGGATGGTCCAGTAACCGAAGACTTGTGGTGGGCGCCCTACGTACGGAACTTCAGGCATGTGTCGGAGTCCCAGGAGCCGCTCATTTCGATAAGTAAAAGGACGCCCCCTAGAGCGCCTCAGATTGCGAATGCTGTAGCCTGCCGCGCCATGGCCATCAACGTGCCTCAGTACCTTCTCTATCTTCTGGAGCAAAGCCGGTCGCTGGGTGTCAAGCTAATAAAGGCTCGCTTGCCTGTCGGTCGGGGCTTGAAGGCGGCATTACTTGCTGCCGAGAGTACCGTCACGGTGAACGGAAGGCGTCTGCCGGACTGTTACGTTAACGCAACTGGGTTGGGAGCCAGAAAGCTCTGCGGAGACGAAGCGCTGTACCCGATCCGCGGCCAAACCGTGTTGGTTAAAGGCGAGGCGAATGCCATCACCACTAGAATTGGAGAAGGCCACAGAACTTACTGTATCCCCCGACCAGGTTCCAACTCCACTATTCTGGGTGGTACGAGGGAGGATGGTGAGTGGAGTGAGACGCCAGATCCGAAGACGACAAGCCAGATACTCGAACGTTGCAGCGCAATGGTCCCTGAGTTGCTGACTGGCAGAGACGGAGGCTTCGAAGTTATCAGTGTGCAGTGCGGACTGCGGCCGGGCAGAAATGGAGGCCCACGGATGGAGAAGGAGGATGTTGACGGGACGAAGGTCGTTCATGCTTACGGCCACGCTGGAGCCGGGTACCAGAACTCTGTGGGCTCCGCACGTTTAGTGCGAAGATTAGTGGACGAAAGTCTTACTCCGACGTTCGGAACCGCGAGGCTTTGAACAGCAACGGACCTCGCGTGCATTCAGAACTGCACATCAGCCTCTGGAACTCTCAAGAAGCACCGCTTTCATTACGACTTCCTTGTTGGACGTCTGCGAGCCGCTTCAACATAGCAGCGATAGCTTTTGCGTCCCGATCGGACCGCTGCTGTACTTCGCTGTCACTCATGGTGTTGAGCTGGCCGAACAGCCACATCTCCTGGAGTCGCCGGATGAGTGACTGAGCCTCTTCGACAGCACGTATCTAGCTACACCTTAGCAACCTTCGAAAGCACTCAAGAATGTTTGAGCACACCATAGCAGCAGTATCGATCTGCATTTGATATTGAGCAAGCGCAGTAGCATTGCGGTCTGCGGTTTCAGTCTACGCACCGGTAAGTTGATAACTCGAATCGAGCGGTCACCATTGCTAGCGAAAGATACGCACTGTGCCTCGTTCTACGAGTCCGGCGAACCGTTTGATAAGCTCGTCTCGTAGCTTCTCAATCCTGCCTTCCACAAAGTCAGCTGTATTCTCCGCCTCGGCGTCGCAAAAAGCTACATACTAATTAGGGCCGGCGTGTTCCGGGCAGTCGCATCCATTTGCGACATTTATTCTTCAGCGGCATGTGCTTCAGCTTGTGTCGAATGTCCTGCAGATCCCAGATCGCTGTCTGCTGGACGCGCGAGCTAAGATGTTACGGGGGAGAGTTCGAAACACATGACTCGCGCTTGTAGCTTCACATCTTAAGCGCCGCTGCCTCTGGAGGATCTCAGCCTCTCGTCTCCTGGCTTGGAATACTATGCCTCTCGGACAGTCGCATCAAACGTTACTCGCAAAGCCTGATGACGGCATAAATGAGCAACCAGACTTCTAAGCAGTTGCGAATTCTGCGCGTGCCACGATGTATAGGAAGACGCTCAGCATAATCGGTCACGTAGGCACCTTCGAAGGCAGGACCGCACCGTGAAGCACGTAAACGACTATGCGCAAAGTCAAGTCATCAGTCAACTGTGTTCATTTGGCTTTTCAATAGAATGATTCTGGTAATTGCAAGTCTCTGCGATGGCGTCACTGAAGGTCATGATCTTGCCCACCATATCGCAACCGCGATTAGCAAGGCTGCAACAGGAGCAACTCGTTTTGCAAACCTTATGAAGCTTCTCTTATAACTTTCTGCAATGTACAGCTGGATCTTCTCCTGTATAGCCAGGGTCTCGTTCACTTTCGGGAACGCCACATCGGGGATGGGCTTGCCTAGAAAATTACACAGCGGCGCCCAGACATCATCGAGGTCAAAAAGTAATAGCTTCTCGGGCGGCGTGATTTGTTTGACATGGTCGTTGTGCTTGAGATATGTGGACCTTGCACTTGCTTGCCATTGCTCGAAAAATGGCGCGTTAGCCGTGAAGGACTTCGGGCCCGCTGTGTGGGTGACGCCAAAGTAGTGTCGGGCAATAAGATTGGTTTCGCGACTATATGTCCCATGTACCCTGGGTCCACCATGGCAGAGAACGGGACGAATGGATTCGGGGAACCGGCTATTACCGTTTCTCTGTAAGACTTGAATCATCGCTCGACGTCACGCTGTACAAGGATAACTTTCGCTTCCGGATAGGCTGCCATGAGCTCTTCGTTAAATAGTACCGCAGGCTGATCGGTACAGCCTCCATACGGACCAAGCAGGTTGTCGAACTCCTTGCGACCGAAAGGCTTCACACCTGGGCTGGGCTCGTACTTCGCTTTCAGTGCTTCCACCCACATGCCAAGGTCTTGCGGGTTCTCCGCCATGGTGAGCCAGTGCCATGTCGGTATTCCAAGCATCTCCAGCGCAGCTTTCATGGCTGGAAACTTTGTTCAGCACCCGAGTCTTGAAAGGCGCTCATACCATGTCCATACTCATCGTGCCTGTTCGCGAGTAACCCAGCGACAGGGCCTCCATTGGGACGGTTCGCTGTCGCTGTCTCGGATTCTCATCCTTGAGCACATATACATGAGAATGGCGCACGCGAGCATTCGACATGGCCTTGGTCTGCGCGATGGAGCCGGCGTTCGCAACCGATTGTCAGTCAATCGATCTATGGCTGCGTCTTCGCCACTGTCGATTGCATTCCGAAAGTTTGCGACATCATGGTGCTTGAATGCTTCATATAAGGCGGGGCGACATATGAGCCTGGAACGGGACCTTGAAAGGATCAGGGGAGGCTTGGCGCCCCACTCTCGCGGTAGGGCATTTCTTGCTCGATCAGAGGTGTGGTCGTAGAATACCAGTCACGCACTCTGGAACCAAAACTTATGCTGGCCGTAGCAGCGGATGCGCCTCGGTTGTTCTAATCATTGGTCAGCGTCGTTTCAAGCGGTAAGCTGACATGTGACTTACAGTACGTATTCGTCCAAGCTGATGACATCCGGGTCACTGAACATGAGGTAGAAGTACTTGAGCGTTTCCCCGAGCCAGAAGCTCTCCATGGAGTCGATCCACCTTACGTCACTCCACTTTGAAGCTCGTACGTCTTCGATGGAGGCGTACGCGATGTCGGTCCTTGTGGCGTTGCTGATGGCCTGGAACATTACCCATGCCTTGTCACGGAGAGCCTCGTCTCCAGTAATACGATACAGCACGAATAAGCTCTCGATTGCCTAAACCAATAATGGGTAGGAGGGTCAGCTTCCTCCCAGACAACACGGAGGGTTCTACACATTGCTGCTTACCTCAGGCCGGAGTAGATACCTCGGGTCGGGTACGTCAAGGAAGCCGGGTGCCAGGCCTTTATCATTGATGGTTTGCTGCGGGCTCTGAGCAGTGCTGTCCGCCGCAACGGCGTCGAACCACCGCTCTTCTGACCATGTGCAATCGTCGTCTTCCGTAACCTGACACGGCGCAACGCGGATTACTTCAGGCATGATACCGCTTGGCATGCTCTCGTACGCCCACAGACAACCACCTACCAACTGTCGTGCCGTCTCGATGTTTTGTTCTTCCCGGAATGCTTTAGCAGCTAACGCCACCATGCCACCAGCAAAGCAGGACAAATGCTCTGCTTCTGTAACGAGGGTGATACGGCCGGCGGAAAAACGTTTCAGGGTGCCGGACAGCAGCAAGTCTAAATTGTTGGGGTTCAGGGGACGAAAGAAGAGGTGCTGCTTCGCGGACGCTAGGGCTGTGGAATAGAGGGTGCGGTACTGCTCGTTTCGACCACCTAGGAGGAGGTGCTGCTTGGAGAAATACTCGTACACAGAGTCCGCTTGACCGCCGAAAGTAAACGTGATGTCTCTCGTGAAGTCCATATGTTGGGTATCAAGCTGCGACGGAAAGAGGCCAGGAATCTTGGTGTGGTTCTGCTGAGCTTCGAATGCATCTGTGATGCGGGCTACAATATCATACCACTTAGAGTCACCGGTAAGCTGAGACAAGCGTGTAAACTCCAAAGAGAAAGATCCGACCTCTGCAAGCAATGAGAAGCTTGCGGCTTCCTGGGCGCCACCCTGAGCGCCACTCCGCCAGTTCCACCGTGTTATAGGCATGTGGTTCGGTGTATCGAAAGCCTTGTAAAGCATCTCCCCAACCTGGACCGCCTTGTCCAGGAGTATATGGTAACGGTGCTCGCTCACGTCGTATGCAGCTATCAGTCCTCCGAGGTAGCGAATGGTTGTCTCGAACACATTCAGTTCGTCTGCGGCCGTGGTACCGAAGTCAACCTTGTGCAGCTGGGTCAGCGCGTCCGCGAACTCTTCCTTCAAGCCCAGTATCCAAAGCGAGTCCAGGGAATCAATAAGAGTCGCACCCCAGCCGCCGAAGTTGTTGTGGATTCTGCCAGAGACCGGAGCTACCTCATCTTGCGACCAAGCATTGCGCTTGTAGCCATGCCAACTATGCACGAATGCCTCCTTGACCGCCGCCAGACGTTCCTGCTGTACGACGCGCTCTTTTGCCGATCGAAATACGTAATGTGTCTGCAATTTCGGTATCCCTACGCATGGACCAGATGGCAGCGCGGTCATGTTTGCAACAGGGTAGTGTACGGGGACATCCTGCCATCGAAGGCGTGATATGGCTGGACCACCATCAGCCTGTGCTGTTGCGTAAATGAAACGAAGAAGCAAGAACAGAGAGATGGACGTGAAGACTGCGTAAAAGGCCCATCGCCGCAAGATAGGAAGCATAACGCCGTCAGCTTGCTAGACCGGCTTCCCACAATATGGACGACACATCATAGCACCAGGTCTCTGGGCGTGTCGGAACTTTGAAGGCCAAACAACGAGATAATAGGAGATGGATGGATTGAGTTCTCGCAATGACCCTCTTCGGAGAAAGCCGTCCGTGAGCGACGTTCTTACAGTTGCGACACCATGCGAGATGGCATAAGAAGGCGGATTCGCTGAGTATAATGCATAGATATTGCCTGTTGTAGCGAACGAAGTAGTTTGTGGTGTGACTCGTGGTGATGATGACTGTTAAGGATGCCCGGAGTGAGCTGCGAAGCGTATCTCAGTGCAGTGATCGACGTTCTGCTTGATACGCTAACCGGAATCGGCCGTAGTCAACGACACGTACAGACGTGAGCGCGACCAACTCCGTGTACGTCGCCCTGTCTTTGCCAATCCGGTGGTACGCCTTCATAACTGAGACATATTACAGATGACATGAAAAGACACCGATAAGGACATGAAAGGCACCCCCATGGCCGAACAGTATCCGACCATCCTGCAGACCGCGGTCTTGGGTACGGCATTCAAAGTCTTACTATGGCCGGCCTAGTATTCGGTCCCCGTTAAAACTCCAGTATTTGGAGGGCGTAGCTGACTCTCGTCTAGCAGATCGACAGACTTTGAAGTGCATCGTAACTGGCTTGCGATCACGCACTCCTTACCACTTAAACAATGGTACTTCGACAAGACTTCAGAGTGGACACTCGATTACCCACCGTTCTTCGCCTACTTTGAATTATTTCTGTCACAATTGGCACGCTACGTCGATCCGAAGATGCTTCAAATTAACAACCTTGGCTACGATAGTTGGCAGACTGTCCATTTCCAGCGGGCTACCGTGATCGTCACCGAGCTGGTGCTTGTCTATGCGCTATCCCTGTTCGTGCAATCAACACCAGCTGGGTCGAGAAAGCAGAGTCATGCGGCTGCGCTGTCGATACTTTTGAGCCCAGGCTTGCTCATCATCGATCACGTCCATTTCCAGTACAACGGTCTCCTCTACGGCATCCTGCTTCTGTCGGTTGTTTTGGCCCGCAAGCCCACGGGCCTACTTCCAAGCGGCCTCATCTTTGCCGCTCTGTTGTGTCTGAAACACATATACCTGTACCTCGCACCCGCTTACTTCGTCTATCTCTTACGAACATACTGCCTTGGACCACGGTCGATTTTTGACGTCCGATTCAGTAACTGCATCAAACTTGGAGTCGGTATCGCCGTGGTCGCGCTCCTTGCATTCGGTCCCTTTATCTACTACGGACAGATAGAGCAAGTGATGAGCAGGTTGTTCCCGTTTTCGAGAGGACTCTGCCATGCTTATTGGGCGCCAAACGTCTGGGCAATGTACTCCTTCACCGATCGGATCTTAATCTACGGTATGACGAACCCAACTTGCACTCCGGAACCACTACTGATCGCTGTTAGCCGCGCCTTACCTCAAGCTGCCGGTCAATCTCGAGGCGGTGAACAGTGTTACTCGAGGCCTCGTCGGAGACACCTCGTTCGCCGTACTCCCAGAAGTCGCACCAAGAGTCACTTTTGTACTCACTTTGGCCGCTCAGCTGGTTTGTGATATCGAAGTCGGGCTGACGACTGCGCACCGCTAACAGAGATACAGCCGGCATTGGCCAAGCTCTTCTTCCGACCAACATGGGATAACTTCGTCGCCGCTCTCGCACTTTGCGGCTATGCATCGTTCCTCTTCGGCTGGCATGTCCACGAGAAGGCGATATTGCTCGTCATCATACCTTTCAGTCTGCTCGCGCTCAAAGATCGACGTTACCTTGGCGCCTTCAGACCGCTGGCTGTCAGTGGTCACGTGAGCCTATTTCCCTTGCTGTACACACCAATGGAGTTTCCCATCAAGATGGTGTACGCTGTTGCGTGGTTAGTCATATTCCTCATGTCGTTTGACAGACTAGCACCCGCGTAAGTGTGCGCCGTAGCGAACGCGATGGCTTGTTGCTGACAGGATATAGATCTGAGAAGCCAAGGATATTCCTGCTCGATCGTTTGTCACTGCTCTACATTGGAGTTGCGGTTCCACTCATAGCTTACTGCGCACTTGCGCATGAGCTGCTGTTTGGCGAGCGGTACGAGTTTCTTCCGTTAATGTTCATCAGCTCGTACTCAGCCGTCGGCGTGGTGGGGAGCTGGATCGGGTTTCTTGTAGTCTTTCTCACAACATAGACGAGCCAAATCAGCGATCTGGTCGCATTGCGACAGTATTCCATATTACCGCAGGATTACTTCAACATCTGGTTGTCGCGAGAGATGTCGAGCGTCGTGGTTGTAAGCTCTGAGACTGTGGCGCGTAAATTACAAGTGGTGGGCATGATATACGGAGCAGTGAATGACTATGTTGTGAAGAGGCACGCCATGTTGCATAATGTGTTGCGCCACAGACATCGCGATACTTGGAAGAGCAACAACGGGCTAAAACCGGCATGATTCATCTGGCGTGGAAACATACAGGTACGCCGGGCAGGAGAAGCAAAAGGAGAGTGGTTGTTCAATCACGTCGCATGGTGTGGACCGCTACGATGTGAAGCTGGACAGTTCCTATCGTCCTCGTGAAACTGTGCACATTCTTGCGATCACAATGGACCCAAATATACGTATACTGGTATGCAAGGTTGTGACGGCAAGCTCGGGCAAAAGTAGGGTAGACAGAGCAGCATCAGCGAGGACGGCATCGCCATTTTAGCTTGCAGCCAAGAGGGCGGCAGCAACCGCACCGACAGGGATCTACCGTCAAAGCCGCTGCATGCTTCGTGCGTCCCTTTGGCATGCCCAGCGCTGCGGCAGACTCTCTCACCCCCGCGATCCATCTTCTGGAGCCATGTCTTTCCGCGCTAGACCTCATCTTCTCCCACAAACTTCTCCCTCCCATCACCGCCTACCACAGGCTTCTACAACAGGCTCCGCAGCTGTGCTGAAGCCGCTTCACAAGCTCGACAATGCTAGTCTGACGTTCTTTCTACCCGCTGGGCGCTATAACCCTGCGCATCACCAACTGGTACCCCGTTCAGGCCTTCGCACAAGCCAACCGTGGCCCCTACCAGGCTTCAAGTCAGGACTGCCATCACCCAACATTGATAGAAACCCAACGTAGCCCACCAGGTCAGCCTTGGATGAACGGTGGCTGTATTGCTTGAAGGTTGCGGTTAGGCAAGGAAACACTGCCCTCCATGGTGCTGTACAAGAGAAAGGAGTTTACGCGCCTGGCTCCGCCCGCCAACATCACCGATAGCACAGATGTCTTTGTCATGCGAGGGACCAATGAAGTGTTCACGGAATATGAGAAGTACCTGCGAAGGCACGTATCTTGTCCACCCTTTCGTACGGGACACTGCTGACCGCGCGCAGATACGAATACTTAAGCCAGGTATGATGTGCGATCCGCGTGGTGACGCAGGAGACGCTGACTTTCTTGCAGAGGAAGTTCACCGACGCGGTCAACGGCAAGTCTGGTCTGAACTACTGGGACGCACTGGAGTCAGAGGTATGTTGTCAAGCACGCCGTTGATATAGCAACCTTACTGACACCCGCTTAGACCAAGAGCAAAGCAGATATCGAAGATGTCTTCCCGCTGCCACTCAAAGAACCCATTCTACGCAAAGTTCAGTTCTCGACAATCTCCCGCATTGACGACCTTGGTATGCGTCCTAGTCTACCGACCGTGAACGCACTAACCATCTATAGTGAGCTACATCTTCGACGAGTTCAAGAAAGACTACTTTCCGGGTGAGGCTGTTATAGCTCTCCTGCCTCCGGATGGCGAACAGATTCCCGGCATGATCCGTGAGAAGGCCAAGTTTCCCATGATAAGAGGTCCTGATGGTACCGTCCAGCGGCCTGCCTTCTCGCGGTACTTTGTTCGCTTGGGTGATGTGTCAGACAAGGAAGCACTTCTCGATGAAACGCATGTCCGTCGCGACCGCAAGGTCTTCACCAAGCAGAACCTTCGCGCTTTCTTGAAGAACTCGTTGCAGCGCGAGGCTTGGATAGGCGCACCATGGCTTGTCAAGGAGCACCTGGCTATCAGGCACAGACTACCTATGGAGATTCCTGGCCATTTGCTGCAAGACGCCAAACTGCTTTTGAACAAGGTACGTCTGCACGTGGTAGCTTCGGAAACCTTACCATTGCCCAGAGCAAACGATGCTGACGATGTTCAGCATCAACTGCTCCAGATGAGACCGCCTAAAGGACGGCGCTCGGCCAAATCGGAGGAGATTGCTAGGCAACAGCAAGAGCTGGCACGCATTCAGCAGCAGGTACGATATGAGCATAGAGACTCACTGTGTGCGACCGCTGACTTTCCCAGCACCCTGGCGCGACACAGCAACAGCTTCAGCAGTATCAGCATCAAGCTTTGGCTTCGCGCGTGGATCCCAAGCCTCCAATGCCCCCACCCATACGTTATCCAATTGAGGATCTCGACCTACCGCCCAAGCACAATGGCTCCTCTCGACCGCAGCTGAAATTCTTCACAGAAGAGCAACACGAGTATGTGATGTCTGGTCGCCGCATATCATTTGAAGACATTTCCATGGATGCGATGGGCTTGTTGCTCGAAGTGTGGAACACACTAAATGTACAGTGCGAGGTATACGTCATCGACAGCTTCACTTTTGACGATTTCGTGGACGCTATGAGATACACCGAGATCGACCCGCCTTGTCAACTGCTCGAGGAGGTTCATTGCGCTGTGTTAACCCAGCTTGTCGACAAGAGTGGCAAGTTGCTCGTTGCCAAAGGCATGCTGGACATGGTAGCCGATGTTGAAGAGCCGGCTTCCGATGGCCTCATTGAGAGCGAAGTATCAACACCGCAGCCTGACGTCCCTGCGAGATCGACACGCAGCAGACTTAGCCACGTCGATCCAGCGTTTGACAACCCACGCACACCGACAGGCGAAAAGCAGCACCGCGCCGCCGAGATGCTTGGAGAGCGCAGTTGGAAAGCCCGGCTTGCTTCGCGCGACTTCCTCAATGGCGGCTGGCAGGTGGTCTTGGTTGGGCTACTTCACCAACTCTCCCTGAACGCAGCCTTCAAGCAGCGCTGTGACACTATCCTCGCGGAGCTTGCACCCATGGACCTTCCGCCCAGCCAAGAGACTGCATTGCATCAATACGCCAAGCTGAGCGTTGATCTACGTATCTCGGCCTTGCAAATGATTACAATTTTGTCCATCACGACCGCTGCTATCAAGGAGTTCCTCGAGGCATGCAGTGAAGACATGACTGACGTCCGCAAACGGAAGATCGAACATCAGCGAGAGAAGAAAGCGTGCACCGAAGAGTTCCAGATCAAAGATCGCGAGTACAAGATCATGCTGCCTCAAAACATGGCAGAGTCGCCGAAACTTGACAGTGTGGAGCCAGCATCCGTGGACGGCGAAGGCGACGACACGCTCGAGACAAATGGCGCGGGCAGTTCGGATCCCGACGAAGAAGTGCCTCCCAATGGACGGTCACTGAGACGTGCTAGTGACCGTAAGCGCAAACGTGACGAAGAAACTGCTCGCCGAGAGAAGGAAAGGGCAGACAAGGCCGAGGCTGCGAAGAACAAGCAATCAAAGGAGTTCAAGAAGGTCTGTCGGGAACGCGAGGAGCTGCGTGCGCGTATCGAAGAGGCAGAGGCCAAGATCGAAGAATGCGACTCCGACTTGCGTGAGGCTAACGTCCAGCGCACGAAGATGCTGGGTAAAGATCGCTTTTGCAATCGATATTACTGGTTCGAGCGGAATGGTATGCCATTTGCTGGTCTTCCGCGCTCCAGCACAGCTGACTATGGTTACGCGAATGGACGCCTATGGGTCCAGGGTCCAGAGGAAATGGAGGCTGATGGCTTCATCAATCTTGCGCCAGAGGAGCAGAAGGCGTACCGTGCGCGCTTCGGCATCAGTACTCTCGAACGTCGCAAGCAGGAGGAAGGCGCCACTAGCCTGCGTGACGCTCACGAGTGGGCTTACATTGACGACCCAGACCGCCTCGACAACCTTATCGGCTGGCTTGACGATCGCGGCGAGCGCGAGAAGAAGCTTCGTAGAGAGCTCTCCGACTGGCACGAAACCATCGCACGCTACATGGAGGCACTCAAAAGCTTCCGTGAGGCCGAGGCGACGAAGAAGGTGGAAGCCGAGGAGGAGCAGGCGACCCGCGTGAGTACCCGTCACCGCGCGCATGAGGGTGAGACGGCGGCACAGGACCGCTGCTTGAAGTGGACCAACTCTATGGCGCTGGAGGAAATGGGCCATCTGCACTCAAGGCCTGAGAAGAAGCCATCGATCAAAGTCCGAGCAAGACAGGCTAAGGGCGTAGCGGCAGTTGTTAGCCGATCGACCGGTAAGCCAGTCACTCGCCAGGGTACGAAGTACGACTTCAAATGAGCTTTCTAGCAGCATCGCGACTGGTTTCTGACAGCAAAGCACTTGGAGAGCGGCTGTGTGGAATGGGGAGGATGTGGTGGACTGTAATACATATAGCGTGGCGCTGCGGCGCCATGTTGTCTGAGAGCTGTTTGCGTTGAGCACGCGATGATGTAAGTCTGTAGCGTTGAATATGTGCGGAAAGCTGCTCGGTAAACACCGAGCCTGCTGCGACAAGTATTGTTAGATCTCCGGGATACCTGTTCTAAGCCATGCCAATCTCTCTAACGATGCGTACAAACACCTGAGAGCAGTGTAGACGAGAAATCATCCGCGTACCAAGTCTTTTGCGCCACCACCACAACGCCGAATACAGATTGGCATGAACTGCCAACCCCATGCAACCCTGCAATGTCCAAAGCAGTGCATGATCACGACCAATTAGTGTGTTCAAGCAACCCAACTCCAAGTAATATGCTTATGCAAACAAAGCAGCTTATGCAACCTCTTCTTCGGCCCACCCTGGCAACGTGCCTTCGCCGCTGACACCTAGACCATATGCGCTGCCATAACCACCAAGCCCGTTGCTAAGTCCACCATATCCAGCGGGGCTTTGTTGTTGCTGCTGCTGGGCTTGTTGCGCCTGCTGTAGTGAGAATGCAGGCAAGCTCAGAGTACGGCTGTGCTGGGCTCGAAGGTTCTGCGAGTTGTTGTATGAATGCGACGCCGCGCCGTTAGTGAGGTACATGCTCTGGTGGCTCCCGTGACCGTACAGTTGAGACGGAGGCTCAAGGCCGGAAGACCGCGTCGAAGTCACTTCATTAGGTGAGCTGTAAAATGCCTGCTGGCTCTGAAGCTGCGTTGCTGATTGTGGGTGCTGGTAAGTCTGCTGGTTTTGGTATGTTTGAGCAGAGAAAGGAGACGGAGTCGACTCGCTACGTTGCTGCTGCGCTGTTTGTTGAGCTGCCTGCTGCGACGCCTCGGCCGCTGCTTGAACATGTTGTTGAGTCGCGGCTAGATACATTGTAAGAGGGTTGTTATTGCCTGTGTTGAAGATTGTAGACGCAGTCGGTCCGTTGAGAGGATTGTAAGCATTGGCACCTGAGCTCGCGGGCGACACTGAGCTGTGAGTCCTAGCCTGTTGCAGTCCATTGACCGGCGACGGAGAGCCAATTCCGTTCTCTTGGTTCTGTTGTTGCTGTTGCTGTTGCTGTTGCTGCATCTGCTGCGCATTGAGGACATGTCTGGGCGGGTTTCCGCATCGGTCTTTGCCAAAGTTCACCTTGAAGCGCTTGTACTCATCCTTGCCTCTGACTGCCTCGATTGCTTTGATCGCATTTGCAATGTTCGTAAAGTTCACGAAAGCACAGCTCTTCTCTCGCAAGGTGTTGACCAGTTCAATCTCACCATACTCCTGGAAGTCTTGACGCAGGCGGTCTTCGGACCATGACTCGTCCAAGTTACCAATGTACACGTTACGGGAAGCACCGCCAGAAACGGCGAGTGCAATCGCAGGAGGAAGAGCGCCGGAGTGTTTGCCCCATCCAATCTTCAATCTGCGGTTGTGGATCATGAGGCCCTGCAAGTTGCTCAAGGCGTAAAATGACGCGGCAGAAGTCGGATCGATGAAGGTGACAAAGCAGATATGCTTGTCGGGTATGTAGCGAATATGATGTAACAAGCCACCGCGAACGACGTTGCAGATCTCTTCGATCGTGGTCTCTGGGTGGATGTTGCCAAGATAGACCGTACGGTTGCCGAGGTTATTAACGCCGCCGGCAGTGGTCGCGACTGCCGCAGCTGCGACAGACTGCTGTGCTAGAGCGTTCGTGATCAGATCGCGGTCGGCCCCATTGAGCACGTGAGCGTAGCCGGGCGCAATGCCAAGATACTGGGCAGCATTCTGTTGTTGGGTTTTCGAGACGTAAGCACATCGGTCTTTGCCGTAGTAGACTCGGCGTGGCGGCTGCCATTTGGGCTCCTGTGGCAGCTGCGTAACGGCCTTGATGGCGTTCCCTATCGACAAGAAGTGGACGAAGCCGATAGCCTTCTCTCTGACGATCTTGATGGTATCGAGGGGGCCAAACTTGCTCAGGTCCTCACGCAGCTCATCTTCCGTTACTTCCTCTGGTAGGTTTCCAAGGTAGACGTTCCGCGAAGCACCAGACTGCTGTACAGCAAGCGCGACTGAGGTAGGCACCGAAGATGGCTTGCCCCAGCCGATCTTAATGTCCTGACCCTTGATTGAGAGCTTCTTCAGGATTGCATCGGAGTGGAAGTGGGTTGCTGAAGAGCCATCCAGAAATGAAATGAAGGCACAGTTCTTGTCTGGCAGCAAACGGACAGACTCAATCTGACCGCTGCGTACGTGACCGAGAATCTCTTCAGCAGAAGTCTCCGGAGGAATGTTACCTAGGTACACGGTACGACTTGTACCTGACATGAGGCCAGGAGCGAGGTTCATTGCAGGGCCGTAGCCGCCCAGGTTGGCTCCATTTAGAGCATTGAAGCTTGTCGTAGGTGCCTGCATTCCGAAGTAGGACGGTGCACCAAGCGTTGTCGGAGAGCCCATGGTATTGAAGACAGTTGGAGACATCGGCTGTTGTTGGTGGAATGCATTGCTCATATGATGCTGCTGCTGCTGCTGGTTGTGACGAGGACCAGCGTTCTGCTGAGAGAAGTTGGAAAAGCTTTGGAACTGCGGGGACTGGAAAGTAGACGGCGAGCCGGCCTGAAAGGGACTGCCCATCAACAGCTGCGACGGTAGAAGAGGAGTGAAGTTCATGTCATAGCCCGTTTGCGGCGTCTGCATGCTCGCAGTGTTGTAGCTGTCTGTCGATGGTAGCCGCGTTGTGTTGATCGGCTGTATTGTGTTCCTCTGGGGGTGCCTATCAGCATAACTGCTAATGGACGGCTGAGCTGAGTGGAATGATGACTGCGGAAAGCCGAAGCCGTCGCCACCTAAGGAAGCCTTGGGTGCGAACGATTGAGTGTGACGATGTCCGAAGCTAGATGCAACGGGCATCGCCTCGCTGGCCTGCATACCCAGCATGTGCGGCGGCAGCGCGAAGCTGTCCCGCAGGTTTGCTGAGAGAGCTGCCGTGTTGATGGTGAGGTCGTCCGGCTGCTAAGAGACCGGACTGCAAACGTGAAAGAAAACGTCCGAGGCTTAAGGAAGCGCTGCAAGCGACAAGGTTGGATTCAAACTTGGTCTGTAGAAAAGTGAGCACTTCGCCGTCTACGTTATGGGCACAATGGCGGCCTTCTACCCGAAGGCGCACGTGGATAGACCTACGTTTTTCCTCCGAAGAAGTCGTCTCTCGTTTTGCACCAGCTTCAATCTGTAGAGCTTCCGAGAAGACCGCAGTGTGACTGACTGCAACCGAAGAGGATATATACAGTTCCGCCTCTACTCACGATTGATTCTGGGTGACTGCCGTCTCTTGTCTCTGAGGTGAGCTTGCAGAAAGCAATGTCCGAAGCGGCTGCTCGAGCTATCGAAGTACAGAATAACAGGATATGCCGAGAAATGAAGGGGTACGAGCAATGGAGAATGAAGAAAGCAATTGAATGAACGACTGACTGCGAAGCACAAGGGCACAACGCTGTAGAAGGGAAAGAGATGCAGAATGTCCAGTACAGTACAATGTTCCACCTCAGCCTAGCCGGAGTATTATGGGGACATTGCTCCCGGCATGCAACAGGGGAGATCCGAGCCATCTGGCGGGAAATGAGATGCTCGACCAAAGCGGATAGGCTCTGCCGCATTGAGCTCCGAGGTCCGTTTCCACGCTCCGGTCGGGGTCTGGTGCTGTTGTCCTACCAATGTTAGCGCCTGTGTACTGAAGCAGAGGGCGCTGCTTGAATCAACAACGGTCGGCCATGGATGAGCGAGAGGGTGAACTCAAGCGCGAGCATTGTGCATGCGGCTCCCGAACTTTCAATGAGCTTTGCTGCAGGGCCGGTTAAGACAGCGAATCGGGTCGTTGTTCCTGACAGATGCGCTAAATGAGCCAGCGTGTGTACCTTGCCGGAATTAATAAGCTCAAAGCCACTCACGTGCAGTCTGCGCTAGGCTCGCGAAAATCGGCCTTCGACAGACCGGACACACATCTTGCACTTCTTAACCACCAGCGCTGCCGTTCTCCAGCTCTCGGGCTCGATGCTATGCAACGATGGAGCGAGACTACTCCGCTTGTTCGTGGGGCCACCGCCATCAAGGCTCGGACAATCATTCTTGGCTTACTGCACACCGCTGCAGACTCTGCCTTTGATGTGGGAATTTCAGAGTGCCAGACGCCATGGACAGAGCGCATGGGAATGTATCTTCCGTATCCTGACTGTGCGTTCACGAAAACTACTCGGCCTTGGAGTGTTCTCGTTCGCATGAATGACGCTACGCAAAATGATCTCCAACTGGTTCTTCAATGCACTTCAAGCCAACTCCAATACCGGTCAGAGTGGGAGACCGCTATTTCACGGATTGGATTGTGCACATAGCTCTGATGATCTGCAATCACATCTATTCAATACTCCGAGGCAAGAACGCCGGCCTCGGACAGCTTGAGATGCAGCTGCGGGGATAGCTCCCAGGTCAGATACGCCGTAGTTGTCGCCCGGCCGTCAATAGACCGACCGCCAGAACCGGGTGTAAGTACAACACACCTTCATACTGTCTCGAGCTTTGCAAGTCTAGACTTTTCCAATTTAGTCAATCCTTCCTGCTCGGGTCAATGGAGTACGACAAGGCCGTCGCAAGCGGCCCTCCAGAAGCCAAGAACTATCCGCATGAAAGCGTAGTGTCTGGAGGTAAAGATGGTCGTCTACGTGTCAAGGGTCCGGAAGTCGACACTAGTGTCCTGAAAGAGCCCATCACGTTCACGTTCTCTGGACGCACGGCTATGAACAGGTTCTTGAAGGCGCCCATGACCGAAAGACTCTGCAAGTGGAATGCAGAAGGCGAAGACGTTTCCGTTCGCGGCTACCCTACCGAGGAGTACAAACGGCTCTACCAGCGATGGGGAGAAGGTGCGATAGGAGTCATCGTGGCTGGTAACGTCATGGTAAAGTACGATGCGGTAGAAGCGTTTGGCAATCCGATCATATGCGATGACCACGACAACCGAACAAGCGCATTCCGGGAGGTTGCCGAGGTCACGAAGAAGCACGGCAGTCTGTTCATCGCTCAGCTTTCACATCCTGGACGGCAAGGAGGCGCTGCGTTGAATCCGCACCCCGTCAGCGCCAGTGACGTGCAGTTGAAGATCGAATGGGCGGGCAATAAGTTCAACAAACCCCGCTCACTCACTATCCCGGAGATCAAGGAGATGGTCAAGACGTGGGGCGAAACCGCTTACCTTTGCCAGCAGAGTGGGTTCGACGGGGTGCAGGTGCATTGCGCACACGGCTACCTGCTGGCTCAGTTCCTGTCGATGACAACGAACAAGCGGGACGACGAGTATGGCGGCAGTTTGGAGAACCGTAGCCGCATCATCTTCGAGATCATTAACGAGATCAAGCAACGTGTCAACGACTCCAGCTTCATCATCTGTGTGAAGCTGAACTCGGTCGAATTCCAGCCTGGCGGCCAGACGCCGGATGATTGCAAGAATTTGTGCCTGAAGCTTGAAGAAGCGGGTGTAGACTTTGTTGACCTCTCAGGCGGAACCTTCGAAGGACGAGCGTTCGAGCACAAGAAGGACTCAACCAAGGCACGGGAAAGCTACTTCATCGAGTTCGCTGAGATGATCCGGCCTCTACTGAAGAAGACGAAGGTCTACGTTACTGGAGGCTTCCGCACAGCAAGCGGCATGGTGCGAGCAGTCGCCGACGGCGCTTGCGATGGAGTCGGTATCGGACGGCCACTCGGAGCGGAACCATATCTTTGCAAGGAGATACTGGAAGGCAAGGTGTGCGGTGCGATCGAGAACTTCGTACCGCTCCCTCAGAATACGCAAGGGACAGGCACACAACTACATCAACTTGGTAATGGTGATGATTTGGTAAGCGATTGGAGTGATGAGGGCGAAGTGCAGCGATGGCTCGAGGCTTTTCACAAGGAGACGGAGCGAAAGATCAGTATCTTACCAAAGGTGGACAGCTCCGGTTACCCGGCGCTGCGTGCAGAGGTTGGCTTTGAGTACATGCGGTAGCCAAATATACCCTGTGCGCTTCTTTTTCTCGCGGGCGCATTCGTCAGTCTGCGTATGAAATGTCGCCGCTCGCGAACGGGGTATGTCAGTGCATAGTCTAGGCCGTAAAGGGAAAGCACGCAGAGCGGACCACTTCCGCGTCTTTAATGTCAAGGTGCCTCTGGAGCGGGTTCTAAACCGTTGTATGTTATCTCACACAGATGCTCCCGCTCCGCTCTGCTGCCACCGTCGCGCGTCATGTATCAGCAACACTGCCTCCAGCCGCAGCATGTATCGTCTGCACCTGCTCTTGCGGCAACCTGTTTCGCAACCGCTCCAATGCCCTACTCCCGGCGACCGCCCGCCGCACCAAAGTCAATATGTCCGGTCGAAGTGCCCCCAAGATGAAGGCGATGCGATCAGGAAGGACAACACTTACTTCTGAGGAGGCCAAGCGCCGGAAAGATGCTCGGGAAACGCTGAACCTCCTGCCACATAAGATGCTTACCCACTGGTATCGCAATGGTTGGCTTCAGATTGTACCAGACAACAGTATAGATTTCCTGAACGATCTCGCCGAATTGGCACAAGCATCCAGCGGTCGGCCGGGCATGGATGTCGGCCAGTTCAGACAGCTGGCGGAGAAGTATGGTCTCTCAGTCACTGGTGGCGATGTGCTCGGCATTGCCGTAATCCTTGTGAACCTTGGGCGGAACCAAGACGACAACCGCTTTTTGGGTCAAAGGCTGCTGCACACGCTCAGTGAAGCTGGCAACGTGGAGGCGACCCTACGAGTGTTGAACCACGAACTGGTGGGCAGTAAAGCGGACCCGAACCGCTTGCGAAGTGCAACTTTCAACACCTTGCGTGGTCACTTGAGGCAGCATGTGAGGGAGGGGCGTGAGTTTCGGACATGCGTGCTAGAAGGCAGGATCGCCTACGCACTGGGGGATGAGGACTATGCGATCAGCATGTGGGAGCGCAGTCTTGATCTGGCGGCGGAGTGGAGCGAGCGTACACGCCCAGACGCTTTAGGGAGGCTCCTGCTTCGCCGACGGGACGAGATAGAGCTGACCTCGCCGTGGATTGAGCTGACGTTGGTCTACTTTGAGCGTTACGACAAGCTCTATCGCCGAGGTGATATCAGTAAAGCGTTGCTCATGTTGGACAAGAGTAGGAGGGCGATGGAAATCGGATGTAGGCAGGATGACCCGACGAGCCATTACCATGCGGCCGAGTTCTTCAAGGAAGTCAGTGAAGACGGCAGTACGAGGTACACGAGCACGTGGCTTTACAACATGACGAAAGCCGCCGCTTCAGGACATGTCAAGGCGGCGCATGCTTTAGGCGTGTTCTATGAAAGTACAGGGTGGAAGTATATCGAGGATGAACCGCCCGATCATATCAAACCGACCCCATTCGACTCCTATCCGCCACCGGCAACCACGCAAAGTCCGCCATCCGGCTTCTTGTCCTCTATACGCAGCATGTTCGGATCTATAACAACATCTCGAATGTCAGAGACAGAGGCATCACGTCTAGATCTCTTCCAGACCGCCGTCTTCCCCAGCACGCCCCTCGAGCGCTGGACCCTCGCCTTGCGCTGGCTCGAAGTCGCCATGGACAGCATGTACGCGCCAGCCTACCTCCAAACAGCAAAGATGCTACTGGAAACCTCGCTCTGGGCCAACGCACAAGCACCACCATCCGCCCTAGACATGACACCCGCCCGCTACACCTACGCCAGTAAAGAAGACTTCGACGCCGGACGCCCTCTCCCATCCGCAAACGAAGGATTCGCTTCTGAAGACATCCCCGCCGAAGACAAAATCCACGATCCCCTCCTCGCCCGCAAATACCTGACCGAAATCTTCCACGCCCACCGCGCCGTAATCTACAAGCGCGAGCGAATCGCGCACACGCAAGCCTACTGGCGCAAAATGCGGCAGTCCAGCCGCGCAGAGGGCCACGATTTGGAGGACCACGAGATCCCGAGTCAGGTCCCCGAGGACGTACGGAAGTGGTTGCGCTGGCCGGATGTCATGGAGATGTATGAAGGCGAGATGGATGGGTTGGTGGCGCAGGCGAAGTGGCTGTGTGATAAGCATGAGTGGGATGTTTTGGATGAAAGGGGGGGCCTTTTGTACAAGGCGAATTTGGGCAACGTGCAGCTGGAGACAGGGGCGAGAGGTGCGGCTGCTGCTGCTGCTGCTGCTGCTTGACCATCCATCTAATCTCGCGCACTCTGCGCTAAGTACGATGACATCCGATTTCTTCATCTCATGCGCGCTGGAGACATTGTCATAAGCCGTTGAACGCAACGCCTTGCACTCCTTCTGCGCGTCTAAACGCGTGGTTTGTGCAATCATCTCTCCCCCCTGACGCGGCTCAGCGATACTTCCACTGTCTTCCACGGGCATGTGAGGATGCCGCGGACGCGACATCGGCCTGATCAACGAGCTGTTAACGAACTGGCTCAATCCTCATCCCAATTCGGATTCGGCCCTGGCGGTTTCGGCCCCCCCGCCTGCCTCGCCACAATAATCTGGTCCACGCTCAACACCGTCCTCGCCGCCTCTGTGGCCAACTTGATCGCCCACGATTTCGTCACCATCAAATCCAGGATCCCCTCCGCTTCCGCATCGAGCGTGCCAGTCCCAGACGCGTTCTCAATATCCACCCCGGTGCAATCGATCTCCTCGTCTTCCTCCTCATCCTCGTCATCACCATCCGCCTCCCCATTAGGCTGCTGTTTCGAAGTCCCGTTCGTCTGTGGCTTTGCGGCCGAGGAAGTAGTTGGAGGGGCAGCCTGATGGTGCGCCGTGTACAGCTTCGCGAGGACTTCTGTCGCGTCTAACCCTGCGCTCTCGGCCAACACGCGCGGCACGACTTCAAACGCTTCCGCGTACTTCCTCATCGCGTACTGAGCAAGGCCCGGCGTCTTGTCCGCCACACCCGCCACCCGCTCCACCAACTCCATCTCCGCGGCGCCAGCACCGGGCACGAGTCGGCTGTCTCGCGTGATGGCTTTGACGACATTGACGCCGTCATCTACCGCGCGCTCCACATCATCCAGATGGTTCTGTGTGGCGCCTCGCAGCACGAGAGTAGCGGTCCGGGTTTGTTCGTTCTCTTGTCGGAAGACCGTCACGCGGTCGCCGCCAATCTCTAGTGTCTCGACGATGTCAATGTTGCCCATCTCGTCCGGCATGGGCGCGCCTAACCTCGCTAGGGGAGTTGCGCCCACGACTCGGCAGAGCCGGCGTAGCTCGAATTTGGACAGCACTTTGATGACGAGCATGCCGAAGCGATTCAGGTAGTGCAGGGCCAGCTCGCCGACCGTCGTGCCTGCCACTACGACGCGCATGCCGGAGTCGTGGAGCTCCTTGATCGCGTTCTCCATCTGCTTCTCCTCGCCTTTCGTGAAGTCGTAGAGCTCCTTGCTGTTCTTCAGCAATACCGTGCCCTTCGTCTCTGTCTGCGAGATATCGATGGGACAGCTGAAGACGCCGACTTTGGCCTTCGTTGCCTTCTTGATTGTGCCGTCTGGTTCTCTGCCGAACACCATGCCCTTGACCACTTTGCTTTGTTCTAACGAACCACCCATGATCTTCACCACCCGAATGTTGTCCACGTTAAAATGACTTGGGATCTTTGGCATCACTGCCAACACAGCCTCGGCCACCATGTCTGCCAACAACTCTTCGCTGCCGCTCTGCTTCGCACCGATTACTGTTCGTAATGCCTTCGCCAGATGCGCCTGGTTCCTAATGTCTTCCACCTGATCGACCTCCAGCTCTTCTAACGCTTCCAACGCCACCCTCTGCGCTCGTTCATATCCACTCACGATCTCGCTCGTCTTCAGCCCCATGCGTAACAGCTCCTCCGCCTTCTTCAACAGCTCGCCCGCAAGCACAATCACGAGGTTCGTCGCATCGCCCATCTCTGCTTCCTGTTGTTGCGACGCCATGACGAGAAGTTTTGCGGCCGGGTGGACGACGTCGAGTTCGCGTAAGATGGTTGCGGCGTCGTTGGTCAGTGTCATTTTCTGCAGGTGGTTGATAACGATCTTGTTGCGGCCAAAGGGGCCAAGGGAGGTCTGGACGGTGGAGGTGATGGTCCTGCAGGCGTCGATGTTGCGCAGGACGGCGCCATCTTCGGCGTCGTAGCTTTGTAGATGTTAGTGTGGGTAGAGCATGGTTTGTGTGGTGGGGGGAGTTGGTTGTACTTCTGGTAGCCCGGCTTGAAGAGGCCCGCGTTGGGGGCGTTGGGTATTGAGAGGGACATGGCGTGTGTATTGAACGATATTGCGCAAGTCTATCGCTGAGGGTGAGACCTTTACTATGCAGGACAAGCTCAGTCGCGTGGTTCGTGTCGCTTCTGAATCTTTATTAGCTTCGCTCGATCTGCGCCGCCTACCGATGCCAGCAAGCGGGCCGTGCGAGTCGGTCCGCCTTACCCTTGACGGGCTGCGGTGCTGCAGGTCCAAGGCGCGAGGGGTGTCTGTGTGTCTGTGTTTCCTCCTACTCTGATCTGTGGGGAGCGCATCCCGTCTAGAAGTGACACCATCTCACACCCAGTATACCGGCATCGGCATCACCATCACCATCAGCATCACCATCACAATGCCTCCATCGGGTAAGATACTGGCAAGCGCCCGATGGAGAATGACCGGACTGCATACTGACCACACCCTCCAGACACGGCCACGCAGAACACTCCGCTCGCGCCGAGCGTGGAGAAGGCATACTACCGCAAATGCATCGAGCTCAAGCGCCGCCTCAACGAAGTGGAAGCGGCCAACGACGAGATGAAGATCCGCCGCGTGCGCCTGGACCGCGCCATCACCAAGATGCGCCTCGAGCGCGCCTTCCTCCTCGAGCAACTCAGCAAGCGCATGCACGGCGACATCGACGGCAGTGAGGGCAGCGCGGATGAAGGCATGGCCACTCCTCCCCTCGATCGGCCGCACAGGGACAAGCGGAGGCGGCATCATGCGCCTTCGGGAGGTTCCATCGTACCTCCTCAACAGCCGGTGCCCATTGCAGCATATCCGGGGCCGGCGTCTGCTCCACCCTTGCAACCAAGGCTGCTGCCCCTGGATCCAAGCGCCGCAGCAGGTAGTCCACCCCTCGTGCCTGGTCCGGGCGGTGTCATGGTCCCCGCGAACGCGGTGAACCAAGACGGCCAATACATCTACCTACCCTCGACTGACCATCCACTGCAACATCCAGCCGCACTGCCACCTCCACCGCTTGGACATCTACCGTCCCAACACGAAAGTCCGTACGGTCCACCTACCGGTGTGCCGACGACAGCCCGAGCCCATCTGAACGGCACTTCCACTGAAGAGCACGAGCCTCAACCCAACATCAACCGTTCCGAAGCTGCCACAGGCGAAGCTCTCACGGCCGGACCCACCATACGCGAGGAAGCGAGTGGTGAACGGAGAATCGTTGCCGACTCCACACCTGCTGCTGCAGAGACAGACCGTATGGACACTTCCGGCAGCGGCGGCGCAGGCGCAGGCTTCACAGCGGTAAACCGGTAGCAACGGCCGCGCAAACTCCAGCCATATGAAATCCGCCAGCCCTTCGCCGTACACCCCAGCATCTCGCCGCCATCCTCGCTGGCCCGTCTCCTACACCCCGACAGTCCCTTCACGCGAGGGACACCAGCCGACTTCGCCGCCAAGTTTACTGCCCCAGCTGGTCCGGACGACCCGCGCTTAGCGCCGCATGCGGACGGGAAGTATCGCTGTCCTTACTGTGACCCGGCGGCGTGGTATGACAAGCAGGTTGTCTTCCTGAAGCATGTCGAGACGTGTCTCGATACGGCTCTTGAGTGGATGCAGAAAGGACAGGACTTGCGCGCTACTGGGTGTTACGGTGGACGCCATCGCATTCCGTAGCCGATCCGGCACTGTCAGAGACTTTGGCACCGCTGCATGGCTGGGATGGGTACACGGCAGTCGGCACCCCGGGTAAGCATTGCTACGATATCCGTTAAGTTTTCGATTCCGCGATGGTCGGTGCACCATTTACAGAGGCGAGGTACTACAAGCATAGTCCCTGTAGCAGCTAAGAGACTAGTAGCGGTCGTAAGGTAGCAACGTTCGTACAATCGACTAGCCAAGCTTATAAGCCCTATCACGTGCTCCATTGGGGTATATATCCAAAGCCTCGAAGACCACAAAACCCAAGTCTACCCCACCCCAGCCATCCTGCCTACTGTTCATATCCCTTCCTACCGCACACCCTGCTCCTCCTCCCTCCGACTACTCATCCTCACCCTCATCATCTCCTCCGCATGCCGCGCCATATAACTCTCACCCAAACTCCCATACGTTGTCCCACCGGCAGCAGCGGCATTACCCAGACTCGCACCACCACCACCACCACCGGCAGCAGAAGAAGACGGAAGCCGGTTATACGAACTCCCGTAAATCTCCTCAGTAGCCGCCTTGAACTCCTCTCGCGCGTAATCGGAGCCTCGGAAGACGGGATCGGCGACTACGGATGGTTTCCGGAAGCCGGGGCTCGTGGGTTGTTGGGACGAAGAGGAAGAGTAGGAGGAGGATGTTCCTGTTGGTCCCGCGCCAGATCCAGTCCCGGCGCCAGGGTTGGGGTTGGGGTTGGATGTGAAGGTGAGGTTTTCCACGCGGTTGGAGGGTTCGTTGAAGTAGGCTTCGGAGTCTGTGGCGCTGGTGGGTTCGGGGATGAGGCCGCCTTCGGCATCGTAGCGGTATTTTTCGTGCGATTGCAGGCCGAGTGAGGGAGTGGATGCGGGCGTTTGTGTGGTGGAGTCTAGACGGCCAGTCATGCCAGGGATGGCGTCTTCTTCGCCGTCGATGGCGGCTTCGCCTTCGGCGGCGAGTTTGGCCTCGTTGTCGGCTGAGACGTTGTCGAACTCGTCTTCGAGGTCGAAGAGGTCGCCGTCCGGATCTATGCTTGATGCGGGCCTGCTCGGGGAGGGTTTGCTCTCTGTCGTGGTGATAGAGGCCAGTTGATCCGCTGGCTTGCCCAGTGTGAGAGTGCCGCTCAGCGCAATTCCACTATCACTCGCCACCGGCACTGAATTGCCATCGACAAGTATTGACACGGGCTGCTTCGCAAAGTCGACTGCTTCAGGCGCACCCAACGCCGACTTTGTGCCACTCGTTCGCTCGCGCATGCTCTCGGGTGACCGCGTGCGTGAGTGCGATGGCGTGCTCGTCGTTGTCGCGAACGCTATGGGCACATTATCTGCCGGCGCAACGATGCTATCGCCCACGGCCAGTGAGACGCGCTTCATCCTCGTTTTGTTCTTGGCTGGATTCTGCATAGGCGACTTCATGGCGGAGGTTAGCTTGCCGTCGGCGGATGAGCCGGAGGAAGAAGTTCGTTGTGCGAACTGGAGATGCACTGGCCGCTTCATCGTAGCTTGTACGGCGGTGTCAGATTTGGCGCGTGGCAGAGCTTCGGGTGGGTCTGCTTGTTCATCCTCTCTGGTCGTAGGTCCAACATGAGGCGGTGCAGAGCCTGCCCGCTCTAATCGCGCACGCTCTTCGCGTAGTGCCTTTCTCTCCTTGCCATCAAGTGCAGGCAGATACTCGGGTGTGAACAAGCCCACGAGCTCCTTCTCCCTCTCAGAACTAGGTCTTCGATCGGTGAGGCCTTTCACAACAAGGCTTTCGCCGTCTCCGTCCTCCACCGCCTCCATGATAACACGTTGTCGGCTGCCGGAAGCGAGCAACGCGCCCACTGCACCATGTTGTTGTCCGGTCAGGAACGGGCTTCCACCCGTTACAGTACTAGCGGACGAGTCCGAGTTGGTCCTCCCCTTGCTGCCGCTTGATGAAGCTTCGCCGTCAATCGGGACGGCGTGCGTTCTGCTTGGAGCCGAAGCAGCAGCACTGCCGACACTGCCAGTACTGCCAGCACTGCCGTGACTTCTTGCCTGCACCCTTAAATCCTTCTCGTACTGCTTATATTCCCTCTCCTTGGAGGCGATGTATTTATGTATGCTCTCGTCCAACAGTCTACGCTTCTCCTCAAGCTTCTCCAAGTACTCAGCCGGCAGCATACTCTCATTGTCCCGCAGCGTCTTCCTGAACGATGGCCGTCTCATGACAACCAGCGTACCACCGCTCGCGACGGCATTCTCCGCCATCGCCGTCCAGCTTCCGTTGAATACAGATGCAGCATATGCAGAGTCCGAGCCTTGCTCGCGCTTAGCTCCGTTTCAGGGATGTCTAATAGCGCCCAAGTCAAACGGACTGTAGTATCAAAGGCCAAGCCGCTCTGCAAGATACCAGCAGCCTTCTCCCAGCCAATGTCACTCTACAGTCAACTGTCAAAGCGGTCTGACGAATCCAAGAAGTAAAATGCCCGAGCAATCATGTGCGCAGAGTGCAGATCAGGAGTCGGCAGATATTCTCGACCGCTGTTCGCCCTCTCGTCTCCACATAATCCCCGAACCATACAAATAGCCCGTGGATCCCCAGCCGCACACTTATTCTCGTCAGCCTCGGTAGAACGACAACATGGTACACGCTCGTTCAGCACGAGTACGCTCTGCTATCTGTGTTTCTACGCGACTCGGGTCAGAACGGGGCGAGCGCACGTATGACCTTCCACGGTGGAAGCTGCTTTGACCGCAAGCGGAAGGTCAGATAGCGCGTCATTGGCTATCAAGACTCCCTCTAGGGCTCGTGACAAAGACCACAAGCATGCGGTGACCTGGTGATGGACTTACGCAGGCGTAACGTAATAATGCAGAGATCGTGCTTACATGCGTGGCTTGAACAAGCGAAGGTGTCTTCCTGGGACCTGGGACTGGAGATGGAACCGAGCACGAGAGCTGCCGAGGTGTGCTGACTGTGCGGACTAAACAGAGTGCGCGAGTGGGCGAGGTGGTGACACCACCGTGGTCTCTACGGCTTATCATAAGGATGCTTCTAATGCGTGTATCTTCTATGCTTATTATCCTACAGCAGCGCTCTGCATCTTATGGTCACCGTCAAGAAGGGCGACCGCCTCAGCGCGACTAACCTGCTGATGTCGCCTAGTCCTTCGTCTCTGCTTGGTTGCGAGTGAGGTCTCCGGATCATCCGCCAAGCAGTATCTATGGACAGCAGTGTTACCGCCGGACAGCTTCAGATCATGTCGCAAAAACGCTCGATAACGTACAAGCCACTGACGTTGCATTTTTCGCTGCGCCGCAGTGACGATCCGTGTGGGAGGTGTCCGTCGCTTACGTAGCCTCATGGCCGAGGCTATCAGTCGTTCACTATGTGCCAGTTGTCGGTTAATGGTATCAGCGCTTACCGGTCTTGCCACAGCGCTTGCACCGTAAGGTGTTATACTCGGCAGGCGTGGGCCGACCATTTCCTCTTCAGTTTCCGCTCGCGCCTCCGCGCCGAGCGCTGGTTTCTCGTTCGCGCACTTCGCGAGGCATTTGACCAGCTTGTTCCCGAACACTTTGGCTTCGTGCAGCTGCTGTGTCCGTCGTTCACGGCAGAGCCTTATCCATCGGGAAATAACTGGCGAAGCACTCGATGACCTGCCATCCACCTCGCCAGGTGCAATGCGATTTAGTCGCACCCGTCTGGCCACGGCACGGAGCCCTTTGACGAACGCTTCGTCGATGCGCATGTTTCGCATTAGCACAGTCTTCACGGTCCAGAAGATGCCACTTAGATGGGCTAAAGCATTATATACATCGAGAAAAACTGTCATTGCGACGATATCCAGAGGTTTTTCTCCAGCGGCTTCCGAATAATAGATGGCAGTCAACAGTTCAAGCGCTTGGCGTGGGTGCTTGTTCCTGAGAAGGACGTGAGCGGCGGAGACACCGATATAATGATTAACTGGTCGTCCCTCTTGTTCGTTCATGCGATAATAGGCGACCACATCTTTGCGTAGTCCCCGGGAAGCGTCTACCGAGAAGAAACGCTCGCGACGCATACGATGGAGTAGCAGTGGTCCGATGGCGCAGGTAACGTTCATGCCAGCAGCCTCAGCATCACGCACGATGATCCTTGCTTCAATTGCATCGCTGCGGCAATGTCGTAGACTTGACTCGACTGCGATCTCCAGCGTGAGCGGCGACAGCGGAAGGCCGACGGCGTCTAGTGTGTTCCGGTAGATTTCGACGACACGGTCATGCTGGCGTAAAGACAACGCCATGATCATGGCCTTCTCCGTCTTGCCGCGGCGGTCTTTCCCAAGTTCGAGTATGCGCGCAGCTGTAAGATCCGTATGTTCATCGTGGTCATCATCGTCTTGCGGCCGCTGATCATCGGTTGCGTGCTTGTAGATCGGCCTCAGATCCTCAAACGCCAGACTTTCCGCATGGTTGTCACCTTCGAGCATATCAAAGTCTTGGGCAGACCTCTCTAAATTCGCGGTCCTACCTTGTGGTGGCGACACGCGGACGTTGCAGGGCGTCTCCCCGTGCTGCACCGAAGGTGGAGATGCGTAGATTGTTTGGCTGCCTGCCGTTTCCTTGCTAGCATGCTTGGAGTGCATCATCGACAAAGGTGAGGAGCTTGTTTGACATCCTACCAGATGCTGCATGTGGCTAGGATGCTCGGTATACATCCTCTGATTCCACGTCCACCCTGGTGAAGGTACGACAGGCTTGTCCGACTGCAGCACATGGCCAAGTCTAGTCTTCGCATTGGATCGCCGCCAGGTCGCCTTACTGCCCACCAGCTTTCTCAGGTCGTACCCAACTGCTTCTTGGACAAGATCGAACAATTCTGGGCCAGAAAGTGAAGGAGCAAAGTGTGCTAGGTTGCGACAAAACCACATCACCAGTATGTGCGATGGTCGAAAATCAAGGTAAAAGCGAGTCAACAGCCTCGCAGCTACTCGCGCGGTCAGCTCGACTTCCCAGCCTAGAACACGCATGTAACGAAGCCACTTCGGTATGAGATTGGTCGCTTTCTTCGAAACGAAGGATTCTAGCATGATTCCCGTGGTGGCTTGGTTGGGTACGAGGCCGAGTCTTTCCACGGCATCCGTTACAAATTTCCAGGCCTCCACTGATGTATGCTGGCGTGCGAAGAGGTGCACAACGTTATTGAAGCGGCGGCATGCTTCATTGTCGGTTGTCCAGTCTTTGGAACTCTGCGTAACGCTCAGTAGCTGCTTGAGACGATCCCAGTCGCGGCGTTTGGCGAACAGGAGGGCAACACTGAGGATGGCCAAGCGATCTTTCTTCGCCAGATTTTCACCCATAGCCTTGAGTATTTCAAACGCGGAATCGAATGCACTTGCGCTGATGTAAATGCTCAGTGCGGTGTGGACAAGGTGCCGCGACACACCCTCTTGACGACGAATTGATCGTGATCGCTGCATGTCGCTCAATGCCTTACGGACAGCATCTACGTCGTGTGTGGCTTCCCAAAGTGCTAGGAGAACGATTGGTTGACCGCTATGCATGATGCGGCCTCGCATATTGACGGGAACTCGCCGTAGAGCTCGAAGTGCCATTGCGCGACACTTGCTATCTGCCGGATCTGCCTTGGTGCAAGCGTATGCGACAATTTCTATGCATGCTGTACCAAGCTGCTCAACGTCCAGATCTCGTGTGATTAGTTCTCGGACGAAACCATAAGACGAGGCGGAGTCGCAAAGCTGCAGAAAGTAGCTAAGGCGACTGCGATAATCCCGCGCATGTACTTTGTGCCTTGCCAAGCGCAATAACAAAGTACACTCTGGTAGCAGCTTCAGCTGCAGCGCGGCATCTAAGCATTGGGTTATTAAGAGCGCCACTTCCGTACTGTCTCCGCAAGCGCCAGTTGAAGAGGTCAAGAGGTTGATAGCTCGCTTGACATCCGCACGGGCCAACAGCTTCTGGCAATCGTCGAGTCCGGACGGTTTTATTGGGGATACTACTGCTTTGTTCTGTGCCGTGCTCGAGCACGAATCCTTCACATCCGAAGGGATGTATTGCACGATAGTTTGGCTTCGTGCATTCATAGGTTCTCCAGGGTTTTCCGTGCTTGCTTGCGTACCATTGAAAGGAGTTTGTAGGAATCCAACATGACCATCATCATATCCTTTCTTCCGCCCGGTGATGGCCTCCCGAGTGCGTCTGAGGCTGTCATAGTACTTATGGCTTGATCTCGTACCTGCATTCGCCTCTTTGCTTGGTAAATGTGGAGCGAAGGCGGTATCCCGCGGGTAGCTTGGAGGTTTTACGCCAGTGCTTCTCGAAGACACGTGCAACGCTGGCTGAGAAGCCTCCTGCGACGGCATACTGTGCCGCTCAGTCTTACGACTGCCCGGATGCTGCTCCGGATGGTGGCTGCCCTGGGTACGTTGATAACTGTGCTCCACCACTGACGGTAAAGTCGGCCCCCGAATCGCGATGTTTCCGTGACTCGGACTCGGCCAAGCGCGGCGTACTCGATCCTTTACTTTGGTATCTTCAGCGAGTAGTGTAGGAAGCCAGTCGGTTGCGCCACTGTCCGCCAAACCGGTCTCCACGCTTCTCGCAACCATTGTAGCGTTCTGATGGTGGCGCGGATGTTGACGAAGTCGTCTGGCATTGTCTGCTATCTTTTGCACGATCTGGGTCTTCCGACGTCGCTCCTCTGCACATAATGCTGCCACGCCGACAGCGGTACCTGAAGAGACATAGGCGAGCTGGTAGAGGACCTTGAGTGCCGCCTCCGAAGGCACCGGTCGAGACTTGCCTGCATACATTCTAGCGCCATCTTACATCCTACTACACCTCCACCACTCCCTTGGCCAGTTGATTGTATTTCGAAGTTATCATCACCCTACAAATGCTGTGGTTTAGACTCAATAGCACACGGGCGGTCCCGCGATGGGAAGATATCGCCTGAGGCATGGAACTATGGTCACGTGCATGTGACCTGACTCGACGACCGAGGCGCTCGTTGCGTGTGGTGACACCTCGGTACGCGACTTTCGCCAAGTCGTCACGAACGAACGGCTAAGCGGCTAAGCCACGTACGCTGTCCACGTCTAGGCTGGCCGCTGCATGAAAGATCGAAGGATCTGAAGCCATGCGGCAGTTCATATCGCTGGTTTCATGACAACTTCAAGTTGTGCGGCTTGCACGTGGCGTGGCGAGAGCGCCTGGGTCTGAATGGACAATGCGCCACATCATCGATCATGCACCGCATCGCATTTACGCATCGTGATACGGCCTGATCATATGTTGCACGGCCGCACTCTTGCTTTCGCGCTGTACACCACCATGGCTTTCTGCGCTGCTGAATTTGACGGCAACACAACCGAGCGGGAGCTTGGCGGCTGCGGTCAGAGTTGTCCGCCTCCGACATCGAGATCAGCAGCAGTCACCTGCTGTTGGAATCGGGCGTACTGCCCCTCATCTTACTCGCACAAGCGCGATCTCATCTCTGAACGCCGTGCTTCCGGGCCTGGGCGAGGGCAACACCTCCCCGTTCGTCTTCTTCACAGTGTCGGATGTTGCCGAGCCGCTCAAGCTGCTGGCTGGAAACGTTCATTCCGTAACGTTAGACTGCTGTCGGTACATCGTAGCTTGACTCCATATCGCACTCTGCTCGACCCGATCCAGGCGATGGTTGCCGTGTGGCGAATATGAATGTAGTAACGGAAAGGTCCTATCAAAAGTTGTGAGTAAACTTGTAGGCCCGGCGCAAAACTCCGGTCGCTGACCCTTCATTGCCAGACATTCGCCAGGCGCCTACTTTGTGAGGCAGTTACCACTGCATGCAACGTTGGAATTACAGTATCGCGCACCGACAACCACGGGACTCCTGGCTGTGCTGCATGGTAGTTACCGTACTGGAAACGGGCAACGTCTTGCGCCCTGAAGCCGACATACTCCGCCGTTACACAGGCGAACTTGCGAGACCTGGTCACTATTTTCTGCACCATTTTTGCGAACGCCGTTGTCATAACCCCACGGCGCGACCAGCCGCTCGCTTGAGTCACGTAAGGCTCTTCCCGGCTCTGTCCTTTGGGACACGATAACAGCACCGGAGTTCAGCTCGGCGCAGGACTTCAGATATTTTCATCTCACTGCGTGTAGAGCCTACCGGACAGGGTTCCTTGTACAGGATTTGAGCGGGCCTGCACTTTCATCGTGCAGACTACCTCGCGGCTTCCCCAGCTGCGCATCGCGATTTACCTTCCCGAAACTGGCGAACCATGCAGATTACCGAGAGATAGGAGACGATGTCTAGCGTCACGCACCCGGATACGCATGAGAGCGCCCAGCGTCGGGAGCGCGCTGCTATAGCCGCGCAGGCATGCCAGACGTGTCGAACAAGGTACGGAGCGTTTTGGTTGAGGCTGTCGGACTCAAGCCCGCCGCCGCGGCTCTGACGAAATTCAGCGAATTAATTGGACTTGCTGACAAGTAATTACAGGAAAAGCAAATGTGATGAGGCGCGACCTAAGTGTAAGCTGATTGGACAGCGTGCCTGCCTGTTTGGAAGTGTGTCACTGACTGCTGGTGCAGGTGGGTTATGCCAGCGGCTGGATGTCGAGTGCGAGTATCGAGAGCCATTGCCGACGAAGTAAGTTCCGCGTAAGGTATTGGACTACGGTCAACTGCACAGTACTGCGCCATGATACTCAATATCTCGCTGCCCATCTCTCTTACTTGGTCGCCTTACCACGACTCTTCGTTAATACTCCAGCAACAATGATACTGACCAAATACTGCAGAAAGGACAAGACCATGGTGCACATTCTGGACACGCTTACCCGGCTTGAGACTAAATTCGACAACATAGCCATCACCCAGAACAACGGCCTTTCGGAGATTAAGGCGGGCCGTACGCCCGTGAGCAGTGCTCCACCGTATCCGTCAGCAACGCAAGGGCTACAAGAAGATATGCCCCAGAAGAGCGAATTTCTACACGGAGAGCAAGGTCCGTACCAACACCTGACCGTCCCGCATAAGATCACGCTCTGGCCCGCCATCTACATCCATCTCATCAATTCTAGGGTAGCTGCTGCCGATGATCTACAATATGTCTTACAGGAGGGTACGCCTTGGTTCATCAAGAGAGAGCTGCAGAAGCACCCAACCCCCTTATGTTCTGACGTAGGCCTGCCGTGCTTCAGCATAACCACCGGACAGGCAGAGCCCGTCCGTACGGGGAGTGTGGCCTTCCCAACTCTGTCCATACAACAAATACAGGAGTACTCCGACGCATACTTTAACACATTTAATGTGCTCTACCCTCTGTTGAATCGAGACGGCTTCATGAACGGCATTGTTGCAAGGCTGCTTAGGGAGGGCTACGGCGACGACGATGCTGGAAGTGTGCTCGCACTGCTCGTCTTTGCGCTGGGTCAGGTTGCTGTCGAGGGTGTCTTTGATCGACCAATCAGTGTTATGTCCGGGCAACCTAGCGGCTTCCGTGGGGGCACTATTGATCAACCGCCCGGTCTCCCCCTCTTCAACGAAGCCCGGAGAAGACTTGGCTTTATTGGAACTCAATGCACTCTTGAGAATGTTCAGATACTGCTACTGCAAGCGACGTACTACGGCTCTACAGCACGCCATCTGGACTTTTGGCGATCGACCGTCTCCGCATCAATGGGGTGCCAGATCCTCATTCGCTGCCATGCCATCGATTGGACGACGCCTCACGGCGACCTCGTCAAACGTGCATACTGGACGTGTGTTCTCAGCGAAGACATGTACCATCTCGATCTCGACCTTCCACGAACCGGCATCCATGCTTTCGAAGACGAGGTACCACTGCCATACTTCCAGGACGTACAAGACCCCGCCTCAGCGATAGGCTCGCCCATGTCAGCCCGGACCCCTACCAACTTCGGCTTTCAAGAAAGCAGCCACTTCCAATACCACTTCCTCGCCATGATCGCTCTGCGCCGCCTGATAACGCGAATACATGACGTGATACACGAATGTGAGCATGCCATGCAAACCGAGCCGCTGTGGGGGGTGCAGAAGCCTTCCGGAGGTGACGGCGGCGGCAGCACTTACCAGAGACATGCCGGTGCCGGCGGCGAGAGAAACATGCAGGGTAGATTCAACTCTACAGCGTCCTCACTCCCAGTCGAGTTACCCGCGGGCTTTGGTGGGCCTCCCGTCGCTGTCATTCATGAGATGGTGCGGCAGTTGGACAGCTGGCGCGCTCTACTACCCCGGCCACTGCAATGGAACGACAGCGACCGTTTAGAGTTCCCTCATGCGGACCCAACGAACAGGCGGCCAAACGAGCCGCTTTTTACCGCTGACCAGGGACCGATACCCATAGGACACAAGTATAACCTTGACGTTATCACGGCTCAGCTACGGACGCGCTTCTACTACGCACGGTTCATGATGTATCGGCCGTTTATCTACAAAGCACTGCATTTTCCGGAGTTGATGACGCACGAGGACAATAATTGCTGCGCGTTAGCTATCAAGTCGGTTTGCCTGTGGCCACTCGCGATGGCGCCGCCGAAGAACAAGAAGAGACTAGTCTCGCACCTGTTTGCGTGGACACAGAACTTCATGGGCATTCTGCTGATACTTAAGATGTGCTCGGTTAATGGTCATCTTCGCAGGATAGTAGATGAGGGTCGTGTGGTAGGTCGGCGGGAGGTGGACCAGACTATAGCGCTCATGCTGGAGTGGGTAAGGGATGTCAAGCAGATGGATGGCATTGCGGAATGGAGCTGGAGCATATTGGCGCCTCTTTACAACGTGCGGCCAGACTGACGGAATGTCTGATTTGAGTGTGGCCGGGGCGTCAGGCGTCTCAGTGCCGCAGTTCTCTCAAGGAGGCAGTCAATCTTCACCATGATGTCGGTGTTGGCGTTGCGGCGTAAAGAGGCCAAGTGACGCAGACGGAACGGAAAGTCTGAGGCTGATCTTCAGGTACCGTTTGAAGCGTAGTTAATGCATCATTAACGGTGACCGTTTCGCTTAACCTCTTGTTCACGCTTTGCATGTGCCGTCCCCTCTGCAAGCAGAGCTAGCTCTGCACGCGCCCACGTGAATACATAGAAAATAATACCTCTCACGCTCCGGACAATGCAGCAAAAGCCAGGGCAGAAGAAGTTCCAGAATTGCTCGTAGCACCACCCCGCGTCCACACACACGACACCTTTCACATCAACGTCGAAACGAAGAACAAGGTTTTTGCATTTCCGCAACATGGCAGACACGAACGGCGAGGCGAATGGCGAGGCGAATGGCACGCATGATGCAGCCGCTGTGCCATCGAAAGGAAGCCCTCCACGTAGTAGGTCGGGGTGGGATGGTAAACTTCGTGTGAACAAGCAAGCAACACTTGTGAACCCGGAGGCACTTGAGGATGCAGATTACTCGGACGAGGATGCACCGCCGGTGGACCAGATTGAGGCAGACGAAGGTGAGCACAAAGCAGGTCTAGCGAAGCCGTAGAGCTTTCGTTGACAGGAGGCAGACCTACTTGATGACGAGGATCCCAATACTGAGGCACGTGAGCTACATCCACTCCCGGCTCATGGCTGCCGCTAACGAACGAGCAAGTAGGAGATCGACGTCCAGCACTCCCGCATCGTGTCCATCCCTGCGCTCCGCCTCGAACGCTTCCCACGACTACGGCGGTTATGCCTACGACAGAACAGCATACAGCATATCAAACTGCCGGACGAACTGGCATCCACATTGCAAGAATTGGAGCTATACGATAATCTAATCAAACACATCGACGGCCTTGAAACCTTCACGGAACTCAAAAGCCTCGATCTCAGTTACAACAAGCTCAAGCACATCAAAAACATCTCCACCCTGCGACACCTGGATCACCTATACTTCGTACAAAACCGCCTCACTCAGATCGAGAACCTTGTCGACCTTACCGAGCTGGTCTACCTCGAGCTAGGCGCGAACCGCATTCGCGAGATCGAGGGTCTCGACACACTGAAGAAGCTCGAGCATCTCTGGTTAGGACAAAACCGGATAGCCGAGCTCAAGAACCTTTCTAGCTTGACCAGCCTCCGCACTCTCAGCATCCAAGCAAACCGGCTCACTTCACTCTCAGGCCTCCAGGACCTGCCCCAGCTGACCGAGCTCTACGTCTCCGACAACCAGATCTCTTCGCTCGAGCCTCTCCAGCATAATCCGAAGCTGGAGATCCTCGACTTCCAGACTAACCCAATCACATCACTCGCGGGTATCGAAGGGCTGAGGGACCTTGAAAACCTGTGGGCAAGCAATTGCCAGATTGCTGATTTCCGAGAGATTGAGAGGGTGTTGCGGGACAAGGAGAAGCTGGAAGAGGTGTACTTCGAAGGCAACCCAGTTCAACGGCAGAACGCGGTGTTATACCGTAACAAGGTGCGGCTGGCGCTGCCGCAAGTCCTTAAGATCGATGCCAGTAAGTGTTCCTAGGGGAGAGTGTTCTCTGCTCAGCGTACTGATGGCATCTAGCATACGTCAAGGCGATGTAAAGCGCCCGCGATAGTATTATGCTTGCTGAAGCGTTCGTTGCGAGGTGTTGTGGAGCGGTGCCTTCAACGAAACGGCAGTAGAATATGGCGTATGTCTTAGCATGCCTAATGGTGGCAAAGCCGGACGGAGCGGCAGGACTCACAGCACAGCCGTACATCGCCATGAAAAGCCGTCTTCTTCTCTTCACCTCACAACCAACATATTCCGCACACTCCACCAATAGTCCGGCTGCACCACCTCCTTCACCTCTTCCTTCGCCAGCCATCTGAACTCGCTGTCTCCATACTCGTTGCTCTTTATGTCGGCTTGGCCAGCCATGATGCGGCCTTTCATAAAGAAGACCTTCTCACCGTACTCCTCCTGCTCAAGCTCATGGTTCGATGTGCTGACCAACCGATTCGGCGATATCTTCGACAGTATTGGTGACTCAAAGCGTGCCGCGTGGTGTCCGACAGGGTGGTTGCCAACAATCCATGTGTTCATGTTGATGCCGCAGGACTGAACGAGTATGCGCTCCGCGGCTTGATGCAGGTTCTCGCGGCCGTAGATTCGGTCTTCCGGGAAGCGCCATTGGCCTTCTTTGTTCTTGATTAGGAGGTAAAGACTCCGGTCCAGCTTGCGGCTCAGACTGCGCTGGTCGTTCGTGCGGTCCGCCTCCGTGATTCGTGGCATGGGCCCCTCAACCACTATCTTCTGCAGCTCTTTTCTCTGTCCCTCGCCCGCTCTTGCGTCACCCGTCACAGCCTGTCCATCTTTATCGGCGTCGCCCGCTCGCTCGTTCTCAACAATATCCTTGCCCTCCGCATCCCGCGCCAGAGCCTCCATTATGCTCTCGCGGTCTGCCGTGCGGTCGCCCACCAACACCTCGTCGTTCCAACCCTCCGGTCCGTATGCAGTGTACACGCCAATATCTCTCGCCGCCGCCTTGCGTGCACGAATCTTCCGCTTCCATTCTTCGTCGCTAGGCGTCCCCTTTTTGTAATAGAAGTACCGCGTGAAAGGCAGCGCCAACCGCTCGTTCAATCGCTTCTGGTAGAGGTAGAAGGCTTTCTCGAAGCTCGTGAGGTCGCGGGTGAGTAGGGGGGGGCGTGACAGGACGGGAGAAGCTAGAAGACGGTAGGCTTTTCGCGGACCTTTTGCCGTGACGGGTGGGTTGGGATGCCGCGTCTCGTGTGGTACAGCAGGTTGGTCCTCTACTACTGCGGCTGCGGTGGCGGCATGTCGACGAGATTGTTGGGTTAGGCGGTGCCGGCAAGAGGCGCAGATGGTGCCGCGTATGAGGCTTGCTGTAGCCTGGCGGTTAGCAATAGGTGCTGGTAATTGTTGGGCCGGAAACCTACCAGTCACTACTGAGCGCCTAAGCGTGTCCTTCCCGGTGTTCATGGCGCTTTGTATACCTTGTTTCCCACGCTACGCTCGGTCAATGTGTTTGATGTTCGGTTAATGCCCTTTCATCGCGACTGCATGTCTTGCCCGCGGGAAAGCCAAGACTTTCGCACTCGACCTCCACTGACATGCACCATTCATAACTTGCCTTCTCTCACTTATGGCACCAATCCTTATCACCAATGACACTCATCCCTGTAGTCCACTGGTCATTTATCACGGTGCCGAGAGCGAGTCGGCAGTCTTTTTCGCTAGCGGCACCTTCAACACATCACCAAAGGAATGCGGTTAGATAGATACTGCTTACAGCTCATATATGGAGGAGGGATGGCACGCATGAAGATTGTTTGCTGATCTCAGCTACAACAGTCTCAACGACACTCGCTATATGCAATGCGCGCTACCACCGGCGTTTGTACACCTCCAGGTGTTTGCGCCAATTCTGACCCCGGCTGAAGCCTCGCCTGTCCAGTGCGCCTACGCTGTACGCTTCATTCCCTTGTCCATATCAAAGCGTCCTCAGCGCTTGGTGCGTCATCATTCGTGCAATGCCCGTCACGAGATATGTCGATATCAGAGGTGCTCCAATGGCGCGCCTCCCATGATCGTCTTGGCCGTGTCTGCCAAGCCGTCGAAGATGTAGACTGCTGATGGAGATGCAGGAAGTTAGTCGAAATCCATCCTGCAATCTTCCTGCGCTCCGCCGGCATGCGTATTGAAGAGTGCTTTCGCCATACTCTTCCAGATGTCGCGAAGGGTACAACAGAGCGTGATGAGCTTGCCGGCCTTGTTGAGGTAGAAAGCGGAGGTGTGCGGAGGAGAGATTTTGAGTGCTTTCTCGAACTCGTGCAGGATGTCGTAAGTCTTGACGATGAAGTCGCGCATCTCGAGCACGCAGCGTCCATCTGCAACAACGGCGCGGAGATTCTCAATGCGGACACGGAGGATGAACTCAAGGGCCCCCGTCAAAACCAGTCATCATTCCCGCCTTATCCGCGTCGAATAGGCACTCCGTCGCTAACTGGACCTCGTCGTAGAGAACTCGGACCATGACCTCATCGGCGGAGAAGGGACGCGCATCCTCGGTGTCGTGCCTTCGGGAACGATGCTCACCAATCCCACCACCCCCTCTGGCCCCTATACTGCCCTGCGCGTGTGGTTTGGGAGCTCCACGTCCAGATTCCGAACAGCCGGCTCAGCTGTCACCATCCCCACGCCGTTGTCCTTGTGACGGCTGCTTGTCGCCATTACCACCACCTCTGCCACCGCCTTTGGATTGAGCAGGCGGACAGGGAGCTCCAGATCCAGACCCTCGTCAGCCGGCTCTGGCGCCACCTTCTCAACGCCATCGCTTGCCGAACTGGCCACAAAGAGAGCTGCATTCTTCCTGACTGCGCCAATGTCAGCGGGAACAAGTGCGCTTCGGCATCGAACTTACAGTTGTAGAAGTCCAGGCGACTCGCAATGACCGCCATCCCGCCGGTATTGCCTGCGGATAGCTGCTAAGTGTCCCAACAGTGTACTATAGTGTGAGAGACTGCGACCAGGGATGCGTCTTGGACGTTGCATCTCGCAAGTGAATTTGGGACGTGTGACTGGCCTTTCCCACTCGAGATGTAGCCCAAGCTTTTCCGCCGGAGTCTTCCCACTAGCGCGGATTCACAGTATTAATTCTCAGCTTCCATTGAAAGACTCCCTCTGACCGATATACACCCTGCACCGTGCACAAAGCCTTTCGCAGCATCATCGAGAGCCATCCCCCTTGCCCATGCAGGCGTTTTTGATGTAAAGCGTGGGCACATGATACTTACAGGATAGATATAGGGCATCGCCTGAGACCTGATCACCATATCCAAGGCTGAGGGACTCGCATGTCTCTGCAAAGCGCCTGGTTGACATTGTGCCTTGTGCCTTCAACCAGTGCCCCCAATGATGCATGGACTAGAGAATCTCGCATTCATTCCTTCAACCGCTTATGGTTTGGGCACTTGTTACTCATTTCTATCCCCACTGTGCGCGGCGACGACCGCCCGAGACGAACGAAGCGAACGAACGACTGACCAAACCAGCCCATATCTGGATGAGTGGTATATCCCCTTCCTCTTTTTGTTTTCTAACGAGGCCTTAGGCCATCAGATACTCAGCATCTTGGCTGAGTACTGGAGGCTTACTTGCTCACGACCACCCGCCAGCTCCACCGTCGTGGACTTCTGCCAACGTGGCGAATGTGGGTGGCTGGGGACGTGAAGTGAGGTTGACGTGGAGCCGGATCTTTGCCAAGCGCGCTAAACCGTTTCCGGAAAGCAGGCCTCTTTGATGTGACCAAACGCATGGTAGAGGAAGTCACTCGGACGCTTTCATAGGGCCAGACTGCTGCTACAGTCGGAGATTACTGGTTCGACTCCTCGATACTGCAATCGTAATGTACTGATGCCACCGCTGAACCGAGGTCCTCATTTAATGCCGCCTCTCAACCTCTTATAATCTTAACCTTCTGCCTAATACCCTTCCGACACACCGGACACCCCGCCGCTCTCCTAGGCCTCGTGCGATCATGCGCCATGACCGGGCTATGCTGCTCGGAGCACCACTTGCACATGACCAAGTGTCCGCACGGCAAACACGCGATCTCCGCCACTTGAGTGTAGCAGACGCGACACTCCATACTAAGCTTCATCTCCTCATCCGTCTTCGGTTCTGGGCGACCAGAGTCCTTGGCATCAAGGCCCTGCGCATCATGCCGATGACCTTCGCCCTCCGAGTCCTCCGTCTCGGACTCACTATCGACGAGGTAATCCGCTAAATTGCGCGAGCGGAGGGTAGAATGCCGCAGGAAGGAGCCGCCAGCTTCTCTCTCGTTCTCCGGCGGCCAACCGTTCGCCTGCAGTCGATCGATCGCTGCTTGTGTCTCTTCGTCTCTGGTTGCCATCTGCTCCATCAGAGCTTGTGGGCCAGTAGACATGGCTGTTCGTCCAGCGGCGATGGCGAAGGCACGAGTAGCACGTCTTTGAGCATCAAGCTCTTGTCGCGAGTGATCACCCTCCCTTGCTGCTTCACGCAATTGCTGGCGAAGACGTTGTCGTCGCTCGCTACCTTCTGCTTCAGCTTCGATGCGGGTACCTTCTCTGTGCACATTGGCGGCCAGCTCCGTAGTATTTCTGTCCCCGAGCATCTGTTCTAGAATGTAACGATCTGACTCCAATCTCTGACCGGCTTGCAAACGGTAGAGCATCTGCAGCTGTTGGGGCGCCGTGAGTCCTGGTGCTCGTCTCCGTAGCTGGGCTGACATCTGAAAGGCCTCCACGAACAGCTCAATGTTCATGAGATGGTAGCTGTTGCTCGATGGAACACCAAACCGGATCAAAAGATCTTCCCCATTTCCTCGACGTTGCATCAACCGTTGATTTACTGCGGCCGTAGACCACAATAGATGTCGTTCTCTAACGATATCCTCCAGAGTCACGTACTCCTCGTCCGTCAAAGCGTGTCCGGGCCTACTTGCCGACATTGCGAACAATTGCTCCTGCTCATAGTGCCAATCGGGCCCATCAAGGACTTCAGGGTGCTCGAGTGAGTATGTGGCAATGTACCGGCCATACATCCTCCACTCTTCTGCTTCAGCCAGGTCCACAGACGGATCAAGCCTCTCCACGAGCTCCCTACCCACTTCTGGTTGCGGTGGTGCCTGGACAGCTTGTTCCCTCTGTGACTCTGGCACACCAGCTAGCATGTTGCGTGGAAAGTTATCCCCTCGCCTAGGTTGTGTGGCCATCGTACTGTCGCTTGGTTCTTCAGCTCGAGTAGCAGAGCCAGACCCCTCGCTTCTGGAAAGATGGTTAGATCCCTGGATACCGGCGGCGCCTGCAGTGCTCGACGGCGCTTGCTGACTCCAATTCTGCCGGCGCAACAGAGTGTAATACTCCTCAAGCTCACCCCTTTGCTCATCCTCCTGGCCCGCGTCATCCGGCTCGGTCTCCGGGGGCGGAAGTGCTGTGACTGACGGTGCGACAGGCCGCGGAACGCTCCAAACATCACGCTCTCTCGCCTCAAGCTCCGCCAGCCGTTGAGCTTCCTCCTCGCCACCCGCACGTTGCTCATCCGCAAGCACACGTCGAAGCGTGCGCTCCTCTCGCCGCACTTCTTCAGCGGCACGGAAGCGGTCATAAGCCCTTGTGAACATGCCACCAATCGGGCTTTCGTACTGGTCGCCTTGCGCAAGCATCTCTTCGCGCGTGCCGAATAAGCGGAGGTAGTTCTCTGTTGTCCGCTGTTCGCGCTGTAATTGCTGCAATCTCTGCTGAGACGTTCGGAAGTCTGCCTCCGCAACGTCAAGTTCCGAAGCTGCCTGGTCACGGTTGCCGCGAGCTTCGTCGAGATGACGTCGTGCTTCATCCACACGCGCCTGTATGTTTGCCATTGCACGATCGGTTTGCGAGGTGCCGCCGCTGCTTGTGAGGACATTGACACTGCGGATGGCTAGGTCTGCTTCTTCGCGGCTAGGTGTGCCGTTGATATTGTCCAGCGTCTGGCCCAACCGAGTCAAACGGTCCGCGGCTTCAGCATGGTCAGGTACTTCTTCGCCGAGGTCACGTAGCCCGGATATGACACGTTCGATGCCATTGCGCATCCGTTGGAGCTCTCGCCGAAGGGCAGCAACCCGCCGTACCTGATACTCTCGGTTACGGGAGCTCGTGGGGACCATGACCTGGGCGTGAATGTTGCGTTGCTGGCCTGCCGGCTCCTGTGGCAGTGTCCGAGCATTCGCTGAGATGCTGTTCGCTCGATCCAATGCCTGTGTTGCAGTATTCTGCTGATCACGGTCATTGGTGGACTGCTCCTCCGCCGCAGCTGACTGAAAGAGCTCGTCCAAAGTTTCGTCCAGGCTTGGTCCGCTTTCAGCTGGCGCTTCTTGCTGAGGCTGTACTACCTGAGTAGCAGCTTCGCTCGCTGCACGTCCAGCCCTCAACTCTTCCAGCGTCCGTGGCAAACAGCCCGGATCAACGTTTCGGAAGTCCTCTCCAAGCACGGCAACTCTCTCCTCGCCCCCGCCGTCTCCCTGTACTATCCTGTAGCCCCTGTGAAATTCATACCAACGATCCAGGAACTCGCTTTGATCAGGCACTTCCGGTATCTTCGTTTGTGCGGGCCGCAGGCCAGACACCTTCACTCTATTCTCCCAAAACTCTCGGCAAAACCAGCAATAACGCTGCCATCGTGTCCCGCGTGGTACGAAGCCGATACCGTCGATGTAGGTACTATACGATGCAGAGTGGGCTCGTTCGTCGGCACAAGCGCAACATTGTGGAATGGATGTAAGCCTACAGGATGCCGGCAGCTTATGGTCGCAGTACCCTGGTAGACGTGGCTGGCCAGCAGTCAACGTTCCCATGATGGCATCGAACTCCCGTCAATCGCACACGGTGCCCGGAGATGATGAGGTGGGAAGGGCGAGGATGCCATCTCATCTTGCCATTTGGGAGAGCTTGATGGCCTAAGGCTCTGCATCACTTTATCTCCGCCAAACACCGCCGCTCTTCCCCACTTACCTTACACCCAGACTGAGTCACATGATGCATGCTGTAGGCAGCCGCTCAACCACCGGCATCAAACATCCTCTCGCTGCTTACTCTCTACGCTAGAGCTACTGGCAGTAGTAGTGCAGTCTTAAATACGTGCCCTGACCACCCTCCCCCCCCAGCACACTACACCACCCCCACCAGCCCCGCCGCGATGCAGAACCTCATCCACACCTTTATCGACCCCCTCCGCGACCGCTTTGCACCACTCACTCATCAGTCCACCTTCCGCCAGACAGGTCAAATCACACCCGAGGAGTTCCAAGCCGCCGGCGACTTCCTTGTGTACAAGTTCCCGTCGTGGAGCTGGGCCGATGCAGCAACACCGGACCGCCGTGTCCCCTACTTCCCACCTGGCAAGCAGTACCTCATCACGCGCGGTGTACCTTGTCGGAGACGTGTCAAGAACGAGCTTGGCCTGAAAGGTGCGGGTGATGGCGAGGACCAGATCGTGCGGGACATGCTGCAAGGGCCGGGTGGGGAGAAGGGCGAGGATGACGGCTGGCTGAAGGCGGGTGGTGACGATGGCCCGGGCGGCGTGAGCAAGAGCGCCGAGCTGCGCATGCGCGATGTGAGGACGATGGACGAGGATGGCAAGACGGAGAAGGTGGAGGAAGAAGAGGAGATTCCAGATATGGAGGATGAAGAAGACGATGCGGAGGCTATCATCCGCGAGACCAAGACTGGCAAGGGCGAAGAGGGGTAAGCAATGACCTTTCATAGAGCATGAAGCAGTACTGACAGAGCGACGACAGTCTCCGCACCTACACCCTCTACATAACCTACACACCCTATTACCGCACCCCACGCCTCTACCTCTTGGGCTACGACGCTGCCAGCAACCAGCCACTACCGCCCATGAGCATGATGGAAGACATTATTGGCGACTACAAAGACAAGACCGTCACCCTCGAGGACTTCTACTTCACGAATCCACCCATCAAGACAGCCTCCGTCCACCCTTGCAAGCACGCCAGCGTCATGAAAGTCCTGCTCGACCGTGCCGACGCAGCTCTCAAGCTGCGCATGGAGAAGGCGCGGCAGGGTGTCAAGCCAAGTAACGCGGGCATGGAAGGGCTCGTAGACCAGACGGCTGCCCTAGATATCAAGAAAGACGCCTCGCCACAGAAGCAAGCGTCAAGCACAAGCGGAGCGAACCAAGGCGGCGACGGCGAGTGGGAAGTGCTAGATGAGAACCAACATCGACCTTCCGAAGACGAAGTCGCTATTCGCGTAGACCAGTATCTCGTCGTCTTCCTGAAGTTCATGGCAAGCGTGACGCCGGGCATCGAACACGACTTCACCATGGGCGTGTAGCTACGCTCGGGCCCCCATACCGACAACATACGAAACAAGACGAACAAGAGGAACTACGAAAAGCTGATCGAGAAACTGAGCTGGCGTGAGAAGGAAGCCCGGGACATGAACTTCAAGAAGGACTGGATCCAGCTCTTTCCGGGAGTAGACTTTCCGAGAGAGTTGGAATGGATGGAGGTTAAGAGGCTGTTTGGCGGCGGTATCATGGCTGTTGGGATGGACTGAGCTTACGACGATTATTGAGTGATGGCTGAATGCTTGGGATCGCGTGACGGGGTGGTACTATGTTGCATGGCGACCGGCGTTCTCAAGCAACTGCGGCGTTCCGGGTCATGAATTGCTTGCTTACCTGCTTGACCTTTGCGTCACCTGCGGAATACCATGCAGAGTGCTTGGAATGCTATACCATTTCTTTTCCAGTCGTTTGGGTGACTTCTCAGACTCCTTTGGATCGCAAACAAAACATTCACTAGATACATGGCTAAGATTCGTTCACAGGAGCAAGCATGATCTGGTGCATTCCGAGCAGCCAAACATGATTTTATGGGGACGCCACCAATAACTGGCCATGCTTTGCTATCCCGCTCCGCTACATGCCCTCCCAACCATTTCCCGGCCAGGTCGACCCACCGCAGCAGGTGCCTTCCACCCAAACACCGGCACCAGTTCCTGGAGATGTAGGAGGCAAATCGCCTAGCAAGTCGTATGGCTACACTGTCCCACCGAAATCACCATTACACACCTTGACGGTTCTAAAGACATCAACCACGCACAGCAAACCACCAAGATCCACTATAACGAGATTTACAACATCTGCGTCTTATGCGACAGAAAGCATCCCGGCTGTAGTTCGTCGTTACTCGGGCCAGCAAGAAGGTCCTGGTGAAGATAGGGAAGAGGAGTAAGTTGCTGGGCGAGGAAGAGGGGGAGTACAGGTACAGGTACAAGATCCGTTTATCTATGGTTAAAGACAGTGTGAGTCCAAGCGATGTTGCGGATGCTTTGAGTCAGTCAGCGGAAAGTGTGGCGGGTTAGACGGTTGGTGATGTTGCGTTGGCGATGGGTGATCTGAAGATGGGCGCTACGTACAAGGCTATCCTGCGGCGAGTGAAGCTGGATACTGACGTGCATGGCGTTGCTGACGAGCCTACGGAAGATGAATCATAGCATATTAATGTTCAGGGAAATGTCTCGACACCGCCAAAGCCAGCTACGCCGTTGGAAGAGCCGGCGGGTGAAAATGATGAGCTTTTATGCGAGAGCGAGCGGCAGAATACCTTGCAGAACGAAGAGGAAGATAATGGAGCATGATGGGAAGAGGGAGAAAGTTGCATCCCTGCGATTGAATCAGATTAAGGGTGCTCTTTCCGGGATCGAATACAAGGTGGTCAAAATCTCTGCGCCGAGTAAAGACTGGCTGGGCGAGGAGAGTGATGGCAAGGCTTTCAGCGGGAAGAGATCGGTGTGTGTCTGTGTTGCCTTGGAAGTAAATGAGGCCGAGGTGAAGGAGATGGGTGGTGATAGATTGACATGGGTGTCGAAGGAACATGTTCTGGCAACGAAGGAGAGTTAGTGGAAATTGGCTGTCGCCAATACTCGTCTCATGAGACCGTTGTCCCCGAACTTGTGAACATTCGTAGTATCTGTCGAAGACTACATTGAGCGACAAGCTTGGCTCATAAGCGACAAACAGTTCGCTTGCAACGATCATGCCTCATTGATCTTTTGCGCAGTCACCACAGCAGTATCTGGACTGTCCTTGAAGCACCATCGCTCTTCGTCCCAGTTCGGCGGCCGCCATGTGAAGAGGTCAAATGCCTCGCGGCTCCATGGATCTGGTTTGACAGCTACAGCCGCCTGCATCTCGCCACCTGACTCGCCGGCTCGTATAGGCGCTTGGAATGGTCGACTAAGCAGTACAGCCGTCGACCCTTCCGGCATCGTCTTGAGACTGACGGTCCGATGTAGAGGCTTCTTTGATGCTTTGACGAGTGCAAGTGGACGAGGTGTAGCTACTGGCGCAATCTCTGAGATAGTCCCAGCTTGTGCAGCACGCTTCGATGGAGAAAGGGTTAACCTCATAGGTGCAGCAGATGTCCGCCACGGCTTGCTCATGGTGATATTGTCCGACTGTGCTCGCTGGAACACACCATCATCCTGCGTCGCAGAAGGTTGGGTGTTGACGCCACCCTCGTCCTCTGTTGGAGGCGATCCAGGAGCTGGCACTTCTGCGCTTGCAGTCGAAGTCTGGAAGCATGCTTCTGCGCATGTCCGGATCTCGCGTCGTCCGATGCCTTTCCTCTGTCGTACCCGTCGTCGCTCTGGTTCCTGCTCTGATTGTACCCTGGCCGGCAGGCTGGCTACATCGTTTCTCGCTGGAGGTGCGATGGTGACGCAGCGACCATCATCAGCCTTGCCTGGGCTAACATGCAAACGCGTCTGGTCGAGCTCCGCTAGGCTGGTCTTGCGAGCTTCTGGCTGGTTGGGCTTTTCTGGGCAAGTTACACCATCCGCAGCATCATGATGAACTTCTTTCGCGGATTGAGCTGCATTCTGTCGCCGGACACCTTCGATATCAGCATCTGCGTCATCCAAAGTCGGCTGTAGCTTTCTGCCGTCGAGCTTGGCCAGGCGCTCTTTGAGCAGCTCGCGCTGTGTCTTTGGCACCTTGCTCTTCTCTGGTACAGCAGTCCTTCCGGCGTTTACCAGCCGGCCACGATCTTCGCCCAGCTTGGCGGATGGTGCTTGGCTGTCGTATGCATTCAGTTGAGCCTGGCACAAAAGCTGTCTCTTCTTGGGCAGACCGGTCGCTATCTGCACCGTCGCAGGGTTTGTACTTTCACCCACATTACTTGCCACTGGCGGTGTTGTACATTTAGGGTCACGATGCGCTCTTACGAGATCTTTTCCTGCTCCAAGGCGTTGGTTTGAGAGATCCTTTGGCTGCTTATGGCGATCGTCTGCAACACACCTATTCTCGACAAGAGACGTCGCCTTTCGGGCATGAGCGTCTCCCGGATTGACACTGTACTTAGGCGACAGTCTCTGCGTTTGGAAGGCCGGCGAGCTCGAACGCACTGGTATGGGCTGCTTGTTCGGAGTCGGTCGCTTCGGCGATGAGGTGAGCGGTGCGAGCGCATCGCTTGGGAACCCTGGGAGGAACCCTACCGAAGTAGGCTCGTCATTATGAACGTCAACAGTCCCGTGCGTCTTCATCCTTTGTTGTCCTTCTTGAAGGGGTGCCTTCGTTCTCTGCTTTGCAGCGTCCGATGTCCGCGCCCATGGTGGCTCCTCCTTTGATAGCTTTTTGGTGCAAGCAATGCTACCACCGTGTGCCGCACCTGTTCGCTGCCGCTTGGCTGACCTGCCGTCTTCCCAAGGCTCGCTGCCTGCAGCCGCTTGATGGAGCTCGTATGGAGACTTCACAGGCAGAGCTGCCTTACCCGTTGTCCCACTTGTGCCACCGAGCAGCGCATTGAGAGAGCGATGTTTGGCCTGAACGGACGATCTTGCCGCTGTCTCAATGATTGTCTTCGCAAACGGAGTTCGCGGCGTTGGAGACGAGGCAGGGTCGCTATTACCCTTCCTTTTGCTCTTTATAAGGTCAGAGAGGTCAGTTTCACTCATGTGCATAAGCTCTCCAACTTCGACAATGGCTCCATCTCTTTCCAGGTTGACCTCGTCGCCCTCCTGCAGCGCTGCGTTCGCTGTCCAATGGCTATCGCCAAGAAAGTTATGCTTATCGTCATACACCATGACGCGCTTGTTGAAGGTGTGGTAGCGTAAGAAACCATCTTTGTATCGCTTGTGCTTGCGTCTGACCTCTTGCGTGTACATACATCGATACTCCAACACTGGAGCGGTATTCTGCGTGTGCGGCACGCTGAGAAAAGGTGTGCCATTCCGGTACCCCGCAGCAGTCATCTCGGCGACTTGTACCTACCAGCTGCATCTTGAGAGCAAGCGTATGTGTTGAGGGAGATGGTCAGTGTCGGCAGTCAAACTTCGTAGGAGTCGCGTTCGGACGCGACGTCAAGCCGGCGGAAGTACCCCGCTTCGCCAAAAGTTGCGTGCTCACGTGACCCGGAATAAATATCTCCAAGCACTCCGGGGATATCAACTTGCCCGGACGATGAGGTACCTGCATGCAATGTACTTCTGTCTGAACATCGCCACATCCGCGACCTCATCAACTGCCGGTCGTTGCGGTGCGGTGGAAGCATTGTTGCACTCCCAACCATAAGCTCTCTACAAAAGTCGGAACGGCTAGTCTTTCTAAGTCAGCGACTGTAATCGATTCGCATATGTTCGGAGCTTCATTCTCCACGCCAGAGACTGCAGCGATCTGGTCGGACAAACAGCGGACTGCGTATTATTTGCAGTTCGAAGGAGCTCTTGCCAACGTTCAGGCAAAGCTAGGTATCATTCCAGAACGGGCCGCATAAGTGATCTCTAAGCACTGCGAGAGCGTGAGCAAGCTTGACTTTGATGAGCTCAGAGAGCAGACCAAGCTCATTGGGTATCCGATCCTCCCTGTTGTGCAGCAGCTCGTACGAAATGTGAATGCGGTTGAGGATGGGTTGGGAGAGTGGGCGCACTGGGGTACGATGACGCAGGATGTCATGGACACTTCAGTGGTTTTGCAGTTGCGAGAGCCCTTCCGTGTCATTGAGGATGCTCCGGACAGCATTATTGATTGCTTAGAGCATCTCTGCGTAGAACATAGGTCGACGCCAATGGCAGCAAGAAGCCATCTGCAGCAAGTATGCCTCGCTTCTTGAGCGGTCAAGACTATGTCGCGTGGGCTAATCTGCTGCACACAACTGCTAGGCCGTGCCGATGTCGTTAGGCTTCAAGTTGGCTCGACTGCTTGCTTCCTTCCAACGGCACAAGCAGCGTCTGCACAAGCTGAAGCCCCGATTGTTTGTCCTGCAGTTTGGTGGCGCGGCAGGCACGCTCGCCACAATTACGTCGGCCTCGTCATTCAGCGCTCCAGACACCGTAGACGGCATACCGCTTGCACTTCGCTGCCAGGAACTTCTCGCTGCGGTGCTCGACCTAGGAGTGCCGGAGACTGCTTGGCATGCGGAACGAGACAACTTCGCAGAGGCTGCGAACATCCTGGCCTTACTTACAGCTACTTGTGCCAAGTTTGGGACCGATTTGATGCTAATGATGCAGACAGAGGTTTCGGAAGCTAAAGAACCATATTCTCCCCACCGTGGTAGCAGCTCGACAATGCCGCAGAAGCGTAATCCCATCGGCTCAGCTTATATATGTGCCATGGCAAGCACTGTTCTCGGCCTGGCGAGCAACATGGTTGTAGCGATTGTTGCAGATCATGAACGTAGTACTGGCCCATTGGAGCTGGAGTGGATCGTGTTGCCACAGTTATGTGCGCTTAGCCACGCGTGTCTGAAGCAGACTTTATCCCTTCTGAACGGCATCGAGGTAGACGGGGAGGCAATGAAGCGCAATCTGGCTCTGTCCAAGGGCGCTGTTGTCAGCGAAGCCGTTATGATGGGGCTGGGTAAGACCATAGGTCGTCAGTATGCGCACGATCTAGTATACGGGGCTCTGTCGAACGGCACAGCAATCAAACAGCTCATTGTTGGACCTACTCCGTCAAACACGAATATCAAACGGGCAGGTTTGACTAATGAACAGCTAGGGGCGCTCTGCGACCCTGCTAACTATCTTGGCCTGAGCGAAGTGATGGTGGATCGCATACTCAAGAAGCCCACCCCATCATCGAGACACTTCTAGATACTCAAGCTCCTTTGATGTGTGGCACAGGCTCGCTCATGAAAGTTGGAACGCATTTCGAAGCGTGGCCGCAAACCGTAGCTTTTGGATGCAAGTTGGAGTACTGTTACGCTGTAAAACATGCAAATGCCACTTCAGCGCTATAATACGCGCTTCGGTAACAGCATTTCACGGCTCGTACACATCGTTCGTATAACATTCGGTGTGCGCCGTCATCCTCACCATTAAATGGCTTGCGCGTTCAGTCCAGTGAACGGCGTGAGTTGCTGTAACAGACGTCTAGTGCATTGCCAGCATAGAACCAGTGGGTAGCCAGCGAATCAAAGCGAACACATGGGCATCGCAAAACATCTCAAGCAGCTCCTCATGGGATGACCCAGAGGAATGATTGATAAGCCAGGCGGCAATGACGGTCAGATGGTGCCATTTAGGCAGTGAGTGCTTTGCTGCTATGTCCGGCGCTGAAGAGCTAGTAGCTTCGAACTTTTAACCTGAAGAAAGGCCACCAATCTTGTCACTCGCAGACTTTACCCTGCCATCCATGTTTCCATGCCAACTCCTCGTGCGGCATTCTACCGTACCGCACATGCGACCGTCTTTCAAGGTCGCTGGCTAAGTCAGTGCACCCCAACCTTCGAACAGCTGAGGTATACTACCGAATGTGCTAGCTATGCTACCGTGCCCCAGTCTCCGCTCGGACAAATCGAGCAAAGCCGCGCAAAGATATCCCTGCCGATGCTGTCACGTTGGCCGTACGTGACCGCTCTGTACTCCTGTCTTACCAGCATTGAGCTCTTGGGTAGCACCGGTCAATGAGGCACAACGTTCTGACGTGCGGTAAAGTTAGCCACGCGGTGAGCTGTCAATGAGAGCGAGTTAGCGGAGGAACTCCACTTGCGCACGCGCCGTTTTGCGGGGAGGTGAGATGTTACTGTGTTCCCTGACTTCGAATGTAGCGTGAGCACGGAATTCGCCTCGAAAGTCCCGAGAATGTCTCTCTTAACAGCTATGAAGTGGTCATCAACTACTGGCTAGAGGTCACCACCTTCTTGAAAGCTTAACAACGGGCCCATAAGGCGAGGGTCCTGATGTGGAGCCCGTCCTGAAGCGATCCATAGACAGCGTGCAGTATGAGACATCTTCCATGATACCGGAAGCTCGTGTCATCCGACCACAACTACAACACCTTTGAGGATGCATTAGTACAATTTCGCGCACTTATTGCGGAAAATGCACCATCGCATCCGGTAAATAACATTACCAACAGCCGATGATCGTCGTATATTCCGCACTGCTGAACAATGTGCACAACCATATCTGCAGGAACCGCACTGCTCCACCTTGCCGTAGCATGGCGCTACGGACTTGTGCATCCTGCCACCAGCAAAACCGCGTCATGACTACTGGCGTGTCATATAAAGCGGAGGTACAGTACCGTCGCTCATTCTCAATCCACCCGCAACAATGCTGTTCTCTTTCCTTACCTTGGTCGCTGCGGCGACAGCAGCACCATCTGCTTACAACTCTCAACCGTACTCCAGCGTAGCTAAGAGGCAGTCATCTGCCAGCAGCTCACTTCAGGTGGACCTGGGCTACAGTGTCTACCAAGGTCATACTAACAGCACTGCCAATCTGAATGTCTTTCAAGGGTACCTAGAACCACGTATAGCAAGTATAGAAGGCTATCACTAAGAGACATCTCAGCATCCGCTTCGCAGCAGCCCCAATCGGTAATCTTCGCTTCCAAGCACCAAGAGCGCCCACAACCAACCGCTCGGCAACGATTTCGGCGAACAGCTATGCACCGCAATGCCCGCAGAGTCCAAGCTCGCACCCGCCACCTGTCACACCAGTCAATCAGACAGGATCGAGCGAAGATTGTCTTTTCGTGAGTGAAGCATTGTGGACAGATAGGAATGCAGCTCATTATCAGTAGCTCAACGTCTGGAGTCCAAGCAACGGAACCAACCTCCCTGTGCTGGTCTGGATCCATGGCGGTGAGTCTGGCTTTTAACTATGCTGTGGCTTACGCTAACGGTCGAGGGGATACAAGGCGGTTATGGTCAGGGCAATGGGCGCCAGGATCTCACTGCCATTATCAATACGAACGGCAACTCGTTTGTTGGCGTCTCTATACAGTATCGTGTATGTCACCAGCATCATGGAGACTGCCGCTTGAGCTAATTTTGTGTCAGCTCGGCGCATTCGGATTCCTTAGCTCTGACGAGGTCTTCCGCAAAGGTGCTGTGAACGCCGGTCTTCTCGATCAACATCTGGCGCTGCAATGGGTCCAAGAGTACATTCACCTGTTCAATGGCGACCCAACGCGAGTGACAATCGCAGGCGAAAGCGCTGGAGGTGGCAGTGTAATGCTCCAAGACATGGCGTATGGAGGCTCCCTCGGCACTCAGCTCTTCATCAATACCATTGCAGCCAGCCCTTACCTTCCCATGCAGTATGGCTACAAGGACTGGGTACCTTCTCAAAGCTACTACGCATTTGCTACTGCCGCGGGATGCCCTCCGTCTATGCCCTACCTGCCGACCAACGGGACGCCAATCTTCGAGTGCCTCGTCAGCAAAAACACCAGCACGCTGATGAATGCTAGCGCAACAGTATCTCAGGAAGGCTCCTACGGGACTTGGGCGTTTCTGCCGGTCACGGATGGCGTCTTCGTACAGGATTTGCCGAGCAGACAACTTGGCCGCGGTCAAGTCAATGGACTCAATATCCTCTCCGGTAATAATGCCAACGAAGGATACTACTTTACGCCACAAAATATCAAGACCGAGGATCAGCTGGTGCAATACCTTCGTGTGACCTTCCCACTTCTCTCCAACAACGACATCGCCAAGATACTCTACTACTATCCTTCCACAAACGCCTCCGTGGACCCAAATACTCCGTTCTTTGCCACATCCGGCAATATGGGAGCGACTGCCCTCAATGAAAGCTCTGATGGCACCGGTCAGCAGCAGCGAGCCGACAATATCTACGCAGAGACCACCTTCGTATGTCCCTCGTACTGGCTCGCGGAAGCGTACAGTAACAACCGCAACGGAGGCCAAGGATACAAGCTACAGTTCTCGATTCCACCATCTGAGCACGGCGGCGATGTTGCGGGGTATTTCGACTACCCGGGTCAGTATTACTCAGTGGATTTTACCACGGCGTTCCAAAGAATCTGGGGCAACTTCATCACCACTTCAAACCCGGCCATATCCAACGCAGTTGCAAATGGGGTGTCTACGAACAACGTTTCGATTAACGCAGCAAGCAGCTTTCCTCCATATAGCATTTATTCGCCCAACCAGCTGGATCTCAACACAACCTGCCCAATCATAACTACTCTTGGCGGCATAGAGTATTGCAATTCTTCTACCGCTGTGAACCAGTTCTCCTTGGTCAACGCTTACACCTGGGAGGGCGGACGCGGCACGCGTTGTGACTTCTGGAGAGCTCTGGGCGAGCTGGTACCGGAGTAAATGCTAGCTTGGCTCAAGCTCTTCGCCTCTACCTGTGTACCTAGCTATCTAGCCGATATCAGAACCAAGTATAGCGATGTCTTCTTTCCTTAAGATTGCTCGCTAAAAAAGATTTCCCTCCTCAGCCTCGACATCTCAAACTGTCCCGAGGCTTGTTAATCGGTATTTGCTAACTCCGCTACAATCTTTAAGCGCAGCCGCTCCCAAATGTTGCATGGGTGGGTAGAAGTTGTGAATCCGGACCAGTACAAGTCAATTACTCCTTTCTGTCGCGCAGTCTGCCAGCTCAGCAGCGTACTCGAGCAGTAGTGGCTAGCGCTCTTGGAGTCAGTCGTGTCTACGCGTTGGATGTGAGCATGCAAAGTACATCTACATAGACTAGACGGCATTCGCATCTCGCATGGTGCATTCATACGCATACCAACTCGCAATTCCCACATCATCTCGTTCATGCCGGCGCACACGCAACATGTTTCAGAATGCCCAGCTATGTTGATAGCTATCCTCCAGGATATCAACATGGAGATTGCGTTAATGTTGCTCCGCGTGATCACGCGCCAGGCTAACCGGTTTTGGCAGAGTGATCACTTTCAAGCCTCAGCTGGCAAACTTTCGCAGAGCGCATTTCCTCAAGAAGGACTTCTAATGGACGGCGAGATGTCACTGAAGCAGCTTCCGCTGACTATCATCGTCGCGGCAACACCCAACAATGGGATCGGCAACGCTGGCGGGTTGCCATGGCCCATGCTCAGGAAGGAGATGGCGTACTTTGCGCGTGTCACCAAACGTGTGCCAATGCCCAAGAACACCGGCTCCGTGCAATCTGATGCTTGGAAACGATCTAACCTTGAGCGAACTCGTCGCAACGCGATAATTATGGGACGAAAGACCTGGGACAGCATACCGCCCAAGTTCCGACCACTGAAGGATCGAACGAACGTCGTAATCAGCAGCCAGCACCGCGAGAATCTGGAAGGTATTACGGACGATGTCGTCGTGGCGCAAGACGTTCCAGCGGCCCTACATGCGCTCGAGCAGCACATCTCTGCTGGTCAAGCACCGCCTGTAGGTCGTGCGTTCATCATTGGAGGCTCACGCATCTACGATGCCGCATTGAACATGCCGCAGACCAGATCTATACTTCTCACACGGATACTGAAGGACTACAACTGTGACACCCACTTCCCGGTTGACTTGTCGAAAGCTTCCAGCTGGGTGTTGAAAAGCCTCGCCGAACTGGAACACTTTGTGGGTGAGGATGTTCCGGAGCAACCCTTGACAGAGTCTACCAGTGGTGAAGATGTGTCTTTCGAGTTCCAGCTGTTCGAACGCGAATGAACGCGGATTATGCTGGACTGCCAAGGACCTTTTGACTCTCCGTTTTAAAGTACCGGGACTTTCTACGCCGACACAGAAGCCTCGGTGCGGCGGCACATGCACCCCGCATGTTCACGCGCTTCTCAGCTTCGGCTCAAGGTTTGAAGGCGGCATTGTATTGCATACGATGTAAGAAGAACATGGAGAACCTAGACCAGGCGAATTTGCTGGCATGGCAAAAATATTGCCGGAGTAAATCGGACACACCAGGACCAGGACGGCAATGCATCTCATTTCGCATGCCTAAGCCGACAAAATATCGAGAACGTCCGCAATGTCCCGAGGTAGGAGCTCCGCTCGCCCAGGAACAGGTCTCAGTCGCAACCCACGCGGAATAAGCTCCTTGGCTAGTTCATTGAGCGTGGAACTACGTAATGCGGCTTCCGAACGCCTCGGTTCTCTATAGCTGCACCAGACGATGTTGCGGGTCTTTTCCGATGCTGGCATCTACCCTCTCAATTGTCATAAGAACAACAGAGCAACGGATGTTGTTCGCATGCCGTCGAAAGCCTCAAACAACGCTGCTGTTTGATTGATTCGCGAGATCTCCCTCTTCGAGTAGAAACGCCCGCGAATTCAGCATGTCTGCGAAGACTACCTCTGGCCCGGGAGGCAAGAAGCCAGCTTCCGCAGCAACGAACCTCATAGGTGAGCCTGGTACAGGAAGGCAGGTTAGACACGCGCTTCGCTAACTCTGGCAAGCTGGCGGAGGAGCGGGCGCAATGGAGGCGCTCCTATGCCATCCTCTCGATACTATTAAAGTGCGTATGCAGCTGTCACGGCGGGCAAGGCAACCTGGAGCGAAACGACGCGGTTTCATCCAGACTGGTCTTGAGATATCGAGGAAGGAAACACCGTTAGCATTGTACAAAGGGTTGGGTGCAGTGCTGTCAGGCATTGTTCCCAAGATGGCAATCCGGTTCACCAGCTACGAGTGGTATAAGCAAGCTCTGAGTAAGGACGGTAGGGTGACGGGCAGTGCGAACTTCTTGGCAGGTCTGGCAGCCGGTGTAACCGAGGCTGTAGCGGTTGTCACGCCTATGGAAGTGGTTAAGATTAGGTTACAAGCCCAACATCACAGTATGGCAGATCCGCTGGACGTACCAAAGTACCGCAACGCCGCCCATGCCATGTACACCGTAATCCGCGAGGAAGGCGTAGGAGCGTTATGGCGAGGTGTATCGCTTACGGCGCTGCGGCAAGGCACCAACCAGGCCGCTAACTTCACCGCCTACACCGAGCTTAAGGATGCACTGCAAAAACGATCCCCGGACCCCAGTGCTGCTTTACCTGGTTGGCAGACGGCAATGATAGGGCTGATATCTGGAGCCGTCGGACCGTTTTCGAATGCTCCTATCGACACAATCAAAACGCGATTGCAGAGGGCGCCGGCGGAGCTTGGCCAGAGCTCCATGCAAAGGATTGTTTCGATAGCGAACACAATGTGGAAGCAGGAAGGAATACGGGCGTTCTGGATGGGCATCACTCCTAGAGTGATGCGGGTTGCTCCTGGCCAGGCGGTAACCTTCGCGGTATACGAATATTTGAAAGGGTTGTTGGAGAAGGGTCGGGAAATGCTACCGGGTGGACAGTACGAGGAGTAAAGACGCGTTCTTGTTTCCCGGTGAGCTGAACAGCGAGTTCTCTGTCGAAATCCAAAGTTCAGAGATACCAGCCAAAGAACAGAACCAAGCCAGCCACTGCTGGACTCCATATGGAGTATTCAGAAGGTCGAGTGCTGCTCGATGCGACTTTAGAGGAAAATGATCGCGCCCACTAGGCTCGCCGAGATAGGCAGGTCGGCATTGGGCTTCTTCTGCCCCTCATGTCGAGCTTCCATCTTATCGCGGTGGCGACCATCGTCAGACAGATACTTTGCTGCAGAGTTAGTAAACAGCGTACTAAGACACCTGGTTTCTGCAAAATAGTAAGTGTGCAGTTCGACTTCCATCATCTTGTCCACCCTCATTGCTTCCGCTCCTTACACCACCTGAAGAGGTAGCCATCACAATGGCGGCCAATGGCGAAGTAAAGCACCATCGTGCTGTCATCGGTAACGAAAACAACTTTTGGCTCTACTCATCGCGCACAGGTTTCGATCTCACCCACCCACCGAAACCTGACTCAGCGCCGGTCACGCCTAGCATCACTATCAAAACGACAAATGTGCCCATTACGATTGATCCGGCCAAATCAGCCCTCATAATCATTGACATGCAGAACTTCTTCCTTAGTCCCGCGTTCGGCAGGAAAAGAGGAGCCGGTCATGCTGCTCTCGACCAGTTGGCACAGGTCGCCATCCCCGCCGCTCGAAAGGCCGGCATCAGAGTCGTTTGGGTCAACTGGGGCTTGTCAGACGAGGATATCGCTCAGCTTCCGCCCGCTGTCACCAGGACTTTTGGCTTCGAAGTAGTGAACGATGAGGAAGGTGTAATGAACGGCAATGCCTTCGAGCGGAAGGGCGCCGGTGACGGTGTTGACCGACATGGCGATACGGGAGTCTTAGGCGGCCATACTCAGTTCGAAGACGGAAAGAAGGGACGCAAGTACAAAGGTCTTGGTAGCGAAATGGGCGTTGTAGAAGATCCAGAAACTGGCGATGAGGTCGACGCGGGCAGAATGCTATCAAGAGGTGCGTGGAATAGTGCGCTTTATGCCCCTCTCGACAAGATCTACGAAGAGGGCACCAAGCTGAGCTCTCGCCCTGATGTGTGGATACACAAGAATAGAATGAGTGGCATGTGGGGCCCGAAGACGGATCTAGAGCAGTTCCTGGAGAAGGAAGGCATCTTGACTCTGTTCTTCACGGGAGTTAATACTGATCAGTGTGTGGGTGGTACTTTGACGGACAGTCTATCGAAGGGGTACGTCACTTAGTCTTTGCCAACAAAACGGAGCTGACACCGCACTGTACCATATCTAGCTTCGACTGTATTCTAGTCAAGGATGGGACTGGCACAACGAGCCCGGAGTATGCGCAGCAATGTTTCGAATACAATGCTGCCAACGGCTTCGGATTTGCAACAACTTGCAAGGACTTTGCCGATGGGGTGGAAAGTGCGCCGAAGTAGTGTGACGCACAGAGACTTGAAGACTGCGTGAAGTGAGGGCCAGCGGTGGTGCAAAGCGGAGGGGCGAGCCTGGTTATGCAAGTGATCACGTTACACCAAAGCTCACTTTGGTACCAGTCACCTCGTGAACGCGATGTACCAACCTTCACCTCCTCCCGTGGTGGGCAAGCACGACACGCTGCGCCTGCACGTCTGTACTGGTATACGCGACGGTCACCTCCTACGACCACGACTTCCTCTCGGCAAGGACAGAGCGATAGGCACTCGTCGTATTGTCATTGTCGGCAGCGTCGGCTTGTCTGGACGTTGCGCCAGATGCGTCACAGGATTGTGAGGCCCAAGGTCGTTGAAGCATATACCGCCACGTCCTAGCATCCGACAAGCAAAGACCGTAACACTAAGCTTCCTGTATAAGTGTGACGACGAGCAGCGATCAGAAAAGTCAACATCACCTCACGTCCTGTCTACCGCACCGACCACAGCACGGCTAGTGAAGGAAATGGACACGCCTGCGAACCGGAAGCGCCCGGCTGACTGTCCAGGATCTGGTGCGGTATCCGGAGTCATCGACCTGACCAACGAAGGCGACCCACAGACTCCGACGTTGCTCGTCCCGCTAGCGAAGCAACCACGGGTCGATTCCGTCACTGTGACTGAACAATCACCAAAACGCTTTTCTGCGACTCCGCCCGCAACCCTTCCACCAGCCGCTTTAGCATCCGGCATCAGTCCAAGCACAGATGCACCTTGGCCAATCGTGCCGAGCACACCACTCTCGCGTCGCTCTGTAGAGGGCGACCGGATTGAAGAGTCACTGCACAAGATCCCGGAGCTTGCTAAGCGCTACGTGCCGGCGACTCTGATGCCGGACGGTACTTTGTATATCAGTCCTAAGAAGTTCTCGGTCAAACCACCATACTGGCAGCGCTGGACAGGTCAAATGTATGAATGCTTCGGGGAATACCTTCGCTCGCAGATCGATCTGAAACCGTTCGCCCAAGCGAACAAACTGCCGCTAGAAGAGGTTATGCATGTCTTCACATCCTTGGTTGTGAACCCCATGCGTGACGCGAAAGAAGCGACTAAACGTGGGGAAGAGGGGATGCAGGAAATCATCGATATGGCAAATAAATATGGAACTCGATCACGTCGCTGGGGCCGGCCAATTTCCTCGACTGATCCAAGAAGACTGACCGGTGAACTAACTCATGTGGAAAAAGGTGCAGTTGTGCTCAACTGCACAAATGGGAACAAGCGAAGGGTGAAGGTCGACGACCTAGTGGAGGAGGACATTGAATACCTTAGAAAGGTGCTTCTTAAGGGGCATTGGCAACTTTTATGGCATGAACACGCAGCAGATGAGTCTGTCCGGGCACAGGAAGCGGAGGGCAGTATCGCGGACATGTCATAGAGAGCAGCGGAGCCTGCGTCGACTTTGTATGCGAAACCATGAGAAAGAAGGTAGTTTAGGCGGTCTCAGAAACTGTGGTACCGGCGGAATAGCGGTTGTCGTGGACGGATTGGGTAACTTTTGGCCTCAGGCCAGCTTTCTGTTGCTGAGGGGGCCGGCTTTTAGGTGCCATTGCTCCGAGACAGACGAAGAGTAGGGTGCTGCATCTTGTCGGCCATCCGTCTCACACATTCCTCTTCAACAAACGAACCATAGGTCAGAAGTCGGCTTTGAAGGCGAGATGGCAGCTCCAGCACGGCGGCTGGGTACGAGTTGCGACTCACGTACTCACCTTCTTCGGCTAACAACATAGCAGTCCATCCAGCACTATTGTATGTCACGATGTCTTACCGAGTCCCATGCAAGCTGACCAGCCACCAGCATATGCGACCTGCAAGAGAAGTTTCGCTCGGCCATTTATGAGTTTCCGAAGGTAGTGTCCACGACGCAGAAGTTACTGAAGGCAAGCAAGATTCTGGGAATCCCAGTGTTCGCTACCACCCAACTACGCGCCAAACTCGGCGAGACATGCCCGGAGCTTGGTTTAGATGCGCCGGACGGCGTTCTGACAAAAGCTCATGTGGACAAGAGCGCATTCAGCATGTTTGTGCCAGAGTTGCAGAAAGCCTTCCATGAGCTGGGACCGGAGAAGAGGGAAGTGGTAGTCGTTGGGATTGAGAGTCACATCTGTGTCACGCAGACGACGTTGGACCTGCTACGAGAAGGCCACAAGGTCTATGTGCTCGCCGACGGGGTCTCAAGCTGCAACCAACAAGAAGTGCCAATAGCGCTGGCTCGGCTAAGGGCAGAAGGCGCGGTTGTAACGACCAGCGAAAGCTTCTTGTACGAGTGTATGGGCGATGCTGGCATAGCTGAGTTCAGACAAATGGCGGGCGTGGTTAAGGAGTTCAGCGCGGCCACTAAGGAGAATCTGTCGGCATTATGCAAGTTCTGAGGAGGAGCTGAGCAGAACCTCCAAGGACTGGTGAGACACCGAAGCGGAAGTGTCTTTGCTATGCTGCCGCGCTCTCGTGGGATGAGGCGCAGACTGCTGGAAAACCCGCTGTACAATGCAACGATGTAAGCCGTGAGAGCCTTGAAATCATTGTCCGGGCGTCGCGTCACTGTCACTGTGCTCTCACCGTCTCATCGCCAGCTCTTGGATAAGCCGTGGAATCATTTCAGCGGCTCCCGCGCCCCGGATCGATTAGCGTACAAAGCGTGGCAAGTCTATGTTCAATGTTTGTTAAAGGTCGTCGTCTCAAGCCAATCAATATTGTGGCGTCCTGCTCTTAGCGCGACATGTCCCCAGAAAGTCCGGCGACCTGCGTAAAGTGCTAAAGTGAACCCTTGAAACACTCGCTAACAAACCCGAACCATTCCAACTCTCTTGATGGACGGCTACTCTCGACATCGCGATCTTTACACTGCGTAAACCGAAAGCTGTGTTCTTTCAGTGAGACTCTTGCACGCAGGGTCGCAGACTCACGTGGGAGGGATTCGGTTGCTACCGTCAGCATTTTGCCGCACGCCAGACCCGCTGAATTGGCGACGGTCGACCAGGGGTCTGTTACGAAGAAAGGCGACAGCGAGATACAATACAAGATTGTAGGATAACAGGGTCTTGTACGATTAGTGTGGGCGCTTCTGGGAATACTTGTCACCTTCACTTTCTTCGGGGCACAAAGGCACTACTGGGAGCGTGCTCCATTACGGATCGTGAGACACCACCGATACCACCCCTCGGCTAGCTGCTCTCTCGTGGTCTTTGACAGACTAAGGCTATAGCGAGTGGGATAGCCAGTATCATCTCCGGAAGGTTGACCGCAGTGGCTGCAAATGGGAAGACGGTATCACGAACTTTTACACGTGAGACAGCAAGTCTCATGACGGCGAGGGGTGCGCCCAACATGGCAGACGCTTCGGCGGAAAGCTTAGGGCAATACCATCATACACGGCCGCCAATACAATCGCAGCACTCCAGCAGCGTGCCATCGACGCCATTTCAAAAACCACGCGATCTGCGCTTCCCTTCCCGATCACCGTCACCGAGCCATGGTCTCGGCCATCAGTCTCCAGGATCTGTCATTGTGGATGCTGTAGGGCAGAATGGTACACGACGAGGTCCACCAGTTGTTTGCAAGTTTGAGGCGGGTGCTGAGTTTCGGAAAAGACGCATTCCGTATGTGGAAGGCGGCAACGAGGAGCTCGGACCGCCGAAGAAGGAGCCTAAGAGGACGCTGGATCCGCATGAGGACGAGAAGCTGAGCGGCGATATGCGCGAGCTGTACGATCGGTTACTGCCGTCTCCCGAGAGCGAAGAGCGACGTGCAAGGTTGGTGGAGAAGCTACATAAGATGATGAGTGATGAATGGCCGGAAGCGAATATACGGGTAAACGTGTTTGGTTCGTCTGGGAACTTGCTGAGCTCGAGTGACTCCGATGTGGACATCTGCATCACGACGTCGAAGCAAGGATTGGACAGTATGCATGCTTTGGCCATGCTGCTTCATAGACGTACGTCCAGCCACCAGCCTCCGCGATCGAGGAGAGTGAGGAGTCCCTCCGAGATGACCAAGCTGACAGCACGCACCAGATGGCATGGAGAAGGTCGTTTGCCGCGCTTCTGCGAAGGTACCAATTGTCAAATGTTGGGATCCTGAACTGAGGCTAGCCTGCGATCTCAACGTCAACAACCCTTTGGCGCTGGAGAACACGCGAATGATCAAGACCTATGTCCAGCTGGACGACCGAGTACGGCCACTTGCAAAGATTATCAAGTACTGGACCAAGAGACGGATACTGAATGATGCCGGTCGGTCGACTTCGTACACATTGCTGCAGATCACATGCTAACGCTCATTGTGACAGCTTTCGGAGGCACTATAAGCTCATACACGTGGATTTGTATGATCATCAGCTTCCTTCAGCGGCGCAGTCCACCAATCCTTCCGTCACTTCAGAAGGTCATGGACAAGCGCAAAGACCCCGACCGTGGCGAACCATCACGGTTTGCGGACGACGTTGATGCCCTGAAAGGCTTCGGTGAGGCGAACAAGGAGTCCCAAGCCGAGCTGCTCTTTCAGTTCTTCCGTCATTACGGCTACGAGTTCGATTACTCGCAGTACGTAGTGTCAATCAAAGAAGGTCGACTAATGTCACGTGAGGAGAAGGGGTGGCAACCCAGTAACTATCACGAGAAAGAAGCGCAGAAACGCCTCTGCGTGGAAGAGCCCTTCACTACGAATCGCAATCTTGGCAATTCTGCTGACGACTATGCTTGGTCGGGCGTACACGCCGAACTAAGGCGAGCGTTTGATCTTCTAGCAGACGGTCAACAATTGGCAAGGTGCTGCGAAGAATACGAGTTCCCACCAGAAGAGAAGCCTATCTTTCAGCGACCGGCTACTAAGCCTGCAACGCTAAGACGCAGTGCTTCGCAGTCTGGCAGAGCCGGCCAGGAACCCACTTCTGGACGATCGCGCAAGGGCAACAGCCGCAATCAGTCTGCACACCGATCAGCCAACCGTCGGGCGTCAAGTGGTGCATCCTTCGGCAATGCGAGGATGCCCTACACCATTCACAGCCCGCCTGCCCTCCCGCAGCAGACTATTGACTACTTCGCAGCTAAGGGCAATCTGCACGAGCATCTGGCGCAGCAGTACCAAATACTGCAAGTGCAACAGGATGCCTTACGAGCGCAATTGCAGAAGCAGCAACAGCATCACAGCCAGCAGGGGCAACAGCAACACCGCATTGGTGATCTCAACGGCTCGCCCCTGCATCGTGGCGGCGCTTTCACGAACGGCCTTCCCAGCCCACGCTATCTGGACAATCCGCCGCAGACTGCACCGCTGTTGCCGGGCTACCTGTACCATTATCCCGCACGGTATCCGCCATCTTCTCCAATGGCGCATTCCATGTCGCGAGAGGGCACGAACACGAACCCCTCGTCGCCCTCGCTGGTGGCCGCCGTACCTGCGCTGAGACGACAAGGCCATCGAGCCTCCGTGACGGAAGGCCCAACAACCTCGGCCAGATCTCAGTCGCAGCCTGGCCGCTCAATCCCGCATCCATTGGCTCTTCAGCAGCAGGCACATCCGGGATACGATGTTTCTGGTGCGTTTCCAGCGCCCTATCAACATGTTCGTGCTGCACCGTTTTACGGTCCAGCACAACCAGGCCTGCATATGCCGCACTCGCCTCTGCCATCAACGTACTCTTCGGTGGGTTCTACCGACAGCACAATGCCGAAGGAGTACATGGGATATTACGTCGCCTCGCCCCAGCTTGGCCCGCAGTATGCTCAGCTGCCGCAAGTACCCCCTGTGCCGATGACACTGCGGGACCCACCACAGCGACCACGGAGGATCACGCCAGACCTTCAGCCTCCGATGCTCAACGGTCTGCATAGCTCACGATCACCATCGCCATTGGGTCATTTGAGGAGCTACTCAACGATCGATGGTCTGCGATCCAGAGCCGAGAGTGACCTACTTCAAAGTCCGGACAGCTACGAGATGTCCATCTCTGGGCTGATTCCGCCGGCACAAATCGAAGGCGACCTGGGCGGGCCACTGATAGTCAACGGATCTACGCCGGCCGCCAACCTAGCTGGGCTTAATCGATCTAACGGCGTGCCGACACCGCCCCATGCGGCACTGCCAAACGGAGTCTGGGACCATAGCCTTTCGAATGCACGTTCGTTACCGCTGCGGACTGAAATGAGTACCCGGGAGGCGCAGGGAGATGGCATGGAGCATGCGCCGCTGTCTCCTCGCATCGCGCCAAGCCCTCGTACCAAAGCGAATCGAGGCCTCAGTCTATCCGGGAACGGCACGGTTCAGCCATCGAACGGCATCACAGATGTATTCCATGAAGCTCCGCCTCTCACTGCGCCCTTGCTCTCGCCCGTAGCCGAACTTCGAACGCCGTCACCGACACAGGCCCGGCGTTTCGAACACCAGGAGTCGCCACTTACGAACGGTCTTACAAAAGCCGCTCAGATTGCCAATGCTATGCAGGCGGGCTTCGACGAGAACGTGAACCCATCAGCCGTAACGGACGTGAAGCGTGAGCGTAAGGGCAGCGTGTCAAGTTCTCCTACTGCTCCTGATAAGCTCCCAAAAGGGCCAGCTCCGGCTGCACCAACCGCTGCTCTGAATCATGTCAATGGTTGGCAACAGGTCCAGAGTGGTCGTAAAATCCACAAGAAAAGCAAAAGCACTGCTGCGGCGACCAAACATGGCTTTGGACACAGTCTGCCAGCGAACGAGAATGACAGGAAAGGCGGCTGAAGTTCATCTATATCTTCGGCCACCTACGCTTCGATCAGACCTCTTCCAACAACACACACAGACGGGTTCTGTTAGACCACGTTCGCCCTGATGCATCCCACAACCGACGAGGTGATACTCCGCCCCACACGGCCACGGGCATGACTCTTGACATATTGCCACGCCGAGCCGACCTAGCACATGGCGGAAACCTTCCAACAAAGTTGTCGTTGCTAGTACTGATGACTCGTGGCGAAGGACTTGGTATAGGAACGCAGGTTTGTTGGCGAGGATTTAGCCGGTTGACAGAAAGCAGGCCACTTTGGTGAGATGGGGTGACAGTTTCCAATGGGATGCGTGGTACTTGAAAGGTCATGAACTGGGCCAATCTACGGTCTAGCTTGGTAGCCACCACGCATTACATGGCGCCAAGTAGCGGGTGGTTGATAGGACAGCGCCCATGTCGAAATCACGCAAGACATGCAGTTGCGTCGTGTATGCGCCGTTGGTTTATTCACCGTTCTGTTTTGATTTATCCCACCTCCGTGCCCCTACAATGCTCATCGTTGCTTAGCCAGGTCTGGTCAATTATCACAAGCATAACCGCTCCGCGTCTGTAGGTAAGATGAAATCCTAAGTTTACATAGCACACCTACATGCTCAGTGACAGGATTGGAACGTGAGCACATCACGGCCTCTAATCTATTTGTAGATATGGCCTCGTGTTGGACAACCACCCATACGCCTCGCCAACCTCATATCAAAGACCAACTGAGCATCGTAGTAAGCTACGTCCTGGTTCAAGAGGTAGACGGAGCCAGCGACGGCGTGTCCGATATTCGCTGCAAGGACGTATCTACTCGACTTGCAGTCACTTCCTCTTTTCAGAATGTACTTTCACAACGTCAAGCCATCCACCTTCACGAACTATGTAGTTTGCCATGCCATTCTTTCACGTCTTCTGGACTGTGGAAAACCGGCCACTGCCATCTGTTCGAGATGTTGAAGCCTCCCGGCACAAAATGAACGAAATTCACTGGGAGTTCACCACAGTCTCTGAGAAGCAGCAAGGGAAACGGCGCTCACGAGGCGAGCTAGCGAAGAGGGAGCCGCGAAATCATTCAATTTCTTCGCACGCGCATGCGCTCGCCCGCCAAAGGCATTCAACAGATTGCGCGAGGCTCTGCTGCCATATATCACAGCGTTTTGTAGTGGCCGCACAACCAAGGACGTGGAAGGCCAGATTTCGACCGATACCAGTACGCTCCTGGCGAGTGAGAGTGCGTTGAGGGACAATAGTAAGACCACTCGGATTGATGCACGACTTGTCGCGATGCCGTCATCAGCAGCTAGTTCCCTTGGTGGTTTTATTTTTTTTGTAGACGTGGTCTCAACGGTATGTCTGAATGTGAGCCCTGCGACTCATCCTCCCGCCACGAAAAAGCTTGCCAGACTGCCGACCGTCAAGCCAGCCACGAGACACAGCCCCATGAACCCTCCAGCAGCCTCTCGCTCTGCGGGCTCAACCCATTCGCCTGCGCCAATCATGCATATACTGCCAAGATAGCCGTTCGACAAGCCGAAGCCCAACTGCACTACCACAAGGTAGAAGATATCGGATGACACAATTGCTCCATTTCCTCGGTTGTTGCAGAGATGGTACAGCCCAACCCATGCCGATCGAAGGACTGCGAAAAGGAACAGTAGGCGTGGCCTGCGGACAAGGGACAGAGATGGTAGGGCTGTGAGGAGACGACCGAGCAGGTCACCACTATTCCAAAATAGGAACGCTAGTGGAATGAAGGAAGGCGGTTGCAGAAGAGGAGGTTGCTCGTGAACGGGTCGAACCGAGGTAATGCGCTGAGTGAAGATCGGAAAGACCATGGTGACGGCGAAGGTGAGGAACACCGCGCTTGCTAGCCAGAAGACTTTTCTGAACAGAAACAGTAAGGGTACTTCTTTGCGCTCCTCCGGCGCGTTAGCCACATCTGGCAGGTCATCATTGCGCAGCTTCTGGGGCTGCTTGTTGCGTGCCATCAAGTACATGAAGGCCAGGAGAGTGATCACCGAGATTGCGGTGGCTGCAAGAAAGTATCCAAAGGCGCTGTCAGGATGTACTGGCGGCGGGCCTCGTGGGGGTGGGTGGTCACCAGGCGGTTTGTCCGGACGGTCTCGTTCAGAGACGGAAAGCACGGAAATGATCTGCGCGATGCAAGGTAGAATCCCAGCGACTGCTTGTCCCACCATGATGCCTTGCGTGTAGGAAGGCTGCGCGAAACCTGAGACATATGCGAAGATGCCATTCTGACAAAGTCCGGTGGCGAGGCTAGTCGCAAACATCATGACCATCAAAAAGGCGAAGTAGCCCCTCGCACCAATGTCGAGGAAGTGCTTCGTGAAGATAGCCAGTAGGGAAAAGGTCAGCATGTTGATCATAAGCGAGCTGACAATGCGCTTAGGGTAGGAGGCGTTGGCCTGCAGTCTTGTGAGGATGAGCATAGAACCCAAATTGGTCACTGTCGAGACGGAGATCTCGGCTGCCTGAAAGTTGTCGAAGATCCATTGATCGTCGCGGAAACGGTCCTGAAAGTACGGTCCTGCAGCGAGGAACATGTTCCAAGCCCAGAGCATAGAGACGCCAAGGAGGAGGAAGATGCCATATTCCAGATATGAGAATGCTTTCGCTTGGGGCTGTCTACCTTCATTGCCTTCATGCTCATCGACATTATCGCCTACCGGCTCGTATGCCTGCTCACCCTTCCATAGCTTGCGGATGCGATCCATGATGATGGTACCCCTGCAATTAGGGTGCAGTGGAGGTAGCGAGCCGGGCTTTATGCTTGTTGACATACATCCTCAGAGCGCTTGTGTACCATATTCATGATTGATAAGTACCTTGGCTACTTAGATTAGCGTGCACGAAGCCTCAAGGGGACCTGATGGGAGTAAGGTACATGTATGCGAGATCCACATTCGGCGCGGATCTGTCCGACCGGAGCAAAGAGCACGAGCACGAGTCACGACCGTTCAACCTCCACTCACGTGTGCTCAGAAACGGCGGCAGAGCATATCGAAACGTGACCAGAACCATTAGTATGCAGATAAGTGATACATCTCCCTCAATTGTACTCAAATGATGAGTTACTCCTCCTAATGTGCATGCCTCTCGCAATCGTAACGGGAAGTGTTAGCGTGCGCCTCCTCGGCTTCGATCGCCCCAGCTTTACTGCACGTCATGACTAGAGCACGAAGAGTAGCTGGGTGATCTGCACCACCACCGCTCTATTCTCCGGTCAAAGTGATGACAGCGTAAGTGCGCCTACATACTCCAAATCGTCTATCATCTCTTCCTTGGCGTGCACTGGCCCTTGCTCGTTCCTTACCTCCCCTCGACTCATCCCCCTGCGATTAATGACTGCCAATCTCTCCGCATAATTATGGATTCGGACCGCTTGACGACAGCCGTATTTGGGAGGAACAGTGGAGCCCAAGATGGATGAAGTGCCGAGCCCGCTCACTTCGCGGCCGGTCAGCCGAGCTCAGAGCGATGTCTCCTGGGCAACGGAACGTCCGGAATCGCCGCCGGCGCAACGCTCGCTGGCAAGGGAGATAGACCACATCAAACACCTCATACAGCGCAGTCGCAGCGGCCCACGCCAGCCCGAGAATAGCATCACTGCGCAAGTGTTTAGGCGCAAGGCGCAGGATCCAGTGTCCCAAGCGCGCATTCTTCATGACCTTGACCAGCTGAAGAAGCGCATTCGAGATGAACATCACAGCTCCCGGCAAGCTTCCGACGTCGACCCGGAGACGGAATCGGAGGCGGAGTCGGAGGTGGAAGATGTACTTGACGAGCGGGAAGAGGAGCTAGAGAGTATTCGTGAGGAGTTACAGCTTGTGCGGCAGCAGCGTGAGGAGTGGCTGGAGGCGGCAGAGGAGCGGATTGACCGGTTGGATGGTGAAAAGGAAGGCTTGGAGAACCAGCTCCACGACAAGCGCGAACAGCTGGAGCAAGCTAGGGCAGAGAAGGACGAGGTGACACTTGCCTTCAAGGACGCACAGGTCGAACTAGATGTGTTGCATAAGCAGATGAACGATGTTCGACAGTCCCTGGACGCTGCGCAGGACGAAATTCGACAACTTCGAACCCGGAGCGAACAAGCCGAGTCATCGCTCACGAATGAGCGGAATGAGAGGCACGAACTCGCAAGCAAGCTCGCTGAAATCGAGTCATTGTCGGCGCAGCTAAGACAGCAGCTTGAGCACGCGAAGGCCGTGAAAGAAGCCTCTGACGCAGCCGCCTCTGAAGCTCAGGACCAGGTTCGACGTCTCCGTGATGATAACGCTAGCATCGCTGCGGCTTTGTACGATAGCAGAGGACGTATCTCGGCTCTTGAGGAGACAAACGGCAATAGCGCGGAGCTTCTGCGAACGACCATTGCAGAGCATGAAGCTAAGACCACATACGGCGACACACGATATCGCGAGTTGCAGGAAAGCCACGAGACCTTGCAAGCCGAGCATGAGCGCATGCAAGGCCGTACAGACGAGCTCGCCGGACAACTTATTGACGCAGAGACGGCAGCTTCGAATCTGAGAAGTGAGCATGCAAGTCAGCGTGAAAAATTGGCGGCGGAGCTTGATGACTCTAAACGACGGCTTGAAGGGGCGTTGCACGATGTTGGGAAACGCGAGCGTGAAGTAAGCGAGCTGGCTGCGAGTCGAGACGCTGACGAGGTCCATCGCGATACTCTGGCCCGTGAACGGGATGAGCAGAGAACGAGGGCAGAGACACTTGTTAAGGAGAAAGACGATCTCGCGCGGAGTGCTGGAGATGAGAAGCAGAGGATGGCAAACGAGCACGAAGCAGCGCTGCGGAAGTTTAGTGATGAGCATGCTGGTTCAGAGAGGCAACATGCTCAACAGCTCGACATCGTCCGTGGCGAACATGCCGATCACTTGAAAGAACTCGACCACAAACACCAGGCCGAACTTGAAGGGCTGAAGCAACGGCACGCTGAGCACACTGCCAAGATCCATGCCGAGCACGATGGCTACGCGGAAGAACTCAAACAGAACCACCAGGCCGAAACCAAAGGGCTGAAGCAGCAGCACGCTGAGCAGGTCGCTATTATAGGTTCCGAGCATGACCGTCATCTCAAGAGTCTCAATGAGGAACACCAGACCGCAATTCAAACCCTGGAGGAGCAGCACGCTGAGCAGCTTGGCACCAGCGACGCCGCACATTCTGAGCATATTAAGAGACTCAAGGAGGATCATCAGGGCGAAGCTGAGAAGTTGAAGACAAAATTGACGACGTCGCTGGAAAAATACTCTGCTGATTTGGGCAGCCTACGTGAACGCCTTGAAGGCGAGCTAGAGCGTACGCGCAACGAGCTACGAGCAGTCGAGGGCCGAGCTAAGGAAGCGGAGCAGGAGCGCGATAGTTTTTTGAAGTCACTCGAAGAGTCGAAGAGAGTCCATGCAAAGGACCTGGCTGAAGCGAAGTCACGCCACGACGAGCTTATCGCAGATTTACAGCGGAAGTCTCAAGAACTCCGTGAAAAGACTGAGGAGCATGGAACAGCAAGCGCACTGTGGCAGAGAACCTCAGATGAAGCCAAGACTGCTCATTTACAAAGTCTCGAGAGCATGCGATCGGAGCACGAAGCCGAGCTTGCCTCATCGCATCAACGGCTCGAGTCTGTGCGCTTGGAATTTGATAAAGCTCGGTCTGAGAGCGACCGTCTGAAGCAAATTATGGCAGAGGCGAAAGCCTTGCATGTCTCAGAGCTGACAACAATGAACGAGGCGCTGAGCAAGCACGAGGCTGAAAAGTCAAGGCTTGAGCTTGCGTTGGAGGAAGCTCGGAATGCACAAAGGAACGAGTTGGCGAAGGCCGAGACTCGGCATCAAAGAGAAGATGCGGCGCTTCGTAAGGAGCTGGCCGACGCTAAACAGGCTGCCACGGACTGGCGTGAGAAGTCGCAGGCTAAACTAGCAGACCTTGCAGGACGCCTGGCCACAGAGGCCAAGGCGAATCGCGCCCTCCGGGAGCAACTTCTCAAGGGCGAAGAATCGCATCGAGGCTTGGTCAAGGATCTCGAAGCGACGGTCGCAGAGCTGGAGCAACGCCTTGACCACGCCGAAAAGACCGCACAGGAGACAGTAGCTGCCAGAGATGCCCATGTTACTGAACTCACGGGCCAGCTTACGGCTTTACGCAGTGAGCATGCAGAAGCACAGCGGCTTTCTGAAGATTTACAGGATCGTCTAGAACAGGTCGAAAAGGGTGCACACGAGACGCTGGCCGCTAGAGACGCCCATATTACTGAGCTCACGGGCCAGCTCTCGGCTCTACGCAGTCAGCATGTAGAAGCACAGCAACTTTCCGAACAACTACAGGATCGCCTGCACCAAGTCGAAAAAGGTGCACAGCAAACGGTAGCGGCCAAGGATGCCTATGCAACGGGGCTTATGGGTCAGCTTACGGCCTTGCGCAACGAGCATGCAGAAGTACAGCGGTTCTCTGAAGAACTACAGGACCGCATACAACAGCGGGATGCCGAGCTTGCTGAAGTCAAAGGGCAGCACGAACAGGCTACTCGAGACGCGGAAATGCGGGAGAAAGAAAGCAGTAAAGCTCACGATGAGGTTTTACAGCACCTCAAACAATCACATGCAAAAATGCGCGAGGCACAAGAGGCGGCAGAAGAAAGGACACGCGGCCACACAGATTTGGTGAATCAGCTCAAGAAGCAGCATTCCGAGTCTCTAGACGGCGTCAAGCGTGACAACGAACAGCGGATGCAGGAGCTGAAAGATCAGCTGGTGGAGGAGACAGCTCGCTTGCAGACGAGACACGATGCTGAGCGCCAAGCTACTTCGCACGGCCATGAAGCCGAGCTCAGGGAGATGACAGAAAGTCACACTAGGGAGCTTGAGCGGGTGAAGCAGGCCTCTGATGACAGACAAAATCGATACGAAGCCGAGCTCGAGGCTTTGCGCGACCAAAGTGGTACCGACATGCAGCTCTTGGTTGAGAAGCATCAAATACAGGTCAGCGAGCTCCAGGATAGCCTGTACACCATGCGCCAACAGCACGCAGCGAAAATTGACGAGATGAACAATCAGCATAATGTAGCCCTGGCGGATATGCGCGCAGAGCAACAGCGGAGAGAGCAAGCATCTTTGGCCGAGTCTGTAAGACAGCGGGAAGAGTCGCAGACTAACCACGCGACTGCAATGAAGGCGCTGGCAGAAGAGAATAGTGTGGCAGCGCAGAGGGTGACCGAGGCGCATGAAGCTGCGGTTCTCCAGCGGAGTGCCGAACTTGACAAGGTCCGCCAACAGCTTAAGGAGGCGCTACAGTCGCATGAAGGCCAAGTCAGGTCAATTTCGGCAACACACGAAGAGCAGGTCTCAGCGGCTAGAGCAGATCTCGCAAAGGTGCAGCAAGCATGGGAGGTGGCGAAAAATGCTTCTGACGAAGAGCTTACCCGCCTGAAAGCCGAGCACACGCAAGAAGTGCAGCGCCTTGAACAAGGTTGGTCTGCAAGAACTGACGAGGCCAGGAGCAGTCATGAAGCTAACCTGCAAAGCGCTGTCGCAAATGCGGTGCGTGACACCGAAACTAAAGCGCGCAATACAATCGAGGCCCGGTTGGCCGAGCATGACGCTGCTAGTGAGGCTCGTCTTGCTGCTGTACGCCAGGCTCATACAGATGAGCTCACGGAAGCTACAGCAGTTCATCAGACTCGCTCCGAGGCAAACGAAAGAATGTTGCAGGCGGTGAGGACAGAGTTAGCGGCTGCACAGGCCGATCATAACCGCCAGATGATGGCGAAGCAGGAGTCCTTCGACAACGAAGTCGTCGGCCTCAAGCGCCAACACGAGGATGAGAAGGCGCGCTTAACCCAGGAGCACGGGAGGGAACGGGAGGCTCTGCAGCAAGCGCGTCGAGACATCATCGCAGAGCTTGAAAGTGCACATTCTACCAATGGATTGCAGCTTGAGACGCTAAGAGTCAACCATGCAGATGCTTTGCAAGCTCTCAAGACCCAACATGCGGAAGCACTTCAAGAGCTAACCGGCAAGCACGACGCAAGCACACAAGTGGCTGCAGACAACCACAAGCTTGACGTCAATCGGCAGCGGGCAAGCTACGAAACGCAATTAGAGGAAGCGAAGCGGCTGCAAGAGACGAGGATCCAGGAGCTCAGTGTTCAGCACGAGGCATCCCTCGACGATCTTCGCAATGCTCATGCTGCGCACGCAGACGAGCTTCACGTGACCAAGGAGTCAGCGGTTGTAGCTGCGCGCGAAGAGGGTCAGGTTCTGTTGCGAAACGCACAGGACGATCACGAAAGTCGTTTCAACACTATGCGAGAGGAGCTTGAGAAGGCTCATCGTGCCGAAGCCGAAGCATTGAACGCACGTTTTGCGGAGGCAGAGGCAGGCTTCGCAGCCGAACGGACTGCGACACAGACACAGCATGCTCACGCACTACGTGACGTGCATACTGAGAGAGAGGGTGCTCTAGCATCCCTCCGTGAAGAGCACAAAGCGTTCGTCGAAGTCTTGCATCGAGAACTGCAGGAGAAGCTCAAAGCTGCCGAGCTGGAGCAGGCAAAGCAGCTTGAGATGTTGCAAGACTCGCTGACTCTGCAATTGTCCGACGCGACAAAGGCGCATCGACAGGCGTTGAGCGACCGGGACGCTCACTGGACGTCACAGATGGATGCGCTACAAAGTGAACATGCCACAGCGGTGTCATCTATGCTCCATAATTCGGACGCGTCTGCAAAAGAGAAGCTGGAGCAGCTGCAGCGGCAACATGGAGATGCTGTACAGCAGATGGCAGAACAAGGACGGCAAGAAGCGGCTCGGCAAGCGTCAGAGGCTGAGTCCAGACACCGTGCATTGCTCGACCAAGCGATGGCAGAGGCGGAGAGCGCTAGACAGAGTGAAACTGCTGCAGTGAAGGACAGCCATGAGGCCGCGATCGCACAGGTGCGAGAAGCAGCTGAGAACTCATTGCATGCACGTATCGAAGATCTAAAGCGCGATCATGAAGGTTCTCTGGCACCAGCTCTTGCCAATGCAGAAATGGCCGCTCAGAAAAAGCTTGACGAACAGATGTCTGCTCACCATAACGAGATTACCACCGCTCGCGAGAGCCTCAATGCTGATATCAGCACGCTGCGTGCGGAGCTACACCGGGTCTCGGAGCTGCGAGAGCAGGAGAATAGAAAAGCCAGCGATGAGCGCGAACAGAATTCTGCAATGCTCACTCAACAGCTGCAAGACGCTGAATGGCGAGTAACTGGTTTGCAGAGCAAGCATGAATCTATGAACAACGAGTTTGCAGCGCTGCAGTCGAGGCTCGACACTGAACTCAGCAGCCGCGCAGAGACCGAACGTTTACTGGAGGAGATGCGCAGACAGCGGCTTGATGAGGAGCAGAGCACAAAGAGCAGCGTGGAGACTTTACGTAGCGAGCTAGAGGCTCTGCGTGAAGAGAAGCAATCTCTGGGCAAACAGCTTGAGGAGAGCAATGCCGTCCTTTCCGCACTGAAAGCCGAGCCAAGAAGTCCAGAAGAGGACAGAGCTGCTCCGCCAGACACAGGTGCGGAGCGCGCTGCTTTGGAGCAGAGACTTGCATTGGCCGAGCAAGAGCGACGTGAAGCGCAGGCATTCGTGCAGCAGAAGCTTGACGAGAAGTCAGAACTGGCACGTCAAAACGAGTTCCTCACTAAAGAGCTCGAGCAGGCGAAGGCGCAACTTGGAAGGCAGAAGGTAATCCACAACGGGATCGATGCCGAGGTGCAAACCGAAGCACGCGTTTCGGTGCCTCAAAGTCCAATTGTGCCACCATCGCCGAGCGGACAGCTACCGATTCCTGTGGAGACAGAGAAGTCACGGCTGAGCAACGGCGCGCCTCCGGCATTCCGTGACGCTGGTGAAGCAGTACACGGCATAGACGACACGACAGTGAGCAGGGTCAATGGACCGTCCTTGAAGTCCGTGAAGAGAAGGAGCATCAACTACTCACGTCCGCCTCCGAACGCAAGAGATCGAGAGCAGAAGGCAAGATCGTTCGAAGAGTACCTGCAGCAAGCCAAAGACGAGCTGTCAGAGCTAGGCAACGTCATCACAGCTAACGAGGCTTTGTTTGCGCAGAAGATTCAGGAACATGTTGGTGATCTGCAACGAGCGAAAGATCAGATGGCCGCCGAGTATCAGGCGAAGTTTGATTCTCTACTGGCGGAGAAGGACAAGATGGAGAAGGAGGCTATGTCAAAAGGCGTCGCGGACTTTGCCAGAGAGCGAAGCCAGCTCGTTGCCAAATACGGGATCGAGCATGACGAGCCTAACGCGCAGGCTGCTATGCTCACAAGCTTACCCGTGCAGCAAGCGAAGGCTCTCAGGACGGCTGAAGAACGGCTCGTCGCGGAGTGGAATCGACGCATTGCCAAAAAAAAGTCTCAGATTGCGCTGAGACATGCGGAAGATTTCCAGTCGCTGACACAGGACTACGATCGCAAGATAGCCGAGCTTCTCACCGACAAAGAGAAGCTTGAGGGGGATCTGAGCGTAGAGCCGGAGCGCTTCGAGCAGGATCTTGATGACTTCGAGGTGAAGTCTGTGCAGCTGGAGGCAGAGCGGTTCAGCAGTGTTGAAAGCAGTCCGCAAGCCAAGAAGCCTGCGAGAGATGGGAGGGAGGGTGCTCGTTCGCCCGAACCAGTCACCCTGCAACCGGTGTTGACACCAAGCCCGCCTATGTCGCAGTTGCCGAAGCCCGTACTCACCAGCTCACCGCGGACAGTTACATCAATACCGAGAATACGGCCTTTCTACCCTGGAAACAGGACTAGTTCGGACGCTACAGCGCAGCCAAGGGCGCCTCGTACACCGACGTCTCCGCCTCCTCCAAGCACGGCCGATTCTGAGTCTCGAGCCTTCAATGAGCGCCATCCTCCTGTGCCCCAACGTTCGCTTATGCGAGTAAGGAGTCCACCTGACGGTCCGATACCACGCCGTGTTGTCAGTGCGCCGCGGTCGTCCGATAAATGGGCGTCTCCAACGTCAGCAAGGGCCAATGCGCCGATGGATTTGAGCCTGGAGCCAGCAGGCTTTGAAGACGAAGAACAGCATATCGTCTTCAAAAGAGCATCGTTGGAGGCACCTCGGGGGGGAAAGACGGTGGAGGCAAGCACGCCTCGGTCACTGAGGCATTCGAGTGGCAGCATCTATCGACGTCCACTGAGGCAGGAATAGATATCTTAGCATTGCGGGTTTAGCGTGGAGTTCCGGCGTCAATACTGGTGTATAAGTGCATAGCATGGAACATGAGCTGCATAGCGTCTGGCGGATTGGAACACCGTTTGCGAATTGTACTGTATAGAGAGGTGGACAATGCTATCATGACTATAAACGGCTCTGCAACGCGTGATCACTATAAAAGTGTCAGCCAATTGTTTGTGCCTTCACCAGAGGCGGTGGACATGCGGCTCACGGAAGTACAGCAATGCATTCGATCTCGACGTCCGTTCCCAACGGCAACTGCTTCGCCGCAACGCAGCTACCCCGTTGTCAGTAGCTATATTGTAAAGGGTCACGAAGTACGGCATCTTACGTTCGGCATGGCTTAGTTTCGCCCCAATACTGAGCATAGATCTCGTTCATGGCTGCAAAGTCTTTCATGTCGCTAAGAAAGACGTTGACTTTGACCACGTTGTCAATGTTCGTGCCAGCCGCCTCAAGCACCGCCGTCAAGTTCTTAATGCATTGATGCTGGACATGGTCAGTAGTTGAGCGATTCGTGATTAAGACCAACATGCAGTGTGAGCCTGGACGTCACCATCAATGATCTTGCCGGTCGCCGGATCCATAGCAACTGAGCCGGAACAGTAGACGGTGCCATTTGCGACAATTGCTTGGTTATACTACATACCAGGCACGAAATTAGCCCAGTATTCACAATGTTGTCTGCTAGGTTAGGAGTCTTACAATGCCTTTGCTGGAGGTTTCGACCAATTCCGTCAGCCTTCTTGCAGACACATATCGAAGCCCGTTGCAACATACAGCGGTGGAGGTGCTTTATCGGTCAACACTACCTTCTTGGGCGCCATGTTTGAGTCTTGCGAGGCGGAAGAGGGAGACGATAATAATGGAGTGAAAGCTCGGTTGGAAGATTGATAATTATGGCACTCGGCCAGCTTGGCCGCTGGCTGCTAACATGCACTTCCGGCTACAGTACATGGTGAGCAACCCCTTAGCCGGATTCTGTATAACTCTCGTGCCATCCAAACGCAATCTCAAAGCTTCTTGCTCGCTACAATGCTATGGAATCATCCTGAGACTACCACGTCATTGCTCGGCTCCTGTTCCCGTGATAAAGCCCGCTAGCCTCACCACGAGCAGGACAACAGCCTTCAATCCTCCGCTCCTGGCACATACCTGCCGTTCACACCACGGCCCTTATTCCTGGTCTTGTCGGGTGTCTTATCGTCGACAGTAGTACTCGTGGCATTGCCGGAAGCCGTGTTGCTGTTAGCAGTCGCAGCGGAAGCGCCAGTGTTTACCGTGCTTCTGCCGCGAACGCCGTGGGGCGAGCTCCCAGCGATCTGACTTCGGCTCGCCAGTGACTCCCACCGCTTCTGCATGGCATCTTGCCCACGTTGACGCTGCCTCTCTTGCCTGCGCTGGTAGCGCGACTCCTCGATGTTGCCGAAGTGCTTGCACAGGATTTCATCTTGGTACACGTACTCTGAAATTGCCTGCCACTGCGGTGTGGTGTAGGCGTTCTTAGCCCTGTACTGGAGGCATGATGTGATCATGCGCTTGAGGATACTCTCGTCAGCCGGGATGCGCTCATGGATGTGCTGCACGTCGGCGGCAATGGGCATCTCGACTGTAAGGCGCTCCATGATCTCCTTTCGCAGCTGGTGTGGAGCTGGGCGGAGATCGAAGACATAAGTTGCGGCGAAGAGTTCAACGAGTGCGGAGAGCGGTACGTCTTTGGCTCTCGGTACGTAGAATTCGACGAGTTGCTGACCGCCGTGGATGTCTTTGTTCAGGTACATCCAGTCGATGCAGGACCTGACCGCCTCCTCAGTTGGGTTGATGCGGACATAGTCGATAGCCAGCTCAAGCACCTTGCGTCCGTTGCCGTTAACACTGCTGGGATGCGCCTTGTCACTTCCGTCGTTGTTGACAGACATCTCGGTGACGTCGGTGGTGGCCTTGCCGACATCAACGTTCCTCCCCGCATCATTGGCCCTTGAAATGGACTCCTCGCTCTCATATTTCTTGCTACCGGTCGTGGTGTTCTTGCTTGCCGCAGCACTGAAGCTTCGCTCGGGCTCGACCGGCTTCGGAAATACCGTAGCCGCGTATCTGGAGAATCGCGTCAGGAGCCGAAGCGGCATGGTCTTCACAAACTGGCCGCTGATAAGAATATCCACAGTCTCCTTCACGGGCTTGGCGTTGGTGAAGTCTCGCTTTCTTTGAGCCGCAGAAGCGCAGCGGGAGATGGAGCCGATCTTCACTACGTGAGTGTCCATGGCGTTTGGGTACCAGTCCTGATGGTACGTGCCGGTATTAGAGTTGTAGGACCTCCAGCCCTCGGGAGTGGCTTCAGGGAGCTGCTGCCAGAAATCTTCCCTTAGTGGTCCAATGTACTGTTCACGATATTGTGGCTGACTATGATTGAAAGGAAAGAACTGAGCAAAGTCCTGGAGGTCCTGTCTTTGAAGATCTGGGGAGGTCATTCAAGTAGATGTCGACGGGACTCAATGAGTCAAAATCGTTGATGTCAAGCTTCGATGTCCGTGACCTCTTCGAGAGCAAGGAAATCTGCAAGAACTGGAATAGAATATGGAATATAAGCAGTTGGAGACACCTCTCGTTCACTGGAAAGCGTTCCATGCCGGCAACACTCTGCTTCACTAGTGAAGCGTCACCTGCAACTCCTGGTATAGGGCGGTATACGGATATTGGTGAATGCAGGAACCTTGCGTTTATACCGCACCTATGCGAGACGACCACCGAAGACGAAACAGTGAATATGCGGCCTGGAGATGCTAAAGAGAATTGGTTACAAGGAGGAGCGACAAAGTTGAGAGGAGGACGGTGGAATGACCGTAACAGCAACTGTTGACGAATTCTGCAATCATTTAGTTTGCCATCCTTGCTCTGCATGCTCTGCTTTGATGCATGAGCATAGTGTCTAATGCACGTGTTGAGCCGTTGGCCGTTGATGCTATGGCGGTCACCAGATTGAATGCTGTCCCGGGGACAGAGATGACCGTGTCGCCTTCATGCGTACAGGCAGGAAGCTCTTGGGAGCTACCATTGCGTCTCCATGAATTACAGCTGCTAGAGTTGGCCGGCGGTGCTGCAGGACCTGAGACCCTCTATAAAGAAGATAGATCGATAACGTTAATGGCTCCTCGACGCTGAAATGGATCATGGCGTGTACTCATTAGTAGTTTGCAAATAAATGTGAGGCCGTGGCGATCGAAGTTAGGTAAGTTTTATGGGCGGAATGTGAGGAGGTGTGTCACAATACATGTAGTACGTAAAGTTCAGGCAACGGCAACATCCGGCTTGTTCCCAGATTGATTGGCTGGCGCGTCAGCAGGCGCGTCTCTCGCAACATTTCGCAGGTAATGCTGTTGAGTGAGAGGACTGACTTTGCGAGGTGACTGATCATGCTGGGCATGAGCAGGCGGCAGCGAGTATAACACGGTGAAATTCAGCCACCTGCCCTCATCACCCTTCGCATGCCACCACTGCCGCAGCCTGCCATGTCCAAATTCACCCTCGCAGTAGTCGCTGGCGCATCGGCTGCCATCGGTGCCGCTACCACTGCGGCAATCTATGGCTTCGGCGGTGCAAAGAAGCAAATGCCAAGCGAGACTCAAGCAGTAACCACAACCACTACCACAGTATCACCGCCGGGCACACGGACGGGTCCTGCTGCACCTGTGCCAGCACCACTTCCTGCCCGTCGAGATGGTCCTGGTCTTCCTGCCCCTCCAGTCGACCCTTCAGGAGTCTTCCAGTATGGCTTTCCCGGGCCCGTCAATGATCTGCGCTCAGCAGCCTCACTCACATCCGCTTTCGACCGAGCGAAACGCAACCCTCATTGGGTCGCGGAGCACATCACGCCTTCATCGCTACTCATGCAGAACGGCGACCGAAGACACTCCATCTTCGAAGAGGATATGAGCATACCCGAGAAGTTCCGTGCGAAGCTGAAAGACTACTTCCGTAGCGGCTATGACCGAGGGCACCAGGTGCCGGCCGCAGACGCCAAATGGAGTCAGCAGGCTATGGACAGCACGTTTGCGCTGTCCAACATGTGTCCACAAGTTGGCGATGGCTTCAACAGGGACTACTGGGCGCACTTTGAGGACTTCTGCCGAAGACTGACGTCCTTCTACCCATCCGTGCGGATAGTGACTGGGCCGCTCTACCTACCGAAACGTGATCCAGACGGCAAATGGAGGGTGAGCTACGAGGTTATTGGGCATCCGCCGAATGTCGCGGTGCCGACGCACTTCTACAAGGTCATCTTCGCCGAAGACGGGAGGACAGGTGGCAACGTCTCGCTCGCTGCGTTTGTGCTGCCGAACGCCGTCATTCATAACGACAAGCCGCTGCAAGAGTTTGAAGTTCCGGTTGAGGCTGTGGAAAGAGCGTCAGGTCTGGAATTTGCGAGCTTGCTTCCACCGGCTCGGAGGAGGAAGCTTTGTCAGGAAGTGAGCTGCAGTATTATCGTGAAGGAGTATGCAGAGAGGCAGCGGACAATAATGACGCCGCCACCGCAAAAAGGTAGTCCGCCAGCTACAACTCTAACCCAGCGGTAGAGTCTTGGAGCGCATTTGCAGCGGTTTCTGCAATGATGATTTTGAGCGTACAGGCGGCATACGAGCGGCGTTCTGCTTGCATTCAGCGGAGCCTGACATTCAGTATGATACACCCAAGTGATGTCCACGATATTACACAGTCGCCTCTTATAGCCTCTTTTCGGAATACCTCCAGACATGTGAGTATCGTATCGCTCCTTAACACCTTGCAATGCATGCAGCTGTATACTTTCCACAAGTGCGCCGAAGACCTTGCCCAATCACCAGGTAGACCAACAGCTTCATAGACCTCCCATCGCGGCGCCTGCGCCACTGACGCCTTTTTGTATCTGGGCCAGGTATTGTCGGCTCACAATATTCCACGAAGCCATGTACTTCTCCATGCAGTGCGTATAGCAAGTCGATTCTGTTGAGGAGAGGGAGGTGCCTGGCTTTGGTACACAGCGTTCGAAGCAATGCTCGTTCACTTTCTGATCATCGCTCCGTTAGCACGGGATCAACGAGACTGGTTGTAGACGAAATGGCTGACTTCGATGAGTGCGCGTGCGTTGCTGATGGCGGCCTGTTGTCGGACCTGGTCCATTATCTGCTGCTTCGCGTCCGCCATGCTGTGTGGGCTGCTGACAATTTCAATGTTGAATCGAACTTCTAAACACGGTTGCGGTCTTTCATTCTGTCACATCATGCAAGCTTCGGAGGTGCCATCCCTGCCGAAGTTCTTCCCCGCAACGCCGTCTGAACTCTGAGATGCCTCTACACACCTCAGACTTCAGTCATGCTTCCCCTAATCGCTCTCCAGCTCCCAAACTTCGTACCCCCAAGCGCATTGCATCTTCGCCCTAGCACGCCAACAGTATGTTAGCATCTCTGCTTTGCTCCTCGTCTCTGCCTTGCGCCAGTATGTGCTGCGCAAAACGGCGTCCCCGTTTTGACCTTCCGGCCGGCTATCGTGCCCGACTTTGCCATCATCGAATCGATCGCTGGCTTTTGAGTCAAACGCACGAGCGCCAATGAAGTTGTCGTGGAGACTTCGGGATGCCTCCGCTCCGCCGGATTTAACCACGGATGCTATGAAATTCCTTTGATCCATCTCCCGCCTCGGAACTTAATAACAGCCCACGTCGATCTCTGCTCGCGGACTCGAATATTCCTCATGTCCTCCCCTGCCGTTTCTGAGTGGATCAGAACTGTAGCCTGTCGAACGTACGGGTGTTTGATCATCGTAGTAAGTGTATGCCGCAGGCGAGACGATCTTGCTGCTTCGCATCTCGTTGCTGTTGGACGTCAGTACGGTGCTAGGGTTGCCGTATATGCTTCAGCAGTATGTGCTCATCTGGGAAGGACATACAAGTGTCTGCGCGACAGTTTCTCAACAGCACTCTCCACAAGCCTGTCATCTGCGGTATGGCTTAGAGTCATCTCAGCGGTCTCAACTCGAATGCGTAGCTGCTGATGGCTTGACAGATGCTGGGCCAGCCCATGCTGAGCATGTCCAGTGGGAATAATATACGCACTCCATAGCACCATGGCTCTCTTCCGTGATGTTCTTGGTAATATCATGCTCAGGTGTAGTCTGATAGCAAGTCGAGCATCCCAATCAGTAGTCTTGCTGCTGACCGCTTCGCAAATGCAGATACAGCTTACGCCGTGCACAATATGTAGGAAGCATACCTCTCGGTTCGTTCGCTTCCTCCGGCGCTCGTCTGTTGGCACGTCGTTCCTCTTTCTTGGACGCTTCTCTGCCTGCCGTCCTTCCTTGCAGCTGAGCTTCTTGCTGCCATGGGGAAGCTTCAGGACGCTTGGCACCATCTTCATCGCGTTGCTTCCCGTCCTCTTCGCCATGCCCCAAGGCCCTACCGCCGCGCTCGATGACGATCTCCTCCCTTTGGGATCCAAACGGTGCGCAGATGTGTGTAGTGCCAGCCTTGCTCACATCGTTCACGGCAGTGACGTCGTCTGTCGCGCAACGCGCAGCTGTTGATAAGATGCCCATCACCCCGCGAAGCGCACATAAAGTCTGACTCTTTAATTCCTTGACGTGCCTCTTCTGCTCTCGACAGACAACCTCCTCTCCTTTCACGGAAGCATAACTTCATACCTGTCTTTTGCCTACCCATCACGACAGAACCGGGTTTGTCAAACCATAATCTACCTGGTCAGCAGGCTCAGGGCACTTCGCGAGATGGGGCAGCGCCCTGAAGGGCAATGATGTCCTGCCAGGCTTTCCCTCACCAGATTGCCTGCCGATGCGTGGTCAGTACCGGCTGATTGCTGTACCACGCGAGGTACTGTTCCGCCGTCAGCACGGCAGCATGCAATACGCGCTGGGGTTACACCCCGCTGAACTGCGTCCTTTGCGCGCACTACGTAGCGGAGAGGAGGGAACTCGGTGTAGGGTCTGTAATCAGCGACGGCATATGGCAGGTACGTGCTTACTGTTAACATTTGACGAGCAAGACCGCGCTAAATCTCGCGCCCTCTGCTACGAGGGTCTAATTGATAACCAGCATGTCGAAGCACGCATCCGCCGCCACCCAATTTATACTTTTTCATCAGCGGCTGAGCATACTGCTCAGAGCTGGAGAAGGCGTAGGACAGGTTTCTTTTTGCGATACAGAGACGCGTAGCTGACGATTGCCTTTCATCATGAAGCAGCGCTGCAAGAGCTTCGACCCCAGTCACTATGAATACAGACGCACTAAAAGCCAGAAACGGTCATACTCATACAGTCATGGTCTCGTACATAGCATCAAAGTCCGCCACCACCGATTTGCGCCCGCTCGCCCACCACAGACACCATGCACATTCAAGCAGCTTCCACTTAGTCGTACATTCACCCAACCCTCAGTGTCGGGCACTCTTCGCTTGAGAGGCAGCCGCTTCAGACCCTCTTATAAGTTCGAACTCGTTCCTCATAGATCACAGCTCCAGACCCGCTGTCGCTCTTCTTCGAGCTGCGATGACTCGACTTCGAGTCCGTTTGGCTGGAGCTGCTACGGCTTGACTCGGTTGATGAGCGCGAATCTCGTGAACCGGAGGACTTATGGTGGTGTCTTCGTCGCTCCTTTGGCACTTCTTTGGTCGTTGTTGTTTCGGCCTTGATGACGCCTCGTCGGTCTTCGTCGATTGGGAGAAATGGTATAAGAGATAGCGCTCCCAGAGGATTGAGCACTTGTTGACCTTTGTTATCTTTCGGCTTGTTCGTGCGTTGCGACATTGTGGATGCTGTTACAAGATCTGTGTAGTGGATGTTCGACTCTCAGTATTGAGATGAGGTTGCGTCCAACCATTGCAAAGTGACGTCCTCACGGCTACCAGATACACTTGTTGCAGATCATGCCCGAAGCGTCAATTACCGCTTATTGACAGCGGAGCAGGCCGAGTACATCATCAATGCGCAATCCAAGAACAGCAAAAGACCCTGCAGACTTGGGATGCGCCCGAAGAAGTGGGCAGTCAATCAGTATTCCGCAAACACATTCACTTTGACAACTCTACCCCTCGACTACAACCACGTGGCGCATCACAATGCCGTTGCCTGATGGCATCTTGTTGCGACCATGACTGACCACCTTGCCGCGCAATGACTACAGCCCTTATTATATTCTCAGCGCAACAGAGGCCAGTTCTCTCTGCACGTTCTTGTCCGATGGCAGATAGAGATGCGCCACTCTCAAGAAACTTCTCGCTTGATCCCTCATGCCCAACATCTTCGATGCGACGCCAGTCCGATAGTAGATCTTCCCCATCTCGTTCGCGGCGGGAAAGCCAAGCACAGCTTCGTCTTCGGGTGGAATATCTGTCCACTCATCGACGCCCATCGCCTGGCGAAGCATTGAGATGCTACGCTTGCCCCAGTAGGCACAATCGTCGTATTTCTCCTGCTTTAGATACGCTTGACAGGTGTTGGCAACCAGCTGCACCCGTAAGACCAACCGCTCTTGCTGTCCAATCTTGCCTTTATAAGGCTCTTCTTGCAACTCTCCGGCGAAAAACCTATCTGCGTGTATGTGGCGTTGCCTGCCCGCCACAATTACGTGCATAGCCTTCCAAGCCTCCTTGTACAGCTCAAGGGCTGCAGTGTACCTCCCGGCGGTCAGCTCCACATTACCCTCTTGCTTGAGACGAGTTGCTTCCCGGAGACAGTGCTCCGGCGATGGCACAGGTAATGCTTGCAGAGCGCGGAGCTCCGTCTCGATGGACGGCAAGGGTTTTGGATCGCCAGAGATCACGACGGAATGGAGGTTGCGCACCTTTCCGAAAGGTAGCAGCAAACCTCTCTGGAGGCTCTTCGACACCCGCTTTTCGTCCCAATCCGGAGTGTATGGGTCTCTTAGCTTCAACGTCAACCGCAGTTGCGGATTCAGGCCCGGATGTGACAGATTGGAGTAGAACCACATCTGCGTGAACTTATCCAGATCATCCAACAGTATCAGGAAGCACTGCTCCTCGTCCGTCGCCGAAGGGATGAAAACATCCGGCGCATCGATAGCCACGTTCAAGCTGTGTCCAGTGAATTTGGATACCCTCTTCCCCGATGCGAATATGGGGACATGACCCTCCAAAGCGACATGCTGCTGTGCTTCCGGCCATGGCGTTTCGATGCGAACGAAGACGTTGAGATCGCGGAAGATCTTGCGAGACTCCAGGTAAATCTGACGGTTGATGCGAAAGAGTACCAGTGCAGACCGGTAGTCATAGCTGGTATACTCATCCTCGTGGTATTGCCTATTTGCATGCGGGTGCAAGATCAGGCGGTAGATGTGCTCCCGGATCTCCGGTGGGATGGTCAGCAGACGGGATGGAGTAGGTTGTGCCATATCATGGATATGTTGGGCCGGGCTCGAGCTGATCAACTAATCATGCGAGTTGGAAGAGCTGCGCGAACCGATGCGTATGTAAGCTCGAGATGTATGATGGAGCCGAAGGAACGAAGATGGAGAGGGTTATGCAACCCCTCGGCTGTTTATGCGATGCATATCAAGCGTGCCCTGAACCCCACCAGAGAGCTGTCGTCGGCGCCAACCACAGTGGTGTATACATGTAGGAGAGCACCTTTCACGGCCAGAGAAATGGCTCATCCTAATCACGCGACGATATCCCTGGCGATGTTTTCCTTAGCGATGTAGCTACTTCGTCATCTATCGATATGCTATGTAGGAAGTTAAGGATATGTTCAAACTGCAGAGCGCTACCACGACCGGTATCTTGCTCAATGTGTGTACTTGAAAAAGACATTGTCACGGTCCGTCCGATCTGCGAAGGCCATCTTCTCTCGCATAGCTTCCTTCTCCTCCTCGCTCATACCCGCCAGCTTCTCCTGGTTGATCCTGTTCAGTCGATCGTTCATGAACCGCAGACCCACGATGACAAAGCACAAAGCGCCAAGGGTAGCGCAGATGCTGATTTTCCCCCCGATGTATCCTGGAGCTTGCTTTGTCTGGAAGGTTTGAGTGCCGAGGATGTTGCCTAGGTTGACCGTTTAGTGAAGAGCAATACATGGGAGATAGCCGGAGTGGTACTTACCTAAAGCGAACGAGACCAGCGTGAGTGCGTTCGTGGTCACCTTCTTCGTATGACCAGCAATGTTCGACGCATTCCATGCTAGAAGCAGCATGAAGGCGGCGCCGAACGTACCGCTCAAGAAGCTGGCGGCGAGGAGGGCACCTTTGTTTAGCGGAGTACCGGTAGGATCAAAGCCAATCATCAACGCTCCGGCGAGAATGGTAGGAATGATGCAGACGAACATGACGACGCTGCGGTCGTTCAGCTTGTCACTCAGCCAGCCTGAGAACAGGACGAAGATGATGCCGATCGCTCCCGCAGGCATGCTCATAATAAGAGCCTCCCGCGACGTGTAACCGAAAGTCGTCAGGAGGATGCTGCTGAAGTTGGAGATACCTCCGTTCGGGATCGAAGAGAGCAAGGTGCTAAGGCAGATGAGCCAAACACGGGCATCCTTGAAGGTCTCGAAGATTTGCGAGCGCTTGAGATGAGCGTTTTGCGTTCCAGACTGGTTGTCCTTCACTCTCATAAGCACAGCCACCTTCTCTGCATCCGTGAAGCGTCGAGCCTTGACCGGGCTATCCGGCAGAAATAAAGCCACAAGCACGCCCATTACCACAGTCAAGGCACCTATGCAGAGATAGAAGATCCTCCAGGATGCAAAGCTACCCTTTGCGAACGAAGCACCATACGCGACAGCGCCACCAACAATCTGCGTGATACTGTTGCAGACGTAGAACCAGCTGACTCGACGGCCTTGCTCTGATTTCTTGTACCACATCGCGATAATGATGACCAGAATTGGTGCAACGCACGCTTCGAACATGCCCAGCAAAGTCCTGCAGATGGCGAGGCCAGCGAAGTCGTTGCAGGCGGCGTGACAAGCCAGTACGATGCCCCAGCAGACGATGTTGCCTCCCAGATACAGAGACAGTCTGCCTAGACGCTGGGCGATGTACTGCGTTGGGAATTCCGTCGCGAGGAAGCCAATGTAGAAAAGCATACCAAGATCCGAGTACTGTTGACCGTGGAGCTTGGCGTCTGTTCGCAGGCCCATGACGGCGGTGTAGCTGAGAGTGGTCTTATCGAGATATTGCAAGAAGTAGACGGCAGCGAGGAGGGGTGCTATGGCGAGATCGATCTTCCGAACAAGGCGTCGCCGCTGCTTGTCATCTTCAAGAATGGCGGCGCCTTCTTGTGCAATCTCTGCAGCTCTGGGATGGTTCTCTAAGAAAGCTAAGGCTTCATCTGCCTCGGACAGAGAGGTGACTATCTGCTCGCCAGAGATACTGAAGGACTTGCGGCCGTCAAGAGCCGCGAAAGGCTGGTTCTTTTCTTCAACGTTCATGTTGCCGAGTTTGAGTAGCTCTCAGTTACAAGTGTGAGGAAACGATATGATCCCTTCGATGGTGAAGATAGCAGAGAGATTGCACACAGGGGGTAGAGCATTTTGTACTGCACGGTGACCTACCCTTTCCTTGGCTGCTCGGAATGACGGCAGATTCTATGCATGGTCGATCTCCTACCCTATCCTAGCCTTGACGGCTGTTATCAACATGACAGGCCCCGATAGTGGTGGATGGTCCATGTCTGTAGTGCTTCGAGCCTCGAAGAGGCGACGGCGAGATATGTAATCTCCGCTATTCCCGAAGAGGAAGGTAGATTTGCATCGGGCAACATCTTAGACGCGTCCCACACGTGGACCTTGTGGGACCCGACTATGTTTCGCCGTGGTAACCAGCGTTCACCATATCCGTTGGGCGCAAAGACTGCGCACAACGTGTTCTCGGACGGTGACCACGTTCCCGTCGACATCCAGTTCGCGCGATGCTGAGCTTTCATTACCCATGCTTGTGACTAAGATCATAGATAGCCGTAATGCAGTCCTCGTCAACAATCGCACATCCAAAAGCAGCTCATAACCAGAACAGAAGGTAACAGGTCAGATCTATGCAAAAATCCATAGCAACCTGCTCTTACTCTTCGCCTTGCGCGGCGTCTTAGCCGAAGCATCATGATTCTCGCCAATCGGAACGTTCGATACAGTCGGAGGAGCAGGTGTTACGGTGCGCTGCTGGACAACGGTGTAGACCGGCGCAGCTCGAACCACATCTCGGACACTCTGCGCCCGACGTAGCGGTACCGGCTTACTCTCGTTCAGCAACGGGGTAAACGGTCTTTCCATGCTCATAGTCAGAGTCCGCAGGGCAGAAGGCTTGCGCTTGGCAGTCGTAGGGTTTAAATCGAAGTCTTCTGGCAGGAATGCCTCGGGCGCGGTATGGAAGTCAACCAGAGGAGGCCGCCTCGATTTGAACGTCTCTCGGTCGCTGCCCTTGGAGGCTCTGTTCAGCGGCGGCGGCATGTCCTCCTTGCGCAGACCCTGCACGCTTGTGTAGCTGGGATTACGTTTCGTTGTCGAGAAGTTGCTCGTTATGCTGGCCATACTGAACTTGCGCATGACATGGTTCGCAGAGGCGCGGATCTCGTCTGACCGCTTGGCGGTCATGCCCGGGTATGGTAACAGCTCCTTGGTCCACACGCCGCTCAGGATGCTTTCGATCCGTACCCGGTCTGCCCTACGCGGTGCGAGCGTTTGGATGTGGCTGGGCGTAACGACTGACTGTGACCTCGGAACGTGTAAAGAAGCTCTTGAAGGTGCGTCAAGAGCCTCTTTGACCGCTTGAGTATTCTTTATGATCACTTGGCTCAGGTTGTTCGTACCAGTAACAGTCGCGGCACGACGCAGTGACTCCCTTGACATGCGCCTAATGAAGCTGCCCGCCCTGCCCAATGCTTTTCCAACAGTCCGCATGTCTTCGATTAGCGGAGAGCACAGCTCTAGGCTTGGGCGATGCGTCTCCGAAGCTGCTCTGGACTGCACAGTGATGAGGTCGCTCACTTTCTCTCGCCATGTATTGGCTTCAGTGGCTGAGCAAGCGGTGAAGATGATCTCATACATCTTGGAAAGGTGTTGATAAACTACCTTCCAAGAGTGGGGCGCTGTATGGCACTGCAAACCTTTGCCATTGTCGCATTCAGTTATCGTGGCATTAGCGAGGGCAATGCCTGCCAACACGCTGTATCTAGAGTCATCATCATCGGCAGTGGCAAGGAGCAGTGTTGTCTCGAACAGGATACAGATAGTGTAACGTCCCTTGATGCTGTCCTTGCTTCGATACGCGATATGCAAGCAACCACAAAGCACGACGTGGCCGAGGAGCCGAAGGAAGGCAGACTGAGGTAATTGGCCGTGAAATTGCAGTCGGTCGCCGACAAGCCATGTCGACAGTACAGCCCGTTGATACTCTCCGTTCTGTCTCGACTCATTGACGCGCTCGCAGATCCTTTCGAGGTCATGGATAAGAGCGCTTACTGCAGTGTGAGCGTGCGGGTCGTCATATACGGGTGTCAATTTCTGAACGTCGGTGAAGAGTAGTACATATCGTGGCAGTCGCTGAATCGGCTGGAGGCGCGCACAAGCATTAGCAAGTTCAGGGTACGGATGCTGGACGGGCAGCAGAGTCAGTCGCACATACCTTGATTAGCAGATCTTTCATACTCAAAGCCTTTCGATAATTCGCCTTGCGGCTGTGCATTGGGCCTAGAGTGTATGCCAGAGTTTCGATCGCACTATCGTACTCAAACCTGATCACGGAGTAAGCAGCTACCATCGTGACAAAGTCTGGCGACCTACCAAACCAGTGATGCCTCTTGCGCCTGCTCTATAGCGTGACGCACGAGGTCGTACTGTTGACCGAAATCTTCATACAAACCGAACGCTCCGAGCCGTTTTGTGAACGTCTCGACTGCGGCGGAGACAATCGCCGGATCGCAGAGCAACCGCGACTCCCCGTCCTCGTCAGAGCGGTGAATGCTTAGTGATCTGCGCGGATGACGCAAGCTACCAAGCCGTCTGCTGTGCGAAGCAGAGCCATCAATGCTGTGGTACCGCGAATGACCCTTCGAAGTGCGCGGTGAGCGGACGTGGCCTGTGAAAGGGAGATGCCGCCGTAGCTCGACCAGGAGTGCTTGATGAGCAGCAACAAGCTGCGCAATTGTTGTGGAGGCACAGTGCCTCGCAAATGCCTGCGGTTGACTCTCACCGCCAAAAAAAGTAAGCAACGCCTAGTGTGGACGACTGTCAGCAAGGAAGTACGATCGCAACTGGGAGTGCACGGTACGTTAAACAACGCCTTGAGGTCCGCTACGTAGCCTTCCTCAGTCCTGATGAGCTCTTCAAGTTTCTCGCACCTCCTGCGTGAGCGCTGCTTCGCTGCATAGTCGAGCATCGACCGCTGCGTATCGACCGAAGGCCTTGGCTCAGACCCAGATAGGACGCTGCTACCCTGCCGCTCACGTCGGACCTTGCTGTTCATTCGCGAAAGCCCAGCCACACTTGCGCTCGTAATCGTCGCAGATGCAGACTTCACAGCTGTCACCCATGCCGTTGACGACGCGCACGATTTAGACTTCTTGTGGTGACTCGGCTGAACATGGGCAGGCGAGGCATGCCTACTCTCGAAGTCGTCCAACGTCCACCGTTGCGTTCGCGGTGTCACAGGGCTCGGATTTAGCTGTTTCTTACGTCGCAAAGTGCTAACCCACCTAGTGAAGGCATGCGGTGGAGGTGACTCTGGGACGTCGTAGAAGCTCTCGTAACTTGTCGAGGTTCGAACAGATGCGGTGTGATCCTGTCCGTCTCTTGCACATCGATCGACTTCTTCTCTTTCACCGAGGCCGTCACCTCGATGGTCAACGGTCTCCACTTCGGAGCCAGTAAAGCGAACAGATGGCAGGCACACTGAGGCGTCGACGTGCGATCCATCAGATATAGCGGAAGCACTGGCTCTCCGCGATAGCGCGTGCAGATGCAAGCGAGGACTGAGGAATGAACCGGCCGAGGAGAGTGAATTGGTTGAGAAGCTGCCAACTCTGTTGTGTCGTACTGTAGCACTGGAGTCAACGCTCTCGATCGAAGAAAGGGGACGCTCAAAAGCATGGCGGGAGTACATGGCAAAGCTTTAAGAGCGCCAATGCCGCTAAAATGGTAATCTTGAATCGTAGGAGATGGTAGCAGATCAAGATACAAAACGCTCAGACAATGACAGAAGTGGGAAAGGACAGTGGCTATCGCCTCGCGCCGGGCAAGCGAGCCTGCTGCGTTTGTCGCAGAGGTCCGTTGTTGTTGCCCGCATTTTAAAAGGGTATCGTCCTACCCCAAATCCCATCATTCCCACGCCGGCATGGAACCTTGAGGAACACCGTGTTGTAGACAAACGACTCGATGGTACGCGGAGGTTGGAACGAGGGACTCCGAAGTGGCCATGCTGACTCTGTGATCGACCCTCATGGCCTGTGCACGCGCCCGGAATCCACCTTATCATATCGACCTGCAGCCCTAGATCTACGTTCCTCTTCTTAACATCACCTTGAGTCAGCTGTAAGACGGCTAAAGGAGATCTACATCGACTGAAGAAGAAGTCACTTCAGCGTCGCTGTCGTGTGAGCTTGAGCGATAAGTGGAGCTTGTACTGCAGACCTTGCTTGGTTAGATATCCCCTTTCCTGTCACAATGTTCAATTCCACAGCGCTCCTTCTGTCTTTTCCATGCTGTATCCTAGCGTGTGATATTCCACGTGTTTGTCGTGGGTGAGCATAAGAGACTCCCAACATCAATATCAAGGTCATAGGACTCTACGCCCAGCGGGGCATTTGCGGTTTTGCAATCACAACGGCTTCGAGATAGGCAAGCTGAGCCTTCCGTCGCTCATACATCGAGACTGACACTCCATGAAAGCCAGCATTCCGTGTAGCGTCCTCAAGAATCAGCAAGCACAACCTTTCCCCAAAGTTCAGAGGTTGGGCTGGGTAGCCCTATCGCATTTCCGTGGGCGTGTTCCAACACTTGGGGAAGAATAGGCATGCTACGTCCCCTGGGATACCGGGAATCTTCAGAAGAGCCCGTTCAATAGAAGCGTTTCGCAAGTTGCTAGAGATATGTTTAGATCACATCCAGGGCCTCAATGACCCCACGAAGGCTACCTCATATCCTGTGGGTACCATCACGGTAGCAATTGCAAGCAGAACCACGCTTGGAGATGCCTCGAGTTCTTACGAGGATGCAGTGCGGCCAAGCGTGCCGAAGCGGTGCAGCTTTCGCTCGCGCAAATGGATGCCAGTCGTGATTCGGAAGTCATTCATGCAAGCTCGACACCCAGCGGTGGACATCACCAACCGAGACCTCAGCGTCAACACAAACACAGAGTGTACTCATCCTTCTTCGCTATGGCTGTTTATGGCCATACTTGCTGTCTTGCGCTTCATCAATGGTGTAGCTAAGCGGGCCGGTGGCCATGATATATTTCCTGGGGTTTGGGAGGCTTGCTGATCCCTACCAATGCGTACGCCAGAGACCTGCACTGACAGCTCCTACAGACACACGCTGTTTCAATTGCCAGCCTCAAAGCGCGGGCTACCACAACTATCCGAACACAAACCCCGCAGACTCCAGCTCCTCGCGCAAGCCGAGGCTGTCATCTACCTCTGCCGCTCAGAAGAGATGAAACTGTTAGTCCGACCGTCCACTTACTTGGGTACTTATAGCCGGGACTTCTGTCTGCCCCAACAGTAGGGATGTATTGCGGTAGGCCACCATGCTACGTGCATCGCTTATTTCTGAGTGTATATCTTAACATCGAAGCCTCAACACAGCCGTGCCAACATATGCGTCAGACTTCGTGTACAGCAGTTGTATCAAGATATAATCCCTCTTAGACTACGTTAACATGGCTGAGATCCAGGACTGGATGGCTACGGCGAAGCCAAATCCTGAATGGGAGGAAGTCAGTTCACAGCCATCCATTCAGACCATTTCGTGAATATCGCTAACCTTCAAGCAGTGGTGCAAAGCGGCTGGTGTGTTAAGACTAAGCTCATATCACCGTTACGCCTACTTACGTGACACGTACACACAGGCCAGGTACCAGACATTGGCCTCTTCCCAGATATTGCCTCGCTCCGGAAATGGATCTTCGACGCAAAGGTCGCCATGACTGCTGCAATGGGCGCAGCTAGCGGGATGACCGGCGTCAGAGAGACGGACCACCAAGTCTCGATGCGTGATGGCCACGAAATCCTCTGCCGTACTTACCAACCCAATCACGACTCGGCAGGAGGCAGCCCGTTATATGTGATGTTTCACGGTGGCGGGTTCTGTATCGGCGGCGTCGAGAATGAAGAACTCCTGTGTCGGTTGCTGACGAGCAAGCTCGGCATGGTATGCGTGAATGTCGATTATAGACTGGCTCCTGAGCACGTGTTTCCGACTGCGGCCAACGACTGCTATGATGCCACAAAGTGGGCCGCTGAGAACGCCACCTCCTTAGGTGCTGATATGTCGAAGGGTTTTGTCATAGGCGGAACTTCTGCGGGTGGTAACCTGACGGCCGTTGTGACACATCTATGGCGAGATCGCAACCACACGCCAGGAATCACAGGCGCACACCTCATGATTCCGGCCCTTGTGTATCACGAATACATACCAGACAAGTACAAAAAGGACTTCAAGTCCTGGGAGCAGAACAAGGATGCACCAATCCTGGGCCAGAAGGCCTGCATGCTCTTCCTCAATAATTATGTTCCCAAAGCAGAGGATCGCAAGGATCCCTTGTTCAGCCCTTTCATCGTTGCGTCCGGTCACAAGAAGCATCCTCCGGCTTACTTCCAGGTCTGCGGCATGGACCCGCTGAGAGATGAGGCGATGATCTTCGAACGGCTGTTAAGAGAGGAGGAGGGTGTCAAGACGAAGCTCAACATGTACCCAGGGCTACCGCACGGATTCTGGAGCGTTGCGCCGCAGCTGAAAGCGAGCGAGAAGTTTGTCCAGGACTCGGTGAAGGGGGTCGAGTGGCTCTTGCAGCAGGTCTGAGAAAGCGGTACGTGTGTAGTATCAGAGATTCGCCGCTCGACCTGGATGGTCCATCAACTCGTGTATATGATGCACAACTCCTTGCAAACTACTCGCAAGTGCTGGGAGCCCAATTAACCGCGCACTTAACTGTCTCACTTATGTATTCCCTACGACTTCTTCTCTTCACAAATCTAGTAAGGTAGGTCGACTGGCTCTCGACGATGCTTCTCTGTGACCTTATCTCATGGCCCTTGGGGTGCGCCACTGTTGGCACTCAAAGCGGACCTTTGAGCGGCCTTACGTCCATTCATTGTCAATGTCACCCATACTAAAACCTCGAGACTTTATCTACAACACATGGGGAAAAGGCATGTCCCGTTCGAGGACGGGCACGCATTTGTCGCGCCGACGACCAAGGATCTCATCAGCACGCGTGTCTGTTAATGTGTGCTTGGTCATAGTGGCGGCTGTCTCACCGACGGCCCGCTATCTGTTACGGGTCTTTGGGCAGTGCAGGACCGCGGTAGCACGGCTGGCGATGGCTTCGCCCTGTCATACACCCTGTACAAGGTCGCATTTAGGGGCGCGTGACGTTCACCATAGGGCGACCTGCATGTGATGCGGCTTGCTCGTTTCAACCGCAGCGAGCCGGCACCATTGGGGGACAAAAGATCGGTGGTATTCACGCGGTGAAGCCAGGAGCTTTGGGCAGCTGCGACTTCTCGGAGACGGAGAGACTTCGGCTGGAGGAGGCAAATGTCTGGCGATGAAGCTGCTCTGGTCGCCCGTCCACAGAGTCTGGTTGTGTAGCGCACCCGAAGGCGGATTCGCAGAGAGGCATCTCTGGACAATCTTGGCTTACCTGCAAACTTGCTCATAACATGAATCCAGTGGACGTTGTGATTTCGCGTATCAAGTTTACCGCATAGGCCGAGTCCTTACCTTCTACAGCTAGCAGTCCTGAGTGAATCCGTGTGTGTATTGCAACATGAGCAGTCCAGGACAAGGAGTCTGTCCTATTCCATGCGTAGACTCCGGGCAGAGACACGGCGCGGCCCTTTCCTCGGTAAATGTCCGCTTTTAGTAAAGCTTCGACTCCATGCTTTCCCTTTCAGCTTCTCTCGTTTCACATCGGCAATGCGTTGCTGACTATTGCTAGGCTTCTCAGAGCTCAGAGCTTCGGGAAGATTGTTCTGGAGCGTTTGGTTTTCTCGGTATAGCACCGTCGACGGAGTGGAGACTCACGTGGTGAACCAAGTTACAACCGAAAAGTTAAGCGCCATGATGGCCTGTGCCTGGCTTGTTTCCAACGACTTCGGAATACTAACTGCTGCCAGCAACGTCCGATGCCGTGCGAAATAGGTCCTTCGCATATTGTGGGAAATGGAACCATTGTCGGCTACGTGCGCAACGGCGACTCTGTGGCATCGCGGTCGTTTCCCTCGACCAGAGAATGGCCCGCTAACCGGGCTCTCGGTATCTCGCCCCAATATGTGCATTGCGAAGAGTAGTACCGACACGCGACCTCCGTGCAACTTGTACGGTTGTAAGTGTACTCTCTGATATCAGTCTCCTTACAGACATAAATACCCTCGCAAGTTCCGCCTCTTGCAATGATCATCACAGAACATCATCACCATCCTACCGAGCGGTCCAAGACACTGTCATTTGAGATACACTATCTTCCACACTCGTTAGACACTTCGTCATTACAATCCCTTCGTATATCGAATCGCACTCACTTGCTATCCCTCTCTTCAACTCTGCAATGGCAAAGCTCTTCTTCGCCGCGCTTTTTGCGGCGGCTGCCGTAGCCTCTCCGGTGGAGATTGCTGCCTCCCTCGAGGAGCGCAATGCCATATGCGACATAGTTCAAGACATCGTGACGCTTATGCACCAGCAAAGCGTTGCCACACCTTTCTGCAGCAGCCTGCTCTCAATTCCGACGATCACTTCAACTGCAACAGTCACTTCCTCTCCAGCTTGCAAAACCATCACCAGCAGTGTCCCGTCTACTGCTACCATCACCGCGATCTCTACCGTCCTGGTGAGCACGGTCACGACTGTCTACCCAGTCGTCGCCATTAGTACGACCTCCACCTGCGCACTCGGCGCAACTGTCATTGCTTCGAGCAACCTTACGTCTGCTGCGACCATCGCCAAGCGTGATACCAAGCCTTGTACCACCACTACCAAGCCACAGACAACTACTGCATTGGGCACGCCGACGTGCTTGACGAAGTGGCAGGGTGCAGCACTTAGCTCGGCCTGTGGCTGCCTCGATATCCCGACTCCCACTAGCTTAAGCATTGTTACGACCACACTGCCTGTGAAGACCGTAAGTCTACCTCAAGTAGCGAGTATCTCCTAAGCTGACCAAACGACTTCAGATCACCAAGGTCATCGCCTCTACCGCCTCCGTGACCGTCACTTCCGTTACCACATCTACCACCTTCACCTCAACATATTCCGCCACCCAGTACTACACCAGCACTTTCACCATCCTGCCATCTCCGACCGGGGTGCTCACTCTTCCCAACAGCCAGAGCTACGGCGTCTTCAACAACCTCGACTTTGCCGGCCAGGACATCGTGAGCTTCTTCTGCTACCAGAACGGCCCGGCTCCTCCAAGCCCGTATCCCGCTTGCGCCTCCTTCAACGACTGCGTGGCTGAATGCGGCTACTACAACGACAACAAGCTCGGCGCCAGCACGAACACCACTTGCGGCGCGGTTGTGTACAATGCGCCACCGGATGGCAGCTCGGGTTACTGCTACATGAAAACCGGACAGACTGGATGCGGGTCGCCAAACAGCAAGGTCACAACTGGCGTGTTGCTGCCACTGCTGGCGAACGATGTGCAGTAAGCGCAATCGGTCTTGGGCTGCTGTGTGATGCTTGAGTATTGGTACGACCAATCGCTTTGTACTCAGCATCAGCAGGGCAAGGAACAGAGATCACCATGATCATGGTTTAGTCTTGGGGTGACCTTCCGCAGCGCGCCATTTTGTCAGAGTTCGAATGGTTTATGTTACTGTTGTATGGATGGGACGGTAAAGAAGAAAAAGCAATATATAGGATACAGTGAGCGGATTTTGTTTTGGAGGGTGTTCAGGAGTATTTTACATGCATTGAGCAAAGTCTTCTAGAGCAGCGATGACAATACTCATTGAATGATGCTTGCGGAATTCATTGAACCAGTTTATTCACAATGTCTCATCTCCAGCATTGAGCAATCGCATAGTGCTGTTAAAACTGAAGATTAACCAGAAGCTGGCTGTCGTTGTGGGACGTTATGTTTATCCTATTGATACGCATATTTTCTTGCCTTCACAGGGAGAGACAGAGAGTCGAGGACTTATCGGCCTCGTCAGCACCCACTTTCCTGCGCTCACGTTGGTGACAGGGCGATCGCCGTTACAAAACCCAGGCCTTCCCTCATTCAACTCTAATTTCAAGTGATGATCCGTCTAGATCATGAGTCTCTCGACCTTGTCTTTCAACGCACGAATTTGTCCCATCAGATCACTGGCTTCGTTGGTCGTGATGCTGCAGCTGATAACTGCGCGGCTGACACCGCAGGCTCTACCGAGCGCCATCTTCGAGGGTACGTAGACCTGTTCCGAGCACGGTCAGTATATCCCCTGCGCTCGCCAAGGCTCCAAGAGTCGCCTCGTTAAGCCTCTAGCTACGTTGGAATGCGGTACTCACATAAGGTGTGTTCTTGTCTTCGCATAACAGTGGCAGGTGCAAGAGAATGGCCAAGGGAGCGGTATCTGCCGCGAGGATGATGATCTCCGATATACCGCGGTTGAGCGTCTTGGTCGCCTCATTGGCACCTTTCTTGAGCTGGCGGTAATGACTGGCTTGTTGCACAAGATCGAGGATTTCCTGGGTAAGCGCTTGGTCGGCGACGGGCCAGGCGGCGGATTCGGTGGCCATTTCGATGCAAAGATGTTTGGGGCCGAGCAATGGAGGACGGGAAGGGCGACAAGGCTCACTCGTGCTGTTAGGTGAGATCACGGCCTTGTCCGGTCAGTAGTGAAGAATATCTCGTAGCTCGCAGCGAATTCGAAGGTGTGAAGATGGTTTGCGCCGCCGAAGTTCAGCCGGCCGGGAGGCGTGCCAAGACACCCAGCTTTGTCCGTGTCCGTGACGACTTGGAAGGCGTTTCTGCTATCTGCATCAACGACACCTCGTCCAGCATTCGCCACCTATCAGCGACTTCCCAAAGTCATATCACATCCCAAGCTCGAGCTCTTGACAACTCACAGAACCTTCCGAATTACCGCCAGACCGACAAGATGTCTTCCGATAACTGGTGAGTGCCAGGCCACAGCATTGCTTTTCCGGCGCATCATAGACGCATACCATCTAGGGTTGCCTAACGATTGTTCAACTCGCGGCTGATGCGCTTGGATGGGTCGTATGTGATGATGTATATGCTGACAGAGCCGTGTTCGCAGCCCCGTGTACGCCGTAAGTGCCACCGCATTTCCATCCCTATCACCCCCTCAGCGGCTTCTGCAGCTTTGAACTTCACATGAATATGCTTGAACACGAGCAAACAGAAGCAAGAGACTAGATTGCCTGGCTATACTGCGCACACGGGAGTGCTGCGTTGTGGGATGTAGAAGCAGGAGAGCTAACGTCATTTCTAGCCGTTCTTCGGAGCGATGGGCTGCATGTCCGCCATCGTCTTCACCTGCTTCGGAGCAGCCTACGGCACGGCGAAGGCTGGCGTTGGTATCTCTGCAATGGGTGTCCTCAGGCCTGACCTGATTGTCAAGAGTACGTTCACATGCTACGCTCCGAGCTTCAGCTACCACCGCCTTGTGGTCATGGTCTCGTTTGCAGACGGTCTGTATGCTGACACTGCCATGTAGACATCATTCCAGTCATTATGGCTGGTATCATTGCCATCTACGGCCTTGTCGTTTCCGTGTTGATCTCCAACAACCTCGCCCAAGAAACAACACTCTTCGCCAACTTCATCCAGCTTGGCGCTGGTCTATCTGTCGGTCTGGCTGGTCTCGCTGCCGGCTTTGCCATTGGTATTGTCGGTGATGCCGGTGTACGTGGTACCGCCCAGCAACCACGACTATTCGTCGGCATGATTCTCATTCTCATTTTCGCCGAAGTGTTGGGTGAGTGGAGCTCGATCAGTGTTAATCTGTCTTGGGTGATGACTGAACTTGGTCCTTAGGTCTGTACGGTCTCATCGTCGCCCTGCTCATGAACTCCAGAGCAGGCGATGCCAAGTGCTAGATCAGCGCGGAATTGGTGGGGAGTGTGCGCAGACAATACCAAGTGAACGCCAACGCGCAGATAGTCACGATGATGGGGTTGGGTGGTTGAGGAGACGGGAATGGTCAGTGGAGGAGACAGCGTCGAACGCTCGGTTCAGGCTGTCATATGTGCGCTTTGAGGAGCGCCGTCAGAGCTACATGTAGTTGTACATTTCAGCCGGCGTTTTAGCGGTCTAGTAGATATGCTCTGGATATGCCATGTGCATTGCACGTCTGGCGCATGTTCCGTCACAGCTGCTTAAGCTCCAGCCGCACGCCCTCCTCGTCACCTTGATGGTCTTCTGGTGTGCAGTTGCTTGTCAAGCCTAACTCTGTGCATATAGATGTCTTGAGTCAAGCACTCACTCAACACTCTCCCGATGTATATCCGCTCCGTCCTTGATACCACACCACCGTACTGTGGACACGCTGTCTCCATCCGGCAAGCGGTTCCAGTCCCGCAACAGCCGCGCTCTCTCCTTTGCCTCGCGACCACGGAAACTTTCCAGTCCGTCTTGCCCCTCTACCGAGAAAGACCCCACTATCTCCGTCTGCCGTACATCATTCTTCGCCCGTAGCTTCATGTCGAGACCTTGAGAGCCTCCTCAATTGCCGAAGTCAATACCAACGGACGGTGAAGTGTCTTTCTTACTGCTGTGTCTCTCTTACACTTTCTCTCCTGCAACCTCACTCCTACACCTAATCCAACAGTCTTCATACACTACTTCATACTAAGATGTCCACCGAAGGCAAGACCATTACCTGCAAGGCCGCCGTCGCCTGGGACGCAGCAAAGGACCTCAGCATCGAAGACATCGAAGTGGCACCGCCCAAGGCGCACGAGGTCCGCATTCAAATCTACTACACCGGTGTCTGTCATACGGATGCGTACACACTCAGCGGCAAGGATCCGGAGGGTGCCTTCCCCATCGTGCTTGGACATGAGGGTGCTGGTGTCGTCGAGAGCGTGGGCGAGGGTGTCACGAATGTGAAGAAGGGAGACTGTGTCGTCGCGCTATAGTACGTATCATGTCTGCAAAGCTGTTGGAGGCGTTCTGTAATGCTGACGACCTGGCACAGCACACCGGAATGCCGCGAATGCAAGTTCTGCAAGTCTGGCAAGACCAACCTTTGTGGTAAGATCCGAGCAACACAGGGCAAAGGCGTGATGCCGGATGGCACTTCCCGCTTCAAGTGCAAAGGCAAAGAGCTCCTCCACTTCATGGGCACATCGACTTTCTCGCAGTACACCGTCGTTGCCGACATCTCCGTCGTGGCCATCACAAAGGACGCGCCAATGGACAGGACATGCTTGCTAGGCTGCGGTATCACTACTGGCTACGGCGCCGCGGTCATCACAGCCGGACACGGTGGTGTTGAGAAAGGCTCCACCGTCGCTGTATTCGGTGCGGGCTGTGTCGGTCTCAGTGTGATTCAGGGCGCGGTTAAGAATGGTGCGAGCAAAATCATCGTTGTAGACGTCAACGATGCGAAGAAGAATTGGGCGGAGAAGTTTGGCGCCACCCACTTTGTGAACCCGGCCAAGGACTTGAAGGAGGGCGAGACGATCCAGCAGAGATTGGTCGATATGACCGATGGTGGGCTGGACTATACCTTCGACTGCACGGGCAATGTCCACGTGATGAGGAGTGCGCTTGAGGCTTGCCACAAGGGCTGGGGCGAGAGCATCATTATTGGTGTCGCCGCTGCAGGCCAGGAGATCAGCACGAGACGTAAGCGTTACCTCCCTCTCAACAACGCCGAGTGCGTTCGTATACTCGGTTGAACTGATGTATTACTAGCATTCCAACTTGTCACGGGCCGACGCTGGAAAGGCTGCGCATTCGGCGGCGTCAAGGGGCGCACTCAGCTTCCCGATCTAGTCGACGACTACATGACCGGCAAGCTCAAGGTCGACGAGTTCATTACTCACCGTCAACCGCTATCTGGCATCAACCAAGCGTTCAGCGACATGAAGGCCGGCGATTGTATACGCTGCGTGGTGGACATGAGAAAGGAGTAGGTTGGCTTGCCTAGTATATTGGTTCTGCGTAGATTGAGTGGCGTGACTATGGCTGCTTGGCGGAGGAAGGTCTAGAAGGTAGACGTTGACCTTAATGTGCGCAACAGCCACGAAAACAATGTACATAATGGTACAATCGCAACAAGCGGCTGGAGCCGTTGGGGTCCTTGAGCCTGGGTTGCTCTGCAACATCAGTCAATACCCGCGTCGATATAATAGCGGGTTGCCGGAATCACCTTGTCCTGCGCCGAGCTGTAATGACGAAGCCGTTGACCCAGCTTCGATGTGGGGTTGACAACATTGCAGTGCTTTGCGCCCCGCTTCGGTGGAAAAGAGGTCGCAAAGGTGGGTTTATACGCAGGCTCTCAAACGGCGTATTGTCTCCTTGTAGACATTAGACAAGCCTGTCCACGACAACTAACCGCAGGTAGTACCCTATTGTTCTTATTTTGTTTCAAAAGATAGACTTGCTAGGATGTCCGCCGCACCACGTGATCCTCCGTTCAGGTACAATCAATCCATCAGGGTGGAAGCTACCACATCAACTCACAATGTCGTAGAGCGGAGCACTTGGGCTCCCTCCTTCGTCCCTCCAAGCTCCTAAACAAGCGTCATGCCATACAACAAAAGAAAGACAGCGAAGACGGCCTCCAGCCATTGGAGGACGAGAGCATTCGCGAGATTGTACAGATTCAGCTCGACTGCGGCTTTCGAGCAATTAGCGATGGCGAGTATCGTAGGCATATGTTCTGGGGTGTAAGTCGACTTGCTTGCCGAATTGGTATTTCTGGTGGAGGTCTAGAATGGGCTGACGCACAGCTTGTGCAATGTAGACTTTCTTCCCGAGCCTCAACGGCATGAAAGAGATCTTTAACCCAGACCTCAAGATCTTCCGTCAATACGTTCCAGATATCGCAGCGTTCGTTGAAGCCGAGAAGGTGCCTGGAGAAAGCGTCATATGCGACGGCAAGATCAGCCATAGCGGCAAGAGCTCGTATATCGACCAGTTTGAATTTCTCAAAAGCATCACGCCGACGGACCGGCACGGCGATATCAAGATGACGCTCGCGGCTCCGAACTGGTACCACTTGCGCTATATGGAAGGTATGGCATATCCGAAGGAGGTATATCAGAACGACGACCAGTACTTCGCGGACATTGCCAAAGCGTACCAGGCCGAGTTGAAAATACTGTACGATGCTGGGCTTCGCAACGCGCAGGTCGATGACCCGAACCTTGCATGTAAGTTTCTCGACTAGGGGTGCGATGGTCGGAGCTTACCGAATGCTGTAGACTTCTGTTCGGAGAAGATGATAGAAGGTTGGAAGCAGGATAACAACAACACGAGGACTATCGACGAGCTCTTCGATGCTTATATCGCTTTCTACAACGACTGTTTCCAGCGGCCAGCGGATATGCATCTTGGGATTCATCTTTGCCGTGGTGCGTCATCGAAGAATGTGGCTCTTGCCAGCGTTGAAATGCCGCTAATTGTGACCAAAATGGCAGGCAACTTCGTCAATAGCCGCCATTTCTCCGAAGGTGGCTATGACCGCATAGCCCGCAAGCTCTTCCATGATTTGGAAGTTTCGACGTATTACCTCGAATACGACACCAGTCGCGCAGGGGGCTTCGAGCCGCTGAAGGAACTGCCGAAGAACAAGAACGTCATCCTGGGTGTCATTACCAGCAAGTTTCCAAAGCTCGAAGACAAAGAGGAGATGAAGCAGCGAATATACAAGGCCGCAGAATTCGTCGCGGCCGGTAGCGGTGAGAGCAAGGACGAAGCACTCCAAAGATTGGGTGTCAGCCCTCAATGTGGGTTCGCAAGCCATGAGGACGGCAATTTGCTGGAGTATGATGACATGGTGAAAAAGCTGAAGCTGGTCCGACAGATTGCGGACGAAATCTGGCCAGGCCAACCCTGAGCACGTCTATGACGGCCTGCCAGCCCGCGTAGCGACCCTCGGCTGCGAAAGGCCAGTGGGGAGTCGACTGGCAGCGCCAGGCCGTTCCTGTGAGGTGATCCCTGTGACGGTGGCTGCTATAAAGCTTTCTGAAGCGCTGTATGCGGCATCTCGCAAGACAATATTGGAACCCCTGGACCGCAGCGGACCATGTCTCTCCCTTTGCGGGTCTCAATTCATCTCATGTTAATCATAATGAAGACAAGGAGGGTAGCGGATCCTGCGGCGATCAACAAAAGTGCGAGTTCGAAAGCTATTTTCAGTGCGAAGCAAATCGGAGATGTTGCTTCCTGCTGGTGGTCATCGAAGTTGGTCTGAATCAATGCAGTGATAACATTGGTGGTGCCATTTTCGGGGAAGTCCATCGCTGTGATACCCAAACGACGTTTACCAGGATGTCTTTTGAGGTAAGCTCGGAGCCGGGGGTTCATGCCTTCTTCCCACCGGAAGCTCCACCAGCCACCTATTGCAACCTCACGAGGCGGTATTTGGTGGTGAAGATTGAACTCGTATGCACTAGTGAAGTTAATATACCAGTGACCCGTAGCTGTGTCCGTAGAGGCACGGTCCAGTAGCTGAGAGATATTGCCACCTTTAGTAGCAATCACTGAAGGCAGAGGTTGTGGGTCAGGGAAGCTATAGTGGTCCTGAACTGTGACCTGGACTTCATGCTTTGTGCTGATGGTGAAAGGATGGGAAGGATTGTCCATCCACTGCGTCACATCTATGCCGTATGCGCACGGGTATGTAGTCGCGAAGCGTCGGAAGAGTTGAATCCTACCACGCAGCTCGCAGAGCTTTGGCGTAGTGTTCGCGGTTCGCCAGCGTTGCGGATTCTGCGCAAGGCAGCTGAAGATTGCTTGAGCAAAGCGTACATTCGAGCGCTCTGACTTCCGGTCTTGCTTGAGTTGCACGATGAGCGCTTCGCTTGGGTGCGACGCGAGCCATAGATACATAGCATCTAGTACCAGGCTTAGTTTGAGGCCGAGGATTGCTTCGCCGTGGACCATCTCAACTTGGTTGTCAAGGAGTCCGCACCGCAGATCAAGGTAGCGGATACCAGCATTGAGCTGTTGCATGATGTTGAGTGTCTGCGTTTGGATGAATGGAAACATGCTCGTGAATGCAGCACTGTCGTGGGTTCCCGGTATGGTGATCGCAGAGAGCTCGATATCACCGTCCAGCGACGACATCCAAGTCTCGCCTACTGGCCGCCCTCCCGCAACGGGCTTTACACCTCGAGGAAGGTGCGCAGCCATAGTGCCATACCCTTTCTCAGCGCGGCTTAACAAGCCCAGATCCTCATGCTGGCCTTTGAGGCGCTGTTGCGCCCACATGGTTCGGGAGATCATGACTCCTTCCCGGGCGGAAGAGCCTGGCTCGTCGCCAAACACCGACACTGACTGATGACAATCTGGCTGCTATGCGCGTGGCAACGAGAGCCATCTTATCAGAGCCCCGTTGGCGCCGAGCACGCCAGCAGCTTGGCTGGCACAAGGATGGTGGTGTAAGCAGGGAATGCTGTCCGCATGGGTTTGGAGCTAACGTTTATAGGAGCACGTTGAGCGCGTGGTGGAGGTGCTGGGGTCGGCGGGAGCTTCCGCACGTGCAGACTCCCACGCCACACACCAACGGCATCCGACCAACGTGGAGGAGACTTAACTTAAGCTCGTCACGCACTGGCTGGGCTGTTCAGCGACACGAAGATGTCGCGTCCCACCCCTGCCACCCGTCGCTCAGCCAAGAGCGAATACATTGAGACGGTAGGTCTTCGATAGCTCAGCATTATACTGAACTTCGTCACGTCCCGAACATTATGGACTATCTCGAGATCAGAAGTGTCATGGTTTTTCCGAACTAACAGGCAGCAAGGATACGGGCAACAAGATCTCTCGACGCTCAATCATCGAGGGGAAGCAGAACATCATGCTTGGTGGCAAATCCGTCGTAATGGCTGGAGCAATGCTCAGAGGAGATCTTGTTCGCAAGCCCGAGAAGATGGCAGACGGTGAGAAGGAAGGTCCAGTAACCGCTATACATGTTGGACGGTAAGCCGCCTTTAGTCGGAACAGTGTTAGATACAACAGCTAAGATTGCCGCTCTTAGCGCGAGCATCATCTCGACTAACTGCACCATCCGCCCACCACATCGTATCAGCCGAGGGCGAATGGTCTTCTATCCCATGAGGATAGGGGACAACGTCTTCATCGGTCCAGGCACTTACGTCTCGTCAGCGGTCATCTCATCCAACGTGCATATTGGCACTAACTGCGTGCTCTCAGCATTCAGCGTAATTAGGGATAACTGCAAGATCCTGCCCAACACTGTCGTGCCATCTCACATGACCATACCGCCCGGGTCGGTCGTAGGCGGCAGGCCTGCGCGAATTACAGGCGAGGTCGGAGAAGGCTGGGGTCAAGGCGGTGGTGGCGAAGGCGAGGAGTATGTGGAAGGCGGGGATCTAAGAGCTCTGGTGCGAAGCATTAGATGACTCCATCGTCATCTGCGCTGTCGACACTCCCCAAGCATCTCTTTGCCGAAACCGTCCCGGCCTTCGTTCACTGTCAGGCGCTCGGCAGCCTTCACCAAGTCATACACTATGCCATCGCTGACGACGCTATCGAAATTGTACCCTTTGTGCTCACGCACGAAATAACGAATCCACTTGGCCGCGGTCCACAGCGATCCATTCGCTCTACCTCGGATTAGAGCAAGGTACTGCGCGAGCTCGCAACGGGTCTCAACGTCTACATTGACGCTGTCAAGATAAGACTCAACCAACGGTATCAGGCCTGGGAAGGTGCCGTCTGCCCTGCCGTTGATGATCTCATCTACAGTCATCAGCTCGTACTCGTCTTCTACTGATCCAACGGGTGAGTCGGGAGGTATGATGGGATGCATGCGAGGCGTCGATGATCCAGATGGCGGATTGGATGCGCCATTCGTCTTTGAGGGCCGCTTCGGTAATGGATCTTTCCGGAAATAGAACATGTCGTTCAGGACAGCATCCCTTCTATGCGCCGTTTCCATATTCTGAGTCGTCCGCGTGATTGGAATGTAGAAGTTCAGGTCAAAACTGAGAAGCGCACGGGTGATCAGCACGACAAAGACCGAAAACGCAGCATTCTCAAAGTCGGTGATCTGGATCTCCATGGGCCGCACTTCGACCCGCCACCCAATCTCACTACCTGGCGGAGGCGGCTTGAAGCGCATATGTTGCCAGTTGGTACTCTGCAGGTTCTCAAAATGGTCGGCTTTGTCCAGATCAAGTTCTTTGAGGTCCTCGGAGAACACCACAATTGGGTCGCGTATGAAAAGGTGCGCAAAGTGCGTTGCTAACAGGTCGTCCATGCCGCCTTCTACCAGCCGATCCTTGAGCTTCTCGTCAATAACGAGATCAGGGTCAAGGTACTCTGGCCGCAAACGTGGGTCCTGCGATATGTATGTGCTGTTGCTTGCATAGCGAGACTTGGGTATTCGCCATCGATCATTCTTAAGCGGCTTCTCGCCGAGCTCCTCCGGCGTACGGTCATCGACAGCCCGACTAATCTGGTTCCACCGCACGTCGGTATCGGCTAAGAAGCCTTTGTATATCGGTGTTGCGGCAGTCAGAGCAAGAAGGACCGGACCCAGAGGCGATAGCTGATCATACATTTTGCGGCCTTCGTCGATGTTCTTGGCCTGGAAAGTGATTTGTAGGCAGCAGCTGCCCATGCCAAACGCCATAGCATCCATATAAATGTGGTTCTCCTTGGCGGCGCCATTCCGCACATCGTCATCTTCTGGCCAGTTATGCATGTTGTAGTCAACAGTAGGATCGCTGAAAGGCCAGGTTGTCTGCTTATCGTGGAAGACAGGAACGTTGAGCTCAACCTTCCGCCCTCTACGCGCTCGGATATTGGCAGCCAATGTAGGAAAGCGTATATGCGGGTTAGCAATTTCGTCCGGGACAAACTGTGAGCGTAGTCTTGGGCCAGAGGGTGGGAACCACGGCGTTATGGACTTTCGGTCGCCAAGCAGAGGGAATGTAGTCATTGTGATCGGAAACTCATCGGCATCCATATGGTCTTTGGCGATCTGTCTTCGCCATTTCATATCCTGTTCCACATCAAGTAGGTCTTTGAAACCAATGCCCCAGGGTGCGCCTGGGGTGGCTTCCAGCATGAAGCGTCCGAATTCTGGATGAAATGTTGGCGCCGTCTTGCCTGACTTCACCGGTCCTCGTGCCAGGTCTGGCACTCCGCCGCCTTGTTTAAGAAGTTCCGGATCGCTTGCCAAAGCTTCCAAGATGTCGGCCTGTCGTAATGAGAGCTTGACATTGTGCTCTTCATCATTGAGTGCGACGACTATGTACTCGATCTTCAGGTAACGTCAGCTTGGTCGGTGCAAGACTTGCACGGGCGCCTACCGCACCTCGTCACCCCAAAGAAGCGCGTCTCGCTCCTTGCCTTTCGCTCTCCGCCATATAGCAAGCAATTGCTGAGGATGCAATCAGTATGGCTCGATAAGGTCGGCGAATACTGCTCTAACATACCTCAATACCCCATTCTCGTACATGCTGAGCTACTTTCTTCGCTTCCGGCCATTCAAGCGGTGTCCCAACGGCGCTGCAGCTCACACGTCAACCGCTGTCGCGCATAGTGCATTGCAGCTGCTGTGCATTGCCACGTACAGTAGACCCATATTGCGGCAGCGGAGGTAATGCAACAAAATGTCGTTCTACTGCGCCAGCTATTGCAATTTGCACGCCGTCTCTTCCTATTTTACTGCTACTTTCAGCAATGTCCGCTGATGCTTGGTGATGTCGGCTGCCGGAGCAGCGTCTGCTCTTCCTGGCTATCGCATTCTGGGTCTCAGTCTCACTGCTCCTGAATCCGGTCGAACATCAAAATTGGAAGGTCCCGTCCAACGTGCAAGCACCGGTTTTCCTAGATTAATTCTCGTCCCGCCTGCCGATCCAAAGGTGCAAGTTGTTACGTGACAAGGACTAGACCATACGCGCCTCGTGCGCGTATATTCTTTTCGCGGCATTTGAATGGTCGTGGATTACAAACCATGATGCAAAGCTTCGAGCTTTTCAACCTCCGCTACCACGAAATGCAGAGCCGCATTGTGGAGTTCACGGTGAAAAGGCATGGAGCTTCTGGTCATCCAGAAGCCGACAGCATCTCGCAGGTGACATACTAGGTATAGCATGGTGACACAAGCATTGCTGTCAATTCGTTCGAGCTCCGGAAACTGTTAAACGTTTCACCTGAAGCAGGCAGCAAGCGAACTTATGGAGCTGAGAGCTCAAACCTGCTTTAAGCGGCGTCACTGGATGCTCAGCCTACCGTCTGCAGCAGGCCGAGATGCAGCTCAGACCCTTTGATGGTTCATCAAACGTTCATGCATGTGCGAGCGTACAGAGCACGCCGTGTGACCCTCCTGTCAACGATGGGCATCGGCATCTTTAGGGAAGCTCAGTACAACAAAGGCTAGCATTGCGCCTGTACAACCAGTAGATACCGTGACAAGGGCGTCGCTCGTATTGGGCGTCAACGCCACATCTGTGAGGATGTTCGAGAAAACGGCATGTGATCATCGTTCATGCAGTCACAATGCTGCAGCACGCTGCAGCAGGTCTTACTCTACAAGTCAACCTTCTATATAAGGCATTTCATGCTTCGCTCTGGCCGAAGCCATCAGGTCGACCAGTATCTCACTGCCTCCGCAAGGAAATCACGTGGCTGGCCCGAGCCACAAACTACCTCCGCTCGAGACACCATGTAAATGAACCACGCCGCCGATGTAACGCCGTCCATGCACTCGAGCAAGCCCTAGAAGGCTGCGTGGTATCTTCGACCCAAACACAAGAAACACCGTGACAGGCACAACTCCTGGTGTGCGGCCATGCCCTCAATCCAACAGCGAATTGGGATTGACAAAACGCCGTGGACCAGTTGAGTGCTGGCCTAATAGTCGCCGGAAAGCGAGACCTGAAAGCCCCGCTGAAATGCTCCGCTCAGTTTATGCGCTTGAATAATGATGTACAGATGTCGTGGCGTCTAATAACACCTTGATTCGCTGCGTGCAGTCGTAGAAATCGTAATGATACTGTGGTAAACGGCCTTTGCACTCCGACGCGGAGCGACTGAGGTTCTGGTCGCCCATCCGGATGTCCTCCGAGGTACGACGGGGTAGAGTGGCAAAATCCACCGGCGCCCTTGATGACGAGAAAGAACCTCAATTCTCCTTCGGCCTAATGTTAGAACTTCCACCGTTCGCCGTTTTGCCGCCTCCTTGCTGTTTCCGGGTGAGCTTCGCATAATGCAGGCCGCAAGCGTTGCAAAGGGTCCTTGCGCCGTCGGGACCTCTTCGCCATTCGGGTGTCTCAGCCCGATTGCAGCTGTGGCAGCGTCCGGGCGGAGCAGCACGCCCTCTCCGTTTCTTCGTCTCGGAGCCTGCAAACCCGCCTTTGGAATCGTCTACCTCAGGAGTGTGCTCGACCGCTGGAACGGGTGCTTCGACAACCGCCTTTTGTTGTCGTTGATCCGAGAGTTGTTGGTCATATTCCGCCTGTTGAGCAAGAATGACATCACGAATTTTGAGAAGTGACTCCACTTGCAAACGAGACTTGGCGATCATATCATCAACCTCAACCATGCCCGGGAAATAGGCCATCGGTGTGCCTGAGCGGGCTGTCTGGTGCAGTCGGTCTCCATAGCGTCGTGAGAAGTCAAGAAGAATATCGCTTGATGATGCAATCTGCGCTGTATTAGCGTGATGTAATACTAAGAAGCCGAAGTCTATACGTACGGCATTTAAGGCTCCTTCCAAGTCATACAAGTCAAGATGGCGTTTGACGGAAGCACTGTAGTCGCCCGGTCCAGTACCACGCTCGTTCGGACCCTGCCGCACTAAGCTACCAGCCTTCCACGAGGCGGGAGGAGTTTCCGGAGCAGGATAATTCGCTGAAGGTTGATATATGGGCCCAGACGCTACGCTTGCCGGTGGAGTAGGCTGAGCGTACCGCGGTGGGTACGGAGTGTAGCCATAAGAAAAGCCGGACGGCGGCGGCGCCATTGGCTCTGCAGGATGCGACACGGATCGTTCATAGCCCGATGGTGGATGAGGCGGGTATGAATATGCCGCTGGCTGCGGTGGTTGAGACACAGGCTGCGAAGTTTGTAGGTGCAGCGGTGGTCGTTCCAAGGCAGCAGACCGTTGGGACGTCGCTTCCTGAGGGATGAAGCCATGCGGAGACGGGTCAGGTCGAAAGTGTGGATATGAATGCTGTGATGCCTGGTTCGTATGCGCTTGCGACGGCGGCGGCGGCGGGTCCATGCTGTATTTCTTGGTAGCGGACAATGGCGATGCGGGAGTCGCAGGTTGCGGATGAGATTGATGCGCTGCCACGGTTTGCGGGCCCGTAGGCATTGATGCTGAATACGATGTTTGGTTGTCCACGCCTAGCGCTTCGGAAATGGACGGCAGTGATTGCCGGGTGATCTGTTTGGCATCATATTCATCCCCACTAGTCCGCCGTGATTCAGGCGGTGTGTGGACGCCAGACTGCACGCCGGACCATGCGTGTGCAAGTGATGCATGGGTCGGTGCGGGTTGACTGTAGGGTGGTGGTGGCCCGGACGGGTATGGAAAGGTTGGGTTCGCAGAGGTGGCCGGCGGCAAGCTTTGTGGTGGATTGAGGTTGCGATTCTGGTACGCCTCTTCTTCCCGCTTCACCTTGTCTACATCAAGATAACTCAGTGCCGGCAATTGAGGTCTGCCTTTCGTCAGCATGACTCGGCAAGCCGCCATTCGTCTCGTGCAAAGGATGCGCAGAAAGCATCCTTATACGAGCACGCGACGATTGGTCATTTCACGCTTGCACGTACCGTCTTTCTGCAGCCTCCATAATCGCGAATGTGTTATATAGGAAATGCGCGGGCCTCAGTGTGCAGTGCTGATGATGAGACAGAGTGTCGAGCGACCAAGTCTGGTAGCTGAGAAACGGTCGGCAAGCCGAGCGGAGGGACAAGAGATCGGAGATGAGATCGTTGATCCAGATACGAATGTGGAGGTATCCGAGCCGTTTAACAGGATCCGCAGCAGCGAAACGCCGATATGCCAGAAAGATACTGTTCTCTTGCTGACCATGGATCGAACGAGCTGGATATGCGGCTCATCCGAGTGCTGGCGATGGGTCTGACTCTGCTACCGTACTGGTGCGGAAGAGGCAAATTGCCTCACGTCCGAAAGTGAGATCTCCGATAGCCCAATCACAGCTCTGTTCCAGCAGAATGATTCTGGGAAGCTGAGAACCAATGCACACCGAGCTGCGTCCAAAGGAATGAGTGTGTGGAGAGCGACGAGCGTACAAAGTCTGGTAGGAAGGTCGAACAATCACAACGTACGTAGTCAGCGCGATAGCGGGACGCGATCGAAGCAGGTGAAGGGAATGGAAGACTGGCGGATGCCAACGGCAATGCCAAGTTTAATCGCAACGCAACACACACCCTTGACAGGGCACAAAGCCGAGCGGTGCAAGCTAGGCCCCGCGTGATGGCCAGCGCTGGCTGCACGATCAGATATTGCAACCAAGCTTACCTCAATCCAGTACAAAGCAAGCGTGGTCTCGCATCCGTTCGATACAAGATCGCGGCTATGCAAGGCAAAGATCATGCGGCTTGCGGCGGGCCACCTAACCTCCGCGAGTGGATCTCACGAATTTCAGCTTCACAGTTTCACTGCGAGCAACGTCCAGATTACCGTGGCCGTAGCCGGAGGTGAAAATGGCGATGTCAGACAGGAGAGCATCTAAGCCGATCGCGGTCTGTGCTGACGATGAAGTGGCACCGGTCGATCTCGAGATCTAGCGCTCTTAGCTCTGCGCCACTCAAAAGGCCACTAACGCTACTACCAAGATTGTAGGGTTGAGCCGGACACGCCGCATTTCAAGTGCTAGCGGTCTTGAACGCCGTCGTCCCTCTTCGCCAAGCTGCTGCTAGGTCTACCTTGCTGTGGTACGGATAGGACGAACGATGGGCATAGTTGTCCCTTCGTTCTGCGCGGACAAACGATTGGCGGTACCCGATCGCACAGCCCTAGCCCGGACAATCGCATCGAAGATGTCTCGGGTGAACCCTTTTCGAGGTGGATCTCCCCAGCACATGCACACATGCGTCTGACCATCGGCTTGCTAGCGCGTTGCAACGGCGCACGATCCAGAATTCTGCAAGCGAGCAGAGCTGCTCATCAACGGCCTCCGCATGGAAGCCCGAAGCGCTCACCATGCCGCCTTCAGCTTCCTTCAGCATTTCCATATGCGCGTATCCGAGACAACTTTGCAAGCGACTCACTGGCAGGCACGCGATTCGCCGAGTGACAGTAATAGATCGATTGCCAACGGTCTCCAAAAAGGCCCGCATAGCCCCTGCTATTCCAACACGACCCTTGATGAGGCCTCAAAAGGAACAAGGGTCAGCGGAGACGTGACCCCTCTCCTGTAGAGCAATGGATAATTTCTGCGCCTTGCTGCTGTCAATCTAGGACAAGTCACCCAGTGCAGGCTAGATCTTTTGCATGACAGTGAGTCGTGCATGCCTCATTGTTCAGAGCGTTCGATTGACAACTTTGATTTTAACGGAAATGACATCTCAAGAGCCTCAAATCATCTTCCAGTCTCCTACTCTTGGCCAACCTAAAGTATGGTAGATGTGCCACTCATCCACATCATTGCCGGAAGTTCGCGTTTCCGCGCCATTACCAGCCGAGCGAAACAACTGGCGGTTCTGCGAGGGTGACTCCGCGTACGTAGAAGCACAGAGCTGTATTCATTATTACAATAGAGGCTTTCTGTCGGACATCATGTCGTAAGGAAGGAGTATGTTGAATGTCGCAGTCCGACCAGCTAGTCATTGCTAAGGCATCTGTTTGATCGTACGAATTCGGGATATTTCTGGCCGGACGGAGAATTTTGGGCGCCAATACGACCGTGCGACAACGGTGCTCTTGCGCTTCGCCCTGCATATGCAAGCCCTTCACTGGTATCGATCTGGAGAACTGTCGGGGATCGTGGGCATCGCGGATTCTATCCGGTGACTAAAAAGCCATCCACACTCATCTATGGTAAGAAGGAATCTACATTGGAGCCACAGCAGCAATGCGACATGACGGAAGTCAGGTAAACGCTGAAGAAAAAGTCGCACCGGGAGGAGTATCAAGCTTCTGCGGCACGTCAACTTCTGTCTTGAGACTATGTCACCCCGGACCTGAAATCCGCGCCCGGCGGGGATCCGTGACTCACTAAATGTCGATGAACATACCTCGAGGCTTGATGTGAAACACCGTAGCAATTGCATGGACATACTATTTCATAGTTGCTGCAGAACACATGCTGCCGTAGACTCTTCATCACCATGCCTACATATTGCGCCATAGCAAGGTACGCTGGCGTATACTGCGAGTACAAAGATCGATGTTACACACCGCTTCAAACCGACGTCGACGGACGCACACTGAAACCGTTCGCTAACGCAAGCAAGTGTTTCAGCGCATGCAGAATCGCTGCCGGGTATACAACCCAATTGCTGTACGACATAGTATAGGCGTCATTGACGATGGAAGTCCGTAACAAGCCTCCGTTTTTGTGGGAACTGCGGCAGAGTGCAACTGATTGACACCCCGAACACCAGGAACGTGTGGTGTCATTAGGCACGAGACTAGGCAGGACGGGTCGCTTGATCTCACCAACGCACGAAGACACCGGTGTGCCTTCCGGACTGCACTCTCAACACAGACAGCTTGTCATGGCTTCGAGAATAGGCATGCATTGGTGAATTGAAACCTACCGGACCTCCATCGTCATCCTTCACCAGACAGAGGTTATTGCTGATGAGTGTAGCCATCTGAGCACTGACGCGCACCCTGGCGGTGAAGTACAGTATACTGAGTTACAAACTTCCGTATGCCCTCACGGCATGAGAAGAGCGCATCTTCCTTCGAACCAACATCTAGCCAGATGGTGCGCCGTTTCGCTTGGGCAGTACTGTTCCAAGCAAGCCATTCACGGCACTGTCTGTCCTTGGTTAGCGAAGGGCGAAGCCGAATCTTGCATTGTACAATTCTCCTCCCTGGTCTACTGACGACGTGCCAATTTTGTCCTTGGCTCCCACGTTTTCTGTGGACCCTTCGATTCGCCTGCTTGCTGGACTGCGTTCGCATTGGTGTCACTCCTGAGACCGTCATAGCTATCACCACATCCTTCCCTGCCGTTATCGGAAGACTCGGCTCGCCTGCACTGTAACCGGACTCTCACCGCTGTGCTGTATGGGCCTACGTTGCGAAGATTCGTCTTCGCCTCGCACTGCTCCTGCGCATTACTCGTCGCAAGAGTGAAGTGTGGCGATGCCATCCTGCTGTTCTTCGATGCATTGGGCTGAAGACCTCAGCTAGCACATCTGCTTTCGGGGCCTTGGCATATATCGCACATATCCACTGCCGCGCAGAGGCCACAAGTCCCTGGCAGTGAGTACTTGTAACAGAGTCTGAGCGACACCATAACCTGTAGCACGGTAAGGTTATACACGGTCAAAGATTTCCAACAGGGTACTTGACTCCGGACTTCTTTGGAGATAGACCCTAGACCAAAGCACATTCCTCGACGAGGATCCCACTCTGTTGTAGGCTGCAATCCGAAACGGCTCGGTACAAAGTGTGTTAGGCACTGCAAAGTTCGAGCCAAGTGTTACCAAGCTCTTCACGCAAGGATCGAACCTCAACTCGATCCACTGGGCGTGGTCGCGTCTTGTAACGATGTCGTTAGTTGGAGGCATAGCTCCATCACCCTGCGACCACGTTGAGAAGGCTCTCCTACAGAGATTGTCGACCGCAAGCCGAAGCCAACTTGCATTACCCTGTAATATGGCTGAGAGTGCAAAGCTGGTTCTGCAGGAATCCCACGATCACGGACGCCTTGCGTGTGGCTCATGTATCTTCGGAGACGTGAAAGACAGAATCGAGCTTTTGACACTCTTGACAGCCTGGTAATGAACTGCTAGTCGCGTACGAGCTTACCCTGGCCACCGAATAAGCCGCTATACCCATTGCGGTGCTAGCCGTGCGTGCAGCCATTGCCGTTCACTGTCTGCTCAACATCGTCAGCTTCAAGACGATCCCTCCAGACAAGATTATATGTGCCAGGAATCAATCGATGCCTGTCAACGTCGCTGCGAGATCGTGATTCACAAAGTGGTCACTGGGCGGCCTCATGAGGCGTTAATTGCTTGCCGTCGAGCTCGGGTACATCTTGCAGTACACAGCCTCGTCTGAAACGTGGCTAAGGGCATCTCGTGCAGTTCGCACTGCTCACTGTGCACCACATCCCATGACATGTACCGACGTCCCTAGCAAGCGGCTGACTGTTATGGTTCGTCAACGCTGAGGATACTGCGCAATCGGGCAACTACTGTTTTGGGCGGCCTCATTCAGACACCCGTAGCTCATTTCACCGGTCTGCATACCTGCCTCAGTCAAACCACACCAGAGCCTTATGCTGCCCTTGTGAGGGCAAAATGGAAGTGTAATGCCATTACATAGCCGCTACTTCGCCACGATCATGTGTGAACAACTGAGTAATAGTTCTTCTCTTCGATTCCCAACGAAGCTTTACCCTTAAATCTGCGTGCGATGGCTTCGCCCACGCAGCATGCTTCATCCGTGGCAAGCGTGGTATCGTCCGCTGATCTATACTCGCTTTCGCCCCCTCCCTCGCCAAACCCAGCTCTGGACTCTTCGCGATTGTCTCTGCCAAGTCTTTACGTTACCTATCGTGTTTTTGCACTCGTTGACAGGTTCCGCAAACGCGTGTCAACCCATTCAACAGTAAAGCAGCCAAAGAGAACAGGCGCCACGGGCAATCGAAGCTTCTGCCATGACTTAGAACGAGAGGCGTACGAGGAAATCGACAAGTATCTCGGCCGAAAGAGATTTTGTCGATCACAGACCGGATACCGAAGCGGTTCACGTCCGTACATCCGCCCGCTGGAACAAGACGTGGAACAACACGTCAACACCGAAAAAAAGTCAAGTGCTCTACCAGCTCACATCACCAGGTACGGTTCTATTCGTGAAAGCAGTGTCGTAACCGTAGACGAGTGCACAAGCCTGGCGGCGACCGTGGCTCCGCGAGATGCATTGCTGACTTTCTTCAGGCTCGTGAGAGGATTGGGTAGCTTTCCCAAAGTCGGAGTCTGGTCACTGACCACTATCGCCAAAGATCAGCAAGCGTTTCTGAGCAGGGACGAATTGGAGGTTCAAAGGCTGAGCGTGCACAGCCTGTGCAAGCTGCTCGTTCAATCAAAGGGCTTGCTTGATTCACTTCGACGGTTGACATGCTCCCCTGGCATCTGGACTACTGGAGAACGCAACGAATTGTTGGATCTGCACCTTGACGAATTGTACCTTGCCAACCTCGAACATCTTCTTCTCTGTTTATTACAGCAGATCATCAGGGAAATTGTCGAAAGGTCGGTTGAGCTACTGCAGCTGCACATCTCCGACTGTCAGAAGCACCACGATAGGAAGATCAAGGACTGGTTTTGCGAGTTCCCCAACGGCCAGCATCCGGAGAGCACGACCTGGCCGTGGACAGTGAAACCTTCGTTGGCCGTGCTGTGGGGCGTATGTTGGATGTTCTATGACTCATATCGCATTCACCCACACTTGCGCCTTGACGAGTACGGGAATGCTGTGAATGACGCCGGCATGATTGTCGTGCCTCAGTACGCCATTGAACAAGCACAGCAGTTTTGGGGGAGTCAACACCGATATATATCGGCCCACTCATTAGGTATGTACCGTCTTCTGAAGCTCATTGGAAGCGGGGCATAAACGACACATGGCTTTGTTCCTCGCTCTCGGCCGACGCGTTCGTAGAGAGCGCAAGTGACTGCTGGATGGGACTGACGAGTTGCCAGCAGAACAATCGAGCCCAGCGCACGGTTCTCGTGGCAGTGAGTGGCAGCCAATCATGGGTCCGCGACAGGGGCGGGATCGGAGCGGCCGGCTCCGGAGTCCGCATGACTCTGCACCGCCCTCGAATTCTGCACCTTCTCTCTCGCCGTCGCAAGTTCTTCCAACCTTGCAGACTCAGGCACAAATTGCTGCCTCATCGAATCCGCATACACCTGCCCATCAGTATCGTGGCTTTGACTCACAGGACGTCTACGCTGCAGCTGGGCCCGCATCTACTGTGAAGGCAAGACGTGGCGAATACGTACAAGGCCTCTCGCACGTGTACGTAGCTCACGCGTCGCCCGTGAGTGCTGCGCCTCCGCAACCAACGTCAGGTGGTTGGGCGGTTGACCAAGGATTGAGATTTGATACGCAGTCTGAATTTCCAGGCTACAGCCCATATTCGGCTGACGTCCCTGGTAACTGGCGTACGCGTGTGCCCAATTGGCCCGGGGATTTGCCACTGCCTCCGCGACGTTCGACTCCCTCTTTATCAGTCATCCCGGGTGATTCAGGCAGCGATTTGGTTCAGCAGCATTCTCAGGAATCCATTCATCGTCACTCGGTGTCCAAACCACCTCTGGCATACCACGGAGGACACCAGCCTTACGCGCAGACGTCTTTTCCCGTTTCGGTTTCGAACTACACAATGGACGTTCAAGCGCCAGAGCCCAACATCAACGGGATTGCCCACGAGCCGACTATCAGCAACGGTGGTCACACACACCACGAGCCCATGGCATTGGAGCAGGGTTCGAGAAAGCGCTCCCACGACCAGATCGACAACAGCCTCGAGTCCGAGCTGCCATCACCACAGCAGACCCAACCGCAACCGTATCCACAGATGGGCCACCAGGTCTATCAACAACATTATCCCGACGATGCTCCTCTAATCGTCTCTGATGAGCAACAATCTGCCGAAGAGTACGAAATGCCCACGAAAGGGTCACGGCAATTCAAGCGCGGTGATCCACCTACGAATGCCGAGAACAAGTACTTCTGCGATGTATCAGCAGAGTGCGAGGGCCAGACTTTCGACCGCAAGTGTGAATGGAGGCAAGTCTTCACATCCAGTGATGGTGCTTGTTCGTTGTTAACTTTGTCTGCAGCAAGCACATGGACAAGCATGACCGGCCATACCGCTGCCCACATCCCCAGTGTGCAAAGCTGCAAGGCTTTACATATTCTGGTGGGCTGCTTCGACATGAACGCGAGGTTCACGGCAAGCATGGAGGCCCGAAGGCGCAGCTTGTCTGCCCTCACACGGACTGCAAGCGTCATTCAGGCAAAGGTTTTACCCGCAAGGAGAACCTGAATGAACATGTTCGCCGTGTGCACGATAACAAATTTCCTGAAGGCAGTGCTCTCGACAGCGGCCTTGATGGCGGCCCTGACAGCGAGCCCGTTCGCCGCGTACAAAAGGACAAGCACTCCCGGAACGGCTACCTTGACGGAGACGATTCACAGAGGTCGTTCACTGACGCAGAAGGCCTGTCTGCAATCGCCAAATTAATGAGCGGGAGTTTAGCACGCGGTTTGCTCGCTCCTGAGCCTTACCAAGCCGAGGAAGCACAGATGGTGAAGCGGTCACGCACGGATGTCGAGCGTAGCCCGTCCGTCGAGGTGGACGATCTGAAGGATGAAGTTCGACGCCTTCGTGCGGACAACATCGAGAAGGATGAAAGGCTACGCAGGATGGAGGTGGCCGAGGCGCAAAGGGAGGTGAGACTAAGGGAACTCGAGGAGGCTCTTCGTGCCATGCAACAACTGCAAGTGCCACAATTACAGCAAGTCGAACAGGTACAGGGAGCGGAGCAGCTGCAGCAACTTGAGCAGTTACAGCAAGCCGAGCCGCTGCCACCCGCACAAGGACAGCAGGTCACAGTCTAGGAGACTGGGCTCAATCTTGTCCATGCGGCTTTTACTCCGGCTTATGGTATGCTTCACATTGTTGCGCAATGAGACTACTGCGGAGTGGTGTTGTCGCACTGAGCGCGACGTGTCTGACTGGCTTGCGAGAAGGAGTGAGGTGGGCGTTTATGGGCCGCTGGACGCAGGCAACGGGTGTCTTCGGTTTCCGCTTGTCAGCTCGATATACCCAGACGGTGGATAGAATGCTTGTATCACTAGTAGTCAGCAGATTGCAATTTAAACCGCGAGTAATGTTGTGTTACGCCACTGCTTATCTCAAATGTTACGTTTGTGGATTGGATCGCCAAGCGCGAGCGTACTCAGTGTGCCGAGAGACATTATTCAGTTCCGCATTATCGCCGTCACCGTACACCAGGCAACAGAACTACAGCCGGACAAACACGCCCAAAATCATAGCACAACTGTCAAGACGGCTGTACGGGACTACCGCCAATAACCCGCTGCAGCTTCTCACATCTGACGTGCTCATGGTGCGCATGCCTCCGGACTCAAGCCTTTGGGAGTCCCATTGGGGTTTACAACTCCGAGTCTAGAACGCTGCCGGTACGAACTTCGACCCGCCCAGCCTCCATCGCCTTCGGCTCTCCATGCTTACTTGCACGGTGTTTCACCGGCTCGAGCTCAATATCCGCTGCAGCTGAGTGCTTCGGGTCATGGTTGACAGCCGCCACCGGCCCTGAACGCTTGCGGTCAATCCACCGTCGCCAAGGTTTGTACAGCAGCACCGCGAGTATACCAAATAGTATGAAGGAGCCGCAAATACTGCCGCCTATGATATCGTAGTTGTCGCCTGCGACTTCAACACCATGCCAAAAGCGTCCACTAAGGTGCGGCGCAACGTTCAGAACTAGTGTAAGCAGTTGAATGACGCCAATGATCATAGCCACCAGCACCGTCACAGCGGTCAAGACGCATTGGTAATACAGAATCGCAATGGTATCTTGGGCCAGTCGCGCAGACGTGTACAAGCTCATCATTGCTGCACCGTCGAATGTGTCGAGCAAGCACATGCCTGCCGTGAAAAGTATCGGCAAGATCAATATAAGCCATATTGAGGTGCCTTGCGCGGCTTCGATGGAAGAGATGCCTAGCAATGCGATCTCACTCGACGTGTCGAAGCCCATGCCAAAGAGCACACCGAGAGGATACATCTTCCATGGCCTGTCGATGAGCTTGAACATCTTCTTCAGCAAGTAAATCATGCAGCCTGCGCCTTCGAACTGAAAGTCGTTTGACTCCTCACCAAGAGGGCTGTTTATCGCTTTGCGAAGCTGCTCGACAAGCTTGTATAAAATGTATGCGTTCATGATACCCAGCAGGATAAGAAAGCCGGCCGACACCGAGGAGCCAATAATTGATCCAATTGTAGATATCGATCCGAAACGCTTAGATATAGCTGCCGAGCTAGCTGCCACAACAACGGACGTGATAATGACGATGGTCGAGTGTCCGAGCGAGAAGAATGTGCCGACACTTACAGGACGCTGTCCAGAAGCTATGAGTCGTCTCGTCATCAGGTCAATGGCGGAAATGTGATCCGCATCCAGTGCATGTCGCAGACCGAGCGTCCATGCTAACACGGCAGTAGATACTAGGGTCGGATGGAAGTGCAGCACTATACCACATGCGACCCAGACCAAGACATTGACTATCGCAAGGAGCAGGATGATGGCGACGGCCTTCGCGGGTAGCAACTTGATGAGTGGTATTCGATTGTGGCAAGCTTTTGCCGTAGATCTGAGCTTAGCGAGGAAGTTGCGGTCCTGGCCCATGCGTACGTCACCGATATGGTTGATGTACTGAGTCGGCATGCTGTCATCCAGCGCCTTGTCCGCCGGTAGGGAATAATCGTTTTCCGGTGTTCAGAAATACAATCTGAGCAGCGTCGTCCAACAAGGACCCACTTCTCGCTGATATACTGCGGGGTACAGCGATAAGGCTCACTCAGTCTCCAAGAGCAAATGCAATAATTCACTCATACTTCGTGACACATAGACTCGCATTAGTGCCCCCAAACCCAAAGCTATTGCTCAAAGCTGCATTCACAGGCCGGCGCTGCGCAACCTTTGCAACATAGTTGCAATCAAATTGCTCCGGTGGGTTGCCAGGGTTCTCTAGATTCAGTGTCGGTGGCAGTACATTCTGCTGAAGTCAGTGGAGAGTCATGGGGAAAACCTACAAAGGTCACCTACATGATTAACCGCCAGGGCTGTGAAAATCGCTTCAACGGCTCCAGCTGCTCCCAGCAAGTGGCCAATCGCACCCTTGGTGCTGCTTATGTTGACTTCGGATGCTCGCTTCCGGCCCTCAGAACCCAGCAGCAACCGCTTGATAGCTTTGTTTTCGGCGGCGTCGCCGAGTATGGTAGACGTGGCGTGGGCGTTGACGTAGTCAACGGCATTCGGCTTCAATCCTGCGTGCTTAAGTGCTTGCTTCATGGCAAGGTACGCGCCGTCACCGTCTTCTTGGGGTGCGGTCATGTGGTACGCATCAGAAGACAGCCCGTAGCCCCGTACCTCGGCGTAGATGTTAGCCTTGCGCGCCTTAGCATGCTCTAACTCTTCTAGCACCATGATGCCAGCGCCTTCACCAATTACAAAGCCTGCTCTATCACGATCGAATGGTCGGGACGAAGCAGCCGGGTTATCGTTCCATGCCGTGGCTAGACTCCGAGCGCGAGCGAATCCTGCAACCGCGAGCGGATGAATGCAAGATTCGGCACCTCCTGCTACCATTACGTTTGCATCGCCGAACATGATGAGGCGCGAAGCATCACCAATAGCATGCACGCCAGTCGTACATGCCGTGGTGGCTGCATGGTTGGGCCCCTTGAATCCGTACCGGATAGATATATGGCCAGCGGCAAGGTTGATGAGTAGCCTGGGAACAAATAGCGGAGAGACTTTACGATACCCGCCTTGGTCGAAGGCGACCGAGGTGTTGTAAGCCTCGTCAAGGTTACCTATCCCAGATCCGATCGTCACTCCAGTAGCCTCAAGGTCATGCTGCGCAGTTGGATGCCAACCAGCATCATCGAGCGCCTCTGATGCGGCTGCTGCGGCGTACTGAGCGAACAGTGCCATCTGCCTCGCTTCGCTAGCCGGCAGCCAGTCCTTGGCTTGCCAAAAGCCATCCTGACGGCTGCCTTGCGGAACGAGACCAGCAACGCGACTCGGGAGTAAGTCAAACTTGGCTCCTAGGCCTGTAGTCGAGACGATTCCAGTATTGCCGTCGAGCAATCTCCGCCACGTATGCTTGACGCCAGCTCCAAGTGGTGTCACCGCGCCTAAGCCCGTTATAACAACCCTTCTCATGAGGCACTGATATCATAACGAACACATACTCTGAAACAAGTTATGTGTGAAGTCTGGCGTCTCGGAATGTGGCGTATTAGGCTCAGGTCAGAGGCGGCACGGTTGCCATTGTGGCACAACCCAGAATTAAGGTTACTCTAGCGTGTAGTTCACGCGTGAAATGGCAGCTTTAGCTTGCACCTCACCGGATGATTGATGTGAAGGCCGCCAGTGAAGAACGACACGTACCAGATATTGCGACAGGCCAACGACCGGCAATTGAGACATGCGCTTGCAGTTCACCTCGTCAACTTACTAACAAGCAGCGTCGCTGGTCATGCCTCGGGCGCGCAAGCGGGCGGCGAGTCCTGAGGAGATCATGGAGCCAAGTGAACACGACAGGGTACCCGACACGACCGTCGCACTCCAGTCCAACGAACCACTGACATGGCGTGCTGGCAAACCTATCGCGGTCAGCGACCTTTTGCGCCGACTGAAAGCACTATACGACGAGCTGCAGCCCCTGGATCAAGGCGACGCGCAGAGGGCGTCCCTTGTGCCAAAGGCGCAGGAGCTTGCCAATGTGCAATTAATCGGCCACAAAGATAGAGGGGTCAAGGCGTGGTCACTTCTGTGTATCGTTGAGATGTTCAGGCTCCTTGCGCCCGATGCGCCCTACAAGAGCGGACAGCTCAAGCAGATATTTGACCTCTTCGTCTCCACTGTGGTTCCGTCTCTGGCCAGTCCCACGGACCCTTATAGGCCGCAGTATATCGGCATCTTGACATCTCTTACGACAGTTAAGAGTATTGTGTTGCTTACGGACATTCCGGGCTCTGACACATTGGTAATGAAACTGTTTGCGAATGGTTTCGATGTCGTATCTGGCAACGTAAGGGGCAGCCAAGGGGAGCGCTCAAGCAAGAACGTTGAATATCACTTGACACAGCTGCTGACCACCCTGATGGAAGAATGCGCAACGCTGCCGGACGGTGTTATAGACGTTGTACTAGCCCAGTTCCTGAGAGCGGACCCAAACACGGTTTTTAACGTAGGGAAGAGGAGCGACGACCAACAAAGCGATACAGTGCGGGAGACTCCGCCAGCCTACAATATGGCACGCTCATTATGCAGTTCTTGCGCAGACCGTATGAGCGCAGCCATTGGCCAGTACTTCAGCTCCGTGCTTATTGACACGTCTGAAAGGTTCTCATCATCTAAAGTCAGCACTCACCGAGGAAAGAAGCGGACTCACGACGAGAGCGAAGAGGACGACGACGACTTGCAAAGCGCACCCAACGAGAAAGGCATTCACGAAATTGAGAAGGCACACCGGCTATTGCGCGAACTGTGGCGCTCCTCGCCGGATGTAGTCGAAAGTGTCGTGCCTCAAATTGAGGCTGAAATAGAGGCAGAGAACCAACAGCTCCGGGTGCTCGCCGTGCAGACCATTGGTGATATGGTCGCTGGTATTGGTGCAGCAGGCCCGCCTCCACCGGTAGAGCTTGACCCTGCCGCTTATCCATCGCAAAGTCTGGAAATGCGACTACTGTCTTCGCAATCTAACGACTCCATGCTTACTCCAGCAGCTCCGCATGCGTTCTCATCCGTCTACCCGAATGCGTACCAGGCTTTTGTCGACCGCCACCGGGACAAGTCCGCACAAGTCCGGAGCGTCTGGGCACTTGCGGCCGGTCGGATTATCGCGACATCTGCCGGTGGGAAAGGCCTGAACGGCGATCAGGAAGGTCAAATGCTACGCTACCTCGCTGATCTACTGGTCGACCAAGATGAAAAGGTGCGTTTGGCCGCTGTGCAAGCTTTGGCGCTCTTTGATTTCAACACCATGCTGCAAAAGCTGGGCAAGAATGGGACCCAGACCACGGCAAATCCAATGCTGAGCAACCTGACCGATCGAATCAAAGATCCGAAACAGACTGTTCGAGCGGCGGCAATACATCTCTTGGGTCGGCTTTGGGGCGTTGCAGAGGGCGCTATAGCTGAAGGCAGTGAGCGTGTTCGAAATGTCTTTGGTCAAATACCTACGCGATTGTTCATGGCAATGTACGTCAACGATGCCAGCATCAACGATTCTGTGACTCGCACAGTGCACGAGTCTCTGCTGCCTGTCGCATACCCGCTTGTCAAAACAAAGCCGGCCATCAATGGCAACCTCCGACGTGGTGTCGGCGATGCCGCATCCGAGATTCGTGAGGCAGATGCGGACACTCTCCGTGCTGAGCGAATACTCATCATGGTGCGGGACCTGGATGAAAAGGCCAAGAAGGTGTTCACTAGCATGCAGCAGCAGCGAATGGGTAAAGCGAAGTACCTCGAAAAGTACCTCAAGGCTTGCGCCGCTGCGGATGACCACAACGCTGACACCGATACGGAAATGAAAGCAAAGAAAGAGCTCGATATCATGATACCTGCCGTCGCGAAGCTCGTACCCAGGTTGCCAGAGGCCACTGAGCACCTTAAGAGGTTTGCAGCGCACAACGACAAGCGCAGCTACCAGCTCATCCGCTTCTGCTACTCTCCGGACAGTGACTATCGCAAGATCATCAAGGCTACAAAAGAGCTCACGAGGAGACTCGAGGAAGCCCCAACCGGTGTCGCTGCAGTACTCGAATCACTGCTACCACTGGTTCGCTCTGCCTCGAATTTGGTGTACAACCGCAGCCATGTTCCGGCGATCATGGACTTTGCACGTACGGACGAGAAGGGTTTGAGTGCTGCTGCACACGAACTTCTGAAAGACATCTCGAACATTGCTCCGGATGTCTTTAAGGTGCACCTACAGGAGTTGTGCGATAGCTTGCGGAAGCGCGCACCGACTCCCAATATACCCAGTATTTCTACTGCTGTTGATGAGCTAAAGGCATGCGCTGGCTTTGCTCGGCGTTTTCCCGAGGAGATGCCTAAAAACCGAGAATTCTATCAAGCGATGAGTGCATTTGCTAAGCACGGCACACCACCCCAGGCGGCCAAACACGCGATCACAGTCATCGTCGCTGCTGCTGACAAATGTGATATGTATGTCAGAGATATACTGAAGTATTGCCTCACGAACTTCGAATATGGCGCAGAATGCTTTCTATCGAAGCTAGCGGCGCTGAGCCAGCTTCGGCTTGTCGCAAATGCAGAGACTGATGAACAGTCCGACGAAATCATGGCTGTGGCTGTAACGAAGATTCTTGGGAATGTTCGAACCAAGGATCATGATAAAGCGGCTGAATGGCGAAATGAGATTGACGACGATCTAAGCGGAAAGCTATGGGCGCTGAAGATCCTGGTCAATGGTCTGCGTGGCATGAGGACAGACATTGACGCAGAAGAGGCGCAGGAAGCTATCGTTCCGGTTGCCACTAACGTCTACAAGCTGCTCAATACGCTCATTCAGCATGAAGGAGAGCTTTCAAAAGACACGGCGACCGTGAAGTACCATCGAGCCCATTTGCGTCTTGCAGCAGCGAACCAACTCTTGAAGCTCTCGTGCAACCGCCTGTTCGACACACAGTTGACGCCCAATGACTTTAACCGCCTCGCCCGGATGGCGCAAGATCCGCTGCCGGAGGTGAGAGAAGGGTTCGCAAGGACTCTGAAAAAGTATCTCGGGCAAGGCAAGCTACCTCACCGGTTCTACGCCATTGTCTTTGTGTTTGCTTTCGAGCCATTGAAAGCCGTAAAAGACTCGACCACCACGTGGCTCAAGGCCCGCGCGGCTGTCTTCACGAAGTCGAACAGTACGGTCATGGAGACGGTGTTTTCGCGACTCTTAAGCCTTCTGGCACATCACCCGGACTTCAGTACGAATCCAGAAGATCTCGAGGATGTCGTTGGCTACATCATGTTCTATCTGAAGACTGTGGCCACCGAGGCGAATCTTCCACTAATCTATCACATTGCACAACGGCTGAAGTCTGTCCAAGATGGCATTGACCCAGACGTAAGCGACAATCTGTATGTCATGTCCGACCTTGCAGAGGCCGTCATCAGAAACTACCAGGATCACTGCGGGTGGGCAATGATGCAGTACCCGGAGAAGGTTCGTCTGCCTACGGGGATATTCGCGCAGCTACACAGCCACACTATGGCGCAAAACATTGCCGAGAAGCGCTACATTACCGAGAAATTTGCTGAGCGCATTGAGGACCTTGTGAAGTCAAACCTGAGGAGCAAGAAGCGCAAGTCTGACGACACGATGCAGCAACCGGCCAAGAGGTCAAGAGCTGCAACCAACGACCCTGAGCAGGCGCTTGCCGGAGCTAAGAAGCGTCTACCACTGCGCAAAGCGCCAAAGACTGCCAAGACACCGAAGAAGACCACCGTCGCCGGTGCGACTCTGTCTACGGACCGCAGGAAGAGCGCTCGTGCGTCGAAGGTCAGTACGTATGCGGAGGAGAGCGACAGCGACATGGACGAGGACATGGAAAGGTGGCAGGATGACGAAGAAGAGCAAGTGTCCTCGTCCACGCCGCCGACAAGCGATCCGACTCCTGCACCGCAGGAGCCTGAGACGACGTCGAACGGCAAAGCCGAGGCGAGGGGGAGGTCTCAGCCTGTGTGTAGACCACCAGCACGTGGTAAGAAGCCTGTGAAGAGCAGCGAAGACAAGGACATCATGGATGTCCTGTCGGACAGTGACGATCAGCTCTCGGAACCACCGAGCGACGTGGAGGCTTGAGACGGGTTGAATATGTTTGCTATGTGGAACTTTCAGTTTGAGCGTTGGTGATCTGCTGAGTTCGTAGCGAAGCGTAACCTTTCTACAGCCACCGCTGACAGTGCCGGCAGGGCGGCGGAAGCGATCATTAGCGCGCGGAAGAGACGTTCTAGCGACGTGGTCCAACCACGATCAGGAGTGTGGCATGAGTGACTGGGTGAGATGTGTCTAGTGAGAGGTGGTTCGGTCTCGACACTCGCGCTTAGTACCATCGCCTACATTGACTAGACTCGGCATCTGACCATCCTGACACAATGTCTCAAGTCCAAGGCAGGAGCGAGAGCTCGCCTACACTCCTCGGATACAAGCAGCCTGCCGGATATCGCACGCAGTAGTCATCGTACATCCTCCAGAAGCTCCCGTGGCATATACGGTCGCCACGATCAATACCTTTATCGCGATGGCCGTACCGCGGTCTTCGCTTGCCGTGCCCACACGTCTTCGCGGCCACAATGGCGACAATGAGCGCTCGAGCGGAATGATCTCCCGGCGTGCTGCTGAAAATGGCGTTGACGAGATCCTCCGGCCACTCCAGCAAGGCACCATAGGTTAGTAATTCGTCCATGGCGGCAGCCTGGTACGGTAGTGACTTGAGCGAGAGTCCATGCGCAATGGCGGAGACTAAGCGCCGGCATTGGGAGTCGATGTGCCACTCTGGGCTCGTTGGACGTGGCGGATGTTGTATAATACGGCCACTGTGCGTCCAATCCCAGAAGTCTGAAAAGTCTGCAAGGTTGATCTTCGGCAGTGGGATTGATGTGATAACACTCTCACCGCCAGGGCCGCCGGTAGACTTTATGATGGTCGTTTGCGGTTCATTGTGGGCCGCGAGGTCTGAAACGAACTTGCGTGGAATTTCGAAGATTGCCGCAGAACGCTCGTCGATAGTGAGTGTTACAGTATCCAATATACTTCCGCTACCGAGGCATCAGTGACTGGAGCCGACCTAAGGTCAGTTATATCGTACGTACTCTGGTAATGATAGAAGTCTCTGAGATAGCGGTGGTCTCGCCATTGGTAAGCCTTGACTTTCTGACAGCGGTCGGACTCGCGCAAGTCCTTTATTTTCAGGTGGAGGGCTGTCCGGTATGGCGGTCTCTATATCTGTCTGGTTGTCTCGTAAAGGTCGCAGAGCCTTGGGTCCGGATGTCAAACATGCAGGATGCTCGGTATTGCTGGGCGAAGTGGGATGGCTTTCAATATCGTCGGAATTGCCCTTTCTAGGTGTGAGTAAACGCCGGAACATTATGCTCGAGTCCACCGTATGCCTGCGTTGCAGGGTTGGTGTCGACGTGGTTGCTGCTTTGGGTTGAAGCTGAGTTGAGCTGCGCTTGCTGCTGCTGGAGAAGATGAGGGAAGCATCATGGCGATGCTGAAGCCTAGCAATTGTCTTCGCGACGAAGCACAGCTCGCGGTTAAGCGCGGCAAGCTTTTCGTCGAGGTCAGTGAACAAGTCGAAAGGGCTTGTAAGAGCACAGTAGTCTGCGATCATTGTGGGAGAACGAGGCTCGCAGGATTGTGCAGTTGGGAAGGAATGTGCGAGGAGGGTGAGAGAAAGTGAAGGCCTTTAATTTGAGGTCTAGCGCTTCCTTGCATCCTACATACTATACTTCACTCACCGATCTGCGAAATACAGTAGTCGCAGCGCCGTCTGATGTGAGGCGCCTTTGAAGCTCACCGACTTCGAGTTGCTGCAGCTTAATTTGGCTGTAGCTCCTTGATTGGCCAGAAATCCCCCGCTCGGCGGGTGGCTCCGTCTGGCTTGCATTGTACCTGCAGCCGGGTTGCCCTTAGAACAGCCTTGCGGAATTCGCGCCGTTTGCGGTCTCATATACAAAGCCAACGGCATACATGTATTCGCCGCAATGACGACTGTTGCATAGTAGCATCCCCTCCGTCAAGTCATGGGTTCGTCGGTCGACCTGGCCGCTGTGGGCACAAAGCTTACCAACGAGGAAGCCCATATCCATAAGGACAGGGTGGCGGACATACTGGGCCGCAAAGTCTTGACCTTCCCAGGGTCGCAGCCGGTGTCGTTTGCTCGGGAACACATTCAAACGCTGCAGAATGAAGACTACTTTTTATGTGAAAAGACCGACGGCGTACGGTGTCTCCTCTACCTCACCCAATGGGTTAATGAGCACCAAGAGCCAAGCGAGATGCAACTCCTCATCGATCGCAAGAACGACTACTACTGCGTTCCCATTGATAGTCTCCATCTTCCGACACCGAGTGACCGTGACCCGAGAGGCTTCGACATTGCAGGCTTCCACAAGGGTACGCTACTCGACGGCGAGCTTGTTTCCCAAAAGCAGCGTGATGGCACACGCCGGCTTGCTTATCTGATCTTCGACATGCTGGCCCTAGATGAAGAGAACATCATGCCGAAAACTTTCGCCAAGCGCTATGCTCGCATCCAGGAGCGCGTGATGAGGCCGTATCGCAAGTTTTCCGAAGCTTATCGGGCAGACGTTCAAGCGCAACCTTTTGCTTTGCTGCTCAAAGAAATGCAGGCTCCATACGGCACGGAGATGATGTTCAGGGATGTCATTCCTAAGCTACCGCACGGGAATGATGGACTAATCTTTACGCCCGTCAACGAGCCGTACGTGCCAGGCACGGATAGAGGCCTGCTAAAATGGAAGCCGCCACATGAGAATACAATTGACTTTAGACTGCAGATTGGCAGCTTCCCAATGATCGAACATGATGATGGTGACCACGAGGATTGGGACGCTAAGCCGGAGATCGAGCTGCTCGTGAACCACGGCGGCGGCAAGGATGGTGGCGACAAATACTTCGCTATGCTCACTTTGACCGATCAGGAGTGGGAAGCGATGAAGTCGATGAATCAGCAGTTCGACCACCGTATCATTGAGTGCTGGCGTGACCATCACACGGGTCAGTGGCGACCCAAGCTTGAAGAGGATGGCACTCCGCGCTTCCGAGATGATAAGGACAGCCCGAACCACATCTCTACTGTAGAGAGCGTCATTCAAAGCATCAAGGACGCAGTAACGCAGGAAGACCTTGTCAAAGCTGCTGGCAAGATCAGAACGGCTTTCAAGGCGCGCTTGCAAATCAAGCAGGACGAAGAGAAGCGAAGGGCAGCCGCAGAGGCGGAGCAGAGGCGGAAACGAGAGGACGGTCGATCCCAACAACATGCTCAGGCGCAAGCAAGGGACCTCGCCCATAAGGCTCCCCAGGCTCCACATGACGCTGGAATTGACGATGGGCCATCCTACTCCGAATGAGAATATCCGGAGCCACAGATCCCAGCTTGATTCCTGAGTGTAAGCTAGGTTCGTTGACTGCTGAGCTTCGCTAGCAAGATGTTGGAATGAGTCTGTGATACCCTGGGAAATGGCGTTGATTTATCTTACAGCGTTACTGTACACCTATTACCTTACAACTTTTCACGCCCCTAAGAGCGCGCGTCCTCTAGCCCCTTCGCATCCTCAGCCGTAAAGCTTTTGTGCATCCACGTACTCTGCTTATCCAACAAACTCCGCACCGACTCCGGACTGCCAAACTTAACACGCCCTTCCGACAGCACCTCGTCATCCAGCTCTCCGAGCCGCGCCAGTTCTCGTCTCACATACGCCGTCACCAGCGCGACATCGCGTACGTCCACGTCATCGCTCGCCTTGAACAGGTTCCTCCAAACTGCCGTAGCCAGAACCGCATCGCCCTTAATCAAGCCTTCATCGTAACTCAACAGCAACCCTCTCCACTGCAGCCACAGATCCTTGAGATAGCGATTGCGTATTCCTCTCGCCGCCATACCGTGCCACACCGCCATCCGGTCCTCCGCCGCATAGAAGAAGTGATCGAGCAGACTCTGATGCCATATCCCTGCATGCTCGCGCGGAAAGCACCGTAACCGGACCGTAAGCATATACATATGCAACATCATGACCTGCGCCCAGGAGTTGAACGTCACATCTAACTCCAGACCGCCTTGCGCACGAGGTGTGAGCCACCAGCCTTCGCCTTCTCCCACGTCTTCTCCCGCGGCGTTCTTGGGAGGAGGTTGCGCCGGTTTCTGCATGACGGAGGGCACGGTATAGCTGCATTGCGCGGCGCAGGCGCGGAAGAGATCTTCGGTGCTGCCGTAGGCGATGTAGGGTTCCGTCGTCCCGCGGAGGACGGGGGAGTTGCGGAGGGTCGAGGCTAGGTTCTTGGGAAGAGGGAGGGTTGGTGGTGGTTGAGATGAGCCTGATGGCTTAGCATTGCGAGTCGCTTTCTTCTCATCCGCGCGAAGTCGGGTGGCTGAGGAAACGGTTCGGATGGCACTATGTTGCTGAACTGGGCGCAATGTTTGCTGATGGTGGAGTTGCTGTCGTAGTTGCTGCCGTAGGGTGCGGAGACAGGAGTTGCAGACGGATGAAGACGCCATGGTTGAACAGTGGATGGGAATGTATGGCGTGGTTGCTTTGTCGGACAGCTTTTTGTGGTAGGACGAGCTGCATCCGACTGCGCGGCCGCCTCAGATCTCCCATTCATGAGCTCACCAGATCGCGCTAGCAGGGGCGCACAGGCCAATTAAAGGCCGCCAGTTAGCACCTCCACCACTTCCCCAATACGCCTTGTGATCCTTAACCTACGTCGACTGCAAACCACCGCAGAGTCAGAGGTTGGCGGCGATTGTTACGACACGTGTGGAACAAGCTTGTTATTTCAACTTTTCGTCTACACTCCGGCACCAATAAATGGAATACCTGATTAATTGGGTAAGCTCCTACCGCCGATGAAGGCGAGAATATCAATGGCCCCCCGCATGAACGTATGATATAGTGTCATCCAGCGCCTCATCATCACCGACCACCGTGACATTCTTGACGTCCGGACGCTGCTTCCTCGGTCCGCTACCGTTCATCGTCCTCGGCGCTCTTGCCGGCTTCACAGGCTTGCTCGCCTTAGCTGCAATTGCCGCCCATGTCTTTGGTGCGGATGCTGCTGGCGGTACAGGCGCCCAAGCGTGTTGTGGTTTGCCTTGCGCCTGCACTGGATGACCTGGCTGGCGGACATACAGCATGTCGCTGTCTGAGCCCGAAGACCAAGGCAACGAAGACTGCGGCGAAGACGGTGCTGCTGAACTGGAAAGTAGACTCTGCGTTAGAGTTGTGGCAAAGGCCGATGTAGCGGAGGTGGTGTTATTGACCGCTGCCGTGGTAAAGGGCGTGCGGCTGCCAGCATCGTATCTGAGGTATTCGGTTTCCTGTCGTAACACTTAGCTGCTGTCAGAAAACCAGGTGTCATGTATTGCAAGCTTACAAACGCCAATCTCAACCCAAAGTATTCAGCTCGTTCAGCACGCGATTTGTGTGTACTCTCCATCTCTGCCATACGTACCCACTCGTCTTCATCATCGTTTTCGAACCATCCCGAGCAGAAGGAGAAGTGCTGCCAGACCAAACCATGACAACTATAGTCCTCCGGCAACGGCTTAGCTGACCGTACGTTCTCCGAACCTGGCCAGCTCTTTTCGTGAGCACTTCGCACAATTCGAGCGGAAATCGGATAGTGTTGCGCCACTACATTCAAGAACGAGCAAATTTCACCCCACGGGAAATCCGAGAGGCCCAACAGAGTTCTCAACGCCGTATGAATGACTGGTAGAGCTGCACAAGCCCGCTCCGCCAAAGACAAGCAATGAGCAAACGAAAGCATGACCTGATTGAACGCCGTTGCATCTTTCAAAGCTGTGCCGGTGCGACACCGCAGGCCCGTATCCCAGCAAGCGAGTGTAAGCCTCTTCGCCCAGGTGAGCAACCGGAACGCTTCCGGACTATCTAGGTCGGTCTGGGCTGGTGGGAGGTATGAGGCGGCATTGGCGCCGAGTGTTGAGTTCGAAGATGACGTAGTCGGCCGGGATTGCTGGATGGTGTAGTCTAGGGCAATCCGTAGCGGGTTGATAGTAGATCCGTGGCCAAGGAGGGCAGAGATGTTGGCGACTGCTAAAGGAACTCCGCAGTCGCGCCAGCGGAAGCCATCAGGTTGCTGCAGAAGACCCATGGCCTTGTCAAACGTGGCGCTGATGACTGGCTCCGGCCTGGCCAGAAAAACCTCTGCATGGACTTTGCAAAAAGAAGCCTCAATGAGCAAACTCAAGGGTCTGGCGGGCTGGGCCTCGTCGGCAATAGGACCACAGAGGGTGGCTAGAGAGTCTCTGGCGTTCGGAAAGGCGACCTCGCATGTGAGCGACTTGCCATAGCAGGCGAATTTGCGAAGGCTTGGGCGCTCCAGAATCGCGAGGTGGTGATACAATCTGCCCACCTGTGGATGACGATCCGACGCTTTAATGTACCAGGATGCCGCCACACTGCCCCATTGAGCATGCGCCTCCCTCTCCTCTTCCACAGCCATACGATAGCGGGCAAGGTCACCTAAACACTCGATCCAGGTGTCCAGGAAGACTGGCACAGTCTCGTACAGTAGAGCCATCATCTGGTAAGCGAGGTAGATGAACGAGATCATATAATCTTGCGAGTCTGGCCTGCGGTGCCTGAGAACTTCCAGGAAAGCATGTATTGCGTGCTTCCACATTCTTGCGGGCATGGCGTATTTAGTTGGCAGTGCTCGCAATGCTGGGGTTGCAGACGGGTGCTGCGTTGCCATTAAAAAGTCATGATGCTCGTATAAGAGCGTACGATGTAGTGCAATAAGTGCTTGCCACTGACTAGTGTCGAGCTTGGAGCTTGGATCCGCAGCCTGTGCGGCGTCAATATTGATACATTTGGCCTCGACCATTACAAGCCCCGCGTAAATGCCCTTGATCTCTGTAGTCAGTTGTTCTTCCGAGATAGGCGAGCTATCAGGTTGAAGTATCAGACCGGGATACTTTGCTTTCTCGGCCAGGGTGAGTACTCCTGTTGGTCTTGGGTGACCAAGCGTACGTGCGCCATTTGGCTCCCTAGCGATCTCTTTTGCCAATGCTGATGCTTTATTAACGGTAACACCGTGGTTCGACAAGTCTTCTTGGAATGTATTGGATCGTGATGGCATAGTCTCATATCCTGAGTCTTGCCACCGCGGTGGAGGAAATTCGCACTCATCCTGAGATAGATGTACTTGTGCAGCATTGTCTGCACCGCAGAGGGCAACCTGTCAGCTGTACGGTCAAGGTCTTGTATGAGTCACACTCACTACGCTGCAAATATCGTGCGGCCTTTTGCGAATCACTGTGAAGAGCACCGCTTGGTTGCCTTGCGCCCGCCGTATGGCCGTGGCGTTGGGCTCTCCAGCCGGGCGACTGCTTACTTCCAGGCGGCCTCGGAAGTTCTCGGCTAGCAGAACGTTTACCAGTGACCACCGGCGCTCCGTTCAAGATACCCCGGCCGCGATACGCTCCTGGCGTGGTGCGCATTGATGCATCGTGTTCTAGAGACAAACGTCCCAAAGGGACGTCGGCCGTGGGTGAATGGCGCTGCTCTGGAGTCTCGGGAGGCGTATAATTCTCGCCGTCATTCATACGCATCGATCCTTCACAGACTGAAGAGTCGGGTGTGTAATCCTCACAGGGAGACTGGACAAATTCCGGACTATAGGCTCCCGAAAATCTGTTGACCGTCAGCATGCGACTTCCTTTCTTGTCAGGCGCCACCATTCAACGCAGCAAACACGCAGCAGACCGGCATACGGAGACGGTTTATGAGCTGGTCGACGTACACAGCTGCCTGGCCATTGGGGGCGTCATTGCTATGGCCACGAGGGGTGGCGCTCGTGTTTAGGCGTGGTGCGGGCCGGCCTTGCCGAGACGTCGCCAATATCGTTTGCGATTGCGATTGCGGCTTTGCGCGGCCTTGTTGGCCACGCTGAACTCGCGTCCAGCCATGCCCGAGCTCCGCTGGCTCACCCATGGAAAAGACGATGGTCAGGAGACAGGATCAGGTGTGTGCTCTATTGGTGGTAACCGGAAGCGGATTAAGCTGATTGGTGGGCTAAGCGACGTCAGCTTAACCGGTTCGCGTGAAATCCAAGCTGTGTTCCGTATGCACAGCCTTATCTGCCAGCTGCCGCGTTTGGACCCAGGAGCGATGATGGAGAAGGAGTTGAATATCGTCGACTCACCTGTGAGATTGGCGTCCGGAGTCTGTTCGCGTCACTAGCAGGACCATGCCTCTTAGAGCGAGAAGATCCTGCGGCAGTCTGCTTCGTCAGATGTCTCCGAGACGGCCCGCTTTCGCTGTGTTACGGAGGTTGCACGACTACTGTCATCGACCGGCCCACCGAATGGGATTCATGTGAGAGCACCAGGAATTGAATCACGATAGCAGCTCGCCATTTTAATGCAATGGTCAGCAAAGGCAACCTGCAACCAAACTGTTGCATGTCGTGGGGCGTAATCCGATGCTCAAGCGAGAGTATTGCCTTAATTGTGGCGTCTAGGCATAAAGGCAACTGGTTCGCATTATGCATTGCGAACTTTGTACAATCATCGCGAGCGAATCCCTTCACCGGTCTGATCGTGCTATGGCAGGGCCGACTCACAGACCCTCGTTTATATTTTGTTACAACCCAGCGCAGTTGTACTGCTTGACTCCTCAAGAAGCGCTCAGCCAAAGACGGCAAACAGTCACTACGCAAAGGCTGTTGCATCAGACGGCGCTCATGGCGGGTTCATTTACCTGTCTAGCCTCCTTAGGTGGTGTGTCGCCATCGTGCAGTCGGAGTGGAGCATTCGGTCCAGTCTGCCGCCCATCTGCTTGAGTCTTCATTCAGTTTCGGATCATCAGATACTCTGTGCTACCGAGACGTTGTGATGAAGGCAGATCCCAGCCCAACCGTTTTTGAGGGGCTGCACTGGCATGCTACCAGTAGGACCGGTCAGCCCTGCAGGCAATCAACAACTGAGTGATTGGGAATAGGGGGGCCGCAATGGCGTTCAGCAAGGAAGCTCTTCGGCAGCTTCCAACGGACCACTCACCAATGCACACCCTGATGTCCAGAGGCAGGCTGTAAGACCCTTTCGTTCTCATTATCACTTCTACGGCGTCGGACTCCTCCGGTATAGCACAAGGCGATAATGGAAGGCAGATATCGACTGATAATGCAGTTGGCTACACTGTCGCTGTGTGCTGGTCCAACCGTCTGTCTACCTTGACGACGTTTTCCGCCATGAGGACGCGATGCGCGGCAAAGGCCGCAATTTCTGATGCATCGTTGAAGAGTGGTTACCCGTCAGATGTCCCTCATCTCATTATCCTGATTGAGTATAATCAAGAGCATAAGCGCGGACGCTTGGAAGTGTATCCTCAACGCCAAAACTTGGGGAAATTGATATTCCACTGGAACCGGCCATGCGCACCATTTGCGGCAAAGGCAAGCGCGTGGCAGGAAGCTGACTGCCCGGTGGCTGTGGGCGTTTAAAACACGCAATGACCGGTGATTGACTCGCGCATTTCAACATTCACAAACAGTGCTAAATTCACCTAGTGCAGCCGCTTGTGCACAAGGGTGACCAGTCTGTAGACTTCCCATATGCTGCTGGGAAGTCATACGGGATCGGGCCCTAAAGCACTGCATGGCATCAGGGAGGGCGGCCTCAGCGAAATGTAAGCACAACATACACGGGCCCGGACGTCAGCCGCTTTTCAGCCGTAAGCTCGGGTCGCGGCTGGACTGACTCTGCTAAGCCGCGCTTTATAGGAAAGGCTTGTAACGTCCTCGACTTCAATACGCCGACGTCGTGGGCGGCTTGCAGGTTTATTGCGAGGAGAACGGACACAGACGTTGATGGTCCTTTCCCCTAAAACCGTCTCGCAGAAGCATACGTCCACCGTCAGCACGACCGCGGTCGTTACGTTTTCGGATTCGTCACGTCCAGGCTATGCTAGCCCTCCCGGACTGTGCTTTACCTACTGAGCCGCTCATACGTGGACTCCTTGTGCATAACCGGGCAAGATTGCAAATGAGCCAGCCCCTAAAACTGGAACGGACAAGCCTCCTTGACGGAAAACCATCCGTACGTGGATGACGGTACGTCTATAGCTATGACCAAATATTCCGACTGGAGAGTCTGTATTGGATCCTTAGCTGAGCGTGGTCGCTGTCGGCTTGTCGTTCGCCGCTTCACCAAAAGAGATGTAAATAACATTGCGTCCCCAGCGTGAACGACGTGCTTGGTGCCGTGGACGACTCGAAAAAGTCCTTACGGCGTGCCCTAACGACTTCCTACCTTATGTGCATGGCATGCATGTGCTATGAGCCCCGACGATATAAGCATTTCCTTTCACATATATCTCCGACAGAGTTGGTGAAGCTGCAAGGTAGCAATACAGTGGAGCTAGAAGGTCGCTTAGGCGTAATGAGGACCAGTACCACATAGCTCAAGTACATTTCATGTGGGCGTAATAGGAGAACGTACTCTCGAACGATATTGGCATGTAGTTTCGGTTTAACGAGAGTTGTGTCGAGGACGAGCACGCTCTTGGTCCATTCGCTGATTCCGGTGTTTGCCACATCCATAGAAACCCACTCCGCTTGAATGCTTTTAATCACTAGCTGGCTGTGGTTAAGCATGCCGCTTCTTAACACGTTCTGTGCCCCATGATGCCTGTCCCATACAGGGCGTAAGAGGCAGTGCAAAGTATGGGGCCGGTTGAATGCTTCAGGCCGTCCAGGGCATGGCAAACGAAATTTTCTAAGCTGCCAACCCTGTCTTTTCGAGTCATCAACAACAAATTAGCTGGATTGCCTACACTCCATAGACAATCCCATCTGACCAGGCTTAGACCCCTGCCGTATGGCAGGGCGAGAGACTGGAGCTGTGATCATAGCAGCAGAAGACGGCACCATCCCTCTGCTGAGGCTGCAGCGTATGAGTGGTCCATGAGAAATGTGCCTGCCCAGCGCAAACAAGCCGTAGCCAGGGTCATCGTCAGCGATCGAATTGTTAGGCGCTACAAGTGAGACTGTCGGCCACGTTGGCATGCGATTGCCGCAAGCTCCAATTTACGGTCGCCCAACAGCGGGGGAATGTGTTCATCTTTGCACTGATTGGTTGCAGCAGACACCGTCGAGGCAGGTGTGACAGTGCTGGGGTGTTAACAAGGTAGGTCATGCCCAAGTTTCAGGATGTGCGCCTTGCGGAGGGTAAGCCTGCTCACGCTTGCATCACGCTGTACAATCGTTTCATGAAGATCAGAAAGCACTGTATTTCGACGCGTTCGCCTGCCTTGGTGCCCAGGATTCGCCACTATTGCCACACCTTGGAATGGTAAACTCCTCCGGTTACGTCTCACCGCATCCCAGCGAGGGCGGAGAGCGGCAGTCTTCGGAAGTAATCGGGTTCTGCGTCGAAGAGACTGTTTACCACGAAGAGACCGTTAAACCGCGTAGCTTCATACGCACTCTTGCCAGTCGCCGTTTCTGTCAGATGACAAAAGTCTACCGCGGTATACCGAAGTGATGTCCAAATTAAACAAGGGCTGTCGAGACCGGTGAAGGACGACAGACCTCAGCCTTGCGGCGGCCTCGCGGGCTGACTTACGTAACACAGGAGTCGCTAGGCTTGCCACACTTCCACTCGATTTCTTACGTGTCGTATTGCGTCGCGTATACTAGCGTGAGCTCAGCCGCGTAGATACGCAAGATGAAGCTGTATGGAGTTCTGGGCACGAATCTTGGGCGGTGCTCAGCCTGCAAAGAGACCATCCACGGAGCGGTCCATCTCGGCCAGCGATCCACAAACGCGGTTGGTCCGGTACAAGCGATGCTTTCGCGCCATTCACGATCTTTGCAACAACACCTCGCGGGATCCTGCCAATGATGGACCTCTCTTTCATCAGCTCACTCAGGCGCTCGACAGACTTGTGGCGCTGACAAGAGAAGAATCGAAAGCTCCGGTAGCAAACCATCTGTGCCTGCAGTATGCGGCAAACGCGCAGATATACACCGTCATTGGCCGTGCCGCCATTGTCTCCCAGGACGAGCACATAGTACGATCAGCTGTCAGTTTCTTTGCCGCCCTAGTCGACAGCGAAGAGGATGATTTCCTCCTCAATCGGCAATTTGCTAAGTCGTTGATACGTTTGGCGACGAAAGTCCTCGAAGGCGGCGAAATCGTCGTTGTTCGTGAGACGGAAATAGCTATTCTCGAAGTCCTCTTCTCCATCTCCGCAAAGATTCGCTTGCAGCCAGAGTCTCTACTACCGGTGTGGTTTCAGTCCACCGTGAAGCCTGGGCTTGAAGACATTTTCGTGAGAGAGAAGAGAAGCTTCGTTGGCATCACGCAAAAGGCCGACTTTCCGCTTTGCTATCTTTTCATTGATCGCGTGCATCATGAGGGCAGAGTCGGCGACTTTGCCAGAACGGGCTTGCTTCACATCTTCGAAGCCACCGGGCGCTCGACAGCACTCGAAGAGTGGATCGTGTCCAGTGATCTACCGACTCTCTTGGCTTCTTCCCTCGGCGCTCTCTACAGTCAGCTTAGCCGCGAGCTTTCAATTGTGCATCCAGATACTCAAATACCTGCCGTGCTTGCATTGAGTGATTACACCACAAGCCATGCGCGAGCGACGGCGGAGTCAGCGTTCTCTGAGGAGCATCAGGCGCACATGAAAACCTTCCTTTCCTATCTCATGTTCTGGCAAGATGTGGTGGACTATTGTAAGAGTGCTGATGTCAAGCAGACCCTGCTTGATCACTTTCAGATACTCTTTCTTCAGCAACTACTCTACCCTTCAATCCTCCAGTCTAGCGACAAGGATGCCGGTAGTTCAGTAGCCGTGCTCACCTATATGACAACACTGTTGGATGTTCTTGATCAGCCAGATCTTGTGCACATGATCCTAACATATCTGCTGCCGTCAAAGCAGCACGCTGAGGAGCAGTCCCCATCTCCAGCAATCAGGAAACGGCCATCCATGCCACCGAGGTCACCTACTGCGCTCAAGCGAAGACAGAGTTTGATGCTGATCACAGCCCCACGCAATCCGACGGACGCTGTAGAGCCCGCGCTGTTCGATCTGGCGGACTTCATCCTCAACAGCCTAAGATCAAGCAGCAGTCAAACCGTCTTTGCAGCATTAAAGTTGACCACCACACTTGTCGTTCGAGACGCCCAGTACGCTCTCGGCCCCTTGCTAAGAGTACAACGCAGAAGACAGTCGGGTGTCCGTCCTGTCGCTCCTGTTGACAGCGTGGCACTCAAGGTCGACACCATCAGCCGTAGTGATGACGACGGCGGCAGGCCACGAAAGACTCTTGGTACATTTGAAGTGGAGACCGAGCAATATCTAGATGTTGTAAGCCGTCTTCATGATGGAAATATGCCGGAAGACGCTTATGCGTCCCTTTGCGACGACCTACGGTACTCTATGGATGTTCAGCCATCGCAAAAGGTTTCGGTCGGCGGACAGATGGATGATACAGGACTTCATTACCAAGTTCTGCGTGAAGATGATGCCGTCATGCATAACCTCACCACCTATCTGCGAACTTTCTTTACAAACGATGTAGATGTCAATCTGGCTCTGACCGCAGCAATCGCATCAGTCGCTACGTGCACCAATCTGCGCCTCGCTGATGGATGGATCGGGTACCAGCGCATGCCCGTTCAGACCTCTCAGAGGGGTGAGAACGCACCTAGAGCGTGGCAGGCATATCTGGACGACGAGGAGAAGGAGGCATGGTCTTGCTTGCGCAAAGCGTTAACGCACCCAACATTGTCGCCTAACGACACGCCGATCGTGCTTCGAATTTTGCAGTCGCTTGTCGCGGAGTGGGACTACTTAGCCAACACCGTGCCCGACTTTGCGCAACTTCTGGCACAACGCCAGAGTATGCTTCAAGATCTCAACCAAGAAGATAAGGTCAGCGAACCTCCGTCACTCATCAGCGGATATGCGGAGGCTAGTAAGCAATCACGCGGGCACAGCAGGATCTCTACCATTTCACCTCCAGCTCGTGGCCGCGACAAAGCCACCACTGTAGGCGGATCGTCTTCACTCTCACGGAGTCAAGCCGTAGCGCCTGCCTCACATCATCGGACGAGGAGTGACCGTGTACAGTTGCATCCGCCGCCGTCGATGTTTCAACCACCACCGCCGGAGGCTCCAGAGACTCCAGCTACGACAGACTCACTTATTCAGAGCGTTACATTTCCAGCAGAAGCACAACATGACGGCCTGCCAACTACGGCTGTCTCGACAGAACGCTCCGCCAGTCTCAATCACGTATTGACGAACGCCGTCCTGCTGCAACAGTTCGCTCTTGAGCTGCTCGCCGGCCTGCAGGTCAGGGCTGCCATCCTGGGCGATGCGGAGTTGCGGTTTGCGCGACCACTTGATGAGTCCTTGGATCTGTACTGAGGCGTTACGACGTTGGGCCGTGACTGAAATACTTAGACAAAAACCCTTGGGGAAGCTTTACCTGGCTGTTTCTCGAGTTTGTCCGCACTCGTGTTTACGATCCTGCATGCCATCGTCTCTACCCGCTCGTAAAACGTAGTCGACGGTTGATGCAACATGAGTATGCCCCACAGCGGTATACGCAAGCTGTGCAGTACATAGAGAAACCGAGCTGCACCGTTCGGTGGATGTGGCTGAAGGGTACATGATGCTCTCTTCGGACGCAACAGTCATGCGGTATCTTGGACAACAGACGAATGCGAAAAGGTTACGATAATATCGTCATCTTCCTTTATACCTGAGCGATCTTGTCGTTACCATTACATATACAGCCTCATCTACATCTTCTTGGACTGTCCCTTCCCTTCCCAGTCATGGCGCTCATAGAGGCCAAACCCATAACGCCTCGCTGAAGGTTCGATTCGGACAACTGGCTGCAGCTGATACAGCAATGTGCTGAAAGGGTATCGTTCGTAATGCGATGAAACGGTTTTGATGAGTGCGAAATATGAGGCGCAGCGACTCTTCACCGGCTCGTCCTCGAATCAAAGCTCCTTCGCACGTCCGGATTCGTCACGCCAAGCGGCCGGCTGTAATCCTGCGCATCCTGCACAGATATCCGACTGCCACTCCCATCCGCGTGCAAGAAGAGCGCTGAAGGGTTCAGCCTCTGATCGTAGACGAGCGGCCTGCTATGCCGCCTGCCACCAGCGTCCTCGTGAGTGCTGCCTAGCGGACTTACCGGACTGACCGCTTGAGCTTCGCTCGCGGCGGCACTGGCGAAGAACGTGGAGTGCCGCATGCTGTTGTGGCCGGTGCCGTAGATGGGCGGATCGAACTCCTTCTCTGTGATACTTGGCGCGCGGCCGCGAGAGAGAAGGCCGGTCTTGCTAAGTACGCTGACGTTGCGTCGCGGGCTGTTGGGGCCGCTTCGCTTCTGGGCAGCACCCGCCCCTTCAGCATCGTCATTGTCACCTTGCCTTCTTCGCCGCCGGACAAGCACTGCCCCGACAACGAGAGCTATGGCACCTATTAGGGAGGCTATAACGATACCGGCGACCGCGCCACCGGAAAGACCTTTCCGCTGAAAGGTCATGGATTCTGAGCTAGGTGCTGGTGCCACTAGCGGCGTTGATGTGACTGTGTGAGTCACGATTGCCCCGGCAACCGTGACAACCTGAACGCTCGTTACCGGAGACGGCGTCAGCGATGGAGACATCCAGCTACTCGACGTTGTGGGCGTAGCCGCCACTTGTGCGACAGCAGGTGTGAGTGTACTACTCAAAGTCGGAGACAAGGATATCGAAGAAGACGATGACGAACTCGGAGTGGTGGAGCTCGATGGAGGTGTCTGCGGAAGACCAGTCAGCTAGTGCTTTCGATTGTGGGTGTGCGATCGCTAGCAGAGAGTATCAGGGGGGATAACATGATGCTCCGCACAACCGCATAATGAAAACGGTGCACTCATACTGGAGTTACATGAGACACCATGATGCTCGCTTGCTGACTTTGCACCACCGTCTGGTAGATTGTTACACTCACATAGCTGGTGGCGGGATCTTGCGAGGTGGTTGTAGGTTGCTGTGTTGTGGTCGTTTGCTGTGTACTCGACGTTGATGTGCTTGGGCTTGATGTGCTCGACGTGGGTGTGCTCGATGTTATTGTGCTCGACAGCGACTACAAGGGCGTAGGGGTCAGCATTTCGATGCATCATGGGAGACTCGTTTTATTTGAACGGGCAAGCCGCAATGCAACTTCCAAGATAAACTTGGAAGCTCTAGGATCAGTAAGAAGTGCGTTGTTTAAACCATGGAAGCGCGCCCAGGTTCAAACCTGGCGAGGAGATAGTGGGTTGGCAGGGAGAGAACTTGGAGCGTTACTGACCGATTGTATAACTGATGTTGCGGATGTGCTGCTCGGCTGTGAACTCGAGGCACCAGTGGTACCCGAAGCCTTAACGTTAGGCAGTTGGATATACCCGTACAGGCCTGTAGTTGCATTGCCACACTTGTCGTCCGGGTATCCTGGACAATTCTGGTTGCAGAGGCCGATGCTCTGCTGGTCCCCAGGGATGTAATTAGAGCACCAACACTGTTGGTATTGTACTATGGCGAACGCGTAGCTCGATTGACATTGATCGTAGCATGCGCCGTTCGATTGGTAGATGTTGAAGACTTCGCGAAGTTAGCGCTTTGCGAATCAGCTGTGATGATTAACCGTAGCGTACCTGCATTGAAGTTAGAGCCAGTATTCTGGCTCGAACAGTATGTTTGCGAAAGCCCACTGTTGCTGCCGTCGGCAGCGCTTCTATGTATCAATGCAACCACCAACACCGCTACCGGCCATAGTCGAAATCGCCTGGTGTCCGTCATCCTGCCTGTCTCAGTGACTTGCGATTACTTCTTCCGGTTCGCCGCTGTTACGATTCCATGAACGCGAGTATGAAATGCGGCTTTCAAAGGTCTGGTTCGGCGTCAAGCCAGTGCAATTGCGAAGCGAATGTGGTCGTGGTGCTGGGTCGAAGGTAATGGTTGTCGTTTATTGTGGACCGACCCTTTCCGTGCAGTTCCTTTCCTCAAGCAAGAATGAAGGTCGTATCACAGATTGACGTCGCCGTCCCGGTTGGAAATCCGTCGAAAAAGGCCCTGTCATGCGGGAGCTACTAATAGTACGGAGGTGTGGACAGAAGCGTGCCGAGATGATGGTGAGGGGTGAGATCTCCTATGAACAATATTGAAACGTTCGCTGTCAATTCAGATCGAATGTCGTCGCCTTGCAGACAAACCAGTGAAGGTGTCGCTATGGTGAATGAATGAGCAATTACGAAGGACGAGGAAGAGCGGCGGTCGGGGAAGTGCAACCGCTTGCAAGTTCAGAGTTGCTTGCTTCACCAAGTTCCCAAACCGCCTCGATTGAGATCGGCTGCAAGGTTAGCGTGCATTAGGCTTAGGAGATCGTGCCCACTAGCCTAACTAGGTGCCACTTCAACTAATTGAGATCAACGGCTAGCGGCTCGTTCTCCTTCAGGTCCGCTATGTCTCGCTGCGTGCCGTCGTGGCCGATGGATGATAGCAATTTGCGTTCAGTCCGTCAGACGTTTCCAAACACGCCAACAACATCCTCAAGTGCCACACATGCGAGCGACCGTGATACGCAATAACAGCCACAGCTTCGTGCTTGGAGGTGCTGCCGGCCCGTCGCCGCAGCAGCAAGCTGTATCCCCACGGCACTCCCGGTACGCCAGAGCAGCTTCAAACAGGTTTGAGACAGGCGAACCTGATGCCTTCTCCGCAAGACTTGCAGCAGATGCGGAAATTCGTTCAGCTGTCCACGCAAGCACTCGTGGTTGATACCATTCAAAAGCACCACAAGCTTCTCACCTACATGAAGTACATGTATCTAGGTATCCCCCAATGTGGAGCTCCAAGCTTTCGTTGCGCCTCACTTCGGCAGATCTTGACTATCTTAATACATGAACAGGTATCCTTGGTACTCTGGCAACAGCGCAGTGGCTGGCCTGGTGGGCATCTAGACTGGAATGGCATCAGGATCTGGAGTGACCGTTACCCGGAGTCACATATGCATGGTTAACAAGAGCAGCTCGTGCGGCCCCTTTGCCTGCTGCATGTGGATGAAGCGGAGCTTGAACACTAGCCACACGCCACAGACACTAGGCTACATGCATCAAGATGCATGTGTCTCCCTGCAGGATATGAGGCGCTGAAGAAGCCGACATCCTTGCAACGCTCGCATTTGCAGGTGAAGTCGAGCACCTGTGGTCCGCCTAAGCAGCACAGCGGGATGCGGGACGATGACGGTCGAGTTCACTGACGGGAGCATGAGCCGCAGACTGTTGTGCATACAGTAATACGAAGCTGAAGTAAGAATGTCATTATACAACAGCTCCTCCAGCGCCAATGCAACCAAGTGAGATCATCAAGAGCCCATTCAAAACATTCCAGGTCGAGGATCCTGCGTCCTATACGTCGGCGGCCGCAGGCTTTCTGCCTCCCATTGCCTAGTCGCATCGTCATCGTCTCTTCTGAATGCAGGATGCACTTCCTGCGGCCCTATGCCAGGATGATATCCAGTATCCTCGTCGTCAAACTCCGGTCTTCCCGGACCGTAATCGTCAGTCTTGCTCTCCGAAGGGCGCATCTTCAACACACCCACTCCATTTGAACCACCCGCCGCAGGTTTTGAGTTGTGTGGAGCCCCGAGGTCTACCTGCGAGTCATCGCCGGACGCGTATTCGTCATTCGTAGTGGTGTGGTACAGAGGCGCGCCGCGCCCTCCCGCCATCGTCGCCGAGTTCCGTAGAAGGCCTTCCCTATCGTCTTCGACGTCAAGCGACGGCGGCAAATCGTCTCGTTGTCTTCGTTTACTGTGGCTCGGTCTCAGCTCTGTCGCCGGCTCGCCGGTGCCTGCATAGACAGGGCCAACGAAGTCGCTCCCGCCACCAAGCTTGGTAGGATCGGTGTATGAGCGGTCCAGCGTGCGTTTCTTATAACCTACGAACAGCCACCTGAACCCTCTGCCCGAAGCTTTGATAATGTCCCAAGGATTGAACGCATCGCCCATTGCTTTGATACCGAGCGGGCCGCCTTTGTACCTGGGTATCTCGCCGCTGAAGCCAGCACCGGTAAGTTCTAGTGGGTCCTTGCGCTTGGTGCTGTACTCCTTCCACGGAAAAGCGAAGAGATGCAGCACGGCAAAGCCGGCCATCTCGATGCAGAGCATCACGGAGGGAATACCGACTTTGATATCTTGGTAGCTGACTTTGTCGGTAGGCTTCAACGGACCATCAGAAGAAGAAAGCAGGCTGATTACGATCTGTATGCCGCGTTAGCTGTCGGGCAAATCCAATGGCCAACTCGGGTAAGACACTTGCCGATTGCCAGAAAGAGAAGAAGATGACCAACTTAATACATAGAATCTTCAGGAAAGGCTTGTGCTCTGCCAAGTCGTGGTGCAACTGAATGTAAAATTGGATCAGGCAGAACATGGCAATGGTTACCGAGAGGGCCTCGAATGCCACTGTCCAGACATGTGCGAATGCCGGAGATAGTGAAGCTTCGCAATAGAGGCCGAACTCCTGCGTGATCACCGAGACGATGGTGAAGAAGACCCGGACGAAGCAATACTGGAAGACGCCAACCCATATTATCTGTCATTACACGAGTCAGCATGTCCTGGACAATGTCGTTGGAGCTGCGGCAGGCATACGTTGAACCACGTCAACCCACTTCGAGGCTTTCGGAACGGTCCCTTGTTCTCTCCACCCGTGCACTTCTGCAGCCCAAAAACTCCCCAGAACCAGTTGGTAGGCTTCAAGTCCCGAAAGTACTCCTTCTGCTGATGTAAGTCCGGGGCAATATAGTGACACAAGAGTGTGAAGAAGCTTGCGATTGCGAAAGCCTCGTAGCAATCTCGGAGGACCTCAAAGTATACTGCTTTTCGATAGAATAGGTAGCTGAGAGCGCTGACAACGGCGTATATGGGTATCATAAGTAGAATGCGGATGATATGCCGCTGCTCATAGGGTCGCAGGTAGTGGGTTGCATGCATGAATACCAGCCATAGCGCTATGACGACCGCGATCAGGCCAAAGACGGCACACAGGAAGAGGCCAAAATGGTGGAAGGTGAAGCCTTTCCATAATGGTACTTCGTCGATGTAGCTGTCCTCGATGGTGGTGTTGCAGTACGTCCAAGATGTTGTGTTGACCATCACTGAGTGGAAGTGGTGCGCCTAGGCGCTGTTTGCGGGATAGCAGGAGAGTGTAATACGATGGAGAAGTGCTACGCTCGAGTGGTCCTCATGCGCCAGTCTGCCAACGTCCTTCAGCTGCTCAATATGCCTACTGCGCCGAGCGAACACGAGCCTGAAAGTGCGCCTGGAATGCGGTGGTGTGATACGACCTTGTCGTGTGCGGGCAAGCGTCGTGTCTGCGCCGTCTTTCCAACTTGTTCTCCTATGCCTTGTCGCCTCACTTTCCAGCCTGCTCTTTGTCATGTGCTTGCTTGAAGATAAGAAAAGCATAGCGAATACCGCTACCTGTTCCACAGCTGAAGGAGGCGCAGTAAGAGCCAAGCCAAGCCAAGTACGCCCCTGCGGTCATGCTCGCGTGTTAATAGGCCAGATTGGGGCCGAGGCATTCACAATAGCAGTCTCCCTAATTGGCTAAAGCTTCGCTACATGTTAGTTTCAACATTGATTGAATCGTTTCGTAAAATGCGCTCACAGCTGCAAAGACGACAAAAAGCAGTAACTGCAGGGTGTGGTTGATACTCGGAATTCCGTCCAGAGGATCTAGCCACGACGGTGTAAGGAAGTGAGATGTTGTCACATCTGTGGTGTCCTATTGTCTCGTCATGGCCAACAACCTCATCTCCATGGCAGGCTGGTACTTCCTGCCAAACCTCGTCACAGGATACATCCAAACAGCCCTCTACACCCTTTTGATACGTGCTGGCGAACCAAAACCACAACCTGGGGCGCCTCGCTTCATTCAAGACCGCAAGCGCATCTTCACGGCCGTCATCCTGCTCTACCTCCTCTACACCGTCTACGAAGCAGACTGGCAGTTGCGGCTATCCGGCGACTTCTACCAGGCCCTCGGCGTCTCACACTCGGCCACAGAACGAGATGTTCAGTCCCGCTTTCGCCGATTGACCGTTCAGTTTCACCCTGACAAAGTCCCTCCTGGCGCCGACAAAGCAGCGGTCGAGGCCATCTATGTGCAGCTCACGGTTGCGAGGGACACGCTCATTCATCCGGCGAAGCGCTCCGCGTACGATCGACTGGGTTCAGACATCCTGCAGTGGCGACATTGCAAGACGCTTCGAGACTTCATAGTGACTGGCGTACAGCGTACAGCCTTGTACTACGCTGGCAGTGGCAGCGTGCTTGTGCTGCTCGGTGTGCTGGGCTATTTGCAGCAAGGAAAGTTCTGGCGCTACCTGGTGATGGCTGCGTTGCTCGTGATTGAAGTACAAACGGTGATGCGGCCCGACTTTCCGAGAGTCTTGAGTACCGTGGTCAATCCGTTTCTGGTGGCGACGAAACTCAGGTCACCGTACCTACCGTTTCAGATGCTGACTCTGCTGAGGAAGCTCACGATCACATTCTTCATTGCACTTTCACAGCTTGGACCGGTCCTCCAAGGTCCGAATGTACTGAGCGAAGACGATGCCGTGCCGCCACAGCAGCTTGACCGGGTCGATGCCCTGACAGTGGCGGCAGACCAGGAGGTTAGCCGGCTGCTAGGTCTGGAGCTTGCGCCTTTTGCGGGTGGAGAGGCGGCGATGCGAGACTTGCGCACCAGCCTAAAGGAGTGGCTGGTGCAGAATACCATTAGAAACGATCCCGATGTGAGGGCAGCGATCACCAGAACTCTGGACAGACGGAGAGGACAGGCTACTGCCGATGTCAATGGGCAGTAGTGGTTGAGATCTTAGTGACACCCGCCCTTGACCACATCTACAATCCCGCCCCATCCGCGAGCTAAAGCTCCATGGCCCATGAGACCCTTCATCTTCACGGCGACGTCCCGCCCCCGCCTCAACCAACAATACAGATTCACGGGAACCCTACGATCGCTGTCCCAATCTCGTCCGGTGTCAACGACGCACGCTTCGTAGCCTTGAGCACGTTGTTGAGAGCCTCACTTAGCCCCTCCCTAGAAACGTCTGTCTGCTTGACCGGCTTGAGTGGTGAACAATTGTGAGCCTTACAGATAACCTTCCAGGTTGATCCTCAGCTGTGTTGAGTCCAAATTGCGACGACATGTACGGTTCGTATCCGCTGACAGACAGTGTGGTAGCAAAGCAAACGTGCCATCCACTGGACCGTTGCCAGAAGTTTTCGATGGCCAGATCCCACCTTTGTACGCCGCCTTGCAATCACTGTTTGGTCCGCCCACTTCTGCTGCAAGACCAAATTCTGTATGAGGTGCAAAGGCTTGGACACGATGGGGCGTACTGAACAATGCAATTCGTTCTCGGGCGTGAGGCTCATTATGAAGACTAACTTTTCCGGGCAAGAGCGGTGTTCACAGTGCGCAGCGAAGGTGTGTGGTCGCGAAAACGGTTGCGACTCAAGTGAGAAGCCCGGGAAGGCACAAAGCTGCTTGTCATGCGAAAGCTTGTTTGAATCAATCGATCGGAGGCAGATGGACCTTTGTTGAGACTCCACGTTGATTGCGAACCACTTGGCCATGCGTACTTCAACGGTCAAGCTCAGCAGGAGCTTCGGTCGATCCCTTCGCTTCACCTCCACTGCAATTGTCGCGATGTTCCATACCACCTGCTCTTACCCGCAGCCTTCAGTGCAGCCATTCAGTTCCAGGATGCTGCCACCGAGCACATTGAAGCACTGCGGTAAAGCCACCGCCGGATCTACCGCAAGAAGTAGCTTATGGCAGCCTCGATCTCGAGCGAGCTGAGCTCCTTCGATCTTGCCTCAGCGATGACCCGATCGACAGTGTTTGATGCCACCGGGCTTGAGTCCAGGTGTCGACACTCAAAGTAGCAGAACCAGTACTCCTGGCCGCGGGAGACACTGCGGCTGATCGCTCGGTATAACCCAGCATCAGGCTACCGGTCGGCAGAATTCTTGACTTCCTTCCGGTTCAAGCCGATTCATTGCGCCGAGTAGACAGCTTCGAGTACCACCGAAGTCCAAACACCGCTGCTGTATGTGCTTGAAAGAGGCTGCTAGCCTGGGCGCTCAATGCCGTGAATGGCTAGGTGTCTAACATTGTGTACAGATGGCTGCATCAACGGCTGCATGGAGGTCACGGTGCGCTGATCTCCTTCTGCGCTACTGATCTTGAACGTTGAGTCCTTCCACAACTTGTCATACGACGAATGATGGATGGCCTTCACCTCGTGGTAGATTACCGAGCATGTCACCAGGAAGGCGTTCGACCATCCTTGAGCCTCACATAGCTCAATCTCGTCACCCTGCGCGTAGTCGGTGGCAAGGTTAAGGTGGTAGATGATGTTGCGGAGCTCACGCGCGACCTTAAGGATGTGAGACGTCTGCAGAGTCTCCTCTGACCTGGTAGCTCCTCCAGTGGTTTCATTTCCTGTCATGACCATAGCTAGAAGACAATGGCTGATCTCGACGTGCAGATCGCTAAATCCTGACGGCTAGGGACAGATCCGTATCGAGCGTGAGTGCATGAGAGGTGGTGTAAGGCCGATTAATGTGGTCAGGGACCGAGCCGACCAACCCGCGAGGAAGGCACGACAGATGTGGCAGTTGCAAGCAGATGTTATACATGATGAAGAACGCACGGTCGGACTACTCACAGCACGTTTCATGTCACCTATTGCGGCGCCTTGACCCGCAACAACTTCTCCGAGTTCTTGTAAGCGATCATTTCCAACTGCTCCCTCGTAACCAGTCCACTCTCTTCCAACTCCTCCATCCACTTGACACCATTTTCATTCTTCTCGAACGGGTAGTCAACACTGTACAGGATGTGGTCGATCTTCGTATTGTGCAAGATACACCTTAGCGGATCCAGACTCCACACGCCCGATGTCGTAATCCAGATATTCTCGTCCCAGACTGTCTTCCATTTTCGCTTTAAATCACCCCAACGTACGCTTAGCTTTGAGATACGATCAAGCATGAAGGGTATCATCTCGCCGAAATGCCCAATGATGATCTTTAGCTTTGGGCACTTGTCGAAGAGACCTGAGGCGTGCAGTTTCAGGACGTGCACAGCAACTTCGTTGTGCCAGCCCCAACCTGAAGCGGCTAAGCTGCGACTGGCGCCGTCGGAGATGTTGCCGGCGTATCTTGGTCTCATGTCTTCGGACGCCCAGGTCGGGTGGATGTAGATTGGGACGTCCAACTGCTCAGCCATTCGCCACATATCCACGTATTCTTCGCCTTCGTAGGTTTGGCCGTTGACGTGGCAATCGATAAGTGCTCCGACGAAGCCTAACTGCTTCACGGTACGTTCGAGCTCCTTGGCGCTCGCCTCGGGATCAGAGCAAGGTAGAACAGCGAAGCCGGCAAAGCGAGACTTATTCTTCTTGATCGCTTCGGCTAGCTGGTCGTTGGCTTCTCGGCATTGCTGTGCGTTAAGGGTACCGGGAGCGTGGGAGACGACTTGGAGGCTTACTTTGCCCTTTTCCATGTAGGAGAGTCGAACTTGATCGAGGTCTGTCAATTGCTCCTCCAGTCCGGGTATGGCTTTGAACTGCTCGACGTAGAGGTCATGGAGGCTGTCGCCGCAGGCGGCCGAGAAGAAGTGTTCTTCGAGCGTGATGAGTGGGGGCACCATGATAAGAGCCGATTATACTTGACCAGGTGAACAAGAGTGGCACCGTGAAGAATAGGAGAGATTGTAGTACTGCTGCCGTTGGAAGACCATGCAGTGGCAGTCATCCAACAGCTTCGAGAACGACAGCTGTGCGAATGCCACGATTGACCAGGGTCGTATAGGTGAAGTATCGAGGTGATGGACTGGTAATGATAGAACGGCAAATTATAAAGCTGCAGTATACACTCGGCTGGGATTTGACACTTGACCTTCCACTGCCATACAAAGCGTAGCGTAGGTGACGGAGGATGATGGGGCTGAAGGCTGTGGATCAAGTGGAACTTGGTCTACGTACTTTACTTTACCTTTGCATCTGTTTGAGGACACTGAGCTTGCGGCGAGCTTCCTCCCGTTATTCCTCTGCAAACAAACCCGAATGCCGACGCCTCACACGGATCGAGACCTTGCAGTATATTATCTCCTTCGCTCGCATTTGTCAACGGCGAAATATCTATACCATCACGAGCTGCTGGTTCTGGAGTCAGCCGTCAGCACTCCTTCTCAAAAGCCGAGGTCCTCCGCATCAACTTCAGCTCGTTACCGAACACCACAGGCGAGGTATAGGTCGCATTTGGATCGGACTGCTAGACTTACAGGCAAGTCAGCAATCTCACAAATATCGCCTCACCATCTTGCTTCCCTTAGCAACCTCACGATGGCATCTCCCTCCCCCAAACGCCCCTCCCTTCCTCTCCCCTCCTCCTACTCCACCCTTCCATTCACAGAGATCCGTTGTCACCATGTTCCCGCTTCCTCGCCCGAGCCCACGCGCACCATCCTGCTTGAGCTCTACCGTCCCAAGAACTACAATGCCTTCACCGAGACTATGATGTCCGAGCTGGAGTACGCCTTCACCCTGTTCGACGTAGACGACCGCGTCAAATGCATCGTCGTTACAGGCCATGGCAAAATGTTTTGCGCTGGCGCTGATCTCGTGCGCGGGTTCATTGGCGGCAAAGAGGAGCCACGGGATCACAGAGATGGTGGTGGGAGGGTAGTGCTCGCGATCCACAGGTGTAGGAAGCCGGTGATTGGAGCGTTGAACGGGAGTGCAGTCGGTATTGGGATCACGATGACGCTGCCAATGAGCATAAGGGTTGCGTACAAGGACGCAAAGATCGGATTCGTGTTTGCGAGGAGGGGTTTGGTTATGGAGGCGTGTAGTAGCTTCTTCTTGCCTCGATTGATCGGGTGCGTGTCATATCTAACATCGCGATGAAACTGATTTCCTTCGCTGACGAGACCAAGCATGTCCAAAGCTCTGCATCTGACGACGACTGGGTCGACATACCCAGCCTCCCATCCCTTGCTGAATACGCTCTTCTCGGAGATCGTTGACACCCAGTCTGCGGTCCTCCCGCGCGCCCTGGAAATCGCTGACGAGATCGTCAAGAACACCAGCACCGTCTCAACCTTCCTCATGCGAGAACTCATGTATCGTGACGCCGGCAGCGCAGAGGGCCAGCATCTCTTGGACAGCCGCATCATCTATGAGCTTTTCGGTAGCAAAGACAATACCGAGGGCGTGAAGGCTTTTATGGAGAAGCGAGCCTTCAACTTCACCGGAACCATGCAGAATGATGCTCCGGCTGGGTGGCCATGGTATCAGCCTTCTGATACGAGCGTAAGGCCCCGGCCGGAAGGGTATAAATTCTTACCTAAACTGTAGTTAGGGGCGCAATCACAATCCTGTAGACTTCTCATAGATGCCCAACTTACTGGTGGCACCACATACGTAAGATGTGCTCAGGAGATGTCCGCCTTTAGCCTCACTGCCAGGTCGAAGCTGATATTAGGCCTAGGTGGCCCAGGCTGCAGCTTGAAGCCCGCAAGGTGTCGCATGAGGCCCTCCATCCCATCGCCATCTTCCTCATTGCCTGAGATACCTGTGGCTTCCGTACACTGCTGAAGCCTTGCGTCGCGCCAGGGATCGATGGTCAAGATCCGGAGGGTGTGGACCACATCGCCGAGAATGATTCCGAGCAGGTCTTCCCGGATGTGATGCTCACAAGTCCTCAGCTTGTCAAGGTCGTGCGATGCGAACGGGAGCACAGCAGTGGTGGTATACATTCTCGCGTCATGATAGCCGAGGGGGCGAGTGATGCCGTATGCGAGCACCCTTCTCGACCACTGGATGCTCAGCATAGCGTGAATCTCCCGCATCCTGCCAGGAGCATGGTTGCTCAGCTCCCCGAGGTGCAGTAACATCGCCAGGGAGTATGGTGTGGATGCGTGGAAGTCGACCGGCATTGCTTCTGAGATTGTGGCGGTCCAGTTGTGCCTAATAAGGTGGACGCTGGACCGGTAAACTTGACCCGCTGGGCTCGCCTGCTCCTTGCTGGCTGGCAGTATCCACAACGGGATGCCAGGAATTTCGAAAAACTTGCCCTCCTGCCAGTACCCGGAGGAGGCGTTCTCGTCGTCGCCGCCGCTGCCCTGCGGTATCGATGTGGTTGGGATCATGTCCATGTCAGGCACCGGCGCGCCTCGCACGCTTCCTGCCCTGTCTCCATGCCTGCCTGCCCGCTTGCCTGTGCCATGGTGTACATATGAGCCGATTTACGTACCTTTACTGCTGGGATGCCGTGTAGTAGCAAGCGTGTGCAGCGTCTCAAGGTTGGTGCGAAATGTGAACATCCGAAGAGAAGATATTCTCACTTATCCGCATTTGGAAGGTGCGCTAGTGTGGTTGCCATGTAGACTGGCACCCTCAGCATCCCAATACGCTTCGCGAGGTACGAGCTGCTGGGCTGCCGATAAGGGCAGATGTAGCCTGCAAGGTTTAGGAATACGTGCTTGCACACTGGTGGCATCCCGGTTCTAGGAGAGTTGTGGAAGTCGCCGAGTCGCCGGTGTGGTGTGCTCAGACGTGCAATCGTTTGGAGATGTCTGGCCTGCCTGGCAGCATTCCTAACGCTATAGTCATCGTATAAGGTGTCGTAGTTGTTGTTAAGGTCGTATAAGTCAGCAGTGCTTCAAGAATCTGAGGAGTTTCTGCACGCATCCCAATTGGCGATGCGTTATTCAGCTGGTAGGTAGGCGTCGAGAGTAGATCGACACTGAGACGGTCATGGAGTGCCGGCAGCTGGCTGTCTGCTGGCAGCGTTCCAGATTGGTTCGGTTGCCATAAGCTCAATCCTAAATGTCAAGAGCAAATCAGAAGAGGAATAGTCTTGTACTACTGGGTTGGAGACAAGTATTGCGTGCGTCTCCCAGTTGGTAGGCTGTCTAAAAGCTTGTGAGCAGCGATGGAGAGTTGTGGGATGAAGCACAGCAGTTGAGAAAGGTCGTGACTGTCCTGGCGGGTTCGTTCTCGTACCTATACTATCAGTAGCAAACGCAGAGTGACAAGGCGTACAATGCCTCTTCCTCAGGATGTCAACGATCGCTCTTTGAACGGCATACAGCACTGTTGAAAGAGTAACTAGAACGCACCAACCTCCGCAAAGGCCCGTATCGGGCTCGCCGCCAAAGAAGTGTACCCGCTATCCCTTCCATTCCACCCGCCAACCTTCTTCGCCATACCCAGACAAAGCTCCACCACTCTTCCACTATCCGCAGGCGAGAGTCCCGCTCTATAGCCCTCAGACGTACCAACCCACAATCTCAAATTCGCAGCAAAGTCCTCCAAGCCTTGTGCAGCCGCGTACGGAAGGTGCCGGTCATTACTCGTAACGCGTAGCAGACGATAGGTCGCCACCGCCGTCAGCAGCGTGAAGCTGTCCGCGGGGATGTGCATGCTCGCGATCGTGCTATATGCGCGGACGTGGGCTGTGGAGGAAGTATTGGACGCGAGGAGTGAAAGGAGCTTAGCGAGAGTGAGTGCGACATGGACGTCCGCCGCTGCCGGGGCGTGGCAGACGAGATTCATGCCGTCCGAGCCTGGTGACGTGACCGGAAAGGTCTCGAGTGCAGCAATGATATTCGCGTCGCGGTGACTGTTCGATAAAACTGCTTTCGCAGCGAGGGCACGCATCTGTGTGGCGGAAGCTGGAGGAGCCACGCTGGCCGCAAGGCCAAGATAGTATTCTGTGTCCAGACTGGAAGGATGCTCGCTCAACATATCAAGTAATGTGTCATCAATCGTCAGGTTGGCGTACCAAGCTGCCACCGCATCAAGCGGTGAGCGGATGGCATGGTCTTCGATTACGCTGTCTCTGGCCACATTTGCTGTGGTGTTGTAAGCGCTCGGCTTGTCCCAAGCTAGGTTCCATGCACGCTGGATCATCTCGTCACTGAGCACATCGTCGCACTCCAGCTTAACAAGGCTTGCGAGATGGTCGGGAAGCACCTCGATCCCGTCATCATGCGACGGCCTTCCCTGAGCTTGAGCGTCCAAAAGCTCCTTCTGCAACTTCCGCGCCGAGTCCCAGTAGATCTTGCCGACCTTTTCTGTGAAGGTCTTGAAGCCAACCATGTTGCCGTAGCCGGCATTTGCGACTTCCCAGAAGAAAACACGGAAGTGTACGGCCTTCTGCATGAGCCTTGTTGGGCTGTCTGGCAAAGTGCCACTGGCCATCAACGTCAACAGCAGGCGATAGTAGCTCACTTCTGCGTCACCGCCGGCAAGTTGAGCATCTATAGCGATGTCCCAAGCCTTGACTCGGGCAGCTTCTTCCTCTTCTTTTGTGCCGGTGATCGAATTCCAAGCCTCCGTACCCACCAATCGACGAAGGCTGAGGCTAAACATCTTCCACGCCACGGCGACGACTTCCAGCAGGAAATGCTTTGGCACGTACACCGTCTGCATTGCAGTAAGCCACGCTTTGCGGCGAACTTCGACCGGCGAGGCCAATGACGGCACCTGAGGTAAACGGACGGCAGGGCGGGTTCTTTGCTTTCGGCGTGGCTTCCAAGCTAAAAGTGGCACCACAAAGTATAGCACTGCGCCTATGACGCAAACAAGCTTCAGCAAGGGGACGCCTGCCTGGCGTGCGAATGCGGCAGGCGATGATGGCGGTGATGTTCCAAAGCTGCGTCTGAGTAGTGTTGGCACCGCGAAGAGCTGCTTGGCATCACTGTCTTGTTGCTCACTGAAACCTTCCATAACCATGATGCTTGCCATGGCACCCATCATGACCTTGTTCATGACTCCGCCACCTCGGCCGTACACATACTGAGGCTGATTCTGGGCCGCGGCGGGTGGATTTGGCGGTCTCGCGTATGCAGGTGGCGGCTGTTGCTGCATATACTGCTGTGGTATGACCGTTTGGCCATACCTTGCTTGTTCTTGTGGTAGGCTTAGGAAGCTCGGCGCACCGTTCTGCGCAGATGATGAAGGCTGTCTTGGTCGTGCAGCGGTCGTTGGCGGACTGCTGCTCATGCTGGCCTGCCTGTCCCGCGACTTTCCGATTGCCGCTTCGACAGCAGCCAAGCGCGCCTTAAGCGAGGCCATCTCATCCGCCATGTTTTTGTTGCGCTTTTCCAGATGCTTGATGTACTCTGTTGCCTTGCCCATCACCGTTGCCTTGTTTAGCTTGTGGGCTGCAGTCAAGCCTTCTAAATCTTCGGCGTCCTCGCCGCAGTTAGCACGGCGCATAGCGCGTAGACTAGGCACGGCCTCTTTCAACTCCGCGATTTTGTCTTGAAGGTTGTTACGATACCGCTTTTCAATGACGTTGTGGGATGACTTCTTTACAGGTGGTTCGTCTCCGTCACCAGAGTCGCCGTTCATGGCTCGCTCTTCCTCCTCAACTTCAATCTTGCGCTTGCGGCCCCCACCCTTCTTGGGGCCCGCCTCTGGGGAGTCAGAAGATGACTTGGACGAGGTGCTTGCCCGCGGTTGAGTTGCTGGATAGGGCCCATCGCCCGGACTTAGCGTCTTCGAGGAGAGAGTGCTTGCCGTTGGTATGGTAAACTCGTTAGATAGTGCTGACAATGTGACATTCTGCGGCTGTGCATATAGTGCCGCGGGCCAGGAAGTATCGATCTTTGGTACCTCCGGCACCGTGTGTGGATATGCCGGCGTGCCGAAATCGAAGTCGGTGTTGCTGCCACCAAATACGAAGGGTTCGTTGTTGTTGGCCGCCAAGTTCCGATTGAAGTCCAACAGATCTTCACCAACAACCAGCGGCGGTGCCAAGGTATCATCGATGAAGCCTTTGCCAAAGCTGTCGTTCCCGCCCAGCGGTAGAGCAGCGTGTTGTAAAGGCGAATCGTTCTTACTAGAGCCTGAGTTGAAGGTGCCGTCTCCAGGAGATGTAGACTCGATGGCGGGATCCCATCTCAACCAATCTTCCCAATCCTCTCCAGGTGCTCTAGTCCCAAGCGCTTGTTCAAAGTCAGATAAGCCACCGGTAAGCCCATCAGACCAGGCGGCGTTGTTCGAGTCCATATCGCCAGACAAGTCCCGTATTCCAGTGGTCGAGAGTGGTAATGGCAAGACTCCAGACATCAGACGGTTTATCGTATCATCTCCAAGACCGGCCTGTCATAGCACGATGTTGTGAGGCCAGTGTGGCATGCAGCGGGGTCATGGTTGTTGAAATAGCGGTGTTCAGTGCAGTAAGCGAAATGCGACGACGCCTTCAGGGTCCCGTCGAATGCTCCTGCCTGCGGTGGTTCGAGTACTGCGCCACTCTGCAAGCCACATCGGGTCCTTGCGATCCGAAGAGTGGGGCATCCGGCCTCCTCTCTCTCCGAGTCAGAACGACAGCATCGAAGGCTTGAATCTACACATATATCAAGGGCAATATAGGCCTCAGGATAGAGGAAAGCGGTGTTGCCGACATGGCCTGTCAATGGTGATCAACAGCCGACATTACGCACATGGGCACGGAGCGAGCGATAGGTTGGATTGAGAGCAATCAATAACTTGATTGCATTAGCTTGGCTGTCGTTCCTTCCGATAAGTGCCCTTCTCGTCAGAATGACCGTCGCCATGATGAATGCTCAGTGTCTCGAACATCTTCCATCTTCGCAAGTACCTCTCGCTCTTCTCATATTGGAGCAAAGCAAAGTAAGCTCTCCATTTCGAGCATCTCTCTGCGTTCCTGACCCTTCCGAGCGTACTCAACGGCGGCCGCCATGCAGGATCGAATGCCAGAAGCCGCCGTTCGCCAGACCTCGTGCGCTCAAACCCAACGATAGTCATAGAGTGACCTGGGCGCTGCAAGAAGATCGGTAGGCAGTCCGTGATCTGGATCTTGCCCTTCACGCCAGAACATGTGGCTGCTCGCTTGAAGTGCTGCTCGACATGATCAAGGAGCTCAGCCCAGGCAGTCTTCCCTCGAAAGACCGTCCCAACACATTCAATTGCGTGAAGAAGCAAAAGCGCCTCGGCCTCCGACGTTCCTATATGCTTCCTCGTCCCGCAAATGCCTCCAGTTGCGTCACGGCCGTGAGCATTTATGGCTTCACTCCAGGCCTGCTCGATCATTGACTGAACGCACGGTATCGTAGGCTTGTCGCGCGGAAGACCAGACGTTAGCCAGAGTCGACTGGTTGCAAGGCACAGCATCTGGATGTTGCGGTAGCCGCAGAAGTGGTTACCCTCGGCTCGGAGCTTGTAGACTTGCGTAACGCACGGGTCGCAAAGATAGGCATGCTCCACGTGTGAACCGCGTTCCAGGAGCTGAGCGAGTACGGGAATGACATCGCTGCAAGCGTTCTGATCTTGTTCCGCAGCCAGGATAGTAGCCAAGCTCTCTGGCATCCGCTCTTCGAATGCATACCGTCCCAGCTCGCGCTTGCCGAGTCGTCGAGCGGGCTCTACTGGTGCCTTCATCCCATTGTCTGGAAAATGTGGTCTTTCATCGGGCTTGCTGGCGGCGACAGGTTGCAAGGCAGAGCTGATTGAGCATGACGTTTGTGCATTAGTACTACTTCTTAGCTCTAGTAACTGAGAAGCGAAAATCTGAATATGCGATAGAGGCGACTATGCTCTATTTCCGCATCACGAGGATCTGGCATACGGCGGAAGCGCAGCGAAACGGTCATGTCGCCCTTCGCTCGAACAAGGCAAGAACAAGCCTAGGCGTGGGAAAGCTTGTTTCACAGCCAAGTTCTGCAAGACGCCTACGCGTCACCTCCCAGACTTCCCATTTCACGCTTCCAACCGTGGCCAACAATCTTCCAACAAAGCAATACAGTAAATCTGATCTGAAAACGTATCACTTCATATTCACGGCTTTAATCATGGCGAGCAGCAATACCAACATTGAAATGCAGTACAAGCCTGCCGAGGCCATGCAAGCCTTGCCAAGCGGCACCGTCGGCCAGGAGGTGAGCCCCGCACGATTTATCTGCGAGTTCCAGTGTCAAGATGAGCTCACAATTCCTGCAGAATAACATAGCGGAAGAGCAAAAGCCGAGGAGGACGCTGCTGGGTATGCGCGGCGGTGGATTGATTCTCGATCTTTGCGCATGCTTCATCTGCTGTGAATGCATGGAAGGTGAGCATGGGAGGGCGAACATACCTGGAGCCATTATCAGCTAACCATTACTTCTCGCGCAGGATGCTGCCACGCCATCGATGACTGCTGTTGCTGCTAAGTAGGCAACCACGCTCAAGAACGACAATTAGGGGCAGGAGAGAGTGACAGTGGACGCGCTACACATCAAGGTCGCGACGAGTCATAGGTTGATGTGTCATGTTATATCCTATAACCTTGGAGTGGGGGAGCAAGCCTCCCAGTAGCTATCATACCATTGAGAAATCATTACTTTCACGATGCACCCTGTCATGAATCTGTGGTGCCCATCTACGAAAGAGAGGCGAGCACGTTGGCTCACAGCAGACGCGCAATTTGCTGATGTGGATCGCCTCTTTCCCAACACCAATGGCTCTCATTGAGGCATTATGGTGCTCACAAATAGCTGTGCCATCGTCCCAGCAAGCCGGAACATGTCAATATATGAGCTTGCTGTCTGCATCAATGTCGCATGACTTCTCGATCTGCTGTCTTGGCGTTCACATGCTTGCGCGAACGTTGCGCGACACTTGCATGTGATCACCGCGTTGTTTCTCCTCAACCACCCACCAGATCCTCCTGACGCCGTAGGATGCCATAGCAAAGCATTGCGAATGCCCTTTCAGCGGGGAATTTATCATGACCGGCGAGGTGGCGCACCGTGATGCGGCAATCCCAGCGGTAAGCCTGCCGTCTAAGCCAGACAAGCAGCCGGCGACAGACGAGACCAAAATGGAAATGGGCAACCCGCAGGACAAGCTGCAGCAAAATGGATCGTCGGAAGCAAGACAGAGCCTACAGGATCGTTTCTTCAATGGCGTCCTGGCGCAGATTATACCAACCAATGATGACAGCAGCAACGATGTGCCAGAAAGCAAGAAGGCTAGAGGGATGAGAACCAGTGTGGACAGGCCAGGCTTCAGCATACCGTTGATGAGCACTAACTTCAGAAGATTCAACGCGCGGATCGGCGTGGTATTCGTCCTGCAGAATCGTATCATCCGTCTCCTCACCTGGCACCATGCAACGGCAACCTTATCGTTCCTGGCGGTATACACTTTACTATGTTTGCAACCACGTCTTCTACCTGCCATGCCCATCATAGGCCTTCTTCTCTGGATCATGATGCCATCTTTTCTAGCGCGCCACCCTGCTCCTGCAGACGATACACGCATTGAGTGGATGTTCCATGGCCCACCCGTTGCACCGCCAAGTAGGGTCAGGCCCGCCCCGGAGCTGAGCAAGGACTTCTTCCGCAACATGCGCGACTTGCAGAATAGCATGGACGACTACAGCAGGCTGCACGACGCTGCGAATGAGTACATCACGCCGTATACCAATTTTAGTGATGAGGCTACAAGCTCTGCGTTGTACATGACTTTGTTCGTCGTGGGCTGTACGGTACTTGTTGGAAGTTCTGTTGTTCCTTGGCGGCTAATAGCCCTGATCGCTGGCTGGACTGCTACGTTGTTTGGACATCCAGAGCTGCAGAAGGGTTTGTTCTCTTCCGATCTTCGGAGCAACCTATGGCGACGGATAGACATGCTTCAGGTACACGTGAAGAATCTCATCGATGCCGACATTCTTCTCGACTCCCCATCAGAGATGCGACAAGTGGAAATCTTTGAGCTGCAGAAGTACCACGTCTACAGCGATACATGGGAGCCATGGCTTTTCTCACCCTCACCGTTCGAGCCACTGTCTGCTCCTCGCATCGCAGATGCACGTGCTAAAGGTACGCAATTTTTTGACGACGTGCAGGCACCGCAGGGATGGTCGTGGAAGGATAAGAAGTGGAGTCTGGACTTGGCGGGGCGTGAGTGGGTGGAGCAGAGGATGATTACAGGCGTTGAGGTAGAGATGGAAGGAGAGAGGTGGGTGTATGATCTTCCGGCCGAGGCTGTGGATTCTCTACAGAGTCCGACAAAGCGAAAGCAGAAGGAGAGGACATCCAAGGACACACCGAAAGATGGTTGGGAAGAAGGAACGAGGCTAGCGGCGCATGGTGAATGGAGGCGGAGACGGTGGGTTAGGGTCGTTGAAAGGAAAGCTTTACCGCGAAGTGAGCAGCCCAGATGATCCACTGGCCTCGAAGACGGTCAAGTGTACGCCAAGCCCATATATCCGAACATCAAGGCTCGAAGATGGGCATCAATGGCGAGTGTGGCGCCAGATCCAGGAGCCCGGTTTCCGGTTGCAAGGCAGCAAAGTTTGATGGCCACTAATCCATTAGAACACTTTTGTTCAGCTTCACCATGTGTTCGTCGCAGCTGACGAACTGCCGAAATTGAACAGACCCACCAGGCGCAACAGGCTTGGGCGAGAGTTCTGGATGCGAAGACGAGAGAGAGTCGCGTGGTCCACGAGCGAAAACTCACCGAATCGGATTGCGAGCCAGCCGATTCCGATCTATTCATGCCTTGACCCGCTTTTATCCCGCACTCCACGTGTGCGCGGCCAACAACCATGGCGGGCACGGCGGGAATGGTTGACGGCGGAACATCGAGTGACAGGCGCCAGACACCTTCGGAAGGAGGTTCTCGTATGATATGCAGTCCTACGAAACAGACTACGCTTTTAGTGTTGCGACTCCACGAGGACAACCGTCGTACAGCATCGCATACGCCAGACGTTGAAACGGCGCCATTGTCGATACCCCAGACTGAACCATTCCTGTTCTAGGACGATCGCGGCATACGGTACAGCAGCTTAAACGGCCATCCAGCTTCACCAATCATGTATACGAGCACCGTATACAATTCCATTCAGCCGGTACAACCACGTTAAGGCGGTGAAAGTAGATAGTAATACTAGTACCGCTCCCTTTTTCAATAGAGCCGGCTCCGTATGATATTGTTGTACCGCTCACGCGGTTGTCGCCTGCATTAGCGTCGCAGCTATGGGTATATGGACCTGCAGCTGCAGCTTATCAACTCTCCTCAGGCACGCTATAACCACGCTCCCTCTCCCGTTCTAGCGTTTGGCGGTGCTCTACACATTCCAATCTCCGCCGACGGCAGTTGCGGGGCTGATTTTGAGGAGCATTGCTTACGTGCTCAAACTCTCATTTCACTGACGACTAACACTACGCTTGGGCCACCGACACGGCCACTTGGTGATCAAGCCTCTCGATCATCATCGCCAGTCGTGAAGCGACGCGGCTGAATACGCTTGACTCTACTGGCTACAGCTGGACTTCCCCTGACAAAGACACCTCTCCATCGCAGAGTCACGCAATCAACGAGCCACAAGCTTACATTCTCGTGGCAACAGCGCTTGGCTGAGGTACAACCAAACCTACCTACTTGCTGCACAGACTCCACCGACTTCTACATCCAAGAACGACCGATCGTGCAGTAGCCTGTGTTAGCCGGTGCACTACTCCAGCGCTCGCTGCCCGTTGAAGGTCGAATACGGCACTCCCAAGCACAGGAGTACGAAGCACACAACACGAGAAGTGTCGCACTGCAGTCTTGTCGCAATACCCTACTTTGCCATTCTGGCTGGTCCCTGTATTAAGCGGCGCCGCGAGGACACGACACACAACCTTAGGTCCGCGGTCGCGCGACCTGATTGCCTTTGCTTCACGTAGCTCGAGCAGCAGCAAGTGTTCCGTTGAACAGAGCTTCGACTGCGGGCTTGTGGTTAGGGAGTCAGCTCCAGGCAGTGCATGGCCATTGGCAGAATCATGTGCTTCGGAAATGGCAACAAGGAAGACCCAGAGGCGGCGAAGAGTAGGGCGATCGAGAAACAGCTACGAGAAGACCAGCGGAAGATGTCGAAGGAGGTGAAGCTACTGTTGTTGGGTGAGAAACGCGACTGCGACGACACGCGAGTCACCGCGCAACGTGCTGACAATGCCTAGGTGCCGGCGAGTCTGGGAAGTCGACGGTGTTGAAGCAGATGCGCCTGATACACACGAAAGGCTTTAACCTGCCGGAGCGGCAACAATGGAAAGTTACCATCTTCCAGAATCTGCTGCATGCGTTTCAAGTAGTCTTTGGCGCTATGGAAGAACAGGAGGTAGACTTTGCCGACGAAACGAATATTGTGCGTACCATCGGTCAGGCGCAACACAATGCGGTATGCTAACACCGCTCAGCGGTTCGCCGAGATCATTGCAGCCGATCCGGAAATTGGCCCGGAGGACGTAATGCCACTCGATTGCCTGAACGCATTTAGGAGCTTATGGCGGGACGAAGGCGTACAACACGCGATCAAGAAGGGCAACGAATACGCATTGCACGACAACCTGACATAGTACAGATCCAACAATGTATGCGTTATGCTTATTCGCTAACTGAAGATGCAGTTACTTCTCCGACATTGATCGCCTGTTCGCGAAGGACTACATACCCACAGACCAAGATATTCTGCGCGCGCGATTACGGACAACAGGCATAACCGAAACCATCTTCGATACCGGCAACCTCACATACCGCATGTTCGATGTTGGTGGGCAACGGTCCGAGCGTAAGAAGTGGATACATGTCTTCGACAACGTACAAGTGGTGCTCTTCCTGGTCGCGATAAGTGGCTATGACCATGTTTTGGTGGAGGACCGAAACGGCGTAAGGAGCGACCAGAAACGATCTTGCGGCAAGTATGGACACTGACACATACTGCAGAACCAAATGCACGAAGCACTCATGCTCTTCGAAAGCATAGCCAACAGCAAGTACTTTGAAAAGGCCGCCCTCATCCTCTTCCTCAACAAGATCGACCTCTTCCGGGAAAAGATCCAGTCAGGTATCGCACCCATACGAGAACAGTTCCCAGACTACACCGGCGGCGACCGCGACGTCGAAGCCGGTCAGGATTTCTTCGCTCGCAAGTTCCGCAACTTAGTCCGAGATCCAAGCAAAGAGGCTTACGTCCATTATACCAACGCTACCGATACGAACCTCTTAGACAAGACTATGAAGAGCGTACAGGACATGATCGTGCAGCGGAACCTGCACCAACTGATGCTGTGAGCTACGACCCGTGCGAACATACCCTTGACGAGCGTTCCGCGAGATCTGCTTCTTCCTGTCTGGCGCGACCGAGCCTTTAGTTTCGGGAGGCCGCCTTTATTGTTGAGCTTTGATGTTTGCGAGCATGCACTTTTACCGATGAGGAAGAGCGTGCGCTGATAGTGTGGTAGAATGAATTGAACAGCTTTCACGCCGGCTATTCGAGGTGGCCATGCGCATGCAGCAGGGAGCAGCGGGAGGCCTAATTGTGTGAGCATTCAGCAAGCATAGCATTTGACTGGGAGTCGATCATGCATGAGCTGCGTAAATGGGACACCTTTGGGACGATGTAGGTGGGGTGCAATATAGAAGGAAGGGAGACTCTAGACGGTCGCAATCTACCTTTCAAGCTCCGAGTCACGGTCGACAAGGCGGAAGCTATGGTTATGGTAAAGGGTGTTAAGATCCTGACACGACGAGCGTTGTGCATGTACAAGGCCTGGCGTTCGCGCTCGCGATGCCAGAGAGGAGCTCAGAGGGAAGTCGCGACGCAGGGGCAGTCCCGTGGTTGGCAAGAGCAGATCCAATAACGATGACCGCCAAACATGGCGAGCCACAACGCAAGTATCTCTTTCTCTCCCCTCACCTACCCAGATAGCATTCACATCGAGCACAAGTGGACGGGATGAATCTGCTCCCGCAGCTTTCATGCACATCACTTCATTTCGCCATCTAATCAGTTCAGGAATTGGCCATGCGGCCGCGATTGCTCGCGCTCAGCCAGCCATCCTTTCATTACGGAAAGCTAAGTCAGTAGCGTCTTAATGGAAGCCTGACAGCGTTTACGATATATCTAGCCCAGCATGGACACACTATGGAACATCAACAACTGGCAACAAACTCGGCCAGCAGAGCCCGGCGAGATCGATTTGCGGCCACGCTTGCAAACACTGAGAGACCTTCTCAGTCACTTTACCCAGGAGCTGTACCACCATCCCTACGACGCCGATTGCTGGTTACGGCGCGGAGAGGTTCTTGCGATGCTACGCTATCCCGAGCTTGCAGTGGGTGACACGTACAAAGCTCTTCTGTTAACCCGACAAGCATTGGCCGGCTTTGAAGACAGGCGGATGCGGCTTGGGTATCGTATGGGCTTCTGGATGCTCGAGGAGAGCTCGACCGGCGAAGATGACTGGAGAGATACACTTGAGCAGAGATTAGCCGATATACAGTCACAGGCGCATATTGTTGAGACACAGAATCTCTATCACTTTCCGACGTTCGAAGAGGGACGATACCTGCAGCGCCCTTATCCTTGGATGCAAAGGCGACACTGCTTCCGTGACGACAGCCTATTATCAGCCATCAACGAGGAGTTCGCGGCTCAAGCCCGCAGCCACGGGGACGGGAAAGCGTGCTGTGTGCTGCAACGCCACGCTTTCGGCAAGTCTAGCGACAGAGGACGCGATTCGAGCGAGGTACTTGGTGTCTTCGCTGGGTGCGACATGCTCGCAGACACGACCCTCGTTGTCGATAAGACCGAGATTTGGGGCTGTATCGGAGCCGGTCGCAACAACAATCGCGACAACTTGCATGGCGGACTGGGCTGTCCGGATCCGATTCATCCCAACTTGCCGTCAGATGCGGTTGAGGAAGACCTAAGGTAAGCAGAGGAAGGAGCTGTTCTCCACACGATCGTTTAGGCCATTACTGATGTTGCTACGCACGAACCCACAGATGGATACGTGAACGGGCTGGTAGCAGTGCCGGAGAAGTAATTCTCAGGTGCCGCTTCCTAATGCGCTGCATCGCAGACGGCGTAGCGCATCCGCTCGATCACACATTTATCGCACGGCTGACACCGACTTACCGCCGTGAGCGTCCTCGTCTGTTCTCACTTGAGCACGACATCGTGATTCCGAACGACTGTCTCCAGCGATGCGGCATCGACATTTTCGCCGATTCCAGGTACGATACCTGGGTTATGTTTACCATTGGGGCGCGAGAAGTGAACAACAGCTGGAGTAAGTTCGCGATGAGCAAATAAAGCGTGTTTGCATTGCTGAGAGTTACTGATGCCAAGAGGCAATCGAACAGGCGACCCAGTCCACAATTGCATTTCGCCTCTCTTCTCCTTGTTCAACCATAGCTGCGAGGCGAATGTTGAATGGATCGCTGGCGAGGATTACACGACGCTTACGATGGCCACGCTCCGAGACATTAAGCAAGGCGAGCAGTTGTTCGTGCTATACGATAGCTATCTAGGAGAGCAGCCGCTTCGAGCTCGAAGGCGGAGGATGCGGAAGTGGCTGGATGCGGAGTGTCAATGTGACCGCTGCCTACGGGAAGAGGCAGAGGCGAAGCAGACGATAGACAAGCTATCGGGAACTGACAGTCCCTCCGGTATAATGGTTGATGGTGATGGTGCTGGGCAGTGGGACACGGCTCCAAAGCCTGTCTTTCCGGAGGACGCATTGAATGGAAAGCTACACCGTCTTGACTCTGGGTCGGTTGTAGATGGCTAGTGGCAGCACGTGAGCATTCTCCGTCTGCTATACGATTGTCTTCGTTTGTTCAATAAGCAGAGGAGTACACTACATGAAAGCCTTGTCGTCTCAAAGACGGACAGATTCCGGACAGATTCCGCCGTTGCGCGAATCGGCAGTGGTGAAGGGCGCCCTCCCAACGGTCCCGAATGGCCTTCGTCATGCATCTCGGGACTTGAGTTGAGTGCTCCATATTGGTCTCGCTACATGCGGGGCGAGACTGCGCTGTACCTATAAGCAGCATCATGTGCCACTATAGCCGGGTCTCGTTTCAAGAACGGCAGACGCTTACTACCTCTCCTTCGCCATTACTGCCACCACTAACCCACAGCGACCATGGCTGACACACACCCTTCCACCAACGGCGCAACCACCACGTCCCCACACGAAACCTCCGAGCAATGGGGTGCCCTCCGCCCCGTCACACTGGACGCCAATGGCGTCCTCAAGACACCTCACGGCGATGTCAAACCCAACTTCGGCGCCTCACTCCCCGATACCGAAGATAGAGGCGCTGACTCGGAACCGCTTCGCTCATGGCAGAAGCGCAACAATATCGACACTTCCGCGCAGGTCAAGCTCGTCAAGCTGGTGCATATGCGATATCAACATCCAGACTTGGAAGAGATCACGACCTTCCTCCGAGACTTCGGAATGCACATTGCCAAGCGAAGCGAAGACGGCAACCAACTCTGGTTCCGAGGCTACGGGCCAGACCAATACGTGTACTACGCCCAAAAGGGTCCCAAGAAGTTCCTAGGCGGCACGTACTCGGTCGAAAGCATGGCGGAGCTAGAGAAGGCGGCGAAGATTGAGGGAGCGGGCCAGATAGAAGAACTCAAGGACGCACCCGGCGGTGGTCACCTTCTCACCCTCACCGATCCCGAGGGCTTTCTCGTGAATCTCATGTACGGCCAACAACCTGCTCCAACGGACAACTACCCGCAGAAGGTGCTCATCAACGACGAAACGGACAAGCCTCGTGTTCGCAAATTCAATCGCTACACCCCCGGCCCCGCCGCCGTGCACAAACTCGGCCACTACGGCCTCTGCGTGACAGACTTCGCGACACTGCTGCAATGGTACACGCGCAACTTCAATCTCGCGCCCACGGACTTCCTGTGGGTGCCGCAAGAGGGTACGGACAGGAAGGACGTCGCCGTCTTCGCGCACATCGATCGCGGAGACGATCCGGTCGATCATCATACTTTCTTCATGTCGACGAATCCGACGAGCCACGTGCATCATTGTAGCTTCGAGGTGCATGATTATGATACGCAGCATTTGGGCCATCAGTGGCTGGGGAGCAAGGGGTATACGAGTGTGTGGGGGATTGGGAGACATATCCTCGGGTCGCAGTAAGTTCCATCACTTGCGAAGATGGATTGAGGCGGTGCTAATGAAGTGTCTGTGTGTAGAATCTTCGATTATTGGTGGGACACGACCGGCAACATGGTCGAGCATTATACTGATGGCGACCTTGTCAACCAGCATACACCGATTGGATGGAGCGATGCGAAGGATGAGGCGCTTGCGGTCTGGGGTCCCGAGGTGCCGAAGTGGTTCTTGGAGTAGTCTGTTCGATGCATGTAGAGCAAGACGCCTTTTGAATGGCCCATCTTGTACATCGTCGCGCCATCAGCCAGCGCGCTCAAGGTGCCCACGATGCGGCCGCAGTTCGGCCGCCCTGCCGAAGTTCGTAGCACATGCAATCATAAGCAATCGCCCTATCATCTCGCCTTCTCGGCAACCAGTAAGTGCTGTGCACTTCGACCATGTAACACCTATACCCCACAAAACATGTGAAGTCCGACGCACAAAGCATAGATACCGCAATGGCGCGCCACCGCCGCCCCTCTACAGCCTCCAGCCGTTCTACGGAACGCGCCATGCCCGCCTCTGGCCAGGAGATGGCGAGTATGTACGACTACCTCGCCAAGATTATCCTCCTCGGTCCCTCAGGCTGCGGCAAATCCTGCCTCTTGCATCGCTTCGTCAAGAACGAATGGCGCGTCCTCACGAGCCAAACCATCGGCGTGGAGTTCGCGAGCAAGATTGTGAAGATAGGCACGCAGGGGCGGAGGAAGCGGGTCAAGCTACAATTGTGGGACACGGCTGGCACGGAACGGTTTCGCAGTGTGAGCAGGAGTTACTATCGGGGTGCGGCCGGCGCGATTTTGGTGTACGATGTCACAAGCCAGCAGAGTTTCGCGCAATTACAGACTTTCTTGAACGATGCCCGTGCTTTGGCCAGTCCATTGTTGACGGTCGTCCTGGTTGGAAACAAGGTCGACTTGGCTGAGCCTGGCGGACCGCAGGATCTGCTGGAGGATGAGGTACCGAGCAGTGTTCCTTCAACGCGGTCGAGTACGTTGGGTGTAGGCCTTGGGTCGCAGCAGAGAGCCACAATCTCGTTGGCTGGACGCGCGGTATCGGCTGCGGTTGCGGCCAACTGGGCGAGTCAGAATCGCATAGCGGCTAGTATGGAGGTCAGTGCTTTGTCGGGAGAGGGTGTCGACGAGGTGTTTCATAAGCTGGCCAGGACGATTCTGACGAAGATTGAGCTTGGCGAGATCGATCCGGACGATCCCATGAGCGGAATACAGTATGGCGATGCGGACTATCATCGGTATGATGATGGATCGAGCATTAAAAGCGGGCTCACGTCCGACGGCTATGGTGCCGCGAGAAAGCGGAGGCCGAAGGGCGGGCTTCGTGACTGGAGTGATGTGTTTAGAGTTGGGAGGGCATCTGGAAGCGGCCGGGGATGTTGCTGATATGAGTAACCGGCTATGGGTTTTGGTGCTAGCGAGGCGTTCCTGGCGTTTGGGACGATACCCTTTCAGCGCGCTTGTAAGGAGCGATTGTACGCGACGTTGAAGCGGTCGAGAAGAGAGCGCGAATGTACAGATTTACAGTACGAACCTGAAGACTAGAGACGCTGCAACTCACACGGTATGATCTGTGGCATTCGCTGGTCATTTGGACGTCGATGCTCTCGGAGTTCTTGATATGACTTGCCCCTCATTGCCCCGCGGCGATGGGCATCTCCAGCGATAAGTTTGACGACACCGGATCTTGTTGCACTCCAACCTCATAACCTTCAAGCTAAGTGAGTCTGGCGTCACAATGCTTCTCCTGTTAACCTTATGGGTGCAATGCTTGCGTTCCGAACATCCTTCGACGAGGGATGACGCTCTAAAGCAAAAGCGTCCATGACGAAGAGCTCAAAGTCAATGGAGACCATTGATGAATTGTTACTTTTCCTAGCCAACCCCCATGCGCTGTAGGTGTAAGGCCGAACCTCTGTTGTCTCTAGTCTTTGCTTCGTATCTTCAGCAGACAACATGGCTGATAGCGGCATTACCGTCTCTAAAGACAAGGCAATGCAAAAGCTCGCTGAAGATACTGTTGATGCCATACGATCCACGTTCGACGTGCCACTCAACTACAGACCAGGTAAGCCATCGCTCGACTCAATGAAAACACGGACAATTTGCTTAGGTGTTTGCAAGTCCACGCAAAGGGCCAGCTCGTCAAGGGTACCTTCACACCAAGCAAAGATGCCTCGAAGATATCGAAAGCGCCCATTTTCAGCAATCCTTCTACGCCCCTCGTGATGCGGTATAGTACCGACACCGGGTTCAAGGACCTGCCAGACAATGGGGAGAACGGCTCGCGTGGGTTTGCAATCCGCTTTATGCTGTCGAAGAACGAGAGCGGCCATCCGAACTTCGACATCGTAACCAACAGTGAGTGATTCGGCACTGATAGCGAATGAGATTTAGGCTGATCTAGTCACGTTGCACGTCCCTAGACGCCTACGGTTTCATCGTCAGTACTGGTGAAGAGTTCCTTGAGCAATTCAAGGCAATGAAAGCTGGCAAAATGGACGAGTTCCTCGAGAATAGGCCCCACGCCAAATACTTCCAAGCGAACCAAGCACCCGCGCACTCGTACTCATTCGCAACCGAGCAGTGGCACGGCATCCATGCTTTCAAATTCATCAATGGCGAAGGCAAGGAACGCTTCTTTCGCTGGCGCATAGTTCCCTGGCAAGGCGTCATGAAGCACAGCAAAGAAGATGCGCAGAAGCAGAGCAAGAACTACCAGTTCGACGATCTCGAATGGCGTCTGACGCACAACAAACCGATCAAGTATCGTCTTTTGGCGCAGCTTGCGGAGGAAGACGACCCAACGACTGACTCGACAAAAGTATGGCCGGAGACGAACGAATTTGCGGACATGGGCGAGATTGTCATTGACAAGCTGTGGAGTTTCGACGAGGGCACTCCGCCGGGTGAGGAGCTGAAGAAGATCTTCTATAATCCGTATCCGCACGACATCGAGGGTATTGATGCCAGCGACGACCCCTTGATTGCCGTGCGGGACGTTGTCTATCAATTGAGCGGAGGCGTTCGGCGGGGGCATAACGATCTGCCGGCTCAGCAAGCTGTAAGGTAGACGGCCTCACAGCATGCCTATTTTCATGGTGAAAGGGCTTGATCGTAATATGCGGCCATGATCTCACAGATGACCTGTCTCCCTTGCATTAATATAGAGAGTCACCGAGTCGTATCCTGTGCAGACGGCTCGTCGCGTTCGATGGCCCCAGCCAGGAACAGCGCCTGCTTCATTCCCAGCCTTCGACCAATCTCGCGTAGCGCTGAGCATGCCGCGCCACGCATCGAAGCCTCGTGTGCGACCTTGCCCACCAGTGAGACGGCGTGAACGAGCTGATACCCGGTCGTGGTTCGTAGCACCGGTATCGTAGCATTGTCATAATCTATAAGCGACGACGGAGCTGTGACTTCCATGGTGCCACCAATTGCAAACCCGCCTTTTGGTGTGGCGATCTCCGGTTTGATTAGTCCTAGATGTTGAGGCACGCTTGCCAAGATGTCAAGTGAGAGTTCTTTGATTATACTGTGGGCTCGTTCAGCGAGTGCTTCGGCTCCTGGGAGCTGTACATGTAGCGCTGTAAGTCGTCTCAAAAGGCCCAAAACCGTAGCGTGACACAAGATACGTCCATTGCGCCCGGAGTTGTGGATCTGCGCGCTCCACGACGTCTGATAGACGTGCAATCGATTGGTAAAGTCAATATAAGAAGTTAGGGTGTCTGGCGAACAGTCCTCGACGATATACGTCCACTTCCGGGGAGCGTCGATGAAGGCTGCCTTTAATTTAGTGTCAATTGCCGTTGCTGTTGCTATAATGTAGCTGGGGTCTAGTAAACGTCCGCTGACGGCATCGCTATAGAAATCAGTTAGCTCCATCATGGCACCGTGCTCTTTCCACAGAACATCTGGCACTCCAACCAGATACTGCTTGGCTTCTGCGAAGTAGGTGTGCAAATGTGGAGGCAGCCTTTGCCCCAGCATGAGAGACTGAGCCATCAAGATCGATGTGGCTTGCATGAAGAGTATGCGGCCATTAGCCGTGTGCACTTGGTCAGGCCCTCTCAGCTCAAGCAAGCGTGCGGTGCCGTTAACGTGGCTTATCCACGCCTTCATCGAAGGCTGATCTGTTCCAAGCACCGTCTCAAAGTAGGACAGAGCGACAACCGATAGCAGAGTACAGTCCTGTTTCGAAGTGTCCGGATCTGTGAGGTTGACATTCAGAGATCGGATAGCGCGGACGTAGTACCTCCTCGCTTGCGTCGTGGCGTTTGCGGATCTGCAGGATACGGAATAGGAAGCCATACCAAGAGCCCGGATACAGGCGAGCACACCAGTGTGGGGAGTGGAGATACCGGCGTTCGTTCCGGTGCTTCGTTGCACAATATGATGTGCGTATGCGTATGATAGGGCAAAGTCGTCAGGCCGGGGGACCGTGAACTGCTCGCTGAATACCAAAGTGGTCGATATGATTCGGGAGTGCCCACGCTGAGAAACGGTCGACAACGCCGGCACTTCCTCGCCGGATTCCTTCCTGGCTTTCAAGGTAACCTTCTTCGCGGTATGTTCGGTTTGGTCGCAGAACATTGTGTCCAGGTCGGAGCGGTATAGGGGACATTGCTTCCCCGCTCTGGCGCATGGGGAGCATCCATCCGTTTTGAGATCGCACTGTTTCGCGTCAGCAATTTGCTCGTCAAAGCTGCGTGTCATCGACATAGCCTGCCTTGATTCGTCGCTGTCTGCATGTCTTGCACGCTTTCGAGGGTTTGCCGCGATAAACCATGGTGTCTGGGGACGCGCCAAACTTATTTTGTTACTTAGTGCTCACACACGAAGCGCGGAAGACGTGCGCAGGCGAGAAGGATGCCCGAATGAGGAGAGTCTACATATACCTCTAGTACCTCTTCTAAACACTGCCTGAAGGCGAGCGCAAGTTGTACCGCAAGCAGCTAGAACAGTCTTTGTCAGTAGAGCTTTTTGAAGCCGCTGTACACAATTCCCATGAGATCATGGCAGTATCCATATTGATGGTTCGCCCGTCAAAGGACAGGTGTGTACCATGTCTCAAAGGACGACAGATGTTGTACGCTGAATCCTTAGACGATCTGCATACCCAATCGGGCATCGCGCTGCAGTAGCGCAATGATGGGGCTGGGTAGAGATCAAAGGGTTTGTCGGCTCAAATGCGGAAGTCGAATGTATGCAGTTGAGTTGCGTCTCAGCCCCCAACAACAACAACAGCGCCAGTGCATTCGGGCCTGGCAGTCGCCATCGGCTAAAGACTCTTCGTTATTGTCTGCAACGGCATTCCAACGCACTCATACAAGACCCAGTAAATCCAAGGAATGCCAGAAACACTGCCATATTGGGGTTGAGCGCGATGGTATCAAATTCATCAGACTTCAGCATCCGTGATCAGTTTGATCTTGATATTGTCAACTGCTCGAATGGCAGTATCGTTCGTTGCTCGAACGTGGAGGTTTCGAACTGCTCAAACATGTTCGTTAAAGAATGCCGGAACGCTTCGATCACTAAATGCTCAAACGTCAGGTTGCGCGATTGCACAGGCGTGAAGCTCATGGATTGCCACAACGTGGCCTTGTCCAATTGCTCTGACGTCGAGTCACGCGAATCCTCGAATGTGAGCGCTCACGGAGGCTTGAACCTGACTTTCTCTTCCGATTAGGCTTGGAGTCCACTGTACGCCCGGAAACGTCAAGGTTCATTTGTGCACCGAACGACCACTGATGGCACGCACGATACAGCAAGCTTTGCCTTTCGGTCCAGTGCTGGCCAACGAGAGAGTATACGTCTGCACGATGAAGCTTGAGGACGCTGCGTACGAAGTCGGATGCGCTACTAGGAATGAGCACATAGTAACACTATAACAAGCGCATGAGCGACATTTGTTGAGGTTCCGAGGGGATGACTCTCGCCGAGAAGCATTAAAAAGGGTATGTTTGGAGCCGTACTCGTTGTTGTTACTGCTATTACACCGCTTGTAGCTATGTACCTGGATGCTGTTGGGAACGTGGAAAGTCGTGCATGAAATCCAGGCGTACTGGCGATAGAGATGTAAAGCAGTTTATGCAGCTGGCCGAAACAGAGCAAGATGCACGTCAGGATCTACGGTGCAGCACATAAGCGGCTTGGAGTCAGGTTACCGGAAACGGATCTTGCGCAGCGAATACAGACGGGAAAGGTGACTGGGCGACACATGGCATCTACAAACCGTCAATCTCCATGAGTTCCACCCAGGCGATGTTTGTCCATGCCTTCATTTATGTGCGCAATACAATGAGCACCCACGCACCTCTAAGCATGAATCCAGATCTGCAGAGGATCAAAGATCTACAGCCGATCAGCGCAACTCCACCTTGCTAACAACAGGAGGCACTCCTAAGACACCATATTCGTTCTACCTCCGCAATACAAGACACGAGTACATTGTCGCATCACGTAGGCCAAGCATCCCGTTACCAGCTAAGGCATGATATATGTGAACTACCGCAAGCAGTGGGAGGCCGACGTTTCTATCCCGTTCAGTTCTGCTACCCACTCCCATTTTACACTGTTTCATCCTTGGGTGTTGTTCGCGATGCATATGCTAAACATCCTCGCCTTGGTGGCCACCGTCACCGCAGCTGCCTTGCCAAACGGCGCTGCCGAGAAGCGTACAACCACATGCTCGACTGCGAGCTCTGCAAGCTTGGCCGCTGCCAAAGCAGCCTTTACCCAGGCGAAGCTGGTGCCTGACCTTATACCCAGTTTCAACCCCGAGGTCACCGTCAGCGCTTCCTTCGGAGGGAAGGCAGTCAAGCTCGGCAACACATTCAACCCAGTCGGTACGCTAGAGACACATGAACATATTAACATCCCACTGTTGGCTAACGGCAACTTGCGCAGAGACCATTCCGGAACCCTCCATCAGCTTCACCGCCGAGCCAGGCTATGACCCGTCAAACACCAAATACACCATCTTCCTCGTAGACCCTGATGCGCCAGGCCCAGCTGCGCCAATCTTCAAGGACTTCCTGCACATTATCATCGCCAATGCACAACCGTCATGCGTCACCTCGCAGACTCGGACAACGTTGGCAAGCTACCAGCTTCTGACTCCTCTGTCCATTGCCGCTCACCGCTACACTATCCTCGTGTACAGACAGCCGCCGAACTACACGCCACCGGTTGACATTCACTACCTGCCCGGTGTGAGAAACAACTTCGATCTTAATGGCTATGTTGCGGAGGCTGGTCTCATCGGTCCGGTAGGAGGCAACTACTTTATGGAAGGATTGGCGCAGGCGGTGTGCTTGGTTACGCCAAATTGCACGTCAGATGGTACGGGATACCCTTTGTCGTAAATAAGAGGAAACAAATTGCGAGAGTACGGTTTCGGTCTCGTAGATGGTATCGATGTCTCTGTATAAAGGTTGCATCGCAAACATCAAACTGTGTAGCGACCCTTCTGGTGCTGCTTATGATGCTTGGGCAAAGCAGGACATACCGGAGTGCGGGGCCCGTTGCGGGTTCGAGAAGGGCCTTTCCAACCGACATAATCATCAGGTGATAGGCCAGAGCTTCATGCCGTATACGATTTGTTGTAATGGGCCACAAGTCGCACGTGTTCGCACTGGGGCCATCAAAGATGTGGCTGACGCCACGGCGTCAGACTTCTCGCTTCGTGAAAGCAGTATTCCACCAGCCTTATCTCTCAAGGTTGAGATAGGTAGACCTAACAGCATACTAGTGGGCATCGCCATCCGACATCATGGCTTCGCAGAGCGCCAACGAGGAGGCACAGGTGCCAACCGAAGAGACTCCATTGCTTTCCAACCCGCGAAGAGCGATTCGGAAGCCTATCAACTGGCTTACCAGCATCCTCACTCTGATCGTCGTTCTAACAGTAACAGCTGGTGTCAACAGCATCCCTTTCGTTGTGGGAAGAATCAGATATCATGATTCACCACGACCACATCTGCCGCCAAAGCCAAAGCTACCTCCGCCTCCTGGAGATAGCAATCTCAACTACACCCGACACCTTGTCCTACCCATCGGTAACATCTCGCAGCCTGCAAATGTCCCAGTATGGACGCATATTAATGTGCTCGAAAGCCTGAATGGCGGATGGATTAAACCTGTGGGGAACGTAAGGCTGGCACGAGGCGACCTGCAGCAAGCGTCCAACTTCATTGCGCGCATTGATCTTGCTGGCCCATCACAGAGAGCAATCGACCTCGTCAATATAGTGCAATGGTCCTCTGGGTCACGTCAATCTGAAGAGTGGCTCTACATCAGCTGCAAAACCTACTGGGCACCAGGTGAGGAACCGCATTGGGACCAGACTGTCCGAGTAGATGTCACACTGTTTGTCAAACCCTTCACTAACCATCAAGGCCGTCTGACGATATCAACCCAACACCTTAACATTAATGTCATGTCAGGCCTCGTCTTCTCCACGGGAGTCCTGACGCTTATTAGCAATAGAGGAAGTGTTAACTCGGACGAGGCAGGTCCGTACTTCGTCATGGCGGAGACGCATCTTTCCACATATGGCGGCCCTCTCACTGGTATATGGAGGTATCCATATAAGTTCTTCATCAACACTGGTGATAGCCCTACGAACATCACTCTCGCCGCTTCGCCCCGGACACAGCCATGGCTCAGATCTGGCACCATCACGGCCCAGTCCTTGCAGGGTGATATCAATATAAATATGCCAATGGACCAGATGAATTTGAGAACCCACAGCATTACCATTGAATCGCAGGCAGGTAATATTGGTGGCGTGCTCATGGTAGGCCCCGATACGACCATACGCACCCAGGGCAATGGGTCATTGAACGTAGAACTGGTGCCGTACTTTCTGCCATCGTGGGATTTCATCAGCCGCCAAAGGGTCCTGCACCGTGGCCAGCTGCACACATCTACTGAAGCTGGGTCGCAACGAGTCGTTGTCGTCGCGCCAGAGTGGAAGTCTTCGGAGTCCCGGACATCACTGCTGTCGATGGATAGCTATCACCAGTCGGGGAGCGGCAACCTGCACCTCGAGTACCCGCACGAGTGGGAGGGGACTGCTCTTGGCACGTCACGGTCTGGAAATATGTCCATTACCGGTGCGGAGCTTGCCGGTGAAGGTGGCAGCGTTGCCATCGGACGTAGGGGTTGGGGTAATGGCACTCGGTTAACCTTCGCCACCGATAGCGGCAATGGCCGTCTCATTCTAAATTGAACAAGGCAATATTTACTGTCTGGGCGGCTTCGAGGCTTCACTTGGATCTAGGTGCGGTGTTTGTGTTGCTTGACTGTGACGAGTCTTTTCCGAACTAAATATATGAGGTTGTATTACCATAGATCGCCTACATAGTAAGAGGCGCCAGTGGGACACCTGAGCGCAAGTATCAGCTTCAGTCCCGGGAACACGACGCGCCTTCCTCACACCATCGCACTTACCTCCGAATGCAGCGACACCTCTCCTCCAATCCAGATCGATCTGCAACACAGGCGGAGACGCAGCCGGAAGCGTGGCGACATTAAGCTTAGGCCCCACCGCTTCCAAGCTCAGCGTATCGTGATCATATGAGATCAGGTTCAACCCGCTCGCAGTTTCGCCTGCGAGGCCAGCGGAGTCTATCAACGACCTCTTCGCAATGAGTGCATTAACCGCCGCTGTAGCGTCAGGGGTGATCGGGTTCGCGACTACGGCGATGATACGGTTGCTGTCTGCGACAGATTCTACAGATTGTCAAAGTAAGCATCATTGCTCAAGCTGATATGAACTGTCACGAGCACATACGGGGCTGGATAGTCATGGCATCGTAGTACGCGATTCGGTTCGTGCGGTTAACTTGAGCGAATGAGTCGCGTATCGGCTGGTAGGCGGCTGTGCCACCTGTGTAGTTGCCTGCAGCGTAAGAGATGTTCTTGATAGCTTGGTCGAGACGCAAGAGGTCTGCTATGAGAAGGTCTGTGCCTGCGTCGCGGACAGCTAGAGGGCTGGCAGACGAGATGGCTGCCGTGCACAGCAGGAAGAGAGCTCGAAGGGATACCATTGTCGCGGTGCAGGGACGTCAGATCTGTTGCGAGTAGTGGCTAGTGTTGGGAAAGGGACGTGGATGTGTTCAAGTACCTACGTTTAAGAATGGGCTAAAGGCCGAGGCAACGTCCAGTTCATTCATGACGTTCGACGATCGTCTGGCGTAAAGTCTGTGCCCGAGGGCAGAAGAACATTTCCGCCTGCGTTCAAGGACATACTTTCACTGCTGTTGTGGCCTGATATAATGCCTCGGCAGCACTCAGCGGAGGCTGCGTGCGGAATAAAGGCGTAGAGTAGCGATGGAGATACTTCGTAAAGTAACGACTATTAGACATGCAAACAATGCAACGAGAACAAACCACATAGGGCTCTTCTCCGCCCATGGCCATGGTTGTTCATGAAGGGTATGCCATGTCAGGTAGGTTAGAAGTCATGGCAGTCATAATGCACAGCGCGAGTGAGCGGCTGTCACAAACACACACCTCACTAGCAAGCATACCCCGAATGTGTTCATGCAGGAAGGCGAGCTCATGCAGGTACCGCAAGCACCGTCATCCCCGCGTCACTATAATTACTACTCGTCAGACCAACCTCACGAGCATGCACTAAACAGCTACCACAACTGGCTGCATTCGAAGGCTTGTGGTCAACATCAAAGTTTTGAGACAACATGTCCGATACCAAGTCCATCCTCCTGTCCGGCGGCGCTCGAGGCATTGGTTCGTACATCATGCCCACCACATCATAAGACATCTGCTAATAAACCACTCTATTTCAGGCCGCTGCCTTGCCCGCCACTTCCTTGCAAGGGGCCACAAAGTCTTCATCCTCGACATTGACGAGCCCGAACTTAAGCACACCGTCGAAGTCCATCTCAAGCAATACCATCCTAATGTGTCCTACAAAATCTGCGACTTGACAAAAGTCGACGACATCAGATCAAGCGTGAAGCAAGCAGCCGAGTTCCTGGGCAACCGTATCGATGTTGTGATCAACAACGGCGGTATCGCCACCCCAACTTGGAAGGATGGCGCCACGATGGAGGACCCTGCCACAATGGACCAGTTTCAGATGTATCTTGATACCAACCTCCGCGCCCCCTTTGCTGTCGTGCAAGCCTCGATCCCATACATGAAGACCGCGGGTGGCAAATCCGGCAAGGAGACCCGAAAGGACTACGAAGCTCAGAAGGCCGAGCGTGGTCTTACCTCCACTGCCGGACCGTGCATCATCAACGTGTCGAGCTTCCGGTCGCAAATGTCAGATCCCAACCAGGAAGGCTACGCTGCGTCGAAAGCCGGGCAGAACGGACTTACGCACAGTATGGCCGTGTCGTGCTCGCAGTGGGGCATTCGAGTTAACAGTATCTCCCCCGGCCGCATCAAGGTCATGGCCGAGAGCAAGGAAGCGGATGAGAGTGGGCAGGGTCTCGAGTTTGACGACAAGGACTATGAGCAGCATGCTACGAACCGAGCGGGCAAGCCTGAGGATATCGCTGAGGCTGCTGAGTACTTGATCGGTGCGGGCTTCGTGACTGGGCAGGACATTACGGTTGATGGTGGAGCTGTGATCCAGAAATGACGCTCGGCGTCTGCTTCTGAGGTGATTCCCCGTCGGCGGAGAAGGGTCGAAGGGGTGGTGGTAGTGCCTTCTCAGCTCTAGACATGTGCACAGTATCTTGACAACATGCAGTTGTTGACGATGATGCCCTCGGCGCCCGTGATGTGCGGTAAATGCGCCCTTGAAGATTGGGAAGAAGGGCTGGGCTTGCTGCTCACCACTAGATCGCAAAATAACACATGGGCGCGCCAATGGCATCCTTTCGTACTTCGCCACTGACTCCGGCCAAAGTCATCTGATCGTGCACGAAGGAAACGATTTACCGCCCTTGCAATCGCTTCATCCGCTCCTCTGCCGCCCTAGCCCTCTTCTCCCTTTCGAGCTTCATGCGCATCTCATCAGTCATCCCCCTCGCCTCCTCCATCCTGCGCTCCTCAGCCGTCAACTGCGGTTTCTGCATAACGTGATCTTTACCGAGCTTCTTCTCCTTGCCAGCCTCTTGCGACCCTACATCTTCTCTACGAATACGCTCCATCTCCGCCTGCCGTCGCTGCTTCTCCGCCGCCTCGTCTGCGGCCCTTTCTTCTTTCTCGCGAGCGGTGCGCTTATCCACCTCTGCGTGGCTGAGCGGAGATGGTACACCAGCATCATCCCATTCCCATTTCTGCTCGCCGAGCTGCGAGCGGGCGAGACGGAAGGCATCACGTGTAGCCCTGTCACCCGCGATATCGAAGGCGGATTTGCCATCTTCGTTGCGCAAGGTGGGATTCGCACCGGCTTTGACGAGCAGTGCAGTCACGCACGCCGCCGCGTTCGATGCGGCCGCCAGGTGCAGCGGGGTTGGTGCATGATGATTATGCTCAGCTGGGTGGAATTGGAAGTTAGGGTCAAGTTTGCTCGACTGCAGGTATGACAGCATGGCAGGTGCTTTGGACCGCCGTATGAGCGCTTGCAACTGCGTGGTATGCATCGCTGCTTCTTCTTCCTGCTTTGATGGTTTCGCGGGCTTTGGCGTGCTTGGCTTGCCATTCGCCACACCGTTCGCCGCTCGGGCAGCCGCAGCCGCAGCTTCCTCAGCCTGCCTTTGAAGCGCAGCCTCATCGACAGTACTGACTTTGACGCGGGTCAATTCGACGAAAGCACGCATCAGCTCTGATTGTGTAGCGCGTCGTGTGCTAAACGGAAAGCCGCGCAGTCGAGCATCCTTAGCAGATAGGACTTGGTCCTCGTAAGGCCCAAACAGCGTTCGGCGATTGGTGCTGCCTGTTGCGCGGATGAAGAGGAGTTCAGCACTGTCAATCCAAGGTCGCCACTCTGATAGGAGATCCCGCACTTCCTGCGTCAAGGCGGCTTCATTGTATCGCCTGATACCAGCACCGGCAGAATGCGCGTTGCCCTTAGAATTGTCGTTCGCGGATTGCGAACCACCCTGCTTCCGCCTGGTAGTATAGCGGTGGAAGGTCTTATGTGCGAGTACGGTGGCCGCACGGTCCTCGATGCCAGCCTTCTTCGTCAGCTTTGGAGTCAGTGAGACGAGCATTGCTGCAAAATGCCCGCCACCTATCATGCAAAGAAAGTAATGCGGTCCAGACGCACTTGTGATCTTTGGTAACATGGACGACGGCAGTGGCACGCCGCCCTCGTCATCAGAAGTCTCTCGCTTCTGTGACTGGGATGGAGGAGGCTTCGGTGCCAGTTGTTTCCGCCAAAGCACCTCAACAAGCTTAGTCTCCTCATTTTGTTCGTCTGTAGTGAAGATGGCCCGATAAACACCAAGTGCGGTATTTGGAGGTAGTTTTGGAGACGTGAACCATAGCAATGGTGGCTTGCCCTGGCCTCGCTGCTTCTTTCGAGGCGCATCTTCCGCGTCGCCATCTGTAATCTTGGCCTGCCTTCTCAAGAGCGCGGTCAGTGTCGAGTCCTTCGTCTTGTTGCCAGAGAGCTCGTGCTCTTCGTCACTGTCGTCTTCCGAGTCTGACGAGTCAGAGCCGGATAGACTCTCATCGAGCTGGCCAATCAGTCGCTCGAAATCCGCCTCCCCAACGGGCGCCTTACCGCGCATTCTCTGCTTGAGATTGTAGCCATGAAGGTCGGAGCGGATATGACTCCGCTGTTCCTGGACGTGCGCGAATGTAAGGCTGCAAAGAGCGCATGAGGTCGCGGCCTTGGGTACCTCTTCCTGGGCGGCATCTAGACCGTTCAGCGATGGCGAAGCAGGCGAAGATGTCCGTTCAGGTGACGTAGAATCTGTATCAGAGGCCGCAGTATGCTGTAATTTTAGCTGCAGCGTATAGAGCAGCTCCTCCGGTAGGTCAAAGACGTATAGTTTCTGCTGCGCAAGCCGATCGGCGGGTTGTGTCTGTGCCCTTTGCGCCATGTCGTCTCTGCAATGATGTCGGCAACGCTGTGTCTTTATGTTTTACTCCAATACGAGAGTCTCTTCCAGTCACAACGTCGGATTAGAAACTGTTGTGTGAAGAAGAGGTATCGTCTAAATGTACGTCCATATACCTGGAAACGGAGCTAATGCGAGTCATACTCTATGCGCGCGTCAAGCACGATGACTTTCGAAGTTTCAAGGATGAAGATGCTTGGCTTCGACGCCACACTTCCAAGCTGCAATCCACCAAGAGCACCTTGATGGTATCACGTGAGCACTCTACTCATCACAACTCAATGTTCCAGCTGTTGCTGCTGGTCAGCATCAAACCATCTCCCCGACCTGGAGTCTCACTTTGTTGACTGTATCTTTGTTGTATGCATGCACGGTCTGCTCGCATTCCAGTGACGTCGCGACCGCGTGCAGACAATCTCTGCGGAAGTGACCAGCAACCTACGCCTGTAGCGCAGGTCGCATCCAACGACTGTCGAAGCTCAGGTGAAGAACATCCATCGAGCCGTGATCCTCTACGATGGGCCTATCAAATGACGAGCGAGGATGGGTTATGACCATATTGAGCGGTGTCGGTATGTCTTGAGCGCTTTCAATAAAATTTGGCTCGTCATGTCCTAATGTTACCCAGCGTGTGTCGTTGGAGCGTCCGTGATTTGCGTCGACATCATTGTTCGCCAGTTTCCTGGGCAAAGAAACTTCAGAATCCAGGACAGCGATACCTTTCTGTCCGTCTCGCTGAGTCTCAGCTTCGGAGTCATGGTAGACGCCCCCCCTCCCTTCCATATTCCAGATGCAACGCTCACAGTGCTTTAGCTCTACTCGGCACTCAACAAAATGCTACCGTCTGCGAAGAATTCTCTTCAAGCAGGTGGCTTCACGCCGAAGCAGGCGGCTTGGGTACTTGTGGCATGCTTTCTGGGCGGCGTGATAGGCATACAAGTCATCTCGCGAATATTACATAGCTTTATGCCTTCGCATGTCGTTGACTGCGAGCACACGCATGACGAGGAGCCTGCCAAAGAGGATGGTCATTCACATGAAAATGGCCATGCTCACGACCACTCAAACAACCATAAGCCGGAACGGTTACCTCCACCTTCGCGGAAAAGCTCTCTTCCAGGACACTTACACCGCGGGGACAGCGACTGGAGACCGTCTTCACGACGAAGCTCATATCTTGGACACATCAACCCTGCATCTTCCCTACCTAGCCGCGAAAACGGAACCGAGGCGTCACCCTCAAAGCGGCCTGGCATCGCAACACGTCCGTCACTCTCACAGCGACTGACGAGCAGCGTCAGGCAATTGACTTCCGGTCGGAACCCGTCTTCTAATTGCGGCGAAGATTGTTACGGTTATAGCGAGCCATGTGGACAAGACTGCTTCAAGACCATTAATGCTCGTGGTGGCTACAGAGCACCAAAGCGGCTGAGCAGCATGACCTCGAGACCTGCCTTAGGTAAGAGTGCTACTACGCAGAACCTGCCCACAACTACCGAGGAGACACCACTACTGCGCGATCTCCAGGAGGATTTACACACAAAACCCACTGTAGACCCACCCATGTTAGAAGTCGAGAACGGACTGGTGACGGCAGATCACCCGCAGAATGGGACTACCAACGAGCCAAGCATTAACGGCGACGCAAATGGCACCGCTGATCTGCACAAGACAACCACCAGCTCCAGCCAAAAGGTCTCCGGAGATGTCCACCATCACCACGTCCCTAGTAACGCCTTCCTCTCCATCGGCCTTCAAACGTCCATCGCCATTGCCCTGCACAAGCTCCCAGAGGGCTTCATCACCTACGCCACCAACCACGCGAACCCGAAACTTGGCGTCGCCGTGTTCCTCGCCCTCTTCATCCACAACATCACCGAAGGCTTCGCCATGGCCCTACCCCTCTACCTCGCCATCAATAGCCGGCTCCGCGCAATGCTCATTTCCTTCGTGCTGGGCGGGCTATCGCAACCTATTGGAGCCGGAGTTGCAGCGCTCTGGTTTAAGCTGGGGGACTGGAAGGGCGAAGGCTGGAAGCCGAGTGAGGGAGTTTATGGTGGGATGTTTGCGGTTACAGCGGGTATTATGGCGAGTGTCGCTTTACAACTGTTCAGTGAGAGCTTAGACCTGACGCATAGTCGGACGTTATGTATGATTGGAGCGTTTACTGGTATGGGGATTCTTGGAATTAGCAGCGCGTTGACTGCTTGAGTATAGTAATGAAATGGCCTGGACTAGCACTGTTTGACGCTTACGAACGCAATGAGTTACGGTTGGCAGCTCATAATGCACGACGTGGCGCTATCCATACAATTCGTACACGTAACGGATACTTCATACGTCTATCAGGTTACCGCCGTGAGCTCGCCATTTCACCATACCGTCCTCTTTCCCTCGTGGTATCGTACGCCTGCAACACGCGCGCCTGGCTCTCGTCGGTCTGCGAGAAAGCATATCCGCGCTGCTTACGCATGCGCTGTACTTGTCGCACTTTGCGGATGGCCTTCTGGAACTGCTCCATCCTACAAACCGACTGTTAGCAAACTCGGTCACAGATCGTGCATATATAATGTTTACGTACCTAGGCCTGTAATCCTGGATATTGTACTTCTGTATCTCCTGCACATGATGGTAACTCTGCGGGAAGTACATCCTCTTCGCATACTTCCATGCGAAATCTCGCGCCAAACACAACGCCGGCAGCACCACCAGGCTCATAAGCCAATAGTTAGGCGTGCTGAGCAAGACTGGTAGCACATTCTTATACTCGGTCGAGAAATGCAGCATCGGCGCCACCGTCGCATACACGGGTAAGAAGATGAACCAGATAGCCAACGAGCCGGGAATGGCGATGACGGTATACTTGGTCCAGATATTCGTCATTAGCGCCGCTTTACCCAACACCGTCACCAGCGCCGCAGTGTACAGTGCGGTACCCCAAACCCAATGCCCGGCCACTTTGCCGTTGGGAAGGACACCATCGTCCCACCAGATCAGCTCGCTGACGAAATAGAGTAGGAGCGAGTGGTAGAAGCCATTCGCGACCCAACTCCAGAAATTGTGCGTCTGGAAAAATGCACCCTTCTGACTGAGTTGGTAGAGCTGCGGGTAACGGTCTAGTAGTCGAGCGTTAACGAACTGGTCGAAGATGCCAAGCACGAAAGGCGGCATGGCGGTGAAGATGACGTTGAAGAAGGACAGCGTCCAGGACTCGTAGATCACTTGGCCGGAAAAGGCGTTCTGGAACGAATACCAGAATTGCGTAATAAAGAGCGCGGTGTTCTTGTAGTAAAAATACAAGATAACCTTGCTGATGCGTTGGTACGACCAGCTCCCATGGACAAGCAGGAGTTTCCGTAAGAAGCGGAACTGCGCGATGGAGACGTCAGCGCTGCGAGCCGCTTGCAGGCCTTCGACGCCGGAAATGCCGATGCCGATGTGCGCGGCTTGGATCATGGAGACATCATTGGCGCCGTCGCCGATGGCGAGCAGGATGGCTTTGAGGTGGCGCTTGACGAGTTTCACCACGAGCGCTTTTTGCAAGGGCGAGACGCGGCAGCAGATCACGGCTTTACACATGACGGCTAAGTCGAGGAAGAGCTTCTCGAGATCGCGCTCGAGGGCGTAGGTGAGGGATTTGCCGTCGATGACGAGCGCGAGGGTTTCCATTTCGATGTTGCCGGCGTGCTGGGAGCGGATGGCGTCGAGTTTCTTTTGCATGTTCGCTCGTGTGGCTTCGGCGTTGGCTTCGTTGATGATGAGTAACGTCATGTCTTCGCTTATCAGCTTGCAAGACATGCCGATGTTGATCGCCGTCTCTTGTCGGTCACCTGTCAGTACCCAGACTTTGATGCCGGCAGTCTGTAGAGTGTGTATGGTATCCGGCACGCCTTCCTGCAATTTGTCCTCAATTGCCGTCGCACCGAGGAGGGTGAAGTCGTGCTCAATGAGTTCGGCCGCTTTATCTAGCTCGTCCGCTCGATTGCCAGAAACAGTCGTGGCAGCGGTGTTGAAGACGTCCCACCATTCACGGAACTCCGCTTCGGGCACTTCTCGCATCGCCAGACACAGTGTCCGTAAACCTTCTGCCGCATACTCCTCCAAATGCAGTAGCGTCTTCTCCACCACTTCGTCCCGCTGGCCGAGCCGCTCAAGGATGACTGTATCCGCGCCCTTGCAATAGCATCTGATCTTCCCGTCCGGACATCGGTAGATGCAGCTCATGCGCTTTCTCGTGCTGTTGAACTCACACACAGCCAGCAGCTCGTAGTCATGCTCCTGCTGGCCATCAACAAGAATAGTCACCATCTTCGGCTTCCGCGCTACAAACTTGTACCCGAGTGTGACGGCGCCTTCGACTAGCGCGCCCTCGTCGGGTGAAGCGGCCTGGTACTTGATCATGCCCGGCTTCTCCGCATTCGTCTCCGGGATCACGGTGTGGCAGGTCGAGAGTAATGTGAGAAACTCCGCAATACCCGTGCCATTCCTGCCCTCAAGCCTATGCCGCTCCAGCGCCTTGAAATCATGAATCCCATGCGTCATCGCATCCTCTTCGTTGAGCACTCTTCGATCCTCGGGCACCTCATCCGCATACTGCAATCCTCCAATCGAACAAGCCCGGAACTCCATCATATTGCATGTCAGCGTCCCAGTCTTGTCGCTGAACACGTACTCCACCTGACCCAGCTCCTCCACCAAACTACTCGTGCGGCAATTTGCCGGCGTGTCAGTCTCGGCGTAGTAGATGTCGAGGTCTGAGCTAATGAGGAAGGCTTGGTAGTACTTGATGATCTCCACGGTAACGAAGAGGGAGATGGGCACTAAATTAGAATACAGAATCCAGTAGGTGAAGAAGTCGGCGAAGAACAAACCCGCTACGTTGGACTTGCCGTAGTCGAGGAACCAAAGGTTCTTCCCGACAGTGACGCGGACGGCGACGTCACCAGCGGAGGAGATGGCGGAGAGGGCTACGAGCACGCCTCCGAGCATCAGGATCTGCATGTTGACGCGCTTCTCCACATTTGTCCGCTTGATTGGTGTAGCGGTGGCGTTGCGCATGAGCTTCGTTTCGTGGCCAGTAAACACGACGACGCCGTGGACCCAGGGTGTGTTGCGCAGCGTGGCGCCACGGAGTAAGAGTTGATCAGGCGCGAGAGGTAGTTCTTTCTCTCCACCACCGGCCTGCATGGTCAGCGTAGCCTCGTAAGTGTACAGACTGCTGTTGGGTTGTTCGCTGCGAAGACGGCCGCCCAGGCGTGCGAGCTCGGCGGAGGAGACGAGAGATGAGGTCTCTGGAATGGCTTGTTTGATTTTGAGGTTGGTCTCCCCGTCGAGGTTGGCGGTCTCTATGTAGCACAAGCCTTCCGGTTCGGACGAAGCGAGCAAGACGAGATCAGCTGGGAACGATTCTTCGGACTCCACTCGGACGATGTCTCCGACTTTAATGTCAATCCATTTCACGTCTTCAAATCTAGTGCCTCGAAGCACACGTGCGGGACTTCCATTCAGTTGCGCATCCTGACTCCTCCGCCGTTGGTCTTCTACCAGCTCCTTGCCCGCCGACACCAACAGCACGATCCCGAGTGGGACAATAGTAGTGAAACGGTTGGTCGGACTGATGCCGGGTATCTGCTGGAGAATAGCGGTGAACAGAAAGAACAAGTTCGCGTACTTGCTGAACTGCTCGAACAAGAACTTCGGCACGAATGTAGCAATGTTGTACTTCGTCGTGCTGACATGGTTGTCAACATATTTGTTCGTCGCATTCGCCGGCGGGTTGTTGAGATGTATAATCCGCGGTCCAAGTGACGAGGGGTCCGGTTTCCGTCTTCCGATTCCGGGTAAGCCAAACTTGAAGGTTGCACCAGGTGTTCGTCTCGGTGGTGGGCCGCTCATCGCATCATTGACACTATCCACTCCCGCGCTGCCCACCCGCTCCGCCCTGGCTCCCGTCTCCGTGAGCGGCAGATCCATTTCCGAGTATTCCGGACCCATGCCGAGCATATTCTTAGCTTTGCCCACGATCCCGCCTCCCAGGCTCAAGATGCTATTTCGGCTCCTATGCTTGCTTTTGCCCCTGTTGAGCGGCAATCCGGGCACACTATCCTCGTCGATACCTCCTCCAGCAGCATAGTAGCCGCCTGCCATCGAGGCAGAGTCGGAAAATTGGTCATTGTCGATATCGGAGTAGCGCTGGTAGTTGTTTAGACCTGACGTTTGCGAGTAGCTCCTGCCTGCATCGCCAGGTCCAGGTGGTCGCAGACCTCCCGCTGCACTGGAAGCTGGCTGTCCGGGTCCTCCAGGTAAGCCGGCTGTTGATCGTGATCCAACAAAGTCATCGTGTGACTCGCTGATCCGCGGTTGCGGAACACTCGAGTCGGAGATGTTGTATGTACGTAGCATTTCCTCATCGGAAACTGGAGGCCGTTCGCCATCATGGTACACCGGACCATCGTCGTCATCGTCTTCCAAGCTTAGGAGGTTGTGACCATTCTGCTGTGGTCTACCTGCCATGTCGGGCAGGCCAGTGGGAGGCTTGCTGGCTGTTGCCCGCTATCTTCGCCTTTGGACCTCCATACGATATCATAAGATTATCCTCTCGAGCGGTGGTGGTGTTCGAAGAAGGTATGCAATGCTTGAAAAGTCACTGCCTCCTGCTCGTAGCGTACCTCCAGGCGCAAGCTCTCTGTTTCAGGCTGACGCTGGATGCTTGGTATGCGATCCCGAACGGAAGCGACGTCTTTGTTGCTTCACTCCCAGTAGTCCCCTTGTTCGTCTATTCAATTGATGGCTTAATCCTCTCCATCAACCTGCACTACACTCGCTTTTCTTCCCATGCCTTACTGCCTTCTGCTGTCCTCGCAACATGAAGCTGATGCGGTCCACAAACGTGGCTTAGCTCACTGAGACCCGCAATGCACGCGCACGCGCCGAGGCGGGTCCGGGGCCGTTTGGTGCCGGTAGAACTACGCTGTTACAACTTTACCGAGCTGACCTCTGCTCTTCACCACTCGCGCCCCACGTCCAGAAGGAATTGACTCGCCATCTGCAATCATGCAACGTTGCGTTGTGAGACCGTTAGGCGAGGCCTACAAGCTGCGTCAACAACAACGGCGAACATTCCTGGGCTTACAGCGTCCACCTCCACCACCGCCAGCGACTATGGGTTACTTAGTCGTTCAGGGTCTGGCGGTGGTGCTGACGGTAGACTATGCCATCGCCGTCGTTCGTGGGGAGCCAACCACAATCCGCGTAGTATGTCAATCGGCCGGCTTCTGGAATGATGCACCGGCGTTCGAGAGATTGCATGGCGATGGCGATGCACCGGGAAGTACTTAAACCAGAGACTTCGCTCGACATTATTCTCAGCACCCATGCCTTCCTAATTCGGGCATTTGGTTTTTAAATGGCGGGCTCTCAGGCGCTCAATATTAAGCTGCCGAGGAGCCCGGAAGCTTATCACACTTTATCCACCACCGCTGTTCGTTATATCAGAAGTTGTCCTTCGCCCTTTGCGCGTGCAACGTGCCTTTCACAGCTACAAATATGCTACAGTGTTTCCGAGACTCGCGATCAGCGATGTCGCAATCCTCTGCTTCTGGTATCGACTCGGCTGCCCAGACTCAACTATCTTCGAAAACGAGCACAAATCTACTCCACCTGCCAAACGAAGTGCTCCTCCAAGTCCTCCAGGAGATCGTCCCGGATCCACCCAAAGGCGAACACAGCGCTTTCGCAAGCCTGCTCCGTGACACAAATCACATTTCTCTCGAGTACCTCGAGTACATGCGGATCGCGGCGGTCAGTAAACGGTTCAGGCAGCTGGCTCGAGACGCTTTCTTCAACACCTATATGGCACTCTTGAGAATTTGTTTATACGCACCACTCGACGACGACCCAATCCGCCAAGCAGTGAAGCGGGACTCTCGTGTCGAAACATCTCTCGATCGTTATTCGATCTTCCGGACTCGGCTGCAGCGGCTGCATCTCCATATGGAAGTCTGGTGGACCGAGTACGTCCACGAAGGTGTCGAGCTGTTGAAATACGCGCTGCGCAAGTATCCTTCTTTGATGGAGGTGCAGCTTGATGTGACTATGATAGAGCTGAAGGAGGATGGAGCGGAGATTGCTTGTAAAATGTGGGAGGTCTTGTGTGCGTGGAGGAAACGGCGGCGCGCTAAAAGAAAGGTCAAGCTGGGGATGACGGTGTGGTTCGACGATAAGAGGCTGACTTACCATGCTTACGGCGCTGTCACGGTCAAGGACCTCCGGAAGCCTCGGAATGCTTGAATGCGGACGCTGTGTGCACGGCTGCGGAGGGCCACGAGATGCTTGAGACATGCTCATGAAGCCGATTCACAGCTCGAGTTGCGCCTGGTGGGCTTTCGCAACAAGGTGCAGCGATCGAGTCTGTCTATGCAGATCTGGTCGCAGCAATGCGTGCCGGAAGGCTTGTTACTATTGCGACAGGCTTCGGACTTATGTCTCCCATCACTACATGTAGTGGTTGCCATGCTTACTCTATAGAGAGGAGGGAAGCGGCGGGCTCGCGCTTGGGATGTGGCAAAGGTTGCACGATTGGAGAAACCGTACGCCTAAAGTTGGGATGAGGAGGGTGGATACGGAGATGAGGGTCAGCTTCTTTGATCGAAAGCTTAAGTACGACAAGGATGGTGTGTTCACAGATGCTGACGGTGAGTGGCGCGGAGTTCATGGTGGTGAGCTTGCTGGGTACATGATGCCTGCTCTGCAGATACAACCGCCGCTTTCCAAGGGCCTCAGTCTCAGGACGATTGCTCAACTCCGTGAGATATCAGAGCAGGAAGGCAGCGAGGACGGGCTTGTACAGCAAGAAGACACGCTCGAACTCGAGATCGGAGGTGGCAGAGAGGCGGTTACACTGGACAGGCTAACGCGATGCTTGGATTCCGATCGCAGAATCCACGACCCTTCTAAATTGACGGCTTCTAGAATGCACGATCGCAGTTATCGTCACGGATGCAAAACTTGCGCCGCGTTACGCAACGTCCTGCCATCACTGCCGACTGGTCAGCACATAAGCAACACCGTACGATATGCATTGCACGACTCACATACATCATCCGTTGGACCGAGCTGCTTCCCGAACGAGAACGTCGATCTCAGCAGCGACCTGCTCGTGCCTGCGGAGGGTCTCCCAAGCATCGTGATCGAAGTCCCGCTTGATGCCGATCCTTTTGAAGTTGTCGTCCAACGACTGATGGACGGCAGCGGCGCGCTTCAATTTTATGCTTGATGCAGTATGGAGGCGGAGGTTGGCGACCGTTAGGGGAGTATGATACGAGGTGACGACTTCGTCGACGTTGACACCGACGGTTGCTTTGGGGCCGGAGGTTGCTACGTCTTGTGGTGGAGGAGCGTGAAGATTGCTGTGGTTGACAGAGCATCCACATTTCGCGTGGGTCGTGCTATGACGGCTAGGTTAAGGGGGAACTAGGGAAGAAAACGCTGGGCCAGGCACCTACTTGATAAAGGACGAGGACATGTTAGATGAAGATCTGAGGGGAGTTTTGATGGGGGAATTGTGGCGAGTACAATGAAGAGGTAGTGATGGACATGACGAAGGGAGTGGCCATGCGAGGTAGGAGAAGCGTGTACTTATGCTGCAGATCTAACGAGCCGTTCTCACTTACTACAGGCAACAAGCGCCCACACCCGTATGCGTTGGCGTAATGCGAAGATGAGAACTCACAACAGCCGTTGCGAGATCCTGTATGTTACCGGGTAGAATGATGGATGCGAGAGCCGGTAACAAATGGAGGCGAGTTTCTTGGTTCGCGTATGCACAGCACGCAACAATTCGGGCAAGCCGATAGGCGCGAATGCGAAGTTTCTGGTTCGCATCGCAGCATGGCGGATAATCCCGCCAGATCTTGTTATCCTTGGGCGAAGACTGCTCCGCAAAAATTGGTCGGGCCGTAGCGACAACCGACCGCTAGACGGTGCGACTCTGGCCAGGACTAGAGATGGTTTTCTAACGTATCACGGACGTTGAGCGCCACAGCAATGCGTGATTGATGTTGTTGGGTTGTTGCGATATAGATATCTATATAGCGTCTCGCTTCAAGCATCGAGGAGCGGCGGAGGCGGCTATACCCGCATTGTGCATGCCATTAAGGCAAATGGTTCGCATCGCATCGGACTCAGGAAGAGCTATTTGATCACCGGGACCGTCAACGTGCACATATCAAGGGTAATTGCATGGCGCAGTCGCGAGGCTGAGGCTAAGAGACCGTTTTGGTCAAGGGCCTGGTGATCCCATGCCATCGTGGTTCGTTGCTGATGGCTAGTCTGAGTGAGTATGGCTTGTCGCACGGCCGAAACGCCCCTCGGCTAAGGACAGGTAGGCGTGTCTCGAGAGCAACACTTGCGCGGTGAAAGGGCCATGATAAGAGCTGTGCTCGGTTCCGCCGTGGTAGTCGTCTTGGAAGAAACGGGCGCGGGTTGTGTATGTGCAAGGCGAGTTCGCCATAGCGCGGAGAAGGCCCGCGTTCTTCAGCGTCAAGAACGCTTTGATTCCTGTTACCGCTCCTGTAATGGCAGCCCGCCGGCCCGTTCGAAGTCGGCCACCCGTAACTCCACACCGCACCGTCCCATAAAACGTGCCTCCAGACCCAACATGTCCATAGACAAATGCAAGCCCCTCCCAACTCCCCGCGCCACGAATGCCAATCCCCCATCCATTAGCAACGCCATCACGCACTCCCACTACTCTGCTGCATCGGCATCCCGGGCCTCTCCCCGCCCCCTCCCCCCGGCTGCGTCTGTGTCGGACTCCCCGCCTCCCCACCGCCCCTCTTCTTCTCCTTCTTCGCCCACCGCAACCCACAAGCATTACACAACGTCTTCGGCCCCTTGGGCCCCTTCCTCCACTCCGGCGAATCCAACGTCCCGCAATCCGCACACACGTACTCATCCGCGACCTTCAATTTCTTCTTCTCGGATTTCCTCCCACCGTCCCGATCGCGGTCGAGCAGGATGGCTATCCCTGCGTCTCCGCGGATGAGGGCGGGGGAGGTGTCGCCGGTGGAGATGCCGTGGCTGCGTTCGCCGTCTCGGTAGCGGAGGCCGGTGAGGAGTTCGATGGATTCCAAGTGGGTGGATGAGGCTTCGTAACGGGACATTTTGTCCGCGATACTGTCTGGTTTCTGCGCGCTTAGGGCGGAGTCGAGGTTCTGCCGGGTCAAGGCTGTGTTGGAGATGGAGGGTTTGGCGGGCGGTGGCATGCCTTGGTAGTTGGGCTCTGACAGAGGGCCGGGTGTTTCCGAAGTGCCTGTTTCGCGCGACAGGCCTTGCGATTCCGTGGGTGTGCCGCCAGTCTGTGAGGCGGACACTTCGCGGTAGAGTCGATCTTGCTCCGCGTTCTCCTCGTGCTCCTCGCGCTTCAGCTCCTCCACCCGCTTCATCAACCGCTCGTTCTCGATCTTGTGCTCGAGAAAGCTGTCCAGTAACGCCGCGTTCTTCGTCGGGTACGGTCGCGCCATCATGAAGAAACCCCTGCACATCCCTCCCGGCTGATTGCCCTGCGTCGAGGACGCATTGTATCCTTGCGGCACAGAAGGCGGGTCGGGAGAGATGTGCGGATGTCCATCGCATTCGAAGATCATGTACGTCCCGTCGTCCTTCTTGAAGCGGTAGAAGAAGCGCAAGCTATTCCCACTCGCGATGCTCTCGTTGAACTCGCGCATGAAGATGCCGCTGTCATCCGGGTGCACGTACTCGCCTATAAACTTACCCACAAGCGTATGACTCTCGTACCCCGTGATCGTCTTGCACGAAGGACTCACATACAAGATCCTCCCGTCCGGCGTGAGGATGTGCAGAAAGTCCTTCAACTCCTCGATAATCCTCTGACTCCAATTCCGCCTCTTCGTAAACTCGGTCAACGTCGAAGTCCCCTGCGGCGCCGGCATGCCAAACCCCGTGGGCAGCGGTCCAGCACCGACCCCCGTCATCTTCTCACCATACGTATTATTCGACTCAGGCGGAGGCGCGGAAGAAGTCACCACCTCCCCTCCCCCTCCTCCATCCCCATCACCACTCGACCCACCACCGCCACCCATCATCTGATCCTGCTGTTGCTGCTGCGGCTGCTGCGGCTGTCCGCCCATCACAAAACTTCCATCCCCCCCCTGCGACAGATCCAGATCCAAGTCCATCGGCAACGACATATCCATCCCCAACCCAACCATCCCATTCCCATCCCCACCCGCCCCACCAAGAAACGACGCTAAATCGGTATCGCCCACGCCGCCGCCCAACGCACCTCCCGTGCCCAGACTCAGACTCCCTCCCGGACCACCACTGAACGAGTTATACGCCGCCGCGCTCGCGGTCGGAATGGCGTTATGATGATTGTAGGAGACATGATTCCCCCGCCCATTCCCACTCGCATTCCCACCCCCACCGCCAAGGTCGACGCTCCCATTCCCACGGTGATTGAGATGGCCATACCCCTGCTGCCCATGCGCGTGCCCTTGGCTGGCGTGCTGATGCTGCAGCGGCAAACCGCCGTGGTAGGCGCCGGCCATCGGCGGTTTGGCAGGGAATCATAAGTCTCGATCGGGAGGCCGCGATTCGTTAGGGCTCGGCTCCGGGTTTTACCAGGCGTGTGGGTAGGCTCGATCCGGAGGGAAAGGAGAGGCTTGTCCTTCCTGATCGCGCGATCAGCGTGTACGATTCGGTTGTCCTCGCCCGAAGCCTTGCAGCAATCGTGAGTGGCGATCAGCGATGGTGCAACGGAGGGTTAGTCCGAGACGCCGACCGATCGCAGCCGGCGTTGGCCGAAGGAGGGTCGGGTTTGAGGAGGCACGATCACATGTTTTTGGCCGCTTTGGTGCTGTGTGCTGACTACACATCTCTACGTGGTGGCATCCAAGGTCAAAATAAGGCGAAGTGGTGTGATTAACTCTCCGTCCGCACTTTACAAGTCAATATTAGTAAGGTACGGAAAGCGCCAACAAGCAGATCCGTGATTATATGCTGGGCAGCGTTCACTGGAGGGAGCGGAAGTGAGAGACCTGGGAAGGCGGGAAAGGTGATACAGGTCATTGTACATTACGTTCACAGGGCGAGCCGTGAGGCCATGAACAAGCCATCAAGTCAGCTCAGCTCAGCTCAGCTCACATATCCAAGTCCTCCTCTATCCATTGCCCAAGAAGCAACACCCGCTAAACAAAAGGGTATCTTCGATGCAAGCAAGTAAAGCAAGCAAGCAAGCAGAAATACGCCTTGCTTTCCCATCCCACGCTATGCAAGTTCCACTGAAGCACAAAAGCAACCGATTCCACCGTCCTTCTGCATCCTCGCCGCCGGCTAGCTGACAGACCATTTGCTGTTGCTGCACCTCCACTAGGTCAGCTGAAAAGGCCGCGCCAGTCGCGCAGCGGGTCGGGAAGCTGAAGCTCCAATCGAAGTTTCAGCCAAGTATAAGCCGGAGTCCAAGCGGAAGAACACGTATGGCCGGGCTCGGATCCAGGCGCTGGCTTGAGAATGCGCGATCAAGCCATATTACCAATATCCAACATGCCCTCCGGCTTCATACCACCCCCCAACCCCTGCTCCCTCACCATCCCACCACTCCCAACTCCCATACCACTTCCCACCCCACCCCCGCTCGAACTCAACTGCGCCTCCATCTTCTGCCCCATCGTCATGCCATCCCTCGGCCTCGTTCCCCTCGCCGCCGCCACCCCCACCACGCTCGTAACAGACAACTTCCGATCGATCTTCCCCAACGCCCCCGGCCTCGTCACCAACCCTTCCTCCTCCTCCGCATCATCATCGCCAACAGGGATAGCGATCCAGCGTCTCACCACCTCCGCATCTTTCTCCAAGATCTCGGGGTCGTTGTGCCCCGCGACCTCAATCCCGCCCTCCCTTATCACCTGCACCATAGCCCGCGTGTTAAGTTCGAGTATGCGTTCCGGTTCCTCGGCTTTGGTGAGCCGGAGCGCGATCCAGGGGAATAAGATGCCGAAGTCGGATTGGTTGAAGTGTTGGGACATGCCGACGTAGAACATATGCGGGCCCGGGGTGCGCTTCGCCTCCCCGTTCGTACTGCCGCGGTCCGGACTGACTTTGTTCCCACTCGTCTGCGTGGTGGCAGCAGTAAGCGACGAAGACTTGATCGAGGATTTCGTGGTAGTGGAGAAGGAACTATGACTAGCCTCTCGCGTAAGCGTCTGCTGCGGCGAATTCCGCGACATCGACGCCGACAAGCTGGACGCGTATCCCGAGTCGGACGCCGGAGAGGGTGCTCTCAACCGCGCAAAAGCCGGTAACAACTGCCCCTTCGCCCGCGTAAGTCGCGGAGCGATGGAAGGCCGTCTCGAGAGCGAAGGTTTCGCCACGATCGCTTTATTGACGTTGAGATTATCATGCCAATTCTGAAACGCCTCCGACAGGACGGAGAGGATATTCGCGCCGTTTGGTCCTCCTACCGCGTAGGAAGGTAAGGGGCGATCCCATAGAAACCGCTGTGCCGGGGACTTGAGGGGGAGACACCACATATCCAGTAACAGTGTCGTGCTCTCGGGTACGATTTGTTGGATAATCGCCGCGTCCGGCCGTGGGGTGATAAGCGCCCATCCATCGGATTCGGTCCGGTCTTTGTAGTAGAAAATACTCTTCAACAACTGCACGGTCGTCGCCGCGCCGAAGGAATGACCCGCCCACGTCACTTTGCCGGGGCGGTGGATGTCCATCTTATCCGCAAACTGCCACAACACCTCCATCCGCTCGCGTCGTAGGCGTGAGGTATTACTGTCCAGATTCTCGATATTGTGGCCTCTATCAATCTTCACGAGCGCTTCGTACGCCATCGCCATCTCCCAACACCGAATCCGCAGCTGCTTATCGCGGGCGGCGTAGACGGCGTCGGTGACGGGTTCGTGTGGAATCCTGACCGGGGGGACAATATGCGCTTCGGAGGTTGCGGTGGCGCGCACGTATTGAATCGGACTACTCCCGTCTCGGTGATCGAGCGCTATGACGATCATCCCATTGCTCGCCAAATCTCCGCAGATCTGACTATACGCGTTCCGTGACCCGGCCAAGCCGTGACTGAACACCGTCACCGGCCATCTCCCATTACTCGTCGGCGCATCCAGAAGCTTCGCGTTGCGGTGCGCCGGCAGCTTAATCCAGTATAGTTGCTGCGGGACATAACTCAATGCGCCGGCGACTTTCTGGTTACAGCCGATGAACTTGGCGAAGCTGGAGATGGTTGCGCGTTGGGGTTGCGGGATCCAGCGGACGGGGCGGTCGACTTCGGCGTTGGGGGGCCGTTGGCAGGGGTAGAAGATGCGGAAGGCGATGGTGGGTTGGGAGTCGTCGGGGGCGTCGCAGGGGGAGGGGAGGTCGGCGGCGGGGATCTCGACGTCGACGGTGCCGACTGCGTAGGGGCCGCGGTAGGGGGGGAAGAATTTGATGGGGTTCCAGCCGGTCCACCATGAAGCCATTGATTGAGAGGATGGCGGTGGAGGGGTGGAGGGCGGAGGGGAGAAGTTGGTTGGAAGTGGTTGTGCGTCTGGCTATGAAAGTTGTGGTATCGATGTACCTTTGCCTGCGCCTTACGACGCCTTTCACGAGCTGCGGCTGTGTCCTGCGCTAGTCTCTTAAGGCTCCTGAGGCACCAATTGACATGTGAAACCCGCCGTAAATAGATCCCTGCCAAATGTGAAGCAGAAGTTGTAGTGTTCGGAAGAAGCGAAGGTGCGTTAGAAATGTACGAAGGCAACAACGATTGTGAGTGAGTGAGTGAAGCGCTGTAAGTTGTTGCCGCAAGAGCGAGGAACGGGCAGGTGGTCTCGTGCCCCAACTCTACTTCATGCGCTAACAGTCGATCGAATTTTCGGGTGACGTTGAAACACTTCGCTAGCGCGCTGGAACAGGCAAGCGGAGCCATCCCGTGCCTTCCCGCGGCTTGCATTGCCGGCTGTTGGCGCTAGCCTCCGATACCTCGTTTTGGCACGTGAATATGCATGGTGGTTTCGCAAGAGGAAGGAGCGGGCAAGTGAGTGCGTAATTGGAAAAGTACACAGAGTATGTCTGTGGGGTGCTTGTATTGTCTGAAGGAACGCAGACAAAGGAACGCCACCGCTGATGGGCACTACGATCGAGCTTCCACTGCCTGGAATGCGCGCCATGCCAAGCCAACCCATCGGTCCTGGGCATTGCGCGTGCCGATGTCTCATGTGCCACGGCAACCTCACACGCTGTTCTGCGTTTGTTAGATCGGTCACGTCTTATAATGCATGCATATACCTGTGTCACACGTGCTCACGTGGACCTAGTGGAAGAGGCAGATCACATACATATAGCGTAGAGTAGCAGCCTAAGGCACTCACATCCTCCACCTCCACCTCCACCTCCTCCACCCTTCCGACCAAAACACCAGTATCCCCTCCTACACCATCCATATGCCTCTACCGTGACTTCCATCCCCCTCAACAATGGCAACAACAACCCTCCCCTCCCTCCTTCGCCCCACCACCTCCCGCGCCCTCCACCTCCGCATCACCCCCCGCCCCTCCACCCTCGGCGAAACCCGCGAAATCCTGCGCCTCGTCTCCCAATTCGGCGAAATCGAATACTTCAAAAACCTGAAATACGACGTCCTCACGCACCCACAAGCGATGTTGGTCATCTTCCGGGAGGAGAGTGCGGCGCGGGAGTGTTTCAAGAAGAGTCCGATCCGGTTTCGGATGGGCCGGGCAGTGACACCAGCACCAGCACCAGCACCAGCATCAGCACCAATGACGCAGAGGGGTGGAGATGGTGCGGAGGGAGAGGGGAAGGAGGGAGAGGGGAAAGACGGGACGGCGATGGCAGAGGATGGGTGGCGGATGTTTCAAATCACCAACCGCATGGCCCGCGTTCACTTCCGCGATAAGATCAACGCGATGGAATGTCATGGTAGTTTCGCGGTTGATACCAAAACCGCGGCGCAGCAGGATTTGAAGGATCGCGTGCCGGCGGTGGGGCTGAGTGATTTGAACTTCCGTAAGGCGGAGAAGCCGTGGGGGGTGGCGAGGAGGCAGAGGGAGCGGGATGCGGCGTTCAATGGGAGTGGGAGGAGGAGGTCGTTGATGGAGGTTTATGAGGAGGCTTGGGGGAAGGGTGGGAGTAGGGTGGGGAGGTCGCATGGTGCTGGCGCGGGTGCAGGTGCGGGTTGAGTGTGACCACTGATTATCAAAGGGATGATTCGCCAGATGTCGCAAGGGGGTATTCGCACGCTTCCCGCTGGGGACCCTGACCACTACCTCCGCTCCCTCGCACGGACAGCAGGAGAATCGCAATCGACATACCACTCCCCTCATCTACGCCCCCAATTACCCGCAATGCCAGTCCTTACATAACCGCTCCAACTCACACCCCCTCGGCCGAAATCCGAACCCCAACCCGCCACCCTCCGCCTCCGCCCACGGACCTCTCCCACTCCGACTCCTAAGCTCGACCACACAACACTGCTCCCTTCCCAACCTTCCCCTCACGCCCAACGACTTCTCCAGCTGGCTTCCGGTAACCTTCATCAACACCTGCCACGCCCGTCCATGGCCCCGTCGCTCCTCCCAAATTCTCGCCGGACAACCTCCAACACAGATCTAATCCCGCACGCGGCACGATATCCGTCCCGTCCCGGAAATTAGGCGGTGCGGCATTTCGTGCAGCAGCGTGCAGAAGAGGGTTTGCGCGGTTGAAGGTGTGGTGGGGGTGTGGAGGTTGAGGAGGGTTTCGTAGGCCCCGCCCGCTGGGGAGCGCTAGGGCTAGGGCGTAGGTGTGCGGATGCATAAATCTCCAGCGAATGAGCGTTTGCGAGGCGGGGAGGCCGAGGAGGAAGAAGAGGGTGCTGAAGGTTGTTATGACTCGGGTGGAGATGGAGGGTGGTACGCTTTCGAGCTCCCGAGCGTACCGCAACGTCCGTGTTGGAGGGGAGTTCCCACCGGATCACCACGGTTTCCCGTCGGACAGGGCGCGCATCCGAGCCCAATACCGCGGAGACGAGGAAGGGATGCCGGCGGAGAGGGAGAGTACGGCTTGTTGCGCCATTCCCAGGACGTCGTGGCTTCCGGCTCGTAAGCCGCGGTGGTGGGTGTCCGGGGCGGGCGCGCTCCATCTGATCGTGCAGTGCGAGTGCTGGCTCGCTGAAGTCGAAGTCGCAGGTGCGGGACCCCGGTTTCGATGTGCTGACTGCTTGGTCGATTGTTGGTGGGGGGGCCGGAACAGGGGTTGTACAGGTTTGGAGATCGTGTCGCTGTGGCATCATCCCGCGCGTCGAAGGTCTTTTCCGCTCCCACGACGATGACTGGCGGTTCTCGGCTTGTCGTGAGCTGCCGGTGCGTGAGGCGGCGTCATAGAAAGCGGAGCCGCGTTCGCATCGGAAGACATCGAAGGCAACTTAGGTTGCTGTCGTCGGTGATGAAGGCGGATTTGTGGCAGATGCTGTACTGTCTGATGGGATATGTTCGATTGATGGCACAGTGGTCCTGTGGTCAGGAAGACGCCCAGACAGGACAGGGCGAGATGGCTCCCGTATATGCCTCGCGATGTGCGTTGATACGCTCCATTCCGAGTTGGGTATGATTGAAAGCTTGTGTAAAGGTGGTAAGCAGTCACTGCTTCATGACGTTGAGGACGCAAGAGGTACATGTACGAGGGAGGAGGGGCCGGGTAGAGGTCAATTGCACCACATCACCGCGTTGAATGGACCCTCGCGCCGGCGTGATGATTGTGGAAGACAGTTACAATCGAGTGATGGTAAGTGGAAGAGTCACTCACTCTCGCCGCCTCTAGTCTTCTGTTTTGTCCGTCTTTCGTTCAGCAACACGCATCAGATATGTATACGTCGAAATCATAGTATGGGTCATCCTTCACCCCCACCCCCAAACACTCCACCAACATCTCACAACTCCCTCCCCTTCCCCTTCCCATCCCTCCCCTTCCCCATCCACCCCTGGCCCCTCCTCATCCTCTACCTCCCCACCAAACCCATCACCCGACGACGCTCCACCCCAATCATCAACCCCCCGCTCTACTCCCTCCTCCAACACCCTCAACCCCAACCCCACCATCCGCTCCCGGAAATCTTCCCGCTCACCCGCATAGCCCTCCCGCAATGGCATCTCGACCACGACTCTCGCGTGCTCGTGGTCGCGAGAGAGGTGGTAAGCTATCGTTTGGACGAGTAAGCGTGGGTGATCGGGGGAGTAGATGGGGTCCGCGGCTAGGATCAGGGAGAATGAGTGTGAAGGGTATCGCCGCTGGCACTGCTGCTCTTCTCGTTGTGGTTGTCGCTGCTGCTGCTGCCGCTGCCCGTCCAAGTCCGAGTCCGAGTTCAAGTCCGAGTTCAAGTCCGAGTCAAAGAGAGAAGAAGAGGAGGAGGAAGAAGGACACGTAAACTCCAATCCACCAGGGTCCTCCCAATCCAACACCCCAACCTCAGCCCGCCCGCCACGCCTCGATACCATCGCGGCATTTTCACGGATATTGCGCTCCAGATTCGGCACAATGGCTGGTAAATCCGTGAGCAGGACTTTGGCTTGCAGGACGGCGGCGGCGGCTAAGCCTACGAGTCCCGTTCCGGAGCCGAGTTCCAGTACCCGCGCGTCTGGATCGAGAAGACACGGGAGGCTGTTGCTGTCGCGGAGTCTGCAGAGCCGTTTCGCGAGTAAGTGGGATGAAGCCCAGGTTTTCAGACCGAGGTTGTCGGCGGTTAGGGCTGGTTCGTGGAGGGTGATTTCTACCACCTCGTCCTCCTCAACCTCTTCTGAATCCATTCCAGACACAGCAAGTCGTTCTTCGACTATACCCACGCCGGTGTTATTCCTCCCGCTGGTCGTCATAGGTGGATGTAATGGGATCACGAACGTCCTACTAAACCCGCCCATCCCCGCCCTTCCACTCCGCTCACTCAAACGCTTTGCCGCCGTCTCCCACATCCGCTCTTTCTCCTCGTCATCGTCGATCCATGTCAAGGGGCTGGAAATGATGCGGGTGAGGTATTGCGCTAGCGCTACGCTTTCGCTTTTGACGATGATCTTGCGTCTCTTCCTGGTTTGGAGAGGCGTGGAGGTTCCGCTCAAGGGTGTTCGCGGGGTGCCGGTACGCGGGGTGGTGTCCCATGATGAAGGTTCAGAGCGTAGATCGTCGAGAGTGGCGAGGAGAGTGCTGGCGGAGGGTTTGGTGTAGAGTTGGGGGAGGTCGAGGACTGTGGATGCGGTCAGTAAGACTCTCTATTGACATTGTTCAGCTCCGTGCATATACCATCCAGTATTTGATCTTCTCCATCTTCCAAGCGTAAGTCTGCAATAGTACGACGAGATGTATCGTCTGCCATCAATCCATAACTCATCGCTTCGTGCATTTTGGCGGGTTGGGTGAAGATGCGAGCTCCAGCCGGATTAACACCGAGCTAACTCCGGCCATCTTTGTCGAAAGCGACGCCATCATCCGCAAAGCAATTTGATTAGCTCAATCAATATTGCGCCGCTCACTCCAACACCCCCTTAAACCCATCATAAGCGGCATTCAAATCAAACTGCAGCTCCCTCGCCTGCTCCGCACTCAATTCCTCCGCCGCCCGCATCTGGTTCAACGTAATCAGCCATTGAACAATCTTCCCCTTATTCTCAAAATCCCGATCCGTGACTTTATTCACCGCTTGGATGATCTCCACCAAGATAGGGTGTAGTGTGTCCTTTGAGAGCATGTTCATGCGGATGGCATCGAAGAGGGTGATGAAGTTTTCTGAAGCAGAGACGATATATGTCGCTGCGGGTGCTGTTGTGGAAGCGGGGGCGTTGAAGGAGGCGGAGGCGGTGGAGAGGGGGCGATTGTGGTGGTGATGGGTGTGTGCCGGTGTGTTCTCCACGGTGGCGGGGAGGCCGATGCGGAGGCGTTCGCTTGCTTTGGGCACTTCGAGCTGCAATCATGCCATACCGTCAACAAACCACCCATCCATCCCCACCAATTGTGACGATTAAAATCGATGCATACGTACATCCCACTCCAACTTAAACCTCTCCAAATCCCCAAACGCGGCCGCAACGCTCTCGTCCGCCAAATTACTCTTATACTGCCTCAACAACCGATCGCATGTCTCCGTGTACTCGCTCTCGCGGATCGAGTCGCGCAAATATGCTTTTTCGAGGGTGTCGAGGGTGATGATGATGCTGTAGATTTCCGCTAATGATTCGTAAAGATCGCGCTCGGCGGCGTTGTCGGCGAGTTTCACCTCCTCGTCGAGGTTGATGGTCGCGGTCAGGTTGGCGGAGGGGGTATAGCTGTAAGGGGTGGGGGCGTAGGCGAGTTGGGAGGAGGTGTACATTGTCGTGGGAGTGGTAGAGGAAGGGGGAGGAGAGGATGGAGGGAGAGGGTGGAGGGAGAGGGTGGAGGGAGATGGTGGAGGGGCGAGATGAGGGCACGCGAGCAAGCTCTCTCCACACTTTGCGCCGGCGGATCTTCGGGGTTTGGAAATTCTGGGGTCTGCGAACTTTTTGCGATCAATTCGAACTTTCAGTAACGAGCTCTGTTTTGACAAGTGGAAGAGGGCTACTTGTCGCAATGGCGCAAAGCAAGGCGACGAAGAAGTTCGAGAAGCGTCACCTCAAGGACACGCTCGAGAAGCGGAATGGGCTGAAGAAGACGAAGCAAAAGCAGCAGCTCAAGGCGAGGAAGAAGGCGAGGAGGGCGGAGGAGGAGGGGCGGGATGGGCGGAGCGAAGACAAGGACGCCCAGGCGCAGAGTACGACGGCGAAGGCGAGGGCGAAGGCGGCATCGGGTCAGGATGCGTTCAAAGACATGAGCGTCGACGACTTCTTCCAAGGCGGCTTTGAGGTGCCCGAGTTGCCGAAGCAGAAGGGCAGTAAGCGGAAGCGGCAGGAGGCGGAGGATGATGCGGATGAAAGGGGTGATGATGAGGAGGCAGGGGAAGCGGACTCGGAGGATGAGGACGATGTGGACGACCACCGACAACAACTCGACGCTCTGGCGGAGAACGACCCGGAGTTCCACAAGTACCTGCAAGAGAACGAGCCCGAACTTCTCGACGCCGAACTCGCGGAGATTGGTGAGCTCAGCGAAGACGACAATGATGATGACCAGCCGAAGCGCAAGAAGCGAAAATCAGACGCCACCGACACCGACGCAAGCGACAACGATGAGACCGACGGCATAGGAAACAACGACCTCGACATGCCCACCCTCACCCGCTGGCAAAAGGCCCTAACCGACCACCACTCCCTCCGCGCCGCCAAGGAACTCGTCCTCGCCTTCCGCTCCGCCGCCCATGTCTCCGAAGCCTCCGATGACAACACGACGCAAAAGACCTATAAATACTCCATCTCCTCCCCCACCGTCTACCACGCCCTCCTCACCACCGCTCTCACCCAGATCCCACAAATCTTCGCCCACCACCTCCCACCCACCCAAACCAAGTCCGGGAAGTCCCAGGTTCAGACCGCGTCAAAGAAGTTCAAGACTCTTGCCCCACTCCTCCGCTCACACATAGCGAGTATACTGCACCTGCTCTCCCACCTCTCCGACGCCGCCACCCTGCGCCTTACGCTATCCTCCACCCTCCCTCTCCTTCCCTACCTCCTCTCCTTCAAGAAGCTTGTCCGCGACCTCGCCCGCTCCGCCGCAACCGTCTGGTCCACCGCCAGCAACGCCGAAAGCGTCCGGGTGGGCGCTTTCCTCATCCTACGCCGTCTCGTCGTGATGGGGGATGCGGGGATAAGAGAGAATGTGCTCAAAGCCGCTTATCAAGCGCTCATCATGTCGGCGCGGAATACAACCATACATACCCTGCCTGGCGTAAACCTGATGAAGAACTCCGGCGCCGAGCTTTGGGGTGTCGCTGCCTCGGAGGGCGACGGGGTGGCCTACACAACCGCGTTCACATTCATCCGACAACTAGCCATCCACCTCCGCACCTCCATCGCCAACCCGGGAAACGAAAGCTACAAAACAGTCTACAACTGGCAGTACATCCACGGTCTGGACTTCTGGTCGCGCGTCCTCGCCTCCCACACCACCCCCACCGACTCCAAATCGTCATCCTCGACTCTCCGCCCGCTCATCTACCCCCTCGTCCAACTAACCCTCGGCGCCCTCCGTCTCATCCCCACAGCGACTTACTTTCCCCTCCGCTTCCACTTGATACGGTCCTGCCTCCGCATCAGCGTGGCGACGGGGACGTACATCCCGCTCGCACCCGCGCTGTATGAGGTACTAAATTCGGCCGAAATGCGGCGGACGCCGAAGTCGAGTACGCTCAAACCGCTGGACTTCGCGACGAGTATCCGTGCGCCGGGGGCGTATTTGAGGACGCGGACGTATCAGGATGGGGTGGGCGAGCAGGTTGTCGAGTTATTCGCCGAGTTCTTCGGGCTTTACGCGAAGAACCTCGCGTTTCCGGAGTTGTCGCTCGCGCCGGTGGTGGCGTTGAAACGCTGGCTCAAGGATGTGCAAGCTCGAGGACCGGGGAAGGGGAATCGGAACCAAAAGGTCAACAGTGCGGTGCAAGTGCTGGTGCAGAAGGTGGAGGCGAATTCGCGATGGGTGGAGGAGAGGAGGAGGAAGGTTGAGTTTGCTCCGGATGATCGGAGGGGGGTTGAGGGGTTTTTGGCGGAGGTGGAGTGGGAGAAGAGTCCGTTGGGGGCGTATGTGGTGGGCTTGAGGAGGGGGAGGGAGGAGAGAGTGAAGGTGGTCGAGGAGGGGCGGAGGAGGGAGGAGGTGAGGGAGAGGGCGGGGAAGGGTGGAAAGGGGAGGGATGCTGGGAGGGCGAGGCAGAGAGGTGATAGGGTAGAGGAGGAGGAGGGTGTAGATGGTGAGGAGGATGAGGGTGAGGATGAGGGTGAGGATGGAGAGGACGGGCTGTTCGATGGCATCGATGATGATGATAATGAGGATGAGGGTAGCGAGTAAGATTGTCTGCTTTCTGTGAAGCTGTGTCGGCTCTGCTTCGTTCCCTCGAGGGATGATAGCAACATTTGCGCTTTGATGGCCGCAGAACTTCAGGCGGTTAAGAGCGAAGTACGTGGACGAGCGATGCCTGTCTCAAGTCTCACAGGCCTTTCTCGTCTCGATCACTTGTGGCTAACACTGCTGTTTGCAATCACTCCTACTATGCCCGGGAGGGGCGTACAGCGTGTCGAGCTCTGCAGCAGTTGGGCCACAGCGCAGAATATACAGAAACAACTGCGAGTCCGGAACGGAACAGGAAGCGGCTTTCAGTGCGCTTCTACCACCTGCTGCTGCTGCTGCACCTTCGACTCCTGCAGTAAGTCCTCCACTCCACCTGGTCCCGCCTTCACCGCAGCCTCCTTCGCCTCCTCCTCCTCCCGTTGCCGCCGCTGCTCCTCCCTGATTCCCCTCAACAACTCCGGATACCATCTCTCCCCTACGTCCGGATGACTCTTGACCCGGTTCATCAACGTTGCCTCCCCCAACTGCCTCCACCGCCCCTTCACAAACGTAAACTCCACATCATCCCTCCTCCCACCCTGCCGCTCTAACAACTCCGACTTGAGTTCCCGCACATGCGGCGGGACGTCCATACTCTCGAATTCTGCGTCGTAGCTCACACCTTGGAAGAAGGGGATGCTGTAGCGTGCCCCTGCCCCGGCGGCAGGGGAGAGGACGCGGTGAGTGGTGCTGGCGCAGACGCCCGAGGTTAGCGCTTCGAGACCTTGGCCTATTGCTACTACCAGCGTGCCACGGATGGGTGGGCAGTCGATCCATTCACCGCGCGTGTTCTGCGCTTGGAGTCCGCGGTGAGGGGAGGCTTGGAGGAGGTAGCTGGTGAGCATACTGTCTTTATGCGGACCGACGCCTTGACCGACTCCTGTACCGGAGTCGGGGTACTTGACCACTTTCAGTTTGTGCTGCTGGTCGGCGTCGAAGAAGCGGTCGAAGGCGTTTGCGGGGAGCGAAAGGGATTCGGCGATTAGGGATGTGAAGGAGGTGGACATGGTTGACATTTGGCGGATGTAGGTTTCGAAGACGGGGCGGAAGGAGGGAAGAGCGGTGGGAGAGGGCCATTGGTTTGGGGCAAGGAGGTTGTGGTACAACGGGGAGGTGGGGCGAGGAAGGGGATGGGGCGTGGAAAGATCGAGCTGTTCTCGCCAGTCTTGTTTGAGGGCTGTGATTTCGCCGCCCAGCTGTGCTAGATGTTAACGAGATGCGCTGACGCTTCACTCTGACCGTGAGTTGGGAGCGCGTACCCTTGAGTAGCCGAGGAAGCTGGGCTGGTTCTTCATCTCAATGCGGAGTTTCTCTTCTTCTGCTAGATCAAAGAAGCGGATCCCTTCCTCACAGACTTGATCGAAGAGGGCTTGCTCGATTCCAGTGTTCTTGATATACAGGAAGCCCACGTTGAGAAGGGCATCCCGCAGATGTTTCAAGAAGGCAGGCTTAGTGTCGTCGTCTCTCGCTTCGGCCAGGTCTAGGATCGGTATCGTTTGGAAGGCCATTCTCACCAATCCTGTGTGTATCGTGAGCTTGAGAGCCGCTTTGATCGAGGGAGCTAGCTTCCAGTCTCTGGGCCACCCGGCCGTCCCGGTCCGAACTCAAGTGATGCTCAAATAGGCAAGCACCACAGCCAAGGCCGATGTCTTGGTGATGAGAAGCGCGAAGAACGCGAAGGCGAGTAATGGCTCCATCTTCAATAACGACACTGCTAGTATGGGCGAACCGGGGATGGTTTGGGAGCATACAGCGGGGTATATCCGAGTGAGGTGCTCCAGCTCATGCATGGCGTCAGCATGCAGGCAAGAATAAGGTTCAGCCAGCACGTGAGCTGGTGCAACGAGTAAGCTTGCTTAGCGTAGACTATGTTATGAACGTTTTGAGGAGACTCAACACTCCTTTTGCCCGACGATGCCTAAAGTGCGTTCTATAGAGAAGTGACCGTACTCGTTCATGGAGATGCAGGCTCACCTCAATTTTGTCTCCGCCTTTCGTCAGAACCCATGTCTCTCCTAGTATGAAGAAGAGGATCAGTTCCGTTGCAGTAGATGCTATAGAGCCGCATACCCAGTACTGATCAAGTACCAAGACATCGGGCTGGCTAGCCTAACGCTAGGAATCCCGCAACGATGTTGACGGTGTAAGATGATCGACCCCTGGAGGGTTTGGGCACAACAACATGCAAATATGCGTTACATGCTAGGCATACGCGCATCGCCCGTCCACAGGCAGTGCTGCGAAGCTTGACAATTGCCGAAGTTCAGCAAACGAGCATGCTGTGCTGGATCAGTCAACTGTTGAGGGTGACCATGTTGCCACGCGTCAAGGTGGCCGTTTCGGGAAGCAAAACTCAGACCCACAACTTGCTCTTTCTCGTGGTGCATGTGCCCCAGTGATGTCCTCGTATCTTCATGGAGTAACCTGTATTGAGCTGCAACCTTTGAATAGTCGGGCTGGCGTCTCGCTCGCGGTAAATTGGAAAGGCTGCTCCAGACCTAGACCGTATGTTGATCGGACGCTGTGGTCGGCATTAACTCCTGAGTCGCATCAACAACAGTGACTATTATCCATGCCGTCCGGGTGCTCATACGGCTATCATTCTTGGAACGATGCATGACCTCCCGCCAGTCGACGGAGCTGCCGTGTCATGGGCACAGTGGGAGTCTCTGGTGACGACGGATGGAACGGGACGAACGGACAGTCTTCACCGTAACCTTCGTAACGAGTGCTGCTCGTCCGGCTCAGCATTTTATAAAAGTGTCCATTCGCTATCGAGGTATTGTGCTTGACAAGCTGGGCTCTTCGTCGCAATGAGCAGAACGACGCGACGGATTGCTCTGTGTTGCTGACGACAAATCAGTGAACTATGAGCTGGTTTAGGTCGTTCCCTGGTGCAAGGCAGCAAAAAGACGCGTCGCTCTACGACCAGGAGGGCGAAAGAGCGTCGTTCAGCCCCTCTTCGTTCCCCGGTTGATGTCAATCGTTACTGATGGTATTGGTCTTTGCCCCTCGTCGCTTCTTTCATCGATGAGTATTCCCACTTCCCACCACCCTCGATGTTGGAAACCTTCTCTGCGGACACGGAAGCCAACCCATGCGCGTAGTCGCTCTGTCAATGCATTTGCAGGTTCGATTGTCAATGTGAGGGAACTGTTCGATGCTGAACTTCCAATCTGATCAAACCATGACCATGACTGAGCGACGTGCTTATCCAAGCCCTGACCATGGCTGGGCATTTGAACAAGTGCCGTAGCTACCGCACAGACAGATATTAAGGCACCGTAGTGGAGATTCAATAAACGCTCTTTAGTGGCCGCCAGGGGTACGAGACGGGAACATACAGGCGTCTCGTTGCGGCACCATAGTGGACCGAAATTTTGTCGTACATACTACGAATACACCAACAAACAGGATGCCATTCCAAGAGGAGCATTTGCGATCAGACGTTCTGTGCGCTCAAGATCTCCGCACTGATCTTCTAGTCCTAACGGCGAATTTTCGCCGACGCATTCGAGAAACGCCGAAAATCTTAAAATATGCGGAGAGACTTCGGCTGACTCCTCACAGAAAGCATAATAAGCCAAGGTTTAACGGCTGGTTGGATTGCAACGCTCGGAAGCAGCTAAAGTTGGCGATCAGCGTTGTCCGGAGTCTTCCGATGCCTCTATTCTCTTGCGGCACACTTGGCTTGACCGGAAATGCAACCGGGCCCAATAGCAACAGTCCCGACACTGCCTGATTTGCTCTCAAACTGGGGCTAACCGGAGTGCCGCTGCAAACGAGGTCGACGGACGGGTCGCTTTGAACATATCGAGCAATGCCGAAGTGTAAGCGAGTTGGAGGGTTCTCTGCTTCGCTCGCTCATCTCTGGTTTCTATGGTTTGGTGACTCCCAATTGCGATTTCCTGCACCTCGCTAATTAACTTCCTGCTATCGGTGGAGATCAAGACTCCAAACGTAGCATGGCCTTCATTGAGCACCAACATGTGACCATTGCGGACGTGTCTCTGTAATACCCTTTGCCTCGCAGAGGCGAGACGGTACATGTGCTACCTGCGGCAGGCGTGTAAGCATCGGCAAGAATAGGGAAGGTTCTGCTTTCGTCGCTCATTGATCCCATTGTCTCAGCCAGAGGGGTAGTGGCTCAGCGAGTACGGGCCTTCCGACGCATTTTCTCGGTACGGTAACGGTGTCTGTGGTTGCGGTGGCTGCTGCTGCTGAGGGACGTATTGTTGCCCAGAGATGTTTGCTTGGGAACCCGTGGCCGGCAGCGGCGGAGGTTGCATTGCTGGGTATGGCGCGGAATAGCTCGGTAGAGCGTGCTGACCTTGTGTAGAGGTGCCTTGATACGATGCCGGCGGTTGAAAAGCTGTTGATGGTTGGTGAGACTGAGCGTAATTTTGCGGCTGCTGGTATGTCTGCCCGGGTGCTTGAGGCGATTCTGGGTATAGTTGCGGCTGTGCAGCTGGGTATCCAGCCCCAGTTGCTGCGGTAACGCTGGGGTATCTGGATGGAAGAGAGACCGAACCTTGAGTCTGGAGACTGTGATAATGTGTTGACGGCGCTGCAGGCTGGGGAGGTCCGTAAGCTGATGCTGGAGGCGGAGGGTACGAGTGGGTAGCGGTGGTTGGATTATTCAACGGCGGCGGAATGGGCTCATACGGCTGTTGCCTTGACTGTCCCTGACTAGGTCCGTACTGGTAACTAGGCGCTGTAGGTGTGCTTTGACTGTACATTGATGCCGGAGACTGTTGCATAGGCTCGGGCAATTGTGGGAATTGCGATGCCGCACCGTGTACAGACACCGTCCCGTCGTGCGAGCGCCATGCGGACAGACCTGCTGCCATGGGACTCGCACCTACCGCGGGGTGATTTGAGCCTGGTGCACCAGCAGAGTAAGCACTCGATTGTTGGAACGATCCATGTCGGGAGCTGCTTGACTGCCCTGTCGAGACAGACAGACTGCTAGGCGTGGAGAGTGAGCTGGCTCTGTGCATCGCCGAACTCATAGCAGGATTATGCATTAACGGTGAGGTTGACTGGGTCGCCGTATTAGTTGCCAAGGGCGGCGCAGGCTGCCTGGCCCCTGTGGATATGAGTCAATACAGTTGTGTAACGCTAACATTGTAGAAACATACCCTCATGTGGCAAGGCGGAGGCATAACCGGCCTCCGCAAGGCGACTGCGCAGATACGCATTCTCCTCCTCGAGCTCACGGTTGCGCTGGTGGGTCGCTGTGACCAATCGCTCGTTTGACTCTTGTGTGCCTCGAAGGTCACTGATACTTTTTTCAAGAGTCTCAATGTGATCTTTCGTGCGTTGACGGATAGCACGTTGAGCTTCGCGATCATTGGCGCGCTTTCGCTCTAGTTGAGCAGCTGAGAGCGTGGTTACGCTGCGAGTCCCAGCTCTGCTTGCGCGCTTCTTCCTACCGCTGCCTTCGGCCTGCCGTCTTGAATCTGAATCGGACGACGCGTACTCATGAGAGGTAGATGCCTGGAAGTCCAGGCCTTGGCTTCCCGGGCTTGTGTCAGCGTTCATTGAGTACCATGGAGGAAGTGCGCTGAATGGATCCCAGGCTGACGTTAGCACGCAAGTCATTGAACGCGCCGTTGCGAGGACGAATCGGAGAAGCTGAGCAACGCCGGCGAGCCCGCGACTGTTTGCTGGCTTGATGGCGGCTTTCGAGCACGAACGACTGGTGACGTACAACAACCAGGAAGGAGGATTATTGGCAGCCGATGGATCTTCAACAGGCGGGCAATGCCGTAGGATATCTATCTATCGACCTGAGAGGCGCAAACTCAGGCGGAGCTCCGGTTATTGTGTTCATGCTATCCAGGGCACAGTAATGGAAAGGATGGGCTGTCGCAAAAACACCAGCTTCGTGTATGCAATGGACGAGGGTGCCATGTTTCTAGGACTAGCGCCAACGGCAGTTGGTGACGTTGCCGTAACAAGCAGTGGTGTATAAGATGAGGGAATCATGCATGCTCGGCGCATCAGGGTAGCCGGCATAACGGCGCTCGAATGCATGGGTCGCAGTCGGCGTTCCTGGCTGCAGCCTAATGCCCAAAGCGAGTAGAGTCAGATTGCTGCGGCCAATCATGCTGTCGTGGTTCCACCAATCGTCGGGCCCGCTGGGTTGGATAGCAGCTGAGGAGAGCTTGGACGCGCAGTTATGGATCGCTAGTTGCTCGCAATCCATGTCTGGCACTTGAGTACCACCTTCTCGTCTTTAGGCAGCATGCCAACATCGGCCCGAGCACACCGTAGACGCTTCCACCAAGCTTCCATAATCTAAGCCACGTGTGGACTGGCATGGTCGGCGTGTCTTCCGAAACAAAGCTTGCGCAGGGGAGCCATCCCATGATGTTGATGGGATTCATTGCCCAGACGTCATGTCAAGCACGGTTGAGACAGCGTCAGCGTCCTACGGACTCTCCATGTGCACATCACGCATGCACGCTCGCCTATCGTCTCGGAACAGATCTCAAGACGGGGGCTTTGCGGCTCGGGCTTCCGATGTTGTCCGCAATAAGGTTCCGAGCTCGGCACCGCTAGGCTTGATCCCGCTTTCGTCTAGCCGTACCGGGACGAAGGTTCGGAAAATGGAAGGTGCTGAGGCTCCGAGTGCCGGTAAGCCTTGCGCGTTACACTCACTAACGATACGAAACAAGTCCCCAGGTGGGCCGCGGAGGTCCAATTCAGCTGTTCGCGTCTGTCGAGCCAAGACCTGGCACGCCTGCAACTGGTTGTGCTCCTTGCCGGTGCCAGATGACGATGTTTGGCGCACTTAAATGGCGCATGTATCATTCCTACCGTTTCGCGCCGTTTGAGTTGGTGGACACAGTGGTTCTGTGGCTGCCACGAGGAACGGCGACCCACTCGAGCCCACTCGGAAGACAGCCACGGCGAAAGCCGCCTTGCGACCGTGATGTTCCCTTGAAACAACTTCAAGCGGTAGCGCGCCCACAGCTTCGTCTGTTCACACCATATGGGGGAGTATCAGGTGCCGAAGCCTCGGTGACAGGTCTACACGGACTGGTGAAACTCGCCTGTAACAACGGTAAGATATGCACTGCGGCCACAATTACGACCAACTTTTCCCGGGACATTATCGGCCGATTTCCGGAACGCCTCTTCCGACTACCTCTGCAGCCCTGTCAAGGAGGCTTGCCGCTTGGAGCTGCATGTGCTACCTCACCGCAATATTCTCATCGTTGAAATGCTCGTCACCACTTCTACCCTTCCGTCTTGGCGGTGTTGAAGTGTCTTGAAAACGCTACGATCCAACGTTGGCTCGTTCGATGCTCATGTCTACGATCATTTAACCGGCCGCCACTCGGGTGAATAGTCAATGTTATCAGGTCGCACGCTCGGTAATCGCAACCCAGTCCCATTGGACACTACGTGATCGTTGGACACTACATTATTGGTGGGAGGTTTTCCGCAATGTGCATAACCAGCCTTCTTCACTGGAGTCTACAAGCCATCGCGCAGTGGCAAGTTCCTGCCCCAAGTCGCTATAAGAGATCGGTGTGGTTGGTGGCAGGGTAAAAGCCCATGACCAGGTGAATCTGTAACGATTCAGAAACCACAGATGTCGGACGTTAATGTTGGGACAGTCAGACGGAGCGATCAGCACCACCTATCAGGTGCAGTATGGGGTAAAGCCTCCACCACTCTTTCTAGATGCCGATCTTTCATCCGCGAACAATGGCGTCCTGTAGTGGAAGCCCGCTATCGCCAATACGGGAAAGTGCGCTTATTTCGTAGCTTGCTGACGAATATTACATGTGCAGGCTCACCGTCAATCTCCGACCACATTAATGCCGGTAGTCTTCACTTTGCAGCAAGAGCCGATCATGCTGCGCCGCCACCAATTTGCTGCGCTGGTCATACACCGCGTGGGTAAGCTATGAAGTGACAGTTACAGATCCTGTGGCATAAGCGGCTTGTCTCGGTCCAGACAGCTTGTCCTGAGATGTAATTGATGCATTACCGTGATTCTAGCCTTGAAAGACGATGTAGTAGCGGGCGTCTCATAAATGATTTCCACAACTACAAATTTTCGAACGCTTATCAAATTGAGACTGAGCTTGTTCAGTGACCCACAGGGACATGCCACAGGCTTGCAGTGGAAGCTACTGGCTGCGGGCACTCCACAAGCCTTGATTTGCAACATACGAACATGGAAAGCGTTGGGAGGTGGAGCTGTGACCGTGTCTCAAGACATGACGCTTTCTGCGAGTGGAATGTGCAAAGTGCATGGGTGTCCATGCAACTAAAGCGACTCGAGCGCCACCTAGGTATCGCAGTGGCGGCTAAATCAATCAAACCTTATGGTGCCACGAGCACGCATAATAACGTACACGCTCAGCGGTGTGGTCAACATCACCTTCACCGGGTCCCGGCTGGCGGAGCGAGACTCCACCTGCTAATCGCAACACTACACGGTGGCGACTGCTGCATCATTCAACCACACAGGTTAAGTCGCGACGCAGCCGGCTTGGACGGAAGGATCTAAGGATTGCATCTGAGACGGTGCCTGTCGGAATCTGAGGTCTCAGAAGTAGCTGAACCGGGCACAAGCTGGACGTCATGCAATGCTGCCCAAGGGGTGAAAGTATTGCTCATGGCCATGCCTCGCAAGATGTTCGGCCAGACACAGGCCCACAGAATTTGCACTGGTTGATTCAACGCACGGATGGCTGGTACCAGTCGCCCTGTCGTCGCTACTGACAGAGCGATGAAAACAGCTCGGCAAGGCCCTTGGCACTCTTCTTTGGATACCGCTTCTGGCCTCCAACGTAGTCAACGTAAGTCACGCCGAATCGGGTTTCGTAGCCCTCCGCCCACTCGAAGTTGCTGTTTATATGTTAGCACCTTCAAAGGCTGAAGAGTTGTCTCCAACTTACTCCATAAGACTCCAGGCCATGTATCCTCGACAATCGACATTATCAAACGTCACCGCCTCTGCAAGTGCAGTGACGTATCCCTTGAAGAACTCACATCTGAAGTCGTCTTCCAGGATCTGCTCCTTTGGCAGATCATTCTCGCCTTTGATGCTGGTGCCGTTCTCCGTAACGTATATGATTGGCCGGTCGTAGCGATCAGAGATCCATTTGATCAGCTTGCGGAAGCCTTGCGGATAAGGTCGGAGCCACGGAGACTGAGTTTCTGGGCCAATAGGCGTGCCGTTCTTGTCGGTAAGTAGCCCCGCCTCAAGGTTGCCAGTGAAGTCTTCAGGCGCTGCCGGGCCGCTCTTGTGTTTGACGTAGTGCGTGCAGTAGTGATTCATGCCATAGAAGTCATCTATGCTTGTAAGCTGAAGTTCACAGACTTAACAAGTACTCAACCATACTAGAGCCTTGCACGAGTGCACGTTCATCCTCACTGAATTGAGGCAGCCGATCACCCAACTGCTTTCGCATGCTGGTCGGATAGTCGCCCTTGTAGATGCTGTCCGTGGCATTAATAAAGTTCTCTTCATATCAGATGTTTCGGGGCGCACGACATACGGGTCTCCGTACCACGCAATGGAGAACTCCTGCTTACGCTGGCATGCTTCCACGTCCTCAGGATCGTCCGCATCCCATGGCAAGGCCCAGTCGCCATTGAGCGTGATGCCAATGACACCGCCGTCCTTCGCTTTGAACTCCTCACGGTAGACCTTCACTGCTGCACCGTGGGAGATGAGGATATTGTGTCCCGCTAGCCAAGGCTCGGTTGAGCTATCACCAATATGGTGCTTCTTTCGATCACTGGTATGACCTGGTGCAAATTGACCAATACTATACCCCAAGATGGTACTGCACCAAGGCTCGTTATAGGTGATCCAGAATTTCACCTTTGGACCCATAGCCTTGAACATAACGCGAGCGAAGTTAACGAAGTCTTGCACATATTCATTCTTGTTGAGGAAGCCGCCATAACGGTCGTAGAGGGCTTGAGGGAGGTCCCAGTGAAATAGAGTGATCATGGGTTCAATTCCATTGGCGCGCAGTTCATCCACGAGGTTGATGTAGTATTGAAGACCCTTCTCATTGACAGGGTCATTGCGGCCACCCAGTGGGATGACTCTGGACCAGGAGATGCTGAAACGGTACGCTTTGGCTCCGATTTGCTTCAACAGGGCGACGTCTTGCTTATACTGATGGTACGAATCGCAGGCAACCTCGCCGTTCGAGCCATCCGCAATCTTGCCAGGAATGCGGCAAAAGGTGTCCCAGATGGAATCGCCTCTTCCATCTTCATGCGCACCGCCTTCGATCTGGTAGCTGAACTATCTGTCAGCTAAACAGATATGATGTGCACCACGGCGTACCTAGCGGTGGCAAAGCCCCATAGGAAGTCCTTTGGCAGTCGAGCGTTGGACATTTTGAAGAATGTCAAGTGTTATGAACGTGAACGGAAGAGCAAGACGGGGTAAGATCCAGCTCTCAGGCAATCCTACCTGTAAGGACGGCACACTTATAGTCAAGTAGATAATACCCTCTTGTGACGGAACGTGTCATCTAGCCTACCTCTTCTTCTGCCAAACTGCTCGAGCAATCGGAACAATGCCTATAGGCTTATGGTGCTCTAGTGGAGCATCATTTTACCGGAGGAGTGTTCGGTTCGTCGGCGCGCCTTCCGACCTGATTCTGCCTGAGTGCCTGATCCGCTCGTCGGAATCGCCTGTTCAGGGCATCCGAAGCTGTGGCGACAGACGCTTCTTCTGCCATTGCCGCTCACGACAGGACACACCCATCAATATCAGATCGCTTCACATCAACAGTCTTGATAGCGAAGGTGGCGGTAAGCGCTCACAGTCTCTCCTATATACATGTCAACGAAACCGATTAGATGATGATTGCTACCACATCTTTTTAAACTCCTCCGATTGCTCCTTTCATTCCCAATATGCAATCGGCACTGTTTTCAAGACGCCTTACCACAAGCCTCACTCGTTCATGTCTCTCTCGGCCAAGTTATGGTGGACGATGTGCCGCTACGGCGGCGCCTGTACAGAAGAAGGAGGGTGACATCTCCGACGCCTTCGCCAGCCTGTCTGGCATGCAGTTCACTCCACTCGAGCCTCGCTTCGCCGATCTGAAAAGGCGCCTCGTTACAGGCAACGAGGAGGCACTGTATCGATCTTGGAGTCGGCTTCTGGCGTCTCTGCGTGAGGAGATACCTCTTATCGCTGAGCTGGGCTCGAAGGTAGTGCCGGAGATTGACTTCAGCGAAATCAACAATGCCAGCGCCGAGTTCCGTGCGGAGCACAAGAAGCGAGGCGTCGCAGTGATCAGGAACGTTGTCCCTCAGCAAGAAGCACTGGAGCTCAAGCGGGAGCTGAGGGAGTACTTAGCTGCCAACCCACATACTAGAGCCTTCCCGAAGGACAACCCGCAGGTCTACGAGCTTTACTGGAGTCCAAGTCAGGTCAAAGCACGGAGTCATCCGAATTTAATCAAGGCGCAACGCTTTCTTATGGAGTTCTGGCATTCCAAAGATCCAAATGCGCTGATTTCGTCCAGTCATCCATTGATCTACGCAGACAGACTAAGGATGCGGCTCCCGGGCGACGCGAAGTTCGCTCTTGGCCCACATGTCGATGGCGGATCTTGCGAACGGTGGGAAGAGGAAGGTTATGGCCGTGGCAGGGTTTACGACGCCATCTGGCAGGGACGGTGGGAGGATTACGATCCTTGGGAGTCAAGCTGCAGATTGCCGGTTATCTCAGATTTGTACCAAGGTGTCGGTGCATGTTCGATGTTCCGGATGTCTCAAGGCTGGCTGTCGATGTCAGAGACTGGTCCGTACGAGGGCACGTTGCTGGTTAATCCGTTGTTGAGCAGAGCGACAGCATACTTTCTCCTGCGACCGTTCTTCTCCCCGAAGAAAGCAGCTGCAGACCCAACGGCAGGAACGTACGAGGAAGCGTTTCTAGCGCCGAACAACTGGCAGCTTGAGACCGAACCGTCTTCATGGCTACAGGGTGCGACACCGGGTCATGGCCAGGAACTTCGCGCCGTGCTGCATCCGCACCTCAACCTACCATCATCCATGGTGCACGTGCCGAAAGTGCAACCCGGCGACTACGTGAGCTGGCACTGTGACACGATTCACGCAGTTGACAATGTTCATGCTGGCAAGTCTGACAGCAGCGTCATGTACATCCCAGCATGTCCGCTCACGCCTTCAAATGCGGAGTTTGTTGTTCGACAGCGTGAGGCGTTCCTGAATGGATGGCCATGTCCGGACTTTGGTGGTGGCATTGGGGAGTCTGAGCATGTTGGTAGGCCTGGCGTAGAGGATGTCGAGAGGATTGATGCAGAGGACGGCATGCGTGCGTTCGGACTGAAGCCATTCGATAGTGATGAAGCCGGCTTGACAAGTGGACAGAGCGAGGTCATGAACAGGGCGAACAAAATCCTAGGCTTCTATGACTGATTGTTCTGCACCGCAGACGAGAGCCTGGGTGCGAGCATCGATTGAGTTTGCTAACATTGAGCGTATTTCATGATCGAAGCTCCTGCGATGCAACTTCTGGACCTGTCGACTGAACACATGCACGTCGAAAGGCCTCAGTGTGTCGATCATAAAGTTTGGCAAAGGCCCGCAGTTGCAGGAGGGGGACAGCCGTGATCGACTATTTGCACGCTGTACGCATACATACTGTACAGACAAGATCTATGCAGGTCTTCTCCACTCTTGTGACCTGAACGCCGCGCTACAATGTCGTAAAAGGATAACAGTGGATTCGGCCTCGAGGGTATCTTACACTTTCTCGAGTCGCGGCTTCTTGTCAGCCTTCTTCGGTAGTGACCACGGGATATCACACACAACCTGAGGGAGCAGTCAGTCGGTCAAACACTTCGGCATACAGCGAGCCAATGTAACCTACCTCGCCCTCGCAATAGGCCCAGAAGTACACAGCGCAGCCAATCAGATAGTACAGCGCAGGATTTGTCGCCTGGTACATCAAGACCGCCGTCAAGCTGCATAGCGGCAACCAAATTATCCGCGCTTCGATGCTCTTGTGCGCGCTCGTACCGGCCAGAACATTGAGCGGCCATTCGAACGCCAGCGTCACAACGGCAAAGACGAGGTTGATGATCTGAAGGATCGGTATGGGCTTGACAGCTCCGTCGAAGTTCTTGGTGAGGAAGTCGAAGAAGAACTTAGGCCAGAAGAAGCCTTCTATCGATGCGGCAATGTGATCTGAGCGCAGTGTCAGCGCCGTTGGAGTACAGTAGCGATTCTTGCGCGACACACATGTTGCTGCGGTCATTACGAGCAGTCGTGCCCAGTGGTTCTTGATGAGCTTGCCCATCGCAAAGGCTCTTCCTGTATTGAACTGGCAGCTTGTCGATCAAGCAGTCCAATAGTATGGCTACCGCTTTGGAGCCATATGTTTTATTGTCTGAGGGAAACTTGGATCTACTAAAGACTGCGCTGTTGCTGACTGAGTCTGCAAGCAAGTTGAGGCGAAGTGCAATGGGTGTGACGATATGAAAGCACAGTAGCCAGACCTTGCAGCTTCGTGCGTGGTGGCTTGGGATTTGCAAAGGGCCCAACTACACGGGACGAAACAGCGGGTGGGAGCTTCTACGGCACAATATGACACACTCGTTACCACAGTTGGAATGACCTTCCGTCCAGATGGTGAGGTTGGCTGCAGCAACAAGCAATCGTTAAGCGCCGAGGACAGCGAATGACAATGCGGAGACGGCTTCGATGTGCAAGACGCACAGGGCCAGGTCCAGAGACGGAACGGTCCGTCGATCTCCATGGCGTTTCTGGACGCCTTCTGCTGCAGGTCCGTTTCCGAAACCTCACGAACCGGAGAGATCTGGTAAGTACCACTCTCAGGTACAGTTGCTCGCAAGGCAGTCCTTTTTTTTTTGGTCGCTGTTCTAAGGCTTGTACATAGAGTGAACGGCAACTCGCGTTATTCGCGATGATCATATGGTTTCTGGCCGAGTCATTGTGCGCCCCAATCACATCGCACTTCCGCCGCCAAGATTGCTAGCTCCGGCGGCAATGCATGCTCGATTCACACCTTCGGCTCGCGCCGCCCACACGGCTGCAGCTGCATGCAACTTCGTCTCTGCAGGGGACTTTGCTGTCCAGTCGATCACAGAACCCGCAAAGCAAGACTATGATAGGCTGCAATACTCGGAAAGAATGCATGCGGAGTCTGGAGCGGGTGCAATGCGTGATGGGACGCCAGCAGACCCTCGTGCTCGGTAGGTCGTGAGCTTGTGTGAAATTCGCTTGGTCTACAAGGAACGGTGAGTGAGCGAGCCCATCAACGTTTGTTCAAGGCTACCAATTTCCCTGTGACCTTATTGTCTAGTACTCTCTAATCGTGCGTCGGCTACTTGTTCCTACAGTTTTGTTTGCGCACATTGACCGGCACGTACTGAAGAGCCCAGCCAAGACTAAGAGTGAGAGTGAGAAAACGAGCAACAGCAGGAGCAGGAGCAATCGCATTCGCAATAGCTGGTGACGGTGTACAAGCACGACAGCTTGACGCCCAGGTGCTGGAAAGGCTCATTGCGCCAAACAGGCGCGCTCGGTAGCGAGCAGGACACGATTAGCAAGAGGAACTGAATCCGGAGATCTACCACGATGGCACCAGCGAAGCCAAAGTCATGGCTCGCCGCCCAATTGACACCGCGGAAGATGCTCTTCTACACCCTCTTCCATGGCTTCCACATCTTTCTCTTCATCTATGGTTGGTACAAACAAGCATCGACACCTCAACTTGCGGGTCTCAATACTCTACATTTCTCCGTCTGGTTCTCCCGAGGTGCTGGTTTGGTCCTGAGTGTTGATGTCCTCATGATCCTGCTGCCTATGTGCCGGAATATTCTAAGATTCATCCGACCAAAGGTGCGGTGGCTTCCGCTTGACGAGTCTCAATGGTTCCACAGACAGGTGGCATACAGCTTGCTCATCTGGACCGTTGTGCACGTAACGGCGCATTACGTTAACTTCTTCAATGTTGAGCGATCGCAGGTCAGACGGCAGGCGGCGGTGCAAATTCACTATACGGAGGCTGGTGGTATTACCGGACATATCATGCTGCTCTGCATGCTACTCATGTACACCACGGCGCACAAGAAGATCCGACAGCAAAGCTACGAGACATTCTGGTACACACACCATCTGTTCATCCCGTTCCTGCTGGCCATGTACACGCACGCGACGGGATGTTTCGTGCGAGATACAGTGCAGCCAATCTCACCCTTCGCGGGAGGGTACTTCTGGAACCACTGCCTTGGATATGAAGGATGGAGGTGGGAGCTGATTGGTGGTGGGCTGTATCTGTGCGAGAGACTGTACAGAGAAATCAGAGCAAGAAGGCAGACAGAGATTATCAAGGTTGTCAGACATCCGTATGGTGAGTGTTCCCTACCGTGCCATAATTGGATGTACGTACGCTGAACATCGCAACGCAGACGCCGTCGAAATCCAGTTCCGCAAGCCCAGTATGCAATACAAGGCGGGCCAATGGCTTTTCATCAACGTACCGTCCGTGTCACAGCAGCAATGGCATCCATTCACCATTACATCGTGTCCTTTTGATCCCTACGTGTCCATCCACGTCCGCCAAGTCGGCGACTTCACCCGCGCGCTCGCCTCAGCACTTGGCGCTGGTCCTGAACAGCAAGAGCTCTACGATGAGCTGGATCCAATGGGCATGTACGAAGTCGCGCTCCAAAACGGCCAAGAGATGCCCAAAATCCGCATTGATGGGCCATACGGAGCTCCGGCCGAGGACGTCTTCGAGAATGAAATCGCTGTCCTCATTGGTACGGGTATCGGCGTCACGCCCTGGGCGTCCATCCTGAAGAATATCTGGCACATGCGACTTTCGCCCAATCCACCCAAACGGTTGCGCAGAGTCGAATTCATCTGGGTGTGCAAAGACACAACCTCCTTTGAGTGGTTTCAAGCGCTGCTCTCTTCGCTCGAAGCACAGAGTCTCTCCATGACCGGCCCAGGCTCGGAGGCGGAGTTTCTGCGCATTCATACCTACCTCACGCAGAAGATGGACATCGACACCACGCAGAACATCATTCTCAACTCTGTGCGCATGCACAAGGATCCATTGACTCAGCTCAGCAGTCAAACCAACTTTGGTCGGCCTGACTTTGACCGTTTGCTAGTCGCAATGCGAGAAGGTATACTAAACCAGAGCTATATGCCCGGTCTCATAAGGCCGGACAAGAGGAGGGCGGAGGTTGGCGTGTACTTCTGCGGCCCGAATGTGGCGGCCCGAGATATCAAGAAGGCATGCCGCGAGGCGACGGTCAAAGACGTGAAGTTCAAGTTCTGGAAGGAGCACTTCTAAACGTGCCTTCTTTGCGACCGATGTTTGCGGCTTTTCCGTGTTTAGCAATAGACCTGTGCGGTTTTACTCCAGAGATGGGTATCATGAGCTATGTATATCACAATGTATCAGTACATTCTTCGCACGTTCATCGCTGCCACTTCCGAACCGTCTGCTCCTCAGTCGCCATTGGAAAGACATTCGTGATCGTCTGCACTCTTACATCCCTCCAAAATTTGCAATGCTTGGTAGCGCGTGTAGGTTCTTGAGCTGCTGGCCGCAGAGGAGTAACCGGCACGGGCGTGCCGTCTCAGGCCCATTACGATCCAAACATACCACCTCCACCAATCGCACCGGCGCCTCCTTGTCTTTGCGCGGCCTCCGTCTGCATCTTCTCGGAAACTTTGACGTTGACGTCGAAGAACTTGGCAACGCAGCGGTCGAGGCATACCGATTCGCCCTTGTTAAGGTCTGACTCTCGGTATTGGGGCGGTATGCATTTGCGGGCGCAGGTGTCTACTAATCTGCACACAAGGTATCAGAGTACATCCGTACGCGAGACAGTTGAAGTCATCGTACTGGTTAAACATATTGCTGACCATCTCTATCTCTGCTTCTGCTGCCGCGATCTTCTCCGCCGAGGTCGGTTGCGGCCGTTGGCCGAAGAGAAACGACATTGTGCTCCGGGGTGAGTCGTGAAATGCTGCTGTAACTTTGAAGCCGAAGTTTCGGTGATGTCGCGAGTGTACAGCAAGATCTAGTTGTGAGAGATGTGAGTGTCTCGTGCTCATGGTTAGAAGCTCGGGCCAGCGAAGGTGGACCTGGGTTGGCCTGAGGTACAAATTGGCTGCAAGCATCTCAGTCTTTGGGCATCCTCCAAACGGTGTTTCTCCGCCAATTTTGCAATAGCTGCGCCTACAACATGCTCAGCCGGTTGCTGCGCGCTTCAGCATACGTGGATGGCGCAGCCGGACTCTCTCATACGCGACATATCACCGCCTGCCACACGTCGCTCAAGTGTGCAGACGCAGCGACTCACGCCGAGTGTTGAGCATCAAGGTACGCGGCGGATTCGATCGGGTTGTAAGGATGTGGACGATGGTGAGCTCGAACCCACGTTGGCTGCTGTGGAGGCTGGTAAGGCAGAGGTCCGCGAGCACCTTGAGTACTTCGCAAGGCATCTGAGCGCGGTGAAGCGAGCATCGCCGCAGCCAACAATCTCTATCACGGAGTTTCGAAACTTGTACAAGCGCAATCATAACGCACACGGCCATCACTTTGTCATTCACCAGCATGATCATCCCATATCCGGTAACCGATGACTGAACGACCCAAAGCGCAGAACGGTAAGCTGATGGTCGGAAGGCGTTCACTACGATCTTAGGCTTCAGTTTTCTGAGACGAGCAGCGTAAGCTGGGCGATACCGTACGGTCTGCCTGGTAATGCCAACTCCGTGCGCCCTAACCGCATGGCCATTGAGACGCGAGTGCACAACTTGTGGGTAGGTCCAAACACTTTCTGGTTGACCGTTTGAACTTCAAACGTACTTTTTGCAAGTCTTGCCATGTTCCCGGCTCTAGCTGACAGCAGAAGAACAATCTAATCGAGTCCGCATCACATGCCACAGGCTCGCTTCTAATCTGGGACACTGGAGAGTATGAGGTGCTGGAGAGTAGAACACGGCAAACACATAATACTGATGACGAGCATTCAGGTGGTGATGACCAACCTGAGCGAGCGGCTGAGTCGCAGAATGGGCGACTGAGGGTAGCTTTTCAAAGCCGTCATATCCACCTTCGCCTCAACGGCGCGCGCTTGCCCCCGGGCTATACTATTGCGCTCAGGCTACCGTCACAAAATGATGCAGGCAAACAGCCACGCAGAAAGCGCCGACGCCTCGAACCTGGTTCAGCGGTCGAGTCAACCAAGCGGCATCTTGCGTCTTTCAAGGATGACGACGACAGTGGTTCCGACAATGACCAATCGGAGACTGCTTCTATCATGACCAGCAACGTCGATGCTGCGATGGCTTCCGAAAGCGAGGGCGAGGATGCCACAATCCGTGCAAACAACGCATATCCGGGAGCCACGAACAGTATTGGCTCTCTTCATCAGCGCCACTGGTTGCTCAGGCTTGACCTTGGGAACTCGGGTTTCAGCAAGGCTCGCAGTGGAAACGACGAGGGCCGCTGGATTGGACCCTGGACGCCATTCTTCGTACGCGGCAGGGACTACGAAAGAAGTGTCGTGACAGGACGCCTGGCGGACGACGTAATGGCAGACGAGGATGTTGATATGTTTGTCGGCAGGAAGATGTGGAGGCCAATCCTCGAATGAGACACCTTTGCCATCAAGACCACGCTGATATGCAACCGATATATTTCCCCTCGCAAGGTTCACTTGATCTCGAGTCATCTGGAGAGCGCACTTGCTATACGCATGGCATCTTGCCGACGCCTTGCCGGGCGATCAGCGGCACCAGAACACAGGTGACTCCACGCAACGCTCGAACCTGCTCACCAAGGGCGAAGCTCTCCACTTGTAGATCGGTGACATCTTCCGTCCGCATTTGCAGTCAACCACTCCGTGTTACTGGCTTTGACCAGACGACAAAAACACTCAGCAGTGGCACGTCGTTCTTCCCGATCTGGACTAATGAACGCAAAAGGCTGGAGACGACTGTATGCGCATGGCTTCATGAGCGGCATTACAAAGCTAGACACTTTCTATACTAGCTTACCTGTCCTGCAGTTGTAACGGGACGAGCTGCACGTACTGGTCGTAGCCATGGCAATGGGCGAGTCAAACTGGACTTGACTGTCCCCTCGTCGCTTGTAGTGCTTTCCGCAGAGCGGTCGTCAATATTGTCCGCTACGTGTGGCTGACTCAACAAGACCTGCTTGTCATGGTTACCTCCTCGTGCATAATGCGGAGTGATGTGCTCACGCACATTCAGCACGATGTTGGGGCGCCGCGGCATCTTGGGCTACCGCTCTACCCTCGCTGGTCTGGTTCGTGCTCGGCGCGGTGCTGGAACGTCCAACATGGAGGCCCTTGTGGAGATGACCGGCTTATATGGTGGAGAAAGGCTGCGAGGCGACTGGTGCACGTGGTACAAGTATCGGAGCTGATACTTAAGACGCTAGATGCTCTTCCCGAGACTCCGCGCCGAAATCTCCTCGCAGCCGGCGGCTGCGCAATTTGACGACCCACATATTGGTGCGCCTGGCAACATCGCGCACAGAAGATTATTCAACATGCGCCGGATTTGCACGCCCTGGTGTCATATCATGGGCTCAGACTGAACCTAGCGTTGATCCTTCATCCTCTGGGTGCATCAACTGGCTGGTACGGTGACAATGAGTCTGACAGTGAGCCCTTCACGAGTTCTGGGCGGCGGATCTGTTCGTTAAATCCAAGTTCATTCCAGCGCAGACTCGTTATGGAGCCTTGCCACAGGAGGGACAGCGACGAAGCTACCGACTTGCAAAGGTTTGCTCAGCGTGCAGGCTCTTGCCCTGCAAGGTTACCGTTGAAAACGCAGGTCGATCGAGGCGACCGTAGGTAGTACCAGCATGAGCTCGGAAGCATCCAAGTCCGGCTCCCAGCGATGTTGACATTGATGTCGTTCGATATTAAGAGACAGGTATATCCAAACTAACCTGGAAAAATAGGGAGGTGAAGCCGGGTCATGCCGTCGGATTCATGCTAACTCTATCAAGCCATGCAATCCGGGGCGCCTGCATCTCGCTTCCTTATCAGTGCCTTTCACCAACTAGTCTCGCCGCATGACGAAGCAAACGCAGAGGGTAAGTAGAGTAACCCATCCGTTTCAGAGAGACGCTGGCTAGTAACGGTAGGCTCCGAATTTCTCCTTGCATTCACTTTCGTTATCGGTCCCTCTGACCTGCTTCTTCTCTTACACACGTGTGATCCGCCAATATGGGCGCAGACGAGAAGCAGGAGAAGTCTGCTAATGGCCTAGAGTCGCAGCGAAAAGGCAGCGCTATCGAAGGCGAGCTTGAAACGATCCTTGGGTACAAGCCGGAGTTGCAGGCAAGTCATCACGGCAATGCACTACCTGAGTGAATCACACTGACCGACGGCATCAGCGCAATCGCTCCTTGTTCACTCTTTTGTTCCAGTCCTTAGCGATTGCGGCCATACCGTACGGTGAGGGGACTCCATTGATCAGCGCTAGTAGGTCGAACTCACAGCATTATTGTCTATCAGATTAGTACATTCTGATGCTGTCAAGTCTACGGAGGCGGCCAGCTCTCTATCTTCCTAGGATGGATAGTCATCCTAATCCTTGACGAGTGCGTAGCTCTCTCGCTCGGCGAGCTGGCATCCAGGTACCCAACGTCAGGCGGGCCTTCGTACTGGTCTTTCCAAGTCGCGCCCCGATACAAGACCGTTCTAGCTTATGTTACAGGTTGGATATGGCTTATCGGTAACTGGACGATCACATTGTCCGGTTAGTGAAAGACGTCGTCAACCAAACCTCTATACTAACCCTGGCACAGTCAATTTCGGCTTCGCCAGTCTGCTCTCCGGGACCATAGCGATGTATCATCCTGACTTCGCGCTGAATGACTGGCAACTGCTTCTCGTGTTCTATGCAATATGCCTTCTCACATTCGTCATCTGCGCCTTCTTTAATCGCTGGCTACCGATTGTAGATACAATCTGCGCTGCCTGGACTGGCTTGAGCATCCTTATTATCCTGATTGCCATATCGGTCAAGGCGGCCGTGGGCAGGCATTCGGCATCGTACACCCTTGGTCATTACGACACATCTCTTGCAGGATGGGGTGGCTTTACATTCTTCATAGGCCTCCTTCCCGCTGCTTACACATTCAGCGCCATTGGCATGATCTCATCGATGGCCGAAGAATGCGCGGATCCGGCCATCAAAGTGCCGAACGCGATCAGTCTATGTGTACCTGTCGGTGGGATTGCTGGTAGGCGCGGGCTCTGCGACAGGCATAAAGTTCGACTGACGATGCTGCGTAGGCTTCTTCTTCATCATTCCCATATGCGCTACTTTACCGCCACTTGCTGATGTGATCGGCGCACCCGCGGGTCAAGCTTTGCCGTAAGTCCCCTATCAGTACACGGGCCTGCTACGGTTGCGAGTTGGTTTAACATATGGCCGCAGGTACATCTTCAACGTTGTAATGGGCACGCCAGGCGGCGGGCTTGGCCTCATGTGTACGTCTTCATGCGATGCTCCGATGAGAGTTTGGCTTACAACTTCCGGATCTAGTCTTGGTGCTCGTCATTACTCTGTTCTGCTCGATCTCAATCACCGTTGCTGCATCGCGCTGCACCTGGGCTTTCGCACGAGACGACGCTATACCAGGCGCTAAGATGTTTGCGAAAGTCGACTCCCGCCTCGGTGTGCCTTTATGGAGTCTTGTCTTGGTCACTGTTGTACAGTAGGTTGCTGTAACAGGTGTCAAGCGATGCTGAAGGGATAGTGCTAATGTCGCGCAGGATGCTATTAGGACTTATCAATCTCGGCAGCACCTCCGCCTTCTTAGCCTTCGTTTCTGTTGGAGTACAGGCATTAGCGCTGGCATATGCGATTCCGATTGCCATCAGCCTATTCTGCGGTCGGAAGGAGGTGAGCAAGGCGAGATGGAATTTGGGCGCCGTGGCCGGCACAATTGTGAACGTACTGGCGCTGCTGTGGATCGGTTTTGAGCTTGTACTGTTCAGCATGCCTACCGCGCTTCCGGTGAGTTCTACGGCTCGCCTCACTATCGTAACATTGCTAATCTGGTGAAATGCGGCCAGGTGACAGCTGTTAGCATGGTAAGTACTAGTATTCTCCGACGCTGGTTAAGCTCGTGCTGACAATTGAGCAGAACTACGCTTCCGTTGTCTTAGTCGGTTTTGGAATCATAGCAATGCTATGGTATGCCGTACATTCACGCAAATGTAAGAAGATTGACATTATCTTGTCGGACTAGACAGATGCTGATGCCATGGCAGCGTATAAAGGCCCACCAGCTTCTGAGGGCCTATGATCCGGCTGTCACCGAATGCAACTGCAATTCTCTCTACAATGCTGCCATCAGACGGTAGTGGTAGTAGATGAGCGTATTCCAGATGCAGCCCACGCCGGGCAAGCTGACTCGAGCGCGTGATCAAGATTCTATTTCCAGCTCAATACCCAGTCCGATGCCCACGCCCCGCCACAAGTCGACTGCTGCAGACCCTTAATCGACAAAACTTTGCTGGTGCTATTGTAGTTCACGCCGTTGCGGACTTCCTGTCCGTTGAGGGTCACAGTCCGGGGTTGGGTTGCGACGCCCATGATTGTGACATTCGCAAGAGAAATTGTATCTTCATACGTTCCCCTGGCTGATGTGTACAAACTGCCATTGCTGGCAGTGAAGTCAACAAACAAGGTCGCAGGCGGGACTATTGATTCTCCGTCATCCACGTAAAGAGAGCCCGTTGCCGTCCCTTCGGCGGACAATGCGCAAAGAAGCGACCAGGAACTGTTGCGGCACTCGCTGGTTGTATAAAGCGCTTCCTGCTGCGGCAAGATGTATCCCCCACGCACGAATACAGGGATGTGGCCTAGAGGCGCAGGAATGGTGACATTTTCTCCGGCTGAAGCGTTTACCGCCTGTTGTGTATACCAGTCATACCAGACTTCGCCCTGTGCGACGCCAGGGAATACGCCATGTGCCGTCGTCATGCCTTGACCAAGGACAGGTGTAATGAGAAGTGATGGTCCGAGCAGGAATTGATTGTCAATGGCCGCAAGGGTAGGGTCATTTGGAAACTGCTAGCAGATTAGATGGAGTTGCCAAGCGATGATCTTCTCAATTCGCACCTCCCACGTTAAAGCGCGCATTACGGTGCTGCCGGTCGTATGGGCGAAGTAGAAGAGAGTATACATGTAAGGGAGCAGCGAATACCGGATACGCATTGCAACTCTTGATGCTTCGGCCACTGATGCCCATACATATGCTTCCTGCGAGGTCGCAGCGAGGACCTTGGACGATGGAGTCAGCATATCGCGGCGTTATGATTCTGGCGAATGTAATTACATTGTGATTACGGTAGAATGGAAAAAATGCCGACAGCTGCATCCACCTGTTGCACAGTTCTTCGTCCGAATTTCCGCTGAAGCTGTGGAACTTGTAAGCATAATCAATATGTGAGGTTGCAGAGCCGGGAATAAATACCCGCAAGTGTCTACACCAAACTACATGGGGAAGGGAGAACAGTCAGCTATCCGTTCCCGACAGTAACGCTTCGCATACGCACCATTGGGATGCCGAACAAGGAGAAGCTCAACGCCTGTGCGATTGACCAATACATGTAAGCAAACAAGCTGTTGTTGTCTCCGCCCCAATGTCCAGCCCATACACCTGTCCCAACGAAGGTGCTGCGACCAATGATGAACGGTCTTTTGCCTGGGAAGATCTCCGTGAGGGCTTGATATGTGGCGTTAAGTATCTGATGGCCGAACCTGCACCCAGGGGGTTAGTCTAATGAGTGACGGTGCCTTGATACATACTGGTACTTACAGGTTGTGCACATCATACTCCTCCACGCCGTCGATATGCGTTGCATTTGGGCTTACGGCATGCACAGCGAGGTCGCCCTGAACGTTGTTGATGACATATGGCGGCTGATTGACGTTGCGTACGCCTGGTGTCACCGTGCTGATGAAGTAGGGCGTAGTAGCTGTGCTTGGGGGCGAGGCGGCTGATGCTGAAGACGCTTGAACACCAGAGGCTGAACTGGCTGCGGCGGCTTCCGTAGCATTCGTGATGTTGAACCCTTCTGGAAACGTGTAATCGACGCTTCCAGGCTCACCTGGTAGGCCGAAGGGCGGGTGTACTGGGTTGAGCGAAAGGTTGTGGGTACCACAGCTGCCTATGCAGAAGGAAGAGACCTACAAGGGTACCGTGTTTGACCGTCAGCAAAGCCTTAAAACAGCAGGATGGGGTTGTGGCAATGGTCCGTACTTCACTCATATCGATCCAAATGCCATCCCATGGTACGTTGTTGTGGTGGCTCTGCATGCTTCGAGTCCACCATGGTACTGCCTGGTCGCTGTGCCAGTCCGGAAACACGGTAAAGCCAGGCCAGACGTTGCCAATATATTGACTTCCGTCAGGATTCCTCAGGAATACACCGTTGTCATTGCCATCGGTATAGATCGAATAGTTGTCTGAAGCGTTGTTCGGGTTGGGAATGTAGATTGCGGAATCAACGATTGGAACGTAGTGTTGACCAGCTGCATGTAGTTGGGCGAGAAACGCTTCACCCTCAGCATATGAGAACGTATTCTGATCGTTCGTGAAGTCCTGAGCATCGTCAGTTTGCATGTACATGAGATCTCGTAAGCTGAAGTAAGCGTACACGGTATTGGAACATGTAGTCCTAGCACCAACGAGTAAGAGTGTCAGCAACGTCTCAGGCGATGCGAACGTTCCGAACATCGGTCGGCTTACTATGTCATTCCAAACAGTCTCCAACGGGATGTCGAAAGCACGGTAGTTGTTCACCACATCTTGCACCATTGACCAGTTCTTGTACCCCCACCGGCATTGGTGGAAACCGAAAGTGAAGTACTGCTGCATTGCAGGCAGCCCAGTCGCACCGGTGTGGTATTGCTGGGTCACGGCTTCCGCGGTCGGCCCGTCGAACACATACAGATCGATAGAACCGCCAAGAGTGCGCCAGGTCAAGTTGGTGGGGAGAAGAAGAGCCTCCAGACCATGTGAGTTCCTTAAATATACGCCGTGGCTCAAGCTCTCGTAGGTTCCATTTGCTGTTGTGTTCTGGGTAGTGACGAGCGTACGCTGACCCGTCGCAGACACTTCGTAGTACCGGGTATCGAGATAGAACGGATGGCTTCCATAAAGCCCATAATCCGGAGGGTTACCAGCATCGGCCGCATAAAAAGTTGCAGTGAAGTTGTTGCCAAGGCGGAGACTGTGTATCCGCTCACCCAAGCCATATAAGTTGTAGTTCTGCGGCAGCTGTGACACGAACTCGATGAACTGATTTTCATACACTAGGACGCTCCCTCTCGTGTCAAATAGCACGTCGCCAGTTGACTTTCGCAGAATCGTGAAGGAGAAGGTAGGCTCATTCGACCAGACGAATTGGAGGTCAATGTCTTGTGTGTCTACATCCGCTGCTGCTTGTGACGGCAGGTTGACAAGTTCGGGCGACAGGATGTACTGGCTTATGTTACTGCTGCTGAGATATGCTGGCTGGATAGAGACGTGGAGACGGTCGGCGGACTGCACGTCCACCTCCAGCGCGAGCGTCTCGATGTCGGTCCCGTAGACATTGCATGCCTGTCCCGCAAGGGCAAGAGTAGCTGTAAGCCCGTATGCGGTCCTTTGCACATTGCTGGCTTTGTAGCCGGGGCAGAGAACCTGGGCTTGCTTTGCGGTGGAATCTGTGGTGGCGGACAAGATCAGCTGTATGATTTCATTCCTTGTGCCGAGATCTTCTCACTCTTGACGTTGGGGAGTACATTTGGCCCGACATCAACGGCAGCAGGGACGGTGAATGCTACGCTATATGTCGTAGCCGTTCCGTTAATGGTTGCGGTACCGATCGAGTACGTCGGGGTCGGCAAGCTCGAGCCGCTTGTCGCTCCCTGGTTCGAAGTGCTTAACTGGGCAGTGACAAGACAGCATGTAGAGAGAAGAAGCTGGAACACACGGAGAAAGGCCATACTGTCGCCTACCTGATGGCAGCGTAGACGCCAGACGGCAGATGGTGTTTCCAAACTGGCGCCAGCTTACTTTTCTATCCTGCATCACTCTACCCTACCTGTGTGAGCTATCCATGTCCGCAGTCACATGAGCCTCAGTAGACTTCGTAGCTTAGGAAGCGGTTGGGTTGCAATGAGGGTAGTTTCTCCGCAAAATAATGACGAAGATCACAAGGTGCTGTTGCACGCTGCAGTAGCTCAGGAACAGCGACCCCACGAGGAGACTCTCCGCTCGAATTGTGGGGAACCTATTACGGCGAGCCAATGATGGGTAGCATATTGAGGGTGCGGAAGCACGAAAGATGCATGAAATGGTCTCGCGTCGTCAATCTCACGATGCTCCTACTTCCCCTCCTTTGGAGAGCGCCGGCTGAACTTGATATGCTGCCGTGAAAGGGGCCGAAGCCGTTAGACTTTGCTGAGAAGAGCATGCTAGTACATTGGTCGGACCAAGAATACTACGTCCGGATCAGCTCCAGAGTATGCAGCAAGATGCAGGCATTGTGTAAAGCAAACTGCGCGACGCAATGCTATCGCCAACAGGATTCCCAAACGCGCCGAGATTGGCAGGTAGCTCATGCTATCGGATCGCAAGGCGCGCTCTGCAGTTCACTCCAACCCGCCCTCAGCGCCCAAAGAGCGGTCGATCACCGCGTGGAGCAAGCGATCAACTGCTGAGTGATCGAAGAAGAAGCTCCTACGGATACGTCAGCTTGGCAGGCGGACGTCTGGTGTCTCACTTACTCTTTGTTCCAAAGGATTCTCCTGGTCAGAGGTCACGATCGCAGGACTCTCCAACCCGCTCGGCGCACCCTCCGTGTAGCCTCGATCGTTCAGACCGGGCCGCTTTGGCGTGCTCAGGCGGCTCTTGTCCGGCTTCTGCACCTCCTGAACCTCGTCACCCATACTTGAACGTGCATCGCTTCGTCGCTCCAGTAAGGCACCGCCAAGCGTCGCACATTTCAGTATTGTCTGTATCAGTTGGTTCGGCTTCAACGGCTTGGACAAGTACTCGTCCATCTGCGCCTGGATGCACTTCTCCCGGTCTCCCAGCATGGCGTGTGCGGTAAGTGCGATGATCGGTGTCCGCTCTAGCTCATGCGCTGCTTCGTACTCTCGAATCTTCGCAGTCGCTTCGAAGCCACCCATGACGGGCATCTGCACGTCCATGAGCACGACATCGAATCGTTTCTTCTTGATTGCGTCAAATGCTTCCTGCCCGTTGTTCGCCACGGTGACCTTGTGATTGTGCTTGGTCAAGATCTTGACCGCGAGTTTCTGGTTCACCGCGTTATCTTCCGCCAGGAGGATCTCGAATGTCCGTGAATGATCAGCCGAAATTGGCGCAGCGCGTCCCTCCAAAGCCGGTATCAGGGCGTTACCGAGATCAATGGGTAAGCACGGCGTAGTCATGTAGCTGGAAATGCCGTTCTCTAGCGCCGTCTTGAAGCTGACTGATATCGCAGGCGCCAGCATGACAATTGGAATGTATTTGAAGCGCTCCAGACTTCGCAATTTTTGTGCCGTAGCGGTCTGATCCACGATCACGCAGTCGTAGAACTCATCCTGTCGCAGTTCGACACTCGGAGTCGCCTTTTTGGAGCTGACCACACAAGGCACAAGATCCAGGCTCCGGATCGCTGCCGCAATCTCGTCAGTGCAGCCAGTCTCGCCGTGGTCGATGAAAAGGACTTTGTGCCTCTTGTACTGCTGCAGCTGCGGTGCGATCTTGGTCAGATCCGGCGTGCCGATACGGACGACACACGTAAAGAAGAATGTGCTGCCGGAGCCGTACGTAGACTCAACCCACATCTTGCCACGCATCAAAGTTGTCAGTCTCCGCGAGATCGACAAGCCGAGCCCAGTACCACCGAACTTGCGAGTCGTTGAGCCGTCTGCCTGCTGGAAAGTGTCGAAGATAAGGTCGAGTTTATTGCTGTGGATGCCGATGCCTGTATCGCTCACTGCGAACTTGACAACGAACTCGCCCTGTTTGCACTTGGACACCTTATCCGCTAGAATCTTGACACGCACTTCACCGTGCTCAGTGAATTTAATCGCATTGCCGGCCAGGTTCAGGATAATCTGTCGCAATCGGTACGAGTCACCGACCACATAGTCTGGCACCGAGCTATCAACGTCGTAGACGAGACTAATGTCCTTCTCGTTCGCTCTAACAGCTAAAGACTTCAGGCTGTTGAATACCAAGCTGCGCAGTGAGAACGGCTCTTCTTCTAGAATCATGCGGTTGGCTTCGATCTTCGAAATGTCGAGTATGTCGTCAATTATGGTCAATAAGCTGTTCGCAAGCGAAAACACGATGTTCAGCATATCGCGCTGGTTCTGCTCCAACTCAGTGTCGAGCGTCAACTGCGTCATGCCAATTATGCCGTTCATGGGTGTTCGGATCTCGTGCGACATGTTGGCTAAGAACTCGGATTTGGTCTTGTTCGCCAACTCGGCTGCCTCTCTTGCTGCGTTATTCTTCTGAATACTGTCGCGCAGACTGCTGACCATGTCGTTGATCTTGACCTTGAGCTCATTCATCTCGCCGGATGCCTCGACAGTAATGCGCTTTGTAAAGTTGCCCTCCATGGCCGCGTTGGACATTTCGCCAAAGGCGCGCACTTGTGAGGTCAGATTTTGCGCCATGATGTTGACGTCGGTAGTGATTTCCTTCCAACGCCCGGTTATGCCTGCCACTTCGGCCTGACCTCCCATCTTGCCGTCGACTCCGACGTCGCGTGCTACACGCTTGACGGCAAGGGACCATGCATCCAGACGCGTAACCATGTCGTTGATTGTGTCCTTGAGCGTTTGTATCTCTCCTTGAGCGTGTACTTTGATGCGCTGACTCATGTCTCCACGCGCAATGGCTTGCGTGACGTCCGAGATGCTGCGCACTTGGCTGGTCAAGTTGCCAGCCATGGTGTTGACGTTGTCCGTAAGATCCTTCCACTTGCCTTCGACGTTCTTCACCTCCGCCTGCCCACCCAAAACACCCTGGGTCCCGACTTCTCTGGCGACCTTGCTGACTTCGAAAGCGAACGTGCTGAGGCGGTCCACCATGTCATTAATCGTGACCTTCAACGCTAGGATCTCGCCCTTGACCTCAGCCTTGACCTTCTTGCTGAGATCTCCCTTCGCCACAGCGGTCGTGACTTCCGCGATCTCGCGTACCTGCGTGGTGAGATTGTTGGCCATGCCGTTCACATTCTCGGTGAGATCCTTCCATGTGCCTTCTACGCCGTGCACAGTTGCCTGCCCGCCAAGTCGACCTTCTGTGCCGACTTCGCGAGCGATCCTCGTCACCTCATGCGCAAACTGCCTGAGCTGGTCCACCATGGAATTGATGGTGTTCTTGAGTTCCAAGATCTCGCCCTTGCATTCTGCCTTCACTGTGTGCGTGAGGTCACCTTTTGCGACTGCAGTAGTCACTTCAGCGATATCTCGGACCTGCGCGGTGAGGTTGTTCGCCATGGCATTGACGTTCAGAGTCAGATCGTTCCACATGCCTTGAACACCCGCAATCTGTGCTTGACCCCCGAGGACACCTTCTGTACCTACATCGCGCGACACCCGAGTGACTTCGGTTGCAAAGGTGCGGAGTTGGTCCACCATGCGATTGATCGTGAGCTGTAATTGAAGAATCTCGCCTTTGGCTGGTCGTTCAATCTTGCGGCTAAGATCACCTTGCGCGACGGCCTTTGTCACAGCAGCAATTTCTCGCACTTGGTCGGTCAGATTCTGTGCCATCACGTTGACTGCACAACATCAGTATACAGTCGCACGCGTCACCGAAACTCTGGCACTTACCATTCTGAGTCAGCTCGGCCCAAATACCGTCCACACCCGGCACGACAGCTTGGCCACCAAGCTGTCCTTCGGTACCCACGGCCTTCGCCAAGTGCGTGACTTGACTGGCAAACTCTTGCAGCTGGTCCACCATCTTGTTGATCGTATGCTTGAATCGTGCAATTTCAGGGTCTTTCTCCGTCACGTGTATGAGTACTTTCTTGCTCAGGTCGCCATTTGCGACCGCCGTAATGATTGTGCCAATTTCGCGGAGAACCTTCTGATACGTAGCATTGATTTGTGTGTTCTTCTCAATTTCACGCTTCAATTGCTCGATGGAAGAGGAGTTGCCGAGAGTGTCCAGCGCCGCTTTGGTAGCATCCTGCTGGTGTGATAGTTGCGAGGTAATGCGGTCAATGAAGTCCTTCTGGCCTTTGATCTCTTGCGCCTGCTGATCAATGTGCTCGCGGAGAAATGTGAATTGCTCTTCGGTCAGCTGGCGAGTCTGCTGCTCTCCGTCGCTCTTCGTGCCGAGTAAGTTATTGACCCACGATGCTGAGCGTTGCCGCGGTGGAGTACCATTAGCAGCCGACTTCGGCGAAGCTGGCGAACTCACGAATGCCGAGGACAATGGCTCATTAGGCGTGATGGGAAGTGAAGTGGTTCCGCTGGACGCCTTGGCTTCGAGGAGCTGTATGCGCGACGCAAGGGCGGTCAACTCTCTCTCCAGCGTGCGCTTCTCCACTGTGTCATCCCCGGGCAAGGTAATCTTGGTGCTCTTAACGCCATTTGCAATTACGTGCGCAGGAAAGGAGTGCTCGTCAGTAGGTGCATAGGGCTTGGCGAAGTTTGACAGGATGCTTGCGACCGCGGCCGAGGTGTCCTCGTGCAGCATGGCTGTATCGGAGAGGCGGAGTGACGCCCGTCCAGTCTGCTCAGCACTGCATGCCAGTTTGACGGTGATGGTAGATGTCGGCGATGACTGTGGCTCCCCCCGGCAGGTGTGGCACGTATTTGTGTGCACCTGAGGTACGCTCCACAGAAGCTCGCTGCACCCCTCGACCTTACCGAAGCTGAGAACTGGGGAGCAGTGTTGTTGAAGCGTAGATGACACACAGTCCTTATTCCTAGGACGCTCGCAATGCTTGGTCTCTCTTCCTAGGGGCGGTATGAAGGAGAACGATCGCCGGGCGGGCACTGAAGAACTTCTTCTACCGCAAGGAGGGAGTGAGACTGTCGATCACGCTGCTGGTTCGGCTCAATTAGGCCCAAGCGCCCGGAGACAGGCAAGGGTCTTCTTGGGTGGCAATAAGTTGGGATCAATTGCGAATTGCATATCGGCCAACCATGATCGTAGAGTCCACGCGCTCATAGGAGCAATGATCACAAATACTGGAGACGTGGTGCACTAGCCCGGGTGCATGAGATTGACGATAGCAGCATACTGCTGGTACAGATACAGCACGCACATGGACGAGGAGTTTAACCAATTGACTTCCAGCTAGATGAACCCTGTCCGCGTGGCGCTCTTCTTGCGGCGGAGCCGCACAGGTGGTACACTTTCACGATGACTGACTCTGCCATGGGAGCGTGATGCCTCAATCGTGTCCTCCATCTTGTCGCTGGCGTCGTGCGCGTACTGCCAACTACGCGAAGGAGTCAGTTGAGTCTATGCGCGCTGGCAACCTGAGAGCTTGTCGCAATGGAATGCGACGTTCGGCTGATGTTGCCGTTATGATGGGCATCCACAGTGACACCCCGCTGTCCCTAGGGAACATCATACACCTCTGCGGTCACATTTGTGATTACCGTATCAAGCAACAGCACGCCTGCTTCCGTAGCGCTTCGTTTCACGCTGGCACCCGGCTAGAGGACAGCCTCGGGCGCGAGTAACCAACGGGGATGCCATCCGGAACAGCGACCGAACGATGGCCCCTTGTTCTTACTGATAGAAAACGTCTCGTCATCGGTGCTACAGGAGACGGCGTAACTAGCACTTCACAGCCTTGAAACTAACGATATGCAGCGTTGGACATTGATGCGAAGGGTGAAACCGAAACGAGCGATCGGCGGTAGGATATTTCGTTCCATCAAATGAGACCGGTCCACCTCCTGAACCCAGCGATGGTGCCGCTAGCCGGCAGCCACGCGCAAAGGGTCCGCACTCGAACCATTAGCCTTTCGTGGGGTAATTCACTTACGAGTCACGACTCATGTTGAATCTCAAACGAGCAACAAGTGAGTCTTGATTGCTTAATCTCTGCTCCTCAGCAGTCCATTGTGAGCCGCCCGGATCAACTATAGGAAACTTCCCTTGAGGGTCGAAAAAGTTGTCCATTTGCGATCAGATGTGCGCATTCCTGCCTTAGGCAAGACGCCCACCTTCCTCGCGCCCAGAATAGCTAACTTCCGAGCTGGCAAGCTGCGCCTTCGAGCCGTCTCTGCGCCAAAGGCACGATGTTCCCATTCATCTGCTTTTCATCCGTATTGCATGCCCTTCGGAGGAGCTCTTCGACCAGCGTATAGGTGTGCAAAGGCACTGTTGTAGCTCGGCGTAGTACCTGTGACAGCAGGATGCGACCAGTTCGTATTGACTGGCAAGAGCGTCACAGTGTATAGAAGGCAACGGTAAGCGATGTCAATATAAAGTATGTCCCTGCCCTCAACGACTGTTTCTCTTGAGAACAAGCATCCCGCAGCCAAATCACCTTCTGAAGCATCTCAACCCGAGCAAAGACACAGTCGTGTCACGATCAATACCACACGCCATCCACATTCATCACAAGATCGGAAGACATCATGAGAATCTTTACCGCTCTTGCTCTCGCCTTCGCTGCCATTGCAAGCGCAACCTCAATCTCATATGACCCAACATACGATCAGGCAACCAACTCATTGAACGAGGTCAGCTGTAGTGACGGTCCCAACGGCCTTGAAACGAGTAAGCCGCCAGGCCCTCTGCGGAGGCACCTCATGCTAAAATACCATAGAATATGGCTGGCAGACCTTCGGCGACATCCCCAACTTCCCATACATCACCGGCAGCGATGTATGTCCATTCTTCTCTGCCATTCTCTAACAGCGTTCAATGCTAATCCGTACTACAGACCATCCCCGGCTGGAACTCGAATCAATGCGGCCAGTGCTTCTCGGTAACTTATAACGGCAACACAATTTACGTCCTGGGGATAGACCACACCGACGCAGGGCTTAACATGGCACAGGCAGCCATGGATAGTCTCACTGGCGGCCAAGCCGTGGCACTTGGCAGGGTCGACGCGGATGTGAGCGCTGTCGACGTCAGTAACTGCGGGTTAACGCCGTCGAAGCGGTCGCGTGTGTTCAGAGCATAGGTGTTTGAGGGAGGAGCCGTTGCTCCTGAGCTGAGATGGACGCATTGAATGGTGCATAGCGTGGCGCTTAATATAAGGCTTGAGGGTCCGTGCATCAGCTATCCAAAGTCATTACTGCTATTCTTTGCTACCGTAGGTTTCAGGGTGGCCGCCACGAATGGCCTAAGGTAATCATCGATCACAGATCGGTTCCTGAAGTCGCTCCAATCATGGTTGAGAAGACCTGTTAACGTGGTTAACGACACGCTTCGACTAATGTAGGAATAGCGGTGTAGGCTCACCCCATGTCTCATCGTAATCCTTGATACCGGACCGAATGTAGTAGCTACCCGCAAGCACCCACTGCATCCAGCCACCCGGTCCTCCCGGCTGCTGTAGGAGCGTGGATGAGATGCACTGAGCATAAACACTCTGGTCGCTGCTATCAGTCTGATCGAAGCCGAACTCGGTCATGATTACCGGGCCATGATTAGGGCACGAGCTGTCGCTGAGGTTCATTGCGCAGTATGCAGTATGGTAAAGTCTGGGCTGTATGTCATTCGAGCATGATTTTGCCTTGGTCTGATAGTTGTGGATCTCGTAGACAACCTTGTTCCGGAAAGCGTACTTCTCCGGGGTGAAAGTCTTGTGGTTCCACGTCTGGCGTTGGATGGCGTATGTGTCATCGGTGTTGTACCCTTCTCCGGAGAAGAAGATGAGTGGCGACGGGTTGTGCTTGTGTATCACCGAGGCGGCTGGCAGCGCGTTCTTGATCCACGTGTTCCATGTATAAGGAGAGGCGGGACTGTCTGAGTCGGGCTGACGCAGCTCGTTGCGCAAAGACATAGACGCAAACCCTTGCCAGCTTGCCGCCTGCGACCATTGTTAGTGTTGTCAGACATCGGAGTGCAGTTGAGGACCGCTTGCATGAGCGGCCATGAAGCCGAGACCACGATGCCATTTCTGAACGCTGAAATAGGTGTCTGCCAGACATGGTCAGTCTTAGCTAATGATGGGGCAGGGGCGAACAAATTGCTAACCACCAAACCAAGCATTGCCATCTATAAATCCCGACCGGAACCGTCAGCGTCTTGTCAGACTGTAAGCAGTATTAATCTGAATAGTGAGCTCACCATTATTATTGCAGCACCACTGAGCCTTGGAGACATGGTTGTCTAGGTGGACATAGATCTGATATTGCGCAAGCCCGGCAGCGACCGCATCAAACACCTGAAGATGTCAGTCGGCGATCAGGTGGTCGCAATCTGAAACGAACATCGAGTCTTGTGGACGAGACATTGAACTGCGGATTGTTTGCGAGTATCTGACTAAGTACAGTATTGCCAGCTTTCGAACCGAGTGCTTTGACCAATGTGTTCCGAAGCGATTGATGCGGGCTGTTGGCGAAATGATCGTCAATCATCTCGATGGCGTACGTCAGACGAACAACATTCATGCCCAGCTTGGAGATGAAGCTGGCGATACTGTCAATGGAGGCATATTGTAGGCCTTCTGGTAGCATAGTATCTGCAGCGCCTGGCCAGTTCACACCAGCGTAGACGACCTTGGCTCCGGAGGCGGATATGATATCACGACCAGAGACCGTGAAAGGCGTGTCTGGCCATGTAGCGCCAGTTTTTGGCGGCCATGGTGCTGGCGCTGGTGCTCCCCATGCGAAGCTCGCCGACAGTGCGGCTATTACGAAAGGATACCCAAAGACCACAAGCATTGCTGAGGAGGCGCAACCCCATCGCCTCATGACAACAGAGCAGTCGCTGGGTCGTTATTGCAGGACAAATTCACCTCGTCAGGCGCTGGCGCATCCACAGCATAGTTGATGACAGAACCGCGCACCCGGTCGCCATTTTGTGAAGTGGGTATGTCGAGCGCCGAGCCGCGATGGCCCTACGGCGTGCCGTGTTTCCCAGTGGATCAATAGTGGAAAACGGGGTGGAACGAAGAGTCGTACATGGGTCAGCGTTAGTCGTGCGCTAGATCTTGCCGAATTCTACTCGTCGTGACCAAATAGCGAAGTCGACCTACTTTAGCCACAACGATGGCAGCCTTACCAGCTATCATAGTGTGACGTGGAGATAGCAGACCGCCAGACTGCGGGATGAGTCTTCGATAAGACGCTTGGTGCCGAGAGATTCGTCACCAGCGTCTGTAAGGTTAACTCGCCAGCGTCGGTATTTGCAACTTTCACACAAAGGACAATGCTCAGAGGCAGGCTGGAGTGCAGTAGATCATGCGCCGCACAAGTCCGAGCCTCGAGGCTCAGGTTGGAAACTGCTCGTCTCCGCTCTAGAGCAAGGCAACGTCTTCGTCGTGCGCGTGGCAACCACGCGCTAGAAGTAGATAGGCTTCTCCGTAAACAGTATAGTGCAGCTTAAGCTGACTCGTGCCCTCTGTTCTGGTATCTACACGAAAATATAGGACAGTGTCAACATCCCTCTTGCCATCCAGTGTGGACTGTTGCTGTCCAGTCCTTCGTACTAGCGAGTGATAGTGTTTCCGCTCTGCTTGCTTTACAGTGACGCGAACATGATGGCTTTCGCCTGCTTGTGAGGGATTCGTATCCAGCTTTGGTAAGACAAGCACTACATGCAGCTGCTGTGGCTACGGCGGCGCCGTAGCGATGGAGACGGTACAAGGTCATGTGGAGCATGTCGGATATGGTTAAGAAGAGGAGAGTGTCGAAATGGAGGATGAAACAGCGAAGATTATTCTGCGCTGGCTATGATGCGGTGTGATAGGAGATATGCATGTCGCCGCTGTTGACTTCACGGCTTGTCAGTTGCAAGAGCTTCTGCACCTATCCTGGGTGGGTACAGTTAACCGCGAAAGGGCCCGGAGGCGTCGAAGGCGCTGAAGAGTTGAAGGCGTTGGGAACACGTCACAGTAGCGGCGATGAAGGGGTCGTATATTCGTAGGTATTCTGCTGCTGAGCAAGACCCATGCGCTACGCCGTAATCGCCCGTCGGAATGTGTTGTAAAGACGTTGGAGACTTAGGTCTGACAGACAACGTATTTCGTTTCATTGTCGGGTTGTCTCGCCTGTCCATGGAGTCCAGGCGCATTGATAATTGGTGGCTGCGCGCTGCGCCCAAGCTCGCTTGTATGAACGGAGAGGCAGCCGTACTGTCACCACCTAGCTTCCAAAAACGGCTGATATTGGGCCGATATACAATTCAGTGACTTTGCAATCTGTGGAAGTCCCTCAGAGTGTGTGCTACCCATTGCCCTTATGCTAGAAATCGGACCACCCACGAGGAACGGCCGAAGCAAACCCGAGATCCCGAAATGTTCACTCATCAACAATTCCCTCTGCCTCGGCATGACAACAGCACCATATATGCACTGACTTGATAGAAACGAACAGCTCGTGCATGCTTACAAACATCAGGCCAGGAGAGGCCTAGACTGTAATGCTGACACAACGTCGTGCGAATGGCTGATAGTGGCCTGCAAGGCGTAATTTAGTACGCCCGTATCGCTGGACTTTCAACGTGACCACTGCTTGAGACCGTCAGCAACAGTCGAATCCATGGCTAAAAGTCTTACTCGAGGCCCCAGTAGAAGACTCTGATTGACTTGTACCTGTGTAAAAGTGTTCGTTCCGGGCACCAGCTGCACATTCTATGGAGCCAACGACGAAGAGGAGAAAGCGCACTCGCGCAGCCACTCCGTCGCCTGAGGATGACGAAGGTCGCAGACGTGGTCGTCCCCGTGTTCACAAACACGATGCTTCAGCCGCTGACCGCCGCCGGACGCAGATTAGACTCGCCCAGAGGGCATACCGGCAGCGCAAAGAGAGTACTCTGGAAGAATTGCGAGGTCGCGTAACCAATCTCACTAACACGCTAGAGTTGGTGAACAAGCTCTTTAGGGACTTCAGGCACAGACTCTCTACTACTGGTTTGTCGAGCGCTCAGAGTGCGGAGGTGGACGAGACAGCAAGCCAACTGGAAGTGTTGCTGAAGACCGTACGGAACTCGGAAGATGCACCTATGCAGCCGATACCGCAGGCGAAGCCATCGTCACCTGAGCCGGTAGTAGTGTCAGCTCGAGAACCGATAGCTCACGGGGAAGATGTATTAATCAACATTAAGAACACTGCTTCGTGGCTAGACCAATCGGCTTTGAATCATCAGCCCAAAGTGTACGCCGGCTGGGGTGGCTACGTGGTGACAGACTCAAATGAAGAACGGTGGATCTTCACGCGCGAACCGCCAACTGAAGAAGCTGACAAATATCCTGTCGTGTACCATTCGAGGCCTGTATCTCCCGCCTTCCGCGCACGCAGAGCGCCTGAACTTCCGCCGACTGAAACGTACAGCTTCCAAGAGACGACTTTCGGCCGCCGTCTCCACCGTGCGTGCCTTGAAGCAGCCTACCTCGTGCTTCTCGACTCTGGAAGAGGGTCTATGGACAATTGGAAGGAACGCTTCCGGCTCTCACTTGCCTCCAAAAGCAAGGCGAAGATTATCGAGAGTATCAAGTCCATCCTTTCCCGCAGTACTGGCGAGAGTCTTGACTTCCACGATGCACCCCTTATCCACGTAGGCGGAGCGGGGACTCATTATCCGCGTATTGATTGTAACGGGAAGCTTCAGTTCCCGAAGGAATCATACGATCTCGGTCTCATAGGACCACAAACTCTAGCCTTACTTGAGAAAGCCGCTGAGAACAGTCTAAGCACTGATATGACTATTGAGGTGTCCGGCTACGAGGTGCGTTTTAGAGACCATAGGGCATTATCTGTTGGCTAAGGAATCGCTAACACTGTCACCCTCCATTTTCTAGGGCACCTGGTTCGATCCATACGACGTCGAAGGATACCTCAAAGAGCGTGGCATCCGCATCGATGACCCTTCCGCTTCGTTCGTGGAAGCAGAGATCACAGTGAGCTCGCCAGAAAGCATGACGACAGGGTCATCGCCCACAAGTCTGGATGTCCCGGAAGCTTTCAACGCCATATCTATGCAGACTACTGATTTGGACGTTATGCCGGAGGGTGAAGACTGGCTTAGCACGCTCAACTTCACAGATGTAGGCTACAGCTCCGCAGTGGATGGTGATTGGATGAATTTCCTGGAGCCCGGGCACAACATCGCAACTCCAACCCTCACTCAATCGATCACACATCGAGCTCCATACAGCGGTGGTAGCATAACCGACCTGATGCAGGAATCGATCATTACTGCTCTTGATGTGCAGAAAGAATTTCGACCATCATACAATTCCGCACCCCGCCCTTCAACCTGGCAGCACGCGGGCGTGCAGTCTGTGCTGAAGAAGCAAGTCATCATTGATGTGTCGAAGCTCATTCAAGGTAAGCATCGTCGGCGCAGTTCGGGACCACAGGCGCACGCTGACAAAGTGCAGCGCTTAACAAAGGAACAATGTGTTTAGGTCGAACGCCAGGATACAGGCAGCAAGATGTCGATCGTGCTCTAGCGGTGGCTTCGATCGATCTTTGAGATGTTCTACAACAATCATAGTACGCGCTGACATTTCAGCGTCGAGTTTGCACCAAGCACAGGGAAAGTAATGCAGCTCATTTGATTTTCGTGAATACAACGCATTACGATGCTAAGTAGCAGACAAACCACGTTAAAAGAGCCGCCGACTTCGAGGTGCGGTAGTGAAAAGTCAGGTAGACCAAACACAGCATCGCAGAGAAGAGCAGCTCTGCACAACAATCCCTCTGCATCATTCCAGAAGGAATTGGTGGTTCGTGCTCACGTGGTTCTGAGAGCCTAACCCCCCAGCCACTACGAGAGCATCCTAAGCAAGGACCTCTGTACGAGGAGGTAGCGTGACATTTGGTTTGACAAAGACCGCGAACGGGGGTTAGGTACGCAACCGTTCAGGCCCTGTGAGGACTCTGAACAGGCTTCCAAGGCGATTCTGCACTTGCAAATGCCAATTCTGTTGATGATCTTGAGGTCGATTTGTACAGTCACATGCATCTCGGTTTGCCGCTGAACATTCAGCTTTCGGGAACTTTACTCCACAGCAAACGCACTGAAGCAGTTGGGCGCTGTGACTTGTGGAGACGGGAGGCCGAACGTCTACGCGTCTGTCTAATGGCCGGCTTGGCGTTCCGAGTCGCAAGACGCCTCGACCCTGGAGCTCAGACAACCCGTGCCCCATGAGCCAGCGGCCAACGTGCCAACGGCTTAGCATTCTAGCACGCTTATCAAAGCTTTCTCATCAGAGCGGGGAGATGGAGGTAGTGGGTAAAGTATCGACTGAGCTTCATCAGGAAACCGCAAGCAGTCAGAGCTCAACGTGGTGGGGACGGCACCGTTGCCCGTTTAAGCGTTGTGTATCGGAGTTTGCAGACACGCAATTAGCGGGACGGAACGAGAATCGTTCACCATGACGAGCATGAGCACGGCCCCCTGTTGGCCCCATGATCCTTGCTTGGATTCGAATCCATCTGGACTTCAAGGATTGGGGTGCCCTCGGATTGTGTTCTGCACCCGGCTAGTAGCTCTTCTTTGTAGAGCGCGCGATCGAAGCCTTTCATCGATACGTTCCATCCTAGTGGTGCGGGCTCTTGTCCGGTGAATGGTCAGCCTAGGCCAAGGTCGCTGCATGCAATTAAGCGAGTCTTCACCCGCACGAGCACTACAGCAGCTAGGCTGGCATGCAGTGGCTTGCATCGGCGTAACGGGACCACGTAAACTTGTGTGCCGCACAACCCTACGCACAACCCGATTGAGAGCAGGATGCAGTAGCTGGCCTAGAAACCGTTGAGGAGGCGGCACAGTAATCTCAGCAATCCTCAAGGTGCGAGGGCACTTTCAGCTCTGCATCCATCACAATATTCAGAGTTTTCCGGCCCCATCGCTACAGGACGCTCCGGCACTGCAAGCAGGCGAAGTCGCACAGCATCAAGTACTTGCATGAAAGATGGTGTAAGGCCGTGAAGGGAGACGCAGGTACCAAGCCAGCCGTAACGTCAGGTGCACAATGTGATGATCTTGTCGGACCTTGAGAATCGAAACTCTGGTGAATCGAGGGTGCGACGTTATATAGTACAAACTCGCTCAAACGAGATGAAGCTCCAAGCCACCAAATCACCAAGCGCTATGATGTACGGCCGACCACATTGCAGGAGGACGGCGTACTCAAACTTTTTCATCGCGAACTGCAAAACACCGCCCATGTATTCTGGATGGACCAAACTTTTGGCGTGCAAAGCACACGCCGAGTAGCGGATGGTCCCTAGTCCCTCATCTACATTCACGAGCGCAGCGCCGGAGAAATGAAGTCGAAGTAGATGCCTGGGTATCAATGCGGAAGTAGAGAGTCGTTAGTCGTGAATTTAGGTCGTAAATGGAACGCCTTGTCCATGCATTCTCTGTGGGTCGTAAGCGGGCGGATCTTCGCCTCGTATTAAGATGGTCTCGGGTAGGTCGAACGATACAGATGCCCGACTGGGTGCCTGTGGCGAGTCGTACGGAGGTAGTGGGATCATGCGCATACGGTTGTCCGCATCTGCACCATCTCTGCTGCCCCAGGTTGTCTACCTGCCGTTAGCGAGACATTTCAAAGATTAACGGATACGGTGCACGTACTTCACTGAGGGTAACCAGACCCCAGAGCTTAATCGCACCGTGATAGTAGCCAAAGGCGACATACAAGGGATAGAAAAGAGTGGTAATGGGGTAGCGGATGAAGAGTCCCCATATTTTGACCGTTTTGCTGAAGACCAAGGTCCAGAGACATAGAGCAGCCAGCAATAGTATGCGGTGATCTTCTCTCCAGCCTTGTGATGCTTGGTACCATGAGTAGAAGATGAACACGTCGTAAGGCAGCGCCCATGCTGTGATTGTGGTTTGGAGCACAGCGTACGTGCTCCAAGGCTGTGTCCACCAATAGTGACGCTCAATGAACATGCTGGTGAGGTTGCTTCGCCAATTACTGCGGACCCATCGAAGACATTGCTTGAGGTACTTAGGGCCGTCTTCCAACGTTGTGTGAACCTCGGCTTCTTTGTGATACTGCATAGTAATCTGCCAACCATGAGAGTAAAGCCAGCGAGTGATAAAGTTGTCGTCATCTGCATTCAGCTGGTTCGTCTGCCACTCCTCATGGGTAAAGCCATGCGTGAAGGTCTCATCCTGGAGAATATCGGTACGGTAAGCGACGGTTCTTCCGGACAGGCACGGTAGACCACCATCAATATGCAAGCACGCCGAGCAATCGAAGTTGCGTCTTTCGAGGTAAGCAGCACCCAGGAAACTCCAAACACTCCAATACTTCGGCGTCTTCAACCTCTGCGAGGTCCCAACTCCGCCAATTCTGCGGTCCTCAAAGGGTGCGAGCATCCAACACAAGACCTTGGGTGGCCAAATAACGTCGTCATCGACAAAGACGGTGATTTTCGTCTTCACTTCAGGGATTGCCCTGCACATCTGTCTACGCTTGTTGGCCTCCCGGATGCTCACCACCCTGATCCGCTTTGCATCTATGGCGTATGCCAGCTTAGTCAGGGCGTCGACGTTGGCATCCACGGTAGATAGTATGAGCTCGAAGGGGTTGGTCTGCAAGGTGGTGCGGATCGTCGTCTCTAATTCCTCGCCACCAGTGGCAATGGTAACCAGGACGACGGTGGCATCATCTGAGAAGTAAGTTGGTTTTTCGGGGATTCGCCGCGGTCGATAGGTCCAGTGGGATATACAATTAACAATAAGGCGAACATAGCGGAACAACCTGCGGCTCTGCGTTAGCTCACGTGCGTACGCGGTAGAGTGCTCCTTCGCTGTCGAACGTACCAAACAACCACGGCAACGAAGAGCCAGGAAACCATGCTGATACCTGCCACCGAGAGAAAGCAGTGCGGAGATGGAGGCTACATAGAGCACTCGTGAGATTGAGTAGAAAGGGAATTGATCAGAGATACAGTGAAGTATAAGACCTAGCCATTGGCTTCCCTCGGCTGTCATGCAGGCGCTTAGTGTCCGGTCCACGCTCGTGCTCTGTTTGATTAGCATGACCACCGGCGTCCAGCAAGGTCATATGAGATCACCGAGCAAAGAATTGGAGCGTGCATAAGAGCTGCTCGAATTGGTGCAGTCGTGGCTGCAGAAAGCTATGGCTGGCGAGACCCCACTTTATCGTTTGGCTTGCGGTCTCGCCTATGCCAGGTGGAAAGTGGATGCGGGTAATATTCGCCCAGGCTAATAAGTGGTTTGTTGCACGCAGGTTTGCTGTCCAAAGATAGCGGCCGAGTGTTATTCCAGCGCCTGCAACGGCCAATACCTCTCGTGTGGCCGTGACGGGACCACTCCAGAGCTGCTATGGGTCAAACCGGGCGCCAAAAACACACGCTCAAATCTTGTTGGCTCCGGCGGCAAGCTGCTGCGAAACGTGAACCTGTGCTTATTCTGCGTTACCTCTTCTGGACTTCCAACCCCAGTCTTCCCTCTCGGCGTCCACTAGGCCCGTCCGAGACCTGGAGGAGCAGTACACGCGCCTTTCGCAGCGCTAGCTTATCGACGATGGGGACCGTTGGTCCTTGGCCGGTTTCTTCCACTACGGTTAATGACGACTTCCTCTAGCCCCAACGCTAAACAGACGAACCTACGCACGGGCCAAAGCTTCGCGCCATACCTACACGTTTTGCATGCAAATGACACAGACAGTAGAAGTCAGTGTAGCCTGTGATGGTAGCGTTTGATGAGCAGGACATGTGGTTGTACGGCCAGGACTACCGGTGAGTCTCGCTGTATGGCAATCGACCATTAGCGAACAAGGCTGCAAAGATGATGCGGGCCGCGTTACGTTCAGCCGAGATTCTGCAATGTCAACGCACCACGGGCCAACAGGACCCTGTGTGGGGTCATGGCGACTTCATGGCTTGCAGGATGCGGATAGTGCTTGTGAAAAGCTGCAAAGAGGGTTATCGGCTTCTTGATCGGACGATTGTGTGGCGAAGTCGTTCAATACGCGGCAACACTGTAGGCGAGGAGTGTTAGCCAAGATCAACCGCATCTAGCTGGAACGAGTGGCAATGAGGTTCTTGACGTCAAAGCTACAGCCTGCTTGCTGCAATCTTAGGGTAGGCCAGCCAGCGACAGCTCGGACGATGCTTGCATATGCACGTCTCTCGAAAGTCTGGGGTGAACACGTTGAACTGGCGTGCTCGATGATCGACCGGCACGGGTGGAAAGGGGATACGTCTCCCCGTCCTGCTTAATTACGCCTTCACGATGTACGATAACAACACAAGCTGACGCGGGAAGGGCTCGCTTGGGCCGAATCGCGATGGGTAAATTGCAACTGTAGCTCGGCTGGTCAATCTGCACCTAGCAAGTAAGAAGAAGGTGCGCACGATGGCAAAAGTTTTCCCTCGCGCCCGTGAATGCTTCGGCGATCGAAGCTCGAAACCGCCACAGGGAATAGTGACTGGCAACGGGCAGCGGTAGGGGAGCACATGCCGCGGCTGGGGATACGGCACGGCGTTGCACACTGCTGTCAGCTTTGGATTGGTATGTGTTGCCAAGCATACCTTCCCTATACTCCGTCACATCGTTGGTATTTGCGAATGCCTAACCAGTTTCACTTGTGTCAGATCGCCGTGACAGCCATGGTGTCGCGAAGCTCGGCCACGTCGAGTACCCATACTGGCAGCGACACGGTGCCGGCTCGCACAGCGTCATCCGCGTTTCGGCGCTGCAGGTACGCAAGCCATGCGCTTTTGTGATGTCCGGACATTGCGGGAAACGGCGGTAGCGTGGACATTGACGCGCTTCGCGCCTTCTCCACCTGGCAGTGCGCGGCCGGCCAGGAGCCTCTGTGCCGGAGACCGTCATGCTCGAGCGTTCGACAGCGGTGGTCGGTTCACGTAGTTCCGCCAAACTGATAGTGAGGTCGCGTCCGCGAAGTTGTACTGAGAAGGGTCAACAATGAACGCCAAGGTTACCGAAAGCGTACAGTAACAGGTCATGGCCTACACAAATGCATCTGTTATATCTATCAGCCCTAGAACATTGTATCCCGCAAGTCCTCCATCGGGAGTTTGCCAGTGTGGAGACTGTCGCTTCTTCCGGAAGGCACGCTCCGGATCTGCCAAGCCTTGAAGTGGAAAGAGGATCACAACCTGCCGCGGGTGTACTCGAAAGTAACAATGCATCGCTGATTCAGCATACAGCCGGTGCAGCACAGTCAAATCGGGACACGCCTGGTGCGGTTCGTGCTTCTGTACCACAATCAAGCGAACGATGAAAAGCTGAACAGTTCGCACGAGTATTCACAGCATTACATCGCGCTCGACGTACGATATCGACGCACAACCTCTCCGTCTCAGTCGTACACCGCTTTTCCGCATGGCCTCACTACCTCACTCCGTTGTCCGAGAGCCACTTCCGTATCGGGGTTGATAAATTGATCGAAAGAGGCAGTAGCACCTTTAGTGATGCTCGCCGTGTGCACCCCAATAGCCTACAATCTTCAGTCTACCGAGCATCTCGCCAAGACAGAAAAACCCCACAACCTCCGCCGTCACGACGCCGGCTGTCTGCAGAGTTGTTGTGTCGAAGTTCCGTAACCGCGTGAGGAAAGATTGCGGGTTGCTTGCTGCCTCTGTAGCGGCATTTTGTGCCGTGTTAGCGGCAGACGTCGCGGTCGAGGTTGTTCGGGACATGAGGGATGACGGGTTGCGGATCGCATTCTGTACCGGCGTAAGGTACGAGTTGATGGTTTGCATGGTTCTGCGATTGGTCAGTGGACAAGCTACACGGCATTCGAGCATCTTGCATAGCGTACGGTGGGTACATGTTCCGTCCTTGAATCATGAGCCTTCCGAGCTCGCCGGCGACGCGCATGTAGTACATGGTAGGAGGGTAGAGGCCTTCGGGTGACGTTAGCCCCAGGTAGTAGAAGTCCTCTCATATGCGCCTTACTTTGCACGAAGTTCATTGCCTGCCCAATGCGGCCAGTACTGGCAGAGGCAGCCTCGCTAGCGCTCGTTGCTGCACTGCTGACAGCGTTACCGGCGGAGCTTGTGACTCTTGAGAGACCTTGCTGTGCCTTTCCGGCGGCCTGAGACGCAGTCTCCTTCGCTTTCGCTGCGGTAGAGGATGCGGTAGAAGATGCGGTACTGGCGACTTGAGACGTGGTAGACTCTGCTCGTCTTTGGACGCTCCATCGCAGCTGCTTCAGCGCCGTCCGAGGTACGAGACGCGCAGACATCGTGGAAAGCTGCTATGACTGGCAGATGAGGTCTCAATGGCTTACTACTGTAGCTCCTCAAAGATTCTCAGGAGCAGCAGCTGGCAAACTTCGGAAACCGGCCGCAGCGGGAATATCCGACGGCCTAACCTCCTCTAACCGGTGCCATCAAAACTTTTGGGCCGTGCGCATTTTCGACTCGTTTCTCACTGCTATAATGGATCCGCTGAAGCTTTTATCGAGGGCGACGAAGCCGTCGAAAAGCAGATTGCCAGCAGGGTTGTCGAATTCTCCCTCACAGGGTGCGCAGGCTTCTAAGGACGTCAACCCGAGAAAACGCAAACGTGGCGAAGGCGTTACCGACGGAAGCAATGATAATGTGTTCGGTCTTGAGTTCTTCCATCACAATGCAGCCGGTGCTTCGCAACCATTCCGGAACGCGTCACGTCAATCCAAGGTTTCGCAAGACGGAAGCGAAGGCCTAGCAGCGAAACCCGAGACGGCGCTATCAGCTGAATTGCCCAACTCGACAACTCTCGACGGAGAAGCCAAAGCTGTACTCAATCGGCACAAAGTCAAGATCACGTGGCTGAACCCGGGCGTACTTTCTCAGAAGGACAGTCGAAACTGCAGCGCGAAGCGAAAGCCTGCTAAGCCAGCTTTGTATCCACATCCTCTGCACTCAATTGGTGACTTGCAGCCTCGCTTCGATATATCCAGAAAACTCGCATCCAACCTTGATGAGCAGGGTTATGTCGCGCCAACAGAGGTGCAGCTCGCAACCCTGCCGCTCCTGCTTGACCGGACAGACTCCTTCTTACCAAGATCCCTGGACGCCACAGAATCCGGACCGTACGGCCTTGATATGCTTACAGTAGCGCCCACCGGTAGCGGCAAGACGCTGGCATTTCTCGTACCACTGGTACACAAAGCTCGCCATCAGCGGCGAACCAAGGTGGTAGGCGACAACGGCCAAGCCAAGGCGATTATACTAGCACCCACCAAGGAGCTTGTGTCCCAGATTGTGAACGAGGGACGCAAGCTTACGCAAGGTACAGGAGTCAGGGTTGTTCAGCTGCGCAAAGGTATGCGTCTAATTGCGCGTAACGACAGTGACCGTGGGACTGTCGCCGCTGCCGCGGATGCGCCAAGTTCAGGGGTCCGCACAATTGTGAGGGCAGATATACTAGTTAGCACGCCCGGTTTGCTACACGCTATGCTCCGCGACGATGAAATATCATCGGCGGACTTAGTCAATGTTAGCAGTCTGATACTGGACGAGGCAGATGTTCTTCTCGATCCTCTGTTTCGCGAACAGACCCTTTCTACATGGGACAATCTCAACAATCCGGAGCTGAGAGTAAGCCTCTGGTCCGCGACCATGGGAAGCAACATTGAGGAGCTCACAAGGTCAACGCTCGAACGACGGCTGAAACGGCTGCGGGAGCAGCACGGCTTGCAGGTGGAAGAAGCACCCTTGATCCGAGTGGTAGTTGGTCTCAAGGACTCAGCTGTGTCAAACGTGCAGCACCGGCTCGTGTATGCAGCCACAGAGCAAGGTAAGCTCATGGCTTTGCGTCAACTCCTACACCCAACTTCAACATCAAAAGACATTGGTCCATCACTCTTACCGCCGTTTCTGGTTTTCACGCAAACCATAGAGCGTGCCATCGCCCTGCACTCCGAGTTGCTGTACGACATACCTGCAGAAGCCGGCGGCATCAGCCGCATCGCTGTATTGCATGCGGATCTCTCCGACACTGCTCGAGACAGTGTCATGACGCGCTTCCGGAAAGGCGAAATCTGGGTTCTGATCACTACTGACCTGCTCTCTCGTGGCGTTGACTTTCGCGGCGTCAACGGTGTCGTGAACTACGATATACCAACTTCAAGCGCGGCCTACGTTCACCGTGTTGGTCGTACCGGACGTGCTGGGCGGGTAGGTGGGGTGGCTGTAACTCTATACAGCAGGGAAGACATGCCGTACATGAAGCATGTAGCGAACGTTGTCGCTATAGCCCAAAAGCAGCAAGTCAGAGCGGATGGCGGCGTTGACAATCAGCAGTGGTTGCTCGATACGCTTCCCAAGCTCAGCAAGCAAGAGAAGGAGAAGTTCAAGAAGGGTGGCATCGAGTCGAGAACGGCGCGTGGCAAGGACGCTGACCCGAAGAGTGCTCGAAGGGCGCGCATCAGCTCGAAATCGGGCTACGTGCGGCGCGCGGAGAACAATCGGCGGAGCGCCATCATTGGTAACAGGCAAAGAGCGCCGCTCACCGTTGACGGTGGTGACGAGATCGACTTCGTGGGGTTTGACTGAACCTAGGTGCCGCTATTGCAAGTTGACGAACAGTCCACCATCGACCAGTAATTGCGCGCCAGTCACATACTCGCTAAGGTCGCTCGCCAAGAACACCGCTGGACCAGCAAGATCTTGCGTCTTGCCCAAGCGACCGAGCGGTATCCGGCCTTCCATGTATTTCTGCTTATCCGGGTCTGCCAGGTCTTCGTCGTTAAGCTGTGTTCGGATTGTGCCCGGCAGCAAAGCGTTGCAACGGATGCCATATTTGCCAAGAGCACATGCTGTGCTTTGCATAAGCGACAATACGCCGGCCTTGGTGGGTGTATAACTGGATGTGATCAGTAGATGACGTCTGACGGAAGGATGGCTCCCGCCGTGCTTACTGCGTCTGGCCTGCACCACCAACAAGCGCAGAGATGGAAGATATGCCGATGATACTGCCTCCCGATGGCTCCTGTCTCGCCATCTGTTGTGCAGCAGCTTGTACCGCGAAGAAGGCGCCGTTAAGGTTGGTGGAGATGGTGAGGTTCACGAGGTCAGGAGACATCCTACGCTTCCATCAATCCTCAACCCTTCCTCTCCACTGCTTCTCTTCACTCACGTCAGGAAGTCAGCGAACTGGCATACTCCCGCATTGCTCACAAAGATATCCAGCCTTCCTCCAAACGAGTCGACCGCTTTCTTTACAAGCTCTTGTCCCGTTTCCGGGTTTGAGATGTCTCCAGGCACGCCGACCAACCTCGCATCTTTCCCTGCTTCTTCTTGCAGAGCCTTATACTGGGATGCTGACTTGTCATCTGGGAAGTAGTTTACAGCCACACCCGCGCCTTGTCTGATGTACTCCAGTGCTATTGCGCGTCCGATGCCGGTCACGGCGCCAGTGATTGCTGCTACTTTGCCATCGAGCAGCTTAGCCATGATCGCTTGGGCTGTAGAATGGAACGAGCAGTCGAGATGCTGATCGCCCGTGAAAGGAACAGCGCGCTCTTACGCGCACCTGGCTGGTCATCTCGTCGGGTATGGCATTACAACCTACAAGGTCTTTCTTCGGTCCAGTGGTCATGAAGTGGGCTTAGTGGGGCCTGCAGCTCACTCGGCCAGAGATGCACCGAACTGCCGTGTCGCCTGCAACACGCAATTGAGAGCTCAGGAAGCACTGTCCTCGCTATGGCGTAGTGTACTCTACTGACAGGCCAAGACATGTCCGATGCCACCCCGATCCATCATAGACAGCCACATTCACCTCTGGCCGCCCGAAACAAGCAATGATGCCGGACACGCCTGGATGACACCCGGCCATATCCTCGCCAAGCCACATCTACCGCAAGACTACCACGCCGTCACCGACAAAGCACGGTCTGCCGACTCTGAGGGCTCCGAAGTCAGTGGCGTCGTCTACATTGAAACAGACGTCCGCTATGACACTCCCAATAACACGGACATTGCCACCTGGGCTCGCGGGCCCTTAGACGAGATCTCCTTCCTCCGCTCCATCGTCGAAGGCAACTACGGACCCCGCGATGCCAGCACACTCCTCGCCCTTGTTCCATGGGTACCAATGGACCAGCCCACCCCAGTCCTTGAAGGCTACCTCCGCCTAGCCGAAGACCGCGCAGGCCCACACACATGGCAACGTACCCGCGGTTTCCGCTTCCTCCTGCAATCCATCACCCCCCAGTCATCCTTCGAAGCGCTCGTACTAAGCCCAACCTTCATCTCCAACCTGCAACTCCTCGGCCGCCGGGGCCTCTCCTTCGATGTAGGCGTCGACCAGCATTCGGGCGGGACGTGGCAACTACAGATCATGGCGAAAGCGATGCATTTGGCCCATTCCGACGTTCTCGACGAGAAGGACAGGGTTAGGTTCATACTCAACCACCTATGCAAGCCGAAATTCGACGATGAGGTCCTCCCTCAGAACCGTGCTGACTCCAGAAGCGACTTCGATGCTTGGTGCGACGCCATCTCCTCGATGGCAGCCTGCTCAAACACATACATGAAGCTATCCGGTGCGTTCAGCGAACTGCCTCAACCCATTGGCTCGGCGAAGGAGGTGGCGACGGCCATGAAGCCTTGGCTAGCGCACGTACTGGAGTGCTTCGGGCCCAAGAGGGTGATGTTTGGCAGCGACTGGCCCGTTTGTAACGTCGGTGGACCTCAAGGAGAAAGTAGCTGGGTGGCTTGGAAGGACGTGGTCAAGGCTATGTTGAACAATGCGGCGTACGGGTTGAGTGAAGAGGAGAAGGAGTGGATCTGGTGGAGGACGGCTGCGGAGGCTTATCGCATTGAGTTGGGCACTGCGACACCAACATAGCTCGGTTGGCTCGAGCGACCGCCTTTCGCCGCTTGAAGCAGCTCTCGCGTATCTTTCCACCGTACTGATAGAGAAGGCTCTGTGTCCATAGCGGTCAAACTTCCTACCTTCTCACTCCCACCGATGCGTGGAGCCTAAGCCGTGGCCGGCCCATCAACCCGCCCACTTCACCTCAACCCTCCGCCTCAATCTCATAACTATTACTCTTATGCTTCGGCAGGAACTTGAAATCCTTATGCGCCGGTCCGAGGAACATCTCACTAACAAACATCCGAGCAAAGTCAGCAGAATATCCAACCATCACCCCCACACAACTCCGCCTTTGTCTCAGGAACATGGAAACGTACCTGATCTTCACCCAATCCCGATAATCCCCACTACAAAGCAACGTCTCCAACTCGTTCCTGCCCCGAAACGCGGGCGGCCGATCGCCAAACCGCGGCGGCAAATACTCCAGCAAACCCACGGGCACATACCGACACCCGAAACTCAACCACTCCAGCAAAAACCTGCGCGTGATCCCCACGCCAATCTCGTCGCTGCCCCAATACCCCAAACCATTGCGCACGAACTGCTGCACGTACCCCAACCGCTCCGCGGCGCTCTTGTCGAGGTACTGCCCCGCGGCAATCTCCTCGAAGATCCACGGTTTGATCAGGGCGCCGCGGGCGATCATGCAGGAGTCCACCCCCGCCTCCGCGATGTGGGTGGAGTAGTCGAGGTGGGAGAGGATGTCGCCGTTGCCGCAGAAGAAGGGTAAGCCACTCCCCGTGCCTGTGCCTGTGCCTGAGGCGGTGGGAGCGAGGTCGCGGGCGTCGGGTTCGCGGATTGTATCCGCCACGCTATTCCGTTCCGCTTTCAAGTTTTTGACGAGACTGGCGCAAGAAGCGATGTACCCCCAATCCGCACTCCGGGTATACCGCTGCTGTTTACTGCGACCGTGTAACGTGATCGCCGCCACGCCCGCGGGCCCTTCTCCGTACTCCTTCGCTTCCGGTCCACCCAATACCAATCTCTGGACTAACTTCTCAGCCGTCGGTTGTTTATCTCGTGTACCCATGCGGATCTTGACGGTGATGGGTACCTCTCCACTCACGGCGTTCATGCCGCGGAGAGTCTTTTCCAGTTTGGCGGGGGTGTCTAGGAGTGCGGAACCGGCGCCTTGGCGACAGACGAGGTCGATTGGACATCCGCTGTTCAAATCGATCGCCCGCAGACTCGGACACAGAGCTGTCAAAACCTCGGTAGTCTTGAGAGCAAGCCAAGGTTTGTTCGCCGCGATTTGAGCCCCAAACTTCAGATCCTTGCTGTTATCATACCCATACTCATCCACTACGTTCGTCGGATGGTAAGCCGGCGGCGCCATCTCACTCTCACACGCCTTCATCAACGCCCACTCCCCCTTGTCCCCCTGGATCAGCGGCAAACCCATGGCCATCTCGGACCAAGTTATCTGCGCTCCTAGGCTGACGCAGAGACGGCGGAAGGGGAGGTTGCCTTGGGTGGTTAGGGGCGCGAGGACGGGGGTCTCGGGGCCGTAGTGGAGACGGCGTTTTTCCGAGGCGCGGAGGGGCGGGGAGACGAAGCGGGCGCGGTGGTCGTGGATGCCATTCGTGGTGTTGAAAGGACCGTCTTCGGCTTCTATATGGTCGTGCTCGATGGTCACCTTTTTGCCGTTGGTCGGATCAAGGTTCTGGGTATTGAGCCAGTGCATATACTTATCCGACTTCGGGGTGGGAAACTTTTTCTTGCGGAGTTGAATCTTGTCGACATGACTGACCACATTAACCACGCCCACCCCACCACCATCCTCCTCCTCCTCATCCCCACCACCAGCAGCATGACCATTGACCTGCTTGTCATCAAACCCCACCTGCACCAACTCCCTCCTCCCGTCCAACCCCTCCACCTCCCTCGAATGACTCCCCGCAAACCTACACCGCCACCCGGCCGGACACTTGCCCTTCCCCTCCAACTGCGGACACACCCCGCCAAACGTCTCCAGATCCGCCCGTTTGCCTTCGCGCAAGTACTTGCGGATGTCGTGCTCGTACCGACATTTCTCCCCGTACGCGCACGTGATGGGGGAGAACTCGGAGGCGTGGGTGCGGGATTTGCAGAGTTGGATGGCGTCGCGCGAGCTGCCGAATGAGCGGTTGTGGTTCTGTCCGCCTTTGGCTTTGAGGCCACCGCGGCCGCCGACGGGTTGCTGTTGGTGGTGGTTGTGCTTGCCTGCTTCTGCGGCGTCGTCGTCGTCGTTTCCGTTTTCGATTGCGTCGGGTCGTGCGGTTTTGGAAAGGTCGATCAGGTACTCCTTCTTGATCGGGGCGACACCTTTCACTCGGCCCGGTTGGTTGGGAGTAGGTGTGGCTTCGGTGGCAGTCAATGCGGTCTCGTGATCGAGCTTTCGTCTCTTAGGCGCCGACTCCTCTACATCGCCGTTGCTCGTTGCTGCCTCGCCGTGGCGTTCGATCTTCTCCGCTTTGGTCGTTGCTGAGTCGCCGGGAAGGATGTCCAATTGTGGGTTGACTTCTATGGTGGTGTTGTTGGCAGTCGCGGGCTGGAGTGGTGCACCGTCCACCGGGTTCTGTACCATTTCCTCCATGTTTGTTGACGGTGTTGCTCGTGTCGCGTCCAATGGCTGCACCTTCCGCTCCTCGAGCTGTGACAGCCACACGAATTTCACTCGTGCTTCACCCCCACCCCACCATCAGCCCAAGCCACAGTGACGTAGATTGGGGACGAGTTGGCAGGCACAGCCGCTACCGCCGTCTCAGGAACACGTTTTGCTCCCCGAACAATAACGACAACCTTTCCAACATCACCTCCTCATTCTTCGTCACCTCATACACATTTCAGAGCGAGTCGTTCTTGGAAGTGCAAGAGGAGATCAGCCCACCTAACCATCACCACCACCACCACCACCACCACCACCATCATCACCGGCGTCCTGCGGAAGAGCAGGTAACCACCCATCATGACGCTCTACTACTCCCTCGTAAGTACTAAGAGTAGCCATCTTTATCAGAACACCCCCCCTCCCCATACCCCCGTCCAAGTACAAGCAACCGCTACGATGCCCAGCTTGATCTACACCCCCGTACAGCATTCCAAGCACACACTGAGTGTATATCACATGACTAACAGAAGCTGCGGTCGTAGGTATTCGCCCTGCTGGTCTTCGAAATGGCCGTCTTCATGTCCCTCATCATCCCCCTGCCCTTCAGCTGGAAGCGCAAGCTCTTCACCTTCATCTCCGAGAGTCCACTGGTGGCTAAGCTGCAATATGGGTTACGAGTAAGTCTGACCACTCAGTAAGACCCATAATGAAGTCATATTGATGAATGCCGGTTTAGATCACATTTATTTTCATCCTCATTCTTTTCGTCGACAGCGTCAACCGCGTCTACCGCGTGCAAGTCGAGCTGTCCATGGCCAAGCAGCAGAGCGGAGCTGCCGCGTAAGTCCAACTCATCCCCAAGCAAACGTGTCCACTTCCATCTAACACCATATGGTATGATTACAGCGCCGTAGCAGGCAGCGAACGCATGGAAGTGCAAGCCCGCAAATTCTACTCCCAACGCAACATGTACCTCTGCGGCTTCACCCTCTTCCTCTCCCTCATCCTCAACCGCACCTACGTCATGATCCTCGACGTCTTGCGCCTGGAGGAGGAGGTCAAGCGGCTCAAGGGCGACAAGCCGGCCAACGACAAGGCGCAGAGTAAGCTGGGCGAGGCGGGCGAGATGGGCGAGATTGGCCGCTTGAGGGAGGAGTTGAAGAAGCGGGATAAGGATATCGAGGTGCTCAAGAGTCAGAGTAAGGGGTTGAGCGATGAGTATCAGCGGTTGGGCGATCAGTTCCATGTGAGTGACGGCACGCCCAAGAAGAATGTGTAAGGGGGAACATTACCCCAGGGTGGGTATGAGAGTGGAGTGGCAGGGCTAAGGGAGCATCAGTGGGATGTTATGGAAGTGTCCTGAAAGCGGGATGCATGGCTGGAGAACGATCGCTTCGAGGAGCCTAGAAGCATAAGAGGTTGACACGACCGGGCGGGCACGGCGCGGAGCCTGGTGTAACGTGGCCGACGAGGTGCATGAAACTTCACCTACCATTATGAGATAAGAATGTATCAAATCATGCCAAGGCCGACTCATTCCCATCATCTGAAACATACAACCATGCCGAAGTCATCGTGCTCGTTAAAGCTAGTATCTATATCTACGTAACCCATACTTTTGCCTCGTTCGCCCAACTACAGTGCAATTACGGTCGTAGATCTCTCTTTTCGATGAGGTCGGCTCAACGACGGACGAGAAGCGAAGTCATATACCCATCCTCCCCACCATCACTACAACGCTTTCAGTTACCAAGCCGTGCTACTCCACCCGGAGCCCGTACCCTTGACGCTAGTGCTCGTCACACTGGAAGACGCCGCCGAAGTGATTGTCGGACTTACAAACGCCGACCTTGTGATGGTTGTGCTGCTGCTGCTCCCCCCGCCGCCACCGTACCCCCAAACTGACTGACTACTCGTCGCGGTTACTGTCGTGCTGGTGCCGCAGGTGGAGGGCGTGGCTGTGATCGTGGAGATGGAGGTTAGCGTGGAGACTGAGGTGGCGGTGGAGATGGAAGTCAGGGTCGTCGTAGACTGCAGCGCGCTGCCTCCGATGGTTGTGGTGATGTAGGAAGTCTGTGTCGTCGTTGACGCGCTTGTACTGCCGCCGACAACAGTTGTGGTGATGTAGGACGTCTCAGTCTCGGTTTCGGTTGCGGTTGCGGTTGCGGTTGCGGTTGTGGTGGTGTTACCGCCGCTGATGGTTGTGGTCACGTAGGCTGTTTGGGTTGCGCCGACGGCGAGGGTGGTTGTTACGTAGGAGGTCTGGGTTTGTGTTGCACCTTCAGGGAGTCAGCGGTTTTGCGTGAGAATCGGATGGAAATGAGGTGGAATGGAAAGGCTTACCTGACGCGCTGCCGGAAACGGTGCTGTACTGTGTAATCGTCGCACAGACGGTACTAACTCCACCGCTCGCCGACTCAGTCACCGTCGAAAAAGCCGTGGCAGTGGATGTGGCGAACACCGTCGTCGGCGAAGGACTTGCCGAGCAATTGGCTGAGCCGTAAGAGGTCACAATCGTGGTAACCCCGGTGCTACCGGAAGCCGTGCTGACAACCGTGCTGTACGAAGTTGCCGTCGTTGTGGCGTAGACCGTAGACAGCAGGGTGCTGGCGGAGCAGGTACCGGAGTTGATGGGTCCCACTGACGGCGAAGTGACGCACGTGGTTACCGGAGCGGTGACGGTTATGGTGTTTGTTGCTGAGACGTTGGCGAAGACGGTGCTGGTGCTGTACGCTGTGATTGTTGTGGAAGCGGCGGAGGCGGTGAGAGTGGAAATGGAGGTGTAAGTTAACGTTGACGTTTCAGTTGAGGTGGGGCCTGAGACGGTGGAGGGTGTGCAGCTTGGGGTGAGAAGGGAGGTGAAGTTGTACCCTGGGACGGAAATTGTGCGGGTTGATGCAGTGCAGGATGCTGCGGAGATGCTGATAATGGTGTAACCAGGCGCTGTCGAGACAATGGTGGTGGTCGCTCCAGCCGCGGTGGAGATACTCGTGACCGTAGCTCCTGGCGCAGTCGAGACGCTCGTTATGGTGACTCCAGATGCTGTCAACACGCTCGTCTCCGTGACCGTCCTGGTCTCGATAGGGCCGACGCTCGGACATGTCGTAGACGCCGTGGAGTAGGCAGTGATCGTGGTGAGACCGCCAGACGTGCATGGAGATGTCACGGTTTGTACGCCTGTCGCAGTCACCGTCAATGTCGAAACAGAGTAGCTGTTTGCTGAGAAGGTGGATACAGCTGTACAAGAGCCGGAGAGGCTGACGGTGCTCGTCTCGGTAGCGTATTGTGTTGCGAATACGGTCGAGACAGAACCGCTTTCAGTAATCGTGCTGACGAACTGCACAACGCTGGTGGTGACAATCGTCGAAGCCGGCGCGGTGATAGTGGACGTTGAGTAGACTGTCGTGCCCGGAAGCTGCTCAGTGGTGAAAACCGTGGTAGGAGCTTCGAATTCCTGCAAAACGTTGATCAGCTTGCGCCGTGCCAACGCACGCTTGGAGAGCTCCAGACTTACCGTCGTTGTAGACGTGAATGCCGAAGTCAGTGTACTGGTCTGGGTCACTACTGTAGCTAGATCGTGGTCAGCGGAAGCTCGGGGACCAGCGAAAGGGATCCAGGAGCGTGCAAAGACGCAGCTCATAGGCTAGAAGCACTCGGATATAGTATGAACTTACCAGGCAGCGTGACAGTGGAAGTGGCAGTGGTCGTCACCTGCTCGGTTGACGTCGCGGTCGAAGTGACCGTCTGTGTCACTGAAGTTATCTCCTGTTCGATAGAGGTCGCTGTCACCGTGGTTGCTGGCAACGTAGAGTAGATTGTGGTGGACTCCTGCTCCACAGCTGTGCTGGTCACAGTAGTTGCCGCCAAAGTCGAGAAGATCGTCGTAGTTTCTATCTCTTGCGTCGCGACTGTGGTAGTCACAGTAGTACCCGGCAAGGTGGAGAAGATTGTTGCGGTTGAAGTCGTCCCGGGTATGGTAGAGTAGATGGTGGTAGCGCTCGTTTCCTGTTCTACCGAAGTAGACGTCACAGTAGTGCCTGGCAGTGTGGAGAAAATGGTGATTGCGCTTGTTTCTTGCTCAATATACGTAGACGTTACGGTCGTGCCTGGTAGAGTTGAATAGACGGTTATGGAACTCGTTTCTTGCTCCACGGCGGTAGAAGTTACGGTAGTAGCCGGCAACGTTGAGTAAACGGTCGTCGAGCTCACTTGTTGCTCAGTGGACGTGGTTGTGAAAGTGGTTGCCGGCAAAGTGGAGTAAATGAAGACGGAGCTTGTCTCTTGCTCGACCGAAGTAGACGTCACAGTGGTGGCGGGCAACGTCTCGAACACAGTTGTCGAGCTGACTTCTTGCGCCGTAGATGTCACGGTGGTCGTAATACCTGGGCCAGGTCAGTATCGAGCTCATGAATCTTGCTTTACCATGCTAACTTACCCGGCAATGTGACGGTAGTAAGGCTGGTCTGCGTGGTATTGTATCCGCGCAGGGTAGTCGCGCATGCGGTGATTGGGCCTTCTCCGACCGTGGTTGTTAAGCTGTTCGCTGTCAGCTTCCTTAACGAGATGATTATTTCTTGCTTGTTAACGCCTATGTTCGGGTAATTGTTGTCTCGCCGCCAGTGACGGTGACGACAGAGGGTGACCCTGAGATGAACACTGTCGATGTAGACTGCAACACTGTCTTCGTAGACGCTGCATCCCGTCAGTTAATAGCCTTCACACATGGATACAAACAGACCAACCTGGCAGTGTTACGGTGCTCACAAAGCCGAACTTCGTGTATGTGGAGATCGATGTCGCGGTGACTGTTGCCGCAGCGCATGTTGAAGTCGAGCCGTAGCCCCAGCCAGAACTTGATGAGGTAGTCGCTGGCGACGAAGCAGCCGATGAGGAGGACGAGGAAGCGTGCCAAGATCCACCGCCATTACCCCATCCGTCTGGCACAGCGTCTCGTCGCTGCTCACGGTGCCATGGCGAGCCAACTGCCGTGGCCACCAGGCCGGCAAGAATAAGCTTGTGGATCATATCGATTGTAAGAAATCAGTAGCAAGTAGGGTTTTGCTCTCACTGTAGAAAGAAAGTGGAAGCGAGAATATAGGAGCGAGAGAGAAGCGAGCGACAGGTACAGATCGAAATGGCGTACGTAGAAGAGCACTTATACCGTAGATTGACCGCTCACGCTTGTTGCAGCGGGATTGCTTATTACACAGCATGTCTATAACGGCAGAGGATATGCATTTCTGCAGCGGTCTTGCAGTATGCAGTACGTGTGTAGGTCAGCATCATGTTGAAGACGCTGTGCCGCCAGCCTGAAAGGCCAGGATCTTTCGCCAAGCATATCGTTGCCAGAAACCCGAGTGGCGGCGAGTGCATTTACAGCAGCAAATACGGAAGTGCACACTACCAGAAGTGGTCGATCCACTTGCTCGCATCCGCGTGGTTAGATGCTGTGGTGACATAAGGAGCTAATAGGGTAAGAAGACGGGATGTGGCGTTCGCAGCGTCTAGAGTCCTTCACGAGACATGCAGCAATGCAATCACTTCGGTCGTTGTCTTCGGTCGTCAGATGGAATTGCTGCCGGGTAGCCTGACGTTTGGGCGAGTCGCCATCAGTACGAACTTTCTGGTCGCAATCTCACTTCCGGCTCGGGCTCTCTGTGCGATTGTATACATCGCTGTGGGTTAGAGCACTTTGGTGGTGGATTCATGCTGCAGCCACGTCGTATTTTTGCTGCAGGAACAACCAGGGTCCGCTCGAGACAAGTGCCCATCCTACCATTAAGCAAGCAGTTACCAAACTTTTTTTGCACAGCACGTAGACCACGTTGCGCACACGATAATGCGTGCAGGTCGGGGTGTAACCGTAGTGTGGGGCGGCGAGTATACCGGAAGTTCCACCACCGCGTGAGGTGGCGAGGTACCTCGTAAATCTTCATCTACCAGATCCAGAGAGTTCGGCATGCGGTGCGGACACCGCTGAGAAGTAGCGCAATGCAGTGCTGGAGAATGAGCCTGTCATATGCACGAATGCTTTGCCATTCCCAGGGAGTACGGGTACAGAGAACAATGGGCTTGCTGTCTGTGGCCTAGAAGGGATACTGCGGAGCCATGACTATCTGCGATTCCGTCGCCCACTATGGCCAGGTCATGGTCGCCATGCATCGTCCGACCACCCATGCTTCGACAAAGGTGTGTACCAGGCTGCCGGGGGCTATGCTTTCATCTCATCTCGTAAATGCGGTGGTGGCCGCTGCCTGCCTCGTTTGGTCGCAGCATGGTACCTGCAGCTCGTGCACTTCGTGCTGGCCACAAGACATAACGAAGCTGCGGTGTCAGGTGTACCCCTAACAAAACTGTCACATCGTGTCGCTCGGGTCGGAGCAAGACCATGCGACGACTTCCCCCAACATCCATAAGTTGCTGAGTTGGCAAAGTGTATTAGGGAGAAGTAAAGGTGATCGGGCATGTAGTGTGCAGACTTGGGTGCATCTACGAAACCCCCCACTTTTGTGTCACGTGACATGGCTCGATACGAGCAGTGCTCCTCGAGCATACTCACACATAAACATTACTCGAGCAGTGTAACAGCTAATCACTCGTCATTTAGACCGTACAGAGCAAAGTTCGGTGGATGAGCGTCAGTAAATATCGGCGATGATCATGCATAGATTAATGCATCGGGTAGGCATGAATAGTTGTGAGACATCCTGTACACTGTGCCACCGCCCAACGCGACACCTCAGCACAGGTCGGGACGAGTCTCATGACGAACAGTGAAGGGCTTATCGATGCAGCAAAGCGGCGTTGATGGAATGAAGCCTTTTAATTTGCCTGTTCCCGAAGCCTTCAGGTACGCTCGAGCGCCAGTTCATGCAAGCGTAAAAGCAATTGCAGCAGAGTACTGCAAACCCTTGGCGCCATCGCCATTCCACCACACGACGAACGCAATGATCTATTTGCCCTTCTTCTCCTTTGCGCCACCCTTCGTCTTCGCAGTACCTCGGAACTCCTTCGACCGGTTCTTCCTCTGCTTGCCTGTTCCAGTATGTCAGTGGATGTGCAGCGATAGCTTGACCAACCCGTAGCCGCTTGGGGTTAAACATACGTTGCTGTCTGCTCGCCTTCTCAATCTTCGAAGCCTGCCCGTACCGCACCAGCCTGTAGTGAGGCTCAAACTTCTTCATCGCCTCCTCCGAGTCGTAAATGAGCGCAAATCCAGTGCTCTTGCCGCCACCAAATTGTGTCCGGAAGCCGAAGCATGAGACTTGGTCCTTTGAAGCCTTGTAAAGTTCGGAGAGCTTGCCACGTAGCTCGTCTTTGGAGACATTCGGCCGGTTGGGGTGGAGAACATCACTGTACCAGCTTTACGTTAGTAGATTGCTTGATGATGGCAGGTGTAGCAGCACAGCTGGTGCAGTATCTGCCGCTGCCGAGAGGATGTACGCACACGACCATCTGCTTGCGGCCGAGGAGCGGGTTGCGGATGAACTTGCGCGTGCGCAAGGTCACTTGACCTTCCGACATGATGGTGTTACTCGGTGTTGATGTAGGCGTCGAAATGTAGATGAGCGCACGCCTGGAAGCTGGTATGGTCGTTGACTCTGAATTTGGCGACGAACGTGGTGCGGAGTCTGCAAGTCTTGGCGTTGCCTCAGGCTGCCAAAACTCCGTTTCCAAAAGCTCCCGCTCTGCAAGTGACACAAGCGATGGCAATCTATCAGGCGAAACGATCGTATATTCTGGAGAAAGCATTATGCATTGGGCATAGTCGACGGATATAGAGAGAGGCTGTCGAGAACTTGACCACATGGATTTGCAGCTTCGCCTTTTCCGTCGTCAGTATCTGCAGCTCGTCGAGCCAGACTTTCTTGCCTGGCCGCCAAAACAACTTCTTCGAGACGCAAGTGTTCAGACGTGGCTCTACCGGGCTCTATTTAACTCTGATAGAGTAGCGAGGCTTCCACCAGAGCGCTACCAACTTCGTGTCCTCAAGCCATTGCTCGCCAGAATCGAGCAGTCCATCGAGGATCCCGAGGAAGATGTAGGTACTCATTGTGTTTTCTTTTATCTTGTGTCGATGCATTGTTCATACCTTCCTACTTTCCATGTCTGATTTGCTGTCGTCCGGTAGGAGATCTCAGACCAGCTTATGTCGCATCTTTCCGCACTTATGGCTACAGCGCTGCCTTCCGAGATGGCTGCTGCGCAACGGAAAACGTATGTCACGTTCACCTGCATAGGACCAGGCCAAGCTGAAGTAGGCGAGACGGACGATCCTACAATCACCCTTCTGGAGCGGAGACACTTGATATCCGGCTCACAGACTACAGGCTTCCGGACATGGGAGGCTGCTTTGCACCTTGGCTCGTACCTATTGACTTCGCAGGGCTCAGATATTGTACGTGGAAAAAGCATACTCGAGCTTGGAGCAGGAACTGGCTTCCTTTCCGTTCTCTGTGCCAAACATCTTCAAGCCAAGCATGTCACGGCGACGGATGGCGACGAAGGCGTAGTTGAGGCGTTGAGGGAGAATCTGTTCCTCAACAATCTCGATGACGAGCAGCGAGTGCTTACGAGCATCCTGCGTTGGGGCAGAGGGTTGAAAGGGACTTGGGTTGAGGAAGACTGTGAGGCTTGGCCGTATGACGTTGTCATCGGAGCTGACATTGTAAGCTCTACAACGCATGCTTCGCTATTACGTAACGTTGCTCACTTTTGTCAGACGTACGACAAGGTCGCCATCTCAGCGTTGATCGCTACACTGCGTTTCCTCTTCGATCTGCGGCCGTTCCTAATCGTAATCATTTCTGGCGCGGTGAGGAACGCAGATACATACGATGCGTTCCAGCAAGGTTGCAGTGAGTTGGAGAGCGGTTGTAAGCCCAAGGCACGAGACTCGCTGACCCGTCATGTAGCGCGAGCCGGCTTTGTAGTCACAGAGGTGGACTTCCATGCGAAGCCCTTGCGTGAGCAGAAAGCGTTATTCTATGCAACAGCAGTACCAATGAAAATGGTAAGCATCACAAAGCCGCGACCGGATCAAACCTAGTATATTGCGTCACTTTGAGACAGAGTAGTTGATCTAGCATTTGTGTGTGAAAACTATATTCCTGCTTATGTTGAATATGGTCATACACTGCTTCCTTTCGCATCGAAGAGCACGGATAAAGCGGCTAATCTTCGGCACGCTCAAGAATTGGTATATATGAACATAAGAAATTTTTAGCGACAATCCAAGGCTCCTGCCGGGGTAGCTCAATCGGTAGAGCGTGTGGCTCTTATTGGAGAGACAACCTCAAGGTCGCGGGTTCGGTTCGTCTAATATAATCGATAGACATCTTCGAATCATCACTAATATCTAATAGAGCCCCGCCTTCGGCTATTCCTATCCAAACCACGCAGTGGTTAATCGAAAGGCAACCAAGGCTCACTGCACCTTCATTTTTTTCTCTATTGCATGGCGCATCCCTCCAGCTTCTACATTGTCATTGTCGTTGTCAGCCCTGTACAGAGCTTTCAAGAAGCAGCCTTAGAGGGGTTTGATTTTGGTCGTGAACGACACAAGTGGTTCTGTATTGCCAAAGGCTCTCTTTCATCTATTGCTACAAACAGATATTGACACACAGCCGTTACTATCACAGGGCCTAACCCTCTGGACATCGTCCGGCCCAACGGAACAATTCACGCTCTGAACATTGCCCAAGAATCTCAGTGCCAGGTATGGCATGTCGTTACGCCTGATTTTGCACCTGCAGTTCCCAAAAGCGCCTCACGCAATTCGCTCGGCATTCCAGTGCCAACAATGTCATGTCTCTCAGCCTAAGTACGCCGTGGTACTCCGGTCGGATGCTGTCAAAGACTCATCCCACCCATCTACTCCAGCCGCAAGCCGTTGTGCCGCGCCCAGATGCGTAGTGTCAGTCGCGAAACGACAGCGTACAAAATGCTCAGCGCTGTGCCACTGTTAGCTATGCCATTTCCCACGCATACAGAACTACCTTACCCGCCCTCTCCTCTGCTGCCCATGCATCTGACTTTGCGCATAGTACTGCGCAGCTGGGTGCATCTGATACTGCCCGTACCCATTCATGCCATTCATGCCCATCATCGGGCTGCCAAATCCTTGTTGCGGGAAATTCGGCATACCCGGCGTCACCATTGACGAAGCGGCCATGTTCTGCCGGTACGGATCCATCGTCTGCGGTGTTGGCGGCACACCCCCGTACCCCATCCCATTCGCCATAGGTGTTGCCATCGACTGCGGCGCGCCGTAAAAGTTCTGCGACTGTCTCCGTGCTGCCTGTGCCTGTGCGAGCATGGCTTGCTGATATTGTATTTGTGGGTTTATCGGACTGATGCCGGCTACGGACATGGCTGGGCTGTGCGTGTATTGTGGCGTGATCAGACCGTTGCCGTACGCATCGAAGCTGTTTGAGTCCATGCTCGCTGTCCGCTGCAGGTGCGGACTCATGCCATCCATTTGCTGGTGCTGAGGCGTCACTGCCGCGTACGGCGGCCTGGCGTATCCATTCTGAGTCGTATCAAGCGCGGGTAGGCCGTTCATCTGTCGTGTCTTGGAGTTGGACCTGCTGTTATGATTGACTGGTGTGCCGCCGTGCCTCGTCGATAAGCCCACCTCCTCCATGAGCCTCTTGTAGCCCTGCGATGGCTGCACATTGAGCTTTAAGAGCACATTCCGCACGTTCTCCGTGCATTCAGGACGAATAGTGTCATCCAGGAAAGGCGTTGTGAGAACCTTGAATATCAATGTCGCACCACACTGTTGGTCGCTAATGATGTCAGTGAGAGTCTGCTCGTCGAAGAACAGCGCACGAAGCATGCTGTCTCGTGCTTCGGGTTCATTTCGCTGATTGATAATCTTCAGCACGGTAAGATAAGCCACCTTGTGCGTGCAAAGGTGCACTAGATGTGGTATCAGTCGTGGTGCGAGTACAGATCGTCTCCGCGGGAAAGTGCAAGTATCAAGGAACCATGTCAGCAAGAGCGCGCCGTTCGAGTTCGTCGCAAGCTGGACGCTATGCAAAGTGATAGCGGCCGCCATCAAGCGCTTCTGGTCGTTCGTAGCAAAGTGGCTTTCCAGACACGCTCGCATTGCTCGTGCACCAAAGCGGCCTTGTGCGACGTCCCACAATCGGTTCAACATCGTATCGAAGATAAAGTCGTTAGCCGGCGCTTGGAAGCGTAAGCAACACTGAATGACATAGTTGCCATACTGGTCCAGGAACAGGTTGACACAATACGGTCGTAACGCTTCGATGATTGTGTGCGTCTGCTGCGGCGTCCTTGCCACATCGATGATCTTTTGAGCCGCCCAGGTGCCATTCTTATGTACGCCTATCTCGGCGAGATGAGGTGCGATCTGCACAAGCATTGCCTCCTTGGTCTCTTCCGAGCAGTGTTGGAAAAGTTTCTGTACAACAGTGTTGCCCAGATAATCCGATGCCAGCTCAGCAACTTCCGGTAGCATTTCTGCAGCTATACCCTCGAGCTCCATAGGTGTGCATGAGTTGTTGTCAATGCGCTTACGAATATCCCGCAGCCGCGGTGCGTCGTGCATGCGGTTGTGGTTCGGTTCGGGAACGGGCGGGATCTCGTGATAGTAGGTGTTATAGCTCATCGCACCATCAAGCATCGCTGCAATCCGAGCCTGGTCCTCATCCGTGGCCCCAAACTGTTGCACAATATGATACACCTCATCACGCAACTCGAGTAAGTCCGGTGTTGCGAGAGCTGCGGCTGCTGTTTCGGCGTTAATATCCACAGGCTGCGGAGCCATTGCAGTTGTGCTGTCGACTCTTTTGGTCACGAAGGGATCTGGACTCGGCGAAGGATACGCGCCGTTAGCGCCAGGTGTGTTCGAAGCGCTTTGTTCTTTGGCGAAGCCGATCCGTATTGGGCCGCAGCCTGGGAAGATCTCCTTGCCGTTGCACTGCGCCTTTGCGGCGATAGCGCTTTGTATGTTCTCGAAGTTGACAAAACCACAGCTCTTGTGGGTAAGCACCCTTGCAAACTCAATCGCGCCGAATGAACCAAAGATTACATTCAGTGATGAGACCGTGGTGGAGGAAGGGACGTTGCCCAGCCAGAGTGAGCGTGTGGGATGCTCCATGGTTGAGTCGAAGCCACCCTCATACGATGGCTTTGTGTCAAGTGTCATGTTCTTGACCGCTCCGCTGAGGTCATTGAAGTCAGACCCATCGTTGCTTTGAATGTCGGCGATACTTATGCTGTTATCGAGCCTTGATGGTGTGGGCAGGAAGGCCCGCGAGACTCGAGACGCCGGTGAGTCAAGGACGTTACCGGCGGTGCGAGCTCGCGGTCTGTTCGCGCTGGCGAAGTTAACAAACGCTTGCACTTCCAGATTGTGCTGGCGAATCTCCTCATGGATAGCGGCAGCGCGGGCAGCTGCGGCTTCGGCGCTTGGAGTTAATTGTCCGCTGTAAAGTCGCTGCGCATCACCGTAGTCGTCTATTAAGTCTTCGTCTCCGTCTACATACTTCTCCTTCGCATTAACGGAGAAGGATCGGAAGCGGTTGGCAAGAGCCTTGGTATCATACGCGTTCAACGCCGCCAGATCTGCGACCGTAATGCCGTGAGGCTGGCCAATGCGCTGCTGTGGTGTGTCTGCCAAACCGAGGTAGTCCAGTATCCTGGCATCGTTGTCCCCAGGCAAGTCTCTTGGTGAAGAAGGCGCATCTGACGATCTGATGCTCTGCAATGTGCTCGCCCTATCACGACCTGCCATCCAATTGCTTGCGAAAAGGGATGCACCAAACGGATTCGCACCACCCAACACATTCCGGTGTGGCATGGAGCCAGCCCTCAAGCGCGATAGTAGCGCAGCATGGCTGGACGACATGCCGTTTTGCAGCTCTGCCGGTGTTGATGGGTTGGACTGATAAGGACTTGTCGATGACGGAGGGCGGCTGGTCTTAGGTAACAGCGAAGTTTGAGATCCATTGAGCGAGCTAACAGGCGGGAAGCGTGAAGGCACGGTCCCAGCTCGAGCTCTGCGGGTGGAACTTGCCCCGGATGCGCTGCTGGAAGCGCCAGCAGTTGTCTGACCCGCGTCAAAGCCCGGGAAGCTATCACTGCCTGGAGATTCAGGTATGGTCTCGCGAAGAGGTGTAGAGTGGCCGCTTCCAGTCGTAGGTGGTCCCCAGACCTGAGGTGCAAGGCCTTCTTGCGCTTGTATTTCGCGAGCTCGCTTAGGGAAAAGTCGGCTACTGAACTCTTTAGACGGAGACCCTGCTCCGGTTCTACCAGCAGCCGCCTGGGCCGCTCCACTCCCAAGGCCGTTACCTAGCGGATAACGTAGGCCTGAACCCGCAGGCGGCTCGATGGGAGAATTAGCTGCGGACGTGTTTGCGGAGCGGGCCTGACTCGGCGGATTAAGAGATCCAAGGCCTTCCAGGTTCATCTTAAAATCCGGTCGCGTACCTGGCGCCATTGTGTTGGTGTATGGTTAAGATGGTCTGGCTCAGAACTGTGAAGGTCACCTCACAGGAGTTCCGGGCTCCGCGCGTATTCTTAAGCTAGCACAGGGTGTCGGTCATTGACCTCTTCCAGGCTCGCCACTGCAATGCTTCCGAGCTCCTCTACTGTTCTGGCCGTCTCTAGGCGTTTGGCCGATGCAGCGATCAAGTGCTACTTCATCCGCCGTCGCTCACGTGTCTCTTTTGCACCTCAGTCACTAGCCCCGTTCCTCCTTCGTAGGTGTACAAGTTGACAAGGAGTGGTAGTCCGGTAGATGTATAGGAGGGTGCGATGAACAGATGCCGTGAAATATGAAACGCTGTGGTGTTGTCAGACCGTTACCGTGGTTGTTGAAGATTATGGTACCATATGCTTAGGTAGGTCGAATAGACAGGCTTCGCGGCCTTGAGTCGTACAGTGGCGGCTGACCTGGTGAAGGAGAGTATAGAGCGGAGCCACCTGCAGCGCTACACAGCGCCAGAGACACCGAGAGCGTACACAGATGTGCAAGGAGGTCTCAGACGTGGTCGTCAAGGTGAATGCTTGGCAAATGATGGCAAGCGGCTTTTTGGCGCGGTTTCAGAAGCGACCAAGGGTTCTCGGAAGTTTCGGCCGCTTGATGCCTCGTCAAGATCAACTTGCTCGGCCAGCGATGTGAGAATCACGATCTCGCACGAGATGCTACCAGAAGGATAGAGGGCGAGAAGAGATGCTGAGCGTCTCAGGAGCTAACGGAAGCGGTCGAGTGTACCAAGTACCGACGATCGCTTCTCAGTGGCTAGGAATCTGAAACCACAGCTCCTCGAGCCCTGCATAGAAAGCAGCGGGTTGGCGCTTGCGAATCGTGTGACGGCTTGCTCGACTTGGCGAATGTGCTGCACGCTCTTCGGCATACCACCGATCAATATTCATAGAACGGGAAGACGCCTTCGCAACAGGAAGCGACCATTGCAATCATCTGCTACGGGCCACAACACTGCCCGTGAGCTGAGCATATTCTACAGCGTCTATGGGTCGGATACTCGGAGAGCCTCCTTTCAACCATGTGCGCTGCAGTATCTCTTCGAGTAAGCGCTACTCGCATCGTGACAAAACCGATTTCATCACCTTAAGCAGCCTTTCATAACCATCTCGCTCCCACTTCACACATCTCCATGCGATGAAATAATCCGGCCGGACCAACACACACCCTGACTCGGAGATTCCTCGTAGCCTCGCCCATTCCAGATACCGGTCTTCATACTCCCTGCGGAAGCCTATCTGGTGAGCCGCAATAGGCACTCCAAGTTTGGCCGACGCGGTCTTGGCTGCTGCTTCCCAACCGTCGCCCCCAATGCCGGTAAGAAGCACGAACCGACCCTTTCCAGCCAGATCAATGGTAGAGATGGCCTTTGAGGGTACAGCTTTGCTTAGCCAGGCGTGAGGTAGGCGCGCTCCCGGATATGTGGAGGGGTGGTAATGCTCCAGTGGGTCTCTGTCGAAAGGTGGAGGACCGCCTGTCTCGTCATGCGTATACACCGCGCTCGATACGTACCGTTGGTTCATCTCGATACCGAGTCCATGCTCCTCACGATCAATGAGCCGGAGCGCCGCTTGGAACTCTGCGCGGCGCTGTCGCCCGCTGTCACTGTCTTCTTTCAACACGTCCAATGCCGCCTTCCCGGCTTCGGTCGTAGGCTCAAAGCTTCCAAGCAAACGCCAGATATTGATATGATTTCGCAGCGACGCATTGGCCCTACACTACGGTCAGCCTCTTGGATCGGAGATCGGTGTTCAACAAAGCTCGCAACTTACTGCGTGACTACATCCAAACCTACCGGCTGCCGCTCATCATTGTACGAGTCCAGCAACGCTCTCCCAGCCCATCCACGATGAACATACGCAACTTTCCAGGCCAGATTGTGAGAGTCTTGGATGCAAGTATTTGAGCCCAAGCCGTGATTAGGCGGATGACGATGCACGGCATCTCCTAGGCAGAAGACATCACCCTTCGAGTAAGCGTCGGCTGACGTTTCGTTGATAGCCCACGTGGAGACTCCTTTGATGGTGAACTCAATCGAGTCGTCACCGATGAGCTCACGCACCCGTTCAACATAGTCTTCCGGCTGTCGCGCTTTCCTTTCGGCACTAGGCTTCATGAACAAGATACAAAGCCACTCGTGCCAAGGCTTGACCATGCGTATGCAGCCTATCCAGGCCCAGTCCGGCGTCTGTTGGTCAGGTTGGAGCAGCCAGTGCAAGTTACCCATGCGATTCTCCATCAAGTGCGCCATGTCTGCTTCAATGAGAAGGTTGACTGCAAAGCCGCCCCCAGGTTTGTCGGTGAAGGGTAGCTGCAGCGCTTTCGCAATTCGGCTGCGCCCGCCGTCTGCACCAAAGAGGTACCTGCAATGCACGTCGTAAGTCTGGTCGGACAAGAGGTCACGTAAGGTGCAGTTGACACCCGAGCCATTGGGCAGTTGCTTAAAAGATACCAACTCCGTATCGAAGCGACAGTGGAAACCGTTGAGCGTGGCGTACCGAGTCAGTATAGGCTCGAGCAATGTCTGTGGCAAGTCCAATGGCTGTGAAGGGCTCGCCAACTCATAGTCACCCTGCGATCGCCGGTCAGTTAGGCCGAGCGAATGGAAAGGGCTGCAACTAATCACTCATGCGAACCTTTCGATTCGGAGAGTTACCCCACGAGAATATGCGTGCGTACTCCTCTCCCGCCATGCTGTGAGACCACCGAGTGTGCACCATGCAGTCTCCAAGAGTGCCGATGCTGTAGCAATCCTCGTCTAAACCTACGTCTCGCAAGCAATCTAGCTCTGTTAGTAAAGCGGTGCTCGGTACCGCAACCCCACGTGCTTGCGCTTACCTATGGCCGCCATGTTGGTGATATGAGCTCGCGGTGTATCCGCGGTACTGGCTGCCTTGCTGATCATCAAGCCTTTCAGCCCTGCATTTGCATTAACCACGGTGTAGCAGAAGCGTATCAAGCATGAGTATACCATTGTGTGCTAGAAAGGTGGCTAAAGAGCCCCCAGCAGGCCCAGTGCCAACAATGAGGTAGTCGACAGCCCTCACGCCATTGCTGGTATGCTGTGACAAGGCTTCAGTGCCGTTAATGATGTCATTCGATGCCATGCCTGGGATGGGTGAGGACACGGTGGCATTGCTAGTACCAAGGAGTCCATCCTTTAACTGACCATATTCTACTATGGGACTGGGTGCCCCGTCGCGGACTGTCTACGGTGGGGAGTGTTGTCCGGGATATCGGCCAATCCCATTCAGACGGCACGGCTCCGCATGGGGTCTAATGGGGTCGCATTCACTTAATGCTCAGCGACCCCGCCGGGACCCCAGTTATTGGCTTTGGGGCAATAGATCGTGCAGTGACACAGGAGATGTGCGGTCCAAAGGATGAACTTGCCGCTCAAGCTCACCAGCATATGCGCCCTACAACCCTTCTGCAGCTTCTGGAAACGTGTGGATGCAGATGCACCGGCTCTACCGTAGAGACCTCTTGACCGCAGCGTAAGTAGCCCGAGCTTGGTCACGGCTAAGGGCGCGCAAGGCTGTTGGAATGCGCGTGGAATGCGCATGCTGCTATGACAATGGGCAGCAATGTTGAAAAACCGAAATATTTTACGTTACAATGTTTTTTTGAACAATCATGAATCATGATTTAGACCGTACTGAGGTCCGTGTCATCGTACTTAGCAAACACGTCTCGGCACGCCGCCAGGAATGCCTCGTCAATGGCATTGCGCCTCGCCTCTGAGCGGACGTTCAGCGTGATTGGGAAGTCTTTTGCGCTCAAAGTCAGACCCTCCCGGAAGCCTGTCTCCACGCTGCTGTCGGGGACAATGGGCTGCCCAGTCTTCGTATCCACAGCCATTTCAATGTCGAATGCCCACAGCATCTTCGATACCACGTGAAAGAGGTTACGTTCCCTAGCATCGATATGTTAGTATCTCGAAGATCCCTAAACGATTTGTGTGGTCCTCCTCATGCTTACGCCAGATGGATTCCGGGACACAGACGACGCCCGTTGCCTAACACCAAGTCAACAACAGCGCTCAACGAACATCATTGAGTGGGCCGTAACCTACCATATGCAAAGTGATCACGCTTCCCAGGGTCTGCGCTGTTTGCGTATTCGGCGGAGAAAGATATCCACCCTCGATATCGGTCAGGGTCGAACTCTGCAGGATTTGCGTACATGGACTGATCGTGATGTAGACCCCAAACATTCAGCAGCAGCATGGAGCCCTTTGGAAGCATTTTGCCCTCTACCCACAGATCTAGGGCGCCAACTGGTCAGGTGGATGGTCTCGACGTGTCAAGAGTTTTCAAAGCATACCTTCGGAAAGCTGATGTGGCACGCCGACGCCGACTATCGGGCGCCATCTCTGGGTTTCTTTGATGATAGACATGATATACGGAAGCCTGTCGTAGTCGGTGTCGTCTGGTAGACGGTCCTCTGGAATCACAGCGTCGATCTCAGCTTGTGCCTTCTTTCGGATTGCGGGGTGGAGGATCATGGCAAGGACGAAGGAAGCAAGCACGGCGGCGGAGGTATCGGACCCGCCCTTCATCGTAACACCGGCAAGGTTTGAGATTTGGTGCCTCGTCAAGGAAGTGGTACCCTGTTGGTCCAACAGCCGATCGATCACGCTGTTCATGGGGCCTGTGCGCTCCCTCCTGCGCAGGACTAACTCATGCAACCCGTCGTAAAGTGCACGCATCTCATCATGGACGACTGTAGCTCGTGAGATCCAGTTTCCCAGGAACCGCTCGGGTACCCACTTCAAGGCAGGAATCACGTCTACCGGAGGTGTAGCGCCAAAGGCATTGATGGCTGCCCAGTTGCCCAACAGCTTCTCGAAACGCTGGAGGTACTTGCCGTGTATACTCGGAGAGCGGATTCCGTAGACTTTGTGGGCAGTCAGCGCTGGCCTTTCCAACCCCCAAGAAATCAATTCAGAAGCTCGCCATACCTATGCAGAGTACGATGCTATTTGTGAAGCGTTCGATGTGCCTCCTCCAGTCCGATGGCGTTTGCAGCATATCATGTAACATCTGGACAGACTCCGCATGTTGCAAGGGCGCATGCAATTGCTTACACTTTCCTTCCGTCAGGTCAGCATGTATGAGTTTGCGCAGAAGACGCCACTCTGGCGTAGCGTCCATCCAAAGTAGGTGGTCGCCGCCTGTAAGCAATTCTTGCCGGAGTACGCTGGTAGGCCGGTCGCTGGAGATAGAACTCTTCTTGTCCAAGAGCTCCTTGACTGCGTGTCGGTCGCTTAAAACGATTATGGTGCTGGGTCCGACCTTGAGTGAGTAGATGCCACCGTACTGCTTCGCCCACTCGGTGAGTCTATGTTGACCGTCAGCTTTCACACCCGGCACGCAGTCTTCACGCACAACCCACTTGAAGAAGATCTTGGTGGTTGGCATTTGAAGCATATTGCCAAGGAGCGGTACAGTGGGAGGCCCTAGTAAGCTATTAGATAGTACCGGCTACGCGCATGGTGTAGGACTCGCCATCAGGCATATGGCGGCTCCTTTGGCCAATGGTCGCGCAGGCATAAAGCACAACAATCGCAATCGTGCTTGCAAATATGAGAACAGGGAGCATATTGACAATGTGAGTGATGGCCAAGCTGTTTTTCCGTAGCGTCGGACTTATGAGGCTTCGGCAAAATTTGCGAGATAGCAGGCTTGTGTGCCAAAGTTGGCTGATGGTACGACTCACAACTATGTGTCCACTTGGGAAGTGGAACGCGTGGAATTCCAGCGCCCACATATACTTTACGCCCATCTCCACAAGGTATGTTACACTGCTGGGGAAGTGCGGAGGCTGTGCCTGCCACTTGCTTAGAACTACCCCATGGGGGCCGAGCCTGGACGTAGACTTATGCGTTGACACTCAACTGTATTACCATTGGAACACTAGACCCAAGGCTGCCGTACTGGTAGCGGATGGGACCGACAGAGCTCTTACGCAGAAGCGCTGAGAGTCCATGGGACACTGAATAATCCAGGTGACCTCGAACAGTGTGTCAAGCTAGATCCGACGGGCACATTGCTGCTATTGATGACAGACAAGATGCTAGCCAGCTAAACTGGGAGCGCGCGAGTCAGAGGACAATGGGAACATTGCAGGGAGACCACAATGGCGGATGTGTTGTGAGAGGGAGACCACGCCGAAGCGGCCACGCTCAGAAATGCTGCGTCATACGCAGATCACCCTTGGCAGGCCAAGCTAAACTTAGAACGCCACATAGCCCTATGCGGATCGGTGAATCTGAGCACTCATCTTCTCAACAGTATAGAAGCATTACAAGACCGCCATATACACATACTCGACAGCCTGCAGCAGTTATGAAAGTGCTATCTCTGCCACTATCCCTTGCTACCTCTCATTACCGCTAGCTGGGAGTTCACCAGCACTTCTCCCAAGATACTCCTTCAGAGGTTTGCCCTGAATATGGACCGGATTGGAGTCTTGCAGAACGTACACCACTCGAACCCATTCCTGGTCACTCGGGTTTCGCCAGGCGTGATTCGTGCCTCGCTGTATGCAACAGTCTCCACGAAACAGCTGCCGCTTCTCCCCGGAGTCCAGAATCAGCTCGATTGATCCTTCTAAGACGATGCCAAAGTCCAGGCTCTGCGTACGATGCATCATAGATTCGAAGCCGGGAGCGAAGTCGACATAGCGTAGAACAGTGCCTCCAGGGTTGACAATGCCAAGCTTACTAGACGCGATGCGCTTGTCGTGTGTGGCGATGTCTGCATTTCCGTTCATGTCGACTGGAAAGATGCTCGTCGTAAATGGGACACTAAACGCCATCCCTTCGTTGTCCACTGGCTGCCATTTTGCGGGGCGTTGCTCCTGTATGATAGTGGCTCCGGTCTTCGAATCATGTCCTGTAAGGTACGCGGTAAGAGAGGGAAGCCTCCTCGCCAATTGGCTATCCGTAGGCGTTCGGCGTTCCATCTCGACTCTTGAAATGTAAGTTATCGAAATACCCACAATCGTCGTCCGATGAAGTCTGCAGTCAGGCTACGCATTGCAGCGGTTTTACTGCCTGCTCGGCCTACCCCAGCCATACCTCTAGCTACCCCATCCTGCCGATTGGGCTGAACAGACAGACATCTCAGTTATTAAGCAGCAACTACAGTGACCATAAACGTCAGGCACATCGATCGCAATGCCGCTGCCGCTCAGGAGTGATCTCCACACGCTTGATGAGACTACGTTTGATTACATCTACGAGGAGAATGCCACCATTCGTCTTCCGGGCGGCCGAGGTATAGTCCGCTGTAACGTCTACCGACCCAAGGACACTTCTCGAACATACCCTGTGCTTGTTACGTATGGCCCATATGGCAAGGATGTTCATTACTCGGTCTTCCATGCAGCATCGTGGTCAGAGGTTCCGCAGGAGCATCGTTCTCCACATTCTGCTTGGGAAACACCAGATCCAGGCTTTTGGACCCGCAATGGCTACGCAATCGTCCGGGCCGACGAAGTAGGACTTGGTCAGTCTCCAGGAGTCCTCGACACCATGTCTCGCGACACAAGTCTTGCATTTGCCGATGTTATCGAATGGGCTGCAGATCAACCGTGGTCAGCTGGCAAGGTTGGACTGCTTGGTATCAGCTACTATGCTGGTAGTCAGTGGCGCGTAGCGGCAAGGAGGCCGCGTGGATTGGCGTGCATCATTCCCTGGGAAGGCATGAGCGACTACTATCGGGACCGGTGTAGGCACGGCGGTATACTGTCAAATACCTTCATTGACTTCTGGTGGAACCGCCAAGTAAGGTCACGGAACCATGTATAGGGTACAAGGGTGACTTTCTGACGCTCATATGCACAGGTATTGAAGAACCAATATGGAAGGCCAGGCCGTGCTGCGCAAGGTTGGTGCTCAGACACCATTGAAGGCTCGCTTGAGGAGACCGAACTTCGCACCAATTGTCACGATCAGACTCTCGAGAACGTGCAGAATTGCTTCATGGATCAAGAATACTACTCATCCAGAGACTATGAAATGTCTGATATCCAGGTACCACTACTCTCCGTCGGCAATTGGGGCGGAATCCTGCTGCATCTTCGTGGGAATGTGGAAGGCTTCATGAACGCTGGGTCGCAGACCAAGTACTTACGGTTTGTTACTGGACGTCATGATCTCCCATTCTATACGGCAGAATGTGTCGCACTTCAGAAGAGTTTCTTAAACGCCTTTCTGAAGGGTGACGACCCACAAGGGTGGTCGCAAGCCAAGCAGCCGCCGATCGGGTACAAGCTTCGAATAGGTGATGTTGGGTACAACGACTCCGCGGCAGAAGATGCTTATCCCATCAAACATGGACAAGCTTGGCCCCTCCCAGACACTCGTTACACGAAATACTATCTGACTGCGGCCCGGGAACTGACAACTTCTCCGGGTGAGACGATGCAGACTAAGGGATGCATATCATACGAAGCACTTGGCAGTCTGGAGCACGTTCAGGCGGTGCATTTCTCCTCCGCACCGTTTGATGAAACGGTCGAGTTCACTGGTCATGTCACTGCACACCTCAACGTCTCCGTCACAGCAGTCAGCGGATCCGACACACAACCTTCAGACATTGATATCTTCCTTACACTTCGTCATCTCAATGCCGATGGAAAGGAGATATATTACACAGGAACGATAGGAGATCCGGTCCCAGTAACGAAGGGCTGGCTACGCTGCAGTCTTCGCGCAATCGATGAATGCAGTCCACGCCACGCACCCTGGCACCCATGGAGAGCTTATCGGTCTATCGACTCTTCTGCTCTGCACCCCGGTACGGTGTATAGCGTCGACGTGGAGATCTGGCCAACCAATGTGGTCATTCTTCCGGGTGAGAGACTGATATTCGAAGTCTCTTCTGGTGACACGCAAGGTGCTGGTTTGTTCAAACACACTTCTGAGGAGGACAGGCATGTCGATCGATTTGCCGGGGCGAACCATATTCACTTCGGGGAAGGTTATGACAACTGGGTATTGATGCCCGTCATTGGGGCTACCTCGAGCGGGCAAGGGTGCAGTGCCTCGTCAGTAGACCATTGAGGGTGCAGGATGGTAATGCTAAGAAACTGAGTCACCCGCATACGTTGTCTTCTTTGTAATGGTTGGTACTTTGGTCAATATTCCTAAGCTATAACGACGTTGTCCGTCAGCGGTGCAAACAATACGCACATTCCGTATACAATGGTATGAGCTTGTGCGGCGTCCTTCTCTCCAGCACAACTCTCGCCGTGATACTAAGACTAAATCGGAGACAGGTAGGCTCAGAAACTGCTGCCGACGATATCTTTGCGGCTGGGTCTCCGGTAAATGTACGTTGTTACTGGAAAGCATACCATTATCTCCTTGCATTGTAGCGAACAGCCTCTCCAACCGGAACAGGCGCCCGCTATCAGCTCATGTCACAAAGCATTCGTGCTAAGGGCTGCGCCACGGCCACCTTGAGGAAAGACAGAAGCCTTTCTCCTCGCACAAGCGGAGCCCTGACCAGCGGCGCCGAAAGCCGGTCACGCATGGCTGCGCCCTTGACGTACAGAACCAAGGTTGCGTAATATATGGCGTACGGTACGTGCGGCGCTTCGTACACGACTTTTCGTGGCTCTGCTGTGTTGCCGGAGCTCAGCGACGACCGCGACCTCAGTGACGCATCTGCCTTCGGATGCGTGAGGCTAGCTTCGACGATAGTGGTCAGTTGCTCGGCATGCCAATGCGCAACGTCATAGTCACGCTCCTCCAACCAGCAATGGATCTCTTCAGCCATGCTTCTGCCTCTATGACCGTGCGTTTCCGAACCTGTGCCTAGATAGGCGAACGTTTGGAGTGTACTGAGGTTTGCGTGGAGATTGATGCCAATCATATGGTATAGTAAAAGCGCCGTCATGTCTGTCGAAGGGACAGCAACGCCCGACTGAATCCATTTCTCACATGCTATCTCAACAAAATCTGGCTTGCCTATACGGAGCGCTTCTGCTAGCACAGTGTCGCCCTTGTGTTGGTTTCGCCGTGGGTAAAGGACTGTCCAGAGATGCGGAGCTAGGGAGGCAAGTGATGCGAGACTACAATCCTCTCCGTTGGCTGGCCGCGGCAATACTGTCCCATCAACAAGAGCTGCGGCGCTCCGAATGACCGAAGTAAGTCGACTGCCCTGTTGTGCTTGCGCGGCCAGTCGAGTCAAGGTGTGCCACATTAGAGTAGGTGGTCGCATCATCATCACCACTCGATAGCAATCAATGATATACAAAGCCTCAAGCAGTCTTTGGACTTTAGTCAGCAGGTTGGTACTTCCCGGACCGTGAGAGCTTACCGTGCAGCTTGTTCATCATTATGGGCATCGACATCATTTGCGTACGCCTCGGTGTACTCGGTGATGGCCTTTACGTTCGGTAAGCGTGACATTTGTGTAATCTGCTAACAGCGACCTACGTTGGTTAGGTCACCCTGGAACGCTTCCACGAATTCGTAGCTTCTCTTGTTGCCACTACAGAGACCATAAATCTTCAGTAGAATGAACTTGGAACCATAGTTAGTATGTCTTGAGCCATCGCCTTGGGTGGGCTCCAACGTACTGTTTTCACCCTCTCCAGAGCGACCGAGCTGGGAACGTCGCCGTCTCTCGCGGCATTGGACTGCTAATGTTAGACGGCATCGCGTGCTACATTTCAAATAAGTAATCCTCTCACCTCTGCTAATAACAACCTACGAGCGTCGTTATACATGACTTTGCCAACTTCGGTGCTACCAGGCACGGCGCAGAACAGCCCGCCAACTGCGCCCATTGCGAGAATGTACTTGATGGAGTGTTTGACGTCGTTGCCAGCGTCTTCAAGGAACGTGCTGAACGTGGGTGGGATGTGCTTGCGAGAGAGACCGATAAAGATCTTGAGGATGTCGGCATTGTGGCTACGCAGATCGGGCGGAGCTGAGTACCACATCTTACCACATTTGTCGCGCGAAGGTGATGCGGATCGGGATTTCGCGTTAAAATAGTCTTGCACATCGGTCGTAAGACGTAAGGTAGGACTTGGGAGCGCAGATTGTTCGATATTGTTCAGTTCGAACAGGCGGGAGTCGAAGAACTCAGTATCATCAAACCAGAACTGAGTGTCTGGTAAAGCCCACATCGGGTCCAAGTCGGACAAGTGGCCCATGCCCGGTTGAGCATTATCATCAGGTAATGTTGATATGGCCATGTCGAACAGACCGTCAGCGCTCGCAAGAGGCGTAGCTAGGGCCTCCGCGATTACGGGGTTCTGGTAGGCGTGCTGTAGATGTGTTTCGGAGACAGTGAAGCTTCCGCCAAAACTCTGGTCTGAGAGATCAGTCGGTGGCGCAGAGAGTGGGGTGTTGCAGTCGAGATGTGTTTCTGGTACAGCCTCGTAGAGGCACCGGCTCGACCCCGAGTAGCATGGCTCACATGGCGTCCGGCCGTCGCATGCGACCTTGCGCCTACGGCAGACTATACATGCTTTGCGGACACGCTTACGGACCGTTGTCCGCTCAAAGGCGTTTTCGCCTTGACCGCGGCTTGCGGGCGCTGAAGGGCAGGACTTCTCATGTGTCGCTCGCACATCGGCTCGCTGGAAGGAGCTCGCACAGAAGCCGCAGGTATATGGTCTTTCTTTAGTATCTGCGCCGTCCGTAAATCAACGTTTGCACTGGATATGCAATAACAAGTTGGCATGCCGTACGAGTCCTTCGGTGTCTTGTCAGATGCTCGGCTCGAGCGAACACACGCGAGCAGATATCGCACTGTTGGACATCAGCTCAAGCACTACATCCGCTTTTGCTACAGTGACGAGCCTTCTTCTCGGTGCTACGATTTACTGCCGCGCCACTTGCGGCCGCCATTGCTTTGATAACGATGGGTTCAGTACAGTTCGGCGTGAGTGGAGTTGTACTCAAGGGTCTCAGTGGAGACCCGAGATTGGGACAGAGTTAGAGGCCGCGTCATAAGAATTGAGCGCCTCCATTACCCCAAAGCTAACCAGTGCTTAACCAGAGCCGCCAAGGATGTGCCTGGAATGTGCACGGCGTTAACCTCTTCCAAGAAGGACGCCGCCGACTGGGGTTACACACATGTACAGTTGTTGACAATCAATAAAATCCGAACACCCTGCTCCTCCCGCGGGTGTTCTCTGGGCTGCCACATAGAATGCATGACACATCAGATCATGTTCTGTCGGACGGCGCATCAGCAGGTCTTAACCTTGCGGACCACAGCGCTTGGCCTGCAGAGCGGCATCCCACGCGATGGGATGTCGATGAAGCCAACCATGTGCCAACATCTATGGTGGTGGACCGCTTTCGATCCGCACTCCTTCACGCAGAGAGCGAAGATGTCGTAAAGGACGCAATGTCCTGGGACCTGAACAGCTATGTGCTTGAAAGACCAGCTGCAAGTGCACATCTGCCGTATACTTATCCTATGGTGCTACTGTCCAGCCTGCCATCACTGCCGAGCGACCATGATCTTCTCACCCTGCGGCAAGCCTATTTCCCAAAGTTCGAGAGACATGTATTTGTGCGAGATCTGGGCTCCGGCAACCTCATTGCTTCTTCAAATCCGCCATATCTCAGGCTGGCTACTGCGTGCGTAGCAGCGATCCTATCCGACTACGCGAACGTTGTCGCCGAAGAATCTCTTGGTACGAATCTTTTTGCTGCTGGTGCCAGAGTCTGGACGGTAATGGTGGAGGTAGATAACCGTGAGGCACGCAACGTCAAAACCATTGTCGCCGTAAGCGTTCGTAGCTATTTTGCCAACGCAGACAAGGCTCACATTGTTCGCAGGCGGCATTACTGTCCACCTATGGATCTCTCTCAATGAACAACGGGATTAGGAGAAAGACTTCCGAGATCTTATGCAACATTATAACTGTACGTACTCCATGACCGATGCTCTACTTTGCGGCCTTACTCAACCTACTAGATGTCCAGGCGTCTCCGTCTAAGCGATGCCACTCCCTCCGCATATAGTACTCTGAGCCCTTCGGAAAGGGACATTGCTGGCAAAGGGTAGGGTAGTGACGCACCTCCAATTCTTGGTTCCCACGCTGAGCGACACTCTCACAGCTCCCTACTCTGCTACATAGTGCTAGTCGACATAGTCCACTCGCTAAGTAACAATACCGCGCCCAATTATTCTGTTCGAGAGCTGGAGCTGCGGATGCCTTCATCGAACCACTCCTTCAGCACAGTCTACAGCTCGCTGCTGCACGGCCATGTCTTACCGGGCGACTTATCGACTACCGAGGATGGGCTTCTACTAATCATTGCTTTGCTATCTGATGTGTACTACGTACAGAAGTGCCATCCTCGACTACTGGATCAATTTGGCACTTCTTCGGTGATTAACCCGTATCGTCCGCTCTGCTCAAACTCGGAGCTTGCGCACATGACTGCGCTGTTTGATGGCGCTCTGTCTCGGTGGAAGCAACGCTTCTTTGCGGGAGCGAGTCACGACGTGCTCGCACTCTACTACTTCACTCTGCTTCAGCTCCGTTGGCCGGATGTCCCGGAGCTTCCAACCCTCCTCAATCGACATACAGCGAAGCCCACATCCGAGGCCATTCCGTCTGAATGCTTGAGCATAGCTTGGGCAATTCACGCAAACGTCGAAAGTGCGTCAGCAAACGACACGCAGAGGTTGTCAATCTGGCTGCCTTGCATTTTGTACCTCTCAGCTTTGGTGGTATGGCGAAGCCACTCACAAGATCGAAAGGACATGAGCTTTGGTGGCTTAAGCTCCCTACGGATGTACGAGTTCACACTATCGCAATTGCCATGGCCGTGTTGCCCAGACATGGTGAGGGTGCTGGAAACACTACGTCGACAGAGCGGAAACTGAAACGGGATACATGTCCGCCCGGCTTTTCAACGTGAATACCCCGAGTCAACCGTCATGTATAGCTGTTGCAGACCGGAATAGTTACAACGTTTCTGGCATGTCATGTAGGCGACCTGGTTACCCGGAGACGGTTGAACGGCATACGACATGCTCGAACAGCATTTAGCCTGGTATCTTGCAACGTTTTTATCACGATGAGCATGCATTTACCTATGGTCTTATCGGACCTGAAACGTTTTCAGAGATATAATTCAGGGCCACTTTACCGGCCCCCATGCTAGGCTCGCAAAATGCGCTGCGAACTGATATCTGAGACGCCCACCTCCTCGATGACAATGCAATCAACCGGTCCTTGAGGTCGGAGCTCACTTAAACGTGCGGCGACATGGTGCAGTGTCGGCAGCTCTGCGAAACTCAAGGCTTTGAAGCCGAAATGTCCCGTCTGCGACAATGCTGTCCTGAGAACGCGCGACGTGCCTTCCGCTGGCGCCGGTGTGAACGTCGGATATTGCACATCCGCCTCGCCAGGACTTCCGGTACGTGGGACGTACTTGTAGTGGAGAATGCCCTGCATTGGACGGAAAGATACCTTGGCTGGGTCCGGGACGTCGCCTTCGTTATTACGCAGGCCATTTATACTGAGCTCACCGAACACACTTCCGTCCCAGCCCAGACAAAGTCGCATGTTGGTCGACTCGTACTTCGCACTCAGGTCCGCCCACAGCTTGGCGTACCCGAGCTCTTCCCGGCCGCTGGTGATGGCATCGGCACAGTCTTCGAAAAGAACAATCAGATACTTTCCGCGTACCTCGTCTGCGCCGTCTTTACAAACAACATCGTGTATGTAGAAGCCGAAGTGGTTGTATCCGCGTCCTGCAAGCCACGGGAGATTCTCCAAATGGACCAATGCAAAAGATGCATAGGCCAAGCCGTTCTCAGTGTCAATACGGAAGTGCTCGTTGGGAAGAAACGTTGACAAATGACTCTTATCCGCTTTGAAGATCAAGCTGTAAGTTGTACTTCGAGCTTCATTCCAGCCATGGTGCGGCAAACCCGAAGTTGTCTGACGAGGTCCGGGAAATGGTCCGTATCCCAACGGCATGCGGCAGAATGCCGACATTTCTGAAGGTATGGTAACAGCCTGTACGTTGCAGTGTCCTGGAGGCGAGTACTTGTGTACATCCGGGATGTTTGGAGACATTGCAGATGGGGTCCCGGACGTGGGGTCATTGGAGCTGAACGCATGCGTACGTACTCGGACACCCTCCCACGCTGGCTACGGAGTCATGGAGACTACGTCCGTGCGATCCGCAGGATACAAACTGACGTGAGCCCTCGCATTATCTCGCTCTCCATCTGAAATCCCGGTGTAGCGAGTAGCCGCGACGCTCAAGCAGCGTGCGGTCATATAACGTGTCGAGCACGGCGGACCAAGAACGTTTGCGAGATCTGCGCAATGGCTGTTGGCAAGCAAATACGCCTGACTCGACTGGCATTCGTCATCTACGAACACCCATCGATAGACACATTCGCAGCGTTCGCGGAAGACTTCGGGTTCGTAGAAGCTGGACCGGCCTCAAAACAGGGTGAGCGATTCTATCGTGGCTACGGTGTCGACCCGTACGTCTATGTTGCGCGAGAGGCTCCGGAGAAGCGGTTCGTAGGGGCCGGATTTGTTGCCGAGTCAGCGGAGGACTTTCGGAGAGCATCACAGTTGGAGGGTGCTAAGACTCTCGACACGAGCGATAGACCGGGTGGCGGCGAGGCCATCTCATTGACGGTAAGAAGAGCGATGCATCGAGCCCCTTGCGGATGACAGATGTATCGCTGACTGTTCTACTCATCATTCTCCAGGACCCAAACAAATTCACTGTAGTCATCGTTTGGGACCAAGAGCCTCGCTCAACGCCGGAACATGGAGTATCAGCATTGAAAGGTCGCCCGGCCATGAACGGTGCCCTTGACAAGCGTCGCAAAGGTACTTACGAAGCTCCCTTCTGCTCAATGTGTTCCGCTCATTGACAACTCCGTGCTGCATTTCAGGCGACTTCACTCGGATGAAGCACGGTCCTGCCATGGTGCACAAGCTGGGCCACTTTGGCTACATCACCCCCAATTTCGAAGACACGTGCGCTTGGTACCAAGGCCGCTTCAATTTCGTCCCTACAGACATGCTTCATGCGCCTGGCAACACCTCGCTTGACGTAGCCGTCTTCTTCCGTCTGGATCAGGGACAGGCCTTCGTGGACCATCATTGCTTCTTGATTGCGAGAGGCGATACTGCAAAGACGTCGGTCCACCACTCGTCTTTCGAAGTAGAGGACATCGACACACAGTTTATGGGCCACCAGTGGCTCAAGCAGAAAGGGCATGATCTGGTCTGGGGTATAGGTCGGCATGTTCATGGATCGCAGATCTTTGACTATTGGTATGATCCGAGTCGCTTCATCATCGAGCATTACGCCGATGGCGATGTCGTCAACGAAGACACTGAGACCTTGCACGCCGAGGCCGGGAATATGGCGGTATGGGGCCCACCTGTGCCCGCCATCTGGGGCGCGAAAGCGGAGGAGTCTGATCATCCCAAGCCCCTCAGTGGGATTAGTGGCTAGTTTAGGAATGTTGACCATCTGTGCGCTGTAATAGTGTATGGGGTAGGGGCTGCATCACCTGCTCAGCGTCGTTTTCAAACACGGCGGTTTTTCTGGAGAAAATGGCACTACCTTGCCGGGACTGAAATGTCGGTGACTGCAGTCGATAATGTCGTTCTCCGTTGCGGATATATGTACAAGTCTATTCCGCTACTATGGAATGTAAAATGTGCTGTACACGCTCAGCTTCTCCGGACAACGTGGGCCTTGGCTGCATCAAATACAGCCATAACTGACGATACGATCGGTATCCGCGACTTGCCATCGTCCGTTTCGGAAGATGTACCAGCCCGTCCAGGTTCATTACCCGCAGTATGCATGTCACCAGGATCCATATAGACTGCAGTCTGTTAGCGCCAGCATGTCACATCATCGATCACCGCACACTTACCATGTGGTCTGAGGAACCAGCTAATCACAAACGCCAGCCCGAATGTAGCCGCCAAGCACACGTAGACTGTCTGGGAGAACTTGCCAACCGTCGCAGAGTAGATGGCGTTGAAGATGGTTGGGGCGACGACTCTGGCCAATGCGTGCAACAGCCCGCTCGCTCCCAGCAGCTGACCCGTCTGTTCGGCAGGCACATGCTTCGTCAAGGATGACTGCAGCGTCGGTGCCGCGATGCCTCCAATGGCAGCAACAACACCAGAAAGGATGAATGGACCGCCCTCTCGCGATAGGGCGTAGCCTAGATAGCCAATCGTGTCGAACAAGATAGCGACCCGAATGACCATCAGATCGAAGACATCGCTGCCACTGTTCCTACGGCGCATATCCGGCTTCCCTCGTATCCACCGTGTTAAGAGCGGCAGGACGACGATCAAGCAGAAGACCCGGCAAGCATTAACAATCGATAAGAACCGTGACTGCTCGAAAGTCTTCCATCCAAACTCGTAATTGGTGTAGATGAGGACGACGGTGATGCTACCCATGGCGACCCCGAAAGCGATCGTATCCACAGCTGCGAGAACGAGTAAGTTCCACCGTAATGCTGGAGTGGCATGCGGACCCTTCGGCCAGAGAATGCTCAGCGGCGCGAGCAAGTTAAGATGGCGCACCCATGAGATCCAGTCTGCGGTCGGACCGAGTTCAGCGAGCTCGGTGGAGTACTTCTCTTGCGCAGCCTCCTTTCTCTTCTTCGAGAGCGACTCGGGGACCGCCAAAGCGATGAAGCAGACGAAGAAGAGGTGTACTGCGAGCAGGATGTAAAAGACGATGACAATCTTGCCAGTATACTTGACCAGATAGCCTGCTATGATCGGGCCGGCGGCCATACCAGTGAACAAACATCCGTGGAAGTATCCGAAAGCGACGTTGCGTCTCTGCGGCGGCGTGCAGTCCGACGCGTACGAGTTCGCAATCGCCATGGCCACAATGAACGAGCCAGTCAAACCATCCATCGCGAAGCCAAGCAGCAGGAGGTTGACTGGGAACGTCTCAGGATAAAGAGCAGCAAAGATGGTCAGAACTTCTCCGCAGATCGTTCCTAAGCTTGTAATTACGAGGATCGGCTTGCGTCCATAGCGGTCTGAGAGTGCACCCAGCTTCGGACTGGTGACAGCGGACAGCAAGCCCGCAATGAGGCTGCCCCAGAGCGAGAATATCGCAACTCGTGATTGTATCTCCGGAATGCGGCATTGATCGTTGGCCCCACCAGCAAAGTCCACCGGCACCATGGTAAAATTGGGATCTGCCAGCTGTCTGTCTGAGATGTACTCCCGGCAGACCAACTGCAAGATGAGGTTGACTTTGGGGGTGATTGAGCCTCCAAACGCCAGTGTCATCAACAGAAATGGAAACAGCACCCAGAGTATCGACGGTCTCTTGTACCAAGGCAGATGCGAAAAGTCCTCCGTGCCCGCCCATGATTGTTTCCTGCCATCCTCTTGCAACAGTGGCTGCTCCTCGTCCGATTCTTGCTCGTCATTTGCCTTCCTACCGCGTGATTGAACGCCGCCTTTTGATGCCTGTGCTGCCTGTTCGCCATCGTTGAGGTGCCTTCTCAACCGCGCGGCTTGATCAAGCTCCACGTCGGCCTCGATAACGGCTTCGTTGGGATCCATTGCGCTGCTGACCTATACCTTTCGCTCTTTCTTCAAAGTTGCCGCCTCCACCAAAATATGCTTGCAACAATTCAGGTACCCGGCCTAGTTACCAGCCATTGCGATAATGGTTCCAGGGAGAGGCAGAGGGGCGTCCGGGTAGGGCACGCGACAATAGCAAGAGACGCTTGACAAAGGCAGCAGGATAACATCACAACGCAATGCAAGTGGCACGGTGCTATAGCACGCCTATCTCCTTGCCGCTTGCTAAGCTAAAAATGGTAGGAAGGATGTGATCGGAAAGGGACTGTGCCGATCGAATGGTGGTTCCATAATACCGGAAAGCGTGCGTGCCTCTTCAGTATCAGGTAGTCATTGTAAAGCTTTGTATGTCTTGTTCCTCCTCACCTCTCATCCCGGCTCCTCCGTCCTCATGGAGAACGTTCGTCCCTCGTATACTGTCTGTCCACCAACAGTGCGTGAAGCAGCTTATTGCCCGAATGTCGTCACGATCTAAGATCTAATGCCAAGTGCATGCGCCACATGCAGCCGCTTGCCGAAGCGTGGGAGAAGCGGAGCCTCCGGATACCGACAGAACATCTGAGCTTAGTAATCCGGTCACCTTGAGCGATAGCGTTTTTGTCATTCGCAGTTTCCTTTTTGGACGTTGTAATGGGTTGTTGTCCAACGTAGGATCTCGAGTTCTACAAGCTATTCTCAAACATCATTCGATTCAACTCGATGTCTGCACCACCTAATATTCTGGTATTGCGCCCCGAGTCGGCTCTATATAAGATCGCCGCGTTGGCGCGAGAAGCGAGGTGCGTGCGAGCCTCGATATAAGGTACTAGGTAGATACCTACCGTCGTGATCTCGAAAGCACAGATAGCATCGTTGTAGGGCAGAGAGTTATCCGTTCCGCAACATGACCGTAAGTGCTTAGCTCCAAGCTCGGTAGCCTTCCTGATCATATGCACATCTGGGTAGCCGGGCTTGGAATGACGGTGCAGTACCTGCTCAGAGCCATCGAATCTCGATAAGCCTCGCGTCTGGAGAGTAGGTTGCTTGTCTATGGCAGGCCCCAAGTCACTGCTGTGCCGAACGTGCTTGGGCCTTTTGTGACCAGATGGACAGTATCGGCTTGTCGGACACGCGGACTTGAACGTGCTTGCAGCTATTGGAAGGACATTGGCCTTGCTGGACAGAGCTCACTCCGCGGTAATATCGTGCAAGCGAAGCATGGGAGGACTGAATCCCAGAAAGTCTTGTATCGTGTGACGCGGCATGCCTGCTGCACGGAAGCTTTCCACGGCAGGACACTTGCACTGCATCGAGACCTTCTCTACCCTTACACCTCAGCCGCCCAGACTAGATGCTTCGGTAGCGCTCGCTAATCCGTCCATCAGTCGTGCGACGCTATCCGTGAGCGGCAGGTAGAATCCAGGTCCTCCGTTGGCATTTCCTCGCAAAATCTGGCTTGATATCCTCAGAATCTGACCTGCTTTACGAAGAGGCACGCGGTTCGAACCCGAGTCATTATCCCCAGCAGAAACCTCGCACTCAGAATTATCACTTTGCAGACAAGGCTCGCCCTCGCCAATAGTTATGAATCTTCGCATGGCAGCGGTCTGCTTGCGATCTAGACAAACAGACTGCTTGCTCATCGGCGCGGTGGCTTGTGCGTATTCGCGCTTGTGGCGGATATCCTTGATCACGCCGTAGTTCCAAAACGTGAGACTTGCATGATAGACGATCATAACCCGTGACTCACTCATTATGCTGGCGGGCAGTCTTCGGGCGAAACTGAGGAGCTGGCCGGCATGCCAAAGAGCTCTGCGGGCCGACTTTGCCTGTGTCCATTCCTCCAGCACAGGATAAGCTCGCTGAGCTGCTGTTACCCCATCTTTTCCCGCAAATGCTTGGAGCAGTTGCAGTGGCGCATGTAAAGCCATGCTCAAATATTCCAGAACCAGACTTGAGTGAGGCGGAGGGTTCGTGGGTTCCATCTCCGACCGCAGTTTGTTCAGCATCCGGGCCAGACCTTCTCCGTGAGAAGGTACGAATGATGTATTTCTCGCATGATCGGCTCCTTCCTGGTTTAGCATATCGTCTAGTTCTCGATGAGCCCAAACGAGCCTCCATAATCCAGGTAGAAGGATGGTGTGGCGGTGCACGGCATTATCGCCTTGGGGACTTTCGCCATCATTTAGAAGTCTTCTGACATCGTCGAAGAGTGAAGCAGGCGCGGGCGGCAACTGCGGCTCGCATTGACGAGCGAGATACAAGGCTTTCCATGACTCTGCCGTTGACGCCCGCCAAAGCTCTTCAGGCTCTGGATAGGGCAACAGCATCTCAGTGTAGGACATGGAAGGGCTGATCAGTCGCGACATCGATATTTCAGCATCGAGGATAAAAGTCTGATAGCAGAGCCTGTTCTCTCAGTCAGCCGAAATGCTTTGTCGCCCCCAGAACATTCGAAGCATACCACTTTCTCGACTCTTGTTCGACCCATTTGTTCCACTTCTGTTCCAAATGCACACCCTCGTCTTCGTTGGCCGGTGCGATGTTCTCGTAAGACGACGCGAGCAGCCAGCCGGCACGTCGGATAATTGTAATGCTTGGTGCCATGGTCGATTCCGCGATCTCCATCAGGCAATAATTCCCACTCCACATCGCCGACTTCGTAGCGGTCACTGGATGGTTGTTAACGGCGGCGCCTCAATGATAAAGTTTTCCTGAAAATAAACATACGTAAAGTCTGCAGCAGCTGCAGGTTCCGCGTTGAACTATTATCGACGGCCCACTGTGACAGGTCAGGAGAAGGTCTAGACTCAAGGAGAAATCGACTCACGTTCTCCACGATAGCGGTCCTCAAAATGTCGGGCATTGAGTACCCGAACTCTCTGACCGCCCCGTTGAGAGCTGAACACGCTCCATCAGTAATGACCGCCGCCAACAGCTCGGCTCGTGCAACTGCGGGATCGAAGGTCGGTACATGCAGCAGGGGCACCGGCCTAGCTAGCTGCGAGCGCAGGGCGTGATGCATCAGTCCTTCCAGAAATTCGCTCGACGGGAAATTTGACATTACTCTAGCAAGGTGTTTTCTGCAGCAGTGACTCAATAGAATCTCCATGATTCTTTCACGATCTTTGTGTCCCAACCTTTTTGCAGAAAAGTCCAGATCAGGCTGCAGTACGCATGCGGGATCGACCTGATCTTGAAGGAGCGAGAGATGTTCATGAACCGCTGAGCGATGGTGCTGAGGCGTAGGAACCCAGTTCCAGCCCGACTCTTGGAACGCCCGGGCCGCGGCCTGAATAGTTTCCTGCTCCGGGGGCGCCTTGTCCTGTTGCGGTGGATGATTGAAGTGGCTGTTCGGGACGGCGGGAGGTGTACTTAGGTCTCCGAAAGAGCGTTGAATGAGGCTCTGATCTCGGAACGGGTCGGCGTTCAAGTATTGGTCCCAGAAGTTATCAGTAGAAAGCTCGAACGTTGGAGGGGAGAGCATCGACTTTTCTGCTTGACCAGGCTCCCAAAGACTGCGGAGGAAATCTGTATAGGTGTCACTCGGTCCGACGACGTCCACATCTACATCCATCCTCTGCGACATGTCATAATCGCTGAAAGCCGTATAGGTTTCATCCGGTGAAGGCGTGATTTGATGTGTCCGCGGTTCGAGTGGCGCAATAGACGAAGCGCTGCCTAGAGAAGGTGCTGAGCCTACTACAATGACTTCGCCGGACGATGAAGCATGGTCACTCTGTTCGGAGGGCCTCTCGTACGTCTGGCGATCTTCTGCGAAACGTCCTAACGCATCTGAGAAGGGTTCAACTTCCACTCTAGAATCATGTTCGCAGTTGACACTTTTGGTCACGCATCGCTGACAAGGCTTCGTGTCGGTACATTTCAGCTTGGATGCTGCGCAAGCCTTACAGGCTTTGGAAACCCTCGATGGCAGCCCAGGAACTGCTCGAGATACCCGTGCATCAGTGGAGGAAGTGTGACGACAGGCGTGACGCTTGAGTAAATCGCTGTCCACGTTCTGTCAGCGAGCTTTCAATGCATGCTGAAGTTGTGCGAAGGCTGGACATACACGCGAGAAAATTGTTTGCCGCAAACTTCGCATTCGTATGGTTTCTCCAGAGTATCTGCGGATCCGTTAGGCTCAGAACATTCCAAGGACTTCGTGTGCTACACTCACGGGTGCGCACGTGGCGGCCCAAGTGATCGACTCTGGCGAAGGCGCGTTGGCACACACTGCACTGATACAGCGTCGTCAAGGTCCTCCCGTTCACGCTCGCGCTGGAGTGCGTGCTGATGCTCGTGGCCATGCTGCTGTAGCAAGGTCGAAAAGGCGGAGCGTTTTCGAGGTTGCGGAGAAGAGGTCTGTATGCGGGGTCGTACTCCAGCCATGCTCCGGGGCAGGGCAAACTCCTGCACGGCAATCATCGGACCTTTGGCAATGTCATCCGCCGGCAACACGCCTTCCGCCGACATGTACATAATCCGGGAGGTGAACCGAATAAGGCTAGTCATGCCGCATGCCTATATGTGCATTTGGGTGCACTCCGGAACTGAGGCGCGGCGTAGATTCACAATCTTCGAGGCTACGGCTAAACCTTCAATCTTTGCCGTGGAAGGTCCGAACACTCTGCTGTCTGCACGGGCGGCCAATGATGACACATAGCAGCCTAACGAGCCACCTTGTTGTCAGTGATGATGATATTGTGCTAGACACTGGAATGCAGAGCCTTTACGACTGCCGAGCCTGGCATCCGTTATTGGCTCGTCGATGATCTGATTAGTAAGGATAAAGTGCTCTGCAGAACCGGAACATGTCGCCTGGCCCGCATCTGCCGAAATCCGTAACGGAACGCTTTTCGCCCGCCATCCGGCTCGCTTGTTGGTTGTTCAGAGGCAGTCGCTTGGCGTCGGTAACAGTGCACTCATATTGTATAACGACGAGCTCTTTTTGGTATTCCTCGCGGCAGGGTGGGACGCTCAAATGGGTTCGTGAACCAGTGTTGCCTGGTCCAGGATACACCTGAGGCCAATGCACGGTGGTTCTCGACTGCAACGAATCATGCCTCGTGTACTCCTTTTCGGGTCTGGCGGGATCGGTGTACTCTACATCCTGTTCATGCAACGAGCGGGTGTAGATGTTGTGTGTATTTGCAGGTCCAACTACGCGGTCGCTCAATCCCGTGGGTTCAGGATCAAGTCGAGCATCTTTGGGAATCATTCCTTCCAGCCCAAGATATTCCGGACTGTGGCAGAAGCGTCGGCTGCAGGCTACACCCGGTTTGACTACATATTCATCTGTACGAAGGCGTTCTCAGCTGGGCAACCTACCTTGGCCGACGCTCTTCAGCCAGTTTTGCACGACAAGAACACCCTACTAGTCATCATTCAGAACGGCATCGGCGTAGAAAAGAAGATTGCCAAGGACATTCCTCATCATCCAATCATCTCTGGTGTCACATACTCGCCGACAACACAAGTCACCCCCGGCGACTTCGTACACAGTGAAGTGCAAAGGCTTTATCTTGGCAGGTATCCAGCATCGACGCCTGTGGAAGATGATCACGCGCTGCGGGAGCTTTGCTCCTTGCTCACAAAAGGAGGCGCAGACGTAATGTTGTCCGCCGACGTGCAGGTAGAAAGATGGCGAAAGCTCATTGGTAACGCAAGTTGGAATCCAATCTGTGCACTATCCGGGTGTCGCGATCTGGAATTTCTTAAAGCCTCAAAATATGCCAGTGAGCTTGTGCAGAACGTCATGAATGAGATCGTTACTGTGGCTTCCGCGTCGGGGTATGGAGATGTTATCACCACTGATGCAGCGACGGATCAATTCAATCGCAGTGCTAGACGGTCATGGCCTGGCGTAGAGCCGAGCATGCTGGCGGACATGCGTTCGGGAAATAGGATGGAGGTAGAAGCGATCATCGGAGAAGTCGTGAAAGCCGCAAAAGATGTGGGAGTGTGTACTCCCCGCCTCGAAACACTGTATGCATTGTTGGCTGGCCTTGACTGGAGTATACAACAACGAAAAGTGTAGTTTTACACTCTTGTAATGCCAAGTGGTATTTTACTTGCAGCATACCCGTATTGCGGTTGTACCATACATCAGAGGACACTAAGGCGAAGTCAATGGTCCTGCGAAGGTTACCCTACAATCTTACCACTGTGCAGGCTCATAGTTTTAGGGAATTCTAACGGAAGGCTTAACGGAAGGCTTAACGGCATTGCCGTTCAAGCTGCATCAAGTGTAGAGAACGGCATATCAGCCGTCTGGGGGTTTCGTCGTATTCTCGTCCACGCCACCCTATCGTTCGCATTCAACATGTCCGGCTTGTATGTTACTGACCGCCGATACGACGCTATACGGATACTGCATGACTACTTTGCATGAGTTATGACGAGAAGCAGATCCAACAATCTTGGCACCGCATAGCTCGATATAGTGAGTTACGTAGCAACCGGGTTTCCGGTGTTGGCGCTAGCAATCTGTAGCATGGCGCCGTCGCTAGGGTCTCCAGCAACGAGGAGACTGGCATATCTACGACTTAGCTCGGAGCGTGTACGTGACACTGGAGCGGCTGGACACATCAGCGAAAAGGCATGCAGAGTGTCTCTACGATGACAGAAAGGTTATCTCCGTAGCAAGGTGCGGGTCGTTGGGGAGCTTTCTGCCTGTGGTTTTCAAGGCTATAGGAATCTTATAGTACAACTTACCCAAAAGCCTTCTAGAGCCTCAACGCTTGATCTCAAAGAATAAGTTGCAAATACACTGCTACCCATTTACTCGGACATCGCGATCAAAGAACATCAATCAAGAAGACTGTAGCGGTTTAATGCAACTCTCAATGCGTGCCTAGGGCGTTGCGTCGTTGAGGCGTCGATTCAGTGCACGCAACAGTCAGTGAAATAGCCGGTTAATAAATTCCGCCGAGAGGTTCATGGACCGACTCCACAGAATGTTGTTGGCCAATTACTCTGCTCCAGATAACTCAATGAGTTGCCGGCCGCTGCTTTGCTTCAGCAACCGTTCGCCGGGTTGGAGAGCAAACGTATCGGAAGTAGGAGGGGATGCCTCCACCAAGCTGCCGATGCTCCACATTGGGTACTACTTTACACTGATGGCAAGTCCTAAAGCAGCAAAACAGATCGAGTAGAGCGCATAGCGTGCATAAATCCTCAATTTCCTCCAGTCTAACACTGAAACATCCTTCGGTTGTGTTGACAATTGCTGCCACCGTTACCATGCCAAACCAACTCCGGGACGACTTACATGCCGTCGATGTCAAGACTTACCCATATATTTTCGAACAGAACGCCTCGGTCAAGCTCGAGGGCGTCGCAGGCATCATTCGGTGCAATGTCTATCGCCCTAAAAATGTTCAGAAAGCACCTGTTATCATTACGTACGGTCCTTACGGCAAAGATACCCCGTACGGCGAGTGAGTACTGTGAATGAAAGTTGCTTGCTCTGTAAACGTACTCAAGTAACCCACAGCTTCCTTGCCCACTCCTTCCATGACATCAATCCGAAGCACAAGACTGTACCAGAGCACTCAGCATTCGAGACGCCAGACCCTCCGTTCTGGACCTCGCAGGGGTTTGCTGTTGTCCGTGCAGACGAGGTCGGCATAGGACAGTCACCGGGAAGCATGAATACTATGTCTAAGAGCACTACGGATGCCTTTGTGCAACTGATCGAGTGGGCGGCAGATCAGCCATGGTCCAATGGCAAAATCGGCTTGCTAGGTATTAGCTATTTCGCAGGTTCTCAATGGAGAGTGGCGGCACGACGACCACGAGGCCTTGCGTGTATCATCCCGTACGAGGGTATGGCTGATTACTATCGAGATCGGGTCCGACATGGGGGGCTTTTGACCGCGTTCTTTCTGAAATTCTGGCATGATCGGCAGTGCAAATCCAACCAATACGGTCTGCCAAACAAATCCAAGAGTCAGAGAGGGCCTGATACTATTGAAGGCGACCTTAGCCAGGAGGAGCTGGATCGAAACCGCCACGATCAGGATATCGAAGCCGCACAGCACTTCTTCCGCGATGAGGATTACTATGCTTCACGTGAATACAATCTCTTAGACATCGAAGTGCCCGTGCTCTCTGTTGGCAACTGGGGTAATACTGTAGTCCACCTTCGAGGCAATATCGAGGGATATGCTCAAGCAGGGTCAAAGCTGAAGTTCCTTCGCCTGGGTGTCGGCAGACACGATCTTCCGTTCTACGCAGATCATGAAGTAGAAGTGCAAAAGAGCTTCATGAGCGCCTTTTTGCTAGGCGACGACTATGCTGGATGGACTACCGGCAAACAGCCAAACGTCAGCTACAAGCTGCGCAAGGGTGACGTCAAGTACGACAGTCCCAAAACGTGGGCAAACGAGTCCTATCAGAGCGCAGAAGCGTCCGAGTGGCCGATTCCGGGCACCACGTACCAGAAATTCTACCTTCACCCCGACCTCTCGCTCAGCTCAGAGAAACCTGATGTTCTTGTACATGATCGCCTTTCTTATCCGACCTTGACTAAACCGGAAGACGAGAAGTACGTTCGGTTCTTCACTGACTCGTTCAACCAGGAATGCGAATTCACAGGACACGTTGTGGCGCGCGTGAATGTCTCGGCTACGTCCACAATCGGCAGTCCCGTGCCGAAGGACATTGACATATTCCTGACCCTCCGGCACTGGGATGTTCACGGCAAAGAGAAGCTCTACACTGGATCCATTGGTGATCCAGTACCTGTCACCAAAGGGTGGCAGAGGGTCAGTCTTCGCAAAATCAACGACAAGCACCCGCTGCACCGTGATTACCGACCGCACCGTGACTTCTTTTCGACGGATGTTCAACCGGTTATTCCCGGAGAAGTGTATCCGGTTGACGTCGAAGTCATTGCAACCAATGTTGTTGTTTCGAAAGGCGAGAAACTGAGCTTTGAGATCAGCGGCGGTGACACTCAGGGTGTGGGCATCTTCCACCATGATTCGCCTGAAAGGTATGGGAGCACCGAGCAATTGCGTCTAAGCACATCTTCATTCACCTCACATCAAACCTGCTGACTTCGACGTTTAGGAACGTCGAAAGGTTTGGGAAACTGAACCACATCCACTTCTCCCCTGAATATGTCAACTATGTGTCGCTGCCACTGATCCCTAAGTAAGCTGGGAACAGGACATGGTAGACATGATGCATGGACAAGCACAGGTGACGATTAATGCACATTGGAGTGTCGAGGCAGCGGGACCATGCCGTGCGCAAGTCGTTAGGTGGTCTCGGTAAAGTAGACGGATGGCTAGAAAAAAGCAGGGTCGCTGAAGCTCGAACATCCTGTCAAGCAAGAATCTTTTGCTATGTGTATCTTGTGGCTGTCGGTCCAGAAAATCTCCATTTTCGTGATATTATTCGGAGCCGGGAGTCGCGGCGTCGCACTCCTATTCCTCGGTCAAGCTGGGCGGTGGGCACATGGCAAGGGCTTCTGAGGCCGAATTGAGACCCTCCACGTTGCCGACAATATTAGCGTCGGTAGAGTCTGGTGCACATAAGTCATGGCACCTCGCTTTTATCCTCATAGTGTATTTATAGGTGCATCTTGCAACACCACTCTGAACTCGCATCGATCTGAATTCTGTCCTGAAAATTGCCAGCTCGAATCGGCCAGAGTCAGACACGATGGCACGACCTCAGCATCTCATCAAAAATGTCGAACCGCTTCACGTTGGCCAATTTTTGATTGTACGTGTGGAGACCGACCATGGCGTTGTCGGCTGGGGTGAAGGAGGAGTCTGGGGTCAGATTGAGGCTGCGGCGACCGCAGTGAAGCGCTTTGCCCAATATCTCATTGGCAAGCAAGCCTTTGCAATTGAGCATCACTGGAACGTAATGCACCGTTTTAGCTACTTTCAAGGTCTCGCAATCAATGCAGCTATCTCAGGAATTGATATCGCGCTTTGGGACATCAAGGGTAAGGTCCTGGGGGTTCCCATATACGAGCTTCTGGGCGGAGCTTGCCGGACCAAAGCGCGAGTGTACGGACACATCTACGAGAAGAACATTGAGGGTATTCTTGCCGAGTGTAAGCGGAAGATGGATCACGGATACACCGCGTTCGGCCATATCAACCCTTTCCTGGACGAGGGCCATGATCAGGTCTATTTTAAGACGCACGTCAGGAAGATGAGGGAGGCTGCAGATAACGTACGCCGCATGCGCGCTGTGGTCGGCGACAAGGTTGACCTGCTGATCGAGCTGCATCGCCGTTTGACGCCCGCCGAAGCAGTGACGTTCTGTAACATGATCAAGGATGAAAATCCCATGTTCGTCGAGGATCCGATTCGACCTGAGAATGCGGACGCCATGGCACGCGTTGCAGACAGGATTGCCGTGCCCATTGCGACAGGCGAGCGGTTCTTCACCATCTATGAATTCCAGGCACTACTAGCGCGCAACGCCCTCGAGTACGTGCGCGTTGACGTTGCCACATGTGGCGGCATCACAGGCGCGAAGAAGGTGGCTGCCATGGCAGAGGCGCACAACACGCAAATAGTGCCGCACAACCCTCTCTCACCGATCGGCTTGGCAGCCTGCCTACAGGTCGCCGCCGCCATACCGAACTTTGCCATTCAAGAGTATGCTACAGGCTTTGAGAGCGGCAATTTCACATCATCCATGAAACACCTTGGCCATGACATTGTCGATAGTGTCCCTGATGTCAGGGATGGATTTGTTGATATCCCTACCGGCCCTGGCCTTGGGGTCAATGTAGTCGACAACGCCCAAGAGATCAGACCGCCTTTTGTGCAACCAATCTCGATGAGGCCACATTTCGATGGCTTTGTTGTTGATCAGTAATGGCTGTAAGGTGCCTCGAAGTACCCGCGCCAACAATACTAGGCAGGGCGAAGTGGCTCAGATGGGGTAGACGCGTAGTGGATAGAGCACCGTACTACAAACGGCGTTGAGCAATCGGGTACGGCAGTCCGAAGCCGTACGATCCTCATAAAGCGCTGGTCCGAACTCTTTCGGCTCCCTCCACCTCCCAGATCGTCGTCTCCACACATCCGCATTTCTAGTGTTGTGGCACGCCGCCAGTCCATGTATGAGATAGCAAATATAATTCCACTTTCACAAGCTTGTTGGCATCCATCAGACTTACCTCTTCACTGACAGTGAACAAGCTGCGCTACTTCGCTCGCGATGGCAAAAGGTGTGGATCGACATGCACGACACGCTGGCAGCTCTAGACTAATAGTTGCAAACTTTTAGACTTGTTGGCTCCGGTGCATTTCATATCTCACGGTACCGCGTCTCTCATCCATGAACCCTCACGGGTTAAGGATTACTGGAAGAAGCTGGGTCAAGACGCACTCGATCATGGCGTCAAGGGCGTCATTATCATGGTAGGAGGCTGTACACCTTGGCACCGACTCATAGCGTTGATATGGTGGTTTTAGGGCGCTCACTGGAATGTCACTGAACCGAACCGAGTCCGCGTCGGCACCAACCCGAACCCTAACTTCATGCCACTTGTAGCCGCTGATTCTGCTCTATGGAAGGACCTGAAGACGAACACCGACATCGAAACTAGTCGGCGAGTCATTCGTCTGCTTCAAGATGCTAACATCGACGCGGTGGAGGATCCTAAGTTTGATTGGATGATTGACACGGAGATTCCGCTCGTTGGCATGTTCGGCACACGCCCTCCACCAGTTGTCATAATCTCTCAGAATTCCTACTGGGATCCGTGGTTCCATATCGATGTTGGCGCAGCCGTTCGACCACTGCGGAAAGAAGGCTACCTATTGATTGGCTCCGGTGGCGGAACACACAATCTGTATCGCACCGAGTGGAAGTACACAATTGGGTGGAAAGATCCTTTCGCTATGGAGCAGCCCCCTCGGCAAGGGGCTCTGGAGTTTCGACAGGCTCTCGAAGACGGGTTCTGCAAGAACAAAGGAGGTCCGCCATTGAGGCGCGCGATGTCCAGGTTAATGAAGCATCCATATTTCCGTGAGGCGCATGGTACGGATGAGCATTACGTATCGGCTTGTTTTGTGGCAGGAGCTTGCGGCGAGAAAGAGGATGAGGATGAACCATGCATCCTGGGAGCTGAAGTTTGGGAACTGGTGAGTAGTCAATCTACCGCCCAACTTTTGCTAATCGTTCTGGGCTGACTGTTGTGCAGCGAAGTCAGAGCGAATCGCAATATACTCTGGGACGATGGCCCACAGAATGGCGGAAGCGGTAGCAGCTCGACTACATATGAGGATCTATCAACTGGGCAAGGCTTGTCATCAATCCGTTCTGGGTAGTAGCAGGAGCAGCCCAAGCTTAGAGTTGGGACGCTGTTGTCCGGAGCTCCGTGCCATGTATGATTGATATGCCTCGTACTGCACCAAGAATGTCGTTTGACTGTGTTTCGAGTCCAAATTTAGGCATCAACCTCACCTTGATCAAACACCTCCTTTGAATCAGATTCACAACGTGCTCTCATCACCACTTCAAGGTAGGCAATCCGAGATGACCGCGTACGCATCGCGATCTGCAAAGAATCCTACCATTCATTTGCAATTCTGTATTTTAGCCAACCAATCCTATGCAATCCTACCAAATCCGCCGCACTGTATACCCACTTTTTACCAAGTCAATGACTCACAGCCACACATGTAGCATTCGAGGGCTATCATACCTGCTCAATTTGACAACCATGGACCATGACGGTGAAGAACATTCGGAGGGCGAACGAGTCACCAGCAATGGCGTTCCAATCCGGGTTGGTAGCGGGTCGTCGAAAGGGTGGCACGCGGCGGTGCTCGTGGTCGGGCCAATGTGGTGGGTTATTCACAGGCTCAGTACCCAAGGGCGAGGCGTTGGGTGTTAAAAAGGACTCATCAGTCTCTCGACTGCTGGGGCGTGAAGGTTGTAGGCTGTTACGTGAAGGGACCGTAGACGCCGGGTCGACCAGTAAAGTCGTCAACGTTGACTGCGGCATAATGGAAGTTGTATCTGTCCGGAATCTGATGACGAAGAGACCTGTTACGCGATGAGCGCACGACTATCGAGTGATGGTTCCGGAATGTTGTCGTACTGTAAAAACAACGGATGGAAGGCTCATGCGACCTCGAGTCCGGGGAATCCCACGCGCTAGCCGTGTACGAGCACTATATCCGGGTATTGCGTCCACCATCACGTCGGAACAGAAGGGGGAGATAGGTTGCTTGGGATTGTGGATGGGCCCGAAAGGCGGTTGAAGGGGTTTAGACCGTGCGCCGACCTATCGGTTGAGGTCCCGATGGGCAAAGCCATCAACAGCCTCTGAAAGTAATTATCGTCTTCTGTAGTCCCGCTCGTAGACGCATCGACTGGTTGCCTTCTGCAGCTTCAACAACATCGCATCGACGCTACTCCGGCAAATCTGGTAATGTCCGCGAAAGCTCTGGACGCGATATGGACGAGCGTTGTCGAGGGACGCGCGAAGAATCTCCGAACCAGACAAAATCACTTGAGAGCTTTGTTCGACTTCTACACCACTCATGGTGACGAAATAATCCGAGCCATACAGACCGACGGAGAGATCAGCAGATCAGAAGCGCAGTGTGTGTACGCCAGTCTTCTTACCGATCTGCGTACGCACTACGACGCTTTGAGCTTGAAAAGGGAACTGGATCGGGAATACAGTGTCCACAATGGCAAAAGCTTGCAGTCGCGAATGGTCGCTACTCCAGCCGTCTACATCCTCCCCGATCCCTTTCTTTTGCTATATAATGTGCTCATCACCGTGCATGCGGCAATAGAAGCAGGCTCTTGCGTTGTCATCGAGGTGCGAGCTCCAATTACGCTTGTGGAATTATGCGGACTGCGCACTGACGATGCCTAGCTCGAGAACACAGTACAAGCGTCGAGGCACTGGGTGATCAAGGCGGTCAAGGAAGCTCTGGATAACAAGGTGTTCACTGTCATCACATCGAGAGCTGATTCGACGTTCCTAGCAGAATGTACTGTTGTAGACCAGACCGGGCAGAGTTCGTTTGCGGCCGGAGCGTCCCGCCTGGAACCTTTGTCATCAGATGTCGCCGAGATGGTTGTGGGAATCGTAGATCGGACGGCTGACGTGAGCCTTGCTGCCAAAGAACTGATGTCAACTCGGCTTTTCTTCGCTTCAAAGAGTCGGTACGCGACTGACATCATTCTCGTTAACGAATTCGTTCTCGATAAATTCATCCAAGCTGCTACTGAGACTGTTGATGCCGTAGCTGCCGTTGTTGGCCAAGCGGCAAAAGATCGGCTCGGCATGAAGCAGGACGCACCGTCCAATCAGGAGCTGGAAGGATCTCATGTTCAGATAGTCCTCGACAATGAGATCGCAAAGATAGCGTTGGTTACCTCGAGGTCAGTTTGCCCCGCCCGTGTGGCCAAAATGTCCTACTGATGTATGAAGCAGAGACAGCAAGCTCCTCAAGTCCAAGGGATCTGGGCGTACCATCATCCTGCACAGCTTTACGAGCTTAGATGATGTTCTCGATCTCCTGAACTTCTCAAACTCCACCTACAGCGCAATATACCTCTTCGCAGCACTATCTGAGGCGAAGTACCTCTCACAATATATCCAAAGTCGCGCAACCTTCGTCAATCATGTCCCAGCGGGGCTACTGGGTGAGTAAGATTCCAGTCAGACACACTGTGCTGGTTGCAGAACTGACATCGTTGTTAGCTGGACCTGTAGCACCGAAGAGGTATGCAACACGAGTAGACGTCCGCTACGCCCGCGAAATGTTCGAGTACCCTAGCCCTCAAATCGTCGGAAACGAAAAGTCTCGTAAAGCATCATCGTTGATCAAGCTCTGCAAGGCAGGGAAACCACCTCGCGTACTGGCAACAAGCTTGTCCCCTCTCAAACCAACGGGACAGCCTCCGGCAGGCGCCTGGGATTTCTTTGGCGTGGGTGTTGTGGTTGGAGCCACGGTGTACCTGCTGCCTATTGTCGTTGGCTCGTTAGCTTTGACAATCACTGGTACCTACTACACAACACGCTGGCTTCTTCGGGCCTGAAAATGTGCAAGATGTACACCTTCATATCTAGTGTGTGCGGCACCAGAGTATAGCGGAGAGAACTGCATCGCCGGCGATGCGATCGGTAACTCAAAGGCATGCCCAACAGTATAATGCAACCCTTACGCACAGCCACAGGTATCAAGAGAGGCTGTCGAAGCCGGTGTAAGGCAAGCTATAATTTGGTGTAAACGAAGATTAATTTTCAGCCTATAACATTCTTTCGAACACTATTACCCTGCCCAGCGCTGGCTGCGCACTCACGGTGTTCCACAGTGTAGATCTTAAACACATACTACGACCTAGGAAATGTAAAAGGAACGTTGGATTAGGTCCACATGATCCAATATAAGGCGTGGCATAATACCATCAAGGGAACAACTCGTCGAAGAGAGAACAGCACCGATCATTGCGGATCCTTCTTACATGTGCACCACATCGCTCATCCACCCAAGTACCAATGGAGGTTGCACGGATACACTAGACCACGTTGTTGCCGCTCCCGGCATACGAGGTTCCTTGGTATTGTGGACCGTTCCGATATCCGGTGACCAGATCATTTGTCTAGTCAGGTTATGGTACTATAGAGTGGTCTCCTCGGTCTGCCCGTCCCATGATGTGTCGTGTTTCCACCTAAGATGTTCCGAGGGGCGCGGGGACTTCTCCGCACAGTCTTTGCGGATGCCCCACACGACTTTCTTCTGCGCCCATCGTGGGGCAAACCGCTGTAGAACATGTTCGGCAAGCGAAAGCCACCCTTTCGAGATGCTGTCGGTAAAGCCGACACCGACCGTGCGGCTCACACTTGTGCCACGATAAGGCTTCTGATCTGCCTAAAGCGTAGGCGGTAATCGCGAGCCTTGAATAACTCCAGCTTCCATCCTGTCTGCGCATGGTGTCATCTTCGGCGGCGAGGGCGTGTTCGTAACCACCCCCGGATGCGTCGATAGAGAGGCTTCGGCCGCGTGACCATCATTTGGTCAATATTGGTCGGCTCGCAGAAGCTGCCGGCGAAAGCCAGCGCGGATGTCTAGCACGACCGACCATGCGGGCTCGGGGCCGAGACGAGCGTGCGGCTTCCTGTCTACAGGTTCTCCGTCTAGCCTCGCTCAGTCTACACGCAGCGATTCCGTGAGTGGACGACCTCAAGGTATAGTATTGTCATGAGCTATGCATGAAAGTAGTTGCAGGCCTGGCATGTTGAATGAGTACAACACTCAGCTGTCCTCCGCTATTCCCCACCTCAGCATATCCGAAGTCGGCGCGTTCAACATGGTTTCAAATGATACTACTACTTGCGGCGCAGACCAGTCCCGTCCGTTGAAGGTCTTGATTGCTGGCGCTGGTATAGGAGGCCTAGCGGCAGCCATTGCTCTTCGCAACGAAGGTCATCATGTCGTGCTGTATGAGCAATCAAAGCTGGCCGAAGAGGTGGGCGCTGCCATACATGTGGCACCGAATTGCCATGGCTTGTTGAAGCGATTGGGAATGGATCTACGAGAGTGCGGATCGGTCGAGCTTCTCGGTTTTACCGAATATAATGTTGCAGGTGATATCACTCGGGAGGTTGATACCCGCCCGATCAACAAGATGTGGCAGCACTCTTGGGAATTGATCCACCGAGCTCATCTGCACACAGCGCTGAAAGAGCTTGCGACGTCGACGTCAAGACCTGGAAGACCTGTAGAGCTTCTCGTTAGCGCTAGGGTGAAGGAAGTTGATCCATCTAGCGCAACCGTGACACTTCTAGACGGCACACAGATAACGGGCGACCTGGTCATTGGGGCTGATGGGGTGCGCTCACAGACGCGGAAAGCCATTCCTGGTGGAGACAAGCAACCTTTCAGCTCTGGCAAGTCCGCGTACCGCTTCCTTATTCCCACCGAACAGATTGCGAATGATAAGAGGATCAGCGACTTCATCCGCTCCGATGGCTACATGGTGATTTGGACAGGAGAGGACCGGCGCGTGGTAATGTACCCCTGCGCTGCAGGGAAGGCAATGAACTGTGCCGCCATCCATCCCAGCGAGCTTAGCGATGAAACACTCAGAGGCCAAGAGAACGATTGGCAAAAACGGGGCAACAAGTCAAGGATGCTTGAAATGTTCGAGGATTTCGGCGAACGATTGGGAATTCTTCTTGGTATGGCAGAAAATCCCCGGATCTTCACGTTGCTGGACATGGAAAAAATGCCCACCTTTGTATACCAGCGGCTTGCGATCCTCGGTGACGCCGCACATCCTTTCCTCCCACGTAAGTCTGCCGTCTAAAACGTCTGAGGTCAGTTCTCGAGTTGCTCACGACACATTCCAGATCAAGCACAAGGTGGCGCACAAGCGATTGAAGACGGCGTGTGTCTTGCGGCGCTATTGCCTCGCGGCACAGATGCAAGCGATATTCCAGATCGTCTTGAGCTGTATCAACGCCAGCGATACGAGAGGAGCCATACGATTCAAACATACACGCGCTTATCCGGTGCAGACCTGAAAGACGGGCAAACTCTTGATATGAGTCGTTTCACGGCGTACAATGTAGGCCACGACGAGTGGCACTCGTCAAAGGCAGCGTTGGAGAAGCATCTGGCGCTGAAGGAGCCGACCACACGTTGGCGTACGCCAATTGCCTTTGGCCCTGCTCCAGGACCCCGTCAGCCCCTAGGACTTCCCTTGCACAGTGAGTTACTCGCACGCGTTCGATCCGAATGTCCAGAGACTTCTTCAACTCTGGCCATCCGTTTCAAGACTTCCCGGACATACTTGCAAAGACTGCTGCCTCCTGGGTTTAGCTACGTTAGTCCCGCAACACTCTGTGAAGCGACGATATCTTGCACTACACTCAAAGGACTGGCGTGGCTTGGAGGCGGTGGCTACAGCTTTGTAATGCTTCGTCTTCATGGCATACAGTACATCAAACAGAACGGCGAAAAGGTACTTGGCGCGTTCATACCATTGATCTTCGAGAATCAGACCGACCCGATAATAACTGGTCGGGACGATGTGGGGATGCCAAAGCTTTATGCTGCGATCGAGCCCCAACACATGGGGAACGCTGCTACTGTTGAAATAAGTTGGCAGGGCTGCAATTTCGGTAGCCTGGCGTTTCACGAGTTCGAGTCGACAGCAGAGCCATCTACGAACGGCGCCGACCCAGTCGAGACTAAAGAGGTGTCGAGCTCAACCATGCCATCGGACAACGGGCAGCTGGCCTGGCGGTACGTACCTGCTGTGGGCGAACCTGGCAAAGCAGATGCACAATATCCAGTCTTCGTGCCCAACGCCGATCCCACCAAATATGCGAGAGATGCCACAGTACGCAAGGCCACCGCAGCAGAAGTTCATTTCTCCGCCAAGAGCTGGTCTCAGCTGCCCACACTGCATCATATTGCTCGTACATTGGAGGAAATGCCACAGTACGGAGTGGTTGCGGCTGAGCACATCGTGGCGAGTGGCGTTGACGATCTTCGGGGTGCATACAGAATTGAATAGCAGGAATATGGGTATGTGGGAGTTCTCACGGCCGTGCCAGTATTGGTTGTCGTACGTATCTAGCAGAAGTGCGTCATATAGCCCTGTAAGCCGGGTTTCCGCCACAGGCACTGTATTGTCCACGTACTGGCGCCAGAATTAAGTGTAGTGCCACGACGAAAGCATGCGGGGCTGCCAAAGCATTGCGGACTGGAAGGGCAAGGTCAACAGCATCGTAAATGACCATCCACACGGAACCTGTTGCCTGCTGGGACGATCCACAGGATTCCGTTGGAAGTTTCTTACGAGATCTGCAAGGTGACAGACTCAGGACACAGACCTGCGAAGGTAGGCCACTTACATGCATCATGGTACATAGCAACAGCAAAGCTCGGATATGATCTGCAATGTACCCATACACCCAAATCGTGTGCAGAATCCCAACAATAGACTTACTCCCTCCCCGTGGGCATGAGTATGACATAGGGGGAGACTGAAGGCCGCATCTGCGCAAGTAAACCTCACTGTTAATGAACAGTAAGGTCTTGCAACGATTAAATAGTGATACAAGCCCACCCTCGCAGCAGAAGTCGAGATAGCTAATGGGAGCTCTGCCGCTGTAAGGGACAGAGATCAGGCACTGGCGAGGCTTTGTTCTCTCGGAATCGGCTTCCCTGTACGTCATTGGATTTGTGAGGCGATGCAATAACACACATGCTATCGTCGTGCAGCATAGGTCGCAACAAGTGAACGGATTTATGATTGCAGTATGGACAAAGATCTGTGCAACAGCGATATTTCGCGGCAATTTTGGCGGTGTCTACAGCAAGAATAGCGACAATTGATCTCATCGTCGTCAATAACGACAACCAAAATCGACAAAAGCCCCCAACAACGGTAGATTGCGAAGCGTCATTTGGAAGGGGCAAGACCCCTCTAAGCTGTTCGCGCGTCAGGATCAAGCTACTGTCACTCTATGCGGTGCTGGCTTGAGGATTCCGTCCCCCATCTCATCCAGCTGGGCGAGAATGGAATTTGCATTGCGGTCACCCACCACCCATTGCATGAAAGGCGTCCAATTGAGGAGTGCATCGCGGAAGAATCGGAGATACCATGGCGTGTGGTGAAAGAATTGGCCGTTGAAGTATGCCAAGTTCACCTGTTCGTAAGTATGGGCCATCCGGCATCTCTCGTACTGCACAAGCGCTTCACTCACGGCAGATTTGTCGCTCAATTCGACGCCATGGAGTAACTGGCCCAAGAAGTATCCATCACAAATTGACATGCCAGCACCATACGCGGCATAGGGCGATGTCGCATGCGCCGCATCTCCGGCCAATGTTATGCGACCTTTCGACCAATGCGGGATTGGTTTTAGGTCCCGGATTTTCCAAATCTGTGTTTGGGTCGCGGGAGTTTTTCTGACAACGTCGGCTACGGTAGGAAAAGACTCTGCGGCTTGCTTAACAGCCCGCTGGTGAACTTGTTCGCCACTCTCTGGAACAGGCTTGTCATCTGGCCAGCCTTCCACAAACCACCACTGGACTCCTCTCCGCCCCTTGCTCTTTATTGCAGTCACCGCACACTGTGTTGTTGGGCTATGAATGATTCTGACCTCACTATCCGCATTATTGAAGTCCTCATGAAGCGTGTAGCCTCCATAGACAAAGAGGTTGTGCGGTCGCTTGTCCTGAGGGCCCCAAAGATAGCGCCTGGTGAAGGACTCAATCCCATCCGCGCCGATAAGTACCGGAGTCTCTACCTTGGTGCCGTCAGCGAAAGTCAAAAGGACATTGTCTCCCTTGTCGGATATTTCAGTCACGTTGTGGTTGAATTTAATAGTATCTTTGGGCAACGCATCGAGCATGCGTGAGTACAGGTCAGGTCGAAGAAGCCCAACGAAACCACCGCCGTACTCCGCTCCTATACCTGTAGGAATCTTGACCTCGCATCGTTTGACGCCAGAAGAACTCCAGAATGAGGTACTGCATCCAGCACCGATCTCCTTGATATCAACACCCATGTCTTCTAACGCTTTGATGGGGGGAGGCCAGAGATTGAGAATGCTCCCAGCGGGCCGCGCGTGCGAATAGCGTTCATAAACGACCACCTGATGGCCAGCTTTGATTAGGCCAAGTGCAGCCGCCATACCAGCAGGCCCGCCACCAAGTATCACAATAGGTTGGACAGGCGACATGGCTTTCGGTGGAGAATACGGTGGATCTAGGCCGGAGGCGCTTTCATCGAGCGCAATGCAATAGATAGAAATTGTGAGTGTCGATCGTCGTGTGAGGTACGGCGTCTCAAAGGGATATGTAGGTCGCAAGACGCTATCCTCCAGTTCGTGTTTCCTGTAGCCGAGTGTAAACTTGGGGAAGCTTTCTCAGTCGGAAGTGGTGGAGAGCTCGGTATCTCGTGCAGGCCGAGCTCTCTGTAAGCGAGCACGCGGTGATGCAGGCAATAAATGTGCAGTCTGAACACCTACAGGCCACCTGGTACGGGCGCTCTGGCTCGTATGTCCTAGCCCGAGCTAACCAGGTAAGCAGTCAGTCGTGGGAGAGAGGAATCCATCAGACATCGGTATCCGGCATGTCTTCTTGGTACCTGCAAATGTGATCATGGTATGCTGCATCTACAGTCCTCCGGTCCACTTAGGCAGACACATTCGCATTGACCAGCCGCTCGAATGCCACGCCCCCAAGTGTTTGCGTTTTGACCATTGGCTCTACTCGATAACGATGGTGATGACCTGCCGTGCGATCTTTCCGCTCTTGCATCTCTGTGTAGGTCCCGCAGTGTGGCGTGAAGGAGCCGAACGCAGTATATCTGGGGTTACTGTGGGGGAAATACCGGGGGGCCGAGCCCAGCAGAGGAACAGTCTCCTGACCTTGAGCATCTCATCTATATGCGGACTGCGCTTCCCAACTTTGTCTCCCTCCGCGTGTCACCACATCGGAAAGACTCTACGAGGAATACCAACCAGACTCCATTGCTAGCACAACTAGACCATGTCAGATCTCAACGATTCTGCCGTCCAAGCTCATCATGAGAAAGGGGACTCTGCTGAGTTGCGGGAGATAGCCGGCGATGGCAATCTTGTTTACGCTGATGTCGAAGACGAGCCAGCTCTCCACTGGAAAACATGGCTTGCTATCCTGGCCATCTTCTTCCAACAGTTCGCAACGCTCTTCGCCCTTATAGGCCCTCCCACGGTGGTATATCAGTCGACTCCATCGTTTGATATGATGAAAACGACTTGCTAACACATGGTTTGTAGCTCATTTACATTGGGAGAGATTTGCAGAACTCGCAAAGGCAGAACTGGATCCCCAACATTGCGCCAATGGTGCAAGCTTCGTTGGGTCCTTTCTTTGCCTCAGCCTCGGATACCTTCCAGATCCGAAAACAATTCTTGATGGGATTGAGTGTTCTCGGCTTCATCGGCTCAACGATCGCACCAGGATCGCAAGACATATACCGGCTCATTGGGGCTAGTCTGTTGATTGCCATGGCTATTGCGACAGGGCCGATCGCGTACGCCGTACCTAGCGAGATTGTTCCTAGAAGATGGCGTCCATGTAAGCAAGCAAGCCTCAACCGTTCTTCCCGTCAATGAGCTGACCCTTGTCTTTAAGTTGCACAAGGTGCGATTAACGTTGGCGCAGGTCTTGCCGCCACCACCGCGCCCATTATCTGTAAGTCGTCCCTTGCACTCCACCTCTTGGGGACGAGTCCATGACTAAGTGGTTCAAGGCGGTGCCATGCAAAGCGGAATTGGCGGTGGTGGATGGCGCAACACTTATGTATGTCGTCCCATTATTACCGCCAGCCAAATGCCTAACCGCTCTTTAGTGGCTTCAAGCTGGACTCTGGGGCGCGTCAACCATCGGAATCCTGGTTGGGTACAACCCACCCAAAAGGCATACACGGTATGACCACCTCTCTTGGATTCAAAAGCTAGGCAAATTGGACCTTGTTGGGTCCTTTCTTCTGACAGCCGGAATGACTTTGCTAATCACCGGACTCAACCTTGGTGGAAACTTATTCCGATGGAGGAGCGCTGAAGTGCTCGGATGTCTGATCTCCGGTATCCTAAGCTTGATAACGTTTGGCGCCTATGAGGCATGGGGCACAGCTACTGGCATCCTACATCACGATCTCTTCCGAGACAACGGGCGCCACCTGGCAGCTCTGACAACTTGCTGCGCGCTATTTTGGTTGGAAGGGTTGATGTTCTTCGGCTTCGCCAATTTCTACCCGATTTTGTAAGTCAACTCAACACGCTGGACCGCCTCAAGTATGCCCATGCTGATCAGGAGTAGGATGACCTTCCTCTTCACGACCAATACTGTGATGGTGGGAGTATACTCGCTTCCGTGTTTTGCCATCGCAACAGTAACAACCATGCTATTCGCTGCATTCAGCAGCAAAGCCAAGATGATACGCTCACCACTGGTCATCGGCTTCGCAATCTGGACGGCTGGTATTGCGGTGCTCGCAGCTGTGCAGCCCGGACAGCTCGGAATCGCCCTTGCAGGGGCAACGCTCGTGGGTGTTGGCATTGGTGCCCCCATAGTCCTGATTATTGCAGCCGTGCAGCTCTCCAGTCCCCACCACCTGATCGCCACTGCCACAGCAGCCGTTGTCGCTTCACGTGCGCTGGCTGGTGGAATTTTCACCGCAGTATACTCGGCTGTCATGACCAACCGCCTCGACAAGTACATCCCGTCATACGTTTCTACGGCGGCGCTTGGTAGCGGTCTTCCCCCAAGCTCGCTTGGTGCGTTCATCGGAGCACTCACGTCGCACGACTTTGCCGGGCTGTCTCAGATACCCGGCGTAAGTCCTGCCATCACTGCTGCTGGTGCAGCCGCATTGACAAAGGCATATGCTGATGGAATACGCGTCATCTTCATCATTGCAGCGCCGTTCGGCATCGTTGCTTGCATTTTTACGTGCTTACTTCCGAATCTCAAGGGGAAGATGGATTACCTTGTCGAGGCGCCGATGGAAGAATTGCACCATCGTCATCACCATTTTTCGCATTCGACATCTCCGGGCAGTCATCAGTGAGACTCTGGAGACTAGGCACAGCTCGAAGTGTACGGAAGAAATTTGCATGCGTGAGCAAGAATGGATATGCTTGTGTTTCTTGACCACTATGTCATTGCAGAGCGACAGCTCCGTACATCTATTCGCTAGCTGCTTGCCTGTCGATTTGATGCTATATTCATCAACTTCCCCACAGGCTACGCCCATAATCTCCATCTTCTCTATACAATCTGTTGATTTACATATCGTTTCCGGAAGCAAAATCCGACAACGCGTTTTACTGTGTCCTCAGCTTGCCGTACTTCGATGATTATTTCGTAGGGTTTGACGGAGAAATCAGGAAAACACGTAAACCGCGTTATACGCTTGCTCTCCTGTCTCGAAGCAGCTCCTGCTACACTCGCAGTGGTACTTAGAGTTGGTATAAAACATCAATACCGAGCTTCTTCTCATGCAAACAAGGACCTACTTTGCGCCCTTAACATAGGCAAAACGGACACTCGCAAGGCTCTGGATTACTCGGACACCGACCCCCAGAGCAGCTCGACGCTCGCCAACTAGCCCAGTCACAATATCGCACTCGCAACGGACCTTGATGGGCAGACACTCGCATCTCTGCCAAAGTACTAAAACATGCCGGTGCTGGCGCATGTTGGGCACCCTTGCTGAAGCTGTTGGCGAGTGTGGGCAGAAACGAAGGATCGGCAAGCGGAGCGTGCACCGAGTCGAAGCGGCCTTTCAGCCAGCATGTATCGTTTTGTCTTATGTAGTTGTCGAGCAGCCACGAGCTACCTGTCATGAATGCGACTCCAACGATAAGAAACAACATCCGGGCTTGCATAGTTACGGTGGTCATCGAGCATCAGCCGCGAACCCTACATCTTGATTCGTAGTCGGCTGCGTGATCGCCAATGGCACGTGCTGATGTAAAGCCTGGTGTATCAGCGATTGTCATCGCAAACATTCTCATGTGGTGACATATGTTGCTATTTAGACGACGGCATGGACGCGGACGATGCGCTTCGTTTCCCACTACAAAGTCAAGATAAGTTCCTCAATGAGAGGGGCTGAATCCGAAAGTTGTGTCAATCCAGTGACGATCATGGCGGCAGACGGGCGTGACATAACCGTATACGGGTAGAGGTAGGGAGCCAACGGTACGTCCGACAGGGCAAACTCCGCGAGAAAGCAAAGAATGAAATCCTGTGGAAATCAGGCGTGCATTGAAGGACTTTGAGTCAAATACAGTGCCTACATGTCTGGGCTTCAGGGACTGGGTACTCGTAATAACGCAAATGCCCTGACAAGTACTGGTCTGCGAAAGTTATTCTACACTGTTGGGTCCGGCATCTTGGCCGTATAACAAGCGAACTCTGCAGCCATTCGGTCTTCCAGATCAAGCAGTGCGAATTCGTACGCGCCGCGTGGTGGCGGCCATTGTTGTCATACGGTGAGCCATGCACATAACATGGCGCTTTCTTGCCGGCCCACAGAGGCTCCTCTTCCGCTGTGCGGTACGTCATATGGTCTTGGGCTCGCAAGGAGAAGTGACCGTGTCGTCGCGGACAGGCAGGCGTCGGGAAGTGCTGCGCTTCGAATTGAAGCTGTCTAATGATCGGAACGTTAGGTGTAACCAGGTGTTGCAATGAAAGTCTTCACGACGATCTCCACTTGGTCAGGAGATCCTTGCGAACAGTGGACAACCTGACCAAGCCTACGAGATCGGTCAAAGCTGTTGATCTCTACAAGCTCGGGCGTGTAGGTACACGCAGCTCACGCGCTACACCACTGGACTCTGGACGCTGAGGAAGTCGTACTAAGTCGTAAAGCATGTACGGTCTACCTATCCGATCTTGGTGTGCCCAACAGCCTGGATGCGGTACACTTGTGATCCGTAAGATATCCCAGGCATGATAGGGTACTCATCTGTCTATACACGAGTATCGATGGTGGCATTTGGCTCGCTAGGCCATGCCGCTTGTGGAAGGATTTTTGCTTGAGTATTGGACGAAATCACCGAGAGCCGGCTCCAGTCAAGTCCAAACAAATGTCTTATCATTCATGCTTGTCGTTACAAGCTGACTCAGTACATTGCATATATGACATCCAGCATCTCCACCCAGCAGTGAACTCCACTAAGCATAGAAACATTTCTCGAGTGACTGCTAACGTGACTACGTGACAATTCAACTTACGCGGCCACAGCCTCCCTACTGCGCGTTGAGGTGATCCACTCGTACTGGTCACCGAGATGGTTCGCTGCTCGAAGGTCACCGGATCTTGCATGTCCCTCGAACAACTCTGCTCTTGCAGATCGCCCGCAGAGCCGTCCCAGCTGACCGCTCGCCTGCTCATCTCTCACTTCTTGGTAGGTCGTCGTGCGGAGAAACTTGCCAACCCACAAGCCGCCGGTATATCTAGCTGCTTTCTTGGTTGGAAGTACGTGGTTCGTGCCAATACACTAGTGGTCTGTCAGTCAACGCTTCCTGTTGCGAGGATATGAGACAAACCTTGTCTCCAAATGAGACACATGTGTTTGCTCCGAGGAAGAGTGCACCATAATGCTTCATCTTCTCGAGTGCTTGCCGTGGATTCTGAGTAAGGATTTGCACGTGCTCGGAAGCATACTCGTCCGCAACTTCAAAGGCTTCATCCAATGTATCCGTTAAGATGACTTCGCCGAAGGTATGCCATGACACCGAGGCGATTGGAGCTGTTGGCAAGACCTCCAGCAGCTTCTCCGCCAACTCAATGGTGCGCCGACCTACACTTTCGGAATTGGTAATAAGTTGTGCAGGCGTGTCAGGCCCGTGCTCGCACTGAGACAGCAGATCCACTGCACACATGTATGGGTCCTGTTTTCACGCATGTTGTGTTAGTTTCGACATCTGTTCCGCGTCTCGGACACCGAAACTGGTGGTCTCATTAACGATTGACTCACGGCGTGCTCATCTGCCACCACCAGTACTTCCGTCGGGCCCGCAAAGAGGTCGATTCCAATCTCTCCGAAGAGCTGCCTTTTGGCTTCCGCTACGTATGCATTGCCGGGGCCGGCGAGGAAATCAACCTTGTCGATAGTCTCTGTGCCAACACCCATTGCCGCCACAGCCTGAACACCTCCAAGAATGTAGATCTCGTCTGCTCCAGCCAGATGCATTGCGGCCACGGTAGCGTTGGGGATCTTGGCGCCGATTGGTGGCGTGCAAGCGATGACCTTCGGAACTCCAGCCACTTTGGCCGTGAGAATGGTCATATGGGCGCTTGCGAGCAACGGATAACGACCGCCGGGTATGTAGCTAATTACGTCAGCTTTGCATTACAGTTGTCGACCATCAGCTAACGCACCAACCGACTTTCTCGATAGGGTTGCTCTTTTGACCCAAGAAAACGCCAGGCGAAGTTTCCAGTTCAAAGTCCTTGAGTGATGCTGCTTGTGCCTCTGCGAACTGTCGAACGTTGCTTTGCACTTGTTTGATGTCCTTCACGGTTTGTTCAGGACATGCTGCGATGGCCTTGTCAATTTCTTCTTGAGACAGACGGAAGGATGGGCGTGTCCATGAGTCAAATTGCTCGGAATATTGTAGCACTGCTGAATCTCCATGTGACTGAACGTTTTCTATAACTGCTCTGACGATGCTTGCAACGTCCACAGATGATCCATTCAGAGCCGCTGTGGGCTGCTTTGACTTGAGATGTTGACGCATATTGATGACCAATATTTCGTGGGTCAGAGCGATGGATCTGTCGTTGATCTGGCGATGCAAGAGTATCTCATATGTTGCTGATGATTTCGCGTTCCCGAGACATATAACATCTCGGCCCGCATTGATGTGGTGTGGAGAGGCGTGCATGTTAAGATTTCGGGCCCGCATCACGCCCAGCACCTGCAACGGCCGGGTCGTGTTGCGCAGCTAAGTAGCGCGACTGAGCCCCTGCAAGCCGAAGATGCAAGATGTCCGTGGACATAGGCAAAGGATGGCTATTGCCAAACATTCCTAAACGGTCCATATGGCGTGCTGTCGAACGGGTTGTGAAAGCTTCAGATGTATTGCATGCATTCAGAACGTGCCCACATCCAGGGTGTTACAGACATCCGTGCGCAACCTCGACACGGACCGAATTCCGAATCGAAGCCGTCGGATTCAACCGCACTCGTTCCGAAGCCGTATGCAAAACATCACCTATACACTTGCAGGACGGGGACCACTTATGTGATGGAAGCAGCTGCAAAGCACTGGCTTGAATACTTTGGCAATCTGATCATGTAGACTGCTCAGCTACCTTCCTGCTCCTCCTCCTTCGCCTCCTCCCCTTTCCGCTTCTTCCCTAACAAATCATTCAGTTTCCGCGCAACATTAAACGTGCCTCCAGTATCTGCTCCGCAATTCGCGCACGTCTTCTTCTTCTCCTTCATATACCGCGTCATCGCACACTTCTCGCAGAAGTAATGCCCACACCGCGTCACAACCGGCCGCTGGTAGTCGTCCTTGCAGATGATACACTTGAACGGGATACTCTCCAACATCTTCTCCTCGTCATCTGCAGCATCGTCGCCCTTCTTCGCGGAGCCAGGCTTCCTGTCCTTGCCTACCTTCTCCCACTCCTTGTCCAGTTGCCATCCTTGCTTGTAGTCCTCGCGTGCGTGCAGGAACTTGCAGCTGTCGCCAAACCCACAGAAGCCTGTTTGTTTATAGTCTTTGCAGACGTCCGGCGCAAAGTCCGTGACGGTGATGGTTCGAACGTTTGCAGGCGCCTTTACAGGTCCAACCTGTCTGCCAGGCGCATCGGCATTCTTCTGGATGAAATTTGAGTACCCCGCTGCGCCTTTGTACGTTCCATCCGTATCTTCTTGTGTTGTATCTTCTTGCCTCAGTCTAGCGACTCCTCTCGCGCGCTCTGCACTGTCTGCCCCTGTGTACCAATTGGAAGTCTTCGTGGCATCTTCGCTCGCCGTAATTACCTTTGCGCGATCTGCCTCGAAAGCCGTACTTTTGCTAAGATCTAACGGACCTCTCCGAGCATCTGTTGCGACGGCGACTCCGGTCTTCTTTCGACGCTTCACACGTGTGCCTTGCTCGTCATCTGTAAGCTCAGAATCTGAGCCTGAGTCTTCTGGCGGCGGCGTTGCTGGTCGCTTGCGGATATTCGAAGTCTTGTTCGTTCGTTTCTTAAAAGCTGGCACGGCTACTTCTGCCATGTTGTGAAGACAATAGTACCGACTCACTAAGAACGTAAAGAAGTGCTACTTTGTATGTCCTGGTTGCAGTTCGAGACCTTCCATGCCGCTTTCGAAGTTAGCGCCACTATTGCGCAAGCCTCTTGTGGCTGACAAATGTGGCTTCCATGTCATGTTCACTGCATGTTCGGTCCATTTCGAACGTGGATGTCACTGGCAAGTCGGTCGGTGATGTCTTTCATCGTTATGCAAAATCCTTGTTGTATTGCTGAAACTGCTTATGGAGCGCACTACTCTGCCAACTGGACCACGCAACGTAAAAGATACTTGATTGGCTCATACTGTGACACGCAACGCTCATGTCGCAATGAGACCTTCTCTCGAAGCTCATTGGCGAGTCACGTTGTTGTGTTGATCTGTGCTTGGCCGCTAATCAACATCATGAGACCACACACGTTGCTCGTTGTTGCGTGACAACCCATTCCCTCCCTATAACCACCCCCAGCATTGAAAAAACTTCTCTTCATCTTAGTTCTTCTCTTCTCGGTCCGGTAGGCGCGCATGCAGGAAGACTGGACGCGCATGAACGATACTGTGGGGATTTGAAAGCGGCCCCACCAAAGCCTGTGTTTCGTAAACAAAAGGAGGGCTGTTGTCGGCACGAGCATCAAAAGTGCTGTACAACGTGCGGTGTCACCCTGCATGCCTACTACACCTTCTTCGACTCAACCGCTCCTCATGCAAAGGCAGCGCAGACACCGCTTCAGCATCTCCTGACTTACCTTCTCGAATCCTGAAGCTCGGCCAAGGACTTCCCTATGGCGACTTCAGCTAATCTAACCCCGGGCGCCATACCGGCAAATGGACATGGCGATCCCTTCGTTGGACCTGGCACAGGCGCACTCAGATACGGTTCCTTCGACACCGACCATTTTTCTATGTACTCATCCAAGTCGCCTTCTCACGCCCGACGCGCTCTGGAAGCGCATCTGAGGGATACGGATCGCCGATTACAGGACGCTTCGAAGTTGGGCAGTACGTTACTGCAACAGCGCAAGGACCTCTCTGCGCGCTTGGAGGAAGTCAAGCAGGTCCAGCAGGATGACGAGCTTCCAACCGATCTGCGTAAGAAGCTCACGGAGCTGGAACGCGAATACAATGAGATTGGGAAGGAGTCTGCGCGCGCCTTCCTGACACGACCCAAAGCCGCACAAGCCAGTGAGAACGGTGCCACGCCGACTGTGCTGAGCGGCCAGGCTCGTGAGTCGCCGACCAAGGTCTCTGCTCCGTCGCGGAAGCAGCGCAATCAACCGAGCAGTCGTGTGCACGACATTGAGTTCGCCACCGAGATTAGTACCTCGTTGCTTGCTCAAGTCAGGCAGCTGCAGGCGGCATTAGCTGAGAGGGATGAGACGTTGAGGGAGACCGCGTCTGCGAAAGCGCGCCTAGAGGCAGAGGCGACTGGTTTGGTAGGGCGCATCAAGCAGATGGGTGAGCATGAGCAGCGATACAAGGACGATAGTTGGAACCTAGAGATGAAAATTCAAGAGCTGGAAGGAAGCTTGCGTGAAACGACAGACAAACATGACCGTGTCCACCAATCGCTCAGAAGCGTAGAGTCCGAGAAGACTGCGGCGCAACGTGAGCTGGACGACCTGCGAGTCATCCATGATAAGCTGAACGAAGACCACGCGGCGAACAAAAGGCAGCAGGAGGTCGACATGCACAGTCTTCGCAGGGATGTCGCCACGCATCAGACAGAACGGCAGACCTTGCAGAAGAAGATCGACGATCTGACTGCTCAGAATACAGAGCTGGCAAGAGCACTGTCTTCACACTGGAGCCAACCTAGTGAGGTTGCTGACCATGACCTTGCCACGCCGATGGAAGAAGACTACGGGGATGACCTTACTCCTGAGCACTCCGAGCCGCCTTCTCCGGTCAAAGGCACGCCACGGCACGGTATGCTGGAGTCGGAGACTCTGAAATCCAGTCTCAACCATGCACACCGCATGATTCAGAACCTTAAGAACAACATCCACCGCGAGAAGACCGAGAAGGTCGAGCTCAAGCGCATGCTGCAGGATGCCCGGGACGAGCTTGAAGCGCGCCGTGGTGAGACTGGCGTAACGGCTGCTAACATGGCGAAAAAGCGCAGCCGTGACACGGACAGCAGCAAGTTCAAGAGGCCTGCCAGGCCTGATCGACTCGGCGCGAACAGAAGCAGTACGACCGAAGTTATGGAGGATGAGCCGGACTGGGAAGATCATGAAGGCCAAAGTACGCCGAGCAAGTCACGCTTCCCCATGGCTGCTGCAGGTGTAGTGGCTGGTGTTGGTGGCATCGCTACGTTCGAGCATGTTGCAATTGGCGGTGCCGAGACGGATGCCACCGATGCCTTCGAAACCGCAAACGAGCGTGACACAACTACCGAGACCGAAACCTTTGAGACCGGAAACGAGGATCTAGGTGCCGACGACAGCGACCTTACAGAGACTGAAGGTGGCCTTCTTGGTCGCTCAGGCACCGTGCGCGGAAGCGGCGTCACTCCACTCGTGGGTGCAAAAGTGGGCAGGCGCCGCTCGTTGCAGTCTACCGCATCAGCCTCCGATGACGAAGCCGAGAATGTGTCGACGCCGGTGCAGAGTCAACAGCCGAAGTACCGTCTTCGAATGAGCCGTGGGAACCGTCCTTCGAGTCGGCTCAATGACGTCTTAGCGGACAGTCCGAGCCTACATAGCCCGTCTTCAAGCGTCGGGACGCCGCAGCCTGCTGGTCCGAGCCTAGGTGATGAGCTCAATGCGCTAGACGATGGCAGCCTTGCAGGAACGCCAAGCAGACTGTCCATAATCTCTACTGCGTCACCAGAAACCGAACGGCAAATGAGCCTTGAGCCAGAAACACCTGCTGAGCTAGACGCAGAAGATGGGACAGTCGCAACTAAGGGGAAGGCGGATGGTGAAGCAGTGGATGAGCCCGAGATAGGCAGTCCTGTCACTAGCCCCGAGCATAACAAGCCTGAAGGCGAACAAGCGCAAATGGCGTCCCAGGCGAATGCCGCTATGCTCGCCCATGAGTTTGCCACCCGGAAGGCCAACATGGTAGATGCAGGTGTCATGACGGATCCGTGGGAGCCGGAGAAGGAAACTATCGTACAGAAGCAGACTTTGACTGACCGCGCTGGCGAGCTTGTTGGTGGAGCTCTTGCTGGGTTTGGCATTGGACGCATAGGACAGAGTAGGGAAGTCAAGGATGAGCCAAGTGTTGAAGATGCTCCGCTCCAGAATGTTGTACCGACCTCGATCGCGCACGATACGACGGAAGGCGGTGCCGGTCCTACTCAGGAACTTCCAGCCGTCCTCCCTACTGCGGCAACTGCGGCCGATGACAGCGTCGACGTTAAGCAACCTCATCCACTGGACGACGTGCAAGAAGCAGGCGTTGAGATGGTAAAGGAGCCGAAATCTTTGGCGGGCGCTGTAAGTGGGCCGCTCATGGAAGCTAAAGAGGCAAATGCGGCACCGGAGAGTAAGGTTGTGGCCCCCTTCGAAACATCAAGCATAGTCTCGCAAGACACTGTCCCGAGCTTGCCGCATCCATCAATGAGCGTGCCGGAGCACCAGGCCAGTACGCTACAACAGATCACAGCTACCGCTTCGAATCCAGCTGTGCCGCTCACTGCAGCTGCACCATTCGCGGTCAATGCTGGGAGGTCGCTCCAAGACTTCAGCTTTTCAGCGATAGATGCGCAAACACTCGAACCCACCTTGTTGCCGGAAGCTTCGCCCATGCTATTGTCGCCGTCAATGCCGTTGACGCCATTGACGCCGAACTTGCCGAGACGCAGCTCTCGCAGGCTTGACAGCCTTTTGGATGACGGCGAGCAGCCCGCGGAAGCTCCGGAATACACCACCAGCCATGCCATCCCAGGCACGGACGCCGCTCGGCCGGGCGCAAGTTTCTTCTTTGGCAACATGCCACCACCGCTGACACGTACCCGGTCCCGGTCAATGCCTGCTAAGAGGACAGATGTCGAGAGCGCCATGACACTTGCGGAACCCAAGGTCTTCGGTGGCGTTCGTACCGCGGCTGACGGCATACCTATGCTGGTCTTTGGGGATGAAGATGAAACGGAGCCTGACACAAGCGTGCCGCTCAACAGCTTCTCGAACAGCGAAGAAGACGCGAAGCCTGCGATATCGCCCGAGGAAGCGCTGCCGATGCCTTCACCCATGCCGATTCCGAAACCTTTGCAGATTCGGAAAGCCGTCAGTGACGAGGGCTCGCAGACGACGGTATCCGGCGCAGAAATTGACGACATGCTGTACAACAAGAGCCGCACGTCATCGATGGTCTCGGCGGTTACTGATCCGGGATACTCGCCTAGTAAGTTGGCGGCGTCGCCACAGAGGAGGTCAATGGACGGCATGGCACCTGGCGACGGTGCGTCGCCTAGTCGCGCGCCACGTCGGCCAGCAAGTGCAACGGCTCTGCGCGGCAAGGGTGCTGTTGGGGCCGCCCCGCCCCCATTGCCTGAAGATTTCACGCAAAAGATCACCGCCGCTCAAAAGGTTCCATCTGCGGGCGGACCGGCTGCGGCAGGTACTATGGGTCCGCCGCTCATGCCGGCCTCAGCGTATAGGCAGAACCGTGCGAAAACGCCTGTTGATCGCAGTCAAGATCGATCACTGTCACGCGATGGGACAACGCCAAGGGCTGTTAGACCGCGGGACAGCAAAGCAAGGGTACACAGCCCGTCTCGTGCTTCTCGCCGCACGTCTGTATCGTCTTTCGCTTCAGAGCTCGACGAGCGCTTCAACATCACGCGAGGCGACCTGATCTATCCCAGCGATGTCACACCTGCCACAGATCCTCGAATGATACAAGCCATCACACAGACGATGATTGGAGAGTATTTGTGGAAATACACGCGTAAGGCTGGACGGAGCGAGAAGTCCAACACCAGACATCGGCGTTTCTTCTGGGTGCATCCTTACACGCGGACGCTATACTGGAGCGAGCAGGATCCAAGCACTGCGGGCAGAAATATGTTGAAAGCGAAGAGCATGGCCATCACAGCCGTGCGGGTCATCACGGATGATAACAGCTACCCTCCAGGCCTGCATCGGAAATCCATTGTTGTTGTTACGCCTGGGCGTGAAATCGTCTTTACAGCCCCAACCGGGCAAAGACACGAGACATGGTTCAACGCGCTTTCGTACCTGCTACTGCGGACAGAGCAAGAAAAGCAAGAAGCCGAAGATACATTCAATCAAGACGACATCAACGAGTTCAATCCTGGCTTCAGCATTCGTCGAAGCATCAGCCGCCTAACTGGCCGAGACCGTAGCCATGACCGAGCAAGCTTGAGCAGCTACAACAGCCGAACGACCCGCACGAGTAGTCCTCAGCGGCGTGAGGCTGGTGGCAGTCTCGCGCAAAGACAGTCTCGAGCTGCGCTCGCAAACAGGGACGCACCAACACCTACACTTACGCCTACACCTGTCGTTGCTGCTGACCCGCCAGCTGATCCAAGTGCCTCACGAACAAGCACTATGCGCGACTCTACCAGCATTGGTGGTGGGCGGTTGAACTCCCTAACGAGCAGGTTCAGACCATCGAGCAGTCTGCGGGGGAGCTTCTCCACCAACCGTGCGCGATCTAGTTTCAGTGTACGGGGCCGCGGTGCTGGAGATCCCAGCGATATCTACGATGCCAGTGTCATCGAGGGCAGCGCCGAAGACCTACGCAATGTCATTGAGAGGCAAGAGCGGGAGGCGGACAGGCTCGAGAACGTGCGAGCGTGTTGTGATGGTAAGTCTGGTGTTTGTTATAGTGAGTCCACTGTCAGCGCTAACGGCTCCACAGGCAAGCACGATGTCGGATCATTGTCACGGAGTGGAAGACACTCCAGCATGTCCTCCAGAGTCGGGAGTCAGTCGCATTCCCACGGTCACAGTCATCCCAGGGCGGAGCCGATGAAGGACTCCGCGCGTCCAAGGAGAGGCGAGTGATGGAATTTCGTTGTGTCTTAAGGTGTGCTCTAGTACGCTGGGCGTTTGCCACTGCCTCGACGTCAGAATTTCTTCTTTAGTTTGCGAGAACTGCGTGTTCGGACTTGCTACATACGACAAGCGTAATCCTTGGCTCTCCACTGACACGGAAACGAGCTGTTAGGACCAATAGATACACTGGTGATACTCGGATAATACGGTTCTCTACAATTTGGCACACGTCGACCTTTCACGCCATCGCGGGAAACAGATCGGCTGCCCAGCGTTTATACCAGCCCATCTTCCGACCCATTTTTGGCACTTGGCCATCTGCGATCATGTGTCTGATATTCCTCTTACCTTCCTGCTCGAGTCGAGCGTGCCATAGATCAGGCGTGTCACAAATGATCCAGTCAAAGCCGGTCTCGATAAGCCTGCATCATGAGATACCAGCGTCAGCAAGTCCGGAAACAGTTCAACGTTGCGATAACTGACCAATTGAAGTCGCTTCGATAATCGTGACCGTCTGACGAACCGGCGCCCGCCTGCGCATCGAGTGTCATAGGCGCCTTGTTCTCCTTATATGTGTAGACAGTATTGCCCGGGTGCAGGTCTTCTGGGAGGGAGTAATTGGCAGTGTCGAAGCTGAGTTGGCGGTTAGTATGATCATACAAAGAAGCGTGCCGGGGGAACGTGCAATGACACGGGATCTAAGTTCGGCCAGGTGAAGTCGCCGGGTGCGTAGCTGCAGCATGATTTAGCAGTTTCTCTCACAACGGTGCGTCTATGATCTCGTACAATACGCCAGTAGTACCAATTGGACTTTCGCTGCTCTGAGCATAGTCCAGCACTTCCTGTAATGGCCCGCCTGTATTCTTGAGCTCGACCTCGATGCTAATGGTATAGTTTGTCTGGCTGTACCGCTTCGCCGAATCTAACGTATCAAACATCGTGTAGTATTTCGCCTCGTAGACCGGAATATGCGCTAATCGGATGCCGCTTCTGAAGGCGTCCTGGACCCAAGGCAGGGCTTCAAACTCTTCAGGAGTCGGATAGAATACAGCCTGCAGCTTGTAGATGCACCATTCGTTGGCAGGCACACCGGCTCTGTTTGTCAAGTGTTTCAGTGCCCAATAAGTCGGCTCGATCGCAGCCTTGTCCTTGAAGTCCAACTGCAGGACCACGTTCATGCCTGAGTCGAAGATGGAGTTGATCATCTGCTGCAAGCTTGGTACGTACTCGTTCCGGACACCGCCCTGTTCGTCACGGAGACGGAGGTTCTCAAGTCCACCTGGTCCGGAGAAGTTGAAGGACCCCACTGGTGGATTGTAGCCTTGCCCGGTAAATGGGTTGTATGCCGGCTGGCCAGTAACTTCGCCGATATCTGTGACCCGGCCAGCGTGGAAATCGTGCAGCATAGGTAGCCCGCCATCTGGGGTTAGACGAATGTCCGTCTCTATGCATTCGATGCCGGCCTCGCTAGCCCTGAAGTAGGAGTCTCTGGAATTCTCGGCAGTGCCATTCCATCTGATATCGATGCAATTAGTGATTACCTTCCATGCAAGCTCCGACTATATTGAAGTGTACCGCAGGCCTCGGTGGGCGCAGAGTATGCGCAGGTCATCGTGATGTGTACGAAAAGCATCGATGATCTGGGCGTATTGTTAAGGATATGGACATTGAGCTGCCCAAGCGCACGACCAACCAACCTTATGGACATCGTAGGGTTGTCGTGCCGCCTTGACATAGACTCCTGGGCCCAGCGAGCTAAGCATGATGGAGAAAAGCATAATGAGCGTCGCACCAGTAGTAACGCCGAACGCCAAGTACCACATGATGAGCCTAGTACCGTTTACTGGTTTGCGATACTGCCACATCTGGTCAAGAGATTGCTCACTGTGTGCTACACCGACACTGTGACAATGTTCGCTGATGAGAGGACTATCGAGCCAGCTTGCCATCCATCTTTGCCAAGCAATAAGTAACGCCGTAAGGCTGCCAAGATGCAATTCATATGGTTGCGGGCGATGCTGCTCGACCAGTCCGTAAGCCGATTCAGCCTCCGACCTCCTCCACGTTGCCAAAGCGCCCTGGTCGTGGCAGCCTCAACACAGAGAATCGCTTAGGCTGGGAAACACCTCGGTCTCACCTGCAAGGAGGTTCCGCGAGACAACAAAGCAACCTTACCGTGTCATCCGCATCTTAGCTTCTGCAAGCATAGTCGTTGCGGTATGCGACTTGCCTGTCATGCAGCGACGACATTTGTCATCTCTTATGAAGAAGGCTGCGTTGCGGAACAGATTCCACATTCGTGGCGTCTACGAGGTTGATCAATAATGTCATTTCGGGCCATCACCACCATGGAATACCCAAGTGCATGTGTCATGCCACGATAGCAATGCCACGATCGCATAAGCCGCCTCCGGTCGGAGACTCGAATTACCATCGAGTAAGCAACATGATGCTACTTAAATCTCAATATATGTATCATATGTGATTTCAGTCTCATAGCATACAGCTGAGTGTCTCCTACCCTCCATCTTTACCCTTCGCTCCCCGCAGAGCCTATCATCGCGGCCGCCCCAGGACAACATGCCCTCGTACGTAGTCACCGGTAGCAACCGCGGCCTGGGATACGCTTTCCTCGTCCACCTGGCGGCAATCCCTGGCAACACCGTGATCGGGCTCGCGCGCGACGTTGCTAAAACCAAGGAGAAGCTGGCCACAGACGGCATCAACAACGTCCACGTCTTCGCAGCGGACATCACCGACATCAAAGCCCTTCAGCTAGCCGCCGAGGAGACGGCGAAGATCACAGGCGGCTCCCTTGACGTGTTGATCAACAATGCCGGCTATGTGTCGAAACAGAGCGCATGGTCAAGCCTGCCAGACATCACGCCCGAGGCACTGGAGGAAGACCTACTTACCTCCTTCAAGATCAACGTCGTCGGGGTAGCGCACACCATCAGCGCCTTCCTGCCTCTTATCCGAAAGGGCCAGCAAAAGAAAGTCATCACCATCTCCACCGGTATGGCCGACTTGGACTTCACCAACCACTTCACCATCCCCATAGCAGGCCCATATGCCGTCTCCAAAGCCGGTACCAACGAGCTCGTGGCGAAATACAACGCCGCTGCCGGCAAGGCCGAAGGCATCCTCTTCATGTCCATTAGTCCGGGAGTTGTTGCCACGAGCGACGAGCCTCCGACTGAGCAAGACATGGCTGGCGCTCAAGCGATGTTTGCAATGTTCAGCGCGTACGCGCCGGACTTTAAAGGTCCGATGCAGCCGGCTGAGAGCGTTCAGATGGTCATGCAGGTGGTTGATAAGGCGACGGTTGAGACGATGGGAGGAGCGTTTGTGAGTCATTTCGGCACGAAGCAGTGGTTGTAAGTTGTTAGTAGCCTTGAGCAAGACCATTTAACTAGGTAAAACTGTAATGTCAAATACTGTTGTTATGCCACCCAGTCCATGGTGGGACACGCTTGAACGCTTCAGACCGAACTTCTTGCATCATCATAAACACATTCCCATGGGGTCTACTTATACTTCCGCTCTTTCTCATGCTCCTCCTTCACAAACCGAACAAACTGCTTCTTATGAACCATCCCTGCGTACTTGCCCTCCCTAAGCACGCAGATATACCGCAACCCAAGCTTGACAAAGCACTCGAACACCAGATCCATAGGACTCGTAATGTCCAAAGCCACGGGAGCGGGATCGATAAAGGGCGTGAAGTCTGTCAGGTCGTGCTCATCCGCCGGCGCGTGTTGACGGTCACTCGCACCATCCGGGCCAAAAGGATCATGCCTGGATTCAGCGACGCTGCTCTCCTGTCCAGACCACTGGTCTTGTGGACTATCTCGAGGACTCATGAGACACAGCTTGTTATCGTCGCTTTCGAGGCGGTCGAGCGCGTATTCCAGGTCGGGAGCGGGTATCATGCCCACCAAGATGCCATCTCGGAGGACTGGAAGGCCTCCGTCTAGCTCACCGGCCATGTGCAGGTACTGCAGCTTCATCCGCAACTGAGTGGCGGGCACAAGAGGCGAGGTCGTAATGTCCACGAACCGATTCCGTCGGGGTGGATCTGTGATATCGCCCAGCTCGGACGTGAACACCGGGCGTGCCTTTGCGTCGAGGTAAGGGTATGCATTCATGTCGGTCAGGAGGTCGTAGATGCTCAAGGGTTCCAAAGCGTCAGCCGTCCACTTCGCGATGAGAACGCCTAGTGAGAAGGGCAACACGTGCTCTAAGCTGCCAGTCAACTCAAACAGAATAACGGCCAGCGTTACCGAAAGCCGAGTGACACCGCACATGGTGGCGCCAGCGGCCACCAACGCGTAAACGCCAGGTACCACGCAGCCTTCAGGGTTGCCGTCCGCTGGACAGCCTGCAAAGAGGCCGAAGTCTGGATACCGGAGTGTCAAGTACTGGACACAATGACCAATTATTCTTCCCAGCAAGCCGCCTATGACCATGGACGGGACATATATGCCTGCTGGAACTTTGACACCGAAAGTGACGACAGTAAGCGCAGCCTTGATCACGAATGCGACGCATAGATACCAAATGATGCTGGGTATGCGATCCTGTGTTGGGCATAATCCGGTCCCGCTGCTGGTGAAAGCATCGCAAGGTGCAGCAAGCTCGAAGAGCAGCTCGGCCACCGGTAAGCGCGTATACCGATTCCAGTAGCTGACCAATCCAGTGATGATTGACACTAGTACTACTTCGACGATGGGGTATTTCTTGATGACGGTGATCTTCCGGAATGTCTGCGCCCAGAAGCGAGACGCTTTGATGAACAGCGCTCCGGTCGCGCCACCAAGCATGCCGAGAAGTGCGAAGACGATCAGCTCGAAGAAGCGCCAGTCGCTCAGGTAGCGCACCTGGAAGAGTACAATCTTCTGAGTGCCATACGGGTTGAAAAACTTCAGGGAAAGTGCGGCGGCGATGCAACAGAAGAAGGTCCGAAACAATGTTTTCGGTGGGAAATAGTATGAAACTTCTTCCAAGCTGAACAGCACGCCTCCAATGGGCGCTCCGAAGGCCACAGCGACTCCTGCTGCTGCAGAGGCTGAGAGTACTTCGCGTCGTTTGCCATCGTTAGTGCGATACTTTGCGAACAGACGACAGGCGATGTTGCCGATGCAGGTCGCAATGTGCACGTACGGGCCCTCTTTGCCAATCGACAGACCAGATGCGACACTCAGTATCAGGCCGATGGTCTTTGCAATAAGCGTTCTGAGACCGAGGTAGCCGTGCAGGACAAAGCCGGACAGTATGACCTTGACTTCGGCGACTCCACTGCCGGCCGCCGGATAGTAGATGACGGGCGGTCGTTGGGCAGCCTCCTCGAATCTCCGGGTTGGGCTCATGCTTGCTCTGCGGCCTTCCGTGTCATCCTTGGAGGAGTGGTGACGGTCGGCGCCCAGATTTTCATCTAGCGTAGAAAGTGAGATGGCAGAGGAGACGACCGTCTTCGTTTGCAATGTAACGACACACCCCAGAGTGGCTAGCACAACCACCCAGATAATGTACGCCACGAAGTCCGTCCACATCTTACTGTCGCCTTGTATGTGCAGAAGATCCGACCAACGTGCCCAATCGTCGCATATACTGGCGCCAGTGCAGCACCTTCTCTTACTGTAGTACCAGCGCCTTGTGCAATATCCAGACTTGTAGTCGAACAGACCGGCTTCCGTAACGTCGATGACATACGCAAAGCCGGCCGTGATCACGCCAATAATTGCGACTATGATCCAGCCTTGTCCGGCGTCGAATAATGCCCGCACCCTGCCCCTGAAATCCTTCCGGCTTCTGAGCTCTTTCACGCGAAAAGCGTCCGCGATGCTGTCGTGTACCCAATCGGTCGAAGTGAACTGATCGTACCACACCCGATCGTCGAAATAAGAAGACTGCTTCGTTGACTCCACGTCATTCGGTTCAATCTGGTTTGCATCTGTACCCAGCGCTCTTGCAAGACGTCCGCCGAATGATGCACGCCGGCTTACGGCTCTCAAGCGTCCCGTGTTCACCTGGCTATGCTGCCTGCTAAGCGGGTAGCGCGGCGTGTTCGGGATGCTCGCGGGCAGCGTTCTGTAGCCGCTTGCTAGTCCATCTATCTGTGCTAGCAGTCCTGTGTTCTCGTCTGGAACAATGAGCCGTGACGGCATGCGAGACCTGAGGTCCAATTCTGATGTCCTCGATGATGCTATGCGTCCTCGTATGTCTACTGGCGGCACCGGTGTTGTTTGGGTGTGGCTAGCGTTCAGGTAGGCATTTCTGATCGCTTCCACTTCCCGTTCGCCCACCACATCGTCTTCTTGGTCGTCATTGTTGGATGCCACGCTGCGATAGGAGCGGGTGGATGCTACAGATTGCGACATCCTGGACACACGGTTGAAAGTGCTCAATTAGCTGCAGACAAGGTGGTAAGCTACTGTGACTGAAGGAAGGGGTGACCGATCCCATGTTTTGGTGGACAAGGAAGGAGCAAACTCTGAACAACGAATTGATGCTCTGATTGTGCTTGCAAAGCTGAGCGACTCAGGCAGCACAGGAAGTGAGGCAGCTGATATGACTGTTCCCGTCTTTCCACTGTGACTGGAGTCCCCGCGCTCCTAGAGGAACAGCAACTCACCAAGTCCATGCCCGTACTGTCACCTGAGGCAAGAGGAATGCCTGAAATCACCCGAGCAACCGCAGCGATGGAGCAAGTTGCCGCCCATCCTCATGATCAGCACCGTCAAGAAAACCACACGTCCAAGGGTAAGGAGCTTTTCTTAAGCTGACGCCGGCAGGAGTTTAATGGGTTCGGGTACGCGACAGGTGATCATCATCGTCGTGGACCCTCAAGGCGCTAGCACGTAACTGCTGCATATCATCCGTGCATGCATGGCGGGCGTCAGGTGGCTAATACCACACTACAATACGCGCAATAGGCGCACACAGTATGAATGCCACCATCTGTTCAAACGGACTGCATTCCGTTTATCCGCTTGGGAGTGGTACTTCATAGAAATTTATGTTGGCCCTCGCAGGTGGTGCCTTCGGAGACAGCTCCGAAGGTGAATGAAGGCTTGATCGCGCCTTACTGCCTTAACTGCAACTACATGGTCCAAGCTTTCATATGTCCCGCACGTTCAATGATCATTGCTTGAGCATTACTCCGGAAGGACTGTTACTTTACCGCACTCCAAGCAAGTAAGGAACTCCGAAGGACGCCTCCACCATGGCGGGCAAAGAAGCAACGGCAAACCCGCTCGTCATCACCGGCAAGGCACTCGACACTTCGCTCTCAGTCCAACTGCATCCCCTCGTGCTCCTCACCATCTCCGACTATATCACCCGCCACACACTGCGTGAACAGCAAGGCCCGATCATCGGTGCAATCATTGGCCAACAAAGTGGGCGGCAATACACACTCGAGCATGCCTTCGAGTGCAAGCTACAGGAAGTCAGCGGGAATGTCCTGCTGGACGGCGAATGGTTCAAGGACAGGCTGGAGTCATATAAGGAGGTGCACAAAGCGCCGGCACTCGATCTCGTAGCCATGTTCACGCTTGGTCCGGTAGCAGGTCCGCAAGACGTCCATTTGCCGCTGTTGAAGCAGGTTGCGGAGATCAATGGCAGCGACAGCATGATGCTTTTGCTCTTCCACGCGGAGCTGGTGGATCAGTTACAGGGCGGCAAGTTGCCAATCAGTCTGTATGAGTCGGTGACGGAAGGCGAGCAATCACAGGTTAAGTTCCGGGAGCTGAGCTTCGAGGTGGAGACGGGCGAGGCGGAGATGATTGGCGTGGATACGGTGGCCAAGGCAGGTGCTACTGCTTCGGCGGTGACGAAGGTTGAGCCGGTGCCGGCAGCAGAGTCCAGCAAGAAGGAGAAGGTCAAGGGGAAAGGCAAGGCTAAGGAGAAGGACGAGGAGGCTGCCAGTGAGAGCGTGTTGTCACCGGAAGACGACGAGCTCATCGCATCGCTCACTGCCAAAGTGAACGCCATCAGGATGCTCAACCAGCGCATCAACCTCATCCGCTCATACCTGGAGACGCTACCGTCAAGCTACCTCACAGACGCTTCCTCGAGCCAACCGCCACCCGACACCACTAACCACGTCCTACTCCGCAGCGTAAACTCCATGCTCTCACGGATCCCACTCCTCGCACCACCAGCACCCGTACTTGCACCCCCAACCGTAAACGGCTGGACAACCGAGGCAATAACAGCCCCCGATCCATCAACAACGCTACAATCGGCCGGTATCAAAGAGCGCCAAGACGTCCACCTCACGGCACTGCTCGCAGCACTCTCACGTTCCGTGGCCGAGGCGCAGAGTATGGGCAGCAAATTCCACATCGTTTCTCGCGACCGCGAAAGCAAGAACCGGAACACCTCGTTCGGCGTGAGGGGCGGGAGAGGCGGGTTCGGTGGTCTCGGTGGGGAGGATAGCTTGTTGAGCGAGAACGGCGGGTTTTAGAATGGCCTGTCGCGGTACACTTGACGTGACTTCACCTTTAGCGGGCATAGCGAACGGCGTATGGGGAATGATAATGGATGGATGAGGCTAAGCGGTGCATGGGTGGCGTCCAAGTGGGCCGCACGTGCACGGAATGATGAATGATGCAATATCTGTATACGCCGGGATGCATTCCCGTAGAAGCTTCGGACCAAAATGTAGCGACACGGCCGAGTAATCCTAAAGAACGCTGAATTCATGGTAAATCAGGCTCGAAAGAGATAGCCACCCTACCTTATGAAGAACTCCTTAGGATCCTCGCAGGACACTCCGATAACCTACAAGCTCAGGAACATATCGCCTATGTGCCGAACGCCATCCAATGCCGAACGCACTGACGGTCGTTCTCTGCTCCGCGAAACTCACTCCAACTTCGGGTTCGGAAGCTGAGCAGCTTCAACCGCCGCCGACAATCTGGACCTTGCCGCACGCTGAGATTGTTCTCGGGAACATGTATAGCAGAGAGGAGGGTATTCTCAGCCTCGTGTGTTCTCCTGGCGCAGACTTCCAGATAGGATGACTGGCGTTCCACCGCCAAGCACTTGACTGCCGGTACCAATGGCGACTCGACGGGTTGTTCGACACTTCCGATGGGTGCCCGCTCGCCACAAGAAGACTCAGGCGGATCAACAGGCATCTCATCGTCCAATTCGCTGCCAAACCAAGCTTGCGTCGTTGCAGCCATCGAGGCCTCGTACTCACGTACCTCCGGAGGGTTTCTCAGCCTCCGTCTCCGCCAAATCCTCCTCCATGGTCTTCCAGCCGCTACCCCAACTGCCATCCCACCCAGCTTGTTCGGTCCTGTAATGCTCGGGAATATCCTCCGGCCGAACTTCGCAACGTAACAAGCTATAACCGCCACGAGTCCCAACTCGCCTTTTCTCCGGACGAGCGTACTTCTCGTAGCGCTGACTCGGGTAGTTGCGAGAGATGGCAAAGCATCTGTCACGGTACTCTTCCTCCGCTGCCTCAAGCTCCGGATTCGGCGGTGCACTCCAAGAGTTTGCATCAAGGCTGACAGCTTGCAAGGCTTCGACTTTCGCGTACAGGCTGTTCTGAACATTCGTCAGTTGGCAGGGTCCGCATGCCTGAATTGGGTGGAGAGCGAGCAGTGGCCCACTGTGACAAGCCGACTTAGGCGGACTGGCTTTCCTTGATTGTGTGGTAAAGCTGCCACCGCATGTGCTGAGGCGGATCTGGACTGTGTGCTTGCAGGCGTACACTATGTTCCAAGTTTTGCACATGGTGGCCTATTTGGTGGCTGGGTGAGCAGATGTTGTTGTGGTAGTAATGGGGTTTGCATTGATAGAAAAGTGATAGAACAGACTGAGTTGGACTCATCTGATCCGTCCCACGGGGATGATTCGTGACGGCCAGGGGAGCCGTTCTTATGTGGATCATTCGAGCATGTGTTGTTGCCATAGGCAGGTGAGACACTGAGCTCGTGTCGGCCTCCAGGCGCGCTTGCTACGCTTGTAAGTCGGGTGACGGACTATGAAATGGTGGGAAGGTCGAACTTATTCATTGAGGATACACTTGCCGCTTGAGCTGGCCAAAGGTGCGGCGTGTGTAGAATCAATTGCGCTTCGTGCCTTCTCAAAGCGGAAGACCCTAGGGCAACCATGACTTTTGATGCACTGAGCCAACTATGGTAAGGCTCGAGTGACAGTCAGGCATCATTAAAAAGCCTGTGTCTGAACCACGCTCTCGCAATCGAGATCTCTTCCGACAATGCGGTGCATTCGTGCTCTTCTTACAGACTCTTCCTGGCCCGCCATCAAGGATCATGAACCACCACAACTATCAGTACAAGCGCGCCGCGTCTCGAATGAGCGCTCAGAGAACACGCAGGGTATATCGCCAAAAGTTCAACCCAAACCGTAGCACAGAATGCACCAAATTGGAACGAGCGTGCGTCAATCAATATCGCACAATAGGCGTCCCAGCCACCTCATCCGTAAGCAGCACACCACTCTTAGACCCGGACTTAACAACATGATCCATCCAATTCTGCGCCTTCTTCTCCCGCTTCTGCCACCACTTCGTCTTCGCCAAACGACCGCCCCGCGGCGCTGGAGGCGCCGTCTGCGGGGAGGTTGGAATTTCCACGATATTCTGGTGCCGCGAATCGTACATTCTATTATAGCCATCCGAGCTAGGTTTACGTGAGAAGTTGAGAGATTCGCTCGTGGTCCGGGAGTGCAGGCTGGGAGTATGCTCGATGGGCTTTGCAACGTGACCGGCTTCGCTGACTGCGCGGCTCAGGCCGGTGGTGGGGCCGCCCGCGACGCGGGAGTAGTTGATGAGCGTTGCCTTGCCGAGAGTGACAGATGCGGGACTCTCCGCCTCTCGAGTCGGTCCGGATAGATCTGGCGTATACGGTGTGTTTATGCTTGTGCTGCGGATCCGTTCTGATGTGATGTCCGGTGTGACCGGCGAGCTGTCGGACGGAGTATAGTGCTCGAAGTCAAAGTCGCTGATAGAAGTAAAGTTGGCGCTCGTGATCGGTGTCTCCGTCTCGGTTGGCGGTCGTGGAGGTGCTGCAGTGGGCTGCGGAAGCACGTATATATGCTCCGCGAAGGGCGTGTCTAACAAGGCGGGCGCGGGCATGCCCATACGGGCGGCTAGGACAGCACCACTCTCAGCAGTGGCAGGTCCTAATTCTTCGGTCGATGGTTCTTGCTCCGAAAGTACGGTAATAGTTTCGTCGGAGACTCCCACCATGGGTTTGACGGCCATTTTGCTAGGCTGGGCGTCGTAACTTGCAGCAGAATCTTCGGTCTCATCTGCCTTCCACTGATCTAAACCTGGCAAAGGCGGAAGCTCGCGGTTAAGGTTGATAGCTGGTCGAAGCTTTTGAGACGACGGAGAAAGCCGGACATTTGAGCGACCGCGTTCAGATGTAGATCCAGATGTGCCAGGTCTACTGTCGTCGAGGGTGCTGCTATCTTCATTCTTGCGGTGCGAGACCTGCCGCCTCCGCCACCTGCTGTGCGAAGAGTCTTCCGACGGCGCCAGATGAGAGGCAGCGGACCGATACGAGTCGACCGACGTGCGACCTTTGTCGAGGCTTGACTTCCTGCTACTCAGTGCAGCCCCCGGCTTGACGTATTCGATGAATCTGCGCGTTACGCTGCGAGAGCGGCTCCGGGGCCGTGGTGACACTTCTGCGTCACGAATTCCTTTTGATGAGCCAGGCCTTACAAAGTCTTTCATTGACTGAGTGATGCTTCTCCCTCTGCTCCGCGTACGGCTCGCCGCACGTTCCAGTGGCTGACGCCGCAAGCTGTCAGATCTCTGAGGGAATGGTCCTTGGTTGCGATCAGGCATGGCTGCCTCTCCAGCTTCACTCGGTGATCGCATTTCGGCAATCGCTTTGCTCTCGTGACGACTGTCCGGCCAAGCTTGGTGAGGCTGACGTGCGGCACGTGACGTAGGCACAGGTTTCCGCGCCAGTACTTTGACTGTATCCGGGATCTCTAGTTGTGTCGACAATTGCGTCGACGAAATGGTGTCCGCCCTAGCACTCCTCGTCAAGCCACCCGCTTCCCGTTTAGCATGCTCTGAACGCTCCTCTTGCGCCGCCTTGTGCATCATTATTTCGTACCGCATGCGGTCCAGGTGAGACGCTTCCGCCGTTGGCAAGGTGCTGACTCCAACACCTGACAGTAGCGCCTGCGTTGAGGCTCTTTTAGAACTTCTCGCAGGCGTCACGGCAGCAGAAGTCATGGCGGTTGATGCCTTCTCTGACCATTGGTAGTCCGTCCCGTCCGTCTGCGGCGTAGAATCATACGTGTCCACTGAGTCTGTCCGCGGTGCTGTCTTTGGCCTCTCCAGTACGTCGATCTTCGGCGGTAGCATAGCACTCCTTACAGGGCCTGAGACGGACCGTAGGTGTGAGTCAGCTCTTTGCCGAATATCTGACATTGCCTTGGATGGGGTTGCCATGAGCTCTTCAGCACGTAGTGTCGCGTTGTTCGCCGCATCCTCTCGCCCCTGTTCATCCCTCCTGCGTACAGAATCTAACCTAGAGCTCAGCTGCAGTCCGCTGAACGACTTGCGCTTGCTCGCACTTTGCCCACCGGCTAGTGACAGCCCTTGCGACTTGGTGGTCCCGTTGCTGAGCGCCGGTGGGGAGGCCTCTTTGATCGTAGCATAGTCCAGCTGCTGTTTGTGGTGGCTACCGTATTGCTCCTCGGAGACAATGTGCGATGGACGGAAGTTTTGCAGCACGTAAGCACAGGCCTGCCGTAGCTCGACATCCACGTGTGGTGATAGCGGTGGCCGAACGCTCTTCGGTGTGGGAGGCGGAGACTCTAGTTGGAACGATAGGTGGTCTTGAATGGCCTTGGTGTCGGCTTTGGAAGAGCCCAGCTTCTGTCACATATATCAGCCGAGTGGCAAAGTTTAGCGATCCCTCTCTCGGCCGGTGTGACATACCAACCGCGGGAGATCAAAGGTAAACTTGCGTGCCTTCGCCATGGCTCCCGATCCCTCTCTACGTGACGCACAATAACAATAGTATGGAGTTTTTGCTCGGCTTTGAACGACCAACGTCTCCGGGAAGTGATCGTCGAAGCTCAGCTCAACCTGAGACGTGAAACGTGAAACGAGGCTGCAGGATGCGGGTAAGACGCAAGTGATACAGGCTGCTCCTGCTCCTTCACACTCCGCAACTGCGGTGAGACGGGCTTGCTGAGAAGATGCCCTTAGTGCTCTCCGCCTGCAGGCTCTCGGTATAAGCAAGTCAGAGGCATGATTGTTGTCGCACTGGGAGGCTGTGATTATGCTCGCCGTGCAACGACCCAAGAAAATTATACGCCGCGATCCCTATAACCGCCCTTGATTCTCGGCTTCATATGAGTTGCTGGAGATTTTATTGCACCCTTCTGGCCCTTCGCTAGGTCATGGCTCCGTGCGCGCATCAGACCCCATTTGTGAAGTCTAGGGGTAGCACGGACACCTGCACGTGAAACGCGGTTCAATGCGGAGACATGCATGGCCGGCACGTTCACACGGTGGACCTGTTTCTGCTCTCTAACGTGTCATTGTGGTGAAACATTCACATAATTATCCGACCACACGATATGAAGAGTAGATGATTCTATTCTGGCATCCTTTGTGATTGTGTCTACCGATCCCGTATCGAGTGACCCCTCGGACGCCCCGTTGCCAAGCTGATCGTGCAAAAGCATCTCAGTCAGCCACACGAACCATGTGTCTGCGCTTACAGACACCGCTTCGGGCCTCGAGCTTATTATGGCAGACACGATCGACTTCCAGACCGCACGTTGTGCGTCTCGAACCCGAGACGTAACGACCGTTACCACTGCGACTCGCGTTCAACGCTCAGTACTATTAATGTTGCTTCTACACACGAGTACTACTTTACATCTCCTTCCCGTGGAGTTCATACTGTTGCTAGAGTATGGTCCATGCATCACACAAGCTTACGCCTCAAGCGGCGCCAACACTCCAGGGTCCTTCCCAGCGGCCGAGGCGCTGTGCACGAGCGATTCGCCTCGGCTGCTGAAACTGCCTCGTACGTTGTGCCCTGCTGTAATTGGGTCGTCGGGGTGCTTTGCGAAGCGAAACGATAATAAGGAAGTGACGGGTATGCCTGCAAATATTTAAGGCTACAACATGACCTGTCCTCCAAGATATTCTCACACACTATCACACACAGTTCCTAAGCATGGACAGCCGGTGCTTGGTAGCTACGTCGCCGCAACTGGTCGTCGCCAACAGGTGCCGATATCATCGAGTCGTCCTCAGTATTCTCCTCCACCTTCGCGCCGCTCTCTGCAGACAGTTCTTCCGCTGCGGGTGCTCGCACGCTAGTCTGTGCCCTTGCAAGCGGAGGAGGAGGAGGTCCAATGACGGTGCGCCTATTGTCCTTAGATCCAAGCGAGTAGTCATCGACATCCGATTCCACCATCCCATCCTCACCCTTTATCAGACTCGACGAAGCGCCTGAACGAGGCCCAATGATCGTCTGTCGATTTCCCACCACCGACTCGAACTTCGCAAGATCGAATGGTGTGATGGGTTCAGCAAGCGAGTCGGTCGACGAAAGTTGTTCCGGACTGGCGGAGGTAGCATAAGCCTCAGCCGCCTCCGCATCTTCCCTAAAGGTGTAGGAGGGCGCCGTAGACAGGCTACTGGTACCGTCATCGCTCACATCCTCGCCAAAATCAAGCCCCTCTCTCGCAGTCGACGGGGTGTCAGTAGTAGGTGTCGTGACCGCAGTATTAGCTTGACGTGGCGTGAGCTCTTCCTTCGGTGATCCGCTATTCTGACGCCACTGCTCCCTCCGCAACCGCATACGCTCGTTTGGCCACTCGTCGCCGAATTGGATGACAGAAGCTTGTTTGCCGTGGAGGATAAAGCGGCCCTTCTCACGCTGCAAGCCAGGCGTGCCCTCTTGCACCTCTTCTAGCTCGCCGCTGGCAGAGCGCACTGTACCGTCACTGTCCTTACCGCGACGGTGGTGCTTGTGCGTGCTGGCAGGATGATGAGGGTCTCGGAGCGTCTTTTGCAGGCTCCGACGGACACCCTTGTGCTTATGCTCTGAAGTGGCGGACGGAGGTGTGCCGTCAAGGTTGAGAGCTGCCGGTGCACTCGGCACGGCAGTATCTGGCGTAATGCTGCTCCTCGCGAGCATCTCCACCTCACGCTCCTCGATGCTGGGTGTTGCGATCGGCGTGAATCCAGCTTTCTGCGCTGAGGTCTCCGATCGGCGCTCAGATTCGTATCGGTCGAGCCGACTGACGCTGGACACCGATGATGCCTGGGATAAGCTGCGGTTAGCTGGTGAAGAGACGCTGAGTAGTGTGCTGGTCACAGAAGCGCGATGCTCATTGCGGGCTTGCATGTCGAGCTGCAATGGCGGTAAACGGTACGGGTCGGCTGCCTTCTGCTCCGTGGCAGATTCGGGCGGTGTGATGAAGACATCGTTATTGGCAAATGTGTCCATCGAGCCGCCAGTCGATTGTCGGGTGCTCTTCCGGCTGCTCCTTGCAGGTGACGTCGGGCTCAAAGGCGGGCTCTGGGCGGCCTCTGTAATTGCCTTCGACTCCATACGAACCAGTGCGGCTTGTCGATTCTTCCTTGCCGACTCCGACACGGCACTTTGCTGGTGGGTTAGAGCATGTAACTCCGCCGCAGATACACCATCTTGCTGCACATCCATGGTCAAGATGTCCCGGTGGCACGTCATCCGCCAGATCTCGCGCCTTAGCCATTTGATCATGGCATCTGACCGAGCTGCAGCATGAAGCACATCTTCTCTCGACTTCTGAGCAATTGGTGCTAAAACAAGCAAGTGACGAGCATCTCGGATCATGTCATCGAGCCGCTTGTGAGCTTCCACAATCTCTTTCTCTGTCTCGGCGATCTTCTGCACCATGATTTGTCGTCTGGCGGCCATGACTTGGCGTTGTAATTGCGGGCTGAAACCACCCCTAGCCGCGGCAATATCGCCACCCGCAGTCTGCAGAGATCTCGTCGACTGAGACGAATTCAGCCTCTGGACATCACGTCTCCGCAGATCCTCCTCGTTGCCGCCTACCATGCCTCGGATGCGCACGCCAGCCGCTCTGAATGCTGCAGCATAATTGATCAGCGCAATCCAGTCCTGCAGCTCGCTTTCACTCTCAGCGAGCAACACCTCCTCCTGTCCACCGGCTCTGAAGAAGGTGAATGCATGCTTGTGTCTGGTATAGGTGGTGTCAGTCAGCGCCACAGCATTGTCGGTCTTGATTAGCGCGTCAGGCTTGAAGTCCGTCAAAGGCGGCTTGAAGATGACCGGTATCCGCGGCTGCCCGTATCTCTGCTGCGCGCTAAACTGGGCCAGTAGCCCCTTTGCCCAGTGCGCGTTGCGGAACAAGTAGAGCTGTGAGCCTGTCAAGATGGCGCCCCACTCCTGCCACGGCGATCGAGTTTTCTTTTTCTTCGTGGCCTTACGCCACAACGTGCCAACTTTGGTAATCTTGAGGTCGATGATACCTGCTTGTGGCTCGGCAGAGGAAGCGGCGTTGTTGGAAAGCTGACCTTCGTATGCAGTAGGTCGTGACCGCGCAGAGATGATTTGCAAGATGCCGGTGTGTGTGAAGGCACGCTGCAGATACTCTGGGTTGAGTTCGGCCTGAGTGGCCCGGTAATTATACGGATCTTCGAACGTAATGCAGTCTTTTACGGGTGGCCGAAGATGGTCAAGCTTTTGCTCAACGAGCAGATTGTAAGGATCGACTGGGCCGGTTGGCTTCTTACCTGCGGTCTCAATGATGGCTCCCTTGAGCTTGCTCTTCTTCGGCTTGAAAGGCATTACTCTCTCGCCGTTGATGTCCACTTCCTCCTCGTAGTGCACGAACGGAGTGTAGCAGATGTTGTCGTAGAAGCACGCAAGAACCTCATCCGCGACATTTTGGCCGGATGTGTTCTTGATGTAGTCCTGCTTCTGCATCTTGCGCTTGTTGTTCTTATTGAATGCATCAGTGTGCAGCATCATGAGCGAGAAAGCAAGCACGTATGCTTGGTCAGGCGACTTGAAGATGCCCGGATTGCATTCGTGGTAGCGATCAGCGAACGCCTGTATCACTCTGTCGACTTGCTGTGTCTCTTTCGGCAACTCTGCTTCCAATAAGAACTTTCGCAGAGACATGTCGATGGGCTCGCCAAAGAATGGGAATCGTCGCGTGTAGCTCCTAAGCACGGCTTGTGCGAACGGGTCTGCTGACTTTGAGAGGATGCCAGCAATCATGCTACGCGCCACAGCCGCTTCAAGCCGTTCCAGATACTTGCTGGGCGTGTCACCTTCTTCGCGCTCAGGAATAACGAGTGCTTCACGGCTGATGGCGAATGAATTCGATTTGCTTCTCGTACCAGGCGAGCTGTGGCGCGGAGACTCTGGGTTGGAGCCTTGGCGGAAGCGTGACAAGGTCAAGAAGCCTCCTAAGCTTGATCGCCCGGTGGTCGAAGTGGAATTACGCGTGCTGCTAGTGAGCGGTGGCGGCATGTCAATGTCCTGCGATCCGCGTCCAAAGGAGCTGGTAGTCGATGCTCTATCCCGAACACCGAGCCTTTGCGGTGGCCGAAGTGGCGAAGAGTTGGAGGAATCTCGCGAGCGTAAAGATTCATTGCGTCCCAAAGTCATGCCAGGCTCACCAAAAGAGACGCCACTCTTTGCTAAGGCTGCATGAGGCGACGGCAGCGGAGGAGGCGGTGCTCTTTGTTTGGTTGGACTGTTCTCTGTATGTCTCCGCTGCAGCAAACCCCCGGGTGACCGGCGCTCTCCGGGCGCACGCAAAGATCGTGTCGAATATGCACTGGTAGACGCACGTGGCGTGGCGGGAGTGTCTATGGTCAGATGTTGCTCCTCAGGCAGCGGTAGCTTCGCAGGCAGTGGAAATAGCGAGTTGCGGTTCTTGCTACGACGCGGTAACTTGAAGAACGTGGTATGCGTGGATACTGTATGTGTAGTCGTCGTTGTCTGGCCGTAGATCTGATCGCCGGAGCTGGCGTTGCTCCCATCCGATTCCGAGATCCTGGGATCGGAGACTGGCAGAGCAAGCGCAGAGTTGGACTCGTCACCATACGAAGGAGGAGCAGAGTCCGAGCCAGCCTTGCTGTTCGTGTTTGACAGCCGCGCAAGATCCTCGACTCCCGTACTCTGACGTTGTGCCTTACGCCACTTCATGGATGAGCTTTTAGTCCTCTCCCCTCGGTGATGCTCCGCAGACTTTCTTTGCTCCCGTACGTCCGATATCTTGCTCTTTGACAATGATCGCCGGAACAACGAAGGCCGAAACTTCCTTTCTGTTCCAGCATCAATCGTACTTTCCTCAGGCTCCGCGGGCTCAAGGGTAGGTGCCGTTCGAACAATGGCAGGCGTGGCGTCCTCGGCCAACGGACTTGCCGACGGCAGAGGTGGTCTTCCCTGCCTTGCAGCATCCAGCCTCGCCCTCGCCGCGAGGTGAGATTCACTGTAGTTACGAAACTTCAGCAAGGAGAAACGTCTCGTCCGGTCGCTGTCCGGCTTTGTAGGGTCCGGCACAGTCTCCCCACGTAAGTCGTGCGAGGATCGAGAGGTAGGATAGCCATAGCTACTGACTGGCCGGGGAGCACTAGGCTGGGCAACATCAAGACCAGAGGTGCTATTAGGCCGCGGTAGGTCTTCGTTGTCGGCCACGGTCAGCAAGTTCAGCATACTCCTGCGGTTGAGGAGCGGCATCGTGGATGGAGGCAACCATTGGCACTCTGTTTTTCAATCGACACGCCGTACAATGACAGACATGTTTCCTTCACAAAATGAGACGCAGGATTGCGCTTCGTCCAGGAGTACCGGTTCGTGTCGGCACTGGTGCCGTAGGGCTGTTCCAAGATTGATGCAAGGTTGGTGTGGCTGAGCTGATCCGGCTAACTCCGACATATATGTGAGAGTCATTGTCAAAGGTTATTGTCCAGGGATAGCCCGAATCGGAGAAGGGCGATTTTGAGCTTGCATAGACCATACGCATAGCTACGATCGCCAACAGTGAGCTTGGGTTTGACTTTCAACCCCAAAGTAGCCAGATAGCAGTGCGGTCGACCTCTTCGGACGTGAGTGGCAGGTAAGATCGTAGCAACGGCGGTTGTGTATTATCAATGTGTGTCAACCTTATCAGTGAGTACTCTCTAAACAAATCACCGAAGCTATTAATGCAGTTCTACGTGACAGCAAATCTCACTCGTCAGCGCATTGAGTCTTGCAGTCAATCTTCTAAAGTTGTTAAATTTCGCACCCCAATCAGTTGAGAAGTCCTTACAACCGTAGCTACGACCTCATGGGCGGCAAATAGCAACAATCTAGAGATAACCCGGTTGCGACCTCACAAAGCGAACGGCATCCATCGCCACATATCAACTTTCGCTTTCCCTGTATCACGCCACAATGCCAGAGAAATCATTAATACTCCTTGTAGGCGGCGGCGCAGTAGGGGCAGTGGCAGCTCTCAACCTGCAACTCATCGAACAAGCAGAAGTTACAGTAGTATGCCGCTCAAACTACGCCGTCGTTAGCCAAGATGGCTACCGCATCGAGTCTTGCGATCACGGCAACCTGTCAGGCTGGAAAGCCTTCGCAGTGCTTAACCACATCCCCGAAGCAAGCAGCAGCCAACCCTTCGACTACATCGTCTGCGTGACGAAGAACATCGCAGACGTACCACCTTCTCTAGCCGATCTGATTCGGCCAGCCGTGACACCCGGCCGAACGGTTGTCGTGCTAATCCAGAACGGCCTCAACATCGAGAAACCACTCATCCAAGCCTTTCCGCAGAACATCGTGCTGTCAGGCGTCAGCCTAATCGGCGCAAATGAGCCTGAGCCTGGACATATCGTCCAGGACTTTCCGGACACCCTCTACGTTGGTCCATTCCGCAATCCGAACCTGAAGGTAGAAGAGGAGGACGCCGCAGCGAAGCAATTTGTCCAGTTGTACAGCGCAGGCGGCAAAACCCAATGCTCTTACATCGCGGACGTAGGCTGGACCCGATGGCGGAAACTCGTCTACAACGCCTGCTTGAACCCTATCTGCGCCATCACCGGACTGGACACAGGCCGCGTACGCCTTGCTGACGGAGCGGTAGAAGGCTTGGTCAAGCCAGCTATGAAGGAGATCGTGGCGGCTGCGAAGGCGTCGGGTTACGAGCTTCCCGCCACGGTTGTGGACGATATGATCAACATGGATCCGTTGACGATGTATCTGCCGCCATCCATGTTGAGTGATACTCGGAAGGGCAACTTCATCGAGTACGAGAATATCCTTGGCGAACCTTTGCGAGAAGGAGAGAAGTTGGGAGTGCCTATGCCGACGCTGCGGGTGCTGTACCATCTCTGTGCGGCGATACAGTGGAAGAATAAGGAGGTGAAGGGTTTCGTCACTGTGCCGCCGAAAGGAAGCTCTGCTGAGTAGACATATTTACAATCCTTAACAAGTCATTCAAATTTGTGCCACCCACCAGCGGCATCTTGCTATCTTCGCATGATGCACAGCATCATTTCCTTGTCCAGGGTATCATGCAACATAACACAGCACCAAGGAACGCCTATCACATCAACGCACAATACAACCATCGCTCACACAACAACCATGAAGCTTCACAGCTCCTCTTCCCGCACCTGATGTCCGCCCCAAGTCGAAACTAGCGAGATGCTGGACCAGTCAGCACCATCTTCGTTCAGGGCAGCACTGAATGCCTTCTGACGCCGTGCGATCCGTGATGCTTCTGGCAAGGTTTCAGTGCTTTCCAACTTCGGCTTTCTCTGATCCTGTCCGGTTCGCGAAAGTCGGGAGGGCGGCCTTTGTGACGGCGGATTGTAATGCATATCGTGTTGTGGTGACACCCGCTCATCGGTAGCTACCGAGCTGATCTTGGGACGGCGTTTAATCTGCTTCGCAACTTCGGTGACGGAGGAGTGGCCATCGCCGCTCGCATCTCCTGCATGCTGCCGTCTTTGATGAGTCTGCAGCCTCTCGTGCAGCCAATCCCCGGGTAAGCGTCCCTTAGGGAGGTACATCGCTGCAGTACGCCCTCTTTGCGCCGATGGTGCCGATTGTGCGGCATGTTCGTACAGCTTCTGTGGTAATTCCAACACTTTCATGTCGTCCGTTGCATCCACAGCAGGTGAAGCGGATCGGGCCCCATCGGAACGCGACCGTGTCTGTGCAGATGGTGGAGAAAGCCGGCCACATTCAATTGACCCCTTGGCGACTTTCTGCCGTTTGGCTTGTCTAGGCGGGTCCTCATGCCTTCCAGGAAAGGAAGCCTTGTGAAGTCCTTCTCTGAACGGATCATGCTGCGGATTGTTGGGTGACCCTACCCCGCTTGTTGATATTGCCAGTGTGTCAGATGGCATATTCTCGAAACTCTCATCACGGTGTTCTGTCGCAGGGCTGCCGGACCAAGTGATGTGGTCGAGTGGGCGGTCAAGAGCCGGGATCTGGCGGCTGCCATCATGATCTTCCTCAAGCTCATCAGCCTTCGCCCTGGAGCCGTTGCGTGACCCGCTTTGTTGGCGCGAAGAGACAATATCAGCGCTCATCGGTTCCAACTTTCGCTTCTTGAACATCTGTTGATCATGGCTGAAGCTGGGCAGGTGATGGTAAAGGTGACCAAACAAAAACGCCATGGAATTGGCGGCGGTCCAGTGAGCTTCATCAACCGTGCACGGGTGGATGTCTTTCGGATTGAAGGCGTCGACAAGCTCGCACAACTCGTTGTAGGACGAGTGGCGGGAGTATGGAAATGTCTATGAGCCTGTAAGCGGTAAGAACACAACAGAGGTGCCGATATTGACTCACCACCTGTCTTGGAAGGCCATCTGGACGAGGGCCAGTGACACCAGACTTATTGACGGGAGAGCCGCCATCTCTGCTCAAGGCTCTCTTCGTGACCAGTTTGGCTAGAGCAGGCACCAGGCGCTCAAGCGGTAGTTCTTCGGCTTCTCCATACCGATCCTCGCCGTGCTCCGGAGCACCCAGGCAGTCATTGATGAATCCGGACTTGTCCAGTGAGATACTGGTTGCTCGCTGACTGATGAGGTGGGACAACATGTCAGTCACCTTAGCTAGGAGTTGTGGTTGGCCTTGAAGCTTGATGGCGCATAGTGCGATTAATTGGCCGACAAGAGCGGCGTCAAAAACTTCCAGTTCGTGATGTGCACTGATATCTCCCAGCCCGCCGCCCGCGCCGACTTCTAGTATCTCAACACCATCGTGACGAGATATGATTGGTGTGATGCGAACATAATCTGTAGTGCGGCAGGTGAGCTGGGGTAATGTAAAGAAGGAAAGGAATGCAGCGCAATGTCTTACCCTTCTGCCAAACCTCGCATCCCGTGCCTCTCTCACAGCTGTGCAACCGGGCGGACTGCAAGGTCAGACATCCTTTCTGGAAATGATTGCCGCAGTGGAATCCCATCAGCTTGGGAGCCTCGGCTGCTTTGGTCTCCTGGCTGTTTGCGACTGCACGATAGAGCCCATAACGGTAGTCGTCCACGTGGACTTGGGAGTCTAGAAAGCTTGACAACGCGAGCCAGACCTCTTCGTACCCGAATGTCCACGCATCAAAGTAGTAAACAGTGTCTTTCGGGTACTTCGATACGGCGAGAAGCAGCTCACTCAGTCCCTCAGCTTTCGATGGGAACTGCTTGTAAGGTTCGTCCTTGACCGCGAAGGTTGTATCGAGATAGATGCAATCAAGTTGCTTGAGTGGAGGTCCCCCGTGGGTAGGTGAAGGCACGTACGGTATGATGAAAGGATTACGGATAAGTAAGTTGACCCACCAATTCTCGGCTCGAACATCGCCGCTGTAAAAGATGGCCTTACCTGAACCCTCGATCAGGAAGCACACGGCACCGACACAGTGATTCGCATTGAAGAGTGTGACACGGATGGAGTTACCAGGTGTTAGCTCGATTGTTGTTGGTGTCTCCAGTGGAATAGGTTTCAGCAATTTCGCGAGATGCTTATAGGTCTGCTTCCTCGACTCCAGTATCCCCTTGGCAAAGTTCATGCGATGAGGGTACTTCTCAAGACGCAGCAGGATGTCTCGTGTCGCTGGTGAGCAGTAGATGAAGGGCGACCTGAAGGACTCGAGGCCCCTCAAATGATCAGAGTGGACATGGCTGAGAAAGCACGCCAGTGCGCCAGGCTGGGTGAAGCAGTCGATGCGAATGTCAGGAAACTCTTTGACGACGCCGTCGAAGGTCGACATGGTGGCATCTTTAGCTTTGCTCAAGCAAGATGTCGAATGAACGGAAAGATGAGATGAAGACTACCAGTACCTTACTTACACAGCAGCCAAGTGGAGTGACAAGGCGCGCTAAGGACACGCTAACAGTTTGATCACGTGCTGAAGAAATGCCTCTGTTGAAGCCTTCTTAGTCAATTTGCCAGTCTGGCCATTCGACCACAATCCCCAGCTTCTTCACGCGAACAGCTAAAAGACTGGGCTCGCTAGGCTCGCTGCCCATGCACATAATGGCGCCGCAGAAGGCACGGTATATTCGGCGGACGATGCCGGTATATGTATATCCGACCTCAAGTGGTAGCACTCTTAACCGACTACATACTCGGCACCGCCGCCGACCAACCTCTCGACCTATATACCAGACCTACTTGTACCGACCCTCACCCCCAGCGTCTCAACTTCCTGCACTGGCTTGAGACCTCCATGTGCCTCTCGTGAAGCGACCTGTCTGCTCACATCAGATCCGCCACTGAGCAATAAATGACGCTCAAGATACTTGTGCTCATACGCTGTCACTTGGTGAACTCTCTCATCCGTAGACTCTGAGCATCATCCTGAATGGTATTGGGGCTTTTTGTCACGATGCTTCCGGTCATTCAGACTCAGTACGGTCCAGATAGACAAGCCCAGTGCTGTCAGGAGTTGCGTACGGCAGGAATGCGAAACCGAGTGTATTGCTACTGTCTTGGGAAGTATGAGACAAAGAAAGTGATGCTTTCTTGCCGCTTCCGGTCGGCCTCAATGCCACCTCTACAGTTACCGCACCTTTGCACTTTGCATCTTCGGGTGAATCTTAGTCAACATGGACACCATCACGCCGCTCTTGTAGCGGGCCTTGAGCTGCTCATTGCGCACACAACCGCCGCTTGCCTTACCGTCCTCGTCCTAGTCATTGGACGATACTGCACGCCAGCTCTGAGAGCATACATCGCCGCATTCACAATCGTTGCAGTGCTTGCAGGACTGTTTGCACATGAGATTGGGCTGGGAATCAGTGAGCCGGTGATTGAAGAGTTCAGACGCGATGGGGAGGCGGTTGACGGAATTGGTATTGTATCCCGGCCGACTTATGACCGTCACTCTGGTAAATTGTACTATGGAGGGGCAGCTCCGTGGTAGAACTCATGACGGTTCAGGAGATTCTCTAAGAACGGTATCGTTGAGAGAGGATGCCGACCTGCGAGCAACCGAGGAACCTCGATCCGGGATGGCGCCTTCCCCGCGCCGCGCCATCCCGCCCTCCGCATTGGGTGACATCAACGTTGGATATGAAGCATGTGACCGCTACATCCTCTCCTCTGCTCCCAACGCCGGAGGAAGCGGGTCAATGCCATTCGGCCACCGCCCCACTTACTCCATGGATACGGACGAGCTGGATTACCTCGAGAAGCGCGCGCTGCCACTCTACGACCACCCCAATAATTCCAGCACCCACGCGCAACCTCGGCAATACCACAGCAAGCTCTCCGGAGAAGGCTTCTTCGGCATTGGCGCTTACGGCTGGATCTTACTCGCATTCCTCCTCTTCGCAGGACTCGTCTTCTTCGGCCTCGTCCACGGCTTCTGGCATCTGTGCGTACATTACGGCGCGGCGCGAGCGGCGGCGGTGGGGACGGCGCGGTCAACGCAGTTAATTCACTAGACAAACAGCATATCTATTTCGGTGAAGATGCAAATCAAAGACCGCACTTTCGTGATCTCCGGCGGCGCCTCCGGCCTCGGTCTAGCCACCGTCCGCGAGCTCCACTCCCAAGGTGGCTACATCGCCATCCTCGACCTCAACGCCGAGAATGGCAACCAAGTCGCCGCGCAACTGGGCCCACGAACAAAGTTCTTCGAAGTGGACATCAGCGACCCCACCTCCGTCGCCACCGCCGTCTCCTCCCTTGTCGCCTGGACAAGACAGACAGCCAAACCCCTCGGCGGCGTCATCCCAGCCGCCGGCGTGGGCTTTCCAGGCAAACTGATCGACCGCAACAACGAACCCATCCCGCTCGACCATCTCGACTTCGTCCTCAACATCAACCTCCGCGGCGTCCTCGACCTCCTCCGCCTTTGTCTACCCCATCTGACCACCGCTCCACCCACCGAGCCTGATGGCGAACGCGGCGTCATCGTTCTTGTCTCCTCCTCCGCCGCGTACGATGGCCAACCGGGTCAAGTCGCTTACGCCGCTTCAAAGGGCGCGATCAGATCTATGACGCTTGTCCTGGCGCGGGATCTGGCTCAATATGGGATTCGCGCGATGAGTATCGCGCCTAGCTATTTTGAAAGTGGTATGACGGCGCAAATGTCGGAGAAGGTGCGCAAGAGTTTGGAGAAGGTGTTTGAATTTCCCAAACGGCCGGGTCAAGGGCCGGAGTTTGCCAGGATGGTAAGGCATTGCATCGAGAACGGGATGTTGAATGGGGAGTGCATTCGGTTGGATGGCGCTACGAGGATGCCGAGTCGGATGTGAAACTCTCAAGCTCTACAAGATCTGTACACTCCTGGGTATCATGATGCTATGAAACGCGCAACAAGCAGCCGGTGGTAGGAAAGAAGACTCTCAGCGCTTCCGCTGCCGCTGCTTGAACGTGATGCCGTTCTTATTCACGCCGCCCGTGGTCCCGTTCATGCGCGCCTTTTGTTCCTCCACCCCTCGTAAAGCAATCGTGAGTTGTTCCTCCCGCTGCTTGAGCCGTTCGAGTTGCCGTTTCTTCACTTCGAAGGTATGCTGTTTCCGTCTTTTCGCTTTCATTTGCTCGGGGGTGAGATCTTTCGTGTCGTTCGCATCCTGCTGTTCGTCCTTCTCGTCTTCCGACATAAAGTCATCGAAGTCATCAGCCTCCCCGTCCACCTCGACATCCACATCAAGCTCCGGTACGACTTCCAACCCATCCTCACCAAAGACCTTCCTCTCGTTCCCATGCCCACCGACAGAACCCACACCAACCCCAACCTTCCCCAGCATAACCTCCCTCTCCACCCTCTCCCTCGCCCTCTTAACCCCGCCCAGAACCGTGCGCAAATACCCCTCATCCTGCGTCTTCATCAACTTCACCGTCTCCTCCCCTAACCTCCCACTCTTCTGCCCATCCTTCCCATTTCTCTCCGCCACTTTCACACCCTTCTCCGTCCGCTCATTCACCATCCCGAAATAAAATTCATCCTCATTCCTCTCCCGCGCTTTTTGGGATAGTGCTTTGAGTTTGCGTTTCTTGAGATTATGGTCCGCTGCGCGAAGGGAATAGTCTTTGTGTTTTTCTAGCAGGCCCCATTTGGAGCGGGAGGCGGGTTGGGCGCGCTCGCGGTGGGGGCGGCGGGTGAAGTTGTTGCGCAGGGAGGACATCTTGAATTGGACGGATAGACTTGGGATGGGGTACGTTAGCGGATGGCACTTTTGCAGGAGAAGATTCGAAGTAGTGAAATCTTGGTAGCGTGCCTTCCCCGCGTGGAGGCGGAAGGGCCCGCATGCAGATCGCGCTTCACTTTCACTTGGCATTCATTCACTAGTCGCGAGACTCACTTTCCGATCGAACGTATTGACAACACTGCCGGCCATCTTCCAGCTGCAGGCGGCTGCTCCCAGACTCAACAATCACAACTCAATGCGGTAGCGATGGCGACGGCTTCTCCACCCCTCGCAAACGGCACCCACACCCACCCTTCTACACCACCCCCCTCAGACACCGCCGCCGCAGCAGCATTAGCCCCAACTAACACTAATACTTCCATCCCACCGCAACAACAAGCGCCCCAACCCCAACAACCAGCCGCAGTACTAGACCCTGAAACTCCCCGCCTTTCCACCACGGACGACGGCAGCGCCAAACGCCCCCGTGACGCCCGCACCATCCACCTCGTCCTCTCCAGTCTAGGCATAACCTCGTACCAAGAACGCGTACCATTGCAACTCCTCGATTTCGCGTACAGGTATACTTCCGGCTTACTATCTGACAGTCTCCGTCTCGCATCAGAAGGGTACTCTGGACGCGCTGGCGGTGGTGGGAATGCTAATGCGAATGCTGGGAGTGGGAGTGGGAACGTGAACCTGCAAAGTCTGCGCCAAGCAATCGCGAGTCGACAGGGTCATACTTTCCGCGGACACTTACCTAAGGAGTTCATGGCTGAGTTGGCGGCGGAGAGGAATCGAGTTGCGCTGCCGAGGGTGGAGAGGGGGTTGGCCTTGCAGTTGCCGGAGGAGAAGTATTGTCTTACTGGGGTTGGGTGGGATTTGAGAGGGGAGTGGGAGAGTGAGGAAGAGGATGCAAATGGAGAGGAGGAGGTGGACGAGGAGAGGGGAGAGCGGCGGATGGTTAACGGGACGGGATCGAAGCAGGAGGCGGATGTCGATGTGGGCATGGGTGGGGTTGATGGGTTGGCGGAGGGGGAGGAGGACGATGATGAGGAGGGTTTGGGGAGGATGGAAGATGTGTTTGGGGAGGAGAGAGCGGAGGATACGGAGATATCATGATCATCACCTCTTGAATGCTGTGGTTAGCAACAAGATTTGACATATTAGCGTGGCGTTGGCAGGCTTTACTGGAAATACCACCCAACCTGATATGTGCACACGCGGTTCGAGCGGTGCAATATGGGGTCAGACAGGATGATCTCAACACTTCCATGCATGATCCAGCACACTTGACCCCCTACTCGATCAGCTGGTTCTCTAGGCACGACCTTGAAGGCACGCAAATCTCGGTCCGGCATGGGGAAGCAAATTCTAAGCTCGCCATGAACCTCGAGCCATCCATCGACCTCTGCTCACCATTCCACGAGGCTGTTCTACTGTCAGGCGCGCACTAAGAGCAGACAGCATTGATGAAGCCAATTTGCCTCCGTCATCAAGCCGCTCGCTTTTGTGTTCGCGGCATTGATGACCCGTTCTGCACCGAACCCCTTTCAACGCTCCGGCCGTCCGAATGAGAGGCGTTGCAGATGCTGCATGGAAGATGTCATCCAGGAGGGTATTGGAGAAGCTACAAACACCCACCGAGCGACAGCACGGAAAGTCCCAAAAGCGCAGTCCCACCAGACCGGACTAATTCTCTCGTAAATGCTTTGGCAAGTGCGCAACTAATCGCTGCAAGGTTTAAGGAGATGCAGTTGCAGTACGTACAGCCAACCGGTGTACCGACCAGCCAAACTCTCGTCATGCAAACGTTTCTTCCTTGGCCAGACTCTTCGGACTTAATCCGGAACGCGGCGTTGACAGCATCTGGAGGCTGAGCGGACCGTTCTGCCGCAAGATCAACCATGTCAAAAACTTTACAGCTGCTACTGCATGCCATGGTCCCGTTTCTTGGACAAATCGAGCAAAGCTTTGCGGCTAAAGCTTCGACTGTGCGGAGAATGCATGATGCTGGGATGCGACTCCACATCAACCCTGCTTAAGCGATCTGGTCTTCGAACATCTAGAAGGATATTCAATCTACCGTGCAGCGACGCAGCCTATACCGCAGTACAAACCTGTCACAATGCCGAGGATCATGACCGAATGTTGCTGCCGTACCACCTCAGTGGCGAAGTGTGATCGACCTGGAGGCCTCGGTATATATAGGATGATCACTGAAGCGCTCAGTATGGCCTCACTCCATCCGAAATTACAACCTACATGTTCAATACAATGCTTTCGCTCAAGTCCACTCTCCTCCTCGCCGCCTCGGCGACAGCCACAATTTTCTACGCCGGCGTCGCAGAATCCGGAGGCGAGTTTGGCGCCTACTCCGCCACCGGTGTTAATGGCACAGGTCTGCCAGGACGTTTCAACGTCGACTATGCCTTCCTCAACGCCTCCACCGTGCCCATCTGGGTGAAGCAGAACAAGATCAACACCTTCCGTGTGGCATTCCTGCTGGAGCGTATGTGCCCACTCGAGTACGGTCTCGGTGCCCGGTTCAACGAGACCTACTTCTCCGAGTTCAACGACGCCATCAGAGCCATTACCAGCGCTGGCGCTTATGCCATCTTGGACCCGCATAACTACATGCGGTACAATGACCCCAGCCAGCAGCCTGGAAGTGGAAGCATCATTGGCAACACGGCCGATCCGGCTGCGGCGACTACCGCTCAGTATGTCAAGGCACTTCACCAGTAAAACACTCCTCTGGCGTGTTGCTGACCTTCGTAGGTTCCAAGCCTTCTGGCACGAGCTCGCCTCCCGCTACATCTTCAACCCTAACGTCATCTTCGGCATCATGAACGAACCCCACGACATGCCCACAGAACTCATCCTCGCCAACGACCAAGCCGCCATCAACGGCATCCGCACCGCCGGCGCTATACAGCTCATCATCGCCCCGGGTAACGGGTACACCGGCGGCCACAGCTGGAACCAATCAACGTGCGCAGGCTGCACGCCGAACACGCAGGTGATGAACAAACTCAAGGATCCCCTCGGCAACACGGCCATTGATGTGCACGAGTACCTAGACTCGGACTTCAGCGGCACGCACCAGCCTTGCGTGCAGAGCTTCCCAGCGAATATGTATGGACTAACGCAGTGGTTGAAGGCTAACAACCTTAAGGCTATGGTGACGGAGTTCGGAGGCGACAACAACAACTACACGGATAGCTCGATGTGTGTGGAGTACCTCACCGAGGCGGTCAAGTATATGAACAGCAATCCTGAATGTAAGCTGCCCTCTTTCATGATGATGTTGAGTGTCATGACTGACTTGTGTTGCAGATATCGGCTGGACTGCATGGGCTGCTGGACCGTTCTGGGGCTCTTACTCCCCTTGCTGTGAGGACTACGGCAGTTATGGCTCGCTTGAGCCTGGCAGTGTGGCTTCGGACGGCACGCCGGGCATGTACTACACCGTCTGGAAGGCGATCATACAGCCGTTAGTGCCGAGTGCGCTGCAGAGGTTCGGGATCTCCAGCATCTATGGTGGGATCGAATTTTGATGAGGTGGTGATGGCATGACATGCATGATGTAAGGCATCCCAAGTACATAAGCTAGCGAAGAGTGTCTTGTATTACTTTACCACTCTCTGTGCAAGCCCTTTGTATCATACATTGAGTGCCTGCACCGCTTGAACCTCTGAGCCTAGCTCAACATCCATCAGGTCCTGGTTATCGGAGACTTCCAAGTTGGGCGGACCGGCAAAGCCAGGCTGCCCGAATGAAGGACCATATTCGATGTCTTGAAGCAGATTACTACTTGGAACCCAAGGATTGGGCTTCAACGTCACTGCAAACGCTGGATCATATCATTCGGGGTCACTCGCTGATTTCAAGAGCCATGACAAGCTCGACTTGCTTGCGCTCCCCTTTTAACGGGCGTTTCTGTTGCGAAGCTCTTTCCTCAGTTGCTGCGTCCCCTGCTCACGCCATAAGATAGCCATCCTGCTTCTAACATGCGGGTTTGGCAAGTTGTGCTGCGTTGTCTCGGTTGACATGAGATCTAAGGGTACTTTGCGATACGCAGTGTGACTTACGAAGATTGTTTGTTTTGAACAAAGGGGGACTTGCCGGAAGCGGTGCAAAGCCATATCGCCAGCAAACCCTCAGTCGCAGGGGACATGCTCAAGGGTCAACCACAAGTCGATCGATGCGCACTCAGATGAACCAATCCTCGAACGACCACATCTGCAGAGTTGTGGGTAGGACTTTAGACAAGAAGAAGCCCTGGTATGCGATGCTGACAGCCGCATAGCCGCTGCAAAGCTTGGGTTGACGCCTTCTTTGTGCTGGGACAACCTTCCAGATCCGGTCGGACAACACTGAAGTTGGCGTTCGCTGCCCAGAAAATACCTTCGTCATGCGCTCGTGCTGTGCAACTACCTTAGCTCAAATGTGCGAAACCGTACCTCAACCCACCTCGAAGACTCCCGCCGCAGATCGAAGATAGCGCAGGATCAAAGTCATGGACGGCTTCAACCAGGATCAAATCTTGGACATCTGGGTTCACATCGAATGGGAGGAGCGCAAGGCCTGCGGCGAGTCCGTCGAAGAAGATCAGCTCAGACCAGTACTGGCTCAAGCATGGCTCACCTTCCCGGACGATATCAAGCGGGAGCTTACGGTAGCCTTGGTCGCCTTTCTCGAAGCTCAAGAAGCGGTTCCAGCAGTTCAGCACAACATAGATGCGACGACGTCGTACCCGAAGCTCCAGACTGATGAGGACGGCCGGCCACGATATGATCATCGCCCGGACGTGCGCGAGATGCCATCCTTCGCTGCTTACGTGGAAAGCACAAGAAGAAAATGCGAGGTGGAGCAGACTCGCTTCACTGCGACCGAAGCCTTGAGACAAGTCTTCTTAGAGCAGGCGGAAGGGCTGAATGTTCTGCAAGAGAGCGTGGCGTGGACGAGACTCCTCAGTTCTCGGCTTGACACATCTCTGAGAACCTGCCGAAGCTTACTTGACAACCTGCAGGAGCAGTTGCCGCGGCATGAAGCTGCGCTGAAGAGATGGCTCGCTTTCAAACGGAGGGAAGCGGCCTTGTCTAGAGCGTGGGTCGGGAGCTGGATGCTGGGTCGTGGCGGCTACGGAAGCGCCAACCTATGGGTTCAGCTTGACGCCAATGGAAACATTTGCGATGTGTGTGCGCTTGATGATACCATTAGGAAGACGGTTTGTGCTGACCGAGCTCGCAGCGTGTCCTTATCAAAGATTGCGACTTCAGCGGAGACGGGGAGGAGTTTTGGAGAGACACTGGTGACAGCTGGAGTGCGCATCCTCGGGATCCTACAGGCCGGTTGCTGGTTCCAAACGAAGTACTTGCCATGTACAATCTTCGCGGTCGAATCGGCTCGGAGAACATTGTGCGTGATTGACCTTGACGGCTATTGATCGGTAATTGAAGAGCCTGCTGACCGTTCCTTTAATCAGGTATATCTTCGCAACTGGAACCTGCATGCTGAAAGGAGAACGACAAGGTTGTATCTCGAGTTCTGTCCCTTTGGCACATTGAGTGAGCTCACAGAGACAAGAGCGCAGCCGGGGGAGGGGCGGATTTGGCTAGAGGAGCCATTGATCTGGTATAACATACATCGTTTCCAAAAAGGTCCGTCTTTGGCTGACGCAATGCGAACAGGCATGCGTTCGAGAGTCTGGCAGTTGCTGGGAAGCTAATGGACGCTGGTGAGCTCCAAGACAATCCCATGTCCATCTGGAAGAATATTCTTCACCTGGACTACAAGACGTCCAATGTACTCTTAGGTGCGAACTCCGGAAAACTGTACCAAGGATATCCTGGCATAAAGCTGGCGGACTTCGGCCTTTCTCTGTTCCAGGATCGCCAAGACAAGCGGACGAATCAAGACTACCCTCAGCGTGGCACGCCAGGTAACCGGGCACCGGAGCAGGTCAGAGATTGGAAGAACGACGCCGACAGGCCACTGATCGGGCGAACCACAAATGTCTGGGGTAAGTATTGGGTGTAGGGCCGCTTCTCGGATGCATGAGACACTGCTGATACACACAGGCGTGGGTATAGTGGTATGGAGCCTTATCGAGTTGAGGCAAGGTGACGACAACCTGGCGTATGATGGACCGCAGAACGCCGATGGCCTAGCACATCCTGGCGAGCCTAGAGAGCCGGCATTCAGCATTCCTGTGAGGACGACGTACTCTAGGGAATTGCTAGAACTCGTGTCAAGTTGCGTGCGGTTCCGGCCCGAGGACCGACCAAGCTTCGACGTTGTTCTGAGATCCATTCAGCGATACACCGATGGTAGCAGAGAGTTCAAGCGTGACCAGGGCTTGCGGGAAACGGCCAAGGACGATCCACGGTTTGGTTCCTGGAACCCGTCAGGTTCGCCGCCGGAGGATCTGTGGGCGCGAGGAACGCAGCTTTCGAGAGAGGACGGTCCAGATCCGCCCTCAGGGCTTCCAAGAATGCCGCAAGCGACTGTCGGCGAGATCGACGGCGATGAGGTCCCCGGCGGAGAACCCGGCAGAGGAGCTACTATTCAGGAGATAACAAGAACCGGGGCATTGCAAGATCCAGGATCACAGTTGCCGCAGCGGAACGATCCAGCGCTCCCACTTCAAGACGGACCTGCTAACATGCAGCCAAACGGTCCAGCTCGAGGCGCGGTTACAGGTCAGGCTCCGACCCCAGCTCGAGGCGAGGCGGCTCCTGGCGGCGGCCTAGGTCAAGCTCCAGGTGCGGGACCAGCTCCAGGCGCGCTGCGCGAATGTAAGCACCGATGCAACAACAAGCGCACATGCAGACACCCGTGTTGCAAGCGTCATCAGCCGTAGTTGAAGCGTTACATTTGCGACCTTCCTACCAACGTTACACGAAGCGCTCGGTGGCTAGTCTTTCAGGCATAGAACGGAAAAGAAAGGAGGGCGAGGCTAGGAGGGAGCAGGCGGCGTGTAGCCCAGAGACTATCGATTGGAGTCGCCTGAGTCGTGACAACGCAGCAGGAAAGTGGGAGAAGAAATGATAAGATTGCGAAGCTATTGTATGCCTCGATGTGGTTGAGCGCGTCGTAGTCCTCTGGAGAGACTTCACTACTGGATCTGGGTGTCGTGTAGGCGGCACACGAAACAACGTGAGGACGGGACCTGCGCGAGACACTGGCGGAACGGGAGATGCAGGCTGTTGTTGTAGGCATTGTCAGACGTTACAAATATGTAGAAGTCAGGTGTGTGGGTATGACGGAGGTGGGGGTGGGGGCCAGAAAATGCATCCATCCCACATTCAATGTCCGTCTTTGACTCAGGATTTGTAGAGGAGAGCTAATCTCTTCTTAAATACCGAGGAGACGTACACAAAATGGCAGGTCATAATACGATGGAGCATACGCCACCCTTCCTGGCAGCCATCGATCTCTCGAGCTATACCAACGCATCGCAGATACAGTCCGTAAAAGAACTCGCATATACCGGAGCTCTGTTCGCAGCAGTGTCGCCTCAGTCGATTGACACCGCGCTCGCACTTCTCAAAGACACCGTGGGTCGATACTCTGTTCACCTGGATGTCTCTACGCTGCAATCGGAGCAGGACATTGTAGACCTTCTCGACGCTGGTGCCGCCAAAGCCTTCGTGTCAAGCGGACAAGTACCTGCATTGCAGCAAGTGCCGAACTTAGACGGCAGTCGCATAGTCTATCACCCAACTGTCTCTGCCGACCAAGCAGAGTCCCAACTGCAGGGGACTGGCTACGGCTTGCATCTCCACAATGTCCAGAGTGTCCAAGCCGCGACTCAGGTTCTACAAGCACTGGGCAAGCAGAGGCCCACTGTATATGTTTCCAAGGAAGGAATGACCGAGGCGGAAGCTGTCGAGTTATGCAGACAGGACGTCGTGCCTATTTTACCTTCGAAGCAACTTACTCTTACCGCCGAACAGTCTACCGATCAGATAAGAGTCGCTTCCTTACTGCTTGCGCAGGTGAAGAGTGATCGGCCGGACGGACTCTTCACGACGCTTGTAACGGACGAGCGAGGCATCGCTCTGGGGCTAGTGTACAGCAACGAGGAGAGCGTAGCAGAGAGCTTGCGGTCCGGACGAGGTGTGTACTGGAGTCGGAAGCGTGGTTTATGGCGCAAGGGCGACACGAGCGGAGACTGGCAAGAGCTTGTTCGCATAGACAGAGACTGCGACAATGACTGTCTGCTCTTTGTCGTAAGGCAGCAAGGGCATGGGTTCTGCCACCTGCAGACAGCGACGTGCTTCGGTCAGTACAGAGGGTTGACAAAGCTGCAGAAGACGCTACAGAGTCGGAAACGATCGGCACCGGAGGGTTCGTATACTGCGCGGTTGTTCAACGACAGCAAGATGCTGAATGCGAAGATCATGGAGGAGGCGTCTGAGCTTTGCGAAGCACAGAGTAAGGAGGATGTTGCGGCTGAAGCAGCAGATGTCCTCTACTTTGCGCTCACAAAGGCAACCGCGGCGGGTGTTACGCTAGAAGATATCGAACGTAATCTAGATGGCAAAAGTGTCAAAGTGAAAAGAAGAAAAGGTGACGCCAAGGGCCCGTATGCCGAGAAGTTTGGCGTCACCAATGGCACAGCACCCCACGTCAACGGCGACGCGAAGACGGAGATGCTACGAGAAGCTGAGTCCAAGCCAAAGAGCAAAGACGACCCTGCTGGTCTCAACAAGGAAGGCAGAATTCAAATGCGGCGCTTCGACGTGGCGAAAGAGTCGCCCGAAAGCATTCAGGAAGCTCTCAAACGGCCCTCCCAGCGCTCAACGGAGAAGATCATGGGTATCGTCAACCCCATCATCAAAGACGTGCAACAACGCGGCGACAAGGCATTATTGGAGTATACGCACAAGTTCGAGAAAGCGACCTCGCTCACCTCACCCGTTCTAAAAGCGCCGTTTCCTGAAAGCCTAATGCAACTCCCACCGGAAACGATCGAAGCCATCGATGTCAGTTTCGAGAATATCCGCAAATTCCACGCTGCGCAGAAGGAGGAGCGCCCGCTGGAGGTCGAGACTATGCCTGGCGTGGTATGCTCACGATTCGTACGGCCCATCGAACGAGTTGGTCTTTACGTACCAGGCGGTACCGCTGTCCTCCCATCCACTGCAATGATGCTTGGCGTACCGGCTATGGTGGCCGGATGTAAGACGATCGTGCTTGCTTCGCCACCACGCGCAGACGGAAGCCTGACGCCCGAGATCGTATATGTCGCTCACAAGGTCGGCGCGGAAAGCATCGTGCTGGCAGGTGGTGCGCAAGCTGTTGCCGCGATGGCGTACGGGACGGAGAATGTGAGCAAAGTCGACAAAATCCTAGGGCCCGGCAATCAATTCGTCACAGCGGCCAAGATGGTCGTGTCGAACGATACGACCGCGAACGTCAGCATTGATATGCCCGCCGGCCCGTCGGAAGTGCTGGTCATTGCGGACAAGACCGCGAATCCTGCTTTTGTTGCTTCCGACCTACTATCTCAGGCTGAGCACGGCGTGGACAGTCAAGTTGTCTGCATCCCCGTTGATCTCAGTGACGAGCAGGTACAAGCAATCGAAAATGAGCTGCACAAGCAAGCGATGGCTCTTCCACGAGTGGACCTCGTTCGGGGTGCCATCGAGCACTCAGTCACGCTGATCGTCAAGACGCTTGAAGAGGCCATGGCACTCTCGAATGCTTACGCTCCGGAACATCTTATCCTGCAAGTCGCCGACCCGGTTGCCGCACGGGATAGGGTGCAGAATGCAGGCTCCGTCTTTTGTGGTCAGTGGACGCCGGAGTCGGTTGGTGACTACTCTGCGGGTGTCAATCATAGTTTGCCCACGTATGGTTATGCGAGACAATACTCTGGTGTCAACCTGGGCAGCTATGTCAAGCATATTACGAGCTCGAATCTGACGGCGGAGGGTTTGAGGAATGTTGGAGGTGCGGTAATGCAGTTGGCGAAGGTTGAGGAGTTGGAGGCGCATCGGAGGGCGGTGGAGATAAGGCTAGACTATATGAAAAGGGAGGGCCTGACAAGTTAGGCAATGAGAAACGTTGCACTTAATTGGTAGCGAGCGCTTATAGTTACCAACTGCCTCGAAACGGTTGACCTGATGTGATCGGAAGCATGAGATAGAAGATGAGAGGGTATCACAAGCTTCCACGCCCAACCAGCTATCTAGACGCGCGCCATACGTGACATAAATTTCCAACGGTTATGCAACCGACTGCTCAACGCGATCAGGCACCTCCGGCCGCACATCCATGACCGCGCGTACAAGATCCTCGACAACTTTCGGTCCCGTCTTCTCGCCTATCTGCTTGATCTCGTCGAGCTGCTTCTGCGTGTCCTTATCTGCCTGCTCCTCCGCGGCCTTGTTGCCTGAGCTGTGCTATAATCGGAGTCAGTACGTACACACACACTCCCCGTCCGTGCGTTGCTTCTGCAAGTGGGAGGCATACCTCCTTCTCGAAGGCCTTAAACTCCGCCTCCTTCTGCTTGCGGTAGTCCTCAATCTCCTTCTGCGCTTCGGAACGGGCGTCCTTTACTCGCTTTGTTCGGTCTATGGTTTGATAAGCTTTCGTGGCTATAGTGGAGGAGTTCATTGTAGTGAACGATACATTCTCTGGCTTGTTGTACGATCTTCTGCGCTTCTCTTTCTGCCTACAGCCATGTCAATATGCGGTCCCACGTTAGCTACGGTCTGTTGAGATGGCACGAACGTCGAGCAAAGTCTGGATACCGGCGGAGTTTTGGGCTGCCTGTCGAGTCTGTCAGCGCATAGAGCGAGGCTGGAAGAGCCTGTTACATACCATCTCTGCGAGTATGTGGTCAGGATGTGGTGTAGGGTGCGAATGCGCAAAGGCGGCCTATCAAAAGAAGCAACCGTCAGTGAAGCTCACATTGACGTGCATTGAGCGGCCGAGATATGTCCGTATTGCGGCCGCTTGCACCGCTTCGGTTCCATCTGCACATCCACGACACTCTCATCAAACCAATATTCATCTTCCTGCACAACCCGGAGATTATTGCTTCATGTCGACGACCGCCAAGTTGACTCTCGCGACAACAACGCTGGGTGCCATTGGCATTGTCATCTTCGTGCATCGGCAGCAGCAGCTTGACAAAGCTGTACGCTTCATCCGTCTCCGACCCGGCATATCATATGGCTAACGGCCAAGTATAGGCAATGCATCAAGGCGTCATACGTGACATGGAGCAGCAGCGCATTAAGCGGGAGAGACAGCTTGACTTCGAAATGCAACGCCAACTCGAGGAGGAGTACAAGAAGGTGCAGACTGTCAGCGACAGCACGGATGGGCAGGTCAGGACACCATGAGTGCTGTGCAATTCATGGCTGAAGGATCTCTTGCGTGTAATCCCTGATGACCATAGTGGTTACATCATGTCGCCATTAGCTCTCGATGGTGCTCAGTCCGGAATTGGCACGGTTACAGGCCGTACCACAACCGGATCCACGATGGATTGATGCGGCGAAGCTTCAGGACCCGTCCAATTCGCCTTCGGGATGCTCCAAACACAATACCGCGCCGGAGCTATACACTTGAGTCTGATACCACACAACATCGGAAGCCATCCAACTGAGATGTCTAGCAACGTTGACTTGGACTTGTCATATGGCCGCAGAGACTCCATTGCATCCGGGAACTTGCGATACCGTCGAAAAGGCGGGGTGATGAACTTGGTCCCTGCTCCAGCGCGCAAGAAGCAAGGGTATCGTACTCTTGTCATCCGCTTCGACGCATATCTAGGGGCGATATAGTCTTGCCCACATCTTGCGGGACTGATCGGGCTCCCCCAGCGATACCACATGTCTCTGATACCGCCACTAAGTGTTTGAGTCCACAAGCTACAAGCGATCTCCACTTCCCCCGAATGAGACCTAACGAGAAATGGGAGAACAGCAGATCCCACTTGTTGCAAGAACTAGTTTGCTGACTGCTGGCTGTGAATGGTGGGTGGGAATGCGTGGACAAGCAGAGCAGAGCCAAGCTAGGGAGGAAATGAAACTGTCGAGAAAAGAAATATCGCTTGACCACTTAGGCAGACAGCTGAAATAACGAGATTGCAGTCTTCCGCCATTTCGCGTTGCACGCCACCTCTCAACCCCTAACCTTCAACCACTCCACAACCTCCGCCGCACTCCGATCAGGCGGAAACACCGGATAAAACACCTTCATCACCTTCCCATCCTCCACTGCCATACTTAACCGCTTAATCAACCGCTTCCCTTCCCACTCAAAAACCGGCAACCCCAACGCCTCCGCCAACTCAAGCTTCTCATCGCTCAAAAGCTCATAAGGCAAGTGCACCCTCGTCTTAAGTTCCAGCTGGTACTCCGTAGATTGCGTGCTGCAGCCAAAGACCTGTTTCACTCCCAGCCCAGCAAGCTCGTCCGAAGCGTCCCGGAATGAACAGGCTTGCGGCGTGCAGCCGCGGGCGCCGGGGATTTCGTTCCATTCGGGTGGGACGTTTTCGCCGGGGGCGGCGGTGCGGGGGTAGCAGAAGAGGATTGTGAGGCCGGGAAGGGTTGAGAGGTCAATAGTGTTTCCCAATGTTGAAGGTAAAGCGATCGCTGGGAACTGCCGGCCTTGAAGGCCCTCGCATGCTCCGTCGTCTTCAGGCTTTGGGATGGTGCTCCAGTCTGGTGTTGCTGGGTTCTTCGCGTTCGCCATCCTGACGGTACCTAGTAAGTGTCTGACGGTCGATGTTGTATTGCACCTTCGCTCTGATATTCCAGTATGATTTGTTCGGACGATTGTTACGAAGATTCCTTAATGTTGAAGTACCTCGAGCGGGGTATCGCGGCCGGTTTGCGTTTTGACTTTGAAAGATGTTGTTGTTACACCTCGACACAGAGCGATCATAGTATGTACATTTGTGCGTCTCTATATCGCACCAGTAGCAGTACAGTAAACGTAGGGTATCGAAAGTCCAACGGTCCGCCCCCGCAACGCAGTCGGTGGCGCCAATCGCTAGAACGCACGGCGAACACTAAACACAGCAACCCATACATGAGACCCATCAGACAGCCTCATAAGTGTCCAGCGGCACATAAGCACCCCTCTCAGCCTCGGACACCTTCCTCCTCTTTCCCCTAACGAGATCCCTTACGCTGCCGATACGACTCCAGAACCCCAGCTTGTTGGCTTTGAACTCAGCAACAAGCTCATCCTCAATCAGCCACGCAGGTCGTCGCCAAAACCTAAGCATCAAGCTACTAACCACGACCGTGACGCTCGAACAAGCCATCGCCGCGCCAGCAGCCAGTGGCGGTAGCGTGATGCCCCACGGCAAGAAGAAGCCCATCGCGATCGGGATGCCGATAGCGTTGTAGATGCAGCTGAAGAGCAGATTGTACTTAATCCGTCGGAAGATCGTCCGGCTGAGATGTAGCGAGGCAGGGATATCCATCAGTTGCTCCCCTTTCATCAACACGATATCCGCCGCCTCCATCGCGACATCGGTGCCCGTCGCTAACGAGATGCCGACGTTGGCCGTGGCAAGCGCGGGCGAGTCGTTGATACCGTCACCTACCATTGCGACGATCTGGCCTTGTTTCTGCAAGTCTTCGATGATGTCTTGTTTGCCGCTTGGCAAGATGCCGGCGTAGACGTTCTCTGGAGGGATCCCAACTAGTGAGGCGACGTGCTCGGCTGTGGCAGCTTGATCGCCGGTGACGAGCGAAGTGGCTATGCCCATGCCGTGCAGAGCTGCGATGCATGCGCGTGCTGATGGCTTGAGTGTATCTGAGAGCCCAACAGAGCCGGTGTAGGTTCCATTGATCGCGACGTGAATCTTCGTGATGCCTGCCGACTCCGCGTCGGTGTAGCGCTGAGGAACGGCGACTTCAGGAGCACTTGGCACGGCAATGCCGTTTCCACGTAGCAGCGAAGCGTTGCCGATAATAACTTGGTACCGTGTCCGCTCGACCGCACCACTCGGCTCGACGATGGCGGAAATGCCTTTGCCAACAGTAGCCTTGAAATCACCAACATTGCCATCCAGCGTGCCATCTGCCGCAAGGCCCAACTTCTCCTTTGCACCGGCCAGAATCGCCTTGGCAATGGGATGCTCGCTGCCCGCTTCCGCAAGCCCGACGATGCTCCACCACATGAGTCTGCGCTCGCTGCTTTCACTCCACTCACCAACCGACTCCGCGCCACTGACGCTCATCTTACCCGTGGTAAGCGTACCAGTCTTGTCGAGAACGATGTGCTTGATCTTGGTAGCCGTCTCGAGTGTAGCGCCACCTTTTACTAGAATGCCCTGCTCAGCACCTACACCCGTGCCCACCATCACGGCCGTCGGTGTTGCCAGGCCAAGCGCGCATGGACACGCAAACACAATAACCGCAATGCAAAGCTTAACACATATCATCACCCTGCCTCCCGAAGAATCGCTGAGGAAGATCGGGGGTGGCTGAGGCATGACATGGCTGAGGATCATCCATGCCACAAAGGTCGCCAGACCTAGCGTAATGATGATCGGGACGAAGTAGCCAGCCACAACGTCAGCAACGCGCTGGATAGGTGCCCGACTCGTCTGCGCTTCTTGCACGAGTCGAACGATCTGCGAAAGCTGAGTGTCGCGGCCGGCGCGTGTGACCTTGAAGTCAAGCCTACCGGCGCCGTTAACGGTACCCGCCATGAGCGCCGAGCCTTGCTTCTTCAAGATAGGCATCGCTTCGCCGGTTACCATGCTTTCGTTCACGTAGCTTTCTCCGCGGGTGACCGTGCCATCTGCGGGAACCTTATCGCCAGGCTTCAAGACAACAATGTCACCTACTTCGATGAGCTCGGTAGGCACGACTCTCTCCTCAACAGTAGCAGCAAAGGCCGCCTTCTCGTTCTGCTGCACCATAGTATCCCAATCTTCTGCAGCTTTGGCAGCCGCAATCGGATCAGCGTAGATGGTTGCAGTCGAAGGGGCCAGGCTCATCAGCCTACTAAGAGCCTTCGAAGTCTGACCCTTGGCCCTGTTCTCCAGAAAGCGGCCAAGCAGGATGAACGTGATAAGCATCGTACTCGTGTCGAACGTAGTTGCCGGCTTAGAGTGCGGAGGCACGAAGATGCTAACGAGCATCGCCGCGCAGCTGAAGAAGAACGCTGCACTCGTCCCAAGCACGACCAGAACGTCCATCGTTGGACTACCATGCTTGATAGATTTGTATGCGGAGACGTAGAAGCGTTTCCCGATGCCGAATTGTACGGGTATAGTGAGGAAAAGACATACAACATCACCCAGCCAGAGACCGCTCCAGTGCGCTCTTCCAAAGTCAAGTGCCGGCAGGAACATAGGAATGACCATGCTGATGAGGAGGACGGGTATCGCAAAGGCTAGTGATATCCGGAAAGCGCGCCACCACTCCTGGATTTCCTTCGTCTTCGCCAAGGACTCGAGCTGCGCGTTGTTGTCATCCGAATCAGCTACGAGTGCATTGTAGCCAGCCTTCTCGATAGTCTCCACTATAGCTCGCAGACCGATCGTGGACGGAGTATGCGTGACGCCTACGCGGAAAGTTTCGAAGTCGACCTTTGCGGACGTGACGCCGGGTATGCCATCAAGTAAGGCCTGAAGATCTGACGCGGCATCTTGACTCGGCATGCCGAACACCTTCAACTGCACGCTCGCGCTCGAACTTGACGTCTGCACGCCTTCCTCAACGCTTGATACCACCTTCGCGTCGAACCCTCGGTCCTCAATAATTTCCATGATTTGCGCGGTAGTGAGTCGCTCAGGATCGTGCAAGATGACGGCCCGCTCTGCCAACAAGCTGATATTGAACTGCGCAACACCAGGCACGTCTCTGAAACCACCTTCCACGGCCGAAGTGCATGCGCCGCAAGTCATGCCTTCGATTGCAACAGTCGTAGTGAGCAGCTTCTTAGTCTTGGATTTCCGACGCATTTTCGGCTTGCTGTGTAGCGGCTCGACAGTCTTCGTCTCTACGATCTCGGCGTCGAAACCCGTATCCTCGACGATCTCTGCCAGCTTCTCCGGTGATATCATGCTTGCATCGTGCTCGATAACTGCCCGCTCGGAAAGTAATGATATACTGAAGCTCTTCACCCCCGCCACACCTTTAAACGCACCTTCTACCGCGGATGTGCAGGCACCGCACGTCATACCTCCAACGTGCAGTGTAGTCACAGATAGTCCGCTGCTCGTAACCTGATCATCCGTCTCCACTGCTCCATCCCCCACGTCCTCTATCGCATCGAACAACGGCGTCTCCGGTCGATCCGAGCCCAGCACCTCCGCGTCAAAACCTCTATCTTCCACAATATCTCGCAATTGCTGTGCGCCAATCTTCTCCGCATCATGCGTAACGACTGCTCGCTCCATAACTAAGCTGACCGACACACTGCCAACTCCCTCCACACCCTTAAAGCCGGACTCGACAGAAGACGTGCAAGCGCCACACGTCATCCCTTCGACCTTTAGTGTCGTCGTGGTCATGTGCAGGCCTGGCGCCACTTGCGCCGCTCTCGAGGGTGCCATTCCGTCCAGCCAGACTCTCCTACGCGTTGTACAGGCTGATTACCAAATCTGTCGGCTAGTTGCGCGTGCGATAGAGTGCTGCCTGGTGGTCAGGAGATATGTACGGCTCCAGCCAAAAAAAAGTCCAGGGGCTTCAATTAAGCCAACTTCTTGGACATGCTTGCAGTATTACGCCACCACGAGCGAAACTCTCGTTCTCCACAAGAATGTGCTTCGAGAAAGTAGGCTGGCCAGGTGTGTAAGTGAGTAGAAAGGAAGGAAGGGCAAATGACCCGACAACGCTCCCAGGGGGTCTGACAGAACCATCACGAAAACGAGTCTCGCTTACGAAAACGCGACATGACACAGTCAGAAAGCGGAAGTGTCGGCACCGCCACCCTCCGGGCCGAGAATAATAAAGAATAGAAATGGAGATGCAACTAGCCGGGAAGAGAGCCGCTGCACCCCCTGCACGTGGCAGACGCAGGGCTGAGGAAGAGCTGCGGTACATACACAGGCGATGTCTTGACTGTTTGCAAAAATCCCAATTATTACACAACTATCTCCCTGTCCCTACTTCTCTCACACCCGACAACGCCTCGCTCGCTCGCAGTAGTAAGTAAAAGCATGCAATCTAGTTACGACACACTTATACCATCCCAACCCCCAAAGAAACCTTCAAATACACTCCCACATCCACCTCCCTTTCTCTTGTTTACTCTGCACAAAACATCCACGCTCCCAACCAGCTTCCAGCTTCCGTCTGCCGTCTTCCGACTTCCCGCCAACCCAGCAGAGCGCCGCGGCTGCGCAGCCATCAAACCAAAGCCCTGCTCACCCGAGTCCAACCTTTCACCCATCACACCCCGGTCCTCTCCTTCCCCCTCCTCCGGAAGAAATCCATCACCCTCCGCGCCCCACTCGAACTCCCACTGTGCCCCTGCTCATACGCATCCCCGAACTTCCGCTGCTGAGGACGAATATTATTATTACCACCCGCGCCGGCACCAGCGCCAGCCGACGTGTTCAGCGGCTGCGTCTGGTTCGTCCCGTAGCCATCGTTATCGTACTCCGTCGGTTGAGCGTAGGCGTTGTGCTGTTGCCGGTGGGCGCCGACGTACCCCGCACCACCTTGCTGCTGTTGTTGTGGGTGCGGAGGCCTGTCGGTGCGTTGCTGGTGTTGCTGCTGCTCGGTGGCGGATTCATTGGGCGTGTAGAACCGCTCCACCGGCTCCTGCTGTCCCTGCTGCTGTCCCTGCAGTCCCGCTTGCGGATCAAGAAGATTACCCCCATACCCATCATCGCGGAACTGCTTCCTCTGCACCGGCGGCAACCCCTCCTCTCCACCTCCTGAACTCGACCCCTGCTGTCCCGACGGTTTGGACGGCAGCGGTTTTTCGTACCGCGCCGGCGTACCTTGTTGTTGTTGCTGCTGCGGCGGCGGCTGACCCGACCCATACAACCCCGACCGCCGCCTCGCCTCCCTCTCAGCCTCATAATGCAGCGGAATCGAACTGTTAGTGGTACTGCGACTCGGACTCCTGCTCTGCCCGCGTCCAAAAGCCATCCCGCCTTTACTCTGCGGACGTCGCTGCCCCTCTGAGTCGTACCCACCAGCAGCTTGAGGGGGACCGGTACTGCTATCCCTCTTGCCCCCTCCGCCTCCGCCAAAATGACTCATACTGAAACTGCCCGGCAAGAAAGAGAACCGCCGGGAATTCCGACGCTCACTAGGCGCCTGGTCGCTGTTCTTGCGGCTAAAGGTGAAACTGGGTCTTCGTCGACTGCTCTCGGTTGAGGCGCGCGGAGTCGCATCGTCAGAATGGGGCATGGCGTTCTTCATGCTGAGGGGTGGGTAACGACGGTCGCGCTTCTCGTTCGTTGGCGCGGTGGTGGTGGTGGCAGCAGTGGAATCTGCTTGCTTGCTAGAACGTCGACTACTGCTGCGGCCTAGGATGCGATCGCCGATGCTGCCGAGGGTGCTTGAGCGCTTGTGGCCGCGTTGTTGCATTTGGTCTTGTTGTTGTTCTGGGGTGTTGTAGGGTGGCTGTTGCTGCTGGTTCTGGGTGGGAGGTTGGTGGCTGATTGGCCGATTTGCGTCGTTGTTGCCGTGGTCGGATTGGACGGGGCTTTGGATGATGTAGCCCGTACTTGGCTTGGGTTGGGAGAAGTGCCCTTGAGCGGTTGTGTTGGTTGAGATGGCCGCGGAAGGCAGGCTGTAGGAGTTGCCGCGGGATGGCAGTCTGCCGCCAAGCCCACTGCCAGTGGTTGGTCTCGATGTGGAGGTGGTTGGCTGGGCTGCGAAGTCGGACCCAGCTCTCGCCTGGTAACTGCCTGGTCGGGTGGGTGGTGGCATTGCAGCTGAAGGCGCTGGCTCCTTGCGCGGTATTTGCGCCTCTCTTGCTGGCGTGGGTGTGACCTCAATCGGACCCTGAACGTCACCTCTAGCCCTCGTTCTGCCAGCGCTTGAAGCAGCAGGAGCAGCCGCAGCACCCGGATCGCCACGAGCGGTGCCTGCAGACGGCGCCACATACTCCACTTGTACAGTCCGCCTCTTCGCATCCCGCTGTTTATTCCTCGCTTCCGGCTCGTCGCCGGAAACCGGAGGCTGCTTCTGCATCGTAGTCGGGCTTGCGATTGAAGGCGACTTCGTAGTCGGCTCCCTCACCGACGCGCTTCTGCCTAGTGCAGGCTCGTTCATACCCTGTTGTCGAGCCGACTCGGCGATGTCTTCGTCACTCTTCATGTTGCTGCCGATGAAGCCGACAACATGACTGAAGTCGCTGAGCCAGCTGTGCCGGGCGACTTCGAAAAGATCGGCTCGCGCTCTTGGGTCAGGTACCAGTATCCTCCGAAGCAGGTCCCGAGAGTGCGGCGAGACATACTCTGGGAACGTCAGCTGTGTGGAAGTGATGTACTTGTACAGTAAGTTGATGTTGTCGCCCTCGGGGTTAGCAGGGTCGTCATCAAAGGGTAAGTAACCGGCGAGCATGGCATACTGTGTAACGTCAGTCAGTCTCCTCTCCGTTCTCAAGGCTGTCCAAACTTACCAGAATAACACCACAGCTCCAAACATCAACCTTCCGCCCCGTGTACAAACCATCCGACACCACCAGCTCAGGCGCTGCATAACAAGGACTACCACAACTCGTCTGCATCAAGTCACCCCGACGATGATTGTCAGCCCCAACAGCATCCAACCCCTTCTGCTTCACAAAATTCTTGTCATGTATATTGCGCTCAATCTCCTCGCCAAGCTCATCCTGCGGATTAAAAGTGTTCGCGAAGCCGAAATCGGTGATGATGATGTTCTTATTCCGATCGAGCAGCAGATTCTCCAACTTCAGGTCGCGATGCACGATCCCTTTCTTGTGCAGGTAGCCAACACCGGAAACCAGCTGGGCGAACAGTCTCCTAGCCTGCGGATCCTTGAGGTAACGGTGGTTCAGGATGTAGTCGAACAGTTCGCCTCTCGAGGCATACTCCAGCACGATGCCCATGTGCCGCTCGGTCTCGATGAACTCGTGCAACCGTACGATATTCGGATGCTGAAGTTCGCGCAGGATGCTGATTTCGCGGTAGATCTTGGGCAGCCGGGTTGCATTCCCGCTCAAAGCCTCCTTTCTGATCAGCTTGATGGCGACTTGCACGGTGCTATCCTTCTTCCAGCCCATCTTCACCTTGCCGAACTCTCCTTCACCCAAAGTACTGCCGAGGATGTAGTCACCAAACTTGACTTCCTTGCGGTGGGAGTTGTGCTTCAGATGTTCCTGCCGGCTACGCTGGTGGGGTGCTGAGATCGATGCCTCTTCAGATCCTGTCAAGACGCCAGGCACAGAGGGTGCAGCGTCATCGGTGGCATGCTGTGGGCGTGCTTCAGCCAAGCGCGCTCTTTCGCGGGCAATGTCCGCGCCGGGGTCATCCACGACTATATGGTTGATGATCGCACTGTTCTCGCGCGGGAGTGAGGTATCAACCGGTGTCTGGCCAACGGCATTCTGAGAGCGACTAGCTGTCGGTGCCTGTCGGGTACGCTGACTTCGGCCGCTGCTCGGCGTTCCAACCGCCTCACGAGGCGACTTCTGCTGCTGACGGCGCCTGTCACTCTCGCTTGCACTCGTGCCTGCCCTATCGCTCTCGCTGCCATATCCGCTGCCTTGTGCCTGCCCTCTGTAGCGTGGGCTATCATATGACCCTGCAGTTGCGGTGCCGGGGCTCTGCTGGTGTGCTGATGTGCGTACGGGTAATGCCGTAGAAGGATTGCTTGAGGATGACTGGTCGGGATAGAACTGGCTGTAGGTGGAGCTTGCCATGCCTTCTGCAGGAGATGTAGCGAGCATGCCTGGTTGTCCGCGCGATGCACTCACTGTCCCGAAGGAGTCGAGGTCGGGTTGCTGCGGTGTATGTGGCAGGGCGGCATTCCCAGCCTGGGTAGAGTTACCGGCCCGCCGTGATGACGGTGGGCTCAAAGGGAGGGTGGCTGAGGGGCTTCCGGTGTATCTATCGCGTCCCGCAGCACCGTCATATTGTTGCGGCAAACTGCTCTGCTGCACCGCGGCGCTGGACATCGCAGCCTTGTCCTGCTTCCTGTTTCTGCCTGCCCGCCTGCCGCACGCCTGCCCACTCCGATCAAGTGATAGACCCGCTTACCTCCTCAACACTCAAAGTATCCCGTAGCGACGACGTAGTTACTCGAGTCCGTCGGCAATGTCTCTCCCGAGCCGATGCCGTAAACAAAGCGGTAGCGGTAGTAGTGAAGCGTGATGAACGGGCTTTGTTTCAGCCGTTGCGTGTGTTGTCGCCGAACGTCAGATTAGGCTATGACCCGGTCGGACATGTGAGCTGCACGACAAAGCGAGTGTTCCGCGACGAGCAATTGGATCGCTGGACGGGAAGGTGCTGCAGGGCGCTGTGGATGGTCGAGTAAGCGCGGCTTGCGTTGCGCGCTCAGAGCAGAGGGCAGCTGCACCGGAATGGACTGGACTGGACTGGGGCGGCAGGAGCTACTGCTACTACCGCGAGCACATGCGAAGTATCCGCTCGGCAGCGCGTCGCTAATGCAGCGCTGATGACATCCAATACCCCTTCGGCTCAGGGTAATTGATGTTGCTGCTGCGGTGGTGCAGGAGAAAGGGTGAAGAGGTGAGGTAAGGTAGAGGTGGAGGGGGGAGAAGACGTGTGTGTGTGATGGGTGCAGAGTGGGAGTACAGCACAGTAACAGCACCAGTGCGGGAAACGGGCGATGGCAGGAGAAGGGATCGCTTGGGCTTGGGCTTTGGTAGCCCGCCGACGCTAGTAGCGAGCTTGCTTGTGCTGTGGCTGGTTGCGCTTGCCGCTTGCCCAGGAAACAGATATGAAAGCCCGCACGCGCACACACGTTGTTCTCGGCAACGACAGCGTACAACCCATGTCTACCCTATTTTAGAATCATCGTCATCTTCCCTCATCGACTGTACGCGAGCCCACGCTTTGTTGTTCAAATAACGTGACGCGCTTACTCCATCCACCACCGCGACTAATTGTTGTGGCTGGCATATCGTAAATGGCAGGCAAGGCGGGCACTCTGTAGGGACCATGACGGTGAATGTTCGAACCTTCCGCGTACCCCAACTACTGCACAAGCTACATTATATCATCCGAGACAATGTGCTGACTCTCCCCACGAGTTTCCTGCACGACATCAACGGTTGTCTTGTCCTGTCGCTCCTCATTCAATCTCCCGCAGTCGTCGCATCCACTGGACGCGCCAAGCCTACGAAAGCCACGAAATGTCTCGCATAGCCGAATGCAAGTGCGGCCCGCCGTGAGACTTCTGGAGCCCTCTTCGGGTATTGTGACTTTCACATGGCCACAGTGCCAGCTGTTCGGCACTTCGACTTCAGAAGTGCTCTAATGGTAGATCTTGAGGGCGACAAGCCTCGAACTGTTAGACACATGCTTTCTCCACCAAGTACAGAGACCGAGCCTTGCCTCTCTCGGCTATGACACCTTTACAACATCTTCCCCCTGTCAAGATCGAATCGCCAAAGCCAGCCCTTGGCCTTTGCCCTTCTTTCCCGCTGCCGTTCCATCACGTCCACATCCTCCGGATTGACCATCACATAGCCTTCGGCCTCTGCGGTTGGCGATTGCAATGCCGTGGCGGCCATCGTTTCCGCATGGACATTCGTACCCTTCACGCAATATTTGCCAAACATGGTTCGGAGTTCGTGATTTGTTTCTTCGTCGGAATCCTCTACGTCAAAGTCATCTACGTCGGCATGATAGAATGTGTCGTCGTCGTGATTCCCATCCTTGCTCGGAGTACTATCGGCAAAACCCAGTATGGCATCACGGCTGCTGCTGGCGGTGCCCTCACCACTGAGCTCATCCCTTTTGCCACGGGTGTCGACCATGCTGTGTTGAAAACGCAGCGGCTTGAGGTCGGAAGCTTCACTGTTCGGCGTGCTACTCTTGGATACCGGGGTGGCAGACCGGCAGTTACCCGCCTTTTCGTCCTCGTCATCCAAGCAATCTTCGCAGGGACAATAGCAGTTGAGGTTGGCGGTGTGGCTTCGTCTCTCATTGGCCTGCTCGGTCATCCTCGCAATCCGGGCTTCGCGAATGGTGAGTTGGCCACATAGTCCGTTAACCTCTCCACTCAGCCTGTCAATGCGTCTTTGCCGGTCGTTTCTCTGATCCTGAGCCTCTCTCAGTTTGTCTTGAGAGTCTTTGAGCTGTTCTTCCGGATGGTCATTCTGTGTCTTGCGCCGTTGGCTTCCACCGTACGACTCGCTGTTTTGCGCTTTCCGTCTCCTTCCTGGCATTTAGGGCGGTCAAGCTTCGCGTAACAGTGCCACTGTTAGGGGCGACTCGTCTTATCCCGGATGGACTGTAAGGAGATTTTTGATTATACGGTGTGGCCATGTCGATCTAGATCGGCTGATCTGAAGTTCAGTTGTGTTTGCACATGCCTGCGATGGTCTATAGGCCTTCTTTAGCAAGCATATCTAGAGAGCAATTAGCACGACCCGATCGAGATTGACATGACTACCTTACCCGCTATGTCCAGGTAGAAGGCGATCGCGTTGAACCTGCGATAGATCAGCATCTTTCAGTAATGATCGCAGCAACTGAAAGCCTACGTTCTCGGATGACCCGTCAAGCCAAAGATATACCACCTTAGCCTGTTCGTCCAATTGATCAGGTCCAAATGACTAACATTATCAAGTGTGCCTTTATATGTGCCCCAATGAGCACTCGCCACGCTAACAAGACCATCATTCGGTCCCTCCTCCCTATTGATGATACGATGACTCTGGCGGAACACGGACGTAAATTGCGGTCGTAACGAGGCGCCGTAACTGAAATACCTTATCCCCTCCACATCAGGCGTGCGAGGATTGAACGACTTGGTCATATACTCCATGGTCAATTGCTCGAAGGCTCCGGTCTCGAAGCCAAAGTACTCGAGCGCTTTGTAGATGCGTGGGGTGTTTGTTACGCCGATCCATTTGAAGAGGTAGTCTGCGAAGGCTGAGCCTCTGTGTGGCGAGGCTACGGTGGTTAAAGAGAGGACTTTGACGTTTGGAGGTTTAAGCTGTGAGATCATGTAGCGGGAATCGAGCCCACTGTCCTTGCGGGTTAGTGTAGGTCTTTACGAGCCGGATGTGGTCACGTACCCCTACACATCGTTAGCTGTTGGCTCTGAGATTTTTAGAGTACTACATCCACACCATGCTATGCCTACGCAAACGTCAATCGTCGCATTCGCATAGTCAGAGAGGTGCAGACTTACCCAATAATATTCACCGCTTTACCATGTGCTTTACGCTCAATGGTCTCAGCTAGTCTCGCAGCACGCTTCTCAAGACTACCACTAGGAGGCACGGAAGCCGTGATCACTTCGACGCCTCGCTCGGCCAGCGCTGTCGTTATACCATACCAGTACTGAATGCCCGGGAGAAAGTGACCGGCAAGGCGTAGTTCTTCGAAGCCGAGAAGACCATGCGCGAGGATGATCGGATTCTTCGGAACTTGGTATTTTGGGCGCAGGATCGCAAACTCGTCCCGGATGAGGTGGTCCGTAGAGGCTTCTTCCAGTCGGGGGTCGTGTGTCTTCTCCTCCAGTATTGGGCGGGAGTGGAAGGCCGCTCGCCTGGTAATGCTGGAGATGGCTGAAGGTCTCCGAATCACGGTACGATGCATTGCAAGCATCGTGGAATGCATTGATCGTACGAGATGTTGCGCCTTAGGGAGGGTGAGGTTGGCCATACAGATGATCTTTATTGGAAGACGCGGGATCCTGCCACGGTGACATCACGCTCGAGGTTCGCGTCACCACAACCACATACATATTCGAGTACACGTGCTATTGCACAACTTGGTCGATGCGCAACTAAGGATGAGAGGTGAAATGCATCATGCTTTCACAGTTTGCAAGACTTTACAAGACCATTTCCAACACCAAGACGCCGCTGCTATATCCCCTATGCGCCGCCGACTGCCCAGCATAGCCCGTTCATACAGTGTACTCCTTCTGCAATAACCGCGCAATAGTCGTCAATTGAATATTGCTCGTACCTTCATAGATAGCACCAATCTTGCTATCTCGCCAATACTTCTCCGCCAGCCCTTCCCGAACAAAGCCCATCCCACCCATCCACTCGATTGCGCTACCACTCACCCTTTGCGCAACTTGACTTGAGAACAGCTTCGCCATCGCAGCGTCCCTCACAAAGTCTAGCCCCGCCTCCTTCTTCCGCGCAGCATTGTACACCAGCGCTCGCGCCGCCGATATCTCGGTGTATGCTTGCGCAAGCTGATGCTGCATGCCCTGGAACTCTCCCACGAGCGAACCAAACTGCTTGCGGTCGTTCCAGACGTAGCGGGCCGCGTTGTCAAAAGCTCCAAGTGCAAGGCCGGTCATTTGCGCCGCGATGCCTATCCGGCCTTCATTCAAGATGCCGATGGCGTATTTGTAGCCCTGACCTTCCTCACCGAGCAGGTTGCCCTTCGGAATCTCAACGTCGTCGAAGTTGACCACGCATGTGCTGGATGCTCGGATACCGAGTTTCTTCTCCTTCTTTGCGATGCTGAAGCCCTTCATCTCCTTGTCCACGATGAAGGCTGTGATGCCCTTGTAGCCTTTCTCCGGGAAGAGGTTGGCAAAGACGATAAAGAAGCCGGCTTCCATGGAGTTCGTGATCCACATTTTGCTGCCGTTGATCTTATACCCGTCTGCGGTCTTCTCCGCTCTTGTCTTCAGCGCAAAAGCGTCTGACCCTGACGCTGGCTCTGAAAGGCAGAAGGATCCCACGGTGTTCGTTGCAAGCTTCGGTAGCCACTTCGCTCTCGACTCCTCCGTGCCGTACTTCAGCAGGACGGTGTTGACGAGTGTGTTGTGTACGTCCACCAGAACGCTCACACTCGGGTCTACCCTCGCAAGCTCCTCGATGCCTACGATGGCGGCTGTGAAGTTCATGCCTGCTCCACCATACTTCTCCGGGATCTCAATGCCCATGAAGCCTTGCTCGAACAGTTGCTCGACGATGGCAGGGTCCATCTTTTCGTTCTCATCCATCTCCCGTACCTTTGGCAACAGGTCCTCGTTTGCGAACTTGGAGACTGCGTCGGCTAGTGCCTGCTCGGTTTCGGTGAAGTGGAAGATGGGCGTTGGGTGCATTGTACTGAGATCATATGGGTCGCCATGCGTAGTGATGTTGTCCGTGTCATACCGTCGCGACGCGGTGCCAGAAAGACATCTTCTTGACGCTTGTGATACATTTTGCAGTGTTGCACGAGTCTGCTGAGTGCGTGGCGTCGCGGAAACTGCAGCACGGGCGAGGGGTCTGAGGGTGCGAGAGAGTGAAGCCATTGTAGAGAGCAATGTTGATATGGAATGGGACAGGAGGAAAGGTGCAAACAGCAACGAACGAAAAACGTCCTCTACCTCAACGGCGGACTGGGAAGTTGGGGCTACGGATGGCTTACCATGTGGTGCTGACGCCGGAATTAGAAGACCGTGAGCATGTGAGTTTCGGAGCTCTTCTTAACCTCGGCGATGCAACTGGAAGAATTTCTGCCTTAGGCATTGAATCGAAGACGATTTGCACCCACCTTACGCAGAGGTACCTACATATTGAAAGACGTCTTGCGCCGTACATTCTCCCCGAATGAGCAGGTCTAGTGTCCGTTAGTGAGGAGAGCCGAGACTGTAGCCCATTGGCCACGATAACTGTTACGTGTACGGACGTCTCCGCGTGAGCATACAGGAGTCAGAAAGGGGACATAGGCCGAGAGGAACCAAGTACGTTCGTGGGCATGGCAGCCCTACCAAGTATGAGCGGAACCAAGGATCGACCCACCGTCGCCGGCCGAACTCGTAGGCCTTGTGTCTTACGTATAATTCGTACGGTTTCCCCGAGCGTAAGAACGTTGATGTTGAAGTCCTAGGTTATGAGCGCAGCCGTCTGCTATACCGCTGATGTTCACACCCACACGCTGTCGAGGCATTCGGACAATCAGCGTTCAGAAGCAAATTCGAGGCCTTGGTGGAGAGAGTGAGTTCGAAACATATAGCGGGGCCGATGCCCCTTTTGGCGCCGGTGGCCCCTTGAAGACTGGTTCGTAATGCATACATCAACTGTATGCTTAGGTGCAGCCCGCTTTTAATCGAGTTGGCGATGCCTGGCCTCAGCCGCCGTGGCCGATGGTAGCTTCGTTGGTCACGTCTTTCCCCCAAATTGCCTCCTCTAGGACTCGTATGATCATCGTATATTATACCCACGCAGCGCCGGTTACGAGGGTGGAAGTTTAGGGATAGTCATACACGACTCTGTTTGGTCAGTGAGCAGACAACGGAACATTGTGCTGCAACATAACCATTAGCGAAATTTTCGATGGTAAGAACGCATGGAACCCCACGCAGTAAATTCTCATGTTACTGTGCTTCGTAGATTTGCTAGGCCGCAGCCCACAGTGTCAGTCAAATAACTTTTAGGAAATACGACTTCGGAACAGCCCGCAGAACAGCGTTGGAGACTTTTGCGGCTATCTTCCACGACTTGGAGTCGCTATGCAGCCTTTTTGGATTGACCGCTCGACAAAAAGCTGCCATTCACTGACCAATCCCCTACGGTCGCGCCTTCCCCTCAAGCAGAAATGGCCCACCCAGGTTCAAAGAGTGGATCAAGGCTCTGTACGAAAGCCGTACAGAATGTAACTATTAATGCAGCGTGTTGCGAAGCCTGGACGCACGTCGGCTATAGGAAAGATAGTAGGTCCAATACCAGCATTGTTACAAGAACTTCTTAAGGCTGGGCAAACCTGGAGCCCGAAAGGTAAGTTTCTCTAGTACTTTGTCCATCATTAGAAGGTAGTAAGCGTGAACTATGAGCTCGCTCTGAACCAGCTTTGTGCTTCCCTTTCGCAGTCGCAAAACAATGAGCCAATGGATGACATTTCAACCCATGCTTCCGAGACGAATGCCCTTCAGACCGGACGTTAAAACCAGACGCTGCCGCCTGGAGGAGCTGAACGGCTTTAGCACCCGTGAGCAGTGGGACGTTTGCGGCAGGTGGACTGGGATCGACCGGAGATGGCTGTTGCAGGCAGAGCTTTGTGCAGTCAAGGTCAGGGGCGAGGATGTTATCCTGAATGAGTGCTCACATGGCTGAAGGCTGCAGGCGTATCCGTACTCATGATAGTAAATAGTCTAGCGTGCATGTACAAGCGCCATGTCTACTCTGCTCTATAAGTCTCCAAATCAAGCCCACAAACCTCCATCCTTCTCTGCGCAAACTGACCGTAGAGCTTAGTCCAAGTCCAGTCCGCATCCTTATTTTTCGGTCTTGCCGCTACCTTCTGCGGCCACGGGACATCGTACTCCGGACCAGGAAGTTTCGGGTCGGAAAAGCGGATGTACGAAATGTCGGAGAGATAAGCCGTTGCGTTGAAGCCATGCTCAGCATCGTGCAGAGCACCTATTGAGCGGACAAGTGTGTGATCCTCTGTGGTTGCCGCGATTAAAACCGAGTTGGAGAACGTGGTCGGAAGCTGGCTGTCACCGAAGCCGGAGTTAGATGCTAGCTTTGCGTTGAGCTCTGTTGTTGACAAGGCTGAAGGTTGTAATAGCAGGAGGTCTGTCGAATGTACACCATCCCTCCGCTCACTGCCCTGCAGCATTGCAAAGGGTGCCGGCTTCGTAAATGCCAGTACCGCATCCATTGGCGTTGCATCGAGGAGCAGACCCGGCGCCTCAATGCTCAATACGCGGTCAAGGTCCGCGAAACCGTATGCGATGGCAAGCGAAAAAGCACCCTCACCCTCCTTTCCATCACCCAGTGGACTGACCGGCCGTAGTTCCACGCCGTACCTTCTCGCAGCCAGCCGCATCAGTCTCCGGCTACTGCTGAGAAAGGGATCGGCGATGTCTCCCTTCTTGCCCTCCTTCTCCAGAGCCCAGCTTCTTGGAAACATCAGCACTCTTCTTGCAGGGCTTCTAAGTCTATGCATATCTGCCAGTACCATGATCGCGTTGCATACATCATGGTGATTCCTCGCTAGCTGAATGTGTGCCAGCCGGTTCCAGTTAACATCTGCTGCCGCTTGCTGTACATCTCTAACTCCACCCGGTCTGAGCCCGTCGGAGGCGGCAAACAGTCGGCTGCGTGACTGAAAGTCTGGTGTCGCATCACGCTGCTGTCTCTGCAGCGAAATTGGTACGGTCGGTATGCGCGGTCTGATTGCTGCTTGTAGTCCAATTACTGTTCGCTGCTGAATAATGTAGCCGGAGAGAAAGAGCAGAAAGGTGAACACTGCTACCACAGCTGATGATGCGACCACAGAGACTTGGCTCTGCGTTAGTAGTAGGCGTCTCATTTCGGGTTTCCATTGTGGCACAATCTGCGATATCTGGTCTTCGCATGTCAATGTTTTCTGGACGGCTGATAAGCTCGTCGTGAGGGGCAACCATCAGAGAAGCGCGAGTCAAGCATATGCACTGGTGGGAAGTCATCCACGACTTCCGCCAGCACGCTCACACGTATATGTTCGAATGATGGCCTGGAATCTCTCACTCGCCATCTGCAAGTAGAGCACCGATGGCACATCAAGCAGACGCCAAGCGAGCCCTAGACGAGCGCGGTTACACTGGCCGACTCATCCGCGGTGACAACCCACTGAAACTGTTCGAGAAGGCTGTCCGCGACCGTATCATCGATAGCTACTACTGGAAAGAGCAATGCTTTGGTCTCAACGCTGCGACAATACTTGACCGCGCCACTGAGCTCACCTTCATCGGCGGCACGTATGGTGTGGCGCAAAAGCCTACGCCGTTTCTTTGTCTAGCCTTCAAATTGCTGCAAATTGTACCAGACAAGGAGATCATCCTATTCTACTTGGAGCAGGAGGAGTTCAAGTACCTTCGCGCCCTGGCTGCCTTCTATATTAGGCTGGCATGGGAGAAGGACGAGGAGGTTTACACGACGCTTGAGCCATACCTTTCGGATGCACGAAAGCTCAAGCGGCGTACGAGAGAGGGATGGGCACTCACGCATGTGGACGAGTTTATCGATGATCTGCTTATCAAGGGGAGGCTCTGCGCAACGACTCTACCCAAGATCAACCCGCGACTGTTCCTGGAGGACGAGGACCGGCTGGAACCGAGGGAAAGCGCGTTAGGCGAAGAGCTTGAGGAGCTTGATAGGGATGACGAAGCCGATGAGTCTGAAGTTGAGATGGTGACGAATGGGCATGCAGATGGAAACGGAGAGGATGCCGCGATGGACGGCGACTGAAGCAAGCGGTACCTCCTTCTGGCGTCCCACGCTATAGGTGTTTCTGGAACCAATCGAGGATCATCCGGTACCCGCGGTCGTACTCTCGCCTCACATCGGTCTTGGCGAGGTCGGCGCGGGCGGAAAGCCAGCCATGTGCCATCTGCGGAGACACCTCGAAGTAGTTCTCTACCTTCAATGCCTGATGTATCGTAGGGTCAGCTATGCCTTGGACAATCGCGAAGGGATATAAGCATCCCTCGACTTACAGCTTTAAAGTTTGCGAACTTCGACTGTGGCTCATCCATTGAGCATAGCGACAGTACTGGAACGCCGACTTGCGATGCAATATCGGTGCTGGGCCTTTATACCGACGGTCAAAGGCGTCAGCCAGAACTCCGAGCAACACACCGCTCTACTCACCAAGCAGCATGCCATTGCGCGGCAACCGAGAATAGTATGTCTCCACCTATCGCGAAGTTCACATCTACCACAACGCTTCAGACCAGCATGCAGCGGTGGAGCTACGCTGCAGAGCTTACCCAACCTCCCCAACAATATCCAAGCAAACCCCACTTCTCAACCTCCGAATGCAATTGCTGAACCTGCTCTCTCAGCTCGAACGTCTCTCTTCACAGTCGTCTGCGTCTCACCAGGCTCTTCGCAGAAGTCATCCATCTTCTCCTCATCGGCTGGACCGTCAAGTGGCATCCAGTCCAGTGGCGTAGGTTTAACATCGAAGAAATCTGGCATGAAGACCTGGTGATGCTCGCCCAGCTTGTCGGCATTCTCCAAAATCTGACCACTATAGCCAAAAATGTCGTAGATGATGAAGATGGCGGCTTGCGCGGTGGAGGGTCCAGCTGTGTAGCACTTTGTGCCAGCTATCTCAATGAAGCTGCCTTCGAAAGGGTATGGTGGACCGATGATTGCAGGCGTTGCACAACATGCTCTTGACGGCTGGTAGGTCGACATCCTTGTCGAGACGCGTTGTAACACTCTTACACAGCTGCTTCCAGCGCTACACAGCAACATATTCGCTACTTACGATCAACAAACTATGATTACTCAGCAACGTCGTCGAGATGCAGCTCAAACTCCGGCTTCAGCTCTACACATCCTGGTCGCACCACCCGGCTATGGCGACGAGACTAAGGATACAGCCTTGCACAACCAGCAATCCCCAACCTGCTTTGTTTCCTTCCCGGCACTTATACATCTTCTTGACACTATCTTACTCGTATCCTGCTCAGGTACTGCGAATTGCGCACAAGAAAGCCTCCAACCACCGCAGCCGTGCTCAGTAAGCCCAACGCAAGCAGCGTCCGATCACTTATCTGGCTCTCCTCCACCGCCCTGCCGACGCTCAATTTCGGTTTCTGCTGCGCAAGCTCCACTCCAGAACCGTCGAGCTCATAGTCACTGTAGTCGACGCTGCTCAACATGTTCTGGTATTCAACGACAGTGCCGGACCAGTTGTTGGTGATCACGCCAGCTTCGTTCTTGTACCACGAGTTGCAGGTGGGGTCGTTGAAGCTGGAGTTCTTGAGGATGGATTGGATCTTCTCGTTGTACGCTTCGACTTTGTCGTGCTTGGGCCTGAGGCTGAGCGCCTTCCCTTGCTTGCGCGCGTCCAAAATGGGCTTTATGAGACCGTTGATGTAGCGGCTCTGGCTTTCGATCATGAGGATTATGCTGCAGCATTACTATGTTAGCATTCGGTCCACCAAAGACCCAAAAAGAAACGCTGCTTACCTGTTGTGACCAAGGTTCGTGTTTGGACCGTACAACTAAGAGTGGCAGGTGCGACTGTCAGCAATGTCTCCGACAATATGGTGGCTTCTACTTGTGAGTGTACGCACCATGCCGAAGTTGGGCATATCCTCTACGCATACGCCGTAATATGCTTTCGCACCATCCTTCCAGATGTCGTTAAGCGTACGGCCATTCTTGCCCACCATCTTGATGGGATGCATGAAGTCGACAGTCTTGAACCCTGTGGCGCAGACCAACAGGTCGTAATCCGACTCTACATCCTCCGGCTGGCCGTCATCACCTAAGACACTCACAGAACGATCGTGGATGCTCTGGATTGCTCTTGTTTCAAGCGCCACGTTTGGCTGGTTGACTGCCGGATAGTAGTCGTCCGAGATAATGATCCTCTTACAACCGAGCGCGTACTCCGGTGTCAACTTCTCCCACATCTCCGGCTGGTCAGGAAGCTGATTGTGCATCATGTCGATCGCCATGTCGCGGAACATCTTTGCTGCATCGGATTTGCTATCAACGATGGCGTTGTATGTCCATTCTCGGAAGTCCATCTGACCGGCCCGCTTACGCCAGCGTACAGGTGGGAGATAGCGTAAGACTGCGCGCATCGTGGAGCTGACCGGTTGATCTAGGCGTGGTACGACCCAATTGGGTGTCCTCTGATAGACTGTCACCTTCTTCGCGACTTTCGCAATCTCTGGTAAGATCTGAACGGCAGTACAGCCTACAGCGTACGTCAGCATACGGTTTCAGGGATTTCATGGTCCGGCTCCGTTACCATTCCCGATCAGGGCGATCTTCTTGTCCGCAAGATCGTAGGACCAGTCCCACCGAGCGCTATGCATCTTTTTGCCAGCGAAGCTATCGAGACCGTCTATCTTTGGCCAAGCTGGCTGATTGAGCTGTCCAACAGCAGACACGAGGAAGTCGCTCTTGATTTCATACTCAGGATTAAACTCCGCCTCCTTGCTGCCCTTGGCGGTGGTCACCGTGGTCCGCCATTTCTTAAGCTCGTCATCCCACCTGGCTTCCTCGACTTGGGTGTTGAAGCGGACATGCTGATATAGCTGGTATTCTTGTGCGACCCGAATAAGATAAGACAGGATCTCCTCCTGACCGGGGTACTCCCTGGTCCAGTCCGGGTTCTGGGCGAAGCTGTAACTGTAGAGTGTGGAGAAGACGTCGCAGCAACAGCCAGGGTACTTGTTATCATGCCTACAATGTGGGTGAGCTACAATGGTCACTGCAGAGCTTTGGTGACAGCATACCAGGTGCCACCCAATCCTGAACTCTTCTCAAGGATGATGAAGTTTCGGCAGTTGTTGCGTTTCACCAGGTCAATAGCGGTGCACATTCCACTGATTCCCGCTCCGATGATTACCACAGCTGCATTGGTATGATCTTTGTTGCCTACAGGCACCTCGGGCCATGGCTTATCTCCTGCCATTGTTCAATGCTGAAAAAGCCTGTAGAGGGAGCGGAAGGAGAATCTAGCTGACACGTTACGTCGTGGCAGAGATGGAGGAAGAGACGAGAAAACCAGACAAAGGGAAACGGAGACGCGTGTTGGCTCTTGCAAGTACGAAGGTGGAACGGGCCCAGCACCTCATGGTGGCGCGGACCTCGGGCATACTGAAAAGCGGCACCGATTGTTAGGTTGCTAGATGCATGCTTGACTCAGTGATGTCTCTGCGCCATGGAAGCGTTTTAGCTAGGGCATTAGGTCTTCACGCGATCGTGGTGGGGAAGCGGCAAGCAGGGTGGAGTGAAGGTTCGATGTGCTTGGATGTTTTGTGCGGGGAAGGTTCGGCTTTCGGGCTGATGGACTGTACTGTTTGATCAGACGACAGAGAGCACCAATAATGACAGCAGTGCAGTATTTGGTGTGGTTAGAAACCTTGCTGTCGATGCCACTTTTCCTCCCAACCTGGGAAGAACGGTGATTCGTCCAGAGTATGTGGCTCCCAGTCCTTGTCCACCAGACCATTGGCGATCTGTTCTCGCTCATACTCCTCAAGCGCGGGAATAACGACATGCTCAGTATGCCAAGTGTCCTTGTACTCCATCAGGTTCCGCTTGCCTTCGCGCAGTACTTTGAGAAGTAATGTTGGGATGTAAGGCTCGTCTCTGAACTCAGACACGGGCGTAAACAGCGCCTTGAAGTTGAAGATCACCGCTCCAGATAGAGGCAGACGCCGTAAAGTCTGCCAGTCGACTCGAAGGTTACAGCGGTCAACGGTGTGTGTCGGATCTTGTGCTTCTCGTAACTTGCCATGCGGAGAGTCCGGCGGCATGAACAATGGCTCATCGATTTCGAGGCCCCAGCTGCCGCGTTGTATAGCCTTGTCGGTAGGCTTTTTCGCGAAGTACCTGTCCATCGAGAACTGCATCTTTTCCTTGTAATCCGGGATGGGTGCGTGGATCTCGTGCAGCTTTAAGCCGATCTTGCTTCCTAGGTTCCACCTGCTTAAGCGTTAGCACATCCGCAGACGCCATTATACCTTAGAGTCTACGTACCCTAGACTCGAGCAGATTATGCCTCCTCTGAAGCTGTAAATACCGGTGATAGGGTTCCGAATCATGATCGCAAAATCCTCGGGTACGTTGTGAAGAAGCACGTGCAGCGGCTCCGTTACGCGGAGATCTGTTTGTGTCTCCAGGATGCCATTATGGAAGACTTTCTGTGCCACGTCTAATCGGAAATGCTGCGGATACCGGGCGCACAAGAACTGAAGACACATCTCCATGAGCTCTTTGGCTGCGAGCTCCGAGCCTGGAAGCTGCTGCAAGACCAACGGTCCGAACTTCTCGAAGAGCTCAATGCGCTGCTTCACGCGACTGGCATAGGTATGCTCGAGTTCCAGCCACCAATCAGGCTCTAGTTTGGTCAACGCTACTCAAGGTCAGTACTCGTCAATGTCACCATAAGTGCTCTACGTACACATCGTTTGGTGATAAGCCCACCTTAGCGGTCTGTATGGCCTTGGTCGTGCTCTCGAAAGATCGAAGCTTTCGTACGCCTTGGGCAACGGTACGCCACTGAGCGTGGAATAATCGGGGAAGTCACCTAGCCGCTTGATCTCCTCAATTGTGAAGCCAGTGGCTGTTACGTGATCCGCAAAGGCATTCACGCTTGGTACTTCAGTATCGGGCACCCGCTTGGTGTAGTCTGGACTCCAGTCGCTCAACCTTTTGGCGGACTGGCCAGGGCCAGTCAAGGCGCCTGGTTGCAGGTCTGCAAGAGCATGTCTTCGCGAAGGCGGAAAGACATCGCCATACTCCGCCTTGGGCGGGACAGTATTAGGAGGTAGACCTTGCTTTTCCGGCGAGAGAGACCTTGGTGGGGTGAAGGAACCAGACGCTCTGCTGCGAGTGATACGGAAGCGCTCCAAAAGTACATTTCGATGCTTCTTACTGAATGCCAAAATAGTTATTGATGATGTGAGAAAGGCAATAGCACACAAAAGAACGATGAGGTTCAGCATCTTAGGAGATCAATTGCGAATGGTACCAAGTCGTAAAGATCAACATGAAAAGGCTGGCGAGGTCATGGTCAAGAGGTAGAGCTCTGAGGAGACGGACTTCTTTCCAAAGAACGAGGCAATGTAAGAGAAGCAGTAACCTGGACAAGCCTACCGAATGTGATGCAGCAATTCTCGCATAAGTAGCCGGCCAACATTGCAATGCAGCCGACGGTACGGCACTCAGAACGCTGCCCTTATCAGTTGATGTAGGTCCAGTAGAATCAGGAAGCTTATGGGGAGCTCGTCCAAAGCGTAACCCGATTTGGCTGCCGTTTCCCGCGCGGATTTGGAACCTAAGGCCGCAACCTTGCAGACGTCGGGTGAAGGAGATTCTTCAACGAATGCACTGAGGTAAGTCGATGCCATGCGTGCGAGACGATACGTGGGCGGACTCACATATTCAAAGAAGCGCTTGGACGCACTGCATTACCTCAAGCGTCGCGTATCGGTAGGCCAGCCTGGCTTCTGTAGTCATTCACGATGCTCAGATCTTCAAAGCTTTCGATCGGTTCCCACGTTGTGTTGTTGTAGCCTTTCCACTTCACTTGGTAAAGCATGACAGGATGCTTACCGTACTCCGGGCGGTGGGTTCGTGGGTCTTGAGGCAACATCAGCAATTGAGGTTCGCAGAAGCTCTGCTGTTCTTACCAGACATGTGGTGCGCGACAATAGCCTCGATTTCGAAGCTACCGTCGTCCACTTCCTCCTCACTGTCCTGCGCATCATGCATAGCCTGGGGCGGGCTGCTGTGTTTCGGGGCCGGAGCACTCAGGCTCAAGGAAGTCCGACTGTCAGCCTTAGACGACCGGACGAGCTTCGGTGATGCTCCATCTATATTGGCTTCCTCAGCTCGCTCGTCTGAGATTTGGCGTCCTTTTAGCATGCCGTGGTAGTGTTCCACGACGCTGCGGTCAGGAAAGCTTTCCACGGGTTCCCAGGACGGCTCATCGTAGCCCTCCCATTTCACCAGATAGAGCATAACTGCCTTCTTACCGTGTTCAGGCGCATGCGTTCGTGGATCGGATAACTTGTGATCCAAAATCGCATCGATGTTGAACTCGCCCTCCTCGCTCTCGGCGCTGTGTCCTTCTGAGTTGTCAATATCTGTGTTAGCAGCTATCAGTCGTCGTTGTAATGAAGTTCCGTGATACGGCTCTGGCGACGTTTCGGGTGCAGAGGACGTAGCAGCAGATTGTAGAGCAGCAGGGACGCCCAACTGCCCCCGACTTGCACTGAGTAGAGGTTTTGGCGGCGTCTTTACGTCAGAGATTGTCAGTTGCTGTTCTGCCGGCATCGCCTCAGACGCTTCCTGACTCTCTACGTCTGACTGCGGGAGGTCTGATGACAGTTCGCTGTCGAACCTCGCACGCTTTGCGGGATGCTCGTCGGATATGCTTAATCTGTCGAAAGCGGGTGAGACAGGAATGGTTCCAGCGAGGACAGAATTGCTTTCTTGCCTCGCGGGAGGCATATCCGGGTCATAACGCCAGCCGATCGGCATCAGCTCTCCGGTTAGCGGGTGTCTGCGTCGCCTTTGCCTCTTCTTCTTGGAGCTCACCCTCTGTGGGAGAATGTCGAGCGGCAGAAGCTCGCCAGTCAAAGGATCTCGCTTCCGTCTACGACGCTTGTGTTGCTCTGCAGGCGCGGAAGATGCTAAGCTCGAGAGCGTCGCTTGCGGCTCGTCATCAGCCGAAGACTCCAGTTCGAGAGCATCATCTTCGGCATCACTCAGTGGCATGAGCTCGCCCGTGACAGGGTTTCGCCTTCTGCGCCGCCGTTCTTTAAACTTCTTGAACAGCTGCTTGTAAGAAGGTCGTGCTCGACCATGTCTGCCAGCAGGAGCTTCAGATCCTTCACCGCTCGCACCCACATCGAGCTCACTGCGGTCATCGCTATAGCCAACAACGCCTTTAAGCTTCGCTCGATGCCTCTGACGTTCCCGTCTCTCGGCTTCCTGTCGCTCAGCCTCGATCTCTGCAATTCGCCTTAGCTCCGCTTCCTCCTCAAACTGCTGGTGCTCGTATTCTTCCAGGCATTCTGGCGAAACATAGTCTAGTATCTCATCGATGCCAACATCGTGTATCTCAACGTCGCCTATCCTCAACTGGTAGACAGATCCAGTGGGCTCGATCACACGTCCAATGATACGCGCGTTGGCTGGGGCATCTTCGGAAGGCTTGACAGAAAGTGGTGCGTCACCGTACACCCTCGGTCGATATTGTGCTTTGCTTTCGTAGCTAGTACCTGCATGTGACTGTCGGCTAACCGGCAGAGTGGGTATATACAACGGGATCTTGACATGCGCAAGAGGTGGCATCACTCTGCAGCTTGTGTGGTTAGGATGCGCGCACAGAGGTCTTGAAATTGTGAATTATCATTCCGAGAGCTGTTCGGTTCGGGAGAAAGAATGTGATGTCTTGGGGCGGCAGTGGAGGTTGTGCGGTGGAAGTGTGGATGTATGAGAGAGGTGGATGGAGATCAGATGCCGATGGACTGGAGGCACCGCGCAAAGCCTTTCGAGAAAAACGCGCACATACAAACGCTTTCCGAGCGGAGGAGATAGAGACCGGGCAGTGCAAAGGCTGAACAATTGATCGTGAGCTAACGTCAACCTAAGATGCGCTCGTTGAAACGGTACCGTCACTCAGTCAATATGGATGCGTCCAAATCATCGCCTGTCAAGCTAACCCATGCAACCTAATCCGCCTGCACATTGTGAATCGAACCTTGCACCCCTACGCCTCTGATCCTCTCAATTCAAAAATGCTTCGCTATGCATTCACCCAGTACATAACATTGCAATGCCCAAAACACGCCTCCCGCGAAGGCCTTGACCAAGAAGTACCGCCAAACGCCAATGCTAAGTTCAAGCATGCATCGATCAATCCAATTCTTCTTCCTGATCCGCAACGCTCAAGCCCAACCGAACAGTACCTCCCTGTCTCGGCGTGCGTTCGAATCTGCTGTTGGCAAGTCCCTTCCCGCCCTCTAAACCCTCCGACATCGTAGGAGCCAACTCATCGTTGTCTTCCTCATCAACATCCAGCTCATCATCCCCATCTTCATCCTCCTCCTGCTCAAGCATGGAAGAAGTAAGCGCGTCCTCATCCTCTTCTTCTTCTTCTTCTTCTTCCTCCTCCTCCGCCTCATACTCCGGTACACTGTCCTCCAAGCTCAGCCTCGGATCAGACATATAAGACTCCAACATCCCATCCACCGCCTCATCCTCACTCATCACGCTCTCCTTCGCATCCGTCGCGGCCGTCTCGACGCGCTGCAGCAACCTCTGCGCCACGCTCGCGGCAGCAGGGTTCTCATCCTCACTCTCGCTGTCCGTGAACTCGTCAACATCCAGCGGTCGATCCCGCCAGTAGCTGAAGTCGGTGAAGTCCTCCCCACCGCCCTTCACTAGCAGGCCGACGGGCGGGAAGTAGTGGTCCACGATCTCCCGCATCGAGCCGTACGCCGTCTTATACTTGTTCAGGCTCAGTAGGTCAAGACTTACCTCCGAGTTACTGTTGATCGTGAAGATCCTCGTGCTGGGTATATTCACACTGCGGTAGCTCAGCGCATCCGTCAAGCGATTTCCGAATCCGGCGTAGAAAGGCGAGCCCGCTTTACCTCTTCCGCTGCCCATTATGCCGCCCGGTGTCTGGATCCCAGACGGTAGGTGAGTATGTAGTCCAGCATCCGCACTTTCGGTCACTCGATCGTTCGCACCGCCGTGTCCGGTAAACAGCGCCATGATGTCTCGTAGACATGCCATCTTGAAGATCTCCGGCTTTCGCAGGTAGATTTCACGTCTCAATGCTGCAATGGTGCGATCCGGACTTAAGATTACGGGACCTTTCGGCAAGCGATACCCGCCTTCTTGCACGACGCCATCCAGATACGCTCGGGTCGTGTCTGCTTGGCCTACGCTTCGGCTGGTCAAGTACAAGAAATTGTATCCGTTGGCGGCGATCTCCGTGTAGAGCTTCGCAACGCCCTGGTGCGTCCAGTCGCGGCCCACGGCATTGAGGACGTGGCCCAGAACGTCGGACTTGGTTATCGTGCCGTCAATGTCAGAGATGACGATCGGTGTGGCATGATGCCAGCGCCACAGTGTGGCCTGACATGTGGCGCGATTGACGGTGAAAGCCATGTTGTTTGCGCCCGGGCGGAGATCCATGGCTTCGAGCTGTTCCGACGTAAGACGCAGAGTCTTCGCATAGTTCTTGTTCGGGTCTCCAGCGGTAGGCATGGAAGAGGTAGAAGTAGCGTCAGTGCTGGGAGAGGATGGCTGCGAGTTCATGCCGACAGCACTGTCGGAGTCACGGCGAATGTGTGTATTGAGACTGACGTTCGAGTCGCTGCGTGCATCGTCGCTGTGATAGCCAGGGTCGGAGATGGCGTCTGAAGAGGTGTAGGCACTGGTCTTGAAGGCGCCGAAACCGTCGGTTGCGTGCCTATTGGCTGCTTCTTTCGCTTCCTCGCTACTGTAGATCCAGATATTGCCTTTCTCGTCAGCGCCAATGAGCGCGCCGATATCGTATGGCCCATCTATCTCTTCAGAGAGTAGCTGGCGAGCTATGACTTCAGCGTGTAGAGCTTCGCCATCGCTGCTCTTGAAGCCTGTCATGTCCAGCATGAGATCTCCGGACTCCGTCACCTGGTTGCTGATGTTGGAAGTCCACAGCTTCTTCGACAAGTTCAACGCTCGTATTCGTGCTTCTTCCGTACTGTGAGGCGGTGGTGTCGACGACAGGTCGGTGCGCGTTCGTAACGGTGAGGACGGCCTCGAAGTTGGGAGAGGTTCACTGCTGCCGAAAGAGCTTGAGATTGCAGCCTTCGCTGACGGTAGCTGGCTGTCCGTAGCCGTCCGTTCAAGCTTCGGCACGAGTGACGGCTTGGCGCGCGCGAAGTCTATCGGTATGGGTCTCTTGATCGGGTCGCTTGCCAGGCTGCTCGTTGGTAAGAGCCGTCCATCATCGCTTTGCGCTTTCCGAACACTCGGGGGCACCATCATCTCCTCAGTCGCGCTCTTACTGTGTTGTTTCTTCTGCGGCCCATCTCTGGATCCAGGTCGACCTTCTGGCTTCTCTAGATCGAACGGCTCTGGTTCCTGGAGACTTGGTACAGTAACCTGCTCCCCCGCCTGGCCCTCCCTCCCTTTTAACGCAGGACTGACCGCCGGGCTGGTCGCTGGACTGACCAGCGGACTAGTCTGCAAGCCTTCTGGCACACTCCCTTGCGTTTCGAATACGAAGAACGCTTCTCCTCCTTCTCCAAGCTTCATCGGATAGTCCACTCTCCGGCCATTAACCTTGAACTCGACCTTCTTCTCGTAGGGCCGCAGCAAACTGAACTTGCCGAAGCGAATGTGGAACGGTGAGCAGGCAAGAGAGCCATCCTCCTGCTCGACGACAATAACGTCGATTGCACCGGATAGAGTTGCTGGGTTGATGGAGTTCCAGGTGGAGGAGAGGGAGCCGGAGATGGAGCGCACATACTGCATGGCCGACCGGGTCGCCGCTGCTGAAGGGATCAGGAAGTCCAATGTGGCTGTATTCTAACGTGTCCGCCTTCCTGGTGGTGTCTTTGGGATGTTCTCGGGTGGGGTGTATATCCGTTTCGGCGTCGTTGGCTTCGGAGGTGGAGTTGAAGGGTTGGTAGTGAACAATGACGCAGAACAATATGTACTGTAACGAGAGACTGTGAACATTCGAAAGTCGGACAGCCACTGCCTTCGTCGTGTGCGTTGGCGTAGGCCTTCTCAGCCTCGGTCATGCGCTCACTTTCACATGAGGGCTGGTGGAGAGCTGTGTTCTAAGCATGGACCATCGTCGCTCACTATGCGTGCAGATGCATTCATCTGATTTATGGTTAATCACTAATGTTGCAGGTTAGTCAGTTACTGAATGAAGAGGGGTTGAGCCTCAAGAGATCTCCGCGATATATTCAAGCTACGACCGCGTGAGATGGAATGGGTGGGCGCATCATGGCATGCTCACCCGCTGATGAACATGCATGGATCAGCGGATGGGGCTGCAGCAACCAGACCCGAGCGACCCCATGCATTCGGCTGACCACTCCCGAAGCCACCGCCCACTTTGCTGACCTTTCGCCAACCTTGGCATCGCTGGTCAATCAAATGTCCATCACTATTATTGGTAAGTCATCGCCATGCGCCGGGTAAGGCTCGGCCCAAACTGAACCTTAACCGCAATATTCCTACAGCAAGGGCCAACGGCACCCGATGTGTTCTTGTGACGAGAAGCTACAACATCCTTACGTCCACAAGCCTTCTCTTCAACATCAACACCGACTCTATCGCTATGAATCATACCAAGCCACCATGAGCACCACTTTGCAGCATGCCGCTGCGGCGGCCTCTGCAACCAAATCCTCCGTTTTCCAGCGAGCACATCTCTACTCTTCCACCGTCGACAGCATGTCCAGCGCAATCGCTACTACACTCCCGGAGAGTGCCCCAATATGGGCATCAAACGTGCTGGTTTTCATGCAGATGCTCGCTATGCCTCTGGGCATCTGGTTCAAGCCGGTTGTTGTGACTCTGGCTACCGTCTGGCTGGTCCATCGCGCTTACCAAGTACTTAACAAGCCGCTGGAAGAACTGGCCTCACTGCTCGGATTCGACATCCCACTTACACCAATGATAGATCTAGCGGGCATAAAGGCCGACGGGTGTCTGCTGCACTGGAGCCTGCCGGAGAAGCTCAAACAGCGGAGCAAGTTCAGGTTCGAGATCCACTTAAACGGCACCGTGATCGACACTGTCTCTATCCAGGAGACTGCGGTCAACATCACGGGCTTGCAGCCTAGTAGCTTCTACGTCGTAAGGGTGGCCTTGGTTAACGAGCAGGACCTCGGTAGCCGTAGTGAGCCTATCAGGTTCCGGACCAAGCCGGCGAGCTCTGGTGACTACTTCGTGGTACCACTCGATGGACATGACACGGACCAGGATGGCTCTGGCGAGATCCTGCCTAGAGTTAGAGTGCACCGTGGGCTTAAGGATGTAACGCCTGCCTCGATTGAGGCAGCGCCAATGGCTCGAGAAGGCAGTATAGGCTTAGGTCCGAAGCGTAGTATCACGGGCCGTCGGCCCTCACCTGCCGCTCTTGGCCTGGACATGAAGCACGATCCACAGCCAGAAGAATCTGAGCCTCCGGAGGGTGCGGAGTCGTTACACCAACTAACTGAAAAGCTTGACGCTATTCGACGGGAGACGGATGACACAGAACGGCAGGCAAAAGACGAGGATGAAGAGGAGTCGAAGCTGAAAGACGAGCTGACCGCGGAGAGGGACATGCTACGAGAGCAGGTCGCGGAGAAGGAGAAGGCAAGCCGGACGCTGAAGAAGGAAGTCAATACGCTCGAGCGACAAAATACTGCTGCGCAGAATGACCGTTCAAAGCATGAAAGACTACTACAGCAGAAGAAGCAGGAGCGGGCGAAGGTGAAGACAGATATGGTGCGTTGGGCCAAAGAGGCCGAAGATCTGCGATCAGAGGTCGAGCGCATCCAGAAGGACAAAGAAGAGCACCTCCAACAAGTCGAGCATGAGAAGGAGGGTCTCCGCGCAAAGCAAGCCCAAGAAGCAGCGGCTACGCGTGCGCTTGAGGACGAAATCAAGGAGAAGAACGCAGAGATTAAGCGACTCGAACGCACGATGAAGATTGAATCACCTGACCAGAATGGCCATAGTTATGCCGAGAACACTGTGGCAGAGCCGAATCTTGTGCAGCAGATGCAGCAGGAAGCGGAAGAAGAGCGGTCGTACCAGGCGCTAAGGACGCAGCTTATGCAGCAGTACGCCTCCACTGCACAGAAGCTGGAAGAAGCCAAGCGCTTTTACCACGGGGTCAACAGGTACTTGGAGTACGTGCGTGCGCAAAGGCGCCTTGAGGAGGATCGCGCTGCCGCTCAGGCTGCTGCTCAGCAATGGACTTCGCCATCTCCAGCTGATCGGATGATCAGACGAGGTGACAGCCAACGGAGCCGCAGGGCGCCCAGTGGGCATAGTGCCAGCGAAAGTCCAAGAATGGGCGGGTTCCCGCTGGCTGGGGCTGGTGGTATGCAAAGTGGTGCAGGTGCGTTCGTTAACGGATTCGGAAGCTCAGCTGTGCATTCAGCACCATTTTTCAACATTCATAACGGTATGACCTTGCGTACTGAACCGGTTACACGTCCCGGTGCGGATGAATACCCGAATATGAGCGAGGAGGATCGGGAGAGGATGACGGGTGGCGCACCTATGTCTCCCGGCGCTGGAGCGGAGCTACTGCCGGCTGGTCTTTTCTCCGGTGTTGACGATGATAGCAGGCAGGAGAGGGAGAGGGCGGCTGAGCAGCAGAGTGTCCAGATCTTACCAGGTCTTGGAAGCTTACCCGGACTGCCTGGACTACCTGGCGGACCGTCACCGGCCGTTGAAAGATGGGAACGCAACGACCATGCTGCACAAGGGCCCGCTAGTCCCGGCTCCACAAGCAGTCGCAGCCCCAGCGTCTTCGCTTCGCCGCAGGCAAGCCAGAACAACCTCCACCTCGGCTCACCAATCGAGAACTTCAACATTGATGCTGATCGTCGCTCCATCCGTTCAACACGCTCCAACCGAGCTGGCACGGGCACAAGCGGCACACCTGCCGCAGGCAGCAGGTTTAGTAGCTTGTTCGGCATCAAGCAACGCACCAAGACCCTTTCTGCGGACGAGGGCCCGGCTCTGGGTAAGGCGCAAAGTCATAGTATGCCACGCGAGGAGATTCAGAGTCTACCTGGCCTGCAGCACATCAGTGACGGTGGCCCCACGGCCAGAAAGCGGAATAGTAGCATCTCCGGCTTAGCATTCGGGAACGGCGATGCATTTGGTGGAGCACTTGGTGATGGGGTCCCGGATTCTGCTTTTGGGTCTGAATCGGGTAATGCCCTTGCCGGCAACCAGCCGGCAGCGAGACGGAGACCGTTTAGCGGCATGGCATCGATCTTTTCACGCGACTCGAAGGAATCTTCTTCGCAGACACAGCGGGACAAGGATGGTACCACTGGCTGGCCCAGCACGTTTACAAGTTCGTTCGGAGGCCTCCGGAGGCCGGGTAGTCCGCGACCGGATAGCACGCATAGTAATGAGCTCCCTCGACCTTCGGTAGATAGTAGTCGCTGGGGTGTCGGCGCGGACGCTTGGCCTTCAATACCTGACGCCGCGCAGGGAGCGGCTCGGAGCTCACCACTATCGTTCACTGTACCTTGGAACATACCTCAGCCGGGTGGTGAGCAACGTAACAGGTTGTACGGCAGTCGTCATCCCAGTCGTCGTCCGAGCGTTCAGCATGGTGTCTCAGGCCCGCCGGAGGATATTATGGAGGACGAAGACTCGGATGCCATGTTGGAGCCGGACGATGTCGTGAGGACGCCTCAGTTAGCGCCGATAGGAACTAAGCCGAGTAGCAAGACAGCAGTGCAAGCACAGGCAGAGTCGAGCGAGCAAGCCGCCGCGGCTGCAGCGAGTCAGGAAAAGAAGTTGAACCCAGCCGCTAGAGCATTCAATATGTTCGGCATTAAAAGCAAAGACAAGGCAGCTCGTGCAGGCTCGCCGAGTGCGGCTGGAGCTCAGACCCTGACATCTTCCACTTCGCGTACCGACGGTGATGGCGCTGGCGACGAAGGCTCACCCCCAACAAGCCGCAAGTCCCGCGACGCTCGCAGCATGACTACCACCGAGTCGTCGATTGCCGAGTCCGGCGAGCTTGGCACTTCCGCTGGTACGAACGGGACGTACGACCTCGCCCGCACCCCCTCTTACTCCGCAAACTCCGACGCCACCGGTCCTAGCCCGCTGATCGGCAGCACCACGAGCAAAGAATCCTTCATGGCGAAACTGACGCGCAAGTCCAGCTCTGCGGGCAAGACCTTCTCGCTGCCTACCTTTAAGCGGGAGAAGAGTCGACTGGATCCTGGGCCGGCGGCTGAAATCATGGCCGAGGAGGAGGACATGAGTGCTTCGGTTGGTAGTTTGCGGGAGAAGGAGAGGGAGAGGGAGCCGCGGGAGAGTAAGGATGGTGGGAACAGGTCTTCTACTCGGAGTTGGAGCAGTGTGCTTAAGCTTGGGAAGGGGAAGAAGGGGGGTGAGACTCCGAGTTTGAGTGGGCTCAGTCTGGCGAGTGGGACGGAAGATGGAGACGGGAGTGGGGAGGAATGATAGCTCACCGAGATCGACCATCATTAGCAAGTATTTGAGTGACTGTCGAGGACGATGAACCCTCGCTTGGTTGTACATGCTCAGAAATCCTCCCAATGCCCCTGGTAGTGATGTGAGGTTGAGTCCGTGTCGCCATATCGAGAGCTACGATTTGCATAAGGCCGCCGCGGTATCTCGCATACTCTGTTGTCTTCATACATGATCGAAACGCTTCCAACAACGTACTCGGCACCATGAACTACTGAGGACACTGATATCGATCGCTGAAAGCCTTCTGACAGTGGCAACATTGACCATGCTCACTTCCACTCGCGCTTGCCGCCCGAAGGCGGCCAGCTCCGCCGCACTTCTTCTCTGCCGAGCAACATCCACGCCGGCAAAATTTTGCCGTTGACCGCAGAAAGCGTGCTCGATCCTCTCGATCTATTACTGGTTCCTGTTGTTCCATTGAGTGGGGAGCGAAGTATAAGTATAACCTTACCGCTCTCTCACATTTCCGTCCTCATATTTTCTACCGCGTATGCATTCGAGGCGCAACACACCCATCTGTAGGCGCTATCTCATATTCCTACTGCTAGACATTGGCGAATGAAAGCGGTCCTCGAAGGCAGCAAGCCAGGACTATTACCGCAGAACAACAGTATTGACGGATCGCTTAATCCTACCACGTCGCCACAGGTGTTTGGCAGCGAACCATCGCCATGCCAGCCATGCCCGTCACCGGCATTCGGTGCCCCGGCACGCAACGAGTTGGCTGAGAAGGCGGCCGAAGATGGCTCGCCAGACTCTCCAGTCCTCGATTCCTCGGAGAAGGATGAAGCGACCTACCCCGAAGGCGGCCTCCAATCATGGCTCGTCGTTCTGGGGTCTTTCAGTGGAATGACCGCTGGATTCGGGTATATGAACACTATCGGCATCTATCAGGCATACCTTGCTACGCACCAGCTCGCTAATTACAGCGAGAGTACAATCGGATGGATCTTCAGCCTTTATGTCTTCCTGTCGTTCTTCTGCGGGCTGCAAATCGGGCCCATCTTTGATGCCAGAGGGCCTAGGATGTTGATAGCGGCTGGCACGGTGTTCCTTCTCCTCAGCATTTTCTTGCTTGGCATCTGTACATGTAAGTCCTCCATGCTGCCCTCCCTGCAATGCACACTGACTGACGCCGCACGCAGCATACTGGCACTTCATCCTAGTCTTCTCTATCCTGGGCGGCATAGGCACGTCTCTCGTCTTTACGCCTGCAGTCTCTGCCATTGGCCACTTCTTTTTGGTCAAGCGCGCCAACGCAACTGGCATTGCCGCTGCAGGCGGCTCACTTGGTGGGGTGATCTTCCCGCTCATGCTGCAATCTCTCTTCCCCAAACTCGGCTGGGGCTGGGCTACCCGGATCCAGGGCTTCATCTTCGTGGTACTGCTCATTCTTGCAAACCTGCTCATTCGCTCTAGACTTCCACCCAAAGCAGGCGGCAGCGTGCTACCAGACTTTAGGATCTTCCGACAGCCAGCGTTCGCCCTGGCAACGGTGGGCACGTACTTTCTCGAATGGGGTCTCTTCATACCGATCACCTACCTCACGAGCTATGCTCTGGCTTCCGGCGCCATGAGCACAACCTTCTCGTACCAACTCATTGCAATCTTCAATGCTGGCTCATGTCTGGGCCGCTGGGCGCCGGGCTACATGGCCGATAAGTTCGGACGCTACAATACTATGGTGGCAACAGTCATCGGGTGCATGAGCAGCTCGCTCGCCTTGTGGCTACCAGCAACTGTCCTTGCTGCTGAAAACGGCAGCAACAACACAACCATTCTTGGTCTATCAATCGCCTACGCAGTGATCATGGGCTTCGCTTCGGGCTCGAACATCTCGCTCACTCCAGTCTGCGTCGGCATGCTGTGCGACACCGAAGAGTATGGACGCTATTACGCCACATGTTACACGATCGTCTCTTTCGGGACGTTGACTGGTGTGCCAATTGCTGGTGCCATTATCTCGGCTTGTGGTGGAGCGTATTGGGGTGTAGCAACCTTCACCGGACTCTGTTACGTATGTGCGGGGATATCGTTCGCTGCGGTTAGGGTGATGAAGGTTGGATGGAAATTGAACGTGATCTACTGAGGCTAACTGACCAAAGACACGGAGCGAATCGAAGAATCTGTCACGGTGATGCGGTAAGCAGTCCCATAGCGTAGATAGAGATTAAAGTTCAGACTAAACCAATATATGGGTATCTGTGATGTCCAAGCATATCAAAACAGCCAAAGCCACATCACCAAGTTGAAGTTGTCCAAACGCTAAGTCCACGCTCGAACGCTGCACTTCACTGCAAAGCCAGACTCCGACCCCCGCAAGTCAACGCCCACTTCTCTTACATTCATTCTCCCACAACAGCCAACCTTGGCACTCCATCCCGAGAACGCTACTCCCGGATGGTAGCCCACTTCCTGCCCAACCCTCCTGCCTCCGCACCAGCGCTACTCCGGTCGAGAGCCGCCCGCTTACTAGCCATCAAACTCTGCCTCACAATCGCCTCCGCCGCCGCAGAAGCCGCGAGCCTCTCCTTCTGCCGACTGCGATCCCTCAAATACTTCTCCGCCTCCGGTCGCATCCGCAGGATGCGCAGGATCATATCATCGCTAGCATCTGCCTGCGCTTCGGCGCGCTTTGCCGCTTTGGCTTGCTTGATCGTGCCGAGGTTGCGGGACATCATGATACTCTTCGTTTGGCGGGAGCCGGGAGCGCCGAGTAGGTTGACAGGAGCGGAGAGGCGGTTGAGCTTCGTCGCGGTTTCTTGCTGCCGACGAGCGGTAGCCTGCGCAATCGCGTCAGACGTCCGCATGAGACTGTCGGAGCTGTCGAAGTAGAAGAAGCTTAAGCTCTGAAGATCGTGGTACTTCGCGTTCCTCAGGACGTCGACTGGGACGCCGTGAGCTGTCTTATCCTCCTTTTCATAAGCGTGGAAGAAGTCGAACAGGATCTGAAGCCAGCGATATACGATATCGACCTCCTGCTGACTGAGCGGTTTCTGCGCAGAAAGCTTGTCGGACAATGGAGGCACGAGGAGCGATTCAAGCGTGCCCAGGACCGTCTTCCACAGCCGCGTCATGATCATGATCAGCGCGGTGCTAGTGAGCGTCTCCTTCATAATGGCAAAATTCGCATAGAAGTAGTCGAGCAGCGGCTTTAAAGCGGTACGCACGTCCTCCAGCGACGGCGCAATAGTGGTAGGCTGCGGCGAGGCAACACTCATCGGCCTTCCCGCAACCTGCGACGACAGCTTGTTGAAGTAACCCTTTGCGCTGCTCAAGTTGACGCCGCCCAGCGTACCTTGACCTAGCAGCGCCTTCAGTGTCCGACGACTCAAACATTGCTGGATATACGCGGAGAGCTTGTCCGTAACCTTGCGTGCCATATCCCTCTCGGTGCGCTTGAGCGTCCGGAAAGCTTTGCCGAAGTAGAATTGAATGTCGTCTCTCTCGCCCTCCATGCTGACACGCACCAGCACACGGCCCTGCGTGTCAAGATCCAGCCAGTACTCGCGCGGCAGGTAGTCGTTGAAGTGCGCCGGGTCCAGCTTGAGACTCGTCCGGCCAAGACAGTCATGGTCGCCCACCATATCCCAGTCCCAGACAGTAGCAATCAGATTCAGCGGGCCAGTCGTCAGAATATCGACCGTCTCATCCCACCGCGGGCTGAGCGACTGATAAACCGTCCGCGTCTTTGCCAACCGCTTCTGGTACTCATCTCCCAAGACCACATACGGATCGCTCAAACCCGTCACATCACCAGCCTTCAAGTCCTCCGCCTCAATAATCTTGATCGTGAACATGAACTTCTTCCCATCTCTCACATTCGGCGGCGGAGGCGGGTCAAGCCGGTTAATGACTTCCGCACACGCATCGACATTGATCTCCTTCTCCACCCTATCCAGCTGCAACGTCGCATACTCCACGTCGTTGATCTTGACAAAGCTCTCGGGCCAGAACTGGAACGGCTCGATCTTCTCGCCACCCTTGCCACCCGTCGTCCAGACGTCACGCGCTGCGGCGTACCACTTCTCGCGCTGCGTCTGCTGCGCCCGCATTTCTTGCTCCGGCGTCTGGCGATCCATCTCTTTGGCGAACTTGAGCTCCAACAACTCGCAATACCGCGCCACACCCTTCCCGATCGACTTGGAGATGGCGGTCATGAACTTGGCATACTGCAAATCGTCATCCCACCCGAGTTTGACGATCTGATCAATGGCCTGGTTGAACGCCAGGAAGATATCAATGGCGCTATGGCTATGCCTCTCATCATCCGTCGGCAACTCGCCCGCCTCTTTGGCTTGCGGATCTTGCCGGATCTGGAATTGGTCTTGCGCAACAGCTCCCTCAACCCATTGATTAATGTTTGCGTCAGTTGAGGCAATCCAGCGCCAGACAAAGTCCTGCAATAATCCTTCTATATGGAACGTGAACTCCCGACCTGGCAGCGCTTGAGCATAGACTTTCCGGATCTCCACAAGGTCTTTGTACAGCTCGAAGCCGTCTTGGATGTCCACTTCCTGCCCTTTCTCTTTGGAGAAGTGCATAATCCGTTTGATCAACTCCTTCGCATCCTCCGCGAAACTAGGCAGAGACTCCTCCACCAATATCTGCAGCGGGTTCACACCCATGATCTCTGGGTTCTTGCGGTACCGTTTCTGAATCTTCTCGCACAGCGCCGTTACTGCCTTACCGAGCTGCATCACATCGTAGAACTGCCAATTGGACGCGTCGTCGCTAACGTGCTTGGACAAGAGTTCGTGATACTTGTCACGTGCTTTCGTCCGCAGAGCGTCCGCCATCATGGCGGTGAAAGCGTCCAAATCTTCTGGGTTCTGGGTGAAGAAAGGGTCGGAGTAGATGTGCGTGTCCAGTACATACATAATGACGCCAATAGTGGGAGGTTTGGGCTCGTAGCAATGTTGAAATGTCTCGAACAGCTCCCGCAGGAGAGCGTCATGAAGGTTGGCAAGGATGGTGCGGAACAGGTTGTGGTCTGGCACTGTCCATTTATGCCTGTCGAGTAAGGGCAGCTGCGTGGACTGGTTGAGTGCGGGTGACTTGGAAGGATTTTTCCGTGGCTCCGGCTGCGGCTCCTTTGCCCACAAGAACGCAGCGTCCAGAGTGTCAAGGTTGATAACCTGGTGCTGGAAGTTCTCGCGCACGACGTCCAAGAAGAGCACGATACGGGTGAAGAGTGGGATTCGCCACCGTACTGCAACCTCGTTCAGTAGCTCGTGCGATTGCCGGGACAGTAGCTTAACAGGCGGAACGTCATCGACCGTGACCGGTGCAGGTTCGGAATCGGATAAGTCGTGAGCCAGAGCCACCTTTAACAGCTGTCTATAGTATATCCTTGCGTCCGGAGGAATATAGGTGAAGTTCGCTTGGGTGGCGTCCATACTCCCAGTTCCAGAGTCTCTTGGGCTGGAATCGCCTAGATTCAGCATCTCTAATTGATGGTCAAGCATGGAGCTTGAGTCAACCTCAGCGCCACCGCTCATCTGCCGGCTGAGATCACTGTCGCTGGACAACGCAGACGGAGCCTTGAACATAGGAACGCCGTCCGACTTGTGCTTGGCCAGCTCCGGATTGGACTGCACGATTGCGAGCATCATCTGGCTAATGTCGGATATCTCGGCCTTCCGCCACATCTCAAATGCTTCATCGAGCTCGAAGTCATCTTTGCAAATAGTCGCACGCGTATTAAGCATCATGTGATTCTGGTACTCCTTGAGGTCTCTCAACGCCGCCCTCTCCGTCCACTGCTCCTTGTGCGCATTGATGTCATTCTGCGCTTGTATTGTCGGCTTGGCGAATATGCTGCAGACTCGGATAACAAGCGGCATATCGCGAACCTCATAGCTTCGCGGTACTTCCACCTCGATACTCTGCCCGCCTTGCCCGCCATTGCGCTGTGTCTGATCTGCCAAGTCCTGGTCGTGCTGTAACAGCTTCGTCTCCAGCGTCTTTAACCGACTGCTCAGCTCCGGCCTCTCCCTCATCCAGTCATTGTTGTGTAGCGTACTGCTGATCAAGCGCACGAAAAGTGCAACATGGCGGTCCACCATCAATTTCCAGCTGTCGTCCTCAGCGCTCTTGCCCTTTTGCAGCTCGCTCGTTGCTCGTGAGTAGAAGATCAGCAGCAGATCCTCCACCCTTCTGTCCTTTTCCATTGTCTTCCGAAACGTCGGGTTCCTGAACTCATTCAGAAAGTTGGCGAAGGTACGTTTCACCAGCGCATCGTTGTACTCAATGCCCTTCTCCTTCCCGACCAAGACATTAGCGATGCGCTTATCCAACTCCGCCATGAAGCCATGTGGAAAGCGCGTGCTTTTGCTGTCTCGTGTCAAGCTGAAGTCCTTGACCATGTCATTAATGCTCGTCGTGCTCCGCTGGATCGGCTTGGACGTGTTCGCCACATGCTGCACCCGCTTCTGCCGCGGTTGCAGGAGGTACGCCAGATACGCGGCGCGCAGCGCATACGTGTATGCATCCGCATCGGTCACGGGACGTTTGGTGGTGTGGGAGAGGTTGCGGCGGATGGTGTCGCGAGCGCCATAGGAGTTGGTGCGGCGTGAGTTGAGGGAGGAGCGAGTGGACATTACGCGGGCGGTGTGGGTGGACTTGGGGGTGGTGTCGGTAGGGGTTTCATAGCCCAAGAGGAACTCGGGCAGGTCGCTGGACGACATCTATGCCGGACGCATAACAGGGCAGTTAAGGCTCTGGATTGTGGCTGGCAGGCAGCGCGCGGGAGGGGCAGGCGCTTGCGAAGATAGTGCTCGATTGCCGATATTGTGAGACACGCCTTCCTAGAATGAAACGGCAGGACTAAAGGTGGATCTGCGACTGCTACAACAGTAGGTCAACGGTAGAGGGCAGTGTGAGAGGGCAGGTGGCAGGCATAACCGTCGCACAACGGACAGTGGCAGAATAGAGATGCTCGTTGCTTCCACAAATAGACGAGATCGCCTTTGATCGTCTGCATGTCGGCGTCACACTCTGCCAAGCCTCCGATGGAAGCCACCCTGCATGTTTCACTTTCAGCCCAATGTCGTGGCGCTGCGAATGCTATACAAAATCAAAGCCGCAATCTTGCCTATCGTGAGCATCAATATGTGAAGCCGGCGCGCCTCATAGCGTTAGATGTGGGCTTCGTTATACCGTCTGCTATTGCCTCACTACATCAAATGATCATGCGGAGACACGCGGACCGGCTTGGTGGCAACAGCACGATCGCATACATCCCGCCTTGACCCGGTTGAGAAAGGTGTTGAGAACGACAATCGTACACACTTCCAAGCAATATTGCACATTCATACGGGAAGTCTCAAGCACCAAAGCTCCTACACAGCGCTCGAGCTGAGTTCTGAGCGTACCCCGTGCGATTGTGGAAAGCGACAACAATGTCTACTCCGAGATCCAACCCCGACCAAAACAAGCCTCGCCTTTCGGATGCTCAAAAGAAGTTCAATCACATAGAAAGCGAAAAGAAGCGGCGACTTGCTATTCGTGAGGGCTATGACAGGCTGGCCTCGAACGTACCTGGAATGGAAGGACAAGGCCGAAGTGAGGCGATGGTATTGCAGGCCGCGGTCGTCCACCTGAAGGAGCAGCTCGCCAAGAAAGAGGAACTGAGGACGGCACTGAGGCGAGAGAGGGGTATGCAAGACGGCGAATTCGAGGGCATTTACCAAGTTGCACTGAAGGCCGTCAGAAGAGAAGGTGAGGAGGCGGTGGAGGACGACGATGGTAATGAGGATGAAGGAGCTTAAGGAGTAACTCCATAAGGCTCATGGTCTGTTCACGTTCACCAACACATTAAGTTGGTGATGAATGCACCGCTAATTCGCTGCGAAGAAGCACTCCGCCTTCTCATTACGAACGACCGTTGTCAAATTCAACATCGGCGGTAAAATGATCACGTCTCAGTCAAAATGTGGTGGGGCCTGCATGTACTCTTGACGTGTTGTCCGTATTTGCACTTCGAGCGACGGCGAGAAGGGCAGACCAGACAGCACTATGGATCGGCCTGAGTCATGCGGATCAACATGCCAAGGCTTTCAAGAGGCCGCCTGAATCCCCGCTTTTACGAATGACTGCACTTCATTCGTATTCGTAAGCCTGTGAACCACCGGCACCACCTCAACGTAGTCATCGAGCAATGTTCACATCTCATCCAATACATCGAGTGGATGCCAACATGTACCCCGGATACACAGCCACGGCAATGCGCACCACCACTACTTAGTCACCAATCAGGCATGCGCCAAGACTGGCTGAATCGGGTGCCTGCAGGCAAAGTAGGTACATAAAGGTCTACGTCTCTTTGCTTCGTATCGCTCTTTCGACCTTTCCTACTATATTCGACATCACTGAAACAGTCCAACCAATTGATGACATCAGGAGGATTTCGTAACAACATGCGGCACAACAATTTTGGTGGCCATATCTGCGGCTGTCACTACACCATCAACATCAGTCATTGGAAGGTTAAGCGGTACTACTTACCTCAAGTCAAGCTCGAGTCGCACACGACCATCACCCCGGTGTCCTTCACGACCAAGCTGACGCAGACATATCACAACCCCGAGGACAAGAAGCTCGACCAAGTGCGGTATACCTTTCCGCTATACGACGGCGTAGCAGTGCATGACTACACCATTCGTTATGCCGACAAGATCTTGAAAGGGATTGTCAAACAAAAAGACGTCGCAAAGAAGACCTACGACGCCGCCATTGAACGAGGCGAAACGGCTGGCTTGCTCGAGTCACTGCCCGCTGGCGTATTTGGTGTCACCCTTGGCAATGTCCCCACCAAGACCGACATCATCGTCGAGATTACTTACTGCGGCGAGCTGAAGCACGACGCGGAGATCGATGGGCTACGCTATACGCTTCCCACCAGCATCGCGCCGAGATACGGAAGCTATCCTGGCGAGGTGCTGAACAGTAACACGACAGCGAAAGGCGGGATCAGTATCAAGGTTGATATCGACATGGCTTCTTCCGCTATACGCAAGATTCAGAGTCCTAGCCACCCGATCGCAGTCTCCATGGGCGCAACGTCGACGACTGCGAACGCAGAGCAGGCGCCTTTCACGCCTGATCAAGCTTCAGCAACGCTTACTCTTGGCTCAGCAGAGCTTGCCGGCGACTTCGTCCTACAGATGTTGGTTGACAACATCAGTGAACCGAAGGCTATCCTCGAGGCACACCCCAGTCTTCCCAACCAGCGCGCCATAATGGCCACACTCGTACCGAAGTTCACCCTCAAGCCCAGCCACCCCGAGATCGTCTTCATTGCCGACCAATCCGGCTCCATGCGGGGCAGCAAGAACACGGCGCTTGTCAACGCGCTTCAGATCTTCATCAAGTCGCTGCCGCTGGGCGTCCGTTTCAACATCATTGCCTTCGGCAACAACTTCACGTCACTTTGGCCGAGTAGCCAAGCTTACAACGAAACGAGTGTCGACAAAGCTATTGCATTTGTCAACGGATTCACGGCGAGTTATGGCGGGACTGAGATCTTAAAGCCCGTCAAAGCCGCCTTCGAGCAGAGATTGAAGGATCTGCCGCTAGAAGTTATGCTGCTTACTGACGGCGAAGTCTGGCAGGAGAACAGCGTGTTCAGCTTCATCAACGAGCAAGTTCACGACAAGAAGATTGATGCGCGGGTCTTCGCCTTGGGTATCGGCTCCCACGTCAGTCATACTCTGGTCGAGGGCGTGGCACGGGCGGGTAATGGCTTTGCGCAGTTCGTGCAGCAGGACGAGGAGACAGATCGCAAGGTCATGAGAATGTTGAAGGGGGCGCTGTATGCTCATACCAGGGACTACAAGCTTGAGGTGCATTACGCCGACAGGGGTGAGAAGGAGGCCAGAGCGAAGGTTGTGGACCTGGAGGCCGACGATGAAGACTTTGAAATTGTGGAGAAAGTAGAAGACTGTCTAAAACTGAACGACGACCAGCCGCCTGCGTACGAAGCCGAGAAGGCCAAGATCGGTCAGCAGCCAACAGCCAGGTCTTTCTTCGACCAGTCCGCCGACCTCGACAAGTCCGTCAAGGACAACAAGCCGGATGCGGACCGCTACGCTCATCTCCCACCCATCGCCACCCCAAAACTCCTCCAAGCACCCACCGACATTCCACCCCTATTCCCCTTCAACCGCACGACCGTCTACCTCCTCCTTGGCCCGGACTCCGCGCACAAAGAAGTCTCATCCATCACCCTCCGCGCAACAAGCGACGACGGCCCGCTCGAGCTCACTGTGCCTATCAAATCAGTCGATTGCCACAGCGTGCCTACTATCCACCAGCTCGCCGCACGCAAAGCCATGCAGGACCTGGAGGAAGGTCGCGGATGGCTGCAGACTGCCGCTTTGGCGGATGGTGCCGCGCTAAAGACGAAGAATGCGAGCCGCTTTGATGAGATGGTCGAGCGTGAGGCGGTCAGATTGGGCGAGAAGTTTCAGGTCGTGGGTAAGTGGACCAGTTTCGTCGCTGTTGAGGCCAACTCGGGCGACGTGCTGAAGAGGAGAGCGGAGCCGGAGTGGGATGATGATATTGATACGGGAATCACTCCGGAGAGGCTTAGCGCTCCCATGGCTATGATGACTGCCGCTCACGCTCCGATGTCGAGGATGAGGATGGCTTCCGCAGCGGCTCCGGCGCCTGCACCGCAGGCTCCTGCCGCCACGTCGCGAAAGTTCAAGCGTGCAGCGGCCGCTCCACCCCCACTTCCTCCAGCCTCTTCCGCCCCCCCTCCGCTTGCTCCAGCCTCCGCCGGCATGTCTTTCGGTGGTCGTTGGAGCGGCGGAAGCCCCCAATCTTCGGCCCCCTCAAGCACTGGTGGCGGCAGGAGCTCCGGTGGAATGTTCAGCATGGGCGGCAAATGGGGTCTCGGCCGCGCCGTATCCGGTAGTGCTGAAAGTGGTCCAAGCCATTCGCCGAAGCATACGCGTCTCCCCTCGGCCAACACTGAGTCCGTCAAGACAACCGCAGCCGCCCAATTCGCGCTTACCAGAGGCATCGGACCCCCCCGCGATGCAGTCAGGCCTTCCAGTCATTCACCGCATCCAGTCGTGGTCTCTAAATCCCAGCCAGCAAATCAGCCAGCAGAGCTGGAAGAAATGGTAAGCCAAGAGTACAGCGCCAACGCTGCGGCAATGGCAGCACCGCGCAGCTTTGCTCCCCCAGCGGGTCTTGCTCGCCCCGTCTCTACTGCGTCTCCGATGCAGAGGCTCATTTCACTACAAACATTCGCCGGCTCATGGGCTTTCACTTCAGCTCTGCTTGACGCTATCGGAAAGCCGGGTCTTCTCAAGGGTAGTATTCATGGCTACGGCGAGAGCATGAGCGACGAGGCCAAAGCGACGTTGCTGGCGATTGCCTTCTTCGAGTCTAAACTGCCGTCGGAGAAGGATGTGTGGGAGATGGTTGTCGAGAAGGGGAGGAGGTGGCTGATGCAGCACGGTGTCTTGGTAGGACCCGAGTTGGAGAAGATGGTACAGGAAGTGAAGAAGTTGTTGTAGGTGTTACCAAGACTGGAGAGAATATGCTATTGGTTGGAGATTATGGCCAGTGACGAGTGCACCTACTAGAAGCCTGCAGGGGCATCGAATGGCGTCGTTGGAAGTAACATGAGCCATATTACATAGTTCGCTTGGTAGAACTAGGTTGGACAGCTGTTAACCGTGTGCATTATCGGCTGTACGTCTCCGCTGGAGGCATGATTGTATGAATCGAAGCATGGCTGGATACACCGCCCTGGAATCATGTGCTGCGCGGTCGACAACATCCATCTGCACAGAGACACCGCGCTCCAGTAGGCTGCGCTGCAGGTCGTGAGCGGTCTCAAGCCTATTCTGTGGTACAGCTGCAACCCTCTTAGCTGTTTGAGAAGTCATCTTCGCGTGCGCGAATCCACGCAGCCACTGCGAAAACTCTCCACCGCCATATGGCTGGTCGTCTTCAGCACCGACTGCAAGCTGGAAGAGCACTTTCGTCAAAGCTGGTATGTCGATGCGCTTCTGCAACAGGTTCTGAGCATCCGCGATGCCCTTTGGCCAGCCCAGTCGGTCGTCAAGTAGCGTCACAGACCCTGGCGCACCGACACTGACACCCAGTAAGCGTTCAGGATGCAGATAGGCGAATCTGTGCGCAAATTGACCTCCGCCAGAGAAGCCTAGAAGAAATATCTTGGCCGTATCAATGCCGGGCCAGCGATGTCCGACAATGTCTAGCATGCTTAGGAGCGCAAGATCCGAACGCAGATCTGAAGCCTTGGAGAGCTTGTAGGAATCTAAATCGACGGGACCTTCAAGCCCTGCTGGGAACAGCGGTACCAAGACTGCGCAAAGATTATCGTCTGCGAAAGCACGCCATTCTGCGTACAGGGGGCTTGTGTTTCTACCGGTGCCGTGAACGAAGACCAGAAGTGGTAGCTTGATCTTGCCTAGAGCATCGTAGTGCTGAGGTGGGATATAAAGCGCATATGAGATGCGCGGATCCGTTTTGAGAGCTGTAAAGGGCACGTGGCCGACAAGGAACGCCGCCTTCAGGAATTGTGGTGGGATGTCAGCGGTCGTTACTGAGTCCATTGGGCCAGGCGTCATCTCAATATCATTGTACGGTGTGAGTGGTCACTTCACTGTTTATATGTTAAAAAGGTAACGATCACTTGTTGGGCGCAAAGGTGCCGGCCTCAAGCCGGCTTTACGCCTCCGTTTCGGCCGAGTACTGGCTTCCCTCTTCGAGCGGTAACTGCGGTGGTCGTGCTGTTCAAGCAGTGTTCGATACGCATGACACGTGCCAGGATATAGCATCTCCGCGCTGTGAATCTGTGATCCATCCTTACTGCTATCTGGTGTGGGAGGCCGCCGCTTGCCCAGCAATCGGCCCGTGTCAGAACTCAATTCACGCAATTTGGCTTCGGCAGCTTGAGTATCAGCTGGCATAGCATGCTCAATGGAAATCTCGGTCTCGTCGCACACGTCTGCTCCTTCACAGCCCCGTGAGGTGAGTCCACTCTTCGTAAAGCCGAATACCACCGCCGGTGTGAAGCTGGCGTTCTCTGGGTTTCTCGGCCCGACAGATCAGGGTCGTCTGTATCTGGGCTGAAGGACCTTGGGTAGTAGATTAACCTCACGCTCGAGCTCATGCGCTGGCAAGTCTTGCGCATTGGCGCCCAGACTCTTCCGCAAGACCTCGGCAAGGGCGAGGATGTCGTGATAGATGCTGATATCCTGCTTATAGTTGGCCGTACGACTGCAGTAGAAGAACGTGCACTGTAGGACGATGAGGAATGTTGTGAACACTGCGGTGGTGGCGGCGAAGAGAAGTAGTATCTGAGCGGAGAAGCCTCATCGATAGGCCTTGGCTGGGAGACATTTACTGTTTTCCTCCATCCAGGCTAAGCTGACTGACGTCTTGTCATTGCAAGAGTAATAGCTACCGTTCAAGTAGCCGCTGATTGACAGCGGCGGCGCCGAGAGTGAGATGTTCTCGCCGCCGATTGTGATATCGCTTGACAGCTGTACCCAGGGCGTGGCGTTTGCGGGGACAGAGAAGGTACACTCGTAGGTGGCCGACCGGCTTCATCACACGGAGTGAATTTTGCTTTGCTTGCGGGTCCACTGGCCTCCAGCATGTCTTGAATGCTAAGAAGAGTTTGGCAGTCTAGAGCGGCTAGTTAGATCAACTAATGCGACCCGGAAAAGGAAGAGCATGCACCCATAGAGGTTACGGTAGTCTTGCCATCTGCCGTTATGACAAGACATGGTGCCAGACCCCCCGTTCCAGGCCTACGTATCAATCGCTACCGTCAGCTTGATCTTAGACAGGGATTCAGGGTTATATTCAAGAGTTTGCGTAAAAAGGAAGCATCGATGCCCAAACCATCTCGATCCCCATCCATCACCTTGTACTCTAAAGGCCGCATGCCTGCGGTCTTAATCAGACCGCTTCCGTCTTCCGGATTCATGACCCATGGTATGAAGGTAGCCTGATATCCAGTCATGGCGGAGAGGATCGTCGGAAAAACACGACATAGGCGATGACAGCGAACAATGCACAGTGGGTCCAGGCAACCGTGAGCCTTTCATTCCTAAAAGCGGGGGTGGGAGGACGCGATGTAGAAGGCCTGACAATCTCCCAGAGAGACCTCGCACCGAGGCCGGAAAAAGCAAGACAAGAGTACAGCGGAATTCTCAAGGGCTGCTGTTCCATAAGGCAAGTTCAAGAGCGGCGAACCACAGGGTAGACGGCAAGAATAAGCAACGTTTGCCCCATCCTAGCTACGATAAGGTCCCACGCGAGATCTGCCTTAGGTAAGTCAATGCAAATTACAGAACGTCATATTGAGTACTTACCGATACTTTTGGCCGGTGCGAAAGTAAACTCTCCCAAAGGACAGAGTGATAGAGAGGAGTAGCGAAGGATCGAGGATAAGCCAGCTCGTGTCATGCCACTCGAAATTGTCCCACCCAACGAAGAATGGCACCGCCGGAGCACCGTTGGCGAGGCAAATTACAGGAATGATGGAGTCAGATAGGTTGCTATTCTGTACCAGGAAATACGCACCGCTGCATATTGTCATGGGCAAACCGAAAGCAGCGGCGAAAAGAGTATCGATAGACACAAGGGTAGAGGCTGCAAAACTTCACGCACCAGCGCCTTCTTCAGTCGTTGTCCTAGGACTTCAATCGTGGTAGCGTAAGAGCCTGGAGGAGTTGATCTTGTTGAGACCGAAGAACAAAGGTATAAAGGCGCGGACGCGACGTTGCTGTTACTCACGGCTGCTGGTGTCGCTGGCGAGGCATTTGTCGTCCTTTATAAATTAATTGCAGAGCGCTTAATCATCGTGCTCGCTTGTTTGAGGTTGGTCAACGGCCATTCTCGCTTTCGATGTCAGGGGCATTGTATGCAAGCACTCAGCCAACCCACGAGTAGAGAGATTGCTTGTTGAATGTTGGCCCCCAAGACCGCTTATCGGTGCCGCCCTCGAGCGCCACGTTCTTGGCGGGAGTGTTGCACCAGCACGCGTGCCATGTTTGCCGCGGGACATTAGGTGACGATGTGACTCGGAGAACAGTTGCAGTGAGGTCGGGCTAAAGTCAAATTGGGGCTACCACCTCCCAGCGGCGGCGTACATGATAAGCTTCTGAAAAGAGCGTACAAAATGTTTGGGTGGTTGACAGCATTGGGAACGTGCCAATAAACACTACCTTATGAAAGCACTGTACCTTCTTGTAACGGTCGTATGATGGTACGCAGGGATGAGGAGCTCAGAGCTGCTTGGAAGACGGAGAACGGGGAAGGTACACGAGAGATTTGTAACGCAAGTGCGCAATCCCGGGGTAGCTAGCTGCCTATGAGCAATCCTGGTGACTACACATTCGCACGTATAGATATTGTACAAAAAGGGGAGCATTATTCTGGAACTACGTTTACGATCACATCCTTACGCTATCACTTCAACGCGCGTCATAGCCTCACATAGCTCCTAAGAGCGGCTAAAGGTGGCTAAGCTCGACGAGAACAAACACCACAATCGCTACCATGGCGTAGGCAAGAATGCCCAATGGTGTCGCAACGGCCAGCGCTCTGAACTTGTCCTGCTTTCTCATCTCCACCACACGCCCTCTGGTATGAGCCCTCATCCTCCCGTCAAACCCTCCGAGCCCAAACACCAAAGCGGAGATTGGAAACCAGGCAGTCATAGAGAGGTAGCGCTCAGAGATTCGCTTCTGCATAACGTGTAGGTCGGGAGCACCCGCAGCGGCTCGAGCAATAAGTCTTGGCTCCATATTGGCGTGAGAGGGCATGTCCAAGGCATTATGCTGGCCACAGACAGGTGTATCCATGGTCCAGTTCTGCTCGCGGTCCTGAAGCTCAGCGTCGGTAAGGCGACGGTTTGGCAGGTGCGAGGTAAGTGTGCTGTCCTGGGCTTCGAGCGCATTTGCGCTGTCTGCATTGTTGCCTAAGATGAAAGGTATCGGAGCTTTCTGGCCGCTCATAGCAGGGCAGGCTCTGATGCGCTGCATCTCGACAGCAATGTGGTCTCGGTGAAGGTCCGCAGAGCCATTAGTATTCGGCTGTGGGAGTGGTGAAGCCTCGAACATACCGTACGGCGAGCTTGGAGTATTCGGTAGCTCACCGTGCACTGTTTCAAAAGCATTCGCGGTCTCGCTATAAGCGAGGCGGGTTGAAGTTGGCGAAGTACGAAAATGGTCATCCATGATGAAGCGGTGCTCCGAATGCAAGGACGGCGTCTGCTTGCCGAATAAACCGCGCGTAGAGGAGCTGAAGCTTGGAGCCTGGCGAAGGCCGAGCTTGCTCATAATGCTCCGAAACCTCTGGTCTGGCTCGTAGGCGCGCTGCTTGCCCTTCTTGCGATCAGACATGGGCTCGCGCTCGCGCATCCCTTTCCCGATCTCGTCGGCGGCATTTTGAACAACAGCACGGTGTTGCAGTCTGAGCTGCTTAAGCTCAACTTCGTCGCGATACTGCTGGAGCTGCGCGTCGGGGGTAATACCCAAGCCACGGAGATCGGTAAGCTGGCTTTGCATAAGGGAAGCCGTGATCAACTCCGTGGCGCACCTTTTGACACAGTTGTTCGTCGGTTCGCCTTTCACTCGCTGAGCACGCGACGTGTGCAGCTGGTACTCTGGGCTTTCATACTGTCGGTCGATCTGAACGGCCCGCCCTGTGCGCACAGTACCAAGAGACGGCAGACTTTGCAACGGTAGCTGCCCAATGTCCTGCTTATAAGCGCTCCCTGCATCACTGGTGTCGGCGTGGCTGACGAAGCTGTCACGATTCCGATCGTCCTGTATGTCGGAGGGTCCGTCATCGTCAGCAATATCTTCCCAGTTCGCCCCAGCCGAGGCGACGGTATCGAAAGACACGGGACGAGTGTGTGGCAATCCAACTGCACTGGTCACAGGCCGCGCCCGACTGTTCTCCATATCGACATTGGACCACGACTGCGGTATGCTGCTGTCAACATGGCGAGGACTGTTGTAAGATCTCGTCGTGACTGGTCCTAGCGTTCGATCGAGCTTTCTCGCCGCGGTAGCCACCCATTGTGTCAAGGGTCTTACTGTCATGCTGCTCGGAACGGCCTCCGCTTGCTTTGCGCCACTGACGGAGCCTTTGACTGCTCCGGGCGGCGTCAGCTTTAGCAGTTCGTCCGTCGGGCCATAAGTCTGATCGCTTGTCGGCGACTCGGTAACTTCAGTCAAGTACGGCAGAAGATATCTCGGCTGTGGTGCTGATTGCTTTGAAGGCTTCTGGATTCCCTGCTCGTTCTGGCTTTTAAAGCTTTGGTTGCGTAAGCTTTCGAAGTCGTGGGCTGGCGAGGACTCTGAGCGGTTCAGGATGTACGTATCGGCGCCCATCAGCAGCGATGAGTCACTGATGCTCTTGTGAATAGCATGCTCATGGAGAGCATGCGATGGGTGCTGATAGCCGTACTGATCCACAATCTCATCTATCGTGGTGTCTCTGTCTAGTGGGAAGGCACGCCTGTTGAAAGCAACTCGTAAGTGCGCTCAATATACGGAAAGGGGAGTCGCGGGAGGACGACGGTACATACGCCTCAGCATCTGCACCTTCATCATACACCGACGGCTCGCCACTTCCGGCTCGCTCGGTCGCGCTTTCGGGATGCTGATAGCGACGCACAACCTCGATGGGGTCTGTAAAGCGCTGCCGCACTTCAACTGCATCATCATCACTGACCGAGAGGTCGAATGGGTTGCTGATTTTACTGCGTGTGCTGTATGGATACGCAGAGCTCGTGCGCTGGCTCGAGTCTTTAATACTGGAGTCTTCGCGCGGAAGATTGGCCGCGATGATGGCTTCACGCTGATTCACTGGATGGGTTCGGCGCGAAGCTTCTCGTGCAAGTAATACGCTGCGTCTTTCTGCAGATGGCTCGTAGTCGTGAGGAGAAGTCGTTGCACTCGGCATGGTGGGGATGCCCATAATGCCAAATCTTGCACTTTCCGGGTCGGCATACCGCCTTACGCGCCTCGAACTGCTCAGACTGGCGCTCAAAGATGGCGAGGATGGCTCGCCTGTAAGATTGTCATACGACATGTCGGCGTCTTCAAGGAAATAAGTGTCAAGTAAGCCGTCAATTTCGCCTGGTGTTTCGATGTCGTGCTTTCCCTGCTTCGCGGTTAGCAGAACGAAGCACATGCAGACCTGCCGTACCTACAACCAGCAGTGATGCGTGAGGATTGACCAGATCAAATGAAGCGCCTCGGTAATGCAGCGTAGCCGGACTGGTCGGCGGAGTTGGCTCGTTGGAATGTCCTGCTGGCAAACGTAAGTTAAGTGCAGCCATAAACGTTCGTGAGTGACATACCAAAGGTGTCCGTCCAGTTATAGTTTGGCGGGATTGGGAATCTGTATTTGGAGAGGGTGTAGGTTGACTCTCGACTTGATACCTTATCCTCGCCTGATGAAGGTTCGGCGCTGCCGCTCGAACTTTGCGCAAGACCTGCAAATCTCACTGAACGACCACCGATTTTCCTGTTAGTGTTGCCGCTTTCAGCGGCCCAAACGGGACCGTTGCCGCAACCGCCACCCTCCGCTTGGTTTCCCGCTGCTCGTAGCTCTGGATCACTCGCTGCAGGCCTTGACCCAAGGTCATACGAACCAGTGTCAATCACCGCCGCGTAAACACACCACTGCTGCTCCGCCTGCCTGGGAAGCCGCTTAGACGGTTTCAATGCAAGAAACTTACGTTTTGTTGTGATCCCGCTACGCTGAGAGGGCGGGCCTTGTCCTGCGACACCGCAAGGCTGCGGAGAGTGTGCTGGTGTTGAATGTAGCGTGGAGATCGTTGATGAGAGCGAAGGTGATGAGAGCGATCTTTGTTGGTGCGGTGATTGTGGTGGAAAAGCTGGAAGAAGTGAAGGCCGGAGATATGCCGCCGGTAAGGGCGCTAGCGTGGGAGTCGGTCCCGTGACGTAACGGTCAACAAACAGGTCACTGTATGCTGCACTGGTAAGATCCTTAGTCGAAGCCTTCCGCCTCAGAGGAGGCGATGCACTTCTCCAAGTCCACAAAGTGGACGACGGCGATGTAATAGGATCTCCGTGGTGGTCTGCAGAACTAGGCGTGGCAGGTGGGCTTAGCTGGTCCAAGGGCCTCGAGTAGTTGGGCGGAGACCGCTGTGTAATAACGTTAAAACGGTATTGCCTTTCGAAGAGGGGCATGTTCCTGGCATCCATTCTTGCGCGACAACCAGTACTCTGCTCCTTTAACTTGACGAGCTTGTCTACGATGAAGCAACAGGGCGTGCGCTCTTGCGTTCCACCTGATCGCAAAAGGTACACACTGTGCTGTCCTCTCTGAGCCGGCGGAGTCAGACTGCTAGACAGGCGAGTGAAGATCCAACCTGGTGAGGATGTACGGTAAGCCTACTATTCACTGCCAATATTGTCAAACTTCAACGTTCTGCCAGATGCATATCGCTCTGCCCGAGCCGGACGCACCACGTAATGCTGGCCAGCCGAGGAGGGTCGTCCTGATGCCAGTAGCGTCAAATCTGAAGCCGAACACAGTCTCCTACAGGTCGGCTATGCGCACCCTCACACTCTTAACATTTTTTGCCGCAGCGCTGAGAAGTGCTTTAGGACTGTCCATCTCGGTCTCTGTATGCTCGCTCTCATCACGATGGCCGGCGAACGCACAGTAAGTGAACAGCAAGATCTATCTAGACCTTGTTCGCGGAAAGAAAGGACTCGACTCGCAGTACTCGTGGCAGGGAGGACAGGGTAAGAAGGCATGTGGTCGGGCCAGCAGCTGTAAGCAGCTTCGAACCACGTCGAACAACTCACGCTTGCAAAAGCTTTCACCAGCGTGACAGCCATATCTGGGAGGTCTCCGCTTCGCTCAGGGTTGCTAATGGGGCACACTTGTGCGATGTGTGCGCAGAAAGAACGATGTCGTTCAGGCGATTGGCCCATGAGCCCGTTGCCGGACGTTCCCGTCTGAGACAGAGGTTAAACCTCCAGCGAATCAACGACTTCTTTCCTAATAGTTTCTACCTCTGGACCGCGTACAGTATTACCAAAGTGGATTCATGATGCCGTATTTCGTTCGTAAGCCGAGAGAGGCTATGCAAGTCATCTGTGGCTGCATCGGCATGGGACTGTATACCGGTCGCTCCAATCAGCATTCAATGCTCGAATTTCACCAAGTGGCGCGCTTTGACAAGAGCAGATATCATACAATGTCGAACGGATAATCTGGCCCGATAGCGTGTTTGGCATGTGCAGAATGACGAGATATCCAGTTGCGAGGTCCGTCACCAGATGACATGATCCTGGTCATAGTCAATTCGGCGCACAATAACATGCGAGGTAAGGTTCACACAGATGGATGGACTCTTGCAACGGATATGTTAGATTACACTCCCGTTGCCTTCATGTGGTAAGCGCTATTGATCCCTCTGACGATGCCGAATGACACGCCCGCCGCCGCTGCACCCACCAAGAACGTCTGCGCCGCACTGACTACGGCGTCTTTCGAACGGCAACCGGTCGCTACTGCCTTGACGTAACCGAAAGTAAGCAGCACAAATGTGGTGACGCCAATGGACGTGAACAAAGCATGGTTGACCGTCTTGAAGGCGAAGTATGGAATCATTGGAAGAAGGCCACCTAGAGATCCTGTTAGTGTCAATCGCACCTACACTCAAACCGGCAAGGAGCAGCCTCCTTCAGAACGCAAGCAACACTCACCGAGTAAGTAAGACACGCCCATCACGAGACCTTCGACACAAGCCATCTTCAAGCCAGGTTTCTGCAGTTTGAGCTCGAAATCCATCATGAATTGAACCCACATGTCTTCGTTGGCTTTCAGGCCGTCAACCACACCGCTCGCGTCGGCCTTGCTGATTCCGTATTTCTCGAAGATCTCGTAGATCTCTTCTTCCTCTGCCACTGGCTTCTCAAGGACTTCTTGCCTCTCCCGACGTTCTTCGACCTCGTAATGCTTCTTCTCGGTCACTGCTGCGAGGTACGCACCCAAGCCCATTGAGATTGAGCCTGCAAACAGCTCGGCGAGGCCACCGATGATGACGAGCTTGGAAGAGCCCAGAGACGATAGACCCGCGGTGAGTGCGAAGGGAACAGTAAGTCCGTCGGCAAAACCAATGATAGCGTCTCTGACGAGCTCGCCGTGCTTGGCATGGTGCTCGGTATGACCATCTCGCGCTGATTGATGGGCCATTTCAGGCTTTTCTCTACGGTGTCAAACAGATCAGGCTGCAGGTATTTTCGAATGTCATAGAACGGCCCTGCGCCAGAAGAGGAGGGGGAGAAGCAACCGCAAACCGTGTTCTCGCGAGTGTCGCTGACGGGATCTTAAACCATCGATGGATCAGATTTCGAACAGGGATAGGAGCGCACCCGTCCCGACATCACCTATCACAGTTGTAGGAGCCATGTGGTCACTCAGAGTCACGAATGCATCATCAATCCTGCACTTTGTGTTGCTTGTGAATAGCTAATGGCCCAATATCGTTACCGTGGAAGGCGGTGGGATACCCGTTAGCAACGGGCCTACAGCACTTGCAAGTAACGGGTGTTACAGTCTCAGTCGTATCACTGAGGTCACGGAGTATTACACTCACACAAGACAGTTGAGAGGTAATTGGTCGGGCAAAGGGTGCCACGTGAAGGAGCAAACAAGGCAGAAAATGCACACAGTGTGGACGAAAGCATGAAAAGGGACGCGGCTATTGCGGCCAAGCGGCCACCGCGTGCTCGGCCGCTTGCAACCATCTTCTGCTACTATCACCTTGTCCAACCCCATGTCTACTCCAAATTGACTTGTAGGGAGGCTAGGGTAATGCACACCAAGTTGACGCAATGGTAGTGTGTTCTTGCTTCCACGTGCTTGCTTCGCTATGATGCTCAACGCTGTCTTCTACGCACGCTTCCACCCCGAGCGAGGACCGTGTGTCGTTCACCAGCAGCCGGCCGACAGCATTGTAACGGCTGATATTTCGAAGCGGACACTCATCAGCTTTAGTGACATATCTGCCTACATCATTCCGCCGTACGGGTTGTGTAACCGCTCCCTGTCCATCTCTACGAACGGATACCGTGTGCTAGGCTTCCCAATCAGCTTGGAAGATTTCAAATATGAGCGGAACAGATTCACCTTCAGTATTTGCTTCGTGCTACGAGAAGATACTGACGTACGGCTTTGGACATCAGTCGTTGCGAAGACAGCGGCTTTCTTCAGATCGATGGAGGAAGAAGACGGCTTGCTTCAAGCGGAAGAGAGACTGTCCAATCTTATATGGGCTGGCGACAAAGGCTACCCTGCCCCTAACGTTGGTGTAGTATACTCACTCTTAGAAGATCTTATCGAAGATCTGAATGCATATGCAGAGACCTGCATTCGCATCAACGACGTTCATGTTCTCAACCTGCGCCTTACCAAACCGCACCCGGCGGTTGCAGATGTCAAATCATGGGATGTACCCCTACTAGTCCGACCGCTTCCAGACCAAAAGCACTGGACATGGGACCTCACTTTAGCTCGCATTCTTCCGCACGTCGATGGTATCAAGCACATTCAACGGATCGCAGATATCCTGGATGTCGAGCTGAAGCTGGTCAAGCGCGCAGTCAAAAATCTCATATACCACGAACGCGCCATGCTACTGGACATCTTCCACTTTCAAGCCATTTACATGCCGACAGCCAATTTCGCCCGGTTTGTGCAGGATGAGGAGATGCTTGAAGAGTGCCGTATGTATGTGAACATTGACTCTCCTGTGGCCGGGCACATGAGCTCTGTGCCAACGCCCGAGACTCAAGATCATGCGAAGAATGCACTCATCAGCCTCTACACATCCTTACTCCCCGGCTTAACCCTGCAAAACTTCGTCCTGGCTAATGAGCACGAGTTGGCTACCATTGACATTCGCCGCTTTATCACCTTTGGCGTGATCCAAGGCTTCCTCCGCCGGATACACAAGTATGCTCTTGCCTTCGACTCAACCTCACCGTCTACGCAAATGCTCGGCACGACAGAGTCTTCACCCAGCAAAAGCAAGCCAAGATCGAATGAAGATGCGCTTCGCGACTTCGAAAGGGCGTGGAAGAACGCTGCGCTCAGCAGCGGTTGGTCCACGCCTCCCATGAAGCCTCCCTCACTAGCAATCGGGTCGGCTCACAGCGAGCGAAGCCAAGAAGAAAGGTGCAGTGAAGAGGATGAACGCTTGAGATGGTATATCGACGGCACGCATTGCCTGGATGAGGTTTGTATGGCCATGAAGATGTCACAAACTAAGCTTGTTGAGAGACTTCGGGGAGGAAACTTCGGCGAGGTCATCTTTGTGAACAAGTGACGGTGAATTTTAGGCACCGTGAGACTTTGGCTGTTGCAGCTCCTGATCGACGCGATACAGTAGACTCGCAGCTCCCATGTCATCTGGGCATGATGGTATAGGTGGACCACCAGCAACGAGTCACGGCTTCGCTCCCTGGACAGCTTGTTCCAGCTAGATTGCTCAGTGCTCCTCCGAACATCATAGTTGTCAAGGGGAACGATACACCAACCAGATCTAGACTTGCTCGATGCAAAACTGTGCAGTGTCGCAGAGATATTGAAACGCAGGAGTTGACGCTTGCCTGAACTGCCAGCCGAGCTTCGCCGTTGCATTTAAGAGTACCTCTGCACCATCGACGTCGCGTTCGGGAAGCTGAAAGCGGTTGTGGCAAACCCTGATCATCTGCTTCTAACCAAGATGGGGGCAAAACGCCGACTCTATATGGTATAATTGGAAGCGGCTGCATCAGGTGCTCGACTGGGCACGGAAGGTTGCTTAGAGGGTATCATGACATAGTGACCTAGAACTTCCATACAGCGCCAGACAAAACTCAGTTTCGTGACCTGAAAGCGCACAGATGTCTCTGCGAAACAGTTGCTCAATCAATCGTCATCCGCGTCGGCATATGGCCCAAAGGATGTGCCGGGCTGTCAAAGCTGTCCGGCCCATATGTCGCATATTTCCCATCCACCGCCTCCTCCGAACTTGGGGCGGCTCTCTTCCGAATGTGCGGCCCAAGTCCCTTGTTGAAGTTTCGCATGCATATGAATGCTATCACGATGGTAACGATTAACAGCAGTAGCGTGAGTACAGCGAAAGTCGTCAGACTCCTCCTCGCGGGCATGTACTCTAGTTGTCGCGAGGCAGAGGACGCGTACATGCGCACCAGCTTGAAGACAAAGTAAGCTGCTGCGGCAAAGTAGACGATGATGATGCAAGTCTGGCCAGCATATGATTCGCGGCGGGTGAAGAATGCCGCGAGGAAGAGGAGTGCGACTGTGATGGGGATAGCGGCCACGGTAAGCCAGAATTCGGCTGCGGTGGTGCCTTCAACCACAACGAGGAATTGGATGGTGAAGCCGAGGAAGAAGAAAAAGTCGAACTTGAGCAGGGCAATGTAGATCTGATTATTGCACAACGTCAGCGAAGGGGCAGGCACTGAGCAGATAGTAAAGACTTACCTGATACGTGCGGTAGCGCCGCGTCAGTGCTAAGTCGGCGGAGATTTGCTGGTAGATTGTCCAGGCAAATTCTCGGTAGAGCTTCCATGCTACACCGCTGAGCAATACAGTACCGAGTGCGATGATACATGGTCCTGCGATCAGGTAGGGTCGCAGAGCTTCGTATGTACCGGCGTAGATAAGGTTCCGTGATTGTAATACGCCGATCGCGGTGTCGACTTGGTTCATCTCCACGGAAGCGTAGATCAACATGCCGACGTTGTATATGCAGACTCCAATGACCTGGATAGTGTTCATAAGCCGGAGAGCATCCCAGACTAGAACAAGCTGATACACGAAGCCGAAAATGAAGATGGCCAGGTATGTCGGAATGGTCAGTGTCTGCGACGGCGGAGGATCTAACTCCCGCGAACTGTCGGTAACGCTCGACTCGAACTTGGCAAAGACGTACGCCTCCAATGCCGAGCTGATCAGGCATTGGAAGAGCGCAATGAGCATGAAGCTCCATGTCCACTTCGACCCGGGCATGTACATCTTGCTATCTCGTCTGCTATCCCGTCTTCGATTTGCGCCCAACGTTGGCGTCGCTAGTAAGCCGTTGCGGTCGGGGTACCCTCGGAAGTCTGCGCGCTCATATTGCGACCCTGATGGGCCGCTGAAGGAGTTGCCAGACAGTGGGTGGTAGGTGGGCTCGCCGCCGCCCAGCAGCGGGCTGCGCGCCTTGTGTGCCGTCTTGAAAGCGGTGACTGAGTCCTCCCGAGGAGACTCAGGCTCCGGTCCACCACAGCGTGGTTAGAACAATGTCGCTGACGGGCCGTTCTTCTGTATATGCTGCGCACTGCTGCTGTCGCTCGACTGTGTTGGCCTCGTCGTTGGGCTTGTGGTACAATAAAAGGAGGTCGCAGCGAATGCGCCCAAGGGGCCAGTGCGGTGCGTGCAGATGGGGGTGCTGCCTCGCGTTTCAGCCTCTAGTGTTCTCGGCGGGGTTACGCTGTGGGAAGCGGAGGTGCGATGGTGATGGTATGATCGCTACAAAGAATGCGGGATGGCCAGAGATATATTATTGCGGCTCGGGAGGCTAGTGATCCAAGATATAACGTCAGTGGTGTACTGTGCAGAGGCTAATACGAGAATGGGTGGCCAGTGAGGCTGTGAGCTGCGATGCGGCTTGTGCTGCCTCAGCCAAGCCCAACATCGCCAATAGGCGCAGACACCCGCGGAACGTCTCTACTCTATTTTGGCGCGAAGCACAATTTCAACACTCCATGCCAGATGGCGGCAACACTGGTCCCCTGCCACTCCTCATAGAGGAGGGTGAGGGTGGGGCGACCTCAGCAGCACACCATTCTCGCAATGGAGCTCGTTTCTATCTCCACTCTAAGGCAGCCCGCTGGAATGAGCGGGCGTCCGCATGCTTGTGTACGGTTATGGACAGCTCTGAACCCCTCTTACTGGCACCAACGGTCGAGAAGGTCGTTACTGTGTATAGATCAACGTTGTCGTCTCGAGCATTCAATCACTATATCATGCAACCGCCAGACACCCTGAAGCCACTGATAAGCGCATACCAGTATACTATGAACCCGAGTCCAGCGCCACTATTTTAACCCCAATGCTCAATCTCGAAGGGGTATCCCGTATTAAAAGTAACATTACCAGCCAGTCCATCAGATTCCCAAAACCCAGATACGCCGAACCTCGACTTAAAGGCCGCAGATTTTGTCTAAACCGCCCGGTACGTGTGGTCCGGCCACGGCATCCCAAACCCAGACGTCCTATGATGCATCTCCGATCTCGCGGACGCTGGCGGCAGCGGCGAGTAGCCCGGCGGCGCATCGCTCGGCAGTTCAGCGCTTTCGATAGGAGCCTGACTACCGATCCTGCTCCGGCCCACGAAGCCTTCCGACGGCGCTCTGATGGTCCTTGGGGAGAAGAAGTCCGACGCATCGTCCGCGTCTACTTCCGCCTCATCGGCACCCGAGTCTGGCGAAGACTCGCGTCGGTTTCGGGACATATCGTCCCATTGGTTCGCTTCCACAGAGATCTGGATGGGTATTTTGAGCTCCATGCTCGGTGCGAGACCGGCAGTGTGCACGCCCAATTCGAGCTTCAGCTGGTAGATACGGCTGATCAAGCAGGAATGGAAGGTGGGTACGAAAGCCTTGGTGGTGGGGAGTTCGATAGGCACGAGAAGGCGTGCTGTGTAATAGTCTTTGCCCTTGTAGTTGTCACTTGGTGCTGGCGTGCCACCCGTGCCAACAGAGGTGGTGGAGCAGGCGGAGTCGCGACGCTCTGGTGCCGGCTTCGAAGGCGCACATTTCGTCCACTCTACATTGGCCATGCACCGGGCTGACAGGCCGATCTGCTCGGTATGCAAGCCCTGCGATAGATCGTGCATTGCCGCATGCTTGCTCGGAAAGTCCTTCCTTGCGGTGCTGGAGAAGAAGGTAGCCGCTTTAAGCTTGCTGACCAGGCTGCCCAGCTTCGGAGGTGGTGCGTTTGCGTCAGAAGGATCGTATCGAAGCATCACCGTCGCCATGACGCTGGCGCTCTGGCTAGAGCTCAAGCGGAGCGATTGTGGCTGCGCAGCCTCCATTATCAATGTGCCAAGCTTGCCTTTGAGCACGCTCTTCTTGACTGACTTCTCTCTCCTCATGACATAATCACTCTCTGCGTCGCCGACCGCGAGCGGTGGATGCTCCTCCGTGGCAGGTATTACTCGCAGTCTGCGTGCTTTTGAAGCCAGTGATGCCTTGGTAACCTCGTCGCCTTGCATCTTCGTCTTCGAAATTTTGGCGAAGATTCCGTACCGAACGCTTGCCATTTCCGGCGCCATATCATCCGCATATTGCTGAGACTTGTCAAGATCTTTATCACCAAAACTTGGAGGCAGCTGCAAATGTGCGTCTCGTATCATGGGACTTTTGACAGTATGCTGGCAAATCCGTAGCAATAAGTGTGGGGGGATCACGAAGATGAACGGAAAGTCGTACGTCTGGCCTGCTCTAAGCATGCCACCCTCGGGGTAGTGCTCCTGCAAGCCGGGCTGTGTGAGCTTCAAGAACTGGTGGAACGCTTCTGCACGTCCTGACACTGCTGCTGCAGAAGTCAGACGTTCCACGAACGTTCGTGCTGTTCCAACGAAGTCGATTTCGACATCATCGAAGGCCGTATCGACTGGTGCAGTTACTGCTACAACACCTTCGATTCGGTCCAGGGTGCTGTACGTCTTCTTGCGTGTCGAAAGGTTGATCTTGATCTCCGGTTTCGGAGCTTGCACAAGGTTACGCAGCTTGTTGATGCTGTCACCATTTGGTAGTGGTGTCCGTGACATCTCGTCGGCAGCCTCCTTCAAGAGATCGTTGTCAGTTTGGATGACAATGATATCGAAGTGAGCGACCCTCCAAGCGGTATCGCAGAGGTGGCTGCCGGTGTCCCTACTAATATAATCTATGCAGGTTGTCGACCTTGCGCAGAACAGAGAAGTCTTCCGTGAACCGAAGGTATGAGCAGGGAATGAGAATACTGGTGAACGCAGAGGAGAAGCGAGACCTTACCATTAGATCAGCACAGCCATTCCTGCGAGCGGTGAGAGCTTTTAATTGCTCAATTTTCCTTCTGAGCCGAAGGTGTGTACACACGCCCTTCCAGGATTTGACTCACGCGGCGATCACAGTCAATCGATACCCCAGATGCAGCCACGGACGCCTCGTGAGTCCAATGCATTTCGTGCCAGCCAATCACAAACCATCATTGGCCCGTTAGCGTGTAAGTCGCAAAGCTTTTGTGGCGATCATAGGGCGTGAACTCCGTGCTCAACATCACATTGGCCGTCCTGCTTACTGAGCAGACACTGACGGTGATTCCTCAGCAGCATCCGCTTATCTCAAGCGTCTCACTATCACTTTGACCATAGGATTTTCAGACGTCATCGAAGCGCTTCAAAGGAAAACAATGTTTTCGATGGAATCTGTTGGGGCGTGTTCTGTAAGCGTAAGGCGCCCGTAGTGAGAACCCTTATGTGTGCGATGTCCTCTAAAGGTATGCAAACCCAGGCTCCGACAGCTAATAGTAGGTACTGGCGGCGAGGCGGGTGTGATGACACACACATGACCGTATATGTGAGGTCGACACGAGCGCCGCACTTCGCGTGATCGAAAATTCTGTTATTGGAGCTCCACGTGGGCCGCTAGAGGCACATATCCGGGCATGCAGTGCACCTCAGCCAGGTAAGCACCAACCCGAGGTGCAATAATGACTGGATGCCCAAACTTTGAAGGCTACTTACGGTTACGCAAGGCTTGAGACGACCGTGAGGGATTAAAGGGCGGAATCGCTGGCCAACATGGGCCGGTGTTCGCGTGCCGACTCGGGGTTCGCCGATGTCGGCATCGAAAGGAATAACCCCAGGTCATCATTCCGTGAGACCAACGTTCCATCGCCTCCAGAGCCCTACATTCTACGTTACTTGGCAGGCTGCCCTTGCGTTGCATAAGCTGTTGTCGATGTTCAGTGCTTACCATAGCTGAAGGTCTTTCTGGCCTCTCAGACTCATGCTGACTTGCCTAGAGGACGACTTACGATATCATGCTACCAAAATGTTTTGGAAAGGCCGGACAATAACAAACGGACCCTTGGCGAGTACGAATCGTGACTGAAGCGTCGTAGTCGACCCCGAGTAGCATCGGCCAATGTTCAGGTCAACTTCAAGGCTGGAGCGAACCAACCACTTCCTGTCAGTGTCTTTAGCTCTGTAGCCGGCTATAGTATCGTTTCTCGTATTATTAACGTGGATCGATATCTGCGGCCCATCTGAAAGGCGGCAAACAGGTAATGTTAATTCTGGACAGTCGGTAGCGTAAAGAGTCGACGGCGCATGCAGCTCGCTCCTGTTCGTGGGGTTGCTACACCTGCATAGCGGCGCGTGGTCCAGTACCAAAGGCATACGTGCAGATGCGGTGTAGAGGGGATAACGGCACTGGGCATGGAAACGCATACGACGGCCTTGTTGTTAACGCCAGCATGCAGCGGTAGCAGTCGTCTCGCTTTGATGACCGTTTTAAAAACAGCCATAACCGTACCAAAGGCACTCTCACTCGCTATGCACTAATAACGCCGCATAACTGAACGCCCACCCAGAAGACAGCCGCGCGATGCTGCAATGCCATGCTAATACTACACAACGTTCGTGAAAGATCGATTTATTTGCTGCGACCTTTTCCTTTCTTTGGTGGCGCCGAGGACGTAATCTTGGATGTTTGCATCAGCTCGCCGATGTATCTGCGACGTGTCAGTGTCGTCACGCACGCCAGTTTCGCTTGCGCTTGACTTACGACTGCAAGAATTTGTTGCCGCCCTCCAGCTTTTCGTGCTCGCTCTTGACTTCCTCGACCCGGTCAACGATCGCTTGCAGGCTCGTCTGCAACACTTTGGCCTGCTCGATCAAGTCTTTTCGCGCTGCCTCGCCCAATTGATCGACTTCTGCGCTGTTTCTTCTTGGTGACATCGAGCGCACGTCACCTTCCTCGATATCCTGGTCTACCACGACATTATGTGCATCCTCGCGCGACACGATCATCGAACCGCTGCTTTTGCGGCTTCCCATCTTAGGCCTCGTAAAGTGCAGAGTTTCATCGTCGCTCGCCAGGGCGCTGGAGTCCACAGACGGCGCTGGTGAGTGTAACGGCGGTGATGGAGCAGATGTATGATGTGAAGGTACAGCGATCGCAGGTATGGTGTTCGCCTCTAAGCTCATGGCCTGCTGATTCCTCTCTCGCAATGCTCATGAGCAGAGACGTAAGTCCGCTGAACTGCCGTGTTATTGGCACAATAGACGCAAATGCCGAGACTGGCCGTGCGTTCACGATTGCATTCGGCTGCAGCAGAAGGCTCCGTTGCAAGGTGAGGATGTCTCTAAAGGTATACAAGCGGAGCGAGAGGCTCCTACCATATATTGATTGGACTACTGCATGAAGTACACCCATCAATAGAGTATGAAAGCTACGGCCAGGTAATCCTGCGAAAGCCGCCTGTCAGGTGCGTTGGTGTGGTTGCACCACGAGGAGCTCACACCTGCTTCAGCTTAGCCCTGCTTGTTAGCGTGCAGGTGTTGCGGATAGTGGACCCTTTGATCGCCCACATTCTGACGATGGTGGCGCCAACAAGCTTATTGTTTGGCTTCCGCCCTACCGCTGTAGGGAGGGTGGAATGTGCTCAGTTGCAGTAAGTTTACCTGTATAGTGCTTCTCCCTGTAATCCTATCCACTCCAGCCCTTCGTTGTTGCAGCTTTACATGCGCCAGGCACGATCAGAAGCTTGGAGGTCAGAGTTACGGCAGGCTTTACAAAACGCTCAGTACTAGCAGAGAACATCGACAGAAGCTTGGTTTTCTGCGGACCCGGCTGCCGATCCGGATGAGCTACCCTGTCCGTCCATTGTTGGCATGTACTTTTGCGGATCACAATGTTACATGGATGGCGATTGCCTCGAGTTCATCAGGAACGGCGAGTCTGTGTGAAGCTTGTTCTCGCATCTTCACCGGAGAAACGGAAGGCTGCAACACCTTCCGACCTCTGGCGCGCCGATGTCTCCACCGCCTGTCGACTCGATTCGGGCCCTGGCCAAATATCCAATTATGCCAAGGTGGCATACTGTCCTTTGGAGTCGGTTGCGCGCTGCTCTATTGAAGAGTCTCCTCACTTTGCAACGCTTTATGCCCTGGCACCCAAGGTTTTCGAAGCCGCATGCGAGCCATTGTGATATTCCTACAGTCCCAGGCTACAAGTCTTGTAACAATCACCAACGAACAGCAGTCCTCTCATGCGTGACATTGATCTCGACCGCTGACATGAACGTGTACAAGAAGTACTGTTGAAAGCAGACGCACTGACCATGTTGGCGTCCTATTGTGATCTACCAGCTCAACAACACAACCCGAGAATAACACGTTGGAGAAATCAACATACTTCTGCTAGCCCGGTGTTTGATGGCACAGTCAAGAGATATGAAGGTTCTGAGATGGTATGGAAGGCTTTCTCGCAAGCTCGCAAAGCCGAAGCCAATCTTTTTGGGCAACCGTGAACTCAAAGCAGCGCTGAAGGAGTGACAATAAAGCAAGGTCCATCTCACCCACCGACAATCTTCTGGAACCTCCAATCACAAGGATGTACGATCTGGGCCACATCAGTTGACCGCTGCCGTCCACTTGCTAACCGTCTGTTACAAAGAAGCACCGGTCAGCATCATTCGACGATGGGTGAGTTCATCCTTCTTAGCAGACATACAAACGTAGCTGAGCCTGTGGAAGTGAAGGGTTCCGTGCCGAATTGAAGGTCTATAGCAGCGTCAGTATTTCGAAGGGAACTGATGGTGTTCAGATCGACTAACCAATCAGGTATTGACTGCTTGCCGGGAATCCTTGGCTATTGGTAAGATAGGTGAAGAACGGCTTGATGTCACCGCTGAAGGAAGTTATTGGGCTCGACGCCACGAAGCTGTACGTCTTTTGCGAGCTGCCACCGAACCAGACCGCCCAAGACGTGCCTAAAATTTCATGGGTGGCAGGGTCAGCCATGGTCAGACAACCGCGAAGGGAACTACGTATCGCACTACGTACCGCCAATGGTGGTCGTTGCAATCTGGGAGCCGATGGGTTGAATGCTGCCGTACCTGCCAAGCCTAGCGGGACGTCAGTGACAACAACTTCGGCTGAAATATATTCCGCCGTCGGCTTACCAGATCATCAACTCGTAGTCGCCGCTGTAGGTAACATGGTTGATATCAGCAGCGGTGAAGAGGTCGTAGGCAACATCAGCATTAATGCTCGTGGTTGAGTACTTCCATGTCGCGGTTGTAGGGATGCTGTTGACCTGGCTGACAAGTTTCTTCGTGAAAGTGAAGCCGGAGTTGGGATAGCTCTTTACCTGAGTGTTGGCTCCTGCCCAAGTCCAAGTTGAGTGCCAGGCAGCACCGGAGCTTGAAAGGCTGTCTACGTAGGTGCATTGGGAGCCAGAAGAGGCGTAGCTCGAGCCCCAGGCATTGTTGTTGACGCTGTATGGACCACTGGTCGCAGAAGCGTATTGAGAGCAGAGAGTAGAGGACTGAGCAACGGCCGAGGCAACCAGCGCGGAAATGAGAGCGGCGGCATACATTTTGATTGATGGTCGTGGATTGTTGTGATCTTGACTTCAAGGGGATTCAAGCAGTGCCAGACGGACTGGATGGCCTGGCCTTATATGCTCAGCCTCCTGTAACTCTCGCTTGACTCTCGGATGGATGAAACACCTCGCCCCAGCATGCATTTTCGGACGGCTCGCAAGAGGCTGCTGCCCGTCCGGAAGATCCGTCACGAATGACGACCTGTAATATACAGTAGTCCGTACTAGCACTTAGCGGAAAACCATAGCGTATTGCGAGGGCCAGTCGCAAAGACCAGCTGCATATTGCCGTTCCTTGGGAAGGGAGCATGTGTTGTCATCGCGTAACGAAAACTGCGGATTGTAACACCAAGATGGTGGCCTGTTACGATGTTCAAGCTTGAGAGAGATGGTATGCCACCAGATACGATCCAGATCGCTCAGAGCATGGGTGGGTGCAGGGCAAATGCTAAGTTGGTGCCACATGGGATCTTCATTGCAGCTGTCAAGACTGCCCCGGTCCGCTACGTACTTTACCGTTCCAATCGTTTGTCGATGCGAAACAGGATTAGACTTGAAGTGATGGCAGCCAAGGCTAAGATATATTACAGCCCCGCCGGCAGAATGCAAGGTATTGAGACGGATCGGATCCACGGGCCGTATTTGTCCAGCTTGTTTGCTGCGAGAGCCGCGGACAGCGCTATAGCGTGAGGAGTGGTCACAACGTGCAACTTTCGCTCCAATCGTTTGATTGGCGGTATGAGACTCTCTTGCCACGTCTAGACCTGCGAGCGTCAGTGTTGCAGGATCTGGCCACCAGTAGCATTCCCCCAGTGTGGGCGCTATTTGGCAAGCACACGAGATGGCTGCAGTCGCCGGTCGATGAAATATACCTTCCAGGTTTTTGGCCTGAGCGATCCAACACTTTTCGTCTGGATCGGTTGATACTTCGGACATGATGCCCACCATGCAGGGCCCATAGGTAGTGCTGGTATTGCGCCGCTTGTGCATCGTCAAATGCTACTTGACAATGTCTCCAGGTCTCATGCTATGCTTTCTGAGAGGTATCGATATGGGTGGAGGAAGCCGCGGCGTTGAGGGCATGCTGGGCAAGCTCTAGCTCGAGCGCCCCGAGTCCGGACGGCTGCAGTTGGTGCTGAAGCACGCGAATGGCCCAAGAACAGGTAGAGATACTATCGTACAGTCAGCTCCCACGAATGAAGGCGAGCCCACTCAGTGTGGCTATTGTCTCCCGTCATTGTAACGTCCTTATGCAGCAATAAAACTGTCGTATGCTCATTCTACTTCCCCAAACTATGAGGTCACATTATGCCCAAGGAATCTGTGAGATGTATTCCTTAGGTGGAAGAGAGTTCGGAAGATGGATAACACAGACTAGAGGCAGCGTGGCCACTCGACCAAGTGGTAGAAGTCTTGTATTATCGACTTGAGATAGTCTCAGCGCGCAGCAGATTAGCGTATGGAGAGGAGCTTACACCCGGATGTAGGTATATTTAGAAGATAGCTATAGCGGTGGCCGGTCAACTTCCACGTCCGCGGACTGTAGTATGCGATCAAATGAAGCGAAGGCACATTCAGAGAAGCCTAGGAAAAGAACCTTTCAAGCTTGGAGCGAACAAGCTCCAGGCAGCGCTGGGGCTAGGCTTGCGCTATACGGGAAGCTTGGGCAGACACTATGCGGTTGTCTTCGGCCATGGCGACCACAAGGATTGTTACATGGACGATGCGGAAGCGAGCGATTGCGATTCGTGTCTGAACGTGCTGAGTCTACTGTCAACGTAGGCAGGCAAGCGCCTGATATCCTCCTTACTAGCTAAGGTCATATCGATCTAAGCTTTTCGAAGAACATGACCGGCCTTCTCTTCGTGACGGCACACGACGCTGACTATAAACACATCAATCGCATCTTGCTCAATCTGCGTGATTGGCAATATGGGGCGGCTGATCAGTTTTATCTCGTCCCAGCTCGGGTAAACCTGGATCCTCCACTTAGAAATCCCAATCAAGCGACAGGCACAGAGCCACCAGTGCCGTTTTTGAAGTACGATGCCTGAGCCGGCGCAACCGCTGCTGAAGTGGAAGCCTTTCTTCTCGACCAAACGCAAAACAGCCCAACTCGAGCTCTCGCTATGGACCTTTACATTCTGTCAACGAGAAAGGAATGAACGATTCAACCTGCATCTTGGGCCAGCAGAAGAATGAAGGTGTCGATGGCAATTGCAAGGCCAGCGTTACCTTTGGACGAACCAGACTTCCGTATGTTGAGGCGTATTCGATGTGGTGCAATCTCGACATCGCCAACATGGATTTCGAAGACTTCATCGTCTACGAAGGTGAGCTTGACGAAGATGGATATTTAACTTATACCAGCCCTGGTGCTGCTGACGTGGATGGGGCAAGCAGCGGGAGAAGAACGAGACGCTGGAGAGGTTCGGACGTGAAGGCAAGATCTAGCCCAAGAATCAGTAACGAGGTTATAGTGAGGTGACACCTCTCCATTCGTCCTAGCAAGGTTACCGGATGTGTATTGTATGCGACCATCCCTCGTTCCTTTAGCCTTAAGTAGTTTATATAGTCGTTGACAATCTCACGGACTCAATAGCTCCAACATCACTGGCGAAGGTACTTCCATATATACCTAGTCAGCTTCATCAATGTTTGCCCGCCATTGGTGAAGGGATAAGGAGTGCATTGTGGGGTCAACCTGTGAAGGACGATGTCGTACATCATGCATGCCGGCCCCAGCGGGTCATCGTTCCTGATTGGCTGCAGAGCACATTAGCATCCACTGCTTCAGGTTGTCTCAATGCCCTGAACCGAACAACAAGTCCATAGCAACAACAGCCTTACCTCTCTACGAACACCTTGGGACATTCCAAAAATGGCGTCGCGGACACCCACACCAGATGGCGGCAACCGCGAACGACTACCGAATCTCTTCGAAGTGCTGTCACGGCGAACGTTGGCCCCCGTGGACCTGTTCTCCTTCTACATCTATATGCGCGATGTACAGCGCAGCGTCGACTATCTTGACTTCTGGTGAGTAGTAATGGTTGGCGCACGTCATGCGATCATACTCTCGCGGTAGACTTTCGTGGGATCACGGCGACTGACGGGCTGTCTGGGCAGGCTCGATGTCTCACAACACATGTCGCTATGTCGACACTACGTCCGCGAACTACGCCGAAGCGTGTTGATTTCCACTCCGGAGTTGGAAAAGGGTGCAGGATCAAAGCGTTCGTCGCAAGTGCTTGACAATTACACTCTCGACCGCACCTCTTCCGACCAAGGACCCAGCGGCACCCCTGGCGGTAATGGCGCCGAGAAGAAAGAGCGCATGAGTCAAGACCAACGCCTGTCCGCCTTCCTGCGCGATGAAAGAGACGTCAAGCATAGTCCTCACACCAGCCATGGCAGTCGCAGCGAAGACAATACGCCTGGCTCAGAACAGCCGCCTCGGGCTAGCTTCATGACTGGCACCGGCACCGGCTCACCATCTCCGTTGAACAACAGCAACACTATCAGTCCACAGCACACTGTTGCCAGGGCCGACATCCGGGCTTCGGCGGAGAAGGTCCTCTATACATTTCTACTACCCGGTGCAGAACGGGAGATCATCTTACCGCAAGGCATCCTCAACGAGATCACGTCCGCGATTGAAAAGGAGGGCCGTGATGACCCTGAGATCTTCGATTCTGCAAAAGACTACGTCTTCCAAGCCATGGAGCGAGATGCTTTCCCAGGCTTCTTACGCGCGAAAGCGCTCGGTAACATTGTGCAACCAAGCATGCTACTCCGGCTCATCTTAGGGCTGGTGTCATTGTTTGCTGCCTTCTGGACGGCCTTCATACTGATCTTCCTGGACAAAAATCGGGCGACAAGATGCTGGGTCATCTGGCCGTTCACGTTTGGCGTCTACTTCTTGGCGAGCCATCAGTATATGCTTGATCCGGTGATTGCGTTAGCGGGATACAGCGAGTATACTTTCATGAACTACCATGCAGTCAAAGAGCCTTTTGTGCGGTGAGTCGTCTGTTGCGAGCTACAGTATTCCACTAACATGGCTGTAGGAAACTGCTGAACAAGCGCGCCTTCATGTGTCTCGGCTGGATTTTGGTTATTGATGCAGCGCTCTGCTGTTTGTTCATCTTCGTGCCAGGTGTCCGGTTATGATGTAAGACGAGCTTTGGTCGACATTGATCCTTGCGGCGTTCAGGGGCAGGCAACTGCATTGCGAGATATGGTCTTTCCGCAGGCACGGAAGCCTCGATGAAGAACGCTTTGGGCGTCTTCGGAAGATGCTGTTGCAGTGTCTTTCGTCGCCCAGTCTTGATCAACGTAGCTGTACAACTAACATTTGCTTATACTGATGCGGTCAGAAAGACCACGACTTCGGCATCTGCTCGCTTGCTTTTAGCATCACTTTCTTGACGCGTCAGCATAGAATACCTCGCGTCCAAACTCTGCGGGCTGGGGCTGAAACGAACAGTCGCTGCAAATACATGCGACCACCGCGACCACCTTGAGCACAGACCTTCCCGCTGGCGGTGCCGAGGCTTGGCGGAGACGACAGTCGTTGGTCTGTCACAGTGCTCAGTACTCCGGCACCGCCGTCTTTGCGTGAAGCGAGCCAGGGTTACCTCGGCTATAACCGCGTGTAATACATTGCTGTTAACGTGGTGAGGTAGTCTGATCCAGAGCCGAAGCAGGGGGCCAAGTCTTCTTTACGCCTGCCCACCAAGTGCCGACTCAATGAGAGAGATGTTGAAGCGGACTGCCCGAGTGTTACATCGACGCCTCGTTGCACCCCGTTTCTACCCCGTTCCGTAACTCGTAGTGAACCTTAACCCCATTTGCCGAAATGCTTCCCAGTCGTCCACCACATGCCCAGCGCCAACGCTTTGAACGCTACAGGGAATAAAGCACCAAAAGAGGGCAACGCTCAAAGCGGAGGTGCAGTCCAACTGCACCCATCCTATAGCAAAGACTCTTTCCCCACACGTTCTTGCCATCTGATCGTACATCCACGCGAAGATTCGCACAAAAAGCAGCCACCTCACAGCGGGCCGTTCTTTCGACAATTCCGGCTCGGTTCCCTGGTAATCCCACAGAGATGGTCCGCGTTTCTAATCTTGCATCGAGCCGAAAGCTTGACCACAAGCCCGGCGTTGGCGGCGTGTCGTTGTCACTGAGGCCCATGGGTCGACCTAATACGGACGCCTAAAGAGTGCTTTTCGTATGACGAATGAGCAGTATCATGAGCGGCTTTATTTCGAGTGACGAGCGTTCCAACTCGCGTAGCCAGAATCTGGTTGCGAATGCTGCTGTGTGTGGAAGACCGGCGTAGAACGATGCCTTGAGTGTTGACTGCACGCATATCCGACTAGGACCACACGTTCTTGAACGTGGTGTCCACGCTGTGATCTTGCGGCGCATGGGTCGACTGCGTGCTTGTAGTAAAGACAACGGCATACAGAATACCGCTCGACAACTTGTATACACATCGTTGCTTGGTTCAGTCGACAATGGAACAGGGCTATCCTGAAGGAAAGAGTAAACAGTCCGTTCGAGGATGACTTGAGAAAGCCACTGCGGGATGTGCTGTCCAACAGTGTGTCCCGCGGGTTAACAACCAAACAATTTATACTGTGTCAACATCGTCAGTAATGTCAGAGAACATATCTAGGCAACAAAAAGACAAGTACGCCTCACCTGCATGGCATGTAGCGTGGGATGCGACCGCCTTCACAACCTCTGCTTCCGAACTTGCTATAGGCCAGAGAAAGCACGCGAGTAGCCATCTTGGTAAAGAGGCGTAGCGTCAGAATACCAGGTCATCATCGATGGCTTAATCAACCATTCCATAAGCTGAGCTCAAACAGCAGCAAGCGCTGCCGCGATGACTGCATCGGCAGTGTTCCGCGACGTCCTCAAGGATCGCCCAGGTACTCGCATAGTGCTGCGAGATAGCGTTGCCGCACTAAGATTCGCAGAACGACTGCATAGTCAAACGTACCATGACCACTGCACGGACGATGGGCTGTTGGTATGGCAGGCCGCAGGCATGGCTGTCTGTAAGGCCCGAGAGGCTGAATTGGCGCAATAAAGTGCGAGGTGGCGCTCCTTCTCCGACTCACCATCCTGGTCAGCCACGAGGCGATCTCCAGCCTTAGCCTCCAGGAGACAAAATGCGGCGATGCGTCAGTCAGCATTTAGTGCCTGTACTGAGCCGCAAATGGCGATACAATGCAGGTCCAAGCGGCAGAGGGGCGGTATGAGGCGTCCGAGGCGCATCGTGACAGACTGTGGCGTGGACTAGTGTTTGGCTGCAGTCATTGACACGGCCGCATCGCGTGCATTGCGATCGCGAACCCGACGGTCAGACGTCGACCGGTGAAGGCGTGGTAGAAGAAAAGGCGGAACGCCGGGAAGCTGACTGGTGCGGCTCAAACCCGCTGGGGCCATTTTGGTGCGCTTTGGTTGGCTGCGCCTCCATCGCTTCCCAAGAATACGTTTCCACTTTACGTAGACACTTCGGCTTCGGCATCCTCGTTTGTGGCGTGCTACAGAACTGTGGAAGCGTGGTCGCAGGAAGGCTGAGGCAGCCATTAGAAAGACAAAACGACCACCTTCCCATTCCAGCTTCGGGTCATGGGACCTACCCACGGGAGCAACACGAAGCATAATGGACTGAGACACCGCGGTCGACATGGCGGTCGGTAAGGTAGGCTCTAAAAATCGATCATGGAGCTGCACTGTTCTCGGAAGCTCATCTTGCGCACTAGCTGCGAGGGATATTTCTACCGAACCGAACGTAAAATTAGCTGGCTGGCTCTAGATGGAGGATCAGCGAGAACCGGAGAATTTCGTTCATGTTTCATGGAGGCATTAGACCCTCCCAAGAGCGAGCTGTCTCGAGTAAAAAATTGCAACCAAAGGCAGCTTGTGTGCGCATGCAAGTGCCATAAGGGGAACGGACTTCCATGCTACGCCGGTCCTGCCCAACCTGATGCTGAAGTGAAGACACAAATGCCGTCTCTGGTATTCCCGTTCACTTTGCTTCGCCATCTACCCTTGGTGGAGGTTCCAGTGACTTCGAGGGCGCCGGATTGAGTATGTGCGCCGCATCTATCAGGGGCGCTGAAGGATTGATTTCCAGCCCAAAGCCAGGCTTGTCGAGATCTGACACGTCAAGGTAACCTTGCGTCGGAATTGGCTCATTTGTGAACAAGTTGCCGAAAACCGGCATGACACTTTTACCGTCTGGGGAGTTTGCCAGGTCTGCCATTCTTGTATTAGAACGGTTATCATGCACTGCAAAAGTTGGGAAGACTTACATTCTTGAAACGGACTGTTGCTCTGCGAGACCACAAAGTGGTAGCTGTATGGACCGCTCGCATGAGGGATGACGGGTAAGTCATACGCTGCTGCCATTGCGGAGACCTTTAGCAGCTCCGTAAGTCCGCCTACCCACATAACGTCCGGTTGCAATATATCGATATTGCGACCTTCAATGAGCTTGCGGAAACCGTACCGCGAGTACTCGTGCTCGCCAGTCGTGAATTTCACTGTTGGGTGCGCGCGCTTGAGCAGAGCGTGGCCGTCAAAGTCATCGGGTGACAGACACTCTTCCCACCAATCAATGTGCAAGTCTTTGCACTTCTCCACGAGCTCAACGGTATACGGCACGTTCAGGCTCATATAGCAGTCAACTCGGAGTGGAAAGTCCGGCCCGACTTCTGATCGCTTCTGATGGAGATACTCGACGTTCTTCTTCATACCTTCAGGACCTTCACCCGGGCTGTAGGGTAAGGCGACCTTTGCACCGATGAAGCCCATATCCCTTGCCGCGGCAGGCTGCGGTCCCGTGCAGTAGAAGTGCAGCCTTTCTCTTGTAGCGCCGCCTATCATCTTATATACTGGCTCGTTGCGAATCTTGCCCAGCAGATCCCATATCGCCAGATCAATGACAGATATCACTGCTACGGGCAGACCTTTCCGGCCGTAGAACATGGAACCGCGGTACATTTGCTCGAAGAGATGGTTCGTATCTCGAGGGTCTGCAGCACAATGTCAGATCTCTGTTCAAACCAATCTAATGCTGACAACCCACCGGCTCCGATCAAGAACCGCTGGAAATGCTCGGCGACAAGCCAGCAGGCTGGCGGGCCGCCAAAGCCAGTTGCAAAGCCCTTCGTGCCATCTGATGCCTCGATCTCTACGCAGAAAGACCCGAGTACATTGATACCCCAGCTAGTCCTCGATTTCCTGTACTCCTCGTAGCCGGACATCGGGGTTGAAATCTTGGAGTCGATCAACCAGTGGCCGCCCTTGACATTGTGATAGTCTCCTCCGGAGCCTACGCCTTGGACAAGGAACGTCCTGATCTCGGTAATGCGAGGGAATGAGGAGCTGCTGGACTTCATCTTGGGAGTTCAAAGAGAGTCGGATCAACGACGTCCGTAATGCTACACTGGAGTGAGGGAGATTCTGCAAGCAAGGCTATGAAACTTAGATACGTGAAACAGTAATAAGAACGGTAGAAAATAGCTCAAGAAAAGGTTGAAGAAAGTGTCATGTGCCAACAAACCGCGTGAGTATCTCGGTCTATCGTCCATACGAGTTGGAGCCGGGGTCTCGTGTTCGATGGTACAGTTGTTGACACTGCTCGGTGCCGCCCTTGGATGCGGCGAGGATCAAGACTGAACGAGCCCCTCTCGCTCCACATCTCGGGCAGCCGGGGCAAAGATCTTCCTTTGATCTCCTTCGAATTGGACCGAACTGCGAGCTACAGTCAAGGGCAATGGCTACGGCTCCAACAAGCACGCTGCAGGCGCATTACTCGCCCGCAGATGATACCTCGCCAAGCAATGGTGGCGATAGGTACGACGAAGAGGCATGGAGTATTGAAGACGAAGACGTGGACGGCGACGAGACACGCAAGCGCAAGCGACCAAAGACTGACCGCCCAGTTTCTGTGAGCTGCGAGAGGTGCAAAGAACGTAAGGTATGTCGTTTGTGGGTGGCCTTACATACCACGGCTCTCAGATGCTCCCAGCGCATGCAGAGCGCAGCTATCTTATTACAGATTCAAACGCATGCCATCATCTGCCATAGGTTTGCGTTATCCGTCTAACGTTTAATGCTTCTGTAGGTCAAATGTGATCGTGGTAGGCCGTCATGCGGCTGGTGCACTCGTAATGGGCAGACGTGCGAGTACAGAGAGCGTAAGAAGCCAGGACTGCGGGCTGGCTATGGTCGGGAGCTTGAAGCGCGGCTGGGTAAGTATCTGCGTTAGGTCATGAACGAACCGACGTTGACACCAGTCCTAGACAAGATGGAAAATGTGCTACAGAGCCAACAGCGTGTGCTCCAGCAACTTGCAAACCATTTGTCCTCCACCGACGCTGCATTCCATGCACTTGGCACACCTCCAGGACCGCATATAGCTCAACATGTATCGCAACCCGAGACGGCTCTCTTCTTGCAAACCCCGAATCTGTACCACCAACCATCAAACAGCTCACGCTTCAGTGAGCTTGGCAATAACGACCTCGGGCCGTCGAAGCAGAGCTTGCATCTCCAACACCGTCCCACGCAACCGTCCGTCAGCCTGCCTACAGTGCCCTCACCAATGGATGGTTATACATCAAGTGACCCCCACCTAGAGTCGCCGAGTCTGAACACCACCGGAGCACCACAGCCGACTCTGGCCAATGCCGCTAGCTTAACGGGCGCCATTGCTCAAGACCAAGACTTTCCGCCATACGATCTACTGTATGCGCTTACCGATCTCTACTTCAAGCACATCAATACCTGGTGTCCTATTCTGCAACGGCGAACCACGCTGGACTCCCTGTTCGGCCCTGCGACATTGGAAGAAGCCGATCGCATTCTGCTGCACGCAATTGTAGCAACTACACTCCGCTTTTCGAACGATCGGCGCTTGACTGAGCAGTCTAGAGAGCGCTATCACTCCGTGTCAAAGCAGAGGGTACTCTTCTATGGTCTCGAAAACAGTTCGGTCAAAGCTTTGCAGGCTCTGGTGATCTTGGCCCTCGACATCTTAGGCAGCTCAAACGGCCCGCCTGGCTGGAATCTGTTGGCTTTGATAACAAGGAGCGTCGTTCAACTGGGCTTAGCCGTTGAAGCGACTTCTGCATCTGTGGCCCCGATGTATCCCTCCATCTACACCCTGCGAGCAATGGTGTTGCCAGAGCCCAAATCTTTCATCGAGGACGAGGGCCGAAGACGCCTATTCTGGATGGTTTACCTGCTCGATCGCTACGCTACCATCTCGACGGCGTTTGAGTTCGCACTTGATGATAAGGAGATCGATCGCAAGCTTCCCTGTCGTGATGACCTCTGGGCCCTCAACCAGCCTGTCGATACCCGCTGGTTCCCTATCGGCGAGCGACCGGACTATCCAGAGAACCTAGGCTCTTTCAGCTACTACGTTGAGATTATAGGGATCCTCTCGGAGATTCACCGCTTTCTGAAGAAACCGGTGGACATCAGCGCCCTATCGGATGTGGAGCAATGGCAGCGTGATTACAGACGGCTCGACAGCCGCCTCAATGCATGGAAATTTAGCCTACCTAATGAATATGGCAACCTGTCGCGCGTCTTCAACTCGGGCGGTGGCAATAAGATCGTCAACTGTCTCTGGATAATGCTCCAGACAACGTATCATACGTAAGTGCGCATCCTCACTTTACCGCCACCTCCATCCATGGCTTACCTGCATATGCATCGCTAACGTAAGCAAGTGCCATCATCCGTCTGCACTCTTCAGCCGCCTACCCAACGACCAGATCGCCAATATTCACCCCGTCATTCTCCGCCAGTCAGCGCTGCAACACTGCCGTAGAGGACATTATGTCACTGTCCGCCTACGTACGCGCTAATGGAATGCTGATGCAGCTCGGTCCGCCGTTCGCTTTCAGCTTGTGGGTCGCGGCAAGGCTACTGCTTGTTCATGGAAGTACGATTGATCACCGAGTCAATCCTGCCATCCATCCACTGGTCGAGACACTGAGGGAGTTGGGCACTTATTGGAAGGTTGCGGAACGCTACGCCACGCTGCTGTCGCGCGTCTTGGAGGAGTACTCCGAATCAGAGCGTGCACCTGTTGGCGCTAACGGCGTACGCGAAACTCCGTCGACCGTTCGTATCCTTGCTGACATGCGGCGCACCGCGTTCGACCTCGACTTTCTGATCTCGAGACAGCCCAGGCAGCAATTTGGCGCAAAGTCGCTCAACCCAACGCCTCGCGTACGAACGCCTGCGCCGAACGAACTGGAGTACCTTGACGTGTTTGATTTCTTCAACGTGCCAAGACTGCCGTTTCCGGCACCCAGCGAAGCTATGCCAGGCACTGACGCTGGTGTGAATGGTGACAGTGGGTACCAAGGAGTCGGAGACGGTAGTATGAGCAACGAGTTCAACATCACCAACTTCATGATGGACGCAAACTCGGATTGGTTCATGAAGAACCCGACTTCAGTCTAGCTTAGTTCAAACAAAGTCGTGCTGTTGGTGTCATGTTACATCCCTTTCGAGCAAACTCATAGCTCGACCTCTTCCGGTACATTGGGGTTCACAACGACCTTCTCAATCAACTGCAATGTTGTCCTTAGTGGAAGCCCGACGACATTATCAAACGTGCCGTCAATCTTCTCCACTAGGATACTGCCAACACCTTGGATGCCGTATCCGCCTGCCTTGTCCGCCCCTTCTCTCGTACGTACGTAGCTCAGGATTAGGTCGTCCGTGACACTCTGATCGAACCTTACGCTAGTTTCTTCGACGTGAGTTTCCATAGCGTATCCCGGGTCCGCGAGCGACTCAAGCGGAGCCATACAGACTACAGCTGTGTAGACCTTATGCCAGCCATTGTTATCATCGCGAAGCAGTTTGAGAGTGGCAACGTGCTCCTTCTCGCTTCTCGGCTTCTCCAAGATCTGCCCGAACTGCGTACTGACAATGGTATCGGCCGCTATGACAAGCGCAGGCTCGCCCTTTTTGCTGTCAATCTCGGCCGCGTAGACATTGCGAGCTTTCTGCTCTGCTGTTTCCAGCACATACGCAAACGGTCCGAGACTCTTATCCCTGTCCTCAGGTAGAGTTGAGGGTATAATCTCGAGGTCTGTGAGGCCAATCTGTTCACGGTGGCTGTTATTCGCCGCTCAGCTTGCTGTCGCAACCACTATGATTGATATAAGACTCACTTGAGCGAGTAGCTGTCTCCTGCGTGGCGATGCTGAGGCGAGGATGATTCTCTTGCCTCGGATCATATTCAGAGCTGGCAAGTCCAGAGGTCTCGGAGGCCCTTGTCTGGGTGGTCCCAACGGTCCAGTCGGTGGCTTAGGTGGTTGTGCAGCGGCATCGTAAGACGGCGGCGGTTCTAGCGGCGTCTTAGTTTCTTCCATAGTAATGAATCTGGCAATTGAATCGGTTCGAATTGTTGTTCCGATGTAGCATCAGCAAGTCTGACCAGTACCGGTCCGTGCTCGGTGCTCGCACATCCCGGCATGGAAGTCACGAAACCTCCGAGACGCCGTCCGTAGTCGCTCTCTCGACTCCCGTACTCACTACATCGATCTACTGTTGACTGTGTTCGTTGGTACAATAACGGCATCTGAAATGCGCCAAAATTGCAGATCTGTGAGCTTGATGTTCGTGCCTTCGCAATATACCATTCGCCGAAGCAAGCCATGGGTGAAGGCGTACCGAGGCATTAGAGGTGACATCAGCAGCCCACTTACATTGCATGCAAAGATTCTTCACCATTTCTAATCATCCACGGCGACGGCAGCCCATATCGAAAGCTTTACCGTAGGCTCAGGCGTTGTAAAGGTTGGTATATGATCTTAGCTTCTCCTCTACTCAAGCGTATTCGTTTCAACCACCAGCAACTGCTACCTCCTCCTGTTCACAAGTATTGTAACCGCTACCTGTCCAGTATGGTGCAAAACAAAGGTCTTATTTACGCCGCCCATCCAAGCGGCTTTCCGGAGATAGGGAAGCATCTCAAGATTGAGAATCGAGACTTTGACGAGGACCAAGCTCCGCCTTCAGGTGGTATCACCGTCAAGGTCCATTATGTCTCCTTCGATCCTTACCAACGTGGTCGCATGCGGTCCCCTGACGTCAAGTCATATGCGCCTCCGTTCGATCTGGGCAAGCCGGTGACGAACAGTGCAATCGTCACCGTCATCAAAAGCGACAACAGCAAATTCAAGCCTGGCCAAGTCCTCTACGCGCCTCGGACATGGACGGAAGAGTACAGCGCCCTCGACAAAACCATGGCAGACCCGTGTAAAGTGCTCGATAACCCGTACAAGCTCGACCCTAAACTGTTCGTCGGCGCACTCGGCATGCCAGGCTTGACAGCATACTCTTCCTTCTACGCCATAGGTAAGCCGAAAAAGGGCGAGACCATCTTCATCTCTGCCGCATCGGGAGCCGTGGGCCAGATCGTTGGCCAACTCGCGAAGCACGAGGGCCTGAAAGTAGTGGGGAGCGTGGGTGATGACAAGAAGCTTGAGTTCATCACCAAAGATCTTGGCTTCGATGCTGGTTTCAACTACAAGAAGGAGAAGACGGCCGAAGCGCTGAAGCGGCTGGCACCCGACGGTATCGACATCTACTACGAGAACGTCGGAGGCGAGACGCTTGAGGCGGCCATTGCGCATCTTAACCCGTTCGGCCGGATCATTGCTTGCGGCATGATAAGCCAGTACAACACGCCTCCTGACCAGCATTATGGCGTGAAGAACATGATGATGTTCGTTGCAAAACGCCTCTGCATGCAGGGCTTCATCGTAAGTCTAGACGAGCTGGATGACGTGATGTACGTGAGGCTGACGATATATTCTAGGTTGGAGACGAGAACATGGGCCCCGTATACGCAGAGGAGCACCAGAAGAATGTGCAAAAGTGGTTATCGGATGGGTCGTTCAAGGCGGAGATGTCCACGACCAAGGGCATTGACAACGCTGCGGAGGGTCTGTTGGGGCTGTTCGAGGGAAAGAACTTTGGCAAGGCCGTGTTGGAGATCAGTCCGCTATAGTCACTCGAACTCTGCCAGATCGGTGAGGTAAGCCGTGGTGACTCCTCACCTTCCATGATTTAGTGACTCCTCAAGCACATACAGTTGCACAATGGGAGTAAGTCCCGGACTAGGTTTGACGTAACGAGGTGGACTCTTCGAGCGGATGCCGAACGCTCCACTAGCACGAGCCTCGTGCGCTGGTACGGCATTGTCGATCAGGAATCTCGTTCTCGTTAAAGATCTACCCTGCTGCATAGACCAGATACAACGTGGCGTAGCGCAACACTCACGGCGAGATGACAATCGAAGAGCACAGCTATTGCATGTCCGAGTGCTACTATGTCGGAAAAGCGGCAGAGTTAAGCGAAGTAGGCCACTCCACAACGTCAACAACAATCATACCACTAACGGCCATGAGGATTTGTAGGTTGGAGCAGGTATGCAGCTCCTGGTAGGAAAGTTTCTCCCTGTACAAGGACAGTGTGTTGAGCTGATATATGGCCGAGCCCAATGCCACTTGCGTCATGCATTCCTTCTGCTTGATGGATTAGCTTTACCCCGGAGGCTGCGTGGCTAAGGATGACAACCATGACCTACGGAGGGAGGACGGACAGCGCATCGGCGTGCGACCGGGTAGTTAGTATACCCGCGAGAAATCCGGGTATGGGTGGCAGTGAGTCGTCAGCGTACCGTTTCAGACCCGCTTACGAGCATTGCATGTTTGACAGTCGAAGCCCTAGCATGTTGCGTCAAGCGGACTATCAACGCGTTCTCGTGGCAGAAGCACGCCGACTCGGGGTTAACATCAACCTTGGCTAGCATATGAGCGGCGTGGATTGCAACGATGTGCGAACGGTCATCAATTCCGCAGACGGCAGACAGGTAGTATCGAAGGTCATAAGCGGCGCAGACGGGTATTGCTCATGTGTGTGGACGTCGGTACTCGGTTACGTTAAGGAGCATAATGGGTCTGGCCATCTCGTGGACCATGGAACGACTGCCGGTGGAGACTTCGACGAGGAGCGCCATGGTCACTCTGAGGACGAAGTGCTCAAGTCGATAAATGCGATGTAGTGGGGTCCGGACAGTGATGTAGCCGTTTGCGGACCTGAAGTTCTTGCACCGGCTGCTCGGCGTGGATCCGCTGCAGAACGCGGACGAAGGCTTCGTCGAATCTGACCTAACTGTGTGAAATCGAGCGTAAAAGGGAACAGCCGGCACCGGCATTAATATTGGTATTGGCGTTGGTAGCAATAGCGCCTCACAAACCGTAGGCACAAGGCACGTAAGCCTGGACTGCAGGCAGAGACGTACGGGTCTTGCGCGGCAGCGTTATCCGTCCATGGACTAGCTTTCGCGGAGACCATCTAGATGAGGGAGCTACTGCATCTGAGCTGCAGCACGGATTGCAAACCACATTGCAGCGGAGATCGCATTCGCATGGCAATCCCGAGCGTCCCGAAAGTCTCCAACGTACTGCAACAAAGGTCTTCGGCCATCGTGAGCGGTGGTAACCGAGAACAGAAACCCCAGCCTTTCCGACTGCTAGTAAACGTTAATCCTGTGCTGCTAGGCGAGTCTCCACTTGCAAAGACACATTTGTATCAGCGGAGAATATGCATAGCGCTCGGATGACGCAGTATTAATTGGCGTATCTTGCGGGCGCTCCGTTGTGGTGCGCGCAATGAGGCAATGGACTTCTCGTCTATGACTATTACATCCGGTGTTGTTGACAAGCGTCGTCAGTGACAATGCGCTGTTGTTGTCGCGTCTCAAAGGAGTGTTGAGTCAGCATCATGCATGGCAGGAAAGTTCATGTTCATAACCGTGGCGTTGGAGTCTAGCCCGGGCGAAAGCTACCTGCGCGCTATGAGAGATGGAAGGTTTCGGCCGCATTTCATGCATTATGGTACAGGTAAGCGGTGTATGCCGTACAGGTAGTGAAGGATGTTTAAGACTCCATCTCGCCCCACAGACAAGGTCCGAAGGAGTGTTGAGGGTGAAGATCGCTGATCAACCGATCCATCATTGTGATTGACATCTCTTCCCGCGCCGATATTAATTGACAACCACCCGGTCGCTGCCGTCCCGCCTTCGGCTCGCTCAGTGCAGGGCCGTCTTGACCTGAAACGCTGTGAGTGGCCTTGCGCCTGAGACTCGACATCATGATGTGCGTTTCATGACCAGCATTCTCCGCACCGTCTGCATTGGTGTCTGACGAGCCGGCCTCGCCTGCGCCATGCATCACCATCAGCGCGGCGCTGGGCGCAGCAGACATCACCCCATCTCATCCCATCCGCCTCCCAATCCGGTCGCCAGCCTTAGCAGTGTAGAGTCTTCCAGGCCTCAGCCGCAGCAGACAATCTCAATCGCAAAGGCACTCAACGATGAGGATCGCGCTGGCGCAAACTCATCGTCAAGTTTACCACGAAACAGCGGCCTAGCAAATTCGCGACCGACCCTACGCCCTCTGGACACCAGCATGAACGCCTATTCATCTATCACGGCGCTCTCGCCCCCTACCCGCCGTTCAGTCTCTGGCCATGCGAAGCTTCACAAGCGAGGCAGTTCAGGCTCCTCGCTGCCAGTCGCTTCGTCTCCGCTGTCCAGCGCGCACTCTCAGTTCACCACGCCGTATGCGACATATGAGGAGCCCACTCCCATTGCGTCTCCGACGTCATCAACAAGCGCCACGCCGAAGCTCAAGTCTTCATTACGCAAGATGTCTGCTGCTAAGCAAGAGGATCAGGGCAGGCTCGATCTGACAAAGTCCGTAACTGAGAATGACCGCTTAGCCGGTCTCGGTATCCAAGACTTTGGCACCAGGTCGGTCTCGGACCTCACATCACCACCTGCTGCAAGACGAGGCACGCATGCGCGCACCACTAGCGTCGGTTCGCAGATGTCAACCGCTTCCGGCTCGTATCGTGCAAATCAGCCGTTTGTACACCCTATGCGACAGACACCGAGGCCATACACGCCACCAGCAGGAAGCTCAAACGTGTCGGTCGCGGACGAAGCAGCAGATATTTTTGACGATGAGTACAGGCTTGGTCACGGCTACCGAAGCAACCGCAGCATGTCAATCTCTTCCGCCGCTCCAGGCCTACCGACGCCGCTATCGCAGTCGCATACAGCAGACGATCTCGGCCTGGTGCCGAAGCTGACGAGTCACTCTCAGACCAACCTGTCCATTCGGTCTGGCAAGTCCAGCAAGTCGAAGCTCGGCCGAGCGCGCGGTGACACTAGCCGGTCATTCGACCAAGCAAACCCGTCATCTTCGCGCACAAGTTTCGACAAAGCCTTCAGCTTCGTCTCGCGAAAGTCTGATTCAGAACCGCAAACGCGGGATGAGCGCATACGCGCCGAGAGACAGAAGTTTCAGGAGAAAGAGGCGAACAAAGATCGCAAGCTTGAGCAGGAGCGTTCGAAGCGAAAGGAGACGGACGAGCGAAGGCGAGATAGGCAAAGGCGGAAGTCAGAAGCGTCCCTGAGGGCTCAACGGGCACAGCACGCAGCAAGTGGCGGTCCAAAGAAGTCGAAGAAGGTTGTGGATGCGGAGGATGATAACGAGAAATTACGGTCACGAAGTTATGAGGACTACAGGCCGGCTCATCACATGACTTTGCCCAGACAGGGTGTCGAGGCTGGTACGTCGGAAAAGGCACCGCGCGCTCCTGAACGCAAAACGAGTGCTCCGCAGAGCGGCTGGATTCGCTTTTGGGCGTGGTTGCATACGAGGATGTTGAGTTGCGGCGGTCGATGAGCGGTACGTTTGTGGGCGTACGGCTTGGATGGCTTGATCTTGCATTTCGAGCGATGGCTTGGAGAGTGATACCCAATCTGGATCTTGGCTTGACATGAGCGTTTCGGCGACGGTGGAGTACGGTGGAAGGGTTGGCCGTTGCTTGTCGGAATGTGCACAAGAAGACTTACCATCCGACAGCCAGGGACAAGTGAATCCTCCAAGTGGGTAGGGGTGCGTATCGATTTTCAGTACAGTGGCCTAGCAATTTCAACAGCCAATTGTTTCTTCGAGCTACAGTCATCATTATTGCACATCATGTTTCCTTCCTGCTGACGTACTGACCCTAGCCCTGCCGTACTTTAGAGGCTGTCTGTTCTCGCTCACGGTTTCTGCCTCAACCGTTGGCAGGATTCCTGCGACAGAACTGGCAGGCCGTCAGCTGTTGCCGGGGTGATGGTGACGTCTTCTTCGCCCTTCTTGTACTCAATGATGAACACAGTGGTCCAGGGGGCCTCATTCTGTGCGCGAAGCTGCTCAAGTAGACTTGACAGCCCGTTCCGGAAAGCTTGCAAACCCTCCTGATTTCGGTCAACCCACACGGCAACGTCGGCCTTTGCATCACGGGTATCGATGTCCCTTGTGGCGACAAAAGCTCGCATTTTCGAAAGCTTATTGCGATAGACGTAGGTTAGGGGAGCGCGCATGCTGTTAGGTGTTTGCGACAACCACAGCTCCTTGGGATTGGTCTCGAAGTACTTGCCGAGATCTTTGGCTACTGGTCCTGTTACGATGTCCAATTGTGCTGACAGCGGGACGCAACAGCCTGCCGTCACGATTTTGACGTGGCTATCATTTTCTTGTGGGCTTTTGACGGTGACATTAGAGACACCAGGCGTTTCGACCAGGGTTTCCGGAGCGACTTCGGGCAGATATCCGTTGACTTTGTGTCGGAGCAGGATGCGGAGCGCACCCAAGCTGTATGCGACAATGCCGTAGTGAGCTACGCTTGAAGCACAGTCCGCACGCCACTCGAGGTAGGCTCGTTCGAAAGTGAGACGGTAGCCTTTGACCTGGAATCACTAGTGCCGACAACCTCTCCTACGTCAGACTCCTTACGGATGAAGATGAGGGTCTTGCCGGTGACTTGTGCGAGAAAGGCGAAGTCGTCGACTTCCCCACTAAAGCGGCCGTACAGACGTAGGAGCTGACTCAACGCCCAACGATCCGTGATCAAATCAAAGTCACTGAAGTCGAAGTCTTCTTGCGTGTGGAGGATGTCCTGAACGAGAGGCTCCATCGGAGAAGCTGGGCTGCGGCCTGCATTTTGGTCCCAGTATCTGAAGCCACGATCCGGTCCGAGGAGGACCTTCTGCTTGGGAGGAGACCATGCGGCTGGTATGCCTTGCAGTCAACAGTATTGACGAACAATGGTCAGTCGAGCCACTAACCTGGAACAAGCATCGTGGCCGCTTTGTCCCCAGTCCAACTATAACTGGCGACTGTCTGGACATCACAGATGTCTACTCAGTCGTCGCAGGCCACCATCGCGCCCCGACCTGCTTCGCCCATTGCGGTGCGTTCGCGGTGAAGAGTGGTAGCGTCTCTTGCTCGGGTTGACAAGAGCTTAGGCTCCAGCGCTCTGCGCTTGGCATCCGTTCCTTCTCTATGTGTGAAGCAAACATCAAATGCGGAAGGACCGATGACGGTTATTCACGAGCTCTACTGCCTAAGCACGCATTCACTGGACTTCTGGCCCACCTAGCGCAGAGTTCTTCTCAACACCGTCTTGCAGTCGTTCTCAAACCACAACCTCTTCCGACGTCTGTGGAACAATCATCACACCAGTGTAGGCTTCCATCAAGCAACCACCCATTCTACAGTCCGAGTTAAGCAAGATGGCGCCACTCGTTTGGCTGGCCGTCATCCTGCTCGGCCTGTTCCAGTCCACTGCTCAGCTACCCACAACCAGCTCGCTTGAGACCCGCCAGAGCCCATTATACTTCTGCTACAATGACGCTGATGCTCTGGAGATGCGTGACGTTCTCCAACACGCCATCCTGCCCTTTTGCAGCGGTGCAGCGTCCACGCCTCACTTGCTGAGAAGTGTTTGGTACGCCGCCTCTCAGAACACGCTCGAGACTTCGACTTCGCTGACTGTTCGTCCCGCGATGCAGGGCAACCTACGTGCTCCCAACTGGCAGCACTGTAAGGCTTCTCACATTTAACTCCGACATCGCCAACGTCTTCAACGTGGAATGGGCGCTCGACATTGGTGAATGCGAGGACAACTTTCGGAATGTACTCGCTACCTGCACTCCGAACCTAGAGACCACTACGGGTGGGGTCATGTTCGACGACGCCAAGGGTATATGGTACAGTGTCATTACGGATCCGCCCTCCAGCGACGTTCCAAGTAGCACGGCCAAGAAGCGGACCCTCGAGTCCGATCAACCGTCTTTCATCGGCTCTCTCGTAAGTCGTGCCGACACGGGATACTTCTGCTACAGTAACGGTGCTTCCGAATTGGTAGCCGACGTTACGGTGAATGGCATCGACTTCTTCTGTAATGGCGCAGCCGTTGGTTCTCACGCTCTTAGAAGCGTCTGGTAAGCGCCAGAAAACAATATGTTGCCCGTGGACGAGCTGACATATGCTGTGTGCCCTCTAGGCAAACATTTCCGCTGGGAAGTGGAGGGAGCGTCAGGCTCAACGTCTTCTATCCTAGTTCTTACACTGGCCAATGGAGCCTTGACACGTCCGGATGCTCCGCCGGTTTCATGGGTGTGCTGGCTGAGTGCGGTGACAATTCTGGAAATACCCATGGTGGTAATTACATTCCAGGCTCCAGCGGCGTGTGGTTCATGATTCAGGTCGACCCGCCAGCGAGCGAGGCTCCTGCGGACGGCACAGCCAAGAAGCGATCTGATGATCCGTTGTCAACAAGCCAGCATCGCCGCAACGACAACGAGAGCGGAGCGAGTTCTGCACCTCTGGACATGGGTGAAGGTGTTGAGGTGTGTTACACGAATTCTACAGGTGCACCTTGGTCCATGGTGTTGGAGGGTGTCCGTAGCTTCTGCGCTGCGAATGCTGGCAAGACCATCAGCTCGACTTCTAGCTATAGTCAGTCATTCGAGTACGGCACGCTGACCTTGGCTCATCCCAATGCTGGCTGTAACAGCAGAGCTGAGATATTCCAGTCGAGCGACTGCTTCTTCGGCCTGCTGGCAGTGCTTTGGCAGTGCGGCCCCGCGTCGAATGGCGACACTTACGGGGGCATGTTTAATGATACGGAGAAGTGCCTTACGTGGGACGTTGCTTTATCAGAGACACCGTCCAGCATGGTATCCAAGAGTCCGAGTACTCAGGGGCTGGTACAGCGTCGGGACGTACCAACTTTCCATCTGTGCATAGGAGGAAACGTCCAAGAGGGATCATACTCAGATTACCTGTCTGCGGCTCAGAAGTTCTGCAATGCCAACAATGGCAAGAAGATCGACCCTCTCCTGTTGTCTGGCCAGACACCAGCCGGCTTCTTCGGAGTCGAGTACTGCGACAACTGGAACGGTGTGTACCAGATACTGGACGCATCCTACTGCTACGCCGCTTTCTTCTGGCTTGCTAGCTACTGTCCGAGCGTGGCCAACCAGTACGTGGAGCCCGGCTTTTTCCAGTACGGAAAGGTCGGTGGATCCTGCTTGCAGTATATGTACAACTGTCAGACAGACCCAGCTGGACTTTACTCCGCGTCGATCGCTGTCAACCAGTCTGTACACGTACGACAAGCGTGAGGAGCATTTTCCGGCCATAGGGTCCGTCGACGATACTGCCGTGCCCGCCATCGTACCTCGTCAGCTGCCACCGAATTGCAACAGCGCCGGTGAGGCGGTGTCTTAGCGCTCGGCGCCTTCGAAGGCTTCTGCAAGACATTTGCCGGGTGGCCGATCGTAGCTGACCAGGGTCCTCGCAGCGTCGCTACCGATGCTGGCATACTAGCCGTCAGCGCCATCCCATGCCCTTCCAACAATCCGGCTCCACTGATGAACGAAGGCGACTGCGACTACGCTTTCGACGCGATACTCTGGTATTGTGGGCCGGGCGCCGGGCTGACGTACGGAGGCTCATACACAGACGCTACCAAGTGCCTATCATGGACGCTGGATGCTATCACCGGCGATCCTTTCCGGTGATCGAAAGATGGGAAGCACACAAGTGGACTGAAAAACATCTCTACTCGTTCAAAACTTCGGACAATGTACAGCGAGCTTGCGGAAGAGCTATGAGCGTGAAGTCGGACAGCGGTAGGCGGTGCTGTACGGTAATACACGAAGGAGTGCCTAGCTCTAGCTTAACCACACAGATGCCATGAAGCTCAATGACAAGTTGTGTTCCTGACAGTGTTCATAGCCAATGCAATGTTACTGTACTCTGTCGTCCTTTCCAGCCAATGCCGTTGCTCGCCAGCCTCGGCAATGGCGGCATGGTTGAAGTTTAATGGCGGCATTGATCTGAATCGTCAACGCTAACGAGTAAATAACCACATTATTCGCCATGCATTCATCCAGTCTCCATCGTGCCACAGGCTGCGCTAGGTTCCACGGACAGGAAACCGACAGCAAAGATCGACCGCCTTGATCTGATATCATGGGTGTTGTCGTCTCCAGCACATCAACAACATCGCCATTCTTCCTCACAAGCGGCATCATTGGCTTCGTCTCCTTCGCCTTCACGGTCGGTACGTTCCTGCGCGTGCTCTGGGTGAACATCATGACGCTCGGCGAAGCTCCGCACGAAGTCCACTCCTTCCTCACAAATCTACGGACGGAGTTACAGGAGGAAAGGGCAAGTCTGAAGGTGATGAGAAAGGTCTGCAAGCGTCGGCAACGCTTGGCTGAGCGAGGTGGAACGTACGCGAGACTTGACAACGGCCTCGACTTGGACGATGTCACGATCAAGACGATGAGCGACGCGATCAAGCACTTGATCAAGCAATTTAGGGATATCGAGAAGCCGTTTCTTGAGCCTGGCGATCATGGCATAGAGGAAGGCACGAAGCGTCGGAAAAGGCGGCGGAGTAGTAGATCAATCAGTCCTTACGCGCATTCACCATACAACTCGCCTCCGGAGAAGGCGTATGCGCGGTCAAGGACGGATCATGACCGGTTACCGCGTTATGCAGACGAACGTGGATACGAGGATGACGATGACGACAGATACTGGGCTCAACGGACACGATACGCGCACTATTCGTTTTGGAAGCGGCTGGCGTGGATTTCCAAGAAGCCACAAGCGCAGAACTTATTTAGTGTTCTAAGTCGCGTGCAAACACGTCGAATAGCGCGGCAGGTCGGTGGGCTGTCGTATATCATCACTGAGTATGGGAACAGTGCGATAGAAACTGAGGAGATGGTGAGGAGGATAGATGAGCGGATGAATCGTTTCGTGGGTGTGAGGAGAGCTGATGAATGACAGAAGCAGCAAGATAGTATCACTTACAGCGGCATGTGCTCATCCGACCATCTAAAAAGCCTCTCGAATCGTTTGTTTGCTCCTCAAAAATACTTGACAACGGTTGCGGTCGAAATCAAGGCCGACGGGCAGTAACAGCACACTGCAGCAATCTGACACCTGCCTCCATCCAGCACGTCAATTGTGTCGGTTGAACTTATCTCGGTCCACACCAGCGTTCAAGCCGCTGTCGGCACGTGAATTACCGTACACCCATCCGAGTAGAGCCTCTTTCAGCGATGGGATCCTGCACTCTAGGAACTCCTGTGGCGCCATCTGCCCAGGGTATTTGCAGCTCGCTGCGCTACCGGTGGCTCGACACATCACGTTGCCTCGTCTCCTGTTATAGTTACGCCCATTATAAACAGCGAATTCGCCAGCGCCTACGAAGATCCACTTTATCTTGAAAGAACGACTTGGTGGCTTTTCGGAGGTGATTGCAAGCTTGGAAACCAGCTCAAGTTCGCTAGTACGAATGGCTTGGATTGCGGCGCGATCGCTTTTTTGTTCCTTCCCCGACCGGCGCCATTGCAAGACAAAATGGCTTCGCTTCCAGTAGTTCGCCCCTGCACAAGCATATAGGCTATTCGCCTCTCCGTGGACTTGCTTACAGGTGAGCAGCAAAGCCGGCGAAGGCGCGCTGGTGGTAGCGAGCTCGACCTTTTCGGTGTAGCAGCTGGCGAAGGCAAGGTCGTAAATGTGATTCCGGAATTCCGAGGGCAGCGTGAGGAAGTGGCAGGTTGAAGTCTCCATTGGCACACCGTGTTCGGCAGTCTTTGTCGTCGGTGGTGCTTTGATTCTTGAACAAGCTGTATGACAGTCAGTACTGAGCTTGGAGGTGTCAGATCAAATGGAGGATTTTACCTGTTTGCCGCTTGTCGACAAGTTACTAATGTCGTAGATATGCAGGCATAGTACTTACGCTTGCATTAGCTGCTGTTGACTGGAATGCCGTTACCCGGTAGCGCTAGACCGGTCATTTGGGAGGGTTTCGGTGCGAAGTAACACGAATTGCTTGATGACAAGAGACAGACTTACCTAGGTAGGTGGAGTTCAACAACACTAGCAAACAAGGCTTTGGTGTAGGCCGCGCGAGGAAGGCGCGTTAACAACGTTGCACGCAGGTTCATGCAAGATCAGAGTAAAGCGCAAAGTGGAAATGATGCTGAACAGCTTCTTGACTTGACTAGCAGCGACATACGTACTACGCGCGGCAAGCTGAACAGCTTCCCTCCTCCACTCTATCGTCTGCTGGGATGGACGTGCTGACGTGCAAGCAACGTGCCCGCTCTTGTCAGGTTCCTTCCTCTCCCTCTCATCTGCTCTCCTCTTCCTCCACAAAGCGTGCTCCGCAAGTACTGCAGAGTGCCCGACTTGTCGAAGATTAGCCGCATAAGCGCAGCGCGCGAGCGACACAGTAGCACAGCCACTAACAGACCAGCTGAAAGCGGCGTGTGAACGGTCCTCAGGGTTGGTGGAGAAGCCAAAATATGTGGATCGAAAGAGTGTGGTAGCCATTCAAGGTCGTCCTCTCCTGTGTTTCCGGTTTTGATCACTACTGCGTGACATTATCTGCAGGCGTTCACTTGCGGACGACGATGCCATGGCGGCGCGAGCGGCACGCAACCTTCTCCTCCTCGGACTCGGACGAGCAGTCGGAGCCGTCGGAGTAGCCGCAGCGGGAACCGCCGCAGTCGAGCTTGACGCGGGCGCCGGCACGAGTGATACCGTAGCGCTCGCATGTGCAGCAGGAGGAGGTGGAGCTGACGGAGGATGGGGAGGAGCTGTTGCTGCTGCGCGAGCTGGTGAGGGATGGGACATCGGAGTCGTCGTCGCTGTCCTCCTCCTCGCTCTCCTCCTCGGACTCCTCGTCGGAGATCTCGGCCTCGGCGAACTTGCTGGCGAGCTTCTCAACGTCGGCGTGCGTGCGGATGTGCGAGGTCTCGCCCGGGCGCACTGGCTTGGGTGACTTGATCTGGGAGGGCGAGAGAGCGCGGCCTTTTGGGACATTGGCGGAGCTGATGCGGCGGGAGTGGCGGGCGGCCTTGGCGGCGGCGCGGGCAGACTCCTCGGTGGCGGCGGCGCCGTTGGCCTTGGGGATGTCGAGGACGTTGAGCTTGCGGCCGGTGGTGGGCTCAGTGACGGCCTCGCGGGCCGGGTCGTGGGAGACGTGGTAGCCGTCGATGATGTAGTAGTACCAGTAGCGCTGGCCCTGCTTCAAGGTGTTGCCCTGGAAGCGGAAGGTGCCCTTCCAGCCACCAACCTTGGCGGCATCCTTGGAAAGGGGAAGCTGGCCGGCGTAGTTGTCCCAGGAGCCGAGCAAGTGGACGGTCTTGCAGTTGGCGGAGGTGCGGAGGGTGAAGTTAAGCTGGATGGCTGCCATTTCGATTGTTGGGTTATATTTGGCTTGGTGGGGGAAACGGTAGTGGTGGTATCGTTTGATTGAGCAAGAAGAGCTGGTTACTAGGCTTTACGTCGACCGGCGACGAGAAAATGCTGCTGCTAAATGGGGAATTCTTGGTATGATTTTAGGGTTTTGATATTGCTGGATGATCGGTGATCGTGCGTGTGGGCTGTATTAGTGAGTGTGTAGTATAGCGATGTGGCACCAGGCCTGTAAAAAAAGGTAAAAACAGAAAACGGGAGACGTAAAACCAAAGAATAGCTCTTGAAGATTGACAGCTTGCTGGAGAAGAGAGGAGGGGAAAGCGAAGGATGGACTCAGGCCATCTTTATGTCTATCACCCTGGCAGCGCAAGGAGCGCACAGTCGAGGTGTGTGCTGAGCTTACTGCGGTGCCACGCATGTGCGGAGGCCGGTGGCTTTTCCTAGATGCTGTGAAAGCCACTATTGGAAAGGTGCAGACAGCGCGAAGGCAAGTCGCTCGTGTGGTGTGCGTGGAGTGAAGTGGGAGAAGTATCCTGGGAAGCGCCTAAGGACATGCGATCATTGGCTGATGTGTGAAGTCTGGACCGTGCTTTGAGAGAGCACTTCGGGCAGTCGACCCGCATCTCATGCATATGGCGAATCAGACGTAGAAGCGCTCAATGCACGAAGGTGCAGGCGGAAGGACCGATCCTACTCATCACAACCCGCTTCTATCTGCGGACTGAAGTGCTGCGCGTGCTTTGCTCAACACGATGTGCCTAAGGTGCATGCCCTCGGTAACATTCGGCCATGTCAACATCATATGAAGATTCCCTGCGATGTCTTCGGCCCCGGCTAAGTGCCAACACACCGTACGTTGGCGGCTACATGCAGAGACGCCAGGAAATGTGCCATGCATCTGCGAAGCGTTGCTACGATGCAGCTCAGCGGCATCACGCTTCAAGCTCGCGGACTCGTCCAATGCTGAACGACAGCAGTTGTTGGATTTCGCAAACCATAGGAACACCCTCTTAGGGGAACGACGTCGAGGCTGCTGTCAACGATGCATTGTTGGTCCGGGGTGCTGGAAGCAGCCGCCAGCTTTCAACGCCTCGTCGCTCGCATATCTGTAGGTTTCAAAAGTCATATTGCGTGGTAAATCGTCTGCGACCATTCGGATAGATTGTTTTTATTGTTCTCGCTCTACAGTGTGTCCAAAGCGGCTCGTGAGCGCAGTGCGATCTACTTGAGCTCATTTTTCATCTCCTCCGGCGGCACACCCATAGCCTGCTGGTCGGACTTATCACCCATATCGTGGCGACCCGCCTCGAACACCTTGTCGAAGTCGTACTCGCTCCAAAGAATATCCGGGTTCAAACCGGCAAACTTCCACACGCCATCAATCCTCTTGTACCAGTGGGTGTTGTAGCTGTGCGCATGGCCCTTGACTGCGACCTTTGTGCGGCTCTTGTCAGTGTACTTCTGATGCGGCACGCGCAGCTGGTGGTAGCCGGTGATTTCATCCTCGCCCGTCTTCTCCCACTTGGTGGCACCGCAGAAGTGCTGCGTCATGAGGAGAGGGTCGCCAAGCACACGAGGGTCGGAGGCCATCGCCAAGTACTCTTCCGCCGGCATGGCTTCCCACAGCTTGTTGAGGAAAGAACGGTAGTCGATGCGGAGGGTAGGGGCAATGACGGTAGCAAGCTGGTCCCAGTTCTTGGTGTCGTATGAGTGCGCCCAGTCATGGTAGATGGCCATGCAGGCTTGGGCGTCTATTCGTTTGTGTTAGTGAACATTCTGACAGGAGTTGTTGCTTTCCCCGGCCCAACTCCCGCAAGCTATCAGGTACACCCTCTCAAGTGATGTGCAGGACCGTAGTCAAGCGTTCCATCTTCTTAGCAGCATCAACCGCTATAGGTAGGTGGTCTCGGAACGAGGCAATGCGAATGGGGGTAGCCAGCCTCCCCTTGAAGCCTCTGGGACCAATGGATGCGTCCACTTCTCGAGCTCATACAAAACAGGAGTTGCAAGACTTACCTTCCCACGAGACGGGCTTGGGCGGTTGGTAGCTCATCTTTGCGGCCTTGGAATCTTTCTCAAGGTCTGTAGAAAGCGTCTGGCGTCTTTTGCTCATCAAGAAGGAAGGGAAGGCAAGGAAAGAAGTGGGGGACTGGGTAGAGATATAGGCTAGAGGAAAAGAGAAGGCTTCACGTTTACCATTGCCAGAGCTCTCACCGCCTCCCCACCGCGGAGCCGCTCTTCGGGCATATACAGCGGGGCCGGGCCAAGAGTTGTATGTAAGCTATCGGTGTATGCTCGCTATGAAGACATACCGACTAGGCCGACAGAGCTGTCATCGCTGGCCTAGTCCTCTGTAAGACCTGGGTTACATCACCTCAGCGTAGCCTTGACCCATGTGTTTTCGAATAATGTGGTGGGTGTACCTGCGTAAGCGTGACCCTGCATCCTCGGTCGAGATGCGAACAGTTTCTTGGACGCGGGGCAGACAGTCGGCCATTTGATGGAGGAGCTTTTGATTCGGTGGCCCGGTTGCTCCCATTCGGGAAATTGTTGGTAAACACAGCCTTTCTTAAACATTGACCTTTCTAGCTCTTGTAAAGAGCCTTGTATTGGCCAAGATGGATCATGAAAGCCTTCGCACCGCATCTACATATTTGAACAACTTGCTGCTTGCGCGGGGTCTACTCCGCAACAGTGAAACGATCGACTTCGTCAAGCCGTCGAAAGAAAGCCGCGCGCAGATCATCAACCTCGTGCACGACCTCATACTGCGTGAAGACCGTAACAAGGAGCAGCGCGAGCATGTCGCGAACACCGTCCGCGCTCTCCGAACTGAGGATGCGCGAAAGACCACCGAGATTGAGAAGTTGAAGGAGAAGTGCGAGGCTTTGGCGCGAGATGCGGTACAGGCACGCACCGCAGAGCGCACGGCGAAGGAGGAGTGTAAGAAGGTCGAGCGAGCTATGAAGAGTCTACAAGATCAGGCGGGCAAGCTGAAGGCGAGTCTCGCGCAGGTGAAGACGCAATGCGCGAATGATGTCCGTAAGCGAGATTCAGAGCTGGCGCGGCTAAAGACGCACCTCCAGGGCCAGCAACGAGGCAACAAGGTTGGCGTAACGGCGCCGAGCATCACCATTGTAGGTGGCGCGCGGGCCAAGCCAGCTTTCGACGCTTCGGTCCATGACCTCCGCGACCCGGCGTACAGTTTAAAGCAAGAGACGACCGAGTTCCTGACTCAGCTAAGCCAAAGCCTGAGCGATGAGAATGACAGCCTGATATCGCTCGTGCGCGGTGCGCTAGAGACACTGCGCGAGCTGCTTGGCGTGTCTGCCAATCATGCAAAACATCCAGACAGTGCCGTTGGCAGTATGGGTAGCGACCAAGGCAGCAGGCAGACCAACGGCCAGATGCTGCACGCACTACCAACTTCATACGAAACTTTAGCCGCGGATGTAGAAAGTGCCCTGACAGAGCTCAAAACGATCCTCAGTAACCCAAGCTTCGTGAATGTGGAGGAAGTCGAGGTGCGCGACGAGGAGATTGCTCGCTTACGTGAAGGCTGGGAGCGGATGGAGGCAAGGTGGAAGGATGTCCTGCTGATGATGGAGAGCTGGCGCCGGAGAGTGGATACCGGCGACACAATCAATCTTGACGATCTCCGGATGGGTATGGGCCTGGTCTCGCCACAACGCCAGCGAAGTAATGTGCCAGAGCTTGAGCTTGAGCAGAGTTTTGTGGAGGGCGAAAGTGTGAGTGAGATCAGATTGCCTGATGTCACCGAGCAGAGCATCATGATGGAGAGTGCGAATCATCCAGCTTCATCGGGCAAAACCAGTCCGAAGCGAAAGCGCGACGTGCTCGAACCGCCGGAGCTGTTCGACTTTCCATCAACGCACAGAAAGCCTGTATCCGTGTCTTCTGCCAGGCAAACGAGCAGAGGACTGAACATGAGCCTTGACTCCCCACAGGCTGAAGATGAGTGCAATGGGAACGTCGAGAGTGGGCCGCACATGACAGTCGCCGAGAAGCTTCGTGCAGCTCAATGCGAGGCCGAAGAAGCAGTCGTGATGCGCACCAGCCATAACTCGCATCTAGCGGCTCCATCATACGCGGACTCGGGCTTAGTCACAGCGAAGGCGGCTGAAGTTGCGTCCTACGGCATGGATGGTGCAGCGGACGAGGAACTCGACGACACGCTTGGCAAGCTGGCTGCAAGTCCTATGGTGAAGAAGACGAAGATCAAAGGCAGGCCCAGGCGGAGGAAGAGCACGCTGAATCCAGAAGAGCTTGAAGCATTGCTGATAAGTGCCGATGGCTAGGCTTGTAGAGACTGTACATTGTCCCTTGTGGCCACGAGTGGCTGCAGTAAGCGGCTAAATTGCGTACGTTCTCAGATAAACACCCTCTTCGCCTCCGTCGTCCTTGCTTCCAACGGACAATAAGGACATTTCACCCTATGCTTCCCCCTCGCATGACCCTCCAAGCTTTCCTTCGCTATAACGTGCCCACACGGCAGCATCATGGGCGGATTCACATCGGTCGTCTGCTCCTTACTCACCGGACAAACGAAGATGGAGTGGAAAAGGTAGCCGGATGGCAATGGGGTCTCCACCGGCAACTCATTCACGCTCGTCCATTGCCCGTGCCTCTCCGCAATTATGCGTTCGACTTTGAGTAAAGTTGGTAGTGCAATGGTGCCGGCTGTGCATGCGGTATGGAGGGGTGAGCGAGACGGAAGAGAGAGGGTGGTTAGGTATGTCGATGAGAAGGAGGCACTGACGTCCTCCCACGCTGTGCTGTTGAGGAAGAGCGTTTTGTACGGTGACGAGCCGAGATCGGGGGAGAAAGCGAGAGAGCCAAGCAGAGCAGAAGTCTCTCGCATGTAGCGGTTGCTGAAGCTTGGGAAGGTGGTGCGGGCATAGTCGAGAGCTTGCAGGGGGCCGGAGAACGAGCCCTGAGACGTTGCGGAGGTGTATAGTTCCACAAAGCGGAGACGGCTGAGTTCGAATTCGAGGTTCGAGCCGCGGTTTTCGAGTTCGGCGCTGTGATTGCGCGCCCACTCGATGGCGGGCGTGAGGTTATGTTGGTTGCGGAGAGCGTCAAGAATGTGGTACATGTCGGCGAATTTCTTCTGCAAGTGGCCTTTTGCCAGCTCGCCGTAAAGCTCCTCGTCCAGATCGTCATCGTCCTCCATGTCCTCATCCTGTTCTATGAAGTCGTCCACCCATCGATTGGGTGTTCCTCTAACGACGTCTTGCATGTCGTCCTCCTCACGATAGGTCTCGTTGGCCGAAGCGGCATTTATCTCCTTGACGAAGGTGCTCGCTACATCGAATTTGCCTTCTCTGAGCAAATGCATGGCGATCGCTCGCTCTACGAGCCCTTTCTGCTCCGCACTACCCAGCCCACTCTCGCCGCCTACCCCAGCCGTTGGCAATGTTGAGCTCTTGAACTTGTCTTTCAGCGCCTTCTGATACTGGTTGAGGCCCTTGTTGACTTCCTTCAGATCATCCTCGATCCGGTCAAAGGACTGCTTTAGTGGGTTCTTCAGCTTCGCGATATGCAGTACTGGCTTGTCCGAGCCATTCGAAACATCATCGCGTGCCGTCTGTAGCATCGATATGAGCGCATCCACGTCGCTGAGCGCTTTCGATAGGTTGGACTTGGACTCCAGAGCTTCGTGGGCGGCGAGGATGGCTTCCATCTTACAGACTGTGGCTGACTTCAACCGGAACGGAATCTGGTTGTTCTAGTGATACACGATTGGATTTACACGTTCGATTATTGTGATCGCAGCCGCTGACGGAGCTGATAGTACATATAGTTGATTGAGATACGGTACAGTGTGAAGCTTGACGACCTGTGGCGTCCAGATGTGGCGCGGGCCTTTCCTTTGCTCGAATTCACTCATACATGTACACCATACATCCGGACCGTACCACGAACAGGTCTTGTAGGTCTTCACAGATTCATCCATCATCAAGTGTCTGCATGGACGATACACCTGCGCATGCGAACATGCAATGTGCGCCTCATGTTGCAGCGTGAAAGGACGACGTTCCAATCGCAACACATAACCGTGCACCAGTGCATGAGGTCTGAGCCGCATGATGTGCGCGCTGTAGAAGTTTTTGACATTACACATGGCCACCAGAGCCTCGCCTGGTGGTCCTAAGGTGCCGTTGCAGCCGTTGGATACCGAAGTCAAGCGGCCGTCAACCGCACCTCATAGCGGCACACCATCTGGTACCCGCCGAACGCCTCCGCGGGTCGATGCGACGCCTGAAGACACGGATGCTCAAGCACCAGTTCTGAAGCCTGGCCATCAGCGCTTCGTACTTACCGACCCGGTCGCCTTCCGTTACCTGGAGGAGGATCCATCCACCACCGTTCTGGAGCGGAGACGGGACCTTCACGGTTACGAATGCTACATCGTGGAACAATGGACGACTTCACGCACCCATCCTACTTTCGTAATCACGACCTATACTGGAGACCCATCGCATGTTGTCGTAGCTGGTGTGCTCAGTGTTCCTACGAACGAGCATGATTGGTCGCCACGCTTGCGTGTATATTTCAAGGCGTTGAATCAGTATCATGCGCGAAGACGAGAGACTCCACTTGGCATCCTGATGGTCACTAATCTCTCCGGCTTTCCTTCGTCTCTCACAGTCATCCCCGTACCTGGCGGTGACCTGCGCAAACACCGCTTCGACTTCTTCGTCAACGAGGACCTCAAGCGGCTTGGATGCTCCGGTCGTGTAGGCTTGACCCTTGCCAACCCTGCCCAATCGACTGTCGCAAAGTTCCATCAGCTCTACCGTACCTCGGACAAAAACGAGCTTTACAAGTCCGTTATCGAGCTTGTCAAGCTATGCCAGTCAGCGCTGATGCTCTTCGACAAGCTCGAGATAGACTACGCTGACGGTCTGCTATGCGACGTTACCGAAAGAGCCATCAATGACTGGTGGGTTGACATAGGAAGCGAGCAGTACAGTATCGAACCTCACGATGGTATCCTTGGCCCGACCACCGTCGCGGGGTTGCTTGGCTTGTTGATGGGCGCGCGTAACAGGCTGCATGCTGTTGGTGCGCCCGTTGCAAAAGATCCGTTCGATGTCGACGCCATGAAGCGAGGCATCAGCCACTTTCAGAAGCAGCAACGTATGCCCCGCAGCCGCCGTCTGGACCGCCGAACGCTGGACCGTCTGCACAAAGCCACGCAGAAGGCTGCAGAGCATGAGGGATGGAGCATGCCTAAAGTTATTAAAAACACCGCCGCGGAGCTCAGCGGCAAAGGTGGCGAGATGATCGCTGACGCAGTCGGGCGCAGAGATAGAGCCGGTCTTGCCGAGATCGAGACGTGTGATATCGAACGCTTCGTCGAATTGATCTACGGCGAGCGATGCAAGTGGCTGTGGCGCGGCAAGCCTATGAAGCATAGGCAGGAGACGCAGCGTCGCGAGCGTGCGGAGTCCGATGCTCGACCGCACAAAGGTCTGGTCTTCAAGCATGACGACCAAGGTGGCTTCACTTGGACGGCGCGGAAGAGCACCGCAGATGGTGTGCCCATGAGCGCGGTGGAGCGCGATGTGCCTGAGGAAGCTCTAACTCCCGTCGAAAGTAGTGACGACGAAACGAGGTTCAAAGTGTTCAGGCGGGCCACCGACCTAAAAAACGAAGCGAAGAGCGGCCTTGGCAAAATCAAGGGAGCAGTCGGCTTAAAAGGACATCAGCAGAAACCATCAGTGGACGAATCACCCACAACGCCAGTCGAGGAGAACGGCCCTTCTAAGCGGCGACCGCTGTTTCGCCGCGCACATAGCTCCCCGTTGAGCAGTCCAAACAGTCCAAGGTCGCCCACGCTCGATAGCAGACTCCAGGCATTGCACGAGCAGCGCAGCCGGGATGGTGCCGATGCATTACCAACGAGAGGGCAGCAGCCGCCACCAAGCTATCCAACGGCCTTCGCCCAAACAGTCGGCGATCCAAAGGAAAACTTCATGCCTGCTTCGCTTGGCGACCGAGAACAAGTGCAGGACAGTGGCGACTCTGGCAAGCCAGGAGAGTCTACGCAGCCGTCTGAGCGAACGTCGCGAGACCGGACCGCGGAGCCTTCTATTGCCGGATCTATCTATAATGGTGTAGATCTGGACGACATCTTACCAACCGGTCCCGGGACTGAAAAGGACGTTGGCAACCTTCTCAAGCGCACGATCTCCCTTAGCTATATAGCCCAGCCTGAGCAACGCCCGAACGACGCATACCCGCGCCACCTTAGCTTCAGTCTTGCGGAAGACAGCGTCCTCGTCCGGCCTGACGTGACCGAAGATGACGAGGGCTTTTACGATGATCCTACAGCTCAACTTGCCGAGCAAGAGTTCTTAGCCAAACAAGCCCACAATCTCCGCCAAGCGCTGAATAGCCTTCAAACCTCCGCCGCGCCTTGGACGCAATCTCAACTCCGCGCTCTTGACTCCTTGCTCGAACAAGCGGACCGTGACACGCAGCATCTTTCCGACATGCACGGTCCGTTCATCGAGCACGTCAACGTGCTACAGACGCATAGTGAGGGCGTGCTAAGGGCGCAGAAGGACCGTTTCGAAGAAGGTGGGAAGGAGATCGAGACTTTGATTGCCAAGCTGGACTACGAGATTGACGGCTTAAAGAGCAAGATAGATGACGTTGGAGCTGGTGTGCAGGACTTTGCGAAGGGAGTCGCGAGAGTGGAAGAGAGGGTACGGGAGTTGGAACGCGATGAGGAGAGGAGGGAGAGAGGGTCGTTTTACGGGCGGTGCGTTGTTTCTTAGCGTGCAGGATTCTTCGTCTTGGTTTGCTACTTAGCGTGGAGCATAGCTGAGGGATAATCAACACGGGTTCGACGAAGCTGCTGCGTCACAGTCCGCAGCTATGCGCCGCCCTCCCTCTCACCGCTGGTCCTGGCACCTGCCTGCAGGGTAGAGAATCATAGAACACCATGCCGACTGCGATTATCTTATTCAATTACCGCAGCTTCTGCCGTATTGATACCATCCCGCCAGGCTTTCCTTCCGACTGATCTTGACTGCTAGACCACACAAGATTGCCATTACTGTTGATAAAGAATCCTCCAAGTCCATCTTCATATCTCGATTAATCCACGCTACCGCCGGATGACTGCGCACGATATTGGCTACTGAGGCCAATTGTCGCCCGTTCTTGACGGCCGTCGGGCTATCCACAAATGGAGGCTGCGCAGGTGGCAGCATGACTGGACACTCTTCGTTCTCGGTTCGCGTGGGTAGCATTGTAGATTTCATCGCTTGTGCGAGACCTGATGTCCCGCGCTGCATAAGCTACCGTCAAACAAATACTCTTAAAAGCAACACTTCATCGGCCAAGCTTGCCGACTCCTGGTTTTGGTAGCTGCCGTATTCATGTCCTGCACTTAGTAGATGTCCAAGTCATTTGTTGTATGCTCCAATCCAATGGTAAACCTAAGACCGAGCTCGCAACAGAAAGCACGTATGTGTGAAGTTGTAAATGCGGAAGGAGCGAATGGTGCACGTGCTTTGAAGACTCACAGGCAACATGCGTTTACTTGACTTCATTATGAACTTTCAGTGTCCAGAGTCAGTACCAGTGTATGAGCATTCTCCCTATTGATTGATCCATCGGGGCACCGATCTTAGGTTTGCCGCTCACATCTCGTGGTACAGAGACCATGGGTAAACATACCGGCCCAACAATGAGAGTCCCTACAAGTCTGCATGGAGCGTCAAGCGCATTACTGGCTCTGATACTTCTTCACATGCTCCCAGAGCGCCGGATCGGTCTCGACTCGTACCTCGTCCTTCGAATCGATCTCGTGGTATCGCCGTAGATCCATTGGCTTGTCAAGTAGCGGAGTTACATATTTGTCGAATGTCTGCCAGTAGGGATTCTCCAGATGGTACCTTAGAGAGATCAGCTGCAGACGGGAGAAACATGGTGGAGAGCGTTCACTTCTGGCTTGACTCCGTTGCGTAACGCTCGATCTGCGTACTGTCAGCGACCCACAATGTAAGGTGTGAAATGACGAAGGCTCTGCTCGATTACAATGGTGAAAGCACGTTTGTCGGACTGGCTCTGCATCACAAACCTATACAGATATCAGCGTGAGCTGTACGGGAAGCCGGGAATAGCCATACCAGCTCAATGTTTCCTTGTCGTTGCTGTACACTTGTGAAGCTTCTTGCAACTTGGCTGTGAGCTTCATAATAGATTCTGCATCGTCCTTGGCGTAAAGATGCACCACGAGGCTGTAGGCGGGCATAATGGCGATCCTCGACGTGCTCTGATGTGGAAGAAGAAGAACGAGGAAAATGGAATCGAGAAGGCGAGGCCTAACGGTTCAAAATGAAGCTATGACGCTCAGGCTCGAACGAGCTGACAAAGAGGGAAGTTACGCCTGGCTCACACGGGTGACATGCTGACATCTGTACAGTCAATGATTATAATTGTATGTACTATTCTACATCGTTCACACAAGCGCCTCCAACGCCGGCGCTGTTATTCAAGTCTACAGATCAAGCTAGCTTACTAAGTCCTCACCGCGTATTTGGACTTCGTGCGGATCCATGGGCCTGGTGGTGTTAGCAGCAAGACAATCAAGCTGGGCTCGGAAGCTACACGTACCATACTTGTAGAAGACATACGGCACCGGGACAAGCAACGCACTCAAACATGCTAAGATCGTGAGGGTGTACGCAACACCCATGTTCTCGTAGAACGGAATGCCCACAATGACCATGCCGCCAGCGGCTACGTATCTTATTAAAGTGATCGAAGCGAGCGCGCTGGCTGCATACGTCTCGTATGCGTCAATAATATACCTTGCACCAGTTAGCATGGACCTCCGCCGAACGGTCGGAACGCGCACTTACTGATAGCTGGTAATGAACACGCAGAGAATGCCGTACCCAAATAGCGCAGATGCAGCCAGCGGCGACCAGATAGAGATGGTCGGCCGTGCCGTCCAGCCCATCCAAAACAGCGAGATGGGAATGGCGAAAGCGCCGCCAAGCATGCTGTACCAGAGTCTGAACTCAGGGGGCAATCTCTCGCCGCCGGCCTCTTTAATCTTTTGAAGATCCCGTTTCGCCCACTTGTAGATCAACGGTACAAGTGCTGAGGCACCGAAGAGGCCGACTATGATCCCCAGGAAGCATATGCCCGTCAAGCCTTCCGAAATGCCATACGTATCCGTGAAGACATAGGTATAGCCGTCAAGGAAGGTGAAGAGGACAATATAGATAACAGTAAGGTACAAAGCAATGAGAATGATGATTGGTTCGCGAGAGGTAAGTAGGAACGGCCGATAAAGGGCCCGCTTCAGTCGTCTGAAAAGAGATTCCTGTCTGACTTCGATTTCCGCGCGGTAACGGTCGTCGTTCGCCAATGCCCGGAGGTGCTTCGCTTTCCACTTGAGCAGGATGGGTGGGTACGTCTCCGGTTGGAAGAGCACAACAAGCGCTAGCACTAGTCCGGAAATGATGAGGGTGATCCACTCGACCCATCTCCAATCCAAGAACTGCACGATGTAGCCTCCCATTACTGGTCCAAGCAAAGGGCCAGTGAAGGCAGCGTTTGCGAAGATCGGAAAGGCGAAGACACGCTCCAGCGGGCTCCAAAGATCACTAATGGATCCACCAGCACAGGTTAACGGCGTGCTGCCGAACAAGCCAGCAAGGAAACGGAACGCAAGCTGCGCGCCAATGTTGGGCGCAAGGCCAGAAGCCATAATGAAAATCATGTACACCACAAGTGTAACGATGTAGACTGGGTTGCGGCCTACGGTCTCCGAGATAGGTCCAGCAAGGAGTGCACCGGCGCCAAAGCCCACGAGGAACAGGCCGGTGGCCATGCTCTCCACAACTTCCGAGACGCCGAAGTCTCGGGCTGCAGCCTGCAGAGCGCTGCTGTCTATGGCGCTCGCAATACCTACCACGCAGCCGATAGCAGCCACAAGTAAAGTGCAGGGTATGCGGTACCAGTAGCTCCAGTTATGCGGGTTTAATGCGTCGTTCTCGCCTTCGAAGCCCACAACGAATACATCGCCCTCGCCACCTTCTTTCGTCGTTCGCTTGCGGATGTTGACGCCTGTCAGAACCTGCCCTAGCCTCGTGCGCGCCGATTGTTGGGTTGTTAGCCGCGACAGTCTGTGCTGGCCAGCCAGCTCGTCATCGTCGTCTTCATCGGCCTCTTGAAGTGTCTCTTCTGTTTCCTCGAGGAATCCACCAGGTCTTTGGTTCTCTTGCATCGTCTCATGTTCTTCGTCAGGCATAGGCGGGCCGATTTTAGGGTCTATCTCGCCCGGATTCACCCCAATGGGCGGTGGTTGCGCATGATCGTCTTCGCCCTTCTCTAAGTCGATCTTGCTGTCATCACTGGCATCAGACACTGGCGAAATATGGTGTCCCTGCGACTTCGCCCGATCTCTCTCCAATTGCGCCTTGGCCGCCGTTCGGAACCGGCGATACTGTAGTAAAGACTGCATCTTGCCAACATAAGAACACAAGAGAAGGCGAGCGAACAGGTAGTGTAGGAGAGACGCGAAAAAAGCATTATATCGAAAGCCTACCTCTACGCCCACCACGGCACTGCACGGGTATACCGGCTTCCCCATGCGCTTTTCTGCAATGAGCTTGCAATCAAGCGGCGTTGTAGTGCATTAAGCGATCGACAATGATGCAACACACACAGCATGCTGAACTATAACTGACAGCGGATGTAAGGCGGCGTCATTTCCACATTCGGCATGGATATAGCGAGATGCGGATTATGCCGAGCAGTTTATTGCCGGTAGCTCCATAGGAACACAAGGTGCACAAACGCAGGTACACGACCTCCGCATATGCACTCGCACTTGCACTGGTTAAGGAGCCATGTAAAATCAAAGAAGAGTGGTTGCTGGTCAAGTGACAGCCACGCATCCGGCACGTTAGAGATCGCTATATGCGCTACCGCCGACACTTTCGTCGAACGCCATAAGCTCCTTTAACCCGCAGACCTCGAACAATGCTCCAGGTCCAATGTTCTGATGTTCAGGTGATTTGCCTGTCTTCTTCAGCGTCTGCAGCGCGCTCTGCACCGCAGGCACAACGGCTTCCAGGCCCACCGTCGGCCAGATGACTATCCGGAAGCCTAGGTTGTTCGCCTCGTCATTAGTGACGATCGGAGTTCGACCGCCAGGGACCATGTTCAGTAGTACCGGAACGCCATTCGGAAGACACTCGATGACTTTCTTCGCCTCGTCTTGAGATTGGATGGCCTCGAAGAAGAGGGCGTCCACGCCGATTTTGGCAGCCATCCTCATGCGTTCAACGGCTTCGTCGAAGCCGCCGTTGCCCTGCGCGTCCTTGCCGGCGCGTGCATCCGTCCGGGCAATGATTACAATACCATGTCCGCCATCATCTCGAGCTTTACATGCGGATCGTAGACGGTTGTAGTACACCTCTCGTGGAACAAGTAGCTTGCCACTCAGATGCCCGCAACGCTTTTCCTGGACTTGATCCTCGATGTGGAGGCCTAAAACATACATCACAAACCGCTAGTGAAGATTGTGGGAGGACTTTCGCATACCAGCAACGCCTGATCGTGCATATGCCCTGACCGTATTCGCAACATTGATCGGCCCGCCATATCCTGTGTCTGCGTCCGCAATGACAGGCACAGCCGGGTTGATCGAGGCGATCATAGCAGCATTCTGGTGCATGTCGGTGAACGTCGTGAGTCCCAAGTCCGCCATGCCTAGTCGAGACATGCTGGTCCCTGCGCCTGTCTGGCTGCCATGTTAGTCGCTTGGCGTTCTCTCAAGCACAGCGGTGGCGAGCTCCCGCATACCATGTATAAGCATTCAAAGCCGGCGTTGAGCGCCAAGCGTGCGGTGATGCCGTCGTATACACCAGGGGCTACAACAGTCTTTGATGGATCGGACAGCATCTGTCGTAGCCGCCTTGGGCCAGAGACTGGCTGTTCTATGTGGCCGTTCATTGCGGGCTAAGTCAGTGGAATGGAGGTGAAAAGTGCCAGAAGCTTGAGACAACAAGGGAGTACCAGATGCTCAGCAAAGCAATATTGGATCTGAAATGGTTGTCGCAGATAGGGAAATAACACTTATGAATCCATATATGTTCGCCTGGCGCCCCGGGCAAGCACTGAAAAAAGCCCGCCGACACCGGAGCTTTACGATTTCGCTACAGTAGATAGACATTCATGTGAGTTGGTTGCTCTCGTTGACATCTGCAACACCAGCGCTTCTATGTTGGCTACAGGCGCCAGATTGATGGTTGATCTTGGTAGGTGCGAGGCACGTTGGCCGTCGCACAACATGCGGAGATCTCGTGGCTTGCCCGAAGCACGGATCCTTCTTCACATGCTTCCGGCTTCCACTTCCCCAGACTTCTATCTTCGGCACAGCCGCGGCTCCAGCGTGAAGTCATGCGCTCAGTGTCGGTATGCTTTCTCAATGCATGTGATCTTGGAGTCTCGTCATCTTCTCCTTTGATTGCTCTACCAAACCCCTCGTGACTTACGACGACACGATATCCTAGGTGAAGGACGAAGGCGAGCAACAACAACACCTGTCTCCCTCGCGCAATTTCATATCACAATGTCTCTCAAGGAAGGTTAGCAAGCATATCGATTGGAGCGATCTCGCCGAAGCCAAAGACTGACATCCCACCTCGAAGATGCCTGGCCCTCCTCAGCGGCGTTCGACCTGATTGCCGACGCACTGAAAAACGATGCGGAGCGTAAGGCGGCTATGAAGCAAGCCCCCTTCATCTTCGGTTTCACTCTCAAGAACGATAAGAATGAGACGAAGAGTTGGTACATTGACCTGAAGAAGACCGGATCAGTGGGCAAAGATAAGACGGCGCCGGAGGGAGAGACGGCGGTCGTGACATTATCGTTGAAGGATGTTGATTTTGCCAAGCTGGTCTCTGGCAAGGGCAAGCCGCAACAGATGTTCATGACCGGGAAGCTGAAGCTTCAGGTGCGTAGTCGGTGAGGTGATGATGCCGCAAATTCCGCTAACAGAGGTCTTCAGGGCGACATGATGAAGGCGACGAAGATTGAGCCGATCCTCCAGAAGGTCCAGACCAAGGCTAAGCTATAGAGATGGGAAGTCATTTGCTGTTATCGTGCATCGACCCGCCTTTCGAACGTTAGATGAGGAGTTGCTCGGTTAGCTACACTGCTGTTCGACGCACAAGGACGCAAGCGCAGTGGTGCTGTATTGACGTCGCGCCATTATCTTTGGGTTTTCGCCAACTACTCTGATCTTGCCTACACCCTCCTAGTCAATGACGAATGTGCTGAATCGCTATACCAACCAGCTATGTCGATGAGCATTGGCAGTGGTGTAGCGGGTCAGCTTGCAGTGCAAGCAAACTGGCGTAATCGCTACATCTCCTAAGCGTTGGTGCAGCGCCCACTTCACGTCTTGACCGGGCAGCTTATGCACAGGCTATGTTATTGTGATCAAGACAATCCAACATAAAGTTATTGGATGAATCCCAAGGTCATCGGCATGTCGTATGCTTGCTTACCACCTATGGTAATAGCTTCTCTGCTACTGGTCATGGCATGTTTACAGAGATACTTAGTGCTGTAAATAGTCGCGTATATAGCTGGGGTCGCCTTCCCATCTTCATCTTCTTCTCAGAAGCTCTTAGAAAGTACAGTACGTGTCCACACAGCAACAACGAGAGTGAGATTCATCGCGAGAGTGAGTTTCCTGCCTAAGGCTGCCATTGATGCGGGCTGACTCAGTCAAAAACAAAGCCACCATCTCGGACTTAAGGAGTCCATCAACGCTACGCAGACGACATCAGCACGCTGCGCGTACTCGAAAGTAGACAGCAGCAAGATGAGCAAGCGTCTGGCGGAGTCGCAAGGAGGCGAAGAGAGATATGGGAAGAGCAATGAAGGCGGCATGACGGGTTCTCAAGACCGCGCACCACAGGCCGCCACGGCGGCGCAGTTGGCACGGCGCAAGTGAGTATTCACTTGACATACCTCGCCTCTCACGTCAACCCTACTAACGATATGCACTACTAGAATTATACAGGCCAGAGGTAGAGTCTCGGCACGTGGCAGCCGCGCGCCTTCACCAGCGACTGGTCCGCAGCAGTCAAACCCATTCCAAACCTTCCAAGCACCACCCGCTGCCGACTCCTTCACCTTCAACATGCAAGCCTCAACGCCGACCCCAGCATTCGGCCAACAGCCGGCGCAGACGAACGGCGCCATCTCCCTCGGCGGCCAGTCAAATGGCGCTACGCCAATCTTCGGAAGGTTCGGCGACAACCAGAACAACAATAGCCAAAGCTTCAGCTTCGGTGCAAACGGTTCTCAGCCGCAAACGAACGGCTTCGGCACATCCAACACGTTCTCATTCGGACAGTCACAGCCAAACACGAACAGCACGTAAGCAGCGCGACCCTTTCCCACGAGATCGTTTGGTGCATAGCTAACTTTTTACTCATCACTGTTTAGGCAGCCTTCGGCATTCTCGTTTGGACAGCAGGAGCAGCCGAAGTCGAACAGTACGCAGCCTTCATCATTCACGTTCGGTCAGACACCAAGTCAGAGCCAAGAGCGGCCGAAGACGAACGGCTTCACGGGTCTGTTCGGAGCGAGCCCGGCACCTCCGAGTACCAACAAGCCAGGACAGAGTGTCTTCAGTGGCCTGTCCGGGTCAACCCCGAAACCACTTGGAGGGCTATTGTTTGGCCAGCAGGCTAACGACACCACGACGTCCAATTTTGAGTTCGGAAAGGAGGACACGAGTATGCTGAGTCCAGACAGCACTCCGCAGAAACCACAGGCACAGTCATCTGTGCAAGCACAACAGCCTGCGACCGAGGCGGAGACGCCCGTCAATGCCGATTCAGGCAAGAGCATCTTTGACCGGTTGTCACGCGACCCACCAGCCACAGAGCCCAAACCCACCTTCAAGTTCGGCGCAGCGCCGCCTTCGGAGGCGGAGCCACAGAACCCGAACGCAGGAATGAGTTTGTTCGAGCGCATGACGCCAAGAGACCCAGAGCCACCAGCAACAGCTCCGAGGCCCTCCACGTCACTGTTCAAGTTGCCTGCGCCGTCAAATCCGTCCGGCACCTCCCTTTTCACATCACAAGCTCCGGCGCCACCGAGTACGCCAGGTGCTTCTATTTTCCAATCACAAGCTTCAGCAGCACCAAGTGCGCCGAGTGCTTCCCTCTTCCAACCTCAAGCGCCAGCGCCAACGCAGCCGGCTCCGCAACCAGTGCCACAAGTAACACTCTCAGCTCCCGAGGAAACGTCGACTTCTGCAACTTCTTCCAATACGACACTTTCCGATCTTTCGAAGCTGAAGAGTCTCAATGAAGGTCTTTTGGCACACCTCAAGACTGAGGATACCGACAAGGACTGGAGCATCATTTGTGAATACTACCTCTACGAAGCAGCCAAGTTAATCGGCAAGCAACTTACCAAGGCACCGGCCGCGACTTCTGCTGCACTGCCAGTGACAACTCCATCTGCGCAGAATGCGATGGCGCCGTCGCCGCTCCCAGCAAACACACCATCCATGTACAGCCTGTTCGGCACCTCACCCCCGGGACCTACCCCTACGCCGGCAGTAGCAGCGCCGTCAAATCTACGAGGCGACACATCACAAGCCCAGACTCCTGCACCTTCTGGACGGTCCACTTACGTGTCGGAGTCGGAATCGGAATCAACGCCCAAAGCTAGTACAATAAACATCTTTGCCCAGGCAATGACGCCTAAGCCAATCAATGGAGCAAGTCTCTTCAGTCCAGCTGCGCAGACTCCAAAGACGTTAGATAGGCCAAAGTTCTTCACATCAGCGGCGCAGCCACCCGCCACTGCGCCAGCAAGCCGAAAGCGCTCTGCCGATGACGAGCTTACCAAAGATACTACGGCCCCCGAAGTCCCTGCCACAGAGAAGCGTACGCGCTTCGCTGAACCGGTACAGTATCCTAAGTTGTCCGACAGTGCGAGCAACACAGCGAAGCTTTTCGCATCGACGCTCGACAAGCCAGCCGGAGAGCTGGCTCTGCCATCAGGGCAGCTAAAGGCTCCCAGCTCGTCAACAGTGTCAGACACGCCCTCGTTCGGTCCCTCGGAGGACCTGATGATGAAAGTGAGGGAGCAGCGGGCGGCCAAAGAGGCAGCGCAGAAGGCTGACGCAGAGAAGCCCAAGGCTGCCCCCGGGGCAACGAACGGATGGCAGCCGTCTAGCAGCTTCATGTTCCCACAGAAGCCTGCGACTGCGAAGGCGTCGGAGACCACTGCCTCGCCTACGTTTGGATCCAAGCCGGCGGAAACCTTCAGTGTGCCTGGGTTTGGCTTTAAGCCTGCGGAGACCTCCAGTGCGCCTGTGTTTGGCGTCAAGCCTGCGGAGACCTCCAGTACGCCTTCGTTCGGATTCAAGCCTGCGGGAACCTCAAATCCGCCTGTCTTCGGTTTCAAGCCTACTGAACCATCCGCTGCCGCATCATCCAGCTCTGAAGCAGCGGAGACTTCAAGCAACTCTGTCAACGGCTTCATGCCATCGACGGCTGCGACAGCGAAACCTGCAGAGACACTCAGTGCACCTTCTTTCGGCTTCAAGCCTGCGGCTCCTGCTACGCCAGCGACTGCCGCTGTTGGCTTCAAGCCAGCTACTGGCGCAAGCGCAGCGGATGGAGCCACCAGCTTCCTGTCGAGCTTTGGCAGCGAAGCGAACAAGCAGCTTGAGAAGTCGAAGCGCAAGCGCATGGATGAAGACTACGACAGCGAAGAAGAAGATAGAGCAGCATGGGAGGAGCGCGATCGGGCGATTCAGCAACAGAAGATGCAAAGCATCGCAGAAAGCGCGAAGGCTGGGACAGGCTTCAAGTTTATGCCTGCGAGCAAGCCGGCATCTCAGCCAGCCATCTCGTTCTCGTTTGGCGCTCCGAAGGCTTCGACTACCAACGGCACTTCGGGCGATAATGCTAACGAGGATACGACTGCGATGAAGCCTGCCTCTGACAGTGCGAAGTTTGTGACAGGCTTCACACCCACGCCTGCCGACAAGCCAGCATCTCAGCCGGCCGTCTCTTTCTCATTTGGCACGCCGACCGTCTCGACTGGCAACAGCGGTTTGTTCGGCAACAACGCAGGCGAGAAGAAGCTCGCACCACCACCGCCAGCTGCTGGCTTCCTTTTTGGTACCAGCGCGGGCACGTCTACGGATGCTTCTCGCGCGACTACGCCTGGCGGTACGACTGACGGCGAGGCGCCTGCTACTGGCGCTGACGGAGAGAAACCCGACCTCAACGGCGACGGCGGGCCAAGCGATGAGCAGACCGACAAGCAGGTTGACGACATGACGATCCTGACTTCAAAGGAGCGCGAGGAGCACGACGTCCTGTTCGAGACCCAAATCGCCAAGTCCTCGAAGCTGGACAACAAGCCGACCGAGAACGGCATGGCCAGAGCTTGGGTTGAGCGAGGCAAAGGTCCGCTCTACATCCTCCGAAACAAGACCTCGGGCAAGACAAGAGTGCTGCAAAAGATTGCCCCGTACGGCAAGCCGGCGATGAACTTCGACGTCCTTAAGGGAGGCAAGTACACTCAGAACGCTGGCAAGAAAACCACGATGGCGAGTTTCGTTGATCACATCCAGCCAGACACCCAGGCGCCGAGCAGGCCCAGCTCATGGCTGATTACCGTAAAGGAAATACAGGATGCGCAGGAGATTGCGCGGATCCTAGATGAGGCGAGTCACTGAAACTCACGTGTATTAATGATATGCATTGCACTGGCGTTATCGTGCGTTTCGGGATACTGGCTGGACACTGTATGAATTGTGTACAGCAAAAGGCGCGCTTACAACAAGCCTGGCGACTAGCGATGGATTTCTGGAGATTTCGGCATGGCATAGCGTGGGTGCTTTGGGAAGGCAGCGCCGCGCACAGCCAGGCGCGTGCGATTGAGATGGATATACGAGACGCTTGTTTGCTTTAGATGGACCCGGAAGTGGAGAGTCAGGTCGACAGCTATGGAAATGGGCAGGTGAGAGACTCGGATTGTTCGCTTTCTACCGTTTTGCTTTCGGCCTTCGTGGCTATGTGCAACACGGCAATGTGCGACTTTCTAGCTCCCGGAGGGCCTGATGAGAGACCTTGATGTTCTGCTATAGCGCCTCTTTGCTTTCGGCTTCCGTGGCTAAGTGCAAGTTGGCAACGTGCGAGATCTTGGCTCCTTAGTGACGCCGTACGTAGCTGCTATCAGAGGCTTCTGCATTAAGCCAATAATTTCACCATGACTGTCGCTCAATCGCGGACGGTATCTGAAGTCCCAGCCATGAAGTACCACATACAGGAAGCGAAGAGTTGATGGTGCGTGGTGGAGCTAGAGGATTTCAACCTACCTAGCTAAGGGAGACGTGCCATATCTTCGCTAAGGGCCTGTCACTGCATTTCCTGTCTTATCCGAAGCCGACAGCGAGCGGGCGTGGAACGTGCGACCGGCATAAGAGTTCCTGCTCTTCGAGAGTGTGAGCGACGATGAGGAGCATGTCGAGAGCCAGATATGGCGGTGATGGCTATTAGAAAAACAAATGCTTGTATCATTCCGCTTAGTGCCTTGCAAACCCCATACCCAGGCCTCTCACGAACCGCACCTCGTCTGCGTTCCTCTCCAACGCTCTTCGCATAGCCATGCCATACTGCCTCTCCGCGTCTTGCTTGGCGCGTTGTTCAGCACTCTCGGCTTGCACTTCTACAACTTCATTCTCGTCATGGTCAAGCGCGTTTCTGTGTCCGAAGCCAAGCATGCCGAGCCGACCATCTCCGGTCCAAAGAATCAGATTGGACTGGTTGATGTCCGCCCTACTGCTTCTATGATCATACGACAGAGTGGAGTTAGTGATGGGGTGCGTTGATATAATCTTTTGCACGATATCGCCTTGCCCAGGCATCTCCGAAGCAGTAGACGACCAAATGCCGTAAGCGCTTGCGTCACCTGGCTGTCCGCTGCCACCATCGCCAATAGGCGCTGTATCATTGATGTTGAGGGTACGCACGTGCGAGAAGCCGTCTCGCTCAACCCACTTCAGATTACCGTCTCCGTCTGAGAAGACGATGCGGCCGCCATGCGGTGCCACAGACAGCAGCTTACTTGCGGAAGCTGTTTGGCGGTTCTGGTACGGTTGGACTCGAGGTAAGCCATACAGCTCGAGCGAGCCTTTGCCCTTGTACTCGGCCGCAGCTAAGATCGTTGTGCCGCGTCTATTGCGCGCTTCAACCAAGGCTGAAATGGTGGCTTCTGGGTTGCGGATGAGGTCCAGATTTTGCGGCACAAGCGGGTAGGGTAGGGAGCTGAGAGAAGCTATGCGAGCGCCTGAATGTATAGTACCGCGCAATCGGGGGAAGAAGCGGCGATCATAGTTTAGAAGTGAAGTGAACCGTCCAGCGACCCAGATCGAGCTGTCATCGGCGCCGAGTCCGGAGTCGTGTAGGATGGAAAGAGGCCCCGGTTGGGCGAGGGTTGCATGCGAGTACTGGGAGCCGCCAATGAGCTCACCAGCGGGATTGGGTCCGGAGAGCATGAAGGCTCGGTCTCGGGGATCGTGTAAGTGCACCGTCCAGTTCGTTCCCACTGTTACCGGCACTCTGTCTTTAGCGTCCGACAGCACTGTAATTGGGAAGGGATATTGCTTCGTTGAGGCGGCCTGCATGGTATTCAAGTCGATCTCGTGAAGCGAGTTCTGAACCGCGAAGTAGCCTTTGCTCGACGTACTGTCAATGGAAACGCACTCTACAGCACCTACCTCTGTCATAATCGCACGGCTCTCGCTTGTTGCATCGGCCTCCCTGCCAGTGAGCAGACCCGGGCGTGTCTGATGAATCAGTCGCCCCCGACCGCCTTGGTGACTACTCGATCGCTCAGAGATATCCCAAACGCAGATGCTGCCGTCGTCCAGAGGTGATACTAGGGTTTGGACGCTGCCATCTGCATTGTCCAACGTACCAGTGCCGGTAGCTTCACAGACAACACCATCCTTGTCAGAAGCCCGTAATTGCGGTACACCTACCCAATGCACGTTGATGCTGGCATGCCGGTGAATGTACTCCTCGTAATAGTTCAGCCGCTCGTCCGGATAACCAGGCTCCCAGTTCACGAGCGCACGTGTACGCTGTACTCGAGCCTCAGCTTCCGGGTCAGCAGAAGAGCGAGGTTGTGTACTGCCTCGTAGCTGAGCCACATCCCAAGCGGTCAAATCCGCTCCAGGCAAGGCAGTTACAGCATTCCGCAGCTCCGCTAGCTGAGGGGATTGGACAGTTAGGAGCTGCTGTCGCCGTCTGAGAGCCTCGGCGCGTGATGAACTAAAGCAGTCAATCTTCCAAAGGGCATTATCGCGGCCAAGCTTCAGATAGCGACATGAAACGGTCTGAAGGCGGACAATGTCTTGCACCTCACAGTAGGAAAAGATGTGCAATACAACTTCCTCCGGTAAGCGGTCCATCTTTGAGATCGATCTGTTGCACTCTGGTAGATGCTACCGAACTTGTGATAACGAGTAAGTAGGTTGGTGGCTAGACCAACCGAGACGACTCCTACGGTTGTGGATACTATGTCGTTGCAACGGAACGCTGTGCCAAGTGCAGTCTCTATAGAGGCTTCGAACAATGGATTTCGTTCGAAGGGCAGTCCAGTGCGAGTGATATAGTGAACATATTAGGGTAGCAGAATTAGAAAGCCAGGTGTAATGGAGCCATCCCCGCGGCCAAGTCGAAGGAGGAAGCATCGGTTCGGCTCAAGCTCGCGGAGACACGCGAGCGTTTTGGGAAGCTGTTCACGGACAAAGCCTGTGAACACCTGGCTGAAACGTCGCCATCGTATCGTTCCATGCATGACGGCTACCTCTGAGTGGGAGAGGGAGATGCTCTCTTCAATCCCAGGGCAAGCACTGCGACTCAGCCAACAAGAACAATGAAACGAAGCGTCTGGCGCATAGCGCCTCTCCTACTCTGTAAGCTTCACCCACCGGCTTATACGCGGCAAACCCTGAGGCTAACGGTACTCTGTAGTCGCTTTCTTCGTCTTCCTCGCCCTTTGTACGGCACGGGAGGAGGCGCCGCAAGATGGGTCATCATCACTTACAGAGCGACCGTCGACGTCGGAGTCTGCCAAGTGGGAGGCGGCAAGCTATGGAGAGGAGCAACCCCAGCGTGTCATGGCGGAAAAGGTGGAAGAAGCGATAGGTATGCTGCGCAAAGTCAAGCCACCGATATCATCAAAGCTGGCTCGCTATACACGAAAACCGAAAGGCTTCTGGGGCAGTAGTGCCTACTATGCTAAGGAAGCGTTTTTCCTACTCTTCATGAATGCGCCAAGACAGGATAAACTCCTGACGACATCCACTTCCCAAACGCCAAAGCTGATCCAGCCGCTGTCGCGAGCGGTCAAACTACTCCAAGATGCCGCGAAGGACGGTGACCCCGACGCCGTCTTCCTGCTGGCGGAGATGCACTTCTACGGCAATTTTACGCATCCAACGTCCTACCCAAAAGCTTTCAGATATTACAAGCAGCTTGCAGACCTTACCGGCAATAGTACTGCTCAATACATGCTAGGATTCATGTACGCCACCGGACTCAACCCGGAAGTACCCGCGGATCAGGCAAGAAGTATGCTCTATCATACCTTCGCTGCCGAGCAGGACGATACCAGAAGTCAAATGACATTGGCGTACCGACATCACGCTGGCATAGCAACACCGCGCAACTGCGACGAGGCAGTCCATTGGTACAAGAAAGTGGCTGATAAAGCGATCTCCTACTACAGGAGTGGTCCACCAGGCGGTCATGTTCTGTCGCGTGACGCCTACAGGCTGGCAGACGAGGCAGGTGGCGTGTACGGCGAAGGCGCAAGCGTGACTTCTGCCGGTATCCATGCCAAACAGGGCGGCCCAACAAGCGATGCCTATGCCAATATCGAAGATGTGCTCGAATACCTGCACTTGCAGTCGTCGAAAGGCGACCTAAAGGCGACGCTGGGTCTTGCTCGTCTTCATTATGATGGCGCTCGCGGCTTGAAGCGCAATCTCCGTCTGGCCAAGCAGTACTTTCTGCAAGTGGCTCGCGAACACTGGCTCGAGAGCGGCAAAGTCCGGAAAGATGTACCGCCGGGCACCGAGAAACTGGCGTCCAAGGCTGCTGGCTACCTTGGACGTATGTTCTTGCGCGGCGAAGGCATGGAGCAGAGTGCCGCCAAAGCTCGCATCTGGTTCACGCGGGGTCTCTCGAATGGTGATGCCTTGTGCCAGTATAGCCTCGGGCTTATGTATCTGCACGGGTTTGAGGTGCCGCAAGATACGGCCAAAGCAGCAGAGTTCTTCGCCGCAGCTGCCGATCAGGACTTGGCAGTCGCGCAGACCAACTTAGGCATGCTGTTTCTGGATCAAGGCGATCCGCAAACCGCAACCAAGTACTTCGAACTGGCGGCGCGGAACAGTCACATCGAGGCGTTTTACTACCTTGCGGAGATCAGTAACCAGGCCGTTGGTCGAGACAGATCCTGCGGTATGGCGGGCAATTTCTACAAAATCGTCGCGGAGAAAGCTGAACCCATCTGGAGTTCTCTCGGTGAAGCCAACGAGGCGCACGAAGAGGGCAACACGCAGAAGGCATTGGTATATTACCTCATGGCCGCGGAGCAAGGCAGCGAAAGCGCTCAAGCGAACGTGGCGTGGATCCTAGATCAGACCAAGCCCAAGTGGAGCCCTATTACTTGGATCCTGTCACTCTCGCAGACAGCCAAGGCAGCTGTAGCTGACGCTTTGTTGGCGCTGACATACTGGACACGTTCTGCAAAACAGCAGAACATTGATAGCCTAGTGAAAATGGGCGACTATTACTTAGCAGGTCTTGGCACAGTTATCTCCGCCGAGAACGCCGCAGCTTGCTACCAGGCGGCGGCTGAAAGCATGCAATCTGCGCAAGCAATGTGGAACCTAGGCTGGATGCACGAGAATGGTATCGGCATTGAGCAAGACTTTCACTTGGCAAAGCGATACTATGACCAAGCCCTCGAGACGAACAAAGAAGCGTATCTGCCCGTCAAGCTGAGCTTGTTCAAGCTCCGATGGCGCAGCTGGTGGAACGACATAACGCACGGTGGCATTAAATCAATGAGTTCTGGCGAAGACGAAGCACAGCGAAAGCGGAGAACCTTTACCGAGTGGCTAAATGACTTCCTCGAAGCAGACGCGCAGATGTATGCGCAAGAGATGGAGGAAGCGGATGACTGGGGTGATGGACATGGAGCCGAGAGCGGCATGCCGGGCGACGAGTTCTGGGGCGCCGAAGGCCAGATCGACGACGGCGTGATGGAGACGCTATTGATCTGCGGGCTGGTCGCTGCGCTGGGATGGCTGATCTATTACCGCCAGCAGCAGCAGCGGGCTGCAGAACAGCGAAGACGTGAGGGGGTGGAGCAAGGTCATGCTGCAGGAGGTGCGGTTCTCGCAGAAGCGCAGCAACCGGCCCCCGCGCCGCCTGCGCCAGGTCAGCAACCCGACGGAGGTTTCTTTCCGCAGCCTGGAGATCCTAATTGGAATGCTTGGATAGCTGGAGGTGTTGGGCACTAGCCTTTCGAATGTACTATGCTTTTGTATACACAAGCCCTTCTAGACGGATTGCTCTAGTCGCTCATTATAACCTTTACAGGAGCCATGTCCACCTCCGCATTTGAGACGGCCCGGTCAGCCAATGGCGTGTATCGTGACGCCATTGTTTGGCTAGAGTTCGGAAGCTCGAGGGTTAGAGCACTGATCGATTACACCTCCATAGCGGAACGACTATACCAGCTACAGCAGCTTCGCTTCAACCGACAAGCTCGCCCATCATCAGTTAATGTGGTCACTGCCAAGGCTGTCCTCCTCGCTTCTGCGTCAATCATCAGTTGGACGCACGACCGTTGCATCAACCAAACGGGCCTTTTCCACGACCATTGCAGCGATGGCACAGGAATTCAAGCTCAAGGGCTTGACGAGCGTTGACCTCAAGAACGGACAGAAGCAAGAAGCCGAAGTCGAGGGCATCGAGGAGGGCAAGGTTCTTCTCGTTAAGGTCGACAACCAAGTCCATGCCGTAACCCCAAAGTGCACGCACTACGGAGCTCCTCTAATTAAGGGTGTCGTTACCGGAGATGGGCGATTGACTTGCCCTTGGCACGGTGCTTGTTTCAAGGTCTCAACCGGTGATGTCGAAGATGCACCGGCGTTGGATCCCTTAGGCAGCTTCGAGGTGCTGGAGAAGGACGGCGGGGTGTGGATCAAGGGTAAAGAGGAGGATCTCAAGAATGGCAGACGGTTCCTCAACATCAAGTGCAAGGCATCGGGCTCGGAGAAAGTAGTCATTGTCGGCAGAGGAAGCGGTGCGTTAGGAGCTATGGAGGCGTTGCGAGGAGGCGGTTTCAAGGGCCAGATTACGACCATTGCTACCGAGGACTATCAGCCTATCGACCGAACGAAGTTGTCAAAGGCTTTGCTGACGGACGTTTCAAAACTGGCTTGGCGGTCAAAGGACTTCTACAGCGAAAGTGACATTGAGATGGTCACGGACACGGTTTCTTCAGTCGATTTCGAGGGGAAGAAGGTCAAGACGCAGGGTGGCAAGGAGTATCCGTACACCAAGCTCATCCTCGCTTCAGGCGGCACCCCGAAGTTCCTCCCCATGCCAGGCCTCAAAGGTGATTTGAAGAACGTCTTCCTCATCCGCCAACTACCAGACGCCCAAGCTATCATGTCCGCCGCCGGTTCGGAAGGTGGCAAGAAGGTGGTCGTGATTGGCAGCTCGTTCATCGGCATGGAAGTGGGCAACTGTCTCGCGAGTCAGAAGCACCAGGTCTCCATTATCGGCATGGAGAGCGAGCCCCTGGAACACGTGATGGGCACCAAGGTTGGCAAAATCTTCCGTGCGCTACTGGAGAAGAACGGCGTGAAGTTTTACCTCGGTGCTAGCGTAGAGAAGGGTGTCGAGCGAGACAGCAGTGGCGAGATTGGCAAGGTGCAGCTGAAGGATGGTACAGAGCTAGAAGCAGATTTGGTAATTGAGGGTGTCGGCATCAAGCCGTCAACCGACTACGTGAAGGACAACAAGTCCGTCAAGCTGAACGACAAGGACGGCTCGATACTTGTCGACGATGGCTTCGCAGTCCAAGGCCTTAAAGATGTCTGGGCTATCGGTGATATTGCAACCTACCCTTACCACGGCCCTGGCGGCAACGGTTCTCCCATCCGCATCGAGCATTGGAACGTTGCGCAGAATATGGGTCGATCAGTGGCGAATGCCATCAACAACCCCTCAGCTGCGAAACCCAAGCCATTCATTCCCGTCTTCTGGTCGGCACTTGGCGCTCAACTTCGATACTGCGGTAACACCGTTGGTGGGTATGACGACGTGATCTTGAATGGCAACACGGACGTGAGTGAAGGGAAGCAGAGCTTCGTCGCTTACTATACGAAAGGCGATGAGGTCGTGGCTGTGGCGAGCATGATGAAGGATCCGTATATGACGCAGTGCGCGGAGTTGATGAGGAGAGGGCGGATGCCGAAGAGGAGCGAGATTGAGAAGGGTGTCGACGTGCTTGAGATAAGTGTGCCGGCTGAAATGAAGATATAAGCGAGGCAACTCCGTAGATACGTTTGTAGCACATGAACATGACGAATTACTGTACTATACACTGCTAGACATGTATACTTCTCGGCCATAGAAGCGAACATCCCCATACAGTCGTGCTTTCCTCAATGAGACTAGCGTAGGTCTAAAATATCTATGCGATCCTGGACTTGCGCTTCTAGCCTCCCACTGCCATTAGTGGCACTTATCATGGTCAAAGCGCTTACGTTCAAGGGGGACAAAAAGCCACCGAAGAAGCGCAAACGGGTAGAACCAACGGAGGAAGATGGAGACGGCGCAGTCGAGTCGAAGCAGCTGATCACTGTAAACACGAACAAGGAGGAAGCGGACGATGATGCTTGGGTCTCCGCCGAAGCACTCTCGGACATCAGTGGACCTGTCCTGTTAGTCTTGCCTACCTCGCCGCCTACGTCGCTTAGCTGCGACCAGCTGGGCAAGGTGTTCGCGCAGAAGGTTGAGAATCTGGTCGAGGGGCTTCCGGACAGCGCTGAACCACACGATGTGAGGCAAGTGTGGGTCGCTACGCGGGTGGTGGGGAGCGAGGACAAGTTCATCTTCAAAGGACATCATGGACGTTACCTCGGCAGCGACAAGTATGGCTTATGCTTCGCAACGAGGGAGGCTATCTCGTCCGAAGAGACGTTCAAGCTGCACCCGGTAGAAGGCAAGGTGGGCCTGTTTAACGTGAAGACTGGCCGTGAGACCTACATCACCGTCGACGACTCTACGAAGGAAGGCTCGGCGTTCGAAGTGCGAGGGGATGCGGAAGACGCTGCAGAGAACGCGGAAGTGAGGCTCCGCATGCAGGCGCGCTTCAAGCCGAAGCACAAGGTCGAGAAGGCGGAGAAGGTGCGGGCGAAAATCAGTCGAAAGGAGCTTGAGGAGGAGGTTGGCCGGAGGCTTGAAGACGATGAAGTTAAGAAGCTGAAGAAGGCGAGAAGAGATGGGAGCTATCACGAGGCAATGCTTGATGTGAAAGTGAAGGGGAAGCATGACAAGTTCGCTTGATGGAACACTTGCGAAAACGGCCAAGGGTATGGTCACCTTCTTGCACAACCGATCACAGTATGCACTCCTTGTCGATCCACGTGCGTCTAAGTGCCTCCGGCAGGCTTGGATCCAACTCCACCAGAACCGCTTCTGCGGCGGCTGCATCCTCCCGACCCTCTTCAAGCGTTCGGGTTCTCCAAGAGTCAGTCTCAACAGGCCCACTCTTGCCGTCGAAACCTGACCCTCCCGTCGAGCTTTCAATGCCGTGATCGGCCTTGAGCTGCTCCACGGTCTCCGCAAGGTCTTCATACGCCGCCTTTGTCTGTCCGAGCTCTCGCATGAGGCTACTGATACGCCTCTGTCGGTATGGCGAAGATAGCCTTCTAATGGCTTGCGCAGTGAGGTGGGCGACGGCAGGACCTCTGTACTCGGTCATTACACCCCGGTACACGCTTGCCATACGGTTGACCGGCTCGTAGGACATGTGTAATTCAGACTCGTCCACGCTTGTGTTGCGCGCATCAGCATCGTTGGTGGCGGTCATTGCAAGCTCAGGCGAGCTACAGGCTTCGCTAGCAGACGCCTCCTCTGCTTCCGGAATGACTGGCAGTAGCCCTTCGCGGCCCAGCCTCCAAATCTTGCTGTACGCTCGGCGACGTGGTCGAGCGGGGCCTACTTCCTGCTGTGATTCGCCAGGTTCGACGAACGCCTGTTCCTCGACGTAGGACACAAGGACGGTGCACTGGGCGTTCGAACAATGATCTGGCCAAGCATGTGGCGCTATGCTGGACGAATCGAGACTTGTCAAGTCTGACGGATCTTCGTTTACGGCTTTCTCGGCGGATCTGGACGCGTGTGAGTCAGAGCATACTGCATTGCTGGGCTCGGCTCTGACGCTCTCTTCAAAATCTACATTGATCAGATCGAGACTGGTAGCAGTGTCGCATCGTTCGCCTCGGGCTGTATCGATAAAGTCCTCTTCTACTTGCGCTGGCTGCGGGTTGTTGACTGCTGGTCGGTAGTGAGCGTAATACTGGGGGCGCTTCCGGCTCTCTTGCGGACCAGCTTCGCCTCTCTCGAAGCTTGACCCACTCCTTCTGAACAGCACAAGCGTATCGGCCTTTGTCGCTCCGCTAAGCTCAGTTTTCATGGCCTCTTCCGGACGGGCGTCGTTTTCCGTGCTCAGTTTGGGCCAGCCCTCGGTCTCATATGCACCTATCACTGAGCTGATCGGAGAGTGCACAGCGACTGAAGGCTCGCTCGAGGGGTCAGAACCCGATAGCTGGCATACTGGTATCTCTGGTGTGTCGCTCTCACAAGTCGCCGCCTTACCCGTCTTTGACTGCCCTTGAGCGTCTTCGAAGTGCTCGCGCCGCTGCCTGTCCGGTTGCTGGCTTGGCAGCCCTCTACTAGCATCGCTGGTAGTCAACTTATGGCGCGATGTTACTGGTACGACACCCGGTGCGGCCGCACAAGTCTCCCTATTCCGCATATGTGGGTTGCGAATGCATACCGGCATAGGCTCCAATCGAGCCCTGGCGCCTTGCTCCAAGACCGGCGCGTAGTCCAAATTACTGGCCGCACTCTCGTTCATCAGCAAGAGGTGCACAGCTGCATCATGCCGCGCCTTTACGGACGTTCTGTCGCCACCGTCGGGTCCGCGCACTACCGAGCGGTCCTCCTGTTGTGGTTCTGTGGCTTTCCACTCCTGGAATCGAAACGATGCCCATGATCGCCTAGTTGTGCTGGAGTCCCCAGCGGCAAAAATGTCGACGAAGAACTGCGTCAGAGTATATGCTGGCTTTGGACTTGTGGATCGCCGCTTTAGCCGCACGCTTTTGGTTGTCCTAGTTTTGCGCAGTCTATTTGGAGATCGACACCCACTTGCTCCTGCCTTCCCGGAAGAGAGTGGGACTTCTGCCTCCACCGTGCTGTGCCTCTCTGGAGACAGATCTATCCAACATGCTACATGCTGCATTAAATCCTGCTCCCGACGTCCTGCTCCAGACTCCGATGCAAGTGCGATTGGCTCTGCTGATCGCAATGCGGGTGGTGCTGTGGGCTGCATGTGGCTGTTGAAGGCAAGGCGTGCTACGCAAAATGAACCTCCTGAGAACGTAAGTGAAACAAACAGTATGACCGTTGTGACTGCAACCAATATCCAGCCGCAGCTTAGGATCGATTCGATATGCATCTGTATCGCAGTGAATACACTCCGATTCGACCCAACCTTGGCGGCCACGGGCACGACATGTTCGTCAAGCCATCGAGAGACTGAGCTGCGCATATGCAACGAGGAAAGAAGCTGTAACGCAGGATCGAAGCTTTGTGTGCTTGCTATACCCTATCATCCAAATCGACCTACCTGAGCACTGTGCCGTATTGACAGATGTAGTGTATGGCCAGACAAGGATCCGAGGTGTGTGGGAGAAAGAGAGCGCGCCTATGGCCACCACACATGAGGCTCTATCGTGTCCTTCTATACGCCGTCGGTTTATGTATATATACACGTATGCGTGCCTCCAACATGCTAGTCGTTACGTAGCGCTGGGTGCCGCATCGTCTTGCTCTTGGTATTTCGTTCCTCTTCAATATCGAAGCTGCGCAGGACTTTGCATGACAGTACTGCGACCTGGCCTTTCAGGATTTGCTTGATTGAATTGAATTGTAGTGATTCACTGAACGTGTATATTCTGTTCATACAGAGCAGTAGCAATCTCGGCGCTATGCCGTTCTGAGACCTGCCATTCCATCCACTTTTCCACAGATTCGCAAGCAGGAAACCTTGCCACAGACAACGCCATCGCTAATCCCACTACACCCGTCCCCACCACGTCAAAAGCTCGATCGTAGGGGGTCAAGAAATGTCCATCCTCATCCTCTTACTCCCACTCCCACCCACATCCACCGCACTCGACGCACCACGCCCCGACACGTCGTCATCATCCTCCCCGCCAATCTCCACAACCTCCCACTCCACCCTACTCCGCCCATCCTCGCTCACATGCCCGCCCTTTTGCCGCTTGATGCGGCCCAGCCGGCTATTCTCGACCATTTCTTCGAAGTACGGCATCCCGCGGCCTTGCATGCGATGCAACGAACCGGGTAGTGCTGATTGTCTGATTGCTGCAGGTCCGTCCGCGCCGCCGGGTCGCCGCTCGTTCGTGGCGATGTGCGTGTCGTGGTCTATCTGACCTCCAGCCACTGGTTTCTGTTGATTTGTGGTTGGATCCAGGGGGATATGCGTGTTGTCGTCGATTTGTGCCCCTCCACTCATCCCCCGTTGCTGAGCCGTCGTCGCACCAGTACCCGAGATATGACTATCATCATCAATCTGCGCCCCTCCACCCCCAACCGCTCTCAGCTTATCCGCAGTCGACGATTCCACACCCAACCCCGCATCACCCTGTCCTCCACCCGCACTGACCTCACCCTCACTCTCCAAATCCTCATCGAAAAGCCTCAACGCCTGCAACCGCTCCAACGACTCCCCCAACAAACTCCCCAACGTGACATCCACAAACTCACTCCCACCCTCCCCACCATCCCCACCGCCACTTAACCCTCGACTCCTTCCCTCCCTCCAAGCAGTCAAATGCGTCCCACAATACCCACAGAACTGCCTCCTCGTCTCCCCCTCCCCCCTCCTCACCGCAGGCGAGTAATAAATCCGTTTAATCGACGCAGGAGTCTCGTCGGGGAAATGGGCGTAGGTGGCGCTGTGGTACCATTCTAGCGGCACGCGGAGCCAGGCTGTTAGGGGGGAGGCTTGCGTTCGTCCTGCAACAAACCGTATTGTCAGTATGACATGTGGAGGGGCAGATGTGGAGGGAGAGGGGGGACGTACGGTTGGCGAGACTGTTGTCGAAGAAGACGTGGACGGGTGGTGCTTGTTCTTGTGCTTGTGCTTGTGACGGGGTGGTCGAGGGGATGATGACGGTGTATTGGTTCCGCTCGCACGCGCAGGTGCCGAAGAGGTGGTGGAGGGAGTCGTCCATTGTCGTCCGTTGTGGTATCGAATCTACTGTTGCATTGACTAAACTGTTGGGTAAGATTGGGTTGTAACCATCAATATGTGCTGGAAGTTGTGTGCCTTCTCCAAGTTCCAAAGATGGAAAGCTCGAAGGTCGAGTCTGGAAAGTTCTCGGTTCCTGCCGAGAGTTCGGATTCGGGACTTTTGCGGATTTGGCATGTGACATCACGTTTGCATCGCAGCATATCACGTGGAGCAAGATACATGGTAGGGCCTACAGTACAACATGAACGTGTCTGCATCTGTATATCAAAGTGAGACACAAGAAGGTCGTTACCGGGGTGACATGGAAAAACCTCCGCTGTCTTCTCTTCCTACCCACGATAGTTACATGACCCTCCCCCCTCCATCCCTCCCTCCCTCCAGCCCATAGCCCCTCAGGATTGCAGAGGGAGGCAAGCAAGCGAATGGAACATCCGCCTTCAAAAACCCCCAAGCACAAAACGAGCGACAAAATGCCTCCAGTGAGTTCTCGATCGCGTGTCGAACGAGCAGAGCAGTGCCAATAGCCGCTGCCCTGGCCTTCGCGTTCCGAGAGCCCAAAACAAACCGCCGTAAGAAACGCCAATAATCCAGGTATAATGGTGGATTTCCCGCAAAAGATGCTGTTGATACGAGATCGCGCGCTGTAGATGACGAGGGTATCTTTTGCAGATGGTAAGTATGGCTCCACAATTCTTCTTCTTCCCATTCTTCTTCTTCTTCTTTTTCTCCCTCTTGATCCGCTGCTGGGCGTCAGAGCGAAGGAGGTTGTACCCGCATGTTGCGAGGTGTACCCGCATGGCGCGAGGTGTACCAGCATGTTGCTTGCGAGGTGTACCCGCATGTTGCGAGTTGTTTCAGCATGTCGCTTGCGAGGTGTACCCGCATGTTGCTTGCGAGGTGTACCAGCATGTCGCTTGCGAGGTGTACCAGCATGTCGCTTGCGAGGTGTACCAGCATGTTGCGAGGGCGACTCATCCCGTCCACTGCCGCTTCGACAAAGGCCGGGGGCGCGCGCGCTGAGATGCAGAGATCCCCCTGCGGCCCTTCCGCCTCACTCAAGCGATCAAGCAAAGGCAGTCAAGCCAGTATGAATCCCAGCAGGCCTGCTTTCCAGCCGGCGTCGACCACTCAAGCACCAGCGTCCAGCTAGCACAGAGTCGGCCAGTCAGAGGACCAATTCCACTCGGGCCAACACCTCCCTCCCCTCCCCTCCTCCGTTCCACCCCTTATCCCACTCAACCCTTCAACCCCTCAACCCCTCAACCACCCGCACAAACCTCAAGACACGAACACACAACACAAGAGACTAAATCTCAATTCCCCATCTCCCCCCCCTCCATCCCCAACCCCACCCCCCCATCCCCCCCTGCCCCGCCAAAAGCGAAATTCGCATCAAACCCCAACCCCCCATCCGCCTGGTCATTATTCAAAAACGAGTCGAAATCAAAATTATCCAGCACGTCCGGCCCGCCCAAGTCGCCGAAATCCATGTTCATGCTGCCGAAGTCGGCGGTGGGGTCGACGAGGCTGCCGAAGGGGTGGGCGGGGTTCATTTCACCCGCGCCACCTTGCGGGCCGGGTTGCTGGCTGGGGGGTTGAGGTTGGCCGGGTGGAGGGGCGGGGGCGGAGGTCGGTTGACCGTTTGGTAGGGTTTTGTTTTGATTGTACGCCAGGGCGTTGTTATTGGGCGCGTGTGGCGTGATGGGCGTGGCGGGGACGGGGGTGGGCGGTTGTTGTGACTCCGACTCCGACGTCGTCGCCGGAGTCGCCGTGTTGCCCGCGTTCGCGGCGTTGTTCTTCTTCGCTGCGCCCTACAATGCGATCTCATGTCAGTAAACTGGCACCCATTAGGGCAATACATCGAGCGCACCTTCTTCCCCGCCTCCTTCTTTCCCCCCACCTTAGCCTTAACCCCCTGACTCGGCGTCGGCGGCGCAGCAGGTTGCTGCGGTGCGGCGGGACTACTCGGCTGCGTCCCCGCGGCCGGCGGAGCAGGAGGCGGTGGCATATTATTCGGTCTCGGCGTCATATTCGGTGGCACGCCACCTTGCTGCTGCGGTGGACCAACGCCAGGAGGTTGCTGTTGTCCTGGTATCATCTGCTGCTGCCCGGGTTGCTGTTGTTGCTGCTGCTGCTGCTGCCACTGATTCATCCCATTAGCCCTCTGCTGCTGCGCCTGCATCTGCTGCATCATCGCGAGTTGCTCTTGGGAAAGGCCGGCGCCGGGCGGTCCGGTTTGTGGGTGGGACGAAGGAGGTGGTCTCATCATGTTCAAACCACCATTTTGCATCAACTGTTGTCGCATCGCCGCCGTCATTTGAGAGGGATCCATCATCGGCTGTGGCGAGTCTTCGTCTCCGGGCCTACCACCGCCCATCTTCGGCGTGCCGCGTGCCATATCGCCTGCGCTGGGTGACGAGGCGCCTTGCCGACCGGGTGACATGCCTCCGGGCGGTCCCTGCGGGAATTGGCCGTTCGGACCCATGGGACCCGGATGCGTCATGCTGTCTTGCTCCTGTCGCGCCATGAGCAACCGCTTCTTATTCTGCTGCTCGAGCAACATCAGCTGCATCTGATAATCCTGCAGCGCATGATTGCCCGGATTGCCCCCCGCCTGCCCGGCCGCCGCAGCAGCCGCGACAACGTTATTCGGCATCCCCGGCATCCCCCTCCCATTCGCCACGGCGGCGTAAAACTCGCCCGTGCCCCCATCCAGGCCCCCCGGCTGACTCATCGGACTGCCCTGCCCGACCATATTGGCGGCGAGCGTGGCCGGATTCGGGCCCTGGCCGGGCGGCATGGCGCTCATACCCTTCGCGGTGACGTTAGAATTATGCATAGCGGTTTTCATCTGCTGCGCGAGGGAGGAGGAGTACGTTTCCACGGCCTTCTCTTGGTGATTAGTAGGCTGCAGCGCCAGACGGTGGAGTTGCTCGGGCCCGAGCGAGTCCGGATCGATGCCGCGCGAGCGCAGCAGTTCCTGCGTGTGGGCAAACATGCTGGGGTCGGGCTGGGCTGTGGGGAGATGGGGGGTTTGAGGGAGACCCACCTGGTTTTGGGTACCGGGCGGGCCTGGCCGCATGGCGTTCATCTGCTGCATTTGGCCGTCGAGGCGTTGGCGTTTGGGGGATGGGGCGTCGCCGGAGCCGGGTGAGCCTGCGCGAGGACCGCCCATGTCCATTTGCGAGCCTTGTCGTTCCATCTGCTGGCCTTGCATTTGCTGCATCATCTTCATCTGCTGCTGCTGTTGTTGAGGGGTCCTAATCACACGGCGTTAGTACGGACATACAGCTTGCTCGCCGTGAGTGCAGCCTCAACGCGCTTATCAAGCGCACATCAAGACTTACATATTCCGCTGGCTATTCTGCATCGCCGCCCGCTTCAAATCCCCCTGCATCGCCATCCCACCATTCATGCCCATCATGTTATTCCCAGCGAAGCGCATATTCTGCATACCCTGCGCATCCATCCCCGCACCATTGCCCGCCATCATGTTCGCCCGCGCCTTTTGCGCCTGTCTCTGCGCGCCAATATACGCCATGGCCTGGTTCTTCCCCGGGACTTTCCCTCGGGCCGTATGCCAGATCTCCCAGAACTGGCACCACCAGTCCTGCAGGAAGGGACCCTCGCCGAGATGTGACGGTGCAGGGAGGTCGTCCGGTCGGTTCCGTATCTCCGCGCAGTCGATGTCCATGGCGTCGTCGCTGACCCCGTTCGCTTGCTGCTGCTGCTGCCCTTTCTGGTTGGGCGAGCGCTTGATATCCGTCGTGTCAATCTCCATCGCGTTCTTGAAGCCTCGCGCGACTTCGTACAGCGAGTTGCGGAGGAGGTAGTCGTAGATGGCGGTGTTGAGTCGCTTGAGCGGGTCGATACTGCTAATCCCCGCTCCACTCGACGGTGTCCCCGCGTTCATCTGCTGCTGCTGCTGCTGTTGTTGTTGTTGTTGCGCCGCCATTTGGCCCCCGCCTCCTCCCACCGGTCCGCCGGCCATCCCGCCCATACCCATTGGCTGCTGGCTCATGCTGACGCCGGGATTCGCCGTGCAGGCAGCCCAGGGCGTCAGCTAGATTGGTCCGGAAAGAGCGTATACCGACTTGCCGCGTGTGCGGAAGGCGCGACGGTGGTGTGCGGTGTTTCGAGGCGCAGTTTCCAGCAGTTGCGGCCGGGTAGCGACAGTGAAGTCGCTCTCCCCCGCCCCTCGTGGCTTCCGCACTTTCTAATGCGGCGTCGCGGCGGCCACTTTCTTCCAGCCCCCAATTGCGTGCAAGTCTATCTTTATTCGCTTCACGCTTCCTCTATACCTACACGCGCGATCGCAATGCCGTTTACAGTGAGGGTAGCGTATGGAGAGGGTGTCGAGGTAGTGGCGGTAATTGGCTTTCGGACCAGCGCTGTCGATCCGTTTCCCCCCCCCAAAGCCCGCTATCCACTATCCACCGCGCTGGATCTCGCCTCGTGAGCGTCGCTTTTTGCCGGCGCCGTTCCTGCAGATTGCGCCCGTCACCCAATTCTTACCCTTTCTCCTACGTCTATCTTGCTGCGGGTCGGCGCATGCCGTTGAGCTGTGACGGTGTGTGAGGTTGACAGGGCGGAGGCTGGGAAACGGTGCGCTGGGAGGGAGCGTAGATGGCGCTTGTTCGTTCGGGAAGAGGAGCGGCGAGTCGGCGGCCGTCCGTAGGGCTGCGCTGGTCACCACCTTTTCTCCCGCTTCCACACACACACTTGCACCTGCTTTGTTACCCTCAGGGTCGCGACTCTTCCAGGGCAACCCCGCAATATACTCCAGATAATGGAACTATATCTACCTTCTGCGCGTTGTCGATGGGTATGAGTAGGAAGATCGTACGGTGTGCTAATGAGAGGAATGCTCACCCCGGGCGCACGAGAGCATGCAACCGTCGCAATTTGTCAAGGTCACGCCCAGCGCTATTTACGTGTTCCGCGACCCCATTGGCCGAGGTGACAAGGGGCTCACGGGCCCCTCCACTGTTGGACCTCATCTTTCTGACAATTCCATTCAACCATTATGCCCGCCCGCTACATGTACCTTCTCCGTGTACATTGCTCCCAAGGGGCAGTACCCTCGCCGCACTCACTCGCACCGTCGCCTTTCGCATGTTTCCCCGCCACGTGCGACTCCTTCTTTTAACGGAGATCGAGAGAAGATGTCGCGGTCTTGGCTCCTCCTCCACACGCCGCCGATCGATATGAAGAGATTCGATCGCGACTGCCGATTGGCTTGTTGCCAAAAAACTGCAACATCCATCTCTGCATACATATCTCTGCGCGTGCGATAGCTCTTAATCGCTGTGCTGTTAGGAGCAACCCAGCATGCAAGCCTTAACTAGCTGAGGTGTGTCACTGATATATGCGAACGACGTCGTTGTCCGCATAGGCAGCGTTGCGGTCTCTGTTCTTGCACTTAGAGTTGACGCTCAGACATGCTTCTTGAGTTCGTCCAAGTGCACCCAGTCAACGCTGCTCTTCTCGTTTGGCCCGCGTAGTGATCAACCTTAGAGCATTTCTTAACATCGTCAATGCAGCCTCGCGCTCGAGGTGCACGTCCTGCTGTCAAACCGAGTCGTTACCGACGGGCAAGGAATGTCGCCGCGCCGTCGCTTCTTCTTCGCATCATAATCGTTCAAAACTCGCTACTCATCGTCCGGCGGCATCTCGTCCTCAAGATACCGCACAAGCGTCAGCCGCATCTCCGTCGTATCATCCCCACGCAGCACATCCTTGACAAAGTGCGCCTCAACCTGCATCTGAATCTACACAACGACACCCAACCCGTCAGTAAACAATCCTCAAAACACCCCAACCACCCAACAACTCAACTACTCAGAGTTTCCGCCGAAAGAATTCTGGAGGGCGTACATACCATCTCCAAAGCCCCCCGAAGCACCCCACAAATCAAATTCCCAAACCACAATTCCTCCTGCGCGCGCCCATCATCCGGCAGTTCCACAAAGTCCGCCAACGGCATCTCCTCAAATACCAAACTACAACTCCGCCCATCCGGACTCCACCCCGTCACCGTCGGCGTGATGTTCATGAACACCTTGAACCCCACCCGCGCGATCACCTCCGCCGTCTCGCGAAAGTTGCTGCACGTCCCGCTGTTGGTGCGGGCGAGGAAGTCCTCGATCAGGCGCAGGCCGATGGCGTAGCCCATTCGGTCGAGTTCGGTGTTGACGGCGGCGTAGTCGGGTTTGGAGGTGGTGGAGGGGAGGGTGAGGTCACGGCAGAGTTGGGCGACGAGGGTGCCGTAGGTGAGGGTGAGGACTTCGAGGTTGATTTTCTCCGTGCGGGGGGATCTTGTGTTGCACCGGGATTAGTGGTTGTGGTGGGTGAGTTGTTGCGGAGGGTTTGGGGTCTTACTTCCACACACTATGTGGAATGTTAGTCATTGTGCAAGTGAAGTTGGGATCTGAGGTCCTCACTCTTCGCCCAGGCGGGCAGCTTTGGAGGCGGCCATTGCGTGGTACGCGGCTGTTGGCGTCTTGATCAGACGCGCAGTTGCTTCACTTTACTTCATGCTCTTCTCTTCGTCGGTAGAGACAGTGCTGGGCTTTGTCGAAAGTTGCAGAGTGGTCAGAATATCCCTTGCTGAAGTCCGCGATCAGAGAGGGACAACATATATGTACGTACAGCGTAGCGCCGAACCCCAAGAGCTCTGCGGGGCGGCTGCAAGTTCTGCCGAGCCGAAGCTTCAATTCGCGGGAGAAAGTTCACAAAGTCTGGCCTGTGTGAACAAGTCCTACAGATGCGGAGGTATTGCACTCATTAACGGCAAGGTTGTTGTCGTGCCGAGGGCAATTGGCGAGCGAGAAACTGGACGCTGGTCCCGCGATCTTGATACAGTCCGCCAACATGGCATCCGAGAAACGACCAGCTTCCGCCTCATTCGGCAGCACGCAGCTGGTAAAGCGGCCAAGATCAGACGTGCAAGCAAACGGGAGCGCCCTGGTCAAGACAAATGGTGGCAGCAGTAGCGCTCTCGTCGAAGGTGTAAGTCTCAGCCAAACTATCTCTTCCCCATTACGGTCAATCAGAGCTAAATCAAGGCTTTGAAGGGAGAGTAACTGGCTGATTCAAGTCCTTTGCGACTATATAGCAATATGGCGCTTCACATTTACAAGCCTCCGTGATGGAACTCAGCGGGCATTCCGGTGAGATTTTCGCCGCCCGTTTTGACCCTACTGGTTCGCACATCGCCTCCGGCAGCATGGACCGCGATATCCTTCTCTGGCGAACGACAGGCGACTGCGCGAACTACGGTATCCTGACCGGCCATAAGAGTGCAGTACTTGACCTTCAGTGGTCGCGCGATAGTCAGGTCATCTACTCCGCCAGCGCTGACATGACGATTGCGAGCTGGAACGTGGAGACTGGCGAGCGCATCCGACGGCATGTTGGGCATGAGGAAGTGGTCAACTGTCTCGACGTCAGCAAACGCGGCGAAGAGTTCATCGTCAGTGGTAGCGATGATGGCTCGATCTCCGCTTGGGATCCACGGCAAAAGGCCGCTATCGATTTCATTCAGACGGATTTCCCAGTAACCGCTGTTTGTATTTCCGAGGGCGGCAACGACGTCTACACCGGCGGGATCGACAATGAGATCAAAGTCTGGGATTTACGTATGAAGAAAATCCAGTACGAACTGACCGGCCACACCGACACCATCACCTCCCTCGCCCTATCACCGGATGCGCAAAGTCTACTCTCCTACAGCCACGACAACACAGTGCGGACGTGGAACGTCCAGCCCTTTGCGCCCCTGGACCGGCAGATCCGGATCTTTGACGGCGCGCAAGTGGGTTTGGAACGAAATCTGCTGCGCGCGTGTTGGGATGCGGAGGGTAGTCGGGTGGCGGCGGGAGGTGGAGATGGTACGGTGACGGTGTGGGAGACGGGGCAGAAAGGTAGGATGCTGCATAAGCTGCCGGGACATAAGGGGACGGTGAATGACGTGCGCATTTCGCCGGATGGTTCGATGGTGTTGAGCGCGAGTACGGATCGGACGATGTTGCTTGGGGAGCTGCCGAGATGAGAAGATTTCGCCGCTTTCGCATGCGACTTTACTGGTCTTTGATCGACGGAAACTAATCACAGGTTGAGACTGTACAACGCTTCTTTGCGCCGCGTCCCCGGTGCTTCAGTAGCCACCAGGTCAACTTCTATCGAATTGGGAGGGCTTCGTTGAGTCGAAATGAGGCAGCCGCCAGACCCTCACCAGGCCGCACCAGCTCGTAACAATGGATGTCGTAAAAGTCTGTAACGGACATGTGGCAGTATGGGAAGGGGACGTTGAATGAAGGATATAGCGACGAGGATTCTGTTCGATAGGTGATGGTCTACGGCGTGTCGAACGCTCGCTGGAGCTGAATCAAGTAGCACGATTGCTAACTACGTAGGGTTGCGATGAAGAAATACAATGCTCGTCCCAAGGGCCCTTCAACTAGACTTCAAATCGTTGCCTCCATTATCCATTTTGCTCTAGTTGATATGTACGACATGAATGCTCGAGCAATGTAAAGGCGTCGGAAGGAGCCGAAAGCTCGAAACGGTCAAGCTGGCATGCCCGAGCCATCGCCGCAGACTGGAGCAAGAATCTCTCCGTTTGATCTGTCCGCGAGCACCAAGTTGTATGTGTTCGTCTCGACATCTTCGTCGACAGGAGAACATGATATGGCAATGACAATGGCTTCACCGACCAACGAGTCTTTGCCCTCATCGCCTGCGCCTGCGCCCCTACCGTCTCGCAACCCGCTCCCACTCTCCGCCAGCCAAGAAGCCCAAGTCCGGGAGCTCTACTACAAGCGTGTGCGCAATAAATGCGCCGACGAGGTGCGAGGTGAGTCATCATTACCCACCCTCCTACCATCCACACCGCACCGCTAACAGCTGACAATATTATCACTCAGACTTCGCAGCCTGCTGCACCCACCGCACCTTCACGGCGACCATCATGTGCCGCAAACAGCAAAAGGCCATGAACACGTGCATGATGCAATTCGCGACTCGGAACGAACAGGATGCGGCGCGGGAAGAGTGGTTCGCGACGATGGACAAGCGGCGGGAGGAGAGGGAGAAGAAGGCGGAGAAACTGAAGAAGGATGAGAAGTTTTGGCGCGAGTGGTGGGATAAGGATATGGAGAAGAAGCCGAAGAAGGAGTCTTGAGCGAGTACAACAGCACCGCGGTGAAGGAAAGGACTAATGAGGTGGTGGGCTTGCTTGATTGTGGAACCGTCCAGCGGTTGTTCATCGCCGGAAGCTACACATTCCCTCCGCCTGCACCTGCACCTTTCGCCTCAACCATTTCCGGCCTGCCGACCCTTTCCGCCGTCTGCGCCCGCGCGATCTGCGGTCGGGCTTCCTGCATCTCTCGCCGTCTCGCCGGACTATCTCGCGTGACATAACTGGGCGGACCGGTCGAGTGCTCCACATTCATCGCCTCCTCGTATGTGGGAGAGGGCAAAGCCGGCGTATCGGGGTCTACTGGCGAAGGCACGGCTTGCCAATGCAGTAAATCCGGGTTGGCTCGGACGCTGCCGCGCCATCGGCCGTATGCTGGTGGTGGGTTTGCGAGAATGGGGGCTTCTTTGTCCCATGCTTGGGATGCGCGGGCGACGCCGGAGGTGGGGTGTGCCTCGCGTGAGTCTGGACGAACGCTGGCATCGTCGGCGACGTGGACGGGAATTGGCGTGGGTGGTATGAAGTCGACGGTCTCTGATGGTTGGGGCATGGGTTGGTGATGACGGTGAGGTTGATGGTGGTGATGGTGGTGTCGACGGCGCCTATGTCGTACAAAGTGCCGACCGGGTTTCGTTTGCTGTTGGGAAACCACATAGACTCTCGGTGAAGGTGGCAGTGTGGGTACGAAGAAGCATAGCCGCACGATGGTGTGTGCGAAGATGACGGTTGCCGCCAGTATGCCTAAGACGAACAGGACGTGAAAGGTCGTTGAAAGACCGGTCGATGAGGTGGCGATGGCGAGGTCTAAATAACGGTATTAGCTTGCAATTGGTGTGAAAAGATGATAATGCTCTAGCTTACACGTCGCTACTATGCCTGCAAGCAACAGTCCAGCGGCTAAGCACAAGATCCACAGCGATGCCGAAGACTGCTCTCCATTTGCATATCTGAGCTTCCGGTTCCGCGACCGCTTCCAAGCCCGCTGTTGCCGTTCCGCAGTCTTCTGATGGAGAAGCACAGCGAGTGACGGGTCGCTCAAGTCCGGATGGTTGAGAGCTGCGACGGCTCGTGTGTTGTAAAGTGTGGACTGATGGGCTGTGTAAGACAGAGGCGGGAAAAGTACGCCGTGACATTGCTCGTTCTCGTCTTCGCCTGAGGATTCCGGAGGTGGCGTGAGGACTGTCTCTGCGGCCAGCGCGGCACCTTCTATGTCTTCGTGCTGCGGGTCCTCTTCAACAGTTGGCTGATGTGATACGTGGCGTCCAGCGAATGAACTCCGGACTGGGCTGACGACAGAGGCTCGTAAGAGCTGCCGCACGTTGTCCTGAACGCGAGAAAGGCGCGATGGTCGCTCGTCCTCGATTATACCGGCTTCCAGCGCGCTCGCGTCCGGCAGTGGGCTGTGCATTGGGAGCGACTGTGAAGTTTAGGTCAAGCTATAGTGAGCGACGGGAAAGAGTGCGGATAACGAAGAAACCGGTCAGTAGAGTTGGAAGAGACAACACGATGGGGGACGCAACACACACGCAGCAGGAGTAGATAGTAAAGATAGAATGATAGCCCTTACTCTTAACGGTAGATCTCGCCTTAAGATTTCCGCCACCGAAGCTCACAGTAACATCCCTGATACCACCTTACTACACATCACAACAAGCGTAACCTATCGATCTGCTCGATGGGCAGACGTGCAACGTAGGGTTCACAAACAGTGTTCCTCGTCCATTGTGTTGGTGACAAGCAGAGTGTCACGCTCCTGCAAGGGCATCAGGAAGCGTGGGTAAAGGGCTTGAAACAATGTCCGGTTTCGAGGGATGGAGTGAAGCACAAACCTGCCGGTCCGTACCTGCATATCGGTCCAAGGAACGCCCGTTCGCGTTTGGATCTGTGACTGGGGTTTGAGCGTGTTGATTGTTGATGTTTCAGCCAATGGCTGGCCGTGATGGAGGGGAGAAGACAGGAGGGAACGGATTTGGCTGGCCAATGAGAGTGCCGCGTTGCGACTTCATGCGAGCAAGCTGGGGGCGACCAGCAAGTTTGTGAGCACTGATCGATTTGCTAGTTGTCGATTATGTGGACCATAGCATAGTCGCTTATCATAGAAGCTCCGGTGAAGGAAGTGCATTGCGTTGTAGTTCCTTGCTTCGAAGTGATAGGAGGTCTTCAAGATGTCAATATTATCGGTATCATGGACGGTGTCGCAGGGTTAGATGCGATTGATAGCAATTGTAGTTTGATTGACAGATCATGTGTAGCGCTGGGAGACGCCATCTCTCAACTTGAGACTTTGTCCGCGTCGTTGTCTCTAATATTGAGCGCCTTCTTGACTACCTGTGCGGTTTCAACCATATGATCATACCATTGCAAAAACAGCTCTAAAGGCTTGACCGGATCAATATGTTCCTCGATGCGACAATGACTGTAAGCGCGGATGTGGGAAATGGGTTAGATGTGTAGATAGGATATCATCGTATTATCCTCTGATATGGTTATCTCTAGTGTGAGAAAAGTGTTACGTATACATCGTTATACATCCGACAGATCCCTCCCATTACTGATTGCGACTGCCAGGGCGTACATGTCCCCGGACATCTCTCCATGTTCACTTTAGAGCGAGATTGGAATGCACTGAGCGTTGACGTTGATCAGACCTGAGGTTGTTGTTGTCAGCTCGCGGGACCACTGTCGAAGGAAAGGAGCGCCATTGGGCGCACTTACCGTTTTGGTCGGCCTCGCAGCACTGGGTGGAGCCAGCGGCGCAGATGTTGCTCACTAGATGCTGTATCAGTATCAACGGCGACTGCGATGATTTGAAGTCGCTTACGGATGGCCAAGGTGCATGCACCACCAAGGACAGAGACACCCGCCGGGCTGTTGCAGCAAGCGAGCTTCTGGTTGTTGCTGCAGACGGAGTTGGAGGTAGAGGCGGCCGCAGCCGCGGTGGTGGTGACGGTGACGGTGTGGGTCTGACCGCTACCGCCGTAGTTGGGAAGGGCAGTGGCCATAGCGGCAGAGGCCAGGATGGCGAAGATCGTGGAAGGCTGCATCTTGATGGTCTGAAGAAGAAGGCTTGAAGTGAGGGAATTTACTGGTTGTGGTATTGTTGTCGTTTTGAGTGATTGCTGTTTTGGTGCTGTTTCTCATCTGGAGGGAAGAACACGCGATACTTATAGTCGTCTGGCGACCTCAACTGACCTGACGGCCAAGTCCTCCAGTGACATTGCTGATGCTGAAGGTTTCCGTTCCATGACCGCAGTGGTGCTCCAAGCACCAGTAGGATGTCGTCGTTGATCTTCATGTCCATGCTTCCAAGACCACGCTGGCAGCAGATCGTCGACAATAAAGCCAACAACACCATCCTACATCCCGAAATGTCGTATAAACTGCAGATCCATTTCGCGGCACGGACAACCCACAGCATGGGCAGTCGTCATTGTGGTTCTGTATTGCAGCGACGTACATCTCGCAGAATTGCTCAACGCCGCAATGGGAAAGACTATGCCGCCAGGAACCTGATTGAGATAGCCCGTATTGGCAGAATCTGGATAACTGGTCGGTCCGCGAGACGGCGCGGCTTGGAGTGGGTTCAGAATGAGGACTCGAGACAGCAGCGAGCTCATAAACTGCCGGAGTTGGCTGCGTGAAGCGCCAAGTAGCGTTGTGCCCTCCGTGCACATCACCATGGTGTCCCGAAAGCACGTACTGAGCAGATCCACTCCCGGATCGTCGTTCTGGGGTGCTGATAGACAGCGTAAGGAGGTGACCAACTTTAGACTGCATGTTGGGCACGTCCTCTTTCGCGAGAGTATGGAAACACTACTTGCGGACTGCGGCGCAGCGGCACACAATCCGAAAGGCTACTACGCGAGGTTCTCAGAGCAGTACAATACGCAAAAGTACGTACGGAACTAGCTTAGCCATGAGTTCCCATTGTAGGCGCTGCGAGCCGACACCGTCCTGCTGGACTCGCGGAGATAGCCTGTGCCCAGTCATAAGCTTTGCCCATTATGTGGTGCTCAAGCTCAGGTGATGTCGATCTACTGGAAGCGGCACGGTACGGTCAGCGCAGGTCCCATGGTCAGCTGCAAACGTATCTGCTACGCCTGCCTTCAAGATCTGAACAGCACAGAAGAGGGCGACGACCGTTGTTTCTCGGTCTTCGCACCGCATATATCACGTCTCCACAAGCTATTCGCGGGGCGGATTGTAGGAGGCCGTGAAGGGTGGCTTGGATCATATGTGACACGGACGACTTGCTGAAGGCCTGCAGTTAGGGACGTCGTTGGGACGACAATCAGCAGGGTCACCGATCTTGAAACTCCGGTGATCTTCCGCATCAGCTCTACGCTGGGAGCCATGCCGCCCTGAATCAGCTTGCCAGAACTCTGTATGTGTCAGTGCCGTCTTCCACGATTTGGACTCAGAATTGATGTGGTGTAGTGGCCTTGGAGCCATCGACAAGGTTACGGACCGCTTCCACAAAGTAGATCGACTCTGCGCACACGCAATGCACAATGGGAGTGCTGATCATCCTGGCAGCCACGCTTACGCATTGGCTGCATGTGGAGAATCTTCGTGGGAAGTGCCTGCAGATCTCTCACTCGGCCACCAAGGGACCCTCGCGTGGTTACCTCATACAGCGTTGAGTTCGAACTCTGGGGTTCACCCGTTGGCAGCGGCCAGTGATGGTCCCGATTATTGTCCGGAAATCATCGCTCGACAAGGTTGATCCTTACACATGAATTGCCCTGAGACCGGTGACGGAAGCGAGTCCGCGGAAAACGTTGCCTGGGTATTCAATGTTAAAGCCGCTGACTCGCTCGTCTGCATCCGCGGCGTCGTTAGTGCTGTATGCAGAGCAAGTGAACGACGCAAGTTCGACAGCAGAATAATGTTGTGAGAGCGGTGTACTGGTGGATTCTGGAGCAAATGCAACATGAGGTAGCAAGACAGCCTCCATGCGCTAAATGTGATCAATCAGCGAAGAATCATAAAACTTGCTACACTCGAAGCAACTCCTTCCCCATAGGCAGCAAAGGTTCTTGGCTAGGGGTGAGACACTCCGACTGTACTGACGTAGCGCGTAAACTGCTGCCTTTGGCATGTAGCAGAGAGAATTAATAACCGGAACACGATGTCTCGCGAAGTTCCGTCGATGTGGTAGTCGAGATGTGGATACGGCTCCGTCCTCAAGAGTCAGTGCCTTCATTGGCCCGTCCCTTACCACTGCGGAGCGCCTCCCCGCACACTGCCGTCCCGTTAGCTGCTCCAGAGTTCACGTGCCGTCGAATCCCGCTACGACCGCACAGACTACCAGTCTTCACGCAATCATACCATCTGCACGTCAGTTCCATTCGGTAGGTAAAGAAATCATAGCCAGGATAAGCACAAGAAATAATCGACAAAAGTGCATTTCTTTGCGTCTTGCGAAATCTGCTCGAAAGCCTCATAAAAAGGAACGGTGCTCTCTCAAACACGTTCTTACTGTTCTCAACGGCGGACTCAAGACAGGGTTCTATGGCGTCTCAGGGACCCCACTCCCGCCCGCTACAATACTGAGTGTAACTGTGTGCGTACTCCAAAACTACCCGTGTCTCCACTCGAACCATTGTTGGTGATTCTTGGGAGCTGGCAATCTGACAGCCGTCGCGAGAACACAACTGGTTGCTCAGCATAGATAGAATACCCGCAATAATGATATGCGTATCCACACAGCAGAAGCGAATATGTTAAGCACCGCTTGCAACATCCCCTCGGGTTATGCCGGTCGGAAAGCATACCCCAGTCTTACAATCAGGCGGTAAAACATCGCCCAGAATGCTAACGCGAGTCCGTCCTGGCACCCTGCCCGTCTTACGGTCAATGATAGCGCGCATGCCTCGATCCATGAACGTGGCGACGCTTGTTTGTGGTCGTCGAACCGTTCACTCGGAATAGTGCGTTCTCACAGGAGCCGCCAGCACAGTTCCTGTACACACTTAGCGCAGAGGGACCACCGCACATTTGTTGTGCGTTTCCTGCGCAAGGCATCGTGCATTGCCCAAGGATGTCAGTCAAGGGTTCACGGGTACCGTCCTTGGCCTGAAGATAACCGTTATCGCAGTAACACTGCGAGGCGTACTCCAGACCAGCGAGGCTGTAACCCTTGCCACTGCAGAACTTGATGCAAGTCTCGACCGTCATCGTGTTCGACGATGACGAGGCGGCTTGAAAGGTACGCGCGCTTACGCTATCGTTCGCGCAGCCGACGTATTCCCAACCGAGCGATTTGGTCTCGTCGGTAAAGTACGTCTGCATTGGTCCGATCGGAGTGCTGCTGCACTCTGGTGGTGGTGCGTACTCAGGGCCGTCAGTTACTGGGTTGCAGCCAGGCAACTTCGTAAGGTTGCCCGTGATGGTCTCGTTGACTTGTGGCGGGAGCCTGCAGGCTTGGCACTCCTCGTTGGAATACAAGTCTGCAAACACTGGACAGTCAGACAGATTACCGCTGTCATTCGTGCACTGATCGATGGCGTCTTGCAGGGCTTGCGTGTCCCATCCGTTGACGAAATCACCGTGGAAGCCGTAGCCTGTCCGATCGCCCATAGCGAAGACGAATGGGTGCTGAGATGAGTTCCACCACATGTGTGCGAAGTTGCCTGTTTGATATATGACTTCATAGAAGATCGAGATCAAGTGCGTCGGGTGCGAGGGCGGACAGTACCCATTGTCATAATTGCCGATTGGGTAGGCCATGTGCGACTTGTGGTCCGGCGAATCAAGGTTGACTCCATCCCAGCAAGAAGGGAAGTATACTTGTGCACGTAGTCCGTCCGGGCAGTTGATGTTAGGCATGTCGTTGTACTGAGTAGAGACGCCGTTGTAGTTTAAGCATACGAAGCTCACTGCATTTCCGGGAGCAGCTTGCTGATCCGTGTAGTTGCGCTGGAAAGGATCGCCTGCAACCATGCGGAGACCTGCAGGAAATGCCTTCACCTCATCGTTCTTCGGACCCGGTCGCTGCTCGTAATAGATTGTCATGCCGCCAGTGACACCGTTCCCTTCTCCAGCCTGAGGCACGTCCTCGAAATAGCTTCCGTCTTCACCCATGTAGTAGAGCTTGGGAGTCCAGTACGCCGACAGATCCTGCTTCACTGGACAAGAAGAGCATACAGATGCCCGCTGCTGCTCATAGCTCGTTGTGAAGCCAAGACCAATCCCTCCAGACACGGTGTGGACATGTCCTGATACCACACCGGGGCTGATAACTGGATCTATACGCTCCAGCACCAGACGGCCCGGGCATGGCATGCGCCAAAACGCAGAGCTTGGGCCAGCTAAAGCCGCCACGGCAACGATTGCGCTGCGGAAAGTCTTCGACATTGTGTGTTGCTGCGCTTGTTGATCGGGCGAGATGATAACGAACGTGAACGTGAGCAAATGAATTCGTGCACGGATGATAATTTATCGTAACGAAGGTCGTGAGTTCCAGACTCAAGCGTTCAACGCGGTAGCTGAAAGGACTGAACGAATGGACAAAGGGAGTGGTGATGTGAAGAATCAGAAGGAGATGATGACGAGCAACTTTCTAGAAGTATGACCTCCCACATGGGTTAACGACCCCTGTTAAGCCTCATGCCTCATTTCCCGTAACGCCGACAGTAGACAGAGGCTCCTCGGTGTCACAGTGTGTCTAAAGGAGCCGTATTTGTTACAGCGCTGGTGGTGTGCCGGCGGGAAACCCCCCGCTTTGTTTTAGACTCTCGAGCACGGCATCACAAATGCCTGTCTTCTTGTGTGCATCGGTCGCAGGCTCATACAGGGTAGGGATGCCTTGTTCCGGCCCAGGAGAATCAAGCAGCTAAGGTGCAGGGGTGGAGTCTGCTCGGTGGTGGCCAGAGGTTTTGGAGATCGACCGTTCACTGGTCCCAGAACCATTTGCATGCTAAATTCAAGCCAGCTTGGTAGTCAGTAAGAGGCCCGTGGCGCAAAAACAACTGAAGTGGCGGGCCATATCGAGATGAAAGGGTGGAATGTCAGACTCCACAACGTCAGAACTAAGTTCGATCGTGGGCCCCAATACTGTAGCATGGCAACATTGAACGGTACTGCAGGAGCCGGCAAAACTCTTGATCTGCTGCTGCGCTACATGGCCACGCGGACTGGGACAGTTACCGGAGTGGGCGGTCATCCGTGCAGCATGCTGCATAATGGAAAGCGCTTCGTGTTCAAGAGCGGTGGACCGATGTCTGTGGTTGGAGTGGAGCCTTCCGGCAAGCCCATGTCGCGTGGGGCGACCCGCCTGCCTAGTCGTTTCAGGAGATAATTTAGTTATGGAACCTTTTCATGAAATCTATACGGTCTGTCTTGCCAGAGCACTGCACCTACAGCCTACGACACCTGAGACACTACTACTAACCGGCACACTTCGGCCGCTGCACACAGAGTCGATTCCATCGAAGAAGGCTTGTTCGAGTTGTGACACTGCACGGTGATTAGCTGTACTCAGAGTCTGGAGCGCCAGCAGCAGCGCCAACATGAAACAATGCTACGTCCCCACCCAGGACCATTGTTCGTCAAATTTGATCGATGCATGCGCCACCAACCCACATCTCAAGAGAGAACGAGGACTTTCTCGTCGTTCGATCGTTTCGCTCCGCTCCGGACTCTCACCTCCGAGCAGTCTCTTGCACGCTTATCCCACTCTTGGACATACAGCATCGTTGGAGAGCAGACGACCAAGGTCTTCGCATGCTGCATTAATATAGACATCTGCTTAGTTCCCCAGATCGATCATGACCTAGCGCAGGTTGGCATTTCTGATTTCGCGCGCGGCTATCACAGAGTCGAAGCGCCAGTCTGCCTATTCTACTTCATTGCAAAAGCGCCCAATGATGAGCTATTCCTCCATTTCCATGTCCCATTTGCCTTTCTTGCACATACCTCACATTTTCGAGACTGCTGGCTATATTTTGGAGTATGCTTAGCGGACGCTATATGGTCGTGGAGTGCTTCATATTTCTGGTATATCTTTTTGGATCACCCGTGGTAAGCTTTGAGGACGGACCCTTACGATTTGCGCATGGACATCATGTTAGGGTGCGACGAGATGATCAAGTCGTCTCCAGTGCATATGCAGATCCAGCTCTGGGCTGGGAACCAGATGAGGCCCGCTCAACACTAAGTGTGTCACAAACGATGGCATCCCACACATTTCGAAGCGATCAACTAAGCCTTCCATCGGGCAACCCGAGTAATGCAACGACCACTGCCTGCGCCTACAATGACGCACAGTGTGGCGACTTGTGTGCGACCTCGTGGTGGCCTTGCTACGCAAGCTGGTCCTCATGGACACGTTACGATGTTCAGATTACTTCCGTGCCCTACAATTACACCAATCTCTGGACAGAGACACGCACAAGCTACAACCTCAGCACAACAACATGGATGGTGGACGAAGCAGCAGAGCCGTATTTCTACGTCTTGGGGACTGGCAAGCCATACCTGACAACAAGCGGCGTCCAGGTGTATACTATGTACTACCAGTCGGTCATATCGACTCGCAAACCGTCGCCTAATTGTACGTACATTCCGTGTACCGTCGCGTCGCAGCCTGATCCGGCTACTTGCTCCTCATGCGAAGTCCAGGGCGGGACCGTGGAGCTGCTCTACTGGGCTGACATGGCAACAACATCTCTGTCTGAAAGCTGGCAGCAGAACGGCTCGTCTCCAGTCACGGCGCTCTACAAAAACATGACCTTGACCTCGCCAACGGTCTATATCGAGTTCCAAACCGCTTTCGCTACTGACGCTTGCGGCCGGACTGTAGGCGGAGCTTACCCCGGCGCCATCATCGGTGTGAACCCGAAGTCCTTATACAGTGTACAAGCACAATTCGATTACTTCGTCGAACTGTTAGACGAAGGTGAAACCAGCACGACCTTCTACCAATCTGCGCAATTCAATTTTGAGGATCTAAGCGGCTTGGTTCCTGCGTCAGCATGGGCTGCGCAGCCGAGTTGTGTGGCCAATCATGGTGGCTGCTACACCATCTATCCTGATGAGTACCACCCCGTGCTTGTAATACCGAGTCATATCCGCAATATGGACCCTGCTTGGAAGTCTTGCGGTTTGGATTGGCGAGGCGCGTGGGATCCACCAACTGCGTTGAGACCGGCAGCGGTGATTGCTTCGGTGACGACAGCTCCTGGAATCGCACCAACCACACCCGCTTCACCGCCATCCTCTGTAGCTGGGCCAGCCACAAGGACAGCGGCAGCAGAAAGTGGAATGTGGACGGCTACCCCCAGCGCAACCTCTAATGCAGTCAACCCCAGCTCGCAAGAAGCTGTGATAGATCCTGCTCCTACACCAAATGTCTCCAATCCGTCATTATTGACATCCGCATTGCAAGACTCTCTGCAAGATGGTGGTGCCTCATCCTCCGAATCCACAGTGGCTTCTACATCCGCTTGGCAAACAGATCAGGACAGCAGCCCGGCGAGCCTCACGACAGATTTAGGTAAGAACTACGATCCAGCGAGCAACACGGCCGCTGTGGTACCGGCAACGCCTGAGCTTTCTAGATCTACGTTTGCCACTATGTCTACGTCTGGTCAAGCTACAACGATTATCGGTAATAATGGTGATCCAGCTCCTTCCGCACATGGTCCCACGAATGCGCTTGGCGTTCTAAGCGAAGCATTGCGAACAGACACTGCGGCGTCAACTACAAGGCCTCAAGCAAGTACCGTCCCCTCAAATGAAATAGTCACATGGACATCCTCGAAGTCTTTACCGTCCCGGCCGCAAACCTTCGTTGACACCACGCAGAGCGCTCGTGAGTTGAGTACGAGCAGACCGTTGCCTGCAGTGACTACCGCCTCTCTTAACGGCATTGGTATGCCGTCATCCACGTCCGAAACCTTAGCATCATCTGCGACTACAGCTGGGTCACGGCGAGCTATAAAAATCCCACTCATTACATTGATCTGGGCGCTGCTTGCCTTGCCGGCTTGCTTGATTGTGCGATGAGTGGTCGAAAGTGTCACGTATGTGGGCAAGATAGTCACAGGCCTGTGGCCGCAAACGGCGTCTGAAGAAGGGATGCGGTCAAGGGACATGGTGCCAACAACATGGCAAATATCATTCCATGCCATACGATACATTTTGGTGATCAATTGATTTCCTAGCTGACTGACAGAAGCAAGCTACCTTGATCAAATCTGTGCACACAAAGATGCGATTTCGCGCGATCGAGGCGATAAGCCAAACGACTTCGCGCTCTTACACTCAGACTATACTCAAGGATAATGCATGAGGATCTGCGGCCCGTAATGCTAGCAAGCCTTCTGATGAGGCCTAGAGAAGGCCGGGTGGTATCCTGCACCTTGTCAAATGCTGGTGACACCATAAAGGTTTGAGGGACAATTGCTGTCCTGCTCCGTCACCCCTCCCTGGCCTAAATGGTCATGCAAAGATCAGTTCGCAAAGCGTCCTCCTATTCTGCCATAGGCCGACTTCTATCTCAGTCCACCGAACGTTGGAGAAGTTATTACCGAGTCGCCGGACAGGGTGCGCAAGGAGAATCCGGCAGTGCGGTCCGCGGTCTGTAGCCTGGTCGGGCTACGTGCAGCAACGAGGAAAACATGTTGACACGAATATGCGATGGAAGGGCTGCACACACGGGAACTGAAGCGCGAGGGTGCTACTTGTATGTAGAACGCTTTTCGTAGAAAGTAATTGCCTAATGCAGCAGTCATATGTTGACAACAGCCTTGGCCGATACAGCGCGAGTGTCACCCGCTCTTGTCTTTGATCGTGCATCACTTGAGCCCAGGACATTGGGACGGCCGCTCGCTCTGTTTCGATGCGGTGTCGAGGATTCCGCAGTGTGATGTATGTTGTCGAACTATAGAAAGAACTTGGCATGTATACATGGTGCTCGGTGCAGGTCCTCCTTCGTTGAGTTTCTCTTCGCAACTCACGCTTGTTGAGGGGTTCCAGAGTTGCTGCAAAGTATGTGACGCAGAATGAGAGATGCCTGGCATCTGTGTACTTTTGGCTCAAGGAACTCTACCCAGTTGTACAGTATATATACCACCTGCGCCGGAGAAATAGCTCGCTATGCTCTACGAACAAGTGACTCAATGACCTACAATTGCGCCCTCACCGGGTCTGGACCCTCAATCAGCACCTTGATGCCTCTCGCCGCCTTGACATCTTCAAATGCCTTCTCCGCGTCCTGGAAGCTGACCTTCCGCGAGATAAGCTCCGTCACGCTCAGCCTTCCGCTCGACACGAGGTCAACAGCCGTCTGGTAGTCGCCTGCGCTGTACCGGAAGCTGCCCTTCACGTTAAGCTCCTTGATGCCAGTCGCGCCGATGGGGAACATGATGTCGCTCTTGCCCATGCCGCCCTGAACGTATGTGCCGCCAGCGCGCAGGACGTGAATACCGGCCTGAATGCAAGGCTCTGCGCCTGTGGCATCAATGCAAGCGTCTGCACCAAGCCCAAGTCCGCACTGTTCAATGATGCGTGCAGCGGTGTCTGCAGGAGCTTCCTTCTGTGACACAATGGTGTGGGTTGCAGCGTACTTCTTGGCGAACTCCAGACGCTCAGCATTCATGTCAACGGCAACGATGGTGTTCGCGCCGTAAGCCTTGGCGACTGCACAGCACAAAAGGCCCACAGGACCGGCACCGAACACGACGACACTCTGTCCGGGCTTGACATCCGCTTGCCGTGTGATATGCACACCAACCGACAAAGGCTCCATCAATGCGCCTTCCTCAAGTGACATGTTGTCTGGCAGCTTGTAGCAGAAGTCCTCAGGCAGGGTGTAGTACTTTGCCAATGTGCCATCAATGGGCGGTGTAGCCGCGAACCGCATGTCCTCACACAGGTTGTACTTGCCCTCCTTGCACCGGTCACATCTTCTGCACGGAATGCCTGGCTCCATAGCAACGCGGTCGCCGACCTTCACTTTCGTCACTTTGTCACCCACAGCCTCAATGATGCCGCTGGATTCGTGACCGAGCACCATTGGGTCCTTGACCACGAAGTGGCCAATGGCGCCATGCTGCCAGTAGTGCACATCTGAGCCGCAGATGCCAGTGAACTTGACGTTGGCGAGGACGTCGTAGGGTGATTGAATCTTGGGTACTGGTCGGTCCTCAAACTTAACGTGGTGTTGCTTTTCGAGGACAAAAGACAGGTTCTACCATCAAGGTTAGCGATGCGGGATGTGATATTACGCATGCAGCTCCATTCACCTGTACTTCGTTCGGCATCTTGGCGGGCGTGGCTAAGTAGCGAACATGCTGAGGACGCTGAATGGTTTTGGGCACACTTAGACCTACACGGCCGACCACGTGGCGAGTCGCGAACATTGTGGGCCTGCTGGATATGGTGTAGCTCTACAGAAGCAAAGCTGAACCACAATGGACGCTATGAGGGCAGGGTTGATATGCCGGTTGGGCTGGAGAGCCGCAGACCCTTTTCGTTGACTTACATTCTGCCTCCCTCCAACGCCCTAACCGGGCACTCGTGGCTGCATTGTGTGGTTACCGTGGAGAGAGCTCTCGGCTAATTACGCCCCGTCGACATCAGCCGGCTTAGCTTAGCATTGACGACGGTGAGTGTCAGTTTCAGATTGCACGTGACTTTAGTGCCTAAGGCAGATTGTACAGAGAGAACACTTCCACTTGAGGTTCGTGCGGTCTTTGAGAAGGGACGACAGGCCTTTTCAAAGCCACCTCACGCAGCCTCGTATGATGCCCAGATGTCAGCAGAGCAATCGGACACCGTAGACGGCCTATCTCGTGCAGGTGGACCAGGAGAAGCGGGTCTATCGCACAGCATGCGGCATGCAACAACGGTAAGACAGTGTGGGCAACGCCAGTTCGAACCATTTCCTTTGCGCGACTGTGTTCGCAGCTCATCCAACATTACATCTGCAGTGCGCGAGATCTAGAGTGTCACGCAAATATCTACACGACCATTGTAATTGGTGTGCATTGCGTTATCAGAGTTGACCCACCGTAGAAACCCTGCAGCGCGGCGTGCGGCGTTGGCCTGGCCTGATCAGCAACATACGCTCTCTCGTTATCGCTAGCATCTTTAGGTAAGTTGATATGAAGCAGTTCTATGCGAGCGACATGGCGCGCATCATCGGGCGTAATCGGAGCATAGTCTTTCTTCATATACGAGCGACTGAGAAGACCGCTTTACAACCGTATCATCAGCGATACCAGCGACCAAACCAAGTCTGTGGCAACCATGGCGAGGGAGACACCACTTAGCCAGGCAACTGGCTATGGAGTCGTGATTGGCTTAGGCTTCCTCTTCGCGTATGTGTCTGCCGCTCCATGTTGGTACCGCTAAAGCTAACCGGACCACAGGTTTGGCATGATGTTGACAACCTTCGTACTGCGCCGCTACAACAACGAATTGCAGACTTCGGAGGTGTTTTCCACTGCAGGAAGAACGGTGAAGTCTGGTCTGGTTGCTTCCGCCGTGGTGTCTTCGTGGACTTGGGCGGCCACCTTGCTGCAGTCATCCAGCGTAGCATACAGATACGGCGTCAGCGGGCCATTCTGGTACGCCTCTGGTGCTACCGTTCAGGTCATCCTGTTCGCCACATTGGCCATTGAGCTCAAGCGCAAGGCACCCAACGCGCATACGTTCTTGGAAGCAATCAGGGCACGCTATGGCGCCGCAACTCACGGCGTGTTCATCACTTTCGGCTTGATGACGAACATCTTGGTGACTGCTATGCTCTTGACCGGTGGCTCTGCAGTCGTGACTTCGTTGTGCGGTGTACCAACGGCCGCGGCTTGCTTCCTTCTGCCTATAGGTGTGGTGTTGTACACAATGTTTGGTGGCATCAAGGCCACCTTCCTCACAGACTACGTAAGTCGCGCATGAGCGAAAGCGAGTATTCGCCAGCTAAATGAGTCTCGTGCAGGTCCATACGGTCATGATCCTGGTCATTATCTTCATCTTTGCATTTACCGCTTACGCAACCAGCAATGTTCTCGGCAGTCCAGGCGCCGTTTACGATGCTTTGGTGGCAGCCGCTCAGAGACACCCAGTGGCAGGTAATGCTCAAGGTAGCTACTTGACCATGCGCAGCCAGGAGGGCGCTGTCTTCTTCGTCATCAACCTTGTTGGGAACTTCGGAACCGTGTTCTGCGATAACGGCTACTACAACAAGGCAATAGCGGCGAGTCCAGTACATGCCCTCCCTGGCTACATCGCTGGCGGTTTGTCCTGGTTCGCCATTCCGTGGCTTGCTGCGACTACCATGGGCCTTTCTGCACTTGCTCTGGAGAACAACCCAGTCTTTCCAAGCTATCCTAACCGAATGGACCCAGCGGATGTTTCGGCTGGCCTGGTCCTTCCCGATGCTGCCGTCGCATTGCTTGGGAAAGGCGGTGCTGCGGCGACGCTGCTTTTGATCTTTATGGCCGTGACGAGTGCGATGTCTGCTGAATTGATTGCCGTATCTTCGATCTGGACGTACGATATTTACCAGACGGTGTGTTCAACTAGCTGCCCCTCGTGAACAGCATACTGATGGCTTCTGCAGTACATCAATCCTCAAGCCAGCGGTCGTCGTCTAATCTACATGTCGCACACCAGCTGCATTGTTTACGCCATTGTCATGGCCGGCTTCTCAACCGGGCTGTACTATGCTGGCATCAGTATGGGTTATCTGTACCTTATGATGGGTGTGATCATTTCGGGAGCCGTCCTTCCAGCATCGCTGACCCTCTTATGGGACCGGCAGTCCTGGGCTGCTGCGACGTTCTCGCCACCACTTGCACTTGTTTGCTCGCTCATAGCGTGGCTGGTAACCGCGAAGAAAGAAGGTGGTAACCTCTCTGTCGATTCCACAGGTGCAAAGTGAGTTACAATCTCATGAGATGATCCTTAAAGCTCGCCTGCTGACCACATTCACAGCAACCCGATGCTAGCAGGCAACGTTGTTGCGCTACTTACACCCTGCATTTTCATTCCGATCTTCTCGCTCCTGCCCGGCTTACGCTCGTCAAAGTACGACTGGATGTCCATGAAGCTCATTCGAAAGGGGGATGACTCCGACTTGGCCGCTGCCGCTCACGTTGACCTGGAGCTTGTGCCAGGCCAGTCAATTCAGAGCGATCATGAGACACGCCTAGAGCAGCACCAGCTCCAGCGTGCCGCAAAGATTGCGCGCTACATGACCCTCTTCCTCACTCTCGCCTTGCTTATCCTGTGGCCGTTCCCAATGTATGGCACCGGCTACATCTTCAGCAAGCGCTTTTTCACCGGCTGGGTGGCAGTCGGCATTCTTTGGCTTTTCTGCTCCAGCGCCTGTGTCGCGGTTTATCCGCTGTGGGAGGGCCGGCATACGAGCACCAGGACTATCAAAGCTATTTTCTTAGACATTACCGGCAAGCGCAAGCCTGTGACCCATGGTCGGGCCACTGTGGCGGAGACTGCAGAGGCTGAAGACATGGTAGAGGCGAAGAAGGAGCCTGCAACACCCCCAGAAAAGGTCGTTGACGGCGCATCTTAACGTTCCGGCTTCGACAGTCATAGCCACCAAGGGTGCATTTTGTTGCAAGGTGTACATGTTTGACGAATGCATATAGATTCGACGAGATACCCACATCGTGCGCAGTAGCCTACAGATAGAACTCGTAACATTCATAACAATCTCTAGCAGCGACACAGTTTACATCAGTCCGCCGTACGGCCGACTCTCTTCATCAATGTGTCGTTGCACTTTGCTCATTGGATGTGAAACCCAGAAACCAAACCGCGGCTTCTTCTGGTGGTCGTCTTTGGCTGGGTCATGCGACTTCTGATCCTTGTCGAAGAGTGGAGCGTATGTAATGGTGGATGGCATATCCCCATCATCAGTCCGACTGGCCATGTAGCCGTGAGCAAAGGTCATGAACTTGCCGACTTCGAACGATGACTGCGTGTATTTGTGCTGTTGTAGGACATGGAGCGCTTTTCTGAGCCATAATTCGGAGGCGTCGTCAGTGTCATCATCTGACGATGATTCCGAAGATGGAGACAATCCTTTCAGGCCTTCCTCAACTACTGCATGTAGCTTTTCGGCATCAATATGCGCTTTCTCGGCCACAAGTACGCTGCCAATAATGTCATGGTTGGGATGCTTTTCGAGCTTATAGTGACCGTCTGTCCGGATGGCTACGTAATGCACTCGTTCGATCGTCCGTTGTGGCAGCAAGGGTAGGGCATGCTTGTGAGGCTCTACGCTGATGAGCCAGGTGAGATGTTGCTTTCGATAGCCTTTATCACCTCGACCTTCGTCGGACGGGTGGCCTCGCGCAGCAGACACGAAGATGTTCGAAGTAATGCCTGGCTTGCCGGCCATTGCTTGTCCAGGCGATGTAAGAGAGCTAGAGTTGCACTTGTGAACGCGCAACAGAAGCGAGTGGTGAGAGGATAAGGTACAGTACGGCTACTATATAAGTACATCATCTTGAACCCCACAATCAACTTTTGCGTCTTCTGCGTTGGGGCGGGCGACGGGCCACGTGCGGATGCTGACGGAACAAAGCTCCTTCTTACTCACCATGGTACGCTCCGTTCAACATCTATGATTGCAAGTTCGAGAAGGTGGCAAGGCCCGAAGCTGTCAGATTAGTCCGCTAACGGACGAGCCGTGAGCAAGGAAGAGCTTGCAGCACGTGGAAAAAGTACCTCAGCGATAAAGTCTGGGCCTAAGAGCCTCCCGTTCTGTCAGCACTCTAATATGACAACATGGCCATTTAGGATGCCCTATGGCCGGGACTCCATCTCTTCTTCCTGGTCAGTCTTCCATCACGATGTGACGAGTGCGAGGGTGTAGATTCCAGCTGCATTCGGCGAATCTCATTAATCATGGCAGGTCGTCAAAGTTACCCGAGCAAACACTCGCAAACCTCCAATGTGCAGGATATGAAGTACGATCAAAACAGCCCGCACGCAGTTCGGCGTAGCAAAATGCCATGATGCCCTCGAGCACGTGTGTTGTTGGTATCTGGCTAGGTACATGCGTCTCTGTACATCATAAAAACTCGGAAACATTGCCTAAAGCGGGCACTCACTTCGACTTGTAGGTGTGGAGAACGTGCGGGTTGCAGAATGATTTCAAGCCTTCCTGGCCCCTGTCGCGAAGGTGTCAGCATATGATCAATGCCACTCAGGTTGGCGATTGAACGTACCATTCACCTCCAATGCCGCTCTCCTTGTGGCCACCGAAGATAGCTTGCGGTGTCGGCTTCTCCCAAGAGTTCACGAAGACGGAGCCAGCTTGTAGCCGCTTGCCAATGCGCTCAGCGCGCTCGACATCCTTGCCCCACACGCAGGCACCAAGACCGGTATTGGTGTTGTTGGCACGCTTGATGACTTCCTCTTCGTCTGTCCATGGCTGAGTCGGCACGATTGGTCCGAACGGCTCCTCTTCGATGATTCGAGAGTTGTTTGGTGGGTTATCGATGATGGTGGGTTGGATGAAGAAGCCGTTGCCCTTCGCAACATCAGGCTCGCCTACGGCGAACTTGTAGCCGTTGCGCTTTGTGTCCTCGAAAAAGGTCTTGACCTTGTCGTATTGCCTGGCATCACTATGTCAGTATCGCTTTCAATGAAGGGCATTACTGACCCACATCTTGTTCTGAACTGGTCCAAGAAGAGCACCGGAGCCAGGAGCGCCAACCTTGATCGTCTTAGTGAAGTTCACCATTTCCTTCAGCATCTCGTCGTAGATGTCTTGGTGGATGTAGATACGCTTGGTAGCAACGCAAACCTGGCCAGAGTTCTGGAACGCGCCCATAACGAGCTCCGGAGCAACCTTCTTGATGTCAACATCCGGAAGAACAATTGATGCATCATTGCCGCCGAGCTCAAGGGTGCAGCGCTTGAGAGTCGGAGCGCAGGCAGCCATGATCTTCTTGCCAGTCGCGATCGAACCAGTGAAGCTGATTTTCTGGATGCCAGGATGTGCTGTAAGCATCGGGCCAAGAGCGTCACTGCCGCCGATGGCCTGGACGACACCTGGTGGGAAGATGTCCTGTGCAAGCTCAATAGCCTTGAGCGTGGTGTACGGCGTAAACGGCGATGGCTTGACAATGATGGTGTTGCCGGTCAGGAGCGCTGGGATAACCTTGCCCAAGCTGAGGATCAGGGGGAAGTTCCACGGGCAGATGGCGCCAACCACACCGAGCGGAGTATATCGGGTGAGCAGAACCTTCTCATCGTCCTCAATGCGTTCCTCCGGCAGTTCCAAGTTCATGTGGTGGTTGAAGAAGAGCGCAACTCCCTTGACCTCCCATTCGGCGAATTGCCGCTGTGCAGATCGTAAGCTCGGAACAATCCTACAGATACTGAGCCGGACTGGCCACTCACCGGTTTGCCCGTCTCTGCGCAAAGCAGATCGGTCATCTCATCGCTGTATGACATGTAGTGGTCGCAGTACTTCTGCAGCAGCTCCTTCCGCCTCTCCACTGTCTCCTGGCTCCATGATTCGAAAGCCTTTTGTGCGGACGTAACGGCATCGTCGACATCTTGTTGGCTACCAACGGGTACCTCCCACAGCTCCTCACCGGTTGCCGGGTTCACACCATGGTGCTTCTCTTTTCCACCGCGCTGCTGGCCGTCCACAATGTTGTGGAAGGAGTCAAACGTGATTGTGGATACTTTTGAAGGAGACATACTGGATATATTGGTCGGCAGTAGGAGAGTGACAGGGAGTATGTAGAACCGATGGTATAAGAGTTACAATGGCGACAAAGAAAGGGAACGGCAGGTAATTATACGAGTACTTACAGGATCCGCCACTGCACTCTAGCCGTATCTCTGCCATGGAGACGTGCTGGCGCCGCATGGCAGCATTGGCCGTAGTGGGGTTGATTTGGTGTCGTATCTGCGGGGTGATTCCAGATCCGAGGTCCCTGTTGCGCTAAGGGAATGGTGGAGGTTCGCTTGGCTATGGCACATGGCGCGGCGCGGCAGTTCTGGGATCCTAAAGGATACTGTCAACAACCAAGAGCGTCGCGTCGCAGAACGTATTAGTGATCGCTGCTGTTGCTACTAGGTGCCGTATGCTTTTCGCCAGAAGCCTTCGTCATCAGTTGAGGAGGAGAATACATGCCCAATTTAGCTGAGCAGTTCGAACGGCGGAGTTGCTACGCTTTAATGACGATCGATATGGGATGGAGAGCATGTTTGCATGTCGGATGTTGCATGGAAGGATAAATCAACACTCATGTGCAGCTGACACGGCGCTTGGCTTCGTGCCGATTCACATCTGTGCCCGTGCGCTGGTACGATAGATTGCACTATCTGCGAAAAGTTGACAGCGACAGTGCCTTTTCTTGCCTGCTCACGCTATCATCACTCGCCGCCTATCTTGCCCGCAGCATCGTTGGATTTCCAACATCGCTATCCTACCGGTGCCGCCGTTTGCTCGCAACATTTGATACCCGTGGAGTCTTACCTAGACTTCCAGGTGTCCGAAATGCTTGCGCACTTCCTCCTCCATTTCCGACACCGTACGGAAGCCTGTCCTGACACCCTTTGCATTAAGCAACACGACTGGGTTGGCGGTACTGCGGACGACATCTGCTACTGCCTTGGCCTTTTCTGGTGTCGGCTTGCCTTCTATGTCCTTCTCAGCAACTGACTTGACGCCCTGAAAGTCGCCATGGACGCCGGAAGCGGCCTCGTTCCAGATATTGAAGTAGGGGAAGCCGTATTCGGCATAAGTTTTTGCCGTGACCGGAGTCGGTGGCGGCTCCCTGCCAGTGACGGACAGGAAGCATTCAGAGTTCAGGATCTGCACGTTAAAGATGGTTCCGCAGTCAGGCTGCCACAGGGTCGGCGTGTATCGGTCGCGCTTGATCACTTGCTTGATAAGACCAGCAGCGCCAAGACCCATAGGTTCTGGCAAAGGCCCTCCGCCGCGGAGTCGCAGGACTAGCTGCATAGTAGACTCCTAAAGGTGGGTTAGCATACTCTGTCAACGAAGGCGCAGCATAAGATGGTCACCTCTTTGACACCATATGAGGACAACGTTCGCCCTAGATGGTATATTAGCCAAATTTACTATCGCCACAAAGCTTGCAACGTACCGTCCTCCATTTGCTTCCCACTGAAGATGAGGCGCTGCTGATCCGGGGGAATGCCGTCCATGTCCTGGATCATGTACTTGGTATCGTTGACGGTAGTGGTCGGCATGACCTCCAGCGGGAGCTCTTGGCCCACAAGTGTTTTGACAGAGATAGGGAAGCTCTCGCCGGGCACGTGGGCGCCGTAGCGTTGTCCGAGCGGCTTAGGCATGGAAAGCATAGGACCCGCCCTAGACGGGACGACTTCGATTTGCAGACCGCCAATTACCTCCTCGCCTGTCACTTGAGCCTCGACGGAGTAGCCGGAACCGAGTGGCATAGCAACGAACTGACGGACTGCGCCGTCCTTAGCAGCGGCGCCATCCAGCCACAGCTGGTCAGGTGCGACAAGGTAGTCTTGCACGCACTTCTTGCTCTCCATCAGCTTCAGACGGCGCATCATGGTTTCCGCAGTCTCACGGGCCGGCTCTCCAGAGATGGCATTGACACCGCCAACGTAGATCTTAACCGCAAAAGGATCGCGCGACTTGAAGTTGATCCACATTGCCTCGCGCTGATATATAGGTAGGAAGAAGCCGCCCTTTGCCGCCATGGCAGCCGGAAGCATGGTCTGATAATCCTTGACGACGTAGAGTGAGAAGTTACCAACCCTTGGTCAGTGGAAGGGCTGGTGACTTGGTGGCCTACTTCAAGCGAAAGTGTAGCAAGCGTACCTAGCCCCGGTGGGAGATTGTTCGTCTCCCCGTTGTCCGCGACACGCACTGTACGCTGAAAGGAGATCGTCAAGGCCTGAGGGCGCGGGTTCCCGCCCACGGTACGTGACACCTTGATGCTTGTGTTGTTGTCGCTCAGAGAGACGGTCAGGGGAGTAGTGGTGGCGTTCATCGGCGCGAAGTCATTCATCTTGCGTTGAGGTGTCTGAATTTGGTTGTAGTACTGTGATCAGAGGGATAATGTCCTCAGATATTGTCAGTGTGCTGCAGAATGTGACGTTCTGAAGCTTCCCCGCTGTCCGTTTGTGTTGTGCCTGTGTCAAATTAGGCAGCAGCAAAGCTCAGTAGCACCTTCCTTATTCGCAAGAATTGAAATGTACGGGCTTCGCACACTGATCGCCGTTTGCAGTGAGTACACGTCATCTATCTAAAACAGCCTTCTTTTGAATGTTGTGAACGCCTACGCTTTGCATCCGACTTCAGGCGAGTTCGAAGGGCCCTTTTCGGCTATAAGCTCACGCTGTGCTCTCAGATGTTGAGAGCACGAACCACGAGCATCACTCGCGTAGCAAGGATCAACTTACTGCCATTTCCTTCACTGGTAGTGGCGTGACAAAACGCGCCCACACACGCAGCCGCGCGAGCCTATTCAGTCCAATCCCATGCAAGTTACTGTTTCTTGGCCCTCTCCTCCTTGAATCACGGCTCGCCAACTCGCAGTCAGGACTCGCTTACAAGTCTGGGTCGTCTTCGTCCGGCAGGGGCATCTCGGAGGCCTCCTGCATCTCCTTGTGGTACTGCTCCATAGCGGCCTGATCAACCTGGACCTCTGGCGGGGCAAGTGCCGGCGCAGCGACGAACTCCTGGAACGTCTGTTAGTAACTTTGACCATTGACGAACACGCGCTTCTCACTTACCAAGCTCTGGTTGCCCACCAACTTCCTCGCCAGCCACAAGAACGGCTTCTCGAAGTTGTAGTTGCTCTTCGCCGAGATGTCGTAGTATTGCAGGTTCTTCTTCCGGTGGAAGGTGATCGTCTTGGCCTTGACCTTGCGCTCCTTCACATCTACCTTGTTGCCGCAAAGCACGATTGGGATGTTCTCGCACACGCGGACAAGATCACGATGCCAGTTCGGCACGTTCTTGTAGGTAATGCGCGAGGTCACGTCGAACATGATGATGCCACACTGGCCGTTGATGTAGTAGCCATCGCGAAGACCGCCGAACTTCTCCTGCCCTGCCGTGTCCCAGACGTCGAATTGAATGTTGCCGAGATTGGTAGTGAATGCGAGAGGGTGGACCTCGACACCGAGAGTGGCGATGTACTTCTTCTCGAACTCGCCTGTGATATGGCGCTTGACGAAGGTGGTCTGCACAATTCTGCTATTAGCCATGTGTCTTCTTCCCACATGTCACGTGGAACAAGGTGCGAGTGATATTGGTGCCATCACCTACCTTTCCGGTACCGCCGTCACCGACAAGCACGAGCTTGAACGTCGGAGTCTGTTGTTCGGCCATCGTGACCTACTGAGCTGATGGGAAGTTGCTGTGCAGCAATATGGCTTCGCGCGAACTTGATCTCGGTCGTTTCGTAATGATCTGCAAGGATCGCGCTGTGTTGAGGTTATGGGAAAGGTGGTCGTCGCGGCACTTTGTTCCAGTGTTTTGGCTGTGTTCGAGCAGAAGCGGTGGGGTGCTGTTTTCTCGCTTAGTGGTCCGTGCGTCTACCGATCGTCACCAGGCAACATCGCCGCCACTTTCTGCCTTCTTGCCTGAAACGCTCCTTCCACGCGATTCACACCCCAGTAGCCCCTCCTTCATACACTCCACCTGCATGTAACAAAGCGTGAACGCGCTTATTAAAGGCTCCCACCTCGGCTCAGTCCCGCTCAGCGTGCTGAAGGTAGACTCGCTTCCTGTAGAATTCGAATCCCGCTTCACTGTAACCCCACTTTCCTACCATTTCGTAGCAAGCTAGGAAAAGACTTCGCACGAGCAGTGTCCCACAGGCTATACATATGGGTCGCAGAATGGATGACTTGCACGCACCCACCGTGGCATCTGGTCCAACTTCCTACGCAGCGGCCAATGGAACAGAGAGAGAGCTTTCGCTTAGCGAGCTTTCAACGAAGAAGGAGAACTTGGAGGCCGAGCTGTCCGCTCTCGGATCGGTACTTGAATCCGTACGTGCCTTGCTGCAACGTCAGGTTCGCCGACTAACATTTGTTAACAGCACGGGGTAGACATGCGAACGCCCCTTCTCACACCTGATGGCTTTCCGCGAGCCGACCTAGACATCGCTCAGATCCGTACAACAAGGGCGCGCATAATCCGCCTGAAGAACGATCACAAGGCGTTGATGGCGAAGTTGGAAACTGCCGTGCACAAGGCTTTCGCAGAGGGCAAGCCTTTAGCGAACGGTGCCGCCTCAGCAACACGAGCTCCAGTTACGCAAAACAGCATAAGCAGTGGTGCTGGGTCCAGTGTCCTACGAAGTTCTGTCATTGAGCCGCCTTTCGCAAGAGTCAATAGCGTGGTACCAGGAAGTCCAGCAGATCAAGCAGGCTTGATGAGTGGTGACAAGGTGACGAGCTTTGGCAGCATAAACTGGACAAACCATGAGCGGCTCAGCCGGGTCGCTCAAGTTGTTCAGCAGAACGAGAACGTAAGTCGGAAGAGCATTGCACGTCCTAATTATTGGTGCAGCTACTGACGTGGTGTTCAGCGGGCGATCCTTGTTAAGGTCTTACGCGACACCTCGATGCAGGCTGCCTTGTCAACTACGGAGTTGTCATTAACACCAAGACATAACTGGGGTGGGCGAGGTTCACTTGGTTGCCATCTGGTGCCGCTTTGAGAAGCCAACGTGACCATCCTGTGACCGGCGCAGTGGGATGACAGTCAATGGCTGGACGGTTGAAGGCTCCTACCTCGAAAAGTCGACGCTCGACGTCAGCTATTGTAAGGCGCCCCTTGAAGACGCGTATTGAGAGGGGACGTCCAAATGGTGGAGCAAACAAGCAGTCTGAGGAGTGCTGCCTCTCGTCAAATTCGAGTGCTTACACTTCAGTATTTTGCCTGCACGCCGGCACGCTCTCCGGGCATGGCAGTCTGCTCCACCACCACAATGACCATCGAAGTTGCTGTGCGGTCTGAGCTCCGGTCAAGAAACCCCACTTTGACAGCAGAAGCCGAGGTCACGCTTGCGGCTCTGCGGGCGGCGAAAACGTGCTCGGAGTTGTATGCAACGGCAGGGTAGCCAGCGAACATGCTCCACGCTTGCGATCGTCTTAGCGCTGCTAGCCTTTTCTGATAGGGAACAGATGGGCAGCTGTGCACCGTTATGGGTGCCGTTAGCTCGACTACTTTGCATGCCGGCTGTAAGGACGCTTTCGACTGACGTAGGATATGCAAGGTCAAGTTCTGACCAATCAGGGCGGACAAATTGCGGAAGCCCCGTCCGCAAGGATTGGTGGCAAAAGCTTCACTTACTGCCTGAAGTAACTGAGCAGCGAAAAGTGGACCACGGTGTTTTCACCGAGTATCGTGATACGCTAGCACGATCCCAAGCTGGCATCTTCCGTAGCCCAGTGCAAGCACATGCACCATCAGCTACCCATAGACCCGTTGCAATTGTCTCGCTTCGCGCGAAGGCAGGGATCAACGTCACTGTCGTTTTGCGAGCGGTAAGGTAGGTTTCAGGCACTGTACATATACAACCGTCGTCTCAGTCAATCTCCATTCACCACCGTCCTTCACTCTCCACTTCCTTCTGAGAGATATTCACCATCGCAGTAATGGCGCAGTCGGTTCTTCGCAATGGCGTCGAGAAGCTCTCAGAGGCTCTTGACGGGTCGACACAGGGACAGAAGTTGCGCGACATGGCAAAAGACATGAAGGACTACCATGATCCCAACGCACGCCTGACCACCGATTACGGTGTCAAGCAGACGAACACGGGTACACCCTCTCCCCGCCGCGTATACCAGCATTATTGGGCTAACCTTGCGTGCAGACGACTGGCTCAAAATCGTCAATGAGAACCATACTGGTCCGATGCTTCTCGAGGACCACGCAGCTCGCGAGAAGATTCACCGATTCGACCATGAACGTATTCCGGAGCGTGTTGTTCACGCTCGTGGTGCTGGTGCTTTCGGCTCTTTCCGTATGCATAAGAGTCTGGAGGAGTATACCACGGCAGGTGTGTTGACCGACACGAGCCGCACGACTCCCGTATTCCAGCGCTTCTCTACGGTGCTCGGATCCCGTGGTAGCGCAGACACGGTTCGCGATGTGCGCGGCTTCGCCGTCAAATTCTACACCGAGGAGGGTAATTGGGATATCGTTGGAAACAACATCCCCGTCTTCTTCATCCAGGATGCGATTAAGTTCGTCGATGTTATCCACGCCGGCAAGCCCGAACCACACAACGAAGTGCCGCAGGCTCAGTCTGCGCACAACAACTTCTGGGACTTTATCTCCCTGCACTCTGAAGCTACTCACATGTTTATGTGGCAACAGTCTGACCGCGCCATTCCTCGCTCGTACCGAATGATGGAAGGGTTCGGAGTCAACACATTCAAGCTTGTGAACAAGGACAACAAGGCGCACTTTGTCAAGTTTCACTTCAGGCCACACCTCGGTGTCCACTCGTTTGTGTGGGACGAGGCTTTGAAGCTGGCTGGCCAAGATCCAGATTTCCACAGGAAGGACCTCTATGAGGCCATCGACAATGGTGCATTTCCGAAATGGGACTTCGGTGTCCAGCTCATCCCAGAAGGCGATGAGGACAAGTTCGAATTCGACATCCTGGACGCCACTAAGGTTTGGCCAGAGGAGGAAGTGCCGGTCCAATTCGTTGGTGAGCTTGAGCTCAACCGCAATGTGGACGAATACTTCACCCAGACCGAGCAAGTCGCTTTCTGTACCGGCCACGTTGTTCCCGGCATCCACTTCTCAGATGACCCGCTGTTGCAAGGCCGCAACTTTAGCTACAGTGACACTCAGCTTACCCGTCTCGGTACAAACTGGCAAGAGCTTCCAATCAACCGACCGGTGTGTCCCGTGATGAATAATAATAGGGATGGCCAGCTACGCCACTCTATCACAAAAGGAACGGTCAATTACTGGCCAAACCGCTTCTCAGCCACGAAGCCTGCGAAGCCAGAGGAGGGTGGTTACGTAGACTACGCCGAGAAGGTTGCTGGCATGAAGCAGCGTCTCCGTTCGAAGAAGTTCCAGGAGCACTACAAGCAGGCCCAGCTATTCTACAACTCGATGTCTGAGCCGGAGAAGATGCACATCATGACAGCACTCGCGTTCGAGCTTGACCACTGCGATGATCCTACCGTGTACAACGGCATGGTCGAGCGTCTTACATACATCGACCTCGAACTTGCACAGAAGGTAGCAGAACTTGTCGGCGCACCCATCCCACAAAAGGCGGCCCTCGAGAACCATGGGAAGAAGTCAAAGAACCTCAGCCAGACTGAGATCCAGCCGAGGGAGCCGACCATCGCAACCCGCCGGGTGGCCATCATAATCGCTGACGGCTATGATCCAGTGGCCTACAATGGCATGGTTGCAGCCCTCAAGGCCGCTGGCGCCCTGCCATACACCATTGGCCCGCGCCGCAGCAACGTGTACGCTGCTGGCGAGAGCAAAGAGGCTGGCAAGGGCAAGCAGCCTGACCACCACTTGGAAGGCATGCGCAGCACCATGTTCGACTCCATCTTCGTGCCGGGCGGCGCTGATAGCATCGCCACGCTTCGCAAGAATGGCCGTGCGCTCCACTGGGTCCGCGAAGCATACGCACATCTCAAGGCGATTGGTGGTACTGGCGAGGCCGTGGAGTTTATCAAGGATGCTTGCGCTCTACCGGGTATGGACTTCTCGACTAGCGCCGAGGTTGTGGACAGCTATGGCGTCGTGACTGCGGCGAAGGTCATGCCTGAAAGCTTCAAGGAGACATTGAAAATGGCGAAGGGTGCGAAGGACTTTGTGGATGCTTATACGTTCGAGATCAGCCAGCACAAGAACTTCGAACGGGAGCTGAAGGGTTTCCCAATGATGGTTGCTTTCTAAGCTAAGCACTGGACGAAGGGGATTGGCATATGTGTAAGCTGTAGGTGACGGATAGTAGCGTTGCGTGATGGTACCATAGCGATAGTTAGCTTGAGGTAGCACTATGACATACGTAATTCGTAATAATGCTCGTCCCAGGGGTCTCAAGCTCCCTACAATCGTAACTGAGTACGCACAGGAAGATCACATCGGAATGCGTGGAATACGTTCAAACTCAACTTCGTATGCAGACGAAGAGGCGTATGCGACGAAGCGTAACAGAAGGGTGCCGCTGAAGAAATGTTGTAAACTTCAGACCATCATACGGACTATGTAGATAGGCATGACCAAGCTTATTTCACACCATGAGATCGAGTACTAATCATCATCGCGGTCCTGGAATCTCGTCTCACTCTTGAACGCCATTAGCAAAACACGCTCCACCATGCCTTCAACGACGCAGCTCAAGTCGTTCATACATTGCGCCAACAACATCCACGTAAGGTACAAATCCCGCATACTCCCGCATGTTGCTCGCTGATTGTTACCAGTCGTCATTCAGCATCGCCAGACGCTGTGGCTATCATATCATCGTCATGTCGTTATTCTTTGCAATACAGGTGTGTGAGACCAGAGAGACCCTGAAGCATCACCCATTCACTCCACGCGGTCAACCGGAGCCAGCCTCAAGAAGCCGCTTGTCGTGGAGTCTGTGCTGCTGGTGCTGCTGTCGCTGCCCGACCTTTGGACCTTGGCCACGGGTTCGATGGCTTCCAGGTTTTCCAATGCTGGGGACAGTGACGTCTTGTTCGGGGTCTCAGAGACCGGCGCAGTTGAATGGAACGGTGTTAGGCTGAGGAAGGTCGACTCCTGAGCTTGCGATGTGGTGCTCTTAGCTGGCTCCATGATGATGGATGATGGATAGTTCAAGGTGTTCGTTTGGTAGACATCCTCGACGGCTATCTTTGCTGCGAGCGGACCGAAGATGGTCGGCTTGTGTTTGGTGAGGTTGTAGGAATCAGCCTCGGGAGGTTGATGTGGTCTTTAGGCTTAGGGTGTTGGAGTGACCAAAGCAGTCTGAGCGTCTGGTAATGCATTTTGAACCACTGGGTCAAGGGATACGCTCGGCTGTGAGGAAGTGTTGTCCTACCTATATGTGCTCCCACGTCGTCACGACAAACTATATCGGAAGCACGCGCGCACTAGCAAGGCAAGCTTGACACATTGTACTCGTGTTCAACGAATGGGAAGACTGTCACAAGGTTGTTGTTCGCTTGGCTTGGCGATGTTCCCTTGGTCCAGGCTTGTCCTAAGACGTTCCATGGACACCTTGAAGGCTTGTAAACGAAAAGTAACCGGAGCTGGTACTCGGCACAGTAGATGGAGGGACCAATCATGTATAGCGGGAATAATCGGGTCAGCCAAAGCCATGGGGGAATTGCGCGCATCGGCAGATGGAGCTGTACTTTGCGGAGAAGGAGATTCATCAGTAGCAATGCGCAAGAACTGTTTGAAGGTAAACGGGTGTAATTGACGGACCCACTATATTAGTATACCTCAGGGAAAAGGTGTGCGCAACGAGGACACCAAAAATCGTTGCCTGGCTCACGAAGGCGCAAGAAGCCACGGCATCCAGATTTGCAATGATGTTTGGATGCCATGTACAAAGTGACAACGCCAGCGTTGGATGCCGTGGACGCCTTGTGATAGCGGGGAAGAGTGACGGCGCTGTTGGAGCTTCGCAGTAGTCGGCGCGTTACTAATGCCAGTACATAGGTTGGTCGCATTGCTGGGTTCGGCTCGCTGCGCGACAAGACGAAGACCTGACCTAACGGAGGCCACAGCCCTGTAACATTTTACTGTTTTCCTGCTACCGGGCACGGCACGGCTCTTACGCCCAAACACTACGACAATCGTGTTGGTGCAAGCAAATGGCTTGTGTGATTGTGGTATACTCGAAGAATGAAATAGGCCGAGTCTGCGCCTTTAGCAAAGTAGCAGGGATTACAAAGGTGGTTGCCATGTTATGGTGAATATTCGCAAGACTCGCATATAACCGCAATTACGTGCGGACCGTTACAAAGAGATGGGCGTCAGGGCATTGTCGAGGTTGTGCTGCGTTGTCGCACGGCACTGAAGAGTGTGCACAGAGTCCTGCATGGCAACACGTACATTGACAAGGCGGACCGGTCGCTCTTCGTACAGCTGTCGTGATGCGGACTGAAATAACCCGCGAGTATCTGGCGTGGCGGGCCTTCGGAGTGCTTGCCGCGCTGCACATGCCCATGTATTGTGACATCGGATGTCGGTTTCTATGCCGTGATTATTCTGACCGCCTTTCAGTCCATCAGGACAACCGCACCATAGCAGTGAGTCGAACACCTCTAAATGCAGGAGTAGATAGTGCACGGAGCTGTACTCCTTGCTGATCCCGTTCGCTGTCCGCCGCGATCGCCTCCACGGAAAGGATCTTGACACATTGTCTCTTCTGCGACAGTAAGTGTCATTGGATACCTGCTCCGGTGTCAGACAGCGCAGCGAGAAATGATCAGAAATGCGAGCTGCTCCGCAGCAAGCGTACGTGGGCAGGGGTTGTTGCGCACGATTCGCCATCGAAGGATGAAAGCACCCGTACTCTGGAATCATACGTGCGTTCTAGGTCTCGTGAGATCGTGGGTGGTCGGACAAGCTTAAGACTTCGAGTACATCTCAATACTCTGCAAGTTCATACCCTCCATGTGCTCGTCAAAGTAGATGGTAGTTTTGCCCTTGCCGACCATACCGATTCCGTATACGGCTCAGTCTAACGGTATAAGGTGCTGACAAGGGTGCCATGTGGCAACGCACAACAGCCGACCAACTATCTCCCGTCACGATATGCAGCTAGCAGCGCCGTCACTTCCCCGGCACTAGGAGTTTCCTTACAGGCTCTGACCCACATTGAAACCTCCATCAACAAGCTCGAGGATATGCAATCACTGGAATAGCCTGTAGCTCAAGGACCCGCAAGTCGATGGCCTTTATCGTGACGGTTCTTCATGCCAGGGCCACACCTTGCGTTGTTGACTCCATAGGTGTAGCGTTGAAAACCAGTGTTACACACGCTCTCACCGCAAGTCACTGCAAGAACGAACATAAAGCTTGAGCTTCCAGCAACTGGCAAGGTCTTTCTGAGCAGCACCAAACACTCATAGACTGCCTAACTTGATTTCAAGCGCGCGAGGTCGGACGGTAAGCCTGCTAAGAAGCTGGCAGCAACAAATTTCTGATGTTCGAGCAGACTCTTGTCGGTTCAAGTCATTCTCGTTCAGATACGTCACTATGTGTATCGAAGTCACGCATCGGTACAAGTGTCAGCACACCAAGGTCGAGAAGGCGGCATGTGCCGCCTCCAAGAGGACGCACTGCAACGACATCAAGAAGCGTGTGGTCGTTCACGACCAGAAATGCTACCGCTGTGGAGGCGGCCCTTAACACGTCAGTCGTAAAGCTTGGCTTCTCATATTAGCTGTTGTTGATGAGGACCAGATGGGTTCGCGGGCTTCGTTCGTAGGCTAGAAACGGCGGGGGCTGAATGTCGGTAGCCGCAAGAGTGACTGGGAGCATGAGTGACGCCTTGCGGCCTCCTGAAGCATGCTCGAGCGACCTTTGCTGATAACTTTAGGGAAGTGGTGAGAATCTAACCAAGCACACCCTGGATGGGATTCTACTACATCGTAGTCGGCAGTCTATCGATCATTCTAGTCAGCAGTTTATATAAGATGAGCAATGCTCTTGAAGTGAAAGTCCTCAATGTACATGTCTATTGGTCTATGCTTCTGCGCTGCGATACGGGCGCATCTCAAGTTCTCAAGAATCATTGGTTTTCGATCTGGTTAGTGTCTGACACAAGCAAGTCAACGGCGAGCTTCGAACAAAATCCGACTGTTGCCAAGCGAATCTGCAGCCGGCATTCTCCCCGCGTGGAAGCGCTGGAAACACCACCTTCTTCCGGAGTATAAAGCAGGGACCTCCAGCGACATGGCGCCATGTCCGTGAATATCGATTGGCAGACTCTAACTGATGGACCAGATGGTCTGAAATTCGCAGAGTGCATTAGAGATTTCGTGCATGAAAGGTTCCAGCACATCCCTCTACCATCATTGATACGATCCGTAAAGTGTCACCACTTCGAATTTGGCAGTATTGCGCCGCAGGTCACACTTAAGGATATATGCGATCCTCTTCCAGACTTCTACGAGGACGAAGACGATGAAGGCGCATCTTCGACCGAGCAGCATAGGACACCTGCGGAGAAGGTCACCGAACATTTGTCCGAACGCTCACGAGGAGCCGCAAAACCGGCTACGGTGAGCAGTCACGACCGCGCGACTAGTCCAACATTCTCGCGTGGTACGACACCTGGCATTTTGGGGGGCACTTCAAACCTTGGCTACTTCCATTTGCCACTCGCAGCTGGACTTTCCGGCACCAATACGCCACTGGCAGCAGTAGCTGGAGCACGGTTTCAGCAAGGTATCGATTCAGCGTCGAACAAGCATCAAAAACATGAGCGCCACCACGCCGAATCATTTAGCTCGATCTCGCCACCACCGTCCAGCAACCCCGCCTCACGGCCCACCTCTCGTGACCATAGCGGGTACCGTGACCGGCGGCAGTCTGCCGCGATAGTCGACTACAGCGACGGGCAGGAGCAGCCCGAATCCACTCGCAGCCACACTGTTGACACGGAAGACTTACAAGTCGTGTTCCACGTAACTTACGACGGGAATATTAAGCTTTCGCTCACCGCAGAGGTCTTCCTTGACTATCCTATGCCAAGTTTCGTTGGCATACCGTTGACGCTAAACATCACCGGGCTCACATTTGATGGCGTAGGTATCCTCGCCTACATAAAAAAACGGGCGCACTTGTGCTTTCTTGCGCCGGAAGACGCGGAAGCGCTGGTTGGCGGAGAAGCCTCTGTTGAGTCGCCGAGTGAAGAAACCGAGCCAGCGAAGCGGGTCGGTGCTCTCCTCGAAGACATCCGAATCGAAAGCGAAATGGGCCAAGCCGACAGTGGCAAGCAAGTTCTGAAGAATGTAGGCAAGATCGAGCGATTTGTCCTGGAACAGGTGCAGCGCATCTTCGAGGACGAATTTGTGTACCCAAGCTTTTGGACATTCCTCGTCTGAAACCCGCAATGGGATTCTTACAGTACACTTTGATGCCGCAAAATCGACTCCTATGGTAGCTACTAGCCGTGCACGACCACAAGCAACTTACGCCGTGCCGCTTGCGGTGTCGTGGCGCTCCGCTGTCGCCCTACCCTTGAAGATGCACATGTCAATGCAGCTTGATGGCTGCCCGCGGCTGTCAGATCATGTCGTGCTACAAGCGCTGGTGACACGTGCGCCGCCACACCGACTATGGTACTATACGGAGGTTGTGCCATGGTCCGGCTACTCACCATAGTGCCTTAGTCGGCTTGATGGCAAATCGATGTCACATCTAGTCAAGGGGCCCTAGTTTGGGAGGCGCAGCTCTAACCGTGAAACCTTCCAGACACCCACACGCAATCTCTGGCTGAGAACCCTACACAGTTTGAGAGCACTTCTTACTCAGCGAGTTGCCCGCCCCGGACTGATCATACCGCGCAGGCATCATGGCCGTTGGTAATAGATCTGGCCCGCTCGACACTCGCGCCATACATTGGACTGTCAGCGCCCAAGCAGTCCTTCTCCATGCGCAACCCCTTCTCAGCCATCGCGAGAGCATCAGCTCGTTTGCCAGCCTTCGCAGCCAGTTCAGCAGCCCTCAAACAAATCGTTGCCACTTCCCTCCCAGCAACACCCTCGGCTTCATACATTTTGACTAACTTCCACATGACTTCCAATTCCGTTTGCTGGGAGTGTCCGGATCCGTCCGAACCGACGACGTCTGCGAACTCGCGAAGCCGCTCGTGCATCCTTCGCCGACCCTCTTCAACCTTCCTTCCTCGCTGGTCGTTGGCATCACACGCGAAACAGCCGCATAGGAAGCCGTAATGATCGATCAAACGAGCTTGTCGCGCATCTCGCAAAGCTGCAGTCTCAGCGAGGTAGCTGAGCGTGACTTCCTCCTCCCTCTCGATCTGCCTCACTGCGTAGATCGTAAAGCGACCTAACGCGGCGTTGAAGTTGCCCTGCGCATTTGGGATGCACGAGTGGTTGATCCTCGACACTTTATCAAACACAGCTTGCCGGCCATCACCCAAGTCGAAGTTATTGTTGCGGAAGACGTTCAGGATGTTCGGATGGTCGATGATGCTCCGCCACCGTGAAGGAGGTGACTGAGCGGTCCCCTCTGTGATCAATGCTCGAAAGGCGTGCCACGCCGCTTCGGACCAGCCCAGTACCAAAGACCTCAGGATGACACTGCTAGACAGGCTAAGGAACCGACTCCGCGCATCGTTGTTCAGCCCTCTGACCGCTGCGAAGACCTCACTCTCCGACCGTACGGAGAGCAGTGGTGTCTCAGCCATAATGCATGTCCCGCGCGGGATGCATCGCGAGGCGAAGACGCCGAGTCCTTTAGTAGGCCCAGCATGGCCGATTCTATACATTCAACGGTCAGATCTGCGTGATTTCAGCATTACCAAAGAATGTTGCGAGCAGACTTTGCACTTTCGTTTCCAGAAACTCAAATCCCGTGACTTGATATGTTCTAACGTGACACAAGGAACACCCTTCGATTGATCTCTTGGAAGTACCTATTACATTATACTACACTTGCATTTGCCACTTATTACCATCACCGTCGTAACTAATACAATCTTAGGCAGGGTAGAAGAGTCTTACTGTCCCTCACCTTGTAGTCCTGAAAGTCTAGGCCGAGTGCCCAGCTGCAAGTCCGTTCCCCTTCGCACTAACTTCCGAAAGTATGTTGTCGCAATGCTGCGCGTGACCTGTACGTCTGTACGTATAAGTAATAATAGACAAAGAAGAAGTTTGGACCAGAAGAATTGGCAAAAGTCCTTAGCGCCGAATACTGTCTCCCCTCAACTCGACGGCCAGCTTCTGCATGTATTCCACACTAACGCGTGCGATCTCGGAATGCTTCTGCGCGCATCTCGCGGCCTCTTGAGCTCGCTCCGAGTTGATCTGTGCCTGTAGAGCGCTTTCTAGAGCCTGGCTGAGAGCCTGCGCGAACTTGAAGAGTTGGCGGCTGCGCACGTGGTCTGACTCGCGCTGTGCTTCTGACTGCAAGGACGTGACGGTGTTGCGCACATCGTGATACTTGCCACCGTCGAGGACACTATCCACCAGCGTGTCAAGACTTGCCATCGTTGCTTCGCTCGACTTGCCTCGGAGAGCGGGGTGCTGCTTTAGCTGAGCTGACGAAGCCCGCTCGACGGCAATAGCACGTGGCGGTCTTGTATCGGTGATGTCTTTAATGGTGGCCGATCCGCGGTTCTCAAGCGAGAAGTTCTTGCTGCTCTGAAGCACAGACTGAGCGGTCGAGGTCCGCTTGTCTTTCTTCGTCCATAGAGTATGCAGTCTGTCGAGCACTTGGCGGCCCTTTGAATGAGCTCTTGTCGGCTGGCTCAAGGTCAGCTTGTCCTTGAGTACGACTGCTTGCATGCTTTGGACATACCTTCGTCTTCTTCGCATGGCCTGTCACAGACTGCCTCACCTCACTCGAAGCGACTCTCCCACGCTGGTCGTCAGATGCAACCTCAAGCAGCTTCGTGTTCGGAGTCGGCATCTTGGACGCAGACTTGGTACTCCGCTTAGCCTGCGTTGATGAGGTGTTCCGAGCGAAGCGTGCCATTGACTGGTCAATAGTGTCTCGAGCGTGCTTCACTGACCCAGGTTGGTGTCTGCCATGTCCGGCGGGAAGCACATTGTACCTATGGGACGACCCGGCTGGACCGACATGACCAGACTGACCTGGGCCGATGAGCTTGTAAGCCTTTGAAGGGACCGTTGTTGGGTAGCCAATCGACTGCGGCGGGTGAGGTGGTGATCGTCTTGGAGGGAAGGTGGAGATGACTGGCTGTCTGCCAAGCGTCGTACCTTCATGACTAGGCGCTTGAGCGGCAACAGGCGAAGTGCGCTTGACAGACGCTGTGCTCTCAGACCACTTACTGACCCCTGTCTCGGTTGGCTGAAGCTCTGCTTCGTCGTGCTGGTGGCGCTTGAAAGCTGTAAATATCTCTGTGGGCTCGCAATTCGAGACATCGTCGAAGACGAGGTTAGAAGTACCAGTAACGCTGATATTGCCAACCTGGGCCAGAGATGTGTCGGCAGGTGCTGCATTGTCAAGTGAAGAAGGTCTCTTCGGCGACGACTTCTCGATGCGGCGCATGATCTTGCTGTACATCTCCCGTACATCCTCGTTGCCGACGTGAATCCTTGGTGGAGTTCCTTTACCTTCGAGCAGGGAGTACGTCCGCGTGAATTGTCGCTTGCGGTCTTCACCCATCTCCTCAAACATGGCGAGGCTCAGATGGCCACCATCAGCGGCGTAGTCGTCTAGCAAGTCTGTGATTGAACTCGCTTTCGTGTCTCGAGGGTCTGTTTGAACGGTGCGGATTACACGCTCACCGGCAAGGTCATTGTACACATCCAGGAAAGGCTGGCCCACCATGGTTGGTTCACGTGGCAGTCCAGTGCGTGCTGTCGGACCTGGCTCCTCAAGACTCGAGTATGAGGGAAGAACCACCTGGCTAGGGATCGTTTGCAGAGGCTCAGTGTAGGGACTGTTGGACGGTGGTGACTTCTCAAGCGCTGACACTGCGTTATTGAATAAGTCCAATGCCGTAGTCTCATAGTCGCCCTGCGTGTGATGCACTTTGACGGAAAAGTTGGGTCTAGGGTAGCCAGTCGGTTGGTAAGTGGTGGGTGTGGTGAGCTCTTCCTCGTCCGAGGAAGTGGTCGCGAAGGTCTGGTCCGGCGTGCTTGTAAAGCTGCGATCAGCATCCGTGCATTCGCTTGCATCGTGGAGACCGGAAGCAGAGCTTGCGTGTGACAATGTAGCTGTCAAACTGTGACCTGGTTGATTGGGTTGCGAACGTTGACGTCTCTTGACACCTTGATCGAGGATCTTGAATGTCTCAGGTAGATCTAGCCGACCCCTGCCGAATGTCGGAGAGAGCTGCAGCTTTCGCGTGCTGGTGGCTGACGTACGAGAGGACCTGACATCCACAAGCGTTGCTTTCCTCGTGTCAGGGATGGGAAGACGGGAAGCAGTCTTCTCAGCCCTCAGGGCCTTGGCAGCAATGGCGGCAGTGCTTGTGGGCGACGGCAGACTGCGGCCCTTGGCGGCACTGCTCGGTCTGGGACGGGAGAAGCTGGCGGGAGATGGTGAGTGCGGGCGCGAATCGGTAAGGACGTGTGCGCTCTGAGCTACTGCGAGGTTACTGGAAGCTGAGCGGTTGGCTGACGGAGGCTTTGAGGGGAGTTCCGCCGTTCCTGGCAGCATATCACTGGAGGTCTTACGCTCATGACGTTCAGCCGTCCACCTTGACGTAGTAACGCCGCCGTCTGGGCTGGTTGCAATCCTGCCGTCCTCAGAGCCATCATAGCTGAGCACAGAGGTGACGTCTGTTCTCCGCTCACTGGCATTAGTCGACATTGCGCGACTGATGGTTGGTTTCTTCGTTGTGGCACTGAATACTGTAGAAGACCTTAAACAGATAGAGTCAGTCAGCAAAGCATCAGACGTGCTCGTCAAGCGAGCCACATCGTTCATTTGGTCGGAATTTGTTGAGGGTTCTACCGGCATTGGTGGGCGCAGAGTCTCGGTGTGACTCTCATTCACCAGGTCGGCAGGAGGAGCACTCGCAGAGCGCGGTACCAGTGCTGGCCAGTCGAACTCGGCTACGTTGGTCGAGATCGTCAGCGGTTTCTCTCTGGCGTCGAGGAGTGTGCGATTGATCTCTGGCTGCCCGAGAGTCATGGCTGGTGGTGTTGGCAACGGCTTGTCCGCACTTGCGCTGGCCACCACCGTCAAGGCAGTGTTGTCCTTCAGCAGACGCGGATCCTATTGTTCTGATCAGCATGTTGCGTTCCCCGTAGACTTGGCGACGTACCCTCTCAGGCTGACGTCCAGTCATAGGCTGCTTTACTGGCGCCGGCAGATTGGCACCTTCTTTGGTCTCATCCAGAAGTGGGTCCTCACGCTCGCTGACGCATGAAGTGCACTTTGGTGTCGTAGGCCTGCTAGACGGAGTGTTGCGGCGAGGCAGCTTGGACCGGGACTGCGGGGTGGTTGTACTTGTTGCACGCGCAGGACTCGCCTTCGCAGCAGACGCCTTGGTAGGAGCGAGCAGTCGGTGCAGTGGAGGTGTCGTTGTGGCTTTCTTGTCCGCGGCTTGCTGAGGTTGCGTGTTTTCGTCCTTAAGGCGAGCGTAGCCGACTCTGGTCTGTATCGACTGACGCTTGTTTTCGATGGCCTGAAGTTGCGGAGTGTTGACGTCGCGTTCGCTCAAGGGCATGATGATGTACACAAATGCTGCAGTGCAACGGGTAGGACAAGGAAAAGGTGATCGACCTGCACGATGCCTATTTTGATCGTGAGGGTGCGACGGTTGTGTGTCGTGTACACTGCGATTTGGAGATACTCGAGCACGCGGCTCTGAAACTTGCAGACGTCCACGCGGCGTGAATGTCTTGGATTGCGGCGGATACGAATGACCTAGCTTCTGACGAGTGGTACTAACGCAAGAGGAATAACAAGTTTGAGGGGTGAACCTTCAGATCAGTATGGGTCTTGATGAAATAGTGACACGAGCGGAGCATTCAATGTTGATGTTGAGTCGGGCCGCCGAGCGATCGCGTTTGGGGCGCACTTGCCTTTCAGCGTACAGACTGGGAAGGTACGCTGGAGAAGGGAAGCTGCATCCTTCTCCACTTCGCAAACGGCGTTCCTACTACTCACATCTGTTGAGTCCGAAGTGCTGGTGTCATCTTGCCCATCATTCGCATCTGTCTGTCAAACCACGAAAGGCATTCTCAGCTTGTCTCTTCTGCTGGTATAGGGAGCACCCTCGACAAGGCGATCAAGCGGAGGCGTAGAAGGTACCGCTCGCTGCCGTGCGCGCACCACAACAGGTAACGTTACACAAGAGCCGGCAAGGAACTTGTCTCGGCCTCAGCACATTAGATGCAAACCCTGACATTCATGTTTCTTGCAGATGGGTTGAAGACGCGTTTGATGGCGGAAGCGTTTCATCTCGGCTGCGGCGGCGCGCGGCTCCGTTGCGGGTTCTGCCAAGCTATAACTGTTCTCTCAACCATGATTCTCACTCGATTTGAGCATTCTCCCAGGTTTGACTGCGAATGATACGTGCCAAGCGGGATCACGAGGATGACACCGGAGTACAAGGCTGAGAAGGAGGCTTCGGTCTCCTTCCTTGGCGGCGGAGGGATATGGGAGATCAACGGCATTACCTTGGCTGCACCAGTATGGCATCCAGTTACTGTCCAGAAATAATAACCTAATTGTGCGGGTAGGTTGCTGCGCTTCTATGGGCGCTACTACAAACCCGACAAGGCTTTTTCAAGCCTTATACGTTACCGGCTGGTGTAACCGACTTCTTAATTCACTGCGGAGGCATTCTGTTTGCAACCACGATCTACTCTGGCGGCCCTCAGATCCTGCTTGCACTGCTACTGTTACCAGCTGTAGCAGTGTTATCACAGCCGCCTAGCACAGCAGTTACTACAAGCAAGCCAGCTGCCAAGCCCGAGCAAGATGGCAAGCCTAAAGCAGCGGATGAGCCTGTCAGTAACGCCGGGCTTGATCCACTACCGGTCAAGCCATTCATCACGACTTACCGCGGTGCCATGATGATTATCACATGCACCAGCATCCTCGCCGTCGACTTCAAGGTCTTCCCACGACGTTTTGCGAAGACGGAAAGCTTCGGAACATCGCTGATGGACCTTGGTGTCGGATCGTTCGTGTTCGCAGCTGGTATCGTCGCAGCTCGCCAACAGCTCAAAGAGCAACAGTCCGGGTCGCCATCGTTGCTCAATCGATTCAAGACTGCAATGCGACACTCGGCACCTCTGCTTGCACTCGGCTTGCTCCGCTTATGGACTGTAAAAGGCCTGGACTACGCGGAGCACGTCAGCGAGTATGGCGTACACTGGAACTTCTTCTTCACTCTGGCGCTTCTTCCGCCCGTGATAGCTGTCCTGCAACCCGTCCTGAGGCTCATCCCTTCATACGGCGCGCTCGCTTTCGTAATTGGTGGCATTTACGAATGCGTGCTCTATTTCGTGCCGGACATGAAAGTCTTCCTCATTCTATCGGAACGCAAGCCGGGCGACTGGCTATCTCAGAACCGCGAAGGAGTCTTCTCATGTATCGGCTATCTTGCGATCTTCATCGCGGGAATGGGCATCGGCATGAGCATTCTGCCTCGAGATCCTGGCCCGGAGTTGCCTGAGGGCAAAGCAGCAGAGAAAGACGTCCTGGACGAGGATTCCGAATGGCTGGCCTCCGTCCTAGGCCAAGAGAACCAGCCCGCCAAAGCATCCGCGCCGGAACCGGACTTCATGCCTGGCATTCCCAAGATGGCCATCGCCTTCCTCGCAAAGTGGACGGGTATCTGGTTCATTCTGGCCGTATGGGCCATGTGGCGATACGGTCCGCATTTGTTCGTCTCACGCAGAATGGCAAATCTGGCCTACATCATCTGGGTTTGCGCGTTCAATACCGCACAGCTCCTGCTGTTTTGTGCCATTGAAACGGTCATGTTCCCGGCATTGTACAAGGCTAAAGATAAGGCAACGGAACGGCAGCGGGCGCAGGATGCGACGAGTAAGGTCATGCAGGCATTTAACCGAAACGGACTGGCACTGTTCTTGCTCGCTAACCTACTGACGGGCGCCATCAACATCGCCGTGCCGACTTGGCATATGGATGATGTGCCGGCGATGGCGATACTGTTGGCTTACATTGCCGTGATCTGCGGCGTTGGACTTGCGCTAGACTCGTATGATGTATCGATAAAGCTGTAGATACTCCTGGCAGAACCCGCAAGGGCGCAACCCGACCGTCAATCCCATTCACTTTGAAAACCCTGCTCCACCGTAGCCATCACGCTTCCAGATCTGCCAACCCTTTCAGCAAGATGTCCTCACCATAGCGACCCGTCAAACCAAGAGTACACATAAGCATTCAGCATGCAATCTAGCTCATCCGGACTCAGCATCCTCTCCTTCGCCATCATTAACACCTGCCTCTCCATTCCGATGTCCGCCGCGGATAAGCTTCCACGATACGCATCCGGCGCCATTTGCAGCATGCATAAGCTCCGTCCGTATGTACTGAGAGTGTTATGAAGTATGCAGCATCGAGGGTAGTCCGCATCCTTCCTCACGTCCGCGTAGGCTCCTCCATCACCGTCAGCTCGATAGGCGACTGCAGAAGCATAGGGAGACATAGCTATCTTGTAGCTGTCGTGCTCGAAGCTCCAGGCACCTTCATTGTAGACAAGAATGCTGTCGCCAGTGTCCTGCGGCCTATGGTCTGGTCCTATCAGGTAATGGATAAGATCTAGCATCTTCACTGGATTTGAGGGTGTAGTATCGTACAGATCGATATGGTAGCCTCTGCTGGTTACGAACGTGGTCTTCTGCCCAGTACCTGCGCCATGCGATAGCGAAGTTCGTTCTCGCTTCGGTTGCAATCTGGGAACATGTGGACAGCAATGCCAGCCACGGGCCTCTCGCGGCCTGAAGCTTGGTTTCTCCGCGGTTGTCCGTGAGCGGCAGCTCGTAAAGAGTCAGACGACGCTACGGTGATAGCTTCATATGGTAGCATGGCTGTACTCCGTTTCGACGATTCCGATGGGTTGTTAGAGTGTTGTCGTCCGTGAGCGCGGACCAGCTTGGGAGAGCTCGACAAGGTCTCGGCTCGGCTCGTCTCGCGGATGCTGTTGAAGCATGAATGTGGTGGTGTCAGTGCCGAGTCGTCGTTGCCGTGGTTGATTTGGCGACTGACGTTCGAGCATAAACGCCATCGAGCGATGTTTTGGCCGACACTCCAGGTTAGGTGCTTGCTTGATACCGTAAAATGCAGATGAAGACATTAATTTCGAAGAGCGACGATGGTTCGCGTGGAAGTAAACGTGAAGCCGATGCTAGCGAGCAAACAGCCAAGGGTTTGAGTGAGGAAGGCACGCAGCCCGTCTTTGTTCATCGGCTTTTTCACTACCGCAAGACAACATACATTCATGATCAGTTCGTGCGAGACGTCATGACTCCCACATCCCACGTGAACCATGAAGCTAGCCTGCGCAACTGGCTTGGTCGTTTAGGATACCCACAGTAGACGAGGGTAAACAGCCTCAAGATGCCGCCTCTTCACCAACGTACCCTGGCTTCTCTAATACCCCTCCCTCTCTTCTGCTCTCACCCTCACCTTCCCCTCCCGCTCTTCTACTCTCACCCTCACCCTCCCCTCCCTCCATCTCCCCCTCCTTCGCCGCAACCCAAACCTCCGCCAACTCCACCTCAATCTCCCTCCTCCTCTCCCGCCACCCCTCCACCTTGCCCAACCGCTCCCTCAATTCCACCAACTCCCTCTCAACCCCCACCCTCTCCCTCTCCGTCCCAATCCGCACAAACTCATACTCACACGCATCCTCCCCCAACCCCAACGTAAGCGTATACTCATGATACCGCTTCAGACTCGCCCGCGTCGAGATCGTGACGAGAGTAATCCCCTTCGCCTTGGCAGTCTCGTACAACAACCCTTCCACGTCTGAGCTTACGGCGGAGGTACCTTCGTCGATGAAGGCGTATCGTGGTTCGTGGTACAGCAAGCGAGCGATACCCATCCGTTGCTTTTCGCCGCCGGAGAGGACATCCTTCCACATCTTCCGCGTGTCCCAGCCGCCTTCGCGTTCGGGGATATAGCCAAGCCGCGCTTGTTCGAGGATGGCTTGCAGTTCGCTTTCGCGACGGCCGGCGGTCTGCATGTCCATTTCTGTGTGCGGGTAGATGACTTGATCTCGTAAAGTACCTGGGCTGAGGTAGGGGCGTTGGGGCAGGAACATGATGCCGTCTTGTCCGTCGTTGCGAGGACGGGATGTGAGACCGCGGTAGGTCGGCCAGAGTCCAGCGACGATACGGGATACGGCGCTCTTGCCTGCGCCGTTGGGGCCGGTGATGAGGAGGTGCTCACCAGGCCGGACGACGAAGGAAAGGTTATCTACCAGCTCCTCGCCGCCCATGGGGTAGAGTGAGGGTGCGACGACAGGCACGTTTTCCAAGCGTACGCCATCGAAGCCTTTCTGCAGCGTGCCCTGCACGTCGGCTAGACTGAAGAGCTCGGCGTGGGTGCCGCGGGACGGGAAGTAGGCGTCTGCGTGGACGCGGTGGAGGGTGCTGATGAGGGTGTACACGCGGCTGGTGTAGCCTGCTAGCTCGGAGAGGTCCTTGATGGAGTACATCATGCGGCCACCGGCGTCAGCAAGGGAGAGCATGAGGCGCTTGTTAGTGATGAACTGCTTCATGCGGCCGCCACTTTTGTCCGTATGCTCGACGAGCTCAGCACTGGCGGATGACGATCTCCGGGCAGACGACTCGTTTGCGGTAACCTGGGTCAAGCCTCCTAGCGCAGGTAGAAAGACCGGCAAGCTCGTGACGAGATACCCAAACGCGGACCAGCTATACTTCAATACAAAGTCTTCGAGCATGTTGTAGCCGACTTTGATACGGTAAATACCCTCCATCCACTTCCGCAGCTCCTTGAAGCCTTGGTCAAGCAGGACATGCTCCGTCGGGCCACCGTTGTAGAAGGCTACTTCCTCGGCGTTGGCAATCAAACGTGCGTGTAAAGCTCTGAACTCGCCTTCCTTGCGGCCTTCAACGGCTTTCATCTTGCCGAATGGTGGACTGAGTCGTCGAAGAAGGGTTGCCGTAGCGAAGTAGTTCAAAAGCAGGCCGCTTAATGCCAAACCGCCTAATGAGCGGTAAAGTTGGAAATTGAACGTCACTAGGTCTACCAATGGCTTGCCAAGGCTGGAGTATAGAGACGCCGCGCTATCACAGAAGAGCGTAAGGTCTTGCGTGATGAATTGATCTGCTCCCTGTCCGACTCCGCCATCCAGATTGTGCAGTTTGTAGTATGCCAAGCTTTTGTTGAGGTACAGATCGTGGATGTACCTCGTCAGCCGTGTCCGGAAAGAAATGCTGATCTTGGATTGCAAGAACTTGATCATGCTGTTGGTGTAGCTACTGATAGCACCAATGGACAGCCACTTTGCGATGCCGAGCATGAACGCCTTGCCCTTGCCAGCGACCAGATCACGCACAATCTCACCGTCGAGTCTTGCCACGACGAGCGAAAGATACGTCCGTAACAGCAAGAATACAGCATGCAGCGTCAGCAGACCCGTCTCCTTGCACCGCAACCGCGGGATCATGATGTTCATCAACGCCACGAACTGGTGGACGAATGCCAAGTTCAGACCAGGCTTGACATCCACAGGCGGCACATCCGACTGCATCCCAGTCGCCTTGGAGGGTTGGAGGAACTTCCTGCGATGCGCATCGAAGGTGGTATCCTTGGTGGGGTGAATGACCACCTTGGAGGTCCGATCTTTGTAGGGCACGTAGATGGTGCGTGTGCCATCTTTGCTGCGGATGCCGCTGTTCCGCCTTACGAGCGTCTTGCCCAGTGTTCGCTCCGTCCTGCGTCTCCGGTAGAGGCGGTAGCCGCCATATCCGCCCACTGCGACGGTCAAGGACAGTGCGAGTGTCGCGAGTAATTGGGTGGTACGTTTGCTCAATGGACTACGGCGCTCAAGCTTCTCCAGGCGTGCAAGAAGGCGTTCGTAGTAGTGATCGAAGAGCTGGGAGAAGCGGTCCGGGGGCGATGAGCGGGAGTTGGTGTTGGACATGATGGATATACAGCACTGTGGGCAATGCAACAAGGCTCGGTACTGCCAGCTCGTGTGCTTGTAGCACTCACGCCCAATTACCAGGAGATGGGATGAGTGGGAGCTGTTACTGTCATGTGCAACGCATCGGCATTCACGTGCAGCCGAGGCTTAGAGTGCACGGACCTTCAGCCCACATTACTGTACGCTTGGGAGACGAGGGAGAAGACTCGAGGCAACAATGTGGATGCACTTCTGCTCGGCGAAAGTTCTCCCTTGATCAGCCCTGGAGCTCGCTTATCTACAACCGCAAGAAGCGTGCTCGTGATGCGTTGGGAGGAGATAGGCTTGCGAGACGAAAAGCGAGCGTGCTGCTGCGGCTTATGGCTTCTGCCTCTGCCTCTGCCTCTGGTACTGCGGCCAGACGTCAACTCATGACCTTGATGGCAGCCTTCGCCTTGGTGTTATAGAGCAGCCTCGAACCCAGTGAATGTTGTTTACATCAAATCCTCTTCGACAGTGTACACCCTTGTTTGACACCATCATCACACCACCTGCTCTCCTCCTTCCTGCATGGTCTCCACCGACTCGGACTTCACCCCGCTGCGGTGGCGCAAAAGTTTGAGCCGCATCCGCTACATCTCGCGTTGAAGACAACACACAGGGTTTGGCAGGACTGGTCGCCATGATGAACCCACCGCGGCCACGAGTAGGCTGAAGCTGCAAGCCATCTCCCGGACTCGGTCACTCTAGCCGTCCATGGGTTTCGCTGCATTTTGCCGGTCGGAGTCAGATCCTTGCATCAGGCAGCGTCATGACCTCATGCTCGACTGCTGTAGCTCGCAGATATTGCAGCTCGAGTCGAGTGACGTTACGGATGTGGAGCTAAGAGCTTTCGGCAGCTGTAAGGTGAGCGGCATATGGTAGTGGGTAGGTACGATAAATATCTACTTTGGACTATCCATCAGACACTTCACAATAGGAGACCCGATACCCTACATCTTGTTTCGTAGATCACCTTCCATAGGCAAGACGAACCATCAAGATGCTCTCAAATTTAGCATGGAAGGCCGAACAGGCGATCGGCAACGACACCAACGCTGTCACCGCCCAGGACGTGACCAACCCCGGCCTGAAGCGTGAGCAATGGGGCGACCCAAGTGTCAGCATGAAGGCACTGGTGTGGATGGGCAAGAACAAGGTACAGATGGGTGAGTGAGCGCCGGTCACACATATCGTCGACCGACAAGCCCGCATGCTGACAACGCACACTCCAGTCGACACGCCCAAGCCCAAAGTCATCGAAGACCGCGATGTCATCCTCAAGGTCACCGGCAGCACCGTCTGCGGCTCCGACCTCCATCTCCTCCACGGCTCCGTCATCGAGCTTCAGCAAGGCGACATCCTCGGCCACGAATTCTGCGGCATAGTAGACGACATGGGCTCCGCAGTGACGAAGTTCAAGAAGGGTGACCGCGTCGTTGCCTCCTTCCAAATCGCATGCGGGAAATGCTACTACTGCGACAAGAAGTGGTCATCGATGTGCGAGAAGACCAACGCCAACACGATTGAGAACGCAATGTACGGCGGCCGGACCGCAGGCATGTTCGGGTACTCCCATTTCACCGGCGGCTTCGCAGGCGGCCAGGCCGAGTACGTCCGCGTCCCCATCGGCGATGTCAACCTCCTCAAGCTTCCCGACGATGTCCCGGACGAGAAGGGCCTCTACCTCTCCGACGTCATCTCCACCTCCTGGAACTGCGTCGTCGACACCGGTGTCAAGGAAGGCGACGTCGTCGCCATCTGGGGCGCGGGTCCCATCGGACAGATGTGCATCGACTTCGCCTTCATGAACGGCGCCAAGCGCGTCATCATCATCGACAACGTGCAGTGGCGCTTGGACCTGTGCAAGGAGAAGTCACCGCGCGTCGAGACGGTCAACTTCGGCAAGCTCTCCGGCGCCAAGGCCGTCGTGAGCAAGTTGAAGGAGATGTGCGACGGTCGCGGCCCGGACGTCGGGCTCGAGTGTGTCGCCGGCGAGTACCCCAAGACCACCCTCCACGCCATCGAACTCGCCACGGGCATGGAGACCGACACCCCGGAGATCCTCAACGAGATGATCGAATCCGTGCACAACTTCGGCCGCGTCGGGATCACGGGCGTCTACGTCGGCTACACGAACCACTTCAACATCGGCTCGCTGATGGAGCGTGGCATCCGCTTGATCGGCAACGGCCAGGCGCCCGTGCATCTGTACTGGGAGGACCTGTTGAAGAAGATCCAGAGCGGCGAGATTGACCCGCTGCGGATGGTGAGCCATCGCGTGCGCGTGGAGGATTTGGATAAGGTGTATTATAAGTTTGATAAGAAGGAGGATCATATGCAGAAGGTTTATGTGGAGACCAAGTTCTCCGCGCCGCCGTGTAAGGGGAGCCCCGAGTTGACGAAGTTTTAGGGGGGGTCGATGATGGAATGTGTGATTCAAATGTGGTAGACGAGATACTCCTGCATGAGACAACTAGGCTAAGGTACTGCTGAAGCCATGCGAGGTCATTGTCCGATTGCGCGATGTCACACGCTGCGCCATTCAACACGTCCGTAACGCCTGAGCATGCTTGGAACGCCACAATGTCATCTAACGGCAACATCGTTCCGCCATCTTCATGTTGGAAAGACTTTCGGACATGCCTCAGAGAAGGCCGCTGAACACGACCTTTACGATGACTTAGAACCCTTCCGCTGCGCCAAACCATGCGGTGAGCGACAGTATACTCGGGAGCGGCTTCAATAGTAGCCGTATCCGCCATATCCGCCATAGCCTCCGTACCCACCGTACCCTCCGTACCCACCACCGTAACCGCCGTACCCGCCACCGTAGCCTCCGTACTCGCCATAACCGTACCCGGAGCGCGACGCGTATGGGTTGCTGTAGCCGCCCTGCAGCATAGTCAGCTCGGGTCAAGAAAGGTCGTCGATAGGCAAACTTACCGTGCCGCCATACGCGCCGCCATAGGCAGCGTACGGGTTGCCGGTCGCGCGCGCGCCGTATGCGTTACTCGCGCCGCCATACGGGTTGTAAGTGCCGTAAGTGCCGTAAGCACCAGATGCGCCGCCGTAAGGATTGTAGGCACTACCGTAAGTGCCGGAAGCGCCGCCGTAGCCGTTGCTGGTGTTGTTCACGTGACTGTACAGATTCGCCCGTGCAGCATACGCAAACGTCGACTCTGCGCCGCGAGTGCCGTAGTCGAAGGCTGCCTCGTACCGATCGCGCCCCCGACGGCCTGAGTTCGGAGGTGGTGAGCAGGATTCGCGCATGTACGACGCGAACCTGTTCGTGTAGCCGGTGTTGGGCTGCTCTTGGCGACCTCGACCCTGGTTCGTGTTGGTTGTTCGCGGAGGAGAGGGAGGGGGAGCACGCTCGCGGCGAGATGCTCGAGTTGACTGGCCGCGACGGATGCCGAATGTAGCGGGAGACTCGCTAGCCTCGCGGTGAAACGGAGCACGCCTGCCGTAGCGGCCGTGGTCCGCCTCGTCGTCTTCGAAGAAGCTACGCGTACCGCGTGATGGCCTGCTGTAGCGGTCCTGATCATAGCCCTCCTCGTCGCTCTCGTCATCGAACACTCCGTGAGCGCGGCGAGACGGCCTGCTGGAGCGATTGCGATTGAAGTCTTCCTCGCGAAAGGTGGGGCGAGAGCGGGATGGTGAGCGCCTCGAGAAGATACCGCCTCCACGACGCGGTGGTCCGCCGGTGCCTTGCCATTCTTGACCTGCCGGCCTGGCGTAAAGGTTAGCCTTGCCTTGAGACAATTCAGAGAGACTGTGGAAGAACACGTACCATGTCCAGGAGCGGATAAACATGACGTCGACTTGATGGGTAGATGAGTGAAGGGGAAGGACGGATTGTTCTATTCGTCTCTGTGCTGCCTTTTGGTCTCGGAGGTCGAAGTGTATCAGTCTTTGAGAGTCGTCGTCGTCGGATGATGTTTGAGTCTGAGTTGGAGTAAGTCTGAGTTAAATAATGTGTCCGAGAGCAAGCTTATAAGGAGTCTGAGGTGTTATTGATTAGCTAAAGGTCTCGTGAAGGATGGTAGTCGTGAAGAGTTATACTTCACCTAACGACTGTGAATGCGCAGCCGCCCACCACCTATTCACTTTTACAGTACCCAATGCTACCACAATTCCGTGATGCAATTGGACTGTCCACGGACATCGCTGTCCTTCGAAGACTCAGCTGGTATCTGTTGCTGATTAGATGGGCAGAGAGCACACGCTGTCCTGTCAAAGGAGGACATGCCGGCAGGCGAAGCCGTATCGAGCGCCAGGGCATTGTCTGCGTTGCGAAGCAGGCCTTCGCACTTTCACTGGATCGATTCATCAATGCCAGGTTAGTTGCATGGGCTGGTACCCTTGGGACCGCCGCCAGTTCGCATGACCTTGTATACTTCGTGTGTATGTTGTATATACCAGAGCCATGAGCGCCATACAGTCACATGCGGCCAGGGGTCGTATCTTCACGCATGTCATGTCCACAGGCTGGCGTTGCCGCGCGCTCATCTACATAATCATCAGGCGGTCTCTGATCCTGTTGCGGAAAACTGCGCATGGTCTTTGAAAATGCTGGGACAGCGCCTGTTTCAGTTCTTTTTGTAAGCTGATGGACTGGCTTTGTACCTATGAGACATGACCTTGGTACCTTTGTTTAGCTAAGCGTAAGACTCATATGGAGGTGGGTGCTAAGCGAGAACAGCTCGAGCCTGAGCACATCATGAGCACTGAGAAATTCTGCGCTTTCCGGGTTGTTGTCGGTCTGCCTGGAAGATGCGCCATCTCCCTGCCTGCGAAGCCGCAGGCCGTCCTAACCGCAGTTGCAAGACTCTTGCCAGACATGCTTTTTCCGTTCCCGGACCTAAAGGATGCAACGCCGCGCTAGACAATGAGTACTCCCATGAGTTCATAACCGTATCGGAAGGGCGGAGAATGCGGCATCTCATAGCCCGCTTTGTGTTGCGGATGGATTCGCCCTCGACGGTGGTGCCTTCATCGCATCATGGTAGAAAAGCTGCTTGAGACTACTCGCTGCCTGCGATGTCTTACGCTCAGACGGCGGCCCACCGTACTCAAACTCGCCCTCCTGAGCGACACGAAAGGCGGTCACTGTACTCGCGGCGCTCTTCACGCTTGCATCTCCCATGAGATCCGTCGGACTTGACGGCGCCGTTGCAATGTAAGGCGATACGAGATCAATGGAGTTCGTGGAGCTTATTGAGTATGACTTGTTGTGCCTCGACGGTTTCGGGCGCGGATGATTTATGGAGGCAGTCGTGCCCACTGACGAGCTTGCCGAATGGACCAAGGACGGCAGCTCGGATGCCGTGTTTGCCCGGACGATTGCAGGCCGGCTGCTCGATTGCTGAGCGCCGTTCCAGGTGGTTGAATACAACTGTGCGAGATAGTGAGTGGCTTCGCTATCCCTCCGCGAGTACATATCGCCATAGTCGCCGCCAGGAGGCGCAGAGTCGTTCATGTCCATGTCGGAGAATGTAAGTGACAATGGCCGGACAACTGTAGGGGAACGTTGAGGTACTATGTCCGACAATGAAGTGTCGAAGTTCAGAGGCGACGGCGTTGTTGGTGGCGAAGCGGTAGGGTGCAAGTTCGAGTAACCGGATACATCCTTCTTCCGGCATCTGAAGGAAAATATTAGCATGTTGGAATGTCGTAGACTGTTCAACGTCACATACGCTTCGGAACAATACAAGATGCTGTGGCCGGGCGTGACTATCTGCTTTTCGCATGTCGGACAGAATTGTAAGAAGCTTGCCATGTCGTCCTCTGCATCGTGCGCTTCACGGACGCCCAGATGTTCTACGACTTTGGTTGGGCCGCGCCCTGTCTTGCTGCTCGGAGCAGGCTGGCTCTGGCCATAGCACTGACCGTAAGCTTGCTTTGAGGGCGGTGGTTTCGACGGCCGGGCATGGGGCGGTACCAATTTACGCCCAGCAGAGCCAGTCCGAGCGTGATGTCTTTGGTTCATTGGTTGTACACAGTAAGCTACACAGGCGGATCACAAGAGCCGTCAGTCGTTACAGGTACCGGTTGTCGGCCCGCGGAATGCTCCAAGCCTAACATACGCCCCAGATGCAGGGTAGCTTGTGCGGTCTGGAAGGCGGTGACGGTGACACGTTTCAGATCCTGCGATCGAGATGTAGTATCGAGTATGTAGACTTGGTATTGCTCCCGCGGCTGTTTGCTTGTCAATAGAGTGAAGAGACACCCGACAATCGCAGCCGGATTCTGTGAGACGTGTAATTGGATACAGCTGTGCAGAGATAAGGCTTGGCCTTGGGCGGAAAAGTTTGCACGTCTTGATTCGAGGAAGACACTGACGATGAAGAAGAGAGCAATGAGAAGGAGCCATCTGTACTCGACCTTGATGATCGCGAAATCGTCCGTTCGCACATGCTATCAATAAGGTGGCCCACAAGAGCACGAATGAGAAGCTTTAGATGGCGTGAGTTGGTCGGCGAACGGTAGCAGCCTTGGTGCTGATTGTGGACCGTTCCACATCGATTCGGTGCATTGCTGTTGTTAAGTTGTGGGTCGCTGATGTGTTGTGCCTGCTGCACGCCATCCGCGCCGCGTAACAGGAACAGGGAAGAGCTCGACGTAAGAGTGGTGAGCTTCCCTCAATGTGCGCGTTTCCGTGGGCTTGGCCTGCGGAGATTGCCGCTTGATCATTCTTCCGCCAACGCACGCCATCCGGATCAGGCCGTAGACGAGAATAAACTGATGACTGACAATCAGATCGTGCTAATTACTCTGGATAAGGGACGGGGTTCGGACGGTATGTAAGCTGCGGCCGCAAAGCTAAAGCCTGCTTTGCAGCATGTTCGTGCGTAGAACCGACCGAAGTACTAATTGGCAGACGAAAGTTTAGCTTTCGAGCAATGCTGGCCACATAGGTGAGCATGCTTACCACCTTGCATGCACCAGCTTTACGATTGGAGAGCGGGTCACGACACGTGGCGTATCATATATTCTTCGTACTACTGTAATAAATGCAAGCTACATTGTTTTCCTTCTTCCATTCATATGGCCAAGGATTACACTTCTCTTTCTAACATCATTGTGGAAGCCAGCCGAGCACTCTTCCACAGTCGTTCCCGGCACTAATCATCGCAGCCAAAGTGCAGATTGAGTGTGGTTGCTGTGAAGCCTCCTTACGACTGGTGTCAAATGAGCATGCCAAAAACATCCACCGTGACTCTTACGTGCATCTCTGGCGCCGTTACCACTCAGAAGATATGACCTCTCAATCTGCTCATTCGTAAATGTATTGAGGTTGTAGGGTGCATATGTTTGAAGGACCGCCATTGCCGCACTTCAAGCATACGATCAGTTTGCGTGAGAACACGGCCGTTCCAGTTGGTCGGTGAAGTGAAGCACAGCAAATGACCCGGTTGTCGTCCATAGCAGGTCCTCCATGTATTGCTGAAGATCGTAACGAGCAACACTATGCCGACGAAGAGAAGGTCAACGATGTCCACACGCTCGTCCCGATTGTACTCCATAGAGTACCCCCACTGAATGTCAACTAGCCACTCTTGGCAAGGGACGAGCATCACGCCACGGGCGCTTTTCTGCCCTCTTGCACTTCGCAAGCATCCTAGCTCGTCGAACTTCCTCTGACATGGCAAAGTCGTCCTCGCGTGGAGCGATGGGTACCGTCATCTGGTGAAGCGGGTCGGGCGAGGGGCTGGAGCTGGAGCTGGAGCTGGAGCTGGAGTTGCTGCGGCTCGACATGCGGCTCTGCGTGAAATACATGCTTGATGATGTTGAAGCTGGGTTTGGCCGTGGTTGGTTGTTGGTAACGTGGTAATGTTCGTTAGATCCCTTTTCGAGTGAGGCTTGTCTTGTTGCTTTGAGTAGATAGTAGTAGAGACAGATAGAGGATGGGAAAGGTCGATATACTTATCTTCGTCTCACCTTGGACTTACGCGGTTATACACGTATGGTGTGACCGATAGTGTAATCCTATCGCCGTGTCTGGCACGCAATGGGCGAGGAGTCATCATCATACACGACGAGGTACGGAAGAAACGGACTTAATCCATGCCTACTCCAGCCAATCAAGTGCGTGGCGTGATCGGCCGAGGCGCTGGGCGAGGATGAAGTCGACCACCAACGCCGCTCGCCGCTCTCGCAAGGACACAAGTACGCCCCGATGAACATTGTCGGCTTGGCTTGTGTCCCGAATACGGCGGGTAGAGATGTGTGCCGTGTGCCAGCAGCAATTGCCTGGCTTCATCACTGTCTGGGTTGGCGGCCTGGGCTGCTCGTCGTGTGAGGGTCGAGGCCAGCACGCAATGAACGATGTTTGTAATGCTTCCAACCCCGCCCGAGGCACGAGGCTGCGCGCCGATAGCCTAGGTAGGATAACGGCATGGGTGCTAGAGGTTGACACTGTGTGAGGTTGAAACAGTCAGCCTTCGTGTGTTCGTAGCAATGTCAGTCCAGCAGATTCAAAGCGTCGGCATCTACCACGGCCTGCCTGTCTACCCAGCGGAAACCAATGGGTTGACAGCCATAATAACTGGCGCCAATGGCATCAGCGGTCACTACATGCTGCGTGTCCTGTCACAAGCCCCAAGACGATGGAAGAAGATCTATTGCTTGAGTCGCCGACCACCACTTGTTCCAGGCGGTCTACCCGAGAATGCGGCTCATATACCGTTGGACTTCTTAAAGAAGCCTGACGAAATAGCGGAAACGCTCAAAGAACACCAGGTGACTGCGGACCATGTCTTTTTCTTCTCGTACATCCAGACGCCTCCAAAAGAAGGTGGCGGCCTTTGGAGCGACGCTGAAGAGATGTGTCGAGTCAATGCATTACTGCTATCGAACTTTCTTGAGGCGATCAAGCTGGCTAGCATTAAGCCAAAGCGCTTTATGCTGCAGACTGGAGCGAAGAACTACGGAGTGCATCTGGTGGGTCGCCTTTTGTCGATGGACAAACGTTTGTCTGAATCTGATCATTGCAGGGTCCAACAAAGGTACCACAAGAGGAGACGGATCCACGAGTCACCTTGGTAAGCAGGGCAATGTGTAGAACTCCACGCGCGTGTCGACGACATAGCTGATCATCCTACCTCTCGATTTCAGGAGCCCAACTTCTACTATCCGCAGGAAGATCTATTGTTCGACTACAGCAAGACCTCCGGATGTGGCTGGGCAATATGTATGCCTGGTCCTATCTTGGGTGCTGTCCCAGACGCGGCCATGAATGTTGCATTCCCACTCGCGGTCTACTGTGCCGTATGCCGAAAGCTAGGTCGTCCTCTCGAGTTTCCAGGTGACATTGAATCATGGCGCATGGCTCAGTCTTGCAGCAGCTCAATGATGAATGCCTACATGGAGGAGTGGGCAGTCCTGCTGGGCCCACCGGACCAGAAGTACAATACTTGCGACAGCAGCTCGTTTGCCTGGGAGAGCGCATGGCCGCGCATCGCAGGCTGGTACGGTATTGAACCGAAAGGTCCACAGGATGGTGATGAGTATACTGCCACCGAGACGAGATTCAACCCACGCGGGTACGGACCGAAGGGAGTGACGAGGCGCAAGTTCTCTGTCGTTGACTGGGCGAAGCGGGACGGTGTGCAGAAGGCTTGGAGAGAGCTGGCGCAAGAGCATGACCTGAGTCAGAAGGAATTGGTCGACATTGACCGTGTCTTTGGCTTCCTTCAAGGTAGTCTCTGCCGGCCTGCGCCGCTTTACTACAGGTACGAATAATAAACCGGTCGACCCCGGTTCGTACTGACATGGTGTAGCATGGACAAAAGTCGCAAGCTCGGATTCCACGGCTTCGTCGACTCCACCGAGTCCTTTCTGGAGGTCTTCGACGACCTTGCTAAGATCAAGATGATCCCGCCGGTGCCCAAGGTCAAAGTCTCCTTCAATTAGTGCCACGCCACAACATATCTAGGACCCGTCACCACTGCTGCAGATACTAAGCTACATGTATCGTATTCATCAATGCATTGGCTGAGATACTTGGCTTCCATCGATCGGACCCGCTGCTGGAATGGGACGCTCCACGATTGAAAGGTGAGAGTCCGCTGGCGGTTCACCCAGCCAGCGTGAAAATGCCTTCCATGCATGATTTCGAGCTGCTTCCCTAAACGTAACCCATTCATGACCGTTCACGACACCTCTCCTGTGTCAAGCCGAGATGCCAGCTTCGCGGTTTCCGAAAGGCGAGCTGCTGGCTCTCACCAAGGCGAGAGTCATGCCTAGGTATGGTGCCAACTGTGTTTGGCGAACAAGGCCCGTTCCACAAGCTACAACTTTGATCAAGGAAAAATGAGAATTTCAGAATGGGGCATTCGTGAGTCATTCGTACAGCTCTACAACATTACCTATGGTATATCGTCTATTTCATTGTGAAGAAACCTGCCAATGCAAGGCAGCTATACAATCCCAGCCAAGCAACGCTCAACCTGTCACCCGCAGAGTTAGTGGAAGTCGATCCAGCCGTAGCCGTACCACTTCCCGTACTGCGCGGCGCGCTCGTAATGGAGCTCATACCAATCCCACTCATTATCGCACCTCCAAGAGCCTCGGTCGAAGTCTGAGAACCGGACACCACGACCAAGTTCGAGCCGAGGATACTCACCAGCTCTCCGTTGATTGTCGTGGCCCTCCCAGGCACAACAGTGTTTTCACCGATGATGACAGCTCCAGAAGGACCAGCTGAGGCCGTATAGACTTGCGTTCCGATGGTGACGAGTTCACTGGCTGCGAGAGTCAGCTGCCTCGTGCTCGTCACGCCGCCAGACGCCACAAGCAGGTTGCTTCCACTCAGGACCAGGGTTTGGCCGGCAATAGCCGTCGTTTCGCCTTCTATGATGGTCGTCGAGCCTAGAACGATTGCATTCGTCCCTACCGCGGATGCCGTGAGCGTCTGAGATCCTATAGTCACGAGCTGGGGTGTTGAGGTGGTCAGCGCGACTTTCTGCGTTATCGTCGAGCTTCCGGAAGCGATCAGAAGGTTACTGCCGCTTAGTTGGACGGTCTCACCCGCGATGACGGTCGACTCGCCTTGTGTGATGACGTAGGAACCGAGTGCGATGCCGCTGGCTCCCACTGGAGAAGCAGTGAAAACTTGTGTTCCTACCGTCACTACCGGAGGAGAAGTGACCACTGCACCGGCGACAGTGACCTTTTGCGTGACTGTAGAGCTTCCGGATGCTATGACGAGGTTGCTTCCTGTAAGCTGCACAGTCTCACCCGCAATTACTGTCAATGCTCCTTGCGTGAGCACGTAGGAGCCCAGAGCAATGCCGCTAGAGCCCGCCGCAGAAGCCTTTAAGAGTTGGGATCCAATCGTCACCACGTTCGCATTGGTAGGACTAGCAGCCAGAGTAAGTCCCTCCGTAGTTGTCGAGCTTCCGGAGGCGACTATCAAGTTTCCGTTGCTCACGCTGACAGTCTGACCCGCAATGACCGCCGCAGAGCCACCTTGTGACAATGTCTGGTCGGCAAGCACTACAGCAGAAGAGGCAGCGGCTGAGGCAGTATACGTCTCACCTCCAATATTCACACCTTGTGCTTTCGCATTGCTTTCGGCGGCGCTCAGTGCGATGGTCAATGTTACACCTCCGGATGCCACCAGGACATTGCTTCCGCTCACGCTGACCGTTTGTCCTGCAATCGTGGCTGCAGAGCTTCCCTGAACAAGTGTCTGCCCGTTGATGACAATGCCCTGAGCGGCACTTACCGCAGAGGCACTCACTGCCTGGCCTGCGATCGTAACAACAGCAGCGGTAGATCCAGGTGACGCCACATTCACCGAAGCAGTGCTTGTGACGCCTCCAGAAGCAAGTACCAGACTTCCGGCACTATTGAGACTAGCAGTCTGTCCGTTCACGACCACGGTAGATCCAGGCTGAAGCGTCTGGGTCCCAAGGACAATGGCGGAAAGCGACGCTGCTGCTACGGAAGCAGTCAAGACCTGACTGCCGATCGTGACTTGTTGCGCTGCTTGCGTGTTGCCGGCTCCGTTTCCGGATCCGATCACTTGGGTAGCCGTAGTGCCTCCGGAAGCCACAACGAGAGTGTTGCCGTTCAATGCGACAGTCTGCCCGTCCAGGGTAGTCGTACCTTGAGCGACAGTGTTTGATCCGATGACGATTACAGGAGAGGCTACGGGCGACGCAATGTAGGTTTGGCTGCCGATCGTAACCTGTTGCGCGATCGGTGTTGTAGCAGCCGCGATGACTTGGGTAGTCGTAGTGCCTCCGGAAGCCACAAGAAGTGTATTGCCATTAAGCGCAATTGTCTGTCCGTTTACCGTTGTTGTACCCTGAGCGATAGTTTGTGAGCCAATAGCGATCGCAATCGATGCTGCACTAGAAACGGCGAATGTCTGGCTTCCGACGATTACGACAGGTGCTGGAGCTTGCGTAGTTGCCGCAGCTTGTGCTGTCGAGATGTGCACTTGCACAAGGCTGATGGTTGCTCCGCCTACTTGTGTCGCAGGTGAACTTGTAGCAATCTGAACAGTAGTCGCCACTCCGCCCGCAATAACCTGGACAGCATTTGAAGAAAGCGCGGAGTAAGTCGTGCCTTGGACTGTCACAGCAGAGTCACCAACGACCGCAGTCTGTGACCCAATAACTACACCCGTGCCCACACTCTGCGCTTGCGGAGAGGCCTGTCCTGCCGAAGCTCCAGCTGATGTTGGCGCGGTATCAACCACATTGTCGTGGCTCTGCGGCGACTGCGTGACCGTGCTTGTCACGCCATTTGCAACCACTTGCACTGCTGACTGAGAAGCTCCTGCGGAGTAAGTCGTGCCTTCTTGCGTTGCTGCTAAGCCACCGGCGGTAAGAGAGTCCGATGCCGCAACGGCGACTGCCGTAGGTGTGTTCACTTGCTGAAGCGATGACGAGGACAGAGCCTGTGCCAACACGCTTGCGGCATTAGCAGGCTGCTGGTTTGAGGAAGTCGCAGGCGGGGAAGCAGCTTGGGCGGACGCGGTTGTCGCTGCGCTCGAAGGTAGCACTGCAGATTCTGGTAGCGCACCAGTAATCTGAGCTGTGGTTGTGGGGCTGGATGCTGCCTCTGCGCTATCTGACGAGTGTGTTGATGGGCTCTGTGTAGCACTACTAGGTTGATTCGCCAGGACTGCAGTAGCCAAGTTCGTCATTGCACTGGTCGAGTACTGTGGTGAAGGTTGTCCAGTAGGCGAGCTCGAACCGACGTTCCAGAGCGAAGATGGTGTTGTAGGAGCTGAAGATGCAGAACGGGTGCTCGATGCTCCCGCTGCGCTGATTCCTGGTTGAAGTGCTGCCGGTGCTACTACGGTTCCGGTTACCTCGGTTGACGAAGCAGACTCGCTATCAATGGAGGCTGGCCCAGCCATCGTAATCACAGTTGACGACGTGCTCGTCAGCTGCGCGACAGGGATATGCACAGTCGGCTCTCCGGTACCTGGCAGCAACCAACATTTAGTGATCCACGGACGTTCTAAAAGAACCTGGGGCATCTCCGTCACTTCAGCCGGCGGAAACATCCGCACGGACAGCGGTGCTGAAGCAGGCACAGAAACAGTGACCCCTGGCAGCGTTGTTGAGGGCACGTCGTCCCAAAGAAATGCCAGGAAGCCGTCCTCTGGGACGCGGACACTCACTCCTGATGTTGTCCAAGAGCCTGAAACAACGGTGTTCACTGTGAGGACATCATAAATGCCACACACATTTGCATCATCTGTAACGGTGTGCGGAGCGCCGTTCGCAGTATCTGTAGGTATACCTGTGTACACTGCTAGATTGTTCCACACAGCATAAGGCGTCGAGGTGAGACTGCGACAGCATTAGCTTAAGGTTGAATGCATTCTCCGCGCCGTCGCCGCGACGCTTTACGACGTTCGTCACGTACCCGCCAAATGTAGTGTTGACAAAGTATACGTCACTCGCGCCATAATGGGTATCCTGCATCAACCAGGGGGGTATGATGCTTGTCGGCACCCCAGGTATGGTTGGGGTTGCACCAGCGTCCGCATCAGGCCCATTCTCCCCGAAAGCGGTCAAGGTTTCATTCTTCGGTGTGTACTTGGTCGTAATATTTGCAATGGTAGTGCTGTTAGGGTATTTTAGGTACGTGGTAATGACTGTGGCTAGCCAGCTGGTGGACGCCCCAGTGTACCAAGTGTTCATTGTAACGGCTTGGAAGCCACCGTAGATCCAGCAACACGATGGCTCATCCAATACTGGCGCATCCGTTATGATGCCAGATGGCAGAGACATTGTCTGCGAAGCGGGCGCATTGCTCGCCGTGGTAACAGAGGCAGTGCCATCTGCTGTTGGGGGGCTACTAGACTGCTCAGCAGTGCTGTACGCGCCCGAAGTGAAGGTATTGCCGATTGCCTCAGAACTTGTGGATCTTGAAGACGCTGGCGGCGTCTGGCCTGTCCAGATTATACTTGAATTGCTTAATGAAGCCAGTCTTGGATATTGAATGGCACCAACGAGCGCTGGCGGAATCGCAAAGCATGTCAGCCACCTCAAAGCTCCCAGAAGCGGCATGATAATTATGAGGGGAAGATAATAGATGATCGTCGTGTCCAGCAGAAAGCCAACGACGACGACGTGGGAGGACAAGATATAGGTGAGTCGAACAACCAAGGAAGGCACCGGCAAGCATGCCTAGATGTCTGGGAGATGACAGGATAGTTGAGCACAGATCTTCAGCCGCTTGCATGCCTCGAATATCAAGGCGCAGAAAGCCTTCCTATGCGATTGCAGGGGAGCGTCAGCCTTCCAGATCCTTCGCCAAAATATGCCATTTCAATAGCAGGAGAAGGCTCACGTGCCGTGTCTCGCCCACGCCATCACTGCTGAACTTACAGCAAGGCGAGCATTCGCGAACCGCACAGGCGCTGAGCTCTGGCACGATTACTCCTATAATTCTGGTCACCGGTTCTTGCTTTCACAATGGTTCTAAGTAGACCTTGAAGGTGGAGATGATTATCAGAGTGCCTAACGTACGTACAGACCGTAGTAGTTGCTCTCATGTTGGTCCGGCTGTGAGAACAAGCCGGCATTGGGCGCCACGTATGGTGGCAGCTTATCTCGAGTACATGTATTGGTCTAAGCGCACACCTCACCACTTGGCACTCAGGGGAACACACGTACATATAGAACGCATGGAAACGAGGCGGACTCGGTCAGATGCGGCAAATCCCCCGAAATTTCGGGCCGAATCTGTCGATGCGTTCCGTCTTTGAGCCCTATTCGACCTCACTTCCACTTCTCAAGCATAAAGCACGCAGTACACAATGGAGGAACATCGAGGTGGGTCTTCGTCTACTAGCTCAGTGTTCTAAGTAGGCACCTCGACTGACATTCCAGTGCGCCGCCCAATGACGAAACACTGACACACACCTCCAGTACCCGCCATCTGCACGTACCCGAAACATTTCCTTGTGAATGTTATTGGTGCGTCACAAGCGTGCGGGAGGTGGCATGGCTGAGTCATTAGAACAGAAATCGTAGGGCTGTAACTTGACATGCTCCTCCACCTCCCTTGCTAGATTGCAACAGCCTATTGCCAGCTCAAGCAACCTTTTGCTCATCGATGCGGTTGACGACATGCCTAGTGCACTCCGGTGACAGATCAGCGGGACGTGTCAGCACTTACAGTACGCTCATGACCGAGAACCAGGCCAAGCGCCAGATCCAGCTTCATTCTGCATGTTCGAAAGGACGGTGGCGGAGCCATGAGGATCGATCAAACAGATAGTTTTCAATCGGAGCAGCGTGCTAGCTCCGTCTGTCTGCTGATTCTGTCTGCTGAGGGTGCGAGGATGGCATGCCAGCTTGCGAAGGTGCAGCTTGCTGTGGTTACGCCGGCGGCAGAAGGTGGGTTGCTTCTGCAAGCATGCTTTGCAATGTCCAGTGATGATAATCCGTGTCAAAAGCCAAAGTTGCAGGCAACCGGCTTTTTGACCAGCATCGCCGGTCAGGGGTTCTGGTCGTCACTGAGAACATAAGAGAGCTAATCTGAGGACATTGCATCCTTGCACGAGCATAACCTTCAGGGTTTGTCAAGCAATTACAGGCTGATGAGGAAGTGGAGAGTCGTTTCGTTCATACTATCTCTGAGCTCTATATGCTCGTTCTTCCTTCCATCGCCGCTCCACCAGCTCACAGACCTCCTTGTCATAGAGCTGCTCGGGCGGCTTGCCTTCCTTCAACACCTCCCGCTCATGCCGTAACATCTCGTCCTTCGTCATACAAACCAAATCGTCAAGCTGAAGCACATCCGCCTTCTGACCTGGCGTCTGCTTATCGACCCAGTCACCCTCCGGCTTCCGCCACCTAGCAAGCGCCAATCGACTCGCTAGCCCGGATACAGCACTACGACCCTTCCAAACCTCCTCCACAACGTAGCCAACATCATCAGCCATTACTGGTATGCGCAGCCCGACCGGGTTATGGCCTTGATGCTTCGCCACGCGCTCTTCTAGCCCTTGCAGTTGCGCCAGGATGCCGTCGTACATCTTTTCCCGACATTTGCTGGCGAGGTAGTCGTGCGGATAGTCTGCGATATCTAGCATGACATGATTCGCCACACACAGCCCGAAGACCGCTGGCATTGTCCCCAGCACGGGTAGGATGCGGACGCGGAAGTCGGGCAAGACGCCAAGCTCGTTGACCTGGCCTTTGGCGAATTCTTCTTCCGGCAGCGGTAAGAGCTGAGCTTTGCCTGGACCCGTCTTCTCGGACGAGAACACCACGGGTATGCCTTCGCTAACTCCCAAGATGCGCAGCTTCCGCCGTGTCGTGCGGGAAAGAGGATCCTCGGCAGAGGCAGAGATATCGCCGATGAAGACGCGAGTTGGGTCAGACTTACAGCCAGCGCCCATAGACGATATCACTTTCAGCCCATGCTTATGGCAGTGATGCAGTAACGCCACCTTCGAGTCGATATTATCAATTGCATCAATGACATACGTGGGCTTTTGCCCATCCTCCCACGGCGCAAGCTGATGCTCTGCCGTCTTCTGTCCGAATAGCTGATTGCGACAATCAAACTGCGTCCAAGGTACGATCTGCTCAAGCCGCTTTTGCAAGCAAAGAACTTTCGGCGTGCCTACATCCGCAAGAGTGGCAACGGCGTGGCGATTCAATGAGCTTAGTGTGACTTGGTCGAAGTCGATGAGTCGCAGTCTACCACATCCGGAACGTGCGAGCGCAGCTGTTGCGTGGGAGCCAACGCCGCCGCATCCGACTACTATCACGAAGGCGTTGCGGAGTTTAGCCAATCCTTCGTCTGTAAGAAAGACGCGGTTACGCGCCAGCTGCTCCAGGATAAGCGCTTCGTCATAGTCGCCCAGTCTCGCTCGTCGTGCTAGTGCAGCGCTCCGTTCGTCATCTCTCCTTTCGTCGGTATCGTCGGGAACTGCGCCGCCGAAGTCGTTGATCTGCGGGTCCGCTTAGTACCAAGAACACATAGGCGATAGTCTTGGCTCACCTCTTGAACTTCATGAGGCGACTCTAAGTCTGGTATGGATTCCTTCAGATCATGTACTTCATACCATCGCCGCGCGCTCTGCAGACCAATCGTTGCGCTGACGCCGAATGCTACAGCAACAGCGGCGGTCAACGCGAGCTGGACTCGATGCGATGAAGCGACTTCCGACGTCCTGGTAGCAAGCCACGTCGTCCATGCTGACATTGCTTGCCTCTGAGAAGATTCATGTTGGAAACCGTGAGATGGAAAGAGTGTCGCGTGATATCAGATCTCCGCGAAGTGGCTGCTGCTTGTGTGGCTGAAGCTTCCTTGGCCCTGCAGCCGCCAGCTGGACATTCGATCGAGCAACAGGAAAGCTCGTTTCCGCATTCAGTCTCACGTGCTATTCCAAACTCTCTGCAATCGTCCTGGCTGTTTCTGCTTCAACCACCGTGCTTAATTGGGCCTATACTGGAGCGAATGGTCGAGCGATAGCATCGTCCCCAATGGCTCCCAAACTCCTTCGCACACTCTTTGTTGCACTTGCAGCATGGTTACCTCTGGCCCGAGGACAGGATGCAGAGTCAGACATCAAGTCGATACCTCTACGGACGCATAGCCTACAACAAGTGCGTCCTCATGGCCGTCATTTCACTCAAAGCTGCACCCGCTTACAATTCTTCAGCCATACCTAGATTCGGACATGCAATCCCGCTGGTTCGACTTCGGCGGCACAACAGTAATTCGAACGGACCAATACGTTCGCTTGACTTCTCAGCACTCATCACGAGCCGGGTGGATATTCAGTCGGGTCCCGCTCACAGCAACAAACTGGGAGATCGAAGTCGAGTTCAAGATTCACGGCACCGGCAGCCTGTACGGCGATGGAATGGCGATGTGGGTGACGAAAGACAGAGCGGAAATGGGTCCTGTATTTGGCATGAAGGACAAGTTCGAAGGGTTGGGCTTGTTCTTTGACACGTACAAGAACAACCGACCGGGCGTGGTGTTTCCGTACGTGGTAGCGATGGTCGGAGACGGGCAGACGCAGTACGATCAAGCGAATGACGGGAAAGCGAACGAGTTGGCTGGCTGCTCCATCCGAGGCATTCGTAACAACGAGAACCCCACGAAAGCGAAGATTACCTACTTCCAGGACAAGCAACTCACAGTCGACCTTCTTTACAAAAAGGAAGACGAATGGACACGATGCTTTGAGGTGCCTAACGTCAAGCTGCCGAGTGTGGCGTACCTAGGCTTCAGCGCGGAGACGGGAGAGCTGAGCGATAACCATGATATTATCAGCGTGCAGACGAAGAACCTGTATTCGCCAAGTGGGTCGACGAATACGGGCGCGGCGGGAAGTCGTGATTATAGCAGGAAGAAGGGCAGGCCAGGCAGACCGAAGGAGAGCGGGAGCTGGTTCTGGTTCTTCATGCGCGTGCTGCTCTTCATCTTGGTGGGAGTGGGTGGGTATGTCGGGTATACGGTTTACCGGACACGGCAGCGAGACAGGTTTTGAACAATAGCGTTGTGTAGAAAGTACCTAACTCTGCGAAGCGTTCAAGTCTCTGCAAAGCCTTGAAGCTCAGCGTGGTTTCACGAGTTCTGGCGCATTGAAAGCACGACGAGGCTTTTCTACCCTGTCGTGGTCTTGCATTGTCCGCTAAGGTAAGATTGAGTGTGCAAAGTTTGCGTGACCCGAGCGTAGGGTTCGCATTGCGTGCGAGCATGGGTACCTTACCGTGGGCGGGCGGGCTGATCTGCAGGAGTGCATCTGATGACTGATCGGAGTCATCGTCCTACAGCCCTACATAAACTGCTGTGTTGTCTTGATTTCTCTAATTCCCAACTTAAGGTCGAGCACAGCACCTTACGACAATGTGTAACAAGTCTGTGACAATTGTGCCGACGGGGAAAAAATGGCCGTCTGCTGTGTCAGCCAGAACGGGAGGGCATTGCAGAGACCGCTCCGCGTCCGTGTTCAGCGGACGTCTTCATCTTGCACATGCTCGACTGCTTGTGCAAGAACGACCAAAGCATCAGAACTCGAAGAGGCGAGGAGATACGCCGTTGGGAGACGAAGTAAATCACTTTAGACGAAACAAAGAGCACATCAGCCACCATGTCGGTCCAGCTCTTCGTGCCCAAGGAATACGGGTAAGGTTGCCAGCTCTGCGACCTGGAACTACCGCTGACGGACGCCTTGCAGCTATGTCATTCTCACCACAATCGGAACGTGCTTCGTTCGTACCGTACAGTTCTTCCATTGGGCGACTCGATACTAATCTGCTACAGCTTGGTTTCTGGCATGCCGGCCGCGTAGCCAACTTCCGCAGAAAGGCCAAAGTCCCGTACCCTAAGGCCTTCGCCGACAGCGGCGACCTCTCTTCTGCTTCAAGCGGCGAGCAGAAGAAGGCCATGTACATCTTCAACTGCGCGCAGCGTGCTCATGCCAATTATCTGGAGAACCATGGCATGACGATGGCGGCCATGCTGATCGCGGGCGTGCAGCATCCGCTCTGGGCTACTGGGCTAGGTCTGGTATGGGCTGCAAACCGCATCGCCTATGCGATCGGGTATACAAGGGCAGACAAGACTGATGGCTCGGGGAGATATGCGGGCATTGCGTTCTCCCTTCCTCAAGTGGGGCTTTGTGGCTTGGCCGCCTGGGTGGGTTTGAAGATGGTGATGTAGGCTGGGCTTGTGTGCAAGAGTTCTACCTGGCGCGGAGGACCTGGGAGCCTGCTCGACGAAGTGAGGTTCGGAGACATCTACAGCACGTTCTGGGCCGTAGTGGGCTACGGTGCCGCGAACCATATAACGAGGACAGCAGCTCCTGCGTTTCGCGTAGGTAATCGAGACTGCATACCGACGGTACTTTCCGCGACGCACCTTCAAGCATCACAGTACTTTGAGGCAATTCTCAATACGCGCGAATATTGAAGCAGAAGTGTATGGTGCCGGTTTTCGATGCGTAGTAAGTTACGGGCATTAACACTCTCTTCACGTGAATGGTTCCCTATTTCTAAGCCACGAGCTTCGAGCGTTGTCACTACACGGCACTTTCGCTGCCAACACCAAAGCTCAACCATCGGCGATAACTGCACTTGGCGCAGCGAAGCCTATTCTTCCACTCACTGACGTTGCTTAGCACCATGGCAAGTCTGCGTAAGAGGCTAAGCAAGCGGCATCCAAGAGAGGACATGAAGTTTCAGAGTGCCGATGAGCTGCCAGCGCCGCCACTAGCGCGGACTCCCGAGAGATTGTCAACACCACCTGGACACAATGTCGAGGCTGTATCGATCGAAGACTTCAGCAACACGGCAGCGATACCGTCACCTCTTTTCTCGCGACCGGAGAGCAGCATCCGCCGTGTGTCACCCTCCGAAGCATCCAACAACCGCTACAAGCTTCGAAGTGCAGCTACCATGGCACCCAGTCTTCTACGCACTGATTCCGAGACCATGATGGGCCAGGAGAAGCAGACTGCATTTAGCGAGGATCTTGATGACAACAAGCTCCCTGAGTCACCAGCGGCTGCGACATCCGTCACTACCGAGAATCAAGCATGGCCGAGACCCCTCCTCGCAAGCAGGCGCAGCCGCAGCTCAGATAACGATGACGCCCAGCGGCTCAGTATATCCTCTTTCACTCGCCGTTCCACAAGGTCGCAGGAGCGCAGGCTGGAGCGCACGGACTCAGCCGCCTCGACCGCATCCGCAAGCGGCGGCGATTCCTCCGTGAAGGTCCACTCTGTCTCCACCGAGCTCACTGCTCCCGGAGCGAAACCACTCCCCAGGACACCCTCTCCGTCAAACGCGGCAGATGGCGAACTGGTGGTGCCAAACTCCACTGACACCGTTACCACCTCTACCAGCAAGCCGACGTTCACCCGCCGCCTCTCACCGCAGAACACTGGGACCTACTTGAGGTACAACCAGACATTTTCAGGTGACGAGTCGAAAGTCTTTCCGTCGCCAGACGATGTCCCGGCCTCGCATGAAGATGGAGATCACCTCTCCGTCTCGCCTTCTAAGTCTCCAGCACCGACCGGTGAGGAAGCAGGATCGCACGACAAGTTCAGCACGCTGGTGCTCCCTCCCGTCTACGAGCCGCTGCGGTTGCCCGTGTATCAGTGGTGCAGCCAGCTCGGCTCCAGCTCCCGCCCGGACAACGCGTGGGGTTGGAGTAAGCGATGGACGTGCTGCCAGTGTCGGGCGCAGACGATCGCGGAGCAGAAAAGTTGCGCGCAGCTCAAGTGCGGCCATAGGAGGTGTGGTAGTGGGTGTAAGATGATCAAACACTGATGGGTAGCTGCACGGTTCGCTCGAGTGAGCTGGCAGAGGAGGTGGTGACAGAAGGGCGGCTTGCTGACGACCTGTTATCCAGCTCGATGTGACTTGGAACCTCGTCGACAGACCTTGGTGGTGCTTGAGGGTAGCGCGTTGAGTAAGTAAGTGATTGCGTTCCTGACTGGGTGGGACGAGAAGCGTGCTGAGTCGGCCTTGAATATAAGGTCTACGGACGTGCTGCTTCCTTACTCCCCCATACTATGTCAGCTACCCGAGGCTTAAATGGTGCAACGGTTGAGATGGCCTTGGGTAGCTTAGCACGGAGAGGACCGAGTTAATGCATCATGAGGAGCTCGATGCTTTCTATGTACAGATGCGTAATCATAACTGCCAAGTATGCCCAAGGGGTATCATCCGAATCCATATAAACGACGCCGTGATTTCGCCCACCAAGACGCGGCCATAATCTCATGTATAAAGAAGCCATGCTGTTCAAGCTTGGCCAAACATGTGCCCATTCCTCGCATCCATTTCGTCTAGCTCCATTTCCTGAGCTGTTGCTCCAGATCATAAGCGACGAACGAAATGCGTGAGCTAATATTGCATAGCAGGCTTCAGGTAGCGACAGCCACGCTTCCCTTCCGACTGCTCGCAGTCGGTGCCATCATACTCCTCGCCCCCGGCACCACACTCGGCCTCCTCGCATGCCCCACGCCGTCCGCATCCACATTAGGCGCGGAGGAAGGTGGAGCAGCCATACCCGTGAAGAAGTTCCCACCGCCGACGGCACCGCCACCGCCCAAGATGCCGCCACCAGTGCGCGTGCCCATTGCGGAGGCCAGCATACTCCTGAAACGATTGATTTCGTACTTTCTGCGTAGAGGGACGGGTTGAGGCTCGTACAGCGGCGCGCCGCCCCATGAACGACCAATAGCAGCCATGATGGCGTCTTTCTCCTCATCGGAATCGATAGGCCCCGTAGGCAAACTGTCGTCGTCCGGGTCCGGAGCGTTGGCATCGAAAGCCGCCTTTTGCAATTTCGCTTGATTCTTCCGTTGGTACTCCATGAGGAGCTTGTCGTACGGCGCGCTTCTGCCTGGAACTGCACGCTTCGCGCCCATACTATGGCTCTTGCAAGTCAAACTCCGTGCGCACTGTCCACCCTGAGGCAGCTCGACGCCGCACTGCTTCTCCACGTCCACCGGAGCTTTCGGTCGCGGCGCCTTCGCTTTCTCCTGTTCCTTCTTCTTTTTCTTCTTCGTCGAGCCTCCCACACCTTCTTCGGCTTCATCGACGGCTTTGCGCTTCTTGCTGGCAACAAGCCCTTCTCCTTTTCCAGCGGCCGTCTTGCCTTTACCCGCACCGTCTTCCTCGCCCTCGGCGTCACTGTCGCCCCCGCCTCGCTCCTTACGCGCAGCAGCGTCACGAGCATCCTTCGCTTCTTTCTTCTTGCGCTGCTTCTCCTGCTTCTTGTTGAGACAGCGCTCAACGTGTCCGGCCATGGCGTGCTTCAGTACGGGTCGCTTGCAGTGCGTGCACTTGAGCACGTCAGGACGATCCGCCATGAGTTTGCCGCTGGGGAAGGCTTTGGCGAGGTTGGCCGGGATCTTGTTGAAGGGTGGAGACCCAGAGCGGTCGGCGGCATCGTTGCGCTTCTTGCCTACGGTCGCTCAGCATATAGCATGATATGAAATCGTGTGCCCAGGTGGCTATACCTCCAACGACTTTGCTTTCCCAGCTTCCCGGCTTGTCCAGCACAGGGAGTGCCGTGCGGACATCATCCTTGACGTCCGGTTGCGTGTTCTCAAGGTCGTCGAAGAGGCTCCCAAGCGATATGCCATCGCTCTGCTCCGTCTTTATGGGCTTTGGTGGAGCGGGCGCTGTTGCGCTGTCAGTCAAGGAGCGTTACAGTAGTGGCCGACTTTACTTACTCTTCCGCGCCGTCGCTCCATTGGGTGCCATCGTCGATCTTTGAATCAATCGCGCCTACGGGTCCGTCTGCATCACATGTCTGTATGTGATCGTCGCAGGCTCGAGCGCTTTCGCAATTGCCTTCTTCGGTAGGGCTCGTGAGCTTAGGCCAGCCTGAATCAGCTGACTAAGGCGCTCACTCGTCTCTTGTCCGACTCCGCCTTGTACTTATTGTGAAGGCAACGGTAAGTGACGCCCCATGATCACTTTGAGATGAGTTCGGCGCAACAGAGGAAGTGACTGACCGATGCCAGCAATATGAAAGTGACTCAGCTGACATGCCTCTCCTTGGCCCGACCATGGAGGGCAGAAACCAGGCCTTTCAACTGCTGAAGCCACGATGCGTGACCTTGAGCCAAGCGGCACTTGCGCTCAGCGGGCCATGCGGCGACGTACAGTCCGTGGCAAACGCACTTGAGGAACTCAGCATTGCACTCACCAAGCTATCCACGCAACCGGACAGTCTGGACTCCAAGCTCGCCGACTACGTATTCTTTCCCATTTCGCAAGTCCTCAAGCTCAGCCAGAAGGCGTCCCTGCGCTGCCTCGAGACTAGTCTACAATGTATTGCAATCCTTATCTCACAAGGATGGCGTCAGAGCATCGAGCCGCAGTTGGCTGCGCAGATCGTCATCCTGTGCACTTTGATGGCCGAGAAGAACCCTAAAGGCTTTCAATTCGATGAAACGACAGACTCCTTACAGACTGCAGCTCTCGGTTGTCTCCGTCGTGTGTTTACAGTCGCTGGACGTTCGCCTGGTTGCCTAAAGCTTTTCCGCTCCGAGGCAAACTTCCCTCAACTGGGCCAGACAGTAACGATTGTCCTAGATGGCATTGAAGATGGTGCATCAGTCGAGACTCAGGTTGATGCAGTGGATGCATTACGTGCTTTGGTTGATGGAGTAGCCGATACCGATCTTTGCGCATCATTCTTGCCTGGTATCATCTCGAAGCTTACCAAAGTTCTGGCGCCGAGCACGAAGCAAAGAAGAAATCATAGGGTACTGATTGGTTGCCTGCAGCTTGTGGCGCTTCTACTGCAGCGTACTTTGGGCGACAGCATGACCATGAAAGCAGGGCAGGCACGGCACGAACGAACCGGCGCCGTGAGAAGCGAGCAATGGTGCAAGACGGCCGCCTCTCAGCTCAAGCCCGCATTGACAGCCATGATGCACCTGCAAAATCACGAACGAGATGACGTGAAGAAGGTTCTGGCCAGTCTCTGCTCGGTGATACTGGAAAGCTGCGAGACAACTCTCAGCACTTGCACAAGTGTCGCTTTGGAGACGCTCCTCTCGTTATCTACGGCGAGCAGTGAACATGACACCTACAGGAAGCTCCAGTATCTATTAGCGGTCAAGCCAGCTCTTCAGGGCATCTTAGAGACGACACTGTATGACTGGCTGCAATCATTGCCAACTCTGATGCAATCTGTCGACGAAGAAGCTAAGGTGCACAAGCTTGCCCAAGCTGCGTCAGCGTATAAATTGCTTGCACAGGGCAAAGGTGACACTAGCACTATTGACCGAATGCTAGCGAGCAGTCTCGCGGACAGCGTGGTCATTACACTGCGGGAAGGCGGGCTACAGAAGGCCGCATCGAGGTTTGCGTCTCCGGTGCGTTCTTTGGATCTTGTGGTGAGTGACAATAGCCTGGGCAGCGTCCAGTTTAGATCGGCCTTGGTGCAGTATCGGAACCAGGAAAGTCTTCTAAGCAGTATCGAGGATTTTGCGCGGGTTGTTTCCACAACCACGCCGTCACCCTTCTTCACCACGGACTTGGTGCACTCTCTGCGGAATACTAATGGCGAGCAGCAAATTGCAGCCTTCTGGCTCTCGCTTACTGCGCTTCAAAGCGCACTCTCTAAAAACGACGATGTAAGCGACTTCATCAGTGCCACGAATGAGGGTCGCGCAGAGCAGATGGAGCACCTTGACGAACTCTACGCGTTCTCTCTTTCGGTGCTCTCTGCCTTTCCGGAAGAAGACGAGCCGCCAGATCTTCGGCTTCAAGCACTAGGTCTCCGAACTCTTGCTCTCCGAGCGCAGACTGCCGGCCCAGATTTCCGCTACGAGCTCATTGACGCCCTCTATCCCGTTCTCCACACCTTAGCAACACCGAATAGCGAACTCCAACAGGACAGTATCACCACCCTTAATATCATCCAACAAGCTTGCGGCTACTCCTCGGTCAAAGACCTCATCGTAGACAACGTCGACTACCTGACCAACGCTGTAGCGCTGAAGCTTAATGCCTTCGATGTCTCGCCCCAAGCGCCGCAAGTCTTGCTCATGATGGTGCGGCTTGCAGGACCGAGTCTTTTGCCGTATCTGGAAGATACTGTGGAGAGCATTTTTGCTATTTTGGAGAGCTATCATGGGTACGGGTTGCTTGTTGAGTTGTTGTTCAGGGTGTTGAGTGTCGTAGCTGAGGAAGGTGCTAAGTCTCCGCAGCTTATGGCTATCGAACACGGTAGGCCTGATGTCTTGTCGAGCTTCTCGCGTGGACTGTGGGAACCGACTACCGTACAACAGCTTGCTGGTGTACTGCACGAGCGTGCTATTGAAGGACAGCGATCGCGGGAAGGTGTCCGAGAAGCGCATCCTCAGCGACCGTGGAAGCTCGCCAACAAGGACGACGCCCGGAGCAGGACCGACAGCATGGACGACGAGGAAGGGTTCAACGATCAAGACAAGCAAATTTCAGACGAAGACGTCCCACCTCCAGCGCCCAGGACTTATAATCTCCTCTTCAAGATTACGGAACTAACGCAGCATTTCTTACCATCTGCTTCGCCATCACTGCGCGTAAGCTTGCTCTCCCTTATCAGAACCACAGTCCCAGCTATAGCACGTCACGAAAACTCCTTCCTACCATTGGTCAACACCTTATGGCCGGAGATCACATCTCGACTTGAGGACGCCGAGCCGCACGTTCAAGCGATGGCTGTCGACATTGTGGGAGTACTGTGCGAGTACGCCGGCGACTTCATGCACAGCAGGGTAGTTGCACTGTGGCCCAACCTTGCGGCTTTGTGGGAGAAAACTGTCAGACAGCTTGTCGCTTCGGTCGGAATTGTCAAGGCTTCACCAGTGCAGCAGACAGGGCCAAGCACAGCGCTTGTGCCGACTGACCCGACGATCAAGCGAGCCATAACCAGATCATTGGGAGATCATACAAACACATCTGCCCGCTTGTTGTGGAAGGCAATGTCTGGCACACTGCAAAAGATTGTGAGACAAGTAGCCATTCCACCGGAGCTGTGCGATGATGCGCTGGAGATGTTGACAACAGTCCTGGAACATGAAGAGGTCCAGGGAGCGTTTGAGGAGGCGAATCCCGATGCGCTGTGGCTCGCGAAGGTCAAGGCTGATCTTATGGGCAGGCCGATCGTGCCGAGCGTGCCTAAGGGCATGGATTGGCGGTTTGCGACCCTCCCAAGCTAAACGACATCGAAAGACATGCGCGACCTTTCTCAACAACGCCCATGACGACCCCTGCCACTTGCGGAATATAGCATGATTATCAGCACTCATGCTTCGGTCGCATTACGCAAACGTGGCATGCTCGCCAGCTGTGTGTGTCTGCTCTACAGACTCAACTTACGGCTGCGCTGTCTGCTCGATGGTGAAGATATTCCATCAGTACAATGCACTTCATGGTTTGCAGCGAGACTGCAATGAGCGGTGACGCTTGCTTGTTGTAAACGGGTTCCTCGCAGTCGACGCTCGTTTGCGGCGCGGATGCGTTGTTTGTTTGGTGTTATGGACCTGCAGGACCTCTGCAAACCGCACGCGGCAAACATCAGCTCATGAGGCAAGCAATATGGCACCTAACATACAACTACATGTCAGTGGGTCAGTACCTGGAGCATCGAAGACTCCTCGCCGAGCTATTAAAAAAATTTGAGCGTGAATGGAAGGCCATACTCGAAGCACCGCCACTAACATTTGGCACCGGCAACAGCATTAGCCTGACACACCGCCAGTAACTACATCGGATCGTCAACAACGACTGGTTTTCGTGGTCCCCGCCTCAAAGCAGGGTACGATAAGGCAGCAATGTGCTACCACAGATACACTCACTACCCGGGATGCAACAAGCACACGCCAATGCATGTGCACATGTGCGGCAAGAACGTCAACGAAGATCTCACACGCGTGCTGTACTGCGAAGACTACTGTACCGTGCAGCTGGAGGTGGAGACAGCATGTCCGCATTGCGGGCCCAAAGCGACCATGCCCGATATCGTGATGGGCAGTTCGGCGCAACGCACTGTCGTGCACTCGAGTTATCCTACTCCGCCATCGGACGCTGGGAAATGTGCAAGATCTCCTGCGATCGAGTTTCGTTGCATTGGTAGAGATAAATGGAAGCCGAGGTAGAGTACCACCGAGGCAGTGGGTTGGTCGTTGTTCACTATCTGGTGTTACTTTTTATGACGATCGACAATCTTCGTCAAGTCGCAGAACCAGTCACAGCTTGTGAGATTTAGGAGCCGTGACGAGACGTGTCGGTGAGGCTGGAGCCACGTAAGGAAGACCTGACAAATGGCGACAAGCAAAAGCGAACAAATTCCTTCCTGCGGTTCCATGCCCGCAAACATGGCCCACAAGCGGTAGATGCGACTTGGTTTAAAAATATTGTATCTGTCAGCTTGGTATGTCACGAAGTGAAGTGCGAGCCTCGGGGTTTTCGGTGGAGTACGGTCTCTACTCACTATACTACGTTGAGAATTTGCAATTAGTCCACAATCAAAAGCATCATCAAACCGTTATCGGCTGTTTCGGATGTCTCCCCTCTGTTTGCACGATGCGGACTCATTGATGCGTTGGTGCCCAAATGTAGTGCTGGAATCGTCAAGGATGATGCTGGTCGAGCTTCGCCATTTAGTGTACGCTTAGGGTATGGTTCTGGGCCATTAGGTTCGGGGTAGAAAACGACCACGCGGCCAGTGCTTCTAGGTGAACTTTGACGATGGTCATGCAGCACCGCCACTACCAGTTCTTGAATCTAGTGCAAACTGACTGGGCGCACGTAGACGCGCGAAAAGTATGCCGGTGCATCTGCAGGAGCTACTCGCGGCCCGTCGGTCTCTCTACCTCGGTTTTTGAATTCGTGTATAACATTTGGCTGGTACACTATCGGAGCCTTCCGTTTCTCTCGCGTCCACTAGAGGCAGGTATACTGCACTTGCCTCTATTTGCTATTGCCGCATTAGATTCAGCCTAGGAGACTATTCGAAGAGCTCTCGGCTAAATAGATATGACATCTTCATATAACCATTCCGGAGCAACGGAGGGGGAATCCCAGGCCTTGCTTGCCTTGCCATGCGTACCATCCGTGCTTGTGACCAGAGTGGTGCTAGTGTGATCATGCCCGTGAGAATATAGCGCTTGAAGTAGCAGGGTGATCGTTTTACGCATAGTAGGCGCGTTGGCATATTAGAGTTCACAGATCCTGTTGGTGTCGGCACCGTCACGGTAAAGGTCGCTAGCTAGATACATCGTTCCAAAGTCTAACTTCTAGCGACTTTCGGCTTGAGCTCGTAGCTGGAAGCTAACGGAACCGATGCAGTAGTCGATATGCAGTAGTCGCGTTTCGGCAGACGACGAATGCCATGTACACAATACACGTTTAATAGTCGTGTGTAGAACGTTCCTTAGGATGATGATGTAGGACGTCAATCCACCTAGGATCTTGCAGCTATTCATCGGTCGAATGTGGGGCTTGGTTCCTGCATCTGTCCCTCAGAGGTGTTACCATACCAGATGAGCGACGGACTGCGTTACACTTCGACATAGTGCTACTACCGTTTGTGCTGGCGCGTTCTATCTGGGCACGTTTTATCTATTCCTTCCGTGATAAAATGGTGATCCAGTGGGTGGGAGACGTCGAAGACGTGACCAGCACCTGACCACTGCATGTCGAATAGCAGCATGCAGGAGCATGGCGGTGTCTTTCCCCTGGCAACCTGCCGATGCAACCGCGTCGTACTTCGCTCGTGCAAGGTCGAAAGCAGGCGATGTTAGAAGGATGCCAGGGGTTGGCTACTATGTTCCGACAGGCACATGCATAAATACAATAAATGTAGTCATGTTCCGGTGGCTAATGTGTTGCGTTCGCAGGCTGCGGAATCGGCGACATTGAGGAACCAGCTTCAGTGAAGATACTGCTTTGATGACCAGATGCACAAGCAAGATGCTGTCTTAATAGTGGGTCATGCATTGCGCACTCCTGATTGTTTGCACGTGGCAGTAGTGGTAGTCGTTGTCGCCATGCAACGGTTCCATCGTGCTGATCTCAACCAACCCACGTGGCTTAAGATTACCAACCGTTGACAGCAACCCGAACGCCACACGGAAATGGAAAGTAGCCGGAAGACACATCGCTTCCTTACGTAGTAGCAAGAAAGTGCGGCACGGAAGATAGTGGAGGGTCGTTCGAGAGTTGTGGATCTCAGTCCAGGACATACTGAACATCGACACCGCGAGGTTGCTCCATGTTGGCTGCATTCACTTGGAGCGCACCCGAGGTATCTCTGCACTTTGGGAAGCAGGTATCGTTGTCACGAAGAATGCCATCACCGACCTTTCCGTACCATGACGGCGACGGCACTCGAGCGCGCTTGGAGCCACAGACATGGGTGGTGGCCGGGCCGGAGCCTACTGCAGGATCCCTAGTAGTGGACTTGCAAGCCAGGCGTCCTTGGACTAACTTTTGGATGCCGAGGAGGCGGCTTCGATCTCTTTCGACTCCACATGCCCAAAGTCGTCTGTGTGTACGGCTGGCAGCTTGCAAAGAAGTTCTTATCTGTGACGTCTCGTGTAGATGATGGTGCTCGGACATCTTCCGGTCGTGATTCAGATTGTGGAGGAACACTCTCCAGCGCCGTTTTCCGGACTTCATCTTGTCCCTGAGCTACTCCGGAATTGTTTAGCTTTGGATGGCCATGTGCTCCAGGGAGACTAGTTTTACCGCGGGAACGATGTGCAATTTATATTACTCCATTAGCTCGGGGAGCCGACCAAGCCCAGAACTGGTTTGCTCAATGCGCAATTGTCTGGATCGCCTATACAGTGTTTTCGATCTCTCTCAAGGTGTACGATGGTGCGCATGGCTGATACGCGCCACCAAGACCTCGCTTGTTCGTTTACAGATGCCTGCAAAGATACGACTGTACCCCTCGGTACCAGTGACGGTCTGCCGGGCCTGCAAAACCAGGTACCCGTACGGCACGCTGCAGTTCTTACCGCAAAACGTTGTGTCTCCCGCCCCACGTGTCTTGCCGTTGTCTTCTGCCGACTGAAACTCGTCATCTCCACGAGCACAGGAGGACGATCGGGATTCAGCAATCGCAACGCCGGAGCGAGGCGTACGAATGGCGAGGCACAGATCGTTGGGTGACTGCACGGATCCTTAGCTGACTGGCGCACTTTCCGGAACAGACTACGCTCCGCCGTAGCGGCTGGACTGTCTATCGCTTGCAGCCCTTAGACCGGCGATTCATGCAAAGTTGCTCGCCTCGGCCACAAGCTCTGCGGGCGCTGGATGGTCCAGGTAGGCCTGCGTTTGGCCTGCCTCCCTTTCTCACTGTGGCTGCGTGCTGCACGAGCTACCGCGATAGCTTCACCCTACATGTATCCACTACCCGTCAACATGAGACGGAGGTGTTTCTTTCGGTGGTTCCCTACCTGCTATCGCTACCCTAAAATTATCCGTGCCAATCCCGTGTATTACCAGCATAATTTCTCTGCTCTTCGCCATTTCTTATGTACGCAGATCGTCAGCGCAAGCCTTCGTCTACCCTGGGCGATCGCCGGTCTGAACGCACGACGCAATTGGCTCAAGAGCAGCTGGAGAGACTGGTGGATGCTGGCCTATTGGCACCTTACAATCGAACCAACGGCAAGAAGACGAAGAACGTAGAGTTCAGGTCTGCAGTCAAACAAATCAGTACGCCGTTCCATCAGCTCCCGGGCGATGTGTCACATTTATCGCAATCTATGGCTAATCTAGGTCTTGCGTGTCTTAGGCCCCAAGACAAGCGAAGCATCTCAGCGTTCTGAGCCTGCACAATCGCATACAGATCGCGTTCCATATAATCAACCACAAGAATTACCCGCTGATACGGACTGGATAACACATCCAGAGAAGAACAAATCCAGGAAGCGTGCCTCGTTGGCACAACTCAAGGAGCGTCGAAACAGCATGTTTGCTGGCAAGGGCCGCGAAAGCCGTCGCGAACGTACGTTCATTGGCAGCGAATGTGCAGCGTGCGAGGAGCCCTTGGAGCATACGCTACGCGGTGAGCGCATCTTGCAGCTATCATGTGGTCATGTGTCGCACGAGGCATGCTTTTACGAGTACATCAAGGAGTTTGAAGCACAGACATGTCCAACCTGTAGCGCACCACTGGGTCTCGACACAAGCAGAGGTGGAGGTATAGACTTTGAGAACTTAAACAAACTGGTCAGGCAGGCGCAAACTCCGGATATCAAAGACAGGCTACGGGACCTCCAGGCAACACCGACGCCATGGGAAACAGATACGGTCAGAGAGAGTGTGCAGTCACGGCAGCGACAACAGCAGCGATCCACGCGGGATCACCTACTGCCAGAGCAGACGCGAGCTGTCGAGAGTGGGTTTGAGCGATTCAACAGCTCGCACAGCAGAAAGGAGAGCGGCGATACTGGCGCCGGCTCCCATCCTGACTACGTGGAGCCTCATCACAGCACCGTGGCCAGGAGGCACGACTTCGACGTTCACTCGATGGAGACTAGTCTTAGCAACCCACGCTTCGTTGCTAGAAACCCTATACCGGCGCCGACCGTGACTGTTCGTAGCGAGTTCCCTACTCTCAGCAAATCTCGCCAACAGCAGAGTTTGACGTGTCTCATCACGGTGGAGGTGCTGGACGGCAAGTGGCAACCAAACCCAGCAGATCTGCGCAGCCCACCTCTTGCTCCGGCATCTGTACCTGAAGACGGCTACGAGCAGCCCAAGACTCCCATTTCCTTGCGTCGCCCTGAGCACTCCCGTGCTGTCGATAGTGTACACGAAGATATCCAAGCCCTCGAAGAGGCCAAGGACGAGCTCTATAAGCGGGTGGACAACTGGCATGGTCTAGACTTCTCAAGGTTCGGCAGACTTCTTCTCCATGGCGTCGTCAGAGTCGGCAAGGACAAGCAATCGTGGCAGGAGCTCGAGTGCTATCTGTTCACGGAGATGTTAATCTGCGTCAAGGAAAAGAAGAACGTGCCTAATGCGAGTCAGCAGTGGGAGGCACCAGAAGGCTTGAAGAACAAGACTCGATGCACACTGAAGGGTTCGATCTTGATCAAGAAGCACCTTAAGCAGGTTGAGACTGACCCTGACCACGACGTCCTCACTCTCAGCCTCAGTGTTGCCGAATTGCCACACTTCCACCTTTACTTCCAGGAGCGCAGCCAACTGGACATGTGGAGGCGAGCACTGATCAACATCAACCGCATCGAATCCCTAGAACCGCAACTTCCCGACTTCGATCAGGACGCGTCAGGCACGGACGAAGACGAGTACACCACGCAGACATCCAGAGCCAACAAACGCGTGTCCTCGGTCGTATCATCATCATACGGTGCCGCTCGCTCGCACGTTACGGCACCGACCGAGTACACCAACTCACGGTCCGGTCTCCATGAGATTCGTTACGGCGCATCACACCTGCACGTACCACTCGATGTAGTGGTCGTCATTCCTGTCTCGTCGTCGATGCAAGGCTTGAAGATCAGCCTTCTTCGAGACGCTCTTCGCTTCATGGTGTCCAGCCTGGGTGAGAGGGACCGCATGGGCTTAGTAACGTTTGGTTCCAGCGGTGGTGGCATTCCCGTGGTCGGCATGACCTCTAAGAACTGGACTGGGTGGTCAAGAATCCTCGAATCGATCAAACCCACGGGGCCGAAAAGCATGCGCGCCGACGTCGTTGAAGGTGCAAATGTTGCGATGGATTTGTTGATGCAGCGCAAAACCTCGAACCCTTTGTCGAGCATCCTGCTCATCAGCGACTCAGCTTCCTCTGACCAAGAGAGCGTTGACTTCGTTGTCTCTCGCGCCGAGGCGGCCAAAATCGCCATTCACTCGTTCGGTCTTGGATTAACACACAAGCCCGACACTATGGTGGAGCTTGCCACGCGAACGAAGGCGAGCTATACTTACGTCAAGGATTGGATGATGCTGCGGGAGTGCTTGGCTGGCTGCCTCGGCGCGCTGCAGAGCACATCGCATCAGAACGTGAAGCTAAAGCTTCGCCTGCCCGAAGGCTCACCAGCAAAGTTCGTCAAGATCAGTGGAGCGCTGCAGACCACGAAGCGTGCCACTGGCCGCGATGCTGAGGCTATGCTTGGTGATCTTCGTTTCGGCGACAAGCGTGACATTCTCGTTCAGCTTGCAATCGCGCCCGACACCTCGACTCCGGATGCCATGCCGACCGACCCATGGGAGAACGTCATTGCTGGTTTGGAGGCGCTCGGTGGTCCGCTCGAGTCGGATGAGTCGCGTAACCTGTCCGTGGAAGAGTTGCCTCTGATTCAAGCGGACCTGAGCTGGGGTGACATACTCCGAGATGGCAATCTAGCACAGCTACCGCGGCCCTCCCTCCTGGCCATTACCATGCTGCCCTCATCAGCGAGGAAGAACCCGCACGCTCGGCCCGCCTCACCGCCCATCCCGCCACACCCCTCCATCGTTCAGCGCCGCATGGAGCTCCTCACGTCCGACATGCTGTCGAGGGCCCTGACCCTGGTCAACCGTGGGCAGAACGACCGTGCCCACCACCTCCTCGCCGAGACTCGCTCCATTCTGAAAGGGCTTGGCAAGGGTGGCCTGCCACCTCTCCCGCCTCCCCCAAGCGGTTCACTGCCGCCAACGCCCAAGATCGGCGAGACTCGTGGGTCGCCCACCGAAACCGCCCAGACTCCCATCCCGGAGCACCGACGCACACCTTCGCCGCCACGAAGCGACACTCTCAACCCTTTCTCACCCGCTGCTGGCATCGATACCTCAACCATGACTGCGCTCGATTCCGAGCTCCAGGCCAGCCTGGAATGGATCTCACATCCTGCCGTCTTTGGCCGCGACTCGAGGAAGGCTGTACTACAAGCTATTGGCGTGATCAGCTCGCAGCGCGGCTACACCTTCCGATCACCTGCCGAGTCGCTATGGGCTTCTAGGATCCCAGGCATCAAGCTGTTGTCAGAGCGTAGCCGCGACTGGCGAGAGGCGGGTGATGAGTCGCTTATGGAAGAGATATGAACCACAGCCTACCATCACCACACAGAGCACCATTTTACCCTCGAGATACCCCGACTAACGATGTCACGACTGCTTCGATGCGACTTGGTCAGCATCTCCGTGTACATATGTACAACATTTGTTCATAACTCGATGCTTGCGATGTATTACTACGAGTTCATGAGGGGAGGCATACTTCTGCAGTACCTTGTGTGCCATGCGGCTAGCGGCGGAGTTGGATGGCGCTATTCGCATACAGGACATCACGCCGTCACTGCGTTAAGATAGCGTTCCGCTGTAGCTGCACTTCAGTAAGCACCCTCATTGCCAAATTACACACTGTCTCAACCATAACTCACTCTCATACTACGCGCCAACATGCTTCGAAGTAATCAGAACGCAAGCACCTTCACTGACCATTTCTTTACATGTACTGTGAGCTGTGAGGGTGGACCTGCGCTAGTCGGGCGCTAACCCATCGGGTAGGCACGCTGCAAACCTCAAAGCTTCAGCTTCCGAATCACGAGACTCACAAATAGCACTCTTATGCTTCACAGGACGATAGTCGCAAAGCTGGTAAAGCGCGAGCTCCCTCCCATATTGGCAGATGAGACTGAGTTGCATCTTCTCGGGCTGCCAGCTGAGCTGCGGAACCTGATCTACACCTACGCCTTGGTGGAGAGCAAGACACGTCATATCAATGTCCACGAGACAGGTCATACAGAGCCACCGCTACTGCTGGCCTGTCGACAGATTCGCGAGGAAGCTGCACCGATCTTCTACAGCGACAATAACTTCATGCTTCACATTCACGAATACGATGGAGTGGTAGCCATCCCTTTCTACAGACTTCTGCAGAAGTACCGCACGAAGCGCAAGACCAACAATGTCCGGCACACGCTATGCCACGGACCTGGACGGGACGATTGCGGAGAGGTAGTGAATACAGACAATCTCATGATATGGCTGACGGCATTCTTTGACACGCCCGAGATCTGTCCATTTCTGCATCAGGACGTGGTTGCCAACTCGGGCAACGCAGAGGTCATCGCGCGTGGCGCTTTCGGAGCTGTGAAACGCTTCAGACATAAGCCTTGGGATGTGGTGGAGAAGGTCGTCGGGGACTATTGCGATGCCATCGACTCGCTCCAGGAAGAAAGCGATGGAGACCGGTGGTCCTGAGCATGCAGCGGCTACCCCCAAAGCTGGAGTCGAGCGTCTCGACAGCGCTTACCACCTGCACTACTGTCAAGTATTGTAGCGTTCGATATCGTCAATCACCTAGCGATCCTATGTTCTATACCCGGGCACAGTTCCCGGGCGCGGAATGAAAGGTCAGAGCAATGCAGATTTTGGAAGCGTGGCGGAGAAGACTAAAAAGGAGATTATCAGCTGCTGCCTGAGAGAAGGCAATCAATACGCCAACACTGCGGCTCAGTTACAGCTACATAGCTTACTGAGAACAGACTAATCCGAGACACTACTGTAGTGTCACGACTACTTTGCTGTATTGGTGACCATCAAATCCAATCCACTTCTCATCATCCAACACGCTTCCGCTCTTCCTCAAACACCGTATCAACCACCTGAAACACACCGGTGACTAGCTTCATCGTGCCTTCGTCAACCGCGCCGGCAAAGCGCTGCTGGATCTTGTCCGGATGCCAGCGTACCCTTTCCGCCTTCAGGATTTGCAGCCTCGTTCTTCCGGCGTCGACTGGGGCGTGTAGGATGAAATCTTCAATGTTGGCGCGGAGGACAGGCTTCGAGTCGAGAACGGGCCAGGGTATTCGTTTCGAAGGTGACTGTGTACTCGTTTGCGATGCGTTGCGCTCATCCAGCAGTTCGAGCTTCAGTCTGTCCCAAGCTGCAAGATAACGGGACCAGGCTTTCGAGTACTCACTTGCTGGTAAGGCTTGGGTATCAAGATTCATGTTGGCTTCGCCAGCAAACGCATACTCGCCTTCACCCTCTTCTGATCCGTGACCCCGCCTAGTACCCCGCCGCGCAGCCCTCTCCCAAGCAGCCTGTTCCTTCCGCCTAATGAACTCCTCCCGCCGCCTCGTTCGCTCCTCTTCTTCTTCCCTCCGCTGCCTTTCACTCCTTTCCCGCTCAAGCATAATCTCAGGGTGCTTACGCTCCCACATCTTCGTCTTAACGTAGGCCGCATACTCCTCGTCGTTCATCTGCTCCAGCTGCCCTTGTGGTGTCGTGACCGCGGGGCGCGGATAGACGTGGATGGGCTGAGAGTAGACGCTCTCCCAATACTGTGCGCCCTCGTCATTGGCCAGAGCGTCGAAGAGGGAATCGCGGAAAGCTGCGTTTCCGGAGCCTGCGGCTGGTCCGTCGATGTCTACGGGCTCGCGCGGGAAAGGGTGCGCTGATTCGGTCCCTGCGCCGTCTTCGGGAGAAGCTGGGTAGTCGGATTTGCTTCGTTTATGATGTCGAGTGTGGCGGTCATGGTGCGTGCGATGCCTGCGTTTACGGTCATTGGTTGCGCCGTCTTTGAAGCGGAACTTCATCGACTGCTTTGACCGTCCCGGGTCGCCTTCATCTTCCGCACCACCATCCTTCCTGCTCTTATGCCAATATCTCTTGACGTCGTCCTTCAGCGCATTGTGCTTGTCGATCTCGCCTTGCAAATTCGCGAGGATGTCACTGTGCTCAGCTTCCTGCGTCTGCCGGTCCAGCGCCTCTCTGACCTGCCTCCTGCTCTCCTCTAGCGTCGGCATTATGACTGCCACCCCCACAAAGCATTGTTCTCTTCGCAAGTCAATGTGAATGCAAAGACTGAGCGATATTGCGCATGTGACATCAACCAGCGGCGCGGGATTTGCCGAAAAATGCCCGCTTGGCGCTGAATCAGGCAACGCTTACTATTGTCGACCAAGCAAGGCATTGAGTTGCAAGAAGAACGTGGATTTTGCGTCGAAAGAGACAAGATGTCCTAGTCTCTGGAAGTTCCAACCAAATATCACCACCGTGATGCCCGCTCAAGAAGCTGTCACTGCGAAGACTCAAGCAAACGGCCAAATCCCAGGTCCCGCAAATGCGGAAGGCACGCCAACAACCGCCACCCTTCCCACCCTAACCGGCCAAATCGAAGACGACGAAGACACCAAGGGTCACTGCTTCGAATTCGACGCCATGAACCAAAACCCATCCTACGCCCGCCGCATCGCCCCGGTCCCCTTCGATCCATCTCTCCTCCCTAACGGCTCCCGCTCCCTAACCTCTATCAGCTTGCAATCCTTCTGCCTCGGCTTCATCCTCGCCTTTTGCCTCATGGTCGCTGGACTCTGGATCGCTATAGCGTTTCCCGGCTGGCAACTACCCGCCTTCGCGGCGTGTCTGTGCGTGTTTCACTTCTTGGAGTTCTACATTACGGCCAAGTATAACCTCCCTGCCGTGAGGGCGAGCAGCTTTTTACTGTTCAACAATGGCACGGCGTATAACGTTGCGCATACTTGTGCTATGATGGAGATTCTGTGGTGGAGCTACGTAATGCCGGAGCATAGGATCTGGTTCTGGTTCGGCTATCACCCTCCACCACCGGCTGCGATATTCGGGCTGACGTACGGGGCACTCTTTGGGCTGTGCTTGGTCGGGCTGGGTCAGACTGTGCGATCAGTGGCGATGGCGCAGGCGGGTACGAACTTCAATCACACGCCTGTGCAGCATCGGAAGGAAGGGCATGTGTTGGTGACGAAGGGGGTGTATGCGTGGTCACGACATCCGAGTTACTTCGGCTTCTTCTGGTGGGCTTTGGGCACGCAGTTGCTGGTGGGCAATAAGGTGTGTCTGCTTGGGTATGCTGCGGCGCTCTGGCGCTTCTTCTATGTAAGAATACAAGGTACGTGCCGTTAATGCACCCTTCTAGCCGAAGTACCCATGCTAACAAACGCCGTTTAGCTGAAGAAAGAACGCTGACCGAGTTCTTCGGTGATGACTATCGCCAATATCGCAAGCGGGTAGGCGTCCATATTCCGTTTATCAGATGAAGTGGTCGAGTTCTCAATCGGCAATCGCCGAATAATCACTGAGCGCTGGTATTGCCACTTTCCGTGGTGGCACACATGTCACGCTTTAGTCGGCGTCATCAGCTTCGTTCACCTGTTGAAGAGCACTTATAGCGCAGTAGAAGGCGAACGCGACCTTGGACACGTCGCCCTTACGCCTCTGTCTCATTTCCCTGACAGCTGCAAAAGCGGATCGGGTGAGAGTCTTGAATTGCTCGATCATTGAATGAGTGATCACAGCGTCCTCACGTAGAGCTGGGCAAAGCTCCGGCAATTCGCAATGGACCAAGAGCCAATTCCAGAGGTGGTCCACGTCAACCGAGCCGTCGCAAACGGCGCACTCTTCGCTGTCACATAACTGAGGCCCAAAGTCAGCCATAACTTGAATTAATGCGACATCAACTGAAATCGTCATGCTCACCTTGCATTCGAGTCTCCCCTTCTTACCCTTGGCAGTGTAAAGTTGGAGAGGAGCGGCGAAAGACATAACCGCCATGCCCTCCCACTGATGGACCACAAATGTGAAGTCGTTCTCACTATAGTAGATCGAGATCGCCTCTGCCCGTATTTGATCACAAGTCCGAAGGAGCCCGGGCTGCTTGTCACCGGCGCCGTATTCGACGTTGATCTCGATTGGTCCATCTTCGACCAAAATGTAGCGGTAGATGCGGTTGCGAAGTTCAGCTGGGATGCTGAGAAGGTTCGATGTACACGGCGACTCCGCCATTGTGCTGAGTGAGTGCAATATCAAGGGTCAGAGGCATACACCCTCACTCGGTAACGGTGTTGTCTTTCGTGGTCGATGTCGCAGAATTCGATGTTCTGAGAAGTGACGTGAGGTGGCGCTAGCGTGCCTTCCAGCATTGCGGCAAGCAGCTTTGGGGGCACGTGTTCAACTCAGCGCCTCGCGTTTGCATGTGAACGCTCCTTCATACGAGCTGAGAGTTGAAGAAACCATCTTCTTGCGCTCAGCTAATCCCCCTCAACAGCTTCGTCATCTTCATGCTCCATCGCGTACTGGACCCTATCAATCCTGCCCTCCGTGCCAAACCTCTCCTTTCGCCTCATCTTCACCCACTCCCCAAACGGCGCCCAAATCGCCTCCTTCTCCGCCGGCCGTAGACTCGCCGCACTCCCACTGGTCGAACTCGTCACAAACACCCGCGCCCCTTCCCACCCCTCTCCCTTCCCCATGCGCTCTCCATCCTCCTGCCAACCCCACCGAAACTCTTCCTTCTTCAGCTCTCGCTTATACCTCCACCGCCACACCGCCTCCCAAATCCCCTTGCCCACAATACACACCGCCTCGGGTCTGTACCTGCGCACCTTCTCCTCCAGCACCGGCGTGCCAGCAGCCATCTCCGCTTTACTCAACTCCGCCGCATCCTTACTCGGCCGTTCTACGATATTCGTATTTCCCATGCCATACCATTCCGGCAAGTGGACGTCGTGTTCGGGCGGGAGACGGACGTCCGTGCAGCCGGAGGAGCGGAGGAGTTTCCAGAAGAGGTTGCTCGGGTGCGCGTAGGCGTGGCCGGCGGTGGCGGTTTGGATGCCGGGGTTCGTGCCGACGAAGATGCAGATGAGGTTGGGTTGGAGGATGTCGGTCAGTTTGGGGAGGTGGGCGTATTTGGAGGGTGGGGCGTATTTGGAGGATTGACGTCGACGTTTGGAGGGAGAGGGAGAGTCTTGTCGAGCGTTACTGTTACTATCCGCGGCTCTGCGTTTGCGTATGCTTTGGGACGGCGAGGTGCCTGTCGTAACCCTGGGTGTAGGTGAGGGAATGGTAGACGGCGAGTCGTATTGAAAGCGCTGGATGGTGGAGCGGAGCTTTCTCGTTGAGATCTGCATGGTTTCGTGGTCATCCTGCTCGACTTCGCCGTTATCTAGGCTTGCTGGGTGCATGGTATTGTTTAATGCCTTTATCGACACCTCTTTGGCCGTCTTACCTTGCCGTGCGTGGGACATGATCAATGTGATCGCTTTCTTGAGCTTCTACTAATTCAGATTGTGCTGCAACGGCACACCAAGTCTCGACCACTGCGTCGGTGCACCCATCGATTATATGAGGCTAGTCGTGACTCGTGCACCATACACTTCGCGTTCATACGTTACATATGAGAGGACAGTCATCTGCAGAAGAGGGATACGCGCGTGACTTCCGGAAGCGGCAAAGCGGAGAACGCGGAAGTGGAGCCAATCCCGTGACTTGAAGTACCATCACTGTAGTCACCTTACTCGGTGTCATCGAGATGGACAATACGTACTTGAACCTGAGGGTGGCATTTCACCGCGAGGCGACGGGAACTGCTGAGCGTTAGTGCTTCATGACTACACGTATCGAGGCACTCGTGCCTACGCTACCGAAGCATGAGTTGGTAAGCTGGTCAACATGGGCAGGTGCAGCTGCCTTCGACAGACGAAGGCAAGGCACAGCAGGAACGCTTCAATTGCAACTGCCAACGGCGCGCGTCGTGCCTGCCAGTGACTCGAGGCGACCTCTAAACATCAATGTTCCAACTTGAGTATGCATCCTAGACTACCTAGGTATACTGACGTCGCCGCCAACATGCGCTTCCAAGACTGGGACGTCCTCATCTTCTCCGCCGGCAGTCAGGTGCCCTTACGCGAGTTCCGCACCGCATGCTTTGCGCAAGCCGAGAACATGAGCAGCATCCCCGTGCTCACCTGCTTCATGCCGTCTCTGTCCGGCTACGCCCCCTTCACCGTCTCCGTCCATTCGTGGACCAAGCCTAGCATACTCGGGAGCAACAACGCCGGTTACGTCCCCAGCGTTGTCTACCAATGGCGCGTCAAGCTGGTCATTGACGGCGTGACGGTGGCGACTGAGACGTATCCGGAGGATGTGCAGTGGCCCAGGCAGATTGGTGAGTCCGATCAGTAGCTCCTTGAGTCCTTCGCAAATCCTAATGGTGATTACAGATTCTTGTACTGCCGCTGACGCAGAAGGGAAGAGGCTTGCACTCCGCTTCCCCCGCTTCCACCGCTCCATCATGTCACAGACCCACTGGAACGCCTGCGACGACCTCGGCCGCATTAAAATCCAACTCTCCGCCGGCTACGAGCTTGTTGAGCAAGGGAGCGCAAAGTTCGTCAAGATCCTCGATCATGTCGTCTTCTCCTTCCAGCCGGCGCCGCTTGGTATGATGTAAAGCCCGACCACGTCTGTTTTGTGTACCGCTGATACTTCGTAGACCTCCTCGAGCGCAGCGGTATTGCGTGGCCAAATGCGAATCTACTCATTGTGAACAACCTACTGCAAGCGCCTGAAGCCCGCCAGATCAGCCTTGGTGGCCTGCTGTACCCGCCGGAGGACAGCAGTACCAGCAGCCGCAGCACGTCAGGCTACGCTACCATAGCTTCGAATGTATACCCGGTGGACCCGCATGCGCGAGGATTGAGCGATCCGCATCAGCTGCAATTGGCCGCCATAGGTGCGTTGAACTCGCCTTTCAAGGCGAACTCTACAGTAAGTCGGAGTTTCTTTGGCGCCCTTTGTCAGCATGAGAGTTTGTCTACGTTGAGAACACCCTTGAATGGGAGGTTTCGACTGATGGGTACCACAGCTCTCGATGCCGCCGCCACCTTCACCCTACCGTCCGCCAGCCGCTCACGAGCGCAGAGGCGACTCCCGTTACTCCGACATCAGCATGCATACCGGCTGCACCTCCTTCCCAGCGTGTCTGATTGAAGAGGATGATGGCAAACTCCTCCACAACGCTCCAACAAGCGTGATCAAGTCGCGCAAAGAGGCCGCTGCCCCAGACTCCTCGCCAGCCAAGCGTGCGTAACCTACTTAAACATTCTAACATCACGCTCTGCTAACGTAGTGAGCAGGCGACTTCCTCTCGACAGTCATGGACACGCCGACTGTGCCCATCCAGACCTCTCCGCCGCAGAGCGAGAGCTCCGGCAAGAAGCGCACCCGCGCCGCGCTGAAGGGGCTTTCGCTTAACGATGGGAGTCCGGAGAAGAAGGACAAGCCGGCGAGGAAGCTAAGCAAGCTGCTCGATATTGAAGACAAGGAGAACATGCTCGTGGAGGAGTAAGCTGTCTGACCGCTTGGTGGACATGCAATGATTCTTGGCAGCCCAGTTGCCACTCGGAGATGGCAGGAGCGCGCTGCGTTTCCCGCCTCCTAGGGAACTGTACTGCACCACTCCATTCGGGTCGTGTTCGTACGGAGTCTTAAAGTCCATCTTTCACAATGCTGCCATCAGGCTTCCTCCCCTCATCTTTCGAAGCCTCCCTCCCACCCTCCGCGCGATACGTCTCCGCGAGCCCGCGCTTAGGATCCTCATCCGGTAACCCACACGCTCGTCTCACCTTCAACACCTCATTCCGCACCGCCATGGTGACCTCAATCCGCAATTGCTCCGCCTCAGCACCGTACTTCAACTCATCCTCCCGCAACTCCCCGAGCACTTCCACTTCCACTTCCGCTTCCGCTTCCGGCCCCACCCCTACACCATCCTCATTACGTGCAGCTTCAACCCGCCTCCGCCTCGCCCTCTCCTTAAGACTCCTCCAGCGTTCCCTATACCCCCCAAATACCCCCTCCCCATCCACAACCTCCCCAAACGTCACACTAACCTTCTTCCCGACCCTCGGCACCGGCCGCGGCCACCCGCGATCCTGCGGCATGACGTCTTGCGTCCCGTCGATCCAGATCGGTACCAGATCCGGACACGTGGGCTCGGCTTCGAGGATCAAGCGGGCGACGCCCCATTTGAAGTACCGCATTACTTTCGCCGGGTGTTGGTGGATCATGCCTTCCGGGAAGATGTGGATCCAGCTGTATCGCCGGCTGGGGTGGTAGGAGGGGGCGGGGAAGGTGTCGGTGCCTGTTGTGCTGTAGGTCGAGGGGTAGGTGAGGTGGTTGGAGGTGAAGGGGTCCGTGGGTGGTGTGGTAGCGTCCGGGGAATGATCTACGAGTCTGGTTGCGGTATGTGGGGTTGTGGGTTGCGAGTGTGGATCTGACAGGAGCCGGATCACTTGGGTCATGGTTGGCTGGAAGAGACCGCCGTGTTTGGAGTAAGCGGCTCGGTGGGTGGGCAGGGTGTTGCCGTAGGAAAAGAAGGTTTCGAACAGTCTGTTTGTATCTCGTGAGCGTGTGAAGGGACATGCTGTTCGTAAGAAGCGGGCATACTTGTTGCGGAAGCATATGTCGTACGAGCCGAGCGACCATCGCATATTATTGGGATCCCAGAAGTACTTGTTCGGTAATACGCCCCACATGATAGGGTCGTCGAGTCTATTACGTTCAGCTTATTTTCTCGGCATTTCGCCTTGGATGGACGTTGTACCTACACACTCACGTGATTGGACACTAGAAGACCGTCAGCCGTCTATTGGGCCGGAAAAAGCGTGCCTTCCTATTTCGGTGATATGGCATACCCGTGATCAACCCTCTAGTCCTCGCCTTTTCATCCTTTCTGCTATCGAGAACCTTAAGGAACCGATCAAGTCCGTGAACCTCCGTCGTGTTTAATGCGAAAAGAAAGGAGCGACAAATGAGACCAACCATGCCAATTTCGGTGGCGGATGTCGCCCGCCATAGTAATGATGGCTGGTATGGTCGCCGCTCTTGCACCGCCATCTGCGGTCAAGAGCGGACCGTCAGGACAGCATCGACGGATGTCTGGTAAGGGGAGGAAGGGAAAGAGGAGTTGAAGCGCATTTAGAGACGCGTTCTAGATCTCCCTGACGTAGATGACACAGTGATTAGAGCATCGTTCAGCCAGCCGTAATCATATCATTATGTTAGTTCAAATGCTCGCCAGTCCATCCTCTCCACCTTGATCGCAACAATGTCACACAGTAAGCTCGTAAGTGCACCTTGATGTTGACTAAACGGCTGACATCGCAGGCAAAAGAAACACCTCCCTCGCCTTCTTCACCGCGCACGAGCGAGCCGAAGTCGCAAATCACTGGGGTTCGCGCTCCACCCGGCTAACGCGCGACAGCTTCCTGCCGTTCGGCAGCTGTCAGTTATGTCTACTACCAGCGCGTGACCCAGTTGCTTGTCCGAGTCATGGCCATCTGTTCTGCCGGGAATGCGCGATCAGCAACTTGCTCGCTCAGAACCTGGAGCTTAAGCGGCTGAGGCGAGAGGCGGAGAGGCGCGTTGCGGAGGAGGGGGAGGAGAGGGAGGTGGAGGATGCGGAGGAGAGGGCGAGGGATCTAGAGGAGTTCGAGAGGGTGCAGGCTGGTCTCGGCGCGAGGATGGGAGGAGGGCGGAAGCAGGGCGTCAAGAGGAAGCTGGAGGACGGCGAGAGTGATCTTGGCAAGGTCGGAAGCGATAAGGCGCGCAAGACTTCCGACTCAGAGGGTTCTTTCTGGGTGCCCAGCCAAATACCCGACAATCAGAAAGCGGATCTGAAGGCTATTAAGCAACAGCCTACCTGCCCAGCAGCATCCGCCGATAAGCCGCACGACTTCACGCTGAAGACGCTGGTCAACGTCAAGTTTCACGAAGTGAAGCCTACCCCTTCAAGTCCCGCCGAGACCGTACGCACATGCCCAAGCTGCGACAAAGCCCTCTCAAACGGCACCAAAGCCGTGCTGGCCAAACCCTGCGGCCACGTCCTCTGCAAACCCTGCAGCAACAAGTTTCAGCAGCCGCCAGAGAAGAGCGCTCACGCGGCCGAGGCTGACGAAACGGCGCGCTGCTATGTTTGCCAGGAGGACGTGACGCCTGGACGGAAGGTGAAGCAGAGGGCGGAGGAGGAGAAGGGTGGGAAGACGAAGGGGAGTAAGGGTGCTATCGTCGAGAGAGGATTGGTGGAGTTGGCGACGGATGGGACGGGCTTTGCGGGAGGGGGCAAGAATATGGTTAAGAAGGAGGGAGTGGCGTTTCAGTGCTGATGAGTGGGCGACGTAGCGGGCCGCCTTCTATTGACTGTCACCACGAGCGCGGTAGGTGTAATGAAACACATAACTCAGCTTCCACGAACATGACATGTAATTATGCTGCCGTTCCCGCCATGTTAGGAAGTTGCCATGAAAGACCTTCGCTAACGTAGCGTGGCGCAAGCTCGTATATGGCACGTTGGCATGAGATGAACATGGACATTCTAGTAAATACGGGCTCGCTTGCGAGCAGTACAGAGCACCAAACATCAAATAGCGGACAAAGTGCTCTTTGTTTTCCCCAGCATTGACGCCGTAAACATCCAACCAAGCCCGAGTGCGTTACTCGATGCGGCGAGAAAGTCATTTCTTTGTTTCCAAGACCGTCCCTCGAGGCAACATCATCCCTCGACATGTTGGAATCGTTGTTTTATCCCGCCTACGCTACCCAGACCGCATCACCAAATTGCAGTACTTTGCTCATCATGGCCACCGCAGGGCTTCCGCAAGTCGAGCATGCCATGCTGGCGCGATGGGTCAACTTCGTGACGAACCACCCGTCCAGTGCAGACGCTGCTTCAGGTACCATATCGTGCCCGTCCCTCCAGCCCTTCACAGGCCATGCTAACCATGTTTGTGCAGAGGAGGTCAAACAACGCGTAGCCGCCGACTGGCGTACAAAAGCCCTGCCCGTCCGACGCGACCTCGATCGTAAGCTCGTTCAGCTTCACGAGTTGACGCAGGTCTGGCAAAACGCCTCCAACGCGGCGGGGGAGATTGTCAAAACCTACGACGAGTGGAAGGGGAATCGCTTCTACCTACGTCAAGTATTGGAAGCCCAGAAACGCCACCGTGAGGCGGTTGACAAGATCGCGGTGTGGGCGGACAGGTTCGTCAAAGCGTATGTTGCGCGTTTGGGCCTAAGCGCGGAGACGGTGGCGTTGTGCGAGGCGCGGGCGGAAGGTTGGGCCGAGTTTCGCGTAACATTGGAAACGAGCATTCAGACTCTGGAGGGGACGGTTGATGCTCTCGAGGCGAAACCGGGGAAGGTGGCCTGGCCGTTCGACGAGAAGAGAGAGTTCCAGTTGCGCAAGCAGGAGATCGCGATGGGGCTGCGGAAGCGGCCCTTGTTGTATGGCCAAGATGGTATGGAGAGGTGGTACCCGGCTCGTATGCTTCACGCGGGCGGTTTTGGGCAGACGGCGCTGTGGGTGAAGATCGATGACCATGGCCGCATCGTCGATCGTATCGTCAGAAAGGACACCCTTCTCAGCCAGAACGACTGGTGCGAGCGAACCAAATGGCATGGGGACATCGCGGAGAGGGATACCGCGATCCCGATGGAGAAGTACTTGCAGGATCTGCTACAGCAATGTCCGGACGCGGACAATGTGGTCCAAGGAAGGGGTTGCGAGGTCAACTTCCAACGGTCGCTATATCGGCTCTACCTGGCTTTCTGTCCCCATGGTGATTTGAGCGACGTGATAGCGAAAATCCGCCTGCCTGAGCCCTTCCTTTGGCGCATCTTCCTTGCAATGGCCGAGACGGGCTTGCTGATGGAGCAGGGCGGGATTGAAGAAGGACAGCCGGATTGGTTGCAGATGGTGCATCGAGACCTCAAGCCGGACAACGTCTTGCTTGACCTTGCGCTGGGCGAAGGAGCGCCATTTCCGAAGTACGGTGTTGCGAAGCTGGCGGACTTCGGCCTCGCCTTCCAGACGTGGCCGGATGACCCGCTGAACCCGTTGATGTGGACTGGGTCTGGCACGGACGGGTACCTAGCTCCGGAACAGATACGGTTCGTTGACTCGGTTACCTTGAGGTCGGTGGACGACGAGGTCAAGCTTCTGGCGTGGACCAATGTCTGGGGCGTGGGCGCCATCATGTGGTCGCTGGTGAAGCAGAAGTTATGCGAGCAGCCCAACTACTTGCCGCCGGAAGACACGCGGGTAGATCTAGGACATAAGTCGAGTTTTGCACCAGCGAGTCTCGAAGATCTTCGCGGAGTCTACTCGGCGCAGCTGCTGAGAAGTATTGAACAGTGCTTGGCGTATCATCCTCAAGAGCGGCCGACCTTTGCGAGATTGCGCAAGTACTGTTTGGCTATTCTGCGTGGCGAGCGGCGTGTTGACGACGTCGAACACGCTGCTGAGATGACGGTGTATATGCAGGAAGGCATGCAGGGAAGACATCTGGCCGATAAAAGGTGGGATCTCTATGGCGTAGAAGATCCCCTTTACCAGCTAGGAGGCGTGTGGTACGCTCCGGAGTCAGATGAAGAGATGGACGATCCAGAGGTTGCTGAGGAGGATCGGCACGATACTGGTTGATGTGCGTAGTGGATAGTCGTTCGTTTACAGGCGTAACTGCTCATACTCTTCGTCCTGCGGAAAGCCGAGATGGAAGCGGCCGCACTTGCTAAAGTCGACCATCGCACCGTCACCCGTCTCGAAGTCAACGACTCTGCCACCCTTCTTCTTGTCATCGCTCAAGAAGCAGCTCACCAAGCCATCACCGCTGACTTCTTTCTGCCAGGCCGGAATGCCGAAGCCAAAGATGGTCCCCTTGACATCCCAATATGTCTGCTGCTGCGTGTTGATATACTTGAAGGACCCTTGCACCCTGAATGACAGCGGTGTGTTCTTCGAACGACCTTCAAACAGCTCCTTCACACGCTTTAACGTCGTACCTGACGGCGGCTTGACACGTTGAACAGGCTGGAAGACGGTGACCATAGTAAAAGGCATCTGGTCATTCTTGTCCGCTTTTGTGGCAGTCCCGTTACTGTCAATGACATACGCGACGCTATCGACCTGGATCATATCATTGGGTGATTGCTCGTTGCCGTCATCGTCCTCTTCCGCTTCGAAGATGCCAACACCGTGAGTGCCGTGGTTTGTGAGGAAGGCTACCGGCGGGCCTCCTTCCTTCAGACCGGCGTTGTAGGCCGAGCGCAGCGAGTACTGGTAGATGTCGTTCGGAATTGATGAGGGTGCCATCTTCTTCTGTGGTGGTTGCGGTGGTGATGTTGCTTTTACCGCGGTCAATGGGAGACGGTAATACCAGGCTACGCTTATCAAGACTCCGAGTAATATGACGATGGAAGAAGTGAACGTCCTACAGTCTGGTTGGAATCTCATGATAAGATAGCATTGTCATGTGAATCCCTTTTCGTGAAGATTGCCGACGCCGGCTTCGCTTGCGGAGCCGATCAACTCAACGCCGGGTAATTGGTGAAGACATGCACATCTTCATTCGTACGCCATCCAGACTATTAGTTGACACGCAACGCGGAAGTCCCATCATCTACCACTCTCCCCAAGTTGGTATGCTTTGATTGGAATGAGGGTTGGTAAGCTGACTGTATTACGGGGAGGCATTGGAGCAACCTTGCCAAAAGATCCGCAGTCATACCGTATATCATTGCCGAGTAAGCGCGCCCAGATAGGTAGGCACTACAGTCCAGATCGCTTCTTCTTCCCTTCTCGGCTCTATCACGGTCAAGCCTTGCGCTGCCCAACAGACCGGGCAGAACTCACACAGCAACAAAGTTATAGTACTCATAGCCGGCTCACAACACCAGGAAGTTCACTACAGCAAGCAAGGAGCACCACAACCGCACATCAACACCGACAGATTGATATAACAAATAACGACGATATACAGGACGGGCAACGTGAATGTTCCATGGCACCGAACGTGCTTCTCCACGGCGTTGGCGCGATCGGAGCTATCTATCTACATCTCCTCCTGAAAGCTGGATGCCGTGTGACCGCCGTCTGCCGTTCCAATTACGATGCTGTAAAGGCTAACGGCTTCACGATTGACTCTGTTCTCTATAATACGAAGGACGTCCACGTCAAGGCCACCGACGTGGTCCGCTCGCCGTCGGAAGCAGCTGCCCACGGTCCCTTTGATTTCCTAGTCGTAACAACCAAGGCGCTTCCGGACGCCAAGACCGCCGCTGCGATCGCCCCGGCCGTAACAGACGGCAAGACTTGTATCGTACTGATCCAAAACGGTGTCGGCATCGAGGACGAGTATGTCGCCCGCTTCCCTGGCAATCCGCTCTTGAGCTGTGCCGTCTACCTTCCATCCACCCAGATCTCGCCAGGCAGGATCCAGATGGGCAACCAGGAGCTGCTGGAATTTGGCACTTTCCCCGATACTGCTTACGACGACTCCGCCGCAGTAAAAGCGGCCGCGGACTCATGGCTGGAGATCACGAAGAAAGGCGGGAGTAATTGTGTCTTCCAACCGAACATCCAGGTGCAGCGGTGGAAGAAGCTAATGCTTAATGCCTCCTGGAACCCCATCTGCGCGCTTACCCTAAGCCGAGACGTGGCCTTCTACCTTGCCACTGACGTCGCGGAACATGTTGTGCTGGAAGTCATGCTCGAGATCGTCCATGTTGCTCAAGCACTCGGATTCTCAGAGATCACTCCTGAAATGACAGAGAAGCAGATTGGGAATGCACGGAAGAGGATACCAGGACCAGGCATCGAGCCGAGTATGCTCGTGGACGTGTTAAACGGGAGGAGAATGGAGGTGGAGGCTATTGTCGGGCATCCTGTGAGGGAGGCGAAGAGGTTGGGGGTGAGTGTGCCGAGATTAGAGACGTTGTATGCGCTTGCCAAAGCCTTAGATGATGCTATCGCGTTCAGGAAGCCCGGGCAATCGTTGTCGGGGGATTACAAGCGGGTATGAAGTTCATCTCGGTAGGCGGAATACATGACAATGAGCGATGGCAGCTCCGAGCGTCATATACGTACACTTTCAGACGTCTGGTCCTGGCTGCACATAGTCATTGTCAGCTCATTGCACCACACATCGAAACGGTCGCCTCGACGTTCGCTTAGTGTGGTACTGCATGCGAGATAGCAGTTCATTGCGTGCATGCCGCTGACTGGTCATTCTTATCGCCCAGTTCCAGACTCTCCAGGTTTGCATTCTCGCTCGATTGAGCAGTATACTATTCAGGCTGCTTGTGGGGCTGGTGGAACTCCAACCAAGGGACGTCCCACCTGGCGACGATGGGATTGCTCTTCATTATCCCCAACAAAGTCTTCACATCGCCGCACAAATGGCGGCCAGTGACGCGCCCTTCGTCCTGGTCAGATGTACCACCAAAGACGAGATTGCAGCACTCACGCGGCTACAGTACGATGCCTTCCCACCGTTCATTCGCAAGATCTTCATGGGCTGCTCCACGCCTCTAATACAAGACGAACTCGACGTTTACATTGAACGGCTGGTGGATGAAGCGAACGAGCACCCTAATGACGTCTGGATAGGTGTCAAAGACACCGAAACTGGTAAGTTTGTCGCAGGTAGCGATTGGCGAGTGTTCACGAACGGCCCTGGTGGCGATCGAAACGCCGATAGACCACCAGACAACGTCTACGGCAAGGAACGGGAGGCTTGCTTGGGTATACTCGGTAACATGAACGAGGCAAGGCGGAAACATAATCCGGGGCCATTCGTTCGTACGTATTCCAGCCTCACTCGATACGATCTCAACCGAGACTAATCAGCTCGACAGACCTACACATCTGCTTCACAGACTCAGCATACCGCCGCCGGGGCGCGGGTGCCATGATGGTGAAATGGGGCTGCGACCTCGCCGATCAGCTTTTCCTGCCAGCGTACATCGAGGCGTCCAAGGAAGGCAACTTTCTGTACAAGACACACGGCTTTTACGAGGCCGGTATGATCGCTGAAGGCGAAGACGGTGCGGTGGCAATGAAGCGAGACGTGCGCTCAACGCCCATCATGGGCGGCAAAGCGAAGCTTGCCACTTAACAGCTGATGCTAGTCTTCAACAGCGGAGGAGGGCGACGCCAGCGGAATCAGATAGCCCGGCACCTCACCAAACAGTCACCAGGTGGTTAGTTCATCCTGTTAGATACCTCCTCACCCTTCAACCAACGCTTGACATTCTCCGCTTGTTCTTGGTACCACCTGTGCATCGTACCCGCATTGACATAACCCATATGCGGGCTGAGGAGTACTCCACTCTTCGCCCACTCATCAACTGACCTCCATTGACTGTCCGGCGACAGCGGCTCCTCCCAAAACACATCGAGCGCTGCGCCACCGATTCCACCTTCCTTGAGCGCGGCAATGAGCGCTTGTTCGTCGATCAGCGGGCCGCGTGAGGTGTTGACGAGGATGGCGCTCTTCTTCATCCACGATAGTTCCTGCACACCCACTATCCCCTTGCTTCGAGCGGACAATACGTTGTGCAAGCTAACGACATCTGAGCGCTGAAACAGCTCCTCTTTCGTCACCGACTTGAAGCTTCCTTTCGGCAAGCCAGCGCTCTCAGCAGCTGCGTCGGCTTTCTCTTCCGTCAGGTTCTCGCTCCACGCCACAACATCCATGCCCCAAGCCAGCACCCCAATCTTGGCCACACCGATACCAAGTTTGCCGAGCCCAACGATTCCGAGCACTTTGCCAGCAATAGGTACCATCAGGCCCGTTTGCCAGATCTTGGCTTGCGTTTTCAGCGTACGATCATCCTCTGCTAATCTGCTGCAAAGAGCCAGAAGCATAGCCCATGTATGCTGCACGACAGAGCTGTGTCCTTTCGGTGGCGGCAGATCCGGAAGTGCTTGCAGTGCTTGTGAGTCCGTTGGCCTGTCACCCTTCGTGCCAGTCACAATGATGCCTTGGCTCGATGCACATTGCATGTCGATTGAGTTGTTGCGACCACTGGCATTGAGTAGAAGCTTGAGGTTCGGTAGCCGCTTCAGCAACTCTGCCGGAAAAGGTGTCCGCTCACGCATTGATGAGATGATCTGGTAAGGTTCCAGGCGCTTGACGAGAGCATCGAGTCCGGATGATGTTAGCGGATCCAGTGTCTCCGAGTATGTATCGATCTGAATGCCATTGATGCGGTCAAAGTGCTGCTGCGCGAGTCCAAAGTAGTCGTCGATTATGGCGAGCCTGGCTTTTGTCGTGCTTGCCATATTGCGTAGGGTACTGGATGATTGAGATTGGTTACGGGTCAGAAAGTGTCCAGTCAATGTCGAGCATCTTCTCACTGTGTCGCTCCCTATCGTCATGGGCACGTTCACATCATCGGACAACGTAACCATTGGGTCTGCACAAAATCATCACATCATATTAGGGCTATCACATGAGCATCGTGGCGACAACTGTTAGTATTGCGTTGTAAGGTGGAATGTCCAAGCATGGGAAAGCAGTGGAGTGGGGTGCGATGTGAAACCGGCATCGGCTATGCGCAAGCTGATGAAAGAATTTGTGCACTAGAAGCATTGAGATGGTATCCTGACATTGATTGTTAGGCAAGATAGTATGCATCTCAATCGTCCTGGTGCTCCCTCTGACTCGCAGTCTCTATCTCTCGCTTCATCTGCACCAGCCGATTGTGCATCGCCCACAAGCGGTCACGCTCGTCCTTGCTGATCTTCTCACCCTTAGCCTGCTTCGCTGCTTGAGCATCGTACATGACAGCGTAAGCAGGATAGTAGACATCCCTGAACTTCTCAGCTAAGTTGACGCCCTGCGTGTAAGTGATTGTGTCGATGACCGACGCGGTACTGTCGCTACTGCTCCCGGTATCGAATGTACCGTCTGGTGAAGTGCGAGGGGTTGATGATGTGACGGCTATCGATGCAGCCAGAGATTGCTGCGATTGTGATGATAACGACTCGGTTTTCCGGTGTTTGGGCGTGTCTTGCTGAGGTGTGGCGTTGTCGGCTTTGCGCTTTACCCCGTTGACAGCGGCAGTCGTGATGCCGTTCACCGTTGAGACCCTGGAGACACCATTCGCCTCAGGCTTTGGCTGCTTGTGAGTCGCCATCGCCTGCGACGGCTTCTGATCAGATCCCGAAGACGACCCGCCAGAGATAGTACTGGTCACTGTATCCTGACGCTTCCTCGCGCCATTAGGAACGCCCGAACTGCGAGGCGTGCCACCACTAAGCAGGCTGCGATGCTGGCCGTTGACGGGACGATCAGACACGTCGGATGAGCCACGAGGTCTTGCTGCACCCAATGGAGAAGGCACGCTAGGCCTGCTGTTAGAGTTCCGGGGACTGCGCTGGCTCTTGTGCTGCGAGTCGGGCGCAGAGAGTCCAGTCGCGTTACGTGGAGTGAGCTTGCCACTAGGCGCCGGTGAGGCTTTGCCAACCTTGCTGGCAAGCGAAGCAATGGATTTCGCAGGGTCTGCAGCCGCTTTCCGTGGTGTTGATGGAGTAGCTGGTCTGTTCGCGTTTGCAGTAACTCCTGCTAGTTTCTTTGCATCATTGCCCAGCTTGGAGTCAACCCGTGAGACACCATCGTCTTTCACTTCGCCCTCCTCGCCACTCTCATCGTCCGAAGAGTGAACCACTTCTGCAGACTTGATCTTCGGGTTGGCTGACTTGGCCGTTTGTTGTCGTTTCGCGGGCTTCGCACCTTCCCGATCCGAAGCTGCGGCTTCCCGAGCTGCCTCCCTATCCTTCCGCTTCTTGTCCCTCGCCTCCTCAACTGCACGAGCCTTCTTCGGGTCTTTCGACAATAGCCGCTTCATCACGTCCGTGGGTCGGGATGCTGCCGTTCTTGGTGTGGACGCACCTAATCGTGGGGTGTTTGCCGCACTTGCCGGTTGTGACTCTAGAGCTGCTTCTGGCCGCAGCATTGGCGACGCAGCAGCTGGATTGGGAGTGAGGCCTCCTCTCGCACCCAGGTGAAGCCTCGACAACATGATTCCCTTTCCTCGGTCCTTCTGCGGCAGCAATTTCTGCCAGATCTTCTCATCTCTACCAATCCTAAGCCTGTCATATGCCCTCACAGCATTGTCAATCGCCGCCTGTCTGTCTTCCTTTGTGGTATATCCAAATTTCCACACGTCAAGATCCTTATATGCTCTATCTGTCAATTGCCATTTCCCATCCACCTCTCTTGCTGTCTTCTGCAACATGTTTGTCAACTCCTCCTTCGGTATGTGCGTTTTAGTAGCAATCTCCGCCATCGTCGCAGATCTCATGGCAAGAAGATGCACGATGGGAGTTCGCATTGCCTGCAACCTCGTCTCCGCCTCGCTCAGACCCGAAGAAGTCAGTGCCGTACCGGATGGAGGTGTAGCAGCACCGCTGAGGGGCGTGTGTCCGCTTCCCGACAGCAGACGTCGGTTCTTCTTCGCGGCCTCGAAGCGGCTTTTCGGCATGGGCAGTACATCACCGCTGATGTTCGCTTGCTTGGCCTGCTTCTCCTGCTCGAAGGATGCCATACTACTACGCAAGGCGGCCAGTGCCTCGTCTGTGCCTGTGTCCTGGCTCTGCGACCGTCGCTCACGCTGGTTCACCACAGCTCGGTGGCTAATAACGCCGGAGAAGGTAAGGTCGGACAGCGAGCCACCAACCGTGGAGGTATACAGCTCGTTGCAAAAAGCCTCTTTGGAGAGCAGGAGATCTATCGTTCGGCCTCCTATGTGCAGCTTCTACGAGGTATTCAGCATCACAATTATTAAGCATAGCAGATAATAGTGCCTTACGGGAGTCTTGCCAGCCTCGAACTGTAGGCGACTCCTGCCACTAGACGCCTTCTTCACATCGTCCACAATGTCGTCGCTTAGCTTCAAAACGACAGCAGCGTGAGAGCTTGTCTTGGAGTCTGCACGGCCATCGCCGACTCCATGCAAAGTGAGCCCTTCGGGAGGCTCTGCTTTCACAGCCATGGTGAGGTTGCTGGCCTTGTCACGGTTGAAAGAAGAAGCAACGCTGAACAGGACCTGTCAAAGAAGCCATGTGCTTTCGCTGGTCTTCCCACAGTGATCATACGGAACAGTCAGCCACTGACCACGACCGTTGCAAGGTGCCGTGACCGGAGTGTTAGAGGTCGTCGTTTGCTAATCACGCAGGCTCGGCCACCGCAGTAACGCTTGACGATCAACACAAGAAACACAAAAACGGATGAGGGACATCAAGGACGAAAGGCGGGCATGTCGAGCGTGGGAGCACGAACGTAAGGCACGCACGCTTCCTAGGAACCATGCCAAACATGCAGCTAGTGAGGACGCTCCGGGTGGCTTATGCTTTTGGTGGAGGGTGGGCACTTTAGGTTCCCACGCGATGCCTCATTCGGGTTACATGTACTACAGGTTTTTGGAACAGCACGAGCTAGCATGAGCATTTTGAGTACCATGAAGAGTGTGTATCTGCTAGAGCAACCAACCACTCTCTCGTTTCAGATGAGACACTTCTGGCACAAGCGCGCATCCTAAAGCACCAACGAAGAAATGCGGCCAGACGAATCCTACTGGATCGGGCTTGATTGTCTTTGTCAGATGTTTAGCGGTGCCACGAGCCGACAATGGGAGTTGCCGCTCCCGTGGCTCAGTGTGTCAGCCACCTGACTGAAGTTCCATGTACTTGCTTTTGCGGTTGCTAACGACTGCACGCAAACAAGACTGTGCGAAGGCTATTGCCACAACGCTCCGTGATTGTTCATTCAAACTGCCATCGAATTTCCGTGCTGCAACGACGTTCAATCCGAGGTTACAGGCCGAGCCAATAGCGGATCAGTAGATCGCAGGAGGATTGGATCTTGAACGGTTAGCATCGCATAAGTGGCGTCCACTACTGCCGGATCCGTCAGTTTCCTCGGCTTCACTTACCGGCTTCACTCTTCGCGAGGCGCCCGCCGCAGCCCTTCAACGGCTGTCATACAACTACGAAACCCAGCGTACTTTCGTCGACATAGTCCTTGGGATCCCACTGGTGACTGGCTACTCATGACCTGGGCCCGGGCTTTCAACGCACTGTCGAGAATTGTGGAAACGGAGCGGGAGCCCAGGCGGGGTTAGAAAGCTTCAGCGCCGCAGGTAGGTGATTTGTTTTGGACGATCATAAACCTCCACTTCTCCCCTCATACCACAAGAGCTCAACATGCAGGAGCTCGATCTCCTCATCCTTGGTGCAGGCTGGACAGCCACCTTCCTCATTCCTCTCTTACAAGCCCGCCGCCTCTCCTTCGGGGCAACCACTAGGGACGGCCGCAAAGTAGCCGGCGCATCTACTTTGGCTTGGTCCTTCGATTCGGAGGAAGACTCGGCGAACGTTGAGCAAAACCAGTTCTCTCGCTTACCTTTAGCCAAGTATGTACTTATCACTTTCCCACTACAAGGACATGGCCAGAGCTCGAAGATTGTAAACGGCTACGAGAAGGTGCACGGCAAGAAGCTTGATAGCATTGGCTTCATTCAGCTCGGAAGCACGGGTATTTGGCAGATCGCACAAAAGACGACGTGGGTCTCCCGGCGTAGTCCGTATGACAAAGAAAATGGCAGGGCTATTGCTGAGGACGAGTTGCTAGGGCTGGGTGGCTGCGTCCTGAATCTTGCTGGGCTTTGGGGCGGGCAGCGGCAACCGAAGAACTGGGTTGAGCGAGTAGCGAAGACCAAAGAAGACGTAAGGGCGAAGAAGAGTCTCCACATGATCCATGGCCTGGATGTTGCTCGTGCGATAGTCGCCGTGGTTGGCAATTGGGAAGCTGCGAAGGGGCAACGCTGGATGCTCACGGACGGCTTCGTGTACGATTGGTGGAGTTTGATTGCAGGTTGGGCGGATGTGAAGAATGAAGGATCGGATGAAGCGGACAGGCAGCCGTTACCGCAGGCTCAATGGGTCCATGAATTGATTCGGGAGGAGAAGATATGGGCATTGCCACGGTCGATGGAGGCATTGGGGAGGTGCTACTTCGGACGGGAGTTCTGGGATGTCTTTGAGCTTACGCCGCTGAAGGCTCGTATATGATGCGCGGCCATGCTTCCATTCTGAAGCACTACTGAACAACCAAATGCGACCATAGTCGGAGGTTCCGGCGCCACGCCCCGACATCGTTGGGCAGTCATTTCAAGTTGAGGCAGCTGCTGCCCAGCGGCGAGCTACGTCGCGTCGCCTGAAAACTTGATTAGGCAGATTGTTATCCTGCTCGTGATAGCAACGGGTCAGTCTCTGGGTAACATTAAGCAGGCGCCATACCGGCTTCGATGTGAGCGAGCCGAGAGCGACGTATTGTGTCAGTGGATGCCATAGCCACAGCAGACTTCTCCTCTCTGAAGCTCCAAGAAGTTATGTACCTGATTGCATACTTCCGCGGTCACCGTTGGGAGATCCTCGTTGTCTTCGTTTGACTGTTCGAAGTACACAGCACTGGAGACGAAGCGTGAGCGATCAACCAGACAAAGTTCGTCTACAGTTTGCCGATAGAGAAAAGGCTGTAATTACTCCCATTAGCGACTGTGAGGATTCAACTTATGACCTCGCCATGTAAGTGTATATCCATTGTGGGCAACCACAAGTTATAACGTTCTCGGGACGTTCAGCCGAATATTTCAGCATCAGGTCACTGTCAAAGGCCGAATGAGATCAGTGTGTGCAGGTATATCTAATGTGGCTGGTCGGCGCAGCGTACATGTATGCGGGGGTCAGTGTTGGGTGCTCAAGGCACGTGACATTAGTTGCATGCCTAAGGCGTTAACAGCCCCGCAAAGCCTCCGAGCTGTCGGCTGCGTTGGTGGATGCTCTACTGCAGCACGCAATCTCTAGTGCTGGCCAAAGCACAACACCCTCCATCGTTGTGCTGTTGCTGTTGCTGCACCTCGTCTGAGTGACCCACCTGGACGATTGCGTCAGACCGCGATGTGCTTGCAACTGTCGCTTAGCCATAGCCACTACTCCTGGTATAGGTTCGATACCATAAGCTGATAAGGAAGGCTTGCAGGGGTCTGTTTACCTCGTGGAACCATGGGAACGAAGCTATAAGCACCAAACCTTCGCTCATCAGAGCTGGTGTTTACGGATCGCCTAGGGTCGAGCACGACATTTCCAACAAGCATTGCCTAGCTCCACTAGCTCAGTGCAAGTGCCGAAATGGCACCTTTGCCTTGCTCGCCAGTGTCTAATTCTACGGCGTCAGAGTCACACTCTGTGCCTGCGTCCGAAGACTCGGACGACTCCCTGACCACACCTCGACCTGGCCCGGCAGATCCAGCACAACGGACTCATGCCAATCTCAGCCGGCCATCCGTCCCTAGCTACTCCTCCTCCCCAGACTCGTCCAAGAAGTCCGGCGAGGTAAGCAAAGTCAACCCTTGGAACAAGCAGACAGAAGGGCGTCCACGTGATCCCTATACATATGACCCGAAGTCGCATGCTCAGCAGCACTTAGGAAGCAACAGCCGTCCACCACCGGAGCGTACACGTAGTGTGACTTTCTCGCCGCAACTTGCCTCGCCGAAGGGAGATCGCAGTGGCGGGTACGGCAGCTATCTGATGGATCGTAGACAGTCGCCAAGCGTGAGTCCGCACGGAGAAGGGCGGGCCAATCGATCTGAAGATGTAGGCGAAAGCAGTGCGGATGAGACTACCGCCATCTTTCCGAAGGATCGTATCAGTTCCGGCCGCAGCTCCTTGCGTTACGGGGCTGTTGCTGGTGAGCAGCACGAGGACGAGCCGGCTCTGGGCGCAACCGGCTATGACGGCGGATCGGAGGAGCCAGAGGCAGGGGCAGATGGTCCTAAGAAACGGAAGACTAGCGCCGTCGGCAAAAGTAAAGCTGGACAGAATGCAGGTCCGAGCCAAGAGCAGCAAACGCAAGCTGGCGCTGAAGATGAGAATGGTGGAGAGCGTGAGAGCTGGTGGAAGTTGTTCGTCGAGAATTATGGCAGTATCGAGCTGGAGAATAAGGGAAGTGTAGCCCGTGACCATCTTGCACTCGGTACGTTCTTGCCTAATGCCAATCGTTCATGCTATGCTCTGGGCTAACCCACAACGTCGGAAAGAACGCACGTTTCTTGCTTGGCTTCGTACCTCACTATCTTTCGCATCCATTGGCATTGCCGTCACCCAGCTCTTCCGCCTCAACACCTCTTTGCAAGGTAACTCGGGAGGCAACTCTTCTGCATCGTCATCATCGCAGCTTTCGTCAGAATCACACCAACAACCGCTTCAAGCATCTGCATCGCCGGCCACGCAGCACCGGTTGCGGCATGTTGGCAAGCCGCTGGGTGCGACATTCTTAGGCATATGTGAGACGCTCGTCGACCGCGATATCGCAGACCTCCGCTAACGTGCTAAACAGCCATCCTCATCTTATTGATCGGCTTCCATCGCTACTTCGAGTCTCAGCACTACGTCATTCGCGGCAAATTTCCCGCCTCTCGTGGCAGCATTATCCTCGTTTCTATCGTGGCTTTTACGCTTATCATTTCGAGCTTCATCGTCGTTGTGGCAATTGCTCCGAGTGCCTTCAACACGCGGTGAGGGAGCTTCTGCCACCTACTCGGATCCTTGTCGGAGCCAGTGCACCAGTCCTAAGATGGAATAGCAATCCTCGTACGGCATCGAGGAGACGGTCGCGCCATCGCGTGCGCCAGTATGGAATGTGCAGAGGTCTGCAGCAAGCCAAGATGCTTCGCCCCTGTCTTACCATACACTTCGCCGGCCTGGAACTGGCATTCTAGTACCTGGACAAGCTTCGTTGTCAGGGACGTTCGAACTTTCCGACGTGCAACATCAGCAGCCAATGCAGCAGACACCATCACATGTACATCAACACTTCGACATAGCATGGCGCCACGATTATATTACGCGCAACACAGCGGTGTCGCAGCAGGCTCAGGTATACCGTCACGGACTCTACCGCAGTCTGAGTGATATACAATACGTGCAGCAGCAGATCATCACTATACAACAGCAGATGTATGACCGGCGGAGCGCGGAAAGGGCGTGGGGTGTCTGGCTAGGAGGCAGCCTACCTCTGCTATGGACACCACAAATCGCACGCGTTTGGAGTGCTCCCAGATGCAGGTCGACATCCGGCGCGATACAGGGATTTGTAGAAGCTCAGGAGCGCGATCTTCGTCGATGTGGGGCAATACTGCTAGGCGAAATTGAACGAATCGACGCGGATACTGAGGCCTACACTTCACGTTCGCTGCTGCACACGCGCCCTGTAAATCATATCGCTGCGAACAACTTTACACCATCTGCCGGCGGTCCGCCTCATCCATCACAATCCAACGCACAGGACCAGATGGCGACCATCAGGGCTTTGGACAGACAGCTAAGTCTATACAGCCAACAGCTCGCACAAGGCTATCGGACGTTGGATCCAGAGGAGATCCCAGTGTCATCTCCAGGCGACCCCGACTCGGCCCCATCTCCGACCAACTCCGTCATTGACGAGGTGCTTGCGAGTGCTCCATAGAGCGGAAGTTCGACTCAGTACACCGGTCAGCGAGTAACATTGTCCGCTCCGGATGGCGACGGTTATAGGCGGGTGCTTGCTGAAGACGTTACCACACCGACTCGCTCTGCCCGTGTTGCAAGTACAGGTTCATCTCTTGCCGTGCGGCATGATTCGACCATGGCGGAGGTAGGCCAGCGACTGGAGCAGAGCAGTGCAACCACACAAGTGCCGCGAGTGTACTCAACCCGAATGCTCATGCGTCTCGGACAATCGATGTCTGCAACGCCCAGCGTGCTTACTGCGACAGAGGGTGCTGCTAGCGCCGTCTTAGACCAGCCGCAGTACGCAGATACCGCAATGCGAGATCCACAAGACGATGTATTTAGCGACATCGCGCAACGCGCTGCCATGTCTGAGCATCAGCAGCACGACCCGCGACTAGACGACTTCGCATACCACAACACTCGGCCACATCACCACTCTCTCCACGCTGACTCAGAGCAGCTACGCGAAGCACAGGAGGATGCCCGTGTATTCACCGCGGCTGCACGAGCACGCTTCCGGCAGCATCTACCCCCCACACATCCACATCCGGAGATCAAGCTGACGCGCCACGACGACGGCGACCTCGTTCGCTACGATCTAGATATAAGCCGTCACTCCACCGATCTTGGGCAGCAACGCTGGTGCCAACGGAATGTTATAAGATTCAACTGGTGCAACGCCCGGCGTAATGGCTCCCTTCGCGGTAGCGCTTGGCGCTCTGTGGAAGTCGATCCGGCGAACGTGGGTATACTCGGCATTGAGCGTCTGGACGCTATTGTGGGCTTTGAGATTGAAGTTGCCGTCGCACGCGGATGTATTTTGGAGACACTTGGGCAGGAGATCTGGGCTGTGTGGTGCGGGAGTGGGGAGGAGAGGACGGTGTACGAGGTGGAGGAGGAGGAAGAGGTGGTGGTACGTGGTTACCCGCGCTCGCCATGGTGGATGGAAGAGATGCTCAACAGAGAGTTGTGTGTCGGATTTGAGCTGCGAATGGGTGGTGCCGACGGCTCAGCTGTCTACACTGCCGTCTGAATAGCCTTGCTGGATCTAGTCTAGTGTTACTGCTTAAGCTAAACGATCGTCCGTGCTAATCACGCAGCTCCGCTCTATTGGTTTCTGTGGAACTGCACGTGCTTGTTTACGACTTGCTGCGACGGTATTCCACGCATACGGGTGGTGAAAGGCCTCAACCCGCCACTCGCAGCGATGCTACCGACCAGACCGGCAGAATCCAGGTTGCCCAGGCCCAGTCCCTCTAGCATGTCGGCAGCTCCAGCAGATGTGCCGCGGGTGCCACCTAGCACGTGAGTGCGCGTGCAGTACACTGTCCTCGCCGCGTCACGAAGTCGTCTAAGCAACTCGGTAGCTTTTGGTCTTCCTTGTCCGCATGAGGAAGCACGCCCCTGTCCTCTGCAAGTTGAACTTCACGAGCGCAGCACAGCCAGCAGGCGCCTCGAGGTGATTGACTCAGACTCATCATCGATCCATCGGTACGTTGTCGGTTGATTCATATTGTGCAGCTGGAAGGTATCCTGCGCATCACAGACTAAAAATCCGGAGGACCCATTGATGGCAGCCTGCACAAACCGGCCTGGGCTCTTCCAGTCCCTTCACTTTGCCCGATCCAGGAAGCCAGGCTGTTTCGGACGTTCCTTCTTGGCTCCGCATTGGGTGATCATGACCAGAAGATTGATCACCAGTACCGAGCAACCAGAAATCCAGTGTGTAGCGTCCCGTGTAGCGTCCCTCATTCGAGGTCGAATTGTGCAACACAGTGCTCGCCAGAGCGGAGTGCTGTTCACCCAGCCGACTCCGTCTCAGGCTCTGAAGCAGCGCTCCCACCAGCGCCTCGCCAATACCACATACCCGCAGCCCAAGCCTATGCATATGCATATGCATATAGACCGTAGCTCCCCTGCAAGGTGCACTCTGCTCATAAGCTCCGCTTGTCAAGGGCTACTAAAAGTCGTCCTCATCCTCGTCATCGTCAACAACAACTTCCTCCGCGTGCTTCTTCTGCTCCTCACCAACTTCTTTGTACGTCGCCCAGCTCAGGAGCATGAACGCTGCAATGATAAGCACACCCCCTGCAATCGCCGCGCCCGTCAACGGACTATAAAGCGGCGGCGGCAAAACCTGATCACACAGCGCCACCAAGAAAATCGTCAACAACGCCGCCACACTACTCAACACGGGACTCGTCAAACTAATCAGAACCAAGAAACTGCCCGAAAACACCGCATTCGCCAGGACAGAGATGCATAACATCCACGCCGCTTCGCCCCGCGGGAGTTCGAACCGCTCCAACCCGGTGAAATGCAGGATGGGGAGCGGGATCCACAAAACGAGGAGGGTGAAACATCCAATCAGACTTCCGAAAGTGTTGGCGAACACCATCCCGCGACCGGGCGAACAGCCTTCGGGCGGGCAGGCGACGCGTTTGTAGAGGACTTCGTAGAAACCGTACAACACCGACCCGACGCCTATCACGATGTTGCCGAGCGTGCGGTTGGACGCTTCCTCGTCGTCCGGGGCGTGGATGCCGCCGGTGCCGGAGCCGGATTTGGAACCGTGTTTCGGGGTGCCGGTGTCGCCGTAGGCTACCACCAGTACTCCTACGATGGCGACGCCGACGGCGATGATTTTGGAGAGTTTGAGCTTCTCGCCCAGCATGGGGACGGCGAAGGCGTAGGCGAAGAAGGCGGAGCAGTTGTAGATGGCTGTTAGGTCGGAGGCGGTGGTTAGGTCGACGGCGACGTACCAGCTTCCGCCTGCGATGGTGAGGGCGCAGGTTACGAACGCGGTCGTGCGGATGAAATATGGCAATGGGCTTTTCTTTTGTTGGACTGGCGAAAGTTCCAAAGATCGATGTTCGATCATCTGAGCGGTTTGGCGGATGAGCTGAACGTGACGTCTCCAGAAAGCTGGCCAGGGTTGGTGCCACTTCTGTAGCCGGAGTATTAATAGTTGAGTTGGCCAAAGTACGGCCCAGGAGCCGTGCGTGAAGTATCTAATACATCGTCAGCGCCTGCATAATTCCACATTGAAGGTGGAGGTCTGCGAACCTACAGCATGCAATACGCCTTATTCCAACGCAAATTATGCTGGATATACACCGCCGTCTCCGTCTGCACCGCAAAGGACACGAGACTGACTGCTAAGAAGCAGGCAGCGTATGTGTACCGCTTTCGCGTCGCGGCTTTCGCCATCTCCTCCGGATCTCGCTCATGAAAGCGTGTTGACCGTCGGGTGGTCAGTGTAGGCGATGTGGCCTGCTCGTAGCCGGCTTGCTTGTCGCCGGACAAGAGGGGAGAGTGGGCGCCGCCATTGGGGCCGGTGGAGGAGCGGAGGGAGTGTCGTCGGAGGTCGGAAGGCATGGTGGGGTCGTCCCATGCGTCGTCCAAGTCGCTGTCGTCTGCCTCTCTCTCGTGATCCGCAGTGCCCGACACAGTACCGCCCGCACGTGAGTAACGATCAGGATGGGGTAGCTTCTCAAACGGACTCGGTTGCCTGGAAGTGTCCTTGCTCACGTGAACGAGGTCGGCGGAGGAGGCGGCACTGTCGGCGTCGTGGAAGTGGTCGGGTGGTAGTAGGGAAGGATCGCGCGTGTGGTGTCGGGTGGGTAGGGTATGCAGTTGTACAGAGTCAGGAGGATTGAGTGGGTGGTGGTGATTAGGCATGCATGCGGTTAGTGCGGCAGCGGCATGAATGTTGCAGAAGATAGGCGTGGTGGAGGTGGAGGGTGTGTCTGTCAACAGCGTATGATTGGAGTGTTGGGGAGTGTCGGATGGGGAGCTGTCTTACGCCATTCGATCTAGTTGGTGTCGTGCAGCAGAACGAATTGCTTAGCTTCACCCGCTACCGCATAGCCGCATGCGCAGAGCATGTGAAGGGGTCCGCTCGGTCTTGTCCTGTCATCTCCGCCGACTGCATTCGCCGCAAGCCTGCCTCAGGCGCCAAATGAAATCAGATCATGTGAGCACGGCGGCATAACAGGAGCCCGTTCGGTGAACAGCTAACTATGGCCGCGTTGACCGACTTTTAATTGTCATAGTCAGAGTCCGGAGCTCATAGTTCTTACTCATACAAGAAAGAGTGCAGCTCTTCCTGCCCGCATCACTCAACACCAGCAACGATCGCCGGAATCTAGTAGCTGGAGCTCAGGCGCGCCACAGCACCCGCTTGATATCCCGGCCTCGCAATCCTCCTTGGCTACGCATTCTTCGGACGGCGGAAGGCTAACACTGTTCGTAAACCTACCGGCTAACTCTCACACAGGCCTAGCACTAGAGACATCGGGCACACCCTCCCCCTCCACCACCTTCGCGCCCACGATCTCATAGATCGGCAATTCCGCCAAACGGGAAACAACATGGTGCATGGTCGGCAGCTGCTCCCAGTCCAGCGCGTCAATCTCGAAACTCGCGCGGTTCGCCTTATAATACCTCAGCACGCGAGGCTTCGGTTCGGCCTCGGCGAACGGGTCGAAAGTGACGTGTTCCTCCGCCGCGATGCCCTTGTTCGCCCTCCCAGCTTTGGGGATGTATTTATAAGCTAAGATCCCGTCGTCGGCTTCCCCGCTGATACTGCCAGTGACAGCAGCGGTGTCCATCTCCTCGAGCTCCTGCAGGTGGAAATTCCCCCACAGCGCGCCTTGCCAGCCGGTCCGGATGCGGTATGAGGTCGCACGGCGGTAGATGTCGATGGAGGAGTAGAGTTTCGGCATGCCCAGCTCTTCGCGGCCGGAGACGATGGGATCGGTAAGGGATTCGTAAAGGATGGGGAGGTAGGTGCCGCTGTAGACTGTGCCGTTTTCCTTTACATACTCTACGCCGTGGATGTAGAGGCCGAGGTGGTTGTAGCCTGATCCTCCTAGCCATTCCATCTTGTTGAGGGTTGTCTGGGAGAACGAGGCGTAGGCTACGGTACCTGTTTCGGTCGAGGCAAAGGGTTCAGCGGTCAAAATTTGGGAGAGTGTGATGGGTTGGGTGTCATGCTTACCTGGGCTGCGAAACCGCCAGCCTTTTCGCATTGGCGGGAAGAGGTTCTGCAGTAACGTCCGGGACGTCTTGAACTTGATCGATGCCGTGGTGAAGGTGGACCTGGACCCGTCTCGCACAAGGCCAAAGTGCGTCTGTCGCGGACCTGGCATGGGCCCGAAGGCTATTGGCATGCGCCAGTACACGTGCGGGTTACGTTTCCAGCTCCACTCCCGAAGTCTTTGTGTCGAGTGATCCCATTCATCGTGACCGAAGTTGAAATTCGTGAAGCCAAACACTACCATTGTCAGCGACCTTGTTACTTCTTCAACATGCATGAGAACTTACTATCCGGCTGGTCTTGTCCTTCCTTGAAGTCTTTGCCAATGATGCGGGAAAACTCTTGAATGTGATTAGCCCTGTCATAGCGAGTCTCCTCATACAGCTTCAGTCGCGCAGGCACGTCCTTCGGGAGGAGGTCTTCAGACAGTACAACAGCAAGAGAAGCAGCGTCTTCGATAGCTACTCCGGCCCCCTGGCCTTGGTGTGGCAGGAATGGGTGGGCGGCATCTCCCAGCAGCGTCAGGCGTTCGCAAGTCCACGTCGGAAGAACTTTCATGTCGAGAAGCTTCCAGACTTTCACCGAATCCCGCTTGGCCTTCCGCAGTAGGTCGAGCAATGCCGGGTCGAAGGTGCTGTAGATGGCAAGCATCCGCTCCAGATTACCCTGTTGGTTCCAATCTCCTCCTGCATCTGCTGCATCCGCTGCAGACTCGGCTTCGGGGTGGATGCACACAAAGTTGAGTGAAGTATTGTCGGAAGTTGGGTACATGATGATTCTGCGATCCGCACCGTACCAGATGGATAGTTCGCCTTCCATTTCCACCAGTGGGCGTGTATCGTCGTCGTCCAAAGCCAGCTGTCGCGGGACGAGAAAGCGAAAGGCGCTCTTTCCGTCACAAAACGGCTCGGCATCTCCACCCTGTACGAACTTGCGTGCAACGGAGTGCACACCGTCAGCACCAACGACTACGTCGCCCTCCACTTCCGTACCGTCCTCCAGGCGAATACGGCCGGATGCAGGGTCAACCTCCACTACTCTCGCAGACAGCTGAAGTCGAACTGATCCTCTCGTCCGCTCGTTGGACGGCTTGGGTGAGTTCACCAGCTGTTTTAGCTTGTTGTGGAGCTCAATGCGAGGAGCGAGCAGCCATGGCTACAATGGGTCAGTGATAGATCAGGCCAACCCCGCGAAAGTATACCTCACATGCTGCCATTGCTTATTCGCCTCCCGTAGATCCATCGATCTTTTCCTCACGCCACCGGCCGTATACTCTGTAAGCTAACGATTCAGTCAGAACGTTGTACCGCAAGCTTTTCTCGTGGTCACTCACTCTCTCCATTGGATTCGCACCGAAATGCTCAGCGAAGATGCCTAACCGCCTGAGGATCCCATTGGCATTGGGTGCCAGGTGTAGCGCTGCGCCGGTCTCTGACGCGAACTTTGACTGCTCGTAGATCTGCGCAGCCATGACTGGTGAGAAATGTACCCTAGGTCTTTAAGCTGGTCTATATTCACCTCAACGCAGTGTCCCTGTTGCCGCAGAGCGACCGCTGCAATCAAACCACCAATGCCTGCGCCCACTATCAGGACTTTGAGACCTTGGTTGCGCTTAGAACCCGACGATGGCCTGTGCACTCCGTTGACTCCATTGACCTCGATTGCTTGTGCCATCGTAATCACCGTCGTCGCTCGCCTTGAGGGATTTGCGCTACCAATAGTGGGTTATGACTATGGCGGATGCCGCGGCGTCTCTTGCGGGAATGCCACGCAAAACGAGTTCCAGAGGCTTGCCATCGCGAAGCACAAGGCGAGATGCGATACATATTGATACCAGACGACATCGCATACCTGCTCCACCGTGCTGAGTGGTTGCGGAGGAGGTGGAAGCTTTCGGGACCGCTCATTACATGCGCTTTGACGTTCGGAGCATGAGTGGGGAAAGTGGGGTTATGCATTCGCCGTTGCGGTTTCGATTAGGGGTACACGCCGGAGAAGCTGTCGGGCCGAAGCCGCTGCGTGTCTATCCAGGACTTCACTCGATGCAGCTATAGAGTGACAGCCCGTTCGACACACAGTCTACGTCGCGGCCAGCGTCATATCGCGCGCCTGAACGACCTAAACGCACAAGTACTCACAATGACAGCGGGATGACGCCGAGCGAGCGTTAGACGTGATGCGCCTCTGGATGAGCGTTCGCAGTTACGGTGTTACTACTTACAATTTGGCCTGCTCCTGCTGGCGCTCACCATGCAGCTGAATCCACCGACACTCATCCCCCAAATACTGCTGAGCTCGCAGATCGCCGGACCGTGCATGTGCTTCGAAGTTCTCTGCTCTAGCTGCACGCCCACAAAGCCGGCCGAGCTCGCCACTAGCCTTCTCACTACGCACTTCCTGATACGTCACCGTGCGAAGGTATTTGCCCACCCAAAGTCCACCGGTATACCTCGCTGCTTTCCGGGTCGGTAGCACGTGGTTGGTTCCGATCACCTACGGACGAGTCTTATGAGTTCTTTTTTCACAATGAACCACTACCCCAGGGGGTATACACACCTTGTCACCGTAAGAGACACACGTCTTCTCACCCAAGAAGAGCGCCCCGTATGCACGCATCTTTTCCAGAGCTTCTCGCGGCCTCTGAGTGAATATCTGCACGTGCTCGCTCGCGTACTCGTCCGCCAGTACCCAGGCTTCATCCAGCGTGTCTACCACTACGACTTCACCCAAACCTTTCCACGCCCTACCAGCTATGTCTGCCGTGGGAAGCTCGGTCAGTAGGTCGTCAATGATCCTCATGGAGTCTTCTCCGACACTGGTGGAAGTTGTGATGATGACGGCAGGCGAATCGATTCCATGCTCAGCCTGTGACAAGATATCCGTGGCGACCGTGAATGGATTCGCCGTCTCGTCTGTCACGATCAAGATTTCGGTAGGCCCTGCGAAGAGGTCAATACCCACCGAGCCGAACAGTTGCCGTTTAGCCTCTGCCACGAAAGCGTTGCCTGGACCTGCGAGAAAGTCGACTTTGCGCATCGTCTCCGTACCGAGCGCCATAGCGGCTATAGCTTGTATACCGCCAAGAATGAAGATTTCGTCGGCACCGGCAAGATGCATAGCCGCTACCGTAGCGTTAGGTATTTTGCCCGCAGTGGGTGGTGTGCATCCTATAACATGGCCCACCCCTGCGACCTTTGCTGTCAATATGGTCATATGCGCTGACGCAAGAAGCGGATATCGTCCGCCGGGTATATAGCTAGGCAAGTCAGGCGCACATTAGGACATGCAAGACCGTACATTGGCACTTACGCTCCAACGCAGCTGACCGGTACGTTCTTCTGTCCAAGAAACACACCCTGCAAATGGTTACATCCCGTTTGCCAAAACGGGGTAACTGGTAAGAACTCACCGGCTGCGTCTCCAACTCGAAGTCCTTCAAGGAATCCTTTTGTGCTTCTGCGAACCTCCGGACATTGGCCTGCACTTGCTTGATATCTTCAACTGTCTGAGCTGGGCAAGCAGCAATAGCAGCATCGATCTCCGCTTGCGAGAGCTTGAACGATGCACGCTCCCACTTGTCAAAACGGGCGGAGTAGGTGCGGACTGCCGCGTCACCGTTCCTCCGAACATCTTCTATGACTCCTTTCACGATCTCGCTCACGTTGGCTGTCGATTGAGCCGAGCTTGTTGGCTGAGCAACGCTTTGTTTCAGGTATCGGCGACCCATATTGTTGCGTTCGGAAGGAAGTTCTGTCTCCGTGGCCTCCCTCGGTGAATGGATTGGTAGCGTTTATGAACGGGGCGGTAGGCCTGCTGTTTGACCCTATTCAAGGCCTTTTCATCTTCCTCTTGATATCCAGCAAAGTCACCACAATGCACATAAAAGTCAACGGCCCCACTTCTAGCAGTCTCGTCAGCATTTCCTGACCACCGTCGGCCTGAGTTCCAATTCCGGGAAGTGGGGAGAAGACGGTCGAGCACCCTTCCTACAATCTTACGAGCAGCAGAACAGGAATCAATCGTCGTGGTCAAAGCAACATTGAGCTATGCGAGGTATCATGTCCTTTCTCGTCATCATAGAGACTCAAGCCAATTCGGCTTTGCTCAAGACATTATTGAGTATACTCGTCGATGGCTTTACATCGTCCATGCCCTCCCCATAGTCCTCACCCAACATCCTCCCATTGAACTGCAACGGCTTTGCCTCTTGAAGCACGTAGAGCATCCGTGCCCACGAATCCGAGCTTGGATTCCTCCACGCATGATTCGTGCCGCGTTGGATCGCCACGTCACCTCGCTTTAGCAACCGTTTCTCGCCAGTGTCTAACTGCAACTCCACTTCGCCTTCGAGCACCACACCGTAGTCCAGGCTAACCGTACGATGCATTGGCGACAACGACTCGGGTTTCATATCGACGATCCTCAAGACTGTGCCTCCTGGGATTGCGATACCAGGCAAGTCGGCGAGGAAGTTTTCGTAGGTCGACAGATCTTGGTCCTGGTCCATGTTCACCGGAGAGCTTGTGGTAGCGTATCCAAGGCTGAAGCGCGCCCCGTTGGCAAGCTCTTGCCATTCGACATCCTCTGAGAGCTGGTCCGTGAACATAGGTTTCCCGTTCGTGTCATGTCCGGTAATGACTCGCTTTAGTGAACGAAGCCCATTGTCTTCCATGTTGTCTCAAAGGACGCTGCTTGCCATAGAGTGAGGTCAGGAGAGCAAGTAATTTCATCACCAAGAGGTAGAGAGATCGATCTGGGGTGCCGTGCCGTCTGCAGCGGGACAAACACAACGTTCATGATCGAGTGGGGGACTCAGTGGGGCCGAGCCCAATATTGTGTACTCAACTCTCGACGTGCTTAGTCCTGTGACCCTTTGCAGCCTCTCATTGCACGCAATCCGGCCTGTTGCGTCTGCTCTGCAACCATGGAAACGTCAAGAGTTGCTCTGGTAACGGCCGGATCAAAGGGACTTGGTGCTGCGATAGCACGGGCATTGGCACGAGATGCGCAAATGCGGGTCGCTATCAACTTCTGCTCAGACGCAGACGCCGCCGAAGCACTTGTACATGAGCTGGAGGTATTGAGTCCGGTACCGTTAGAAGCCAGCGGCACAGATCCTCAAAGGCGGTTCCTCGCAGTGAAAGCAGACATGGCGGACCGAAGTGAGATTAACAGGCTCGTCCGGCATACCGTAAACGAAATGGGCCGTCTGGATGTTGTTGTCTCCAATGCGGGCTGGACAAAGGTAACGGATTTTATGGACTTGCAACAAGCCGAGGATGAGTTGGATTGGGATAGATGTTTCAACGTCAATGTCAAAAGTCACCTGTTCCTGTTCCAAGCTTGTGCTCCGCACCTCGACCTTACTGAAGGGGCATTCATTAGCACTGCAAGCATAGCAGGCGTGAAGCCTAGTGGAAGCTCCTTGGTGCGTCGAACACGGACTTGGCATTGTCGACTTACTGATGCTGATGTGACACACGTAGCCATACGCAGTGTCGAAGGCAGCACTGATACACCTATGCAGATCACTTGCGGTCATTGCAGCGCCTCGGATCCGTGTGAATTCGGTGTCGCCTGGTGTTGTTCTCACGGTATGTATATACGCTAGAGTGTTGACCAGACAGGCTCTCACACTCGCAGGATTGGGGCCTCAAATTCCCAAAGGACCAGCTCAGAGCGGTGGAAGAGAAGAATTCATTGAAGCGCTTCGTTGCCGTTGAGGTCAGTCCGCAGTAGCTGTACCGACTAGAGCAGCTTTTCGCTGATTATAACACCTTTCCAGGACGTTGCCATGCAAGTCTTATATCTAGCGAACAGCAAGTCCGTCACTGGTACGAACAATGTTATCGATGCTGGGTTCTCTCTGTAATATGGTGATGTGCTGCACAGCTGTATTTCAGGTTCTGCGACCCTACTAAGCTCCGTACGTTGATATCTGTAGAATGGAAGCAATACAACAGGATATTTTATTCCACTGTAGAGCTTGCTTATTGCATTGCAAGGGGGCCAATGTCCACTGTTGGACCCGTCGGACTAGGGTACAGTACAGGGGTTCGCGGAGGTTGTCACGTGGACAATGCACGATTCGTCGCAATAACCCCCAGGTTAGCAGTGTGGTATTGTGCCGAATAAGTATACATTCGCGTGGTCCCGAGCCCGACTTCGTCCTATCGTGATCCTCAACCGATAGTGTGTATGGGACTACAGTGGTATCTGCCAACGGAATTCAGGATGACCAAGATACTAATCGACAGGAACTGCCTCGCCGCACGAGTCTCCTCGCTGGCTGCACCACTCATACCGCAGGCCAAGCAACAGGACCGGAGCAATGCCTAACGAAATACGAGACATTCACACGGTCGACACTACTTCCTACCCGTACATCTTCGAGCAGAACGTCAGTGTACCTCTGAGGTCCGGGCAAGGATTGCTTCGATGCAACATCTACAGGCCGCAGTTGAGTGGCGACCTGGCCAAGCATCCGGTGATTGTCACTTACGGCCCGTACGGCAAGGATATACATTATGGGATGTAAGTCAAGGCTCAGTCGACTTACTGCACGATTTAGAGCTTAGCAACACGTGTTGCACGAGCCACTTTTTGGTCAGCTTGACTGAGACTCACTTCTTTAGATTTAACCCGAAGTCGTATGCTGAGGTCAATGTTGAGCATCATTCGCCACACTCCGCATGGGAGACTCCTGATCCCGGCTACTGGACTCGAAATGGCTATATTGTCATACGAGCAGACGAAAGAGGTCTTGGCCAATCTCCGGGTCTCCTTGACACCATGTCACGTGGGACAAGCGAGGCTTTCTTCGACTTAGTTGAGTGGGCGGCAGAACAGCCTTGGTCCTCGGGAAAGGTCGGGCTACTCGGGATAAGGTACCTCGGTGGACATCTTTTATCGACATCCGTGCTGACAAGAAGCGCAGCTACTACGGCGGAAGTCAATGGCGTGTAGCTGCTCGTCAGCCTAAGGGACTTTGCGCTATTGTTCCTTGGGAAGGTATGTCAGACTATTACAGAGATCGATGTAGGCAAGGTGGCATTCTATCGAATGGCTTCATCAAGTTTTGGTGGGACAGACAGGTTATCACCAATCAGTACGGACGAGCCGGAAGAGCAGCACGTAACTGGGGCCCCGACACGATTGAAGGTGACCTGAACGAAGCTGAGCTGGAGGCCAATCGAAGAGATCAGACTTCTGACAATGCAGCCTCACAATACCGGGACCACGCATACTATGCCTCGAAGGAGTATCACATGGGAGATATCCAGGTACCGCTTTTGAGCGTCGCCAATTGGGGAGGAATCTGCCTCCACCTACGTGGAAACGTAGAGGGCTGGAGGTGGGCTGGTTCCGACCTGAAGTATTTGCGCTTTATCACAGGCAGGCACGATCTACCGTTCTATTACCCTCAAGAGGCAGAGCTTCAGCGGAGCTTCCTTGACGCCTTCCTCAAAGGCGAGGATCGAGAAGGGTGGAGTGTGAAAGGCAGAGTACCGCCTGTGAGCGTTGTTCTGCGCAAGGGCGACATCGGTTACAACAATGCCGAAGCAGAAAAATCGTACAACAGACGTGACGAAAACGAGTGGCCGATTGCGAGAACGCAGTATACCAAGTCTTATCTGACACCGGATATGAGGCTCTCGGAGCATCCGCTGGCCGGCCAGCCTTCCAAGCTGACTTACGACGCTCTCGGCTCCATAGGCGAACCTCATGCTCTTAGATTCGAGTCTCAACCGTACGCAACCCAGACGGAAGTAACGGGCCACATCGTCGCTCATCTGAACGTGTCAGTCAGCCCCTCTCCAGCCCTTCCTACGGTTCCTATGGACCTAGACGTCTTCCTAACTCTGCGGCACTTCTCACCGGAAGGCAAGGAGATCTTCTATACCGGCACTGCTGGTGATCCGGTTCCATTAACCAAAGGATGGCTGCGACTCAGTCTAAGGAAGACAGATCCAGATCACTACAAGCACCGCCCGTGGCTACCCCAGCGGAACTACACCAGCTCCGACGTCCTGCCAGTCATTCCGGGAGAAGTCTACGCTGTTGATGTCGAGATCTGGCCTACCAATGTGGTGGTAGAGGAGGGAGGGAAACTGATTTTAGAAGTGGCTTCTGGTGACACTCAAGGCTGTGGCGTTTTCGTCCATGACAGCGCTGCGGACAGGTTCGTCCCTCATTCGATTGACTTATTTCTGCTGATGACTGACATGTATTGAAGAGCTCCTGACAAGTTTGCTGGGTTGAATCACATCCATTTTGGCGCTGGGATGGACAACTACGTTACGCTGCCGATCATACCATCTGAAGTGTAGAAGCAGGATACGAGAGAAGGGCAATAATGAGATGCAATTCCGCATAGTATTACCACTCGCCTCCTATTCTGTACTTGAAAATGTTGGGATTGAGCCGGCCTCCTGTCGCCACCCAAAGTCGGTTGGCTGCCTGCATTGGACAACTTCGTTAGCGGCCAATGGAACAATCGCGGCATCGCTACGAGCTTACTCACAACGTTCATCTCCAGTCCCGTGAACATCACCTTCAGGAACATCCGTTCTCCCAAGCTAGTGTAGACCCTTCTTTGACTCTGATCCAAGTTTCTGTTGATTGGCCGATATGGTGGTATGCGACGGTAGTGCACTGGCCAATCTGGTGGGTTGTCGCAGACTTCTCCATGCGTCCTGATCTGATGGTGTATCGCCGTCGGTGATAGTCCGATTGGTACGATTCGTTGTTGGATTGTGTCGGAAAGGTGAAGATCGTATTCACTAGGGTAGGCTCTTTGGTGCGTACTGATGGCGGCAACAGTCATGGTCGTCATTTTGAGAGGTCCTGCGTACCCTATCCTCTGGTAGCCAAACCGCAGCTCGGTGAGTGCCTGTTTCGCAGAAGCGGGAACCATTCATGTTGTAAGCCCCTTTCGGAAGTGGGCATGGGAGTGGAGATCGATCTCCCGAGACGCCCACCTTTTGGCGAATTCACATAGCAAGACGTCCAAATGATACGTCTCCCTGTAAGTCTTTGTGACAGAAGTACTTCTGACTCCTGATGCGCATATTACGAACAAAGTTGAAACTATCGCACCATAGCGATACTCAACCAAACCACCCATGCCACAAAGTCTGCAGCCTGTGCGCGAAGCAGCCATTGATGGCCGGCTGAGAAATGTCCAGTATCGCCAAAAGCAACTGGAGAAGCTCCACCATGCGGTGACAGAGAATGCCAAGGCCATCCACAAAGCCATCCTTGACGAGGAGAATTGTAGGGAGACCGAAGCCATCCTTCAATACTCACTGGCCATCAATTGCTTACGGTCTTACTATTCCACTCTGGATGCCAAACGCGCTCTTGGAAACGAATATGCTCCTGCTCGTGGTGAGGACGCGCCAGCAAGGCTGGAGCCTTTTGGAATTGTGTATGTAACACCAACAAGGCACACTAGCTTCTACTCGATCATCCTCGCTGTCAGCGCGGCGCTGGCAGCTGGCAACTGTGTCGTCATCAAGGTACCGTGGCGCTTCGTGCAGGTGGTGACCCGCGCTTATCATGTTTGCAGGCCCATAGTCTTCCTGAGCATGATCGAGTCCTGCCGCTGCTACAGAAGCTCATGGAAGCACATCTCGACCGGGATATCATCAAAGTCACCGAAGTCGAAGCTTCAAATGAGGAACTCGGGCCATTATCACTGCGACTCGTTCAGGAGCAGTCCGGCGCCTCTGAGCTGGCCCGGACATCGGTCGTGTCGCCATCGCACGCTCGCGTTGTCGCCATTGTTGATCGCGGTAGCGATGTTGCCCATGCGGCCAATGTACTTCTAACTGCTCGGTTTGCCTTCAATGGCCACTCACCGTACGCCCCGGACATTGTGTTGGTCAATGAGTTTGTCATGCAAAACTTCCTCATACAGCTCACTGAGTGCGCCATTCGGTTCGGTTCGCGGTTACAGCCAGTCCATCAACAAGACCAAGGAATACCTGCAGGCTTATGCAGAATATTTGACGATGCCAAGAGCGCCAGCCAGATCGGCATCGTTGCTTCATCAGGCGGCGCCGAGATATTGGAAGTAACCGATAGGTACGTAGCTGTGGGCCACCATGTCCATAGCTTACTGACAGGATCCATACCTAGGCATTCGGCGCTCCTGAAAACCAAAATACGCGGCCGGAAGCTTTTAGTACACGCCGTGCGATCGCTGGACGATGCGATTAGTCTTGCGAATATGTATGACTACCCACGGATCAACCCGTTTCTCACCCTTCGTAATGACAATCGCTTCAGAGACGAACCCAAACTTGCTTCATACGTTTTCACCCACCTGCCCGCTGCGAAGTACGCCACGCAATTCATTGACGCACACGTCGCGTTTATTGATCAGGTACCCATGGATTTGCTTGGTAAGTCCAACGGCGGAGCTGCTGACATGGCTCATCACTTGTCACTGATACGGATCAGTCGGCCCGGCCGCCCCTGCAGAGGTAGCCTTAGATCGTTCGTTCCGATACCCCATTAGCACACTTTCTCGGCCGCGTCCACAATACGTCAGCAAGTCAACATGGTCCGACTTCATTCACCAAGCACTTCACGAGGCTACATCCAATACCCCAGAGATCCAGGCAAAGTTGCAACACGTGAGCACAAAGCTGTCGTCGAACCCGCAGCGTTTCGAGGGGGGCCAAATAGGCTTCTTCGAACAAGGAATTCAAACTGGAGTGCTGACCTTTATCATACTGCCGGCCACGTTGTCAGTGGGGGCTGTGGGTTATTATGGGGTTCGTCTGTTGCTAAGGCACGTGTTTCAGCGCAAGTGAGTGTCCGGCACCGGGCTGCCTCACGGCATACAGGTTAGACTCGAATGTGATAGCATTACTCTCTGTTGTGGACATGCTTATGCCGAGGTTCAATGTACGTCCTATCAGTGCTGTTCGTTCTGCAACCTCTTTATGAGCTGAATCAAGTTATCCACCAAAGGAGAGGTCTGCATTGTAGGCTGAGTGTCAGTGCCCTTCATGATGCTCGCAATAACACGCAACACATTCGGCACTTCTTTAAGAAGGACGTGTGGCTTCGCTGAAGTCTGGTCACGTAAGGCTGGGACACCACGTCCGAGAGCCAGAAACTTCTTGGTAGCCGCGTTCTCCTCCAAGTCGAGGAAAACAATTTGCTGAGGTTGGATTGTCGGAGCGTCGGTCACAATATTGGCATCGGAACCGCAATTAATATCTGGCTTAGTGATGGGTAAGGTCCGTCCATATGCCCAGAATGCCAGCCCTGCATGGTACAGTGCAACTGCATTGAAGTCCCGGAGATGCATAGCAGGGAGAGCTCTGGCAGCGCGGACAACCTGGCCGGCATGCCACACAGCGCGTCGCGATCTTTGACTGCCGGCCCATTCGACGATGGACGGAGGAACACACTGTGCCTCGTCAGAACTGTCTAACCCCGTAAATAGATGAATTTCGTCGAGCGAAAGATGCAGGTGCATCATAACTACCTCGAGTAGTAAGTTATTGTCGTAAGTCATACTGAGGCGAAAGTAATCGAGGATCTTGCACAGCTCCTGGTATCTTGATGTCATGATCAGTTGGCTGTCCCACAGACTAGGGCGAGTGCGAAACAGGGTGCTCGATTGACGATACTCCCATACCAGACCCCACAGGACGTGCAGCAACGCGGCACGGGACGCCGTTGCATCGACAACACCGGCGTAAGTCTCCAGATGGTCCAAGTTGCAGAGGCATTCCGTCAGAGAAGGGATACAATATGAGCCTGTCGGTGCATGAGCGAGATACACAATCTTCCACTCGCTTGCGGAAGTTGCCGTCCATATTTCCTGCGGGGCCGGTAGGGGCAGCGCCATCTCAGCGTATGATATAAGCGGGTTCTTACAGAGGGCCATGGAGCATTGGGCGTCGTATTGTAGAAGACGGTACACCAAGCGTTTGCAGGTCTCCTGCTCGATCCATTTCTGCCACTTAGCGTCAAGAACGTGACCCTGGTCCTCTGCCTGCACGGTAACATCAAGGTAAGTCGAGCGTGAGAACCGACCTCTCCGGCGAAGCATCGTGAGTAGAGGTTGCTGAAAGCTTTCGGAGATCTCGATCTTGCGGCTATTGCCGCTCCACAAGCCAATCTCTAAATGCAGCATGAAGGTCTGCTGGAGTTGCAGGTCGAGAATCTTGGTATTGTCTGCCTCAAAGATGGTAGGTAAATGATTGCGAATGACCTCTTGAATAGCGAATCCGAGTTTTTGCAATGATGGGTCAGGGGCAAGAACGGCTCCAGCAGCGGCCATTGCAAGCAAAAGCTCTGCGGACGCCTCGTTTGGTCGGAATCGGCCGCTGCGTATCCATGCGATGGCCCCAGAGAACGAGACTGTCAAGAAGTATTGTATCAAGCTGTCTAGCAGCTCCAGAGACGGAAACGCACTAAGGGCTGGGGACAAGTGAGGTCTCATTTGGCTCAATACTATGGCGAGAATCTTGTCTCGTGCTTTCAAATCCAGTCGTTCAGTGGTTGCCCTTCGTTCGAGTCCCACCAGGCTTTCGGGAGTGTCGCACGTCTCAAGCCGGACGGGCAGTGAAAGATTCTCCTGTTCCGCAAAGCCATGATCTTTGGTCGCCGGAATGAAACGCCAAATCGATTTGCTTTGAGGCCCACCGATAGGGTTGTCGGTCGTAGGAGAGACCAAGTCAGCACTTGCGTCCTGAGCAGATAGCGAGGGAGGCTGTGAGGCAGCCCCAAACTTGAACGGAACCTTGCTGCTATACGTATCAAGAAAGCTGAGATCCAGTAAACTGAAATCAAGGTCGGTCTCAAGGCCAAAGTCAGTCAACCCTCGTGGAGTCCTTATGCCGCTCGGAGGTGCGGTGTCGTAGGGGCGAGCGCCGAAATTGAAGCAATCTGCGCCACCAAAGGTGGCATACTCTGGGACTGCGGCTGATGGAGGGCGCAAGGTGTTTGGCCCGTCGGCAAGAACATCGTCAGTGCCGCCTTCCGGCCAAATGTGAAGCGCCGCTGGAAAGGGATCCGGCATGTTGGGTGCCGACACGCTGGGGGCAACTTGCACAGTAGAGTCGCCGCAGACCAAGGCTGCGGTCCTGTGGGGTGAGAGCAAGCCAGGAGCACGCTCGTGCGTAACACTCGTGTCATCGTTGGGAGCCTTCGCTGACACACGACACTCTAAGTCTCTTTGTCGACAGCGAGTGCAAGGCTTGCTGTCCTCGCACTTTAGATGGTCCTCCGCGCAAGCGTCGCAGGCGCGAGACACGCGCGTGACTGATGCGGTTCGTTTGGCTGTTTTTAGACGCTTGTTGCTAAGGGGCAACTCGGCGGCTGTGCCTACGCTCGGTTCCCGCCTAATGTCGGCATTGGCGCCATGAAGAGCAGAATGGCGACGAAGCAGATCACTTTGAAGATGAGGTTAGCGTCCGTCATGCGAAGTTCAGACATGGACAGCCGTACACTCGACCGAAGCGTTTGCTGCAAAGAGTACAAGCATACGGTTTTTCCTTCGTGTCTGCACAAAGCGCGAAAGTGAGCTATCTGGAACTTTGCAGTCAAGTAATGGGTGTAACATACGCGAGCGCACGTGACGTGCCAGATGGTCAAGACGAGTGAACGCCTGCTGGCAAGTGCCGCATTGGAAATGGCTCTTTCGAGCTGGTGCTTGGGGCGGAGCATCACCGGTGACGCCTACCCCAGCCTCTGTCTCTTGCTGGGCCGAATGATGTGCCTGGGGCAAGACGTGTATTGTGTCATGGAGGCCGTCTGTCGGAGCACTTCCGACCTGGCTCATGATGAGCAAGGGTGGGGACAAGCAGGTAAGGAAAGGCCATGGTCGCGATCAAGGTGGACATGTGCTTAAGCTGGGTACTACTTGCTCAACATCCGCTATCCGCGGGAGGCGTACCGGACTCAGGTGGGGGCTGCTCGATCCAGCGCGGGGAAGTGGGGAGGGAGGCGGAGAAGTGGAGGACGGATTCGAAGACGTCGGGACTTCGCCCGATTGTGCGAGCCTGACGACAAGATAGCGCCACCCACGGAGTAATATTTCGGCAAATGCCAGACGCCGCTGCTCAGGACGTCGTCAGTGTCAATGGAGAAGACGACGCAGGAGCAGCTTCTTTTCCAAGACCTCGCAGACCAGGCGCGCGTCGCTCCCCCAACTAAGACCACTACAATGCTGTCTCCGGTCCATTTCTTTTCCCATGGCTCCACGATGATGCTGGGTGAGGAGTCCGAGTCCGCGAGCTACTGGAAGCAATGTGGCGACGACGCTCTCGCCCATGGTGTCAAAGGAATTGTCATGATGGTCATTCCCACCGTTAACATTGCTATAACTATCCAGCTGACTCGGCGCAGGGCGCCCACTGGGCATGTGTAGGTCAGGACAAAATCGAAATCTCCATGAATCCCAAACCTGGCAAGTCACCTGTCGCCTACGTCCACCCTTCCAAGTACATCGATTACGAGCTAGTACCGGATCTGGACAGCGGTGAGAAATGCATCCGGCTACTTACTGATGCTGGCTTCGGTGTGAATGCGAACGACAAGTTTGACTGGATCCACGACACATATCTGATCCTTATTCGCATGTTCCCGGAGCGTTGTCCGCCAACGACAATCATCTCAATGAATGCCAATTTTGATCCGCATCTACACATGCAAGTTGGCGCAGCTTTACGGCCTTTGCGGGAGCAAGGATACCTGATCATTGGCTCAGGAGGCGCTGTGCACAACCTTTACCGCAATGTCTGGGGTCCAATGTTACGATACAGCGACAACTTTGCTCAAGAGTGTGCCCCCGGCGATTGGGCGATGGACTTTCGGCAGGCTGTGGAAGACGCTTTCTGCAACAACAGCGGCCCACATTTACGCCGTGCAGTCACCCGCCTCATGAAACATCCCACGTACCGCGACGCACACGCAACAGACGACCATTTTATGGCTGCTACGTTCGTGGCAGGTGCAGCAGGTAGTGAAGACGACAGTGGAATCTATGCCGAGCTCAAGGCTGAGACGTGGGAACTGACGAACATGTGCAACTCACAATTCAGTATCGGACGGTGGGTATCTGCGACTTAATCAATCGAACCTGATAATCAAATTCGTCTCGTGCTGCTTATTATCACTTGTGCTTCCCACCTGTACTGCGCCGTCTTCCGCTGCCACATGGCATTTAGTTGCCCTAGCACGCTTAGGGAGCAGTAAAGGTGCCCTAAGACTGCCCGACCGCGAAGCTACCCGAACGGTCTGGACCCGGGGTTCGTGGCACCAGATAACCTGTGCAGCGTTTGCAGCTTCCCTCCGCTTTCCCCACTCCAACCTTGTCCATATTGAGGACCCGAGACTCATCCCCACACTCACAGGACGCTATCTCGCCCGAAACGGACACTGGGCTATAGTGTATGAAGTAGCATACGGCCTGAGCAATCATAATAACACCCAGTTCCGCAGCACTCTGGCATGTGCGTCGTTCACGACTGCTCCCTGATTCAAGCATCCAAGCAACACAATGTCTGGCTTCGCATATGCCTTTTCTTTGTCCAAAGAGGCTGTGAAGACCGCGACACCGCCAGGGACTGCAAAACTTATTGGTACCGCACTTCAGTGTCGACGGTGTCCGTAGATTCTTCACTGATGCATACTAGATCATGACTTGGTGAGGACAATCAGTGGCCATCATTCTCAAACTGTCGACCATATCCGACTCGTTCCCCAGCCGTCGCGAGATCCAGCAGATCCATTGAACTGGTCAAAATGGCGCAAAGTAGCAACACTGTTCTGCGTTTCGCTATACCCATTCGTTGCCAATATCACCTCGGCGTCCTTAGCCAGTGCATTGCCGTTCTTGGCCGCTGAGTTCATGCCTCCCATTCCACCTCCGGACCTTGGGCACTTGATTGCTGTAAGGCACATCAGGTCGTTGTGAAGGCTCACTCGACTGACATATCGGCAGGTCAATGTGTTGATGTTCGGTGGTGCTAACATCTGGTGGGTGCCCATGGCCAATATTTTCGGAAGGAGACCTGTTATCCTACTCAGCCTTTTGATTTTGACGGTGTGCTCCGTATGGGCGGCCAAAGCAACGACGTACAACAGCTTACTCGCAGCCCGGATCTTCCAGGGCATCGGCGGCGCCGCTTCCGACACCCTGTGCCCAAACGCTGTTGGGGAGATCTTCTTCCGCCACCAGAGAGGCCGCGCTATGGTACGTACCTACGTCCACCAATAACGCCACAATTCCTATGCCTAACTTCTCTAGGCCATTTACACAGTCTTCCTCGCTCTGGGTCCCATTATCGGTGGCATTGTCGGAAGCTACATTGCGGCAGCTCACGGGTGGCGTTGGTCGCAATGGCTGAACGTTATCCTCTCGGCCTTCACCTTGGTCTGCTGTGCTTTATTGCAGGCTGAGACTCTCTTCGACCGAAACGCCGCTATTGCCGGAGTTACAGAACGTCGCAATACTCATGAAGACCCTGAAGGACACCTACACTTCGAGAAGCAGAATGATGTACGCCAGGAACAAGTGGAGCCACATACCGGGCATACCTACCAGTCTTTCTCATTCGACCAATCGCTCCGCGTGGGAATGTATCGCGGAAATGTCGTCAAGGAGTTCTTGGCTCCGTGGTTGACACTGAGACTGCCCGCCGTCTGGGTGGTAATGCTGCATTATGGCGGTCTTGTGGGTGGCATTGTCACAATCTCCACGATCGGACCGCAACTTGTTAGCATGCCACCATACGACTGGGGTAAGAATGCTGGCTTGATTAATGTTGGAGGTCTGATCGGAACGGTGCTCGGTGCAGCTTTCACGTACCTCATCGCGGACCGCTTGACCAAACGTCAAGCACAACATGAAGAACACGGCCTAAGCGAACCAGAGTCACGACTGCCAGCCCTCATGCCTGGTCTGTTTCTGGCGGTGACAGGACTCTGGATGTTTGGCTTCTGCGCCGCAAACCCGTCGCATGCCGCATGGGTTGGGCTAGAAGTCGGTTATGGGATGCTCACCTTTGGGCTGATGCAAGTTCCCTCCATCGACTTCAACTACGTGAGCACAAATCAAGGTCGAACGTCGATAACTCGGCTGACTTGCGCATCTAGATAATCGAAGCTTATCCTGCGCTAAGCGGCGACTGCTTTGTTATGATCACCTGCCTACGTGCAGTCATTGGCTTCGCCTGGACGTTCTTCGTTGGAGAGTGGATCCAAAAGGCAGGTCCTGCCGAGCCGTTTGGGATCTTCGGGATGCTACTCGGTGTCTTTGCCCTGCTCACCGTGCCGCTCTACCTTTATGGCAAGCGCGTAAGGATTGCAACAAAGAAGTGGGCACTGGGGCCAGAGCATCATTGATCAATTACGATGTTCAATCGGCATCGCTCACCTCGCACCAAAGAACATAGCTTCGGCAATGTGCAATACTCTACGCTCCCTGGTCCTCTCATCAATTGCTTCAAGGGGCATGGACGGCCACCGCCTCTGAAGGAGGCTAAGTCGCCATTGTTGGTGTCTGCCCACCTGCGCGAGATACTGCTTGACTCTGCACTAGGTGCTTCTTCTTCTCGATCAGATCCCGCTTGCGCAATGGCGAGCCAGTGTACTCGAGCGTAGCTACATGCAAAGCAGCTATAACCTCATCCACTTCAAGTCGCTGTCGTTCGTCGTCCGATCCCATCTGTTATAGTCACAACACGCTATCAGGATAGTGCATTGCCCGGCTGCCACAGGCTTACATGAGTTGTAGAATAGGCATGAAGTTGCCCCACACCCCTCCATGTTCTGTACGTCTTAACTCCGCAATCGCCGCTGGAAGAAGCGAGTATTATATCGCGTGGTATCTTCATTCCTTTGTTCACTTCTCGTACTCTTATGCTCACAAGACTGTACCGTTTCGTTGATCCCACGGCTCGATCATTCAGACGCGCGTTCACTTCCACGACAACAGCCAAGATGCCGCTTCTCACAGGCACCGGGAAACCGAGGGTCATCCTCGGCACAATGACCTTGTAAGTCTTACTCTTATGCCAACATCCGCCGGAATATACCCTCATATCTGTGTAGCGGCCCCGACCCAGCGGCAGGCGCGCGCATAACCGACATCTCCGCCTATAATAGCATTCTCGACAGCTTCCAAGCATCCGGGTACAACGAGATCGACACCGCCCGCGTCTACGTCGGCGGCGCGCAGGAAGCCTTCACCCGCGAGGCCAAATGGAAGGAGCGCGGACTGACCTGCGCAACGAAATGGTATCCCAACGAGCCGCACGCCCACTCCGCCGAGAAGATCGAGGAGGTGCTCGAGAAGAGCTTGAGCGAGCTCGGGACGGATTGCGTGGATATCTTTTACCTCCACGCAGCGGACAGGACGTTACCATTTGACGTACCATTGCGGAAACTGGACGAGTTACACAAGAAGGGCAAATTTGTGCAGCTTGGTCTCAGCAATTTCGCCGCCTTCGAGGTGGCGGAGGTGGTGATGCTGTGCAAGATGCACAACTGGGTGCGCCCGACGATCTGGCAGGGGATGTATAATGCCATTACCCGCTCCATCGAGCCCGAGCTTATTCCCGCGTGTCGGAGGTATGGACTTGATATCGTGGTGTACAATCCTATTGCGGGTGGGCTGTTCAGTGGGAAGTACAGTTCTAAAGACCTGACGGAGACGCCGAAGGAGGGGAGGTACTCCGATACCAGCGCGAGACAGGGGATGATGTACCGGAAACGGTATTTTAAGGATGCCACGTTTGCGGCGCTGGAGATTATTCAGCCGGTGGTGGAGAAGAATGGGTTGACGATGCTGGAGACGGCGTTTAGATGGCTGACGCATCATAGTCAGTTGAACATTAAGGATGGTGGGAATGATGGGGTTATCATTGGCGTGTCGAGTCAGCAGCAGTTGGAGCAGAATTTGAAGGATCTGGAGAAGGGACCGTTGCCGGAGGAGGTGTTAAAGGCTTTGGACGAGGCGTGGTTGGTTGCGAAGCCAACGACGGCGAATTATTGGCATGGCGAGATTGATTATAAGTATGATACGCGCGAGGCGCTAGAGTTGAATAAATGAGCTTGCGTATGCAATGATGTTGGTGATGAGAAGGTGTCGAACTCTGTGCCTCACCAGTCGCATGCGTGGGCTAGGAGCTCTGCTAAAGCTTCCAGGTGTTGCTGGTCTTCGGCGTCGAAGCCATTTTCGACGGCGCAGTCGAGGTCGATGACACCTACGACCTACCCCAAGCCATTAGCAGAATCGCATAGACTATCTGTTCGGAACAGCATGCTTGCATACTCACCTTCCCACTCTTGACTATGGGCACGACAATCTCACTCCGACTCTCAGAATCGCAAGCAATATGACCCGGATACGCCTCCACATCCGGAACAAGCTGAGTAGTGGCAGTCTTAGCGGCGGTGCCACAGACTCCACGTCCGAATGCGCACGTTTGGCAGGCTACCTTGCCATGGAAAGGGCCCAAGATGAGCTGATTGGGTACTTTTGGGTCGAGCACGTAGAAGCCGGCCCAGTTTGTTTGTTTGCTGGGTGACGGTAAAGCGTGGAGCGCATGCCAGAGGAGAGAAGCGGTGTTCGCTGTGTTGCATACCCAGTTAGGTTGGCCTTCGAAGAGTGAGGCGGCTTGGGCGAGGACTTGGTTGTAGGCTTCCGATTTGCTGAGGTTGGAGGCGAAGTTGCTGGAGTCGGCGTGTACCTAACGTTGGTTCTGGTTATTGTCGCAAGTGACATCTATCATATCGGTAGAAGCTACCATGATGGGCCGAAACCGCTAATGTTGATGATGTCGCTGCTTCGTCGTTCTCATCGGATGATGTAGATTCAAGAGCGCCAGGTACATATACAGGACATCACAATACCCGCGTTCAGCATCGAGCTTCGAGAGGATTAATCAACATCGACAACCTAGCTAATGGGATGGGAGTGGGACGCCTAGACAGAAGTACATGTAGGCAGAGAACAGCGTTCGTAAAGCCACAGCCTCTGGCCAATGCTGCTTCAACGGAGCTCTCTCCGGGCGAGATGCTCGGTCTGCCGAAGTCGCTTGGCTCGCTATGCGAAGCATCGGAGTTACGTTTTTGAATGGACCGTCTGTCACGCTCGATCTGCGACGCCGACCTCGACGGCAGTCACTTAAGGTCAATTACCCCGTCTGACTGTGGCTCGGCTCCGAGGAGACGGATCGTTATTCGCCCGCCCGCTGCATACTGTAGCTGCGTGCGTACGAAGAAGTGGGTCTTCGACCTTGCAGGTGGACAGGTGAGCTCTCATATAGCTCGAATAATAAACACATTACCCCGTCCACCTCAAGTTTCTTCCACCAGAAAACTACTGCTCAGTCATAGTCAACATGTCGCTCAAGCAGTGCTGCGCTTCCGGCTCGCTGCACAGCGGTACGGCGACCGGCCGTATGGAGAAGGTGCATGGTCTCGATACCTATATTGCTGATGCGCCGAACGGCCAACCGACAGGAGTCATTGTAATCATTCCTGATGCCTTTGGCATAGCCCTCCCAAACAACAAAATCCTCGCAGATGTAGGAGATGCTCAATGCCGGCACCTATGTCCGTCTAACATTGACTGCTACTAGGCGTACGCAAAGAAGACCAATGCTCTGGTCTACTTACCCGACTTCATGGCTGGTGAGGCATCCGGGCTACCTGTACTTCACCCCTGACATGCTGACCATTGAAGGCTACGTCTTGCCGGCCGACGTCCTGATTTCGTTCAAAGCACTCGGTGCCACGGGATGGTGGAATCAGCTGTACAAGATCTACCACTTCTTCTACCTGTTCCCGAACTTCATGGGGTTTATGTACTACTGCCGACAATCCGTCACGGAGCCTCGGATCATGAAGTTCTTCAAGGACCTTAAGCAGCACGAAGCGAAGAATCTGCCCGTCGGTACTGCTGGTTTCTGCTGGGGCGCGCAATATGTCACCAAGCTCTGCTGGGACCAGGAGAAGGTTGACGGTGGCAAACGCCTGGTCGACTGTGGCTTTGTCGCGCATCCTTCGATGTTGAAGTACCCTGGTGACATCGACATGATCGTGCTGCCATACTCGTGTGCCGCCGCAGAGATCGACCCGCAGATGTCGGCAGAGAATGCTAAGCAGACTAAGGACATTCTGATGGCGAAGACGGCCAAGACGAAGGACTCGGGCGTCGAGCATGAATTCGTGATGTACGATGGTGCGCATCACGGCTTCGCAGTGCGCGCGGATGAGGATGAGAAGCACGAGGCGGAGCAAGGAAAGAAGGCTGAGGATCAAGCTGTCAATTGGTTCAAGCGGTGGTTCGCTAAGCCGCCGCCGCTCGCTCAGATATAGCGTATGAGGTGCAGGAATTACATTCAGTCATCGCAAAGAGATTTGACGGAGGAAGCGAGCATATCACTTTATACGGGCATATGGTGTAATAATCAGAGTCAAGACGAAGTCCGTTGATTCAGCATGCGTTGCCGCCATGATTCGAGCCTATGCTGCACTAGTTCGTCCAGGTGTGGCTTCGCGGGTGGATGAGAACAAGGTCTGGTTGTTGCTTTCTGAATGGCAAGCCAGCTGCTTCGTGCTCTCCTGCAGTATTCGCCTCTGAGGTATGTCAGAATCCGTTCCGCTCCGTACCTACTGTACAGTCACCGTATTAGTAATCGGCAAGCGTATGGCGTGCTTGTCGGGCGCGCCTTTGGCGTCGGATATAGGTCTGTATAAACCGCTCCGTCTTCTGACTCACCCTGTTAGGCGTGTGCATATTTATCGATGTGCAGACTGCGCGATCACTCGCTCCCAAGCAAGGACGATCCGTATCTCACAATGCCGCCAGCCGACAACATTGCAACAATCTGGGCTTACTACCCGTCATCAGGACAGATCAAAATCCCACCAACGTCAACCGGGAGCACTGTTGGGACAAGGAGTGCGCAACCTACGGCGAAGGCGTAGGGATGACGACTTGTTGTCACGAAGAGGAACAGAGGTTGCAATTGTCACCCACGACGTGCGGTCTCCATGACTTTGCTCGCCTCCCTGGCTCCCTTCCATGTTAGACCTGCTTTGGACTGCAATCACCAACAACGACAGCTCTCAACTCTGACATTTTCAACAATCAAACGCTCTGGCAGATCTTCGGCACTGCAACGCACGCAGGTTGTACCGATTAAGCCGTTTATTATCGATCCCGCTGACCGGGCCGTGGATGTGGATGGCGTCCGAATTCTCTCAAACAACCGTAACGGCGCAAAGCGAGAGCTGAACGTCGGAGACGGAACACTCATGCCATGAATGCGGTATATGCGACTCTCGACTTGTATGGCTCTGACATGGCTTCATCTATCACAGCTTAGCTCGCTGCTCATCTCTCAATGAAAGACCGGTAATCTTCTCCAGCTCCAGCACCGCTTTATCTGCCCTTCCAAGCTGCACCTTGATCGTGTTCATCCCCAGCTTCCGTGCGGTACGAAGATTCGTCCCGATGTCATCCAGAAACGTTATGTCCTCGACTCGCACACCGTCTCCGCCATATTTAAGCTTGACGAACTCATGCAGCCTCGTGATCGCATATCGGTAGATGTCCTCGTCCGGTTTACGCATTCCGACGTGCGCGGACGACACGAAGATGTCAAACAGACCTTTCAACTCCTTGTTCGTCTTGCCCGCCTGTGTTGTCTCATCGTTGAATGGATGCCCAGGCGGGAAGATGGATGTGTTACTCAATGCACCAATAATCAGCCGCCCATTGCTTTTGTCCGCAGCAGCGCGCAGCTTCTTCAATGCCGGATACATGAAGGGATCCGGCTCCCGCGCCATGCTCATCATTGTCCAATACATCTTCTCCGCGTCAATGTCCGGCACTGGTGGCACGTTGTATGCTGCTTCCTCTGCCCCATCGCTCAGCTTCTCTTTGCGTGTCGCGGCAAAATAGCGAGCGTAGTAGGTGCGCCATCGCGACTCATTGCTGAGGTCGGTCTTAAACTCGCGGAAGAAGTCGGCGTCAAGCAGAATCTCGCCGCGCTCAAGCTTCTGCCAGGAACCGTTGGGGTTGGTGGCGGAGATGCTGTAGTTGACCCAGCCTGGAGGGATGCCGCAGGCCTTCTCGTAGTCGAGGATCGCTTGGAAGGGCGACACGACCTGGAGGGATCAGTCTCGGGCTCATGGTCACGAGGGACAATCAAATCGTACACAGACACCCCCGATATCAAACAACAGCACTGTCGGCCTACTAGTAGACTTTCGTTCAGGCATGTAGAGAGTTGTACCGAATAGAATGTACGATTTATTGTTCTTCGTCCAGACAGACGGGCGCATCACTTTATCATCCCGCAGGAATAGGCTTCACTCGACCGCGACGGTGGAAGAGCCAGAAGTATTTGGCCTTCACAATAGACTCGGTTGCCAATACCAGCTCACTCATCACTGAATCTGTTCGCGAGAGTGCATGCTTGTTGTAGAGGCCAAGCGGGCAAAGAATAACCGATCTGGACCGAGGCTTACTGATCGTTGCACGTGATGAACAAGGAGTACCATTGTCATAGCAGGCTTGGCAGTGCACGGTGTACAACAGCCTACTTATGCTCTCTCACCTCGTACGAAGCATTCGACCTCATGCCCTAGATAACGTCCCAGCTTAGATGCTTGATTGGTCGACAGGCGCTCCCCTTCGATAGACCGGGCTGTATCCCACAAAGTACGCCCTGCATCATTCGCCGCCATATCTGCTCGCGCACGCTCAAGCCGCTGTTCCCTCTGCAATCCGTGGTTGATCCGTTCAGCGAGATGTCTGAGCTTTTCAGCGCGTTGTCGCATTGCCTCTTTATACGCATGGCGACGTCTGATGTTGGCGAAGGTTTTCTCGTGCTTGCCAACCTGGACCCGGCGACAGCTCCATGCTATCCCAGGCCTTTCGGCTACGTCTGTAAGTGCGTGTCCTCTTGCTCCATCTTTCGACCAACCTGGTTCTGCGATTGGTGGCGAGCTGTCACGCCTAGGTGTTGTCCTGAGCATCCTGAGCATCCTGGCCCGGCGACTGCGCCATATTTCGGGCCATTGCGCCTCTTGCATAGCGCTCGCTGGGCCGTATGGCGACAAGTCTGATCGACTTGCTTTCGTGTAGTTCTGCAATGCGCTGGCTCGAATGCGCCCATCAGGTGTGGCTTCGACCTTCTTTCTGCACCCTGGTACCTCTGTCTCAATCCTTGCGCGACCCTCATCCCACCTTCTCAGCGACGGTAGATATTCTGCAGTGGAAGCTGGACGACGATTAACCCTCTTCCACCAATTGGAAACTGTGCGCTCGATGGATGGTAAACGGCTCACTAGCCGGATGCGTGGTGCGGTGTTGTCCGATACCGGGACGTCCTTGACATCGTGCAGCAGTAGCTTCGGCATCGCTGCATGTTCTCTGTCTTTTACTGTGTGGACGCGGCGGGGACGAGTGGTTTTAATAAACTCGGATACGTTACCCTTAGTATCTGAATCAGGCGAGCCGGTGTTGCTTTCCACCTTGTTTGACAGCTTTACAGTTTGGAAGACACTGACTGCTTTCCCTTCGCTCCTGAGCTTCCGCAACTTCAAAGGAGGGTTCGGCGCGATTAGGGCCGACTTTGCAGGCCGTCGTGCTGCTCGCCGTACCGCTGATGCAGGTTGGAGACGAGCTGCAGCTTGTTCGCTGGTCCTTCGGATCGCGGAGGATGGAGTGTTGCTTGATACAGCTGGCTTGGCCATTGAGAGGCTAGGGTCTCTCACAGCGCGTTCTTTGCACTCTGAACTTCTAGGATGGCGAGGTGCGTACTTCAAAGTCGCCACTTGATCTGATGTCTTAGAATTTGGGTGACCCAGTTGCGTTCTGCTCAAGCGCTGTTCTTCTGCGGTAGACTGGCTTTGGTGAATAGCAAGCGGCTTCACGTCAAACACTACCAGGGATGGAGATTCATGTGTTCGCACAAGCGGCCTAAGGGCTTCTCGCATGGCTTCGTTATGCGGCTGTTCATGGGACGCGTTCGACCGGTAGATGCGGACAAGCGGCCTTTGATCTCCCAGCCTGGCACCGCTGTCCCGCCGATCACGGATCGTGTTGATCCGTGGGCTGGGTTCCCTTGCTCCCTCCGCAGAGGGTGGCGTGTCGTCGAGAGGCACTTCCAGTGAGTGTAAGCGATCTTTGCTTTCAACCGACCGTTTGGTAAGGTATCCGTCAACGGTTAGTCACCCCTTCGGCACTCTGTCATGCTCGGCCGCGTCGGAAATGTTCGCTGCATCGCCAGAATGCGAGCCAGCTGTAGTGCTGTACCGCGCTTTAATGCCGAAATCATAGACCCTCTCATTGCCGCCATGCCGGCTGCGCGTGGTCTCGGTACTGTACATGGGAACGACCCGCCGGAAGTTCACGTGACGGCTGTTCTCTGGCCCCTTTTCATGACCGCTAACCTTCGGCGTCGCTCTTTCTGAGGTTGCCGCCTTTTCGAAGTAGTCGTCTTGTCGGCGCTGTCCCGCCTGCATGCGCCTTTCGCTTGCACTAGTCCGGTTGTGCTTGTCGGCTTCGGCCTCGGTTGCCCAGATGTAGCTAAATGGGACATCAAACTTTGTCTGAGACTGCAGCCGAGCGTCTTTCGTAATCCTCAATGCAAGGCCGCCCTCGGAAAGTGCGCCGAAGATGTTGGGGCGATGTATGAGGTCGGGCAGACTTGTGGGCTCAACATCATCCGCATTTTTGTTGGCAGTGTTGGAGCCATAATCAACGGTTGATGGTATTGCTCCAAAAACGGCCGCAAGGTCACTCTTGTTGATGAAGTCCCACGATTTAGCGTGGGACAAGCGGCTCTGAGCGTCCTCATGCTCACCAAGCAAGAACATGACATGCTCGCCCTCCTTCACAACTTCGCCCAGAGCTTGCCTTTGCTGCTCTTGAACTCCCTCCGCGCTCTCATCATCAAAGTCGAAATGCCACCCCTCCTCAGCTCGAAGCTCCCGGCTGCTGTATGCGGCATCAGGATCCAGACTTAAAAGTCCTGCTTTCTTGCCCCATCCACCGCCACCTGACAGCACTCGATGAAGTCGGGCACCATTACGCAAGAGGCGCAATATCGCACCGTTAAGCGAGAGCCGTACAGGGTGCTTAGAGGACGTCCACGTTTCGGGGACTTCTTCGGCGGCCAGATCGCGCAAACGTCTGACCACATGGTTTTCTTGTCTGAGACGGGTCCATCGTTTTGCTTCATCTGGGATGATCAGAGCCCAAACGCTGACTGCTCGAGGGGCCACATTGAGAGACTTGAAGTAGCTTGTGACAGCAGTCTCGAGCTCCTGAGACGCGGGCTGAGTGTCCGTGGACGTTGCCGAAGTTTGTAAGCTCTGCTCTCGTGATGTGGCAGACGACAAGGTGCGGATGATGTTACCCATAAAATTGCGTATCACCCGAAAAGGTGTCAGCGGAACTAGAGGGGCTAGCACTGATACCGCACCATAGTCTGCAGTCAGCGGAAGACGAAGTGTCTGCGCTTCAAGACGCTGTACTCGGTCCGCAAGGTAGCCATTTTCGGGAGAGAAACTGTACTTTGTATGAACAAGTGTGGAGACCAGGCCAGTTGTGAAGACGGTGTGTGCGAGGGGTAACTGAACGGTATAATCCCATGGTCGGCCCTTGTTTGGCGGCATCTCGAAGCTCAACGAGCCCGGCTTCAGTGTCTTTGGGTTAAGGTTTGATCGCGCAACAACAGACAGCGGCGCAGCATTGCGCAGTAACATGTAGGCTATGCCCTCCTTTCCAGCACGAGCATCGATACCTGCTGGCAAGCGGTCCACGACGGCAGACAATACATCTAAGGGTCCGGGTGGCGATTGAGCATCGGCTGCGCTCAGGTGCTTCAGTAAGGCCAAAGATGCATCAGTCCGCAATGCATATGAGGCGTATGTGGGTGTAAGGAGAATCGTAAGCAACGCAGTGCCGATGGTAGAGGTTCGGATGCTGCTACTGTGCGGCTTTGGTATGACACTAAGGAGATGCTCAAAGCTTGTATTGGACGCATCATTGGTCGTTATAATGCCTGTCAGGGGGCGCGTCGGCCTTGACCCTGCTGCTCTGTCGGGTTTCGTGCCGTCGCGTGACAATACATCATTCCCATTTGCGCTGGCGGAAGTCTGCCATCGCTTGGCGGACACGACGAGTCGCTGACGATAGACCGTTCGTGCATATGGTCTACCCCATGCTTGCCCATGCCATCGTGTCCTTGTAAGCATCGAGGCACCTGCGAGCGATCTTAAAGGAAGGTGGTGCGTGGGTTCGAAGTGTGGATTGCAGAGCATGAATTCATGTCGCTGGAGGTTCGGCGTCTCGGATGATCTAGCCGAGGCCGAGATGCTGACATAGATGAACCTTAACCTGGCCCAGCCTCGAACCTCAGCTGCGCGACATGGAGCGTTGAATGTGTGTGCGGATACATAGTGCGGACTTATATTCTGGACTTTGCAGATACTCTAAGACACCTATTTCGTCAGACTCCATCATGTAGATAAGCTAATAAAATCAGATAGAAAAAGGCTTGGACATCCGAATGCTCACTGCACGTGACAGCGTCCATTTCCGCATCGAACGAACATCATAGCCTTATGACACATATGGCGATCGCACAACGCTGTGTATATGACCGCAAGCCGTCCTCGGCTCAGCGCCGAATGGCCAATCCTTCAACAAATGCCACCCGAACAATGAGTAGCGGCGCGCATGCACCAGCCACACTTCTGCATGGCTGCCCAGTTTCTCAAGCTTCCCCTTGGCTCCGCGAAACCTTGTTCAGACATCATCCTCAAGAGCAACGAAGTAGTTGCACAGCACAGCGCTCATCTTTGTCGTAGAGGCTACGCCTTCGGAAGGCTTGCTGCAGGGCCATGCTCAAACGCAATCAGGCAATTCTTGCTCCATCTCCGGAGGCTATATGGCTCAGATGGCTTCCATCACGACCGGGGTCGTCAGCGCCTATCTGAACGTCATTCGAGGCGCCCGCCGCTCTAACAATGGTGGTAACTTGTTGGGAAAAGTCCAGGCAAGAGCTTTCGCCACCCTGACACCGCTTCGCATGGCGTACAGGCCTCGCGACGGCGACATATGCGAGGAAGACTGCAGCTGGACACGTATTCAGTAAGATTGCGGGCTCACAAGTTCGAGATGTAGAGCTACCAAGTCCTTGAAATGCCCAGAGAACAAGGGTATGGTATTACCGTTCGCTGAAACTGGGAGCCGGTGTTGGCAATTAGTGCTGCGCACTCTGCTGCCGCTCACCACCTATATTTTACGGTCTGTGCGGTTGGTACTTCGACTTGTAAGCCTCCTTAGCAGTGCTGGTCTTCGTCACAGCGCATTTCGCTAACTTGGCCGCTATCGGCTCGAAACGCTACTGTGTTTGAGAGGGAGCCCAGTGGTGTACTCGAGACTGTTATGATTGTCCACTTTGTAGCACCTCATACCAAAACCGAGTCAGCGTATGGAACAGAGTACCACCTGTATCGGTCCCTTTGCGCACGCGAGAGTACTGTTGGCTAAGTTCACTTTGTGAACGTTGAAACTCGCTGCCATCGCTGCACAGGCGCAGAATCGTTACACAAGGGCGGCTTCGGAGCGGATGTCGGATGGAATGGTGCGCAGGAGCATCGTCAAACTTTGCCGTTTTGGCGCTTAGCGACCACGGATTCTTCCTACCAACACCGGCAATTTCGTGGTCGCTCTGTGATCCTGACGTGCCATGAACATCGGCACTGCACTCTTCCGCCTTTGAGTGGCCGAAGCCGTGGAACGGGACATTCTTTGCAGGTATCATCAGCCTGCTGATTCGAGCATCGCTGGATGCTACGGACTTAGCTCAACCAACCAATTGAGTTGTTGCGCAGCAGAGTGGCTGTGTTGTTTTTGAACATTGTGATGTTTACCACGCCAAAAGGACGAATCACAAGCGAGCTCTTGCCGCTTCGCGAAATCTGGGCGCCTTTGCAGCATAGAACAGGTAAAAACACTTGATAAGCCCTATGAAATTTGCAAGTAAGGTTTCCGCTAAGCGTGGATACAAGTGACGGAGAGATAGCGTAGTGATGCTAACAAGAAGAACAAGACGATGGGATCGTGTTCGATCTTTCGCAGCAATGAAAGCAAAGCAGGCGTGTCAGTCTCGCCCGACTTCGCAAGCGTGGTAAAGCCTAGCCCGCGCTATGCAAGGCAAACGTCAACGCCATACGAGGCAAACGTCAATTTGGGAGTCCCTACGGCATAACCGAACAGCGTACGAAATCCAGCCACGTCGTACCGAAACACCCGTCGGACGATGTGCCCATGGGCTCGGCCCACTACGTGTGGAAGGTTCTGCAGATTCTTAGCCGTTACCAGACAGTGCTTGGTGGCCTCGGCCTCGATAGGCACGGTACATGACATGCTTGGACTATAGACAACGCAAGTCTACTGGACGATCAAGTGATTCGGCTTACGTCCCGCGTGGTAAGAATGGTACGGAAGTCTGGGCAGGGCATTGCAGATCGGCTGCAATTCCATCTCCTTCACCAAGGTTCGTTCGTCTCTTTCTAACACCTATACCTCTCTTAGCACTCGCATCTCCCCAGTGGCTGGATGCTCTTGGCATCGAGATCGCGTGGGCATGTCAATAAGTACCAGACGGAATGCCACTTCTGCATTATTGCCAGAGGTGATCTGGCGGCACGCACAATGTCTCGTCACAACAAACTCGTGGTGTACATTATTGCGCATCCGTCGCGGGTGCCCAATCAACGAGCTTCAATGAGCGTTTTGAACGTGATCTGTTGTCAGGTATTCTTCGCGATGTGATTATCAGGCGTAGTCATGCTCGGCGGCCAGCAGGGTGAGAAACTTCAGTTCGGGTATCGCTGACAGCCGTTTTGCCTTGAAACTCTCTATATCTCGTGCGTAATCTCTCCATTGTGACCTCTGCGTTGCGATTCAGGCCACTATTCACCTTAAGGCCAGTAGCAGCATTTACTGGGTGAGCAACTGTGCGGCTCCATATTGCACCGGGTCGTCTCCTACGTTCCGACCCTGCGGAACAGCCTGCAAGGCTTGCCATTAACCGTATCGTAACTCAGCTGCCAGCACAAACACCGGCTGCGAAGGCGCGACTAGATCGTGCATCCCTCCTCGAATGCACGGCTCTGGTCTATCATATAGCTTGCGAGCGGCATGACTTGGGCAACCAGAGCGACGCGACAAGTAAGAATCCCCTATTCCATCGACGATCGCGAGATCAGCGTTGATGCTGTAGAATTGCCAAATCTATTCACTAGCGGGCCAAATTGTGTCTACGCTGCGGTTCCGACGTTTCCCTGCGAATCGTCCTCGAGTACTCACCGCCATGTTGGCACATCTGGCGCGTGGCAGACATGCTCTTGTCATGGACAGTGCGACTGCGGCTCAGGATATGCTCCTCAAACATTGCCTTTTCTCCACTTATGGGCATACTGATCTTAGCATTGATCATGGAGCCGCTATTGCATCAAATGCGCACTTGTCGCGAAAGTCATATGACATGACACCGATTACTGACTTGACAACTTTCGTGCTTGTAAAGAGCCACACGCGAACGGTACGACCCTTCAACGAGTGATCCAAATGGGAGTGATAAAAACTTTTCGCTGTCAATTACATCGTCTATGCTCACGCAGATTGCACCGTCCAGCATCCCAAGTGGATTGCTACGACTCTGATGGTTTAACGAGGCGTGACTATTGGCTGCCCTTCAGAACGAGACTCGGCACAGCGCCCTTGGTTCTAGTCCATCATGGCCCATAGTTTGGCAAACTAGCGCGCCCAGGCTGAGGCTTGAGCATGTAGCGATTGCTGTAGCGTATGCTGTAGCGTATGCACGTACACGCACCTATCACGGCCGCAGACGATTGTGCTTGGGCAAGGTGGTGAAGCAAAGACGTGTGCTGTTCCAGATATGGTTATCTCTCCACAGCAGCCACATATGACTTCGGTAGACTTGAGCTGTGCCAATCCGATGAAGTTCGAATAGAATATTGTAAATGACGCGAACTCGGGCCGGGCAGCGGCTGCTCGCAGCCGTCAACCGTACACTACAGAAACCTTACGGGTAATGGCATAAGCACGCATTGCAACCTGGTTGTTCGTGCCGAGAAAACGAAAATTCTGGCTAATCTCATGTACACGTGCTATCACAATTCATCCTATCAAAATCGCTCCGACTCATAAGCCGAGTGACTCTGAAAACCGAAGTCGCTGTCCCACTCACTAGATTGATGACAGTTGAGTGCACGCTCAGTGAGATCCGATGTGCCTAATCCCGGCGGTTGTCGCTTTCAGTGTGAAGGCACCAATCACTCTGCAACAGAGGCTGAGGCCTTCAGTCGAAACGCGCACAAGCGCGCTGACGTCCACGCGGATGGCGACTCATCGACGACTTGTTCAAAAGTTTGAGGTGCCCCTTCTTGAGATGGTGCGGAGTGTTAGGACTGAAATGGAAGGAACGGAGCCTGGTTGCAAGGGTGAAGCATCTCCGTCGAAGTAGAATGTGTCGTCGTGAATGGTGAAAGGGGCTCGTATGAAGCACCACTTGTAGTGGAGAATCTTGGCCGTTCACATAGCGGCCGTGGAGCGGTATGTGGAGAGGCGTTGCTTGTCCAGCTCATGTTCTGTCCGATTGCAGAAGCCACCTGGCCACCGTCGCTGATCAATGCGTGAGGATCGCCATGTAAGCCTTCAGTGCTGGCACAGCTGTTAATGTATCGTTGTGTGTTAACAACGCGGTCCGTTAGCAGAGTCTGAGATGGTCCGCTCATAGCCGTTTGCCTTTGCTCGAGACTTAACCATGAGGCCCCATAGGACGCCATTTGGTGCATCCCTTCTTGATGGTATATCGGAGTCGTTTCTATCGAGGGCTGGGTACGATTTATGATTTGGCAGAGGTAATCGCAAAGGTCTTCCGCGTTACCAGGACCCTCGAGCCTCTCAACGAGCTCATGGACTGATGAGTTCTGCAAGACTATCTTTACTCTACCCCGCAGAGAAACGGGGACAAGATGACGCGTATTTTGCCAGAGGGCACTTAAACGCTCCTGTCGAAGCAAGTTCTGGATCTGATAGCGTCGGTTCCAAGTTTCCCGACTAGCACCCTGCTCGAAGTGCATACTTAGGTGCTTGAGGAACGGTCCGAGGTCTTCGATGCTAGTAATGTCTTGGTGATGATCAGGGCAGAAGCCGCAACCAAGTGCTGCTTTGCCAGGCACCTCTTCGAACGCAGCGTCGGCGTGCTCGCATTTTCCAACGCTACAGTGATGCTTGCGCACATGGTGCTTCTTGTAATGATCACATCGTGTGAAAGATTGCCCGCAGTCCGAGCATCGCCAGTGACGTAAGACAACGCATTGCTCCTTGACGTGTCGAAACATTTCATTCTGCCCTCTGAAGCCCTTCCAACAGACGAGACAGGCGTGACGCCCCGGTTGCGGCTCAGTGACAGATACCTTGTCGAAGCCTGGTTCGTGCTCAGCAAAGACTAATTCATCTTCTGGAGTCAATTTACATACGACAGACATCAGCACAGGGAAGGCTTACATCTTTTGGTTCCCTTGAGGAGAGTATCCAGGCCATCATGGATATCCGATTGAGAATATCCCGCACGAAATGCGCTTGACAGACACTCTTCCAGTGCTTTGCGAAAACCGAACGGTAAGGAGACGCGCTGTGGCCGGACGCTGTGCGATATACCGTCCGACATCGAGCTTACGGAGCGAGCAGGAACTGTTTCGCTGTATTCTGAGTTCTGAGGTTGCAGCGCATTGCCGTATGGTAATGGAAATGCAGATATATATACTCAATGGTACGCACAGAGAGTGAATTATGCGGTGGAGACCGGTGAACAGCCAGGGTAACCGATTTGATGGGTAGATCTTGGTAGGCCACCCTGGCTTGCAATGGGACTCTGGAAATGTCGCCCGGGTACCTACAGAAATGCAGGGGTATCGGCAATTGCGAATGTCATAAAGTCACGCCGACTCTTTGCCCGTTTGGAGTAGACCATCGAGCAAGTACCGTAATATTAGCGTATCAAGAGTACCGGGGATCGGGGAACTGACATCCTTGCCGCCGCCCACATGGCAATGAACTACAATCTGTGCCCTCGTCCCGAGCCTACTGGGCAAGCCGGGGTCGACTTGCATGGCGTCCACGGCAACGATGCAGGCGTTTTCTGCGTATGGGCGAGCCGCTGGTTCCAAAAAGCGCGTGTCGCACTCACAACACCGTAACCCGTGAAACCACTTGACGAAGAGCAATACAAATCAAGCTCGGAAATGCCCAGCCTCCAGAATCAAAGCATCGCCAACAAGGAGCGACCCAGAGATGCGTATTCCTGGCAAGCCTCAAGGTGCGCCATCAGAACGACATGGTTCAGAATCGCCTGGATAGGTGCCACGTATGCTCGATCCACGGAAAGGGACCGGCATGGGGAGTTGCGGTAAGTACGATATTTTGGCAGCTGCAAGGCGCTCCGAGTAATCCAGCTGTGGGTCTTGGGTTGGGGTATTTGCCCACTATCATCGCCATAGCAAGACTGGCCCAATCGCTCGGTACGGGGAGGCAAGTGTGACACGCACTATGTGCATGCGCACCCTTGTTTATGAAGCACGCCTGCGACAAGACTTAGGTCGTGTAGCCGAGTGGTTACATCACGGAGACATGTATGGTGGAGGCAGCGTCCGATGAAGGCTTACCGGTATCAAGCAATCAGGTGGACTCGCGAACCACACGCCAGACTTGAAGAGTCCACATGATCTCAATGTCGGTCGCGATGATGAACGCATGCCATTGGGGGAGATGTTTTCTCCTGGGCTGCATCAACAGCACTAATGGCGCGGTCGGAGCGTTCCGAACGCGTTACGCCCTAGTGGCGTCAACGAAAACAACCCCCCGATCATGGATGTTCATCGAGATAGTTTGAGTGCTTCTCATCTGCCCACACATTGCTAGAACCCAGTGGCATGGCTTGAGAACAACTTGTCGGTTACCGCCGAAGCTTCAAGCTCCTCAATGCAACTTACACAGGCAATGGGCTCGCGCACTTAGACCAAGAATAGTACCGTCTGGCTGAGGGCAAAGGGACATAAATTCAACAGGGCCAGGGGAAGTGGGCAAATCCGTTTGGATACAATGTTGCTGAATCTGGCCAGCCACCTGTGTTTTTGAAGGGCGCTCGACTCCTTATTACGAGCCCACTCACGCGCCTTGGCTACGTTAAGCGAATGTCAAGTCGGTGCAGTGGTACCATCTTTGCGTGCATACATCTTGGCGTGAAAAGGTCTAAGCGAAGCTTATCTCCTTTGTGTCATGCAAGGACATCGCAGATCCACACAATTGGCCAAGACAGTCGCCTCGTCTATACTGTATCTACCAGACCTTCCATATCCACGTTGCACGTCGACAGCACCGAGACTCCGACAGCGCCATGCCAGAAGATGCTCAATTGTTTCCCATACCTACTGCCACGATATCGGGCCGAGGATCACTCATTGTAGTGATAGACCTGCAAGAATTAGCGCGTAAGCTCAATCTGACGGACCAAACACATCGGCCTGAACGTACGAAATAGTTCGGCAAACCCGTCGCATGCCACCCAAGTCTTTGCGCCATCTTCGCAAAGCCTTCCGTCTCAATCAAATGGTAGAACGGGAAGGGTGGAAACATGGCACCGTCGCGGTGCACGTCTGCTTTCACCAGGAGCGCGGTCCCGCCGACACCGTCTAAATTCACCTCTCGGCGAGGATCGCCGTTAACGTCTGGCATACTGTCAGCGAACTATTACGACAGCCTCAGTGCTGAATCCAACACACCAGCCATGTACGCCATCAAACTCCGATAAGTAGCCATCTCCGCATATCCTTCCAACAGAATCTCATCAGGACCCATCTTATCTGCCAGACCCTGCGCAGTTGGCGAATCCTGCCAGCTATTAAAGTCATACGGCCGGACATCCATCGCCTCCTTGTCCTTGTTGTAGTACCGCTGGAAGCAGTTCGGAACGATGATCTCCTTATCATGACTCGCCAAATCCTGGATCAAGCCGGCCGGCGTCTCCACCACATCGCTGTCCAGCCACAGCACCCAACTTGTGGTGGGTCCTAACGTGGTGAACAGTAGTGCATTCCGCGCCTTTGACATGGCCGCACGGCGCTCCTTCTGCGCTGCAAGGGCATGTCGCTCTTTCTCATCCTGATGCACTGGCGGCTCCTCATCTTGGCGCAAGATGGTAATTGAAGCAAAGCGGTTCTTGTTGGTCGGAGCTTGCGTCTTCTGTATCCGCTCCTGCAATTGCTGTGTAGCAAGGTTTCCTTCTCGTCCTTTTGGAATGATAAAGCCGAGTGATATAAGCTCATGCGGATACGATAGCTTGCACAGGTTCTCCCAATACTCGTCGTAAAAGCGTGCCAGCGGTGTCAAGATCAGTATGCTTTCTCTATTGCCGACCGGATCGCTCGTAGTAGTCACGTTGTTCATATGATAGTGGACTACTGGCGGTGGAGGTGGCCTTTCTCCCTCTTGCAGCTTGCTGGGCTTCTTGAAGGGTAAAGATGGTGGAGACAGCTCGTTAGAGGCGGCATCTTTGCTCTTGAGCAGTTGTTTCGGCGCCGTTACTGTCTTCAAGGAAGGTATTTGACTGGTGTCGCCGAAAAAGAAGTAAAGGAAGAAGATGCACAGACAGCCGGCTAATAGGTAGGTGATGGTGTTGTTGCGGCGAAGGGTGCGGGCGACCGCCATGGCGGGCGGTGGGAGAGTGCTCTTCTATGCCAGTGATGTCCGTGAGTATACTGTCCTGTCCCGGCTACTGCCTTTCACTGGCCGTCTTACGCCCTGAGAAGTTGCGTACCTCTATGGTGACGGCGCGGGAAAAGCAGACATATGAGAAGCGTGCGTTCGTGCCCGGACTTTCCTCGTACCCTCACAATCGGAGGTTTGTCGCCGTATGCAGTCGCATGCGCTCGGCCGTTGTCCGCGCTGTACAAAAGCTGAGAAAAGTCGAGTTCTCGTCCGGTACGGAATCTGATACAGATCCCCTGGTTTCAGCGTTCCGCTTGACCTTGAAGATCTCCCGAGCCAAGCTTTCTATCCGCTGCCCTAGAAGCTTGGCTGGTAGAAGCTGCTATTTTGATCCTCCCAATCCGCGTTCCACAACTTCACCTTCTGCAACTGAGTTCAATTTCTAGCTACTTCCTCTACACGCTCAACACCCAACCCCCTTCGACCGCTACGTTAAGCACATCTGTAGCTGTCTGTGGGTATGCCAGGTAGGATACCCACGATCGGTGCCGTGCGCCATACTGCGATCTCAGCGTGAAGCTCCATCCTGCTTCAAGATGTCGCCGCTCTATCTGCTTCCCATCGTTCCGCATCTGTGCTCTCAATTATGGAGATAGACAAGAGTATTGTATCCGAACTTTGCTATCTTCTGTCATCCACATCATCCATTACGATAGCATCGTCCCTTTATACTGCTAAGCAGCGAAAGGCTCGGCTCTCATACCACCAGAATGGCAGCAGTCATACCTATTGTTGCAGTCCATATGGGAGGTACTGGCCAGCTCGAGAGTATGTCGTTGCTTGGCTTTGCGCGCCGCCATACTCGTGCTTGTCACCTTCCTAATCAGGGTAAGGCTGAGTATCCACGTACCTCGCGTTTCAAGCCACGGCCTTCGCATGTACAGTCCGGACCTGGCGCTCGACTGTGGTCCTGTTAACTAGTCTCGTGCTTCTAGCGATCAAAAGAAGTGAAACGGTCCCATTGCTTGTGATAGAGGCCTCATTTTCAACCCTGTCTCAATCTCAGCTTGCACCTCCATCAACCCGTGCCATCATGGACGGCAAGTATGAGGACTATGGCTATGACAGCCGGCCAGCGCAAAGTAGTGGGCGACCTGCACGATACGACGATGCAGATGTCTTTGGGCACGAGGAGGGTCATGATGTAGGCCACTCTCGCAAAGTCGACGGCTGAGCTATAGCTAATACACTGTAGATCAAATACAAGACATTATCATGGCAACTTGTCGCCATCCTCATGATCGCGGAGATCGTTAGCAACGGCATGCTGTCGCTTCCCTCCTCACTGGCCGTAGTTGGAATCGTGCCTGGCCTCATAATCATTGTCTTCCTCGGCGTCTTCGCAACGTACACTAGCTGGCTTCTCGTCCGGTTCAAGCTCCGCCACCCTGAAGTCCACAATATGGGCGATGCCGGCTACATTCTCATGGGACCTTTCGGTCGCGAGCTTCTCGCCTTCGGCACCGTCGTGTTCGCCGTCTTCGCTACTGGAGGTCAGCTGCTCGCTGGTCAGATTGCGCTTGCGAGCTTGAGCGATAACAGGCTGTGCCTAATGCTGTATACTGGTATCTTCGCTGTTCCAACGCTCATATGCTCGTTCCCACGCACTTTGGATGGCCTCGGCTGGATCAGCATACCCTCCGTCCTCTCCATCGCCATCGCTGGCATCGTCGGGATGGTCGGTGCAGGTCTCCATCCAGCTCCAGACCGAGTAGTCAGCGTGACTGTGCCATCAACCTTCTTCGAAGCCTTCATTTCCATCACAAACCCTGTTTTTGCTTACGCAGGTCACTTCATGTTCTTCATCATGGTACGCAGACTGTTGACTACAAGCATGAGATCTCTTTCCGGCGGAATGCTAACGACCGTCATGACTTTAGGTCTCCGAGATGAAGAAACCGCAAGACGCAATGAAGGCGGCTTATACTCTCCAGGGCTTCGCTACAACGTTCTACGCTGTATTCGCCGCTATCGTTTACGTCTATATCGGCAACAGTGTGCTAAGTCCCGCTTTCAGCAGCTTGGAGATCAAGTGGCAGAAGGCTGCGTATGGCATAGCGATACCGAACTTCCTCATCGCCGGAGCACTATACGCTCACACGGCCAGCAAGCTCCTGTTCGTCCGCATCTTCCGCAAGTCAAGGCATTTGCACAGTCACACAATTCTAGGATGGAGTACATGGGCGCTCTTAGTGCTACTCATGAATGCCGCTGCTTTCGTTCTGGCAGTTGGTGTGCCGATCTTCAACTACTTAATCGGCATCGCCGCCTCGCTGTTTGCGGCGTGGTTCACGTACGGTATTGCCGGCTTCTTCTGGCTCCACGATTCGTACCATGACGGAGATGGCTTCTACACTTGGGCTCGGAAGTGGTTTCAGACGACGTTGGCTGTGCTGACAATATTTGTGGGCGCTTTTATCTGCGTGGCAGGATTGTATGTGACGATCAAAGCGATTGTGGAGGCGTACCAAAGCGGTGTGGTGGCAAGTCCATTTGCTTGCTAGGGTAAGAGGTAGCTATTAAGGGCAGCGCTCTCACCATCACTGCTGCGAGAACTGCGCCTTATGTTGAGTCTGCAAAAGGCCCCGACCTAGTGGGCCCATACACCGGGAACGGCCCGCTGCTCGTGCCTTGCTACAGAATGCTCGAATCTTCGAACCTACACGAATCTCGCCAACGTCGATCCTTGAGGCAATAGACCTCAACGGTGGAAGCCAATAATCGTTGCTGTTGAGAGTTACGAGCAAGAAATCCAATCCGGTCAAGTTACGCATCCTAGAAGTCACTCGTACCTGTTTTGCCGATGAAGACCAGCATACGCACAAAAAAGTCGAGATCCGCCATCATGGTCGAAGGAAATGATGAAGACAGCTCGCAGTCGGCCTTCCTGAGCCTGCCGACCGAAGACGGGATACGAATATTCAAAGGAGTCTTCATCCGTTAGTCCAGGTTACCCTTAGATCTCGCATATTGTCCAGATAGGGAGTGTGTAAGCCAGCCACCTGAACCCGAGTCAGTCGCCAAGTCAGGAACAAACCTTGCCAGTCTTCAACGGCCAACCGTCGGTCTGTACGTCAAATCTGCTGGGCAGCTGGACATGGTGCACGAAGTGGCTACGCCTTCTCAGCACAAAGGCAAGCTTGCTCCGCGGTACCATGTTCGTGGTCTGCGAGTGTTCTGAGTCCAACGTCATCGTAAGACGATTCAGTTGGGCCGATAAAGCACATCGGTTCATGATCTAGCTGGTATGCGAGTTGGAATCACGACTTACTGAATGCCGCGTTTGCGATGGTCTCGAAGGTTGCGGGCAGGGAGTTCAACTTCAAAAGTGCGAGTCCGGCATGTCTTACCCTCTCTGTTGCAATGTTGGACTCCTACGAGAGTTCAACTGGCAGATGGTGTGGCTTGCCCAGGGTAGTAGAGCAATGTCGCGCATCCTTCACGGCTGTTCGTGCGATGAGTGGGCGCCTTCGTGTTCGAGCTCGGACAAAGCTTCCCGGGGCTGGATTGTTCGAGTGGCTTGCAGAGCTTCAGCAAGAGTATCTGCCGTCGGACTGGGCATCGTAATGATGACGGGAGTAGCTTCGCGATGGAAGTGATCATGTCGTCGGCGACGCGGCGTAGAACGAACGTCCAAGCTTCTATATCTCCGGCTGACATGTGACAAAAGCGTTGGCGCATTAGGCGCGCAGCACGCGTGACACATCGCGTACATCGTTCAACATCCTCCACTCGACGCTTTGGTTCGAATAACTTCTTACATTGATCATTTCATTCTTGCATCTTCCGGAGCAGTCTCACGACCTTAGTATGAGGCTGCCTACTGTGTAAGCGTAATCGGTAAGTTGATATACTGCCTTGCAAGGCTTCTGCCGTACAGTCAGTATCGGCAATAAGAGATCAGAAGCGAACGTCTCCAACAGGTCCACCAAAGTGGTAAGTGCGAAGGCGGGGGCCATGCATGAGAACTGTGAGCTATGCCGCCTGTGCGCCCAGCAGCATGCGCGAGCTGGAGATCGCTCCGGTGCACGACCTCGGACCTTGAGTGTACGCAGGCGGATATCATCCGAGCGGAACAATGCACCATCTGTATGCGCAATATTATCTCGTGGGGGAGGAGATGTCGGCGAGAAGGTGCATTCTGTCGACTAGAGTTTGTGGTATAGGCATGCAGCCACTTCAATAGCGGCCTGTAGGGCTCCTGCCGGCGTCAAATGCGGGTCGGTGCAAAAGCTTGGCTTGTTCGGTGGCGCCCGCGTGCTCAAAGCAGACCTCGGGAGAATCACTCGCGAGAAATCTACGAACGTTCTTGACGGACAGAAACGCTCGCGAGGGTACATGTAAAAGCTCAGGCATGGTACAGGTTCCAGAACGAAGTCTGTCCTGCGCGTTGCAAGGATGGTGGGGTTGGTATTCACTTCAGCTTCTCGGCGGAAATGAGGGTTGGGAAGCTGGAAGCCGGCCAGAGCGGAGATTTGCCTGTAGGCGCGAAATCTGCCACTCACCACCTATCTTCGCTACCCTTTCCCGCAGTCCTCGAGTCCTTCCTTTTCTGTCTTTGCCGTTGTTGGGCGTTTGTGCTCCCCGTCGGTCCTTTCATTGCATTCGTTTCGTGCGCGAGCAGTTGTTGTGGTAGAAAGAATTAGGTATGTACAACATGTCTGCCATTGCTGCAAGCGCCTGCATGTGTTCACATACCCGGCTGCACTCCCAACCGGACTCGGCATTTGGCCAGGTGGTGCGGGCACTGCCATTCCTGCTCGCACGCAGTCGCGCTTGAGATTTGTTCACTTCACACTGTAACGTATCATTCGTACTGACCCTCCTCTCCGTTCCTTAGCACGGTTTCTGTTCACTTTGACCTTGGGTCCCACAACATCCTAATCTGACCCGGCCGTAACAATTTCGGCGGCTTCGACAGACCACTCGACGATGTCGTTCTACGACAACGACCATTCCTGGTCGGCACCGGGACGCCAGCCATCATGGGAGCAGCAACCGCCGCCGTCACGCTCAGGTACCGGTTCCGCAGCGTCTCAGCAAGGCGAGCCGAATGCTTTCGCTTCGCAATTTGAGGAGATTGACAGGGCGACCGACAACTTGATGCGAAGTGGGAAGTGGTTTCCGGGCCAAATGCCAGGTGTGCCGATGCCACCAATGCCTGGGCGAAGAGACAGCATGCCATCCGGGGGCCGGGGCTTTGAAGGGTTTACTAGCGGTGACCCTAGGATGGGTGGGAGTCCGAGACACTCAGCCAGCGAATACGAAGGCGGCCGTCCTGGCTCGGCTGGACTGCAGGGCTACTACGCCGGGCAGCGGTTTCCCGGCGGACGGCAGAGCGAAGCGGAGCAGATGCTGCAGGCCAAGCGCCGAATGGCCGCTCAGAGAGAGCGTGAGCTGCGCAACTATCACCAAGAGCAGCAATATAACCGAAGTAGGTTGTTCTTGCAATTAGCGAGCATGTCGGCTGACCATGGTGATTAGCATCGGTATCAGGCGTGAAGACCGATCGGTCCATGAGCCCCAACACCATGAGCGAGGAAGACCGTCGCGAGCTCATCGCTCGCCAGCACCGCGCGCTATACGGCGACAGTTCGTCAATCTACCCTTCGGAGGGAGGCAGTGCATCCCGACCGCAAAGTCAAGATGTGCGTGATCCCGGTGCCGGCGGGCGTGGCCCTTCTCCCCTTGCCTTTGACCCATACGGCGTGCAAGCGCAAGCTGGTGCTGAAGGTGCTGTACAGATGCCTCCTCGCGACCGGCCCGAGAGCGCCGCGTCTCCAGCGTCTGGTGGCCAGTCTGCGCAGCAGTCGTTTGGACTGTTGAGCCAATCGCAGCAGAATCATCGCGCATCCAGTTCTTCGCCGGGTGGCTCGCCGCCGCTGGTCGAAGGGCAGAAGGGTGCGAACGCTGGTGTTGCGCCCATCGGCACAAGACCATCGCAGCCTCCTACTGCCGCCGGAGGTCTCAACAAGCGTGCAACCACGCCGCTCACGCCATCGTCACTGAGCTACGGCTACACAAGTCAGGACGCACAAAATACCAAAGACGAGCGCTCGACCTCTGCTGCTTCGAACCCGCCACTGGCGGATAAGGGTGTCAGTGGGCTTGGAAGCTGGGGAGGCAATAGCTGGGGCGCCGGAAAGAGTACTCTGGCCATTCAGCCATCCGTTTGGGGCTGAGTGACGTTCACGGGCAGGCCAGCGGAGTCAAGACGGAAATGCGGTACTGCGACTGCGTTAGCGGAGGAGTTTCTGGAGGCAGTTGATGCATTTGCGACGGTGTTGGTGTTTGCGCCTGTGACGACATCATTCTGGCGTGGCCCGGGCCGTGGATGGCACTGTTGTTTTGACTTATATGCGGGAAGCATTGCGCATGCTCTGTGACTTACCTGATTTAGCGTTCATGCGGCTGGTGTCTGGGAGGCGGGTAATGGTCGGCTGCATGCTCTTGGGAAGAAGCAGGTTGCGATGGGTTCATGCTTCACGCTTTGTGGATGGCACGGTCTTCGCAATGATTCGGCGGCGTCTTCGCTATTGGCAATATACCTTGCAGCGCGCGGTAGCTTCGTGTTTCTGCTTTCAGTCGGATTAGGCAGGCACGGCGGAAGACACTGTTCTTTGCCAGATTATTTTTCTTTCCTCCTTTTATGTCGGTCATCGGTCAGTCAAATAATAGACCAGCGATGTACGAGCAAGGCTAGAGACTCGCGACCAGTGGCACATGGTTGTCGCGGAAGGCACGTTGTCACGTGTTCATGGTCAATGCCAAGCTTTGCGGCTCAAAGAAGCACTGGGCAACTCGACGTTCGGGCATGCCGAGCTTCAAACGTGGTCATATTGCAGGCGCGCAAGCCAGAAACAATCACGAACCATAAACCTTTCACGTCTACGGCAACCCGCAGCTCTTAGGACTGAGCGCCACGGTACGGTTCATACTTGGGATTACGAAGGGTCGGAAGTGCAACAACGCGCAATAATGGTGAGTCTGCGATGCGCACACGACATCCTCAACCATCCGTAAAAGCACAGGGTGCAACGGATAGCACCTGTGACGCTTACGAAGTGTCACGGAGTCAAGCTGACTGATGTAGTCCGCTCCACGGCCTTCAAACCCTGTCGACTCTCCTGCATCGACCGGGGCCACGACCGCACGTCCTACTTCGCCAAAACCACCGGGAGGTCCAGCGACCGCGCTGAGGAGGAGAGCAGCAGCAGATAGGGCAGACAAGGTCGCGAATGCAAGACCGGCAAGCACACGAGCGGCAGGTGCTGGTGGCAGTAGCAGCACGATGCTGAGTACGTTGCCCTTCGAGAGAATATGCACAATGAGATCGACGATAACATGAGGGTACTGACGGGGTTTTCTAGGGCTGTATACTGACGAATCACCTGGTTTGAAAGTTGACCCATTTGTGGTGATGGTGTTGTCTTTAGGCTTCATCATCAGTGTGGTGGCGTTGCACAGTACGTTGACCCTCATTTTCGCGTGGTTGATCCTAACGTTGTCGCAGTCATTGCGAAGCTCACGAAACGGTTCTCGTCATAGCATTGTAGCGTTCTGGGGAGGTTTGTTCGGCGTTTGGAGGGTGCACCACCAGCGATGCGGCGACGCCGCCTAGCAGTCGTGTACGGGATATCACATTGCCAGCTACAGGCTGTACGATACATCAATGGGGTCTTGCATGGTCCGGGGTTCTAAAAGCGACATGCTCATACATGCGATTGACGCGTCTGTCGTACCGTGCATACGGGCACTCTAGCAGACCGCACGCCGAGGACTTGAAGCCTTGGCTATTCGACCCGCCTAACTCGATCACATGTACCTGCTGCAGCATGTCCGAAACTCTAGACGCAGTAATATAAGCTAGCAAGCATCAAAGCAATTGGCTCGTGACACGGCTGGTATGTCTGCTGCAATCTGTACCAAGCAGTACGACTTTACCCGCTTCAGGCTATGTGGCCATTCTCCGGCCACGCCAGATCCACTTACTATGCCTGGACTGCTTCCCCACCTCGGACCACCCCGCCACCAGAGCCAATGGCAGCTGCCAATGACCAGCATTGACATGTCGTCCACATGGCTTAAGAGCGCGTTGGCTCCCGGCAGAATAGAAGCGAAAAATCTTGAGGGCGCACCAGGTAGCGGCAGCGAGACGCAGGGACTAGTGCACAATGAACGTGATCAAGCCGTTCGCCAGGTAGGAAGCTCTCACCCGTATATAACGAAGAGCCGCAGTCCAGATCGTTGACGTTTCTTCTGCTCTTCGTTCAGAACCGCCGCTCTCTTCAGGATTAACGTTCGCGTCACTGCCCCACCATCAGTATACCACCCCGCCTTCTCGCAGAGCAGATTTTTGAGGAAACCAACATTTGTCAAAACATACGCCACAATGCCTTCAGCACCGACTATCAAGCTCAACAATGGCAAGGAGGTCAGTGCAGCACATTATGGAAATCTCCGCCATGATCAACGGAAGGTGCTGATGTTATCCAGATGCCCTTGGTGGGTTTCGGCCTTTGGAAGGTGAACAACGACACGTGCGCTCAGACAGTGTATGACGCCATCAAGACCGGCTACAGACTGTTTGATGGTGCCTGCGATTATGGCAACGAGAAGGAGGCCGGCGAGGGTGTCGCGCGCGCCATCAAGGACGGTCTCTGCAAGCGCGAGGACCTTTTCCTCGTGTCCAAGCTCTGGAACTCTTTCCACGACAAGGAACGCGTGAAGCCGATCTGCAAGAAGCAGCTCGAAGACTGGGGTCTTGAGTACTTCGACCTTTACATCATTCACTTCCCAATCGCACTCAAGTACGTTGACCCGTCCGTGCGCTACCCGCCTGGCTTCACGTACGAGAACGACAAGGTCGAGCTCGGCAAGGCTACGCTTGAGGAGACTTACCACGCCATGGAGGAGCTCTACGAGGAGGGCCTTGCCAAGTCTATCGGCATCAGCAACTACAACGGTGGTCTTCTTCTGGATCTCGAGCGATACGCCAAGCACATGCCGCAGACGCTTCAGATCGAGCACCACCCATACCTCGTGCAGCAAGATCTCCTCGATTTCTGCAAGAGCCGCGGCATCGCTGTTACCGCCTACTCCTCGTTCGGCCCGCAGTCTTTCGTCGAGCTTGACATGCAGTCTGCGAAGGACGCGCCTCTTCTCTTTGACCACGAGGTTATCAACGCGATCGCCAAGAAGCACAACAAGTCCCCTGCGCAGGTCCTGTTGCGGTGGGCCACACAGCGTGGTATCGCCGTCATCCCAAAGAGCAACAACCCGTCCCGTCTTGCGGCGAACTTGGACGTATGCAGCTTCGATCTAGCCGACGACGAGATCAAGCAGATCAGCGGCCTCGACAAGAAGCTGCGCTTCAACAACCCTACCAACTACGGCTTCCCGATCCCTATCTTCGCATAGACGGTACAAGAAAGAGCACCTAGATGAGTACGCGCCCTCGAAACCCGACGAAAGTACTCGCCCTATGATTAGCTTGGGACGTCCAGTATATACACTGTACAGAGTCCAAGCTTAAACGTGTCTCCACCATGTACGTTCCTTGCGGCCAGAATAAGGCCTTACGCTACCAGCATTCGGCCTTTGGTGACCCCATTGCAACCCACTTGGACTTCGCAATTACACCTTGCTGGAGTCACACTGAGATAACGTACAGTGCTTCTAACATACTGACATTACGTTTTCGCGGAGCCGTATAATGTAGCTATATCACGGAAGCTGCGTACAATTGAATGCACCTTACTGTTCATGGCAATGATGTAGTCTCTGCGTTCCGTCCACCGTGTTCGTCCGCAAGGCGATCTATTGAGCATGCCATTTACTGAACGCAATGTACTCTTGACGTTTTGCAACATGGTTCACACCAACCTCATCGAGGTCCTCAAGAATGCCGACCCGCGTACGAAGACGACCAGCGTGCTGATAGCACCGCCAGCATGCTCATCGAAGGGCTCCGTTGCTACCACACACGTCTTTCTTAGATTGCGTTGGCGGAACACTACATCATGCCATGCCTGTATACCACTGTATGCATCCCACGTGACCGTGGTCCCTAGGGTTGGGTCTTCCTATGGAGGTCTCTACGACGGCCATGCCAACGTGCGAACGCTTACCTCCTGGACTCATCCACTATATTGACTGATAAGTGTCCGTTATATCAGTATGTGGCCCTGGCAGCGGAACATTCATCGAATGTGCAGCTCCATCGAGCGCACTAGGTAGCTAATGCCCCTAAGTGAGCTTTTAGGTGCAAGACGGAACTTCGAAAATCGACTTAATTTGACAGGCAAGTTGACTTTCCGGCCCCCAAACGGTCTTGTGCACCCCACTAGAAAAGAGCTCTAGTTTGCCGACAAATTCGATGCGAGTGCATAACTATAGCAAGCTTCTCATTTTGTCTGTTCTCCCATCAGACACAGCTCCAGCACCGCCAGACCAAACGCACGGCAGCTCAGTACGATCGCCCGCGTGCCGATCACAGTTCGCTGATCAGATACGAAACCGCGTCTATTGGCGGCAGCAGTGCGGCTAATGCTCCCCACCACACGTGGTCCGCAGGTGAGGGAACAGTTCCAGAAGCGTGCCTCGTTCGACAGTCTAGTCATCTTCCACTAGTCAATCTGTCCATGCTGTTAAGGACATCTACGAAGAGCAGAGCAAGTATTGTGGTACGATCTGACGTCTCAATTGAGCAATGCTCATACTCGCCGCTGTGCCGCACAGTCAACTTTCGAAGAGTTACTGAGCCGCAGACCAGGTCCCGTCCCAGCAAAGACTGGTAGGGTGATGCACATGCAGTGCGATAGTTAAGATGCAGCCACACTCGTTCGGCCGCAGTGAAGCTCCCTACGTCTCAAGCAGTGCTTGCTTTTCAGGTTATGCAGCCATTGGTTGTGACGCGTGAGATGAAGGCTGTCTTTGCTTCCAGATTGCTCTTCTACAGAAGGACCAGTAACGCCGAGGCCTGCTCATACTGGACCGTTCTCGACCCGATCACTCGAACGTAGAGACGCAACCAAGAGTTTATGAGAGCACCGAAGGATTACATACCATGCTCGAACGTGACAGCAACTGCAGGTCGTCGAGACATAACGCTGCCTAATCCCGTAGCAGTTAGGCCGGAAGTGCTTGGCCGACGCCTCGGCGCTTAAGTGAATCGCCCTGCAGCTCCACTCTCGTCTGTTCTCCGATGGAGCCTCTCATCCAACATCAGTTGGTGCATCTGTGCCTACCTCCTGTGAGTGGCTAGCCGTGAGTATCGAAGCACCGGCAGCGAGGTCTGCACGGCAACATCATTTCGGGACCGGACGGCTGAAGGAACCCTTCCAGGGCACGTCTCATTACACTTACCCTGTCTGGCATCACGTCCATACTCTTTCCACGCTATCCCGTTCGCCGTGCGGGAAGGCCATAGCTCCATTGTGGTGACCGAGTCAAGAAGCTTTTGACCGGCTTCACATTACCCCAGTGAACTAGGCGCATCAATATGGATTGATGACCGGCCAGGCTCCTCCCTTCTCCTTCATCATCTCGCGCTCTCGGCTGCTTACGGAGACTGCTTGGCTCAGCCGCAGTATCAGCCTTGTACCTTGATCGCAGACAGCAGGCAATCTTTAACCTTATCGTACTGTACCGTCCCAACCGCACCGGCGCATGGGACCAACGTGCTGCGCCGTTGACCTGCATGCTGTCAATCGCGAGTATCCCAACCTGAACGTCACTGCATCGACCTAGAGGCGCCACAACGACGAGATGGCATCTTTAGGCGTCATGCCTTCGCCTACAGGCGCAGGCCTCTCGTCCGCCTTCTCACCATACACCGACTCGCCGAACTCGCCAGTGCCTTTCGGTAATACTTTTTTGCCGAAGTCAAACAGGTAGGCGTGTTGGCAGTCTCGGCAAGACGCAATGACTGAAGATGTCGATACAGGTCATCAGGCCCGTCGGACTCACTGGCACCACCTCCAAGTCCATACCCACAACACGTCGATCCTTCTCCAGTTGACTCAAATGGCACCGAGCGCACAGACATCGAAGATCAGGCACAGGAGGATGGGCAGATAAAGTCACCGGACGGCCTCACCAACGGCGAGCTGCTGTCTCCGGATATTGAAATTGCAAGCCCTGAAAGCGCAAAAGAAGTTCGTATAAGTCGAGCATTCTGTGGGATGCCTTCGTCTGACGGTAGTAGGAACGCAAGCAGAAGATAGATACTGAGCTGGCTAAGACTACGCGCGCGGGCTCCGAAGGCACTCCGTCATCTGTGGTACATGCGCCTACGGGTTTCAGGAGTCTCCAGGAAGGGAGGGCATCCGAGCAGTCGCCGACACAGAGCTCGGACAACACGGTTGTCTCGCCCAGTGAGAAGGAGCCTGCCACAAGTCCGTCTGATAAGGTTTGGATGCAACAAGTAACCATGCCCACGCCGCTCCGCTGATTAGGCATAGCTGAAAATGATCTCGCCTGTCAACACCGACGTGGCTCGCTTTTATGACCGATCGACACCACGAGCGCAGACGAGACAAGAAATAGACGATGAGTGGAAGCGCAGAGGTCGACGAGCTTCGTCGCTTGAAGGTGCGTTAGACCCACCCGGTGGGGTGCTATCATGCTAACATTCGCCTCAGATATACCCGAGGCGCTCGACAGAGCTGAGACAGAGGAAGCGTCTCAAGGAGACGAAGAAGACGACGGCCCAGATACCGCAGCTCTGGTCACTGATGGCAAGCTGAGTCAAGCGATGGACGAGTCGCTGACGAACGCTGCGGAGGAAGTTGCAGCTCTTCGGACAGCCCTCAGCGAATGCTGGACGCTCTGCAACACTCTCGCAGCTCTCTCGTCAACGCACCGACAGCGAACTTTCAAGTTTGCGGGGAAGCAGGATATGCAGGAGTCAGCATGGCGCAGCTGCTGGCGCCTCTGCCAGCAACTGTACGATTCGCGTGACGAAGACCATGCTTCGCAGGTAATACCGACATTAGAGCTGTGCAGAGACTTCTGTCAATCGCTCTTCGAGGCGAGGCAAAAGAGCGATGAGGCTTCAGACTCTGTTTTGCGTGTTAGTTTCGAGCTCAACAACCACCTATACAATACTCACGATCGCAGTTTGCCAGAAGCGTTCAACGAGCGCACCCTGGACTTCTACATCACACTATGTCATAGGCTGATGAAACAGCGTACATCTCTGCCTCAGGAGACGGACGCGCTACTGCGTGCTTGCTGGTCGCTTGCGGAGATGCTGTTTAACCTACGACAGAGCAATAAGGAAGGCAAAGCCCCCGACGAGGAGTTGCTCGGGTCTGCAGTACAGTCCTGCTGGGAGCTATGCGACCTTTTCCGTGAAGGCTGGACGCAGATTCGGCCTGAGCGTGGCACACCCCGACCCAGTCAGGTCACCTTCAAAACCAATTCATTCCCACCAACACAACAGCAGCTGCCATACAAAGCTCCCTCCATCTCGGAGGTGCGCTCAAACTCGAGCATGAGCAATAGACAGTATCATGACGCGCCAGCAGCGCCGTTAGTGCCGGAAACGCCGACGACAATCTTCGACGACTCGACCTCGGCAGCGTCGTCACCCGACTCTGGAAACATCCCTCACATTCTGGTCTTAGGACCGGCTGGACCAGCGAGCTCTAGTGGCGGTTCACAGCGAGGCGGCTCACACCACGACCGCTGGTCAAGCAACGCTTCCGTGCTTAGTGGCTATTCGGAAGGATCGTCTCGACAAAGCTCCTCAACCGCCACCGCAACGTCGGAAGAAGCGCATCTTGCGCGGCTACGTTACCTGCTACTGAAGGCAGGCATGCATACAGGCTACTCAAAGACATCGGGTGAGCCTCTACCGACTCATGTCACAGACTTGCCGGCAAACGCCTTCGGCACGCTGCCATGGCAGATCAAGGTGTTGGAATTCTACAAGAAGCTCGTGCTCGGTGACAAATCCATGTTGACCGTCCATCAAATGCCCGCTCGGCGGTTGACGGCGGTTGAAGTGGCGAAGTCTGTGAAATGGCTTGGGTCTTCGGAGCAGTGGGCTTGGATGCGCGACCTGTACCGGCTTGTATTTGGTTTTGGCATCGATGACGCTGCATCAAGGGGCGGCGGGATCTCTGTGTAGGGTGTCGAGCTTTATTGCCGACCCCCATGCACTCGCGGCTGGGACTCAGGCTGGTTGAATGACACTCAAGGAGGGATTACAAATCATCGACCAGGATACGTTGCATTCGCACCTGCACCGGCAAGACACATACGCGACAGCTGCAGCGCATGACCGGCGTGCGCGTTGCAAAAGAGCCTCTGATCTGTGGAGCACAACTTCCGACCGCGCAACAAAGCACAATAAAAAGACCATGCACTAGCAGGTAAACCGGGACACCATGAAGCATTACAACGGCAATAGTCCTCATCTCGTTCTCGATCACCCAGCAACGTTATTCGCTAGACCCGTCTCGGTGCACATTGGGCGCTCTTTGCTGCTGGTGGAAGGCGTTGCATAAGCTTGTTGACCATGGACGCGGTACGGACACGCAACCATGCCTGCCGCAAATTCACAGCGACGTGGCTTGATCTCCGTCATTCTCCACGTGACAGCTAATTGGCTTTGGTATATGTTAAAGGAGCAGTCGTTGGGCAGGCCCGCAATCAAAAGAGCGTGCTTGGGCACATTTCCGTCGAAGGTCGGAGATTGCATCACCAGCCCGTCGCACATATACTTCCATCGCTTACAGCGCGAGCCTATGGACTTACAGTCAGTTAGCCAGCGCAATAGAGAGGGATCTAGCTCGGGGCGCCAAGCACACTCGCAAGGGTCGATCTTCAATGTTGTTCACACATGCGAGTATCCGTGATTTGATCTCCTTGGTGGAATCTAGCATGCAGATACATGTACTGTACCATTGGCAGAGGCCCTTGCATGCACTCCCGGGCTGCGAGCAAGCTTCCAGGCTGCCATGTAAAGCCTGTCGCAACTCGTGATTGGCTGGTTCTGAACCGAACCCTCTCAACTCCAGCTCCGTTGACAGTATAGGAAGGTCCTTAGCAGCGCTTGACGTGCAGATATGCAATGGTCCCAGGCAGCGAGTTTTGAGGATATGCGTTGTGATGTATCCATCGGCGTTGCCGAGTTAGTGGCATGGTATAAGAGCGTGGGGGCGCCCATATCGACCTATTGATTGCACCGCGCGATAGCGAACTCGTTCTCTAAAAGTCGAAGCAACATAACACCCTTTTCCTCCAGCTCCCTCCTACATCTTCGCGCCAACATGTCGAACACTGACAAGGACGGCAACAAGAACTGCAGCAATATGACCGACTGCAAAGATTGCGAGAATTCCTCCAATTGTACGTCAACGCTCTCTCCACCGTCCACGCCGTGTGTGTTAAAAAGTGACTGGGCTGACGGCATGATGGAAAGGCACGCGATGCGTCCACGTCGTCAACAGCAGCAATATGACCAACTGCAAGGACTGCGACAATTGCTCGAACTGCAGCGATTGTACCGGTCTGCGCAATGTGACTAATGCGCATGGGGTGCATGGGGACGAGAATGAAGACTTGAAGTAGAGACGATGGGAATGGATGCGCCATGGATGAAAGTGGATAGCTAGCCATGATTTCGTCTCGATATCTCTTTCCTCCTTATTCTCCTATTACGCAGTCTACATTAGCCCGTCATAGGGGGGTTGGATTGCATGTCGTATCATCCGTAAGCCTGTTTGCTCTTCCACTCGCATCCAAAAACTTTCACGCCAGCAGTGACAGTCACACACCAAAACAATTCCTGCCACCCTACGACAACATCCCATACTGCGGCTTCGGAACAGCCTCCTTCTCATCCACCACCACCACCGCCGACTCCGTCCCATTCGGGGTAATCACCGCAGCATCAGGCGGTACCAAACTCCCAACATCCTGCACCGCCACCCCCTTTCCGCCCTCCACCTCCACCTCCACCTCCACCTTCACCTTCTTCTCACCCTCTTTCCCCTCCGCACCCACAGAAGCATCCCGACTCCGATCCAACCCCGCAACATTCCCAATTCCGAGCCCCCGCTGACTCCCACCATCCTCGGGTACATCACTCCCCTCCAACTCCGCCCTCTCCTCCACTTCCCCATCCTCATCACCATCCCTCACCTCACCCTCACCCTCCTCCTTAAGCGCCGGCGGCCTCTCCCTCCTCGCCCGCGCTTTGGCCAGACTAATCGTCTTCTGATTGTACGTGGTAGTAACAACGCCATCCTCATCCCGATCAATCGTCGCCTTCATCAGCGCCGCCATCCACAGTCGTCCTTCCTGCCGCGAGTTCACGGCGAAGTAATGCACAGTTGGTTTGGTGAAGTTGACACCTTTTGCCAAACCCGATTTGGGCGGGACGAGCTTGAAGATAAACAGGCCATCTGAAGGACTCTCGCCGGGCTTGGCGGTAGTCTTGGCCAGGTCCGCTTCAGCGGCTGTAAGGTTAGAGGGGTTCGTGGGTGTTGTGGGACTGGTAGCAGCGCCTGTCACAGCCGCGTGGAGGCCGGTCAGCGTTTCTTGGTTGGCAGGAAGCACGCGGTGGAAGGAGATATCGATCAATCCCTTCTCCTCCGTGTCGTCGTCCTTGTAGTAATAACTCAGTCTCCGGCCCTTGAGGATGAACAGTCTCGGCTTCCAGGTACTCATCAGACTCCCACTCTTCTTCTTCATCCATCCCGAGTAATCGCACCCGCGCTTCAACTGCTCTGCCGGACTGATCTTTTCCAGTCCCCGCGTGTAAGCGCTCGTCAACTTCTTCGTCTTCGCGCGCGGTCGTTTCTGCGCCGAGGGTGGGGCGAGCTTCCCTGCACTACCTGCACTGGTGCGCCGGCTTTGACCGTCTAGCGACTTTTGTAGGTCGAAGCTCCTAGTCTCCGTGCTAGGGGTCGTGGAACCGGTTCGGGTCGGGCTGGCCATTACTTTGGCTTCTTCCAAGGTGGTCGCCATGGGGATCTCGTTTGCCGTCTTCTCGCTCTTTGTGACGGCTTCGCTTGCTGTTCGGTGGCCGCCAAGCCTCGCGTTGGCGAATGTAGGGGTGTCGGTGGGTTTGGGCGAGGTGGCATCGCTTGTGCCTGCGTTTGCGACCGCGTCGAGGGATGTCTGGCTGCCTGGGTCCAGCTTCGTTACTACAGGTGACGCCGAAGCTTGTATGTCGCTATAGGATTTGGATCCAAGTTGCGGATTCGTAGCTGCCCGTGTAGGAGCACCGAACTTGTTCGTCACAGCGCTCAGGGCGTTCTGCATGTGATTTGAGATCCCATTGCTAATGCTGGGAGCGTTTGAGTCACGTGGTGATCCCACGCTTGCTGACTGTCCCGCGCTGCGTGTGTTGTACATGAAGCTGTTTGTCCGGCTCTGCAACGGACTTACGGTCGTGCTTTGTGCTTTCTTGAGCGTGTTGCCTTTGCGCTGCGAAGATTGGTTTTCTGAGAAGTAACCGCGATCCAGCTCAGCAGGTGAAGATGATGGCATCGCAGCCCCAGATTTGGTGAGATCCGTTATCGAATCATTAGTTCCCAACGCACCTATAGCGATCCTATCGCTCACTGCTGACCGCATTGCTTGGCCGGGCGTCCATTGCTTATCGAAGCTTGGCTGCTTCTTATGGCCCGATGTGCGAGCGCCACCAGCTGAAGACGTCGAGTCAATACTCGAGTGTCTCCGCGCATGCTGCATCTGTCTGATGGTCTGCGCAGATGGCCGGTAAGTGTTCTCCGGTCGCGACATCGACGTCATGGATTGTAGCGGAGATATGACGTGCGACGGCGACCTGCTGACTCCGATACCGGGCGATGGTTGCTGCGGTGCGGATGGGCTTGATGTTTGCAGCGTACTGCTCCTTCCAGTGTCATCGCTTTGCCGGGGTGCGAACTCCAGGCCCCGTGGGAAGGTCTCGCCCATCGTCGAGCTGCGGTTCCTACCCGCTTCACTTGGGGCTGGAGAGTCGCCGGGTAGAGCACCTGGGGCTGCTGAAAGCTCGCTTGTCACACTGTCACTTGCTCCCGGATTGCTGCGCTTGACCTCATCCTGCAATGCCTTGATCTTATGCCACGTCTTTAGCCGCCGGCCTACCGGACCGAGATCGAACTCCTTGATGAACAAGCTGGACTGATCCATCGCCAGGAGCACCTCACCGCTGATCTCCTGCTCCTTGAAGACTTCGCAGTGCGGTCTTTCCACGCCATTATCTTCCAGATATTCCGCAACACGTAGAGGGCTCCACGCCATGACTTCGTCTTCCGTATGTAGGGTGTGCTCGTCTTCGTCCGTCTCGTGGCCGGGAATGAACGAGAAGCGGTTCATGGGCTGCGAATACACGCTACCCATGGTATCGCGCTTGTTACCGTTGGTGTAGGCGGAGGAGCGAGGTGTGCTCATGTCGGTGATGTGTTCGTTGATCACAGACAGTGTCTCGTTCATGACGGGAGAGTCGACGTTGAAGGTGGATGCTTTGGCGAGGGTGCCGGGTGAGGTTGTCGGAAGCGAGGTTCGCAGCGCGCTCGTCTGCGCCAAAGGTGGCTGCTGTGCGGATGCGGGGGTGGTACTCGCCGGCCGCATCTGCGCTGGCGGTGCCATGCTTTGCCGAGTCGTTGTTGGTGATGTCGACGCACTGTCACCGCCGCTCGTCGCGCCAACGCTTTTCGGCACATCGCTGATACGACGTTGCTGGTTCGTACCGGTTAATGTGCCTTTCGGTGCCGGGGTGGTATACACTAGCCACCATTTTCAGCATCATGTTATAGGCAACCTAGTTAATTGTGGTGTTTCAGAAGTCCACCCACCTTCCGGAAACAGCCCGGTGTTCCCATTGCCCATATGCCGCCCCAGAAACCAACCATCGCCGAAATCGTCATCGCGTTCGATCAACTCAATGCGATCCCCTTTCGCCAAGCTCAATTCATCGGCGCTTCTAGCGACGAAGTTGTGGATGACGAGGAGGATGCTGCCCGGTATGGCGCTGGCCTGCACGCCATTCCGCACTGCCGCCATCTTGTCGGCGGCCGGCTGGCTAGGTTGCGCGTTCTCTGCCTTTGGTGTGGATGTTCGAGAACAGCGAAGCTACCGCCGGACCGACATCTTAGGTATCCGATGTGGTGGATGGTGAGTTGAGGATATGGAAAAAGTCGTGGGTGCTGTGGCTGGTGACGTGGATGGACGGGATTGGCATTGGTTCGATTCGATTCACTTCCGCTCCCCGCGAACTCTCCCGCTGGTGTAACGGCCGTAGATCCACGGCCAAGCTGTCAACAGAATCGATATGGGCTTTACGTGAACTATCAATGAAATACAGAATACGCTGGTACGTTGCAAAGGAGGCTGAACACAGGAATATACACGAGTCTCCCGCAATCTGTCCTTGGGGGCGGCAAGGGCGAAGGAGCAGGGCGGTACCTGTAACCATTCGATTCGATAACCGGCAGAGGCCTTGCAGATAGGGCTGAAGTATTGTAGTTGCACAATCGGTAGCACTATCCATGTGACGGTAGTCTGTTGTACGCATATCAATGTTGTTCACTACGCGGCGCAGATTATATCATGCTAGATAGTCTATGCTCACTCTTGCGCCAGGAGCGTGTTTTACTGAAATATCATCATCATCATCTTCATAGCCCGCGTAGGCTGGGCAGCCCAAGCGTGTGAACGCATGGCCCGCGCGCTTAATTACTTCGCGTTCCTTCCCCAGTCGCGAGCGTTTGCGATACATATCAAACTCTCTTGCACATGCCTGTTCTCGAGCATTTCCAATCGCCTGCACCTCGCCACATGTAAAAGGGAGCTGTCATTCAACTCGCTTACGGCGCGCAGGCTGTGACATGGAAAGCACTAGGTGGAAGCGCACAGAAAGCAAGAAACGAGTCACAAAAACCAGAAAAATCACCTATATACCAGCATGTGATCCGCAATATGGATACATATAAGCTGGCCCTTGCCATTGACCATGCAACTACCCACTAGCTGTTTATGCGAGCCGAGCACAAACCGGAGTGGTCGCCCACAAAATGTCACCCAAACGGCGCAAGACTGGAAACACCACGGTGTCTGACAGGGACGTCGCCTCAAGCAATGCGACTTTGAAAATCTTTGCGGGCCACAAGCAGAACAGGTGGATGCAGGGAACAGCTGGCTCATTCACTGGGGAAACGGCAGGCCTACAAGCTCAGGGCATAGGGCCAGCGAGACAGACTGAAAGGGCAGCGGCTTCGACAGGCATTGTGAGTGACACTATGTGGTCAACCAGTGCACCTCCAACTGCTGGACCGGCATGGGCAGGCGATATGAGGACGAGGGTGGGCATGAGTGGTGGCGGAGCAGGAACGAACCTCGTCAGCGACGATTCGCCATTTGCGGCAAGAGCAACACCCACCGTACCTTCTACGACCACCCAAGCAGGCAGGGATGATCCGAGCCTACAGGCAAGCGCGGCTCCGCAGCAAGGACTACCGTCTCCGGCACCCAGCGACGAGAACAACACACGTTCTCCCGTTGTAAACAATGGCACGATCGCGCCCAATCCGCCCCGTCGAGGTCCAGGTCGGCCGCGAAAGTCGCTACCTTTGACATCGCCAGCAACGGAAATGCCCAATACGTCGTGTGTGCAACAGTATGTGCCCCTCAACCAGCAGCTGCGATCGCGGAACACAGGCACCGGCTTCGTGCCTCAGAGACCCTTGTCTATCTCAAGCCTAACTACGCAGCATGCACCGCACCCTTTCAATCAGTCGAATCCACCTATTGGAGGGCGAACGCAGCATGCGTCACTTGGTACTCCAGGAGCGGCCGTCGCTTGGCCGAGCAATCCCATCGGAGGGACACCTCTTGCTAACAATTACCCGCCCGGCGATCCCCAGCGCCCTTGTTTTGTACCTCAAATGCCGGGTCAGCAACAACCACCTCAGCCAGTCCCACGTCCACAGGTCCCTCCACTCCGAGCTTTCTTCGATGCATCCACCACCTTAAAGCGCATCGATGCTCAACTTGGCCATTTACAAGCCATCGGTAACGGCAAGCTGAAGAGCGATACCGGCCGCATGTTGTTGCTCAGAGAGGCGGCATTTAAAGCCGACTACTTCTACATCGTACTCAACAAGCTCTTCTGCTTGCGATCAACATCTCCGTCATCGCTCCCATTGTCAATTCAGAGCATAGCTGATGCGTCGTGGAGACAACTCGAAGCGTTAATATGCGACAATAAGACGTTGATGCGCGAGAATGTTTCCTGGGGCGCCGAGTTTCCCATGCCTATCATGGGCATCTACTCGTCTGAACTCGAAGGCTTCAAAACAGCATACGAGTTGCAGGTTCAGCGCGTCGCCCGCTTCTTGCGCGTTCTGCCACAGCAGTGGCCATTGATGGTGGAGGAAAGCGTACGACGGAATGCGCCTCCACTCGTGCAAGATCTGGCTGATAATCTCTCGCTATCCAGTCCGGCGTTAAGGTCGACAGCATTCAGAGCCATTGCTCGCATTGTCTGGGGCAGGAGAGCGGCCGTCAATCTGGAGACGGGAATCGAATGCCTTATGCTTTTGCACAGTCTAGACGAAGAGAATTATTCAATCAAGGGTTTCCGATGGACCGACGCGGCGAAAGAAGTGGCGTACACTGCACTTGCGAGTACCCATCAGTCGTTCCTCGACTACGAAAGTCGTAGCAGCATCCCTCCGCAAGGGCAAAGCGTACTGCCGTTCACATTGCCGCAAGATGTCATTGCGGTGTTTGCTAATGCGTCGAGCCAACAATATGTTGCCCACATGCAGCCCAGGCAGTCTCGCGTCCCACAGCAGAGCCACGTTGCCGCTCCAAGTGGAAGCGCCATGCTAAGGCAGCCAGGCGCCGCGCAAGCTGTCGCTCAATCTGCACAGCAGTTCGGAATGCCTAGAGCAGGCACTGGTGGAGCTATCGTACGGTCTCCAAGACCTGCGCCAGTCGGACAACCACTTCCACACATGATGCAGCCGACAGGAGCCTGGGTTCAGCCGCCAACACCGCGAAAGCCACATGCGCTGTTTCCGTCATACGACATGTGTCCCCGCCCGCAGCCTACCCAGCCAGATACCACGAAAGTGGCGCTGCATCAGGCTCATCTTCGCAGCCCAATGCTTCGTGCGGCAGAAGTCGACGGCCAACCGCAGAGGCTGTACCGCTATGTCGAAGCCTGCTCTATGTCGCCAAAACTGATCAACAAGCGGCAACCGGTTCAGACTTTCACCTTTGGTCTGCCAGAGAACGTCATGGACAACCTCCCGGTGGTTGTAGGGAGCGCGAAAGGAGCGCCATCGAACATGCTGCTCTCCGAAAGCTCCAAATCGTACCGGTTGCGCTGCTGCCCTGCTACGGGTGGTTTCGGAAGCCTGGGCAGCTGGATGGAGGCCGAGAACCAATGGCCTGATGCACTATACTTCGACTTTAATGGGCGCATGCTGCAGACGAGGCGGAAACTGCATCACGGCCGCTTCTTACCGATCGATCTGACACCATATGTGCGACCGGGATTGAACGAGTTGCAGGTTGTGGTCAATCGTACAAGCAATGACGAGACTGAGTTCACGTATGCCATTGCCGTTGAAATGGTGGGCGTGGCGAACCATCAGACGATTCTAGACGGTTTAACTCCGTTGAGTGCTGAGGAGAGTCTGGAGACGATCAAGCGGTCACTGGGTGGTGGTGGTGGCGCGAACAATGACGATGACGTGACGATGGTCTCCACCAATATGACCATCAAACTCTTCGACCCCATCTCCGGCAGCAAGATCTTCGACACACCCGTGCGAGGCGAACGGTGCAAGCACCGCGACCCTTTCGATCTGGAAGTCTTCCTCAGCCAGTGTAGGCGCCCTCCGACACCACTTAGCGATCCAAACTCTATCCCGCCTACTGTGGTAGACACGTGGCGCTGTCCCATCTGTCGTAGCGACGCGAGGCCGACAACGTTAGTGAAGGATGAGTTTCTGGTGCAAGTGAGGGCGAATTTGGAGCGGTTGGGGATGTTGGACACAAGAGCGATTGTGGTGGCGGCAGATGGGTCGTGGCGTCCGAGGGAGGAGGAGAGGACGGGGGTGAGGAGTGGAAGTTTAGAGAGGGAAGAAGGTGGCGGTGGCTCTGTGCCGCTCAAGGGGAAGGTGGCGACGGTTGTTATTGAGCTTGATTGAAGCGTTTGATTTCCTGGACGAGCTGGACGGCATGGCATTGGCGTTTGGGGACATTTGGAACAACGTGGAAGATGGGATTGATTGGCTTTGGGTGTTGCGAAGATACCCACCTGCGTTTACGATTGTACTGAAAATACTTCCTTTGAGAATAGGCCGAGACAGGCGGACAGTTCAAGAGCAGTGATGGCTGCACCGAAATCACACCCACGAATGTTTTCGAATGCGCCGCTGCCGCCAGAGTTACCTGTGCTTGTACTTCTGCACCTTTGTAAGCTTTAGCATGCAACAACATGGGCTTGAGGACTTACATCTTCAGCACGCCGTACGTTCTGCCGGTCGATCTGGTTCCCAACACCAAGCAGCGTCGTACCAACAGCCCTCGATGCACCAATGACCGGCCTCAAGATCACCGTAGGCGCGTGTCGAACCAATGCAGCGGCGGCAGCACCAGGGTTGTTACTCTCCATGATCTCACCTTGCACAGCGATGAAGGCGTCTCGTGCGGTTAGCAAGTCGCGCTCCAGGTGCCTACGCGCAGACCGAAGGCCGGAGAACACGTTCAGCGGCTGATTTGCATAAGCGGAGATGGCTCGCTGCTCATGATTCTCACCCTCTTCATCGAGATCATGCCAACCCTGGTCAGAGGACACTCTACGTCCGACTCCAGGCCTGCCGGTCGGCGAAGCAGTTGCCGGCGATAGCAGGTTCTCTGCCCCTTGGAGCACATTCTGCGTTCCGATTGCGAGCTTGGCACCAAGGCGAGCTAGTTCGGAGGTGGTGGTCTTGCCAAACTGTAGCGCACCTTTCTGAATGCTTCTCACGATGCGGCCATCCTTCCTGTACTCGCGGATTGGTATTGCGACGACGTCACGGACCCCGCTACCAATGTTGACAAGACTGCGGACAGGCGCGAGCCCGGCGAGTACAGTAGGTAGCTGATTACGACGTATATCCGGCATCCAGATGTCGTTCAACGTCTTATGAATGGGTTCGAAACCTCTGATGCCGTAGACGATCGCATGCTTAAGGCGAATGTTTGCGGCATCGAGCGTGATAAGGTTCATTAGCTCGGTCGTGTGTCCAGAGCGCAGGCCGCCATAATCGAGGCGCTTCGGCTTGTAGTCTAGCTGGAGGTCCACGGTGTCCACCTCTAACCGTTGGATGAAGGGCTGCTCGCCTGACTCGCCGGCGGCCGATTGTTGCTCGTCCTTAAACTCGAAGAAGCGTGCCGTGAAGTCCAGCGCATCCTGATCGACGTGCAGTCGCAGCGGTAGTACTGTTACCTGGATGACGAGTTCCGTAGCAGAGTAGTCCTGCAGTGTCTTCACGTTGTGTACCTGGATGTGCGCCATTGGTTTTGCCATTTCTCTACCGCCTGAACCGTCTTCGAGGCTGGTCAAGAACTTGCGCCAAGTGGAGGTAGGCACGTTGTCAAAGATCTCAAAGTCTTGCACTCGGAGATCAACGGCCTGGAGGACGTCTACTGAATCGTGTGGAAACACAAGCACGTCCGCTGCGACACCCTTCAACTCGAAGGCGACTTTGTGTGCTTTGCTGCGCTCGAGCTTCAGCCTCCGACGGGGAGGGTGCAGCGGTCGACCTGATGCGGAGTAGGCGGTCGGGCGTGACTGGCCTGATACGGGCAAGCTCTCCGTTTCGCTGGCCATGTCATCGATGCCGCGATTGATCTGCCGACGCAGCTCCTGTGCGTCGTGATAAGCGGGCACGCCGACATAAATCGAGTTGAATAACAGATCGCCGATAACAGACTCCTCATCTTCTGGCTCTTGAGCATGCCGCCTTCTCGCCATTCGCTCCTCCGCTCGCGCCTCCACCTGCTCGACAGCTTGCGTAATGCCTTCGCGGGTGCGTTGCCAGTCGTAGCCGTCGTGTATGTTCCAGATGATGTGCGTGTCTCGTAGGCGAATTCTGAAAGGTAGCTTCTGCGTAATGTCTGTCATAGGCAGCTTGTTGCGATGTCCAGCAGTCGGCGCGGCGAAGCTGAGATCAGAACCCAACGCTTGCTGACCGCTACCAAGCGCGTCAAAGCCAAGATCCTCAAATTCGTACAAGTCCAGCTCGACAGGCGGGTCACCTGCCGCAGGCTTGCACTGCTTCACTAGTTCTCTCATCAGCGCCGCATCGCTTAGCCCTGCGTCAACCGGTGAGATGGTCATCTCGAACGGATCTTCTTCCAGCAAGCTTTCGACCGTCTCGCTAAAATCTTCACTCGGCCTGTCAGCTCCTGCTTGCTCTTCGTCGCCCAACAAGCCGCTTAACGGCTCGTACAAACTGGAGGTCATCTCTGATTCCGCGAGCAGGTTGTCAGGCTCAGTATCCATCCCCAACGCATCTCCGAGCGCATCGAAGTCAACATGGCTTGCATTGACACCCGCATCGTCCTCCACGTCAAACAGCATCTCGGCTGGAGCGGCTTCCGGCTTGGTATATGCATCGCCGGTGAAAGATGCCATCATATCCTCGATTGTCATGGGCTGCGTCAGATACTTCGGCTGCTTACTGGGAGGCGTAGGCGGCGCCAGCGCACCGAGTGTGGCGAACAGAGTCTGTGTGGAGTCCGCACAGGACTCAAGCAAGAACAGCTCGTTACTCACCTCGACACCGACAGCCTTCGACTTACCATCCTCCATATCGGTTGCGGTGACTGAAACTTTGGCGGACATGATTGAACCTACGGAAACGTATCTTCGCTTCGCAAGTGCCACGGACAAGCGAATGCTGGTGGTGGTATTACCGAGCACACCACGAGCTGGAGCACCGGACTCAGCTGCGCCGTTGTCCCGGCTATCCGTCACAAAGATGGCGGCCTTGCGCAATGCAAGTGAAGCACTAGTGGTGGTTTCCGGCGGCACAAGTGTCGTGAGCTTTGCGTCAGTCAAGACGAACAACACCTTTGACGGAAGCTTTTCTGGCGTAAAACCCAATGCTGAGTCGTGCACGAGAAGGTCAATATTGGTCTTCTTCACAGAGGGTGCTGGCGCTTGACTGAGCGGGCTGCTATTGGCGCTGTTCTCGCGCTCGAAGGCGAAATCAGTTACAGACTGCGCAAGATCTGTAACGACCTCTTCAGTACTGACGGCAGCCGGGTTGACCAAAGCTACGAGGATGGGAACGCTGTATTCGACGCACACATTGAAGAGTTTGACTTTGACAGTGGGCTCGGCTTCGTTGCCAAGCATGCGTGCCATAAGCATAGGTATGCTGCTGTCTCCACCAGCGAGCGGCACCAGAGAGTGTATGAGAGCTTCGCTACCACGAGATACGGCAAGATCGCCGACGGCTAAGGCGAGTAGGAACGGCAGACCAACATTGGCGCAGTGCAAGTCTTGTGCCTTAATGTTCAAACTACCAAACCTGTTACTGATTGGTATCTGCGCCTCGACATCTTGCAGTCGCACCAGTGTGAGGATGCCGGGCCGCTCATCTTCCGGCAGGTACTTCGCAACGGCGGACAGTTTGCTGAGCTCCTCGCCGAGTGCTCGCAGATCGTGCATGCAGTCGTACTCGCTTATCTTGGCCTTCACGCTGTTAACGGAAGCCCGGATGAGAGCGCCCTTTCTCCGCTGTCGCATCAGAGCGTCCACAATGATATCGTTGTCACTGTCATACTTGTCTTTCGAAGGTGTGAGCAGTGACAGCAGCCGCTCCAGATCCTTGTCATGCGGAGACAATAAGTATTCGACTTTGGTGCTGACAATGTCGACAGTTATGGGCGGGTTAATTGTGCTTCCATCATATGGACCGGAAACGATGATATGCTCCACTGTCGCCTTAGCGCCGGCTTCGCGATGGATTGCTTTGAGAGTCGTTGTGCGAACGTTGACGGCCGAGGCGGTGCCGCGCACAGTCATATCTGCTCCAGATATACGTGTATTGAGCTTGATCTCACAACCAGTGTTTGCGGCAGGCGGATCGCTCGCAAAGTGTACGCCTTTCGAAGGCTTGCCTTTCTTGGGTGAAGCAGGCATCGTCGACTCTGCCAACAACGAGCTGCTGAGCTCTAGCACACCACTTAGTCCGCCAAATGTGCTTAAGGTGTCATCCAAGGCAGCAAGGTCAAGTGTAAAGCGCAACGGTAGCGTGTCGAGATGCACCTCAACGACTGGTCTTTGATGCATCGTCGTCTTACTACCATCGTACCTGACTGCGACGTCTGGCGTAGCGTCCGTGAGCAGTGTCGATGTTCCTAGCGTACTTTGCCGGTCGAAAGCAAGGAGCTCACTGCCACTCAGCCAAGCCTGCAGGCGCCCAAGATGCAAGTCTGCTGTGTCAACGCCGTAGCTGAAGCAGAGCTTGCCACACTGGAGGTTGACCAGAGGTACGTCGTGCTCGGTTGGCTCTTGGGCGGCTAGCCGATCCATAAACGACAGCTGCAAAGATGCCAGACTCAATGACCACGATGTTGTACCGCTGTCGGAAGCGCTATTGGCTGGTGCTGGCTTTTGCGACTTGGGTTTGGCGCTATCTGCACGTCTACGAAGCGCTTGGTTGGTCGCAGATGCTATCGCATACAGGAGGCGGCAAGATGAGAGGTCGAGTGTGCCAAAAGCGCTGCCACCTTCAATCTCAAAATCCTCACTGCTGTCCAATGGACCAGGCACATTCGCAGATGCTGCTTGCGGGTCGCCGCCTACACGGTGCTCAGACATTGCGAGCGGGTCGTATGTGGTGGAATCAGCGTGACCTGAGAAGGCACCAGGCACACTGACTGCAATATTGAATGCCGTCACTGCTTGGTTTGGAGGTTTTATAACGCTGTCGTGCTGGACGGAGAACCATAATGACAGCTGATTAACATCAAGTAGCCTTTTCGCGGTCATGTTGTCATGCGTTTGCGAAGCCTCCTCATTGCGCGGTGTGCCTGCGCGTGGCGTAACGTTACCAGGCGCTTCCTCCCCGTCACTGTATGAACCACCAGTCGTTTCTGCGTCCATATCTCGAGTCCTGACTGTTTGTGCAGAATGCTGGAAACGCGGGACATCTGGAGAGACCGAACGTTCGCTAGATGTGCCTTCGGAGCCCCAGCCACCAGGTATCCTGATTGATGGCTCGTGGGTCATAGCACTCATGTAAAGACTCTCCGCTTCTCGGTGGCTGTAAACGCGCGACTGGGCCATGTCGTTAACTTCCGAGTCTGCCATGTCGGACGCGTCGTCTTCCGTATCAACGGAAAGGTTGTCTTGATCCAGGCTTCGCGCAGACGCCTGGAGCGCTGTACGTTTGTTGTCCATAGGATCCTCTATATCAAGTGCAGGGCCTGGCGTCAGAGCTTGATACATGCTGTGCTGGCTCTGGTCCATCATAGGCCATGAACCTGGGCTTTGCTGGAGCGTGCGCTGCTCTGGGCTCGATTGGTATCGGGGCCACGAGCCCGGACTGTGCAAGCTGCGGTCGTAAGGTGAGACAGCACGCCTAGCGCGTAACATGCTCGGACTTGCATCTCTCGACTGGTGTGGTCGAGGCGTAGATGCACGCTCGAGAAGCAAAGACTCAGGCAGATCGTCTTCGCTAGCCATAGAACCCCACAGGTCTTCGGCCTGAGCGTCACCGTTCTCATTGCTCTGCCGTGAACCCCAACTAACATTGTCATCCCCAAGTTGGATCTCGGATGCTGAAACCCCAGTCCTGCTATCTCTCATTGATTCATCAAGAATCTCGTCCGTAGCGACGGGTGCCGTCGTCCCAATAAGTAGCCCTGCAATCTCGGATGATAAAGCCGGTGTCGGATGCACGAGAGGAAGCTCCCTATGATCGCTGAAAGGCGCAGCCACATCCGAAGAGTGGCGAGAGTGCGCCGATCCCTGGCTTGCAACATCACTCTGTGGCCGCGACGACGCACGCGACGGAGCCTTGGAAAGCTGCGCAGCGACATAGGCGTCGGAAAGCAGATCCATGGTGACGTCCTGGATGTCGACATGACGCTTTCCATGCCGCCCATTCTTCGGACCAGCATGAGTGAGATCTTCCAGGGAGGCAGAGCCGATCCTCAGACGAAGCGTCACAGGGGTTGTGCACAAGACGTTGCCCGTCACGTCGGTCTCGAACCTCAACTCAATGTTCTTCACGCGAATCTGCAGCCCATCAATGCACCGTTGCAGATAGCCTGCCAAAAAGCCGGGCAGGCCAACAGGCGCTCCAATGCCGACATCGGCGCCTTCACTGCTTCCGGACGACACTGACTCTTCCAGGCGGTGCTTGCTGGCGGCCAAGGAGGCTTCCAGCTTCTGCCGCTCCTGAGGTGGCTCATCCAACAAGAAGGACTTTGCTAGTTCGTCCGTAGTTGGCAGGTGAGAGTCATCGTCCGTACCGCTGCCAGACTTTCTCCTTCTGTGAGTCTTGCGGTGCTCTGGGCTTCTCGTCCTGCTTTTCGAGCTTACCTCTCCGCCTTCAACATCCTCACTCTCGTTCACCAGGCGGACGTTGATCACGACGCCCTCAACATCAGCCTGTAGCGCCGCTTGGTAGAAGTCCAAGCCGAGGCTCAAACGTAGTGACAGCACCTTTGCTGTTTCTACACGCAACGCCGGTGGTAGCTGGAGTAGCTTGCAAATGCGGTCGACCTTGAGTCCTACGTTTCGAAGCTCTACCGCACTCTTCCTCCCGAAGGACGCATCGAAGTTGCTGGGGTCGAGCGCTGCGTCTTCGAATATGTCCAGTCTGCGGAGAGCGAACGGGATGATCTTGTTCTGCCACCAAGACATCGCCCTGTTTTCTTCCCAACCTAGGAAGCTCTGCTTTGCCTACAGCAGTGGAAGGGTTGTGCTATCTGTTACTCATGGACGAGGCGTTTGCCCTGCCAACAATTGCTGCTAGCGATGCGATGCTCATATTGCGTAGCGACAAGCAGCAACAGCAACAGCAGGCAATCGGTAGCTCGAGAGGATAGGCGTTGTCAGGGGGTAGATCTATAGGTGTAAGCAATAACCATGCTATCGAGGTCACACGCAGCGTCCGCCAGAGGTGACGATGATGGCACGCGAACCGCGCCGAAATGCCTAAGGCGCATTAGTCCCCGCAGATAAGTATGACTCGTGTGCATCTGGCTCTGAGTCTTTGCACTTCAGCTTGCCTTCTCTTCTCCCTCAAGCACCGTCCTCACCACCGCCGCGTTTCTTTGCTCACAAACAGACATGCCTGCCCAGCAGCAAGTCCTACAGCGCAAATGAGAAATTCGGAGGGATCTTCAACCTGCACGTTCAACTCGTGTTCAACGCGAGCTCTGGACAACTGCCCGTGAGGGCCTACCATGACACTCATGGTTGCACTTGGCATCAGAAATTACAGCCGTCCCTCCCGTCTCCGGACTCGTTCGAGAATGGTGATGGGTTGGCCCGGCTATGGGAGCCAGTGCGAAGATTGTCTGTACCTTGGTACGATGACTTTAGTGCAATACGCGGCGTTCTTGTGCCTCACTGCTTCTGTAGCAATACAGGGTAGAGGGTGCGCGAGTTCCATTCGATTCCGATTACCAGGTGAGGACGGTGGCTTCCATCTTTTTTGCCGTAAGTGATTGATATACAGCGTACAATATGACCGAGATGCTGACGCCCTTACAACCCTTCACTAACTGCGAAGCGTCACCAAGCTTCATCCCGTGCCCCGACCTAGACATCGTCTACACGGCGCCATTTCCCCCGCCCCATCTGAGGCTGTCTGACTCCTGTTGGCCTACCGTACTACGCGTTCTCTCCCTTGTCGAGTGCATACATCAAGTCAGTACCTGCTTGCAAAATCAGCAACCACGGTTACCGTGAACTGGCTTTGCGTAATAACGTACGCATGGTATGCTTAACGCCACTGACTACCTCCGCACCCTCGTGTATCAGTGACCGGTGTTGGAACAGCAGTATCCGGCCCGCCTTCGGCAGCACCTTCACTTCTTTGCTCATATCGCGCGAGTAGAACGTCGTGGAACCGCCGACCAACGGTACAGCTTCCGCTTGTTCACGCTCTTCTGGCAACATGGCCTGTATCTCCTTTCGCCTTGGACGATGATCGTTGAGGTAGAGGTGCAGAGTCACATAGCTTCTCTCCGATCTATCAGGAGTCTCGTAAGTTCCGTCACAGTGAGGTCGGACTAATGCTATAATCAGCCACTGAATCGGACTTGCGTAAGACATTACTTGCAACGACGTACAATATTCACCACCTGTGTACCGAAGAAAGCGCATTCTTTCGTTACAGCGAGTGAAGCGCCATACCTCGCTACTCGTCTCAGCTACATCACTCATCAATGATTACACGATCATGCAGCTCACCCTCGCTTCAGCGGGCCCTTGCCCACAATGCCTGGCGCATTGTCCAACCTCAGCACCTCCCGCACCTCAGGCACACTTTCGATACGACGGAAGATTCGAGACACCACATCGTGATCATCCCAGATAATCCTACCACAGCAGCGAATGTCTTCTATCATTGCCTGCTGTCCGCCACCAACATTGACCATGGCTCGTTCCCAGCCTTCGGTCGTGCTCGCTTCCGCCGCTTTGACCAAAGTCTCGCATTCGTCGTGGGTGAGCGCATGGTCGAGAACCACGGCGTATGCGCCATCGTAGCATGGCAAGCCTTGTTCAGTAAAGTTAACGCGGGATGCTGCAATATGCGCGGCTGGCTTTGCAAGGAAATCGTGCGAAAGCAGCGAAGGAGCCATTGTCGATAGCAGTCTGGTCTGGCAGCGTGCGATCATGTGTTAGTCTGAGAAGTAGCCATGTCGTGTTGCTACATTTGCGAATGTGTTTCAACCGCTGAATGTTGCCTTGTAACGCGAATCGTAAATGCACATGCACATGTGAGTCAGTCCGGTCTGGGCCGCAGTTTGGGGGCTGAGCTAGCGGGCCCTGCATGTCGCCACGCGCTCTGCATAATGCGATGCAGTAGACCTCCATATACCTCAAGGCGTGATGCTTTGTCGGTATAAACCCCATTGCAAGTATGGTAGCTGTCTTCAGAAATCGTTCCAGAGCCAAGCTTTGCGAAGCTGCTACCGTTCTTGAGCAGGCTCCGGCACAGCTAAGGTCGTGCTAAGACCTTGTAAAGTATGCGTTACTCCATCAATAACAGTATCAACTGCCACAGCAAGACAGACACCGTAGACCACGTGGCGTCGTGTGGGTATTGTGCAAGTAGTAGGTTGGGAAAGTGCACTCAGCGAGTATCGGCGTAGGTTTTCTACCTGATACTACTCGCAAGTGCGAATTCCGTAGCTTCAATGATCCGAATATACTCTCCTACAAGGATAACATGTCAGCATTAACTTGTCGCCTAGCAAGCAACGAAGGACTTATGGATCGTCACTTACCAGCCACTTTCCACCTCCGATCACACATTACTAACACCTCCTTCAACTCCGCCGCATGCTCCGCGCAGCTGGGATCCGAACTCTCCCGCACATACCACGCATAGTTTGCAGTAGCCTGGTATAGCGCATCCAGTACTAAGGGGCTCAACCGACCAAGGCCCACCCGCTCGGCAAAAGAGCGTATGCGCCGAGCAAGCGTGAGCGCTCCTGCAGAGAAGTCGCTTATACCTCGGATGGCCTCTTCTTGCATAACAACTTGCGTATCCGGGGCGTTGGGCACGGCGCGTTCGGTGCAGCTGTATGCGTCGAAGAGTTCAAGTATGGCGGAGTAGCATAACGCCATGCTGGTGCACAGGGTGGGGTGGGAAGGGTCGTCCGACTCGGCTTCTTCGGGGAGTAGCATGGCGAAGGCTCGCACGGTGCGGCTGAGTTGTAGTGCTTCTTCGAAGCGATAGTCGAGAGGTAGGCTCTTGTCGTTGATGTGGCGGAGGACTTTGCCGAGAAGGTGGCTCGCTTGGCATGTGCGCGCGAAGGGCGACGCGCGGATGGATGTTGAAGCGGATAGAGCTAGTGGGGCTGTTGCGAGCATCTGCCCGCGATCCCAGCTCGCGTCGTCTGTAGGGAGGATCGATGCGAGACTTGGATCTGCGCTTGCGAAAGGCTTACCCTTGTTGCCAATGTTGACGTAGCGGTCAAGCACTATGACGCCCCACCATACGCGCCTGCGCTCTTCTTGCTCGGTCCACGTGGTGGGCTTTGCGAGCATTTGCGGGACACTGCGCTCGTGAATGCCCATTGCGATGCCCAGTCGAGCGGCATGACCGATGGTTAAATACGCGGCTGGGTAGATGGCGTGGCCGGTTTCGTAGAGGCCAATCAACGCAAGGGCTTGAATCAGCTGGATGCTGAAGCCATTCTGCGCTTCGATGTAATGGTAGAAGCTCTTTACGTCTTGGTAAAGCTGGCTTTGTGGAGGCGTGCCGTCAGGGAGTTCGTTGCATGCGAGCTTCATTGACATGAAGAGCAGGGCAATGTCAGCACCTGGCTCGTGAAGAGGGTTTGACAGGTGTTGGTAAAGCCGAATTTTGGAGACGATGGGGAAGTAGGAGTGCACGGAGTCAAAGTAGTGCTCGATCATTGCTCTCAGTTCTGTAGAGCTTCCAAGACACGACAAAGCGCCTGGTGGTACTCGTACGTAGGGTGCCTGTATTTGGAAGCGTTCGTATTCGAAAGCGTTCGAGTCGAGGAAGAAGAGCGAAGGGAAGGAAGAGGGTCCGGGCCATGTTGATCCGGACTGGCTGCCGTTGCCAGTAGGTGAGAGAATGTCATTCGGCAGACTCCCGTGAGTTGGTGGGCCGTTGCTATGGAAGGCACTACTATCATCGCTGTAACTGCTGTTGGTGGCAACGTTGTTCCCACTCGTGCTGCTTAGGGCAGGATCGCGCGTAAGAAGATTGCGGAGCTCAGCAACTTCCTGTCGTAAAGCATTGAAGTCCTCAGGAGACGGTGCTGATCCCGCACGGAGTTCCTCGGTGTAGTCGCATGGACGGCCTATCCGCAAGCATAAACTACATGAAGGGAGCTATGTCGGAACAGTAAGCGAATTGCGGAGACTGATGCCGGCTCGAGGATTGACTCACTTGCTTATCGCACTTCCTCTTCTGCTTACGGCATGTCGCGCATGCCAAAGGGGCGAGTGGAGCATTACTCGCCGTCTGCGCTTGTGGGAAGGACGGTTCGATCTCCATCGATGCGGGTATATAGACCGCAAAGCCGCACCTGAAGCGCCCGAAGCGGCCGCGTGATAATGAGGTTGGAGCGGTCTATGGCGAGCGATTCAGTGCGGGTTTTGATGACGCCCGATCTGCTACCCTTTTTCCTGGCTCGACTTGATGAGAGATTTCTCATAATTGGTTGTACTCATCAATCTACGTGTGTGTGTGAGCGCAGTGTGAAGCGGCCGCTTGCCGATGACTCAGCCAAGCCACATGGCAGTCAGTCGCGATTGTAGGGCTTGTGCTCGCTATCGCCAACTTTCAGCCCACACGAGGGTTTAGCACGCCGTACTGACACATCAACAATGTCTGGTATGTCATATATTTACCTCTAACATTGCCCGCACACTCACTGACTCGACACAGCCAGCGGCCATGCGGAAGGCGGCAAGAAGTACAAGAAGTATGACTGGGATGATAAGAAGGACATCTGCTACAAGCTGTATGTCGAGGGGAAGAAGACCCCGCGAGACATCGTCAAGTACTTTGCCAACCACTTCAGCGTGCCGGAGAGTGAGCTTCCCAGTGCGCGCCTCTTCCGACGCCAGTTTCACGATGTCTGGCAATTCCCACCGCGCCGTCGGACCCTGAGCGCGGATGATGAAGCCGTCATCGTCGAGCGTATACGGCAACTATGGGAGCAAAACGAGTCCGCCGTGCGTATCGGTCAGATCCTGGATGAAGAAGGGTACGAGCTCGGCGACAACGAGTTTACCAAGCTGAGGAGACGCCATGGCTTTATCAGGCGAGGCATCTCAGGCTCCTACGACGTTACTACGAAGCCTAGCAAGCGGTGGAAGAGGAAGGCGGACGAAGTCGAGGACCAAGCTCAAATGGATACGGATGCTGTGAATGCTGCTACGTCGGCGGAGTTCTTGATGGCTATGCAGCAGCAGCCGCCGCCTGGGTTAACGCCAGATCAGCTCGCTCAGCGTCAAGCACATCTTGCACAACGACTTACTGACCTACATCGAGAGTCGGAAGCGAAGCTGGCCACCAGGAAGCGGAGACGTCGCATTCGTGGCTTCGGCTTTTTACCTGCAGACGAGGCGGGTATGGCGCCTCGCTACGATTCCGAGACCACCATCGACGAATGCAAAGCCTTCTTGCACCTCAGCAATGAGATGTATGTCACCATTCGCGACGACTACGAAGCCATTTGCCAGGATATGGGCATCGAGCGTAAGAAGACAACAATGGAAAGCGGCCTGTGGCAGGCTTCCAAGGACCGCCTGGTACGTGAGAACGTGCACTTATCAGCTATCATGCACCCACTGCAACCGAACCTGGATAGGAAGGCTGTAGCCATTGATGTCATATGCTCCGACGTCACGAAGCGGATGCGTGACAACAAGAAGAAGATGAGCATTGCCGATGCCAACAATGCGCTTGGTCTCAATCCGCTGGCGAGTAAGAAGCTTCGTAAAGCCTTCTACGACATTCTTGAGCACGACCACTACACCACCCGCATGGCCTGCGGTGAGGAGCATTGGAACGAGTTGCAGCAAGCCTGGCATAACTCTTCGCCGGTGCTGCAGAGCGTCATAACCGAAGGTGATCCGTACAAACTCCGCTGCGTCTATATGCTGTGTAGAGATGCTACCAAGCGCTACAATGACGATGGCGTACGGAGGGATCCAAGCAGGAAGCAGTATCAGCAAGGCACTGGACCTGGACCGGGCGCGCTGAGAGTGGGTGGCAAAGGCAAGAAAGCCGCGGCGACGGCTACCGAAAAGCCTCGCAAGAACAAAGCCACAGTCAAGAACGGCCTCTCCGGTCCTAGCTTCGGCATGGCTGTCGATCCAGCCCTGACCAACCCTTACCTGCCCGAACCGCAGCCTATACCCGCTTACTTCCGCCTTTCGCCGCAATCGAGTTTGATCGGCAATCACCCGCGTATGTGGCTCGGCAAGCTGGCTACCCGGACCCTGGCCTCTCTGCACGAAGCGGCGGCGAGTAAAGCAGGGGCGGCGACGGTCACGCGTGTGCAGGGTGTCATTAAGAACGAGGATGGGACGGAGGATAGCTATCAGATTGATGGGGATGATGAGCTAGATGTTTACTTGGAGGCGGCCGGGGACAAGAGTACGTTTCTGGTGTTGCTTGAAGGGGGGTATGCCTGAGCGCTATTGTGTGGCCGTACGAACAAGATTGCGGTGATGCAGAGTACGATTACTGAAGGCTGAATAAACGATCGATGCGCACGGTATAATGCATGCAGATACAAGCGTGCTCGTCTGTTAGTATAAGATACCCTGTTCCGGCGATAGGAATCTCTCGTCAAAGCGAGCGTTGGCGACATGCTGCTGTAGAAGTGTTACATACGATATTCTGGATGCTTGCTGCACAAGTCAAAGAAGCCGACGTTCAGGGTTGCTTGTCGCCGCAAGGGGAAGGGAGCGCGATCTCAATGCTGTAGTTGCCGTGTTGGCTACGCACCGTTTCCACCACCCTCTTGTGGCGTCGTGCGGAGAATGGGCGAGCTCTTCGCTCCAGCCTGCCTCCGATGATACCTTCTTAACGAGATCGCTGGACAACGTCGAAATGAGCCAGTCCGCATCTCGGTTGTCGCAACGGTGTCTTAAGCGACAGGATCCCACTGCCCTTGCTTACGGATATGATGCTACTGTCCCCATGGCGTGGTCTGCCGTGAGTGCCAGAACGGAGTATGATTGCTCCCCAGCCGTTATGTCCTTCTCAGCTTCTTGTCTGTCGATCAGCAGCCCAGAAAGATCCGCGAAAGGCATGCTAGTTTGACGCCATGACGGTCGGAAGGGTTGTCACTATCGGGGGACGCCTCCGGAGACTCCATGAAACATGGTATAATCCTATGTAGGCTGATGAAGCCTTCGCCACCCTCGCAGTGAAAACAGCGTCACCGCAAGCTCAGAGGACCCTCTGCACATCCCATTCTCAAAACGTGAAGAAAATACGACGAACCCAGAATCCAGCATTGTAACTTGGGTCGTGACATGTCGGCAATTATTGCTGGCTGGGAGAAGCTGAATTGTATCAGGTCGCGGTATGGAAAGGCTATCTCCATGTTGTGCAGAGCTGGTGGCGGCACATCTCCAAGCGCACCCGTCCTCAAGGCTAGAGCGGAATTGGGAAGTGGATGGAGGATACAGACAACGAAGGCAATGCTCACTCCGGAAGGTGGCGCGGAAGATGTTCAGACGGACAGGCCGAGCGAGGCGTTCAACGTCGAACACCATCACGCATCGGAAGACGAATCAGACGTGGATCCGGAGGTGGCTGCCGCAGAGTACACTGCCAACAATGCTGCGAACCTCAAGCCGTTTATCAGATCGGGCTTGAAAAAAATTTGCAAACATAAGGTCCCGTTCCGTCTCCTTGCCACAAGCTTTCATCCATAAGAATGCTGAAGGAGCACAACACGACTCCCATGACCGGTGTCTGGAAGAAGATGTGGCGCGGGCTGTCAGTGAGCGACAAGCTTGCTCTCGAGCAGCAGATCGTTTATACGGTTCATGTATGCACTCTGAGCGACGAGAAGTACATGGCCGAGGACCTTGAAGACGATGACCAATTCCGCTTGAAGTGGAGGCTGCGTCTGTTGTACCAGAAGCGTTTCGGCCATACAACCACGGTCATGAAGGTCACTCTTATCATGGACTACAGCACACTCACACCGAAGACGAAGATGCACGTGGAGGAGACCAAGCAGCACCCAGCTCCGGCGGAATTCTTGAACGACTATGCGGCATCGATGGGTGGCACGCACGCAGCAAGGGAAGGGCGAGTAATACTTGCCACGTTAGGGACAGAAGACTCGTGGTTAAGCGGCTCGGCTTAAGCTCGCGGACACGCATGGCACACGCAGAAGTCGAAGCCGGCTGTGTCAAGGAAGGAGTCTGTGCAGTCGCCGACATTTCTCAAGGCTACTCGAAGGATCTTGCCCATATGCTAGTCATGGACAACCATGTCGATGGTTGATGGATGCGACACTGGCTTCTGAGCTCGTTTCCCGGCCCGAACTGCTGTCCAGACTCCGGTTGGCTGGTTGACTGATGGTCTAATATTTACCTCCACCATCACGTACAAACGCGAATAATGGCCGCAAGTCTATGATATACGTTACTCTTCGTACGACCCCCGTCGTGGTTCCTGTACACACCTGCCCGCAAGCCTCCTATGCCGCAGCAGCAGCAGCAGCCTCCATCCCCTTCCATTCCTCGAGCTCATTCACGATCTCCGGTAACATACCCTCCACATCCTCCTCGCGCACGTTTAACGCTCCCGTGATTAGCCGCTTGTACATGAGATGTCTATCCTCGCCTTCACTCGCGCTTGCCACGTTCTGCACGAGAGCACGTATCAGCTCGCGGCGTTCGTGGTGGAGCTGTGTGATTTCTCGCGCCATTAAAAACTTTTCGCGGATCATCGCTTCGTGGTCTTCGGCGGCGATGTTCCGATCAGGATGTGGAGGTGATGAAAGGTTAGCCTTGATGAGCTCGCCGAGAGCGAAACGTTCTTCCTCCTCCGTGAGACCTTCGCATTCCCGGGTCAGCTCGTCCAACGCTTGGAGTAGTTGGTCGTCAGTTTCGATGCCGCCGGAAGTCTGCTCCATCTCCTTGACGCGGTACTCTTCCGCTTGCCGCCGCATGGCGTCCAGCTCCCCGTTCCGCATTGTATGGACTCGTTGCGCTTCCTGATGCTCGGCATCTTTGTCTGCGACTTGAGCGTCCATCGCGCTGGCCATGCTGCGGCCTTTGGTGATGACTGTGGGAAGGACGGAGGTTGTGAGGGTGAGCGCCGCTTCGGACCTATACACTTCGCTGGGTGCGCCGTTAGGTTGGGAGGAGATGCCATTGATTGGCAAGGAGGAGTGTGGCACTAGTGAGTTGAATGGTATGCTGTCGTTGAGTGGTTGGACTGCGCCACTCGTCGCTGATGGAAGGCCGTCGGCTTGGTAGGGCGAAGAGCTTAGCTGTCTGTTTCGCTCCTGTCGGCGGTAGTTGAGTTGTACTATTAGCTGGTCGGCTGTCTCGCCGCTGTGGTTGGGAATGTCTACTGCCGCGTTGCGACCAATCAGGCTCCGCACGCACTTTCTGGCACCATTTCTGGCGGCGATGGTGATTGCTGTGTCGCCATCACGATCTTGCTCGTTGAGAATGCGCTCTACCTGATCCGGACTGAGGACCTCAACCATCTTGTTAAGGATGCAATCCATGTAATAGCGCGCACAGTCGTACTTCTTCTTGCTTTGCGTGATGTTTGCGATTTGATGGAAGACGGTACGCCCAGTCAGCCATTCCTGCATGTTGACAGTGCGGACCAGCAACTCCGCGATCTTGTCCATGTTTCGCTTGTCGAAGCTGTTAGTGAAGATGACGCTGCGCATGAGCGGTGTCTCGCCCGTCTTGGTCTGGGCGTCTATGCTCGCGCCACGTCGGATCAGGTCTTTGACGACTTCGATGTCGGCCATCGCTGCACCCCAATGGAGGGCGTTGTGGCCTTTCTCGTCGATCGCGCGGTCCAGATTTGCGTTCGGCGGAGGCGGCGGGTAGGCAGGTATGGCGTCCATGGTGCCGTCTTGGAGCATGAAATAGTCTAGTAGATCTTCACCCCACAATGTGTGCTCGCGTTCGGCTTGTGACAACTGCTCCTCAACTCGCCTTCGCTTACGCGAGCCGCCGGTGTACTGCTGTGGCATATCGTACTCGTCGAACTGGGACTCTGAAGCTACAGCATCATCCTCCATGGTCTCGCCGTCTCGGACGTCAAGTCGCTCGTAGTCCTGCGCATGTTGATACATGGGAGCTTGCGGAGCTTTGCGCTGCTGCGGTGGCGCTCGTGGCGCCCTGGGTTTCGTGGATGCGGCGGTCTCATGCTTGGGAGCCGGCGGTGGACTGCGGTCACCAGGCACGAAGCTGAAGATGGGCATGAGCTTCTCGAGCACACCATTCTTGGCAGCTAGTGCCTTGCCGTCTTCCAGCGGGATCCACGTCCCTGGTGCCGTGGTATGCGATTAGCTTACGTACGTGGGTGCCGGCTGGGCTGAAGCGTACCTTGGTACTTTCCATAGCCGCCCTGTACCTTCTCATGCACGCCTTTCTGCACTTCCCGCTCTAAGATTCTCGTCCGCGCCGGCTTGTCATAGTCGGCGACCTTGAGGATATGCGTAGCATTGATCCAGTTGTCGGACCGTCGGCGCATCACATGATTGCCCGCGATATTGAACTCATATACTGGAACCTGACGCCAACATCAACATATGCTGCTTGCGCTTGGGCTTCGACAGTGGATATGCATACATTACTATATGTTGCTGCATAGATGGTCTGCCCGCCGCGGCCTGCCATGTTGCCCTTCACCCGTGCCCAAGCGATGCGTATATGTCGCAGTACGGTATAGTATGCGCTCCAATCAGCGACGCTCAGCGCTCGCAGTTGGTATGTTCAGCGAAGGTGTTGTAATGTTGGTGGAGGTGGAGGAGGGATGCGGCCGGCGTCTTGGGCCACTATTTGTACCTGCGATGGCGATGGCGATGTCGTATCCGTGCGGCGGATGGGTGACCGTGCGCCTTTCGAGAATGGAAGGAGCAGCGGCGGAGGGGAGACGCGTGGGAAGTCGCGTTGATGGCCCGGAGAATCATCCGGCCCGAGATGGGAGATGCCGAGAGCTGGACATGCATTGAATGCTTGCCGAACAGCGACTCGTGCTCGTGAAAGCAGTAACAGACGTAATGACGGTCGTGGAAGCTGTCAAGGAGGCCGTCGGGCTGGGCGATCATGGGTCAACAGCTACGGGGACAACAAGTACGTCGGCATCTTCTTCCACTACATGTACCCTTCAGTCCACCACTAGCAAGGAGGCTGCATACGGATAATGCGCCTGAGCGTACCGCGCGCCGATGAGGCCATCAGACGCTGACAGGCTTACAGAAGCCACGAGGGAGGAGATGTCCGCCGCCCGAGTACCCCTACCATACCGTGACTCCTGCGCCCACCTGCTCATCCCACTCAACAAATGCCGATACGATAACTATTTCATGCCGTGGACGTGTATGGTACGCATGGCGGTCCCTTTCGGTTCGCGGAACGCGCGAGTGTCAGTTGCTGATACAGGTCCAGGATGAGAGACACAGCTACGAGAAGTGTCAATACGACGAGTTTAAGCTGCGGGTGAAGAAGATGGACGAGATACGAGCAGAGAAGGGTGGTGCTCGAAGTAATTAAGCTAGCTGGTGGTACGGGCTCAAAGAAATCAAATCAGCACCAATCATCTCTGAGACGAAACGCCATACCGAAGCAAGCAAGAAACCTTTCTCCAGTCTCCGGTTATGCATTCTTGCAGCTCTCCGATGCCCCATCCCAATATCTGGGCTCTTGCCAAACCCTTAACTTCCCCGGAAGTATGAACTCGTTGTTCCGATACTTAGACAACTGACGCGTCTAGAGCTTATCCTCGCGCTCGCCACGTCCGTGGAAGACGACCGCGTCTTCATCCTCCGGCGGCGCAAGGGCCTCGAACCCAGGCAGCGCAACAGCTTCGGATTCGGGCACTGCAACGGCTTCTACATCAACTCGGTCACGCTCACCATCAGCCTGAGGCAAGTCGACTGCCGTTTCCTCAACAACTTCTACTTCAGCAGGCACATCTTGGACGGCTCCAGTGGGCGAGCCACTCCGCTGCTTCTTCTCTGCCACCGCACTCGCGGCCTCCGAAGATGCCTTGCGCTTGCCAAGAATGCTACTATCGAGATCAAGCGAGTCGAGCTCGTAGCTGTCGGCGTTGTTGGAAGCGTGGGTATGGTCGTCAGACTGAGTTGAAGAGTCCGCCGCCGCAGCATGCTGCTGCATCTCACTCACGAAATCGTCCAGCCCGCCCGCAACTTGCTCCGCAGCCTGCGTGTAACCCTGCCCGCCGTCGGTAAAGGCCGCATACCTATCTGGCCCGTCGAGAGGATTGCTCGTGTCGCCAAGATCATCGAAGTCGAGATGTCCTGGCAGAGCATTGGCTTGCTTACCCTCCATCTCTCTCATCACTGCGTCGACATCATAGTCATAGCCCTGCAACTCGTGTACTAGCTCATCAGTCAAGCCACCACCTTGGAAAGCAGCCTCATTCGCAGTCGTTACTTCATGACTGGCAAGCGGCGGCCCGAGCTCTTCCAAATCCTCTTCATCCTTCTTGGGAAGCGCGCCCTTCGTCCCATATGCCGGCGGCTGATAGAAGAAAGTCCGCTTGTTGAAGTCTGGGTCGTTGGTCGCTTTCAAGGCATTCCCAAAGTACTGCCACTTCCCATCGCCATCTGCCGGCGCATTGTGCAGCTCATCTTCACCCTCGGCAACGGGATGGCCACGCTCTGTCAGTGCCGGCGAGCCCGTGCTTTGTCCACGGTTACGCTTATCCTGCTTCAACTTGAAGTCTGCAAACTCGATGCGGTGGTCCCATTCTACGCCGGTTTTCTCATGGAAGATCTTCTTGAAGGCGTGGAGGGCGGTATGGTAGTTGCAGCCGATTGCGGCGATGATGTTGATTGAAGGGACTCTGAACGTACCGGCGTGGTGGAGGTTGGTAGCGTAGGTTTCGGGCTGCGTGTTCGACTCGTAGATCTGGAGCTTTCATTGTCAGACGCATCAGTGTATCTCCATTCTATAGCTCGCATTCGAGTGGTCATGGGGCTTACCGTCAGCGTGCACCGCTCGTTGCGGTTGAGCTTGAAGTCAACCTTGGTCAGTACGACCTCGTACGAAAAACCCGTGCAGTCTTTGAGTATGTGATGATTGTCAGAGAACAGCACGTTCTTGGCCTTCTTCGAGCCCCTCTTCATCAGAGCCTTCTCCTCCTCAGTCTTCCTGCGCTTCTCGTCATGTTCCTTCTCCTGCTTCGTCCGCACCTCCTCCTCTAACTTCTTTCGTATCGCCTCTCTATCCTTCGTTGCCATTGCCTCAATCTTGCTTTTCTCCTTCGGATCGAGGTATTGTTCGGTGTGCTCCATGAAGACGTCAGCCAGGATGTGCGCCTGTGGATTGCTGACGCTGCCACCACCGCCCTCCTTCTTCTTCATCTCCTGATCAACCTTCTTCTGAACCTCCCTCGCATCACGATCTTTCTTCTCCCAGCTGTAGAATTGCTCCTTCTCGCGCTTTGAGTCCCGCAACGTTTTCTCAAGCCACTCTGAGCTCACGATGCGCAGTCGCTGATTGGCTTCGCGAGCTTTGATGGCTTCTCGAACGACTTCGCCACGCATCTTCCATCGCTTCTCGTCGCATACGACGTGAGTGGTCTTGTTGGTGAATTTGCTAAGCATGCGACCACCGGCCTTAGTGATCCATGACTCGACTTTCTGCTTAGTCCAGCCTGCCTCGGTGAACTCGTCGATGGGCCAGACAACGGCGATAGCCGTATTCTTCAAAAAGCCGTTCGGCATAGTGACGATGTTCTGTGGATTACGGCTCCTTGGCAAGAGAGCAATTGTCGGATCCGGTAGAGCCGGTGGTGGTGACTGAGAGCGCTACAGAAGATGTTGATGGTACGTGTTGGTGGATCATGCTAGAAGCAGTGTGTGCGTCAGTGTTGCAGTGGCAGAGGTCAACATTTAAGCTTGCGCAACCTCATATAGACCCGTCACGTGGTTGAAATGGCTGCCTAATCACGTAAGACCGTATATGCAGCTTGTGAGAAGTGAGGTCGTGGCGGGTGGTGTTCGTCTCACTAAGGTCGCGCAGGTAGACGCAGGGACGACTGTAGGGACCGTTGCATCCGGATGCCAACCGAGTTTGGCATGCTAACAACGGGCTCAGATCGGGTGGTGAGTAGAGCCGCCAAGTACATTGTGGGACCTCAGCGTAATGCCAGTACCTAGGTGCCAGACTCTACTTCCTTCGCAGCAGCAATAAACCTTCGTATGCTTTCCAGATCTTGCTCTCCATCCGTCTCAACACCGCTACTCACATCGACACCTGTCACACGGTCCGCCATGTCACCCAATGACCGTACCATCTCCGCCACGTTCGCTGGAGTAAGTCCGCCAGCAAGCATCACCTCCAATCCACCATGCTGCTGCAACACAGTCTTGACGTTCTTCACCGCCAGTTGCTGGCCTGTTCCTCCCGCTCCGGAGTCTAGTAGTGGTATTGCATGATAGCCTGTCGTGGCAAGCTCGGCTTCTCCAGGCTTAAACGCTCGCATGACTGGTACGGGAATGAGGCTTGCCCACTCGATCGGCTCGGAGCCGTGTAGCTGTACAATATCTAGATCTAGCAGCTTTTGCTGCTCGAGAATGTATTCGAGGGGCTGGTTCTGGAAGACGCCAACGAGAAGGGTGCGTTTGGGATGGTGAAGGTGATGTGCCCCAGTGTGCCTGAAGAAGCTGGTGGCTTTTGCTTGTGAGGCTGTCTCACTGTTGCTCGAAGATGTGGACCGCTTCGGCGTCTGATGTACGACCTTCGAGATTTGAAATGCTGTCTCTGTGCTGACACACCGCTTCCTATGTGTTGCAAGTATCATGCCAATGAGGTCAGCTCCAGCTTCGATAGCTGTCTTCGCGGCTTCGGCACTTCTGGTACCACAGATCTTGACAAGTAACTTCCGCTTCGCCGCTGACTTTGTTGCTGCCTCGCCACTGCCAAGCAACTGCGCGATGAAGGTTGCAGTGTCTTTCGCGCGCATAAGCGCCTCACCTACAAGCACAGCACCAACACCATTCTCCTGGTACGGCTTGACGTCCTGCGGCCCAGCAATGCCGCTGAGTGCGCACAAGATGGTGTCTTTGCTGACCATTGTCATAAGCCGGGTAGTTGTGTCCATGTCGACATCGAACGTCGTGAGGTTGCGGTTGTTGACGCCGATGACTTTCGATCCCAGCTTTACTGCGACCTCCATCTCCTCCACCGTATTGACTTCCACAAGAGGTTCCATGCCCAGTGATTGCGAGTACTTGTACAGCCGCGTCAGCGTTTCTACATCAAGCATCTTCACGATTAGCAGTACGGTGTCAGCGCCGGCGAGCCGCGCTTCGAGAATTTGATACTCCTCGAACACGAACTCCTTGCGGAGCACAGCAGGCCGGTTAGGCATGCCACTCAACGCTTGGCGTACTGATCGTAGGTCATCTATGCTTCCCCTGAACCATTCGGGTTCTGTGAGTACGGAGATGACACTCGCTCCAGCTAGTGCGTATGTGCGTGCTTGTGATGGCGCACAAGCCGAGAGAGAGATGATGCCCTTTGATGGAGATGCGCGCTTGATCTCAGCCATGAGCGAAAGCTTGTATGGTGACTGTCGCAGTCTGTTGGGGAAGGATACGAGTGGTGGCGCAAGGTCGAGCTCGTAGGCTGCTTGCAGATCTTCTGGTCGCTGGGAGGGGATATGTTTCTGTGCCGCCACGGCAATCCTACGGTGTGCGTAGATGCGCTCAAGGATCGATGTCTTCTTATCGTCAGTAGAAGAAGCACCGTTCGTGTGTACGGATACGCCATTCGTGGCAGCGTGCTTGTTGTGCTTCTGCAAGCGTTCGTTCTCCGCCCAAGTGCCGCCTTGCATTCGCAGGAAATTCTTGAGCATGGTACGGCCTTCTGCAGTCAGGATGCTCTCAGGGTGGAACTGCACACCTTCAACAAGAAGCTCTTTGTGCCGCACACCCATGATGACACTTTTGCCACCGTCCGGACCGGCAGCGATCCACGAAGACACTTCCAAACAGCTCGGAAGCGTGGGATGCGTTCCGGCCAAGGAGTGATACCTCGTCACCGGAAGGTCTTGTGCCAGACCATGGTACACACCCTTGCCGTCATGCCGCAGAGGGCTCGTCTTGCCATGCAGAATCTCACCCGTTTGCTCTACGACACCACCAAAAACGGAGTAGATGCATTGCTCGCCCATGCAAACACCAAGAACGGGTATCTCACCCGCGAAGTGGCGAATCGCATCCTTGCTGATACCAGCGTCGGTCTCCGGATGGCCTGGTCCTGGACTGACCACAAGCTGGGTGGGCTTTCTTGCAATCAGCTCGTCAAGAGAAATTTCATCGTTGCGAATGACCGTTACGTTAGCTCCTTCCAGTACAAGGTATTGGTAGACATTCCAGGTGAACGAATCTGCAGACGTTCAGTATCGTTTGTGAAACGGCGACTCGAACGCAGTCTCACCGTAGTTGTCTAGCAGGAAGACATTCGAAGCTGACGATATAGGTGCGGCAGGAGATGGATGCTGTGGGGAATGATCTATCAAGTCCAAAGCCGGCATCACGAACCTCCGATCAAACGCTTGTTCGAGATGGGGTGATCTTAGAAAAGGAGACAAAAATCATACGGACATGGAATCCTTCGAGTCATGCATGTGTCGAAGGGGCAAGACTTAGTGGCGTGGGGTGTGGCGCAGTCGGTGCGGTGGGCTTACGTGAGCAGGATGCACGGTTCGCGAAGAACTTCAGACGACAAAATACTCAATTGAACGATCGTGGGAAGATCCTAGCGATACAGCGCAGGTACGTATGGAATATCAGAATCTCTTTTGCATGATGACCTTATAGAGAACCGTTGCGATTGACTGTCTGGCTTCGGCTGGCAGCATGATCGTTGAAAGGAATTTGAACCTGATCTGCCTCCCACAATACCCCTAAGATCCTGCTGTAAGCCAGTAAGCAGCACTTGCTGACTACATTGCGAAGGTTGCGGATGTCGGCGTGTGTGATTCGTCGACTACGACCGTACCTGTTCCACGGCTTCGAGCGATCCCAAGGCCGCGCCTTCTCGTGCGGTGCCTGGTTGCGAGATGACTCGGACTCAGGCCGGAGAAGCGCGTCGCATGACTACGTGAAGCGTGTTTCACAGCTACAGAGTTTCAAGAAGCTTGAGGAATGCTATCCACGCTTACCCTTCGGGTTTCCTGAGTCTCGTGTGCCCATATCGGACTTTAGGAGCCGGTATGACGGGATGTTGGAGGCTGGCCAGACTGTCAGGAATAGCGTAGACTCTGCTGGCAATGGCCCACTCATCGTAGCCGGTATGCTCACCTCGATCTCAGCCCCGAGTCGCAGATACTAACGGCTTCAGGTAGGATTCGTTCGGTGCGCACTGCAGGCAACAAGCTAGTCTTCCTCGATATCTACGACGGATCCGCGTCTGTGCAGGTGGTAGTCGGAATCGGTCTTCTAGATGAGGCCGGCACCCAAGAGGACTGCTCCAAAACCTTCAAGGACTTCACTAGAACAGTGCGCAAAGGCGACTGGTATGCTTCCACCGGCTGGCCGCACAGGACCCGGCGGGGTGAGCTGTCTCTCCTTGCTACCCAAGTGCCTCAACTCCTCTCACCGTCTCTGCACCAGCTACCAGAGTCTCTCGAGGATGCTGAGACCCGAGCACGGAACCGGCATGTTGACATGCTCGTGAATCCGGTTTCCACACTCCCACTCCACGTGCGACACCATATCGAGCAGTGCATGAACGCCTTCTTCGACGACCGCGGCTTCATCAAGGTAAGCACGCCTTTGCTCACCGCGGGAGCTGGTGGCGCCGTAGCTCGACCCTTCGAGACCGAAGCTACGGAGCTGGAGGGTCAAAAGCTCAATCTTCGGATCGCACCGGAGCTTTGGCTGAAGCGGCTCGTCGTTGGAGGGATGGACAAAGTCTACGAGCTTGGTCCGGCGTTTCGTAATGAAGGGGTGGATGCCACGCACAACCCAGAATTTTCAATCTGCGAGTTCTATGAAGCATTTGCTACCTTGGACGAGCTTATGCTGAAGACTGAGCAACTACTCGGCGCTTTGCAGGAGAGGTTTACCACGCTGAGGAGCGGAGCGCTGCAAAACTTGCCCGCTCTGGCCGTCAACCTTATCGGTTCATACCAACGTCACGAATTCATACCGACGCTCGAACAACAGATGGGCCGCCCACTCCCTGACCTTCTCTCACCCTCCGCACACAAAGATCTCCTCGCTATTTTCGCCTTCAAAGGCATAATAACTCCTGAGAATGCGACAATCCCTCGTCTCCTGGACGCTCTAGCTTCCCACTACCTAGAACCTCTTTGCCACAACCCGACCTTCATAACCCACCATCCCGCCGCTCTCTCTCCGCTTTCCAAACAAGTCGTCTGCCCCACCACGGGCCAAACTGTGGCAGCCCGCGCCGAGCTTTTCATCAAAGGCCGCGAATACGCGAACATGTACGAAGAGGAGAACTCACCTTTTGCACAACGCCGGAAATTCGAAGATCAGCTCAAGTACCGTGCCGAAGATCGCGAAGGCGGAGAGAGAGACCTGAAAGGTGAGGTGGACGAAAGCTATCTTGAGGCTTTGGAATGGGGGTTGCCGCCTACGGGAGGGTGGGGATGTGGGATGGATCGTCTTGTAATGCTGTTTAGTGGGCGCGAGAGGATTGGCGAGGTGCTGGCGTTCGGGACGCTGAGGAATGTTGTAGGGTTGGGAAGGAAGGGGCGGTAACAGAAACCCTTGATGGAGTAAGATTCAGCCGCAGAGGCGGTTGCCATATCACCGTAATATGCGCTCCGCCTTAATGGTTTCCGCCGTACTCAGCCAACACCTTCTCGAGCTCCGCCACCTCGGCATGATCTCTGGTGTGGCTCATGCGATGACACCACTTCAGCTCTCCACCTTGGAACAACCACTCGCCGCCATTCTGCTTGAAGTCCCCTCCCTTTTGGCCCGTCATCCCGCCTACACCGTTCATTAACACGTTCCACAAGCCTGTCACGGCCGTCTGCGCCAAGCCTGTCGTCATGTATGCTGGTGGACCTTTGTCCCCAAGGCTCAAATTGTAGCTCATGCCCAGCTTGATGTACAGTTGCCTACTCGGATCGGCGTACATCGGGAAGGAGCAGCCAGTCCGTTTGCGGTAGTCGGGGATGGTTTTGTGGTCCCCACAGCCGATGATGCTAAGCGTGAAGGGCGGATTATGGGTGGAAGGGGAAGGGAAGGTGCGAGTGAGTGCGCGGGTGTACTCTTCGCAGTTACCGCAGAAGAAGTGGCGGATGAAGACGATGAGGTGGACTGGTGACGTTGAATTGTTGGTGCCGGACTCGGTGAGTTGACTGAACGGTGTGTCTTTGCCGTGCTCGTCCTGCAGTACCATCGCACCAGCTGCCTGGAGAGTATCATGGGAAGGGTGAGCGTAGAGGTCCATAGCCTCCGTATCCCTATCCTTGGCCATACTGTGCTTCTTGGTATGGGTTTGGACTGTGCGATGATGGCATACGCTTGGGCTGGCGTACATAGACCGTGGTATAGAGGGTAGATGTGGAGGAGACAGTTGGAAGGTGTACTTTCCCTTTCTAACGATAACGTCGTTTGATGAGCTATATCTGTCACCCACCTTTCTCGCGTGAACTACAGCGGTGGGAGCGTGTGGTAGCTGCCTCTGGCATGTGCATCACGTTGATCAGCCAGCCATCAAGAGTACTCCGGAACCTCCCGCTTTCGGCATGGATCAGGGCACCGAGCTCGCCCGCTATCGAAGGCGGCTCAGCGCTTCCACCTCTGTCGTATCACCAACCACATCCACCCCCTCACATCACACTACCCTTCCACATCCACCTCCACCCTACTGTCCGGCGGTGGATGAGATGTTCTCCACTAGGCTCACCCGTGTCGTCAACCGTGCCGCCGCCACTCCCGTCGTCTCCTCCCCCACCGCCTCCACTACCGCTCACCGAACCACGCAGTGCCTGTGCACGCGACCAGCACATCAACGGCGACAGTCATCGAGCAAAGTGTCGTATCCGCCCAACAGCAGCAAACCAAGTCCGGCCGCGAAAGCAACATCTTCTTCCGATAATACGTCTCAACCTCGACAGTCTCTGACGGGGCGAGGGCAAGCCTCGGCGGCAACGGCAAGACCTGTGAAGCGACATGGCAAGCGGAGTAGACTGCATGGACTGGTGGCGGAGCGGATAAGTAAGGGGAAAGTGCCTATCGATCAATTTGCGAGGCTGCCCTCCGTGCCGGGAGTGTCGCATTTGACGGAGAAAGGTGCGCAGAGTCTGCCCTCTCAGCTATACGTCGCTAACAGATTTCAACTAGACCTCGGCTTCGCCAACTTCTTCTCCCTGCACCGACCTATATCCGTCACCACCACCATCCCACCTCCCTCTACGAGCGAAGCCTTCAATAATCTCTTCGAAACGAAGCACCAGCGCGACCCGTGGGAAAACGGCAACTCCGCTGAGCGAAGACCCGAAGACGTCATCTTTACCCTCCACAACACTATCGAAGCACTCGAGAACCATGCGCAGAATGAGCGAGAAGACGGCGTACGGTGGGAAGTGATCCAAGAGTCCTCCACCAACAGCGATAATGGCGTCAAGCATCTGGATGGCCCGCCGCGGCAATCGAGGAGTTTAGAGGACTTGGTGACCCAGTTCAGACCTTATCGCGCTCCTCCTCCGCCTCAGCCTTTTCCCGAAGAGAACTCAAAAGCAGCGGAGAAGAAACAGGCGCGCGGCCAACGAAGACAGCATCAGCTCGTCATACGACCGCAGCAGAAGAGCTACCAAACCACCATCACCGTGCTCGAAGTCACATCCGCCAATGGGCAGAAATCGTATACCGCTTCTTCCAGCCCCATCGTCGCGATCCCTGACCCGACAGATGCCGCTGCGACGATAGTGCAGGCTGTGAATGGTTTGCACCAGCAGGCCGAGCACATGGAGCCGCGCATCCGTCTGCCGTTCCTCGAAAGGATGCGAAGGCGGCAGCGACTGTATACGCAAGCGCAGCAAGCAAGACTCGATGGTGAGCAGAGAGGATTCGGGACGGTCAGGCGTGCGCCGAGCGCGAGGAGGGTAAAGATGATTTTGATCTCAGTGAAGAGGCAGCGCAAGCTGAAGATGAAGAAGCACAAGTATAAGAAGCTTATGAAGCGTACGCGGAATTTGAGGAGGAGGCAGGATAGGGCGTGAGCGTAAGCGTAAAGCGGGCGAGGAAGGGGCCCGGGATGTTCGACTTCTGGAAGTAGCATGGGTTTTGGCGCTCTGAGCGAATCTGCTAAAGGCTGCAACGAGGTGGGATAAAGCGTTCGGACTCAGTTATTGACATCTTCAGCCGCTGAAGGGAGGCGAAGAGTCGGTGTGTCCTACGAAGCTTTGTTCATCCTACTTCTGCTTTTTCAACAATAGATACAGAGGCGTACAATACGTCTCTCAGTGTCACATCGGCCCAGAATGTCACATCACCTGGACGTTGCCGCCTTTCCAGCTCTGCAGGAGCTCCAGTGTAGTGCAGTGGTTGATGATGGTGGTTCCGTAGAAGTCCCGAGGATTGTTTTGCTCATCAGCATCCGGCCAACAGAAGGTCAAATGGCACTGAGGACACGATAGGGAATAAGCAGAAGCCTAGAACAATCACTGCAGCGCAGCAGCTCGACGAGTCAACGATGATACAGTACATCTACAACTCTCGAAACTGTGCCGCCATCGCCATGAGTGTTAACGTTGACCCGAGACATATCCCGCAATCTGACTTCCAAGTACGCACCGAACTCGTGAACAGAATCGAGGAACTCCGCATCGATGATAAGGACTAGTGCGTACTTGGGGTTCCTCTCAGTTGAGATCCGTGAGGCAGTCGGACCTTTGTGGCCGCTGAAAGCTGGTCGAGATTTCCAGGCATAAGTTCCTAACGCCACAGGACTATGATAACGCGCGCCGAGACGGCACCAACTGCTTCAGAAGCCTGTGAGGAGTACTTACGCCTCGTTGATAACATCTACAGGGCTGAAGGAAACTCAATCGATATCAGCGTCTTTGCGGCGATGACACAGACGGTCACAGGTGTCTGGCTCCACTTCACGCAGGTGAGCGATATTTCGTCCCCTTTCTTCCCACAAAACGAAGAGGCGTGCTTTGTTCTGTTCAAAAGTAAGATTGCTGACAGCTCGGAACACAGTAGATGGCGTCGTGATCAGCAGTAACGCTTTCTTGTTCACTTCGTAGGAAAGCACCTTAAGCGTCGTGCATTGACTTCACCCTTTGCAACGTCTGCGCATCCCAGATCAACCACGGTAAGTCCAGCCAAGGATATGGACACCGAAGTCACCATTACCCCGACGGAGCATCAGGAAGTCCTCACTTTCTTCCAACCAAACTTTGCCACGCCAGAATACCCTTCGCCATTGATGGACCTGAATCCAGTTCACATACCCGGATGTGGATCCAGAAGCTGGGCCCAGCGACCCTTTCTGCCGCGGAGAAGTTCTCACGATATTCTGCCGCCTTCTCTACCTACGACCAAGCCTACATTTCATCTTTGGCGGTCTGTTCGGTCTGTGCGGTCTATCATTGCCTTCAGCATAGGCAGCTAGGATGGGTGTGACAGGGACTGGGGTCGACCGTTCTGGGTGGGCGAAGAAGAGCCGTCTCCAAGAGCACACTCTCAACCGTGTTAGCTATCTAATACCGATAGAGGTTCCTGCTGATGCAGCTGATGTGTTGGGGAACTGGATGCTTCCGGAGCTCGAGCGGTAGACAGGCATTGCCAAGAGCGATAGGACGTAGTAGGCCAGAATACCGAAGGAGGAGAATGGACAGACGGGTCAGAAGTATACGGCTGCTATAGCTGGTAACAAGATATTGGCGCCGCCCGGCAAAGCTAAGCTCTAGACTACGTCTTGATATTAATATCGCCTAGGCTTGCGTTTTCCTAGCCTTACTATCAGCCTTTAGTAATACCTCTTATCACTGCCAGCAGGCGGAACACAGCTAGCGCCAGACTTGACGCTGCAACCTCTAGTCTACTACTTCTTAGTTAACTCTTAAAAGCTGAACCATCCGCGTCAAATACCTTCATTGTGAAGCCACAAAACACGGCCAAGACTTCCGGCGCTGATGTGACCGTGTATTGCTATCGTCGCTGGGGTCAAGCTTGCTGGCAGTAATGCGCCGCGGTAGCAAGGTCGTAAATGCTAACGAAAAGCCTCCGGGAAGGCGGTGTAGCTTTGACAGACTGAGGAGGAGCCTTGTAGGAAGTCGGCAGAGTATGCGATTGATACCGGGTCTGTCCTACTACGGTCAATGTTTGGCTGGCCGTCGTATGATGGAGCAAGCGTCAATGACTACAACGCCTGAGGACATCACCGGAAACCTGGCGGAGCGGACCAGTAGCATCGGATAGCGTATCCGCTGCTCAATGCGAAGACCGGAGGATATGCGAATGCATTCGGGCTTGTCCCTCCACAATCAGTGCCTGGCATATACGGCTTGGCGTAGCAGTGTTGACGGCCGCACCACCCACGGGAGGCTACAGAAGGCTTTCGGCTTGAGAGGTTGAATTAAAGTGCTCTAAGCGACATTCGATACGAAATCCGACGACTATGCGCTCAATGTGAACCTATCCCACTGCATCAGACGATTGGCGTACAGTGCAAGCTATGCCAGCTTGGATGCGCACGCCTGCGGCATAGTTCAGATCCGACTGCGACGACATTGCGTGACTACGAAAATGCCCGGGATGAATCCACTGGCTGTCCAAGTGTAAGTGCGGTATCATTGGTGCCATAGCTGAGATTGTATTGAAATGCGCAAGCTCTCCGACAGCATGCAGCCGGAGGGCGCCAAGCCATCACCGCCAGCCACACCAGAATGCCGCTTCGAAAGGTGCACGAAGACACGAAATGCGCACGAAGACGAGACCTGGATTCAGTGTCAGACTGACGTGGTTGTTGTATCGCTATGCTAACACGAGTACGGTTCACAGACGATAAGCCGCAAGCCACCGAACGTATATCGCACGACCACCTACAAACCTTTGGGCGTGCCGCGAGCCTTTGCACGAAGCTAGCAGACTGCAAAGTGATTCCTTCATATTGTGTACCGTAGGTATTGTATGCTCAGCATCGCACGCTCCCGTAACCGACATCGTCGCTTTTGTAGCGGGAGTGCTCGCACATCACACTTGGAATGGCGTTCATGACCGTTCAAGGTAGGACGGACCAGATCGCAGAGCGTAGCAAGCTGTTCGACGACCTCTTCGCTAACGCGTTCACCAGTGAGCCCGCCTCACACCCCGCTTGCTTCGCCGTCTAGTATACCTAGGTTGCACTGGCGATTACGTCCGTCGTACATGAAGCATTTCGAACCGTTTGAGCGCGCAAGCGTAGGCATCGAGCAGCAACGACCGCAGCGTTCAAGACTTGGTGCAGAGGGCATGAAGACGCGGAAACCAGTGACAACGCCAAGCCACAAGACACCGTGCAATATCGTGTATTCGCACATATAGTCAAGGAGTTCAGCTTACGACTGACGCGCACTCACCGCCGCACGCAACTATCCTAATTGCTGTCGTAGTAGCCGCTACACTTGAGACGCGCAATCCCCGCCGCACTCGACGCTTGCGACACCGTCTGCTTCGACCGCTCGCTTTCTCCGCTCTCATCCACCTTTCACTTCCGCCCCTTGCTCCCACCGCTCGTTTCATATGACACCGCTCGCTGCCGCAAGTTGCTCCTAACTGATCGTGTGAGTGCAGTACCGCTCGCCTTTGCTGCTCTTATCTGGTCCCCCGCTTCCACCGCCTTGCTTTCGTCGTCACGCGATACTGCTCGCTTTTAATCGCCTGTGCAATGCCGCCCGCTTTCGTCGCCGTACATACTGCGCTTACGAGTTTGCGTAACGTACCCGTACGACAGTTTAGGTAGTGTAGCTCGTAGAAGTGGTCGGCGAGCGCTACTAAGCCGTACCGGCGCTTAGCAAGTCCCGAGAGTGTCAGAGCAGGTATAGTAATGCCGTAGGCGAACCCGTAGTAAGTAGGAAAGGGGTTTAAGTTATAACCCGCAAAACGACCGAAATTGATGAAAATGCGGGTTAGGGTTAGGGTTAGGGTTTCTACATTAGTAATAAGCAAGGCTTATCTCGTTCCTATAATAAAGGAATTTACGACCTATCTAAAAGAGAGTAATAGGTTATTATAGAGCTATTTAGAATATATCGAAATACTACTTAACTCTTTTAAATATTTTACTTATCTTTAGTAGATCTTCTTAACTTTAATATATATACTAGTTAGTAGATAGCTTATATTTAAATATATATTATCTTTTATTTAGAATATAACTTTTAAAGATATATTCTTATAAGTCTACTTAAAAGATTTAAAGTTACTATATAGCCTTAGTCTTTATAAGAGTATATTTACTTACTACTACTTTATAGAATTACTAAGTTCTCTATCTACTATTATAATATACTTATAGTCGCTATATTAAACTTTCTTAAAAGATTATAGAGTTTTATATATTTTTATAGCTATTTACTATATTAGAGAACTTAAGATCTACTAAAGAGGAATTATATTATACTTTCGCTATAGGCCTTCTAGAGTCTTTATTAGATATATATATAGAGTTACTATTCTATATTATATTATATAGATATATTACTTTATAGTAGTAAATAGTCGAGTTTACTATCTAGTAAATTCGATATATTTAATATATTCTTCTAGCTATAGATATAAGATTTAGCCTTATTTTTAAGATAAGTTAGAGTTAAAAGTTCTTATATTAATAGTTACTATTAAGCTCTTTCTCTTTAATAAATATAGAAACTAATACTTCGACTATATATCTATAGATTATTTTAGTCTTCTAAGAATATAGTCGAGTAGGCTACTACTTAGTCGACTTAGAGTAAGCCTATATATATATAACTATTACTTTCTAGTAGTCTTACTACTAGAAGATAGTCCTTATAAGCTTATATATCTCTTTACTATATTATAGTCTTAAAGATATAGTATTTAAAGATTAGCCTATTAGATCTATTTTAGTTAATAGAGCGGTCGTCTTAAAAGTATTATAACTCGCTACTATTCTATATAGGTTTCTAGGCTAGTTAGTCGTTATCTCTATACTACTAAGTAGCTTAGTACTAGAGTTATTTTCTTTAAGCTACTTTAAGGAAATATAGAGATCTAGAGTATACTTTATAGCTACTACTAGTTTAAGTTAAAGTATTAAGAGTAATAGTAGAAGGGTTATAGCTTACTTTTTTATTACGCTTTTTATACTTTCTATATAGAGTTTAGTATAAAGTATAGTATTCTTACTTAAAGTTATATTCTTATATATAAATAGAGCTATATTACTTACTTTAAGGTATTACTAGATATCCGTTATAATAGTTTCTAAAGTACTTATATTAATAGGCTATAGATAGATATATACTTTATAGTATAGTTTATATCGATATTAGTATAGTAGTATTAAGTATAAAGTAAATATATACTTTATAGTTAGAAGTAGATATCTTTCTAAATAGATAAAGATAGATTTATACTTTATAGCTATAAAGTTCTATCTTTCTAAATATATATAAAGTATATTTATACTCTATAGTAGTAATTTAAAGTCCTTCTAAATAGAGTAGAGTAAATATACTCTACTATATATTATTTTATATTATTATAAATAATATAGTATAGATTTATATATATATAGTTCTATATTATTATAGATAGTATAATATAGATTTATATATATATAGTTCTATATTATTATAGATAGTATAATATAGATTTATACTTTATAGTAATAGTTTAGTATTCTTCCGAATAGAGTAAAGTAAATATACTTTACTATATATCGTTTTATATTATTATAGATAGTATAGTATAGGTTTACGCTTTATAGCGATAGTTTAGTATTATTATAGATAGAGTAAAGTAGATATACTTAACTATATATTATTCTATATTATTATAGATAATATAGTATAGGTTTATACTTTATAGTAATAGTTTAAAGTCTTTCTAAATAGAGTAGAGTAGATATACTTTACTATATATCGTTCTATATCGATATAGATAGTATAATATAGATTTATACTTTATAGTAGTAGTTTAATATTATTATAGATAAAGTAGAGTAGATATACTTTACTATATATTATTTTATATTATTATAGATAGTATAGTATAGATTTACGCTCTATAGTAATAGTTTAGTATTATTATAGATAGATTAAGTAAAAGTAGAATCTACTAGAAAAAAAGTAGGGAAAATTATAACTAGGTTTATAAGAGCCTAGTCGGTCTAGATCTTAATATCTCTATCTATACTATCTATAAAATATAATATTAAGGCCGCTTTAGTTATTTATAGGATTAGTACTACTTTTTCCTATTATTATCTATTTAGTAGAAAGTCTACCTCTATATATAGACTAAGTAAAAGCTACTTTACTTACTACTTTTATAGTATATATTAGTTCTATTATAATAGTTTTAAGCTATAAGAAAAGTAAAAGTAAGCTTTATTACTTTAGTAGAAAGGATAAATATATTAGATATAGTTATATTAATATTAGTATTACGGCCTACTAGTATCTAGAATACTTAGCTAGATAAACAATATAGAATAATTAGGTAGTAGAACGAGCCGTAATACTAATTAGAACTTTAATTAGTTAATTAGCTTAATTAAGAATACTAATTATATTAACTATACTAATCTAAGAATAGTAGATATAAATCTCCTTTATATATAGCTATAATAGATTTCGTAGTTAGGAGTTTATATTTAACTTATATTATAAACCGACTAATTAGAATTAACTTATTACTTTATTCTAATCTCTTATATCGATTATACTTTAACTAAGTAACACTTTACTATCGACTACTAGACTACCTAATAAGTACTAACTCTACTTATAATAATAGAATTACTTAACCTCTCTTATATAAGTATAATAGTATATAATACTTTAAATACTTTTAAGAATATCTATTACTAAAAGATCTAAGTAGAGTATCTCTATTTCTAGTAAAGTAGGAAGTACTAATATAGTATGCTCTACTAACTATAATCGGTCTAACGACAATATAAAGGTCGCTAAACTCGACTTATACTATAGAGACTAAGAGAAACTCGATAACTAGTTTAACTAGATATATATCTTCTTCGAGTTTAACTCTATAGAGTCTATAAAGTAAAGCCTATTTATAATAGCCTTCCTTCGAGGCTATACTTAGTACTACTTTAAACTATATCTTACTAAGTACCTCGATAGTAACCTAAGATATAATAAAGATATTACTAGGATCTTTAGAATATTTATAGGACTTAAGATAGTCTTATAATAAGTCTTTATAGTCTCTAATAAAGTCGAGAATATAGTTCGTATTATTTAAGATATTAAGTAGACTAAGTCTATATTAGACTATATAACCTAGTTTAAGGAGTACTTATAACTTACTAATTAGAACGATATAGCTCTATATACTATATATTACTAAGGCCTAAAGGATTAGGTTAAGAATAAACTAATAAGATATAGAGATATTACTAAGAAATTAGACTAGTTAATTAAGGCCTCTATTATAATTAATAATAAGCTTTATAAATATATAATAGAGAAAGGCTATAAGTTTAACCTCTAGTACCCTCTCTATAGTTAGAAGAATTAAGGCAGAAATCGGCTATATTATACCGACCTATATAGACTAGAGGTAGCCTCTATATACTTAGATATAATAAAGAAGGAAAACTCTAAGAGTAGCTATAGTAAAAATAGTAAGAAACTATATCCTAAAAGAAAGAAAGCGATTATATATTATATATATAGTAAGGAAGACTATATAGTAAGAGATTATAGCGTTAAGAATAAAATATAGTAGCTATAATTTAATATAATACTAGGAAAACCTAAGAAGTATAAAGTAATAACCTTATAATAACCTTTAAAGGATAACGGAGAATAGAGAATACTATAAGACTTTAATAAGAGGCTAGTTACTAGCGAAGTAGATAACTCTAAGTAGTTTCTATAGAAATAGAATACTACTACTAATAAGACTAGTAAGCCTATAGAAGATAGCGAAGATATACTAAAGGAAGAAGAATAGAAGTTAGTATAGATTAAAGAAAAGAAAGAAGTACTATATAGATTCCTTTATTAGATATTCTATTATAATAATTAGTATAGAGAGTACTATAGTAGTAAGGAAAATACTAGATAGTTTCCTTAGAAGCTAAGGAAACGACGAACTATTAATATAATTAGTACTTAGTAACTTAAGATACTAGAAACTCTAAATTAACGCTCCGAAGAAGAAATATAGAAAGATAGCGAATAAGGCTATACTAATAAAGAAGATACTAGCGAATAATTATTAGATAACGAAGTATTAAATAATAAACGAAATAAGCTCTACTATTTTAGTTTAGAAGGAAAAGACTAAACTATAGAACTCTTTCTTATAATAGCTCGATAATATAAAGAAGTATTTCTAAAGATTAATAGAAAATAATATTTCTATCTAAAACACTTCGATTAGATAATTAGCCGCTTCTATAATATATTCTAGAACTACCGACTCTATAAAGTCGAGTATAACTTTAAAATAATTATATAAGAATAACTACTAATTAGGAGCTAGTTTACGCCTAATAGCTATTTTCTCTTAAATAGGCTTTTCGTTAATAAGTAGATAAGAGATATAGTATAGAACCTAAAGATTCGCTATAGTTAAGTATAATATATCTAAACTATACTTAACTTAAGAGAAAAGATAAGAGAAGCCTTAAGAAGTATAAATAGTCGATAAGCTAAGATAGTAGCCTTATATAAATAATAGAAATATAATATACTATTAAAGGAGAAACTACGAAGCCTTAATAGCTTATAACTACTAACTCGAGACTAATAAATAGAATAATTCCTTATATTACGATAATATATATAAGAACGAATTATACTATAAAACCGAAGAATATTAAAAAACTAGAACGACCTATTAATAAGAGTACTTAATAGAAACTATATAGTATAACTACTCTAATATTAGAATATATAGTATTTCGTACTATAGCTACTATTAAAAGAAACTCGATAATAATTATAGTCGACTTAGATATAAGTAGGAACTTTATATCGCTAGAATATATAAAACAAAGTAGAATTACTATCTAGATAAAGAAAGATAGATACGAATTATTTATAGTAAATAGTATAATAATATCTATAGTAGATAGCGAGATAGTACTACTTCTACTAGATATCTAATAGTATTATAAGAATATTATATTAGATATTATATCGATAGCTATAGAAGATATTATTTTAAGAATATCTTAGTTAAGATATTATAATCTAGTAGTTAACTAGAGAATAGAAGTATTTATATTTAAATAGTATAATTACGTAAATTATATAGAGCCTATATATTAGTAATATTTAATAGTAGATAAAGTGTTATAGAAGGAGGCTAGCGAGATATATAGAATACGAAGCGGCCCGACGGAATATTGCCTATACGCCGTAGGCGAGGCATATAACGCCTTAGCGTAAAAGCTTCTTAACTACTCGGAGCCTACGCTTCTAGAGGACAAGTAGTTGTTAGTTCTATTCGGTAACTAATAATCGGTCTACGGAGCTCTATATACTACGAGATACTTAGCCTAAAACCCTTTATATTCCTCTATTAGTTCTAATAACTCCCCTCTATCGTAGCCTATAAGGCCCGAGATAGATATCGATCTCCCCGACGTCGAAGTATAGGCAAGGAGCTATAGAGATATACCTATAGACGTAATATCTAGAATAGAGATACCCGACAAAGAAATAGTCGACGTCGAGGTCGTCGATACTACGTAGATAGAATAATAGTAAGAAAGACGAGACTACCTTTAGATAGAGGTCGAAATCGAGAGGCTCGAGTAGTAGCTTATAGCTATATGCTATATTTATGCTGCCGGTCGAACGCTAGGAGTAGTAAGGCCGGAAGAAGAAGTTAGAGATAGTAAGAGCTCTATAAGTAGTATATACTTTACGTATATAGATAGTAACTTCGGCGGCCGTCTTAGGCTTAAGGAGCCTAAAGCCTTTAGAGAAAAAACTCTAAAGGAGGCTTATAACTTCGTATATATATTAGAGTTAACCTTTATATTAGTAAGGGACTCCTATTATATAGAAGAAAGTAAGGTCCTATATAGAGTAATATTCCTTATAGGCGAACTATATAATAGCTAGTATAGTACCTATAGGGTAGAGAGCCTAGAAGGCTATATATAGGCCTAGTTTAAGAAGTTTATCGACGACTTAGTCGAAGATCCTACGAATCGTATACTTAGTGTCCTAGCTACTTATAAGAGCGTAAGATAGCGAGAGAAGTAGTCGATATAGACTTTTGCTACTAAGTTAGTAACGTTAGAGGATTAGATACTACTATATACTAAGAAGTAGTATATTCGTTATCTTCTTATAAAGCTAAGGCCTATACTACGTATAGCGATTATTACGTACTATCCGATACTAAAAAGGTAGGAAGACCTCGTATCGCTTACAATATATCTAGAGACCGCTTCTAGAAGCGACCGCTTCTCTCTATAGCCTTATACGTATAGTAAGAGGTAGACGGACAATATCTACGACCGACGAAGTAACTCTAAGAGAGGGAGGCTTAATTAACCTCGATAACTCTAGTAAGATTTAGGTGTAGTAGGCTACGCGCTAGAGAACTATAAGCGCGGCGAAGAGCACGAGAAGTTTAGATACTATAAGTGCGAATAGATAGGCTATATTCGGCCGAACTACCTCTACGAGGAACAAGGAAGTAATCCTTTAACCTATAGAGTCGGCGTAACCGACGTAAAGGCGGCGAAGAAGAGTACTATATCGAAGAAGTCCGAGTAACTTACTAGTATCTACGTAGTCCGCTAGAACTCTATTAAACATAGTGTTTAGTCTTAGCCGGCGAAAAGCTTAAAGGGCGTAGTCGATATATAGGATCGATATATAGAGGCAAGCTACTTACTTAATAATGCCGCCGACATAAATATAATCTCCTAGGCCTTCGTATTACGATATAGACTAAAGAAGATACTAATTCCTTTGCCGTTAATAGAGGCATTTAGAGGTAAAACCGGCTACTACTATAGGGTATATTAGGTTCGCCTATATCTAGTAGACTTAACCGATATAGAGTATCTAACTAAAGGTATCTTCTATAGTGTAGATTTAAATAGCTTTAACCTACTACTCGGCCGCCTATAGCGCCGACAGTATAGAGTAGTCGTTAATAGCCGGAACGACTATTAGTAGTACGTAGAAGAAGGCGAGCTCCCCTTAGTTCGCGTACGGCTAGCTAGCGCCTTTCTTAAAGATATTAAGTAAGTATAAATAGTATATACTATTATACTCTAGAAGGCCGACACTACTATGCCGGCGGAGTTAAAAGATTTTAAAGATATTATTATCGATAGAGATACTAGTAATAAGCCGCTCCCCGATAGCGTTAAGTATACGATCGACCTAGAACCTAATAAGGAGCCGCCTTTCCGGCCGATATATAATCTTTCGATAACGGAGCTATAGATATTATAGGAGTATATCGACCTAGCGCTCTAAAATAGATAGATCCGTTATAGTGTTAGTGCTATAGGCGCGCTAATCCTCTTCGTTCTAAAGAAAGATAGTAGCCTTCGTCTATATATCGACTACTATAGCTTAAACGTAATTATAATTAAAAATCGGTATCTATTGCCTTTAATTAGCGAGACGCTAGATTGTCTAGGCCGTATAACGGTCTTCTCGAAGCTCGACCTTAAGGATATATACTACTATATTCCGATTAAGGAGAGCGATTACTAGAAGATAGCGTTCTATATATACTATAGACATTTCGAGTATAACGTAATACCGTTCGGATTAACGAATATACTAGCGACTTTTTAGGCATATATTAACCGAGCCCTAGCCGGCTTAATTAATATGTCGTATATTGTCTATTTAGACAATATCCTAATATATAGCGACTTATATACAGAATATAGTCGGCACGTATAAGCTGTCCTAGCTCGCTTATAGAAATACGACTTATATGCTAGTAAGAAGAAGTACGAGTTCTATACTACTAAGGTAGAATTCCTAGAATATATCGTTAGCCCCGAAGGTATATCGATAGATAGAAGTAGAGTAGCTATAGTAGAAGAGTAGCCTATATCTACTATCTTCCGAGAGGTCTAAGTCTTCCTTAGCTTTATAAACTTCTATCGGCGCTTTATTTGTAACTATTCTAAGATTATGTCCCTACTAACTAGCCTTATAAAGAGTACGAAAGATAGGAAGAAGTCCGGTCTACTCTAGTAGGGAGAGAGCGAGGAGTATATATTTCGATCTATAAAAGCGGCCTTCTTAGATATACTAATCCTCCGTTACTACTAACCTAGTATAAAACTAAGGCTAGAAACCGATACTTCTATATTCGCGATCTCTACTATCTATTCCTAACTACTAAATATAGAGGAAGAGCCGGCGAAATAGTATCCTATCGCCTTCTAGTCGTAGAAGCTAAATCTAGTAGAGTATAACTATAAGATATATAATAGAGAACTACTAGCTATCGTTAAAGGATTTAAGTAGTTCCGCTACTATCTAGAAGGAGCGCCGTATACGATTTAAGTGCTTACTAACTATAATAACCTCCGAGGCTTTATAGGCGTAAAGCAATTAAATAGACAATAGGCTAAATAGGCTATATTCCTAGCGGTATTCGACTTCGTTATTAAATATCGAGTAAGGAAGACTAATCTAGCCGATATGCCGTTAAGGCGACCGGACTACAAACAAAGTTTATATATAGTATACTACTTCCTCCTAACTCTATAGAACAAACTCGTAGTATAGGAGAAAGATCTAGACCTTACGCCTATTATACGTAGAGTTAGAATAACTATAACGATAAAATCAAATAACTAAAAGAAGACTATATATAAAGCTTATATGAACCTAAATCGAACGTCGTCTATTCGGAGCGTAGTCCGGATTATAGTAGATAAAGAAGAACTATATACGACGCCTTCTATAGATCTCGCCGAGCTAATTCGAACGCTATAATATATACGT